CTTTTATAGGATTTTGAGGGAATATTCAGATTAATATAGATAATCATTTAAATCTTATAGAAAGTAAGACTTTAGAAGATTTAAAGAAAATAGTTATAATTAAAGAATATATTTTAAAGATAATAAATAAATATAAATTTTTTTAGAATATATTAAAGAAGGTCTTTAAGATTTAAATAGATTAATTTAATAAGATATAAATCAATATAGTTTTTAGAATTAAGAACTAGATCATACTTTATATTAAGAATCTATAATCTATTTAAGAGAAATAAAAGCTAAATAATAAATAGATTAATTCTTTTTAGATTATTATAATCTAAGATATAAATATATATAAATTATATTTATCTTTATAATTTTGAAAGTTATATTCTATTTTTTATATTTCTCTATTTAAATTATATTAAGATATAGTTAAAAATATTATATTTTCAAATATGGTCTTTATAGATGATAAGGAAGAGTATAAAGTAAAGAAGATTTAATAGAAGAAAGGGTTTTTGAATAGAAAAAAGTATTATATTAAGTGAACTAATTATTCTGAAAAAGATTATATTTAGAAATTATTTAATAATATATAAGATACTATTGCTTTTAAATAATATTTATAAAAATCTATAAAAGGATTTTAGAAATAGATAAGGAAATAATTATTTTTTATTTCTATTTAAATCTATTCTAATATAGGATTTAATATATCTATTTATATTAATGAACTGAGATAAATAAGAGCTGAAGCTACTTTTATATTTAAAAGAAAAGAGATTTAATAGACTAATCAATCTTTATAATAGAATTATTAGAAAGAATCTAATCTATTATTATATAAATTTAATTTATGGTTATAAGGTCTAAAAGAGCAGATTTAGAGATAAGACTTATAATAAGATTGAAAGCTAGATTTATTAGGGCTAAAGATATAGAAGGAATAGAATCTAAAGAAAATTTTAAAAAAATAATAATTACTGTTATTAGATAAAATAAATAAAAAGTTCTATAAGAATTATTATTATTATTTAACTCTAATGAATTTATACTGTGATAAGCTTTTTTTTATTCTTTTAAAGAAATAATATTATTATTAAAGGAATAAAAATAATAATATATATAGTGTTTACTTTTTTTAATCTTTAATTTATTAGTTTTTATAATTTTTAATTTAAAGGAATTATTCTTAGAGATATTATCAGTCTTTATATTTTATATCTTTAGATTAAGTCTTCTAACTATTTAAAGGCTAGTAATTGTATTATTAAGAAAGTATAGCTGAATAGTCTTTTAAATATAGGCTATGAATTAAGAAGAAATCTTTAATATATTAGTATAAAATATTATATAAATGTGAGAATTTACTCTTAGGCACTGGTAATGCTTCTGTTTATATGGGATGTATATCTTCTATATTATATTATCAGAGTAAAGATTGTCAATGTAAAATTCGGGGGCTCCAATCGCTAAGCTTCGGACGCAGGTCTGGCATTAGATAAGACATTCAGGCATCTCATTGCGTTTGTGAGGAACAGAAGAAGACTTGGTACTGTCAAATGCATCATGGGAATATTGACTGCGGGAGGACGAACCTCTACGGCTGCTAGCTGGGATACGCTTCGTATGAATAACTTTAATAGGTGAGAAAATATAGAAGGTGATGTAAAAAGGTGGTATATCTGAATCTAAAAGATCTTTGAGCTTTGGAAAATATTTATTAAATCTCTGAAGGCTAAATATATTCTAATAAATCTAATTGATATATTTTTTCTCTTTATTCTTTAATAAAAGCTTTATATCTTTCAAAGATTCGCCTATAAGAATAAAAGTAGTTAATATATTAATAGAAGTGAATGTATAAATCAAAATCTTAAGATTCGCTAGTATATTGGGATGATTAAAAAGATAGAGCTAATGATTAATAGTTGTAAAAGCTTATTTAATAGTATATATAATATATTCTAGATTAATATATGATATTAATTTAGATTTAAGAGTGGCAGTCTATGAATTGTTAGTTTATCTCAGTATTTAAAGTTAAATATTTCTTTTAGAGGAAAATAGAGGTATGAAAGAAAGATTCTGAATTATAAAGAAGGATTTAGAGGATAAATCTAATATCAAAATAAATAAAACTTTTAAAGTATTATGAATTAGTGTTAAAATTAAAATATTTTTAAATATTATTTTAAAGCTTGTTTGAATCTATTTAAATGTGAGAAATAATAGTTTAAGCATTGATATATTGAATGCTCTGGGTAATAAGTGAAGTAAATGTGGTAGGGATATAGGGGATAACTAGAGGGATAAAATAATATATAATAACTACCTATAAATACTTTAAAATACTAATATCTTTAAATATTATTTAAAAATGGTATTAAAAATATAAGGAATGTGATAAATAGCTATTTAAAGATTAGAAATCAAAAAAATCTATTTATAATAATAATAATGATTTTAGGAGGGCTAAGGAATAAGGATATAGAATTTGAAGCTATATTGGGAAAAGAAAATTATAAGATAGTAGAAAGATAAGATTTATATATTATTTAATAGAGTATAAATATATTAAATTATATCTTTTACTATTAAAGAAAGTGAATTTAATATTATAGAGTATATTACTTTGTATATAAATATCTTCATTATTATACTGAATTAATATCTGTAATTTATATAGATTATAGTGGCTAAAGAGACCTATCTAATGATATTAAGTAAGGTATGAGGCCATGCTCTTTAGAGGGAAGAGATAGCTGTAATGCCCCTATTTGAATGTATAGAGGTTGATATTGATTCTATATAGTATATGTGATGCGGGCGCTAATGAGTCATGTGTCTAGAGACACCGCTTATAAACACTGGGCTGAATCCTTATAGTAAAAGGGGGTAGTGAATAGCTATCCATACGCAGGGCACATACTAGTGAAGCCTCATTCGACATAGGAATCAATATATTCACGCTCTACCAACCCTAGCCCTTACACTAAAGAAGATATTTGAACTTCATGTAAGTCACACGAATTGATAAGTCACAGCTAATGAATTTGGACTGCAGGCACTTGATTGCCAAAGAGTTGGATATTGAAAATGACAAGCTATGAGTCGTAAATTGCAAAGGAGAGGTGCTCATTCATTATTTATGGATTTGACCAACTGAATACGGGGAGCTTAACTGTAAATTTCACATCTGTGAAAGGTTCAATGAGGTTCATTTTCATTATATATTGTATGAGATAGCTCTAACCATAGCTTCGTAACCTTAAACTACCTACCAGAGCCAGAGAGAAAATCCTGCTTTTATGACAAACGAGTTTCTCTGTGCCACACATGACCGAGATAATGACCGAGATTTGCTTCAGGCGCCGACAATATTTACTATGTCCACGCTTGGCTGATATGCGTCCCTAAATGGGAGTGACTCTAAAAAGGTCCACGGGAGTTGTCCAGGCCTAGTCTGGCTTGACTGCACTAAACTACCCCGATATAACCATAGTTAGTTAGTTTGGACTCGCCTTTCTCAACTATCTAGAGTGGTTTTTGGCCGGTGCACTGTAACCGAACCAGTAAATGGTAGTCTTAAATTCGCTGAACCGAGCGCCGGCCAGGTCAGAGAGAGGGGTTCCAACAAAAACAGTTGAAAGGCGGTAAGCTAGTGGAAAACTGACACGCGCATGAAAACATGGTTATTTTCAGGGTAATATAATTATTCATCAATAAAGCAGACGTATATAAAATACCGATGTGGCTTGGCTGTCCGGGCCATGCCGTGGCAAGAATCGATGAGGTCATCTATCTACATCTAGGTCAGTAATAATCATTGAATAATCATTAAAAATAGTACTAGATAAAAAGCGAACTTTACAATAATTAGTATCAGATTTTTCTACGACTCGTTGATATAATCATTCTATTCGTGGCTATTTGCCCAATACTCCGATTCTGGCCATGATTACTGATCAATACTTTCGGTCAACCCTCTTCTCGCCTTTGCATGAAAGGGCGACAAATCATTATAATAGATTACAAAGTAGACAGAAAACTTGTGGTAGAAGTTCCACCGTGTTCTCTAATACTGAAGCATGTATAAAAACCGTACCCTGTTCGTGTTTTTGTGGGCCATCTTTCTCTGAATCAATCTTTCGCACACGCTCAACATGTCGTCCCATGTACTAGTCATTGGGGGCTCTGGAGCCCAAGGCATACCCGTCGTGAAAAGCGAGCATTCTGCGTCACCTAATCTTCCCTACCCACTAACTGACTGATCTTGAAGAGCTATCGCAACACCCGCAGTACTCAGCAATTAGAGTGTTGACGCGTGATTCAACCTCTGAAAACTCTAAGTATCTAGCAACTCTTCCGAAAGTGTCGCTATATGTAGGCCAAACCGACAACGATGAGGACCTCAAGGGTGCATTTTCTGGAATCGATCTCGCCCACGTCAATTTGAACAGTTTCGCCATTGGAATCAAGAACGAACTTTACTGGGGAATCCGGATCTACGAAATCGCCGTTCAAGCTGGTGTGAAACACTTTATCTGGTCTTCGTTGGATAGATTCATGGCTGAGACAAATTATGACGATGAAATCCGAGTTGGTCATTACTACGGCAAGGCCTATGTTGAGCAGTGGCTTTCTGCTATTCCACAACGGAAAGATTCAACGCGATGGTCTATCTTGACCACGGGACCCTACATCGAAATGCTTTCTGAGATGCTGCGACCTCGTCAGAGGGATGATGGAACGTACGTCTTTGAGGCGCCCCTCGGAAATGGCTTGGTTCCGTTTGTTTATCTTGAGGATTTGGGTCACTACGTGAATTGGATATTCTCCAACCCAGACCAATCCGCTGGACTGAATGTCAAAGTAGCAATAGAACATGTTTCGTACGAGTACCTTGCAGCCACATTCACCAAGGTCACTGGGAAACCCGCTATCTATCGCAATATCTCGTTCGACGAATTGTTCACCGTTGGACCTCTCAGCAGCGTTGCGGAAGTTAAGCTTGGGCCCGAAAAGTACCAAGATGATCCAACTCTGTTGTCGTATCGGCAAAACTTCACGGCTTGGTGGAAGCTTTATCAACGCGCGGGGGAGGATCGAAACATACTCAAGCGTGACTATGACTTCCTGGACCGTATCTTCCCAGAGAGAGTGCGGACTGTCGAAGAGTGGATGCGAAAGGTTGACTATACCGGTGCTGCTCGAGCCGTGCTAAAGACTGCATGAGAATCGCAGTGAATCTTGAACCTGACGGGAGCTGCTCGCCTCGCGCCTGAATCTTTATTAGATTCTCTGAACAGTTCAGCTAATTCAGTTTGTAAATGATTTTACAGTATAAAATCAAATGACTCCGTCCCAAAAGCACATGCCATAAGAGTAACATGATGAGAGTAACAGCAGATTTGTATTTGAGCCAATTTTAGTAGAGGGAGATACAACGTACCTCTTATAACTTTATGCATAGCAAGTACGTGCAATAATCTCTCCAAACGAGTCGCCCTAGGTAGAACGTTTCCAGAGCTCTCCCGAGGGCAAGATTCTCAACTGTAGCATTGGCCTAAATTTTGTCGCGGCTACGTTTCTCCAGAATTTTTGACGAATTTCATTGTCTTCTTTGTAATAATAGCGTCGGGATTCTATCGCTGTAACAGATAGAGCTATAAAACAAAGCTTGGAGAGTTTCGTACTCAGGTAAGTTCTCTTGTATAGCAAGATGTCCACCGCAGGCTCTTGACAGGCAATATCACTGACCAATCGCTCTAGATAGAAAGTGCGAGTCCACACAACGAACTTGCGAAGGTGATAACTCTCAAGCATGACATATAACCAATTTACAACCTTCTGAAGCATCACACGGTAAGACTTCTATCAGAGTAATCAATATCTTAACGCTGAGCTTAATTTTATAACATCTGGCAGGATTAATCAAGAAGAATGTTTCTCTCGGAAGCCACTGCGCGGGAATTATCCCTTCAAATGTTCAATCTTGTCTAGCGTTGAAATGGACACTGGAGGGACTTTAAATATTTATTTATAAATTATCTGATCCCAGAAACCCTAACCAACTACATTGGTTCTGCAAATATAAGAAGCAGTTGCCGAATGTCTACTCGTCGATTGATATGCACAAGTCATGACAAGCCCTAATTAGCCGCTTTCGTCATCTTGGCTTCAATCACAGCATCAAGGGAGACGTACTATCTCACACTTGCTGAGGTTCTTACTTGACTGCCTCGGAATTTTCCGAGGAGGTTGTGATTGATTTTATATGACTCACACTGAATATCCACAATGGTGATATTTTATACTTCATGACACAATAATCGACGGCACTTCAATATAATATCTACGGGAATGCTAACATCGCGCAATATCAACCAATGTGTCAAGCATTTAAAGTCACTTGAGTATCCTCACTAGTCGAGAAGCTTTTTATATTATATTATTAATAATTACAAATACTTTTTGGTGTTGAACGTAATGACGGCTCGGAACTTGGAGCTTCCTTCCACGACCTTTACATCTTATAATATTTGAATATACAATAGTTATCCTGTTCAGTCATTCTTCTCTACTTCATACGTTTTCACATTTGAGCCTGGTTCACGTCATGTCCTCCCTCGCCCCTGCTTTCGAGGTAAATGGCCTTGCCGCTGACGGCTTGGACGACGCAAAACCCACCCAAGTCTCGTGGAAAGAGTACCGCAACCTCCGACACAATGTCCTCCCAATTCGACCATTAGGCTCGCATGTCCCGGCACATGGCTTCAAATCTCCTCGAGATGTGCCCAGCGACCGCGGCTTGCTGGCAGATCCAAACCTTCCAAATCTCTTAGGCCTTGGGGTCCAGAGGATTGATCTGACCCCATCTATTGGGTATGTGTTCTCAGAGCGGAAGATACAAGAAATAACATACTAATTTTTGAAGTACCCAATTGACCGGTCTCCAGCTGAGCCAGTTGACGGATGTGCAAAAAGATGAGCTGGCGCTGTTGGCTGCGCATCGTGGTGTCGTGTTCTTCCGAGACCAAGATATCACCGCAGAGCAACAGCGTGCTCTCTTCGATTATTACGGTATGTTTGACACTCAAAAAAATTAAATATACGTTAAATTTCAGCCTAGGACTCCCCGAACTGCCGGGTGACAACCCTGAAGATGGGAAAAAGTCTGCCACAAACACAATCCAGGAACAGGAGCAGTATGCGACTCTCATCCCCTAAAGCCATATACGCTAAGCTGGATGTAGGGACTATCGAAAGACATACATCCATTTCAAGTGGCCATTTGCTGATTTCCATGCCGACTCGTCTTTCGAGATCAATCCGCCTTCGTTCTCTCTCCTACGAGTTGATGAGCCTCCTCCCACCGGCGGAGATACCAATTGGTGATATCTTATGCCGATTGTACTCTCCTTGATGTATTTACTGACCTTCAACTTCGATAGGATCTCCGGCTATGGAACTTTCGAATCTCTCTCCCCAACTCTCCAGAAATTCGTCGAGGGCTTGAGCGCATGGCACAGCGCTGGCGTATGTCAGCCACTTACAACCCCTCCAATGTGCTCACCTCATCTATCTCATCATTGACCAAAATTGTAGCATGTTTACGACTCAGTATTGAACCACTGGAGCGGACATCCGCCAACACGACCACGCGAAACCCTGCACCCCGTCGTCCGCACTCACCCGGTCACAGGCTACAAGTCGTTGAACCTGAACTCGGGGTTTGTGGACCGGATCGATGGGCTCAACAGATACGAGTCGGACAAGATCCTCGAGCTGCTGTTCACGCACATCCACACGGCCATCGATCATTCTGTCCGCTGGCGCTGGGAAAAGAATTCGGTTGCGTTGTGGGATAATCGGGCGACTACGCACCGTGCAACGCATGACTATGCGCCCATTCATCGGCATGGAGTCCGAGTGACAATTATCGGCGAGATACCTGTTTTGAAGAAGGATAGTCGGGCGAGACGGGAGGTGGAAAAGGAGTTGAGGAATCAGCCCAATCTGCCTGCTGTGTACAATGAGAACTTGAGGAAGGGTAAATATCTGACAGAGACAAAACCTGTTTTCTGACGGAGTTATCTAGCGTTCTCTAGACGTCCTTCAAATTTTGAGGTCGACTGGAGAAATTTCATCACGAGATGTATGAGGAAGTCCGGATAGGCAGTATATAAAGGATGGATGTTTGAAACAGTTGATTATTCAAAGCTGCTATGTAAGGCTTGATATTAAGGTATTTAAGGTTAGGAAGATATAGGTATAAGTTCTTAAATCTATATTTAGAACATCCTGAATAGGCTGTAAACTTTTAATAGAATGAGGGTATTATGTATAGCCATAATATGTAACTGTACTGAATACAGATTATCATACATATGTATTTATGTATCAAAAATACATTTGGTAATTAATACATGAATGTCGTAACACGCTTGCGTGCTGCGGTTACAACTCCGCGTCTATGGAGCAGGAAGAGGGGAAGACTCCCGCGACAACTGCGCTTTCCGGATGTCAATGTGTCCTTTGGTCTCTACCGGTATGCAACCGTAGGTGACTTTTATCTACTTTACTGCAACACTATGGTTTCGATAGTTTCGTCGCTGGATGTGGGGTTTTTTCAGACTCTCGAATCAGTGTCTGAAAGTACCGTTCTCATTCGAGACGAGCTGTACGGCGACCATACAATTTCAGAGCCCGTATTGGTGGAGCTACTTCGTTCCCCTACGCTTCTCCGATTGACAGGTGTCTATCAATACGGTGTGACAGGTTTGTTAGGCTTGGCTCCCAAAGTGACCCGGTTCGAGCACTCCGTGGGCACATTCCTGCTGGTACGCAAAGTTCGTGCCAGCGTCGAGGAGCAGGTTGCTGCTCTTCTTCACGACGTCAGTCATACCGCACTCAGCCATGTAGCTGACTGGGCACTTTCGAAACCCGGTGAGGGAAGTTTTCACGAAGTTCACAAAGCACGATATATCAGGACGACTCCACTGCCACAAATTCTCACCAAGCATGGATTTGGAGATTTGAAAGCGCTCAACGAGGAACTTTATCCCCTAGTGGAGATGCCCTCGCCTCACCTCTGTGCTGATCGGCTTGACTACTCGCTGCGAGACGCAGTAGGTTTTGAAAAACTTGCGCTAAAAGATGCCCAACGGGTTTTTGCCTCTTTGAAAGCATTTCCAGATGCATCATCTCCACGTAGACTGCTCGTGCTGGAGGAGGAACAGCTAGCTTTGACGCTAGCACGGGCATACTTGGCAACCGACAGGGATGTTTGGTCAAACAAAGCTCACATCGATTTGTACCGGAGGACTGGCCAGTTGATTGGAGAGATAATTAGACGCGGAGGTGTGAAGGAGGACGCTCTATGGAGTTTGTCCGACCAGGATTTTTGGGAGTTGTTGCGTAGTGCGGCTGATCCTAACGGCTTGGAGACAATGAAGCGTTTGGAGTCCGAAGGTCTTCCCAAGGAAGATGGCCTGCGTCTTCCACAGGGCGCAAAAGTTCGCACACTGGACCCGGATGTCTGGCTTCGAACTACGGAAGAGCCATTGCCTTTGTCCACCGTGCGCCCTGAGTGGGGTCTTGAGCGGCAAGACTACATTTTGAGTCGTGAAGCCACGCGGGTTTGAATGCTCAAAATTGTAGTTCTCTGATACTGATCTTCAACTGACAAAATACATATCCCATATTAGAAAAAGTCTATGTTCACCTTAACCTAATATCTGGGTTTTTCACAATAATGTATTATTCAATAATAAACGAGTATTAATACAATAAAGTCATAATTTTTGCGGGGCTCTCTGAGGTTGTATAGGATGGTTCTCTTATATGTAGTTATGTTGCGAGCCAAGTCACAGTTTCGCAGAAAATGCAGAAGGAGAATAAGAATTTAGCAGAGTTATTAACCGGAATCCTTTGCGTCGATTGAATATTGTAACCCCAGAAGACTTCAAAACAAGAACCAATCGGAATCGCACGACGACTATTGGTTTTATAGGCTTATGCAGCCTAATGTGTTCGGTGGAGAAACGTCAACTTTTCGCGAGGCTGCATATGTACATCACAATATTCTATGTACTTTTGTAATAATGAGCAAGCTTCTTGATTTGAAATCAAATCAAGTATTTGAGTAAAATAGAACTATGAGCATCTGTGGAGAATCAACTATAAATTCAGCCATCTCCTCCCTAGAAAACATTGAATATTAGATATCCTAACCTAGAGTTTTTCCGTCTTATTTCTCCAAGTCAATATTAAAATCGACACTCTAACCAGTCGCTCCTCAGTCAAAATGCCGTCGTACGTTATTACAGGAGCCTCAAGGGGGCTTGGGGTAAGTCAATTATTCAGCACACTTGCCAAAGCACCAAGACTGATTGCCTCTAATACCAGTGGGAATTCCTGCGTCAGCTATCCAGTGACTCCAACAACATTGTCATTGGAATGGTTCGAAACAAACATGCTACCGACACAAGGGTGTCAGAAGAATTGCAAGCACGGAGCAACATACACATATTGCAGGCAGATATCAGCGACTATGGCGCTATGCAGGTGAGTCTAGGACTTCTGAAATCGATATGAAATTTTTCGATTAAGTCTGTCATAGAATGCCGCCGAAGAGACTGCCCATATTACTGGCGGGGGACTCGACTACCTTATCGCGAATGCAGGCATGGTAGCAGGATTCGACGCCTTTGATCCTATTGGCATTCTGTATGTCTACTTACCGGAAAGAAGAGACGGACAATTGCTAACACAAAACCAGAGGCAAACAACCAGAAGCGCTTGAACACAACTTGATGCAAGCTTTCAAAATTAACGTGGTCTCCAACATCCACCTCTTCAATTTATTCACGCCTCTCATCCTCAAAGGAGAAGCCAAAAAAGTCATAGCTATCTCAAGTGGTCACGCAGATCTGAATATTACTGCAAAATTCAATATCGATGTGTCTGCCGTCTATGCCATTACAAAGGCCAGTCTAAATATCGCCGTGGCCAAGTTCAGCGCGCAGTATGCAAAAGATGGTGTTCTATTCATGAGCATTTGTCCTGGAGTGGTCGACACAGGCCGTTATGCTAGTGGTATGCGAACCCCATTTTATTCAAACTCAGTATTGGACAAAACTGATCGCTATTTTTGTGTAAAGCAACCGAGGAACAGCTAAAAGCAGTGTCGAGGATGACGAAATCGTTCAAAGAGTATGCACCTCATTTTAAGGGCCCAGCTTCCCCGGAATCTTCTGTTAGAGACGTGCTTTCCGTCATAAATAATTCAAGCGTTGAAAATGGAGACGGTGGCTCTTTTGTTTCACACAAGGGAAATCAACAGTGGCTTTAAGCATTAGCGTGGAATAACGTGTTAGGTTCTAAGATTTGAAGAGTTGAGAAGTACCTAGCTAAATCAATTGATGGCATGGATCTATATACCCTCTGATAAGTTGCCTCCCTGTAGTCTGACAAAAGTTGACTCCCTGGTTTTGATCCACTGATAGAAACAGAAACTTTACTCAAATCGGTTAGTCCCCGCAGAAAGTTGCCCATTGTCGGAGATTGTGGGTACCATGCTGATGCTGACATCCGTGCGATGCTATACATGACCTACTCTCGCATGGAATTTCCTGTTGAGCAGAATTGCAAGGGACTTGCAGCTATAAAATGCGTATATGAGCCCAAAGACACCATTATCAACACAATTTTAGCACAGAATTCCGGATACTCAATAGCATCGCCTCTGCAAGCTTGGAACCGAGCATTACTCCGTCTTTTAGAGAGATTACAACATGGCGAGTAAAAGCTGTGGAACGTGCAGAGGTAGTCAACAATATCAAAAATATCGCCTGTTCAAATATCATATGGGCTTGAGCTTGCTAACATTTTCCAACGATTTTTCAAGATCGTCGAATTCTCTGCGATCGGGCTCTCCCAACTTGCTCGCAGTGTTCTCGGTCAAACCGGCCCTGCAAAGGGTATGAACTCCGGCTATCCTGGCCAAATGCAAACGATAAGAGGCGCGCAGTGGTAAGAAAGTCGTCATTATTCAAGAGAACGAACACAACACGCCAATTCTCCGAAACCCTTCTGGTTAATGTCTCGCACTGGGATATCGATATGCATCATTATCTCTCTGGGTTAGATGTCGGTAAGGCCGAGCTGCTCTTTTCAGACAATGAAAAAAAAAAATTCAACATGCTAACGCGTCCAAGACTACAGAAAATTAGTTATACGTAGGCCTCCTAGGTCATTCAACCCAGTTCACCTCGGGATCGAGGAGCATTACTTGTTTCAATATTGTATGTCACGGATAACCCTAACCGTAAAAGAATTAACCCTACTATTACCAAGCTCAAGATCCTTACAATAACCACAGTTCAATATATCGGCTCCAGCTCTTTAACTACATTTGGAAATGATCCTATGGATATGGGTAAATTGCTCATTCGAATGGCCTTGGCGAATAATACGCCATCGGCCACGGCAATACGACAGTCTTTACTTGCCTTCTCATCACTGCATCGCAATAGATTACAGTCGCAGGCAGCAGAGTTCAAGGTTTCCGCCATCAGAGCCTTAGGCGACGCTACAAAGAGGGAGATCGGCACTATGGAAGCGTTCCAGCATGTTGCTGCTGGAATGCTCTTGTGTTCATTTGAGGTCGGTCCATATAATAAGATCCCCGCAAGGCCGATGCATGAAATTCTGACGATAGCTTAGATCCACCAAACTTCATGTACTTCTAACCAGTGGAAGCCGTTCTTGGACGGTGCCCAGGGCATCATTCAGGCATTCTCTCTTAGCGCAGTGGACCAGGATAGTGAATTAGGTATATTGTTGGACTGGGTATATTACCATGACGTCTTATCCACTTTCAGTGTCTTACACTGGCAACCCCGGCCAATGGGAATTAAATTATTTCCCGCAGATAATTTGACAATGAAGGTTCGTCTGTTCGTCTACGGGAGCTATTTTATACAAGGAGAGGGTTTACTGATTATAAAACACTGCTAGATGGGACAGTCAACTCCGTCCAGCTTTTCCGCAGCTCTAAAGCTATTTTCAGATGTTTGCAGCGCAGTAGCTTCAAAGCCGCCAGAAACCATGTCTGCACAGGAACTTAGTGATTACAAAAAATTCTTAAACGTTCTCGGGTGGAGGATTAGAACGCTTCCCACCGTGATCGAAGATAGCCACACCCATATTTCTACGACGACGACCATGGAATTATTCCAACTTGCCATGCTTGTCTATCTCAATCGAGCAACCAAAAACTTACTCGAGACGGGGGATAAAACTCAAGAACGGGTTGAAAGAGGGTTATCCATATTATTCAAACTCGGCTCTTGCAAACCGCAGTTCCCGCTGTTTATATTGGGGTGCGAAGCAAAAACAGATCTTGAAAGATGCACTGTTCTTGAGCTGATGGCTAAGACTGAAACTATGGCTTCGTCACGATCCCATTTTTATATAAAAAGATTGATCCAGGCTATTTGGGTGCAAGACGACCTTGCTAATGGGGGGCTGGATTATATGGTTAAGTTAAGTGCTATTATTAGCTCTTGTACTATTTTGCCATCTTTCGTGTAGGTTCAGTATCCAGACATAGAGATGCACAAGAAACATAAATTGGAAGGAATATATGTATCAAGGGTAAATACACTCTCAACAAGTGGTAATAAAAATAAATCTTCTAGTATAGATAAATTGGGTTAATTTGGTGTACTTAGGGTCGAAGTTTCCAAAGTCGTAATTACGAATTATACCTATGGGGGAAGGTACATTGCTTTTATGCGTCTTATTCATACAATCCTAACGCCATCGACCGCCGAGAAATTTAAATACTATATTCCCTCCCAACTACACGTACATTGAAATGTAGCAAGAAGTGTAGATAATGATAAATCCTAAGAAATGAATGGCTAAAGAACAAACGAACGAAATGGCCAGTAGCGTCCAATCCAACCCCAAACAATCCAATACACGAAAAAAAAAAAAAAATCCAATCAAAACATTGAACCGGTCGCTCGCGTTGAGCGAGAATAGGTAGGTGGTAGCCCGTTGGTTGTCTGAATGAATATGCAACGAAGAAGAGATAGACAGATAGATAGACAGGAATTGAGATATATCAATTCAAATACATGGATGCCCTGGCAAAGGCTAGCAATGATATATCATTTGTTGTTGAGTGCATCGTCAATTAATTTTTCAACAGACAAAAAACAAAGGGTTAAAAGGTAACGAAATTTCTAGTTTCGTCTCGTTTTCACATGCTCTTTCTCTCTCTCTCTCTTTTCTCTTTTCTTCGCAGACTCACGGTTCTTGCTATCTTTTATACTGCTCAACTCTACTCCTGGCCAAAACCTAATGTTTCTTCAACGGCTATGGACAGTTTCTGCTGCAAGGCTTCGTGGGACTTATAAGGTGGAAGATCGAGGCGATTGAAGCTAGTATAAACATTAGTAAGAAGAATATGATTGATGAGAAATTGACAGCTTACCAAGTATGAGACTTTGGAAGAGCTACAGGATCTCCGGACTTCTCAATGGTAAATCGCCTTGGGCCGTCGGAACCCTGCAAATCCTTGAAACCGTTGACCGGAATACGAGAGGTACCGGTAGCAAACTGAAGCAAGCGGGATTTTTGTTCTGCGTCCCAACTTCGAATAATCTTCCAAAAGTTTTGAATGACCTCGTCGGATTCTTGGTATCCGCGGTAATCTGTGTGTTTCTTCCAGTCGTCAACGTCAATATCGGCAATACCACCAATCAGCAACTCTAGTTCTCGCTCGTCAAACACATTCACCAGGTCCTGGGGAATGAGTTCGTTGAAACCGGAGATGAAGGCGTTGAATTGTTGCTCAACGCGTTTCTGGATCTTCCATTCCGTAACAAGCCTGTGATAATCAGTAAATGGTCTCTACACTTTCCGAATTTTGTACGTACTCGACGTATTTCCCTTTGTTCTCGTCGGTGACGGGAATGTTTCTTCCATTGGGTATCAAGTCAATGGTATCTCGTTCACCAAACTTCTCATCATCAATAGAAAACGTGAGTTCGACGATACCCTCAATGTCGTTTTCACTGAACAGGTCATTAATACACTTTCAACCCTTAAAAAAAAGGAGGGGGAACTTACAGCGTCCACGACAGATTGCGATGGAAATCCTCATCTACACCCTCCATATCCTGGAGTGTGACCTTCTTCCTAAGCATCATTTTATAGAATGCGCCAATGAAGAAAGAATCCAGAAAGCGTCGGTGGAAAATGGCGAGCCCAACAACGCGTCCGATGAATTTGAAGTAGTTCAAATGCTCGGGGTTGATGCCGGAATGGGGGTTTATTTGAAGAGTGTAATTGTCGTGTGCGGAGTATTCAAAAAGGCAATAAAAGGGGTTAAACATTTCGTGAGAAAGAAGGAAAAAGTACTCCCTGGACAAAAATTAGTAATAGATACTACCAGGTCAATTTTATGGATATCCTACCGTGAGAGGCCACCATAATCCAAGCCGTCCTCCCCATCGAATTTAATCATCAGACGCTTCTTGAGATCAGAAGCACTCTGGCGCATGATTTCTGCATACGAATCTTCGAAAATGTTACTACGACGAACTTTGATGTGGCACTGGCCAGACATGATTCGCAAGGCCGGTTGCGAGCGGAAGTAAATAAGCTTGCGACGGAAGTCACGCTTATACTGAGGCACACCCTGATCCAGGGACGAGGGTAGTCGGGGATCATCCCATGTAGTGGTCTTGGTGTTGTGGTCCACGAAATAAACGCGAGCAGTATTAGTTAGTCTCATTTCCCACCCACTAGGCAAAGGTCCCAATTGCGAAACAGTTTGTTGCTGGAAAGTGGTGTTCCCTCCACCGGCATTTTGCCCATATACACGAATGTAATGCTGTCGCCGGGGATCGACCCAGGTGGTAGTGCGGGTGTTATGATCCACGAAGTAGGGTCGGCCCTCCGGGGTTGTCCTCTGCTCCCAACCAGCTGGGAGTTCACCTGTGCCCGCAGTTGTCACTCCCGTAGCAGCCATCGAAACGGCGTTGGCAGCGCTTGCAGCATTCTGGGCACTGCTGCTTCCACCTGCAGGTGGAGTAGTTGCTTGCTGGCCTTCTTGCAAGTTAGGGGAGCTGGCACCAGTGCGGTCCTCTGGTAGCATTCGACTTTGATGGGCTCGACGTTCCATTTGCATATTCGCCTCTCTTTGTGACCGCTGGGCGCTTTCATTATAGTTAGCTGACGGCCGGTTCCAGGTCGTAGTCCTCGTGTTATGATCCACGTAGTATGTTCTTCCGAGATTATCTTCCCGTCGCTCCCATCCTGCAGGCAGTCGACCCAAGTTGTCTTCAAAGGAACTCAGATTTGTTCTGGAGCCCTGCGCGGTTTGTCCATTAGGCTGAGGCTGCGCAGCACCGTTGGCGGCTGATAATCCGCTTGTAGGGCGAGCCCCCGAAGAGGCTCGCGTAGGAGTAAACGATGACGTTGAATTCGCGGCGACTGGAGATGCACTTGGACCGTCTACAAGACTTGCACCTTGAGACGAAGACGAGGTTTGTATGTGCGGAACTGTCCCCGACGTACCCAAAGAATGCGGTTGAGGTCTGTGTACACCATTCTGACTGGGGGTTTGCGCAGTAAGATTAGTAGACAGGTTAATAATGAGTTTGCCGTGTACGACAAGATTGTCATTCGATTTCTTCAAATCACGGGTGAGCATTTCTAACAGTATCAGTGTTAGTGAAATCTATATTGTAAATGTCACAGCATAAATTACCATCACCTCCCATCTGGAGGTCAATCACATCGCCAATTCGCACATTGATCACGCCGAGGAACCCTTGATCCTTCTTCTTAAACTTCTTCTGGTCGAATATCTGGATGGCCAGAATACTGTCCTCGTTGACCTTTCTATAGGCAAAAAGAACCGCAGGTTAGAGTGTAATGCAAGCGTGAAAGGATACAACCTACAAATCGAAGGTCTCGTTCCAATACGGATTCAAAGTTTTCCTTATCACAGAGGTCGTGTGCGTCTGCTCACCGCCGATTGTGGCAACCGCAAAAGGGTCGGGAAATCCTAAACCATTATAATCAGACCTATTACAAAGCAGACTGGCCGGAAGCAGCATTTCGTACTGAAGACATCGCGTTTATATAACCCGTCAGCAGCGATAACTGTCGTGGGGGTTAGTCCTAGGAAGCATTCTTAAGAGGAGCGGGAGATGGGCGACGCACTTGTAAGCCTCAGGTTTGGCTGGCTGCAGACAGAGCGACTGGTTAGCACGGTGTATTCCATCGAGCAAGCTCCGGTCTCCTCATCGGCAGCACTCACGCAGGCAGATTGGAACCCATTCTTCGATGAATTCAAGGCTTATAGGCAGCGGGATGCGACCGAATAGCCGGGCGAGGTGACGACGCTTAGCACATCCACTGCAGGGAGTTGGCGACGACGGAAGAGAGGACCACCCGGGGGGATCAGGACAGGAGTCTCGGTCTTGGTGTCTTCTCGCCTCTTCTAGGGGGAGAGAATGCCGCCTTGATGGGGAGTTGCTGACGTTTAGGACCAGGCACTGTTAATAAGGGCTGTACACTGTATTTGATGGTCGAGGTTGGGGCTGAGCAGGCTTGACGTGAGCGGGCTGACCAATGACCGGCGGGGAGGGGCTGGCCCAGCGCTTACTGGGAGTCTCGGCCGGCGGTCAACCTCCAGTTACATGTGTATCATCTTAAGAGTCTATGTCATCTGGAATAGTACGCTGTTCTATGGCATGTCTATTAAATGCTGAGACGTTATCTACTGCGTCCAGTTCAGGCTACTGGCTGCCTATGACCCATGCTGGTTTTCGGACAACCCCGCTACTCTACTATGTTTTTACTACGTGCATGCTGCACATATGTACTGTTCTGACCATTGATGCATATAATGACATATTGGGATCAAAATGGAGCAGTACATGTTCTCTAAAGCGACATATTTGCAGCCATCGTGACTACATAGCAGGAATTCATGCCATTGTCGCAGTAGTGCTCTCCTTCAGCCCAGAACCAGATTGCCAGTACATGTATATCAATTGATGTATATAAAACAAATTACCTATTTTATTTCCCCCATCAACCTGGCCCACGGTAGGTAGATACTATCATACATCCTCAACTCCGAACCCTCGACCAAAACTCATAACAAGGATGACTTGGATTGTAAATATGATGAAAATAACTCCTTCTCCTTCGGCTCTGTGCCATACCAGGGGTATCTAGTAAGGAGAAAACCCACGGCCCCGACCACGATATCCGCCCCGATATCCACCTCGAGGGTTGAATCCTCCCCGGCCAAAGCCACGGCCGCGTCCTCGGCCGCGACCTCGGGCCATGCCTGGAAGGTTGGTGCGTTTCGGTGTTACCTATAGACGTGTTAGTATGGCTGTACGTGCGGTTTATATTGAGGAGGATATATGACGCACCTTCAAGTTGCGTCCACGAAAAACACTTTCATTCAAAACCAAGGCCTGTGCAACAAGACTCGGTTCCGCAAACTCAACATAAGCGTATCTATTCTCACCGATGAGCAAACTCCAAGCACGAGAAGACAAAACTGGTACGAACCCTTTAGGATGGCCAGAAAATTTATCTAACAGAATCGTAACGCGGTTGATCGAGCCGCAGCTCTGAAAGTGTGCCTGGATTTCTTCTGGAGAAGCGCCGTAGTCGACATTGCCCACGAATATACTACGAGCATCAATGTCCTCTTTATCCTCCTGCAGCCCTTCTGACTGCGCGTCCAGCGTTTCCTGCATTTCGCGCAACTTGGCCGCCTCGGATTCCATCTCGGCTACTCGTTTTTTCATCGCGGCGATTTCTTCCTATAGGCAAAAGTTAGCTGGTAGTAGGTGTAGAAACTAATCCAACTTCAATTGTATAAAGGAGCCGTGTATGCATAGTATACATGGCTTCGAAGCTTGACAGAACGAGATTGGCAGTCGGCATACTTCATCATCGGCGCCTTCTTCGTGAGCCGGTAAGTGCTCGTCAGGAATATTCGTTGCCTCGGTGGCCATATTGACAGTCGGAATGCACTTTTTGTGCTTGCAATCAAAAAAGAATAATGGCGATCAGAAGTTCTGTAGGCTCGGTAGGGTCTTCGGTGGCGTTTCCAGGCGAAAGAGGGGGTTTCAAATCGACAAAACAATGGAATGCGAAAGATAGGCGAGTCTTATTTTATGCGCTAGTGAGATTAGAAACCGGCGTGCCTTGTTGCAGGCTGTGAATGATTGATATTGTCTGCGAGGCGGAACAAACAATATTCTTCTGGCACCTCAAGCCGCTAATGTCCGCTGCTTTGGGTTAGTCGATTACGGCCCATCAATGATGTTGCTTTCAAATGTTATATATGCTAATAGAGTCAACGGATTTGTATTGACTGGCAGGCCGTTCGAGATATTTTAACGCTTCTTTTTATGTTTTGTCTGTTCGCCACAGCAGTTCTATAATGTGCTACAAGGAGTCGAGTTGAAACAAAGCGAACCGAGTTAAACATGGTCTATACTGATGTCATTCAAGCATCTCTCTGTACCCTGAAATAATAACAATGCTACAATCCACTAGGCTAGTGGCCAAAAATTTCGCGAAGTCATGATTCGAGATATCTCTAGTGCGTATCATTACAGAAATAATTATCATAAGCAGCGTGTCTCAAGACGCCGCAACGCCTTGCTTGCGGAATGACACCTTTTCAACGGCAACTGTTTCAGCCCCATTGGCATCGGTTTTCAGTTGGTATACGTAAAGAACAAGCACATCTCCTTGGACCTAAGAACACTTAGCGACGACGTGGAAGTCAAAGAGCGAGTCAACTCACATCCATCAAACAAAAGCTCGGTACCGGTTCCTGGCCATCCGGGAAGTAGCCCGCGGTGAAGGCGCCTGTGGCACTCCCAGGGTTAATAAAAAAGCGCCCTTCCATCTCAAACGCTTCAAAACGATGCGTGCCGCCCCATAACAAAACATCCACGTCCATCTGACGAGCTGCGATCAGCAGGGCATCGGCGTCGCCCGGTGGGATGATGGTGTGGCCATGCGTAAACCCGATACGGAGGCTCCCATGAGTCACTACTTTGGATAGAGGAAGGTTGGGTGAGTCGACATCATAGTCACCCTTGACAAGCTGTAAGTCGGGGGCGATCTGGCGGAAGAACTCAAAGGTTTCGCGGTCGGTCAGGTTGCCTAGGCAGAGTATCTGGCCGATCTTTCCAGGGGTGAGGAGTTTCTTGAACTATTGGATATTAGGATGGCGCAGGTTTTTGGTGCATTGTTTTCTTACTCGTGCAGGGAGATCCTATGATGGGTGGTGATGGTGGTTAGCAATCGGTGCCTGCAGTGACGACAGCGCGTGCGGGGATCATACTGGAGCTCTGTCGGGGATAAAGAGGTCGCCAATGACCAGCACCAGACGCGAGGTCATCTTGGTCTCGAGACTAATGCTCACTGACCCATCCCAAGCAAAGAGATGGCAGGGCTATGGTAGGGAGCTTGTTGTCTACATGCGAGTAGCTCCAGTAGTAGCCTTTAGCAGTAAGCCTCAGCAGCCGTACTATGGAGCCCGTGCAGGAAGCCCTGAGCCCTATAATTGCCCGTATCGGGTTAGCGCGGGAGATAAGATATGGCTCTCCACTGTCCAGTCTCGAGTCTACCGTACATACTATGCACAGGTCTCTTGAAGACGTGCTCCACAGTGAGTATCAATACCCGTACGTGTAATTACGAATGAGAATCCGTTATTATTCTATTCACTCCACGATAATGGCCGGCAAGACGCATTCGGAGCCGGCCGTGATGATGCCGGGAGTCGTATCACGTGACCGTATAATGCCGGCTTCTCGGAGAAGATGGCCATTGAAATGTACATATGGCAATTTCATAGTTACTTTCCAACTATGTAAATTATATACATAATGTAGTTCCTGAAGATTCAACATGTATACTATACAAGATTGCGTGAGGGCATATACGGATACGTACTCGGCACAGTAGCCGATGTCGCTCGGCCAGACCGAGAGAGAAAGCGGCAAGGCCAGGAATTGAATTCTCAGGAGTAAGGGATACATAATCGCATCAATTGCAGTGAACAATCGGACATAGCATCGAGTGTCCCCCGAATAGAGAGTCTCTGTCACGACCAAATATCTCAGTGACAGAATTGACGCTGATATACTCCTCCTCACCTGCTGGTGCGCGTACTAGTACCGTATAACTATCGGCTCTAATCGGATCACCACGTGAAAATCGTCTACTGACCCCGCGGCCAAAGACGGCCGCGAGAACTGGCAGCTCACTCTGGCGTCACGGACCGAGCGGGGCAATGCAAGTGCCCATGCCCGCCTCTCGCTCATCTCCAGGCATTTCGACCAGCGTCTGCCGCTGCCCGCGCTGAACACGCCCTTCTCGTCCGAGAGACAGTCCGTCGAGCCCGACGACCTGGAATATAAGCCCATCGAACGGCCCCTGCCCCCAATCGCCGAGCCTGCTCTCAGCATCCAACGCAAGATGTCTTCCCAAGCCGTCCATAACACCCTGCTCATCCCAGGGCCCATCGAATTCGACGATGCCGTCCTGAACTCCATGTCCCATTATGCGTGAGCACATCTTCCCAAATCACTCGAGGCATACATATCATGATAAGGATACTGACCATCTCAGCGAGAGTCATGTTGGCCCGGCCTTTGTCAAGACATTCGGCGAAACCCTGACCCTGCTGCGGAAGCTCTTCCAGACGACCGACCCAGCTTCACAGCCCTTTATCATCTCGGGAAGTGGAACGCTAGGGTGGGATCTTGTTGCTAGCAATCTGATCGAGAAAGGCGAAGACGCCTTGGTGCTTCACACGGGATACTTTGGCGATTCATTTGCCGCTGCACTAGAGACATATGGCGCGCGTGCAACCCAACTCAAAGCCCCCATTGGAGAACAGCCCTCGCTCGCCGACATCGAGGCAGCCCTCAAGCTCAAACCCTACAAACTAATCACCATCACCCACGTCGACACCTCGACTGGCGTGCTGAGCGACATCAAGGCTATTTCGGAGCTGGTCCACCGCGTCAGCCCGGGCACGCTGGTCGTCGTGGACGGCGTGTGCAGCGTGGGCTGTGAAGAGATCGACTTCGATGCCTGGGGTCTCGATGTAGTGTTGACCGCCAGCCAAAAGGCCATTGGCTGTCCGCCGGGGCTCAGCATCCTGATGCTGTCTAGCCGCGCCATCAACGTCTTTAAGACCCGTAAAACCCCGCCGGGTTCATATTACGCCTCGATCGCCAATTGGCAGCCGATCATGCAGAACTACGAGGCCGGGAAGCCCTCGTACTTTGCCACGCCGCCCACACAGCTGATCCACGCCCTGCACACGTCTCTCAGCAAGATCACCGAACGGCCCGTCTCCGAGCGGTTTGCCATCCACACCAAAACGTCGGATAAAGTGAAGGCTGCTGTTGCCGAGTTGGGCTTGACACAGCTCGCCACGAAGCCCGAGAACCAGGCCCATGCCATGACAGCTATTCGACTACCGGAGGGCCTGGTGGCGCCTGATATCCTGCCAGGGCTATTGAAGCGCGGCGTTGTCTTTGCAGGCGGTCTGCATAAAGAGATTGCACCATTGTACATTCGTTTCGGACATATGGGTGTTAGCGTCACAGACCCTAACCGTAAGGATATCGATAATGCGATTGTTGCATTGAAGGAAGCCTATGCTGAGGCTAAGAAAGCCAAGGGCATCTAACTTAAGCTTGAAGCTTTCGGACTAGAAAATTCACTTGTATATAGACGTAAGGTTCGCACTATGGGTGGGAAAAGTAGATGAAGAATTCTATCCTCTTTTCCATACAATGAATAGGTCTGAATACGTGTAATTACTACGATCGTAGAAAGGTCGACGAAAAGTTAAAGAAGAGAGATCAAACAATGCATATTTCTGGCTATAATATCATGCAAATAATGCAAACATTCAAAACACACAAAAGTACATCAAAAAAGCACAAGAATGGGTATGATGATCGCTTGATAAAAGAAGTAGAAATGCGTCTACAACAAAACAATTGGAAGGCATGAATCGTCCTCCTCAGTGAGATTTATACTCCCTTCTACATGCCGAAGATTGGAAACTGTCAGAGACTTCTTTTTTGGCCAAATTCCTCTATTTTACTAGGTACACTGGATGTAGAATGTAGAGGGAGGCGGAGCGGGTTCCGGGCTTTATGATTCCGCTTCACCTCTTCGGAGCGCTAAGAATGCGCGTACATCGGTGACATATTGAAGAGCTTCAAGTAAAGGAATTAGACTGAGCAGCCCGCTGTCGGTGGGGTCACTAATCCAGCCTTCGATAGGAATGGCATTATCTGTGGCAATGTCAGAAAAATAATCTTTGTGTGGCATTAGTAGTCTGTACTCACCCTCATGGAAGATGTAGCTCATTGGACTGTTGTCCAATATCATGACTTTGCTCAAATCAGGCTCTACCGAGCTCAAGTCCTTGATGAAAGCCCCATTACGGAACGTGCAGTGCTGTCGATAATACCGGGCTTGAAAAAACTTGCGCTCTTGCTCGAGCCAGTCAATGACTGGATCGGCGTATTCTTGCACGCTGGCTGTGAAAACAACTAGCTTATACCACTTGCAGACCTTCCTTAAGAATTCATCACAGTGCGGTCGTTTATGTACATAGTACAGAATAGGATGTTGAGGGCCAAGATTAGTGGGAGCTTCTCCTTGCGGAGAGGTTGCGGGAAAGGGAGCGGCCAGTTTGACTTCTACCATATGACCGCTGGACATTCGGCCGCCTTTCGCTAAAGAGTGGATAAGAGTCTCGTCTAGATCGAGGACAAGTGTCTTCTGAGGTGCTCTGCGGCCGCTGGCTCGCACTGAGTATGACGGCTGGCGAAGTGGAACTAGAGGGCGTGGAGGAGCGGGGGCATGAGGGTATTTCGTGAGTTTATGGTGAGAGGACGAGGAGATGGGTGACTTTAAACTTTCTGCTGCGAGAACTGTTGGTGTGGGAGGGCCATCGGTCTTCAAACTTTGACGAATATCTGTGCTATGAGATCGTTTTTTCTCTCGCTGTAAGGCGTCTTCATTGTGCAATTTGATTCGTATAGATCTTCTAGGCGTGTTATCATCAGTGTTGAAGTCACTATCATAGGATTTAGATCGTGTATGACGGGGTCCTGCGGTACTGGATGAGCTTGATGTTGGAGGTTCTCCGTCAGATTCGGACGTTGACATTGATGACCGTGATGGCGAGTGTCGAGGCTTCCTGGAAGAGCCGTTCCGTCTATTGCCAGATTCTCCCTTGCTGCCTGTAGACGATGACTTCCTCAAGTGTTTCTCGCCATCCGTATTGCGAACGCCCATCAATCGACGGACCTTGCGAAAGGGAACTATAGGCGAGTAGTATCCATCGTCATCCTGAAAACCACGGGCAATATAGATACCCGGGGCAGCTATCGTGGAAAGAATGACCTTGATAGCACCAGTGATAGCATCGAATATCCGCAGGGAAACCAGAAGAAGCCGGTTTGGTGTTTGCGATGCGCCGGCCTTTTGTAGCTCATATAGAAGCGGTGTCTTCTCGTTGAATTCTACCGTCCCATCAGTGGAGAAGTCTGATGTCAAGATCTCGTGGTCATCCTTTTCTCTCTCGCCTACCGGGAATCCGCGGTGTAATTGCTGTTCGCTATACGAGCGAGAATTCGCTAGGCTACTGCGCACAGCCGATTGAGACACATCGCTTTGCGAATGGGAGCGATTGCGAAGAGGAGAATTCGTCTGGCCTATCACTCGCGCGGATAGGAAATTTAGGGAGTTCATCTTCTAGCAACGGCCATGAGGACGACTGATATGTCGAGGTAGCTCTCTACCCAACGGCTACTGTTAGCATCATACAGCGCAAACATGCACGAAGAACCAACCTCAACGCGCCAGCTGACCACCCTGCATAAGTCGCCGACGATGCAGACAGGCCCGACGTTCCTTGTGGGATCACACCTGTAAGTATCGACAGTATCGGGAGGAGAGGGGGGGAAGGCGGGAGAGAACGAGAGGGGCTGCTGGTCAGTCTATCAAATGGAAAGAGGAGGTATTGTGCTGTTGGCCTGCTGGCTGGCTGGCTGGCTGGTCGACTGTCGTGCAGTGCTAGGCGCGAGGTCGGATGACGGCGATGTGGGGAGCCTTGGGGCCAAGGCATGTGTTTGTGTTGCGTTAGCCTGCAAGCTCGGACTTTCTACTCCCACAAGTCGTCCGGCGCCGCAGAACTTGCTGGGTTGAGGGGCACACCACCACGCCGAGGTATTGGCTCAGAACACTTGTCTGTATTCTAAAAGTCTTTGGCCAGCATTTTGCTGTAGAATTTGCAGGATCCTTACTCTCATCCTACCACGAAACTACACTATCAGAATAATCTGCGGGACACTTTTTTTACAGGACATGGTCTCGAATTCTGCGGCCCTGACCCCAGGGCTGTCATCATTCCTCAAGTCGCTGAAAACTACACCGATCGAGACATCTATCGATAATTTAGTCTCGTGAGAAACCTTTGACAAATATTTAAACCATCTCAGAACTGAAACTAACAAAAATAGTCTGTTAAAACGACGACAAATTCGTCTGTCACGGTCATGTGCCATAGCTACTGCCTATCTCCTTCTACGAGTCGTTTCTGCCTTTCGAACTACCGATGCCGCAAGATTAATAGAGCGAGTCCAGAGTGTAGGCAGGCGCTTGATGATCGCTCAGCCTAGGGAATTGGTTGTGGGGAATATCGTTAGGCGTGTGCTGGGACTGATTCGGGATGAGGCAGAGGATGAGAGGGATGCAGATTTCTTCATGGCCAGCGAAGCTGGCTCTGACAGTCGTCCACACACGCCCCATGGCGCCGAAAGCCATTCACCTCCCCGCTCCCACGCTGGTTTTGGTGACGATCATATAATTCCCGTACACGACAAGGATCTGTCGTACCTTCGTCAAGAAGGATCTGAACGCTCATCTTCCCGCCCTCCTCTATCTTCTTCCCCTTCAGTACAAGGACCACCTGTGATATCGATGTTCAGTCTTCTTCAGCATCCAGAAATAGGGTCACCGCAGCCGAGCTCACCAGGTACCGCCTCTCCATCAGGCAGATTTCAAGCACAAGGTCAACACAGAGACGTCCGGGCCGAAGTCCTGGACGGAATTGGCGAAATCATCGACGAACTAGGTCAAGTCGATGACCAGATTGCGGGATACGCTTTGGAGCATATTCACTCGAACGAAGTCATCTTGACCTACACATCCTCGGCCACGGTTCAAAAATTCCTACTTAAAGCTGCGTCAAAACGCAAGTTTACAGTCATTCATGCAGAGTCCTACCCAAACGACCATGATGCGACCCACTCACGGGTTAGTGGAAATGCCGAAAACGACGAAGAACACCTAAACGTGGAATCGTTTCAGAAGCCATTGACGGCGTTGGGAATCACAGTCATACTTATTCCCGACTCAGCTGTATTCGCTATTATGTCTCGAGTTAACAAAGTAATCCTTGGAACCCACTCAGTCCTGGCTAACGGTGGTTTGGTCGCTGCCGCTGGCACGAGAGTGATTGCTAGAGCAGCCAAGGTTCATCAAACCCCTGTTGTGGTTGTCAGCGGTGTTTACAAATTGAGCCCCGTTTATCCATTTGATACGGAGTCTCTCATTGAGTACGGGGACCCGAGCAATGTGATTCCTTATGAAGATGGTGACTTGGTCGACAAAGTTGATGTTGACAACCCGCTATACGACTACGTACCAGCCGAGCTGGTAGATCTTTACATCACCAACTTGTGAGTCATTCCCATCCTTTACAACTCTAATTTGTGAGTGTAAGAGCTAGATCTAACCTATTCAACTTTACAGGGGAGGTCATGCACCATCGTATCTTTACCGTATTGTTTCAGATCATTATCGGAAAGAGGATATTACTTTTTAAAATATGAATGGCATGTTAGTTGAATCATATCGCATGGAGTACAAGTGGAATGCATCTACGATAGAATCATGAGAATTGAAATGAAAATTCATATATTTTTGTGCAGGATAAACAGCAGTAGCCGTTTCAGGAATGAAATAGCGGTTTCGTCTAAGAAATAAAGAATATTTCAAACCTCCTTTAAAAAAAGTTATGACGCCGTATTTTATCACTTTGTCCATAATAATGACCCCGCACACTCAAAGTTTGAATTCCTGGCACATCATGGTATTTTCGAGAACAGGTATAGATCGTGAAAAACCCATCCACATTAAAATCGTCGAGGCCGTTCTACCACTTCCCACACCGGCCCATAGCACCGTCACCCGCACATTCGTTATTTATGAACGGGGTTTCTCCTTCTTCTCCTTCCACAGAGCAGACAGACCGACACCGGAAACCTTGACGACCTTGAAACGAACACCAGGAATATCACCCTTAGCCTTGCCCTTACGACCGAAACCAGCGAGAAGAACCTCGTCGTTCTCGTCGACAAAGTTGAGACAACCGTCGTTAGGAACTATACAACCACATTAGCTTTGCTCTCGACAAGCTCTTGGAATATCCATTTTCGACGTCTGGTAAGGAAAACGTACCGAAAGCAGTAACCTTCTTGCCGTTCTTGATCAACTGCACCTTGACGCACTTCCGGATGGCAGAGTTGGGCTGCTTGGCCTCAACACCGACCTTCTCAAGGACGATTCCCTTGGCGTGAGAAGAGCCACCGAACGGAGAGGACTTGTAGGCAGTGCCGAGCAGGCGCTTCTTGAAGGACAAATCGGCCCATCGCTGGTCACGACGGTGGTCCTTCAACTTGCGGGCGGCGTTCAAACCACGAGGCTTTCCCTTACCCATCTTGGCGGTATTTCCGTGATAATTCTGCAAGAGAGAGAGAGAAAGTTAGAGGAACAAATCCACACATTGAAGCAAGCTCGAGACTGTTCAAGTGGACGGCCAAATGTGAAGGTTATCTGGATGAAAGTGCGAGATGAAGCAGATCAGTTTGCGGGAGTGGACGTACCGACTAGATGGATATTGCCTGATGGCTGGTGGTTGATTGTCGAAAGTCGAAGTCGAATCCAGCTTTGTCGGCGATAGCCCTGGCCTTAGGCGGGAGGTGAAAATGTGGATTTGTGCTCTAAGCGAAGTGCGGGCCGCCAACGCCCGAACAGGTTAGCGTCGGGACAACCTCAGTGGCGGCCCTTACCTTGTATATCCCAACATCTGTCATATGCGATATTGTATATATCAAGAAATTTCTTGTTTTAAGAAAGTCATTCCAGATCAAATCACCTTCCTTGACAAATCTCCTATTACTTGTTATGATGATGAAGATGGCGGGTCTCCCAATATGAAGTTCTTTGCGCAAATTCGCGGCTGACAACGTGCAGATGAGTCATACTTCTTAAGACTGCTTGATTTTTTGTGTAGACATGTCTTTCTGCCTGCATGGATGAATGAATGGACGGGGATCTGAGTGAAGAAGTTAATATCAATTTTGATGTTAGAATTAAAGTCGATACTCGAATTGACGTCGGATACCCTCTCGACATGTACATAATATTGAAAGTTATACCACATCGAATCATTAAAAAATGCGTTAACTATTATATCGGGCATATAAGCTGTTAGGACCAAAATGAACATTGATACATCGGCGAGATTGACGAGGTAAAGTCACATATGCTTATTATGTGACACGTATTACTTTTACCCTGCTTTGCAAGAATAATGTACCTTGTAGAGTGTAAAGACAAATTCGCATTGAAGAGCTAGCCAGCGCCGTAGAAAACACCTTATGTTTGCTCAACGCCAATTTCTGCCAAACGCCAGCCACATGATGCTATCGTAAACTATGTAACAAATCCCTCCATCATATGCAGTCGAGATAAAACACCTGGTTTTGCAAGACTTACGAAATTAAGGGGGTTTCAACTAAGACAGGAAAACGACACCTTATCCCAGAGTTTAGAAACAACTCTAAGCGTTGACCCTGCGCTTCTTGGAAACAGTGTCCTCGGTAGCATCAGAGCCACGACGAGCAACCCGCTTGCCTTTCCCCTTAGACTTTTTGCCAGCAGCAGTAGTTCCCTCGGTTTCATCAACACTGACGTCCAAGTCCTCGACCGCCTTTTTGCCAGTGGTCACCTGGTCATCATCCTGGTCGAAGATCTTGCGGGCGTCTTTCAGCTCACGATCCATCCGCAACAGTTCCTGCACACGGCCAAGTTTGATGGGGTCGCGACGCAGAGCGAAGCGAAAGTCGTCGACTTTGATTTTCTGGCGCCGAGCGTAGTGTGCACAGGAAGCTGCTTGGTGGCACATTTCCAAGATGAAGTCGGTGACCATTTCGTCAAGGACACGCACAGTTTCGGGTAATGGTCCCTGAGGACAGTAAGGGTGAGCATCGCGATCACCGTAGCCAGAAAGTAGAGCTCGTACTATCGTGGTCAGCGTTAGTATAGGAAATTCAAACTTATCCAGTTCGATGACCTAGCTTGAGAAGGGCAGGAGACCTACAGTCGCTAGCAAAGTTCATTTGTCCCTTGTGACGGGCAACACGAGCACGTGGTTCAGCCATGGTTGCTTTCTTGTTACGAGGTGTTTTGGAAGAAGTAGGAATCGCAGCAACTTCCTCGGGTGTTGGTGGCCCTCCAGTTTCGGGATCTGGGGTGTAATATCCTGGAAGTACTGCCTGACCGACGTTTGCAGCACTATGAGCGGTGTCAGGAAGAAAAGTGTTCGATGGCGCGCCTCGGATTGGGAGGTGCAACGGGTTTAAGGCAGAGCGGTCGATGTCAACGGCGTTGGGATTGAGGTTCCGAATGGGGAGATTAAACGCAGTCGATGGCGAATACTGCTGTTCTATGGATAGTCCATGGATCACACTGCCAGACGCTGGATGCTTTGCAGTGAATTCTGGATGATGGACGGCAGGGAATTGCTGAAAATCATCATCATTCGAAAGCTCATTCAAAAGAAATGCGAAGAGCTCAATCTCACTGCCTGAGGCAGGAGGGCGGCTAGGTCCAGCATTGTGGGTAGGCTGCTGATAAGGCATCTGCTTATTTGTTAGCCTAGCCGCGCTGTTAACCATTTACTGGTTAGTGCCGTCTAGCCTTAAAAGCAACAACTTCAACATTGCAAAAAGAGGACACTCACCTTCAAAACCTCTTGTGTTGGCCTCAAAGACCTTTGTCAGGAAGAAAAAGACATCAACTGTGACACAAAAGGAAGATAACAGAGAGGAGACGCCAGGATGGTAAGTGGCATTGTGTGTGTTCATATAGGCACCAGACTCTCGGCACTGTCATCTGCGCTGCGCTGCGCCAGACTAGTCAGCTTGCTTTCACTGGCTAATATCATTTGTACAGTCTGCTCTATTTAATTTCCAGTCACTGCTTCTGGTTTTCCTCCTTATAATCTGCACAAGCGCCTATGCCCATTCAATCATGCCCGGTATCATGGATCGCAATCAACATGGGTATGTGGCGTGAATGACACAAATGGCACAAGGAAAATGCTGATTTTTATGACTGCCAAAAGGTTTTTTGGCATATTCTGGAAATGTGCTAGAATAGGAGAAAGGCTCAGCCCATATATAAGTATATGCTGTGTGGTTATGGCGGTAAGCTTTCAAGTCGCCTTGTACCGTTGCAGCTCGCTAATTCCTTTCGCGATTAGATTTCGGTATTCATCGATGACTGAGTTTACGAATTGTGCAAAATAAAGCGTTTAGTTTGGGAATGTCAACTATATCATGACTAGCTACGAAGACAAGTATATCCCGAAATTTTTCTCGGAACTCTTGCCCAACGACGAATGGATATGAAAGGGTATTAATATTACCCATAAATTGATCAAGTGGCGAGGTTAATAAAAATATTGAGACAAATAAAATAAGAAAGAGACCGGGCCTCTGTAATTATATACTAGAACTCTTACACAAATGTCAAAAGGGTATCTCATGTGTTCGCCGTTTTACCAGCAATCGCCAGACGTTGGAGACCTTTGTCTAGAAGCTCCTCGTTTTCTTGTTCAAGAACCTCGTTCTCTCGTCTCGAAAGTTCTCGGTCTTCGTCATTGAGTTTGTCAAAAGCAGCGTGAAGCTTTTCTGGGTCCCTTGCATATCGTAACGCCCTGAGCGTATCCGAGTCGGGGGTGAAGCCTTCGGATTCCATTTTCCTAATAGCAAAAGCCGTGGATATCATGTCTTGCCTTGTCGCAGTGCCATATATAATTGTGTTCCATGTCACCATGTCAGGTTTCACCCCGTGTCGTTCCATCATGCCTTGGATCACTTTTATTCCATTGGGCTGCTTCTTGATGTTGAGCACGCTCAAAAGTGTATTCCATGTCCAAACGTTTGGCTTTGCGGGAGTTATTCGAGGGCCTGCAACGGTGATTGACTCGGGAACTGGCCGGAGCATGTCCTCCACAATGGAAACACAGTGTCGCAAATCTGAGCTGTGGTGACGAAACGATAAGATAAACTCGTTAAAAAGATGAGGGTACTGAACCAACGGAGAAATCACAGGATGTTGCTGGGAGGCAAGTTCGCGAAATTTTCGATAAAGGCGCATTACGCGGATTGGATCGGTGTTGCACCTGAGATATGTCGCAAGTATTAAGAATAAGGCATGTGACGACGGCTGGGTGTCGCATTCAATGTCGACATTGTTAAAGTGCGGCGGAATTATTTGTAAATCTTTCAGAGGGGTAGGATCATAGCAGCGGCAGTAAAGTTCGAGCATGTCCATGAATACTCTAGATGAATCGCTTTTCATGTCAATATTCTCAGCCCCGAAAATGAAGTGGGCATGGAGAATCTTGCTTGCAACATGTGGTTCATTCCTTAACTCTTCCCGGGGGTAGATTTCTTGCATGAGACTTTCGATTCGACTTCGATCGGATCGAGCAACAGCATCACTGAGTAGTGTGCAGTAAGTATAGGAATCCAGCTCCATGCCTCGATCTTTCATATAGTTCAACATATCAAGGCCTAAATATGGATCCCCAGTCGCGAAAGCGTTGGCTAACACCACGTTCATCATCTCAAGGGTTGGATTGACACCTAGCTCCAGTAACTGAGGTAAAATCTTGAAATTTCGCACACCATCCTCCTCAACGACGCTGTCAAGCTGAAGGAGTTTGCAACAATGGCGTATTACGTCTTCCGTGCCAAGTATTTTCGACTGAGAATCCATTGCGTGAACCATGCGAAGACATTCTAGCGCTTTGTCGACATTCTCGGCTTGGGTGAATATATTCATAAAGCAAAGTAGTGTGGCAGCAGACAACTGGTATTCTCGTGAGCGTAGTATTTCGAAGGCTTCCTGTGCTTTTTCCACCCCTGCTGCCCTAGCATACCTTCTCACTCCACGTTGAGGCAGAACGGCAACTGGCCATCTGTCCGGGCCCATACACGTTAAAATGGCAGCGCGAAATGAATCTGGATCAACATCTTTGCTATGAAAGGTGCGAATATACGACATACAATCGCTAACCATCGAAAATAGAGGATAGGGTTTAGAGTTGGTAGCCATCAGAAAGTCTGGGAGTTTGCAGGGCATCTCTCGAAGCAACCAAAGGGCTATCAAGGGCCACTGAGCTTGTTTAGTAGTATTGTTCAGGCTTTCCCAAGCGGTTTTAAAGCTCTGGATATTCTCCCCCTTGATCGTATCTATCAATCCAAATGTGAATCTTTCGGTTTTTTCAGGCATCTTCCACGTATGCTCGTGTTTATCCGTTTTCGCCATAAAGAGTTCTCGGCATGAAGTTGTCCACCATTCTGGGGTTCCTGTGTATGGGAACATGGAGGAGACTCGAATATTGATATCGAAGTCGAATGCTTCACGACTGAGAACCCGGCCTTGAGCCTTCAAAGATGATTGAGCGCGTTTAATCGCTGCCTTGACACGTTTGGGTACACTGGTTGATGACACATATTCCTTCTCACTGGAAGACTGAATTGGTTTGAAATTTGACAGTACGTACTGTCTACTTTTCTCGAGTTTTGATTTTTGTGCTTTTGGACGGCGCCCAAGATGCTTTTTACCCCTCTGCCCCCATTCTTTCTCCTCGTATATAGGTGTAAAATGAGTCAACACCACGCGCCGTTTTCCGGGAGCCTTTGTAGAGTCTTGGTGAAAGAAACCCGGATCAGGATCTGACTCCGGGAGAGAGCCACTATGGATTAATCGTCTTCCAACATCGTGCAGGCAACGGGATTGCGGTCCAAAGTTGTCTCTAACATTGGCGCCTCTAGAAAATCGGGAGGTTACTCGAGTGGCATGTAGTGTGTTTGCGGCATTTTCTCCTGCTCGTTTTTTCAGATTCCATCCTTGCGCCGATGCTCTCGAGCGAATGCCGGAGAGTGAAAGCTGAGCTGTCAATTTACAGCATGCCACGGGATTAGTATATTTCGGCATCCAGAGATTTGGGAGGGGGAATGCCGCTAGAAGACTTCCGCCGTCAATATAGACGTAGATCAACCGTTGAGATTGGGAAACGTTAAGAAGTTGAGCAGAGAAATAAATGTCGGGATGTGGCTAGTGCTTCCGGCGCTGTGGCTGAACCGCGTCGGCGAAGAAATATCTTGGTCTCCACTACTTTGTTCCGACAAGAATTCCGGTTGATATACTTTGCGGCGTTTAATTCTAGTTATATCCTGGCGGTGAACGGTTTAATATATCGACATCAACCGCACAGGTAAAGCTGTTATTCCGCAATTTTCTATCCGAACGGGCGATGTCGTCAACAAACGCTACCCTCGAAGCCGCATCTACTGAGCGCAAGGCGAGGCTCGCTAAGCTCGCTGCTCTGAAGAGAAAGCAACCCGAACCCGAGCCACTGGCCGAAGCCACAGCAAGCGATAAAGAAATAGCAAAGGAAGCAGACGATACTACAAGAACCTATTTGTCCGGCAGAAACTATGATTCAGAGACACGCGGCCCAAAGCTGGGGTTTGAACAAGCTCCTACAGACGGCCAAATTACCTTGGAACAACAGGCTTCGGAAATAGCCAAGACAGCTACTGAGCAAGCCAAATTAGACGAAGAGGTTGACCAACCTATTGATTTATTCAAACTCCAGCCGAAAAAACCGAATTGGGACTTGAGACGTTATCTGGATGAAAAGACTAGGGTGTTGAATGTCAGAACGGAAAATGCAATTGCCAGGCTAGTACGACAACGAATTGAAAATGCTCAGCGTGCAGGGCGAGAGAATCCGCGACCCAAGGGTACTGGGGAAGAGGGTGAAGAAGTTGGCATTGAAGGAGAGGCGCTGGTGGAGAGTATTCATGTTCGCGAACAGGAAGCTGATAATGAGGATGACGAAACAATATAACTCTGATACCCTGCGAAGAAGGTTATATGACGGTTTGCATGTATTAAAATTCGGCGTTAGGGAGAGTTTGATTAAGCTGGGTGATTAGGAAAGGCGTTTTGAACACCATGTACTTGTCAGAAATAGGACAGTGGTCACGTTTCCGCACACAATTTCATAGAACCAAAATTTCTAAAAGCCAGTAAAGCCATAATTGCACTGAATTGGATCACCAAGGAAGCTTGCAATAAAAGCTATATAATATAATAATTACACATGTATATACATTATCTCCCCATATTCATGGCTTGAGTGAGGGCCAATCGTTTGCTGAATGGACTCAAGCTACGTGCTCGCCGTCTTGAAAAGTCTGCTTGTGACTCTGCCTTCTTGCCACCAAAATTGGCCCTTGTCTGAGATGGTTCGCCTGGTGTCATTGACCGTCGCTCCCTTGCGATGCGGCTTCTTTCCTGACTCTGACTTTGCGATTTACCTCTCCAGCTTCCACGCATAGATGACTCTCTTTGCCTGCCCCTTTCGTGTGGGCTAGACTCACGTCGCTTTCTTCGAATATTTCGCTCAACCCCGCGATCTAAATTTCGCGATTGATTTCTCTCAGGCGAAATAGACAAATTGGAATCATGTGAAGAGCTAAAGCTATGTTCTCTTTTCCGCCGACGTGATTTCTTAGATGACAACGGCGATCGTTCTCGGGCTTTATAACTCGGTGAGTCGTCTCGACGCCGATATTTTGGTGACCGGGAACGAGAACGCCCGGTAGATATTGTAGACACAGAAATCGACGAAATTGATGCGGATCGCGCTCTCTTTGGCGACTGGTCTTTGCTTCCTAGAACAAGATCATTGTCTTGGTCAAAATCTCTCTTTCTACCACGTTCTTGATCGCGCTTTGCTAAAATCTCATCTGCAAGACCATTTCTGTGCAATATATTGCGATTAGCTTGCTGTACACACAGAAGGGCAGTGAAATCCATACGTTTGGTCTGGGAATTTTGGAGCGTCGTTGGTCAACTTCGGAACCAGATCTGGATTTTGTAGTTGCTGTGTACGTGAGGGTCTTGATATATAGGGTCGCTCTTGCGTTGTTGCCTTGCATTCATAGCTGTAGTGCCGTGCTTGGAGTCAGCTGAAGTCACCACATATGCGAATGAAAGTACATATCTCGTTTTAGACACTTCTGGCATAGAGTCGAGGCAGTCGCCTTGGACGGGCCGCGCTGCCCAGCCACGTTTCTATATCTATTCATAGGATCGAAGAAGGATTGACGGTAGGAAAAAGACCCTTCAGATTTTCTGAAATTTTGATTATAAAGTAGTCACGAGACGATAGACTATACACAGTAACTTCGTGACACCGGAAGTAGAACCATTAATTAATATTGCCAGGGATTAGCAATGCCGCAGAGTGAGAATGGAGAGAGAATGGAGATAAAGCGGCTGTCGGTCCCTCGGCCAATAAAGAGCGAGCGACCGGCCGTACCCGCGCGGCAAGCGCAGGGCGGCGTCGCAGCCTAAACCCCACACAGAACAAACCGCTGCTTTGAACTTCCTCACAAATTGTCAGAAAAAACATGTGACTATAATACAACTAACATCCTTACTAAGTAAGGGTTGCACCCTTTTTAGTATGGCGGTTAAAAGTTCGACATAAGCCAAGCCTCGCAATAGCTAAAGATTGATGCTAGAGGATGGTTAGAGACCCGGGGTTCAACTGATCAGACAGTCATTACTCTGGATATCAACCGAACCACCCCAAAGATCACCATTAAATGCTGGGAACTATGTCCTCGAACATACTCTGTTCGTACCCGAAATGCACTTGATTACGCAACTTGTATGGAGGATTTCAACATCTATTGTCAAAACAACGTGACTGTTGTTTCCCAAATTGATTATACCGTTCAGTAACATTATTGGTCATCAGGTCAATAATGGTATAGAAACAGACTTTCTATATTCCTGCAGGAGCTTCAGAAAGTTGTAGAGAGGGTCTGGAAGCGGCAAATTTTTATGCAATGAACATGATGTCAACACTCGAAATGCTCCCATACCGGCACATCACTACGCGAACAACACCCATCAGAGCCAAGCAACAGACCTTTGGTTGTATCCCGGGGGGGAGGGGAGGGGATTTTCCAAAGTTAAATTAAAGATTATTGCTTTACCTCGTCTCTAAATTGTTTCAGTACGGATTTGCGGTCTGGTATGGATATATCATGGCGTATTCTATGCCTGTTGCAGGTTTGGTGAGCCCGGTCAATAGCGTCTACTGGTGCATTCTGGTTATGTTGTAACACGTTAGGGAAGCCCTGCATACTGGCGTTAGTTTGGAAGCCAGCTACAACAGGTCAATGAGAATTACTACGACAAGTTAGGGTAACGCATAGTAAAAGCTTATAAACCATACCATTATGTGAATGGTATCCTTCTTGACAATTGATAACTTTTAAACTAGTAGATCATTTGGTTCCATAAAAGTTTTCCCGCGTGCATGTATCAATTCCATGGAACTTCAGTATCAAATATCATTTCAATAGCCGTCTGAGGGATTCTACTTTTCTACCTACTACATGCAAAATTGAACGTTTGCATGCGGTACACAGCTTCAGCGTTATAGATGAATATAGTCCCTTGATATAATACACTTGATACAATAGAAAGTCCAATGCTATTGCGCCTTAATTATACATGTACATTCACACCATCCATCGCAGTGAATTTATATTCATTTTCTGGGCCTCTTATCACTTGCCTCTTCCCCCCTTCTGCCTCCCCTTCTTCCTTCCTTTGCTTCTCCAAATTTAGTCTCTCGATTTCCCGCTCCAGAGCCTCGACGCCATCTTTCCGGAACTGGGTAACCTTTTTCACATTGAGTTGGGTGAATTCAGCCAGTGTTTGCAAGCCTTGTTCGCGCTCTCGGGCCACTGTCCTCGCTGCAAGGGCAAATCTCATGTCCTTTGGTCCATCAACTAGTTCTAAGATTGCGCTGGGGGCTTGGTCGTCCTTCTTGGGCTCGACACGTAGAACCCGTGTGTATCCACCTGGTCTGTCTGCATAACGTTCTCGAAGGGGTCCAAAGAGTTTGGGAATGATCTCATGGGGAGTCTAAAGGGTTGAGCCGTCAGTCAAACACAATCAGACTATTTTTTTTTGCACAGAAAACTGCACTTAATCAGGGAAGTTTAAGGAGCGTATAGTAAACAACATACGTAGAATATCTGGATTGCCCTCCTTCGACTCGCTTCGGTGTTTTTCTTGCCTAGCGTAATGAGCTTTTCGGCAAGGCGTTGGGCTTCTTTGGCCTTGGGCCATGTGGTGGTGATGGATTCATGCTTGAAAAGAGAAGTGACGAGATTCCGTAAAAGCGCTTGTCTGTGGGCAGAGTCGCGGCTGAGATGGCGGTATTTACCTGCACCACCAGCCATTGTGTTGCGGTTTATCGGGATGAATTGAGACAGAAAAAAAGGCCGTGGCCCAATTCTCTAATGACGATGGCTGAATCGAGCGCAAAATGACCGTCTAAAGGACAGCAGATATTGCCGCTGTATTTTCAGAGTGTTGAGTTGCTCTGTGTCACCGCGAAATTTTGATGAGTGTTTTGCAGAAAGTTGTTTCTTGAATTGTTCTCGTGATGTTCAACTTCTGGCGGTCTTGCTTGTTATTCCTAGCCAATCAGAAGCTGTCCTTGGTTTCCACATCTCAATCCGATTTACCGTGACACAGCTGGACAATTTCAAACCCTGCTCACCATACCGTCTTCATTACGCTTCCCATTCAGAAATCATTAATTTATCAAACTTAAAAGTATGCCGGAGTATCAATAGTAGTGGCTGTTGCCGCTCCACAGGCTGTCAGACAGAACCAGAAGAAGTCGCATGATCTACTCCAACTTCAGTGAACGATTCCAACAACATCTTATACATTTAACATCTGCCTCAAAATGGGATTCATGACAGGCCTTGTATGTATCAAATTTTCCATTGGCGAATTACGCCTCTAACACCCAGCAGTTCAGCGGTTTCACATTGACAGCTTCCGTTCTCTACATCAGCGTCCAAGTTCATCGCTCGACACGAATACAGCAACGAGACGCCATTCGCGAACAAGTTGAAATCTTGAATGAACTTGCTGCTCCACTCGGTGCTTACTATCGCAGCTTTGCGCCAGAAACTCCAAGTAAAGATTCAATTGCTCCAAAGCCGAAGAAACCCTCTGCAGAGGAATTGTTGAAGCATCAGTGGAATAAAGAAATGGAAACGTTGGCTACAAAAGCATTGAATCTCCGCTGGAATGACGTTAGTCACTCTGCAGCAGAAGGGTTCAAAACTATAACAAGATTGCTGAAACGAGAATAATTTATATCTGGGTTTCATTGATTTCGAAACTACCTCATTTCTACAGGGGATATATCGTTGAGATGAATTTGGGTTTCTTTATAGATATATGCCTCGCGATCATGAGCAATGGCGCCTGGCAGATGATACCTACTTTGTTTTCTTGACTGTTTCACTGTGATGCATTCGCCAAGCCGTTGATATCGCTGGATCCCGAAAATGGACCCTGCAGCAGCTTGCAGCTCATGTTGTATGCAATTCAGAATGACTAAATGGGCGAGTTGCTGCCGTCACATCGTTGTTGAAATCCCGGAAGTCAGCGAAAGGAAAACTTTCAAACTGTTGACTTCAGAGGGGCAATGGTTCGGATGGATTCTCCTCACAGCGAGGTCCCCGTTCGCGCATATTATGTATGGAGCCTGAGAATGATGTAGATGATATCTTCACCCATTCGTAGATGTTATCATTGTGTGGGCGCTCTCGCTTGCAGTGTCATTCCAAATATCTTTGCTTCTTTGCTCAACTTCGCGCATTGCCTCGGCAACTTCCTCTAAACTAGCAACAACATCCAATACACCATTGTTAACTCGGTCAAAATATAAATCATTCGCATCGCGTCTCCTCCGAGCTTGTTGTAGGTCCTTCTCAGTTTCTGCCTCGAGCGCCTGGTATGTAGCTGCGCTGTCTGTGGTTGTTGCGGCAGCTGCTTTGGCAGACGGAGTTCCTTGTTTTTGATCTGTGCTTTCTACCTGGGTGGATTCTTCTTGGCTTCCCTCAACATCATCTACCTCGCTTTTTGTCCAAGCCTGTGCTAGTTTGAGTTGCTTGAAGCGCAGTTCTTCAAGAGCTTTCGAATGCTCCTCCCCAAAGACATGCTCTCCTCTGAAAGCACTCAATTCTACTTCGGCCAAGGTATTTTGCATTTCCTGCCATAACACTTCGGCGCTATCTACCTCCCTCTGTGACCGTGTTCGCGTCAAAAAGGGTGATAGACTCCTATTGCCATCTGAGGATACGGCAGAATATCTGGATGAGGTTGATCTGTGAGCAGACGGGCGATGTAGGACACTTGTCGGGGCCATCGCCGAGCCCTGAGTGTTAGGCAGTAACCCAACCTGTAGTGAAATATTTGATGCATTGTGTGAAGGCGGTCCTTGGAATAACGATGGTGGTGGCTGGCGCTGAGTGCTTTGTGCCGACACAAGCTTGGGTCTCGAGGACAGAGACATTGTCCGTGAACTAGCTGCGCGACCGAAGCTAATCCAGCGACAGTCAAATGATTTCAACTTTTATAACTGCGGTATGTAGCGTATAATATCATTATCGGTGTGTTAGATTGTTGTTATCCCCTTCGATGTCGTCGCGTCTTATTATCTTAGCATTATAATCTTCTCTCATTGGATGTATTTTTAGGCTAATACTAATACGATAAACTCGCCCGAGGGCGGTGAGGGTCAGTCGGTCACTTATAACGATGGCAGTAAAAAGCGCGCTAAATATAACACTGATGGGGATAATCTAGGTTTAGCTTTAGGGCCTAAGCGCTCTATCGCTTAGGCTGGATTGCAGCCTTAGGGTGCAGGCATTCATTTTATTCACGTGCCCTGTGGCCGTAGCCATGCATAGCGGCGATAGTCCGGGAGCCAGCTACAACAGGTAAATGAGATCTAATACTACAACTACGACTACTACGATTACTACATCCCTCACGCCACAACCACATGAGTTCCGGTCCTAAAAAGGCAGGGGTCTACAATAATCCCGCGGTGGCTCTTCGGTCTATTCCATGAAATTGAAATTTTAGTCCTTATGGCGCACGTTAGATTTCAGAGAGATGCCTCCAATCTGCCTGGGCTCTGAAGTGCGAGATTTTTAGTGATTTAGTCTGCTCTTGACGTACGACGTCTTTCTTTCTTCCGTCGGGGTGCTTTAATTCTTGACGATCGCTTTGGGTTTCTTTTCGTGCTGCTCAAGTCTACGTATGTATGATGACTTCAAAAACTTCGGGGCTTGGTGCATCTCGACCCTCGTTTGCAAAAGTATGTCCCTAATTATGCTAGACCAAGGAATCAGAGCGAGCTAACAATGGTTCTCCAGATTGCCGCTATGGCCGTGCCTCCAAAGCCTCAGAATGACACATTTATTCGTGATGAAACAGAGATTCCTGCGGCTGGAGAATTGAAAAGCCCGCCCATATCGCACATGTCAAGTACCACATTGCCTAGTCAGTCAGGCCAGGATGGCCTGACGAATATCCCCTTGGATGGTGTCATACAGGGTCTTGAGAATGGTGTAGAGGGTCTGTCAATAAACCAGCATGGATCGGAAGGCTCTGAGTCTTCTGACGAAGGCCGTGCAACTAGGCTACTTCAAAGAGAAGCATCCTTTGACGACGACCAGACACATTTGTCAAACAGTTCTACAAAACCTACCAGCTTCGACTCAAAGAGCATGGTTTCCGTAACTACTTTTGCGATGGACGAAAAAGACTCTCTCCGCCCAGACGATAGTGCAAGTGTCCAGGCAGCAGACGAAGACGAATCTCTTCCCGGCGCAGCTTCTGGAGCCACCAATTCCCTTGCTGGCTCAGAGGCTGGGGCTCGAGGTTTTCGAGACCAATTCAGAGAGGGAAATCCTTATAAAATCCGGGGCCTCGTACCGACATCCATACAGCGCTTTCCTGACGGAGATATTCGTGTTGCAGGCACTATTCCTCCGGACTCAGTGTCCAACAATTTTGTAGTACCTACTCAAGCTGATTTTCAATCTGAACAAATTTTCAATGGCTATCCATTAGAGCCAGATGAAAAACTTCTGGAGGCTATGAGTTCGCCTAAAGATCGTCTTTTACTGCTGCAACTGGAGGAGAAGATCCGCAACTTCATTCAAGATTCGAAGTAAGTATCAACTTGATGGTTTTAAAAGCATAAATTTTTCTAACATCATCTCCACAGAGAACAATCGTTAGAATTACCGCCTTCAAATGCATTTGGCCGTCTCCTTGCCCACAAATTGGGTGATTATTATCACTTGACACATTTTGTGGATAACAATGCCACTTCCGTTCGGCTTCATCGTACGCCATTTTGTAGACTGTTTGTATTTCTTTTCAACGCTTGACTGTCCTATGTCTGCTAACGAAAGCTAGTCCAACCCCATTATCATTCCTACGGCCTGTCAACCCAATCCACACACCTTCACCGAACGCCCCCGCTATGAAAATCATGCGTCGTAATGATCAGGGCGCTGAACGGCCGTCAGCTGGTGGCAGCACTGCAGCTAGTTCTTCGGTTCCATCGAAAACCGCTTCTGAAAGTGGTGGAGATAGTTTTAATGATGATGATCATACTGGTTCATCTGTTGGAGCTACGCCAGTCAAAGATCGTTCAGCAATGACTCGAGAAGAAAGAGCGGCTAAATATCAAGAAGTTCGAGAGAGGATCTTTCGAGATTTCCCCGAGTCGCAGGCCGAAGAGTCTCCCGGGGGTGATATCGGCGCAAATATATCCAGGTCGAGTTCAAGCAGCGGACGCAAGAAAAATCTTAGACAAAAAACACCGCATGACGATAGTTTCCAAGCCAGATCTCAGTTCAATGCATATTATCCCGGGATGCCTTATACACCAGGCCCAATGCAAATGCCCAATGGATCAGGTTACAATCAATCTCCATATATGGTCGGCCCTGGTGCTTCGCCTCCTGCCATGAATTATCCTCAAAGCACACATAATCCAACTGCGTACCAAAATATGAACAATGTACCTCAATACCAAATGAACATGGCTCACATGGCGCAAGGCAACTCCTGGCAAGCTTCTACAGCGCCCCAGCAGTCACCTTACTCTGGATACGCTGTCCTCAATCAGCCTCCGCCCATGTTAGGTCACGCGCAAACACGGTCCCCTTCGACGATGAACAATTTTCCTCTTCCTAATTTTGCACAATCTACCCCTACTGCGTCGCCATCGTGGACTGGCCAGCCATATCAAGGCAATTACTCACAATCCCCTCAACGCAGTGCACCAATTCACTGGCAAAACTACTCCGCGCCCTCAATGGCTACTAACACGAACCCATACTCCTACGGCCAACCGCCAAATCAACATTATCCCTCTCCTACTCAAAATATGGTCAACCACCCGATACCAGGTAGCTACAATAGACCTACGTTTAACCCACAAACTCGATCTTTTGTGCCAGGAGGAAACACTGTGATGGGTCGATATCCTAACAAGGCCATGCCGCATACAGCCAACGTTGCATATGGCAATCCTCAACCGGCTAGCCAACATCAGTGGTCAGGGTATATGGAGAGCAATAGTCAATCTCTGGCTCATGTGTCCCCGTTGTTAAGCAACCGAAATAATAGCAATATCAGTGGCCCGAATTCTATGACACGAGTTGCACCAGCTGGAAGCAACGATTCAATTGCTAAATGGGGCACCCCTGCTCATCTTCCTCCAAAGCCACCACCATCGGAAGTTCTTTCTGAATTTGAGTCACCCAAATCGAGGTCTCTGGGCTAGGGTGTCCTATTAATGATTATCATGGCATTACTGTCTCGGGTGAAACATACTTGATTCTGTCTGGAGTCTTGCAAGATCGGGTGTTTCATTTCGACTGCATATGATGGAGGGATTAGTTACATAGTTTACGATAGCATGTCTGGCGTTTGGCAGAACTTGCTGTTGAGCAAACATAAGGTAGTTCTATGGCGCTAGCAAGCTCTTCAATGCGAAACTGTCTTTACAAGGTAAATCATTCTTGCAAAGCAGAGTAGAAGTAATACATTAAAAAGGAACAGCTATCGCTCTTAGAAAAAATGTAGTACAGCTGCACATATTGTATTCGATATGGAGTATATGTAGTACTCAACTGTACGGCCGTGCTATGTAAAAGTTTTTAATGTTATTAAATCAATATCGCCAATATGTCAATGTTCATTTTAGTCTGAAAAACGTATTTACACAATTTCAACGATTTATGTGGGATGACTTGGATATCGATTTTAACTCTTAACATGAACATTGAAATTAATGTCTTCCTTCGAATCCCCGTCCATTCATTCATCCATGCATGCAGAAAGACATATCTGCACCAAAAATCAAGTAACTACCTAAAGAAGTATGACTATGACTGTGACTTAATACTCCAATACGCCATACCCTTATCTTCTTTCCTTTTCTTTTTAGCCATCCCTTCAACAGGAGGCAATGAATGGTGTCCCCACGTAGCTCTCTAAAAGGTAGAGCAGAAATTAAAAAAGGAAGTGGTGGTAGAAGAAGTAGAAGGGTTACAAAACATTCCCCTCGTGGGATGTATAAAAAGACAAGACATATGATAGATCGTGGTATTTCATCTCACATGTATTTGTGTAAAATTTTTTATGCACGAGCTTCCTCAGCATTGCGTTCTTGGTTGCGCTGTTGCTGACCCTCACGGCCTCCTCGGCCACCTCTGCCGCCTCGCTGACCTCCTCGTTGGTTGCCTGACTCGCCGGCATTGTTCGAAGACTCTCCCCCGCCAAGTGTAAGTTGGGCAGTGGCTAGTCTGTTTGAGAGTTCCATTTGTGTGCGGATGGTGTTTGCGAGGTAGGAAACAACGAGAACGTCCTGGATGTGGTTGTTGCTGTGGAATTCAGTTAGTCTAAGAATGTAAGATATAATGAGATGGTACACGTACAAGTCGCGTTCAATATCAGCTGGTTCGACCTTGGGAGCCAGAGCAAGTGCGTTCAGAAGGAACTGGCCAAGTGCAGTTGATGCGGGGGCCTCCTCATCAATAACAGCCTCGACATACTTCGAGACTCGATCAATCATGCCAATCACCTCTTCAACAGCACGCTCCAAAGCCTCGACATCTGTGAAGATACTAGCGGTTCGGTCATCTGAGTCGCGAGCATTGGCGATAGCCTCCAAACCGTTTTTTTCAGCCTCGCTATACCGGATTTCATAAGGGACAGGAATGAAGGCGGCGCTGTCGGCAGCGCGCTCTGCGGTGACGCCGACAGGAGCGGAAATATAAGCGCGGGTTTCGATATCCTTGCCAGGCTCAGTTGAGACAGTAAGGTGAACAGCCGGGTGTGGCCATGTTCCATCACCTTGGCCGCCATAAAAGTTTTGAATCAAAGCCGAGAAGGTGTTGAGTTCAGACGAGGTGGCGTACCACCCGACAAGAACCTCCTTGGGGTTTGCTCTCAGGTGCAGGGCTAACATTTGCTTTTGATACTCCATATCAACCTCGACCTGGTCTGTTGTCTCGGTATGTCCGACAGCGAAACAACTTCGGATTTCGACTTCGGTTCCATCTTCACTTCTGGTACCCAACAGCGTTCCGATGACTCGATCTTGGTCAGCATTTCGGCGGAGAGAGTGGTCGAGGATAGAGAAAATAGCCTAATAGGATTCCGATTAGAACTGGTAACGACCTAGGTACCATATCTCCTGAGATCTCATACCTGAGGCTGGATAACCACATTCAGAGGGGCAGTGGTTGGTGCAGACCCCACCGTCACAGGGCCCAAGGGCCGCGCGAGGTGCAGAAAGGAGTCAGTCTCAGCCATGCTGGGCCTGAGGCGAGTGTGAAATGACAAGCCTGTTTCCCGGGGACAGAGAAACAGACGGAAGAGCCTCTCTGCTTTTTTTATTTGGGGTGGGATGTCGTGGAGAGGCGCTTTTGTTCCACCGGGCCAGAGATTGACTGGTCGCTGGCACTGTCCTTCCGAATTGTGTGTGCGTGCAGGAGGAAATTTCACGCTAAGATAAGATAAGCTCCGGCTGCCACCCCAACATCAGAAAAAGTCATTATTTTGTTATTTTATTCATAGGAGACACGCAACTACATATAGCTGTTCTATTTCAATGGCGCCACCACGCGGTCGTGGAAGGGGATTCGCAAGGGGAGGCCGCAACAGGCCAAACTCTACGCGAGGAAGGAGAGGTGGTTTCCAAACATCCCGTGTTGAAGATATAAAGTGAGCCGTGGCCGTTCTTGTTGCTATATGATAAATACTGATTGCTGTAACTCTATCAGAGATAGCGAGTCATCTGAGGATCAAGATGAATTTGAAGGCTTTGATGATGAGATAGAACCTGAAGACATCGCTAGCGAGCCATCTTCTGAAGATGAGGAGCAGCCTAAAGAACGTCCGTATAACGAGTTGTTACAATTGTTCAATGCGGATTCAGCCTCTGGTAATGCGCGAAAGAGGCGCAAGCTCAATAATAAAGAAGTAGAAAGGCAGGATGTGATAGAAAATGACACGGTGGTAGAGGAGAGCAAAGAGCCGGAGGAACAGAATGTTTTAGAATATCAGGAAGCCTCAGATGATGATGACGCTGGCGAAGACGGTGCTGCTAGTGACGTTGGCGATGATGACGAAGATAGTGAGTGTTCAAGCAGGAGAACATAACATTTATGCTTTTCTCATCATATCTAGGCACAGATCCGTTTGAGAGACAGTTTTCAAGCCCGGCTGAGGCTGGTCTGTCGAAGAAAGCCCAAGAAGCATCGGCTGGCAAATGGCGCTCGATCAGATCTTCTCTTCCAGACAACCTTAGGCTGGTATACAACATCACAGAAAGCGATGATACAGCATGGAGTGCACCTCCTGCAGTGCGAGATATTCGCAATTTGAAGGTTAGTGTCATCTCTATACCCGATTGTTCAGGTTTTGACTGCGACAAGCTCAAAAAGAAGCTGGTGTCGCCATCTGCAGAAATTATTCCAAACTTTGGCAATATTCATCAAAATATTGTTCCATTGATTTTCAATTATAACGACGTTCTTTTTGGTGCCAGGACACCATCAAATACAGTGCAGATGCGAGATATACTTAGCATCCATATCCTCAACCATGTGCTGAAGACACGAGACCGAGTTCTGAAAAACAACGCACGTCTATCGAAAGACCAAAGTGGAACCCTTGAATTGCGCGACCAAGGTTTCACCAGACCGAAGGTGCTTTTAATTCTACCAACTAGACAGGCTTGCGTTCGATTTGTTGAAAGTATCAGCAGGATCTATCAGCCTGAGCAGCAGGAAAACAAGAAACGATTTCTGGATGAATATAGTTCAAATGATGACCAGTCATGGGACAACAAGCCCGATGATTTCCGTGATCTCTTTGGTGGAAATGACGACGATATGTTCCGCCTTGGGCTGAAATTCACAAGGAAGACGATCAAATACTACTCGCAATTTTACAACTCCGACATTATCCTTGCCAGTCCTTTAGGACTACGCACGATCATGGACAAGGAAGAGTAAGTTCCGTCCTTCTACAAGAATACGTCCCTTTATGACTATCCCTGACAATTTTGTAGTGAGAAGAAGCGCGATCATGACTTTCTTTCATCGATCGAGATCGCCATCGTCGACCATGCAGATGGTCTGCTGATGCAAAATTGGGAACATGTCGAGTATATCTTCAGCCACATGAATCTACAGCCTAAGGAAGCCCACGGCTGTGACTTCAGTCGAGTTCGTACCTGGTACTTGGACGATCAGGCACGGTTTATTCGCCAGACTATTGTGCTGACGTCTTTCATCTCCCCCGAGGTGAATGCCCTATTCTCTCAACACATGCAAAACGTGGCTGGCAAGGCGAAGATAACCCCGATTTATAACGGGGCCATCACCGACATAGCACTGCCGACGACAGTAAAACAGAACTTTTCTAGATTTGAATCTATATCTCCGCTTCGGGATCCAGACCTGCGATTCAAGTACTTCACCACCGCCATTCTCCCAGCTCTTACACGCTCCGTGACCGGACGTGGGCAAGGGAATGGAGCCGGGGCATTGATCTTCATCCCATCCTACCTGGACTTTGTACGAGTGCGCAACTTCTTCGCATCCTCGTCACAAACCACCAATATCTCCTTCGGCGCCATCTCCGAGTATTCGTCGGCGAAAGAGGTGTCTCGAGCTCGCAGCCATTTCATGACGGGGCGTCACGCTGTTCTGCTGTACACGGAACGCGCGCATCACTTCCGACGGTACAAGATCCGTGGTGTCAAGCAGATTGTCATGTACGGTCTTCCTGAAAACCCGATCTTCTTTCAAGAAATCGTCGAGTTTCTGGGACTGGATCCGGGGGCGTTAGCAGATGCGGGGGATAAGGGGGTTCGCGCGGTCTTCTCCAAGTATGACGCTCTCAAGCTGGAGCGTGTTGTTGGGAGCCAGCGAACGGGAAATATGTTGAAGGATCGAGGGGGGATACATTTAGTTTTGTATAGCGACATATAGTACATCAATTGATATGTGTATGCCCATAGAAATCAATGTACCCCGCACATACATTGTAGTTACCAGTACTAGTATGCACTAGTGGCGCGCACTAAACAGCCGAAGTGTGCTGATTGGTCCTTCCAGACATATATAACCCTTTTTGGACTAGTGCTTTGTGAATGACTCGAGGGTCTCTCTGTCGCAAGACCAATTGCCTAACGCAGGCTACCTGACTGGCCAGCAAGTTCCGGCGCGCCCGCTGTTCGCCAGCAAAGATGCCTATATCTGTGCCTATTTTTGTTGAGAATTTTCTCGGCGCCTAGAAGCATGGCGTAAGTAGAAACCCCCCCGGCTTTTTATCCGCCTTGTCGACCGGTCTCGGACACTCGTGGAAAGTTTGTCATACATAACAAGGCGATATGCCTAACTTACAGAAGCAGCTTTTACTCTACTAATACGAATCGACTCCGTCTCCCACGCTGTTTTGAGTAGGTAGCCTGGCGGTTTGATCGAGTAAGCAGTCTAGTGAGTGGGCTGGTGCCGATCAAGTTGATTCGGTGGGCCGCGGATTGGAATTCCGTCATTCACAGGATACCGGGGTTCTGGACCGTCACGATTTACATGATGAATCATGATACTACAAGTACTACAGCTGCCAGCATGGAGCTATCAGACAGTGACATGATGCAGCAGCCTGATCAACAAGATAGCCAAGTTGACGAACCAGCTACAACCCCCGACGGACTCACCGGACCTAGGCCCGTAGAAGCAGCTATAAAGAAACAGACACAGGCTCTGCGCAGATTCTCAGACAGCACTGGACAAATACAATATCTGGATCCCCGGCCCACAGCAACGGTGCGTCCATCGGCTGATACCCTCTTCTCAGACCTTTCATTATATACCGGCGATGTATCTAATGGGCAACGGTATGGCCGGGAGTCTCTCCGCTCGCCATCGCCGGTTCCGGCCGAACCTACCTCTGAATTACCCAGTCCAAGGAGGAGACGTTCACTGCGATGGATCGTTTTGAAGGCATGGTTGCATAGTAAAGGGATGCTGATGGTGATTCTATCACAATTCTTTGGCGCGTCTATGAATGTGATGACACAGATTCTCGAGCGGGATGGAAGCCATGGGAAAGCCATGCATCCGTTTCAAGTAAGTTTCGAAGCTGAGTTGATATATACAGAATCCTTATATATTGTTAGATCCTGTTTACTCGCATGCTTATCACGGCAGCTGCCAGTTATGCTTACATGTGGTATAAGCATGTGCCCAACCCATTCGGCACGAGGGAAGTACGATGGCTGCTGATACTTCGCGCAGTTGGGGGTTCTTTGGGGTATTTGGAATGTACTTTTCGCTGTTGTATATGCCGTTGGCAGAAGCCACCGTGCTTACATTTCTGGCACCGATCGTCGCGTGCTATGTGTGTTCGTTCCTGATGCCCAACGAACCATTCACTCGAAGGCAACAACTAGCCGGCATCGTGTCTCTTCTCGGTGTCATCCTGATCGCGCGGCCATTCTCTGGCGGGAAAGTTGAAGATGTCGTTGATTTAACGCCGCCGTCCAACAGCACCATGATCGATTCGTCTGGGCTGCTGGCCGAAAGTATCACAGAGGCTGCCCCGTCGGCGTACCAGCATCTCTTGGCGATCGGGTTCAGTCTGGTCGGCGTACTTGGCGCAGCGTGTGCATACACAACGATTCGGCTGATTGGAACTAGAGCTCACGCGCTGGTCAGTGTAACTTATTTCTCGACCTACTCAACCCTGATCTCCATCGTTGCCATGATCGCTATTCCCTCTGTATCGTTCCGGCTGCCAGGGAATATCTCAGAATGGGGACTGTTACTGGGGCTAGGGGCGAATGGGTTCACGATGCAGTACTTGCTTACGGCTGGTCTAGCATATAAGCCACCATCGTCGACAACGACCAGCGGCCACGGCACGCGAGCAACATCGATGGTGTACACGCAGATGCTGTTTGCACTGTTTTACGATAAGCTGGTGATGGACAGCACGCCATCGGCGATTAGTTGGGCTGGGTCGGGGCTGATTCTGGGGAGTGCGCTGTACGTTGCTATTGTTCGAGACAGCAACACGAACATGACCACGATGGGGACAGTGGCTGCCGCGATTCACGCGGATGAAAGCCGGGAGAATGCGAGTGAAATGGCAGGCTTGAGAAAGGATATTGAACAAGGTCAAGCACTGTTGGCACGTGAGCCGGAGATTACTGATCCGGGCTCTTCTCGATAGTCTACGACATTCATACATACAACTCTGTCTATCTATTTCGTGCATGTGGCCAGACTGATCAACATGCAATATGGTCTCACAACCACACCCACAATTGACAACTCACACCCACACAATTATCACATACAGAGTGAGTAAAAGTGCGGGGTTGGATCTTCGAGATTCGAGACTTGCCGAGCTGCGCTGATCACAGCAAACGACTCCTACTACCTAGTAGTACAGCGACTACTTAGTAGGACTACTATGAGATTGTGGTGGGCAGGATCCACTGCGATATTTAATTCTGCCCTGGAGAGTGAGACTAGAGTACGGAGTAAATATGGAGTATTGTGGAGATGCGGAGTCACTCAATTCACTTCATATTCTTGCTCTAGCTGCGAGTGTGTATGGATGGATGGTGTTGTCAGACTGATCATTGCCTGATATATAATAGATAATAGACATAGATGAATATCGATTGATTCACTCTGTATAGTACTATGTAGTAACAGCAATTTAGTAATAGCACTCTGCAAGTAGAGAGTATCCACCCGGTCGACAGCGCTCCGGCAGAATTCTTTATCCTTGCAGTTGACTTGAAACTTGACGTACAGCACGGCACTAGCATCTTAACCATACCCTTCAGCTCAAGAAAAGCAATAAAAAACAATGAAAATGGCGCAATAATAATCATCCTGCAACCTCCAGACTAGGCTTACACCCATTCTCTGTTATTATTCGTCGCCCTCATCCATGTTTCGCCGATCCAGAGAAGGGAAAGTTAGGTCAGCATGTGAAGCAATCATCACTCATGAATAGGCCGGATAGGGCTATGCTCGGCAGCGGGTAGATCCATTTTTGCGAGGTTTAAACTTCAACGACATCATCGGCTGAGCCTGCCCTGTTTATGGCTCGTAGTTTGTATTCAACAAGCGGGATGGTAGTAGCATGATAGTAGCATGGTACTAGCCTACTACGTTGTTGTGCAGGATAAGTAGCACAAAGTAAAAGATTAAGAACAGACACGCTAGGCCCAGACACGAGCCTTCGATATGGGCTCGCAGCGGCGGTGATTGGACAGACACGACGTCATAGGGAGGCTACGGGAGCACACCAAGCCGAAAGTTCCCGACATGAGGGGCCCATCGGCACAGCGCTTATTGGGCGCCACCAGCTGTGGTCGCAGCGGAAGGCGCCAGTCACAGCGCCCCCAGTGCCCCCCTGATCGCCGGGACCAATCATGACATTTGGCTGTACTCCACTCTGGAGACGCTGGATCTTTGTACTCCGGATGAGTATACTGCTCGACTTAGATATAAAGATGCTCTTCCTCACTCGACAATTCTGTATACACTGTATACAGACGAGCGGCAGGTGTGTTGATCGCATCAATTGCTACTCACAGTCTATATCTACCTGTCAATATCATCTCCTCCATCTACCATACATCGCTATCCCCTATTCAGGGTCTGCTACCCCTCTTATCTCATATCAGTAAAAAAAAGAGCAAAAGAAAATGCGCCATTTCGACGCCTGGATCCTCCGGGATCCCTACTCTATCTTCCATTACTACTCGACCGGACGTCGCTGGCAAGAATCCGTGCGTGGCATGATCCAAGAACGCCAAATCTGCTCGCCTCAAATCGACCCAACCAACACCCGCAGCGCCGTCGACGCTCTCGCGTTCAGCATCTCTTCGCAACCAGAGTCAAACTTCCTTCAAAGACTTCCGCCCGAAATCCGCGTGATGATCTACAAATACGTCTTCGGCGACGAAGCCGTGCATCTCGTCCAACTCAAGGGTAAAATCAGGCACGTGCGCTGCTCAAACCTCTCCTCGTCGATCAGCAGCCACCGCACCTGCTGCCACGAAACCAGCGCGCGGTGGCGCGCCACCGCCACTGGCGCCGGCCAGCATGCAGATAACATGCTGTACCCTCACACACACTCACTGCTACCTCACAAACTCAGCAATTCGTCGCTCTCTCTCCTCCGCACCTGCCGCGCCATCTACCTCGAGGCCGCCGACATCCCCTACACTGATCTAGTCTTCGACGTTGACGACCTGCACACCTTCGTCGCCTTCTCGCAGACCGTCTGCCCTGAGCGCCTGCAATCCATCAAGCGGCTGACCGTCCAGTGGACGCCGATCTGGCAACCTCTGGCGGGCGAGGACAGCAAAACATCAATCTACGCGCACACGCACAACGACCGCTTGTGGTGTCTGTTTTGGGCGCGCGTGCAGGCGCTCACGGGACTGAAGGAGTTGCGGATTAGTCTTGATTTGGGTCGGTTTATGGGCAATGCGAATGCGAATGCAAATGTATTGCTAGGCGGGAACAAGAAGATTAGTCTGGCAACGAGCGAGAAGTGGGTGACGCCGATGCTGTCGGTGCGCGGGCTGAAGGAGTTTGATTTGTGTGTTACGGCCAAGTGTGATGCGTCCGCGAAGAATATTCTGGCAGAGGAGATTGGGAGGGATGCCATGGCGTTGTGTGCGTATCTCAGAGAAGTGATGTGTAAGCCCAGGGAGGCGGTGATGCCGTGTGCACTGGAGGGCGTTGAGAATCCGGCTTGTCGACCTGCGCAGTTGCTGCTTACAGCGGCATAGCGTTTAGTTTATTTTTGTTTGGTTGGTTTTGCAGTGATACCCATGAGTTTTTGCTGGTTTGGTGTTGGTGGCATAGATTTAGATAGATCAATGATTATGAACATACTCTACTTACTTCATCACATCAGTTGATATACTTTACTCGTAGAAATCTTCAGATGAGTTAAAATAGTTGAGATACCAAACTCCTATTACTGCATCGATGATTCTTACATGAAATCACTTCCGACGCAAAAATGCAACCACAACGAAAAACAATATTCCATATAATAATATGTATGCATGCCAGACCGGTCAACGAATTGCGCAGTCCAACCACTCTCAATTGGAGCGTTAATATCCGTCTATGCCGAGCCAAGTCTAGCCCAAAGTCAAAGTCCCAGTCCTAGAAAAACAATACAGACAAGAAGAATTAGATAGAATAATCTGACTTATTAAAACCCGGAAGAGTCGCCGCGCAGAAGGCTGGGACGGCGTCGTTCGTCACCGCTTTCGAGAAAGGATGCTGCGTCTCGGTCGTCGTCGCTGGCGACTGGGGACGTTGGGCCGCTTGGTTGGTATGACCGAGTTCGGGTCATCTATACATATTAACCACCAATCACCAACATACGGTTAGAGGCAACATACCCATGATCTAACACCCCCAATTAACCCCAAACTATACCCCGTAGCAAAGTCTTCGTGACGCCCTCCAGGTCCCGGACTCTCGGGACGGCCAGTGAACTGGAATTTGGAGATGCTGGAGCGCGGGCTGTGCATTTCAGCCCCGTTCCTGATGCTGCGGGCAGGGCTGTTGGATCTGCTATTCCCCCAGAATTGACGGAATTCTCGCGTCAGTTCCTGCCCGGTCATGTTCCAGTTACTGCGGATGCTTTCGCGGAGCTCTGTGACGTGGCGTTTGATCTCCAGCTCATTCTTTTTCAGCCAGGACACATTGAGTTCCTGTCTCGATGCGCCTCGTTTGAATTGGCGTGCGATGTACTTGTCGTAATCACGGACAATCCTACATTTCACATTAGTATCGTATTTTTAAAAAATAAAGGCGGACGGACTTTGTGATAATGCCTGTAGTGCTGACACCCTCTGTTCGTTGCGTGACAAGGAATTTGCCTTGCTCTTTGATCCCAGCGTAAATGTCATCTCCCTCATCGGCTTGATACGGGAGATCATCATGCGCAACATAATCGATCTGGTGCTCTGACAGGAACTCGGGGGTAACAATCCACGGACAGTCTGGAAGGACCTCATCAACCCATTTGCAATGCCGGAGCGTCTCTGCTCGCTCTGCGCCAGACAGCACGGTCAAGCCTTTTCTCTTGTGTGTCTCCTCGTCACCCGTCACACCAACAATCAGGTAAACTTCAGGAAAGGCTTTCTTAGCCTGCTCCAGCTGTCGCATATGCCTAGAACAAATTAGACCCAGCCTGCCGGAAAGAGTGATTGAACCCACCCTAAATGAAAAAGATCAAAAACCCCATCCGCATACACTCGAACAGCTCGCCCGGTCGGAGGCGGATTGGTATGGTACCCGACAGGGTCCTGCAATCCGGCACGCAGCGGGGGCTGCAAGAACCCGTCCTTGTCAACGTCGGGCTCTGCGGCATCGAGCGAGTCCTGGAACTGCATGCTCGCATTCCGTTTCGACCGCTTCTCTATTTCGGCGCTGGACTCAGTGGTCTCTGAGGGCTCGCCGGGATCCTCATTGCCGTTTTCCACACCATTGCTTGTTGTCAACTGAGTTTCTGTTCCGTCGGCGAGACGAGTCCTGGCGCGTTTCGACGGGGGATTGCTGTTATTGGTATTGCTAGTGTTTGTGTTTGTGTCTTGGGAAATGCTGTTCTGTTTGAGCGGTTCGCTGGCCGAGGCCGACTCGTCGCCTTCTTCGCCAGACGCGTCGCGGGACGAGGGTTGCAGAAGCTCGGCCGTGGATGACTTGGGGATGTGTGCCGAGTTCAGATGAGAAGAGCTCCGTTTGCGCTTTCCAGCACTCAACGAGGATGGCGAAGACATGCTCGTGTCGGCGTGAGTTACTTTGCGAGTTGCGGGAGATAGGAAGATGCAATTGTTCAATTGGTTAGATTAGAAAAGAGCCAACGAATAGTCTCTGTCGAGGATGATGGGAGGAGAGTAGAGAGTATTATGGCGAACGGTATGGTTGATCATTAGTTCGATGGATAGTAGACGATATGTTGATGTGAAGTTGGACAGGAAAGATTAGGGGGTGCAGTCTTCTAGTCTTCGGCGTACAGGATGCAGAAAGAAAGCTAGCCCGGTGGAGCCGGTGGATGTCGTGTCCCCAGCAGAATATAGTAAAAATATTAATTAATACTGGGCCATTCTATTGATTAGCACTCAACATAACAGAATACCCATGGATAAGGCTAGTCCTGCATCTCCTGCATCTCCTCCCTAGATATACTGACGTGAACGTGGCGTGGTGAATAAATTTCTGCTAGTCCTGAGAATTCCCGAAGCGCGCACGGATGCCGTCGGGTCACGTCATTATTCCTGCCACTGGAATAAGCAATAATTAATAACAATATATATACATATACACATAATAGCAGTAGAAGCAATATGAGGTAATAGCTAGATCATTAAATCTAGGATATCAGGCGGCGACTCGGCCAGAGCATCTGCTTGACGTCTAGTCTAGTCCTGTTTTGAGGTATCTGAGAGCATCTATAGAGCCGCAGTCACAAGCCGAAGCATGGATCATACAACCACCGAAAAGCAAAGGAAAAAAAGGAGATACGATTCATCCAACAGAAAACGACTAATATGATGTCAATGTGCAAGCTTATTAAAATTGCCCGGTTACGCCATGATGTGTGCAGAAACTTCTTGCTTGCCCGTAGCCATTGTGTCTCCGTTCCTTCGTAGCCGAAAGCTTGTCCAGCGTGATCTCTAACCGTGACTGTTCGCTCGGATGACAAGAGTATGATGTTGACAAAGATGAGACAGTAATGACTGCCAGTACCGAGACAGGAAGAAAGGAAAGGACAATAGGAAGACAATAGAGGAGGAAAGACAGTATAGGAACGGATAAAAGAAAAGATGTAGAGAAATTGGCGGAAGGAGGCGACTATCACAAACAATATGGTGAATAGTAAGTAGAGTTAACTATACTAATGCTTCTGTGGAAGGCCCAAACCGGCGGGTTTAGAACCCACGGCAACAATCTGCGAAAGTCAAGTCAAGTCAAGTAAACAAAGTGCACCGTCTGGACAGTGACAGGACAGCGACAAGACATCGAACGGGATAGTGGACAGGACAAAACGGCTGTAAAATAATGCTTCGGGCAAGGATATACGAGAAACGTGGAGGGCGTAAAGGCCGGCAGAATTAGAATCACTTGACTAGCCGGTATCGTCATCGTCGTCATCGTCATGATCTCGACTTCGTTGTAGGGGCATTGGATTCGGAGGGAGAGAGAAGTCAAGCTAAGATTCATCCGGCTTGGCACGTGTGTCGTTCTCTTCATTGCTTTTCGCTGGTGACGGCTCTGTGGCAATCGAAGCAGGCGACGCCGAGACGTGTGGAGCAGCATTGGCTTCTTTATCGTCATTCTGAAGGGGATTTGCGGGTAAGCTGGGGCCCTGGAGTGTCTTCACGGTAGCCCCTACGGGCTTCGTCGACGGAATCAGTAGTGGTGCTATTTCGTACCTGGTTCTCGGAATTCTTCTCTTCCTCAGTAGGGTCGAACAGATCCTCCTCGTCTTGATCCGCATGGACTTCAGTCCCATCCCCTAGCAGAATGATCCGGCCCGCACGAAGACCGAATGCCCGGCGGCTATCCGAATCGAGGTCATAGTCGTCGGGGCTGTCGTCAAATTGATGCCGGACTCCCGGGCCTCGAAATTCAGCTGGAGCCCTCGAGTCAGCAGCGCGCGGGGGGGTCCTAGGGACTGTCTTCAAACTTGCCATACTCAGGAGGAGCAACAGGGCCATCGCCTTTTGCAACTCGCTCTGCGATATTGTTGTACCACTCTTCTTTTGTCTTTCCGTGAAGAAGCCCAATGATAACCATGGTCATGTTGTCACAGCCAACCCCGCCGGTTTCACTGTTGGAGGCCAAGCAATTGTCCATCATGTTCTCGCAGATACGAGACAACCCTTGCTTCGCTGCAATACCCCTTCGGACAAATTCTACAACTGACTGGGAGGACTGGCAATCCCAGATTCCTACGCTTGTTAGTGGATAAACGAGTCAAACCCTTGAGATTACCTACCGTCACAGGCAATAACGAGGAATTCATCGTCCTCGGTGATCTCGTGTGTTGTAACATCAGGGTATGCCGTGACAATTTGTTGTTCTGGTGACAAGTCGGCGCTCTTTTTGAACTCAAAGTCACCGATAGCTCGGGACAAGGCAAGATTGCCATTTACACGACCAAAGTCAACGAAACCGCCAGCAGCGCTTATACGTGCTTTTTCGCCTAGAAATCAGTTAGAAAAGTTCACAGTAATATCAAAATATAGCCTACCTTCGTTTTGAGGTTTGTGGTCAAAAGACAGTGGCTTCGCACGTCCCTTTACTCCCAATACAGACCGCGAGTCACCGGCATTGGCCTACGTATATAAGCCTTGCTCACCACACACTGAAAAATGAAACTCACCACCCAGATTTTATCACGAGAAATAATTCCAACCGATGCCGTACAACCGGAGACTTCCTCCTCGTATTTCGGATCTACTCAGAAAGTGAGCATGCGATACGTCACGGCGCAAGGAAGGCGATCATGACAAACCCTCTAGAATAGCGCGATCAGTCGCCAAAAACCCATCTTTCAATGCCTGCTCGATATCATCCTTCAGAAACGCCTCCTGCTTGGCGACAATCTTGTGCACGTTCTCCCCAGCGAAAAGAGCAACCTTGTCGCCGCCGTGTCCGTCATATACACCAAAGAACGACAGTCGCTTGTCGGGTGTTGTAGGCTCCTCGGTTTTGTTCACATACTTGGCCTGGAGATCGAGAATGGCGGCATGTGCATCCTCCATGCTGATTCTCCAGCCTTGCATCGCCGACACGCCGTACAAAACGCAATCATCTTGGCCCTCTGCAGACGTCTATATACAGGGATAAGTCAGCTTTTCATTTCCTCTTTTTGTCAAGAAAACATCCGTCCGATATCACATCCTCGAGCAGCCATGACTCGTCAAGGATTGGTCTCGAGGCCGAGACGAAACCGCTTTCCAAGTAAGCTGCCCCGCACCAGTGCCATAGATGAGGCGTAACCGAGCATACCCAATCTAGCGACGGCACAATACCACGCATACAGCAGGGCGGAAGATTTCGTGCACGACACACGGGAGGAGTCGGGAAGAGAAAAAAATATTGGCCTTACCTTCTCTGTAACCGGCTCTGATAAGGTCTGACCCATGATTACCGGCGGGGGTCACGAAGGACGACAATTGGAGACGATGTATCAGGCTGGGATGGCAGTCATACACACTTCCGAAAACAGAAGGCTTTTTTTGAGGCGGGCGGGATATGGGGAATTCGGAAAATACGTAGTGGTGGTGCGTCGTTCGGCGTTGAATGGAAGCGCAGAGGCTGAGGATTATTGGAGGGGGAGGGATATTCACTGGTTTAGCAAGCTTAGCGCAGAATCGATCGGAGGAGCGAGATGTGGGGGGGTCCAGCGCCTACCTGGGAAGCGAACACGGACAGAGGAGGGACTGCAGGAGAGAGCAGAAGGGAGACGAAGGGATGAACGGTGGATGGGGACGGGGGAGATGGATGCAGGGCAGTAAATGTAATAAGCCAGGCAGAAGAGGAGAAAGTGGTGGTGGAAGAGTTTGCAAGTCGCGTGTTGAGGCGAGCAAATTGGCCAGCCCGGCGATGCGAATGACGAAGGGGCTTAGCGCTGTGGCTGGTACGTATTACCATACACCCTCTCTCAGAACTGTAATTTATAATAATAACATAATATGGCCTGTGGCTATGTGTACTACTATATCCTACCATCCGGATTCCACATTCTGTTGCCATCGTCTCTCTAAAAAGAGAGTTAGGGTTAATTGCAGAGTGGCTTGGACGGCTGTCCTCGTTTGCAGTGCATAATATATGGAAATTGCAAATCGGCCTAGATCCTTCCCCATTTGGCATACAGTAAGCTATACAATACCGCTAGTAATTTACCACTTTATCTCACCGCAGCCTGAGCTGAACCTGACGTGGCTGTTGATGATTATTTACATATGCGATATCAAATCATACAAACAACATTGACTCTTTTTTAGTGCTTGTCTGTTCAAATCCTTACCATGATGAATCAGTACATGCACTTGGTATCATGCAATTATCATATCCCGTGTTGATCGGCACCAACAGTCACGTCTCAATCAGAATTTTCAGGTTTCAGCACCAACTTGATTCGAGCTCAGCTGGAATGGAATTGGCTGACGGGAAATAAATACCTCGCCGCTAAAGCATACAAATAATTATTAATATCAGCTTACTCAGTTACTTAGTACTAGCTATCTATCGTCTAGAATAACACTTACGTAGGACAAAGTACCTCAGAAGTGTACATGTATGTAGGTGCTCGCTTGTAATATAACATCACTAGTAAAATAGTACTGTCAATGTTTCAATGTTGAATGTTCAAAGTTCCCCAGATTTTAACTAATTCTAGTACCGAACGCCTGGTGGGGTTACGCAAATGCAGGCAAGATAAAAGTCAATTCTGTCATGGATCAATTGTCAGTCTATTATTAGTGCTGGACTTTACACGTCACGGTCATTACATTAAATATACAGAAATTCCAGGCCGCTCGGATGAAAAGAAAAAAAAAATAACAAATAAACTAAAGCCACGCAACGCCTGTATCTGAACCTCCGAGGTATATAAAATATATATGTATATTATTCAAAGCTAGACAAATGCTAGATCTCCCCGGAAACTACTATTCGTAGTAGGATCCAGGCCGTCGCTTGCTTCAATGCTCGGCCGCCGTTGTTGCGTGTCCATTAAGCGCCAGTGTCGATTGCCAATTGGGCTACTGTCCTGACCCCCTGTCCGAAGCAGGCTCATGCGACGTACTCGACTGGCGTTTGTTTCCGGGACAGGTGCCAAATCTTCACTGTCAGTCACTGGCTCGGGGATGGCTTCCTCCACGTTCGACAGGGACTGTGCGTGGGAATTGACGCGGTACCACTGCCGACGTCCCTCGGGGCCGTCACGCTCGTCGATCAGGTCATAATAGTCGTCGGATCCGGTCATGGAATCTCCTGATTCGAACTTCCGCGTACTACCCATACTTGCCTGGCTGAAGCATCGTGGCAGGTGGGCAATGGCATCAGTGTAGCGCTGAACTGAACCTGGATTGGTTCTCGTCCTAGCCACACCAAAGCTGTTCCAAGCATCACCTTCGGATATCTGCGACATCGGCCGAGCTATAGAATTTCGATAGTCATCACCATAGATAGATGCTGACATTGCTGTAGAGACAGGCCGTATTTGAGACTGTCTTCGATCATCGATATAGCTTGACGTGGAGATGCTTGTTCCGGCAATGCTGGAACTTCGGCGAGATTTCTCCAACGCACGATATCCCGAAGACGCTCGACTATCCATCCGAGATGAGAATAGTGGATTACCTGAGTTACGACTCCGCGCACGACTCTGGATAAAGGCTTCAATCGAGTCCGGTTCTGGAGGCGTAGGTGGCGTTGTGCCACTGCCTTTGAAACTAGCTCGCTTCGTGTAGTCATAGCTTCGACTTAGATTGCTGCTATTTCGTTTCCGAACCAGGGGAGGCCGAGGAAACATAGTAGACAGATTCTCAATGCTGGTGTCATCACTTTGCAATGACATTTGTGTGGTCTGCCAAGATGCCCTCACCATTTCCGGTCGTGAAAGGCCAAAGCCTCCAGCACCATGGCCTGCTCCACTGAGTCGAACTGGAAGTCCAGATGCTACTGTTGTCAGTCCACTGGAGCGCCTAGAATACCGTTTAGACTTTGTGGACATGGCGGAGTCTCTTTTGAAGGATCGATTTTGAATAGGTTTAAGCGGCTCTCTTTTCGAATATCTCTTCGTGCTTCGATGCGACAGCGGGGAGCTTTGAGACACACTTGCATTCCTCTTCGGAGATATATTTGGCTGCTGGCTAGCGCTGGCCACAGCTTCGTCAGCCAGATTCCATTCTAGACCCGTCTTTTGAGGCTGTATAGCACGAGTTGGAGACCGATAGGATTCGTCCTCTTCTTCTCTGAAGGATGCATTGCTCAGGTGAAGGTCAAGCTCGAGCTGCATAGGCGCTGAATGATTGGATGAATCCGAAGAGCTTCGCGGTAGCTCCGACGTACTGGTTTGGTGATAATTCTTTTCTGACTTGGAAGAATCAATGATAGCATCCGCAGCCCGTAGATTCTCATCATTTTGGTTCTTGCCCTTCGCCTTGGAACGTCGGTGGCGACAAAACAAGACAAGAAGTATAGCTACTATAAGGATAACGCCAACTGGAATAGCCACAGCAATAGCTATTATTTTAACCTTTCGCTTGTTCGCATCTTGATTTCCACCGGAGGAACTTTGATCGTTGACAACCCCTGCTTTTCCTGGTTTGAAGATGGTCAGGTTCAAATTCCTTGTCTCTACAGTTGATCCTTGTGTCGCAGTTAACTTGATAGAAAATGTTTGTGGCTTCATATCATCCGGGACATGCCCAGATAAAGACATGCTTGCAGCATCATAGTTTGCCCAGGAAGAGACTTCAGCTAAATCAACCTGCAGATGAACAGTATCATCACTGAGCAAGGACTTGTCGAATGTGTAAGAAAATTTCTCGCCAATGGTGGCATTGCAACTTTCAACTCCCTTCGCGAATAATTGTGACACCATCAATTGAACGTCCAGCCTCGCCTTATCTTGGTACGAGTCTGTCACCGTCACTACAATAGTTTCGTTTCCGGCATTTCCAGGGGCTGTCCCACTTAGTGATATGGTTTCGTTGTCAAGGGTAAGCCAAGATGCCCCTTCGATTTCGATGTGCGATATATTTTGGTTAACAACGCCGTGACCATCCAGTGACAAATCGTCGATAAAATGAGGCGTGCTGAAAGGCTGCCCACGGGTGAAATTAAGCGTCCTGGTAGTCGAATTAAAAGATAATATATGCTGACTGACGACAATTTGGAATGACACTGTAGCTGCGCTAAACCCAGGAGCATCTGAAGCTATCATATTGAAATTGAATGACTGCGGGATTGACGAAGGATTTGATGGGGAATTGCCAGAAAATTGAAGTCTTGAAGAATCAAAAGTCATCCACGATGGGAGTGGCGAATTATACGGCGAGGATGTTGCATAATAAACAGTATTAAGCTGAGTGTTGGCAAATGTCGTCTCGGGATCGAATGCTATGGTGAAAGGGCGTCCCGGATACATGAAAATAGTTGCCGGGCTTGACGTTGGACCGATCTTTTGTAATTGTGCCAGGAGAGGCTGTTCAGGCCGCGGACCTGGTTCACTCGAGACCACGAGAGTCACACTCATCGACCCCGGGCCCGATTGATCAGTAGCCACCAGAAGAAACTGTGCTGCTTCAGCATCCCCAGGCCCTGGCGTTCCGTACAATGTGAGATTGCCCGTATCGACGTGTAACCATCCCGGCGCATTTAATAATGAATAAGTCAAGCCAGCACCGCCGCCGACGAATGTGCTGCTTGAGAAGGTAAAGCTGAATGGGCGGTTCACACGAGCAACCGGGGGCAGTTGTGCATTGACTGGATAATTAGCTGTTGGTATTGCATCGGCAATACTCATGAGGACCACGAGAAGGGCCAGATACAGAATCTTCGCCATCTTCTCTAGACCCATTCTGTTTGACGGTCAGCTAGGTGTAGACAGTGACTGCCGTGTGAATGTCGAGCCAACGAAACCGCGCAAGTCTCTGCTCTGAGACACCTTGTCGAGAAGAGTGCGGTCTGGAGGATAGGAAACTACAGGAAGATACTCGCGAGGGCCATGGTGAAGGGGTACAGGAGTAGATAACGCCCTACGCGAGGCGCGTAGCCCTTTGAAGGAAGCCATGTTAAAGTATGTTTGACGTCAAAAATGCATGGCCATGGCTGGTGTGGTTCGTAGCTAAGTAGACAGGCGAGCAGATAGGCCTGCGGAAGGCGTGGGAAGGGACATTCTTCACGACGCCACGGTAGGGCAGGCACAGGCACGTACCCCTCCTGCCACAGGGGCCAAGGGGACACGATCAAGGGTAAAATAGGAAGCCCACCATTCTCATTAAAAATATTCGTCTATTCTGAGTATTTATTCAAATCAAGGACCATCCAAATTCCGGGACGCCCCTCCGCGTAGCACTTAGGGATTTCTTCCTTTTCAAAGCCGCAGCCAGTGCAACCCTCTGGCTGGTAAATGCGCCCATTCAACCCATTGAATGATTTGATGTCCTTCTTTTGGCGACCATTAATTTAGGAGATAGTGAAAGAGTTGTATTCGTACCGTTTACACCGTTGAGCTTCTACTACATATAAACTTCGTAACAGCGCAACCTCACGGTGTGTCGCATCGCGACATGGCAATAGACTTAAACGACCATAGCATACTGCTGAATCCCTTTATAAATAACCTAAATGTCGAGCCCTTCCTCTAGAGCTAATATCGTAGTTGGGTAACTCATTGGAGGGAAATGCTTCTCGACACGTCCAATCTTCCTAAGAATCTCGCAGCTTCAGACTGGCGTAGGGAATGAATATATTCGTAATGACAAAGCATTCCTCTATGTTTAGGTTACGCGATCGTAGTTATAACTGGCCTTTCTTGCCAAGCAGACGGCGTCAAAGACAAGTTAAGTTGCATATTGGAAGATCGGATGGTATACATAAACCCAAAGTGGAGGGGAATAATACAAAGCGGTTCGACCACAAGCTTCCTCAGGCAGTGGTCAGGCGACTGGCTCGTTTACAGACACCCATGGCAGCTAAAAACTTCCATTCCTATCGGTTTTAAAATTCTCTCCTAGGCTTAGTTTTTCGACTAGATGGAACTCCAATGATACTGGTCCTTCTTACTACGCAGACGGCTCAGTGATAAATTATATATCAACTTAAACGGACGACGTACTAGTGCTAATCATCTCAATGATGTTCGTGCAAAGTCCATAATATTTATATTTAATAATCATTATTTATTTTATAAAGATTAAATAATTTAGATTATTAGTAAATTGTATATAAATTAGATCTTGTTTCTAGGAAAGTAAAATTTAACTATTTTGAGCCTAGGCTCATCTTAAGTTCACGGAGCAACTTCCTCTGTTGTACTTGTGACTTGTAACTTGCCTCCGCGACGCGCTCCTATTCGAAACATCAAACACTTCAAAATGCCATCGCAGCAGGACGAGAAACGCCAAGCTGCGCGTGAAGTCATTGATATCTTATACGAGATCTCAACACTATTGGTACATTCACCCATCCATCGATGAAGTATCACTCCAAGACTAAATTGCGTTGTCCAGAACACCCACCTCGACCGCACTGAACTATCTTTATGCGTGTCCCTCATCGAGAATGGTGTCAATCCAGAGGCACTTTCTGTATGTATTACTTGTGGCTGTCCTACATGACATGCTAATAACGGTGTTCTTAGACTGTTATCAAGGAGTTGCGAAGAGAGGCCTCCGCCGCTACTACTGCCCCGGACGCTTGAAGCTCGACATCAAATGAGATTAACAGCAACCCGTACGGTTTCGAAATTATAAATTCTTAATATGCAAGCAAGCTTTTTACATGTCAATGCTGAGCGAAACCGCCCCTTCTGGATATACTCGAAACACGCGTGCCAGATTCATTATACGTTAAATTTCCAAAAAAATCCGTCAAATGGGGATATCTCAAATTACAATTTGCATCGGAATATGTATCTGAGAAAGTGACAGGCTAGATCATTTCTCCTCAGCTTTCTCTTTCTTGTCCTCATCCTTTGAATTCGTCCCGAGGTCTTCTGCCATCGCATCCGCCGTGGCTTTCTTGACGCGATCTGACTCGTCTGTCTGGGTATCTTTTGGTTTGGTATCCTTTTCATCCTCGCTATCGCCAAGACTGAAAGGATCGTTTTCTCCGACCGGGGAGGGGTCAACGGTAGAAAGAGGCTGCCATTTACTTGACTTGCCTCCTGTCGAAGCTGTGCGCTTAGTTGGCTCTTGAGAATCATAGATATTATCGATTTCCTCGGGTGGTCCATCCTGGAATGAGACTTTCCTTCTTTCTTGAGAGGAAGATTTGAAAAGATTGGGGTTTGCCAAAGGACGGGCAGGGCGTGGAGGAGGAGCTGGATCAAGTTAGTGAACGTAAAATACAAGATATAACAGACTTCGAACCTTCAGCATCCCTTAATTCCAATGCCGAGAAATCATCTCCCAGAACCTGCGGGTCGGCATCGTATCGTTCACGATCTCCGCTGCGCCGGCCTGAGTCGCCACTTCGTCTTGAGCGGCCGTAAGTCTGGGTTTCCCCGTATGATTGCAGATAACCTTCGGAGGTGGGATGATCGTCTTCTTCCTCGCCGTCAAGCTTCTTTTTAAAATTCTGCACCCAAGAATTGACCTTTGATTGGGTCTCCAGGAAACCCTTTCGGATATTGTCTCGAATCACCGGCAAGTCATCTGTTGTTGATTAGCATAACAAGTAGTTTCTTCTTTAAGAGAAAATACAAACCATCAAAGAAGCTATGTTCTCGCTCTTCCGGATAGTTGCCTGATGGAGCGTCCCAAGCTGGGTCACGGGGGCGGGCTGAGCCATAATGCTCAGCAAGTTGGCGTGCGTAGCGCTCATCATCTTGTAGTTGTTGCTGCGTCGTAGAAGTCGCGGTATGCGTGGGCCTTGGTGGCTTCACTGGCGGGGGCGGGGGAAGCTCTTCCTGGGCATTGGGATCCGTCATACCTGATCTCGAGGTGAGTCTGAACCGATCATAATCAGCTGGTGGCACAATACATACCTAGCAGCGCATGGAAAGCTCGTTCGACATTGTAGCCACTCGCTATTAAAACAGCTTTGACCACGGTCGCGTCTATTGATGGGAAGGCTTCTTTCAACGTGTCTTCTGCCTGTTGTCGCGGGCTGATAGGGCGTGGCGGTTTAGGCGGGGGAGCATCACCCTCAGCGGCCGGCTTGGAAGGCGTTGCTTTGGATGGGGTAGAGACAACGCCGGTTTCCTGCGGCTCATCATCAAAATCCAGCGGACGTGCAGTGGTAGGCGATTCTGGGTTTTGGTTGTTCCCTCCAGCCGAGGACTTTGTAGGAGTGTTGTTCTGCGGGGAACTGGAATTAGCAAATGTGTGGAGGAGGGAACGATATACACAAAACGTACGGAATTACTGTCAGCCATTTTGTGAATTGAGTTGAGTGAAAGAAACTGGTACCGCGACCGTTCTCCCTGTAGCCAAACGCTTGGAAGCAGTGTTGTAGAAGAAGAAAAGAACGGATGCGTCAGGAAGATGTTGACGACAAACCAGTTTGGCTGCGGCCTATCACGGGCTGTGCTAGCAAGTATTATTGCATCGGTCAACAGTTGATCGCCAAGCCACACATGTGACGATCCGCACCGCCACCGAGCCTATGCTTATGTAACTCCATCTGCGAGAGAATGCAACTATTTTTAGACAAAACCCTTACCTGGCTGCGAAATTGCGCATATTAAGCGGACTGTCAATGGCAAATGCGGGTTACTAGATCTCGAGACGATCAATCGGTGGCTTTGGACTACTGATATCGAAGGATCAAGGAAGTCATATCGCCTGACGCTCTCTCCAATGGCCGATGACTTCACTTTATCCACGACTTTTATACCTTCCCTGTACAAACCCGCAGCTTTACTGCCAATCGCCCGGCATAAAGACAGCTTGTTGTATGTCGTTGAGACATTTCCTGTTACAATTGTAGTTGGCCAGACTGGAAGTGGGAAAACCACACAATTACCCCAGTATCTTGACCAGGCAGGATGGACTGCCGACGGGAAAATCATTGGTGTCACGCAGGTTCGTTTTAAAATTTTAGGAGTTAAATCTTATTCGGGAGTCATACTGATTGAGATTGAAACAATAGCCACGACGTGTAGCAGCGACTACTGTTGCAAGGAGAGTGGCAGATGAGATGCGGTGCCAGTTGGGCGAAGATGTAGGCTACTCGATTCGATTTGAAGATGTCACGTCTGCGGCTACAAGAATCAAGTTTCTGACAGATGGCCTTCTTCTTCGAGAAGCTCTTGTTGACCCACTACTATCTCGTTATTCTGTGATTATGGTGGATGAGGCTCATGAACGGTCTCTGAGCACTGACATTCTATTGGGGATATTAAAGAAGATCCGCAAGAAACGCCCAGAACTTCGTCTCATCATAAGTAGTGCTACTCTTCAAGCGGAGGAATTTCTACGATTTTTTGCTGGCGATGAAGCTTTAAGTGCCGAGGAGGGTAAGGAACTTGGTGGGGATGTTGGTCGGATTATCAGCCTAGAAGGCAGGATGTATCCTGTTGATATTCTTTATCTAGACACTCCTGCGGAAGACTACGTCGAAAGATCGGTTAAGACAGTTTTTGACATTCATTCACAAGAAGATGACGGTGATATCTTGATCTTCCTAACCGGGCGCGAAGAGATTGAACAGGCCATTCAGCTGATTTCCGAACGAGCTGCAATGCTTCATCCGAAAGCTAAATCAATTCTTCCATTACCGCTCTACGCCGGTTTGACAACTGAGCAGCAGATGTATGTTTTCGAACCTACTCCTGAGAATTCGAGAAAGGTGATTGTCTCGACCAATATCGCCGAGGCATCGGTGACAATTGACGGCATTGTATATGTTGTTGACTGCGGGTTTGCGAAAATCCGAGCCTATAACCCAAACACTGGCGTTGAAACCTTGACAGCTACTCCAATATCTAGAGCCTCGGCAACCCAACGAGCAGGACGCGCTGGAAGAACCAAACCCGGGAAATGTTTTCGATTATACACTCAACAGGCCTATGAGATGTTGCCTGAGGTGACCATACCAGAAATCCAGCGGTCTAATTTGGCACCTGTTGTCATGCAGTTGAAAGCTCTGGGTATCGACAATGTGGCTCGCTTCGACTTTCTTTCGTCTCCTCCAGCTGAACTGGTAGTTCGTGCGCTAGAACTGTTGTTCTCTCTCGGGGCTGTTGATGATTATGCAAAACTCACCAAGCCTCTTGGTTTTCGTATGGCAGAACTTGGGGTGGAGCCAATGATGGCCAAAGTATTGCTCAGTGCTTCATCATTCCGCTGTCTGAGTGAAATTCTTTCCATTGCAGCTATGGTGAGCTTACAGGGAGCTATCTGGGTTCAGCATGACGGCGATAAAACAGAAGCAGAGAGCGCACGAAGGAAATTTGCAGTTGAGGAGGGCGACCACATGACGTATCTAAATGTATATCAAGCATTCGTTACGAAGGGAAAAAAAGACTCTCGATGGGCTTATCAAAACCTGTTGAACTACAAGTCCTTGACCCGAGCCGTGAGCATTCGCAGTCAACTAAAACGGTATCTAGAGCGATTTGGGCTGCAGGTGGATGAAAGCCTATCCACATCTTCTCAAGCCGATGCACAAAAACCAGAACAAATCCGCCGATGCCTCACGACTGGGTATTTCGCCCATGTGGCTAAAATGCAGCCTGACGGGTCTTTCAAAACCGTGAGTGGGGGTCTTACGCTGCACGCCCACCCAAGTTCATTAATGTTTGTAAGTTGAGCCTTCTGCATTGTCCGCCACTGTGCTAATACTTACCTGTTCTAGAACCGCAAAGCTGATTGGGTTATTTTTCACGAGATTCTGGAGACGGGGAACAAGGCATATATTCGCGATATTACAAAGATCGAAAAGAGTTGGCTGCTGGAGTATGCTCCTGAATACTACCGCGTGACCTAGGCTGTAATCTTTGAGTCTGGGTGAAAAGAGGGTTGCGTAAATAAGATGTATTTTTATGCTTTTATGACTCCAGTCGGAGCTGCCCAGAAAGGAGCACGTGCGCGGCGGAGCTCACTCGCGTGTGGAGTAGCTCCAAGGATCGTAGCTGCTTGTTTTGATATTTGCTAGTCTTAGAGGGGGTTAGTGACTATTCCTTCAGGTACAAGGATACGAAGAATTCTCGTATCCGTACCTGCATCTTATTCATTTCTTACCACTCTTTTCTTTCCCTCCCGTTATATTTGAACCGTTAGGCAGAGAATCTAACACTTCCACCTCGCAAATTATGACCTTCTACATACACGACACACCATGGTTACTTGCTGGCTTCTCTTTGCTCACTGTCACAATCAGTACCATAATCAAACCCAGCGGACGTCAAACATTCATTGAAGATGCTAAGTGCAATATACTGTCTTTCTCTCCGATCCGATCCGGGACGGTTGTTGTGGGCTTTATCGTTTATTTGATCCACTTGCGACTCTTGAACATCGCCGGAATACATACAGGCTTAAAGTTCCTCTCGTACCTTGACATAGAGTCGGAATTATCTGACATTAGTCGCGGGTTCTGGCCGTCTTTTGCGCGGCGTGCTTTCCTCATCGGGGGAACACTGCCGCTGTACGCGATGCTGCTAGTGTCAACGAGTTATCAATGGCTCCACGTCTTCACAACGTGCCTAGTCGCTGAATCTGTACTGGCCGAATTATTAAGTTTCTTCAGGGGCCCTTCTGATGGGTTTACCGTCCGCAAAGGCTGGCCTCACCGTACTATGCTGATGGCGAAACCCCTCGTTACACCTGATCATCTCAGTCATGACCATGTCGCTAACGAAGGCGAAAAAAATGGAATTAGGGAAAGCAAAGGGGATGGGCCAATGGCACCATCATCTGCCTCAAAAGATAATCTCTGCGATCGCATACAGCAGCTCTGGTCGACGGAGGATCTGGATATTAATTTTGCCGCGCATTCTATTCCTCCAGAGTATGAGGCGAAGTTAGAAAGAATCTTTTCACTACACGTCCGTTATTCCCGGTGGACATGTGGGCACTGGCGCTGTTTCGTCTATATATCTTCACGTGTCTTGATACGGATTATCTTTTTTTCTTGGTATATCGAGCAAGCATCAACTGCCTGGCTACTTCACCTTAACTTACACCCAGTGACACTCCGGGTTTCCGATAAGGTGCTAGGGAACAATATACTTGGAGGTCTGTTGACCATGTTATACCAAGTATCTCTTGCGTTAACTTTATTCGCCTCTGGTTTTATTTCCCCTCTGGTTCTAATTATCCTTTTGCGCAAAAAAGAGCCGATAAAGCGAGCTTTCCAAGACCTTGCCGAAACTGCACCAATCACCTACAAGGTGCTTGAAGTTTTTGGCAAACTACTCATGCCCAGCTTTATGGGTTGGCTTTTCGCTCGAGTTATGTACCCCCAGGATGTGTCGCTGACAAGGGAAATGGTCTCATATGCCATTGAGATTGTGATGATTCTAATAATTTACATAACGGGGTATCGGCTCCTCTTGAGTGTGCCTAGATCAGAGCACACCGAGCCCCAATCCAACTCTGGGCCATCATTAGAGCCAAATATGTCCCCAAACCCCCAAAATCGAGCAACTACGGCGCCGCACCAGATATTCTCCAATGACAAGAAAAAAGCGCCCAGAGATAAATCCAAATACCGTCATATTCTTCCTGGTCCTCGCTTCCAGATATTCCGCTTAGTCATCTGGATCCCTACCGTGATTATTTCGATTTTTCGTCATTATCAGTTGGAGAATTCCAACTGATTTTATACCGTGAATAAAAGGTAGATGCTAGAATTACGAAACAGAGAAGCCCTAGGATTCCGGGGCTGCTTGAGAGGATAATATAGGATTAGTAGGGATGAATGCGTAAATGCCATTGGATAGGTTGCCTATAGAGTGAACCCTACAAAGCCAAGACAAAACTAGTCTCAGAGGGGTTAGAACGTCAAAAGCTCTCCAGATGCAGCTTGCTGAGATAAGCGTGGAGTAGCTCCAAGAATTGTCCCTCCTTGTGTTGACATCTCGTGCACTTTCTTCTCTTCAAACATGGTACTTGCTTGATACTTAGCCACAATCTGGCAGGATAATGTCAGGCCATCATCACCACGATCACGGCCCTGGCGGCCATTGCCATGATGAAGATCATGACCACTCCAATGACACCACCCCGGCTCTGCAGTCTCTACTTTACTCCCAGATACAGTTCGACAACGTTACCACTTTGAATGGTATGCGTATATCTTCTTCGACTATCACAGTGACTGATTCATATTATTCGTACAGAATCCGTCTCTCGGTCTGGCGCTGCCATCCTTCAGAAAACATGGGCTGAGAGGTTGAATGACCACCCGGAACTCGAAAGCGATGCTGATGAACAGCTTCTCATGTACATCCCGTATGTGAAGTTCTTTTATATCTATATATTGCCGGGTCTTCCTTTTCATGTCATGGATCCGCACTGCACCACGCTGCAACGTAACCACTACCCCGCTTTGTATCTAACCTGAGACCACGAAATTTCGACTTCAAACACAAGCCCAGAATGTCTCTCAAGACTATAATGTTATGGCTGAATTTAGTTTTAGCCATTTCTATTCTAATTACATTGTAGTTTCACAGGACAGGTCAAATTACATGCGCTTCTGATCTACACGGCCCCAACTCCCTCGGCTCCCAAGACGGTCAAACTCTTCAAGAACCGAGACGACTTGGACTTTTCAACGGCATCAGACCTAAAACCTACTCAAATTGTTGAAATCCCTGAACCTATCCCAGGCACCGATATCTTTGAAGTGCCACTTAACCGAGCGTTATGGAATACAACTACATCGATCACCTTATTTTTCGAAGACAACTGGAATGATGAAGATACGACCAAGGTCGGGTACATTGGCTTCAAAGGACAATTTCTGGCCCTGAATCGTGAGCCTGTGAGCGTCATGTATGAAGCAGCAGCGAACCCAAGCGACCACGTTGCTATTCAGGGCGTGTCCGGAATTGGTGGAAGAGTTATGCCTGGGCAATAAGTGCTAGGCGGGCTAGATGATAGTAACCACGATAATTATGATTAAACGACCATAAAATGGCTTATCATGTGTATCAGGAACTGCACGAGATGGTTAAGAAGTAACGACACCCGATCCTTTAACATTCATGATTAATCTTAATATGATTCTATTCACAAGTCCAAACTTGAGATGCCGTTTCTGGGTAAACTCTAACAAATGATATGTAGACTAGATGGGCCTTCCGACTCCAAAGATGTTGTATCACAGCAATTGACAAGCAGAAGATATACCGAATAAAACATAATAACAAAATCGTCAAGAAGCTGCATCCTATGCAGCCAACATAGCAGTCTGTTCTTCTGCTCTGGCCTTGGCCCTGGCCCTGGCCCTTTCTCTCTTCTCCTCCTCTGTGACAATAGGAAGACTTTCAGGCGCACTTGGCAGGTCGACAGGACCCTCAACCTCTCTTTGTAGAGCCTCCAGTTCATCTTCAACCTCATCCTCATCCTCATTAGACATCTGACCAGCCAACATCTGACTTATTTCCTATACAAAATAAACATCAACATGTGCGCCATACCAAAAACAGTCATAGGTAGTACAAACCTCCTGATAAGCCCTCGCCTCCTCCGTCTCCCCCATCAACTTCTCCACCGCTGCGATCCCGCCCATCTCTTTATTAATAGCCTGCAAAACCTGTGTCCCCTGCTGTAGCCCAAACACAATATCTTTTTGGACAAGCGCAAACTCGACTTGCGACACAAGCTGCTCGAGCTGCGCTAACTGGCCGTCTGTTTTCGCCAGCAGCGATTCTTGGTATTTCTTGCGGCGGAGGGCAAGAAGAGCGCGCTTCCGATCATTGCGAGCTAGACATTCCTTCGCAATCGCGGTTTCGCGATCTGTCAAGACGAAGATACGCTTTTGGTATTGGTGGAGCTTGTCACGCTGGATCTTGAGGTCTAGAATTGCTCTATTCTGGCTGTTAGCGAGCAGGACTCTCACCGGAGTACCAAAATGCGAAGATTCTCGAGTAGTTAGTTAATGCTAACCTGTCCTGAGCGGAGATTTTGTGGGAACTATTGGCGTTTCCCATGGCAAGACCATCCTTCTGTTATGCGAGAAATAGATATGGGAAGGGAATGACGTCTTGCGATATCCGACGTAGAGTTCAGCGGCTATGACGACGGTCGCCAAGAGTCGCAGTTATAGAGAGGAAATCGCGACTTAGGGAAACTGAATGAGCAAAGACATAATGTAGAGTGGTTTCGATATCGAGTCTTTCGTATTCGTTCTTGTCGATGTACCTTGCTAGCTGTAAGTGTATCGTTTCCATCGACATTTCCCCGATCTACATCGACCAATTAGCGGCGATCGGCCCCTCTATTTATCCGGCCCCCTCCGATAACCTAAAAAATATCCTGGACTTTCACTCTAGCAATAATAGTCTACAAAGTGGGTGAGAAGAGAGAATCGGGGATCAAAATGCCCATCAAGAATAGGGGAAGGCCAACATTGAGCCAGGGCCTTGACAAAGAGGTACACAATCCAATATACTAGCTGGAATTGGAATCGGGGCTAATTGGATGTTCACCGCAGATCTACCAAATTGTGCGGAAAATCGCAGACGAGCAGCAGGCGGAAAATGGACGAATGAGGCTGTCGACCTATACCATATATGATTCGATCAAACGGTCGAATTCGAGTTTGAACCGAAAACCGAAGAAACTTCTCGAAGATAGCATTGAACGTGTACTCGAAGTTGTTCAGAGCGATGTTCATGGCGATGAGTCGGATTCTGTGAATGGAGATTTTGAAGGGTTGGAGGATGAAAAAGTGGCTCCATTGGTATGTTGTAGTAGAATATTATTGTGGTATGTTTTATGCTAACTGCAGGTAGGAGTCCAATAATTTGAACAGGAGTATTGTTAACGCTTGGTCGACATCAACAAAATCTCCAGCCCCTTCTCGAAAAGGAAATGACCAGTCGGCTACTGATGGCGCGGCTGAATCGACTACATCTGTGAATAAACGACGCCATCATGCAAACGAATCTGCTTCGAAGCGCCGAAAAGCAGACCATCCAATCGACAAGTCACCCCCAACACATGTCAGTCTTTCGGATCTGGGTGGCATGGACGATGTATTACAGGAGCTAGGCGACCTAATAATCTTACCAATGACACGGCCTCAAATCTTCACAACCTCCAAAGTGCAGCCTCCCCGCGGTGTACTCTTGCACGGACCGCCCGGTTGCGGAAAGACTATGCTCGCCAACGCCTTTGCTGCCGACTTGGGTGTCCCCTTTATCTCCATCTCTGCACCATCTGTCGTGTCTGGTATGTCTGGCGAGTCAGAGAAAGCGCTCCGCGAGCACTTTGACGAAGCAAAGAAGGTCGCTCCGTGCCTTGTCTTCATCGACGAGATCGACGCGATTACACCAAAGCGGGAGAGCGCACAGCGAGAAATGGAGAAGCGGATAGTCGCTCAATTGCTGACGTGCATGGATGACCTTGCCCTTGAGAAGACCGATGGTAAGCCTGTTATCGTCCTCGCTGCAACCAACAGGCCGGACAGTCTGGACCCTGCGCTCCGCCGTGGAGGCCGCTTCGATAAGGAAATCAACTTGACAGTCCCTTCAGAGCCTGTCCGAGAACAAATCCTTCGCACGCTGACTCGCAAAACGCAACTTGCCGATGACCTCGATTTCAAAACCCTCGCCAAACGCACCGCAGGCTTTGTCGGTGCCGACCTGAGCGACTTAGTATCCACCGCCGGATCTGCCGCTATAAAGCGCTATCTCGAGATCCTCAGGTCTCACACTGGCGAAGAAATGGAAATCGAAGGTGAGACGGAAGAAAACGTCAGCACTAAAGTGAAAGAAATCCGCCAACTCATCAAGCACGCCAAAGAGACACCAATAGGCGAAGAAACCAACCCTGTCCTCGTCTCTAACGCAGACTTCTTCACGGCCCTCCCCAAAATCCAACCGTCCTCGAAACGCGAAGGCTTCGCGACCATCCCCGACACGACATGGGCTGATATCGGCGCTCTAGGAGGCGTCCGCGACGAACTCGTCACCGCCATCGTCGAACCAATCAGGGATCCCGACATCTATGCCAAAGTCGGCATTACAGCACCCACAGGCGTCCTACTCTGGGGCCCGCCTGGCTGCGGCAAGACACTGCTCGCAAAGGCCGTTGCCAACGAGTCCCGCGCAAACTTCATCAGCGTAAAGGGGCCCGAATTGCTCAACAAATATGTCGGCGAATCCGAGCGTGCCGTGCGACAGGTGTTTGTACGCGCGCGCTCATCAATTCCGTGCGTGATCTTCTTCGACGAACTCGACGCGCTGGTGCCGCGCCGCGACGACGCGCTCTCCGAAAGCTCAGCACGGGTCGTGAATACACTGCTGACTGAACTGGACGGTCTCGGTAGTAATCGCTCAGGCATATACATCATCGCAGCCACAAATCGTCCCGACATCATCGACCCTGCCATGCTTCGACCAGGCAGGCTGGAAACACTCCTCTTCGTCAATTTGCCTGGCCCCAGCGAGCGCGCTGAGATCCTGCAGACGCTGGTGCGGAACCTGCCCATTGAATTTTCGGAGCAGTTGCGGGGGCTGGCTGAGACCTGTGAGGGGTATAGTGGTGCAGATCTGGGTAGTCTGCTGCGTAGAGCTGGATATGCAGCGATTAAGAGGAGGGACATGATTAAGTTTGAGGACTTTGTGGTGGCCAAGGAGCATATTCGTCCTAGTGTGACGGATTTGAGGAAGTATGAGAAGCTGAGGAGGGACTGGAGTAGTACTTTGCTGTGATAACCTGTATCAATCGATATGTATATAGAGCTACATGTGTAGTGAGCCCTTCTAAGGCTTCAATGCTGTGAGCTACCTCAATGGATATACTACAAAGCAATACAGGTTCTTGACTCATTCCCCCTGTATTTTGAAACTCATTTAGATATCATAATTCTATTCTTCGTCCTACTTCGTGAAGTAAATATTGAATGAAATCTACAAAACGAGGTATATACAAAACTTTTACCAACGCCGCTATGCCTTGATCAGAAAAAAATAACATAAAATAAAATAAGCACATGAAATTAGAATTAGCACCACAACCGACAAGTACCGTCTGCGCCAGCAGAAACACACCAGGGCTGAGCAGGGTGCCAATCCACGTCTAGAACACCCAGCTCGCCCGTGATTTTATGTCCACGGAGGACCTTGAGAGGCACGATGCTAGCGTTGCTGAGCATGTCTCCAGTAACGCTTCCGTGGAAGATTTGAAGAGACCCGTCATCGCTTGCGTCTGCGAATAGCGGGTAGCGGCCGCTAGGATGGAATTTGACTGCTCGGATGGCTTTGCGGTGGTATCGCAGGGTCTTATAGGGCCGGGATGAAAGGTCAACGTCGTGCCAGAGTAAGCGACGATCGTAGGACCCGACTATAACATTGTCCCCTCCAGATGTTGTCGAGGAGGTTGGGTGGATGTCAAATGAAGAGATCCATCGCGCACCTGGTTGCAGGATTTTGACGAGGAGTTGGCGCGAAAGGTCGTAGCCACGGATTGTACGTTGGTTCGCAACGAAAAGAATGGGCTTCGAGGGGTGGAAGTGTGCGGTTTGGGGAGGACCGCCGCCTTTCAATCGACGTCTAAATGGGTTTTGGGTTAGATGCTTTGAGATCGTGTGGATGGCGATGGCCTGGTGAGCTGGTGTCGAGGATCCAGGACAGATGGTGACAAAGTAGTCACCGCGACGATGCCATGAGACTGATTTGGCGATGTATCGTAGTGGGATAGTAACACAGACTCCCACTTCAGCCAGAGCAGATGATGGACGAATCCAGGTGGGAGGCGCGCTTTTAGCAGTTGAATCGCTGCTGTTGGATGATTTTTTACTGGTTGCATATCCCCAGCCAGCATCAAGCAAGTCCAAGCTACTCTTCTCTAGCTCTGGGCTGAGGATTGTAGGGACAGCAAGATGTATATCGTCGCCACATGCGATGCATAACACCGTAGCATCGTGGCCGGGACGCCAACGCACCACATTAATGGGTTCCTCACTGCTCACACTGGCAGTCCATATTTGGCGACCAGTAAGAAGCTCCCAAACGCGTACCGTCCCATCATCGCCTCCACTAGCCAACCATTGTCCGGTAGGGTCAATTGACACTGAACGCACGCGGCCAGTATGGCCCTTGAACAGAGTTGCGCAAGCAGTCGGAAATGGTTTGAGTTCTTCAGGGCTTGGCAACTTAGGAAGCAGGCTTTCAGGGTCAATGTTGAGCTTGTTTCTCCTGACTCTAGGAGCGAGGTATAGATCCAAGCATCGCTCGAACTTCTCTTTGACAAAGTTTTCATACCCAGGAACCTTCCTGAGAGCTGCATAATCCGTGGGAAGAAAGTCTGTCTCTCGGTCTTCCTCTTCGGTTTCCTCCCAAGACTTTCTTTCTTTCTTGTCGGGTATGTACTCAGGAGGCGGGTGATAGCTTTCCTCATACCCAGGCGGAGGAAGTTTGGGTGCTGGGACGTTCATGATATGATCGGGTCTTGGAGCTTCATCAGCCCAGATATCGTACCGAATAACACCTTCTTCGACCTCATCTTCCTCAACCGGAGCCTTGTAGGGAAGAATGCGACCCTCCCGAATGGCGCGCACAATCTTCATCACCCTCTTGGCTTCATGTTTTGAAGGAAGGAAGCGTCGTTTGGGTTCTGGGGCAGCACTAAGAGGCATAATCTCCTCTTTGCTGGTGAACCATTCCACAGTTGGCTCGTAGGGATTGTAGCCCTCTTCTGGGATTTCGTTCATCTGGACCTTTCGCAGCAATTCGAGTTCATCTTGGCTAAGCTCCAATGGCTTTCCCGTTGACGGATCAGTGAGACCTGTCCAGCCCTTGGGGATTTCAATGCTATCAAGAAGTGCATCTAGTGCTTCACCCTTTGCAGGACGCATGATTTTCTTGCCGTTGATATCATATCCGATGTGTGGGTATTGATCGTAAAAGGAAAGGGGGATGTTCCCAATCGTGTTTTGGTTCTCCTCGGCGTCGGAGTAGTCCGAGTTGTCATCCGGGTTGATCTCATCATACACATATCGTTCATTTCCATTCGCATCCTTCACAACCCGGTAATTGGGCTGTTCGTCATCCTCAGGGTCGAGTTGGTTTGCTTCGATCTTGCCGTTGACTGGACGTCCATTTTCCTTTCGCAATGACACACGCAGACCGCCATCATCCGAGTCCGAAGGGATTTCGTCACTGTCAATGTCTGAAACTCCGTCGTCATCCTCATCGCTGAAGTCATTGACGATTTCGACCTCGGAGTCGCTTCCTTCAGACAGGTCATGGGCGTCGTCCGAGAGGTCGAGCTGGCTCAGGTCGTCGCCAGAAAAGACCTCGGGATCTTCCTCGACATCTCTGGTGACAGCCTTCCGCTTCTTGGAAAGCTTCCGAGAATCCATTGGAAGGGGGGACTGGTAGTGGTAAAAGAATAAATATATTCATATACGGAGCCGGGGCAAGAGCCAAAATTATTTCATTTTTTGCTCTTGCTTCTTCCGCACTCACCGCCCACGTGACTCCCCTATCAAGATTAACACTGCACGGCCTTACTGATAATGCGGCCCCGCGCCAGCCATGATATCGCCTCGCCGCTCCTGCCAACACCACCACACCACTAACACAGTGCACTGCCTTTACCACTGCCCATCCTCGTCGCTTCGTGTCTCTGTCCTGCAGCATCCTTGCTCTCTTCTCCCTCGTGGCCTATCCTGCCAGTTCGCGGCTCGCGCATGCATCACTGCATCCCCCCGTCGATCTCGGTCTAGCCCCAGCCAATAGCCAAGCTAGGTCAACTTCCCTCTTGCAGCGTGCGTAGTAAGCTTTCCTGCATCCCGACGTTTCGAGCCATCCCATTATCTCCCTCCCTCCCTCTCTCTCTTCACATCCCCTCTCTGCACTTCATTGTCTCCCTCAACCCCGTACTCGTTCAACACGGTGATGCGCCCTCCTGCTACTCGTCTCTCCCAAAGAGAATTAGTCATCCAGCTGTTCGACGTTTAACTAGTCCTTCTAGTCCTTCTAGTCTGCACAGCACGCCAGCACGCACGCGATCACTGACTGCCTCTTGTCGTCGAACATAGTCCCCAACCCCCCCCAGGCGAGCATCGCGGAATCTCGAATTCCGTGATCTATCGCTGCGTTGTGGTTTTGTAGATGAAGCGCATCAGAAACTACCGGCCCTATGACACCCAGTCCTCCAGATGAGGCGCTACATTTTCGTGGGAAGACTCTGACGCCGGAGAGTCCCCGTCCGCTCCATATTCCGGAGCCGTCGAATATCCCCGTCCTGGAAAATCAGATGGACCCCATCTTCAACGATACCTCGACGTATGAGAAATCCGCAGCCAACCCCAAAGATGGACTGCCCTATCAGTTTACCCAAGATGGCGGAATATATGAAGATGCCAATGAGTACCATAGCCGAAGTGAAGGAACAACTCAAAAGCCAGGTAGTTACCACCCCAACTACTCCAGTCTCCCAGAATATCAACCGAAGCAGCGTTTCCTGCTACCTAGCTGTTGCTGGAAGCCTTCTTCTGCACAATCTAGACAGTCCTGCCCATGTTACTTTCTCCCAATCTCTAGAATTCTCCAAAGGTATTTGCTCTAACTCATTGCTTCAGAATCCACCCAAGCCCCCTCTGCCATAGAATATCAGCAGCAAACCCTGAATCCCACTGCTCGTACTGAGCCAGGCGCTGTTCATTACCCCCAAAGTCAACCATTGGCCAATGAGAACCCCAACAGCCCCAATAAGGCATTGACACAGCTAGTCCAATCTGGTGGAGGTATAAATGCTGCAGGTAACAACGTAGCGGCTGAGGCAGGGGTTGACTTTCAAAGCCTGTTGGATAATATATCTACGTCTGCTTCTACTGCTCTCCCTGATTCTATGGCTGCTGCCGCCTCCTCGCCTTCAAATAATCCCATCATCCAACAACAAAAGCCAATCAATGCGTTGTCAACGTCGGCAGATCTTCCACCACGACCTCCGCCTCAAGATGCGTCCGCGCTCCAATTCGATTATACTTCAGCTAATGATATTCATGATTACCACCAAATCCTTGCCCAGAATCCCAATCAAGCAGGTGCTTATGCACCACACCAGCAAGGTGGTCATCTTAATTCTTCCGCAGTAGCTCCCGGTGTACCTCCAGGCACGACTTCAGGGGCAAGTGGACTACCACCCCCTCCTGTAGCGACATTCCAACATCAGTCTCAACAGAACCAAGCAGTTGCTTCTGAAGCTGTTAGCCAAGCTAGCCATAAAGGCTCAAGGGCTGAAAGATATGGTGGACGCGCTGGCAGTGGTGCAGATGACGAGGCGCCATGGGGTCCTGAGGTTCAAAAGATATATGACGAATTTCTTCGAGATGAACGGGTGTATGTTACCGAAGGCTTGTGGGATCGTTTTCCTCCTGGGTCCAGGCTTTTTGTTGGTATGTGCTTCAGGCCATGTAACAATTGGTTTCTTTGGATTAATTTAGTACTTCAGGAAATCTCCCAACAGAGCGGGTCACGAAACGTGACTTATTCCATGTGTTCCATAAATATGGAAAACTTGCCCAGATATCTATCAAGCAGGCCTACGGTTTTATCCAGTTCCTTGACTCGAGCTCATGCTACCAAGCCCTGCAAGCAGAACAAGGTGGCCTTGTGAGGGGGAGGAATATTCGTAAGACTTTCTCACATTTGGCTTCTTCCAAGACTAACAAGAGATAGACCTTGAAATTTCAAAGCCCCAAAAGAATACCCGGGCCGGACCAAGTCAATCCGACTCAACTCGAGCCTCTGTTTCTAGACGGTCTAGGTCACCGGAGTACTCCCGAGGCCCAAACACGAATAGTCGTGGAGCCCGAAACCAGGCTGGAGACCGTCATGATCGTGGTTATGACTCTAAAAGAGTACCATTCAGTGACTTCAGAGATGAGCATAACTCCCGACGTCGTGACGATTACCGGCCTCCGAGATCTCCATCACCGCGCGGATTTCGCACCCGGGAAGGGGGTTTCCGTTCAAGAGATCGAACCCCAGAAAGATTTGACCGACGTGACAGACGCAGATCACGATCTCCTTACGGGAGGGACCGTCGCTTTCGGAGTCCTAGCCCTCGCGGCAGACCATACGATGCGGAACATGACCTTTCTTTTTCGCGCCGTCCACCAAGAGAGTTACCAGATCTGCAGATCTTAGCTTTTGATGACGTTGACAAGTTAGTATCAGGAAATTTATTATGGCTTCTACTTTAATAACAAATATCCAGGAAATTCGTCTATCATGTGGAAGGTTCGTTTAAAACCCGAGGACTTCGAGTCGACGTATCTATTGAACCTCCCGCGTATATGGATACGGCAGTACAAAGACAAATGAACGAAGGAGTACCCGCAGTCGTGAAAATTTCGAGAAACCAACAGTACTCGAGCAAAGTAACCTTGCTAACCTTTGATCGCACCGCTGGGAGTAGCAAGCCTCGCCTGAATGGTAAGTCTATGCACCCGGATCTACTTCAGCTCTAACAACATTATATAGAATACCCAGACTTGGATTTGCATCTTGCTGTAGAAATGACTGTGCACGCCCAATCTCTCCGACGAGCTGGCGGTGCTACAAACCTCTATCAACCAAATATTCCATTCACTGTGCCGGCAATGATGAATCAATTTCCCCAGGCACTTCCACAGGCGCAGCCAGTGAACCCAAATGTTGCAAATCCCAATCAGTTCGCAAATCTCATTTCGACGCTTGACGGACCATCACTCCAATCACTCTTAGGTGCACTCCAACAAGCGCAGTCGGCGTCTCATTCAACCCCGCAATCAATCCCCATTGCACCCAACGCTGTCAACCCGGTTGATCTCGCCAGCCTTCTCAACAGTGCAACTCACCAACAAAATCCGCTACCTACAATGACAAATCCCGGTACGCGTCAGCCTCAGCCACCTCCATCATTTGGCTTACCGATACCTCCTCAACCTGCCAACCGTGCAGATCCAAATCTACTTGCGCTTTTGGCGAAGGGGCTGAGTAGTGGAAATCCCTCCCAAAACCAAGCTGCAGTTGGCTCTCAGGTCCAAAGCATTGTCAATCAGTTATCCAAATGGAAGCAGTAGACGTGCGTTCATGTAGAAAAATTTCCTCTATGCCCTCTTCTCTCAATTATAGCGTTTCTTTTTGATGTTACCTTTTGCGATTCATTTGCTAGACTTTTGGGTTTTATCGTTCATAATTTGCATTCGGATGGTGACTGGCGAATAGTGGGAGCGTGAATGATTTATCCTGTTGTTTTCTATTTTTTTTATTTCATTTCATTTTCTTTTCACGGTGTTTGGACATATTGTAATTTTGCCCGTCCTTTCTCGAGTGGTGATGAATATACACGTATGCTCAATGCCCTCTTAACCACGATATCATACAAACATTCAAACTGCTATCGTACAGCATTTCCCATTACCTATAACCCCAGTAATCACCCTGCAGCCCATTATCGAGCCTTATTCTTCGCCACCGTCGCCGCATCCTCTTCCTTTATCCGCGCGATTGTTTGATCCCTGTTATACTCCATAACTCTCTTCTCCTTGAAATATTTCACCTAACAGCCAATCAATCAGTAAACAACCTTCTCGCCCACAATAAAATTAGTCACAAACCCATGCTTTCGAACAAGCCGACTCGAACTCCGCAATCTCCTTCCCGCACTTTTTGCGCGCATCGGCATCGTTTTTGACCGCATCGAGGATGTCGTTTCGGTCCAGGCAGTCGAAGAACAAATCCCGCCCGTTGTAGCAGTGTTCGCGTGATGATCTGTTCGGCGCAATGCGGCCGCCATCGGAGGCTTTGGTTGTGTCTGGGCTACTTGAGAACCAGCCCATGATGATCTTCGAGTCTGAGGTGTTGTGTTGTGTTGGGGATGGAGGTCTGTCTTACTGGTGCCAGTGATGATGTCGAAGAAGCCGGGCGGCAGAAATGCTTGGCGCCGGAGCTCGGCTGGCCTCGTGGCAGTCGGAGGACAGACCAGCTTCTTTATTTTCCTCTTACACATTCACAAATAACAAATCGACCATCCACCCATCGGCTTACTATTTCTATAACCTCTGTTACTGGCGCAACTCTCTCCCTGGCGGAGATACCAGACGTACCGCCTTCCAATCCTGCTCCTTTTCGATGTCGAATCAGCGTCCCCGGAACCTATCGACAAGTTTATAACGCAACTGTCATCCGCTGTATCACACATACCACACCCCTGGGTGACTACACGCGGACTCGGTCTCTAAAAGCAGCTCAGTTCACATTTCATGCCCCCGCGCCGCCGGCCTCCTCGCCCCGGGGCGCTGACGGAGCTCCCGCCCTTGTTAATCGTGCGCAAGATCCTGCTGCTGCAAACCATATACTATGTCTGCGCCACCGCGCTTGTCCTGTTCACCAGCCTGGTTGCTGGGACGGCGTTCTCTCTAGACCTGATTTTCAGTTGGGGCAGTGTGCGCGGTGATACGACGGTGGGATGGATGTTGGGATTGGTGTGGATGCTTAACAGCTTCATATGGTGCGCCCCTCTCTTCCTCTCCCATTACTATCACGCTATTATTAATGATTGATGATTATGATTAGTGTCATATTCCTCCTCCTCATCGTCTCGCGCTCAAAACTAATCCCCGATTTCGCGCTCACAATCCACTTCATACACCTGCTCATCGTCTACTTCTACACGCGCTCCATCCCTAGAAACCTACTCTGGTGGTCTCTCCAGCTGGCCAGCGCCGCGCTGATGACTTTTGCTGGGATATGGATCTGCCAGCGCCGCGAACTGCAGCCGATTTCGTTCGGTGCACTCCTCGGCGGTGGCGGTAGTTCCGCTGACAGTGGTGGCGGCACTCGGGCCGGCGAGAATGGGGAATCGGCGACGCTGCTGAATGCAGCGGAGGAGGATTTAGAGAATGGTTTTGCAAGTGTCTCGCGAGGGCGTGGTCGAGGACGGAATCGTGATGGGGGAGGAGGGGAGTTTGAGATGATGCCGATTAAGGAGTCGGATGAATCAAGTACATGATGATAATCAGCTATTCAATGTTTTTTTTTTGGTGTCTTTTTTATATTAATCTGTCAGTATTTGGTTCATGTGCGTGTATATGAGTATATACCCTGTGGAATTTTATTTGCTGATCCCATTCATAGTCTGTACATATGTAATACATCTATTACGATTAATCAATTATATATGTAATTAGTCCACGCCGAAAGCGTATACATGCATGCACACAGTAACAAAATAACATTAATGTAGTATCCTGCATTACTCGCATCGAACCATTGTTGAGCTATGCAAGAACATTCCCAAAAAGGAAAGTCTGGGATAGCCCATCGGTCCACCATGAAAGCGGGGTATCCAGATAGCTGCCTATCAGTAGAATTAATAATCATTACTTTACGTACATAATAAACAGTGGAGGTTTCTATTACTTATCGCCTCTTTCTTGGCGTCTGGACTGCAAACCCCGCCTTTGATATGATTCTGCTTGTGCATAACATGGAGGAGGGGAGCTAATCAAGACACATTTAAACCTGCTGCCCTTATCTCGTATTATTAAGTAATATCTGTAGTTCCTCACGCGTATAAAACCGGGGTCAACCGCTATCAGGCGAGAATGGGCGATTGATTGATTCTTCACCAAATAAAATTGCACAAGTTTCTTCTTCTTTCCTTTCTGTGAAATGGCTGAATGGGAAAAGATAGCTGCTGACAAGCGCGTTCGTCTCGAGAAGACCATCCCGCCAGAATGGAAACTCAAGGGTATACCAGACAGCGACTCGTTCCTGGTCGTGCCGGCGCAAACGGGCATTTTGTCTGACGCTGAGTTGGCGATTACGGAGTCGTCGGCAACAGACCTGGTGGCCAAACTGGCGAGTGGAGAGCTTAAGGCTGTGGATGTGACGCTGGCTTTTTGTAAACGGGCGGCGATTGCGCATCAGTTGGTGCGTATAGACCTCATGCTGATAGGGGAAGTATGGAAGCACGTATTGACTGAATGGTGTTTTTGGGATAGGTGAATTGCAGTCTCGAGTTCTTTCCTGAATTGGCACTGGCTCAGGCCAGAGATTTAGATGTCTACTGGGAACAGAACAAGAAACCCGTTGGTCCGCTCCATGGCCTGCCGATCTCGCTCAAAGACCAGTTTCGCGTCAAGGTAGAGAATTTCTCATAACAAAGATGCCTCTTATGCTGATGAGCTTGGGTAGGGCCTGGAGACGTCTATGGGCTATATCTCATGGCTGAACAAGTACGAAACCGACGAATCAGTCATGGTAACCCTCCTCCGCAAAGCCGGGGCCGTATTCTACGTCAAAACCAGCGTTCCGCAGACGCTAATGTGCTGCGAAACAATCAACAATATCATCGGCCGAACCCTTAATCCGCGGAACAAGAACTGGTCTTGTGGCGGCAGTTCAGGTGGTGAGGGGGCGATGGTTGGTATTCGGGGGGTGTTATTGGTGTTGGAACGGATATTGGTAAGACAGAAACGTTTTTTTGAGTGGAGTTGTTGCTGATTTTGAATAGGTGGCTCGATTCGGGTTCCTTCTGCATTCAATTTCCTGTATGGTATTCGTCCAAGTCATGGAAGAATGCCGTATGCTAGGATGGCGAATAGTATGGAAGGTCAGGAAACTGTGCATAGTGTGACAGGACCAATTGCGCATTCTGCTGCTGGTCAGTTAACTTACCTTTGAATATCTGCCAGTGACTATCTAATGTTATTCTTCAGACATCAGACTGTTCCTCACATCGATTCTGAGCGAAGAGCCCTGGAAATACGATTCGAAAGTCATCCCTCTAGAATGGAGGGCCCATGAAGAAGCCATTATCAAAAACAAGCTCCAGTCCGGCGGACTTACTATCGGCTTCTACAACTGCGACGGGGTCGTTCTTCCCCACCCCCCAATCCTTCGAGGAGTCGAAACGGTCGTGTCCACACTCAAAAAGAACGGCCATGAAGTCGTCGAGTGGCCACCCTACAAACACGACTACGCTGTTGACTTGATCTCCGCCATCTACACCTCCGACGGCGGCGCCGACGTCCGACGTGATATCAGCGCATCCGGCGAGCCCGTAATATCCAACATCACAGACCTTCTAGACCCTAGCATCCAAGCCGTAGACATGGTCCAACTGTGGGATGTACAGCTGCAGAAATGGCGGTATCAGTCCGAATACCTCGAGAAATGGCGGGAGATGGAGGTGAAACTTGGCAAGGAGCTTGACGCCATTATTGCGCCTGTCACTGCTACGGCTGCGGTTCGTCATAATCAGTTCCGGTATTACGGATATGCGTCTGCGATCAATTTGCTGGATTTTACGAGTGTTGTTGTTCCGGTTACGTTTGCGGATAAAGGTGTGGATGTTAAAAATGAGGGTCATGCGCCGTTCAGTGAGGTTGATAGGTTGGTTCAAGCAGAGTGTAAGTGTATTCTTCTTTGGCTGTGATGTTGTGACTTGATGAATTGTTTATTGACATGTTATAGATGATCCGGAAGCATACCACGGTGCTCCGGTTGCCGTGCAGGTAATCGGACGTAGATTGAGCGAGGAGCGAACATTGGCGATCGCTGAAGAGATTGGACGCCTGCTCGGAAACGTCGTTACTCCTTAAGTCAAGCATGATATAGTGATTTTATGTTGGACATGGGAATATGAATCATCCTTTAAGATCAATTAATCTGCTGGCGAATTTCCGTGTTATATCCGGTCTCTCAAAATCATTATTCCGAGATCGGCATCTTCTGTTCTGAAATAATATTATTAAATAATAATAATGTTGGCTTCGTAAGTTGATGTGATGTTGTTGATAAGAGCAAGCGCCCTAGGTCAACATCGTGATAGTTGATCGGTGTGTATCCGATTGGCCGAGCATGCCGAGAGAGCGATGACCCCTCTTGCCGGGATTCCATAGTTATATACTTCGTCTCATCTCTTATCGACCGAATATTTGCATGCAACATACAAAGCAGAAACATACCTTCAATATCTATTCATCGCAAAATGTCTTCTACTCTTACCGAAACCGTAACCTCGCCCGCTCCCCAAGTAGTCAGAGTGGCGGATGAACAGGAAAGTAACCTGCCCCCTCTCCCATCAACAGAGGACGACCCTAATTTCCAATCGATTGCTCGTGGAAACCGTACGGCCACGTTGAAGCTGCGCGGCATCCCGACCTTTAAAGATCTATATGCGCAAAGACAGTGGATGAAGCAGCACATGGCTGCTGCATTCCGGTTCTTTGGGAAGCAAGGATATGGAGAGGGTGCTTCGGGGCATATTTCTATGAGAGGTGAGTTTCATTATAGAAATGCTGATGGTATTGATGTTCTTGGTTAATTGTTCGTTTAGACCCTGTTCTCAAAGATCACTTCTGGATCAACCCCTTTGCAAAGCACTTTTCCATGATCAAAGCATCGGACTTGGTGCTTGTTGATAGCGACGGCTATGTGTGCGAGGGCGGCAACCAGGCCGTGATTAATGAGGCCGGGTTCATGATCCATTCGGAAATACACAAGGCTCGTCCGGATGTGGTTGCTGCGGCCCATACTCATGGTGTTTATGGCAAGACTTGGAGTGCGTTTGGGAAACCTATTGAGATGATTAGTCAAGGTGGGAAAATGCCAAGCTATTATATACGTTTCAAACAAAACACTGACTTGGGGCAGATGCTTGCAATCTGTATGGAAAACTGAGCGTGTATGATGACCACGGCGGTGTTGCACTCGCACGCGAAGAGGGACAGGCGATTGCCAATGCGTTAGGAGATAACATGGCATGCATCTTACAGAACCACGGGTATGATTAGGTCTGATATCCTAGACTCTAACATTATCCAATTAACGTAAGATGATAGGCTATTGACTGTCGGAAACACAGTCGATGAGGCAGCATTCCTCTTCTACAGTCTCGACAAAGCATGCCAGGGTCAGCTCCTAGCTGAAGCGGCGGCTGCAAATGGGATTCCTAAAAAGATCATCCCCGATCACATCGCGCAGTACAGTGCGAAGACGGCTCAAAACCCGGTACGTTATTCTAATCATAAAATTGAGGGAGTGAAATATCGCTGATTCGGAGATTGTGTGCTTGCAGCATAACCTCTATCTGGAATTCCAGCCTGAGTTCGAGCTTATAGTGGAAGAGTCCAATGGCAAAGTGCTCGAGTAGATGAGCGGGTTGAGCATCGCGTTAGTTATGGACAGTCAGTGAAATGAATGTTCTCGGCAAATTAGAAGCCTGATCATCTTTAAATATCGAAACATTCAAGAAATATTGTAGAAGAGATGCCAATCAAGTCTGGGTTGGCTTATATAGAGGCCACGTGACAGAAAATGGGCTAGCCTATTATGGACTAGATCAAGGCATCGCCCAATCCTGTCTCGACCGAGCAATGCATCCAACATTCATAATTATAATTGCAAGTTGAACAAGTCATCACGGAGTGTTGTGAATAGAAACGGGAGGGAAAAAATCTAGTTAGATTGCCTGCATGGATCAGAAATAAATGGCCCAATAACTTCTGCATGCCGTGATCTTCAATTCACAACGGTTAACTTGATCCATATCGATTTTCTTGACCCCTGTACCAGCCATTGTGCATCGCCTTCACCAACATGGCAGAAGGCGAGCCATCATACATTGACTACGACACATTTCTCGACGCTGATTTCAATGCTGCGTCATTTGCAAATACACTCGTGACCAGCACGAATAATATCAATGACACACAACTCGATCTGGCCACGCCTCTCTCTCGGGTCTTGTTTGATTTACAAGAAATAGACACCCACATCCACAACCTAACTACCAAATCTGCCCTCCCTCTTTTATCATACACTCAAGACCAGACGCAGGCAAGCCAAAGGATTCTCCAGGAAGTCGAGAACCAAGTCTCATCTGTATCCGATGGGTACGAGCGACTCGAAAGAGAAGTTGGCCAGAAATGGGCTAAGGCCGAGGAAGCCAGAATCGCCTCGGAGAATTCCTGGGCGGTTCTTCGGCTGTCTCGCGCTGTTGGGAGATGCATCACACTCGGCAGACAACTAGAAGGCCAGCTCGCCGAAGTGACTGGGCGAAGTACAGGCGGAAAAGACGACCATCGCGCAATGGTGCGCGCAGCTAACACAATCCTGATGCTGCGGCAAATGTTCTCTGCGACTGGCGAAGGAGAAGAAGCACATGGAATGGACCGTGTCAAAGTCATTCGGACCCTGAGAAGCGACCTTGTCAATCCAGCTGAAACCACCACCAAGGCGAGAGCGCAGCAGGTGATTAACCGATTCTCCGTCTCGACACTTGCGGCTAGTAGCAGTGCAGGTGGCACGCAGTCGCCGCCACCTACTGCTGCTTCTTCTACATATGTGCAAACAGAGGAAGCAAAGGCCAGACTATCGTCAGCTATCACGACACTATACCTCCTCTCGCCCACCCCGAAGCTAGGAACCTCTGCAGCCGACTTCCAGCCCGAGCTGCTCCTTTCTACACTACAGGGGTATATTCATAATACGCTTACCGCATCTCTGTCGTCTGTTGCGAGGGCACTAGCAATGTTGCCATCTCTTGACCGCGCACTTTCAGAGGTATCGAACCGATGCCAGGATCTAGCAGCCTTAGAGGCTCTTCTAGCTGGCACCAAACGACCAAGCCATCCATTATTATCGCCTCCCAACAAAGAGACAAATGGAGAAGGCGGAAACGACAACAATAACAACCTCCTTCAACCTCTCCTCCACGCCCTAGATACCTCCTCCATACCATCATACTACTGGCGCTCACTCGCATCGTCGCTGCCGGCACGCGTGCAAGAGATTCTCAATCGTGGAGGCGTTTCGGCGCGAGCTCTCCGATCCAACCGCGATCGACTAAGGACGGATCTTCGAGATTGCGTTCTCCGTGGCTCGCAGATACCGTCTAGTCTGGGGAAAGGTCGGACTGGAGTGGTGACTGGGAATTGGGAACGGGAGGCAGCGGTCATGGTTAGCTCGGTGGTTGGCCCTTTGGGGCGGTAGTACGGATATATAATGAAGTGGATATACGTGGCTACGAAATCATTTAATGTACTGTACATTTATATCGTCTTGAAAACAAAGGACATCCCTGGTGTATGTACATTAATATTAAGATGAAAATTGTATGTGCCAGATCAACTGGGCTAGATATATCATTGATCTATTGAGTAACGATAATTATGCCCTTCACTGGCCAAATTAGGACCTTGGCTCTTCACAGCTGTCTAGTCCATGTTTGACCCTGGATCCTCAGAATGCTAGATCGTTCTCATATTGAGAGTCCATAGTGATCACCATTTGTATCAGTAAACAAGCAGCCCCACCACCCATCAAGCTTCTTGCGCATACCAGGCAGAATGTGGATACACTCTCCATTTCCCTCGTCGTTGAGAGAAACCGTTCCCTGTAGGGATATGCTGCCATAGTCCGACATGATACATCCTGAGATGTCAATGTTAACGCCGTCTTTAGAGAGCATTTAAACCCGGCTGGCAGATGGACTGGTTTCAACTCCCAGACTCGGTATACCTTTTTGTTGCCAGGGGTGTTGTGTTTAGTGATGCCTGGAGTGAACAGGATTGCCGTGGTTGCCTAATTCGCTGGGACAATTTATGGATATGACCTATAGAGGACGTGAAGATTCAGCGGTTACTGGTATTCTTATCCTAAACTGGCTGATAAAAGCTAACATTTTTTAGAGAGGACATTCGCTTAGAGATGCGAATTTTATATATCCCTCCTTTAAGGGGAAAGAGAACTATAATCTGTTAATACGTACTGAAGGGCTGGGGTACTTTCTTATTGAACAATTACAGAACAAATACCCTTTTGTCCACTTTGCTCACTTTACCCAATTTAATTTTGCCACCAAAAAAGAATGTGAAATAAAGCAATAACCCTTAGTCCTCAGTTTCATGTATGCCATCAACGACCAACTACAAGGTAGGCTCCTATAGTTTGAATGACGCCACAGCTCTGTTAATCATAAAGAAGAATGGGTGTGTACGGTTGATTCATACCGTGCCTGGAAAATGGTACACTGACAATGGGAGTAATTCTAAATTTTCAGTATGCTAGTGAAATCCCCTGGCTAGACCGAAACACCCGGGATAATGTCAAATGGAGTATCAATGTTACTGCAGTCTGCGCGAGGAAAAATGAACCCACCAATCACTTCTTGGTCTGCTGCTGTCTCTACTGAAGAAATTTCTCTTACCTGGCCTCAAAAGCTCCTTGACTGGTACTTCTCCGACATCAGTGGCGCTATATGGTCTCCCAATGTCCTAACATACCAATATCCCTGCAATACAACATTACCGGACTTTATATTTGCCTTAGGTAACGGAACATTCACTTGATATCATCGATCCTACATATCGTATTTGATTTCTATCGTTATCTTGCCTCCATTCTTGATTCTTCCAGAATTGACAAATTTTATTCCATTATAGATTGCTTGCAATACATGAATGGTTACGTGGCATATCTCCTATCTCCATCAAACCAATGTAGGACGCGTATAGAGGGTTCATTCGTTAACACCTCCGGTTGCGACTTCATCGTCACGAAAGCCATGATTTCCCAAAAGTTTGCCATCGATTTTTATAGGTTCGGCAGCTGCCATTTAATCAGCCATGGAATAACTTTGCTTCAACATTGACATTACCAGTCAGGATGAAATAGACCCTTGTTGGCACTGAACCATTATTTGTCCATTTATGTACTGTGCCCCGCTGGACGCATGTATCACCAGGTTTCAGATGGACTACCACTCCATTATCAAGAGTGCTAATAAAAAGTGAGGACCTCGTAGGAATAGTCTCAGATCTTCTAACTTACCAGTCAATTTCGCCTTGAAATACAATGCCAAAATCTAAAGACACAGTCCGATGAACAAGCTGTGGGAAGAGATCAGTAAATGAAAGTGAATTTGATGTCGTTGAACTCACAGTGTCGGTGTGGGGTGGAAAATCTACCACTCGCAATACAAGACCCTTGTCATTCGCAAGACTGGACGTCTCTCTTTCCACGGGATCCTCGTCTCCCTCGTTGTTGGCAGGAAACTGGTGGGTCTCCCATAAAACAGCGAAATTTGCTTTCAGAGGCGTTGGTACGCATGGAATGTTGCTGTCTTTCAGAACGATAGCGTTGCCATTGGCATCATGTCCCGTGACAATTCTCCTAGGATCTGGAAACAAAGACATACTTTCTAATAATTGAGATATAAATAGCGATAACAAAACCTTTCTTGGGCTATGTTGTAAGACACAATTGCTTGAAATTATAAACTTGGAGTTCTTTGCACGTTTATATACATTAATTACAACAAGCTATACACTGGTACTATTAAGTTTTATTCTACATTCAATTACGATACAGACTATTTGCTTCAAGCTCGGATAATATAGGTAATTTTCCGGAGTCGTTCATTATCAGCAAATCCCAAGTGTGCATAAGCCAAACCAAATATGTTTGTAGAGGAGCGTAGGAGAGATGAAAGTAGTCTCCTGTGTGTCAAATGTCGACTATCTACGCCTTCGTTGGCTAACTGCTGTGGGCACCAAAGTAGGTCGAATACGCCTGGGGTTCAGGTTCCATATTTCCATTTTGACTGGTAACCTAGAAGGGAATTCCATTCACCCGGTTTGTTGAGCCGTCGCAAGGCCGCTAGAATTCTCATTCTCATTTTCCGATCCTACATGGTACGTGTTACTATGTCGGGCTAGTTAATTTCCCGAACATCCGTTCGGCCAGTCCATATCAGAAGACCATCCTGATAGAACTTTGATAGAACCTCGGAAAACTAAATGTGCGTGTCTGTTAACAACCCCGTGACGTGGACTGGGGTCCCTGCAATATTCCGGCTCTTTGGCACCACGGAGATACATGGTAAGACTTAACTGGCAAAATGGGGCGAAGCCATCTTACAAACTTTATTAAAAAGAAGTCAATGGGTCGTTCAATCGGCTTGCGTAGTCTGTAACGCCTCCTACTCTTTCGCCTGACGGACATTCAAGATATACTATGAAAACTATTCTATTTATTTCCTTCTAAAGCTATTCGATCTAAACAGAGGGGTTTCCCCACAATTACCAGAGAAACCATGGCAACTCCTATTAAGAAAGACCTCATGAAGCTCGATGAGACTTCTTATTCATACATCTTTGAACAAGATGTGTCCATTCCGCTGAGTGGCGGCGTGCTTATTCGAAGCAATATCTATTATCCAAAGGGAGTCAAGCAAGGTGAAAAGTATCCCGTTCTCGTTACGTACGGGCCATATGGAAAGGACGTTCCATATGAGGCGTAAGTTCGTCATAATTCGCACTCTCTATTTGTACGACGTGAAAGCAGGTGCTAATTTCTGTATACGATCAGATTTCGGCCGACAAGTTTTGCAGAACTGAACCCTGACCATAAATCTAATCATGCGGCATGGGAGACTCCATTCCCTGCATATTGGACTGAACACGGCTACATTGTGATTCGGGCGGACGAAGTTGGTATCGGTCAATCTCCCGGAGTATTGGACGTCTGGTCAAAAGTTGTGCTTGACACTTTTTGCGAGCTGATAGAATGGGCTGCAGAGCAAAAGTGGTCTACCGGAAAAATCGGTCTTACGGGAATTAGCTATTACGGCGCGATCCAGTGGCAGGCAGCGGCACGGCATACAAAAGGTCTCGCTGCCATTATTCCATGGGAAGGCTTTGCCGATCTCTATCGAGATGCTACACGTCACGGTGGTATCTTGAGTAATGGATTTTTGCGGTACTGGTATGATCTTCAGGTTGTACCAAATCAGTATGGGTATCCTGGTCGAGAAGCTACTGGCTGGGGTCCAAATACTTCGGAAGGTAATCTGACCGCAGAAGAACTCGAATCGTCTAGGGTAGATATCTCGGATAGGAGTTGGACCTACCCATTTGCCGAGGGTGATCGTTTCACAGCCTGGGATGTGAAATTAGAAGACATCAGAGTTCCCCTTCTAAGCGTTGCAAATTGGGGAGGTACAATGCTGCATCTTCGTGGAAATGTTGAGGGCTTTGTGCGAGCCGGTTCTACGTTCAAGTACTTGCGCTTCATTACGGGGAGGCATGATTTACCATTCTACTATCCGGAAGAGGTAGAGCTTCAGAGAAGCTTCTTAGATGCATTTTTGAAGAATGAGGATAGAGACGGTTGGTCCAAGAAAGGTGCGATTCCGGCAGTAGACCTAGTTCTCCGGAAAGGTGACGTAGGCTACAACGATCCTAACGCGGAACTCACTTATCCTCGCCGAAAAGAGACTGAGTGGCCTATTGCGCGGACTCAGTATAGAGACCTCTTCTTGACTCCAGCAAAAGAACTTCTTTTCTCTAAACCAAGTGCTGACGGAGAAAAATTAGGCTACAAGGCCCTAGGCACATTAGAAAGTCCACAGTTGATCTCATTCACTAGCCTTCCTTTTGAATCTGAGACAGAGGTGACAGGGCATATGGTCGCTCATCTCCATGTCTCCGTGGCCGCAGACTCTTCAGGCCCTGTTCCATCGGATATTGATCTTTTCTTATCCGTTCGTCATCTCTCGAAGTCAGGCAAGGAAATCAGCTACACGGGCACCCTTGGTGGACCAAATTGTGTGACAAAGGGATGGCTGCGAGTGAGTTTGCGGAAAACTAATCCAGAACACCCTTTACATCGACACTACCTTCCACGTCGTGAGTATCGCTCCGTTGATCAGCTGCCCGTGGTCCCGAACGAAATATATGCGGTGGATGTGGAACTCTGGCCGACAAATGTAGTTTTGGAGAAAGGAGAACGACTTGTGTTCGAAATTAGTTCTGGAGATACTCCTGGTGTGGAAATTAGTGTTCATAATTACCCTCCTGATAGGTTCGTGCCTTCTCGTCTTTTGTCACTATTGGCCTCGGTCTATTTCGAGGACACATAGATATGGACATATTCCGTTCTTTAGGATTAGGTTTTCGCGGTGAATCATACTAATTTGAGTCAACAGGTCGGCAGAAAAATTCCAGGGCACCAATTTCATTCATTTTGGACAACACCATGTCAACTACCTCAGGGTTCCTATTATTCCACCACAATAGTATGGAAATATGACGGTGACCGTGTACTGTAAGTGTTGCTTGTTTATATTCAATTTAAAGCTAATTCTCAAAGACGCTAATTTATGTATAGTAATATAGCTACTCGAGTAGAAGAATATATAAGGGCTTTTTTGTGAATTGGCTCCCTGGTGCTTCATTGAATATTGTATTACACGCGAAATAGCTGAATTATTGTCGAGGGTTATGTCACTATGTTTTTCATTTTAACTAAGTGCATAGGACACGATGCCTGTTCACCGTGCAGATTTGCAGTCTTCCTGTGTGTATACATCAGCAATGGAAGACACCAGACAAATATGTTTATCTGCAGTCATGATCAAGACAACCCATATTCACGGTGGACTTCTAGGTTCGCGGAGCTGCTTAACCACCCTGAATACTAGATAAGGCACAGGGGCTCAGGTTTAAATTCAAGTATAGCGATGGCAACTAAGAGAAAGTAAAATTACTTCGGTAAATGGGTTGGGTTGGGCTGATATCTTCAATATTCAAAAGCTTGCTACTTGATATATCGCTACCTTTGAGGCAGGTATCAACCGATCCCATATAGAAATATCCACTATGACGGTCTTTTGCCCAACGAAAGATGCATAGATAAAAAACAGACCCTATGGATAGACATTATAATATTATATATTAACCCGGATCAACCTACGGAAAAGTCCGCAATAATATAAACCTTATGAAATAAAGTTTATATAATACAGTTAATAGGGTGATAGCTGTAAGGAATGTAGCAACGCCCCACGTCGCTCAAAGCCCGAATATTGACAATAGGCCCGGGAAATTAACAACCAAGTCCGGGAAATTAGTAAAAATGAACTGGATGTAAAGTTAACGTCCTTCTGCCCGTAAGCTCCCCAAATTTCCGACCGGCATTCTTCGGTCAACATCAATTACATAAGTCCTGGACTTGTTCTTCGCAGAATGAAACCAGTTGGCCTGTCCGAGATTGGATTTTAGTCACTGAACAAGATCAAAAATTTTCCTTACCATAGTTACTCAAAATGACTAAATCTAGTGACGAGAACTTCATCAAAGGGGAGGTCGCTCACGATGAGATAGTCCAATCCGAGCTTATCGGAAGCCCTGGTCTTCACAACAAGCACAAATCACCTCTAGAAAAGCGTCTTCTGCTGAAGGCCGACAGCGTGATATTGCCTTTAGCGGCATTGGCTTTCTTTGCATCCTACTTGGTATAATCATTATCCCCCATCCCTGATGTCAGAGCGATATCAATTCACAGAACACGATAAGTTACTAACGACATAGGATCGTAACTGCATAGGAAATGCCAGAGTTATGGGCCTCCAGGTAGACTTGGACATGGATGATAGCCAGTTTTATAACTGTCTTACTATGTACTGTGTGTGGAGTCTCCTTCAATCCTACAATCTAGACTAATAACGTGCTCGAAGTTATTGGGTATATATTGTTCGTCGGGTTCGCGAACGTGACATCTCGTAAATTCAAGCCTAACCGTGCAATTGGCTGTGCTCTCGTCTTCTTAGGCATCTGTCTGTGCGGTATGGGATCGGCTCAAAATTATGCGACGATACTCGCCCTCCGCATCATGCTCGGGTTTGGCTGTAGTTTCGTTCCGATCATTACTGTCTATGCAAGCTTGTGGTACAAACGTGATGAGCTGGCCTCTAGAACTGGTGAGTTGTTTGCCTCGGGGTATCGACAGTTCTTTGTTGACAAATGAATATCCCTCTACTATTCCGCCGCCACCATCTCTGGAGCATTCGGAGGTCTGATTGCTTATGGAATACAGCATGACTTAACATACACGGTCACCGGGCGCCATCCATGGGCATGGCTTTTCCTCATTGAAGGATTGTTGGCTGTCTTCGCTGGACTCCTAGTCTTGGTCCTGCTTCCCCGATTTCCTGACGATCTTCGTGCGCGCAACCGAAAGCATTGGCTTTTCACTAAGGAAGAAATCGACTTAGCTGCAGATCGTTATAGCAGTAAGTCCCTTCAGACTGCATATTTAACGACGTTGCTCTAATTCGGGACCAGCATATAATACCGCGGGGGAGAAAATCCAGTTTGGTCAAATCGTGGCTACATTCAAAGACCCAAAGACTTATCTCTTTGGCATGTGTCAGGGAGCAAGCGTGCTTGGTGTTTCCGTGGTTGGGTCCTTCTTGCCAACATTCATCGTTAATTTAGGCTTCAGCGCATGTAAGCTTTGAAGTCTCGCAGTCAGGCATCTCTCGTCACTAACAACTCATTGCCTAGTACATACCCAATTGTTCAGCATCATTCCGTATGCTTGTGCCTTCTTCTGCGTTATCTTCGCAGGCATCATGTCCGACCGCTGGAACTCCAAAGGCCCGTTCCTCTTCTTCGGCTACGTCATCGGATGCATAGGCTACATCCTACTTCTCTCCACACCTAACGCGATCGTAGGAATCATTGCTGTATGTCTCATAACCTCTGGCTGCTATACCTCCATCATACTACTCCCCATCTGGCTTGCCATCAACACTGGTGGATTCACCAAGCGCGGATCCGCCTGGGCCTTCGCAGAGCTCGTCGGTCTTTGCTTCTCAATTATGGGCACCCGGATTTATACCGAACCACCACGATTTACTAAGGGACATTCAGTTGTTCTTTCCCTGAATGCTCTTGCCGGGCTGTGTGCTGTGGCGTCTTACTACTGGATGAGATATCTGAATAAGAAAAAGGATGGTATTCAGGCTGACTATGAAGCGCGCGGTGTGTTACATCCGCATATTGCGTCTCACGCTACTTTGGAGGAGGTCTGCGACAATCACATCACTTTCAGGTACGTTCTGTAGGTTTGATGTTATTTTTATTACATGATTTGGTACTGCAGTAACTACAAAAGCAATTGAAGTACAGAAATTAAGTATCTGAGAAATCTATATTACTTCATAATTCAGTATCAGCTTTGACGCTCGCCTTCGCGATATCAATTGCTTTCTGCTTATGGAGCTTGACGCAATTGTGTAGAATTTCTGTAGAAAAAAAAGGCCGGAAGAGACAATGAGGCTTGCTAGAAAAACCTAGATTGTTGTACATTTCGAAGTCAAACTCAAAACCTAGAAGAAAACTGATGGTTACGATTAAGTTTAAAGGAGACGGAAAATAATGCGGGGTTATGTGATAAATCGTGTATTGTAAGCCCATGTGGGATTCCCCCGCTTTCTCCAAAGCAACACCCCTTCGCCGAAATATCGAATAAAATTCACGCCGTCTAACGGCTTCCTGCATACTAATAATCAGATACTCATGTACGCCCGCCCAGGTCGACCGATCAAGGCATGCGAAACATGCAGGACTCAAAAGGTATTTCAATGCTTTCTATTCAACAGCCACTAGATAGCCACTAATGTAAATTAGGCTCGCTGCTCAGGTGACAGGCCTATTTGTACGCGATGCTCACGTCTAAGGAGAAGCTGCAATTACAACTCCGAGACTCTGGAGATGCCAAAGACCTTGCAGCCGCAGCAAGTCCCAGATCTAGCTAATCCTTCTCTTCAACCACCATACACAACTGCTCCCAGGGTTGGCCACTCTCAGAGTCGCCACGCCGGACAAGTTAGCAATTTTGCTTACTGCCCTCCTTCAGTACACCTTACCTCTCCAGTAGAAGAACGATATCATGGAATCCCGTCATCACTTTTATTAGATCTAGTTGAAGTATACTACGCACACGTAGGCAATGCTTCTCTTGTTCTACATAAAAGATCATTTCTAGAACAACTAGAAGCTGGCATAGCCTGCCCTCATGTTGTTATAAGCGTCTGCGCAGTGGCGTCGAAGTAAGTTGGAATATCTTACTATATAAGAGGGGCTGACGAATGCTATACCTTAGTTTCTACCGAGATCGGGATAATAACGCTACTCTCAAAGAACAAGGCTTTATGACAGAGTGGGCCGAGCGAGCAGGCAAACTCGTGTTTCAAGAAGTCGAGAACGTTAATGAGGATAACCTTGTGACCTTTTGGAACCTTTTCTTTTTCTGGCACAGCCAGGGTTCGTGGCGGAAATCCTACATATACAGAGGTGAAGTCGCTATCAATTTACGGAGTTATCCCATATCTAACTAAAGCCTAGGAAATGCTGCTCAGGTCGCACATGTTTTAGGGCTCGGGATCGAACGGCCAGGCATGATGGATTCGGTCAATTCAGAGTTACGTCGCCGTCGATTTTGGGCCTGTTATCTGATGCACTGCTATGCATCTGAACCATTCTCTCAACCTGAGCCTGGGGGTAACATACGGAAGCTGAGTCTACCCTGGCGGGAGGAGGACTTTGAAATCGGTGTTCTCACGCACCGTCGGGTATGTTTGGAGTCTGATCAAACCAACGGAGGCATCTACTGCGAACTTGTCCATGCCTGGACGCTTTGGTGAGAGTGATACATGTTTTTCCTCCTCAATATTAACGCTTAGCTAACCTGATTTAGGTCCTCTGTCAGTAGCTTGATTAGAGGTCTAGAATCTAATGCTGGTGAAATTGCTGCCATCCATATACTCGATGATCGAATATCAGATTGGTGGAAGAAACTTCCTCCCTGCTTACAATTAATACCGTCAAGAATATCTGAGGTGCCACATGAAATCCTTCCGAATCTCCTACACCTCCATATCATTTACCATCAATGTCTCTGCGCTTTACATTCCTCAATAGTTCCTCTATTTAGCTGGAGTGGGGGGAATGATAACCGTTCTTCGGCCCGGCAACTATCAGCGCAAATAGCTTTTGAAAATGCGTGCGCGGCTTCTGCCCTAATTCACGCAGCTCTTTCTGAGTTCCCCAAACCTGGTAGAATACCGAGTTTTGTTGCATACGCCGCCTATTGTGGATGTGCAATCCAGATCCCATTCATATGGTGCTCTAACCCAACGGTACGAGCAAGAGCTCGCGCCAATGTCAGAGCGAACGTTAAGATGATACACATATTAGCGGAGTATTGGAAGTTTTGCTCCCTATTAGTAGGCTATCTCCATCATTTACTAAGAAAACCTCTATACCATCAAAACATGCCTGATTTTTTTGAAACAGGAAGTTCGCGTTCACTGTCTTCTCAGAGTCTATAAAAGGAATCAAATACTTATCGAGGATGAGCCTAGATACATGGACCCAAACAAACTAGCTCACTTCAAGATCAATGCTCCTCGAGCCCGGGAGTCTATTCTTGGGCATATCCAGACCCTATGGACCATCGGAGATGGGTATGCAAAGCCGGGTGATGAGAATACTGACCTAGGGATTGAAGAAGAGTGCGAACCTCAAGCTGTGGGGCCAGACTTGAACAATCGGGCAGGTGAGTATAAGACTCTGTTGCAGTGATGGACCGAGAAAGGAGCGAGGTTAATAATTTACCTTCTCAAAATATAGGCTCCACTACGGGCCATCCACAAACTCAGGATGACTCGTCCCCTCCATTACCACCACTTCCCCTACCCTTAACCGGGGAACAGTTCCGACAATTTTCGCCGACAGTACTTCCAGCCGATTGTCACAACGAAGCCCTGGATTTATCTATCTCCAACCCATGGTTTGACCCAGTGATGCTTGATATGTTTCACAACAATGGAGACTTTCCCCTTTTGGGAGGCGACGTTAGAGAGACACTGGATTCGTACTTGTTGGAAGGGGGATTGTGAATATAATGGGTGGATTGTCAGTGAAGAATACTCCGGATTTATTCATGTGCATATACAGTCGACATTCGACGCTGCTTTACCACTGTAGCTCATCCCATTCACACATGTCTTTAACGGACTGACGACATGCAGCTAATAAGGAACTTCCAAAGTTGACAAACCTTAACCCGGTCCTATTATCGAATAGCCTCGGCATATCCGACCATTCCAATCTAAGATGGAATTTCCTCCATCTCCCTTTGCATTACGATATTTGGGTCAGTAGGCTATGAGCCACTATCCATGGATATAAATACTGTTCACGAAGCTACACTTCAATACCTTGCCAAGCTGATATCTCGTCATGTTCAGTTTCTACTTTGCAAATAGCTGAGTCCGGAATGACCCTTGAGGTAGATTTTCACGGACGTTCATTTGCCTACTCAGCACGTGAGGCTTCAATGAAATGACAGACAATCTGCACGTCCCTCTGTTCTTGCCATGCTTGAGCGGCAGATGGAAAGGCCATTCTCAGTCCTTGCTGGCAAATTTGAATTGGTTTCAATATGGATAAAACGACCATGGCATTCTGTGTAGATATGAGCGCTCGGGTGCTTGAGGCCATTACAATGACAACGAAGTCAATTTATGAGTCATATACCCTCCAAAAGCCTACTATTTTAGGCCCAGGTAAGCATAAATGAGGTATTTACTGTAAATCTGCCTCTTATTGTGAGATATGACATCTTTACGATGCTATTGCCTGGTCATGCCTTTAGTGATATTTATATTTATAACAGATATGCTTGTGACGATCGAGCAAGTAGTTTAATAAAACTACCCTCATTACACTAGAAAACTAAGCTTGAAGACAGAAACTATAATCGCCAGCAGATACTACACAACCTGCACAGTCAGCAGAGAGCTTACAGGCCTCGAGGTTTCTTAGGTAGCTGGTTGTGGAGGCATCAAGAGTACAATAGAGTAGCTGAGGCGGGGAACCCGTGCATAGCGATTTGATGATTTATGCTTTCGCTGTTGTCGACGTACTGTATTGTTTTCTATACGGAGATATAAGATTACGGCGCTTAAACATAACGAACTATATCTGCTCCTTTACCAACCCTCTGCTCCTTATTCTCCTGAGCTCTCTTCATCAAGCCCAGTAGTGTGTCAATCGTTGCTTTGCTGTCGAGAAACTCCACTCCTCGAACGATCTTCTCACCCGTCTCATCCATACTCAATATAAACATGTATTCACCCTCGTACATCCAGTCTTTCTCTAGGATAGTATCGTCCTTCACTTCATCACGGAAAATTGCCTGACTGGTTGCCCACACCACGACTTGGTTCCTGCTTTCGCTCTGAATATATTCCTTCGCCATTACAGGAAAGCCACTCATAATCGTTAGCATACGACGATGATGATCAAGAAATTCCTTCTTTGTATATGGACCGAGCGAGCTTAGAGACTCTGGCGCGAAGTGATGTGTGTAATTTTCTGAGAGGATATTATCCAGGGTCTGGGTATCAAAGGTCGCAAATTGACCGATGAACTTCTTCGCGGTTTCAAGGAGTTTGGATGCCGCCATGTTGTCCTTCACTCGAGGTAACGGCATGGATAGTGCAATTTGGAAGGTATGAAAAGGCTAGAAGAAAGACTGGGAATGATAGAAAAGGAGATCTTGTTTAAGTTTGAGGATATGTTCAGCAACGTGTTTCATATAAGGTTCGTCAGAATGGCAAGACTTTCTAGCTGAAATCCGAATTAGCCGCCCATGTGGAGGATTTTCCGGAATTAATACGAGTTTACTACATATAGTCATCTATGATTATAATAAAAGCCTCTTTCTATTAGTTAAAGACCGGAAAATAACCATAATTTGTATTATATAACAAAAAATCTCGATGTAACTTTATGCTGAAAAGAGATTAATTAATCTGTATTAGTGTATGCATTTCTAGCTATGTTAGAACCTTTCTAAAGAGTTTTTCAGATATTTCTTTCTCTCGAGGTATCATAAGATATATAGATGATGCCCTCCAATCATCAAATTTACCGGTTATCTCATGTGGGGGGACCGGATTAATAGGTATTAAGCAGCCAATTATATAGATAACCGTCTCAAAAGGATTCTCGGCTTGATGATCTCTGCCCGGGAAACGTGAATCCATCTAATTCGATATTACCTGAAACTTTATCTAAAGGCATTATTTACGATGGAAGAGATGGTTCTTGTATACCTATAAAAGAATAACTGAACATATTAATGGGTTTATGGTGTTTCCAGTAGTTAATTCTGAATCTACGATGAATCTTGAGAACCTTTTAAACAATAGGTAGTTTCGCTTCATAGATTATTATTTGACCATATTGTTCCTCAAGATGCCATATTCTCTCAAGAATCGGAATGTCCTGGTGACTGGTGGATCAAGGTAAGATTTGCGACCCTCTATGAGCAAGGTCTAAATTGCATCTAGGGGTTTAGGGGCTTTCATATGTGAGAGATTCGCAGAAGAAGGATGTAATGTGGCTGTCAACTATATCAGCAACAAAGAAAGAGCCAACCAAGTGGCTGAAAAGTGTAGAAGCAAGTTTGGGGTCAATGCTGTAGTCCTTCGAGCAGTGAGAAGAAACAGAATTGGAGTAGCGAGTGTCTTGTGTGGCTGATAATACATAATAGGACATTAGTGTCTCCTCGGATGCCGCTTATCTAGTGAAGGAAACTTTGGCGCAACTTGGAGGGCTCGATATCATTGTGCATAATGCCGGCTGGACGAGGATGGCTGATTTCGGCGACATCAATGATCTCAGCCTCGATGAATGGAATAAGGTACAAGTAAAGACAAGTTTCACCTTTATTATCACTGACCAAGCAGTACTGGGATATCAATGTTATATCTCAGTTAGTCTTGATGCAAGAAGCCGTTCCAATATTCAACGCAAATACGGACGGTGGGGCATTGATTATTACCTCATCAATATCTGTACGGGCCCTCACTCAGTCATTTGCTGCCTAGGCTGATTGATGAAGGGTGTAAACACTGGGGGAAGTAGCATGGGTTATTCTGTGGCAAAGGCGGCGGGTCTTCATCTTATGAAATGTCTTGCCGTCACACAGGGACCGAAAATAAGGATCAATGCCGTACTCCCAGGTCTTCTCCTAACCGAGTGGGTGAGTTGACTATTACTTCCTGTGAAACCTCGCAATATGTACATACTAATGCCGTTGACAGGGAAGGAGATTCGGTGAAGAGCGAATTGAGGCTGCTAAAAAGTCGGCTGCCTTAAAGCAGGAGGTTCGTTTATCTCAGATCTTGACTAATGTAGACTGACCGTAAGTGTAGACCATGTTAGATGATTGCGCGGATGCCTTCATCTCCATTGCGAAAAACTCATCCATGACAGGCCAGCAGGTCGTTGTTGGTAGGCCTATTTTCACTCTCTTTCGTAACCATGACTAATGTATTAAACGTCGAAAGATGCTGGTACCCTCATCCGATAGTCGATCCGTCAAAATTTCCTGTCACCATACTTTAGTTCATAGGAACATCACATGCAGAAGCTATGACTCCCACCTATGCTGTGGAGAAGATAGTGCAATTCTTAGAGTAAATTACTTATGACCATTGAATATTATGAGAATATGCTGGGAGACATATAGATGCTCAAATATCTTAATGTGGATAGTTGGATCTGCGCATAGGACTTGATGCCTAAGCCGGTGCTCTCTTGACAGCCCGTGCTTTACTTCGAACGGGCTCCTTACAATGGATTCCAATACCTAAGGAGTCAACTGCTGTACAAAATGCCCTACTTCTAGCATCACTCCAAGCTATGCATCACGGGTTTCCAGTAATCCTTCTGTTCTCACTATCTTAGTTTAGGCTCTAGTACCAGCTTCATTAAGCTAAACCACAAGGTCGACTTCTATGAGATCAATTCGTGCGCTTACGTATGTGAAAATGTGAATATAGGCGCGGCTTTCTCAACTTGTACGATGGAACCTGTTTGGGGATCTTCACCCACATGGGAGATTTATTTGCAAAGGCTTCAATGAGTTGTCCGGTAATGAATTTGACGCTCGAGCTACAGCACCATAATCGAGAACAAAGCCTACTTAGCTGAAAGAGAACCGAAGTGAGGTATGTGCTTAACTTTATTATTTGCATGATGGAGCTTCTTATAGATTAGTGATTTCTTGACTGGAATAAGACTGTGTTGCCCGGCGCACTTTTCAATGCTAGATCATATTCGCATCGAAAGACTGGACGTCGAGCATTTAGTTGTTGGCGTTTTTGCTCTCTTGTTATTTTTTTCTCAATGACTTCTTTAAAGTCGCCCCAAAGCGGTAAAACCGCAAATGTTTTTGTTTATATCAAACACTGCCAAGCCTTTACACCATAACAGATTCAACCTTTGCTCTCATAGAGTCTGATATGTCGTTTGTGAACTTTTCGTGAGTGTCTAAGGGTTTGAATCACCACGCCTGTGCACCTATAAAGCAGAGTGTCATTCTCCTCATAGGTACTGCCCATAATAATTGCAATATAGACATTGGTCTGATCGGTCGTTTCTCCATTTTATGATCTGCCGTCGTTACATGGTCAACACTTGTAACTTGGATAAACTTTGCACGTTTGGACAGGACATAGCTAGCTTCCAACCCCGCTAAGTAAGAAGCGAATAAGCCTCGTACAATTACTCGTTGAGAGATTGAAATGTCCTTTCGAGATCAGTGCCGATCTTCAAGACTCGATTGATAAACATCGTGCAGATTCTGGAAATCCAACCTCCATAATAGCTCGTAATATTGTGTTTTTACTAATAGGTTATCACCCCTGTCGAGCGTCTTTGCAGGGATGGCGTGCTGGTCAAGAAAACTCGACAGTCTAGATTCAGCCATAACCTTCGCCTGTTCGTAGGATTTCCACACCTACCGAGTACTTCGGCCATGCAGATGCTGTCATTGTCATTCCTAGCGAAATCTGGGAGAACAACCTTGGCATGTTCGTTGAGGCTGCCTTTAATCTTGGCCGCGTTGAAGGCTAGGCGTGCCCAGTATTCGCCTGCCCTCTTTTCACTGGCGAGTTTCGCCCTAGACTTGGGCTTGGATTGGGGGTTTCCGGTTCAACGGGGTCATCTTTTAGGGAGACAGCAATACAATTGGCTTCTCAGGCAGTAAGAAATTGAGGAAATGAAAGCCGCGATCGTTTCGAGTTCGATATCATGTTGAGCTGCTCTGTTTGCGACGACCAGGATAGAACTAGCCCCATTGAGAACCGACTAGTAGCTCACACCGTTTGTTAAAAAAAATACCTCAATGCAGGCGAGAGGCCCCCGAGTGATTAGCCCAGACATGAACAACGACTGGCGAAGGAATCTTTGTTGATTAATTGAACGATCTTGTATGTGATAGAGCCTCTCGGGATGACATCGTATTTGGAATATGATAGACCTCATATTTCCAGACTGGTGCAGGCTCAGCACTGGTAGTCGGATCACCCGAAGGCTGCGACGATGCACTTCCAGCGGATGGGATGTTGGTGCCGGGTTCTGCCACGACCGTCGGCGGCGCAGCCGGGGCAGGGATTGCAGTCTGGGGTGTCGGCGCTGGAGTCCACGCATCTGGTTTCTGGCCGACAGATGTACCAACTCTTTAATCAGACGACCTGATTTTTTCTTGTTCCAATCACGGATCTGTTGGGCGTTGAGGAAGATGTACATCGCGCGCTTTGCCCGTGTCAACACCACATTCAGCCGGGTGGCCTTGCGAACGAATCCGGGAGAGGTGGTGTTCGGGATGCTGAGGATAACCACGTCTCCTTCGCGTCCCTGGAAACCATCGACCTTGCGCACCCGGATCTGCGACAGATTCAAGGTCGGATTGTCCTGTTCGAGTGCCCTGACAACGACCTGGAGCCGACGATACTGGGCGTCATAGGGGTAAGGATCACCAACTGCGCAGGCGTGATCGTGTGGCTGGTGATCAACTCCAACACCCACTGTCGGATGGCTTCGACCTGTACGATATTGGAGACCGAGCGAGATACTCCATCGGTCATATCCATCCCATCGGAGACGTTGATGACAAGGAGAGCGGAACGCTTGCGGAATCGATGCTGATTCCAGGCTACCACATGCGGAATATGATAGACCTCATATTTCCAGCCTGCAGCAGCATGACAAATGAGCCGGAATCATTAAGCTCGGCAAATATATCTAGAGACTTGTTACCCCTCCCCCTTTCGAATTGTGCCTGGGCATAGCTCAGGTCCAGAAAAGCCCCAAATATAACACTTTGGTGGCAGAAATTCGCATACCCAAGCATCGTTCGTGGCATACTTCATATCATCCAAATAAACCTCAGATTGGTGAGCACTCTGGACGTGAAAAGCACCTTTGGTTCTAGACTTTGGCTCATCTCTCATAACGATCAAAATGTCGTTATGAGTATGAGTCGTTGTAATAAATTCGTGTGGCACCAGCAGCGAGCCACGCATCTGTCCCTATCAAACGATTAGTAACATGAAACCATCTGAATAAAAGAATGAGCCTCGGGGATTATACTTTTCGTCAGCATACAGCAGACAATCCTTGGCCTTTTCCTCTACAGAGTCTGCACTATCTCTATTTTAGTATCGAGATATAGGAACTGACCGCATGACTATGTACCATAAGACACAAGATGACTATATTCCAACATTCGTCCGTGTACACCCCGTTCGGAAAAGCGGTGTTTTGTCGTGATGTGACGTGGTTGTCAGTCCAGAACATACGTAATACCGGCCACAAGGTATGCTTTCTGATGTCTAGAGGATATTGTCTCAATGCAAATGGATAGATGGATAGATGTGAGCTGTATCTGTTTCGGGGTCGCCAGTTAGGATCATCTATATCTTGAGACTTTTCCGGTCAGCGGCGTTGGTTATATCTAGGATTGAGTATATATACATCCTTTTGGCCTTTTCAGAACCCAATATAAGTCGGCCGACATCGGGGCGGTCACCGCGTCTAAAAACCTCGCTGTGGAGAAGACTGGGCATTGCATATTCGGAATCGATTGAGGCTTCTCCTTGAGAACCGAGTTCCTTCGATTCCTCAGCACCGCTGAAAAAAGTCTGACAGCCTTGAGGTCAGGAACAAGATCATTCAATGTTTTGGAGATTGCTTGAAAGGTTGCATTTTCGAGGCCATAATAAGAACATGAATTCCCAGTCCAGCGAGGAGTTTGGCTAAACAGCTTGCACCAGAGTCTTGCCGCAACAGAATATGCCTTCGATGAAGGCGAAGCCAATGCCAGGAACCCTAAATAGGAGTGTGAGTCGGGTCAGCTAGCTCTTCAGCCTTAAACTGGCGTGCTTGCTGTTCCTCCTCCATAAACTCCTTTCCGCTCCTTCTGGTAATGTATCTACCAGCTGAGTCACAACACGGAACGCAAGCTGATTGTTGGCTGCTGGCCGAAATACCGGTTTTTGCAACATTTTTCCGACATGACCCTTTGAAGCAGTTATCTGCAGCTCTTTCTCATCCATGTTGTGTGTAAAGAGACTAACAAATACAAAGCGGGCTTTGTCGATATCTGGAGTTTTCTGCTCCACCTCTGATAATTCGAGTAGTTGACCCTTTATCAGGGCGTAGAGGTCGATCTTTCCATGAAAGAGAACTAGGGTTTTTAACTTTCAAGAATTCAGGAACAGCTGATCACAACATTGGGGGGCTGATCCCACAGACGAATCCGGTCCAACGCGCGATCATTAACCATTCGCACGACTACTGGAATTTCAAGAGCTGAGTACGTGCGAGACGGTAGAATGTGAGGGGCGAACAGAGGAGATACTGTTGTCATCGTTCAACATCAGTGGAAGAAACGCAGTCTATTTAACCGCATGATTGATCCCAATAAAACACGCCAGAACGTCAAAAGAGTCGCGATTGTCATTGGGGTTCAAGCGTTGTATTCCTTAACTACATGCCCCTGTTCGAACTGTAATGGAACAACACGTCCTAGAGAGATCCTATGACTAGGGAGGTATGAGTCAGTGATAAACAGCCATGGATTTGCCTGATCTCTTACCGCGAAAGGCTGAAATTAGAATAGAGCATCGTTATATGTGGAAACAGGTGTATAACATAAGAAAGAAGATGCAATATTGCAATTGGCCATGCCATTCTCAATCATCCAGAGATTGATGCTCCTAAAGATACGGCATTGGCCAGATCGGAGTTGATAGGCGATTCATACTCAGTGCGTATCCTCATGGCTGGACATGCTATGGGATTGTTGTAGTCTTTGTTGATGGTTAGGATTGGTCTGACGGATTTTGCTCGCGTTGAATGGGGATATCTTACACAGTCCGAATTTAACACCGGTCCAGAGTGATCTGCCATCACACCCACGTTGCATGAGTGACATACATGGTCATTCGGATTGAAGTGGTTTCGCTTCAGGGATGTACCGGTAAGTGATCGAGAAAATACTCCAAGCCATGAGTGCACACCGATTCCAATGATTAATCATAGGATCATTCCAGAAAAGATAGAATTTGAACTCTGGCTCAGGAGCGCGATGAACAATAGCAGTAGTGCGAATAGTATGAGGAAAGTGAAACTGACAGGAGACATTATTCGGATTTTCTCTTTTGGTATACAATATCTCCCGCTTCAGATTGTCTCTGTACATAATTTGTCACACGATATAGGTCACTACCGGTGTTCTCTTGGTCAGCAAAAGCTGGTTGTAGTGGAGAACGTTCGTTGGTGTCTAAGACTATCCATCCCGACTGAGGATTAAGGGCTGAATGGTTCGAGATAGTGAAGAGTTTGGAGTGACAATTCAGTTCTCAAATATCCAAAGATAGACAGTCCTGAAGATACGGTGTTGCTGCCATACTTTACGATCCTTGAAGTCATTCATATCAGGAATAGTGTCGATGATACTGCTGTAGTTTCGCATTCGGTATAGAGAAACCCATCAGGGAGCACACTCAACTGTGTCCATTAGGAATGGGAACTCCAATGCCTGGGAGGGTGAAGGAGAGTGAAGAAGAAATTGTGTCTGGGAAGGGGATTATAAGCCCTAGATCCTCCCACGGACCCACCACCGTCGGAGCCTCGCAGGATGATAATCATCAGTATGGCCCACGATGACCGACATCCAACAAAGAAGAGCGGGATATACGCAAACGCTCGTATGATATATATCAGCTGCCGGAATATGCACCGGCCCAGTTCCGCTGTCAGGCTCCGACTGCACGTTGGACTAGCTTGTGAGCGGTCATGTTTAAACATGCATCCATCCTAGCAATCTAGCACTCTCGTGCCACCTATCCATGAGCGATATACATCTGGCCGTATAAACTGCTCGTCACCGCTCTCGAAAAGATTCATAATGTCCATACAAAAGATAAAGAAAGACTGAGGTCGTATCAAGTCGGCGCCTTGCCGAATTGACTCCACAAAACAGTAAGAAGGGCAATGGAATCCTCCAGCGTCTCCATATCGGGTCCGAAAAACAAAGAAAGAGAAACCTTCATGGACCTTGCTGTCCAGCTTCTGCATAATAGTTCTTGGGGAGTAAGGTGACGGTCTGGTTAGTAGATGCCTGGTATATCAATTGATGCCTGCGAGCCTCGCACGTGGCCTCGCGAATAATCACTTAGCCATAATGATAGCTATTAACCTAGTAAGTATTAGTAATACGTATACACATATGTAGAACTAAAATAATGTTAGAAAGGCGAATGCGAGAGAATTTGATACATTATCTTATTTCAACTATCCTACTATCGATGCGTTCGTCAAGTGGATCGTAAAGAGTTTCGCGGGCAGCATAAACTCATCTTCCATAACCCAAGATATCTTTAAAATATGAGGTCTACAGATCCAGGTGTCCTTTGCTTTTCCGATCCGGGTGAGTGGACTATCTTGGGATATATGTGGTTGTTGGAGGTCAGGCTGCCACATTTGCAGGATTTGGGCTACGTACAGTTGGAGTGCATTGGTTCGAATACAGCGCTCAATGTTAGAAGACGCGAAACACAACTCTATACTAGACATAGGAAGGAAAGCTATATAGTTTCCTTACCAAAGATGGAATCAACCCCTCCCACCCTCCCCCCCCTTTTTTTTATGCCCATTTATCGGTACGTGAATATTTGGAACAGAAGAGGCTGGACGGCAACGATATCTCGATCTATGCATTCGCCCAAACCCCATCGCCAGTTGGCCGAGTTTTGTTTGGCCACCATTCTGCATACTAATCTAGGCGACGTTCATGGTGTCCGCAGTCGGAAATTGTTTCTGCGATACGCAATAGCTTTTTGGCCTTCACATTGTGAAAAGATACCCGAGAATAGGACGGCTAGCTCCCTGGGCTCACTTATGGCGGTAATGATGAACGATAAGTTAAATAACTGGGCTTCATTCGCCAGTAAAATATCCCGCAAGTACGTTGAGTCTGAAATGGAATCCAACAGATTAATAGGCGTGCCAGCAAGAAACCCATATTCCTATGTTGTTTGCGCGTGGGGGTTTGTGGAATTCTTCAATGACACTGTTCGAGGGGCTAAGGGGTTCGAGAAGCCACAAATCTTTTTAGACACCCACTTGGAGCTCGCAAGCTTCCACGGACATGTGAAACTTGTTCGACGACTAATAGAAGCCGGACCAGGAAAGGAGATTCAACAGGTCAGCACCGCGGCCCTTTTAGACGCGTGCAAAGAGGGCCACTACCGAATTGCTGAGTTGCTCCTCGGCGCCGGGGCTGATCCCAGCCCTGCATTAACCTCAAATTTCACCGGAGACTTCGACCATATTGTACGACTCCTGATCGACCTCGGAGCAGTGATCAATCCTCAAGAACCCAGTCTTATCATTGGTACACCTCTTCAGCTAGCCTCCATGAACGGACATCTCAAGACCGCACAAGTTCTAGTCAATAGCGGAGCCGAGATAAACATTCCAGGTCGGTTATACGGCAATGCACTTCAACGAGCCAGCCAGAATGGCCACGAGGATGTGGTACGGCTTCTATTAGACCATGATGCAGACGTCAATTTCGGAAACGGGATACTCGTCTCACCACTCCTGGCAGCTGCTCACGGCGGCCGGCACGAGATAATCCGACTATTGTTAGAGCGAGGAACTGACCCTAACCATTTCTCAGGCCTCCTAGGAAGCCCCTTGGAGTGGGTATCATCGTCGAACCTGGAACTGGTGGAGTTACTGATAAAGCACGGCGCAAACGCCAACGGGCCAAGGCCTCAATACGGTACTCCTCTCGAGAATGCAGCTGCAAATGGTCAACTCGAAATCGTGCGAGTGCTGTTGGACTCGGGTGCGGTTATCAATTCTCAGGACGGTAAGAAAGATACTGCTCTGGTATCAGCTGCTCGAAAGGGCTACTATGATGTTGTGCAGCTGCTGTTGGAAAGAGGAGTGGATGTTGAGAAGCAAGGGCCTCGGGCATGTTGGAAGGCATCAAAACATAGTCATACGGGTATTGTTGAGCTGTTGATGGGGCACGGGGCGCAGATGCCTGATAATCAGGATGGATTTAGTAGTAACTCTGAACAATCCGATGAGGATAATGAAGAAGATGAGTACGATGATGATGACGGCGACGAAGATGAAGACGAGGAATAGAAGAAAGAGAAGAAGACCTAGAAAGTATCAACCGAATTGCCTAAGGAAGAAAACAAGTACGAGGCAGGGCCCCAATAGCGCTCTCACTGTGACGGTCTAGCGAGGTGCAGCCTCAGTCAACCGTCAGGTGACCATAGGTGTTTGCCTGCATAATAACAAAACACCAAAAAACCTCACGTAATTTAGTCTTTTTCTATCTCTGCTGAAGACTGACAATAGGGCTTGAGTTGTATCACGTGACGCGAAATGCCCAATAAGGATATCACCTTCGAAACAGATACGGCATTCTGATAGGTTGGATAACAATTGCGATGGGTCGCAAGAATCAGTCAATGGCTGCATTCTATATCTAACTAGCGCGAGGGCTGCACCGCCTCTAGCGTGCGATGCCTGAATGGAACAAATTAGAAATGGAAAAGGTGACCCAAAATCGAGCCCCGAGGCGCTAGTAGTACAAGATCCACGTGACGTTTTCAGCTGCATGGTATCTTACCTTCATTTCATTCAGGCAATGTTAAGAAAGAAAAGCAGTATTACGGCTGAGAGAGGCAGTAGACCATGCGACTAGCTGATTAGGGTATGGGGCTTCAGGTAAGACATTTATTTTAGTATGCATCAGATTGCTTGGCATCTCTACTCTAGTTTACATATATGGGTAATTCTACATGTATATATGTATATATATGAATAAATACAACGTAGAGGATGATAGGATATTACTTTTATAAATGCTCCAACAGCTGATATTTATAATCTCCAATAACGTGCGAGTTCAAGCAATATTTGAAATATTTGAAATACACGCGTACGACAAAGAAGAAACAAGGCTGCAAGGTTAGACCCTGCACAAGCATCGTCACATGAGCATCCACAGCCGCGTCGCCGCCACGATTACTACAATATGTTCACTAGAAATATAAGTAATCTACTATGCCATTAATCCAGTAGCATATCTAGATTGTTATCACTTAATTATTTGATTATTTTATATTTAATCTAATACCTATGTTCATATTCATTCTCCGTATTTGGTCCTTGATACGCCATAGACGAAGCCAGCCCTTGCGTCGGTGGGGCACGCAAGGCATGCGGGCGGGCCAATCAGGCGGGCTTGGCAAAAGCATGTGTCAGCAGCAAGCGAGGCCCAGGCACCAGGTACACTCTCTCCACCTGCGATTTTATATATAGCTGCTGGATGTATGTATGTATATATATCGCTCTATCCATTATGTTCTACACCACATTTGCATATAGACATCGAGATAGGTCCTCTATGCACATATATATACCTAGATATATGTATAGAGTAGTGGGCCGATCGAGCGATCCGGATCTAGCATCAGCCATCCGCCCCGCTGACTGCTGCCAGCCAATCAGCGGCTTATCGGACCGCCGGGCTATCGATAAGCCAGTGCCGGCGCAGGTACAAGTGACCTTTCCCATTGACCAGCGCCGCCCGCTGAGGCCAGGTACTCGCTACTTCATATGTCGCTGTAAGTATTCGCATTCACATTCGTTGAGCCGTGCCTGCGATCCTTTGGCGAGATTGTCATCGCCAGCATCAGCGCCGGTCTAGACTCCTCGACTACGTTTGCATCGTTTCTCACACACGCCGGAATGGCCGGTGGAGCAGGGCGGCAGAGAGGGGGACTACGTCACGCTTTATCGGTTGCCGCTTGCGTCTTTCTTTCAATACTCATCCCGTGTGTGATATTTGCGACACGAACTATAGTAATATATACTGCCTTAAGCACCGAAACAAAACATCTCGCGGCCAGCATTGTCTGGTACCCATACTAGCTACGAGGAGGTAAAGAGTACAATCGATGATTCATCACCCAGGAGGCTGGCTAGTGCCTGGCCTCCACCCGGCTGCCCGTCCATGGTCGCTTCCCCTCGACCTGTGTCATGCAAACGGAATCCGTGCGAGTAACCAAGAGAGTATCGTACGCCAGCAATACTATGAGGTGGTATCTCGCATATGTAGACATCGACAGAGCATGAACATGATCGAGACGAGTAATATATGTGAAGCACCGTTGAGCTAGGCCCGCCCAGTCAGCCCGCCCAGCCAAGCCAGCAGCCAACCAGGGCGCGCGGCCGCCTCTTGCCATCGTCTCTCTGACGCCGCCCCCTCTTCTGCCCACGATTCCTGCCTCCCCCCCAAACTCCACCCAATTGTACTTTACTGCCTCCCTCTGCCCTTCGCCAGCCCTATCGTCGCCTCTCGCCTCTCTCCAAGCCGCCTTTCCTGCTGTCTGCACATCGCATCGCCATTACCCTGCCAACCCGTCACCGTCACCGTCACCATCACCCGTTCGCCTGCGCCGCCGCCTGCTTGTAGGAACTTAGCCTGCCCTGGCTCGATCCGCCCTGTCGTAGCTGCCTTCTCCGACCGCCTCGTTGTCCCTGTCTGCTTCTGACGACTGTCGCCAGGCTATTGATTATCGATATCCGATATCAATATCGACACAAATACCAATATCGAATACCAGGGTGCTGCACTCTCCTGGCGAGACATGTGCCGCCGCAGTTGATCGCCATACCGTCCCTCCCTCTGCTCGCTCCTTACGTTCATCCCACTTTCTGGACAACAGAGTTGTCCGTTTCCACCGCTATCCTCTCCACTTTCCTCACACGCTCCACTCATTACTATACCCAGTCGGGTCTATCCTACTGTTCATACTAAGTCTTATATAATACGGACAGTTAATAAATAGCACGCGATGACTTCATTCTTACCTGTGAATAATACTTCGACCCCGAAGGATCTGGCCATGGAGGATGTCAAAACACCAACTGCTCCTCGACCCGGCTCCGACTCAACGGACGCCGAAGCGACTGGTTCAAACGGCCCATTGCAGGACTCGCAGCCGCCCGAATCATCACAAAGAGCCCCGTCGACCACATCCACCGGCGACGAGACCACTATAGCCGAAGACGAAGCAGATCGCGACCATTCCGATAACGAACATGGCGAGGACTCCGCCCCGCCTTCGAAGAAGAAGAAGGGTCAGCGTTTTTTCTGTACCGATTTCCCCCCATGCCAGTTAAGCTTCACCCGCAGTGAACATCTGGCCCGTCATATTCGCAAACACACGGGCGAGCGGCCGTTTCAGTGCCACTGCTCGCGCCGCTTTTCACGACTCGACAACTTGCGCCAGCATGCTCAAACCGTTCATGTGAATGAAGAGATTCCCGGTGACTCTCTCGCCGCCACTGGAACACGCTTCCAACGTCAAATCCGGACGGATAGAGTACGTCCGCAAGGCCGCGCAAGAGCTGGCACCACCGGAAGTCAAGGAGGTCACACCAGAGGACACAGCCGGAACTTGTCGACTTCGAGCATTACTTCAACCACCTCGACCTTGAGCCAGACCCCCGAGATCAGGCGACGGCCTCCTCCATTGATCATGGCTGGTGATGGTGCTGCTCGCGCTCATGCCTCCTTGGGCATGATAGGAGAGCCGAGTACTCCTCCGAGCCAGGTTCGGGCTGCGCCCGCTCAATCACCAGGCTATCCCACCTTCTCGGCTGGCGGCGGAAGCCCTCATTTCGCCTCGCCAATTTCTGGTGGACCGCAGGCGGGCTTCTGGGATGGTAAAGGGCACGTTCGTCGACTGTCCGTTCCTTCCGGGACAAATCCTTTTACTGCTCATGGATCAACGTATCCTCCTCCTTACATCACATCAGTACCTCAATCGCATGCAACTTACACCCCTAGTACATCTGTATATGGCAGCCCGACGACGTCGAGTTATGCTCCATCCCGGGATGAAGCGGTCAGTGCGACTGAAGCTGACCTGCGCCGGCGCACATGGCATCCCTCTACTTACTATCCGCGTCCGGCCACCAGTGGCCTAGCGACCTTCGACTCGTCAAATACGTTGCGGCCGGCATTCGGGGCGAGCAACGCCGATAACCAGACCACCCGTCTTCCCGGAATTGAAAGTTTTGACAAAGTCGTCCAAGGACGTCCTCTCACTCCTCCCCTTCGTAAGCCGAGCCCGATGCAAGTCGATACTCCTAATCGGGGTCCTCCTTCTAGTCAAGCATTTACCCCTGGCTTCGCAGCGCAGCCACCTGCGAGCCGACCACAGCCTCCTATCACGGGCCCTGGCCACCGTCGGGGTCAGATCTCGTGGGATCTACATTACAATTTGACCGGTCTGAACCTTGGTAGTGCCCCTGGAGCGAAAGAGGCCACTACTCCCTGGGGTCAGCAGACACTAGGCGAGATCCATAGCATTGCTTCTCGGCCGTCGAGTAGTGGTCATCCTCCGTCCAGTTACGGGGCAAGCGCACACGAACCATCTACTCCGCAGAACACCAAGCGGTATGGCATGCAAGTTCCTTTCGGTACTCCGGGCTCACATCTCACACGCACGTCCCCAGAGGATTCTAGTAGTAGCGAAGGCGTCGCGACTCCTTCCACTATCTCTATGGACTACCAGCCGGCCATCGTGCATAGCAATGGGCAAGTCGAACAGCCTCATGTACCTAATCTACCTAATCTGCACGAGGGGTCTGTCCATGTAAGTACCATCGAAAACTAAGCATAGATTCAAACTGATGGTGGTAGAATGAATTCGCTGGTCCTGAACGTCGCCTTGACCACCCCTCGGGTCCGTCGAACGGTATGGGACGGTTAGAAGCTCTCGTTGCGGTTGCAACCAGCGAGGGCAAAACCGCGACACGACTATTTTAGTTAATATCTACGATTCGCTTATTTATTCACGTTGCCTATATTTACGTTTCATTCCGAACCTTCATTATTTCTATCATACATGCTCAGGGTGGTTTTCCAGTTCAACGTGCCATTTTGATGCAATTGGATGTGATCAAGAACAACTGAAGCATTGCTTTCTTCTGCTGTGTGACTATGATTCTCTCCTTTTAACGACGCCATGATTGATGATTGATGTATGTGATGCAATGCTGTGTGTATAGAGGGATGGGATTGTTGGCCTGAATTGATATCCCGGCCCGATACTATACTCTACTTTCGTTGACTGTGTTTTTATTCTTCGGCCTGTAGTAGCTAGCTAGATGAATTCTACATACATATATATACTACATACATACTACATGTATTAATTGATGGAGATCAAGTAGATATTAGATAGTAGGGTGATGACTTCATCGCCTGTCACCCCACATGGTCGCAGCCAATGGCGCACCTGGGAGCCGACACGCTGGGTGCGGAGATCAGAGTGACGTATGTCTTCATATTTTCAGTGTATGGGTATATAGTATATGCTATAGTAGACAGTAGATAGTGAGTGGTGAAAAGTATTCAGAGGACGTGAGAATGTTCAGATACCAGTACATATGTAGAATCCTGTGTATACACAACTACACATAGACACCATACATCTCCTCCACCAGACATAATACAAATATAATACATAGTATGCATCACTACATAAATGTATTATGCAGCCGGCGTATTGCCAGTGTCGTCATAGCCCATCTCGCCGTGGCCCAGTCTAGTGATGTACATATATAACGCTTTCCCCATTACTTCAAGTCGCCGCTCCTCTACACCTCGCTTCATCTACACACCCCACACACCATTTCAGAACCTCTACTCCAAATACATCGTACAAGAATGTCCAAATCCCGGCTTCCGCTATACCTCGGCCTCGGCGCCGCCGGCGTCGGTGGTTACTACCTGTACAACTCCGGTGGCGACCCAAGTGTCGCCAAGGCCAGAGCCAAGGGTTACCCTCTCCTCCTCTCTTACAAACCCACAACCATACTAATGTCGTATGAATAGCCGACGCCGAAAGGGCAAAAGCAAAGCTCCCGCGCGAAGACGTCGGCGAGAAGGCGACGGCGTATATGGATGAGATTGTCCACCTCCCCCTCTTTCCTTTCTTGCGTGTGAGACTGTAGCTGACGGGTGAGCAGGTCCAAGGTGCGCGCGACAAGGCTCAGCAGGGCGGAAATGATCTCAAGGAACAGGCGAAGGAGAGTATTGATAAGATTGATGCGGCGCGCCAGGACGCCGCGCGCAGTCTGGGGACCACTGTGGATAAGCTTGATCGCAAGATTGAGGACAAGGCTGCCGAGGCGAAGAAGAGTGTTGGGGGGTGGTTTGGAGGGAAGTGATTTCTCTATTTCTAGGTGATGGAGTACGTGTATAAAAAAGAGGAAGATATATATGTGGAGTATGGTAGTAATCAGCGTTAGTCTACTCGAAGTATGTATCGGGGTAGTGCATTCCAAGTCACCATGTGCATTGCTGTGGTGACGCAAAAATCCCGCTGACCGAATTATTTCCAAATCTATTAATATGAGATCCTTCATGTCTAAATTAATCTAAGAATTATAATATAACCTCTTATTCATTTCAGAGTTGAAATAACCCCAATCCATCATTGAGGAAGTATTACCGCTCTGGGACTAATTAACACGCGACGCGCCAACGCGCCCAGCCACGAGGATTTCTCCTTTAGTGCTCCGTCTGACTGCGGATACGCAACACAACACGAGTGTTGTACACAAGCAGCAACCACAATTTCCTCATCTACGACAGACACTTCCCTCCTTCCTTCCTTGCTGTGTTGAATTTATTGTCTATTGTGTTGCAATGCCAGCAAGACGCACCTCCACCCGGGCTGCGCGCCTGCCTCAATCGCAGTCCCTGCAATCCATCCAGCGCTTCACCCGCGCTTCCAAGCCCGGCACTGCCTCGTCGACTGTTCTCGATGGGAAGGATGGCCCCGTGAAGCCGCTGCCTGTGTCTGCTTCCACGTCGTGTCTGACTTCATCGCCGTCGAAGAAGCGGAAACTAAACAGCATCCCCAGCAGTCACGACGCCAGCGAGGAAGCTGTCGAGGATACCCCCTCCAAGACAGTCAAATTCAGTTCCCTTTCCGTCACGACTCCACGTAGCACGGGCTCTCGCTCTCTCGCTCGCACGCACTCGCGCAAGCGTCTGTGTTCAGAAACCAGTCATGATCCTGTTGACGAGACACCAGCCCACCCCGCCGCTTTCGACGACTTTGTGGCTCTACATTCCTGCTTTCTACGAGCCCTCGGATACCACTTTGCGCACAAGGGCACGACGGCACCGGCCGACGTGAAGGAGATATTACCGAGTACTGAGAAGTTATGGAAGAAGAGGAAAGTTTTGGTTAAAGACTTGCAACGGATTATCCAGATCTGGGATGATGACAATAGCGCTGCTGATGCGTCTACTAAATTACGCTTTCGTATTGCAAACTACGGCCTGGGGAAGGTCTGTTTGGAACGAGTATCTGCTCCGTCTGGCCCGTTTAATGAGAATGAAGTGCACGCGCGGTTCGTGCAGTTGTTGGAAATGAAATGGAGGGAGAGGGTGGATGTGAAAGGCGATGGAGTGGATTTTATAGAGAGTCTAGCCCTCGCGCCCATCCACGACTCGCTGACCCCGTTCAATGCACTACGAAAAGGCCAGCAGCGGCTACAGGATCTCAAGGGCGGCGTTATCAAAGTCAAGACCGCAATACTCAAAGCCCGATCCGGCGAGGCGGGCGACGGTGAGCCCACCGTTCGCGATCCCACCGCTGATCGAAGAAAAGGGCTGCTCGAGCGGATTAGGAAGAAGGAACAACTACAATCCGAACTAGGCCCGCCACCAACAAAAGAGCAGCTCCTGCAACGCTCAGCGGCCCAGCGCGCGGAGGACGTCGCGCGCGTGTTGGCGTTACTACGCCCTCCGCATGTGCTGAGAAATGGCGGAGCGATGGCGATGCAGCGGAAGCCGTATAAGTGGGAAATGCTGATTCAGACTGTTCAGGACTCGTTAAGGAATTTCACCCCTGCAGACGAGATTGCGGCGTGTTTGGAGATTCTGGGGCGGAAAGATGTTGCTGCGGACTGGATTGAAATTGTCTCGATCGGGAAGCTGAGATCGGTGATTTTGATGTCCGGTTTTGATGTTTCGCCAAAGGATATTGGGGTTCGAGTCAGTAAGATGGAATTTTAAGCATGTCTATTTCATGTGAGCGATTGTTTGTTAGCGACGGCATTGGGTAGCGTTGTGATGCTTATTTAATGTACTGCATACTATATTTCTGTCATTCTTAGATTCCTATGAAATTACCATGGATATACTAATCCTGCACATCCTAATACATCTCCCTGTAGGATTGCTGTTCTCCCTTCCGCTTCTGGCATAATTGAACGCGCTCGCGTGTTCACGTGACCGTGTCAACGCGTTTCCCAGGTAGCTCATATCGAAGGCAAATACACCAACCTCAACAATACAACCACCTTAGAAAAGCCCGACAACATGTCTTCGCGACCGGAGCTAAAGGTAAGCCCATATCTCCCTTCCACATACATATTACACTTTCATGAGCTGAATTGGCACTAGGTCGACGACGAAGTCGGCTTCATCCGCTTCTTTCGCTCGCTGCCCACCAAGGATACCGACAACGAATCCAACCCCAGTACCATCCGCGTCTTCGACCGCGGCGACTGGTATACAGCCCACGGCACTGATGCTGAATTCATTGCTCGCACCGTCTACAAAACCACCTCTGTCCTGCGTACCCTCGGCCGCAGCGACGCGGGTGGCTTGCCCTCCGTCACACTCAGCGTCACCGTCTTTCGGAACTTCCTGCGCGAAGCCCTCTTCCGTCTGAACAAGCGTATCGAAATATGGGTTTCGGCGGAGTCGGGTCGTGGACAGTGGAGGTTGGGGAAGCAGGCTAGTCCGGGGAATCTACAGGATGTTGAAGAAGAGCTTGGAGGGGGAGGAGGTGCGGCGATGGACTCGGCGCCGATTATACTCGCGGTGAAGGTCTCGGCGCGGTCGAGTGAGGCGAAGAATGTGGGTGTGTGTTTTGCAGATGCGAGTGTGAGAGAGCTTGGGGTGAGCGAGTTTTTAGATAATGATGTTTATTCGAATTTCGAGTCTCTGGTGATTCAACTCGGGGTGAAGGAGTGTGTTGTGCAGCTGGATACCGCCAAGAAAGACGCCGAGTTGGCGAAGCTGCGCGCAATTGCGGATACATGTGGTATCGCTATTACTGAACGGCCCGCGGCGGATTTCGGCACGAGAGATATCGAGCAGGATCTCGTGAGGTTGTTGCGAGATGAGCGCTCGGCGGCAACGCTGCCGCAGACGGAACTCAAACTCGCCATGGGCGCCGCGGCGTCGTTGATCAAGTACCTGGGGGTCATGTCTGATTCGACGAATTTCGGGCAGTATCAGTTGTATCAGCATGATCTGTCGCAGTATATGAAACTCGATGCGGCAGCACTCCGCGCCCTGAATCTAATGCCGGGCCCGCGAGATGGCGCGAAGAATATGAGTTTGTATGGTCTTTTGAACCACTGCAAGACTCCCGTGGGCAGTCGGTTGCTCGCTCAGTGGCTTAAGCAGCCGCTTATGGATCTGACTGAGATTGAGAAAAGACAGCAGCTGGTAGAGGCGTTCGTGAATGACACCGAACTACGTCAGACCATGCAGGAGGAGCATCTGCGTGCGATCCCGGATTTGTATAGACTGGCAAAACGCTTCCAACGGAACCAGGCGAATTTGGAGGACGTCGTTCGCGTTTATCAAGTTGCTATCCGCTTGCCGGGTTTTGTTCGCAGCTTTGAGAATGTTATGGACGAGCAGTACCAGACTCCGCTCGATGCGCAGTATACGTCAAAGCTCCGCAGTTTTTCTGACAGCCTCGCTAAGCTTGAGGAAATGGTCGAAACCACGGTAGATCTGGATGCGCTCGATAACCACGAGTTCATTATCAAACCAGAATTCGACGAGAGCCTGCGGGTTATACGAAAGAAGCTGGATAAGATCAGGTATGATATGGACGTGGAGCATCGACGTGTTGCGCGCGACTTGAATCAGGATATGGAAAAGAAACTGTTTCTTGAGAACCATCGCGTGCACGGCTGGTGTTTCAGATTAACAAGAAACGAAGCGGGCTGCATTCGTAATAAACGAGAGTATCAAGAATGCTCGACTCAGAAAAACGGTGTTTATTTCACAACCCGGACGATGCAGGAACTCCGCAGAGAACACGACCAGTTGTCGTCGAACTATAATCGAACCCAATCAGGTCTTGTCCATGAAGTCGTCAATGTTGCTGCGTCGTATTGCCCTATTCTGGAGCAACTGGCCGGTGTACTGTCACACCTAGACGTTGTTATCAGTTTTGCCCATGTGTCGGTTCATGCTCCTACAGCATATGTCCGTCCGCAAATGCATCCCCGTGGAACCGGCAATACCGTTCTGAAAGAAGCTCGTCATCCGTGCATGGAAATGCAAGATGACATTTCATTCATCACCAACGACGTCTCGCTCGTTCGGGACGAGTCTTCATTCCTAATCATCACGGGCCCCAACATGGGCGGTAAATCGACCTACATTCGCCAAATCGGCGTCATCGCCCTGATGGCCCAAATCGGCTGCTTTGTGCCCTGCACCGAAGCCGAGCTGACCATATTCGACTGCATCCTGGCTCGTGTCGGAGCCAGCGATTCTCAGTTGAAAGGCGTGTCGACGTTTATGGCCGAGATGCTGGAGACTTCCAACATTCTCAAGTCTGCTACCTCCGAGTCTCTGATTATAATCGACGAGCTGGGCCGTGGAACAAGCACGTACGACGGGTTTGGTCTGGCATGGGCGATTTCAGAGCATATCATCACCGAGATTGGCTGTTTTGGGCTCTTCGCTACCCATTTCCATGAGCTCACCGCGCTGGCTGATCGGTACCCCAAGTCTGCAAAGAACTTACACGTGGTAGCGTTTATATCCGATGATAAGGAGCAGAAAGAAAGCAAGAAGAAGAAACGAGAAGTCACCCTCCTCTACCGCGTGGAGCCGGGCGTCTGCGATCAATCCTTCGGCATCCACGTCGCCGAACTCGTGCGCTTCCCTGAGAAAGTCGTGAACATGGCTCGCCAAAAGGCAGAAGAACTGGAAGACTTCACATCCACTACTACCACCTCTGACCCAAAGACCAGCGCTACCACGGGTGGCGGGCTTGATGGCTATACGCAGGAGGAAGTCGAAGAAGGTAGCAATTTGCTCAAGTCGATGTTGCTCAAGTGGAAGGCGGAAGTGGAGGGGCCGGGTAAAGAGGGCATCACGCCAGAAGAGAAGCGGAGGATTATGCGAGACCTGGTCGCGGCGGATGAAAAGCTGCAGGCGAATAAAGTGTTTCAGGGTATTAAATCTCTGTAATGCTAAACACCAGTACGATTTCTCTCTGCTATCTCTCTACGCTACATCTCTGGTAATGATCTCGTGATGAATATGTTTCGGTATGGAGTTATAGGTCGATATAGTTTGGAGGACTCATCATGTATAATATTTATTCAAACATGAACCACCATAATAGTTCCTAGTCATGCAACTGCTGTTACTCTTGAATAATTGTTGTAGTAGGGAAAACACCAATCAGCGGCCGCTTTTGACATCCGCCCTAATCACGTGCCAAGACTCATGATGTAGTTGTCTATTCTGTACCCTCTCTATACACGACAAGACAATCCGCCAGCAGCCTACTTTCGTTTATTTTATCAGAACTAGTTCTGGATTGATTTATATTTACACCTTTAATATTCCCGTCATCTACCTCGTCACCAAAGCGAGACTCTTCGATCCACCCCCGCATCTCTTCCCCTTTCCACCGCGAACAATTCTTGCGACGCAAACATTAACATTCGAAAGCCTCCACCTCCACCAAGTCACCACCTCGACGATGACCCAATAATCCTTCCAATTACCTCGCCATGCTCATAATCTACTTATATTAGCCTCCCAACCCATCCTAACATCCATTCATGCACCCCTTCTCCATCCTCACACTCGGCATCTTTGTAGCGGGCTACATTACCGCGCGCTGGGACCTTGTCACTCGTCTCTACGATCTCGCCATATTTGCGTGGGACCACGGCGTCGTGACCCGCACGGCGAAGGGGTTCTTGCTCCTGTCCGTGTTTTTCTTCGTGTTGATTGTGCCACTGAATTATCTTGCGTCGAGCGAGATTGGGTTGCATCCGAGAGTCGTGCAGCAGGGAATTTCGGCGAGGGAGGAGTTGCGTCGGAGGGGTTCGTTCTGAAATAAACCACTCTCTGTGACCGACTATTTAGGAGAGGAGGAGAACAGAAGAGGGGCTATGCAATATGATAATCGGGGATGGACTCTTGCGTGTGTTCTGGCCGAATGATTTACCGCGCTCGTCCGAACCAGGCGTTATTGTGGGCTGGCGTAATTCGGATTACGATCTTTTCGTCATAACCGTGCTGGAACATGTCGAGGTATGTGTGAAAATTTTACAAGTTGACTGACTGTACTATGCTTACTGTGGTGTAGTATAAAAACGTCGAAAATGCTTTGCGAACTAACATCTTGTTCCGCAACTGCCCACATCCAATGGCGCAGCTGTTCATGCTATGCGGAAAGTCCGCGATGCATGTTTTGGGCACTACAAACCCGCCGCAGTCGCCGGCTACGTTCAATGCAGGTCACTTATCAGTAGTTACGAGTCCGTCGTTTAAGATTCCACGCATATTCTGTCCACCGGAAGCAAATGTTTCGGTGCAAGTCATCATGTTTAATCGTCCGCATCCAACACGCATGCAATACATGTCATTAAACCCGATTTCGTTGGCTCTGGCTGATAAGCAGGCTAGTGATAAGAAAGATGGTTCGCTTGCGGGGACAGACACGGGTGAAGAAATCGAAAAAGCACGGTCTAAAAAACTGATTGAAAAACTGAAATGGCATACAGTGGTTCGACACGTCCCTTCTCAAAAAGAACTTGCTCTCCCGACGATTCTGAACCAAGTGAATTGTGCCTTTGAAGTGGGACAACTCATTGAAAAGAACAGCAAGCTGATTGGCACTCGTCCGAAACGAAGCATGAGTGTGAGCGAGCGTGTCGTTGAGTCTGCGACAACACTGTGGGATTTCTTTGTTTTAGGGTTTGCCCACGTCTTCTGGCAGTGGCTGTGGCCGGTTGTGACGAAATGTTTTGTACTTGGCTTGGTTTGCCATCGGGCTATTGCCGAGATAGTGCTGCGTATTCTTGAATGGCGGGCTCGTCCTGATGCAGCTGCCTTGAAGGATATATCGGCTAGTGCGCAGCAGGTGGACATCCGATTACAGCAGTTTTGTTACTGGCCAATGCAGTATGTCAAGCTTCGGCAGAGGAAAGATAACTGGGAGAGTGTGACAACCAGCCATCCAGATTATATCCGCTTTTACAATTCCCTGTGGCTGGTTGCGAACGACGTGATCATCGGTATTGCTTTGGGATCGTATATCATCGATAATGCACAGTGGGTGGCTGGCCAGATAGACTATATCATCACAGACTGGACTGTTGAGGGGCTACAAAGAACAATCTCCTGGCTCATGGGCTGGCCAGCTGGGTTGAAGTTGAACAATGAGCTGGCTGCTTTCCTGGGTGATCTGTTTCTTTGGGTCATCGAGCACTGGGCAGGTAAGAAAATAGCCTTCAGACTTAAAAATTTTTGATCCTAACAGAAACAGCATGCATTGCCAATCTGCAACCCTATCTTCCACATTTGATCTATATCATAGGATGCTCGAGTTTTGCCGGCGCAAGCATGCCGATAGCCTTATTCTCCGATCTCCTCTCCATCGTAACCATCCACATTTACTCATTCTACATCGCATCAGCCCGCATATTCAGCTGGCAGTTGAGCATCATAATGTCACTTTTCCACCTCTTCCGTGGTAAGAAGCGGAATGTTCTGCGTAATCGAATCGACTCTTGCGACTATGACCTCGATCAGCTTTTGCTGGGGACGATACTTTTCACTGTTCTTTTCTTCTTACTGCCGACGGTCATTGTATTCTATCTTGCGTTTGCGTCGGCGCGCATGTTGATTATCTCGCTCAAGGCGGCCTTAGACACTTGTCTTGCGTTTTTGAACCACTTCCCTCTTTTCGCCTTGATGCTGCGTATCAAAGACTCGCGACGCTTGCCAGGTAGGACCAACGCCATCCACCCCAAACACCAGACTAATCTTTTCTAGGCGGTATCCATTTCGAGCTGCGCGAGGAAACCATCAAACCATCAAAAGAGAACTCAGAAACCAATTCAATATCCTACATTTACCTAGATGTATTCCCCCCCTCTTTTCCTCTCTCTCTCTTCTCAAACGCACTCCAAACTAACAATATCCTCACCAGTCAATCCCGCTCTCCCTCCGCGCGATGTTTGACCAATACTTCCAACTCGGCCATCGCCTGCGCAAACACTATCTCTCACCCAGCGTTATCCTATGCCTCGTCTCCGGCCGCTTTGTGCCACCGATCCATCGGCGGAATCTGTATAGCATGCAGTACAGCATGCTGCCGGCGTATCGCGCCGGTATGCTGGAAGTCTGGGCGCGGTTGATGGAGGTCAAGAGTAGTTATTCGGGGAATATGGCGGGTAATGGGTCATTGAATGGGGGGATTAAAGTGCCGCCAGGGTTTGTGGGTAGTCGGCGGAATTATAGATGAGCGTAGATATCTAGGCAGTGGTTATATATATTTATATTTAATACATGTATTAATGAGAGATGGATTCAAGATGAGATGAATGTAGAACTTTCATTGTTGTCAAAGTTGATATGTTCAATGTTCAATATCAATTGATGCTGATATCATGCATATTGCTATTTATATTACACACCCTACCTATAAAATGCCATCGTATAACAATGCACTGATACACTCATATGACAAAAGTTTGTATATCGCAGTATTAAGATATTCTGTCTTTCGGCTGCATTTACACCGAAATTGAATCTGTCAGATTAAGCTTAAAGATTTCTCGCTATCCGGCCTGTAGAAAATGCAAAAAAGGTTCAAATACTATTAATATTGGTATAGGTAGGGCTCCAGATGTCCTTTACGCAGTCCACTGTTGTGGTGCTATATTCAAACTCTTGTCATCTTACATATGTACATTAAACAGAACAAAATCAAACCCCGGTGCGGGGCTGCTTCAAGGGGACAGAGACCGATTTGTGGGGATGGGAGACCCCAGAAGGGTGACAGCTTCGGGCGATCTATCATTGGCAGGCGACGCCCGTTGTTGCCACTACACTATGTACTTCTGGGGCTAATTTTGCTGGGCGGCCGTGAGGGTAAATATACAGTCACATCTGGGGAAGAAAGGCCATAGGTTACGTACTAATTCTCTGATAGCGCGAATCACAATGCTATATTAATAGAGTGCATTCCCGTATAAGCTTTTGCGTCCTTAGCGCCACCAGATCAACAAGGCCCTGCATCAATCAGACCCAGTAGATTATCCATAGCTCCAACAGAGACTCTTCTATATAGACTTATGTACTGGATTATAGCAAAAAGAGATCCAATGGTAGGATAAAATTTTGCTGCTGATGTAGATTGTCCATTTAACATTTCTAAACTAGAGACTAACCCCAAAAGTTTTACAAAAAAATCATATATACTTAGAACTCATTGTTCCATAGTCGTTTTCCTAGTCGTTTTACATAATCCTTTTCCATAGTCAATTTTCTCAGTCGTTTGTCGTTTATGAGAGTGTTCTAATTGGGTACGGGTATATTTGAGGAACGAGTATAAGCAAATCGCTTGAAACATCTGACTGCATTAGACATCAAACTTTGGGGTTGATATATAGTAGTGACATATATATCGTCATTGTTGAATCATTCACATAGGATTGGCCAAATTCCATCACATCGTGAAATCAAACATTCGAAGCAACCAACTATATAATACCTCATGGGAACCGTGTAGAATTCTTTTCTTTAGAATCCAACAAATCTCAATTTAAAATCAACAATCCTCTACTCTCTCACGACGTATTTTGTCAGCACTCAAACATACAATTTGACTTTTGTTATACTTATCTGGTCTCGTTTTGCAAGAGAAGACGAAAATATGAAGATTTTTCAGACGGCCTTGTTTGCTTCCATTACTACCTTACTCGGCCTAGTTAGCGCCGACTGTGATGTCGTGCCCACAACTGAAGGCGTAGATGGCAATGGAAATCCAATTGCCATTGGTGATACCATCACTGGCCAACCCGATATATGCCAAACCATGGGTCCTGGTGATTACTCATTTGTTATGCTCGTCGCAACAGCCGGTACTCCCATCCCTGGCGGTCCGATCAATCCCACGTACCTTGGATATACGAATGCCGCTTCGTTCATGATTTTTGATAATACATGCAAGCTACTCGGTGCTTTCTCACCTAACACTAACTGTGATGCACCATACACTCTCGAGGCCAATTATCTAGCCGATGTCATGACAATTTCAGTCTATATGGACCCTGGGGACCCGTGGTTCAGCTTCGCATACGGTAATGGGTTGTTCAGCACGGGTAACAATGGCTGTGATTGTAAAAAGAATGAGAATGATATTACATATGTTTCAGCTGCCTGTGGATGTGCGTTCCCACAGAGCGGTGTCTTGTCGAAACGCTTCTACGAGCCACTTCAATTTACTGCATGAGAAGTTGGCAGTGGAGATACCTGGCACTAAACTAACGACAATGTTAAAATAGTTTAGCCAGTGACATTTCAGCATATTTATGCTGACTACATGTATCCCAATCCTTGTACGTTTGGTGAAGAGGATAGTTCTATATCACATGGAATCAAATACTCGATTTTTCAAATTCCTATTGCCCTAAAATAGATAATACAGTCAAACTCCATAAGGACTTTTTAGTGGCTCTATAAGTTGGGCTGAGCATAAAGCAGCACCATACTGCATATGTTAATATTGCACATATTTGTTATATAAATACTGTATGCACACAGTAAGTAATGATATGTATCACTTCATGACGACAACACTGCTGCACAATATTATTGCTCACGACAACATTGTGCCAAGCACAAACAATATCAATCTGCACGCTATCCTCTATTCATCACCTTCACCTTCATCTTCACCTCTACTTCTACTTCTACTTCACAACGACTATTCATTAATTCTCCTCCATCCAAAAAAGAAAGAACAATCTCGATCCAAAATGGCCCACGGCTCCAGCTGGACGAAAGACCAAGTCCTCTTTCTAATCGTTCTAAAACTCTGCTCCAAACACCGCTGGAAGCAAACCGCGGAAATACTACGTCAAAAATTCCCCGGCACCACCGCCACCGCCAAGGACTGCGAGTCAAAATTCAACAAGGATCTGAAAAAGGTGGTTGAAAGGGACTGGATAGAGAAATTCAAGGCGGACGCTGTCATCCCCCAGGAAGAAGCGGGGCGGAGGGTGATTGCACAGTTGGTCGTCTGGCTTGGGGAGATGAATGCTGAGGATCGGGTGGTATAGGGTGGTTGGATAGAGGTGAGATATTCCATTTATTTCATAAGATTTTGCTGGCGTTGTGGTTGAGAGGAGAGTTGTTAACGTCATCATAGCTGAACTGAAAATATCGATTATCGCTTTAGATGCTCGGCATCGCTATCCTTGGAGCCCTGCTTAGCTTCTTCAAGCATCGAGTCGATCCCTCGATCTTTCAGCGCTTTCTAGAAATATATCAGCGACAGTCTCATAGCATCATCGACGACGGAGACGAACAGTCAGACATGCGTTATATTTCTTGAACAGCTCGGCACATTCATCATTTGAGTTTCCTCGCAAATACTCTATCCACTAATCAGTTATCGAATAGAGATGTAAAATGGTCAGTTTTTCATACTCTCACTGTACCATTTCAGAAAACAGGTATCATATTTCCTAGGCACCTCAGGTTAATCATGTAATTCTCTGGATGGTTTATGCATACACACTCCTTGACATCACTGCACTCAGGGGCCAGAGATGCCGACATTTTGTCTCTTTGTTGATAGCCAGGTTCACACAGTTGCAGGTTTAAATGGTGGTTTTGTGATCATATGTGAATGTTTCTGGTGGCAAATTGTGCATATGGAGTTGGAGCTGCAGCTAGATAGTGTCTTATTTGCTTCCGCCTATGATATCTCGCACGGACCACTCGCCCGGCCGCACTCTTTCTCCGAACTATATTTTCATACTACACCCCAGGCCCATGTTAAAACAAGATAATTTAGATATATTTCGCATGCTTAGTGGCTGAAAAGCAAGTGCAAGCCACTAAAGCATCATTGAAAAATTTTCTATATAGGGACAAGTGGGTGGGTAGGTGGGTGGGTAGGTAGGATCATCAGAGTGGGAAGTTCAATTACTAGATTTAAGGATAATTCCCCAGTATCGAGAGGTTAGAAGTGATCGAAGAATATTTTCTATGGCGATAATAATTTAGTGTAGTGATTGAACTGGTAGGCAAGCTGATATAACAGTCTATCCTAACAAACAGTCCTGACTATCAAATTCAAATCGACATATCAATTGATATATTTATTATACCTCCAAATTGAAGCCACGACCACCTATACATCCACAAATGTAGCATTCTCTATGTATCGCTTTTTCGCAATCCCCACTTGTAACGTGCCCAAATCAAAGACAAGAAGATGCTGCAACATAAATGTAGCCCCTAAGCAGGCCGTAGGCTGCGGTAAACCACCATCTGTTGCTGGCGGAATTGCCTGAATGTTACCCATACAGGTAGTATTGGAGAGTTGGGCAACGTTTAACAGACTCCCAGGGACAGTGAATGATCTGCCATTGATTTTCACCGCAAAATCTGGTAGTGTCTGGTTGCAAGGGAACACGAATGCTCCGTATTCGGTGCTATTCACAGCGGCAGGCACCTGTTCATAATACGCACTGACAACGGATGGGGGGAAGAGGTTTTGAAGTGTCCCCGTATCAACGATTGATGGGAAAGCGCTGGCCACGTAGGCTTCTGATCCGACTTGATATCCTTCAACCGATATCGACCACCAGCCCTGTTGGCTGTCACTTGTATTGACGGCAGCCCACGTTATGTCTCCATGGATTAAACTGTGGTTGATGAATCCGAAGTCGTAATGGGATTCTGCTTCCAGGTAGAGATCGGCGGTCAGGACAGGCATTGCAAGCTGGTCCTTGAGGTTATCAAAAAATGTATGTTGTTTGACGGGCTTGACGGTGTTGTTTTTGCTCAGCGCCATGCCCACTATACCTGATGCATCCAGCGATGCAAATCCAGCGGTGTAATTGATCACCGATTCAACGGCCTGTGCCGGGGCAGTGACGCCTCCAATGGTCAGCACGTCTAGGAACACGTCGCCGTTCACCTCGATATCGCCACTCGTTTCTTGATCGCCATTTCCATATATGACTTTGAACGTAAACCCGTCGAGCTTCTTCGCTGTTCTACTATTATCCGGCTCATATAATGAGGTGTTTGCGGGCAGTCCTGACTTCTCGGACTGAGAGCTATACACAACACTGGCACGAGTTAGGGAGGCTTTTTTTTTGAATCTTTGGGTTATGGGTGAGTACCAGTCCCAGGAGCCGGTGTCAATAATTATTGGCAACTCTTGTGGAGGGGTTCCAAACGAGGCGATAGTAACCCACTCGCCAGTGGGAGCGTCATAGGAGGACCCGGTTGAACCTGACAATCATCAATCAAATATCCTTAACAAAACTTCCAGAACTTACCGATATTTTCTCGACGCAACAAAGCCGTAAGGCCTTCGGGGATTGTTCCTCCATACCTAGCTAGCCCGCGCACATGTTGAGCCAGTCCGCTCGGAATATCCGAAGCGGTATTTACATTTCGAACAGTTTTTAGAGAGGAGGTCAGGCCGATGGACCTTTCCGGGACAGGATTTACAGACGCGAGAGATCTAGCAGCTATTGTTGCCAGGCCGAGAACTGAAAAAGCCACCATTTTGACGACCAGGCTGTCTGATGCAGGATGTTTGTCCAGGAAGAACGACCAGAAGAAGAGGGGGGTATAGAGATGTACATGTCGCGGTTTATATTCACGCCATCGCTTGCTTACTAAATATGTTACATGGAACAATAACTAGCTGTTATCAGTGCCTGCTATTGGACAACTCTATGGCTTGCAGGGGTTTCTGGTGGATACACCACACTTGTAGAAAGCCCCTCCAGAGTTCGCAATCTTAAATGTTGCATCAGCAGGTATAAAAAGGGAAGGTCAAGTGAATTCTACTCTTGATGGCCTATCGCATCAACTGATGTAGAGCGGATAGAACATGATATTAAACCCCTGGATCTAGTGTCTCGTGACAGTTGTGGTGGATCCAGGAAATATTAATATTAAGTCAGCTCCGCGGCGATAACTGCTCCCGGCTTCCCAACAGCTGATCTGCTAGCCAGGAGGAGAGACCAAGACAGGGTGCTAATTGGTCTCTATGCTGTAAAAGAAGTCAATTGAGAGATGTAGGAAGTTGGAGCATGGCTCTTTCTGTGCAGAATAAAGATATAGACGCTAGTCCAAAACAGGAATAGTGTTCTTTACACAGATCTCGTTCTCGGGCGGTGAGCGTCCAGCAAAAATAGTGCCGGGGTACTATCACTATCCTGCTTTCTGATAACAAAAATATTCAAAAAGCATAACCACCGCACTATCATGTTGTCAAGCAGGTAGAATACACTTTTATCTACACCTCATTCTAGCGTAGCCTGCTACGTGGGTTTTCTGTCCTTTTGCTCAAGTTCTGAAGCTTTCGGCCTACCATGGACTCCTCGGCAGAATTTTCTTCGTTCCAGGACAAGATCACCGCGGCGCTGCTCCAAACCACGCGCGCCGCCAACACAATCGCATCAGAAGACCTTGATTTCCACCGCAATTTGAATCCCAAATTCGCCGAGTCCCTCGATGAAGAGAAATCGCGCTTGCTTTCCCTGACATCGTCGTTGTTGAAAGTTGCGGCTGCGGGGACTGATATTAAGGCGCCGGTACTGGAAGATGCGGATGACGTCGAGGATAACTGGCGAGGAGTTGTGGATGTGATTGACAATCTCTTAGAAAAGGCAGACGCCTGTTTGGACGAATTCACTGGGATTATCAAGAAATTGACTCCGTCGCAACAAGATCGAACCCGCAAGATTGAAGCCCGTTCACAAGAGAGCTTCCCTACTATATACGGCTATGGGCCTTCGAAATTACCTAAGCCTCAGCTCTTGTTTCATCGTGCCCCCGATAACTCAGACACCTCGTCATTTCGTCCCCTTCTCAAGTCTAAGCCAAACGCGATAGTTCCGTTGGAGAAATCTCTTCAGCCAGTGAAGGCTAAGGGAAAGCCTCCCTTGTAAGTTTTTCATGGAAGGAATATATCATCTGCTAAATTACTCATTTCCGTCTAGCTTCTCTCATCCTTATGAAACTGAAATTCGCGAGGCCAAGTACCCCAAATCAGCTTACGTCGTCGCACCGCCGATCGAGTTTGGCCCCGTCGAAAGCACACAAGCTATATGGGTCGATACACCCGAGGCAGTTGCCGATATGATTTCAGAGCTGGAAGAAGCAAAGGAAATCGCCATTGACCTGGAACATCATGATGTACATTCGTATCACGGCCTGGTCTCGCTGATGCAAATCAGCACGCGCAACAAAGATTGGGTAGTTGATACCCTGCAGCCATGGCGAGAGGACTTGCAGCAACTCAACCGAGTTTTCACAAACCCTGAGATTCTGAAAGTTCTCCATGGATCGACAATGGATATTGTTTGGCTGCAGAGGGACCTCGGGCTTTATGTAGTTGGCATGTTCGATACCTATCACGCCGCCGTTGCTCTTGGATTTCCTAAGCGGAGTTTGAAATATCTGCTTGAGAAGTTTGCAAAGTACGAAGCAAACAAAAAGTATCAAATGGCCGACTGGCGTCTCAGACCATTGACCGAGGAGATGTTGAAATACGCTCGAGCCGATACTCATTATCTTCTTTATATATACGACTGCTTGCGGAATGAACTTTTGGAGAAGTCTACGACTGAAAATAACTTGATTGACTATGTGCTCGAGCATTCGAAGACCGAAGCCCTGCAGCGGTATGAGCGCCCTGTCTACGACGCAGCCACAGGTCAAGGGGCTGGAGGTTGGTACGACTTGTTATCTAGAAACGCGGTTCTGCTTAGCAAGGAACAATTCGCTGTCTTCAAAGCCGCTCATCAATGGCGTGACGAGATTGCTCGAAGTGAAGACGAAGGCGTGCAGTGTGTCTTTCCCAAGAATGCATTATTCAGACTTGCAACGGCGATGCCACTGGAGAAGCACACCCTGTTCAAGACGCTCTCACCTGTCACGTTGATCGTCAAGAATAGGGTTACCGAACTTATGGAAGTTATCAAAACGGCCAAGCTGGCTGGCGCTACGGGACCCGAATTACGCGATATAGTCAAGCCGAAGAAGTTCACTTTTGACTCTTTTGCCTCCCCGACAGCTGCACCTCCTCAAACACTCTCGACCGCAGAACCAGAGACAGTTGCAGATATTCGAGCAGACTCATCTCAGTTCTGGGGACCTGCGCTAGAACAGCTCGAGGTTGCAACGGTGCCTTTGGAGGTCAACGTGGCAGCATCTTCTGAGGCGCTGCGACTATCCCTCCCGATCCCTCCAATGCCTGTAACTATTTCCGAAGTGCAAGAGAAATTGGGAGATGCACCATCTACCGCCACATCCAATCCATCCTCAGCAGCTCCTTCACTTTCCAAAGCCAACAAAAACGAGATCTTTACAGTCAAAGAAGTCGCTCCTCGACGGAAGAGAAAGATCAGCGAAGAGCCAGAACCAGCGCTATCTGAATCCACATCTAGCAGTGGCGAGAGCAACAGCAGTTACGAAGACTCGTCATTAGACTCCGACCCATCCGATGTAGAGCATCAACCCGCAAAAAAGTCACGGAAAACGGCGAAACAGGCAACTACCAATTCGCAGAAAAAGGAAGACAACTCTACCCCCTTCGACTACAGCACAGCACCATCAGTCCTTCATTCAAAGAACATAACGACAGATAGTACATCTACGAAGAAACCCTTTAATCCATATCAGAAGGCGCTGAATGCGCCGAGAGGGATGCGGAAGACAAAAAAGGAAATCAGCGGAAGAACGTTTACGTTTAGCAAATAACTTGCATGGTCTGGCGTGTTAGGTATTAATTTGGTTTGTGTATGTATATGTTATTGTGATAGCATGCAATCGAGCATAGCGATACCCGGTATCAATAGCACGTCGGTTTGACCTGCCCTAGATAGTGGATAATTGACCCTACAGTAGGTACGCGGAGTAGCGCGGCATGGCTGTAGCCTGTCAGACTTCAGTCCAGATTGCGATTAAGATCCATTCTCCACATGCTGCATGATCAGTCACGCGCCATGCCCATGTTTCTGGAATGAGAGACATGTACATTGCGCATATCGTGGCATCGGCCCGCTCGGAAGCGCCCGGTTGACTTTTTTGATGTGTAAGCACCGTCGAACAAAGGATTGAACAGGCCATAATTACAAATCTCGAAGTCTGTCCAAGTTACTATTGTGGCCTCGTTTCAGAATAGTGGAGGTAGCGCGTGCAAGCTGTACATGGTCATGCGGCTGGATGCATGGCTGCTCCTTGCTTCTGTTGTATTGTCATTGGTTGGTAGACTGAATGGTGAGGAATCGTTTGCTACTCAGTATGCAATAACTAACTGATTCACGATGTGCTATGTCAGTCTATTAATAAATTTAATATAGACGGGTAGTCGGCAGCCATGCCAGCCTTGACATAGTGAGATTCTTAGCATGTGACCGTGTAACTTCTGTCTTATCAGTATGTACCACTATGTAGAATAGGGGGCAGGGCTTGTGTTGATTGGCTCCTTGGTCCACTGGTCCTCGATGCAGTGGATGCAGCAATGTATTCTGAATATTATTCTGGATCATGCAGGAACAGTGCAGTTGACGGGGTCCATCCGTACTACTGCAGTCTGTAATTAAGTCTCCTGCAAGTCTGGCGTCTAGTGTCTGGCATGAGCATCAATCTAAGTCACCTGCATCTGATCGGCCAAGACCCTGCTAGCTCTTGGCAGGGGATCTCAAGGTTCCCCTGGCCAACAGGGCTCCGAGTCCAGTCGACAATCCGGAGTCAGTGCTGCGCCGAGTGGAGTCTAGTCTTGGACTTGGTGCTTTGTGAGTTTGTGCGTGTGGACTCTGTGGAGGCTGTTGAAAACGCACAGATACCGTATTACTATATGCTTTTTTTTTTTCTTCTTTCTTTTTGTCGGAAACCGGGTTGGACATGGCGCTATTGAATTGTGCAGAACCTAGCGCAGTGCTCCGTGGTTGTGGTGGTGGCTTAGAGGGAATCGCGGTCAGCTTCAAGCCGTATGCTTCGTATACGAGACGGTGTTGGCTTGGAGTGATCTCTCGATCAGTTCGATCAGCATGCATATCAATTATAATAGCCATAATAATCTTAATAGTTACTCCGTACTAAATCCTAGTGGGAACAAATCATTTAATTTAGAAAGTGAACTGAAGGATTCGTGAAGTAGATCCGGGGGGTTAGTCATCCCCAACCAAATAACAATAAGTTACGCACTAGTGCCAGGTACGGTACGGCGGTTAGCGCATGGCTGAGTATTATTGCCGCGCGGGTCCCTGCACTAGCTGTATTTTTGGTATCACGGCGTAATTGATTAAGATGGCGTCACTTGACTGCTTGCTGTAAACAAATAAGGTTCTATTCAACATCATCGCAGTAATCCTACTGTCCTTACTGATCACTAGATCCAATGACTGACAGTAGTCGATCGGCCGATCCCTTGCAGACTGACGACCAAATAGGAAGGTTCTTTGAAATCACCTGATTCTTCTCTTTCTACTTTCGATCTTCAGCCCCGGCTATACTTGACAGCCACCCGCAATACGACGACAACACGCTGTTGAGGAAGCGTCACAGAGACTGTTATCGTGCTACGTAGTCCGTACTACCCAGTATCGCCTCCGCAGCAGGGGTCTGGCCCGCTGAAGATCCGGATAAATTGCTGCTGAGCTTGTTTGAATGATCACTTGGTAGCCAGTAAGTAGTAGGTATCTCCCGGTTTCGGACTTGTGAGCAGGATCTTCTCAACTGCACCTCCACAATGCGGCTCGGTAATAACTGCCTGACGATGTATCCGGCCCTCCTCGCACGGAGTCGCGACGGGACTTGACCCTGATCTCTCAATCTCAGGGACAGAAGGAATGCCAATGTCGGATCAAGTGATATCATGGCTCTTCTCCACTCGCGCCGCTGGAGCCTTGAGTCCAAATGAGTTTGACGTTCTCGCTAAAAGGGGTTAGGGACGAGCCTGCTGGAACCTGGCACGGTCCCTAAGCTGGCCAGTGTTGATCGCCTCTCCGGTGTTGAGCGTGAGTTAGTGTGTAGTATGCTTCCATATTAAGCTCGTGAGACTTGCATGAATGTGTGAAACGCTGCTCTAGCAATGTTATAATAATCCATAAAACATACTAATACCATGCACGTCTGACCGGCTGCTGTCTATCTCAGAGGTTTAGTACTTCTACTAATAAGACTTAGTTACTGAGTGCGTATGTCTTAGTAGAAGCCAACTAACTCAACCTGACGTTGAAACCTTCAGCTCGTCCAGTCCCACTCTCCCCCTCTCTTAGCCTTGACTCTCCCTCCTTTTCGAAATTAATCGCTTCGCGCTCCGGGGCCACCTAGCAGAATAACACTCACGGCGATCTCCCAATTCTGCTGGGATAGCCATTATTTCGAATCACAAACATAATTGCGATTCTCGTTATTCCCGTTCTGCTCATCCGCCAACATCCCAGTCAGCTTGCAGCTGAAACCGCCCGCTCGGCGCACCTCCCTTATCGCTTTTGGCTCCCGCAGCCGGCGCCCCCTTCACACTGCAATCGCTCATTATTTGGTCTTTCTTTCGGCAAAGTCATCCTCCTCCTTTCTCTTCTCTTCTTTCTCTCCTCCTCCTCCCTACTGCGACAACCACCCCCCTTTCAGTCCTTCTGTTTCGCCTGGGTGCGATCGGCTTCTGAAACCTGAAAGGGAAATCTGTCGACGTCTCTCATTCCCTCCCGTCAAGTTGTCAAACCTTCCCACCACTACTACCAACCCGACGACCAACTATACTCTAATCCGCCCCCGACAGTGACAGTTGGGTATCTAATATCGGGCATTCTCTACCATCGGACAGAGAATCAATTCAGCCGCCGTGAAAGTGCGCGGGGTCAGGAAATTGGATACTAACGCGACCACCGTTGTTCGCGCTATCCCTCTCGGTCTTGATGGGACATTGTTTTATATAGCGCACCTTTGATAATTACCAGGCACATCGATAACTCAGTCGCTCGCAACCATTTTATCGTTAGCTCCAACACTGTTCGCTCTTGAAAAAGTCGTCGCTCGATTCGATTCGCCTAATTCGATCGAACTTCAACCCCTCGAAGCAGAGTGCCTGTTGCGAGCCAGATGTCGGTAGCTACGATGCTACAGCCGGCATCGAGGGCCTCGACGTCATCCTCGTCTTCCTTCCAGCCTGTTTCTCGACAAAACACAATGTCTTCGCAAGATACTCGCTCGGTGCGCGCGTCGAAGCGCATGTCCGTAACGGCGTATTATCTGTCCATGTCCGCCAAGGACAAGGACTTGGAAATTTCTGACGAATTGGCAAAAGGTAAGATTATTTTGCTTTTCCTTTTAATTCCTAAGGATAAAGCAATTGACATTTTGTGTATAGTTCAGAAATATCTCCGTGAATTAAAATCCAAAATCTCCTCGCAGTCGAAAAAGAATTTCGTCCTGGAAAAAGATGTTCGTTATTTGGATTCTCGAATTGCTCTGCTCATTCAAAACCGAATGGCTCTGGAAGAAGTATGTTCTTCTCTCAACCCCCCAATTCTGTTATGCGGAATTAACAATGTCATGTGTAGCAAAACGAAGTTGCCAGTCATCTGGAAGATAGCCTCGATCCGCAGGAAGGCTACTTTCCTAACGACGACAAAACACAAAGATACGGAAACCTGCTCTTCCTTCTTCAAACAGAACCGAAACACATCGCCCACCTCTGCCGGCTCGTCTCGATGTCCGAGATCGACTCGCTCCTACAAACAGTCATGTTCACAATCTACGGAAATCAATACGAGAGTCGCGAAGAACATTTGTTGTTGACCATGTTTCAGTCTGTCCTGACCTACCAATTTGACAACACGCCCGAATATTCGTCACTGCTTCGCCAAAACACGCCTGTCTCGCGAATGATGACGACCTACACCCGCCGTGGTCCTGGTCAAAGTTATTTGAAACAAGTTCTGGCTGAACAGATCAATTCCCTTATCGAATTGAAGGATGTTGATCTTGAAATCAACCCCCTGAAGGTTTATGAAAGTATGGTGCAGCAGATTGAAGAAGATACTGGTAGTCTACCCGATTACCTGCCAAGAGCCGTCACCGCCGAAGTTGCAGCTGCCAATGAACAGGTGCAGGCGATCATCGCACCCCGTTTGAAAATGCTGACTGATATTGCCAACACCTTCCTCACAACTATCATCGATGGACTGGAGGATGCTCCGTATGGTATACGATGGATCTGCAAGCAAATCCGAAGCTTGTCTCGGCGCAAGTACCCCGATGCCCAAGACCAGACGATCTGTACCTTGATTGGAGGTTTCTTTTTCCTCCGGTTTATTAACCCGGCTATTGTCACTCCTCGTTCCTACATGCTGATCGAGGCCACACCGACGGACAAGCCACGTCGTACATTGACTCTAATTGCCAAGATGCTTCAAAACTTGGCCAACAAACCTTCTTATGCCAAGGAACCCTACATGGCGAAACTCCAGCCATTCATTCACCAAAACAAGGAACGAGTGAACAAGTTCCTGCTTGACCTTTGCGAAGTGCAAGATTTCTACGAGAGTTTGGAGATGGACAACTATGTTGCTTTGACTAAGCGTGACCTGGAGCTGCAAATCACCTTGAATGAAATCTATGCGACGCATTCGCTGTTGGAAAAGCACAGCTCCACATTGGCTGCTTCTGACCAGCATTCTCACTTGAATATACTTCTGCAAGAGCTCGGACCGGCACCTGGACAGCTTCTTCGCAAGGACAACCGCACCATCAACTTACCGCTATTTAGTAAATGGGAAACATCAGTGGATGACCTCACTGCTGCTCTAGATATCACACAAGAAGAGATTTACTTCATGGAAGCCAAATCTACATTTGTTCAGATTTTGCGTTCACTACCAAATACCTCCTCAGTCCTTCGCCGACCGCTGCGCCTTGACCGAATCGCCGAAGCAGCCGCTACGCTGAAGAACGATGCTGTCATGGTCCGAAAGGGAATCCGAACAATGGAACTTCTCAGCCAGCTTCAAGAGTTGGGCGTTATCGATCGGTCGGATGAGTTTGGTCTTCTTCGTGACGAAGTCGAGCAGGAATTGGTGCACTTGGGCTCACTCAAAGAAAAGGTGGTTGAAGAAACAAACCAGTTGGAAGAGGTCTACCGCACGATCCGCGATCATAATGCATATCTAGTGGGTCAACTGGAAACATACAAGTCATATCTACATAACGTGCGTAGCCAGTCCGAAGGCAAATCACGCAAGAAGGAGAAGAATCAGGAGCTTGGACCATACAAGTTCACTCACCAGCAACTTGAAAAGGAAGGCGTTATTCGCAAAAGCAATGTTCCTGAGAATCGACGGGCCAACATCTATTTCATGTTCAAGAGTCCTTTGCCTGGTACATTTGTTATCAGCCTACACTACAAGGGTGAGCATTGCAGGGTTTTAATGATAACAATGAAGACGCTAATATTTAATCTTTGAATAGGACGCGCCCGCGGTCTACTAGAGCTAGATCTGAAGTTGGACGATTTGCTGGAAATGCAGAAGGACAACCAAGAAGATCTCGACCTAGAATATGTTCAGTTCAACGTATCGAAAGTTCTGGCTCTCTTGAATAAGCGTTTTGCTCGCAAGAAGGGATGGTAATTCGAGAAATCACCGCCTTTACGACTTCCATGACCCCGGTTACGTCCTGATGGCCTGTGTTGACCCTAGTGGTCCACGCGGCTGTAATTATCACCCCTTTCAGAATATGGTGAACATGCTGTGTTCGTTTCGAGTTCAACATCTTGCCATGATACCCCGTTCCGACTCGATAATACATTTATTCCTTTTCTTTCTTTTTGTATTTTGCGCATACCCATTTTGGCTCGTTAGGTGTTTTTTGCTCGCGCTACTGCTTTCCTTGAAAGATCTAGTCCAGATATTTCTATTTCTTATAACTACATTATGTTGCGATATCTCTGAGATGTGGTCATTTGTTTATATAGTATACACCGTTCCGCTGGACCGGAATATGCATTATGTCATCAATGCTGGTGTTTTTGTGTCGTTCGATCTGTTTTGTCAAGAGTTCATGTTCTGTGTGGCATTATGTTTGCTGGCGCTTTTCAGGGGTTGTGATCCTATGACGATCTTGCCTGTAATAATACTATATATACTCGCGCGTCCAGTTATGATTTTTTTGGTCTTTGTTTCGAGCATCGAAGAAGCGAAATACGAATATATACCTGTCTCCTGTCTGATAAGTAACTGGCCATCACGCGATGTTCTCGAACATGGCATAATCCATTGACATTAAGGTAGTTAGTATAGGTCCACGGGGGTCTGTCAGTTGATGACCTGGCACGTAGTACACACCAGCGCCATCAGTGGTCAACCAGATTGATTGGAGTTGCCGTGTGCTATTTGCCCTGTCACACTTCCAGCCTGGCCGATCTCATGGAGCAAACATCAAGATTCGACTGTCTGACCTTGTACAGTTGAGTCGGTGGCGATTTTGTTCCCCTCCAGGCTGCCCCGCAATGCAGCGCTGTCATACTATTCAGCCCTTCATGACTGTGCAGCGACGTAATTATTGAATTATTGACTGCTCGGAAATCCCTGGCTAGGTGATCTGGCAGACGTGTATTATCATTAGGCTCGCGTCGCTATTGACTGACTTTGCGCAAATCCCGCCTGCGACTGTCGCTTGCAACACTCACTAAGACGGCTTAAGGCCACGGAGAGTCCGCTATCAAAAGTTCCACTTTCCCCGATCAGCACAGACCGCACTGCCCGTGTCCTTTTCCAACTACGTACAACTACTACCAACTCAGACCTGCAAAATATTATTTTCTGGTGAACTATACAGACACACGCTCAATTCTCCTTCTTTCTTTCTTTCTTGTCTTTCCCTTCTGCTTGCTCGCGGACCATCTCCCGCCGAATCCCTCTCCTTCCGCCCTCCCTTCGCCCTGCCATAGCTGAGAAGACAATTCTTGTGCTCTGTCCTCCTCATTATTAGCAACCCAACCACCACCTCACAGCATCTGCTCTCTCAAAATGGCCGAGGAAGTGCACAATTTCGACCCCAAGTACGACGACTATGACTTTCCCACAACGTCACCCGAGGCGCGATCTGGCCATCCCGGACACACGACCCCAGAGCAGGATGCAAAGGTCTTCCAGCTGCGCACCATGCTTGAGCAAGAGGGATACACCGAGCGTCTAGACACGCTGACCCTGCTGCGGTTCTTGCGGGCTCGGAAGTTTGTCGTTGAGGCTGCCAAGACTATGTATGTGTGCTTTTTTAGCCTCGTCTTTTTAAGCCTTGAGTTTTTAATCTTGTTGGCGACACGTCATTGATTTATTTTTTGTAGGTTCATTGAAAGCGAAAAATGGAGAAAGGAGTTTGGAACGGATGAACTGGTCGATACCTTTAACTATGTCGAGAAGCCCAAGGTTTTTGAATACTACCCACAGTACTACCACAAGACCGACAATGTAGGTTCATGATTTTCGTGGCATAGAAAGGCTATTTTCTAACTGATTTCACAGGACGGTCGCCCCGTCTACATCGAAAAGCTGGGCAAAATCGACCTGACTGCCATGTACAAAATCACCACGGGAGAACGAATGCTCTCAAACCTGGTCTGCGAGTACGAGAAACTGACCGATCCCCGTCTCCCCGCCTGCTCTCGCAAGGCCGGCAAACTGCTCGAGACGTGCTGCACCATTATGGATCTCAAGGGCGTCGGCATCACCAGCGTGTCCTCGGTATACGGGTATGTGCGCCAGGCATCGGCCATCTCGCAAAACTACTATCCCGAGCGCCTCGGCAAGCTCTACCTCATCAACGCCCCCTGGGGATTCAGCACTGCCTTCTCCGCCGTCAAGAGCTTCCTGGACCCCGTCACCGTCGAGAAAATCCATATCCTAGGCTCCGGCTACCAGTCCGAATTGCTCGCCCAAGTGCCCCGCGAGAACCTCCCCGTCGAATTCGGCGGTACCTGCAACTGTGAGGGTGGCTGCGAGCTCAGTGATGCCGGCCCATGGCAAGAGCCTGAGTGGACAAGACCACCAAAGCGCGCGGCCAAGTCTAAGTCTGAGCAGGAGAAAGTAACCCCCGCTGCGCCTGAAGACGCTCCCGCTGCGGCGGAGGATGCCCCGGCTACTGCCACTGCTTAAAGGAAGACGAACCGGGGGATTGAATTGATATATGGACTCTGATTTGTCATCATACGCACTTGGTACTTCTTCTATACAAGGTTTGTATGTTTGCTTGGGGATCACAATGGTTTATTGACTACTTTTATTTTCTCTCTTCAATTTCATGTCTAATCCCCCATACTGGCGGACTGACGCTACGAAGAGTGGGAAAGAAATACATACTACTGGTGCTATAGCGCTGATGGCGTTGTCTTTTTTTTTGTTGTTGTTGTTTCTTTCTTTAATCTTCACATTCTGTAGATACATGTCTTCTATTCCCATCTCGAATTAAGATCATCATAGAGAAAAAAGACAGATAAAGAGAACAGGCCAGTCGTTAATTCAATCTTTGCCCTCTCTTTTCTGAAGAAGTTTCGAATTGAGGCCGCGACTTGGCGTGGCTTAAGATAAGAGATATTCTCTTGGCAATTGCTTCACGGTTGGACCCAGCTGTGGACCATGCTGATCATACCAAACACAGATGTTCCTTCGGCTCGCGCTTTGTGAAGTATCGTATGGAAGATCCTCACACATCCGGGTGATATATGCTTAGAGTTAATTGCCGATTGCTCGAAGCAACCATCGAGCAGTTACGGTGCGGGCATCCGGCAGCCGTTATTCTGCACTCCTGTTTGCACTATCGCAGCCCAATTTCTCAACGCTTCCAGGATAAAGCACATATTGTTACTTTCCAGCGTTGGTAATCCCCAGATAGTGGATTATCAGAGCATAGCTCTGAGTGAAAATACGAGGTAGTTCCCCACGCATATTACATCTTCTTCACAACCTCCGCGGCCCGGCTCGCCCTCTCTGCGGTTCCTACCGTCGTCGAAAGCGCATTTCGCGACGCCTCCACACTCGCCGGTTCATCGCCCTCTACATATTCACCCTGCAGCCGAAGGAGCGTGCGCAACGTGTCCGAGTAGACCTCTGCCATCTCGCCGCTCTGCCACCGCTCTCTTTCTGAGTCTGATCCAAATGGGATATCTAGTTTCCACTCCGGTTTGATCTTGCTGTATTCAACTGCACCCGTTTCAGCGAGTTTCTTTGATGATGATGATGATGAGCCGTTTTCGGATTTTAGTATTGGTTCACTTTGGTATGCGGAATCGGAGTCTTGTTGCTGCCGAGCGAGGGATTCGTATTCCGCATCTTCGGTTTTCAGCATCTCGATGAGTGTGTCGGAGTACGCTTTGGCGGCTTTCTGTGGCGCCTCGCGGCGAAGTTGTGCGACTGACGTCGTGAGTGATTCGAGCTGGGCGTACAGCGAAGTCACGCGCGACGCCAGCGCGCCGTCGTAAGGCTCGTATTCGATGGTTTCGGGTGCAGAAAACCCAGAGTCGAAGGGTAGCAGGCCCGTTGAGCCTTCTCCTGGGCTGACGTCCACTCCGTTGATGGTGATCGAGTCCGACGCGAGGATGTAGGTTTGTTGAATGAACTGGGCAAAGTTAGAATCTTAGAGTTGGGGTTGAGTTTGTAGGGGATGAAGTACCTCTTCCATCAGCTTTTTAACACGCCCTTTCACTGGGTATGGATCGTCCGCGTTGTCGTTCTGCGGCGGCGGGTAGATTTCATTGAGCTTTTCTTGCAGGCAGGCGAGGGTGTTGGTGTACAGATAGTTAAAGTCTGCGTTGGACTGCAGTTCAATCTTGCGGTAGTGAGGGCTCTGCATGGTTGCGTTTGTCTTATTTCTTCATGAACGCGTGGTTGTCTGCAGCCAATATCAAAGATAAGATGGATCAAGCAATGTTTACTCGCGCCCGCCACTAGGCCGCATTTGGAGGATGGGTCCTCATCTGTATTGCTATTGGCCCGATGCCTGGCGCAACGATGTCATACCTTTGCCAGATTCATCCATGCTCCTCGCCGCGCCTGCGTCTTTGTCAACTTCGTAATTATACACTCGTTGGTTTGGACGACCATTGTAGTCGTTCCTTCTAGGCCAGCTATCATTCATTCCTTATTACTTCAGCTTATTCTTTGCTATCCACTATTACCACGGGATTTATATCCCGTACAAAGACAAGCTCGCACCTACTAAATTCATGTATCAATGCATACTTGATCCCAAAGAACAGCCGGCTTCTGTTCTCTACTTCTCTCTCCTTTTGGTGGTCTCTTTTGGTTGATTCCCACACCCATTATTATATTAAAATTTATCCCAGACCTACCACCCCCAATGGCGAACATAACTTGCCAAGGAAGCATTAGTTTGGTTGACAACACTGCTTCCTCACAACCTCCGGAACGAGTCCTTACACATACCACATCTGCCCCAGGTCTACCGTCAATAACCAGACTGTTCACCAAGAGCTCCGTCAAAAGTGAGCTGGCAAAGCGAAAATACGCAAAATGGCAACGAGAAAGACTCGACATGCCGGACAGCGCCGGTCTGAAGCGAAACTCAACTCGGTACTCGTTAACAGACAATCAAAGTGACAGCCGAAGCGCCGTGCAAGACACAGAAGACTCTCGCGAGAGACAAAATCCCAACCTGGAGCTGTTGAATGTTGTCCCAACGCAGACGCGTTCCGTGGATTTGGACGCTAAGCCGGCTTCGGAGCTTGATATCTTGTATGAGAATCAGAGAGGGTGGTTTTTCTTCGGCATCCCGTTTTATTCGGACCGCTCACTACTTCAATTCGACCCGTCAGCCTGGGTGACCAAGGACTACAATGATAGTCCGGTCGACATAACGAATGCACAAGTTCCCGATCCTAGCTGGGAGTGGGCTTGGCAGACGTGGTTTGTGGATATGTCCGACGATGTTGATGAAGAAGGATGGCAGTATTCAATCTCGTTCGGAATGAAATGGGGTTGGCACGGAACACACCCATGGTTTCATTCATGGGTGCGGCGAAGACGCTGGGTGAGGCTACGAACTAAGAAGAAGCATATGCGTGGAAGAGCTAGAGCGGATGAAACAGGCTGGGAATTAGCCCATCGATTAAACGAGGACTATTTCACGATTCACTCGCAGAATGTGATGAGTAGAGAGCCGAGTCTTTTGGCAGATCCAACTATTTCTTCCCCTGCGAATAATAGACAGAGTGTTGGTACCTCGTTGGATGGGCTGGTGATTGAGGACATTGAAGACATACCGACGTTACTGCAAGCGCTCAAAGACGCGATTATAGACCGAGAAAGGGTGGAGATTCTGAAGAAGTTTCTAGCTCAAGGTGGGGAAGAGCTCTTTTATCTCGCAGAGCAGGTAAGATGGGTCATATCGATGGGTGTGTACGGACAGTATATCTGATATTCATATTGCAGGTCCCCGAAATCCTATCATTATTTGTATTCCAAACCTCGCGATGGCAGTTCCTGAATCTCATACAAGATTCCATAGACCAGGAATCTTCGGAAAACACCAGCCCGTCGAAAAGCGACGACAAGGAAATTGAAGCAAGACGGCGACGGCGAAACAACCTATCTAAAACTTTAGACGCTATCAACAAGGAGATCTCCGGCTACGAGGTGTTCGACATCACAAAGGAAGCGCAGGTCGGAAGTGGTGGTTCTTTTAAGTCATCGCCTGGAAAGGCCAGGGAAAGCTCAATCAGCGAGATCAGGGGGATTCCCAAAGCAGCGAATATTGGAAAAGAAGGTCATATATATTAGCATCCAGCATTCACTTCTTTGGCTGAGCCTTGTTCTTTTATGTAAATATCATTTTCTTAAATAATAACCTGTCACTGGCAGTTACAGAGCACCTTTTAATATCTGCTACATGTATATATAGATAAGAGAATGTCCTGTCCTCCATGTTATGGTCATCAATACTTCAAGCTCGCTCCGGTAGGCGAAGCGGCCAAACACGCAAAAAGTAATTCCGTCGCCGAAATCTTTTCGGTTTCAAGCTTCTCCCAGAACATTCAAATATTTAAACTACAGCAGCCCTCCATGACATCCTCAACAAACCATTGATTTAGTGTACGCTTACTTTTAGTTTCCAGTGCCTAGACTTGGGGCGGCCACTCATGCCCATCCTTCTTTGTTAATCGGCTCCCCATGATCGCTCGCGGCAAGCATTGTCTCGGAAATGGGAAATTTTCTTCTTTTCTAGACAGCATTGTTGTTCCAGCAAATGAGCCTTTACATTTCCTCTATCCACGCTGCGCGAGTACCTCCAGCTCACGGTCTGCTTTCTTAACCTCTTCTCGGCGTCCGAATCCGCACAAAAGTTATGAAAGACCTGCACGGTGCTACCCTGTTAATCGTGTATCGCGACGATGGCTATCCTCGACCCACCCGAACAGTAACCCCGGCGTTTCGCAGAAGGAGTCAGATATAAACGCTACCGAGCCAATCGCTCAAGTCAGACATCAAGCTTCTAATGTGATAGCAAGCGACCGGAACAAATCACCGGCAAGTTCGGACAATGAGAACCAAGCAGAATGGCAACCCAGCCATGACAAGAATTCTGAGGAATCCTCCACCAACACTGCCTCTGACAAAAGTCTGGATGCTGATAATACTACGGATGAGATAGTAATCAGAAAGACTAGGCCATATCGACTTACTACCTTGGCTGAGAAGAGGCGGGTGACGGCTGAACGAATGCGGTCCAAAGAGCGCAGCCGACTAGGCGAGAGAAAATACCCCAGCAAAGACCTGCGGAAGCTGAGATACCGGAAATATATTTCTCTATGGCGTCGAGGGAATTATAAATACAGGGCTACCGTGCACTGGACGGAAGTCATGTCACTCCTCGAAACGATGTCATTGGAGACGCCCGTCAAGCCGAAGACTGCAATAGACAAGGAGATACTCGTACGGGAAGAGATTGTTGCGTATCTTTCTGGCACGCCGTTATCCGACGAGAATATCTGGTTTATTCAAATTCGAAATGGCTGTCAGGTTCGCGTGTTGAAGCCATCGGAAAGTGAAGGCATATATCGGAAAGTCATTATATCTGGATCAAGGCGTGTCATCGAACTGGTGGAGAAGCGGTTCAAACAGATGGAAGAGCATCAACGCCAGCTAGGAGAGCAGCAGATAGCTGGTCCTAAATTTAGACTGCCTGCCGTGCCTATCGTTCCATCTATACTTGCATTACGTGACAAAGGATACCCAGTTCCTTTGATTCGCTCTGTATGGGATGATGAACCATCAGTACAATCGAATCCTTTAGGTTTACAAGGCGCCTCGAGTGTGCGATTAACAAGTACTCGTGACTTTGCGCGACATGTTGAACACTTAGTCAACGCAAAGCAGCCCAGTGGGGACAGGAGCCCATGGGATGCTTTTTATTCCAAAGATAGTGTAATGAAGTCACTCGTGACTCTATTCACACGTCCAGAAATCCAACCTTATATCTCCACTTCTGCGTTGAACGCAGCTCTCACGTTTCTGTGCAAACACGAGTATTTACGTTCAGCTCGTGTGGTGTTCAAGAAAGCCCACGCTGTGGCTTCAACCGAGTCATACAATATCTTTCTTCAGTCAGCATCTAGACGTCAGGATCTCTGGTTCTTTCACGCTACCCTTCAGGATCTGATTGGACTCAAAATGAAGCCGAATGGAAATACCTGGGTTGCTTTTCTGCAATGCCTGATTTCACCGGGTCCGAGACATCAAGTGATGCTGCGCATGGCAGAATTGGGCTTTACGGAAGACAGACGAGTGCTACTTGACGTATTGCAGTATAACATAGGGATAATGCTTTCGGCCCATCTCGATAACGGTCTTGATATTCCATCATTCCTTGAAAGCTTGGAGAAGGACTATGGTAGTACGACCATTTCGACATATCTGCTCAACCTCATTCTAGAGGAAATCGCGCCTAGAAAAGACTCGGACCTTCTCGCGCAGGTTCTGGACGCGTTCAAGCGATATGAACTGTCTCCCAACAACAGGACCTTTGACATCACTCTCTTACATTTTCGTGGGTTAGGCGCTGCCATGGAGAGTCTGTTAGCACTCATCCATAAAAATGAATTCGTTCTCAACTGGTCAAATTACGAAAAACTGTTTCTCCTCGCCCTCACTTCCAACTCATATAATGCGTGTCGAGTTATCTGGCGGTTTGCATGTATGAGGGGTGCAACGAGCAAATTGATGAGACAGATTGTCCGATCATCACTACTAGGCGATAACCGCGGAAAGGGCCAGGATTCTGGATACCTGGAGCACCACATTGGGGCCATTGTGGTCGGCTTGGAGTACCAGCAGGGCACACAGCCATCGGGGGTTGCTACGACCATGGTCCCGCCACCGTATACAGAGAACCCAGTTGTATACTTGACCCGTTACATGTCTCCTGTTGACAAGAGGAAAAAGCCACTGGTTTCTCAATTGATTTTGGACGACGTCCGTCAAGGGCCGACGCGCCAGCCCGAGGAGTCGCTGTGTTTGATGCTGGATGCTGCAGTCAGACTCGACAAGGAACTGCGCTGGCACTCGCCGGATGAACAGCAGGATACCATGTCCAAGCGATCCACTATCGATATTCTCAAATCGACTATCGCCGTTCCTATCAAATAGATAGACCCATGAAGACCGGGGTCGTTCAGTTATATCAACCATGTACAATATATATCAACCACATAGACCAAGATACCCTTGTTCGAGTTTGAGATTACTCGCTGTTTCTGATCTAAGCTCTGCTCATGGACCTGTACATATGTATAATAGTTGTTTACTTCTTCACCTTTCACACAAATAGACTACATATAATCTGTATCATTCGCTATGGGTATCGGCCATAATGATGCAAATTCTAATTCGTTACTTCGTAAGACATGGTATCTTTATGCCACCATCAAATGATCCGCCAATGCAAGCCCCATCCCATTATTACCATAAACCAATCCCTCCAATGCCATTAATCTGTGTCATAATAACATCGACCACCCTCATAACATCTGTCCATTCTCTTGTTTCGGAATCGGTAAGCTACCTGCCTGCGCGTAGCCCATAGGGACCTGCGATGGATCCATGCCTGGCGGAAGATCGTACGTCAATCCCAGCGACCCAACGCCCTCTTTCAAATATAAAACAAGCCGATACGCCGAGTTCCCATTCAGATAATACCGATGCAGGCATTTACTTCGGAGGAAGCCCAGTCGTTCATACAGCTTGATAGCGGCCTTGTTCGTGACTTCTGTTTCCAGCGCGACCTTCAAAACACATCAGTACGCTCCAACCTTATCAATGCGTCATGCTTCAGTTAAATGGAATACAAACCTCATCGGCATCCCTCTCAATCATAGCATCAATGGCCATCCGCACTAACTTCGTCGCTATGCCCTGTCCACGGTATTCTTCACGCACAGCCAACATCGCTATATACCCCCTCTGCGCGCCGCGATGGAGTTCAAGCTTTGAGACCACAACCCCCACCAAATGCCCGCTGTCGTCCATCGCCATGAAGCACAGGTCCCCCCATTGGTACAGAAAGTAGCGGTAGACGTAGATGCTGTACGGCTCCGAGAGATCCTTTGAGATCAGCTGCCGCATGGCCGGCAGATACTCGTTTTCGCGACTGCTGTCGTACTGCACGTATTCGAGCTTGGGGCGCTCGGTGCTGCTACCATGCTGGCTCATTGCAGCGCGACCATTCGAGGGGCTGGTACTGTTTGGGACGGCGAGGTGGTGGTGAATAATAAAGGCAGTAGAGCAGAGAAAATTATATGCAGTGCTTGCAGGATCGAGAGAATGCGGCGTGGTGAAGGGAAAGCGTTGTGTAACTAGGTACTGGAGGTCCAGGCTGGGCAGGCACGGCGGGATTCTATTGGCGCGGCCACCTCAGGTTGGTTCTCTGGTCGGCACCGACAATGATGAACCTTGCATGCGTCTTACATTCACTTTCATTATGGTTATGATGATTTGATCGTACGAGACTGTGCATGCTTCTACATGATATTGGAATTGCTGCCCGCTCGAAGAATTCGCATCCTTCCAGTCAATGATAAGAAACTGGTCCCACCATGTTTTCTGCATTTGTGCGATTGTGACGTCTTTCCCATGTGATTTTGTGGGCTAGAGATATCATTAACGTGATTGCACCACCAGCTTTGTTCACTTCCTCATCCCTCGCCTTAGAATTCTCACACACTCGCACCCCGATAAGAGCGCGAACTATCAACGGCAACCTGCCGTGCCTGTTAGGAGCATGTCGACTAACGTCCGCCGACGTCCGGCACATCGGACCACCACCCAAGACGACAACAATTCTACCCACTACAAAGATGCCGCGACCCTGCCACCGCCAGATATCAGCGACAATGCAGATGAGAAACCGACATTGAGCCTGTTCGTTCGGTTAAAGAGGTACCTCAAAAGGCCGCGCGGAAAGCGCCGGCACAGCTTAGTGTTCCTGCTGGGTGGACTGTTTGGGATATTCGTTGCGCTGCTCTTTGCGAATCACAATGAGGTTATCAGTTTGGATGCATTGATGGATCTGAATCTGGACGCGTTGATTGATGTTATGCCGGCAGGGATTCTACGGGACGCCAAAGAATTCACGGTTCGTTGTATCTCCGGCCTGATAAGGCATAATGCTAATGTGTTGATAGCAACATGAGCGCGATACGGTCAGCTACGACTCGTTCTCTGTCGGGTTATACTTGCAATCAGAGGGCATTAAAGCCAAACACCCCGTCGTGATGATCCCCGGCGTTATTTCAACAGGGCTAGAAAGCTGGGGAACAGACATAGAATCGCGGCAATATTTCCGCAAGAGACTCTGGGGCAGTTGGAGCATGATGCGCGCGCTGGTGATGGATAAGGCTGGATGGAAGAGCCATATCATGCTGGACAAAGAAACCGGTCTCGATCCTCCTAAGATCAAATTGCGTGCCGCTCAGGGGTTCGACGCGACCGATTTCTTCATTACGGGGTACTGGATATGGAATAAGATATTGGAAAACCTGGCCTCTATCGGCTACGATCCCACCAATGCCTTCTCGGCGGCATACGACTGGCGGCTTTCGTATATCAACCTAGAAAAACGCGACCAGTACTTCAGCCTTATCAAATCATACATTGAGATGACGGTCAAAGTTGGCGAAGAGAAGATCACCTTGGTTTCGCACAGTATGGGCTCACAGGTCGTCATGCACTTCTTCAAGTGGGTGGAGAGCGAAGAGCATGGGAACGGCGGCAAGGACTGGGTCAACCGCCACATAGACTCCTGGGTCAACATCAGCGGCTGCATGCTCGGCGCCGTGAAGGGGTTAACAGCAGTCCTATCCGGCGAAATGAGAGACACGGCACAACTCAACTCCTTTGCAGTCTACGGCCTAGAGAGATTCCTCTCCAAGGAGGAACGCGCCGATATCTTCCGCGCCATGCCGGGCATCTCGAGCATGCTCCCCAAGGGCGGCGATGCGGTATGGGGCAACGAAACGTGGGCTCCAGACGACCAGCCCGGCAAATCCACCAGTTTCGGCAACTTTATCAACTTCCGCGAGGTCAATTCCTCCTGGACCAGCAAAAACCTGACCATGGAAAACAGCCTCGCCTACCTCTTCAACCAGTCCGAAGAGTGGTACCGCAACCAAGTCTCCACCAGCTACTCGCAGGGCATCGCACATACCCGCGCCGAAGTCGAAGCCAACGAAAACGACCCACGCAAATGGCTGAATCCGCTCGAATCACGACTCCCGCTCGCCCCGGATATGAAGATATACTGCTTCTACGGGGTCGGTAAACCGACCGAGCGTGCCTACTTTTACCAGGAAGAGCGTGACCCGCTCACCCGCCTCAACGTCTCTATCGACACCACCGTCACCGAGCCCAACGGTGCCGACCACGGCGTCATCATGGGCGAGGGCGACGGCACCGTGAATCTGCTAAGCATGGGCTACATGTGCTCGCACGGCTGGCGGCATATCAAGCGGTACAACCCGGCGGGAATCAATGTCACCGTGCACGAAATGCGGCACGAGCCAGACAGTTTCTCGTCGCGCGGCGGACCGAATACAGCAGACCATGTGGATATTCTCGGAAGAGCATCGCTGAATGATTTGTTACTGCGTGTTGCCGGTGGTAAGGGGGAGCTTATTGAGGAGAATTATGTTTCGAATATTAGGGAATATGCGAGTCGGGTGAAGATATATGATGACGAGTAGATTTTTTTTAAACTTTCTGTCGATACCAGTTTATACCAGTGGGCCGTGGTTTGTATTCAACTGGAGGGCTACATGTATTTGGTTTTATATAAATATTTAATTGTGATGACCAATATCAGGTACTAGGTCTCCATACTCTGAGCTTTAAAGATGGTCTATCTTCCGTCAATACAAGGTACATATGAAATATTCTCTTATACCAGTTCACAGATCAATTATGGGAAAGTCAACTCCCCCGTTGACATTGTCGTTTCCCGCACCTCCTCTGGCTCTAACCGCGGGACCTTATAGATTCGCTGAGAGCTTGTCTTTCCTCATGCTTAGTATTCTATTAACTTCTTGAAGGGCGTACTACGGCGGCTGGTGGAAATAATAACGAGTCGGCTGGACTTTCGCAGAAGAGCCTATGTCTTCCCCTTCCTCTATAGGGCTTATGTGCGGGTTCACCTATTTACCGTCATCACCATTGCTGACCTGCTGCTCATTCAATTCTTCATAAAGTTTTGGGAGCCGGAAACGCTCGTTTATTGCTCTTGGCCAACATGTTTCCCTGCAAAATTACACAGCCCTATTGACATGCTGTCTCCAGCAACGGCTTCAGTAGCGCTACCACCAGCACGGTCGTGAGTAACTAGAACCTTCAGCTGTGGGATATATACACCTATTCCAACGACAACAACGGTGCGTGCGTCAACCCCCTTCAACTGTATCTAAACCCGACCACCACAGTGCCATGCTTTGCCTCCTGGCCCAAATTGGACACCTTAATTCCGATGCTTCTATCTCTAGCAAATCTTGATGTAATTATAGAATTAAAATATGTTTGCGGAATATGAGACTATATAGCCCGCTACTAATATCATAAAATTGAGTTGGTAGTAGGCTATACTCGCCTCATAGTTCTTTTCAACAAGATAAATAGATGATGCGAAGGCCTTTTTCCGGGTGTAATGTTGTAAATTCCGTAATCAAGGAACTCTTGAGTGATGGCACAGTTGGCTCCAGGGCCTGTTAAAAAAGGAGAATCGATATGAGCTCATCCTTCTCCGCCTGGCGCCAGTAGATCGTAACCCATGCCCAGAACCCATAGCTCCTCGTCTTGAAACCCCCAATTCTCATATGGTGAGATATCGGCAATTTCCTGCACCTGATATCCGATTGAAATAGCTTTGAGGTTTTGCCCGCGCTGCTCTGGGCCCATTGATGTTTCCCAGGCAGTCCCTGACGATGAGGGGGAACGCCCCATGTTGCGAGAGAAATATCTCCTGGCATGAAGGGTATTCTTAAAACCGTTTTCTCCTGTCGTACTTTCCATTCCTTAAATAACCTAGTTGTTACTTGTGTGGCCATGCTTTCAGATAAACTGTTTGATGATGGTAGCCTCCTTGTTTTCCAGCGATTGCACTAATTTTCTTCCACCATCTTGATTCTAGTAGCCTTCTCCAGATGCTAGATTTAATGGAAATGATTCTCATCGGAGTTCAAGTTGCAAAACCTGCATCTTCATTGAGATTTACAACCAAAGGGTTACTTAGCAGCTCTGCTATGACTGGCATTAAGGCCGCTGTTATCGCTATTATGCTAAAATTTCAATAGGAGGGCCACGCGAAAGTTACAAGGAGGGATCTAGCAGTCGCATATAAATTAGGGTAGATAGACGAGTTATGGGAAACTCAGGTTTGTATTCCTAATGGATTCGAATTTGCTTCTATTTTCCAATTTGTTGCTGAGTAGGCGCACTAGTTCGCCATAAAGTTCAACACTTATAGACCAGCTAAGCCCCCGGTCGTTTGTCCCTTCAAGTGAACCCAGCATTATTGGCTGAATAGAAGTCTTTCAAATCTGGATACCACCGCTACCCTGCCAAGAATCCTCGAGGCTCACAGCAGTACCCAATAAAGAGATAATCTATGGACAACAGCCATGAAACTACCGGGGCAAAAAGGAACCGAGAAATCGATGAATTTACCTCTTCAGAAGGCTATACGCCTACGGAGAGCGACGAATACGATAGTTCCGAGGTCGGCTCTCATGATGAGTTCCCGTCTGGTCGCGAAGATAAGACTGCTTTGATTGAGAGCGAATTTTAAAGTATAAAAGTAAATATTATATAATATTATTAGGCATTTTATATATTAGCTATTAGGTATAGTTAATTAGATTATTTTAAAATAATCTATTAATTTTAATAATTAGTTATAGATATCACTAAGATTATATAATAATAAAATTACTGAAAATTGAAATAAATGATGTACTCCATAATCTTATTTAGATAAATAACAATATCTTAATCTTAAAATGTAGCCAAGACATTTTAACGCTAATATTAAAATTAAATAGGCAACAGCGTCACCCATTTACATATTTTGGATAGATGAATTCATCCTCATCTGACGAGAATGGGGCTCTCGTTGCAGAATTGACTGACTACCGGGATGGCCGAGAAGCCTTCTTCTGTCCGCTTGCAAATAATGATAAATGTAGCCCATTGAAGTTAATAGGTATATAGACATCACTTAGCTGACAAGGGCATCAAGTTCTCATCTAGCAACCATTTTTCCAGCAATCTAGCCAGCCCATGTCTTGTCTCGGCAAATATATGCTGCCATCCTATGATGTTAACGCAGCCTCTGCCCACGCCTAGCGTGTCGGCTTCTAAATACAGTCTCTCCCACAGGTCTTGAAAAGCTGCAGCGTCTTGATGTTGAGGAAACTGTGCTACTAGGAATTGAACTATTTGCTCCTCTGTTTCGAGACCGTCCAGAGGGAAGGAATACGCCGGGTGGGCAGCGAAAAACGCCATAGCTAAGTGGTCGTGATCGGCAGATAGCAGTTCAGATAGGTGGCAGAGATTTTCTGCACAGGTCTCATCTCTGTGAGGCCAAGACGCAGTGGAGCCTTTTTCTTTCGCGAGAACTCGACCCGTGTAGTCTGAGTTTCGACCTCTAATGCTGTAGCCCATCATAACAATAGTAGGCGTGATATCATCACAATCCTTACCAAGACTGGAAATATCGGTTTCTTGGAGCTCCCATGCTAAGCGTGTGTATGGCCTAGGTGAGTCATGGTGATCGAGGATTCGAAGACGGCAGTTTAGAACGTTGTAGTGCCACCCTAAAAAAATATCCCAATGACTGTCAGCAAAGGCATTCCTGAGAGCTTCAAGGAGAGATACCTTCGGAGCAGAAATGTCGATCTACCAGTACTATGGAACCAAACGACACTGCCCACGCTTCACGAAGAAGTATGAACGTCGGGAAGGAAGCACCTGCAACGATTCCTTTTCTTGATGCCCGGATCGACGTGCGAACGATACTAGCTGCAAGTCAGCTCGAATCTATCGCTCTGAGGCTTTAAGACCTACTTTGAATGGATAGATTCCGTGGACAATTTGTGGGACAATGATCGAAGCCAGTTGCAGCTAAGTTCTGAAATCCAAATTTGTAACGCCGTGAACTCCCTCTGAATCCGCGAAGTCTTAGATGCCATGTACTCTTTTTTACTGAGATCCCAAAACGGTTTAACAAGACGGTGGTTCTCTTCGGCTACCAATCCCAATTCTAGACGACAGCCATCACCCTCAGGCCCCACGAAGAATCGCTTGTACTTGGATAGGGTATAACTATAAACAAAAAAGCGGACCAAGATCTCGGGGCTTCCTAGGTTCCAGGTTGCCTGGTAGCAGTCATCTGGATTGCCTAGGCGGACTATCAAGCTCTCTAGTCCATATTGAGTGTGATCGGAATGAGCTACCACATTTTGAGAACCTAACAGTAACACTACGCGTTAGTAACAAGCCTCCTTTAAAGCAGGAAGTTCCAAGACTATTACTAGTTGGACCATACCAATAATTTCACTGGATAAGAGGATTCGAATGATCTGTTCTGGTGTATCCTGTTTGAAACCAAGTCCAACATCGCGTGGATCTTTCCGATTCTTGGTTAAATCCAAGCAGAGCTGTTCGGCATTTTTGCGAAGGGCAGCAAGATTTGTGATGGTTATATCGATCCATTTGGGTACAGAGTCTGTAGATGTCGACTTTGACAGGCTGCTTTTGCAGGCACGAAATGCTTCTGCCAACATGGTAGCGCGAAGGTGGCAGCCTGTTTCCCCAACGTGAGCATCGAATTTACTAAACCCATACTGGTCATCTCCTCGCAACAGATTTGCAACGATATCCAATGCGCTCTTGGCATCGACAGCAGCACGGATTATATCAGTTAGAACAGTGCAATATCCACTTCGCTTCCGAGGTGCCGCAGCATTTTCCCCAGGGGGGAAAAGAAATGTGGTCATTCTGGGAAGTTGGGCCTTCGAAAGGAATGACAGGTCTTTAGTAGTGCCTGAACGTGCCTGCGAGATACGATTTGATTGAGGGGACCGGAAAGTCTCACTGTACCTGGGCTGGCTGGATAATAAATACTCGGCAGCCTGGCTCAGTCCATCGGGCAGATCTTGGTTTCTTCAAACAGCTATCCATCCCAAACCTGCTTGAATACTTATCCCCAGGACCACGTAGAGGTGTCTGTCATCACTGGGGCGAATGGTACAGTATCTAGACTAAGCAGGATGCATGATCATCTGAAACGATGTTAGGTATCCAGAGATATCAGATATATCCCTCCACCATCTCATTGATATCACATGCCAAAATCCACCTCTGGTAGATGTGATGCCACACCTTCATATGGTAAGTGTGATGATTTAAGTTTTATCTCTGATAATATGACGATTCATCATATTCAACTTGAATCTGATCGGCATAATTTGTAGAGTACCCAGTCCAGCGAGACATAAATGACGTAGTACCGGATAAGCGCTTCAAACTGGATGGTTGGCTTACATCAATAAAATACTCAATTAAGCAAAGATTGAAGTATATCTGAATGGCAATGGAGCCAACTTACAAATTAGAATCAAGATACAATGTAATGCATGCCTGTGAGATTATGGTGGCAAGACCATGCGTCAGTCTTATGAGTAACTTAGGCATTCATGTCGTGTACTGTATAGTTGATCAACATGCTCGCTGCTGTTGATTTATTCGCGAGGGCACAATACCTGGTTGATGTCATAGGAAGAAGTCAGAGCAGGATATCTATCCTGATTATTTACTTTTATTGCTCCGGCACTCCGTGGCCACAGCCTCAAACATCAAATATCATATGGACAAATGAGCTCAGTGGTAGGTGACTTGTGCAGGCATCTCGCGGATAAACAAAACTCATGCTTTGCTCAGTACATTGTATCATGTCATTTACCCATCACAATCCCATGAGGTTGGTGAAATGCAGAATGATCGGTCGCTCAGACCTGTTTTGGTCAACTTTGAATTCCCTTTTCAATATCTGTGGTTTCTTTAGCACACTTATTTCCATTGTGAAACCAAAAAACGATGCACATATGTTTGTTATAATCCTTTACTACCTTGCCAAAGAGGGTATTAGTATGAAGCTGCGGATCTGGTAACAGGTGATGCGCACATACATTAGTTACAGCATAGTATGGAGAAAAGGAGGGTGTACAGGTCAGAACCAGTGGCCATATTGAGCAAATCACAGTTTCCATGGATAACAGCCAAAGCGCATGCAGAAATTGCTCAGAATGTGCTCGGACAGTTGGGAAATTGTGGAAGTCGCTTTGACCTTATGGTGTAATTATTTTGATAGACGCGTTTATGTTACACACGGAAACTGTTACACACGGAGACTGTTACACACGGAGACTGTTACACACGGAGACTGTTACACACGGAGACTGTTACACACGGAGACTGTTACACACGGAGACTGTTACACACGGAACCTGCAGGCAATTTGGGAGGTACGAGGGGATATTCATAGGATTATTTGAAGCCCACCAGTGAACCCGCTCGTGCGTTGTTGGAGCCACATATCAATGTATTCATATAATACGTTAACTATTATGGCTGTTGTCATGCAGGTCAGCCTCGTGCCACTAATATTAGTTAGCTTAGCCTGTCACGCTTATTTGAGAAGGCTGAGGTAACTGGGTACAGTACTAGGGCGAGTGGCGATTGTAAGCTACGGTAAGCAAGGTGTATGGTAATGGAATCGGTAACCAAACCGTCAATTTCTCTCCAAGCGCGTACAGCAGATGGGAAATAATGTCGGAACTATTGTATCCCACCCAAATGCACCCTGAAAGAACTGGCTGCCGTTCATCTGTTATTGCCAACTCGAATCAGGATACCAAACTAGTGTAGAGAAAGCGTTAATTAGAGTATACAAGGACCAAGCAATAGACAATGGCAATCTATTTTCTCTCTTCAGTGTAGACGGCATTCAACAATCACTTCGTCTCCCACATTTCTCCACATAAAAGCTACCGTAAGACCAGCCCTGGCAGCCAAATTCTTGAAATCGTCTTCTGTCCGCTGTTTAGAGTTTATACAAGATAAAACGTGAAGATCCAATCTACTCGTAAAGCTAGCTCCCCAGTTAGGTAAAAGTGGCTCAGGGGCTATGAAAGGTTCCGGCTCAGTATCGTCTGGTGCGGAGTTGCTTCTGTACGTAGGAAGGACGATATGCTCGCAAATTAAAATCTTGCTCCTTGCTGACATCACCGCTGCGAGGTTTTTTAGCAGCTTGGTTGCCTCAGCATCCGGCCAGTCGTGTAGAACATGACGAAGAAAATATATAGGCGCATTTTTGGTGGTATTCACTTCAAAGAAGTTTTGCGCTTGGAAACTTGCTCGATTGGATTCCAAGACGCGGGGATAGTCCTTCTTAAGAAACTGTAGTCGCATATAAGCATTATTCACCATCTAGCGCCAAGGTTTCCAGCGGTCTACTTACCGCCCAAAACTTTTCCTTATTCTCAGGAAGGTCTTGCACTAGTAACGTTAAATTTTGAAACTTGCTCACAATTGGCAGAGTAGCGCCACCGACACCACCACCGACATCGACCACCAGTGTGTGATCTGGCTCTTCTGCCCAAGGATACACTGCAAGGGGAGGCATCAGCCGAGAGGAAGGTCAAAGTCATAACAGCAGACGGTGCACTTACAAGCTAAATATTGGGCTTCGTTGAGCCCTTTACCAGCAAACGCGCAAGCCCCTCGCTTGCCAAGGTCCGGGCGTACCTGCTCCCAATACTGAAATATATTGAGGTCTGTCTCGTACGCGATGTTAAAGGCAGCCTTGTTGACGGCTTCGGTGTCCCTAAAGTCTGGCCTATTGAGCGCTTCCCACATTTGGCACGAGGCCAGTCGACTTTCTTCCGCACTTCATTCCCGCCACGTTAGCGAGGCAATATTCTGCCGTATGGAACTTGAAACACCTACCACAGACCTACAAGGGCTCTTCTTGACTCTGACTGGAAGAGCAACGAAAGTTCGTTATTTTCATAGACATTGGGTGCTACTTCTCGGAAAATATGCATGTTACATAGTGCTCGCAGATGTCTTGAGATTTTGTCAGCTTCGATGCCGGTCTTTTCAGCAATTGCGGTAGCATCGAGGGCTTGATTGTTGAGTAAGTTGGCGACGTCTGCCTGACAAGTCACAAATAGGGCAGTAAGGTCGGAGAACTATTTAATTTTATCAGGTCCGAGCGATAGAACGATTATAGGCTTTGCATACATTGAACATGATGTCATGTATCCAAGCTTCCGGATCGCAGAGAGCTCTCAACATTACACCAGCGCTAGATATGCGTTTCAAGGCTTGAGCTACCTTTTCGTCGTATCTATCTCGCAAGGGATGGCGTCGTGATGAAGCAAGGTTAAGAGGAGAATCGTGGTGGGTAATTAGGTCTTCCTTAACTATATCGATCGAGATATTGATCAGACCTCGTAAGGACTCCAGAGAGTCACCTAGATTGTTTTCCTTCATGCTTGCCATGCTTCAAAGGTACTTGAATTGATAACTAAAATAGGTAGGAAGGCAAAATACAGAATAAGAAAACAGTGTTACCAGAAAGCCGAAAGAGCTATAGACGAGAACATCCCATGGTTCCGAAAGATGGGAGGGTGTTGTATAAATAAGCCATTCCAAATAAGCGTCCCATTATGACGTTTTCATAGAGATAGAAACCATTCTTAAAACGGTCTGTGGTAGCTACTTGAATGCGTCGCATAAGCCACTGCAGATCAGCCCCGTCACAAGCCGAAGTCGCTATGCATGCATGAGCAGCACAGGACAACCCACTTGGCTTTTCAGATTGCCTCAAACACTAGCTCGTGACTCCTAGGTGTCAAGACGAACTTGTCTCTTCGGAAGCCCAATCTCCAAGGCCGGACCTCCGTCGAGATGCGATACTTGGATACGACCGCGAGGAGAACAATTCTCATGAGCAGGCTCGCAAAGTGTTGGCCAAGGCACTTCCGTACACCTGCACCATATCCTACAAGGCTGTATCGGCAGTCACCTTTTGAGAGTTGTGAATACCGGGCGGGGTAAAAGTCGTACCCATCAACTTTGTGCCCGCCATCGACGGAGACTGACCAGATCGGCGAATCAATGCTGATACGTTTCCAGTCTGTCGTCACATCCGTGTTAGCGGGCACGAGAAAGCCTCCAATTAATTTGTCCGAGGGCGAGCGTTCGCAAAATGTAAAACCTAGGGAAAACGTTATGTCAGGTTTCGCAAATTATGTCATCGCCAACATCCTATAGCAGCTCAGCTGAAACTCACAGATGGGAGGACAAAGGCGGCGGGACTCCGCACAACAGTGCTCCAGGAATGTATCTGACCGTGCCAGGTAAGCGTCCTCAGCAGTGTCATGCTCCCTGACGTGTTGCATTTCCCGTCGCAAGTCGTCCTGCGCTGTTGCGTCACTAGCAACATTCAGTAGCAGATACGATAGGGCAGAGGACGCTACATCGAGATTTTCGAACAAAATCTCGTCGATGGTGTGAAGAAACTATCAGTTCTCGTAGTGTAAGTTACTCCTGCAGGCCCAAAATGTAACGTCACCGGCTCAGTTTCGGCTCAGCTTACCTGCTTCATGCTAACACAGCCTGTAGCATGGATTTCTCGCAGGATGTGCATGAGAGGGCATTCAAGATTTCTCTGCAAGCACGTAAAACGTTGGCTATTTACCCATCATGTGGCTGCGTGATATTATCGTGACCAACCTGCTCAGCAGTAGCCACCATCTGAAGGTTTAGCTCCCGAAAACCTGTCGTATACCGATCCAATTGACGATTGGCCCTTGTTGGCAATAGTGCGTAGATCTTGGAAATCATATGCAATCCCAAGAATGCATTGGAGCCTAACTCCTCCCTAATTCGAGCCAGCTCCATCAAATCTGCAAAGGACTGTGGATATGAGTAAGTGAGTATCTAGACGCCACGGGAAATTGCCACTTACCTCATCGGACAAGGCATCTCCGTACAACGTCGAGGCAACCAGTTTGAGTGGGAGTCTCGCGCACTGCTCGGACATGTCGACTGTAAAGAATGCACGACGCTGCGTTTGGGTGCTACTGTGACTTGAAAGACACACCAGCCAGTCCTGTACTTCACCTCGAAAGATGTGTGTAAGCTTGGACATAGCGTTCGAAGAGTAGATTGGGTCAAAGAGAGATCGTATCTTTCTCCACTCATGTCTGCTGTTTGCCCCGACACATTCGCCAAGGAGCCTGTTTTTAAAGCAAATAAGCAAATTTCCCATACCCTCAGAGGCGGAGACTTTACCGGTGGAAAAAATAGCCCATATTACCGTCCGGTGCTTTCCAATGATCTGCGAAGCTGACATCAGAAGCTGATAGTGTTTATACAATGCTGGTTGGCTTGCCTTTGCCATCCACTGTAAAAAATTCTCGGAGATGCTGCGGCTTGCATAGCACTACCTCCTTCCGACCGCCGTTTCGAATGATGTACGGATCGCCTTGGCCAAGTGCGTAGCCTTCATCCGAGAGCTCCCGCCTGTGCTTTGTGAGAATAGCGTCAAAGAGCTATATCCCATAGCCAAGTCAACGCACCCATGGGAGAACCGGCGGACTCGAGTGTCACCGCGAACTTGTTTCATTTTACGACCTGATTTGTCCTTGAATGCTCCCTGACTCGCGCTGCATTAGCCTTATCATATTGTATATTGAAGGAACTGTTCTATTAGTAGGCTCACCGATGTTCCATGTCTCATCAACATAAATATAAGGACTATGCTCACAATACACAACATAATGGACAGCGGCGCGCCATCTATAAACAAAGTTTGCAGCATATTTGTATATTGGGTGTTTGTTATTGGGCGTAGGATGTTTTACGATGTATTGCTCGAAGGATGAGTTTCTACTTGTGAAAATGGGAATTAAGCCCAGTCTTTATGTACTGACAAACAGTGATAAGTCGCTCCATGGCAACGTCATCTGCGGCACCTACCGTACTTTCAGAGACCAGCTACTGTGTACGCACAGACCCCAGCTGTCGCGAATGTAGAGTGACGATAAGATAGTCGGTGTGATGTGGTGTGAGAGTTGGAGATCGTGGTGACCCAGGGCAGAAGGACGCAATCCTGACGTGCTACCAATAACGTCAACAACGAATAGCCAAGATGCCTGCATCTTGCCTCGCTACAACTGAAGACCCTAATGGGTTCTGTCTATTTCTTGTGTTTGCAGTGACTGGATTTGGTGTGTTGACCTACCATCTCACGGGAACACAAAGAATTGTCGGACTTTTACCGCGTTAGAACAAATTTAGTTTAGTGCCAAATTCGATTGGATTGAGATACAAGCCTGAGTTGCAAAGAACTCATCTATCTGGACGTATTTATATGCGAATTTATACTAATATTTATCATTAGACATAAGATATTGAAAATTAGGGATTATTAATTATAATTTTGGACAATTTAAATTTATTCTTAATACATTTAGTACTAATCATTCTAATATATTTTCTTAAAAATAATTTACTTCTTAAAACTATTCTTCTTATAATATATATTTTTGTAAGGCTCCTTGACACTGCCAACCTCTAAATGCCAAAAAGTAATACTGAGGTAATTGGGCCATTGCCCAATTCCAGGGTTGGCACGCTTATAAGCCTTTGTGAGCCTGCAGCGCCCTACCTCGCTGCTGCCAGGCCTCACCGTGGTTTAGGTTTCCAAATTAGATAACCACACTAATGCGGTGTTTAGGGTTTTGCTTGGCTACCACAGTGCCTCTGATGGTTAGTAAGATTCTTTATATTATTGATTACAAAGATTCATAATCTAAGGGCTTCTATCATAGTAAAATTATCTAAGCTATAGATAGATATTCGTTATATATTTTTAGCTATATATTAGAGCTTTAGATCTCCTTTATATACAATTAGAACAATCTTCTACATATAACCAGAATGCACACATGCCTTAGATTATAACACACTCGGTGTCCGATTACGTTAAATAAGGGGTGTTTATTAAGCTGAACTAGCGCGCACACATAAGAGGGAAGGCCGATACAGCGGCAGCCGGACAGCCCTCTCACAGCTATTTAGGCAAGTGTATAGACTGCCATTTCCTTAGTCTCACTCTATACTAACCTCTTCTAAGGAAATTTAGTAGCATTATCAGGATTAGCTTTAAACCAAATTAACTTCTAATCATAATATATTCTTAATTAAGTCACCACTCTTAATACAATTATTATGTAGAACAGTATTCGAATATAGAGTTAGATATTCCTAATATTATACTATAATTATATAAGTAGAAATATTCGCTTACTGGTCTGCTGGTAAAAGACTAACTAGAAGATTGAGGATAACAAATCCTCAATATTATTCACTGATATAGTAAGCGTTGCCAGAACTGTCATAGGAATGACCACTGCGAAAGTGGCCTGACGAAAGCCGCTCTAGATTATATTAGACTACAAGTTAACTTTTAATTATAATCATATTATAATCTATGGTATAAGCTCTAAATCATCCATATCAAGTCTACAGCCAGTAAGCAGATAGAATTGCTCAATCAATTCATGCTAGATACATTTTCAGAAATTAGAACTTCATGTCTTCGAGAGGCATTTTTTAATCTAGGCGCTGGGTGAGCGGTATTACATCTAGTGCCAATATCTGTATGTTCCTGAGATGCCCTTCCATCCGGCGTCCAGTGCCTGTACCACCTCATCAGGCAAGGGTCCTTTTTCGAGATCAACCAAATTCTGCTCCAGCTGAGCTGGGCTAGATGCACCAATAATAATAGCATCTTTGAGTTCCTTCTTCAGAGAACTATGATGAACTATCCATCGGAGGCCGCATTCAGCCTCTGTAAGACCATGTTTCTTCGCCACAGGACGAAGGAGGTCAAGTGCATCAAAATATCGATCATTCAGATAACGATCATGGTAGAACATGTTGTTGTTGTTCCTAGGATCAAAACGGGAGCCAACTTCGTATTCTTCCACCCTTTGATTTCTTTGATATCGCGATGTAAGGAAGCCTGCAGCAAGAGGTTGGAAAGCATAGACGCCAATTCCATAGTGACGGAGACAAGGAACGAGTTCAGCCTCAATGGACCGCTGGAAAGCATTATACAAGGCCTGGTAGGCGCTAGGTTTGATATAACCGTTCTTTTCACAAATCTCACAAAGCTTGGCCACTTCCCAGGATTGAAAGTTGGAGAGACCAAAGCGACGAAAGTATCCCTCCCGATACAGCTTGTCCACTTCACAAAGCGTGTCTTCAATGGGCGTATTTCTATCAGGGGCATGCAAATAGAACATGTCGATTTTATCGGCCTTTAAGGCTTTCAAGCTGGCCATCAAACCGGCCCGAACGTCTTGCGGCTCATGCGACCATATTTCAGGAGTCAGCCACTCCATGTTTCGTCCTTTTGTTGGGTAGAGCTTGGTCTCCATAACCAACCCGCGGTCTTGCCACTTTGCTGCCGCCAGATACTCCTCCGTCGAACCTGCTCCATAATTGCGTGCCGTATCAATCTCCGTATGTCCATGTTTCTGGAAAACATCAAGAATAGCATTAGTCCCTTCGACAGTATCGATCCGAACGTGCGCTTTGTCTGGTTGGTCTGGGTTTAGTTTCTAGCGTCGGGACTTTAGTCAACAAAATCGAGACTTACCAGGCTGGCCAATTGTCATGGCGCCGAAAACGACAGGAATGGCGGTTTTGGGATTGGCCATGATTGCCAATCTTTCATCAAAAGACGATGTGGATTTGTGACTGCTGTCAAATTGGAGTCGGATCTGGTCAAGCCTTTTAATTCCAGCTTAAAAGGCCAAATCACGGAGTTAGGTATGATTTAACGCCGACCACTTCTGTTTGTGCCAGATTAAGCTAAAGTTTTACAATTGAGGTATAACTTCCCTGCAACACGCTGACATAGTCTCTCGGGCCGAGAAACGGACCAAACTTTAATTGCCGTCGAGAAACCTGCTCAAGCCACGGTTGTCTTATCTCTGCATTCAGATCACAGGGCAATGGAGCCATTCGTGCCGAAAGGTGATCAAGGGATGCTGCAAAAGTTTGACTACATCTAACTCTTTCCAATGAGATAAAGTTCACGGTAGCGCTTATGCAACCTACTGACAAGACCCACTCTTCATCATAATACGGGACGAACAATCCAAGTTACGGCTTTATGAAACCGTTGAGGATGAATTCAAGAAGGATCCAGGAAACGTAATGAACTGGACCCCCAAGTGGTCCTTCAATGCTCAACTGTCCTAGGGTTCGGGACCCGTTTCGATTTGAAATTATGGTATTGTACCGTAATTTGACGATGTCTGAAACTTCTTGATCATAGACACCACGAAATAAATGAGAAGATCAAAAGGACGCTTATGCGAGAGACTGACATCGCCTATATAATCATGAACTACGTAATTGGTAAGCGAGTGGCCACTGCAACCAAGTTGTCATGCACCTGGACCCACTCTAGTTGTCACTGGCTGTGTTGAGAAACCATACAATGATTGAATTATACAAAGGTTCTTTTAGAATAATTAGTAACAATATACTAAGATCATTAAAAACATATAATTAAAATAGTAATCCTGCAAAACATGGCCCATCATAGGCATAAATAATCAATCAGTCACTACATTTTTGATAAATCTAAATAGACCACCAAACTAGCTTAGATGAACACTACGAATAATAGATAGAAGTGAGAGATATTAGTTTATGCATTGCGTAGTAGTACTATGATTAACAATATTGTTCTACCATCACTCTCAGAGATCGAATCGGCGAATCATTTTAGATCAACCATTCAACCATTCCAATCTCATGGTAGTAACGAATCCTCTCCGATGATATGGTCGGCGCAACATGCCTCCGTCGGTTCATGCGCTACCTACTAATTCATCTCATCCTAGCAAAAAGTTCTCCAATCCTCCACTAATCATCCCCAGAGAAAGCAAGTATGATGCCATTGCTATTTCACACACATATACATCCGATTACTCGGGAAAGTAGCCGAATAAGCCGGTCGACATGCAAGAATGTCGAGAGTAGTATAGTAGTAGAATAGAATGGAGTCAAAACTCTATGCAGAAAATAAGTCGAAAGCAAGCGCTAAACGACTGTAACGTTGTTGTCGGACGCAAGTCCAACAAAATGATCTATGAGCACAGCGAGCGAAGTGCTGTAAATGCAACCCTCAATCCAAGAAATCAAAATTTTTAATCCGTATCCCGTTCTCCAGGCTCCAGTGTAAGTAAGCGATTGACATAAAATTCGTAATGGTGAAAAGATGACAGCCAAGCCTAGAAGTCAAAGTTGAAAGAGAAAGTGGCTGGCTGTTTAAAGTAGTATAGCGAACGACAGGGGAGAATCGAAGGTGTCTACCACGCGGGGTAGAGTAAAGGGTTAATGTACAAGCGAATGTCTCCAGCGGCAGCAAGCGAAAATCCGTGACTGAAAATGGTCGAAGTCGACACGGAATAAAAAGGCCAGGATTGTCGCGAGTGCCGGAATTAAAATTATCGACGGAGTAGCCGGTGGAGAAAACCACCGACAGGTAGATATGTATGCATCAGAGTTGATGCGGTGCATGTACAGTAAGCCAACAGATGCAGCAAGAGTGCATCAGTAAGAGCGAAAAAAATTATTATAACACTGTATCAGCAAGATAATGCTAATGCCAAGTTCAAAGCAATAACAGCGCTAGTGAAATCAGCGATGCAAATTGTGTCGACGGGGGGACGGCCGCCGATGATGTGTATCCACATTTGACGAGGTCTATGAGTAGAGTTTGAGGTCGATTGGTGTCTAACGAGCCGCTTCAAGGTCCGAGTTGGAGGCTAGGGTTTCTCCTTCCCAGAGGTGCTGGTCTTCGGTCGGGCTGAGAGAGCCAGATGAGATGGAAGATGAAGAGCCAATAGCCCATTCATCGCCGTCGGCAATCGCATCTCCGTCGAAATGAGCCAGATCATAGCCATATTCATCTGGTGCATTTCCCCTTTCAATGTAGTCATAATCCCAGCGGAATCGCTTATCTGGCTGAATTCGCGGCAGGAATCGAGCTTTGGCGAAGTAGAAAGCGACGGCAGCAAGGATACCACCAGTGACGAGATCTACAGCATAGTGGTGCGACAGGTACATGGTAGCCCACCACATCCACAAGGTATACGTCACGAACAAGGGCTTCAGCTTAGGGAAGACATGACTCATGAAGAGCGCAGCGATGGTAGAGTCCGCAGCATGTAGAGAGGGGAAAGCACCAAAGACCACGGGGGATGCGTGGAATCCAGATGTGTAGAGATCGATGCCAAATAGAGCATCAATGCGGGCCAACCCGGCTGGGTCGCCTTGCATCGAGTAGTCGGCCGGGGCAAGGCCAAAGCGATTCTCGTACCACGGAGGTGAGCAGGGGAAAATCAATTGAATGGCGACAGCTGTTAAACTGATGTAGCCGAAGGTCTTGGCAAAAACGGGCAGCGTTTTTGGCGGTCCGAAAATGAAAATTATGATCGAGACCACAAAAGGCGCACCGTAATGGCAAATTCCATACGGCAGCCAGGCGAGAACATCGAGCATTGTGCTTTGGTGGGCGGACAGGATATTGCTAATGTTAGCTCCATACAGTATATTTTCCAGAGCAGGCAAGACGCGGACCCAGATACCAGGGCGCCAGTCGGAAGGAACAAATCTGAGACTAATTAGTTTCTATACGAGGTTTATGCAGGTGACTTCAGGCCTAACATACTGGCAAGCGTAGAAGAAGATAAGCCATGCGGCAATTGGAAGAAAAGGCAGGAAGAACTGCCTGGTAATGGGCAAAAGAAGTGATGTCAAAAGAAGCGAGGCGATGGCAGTCTTGCCGATAGGACCGGGCGACTGGATGACCGATAGTGAAAAGATGCCAATGATCACGAGCAGCAGATACTGCAGGTCGTAGACACTCCAGCGATATGACTGCAGCGAGCGCAAAGTATCCCCGGGCGAAAAGGAGGTCTGCAGCGAAGCGATGGACGAAGCAGGAGACAGCCGACTACGTAACTTTGATCGGAGTCTCCGTCGCATACGATGCGGCATGAGCAGCTTGAAGGAGCGCCATGGCACGACTGGGATGGGCACTTTGCTGAACTGTGTTTGCTGTCGATCCTTCCATGCCGACATGGATATCGACGGGCTCATCATGGCTGTGTTTGGAAGGGAAGCGTTCTAGAAACGCTCCTTGGTTCAGGAATGCTTCCTGGACACGGTGGTAATATTATGTAGGGGCGGGCGGCGACCGATTATATCACTTCCCTCCTTGAGGCTGATGACGGCAAGGACTCCACGACGACTGAGTTGGTGGGACTGCAGCGCAGGCGATCGACTCTTATACACAGCCTCACTTGCGGAATCGTCGGCCCCTTCGATAGGCAGACCGGGGCGCACGATAAGCGAGGAGGTAGAGAAGCAGTCAGGTCGAGTCGCACTGGGCGTTAGAACCGAAGGAGGGAGAGGACGGTCGCGAAGGAACCACGAGCACAGAAGAAAGGAAAGAGAAGACAACGGGGGAAGGGAGGAGGAGGATGAATTAAGAGAGGAAATGAATGGACCGACTGAAAAGGGAGAGAAAGAAAAGCTTTGACGAGTGCGCAGTCAGGTCAGAACGGGGACAGCAGCAGGTGGTGTGATAGCAGCCAGCCTAGAGCCAACTGGGCGAGGCAAGGCAAGAAGGGGGCGGGCGGCGGGTATCTCTGCCGCTGCTGATTGGCTGATAACGGCCAGCCCGTGTATCGGTACTGCCAAGACGGTATTACCGTACCGCCAGTACCGCTATCGCGGCGCGGCCAATGAGCGTGCACCCAGGCCAGCTGCGGAAGAGCCGGAGCTGCTAATGTGAATATTATCTACTAGGACTTACTCATTAATATTGTGTCGACCGGAGCCCGCCAGGCCGACGCCGACATCTATAGTGCTTAAAATACTGAAACTTGCATGACTTATTGTTAACTCAGAGAATGAATAACGACACGGCCCGACGTTCACACAATAGTAATATCAACACGAAGAAGCAATAGCGATAGTAATAGGCAGAACAGACACAGTCAGAGTCGAGACTAACAGGGTGGGCCGCGGTCCAAAACGGAAAAAATACCAAGACGCTAGGCCACAGATCATGGAGTGGCTCCCCCATTTTTCATCTTAATATTAAATACTTGCTCGCACGCACACCCTTACTTGTCAGTAACCAATACCAATGAACTCTTTTGCTTCGCTTTGCGGGCCGAGTCGGCAGCAGACGTAATCCAGAAATACTACAGGAGTGCCAAGTGGGGGTTTGAATTCATTGCTCTAGAGTCTGTAAAGTGATGGCAGCACGGAAACGGAGGAGCCAGGCTCCGAAGGACGGACCGACCTGGAGGAAGCCTCCGTGATCATCGTCAGGCGCTCCTATCTACGTAGCACTATCTACATAGTGCACCTCATACTAAATACTAAATACTAGGTGCATGCGCGACTCGTCAGAAGGGCGGCCATCAGACAGCGCGTGATACACTTATAGAAGAGCTATAATGGATAATGCTGAAACACTTCCGGCTTCACGATCTCAGCCACGGCTTGTGCACACATAATTTGAACGCGTTGGAGGCTTAATCTGCCATGCATAATGTCCCAAGGGTCGACGCTTGGCGCGCTAGTACGTCTGCATGGTAGCGGTAATACCGGTACGGGCAGAAATTTTCCTCATTACGGACGAATCACGTCCGCCATGCAATCTTACGCGCGTTAAGTTCGGACAGCCTGTTGGATAATTTAACGGTGCTGGCACTAACTAGCTCGAGCAGACTCAAGTGTTCTTAGGCAAATGATTGCCAATATCCGAATACGCCGGACTGTCCTGCCTCAATAAGCACCGATTCGCCAGCCAATCAGCCAGCGCTGTGGCCGGTTGGCGAGCTCACACCAGCCTTGCCCAGCCCAGCCCAGCCTCATGGATTGATGTTGCTATTAATATGCCTGCGAATACGAGTATACGCAGTCGAGTAAAGTGTACTAATTGTAGACTCTTATTACACATAAGTGGAAGCTCTAACAGGTAGATACGTGTACACTCTAGACTTTGGCCTCTTTGGCCTCCGCCCACCACTCACTTCAGCCAAGATGATACAAACGTGGCGGCGTCAAAGCGCGCCTCATCCTCATACACCACGATCTGACACCATGCATCGACCAGATATCTGTTCAACCGCCAAGTGTGATGTGTTGTGTGGCTCAAGTTCTATCACTGTCACACTTCTATAGTAATTCTATAGTAATTGTCAGGATGACTGATTATCAAACAATCTCGGCGAATAATTGTTTGACGACTCAAATACATGTACTCTCTCATCTTAGTATTCACCAACTATCTACTATTCATATACAACTGACGTAGCAACGCCCCTTACTCGGCCATGATGGATACCCCAGTTCAACATTGTACCAGACAATCCGCATCCAGACTGAGTTTTGTGGTTGACATCATATGATGTCACTACTCAGCAAACACAACAGCGGGAGTATTACCGGATATATTACACGCTTTCTTCAAACTACATATGTACACTCCAAAATACACTACGAATCTCTCTCGTAATCACATACAGTTATGAGTTCTTGATAAGATCGTTCGTGGTTAATCAATTTTATGGTGTAATCGTCAAGTGCGGGGATGTGCTGCAGATCATGCCATCTCTTAGTTTGATCGGCTTGTCAACGGAGTACACTCTACACCAATGTGCATACGCCAGAAGCGATGTAGATAGCGCATTGGCATGTGACTTGTCGATATGCACGCTAACTGTCCGAAGCGTCAATAAATTCACTACTAGTGGTCAGTAGTAACGACGAGAATAGTTGATGCGGTGTACGTAGTCATGCATTGTCGATGCAAAAGTTTGATGTATGCAGGTATTGGCGGCTATTGAGCGATGTCACATGCATAAACACAATTGATCTAATCGTGCTCATTTCGATATTCAACCGAGTTGTATTCAGTATACTTATGCTATTTGAAAAGAAAACATAGATTGACCAGTCACATACATCGATAATGATGAGTACCCCCAAACGCCATTAGATAGCAACGCCAGATATGCTTATTTTACCAGCTCATTTCGCTAATAATTGAAACAACTTCACCAATCCCATGGCCGCGCCAGCAGCCACACCGCCCACAACTACCATCTGCGCTCCGCCAAATAATCCGCGCCGAATATTCTCGCGCCCTTTCCACCCCGTCACAAAGCATGTCTTACCATAACCAAACACGAACAGTGCAACCACCATCGTCGCAACAGACCACCCAAGAGCGTAGAATGCATCGTTCGGTCCGACGAAGAAATACGGGAGTAAAGGAATGAATCCGCCAATGAAATAGCCTAGTGCTATCGTAATCGCGCAGGTCAACGCCCGTGACCCAGACGGTTCGGGCAGTGTGTGGTGGAAGTTCATGAGGAATGATGGTAGGTTGGGTGAGTCGATTAGATTGTTGGTTAGGTCGGATACAACCTGCGCAGGGAGATCGTAGGGAGCGAAGATATCGGAGATGATGATGGCGGTGTCTTGTTGGTTTGTGGCGGTTTGTTGGCAGGTTTTTTTGAGAGTTGCATGGTAGGACTCTCTGTTTGAATTAGAACACAACTTCTTTCCAAAAAGGTTTCTTTCGAACAAAGGTCTGGTATACGAGGTAGGTCAACTCACTCTTCACTCTTGGCACCGAGATACCCTCCCAGTCCCATCGAGATAGCTCCAGCAATCAGCTCAGCCAATCCGCCAAAGACAACCACCTTGGTGTCCTGCAGCGTCGAGAGACCAGCTGTCAGGGCAAACGGCACGGTCAGGCCATCCGACAAGCCGATGATGGCGTCGGAGATGACTCGAGCATCGACAAAGTTCTTTTTCTCGGACCGACTTCCCTCCAAAGTCGACCCAGAATCGTGCAAGTCAACATCGTTGCTCAGTGGTAGCTGGGCATCTTTCTCGGTATCTGATAAGGACGAGTCGGAGATAGGCGAGTAATGTCCTAGCAGGTTCTTGACTGTGGAGAGCGACATGCTGCTGAATGGATAGATGTCGAAGATGTCGACGGAATGGTGTTGCAGCACAACACGTGTCTTATCTTATGTCGTACTGGCAAGACTTGCACGTAACACAATCACCAAGTCCGAAGGTTAGAGGACAATGGCTTGGCCGGCATTGCTATAATATATGAAAAAAAGAAAACCAAGGGATAATTAATTAAATGAACGCGCACGAGGCAGTGGACCAAGCTCTGCTTCTGGAATCCGAAGATACTGAATCGAGTGGGATCCAGTAGGAGCAAAAGCTTTTTGGGCTGAGGGGCCAATCGCGGCAGGCTCATTTGCAATGAGGAGAGGGGAAGCAGGGGACTGATGTTGTATTGACAGCCTATCGAGCCATCAACGTGATCGTTACGACGCTGCTTCCCTTTGCACGTTGCATGCAGCGCCGTCGCTGATTGGCCGTGCCTGCTTCAAAGGCCAACTAAGCAATGCGGCTAGCGGGCGGGGAAAGCCGCTTAAACTGGCCAATCACACACAGGCCCTGTTTTCTATCCAACCGGCGTGGGCGACGCCACCATGCATCTGATATGGCCGGCTGCGATCGAGTCAGGAAATTATTATTTCCCGAGTCTCCTACCGCTACTGAGTATGTAGAACGTCTTCCAGATTGTTCTCGAGTGCGTGGTGTCTGGAACTTTGTATGGCGCACGTGGGTATCTCGATGCGGCAGTTTGTCCCGTGGACCTGGTATCTTTATAAAATTAAGGACTACAAGTGCACGAAAAAACATCACTGACAACGGAGAATCATATAACTCATCATTGGCCGACCAATCCATAGCTGGCCATATATATGTACGTCGCGAAAGATCCTAGCGCAAGATTACGCCATCAAAATACACAAAACCGACACAAGTAACCAAATCAAAACGAATCATCTGTAGTGCACAATCCGAAGTTGCAGGGTTCACTGCCCGTGAAAAACGAGACCAGGAATGTATAGTAGGGGAACGAGGACCATCAAGGCTTGTGGAAAGCAATTAATTACAGCGAATCGAGATACCAACATATCGTCAACCCTAACTTAAATAGAGGTAGGCGTAAAGTGTTGTGATCTCTGGTAGGTTTAATGACAGTCTGCGGCGATCGTCTTAAGCATGTCTGTGCACAAAAAGATATTAGAAATGGATCGTCGTATATGCTTGTGCCTTCTTACCGTCGCGTGACCTTCTTCTCTGGCTCTGGGGTAGCTCCGTTATCCCACAGTCTACTCTTGTACCCCGGGAATGAAGTGTGATTCCACACATTAACAAGGACGCTGCGTCAACTTATTGTCAGCCCATCATATTGTATACATTCGAGTACAGATTCTAAGGGCAGACGCACCTCTGAGTCTGATCCTTGTAGTCCTCGTCCTTCACATGCTTCATCGACACCTTCACGCCGTCCTTGGTGAACATAATGTTCTTTTTCTCCATATTGGCTTTTGTCTTGTTGCTGATGTCCTGCACAATCGTGTAGACGACGAAACCGACCACGCCGAGGACACCGACCACCAAGAAGAGAATAATCAGAGGAATCAAGTTGTTCGCCATTGTGAGGTTTCAGATCGAAATCGAGAGTTAAGATTGGATTTAATGGATGCTTCGAAACACGGGACACGACAAAAAAAAAGAAGTGACCGTGAATGTATAGAAAAACGGAGCCGAGGCGAATGGCGCACCGAGTTCGCGGATAGAAGGATTGACCGCGGAACGACAGGGGCGAAGCAGCGACGAGACGATACGGGATGCAAAATAGATAGTGATGGAAGCAAATGCAGTTGAGAACAAAAGATGAGATGGCACGCGATGACAAGAAGGACGACAAGCTGAAACAATTATTTGCCTGGTTGGAGGCGGCGGGGGGGCTGGCGCTAGCCCGGCCCCTGACCCAGACGGGCTAGCCGTTTAGATTAGATCTGCACGTGATAGAGATCATCTTTGATTTCATAAATATGCGACCGGCAGGTCAGCAACTCTCAAATGAGGTCTATATCATTAATTGTGATGGTGTGTAAAGATTGCTTGACTGTGAAACATGCAATATGCTATATCTTGGTGCATGATATAATTCAGTTTCTACAACTCACCATCCTCCTAACCTCGCTGCCAACTGCCGACTCCTTATACCAAACTCTGCCCGCTCGGTGCAGCACCGGAGGCCACATTATCGACTTTCCATTTGGGTAAAAGATGTTTTGGAAGACAGCCAACTATGGTAGGCAGGGTCTGGATGCCAGACCGGCTGGACTGACACCTGACACTGCTTGGTCGTAGTGGACAGAAAAGATGGCCTCATCAGTCAGACCAAGCGCGAAGATGAAGACGTCTATTGAAGCCATATATCCAAAGCTAGGTCGGCTCATAAAGGGTGACATCGAAACAAACTATATCCCCACCAAAAGCCTTCGAGGCCTTTGCAGAACTAGGTGACAACCTAATGCTCCCCGAAAGTCATTCCGGAGCCGTCACCTTGGTTGCTCTTCTGTTGTGGGTCGAACATAATAATTACTCGTGAGCAAGCGACGGGGCCAACAATACCAGATTTTCAATTGTTCAGGTTGAACATGTTCAAGTTCTGTATATCAGACTACACCCTGCCGCCACCTTACCGTACCTGCATCGTTTTAGATCGAGTAAAAGTCGATGTTGCTGACAGTCTACTAGCAGCAGCCGTTCAGCATTTTGCACTGGTGCTAGTATATTATTCGCGATATTGATCGATTGATCAGCACCAAGAGCCTGGAACTTTTGTAAAGCGTTGCTCAGCGGATGCGTTTGGTTAGGGCTGGGATATTAGACTTTAGCGAACAAAAATCTTCAACATGATTGGCGTAGCAGCTTCAGATCACGGAAGACAGTAACTAAATGACGTTATATTGGGGCCAGGCATATGCCCTTGTGTGATTGGCTATATCATATTGCCAAGACAGCAGCATCCATCGAGCTGGCAGCCTTTATATAGGTTCGACTTCATGATCAACCTTTCTTTTCTACGTCAGCCGCGATTTGCGATCAGATTGCACAATCTACGTCAATGATCATGTCTTCATAAGCTCGACTTTGAACTTGCCAATAGCCGCCATTGTTTAACGTCAGTTCGCGTGAACCCGATCTGCATGTTCGATGCAGGGAGATCAGTGTATCCCATTCTCTAGTCATGCAAGGCCATCCACCCAAGTTATATCAGCGATGCTGTCAAGTATGAATATCATGCTTGTGGCGTAAACGCGTTGCGTTATTTGGGAACCAATCATTAACCGGTGCTCGACTGTTCACTGGGAGAAGCTGCTAGGTAGATGAAAAATAAAAACAAAGTATAAGAATGGCGTAATAGCGCCGTGCATAAAATGCTTCGCACGCACACCCCACGCACGCATCTAAAGCTAGGAGCTGTCCCCTGACCAGGCTGACTTCAATTCAAGAAGCATCACGCCATCTGCTACTAGAACAAGGTGCTGTCGTATACTCGATATTTCTATAGTAAACGAGCCGTAGAAAGCAAGTCACTCTCCCAGCCATGAGTTTTATGAATTCCATGAATTGTATAGAGAATGCTGCTCCAAGCAGAGTACGACATTCATCATGATCCTCTCAGATCAACAGCTCAACACCCTCGCCGTGGTTGGCCGTGCCTCCTCGGCACTGTCAATCCTCGGCGTCGCAACAATTATCATCACGTTCAGTTTTTCGAAGAACTTCCGCAACCCCATGCACCGATTGATTTTCATCAATGCCTTTTATAATTTGTTCGATTTCATCGCCACTATGATCTCGGTAAGCGGGCCAAATGCTGGGGATGAGTCTGCCTTGTGCCGTTTTCAGGCCTTTTCACTACAGATGTACGTTCATGTTAGGCGCTGTACAATATAATGATTAACAGAATGACTACAGGTTTCCATTAGCAGATGTGTTTTGGACCCTTGCAATGGCTTACGACGTCTTTCTTATTGTTTTCTACCATTATGATGCTGAAGACCTGCGAAGACTTGAATTTAAATTCATTACGATCATCACAGCCCTAGTCTTCATTCCTGCATTGATCTTCCTCTTCATCCGTACACCGGCAAAAGGCCCTATGTATGGAAGTGAAACAGTACGTATTTCTACACAGTTGGGATACGACTAGTACTGTATGCGCAATTCAAAAACTAACCTTCTATTCCCCGCAGATTTGGTGCTCCATATCTCCTCAATGGGTGGTTTTCCGGATTCTTTTCTACTATGGACCAGTCTGGTAACACACGTGTCTCCTTGACTTCTGACTTACTATCTAACCTGATATATTCTTATACCAGGCTACTGATCGCATTTGCAATGATCCTCTACTGTCTCGTCGGCATTCGAGTCTTCAAGCTACGACAGAATCTCAACATTGGACGAGCGGACCACATCCAACTATCATCCAAAACCTCCATCGAGAACCACTCAAACACGAAAACATCTAGCACCCTCCAAGACGATGAGATAAGCATCCATACTACCTCCGAGCACACTATTGAATCCCCAAAGTCTCCTATCACGCCTCCTCCCACCTCCCGGATACATCCCCGACCCAATCATCACCAGTCAGGAGTCTCGTTTCGGCACTATGTGTTGATGCCGTTGATATTCTTCCTTGTTATGCTATCAACTTGGGTGGCGCCTACAATAAACCGGGTTCAGGCGTTTATTCGTCATGATCAAACATCATATCCACTCCTTGTGGCAGTGGTTGCGACGGGGTCGCTAAGGGGGTTTTGGAATGGGATTATTTTTATTACTATTGGAATGAAAGGACGTAGACGGAGTGGGAGGCTAGCTAATCATATTACTTCAATCACTTGATCGTGGGTAACGGTGGTTTCTGCTGGAGTTTAGGGTTAGGGTTTATATACCAGTTGCCATGTATTAGTTTTGGAATATTAATGAAGTGTACCCGTGGTTAAGGAACTTCATAAATTTAAATTCTTATAGCATAATTCGATCAATTGATGTACAACTAGACCATCAGTTTCGAACGACCTATTGAAGCTGGCGTGCAGCCTAGTGACGTGGCGTAGTTTACTGGTTTTGTATCTAGAAATCCCAACCCTAGACCCGCATATATTCGTGTTATATCTCACATCTCTTGGGATTAGACATATTTACCCTTATACCCTAGAAGACCTATAGTTGTCTGATGCTAGAGGACTAGCGTGCCTTCGGCTAGATAGGCTCTCTATTAATGCTACAGTTTCTGCCTCAGGCACCATGTTTCGTGCCATTACATTAAAGAAGTGCTCTTATTTAGTTTAGGTTACGGAAGGATGTAACAAAGAACAAAGTTAAATGAAACCCAACCTTATTGTATTGAGGGCTTGTTCGATATAGTATTATACTGTTGATAATAGAAATTATAAGCACATCAGTTAGTGCAATAAAGTTATGTCTATAATAAGCTGAAGTCTCTCCAAATATAATCAAGTATGTAGTACATACAGACCTTGACAGTGGAAATCAACATCAGAAGATAGCAACCACTATTAACAGACTAATGTAAGTAATTACTCAATAATAGTTAGAATATACAAAAATATCTATATTTTATACCTAAGTCACGGTATATACAACTCTCTAATGCATCTATATGTACATATACATATACATACTCATGCTAAAGAGATCACGTTATCACTGGAAGTAATATTGGCAACAAACATTGCTCGCCCTTTAGTGATATCCTTCCCGTTCAGATTAGCATGAAACACTATCTTAGTACCGTCAACCGAGAAATCAGTTCCTCCAGGAGCACTCAGTTTCCCAGCATTCTTCGATCCTGTCCCCGTCTTCAGCAATGGCGCATACGGTGCATACTGCTTCTTCCAGGGGCCAGTAATCGACGTGGCATAGCCATACGACGTGTCGTATTTCTCAGTGTTATACCAATTCGACGAGAAACTCAAGTAATAAATCCCGTCCTTGAGCATTATACTCGGGGCTTCGATCAGCGGTCCGTCGAGGTCGGATCGGTCGAGGAGCTGGATTGGGTCGCCGTCGGGGGTTATGCCGTCGGAGTGCATTTTTTGGAGCATGATGGGTGTTGAGTGTGTCGTGCCGTCGCCGTCGAGACTGTTCCCGTCGATTTTGTAGGTTACGTATATGGTGCCGTCGGTATCAATGAATCCGTCAGGGTCGATGGCGCCGCCCTGGGAAAGGGGACAGGCGAGAGAGGAGTTGGTTACGGTGGCGTTATACGGGCCTTGCGCTTTGGAGGACGTGGCTGCGCCAACGCAGTGTTTGCCGGTGGTAGCTTCCCTGGCGGAGTAGTACATTATGTAGCTATTGTTCGACTATTTAGGACAATTATTAGTTGGTATCTGCCTTTGTGAGGGTGGAATGATTGAATATAATATACCACTTTGATAACATCAGGAGCCCACAGCGAAACAGAAGATTTAGATACCCACGTGGGATAGGGTCCGGGCAGAGCATCATGTCCGTCGAGGAGTGTCCAGTTTACAAAATCCGGAGAGTAGGCCGTTTGCGCATGGACATGGTTGCCCGTAGTCCCAAAGGCATAGTAATCGCTACCGGTATAAACGACGCTGGGGTCAGCGAAGCTACTATCCAAGACTCGGTAGATATGAGCACATGCACTGCCAGAGAGCAGGGCGAAGATATATGAATGAGAAAGCATTTTGGCCTATTCACGTTTGTCAATCATCAATCATGAGTTTCCTCAGTTTCCTCAGACGGCACCGAAAGAGACTTTATACATATATTATTATCAGACGGTAAGAAGCATCAGCTTGGGGGCCTTTGATGCAGCCATATCGCAAGATACTAAGCTGACACGCCACGTCCTCGAATTCGGATATAGATTTGCTGATCGTTGGTACTGGAATAAGGGTTCAGCTGTCGGTGATGTTTCTGCTACATGGGGGCTTAGTTCGACTTTCATGATTAAGGCTCATTAAGCTATATTGACATCCTAGATGCCGGCGCCATGATTGGCCTCCCAAGATGTGGGGCTGATCTGATTCTACCGAAAAGGGATCTATGAAGCGCGCAGTGCGGGAGGTTTTTTTCCATAGAATATCAATGGATACCTTCTAGAATAACATTCTCGATATTGGACAGAGGTAATACATACATACATATACATATACATATATATATATATAATGATATCTAGACATGACACAAGTTGAAATAATTGTCGAATTCTATAACAATCTAATTTTAGAAGCGTCAGAAATAGGACTTTTATGTTAGTCCCTGCGGGATGTCAAGTACTGCGGGATACCTCCCACTGTATCCACGGGATGTTAATACAGCTGAGTGCTGCTTATAACTATAAAAAACCGCTGATATAACGTAATTATATAACATATCCCTTTGCCACGAAACTGAAGTCGTGACTACGATCCGAGCCTGTATGTAGCGTTACCATAACAGAATCGTCACGGCCGTATGTTAGACTGTAAGACAACCCTGGCCGCAGCCTAAAAAGGTTAAAAATCACCTGATTAATCTCTAAACCACAATGTAAAGAGAAAAACTCAATGGGAGTTAAGAAGATTGGCGATTTAGTATGCTCATTCATGGTAGATACATTTCGTGCTCTACTTCTTTTCAATTATATACTATTCTTACTATTCCTATTACTACCCCCAGGTATAACGTACGGATCATAGTACAGACGTCTCTCACGTTCTCTCCAACCTATATCGTGACATCTAAAGCCATCCTTTTTTTAAAAAAATCCTTTATTCTTTCTTCTTTCTATATAATATTTTATAATAGTCTGTATAAAACATTTTATCAAGATCGTGCTAGTGCCATCTTTCTATCTAATACGTACTTAAAGCTTTAAATACAATAAACATGTTTTTTAATTTTAGCTGAACTTCCCAAATGGACCCACAGCCAGGGCTCCAGATGATTTTCAGGACAGAGTTGTGGTTCTCGCCATTAGAGAGTGCTCCACAGGTGTACCAGATGCCTAATTCATCAGCACAAAATGATATCGAGGTACACATTGACATTACAAAGAGCGCTCATTTCGTACGCCGTTTTTTACCAGAGTTCGTCGGTGATGGTTAAGTCCTTATCTCTTCTGCTTTTTTTTCTATGCTGTTAACTTGTCGCGAGGAGATACAGCTGGGGAGATACAGCCAGATGAAGGTATACATTCCTAGGATGAAAGACCAAATAAAACTCATCAGGGATATAACCTTTAGTTGATTATGAAGTATCCGAAGATTTGTACAAAAAAATTGAGATTATGATATGAAAGGAAGATTCAGTACCACCAACAATTTTACCCGCCAGATACTTATTTGTCCAAAGTCTGCAATCATATGTAGTCCTCAGTTATTGCAAGGCTACTGAGGACTAGAGTCTGCAAAAGGACTAATGAGTTCGGTTCATACTTATGAATTTGGGATAGCCCCATCCGTAATATTTCCGTAGCCTGGGGTAGAGTAGTCACCAAAGCAGCTGGCATTGTAGTTGGCTTTATCAACATTTTGCTGTTGAAAGTTGATAAATGTTTGCAATTCACACCAGCCATCGTCACGTGCTCCACAGTCAGGTATACTCTCTCCAAGCGGAATAGTTCGCTGATTCATTATCATATGTACGTAGCTTGTGCTGTTTCCAGAGGTGTCATACGGAGAGTCACTCGAGTTCCGCGGTCGTTGATCTAGAACAGGGTAGGGGGCTTTGATAACCTCAAACAGGAAGTAGCCACCGAAGGGAGTTATGTTGCTCACTACTAGAGAACGATTTGTAGCCAGCTCAGTGGGCGAAAGATATTTTCCAAATTTGGATAGCCCTAGAGCCGTCATCATCGAGAAAATCTCGGTGTCATGACTGAAATCAAAATATATAGTCTGGTTAAGAGGAAATGTGGAATTATTGTCATCAAGTGTTGTGTTGAAAGCGATTGAATCATCTGGCGGGTCTGGCAGGTGCTGGATCAATCTGGCTATCAGTTCCTCAACAAAACCTAGCCCTATTGCTCGACCAACGGGTGAAGCAAATCCATTGTTTCCGTAGAATTGAATATCCAATGTGTACTCAAATCCGAGCCACTCATCCCAGGTGAAGAGAAGACAGAACGGGCTGTAACCAAAGGCAGACGTTTCATACGCACACAATGACTGTACGTCATTTAAGTCGTCCACCGTCCAGTTTGCACTTCTACCGCTGGATTGGTTCTGGAAGCGTAATGTCGCATCTTGGAGATAGATAGATTTCCATTGGTCAGTTGCTGAACCAGACGTCTGGCCACGTCCGTTCCCAGCATTTGTACACATTTGATCACCACCCATGCTATTGTTAAATCCTGTTGAATCGATTATTGCCTCGAGGGTTACATTCTGGGTCCATTTGGAGCCAAAGAACCCATACAAGAAAGACTCTGCAGACTGGAGCATCCGGACCATAGTTGTAGTGCGAGCGATCAGGTTTGAACCTGGGTTATATAGTTGGCCATAGTTGTAATAATGAAGAATACCGCTATCAAACAGTTCTTGACGCCCACGAACCGTTAATTCATTCTCGCCGAGCTGGTAGGTCCAACTATTCAGAAAAGACAGGTTGCCCGTAAAGACCGTGCCGTTCTCAATAAAGCCATTGATTCTGTCAACGACACCTGGCTTAGAGGTTGGATACCGAGATCCATGACGATGAACCATGTGTATTTGGGTAATATTAGATCCGTAAGGCAACGCGTATTCATCGACGCCGAATCCATCAGCATTTGGCCGGTAAGGGCTTTTTTATCAAAAAATTGTTAGGCGTTTTCCCTTTCTTTTAATTTTTCTTTTCCAATAAATACCTCAAATTTCCCATATGAGAGAAGATACTAGCCCCCTCTGGTTTATCAGGGACGGGGATGTCGGTCACCAAAGGTCCATTGGGAACGTAGGTAGGTTGAGCCGATAGTGCTGGATTTGTCTGTGCCAGGAACGGTACTCGTCCGGTTTCATATCCCCCTGATAATTCGAATGAGCCTAGTCCTATATGTTATGGGGGGAAGAAAAATACATACCGGCATATGGTCCGAAACTGGTCTGGAAATAATCCGGGATTGTTGTGGTCGTATCAGCTATAACGGTGCTCACACAGAGAGCTAAAACCCAGACACGTGCCATGACGCGAGAAGGAAATGTTAAGCCTGTCTAGTAGTTTAGAATTAATATCTCACCAGGAAAGTCATCGTGTGCTTTATATCTCAATATGGAATTGACCCCACATTACATATCGACTCTTGAAAACATGCCGCGTATTGAATGTAACATTGCGGCACCTCTAGCTTTGATAGTACGGCAGACTAAATTGAAGTTAGGGACAATGTCACACCGCGCACGGCAACTAGTAAAATTATTACCCAATTAAATAATTTTTTATAGAAATAAACAAGATAGTTACATGCTATTATCCCTGAGGGCACCCATCATGGAGCTCAAAGGCCAGCAGCATAACAGCTGTGAAGTATTTGTCTGAGTTGGGCCCATCGTATCCAGTCAATATTGTTGCGTATGCATGTCTCCGGCTCGTAGTTGAGAAGGGTATTGTGAGATTTCGTAAGGAGGTAGCATCGAGGGTAGACTATGCCAGTAACAAAATCCCGACATTTAGAGTGCATAGAAGGACAATGAAATTTATTTTGTTCATCATCTTGGACGATGAAAGTCTTTAGGACTGCGAGGTATGAGACTGATATTGTACATATTAATTCTTGGATGCTGAGGTAATTCCCTGGTGACCAGATGGCAGATCATTACACTTATTAGCCCCTCTCTTTCAAATTACTTGCCCTTTGCTATTTATGACCGGCTTGATCGACAATAGTAAACTACTGTGAAGAATAAAAAGTCAAATACTAAAAGTCAATATAGAGTGATCAGGACCCACTTCACTAAGGTTGAAGTTTGTAGGTGATTTGGGTTTAGGGAGTGCAGTCTAGTCTAGGAGGCAATTTCGTGTAGTATACATTGATGCACTTAAGGCACTTATTATTTAGCCATAGTATTGACTGGGAATGATTTTTGTACGGTATTACTGTAAAATAATAGGCGTATAAGCAGTAAGGAAACCCGAATACTATCGTATTCGGTATGAATGGATAGTTGACAAGGTTATATATATGAGTTTCTTCGTTTGCATATGCATAATATGACCCTCTCCAGACATATTTGATGACGTTGTTGCCATCTTGCTACAACAAGAATGAGGAGGTGAACTTAAATGTCCAGACCAAATGGTTGTTGCGAGTCATTTTATTTAGCTAACGGATATGACAACTTCCACGCTGGAGATCTGGTAAATGCAATAAACAGACCCTATTATAAACTATCGGGCTAGAAGAAAGTATAAGGCTCCATCCACATGACGACCCATCGAAAATTTTTATTAGGGCTGTGATACAGTTTAGTCTCGAGGGACCTTGGATCCTTCGGACGTGTCAGACTGCTCGGCCGTAGTAATGTGCAAACCCTAAATTTTGGTCAAAGAAAATAAAGACGGACACGCCATTGTGTATTATGTGGTAGCTTGAATAGAAATTTCAATAACTAGGATATTAGATACCGTGACGAATAGAGTTTAGAGACCACTTTGAACCGAATCCTAAAGCCTTTTCCTCTCTATAATTGTACGTGGTGTCCAATGGCTGGAGCTGCAAGTGTGAAAAGGTAAACTCATAGCACAGATCTCATGCAGGATGAAATTTGTCTTGCAATATGGCCTGCTCCATCGCCGGCTGTTTCCGGTTTCCCTGCTCCATTCTATGGCACATAAAGTCCAAATGTCCAACAAACTAGGGTTATCTAGGGTGGGAAGCGAGGGGGCGATCGCAATAGGCTATATCGTGGCTTTGGGGCGAAAGTGTTAATTTGCTAGCGTAAACCTAAAATCCCCAACAGTCGGACCCACAATGTGATGATCAGCGATCACAAATCCGAACTTAGTCATTCCCGACTTGTATTACTATATTAGCCTCTGTTCAATCTAGAAACTCAGGCCGTTGTCACATACAAGTGATTTCAGCCATGGTTCAAAAACGAAAAGAAAGGAAACGAAGTTGCTCACAAGTACATTATTACAATGAACACTCATAGTACTTTCAAAATAACGCAAGTACATTGTCATCGGATCGTTTTAGCCCCGTATTACTTGTGTTGATCAAGTTTCATCAAGATAGAAGGGCCTGTCGGGGGGGTTCCGTCTAAGGTATTTCCTGTGAAGGGCTACAAAGTACATTTGACAGCTATCACAGACAGCTGACTTCATGTACAATCTCAGCTAAATGTGCTGTCCAAATACAGGCTCCAACGTACTAGTAATGTTCTAGAAATTGTCGTTTCGGTCAATGTGAGCGACCTAGAGGGTGGCCGAGTCAACGGTTCCGCTTCAGTTTATTCTTCCTCTAGCCGGGTGACCGCCTTTGGTGCCTTCTCTCCGAGCTTTAGCGATGGCTACCATACATCGTATAATTGTATCGATTTCAATGGGTTGACGGTGACGAGCAGTCGCTAGCCTTTGGAGGTGTGTGGACATAATTCAATGCCCCTCCAAACAACACCATCTTGGTTTTAAGCGCTGGTGACGCTTGCCAAAATGGCGAGTCGGAAATTCCTAACTTCGATTTTGATGGCACACGTAAGGTAGCCCAGCAGACATGGATACATCCCAACGCATGATCCGGCCCTTGGGACGCCAGGCGATGCCGCATTCTATACACGAAGCATCCCGAGAACCGTCGAATACGCCTACAACGATTTTTGTATTTCCTTAATGGCCAATAAACCCGGGAAGCAAGAAGATTGCGAGACATATGTTAATCGCTCTAGTAACTGGAAAAACATGTTAAGAAGTGATCAAAATTCAACAGTTCAAGGATTTGATACCGGCTTCAATGGATTTCTCCAGCCCAAGTACGAGAATGGAAGCTGGGGCGAACGGGATCCAGCAATGAGCTCACCGACAAGTTCTCCTAACAGCTGTTTGTTCAATGATGCCAGTTATGAGACCTATAAGGGAAGCGTTTGGCTATATACTTTGTGAGTATCAAATTTTTCTCATACGTGCATTAAATTTCTCTACTAACAACTTCTCCAGTTTAGTTACGTGCCATATAACATGGGCAGTTTAATTACGAGCTTAAGGGTTAAGTATACTTCACTGATCGACTTTCATTTCTACATTTCTCCAATCTCGTAAATATCGGAGACCATCAAGCATTTCCGCCTGTCTACCAATTTCACTACACTGGGCGTCCTGGTTTGTCAACCCAGCGGGCTCGCGCGCATATAGACACGTCATTCAATGGCACTATTTCGGGAATACCAGGAGATGAAGATTCAGGGGCAATGGGTTCTTTTGTCGTCTTCACGATGCTCAGTATCTGGCCGGTACTGGGAGAAGATGTCTACCTTCTCAGCCCGCCTGCCTTCAGTGACGTTTCCATAACACACCCATTAACTGGGAAAACTGCAACCATCCGCAACATAAATTTCGATCCGTCCAATATATATACTCAGAAACTACCATGGATGGTAAACCTTGGTTGAAGAATTGGATTTCTCATGACTTTTTCACCGAGGGTAGTGTTTTGGAATTCACTTGAGAAAACAACGAGAGTCAGCGGGGGACTCAAATCAAGAACTTGCCTCCAAACTTGCCCGCATATCAATTCTAATAGATTCTCTAAGTATCTGTGCTTGAATGAATTCTAGGTGTTTCCATAATATTACCGACTGCAGCTGTGAAGTCGACGATGTCGTCTTCATCTTCTCAACCCCCAGCCAAATCTCGACCTGTACGCTTAAAAAGCCAACAAAAGCCCTGACTTACGAAGAGTTGACTTCACAAAAGCTAGGAAATATAGTCATGTACTTGATAACCAGAAACCAAAAGATCAGTCAGATACATTGTTTGAATTCAGATCCAACAGGACAATGGCCCCGGCCTCTCAAAATTTTGTATGTAATGATATCAAATAAATCAATTCTGATGATACCGACTCTCTAGCGCGGCCACTATTCTTTGCCAATGATGGAGACAGTCTCAGGAAATTGGAGTCACTTAGCTACACATCCTTATTGTTTTTAAATTGACACTCGACAGGATCTCTAGCTCGAAACGCACAGATCATGCTCAGCTGGTTTGATTTGAGATCTATATTTAACTGTCCTAATTTGATTTAAAAAAATGATAATATGATTCTAATCTCCAAGTAATAATTGAGTGTAAATTCCTCAAGGTAAGGGTACCGAGTTCTTTTGAAAGCACAATATCGGAAAGCAGAGTTAAGAAAAGAATAAGAATCACCAAGTACAGACAAGCGTGATGAGATATTGTCGAACTTTTAACCACTATACCAAAAAAAAAGGCACAACCCTTTCTTAGTAAGGATTCCTATGGTATTATAGTCGCATATTATTTCTGACAGATATCTATACTATACCCCCACCAACCAATGGGATCAGCGCATTCTCGTACTCCATCGACTTCCTATCAGGGACGATCGTCGAGCATATCGTCATGATGACTAAGTACATCCAACCATACCGCGCGCAATGCTGTCCCAATAATAATACATTCTCAAACCTACATACGATCCTTTTCACTGTCCAGTACATAATCCTAATCCCAATCCTAATCCTAATCTACCCCAAAACATCATGGTCTTCCTACCCATCTTCCCGATCTGCTTTCAGTGCGGCACGGATCAGAATCCCTGCCATTGCAAGGTCGTTGGTCCGACGCTCGGTATGTCTTCCCCTCTTCTCCTAAAGGCGAAATCAAAGGATAAAAGCTGATCTAGAGGAATAGGGTTTATCACATGTATCGTGGCAGGGGTAACATCAATCCATTATACCAAAACTCACACTCAGACTGATTTGCTCGTTTTTGTTATTTCAGGTTATCTGCTGGCCAGCTTCGATTTTCTGCGGGTGTAATGCGACGAAGACAGGGAAAGAGTATGTCTAATGCCATGTTGAATTGTTACACGAATAAGACTAATACGAGTAGCATGTTGGCGTTTCCGGTTAAGATAAATGGGGAAATCAGTAACATGATTCCGATTTAAGTACATCATGCTGAAACCAAGAGCGAGGCTGGGGATGTCGCTTGTTCGCTGTCAAAGGGTTAGAAGATTATGGAGTTTAGGTTTTCGTGACATCGTCTTTTTATTTCAGATACCGACTGGTGAATAGTTAAGTGATAGTGTAGAGTATCAAATTTAGCTACATATGACTGGCAGATCATTAACACGCAAAACATCGCAAATGAAACGAAAGTGAAAACTAGCAAGTACTTTGAATCACGCAGCAATACAAGGTATCGTGTTCACAACCAAAAACCGGCAGCGAGGCACGTTCCTCTTGATTAAGTTCAAGACAATAAAGTAAGCCAAGCCGCCTCGCTTGTAAATTATGAATATCATGCAACAGAATAGACATCAATGCCTCGTAAGCTCGTTCAGGTTGGCTCAGATGAAATCACTTGAGCTTTTCCTTCAGCCTTTGGAAGAAGCCGCTTGCCCGGTGTTTCTTCTTCTTCTCCTTCGAGTTGTCCTGAGCCGTGCTGCCGACAGGTTCTGAGGAATTGGCAGTCGGACCACTAGAGACGCCGGTAGTGACTGTGGGTTGAGTTTGCGACTGGGCTCCCGCTACTGGAGTGGTTGTGCGCGGCGAAACACTCGTCGAGTCGACAGGTTTGGTAAGCGCAGCAGCCGGAGCAGCTGTGGTAGTTGCAGCAGTAGCCGTGGGAGCGGGTTCTCCAGATTCGTTTGTAGTTGCGACCTTTTGCTGCAATTCCTGTTCAACCTCCTTCTTCTCTTCAACTGCGGCGTCGTTGGCAGCAGCCTCGGGGTCCTTGTGAGCTTCCTCTAGCGAGTCCTTGACGACACCCGGAACCTGGGAGGAAGGAGCTGTAGCTGGTCCATCAGTTATCTCAACCTTGTCCTGGAGTTCCTTTTCAACGGCTGCTTTCTCCTCGACGGCTTCGGCGTTAGCAGCTGCCTCGGGCGAGTCGTGAGCCTGAGAAATAGATTGCTTCACGACGTCAGGAACATCGCTTGCCGGGACGCCGTTCCTTTTAGGCTCTAGTGGGACTTGGCCGGCAAGAGCGGCGGTGGTTGAGGTTGGATGCGCTGATTGAATCGTCACTCCGGGTTCGCTTGTCGCCGGGGGGTTCAGAGGCAGGCTGGACTCTGGAATCAGGCCGCCTGCGGGGACAGAAGGAACTTCCAAGGCAGTATCCTTGTTGGCTGATTGACCACCAGGCACCGCCGAAGCACTAGCGTCTGCTTCATAACCTGCCTTGTCTGTCCTAACCGTAGACCCGACGGTGTTGTTATGAAGAGTACTGGGGTCAGGAACAGGGTCGCCGGGGTTCAACTTGATCGGATTGCCGATGCCCGCAGAGGCGGGAATCGGGTTGACAGACAATTCATTGACCTCAGTTGCAGGTGTCTCTGGAAAGCCCCCGGGAACTGAAGAGTCCTTCTCTTTGGGAACGGCGGCGGCCAGATTGGCGGTGGTAGATTGAGGAGTAACGCCAGCCATGAATGCAGCAGCAGTGTTTCCTCCTGTTATTGATTGGAAGGTGGTATCCGGTTTGAAGTCTTCAGGCAACAGCACGTTGTTTATATTATTATGACCGTCACTCTCTTGGCGAGCGTTGCTATCAGTGACCCACTCGGTGTCAACGACGAACTATAATTTATGACGGTACCCGGGTCAGCAAAAACAAACCAGACTCCGAATCAGAAAGAAAAGTAAGCAGTCTGAAGGTTGATGGTAGATGAGGGTGAGATAATAGAGGGGGGAAATCAGGCTTGAAGAGGTTGACAGTTGACTCAGAGAAAGCGGTGAAAGTGACGTCACCAGCTGAGTGACGGCGCAATGCGGAGAAAGCGCCAAGCAGAAATAAAATAACGGGTGAGCAAGCACAGTCTGAGCGAGTCCAACCCAGGATCTTTGAGCAGAGAGAAGAGAGGAAAGACACCGGCCCCTTGCATGGGCTAAATACTGGGGGGTGAGGGGTAGGTGATAATAATAATGCTGGATGCCTGTCGTGGCGCAGACGGCTACTAGCGACGAGCCGTCTGAATGCTAGCAAAGTCAATCCGCCAGGTGGAAGGGAGAGTAAAAGCACGCGAGAAGTTCATGGAAGACGAAAGAGCTCTCTCCTGCATACCTTGTATTGCACCTTTTCCTTGGTATCTGCGAAGTAGACTTCTTTCTCAAAGACGTCCCCGTTCTTGTCCAATTTGACCGTCTTTCCCCAGTCGTCGAAGGTGCCAGTCACGAAGACTTCGCCTGCCTTGTGCGGCCTGTAGTTGATTGACTAATTAGCACTAAATCATGTATATGTAGTGAATGAAGCGACTCGGTAGATAGAAAGATAGGTTGACGGTTGCCATGACCGTCATCCTGTAAAGACACAGGTTACGGGGTGGATAGGGCAATGGTGCGTACCATCTGAAAATGAAGCTGCCCATTTTGTATTGCAAAACGGTTTGCGACTGAGACTGGACACGCGCTTGGCCTGGCCGAAAGATTGTCTTGTAAAATCGAGACGGGAGATGCTTGACCGCTGCAGACAGCTCGAGCTTGCCACAGATTGGTAGTGGCGACCAAGGGAAATGAGCAGAACAGAAAAACAAGAGAAACCAAAGAAACAGCCGGTTGACACAGTATAGAGTGCGCAACACGAACAGCGCCAATTGTTCAGTATAAGTTATCGACAGCTATATGGAATTAATTGGAGAGAGCCTAAGAGCCTTGGTGGAAGCGATCTTTTCGGGCCGCACGGACGACTTGTGGAAGCATCGAGCGAGCTCTCCGGCAGGAGTCATTAATGCCACGCACTTGTCTTATTCCCTCTGCACTTAGTCCATACTCTTGCAGCTGGCAACGGCTTCTATTTCCCATGTAGTATGTGCCAACTCCTCCAGCCCGCATTCAGTAAGGCCTTGACGTTGAGCACCATTTGTTGGGAGCACTGTACCAAGTTGTCGCGTGCTCTCCACTGGTCGTCGCCAACCAAAGACCAGCTCCACTGACGTGCGAAGGATCTGATAGTGCCGCAGGAGAGGACTCTACAAACAGCATTGAAGCAAGCAGGGACGAAATAATGAGATCCAGATACAGTGGTGTGCTCGCTGGGCTGGAACGCCTCAGGCCGCCACGCACCTGATTGGCCAGTCGACGGCGACCACAGCTAGCCGGGAGCTTGGGCCGCTCTGACGTAAGGACAGCGAGTTTATTTCGCAACTACTTCACTGTCCACTCGTTATATGTCATGTCCGTGGGCGATTGCTCGTTTCTACCTCTCGCAAGTCGACCTGTGGATACACGCCCGCCGGTAGCAGGATGGATGACACCTCGACTGGCTGTGGTGGCTGAAGCCCATCGTGGCCCGCAAACGGCCAGTGGACAAAGTCGCCACCGTCATTTAGTAAATGGCCCTGTCAGCTAGTCCCAGGCAACGAACAGGTGTGGTGGTGCAGCCGACAGCCTTGTTTCTAGAAACCTTCCGACGAATCTTCCATGCAGGCGCCCAAAGCATGTCCTTTGCACCTCAACAATCTGCTCGTTCGCTTTGCATGGCATTCCAGGGCCCAGATACACCAGGACTGCTCAGTACTGTATGTCAGACTATCATCTGCGGGGCAATCCTACGTCTGTTTGGAAGAGGCTCAGCAGCGTAACTACAGCGCCGAAACTCCCGCAACACTCGCCCATCACTCTGGCCAATTCACGATTGCATGGCACGTCATCCCGACAAACGGCAGAAGACTTTATTGTATGCGGCATTTGATAGTCGCTATTATATTTAATATGTAATAGGTAATAGTAATAGGCACACAAAAGAAACAACCATAATGCATTAAATAGAATATATGCTAAGATGGATTGCTGCCCCGCAATTGCATCCGCTTCACCTTAATTATGATTGTTCTTCCAGGTGCACGGAGGCTTCGCGGATCCCTGCAGTGGGCTAATCCTCTTCCTGCACAAAACACGACACACCACCACCACCCTGACACCACAACACACATCCACATCCCAGGATTCTTCAGCGAGGCACACTGGACTGGACTCCTGCACTCGCCTGCCCGCCACACCGCACCCGCCTACCCACCCTGCAAGTGGCAGGCTGCCTTTCACCACCCCTCATAAGAGTCACAGCAGACTCCAACCCCCACTTGCCCGCCTCGTCCTGCAGATCACTCAAGTCTCAACCCATCTCTGCATTCTTCTGCTTTTCTGCCCCAGACGGCCGCTCTCTCTCCTCACTTTTCCTCCCCGCTCCCAGTCTGTCTGACTCCTTCCCGTCTGTTCTGCCTGCTGCCAGAGACAAATGTCCCTGGACAGTCTGCCACTCGCCTACCAGACAGAGATCCAGTCCCTCAGCGAGCAAGTCCGCCAGCACCAACCCACCGACATCATCCAATTCTGTGCCAACTTCTTTAACCGTCGCCTCGAATCGCAACGCCTCGACTGGCTCGCGTCGCAACGGAATCAGCAGCATCCAGTCGCTGACCAGGAAGGTCAGGTCGCCAACATGGCCTCCTCCAACTCCAACTCCAACTCCAACTTTCCAGGCACAAACCCTTTCGCTGCTGGGGTCGCTTCTCCCTTTGCGAAGATCTCAGAGGAGGAAGAATACGACGGGGCCTCGCCTACGGATCCTAATTTCCGATCGAACTCGGGTGCTGCCTCCTCGAGGAGTCCCTTCTCTAGCGGTGGAGGTTTTACAAGCCCTTTTCAAGATAGAGATGCCGTGAACGCCGCTGGCTCTGATCCCAATGCTCACCCGACCGGCTTTCCTCCTGCCGGGACCGCTGCAAGTCAAGGACTGCCAAACAATTATGCGATGGGTCGCCGTACGTCGGTGTCGGCAGAGTCTTTGAATCCAACATCGTCCGGCTCCGAAAGCTGGTCACCACCCTTCCACCCCAAGTCAGCCGACCAAGTTGCACGATTGAAGAAGGCCGTGAGCGGGAACTTTTTGTTCTCGCATTTGGACGACGAACATCTCAAGACTGTGCTCGATGCGCTAGTCGAGAAGCCCATCCCGGCGAAAGATATCAAGGTCATCACACAAGGAGATGCTGGCGATTACTTTTACATTGTCGAAGAAGGTACTTTCGGTGTCTTCATCAACCCAACGGGAGCGGCACAGTCAGGCCCAGATGGAATTGGGAACCAGGTCGGAACCATAGGGCCTGGTGGTTCTTTTGGAGAGCTTGCTTTGATGTACAACGCGCCGCGTGCAGCAACAATCGTCTCTCTTGAATCCAAGTCCACGCTATGGGCGCTGGATAGAATCACCTTCCGACGGATTCTGATGGACTCGGCCTTCCAGCGACGACGCATGTATGAGGCTTTCCTGGAAGAAGTGCCATTACTAGCGTCACTGAAGCCCTACGAGCGGTCTAAGATTGCCGATGCCCTGGATACGATCAAATACCCTACTGGAGAAACCATAATCCGCGAGGGAGACCCTGGTGATTCATTCTATCTGTTGGAATCCGGAGAAGCTGAAGCATTCAAAAGCGGAACAGATCATGCAGTCAAAGCTTATTCACGTGGCGACTACTTTGGTGAGCTGGCGCTGCTAGATGACAAGCCCAGAGCAGCCAGTGTGACGGCGAAGACAGATGTCAAGGTTGCTCGGCTTGGGCGTGATGGCTTTAAGAGACTGCTGGGGCCGGTGGAACAAATCATGAGAAGGACAGAGTATGATGTTGATCCGCTGACAAAAACGCCCGCTTCATAAATCCATTGCTTTTAAAGAATGCTACGGCCATGCAGCAAGTACTTACCTATATTTCTCCTTTCCTCTCAATTTTTTAGTTGTATCCAAGACATCAAAGGTGATGTGTTTGGGGGAGAGTTCTATGCGTGGGACAGAATGGCCTATGCATTCTTCTATCTTTGACCACGGTCTCTTGAGATATCTTTACACTAGTTACTTGCTGCATGTGACCGGCCACTTTTTCTCCGGCAGAAAAAATATTTAACACCCATGAACTTGCGAACAAGGTTGAAACTTTTAACATTACAGGAGAAGACTACAATTCATATCATTACCAATCAATCCGTTTTAAGTGAGAACCCAATATAAGAAGAAAGGACGAGAGGAGGAGGAAATTGAGATATGCCGTTCTTGTACACAACCAAATCTGCGTTTCCAATAGTGCCGCTCGCTCTTGTGCCTGATGTCGTTGAAGTTTTTCTCTTTTCTCAATCGATGATTATGCTCAAACCGGAGACTGCTTTGATAATTTCCTTTTCTTCTATTACCAATGACTTTATGAGTGCAGTCAAATTTGTATATCGATTGATCAATGCTGAATCTGATAATTAAGTATACAAGTAATTTGATAAAATGGTAGATATATATACATCATCTTTGATACATCAATCACTGGAGAATTCTGGGTTCTGGATTCTCTCGTATATCGTATAGCTGTGTAACACACATTCAAAGTTTAGCTGCATGCAACCTTATAGAAACGTCCTAGTTCTGAATGTTTACTAGTTGCCCTCACGGCATCATGTTGGCTAGCCGATACCCTCTATCGTTGGGCCTGCCTTTTCATAACCAGGAATACAACCTGGGTGGCTCCTTAATAAAGGATGGATTCCATGGATGTATCAACCGGCGTATCGGCGTGGTTTCGTCAGCGCACAGTCACCCATAGCTATGTGCTTCAGCATCCTTTGCATCGCTGAGCCAAGTTCTGCAAACCCCGATTTGTTTATGGTAGCATCGCAATTTGGTATCATGCTCGATCTCATTCGTACGGTTTCTGGGCGTATACGCAGTGTCTAAGACCCATGTTAGCATCGCTGTCGCCCGCCCTTAAGAAATGGTTGAGACGTACACTTTCGAGTACATATGATAATTCAAATTCCGCAAGTCCCGCCGAACATTGCCCAGCAATGTCTGGATACGATGATTATCCCATTTCAGCACACGTGAAAACAGAGCTAGCGAGTACGGCTCAATCGACTCCATCATCTGCAGATTCATATACCTCGCCAGCTCCTTCAGCCTCGGGTCTTGCGGCCACGGCGACAGTGGGCATTTCCACACTTCCTCCTTTGCGTCAGCGAAACCCGCGTTGCGCACGAGGTCGTGAATGTGCGGTGCAATGTTCATCTCCTTGCCAAACACGGCGGCGGCTTCACAGAGTCGAACTTGGAATTCATGATATGCCGAGTCTGACGGTAGACTATTGTCGTCTGTGGACGCCCACGTCTCGAATTCGGTCAGCTCGATCCACCCGCCTGGCGCGAGGTGGTTAGATGCCCGCTGCAGTAGCTGCGGCCAGTCCCCTATACTCCCCGCCATGCTGCGGATATGGATGTAGTCAAAGGGCTCGCTGAACTCCCACTCGCTCTCGGCATCGTCAATCTCAAAGTGCAGGTTCGGCGGCACCCAGGTGGGCTGGATGGAGGATAGATCGGTGGCAGTCACGCGCGTGTCTGGATGCGTGTCGGCAAAGTCAACCGCCCACAGACCAGTGCCACAACCGACGTCGAGGGCTCGCTGGATGTTGTGTGCGATGGGCGCCCTGTACAGCTCCCCGCCGAACATCAGCAGGTAGATGTGATGCTGCATGTCCATTCGATCCTGCTCTGGCTCGTCGTTTGGTAGAGGGTAAGCGCCTGCGCGGAAGGCATGGTATCGACGCCCGTTTTCGTACTCGTAGTTGAAGATGCTTTCACTGAGGGATCTGGTTGAACTTGCGCGGTCGTCGCCGAGGGCCGAGTCGGCGTCGTCGTCGTCTTGGTAGAAGTAGCCTTCTGACTGGAATGCTGTCTCGGTGAGGTCAACGCTGCTGTCCTGCGCGACCGATCTAATTTCGTCATTGTTGCTTGCGTCGCGGTCGTGTTGCGCTGATTCGGCTTGGTGGTGAAGGTCGTGGGCGGTGCCCGATTGGTATTCGACCTGTTGGAGGGCGGCGTGGTTGCCTTCTGGGTTATTCTCATCGACCTGCATCGATTGACTGTCCATCGTTATTATTTTCCTGTTTTCTTTTCTCAGCTTTTGCTTTTTTCTTGTTTAACTTCCCCCCCTAAGAATCATTCATGGATGTCGACCCGGTTCCTGACAACTTTTAAAGAATTTTGTCGTTGAAGTGCGGCATTCTATCACATACTGACTGGCTGGCTGCAGGCTGAATTTTGGAAGAGTAAGTGGGATTAATATTGGACCAACATGAACCAGCAGTTGATCAAGTTTGGGCTGAGAAATCTAGGACTCAAAGCCATGGCACGATGCTATATACTAGGGAGCATCTATACGACATGGTAAACACGTATGCGAAACATTCTCATTCCTCAGATTCTGGATCATGCTCATAAGTGGCCAGACTAGAATCGATGAATCCAAAGCATCGTTCCCTCAGCTGCCAATCGCTGCCCTTCGATGCAGGCGCATTGGGGCTCGTCCCCGCCCGGAGCACGCGGCGGCGCGGTGCCATGCAGTGGCACGCACTACGCGAGTCGGGAACCATCAACCCCTAATGACAATTCGCTTCTTGGTTCCTCGTCGCAACGGTGGAGAGCATTATCAGTATAGTCTTGCGATTGCTCTTATTCAACTCGCTGCCACCGCGCCGCCGATAGGGCCGTGCTGGCTGCAAGATCATAAATTATAAAGCATGGGCCTCCCATGGAGAGGAACTAAGGCGCCACAAAAGCGTGGCATTGGAAGAATATAAGCAGGGAAATAATACTCCGCTTCGTTTCTATGTGGGTATATAATTAATCTGATGCACGCCCAGCAACCCAAAATTTGGGCTCGGGTTGGCCGGGCTTTGATTTCACTGTCCTTTCCACGATAATCCTCCGCTTTTGCTCGTTGCCCTCAGCTCTCGCTCATAATAGGGTAATTAGCTCGGCTTATGCTACCCCAGCCGCTCATGGACGCAAGAATGTGGGCTTTTCTTGACGTGAAATCCTCCGATGGATCGACACTGTTCTGGGGCTTGATCTTGGGCGCAGCTGTCGCATGGCCGCTCTTGTTGGCTGTCTATCGCCTATTTTTCAGCCCACTAGCAGCAATTCCGGGGCCGAAACTCGCAGCTGCGACGGCCTGGTACGAATTCTATTGGGACTGTCCTAAGCAGGGGCATTACATGTTTAAAATTGAGCAGATGCATCAGAAATATGGTTTGTCTTCCTGATTTCCTTGGCCGATATACCATTACTAGACCAATGTAATTGTATGAATTTCATTTCCTGGTTATTAATAATTGCCTCATATATGAAGCATATTATACACATGGATCCTGGCAAATCGGACCACAAACTGACGTGGCTTGGGAATTATAGGCCCTATAGTCCGCATCAACCCTTGGGAAGTACATATTAAAGACACCGCGTATTGGGATACACTTTACACAAACAACAAGCTTGACAAAGATGCCTGGTACTATAGAGCCTTTGGCGACAATCTGGGAACCGTCGGCACAGGACCATGGGAACTCCATCGCCTGCGTCGTGGAGCCATGGCGAGATTTTTCTCGAATGCCAACGTCTCACGACTCGAGCCAAAAGTTCTTGCGCGTGTGAAGAAGCTTTTGGAGCGTATCGAAGAGCATCGCATATCCAACAAGGTCATCCCTATCTCGCATGCATTTCGTTGCTATGCGACTGATGTTATATCGGATTATGCAGCTCCTCATAGTAGAGATTTCTTGAGCACTCCTGATTTCTCAGCGGCATTTAATCAAGTGCTGCGAGACTTTTCCGAACTCATGCTCTGGCAACGTCATATTCCGATTGTGTTTCCGGTGCTAGGTGCAATTCCTCGATGGTTCATATCTTTAATGGATCCGTCAGGCGCTCAGATTGCTGTACTGGATAACCAGGCTGTAAGATGCAACTTATTTTTGGGGTTGTTGAGAAACAGCTAAAACTAACGTCGAAACGTAGGCTCTGTTGAACCAAGCAAAGACGGTCATAGCGACCAAGGGGATTCCGTCAGAAAAGGAGTCGCCAACGGTGCTAGACGCCATTTATCAATCTGACCTTCTCGGACCAGAAGATAAGACGCTACATCGGATGATGGCAGAGACTCAAGCGATACTCGGCGCTGGGACTGAAACCACAGGGAACACGCTTTCAACTTTAGTTTACCATGTCCTCTCCAACCCAACGATTCTTCAGATACTAAAGGCAGAACTGAACGCAGCTGGTAAGGGCAAAGGGGACTCCGACTTGCTTGACTTCAAAATCTTGGATAAGCGGCCCTATCTCCAAGCTTGCATTAAAGAGGCACTTCGCCTCGCAGTTGGCGTGGTTGGCCGTCTTCCACGAGTCAATCCTATTGCACCTATGTCATACACAACACCAACGGGAAAAGCATATGTCTTCCCGCCGAAAACCGTCGTCTCTATGTCTATTCGCGACATGCACACTGATGACAATATTTTTCACAACCCTCATTCATTCTGGCCAGAACGATGGATTACCAGCAGCATCGATCAGCTGAAGCAGATGGAGAAGGCGTATGCACCTTTTGGCCGGGGAGTTCGAGCGTGTTTAGGCGTTGAGCTTGCGAAAGAAGAGCTCACTTTGATGGCTGGAAACCTCTTTTATCGGTTTGATTTCGATCTGTTCGAGACAACGGAGAGAGACATTAGTATCCTGCACGACTACTTTGCACCATTCGGTCCCAAAGAGAGTGAAGGGGTACGGGTGACTGCACGGTAGTAAATGGAATTAACTGTTTATGAGGTGATGATGTATATATGTAAATAGATAAATCAATTCTATGTGCATGATTATTAGTCCTTGGATGCTCAATTGATTAGATAAGCTTCAACTTGAGTTGCCACCAATCGGGGATGCTGGCGATTTCTGCATCAACAACAAATGCAAAGCATATTGTATTCCTCGAACAATTTTCTTTTAAACAAAGACTAAAAATGCCACCCACCAAATCCAAAAAGAAGGATATCCCAAGCCAACAACACAAACAAACCCAACTGACCAATCGCTCTCCCAATTGGCCTGCTCTGCGGCCATTGGTCCCCGCTTCAGATCTATACATTGAGCCCATCCTCGACGACCAAATCTACATAATCCGAAACTTTTTCACAGCCAACCTATGCAAATCCTTCGTCTCTTTTCTGTCTTCGTCGATCTCATTGACGACAACTCCGCTGAAGCCCAAAAGCAAAGATGAGGCGGTCCGCGTGAACGATCGGTATCAGGTCGACGATGCGGGGTTTGCGGAGCTGCTCTGGAGTGGCACCGCGTTGAAAGAGGTAGTTAATGAGTTGCGAGGTATTAATGAAGAAGAGGACTTGAACGAGGAGGAGATACAGGACAGGCATGCTCGTACCTGGGGCGGGACTCCGTTGGGCCTGAATTCGAACATCAGAATATACAGGTACACGCCTGGGCAGTTTTTTGCGCAGCATTGTGAGTTTTTACGTTTCTTCTTATTGCGAATAGATGGGTGATAGATGGTGCTGGGTTATGTATAATTTGCATTTTTTGATACAGTGAATGTTCTGTTACTTGACAGACGGCCTGAATGAGCTGAAGTTGATATGCTGAAGCTAAATACATGCTCTAGACGACGAATCCAACGCAGTGCAATTCTACAATACAGCGACATCTAAGTCCCTGGCCGCTCACACCACCTGGACACTGCTCATCTATCTGACTACGACAGACGGCGGCGAGACAGTCTTCTATCCCGAAGACGGATCGGCACCCATACCCGTCGACCCTGAAGTGGGCATGGCTCTGCTGCACCGACACGGTGAGCACTGCCTGCTTCATGAGGGGAGAGAAGTACGCAGCGGTGAGAAATGGGTTCTTCGCAGTGATCTGGTCGTAAGATGACCAACTCGAACACTCTTGGATGGGAAGTCCATCATATCTTGACCTGCAATGTTGTCAATACATGTACAAGATGAATTGTGGCGGAATTGGGATTGTAACTATGTCACCAAAGTCATGTATCCTAATCCACCAGAAAGTCCATAGCCAATCACCCGTCCTCCAGTCTCATACTGCGCCCCACTACCAGTTCTAGTATCCCTAGCATGGACCTTTGTCTGACAACTTGAAAACTCCATGATTGAAATTTTTCCCATTCATTGCTGCTGCGGTTCATGATTGGCTCGAAAAACTCAGGCTCGCAGCGCTAGTCCTGAATAGGCCAGGTCGGGCGGGGTACAGACACCGCCTGGGCAGCCGCGGTGCCGCAGGACTGGCCAATCAGCGCACGAAAACCAGGCCGGTGTGCACTAACCGTATCTGTGCAAGCGGATTTTCTGGTCTTGGCTTCTCCGGCTCGATTTGGCGCTCGGCTTTGCTTTTGGATCTGATCTGAGATGGCCTCACCTCACCGCCTTGCTCTGGCTCATTTTCCTGTTCAAGCCCAGGCTCGAATCCCCAGCTGCAGCAGCGTGTCATGTCGTCTTTGCAGACCATGACTGCGCCAGCGGTGGGCCACCGCCCCCCCGATCCTGGCATTGACATGGACAACAAGAAGAGCCCCGTGGAGGATGTGCAGAACCATCCCTACAACCATGTCGCAATCCATCAGGACAAGGAAGTCGACTATTCTGATATGCCCGATATGCAGAGACCCCCGCCGGTCGAGGTGAAGAAAGAAGGAGCCGTCAGGCATGACGCCGGTTGGCCTGCGAAAGCCAATGGAGAAGAAGACGAAGTTGCCGTGCCGGACAACGACAACCCTGCCACGGAGACAGAACCACCAACGAGGACACAAAAGAATGAAGACGGAAACCCTCACGCGGAAGAAGAAAAGCAATCCGCGGCCACCTCTCTACTCGCTCAACTACTGGGGAATGCGCAACCCGCGGCACCTTCCACTCCCGACAATCTTCCTCAAACGCCCATGCCGGAACCTTTGACGGACGTATCGACCCCCGTCGCGCCACATGAGGACTCTTCTAGGGCTGAAGCAGACTTTACCAAAACTCATGGTGTGATTGAAGTGCATAAAGCAAGTGACCTTGTTTCCGGCCAGAAGAAAGAGACGATAGATACTGTGCAAGACAAGAACAATTCAGTACTAGAACCTGCAGCCGCAGTTCTAGAAGAGACTTCGCAAATCCCTGACATGGTGTCTGGAGTAATGGAAGATCCGCTCTCGAAGTCTGTCCTCGAACAGAATGGCCTTTTTCCACCTTTCGACCACGAAGCTAGCATGAAGAATGGCCTGGGCTCTCTTCAACAGCAAGATACGTTCGCCAATACCTTCTTGGCTCAGGAGATCGGCATGTCGGGTCTTCCTGATATGTCTGGTTACACGAGCTCCTACAATGACGTTGCTGCATCCATATCTGGCTCCGAACCGCGCATCCAGGCTTTTGCAAAACTCGAGTTCGATGATGGCCATTTCTATGTCAATACCTATTCATTCATTCTTGGTCGAGATGTGCGCGCCGCACGTGCTGCTCACCAACGGGATATACAAGTACGACAGGCAATGGGAAGACCGTCTAAGAACAAAAGCTCTAGTGGTGGCAATACATCGCACACACCTAATCGAGTCAAGAGAGACGGCAGCGCGTACATGGGAAGCGTGGTCAGCGACCGAGGGGGCATTATGGGCTTCGATCCCGATGTCCCTCATCACATGAATCAAAGGAGTCGCAAGTCCTCTGTCTCATCCCAACCGGAATCTGCTCTGCATGCAACCCCGGCACAGTTGCAGACTAATCACACCGACTACAATGCCCTCGCTATGCAATCACTATATGATGCTAGCGGCGAGGCAAAGCCTGTGGATACATTGGCCTTGCTACCTTCTCCCGATGCGTGTCCGACTATTCCTATTCACCCTCCAGCAACAGCAGATGGCAGCGCGGCTGGTCACAAAGGAATTTCCCGGAAACACGTGAAGATATCGTACAACTTCGACAAGAACCTGTTTGAAATGGAGGTTATGGGTCGAAATGGTGCATTCATTGGTGCTGATTGGCTTGCTCCTGGGCAACTCAGACCTCTCCACAGTGGTGATTACATCCAAATAGGAGGCGTTCGGATTAGATTTCTCCTCCCAGACGTTCCTATTGGAGAAACGGGTGCCGACCGACTCGAGGATACTTTTATGGAAGAAGATGGTACCATTTTGTCAGGCGAGATTGGCCAGGATTTGACTGGCGACGTAGATGCCATGGATGAATCCGATGAGGAGAGCCCGGACGGTACACAGAAGTCCAGGGTTACGAAACTGGTCTTAAAAACGAAATCGCCTGGTGATCCTTCCAATGAAACACCAACAACACCAGTGGACGGTCCCGAGACGCCGCAGCCAAAGCGTCGAGGACCAGGACGTCCTCCAAAGGACGGTATTATGTCTAAACGTGAACGCGCTGAACTTGCGAGAGAACAGAAAATGGCAGCCAAACGGGAAGCAAATGGTGGTGTTACCCCACCACCATCGAATCGTATCAAACCTCCTAAACCACGTAAGGAAGACTCAGTCGAGGAAGTTTCAAAGCAGCCAGAGAAAAAGAAATTCGCGAAGCGGAAACAACCTGATGGAACTTATATCGATGTTCCTATTGAGTCTATCGAAGATGGCGAGCAACTTCCACCCGATCAGGTGGTGGAATACCCAAAACCACCCCCCAAGAAGCGCAAACCCTCTCGATCGCCATCTCCTGACTATCCTCCAGAATCTTCTTACACTCAGGACCAACTGGCGAAGCCGCCATACAATTATGCTGTTCTCATTTTCGATGCTCTGACCGAAGCGCATGCACCGATGACACTGAAGCAAATATACCGTGCTCTGAAGTTGAAATATCCATATTTCAGGTTCAAGTGCGAAACGGAGGGCTGGACTTCCAGTGTCCGTCACAACCTTAACGGAAATAGGCAGCTATTTGAACACGCAGAGCGAGATGGAAAAGGTTGGTCGTGGCAGCTTCGAGCTGGAGCATCTGTCGAAAAGGAGAAGAAAAGAAGACCCTCACCGCCGCCTCCATCAACACATCTCCCTCAACCTTCTCACCAACACAACATACCTTCGCAAAACCATCATTATTCAAGCCAGGGAGTTCCCCATCATCAACAATTTCAATTCTCATCGGTGCCTACGAATAATTACAACCCACCCCCGCCTATTTCCCAGCCGAATACCTACCGGCCTCCTCCTGCTCCTCCTCCTCCACCCCCATCTCAATCATCTTTACCACCTCCGTTACGCAGCCTCAATATTCCTGGAGCTTTGGCTCCAACTGGATCTTCAACCTATGTTTCACCCTATTCCTGTCCACTGCCTCCTGAAATAGCCCAGCTTCAGCAGTCACAACAGCTACCGCCGCAACCGACAATGCAACAACAAAGGCAGCCTGAGTCGATACCTCCGTCTCGTCAAGACCAGCAGACAGGACCTCAGCAACATAACCAACATATCCATCAACAATCTCAGCAAAACCAACACTATCCGTCTTATTCTCCTCCGAACCCTTCACCATATCCGATTGTGAACAATCAAATGAACCATGCTCGTCAACATAGCCAAGCGCCACCTCCATCTCAAGAACCACCACAAGCCTCACATCATCATCAACAACCATACCAAAATACAATGCAACCTAGCCCTACAGTCTCTAACCAGCAGCCAATCATGAACCAGACCGAGGAGCCTGAATCTTCAGCATCCTTTCTGGAGCGGGCGAACAAAGCAATTGATGATTTCGAAGCTTTACTGATGGAGGATTATGACGATAAAGATTACATCCGAGAAGTGTTGAAGAGCGCCCGAGCTCGTGCATTAGGGCACGCAAAAGAGAGCTCGTTTGCGGATGGAGAACCCAAAGACGAAGCTGTTCTGCTGAATGCTATACGGGATCTCATCGAAAGCTTGAAGAGTAATACTTCTTGATTTGCTAGTTTGAGCCATGATTCTGGTATTAAGCCGAAGGCTATTTGTTATGGAGCGACGATGGTTTACGTTTTGGAACGATTTACGACTGGATCAGGGAACACGAAGGCATCATATACAGGCGTTTTTTATTACCTCATTCAAATTTGTCTTAGCTCCCAAGCATACGATCTTGAGAATGATCTCAGGTCGTTAGATTTCTTGGGGTCTAAATGTTTTGTATCACCCGTCTATTGTTTATAGGCACGAATACTGCCTATACCTCTATCTACCCGTTAGCCATGTTTGATGATATCCAATGAGCCAACGAGCCATTTGACTTATTGCCGTTGTTGTTTTTGGTTTTCCCCTCGTTCTTGCCCTCTCCTCCCTTTTACTATTCTAAGTCACGACACAGCCTTGTGTTTGTTTGCTTGTTTCTTGGTTTTTCCGCTCTGTGAAGATACCCCCGGGGTATTCAAACCTCTTCGATGGAGCCGGTCGACATGGTCAATGGCTCCCCCCCTTCATTTCGAAATGGTCATTGGTTGTTAATCATGTTTTTGATCTGGATGGACACTGGTATGGATAGATGTACAGAAGAAAAAGTTTTGGGAGACTAGAAAATAATTAAAAAGGGAAATTATCTTGCAAATTTTGTACGCGGTTCAAATATTATGTAGATTGACTAGATATCGATTATTTAGCCTTGTATCCCCAAATACACGCACGCCGTGATCCACACTTTGAATTATTTCTTTCAGGACCTATACCTCAGTTGGATTAACAATTGTATTAATACGGCATCATACCGTAAGAAATGCAGGGCAAGTAGAATAGGGTTGATTTTATTGGTCGAGAGGGACCGCGCGAGATTATTTCCCGATCCGGGTTAGAGGATGTTGCCAGGCATCAAGTTTCCATTCAGTCGTTTCTCAGCTTTCGCACGCTCAACCATCTCGAGATGTCTTTGAGATCTTCGGTAGCATGAACTCAAATAAAATAAAATAATAAAAATTGAAAAGGAGAAATGGGGCTGCAACGTTCCCTCGGACCCCTGGACAAAAGGAAGAAGGTAAAGCGCTGCCAGGCCTGCGCAAGAAGGCGAATCAAGGTCAGTCAGGAAACGCCCACGTCCACGACAGAAGCTGATCGATCTCTGAAGTGCACTGGTGGTATGCCTTGTGAATATTGCACTCGTACCCACAAGGAGTGCCGACCCCAGAGCCAGTTGCCGCTAGCTGCGGTCTTCGTCAGTCAGACCAGCGAGTCGATCGCCCCGATGGACTATGGCACGCTGCAGGTGAGACCAATGGATATGGACATAGAGAGCCGCTGTCTCGATTGTTTCATCATGTTTGCTGGGCAGAATCAATTCACAAGCCAATTTCAGTCCGTCGGTATTGACCTGTTGCCGGTCACGCAACGATCGCCCTCCCTTCGATATGCTGCAATCGCAATCGGTGCACTGGACGCCAGTCGCCGTGGGTCGGCCAGATCACACCAGGAAGAAAAATCACTTCTTACCATTGCTTTTAATGCCTACTCCAAGTCGATCAATGCGCTTCAGCGCGTTCTCACTACCGGAGATGTCGCCCTGCAGGACGATGTGCTTTGGAGTACCTTTCTCTTGGGACTTTTCGAGGTATTGTTACTCGCTCTTATGCTGTTGCCTGATGATGCTGACCCGCTCGGTCCAGTTGATCTCCAACTCGTCGGGTGACGGCTGGGCAAAGCACATGTTGTATGGCGCTGGCCGGCTCCTGCAGTTGGCAGGACCGAATCGACCGGTATCCTCTCTGCGATGGAGATTCTGGGAGCTGTTTAGAGGACTTGAGGCCTTAAGGGCGATTCTATACGGAGAACACACCATGCTCTCCCAGAACATCTGGGTGACCTTCCAGCAAGATCTCTCTGCAAGCAAGTCAGGATCATGGGACCCGATGGAGAGCATCTTAGCCTTGATGATCCACACCTCTGAATTCAGCAAACGGTACACCCTACTTTTCTCAGTTCAGCTTCTGAAGATAGCCTGCTGATTACAATCGCCTAGGTTTTTTGACCTCCTTGGAGGAGTCTCCGAGTCATACCGAGCAACCGATGGCTCGATTGACGACCTAGGAATTCAGGGGCTAGAGATCCAGACCGCGATTTACGAATGGCACACCGAAGCTCTGGGCAGGCTAGCAGACTTGGATGGAGACTCGCAGTTCCAGCTGGCCCTCGCCTACTATCATGGTCTCCTTCTATTCTTGTCCAGTAACTACCGCTACTACCCACATTGGGACGCTAAACCGGCGCCGGTTTTGTCCCAAGCTGAGGCTGATGGTCACGTTAACGCGATTCTGCATTTGGCCGAACAGATTTTAGATACATCGAACATTCCTGGCGTCATGCTATTTTTTCCGCTACGGGTTGCAGGATCACAGGCACTGTACGCGCCTCAGCGTTCAAATATCTTGGGGCTTTTGGGTCAAGTTCACCGGAAGGGCTTCATGGTTTCCGACCAAATCTATGCTGACCTCGTGGGTCTTTGGGAGTATCAAAAGTCGATATACCACTCGTAACCCGTGCGACACTTTCTCACAGACCGCTCCACCCTGCTACAATTGTGCTCCCTACTTATAGCACTTGTCCCAAAGTGGAAATGATTAAGCGCGGTGGAGCCTCAGAGATGACAATATACAGTAAATTTTTGTTATGACGGAAGCCTTGTAGAGAACAAGCAACAGTACCCACAGTGGTCTTGAAGATGCTATAAATTGATAGAGGTCTCCTGTCTCAACTTTTTCTCTCTCATCTCGACTTGACAACAGTCAAAATCTCACTTTTTACCTCATTGACCTTTTCCTCGTGTTCACAATGCATTTCGTCCTCTTCCTCCTGGTGACTTCTGCCGTCGCTGCTAGAACAACCACTGTCGAACCCACTACCGCACCGGCTGCCTGTACGGCATTCCCCTCGTCAGTTAGGGAATTCTCGTCCCAGTTCCAGCAGCCGGAGCCTCCCTTAGTAAAGAATCAATTCAAGACCAGCTTCATTCAGCACAAATGGTATATCTCCAGATATTCCCCGATCCCGTTATCTCACCAGGAGCGACTCTGGTTGCTCTACGAGTAGGCTAATGACTGTCCGTCTATAGGAACCAGAATCTCTCCCACATTATTGCGGGCTACCTGTACAATTCTCCCTCGCAGAAACTCGTCCGTGGGGATGAGGCATTTGATGGTGGTCTCGCAACATCGATCTTCAATTACACCAATGTGACCGATACGGGCATGGTCGACAACACCATGACAACGTTCAGCAACGCTTCCGCCGCGCCGGAGGTGTGGAGAGGATATGTCGACTCCAATTATCCATTGTTTGGGGAAGACTTCTTGATTCAGAACGAGGCAGTCTTCGGTGGCCTTGTTCGCAGAGATTTCATTGATGGATATGTCGCTTCCGTAAGGATTCCCCATTCCCTAGTAGACAGAAAGTAGTTCGACCTGCTGACTTGTTCAATACAGTGGGACTTGATGTATCAAGGCACCGTTCCCGTCACGGTGTATGTAGATTCGTGCAATGTCATTGTCGGATACGATTATTTCGCTCCAGGACTGCGAACCAGGGTGATTACGATGTTCTTCGACATCTACATTGGGCCTGTCACGATCTAGGACGCTCCCATTCGTGATCAGTCAGCGTGACTCAAGAAATGCCAAAAACACACTCCGGCAATACACCTTTCATTGCTGAAGGGGCTTTCCGGGCTGTATCCGCTGATTTTTGCCCATGTCATTTTGATATTTCAAATTAGTCATTCGTTCAATTGTGCTCATTAGTTTGTAGTTGATATTCGAAAATAGTTCTATCTTGCAGTCCTTGCTCCAGAATTGATTCAGTCCGTCTTTCAATGCCTTAGCGTCTGGCTAGATGTAGATAATAGTTATAATAGCGTTTCGAAACCAACTTATGCACAGTTGAACAGTATATGGGATAACTTGGGGATAGTTAGGCTAGGGATAACACAACCTATTTGTCATGCAACTGAACATAAAAAGATGCTGATGTGAAGGAAAAGCGGGTGGAAATTCTTCCTGGCGTCCGAATCGACGAGATATATTTATATCAATTCAGGACGAACATTATTTTCGAAATTATTAGCCTTTTCGCAGGTTTTGAAAATTAATTTTGAATTATGACTTTATGTGAGTTTTGAACGGGGATTAGGTTCTGTGATTCCCTCTTGATTCTCATTTCTCCCTTAAAACATCAACCGATTCGAAAAATAAATTATTAAATAGGAATAGACTATGGAAATTAGCATGAACACTATCTTTCTTAATGTATTTTTAATTTTTAATAAATATATTATTGATGTTGTTGAAAATATAATAGCGGTGTGTGCCTAGACTAAGGGGTTGCCCCAAAAGAAGAAGAAAGACCATGTATTTAAGCATTTAGAACTCCCTTATAGGACGCCAGTTGATGTAATGTAGGAGAGAGGTGAATTAGACACGATGTTCGGAGCTGATAGAAAATTGATATAGGTGCCATACGTCAGGCTGTTCTCAAAACTGGAAAGAAACAAAAAACGAACAGAACAGATTTCGTGACAAGAAAGTATATAATATAGGGACAACGGGATCGAAAACTAGCTCATGGCCATTTCGGCTCGTAATTTCTCCAATTCGGCTTCCTCGTCTTCTTCCTCTGTCTGTTTGGATTTGCCTTTGACTGAGAGTATTGGGTTAGTGATGTTACTATTGTGTAGGAAGGAGTGGGGATGTGAAAGGATCCCAAACTTACGCTCGCCATTTGCTGCCGCTGGTAGCCGCTCGAGCTGGTCGGCGACAGGGACGGTGCCTGTCTTGAGCATCTTTGCATCCATGGCTTCCTGTTCGAGGGCTTCCAGTTCGTCTTCCAACTCGTCCTCGTCTGGTTGTTCGCCGATATGATTTTGTGTAATGACATTTCCGATTTCTTCTGCCAGTTGTTGTTGTTCCCGTAATTTGTCCCTTGATGACCTGTCAGTATTGGAGTTAAGGGAAGAGTGTAAGATTTGACAAGTACGCACATCATGCTGTCGACCTTCTCCATTGTTAGGCCATCGTGCATACGTTTCATAGCGGACCCAGCTTGGTCCATCGCATGGAGGGTCTCCTGGTTGATGTTTGCTGCCTCAATGGAATAGACCTGTTGTTCGAGCTGCATAATCTGGGTCTGGGTCTGTTCGAGATTCTTCTCATGGAGTTTCTTTCGTCTGAGAGCAGCCTTGGCGGCTGTAGCACATTATCAGCATTTTCCACAGACACAACACTCGTATCTCAGCCAGATCAGTACACACCATTCTTATTTGATGATACATTCTTCCTCGCTATGGCATCTTGGTCCACTATTTGTGATTCTAAATGCGCTTGTCTCTTTTGCAGCATCTCGAGCTGCCCTCTCAAGCCCAAGATAGCTTCCTTGGGAGCATCTTTGCGCTTCTGTGCGGACTGCCCGCCGAACCACGACGACCACATTATTTAACAGATATCCGCAAAAGAGCGTCGCAGGGACTGCTGGCGACCCAGAGCTTCAAGGTCGGTATGGGGTATCTGATAACGGTGAGCGTGGGCCGGTCGTGCGACGTCGAAGGCGATGAGGGGAATTGTTGATATCGGCACCAAACAAGGCGATAGCTGGCTGCGAGGAACAGATCAATAGACGGTAGGCAGCCTCGTAACCTGTTGAGCGATGAATAAAAGATCTTCGGAGATCCGCGGTTTGGGAGGCGTTGATGTAGAGCGTGGATCGCAAGGAAAATGGCGGCCTGGTTAAAAAGAAGCCCGCAGAAGTCCCCTCCTGCCCCGTGCGTATGACATCTTCCGCTGCCAGCCTGGGCGTTGCCTATCGGAGCGTGGCGGTCACGTGCCGCCTTTGACAACATCCAATCTGATAACGAGCCAATGGCTTACCATCTACACAAGCCTACAAATCTTCAAGTGACGATGCCGATGCTTCTAGAGAGTGTGATAAATGGCTCCACATGAAAAATGAACAGACCGCCACCCACCACTCCTGTCTTTATCACGCAGCTGCGATCTTTGCCCCTGCATTCGAAAGTGCGATTTCTTGGTTGGTATGTTTACACTCACGCGATTTTACTTTTTGGGGTAGTAAGTTGATGTGTGTCGATAGCGTGAACCATTATGACGTGAAAACGGGCAGGTTGGGTCTTGAACACAAGTATCCTCCCTTACAATCAACGAAAAGGGATTCTGCCAACATTGAGCGGGACTTAGTCAATACAAAGGTGTGCGTTGACATTTACCATGTCCTCAACACCATCAAAGCAGACGATCTCCAAGTTGGCGCTTGGTTGAATGTGATCGGATACGTGAGATCCGAGCCACAGACAGACTCCAACGAGGATGATCGTAAAGGTAGAGACCTCGTTGATCAAATCTACGTCGAGGCTATCATGATCCACAACGCCGGCGCTATTGATGTTGGTGAATATGAGCAGGTTCTTGCCAATATGCAAGAAATTAAACAGAGGTTTGATCCACCGCAATGAATCACAGAGATAGCAACAACTGGGGACTCATCACTTCAGCCGATTGATGATGCACCAATTGGTTTATTCATATGCGAGCTGTGGAAACCAAGAGGTAATGATATTAGTCGGTTATTTGACGAGCTATAGCATTCTTATATCGCAGTATTAGAGAATGGCCCAGAAGCAAACTAATTTATGTACAGACAGGACTACATCAACTTTCACTTTCACATTCTTCCTTTTTCAGGGTCATCGCTTGCTATACCGGGTTTAGAAAAGGTTTCTGGTGGAGAAGAAGGTTGTTGTTCTTCTTTCACCGGCTTGACCTTTCTTTTTCCATTCAACCTTCTCTGATCTTCCTGCATCATACGAATGAACGTGCTTTTTTGACGGATTTTGTGTCCGTACTTCCAGAAAATAAACGGGATTGGGATACAGGCGACTTCAAGCAACCCAAGAAGTGTACCAGACCAGTTGGGGCCTAGACTGCTGTACATATATGTACCGACCAATGGCATCACGCCACCCAGGACGCTCCTAATGACAGAATTTCCAGCGAGGGCAGATGCAGCGTAGATGCCATAACTGTGTGTGAGATAGTTGGACGCATAAATGAAAACGGCGGTGTTTCCCGCGCCGAAGAAAATACCCGCTGCTATTGGAGCAGGCCAGGGAATTGATGCTGGAGCACACGTCCAGGCGAACCACAGCTCGCCAGCGGGGATTAGGATAGAACCAATGCAGACTGCCGACACCATGGCTTCAGGATATACTTCACCTGTCTCTGGGTCTTTCTTGTGGCTTTGAATAATTCGCCGAATTAGAGGCTCCGAGGTGATTGTCACAATTGTGCCTAACCCGATACCTAGGAATGCCAAACCTGACACTCCAAGACCCCAGCCTCTAATATCACGGAATACAATTGGGTACGATGTGAAGCACAGATAGAGAATTCCATAAACAACCCCGACATACAGATTCCAGAATATACTATGGGGGAATTAGCTTGATGCGAATGTGCAAGAGTATCAGAGGCATTGATACATACCAGATGGGTTCCAGAACAGCCATGACAAATGGCCGTGCGAGATTGGTCTTCATGGTCTCTTTTAGCGCAACCTTATGGTCATACCGACTCCACCATCGAGAATCACCCGTCTCTTTACGGAGCTTAGCAGCCTTATTTCTTAAGAGAACAGGCGCATATGTCTCTTTCATGACGCAGGAAAAGGCGAGAGCAACGACGCCGAGCATGAGACTAATCCAGCACGACCACCTCCAACCAAGATACTGAGAGACGAAACCACCAATGATAGGCCCAAGCACTACGCCATGCGGGCTTAGTCTGAGAGGACAAGAGAAGTACAAATGAGCCACATACCTGGACCGTTGATGGGACCCAAACTCCAAACTGAAAAGGCCAAAGCACGATTTTTGTGAGGCACAAGATCAGCCACCATGCCGGGTGCACTGCTAATCATCACACTACCGGCGAAAGCCCCAATAAAGCGAAAAATGATCAGGACTACTACCGACTTGGCCACGGCACATGGAATGATCATAATATTGAAAACGATCAAGCTGGCGATTGAAACAGGCCTCCGCCCGTATATCTCACTGAGTGGGGCCATCACGACAGAGCCTGCTGCCAGTCCGATCAGATAAAATGTTAAGCCCAGTGTGACAATTGTTTCGGAAACGTTGAATTCTCTGGCAATTTGGTCGCTGCCCGAAGTATAACTTGTGGAGAATAAGACACTTCAAATCTGATAGTCAGTTTATATATTCTCATCAAGAAACGCAACGGAACACACATTACTAGCGTATTCCACGATAAAAAAGTGATACACATCGCCGTGTAAGACAATGGCCAATTCCATGGATTCTCAGGATCATTTTCATCCTTCCAGTCGACCTCGAACCCAGGATCATTTGTGCCCGTTGTGCCAATAGATGTCGTCTTGCGTGCTAGCGAATTATGTGATAGTCGAGATATTTGGGGAGTTAACAGTCCATCGCCCGATCCAATGACTTCGGGGTAGTGTTGGCGACGACTCTGAATGGGCTCGATTTGGATTTCGCTGTCACTTTCGGATGAGGAGACGGATGGACTCCGATAGTCAGCCACGCGGGCTTCGGTGGCCTTTTCTGTGTTGGGCATGTTGCTCATACCAAAGAGGTATTTTTTCTGCTCCCTTGGGGGTTATGGTTTTCGAATTTCGATACACTAGATCGTATCAACGGAGATAACAGCCATAGAGTTGCGGCGTCACGACGTTCGAGATTCCAACTTCAATTCTGTAGCTCGAGAGGCACCGATTTAGAGAATAATAGCGCAGTAGTTTGACTTTGTCCAGCAATAGTTTAGAGGGGAAAGAGTATGAAGGAGATTCTGCAGAAGAGATACACTCTTACGGTGCCTCTCCGCTGCGCTCGTATTAAAAAAGACAAAAAACTACAAGATCAGATTATTCTCGTAGAAAAAAAGATACTGGTGCCCAGGCAAAGCACTAGCTCTTCGTTCATTAGAGTCGACCCCACTGAAAGGAAATAATTCCGCCGAAGCCAGGGAACGGGGCAAAAAAAAGGGCCAGGAATAGAGTGTGATAAGAGAGATTAAGCCCAAAACCAAAGGGAGAGAAAAGAGACTAGGAGTGGGACTGGCATCAATCACATTAGCATTGAATCATTGACCCCATTGCTTGCGATGGCTTGCTGCTGCACTCAATGCGATTCGCTGGATTCGAAGATCTTGGTGCCCAGTACGGCAGTACCTACTAAGTTGGACGCTGGTGAAAGCTCGGCTCAAGCTTATTACTTGTACTTGTCGTTTTATACGCCCGCATGCATGATCGATCGGCTTTCGATGCGGCGCGGGTGGGCCTTTTTCGTGCCAACTCCATCGCGGAATTATTATTAACATTTCCACATGGGATTTTATGCGCTGTGTTGTCGGTGTGATTGAATGCGAATATGACTCTATAACTTGTTGATACGATATCTCCGAACCCATCATGCATTCAGATGTGAAAACGAACGTGCATGGTGCTTTCTTAGCATGTCCGTTTTTCATCAAATTCACGTTCGAGTCGAGGAACAGAAGCCCCGAAGCATACCAATGCATTGTTTGAATGGCGGTCAACAGGATTATTAATGGTCGCTATACTAAAACTTGCTTGGATTCTATGTAATTATAGGTATTCATATTGCCTGATCCTTCAAATGTTGTGGATAGCGTGCACGCCTTACGGCATTATACATGCGGGGTCTTTAACTGTTGATAACAATAAAAAGACCGAATAGGCATTCTCTCCGACCTCAGCATCATGCCTCGGCAGTGCACCAGCAAAATTAATGTTTATCGTTATTCTTTTGAAAATTGAAAACGGTCTATTTCTCGTGTTCTCCTCTTGGCATCGATGTCGAAGCCCGTGCCGGTTTGCCGGTCACGGGGCTCGCCCATGCCCTAATCATGCAGTAGCCTCGGACAATTGACCGACTTCTTGGTATACCATACGGTACATTTTGCACTGTTGTATATATTTGATACTGCTAATCAGACTCAACATATAAAGTAGAGCTCATGTGTTAACTAACTTTGGCCATAATTACACTTTCTTCATACCAACTACATTATAAAATGTAAACCCTCTTACCTGTATTGCGAGGTGATAGCAATAAAACATTCTATATTGTACGCGATTAGCTCACTATAAATCAACATTAAAATCGCACTTCTCTAGTAGAATTTCAATATGTAAATGTATCGATCACATCCCAGGTTGATAATCTTTTCACAGGAAATTACATTTCATAGAAATAGGGTTTCTTTCTGAACAAGACATCTGACAGACGAACAAATCTCGTCTGCACACGAAATGTAAAAGGTTCCAGGGAACCAGGTTGGGGTCTGGATTGAGGATGATGCAAACCACGATATTATCAAGGGCGCTGTTATTATGGGGTTCAGGAAGCATGCGGTCCCGCAGTGCGAAGACAGCAGCCACGTTGCTGGCTGAACATAGACAAACTTACTGGCATGTCTCACGAGGAGGAATTGTGGTCTTCACTATCTTTACCATATTTTTCCGTTGCCAGAACCAAAAGAGTAAAGTCTTATAGAGTACATTAGTAATTTGTTCTAAGTATCTTTTAATGCCATTACGGGATCCTTTGGGAACTTGTCGGGACGTTTTGTCTGTAATGGCAGAATATCCAAAAAAAGAATTTATCAAGGAAGTGACGGAGATATAAAACTATAAAATTGAAAATGATGATTTGAATTGGGTCAGTGAGGGTGTGTAACTTGGCGGCATCTAGTTTTCTTCATCTGTTATCCATCCGTTCAAACCGCTATCAAAAACATAAGATAGTTGAACTGATTCTTGGGTCATATGAAAAATCAACAAATGGATATCCGGAGGCAGATACTCGCAGTGCGTCATAACTTAGCCTACTCTTTGTTCTTAGTCCTATAAAATTTCATATCTTAATTCTCAACTAGGACGAGGTCATCACAAAATAGTTAGTCTACACAATATTTTATATAGCGTATCATCTCACCTTTAACTTGGACAAGATAATCATCCAACTTCAATTTTAGCTGATTTTATTCGTTTCATCTGACATAGTCAAGGGAAAATGCGTGGCAAGTTGTACATCATGTTTCCGTGGGTATATACATCCGGTCCAGGCATCAGATCCATACTTTATCTTCCACGGGACGCACTTAGGCAACAACTTGGTGTGGTCAACTACATATAAGAACTTCCACCGTCATATTTGGCAACTTGTAGACTCTCTATACCAGTTGACATTAAATAATGTGGAAACACTCACTATGAATCTACGGTATTACTCTCAGATACACCCCATTTTCCGGAAATATGCTGGACTTGATATTATGAAGCGAGTTCCAGCGGAAGTGGTGAACTCAATTCTCAAAATCCTAACGCTACCAGATCAGATATGCTTTGCACTAAGTTGCAAATATTTGTACGATTATTTTCTTGCATTTCTCCGTGGGCAAAATAAATGGCCTTTTCAACTTTGTCCGCTTGGAACACGTCCAGCACTATCCCGCAACATCGACGTCGAAACGCGACCAAGAACACATCTACTCCTCCGGCTTGAGAATTGCCGTTGGAGATATTGTATTGGATGCTGGAAGCTCCACCGACAGTCTGCCTGGCAATTCCCGTTAAACAAAAAACAATTCTTATTCCAGAAGCCATACTGCATGCCGTACGCTGGCAGGGTTGAACTTTGTCCCTGTTTGACTATGTCATTTCCTGATATGGACCACCTAATAGGAACAATTAAAATAGCTAAACAGGGCTATGCGCGAACTCATTATTATGACGGTCTTTTAGAAAATGTCGACAGAGTCTGTGGTACTCTTAGACACGATTGCAATTTCGAAGATCATCCTTCTGCAAATGTTCATGTCATTACTATGCTCGACTGGGACTATGAAAGAGGGAGGCTAATGGTGGTGAGTCAGTATGAGTTTGAACTTGAGCTTCAAGCCTTTTCGCAAAGGAGTTTATGTTTTACAGGGATCAAGACTCCTTTACTTTGCTCACGCAAGAACATTAAAACATGGCTCCGACGATTCTTCGGCGAAGGCGGCTCAAATTTCTCTGGCTGGCGTAAAAGCTGCTTGGTTGATGCATCATTGTCTCACTGTGTCATAACAGGATTAGAAGCAGATCAGAATGAGAATGCACGCATTCTTACAATAACTGTCAAACGACAACTAGGGAGCGGGAAATGGCCTGATTTAATTTGGATGCTCAATTCGCGTAGATGAGTGTCTATCAGTATGATTGTTCTCATGTCATATATACCAATTTCTCCAAGCACAGTGGTATACTCCTCATGATGCTCCCCAGCACTAAATTAAAATATGAAAAAACCACCAATTATCAATCTTAAATACCTCCTCAAAATATGTCGTGATTAACAGAGCCTTTGTCTTGTCGTCCTTTCATCTTTCTGTGTAAATTATGACGGTTCGCTCGGAACGGTGGCTTCCTTCATGACATTGAGCAGGAGCTCCTCGCCGTTCTACCCTTTCTCATCACATTCACTCCTAAAACGCTCCTTCCTAAGATGCTCTTTCTAAAAGCATTGTTTATGTTTCTTCCTCTCCCCCCTTTCTCGCACGTTTCTCCCTCCTTTCCCCTCCCACGATCTGCCTCCCATTGCTTCTCAACTTTCAGAAAACTGCGCTTTCATACACTTTTTCTTCTTTAAAATGGCTTGGGGTCGTCTCTCGCACGTTGTTACTGTGTTCTCAGTCATCACTTTCACCGTCACCCTTATCACTCTCGTTTTCACGTACCTGAATTGGCGCCGAAGGAAACAGGCCGACAGACTGAGGGAAGACATCGTTGATTTTCGGGAATTTGTCTTGAAACTCGAGCCGTACGTCAGACCGATGCCCGACTATTTTATCATGGACGAGTCAGAGCGACTGCTCAACAACACTCTGCCGCTTCTCACCCTGTTACCGGAATCGTCAAGTTCATCTTCCCATTCTGATATCGTGGACTCCGACCGAAGTGAGGGAACTCTGAGCTGGTTGTGGAGACTGCTATCATGGGGCAATTTGTGAGTCTCTCGCCTGCGTTTTACGCTGACATGACATAGGGGGCAGGCGGGCGAGCCATCGGCGAGGAGCTCACCCTTCTACGCAGGGCCGGTGATTAGTAGCCTTCGGGTGAAGCTAAGATGAGCTCAGATGTATTTAGACTTAGAATTATCAAATATCATACCTTTGCTCACTTCTTGTTCCTCTTGTTTTCGTCGTTGTTCTCGATACCTCGTAGACTGTCGTTACGGTCCTCACTTGAAATCCAGTCAGTAATCTTAGAAAGGGATCACCATAGGACTACTTCTTTAAATTTTAATTGTACATCGTCCATAGTACGTACTATGGAGGGCCGAAGGACCATGACTGGCAGCTGTGTATTGCACGCTATGTTAGCTGTAATACAGACATACCTGTGCATTTTTGGACTTTGAAAGTCCTTTTTGGGCCGCATCTATTGAAACAGACAGCTATCTGGCGACAAGGAGTGAATCACGATAACCAAGCCAAGACAGGAAGTGACGACGAACACAAAATTCCGTCGTTCCGCTACGTTGACCGTTGGTACGCAATCCTGTTCAAATGTTGTAGGCCATAGCTGCTGAGCAGGATATACTAAAGAATAGCTGGTCGAAGACTGTTGCAGCGCCCAAGCCAGTCGGCTAACTGACAGCAATTTCTTCTGATACAATTGACATTCATTGGCGAGGCTCTGACTATTATAAAGAGGTTACCCTTCCCTGTAGAGATTAAGCTTTTAAGTGGTGATACGCCTACAAATCAAACAGTTGTCATTTTATGGTTATTGGAGGATCAGTGAGTGAACACGAGTAGATTAATTTTTCATCAGTAGCTTAATATGACCTGAAGAAGCTGTCAAGGAATCATTATGTAGAATCAGCTCGAGTCGAGTTTGATTGGTCTATACGAAATCCCCTGCCTACGTAACAGAGGCTGTCAACAGATGACGATCCGAGAGCAAGCAGTAAATGATTCTTAGAAGTCAATGAACTTTGAACAATCCAACAATATGTGTGGAAGTAGTCCGATAGCTGATAGTTGCAATATCGTAGGACACTCGGGGTGGCCGAGAAAGGTTTGACCTCCACGAATCGTCTTTGTGGGCAGGACAGGGTATCATTGTGTCTCGGGCGGGAGAAGACTGATGGCGAGATTTTGTTCATGTCGCAACTCGGATCATGCATGATACCCGCATAGTCTAGTTTGTTCACACCCGCCATCAAATATATTACCATCAAGTCGCTCGTGATTGTTTGACCACAACCACCATCCTGCGCTCGCTGGTTTCGTTATGTAGTGGACGTAAGAAACCCACACGAATGACGGCTTTACCGAGCAAACTGTTGAGCCTGTTGGCGACGCTGTTCTAGAATCTGTAACCTCAGAGTCTCCGCAGCAACTTCCACATCCAACGTGGCGCCAATCCCATTCTTCCAGGTTTCTTCCAAACTCGCAAGCTCGCCATGACTAGACTCTTGTGCAACCTTGCGTTCCTTGTGTATATTCTCCACAGCCCCCTTGGCCTCAGCCAACTCCTTCTCGACATTGCGCAGGATATCTTCTAGTTGCGAGTTCCCGATAAGCCACGCATTTTTGCCGTTCTCGTCAAGGAGGGAGAGGTTAGTGTGGCGCATGGAGAGATGAGAGCTGGAGGTGTAGGATTTTCGCAAAGTTTCACGCCATTTTTTGAGGGCCTGCGTGGCTTCGTCCTCGCTCTTTGCTGTTTCTGAGGGAGCTTCTGGAGCTTCGTAGCGAGATAAGTCGATGCCGCCGGTTAATGGGAGACCGGCCTCTTTCCGAGCTAATTCCTGCTGGATGAATGCAGTAAAGCGCGATTCGGGCAATGGAGGGATGGAAGGATGGAGTGCAGAGCTACTCTCGGGAGACAATTCGGTGGAAATCAGCTGCTCAGCTCGTGCGCGTGCTTGAGGCCCAGGCTCGCCATCAATGTCTAGAATAGTGATTCATATTAGTCGCGTTGTGAGATAGAGGTATTCAATTGTGCCTTACAGGGAAGTGATGCGTGCCATTCATTAATTAGAGGCATGTTGAAGGTGATATTATGGCCGGTAAGAATGATTGAGTTGAACGGTGTAAGTTTTGGAGCAGGTGATTCACCAAGAGCTCAGCTATCCTGGTAAAGTTTTACGGTGTCGCATATGTGAGAGCGGTGAGATTCTGCCGATAGCTGACTGTTGTGCCACGTGACTCCATATTATTCTTCTACAAATAATTACTTATTCAGCTTTCACTTTCCGTCTATGCAGACCCGTGTCGTGGATTACACATATTGAAGGTGGAGAGGTTTATCACGGGCACATGACAATAATAGTATTGAGTATTAAATAACTAGCAATGAATCATAATTCTAGGTTATCAGATGCGTACGTACTCGTACTGGAACTTGAGAATAGACTACGCAGTGCCGAGGGATGTTATGCACTGGCGCCATGTAACTTCGTAGGCACTAAACCATCTTCTCATTTTCTTCCGTCAAAGCTTGTCTTGTATTCACGGCCGATCGTCCGTAACTTCCTAGGTTCATCCTTCATGTAAATGCGAGCCACTAAGAATGCCATCAATAAGCAATGACTGGGATGGGACCCCTGAATCATTGGCTTGGCACAACAGCACTGCATGTGTCTCGACTCTCGAGTATAAACCAAAAAGATAAACATAACATGCCGAGATCGCCCTAAAAGGTCCACTGATCTGTCCACAAGACCAGAAGAATCCTTTCCCGCTCAGGGCGACGCAATTTAATCTTCCGCCACCCTATCGATAGTAATTACTGTAGATACTACCCTCCCCGCATCCTTTCGCCAGCCTCCTACGTAGGCGGGAGTGCATAACTAGCTCTTAAAACTGCGTTCGCTCATTGGGCTGTACTTGCGATCCTGTTGCGATCCAGTGATAAACGTAGAATCGGTCGATCATGCGCCCCCTGGAATCGTCTGAAAAAGGGACCTATACGTTCCGTCGCTTTCGTTTATGAGGCGAACGGTATATATATACGACTTGGGAATGCGCTGATATCTTTTACAAACTGCCTGACAATATTGTTTGCCATGGCGCGGCCCGGATTTATTGCTCTCATAGTGGGAGCTTTCCTAGGGGTGTTGATGCTTCTACAGCTAGTCGCGACTATTGAGAGTAACAAAGTTCCTTCGCGCTTTAGCTTCCAATCTCACCCCGAGACCAGAGCGGGTGATGATACCGAGTTTCTTTTGGGTGCTGGAAAAGCAGATATCACAGGGTAAGAATGGGCTTCTTAGAATTGTTCGTATCTAGAAAAATAGGACATCATCGCTAATCAATTCCACCTCAACTAGACCTGTTGTGGAGATTGCTTTGAATGGTTATGCCAATCTCAGTCAGATAGGAACTGGTCTCCGTCAGAGAATCTACTCACGAGCCTTCATTATCGCAAACCCAAACGACGCAAACGATACTTTTATATATCTAGTGCTGGATGCGCAATCGGGAGACTCTGCCGTCCGAAATGGCGTTGTGCAGGGCTTAGCAGCCCTCGGCGACGAATATGCTCGCTATGGCGATCACAATATCGCTCTCACGGGAACTCATGCCCATTCTGGTCCAGGCGCGTGGATGAATTACCTCCTGCCCCAAATCCCAACGTTAGGATTCGACAAGCAAAGCTACCAGGCACTTGTCGACGGTGCGTTGCTGTCGATTCAACGAGCTCACGAGAACCTCGCTCCCGGGCATTTGACTCTTGGTACCACTGAAATACCAGATGGTAATATCAATAGAAGCCCCTACGCCTACTTGCAAAATCCGGAGACTGAACGGGCTCAATATCAATATGATGTTGATAAAACTCTCACTATGCTGAAATTTGATCGCAGTTCTGATAGCAAGACCAGTGCCATCTTGACCTTCTTTTCCGTCCATGGTACTTCTCTATACGAGAATAACACGCTCACTGCAGGTGACAATAAAGGCGTCGCTGCCTGGCTGTTTGAACGCAGTGTCACGAATGACACCCGCTTCGCGGACGATTTCGTGGCTGGTTTCTCGCAATCTAGCGTTGGTGACTCCTCGCCAAACGTTCTCGGTCCATATTGTGAAGATACAGGTCTGCCTTGCCGCTTTGAAGATAGCACGTGCAATGGCCAAACAGAGCTTTGCCGCGGACGAGGGCCTTACTTTTTGGAAAATGATGCCGGGTCTAAGAGTTGTTTTGAAATAGGTCGACGTCAGTACTCTGCGGCGAAAGATCTCTATGAAGATCTAGACTCCCAAGGAACGCAAATTGTTGGTAGCTCTTCAGTTGCCTCTTTCCACGTCTTCCATGACTTTACCAACTACACTTTCCCGTCACCTTTCAATTCGTCTACATTGAAAACTTGTTATGCTGCCCTTGGGTTTTCCTTTGCTGCCGGTACAACGGATGGACCCGGAGATTTTGATTTCACTCAGAATGGCACTGGGCCGGCGGAGAGTAACCCTCTGTGGTACGTGGCTCGGGCATTTATTCACCAGCCGTCAGCCGAGCAGCAGGCTTGTCAAGCCCCGAAAGAGATCCTTCTTGATGCCGGAGCGGTGTCTCTTCCTTATGCCTGGGCGCCAAATATTGTTGACATCCAACTTCTTCGAGTAGGACAGGTGATCGTCATCGTCTCGCCTAGTGAGGTGACTACCATGTCTGGACGTCGGTGGAAGGCAGCTATTTCGAACGCATCGACTGAAATTCTGGGTATTAAGGATCCTTTGGTTGTTCTTGGAGCTCCTGCCAACACATATGCCCACTACCTAACTACCGAAGAAGAATATGGGGCGCAGCGGTATGAAGGTGCTTCCACACTGTATGGACCGAACGAGTTGGCTGGGTATGTGAATCTCACATTGACCTACCTTCCATATTTGGGCAGTGCGGTGGACGTGTCGAAGTTGCCTGCTATCCCTGCTGGACCTTCGCCTCCGATCAACACGAACGACTCCCTGAGCTTTATCACCGGGGTGGTCTATGACGGTGCCCAAATTGGCAAATCCTTTGGCGATGTCTTGTCCACCTCTCCCAACGTGACGTATGGCCCTGGTGACACCATCAACGCGACCTTTGTGGGTGCCAACCCACGCAATAACCTGCGCCAGGAGGGCACATTTGGCGCAGTAGAGTTCCTTGACACCTCTTCGGGCGCGTGGAAGACTGTGCGGACGGATGCTGATTGGAATCTGATCTATGAATGGGAGCGCACCAATACGGTCCTGGGATATAGCGAGGTCACGCTTTCCTGGAAGGTCGAGGACAGCTACTATGAGATTGGAAACCCAAACCCCGTTCAGGATGGGTCATACCGCTTGCATTATTACGGCGATTCGAAGAGCGTCGGTGGAGACATCTCGCCTTTTGAAGGAATCAGCGCACCATTCGCGGTGAAGGCCTAGAACAAACGGCAGTGTTTCGTAACGGTCTGCGATTAACGGGCCAAATCTGGGATAATGTGTTTCACGACTGTTCTCCTTTTAGCAGCATCTTGTTTCTAACTTATTCGTTTTGCGATGTGTCACTCTCACTATATTAGTCTATAGAGGTCTGGACCAGAGCAGGCTCCAGCGGCCACCTTACGCGCGCGGTCAATAGCAGCGTATCCAACGGGTGGCATGGCTGGCTGATGAGTCTGGAGGCGGAGGGTATCGCTAAACGCGTCGATATGTGTAGACATCCAGAATGATACATACTTTGCTGTCCTATTTTTATGACAGGGCAGGAGCCGATCTGAAGCTGTCATCCTGCAGTCCAATCACAGGCTGCGTATAGCTGTAGATCTCAGCGCTAGTCGAGCTCTGGCCAATGAGGCCGCGCAGAGCCAATGTTAGCGGCAGGAGCTGCTCTGGCTGGCCCCACCCAGGCGCCAAAGGCAGTCACGCTGTCGGCAACTGCCCGCCAACCACTGCCTGCTCCTGCCGTCACTCTGAACCATCGCCATCTCGCCAGCTTCACTCAACTCTGATCATGTTTCTCGTTGCTGCTATGCACTCGCCTGGCCTCGCCCAAGTCATCCGCTAGGGTGACTACTTGGCGGCGCGATGATCACTCCGGACTTTCCTTTATGTACCCAGCTAGATCGCCATGTATTGCAGATTTCTTTCTATTTTATATCCATTGATTCTTTCATTTGGCGTTTTTCAACTTTCTCTTCTCTCTCTACTTCCTTGGCTCGTTAGCATAACTCTCTCTATTTGCTAAAATTTAGATCTTTCTCTTACTATTCTCTCGCTCAACTTGGGTCTCTACCTTCACTTGGTTATATTATGACTAGTACTTACACTGCTGATAAAGTAGTCACTGATACACTCATTCTCGTTCGCCTTACCTGACTATAGTCTTCATCATTGATTTGGCTGGTCCAGAAGAAAGACAAGAACCGCCCTTCTCTTCTTTTTTTTCTCTACAATATATATCTTACCATTGTGATATCTGTTTACGGCTGGATAGAAAAGCAGATCTCACCTAGCGACTGCCTATGGTCCTCACGATGAAGAACGTGGCGTCTTTGGTTGTTCTCGTGATACTCTTGATAAATGGTAGCGTGGCAACTCCTGTGCGCTTCAGACGCACACCTGGCGCTCTCGATACCGGTATTATAACACCTCCTTCTGGGCAATCTACGACTCTAGCTACATTGTCTGGTAACCCAGTTCCCCAAAATACGGCGAATCCCCCTGGGACTTCTGATGCTGGGAAAGGAGCTACCGGGCCTGCTAATACTTGGATCACAAGCACGACAACTCCAGCTTCAGCTCCTTCTGCTGGAACTACTCTCGATGTAAAACCTACTGACAAACCAACTAATACTGATGGCACTACTACTTTGCCTACGACCCGGACTACGACTACGGCCACGACAACGACAACTTCAGCTCCTGCTACTCGAGCTATCACTTTGACTACCACTACGACCCCGACTACGAACCCGGCTACGACCCCGACTACAGCCACGACAACGACAACTCCAACTTCAAGGATTTCTACTGGAACTACTACTATAACTACGACTACGACTACGGCCACGACAACGACAACTCCAACTTCAAGGATTTCCACTGGAACTACTACTCTAAATGCGACTACAAATACGGCCATGGCAACGACAAACCCAGCTCCAATGGCTTCTACTGGAACAGCGGTCGATGTAAAACCTACAGGCAACCCAAATGATACCCCCGGAACTACTACTTTGACCACAACTACGGCCATAACAACTCCAGCTCCAGCTCCTACTAGAGCTACCACTTTGACTATGACTAGGACCCAGACTAGCTTAAATCCTTCTTTTCAGCCAACGCTCCCGTCTGCTCCTCTACCTGCCTCATCTGGTACTGATACTACTGGGCAAGCGAAAGGCACGGTTATTCCGATAAGCACCTTGCCATATTCTCTTACTGGAACAACGGCGACAACGGCTCTGACGACTTCATCGCCTCCAGGTATCCCTCCTGTTAATACAGAAACGGTATCACCTCCTAATACAAATCCGGTTCCTGTAGATCCTGGCGTGCTAAGTACTACTGGACTGGTTGGTGGCACCGTGGGTTCTGGACAAACCTCAACAAACCCAGATACCCCTGGAACGACCGCGACCACGACCACGACCGCTGCTTTGACAACCACTGATCCAGCAACAACCGAGCAAGCAACCATCAACCCAGAAATGACCGCTGAGCCAACAGAAACTGAGCCAGCAGCAGTTACAACTACCAGTCCAGCAAATCTCGTTATACCAACTAATGCGCCGATTCCTACTGCCACGACTACTGCACAAAACGTCGCCGTACAGCCTGTCCCCCCTCCTCAAACGGTCCCCTTACCTGCTACTTCAGCGACAGGCAGTTCTCCCACTACTACCGTGCTAACGACTATTGCGCCAGCAACCACTGCACCACCGCCTACCACTCAGCCAAGCAGCCCACATGCCACTGCAGCGATTCCAGCACAACCGCACGATGTCAACCCAAATCCAGACACATCAGAAATAACCACCGTTGTCGTTGCAACCGGAACTTCTGTCCTCTATGTGACAGCCCCCGGTACTGCCCCTACTACCACTACCGGCACAGCTGCACCAACAATCATGGTCAATCCCACCGCCGATCCACACGCAGGTCCAAAAGCTGGGGCGGAGGGTAATGTTAGCTACGTGACCATGTGGGCAACGGCGACTATTACCGACACGGTGACAGTGACTACAACGACCACAACGACCGAGTTTGCAACACAGCCTTCTTCTTCTTCTTCTTAGGGAGGAAGGTGGCCGGACTCTTGGAATCTCTAAAATCCCTTTTGATTCTACCACGAGGGTGCACACTCCCTTTGATTTGTCCATTTGATTTGTCTAGTTTGCATGTACCAACCAGTCCGATCCACATTGTTTGGCGGTAGTTTTCCATTTTGTTGACACATACCAGATGAACTAAACTAATACCATTAATAGACCTCAATTCTGTATTATCTAAACATCCAGATGTATTTTCCGTGCTGTCTTTTATACTTTCAACATGTAATTCAAATAAATAACTCCCTAATATAACGCAAACTAACGATACTAGGTAGAATACAAATGTCCCTCATCCTCTATAAACCGCTTCTGAAACTCCTTCAAACTAGCCCACTGCTTCAGCTCCTCTTCCTCCTCACTGCTCCCGTCCCCATAACTCATTGCTCGCAGGGTAATGTCGGGGCTTGGCAGGGCAGTTGAAGGGGCGGCGGTAAATGAGACAAGGGGGTCAAACGGAGAGCTAGCTTCGCTGCCGCCATGGTTGGGATAGTCGCTGTGGTTGTTATTGTTATTGTGGGTAGCGGTTGACTTCTGGTTATAGTGGTTGGTATTAGTCACCCCAACGCCTTCGAGTCGTACGAGAATGTCGAGGAATGTTCGTAGGTAGCTTTCTGCATCGGCTGTGGAGAGTGGTTGAGGCCCCGTGGCTGTTGTGGATGTGGATGTGTGGGCAATTGTGGTGTCCGGCCCGCGGGGGAGGTTGAGGAGGGTAGATGCGATTTGGCGGACTTTGTATGTCTAGAATAAGATGTTAAGAAAGCTTTGAATGGATGAAAGGAGCAAAAGAGAAGGAAAATGCATACAAAACTGGCGCCGTTCGGCTCGATGTGGATTTCCTGTACACTTTTTAACAGACAAAGTAGGTCTTTTATCACCAAGCCTCGCTCTTCTCGCATTACTTGTCCGACGAAATCTGTTTGGGCGTGTAGGTCAGCATCTGGGGTTGCTGGCCCGCCGCCAACCTCCTCACTTTTGACGTTCGCCAGCGGTATTGTATCTGGAGAAGGTAGTTGCTGCGAGCCAGAAGGCATAGATTTCTGATCCTGAAGTCTTTTGTGGCCCTCGAACAGAGTCCAGTATTTATCAACAAGATAAGACCGTGTCGATAATTGGCTTATGTATATGTTCGCCTTTTGAATCTCGTATTGGATTTTCCGACGCCTTTGTTCCTCATTCTCCCCACCGCGAGCATAGGATGGAGGCCAGTTCATGGAAGGTGATGAGATTTGCACCTGGGGATTTAATGAAAGTTCTGGGGGTAGCTCTGCTGTAATGCTCTTAGCCTTTTGGAGACTTTCCCAGATCATCTGTCGTTGTCTCTCCCAGCCTAAGACATCGTTGCTCCCAAAAGCAATCTCCAGGGCGGCTAGTGGGTTGTAGCATTGAAAAACACGCACGTTGGCATTGAATCCCGTGAGTTGAGAGACAATACCGATAGGCTGTGGGTCAATATGTGTGGGAAATACATATTCGTCGTCAACTTCAACTGGAAGTGGAGGATATCGATCTGTAGGGGTTTCAGGAGGTACGTAAATGCGTCCATCCGTTGAGCCAAGTTGATGGAGGGTCTGAAAGCCAACCAGGCAAACGTAGAATAACCGTCTCCCTAGCTCCTGCGCAAGTAAGCTTGCCATCGGTATATTAGGCTCACCGAATTGGTCTGACCAGCCAGACAGAGGGGATGCAGCCATCGGGCTTGGGCCTTGGATCTGTTTGGACGGTGCGTAGAGGTTATAAACGCGCAGAATGGTCATGCACTCGCCAAGATACATCCGGCAGCGACGTAGGTTGTACACGTAACCGGAACAGAGAGACAAATGGTAGCTAATTGCAGCGTCGTCGATTGTGGTACTCGTGTCAAGATAACCTGCACCTCGGGCCTGAACAGCCACATCATGACAACGTTTGACGAGTGTTATGGAGTTTGGATACATGTGTCGCTCGGCGTCAGTTTTGAGATGTAGCTTGGGTCGTCGTGGGAATGAAGCTACCAGACAGCCTATCATAGCAGCCAATAGCGCCAGAAACCGCTTGTTAGTGACATCTTCCCTTCTTGAGAACGCTGCACGGAAAATTGGCTCGTGAGGAACCGGCACGAGAGGGTGAATAAATGTAAAATAGTCGTCGATTAACAGCTGTAAGGTTGGCAATGGGCAGATAGATTCCCCAGAGGTAGCCAGTGCGCTCTGATCAGATGTCAATAACTCTGATGGATCATGTTCAGTCTTTGGCTTTTTGAGTGCCTCTGCATGTTTATTAGGGGGGCCTCGCCGTCTGCTGGGACGGTTGTAAGTACACGGAATGTCCAAGGCCGCGCAAGACCGGCATGGAGGACCGCTTTCGTCACACTACGACTTTGTTAGCTTTATACATATCAAATACATGAAGGATTATTAGGTACTGGGCCCCTTTCTAACCTTTACTTTTCGAATACTGCATGCATCGCACGCTTTTCGTAGTCTGGTCTTGCCATCCATGGAGGTATTCACATCAGGTAATGTATTATCCTAATAGGTCGAATTCACGTGGTGATGCATGATCACAGCATATTTACACCTAGATAGATAAATAAGATTGGATCGAGAGATTGGCAGAGTTTTGTAATTCTCACCATCGGTAATCTTCGCCGAAGATCTGGAGCTGTGACGCAACTGTTTGAAAAGCTACGGACGGTGCGCAAACAGCACACTAGACTGATCTAGACACAACGAGGATCAATTCTCACTCATGCAATGAGTTCGGTGTAGAAAGCTGCATACACTCAGGGTCATGTTTTGTTGTTGACATTGAGTGCAACTCCATTTACCATATCATTTATGATGTGTTGTGATCACGTGTATCCCGGAGCTTCCTGGTTTCCACTTACGGGGCCCCTCTACTTGTCGATGTTAGGCTTAACCATGTTCGGCATTTCTACGAGCTCAATTGCCGTGGCTATGGAGATATCTATCTGGCACCCTCGCCGTTTAGCTACTTACTGACGATGGAGCAATCTATTGTTTCTCGTTCTCGTTGATTTCCAACGGGAAACCAAGCTCTTGGGCTGATAAGAAGTGCTAACTGCGGCATATATTGACTACATCATGGCAGATAATTCTGAAGTTATATTCGTGCATATCGACACAGTGTCTCAAACAGGATCATCCCGATACTCAGGCGCTATCTCCTCATCCCTATGCTCCTCAAGGAACTGCTTTCGCTTCTCCATTTCTGCGGCCCAGAGGGCCGACCCAGCCGCGCTGGTGAGAAGGAAAAACATGGAGAGGAAAGGTATTAGTTGCAACATCAAGGCTACTGTACCGAATCTGTATGAGTTGAGATGTGAGCAGTTTACTTCGGGAACAAAATGATGAAGGATAGCACTTACGCCGTGTATTTCAACTGTCGATTCCGAACGAACTGTTTTCGCTGTTCTTTGGTGAAATCCAAAAGCTGAAAATACCTCCAATGGTGGAATGGGCCCGCACGATATCCAGTTAGGACCAAGAACATGGGAACACCAGCCACCGGAACGAAGTTAAGTGGTAAAAACACTATGAACTCTACTATCTGACGCAAGGAGAATGGTGCGTAGATTGCACTCGTAGTCGGCTTTCCGAGCTTCTTGACCGGATTTTCGCCATCTGGATGGAGTATCCTCTCCCTGTTGATGAGCGGCTCAAGCCCTTCGTTTAACAAAACAGCATCGAAAACATCCACTAGGGTCTCGTCGACGAAAAACGCCTCGAATAACAAGGCGACTATGGCGGCACCTTCTCCGAGAACCAGGAATGCTCCGTTGATCCAGGCACCCTTGCCTTGGAAGATTGCGAGAAAGGCAACTTGTGGGAGATAGGTGAAGATGAATAGAATCACGTATGCGAAACCGGATAACAGCGTAATTGGGAGGAGCCGTCCGCGAAATAGAGGCCAGAGGAACGGATGCGATATGAAATAGACAATCCCCTGGGCAAACAATACGTTAGTAACGAGACGACTGCGACAGTGCTGTATTGTGCGTAACCGACTCTGAGTGGGTGCAACCAAGTCGCGTTGCGCAATCTCATGGCGTCCGACATCTTGGAAGTGTTTCAAACACACCGCGCTTCATTTAAGAATAGCAGTGCGTTTGGGCAAAAAAGGAAAAGAAAAGGAACGAGGTACTCTGGTGCCTGAAGTAACAGAGGAATCCAGGTTCCTCGGTCCAAGGCGGCGAGTCACGTGTTTGGAGATCGCCAATGTTAGAGCACAAGTTACACGGTGCAACGAATGGTATATGAGAATCCAGATGATAGGGGGTAAGTTCAATATTATAATGAATAATCTACAATAATGCCTGGCAATACATATCAAGTACCTGCGTATACTTGTAATAAATTGGATGTTGTTGTGGTTGTGAGAGCTCTGCTTATCGATAAGCGCACATAAAAACCCGAATTTTCTGCGCTGCTCAACTTCTTCCTTTTCCTTCTTCAATCATTCATAAAACATCACCCTTTCTATTCACTCCGCATTCCAATTTTGCTCTCATGGAATTCTTGGAGGGGAAATGAAAGGGCAGAATGACAGTCGCTGCTACTTACCCCGAAACTTTCATGTCATATGGAGGATTTTGGAAATAATTACAGCGCAACATCCAATCTCAGTTCAATTCCTTTGCATCTGCGCCCGGTCTAATTACGTTGTATGCTCGCCAATTATGAATTTGATAATGTCATCTAGGCTGTTTTTGATTATCCGCGGGCGCAGTGTCGGCACTGCGCAGTCTTCCCAACCGCTGTTGCTGCGATCCAGCCACGCGGCCTTGATACCGACCTTCGTCGCCCCGATAATATCGAATGGATTGCCACTGATCAACCATATATCTTCCATATTTTTGCCCACCTTTTGAGATAGGTGATGATAGACCTCCGGCGCTGGTTTGTATTTCTGGATTTCGTCGACAGTTATCAGATCCTTAAAGACAGTCGCATGCGGCGAAAGGTCTTTGGATCGGAAGACAGAGTTGGATACCATCTCCTGTGTTCCATTCGAAAATATAACGACTTTGATGTCAGGTCTCGTAGAAAGATTGCGGAGTGCCGGTTCCACGTCGGAGAAGGTAGATAAATGGTCGTATTCTCCCATCAACCTATTCACGACGTCTTCCCGTAGATCGACATGTGCCTCTGACAGCGCGTGGACTAGGGAGTTTCTCGTGATATTGAAAAAAGTATCATAGTGACCTAGCTATAGTAAGACAGAGGATCTGTAGTTATCGTGCCACAACATACCCATACAGGTCAGCCGCCACGAGTATTCGAGCTGATACTTCCTCCATGTCGTGGCAATCTGGGCAGCTTTCTCCTGCGAGCCCACCAGCTCGGCCAGACGGGCTGCAATAGACTGCGTAGAAAGCAAGGTACCGTACAAGTCAAAGGCAATGACAGGAGCTGCAGGTTTCCCGGCCATGACGATCTAGGTCTGTCAACAGGGGAATGAGAAAGTGATTGATTAAGTGAACAATCCGGATCCCCCGCCACAAAGTGCGGGGGTTTTCCTTTTCCCAAGGCGGTTGCACTCAACGTCATTAATACACATTGTCTATATTTATCTATTCCTCCACCACTCTTTGTTTTCATTCGCTCTCCTGGTTCTCCCTGATGATTTGTTTAGATGACTTTCCAGGGCGCTGCCGGCAACAATTATGAAGTCTTCCGGGAGTGCGTATCTGCCGCCATTGTCCAGAGGTCTGAAGCAGGCGACAAGAAAGCTGTAAAGCGGAAGGCTAGGGGAAAGAAACGAGACAATGCTGGCACTGATCTCAGATCAGAGGGAAAAGGCCCAGATTTTATAGAGAAACAAAACCCTGAAGAATTGGCCGAATTCATCGACGTACATTATCCCTCCGACATATCCTAGTCGTTCTTGTCCACAGCTAAGCAAGCTAGGTGGAATAGTTTATCGCATCAGAGACTTTCTATGCGCTGCCAAACGAGATGCAAACCCTGTCGTACTCAAATATTCAGAATGATCCATCGCTAGCCAGTCGGTACAAAGACCCTGCTGACATGCCTGCTTCTACTATGGAAGCTTGGGCTGCAGTCGTACCAGTATCTGTATCGGAGTCTCTCTCAGTCTATGGTATAATCCCAGAGACGCTGGATTTGATCGCGGCATTTATACGCCCTGTTTTGACGGATTTTCTTACATCTGTGACCACGGGCCCTCCATCCTGGGCGTCTACTCGCGTTGACGCCTGTGAGATCTGCGAGCGCGACTGGATCCCGCTATCCTACCATCATCTCATACCTCGAGAAGTCCATGCTAAGGTTCTCAAACGCGGCTGGCATGAGGAGTGGATGTTGAACAGTGTGGCTTGGTTGTGCCGTGCATGTCACAGCTTTGTGCACCGTATGGCAAGCAACGAAGAGCTAGCACGCGAGTATTACACTGTAGACCGCATTCTTGAAAGAGACGATGTCCAAGACTGGGCCAAGTGGGTTGGACGGGTCCGTTGGAAAACCAAGTAGTGGATGTTGTAGGATCATAAGAGGGCCGTTTGCCTGCAAACAGTTAACCAACAACGGAGGCAATTCTTGATATGTTCCTGCTGTCAGAGGGAATAATATGAAATTAGCAGCTGCATTGTACTGGATTAATCCTTTATCTCGCCATGAAAAGCCATTGGCATTTACCCCATTGTGTCACGGCTGTGAACAGATATGATACTGCTCACCTTCCTGGACGACTGCTATCCAACCCATGTGCTTAGGCTGCTTCTTTCTTTGCACAGGCTAGCTCCTTCTCTTCAGACTGGTTCTGCAGGACCCCCCCAACCTCTATGGCCAATTGTCTCTTCTTGTCCCAACCGTTAATGTTTTGACCCGAAAATATTCCAATAATCCAACATTTGCGTCTCCTCTGGCCATAAGCAGAATCTCTCTGCTCAAGTCTTCCACCACTTAAAACACATTTCTACCCTCTTTTCTCCCAATGCAAGCAGCTCCCGTTCTACTCGTGCCTTCCCGCAGTACAGATCAATTCACCATCATTAGACGTACACCAACCACTTCGTTTGCTGATTGAGGATGTCCAATTCGACTTTTTGGACGGAAGAGAGCGAAGCAGGACAGGATGTAATAGACACAGAGGATCTAAGACGTGGACATCAGACTGACAATTTCTTAGAACACTTTTACCCATATCTACGTCACATACGCCAGCTGCCATGTCGACGGGCACATCACCAAGGGCAAAAAGAATAAGATAAGCCGGGCGAAGGTCGAATGGGATCTTATCCACTGCGTACACAGAGATGACAATCTTCCGCTATCTCTCAAAGTCGCCTGTACCAGCTGGGTAAGGATTGTTTTCTTTGAGCTGCATTCTGAATGTGTGTATGGTCAACTAACGACAGAGAATAATTTGCAGATTCTTCACAGTGATAAATTTGAGCCGTTGTGGCATGAGTACAAGTTGAAAAACGATCTCTCTGCTCAGTCTGTTCAGCGGGCGACACCGGGATATGATGTTCTCCAACAATGTCTCTGTAGCCCATCTACAACCCTCGGAGGCTTTTCCGGTCCTCAGTCGGCCTTTGAGACTGTTAGCAAGGGAGCCAAAGCTCAAGGAGTGAAGGCCAGCAGCTTTAGAAGCCAAGGTACAGCCACAGGCACCAGTATTCCAAACGGAGACTTTTTATTTTCTGGTAAGCCGACCAAAACCCGACGTACTTCTTTCGAAGGACGCGCGAAGAGAAAGCCACCACCGCCTGCCTCAAAGAAAAGATCTGCACAACAAAATTCTCGGAAATCTCCTATTTCCAAGTCGAAAAACGCGTTTGGAAAGAAAAAGCAACCAATGAGGGTCGGGGTGGTATCTACTCCGAGTGTACCTAATCCGCGAATTCCAGCTTTCAGCCCCAAAGAGATGGTGAAAAATACGGTGCTATACGAACAGCCAACGACGCCGGTGCTACGAAGAGCTCTTACGGGAAAAGAGGCATATGATGAGGCTATGGCGAATTTAAGTGACGATATTGTCATTCATGGACCGTCTAGCGGGTCAGAATTCTCTGAGGATGAGGAGTCTGAGGAGGAATAGGAGATGGGCAAGACTTGGATCTGAGTCTTTTTCTCACTCTCAAGAGTTAAATGTGCTAATACGCTTGTCTGCTTATACTGGTGGGTTCTAGCATGACTTTTATTAAGATATGACATTATGTGATGTGAATTATGATGAGTGTAGAGTCGATCAGCACTGCTTAATGCGAAGGATATTTCCAGGAGGGAGAAGGATATTGTTAGGAGGGAAATTCAAGTCTCAAATTAGTCAATTGAGCCTTACTCGTGTTATCAATACAGATTACAGCTTATATCTAGGCTTACTACAGTAGGGAGGAAGAGTGAACCCTAAACAGCAGTTAATCGTTGATATTAATAAAAGAATGGATAATACCATAGATTCAACATTTGAAATCCGATTTCGGAATGAGATAGATGCCCTGGTCTTTGCTCTATTGTACAAGATAATAACGATATAAGTATCCAATAGTATAAACCCCAACCCCACAAATGCAAGAGATTGCTCATATAAAGTTAAACCAGGTAGTGTATAAATACAAAAGAATCGTAGGTACTGTAACACAAGAGACATGCTAGTCTATTGGAGATATCTCTTTTCATGAGTCTCCTCATACGATTGCACATGATCACCGACTTCAAAGGCAGACCAGCCGTCAAAGCCGATACCGCACTCGGTATCCTTGCGCATTTCAAGGACGTCTTTCTTGACGTTTTTGAGCGATGATAGGGAGCCTGTGGATATTTATTATTAGAGAATAAAAGGGACGTAAAAATATCGATAGGAGAGAAGACGCACCATCGTAGACAATATCTTTGCCACGCAAAACACGGACTTTCTTCGCCCGGCTAATCACGCCGTTGCGTACCTTGCAGCCCGCAATCGACATCTTGTTTCGCCCCTTGACGGTGATGTCGAAGATCTGGCCGATCTCAGCCTCACCGGTAACACGGCTGATGACAGTTGGGGGTAACTGTTCACTCATTGTAGCCTTGACATCGTCGATGAGTTCGTAGATAATGTTATGGTTCATGAGCTTGACGTCTTGAGCTTCGGCCATTCGTGAGATTGCAGGATCCACGGCATTGTTGAAGTTGATCACGCAGGCACTAGACGTCGCTGCATGCTTGATATCGAACTCGCTGACTTGTCCAACGCCAGAACGAAGCACCTGTGCGAAAATCTCGTTGTTGCCGATTCCGCTCACAGAGCTGGTTACGGCTTCGACGGAGCCGAAAACGTCGGCTTTGACAATGAAGTTGATGGGTCTAGGGCCTGTTGTCGTCTCTGGCGCCTCGGAATCTTCTTCTTCACTCTCCTCACGGCGCCGCTGCTCGATGGTCTCGCGTCGACTTTCATTAATCGCAGTTGCATCTTGACCTAATTTCTTACTTTCCATGCGTTCCATGCGGTAATCTACAGCCTCTTTTGCACGCTGTTCGCTCGGGGCTTGTAGAACTTGGGAGCCTGCCTCGGGCTGTTCTTTCCAACCATCGACCTCGACAGGCATTCCCGGGGAAGCCTTGTCTAGAATAGTACCAGTCTCATTTCTGAGAGTCTTGATACGTGTCCAAGTAGACCCGGCGACAAGGATATCGCCAGGGCGGACTGTACCCCGCTTTACTAAGATTGTTGCAACACGGCCTGCTTTCTTTGTAGTCGCTTCGACAACCCATCCTTCGGCGTTTCCATCGATGTCAGCTCGATGATCGAGAAGTTCTGATAGAGTCACTATAGCTTCTTCGAGCTCGACCATACCCTTCCCGGTCTTGCCGCTGACTGGTATGGCTTGAACGTCGCCCCCGTAGTCTTCTACATCAACGCTATGGCGAGCTAGGTCCTGTTTGACCTTTTCTGGATTGACGTTGTCTTTATCAATCTTGTTGATGGCAACAATGATAGGCACGTTGGCCTGCTTGGCATGGTTTATGGCTTCTATTGTTTGAGGTTTCACGCTGTCGTCGGCGGCCACAACCAGTACAACGATATCTGTCATATCGGCACCTCTTCGACGCATGTCCAAAAAGGCAGCATGGCCGGGTGTGTCGAGGAAGGTGATTGATTTTCCAGATGGCATTGACACGGAAAAGGCTCCGATGTGCTGGGTGATGCCTCCATGCTCGGAAGCAGCGACAGATGACTTGCGAAGCCAGTCCAAAAGGGTCGTCTTGCCATGATCAACGTGGCCCATGATTGTCACCACCGGTGGTCGTGATGGTAACAGAGACTTGTCCTCGGGTTCGGCAGCGGGTTTTAAGTCTTGATCGTCGGTTTCAAAGATTGGCTCAAAGTTATATTCAGCAGCAATGAGTCCTGCTGTCTCGGCGTCCAGGACATGGCTGTGGATGACTCCTTCAAACCCAATCTCTTCCAAGTGATCAATAAATTCTGCTTGTCGAACACCAAGGACGGTTGCGAGATTGTTGACGCTTATGAATTCTGGAAGATAAAGCGGACTGGGAGCTTCGACCACTTCTCTAGGCTTCTTTTTCTGCTTTCGTTTATCTCTTCGTTGTTTTCTTTCCTCTGGATCGTAATTTTCGTCGTCGTATAAGAACTGTTCTCGTCTGACAGGTCTCGCACGTTTCTTTTGAGGCGTTTCCCAATCAATTGGATCTTCATCGGCCCTTCTCCTTACATCATGTTCTTTCCTTTCCTCTTCCCTTGTTTCCGTCTCATCCTCCCAACGTTTTTCTGGCTTACGAGATTCCTCAGAACGTCGCATATTTGCATTTGCATCCAGGGGTGTGTGGTGGAGCTCAAAGGCCGCAGCCCGATCATGGTTTTTCCGCCAGGAGTCTATTGCTGATTCGCCTAGCTTTCGGATTTTGAAATCTCGTTCTTGATCGGTGTGTTGATCAGGAGTCTGAAAATTCATAGCGCTCAGCTGTGCTGGTCTTTGTTCGAAGCTAGCTGGTCGGACAATTGTTGGCCGATCATTATCAATTCTAGCATGATTATCCATGGTCTCCTTTTTGTACTCCTCGAAGGCCTTGCGCAGTCCGGGACGAACTGCGCGGCATTGTGGACATTGACAATGTTTGCCAAAACACATATAAGAACAATCCGGACACTTCCAGTTTATCGAACGTATCGACGGCGGAACCAAACCTCTCCACCTTGACAAGCGCGACAATTTCTTCATTTCTTTCTCAAGGATTTTCATGGAAAACCCCTCGGTAGCATCGGTAGGCTCATTGGACTTAGGAGTCTTGGGAGGAGGCTTAGGCGGCTCAGGAGATGAGGCTTGCTTCTCTATTGAGTCTTTGCCTTGCCGCGGTTCTGGTGTAAGGATGGCCATCCTATTGGTCATTTCGGCGAATGAAAGGCCCACGGATTTCTTCGCGAAGGTGCTTTGAGAACCCCATTGTGCTTGATCCTTTCCACTGCCGGTGTTTGGGGCATGTTGGGTTGGATTGTCGCTCGCAGCATTGGCGGCCGGTCTGACGGATGACCTGAAGGTTGTCGCCCCCCATCCTCCTCGATTTTTTAGACTTGATGTGTCCGACGAGGAATCATTATCTCCGCTCTTCTTGGCTGCAGCCGCGGATTCACCAGACGGAGAGTACAGACTGAGAGCAGGCGAGGATGAATGGAACGCACGAGATTGCCGTGCAACAGCGGGATAGGCCAAGTCGAAGTATTGACATCGACATATCTAGTCGCAAACCGCCCAATTAGCCAGAAAATACAAGGTAGAAGGGGGAGCTCACTGGTCCTAAGGCTCTCCTGTGCATCGTGCCTGAGGTCTAAGCCATCGTAATATTACTAATTATTGTTCTTCAATGTTTAATGTTCAATGTTATATTTTTACTTCCCGCGGGCTTGGCAAACCCGGGGACCGCGCGGTGGGACTAGTTCACGTGATTCGGGCCGCCGGGCCAATCGCGTCGGAGCGCGGTGTTGCGCAATCGGAAAGAGCAGAGAAGAAAGTGATAAGGCCTTCTCTTTCCTTCTTCTTTCTTTTCGTTCTTTTCTTCTTACTTCGATCCAGCTCGTCATGGAAGATTTCGAAAAGATCGAGAAGGACCTGGCCGATGCCGGCTGGGCGCGCACGGCCAAGGACCTTTTTGCGGGCGCTGCGGGCGGCATCACTCAGGTCTTGCTAGGTAAGTGGTGCGATGGTGCTCAATTGCTATTCAATTCTTTTAGTTGTTGTGGAATTGGCAAACTATCATCCTAGACACGTTTCACGCGTTCAATTTGGTATAGATCAGATCCGCTAACTTCAATACAGGGCAGCCTTTTGGTATGTGAAGCACCACAAGAGCAAGAGAATTCAATTGACTTGACCCGTCTACAACAGATATCGTCAAGGTGCGGCTACAGACGACGTCTCAGTACTCAAGTGCACTGGACTGCGCTACCAAGATTTTCAAGAATGAAGGCCCATTAGCCTTCTACAAGGGAACGCTGACGCCATTGGTCGGAATTGGTGCTTGTGTCAGTAAATGCCTGAGATACTAAAAGTATCATTGCTCACTGTCTGCCAGGTCAGCGTTCAATTTGGCGCCTTCCACCAAGCGCGAAGGTTTTTTGAAGAACAGAATTCAAAGAAGCACTCAAACCCCAGCCTGTCCTATACGCAATACTACTTGTCAGGTGCGTTTGCAGGCGTGACGAACTCTGTCATTTCTGGACCTATCGAGCACGTCCGTATTCGCTTGCAAGCCCAGCCCCATGGTGCCGGACGGCTATATAGCGGCCCGATAGACTGCGTTCGCAAGATATCTGCCCACAATGGCGCCCTTCGCGGCCTCTACCGCGGCGAAGTAGTCACAATTTTCCGTGAAGCGCAAGCATACGGTTTCTGGTTCCTAGCCTTTGAATATATGATGAACCAAGACGCAAAGCGGAACAATATCAAGCGGGAAGAGATTTCCAGTCTCAAGGTTGCTACTTACGGTGGTCTCGCTGGTGAAGCGCTCTGGTTGTCCAGCTACCCATTCGACGTTATCAAGAGCAAAATGCAAACCGATGGTTTCGGCGCTGAGCAAAAGTACAAGAGCATGACTGATGCTTTCAGGAAGACCGTTGCTGCTGAAGGGTACGGTGCGCTCTGGAGGGGATTGGGTCCAACGTTGCTTAGGGCGATGCCAGTGTCAGCGGGCACATTCGCTACGTAAGTCCGTATCAAACACTGTACAAGGACTGTACTAATATTTACTCTGTTTTATAGCGTGGAGCTGGTAATGAGAGCGATTGGTTGATCCTATCAATGGATAGAGCGAGAGGAGGAAGACGATTGATGATTTTCACCTTGCATATGTCTTCAACGAGCTTGCATGGCTGGCTTTGGGTTACGGGTTTATATCGATATCGATCGTGCCGAAGATTTTTATGTTGACGATGGCTCTTATACTGGATAAACGGATGTTTCTCATTCAACAACAGGGACAAAAGTGATTGCTTTATTTGTTTATAGAGGGTTTTCAGACTCGTGGTAGTATATTTCATGAATGTCACAATTTTGGAATGAACTTAGTTAAAAATCATAGTATAATTTTTTTTTCTTGCGGTTGCTTGACCTTCTTTTGTGCTTATATAAGTTTGCGAGGCTTGCGAGACTTGCGAGCCGCAAGATCGACGAGAAAAAATGGCTGCCTTGTTACTATCTATCCCGCATAGGTAGTCATTTATACCTTAAAAGCCTAGCGTCGACAGAAAATCGGTCGCTGACGAAGGATTCACTAATTATTGGTTTAATTTAAGGCTGCAATTTTCCGAGTTCCGAGATTCAATCAACGCGGAACAACATTGAATCACTTAAAACTGCGAGATATTCCCAATATATTGTATATTTTATATTGTATTGTAAATAAAGCACATCTTATCAAATCGGAAACATTGAACACCATGAGTCATAGTGTTCGACACTTTTCAGGCGACCTTTACGCTGATGCCGGCGTCTGGAGTCCCTCTTCCAGCGCGGCCAAGTACGTTCCAAAAAAGAATATCGGGCAATGTACCAATTTGACACAGCTGACATATTGATAGTTTCTGCGAGGAAGACTACGTCGTGACAATCTATATTGCCGAATTCATCAATACCCTCAGCAATCTCGCCTACAGTACCTATCACCAATGCCAACTATGTGTTGACATAAGCTAACTGATCAGTCTACTATGCATTCCAATACATATATCCAAGAACCAGATCTCCTAGAATCGACCTAATGTCCGCGTCTCTGTTCCTAGTCGGCGTCTGCTCCTTCCTCTTCCACGCGACTCTGCACCAAGAAACGCAATTCAGCGACGATCTGTCCATGCTGTTCCTCGCAGCGACACTGCTTCAGCGTCTATACTGCGCCAACAAACCAGCCGCCACAGCGCGTCTGATCACCACCGCGATCTTCGCAACTGTAACCGCCATGTCCGCTTACTACGTCCGCAGCGGGGACCTTGTTGTGCACACGTCCATGTTTGCGGGCATGTTGACGCTAGTGTGGCCACGGACGGTGTATTTGATTCATCATCGACAGGGGCAGGACAAGGCGGTGCTGTATGGGAAGCTTGGGAGAGCGTGTGGGTGTCTGGTGTTCGGGTTTTTGCTGTGGAATGTGGATCTGGAAATGTGTCTGAGATTGAGATATGTTAGAAGCGTCGTAGGATTACCCTGGGCTTGGGCTTTGGAGTTACATGGTTGGTGGCATCTGCTCACCGCGTTGGGGGCTGCCGTTTATATGGATCTTATTAGAGATTTGTGTCCGTAGACATTAAATATTTGTTTTGTTCAGAATAGATTGGAATAATCAAAAAAAAATCAACCAGTATCGATTTTTGATATCCCGTATCCCGAATGCCTCTTGTATTATATTCGACATGTTAAGAGTTTAATAGACATATACAAAGTCCTCGTTCTGCCAGTCCGTTATATCCTGCAGAGACCTATCAAGCACATTCGCAGTCGTCTTGACCTCCAAATCCTCGTCGCTTGGCGTCTTGACAGCCAACATGGATTTGTCGACTACTTTCGCTGTCTTGCCGAGACTCTCTCGCGTCTTCTCGTGTTTGTGGTTCTGGATTTTGAGGATGAGGATTTGGATGCTTTTGCATGTTAGTACATTTATAGTATAGAAATAGTATAGATGGAGACTTTGAGATATAACTTACGCATAGAGAATGATTAGCACTATGAAAAGGACCAGGTTGGAAATGAGACCTCGGCGGTAAAGAGGGGCTTCATCGGTGGTATACAGATTCGGGCCAAGGACCTATGGTCATTAATAAGCTTTACCACAGAAAACATTTAACTCTAGTTATCCTTACATTCCCCGCAGACTGCCCAACTATCATAATAGCGGTGGTGATCTTCTTTTTCGTCTCACCCGCAGTGTTTGCCGCTTGCCACGAGTAAATCAGAGGCGTGATACCCGGATAGACCGAGATCTAAACAAAACCATAAGTCCAAGACGTACACTAACTTATTCAACTTCTTTATACTCACTAGGTAGTATCCCACCAACAAGGGGCCGCGGTGGCTAGCATCGTGAGGAAGAACCAGCAGCATCACGCAGCCAATAATGGGAGGAATCGACAGAAACATCAGCACAGGGCTTTTCAGCTTCCATACCATGGCAACATATGCTCCGCCCATCGTGGCAATAAGTTGTACCGCACCAAAAGGCATGTTGAAAAGAATGGTTGTGAATTGGTCATATCCGAAGCCCTTGATGATGAGGGGGCCAAAGGTTGATATACCGCCACTCGGGACTCTGGAGATAATTTTTTTTTAATTTTTGGTCATAGTGACATGGAGGTACAGTTACTTACGATATCGAGAAAAGCATTGCGAACCATAACCAGGTTTTTGGGTCGAATACGGCTTCTTTGACGTGATCCCATTTCCAAACGTCATTCTTGATACCCTGTTGATTCAGACGTAGTCTAAATAATCAAGTAAGTATCTTATATTATGGTATATGTTGGGGTTTTTACCTTTCAACAGCAACTAGCTTGTCTTCGCCTTTGAGAAACTTTGCATCGATCGGCGAGTCAGGCATGAAAATCCTAGATACTAATTAAGTCCTTGTATTCAATTAAAGAATCTGGGATTCTTACAGGACAACCGCCGAAAATACGACGGTGAGGAGCCCAAAAAAGAGGAAGATAATCTGGCATAAACCCTAAGTTCGATCGGTTTTATCAGCATTATTAGGGACGTACCTGATACGGAGCCAACGTTGCAGAGCTGATATGACCCAGTCCCCATGAAAGCAGGCTTCCAAACTAGATGAATGATTAGTTAGAAGAAAACTGCATAGGCGAGAAGTATTGTTATATGCTCACCATATTGGTAATACCGTTCATTGCATACCATGCCCCAAGTCTCACTGGCTGCTCTCGTCGTCGATACCACATCTGGGTAAGGGAAATAAAAGCCGGTGCTAATTAGGATATCGAATTAGTAAAATCTGACATGAAGGCATAAAAGAAAGAAAGGTAAAACACACCAACGCCAGCCTCGAAAGCCCCGAGCAACATTCTACAAACCAACAATGAAGGAAAACTCTTCGCTGCAGCCATCGCAGACAAGACAGCTCCCCAGCAAAACACCGTCACGCCCAGGAACTTCCCCAGTGGGACCTTGACAAGCGTGTAAGCCACGATGGGCTGACACACAAGTTGCGCGAGGTAGACGACTGCGCCGAGCCATGAGTACTGTTGGCCGTGAAGATGCGCTGTGGTGACCAAGCCAAAGACAGAGCCGTAGGCGAGCGTCGCTTTGTCTAGGGCTTGTAGGAAGTAGATTCCCAGAACGATGGGAAGAATTCTCCAGTCGATCAGTCGGAGCACTCGAGCGTTGTTCTCTGGCGTCAGGATGGCGCTGTGGCCGGCATCTTCGAGCACATCTGCTGCTTTGTCTTTGCTGGCGTGTTCCTCGTGGTGGTGGTGGTGTTGTTGGCGCGAAGGGGTCGCGTCAACGTGTTCAATGGTTTCTGCTGCATCGTACGCGGCTGGCTTTGAATTGTCTGCCATGGCGATTGGGTGGCATAAGTGTCGTGCACGTTTGGAATAGACTGGTGAGATGGCAGAATTACAGACAGAGACAGACACAAACACAGGTATTTAGATACAGTCCTGAAATGCCCAGCTGCGCCAGTAACTAGCACGCCGGCTATCATACAAAGTCAAAGACCGGCGATGAAAAGCTTCCGGGCACATATTTGGGTATATCATCGTGAATCAGGTGTGTGATTGGTGTGTAAACAGCCGCCCCATCATCTGGGGGCTTTGACCGTGGGGGAAGAATGAGGGGAAGCCCGGGGAAGGCAATATCCGACAATAACTGACTCCATTAGCCCAATGCATATTTACTCTTCTTCAAAAGCCGACGAGACTGGCCAACTAGTCAGCAGGTGACCGCCCCACGATAAATATATATAATAGATTATAAAAATCATAAGAATTAGAATATTATGTAAAAACCCCCTTCAAAACAGATACAGATAGTCCAATTATCAGGCCTTAATATCTCGCCATTATATAAATATAACCATTAGAATAATTAGTTGAGACGATAATATAATTAGATTTCAGACTCTGCAATCTAATAGTAATAAAAATTACCAAATATACGTTATAATGTGATGTATTCAAGGACATGTAGGTAATTTTTAAGGCGGCCAGCCCAATTTACCTGCAAATATTATATATAGTTGTGGAGATATTAGGATCTGCAAATTGGCTATTGGTAGTGTATATTGACGATATTACGCTAGGGTTGGGGGTCGCTCGGAGAGAAAGCCAGTGCGGGGGGGATGTTGCCATCATGTGCTTGGAACGAGCAGCTTTATTGGCGTCTGGATCAAAAGTGCCCCTCCGTCTGGGATGAGAAGGTAGAGATGTTACTTTCCACTGTGTAACGACGGTGATTGTTCATTACTATTGTCAACGTCAATATGCCTCAAAGGGAGTTTGTACCGAAGAAATACGAGCGCCACAGCTCTGGCGACGCATCATCTGTACATCTGCGGTCAATTGACGGAAAGCAGAGCTTCAATTTCTCCTTTGAAGCCGTGCGACCCAATCTGTTCAGAGTGAGGTTCTCCTCGCCTGAGCATCCTCTACCTCCATACCCCAGTGTTTCCAACCCGGAAGCACAGCTGGGCGATGGTGCCACCAGCTCTCTCTCCACGACTGATAATCATTCTTCATCGAAAATCGAAATTGGAAATGTGGTCGCAATCGTCGATTGGAAGAACACCCCTGAAGTGTCTCTTTCTTGGACCGGGTCTGATAAACACCTGCATCGCGATCTATCAGGCCGGTCGTACGTGGTCGATGGCAGCGGCGTGACGCATTACAGCGTCCACGACCGCGATGCCCTGCACGTCGGTCTCGGCGAAAAAGCCGCCCCAATGGACTTGTCGAATCGTCATTTCATACTCTCAGCGTCAGACACCTTTGGCTACGACGTATACCGCACAGACCCGTTATACAAACATATCCCCCTGCTCATCAAAGCCAGCGCCGAGGGTGTAGTAGCGATCTTCTCAACATCCCACTCGCGCGGAACATGGAGTGTTGGATCCGAACTCGATGGCCTCTACGGCGCCTACAAGGTCTACCGCCAGGACTATGGCGGCTTAGAAGAGTATTTTATTGTCGGCAGGACCCTAAAGGACGTGGTTCGGTCCTACGCCGAACTCGCCGGTTTCCCACTGCTCCCTCCACGATGGGCATTTGGATACATCTCTGGAGGGTACCGGTATACCATGACTGACTCACCGCCTGCCAATCAAGTTTTGCTAGACTTTGCTGCCACGCTGAAGCAGCACGGTATTCCATGTTCTGCGCACCAGATGAGCTCGGGCTATTCCTTTTCGGACGCGACCCCAAGTCTCCGGACTGTCTTCACATGGCACCCGAAGCGGTTTCCTGACCCTAAGAAGTGGACAGCTCAGATGCATGCTGCCGGCATGCGCCTGCTGACGAACATCAAACCATTCGTGCTCTCTTCCCACCCGGACTTTGACAAGCTGAAAACCGCCTCGGCGCTGTTCGTCGACCCGGAGACGAACGAGCCTGGATACATGGCAGTATGGAGCGCCGGCGGAGGTATGGGGGGAGAAGGATGCCACATCGATTTCTCCTCGGAATTCGGCTTCAAATGGTGGTACGATGGGGTGCAGAAACTGGCCAACGCAGGGGTCGATGGCATCTGGAACGACAACAACGAATATACCCTACCTCACGACGACTGGGTGCTGAAACTCGACAACAAAGATACCCTCCTCTCAGACCGCAGTGGCAATAATGTGCCGGCCTCCCTGGGCCTCTGGGGCCGCAACATGCACACGGAACTCATGGGCAAGGCCTCGCACGACGCCCTCGTCGACCTGCGCCCAACACTACGCCCCTTTGTGCTCACACGCAGCGCGACTGCCGGCACGCTGAGATACGCCGCGAGCTCCTGGAGCGGCGACGACGTGACCAGCTGGGAGAACCTGCGCGGCGCAAACGCGCTGTCCCTCAACGCCGGCATGTCCCTGCTGCACTGCTACGGCCACGACATCGGCGGCTTCGAAGGCCCCCAGCCATCGCCCGAGCTGCTGCTGCGCTGGGTGCAGCTAGGCATCTATTCACCCCGCTTTGCAATCAACTGCTTCAAGACTTCACCCTCGGACAACCTCCTCGGCGACGTCATCGAGCCATGGATGTACCCCGAAATCACGCCCCTGATCCGCGACGCAATCAAGCGCCGCTACGAGATTCTGCCCTACATCTATTCGCTTGCGCTGGAAAGCCATCGCGCCGCCTCCCCACCCCAGCGATGGATTGGCTGGGGGTATGAGGCTGATCCGGAGGTGTGGAGCAAGAAGCTCAAGCAGGGCGAGGAGCAGTTCTGGTTTGGCGACAGCCTGCTGATTGGCGGCGTGTACGAGCCTGGGGTGAGCGTTGCAAGGGTCTACCTACCACGGAAATCTGCTGTAGATGGAGTAGATGGAGAAGAAGGAGGGTTTGACTACGGCTACGTGAATCTCACGGAACCATACCAGTACCTCGCGTCAGGTCAGTGGGTGGAGATTACCGCTGAATGGAAGAAGAGCATCCCCATTCTCGCGCGGATCGGCGGCGCGGTGCCCGTGGGTAAGAGCGTGGTGACGCGCACGCCCGGCGAGGAGAAGGTCGATGAGGCGGCGGCGAACCTCGAGGAGGATGATTACCGTGGTGTAGAGGTGTTCCCGCCTAGGGGAAGTTCGCGGGGCCAGGTGTTCAGGAATACGTGGTATGAAGACGATGGGATCTCGAGGACGGCAAAGGTTTCGAGTTTCACTCTTGCGTATAGTTCGACGGAGGAAAAGGTGACTGTTGGGTTGGCCCGTGGAGCGGATAATGGGTATACGCCGGCGTGGAAGAATCTTGATATCATCCTGCCGAATGGGGATCATAGACATGTGGTTTCGGACCTGGGTAAGCCGTTGGAGTACGAAGGCGTTGATTCGCGCGGTCGTTCGGTGTATAAACTGGTTACCTAAATACACATGTATGAAATGCACATGTATGTTCTGGGTGGATTGGAAGTATAGGCATAGATTTGAGTACAGAATAAATAATAATAGTACATTAAATACAACAAAACAATGTTCAAGCATCAGGCTCGGCTTGCTTAAAATACTGCTCTTCTTTAAGAGGCTCGTACGTCAAAACACCGCGAGCTGCGTCGTTTAATCTCTGCCTTTGGCCTTCTTCACCAGCCTTACCTAGCACGCCGGCAATGACTTCCAGACACGATATGCTGTCGTCGTTTGCCGGGATGGGATATGTAACTCGGGTCGGATCAGCGTCTGTGTCGATGATGCCGATGGTAGGGATATTGTTCAGCCCACACTCATGCAGCAACACATCATTCTCCACGGGGTTAAAGCAGACCACCAAATCCGGCTTCAATGCTCTAGGCAGGGCAATGCGCTTAGTGTAATGGGGCAGCTCCTCATCCACCGCATTGACGACTTTGACCGCACACTCGCCCAAAATCTGCTGGCTGTTGGTCAGACTGCCCGGGATCCAGCGCTCGAAAACATGGTATCCCTTGGCGAGCTCGGCCGCGCGGACGACGCTTCGTTTCTGGCCGTCACGCGTGCCAACAAACAAAATGATGCCGCCGCGTCGGGCCACCTCTTGGACGACCTTGGCGGCGCGGCGCAGATGTGCCGCTGTGACGTCGAGCGAGATGATGTGGATGCCTTCACGGACGCCGAAAATGTACCGCGTGTTCTGTGGGTTCCAGCGTGATGTCGTGTGTCCGAGGTGAGATTGCGCGGCGAGGAGCATCTCGAGGGTGATGTCGGAGGCCTTGGGCGGGTTTTTCAGGAGGCTTTCTGGTTTGTATGCCCCGGAAATTGTGGTGCCGATGTTTTTTAATTTTTGATCTAGATTCCACTATTAACCAGAGCTTAATCTTTTCTCCCCCTTTTTTTTTTCTTTCTTACATTGCTTAACACCTTTCCAGAAATTCTTGTGATGGGAGCCAGCAGTCTCGCTCGACTCCAGGCTTGTTGCTTCATTGGATGCAATATTTTCTATCGGATCACGAAGTTCATCCTGCACCAGAGGCTCTAACGTTGTAGCAGTTGTAGTTGTTGTTGTCGGTGTGTCGATCGACGAAAACCGGGCGAGTCTGCGAGGTGTCTGGATAACGAAGGCGGCATTGCGGCCTGACAGGGGAGATTAATTAGATATGTAGTTCCAAAATGCATCGGTTCAATACTTACTCTGCCGCAAGCAAAGCTGCCGTACAATCATTGCGTGGTGGTATGATTGTCGAGTGATGTTCTGGTCCTGCAAGATTGAATCGACAATTGATACTCGCGGCATTTTGACGGTTGCGCGCTAGCCGTTTCAGGTTAGGGTCTCCCCACACGTATCATTTGTGTATTCTAATATTCTGATATTATAATATAAATAGCTCAGAGTAATTTCGTGAATAGCATCTAGTTATACAGTTGATTACATGATCCTGTCTAACGATATCACGAACAAGCGAGCACTTCATCGCATACGTATCAATTCGTAATGATACCTCGAAAACAACCGAACGCCAGTATAAGGGCCTCCTAATAAGACCCGTGCCGATTAATGGAATCTCCAGTCATTCAACTAATAATAACACAAGCACGTCCATAACCTCGAATTCTCAACAGTCAAGACAGTCTATTCTACTGCGCTCACTTCTGGAAGAAGCTGCCAATGCCGCCCTGCTGGCCGGGAGGGCCACCCTGAGGGTTGGGGCTGTGGTCACGCTTCTTGTCCTTGATAAAGTCCTCGGCAATGCTGCCCATGATGGCACCACCGATTGTTCCCAGAATACCGTGGTTGGCCTTGTGGCCGGCAAATCCACCGGCTAGACCGCCAGCAAGCGCGCCGCCGAGACCACGCTCACCGTCCTGGGCGCCCTCGGGACCAGCTTGGCCTTCTTGCCTGTTCACGTTAGTATAAATACAAAACAAAAAGACATCTGCTGAGTGTGGGACGGACTCACCCTTGGCGGTTGTAGTCATGCTGGCCCTCCTGGCCGTACTGGTGCTGGCCGTATTGCTGCTGTGGCTGGCTCTGGTCGTGGTAGCCGCCCTGCTGCTGGCCGTAGTTGCCTTGCTGGTTGTAATCCTGGCCATAGCCCTGCTGCTGCTGGTGCTGGTGGTTGTATCCCTCCTGGCCATACTGGGGCTGCTGGCCATAGCCTTGCTGGCCATAGCCTTGCTGGCCGTAACCTTGTTGACCATAACCTTCCTGACCATAACCCTGCTGACCATAACCTTGCTGACCGTAGCCCTGCTGGCCGTGACCCTGCTGGCCACCGTACTGGCTGTTGTACTGGTTGTTGTAGTCGGACATGATGAGAAATGTGTGTTTACAGATGGACAGTCGATGTAGAGGAAGGATAGAAAGATGGAAATGGAAATGGAGGATGGATGGTTTAGCGCTGAGGGGGTTGAAGGTTGACGGTCGAGGTCAGGCGGGGTTGTTCCTGGCTTTATAGCCTGTCAGGTCACGCCATCAGCTGGACAAGCAGTGGACAGAGTGGACATGGACAGGCGGACGGCTGGTTGGGTGAGTAAGACCTAGCCCTGTGCCCTCCGTATTCAGGCGGTTCTTTCGCGCGCAACCAGAGTGGCTCTGGGTGACGCATGATATCCACCGACCGCAGACGTTGTTCACGCACAGCCAATGACACGAGCGACCGGGCCCTCGCGGAGCCTATTTTCAGCTGGCAACCTCCTCAGTACGTTAGTTACTTGCACTCACTACTAATTACTACTAGCACCGTGGTACAACCTACAGCATACTCAATGCGTCGCTCGATCTGTGGCGGTAATGTGCCATCCAGCCAATTCTGCAGCAGGACGTTGCGTTGCAGCAGACCCCGAGTGCACCGCCTCGCTCGCAATCATTGTCATTATGAGAATAGCACCGAGTAAAATATGGTAATCTTAAATAATTACCCCGCTAGCATGGCTGGAGCTGTGGCTTGGCAGTTCGCATCGCGTCCCGGAAATGTCCGTGCTATTATTAGCTGCTGCCTAACATCCGGGTTGCCGAATCGGTCGTTGGTGGCTGAGCATGTGGCTGAGCATCACACAGTGTACGGAGTACAAAGGACGTAGTTAGGTATGTGTCTACAGCCACGTCAAGTGGCTAGTGGCTGGGCGGTGCATGTTTACTTTCCAGGAAGGAGCTCGAAATGCACTCCATACTAGGCTAGTCTGGTCAGGCCTGACAATCTTAATAATACTACGATGTTGGTGATCCTTGAGGCTGACAACCACGTGAAGGGTTAGCCTGATATCTCCGCCTCAGTCAACTTTCATTCAGTCGACAAGTCCAAGATGCAGATGTCAGTTGCATCAATTGATGGCTTCAAGTTTCAATAACTTCGTGTTCAATAGCTCAAAATGCCTTTGCGGCCTTAGATGATGTCACAGTCACTGCAATCAAATGTGCCCGTCAGTTCTTTCAGCAAGAAAGATGGCAGATGCAAACGGAGCCCTTTTCCTGATCTCTACTGCCTCCTCTCTTCCCTTCATCCCACCCTTGACTCTATCCTCGAGACTGTGCGATGCTCCTACTTCGCTCAAGCATCCGAGTCAGGTCCTGTACTGCGGTAAGTTTGTGCTATTGCCTCTATGAGTGTATCGAGAGCTCGAAATATCGTGCATTAGCATCTTTTAAGGTCATGTTGATTTCGAGATTTCATGCCTCTTTCTGCTTTACTATACATGACATGTGCTGGTGTTATAAATAGAATATCTAATCTGACGAAAGGACCAAGTGATAGTTAGCTTGCTCTTTCAAGGTCTTGCGTAGCGAGATGGCCAACATCTCCCCTAAACAAAAGCGCCCGCGCCTCGACTACGAAAGCTACTTTGCTACCGAAGAAATGGAAAAAGCAAAAAAGAGCATTCCCTTCCAGGAAATGCCCTTCGATACTACCATTTACGTCGAGGTAGAAGGCAAGCCAGAAACCCGCATTGGCATATCTGCTTTCGCCCTTGTCGACAAGTTCACGACCTCTCCAATTAAGATTAGCGAACTGAAGTTTGATGCCTTGACGGCGCGCCTGGCAAAATGTACTGAATACTATCTGACGCGGTTGGCGGTATTCTATTTGAATACCCATAACAACACAATCAGAGAGCTGGTCTCGGATAACAACGGCTTTCAAGAGGCGATTCGTGAGATGATACTCCATTCGCTCTCTACTAAAGATGCAGACAAACCGGAAAAACCGACTTTTCTCTTTTTTGTGGTAAATCGTAAAAGTGAGTGAGTGTACTTTTCGCAAGGGATTTTCTGCTGACCATTTATTGTCGATAGACGTTGTTACTACCACGACTGCTACTGAGACTGTTGCCAAGCCCAGTATTGCTGCTGGTGCCGACACTGGTGCTACTGCTACTACTGCTGGTACCGCTACAGGTTTTACTGGTTCTACTAGTACTGTCTCCACCGGGACTGCTACTTCTAGTACTGATACTACTAGTACTCCAACCAAACTCGGTACCGTCACTCCTAGTCCTGCCACCACCGGTATTACTATCAAATTTGGTGCTGTCACAGGTATTGCGTCCAAAACCAACACGACTACTGGCACTACTGGCACTTTTCCTGCCAAGGCTAGTATTACTAGTAGTAATACTACCATAATTAGTCCTGCTAGTACTGCCAGCCAGGGTACTTCTGCCCCCACTAGCTATGGTTCCTGCTGTATAACTAATTCCATCAATTAGATTTCTTGCAGGGTCCTCAGAGATGATGGATGAATATTTGAATAAATGAAATGGATTTTTGGAGGCGCGTGTATAATAGTCACACGGTAAGAAAATGGAAGCATGAAACAGGGCATGAATGCATGTATTTACTGCTTTAGAGCCAGAATTAAGCGAGACAAGATAATTACAATTGGGTCAAATAGAGTGAAATATCGAATATCAGCTTGGGAGGTCAAATTGCATGGAGGAAATTGTGGACCTTGGTCCCTGCGATTGCCAAGAGGGCCACTGAGTTCATGATCTCGAATCTGGGGGCATATATATATACGAGGCTAATTTATTCACGTCATCACTCAGCGTCCAAAATGCTTTGGGTGTTACGGGAGAGGCTTAAACCCGGAGATTACCGATATAAAAACGAGCACTGGCTGTAAGAAAATGCAAATGTTGCCTTATATCCTAAACCTATTTAGCCTTCCGAATGAAAGTTCTCAGTACAAGGCCATCATGGACCATCCGTTTTCTGACCAAATCCATTCCTTAGTTGTAAGATCTATTCTTCCCTCATCTCTACATGCGTAGCATGCTGGAACTTTTCACTCATAACCGCAGCTGCCCCCTCTGGGTCCTCCAACGCATGCGGCACGAGCTGATCACCAAAGAGCTCATCCATTTGCTCCAACGTCTTGCCCTTCGTCTCAGGGAAAAGGAAGATGTAACAGACTGTAGCCACAATATTAAACGCAAAGAAGAAGTAAAAGAATCTAAAGCCCAAGCTTGAAAGCGCGATCGGGGCACACTGTGCAAACAGAAGATTCAAAGACCAGTTCGTGATTGTGGAGATGGAATTCCCCTTGGCGCGGATCTCAATGGGGAAGATTTCAGCAGGATAGACCCACGAGATGATGCCCGTAAAGGTGAAGAATAGGGAAAAGACTAAATTCATAGCTACCATGGCACGGAGCGCATTGCCGTCTGAGGTCTGCGCGCCAGATTTCACAACATAGTACTGGGAGAGCACGGCGTTAACCACTAGTGCGAGGGCCATTCCGGTTGCAGAGAAGATAAGAGGTTTGACTCGTCCAACTTTGTCAAGGAGGTATAGTCCTGCCGTACAGTAGACAATGGAAAGCGCTCCAGAGATGCCGACGATCATGAGGGAGGTGCCGGTGTCAATTCCAAGGATCTGGTAGATAACATTGCCGTAGTAGTTGATAACCTGTGTTTGATTTAGGACACTGAAAATTGGGCTGAAAGGGGCCACCAGGGGATTGGTTGGGGTTCAGGCGCATGAGAGGGAATCGCACATTGATACCAGAAAGCTGGCCAAATGCCTGCACGCCACAACCTAAAGCCAATCGCTTTCGCCAGCTGGGTTTCGCCATAAGCGCGGTCCATGTCTGAACCGAGACTGTCTTCTCTGCTACGATCGCGTCTCTGATCTCACAATATTCGAGCTCGAGGAATTCGTCGTTCGATCCGTTGCCATGAAGCTTCGTGAGAACCGCTCGGGCGTCTTCGTGTCGGTCTTTTTCGATGAGCCACTAGAGCGCTAAAATTAGACTTTTGCCGAATAAGGATTGAAAAAACCCCCCCCCCCCAAAAAAAACTGGGCAAGATTTAATATATTTGGTGGGTATGAGAAGGGAGACGACTGCAGATGGACGCTAGCGAGATACTTGCCCTGGGACTTTCTTGTAGGAACCAAATACCACAAGCAATGATGGTTCCTGGAACGACTTGAAATGCGAGGGGGAAGCGCCCTATTGAGTTGAATATTAACGTTGGCGCTTAGTATTTGGCACTGTGGGCATTCACATTGGAAGTCACTATTGACCTTGAAGCAACCGTATCCGAGCCACTGTGCAACGAGAAAACCCCACGACAACATCCACTGAAGCAACCCGCTGAGCTTTCCACGGTCCTGCGATATTGCAATTTCGGACTTTTAGAAAGGTCAGCAGAGGATCGACTTTTAATATAGTAAAGCAAACTTACACAATACATGGGAACAACAGCAGAAAGTAAGCCGACAGCGACTCCAGCAATAAATCTACCGGCAATCATCATGGGAATATTACTCGCGCCACCTTGCAAGGCACAACCAAGCACTGAAATGCATGCGCCGATGAAGACGGTCATCCGGCGACCAACGCGATCTGGCAGCCAAGCTACAGACAATGCACCTGGAATTGCACCTCCGGTGAAGGATGAGACTATTCCACCAGTTTGAGAGGATGTTGGGGTTCCCATGTATTTCTCAAAATAAGGCTGGACGATAGTGGAGGAGATGATACCGCTGTCATATCCAAAGAGGAAGCCTTGAAACACATGTTAGCGGTAATATGCATCTCAAGTTGGGCTTGCTGACCTCCAATGGCTAGAAAAACAGCTGTACCAGCAGTGGTTCCACGTCCCATGGTGTCGCTTTAGGATATATGCTTGTCCTGACGTTTCCTTGGAAGGTGCTTCAAACTGCCTCTGAAGTCAACTGAGAGTATTTACCACTTGACAAAGCTTATCCTTCCAAGAGAGCGCATGCACAGAATCTTGTAGTTTCTATGGCTCTTGCCTTGTCATGCGGGCCCCCATCTAGATTCGTGCGACCCGCGGCCGCAACCCTTGAAAAATATAAAAAGACCATCAATGCGGGGTAGGAACATGCGCCATCATGAGTTTGTGGAGGGCTGGAATGAGTCGAGTGAGGAATTGATCCTAGGACTGATAGGGTCGGTCTTCGTTCGCCCGAAATAGCGGCCGCTGACTGACTCGGTATATCTCAGTCCGATGACTCAAATTTAATAGGCAGTTGATGTTGGGTTTCTATCTTTTGGGCTTTCAACAGAGCGAACTCGCAAGGCTCATCCACGAGTTAATCCTGGTTTCTCCTTTTTTCCGGCGTTATATTGTGCCGATCGATGCTTTCGCTCTGGGATCTGGAGCTACGCGATGTTTTTGGAGAAAATTAACGAGCCCCCTTGGTGAAACTAAGATCCCGGGCCTCTCACACAGATTACTGGACCCTTGCCTCGGTACAATATTCAGCTTGCTGCTGCTTCTGTCTTCGTTGTCTATTTTAAAACTCTTGCAATGTCTTCTGAATTTGAAGTCCTAAATGTTCCAGCGAACCAAAAAGTAGAGAAAGTGCTGAGAACAAATTTCAATGATGCGTTTGCGCGCAAGGCCGAGTCACTTAAGCCTGAGATACATGAATGGGTTGGCTGTCCGCTTTCAGTCATCGACTTCAAGCCGGACGTAGAGGCATTCTTCAAATGCAAAGCGGTCCAGACGCATACAATCGAGGAACTTTCGACCCTCTCATACGGCAGAGGTGATCAGCTCATTCTAGACTTTGGCTGTCATCAAGTCGGCTACTTTTCCTTCCATCTAGGTGTCGATGGAGTCAATGTCGATGCCCCAGCGAGACTCAGTCTTGTGTTCGGAGAAGTCCCGTACGATGTTACTGAAGAGCTACACCCATGCAAGACCTGGATCAGTACTAGTTGGCTTCCAGATGAAGTTATCAATGTTGATTGGCTACCTGCCGATGTTTACATGCCCCGAAGATATTCATTCCGCTACGTCAAAATCCATGTCGTCGATACGTCACCCAAATACAAAGTGCGGTTCTTGGATATCCAGGTACGAGCCGTAAGCGCGATCCCTCCCATCGTAGCCTCAGCCGTCGAACCCTTGGCAACTGGGGACGATGAGCTGGTTGCCATTGATCGCATCAGTCAAGTCACGCTACGAAATTGCATGCAAACGGTCTTCGAGGACGGGCCTCGCCGTGACCGAAGAGTCTGGCTCGGAGATCTGCGACTGCAAGCCTTGACGAACTACTGCACATTCAAGGACTACACTCTGGCGAAGAGGTGTCTGTACCTTTTCGCCGCCTTGCCCCGAGAAGACGACAGTCTTCCCGCTTGCCTCTTCGAGAAGCCCAAGCTGTCTCCGGCGTCGGACTATATTGTGGATTATGATGCTCTCTTCGGGCCAACAGTATACGACTACACGGTGGCTTCAGGCGATGTTAAGACCGCTGTTGAGCTATGGCCGACGATACTAGGTAGCATGAAGAAGGCGCTCACTCACCTCGATGATGGTGGAAAGTTCAACTCCGACGCAACTCCAGCATGGAAATTCCTCGACTGGTCCGATGGCCTGGATACCAACGCAGGAATGCACGGCCTTGTTCTATTCTGCTGCAAAGAAATCAACAAACTTTCAACGCTGATATCAGAACCGGCCCCTTTCTCAGATGTCGTTGATAAAATGACTGATGCGGCATCCTGCTTCTACGACGCAGATCTGGGTGTCTTCGTGAGTGGTCCTGATCGTCAGGTGTCTTGGGTAAGCCAAGCTTGGCTCGCTCTGTCCGGTGCCATGGATGCCCCAACATGTCTCCGGGCCATCACGACCGCCATGGCTGATCCGGATGCTATTAAGCCATTGACTCCTTACGCCTATCATCATGTCGCAGAAAGCCTCGCTCGATGTGGAGGAGAAGAAGAATGCGTGAGGCTGATGCGCGAATACTGGGGTGGGATGGCGAAGGCTGGTGCAGATACGTTTTGGGAATGTTTTGATCGCGAGGACTCGAGGAAAAGTCCATATGGAGATTGCCATAACAATAGCTACTGTCATGCTTGGAGCTGTACACCCAGCTACTTGTTGAGGGTTCTTTTGAAGGACTACCTTGCACAGTGCCATATGAAATAGGAGCTATATATTGTGCATTTTCCCCGTATGTTTAATCCCCCGGTGACTCCATTCAACTAAAATTTCATTTCGATTTTCGTTTCAAATTTCGATTCTATGTGTTGTCGGTTACCTATTGGCATGTGCAAAGGCTTTTCCCTGGTGACTGTTAATAGGCCGAAATGTCGTCCAGCGCGTCTACAATTCTCTCTCACCATCTCTGGCTTAACTTCGTACAAACACATTGGAGATGCCGTACATCGAATACCCTCTGACGTTGCATTACGATGCTGGTATACATGTAGACATACGCGAAGGATTCTTGAAATCGAGGCGCAAGATGGAATGATGGCGCTGTCTACTCCCAGCATCTTATATGGCAAGAACCGTGGCAATCGCAGTGGTTGTAAGGCTGATATGGCTAGTGGGCGCTTTGACGAGCGCGTGACCAACGAGACAGTTGCCATAGTAGTGAATTTGACGTATTGCTACGCACCAGAGCATATGTTCCTAGCGGCCATTGATGATATCGACATGGCTATCCGCCTTATCTAGCAGAACGCAGCGGCGTGATGGGCTATTTACAGAAGTGCCCATACCCATATACCTTTACCAGTTCTCTCTGGCCCAAATCTTGTACCTACTTACTGTATTATGATTGGTACCGAAAGTCACCATGGAGTAGATACGGAATGATAAATGGATATTCAAGTGGGACAGGCTAATAGTAGTACACTCCGTCATTATTCATCTTTCCGCTCTCAGCCAATTCCTTCAAGCAATTTTTCACTCGCTCAGCGATCTGCTTGCCATATTCAAGACCAAGTTTTGGCCTAGCGTTGCTGGGATCAAAGCTGTTGCTCAAATCATGGCGCAGCCATGGCACGCTACTTAGCCCCTCACAGGCTTTTCGCATTTTGGCAAAGTCGTCGTCGCTGTATCCGCCTCCTGTAACGATGGCTACAGGTTTCTGACCGTATCGCTGGGATCCGAGATTCTCTGAATCGTTGGCTGAGGGACGATATCCCTGTAAAAGAGAGGGTATCTCGTTTATTCCACTCTCCACAGACATCATGATGTGGATCGCTATAATTTATTTAGTCGCCGCGGAAAAAAGAAAAAGAGAGGAAAAGGAAAAACAGAAAAATAAAAGCAAAAAAACGAGAAGGGCAAAATTGAAAAACTCACCATCATACGCTGGTTTGAGGCCCTCTCTCACACCAATTGCGACTTGCGGCACCTTGCCGCACACAATGAGAGGCATAGGGAATGCCATATTCTTTAATCCATACGCTTCCCAAAGTATGAACACAGCCAATCTTTGGAATAATCACGGATTTTTCTTCCTGGTAAAGAACGCAAAACTCCTCAAGTTGTTCGCACTCAGACAAGGATTTGCTCCAGCTATTGAGACTTCGCCATAGGAGCAAAGTGGAACAGTAAACGACATCGGCGTCATCTATGCTGAACGAACGTTCGATCGGTATTTAACGCGCCGTCCGCACCGAGGGATTTATAAGCACAGAAACACACCACAATCCAGATGCGTTCGTCACAATTCCCAAATTTCCCTGCTTAGTAAATTTATATAGTGCAGTCTCAAGTAGGGCCTGACAGGCTTTGGAGGACCAAGCTATTTCAAAGAGTCCAATGATCGGAATCCCATTTATAAGCTCCCTCCAGATCAATACTTAACCTGTCCGAAGCAGACATAGAAGATATTAAACGTCCTTGCAAATCCGGGGAGAAAATTTTATATTTTGATTATTGCCAGTATATAGAATAAACTCTGGAAAAATACATTGATGCTTAAATATTCAAATTTCGTATGATCCTTGTCTTTTTCTATATTAAGAAAGTTTAATGTTCGTTATTATTGGTTTACAAACTACATTATATCCAAGTTACCACACGTAGCTACGTCACCACTCCGAGAAACACATGATTATCATGTGGCTGAGCCCATATATACCCATACAAGAGGGATATTGCGTCCTTCGAACACATTTACAGTAGTTGCCGGGAATAAGGTTGGGTATCAAGTAGATGTGACAGTGCCGCTACCCTTGATTGTCGTATATTTGGATGATACATATCATCTGAGTACTGATGGATCAGGCACACCCTTGTGGGCCCTTTCACCTTGGATAGCGTCTTTGTTTGGAGTCACTCTATCTTGATTCTGCCCCTCCTTCTTGATGCTCTTCCACTCCGTTAGCAGAGCCCCAGTCGTTTCATAACACGCGATGTTGAAATAACCTCGCAAGGCATTGGTCATCTTTCTCTCTTCACTAGATTCTGCTATATTCGAGCTGCGCTCGGCGCACAGGAGAACCATTAACATACAATTTCTATTTCGTTACATACGCAGCGTCCGACGACAAGATACCCTTGTTGTGTTACCCGAGATGCGTGTATTGAGTGCGGTTGCGGTAGTTTACTTATCATGGGAGTACTGTAGATAATAGACGTCATCTTTATTGATGCAACTTGTGTTGAGCAGTTATATGAATGGTTCCAGTTAACAGGGGTTTCTAACCAAGTCGGTAGAACGCTGGGTATAAAAACACCGTCAAAATGCTTATTTTCTATTGAAATTTGAATATATTGTTTTTCTATCTATTAACAAAAAAGTCGTCCATACGGCGCTTTACAGATATTGAAAACTGAGGGGGCTATTTTCTTTCGATGGACAGGATTGTATTGTTTATAACCCTAACCCACCTGTTGTCAATATCGGTGAGGCACTCAGGGGACGAAATAAATCAGGCTCGCCTAATACAAGGGAAACAATCAACTTTGGAAGACAGAAAACTAGGTCAATTCAAGCTGTGGATGTCGTCACTAGAAAGAAATAGTGCTTATATCAGAAAATTAGCGAATAGAGGCGGGCACATGTTTCTAGGAAACTTACGATAAGGGAATAGCTCATGCAGCACAAATACCTTCCACGTGGAGCCGTCGGAACAAGTGGGCGCGGCATTGAGTACCTTGAGGGAAAGACTCGGCCACAGCCTTAAAATCCTCACGATTGAGACCGTCCCGCAGATGATGAGCCGACTCCCAGACGGACACATTGATCAAAATATGGCTATCGACGCCTTGGTGCATTTGGGTAGAGATAAATCCAGGACAGTACTTCAGGATTTCAGCGGTCCTTTTCCAGGTTGCGAGTGCTTCGTCGATTTTGCCTTCAGGAATGGTGAAAGTATTGGTAAAGACAACAGTTCCTGTCTCTTCTTCTAACTGCTGCCTGAAAGGCTTCTTTGGATCGAGATCGTAGAAAGTAGGCATCTTGGAACGTCGGAGCGAGAAGATAATATAACTTAAAAGTAATGCGGACGATGACAAGGTAGTGTTATTGATTGAGGGCTGGTTGGTACTTATACGAATGCTATTATCAAAGACCGTATGAAACATGCTTACGATGACCTAGATGTGTGATTACTTTTCTTCTAGCTGTAAATGACGCCTTGTGGCGACTACACTATACTCTATTGGATCGGATTGGGCGCTCCAGGTCTCTTGCGTAGCGGGGAAGGCTACTTTAGTTTTCTCCAGTCGCGGCAGCAAATCATGAATTAGTCAGAACCCCCACAGCTCTCGCTTTCGGACTCTGATCGCCTAAGCAATGCGAATTCGCTGCTGACCGAACCGGTCGTTAGCTAACTAATGCCTCCCGAACAGGTAATAATTAGAGCGCTGCGACAGGGTATAAAATCACCTCCCAACTCGATCGCTATAACGCTTATTTGTATATCCAGGTCCAAGTCCAGCGTTTCTAGAGTCTTGATTAACCAGAACAACCAAGCAACCATTCTCTGCCCTTCAATCAATTTTAGTAGGCCACTAACACCATGTCGAAACTTATTACCGTCTTTGGAGCCACCGGAAATCAGGGAGGCTCGGTCATCCGCGCGCTCCTTGCCGATCCGGTCCTGTCGAAGGAGTTCAAGATCCGCGGTATAACACGAGATTCCAGCAAGCCCGCTGCCCAGGAACTGGCGAGCAAGGGTGTTGAGTTGGTGAGCGTGAGTGTCTCCCCCCTCCACCTGCATCAATGAGCACAAGCTCAATGCGGCGCCGTATTCTGGGGAGTGGAATTAATAATGCCTCGTAGGCCGACTTGGGATCCGTCGAGTCCGTCGCTTCGGCTGTAAAGGACGCTCACACGATCTTTCTGGTGACCAATTACTGGGAAACTGCGTCCCGTAAGGTCGAGGTCGAGCAGGGCAAAAACGTTGCCGATGCTGCCAAGGCAGCAGGCGTCTCCCATTTGATCTTCTCGTCCTTGATTAATGTCACTGAAGCCTCCAAAGGCTCCCTCCCGAACGTCCCTCACTTTGACGGGAAGGCGGAGATCGAGAGGTATATCCGTGCCAGCGGTGTACCTGCCACCTTCGTGCTGCCGGGGTACTTTATGAGCAGTTTGATCTCTTCCCTGCGGAAGCAAGAAGATGGTAGCTACCAGATGTTCCTTCCAGTCAGCGATGCCGCTCGGTTCCCGCTCTTCGATGCGGTGAGCGATACTGGTATGTCCTCCCCCCGTTATTTTGGAATGGGTTTTATCCCGGCTTTCCTCTCGGTGTGCCCAGGTCTCCAGAAAACACCCAGTCTAACGTTTTCTATAGGCAAATTTGTCACTGCGGCCATCAAGAACAGGTCCACTGTTCTAGGCAAGCACATCTATGAAGCCGTGGACTACTACTCGCCATCTCGCATCGTCAGTGAGTTCACTGAAGCCACTGGAAAAAAGGCTTCCTGGACCCAAATACCTGGAGATAACTACAAAGCATTCTTGCCAGCAGCTGTAGCGCAGGAGTTTCTGGAAAATCACTTACTCCTGGAAGACCCTGGCTATTATGCTAGTGCCAATCTGGAGGAGAGCCTCGCTCTCGTGCAGCAGCAACCCACTACGTGGAAAGAGTTTGTTACCAATAATGTGGCCAAGTTTGCTTAATTGTGACCCTCTACAAGAATTAAAACCATATATCTAACATTACAACACTGTATGAATCACAGATAGGTAGTCCACATAGAAAATTCTATCTCCTCTTTGTCTCAGCCTAATACTTATAAACGTGACATAACTGGACATGTTTTAAATATATGAACATATCCTCTATGGTCACACCCGAAAGATCCTTCCATGTTTTGCAAATAGTGACCAGTTTCAAACCCTAAGCGCTCAGAAAGAGCTAATCTGTAAGAGGTTAATCTATATTTTCGATTCATTTTCTCTTTGAATGGTACATTACCAACCAGAAAGCTCTCTGAGTAATCCGTATTGTTACAATCCCAAAAATACCGAAAATATGATGTCTCCCCATTGAAAAGGCCATGTGCATTCATATCATCAAGCCATCGCTGTTCCGCGTAACGTGCTCCTACTAAGTTCAAAGGAAAAGGAAAAAAAGGTGCTTATTTGCTGGCTCCACTGCAAGGACGTATGGATCTGTTCTTGGGTCGCCAATTGCAACTATGTAACAACTGCCACAACCTTTATCTTGCATGAAACGAATGAATCAGATATTTACCATGCAAAGTAGCGAACCCCAAAGATACTTGTCGAAGAGTGAAAGAAGTCTATTTCCATAAATGAATGCAAAAATAATATTCCTGAGCTGGATTTTCTAGGCTGTCTGGTGCGCAAACATCCAAGGAATAAGTGGTGGAATGCGTTGTATCTCGTTAACAAGTGGTCGCATCTGCTCCTCATACCCCTTTAGCCCTACAGCCAGATCCTGTTGATACTGCCCAATCATGTCTATCAAGATATAGGTCTTAGTAATGGCCAAACTGGTACCTGTGCCTGTTGGACCGGGCACATAGCCCGCATTATCGACTAACGCGAACTGTCTTTCGTATAGGGTTGGTGCTTTGACCTGTGTTTATTTGATGGCGTAGAAGTCATCAGTATCCATCATGCTTTGGATTGCTTTTTTGTATTTCCAGCCTGCTTATTTGAAGTGTTTTGCAATAAATGCCTTCAGTGCTTTGGTGCCGAGTTTGTTCGCTTTGTGGAATTTTGTTATTGAGTTTGTGGTTATTGCATGGGTAGATGCCTGAGTAGTAGGAGTTGGGGTATTGGGGGTTGGCTTACTATGCTTTTGCTTATTGATAGTCATCTGAACCCTCGCTGATTAGGGATCTGGCAATAATTTTGGAGGGTTTCAGTTGATATGTATTCACTATGTGCAGGGCTTTACTTGGGTCATTTTCTACGAAATGTAGAGATGGTGAGAGCTTAGTGTGTTGTGATGAGTTTAGTGATAAATTTAATTGGATTAAGATATAAGTTTGAGTTGTAAAGAATTTATCTGTCTAGATATATTTATATGCGAATTTATACTAATATTTATTATTAAAGATAAGATATTAAAAAATAAAATACATAATTGTGTTGAGATATTAGGATAGAATATGGTCATTTAATATCGTGCATAGGGGTGGCCAGGTCGCTTAACTATAACCAGTTGATTGTGTTGACTAGTCAGGTAACTCCGAGACGTTCCACAAACCAGCTTCTTTCCGGAGCGTTAGGAAGCGCTGTGATGTCTATTCTAGTCTCCACGGAAATGGCACGTAGAGGTTCCTCATCACTGAAATGGCCCGCAGGATGACTTTGTTGAACTCGCTGGCTATTACGGGTTGGGTATGGATTATTTGAAACAGATCTGTTGGTAGAGTCGAAGCCACGCCATACTAATCTCAGTAGAGGCCTCAATGTCGGAAGACAAGCCGAGATAATTGCACAAGAGACTTCAATGGTAGCCCAGGCAAGATTAATGGCTGCTGAGTCTGATTCCAATGATTTCAAGGTCAGCAAAACTGTTCACGGGTGTAGTTGTAAAGCCCACCTACAGCTTGTCTCGTCAGAACTATACGCAACGATCGGTACCAATCGGTAAAAACTAGCAAACAAAACACTGTCACTTGATCAGTTTTTGTTTTTTTAATTACCAAGACAAGAAAAAGAAAAAGGTTGATCAAGACAGATAGAGACACGTACAAACCACCCAGAATAAAAACGCAGGTTAATGAAATTCGAGTGGTCATTGAGCAGTGAAGTTTCCATACACTTCGGATGGGCAAACAGAGCATTGCTATATCCGACAATATATTCGGTATTGAGCCACCAAGGTAATAACCCAATCTGTTGATACAGTGGCCTGGAACGGAAGGGTTCCAAAACTTGTTCACGGGTACACATTGAAAAAGCGTTACGAACACAGCGGCAATAGCCCATAATATCACGAATAGTCCTATTATGCGTGTTATAGTGCGTGTCGTTTTATCGATGAAAACCCGCCAGTATAACAGTAGGACTGACATTTTGATTGTCGCCATGGTGAGATTCCAGATGAGTTCGTAGGCGAAAATAAGCTACCCAAAAGTAATCAGTAATATACTTGGAAATTGTAGAATTCACTTATAGCTAGACAATCAAGCTTACCTGGTTACAAAGCTGGAAGTATTCTAGTGGGAAATCAACGAGGTATAAGCCCAAACCATGATTCACCGCTGTAGTCTATTAGAAAATTGCACTGAATTTGATGCTGAGAGAAAGGAGAAAAAAACCAAATGAAATACATACCATCCAAGTCCAATGCAAGCAATATCAAGTCGCCTATCTAGTTGTACACTAAAGGTGGGTATTTGGTCTGCATGAGGGAGAATTCGACATACCATTGCTAAAGTGAGGAGAATATCTTCTATTCCATAACCTTTGTTATTCACATATCGCGCTAGGAAGCGTAATAAAACGAAGACCAAGGCGAGTACAGTGACAGTAATTGTACTCGCCCTATTATGATTCTGATAGCCGTCATTATTGCTTGCCATTCCGGTATATGTATAAGGTTTCCGGATGGTTTGACATGATGTTAGACTTTCAAAGTAATCGAAACAGAGAGGCACATTACCTGGCATAATATATACGGTGGCAAGGCCACTATCTCGGCTAGCCTGGCCTGGTATTGCAATCAGCAGCTCGAGTCAGGGGTCTGAACTATTAGCATGGACATCTGTGGCTATCTAACCAAGCAGGAGTCAGGTAAGCTTCGCGCTAAAGTTCTCATAAATCAGAAATTGGAGAATATGCCGGCGTCAGTAGGGCTATGCGCAGCCCAATATGCGTTTGGGCAATGTTTCAACTGCCGCATGCAGATCTCCATTTATCAAGAAATGGAGTATCGGCCAATGTATACACTAAGCCAGGGCCAGAACCGGTGGTTCATCGAATCCTAGGCAGGGATCATGTTAAACCGCATAGACCTAGTTCTGACTTTGGTCTAAACTACGGAGAGACTACACCGAAGGAATGCTGAGTACGAAGGGCACGCTTCGTGGCTTGGCACGCACTGTGTCTTTGGACGCCACAAATTCGAAATAATTTCAGGGAACGTAGAACATTGAGGAAATGAATGGCAGTCTTCTTTGGCTCTGCTACAGGTAACATCGCTCCATATCGACGTAAGCCTCTGGATCAGGAATCAATGCTGTATCTTATTTTCATAACTGTAGGATTCGAAGACGAGGAGTCTAACTAGGTGGCTATTTTCGCAAGGTGTCTAGACTGGCCGGAGAGTCGAATGGCCTCAAATGCACTAGTTTAATGGGTAACACTAGCGTTTGGGAGCATTGTTAGTGTCCATCTCCGTATAGAGGTACGTATAGAGGAGGGCACCAAAAGATCTCGCAATACCCCCCTAACGCGCTAGTAACACCAGCGAACACTAGTGCTGACGCTAAGTGTTTTCTTGTGTACTACGTAGTGAGTAACTTAGCGATAAGCCACTAGGAATGCCGAAAGGGATTAAAAAGTGCGACATGCGGGGACAACAGCTGAATCGTTACAAGGACACTTTCTATCTTTGCGGAGATACCGGAAAGCGCTCCTGATACAGTTTGCACTAACCCATGATTCCTGCTGATACGTGAACTCCTTGTTTCAGGTTACTTAGTAGCGCGAACCATCTTCCGCCTCACCTCATGTCCCTGCTTGTATGGCCTCGAATCTACAGCCCTTTTGACTACGAAGTCACCTTGGCAAGCCCGTTGAATGGCTTTCTATGGTTTTCTAAAGGGAGGAAGGTGAATACGAGAGGGGCCGTGCGGCTCTTCATTGTATGACTCGCTCGTGGACCTATTTAGTGCCGGTGTTTTGGGTTTGAACCTGAAGGAAATGTTAAACCAACCGACAAAGAATTTCTTTTGATGAGGTGATACAGTTGCACGTTTAACATCGTGTATATAAGAAATTATATATTACAAATATATATCAACTTACAGATGTCAAAAATTTCGTGCTCATGGCGAGCGCTCAAGGCAGTTACCAGATCCAAAATAGGGCTAGCACAATTGCTCTACCAATACTCTCTCTTATATTTCTTGTACTGCGCTTTCTGTCACGACGTCTTACCCAGGGTGTGGGAGTTGATGACTGGCTCCTGCTGGTTGCAATGGTACGTATATAACATTGAAATTGCCATTTCTCTTGACGAAATCAAAACAGAATCTAATTTCTAGCTTTGTGGCATAGGTACTACTATGCACAACGGCTGCATTAGACTTGACAAGTAAATTCCTATATTTACTCTCTTGCCTTATTCACAGACAACGGGTATAAGAACACAATTTGACATAAACAAGTGTTACAATACGGATTAGGTCTTAATGAAGACGACTTTCCGCCAGAGAATACCGCTTTAGTCAATAAGGCAAGTTAGATCTGCAGTATAAGGGTTAGATTAGCACGCTGATTCATCTTCTATATAGTTAATTACCGCATTTGACCTTCTTTACATTTCTACATTGGCAACGATCAAAATTTCTATCCTCGTCTTATATAGACGCATTTTCATTGATACAAAAACATATTTTGCTACATATATTATTGGGACCCTTGTCTTAATACTATTTGCTGTGGGTTTATTCGTCGAAATCTTTCAGTGTACGCCGGTGGACAAAAACTGGGATCGCTCTATTCCTGGCTATTGCATTACTTCGACGACTTATTTACTTATTGGCGCCATTCCAAATATTACGACGGACATCTTAATACTCATATTTCCTATTAGCTCTGTATGGAAGCTTCAGACATCTCTTTTCCGACGAATTTTGGTATCGTGCATATTCTTAACAGGAAGCTTGTATGTTCCATCTACCTCATCAGATCATTTATTCCCTGTTCTTGCGAATGGATTCCGTCAAACTGACTAGCCAACAGTGTTACCTTCATGAGCATCTACCGATTTATACCACTCGTTCACTTTGACGAAGCTGACTATTTCTGTAAGCAATCCGCCCCAATAAATTAGCTATTTGAATAACACGAGGCATCGGTTAGACTCGGCATCCGTTGTCAATAGTCGCAGTGTGATAGAAGCCTCTGCTGGACTTATCTCTGCGTGCCTTCCCACATTGAGGCCACTTCTAAAGCGCTTATCGTCTCGATTCGATACCACCTATATAGCGGACTCAAACCGCGCCCAGCAACTTTCAGGCAATCATAATCAAGCTCGATTTTCTTTTTCAAGAAGGAATCGAGCACAACATACCGATCTGGCATCTCAAGACAATGATCAATACCCTTTACATTCTATCCACACAGAGATTACTTGGGAAGTTGACTCAATCTCCGCCGAACATTACAGACGTCACCCCGATTACGGAAGTTAATCTATTACCAATTAGGGTAGATTCAATTTGCTATCCCTGTTTTATAATTGATACTTATTTAAATGGAATGTACTTCTATCAGATATATACTGAGCTTGATTCAAGCATTTTCACATTCAAAATTTCAGCTGGCAACTTCCAAGCCATATAAGTGATATAATATGGAATTATAGCGACAGAGAGAATACTCATTAATTGGCCTTCCGGGTGGGTTAAACTACCTAAAAGAGCTAGTTCCCCTTAATGACACCATGACTCCCAGAGACATAGAGCGATAAACGAATCACGGTCATCGTAGTAGTAAATCAAGGATCTGTGATTGAAAAAAAAGTGAAATATAGTAGATTAGACCAGATTAGATTATTTATACCCCAGTTAGCCTTTGTTGCCATTTGGGTTATCTCTATTTTACAGGGAAACCCTTGGGCTATTGTTCCCCAGGATGAAAACCCTGTCCTCGCAGCTCACCAGTGCGAGTTCATTGTTAGATCTTCAAATTTGGCTCTCCTGGTTATCTAGGAGTAATTCCCTTGAGCGGCATATCCCATCATGTATTGGTTCTTATAATTCACTCAAAACTTTAGTGTCGATCAAACCGATTTGATTTACACCTCAATTACCATGGTCAGAATGGCGTTGGGAGACGAGGACATGTTGCAGATACAGTCGGATGGATCACGTTACAGTAATCCGAACAGTCCAAAATTGCATGCCATGTATAAGCCTGGTCCTTGCGGTAGTGCGTATCGCTGCCGATACGGAGATGATTTCGAGAGGGGGTTACACTTACTAAAACCTTCAAGCATTTGCAACATAATGCAAGGACATATTCCACGATAGTTACTAGGTTTAAAGACCTTGAAAGTCGTTGAGGTAGCCTTCTTCCGGTATGTGGGACGGATTAATAATGATTGATAATACTTGACAAATGTAGTGACGCCATTCTCATTGAGACTTAGCGTTGGGTATGCGGGGAAAGTGGAGAAATAAACGTAGTGACCCCACTCTCATTGAGACTTGGCGTTTGGGATGCGGGGAAAGTGGAGAAATACATCTATATGCCCATTTGAATCACGATGAAATTATGTTAGGAAACCACTAAGAACGGGTTAAAACTATCGTCGAGCTTTAAACCACTATAGCAAAAAGGGCGCAACCCTTATTTAGTAAGGATTCTAGTCGCATATTATTTCTGACAACTATTTAAAGGCAAGCGGTCCTTAAAAGCAGCTAACACCTTGACCAACCAATTACGGCGGCTGGACTTGAAGTACTACGGCACTTCAAGGCATCTCTCTTACTGTTAGTTGTGTTCTACTATTACTTAACCCCTTTGGCAACCTTAGTATATCGTTACTAGTTACCCTCAAGGAACCTCTGAGTGGTTCAACACATCGTATCGTCCCTCGACACAGCCAGTGGCAACTACAGTGGGTCCAGGTGCGTGACACCAGGCTCAAAAAAAAGTTGTTTCTAAACCGGAGAAGATCCAACCATAATAATCTAACAGGGCAGCTACACATTAATACTTAAACCAAAATTAGATATATACATAATCCTGGACCATAAGGAATCGATAGTAAACAGTACATGTGTAGCTCGTGTGACAAGTTTAGCCCGTAACAGTTCTTACTAGTAAATTACATGAATATGTCATCCCTCCGATTTACCTGTTGTATGGTACAGTAGGACGTATTGTTACCCCGCATCGATCATCGTTATCGAGAAGCGGCTGTCGTCCCTATCGACTACGTGCGGCAGTTGGAGAACCGCATTGCAGATCTTGAGGGCCGCAGATGGGCAGCGCACTCCAACTCCTGCCCTAGCAATGGGGATGGAAGAGTGGATCCCGGGCCGAGCCATCATCCCGTATCACACAGTAGACCGTCTATTGAGGAGACATTCCTATCTGTAGGACCTGCTGTGTCGCAAAATGCTCCGTCCTGTGGCCCTTCCTATCTGGACGGCCGCGGTACTACTGCGCAGGCGGACACTGTTTTCCAGGCAAGCCAAAGCAGCCAAAGTCGCTCAACATGGCCACCAGCTGAGATTGTGTAACACGGTCGTAGCAGGCAGGGCCGTGTCCGGGGGTGTCTGGAAAGACTAGATGTGGTGACGGGTACTGGCATGCATCATGCCCGGGGCCTCATGGTATCAATTATGAGAAGTCACAATTCACCCCCGGGATATCCCTGAGCCCCCCGGTCCTGCCGGATCAGGCATAAACATGCTCCCTGAGTCTATCCCTGCTACAGATTTCCAGATCGCCTTGACGACCATTCACAGCTCCGTTGGAGTTCTCCGAGTAGACTCTTGAAGATGAATCACCGGTCAGCGAGCTCTTTCAACTTATCAGCAAGTTCAAGAGCCATTTCATGCTCTCCATGATCAGTGAGTTGGACTTCAACTCCTACTTCCAGGAGGTTCATCCGCACTGGCCCTTCCTGGACGAATGCAAAGTCCGAACATGGTTTGATAGACGGTTGGCCGAGGGGACCTACAAACATCGGTATCATGGCTTCTTCGTCCATCTCATATGCGCCATAGGAGCTGTATTCTTTAGCACCACCGATCAAGACTATCCCCACCTGTCACGATCATGTACGCTATATGAACGCACTCTTCGCGAATACATCCCGGATGTGACACGACAACCACATATTGTGCAGGCGCAGGCATCACTGTTGCTCATCATGTATGCCATTCATGCTCCGTCACTGATCAGGGTGCATGGGCAACCGCCGCTATGCATTGTATCGAAGCATCATCCAGGCTATTCTCAAGCGGTGGGCTGCATGGCGGTGGTTCATCCAGGTCGGCCAACGAAGTGAGGCCCGCAGACGAAAGATAAGCCGGACGGTTCTCGTCGCATGCTACACCGCCTACGAGATCATTTCCACGGGCTGGGACCGGCCGCAATCCGGGCTCTTCCAAGGGTTGGATGAAAAGGTACGCGGGCAATCGTCCTGTATTCCAGTCTGCCATACCTAAGCTAACGAATAGACATAGTTCATCAAGACCTCCCCACTGTCCCGAGTGTACACGGAAGTTTGGCTGTCCGCGTACTACCAGAACTACCTACATCTGCCACAGGTGTATGGACCACAAGAGATATGCATCCGCAGAACACCCCTTTCTTGTCCTAACCAGGGCAAGAAGTTAATAACTTGTTATCTAGGAGGCGCCGGGACTCTTTGCTTTGATCTATCCGGTTGATCCAGATACGAAGATGCCCTTTACCTCTGTCCAAGATTTAGGACGACTGGTGCTCAAGATTGCCCACGATCCGTCGCCCTTCCAGTCCAAGACGATTTCGCTGGTCAGCGAGTTTACCACGCCCGTCGACCAGTTACGGGCATGGGAGAAAGGCGAGTTCTGGTTGCCAGACTCAGTCCCAATAACGGTAGGCTGGTGCTGACGCATAAACTTAACAGAGAGGGGCGTGCAAACTCGGTTTGAAAGTCTCTCCCTGCAAGACTTTCAGCGGCGATTGGAAAAAGTTCACGGGTTTGACCCCAAGTTTGCGCTGACTATGGCCGAGAATATGGCTATTTATCAAGATAATCCCAACATGTGGGTGGATGGAAGCGGTATTAAAATGTCTGATGTTAGTTCTCCGTTTCTCTTCCTTCAGACCGTCGTACGAATCCCGTAGCAGTGGAATTATACTGATATGTCCAGCAGATCTTTTCCGACCTAGTTACTTGGGAGACATATTGAAGCAGGAGGATTGGTCGTCATTCCAAACTACCATGTAAAGCACAAAATGCATTTGGCTTGTGAAAAGATGGGGAATTGGCACTGCAGATCTTGATGATGTCAAGGAACCTATCCAATTGTGTCATGGACACTTGGGTTTATTCATCTACAAGGGAAGCCGCTTGGTAGCCTGTACAGTAACCGTAGATGTTTTCTGTTCAAAGAAGAAATATTTACTGTTGACCAATATACATCATAAAAACCTCTCATCATCATACTTCTCTGATTTGTTTTAGTCATGTTTACTGTAGCAGCCAAGAATGGAGAAGAAAAGAAAAAGGGGATTAGTGTCTCTCAGAGGATCAAGAGTACCTTGTGGACCTTGCGATCATTGAAGAGAAGATAAGCTTCCATAGCATACTCAATACTCATTTCACGGTCGCATAAGAATGCTATCTTGTCCTGGACTTCACTCAGGCACGACAAAGCATCCTCGAAGATGCCACACACAGGGCAGCGACCCCAGGCGATAGTGACATTCTTGACATACAACGTCGGTCCGTCAAATGACAGCTCATCGGTCTGCACGCCTACGCTACTGATACTGCCAAACGGCCGAACAAGGTTGATACAGAGGCGCATAGCATCCAGTGTTCCAACGACTTCCAGCACCACGTCCGCACCACGTCCGCACCACGACCGTCAGTCGCGACCGTGATCACTGCGGCTGGTCATTCTGTGAGCAAGAGCCTCTGGGTTTTAACTCGACAGCCCTTTTACGCCTAGCGGATATCCGCCTGAATGCCAACCTTGGTCCCAACCGCCAACTCGTCACCCGTGATCCGATGCGCATCGTTCATGCGTTCACCAATGGCAAAATCCACGTATCTAAGCGGTCCCCGCATCTGGATCGCGCCATTTTGCAGTGTATCCATGCCCTCAGTGTGCCAGTGCGGGTGGGGATCACGTTCGTAGCACGCATTCAGACGCTGAACTGGAGTATCCAGCACTCCCTCGGCTGTCACAGCTCGGAACTGTTTCCATCGTACCTCCTCGTCCGAGATCCGCTTTCCCCGGTGGAAAGATTTGAATGTTGCTCTTTCTCCTCTCTCAATTGCTTACAAGAAGCGCATGAAGTACTTGTAGATGTCTCGAGACAATGATCTCCATTTAAAGAATCCTCCACGTTATCAAAACGGCTTTTGCGGCTTTATTCTGTGTCATGGAACTCTTCTTCTTGTGTCAGTGCACCACCATACTTTTCGTAAGTGCTAGGTACAAACGCATATGGCATAATGACTTAGTCTTCCACGTTGTGATTCCGCAGAGAACTTTTGAAACTGAATGCCTTACTACAAGGTAGCTGGACAATCTTTAGATAATTACAAGTAATCAGTTGTATTAGTAAATTGGGTACAAATTAGATCTAGTTGCCAGTTATTCATAATTCAGGCTTCTTCCCTCTTGCAACCTAGTGGCATACTAAAACTGAACGAATATTTCTTGCACTCAAATCAGCCGTCAGAAGATCTATCTATCTATCCAGCTGGTGTTTTCATCAAATCTGGTGACACAGAATAAAAGAAGAAAAACAGGGAAAAAGATCAGGATGAATCTCCGGGAATCTGTCGATTGCCTAGCATTCAGTAATCAATCAGCACCCATTAGATACGTTGATTGAATATTGTCTTTTCTAGAGAGTCATGTCTACCACAAGCTTCCCCCCGTAACCCTTATGATATTCCTCTACCAGATTGTTTAGTTGTTCGAATGGGAATGTCTTCACCTTGGCCGATACGCCGTGCTTCGTTGCAAACACCAGCATTTCACGGAGCTGATGATTCCTGCCAACCAAGCTACCAACGACATTGATATCGCGGAAGACAAGGTCGTGGGCACTGACTTCCAATTTCTTCTCGGGAAAGCTCACCACGACCATCGTTCCATGATTCCTCAGTAGATTCATTCCCATGTCAAAAGCCGCCTGCGATTCGGGAAGCAGAATCACCGCGTCGACCCCGAGCTCCGTCACTGGGATGTCCGGACTAGACTTCTGGATCAAGGCCGGCATGGCGCTGATATCGTACTTGCGTGCATCGGTGATATACACCCGTTGCCCTACTGGGCCTAGAGTAGCTTTTATCTGCTGCAACAGTTCCAGCGATCGATCATTGGCGTCAATCGCGAGCACCTGCATTCCAAGATGCGCCGCAAACTGAACACCGAGATGTCCGAGGCCGCCACCAGCCCCGAGGATAGCTATTCCACTAGCCCACCGGACCTTGTCGTGGTGCAAGGCAGCCCAGATCGTCAGCCCTGCACACATCAGCGGGGCTGTCTGCGTCGCCGTCAAGCCGTCGGGGATCATGGCCACCTGCCGGCTATCGACCAGGCAGTACTGCTGAAAGCCGCCATCTCGCGTCAACCCCAGATTGCCCGAGGAAGGGCAGTATGGAGAGTATCCCATAATGTCCTTGTCTGGGTGAGTACACTCGTAGCATGCACCACAGGGGTGGTACGCACGCCCAGGCACGCCGACTCGCACGCCGACGGCCAGCTCCTGCTCACTCGACACGTCTGGGCCCAACGCAATGATCTCTCCGGCAAACTCATGGCAACCGACACGCGGTAAATCCTGCGATAATTGCCCGGATGCAAAAACGGCATCCGTGTGGCAGTAGGAGGCAGCGAGAACCTTGATGAGAATGTCTTGACCTTGCGGACTCCCTGGTCGCGGGATCTGCTGCATCGAATAGGGTTCGCCAAACTGTTCCAGGACGGCCGCCAACATGGTGTCCGATGGGAGATTCGGAGTTGCCATGGTGTTACGAGAGTTGTAACAGAAACAGGACAATAGGATCGATGTGAAATGACTGTAATAATTCCAATGCAGGGCCAGAAATACCTTCAGATTAAATCCGTTTTACCCCACCGTGACTATGACTCCGCTGACTCGGGGGAAGATTGGGGACTTTTTTCTTCTCCAACAGGGCTTGGGATTGAAAGTCCTGTCATGAACCAACTATCAAAAAACCAGAGCCTCTAATGACAGAGATGCCATATGACAGGTTGGAACAGGGCAGTAATCCTTTCTAGGATCCAATAGCATTTGGAATATGATATATTCTATTAGAATTTTGGGTTAACTATAAAAACCTATTTCATTTTTAGGATGAATTAGACAGGGATAAGTTAGGCTTGATCATTTAAAATAGACAATGGGTTACAAACTTCTGACTATAGATTCCTTAGAGAAGATTTATTTCTACTTCCTTGCTAAAGAATGATTTTTAAGTATTACAATGTAGGACTCTATTCTTGCAAAGGGAAGAATAATATTATTGATCTGAAGTATTACATATGCAACTCGCATAGTGCCATTTCATCTCGTACAAAGACTACGATGCTCCATAACTGTATCTTCGGAAGGTGATGAGCAGGGCTACAGCTACAGGCTGGATGCAATTTGGTCAATTGAGTAGGAGCAATTATACTCGCTGAACAATATTCTTTATTACACACGTCTTCTAAAGGTAATCACCGTGGATTTAATCGTATCTAAGAGTATAAGCTAGGTTCCCTTCGGCGCCAAAGGGCCACTCTCCTTTCCTGTGCTATCCAGCATGTGGAAGATTGAAGATGAGTATTGAATAGTCAAACTTGCACCACTTCGTCATGTTCCGTAAGAATCTCCCTCTTATTCCTTGGCGAGAGCGATGTTGGATTACGAGGCGACTCGTCCCTGTTAGGTATCTCACTATCCTCTAAGGTTTCCTTGCCCGTGGCCGCTTCCTCGCCAAACAGAATGGCAATTTCCTCTAGAGGCAGACCGGCGGTCTCAGGGAAGAACTTCCCCATAACAAAAACGCCAATCCAGGGGATAATGATAAATATAATATAAAAACCATAGTTGTTATATATTACTTTCCTATGTAATTTTTGAGAATTTACTATTCTTTAGAAATTAATAATATATTTAATAATATTTAAATTAAACTGAAAAAATAAATTATAAATCTATTATTCCAAATTCGGAGCGATTTGTCAATTAGTAGTCCCAATGTTATTAATTCCCCTAGTTAGGGACACTACCTCAACGAAAAGGGTCTTGTCCCTTATCAACAAGACAGAGTCATCCGAATTAAGAGATGGTGTATAGAACCGAAATTTAGTTAACTGGGCCCATCTTCGACCCTTTTCAGGCTCCGTTTCGTGGTTCAGTCATAGCTTCGACAAAGTCCATTTTAATACATATAGTTGGATGGAATATGAAGGCCGGCGATTCGGCCCTCATATTCGGTGATTCGGTCATCACCAGTTGATCCTTTGTTGTCCACGACAACAACTTAAATAGGATTTATTTCATCCTCTTCTAATTTATTTAGAAGGTTCTACTATCCTGTACAACTTTTCAAAGTTCTAGCTTTTTGTAACATCCATTGACAATACGACATCAAGATGGTTCACGTAGTCTTTGTTGGTGGGGGAGGAAGTAAGTCAAGTCTATCATCTAGACTCTAATATCCATCCTCTACTAATCATGATAAGATGTCGGCCGTGATATCGTCGACGAAATCGTCAAGCAAGGCGAGCATCAAGTAACAGTCTTCTCACGCAAGGTATGCCTAATCCTTACATATGCTACACTATATATAAGGGTACTAAGATTTTAGACAATCCCCGACCTCACAGAATCCGGCGTCAATGTCGTCACCATCAAGAACTACTCAGACCAGGACGAACTCACCTCCGCTCTGCGCGGCGTCCACACGGTCCTCTCGTTTATTTCCTGGGATCCCGGCAATGTTGCGCAAAAGAGTCTTATCGGGGCCTGCATTGCGGCGGGAGTGAAGCGCTTTGCGCCCACACAATGGGGGATGTATGCTCAACCCTCTTCTCCCTAGATAGTATATATTAAATGGCAGGCTAACAGAGGTAATGTTGCAGTCGCAGCAAATCCGGGTTTCCGGGGTACGCGCCGAAGGACGAGGTACATGAGTATCTGCAGCAGCTGAACGCTGATGGGCCGGTGTTGGAGTACTGTCTGTTCCAGCCTGGCGTTTTTATGAATTACCTTGCCCATCCGTTGCAGACGGCCAAGCACCTGTATATCTCAGGGACGCATATTGACGTTGTCAAGAAACATGTGCTTATAGTTGAAGACGGCGAGGCGTGGTACACGTACACCACAATTCAGGATACGGCCAAAGTCGTGGCGAGAGCGTTGAGCTACCCCGGAAAATGGCCAGAGACAGGAGGGTTTTATGGGGGCAGAGCTAGGGAGAAAGACGTGGTTAAGCTGGTAGAGGAAATCAAAGGTATCTATCTCTCATAGAACGATATCGAATTCGAATTTATGCTAAGATGTCAAGGCGAGCCGTTTGAGCGACATGTGCTGCGCATCGCAGACCTGGAGAAGGGCGAGTTCAACTCTAGCTGGATCCCTGTCAACGACCATCCTAACATGCCGCCTGAATTCAAAGGAGAAGGGATTATGCGGCAAATATTGCCTGCGTTCCTCCTCGCGGCGCACCGAGGCGCGGCGGACGTCGACCCAGTTTGGAATTCTCTGCTGCCAGATTTGCAGCTGGAAGATGTCGAGACGTTTCTACGTCGTGTCTTGAAGTAGTGATAGTGATAGCCCATAAATATCCGATTTTTCAATATTAATACTATTGCAGAGTGTTGTTGCGGGCAAATCAGAATAATCAGAATAAATCAGAATAAATAAGAATCAATAATAGTGTTGTAGTAAATAGGCGGTGAGCACGCGAGCTAGTGGAGTAGTGAGTGGAGAAGTCCGTGAGAAGTGAGAGCGCCAAGATTTCGTGCCCACACCCGATTTTTTTTTTCGCTTCAACAGCATAGATCAACTAGGTCAACTAGATCAACTCAGCGCCTTAGTCTCCTGTTGGCCCGTTCGCGTTGAGTTAGAGTCTGGCATCGTCGGTGATTCTTGCGTGGATATCTCAACAAATGGCCGACATCGAGGTGCGCACCTACTTACTGTTGAGTGCTTGGAGTGCTGCTGATGTGCATCTCTAGGAACGGCTGAAAAGCCACTCTGACGCCTTCAGCGGGCTGATGTCTTTGATTCCTTCGAAATACTACTATGGAGAAGACGTCAGCGTAAGTTTCTATCCATCGTGTATTGTGTAGTCTGCTCACAGCGGCAGGATCAATGGCTCAAGAAAAAGCAAACGAAAGAGCAAGCGAGAAACGCCAAGCGAGCGAAACTTGACCCCGATGCATCCAAGTCTGCAAAAGATGTACTCGATGAGAACGCGCGGAAACGGAAGCGAGACGAAGAGAACGAAGAAAATGGGAGCCAATCCTCTGAGAGCGAGCTAGGCTCAGAACTTCCTAAAGAAGGGCTCAAGCGTGGCGACGCCAAGCCCAAGAAACAAAAGCAATCAGAGTCGACGGAAGATAGCAATGAATCTGAAGAGGCTAAGAGTAACAAATCCGACGAGACCAAGGAACGACGGAAAGCAAAAGCCGAGAAAAAGGCACTGGAAAAAGCTGCCCAGCGAGAAAAAAGAAAGGCCGAAAAGACAAACAAGAAGAAACAATCTGAAAAACAACCACCCGCTGTGGAAAAGCAACCTGCAGTATCAAATATTGAGCCTGAAACCTCGGAAAATTCTGAAGTAGAAGACAACGTAGATGCAGATCTGGACGCCGTCGAAGGGTTTAACAAAGATCAAGCATCAGAAGACACATCTTCCGTCTCCTCCAATCCAGATTCTTCAAATTTCGACATGTCGAACAATACCTCCGGCAGCTCATCCATATCATCTATTGTACCCCCCAACGATGCTACATCAACAGCCCCCAAGACCGGGCCCAAATCTCTGAAATCGACACCGGAAGAATTAAAACAACGACTGCAGAAGCGTCTTGCAGAACTGCGGGCGGCCCGGCACGCGGATGGTTTTGATGGAAAGCCCGCACGCACTCGACAAGAACTTATCGAAGCCCGACGGCGGAAGGCCGAAGAGCGCAAGCAACACAAGAAAGAATTACGACGAAAGTCCAAGGAAGAAGAGGAACGAAAGAAAGACGATGAAATGCAACAACGGTTTTCGCCAGGCGGGACTGGTTCACTACTTGCATCGCCGCGCTCTCCCGCCGAATCGCTCAATGCTGGCTCGAATAACTTTTCTTTCGGAAGAATCGCTTTCCCAGATGGCCAGCACGCTGACCCCACGCTCTCACGTCTCTTGGACGACAAGACCAAGCAAGGTCCCCGAGACCCGCTGGCTGCTCTCAAAGTGGCTGAAACTAAGAAGGCTCGTCTCGATAGTTTTGACGCCGAAAAGCGGGCTGAAATTGAAGAGAAAGACATGTGGCTGAACGCGAAGAAGCGAGCTCACGGCGAACGAGTGCGTGACGATACATCGTTGCTCAAGAAGGCCCTCAAGCGGAAAGAATCCGCCAAGAAGAAATCAGAGAGAGAATGGAGGGAAAGGATAGACGGCGTCACAAAGGGCAAAGAGATGAGGCAACAACGCCGTGACGACAACATTCGAAAGAGGAAAGAAGAGCGAGGCGCCGGTGGAAAGAAAGCAGGAAAGGGGAAGCCCAAGGCTCGACCGGGATTTGAGGGAAGCTTCAAGTCCAAGGCTGGTGCAAAGAGAAAATAAGAGCGTGTAATAATTCTGGTCTTGGGTGTATTATGATGATCACATTTGATGACCCATGTCTTTCTTATCCTGTAGAAGGCATCGAACATTGTACAGCGTGCCCCTTGGCATCTTCATATCATTGTTTGGTTAATAGCGCGGCATTAGTCTGATATTACAAACAAAAGTTATTTCAAAATTTCCATATAGGTAGAGACCGTACGTATGTAGAGTATATATATGTACTACTGGGTTTATGATTGTAGATAGAAAGATGGTGTTGAGTATAAAGATATGGTGGGATACCGAGATTACATGAAGATTCTCCTTTTTATTAACCAGAAATTCTGCTACTAACAAACATAAAATAGAGCGAACAAGTCTTGTAGTCTGACAAAGGAAATGCGAATGGATGAATGTCACCATTTCACGAGTTGTGGTATATACATTGTTGCAGGTGCAGACTCGATTGCTACGAAGCAGCCAATCACACTTCTATCGGTAGGGCGCATCAGCGCGAATGACAGCAGCGAGCTCAGGTTCCCATTTGTCACCATTAGCCAGAAGCTTCTCCTTGTTATACAGCAGTTCCTCTCGAGTCTCGGTAGCATACTCCGCGTTGGGAGCTAATTCTGTTAGCAAACTTGTAAAGGCTTGAAAATTTTGGATCTAGCTTACATTCAACAATGGCATCAACCGGGCAACTCTCCTGGCAATACCCGCAGTAGATGCACTTGGTCATATCAATATCATATCTGGTCGTCCGTCGGCTTCCATCTTCACGTTCTTCGGCTTCAATCGTGATGGCCTGGGCGGGGCATATGGCTTCGCACAACTTGCAAGCGATGCAGCGCTCCTCACCAGATGGATACCGACGCAAAGCGTGCTCACCACGGAAACGAGGGGAAATCGGGCCCTTTTCAAAGGGATAGAAAATAGTGTAACTAGGTGAATTGATCAGCCACAAGAGTCTCCCACGGTTTTCCAAGGCAGAACGGATGGCTCAAGCTAGATACTAATAATTTCCAGCCATTGAGACTGCATTGAGACTGCACGCATAATTGCCGGTGAAAAGCGGATCGAGAGAGGGACTCACGGTGGGCGGAAGAACTGCTCCAGCACGACGTACATGCCGCGAAAGAGTTCTGCCATCAAGAAGTATTTACTCGCCTTGTCCAACGACGACTCTCCCGATTGATCCCATCGCTTTGGCGGGGGCAGTCTGAAGCCCGGGGGGGAGGTCCAGAAGGCGTGGCGGCGCGGTATGCAGACGACGAGAAGTTTGCAGCGGCGAGAGCCCGCAGGGTGGCAGAAGGCACAGCGACCACGGGGCGGCGGGTAGAGAGCAGCCTCGCTACCGACTGCGACGAGGCCATGATGAGAGAAGTCGCGAGGGGGTGGGAGCGGAGGGCGAAGGTCAAGACACGACGGACGGTATGCTGTGAGGGTAGAGTGAGGCGAGGATGTGCAAGAATCAATTCGGCTTAGCGCAGGTCATTCCGTTCGGGTGGCCGCTGATTGGCTGCCGGGCGACTCTACTCTAACGGTAACTAGTAACGAGAGGAAAAGGCCGGATCATCAAACATCACTCACGTCCTCTCAAAATCAGTCACAGAGCCTTACCGTCGCCCACGCTGCCATTGTCGCGCTCGCCCATCTGCTCCGCTCTGATCATTTCCATTGAGCATTTCTGATCTCTCCTCGATTTCACAATGTTCCGCTCCGCTGTTGTGCGCTCCCTGAGAGCTTCTGTCCCCCGGGCTGTTCGGGCTTCTGCAGCTCGCCAGTTCAAACCCGTCCCTGTCGCTCGCCCATCTCAAATCGTCCCTGTCTTCCAATCTCAATCAGTTCGCTTCTACTCGGCCCCCGCTGGCCTCACCAAGGACGAGGTTGAGGGCCGCATAGTCAACTTGTTGAAGAATTTCGACAAGGTACGTCCACACTCTCTGTGTATTGCGAAGAGCTAGACTAATGCATCTTCAATTTAACAGGTCACCGATGCTACCAAGGTTCGTCAATACTCGGGATGAAAACATGCAGATTTAGTTGCTATGGCCGATCGGAAATTTCTGACGCAGACTAGATCAACGGAGCTTCTCACTTCACAAATGACTTGGGCTTGGATAGCCTCGACGTTGTTGAGGTTGTGATGGCTGTGGAAGAGGTTTGCACACACTATTACTCGAACTAGAGACCGCGCTGATTTTGTTTGCAGGAATTCAGCATTGAGATTCCGGACAAGGAGGCCGATGCTATCCACAGCGGTAAGCTCGAGGATTCAATTTCACCCACCTTCTATGCGCCTCGCTAATTCTCTTCTTCTAGTCGAGCAAGCCGTCACCTACATCCTTTCCCAGCCTGATGGTATGCCCGCTTCTCGATCCTGATCCTGCTCCGAATCCACTGCTGACGCGATCATAGCCCATTAAATCCATTAAATATAGAGTGACAAATCTTCAATGCGTGGAATCGAGTGACCCAAATAGTTAGAGATTGATCGCTACTCCACCGGTGTCTCATTATTGTGACCTTAATCTATGCTGTGGTTGTTTTTGGTACTTCTCACCCTGTATATCATCTGCAAAATTCGCATTTACAAGACATTCTTCCTCTCATCAGACTGGCCATTTGCTGCATCAGAGAGCAGCAGATCCTGCTTCCGTATCTTGCTCGCTTGGTAATTAATTTTTGCAATCTGCCTGACGCCACGTGCAGCATGCAGACAGAAAGTAAAATGTGTAGAAGAATACAGTAAATATGTGCCATATGCCCACGCGACGGTGTTCACTGGCCACTGCATAGAAGCCGCACTGGTTGTTGTTTTATTTATTATTTTTTATCATCCATATTCAATTATCTTATTAACGTAAATAATTAAACATAGATGTAATAATCCGAACAAAATGTGTAGCCGCTGACTGAGACAGACCATGCCAAGCCCGCGCCGTAGTCTAAGCCAACGGTCTGCCCTGCTCACTGCGCTGCTCAGCTTTAATTAGCGACTCTCGTCTGCTGTTGCAAAAAATCAGGACAACGATTCCTTCACTTGCGGTCCTGCGCCCCCAATTGAGCTTTGCCCTTGCCCGCTGCAAGGCTTCAGTACATTGGTCGTGTTCGGCCTGTCCCAGTCGCCTGTTGCATCTCGCGTTGGCAGTCACCCATCTTGGTTAGGTGTTCTCGTGCGCATCGCGGAGCCTCAGCCCCCTCTGTGCTCGCCGTTACATCTTTCGACCTGCTCTCTCCTATCCACCTCAACCTCGGCGCGAGCTCAATCGGGGCATCTGCCTTCGCCTCTCTATACCCACCCCCCGTATCCTCCTGTATACAACTACTCGCGTCTACTCTCCTTCATGGCCTCAGCCGGCGGTGGTCTGACACGCCGACGGGGAGGCGGCCGAGTCGGCGGAGAAGAAAGCGCTGATGGGAGTCGAGTCTCCTCCCCGGTGCCTAGGAATGGATCTGCATACGACAGTCGAGTCCCTGAGACATCTTACGCCGACGGCGAGAATGGACACAAGATCGCTTTCGACCCCAGGGACATCAGCGAGAACGAGGAGAGGACCAAGCAGCCCAAGCTGACCCTCATGGAAGAAGTGCTGCTTTTGGGGCTGAAGGACAAACAAGTACGTCTTTACTCTTTAGTCTGGACTGTTTTAAGGAATACTCGTAGTGGAAGTTTGGGTCTAACTGCTGTTCTCAGGGGTACCTGTCGTTCTGGAATGAAAACATTTCCTACGCTTTGCGTGGCTGCATTGTCATAGAACTTGCTTTCCGCGGCCGTATAAGCATGCAAAAGGATTCTTCACGGAGGCGATTCCCTCTCGCCGATCGCATTATCGAGGTGGTTGACGACACGCTTACCGGTGAGGTCTTGCTGGACGAGGCACTCAAGATGATGAAATCGAGCGAGAAAATGAGCGTGAGCTCCTGGATTGATCTGATGAGTGGTATGTCTATCTTCTTTTAGTTTCTTTGGGGAATGTTTCTGGGAATCGTTTCTTATCGTGGTTATGTTATAGGCGAGACCTGGAACTTGATGAAGATCGGCTATCAATTGAAGCAAGTACGCGAGCGAACCATGAAGGGCCTTGTAGACAAAGGAGTCCTTCGTACCGAAAAGCGCAACTTCCTCATTTTCGACATGGCTACTCACCCTGTTGCCGATTCGGGCGCCAAAGAGGAACTTTACAAGCGGGTTCGGAATGTATGCAGCAACCGCACCGTGATGCTGAATCCCAATCCATGGCTCCCGGAAGACGTCGAATTCCGATACCTACGCACAATTACCATGGTGTGCGCCGCGTATGCTGCAAATGTGCTTGAAAATGCACTGACTACCATGAGCCACGAATCTCGAGAACGGGGGTTTGCTCAGGTGGACGAATTACTGGCCGAATACTCACAGTGGCCATTTGGCCGGAGAGCCGGCGCTGGGCAAGCTATTGGTGCAAACCTTGCCCAGGCAGTTAATGACGAAGTCAACAGTGGCAAGGATCGGGAACTCCAGCTAGAGGTATATCTATATTTTATGACTTGGTTTTTAAGGCGTCTTTTTGCTAACTATTCTAGATCATCGCCGCGTGTTTAAGCGTATTCACACGACTTGATTCTCTGCTCTAGTCTCATTATATTTACATAAGTATTAAACTTCTCGCGCTAATTTGCATAACCTCATCTACCAGACTTTCATACTCTCATACTTTCATATTCATACTCCAACGGACAGGCGAATCAAGTTTGATGTGGAAAATATCTCTTCACCCCCCTTTCCTTCAAATCTTTCCTGTTTACATTCGACATCAACATGGTCTTTTCTTAATCTAGCAGGCGGATTATTGGAACAGTATCCGCGTACCCAAGCTGTTCTCGATCTTTTGTTGTTAGTTTTCCCTCGAAAAGAGCTTATCTGCGTCGAGATATTATTCCATTTTCATAATAATCTCACTGTTGTACTTGAATATTCCGCCACGTGGCACGTCTTTTTCTTCTAGGCTGATATTTCCAAGAAAACTCCTCGGATTGCTTCCCCTTCTGTGCTATCAACACAATGTTTCCTTGTTTTCTAAAGGTATGGGAAGGTGTGAAACAAAAAAGCCAAAGGGTCAAAGCTGTGAAATACCCCAGTTAAACACGCCTTTGATAAGACGATAATGACGATGTGGCACAGGAGATTTCACCTGTCTGCCTTCTGTTATCTCTGACGCGGAGTTGATAAGCCGAAATATTGGATTGTGACCTTTACCTTTCGCTTCGATGGACATGCTTTCCTGTTCCGCTTTACGTTTATCTTCTCTTTACTTTCAATTTGATGTTTATTTAATATTAAAACTTTTCTATGAGGGCAGGCAGAATGCATTCATATACAAAAAATATACCTAGAGAATCATCAATCCATCGCAGGATCTACTCGTAAGACAACCTGTCCTTGAGAGCCACTAATTTGCTCTGCTTGAATCAACGCTTCTCGTCCATGCAGCAAATCCTCCACCTGCAGAAACCCTGCAGGCTTCAACACCCCCTTCTCCACCAACTCTGCAATCTTCGCCAACTGCTTAACATCCGGCTTGACATTGATCACCTTACTGGTGAGATTGCGCGTCCTTATTTCTGCCTTCTCTTCTCTCTCCGCAGGCTTTTCAGGGTGTGCAGATGGACACCGGTACGGAGTTATCACATGGCCATGATCCTTCACCACAACCGGGGAATGGACCTGTCGTAACGACGCGCCCCCAGCAGCTATACAATCAAACACAATATCCACCGGATCCCATCCATTCTCCCGAAACGCCGCTGCGATATCCGTGCCTGAAGTCACCGCATCGGCCCCCAGCTCCCCGCACAGATACCCATGGTCATCGCGTGCTCCCGTCGCACATATCCAGACCGGCTTCTCCTTCTCATCCCCTCCGCCCATAACGTGCGATTTGTGATCCGGGAATAGAGCCCGACTCTGCAGCAACCGCATCGCCTGCCGGCCAACTTCCGACCCTGCTGCATTCGTGACAAGCACTCTGAGCGGCCCATCTGCCGGCCGATTACACGGCCCGTCATCTGGATCGAGAGTGGCATATGAGAATAAGCCCTGCCATGCTGTCAACGCCGGCAGTGGGATGGTAGCAGCCTCCGCCGCCGACACATTCTGCGGCTTCCACGCCAACTCGTTCTCCGTCGCTAGTACATAATCCGCCGCAGCGCCGTTGCCGTTCTGCTCGGTATCCAGCAGTCCGAAAACCTGGTCGTTTACTTTGTAGGCCGGACCTGTGGATTTGGCATAGTCTTGTTGTGGCGTGCTGATGATTTTGCCGCTGAATTCGCGGCCGGGGATGTGGCCGTGTAGGTTGATGCTGCCGTTGGAAGAGTTGCTGCTGCTGCTCGCGCGAAGAAGCTGGGCTTGCACCTCTCCTGCAAGAACAGTTGCCGCCTGGACTTTTATTAGATACTGGCGAGCTGAGGGTATTGGGACTGGCGCGTCGACGCGGTAGATGAGTGACGAGGAGCTCATGGGCATGTGCTCCTTGTTGTATGGCCCGGGAGGGAGATGCAATGCTTGCATGGTTTGAGGGACGCGCTTCTGCTCGCTCAGAGTGTTGGACGTCATGGCACACACACACACACACACATATATATATATAAAGCCTGGTGGAAAAGCTGTGGTGAATCAGGAGGCGTATTTAATTCAAAGCATTGACTCTGACTGAACAAGTAGTTGGTTGACGTGAAGATGATGCAGGATCCCGCCACAATCAATTGATATCATCGATCAATGAACTCGTAAAACATTGTGAGCATAGTCAATACTTGCTAAAGAAATGAGTATATGTCAAAATAGAGCACTGAGCACCGCGATTACATTGCAAATTTGTTTCAAATATACACCCGTGGTAACCCGACTATACAAGTTCGGAAGCAAATTCCGATTCGCTCTGGGAAAAAAAAAAAAGTACATGGAATTTATCATTCAGGAGAAAGAGGAAACAAGGTATCAACTACAAAAAACATCAATCATTCTATTTCTCATACAGTGCTTGGACACCAGATGCATTAGACCCGGCTGCTTCGTTGGCCTTGAGGTTGTCCACAAGCTGGTATAATTCCTCAGGTTGCTCAAAGACCGTCCAGACATTGTCCGGTATTCCTTCAAAGGCCTTCTGGAATCTGCCGTCTGAATTCTTCTCGTCCATGTGCGGGATATTGGTCACCTTGCGGATGAAGATTGCGCGGATCCAGCCTTTATACTTCCTATACAGTTCCGCGTATGCTTCCGGGTCACTCTGAGTGGAATCGCCCACACACAGCACCTTTCGTTGCGGGAACCAGCCGTGTATTTTGTCGATTCGATCGGCTTTGTATGCTTGCGTCCCCATACTATATGACTTTAAGAATCCGCCCAGGTCATGCCAGGAGTTCTCTCGAAGGATGAGAGTGCCTGGGTGGTAGTAGGCGTGAAGGAAGTCACGCAGAAACTGGTAGAGATTGTATGGCGATGCTGAAAGGTATATCCATGCTGGGCTCAGTGTCTTTTCAATGTGTCTGTAAAGCTCCGGCATGCCTTGGATCGGCTGTGGTTCCTCTGCGAATGTCGTGCGCAGAATTCCAACTGCGTCGGACGTCTGCGTGAGCTTGATGGAGTCGTCGATGTCGGAAATCAACAGCCACCCTTCTGGGACCGCAAACGTCGTGGTCATTGTCACCGTGCCACTCGAGCCTTCCAAATGAGACGTGATTGCAAGTCCATCCGTTATCGAGCGATGCGGAGTCGAGACAATCTGCGAAAGAATGCCATCGCTATTCGTCGGACCCAGGCCATGATCTTGAATGGTGTTGTCGCTGAGGGGGGAAGGCACTTTGAGCACCATGGTGCGCGCCGGGGCGACAGAGTATAGCAGGGGTTGTAAACGCTGCGCAATCCGCTGCTGAATGACTCCATCGTCTCCTCTTTTGCCGTCCAGGCCAATGGTATCCGCGACAGTAGCGATATGCTCACTGATATCATTGCGCCCGCGCACAAACGCACAAGCTACCACTTCGATCTGCCATGGCTGGGGCTTGTGCGGGTATGGATGGATGGGTTGATAGGCATGGTTGTCAAATAGCCACACTATGTTCTCGTCCAGATTAACCGGTTGCGCCAGCGGGTTTTTGCTGCGAAGCGTCGTGAACATGGACCTCAGGATATCGGAAGGTCGCCGCGAGAATCTGCTAGGAAGCTTCTTTTCGATGCGAGAGAAGCCTGCGGCGCGCCGGGCCGCTGATTCCTCGGGCTTTTCCTCTGCTTTTTGCTTGATTCGTTCCATTTTCCTACGATTCTTATTGCTGTTGTTGTTTTGTTTTGCAGGCCGCGAACTTGGCCCCTGGACGGCACGGCTAGAGCCGACTCGCGTGAGCGGGGGTTTTACTTGACACTGCGATTCTGCTCTGCTTCGGCTTCTCAGACAATATAAATGATGTGTTTGAATTCATCGCTGTTATTTGCCTCTGGCAGGACAGAGGATGATACTTATCCGCGGGTACGATACTAATAAATAGAAGAGACGATCTGGGATGAGAAGGCACGCGGTACAAACAACAAACATCTCTTACGCGAAAAAAAAATAAAAGTAGAAAGGTACGACTCTCGTGTCGGAGTCATTTGCTCGTGTCAGGATATTGCGGCTTAATGTCATTCGGTCACATGAGTCCCTGATCCCACATTTGCTCACATTTGCTTCGTGGGCACGCTGTCAGCTGACGAGGATCAACAACCATATGGGATATTATCGAGTATCGCTCAAAACCACGTGGCTAATGCTGGGGAGAATGCGTGGTATCAAATCCACGCCGATGCACAGACGATAAATACGATAAATCCAGAAACACATATTCTAATACATACGCAAGCCTTTTTGATTCGAATATGAGGTTTTAAGACAATTCTTAATAAGAGAGATTTAAGAACGGCATTCAGTGGGCAACGTTCCATAACTCATCTTTCTAGGGGAAATTGTTTAGTTTCCTAACATCAGCGTCTATCACGATGCTCGAGTCTTCCAATTTTTACAACTAGAACTGTGAGTATCTGTGCATCTTTCCCCTAGACTTTATTAGCGTAGCCACGTCCGGACTCGTCAGCTGGTTCTTATTCACTGGTGTAGATATAGCTTTAAGGTAGAATATTATTAGTCTTTGCGTCACTTGCTTCTGTCTCCTTCGTGGCATGAGTCTTTGCTATGTGGGCTTTTTCAACCTTATCTTCGTTTTGTCGCAGGTTGTTCTCCATCTGAACCCGGCTCAGTGCGTCCGGGTCTTTTTCTGGAATCCTGCTGATTCTCACTTACTCCCGACTGCGGCACAAAACTATCCAACCTATCTGCCGTCCTCAATCGAGAAAGAAGCAATTTGGCATATGCAGCAGCTGTTGCAGCCGCATAGTTTTGCCACCGTTTGTTCTTGTGTGAATCGGCATAATCGCAGATTCCACGAATAATCAGGCAGGGAAAATGGTTCATAATTCCCGCCCCTTCCATCTCAAAACAGAGCACATTGTGCTCCCGGCTCAGCTTGTCCCGGATTTTGGCGGACTTCATTACTTGGTTTCCAGACGCGATGAGACCATAGTGAAGTTCAGGGTGGGTAGACAAGCGGGGTGGTCTTCTTACCTTATAGGCGGAGTCACACTGATCGCAGGAACTGTAATCACCATTGTGTATGTAATCAGAGTCAAAAAGCTGATCGTGAGCCACTCCGGGGTGTCTATACTGATCTTTACATTCCTCGATCTGCTGGAGGTATTTCTGGAGCGGCGTTGATGACCGTGATGGATCCGACTCCAACTCACTTATGGCACACATCAAATGCCATGGCGGGGGACACAGATATCCATTCAATTCGGACGCTCCAGAGTCGCAACTTTTGATCATATCATACGGCAATACCCCTGAATAACCCCCTTTCGGAGTGCTGATCACAACATCGCCTAGACGAATGTCGTTCTTTTGAGAGGGTACACCCGCTCCAATTCCCACGAGCAGACAGAATTTCAATCTTGAAAAGCTGCGCTTCATATTTGACGTAACGTCAGCGGCAGCATTGGTGCCAACTACTCCATGAGGGAGGCAGACAGCAACGACGCTATGTCCTTCAATGCAACCCAGTGCATAGTAATTAGGATCTTCGCCAGAAATGGCTACTTTCTCATGTATATTGTCAAACGACGCCCGCACCGCCATGAGCTCGATGTGTAAAGCACACACGATGCCTACTTTGTAATCCTTAGCAGACGGGGATTTGCCTCCAAAATGATAATTTTTGTTATGGTTTAATGATGGATGATCCTCCGACTCGCTGGTCGCCGTATGTATATACCCAGGATATTCTTCTTCGTCGAGTTGATTAGAGGTTGAGCCTATGATACTTTCACTCCGTCTAGAAGTCAGGGAGCCGAGACTTCTTCCGATTCCACTATCATCAGATCGAGGACCATGTATCTCATTGCGTGACGATGACATACAGCTAGCCTCGTTTGGTGTTCTTGATGGATCTCCAATGTCGCTCCAAAACCATTGATGAACGCTGTTGTGGCCAAAGATGACGGCACCGCCTTTGGCTGGTAATCGAGAGCGAGTCACAGATAGTTCACGGTGTAACCTGAAGGGAAGCAGTACTTGAGCAGGATCACAGTGTGTCTCATCTTTCTTGCATTGAGCAAACGTTTCGTTAGGAGTGTACCAGAGTATATCATGAGTAAGCTTGATAGGGATAGAATATGGGTCTCCATCCGATTCCATTATTTGGTGCAAATCAGTGACGCTGGCTGCAAGGTATGATCTTCCCCGAGGCAATTTTGCCCACGCGGAACAGCAGGCCTTGGCTGGTTGAATGATTTCACCAAAGCTTCGACCGAATAACGTGATGGCGTGTATAGATCGAGTGAAGTCATCCCAGGAAAGGCCCTCCTGGTTCAAAAAGGCTTCTCGAGGATAGATGGGATCTCGCCCAGTTGCCAAATCGTTGAAATCCCAGCCTTCCAACAATGATCTCGGGACATTGCCACAAGCCTTGTGATTTGTCCCGACAGCCTTGAACTGGTAATCAAGTATTTTTTCTAAAAGATCGCCAAAGTCCTCAACATAGTCCTTGAAGTGAATAAAGCTATCCTTCTCGGGGTAGATTTTCACTCTCAGATTGGCCTGGTTTAGAAGAACTTCTAGAGCCGCGTCTGTCTGATACAGTTGTGAGGCCTCTTGGAACTCTTTATCGGAGAATAGACACAGTGCGCCAAATTTACTATCGAGTAGGTCTTGCGCTAAGGATGCGCGAACAAGGTGTAGCAGTGCGCTGGCTCCGTTCACTAGCCAGCCTCGCTTCTCTCCCACATCCCAGAGAATCACAAAATTTTGTGAGATCCACTTCATTCTTACAATATAACTGTTTCGACGGAGACGAATATCTTTCCGGCCCTCACTAAAGGGAGTACCTCCGGTGACGAGATGTCCGGTGAATAATGATGCATTTCTCAGAGAACCACGTCCTGAAGTTCGGGGTAGCCTCGAACCCTTGATATGATAATATGCATCTGCCGCTCCTGGGCTTGAGTTAGTAATAACCCCGGTCTCGTTTGGCGGTCAGAAAATAAAGAAGGGTGTTTTACCTGCGTATGACTTCATTTCCGGGCACCACCCTAAGATATGTCGGGACTTCTCCAGTTCTGGGATTTGAATATCCACCGGTTGGAAGTTGTCAGTCTCAAGATAAGAAATGCGCTTCCCGTCCTTGGAGTGGACAAGATGCCAAGTCACTATACCTTGAATGTACTTCATAGGGAGCAACATAGCTGCAAACCCCTTCAGAAGGGTCTTGCCGTCGAAAGAACTAATTCTGCGAGCCTGTGCGAGGCCTGCCATTATGTTCAATGGAATTTCAAGGCCTGGAGAGCCCTCTCCTGATCTTCGTGGTATGGGAAAGCCTTCCACAACAACCGGGGTTCCAAACAACTCGTGCCAGCATTCACCATTGGTGGTCTCAGTGCCATGCTTTCCTGGATGTAGATTCACTCCAATTTTGCAGATGTAGGTGACTCTGGGAGTCTCTTCGTATGTCACATGGCCAATTTGGATAGTGTCAACGAATGGTCTGCTGTGCGCTACGTCATGTGTGTACGGTGAGGAACGAATGGCAGATGCGAGCCATGCGAGTTGTTCGCCTATCTCTGCGATGCAGGCCGCAGTGCCACAAGCATCTACACAAACAATGGACGACGATCCCTGAGTCTGGGAGGATCCGTTCGATACAGTGAGGCTAGTACCGTTAGACAAGATAGCTGTCGTGAATAATGTGTAAGCATCAAGCCGCAGTTGTAGATTAAATTGTAAGATATACCTGAGGCTTCGTTTTCGCCCGATACCAAAGGTTTTATCAGCTTCAAAATTTGTTCACCCGTTGAGGGCCATGTTTGTCGCAAATATCTACCGCAAGTCGAAGCTTGCGCCGATACAGTTGAACCTGTCAAGGTGATAACCCTCTCAATTGCATCCTCGGGCTCTTCTGCATATTCTTCCTCTCGTAGGAATGCAATCGGGTCCCAATCAACCATGAAACTTACGTCAAATATTTTTGCGGGCTTCCGTCGGCTGATTCTCGGCGAAGAGGGTAATGCCTCTAAAATCGCGTTTCGGATTTCTCCTATCACATTCGGCTCTGGGGGGGCCAGAACACATTCTTTACGGAGGTTATCCAGAAGCCAGTTGTATGCGGGCGCACCTCGAATGAGGAACCGGTACGCTACCAGCCCAGGTAATTCATTCTCATCTATGTCATCAACTTGTTCTGTTTCCGTACTATCAGAATCTTCAAGGTCATCACATCCGGGATTAGGGAGGCCCTCATGCTGCACGGATTCCTCGGTTCTATGCCAGAGATTCATGATGTCATTTAACGACATCTTATCTGTGTTTCGACGATTCTGGCCCTCAGACTCTCCCATCAAAAGATTATCCTCGAGGGTTTTAACGATTTCCCTAATACAGCAGAGCAGTAAGCGCTGGACAAATGGTAATTTCGTCAGAGTAGGATTTCACTTCATAACCTACATCCGATATCTATGGATAAAGACCATAACATCTCGCTGCATGGTAGTAGACAAACGCTGACCGAAGCTGAGAGCAAATGCTTTCAGAAGCTCGGGAAGTACCTCAAAAATCCGCTGGAGAATATCGTCATTCGGTTGATAAGGCTGGATGACTTGAGCGAGCTCGTCGGCAAGCTCACTTATATAACCAGCCTTTCTTAAGAAAGGAATGCTGGAGACATCTGAATATATGCTCTCTACTTCGTCGTTTTGCCCCGGTTGTTCTAGACTTTCGTTGTGGCTGGGGGGAGTGGAATCAGATCCCATACCCATATAATCTGCTGCAATTTTCTCTGTCTGATGGACTTGTGTGTGTATTTGTAATGGCTTAAGTGCTCTGGTTATGTTTGAAGCGTATCCAGAGTCTGTGTATACTTCAGCTGTAGGTTGAAGTTGAGGGCTACCACCTTGTATGTCCTCTTCAATAGTCGAGGTCAAGTCTGTCATGACTTCGGGGGTTTCACTTAGAACGGTTTTTTTCCATGATGACGCATCTTTAACGAATGGTTTGAGTAATGAATTCCGATTCTCCAAGCCCGTCAATTCTTCTGCATATTCATTCAAGTTCTGCCCCGCACTTGTGGCCTTGGCCGTCTCAGACGAAGAATCGATGCAGTCGATACAATAGTGCTTGTTTGGGAATTCTTTTCCAAGGTAGTAGCATTCGGAGTGTTGCAATGTCTTGCACTTTTTGCACAAAACCATGTCTTCGCCATCTTCAGAAGCACAAATGCATTTGATGGTGGGTGGCCATTCATTTTCGAACGCGTCTCTGCTATCATCCTCGGAATTCATAGGGCTAGCCGTGGACACATCCTCTTCGCTTGATACAATTCTTTGTGACGCATCGGTTGCTACATGAGAAGCTGTTTCAAGCTCCATTGCGCTACACTCAAACTGCCTCATAGCCGAACCGGAGCTTGCTTCTGAGTAGAACACATGGCTTTCCTCCTTCCGCGGGTTCTCAGGAAATATTTGGCTAGCGACGGATATATTGAAACCAGGATCCCTTATCTGGCTCCTGCTCCCATGCCTCTTAGCTTTCCCAAAAGTAGAATCATCATCATCATCATCATCATCATCATTTTCTTCTTCTTCTTCTTCTTCTTCTTCTTCTTCTATCATATTGACACTGGCACTTACGGCCCTCCAAAGGTCTATTTCTCGGTTCATTTCATCTCGCTCCTCCAGTTCCACAATGTTTGGAAGTTGAGTCTGGTCTGTTGTCATCCACTCTGGCGGTTCAGACGTATAAATGCCTCCGCGAAGGGGACTTAAATCACCTGGTGAAGGAATGCGATTCATTTCGACCAAATTGTTGTTTGTTATACTTCTCGGACTGTCTAGCCCCAGTTCCGCAATGCTTGGAAGATGAATCTGATCCATTGTCGTCCAACCTGACGGGCTACACATGTAATGGCTTTCGTGAGTCTAATTTCGATCATCCGGCGACGACGTGTGAGTCATTACGATCGTCTAGATTCGTGTAATGAGGTGGACATTGTTCATCAATCCGACCAAACTCGCAAATGCAGCCTTCTGACTAGAAATAACCTTTATATCGTCAGCCGCAGCGGTGGGGGGACATGCGATGAGGCGTCGAATCGGGTGACACTAATTGGGGGCGGGAATTCACGGTCCTTGGGTTGGTTTGCAATTTTAATTTTAGTTAGGTGAAAATGGCCAGAAATACATGGGTAGAAAGAAGAATAACTATATTTTATCACGGTTTTGAATATTGGATAGGTTGTATTATGCTTTACTTTTCGTTATTCAAATACCAGACTTACGACTCAGCAATTTCACCATTCGATATGTTGAATGCGTTCACTTATGAAAACGATGTCAGATCTTATGGGAGACTTATAAAGAAGCTGTTTTTCCTAGAAAAGAATCATTGATCATACGAAGTTAGGCTCCTATCGATAAATACAAAACTAACATGTAAAAGATCATCTAAAACATCCTCCCCCCATCGCTGTCTGCGATACCTTGAACCAAAAGCTGCTTGTGCTATTCAGCTTGGGCTGATTCATTTCCGCCCACAGCACCGGATTAATGCCCCTTTTGCGCATTTTCTCCCTTTTTTCAAGTGGAATTTTGTGAACTGGATGGTCTGGTCCCGGAATTGCGTTTTTGTCATGCCTCTTTGTCGGCGGTTTTCCCCATCGGAGAGCGGCATACGCGGCAGCCTGTTCTTGCTTCTTGCAGTCCTCCTCTATACATAGCGATCAGTACTCTTACGACCTTGATATGTTCAGGGTACAGGTGTGTGATTACCACTCTGGAGAACTAGAGTTGAGGCCGTCGAGGCATTGTCATCGAGAACATTTTCAATATAATCGAACGTTTTTTTGATTTCAGGCATCTTCAATGTTGATGGTTGTGGGTATACAACTGCCGTAAAGGGTCCACAAGGGTTATATATACCGTTCTAAATTCCCCACAATGTACGATGGACAATAATGTCGATCAGCATGGCTATGCTCTTCAATAATCCTGTTATAGAACTACAACCTATTGCCCGATTCTTGGCTTACGTGTATGCTGTATCCTCAAAAAATGACATGTATGGCTGAAAACAGCCAATCCGGTTGGATACTGTTGTTGGGACCAGTTTACATCCAGCCAATAATATTGTGAGAATCTCGATATAGTTGAGGTTTACGCTAATCGTATTTGGTTAAGACTAACGCAAGAGCCAGCCAATAGAAGCATACAAACTATATCAGAGAGAACTACATTCAATCCTGTCTACCGCTGCTAATGCATTCAGGTCTCATGGTTGAGGCTTATGTTGCATTTTAAGCAAATGATAACATTATTACTAAAGATGTGATTCCTTTAGCACTAACACGGGATATCTTCCCTGAGCAACACATTTCTCAGCATCAACAGTCATGATATCCTTGCCTTCAAATTTAAATGTTTATTTAAATATCGGCCAAAGGAAGAATTTAATTTTCATTCTTCGCGGTTGTATGAACACGACCCTGCGTATGTAGGTCTCTATCCCTGAGTCGGCATCCCTGCTGTAGGTTCCGTTCCGTTTCGGGAAATGAGCTGAGCGTCCTTGAAAACGATTTAAGTGCCTATCCCTACCCACGTTCAACGAAAATTCCAATTAAATTTAAACATGAGACTTATATATAAATTTGAGGGAAATGGTTTTTTCTTCGTACTCACCACGACGACTATCATTTTCGTCCTCCGCTTATCATGAAAGAAATCTCTCCGAAAATGATCCACTCCGGCCTGATTATATAGACGCAAACCCATATCTTACCTCAGTTTCTGGTCACTCTGTTACACATACATGCCAAGCACACAAATCAGACGCATGTCCGCGATGCAGGGACGAGTATGTCGAGTACGATAATGAGTCTGCCTATAGGCCAAATCATCTTCAAAGTCGCAGTACATCGTACTATACCGGCATACCATTCTGTGCAGAAAAACTGCAGCCTGACGGTTTATTTGACGACGGCTATTTTTCTGCTTCCCTGCTGTCGCGGAAGTTGACAATATCATACACAGTATCCTCTTCATCTGCTCGCGCTTCGTGGGCTGCTTTACTTGGCTATGAAAGGCTCTACTAGTAGTATAGATTGACCTATCTATATACGATCATTTGCCTAAATCAATTTGGAAATACCGTTTACAGTGATTATGAGCTGGGAATAGGAGCATAAATTGACACCCGAGGCAGACAGGAAAGAAAAAAGGAAAAACAAGAGCGCCAAACATTTCTATACCTTGACCTTCTTCAATAGTGCTTAATAATATTTTCAGCAAGTCCTATCTAATAATACGAACATATGTTTCACAAGTGGTCTTTTCATTTTAAAACTTATCTGTAAATAAGACCGACTAGCTTTTCTAAAGTCAAATTTACAAGCCATTACTATGGCACAGAAACAATTCTAAAGAAGACAAGTTCTTTGATTTTATACGGACCATCTGTTAAAACATTAATCATTGAACTGCAATTTTATATATAAGTGATAGTTGACGTTACGCAACAGAGAGGCGTGTTTGAATATCACTGGATGCAAAGTTGCACCAACCACATTTAATCGTGTTATCGCAGCCTCATGATCTAGAATATATTGAGCTTATGAAAAAGAAAAGTAGAACAAAAGCAATATAGTCGTCCAGTAAATAAATATTTGAACAGTACCATATTATTTATATACACTTGTCGCTACAGACTACATCAATTGATGTGTTTATTGGTCCGGCATGTTGGGAACTTGATATATCAATTATGCAGGAGGACCTAAACAAATAGAGCCTCAACCACTAATGTACCTCAGAAATACACAAAAAATAGGCCTTTAGCTATCGAGTTTCCATGAATCTCAAGATCCACTAACCTTTATAAGTTTCACCCGGGTGCGTGCGCCAGTTGGCACAGTTAGCCTTCGCTCTAGTGATTCTCGCTTTCTAGAAATTTCAAGCTCCTAAATTCCCGATAGATTGTTTTGTTCTGAAACTTTTAGAACATCGACCCTTTCATAAGCTCAAAATGGCAATCCCACAGGCAAAAATACCGGGATTATTTGATATGCCTATTGATTCCACGTACAAGCTACCCGGTTTGGAGAAAAGCACATCAAATGGGGGACTTACCATACCGCCCAATCGTGAAAAAAGTATCAGAGAGCAAGGACCCAGACCATCGACAGTCCCAAAGTATGTATCCTAGTCCTAATTAACACCCACAACAATGTTACACATGGCACGAATAACCACATTGTCAGCCAGTCAGGGTTGTCGGAAGGAGGCGGGGCAGTCCTCGAACAGAACCAGAGCACTCCAATACGCATAAACTCTAAGTATCAAGAAGAAGACATTTCCAGAGTGGCATTGTCTTCCACCAGCACGTCTACTATAGCAGGTATGTCTTAAAAAATACTTCACAGCCTGCTTCTAGCTAATAAAACTCTGGGCCAGATTCTTTGCATACTGATACGAAAGACGGAAGGGCGAAAGAACCTATTCTCGGAGATAACAAGGAGTCAGGTACCAAAACAACCACGCAGCATCTAAACGGTGCTTGTGAACTCGACGGCATCCCAGATGAAAAGAGTGGTGATGAGCTAAACAGCGAGCCCAACAGTTCCCCTGGTGATAGCTGGTATTACCAACAGACTACAATGAAAGTGAATGATCCCGAAATCGCATCCAAACCTAGCTTGCCAGTTCACAGGGTGGAAGAAGGTCAGAACGCCTCCAAGCAGAAACGGTCATTTATTTCTTTCAACTGGAACATAAATTCTAACGGTGGTATTTGTACGTCACAAAGCGCATGAGATATGAAACGAGGGGAACTACCGCTGAAACGAATTCCATTTTGGTCACGCTAGTATGCGAATATAATGATTAGATGATGGTGAAGAGCAAGGCAGAATAAGTGAGCCACTAAGACAATGGATTCCATCTGCCAACCAACCATCAATTGATTATTTTTCTATAATTGATATTATTGATATTTCGGATTTACTGTGCCAAAGCTTGGATTTTCAAAATCAGTTACTCCCAATCTTGAATACTATCTTTCGTGTATTCACAAGGATTTAGGGTTAGTGTCCGGGACTCCGAGTGGATTGTTCACTCCACTGACTGAAATCATATTCATACTGACAACTTGAAGTCTTGAGAATATAGTGATATGTAATTAGCTAAATAAGTGATGGCAGTCAAAAGTAATTTGACAGTAGTGGGCCTCCTTGAGTTGAAAGAGTATTTTTAAGATGAAGGAGGTCTCAAACTTTTTATCATTAGACCCAATATTGTGGTTCATTTTCTACCTGCGAACTTGCACGCGCAGAGACTCGCGAACGACTGCTGAAGTCTCCCGACGTTACTTTGTTTTGCTTTGTTGACATTTGACCAGTTGATGCATGAGGATTTCCAGCCGAAACCCGAGGAGATGGCACAGCATCGTGATTAAGAAGCTGGATAATCTTTTTGTGCAGGACTGATATCTCTACATTTTTTTCCTTGAGCAACTGTGTAAACCGTTTCCCATCTGTTTTGTAACCTCTGACGTCTTTCTTGAATAAACGAATCTCATCTCGATATTGACGAAGCTTGCCTTCGAGGGAAGCGTTGACATATTCCAATTCCACAATACGGAATTTCAGTGCGGAAACTTCGTTGGTGTAAAATGGGCATTCTTCAAGACGATGGTAACCTTTGACAGCTGTTTTGGAGCTGGTATACGGTTCCATATGTTGCGAAAAAGTGTCTGGCTGGAGATAACAATTTATTAAAGATGAAGTGGGCGTATGCTTATCTTCGTAGATGGAAATTCCCTCATCTAGGGTGTCTAGTCGAGAGTCGGGTAGATGGCCGGTAGATTTGTAATTCGTTAGTTGTCTCTTTGGCTTCAGTCCATCTGGCGTGCGTCTTCCTTCGATTAAATATATTTCACCATCATCATCGTCAGCATCGTCGTCAAGCTGAAAGGAGTTGTCGTTTTGATGTGAAGACATAGGTTCAGCGGTTTTGTATGAGCTCTTTGTATCCTATAGAAACTCAGAAAGAGCATCCGATACTTGAAACTAGAAGCTTGAAGAATAGTGTAGACTCACTCTTTGCGATTCTCTCTCATAGTCTTCTTTCCACAGATCAGTTACCGATTCAGTGTCCATCTGTTCGTGTATTTTCATAGCTCCTAACGACTGAGCTCTCATAGGTGGCTTCCATCCTCGCAGTGTTCTGCTGTCACGCGTACTAATTGACGATCGATTCAGAAAACGAAGTAGCTCATCAGTCTCCCCTAGAATCGAGGAGTCATCCGTCGCAGTCATTTCGGTTCGGTCTTGATGCGTCTCAAACATGTGGTATTTTCAAAACTCCGAAGTCGGTTTCATCGCACGGAGGTCACCTAGGCTGTTTAAACAAAAGTCTCTTTGAGCTGGACAAGAACAATAGAATCCTACCGAATTGATTCTAGCCAGCTGAAATTTACGTGCAAGGCACACTTGTGCGATAGTTATCAACCGGTAATCAAACTGCCAGTGCTGGCATGTCACGCTGGTAGTGGTTGGTAGGAGCATAATCGCAAATTACGAAACTTCATTGAGAACTCATTTCCCTCGACGGCTTAATTATTTTCTTTCTTTCTATTTCTTATAATTAGGTTATAACCACATGGCGTCTACGGGCTGCGATGCAAAACGCACTGGCTTTGTGCCAATCCTGATTTGACAAACAAAGACGGTAGACGAAAACGTCTATTCATAGTAGCATTTTCTTCAATGTATGTTGAGATAAGTTGAGCATTCTTTCAATTTGTATATCGTTGGAGATGCGGAACGGGCAATGATCGGCCAAAGAATTGGTATGAGCTTCATTAATTGGCGTAACGCCGTACTGATGCTAAAATTAGGAAAACCTAACTTTGCAAGTGATTATATTTTGATTGGAGTCGACTCTTAATCCGATGATTAAAGTGACTTTTAATCAAATTTAAATAAATTTAATCAAACTTAAAAGAAGATGAGAGAAAAGAAAGGGCGAAAAGATATTGTAAGATAATGTTATATAGTATTTGCCCAGCGATGCGGATCTTCAGTATTGGTCAACAAGAATGTGGAATACAATACTGAAAGACTCATCGTAGACTCAGCATAGACAGTAACGTAGACTGTAAGATCAGTTTCTCATCTAAGACCAAGGGTCTGAGGCAATGAGGTCTTATATACATACATATATATATATATATCATTAGATCTCGTTAGCCAATTAGAAGCTAGTTATCACATGACTAGTCACACCACAGTAAGCACCTACGCAGAGCAAACCATCGAGCCAGAATCAAGCAATCAGTTAGTCAATTAATCATCCTCATAAATCAATATTTAATGAATTCCCTGGGCAGATTGACAAGTCAATACGATAGGCAATCCAACACGAATCTTTTCAGTATTTTGTTCTACTTCTCGGCGCATCATGCAAACCATTAGCCGAGAAGAGAGGAAAGTGAAGTTATATAATGTAGCTGTAATAGGTGATCATGGGGTCGGAAAGACGCACCTTCTATATCGGTCAGCATTGCGATTGAACTCCATTTAGATTGACGCACGTTGACATGAAGTAGAGCGGTGTACGGCACATCTCCCTTTTATGATCCTACATCAGACGACTTATTCCGAAAGTTGATCGATGACGACCAGCGGCTATGCATGTTAGATCTTTTTGAGCTAGGCAGTGCATTAGAAAGCTACCCATGTCTGTGGGATCAGGTAATCAGGCAGGCAGACGGTTTTATCCTCGTATATAGCGTCACCTCTCAGCCATCCCTCAAACGAGCAACGGAGTTGGCCCGAATCGTCTCTGTGGTCCCGGAATCAGCAGGGCCTACCAGTTCCTCCACTTTGTCAAAACCCATCCTGCTGGTAGCAAATAAGAGTGACCATGCAGCAAAGTCTGAGCGCTTCCCATTCCAACGCTTTCCTTTCCCTATGCCACCAGTTATAGCTCGTTCGAGCCATTCAAGAATCTCTGTGATATCACACAGAATTCAACATGGCCCATCTAATGTTGCTGCATCGTGCAATGTATCCCATTGCTACTTCTCTTCGCTACCAGATGAGCTATTGGTCATGATATTCGAGTACTTGGAACCAATACCTGCGCTTTCTCTGGCTTTTACATGTCGCCTTTTCTACTCCATCTGGTACGGGACAATTAGGAACGAACAGTTGTTAGAATCTATGAAGCAGGAATTTTTACACGCGAGGGAAGAAGCCGTCTTGGTGGACAAGGGTGCAACATTAGCAAAGGAGCTCAAGTGTCATTTCATTGAATCCTCAGCCATGCTTGGCATCAATAGTGACAAAGTCCTCCAGGACATGGCCCGGATATTGAGAGGCCACTTAACGCAAGAGGAATTTAGCCAACTAGAAAGTCCGTCGGCCTGCTCTCATAACTGGTTGTGGATATTCATTGCAAAAAATTCGGGTAGAATAGGCAGACAGCTGCGACTAGCTTTCTGTTTTGGACATTGATAAACACTCATATTTTGATGCACCTCACAATCAGTTTCCGTTATGTTAACAGCCCAATGCCTTCCCCCGAGTACAATGGTAGTTTAGACACATCATTTTCGTACAAGACTTCGAAATTATTTTTGGTTTGTAATTCTGTATACCGGTCCTGCCCTTGGTAGTGGAGCAGAATAAATCAAAGAGAATAAAAGATCAAGGGGTTTCGAGTCCGTCATACATGTGTATCTCATCTAATATTCTATATATAAGAAGTCTACATGTGATCAAGAACTAGAAAGTCGAGACCCTGTCGAACCATATCATTTCCCCACCAAGAGCAGGTTCTAAGTCTAGTCCAACATGCCCCAATACCCCGTTATCCGATACGCGAAAAGTTGCCCGTACGGACTCAAAATCCCGAGGATCTTGATTTAAGACCTCCAACCTTGCAAGCCAGGATTCCCCAGAGACATGAATCATGCGTATTATCATTGGAATTTCTTGAAGAAGCCGATCTACAATAAGAACGTTTTCATGCGATTCAATGTTCATGTCACCATAACCCGGATGGCTATATCGACCTGCGTGGGCTTTGAAAGGGGCAGACGGTGGTTCTAAAGGTGAAGGCAAAGATGGATACAAACGCGACTTGGCCCGAGAATTATCAGATCTTCTTGTATTTATGCGCTCCTGGAGTTTGTTGTTCCAATCGACTCTATCGGCCAACGGAGTCCCAAGAATATTGTCAAGAAGGTGCATATACAAGACAGTCTGTACGAGGTTGCTCGTTCCTGTCGTGTTTCCCATCATGACAAGGCCCCACTGGAGGTCAGGAAGATACATCATAGTTGAACCAAATCCAGTCCAGCTACCGCCGTGCCAAACAATGCGCTGGCCGCGATAGTAGTCGATCGTCCATCCAAGAGCATAAGAGTGAGGTGAGGGGAACACATTATTGGGATGTTGTGAGAACTGGATACGTGGTTCAGTGAGGGTTTGGTGAGCAGCCTGGCTCAGCGGAGCAGATTTCGCCATCATACAGCGAAGCCATTTCGTATAATCAACGACATTGCTGATCATTGCACCCGCTCCTGATACAGCTGGAAAGTCTGGAATCGGCTGTTCGACGAACTTGCCTGATGACGAGTCCCATGCATAACCCTGAGCTAATACCGTGCCTGAGCTAGCCGCTGCTGTGGCTTCTTGCGGTGTCCAATAAGTGGTTTTCATACCCAGTGGGTGCCAGAGTCTGGCTCGCATGAAATCACCCAAACCTGTTCCGGTCGTTGTTTCAATGGCATGTGAAACAGTAGAGAACATATAACTGCTGTACAAATATTTTTCACGAAGCTCTGCAGCACGGGGTAGGTATCTCAGGGATCTCACTACATCCTTGACAGAGGCAGTATTAGGCTTAAAGCTCAGTTTATGGTCTGGAAGGCCGGTTCTATTGCTAAGGGCATCCTCAAAAGTAACTTGAGCCGTGGTATACTCATCAGCGAGCGCGAAATCATCTGGAATCACAGAGGAGAGGGTAGAAGTCCAGGAAAGGTTTGGTGATACAGAATCTTTGTAGACATGTCCCATGCTATCTTCAATAAGAAGGGAGACGCTGGCGGCAGTAAATGACTTTGTTGTGCTTGCTGTAAAGAATACTGTCTCTGGTGTAACAGGGACATCAGGAAAGACAGCCGTTCCATAACCCTACCAACGTGAGCAGTGTCGTCGGAGAAATATTTGTAGGGCTATAACCTACTTTGGAAAAGGTATCATGACCGTCAATGACAGCTATTGCAAGACCAGGCACGTGCCATGTCCGTAAAAGTTGTTGGACGAGTCCATCAAGCTCGCCAGTGAAGGGCGAACGAGAATTTGTGGAAACCATCTCCGTGGAAGTCAAGTAAATAACAGAGATTAACTATTACCACGTTTGTGTGAATGGGACGGATAGTGCCATTAAATATGAGCCACGGTCAAAGTTGATGCCTGGTCAGTTCCCCATTCAAGATCACCATCAGCTGCTGCTGATAACAGTGAGTTAGTTAAAGCGTAAGTGAGTTCAGAGTGGGATGTGGATCTTGTTATAATTGCTGGGTCTATCATACACGATCGCTGATTGGACAAGGGCCGTGTTGGATGGGTCCCCTGGATCCCTCGCGCCGTCAATGTTGACATCCTTGGAAGAACTTGAATATTCCAGCTGCGGTTACGGCTTTGGTACTTCTATCTTCCATAGCTGTTCTTGGTCGAAATGTCATTTGTTGAGCCAATAACCACGAAAATTGGCTTCATAGAACTCCCAACATTAAAGAATGTCCCAACGACCCTGCACCGTCATCAGGAGACCACACAACGGTAATAATGGTCGTGGACAGTCAGAGCGGTCAGGTTTATGAGGAAACCGAGATGGGTCCGCCAGTGGGCTTCGTCAATGGATTTGCTTGGGAGCACGAATCGCCTTTCTTGGAGGCAGACTACGAGCTTCGCAGTGACTTGGGAGTACCAGCCTTGAAACACTTGGCAATGAAAAAGACGCTTAGCGACCAAAGAAGCCTGAACAAGTCTCTATTTCTGGACGTACCTTGGCCGATTGCCGCACAACTATGGGAGTATCTCAGTCGGAGGCAAGTGAGTGTGTCCGATTTTCGGAGAGTTACGAAAATAACGTCACCAAAACAGTGGAAAGCGAACAATGTACATGTGGAAAATTCTGTGTACCACATACCCCGGCCAGTTCCGACATGTTTCCCAGCACTGTAGAATGGTTATCGACAAACCGCGGATCCCTATGCGCGGCTACATCAGCTTGGTGAAAAGTACGGATTGCAGCTGGGCTACACAGTTGAACATCTGGACCGAGTTTGCATGGACCCCGGAGCTTGTCGAGCTTGCCGATGTGGTCAACCTTGTCTCTTTAGAAATCAACACAGCATCATCAAGGCATTCGTATTTGGGCGATGGTCAGAGTCAAGAGGTCGTCAGTCTTGACGACCGCGTTCTCCGTGCATGGACTGAGCTTATTGAGACCTCAGGATCTTTTCAATATCTACGAACGCTTAAACTGCACGGCCAGCGGAACATTACAGGCAATGCTTTCTATTACTTATCGAAATTCCCTTCTCTTGAATACTGTATAGTGGCGAAGTGCGATGGATTGACTACACAATCCGCCATCAAGACAGCGGAGGCACACGGGTGGTTCCTTAGTCAGGATAAACTCGAGGGAACAGCATATCAGTTCTCCCAAGACACCTCCATAGGGCTCAATACAAGTACCAGCTGGTCAAGCAAGAGACCAGACAGCCTACTCCCATCCACAATGTCCAGCGACATCCCGCTTCTAGAGTTCACAGTTAGACATAGACGAGCGAAGTCAATGGCAGGTCTTGACATTGCCATTTTTTCACGGAAGGACAATGGCCGCGTAATTGAGACACAGGCGAATAAGCGAAAGCGTGAGGGCCACATTTCATTGACAGAGCGCCGTGCTCACCACAAGACGAGGAGGCCAGCCGTGAAAGAACGCGGCAAGGATTTGTCTGGCCTGCTTGGAGAATTCATGTAGCAACGGGGAATTTGCTGTTGCCTGTAGATTAGCTTGTCAAGAAGATAATCTCAGCTGTATTCTTGGTGGAATGTTTCATCTTTTATTTATTTATGTATTTAAGTATTTATTTACTGTTGTCATCAGCATTCGTATAGTTTTCTGCGGAGGCTAGCGGGACGATCCGCTGTTGCTATCGGGCGGGTCGCCATTATCGCACGGCGTAAGACCACTTCCATCAATTGTTCTGACTCACATCCACCTCAGCAGGGCATTCGAGTTAGCAACCAAATAGAAATTTGTGCATCCTATGTTCAGAGTCTGAATTATCGCACCTCGGGCTTGACTTGCTTGCCCTTGAATACTACGCACCGATGGCGGAGCAGCCTTCTCACGCGGGGCAAGATGCCCCCAGTTCATCCGACTCTGCTATTTCTTCGCCACGAACCAGCACGGATTCGCGATCCCCTCACTCCCGACCGCCTTCCATGCGCCTGGCCCATATCCCATCTCAGAACTCGTCCCATCGGCAGAGCTTTAGCGAAAGCCTACGTAGCATGCCACAGTCGCCTCGCGCCCGCCGCCAACCGTCCTTGACCCAAGCCGCGATACAAGGACTAATCGATAACCCTCCCGTGCGAAACCCTGCAGACCCAGCCTTTTCAGGTCGTGATTGGCGCCAGATATCTATTGGAGAACTGGTGAAGTCGATAGACCTTCAATTCGTCGAGGTGGACACTGGAATTGAGGATGCCACCAAGGTAAGTCTTGATTTTCCAACGGATGTCACTGGCTGTCAGTCTAATATGAGTTCTGTATCCAGGTCTTGGTTGACACCGAAGTCCCCGTGCTCCTCGTTCGTGAGACGGTCGACGACAAGTCTGCTGTAGGAACATTCGGGTACAGCGACTTGAATGCATATCTGCTGTTAGTTGTTGGGCTGGCAAAGCCCACGGAGTCACAGCTCACTTCTTTCCAAGATGTTGCTCAGAAAGCACAAGAGGGAAGTAAAATCCCATTGAAGGATATCAGAGATCTTGTCCCCAAGGAACCCTTGACTACACTACCAGCATCAGCCAATTTGATGACAGCAGTGGAAACATTCGGCGGCGGAGTGCATCGGATTGTTGTGCTGAAGGAAGACAGCAACGAAGTAATTGGCGTTGTCAGCCAGTCTAGACTTGTCAAGTTCTTATGGGAGAACGGCCAAAGCTTCCCAATCATTGATCAATTATACCCTCAACATTTGAAAGACCTTCGATTAGGGTCTCAACGAGTCATCCATATCAAGTGAGTCTGATTACACCTCTAAAGGCAATCTCTGATAATTCTAGTGGCGATAAACCTCTGTATCATGCGCTACAGCTTATGAATGATGAAGGAATCTCTTCTCTGGCTGTTGTTGATAACCACACAAATGTTGTCGGTAATATATCAACCGTTGACGTGAAGGTATATCCCAGTAGCTTTCAAGATTATCCATAAGACTGACAGTTTAACCATCATTATACAGCTGCTGACAAAATCTACTTCCCTACCACTACTTCAAAACACATGCATCCACTTCATATCGGTCATCCTGTCGACCCGGGGATTAGTAGAAGGGAAAGACTCATTTCCCGTTTTCTATGTGACTCCTACGTCGACCCTTGCTCACACAGTTGCAAAAATGGTTGCCACAAAGTCACATCGGTATGCGAGATTTTTTTCAGGTTCTAGATTTCGTATCTAATAAATGTGTTTTGTAGCTTGTGGATGGCAGACCCTCAATCCCCATCATCATCCGGTTCTGCAACCCCGGCTATTACTTCTACCCACATACCTCCTCCTGGAAGCCCTGGAGCCCCTGCTTCTCTCGCTGCACCACAATACAACCCTTCAAATCATGGATCAAGTGGTGTGCCACCTCCCCCAGGTTACACCCATCCACACCATCCGATCCCTCCTCAGGGCTATCAGGGCTCGACTTCTACTTTGCCATCTCCCATTGCCCCATCAGTACCGGCATCTGCACTGCCTGGAGCGCGGCTTTCTGGTCGGTTAGTAGGCGTCGTCAGCCTTACCGACGTTCTATTCCTCTATGCCAGGGCCAGTGGCTTAAGTCCGAACGACCCAGCCGAGACCCGGAATCGCCGGCGACGAAGCAGCAGTTCAAGCCTGAGCGTTCACAAGAGTGGAGATATTGGGCGTGACCTGTTACGAGGTCGAACAGGTGAGGACAGGTGATTGTAGATAAATGTTTTGCGAGTCCAGGCTACGCGGACCTGTGATTAGCACGTTTTCCATCCGTCAACCTGGTTTTCACGTCCCAAGGTCAACCGATTTGAATCGTGATTAGTTGGATTTTTCTGTTATCATTCCTGTCCATGGATTAACGACCTGAGCGAATCTGGCGCGGTGGCAAATTCGGAGAAATTTCATATGCTAGTCTACATCGAAGAAGCTATTCAAAGCTTGTCTGTTAAAACATAAGCCACCTCATCATCGTATATATCGTGTCGTACAGTAGTATATCTGGTACAGGTCGTTAGCGAACATCTCCGCGCCTATTTTTTCATCCGGTAGAAAATGCTATTTCCTCGGCAGTCTTATTATGGCAGCGAACAGGGCGCTTACCAGCTTGACGAGACCATCCAGACTTGTGGTTTGAGTGGAGCTGCTTACGCACTGATCAACTGATCGACACGGTCTGTATGAAATATGAATGGTCAAGTTGTGAAAATGAAATTCTTCCCGATTGGCTAATTGTCAACCCATGCACTTCCATCTCGCCAATAAGATTAGAATAATGCGAGAACGTTTTTCCTTGATCATTTTTGAGCTTAATCGCATCACGACGAGGGCGGAAATGCGTTCCTTTCTAATGGCGGTTTTTTAAAACTAAGAGACCGGACTATAGGCCGTGCAATCGGAATTAATCCGAAATACGAATTGAATCTGTAGTGAATACGAGAAGCCAGAAATCGGATTGTTGAGTCAGGTTGCGGGGATTCTGGTGACTCGTGAGTGACTCAGGATGGAATGAGTTCATGTCTTATTGATGAGTCTTGAATCCCTGTTTTATTGAGGGATAATTTGAGTACTTGCGAAATCGAGTCTATGGACGGCCATTATCTGCAAGGATAAAAATCTGGATATCCAGTCAAAGTGGTGAATTACCCATGCTCGAGAGCACGAAAGCACATTCTGCATTGAGTAACACCGATTAATAGACTTTCCCATTTGTTGCTACAAGTCCATGACTAGTGTCACAAGGGTGATTTGGAATTTGTCACTGATTAATATTCAAAATGCGAAATGTTTGGTTTTACTAGGATCAAGTGGGTGGCTTACCCGATGATTAGTCTTGATAGTAAGAGAGGGGTGGAGAGACCGACGTAAGCAGTCAGATTCCTTGGGCAATCAGAGACGCAGAAGTTTTGGGTGATAGACGGGCTTGATAAGGGACATGATAACAACAACATTATTATGATTAGTATGGCTGTTAAGCCTATTATTAATTCAGAATCATGGTACACATGCCCCTCGGCGGGGTTTCACTTGGTGTTTAGCTTAGGGCTCGGTCCTCGCCTTGATGGAAAGTGCCTCGAGGGTACCCATGTCCCCCTTGACCCTGTGCCGCGGTGGATGGAGGATAGTTTCCACGGACGGTGGAAATTGAAGACGAAGAGACAAAGATTGGGCGAAAGATGGGACGATTGTAGAATGGAGAAGGTGCAGGGGATGTCGTCAGGCGCCATTTGATATCATTCTTGCACCACGGTATCCCTGCAGTGGAATGGGATGACTCTGACCGAAGGCTGGATTTAGATTGGATATGGGATGTTGTGGTCCGAGTGCGGGGTTGACAGTTGATAGCAGGTAGCTAGCTAGGTTCACGTCAAAACCTCTTCAGTCAGTGCTGGGCTCTGCTGGGAGCAGCCAGGAGAGGGTAGAGTGCCATCCAATGCGGGGCTGCGATACCAGCATCAATATGCAAGGCTGTGCTTAGTTCTCACGCCTATTGGAGCACGAGTAGTACGATGGAGATGCGAGATGCCAGAGTCCTAGAGGCTAGATCCCATCCAAAATAGTGGAACGCTCCATTTCACACAGCGGGCAGCCAATCAACGCAAGAATCAGGGATCACATAAGAACAGCCGGAATAAGGTTTGCCCCGCAAGGAGCCTTACCAAGCCCGATTTCCGGGAGCTCCAGCCAATGGCGAGCTCGAGTGACCTCGGTCGTTTGCAGTTTAACCTTTAGCTATCCACCCGCTAGTGCAAGCTGTGAATCGGGTTGGGAATCGGGATTGGTGGAAGATTTGATGGGGCATTTGGAGGTCACTATCACTCTACCACTGTATGGAGCTCAATGTGACTTACTACCCTGTACAGTGCTGCGTCGAGAGTAAGGCTGAGTACTGTGAAGGAGAGGAGAGATTCCACCCTCCAAAGCTAATATTGCTGGATCAGCAAGCAGCTAGAATGAATGGACAAGGCACGAGCATCCAGTGGCGCGACTGCGTACAACATGGACGCAAGCTTATCAGTCCATGTCCTAGAGAGGATAATGAACAAGGTTCAATGGAGCCCGTGCTTTACAATCTCCCCGCGATTCGGTGACGCTTCGCATGCAGTCCTGAGTCGACTCGCAATCTTTGGTTAAGCCTTAAGCAATATTCGGAGTTGGTCTACGCTTCGCTTTAGCCTTTCGGAATCAATGCCAATTCGACACCAGCACTGACCCCGTATTGCCCAAAGCGCTCGAACAGCTTCTACAAGGGGAGATGTGAAGTGATGGGAACTTGTTAGGTAATTGATACATTTGTTAGCAATACATATTCGGTATCCTCCTCAAAACTCCCTCGCTAGAATCCCAAAAAATGAAGTAATAGACCAGCAAATTGGCCTCCGTAACTCCTTGCCCAGTAATCCGATAATAATACAAGAATCGGCGATAAATAAATTAGATCCCAGAAATGGCCAACTCGAACTCTAGGCTATCAACATGAGTCCATTCTTCACAAGGGTCAACGGCCCCCTGCCACTGATTTTCCACATTGGTGGCAAAATCAAAGAACTCGTGAATATCCGGATCAGAAATATCAGAGACGCCCAGATGTACCTGTTCGCTAAGACCATACATCTGCGGTGACATACTGCCCCCTGAGCTGTCTTGCGAGGAGTTGGAAGTCATGGGTGGGGGGATAGATCAGGAGTAAGGGCAAAGTTTGTAAAGGCCGAGGCCATTTGACCCTCGTTAGTCTCTAGAACAGACTGGTGGGGCTCAGATTGCGCGCGAGACACATCTGGCATTGCAAGTGCCATATTTTGTTGCTGCTGATACAGGAGTACATCTGGCACGGATGCAAATCGAGAACGGAACGGTGGTGGCTGACTTATTTCCTGGGAGTTGATCGGCTGTTGGGTAGCTAGAAATGATTGAACCGCGTCGGCGGATGTGGTATTCCAGGATGGATTTAACTGCGGCGTAGACATATACATGGGGACTTGTGCGGGCATATATGAAGCGTAGGGCTGGTGAGTTTGCACATACGACTCGGCTGGAGGCGAGGGTAGAGCAAATGCGCCAAAGGTAGCACTTGCTGGATCCGGCTTCAGTGGGGACATGGGAGCCACAGCTTGCTGGGCAAAATATGATTGAGCCGGTGACATACCGCGCACCTTCTGGATGCCGCCGGTGGGCGATATACGGGACATTTGGTGGGTGCCATTTGGGTGGCTGATAGCCAAGGTTGCGACCAGGTGACGGTGGAACTGGGCCTCCAGCTGGTTGGTTTGGTCTTTGAGGAGCTTCATGCGCTTCTCCTGGTAGCGCTCATCAATCTCTTCGTACATGGCTTCGTTTTCCACGATATCTTTGGTGATGAGGAGAGCCTTGCCGGTGCGCTTCTTGTGCAGCATGGAGGCGCGGTTGGCTGACTCCAGGCGAGCATCCAGTGTGCGGTCCTTGCGTCGCGAAGCAGCAACAAAGGCGCTTTGATGGTTTAGTATATTGGTCCTTGGGTAATACTGCAAGTGCCACATACCGTTCTTGGTTTTCCTCCTTGCGACTGTCGCTTTTTTTGACGTCGCAGTCAAGACTGACGGCGGCGAACCCCATCATGGCTCAGGAATATGCGAGCGTCAGGAGATATTGAGAGGATTGAGGACAATGAGCCGAGGAGTGACTCAGTAACAGGAGAAGGGAGGGGGGATTATAGGATTATATATATGAGGGAGGCTTAAGAATAGCAGAGACAATCAGACAATGTGGTGTGATGTTCAATGGCGGAGGGAAGACCGTGAGATAGATATAGAGAAGGCAGCCCCATGCAGGAGGGGCCAGGCCAATGCGAACAGTGGCAGGGCCTCGACTCGACTTTCGGCTTTCGACTGCCTACCGCCTCAGGCAGGCATCGCAGTAGGCAGGAGCGTAGGCCCTTGGCTCAGTGGGCTGTCAGGGTTGCCTGGGTACCCCCGCTGGCTCCGTGCATGGCGCTTCCATGGAACTCGTGAAAGCTGAAGATTAAGACTGGCCCTCTTCCCGCACCTCAGGCCCATGGCTTTATACAGGCTGCTGCCCAAATTGGCAGGACGATGTAGCTGCCTATAGCAGTTGTCTTGCGTCCCTCGTCTCTCTGGTGCTTCTGCGGTGCTAGTTAGCATTTGGCCAGCATGCTGCAAGAATCCGTCTGCAGCGTATACCAACTGTACACTAACTGCACATTGGACAGTGCATTTAACACACTATCATATCAGCGCACTACTGCTAGTACTTCTAGTATCAACCATATACGTGTGAGAGCGCAACAGCCGTACCGCGGCCAGGTCCCATTTAGTGCCCGGAAAAGGCAAGGCGTGCTGCCTTGGGGAGCTCTGGGCCTTTCATCACATCTCCACCAGCCCCACCCAAGGACCGTGCAATGACCCTAACCCGTGCAGCTGTCCAATCACTGGGCGATATGACGGCCCACACCCGATGACACTACAGGGCACCCCCGTCCGATCGAGTGCACTAAGACACGCCTAGCCCTATCTGGCCGTAGCTCGATCTGCAAGATCACCGTTGCTGGCCGCTCTCTTCTCATCATCCCCGCTCCGTCGTCTTGCTCTATCCTGAGAACGTTTTGGTGCCTCGCAGTTGGACGTTCGCGGACATGACTGTCCCAATAGGGCTGTAACTGTGCTCTGATGTCGCACTGCTGCTGCCAGGATGTAACAGCAAAGTCGCAGCTCGTCACCGCAACAAAAAAAAAATGAAAACTCTTCCTCTTTGCCTTACACACCTGGTTAAAGGCTCCTTGGCCAGGCCAGGCCAAGCGGCCCACCACCCGAGGAGCTGGCACTCACTCGTTTATTTAGCTTTGGTGATGAAGGCCTGAGGCGTTGCTATCACCTACAAGTCTGGCCGAACATAGTCCGACTGAAGGCCGCCAGCACGTGCACGCCACAAGCCAAGCTTTCGTTCGTGTATCTGTGTATTGCATACGAAGTCAAGCCATAAACAAACCCTAAACCTCGCTAAACCATCGATTTCCACGTCTCAACCAACAATTGCACCCTTTTTCCCGGCGTGGGTGGAGAATCTAGCAAGCACTCGAAGGGCCTTTGGGTCCAGTGGTGATCTTCCATCCCCATGTCGGATCTGCCCGGCCCAATTATTCAATGACTGATGGATCACCTCTGGCCGGCCGCTGGTGTCGCCACAGCTGGCTGGCTGCTCTACCAGCCTTACTCATTCGTACTAATGTATTTCCTTCCCAAGCCACAACTCGCTATCGGTTTCTGGTGGAGACATCACGCTCATGTGATGTGGCGAAAGAGGGGTTTTTCCAATCTAGGAACAACTAATTACCGTCTCTATACAAGACGGCTTGGCTGGACATGGATATGTACCAGTCTCTTATTGGATCTGATCTCAGCCTATAGCTAGAGAGACTGAAAAGACTGTGTGGAATCCTCGATTGCTTACTATCCGCATTAGGTAGGATCCTCGTCGTTTACAATCGGATGGCCCTTCCGCAGATCCGGATGAATCGCATGCACGGCCGGGAAATTTATTATCAACATCAGCAGGATCCTTATTCCCGATCTTTGATCAACCGAACTAATAAACAACCGGTGAATCCCAAGCCAGTCCAGAATACAGACCCCTTGGCCGAGGTAGTGATCCGCGAGGCACCAAACCAGCGGGCGAACGGATCGTCATGCTGCAGCCCTACATGAGGGATGCCTCGGAAGAGATTATGTTATCGCTCTGGGTTGGATGGCCTGAAATTTGCTACTCGATTAAACACGCTAGGAAACAAATTCCAACCACATACTCATCCTGCCTCAACTCTGAATAACACCATTACCTCGAATAGCACCCTTAATAATCCATGTATGCGCGTTGACTTGCACTACTTTTTCAATGAAGCAGCTCATTCGTGTAAATTCAGTCCAAGCGATTCGAAACTACCCTATTACCGTACTAGTCTGATCAAACCTAGACTATATCTCTACCAGTAGCATTACACCAGTGGCGATCGATCGCTCGTTCGTGTTTTGTAACCCGATGTAGGCATGATAGCCCGTTTTCGCTTTGTCGTTTCTTATCCCCTTCTCGTCGCCGCCTAAGCACGCTGATGATCAAAAGTTCTGCTGATGCATGGTTGACGGAAATGAGCGGATCCTAGAGATCTGGAATGTCGTGTGTTTGCAACATTACATACGAATTGAACCATGACATTACTGCAAGCATCTTGGCAGATACTTGGCAGATACTTGGCAGTCGTGGCCAAGACTCCCAGCCTCGTGTTTGAAGCAAGCGAGTGGCGAGGGTAGAGGACCTCGCCTTTACCAACTGATTCTCTTAGTCAGTACATTCATTAATTGAGTTTATTAGATAATGACTTTTTAAGTAGAGTTGATTTGGGTAATCATTGGCTGTCGAAGAAAAGAAAACTAGTGGATTTTAGTGGTTGAAATGTGATGGCTTGTGAAGACGGGACGGCCTGAATTTACACGCGTTATATCCAAAGAGACGAACAAGCGAATGACAAAAGTGTGTACTCATAAAAAAAGAAACATGCTAATCAGCGCTAATACCCTGGCTGGTTGTCGATCGGATCATTGTGAACGGCTTATGGTATCATACTTGCTCATGAAATTCCTAACGAAGGCACCATGCCTTGTTCTTCTTTAACCTGCCCTCCGACCCGATATGACACTTTAAAGCGTATTCTGACAGAGTCTCCTTTTCCTTGTTCGACATTTTCAATCAACATTTCCTGTTTCACTCCAATGGATTGGAGGGGCGAGATGTCCCGGCCAGATTGTGGTTGAAGGTGTAGCGTGTACGCCTAGCATATTAATTAGCCAGGTTCACTCTGACGCAGAATAAAATATTATAATAAGTTATTATTCATAATAAAAACTTACTCGCTCAACAGCAACTTGAAAGTGTAGTTCAGACAACGGCTGATTACTAGCATTCGAAAATAGAGCTACGGCTTGAATAGTCTGAGATTCGCCGGGTTTCCGCCGAACTTCCAGATCAATCACAAGCGACGAATTGAGAACCCGTACTTTATTCGTCGTTGGTAATGAGCTTGTTGGTAGCGAAGATGTAAAGCTCCATTCGTCCTCGGCCGCTCCGAGCGCCACAGTATGGCTTGGTTCCAGTGGCGCAACAGGTGGCGATCCTCCTGCAAGATCGACTAGCGACGACGGCCGTGCTTGGTAGTTTAATGCAACTGAAGGAGACGATGCCCTTGAACTTGCCGACATCAAGGATGCAAATGGGTCCGAAGCCGGTGTGGGAGAAGGTCGCTTGGCTTGAGTAAACGGAGGCGCTGGGGTCGATGACTGAGAACCAGGCTGAGACGCAGAAAGTGAGGAAAGTATATCATAGTTTCGCTGGAAACCACCCTCATCCTGCGGTTGGGAAGTCGAACTGGTTGCCGCCGCCGAGATCGGGGTATCTGATTGATAAAACCATCAGCAAAGTCTCGAAAAGCACCACGGGTTACATACCAAATCCTAGATTGACTGGACCCGGGGTAGCCTTATCCTGAAAGGAGAGACCAAGCAGGTCGTCTTCCAGTGAGGTAGTCGCTGGTTGGTCGCCCCCATTTGAGCTTGGTTCGGGGTCGAAATCAATCAAGGAAAGCTCGTTGTTGGCATTCTTAGACACTCCAGTTGTCGTCCCTAATGTTCCCTTAGGTATCCTAGATGCACCTTCCAAGTCACCGTTCTTCACCAATTTGTACCTCTCGATAGTCCGTTGGATACTATCATTGATTTGTTTAAGCTTCTCCACTGCCTCCGTATCATCTGATTCTTCATCGCACATCCTTTGAATCTTTGGGTGCGCACTTTGCAGCGCATTTGCGAGCTCCTAAAAAAAATTTAGTAAAAACAAAGCTTTGACATCGTATGATGAACTTACCTCAAATACATCTCCAGCAGCAATAGTGTCGCCGGGTTGGATACTCTGCAGCATTTCCTCCAAAATCTTGGCCTTTTGTTGAACATAAGAAACTTCTTCAGCAGCCTTGGCTCGATAATCGGTTTTGTTTCTTGTATCATAGCCCGCCATGACTTTCATCAACCTGTTTGCTTCCTGCAGATCCTGCGGGGTGCCTCTTCGAATCAGCTCCTGAAGCTTTGCAGATTGCGCCGCCTTCTCTTCCTCCTCCATCTCCTCTGCCGACCGGAGTGACTTGTATATGTTAGCGCTATGTCGTTATTCAAATAGAAAGGTCTCCCATACGTCAGTAGGGTTCAACACAGCCGCATCCTCATGCCGCACTTCCGGGAAGCTGTATCCTTTATAAAGCAGGAGACGATGCATGTCCCTGATAAACCCTAAGTCTTCCTTGTATCGCGACGTTTGACATATTGTCTGCCGCCATTCCTCGATCGACTCCAGAATTCGATGCTGTACTCGCGATGGGCGCAGAGGCGGCCGCTCAGGAAACCGTCGGACCAACTCATTGAGAAACTCTTTCGTGCTTATTTGGAGATGGAAAGGATAACCGCAGTTCTTCACACATATATCAAGAAGCTAGCCAGACAGATTGTCGAGTCAGTAACGCTTTCACCCAATGACGACATGGTTCTAGTTATAACCTACCGCCAAAGCCAAAAGAGCAACATTCTGATTCCGAGAATTGATGAGATGGACTATCGCAATCGCAGCCTCTCGAGGGCTTGTATGTATGTATGCTCGTTAGCTAGTCTGATTCTTTCCCTTGTTGTGCTATATCAAAACCGCACTGCCTCACTCACGCGTTGCCTTTCTTCGAATTGATCAGATCTGCGACTTCCAGGTTGAGGGCAAGATTTGGCTCGTAGTTCGTCGGGTCGCAAGCCTGATCTATATATTCCCAATTAGCTTTTATTGCAGTGACTTGATCAAAACGCCGCGGGTGAGCGCATACGTATAGCTCGTTGCAGTGGTGTCAGCGACGGATCGGCAAAAGAACCGAAGCGGTCCCTCGCCGCCATGCGTGCTGAAGCAGCCTCCAGTTTGGAGTTTGGGAGAGGGAAATAGGAGGGCGAATGTACAGAAGAGGAGAATGGATATGCAGGAGAGCCGGGGATCAATGCCCAGCTTCCGGATAAGAGAGGGTTTGAATTGCTTGTTCTATGCTTATGGCCAGCTGTAACGCGGTTGTTGATGGTGGTGCACTTTAGGCGGCGACGGACCCGCCCAAGCCTGCCCGCCGCCTAGCCCCGCCTGCCATAATTAATCCAGTCTATGCTCTGCTGTGCCTCTTGAGCACTTTCCTCCTGCTACCGAAATATATCTTGTATCTACTGCTGTTATTATCTACAATGGTTCGGCACAAAAAGGACAACTATCCTCGAGGCGGCAAGAAAGGGCCTCCCCGCCACCACCGAGCACCCCGCAGCGACGATAATGCGGCAGAGGGCGACCCTTCAAGACCACCGTTCAAGGCAGCATGCTGGGATCTTGGCCACTGCGACCCGAAGCGATGCTCAGGGAAGAGACTTATGCAATTTGGATTAATGAGGGAACTCTCAATTGGTCATAAACATCCTGGAGTTGTGATCTCGTACGCTGCCCTTTTTCGTTTTTTTTTTTTTTCGTAAACTAATCCATCCACTATTCAAGACCAAATGCGAAACGAATCCTCTCACCAGCAGACCGAGACCTCCTTGAGCAATATGGCGCCGCAGTTGTCGAATGCTCGTGGGTGCGAGTGAAGGAAGTTCCCTGGTCCCGAATTGGTGGAAAATGCGAAAGACTATGTACGACCAACATTCCTGATTGACGCTGCCTCGATCAAGGCTAATTTCTGTCTCAGTACCATACCTTATTGCCGCAAACTCTGTCAACTACGGTCGTCCATGGAGACTGAACTGCGTCGAGGCCCTGGCAGCCTGTTTTTACATATGCAGACACGCAGACTGGGCAGAAGAGGTGCTGAAGCACTTTTCATACGGCGAGGCGTTTATAGATATCAACTCACAGCTACTTAAACGGTATGCGGCGTGTGAGAATGAAGAGGATATTAAGAGAACAGAAGAGGAATGGCTCGCCAAGATTGAGCGCGAATACAATGAAAGCCGCGCAGAGCGAGAAGCGGGGGGAGCTGACGATATGTGGAAGCGAGGAAACACCAACCGTCAAAACGTTGCAGCGTCTGATGACGAGGAAAATGACGGTAATGAAGATAAGAGTGGCGATGAAGAGGAAGAAGATGGTGAAGATGAGCAGGAAGATCGGGATCCATATGCGATTTCAGATGATGAAGACGATGAAGAAGAAATGGCAGAAATAAGACGGAAAGTCCTCAACTCCAAGAGCTTTCAAACCCCTTCCGCATCCGACACTAAACCACAGCCGGAACCAATTTCTCGGCCAGAGACATTGCCTGTTGATTCCGATGCCGAATCAGGGTCTGCAGGAAGTGAAGACGAAGCATTCGACAATATCATTAATGCCACGCCAGTCACAGATCGGACAGGGATCATGGCAAAACAACGACGTAAAACCAGCGATGATATTACGGCTTCCTTTTCAAGGACAGTGATTTCGGCACCAAAGAAATGGTGAATAGCGAGTCCAGGAAATTCAGATACAAAGAACACGCGATACATTGCAACTACAAACATGGCTATGTCGCCATGATAAATGACACAAAATATGGTACTCATAACATGGACCCTATATATCTATACGATAAATGCATTAACTAATATCCGCCGACGTGCAGACCAGACCGGAATTTGGATTTCTGCGTCCGGTTATGTATGACAAGGTGTTACCCCAATTCTACCTCTTATAGCCCTAGGCTCAGCTGCCTTCGAAAATCAACAAAGAGCCGAAGACTGAGGAAAAAGTGGTTGTATTACGAAAGTCGAAATCCACGCATCAAAACGACAGCCTATGTAATTACCGATTCAAGAGCGAAATTTAGATTAAAACGAAATAAAAGAATCATAATTTACCACTACCCTTTGCCCCAGGTCCCTAACTTAATTGCATACTAAACAGAACTTAATTAAAGAAAGGAAAAAAGAAGTACCATTGATGCAAAACGTCAGGATCCAAACTCGGTCAAAGGAAATCCCATAATCATAACACAGACCGGTATCATCAGAACTAAACACACTAGCAAGTTTAAGGAGTGCTTTTTGTCTCGTAACAAGCATATTTACATAACATAGAGAATGTTGGTGTCTAGATTGAGTGTTAATGAACGTCCACACAATAGGTCAACTAGTGATAAACTTACCAATTGGGTGGCTGCAGCTCAATTGAGGCTTCTGGGTATACTTTGTAGCAAGTTCCTCACGGATGCTGTTCAGTAGTTGTACGTAGCTTTGGTGAGGGTTCTTCTTGAGAGCATTGATGAAGGCCCACGACATGGCGCCAGTAGCCTGTCCATTGATGGTTGCATCTTGACTAGTCTGCTCGTCTTTGCTTCCGGACCACATGATGACATCGGCGGGGCTGGTTTTGGTTTGTCGAGTCTTTTCATAAGCCTCGTTGCCGTTGGTTGCTTTCTTGAGGAAGCCCATTGCAGTCGACATCATACCGCCCATGTCCCCACGAGCATAGGCCGATACAACACCAAGCAAGCCTTGACCAGCTTCCTTGGCAAGGTTGGGCTCCTTGAGCACTCCTTGGGTGGAGTAGATATACGGAAGGTCCAAAGCTGAGCCAGAGTGGCAGGAGTCAAAAATAGCAGTCAGTCGAACGCCGGGTCTGAGAGGTTGAACCATGATACGGTGCATTTCGTCGTCCACGATGTGTCCAGCCGATCGGAAATCAACGGGGTAGATGACCTCGTCATAGCCATCATCTTCGTCTCCATCTAAATCAGGTGTTTGGCCGCCATGTCCTAGAAATTTCTGTTAGCACCCTTGATTTCTTCTCTTCTGTGGTTGTGGTCGACTTACCAGAATAGTGGAAGAACAGAGAGTCGTTTGGTTCAGCATCCTTGACTAACCAGTGCATTGCTCGGAGAATGTTGGCCTTTGTCGGTTGACTCATTGGGTTTTGTTGGTCATCTGTGAGAAGGACCATGTCTTCTCGAGCATAGCCAAAGCTCTGGTTCAAATAGGATGACATGTTCTTCACATCATTGATGCATCCACGCAACTGGCCCTTCTGGTTGAAATAATTAATTCCGATTAACAGGGCTTTCCTTCTACCGGTACATTTGGAGTATTGAAATTGATATCCTTGAGGAGCGCCATGGCCGAAAGAAACCCCCCCGGTGGGTGGAGGAGGGGGCTGGCCGTATCCAGACGGATGAGCTGTTTTCCATTGAGTTAGCTAGATGAAACTACTCCTTGTCATCCTTATATGACCAACCTTGTCGTCCATATCCAGGGCCATGAGACGGATGAGGAGAGTGTGATGGAGGCGGGCCGCCATACCCAGGCGCTTGAGGGGGTGGTCGCTATTATTATTTCAGTTAGCGCAGTGATACATTTGAACGTGTTTGTGCTCAACATACATCGTACCCGCCATTGTACGGCTGGGGCGAGGGAGTGTGATGATAGCCATATCCCCCGTTGGGAGCCGGAGGAGAATGGTAGTGTTGCTGACCCTGGCCTGGGTAGCCACCATAGTTCTGCGGGGGACTATCGAAAGTCAATACAACCGGTCGATCCGGGAAAGTCTTGGAAAGTTTAAGGATGACACTCACGGGTACCCTTGTGGCGGAGGATGACCGTAGTTGTTTTGAGGCGGATACTGAGCTTGCGGCGGATACCCGCCATACTGGGGCGGGCCTGGAGGCGGGTAGTAGGACATGGCGCGTAGACAAGTTGTAACCTGACTGTGTGGAAAAGAAAAGGAAAGGGTCAGAATAGGCCAGGACGGGTTTTCTCGATGAAGCGACAGTGGCAGCCGGGCCTGAGAGAAGTCAGGAATAAGAAGCTGAGAGCACGAGTGTGTCGTCCGTCAGTAGTTTGACGCGGGGTGGGGTGGTCGCCCGTGATTTACTGCCTGGGAGGCCGGAGAGCCTGAGGAGCCTGAGGCTAGCAGTGTTTGCCGCCCAGCCGGGATGTTACTACGTCCTACTAGTATCTACTACTCTATTAATATTCATATTATGGTCCTAATCAATGCCCACGATTAGTCAGTGGCAGCCAGCCTAACAAATAGTAGCAGGCGGCTGAGGCCTCGCAGCCAACGAAATCCCTGTCGTGACGGCTCGATGCGATCGTCGCGACGCCGATGCCAGCTGAAGGGTTCGCGTCTGACAGATCCATTATCGACTATCTAATGTCTTGGCCGCTGATCGCGATCGGGTTCCCCTTTACACTGCAGCTTCTAGACACCATCGAATCGGTTCACATATGCCCTCGCGCTATGCTAGTCAATGACACGCTTGGCACGCTCTTTCGGCTGCAAGATGACGTGTAATTCAACATTAATATGCATTGTAGACATACTAACAGTAAATCAGAGACAGGATATTGATGTGAAAAAGTAGTATCTCGACGCCTCAAAAGTGGCTAAGCCCAGACGCTAACGGCAACTCCGACGCCTCAATCGGGCATCAGGCGTGGCTAGTGCGTATTATTTAATTACCACTATTTGATATTTGATAATTGATATTGATTTTGTATGACACTCCATCGATGATAGATTATTGTTTTAAGAAATTTACATGCAGCCAACGTCGTAGGCTATGTTTTTTTTCTATTAGATGTGTAGGCAGGTAGATAATATATTTAATGCTTCATTCCTCCTCATTTTTACCCTTTACCTTCTAGGCATGCCACGGCCACGTCCACGGAGTGCTCGTTGAGCAGCACCGGGTGGGAGTCCTCGTTGGGGAGCCTGTGGCTGGGCGGACTCTTCGTTCTCTGTGCGAGGATAGGTCAGTGACATGTCACACTTTTTTCTAAAGTAGGCAAGGGTACATACTGATAGTCTCATCGACGCTCAGAATGAGGCAAGCGGCTTCAACAGCAGCTTGAATGGCGTTGACCTTCACCAGACTGGGTTCCCATACAAAGGCATCCATGTTATTCCTGATACCTTCATGGTCGAAATCTACGCCCGCCCAGACATTTCCCTTGCGATGCTCTGTTCGCAGCCTGTTCAAGATATCGGTCGCATCGAAACCAGCGTTGTCACATAATTGACGAGGAATGACTTCCAGGGCCTTGGCAAATGCCTTCACAACTGCCTGTTGCTTGTGGGGAACGTCTCGGTTGGCAAAGCCATGGAGGTAGCTCGACAGTTCCATTTCACAGGCACCGCCACCAGCAACTATGGTTGGGTTGCGAATGGCTCTCTTGACAATCATGATGGCATCGTGCAGACTTCGCTCCACTTCAGCGATGAATTGTTCCGCACCACCACGCAAAACGAGAGTACATGTTTTAGCAGCAGGGCAATCCGAAAAGATATTGAAACGTTCACCACCAATTTGTCGCTCCTCAAAAGACCCACATGTTCCTAGATGGCGGTCCTGAATATCGGAGCAGGTGGACTGAACTGATGCGCCAGTGGCCTGGCAGACACGCTCGAGGTCCTCCGAGGCAACACGTCCAGCGCAGAAAATGTCACGATCGGCGAAATACCTAGTTCAAGTTAGATCAATGCATGAATATTGTTTAGAACTGGTTTTGTAGCATACTGAGTTGCCAAGTCGCCAATTGGCAGTTTGCTCAGAACAACCTTTGCGCCAGTCTTGTAGAGGGCTTCCAACTTGTTGTAAATAATCTGCCACTCTGCATCCACAATGGCCTGGTATTCGGAGACTTGTTCCACTCGTACTTCTGCATTGTCTTTCTCACTCTTCAACTCTAATTCCACATTCAAACAGACAATCTTCGGGTTCTTGAAAGACTTGGGTTGCTGTTCGAAACCGGCGTAAGAGAAAGTCTTCTTAAAAGCGACACCATTCACAAAAAGTGAATCTTGCAGAGCACCACCATGAACCTTTTTGATTCCGATAAGTTTTTCATTCAAGTCATCCTGGTCGAGAGATAAGACAGCATCAACAACCACTGTCACATGTTAGTATATTGCTTAAACGGTGGTGCTGAGCATTTATTCAGCCTTACTCTTTGTGAAAAAGCCCGAATTTCTTTTGATAAGCTTGCTGTTCATCGCTGTGCCCGCAAGTCTTCTGAGCGTCTCGACCTTCTTTTCCTCGCTCTCAGATACCTCCAGCATGTCGACCGCAATCTCCTTGACCTTGTTAACCGCGACGGCACCTGCCCTACGAAGACCCCGAATAATTGTTTGTGCGCTGACACCTTGCTCCACCGCGTCTCGCACTTCTTTTAGTATTTCACCAGCCAGAACGACGACGGATGTTGTGCCATCACCAACTTCGGCGTCTTGTGAGCGGGCAATATCGGTAAGAATGCGGGCAGCGGGGTGAACGATATCGAGGAGCTAGAAGACATCAGTCAGAATGCATACTAGATACACAATCCAAGCACTCACCTTCATTACGGTTGCTCCGTCATTTGTGATTGTCTGCCTCCCGTTGGAGTCAACGAGAAGCAAGTCGCCGCCATATGGACCGAGAGTGGTTTTTATGGTGGACTGCACCGCAATACAGGCATTGATATTGGAGATAATCTGGCCCTTTCCTTGCGATGAATCCGTCCCTATTCATCGGTAGTGTGTTAGCAAATCTGCTACAGTTCAAGATTCGACAATAGGTCACACACCCTCCTTCAACACAATGATTGTGGGTGTTTGGCCGGCGAAGGCCATATTTGTGCGTGGAAAAAATTAGGATACTGGCCAAAGCAACGATTGAAAGAAACAAAAATAGTCCAACCCGAGATACAGATAGTAACACCAGCCCTGCAGAGAGTCGAGGTATTAGTGATGGATCAAACGCGGGGCCAGCAGGCTTGCTTAATCACGACCACCAAAATTTCGATGGAGCTCCGCGCAGGCGGTCGGCACAGACGAACCAGCCAGCCAATCAGATGGCGCTAGGGCCGGCGCTCCTTTCAACTCGCAGCTCACCCCAGGCAGAGATAAAAAGATTGCTATATATGATGATTGGTCGGAAGAATACTAAAATGCCACTTTCGCTGGTGCTTGATACATCTATATGGCCTGACTCCAGACATGAAGCCCCCAAGGATGAAGTACCCTTGTTTCATTGTTTGTATGTCCATCAGGATTGAACCCTAAAGTTTACAGAAGACTCCTAGCTTGATTGAGTAGAGAGTCCTCAAGACGAATTACTATCCAGAAAAGTTCCTCAAAACTACGTGCACAGTGCGAATAACGATTACTCCCATCTTTGACGCCGAGGAGGCAGATCGTTTGTTTATACAGCAAGTTCTCCAGAACCCATGCAGCGCTGTCAACCTCCTCTTGCTTTTCGAAACCAGTAGTGGCAATATCCCTACATACTCATACTCTGAAAACGATAGTACTGCATTTGACGCTGCTGGCCCACTACATTTCTCTTTTACTCCATGCTCGAATAGCCCAGACTAAGAATGGCACATGAACCGCAACACTATAGGAGATGTCGCGTTAAAATTCAACGTCTTTCCTCGAGAAGTAGACATCACGACCCCGATACGTCCATGGGTCGACATGCACGCTGCGGTCAGGGCGGTCTCATCTGCAGCGGAAGATGATTTCTGCACCAGCCAGCTAAAGTCCCGTTGTATCGCTATGTAGGAGAATGGGATCTCTCGCAAGCTCCCGAGGGAACGCGCACTGTGTGGTCATTCGGCGAGGGCACTGAGACTATGACAGAGGACTAGAATGCCGATGTCATTGCCAATTCAGTTTTCATGGTCGGTGCCAATTAAGAGCTATCCCAACCTTGCTACTACTACTAGCACGGCCAGTCTTCGGAGTACGGAATCATATTAGTTTGAGGAGTTACCTGAGAATTTGCGCGGGTCATGCGAGTACAATACTCAACTATTTCCGAAATTGGCTTCCTTTTTCCCGAACACAGATGCCTCGTATCGTGTTTTCATGCGGCGAGCCGTTAGAGGATATGGAGGCACTGAGCATCAGAAGAGCTATATATTAGAATACGATGAGTTGAGCTAAAAGGAGGAAGAGGATGAAGTAGTTTGTCTCTTAACTCACGAAATGGTGCATAGCTTTGCATTTATGAATGCGCAGTCTAATGGTTATGACAATGGATGGTATATTTAAGGTAAAGTAACCCCTCAACAGCCTTGTGAAGCCCAAATCTAATTATATCGTATGCAGCAGGAACTGCAGAGTTTACTCCGTATACTTACCATATCGATTCGGTCTTCGTAATAGAGATTATTTATGTAAAAAACTCAATTCCGCCTTGTTAGCGTACGGCACAAGCCCACTGACTGGGATGGATGCAACCGACGCACAGAAGGAACTTTACGATGACTGGTATGCAGAGAAGATCCCGTACATACGCCGCTTTGCCTATCTTCTAGCGATTGATAACCGGTCGAGAAAAGTAACCGGGCGTTTCGGCCTCCAAACAAAACAGTCCTTTGGACGATATTGTAGTCGACATGTTTTACCTTCATATCGCGGGGATATACTTCAGGCAAGAGGCTGGCTAGCATACTTGTACCCGTACCTAGGAGATAACATTTTTGGGGCATTTGAGGGTATGTTAAGGGATAAGGTACCGGACCTGAGTGATACATACCATAATAATGAATAAGGACTGAGTATTGTCACCGTCGGTGCAAGAGACCCTGGACTTCGGCTTCGAAAAATCGAGCATTGATAGTCGGGTCATCTCTGGTCTTGTTTCCGGCTCGAGGGCGGCACTTGCTGGGTTGAAGAATGGAGATTCTTTCGTGTCGATATCGCGGCCAGGCACATGTTCTGTGTCGCTGTCTGCGAAGATAAAGTTGGTTATTGAAAAGGCCGGTGAGCCGGTACATATTTCATAATGGCCGTGAGTGTTCACCAAGATAAAGGTTTGGTATTTGTCGGAGTAATCGCTCGACAAGAGCTCATTGTTGGTCTTGGGATAGACCAGGGTGGCTTAGAGTACAGACACTGATATTTATTTCTATAAATAATCAATTAATGCCTAGTGGCTTGAAATTGTCGACTACATGTATAAAGAGAGAGAAAACGAAAAAGAAAGTCAAACACCAGAAATCAATAGAGTCATTACATACATGTATAGCTGAAATGCCTGGATAGGATTCGATAATAAAGGAAGTTCGTCAAATTGATGTGATTTCTACATGCACCTCTTCTCAAGTAAAATATCAACTAATGCGAATGTTATTAGGGAAATCAATTAAGATAGTTTCAAGATTTATGAATTATTGGATCAATATGCAAATTTTGGGACCAACTGGCTGTGGTATCTCTATGTAAACAAAGTGGTATACATCCGGCAAACGGGTAAGTAAAGATATGAGATAGTGAGCAAACAATTCCCGGTCTAAGTAAAATCTAGCTCGTCTTCAGACCTATCGACGTACCTTGACAGGATCTCTTGTTCGTGCTGAGAATCAGTCAGCTGCGCGTTCACCAGACCTAAGGCGTCTCGCTGCAGGGCATCTGAATCAGACTCGTCGTTCACCATTGCATGATAATCGCTATGGCCGTGAGCTCTGAGTTCGTCATCAAATTCTACGTGGGGCAGTCCGTGGTTTTGATGTTCATATGGGTCTGTGATGCTTTGGTGGTGTTGGAATCGGGTCAGATGAGGGCTGATGTCAATGATCTGAGGGTCGAGTGGTAGGTTCGTATAATCAGTCATACAATCATCTGGATGTTCTACCCCGGATGGATTTGTTTGAGCGAAAGGATCTGAGTGTGAGTTCGCTGCATCCGCGATCAGCTCAGTGGGCGTTATAGCACTGTCCGGAGTCGGTATCGCCAAATCGCCACTTGGCTTTGGAACGGGAAGTTCTGTAATTTTATTGCCATTCAAAATAGGTGCCTTGGCAGTCTCTTTGCACTGAGGACAGTCTCTGATGACCCGGCTTACAGTCTCCTTGATGCGCACCCAATGATACTTGACCGCAATTGTCGCTGTAGTTTTATTAATGCCGCCATGTTGTTGGACATGAATCTGTCGTGCAATCTCATATTGCTGCTGAGGATCCGAGACCACCTCTTTGTCCTTAAGCATCAGCCTTTCCGGCTCGCCATTTTCTCCTCCTAGAAGCTTGTAGTGCGTTGCAGCGCTTCTCAACCGGCTTTTCTCGGCGCGGTCGGCTCCTCGGGGATATTTGGAATGCTTCAGATAATACCGAATTTTGTCGAATCGTTCCTGCGTGACAGAGTCCTCACCTTCGAGTCCTAGGTCCCGCCCATATATTATACCATCGACCAATTGGTCTGGATAAGAGCGAAGGCTTCCACAGCCAGGGACCTTGCCAATTCGCTTGAAGCCCAAGGAATCCCAAATTCGACAAGACGCTACGTTGTTTTCATAAACCAAATTGAATACAGAATACGAATAGCCCTGGAGGTTTGTTAGGGCACGAATGTAACTTTTCAAAGGGATATGTGCTAACCAGCTTTGGGGCCCATTCAAGGTAGCCTTCCCCCATCAGTCTGCCTACACCTTTGTTACGCGATGCATCTGTGACCAGAAATGTGCCATTGCAGACATGGCTGCTACGACCAGGATAGTTCGGCCTTATATTGAAGCTACCCAGGCATATCCTTGTCCAGTCGGTACGGTTGTGCTCCATGGCTTGGACATCGTGCACACTCTTGATGTCGCCCAGAAGCATGACCGCCCCAAAGTTTGCAAACCAATACGGGCCGAATCTCTCCAGCGGGATGGGGTCGATCATTGGGTACGTGTCGCCCTTTTCGATTTCCCTGTTGAGCTGCTCAGTCAGGTAGCTCAGTAATGAACGGGGCACCTCATCGGCTGAGGAGAAGGGGACCAGCGTGGCCACTGTAACGCGGTCCCTGAGGGTGACCTGCCGGGGACATATTGTAGCAGGGACCTCTTTAGGGCTTGCTATGACGGGTGCGTCTGGATCCTCGTGTGCAGCGGGCATGACGCCCTGCCCTCACCGGCGAGGCGGGTCACGGGACTGTTTTGTTTTGGTATCATTAGCCTAGAATTCCAATTCCCACAATCAAATATAATGAGCAGCAAGACGCTATAGTAAATTCGAAAGTCGACTATATACTGGGGTCATTGCGCGGCCAGGCAAGGCCCGATGCGGCCGCGGGAGCAGAGGGGCCGATAGGGACGGAGACTTTACCAGGAGGGATTGATTGCCTGGCGATTCGGGCAGCTTGCGGTGGGCAGTGTGCCAGGATGATAGGCTGGGCTTTCGTCAGAGAAGTCTGCAGCATCAGAGGCAGAGCACTTCCAAGACCGCTCCGTAGTCTGCAGTCCGGAACAAAGTGAACGCAGCAGAGAAGATATCGTACCGCTACTCACGTGATGAGAGTACTGGCCTTGGCGCCTTGGTGCCTGTGCTGCATCACGTGATTCAGGCGCTAGTCCCGGAAGTCGGCAATCGCCAAGACGCGCCAGTCCGTGTCAAGTGGGCCCGCAGGAAACTATAATCGGCCGGGCACCGGCCAATCACGTGCGGCTCGTGGCTTTTCCTGGATTTCAGGCAGAGACGGTGTGCGTCACTGCTGCAGATGCACTTTCCCCAATTTCCCCTCTTGCAATGCCCGTTGATAGTCGACGCTGTGGTCCCAACGTAGCTTCGGGCCTCAAATCCGCGAGCTGTATGCAGGACCATGTTGAAATGTGGGGGGAGGGCAGTGTGCTACATGCCTGTCTGTACCAGGTGCAGCTGAAGATGCCAACACTAATGTGCCTTACCTGTGTAGACCGTGATCTGTTGCAGCAAGGCCTGCTCTACTATTCACTGACTACTCAGACTACAAAACCCAAGCGTGTCTAGCACGGGTCTTTTTTTTCAATCTATGCTATCTAGCCTATATCCCCGTTACAATGTCGTCTACCCGCCCACAGTTCTATGCTAATACACTACCGCCAGCGGAAATCAACAAAGCAAGTCTAGAGAGTACCTTGCAAGAGCTACAGCTGGCCATAAAAAATGGAGTAGATATAATTCGAAATTTTTCTCAGCGTCCAACTGATGCATCCAGCCATGGCAACATATACTCCGGGATATCAGGCATCGTCTTCGCTCTGCTTCGACTAGAGCGCCAGAAAGCATCCATTCTTGAGAATGAACTTGATTCATCTGATCATAGGTTTGGCGAACTAGCACTGGACTTGATACCCCCGGCGCCTACAGAAGTCACTCTGGTAGATGGACGCAACTCCCCCATCGCCTCTGCTCTCGGGCCTGTATTCACAAGAATTTTAGCCGTCTGCGAAGATCAGAATCTTCGACTTGGGAGGCGTCTTAGCATTATTCAAGAAGATGCCGCTACTTTCAATCAAGCCATAGAAACATCAACACAACATGGAAATGTCATCTCCTTTAATGGCCACAAGGTTGGTGGAGATGAGATTTTTTTTGGACGCGCAGGACTCTTATGGGCTATTCTCACGATTGAAAGACATTGTTATGAGGAGCAGACAGCAAAAGCGGTAAAGCCGCTATTGGCTCCAGCCTTCCAAGCCATGCCCCGACTTGTCGATGCTATCATTTCAGCAGGGAAACAAAGTGCACAGGATTTCGAAATACAACATGGAAAAAAGGCCCCATTGCCACTCATGTGGCCTTGGTTGGGGGAGCATTACGCACTAGGGGCTGTCCATGGTATATCCGGGATCCTTACTATGTTACTGTCTTGTGACCTGTCTCTCCTACGTGTTGGGGAGACGAACGATTACCTCACCCTGATAGCAGATACCGTTAATGGTCTCTGCCAGATCTGCATAGAAAACAATGGACACTTTCCTATGTCTATACCGCCATTACCAAGCTCCGAGCAGAGATCTTCGCCTCTTCTTCAGCTTTGTCATGGTGCTCCCGGTATAGTCATATTATTAGGTGCTGTCTATCAGAACAAGTTCTTCCTGGACAGCTTCTGGAAACCCGAGTGGCAGATAGCTCTGCGTCTAAGCACTGAAAGAATTTGGGAAGAAGGGCTGCTATCAAAGGGTGGAAATCTATGCCACGGACTCACTGGGAATATTTGGCCTCTGCTACCTTTCCACAGGATATACGAGTACAACTCCAATTTCCAAATGCAGGGGGAGCAGCTGAGACTGGCAGAGCTGAAAAAGACTGAAGGGAAAGCTACAACAATCGAAGACACGAAAGAGCTCTTCTCTAGCGATTTCTTTCTCTCACGTGTACTTCCGTTCATGCTCCTGGCCCGCGAAACCCCTCCCTATAGTGAGGTAATTGGTATCAAGCCATCATTTGACTTCCGTGCCCCAGACCGTCCATACAGTCTTGGTGAGGGTCTGGCCGGTAAATTATGTGCATGGGCAGAGACCTGCACCGTTATCAAGGCTCGACTAGAAAAGATGAAACTCCAGGAATCAGGCAATGATATTAGCGATCTCGAACAGGACGAGAATTACCAGAAGTATTTGTCGCAGCACCTAGGATTACCGCTCTTTGAAGTAAACGGGCCGACCACGTATGCTTTCCAATTATGTTTAGATCGAGCAACTCACTGATGATTATGACATGGGGATAATGCCCAAAGAAATATAACCGAGTGGTGGGTAGACCGTGAATTATATTGATAAAGATTGGGGAGTAAAAAATTGTTGCTATATTTAAATGTTCTAAATGATATCAATGCTACCTAGGGAAAAAAAATGCTGACATAAAAGTCGTATCCGTACAAAGCGTAAATGAATGAGACCATCTTGCCGACCATAAGTAATTCATAAATCATATCCCAAACCCAACCCCGAGCGAACACGCCGCACACACATGTCTGGTGTATATGCATTTCTAATGCAGTTTCTCAACAAATTCTCTGTAAATCTGTGTAATATTCCCATTCATTTCAAGTCAAAGCAAACCCTGTACGGTAAGCAGTCATTCCTCCAGGGGTCTCTGTCCGGAACTCGACCTTCTTTGGTGTGAAATTGGCACGAGGAACCTCTGCTCTTGTGACTTTCAATTTTCGCGAACGACATATTTCTCCTGGGTGATCCTTTCGACCGCAAAAGAAACACTCGATAGGGGCATATTTATCTGCTGTTCCATCTCGCGTTTCAGAGTTACTCTTGCTCGAAGCAAGCGTTTTACGTTCTTGTTCTTTGCGCATTTGGCGAATGACGAATTCGTTTATCTCCTCCTGACTTGGTCGTTTGTTGTGGCCAACTTTTTTCTGACTTGGCGGCTGAGTTTTTTGCATTTGATGAACGACAAAACTGTTGATCTCTTCTTGCGTGAGATGTTTCCGGCGTTTAATACCTGTGCTAGAGCGTGATGTTTCCTTGCCTTTTTTCTGCGAGGCTGCCCTTTTGGCTGCCATTGTTTGCTCGCGTTCAATCGCGATGTTCGCTAGCTCGCAAAATTTCATTCCCTCAGTCGGATCCGAGAGGTTGGTACGCTTATCTTGCAGCATGACCTTTGCCCATTGATCCCAGCCCGGATGGCCTTGTAATTTGGAAAGAAACAGGAAGTTGATCTGAGAATCGGACGCGGCGAAGTTGCTGTCGACTTGACACAGACCTTCACGGACGGCCTGGATGAGGGCGACGAATTCGGTGACGGTCGTAAATGAGTTCACATCCAAGTTGAGAAACTCACCAATGCAGTGCATCGTGCGGATGCTCTTGTTGGCGTATGCCATGCTATACGCTCGAATGGCCAAGAATGTGTCAGCAGACGAAGATCCACGAGAGAGGTGGCAGGAATGGAAAGCCGACCGAGACGCAAGCAGAGTGTTATCGTGCTAACCGCGTGCGAGTGCGATGGAGGTTGGTTGTATTATAGTTAGAAGCTCTATAGTTGGTTGATAATAGCAATAATAACCGATCGACGAATCCCCGCCTTCTACGTCATTTGATCTTCGGCAGGGAAAAACAAAGACACAGAAGAAACGGTTTCTCATGCTCAGCCCTCTTGAATGCGTTTATATTTTGGCCATTGATACCTTCTTGATCTATTTTGTCTGTTGAGTGAACGAAAGATTGATACGAATCTGCAGGCTGTTCCTGTGACATCATTTGCCGAACAGCCGAGATGCCTAGCTAAGACGATCAAAATCACATCGAAAGACATTTGATTACCGGTCATCGTTTTATTATCCCATAAGCTCTTGCTTGTTCCTGTTGGAGCATGTTCTAATATTCCTTAAATTGCATGCAGTTGGTCCGGGCGAGTTAACGACCACGTCGTCACTGACCGGCGCGCCGTCCTATGAGGTTTCCTTGCAACGGTTGGTACAACTCAGCCTCAATCGGAGTAGTCCTAGACGACTAGTCCTGTCGGGCGCTGTGCAGACTGCTTCCAGTGAAACGTCGCTATCGCAGCTGATTGGCTTTTCTTTTTCAATATTTACAACCCTTGACATTTACTTTCTCGGCGTCCGCATCATGAGACACGTGCCAACTGTCGTAGCTCTGTCTCCAACACATGATGCAATGTTCATGATCGTTGAAAACAGTGATGAGCCTCATGACAATGCTGAAGTACTCACCTGAAATTTGGTTGCGATCGTTCTAGACTCCAGCCGATATGGAAACCATCCCTCCCTCGTACGAGAATGCGACTATGAGGGACGCATTGTCCCTCATTGCGCATTACATTCCGTCGGCCGATCTCTGTGCAGCGTCGCTTGTCTGTCGTCGGTGGCACGCGATCTTTATTCCACATCTCTGGGGAGACCCGGCTTCGCATTTTGGCACTGAAAATGATGCGGTCTATGGTAAGATTTCACCGGGGAGGTCGAATAAAGAGGCGTGTAGCTGACAACTGTAGTTGCATTGACCAGGTTTCGACGCACATTGAAGCTTGCTCGACTTGAAGTCCGCGCCCTCACTCATACCCTTCACCTACCTCCAGCCCTGTCAGAGATCTATGGGGGACCCCGCCCTGAATGGCTACGCGATCTTCTAGACTCGCTACCTCGCTTGCAGTCGTTGATAGTGTCGAAACTGCCATTTTTCGACCACAATGCAACCATCACGCTCAAAGTTCCTTCTGACCCCGAACAAGCAAGCCGTTATCCCTCTTACAACCTTCGCTTACTCTTGGCGGAGAAGGAGCCAAATACAACCTCAGTCGGAATCGCCCATGCGTTATTTCGGTTCCCCGCGTTGGTCTACTTGGACTTGTCCTACACCTCACCTGCCAAAGACCGGCTAGTATTGTCTACACTACGCGGCCTTCCAGATCTTCAAGTGCTGAAACTACGAGGGATTGGACTGAAGGATGGCGATGCCGAGGTTCTCGCCAACGCAATTGGTGCCAGAGTTCGATTTCTGGATATACGAAACAATAATCTCACCGATATGGCTGTCAGATCGTTGATGCAAGCATGCTTCCTGCCGGAAACAGCAGTTCGTGAACAAATTAGCGCTGCTGCTCGACGTGGCATCGATTGTGTATCAGAATACACTTCTAAAATACTTCGGCGCCCTAACTTGGATAAAAAATTCCTTGAATTCCTCACCCAGCCTCTCACCGGCCGTTCTTTATTCGAGAATTTACCTCATGTCGGCATAACTCATCTATACATATCTGATAATCAGCTTACTATTGAAGGCGTCGCCGGGTTACTTGCATCTAAAAGATTACATCTTCTTGATGTCGGTACTGTCGATACCGCGAGATTGTTCAGACGTAGCCAAAATATTCTCTCGCCGACTGATCAAAATAATAACGTTTACTTATTCCCTGGAGCCGAGAAACTAACCCCAATTATCGGAATATATGCAAAAGCAAATTTGACTTATCTCAGGTTGCACCATGCAGTTGTCACCAAGGATGCACCCTTCAAAGATGACATATCTTTGTCTGACCTTCTTCCCGAAATGCCGGCTGAAGAACTAGAGATCAACCATTTTTATACCGAGTTAGATGGTACTTCCGGGGAGATTCACGAGTTACCTGGTGACGCCCTAGGTATACATGAGTTAGCAGACACTTCCGTATCACAGCCTGTGCAGCCTCCAATCTCCACATCCATTCACAAACAATACCCAGATGATCCTCTACCCCCACCGCAAGGTTCAGCCTTCGCCCCGGAAGTTGTAGTCGGTTCATATACTTCGTCTTCTAACGAGGCTCAATTTGATGTCGATAACAAAGACACACCAATGTCTTTTGCCACTTTGCGGTCACAAAAAATACAAGAATTGCTTGCTAAGCGACCAAGAAACAAAGTTCTTCCTCTTCGACGTGGAGATGCAGCCTTCAATTATCTTCATCCGTCTCATATGCCTCACGTCGAAACTTTGATCCTGACTGATGTTCCGTCGCATGTCCCGGCAAATTCACCAATAATTGCGTCTCTCGTCCGTTTTATAATTGCATGCTCCGAGGAAACTCTGCTGGCTAAGATTCAAGCCAGGGCAGACTACTCTATTCCCCCAGGCAATGACCGGGCAAAATCAGAGCAACAACGTGCAAAATCTTTATTTGCTTTAAAATGCCTCGTTCTTGAGATAACCCCTGTGTCTGCTGACACTGAAGCGAAGAAGCCGAGGACTTGGTGGTCACAGCAGTCTGAACATACAGATTGGAAATCAACAACAGGAGATGTCGACTCTGAGCGGCTATATTCAGCAGCTATGGAAGATTTTAGCTTTTTCGGAAATGAAGAGTGCGGGATTCCAGATATTCCTGAACAGGGAATGGCGAACAGCTTTCCAATGGCCGTTTTGAACGAGAAGGTGCATCTCATTTCCGACGATGAGTCCATACATTCTGGGCTTTCGGAGCTGGAAGCGCCAAACACTTCTCATGACTTATCTAGAAAGAGGTCTCCAAACGTTCCATCACCGCTGGTCTCTCCAGCGCTCTTGTCCCCACCACTTGGGACACTATCAATTGACTCCAACGAACCCAAATCATCGTCATCTCCACGCTCTTCATCCCATAATAACGTCCCCGATCCCCGGAGCGTCCCTGACGAGGAGCCTCGAGTGGATCTGGTTTTAACACTGGCAAAGTTTAGACGGACAAAGAAGACCGAGTTTGAAGAAGCTCAAATAGCTGATAGAAAAAGGTGTAGAGGGATTCGCATGGCGGGGCTATCCTCACCGTTATCCTCACCATCAATTCCATCACCTCCCTCTACCCCAACTCTCCCTCAAACACTTCCCTTGCATGTGGAGGGACATTGGCCGGGCGAGGTAAAAATAGTAAGGAACGCCCAGCCGAAGGGCAGAAGTGGCGTCGTCGATATATACGGTAATTACTTTGAAAAGGGCTATCTCTATCCCTGAATGTACCTAATACCTTTTTACATACGGCGAATACATGGCATGGTAATGGTAGGCTTGTAAATATTCGGATCGAACAAAGAAAAAAAGGTACATAAATCCATCTCTTATTTTAGCATGCTCGTGGAACCATCCTAGTACATTGTAGCTAGTTAGAAAAATACGAACATCTGGAACTGAGATGGGCAACCTCGCGATTCATTACGAGGAATTTTTTTCCTCCCAAATCATCTCTATAATTTTAAAGAATTTCCCTGTACCAGCCATCATGGCAAAGGAAAAGAAAAACAAGAGATGTTGGTGAAAATGGTAAAAAGAGCAAAGGTCAATTTTCAATATACCCTTATTCTTTAACCACGTCGAATAGGGGAAAACAACTATCGACGCTTGCTTTTCTTATTTTTGTTCTCCTTTCGTTTCTGCTCAATCCGTATCCCATTATTTTGCAAAAACTCCACAAGCAGCGCGTCCAAAAAAACTCAAAGGAATATTGTTTGATTATCAACATTTATTCCCTTATGCCGTCTTGGCGGCTTGCTGGGGGTTCAGCTTCTTGCCATCCTTGTTGTACCGGATACGAGGAGGGGGAGCACGGTTGCGACGACCCTCACGAGAGCGGACACTATGGTGAAAACCGTCAGCTGTTTCAGGTTCCTCCAATGTATATACTAGCAATTCCGTGGTAAAGTGGACTGAAGCCAACTTGTACGAACGGATCTCCAAGTGTAGGGTTCTCAGCATACCGGACAATCTTGCCGTGAATGGCACAAGAAACGCAGTACTGAAGCTTCAAGTACATCTTAGGAACGGCGTAGTCGGTGAAGACAGAGGCATCTGAGATATCACCTGCAACAAAAAAAACATCTCGAATTAGTCATGTATCTCATGGGGTTTCAAACGAATTCTCGAGAACAAATGCCGCGGGTCGAAGTCAGGCCTAAACTCGTCGCAAATTCATTTGGGAAAAGGGTGCTGGCAATGTACGTACGGATAGCAGCAGACTCAACCATGTTACGGATGGTGAATCGCTTGATAGCCTTGTCCTTAGGAGTGCATCGCGAGCAGTTGGAGCATCGGATGGGCTTGACGTGACCACGGCCCTTCTTGTTACGTCCGCTGAAAACAAAAGTCAAATTAGCATTGTAATCCGATGGCATCGGCAGGTGCGTAAAATCAAGTCGATTGGAGTTTCGTAGAGAAAATGGCTGTTTCCGCGCGGTACGGGAACAACTTGCGTATGATAGCAGAATTGAGGGCATTGTGTAGCTTACTTGGACGCTCTCTTCTTGACCATTTTGGCGGATTGATTTCAGCGACCGGTCGGACAAACAGGAAGTCTCTCAAAGGGAGTCGTCGCGAACTTCCACTGTCGAATGTCGGTGTTGCGATAGTCAGATAGCACTTCCGGAACTTGTGGTGGTATGGGCCCGTTTGTGGGAGCTAAGCGAGGGCAGTCACGGGACGCTTTGTGCCTCAGGCATGCGCGCTGTCTGGTGGGTGGGGTTTCCAAAACGGCAATAGCTTGACACTGGACCGTGCTCTACCAAGTCAGATGTTTGGGAGCCGTTCCCGAGTCCCGATCAGCCAACCCTCCCCAGCAATTGTTTATCCCTAACAACAGAGCCGTCCACAACACATCCTTTGGAGCTCCCACCCTTGGCTCGATTGGTCACATCTATCTCTCGTCTCCAATAGCTTATACCTGAATCTCGTAGCGAGGCTATTTCATCGACCACAATGTCGTCTGCCAGTGGTACCTTTCGAGGAACCCCCAATAAAACAATCGGCCGAGGAAAGATGCCGGATTTCGACTACAACAGCCCTTCTGGATCCCACATTCCTCGTCCTAAGCCAGACGCTGCACCAGGACAAAGTGATGTGGGAAGCAGTGCAACTGCAGCTAGCAGGCAAAGGCAAAACCAGTCGAAACGAGATGAGGTAAATATAGCATTTCATGAAAACCCAGTGGACAAGTTGAGACCCTATCCGTATCGATTGCTGACTTGATGCTGTTTGTAGGCTATTCGCAGAAAAATGGAAGCGGACCTTAGCAAGAAGCGTCACCATGTTCAGAGAGCTCGTCATTCCCGCAAAGCCCCCCCTGGAACAGTATTGGCTTTAAAGCCTAGCCAAGCTCTTCAAGTGAAACCCGGCACGTCAGTCGCCGAAGCCGCACAGCTAATGGCTGCCAAACGAGAAGATTGTGTACTGGTTACTGATGAAAATGAACGAATCGCCGGTATTTTCACTGCCAAGGATCTTGCATTCCGCGTTGTAGGAACAGGTCTCAAGGCGAGAGAAGTGACTATTAATGAAATCATGACCAAAAACCCTCTATGTGCTCGCACTGATACCAGTGCCACCGATGCCCTTGATTTGATGGTTCGAAAAGGCTTCCGACATCTTCCTGTAATGGATGAAAACCAGGATATCTCCGGTATTCTGGATATTACCAAATGCTTCTATGATGCCATGGAGAAGCTTGAACGGGCATATAGCTCATCCCGAAAGCTTTACGACGCGTTGGAAGGTGTGCAATCCGAGTTAGGCTCCAGCCAGCCACAGCAGGTCATCCAATACGTCGAGGCCCTGCGTCAGAAAATGTCAGGCCCAACTTTGGAATCTGTCCTGGATGGTATGCCTCCAACTACAGTATCAGTGCGAACATCAGTCAAGGATGCTGCTGCATTGATGAAGGAACATCATACCACTGCTCTTCTTGTTCAAGACCAGGGCTCTATAACTGGTATCTTCACTAGTAAAGACGTAGTTCTACGTGTTATCGCTCCTGGTCTCGACCCTGCGACTTGCAGTGTCGTCCGCGTGATGACCCCTCATCCTGACTTTGCCCCAACTGATATGAGTATTCAGGCCGCTTTGCGCAAGATGCATGGTATGTTTAGAGTTCTTGAAACGATATGCCATTACTAATATATAAAGATGGGCATTACCTCAACCTTCCCGTCATGAACGAGGCTGGTGAAATTGTTGGTATGGTCGATGTGCTCAAATTAACATATGCCACTCTAGAACAGGTTTGTTCATATATTTTGAAAGTTTGTGTCGGGACATAGGCTAATCAAAACCGATAGATTAATTCAATGAACACTTCAGATGACGAAGGCCCTGCTTGGAACAAATTTTGGCTCTCTATGGACCATGAATCGGATTCTATGGTATCTGGAGGTGCCAGTCACCGCCCTCATACCCCTCATCGCTCTATCTTGAGTCCAGATCCATCTAAGCCAGGTTTTGAGCGAGGCGACAGTGTTTTGCCAAATGATTCCGCCTCACACCACGGAGATGAAATTCATTCAGAGATTTTGGAATCGCACCACGAAGATGCCAGCGTCTCCTTCCCATTCAAGTTTAAAGCCCCCAGCGGTCGTGTACATCGCATCAATGTTGTCCTGTCTGATGGAGTTTCTGCATTTGTGAGCAATGTTTCCGCTAAGCTGGGTCAAGAAGTCGACGCCGTTGGTGGTGAACCATCTGTTGAGGAAGGAAAGCTCAGCAGCACCGGATTTGCGCTCAGCTATCTTGATAATGAAGGAGATACTGTCTCTATCACTACTGATCAAGACCTCGAAGATGCAGTTCACCAGGCAAGAAGGCTTCACCATGAAAAGGTTGACTTGTTTGTTCATGATCCATCTCAGCCACCAATGCCGGCCACAATCGAGCCACAGCCGGTTGCTTCAAAGCCCCCTACTCCCCCTGATTCTACTCTCCGAGTGCTGACTTCCAAGGCCGAGGAGAGTGGCCAAGACAGTGAAGAATATGCTAGATCAGGCCGGATAAGCAGACAATCCGTTTCTCAGCGCCCAGTAGAGGAACAGCTCATTACCGGCGTACCTAATGATCTTCTCCTCCCCGGTGCTATTGTGACTCTTGCGGCCGTTATCGTCGGGGTTTTCGTCCTCAGCCGGCCGAGTGGAAGGTAAATTTTCAGTTCATCCACTGAGCTATCACCTGGCGAATTTGTTTTCTTCTTCCTAGAACCACGTATTTCTGTATGGGATTTCTAGTCACAGGCCCTCCCTCTATTTCTCTTGATTATCCGTAACTACTCACTAATACCACCTCTACCCTTCTTACGTTTACCTTCCTACATCGAACAGCCCCGTTTACAAGCACTTTATCCATAGTATACTAGACATATCTTGACTTCAATGTTATATTATAAAATTTAATGGAGATATCTCCGAATTTTTCTGTGCAAAGTCGTGGATTAATTCCTGTCAATGATTTTTATCGTCCACATTGTCCAGTTAAAACATAAGGCGCTGGCGGCTGTGTTCCCGATACGCACTAGCGCGTCATGCGCCGCGAGTCAAAACAACTAGAGACAAAGTGTGTTGGCTCCGTGCGGATGGATTTTTGGCGCTTTCAACATCCCACCTAATTCATCCTCACCTGCCTGCTTGACTCACAAAGGCGAGTTGTGCTTTGGCTGGGATGCAGATACTGCATCTGGCCTGTCTCTCTCACACAAATACTAATTATTGAGATTTCCTTCTGTTTGGGCCTGATATCCTCCATCGTGATCATTCTTCAGGAAAAAGTAGTAGGACCCCCCGCTTTTCTTTAAAAAATAACAAACCGCCAAAAGATCACCATCCCACCAAACTTTCAAAACTCGATGTCTTACTTCCCCCCTTAACTGACAGTTAATCAGTCTTCAGGATGTCTTTACTTGCACCCGAAATTCACTCTGCCCTTGCGCAGCTTCTCCGGGCTTTGACAACGCCTGATAACGCGGTTCGATCACAGGCAGAGGACCAACTCAACAATGATTGGGTGCAAAATCGACCAGATGTCCTTCTCATGGGCCTAGCTGAGCAAATTCAAGGAGCTGAAGATACCGGTGTAAGCTATAACGTCCCAGCCCGCCGTATACCATTCAGTTAACTTACCTATGTCTACTGCAAATAGACGAGATCTTTTTCCGCCGTCCTCTTTCGACGGATAGCCACCAAGGCCATCAAAGACCCACGTTCTGGAGACACCAAAGAGGTCTTCTCAACTCTCACCCCAGAACAACGCGTTGTTATCAGAGACAAGCTCGTGGCTTGTTTGAGCAGCGAGTCGCTCGCCGACGTTCGGAACAAGATTGGCGATGCTATTGCCGAAATTGCCCGTCAATACACAGATAACGGTATGTGGATATTCTCATACTAAGAGATGTAGCGCATATGCTCATACTCAATTTGCAAGGCGACACATGGCCCGAACTTCTGGGAGTTCTGTTCCAGGCTAGTCAATCTCCCGAAGCAGGATTGCGTGAGGCTTCATTCCGTATCTTTACAACCACACCAAGCATCATCGAGAAGCAGCACGAAGATGCCGTTTTGAATGTCTTCAGCAAAGGTTTCAAAGATGATCATATCGCAGTATGTATGCCCGTTACAATCGTTACAATCATAATCGCAATGCGGTTTTTTGACCTTTCTTCGTTATATAATAGGTGCGCATTGCCGCCATGGAAGCCTTCTCCGCATTATTCCGTTCGATTCCAAAGAAGTCACAACCGAAATTCTTTCCTCTTATTCCAGACGTCCTTAATATTTTGCCGCCGCTTAAGGAAGCCGACGAAAGCGATGAGCTCTCTAAAGCTTTTGTGGCCTTAATAGAGTTAGCCGAGATTTCCCCGAAGATGTTCAAGAACCTTTTCGACAACTTGGTCAAATTTAGTATAAGTGTCATTGCGGATAAAGAGCTTAGCGATCAAGTTCGACAGAATTCTTTGGAATTGATGGCGACTTTCGCAGATTATGCACCCAACATGTGCAAAAAGGATCCGTCTTATGCCACAGATATGGTGACACAATGTTTGAGCTTGATGACGGATGTTGGCGCCGATGATGATGATGCCTCAGAATGGAATGCCTCAGAGGATGTAAGTTGAATCTTTCCATAATCTTTACATTAATATCAGACTTGAAATGACTAAAGATGTAAACAGCTCGATCTCGAAGAAAGTGACCTGAACCATGTTGCCGGTGAACAAGCCATGGACCGTCTAGCCAATAAACTTGGTGGTGAAGTGATTCTTCCTGCTACTTTCGCCTGGATACCTCGCATGATGTCGTCTTCCGCGTGGAGAGATCGCCATGCTGCACTCATGGCAATTTCCGCTATTTCTGAAGGATGTCGTGAACTTATGGTCAGCGAACTCGACCACGTTTTAGCCCTCGTTGTTCCGGCGCTTCAAGACCCTCACCCACGTGTGCGATTCGCTGGATGCAATGCTCTTGGTCAAATGAGTACCGATTTTGCTGGAACTATGCAAGAAAAATACCACGCAGTTGTGTTGAACAATATCATTCCTGTTCTTGATTCCCAAGAACCACGTGTACAAGCCCACGCCGCCGCTGCCCTGGTTAACTTTTGCGAAGAAGCTGAAAAGAACATTCTCGAGCCTTACCTTGCAGAGCTCCTGCAACATCTTCTCCAGCTCCTCCGTGGCGATAAACGATTTGTTCAGGAACAAGCTCTCTCCACAATTGCTACTATTGCCGACTCAGCCGAAGCTGCATTTGGCCAATACTACGAAACCCTGATGCCTTTGCTATTCAAGGTTTTGCAGGAGGAGCAGTCAAAGGAATATCGCTTATTACGTGCAAAGGCTATGGAATGTGCCACTTTGATTGCATTAGCAGTAGGCAAGGAAAAAATGGGCGCGGATGCAATGAACTTGGTGAACCTTCTTGGCAACATTCAACAAAATATCACGGACTCGGATGATCCTCAGTCTCAGTATTTGCTCCATTGCTGGGGCCGTATGTGCCGGGTTTTAGGCCAAGACTTTGTTCCTTTCCTGGCCGCTGTGATTCCTCCACTTCTCACTGTTGCAGCAGCAAAGGCCGATATTCAATTGCTGGAAGACGAAGATCAAGCGGATCTTGTTGACCAAGATGAGGGCTGGGAACTTCTTCCACTACGCGGCAAACTCATTGGCATCAAGACCAGCACACTTGAAGACAAAAATACAGCCATTGAACTTCTCACTGTTTACGCTCAAATTCTTGAGGCTTCGTTTGAGCCGTACGTCGCTCAAACTCTGGAAAAGATTGCCATACCTGGCCTATCCTTTTTCTTCCATGACCCTGTCCGAGTGTCTTCAGCCAAGCTGATCCCACACCTTCTCAACTCGTATAAGAAAGCTCATGGCATTCAATCGCCAGGATTTGCTGAAATTTGGAATAAGGTTGCAGGCAGGATCATTGAGGTTCTCAGTGCTGAGCCTAGCATTGATACCCTCGCAGAGATGTTCCAGTGCTTTTACGAGTCGGTTGAGGTGGTTGGCAAGAATTGCTTGACCCAGGAACATATGCAACAATTCATTGAATCTGTAAAATCTTCACTTGAAGATTATCAATCTCGGGTGAAAGAACGCGCCGAGGAGCAGGCTGAAGCTGACGAGGGAGATGAGGACAATCTATCCATTGCATATGCCGTAGAGGACGATCAGACGCTACTTAGTGACATGAATAAGGCTTTCCACACAATTTTTAAACACCAAGGCTCGACATTTTTGCCGTCTTGGCAACGTCTGCTCCCGATTTATGATGCCTTCATCAGCAGTACCGATCCTACCCAACGCCAGTGGGCGACCTGTATCATGGATGATGTGCTTGAATTCTGTGGCCCAGACTCATGGCAATTCAAAGATCACATTCTGCAACCTCTCGTGAACGGTCTTCAGGATGCTAATGGTCCTAATCGGCAGGCAGCCGCATACGGAGTAGGCGTTGCTGCTCAGAAGGGTGGTCCGGCATTCAATGAATTTGTAGCTGCCAGCATTCCTAGCCTCTTCCAAGTAACGCAACACCCTCAGGCACGGTCAGAAGAACACGTTTTTGCAACTGAAAACGCGTCTGCAAGCATTGCCAAAATTCTGCGCTTCAATGCCGATAAAGTGCAGAACCCTCAGGAAGTAGTGGCAAACTGGATCAACACCTTGCCTATTACTTATGATGAAGAGGCTGCTCCATACGCATACTCGTTCTTGGTCGAGCTTATCAACCAGTAAGTTTGAACTCATTTTTTCCAATCACAGTTTAGGGTCTAACATACGTACACAGGCAACATCCAGCTGTTTTGTCGAATGCTGAAAAGGTTTTTGGATACATCGTCCAAGCTCTTGACCACGAAACTCTTCAAGGGGAAACTGCCAAGCGGGTTGCTGAGGCTGGCAAACGACTGGTACAAGCCACAGGTGTGAATGCGGATGCTATCTTGGCTGGTGTCAACCCTGACAACCAGGAGACTGTACGCAAATATTTCCAGTAATGAAAACCTGCGGATTGGCTTCTCTCATTTATTCCCTAGCCCACTTTTTCACTTTGTCATATTCTTTTAGCTTCCATGAAATGTTTCGCATACACCCCATGTTCACGCATTACCTATCAATTTATTTACTTTATTTTCTTTTATTCGTGTCCACCTCCATGTTTTATGAGATGATGTAACTGGTTTACTAAATTTTGGGACAATAGCCAAGATAAAAGATTTTTAACTTGGAAGGCGTGTAGTACGACAAGCCTTATGTAATTACTCTTACACCTCAATCAATGACGATAATGAGTTGAATTAACCCATCATATTTAGAACATGACTGCCATCTATATCAATTGATATAAGCAATTGTCACATAATCGACGTAACCCTTCATGACCACAATCGTGCTACTAAGAATTGTATTATGGGATATAAAAGCCAGCAGTGGTCAATCTGAGCAGTAACGATGTAGAAAATCGATAAAAAGAGGAACATACATTGGGATGTAATATTTGTATTTGATTTCCATGTGATACATCAATTGAGAGTGAGCAGGACAGAGGACAGCCTCCTTTTAACCCTCTACTGATATTTTGGGGGCAGAGAAGCTCTCCTAAAACTCAGACTCGGCTAATAATATTTCCAGATGATAATGTATCTTCTCGTATTGCCACTTTGGGACGCTCCAAAACAAGAATAAAAATACCCAGGCGTACCCTAGAACCCTGCACCACACGCTTTCAAACCACCATTTTAGTTGATCTTTTAGCCCCAAACATTTAGCAGTCCGTGGCAGAAAATGAAAGATTATAACCTCGACCAAGCCTACCACAAAGTTTGCGCAAAACCACCAGACATCCCCTGGCCAGCTACGTCTGTCTCCGAGATGCCATGATACTGCCGCATGTGCAACACCAGAGAGAAAGAAAATTGCGAAGGCTACTACAATCTTGTCAGCCGATGATCCGGTTGGTAGTCTGAATACCTTCCGTGAAGCAAGCTCGCCATAGTTCCTGTAGGGTTGAGAGATAATCTGATGCCAAAAGTTGCTCCAGAAGCGTCGCATACTCCATGCCTGCAGTGGAGATCCAAACATGGCCGGCCATTCGATCGGGTCATCAACGCGAAGTAGGACTGGAATAAGCGAGAAGGCAGCATGCGCAGAATCAATCGTGCCTACTGCAGTGACTCCCCAGTAAAAGACAAAAGTAAACCTCATCAAAGTTTCGCGAAGGGTGACTGCATTCATGGCAGAGGAGGGAAGTAATAAACGGCGGAAATATGTCTGGTGCGAGGCATCAAACTCATCCAGCTGCATCGGCATAAAAAAACCAGGGAAAATACGAGGGTTAATATATGTCTGAAGAATTACCCATGAAAGAAGTTTTCCCAAGCGCTGAATAGCGAACATCACTCGCGATTTCAATCCCGCCTCTCTCTGGTCGATGTTCTTATGTTGTTTCAAGGTACCCACAAGCCGAGGATTGTTCCAAAGTACCAACGATGCAATACCCTGACGACTTTTACTTTGAGCCTGCTCCCAGACAGCTCGATCCTCCAGCCATAATAGCGAAGTCGAATGAGACAACCAGACGCATAAAAGCAGGCCCCAGAGACTCTTTTGATCACCCGGCCAGTAATCTGCAGTGCTGAAAGATAGTATTGCCAGAATGAGCCATGCTGGCACTAGAACAACCCTTTTCAACAGTAAAGCATTTCTAGAGACTATGAATGCGGCTACCGAGAGAAGGAAATATTAAATTGGAACTATGGTAGGCAGGTACAGAGGAATAAGCGTACCTAAAGTAGGTACCATGTTTTTGATTTTATCGAAGATACGTAAAGCCAAGGTTATGAAATGGAAAAATTAAGGAAGGAACTGTTGAAAAGCTACAAATGTAGTGTTTTGTGTCTGTGAAAGAAAAGACAACAGGGTAGAACCACTATTTTTACCAAATTAAACCATTAACGTGCAAACAAAGACGTTTTTATGTCTCAAGAGTTAACGTTACCTTAGCGATTATTTAAATCATGAAACCTACAAAATCCAAAGGCAGTACAGAGTAATAATGAACCTGCATTGACATTCGGAATCCGGACTGAGCTTTTGTAGTCTAGTTTATTCTTTACATAATCCCAATTTGAAGTTGACTTCTTTTATTTACGTGTGCCAATTCCTACTAACGGTTCCTTGAGAGAAGACATTTTCAATCGCCGTTAGCACAGGGTAGCCCGAACCTCACGGCGATGCCTTCTATTTATAGACCTACATTACCAAGGTAATGAGAATGTAAATGAGATTTTCATGCTATATATGTAAGCCTAAAGAATAGGCTCTAAAAGCAGTACAAAAAAAATTGCCAGAAAGACAAACAACAGCATTTCAATGCAATCAAACTCCCACCACTCGTTCATAGATAGCTGACTTCCTCCGAAAAATAAATACAATATATAGTCAAGATACCAGTAACTCAATTTGCAACAACCTCATCCGGGGTATTCGTAATGTGCGGAACCTATGGTGCTGCATTTAAAACATTCTGAAGATGAACCTTATCCTGCTGGCTGAGTTCAGTGTAGTAAAGGCAGCTAACTGTCTAGAAGTATGATGTACGGAATACTGAGCAGTAAACCAACAGCATGCCAATGCACAGACGAAAATAGCCTGGTTAGCGATAGATCATGCATGTATCAATTGATAGACCTATGGGATCAACAAAAATACGCCATAATTTGCCACTGGGGATTACTGATTGATGAATATCTTGTAGATCCACGTTTGTACCTTGACAGTCAGGCATAATGGCTATAGGCGGCGCTGAAAAGAGATGAGCCATTATTTATGTATATTTTATTTACGAGTGAATGGTCAAAATACTCTGAAAATAGCCATTGCCAACGCACCACATGTATATAGCACTGTTGGATTGCTTTCAACGCCAAGGCTACCCACCCAACACCGGGTAAATACCCTCGAACTACCCCCACGATCTCCTCTCGATAAACAAATGGTCTTCCACCAGGGTACAACGCAACATCGTCAATGACGTTGTTTTCCCCTTTGGTCAAGATGAGCTGCCTAGTAATGCCATTAGTCTGAATATTAAGATAGACCAATCAAACTGGCTGGGGACGCACTTTGATTGTCCATCGCTTCCGGGCAATGAGGACACTTTGATTGCTCGGTGCATCATTGGCAACGGCCGATCAGAAAACCATACCACCGGAATTTCTCCTGCCTGGATGTGCCTATTACGATTCCATAAGAAAATCAGGTCACCCGGTTGAAAGGCAGGCTCCATGGATTGCGATGTCACCACCATAAGAGGATCCGGGGATCCTGTAATCACGCACTGGGCCTTCCAAAGCATGAAAACAGAGGACATGTGCCACATAATTGGGAAGAGACTGGATAATAAAGAAAACTTTTGCATTATTAAGACCGTAACAAGTCATATGTTCAATAGTGAGAATGTCTTCATCCCCTTGGGGTTTTGATACAGCTTTTTATTGTTGGAAGTTAGGGCTAATGTCCAGACTAAGCCCAAAACGGCACCAGCCAAAAATAGTAATTTCATGCGGCTGAAGCTGCACGATGACCTCATTGCCTGGGCAATGGACAACATTGACTTGTGTCTAATCTTTCAAAAAAATCACTAAAAAATCAGTATCATTTTCTTAACAATAAAAGAGATATACACTGCAAGAATGGCACCCGCACTTGACCAGATCAAACAGCCTATTGGACTGCGTCCAGAACACGTCGCGGCCTCTCCAACGAGTATCCGTGTCAAAATGCATGGGGGGGCCTCATCATTGGCAGCAAGCGACTTTACAGTCACGACTGACGACTCTACACCTGGGTCGACGCCCACCAAGCTATTTTCTGTAGACGGGCATGCAGTTTCTTGGCAACGACGACGAAAGTTTCGAGATGCTTCAGATCTTCCTTTGTTCGAGCTGGCTCGCAAGAAAGTCGGCGTGACCTGGTTCGTCTATTTACCAGAAGACAATGGAGAACCCATAGCAACGCTGGCCCCCAAGTGGAGTGCGCTGAAAGATAAACTCAATGTTTTTATTAGAAACGCGGCACACCAGGGAGAGCAAGTTGAGCTGGAAGTTCGGGGTCAAGACATCTGGAAACTGAGGACAAACATTTACATGAATGGGAGTTTAATTATGACATGCAAAAGAACAGACAAATTTGCTGCCTATATCCCAGGTAAAGGACTAGAATGGAAAGTTGATGTCGCTCAGGGAGTGGATGTATCTCTCGTAAGAAATACAGAGTATTTACCTACTAAAGGAATAAAACAGTCGAAGCTGATGATTTCTTCTAGGGATCCCTCATCGTTGTTGTCTTAGCACAAGTCATGTACCACAGCAGTTACCCCTCTTCGCACTCAGCGAAAGATGAAGTCGACAGTGGAGATGGAATAGCTGAAAAACATGTCAGCAGACCTTCGTCTTAACGGATCAACGTCACCGCGATGGCTAAATTGTATCCAAATTATTTGTTAAGTCTGTTTTGATGTTTCTGGTATCCCGCTCAGAAAGATTTTGACAATATATTTACATTCAAATTCTATTTTACATCATGCTCAATTGCCTAAAACAAATGCACATGTATGGAGTACGTGTGTTTGAGGACGAGGGGGAATATGACATGAAGCGCGCCTTTGAAAGAGATTAATACGTAATAATTATTAATCTTGGTGGAAGAGATTGAAAGAATTGATTGGAGTTATTATCCTTGATATTGGGAAGGCCCCAATATCGACCCAAGGTCATTCAGCGGCAATTCATCAGCGTCATTCTCGTTATATGCATTTCTAGAAAGTCCATTCTCTTCGTTTCGCATAACAGCCCAGCCAAGGTCAACATCCTTAGAATTAGTGTGTGTTGTATCGCTAATTGCGTCCTCGTATTCGATTGTGAAATCATTTGTTTTCAGTATACAGAACGGCCCTGTCGCCATTACTGGTGATTCGGTCGTGCCAACGTTTACAGGCAAAAATGATGAGTCTTGCGGTGAGACGTCTCCTCGGCGACTATTCCGTGATGTTCGGCCACTTGCAGGCAAGGATAATGGGAATGGAGGTGGGACGGCTGAAGGGTCCCCGCCTGAGATGACGGTTCGGTAGCTGAGTTTGGGGGTTGAGCTGGTAAAGTCGTTGCAAGATGCGGAAGGATTGAGGGTTCGAGTGCTGCAGTGCTCCTTGTAAAGTGGATTTGGAAGGGATCTCATACTGATAGAATCACTGAAATTGCGATGATGGAGGCGTGGGCGGTCCGGCCTTTTGGGTGGGCTACAAATGCTTATTTTCAGGCCTTCTCTTCGAGGCATAGGTTCAATTTCACCAGCAGCTCCAGTAATCGACGGTACACTAATAGAATGGTCTCTTGTACTTCCTGAACAATTTCGGGAATGAAGGCTTCTATAACCAAAATTATGTTCGTCTGATGGACCTCTGCTCTCTGATTTCCACATGTGTAAAATCCGAGAACCTTTTGAGCTCTTATAAAGAACCAAAGCCAGTGATTTGATCTTTGGGATTGAGGTAGTAATGATTAAAACCGCATTTTCTATACTATATATTTTATGGTCAGCATAAATACCCCAATGTTTTGGTGTCTAAAATCGGGAACTCACGAATGCCAGTAGTTCCATATATGAAGTTGATCTGTAATAATAATTAGTAGACTTATTTTTTTATTTATCATTCAATTTACCAACACTTACAGATGAAATCTTGCCCTGACTTTTGAGAGAGTTTGACTTCCACTGTCTTAACTATTGCAGCCACCATAGCCCTAAGCATGTTAGCCTTTCTCCTACACGAAGGTTGCAAAGACATCATACAAAAGGCTGAATGAAAGCAGTATTCCCAAACTGATCTTATCCCAAGCACAGCAATTAAACGCCAAGACTATACTCAGAGCGAGGAGTGTAAGACATATGTCTGACGTTGCGTTGATAGCTGAATTCGTACAATTAGTATAGCACCTTTCATGAAGAATAGAAACGGCTTACCCCCTTGTGTATATAGCCATCCAGAAACATGCGGCGATATCCAGCATAATTCCGAGTTGGTATAGTTCTGTGTGTGTGATACAATTGGGCTGCAGTAAGACCAGGTGATAGCTATCGGAATGATGTTGAAAACCACCTGCACGACAATCCAAACCCCGATTAAATACTGATAAATCCGTAAAATGCGTGATGCAAAATAGAAAATGAATATGGCAAATGATATCCGAGCAAACATAGCACACAAAGTAGCCGTCGTGATGGCGAGCATCTCGTACTTTATAGCGCCAGTATATATCTCAGGGCTACTAATATCTGAGGCATGTCGACCGAGACCCCAAGAAATCGCAATGGTGCACAAAATAGAACTGGCTGTTTGTAAAGCCTATGCCACAGATTTGATCAGTCATCGTGCAGACAAGTGGTGATTTCTTCGTCTCACTCACCCATGCAATAATCATGACGATATCATCGACACCAATCCTTCGTAGAATTCTGGTCTGGGCGACGATACGAAGGACCATTAAAGTGCTGGTGATTGAAAATAAAGTCCAGACGCATATTAAGTTGCCAGTCTGGCTTCCGTTGAGGCCATTTAGCGACTGGCTCTGTCGGGATTCCTTCATATTGTCTCCGTTTTTTGAAGTCCTCTTGGCTTTAAAAGGGCTAGTGTATTTTAACGCAACATTGTGTAGTAAATCATACACCAATCACCTCAATACCGACGCATCATTCAACATGGTACCGCGTTTCAGACGAAGGCGATAGTGAAGGCTCAATTGCAGTGGCAGTGTGGTAGATTTGTTTCGAATTTCAAACAGGACAAGATGAATTTTTGTGCTTTATAGTAACTGGAGCAATTTGTTGTTGATGGGGTCTTACTCCGCCAAAACCTTCATAAACGAGGGAAAAAGTCAGATGTTATGATGGGCCATCCAGACCCGTGGAGCAAAATTGGAGATATCACTGATGTTGCAGTGGAAGAAGACAGGGAAAACAGGAAACGGGCCAGAAAGGCACGACCCAATCGCATTTTCAAGCCAGGTTCTGCTATTGATTTTTAAACCAGTCCAAACCGGAAAGCACATCAGCGTATGGAATGTGTTGATGTGGTGGTGGGAATTCGAGAACGTCAGAGAAGTAAAGTAGCCCAATCAGAAGTGGTGGCGCAGAAATGAAAGAGACAAATGACGGCTCCACCATGATACTTTTTCTCAGCTTTGACGTCTATAGAAAAATTGTGGAGCTTTCACCGGTGCCAACTGATGTAGCATTGGAGCTGAGATACTTCGATGCTTCGTAAAGAAGAAGCGAAAGTTTGGGTGAGGCTCCAGAAACCGCATCTGGCCTGCCGAATGCGGAAGGGCACGGCTACGTAACCACACAAATTGCCATCGCCATCAATCGAGATATTTTTCTCGCATGAGTTTATATTTTCACCGAATTATGGTTATTTCTTAGGCAAGTGTGCCATGTTCGCAAAATAAAAGTGGTGGGAGTTTGCCTTTGGACATTCCATCAACGACTGGAATGCCGCATATCTGGGGATATGCGTGGTTGGCGGGAAGGTAGCCGAGTCCTCTTGAGGGACGAGCTTGGACAGAGTTTCAATTTTGGAGATGGCTAATTACTTTTTGGCTATGGGCATCCATGACCACGATACCCTTTGCCTGTCCTATGGATGATAGCGGTCCGTAATGGCTCGAGACCTAAGCGAACCTGCCAAACGCCACGTCCCAAGAACAGTGAAACCAGGGAAACGGCATTGCATGAGAGGCATTGTCTCCCCGAAACTAGAACCATGAATCAGACATCGACGCCGCAACCTATATTAACCAAGGCTCCTGAGGTCCTTGCGTGGAACCAATCAGCTTCCAGCGTATCTATTCGTCTAATGAAATTCAGAACCAGATGAAGGCTCGACGTGTCTTGGCATCGTTTGGCTCTTTCTGGCCTTTCTCTCTCATAATCCTGAATGGAATCTTACTAGGGTTTTTGCATATTGATCGTCGGATATAGCTGATCGCATATCGTGCGGATAACACCACCACTGCCGCCGGCCCTGCCATTAGGTGCTGGCCAGTTACTGTTGCGTGCTGGACGGAGGCGGCCTAGGCGGGGTCGCTTCGGATAGTCGCAATACTCGGTGGGTTGAGCATCATTTATTGGCTTAAGACAGAGCATCCCTTGTCATTAGGCTAGCGGACCACCAATGCTATATTCGTTCAGGAAGCCTACAGTCGTGTTAAGAACATTGAACCAGCATCAGATCCGTCCAGCAAGTTCTCTGGTCTTCCACTGACACATAAAATGACAGATTCAAACTTCAAACCCCGCAATATCCTCCTTATCGGCGCAACGGGGACAATCGGCCGTTTCATCACATCATCAATCGTCGCTGCACGATCCGAATTCGATCGCATTGCTATCCTCACCAATACCCCGACAGCTGTAAGCGAAAAGGAGAAATTTGTGGAAGAACTTAAGGCCAAGAATGTCGAAATAATAATCGGCGACATTACTAATGAGAAAGATGTCGTCGAGGCATACAAAGGTACGCAAAACACACTCGGTTATTGATTTTATGAGCACGCCGTTGTAGCTTCAAATGAAGATGCCTCCGTGCCTTTCGGTTTTCGTAAACCTTTTGCTGAATTATTTAGGAATTGATACCGTGGTCGTTGCCCTTGGCCGCGGTGCCATTCTTCCCCAGATCCTATTGATCAAGCTCGCTGCAGCATCCAGCTCCGTTAAATGGTATTTTCCTTCGGAATATGGGACCGATATCAAGTATAGTCCAGCCTCAGCCACGGAGAAGCCACATCAAGGCAAACTCAAAGTGCGAGACTATCTTGAAAACGACAAAGAAATTCAGAAGAGCGGACTGAAATACACATATGTTGTGACGGGTCCATATGCTGATGGGTATTTGCAAGCGATACCGAATTCCATTGAAGCAGGCGGGTGGGACGTCAAGTCAAAGACTTCTTGGCTGGTGGAGAAGAACAACAAAGTCAGTTTGACAACCATGAAAGAGTAATTATGCACAGGACAAAATTTCCTCACTTAGTCTAGACTTGCAAACTGATGCCCATAAATAGTACCGGTGATCTAGTTCTCGCTGCCTTGCGTCATCCAGAAGCTTCATTTAACAGAGCTCTTAAAGTGAATTCCTTCACCACCACTCCTGCAGAGGTCCAAAGGGAATTTGAGAAACAAGCTGGCGGTTCTTGGACGGTGCACGAGATATCTTTAGATCAGATTCGTAAGGCCGAAGAAGCAGCCTGGGCGAGTCGTCCCGATGCAACAGGGCTTACACTTCGCCGTATATGGGCAGAGGGTGGCACGCTTTACGAGAAACGTGATAATGGCCTAATCGGAGAACCCCAAGTTCAATCTCTAGCGGAGATTGTATCGGAGAATATCAAGAGATCAGCATGAGCTATAGGAAATATATAACTGATTCAAATTACTTATATATACTGAAGGCTGATTTAGTGTGCCCCAGTATCTACACTTAAATGACAATAGTTTGAATATAGCATAGCCATTTTCTGCCTTTTATCTAGATTTACACCAATTTATGTTAGATTAATTTGGCCTTCTTATGGAGACACCAGTAGATAATGCAAAAGTTCAAATTTTATTAGTATCAATATGGGGAGGGCTCCTATACCCGATTTGACTTTTGTGATGCTACATTCAAACTTTTGTCGTCTTACTGTATGTTTACTTTCCTCTTTTTACCTGTCAACAATGTGCATTTATTAGGAGGAATTCTTAAAAACAGGCCTGAATATCCATATTCAATACATCTGACGTATCAATATACGCATACCATTCATAACAGGCCCCGTATGAAATGAGAGATAGCACCGTGGCCTTTGGACAATTGGGAAACTGTTAGCCTGGGCAATCAGAGCGGTGTATGCTCTCTTCAACTATTTTCATTTCGCTCTGGTGGTCATAAGTAGTCCTGGCGTACCAACAGACTTGCTATGTAAAACTTCGCGGTATTACACTCCATATATTCCAATAATGACTTGCGGTGACGTGGTGAATCACAGAACAGAGGATGGGGCAGAGGATTTCGAAGGTGGTGCTCCTAAGTCTGCTACCCTCCAGCAGTTCAAGTATTATAGCGTACATATGTATACATCGACTTGCAATGTGTTTTATTTGATCTAAACCATCCCATATGGCCACACCAGCTACAAAGGTATCTTCGACTATATTTTAAAGAAAACACAATCCCGGAATATTCAGAAAAACGTGGTGTCTTCAAGTTATTATCACAATATTTTTCAAGGTTCAAGATCAGATCTTTTATTGTCCCTTCTTCGCCAACAAGTTCAAAGCACTGCCAGCCAGAATAAAGCTACACTGGTCTTTACTGAGAGTATGCTTCACTGGAATAGTAAAGGTCTCTCCAGTTTTCTGTTTGGTCACCTTCAGAGTCACTTCTCCAGAACCACCAGATGTTAGCAAATCATGCAAGCCAACAGCATCGACTTGATCACACGCGTCAATGCGATCATAGTCTGCGCGGTCTGAAAAGGTCAATGGAACCACTCCTTGTTTCTTCAGGTTGGTCTCGTGAATGCGAGCAAAACTCTTGGCCACGATAATACGTCCACCAAGATACCGAGGTTGCAGCGCGGCATGTTCACGCGCACTTCCTTCTCCATAGTTGTCTTCTGCCACAACTAGCCATTCTGTTCCCTGTGCCTTCCACTGCTCGGCCAACTCGGGAATCGAATGCTGTTTACCAGCTTCGTCGTAGGCGACGTTAGTCTCGCCAGTTGCAGCGTTCACTGCTCCAATAAGGGTATTGGCGGATATATTGGGAAGATGACCTTTGTATTTAAGCCATGGTCCGGCGGCTGAGATAGTATCTGTAGTGCATTGACCCTTGACCTTGTAGAGTACCTTGAGACCTGTAAGATCATGATTTGGGAACGGGGCGAATGGCTCCAAAATCGCCAATCGGTCTGAGGTAGGCGACACAACCACTTCAACTGAAGGGTCAGGCACTGCTGTACTGGGTTGAAAATCCGGGTTTCCTTCTTCAAACCCGGCACTTGGGAGGCTGTAACCTTGAGGCGGTTGGAAGCGGAACGAACCGCCATCAGGCGTGGGTAGAGAATCAGTCATAGGATTGAATGTGGTGCTTCCTGCGTAACTCATCGCAGTAACAATTTCTGGTGCTGCGAGGAAGTTCATCGTTCGTCGGTTGCCATCGTTACGTCCTGGAAAGTTGCGGTTATAAGACGTAAGAATAGCATTGTCCTCGCCTTTCTCGACTCCGTCAGTACGTTTCCATTGACCAATACATGGCCCGCATGCGTTAGCCAAAACTGTGCTACCTGCAGCAGAGAATGTTGACAGCGTTTGATCCCGTTCGAGTGTAGCACGAATTTGCTCGCTACCAGGAGTAACAAAAAGGTCGGCCTTTGGCTTCAAACCAGCTGCGGATGCTTGCTTAACCAAGTGCTCGGCCCGAGTCATGTCTTCATAAGAGCTGTTCGTACAGCTGCCAATCAAGCCAGCTCCAAAGGTTTCCGGCCATTTTTCCTCCCTCACCTTGTTCGCAAATGCAGAAAGGGGGACCGACAGATCTGGCGTGAAGGGGCCATTAATGTGAGGCTCAAGAGTGGACAGATCGATCGTAATCAACTGGTCATATTCGGCCTTTGTATCGGCATTGAGCAGGCTCTGGGGACCAGTGGCAGCGATTTCCGCGGCCGCAGCTGCAACAGCCGCTCGGTTCGTCGCTTCGAGGTAAGGAACGTGGTTGGGAGAAAATGGGAATAGAGATGTTGTGGCACCAACTTCGGCACCCATATTACAGATAGTCGCCATACCAGTGCAGCTCAGTGTGTCCACGCCAGGGCCGTGGTATTCGATAACGAAACCAGTTCCACCGCGAACGGTGAGCTTGCCAGCAAGATGTAAAATAATATCTTTGGGAGATGTCCACCCACTGAGGTGACCTTCAAGCCGGACTCCGAGAATTTTTGGAGCTTTCAATTCCCAAGGCGCATCAACCAAGGCATCAACAGCATCAGCGCCGCCAACGCCGATAGCAATCGCACCCAAACCTCCTGCATTGGGGGTATGACTGTCAGTGCCCAGCATCATTAACCCAGGAGCCGAGTAATTTTCCAGCACAGTCTGGTGAATGATACCAGCTCCAGGAGGCCAGAACTCAATTCCGTATCGGTTAGCTGCTGACTCCAAGAAGTCGAAAACTTCCTTGTTGCCTTGAATTGAAGCGGGAAGATCGATGTCTGCACCGCGTTCACCCACAATCATGTGGTCGCAATGAATACTGGCTGGGACTGCGGTTGACGGCAAACCGCATGACATGAATTGTAGCAGTGCCATTTGGGCCGAGGCGTCTTGCATAGCAACTCGGTCTGGCTTGAGCTTCAAATTGGCCTGCCCACGAATATCTCGCCCGTTGTTTGTATTGGAGAGCAGCGATTCCTCTGCATTGTCAAGGTGCGAATACAGGATCTTCTCTGCTAAGGTAAGGGCACGTTGTGAACCTAGGATGCGTCGTGCTTCTTCAAGGCCGCGGAGAATTTTTGGGTATGGTGGCATACGCGAACTCGGGGCAGCTGTAGCGAGTCCGCGACGATACGCGACAGATCTGGATTGGAGACATGATGTAACCTGCAAATTCTTAGAGAACTGTCGGGCAAAGTTGGAAAACCCAGGGACCAGAAGAATTCACGACTACTAACCTTGCGGTTGGCTGTCGCACGCTGCCAAACCACCGGCCTCACCATCGTGACTCGACGGGGGGTATCGAAGTGGCAATTGAATAATGGCAACGACAAAACAGCCTTAGAATTACGCGGTGCCAATATCGCCCTGCGGTGAACGATAGTAGGACAAGAAACCTGAGTCCCGTATTTTCTCCACGCTGGGAGGAAGAATTTACACCAGCAGGCTGGATGTTTCTTGCTTTGATAAGGATGGCTCGTGATTGGCCAGCTGGGAGAAAAATAGAATCAAGGCGCCGAGGTCGGAGCGTGGTTCTAATTGGGTATAGCTCAGCTAGCATGCAAGAGTCGAGACAACAGCTGTGACGAGTAAGAGTTTAATACGACTGTTGTTACTGTGAAATGGGAATGAGGTGACACAACAACAATATGATTATGGTGCCATCTGAAACGACGGTGCAGCTGCCAACGAGAAAATATCGTACACGCAACCGACCGTGGCTGAAGGTGCCACGGTATCAAATGAGCCACCTAGTTTTTTACACTAAGTCCAGCACCATGATATTCAATCCTCGCAACCAATCCGAGAAGCGAAACTTGCAAGCCAAATGCAAATATTATTAACGCAAGCTATTGATGCCTTGATACAACCGTTCATTTAATCTCCACGGTCCGCTTTATCCTCGTCGACAGCTGCTCTCAGTTCATATGCAATTTCGTAGCATTCTGCCAAAAGTGCATTGACACTACCTTGCCCCTCTGGGATGTCGTTTCCTATGTAGAACTTCCCATCAACGCGCATATTGTCGATAGAATTCAGCTTTTCGCATAACATTAGTAACCGAACGTTAGACACGGAAGAGACCGATACTCACCTTCATACTGTAAGGATAAAGCTCACGTGCATTTGAAACTCCGCCAGAGTCCTTGACCTCTAGCAAACAACGTCGAAGCGTCTGTAATTGGTTGTAAATGGGCAAAAGGGCTTCTGATACGGGTTCTGAGGCAATGAGGAGCGCGTAGATGTAAGCATAACTACGGCGGATAAGGTAAAGTAATGTCTGCCGAGGTTATTAGTAAAAGCCTACGAAACAAAACATATTGAAGAAAGGGTTCGGAGCAGTACCCTTTGAGCATGAAGATCTGCAGCCTGGCCGGTGGCATCGATAAAGTTGCCGTTAACACGAGCTTCATCTATCCGATCAAGCTTGCGCTGGAATTGAAAAAGGTCCGTTTCACGGAGAGACCATGCTTGTGTCATGGATAGTCGCTCTAGTTGATTTTTTATCTCGAGGAGTCGGGAGTACTGCTCCTGAAACCGTTCATCAATTTGTCCTTTCCTAGAATCGGAGTCAGCCTTTGGTATTAATTGCATACACAATTGTCATCTACCTCTCAAGAACAATCTCGGTCCACCTCCAGCATCTATCCCACAGAGTCTTAACAACTTCTTGTCCACTTAATACTTGACCGTCAGATCCGACGATTTTCCCATCTTCGGTGTGAATCTGTATCTCCCTCAAACGTTCCTGTAATTCGAGCACTTCCGAAGCAGAGAACTTGAAACAATCACCCTGTCAGCATGTTCGACATTTCTCTTCTGAAGCACATACCTTTGATCGGGTATTAGCGGCGGATGTAGATCGAAGGATTGACACTAGAGTCTCATGTAAGGAGACGAGGTCAGGCGCGAGTAGCTCGAGGCTTTTATGAAGATTATCAAGTGATATTTGGCACTGCTCAATTCGACTTTCTAGAAGGATGAGGAGATGTGGAGAATGTGTTTCTTTTCCATGTTCGAGAACTTCTCTCATATTATCGAGTGTTTTCGCTATGGATTCAAGATCCTTGGCACTAAAAAACCCAGCCTCTTGGAGGTGGTCAAGTAAACGCTGAAACAAGGTCAGCATTAGGAGTGATCGGCGAAAGCTTATCGACGGTTAAGTATACCTGAACTGTCGTTGCTAGCGAATACCTAATGCCGCAAGAATGAAATGTCAATTGTCACAGACTCGGCTTAAACTTGAGTTGTCCGTGAGCGGCACTTACGTAGCGGGAGCTTCATTATTTCGACCGACTGTGAGGAATAGGAGGGAGATGAGCTGAAAGCAATCGTCAAGCACATAGTCCACTAGCAAAAACAGCAGTCAGCATTAGCCTAATATCCATATCAACAAAATTCAATAACGCAAAGGCCCACTCAGTGCTAACGTCGGTTATAAGTTAATCGGCGGTCTCGCTCCTTGCGTATTGAATTGAGAGTCTCAACCCGACCGATAACCTCTTCATAAAGAGGCAAGACATCACGAGATTTGATGTAAGACGACTTATCCTGCTTCAATAAGAGGAGCGCATCGCGGGTACGGAGAAGCTGTTCCAGTATGGGTTGCTCTCGCGGATCCAGAGGGACGGGTACGGCGGGTGATTCCATGGCGGCAGAAAGGCACTGCAGCGCCTCGGTACGGTCAGGTATATTCGGTATAGAGTAATATAAGTATTTTGTGAATGAGTATAGTAGTGATCAGCGGCAAGAGAATTCAAAAAGGAATGATAGCATCGATGTTGCTCTACGGTCGCTAGAGGGGAAGGTTGGGCAAAGTGGGGGTGGTCGACAAACGGCAGATGGCAGCAGAATGGAGTCGCATATATCCCTATTCAAATCGATCCATCTACCCTCGTACACGCAGAAGCAAGCTTGAAGAGGAACGACTGTACTGGACTCTCAGCTACTTTATTCTACGTCTAATGCAGATAACGCTGACGGACTCTTTGTCCGCCGCTTGAAGATTTGCTGCTGCACGCAGCCAGCGGGCGGGCTTATCGGCAACCATGACGCACCAGCCACAGCCGATGGGCTCACACCTGGAAAGGGGATAGCGTGTATGGTGGCGTTGCTAACCAAAACTCGCCTAGCGCCTGGCTTGCTGCTGAGTCATCCAGTTGGTCGTCCTAGCCATAACAGGACTAGGGCTTCGGAAGCGAGGGCTTTTGCGCGGCACACACTTGGCGTCTTGGATCTCCGGCTCGGGCTAGCATCATATCAGTCTTGCTGCGAATTCCACTCTCTTCCCTGCTCCGTCAACCCATATTTCGGCAATCCTCGAGACAACATCAATCTCGTCCACCAAACGACCACCATGTCTACCTCCGAGCTTGCTGTTTCCTACGCGGCCCTGATCCTCGCCGACGATGGCGTCGAGATCACCGTACGTCAATACCCATCCCCGAAATATTCTTAGGATATGGCATCAATTGTGGAGAGTGCTGCGCGAGAAGTCCAGGCTCATGGTGCATGAGTGTGGACTGCGAGCGCGAGTCAGAAAGAGGAAGCGAAAATACAGGATATCCATGAAAGTATCGTGCGCTAACTTCGATATTCATTGTCAACAGGCCGACAAGCTTAACACCCTCATCAAATCCGCCAACGTCCCTGAAGTTGAGCCTATCTGGGCCCAGCTCTTCGCCAAGGCTCTCGAGGGCAAGGATGTCAAGGACCTTTTGACCAACGTCGGCTCTGGTGGTGGTGCCGCCGCCCCTGCTGCCGGTGGTGCTGCTGCCGGTGGTGAGGCCGCTGCTGAGGAGAAGAAGGAAGAGAAGGAAGAAGGTACGGAATCACCCTCACCACTATGTCAAAGGCAAACAAGAGCTAACTTTGTTGTACAGAGAAAGAAGAGTCCGACGAGGACATGGGTTTCGGTCTTTTCGACTAAACAGTTTACCTCAACTGTGTTCAACCGCGCTGGTTGCCTTTCTCAAAAACATCCTTTTTCTTCGATCCTTTTTTCCACCTCCCTCTCAACCTATGTACTCGATAATCTGTGCAAACGAATCTCATTGCAGAATCGGAGATATAGAGAGCACTCTTCGGTTCATGAATTGCATGATGGCGCAAACCATTTTTCTGCTCTATTAGCTTTGCTTGTTGACACATGGTGGTCGTATACGGTGGAAACGGCAAAGACGAATATAAAAAAAAACTGGAAATTCTTGGGGCCGCTCAACTGCAGCTTTTGCTGGCATGATACCAACCTAAAGTAATATGTGTAGCTTCATGTTGTCGTTTGTGTGGATTCCAGTTCGGGAATGTGCTATGACGAACAGAATTATGCTATGAAATTTATAGTCCTCATCCCTGGTGTCTATGCTCACTTAATCTCTAGTAATTCCTTCGTAAGTTTTACTATAGTATTGACGAAATCACACCACAGTAAAAGTTGGCCGGCAAATATATATACATCGTTTGTATTTCGCGAAGTAAATATTACAACATTGAACACCTGTATATTTAAATTTTACTTGAAAACCCGCGCCATATGCGAAATTGAAAAGACGCCTAAGGCAATCCACTCTTTTTCTCATGAAAAGCTCGCCCTCGAGTAATAGTACAAGAGCTAGGTTTGTGAATATCAGAAGCGACGGGTAATTATACTTGCTCCCACCTTAAATTTAGTTCATCACGCATAGAACGACATCAAATCGAAAAGAGCAAGCTGGTGAGTCGTGAGATTGACTTTAAGCGTCGAGGGCTGGTCGAGCGTAGATACGAAACTGAATGAAAATGGCGACGTCTTCGACCATAGTGCCCAACGAGCCAATCAGCCATGGTAAATTGGTCAGGAAATAGTCTTTCTGTGTAGAATGAGCAAGAATCTGCCAAAAAATTAGCTATCCTTCTACAAGTTTATTAGCGATGAGAAGAATGAATCACATACTCCGGCTCCATAAGTGAGATTCCCCAATAAAGATAGAATGAAAAACAGTAATGAGAGACCTATGATCAACTTTGTGAATACTATGGCGTCGGAAAATACCGGGTTTAGGTTAATCTTCCTACCTTCACATGACTTTTCTCTGAAGTTTTTGAATATTTGAGGTAAACGAGCTCTATGGCATAGGTTAACAATCAGGATTGTACTCGGGTTGACCGACAATGCATACCCTAGATAGCAAACTGCACTGAAATATCCCAGGACCTGTGCCCCAGGTGCTATCTGATCGCCTCCACTCTGTTTCTGAGGCGTAGGCTTCCAGAGCCCAGTCTGCCATGCAATCGCCCAGCCTCCTGCGCCGATGATGATAATAGCGAGAACACTTAGTACGTTCTTTATCCAGACTTTGGCCCCTGAATCGTTTTCTTCCACGATTTTGGCAAGTGTGTCGTCGGCATAGCTAGCTCGGCGTTGGTTACCCCTCACAGATGCAGAAGACCTTCGTCGTCGCGAGCCTGGAATGCTTATTTCATCGCTGAACCTCCTACCGAGGAGAGGCGTAGTAGGTGTCGGAGTCTCAATAGATGACTGCCGACTGTTTCGGCGCTGTTCTCGACGCGCATTGCGGATATTATAGTACAAGCATTGGGTGATTAGCACTCCATCAGCGATACAGAAGTAGACAGCAATTGCAACAACGACCGGGACCAGTTGTGCCCAAAGTCCACCAATGAGATTTGTGACATCCCCAACAAACCAGACAACAAGAAATGCCATAGATAGACCCTCCGCACTGCCATATCGATAGTTCTCAATCAGTTGAGGCACCTAGCATGAGAGCATGAGCTATTAGTGCTGAAGAAAGCAACTGAGACGGGTAGCGAATACCAGGAGAAAGACCCAACACGTCAATGATATAGAGCCAAGGATACCTGATGCAGCCTCACGAGGTGTAAGCAACGTTCCATGCGACATGGCCTCTCCCATAGAAAGAAAGTAAAAAGCCATGGCCACCTGTGTATTGTTCACGGGCACTTGCAAAGTTACTCTGTGTCGTTTCGCAACCACTCAAGTTGACGCGATAACGCACGTCGCGAGAGCCGAAGGCCTGATAAGCTCCTCTTCCCCATAAAATGGAAATCGAGGTGCAGAATCGTCGCTCTGATTGCAAGTCAACGATGACCTAACGTTCTGCAGGTTTGCAAGCAGCCAGGAGAAGGGTAAAGGAGGGCGTAAAAGCTAGAGAGATGGCGAGGTTGCGCATTCACTTTTGCGGGGCGGGAAAAAGTCTACGATGACATCCCATGCTGCCGAGGACCCTGATTGGTTGAACACAGGAGCACGATTAACTTGCATGAACTTGGTCTCCACACCGCGGTTCTCGCCAGCCAGAGCCGCTCAGGCCCAGCAATCAAATGATAGCTATATAATCAATAGCATATAATAGTAGCTCGGCATTATTTCCATCCAATGCGATTTGAGCAATGCGATATTATACTTAACTTATACTTAACTATTGCAGCTGATGATGATGAAAATAAAAGGAACATTATGATGCCAGATATTTAAACACACTAATTGTAAATGTAGCTCGGGTTTGGTTTTTAACTCGTTGATACTATAATATCTTCCGTTTTGTCACATGTGTTCAGCTAGTCACCTCAAATGCGCGTCTTCTTCGTAATCCAGTAGAACCGCCTGAAGTAATTCGATCGCCATATCACCCAAAAAGCTTCTGATCGGCCCGTGAAGCAGTTCCTGTCTATCTGAGGGAGGATTGATGGCTAACAGACCTTCTACATACGATGTTAAGGGGTCGTCTTCAACGACGCCAGACCAGTTACCTCGATCCACCCCATATTGGCGCAGAAACGTTTGCAAAGGCGGTATGCCCGTATCAAGTAGCCACGCCCTGAGCTCTTCTTGGTTTTCTCCAGATGGGGGGTAAGGGCTGACATCATCTTCACCGGATGCTAGTTCTGGAATGACTTCTTCGTCGCTGATATCTTCTTCAAGCATATTAGCCCCATCATCATTTATTCTACCTAAGAAATCCCTCAACCATTGAGGACGAGCTATTTCGGGTACTCGTGACAGGTAGGAAGGTGTTGGGTCTGCCTGTTGACGGAAAGCTTCTGAATCATATGGAGGAAGAGGGTCGGACGCCGAAATCTTTCCAGAGGTGAATCGTGTTGGTAGATGGGTTGTGACCTTTGGAATATCGGAGAGCACGACGTGACGAGCAATATCAAGAGTTATTTCCGGCGGTTCAACCCGCTCGTCATCTTCTGACAACATATCTGCAATCTCGACAACAAGCGAAACAACTTCCGGCGTATTCCAAAGATCCTTAGCACGAGAAATGTAGAGTTCGGTAAGAAGTTCGTGAGACTGTGCTGGGGGGATTTTACCCCAGATTCTCTTCGGAATCGGCTGAATATCCAATTCCTGGGCCAGTCGGCTGAAAACCCACGGGTAACGTGACATTGCTAGGCGAAGCTGTTGCCGAGCATCTTGCGGTTTATTCAGCCGCAAGTACGCTAACGATAGCGAGCATTGTACATTAGGAAAGTCTTTCCACTCTTCACTAAAAATCGTCTCGGTGCAAAGTGAGATGAAGTGCTCGTATTGCCGGCCTCGGAGGGCAAGCTGGTCAATCAACAACCTCATACAGTAAGGGTCCTTAGTATCAAGACTTAGAAGTAGCTTCGCCCATTCATAAGCCGTCCTCCAAGTTCCTTTCATTCCTAGGTTTAAGATGTATCTCCAACCAACAAGCCATAACTCTCGATTTTCAGTCACCATGAAATCTAAATTGGCCTTTCCTTGCTGTAATTGGCTCGCAAACGAAGAGTGGGCGGAGCGTCCAATATTGAACAATGCTCGTTCGAGGAGGTCGGCCGACACAGCATGGTCACTCTGGTGTTTGGCTATTTCCGATACTTGAAGTAATGTTGATATGTGATATGCTGGTGATACAATTAGTAAGTTACTTTTAATTTGATGAAACGAATAAGAAGGAAGACGCCAACGGCGAAGAGCATCGGTTTCGTACTCACGATTGTATTGTAGGAGATGAATGAGTCTCTGAGGATCCATAGACTCCACACACATATCAAATTGCATTTGAACATTTTCGTATAATTGATTGTGGAGGAGTTTATACAACGTATTGTCGTTGGGTAATTTCTGGGAAAGCTCCATTCCTAAACCACCACTTGTTGCCCGCGGCCATTCATCTTTTCCTTGCATGAGAACGTTCTTCCTTAATGTCACACCAGCAAGACTTTGTCCCCTACTTGCAGGACTATATCGACCACTTAAAGCGCGACCCAAATCTATCGTCTCTCGTTGTCTTTCACGCCGACGCCCAGAGCTAGAAGTTTCATCATTCACGAATGACTCAAGAACAACGTTCCCAAACAGTTTTCGCATCTCATTTATTGCATTAAGCGACTTCGGATCAATAGTAAGGACTTCCTCAGGTGACTTAGGGAATCGTTGACTTGGAGTCGGTGCGTCTCTCGCCGAAGGTTTATTCGGTGTGGTGATGGTATCATTTTTTGTTGATAGCTCTTTCAAAGCCCGATCAATATCATCGAGCTCTTCATTGTCATGTGTATCCGGTTTGGAAGATGACTTTTGCGGTGTGTTCTTCTTCTTCTTCTTTTTCTTTCTTTTCTTTTTCGATGCCTCCGTACTATTTGCCGGAGATATATCTGCGGGTGTAGGTTCAGAACCCGCTTCTATCTCAGGATCAGAAGCTTCCTCGTTTTCATCTTCATCGAAGGCATTCAACAAATCAAATGCATTGGCTTTTGGTTTTGGAACGACGGCCTCGGTTTCTTCACCGCTCGAGCTATCTTGCTCTTCTTGGTTTACTAATTCACTCTGCTTCTGCAGCTTTCGCAGCGCCCGAGATGACATTTTGAGTACGAGAAAGGACAACTTAACTACTTCCCCGATATCTATACATGGGGTAGTTAGGAGTCAAGGTAGCTCAGTGAATGGAAGGCGATGGTGGGGGTATCTGAGGAGGATAAGAGAAGATTCTCTCAGAGGTGTTGGTCCCTAGCTAGTCCCGTCAAAGAGAATGTAAAGAAAATGAAAAAAAAAATAGAATAGAAGAAGAACTAATATCTCTCCCGTGAACAGATTCTACAAAATTGTCCAAAGGGCAGTGACGACATCGAGCCAATCATCTGGAGGCAAAAAGGTAAGAGGTTGCCCCCCGTCACGTGCACCGAGCGTTGGTCTTATATCAACAACTTCCAACTTCGCCTTGTGCCGTTTCGCAACATCTCACGGCAGTCACGCGAACCTCTCATCGATGATCAGGGTGTTTATTGCTTGGGCATCTCCACAACCCATCGCCGTGGAAGCCTTTAACTAGCAAAGCAACATCTTTCAATGCGTCGCGCTGCTGTTCAGGCCTTCCGCACTGCCCGCTGTAGTCCGGTATGGAAAGCTGGCGGTAGAAGAGCCTCTCGCGCCTACTTCTCCAGCGGACAGGCTCTCGCTCTTCGGCCATCCTTCACCAGGCGACAGAATTCGTTCATACCAGCCTCGCTGCATTCGTCCATGCACGTACGAAACTTCTCGCTCGCTTTCATTTCAACCCTTGTTGCTTCTGGAGCATGGTACGCGTATAAAGGTACTCAACAGTCGTCAATTCTCAACGGCACCGCCAACTTCCAGTCACGAGGAATCGCTGATACCACATCTGCTGGCATAGACGTCGAGTCTGCAGCTCCCGCTCGTCGTGCTTTACTAGTCGAGAATGACCAATTCTACACCGCTGCCCTGTCTGGTGATCAACCTCTCGCAAAACAGACCGACGATTCAGATAGAAGAGTTCTCGAGATGTTGACACCTGAACAAGTGACTCAAACGTTGCGCAAGAACGAGGAGTCTTATATTGTTAGTAGAGGGCAGGGAGTGGTTCGATACGATGTTGTGCAGGTCCCAAGTAATTCGCCTATCGAGGATGATCACGCCGAGAAAATTGTCGAGGTACCTCAAGCTGTGACAGGCACACAAGATGGATCGAACAGTGACTGGATGTTTTGGGGCGTTTTTGATGGACACTCGTATGTATTACATTGCATTTCAGTTTTGGTCAGCCTACTAACAGTCACGAAGCGGTTGGACTACCTCTGCCAAGCTGCGCAATGTTTTGATTTCCTACGTCGCTCGTGAACTGAATACTACATACAAAGCTGTCTCTACAGATCCTTCAGTCGGAATGCCTTCGCCAGAGGCCGTCGATGAAGCAATTAAACGTGGGTTTGTTCGCTTGGACAATGATATTGTATACGAAAGTGTGGACAGGGTCATGAAATCCAATTCACGACGTGCTGCCGCCGAGATCTTGGCGCCTGCATTATCAGGGTCCTGTGCGCTTCTCGCTTTCTATGACTCGAGCTCGAAAGATTTACGGATTGCTTGCGCTGGAGATTCTCGAGCTGTGTTGGGTAGCCGAGGACCGAGAGGGAAGTGGGTTGCGACAGCTTTATCTGAAGATCAGACTGGAGGAACACCTTCCGAAATCAGACGCCTTCAAACAGAGCACCCTGGCGAACCACACGTAGTACGGAACGGAAGAATTCTCGGCCAACTCGAACCCAGCCGGTCTTTCGGAGACGCTTTCTACAAGTGGACAAAGGAAACACAAGAAAAGATCAAGAGTCGTTTTTTCGGACGTACACCACACCCGATGCTCAAGACGCCGCCTTATGTTACCGCCGAGCCCATAATAACTAGGACAAAAATCAACCCTCAACAAGGGGATTTTGTTGTCCTGGCAACTGATGGTTTGTGGGAAATGCTAAGCAACGAAGAAGTAGTCGGTCTTGTCGGTCAGTGGATAGAAAATCAAAAATCTGGGACTTCGGATGGAAACCGTGCCTGGTTACAGAGTTGGTTTTCATCCGAAGCCAAGCAGTTACCTGTTGAGAAAAGTACTGAGCCGAAAGGCGAGGGCCAACGGCCGCCGATCCGCCAGCAACAGTACGATATACCGGGGGCTGCTCAGCGTTTTGTTGTTGAAGATAAGAACGCCGCTACTCATTTAGTGCGAAATGCAATGGGAGGAAAAGACAAAGACATGGTTTCTGCTCTGCTAACCTTGCCTAGTCCGTACTCCAGACGATACCGGTACGTTTGAACTTCAACGAGACAAATGTGGTATAAACTAATCGGGTATACAGCGATGATATCACTGTCGAGGTCATTTTCTTCGGCGAAAGCGTCGATGACCGTAGTGTTGCAGTTAATAAGGAAGCCAGTGCATCAACAGAGCCCGCCAAACCGAAGTTATAATATGCGATTACCAAGCTAGTGGTAATGTTGTATTTTATACATTCAATAATCTCGTGTTCAAAGAGGGTTCAAAGTCTTCATGGTTATAATACCAGGCTTATTGGGTCTTAGATTTGTTCATGGCGTTTAGCGGTATATGATTACACTTTATCCTTCACTACAACATTGTTTCACATATTTATCATACGAACTCGTACCAACCAAGGCTACAGGAGAAGAGCCATATCTCGTTCGAAAATGTAGACGAACAGAGTCTTCCCAATTGTAACCTTGGCCGTGTACTCTCTGTAAAAGACGATAATCGATACATAGTCATAAATATGATGTGTTGAAAAGCCTCTCCCGAGCAAACTTATTAATAGAATCAATAAGGTACCCTTTTTCTCATTAGGCTCTCGGAAGAATGAAAGAATTAGAGGGTATAAAATCCTCTAGCATTTCTGGAATGATCACTCCGGCCCGGTTCTATACATGGCAAAAGGACTGGCCAGTACTAATGCGATCAATCCACATGCAATGACCGGGATAGGTGGTATATCTCTTGGGGTAAAGTCTGACCCGGTATGGTGCTTTCTGGTTTCTAGATTTGTCACCCAGCATAAAGTGGGGTGCCTGATTCTGCTTCTAATTCCCGATGCTTGTGCCACTTTGCTTGAGGCTTACTTGCATGAATGGTCCAGTAATCAAAACTGGAAAGGAATTGGAAATTCGATCTCGGGTGGCCGTAGTGATACAATGCCCAAAAAAAGGCTTTACGGCAACAAGGACTTCTTTGGCGGCGGTTTCTCCCCGATCTTGAGAGTGCGAACATATTTCTTAGTCCAGGATTCAAGAGGCTTACTTGCAAACATATATCTTTCCAGCAAGCGCGATTGAAGGGTAGCAGTATTTGAGCTAGCGATCCAATAAAGCATCATTCCGGCTGGCATACCCGAAGCGTAAGCCGATACCGCAATCCAAATCCCGAGTCCAGTAAATGCCACTTTCATGGACTTACTCGCCAATGACATGATCATCTCTCGCTCTGAAAAGTCTGAAGTTTCGGCCAGACTCTTGGTCTTCCAACCACTTTGCACATTGCCAATGATGGAAAGACCTAGCAAGACGGGAAGTATACCAGTTGGATCTCCGACAAGAAGATCTGGGAACCAAAGGGCGCCTTCGCTGGCCAAGGTTGGTTCAGTTCCAGGCAGAGCAGGTCCTCCGTCATCCTTATTTGGCATCGGTAGCAAATAACGAAGAATCCCAACATTAACACCACACATAGCACGAATGCCCTCCATCAAAGACAACCAAACAGGTATTTGCAGAAGAGGTATCAACTGTGGATATTTGGACACATTCCAGCGGCTATATAACATATTGGTCTTGACCTTCAATGTTTGCCGCAACTTCTGTTCTGCTTGATCTGGCCGCATGAAAATCTTGTCCGTAGTCTTTTGATTTTTCATCACCTTTTCGTAATATTTTCTATAGGACACAACTAGCGGAAGTATATCTCCTTGTCGTCGAGCACGTTTCCGTGAGTAGATTTGGAGAGGAAAGGCGACCAAGGAGCGAACGATAACAGCGGTCAAAGGTATTGAAGTCGCCCATGTCAGGCCAGAGATATCGTGTACGTAGTGAAGAAAGCCAGTCGAAGCGGAAAGAACCTCCGCAATTAATGGAGACGACCGTGTGGCATGAAAAGCTCGGATATTTCGTCCAAATGTGGAGGATAGGACAACAGGTCGAACACGGGACAATTGTAGGGTTCGTGGAGGTAATGGTCTCATGACTACTGCTGGTACGCCGATGACTGAGTAGGCAGCCGGAGAATTGGATCTGATTATTGTGTAATAGAAACTTTTAAAATGAGCAGACGCTGAAAAAAAGACTAGGAGCTTCAATGATAGTCGGAAGACTGCTAACGATGCGTGAGCTGGTGATGTTTAAGATGTTTAGGAGGGAGCGCATCCACCTTTTTTTAAGCTCCAGTGGAGAGATGGCCGATGTGGAGCTAGCCCAGGCCTTACTCCAATATAATCACGTGTCTCGCCGATAAGCCACCGGGAAGGATGATGTGTCCAGTCGGCGACTGACAACATTGAAGTTGGAACTAATGACCAACAGGCTCTTTATATCAAAATCACGAGTTTTCGTCAGAGGGGAGGAGTATCAGCTTCCTGGCAAGTCTCGGCCAGAGCCCCCTCCCTTCTCTCATCGTGAATACAGAATGGACTAGAGTCTCAACTTCTACGAAAGATACACCAATCTATTATTTAGCATCGCTTCTCGGGAAAAAATGGCGTTCATAATTACATCCATCACCCTCCTTGTCTTGCTCGCCACCTTTTTGTTGGTACCGCCTGTAGCTGGCTACGTATTGAGCACGGCTTTGCGCACCGTGGGCTGGTTTCTGAAGAATAAGACGAACGGGCGGAGGGAAGTAATTCTTTCGCGCGTGCGTGTTGAAGAGGAAGAGTTCCGCTCTAAACAGTCGTCTTCAACGGCAGGGCCAGAAGATGAAGACTGGGAAAGAGTAGATTCTGGAGCGGGAGTTGCCAACAATGGAGAGCCTGTCGGTGACGACTGGGAAGGTGTAATCGGCTTCTTCCATCCTTTTTGGTAATATGCCTATTCTTTTTTCATTCATGTCGCTCTATTTTAGGAAATTTATCTAACTATACTTGCAGTAACGCTGGCGGGGGTGGCGAACGTGTTCTTTGGACTGCTGTAAAAGCAACCCAAGAGCGATGGCCAAAGGTTTGTTTTATGCATCCTATATACACAATTTCGGGCTCTAACATTATCATAACAGGCTATATGCGTGATATATACCGGTGATCATGAAGTGACTAAGACTGCCATGATTGAGAGGGTCGAGGTAAGTGCCAGATAAGAGTGAATGTTGAGAAGTTCAAGCAAGTACTGACATGGAAAATATGCAGACTCGATTCAATATGCGACTCCACGCACCCACTGTTGTGTTGTTGTATCTCTCCACGCGGAAATATATTCTCAGCAGCATGTATCCACACATGACGCTTCTCGGCCAGTCCTTGGGATCTTTAATCGTTGCAATAGATGCATTCAACCTCCTGGTTCCTGATATATACGTCGACACAATGGGCTACGCATTCACAATAGCATTGTGCAAATACTTCTTCCCCTCGGTACCTACCGGAGCCTATGTCCATTACCCTACAATTTCTACCGACATGCTCGAATCTCTTGATGATGGAAGTGGCGTCAAGGGCTTGAACTCGGGAGCTGGAGCTGGTTGGAAAGGCGTGGCGAAGAAAAAATACTGGAGATTATTCGCTAGCCTTTATGGTTGGGTTGGAAGCAAGGTTGATGTGGTCATGACGAATTCTTCCTGGACTTCGGCGCATATCGACTCCCTTTGGGGCCCCTCGCGAAAAATCCTCGAACACAAGAAAGCCACGGTGGTATTCCCGCCAACAGCAGTTTCAGAATTGCACTCTTCGATCGAAGTGAGCAGTGCCAGCGAATCAACTCGCGAACCCAGTATTCTCTATATTGCTCAGTTCCGGCCTGAAAAGAACCACTCGCTAGTTCTCCGTGCTTTCTCTCGATTCCTCAGTCAGAGACGGAAGGACCCAGCAACTTCATCACAACGAACACCAAAACTCATTCTCATCGGTTCAGTGCGGCATTCCAGTCCAGATGAGACACATATCTACAACCTCCGTCTCCTCGCCCACGAACTGCATATCCGTGAGCAGACAGAGTTCTTATGCGATGCCAGCTGGCCTGCGATTCTCTCTCACCTACGGACCTCCTCCATCGGTACCAACGCAATGTGGAACGAGCATTTCGGCATTGGCGTAGTAGAATACCAAGCCGCGGGGCTAATCAGTGTGGTACATGATTCTGGCGGTCCTCGCGAAGACATCGTGATTGATCTCGGCGATGGTGCCACAGGCTTCCGTGCTTCTACCGAAGAGGAATTTGCCGCTGCATTCGAGGCTGCATTGGCACTTCCTGAAGAAGAAAAAGTGGCCATGCGTTTACGAGCTCGTCGGTCCGCGTTACGTTTTACTGAGGAAGAATTTTCTCGCAAGTGGATTATCGAACTTGATAAGCTGGTTTCGCAGCAACACAGTCATCAGCAACGAAAACCGCTAATATAGAAAGATTTTCAATTTATTTCATCGAGTCTGCCGCGGATAGATACCTGTTGTTATTTTTGTGTATTCATCGTTGTTGTTAATTGTATCCATAATTTTCCCCGTCAATTTGATGGTTGTACAGATGGAGTCCTAGACTTAGGTGTCCTTATCGATATCAATGATGATTTTACTTTAAATCTATCCAAATTCTTAGAGTGAACGTCTCTACATATGTACTATCAGCAAAATCGAGAGTTTAGTCAAAAGTGGTGGAAATCTACCATTATCTAAGAAATCTAATGCAATTCCTCCCAATGAAGAAAAGTGAAATGAAAAAGTCATGAGAGAACTGAAAGGGGGCAAGAAGAATGATAGCAAATGTGAATAAATTTCAAAATGTGGAACATATTCCCGGGTATAAATATGTGTAAGAACAAAACAGCGATTGTCATCACCAAATCATGCAGCCGTGAAAAGGCCTGTTCCAAACCAGCAAGATATCATCCAAAACAAATCAACTAGGCCAAAGCTCAACACAGTCAAGACATAGGATCATAGGATCATAATCCTGTGCAAATTCAGTCTCATTTTCCGTCCCATTTCCAAACGCCATGATCCACTCTATAAGGCTCACAAGAAGAAAGGAATTAAATAGGGACAAAGCCGTTTCCCAACTATTGTTGCCATTCCTGGCCCCCGAAATTAGGATTCGGTGGGTTTATGCCAAAATTCTGGGCCCCAGAGTTATTAATACCGTACATGGACCCAGTAGCATTGAAACTACCGCCAAGATCGTCGTCATCATACCCATATTCCCCGCCTGAGCTGGCATCAAAACTGCTTCGGCCGCTGATATCATTAGGATCATCTGCAGTCGTCGCAATCTGGTCCCATTGTAAAGTCTGCAAAGCCGGGTATTGAGCAAGCAGAGCAGCAGGAAGCGTAAATCCCGACTGACTATCCAAGCCGGCAACCATGAGGGGTTGTTGAACAGGTTGCAGATGCCCAGCCTGTTGCTGCTGCTCCATCATAATTCTATTCCTCTCGTCGGCTTCTTCATCCAACAAAGGCTTAATACATATCCTGCCAGCCTCCGACCGGAAATGACGGCCCAGAGCATCTGCACGAGCAAACCTTCGGCCACACCCCCACTGGGCTCCTCCAGAAAGGTCACCGCGGCACACGAACTTTTTCTCACCTGAATGTAATCCCTCATGCCTCTTTCGGTCATGCTGGCGCGCAAAGGCTTTTCCACATACCGTACAAACGAACGGGCGTTCATCCGTATGAGTTCGGAGATGAGAACGCAAGTTATATGCGCGAGTAAAGCGTTTGGGACAGAGGGTGCACTGGAACGTGGCAGGATGCTTTTGGGTACGCCTTGACTCGCTGGTAGTTGCTCCGGAACGCTGGGGATCAGCCAGGTCAAGAATATAATTACGACTTTCAATGGAAGACGTAGATAGTCGGCGGCCTGATTTGGATGCTGGCGAAACATCCCGAGATCCAGGATTACTACGCGACCCACCCATTGGGTTGAAGGGTGACAAGGACCGCGGAGAAGATCCCACAGCAGGGTCCATACTGCCAGTTGATGATACAGAGGATGAATGTGGGCGATTAGGGTTAGGACGCCCAAATGGGTCAGATTTACTTCTTCCTCGAGAGCCTTTTTGGTTATAAATTAGTATGTGTCATCGTAAAACACCGAGAAGTGTTCATAAACTTACGGGAAGGCGGCGAAAGTCCATCAAAATCAGCGTCATTTCCAGGACCAAAGCTGGGTATCCTAGAGGGAGGAGCGAACTCTACATTAATGGATGGTGGAGGACCCATGTTATTGAGCTGGCCGCCATCTGCAGACTGCAAATCTTGTGCCTGCATGTTTGCCATTACACCTTCATTAGGTGCAGCATAGATGTCAGTTGGCATCGCAGGGAACTGAGTAGTGGCTTGCTGCCCAGCAAGAAAAAACCCCTCATTACTGACATCCTGGGAAGGTATTTGCGGCGAGACAAAAGGGCTATGGCGAGGGCTTAGCCCTTGCTGTTGTTGCTGCTGTTGTTCTGACAAGGTAAACGCTTCAATCCCCAAAGCATTGTCATAAAGAATGGGATCATTTTGTGCAACGAGAGAAGGTGATGTGCCATCGACAGTCTCAAACGATTCTTGTTGGCCCGTGTAAGGCGAGTGGTGGGAAACTGAGGAAACATCTGAATGCTCCGATGGAGCACGGCGATGGCCTTGAAAAGCTGGATTCCCTAGCATTCCCTGCCAATCTGTTTGAGACTGACTAGTCATATAGGCAGCGCTGACGGGATCCAATGATGTATGGCGAGAATGTTGAGGTGAATAGAACGGGGGTGACGCAACCGGCGGTGAAGTGTGGCTATTGCCAGGGGATGAGCGATGCTCGGGGGTCAACAAATGAGGAGATCCCATCTGGCCTGAGAGGTCACCTGAATTCATCAATTGGGTTCCTTGCGAAGATTGTTGAGTCTGTTGCTGAGGGTCAAGCAACAGTGAAGACTCGAAGTTGCTCGATACGCCAGTATTATCTGTCGGGTACTGTGTAAAGTCGAAATCAGTCGGGTTGGAATGGAGCAAGTTTGAAAAGTTCTCCTCCTGGTGACCGGACGACTGCTCGAGCTGGTTGCTAAAACTGGCAGCAAAGGATGACGAAAACTGCTGATTGTGCACGAAAGCGTTGTCTGAGTGGGGGGAGGGATGTTGGGCGGCGAGGAAAGAATTATTATTGACCGCGAAGGGTTCGGTGCCAGTCGATTCCGGTAGAGCAGATGCGTAAGAGACGTCGGAGAAGGTGCCAGTCGCCGAGATCATAGACGGGTCGAGCGAAATCGCATTCACGTCGTGGAAGGGTGCATGCGGTGAGGGGCTGACATTGCGATTGTTCACGCTGGCAGAGGGCGACCGGCTGCGATTTGAATAGGGACTGTGGCCCTCCATTGTGGTGACTGGGCAATTGTCAAAAATAATATCAACAGCAAGTCAGAACCACAACGAGGCTGTGAAGTTGGGGTGTGCACTGCTGGATGGCTCAAAATAGACACCAGAGATGCAGCGCAGGAGCTTGGACCAGATAGAATGCCCCCCAAAAGAGATGGGTGGAGGGGTGCAGTCGGCTGGTCCTGCGCGTCACAAACGTGGAATTCAGAGCAACACGCCGAATGGAACAAGGACAAGCAAAAAGAGCGAGTGCCAGGAATAGTTTCCGGCGAGGAATCAGATGTTATTACGCGAGTTCCGGGGGGAGCGAGCCTGGTGGTGATGCAGACGAGAGAGAGAGTGCCTTGCGGTCAGCCTTGTTAACATCAGCCGCAGCTCCCTCACTCGCACTCTTTTCTCCTCTCAGCACCGCGTCAGAAGGACTCAGGCCGCGAAACGGACAGACACGGGTTATTTATAGGTGACAGACAGGACAGAGCGACGGGCTGCTCAAGGGACGATCGGCATTTGAAAAGAAGAAGAGCAGACGGAGTTCGCAGGCGCTGGAGAAGCGGTCTTGGCGTCGGCGCTGGGCGTGGAAGGAGGGGAAGAACGTTAAATGCTAACTAACTACGACCTAATTATTCATATTTTAATATTATCGATAGAATAATCCTCCCCATTGGCAACGACAATCACACTCGCATTCGCGTTCGCGTTCACAATCACATCCAGACTGAATGGTCAATCCCAACCGCCAAACAGGAATAGCCCGATCTTTCCATATATGCACTGACGGTCGCTAGACTGACAGAATGTGTCGTCGGCAGCTTGCATCCCATCAAGGGTCCAATTATGCCGGGGAGCTTATGATACCTTGATGCCTTTCCCAGGGCAGGGCTGGCATCGCCTCGTTCACCTGGGCCGAACAAGCTAGCAGTGAACGATAGGCGGGTCCAGCATGTAATGATAGACGAGTCGAGATCAATGTTTAATCAGGAGCGTAGCGCAGCGCAATTGATGACAGCAGAGGATCAGCGCCTTCTGTGATTCGACTCGGCCAGGCTGGTGGACGTGTTAATAATGGATGATCTCAGGCAGGGGACCAGGGACTGGCTTCTATTATTGGCTGCTGCATATGAAGCTGAAATCAGGTATCCATCTGGCATCCAACGGCCATGTGTCCAGAATGCACAAACGCTGGCATTCACTCAATCGGACACATCCCTCGCCGTTATTATTATCATCAGCATCATCATCATCATCATCATCATCATCATCATTATTGTATGTAGAGTAAGTACATGGCAAAGCAGGGATGTACTCATCTATGTCAGGCCCCATATGAACGCTGATGTGACCGTCCAGCTTCCTACTCTGTATTAATCTTCTCCGTTAGCGTCAACTGGTATGCTTGTTGTCGACGCTTTCAACTCGCAACCATCGTATTCTGATATAGTACATAGTTCAGCTGGAAAAAGCATCGACACTAGCCAAGTCATCGATAAACAATATTGTTGCCTACATTGATATTCCCGATCCGGCTTCTTAGTACCGTCACCACTGCGATAGTCACCATCGATGTCGTCAAGGTCAGGCATTAAACAAATTGGAGACAAATTTCGCTAGAGATTCCCGGGCTGCACAGCCACGATCAAAGTATACCTTAATGCAAGGAAGTTCCAGGGTGAAACGCGACCAACGCTGCACTGCCATCCCCCAATGGAGCGGCCAATCACGGCGCATTCCACAATCGCCTAGATTTTCTCACGATAATGATGTCAAACAACTTGAAACCGGCGGACTACGTAGCTCCCCAATAGTACCATGTATTAATACTAGGTGATGCGTTTCCGCCTCTGTGACAATTTCACTCACAGCTCAAACCGGATATCTGCTTGTTCTGGACCCCAAACTGTCCAGCCACATGCGCTAGAACCGGTGTTATGGGGAAGGATTGGTTGCTAGTACAATGATAGTCTGTTTGTGAGGTACTGCTGAGCATACTTGTAACATTGTTTGATAGTTAACAAAGAACATGGTCTAAAAATTTCCAAAAATAAGATACCCAAGAGAAACCCAGGAATACACCATGAGGCTAGGCTGTGTAGAACCAATACACCCTTAATGTGGACAGTTGACCTGATTCGCTCAATCGCTCATCACAGGCACCGATTAAATCATCTACAAGGATGTTACTCTTAATCACCAATGTGAACAAAATTCTTGTTCATCTAGTAGTCCAGATCCAAAAGGGTAGAACGCGATGTATCGTATCGCGGAATATATACAAGAAAAAAAACATAAGCCAAATCCCAAAACATCCATGAAGAAAACGCCTTCAATGCTAAAACAGAGGGATTCCATCCCATCAATCGATCATGTTTTGCTCAAGAACCAATGACAATTACATACGAGCTATGCCAAACTCGTTGGAGCGTACCCATCACAAATGGGAAAGAGTGATACTAGCGTACTATACATATTCGCACATAGAGAGTGACAAGGAAACCTTCACTCCAGCGGAAACCCAAAGCTCATAATGCTGATATAAAATATCTTTATCGTAATTGAAAGGGGATCTGAAGTCCAGTAGAACAGACAGCCGTGGAAAATCCAAGTGTCATCAAAGGTAGAAAAGGTCATGAGGCCAACCAAGAGTGATGTCTATAGAGACCTCGTAAATGAAATCAAAACTGTGCTTTCTCTTTCTTTTTGCCGAAGACAATGCCTTCATCTTCCGAATCGCCATCTTCGTCATCACAGTCGTACCGGTACTCTTCATCCTCGGGGGAACGATGATGACGATAATTTCTGGCAGTGATCGTATCACCGGTCCGCAGAATGGGAGGAACGTACGCAACCGAGTCCGTATCTTTCTCCCGTTCCTTTATATGGATGTTCAGTCCATCATTGGAGAGAGACGAAGCCCCTGACACGACCGAAGGTATGCTGGGATGTGAAGCACTACGAGATGTTCCACTAGCACACTCATCGATGGATGTAGTTGACATAGTGGCAGCAGATGGCGGAGATGTTATTAGACCTGTACTTCCGAGGTTATGAGTAGATTCGGCAGGGCTAGCTTGGCTTGATCCCCCATCCTCATTCTCATGGCCACCATTACCCGATCCTTCCTGTCCAGCCTGAGAATGTTCTTCGGTTTGGGGGAATAGTGCCTCTTTGGCGATTTGCAAGTAATCAGTGTTGTTGCCGCGGCCAAGTTGTTCTGAGCGATTACGACGGTGTCCTGATGATGGTGAGAAAGTGATTACGTTTTCGCCTTGGCTGTGAGGGCGACTATCATCTTTCCAGCGACTGGGAGTCACGACATGACCAGTCGCCGAGGCTGCATTCCACGCCAAACTGGGTTCTGAATGAGCATCGTTATCAACATTAGCGTGATCTGTTAGTCGAGGCCGTTCCGAACTTTCTTCGTCGTCGTCGCCGAGTTCCTTAGATCTTCGGCGACCAGCTCCAGTGAAGATTCCATCGAGATTAGACGAACTGGGATGAACAATCTCCTGTGGAGTCTCACTAGAAGGAAACGTCGACATTCCGGTGTACGAGGGCGGAGACGGCGGCCTGACGGTTTTTGTCGAGGCGGCGCTCGACATAGATGAGGGGAAACGCCCCGGAAGGTGAGGTCTCGGAGTTTGATGGGTGGCGGATGATGACGATGATACATGGCTTTCCTCTTGATGGAAGTATGAACGTCGGTCAGATGGATCGTCAGGGCTAGCAGTTACACTCTGGGACAACGGATGATCTGATTCTCTCGTAGTTCTAATAGACCGATGGATATCCTCATCGCCGCGTAAACTAGCTCGGCGACCACCGATTCTATCTCGAGAAGAGAGAAATGATTCAGCGGAGGTCCCTGCAGCGCTTGCAGTCCTCTTGGGTTGGCCACGACTTTCTCGCCGACCCACAATGTAGCCTGACCACCTAGCCATTTGCGAGCGAACGCGGTCGACAAAGGGAACTTTGCTGACTGCACTTGTAACTTCTTCGTTCGATACTTCGATCCGATTGCCCTTGCTTTGCGGGTCAGTCTTTACAACCCAGTCTGCAGGATCTTCTTTCAAATCCTCAAGAATCCATTCGTGGGTCTTGATCTCTTTGATGGTAATGCGTTTTTGAGGGTCTTTGGTTAAAAGACGTTGTAGAAGATCTCGTAGCTTTTCATCAATGTCTTCGTAGACGAACTCATTGTCCAGACGCTTGTTGCAGTTCATCACTGCTGGGCGATGTTCGGCATTGACCTTCGGCAGATCGACTTCAACCGGTTTGAGGCGCTTACTGGGAATAAAAAGCTCATTTTTCCCAATCGATTGAAAAAGGCCGTATTCATCATCAGAGACAAAGGGTAACCGTCCGAAAATCATGCCATAGAGAGTGACCCCTAGAGACCAAATATCGATAGCACCTGTGATTTTAGGACCCTTGCCGTTAGCGTCAACATAATCGTCACCACTATAACACAACTCCGGTGCATAGAAAGCCGGAGTGCCGACAGTCTTGGAGAGTTCGCCTCGGGCATCATCTAGCTCGGTGGCATCGGTCTCAGTTACCTGCTCTTCATCTTCATCCCTAATTGGTCTGCCGAGATAGGATACGCCAAAATCGGAAATCTTGACCTGACCTTTAGAGGTAACTAGTAGATTTGCTGGTTTGATGTCACGGTGTATGATGCCCTGGTAATGCAGATACTCCAAACCAAGTACTGCGTCTCGAAAAGCATTGCGAGCTTCTTCGATTGTCAAGCAAGGAACGTATGACATGTCATCGTCGTCGTTAAAGTAGTCAGCCTCCGATGATGAATAACCTAATAAACTTGATGCTGTACTATATCGTCGCTCAAATGGATAGTCCGACGCATACGCACCATACATGCTACCCTCAACAGCTGCCAAGTTGGCATCACGCATGTGGCGTTCTAGCTCCGATGTCGAGCTTGTGTACGACTGACTTGGCGATATATGATTCTCGACTGGCTCATGTGAGGCCAAATTACGACTGAGGGTGCGTGCCAATGACAATTCCGGGCCAAATTCTTCATCTGATTCGCCACCATGTTCCAAACTCCAGGCGGGTATGTTTTGTAGATTATGGGTCTGAGTTTGTGCGCGCCTTTTCTCTCGATTTTTTTCCCTGAATTTCCGTTGAGCCTGAAGGGCGCGAACTAACTGTTGGCCTTCTTCCTCGAAAAAGGGTGAGTCCGGGTAGCCGTTCTTTTCTCGCTCCAAACGTAACTTGTCGACGTGGACGATCTCCTTGATGCCCTTTTTCCGCCACTTGATCTCTCCGTTTTCGACGTATTCTAGAACAATATACACTTTTTGGCGGTTTGGGTCATCGATGACCTCTAGAAGACTAACCACGTTGGGATGTCGAGCTTTCTTAAGAATAGCTACTTCTTTTTTAACTTTGTCTTCCGGGTTTCCCAATTTTCCTAGGCGGCGGCGCTTTGAGTAGCGCTGGACAATCTTGATGGCAACTGGTTGCTTGGTGGGCAAGTGACGGCCCAGTTTGACCTTGCCATGTTCTCCTCGACCGAGTTCTTCCAGCACTTCGTAGTCGTTGATCAGTTTGTTGCCAGTTTGCAGATCGCGCTCAACTTCGGCAGTATGTGTTCTACGCACAGTATATCAGTGGAGACGGTCTTTGCAAGGTAGAGGGCTTGGACAACTCACTCTTTCGGGGGCTGAAGGTGGGTTGGGTGCAGATAAGGGCTAAATGTGAACGCTTCGTCGTCAGAGCCGACCGACGGAGAAGTGCGGGCGCTTCGGCCCCCAAATAGACCTGGACTCGTAACAGGTGTATTGTCCAGGGTATGAGCACCTAGCGACAGCGAATGCTCACGGTGCCTGGGGTGCTCTACATGAGATGGATAGGAGCTGCGACCTCGAAGAAAAGGTTTATACGGAGGTGGGTAGACTTGAGACTGTAGGACGGCGTAAGACTGATCCGGATAAACGGGTAGGTCGGCAGAGGTGTTGACATGTTGGGTGGTAGGTAAAAGAGGTCGTAAATTATGTTCAAGCTGCTGGGATAATCTTCTTCCCAAATGTGGATGGTCCAGACCTTTCAAGGGGTCGGTTACTGGATCTTCATTCAATGCCTGCAGAGAGCTGGAGGAGGTTTTGGCAGAAGAAGCCCTCGAATTGGTGGAGGAATGAGGGAGAAAATGGAATGCATGGTGAGATGAGTGTGAGTCATTTTTCAGGGCAGATAGTTTTATATTGTGTTTGGATGCCAGCATCCTATTTGCAAAGGACAGTCCTGACTCGGAGGTGTCGCCGGCTCTGCTGGGTCCATTACCGGTCGACTCGACAGGAGGGGGAGGAGTATTCGTGTTCGTGTTGTTGGAGTTGGACCGCTTAGGGGGGGCTGGTCGCTCAACGTCTTCGAGGCCTGCCCTTGACGACCGGCGCTCAAACAACCCCATCGCGAGAAGATGCTATGGACAGTGTCTTGAAGCGCGACCGGTGCATTCTCCGACCTGAGCAGACGTTCAGGGAGCACCTGCTTGGCGTTGGGTTGTGAAATCGGAGTCGGCCCGAGAGAATTCTCTCATTCCCCTGTAGGACTCAAGACATAGAGGCATTGAACGTGGGCTTCGTTGAGCGCTCGTTCCGTCTACCAGCGCTGGTGGGGGGTGGAACAGCGGTTGCGGATCAGAGGATCGGTGATCTGAGGTCGGACTATAAAGATCTGGGCAGGCTCAGTACCGATGCAAAGGCGGCATAACCTTTGACATATAAAATCAGGTCGTGGGCTGGGATGGTGTTGCGAGCCGAAGGAAAAGGTCAAGGCTCTGGGTTGTGTCCGGTGGTGAGTGGTGAGTGGTGAGTTGTGGTGACCTGGCTGGAGGTGGCGTCAGCAAAAAGTGGCAGCAGGACGATCCGGGTTGCAGCAAGGAATGCCCGGGCCAAGGAGCAGAGGCGAGAAGGTAGAAAACACAGGGAATCAACAAAATGTACAATGAGCCCAACAATTGATATATTTATATATATTTTTGCCTTCTTTGCAACAGTTGGATCTGCTTTTTGCTTTTTCCTGGAGTCGCGGCGGGAGTCGAGGGAAGAAAGAGGGCAAGACCAGATTGGGTGGCACGACAGAAGGCACGACCAGCTAGTGGTCTGTACTTTAAGTTGCTTCCTCTTTGCTCCGTAAGTTGGTAATTAATACTGTAATATACTCCTACTATTGTAGTCAATTACACCACCGTACACTACTGCTGATAGGACCAGGTAGAGGGGCGGGTAACCGTATTGGGCGGTAGTGGTCTCAACCGCCGCCCATTCGTCGGTTCCTCTGCACAGTGCACACAGCACTGAGTAGTAAGTGCTCGTCAGCCAATACGATCATGGCAGTAGCAGTAATATACACTTGGTCGAGCGTGACAGGGCTAGTAGGATGCTGGCTGCTGCGGGCACCTGGGTCTGTGGGCGTCCTGCGTGGATCCTGGCATGGCTCTGATCATGATTATCGACTAGTCTATATAACATTGAATATAAAATGCACACGGAGTACGATTGATATTATTACTTCCGCCGATGCAGCGTCTTGCAGCTAGTTTGAAGAAGATATTGCTACCATCTGGATCGCTGCAGAGCCCAAAGCAAGAGACAGCGAACCGTAATACGAAAACATGAATGAATACCTGCTTACCAAGAGAGAACATATTGATGATTAGGTATTGATTAATGATGACTGAACGACCGCATAGAAATACGATGGGGCTCGGACCCTGTCCAGGCCTAAATTGGCGCAACCCAGCCATCGCGCCATGTGGGACTGGCGCAAATAGTTTCTGCTCTTCATTGGCTACTTAAGGATACTTCTACCCAGCACCCCCAGCAGCCCCGTCCGGCCCGCCATCCAGCCACTCAGCGCTCGGACGGCCGCACCTGCCCCCACTTCTGGCCGCTGATTGCTGATCCGCTTCCGGGGAGACACGAAGAGAGCGTCACTGATTGGCCATCCTCCCGCCGGCTGAGGGTCGACTTTCGACTTTCGACTTTCCACCTCGACCCAAGCTTCTAGCCTCAAGGCTCAAGCACAGCAAAGAGTCCGCACTGATGCTTGCGGGGAGGTAATCATCGCAAGATCGAATACGAGGCATCTTGTCGTATGATCCCTGTACGTCGCATCGCGCCAATGTTCCAGCCTGACTCTGATACCTACATGACAGCTGCAATGACATTGGACAATGCTAGGCATGGAGACCTCTCGTTGGCCACTCTAGACGCTAATCGCTTCGGCAGAAACCATGTCGAGGAGATACTGAGATAGCATATTCCTGATTAGCATGCCTATTGCCATTTGGATATGAATATAAATATGCGCGTCAATTATTTGGTGCTATATCATATTATCATTAATTATATGGCAGGCAGATGCAAGTCATGGTATTTTCAATGATTCTTTGGGGGCTCCTAGATAGAGGAATCAATCCCTTGTCATTCCACCGACGTCTAGTAGGCTTCATATAGAGAATACTTAAGAGCAAGGGTATCAACAGTATGCACCCTCCGCAGTAGGGCTAAATTTTGATTTGATACCAAATATTCAATGGCATTATTGTACGCTTTCCACCATCACGCCGACTTACTACTTCACGACTTGAGTAACCTGGTCGCCACCAGAAGTCGATCGCGGCATTTAGGGCATGGAAAAGTGTCAAGGACGAGATATCATGGAGCTGCACCATAGGGACCTCGATTATCATCTGCCTCAATTTATCTCTCCCGGCCGTGCAGCATCATAATTAATAAATTGCCCGCGCCTCGTTGACCAACTTCGCGCCAAAAGCAAATGCAACCTGCATCAAGCTGCTGCCCAAGTTGGAGGAGTCCTTTTGTTTTTTCTGGATGACGGGCTGAGAAGACCGTGCTCTCGCCACCCTTGTCTGTCCCATTCATTCACCTCGCCAAAGGTTCAAAGCTTGGGCCTGGTATCCTCACAAAGTGAATGAGGCCAAAGTTAATCTTTTGCCTGACGACGGGCCGCAAATTCAATACTGAATAATGATGATCAAAGCGTCTACTCCACCCGACAATTCAGGCCAGCTAGCGTGCTGACTTGACCAGGGAAAGAATTATCGGCCGTCAAGTGCAAGGATCATCACAGACAGGTGACCAAAGAGGCATTCTTGAGGCATCCCCAACTTCATCATCGTCGCAACCCTCACTATCGCCACTCTCAAGAACCACTCGGGGCCTTAGCTTCTTGAATCTCGCTTCTGATTCACCTACACTTTGCACTAAGAGGAATGGCGACGAGGAGCGGCTGCTCGAGCCGACATGACACTACGGACTGGCGCCGGTCTAGTCTCCGATGGCTCCATCGATCGTTCGTTCAGAGAAGAGCTAAATCGGCCCTGTGCAGCCAGTCTATACCACTTCGAGACTTGCATGCAGCTTATGCCGTCACCATCGAGTGGCAGCGACTCATGAAAGCCATCACACTGACCCTGCGGTACTCCTGCTTCGGGGGCTTTTTGCGTGCCAAATTAATTGAAGTGGGTCTAATCGCGGAGCTGTCGTAAGAATTTCTCGTCCAGCCGTGGTACGTAGTACCAGAGCCTAATGTATGCAAGCAGGAAGATCAAAATGGCATGCTTGGGAACGAATGATACACTCTCGCCTAGTTTCGAATTGAGTGGCCCATGCGTCATTGTGATTTGGTGTGCGCGCATAACATAGACGATAATAGCATACATGATAATAATGGCCATTTAGACTGAGGGCATTGTCATAGGCCGCATGCACAACGCCTGGCTTCCAATGATAACCATCCCTAGACTGAAACTGTTATCATTGTTTATACAGTAATATCATCTTGATCTAGATTTTACAGACTGTGTAGGAAAAGGGGAGGCCTATTCCGCAGGCCCGCGAGGTCCGAAGAATTCCCGATGAATCAGCTAAGCGCATCAGGACTAGTTCTCGCATCCCCCTGAAAATTGTGACATGCATTAGACTGGCTGCTGCTGATGATTCGCCTACAATTCCGCTGGCCCTTGCAGTCCTCAAGTCGAAAGCGCTTTCTTTTCTGTCTCTTGTGTCTTTCCTACGCGATTGTTCCTCCCCTGTCCTTAGGATTGGTGTAACTTCCTGATGATAGCCCCTGTACCTCTCATTCGACAGACGCACAACAAGTTAGCGCTAAACCAACGGACATATGTCAAATACTAGTGACAAGTCTACCGTATCTACAGAGACATGATTCGCAATTCCATCCGCACGCAAGTGTACATCTGCTGGGAGCCTTGAGACGTGGTTATAAACTGCAGAGTGCAAACATCCCAACCTAGCAGTTGAACGAGCGGGTGGAAATATACTCATCCCATGACAAGAGTCTACGTAGTCTCTAAAGGTGTTGCAAATTTTCGATGCGAAGAATGGTTTGGAAGATAAAGTAGTGGTTAGGTCACGCTACAGAGTGAATCGAGATAAAACTCTCCTTGAAGCTCCCGTTACTGCATTGCATACTCGGTATTAAAGACGGCACGAGCAAGCAGTGCCCTAGTGCTTCTGGTAATCTAATAATAGCAAGAATAGCAACGGGGATACTGCTAGTGTCGAGAGTGATACTTAGGACGAATTAAGAGTAAGCACTTCATACTGTAGTTATCTCTTTATCAGCACCGGGATTATCCTTCTTTTATTAAGATTATTCGAATACCTGTCTGGACTAGTATTGAGAGCTGGTCTCTCCGCTTAGGGGAATCGGGATTTGACATCCTTTGTCACTTTTAGCTCCATGTTGTAGCGACCGAGCTAGATACAAAATTGAAGCAGTAGCATATCTGAGCAATTAGTCTAATGGCCTGAGCTGACGGGCGCCGATATAGTATCAAATCAACATGACTCCTTGCCTGTCATCAGGACAGTTTGAATATGTATAATTTTGCCGCCTTCTTCAAGTAAATAATGTTAAATATATCTGAATAATAATGCTGAGCGATGAAACAACGGGAGTCATCAAATGGTCCGTGGCCAATCACCATGCGCGGATCCGCAGTTGCCGGGACGACTGTGTTTACACCGCCTCTCCCCCGCTGTGGCAGTCATCTATTCTCTTCCATGTGCCAATGACAAGGCACGTTGGCCTCGATAATCACACGATAACCATAAAATGGGGGATGGAGCTGCTCGTGACACTTCGCCGATTGGACACCGCACGCAGGTGGATATTCATCACCATGGTGAGCGACGCCAGACCATACCCCCCAATGGATGGGCCTCGATACAGCAACGTCAGCGATCATCAGGTGGCTAGTCACCACGCTGGCCACTTTCAAAGCTGATCGATCTTTTTTTCTCTAGTTGGTCGCAATCCACTCTGGTCATGCTAGGTGAAGGTCAGCGATATCAACATCCTCCGCATTGAATTGTCATAAACGACATCTCCAAAACACCGTCATTATTTCCATCGAAAGCGCCTACCTACTTATGCGTGGTTTCTTTCAAACGAGCAGATTTTTCTGAATTGTATGGCACCCCTCGGGGGCCATAATTGACGAACGGGAAGTTGAACAAGGTTAACTTTGCAAAACAAACTATGCGTCTATCGAAGATGCCTTCTCGCGGCACGTTTGATTATGGACTGTTGTTGAGTTGCTTTGCAATGGCCACGTTGACTCACGCAGCACTACCTTACACACCTTCATATCTGTTTCCTGCCCGACAATCAAACGGCAGCCTTGCGTACGTACTTCGACCGAAACTAGATCGAACTAGCCTCCAGCTCCTATCGGTCAATCTATCCACCGTGGACTCCGACAGCCCTAACTCCACAGTCCTTTATGACAATGTCCCTTTCGTCATTGATGACGGGGCCTTCCTCCCTTTGTTGGATTCAGAAGGGATCATAAATGTCATTTACGGCACGTGCCAGGCGTCGCAGAGTACACCTATAGTATGGACGTTTCAGCCCGACCAAGATAGTGCCATTGGAAACGGAACATGGTCATCACAACCAGTCAAACAGTCTTCAAATGAAGCCGGAAAAACGACCGACACGAGTGTAGGGTACCTTGCTAGCGGATTCACATTTCCAGCATTGAATGACACATTGGCTGAGTTTTATACATTCGGAGGCATGTGTCTATCCACAGAGAGTACGTCAAGCGACTGGGTATCAGCAGCAAACTACTCTCAATCGATGATGTTACTGAGTCCGGACAATTCATCGCATCCTGCTAGCTACGATATTGAAGAAATCACCGCGTCGAGCCCGCCGGTCGCAGAAGCTGGTTTTACCATAACATCCCTTCAGCAAACAAGTTATAGAACCTCTTCGGGTCGACTTATTCAAGAAGGAGGGTTTCTATTTATTGGGGGTCACACTCAAACTGCCTTTATTAACATGTCTACTTTGGCTTTATTCTCTTTGCCTCAAGCTGGGTGGACTTACATCCCTGTCAACCCAGGTGGAGATTCTACACGAACTGACCTAGCCATTCGTGACACTGAAGTGGAACCAAGATCTGGGCACACGGCAGTAATATCATCAGATGGGAGCAAGATTGTTGTCTTTGGTGGATGGGTTGGCAATACGAACACACCAGCTAATCCACAGCTCGCGATTCTCGAGGTTGGACAGGATTACGGTGGCTCGGGGGAATGGTCGTGGTCAGTTCCACAGCCTACTGGAACCGCACTATCGGAAGGGTCAGGCATTTTTGGACATGCAGCAACCATGCTAGCTGGAGATGTGATGATGATTTCAGGCGGTTATACCATTGCAGCATCAGGAGCGACGTCCAAAAGGGCAACTTCCAGTTTTGAGGCTAACACCCAGGTCCATCTCTTCAACCTGACGTCTAATTCATGGGAGACAACATACACCATGCCAGACTCACAGAATACGGGACCTAGTCATGGATCAACCGGAGCGCTTTCTTCCTCGGGAGAAAAGGCTGGACTCGGGGTCGGGGTGTCCGTTGCAGCTATTGCAGTGTTAGGCATCGCTTACGGTGTATGGACGAAAAAACGATGGAGTCATCGACGAGATAGAGACAAGGAACTTCGAAAGTTAGCGCTGGGTGCTGAACGCTCAAACATCTGGGGTGAGGGTGGACTTGAATCCAGTTATCGGAATCCCGGTGATACCGTCATACGCAACTCGATTTTAGATAATCTATACTATCCGGGTCCGAATCATCAGTACAGTGCTGTCCCAGGTCCACAGAGTGCCGCACCGGAAGCAGAAAGGACTGGATTACTATATGAAGTACCTAGTCCTGACAGGGGTCTTCGGAGGAGTTTAACCGGTCGACCACAACGTGTCCAATCTGCAGGCTGGTACGACGAAGTCAGGACGAGTTATGCCGCGGGATCAATCCACCCGATTGATGAGAGCGAAGAATATGAGACGTCACCCCCAGAAGCGTCAGAGAGAGAGGCAACCAGTCAAACTCCCAAAGCTGAACTATCTGACCCTTTTGCTGATCCATCATCTCCAACTCGTGTGCCTTTGATTGCTTTTCCTGAAAATTCTCTGGGCAGGCAACAAGCGTCTGATGGCGCATCAGTACGATCAGAGGGTGCTCGCAGCACATCCCCAGCGAAAAGTGAGAGGACGCATTCAACCTTATCCGAGTCCTCCATTTCAGGCATATCCGATTCTTCTTCGATACAACGATCTCATATTGGATCAATTAGGAGAACTATAAATCTACTGAGTTCTCCTATTCCAGCACTAGAGCCATCTCATGGTAATTCTCCCGCGAGTGGGCGCAGTTCACCCGAAAAGCCTCCGAGCCGGTCAGAACGCTTGGAAAGTGACAATGTGAGATGGCCATTTGATCCTTCTGCAACAGTAGACTCTTTCTCTACGTCAGATAGCCGACGCAAGCATACACAAATGGAAGGCGAAACGCTTCTAGGTTCTGGCCCTGAATGGTCCACACCACCAGAATCTCCTACCAGACAACCTCCTACAGAAAGCAAACGCAATTCTTTGACATGGATGGGAAGTCTTCGAAAAACCATGTCGAATGCTAAAAAGGCTGCAACTGGTTCCATGTACTCTAGTTCTCCAGACAATTCAGTACTAGATCCTGCACCGTCGCCTGAGCCTGGGCCATCTTCAATACCGAGAAGAGGATCTAGTGCATCTGTAGCACACTTGCAACGCAGGCAAGGGCCGAGAGATTGGGCTGTAGATGGTCGAGTATCACGGAGCAGCTTCATGTCACTTCCACCAGGTGACCAACATACAGACGATGACGATCCCTTTGGCGATGAGGATGACTGGGATGTAGAAGCTGCCGCAGAGGGTCGACTTGTGCAGGTCACTTATACAGTACCCAAAGAGAAGCTGAGAGTTGTCAATGCTGGTGTCGCGGACCGCGTTGCTGCGGACAATGAGTCAGATCACGAGTTGAAGGCATCGGTAAGAGAATAGATATGTTCTGCCTGATCGTTGAATCTAGAGATGGCTCATACATGTTATTGATCGGGTGTTTCTTTATTATATTCTTGGGTCGCCGTTGTTTCTTTCTTTTTGTATATATTTTGTTTATATGATTTCGTCGCGATGTCGACTGTGTATTCATGTGAATGCGAGATGATTGATGGATGACTGTGGGGTATATGATTCTTTATTTTTGTGTATGTATTACGGAGCTGCTGGGGTACATGTGATTTCAGATATCGATAAACCGGAGTTTGCTTTAACAATCATTGATGTATTTAGGGCGATAGTTATGTATAAACAGCAGAACTTATTTCTTACATTGAGTGACAAATATCAACCAGTCAATGAATAGTATTTTATGTGGTACATGTGGTCTAAATAATTATACATATATATACATTTTATCAAGAGACCCCAAATTTATCACATAGAAATTCGGCCAGTGCGTCACTCACCTCCTCTGTAGGCTGGAGGAGACCGTCATCAAAGGACGAAATGGCTCGTATAGCCTCATTCCAGGATTGCCGATCCATCTCATGAAGAAGTTTGTGGCACAGGTATTCTTGACTCCGAGTCTCTTGCTCTACCCTGATGGTTTCGTCAGAGGAAGTAGATATTTGAGCTTCTAGAATCCCGCCCTTTTTGGCTCGGATGAATACACTTGTCTGGCGAATGGGTTAGTTTTCTATTCTAGCGACCATATCTAGAGGAAACCAGTGCTTACCGTACGGGGGAGAGAGTGAGGTAGAGGAGGTCGTGGCCGGGGGTCGGCTTCTGTTGGGAACGTTGAGAAGGTGAATTCGGGTGTTTGAAGAAACTTGAAGTCATTCGACTGTTATATTCGTTAACAATGCTAAACCTTCTTTTTTGGGGGATCACTTAAATTACCTTCAACATCGAAACAGTTTTTTGGATGTCGGATACCTCTCGTGCCAGAGACTCTCCTAATGTACCCACAACCCAATCATCTCCCATACGCAAAGTTTCTTCTCTCAGTGTGACGTTTTTTACCTGAGCCAACACTTCATCTCCGGTTTTATAAAGGGCAGCAAATTCCTCTACTATACTCGTAATGACTTCGTGCATAATGGAAACGGACGGCGTTGAATTGACGAGAGCAGATGATACATTCCCAACAGGGGACCGAACGCTACCAACACCTTTAGCGTGTACATACGGCCTGGCAGGTGATCTTAGAAAAGCCCCGAGATTTTGCACGTTAGGCGAGTCTACCAAACAGGTACCATGATGCAATGCCCGGTTTCTGGTCAATTTGTATGCTGAACCGGATATTTTCAGTGCCTGCGGGGTGGATTCCTCTGGCGGGTCCTCAATTCTTGCAGTTGATTTTTGTCGGACTGCCTCGTTGCGTTGTTGGGTTAACACTATATCGTGTCTCTCGTTGACTGATGCGTTAATAGCGCCTATTCGCCGCAGTGCGCGCGCAACCATCTCGGCATGTCGGTCTCGTGTGAAGACATCTCGTGGGCAGGTAACACTATAATTCAGATTTCCAGCATCATGAAACACCGCACCACCACCAGAATGCCGTCGAACGTATAGCGTCGAGGTTGAATCATCGCTTTGTATTGATGATTCCTTCGCTAGAGCCCCGAGATTCGTCTCAAGCCAAGGATTCTGGTTCCGGCCAATCACCACACATGGCCGATTGACGTATAAAAACAAGATATCGGAGTCTTCTGGTGTATTTTGAAGAAGATATTGCTCAATTGAAAGGTTGACGAATGGATCCGAGGAGGACGACCGGTAGACCTGATGTTTCGATGAGCCACGGGTAATTATCTCCGCAAAGCTCGATAAGGGGAGTGTGGCTATAGGCCGACATTGACCAAAAGGGCGAAGGCTATGGAGGGCTATTCGGCGGTACCAAACGCATGACGGGCGCCGCACTGGAAGCATCGGGCATTGATCTGCAGGGCTGTGATAGCTTCATGTTGTTGTAAAACTAGTCGCTTGTTGATCGACTCGAAAGTCGGAACCTATGCTGCCTTGCACTAAGCCCCTTCTGGCTAAAGCGCCTCCCCGCAAACTCCGAAGTCGCCGATCGGCAGGGAACTTTTTTAGAGCGATGATTCATCGGTGTTTCAATCGAAATATTAATATTGGTGCTACTCGCCATTTGCTGCTTGACTGTTTTCGACTATTCAGTGTTCTCAGGAGAGTGTCTTGATTCCAACTACCCCGTCGAGAAAGAGTTCTCTGCCATCGCACGCACAATCTTCGCTAACCATGTCGACGTGGGGTGACTACTTCAGAGTCACGACGTGAGTTTGTCAAACCATTGCAACCCGCGACTTTTGACTGACTGCATGAAAATCAAGCTATGGCGAGTCGCACTGCCGCTCAGTCGGGTGCATTGTCGATGGCTGCCCTCCTGGCATGGCCTTGACAGAAGACGACATCCAACCGCAAATGACTCGACGGAGACCCGGCCAAAGCGCCCTCACTACCCCACGCAATGAGAAGGATAGGGTTGAAATCCAGTCAGGAACAGAATTTGGCTTTACTCTCGGTACACCAATTGCTTTAATTGTTCGCAATGAGGACCAAAGACCCAAAGACTACGGCGGTAGCACGATGGATCTGTACCCACGCCCTAGCCATGCCGATTTCACATACCTTGAGAAATACGGGGTTAAAGCCAGTAGCGGAGGAGGTCGCAGCAGCGCTCGCGAGACTATTGGTAAGACCCTTTAATTTCTATGTTCTGGTCTAAATGGGAGAACTAATATGAACGGGAATATACAGGACGCGTTGCTGCCGGCACCATTGCGGAGAAATATCTGAAACTCGCCCATAATATTGAAATTGTCGCATTCGTTTCATCTGTTGGCAATGAACACCTTTTCCCTCCTTCCCCTGAGCATCCTTGCTACTCGACAAATCCTGAATTCTTGAAACTGATTGAAACGATCTCTCGGGAGACGGTCGATGAGTTTGCTCCTGTCAGATGCCCCCACACAGAAGCTTCCGCGCGTATGACAAAAGTCATCGAGAAATTCCGTGACAATAAGGACAGCATTGGCGGCACCGTAATGTGTGTTATCCGAAATGTTCCAGTTGGTCTAGGGGAGCCCTGCTTTGATAAGCTGGAGGCAAAGCTGGGTCACGCAATGATGAGCATCCCAGCCACAAAAGGGTTTGAAGTTGGTTCTGGTTTTGGTGGTTGCGAGGTACCGGGTTCAATTCATAATGATCCATTCGTTGCATCTCCGGAAGTTCCTGAGAATGAAGCTGGTGCGGGAATCAACAACAAAAAAAGATTGACCACAAAAACAAACAATTCTGGAGGTATTCAGGGTGGTATTAGCAACGGAGCCGATATCTACTTCCGTATTGCTTTCAAGCCTCCAGCGACTATTGGCCAGGCACAAATGACAACGAAATATGATTTTGAAGAAGGCACCTTGGAAGCCAAGGGTCGTCATGACCCTTGCGTTGTACCCAGAGCTGTGCCAATTGTCGAGGCCATGTCTGCCCTTGTGGTTATGGATGCTCTGCTTGCACAAAAATCTCGCGAGGCTACGAGAAGTTTGCTTCCACCTTTACCCAAGTCGTTGCCGATAAGACCCGAGAACGCAAACGAATATTAACAGCGTATTTAGCCGCAATGATTGCATCAATGAGAACGGTTGCCTGACTCTGCGTCGTTGACATCTTGCAATTCTTGTTGATACTACGATAGACCTACTTGTGGTAGATAGACCTTCACTGATTAGTAAACTATTAAGAATTGATTTTGAAAGGATTGTAATAACGAGTTAAATGCCCCATATATATTACGAAATATTAATGATCCTCGAGATCCTCACTGAGCATATCACTAAACAATTGCAAAGGTAGTTAATTAGTGATTACTGATCGGTAATAACTCCTGAAAGCATAGCAATAGCAAGCTATGTCTCATAGGTATCATGAAGATCAAGGTGAAGATCAAGAAGCCCTATGGGTATAAGAGTAGATAACGACCAGGAGAAGAATGGATTCCTTCTCAAGAATATCTTCGAGCCAATATTCAATCACGAATTAACTCGCGATGTCTTCCTTCATCATTGACGGGCGTTTAACGCCCATCAACCCTTCTTCCTTGAACGATGTAACAAGTGAAGAACGATCCAGTGCCATCGATTTCGTCAACCGCCACAACTTCATATTCCAAGAGTTCAACCATGACAAGATGATCGCCACATTTTTACCAGATGCCGTCGTGTATCACAGCAAGGGCACAATCCACGGCCACGCAGAGTTCCGGGCATTTTTTGAGAACCTGTATGGTGCTTATATTCCTGGTATCTCCCGCAGCGCTACAAACCATATCGTTGATCGTGATGGAGATGGTGGCGTGGTGGTTAGGTATCAGCAGTATTTGATTCGGTATGGGTGGGCCGGAGACGATGCCAAGACTGTTGCTGGCAAGAATTTTGTGAGAGACGATGGCCTGCCATCGATATGGTGGTTCGCGCCCATTATTGACCGGCTAAGGATGACTGCCGACGGATGGAAGTTTTTTGAGCGATACCTTGGACCGTCGTTTACAAATCAGAGGCTTGATCCTCCGAAGGCGTCTAAGGTTTGAAGGAACATCTGAGGTATTCACCAACAATAAAAGTACTACCCCCCCCCCCCCGGAAAACGAGTTAAGGTTTCTCTCAGAGCCTCAGCAAGTCTATTTAAGCTACTGTGCCGACAGGTATCATTTGCATTCATGCACTATGTACAAAAGTTGGGGAAATCGTGCACCCTGGAACCTCGTTTCTAAACAGAGTTCCCAAGTAGGCAACAAATTATGTGCGCCTTCCCATGTCATCAACGCCATATCAAATGCTTGCACTAATTGCTTTGTAAATATCATAAACTGACGTTGTAATTCAATGCGGATAAAATTATGTCGTTAGAATCGCCTCCTCACCTCACTCTTCGTGCTTGGTATCTTCGACTAGTGTCTGCCCCAGTTGTTGTCGTTCCCATTGCTCGTGCAGCCCGACTACGAGTCATCCGTTGGGGACCGTCATCGAGACTAAGACCTTGTAATCCAGAGCCTAGTCCTTGGGTACGCAAGGGGGTGAAATCGTCGCTGCGGTCGCTGAATGGGTTCATGTTACGGATTGTCGTATTTATGTAAGATGTAGTAGTGGTAGTTTCGGCATCAGAATCGACAGCGGAAACTTCTGAAACATCTGAGCCATCATCTCGAATAGGGTCGTAACGCGTATCCTTGCGAGAAACCCCGTAATTCTGATTTTGAGTTTCATAACGAGAATACGGATGTATTGGGTAGAAGGATCGTTGCGAAGATGGTACAGTCGGTGTAGGCACCAGTCGGTTCAACAGCATCGGCTCTTCGTGGGCATGCAGTACCAAAGGTTGAGCCGAGGGTTGGGTTGCAAGCTGTGTTGCAGGCTGGGTTGGAGTCCCTGTCTGCGGTTCAACACTGTGCTTTAGCAGATGGCTTCGATGATAGATAGCAAGCAAGCCAAGCGATTCCTCCACAGCTAAAAGCGCTGACAATCCCTTAACACAGATTTCAAGATTTCCATCATGATTTAAAAGGCTGTCTTTTGAAAAGTGATAGCTCAAATAAACGCAGAGAAAAATAGCCCCAATAAACTTTATCAACGAATAAAGTACACTCCGGGCATGCAAGGTTGGCTTGTTCAAAGATGCCAAAAATCCGAATCCTGTAAACAAGATGTTAATTATCAGAGCAGCAATCAGCATGAAGTCACGCGGAATTTCAGTTAGCTCAAGCTTATCGATCATCCACATGACTGGACATATTGAGAGGGAACCAAATCGAATTGATGCGTATATGTATCTCCATCGAGAGTGCTTTGAAAGAATAACTCTCGGGGTTGACTTCAAAACTGCATTTTCATTCACGTCCTCTTCTGGCGATTTGATTGTGAAGGCCTGGTGGAATATATTTTCGAGTCCGGTCAAAGCAGTATAATCGGAGGGAGGAAAGAACTTCGGTGGGGCAAAATGAACATCGGACGTTGGTGAAGTAGTCCTAAAAGGGTCGTTTCTTGCAATATTCTCCGGGTCTGTTTCTGATTGATGGAATGGGTTTGGTTCAGGACCTTTCTCTACCGGTTTCTGAGTTATTGGGTTCCGAAGCTGCCACGCAGGGGGCCGCGGTGCCTGGGGAAGAGAGCCATAGAATGGCGACTTCTCTTCCCTAGGTGGCTGTACGTTTTGCTGAACGACATTAACAAACCTGGGGTGTATTTCCTGAGGTCGCGATGGTGTCCAGTCCATTGAATCTTCTATTCCCGGATCAGGTGCAATCAGCTGTGTCGTATTTTGACGGGGAGTCTCTCGCGGTGTGCCCAACTTTTCTATTGGAAAGCGATAGACCGGCTGCTGCGTGGTGAAACTTTTTGTTTGGCCGTTACGAACTTGTGGTTCTTGAGAAGCTGAAGACTCGGTGTTTGACCATTCTACCAGCGGCCGAATATCGTACTTAATAATTCGCCGTGATGCAATAGTTGTCTACAAATATTAGAAAACAGGCATCACAAGCCATCTGATTGCTTCAATACTCACCAGAATCATAAAAAAAATCATGAATGCATGAAGGGTCGGCGGCAGATTAGGTTCAAAGTTGTCTGTGTCTTTTAATAGAGCCCAGAGCCCGAATCGGGTGGCCATGACAATTAGCTGGCATTGGTAATACTGGTTAAGACCCAGAATTCGTCCATTGAAGCCTTCGACTTTGTAATGTAACCTTGGGTTCCACCAGATTGTAAGTAAACCAGGGATCAACCCAAAGCTGGCAAGGTCCTGCGAGGAACAACCGATCCAAGACAATATTCGGCTTCTATGCGACATGAAAGCCACAAGGAGAGGCGAGGGGGTTCGATGGATCACGGCATCACTACCCTCAAGCGCTCCCATAACGTTGGAAACCAATTGGACAACAATACTAATCCAATAACCCAAAAGGCCAGCTATATCAACAATATGTCTCCAATTTCTGTTGCGAGCTCTCCGTGAGGCTCGACTTCTCTTGCTGCGATCCATGATTCTTCTCAAGTGGTCGGCTTTCGCTTCGTACCCGGTTTCGCGAAGGCGCTCGTTGACCTTCTGCTCGCAATTTTCACACGCCTGAGGGTACCGCTCCTCCATATTCCTGCGATACCTGGGGTATTCCTTCTCAAAAGCTGGGTACCGAGGATCGTCTATATCCGGGAGGTAGGAGCCAAGGATATTTATGAGTATTTGCTGATTCCTAATACATTTGCTGCAGAAGAGTTCCGTTTGATCGAAAGCAGATAATTGCGACGATGATTGCGCTGCATTCATTGACACATCAGGGGCATCCGTCACGGATGTCGGGGGGTCCGTTATCTCTCCGTTCTAATGAAGACGTTAGTTGAAAATCATAGAGAACGTCCGGGTATAATTTTCGTACCTCATCCAAGTAGTTCACCGCCTCGCACTGATCGCATCGCCAGTTGCGTACGGTGGCCGACTTTTTCTCGCCAGAGCGCTGGCCACAGTAGAAGCAGCGCAGGCGCTTTTGGAAAAGTGAGGCCATCGCATACTCCGTATGTTGCAGGAAGAATATATGCAGTGTTGAGCGGGAGTTAAGAAAATGGATGCAGGTTAAACCCCGAGCGCACGTGCCACCGTAAACAGTTAAAACTCCAGCCTCCACATCATAAAGGCCACCTTCTCCCCCATTGTTGCTTTATTGACGACAATCACCAGCTGCCATTGTGCCCTATTGAGCGCCTTGAATAATCCTCATTGATCGCCCTCAATGCTGCGTCTCAAATGATCTAACCACAATCTCAGTAAGATGAAGTGAAACGAAAATAAGACTCTAGCCGGGCCCGACTCTGGAGCCACAACTGATCATCATGACAATCATTCCAGCGGCAGGCAACCCGCCATTGTTGCTTCTGTTTGCTACTATTCTGGCGACTCTTATTGTTCTCATTCTAATTCTATTCATGGTAAGGATGCCCTCCAATAGGCCCATCCACCACCTGGATCTAATTTGCATTATGCCATTAGTCTCTCCATTCTGTTCTTTCCTCTTCGCAACAATCTACTGTTCCCAAGATCCGCCGCAAAGGAGATCCCGCTCATTTGCTGGTTGTGCTTGGAAGTGGAGGGCATACAGCAGAAATGCTGTCCATGCTCCGTCGAATGCCGCTAGATCCTACTGTTTATACTTTCCGAACGTACGTCGTAACATCCGGGGACGGATTCAGCGCTTCGAAAGCCGTGGAATTTGAATCTAGTATCGAGTCTCAGTACAATTCTAAGACAAGAAGAAACAAGCCAATGAGTCTTGTTCGCGGGATAGGGGGGAACTTTTATGACGTTGTCACGGTGCCTCGAGCTCGTCGTGTCCACCAGTCATTCTTAACTGCACCACTATCCACGATACAATGCTTCTGGGCTTGCTTTCAGGTCCTCCGAGGCAGGTACCCTGATCAGCGATCACATTTACACGGTACTACATCCCCATATCCTGATTTGATTCTCACAAATGGCCCAGCTACTGCGGTTTGCGTGATATTAGGAGCCAAGGTTATTAGGTTTCTGGATGCACTATGTGCACGATTTACATCCCACTGGCCTTCTACATACAAATCGGGTGCCATCTACCCACTTCGCACTATATTCGTTGAATCCTGGGCTCGTGTAACCACGTTCAGCCTGTCTGGGAAAATTCTATTGCCTTTTGTAGATCGATTCCTAGTCCAATGGCCTAATCTTGAGGGTAAGCGTGCGTGGAAAGGAATGAAAGAAACACAGTTCGTGGGCACGCTCGTCGGGTGAGAAAAAGCCCTTGAGGATTGATATTGAATACCCCGCTTCTTGTACACGGCATTATGTCAGCTTAGCGTTTCAAATGTCAATCAATGCCATCGGCGCTTTAAAGCATTCTTCTTCCTCTTCTTCTTCTTCTTCGCTCTCAATTGTAGAAGCTAGTAATACCCCACGATGGGCTATTCTCTGAAAAATCGAAATGTCCTCATCATTGCAGGCTCCCGGTATGTACTGAACTATGTGAAGTGAATTGAATCACGGCACTCATTGTCTATCTCAGTGGCCTTGGAGCTGTGGTAGCAGAGAAGTTTGCAGCAGAAGGTGCCAATATAGCCATCAGTTATTTTTCCGACTTGGAACGCGCAAAAGAAATAGAAGCCAGCATCAAGTCGCAATATCAAGTCAAGACCGCCATCATCCAGGGGGTGCGTTACATCGCCAGCATGGGCCGCTCTACAAACAAACAGCTTACAATGTTGATTTTAGGATGCCGGAAAGCGAGATGAGTGTGTTAAAACCGTCAGGTTAGCCACTGAAGCTTTAGGTGGCCTTGATATTGTGGTGTCGAATGCCGTAAGTTTCTTTACTTAGTTGCTATCTTAGGCCTATCTCATGTTGCGAATCATATGTAATTGACAAAATTAGGGCTGGACAAAAGTTTCTGAGTTCGGTGACCTCTATGCGCTGGAAGATGAAGATTGGGATAGAGTAAGTTTCTTTCTCCCCTCTCCAAACTGAAAACAGTGCCTGAAACTGTAAAATAGTGTTGGGCAGTGAATGTCAAAAGCCATCTATATGCATTCCGGGAGGCCTTGCCAACATTCAACAATAACCCTGAGGGCGGCGTGTTCATTATCACTTCTTCTTTAGCTGTATGATTCCGTTTCAATAATTTTTCCAAACGAACCTTTAATTTACAAGCACCATTAGGGATTGGGTCCGGGCGGAAGCAGTATGGGGTATTCTGTCGCCAAATCGGCTAGTAAGTTGGGCAATAATTACTGTGGAATTTCTAGCAAGGTTGATATCCTGGTAGGCATACATTTGGCCAAGTGCCTTGCCAAATCTCAAGGGCCCAAGGTTCGCATCAATGCTGTTTGTCCTGGATTACTGCTCACTGAGTGGGTATGTACTTCATCCATTCTTGTTTGTATATTTAAAGTGGAATCTAACAGAGGCAACAGGCAGAGCGGTTTCCTCAGGAGGCCGTTGATAAATACATAAGCCAAGCAGTTCTCAAGAGACCAGTTCGTGATTTGTCCCAAACTATGTTTCAAAGACTCGCTAATAATACGGCCATCAAAGGTTGAAGTGGACGATACTGCAGATTTATACATTACCCTTGCGAAAAATACATCAATGACTGGTAAAGCACTAGCCATTGGTAAGTGTGCAACCGCCACTTCCTACTATGTATTAAAACCATTTGCTGATTAGACCGATAATAATGATAGACGCAGGCTACGATATTCATTGAAAGATTACAGCAGCATGATACACATCGATAATCGTGGTAGACTGAATAGAGTGAAAATATGATATCAATTTATATTAAAAATATCTAACCTTATGTAAGAGGATTATGGGATAAGCTAAACTCGGCATTCTCGAGGCATATAGCGTTTTGAGACAACATGCGGGCTTTAAGAGCAGCAGTGAAGCCGTCACTAATTTTCCCACCTTCAACTTTAACTTTGCGTAGACGCAGAAGATGGCCATCAGACGTGTAAACATAGAGAGACTTGACACTGCAAGATGGTTCATCTGAAAGACTTCCGCATACAAATGGCACTCCTGGTAGTAACGCAAGACGTCGGCTCTCTGAGATACGATCTGATGCCTCTTCAATATCCTCAAGAATGATTCTTTTGTGCTGAAAGATAGCGCTATTTCCATCCGGCGACCTCGAGAGCACGAGTGCCTTGTTCCATAAACGACCTAACACTCGCTGACGACGCCTGATATCACTCAGTGTCCAATTCTGCCAATCCACATGTCTATCTTCAGGAGTGATTTTGGACGCGTGGGCAAAGTCGCTACTACCTGTGGCGGCGCGCCACCCGGCATCTTTCAACGGGGACACATATACTTGATTCCGAATGCCTTTTACCAGCATTTCAGCACCTTCTGATGCAGCTATGCCCTCGAGTTCAGATACTGTACAGTTTTCAGGATTGGGTATTCGAAACCCTGGGGCGGGGGTTTGATCCAATATAACACCGTGATCGAAATGCTTGTGATGAAGCGTTTGTAGAGTTATACCAGTATGAGTTTTTCCCCTCAGAAGTGTGTGGTACAGAGGTGCCGGTCCTCGAAGACTATGTTTCAGTCAGTAGACTTAAATATGTCGTTTTCAAACGGGCTCACTCTGGCAGCAGCGAAGGATGGACGTTCAGTCCTCCATATTTCGCTGCATTCAGTAATCGAGACGGGACGAACAAGCCGAATGATACAGCAATGATCAAGTCAATCGGGGTATTTGGAAGCTGTTAAATATCGTCAGATTTAAGCCTCCAAGCATCGCGGTTTGCAAATCGTACTGTCCAACCAGTGAAGGTATCTATTTCGTGTATTCGAAGTCCCAACTTTGTTGCAGCATGTTTGATCGGCACTATGAATCGAAGGGAACAGTCAGTATCACGCAAGGCCCTTCGCTATCGCCACTTACCTTCACGAATCTCTTTCAATCCCCTGCCTACCCTTTTCCCAGGCCGACATACAACTTCAATAGATTCAATAGTTTGAGGCGCGCGGAGATGTTCCGCATGGAGCGCGTTTAATGAGGCAGCACTGAATTCATCTGATCCACAAAAGAGGATACGAAGAGGCTCTTTGGAGCTGGTCGAGCTCCAACGGTACCCAAACCTATTGAAGCAATTATATTGTAATTGACTCCGTGTAATGAGCAGACAAGGTATGCGATAGAAAGTCATGTCTGCCCAAGGCAGGTTGGTTAGAAAGTGCAGCGGCGCAGGAAGCTTGCTTTCGTTTAGCGCCAACCCTCCCGTTCCCATGAAGTCATAGTGCTCCGCGGTCCGCATGGGCTAAATAAGCTTCACATTTCACGATTTGCGCCCCTTAACACAACACATTGTCACGCAAGCAATAACATGCCGAATCCCTTATCCGACTGTGTCTGATGGGCTGCCTACAATAGCTATGCAATGACTGAAAGCGAGCCCGTTTCTGTGATCCCCGCTCAGCTTGCGTTCTTGACCATCTATAACCCCTCACTGGGCAAGACAGACGAGACGATTAGTGAACAAATTGTTTTTTATTCATCTCAAACTACACGCTCACGTTCGAATGCAAATACCCCTGCCGACGATCCAGCGCCAAGTGAATCTAAGGGCGATACAAATGAGAGATTGCGCCAGGTTGGCCTGGCGCAGGGTATAGTAAATTTTGCAAAGTGAGCTTCACGCCTAGCATTCGCCTAACAGTGAATTGTTAATGTGATTCAGAAACTTCTCGGGCGGATACGCAGTCGACAACATTGAAACTGAAAAGTCAAGGGTTGTCCTCGATGAACTGGAAAAAGACTGGTGGATTCTAGCAGTGGGTGAACAACAGCAATAATTCGGAGCATGGAGTCTGATCAAATCAAACAGTCTATAGATCTCACACGCCTTCCTTCGGCGGGTGGAAACAATACTACATCAGAACCCCCTACATCTCGAATTGAGTACTCATTGCGAGAGGTATATCCTCCTCAAACGATAGTTCAGCAACTACGGCGGGCACACTCGATATTTCTCCTACACCATGATATCTCTTTGGATCGTCTTTACAATCGACTAGGGAGGCCATCTTTCTGCAGGATTCTCAACCGTTTCTGGAGCAGATTTATAAGAACTTGGATTGTGCTGCTCAATGGAAATCCTGCAGTGGATATATTTAATGGCACCAAGCTGGCTCTAGGCGGTGAACTCGGAATCGGCGTCGGAGAGGAAGAATGGGGTAGCGGCGAACGAGAGGTGCTTGAGGACTTTGTGTCTCGTACAAGTGGCCTCGTGGACCTGGTTGTCTCCCGGTTCGGTGATGAATCGCCGAAGGGGAATAACTCTAACTCCGACATTCAGCCCTGGCTGGGAACACAACAGGCTCCACGGCCATCGGATGGTGTTATATTCTCGGGTGTAGGCTCTATTTCGCGGAAATCCTTAGCACGGGTATCACAGTGGATGGAATGGATATATAAATATGATGGAGCCGCATACGGAGTTGATGAAAATCCCAACTCAGTCCGTAGGACCAAGCAAAGGAAAGCTAAAATCCAACCGGCTACTACTGAGAGTCCTTCTCGATCACCTCATCCAAAGAAAACAAAAACAAAACCTCAAACACAAGGCGACACGGCTTCTCCGGGGATTCCACCGCCCCTGGTGGTGGCCTCGTCACCGCCTAAATCAACAGCGCCGAAAGATGGTCAAGAAACAGACGATAGCATGTTTGGCAGCGAAGCTCTAATGAAATATCTTACTTTGGGGTACGGTTCAGCATGGAAATTTCCAAACTTGTCAACCCATGACGCGGCCGAGACAAAATCAATAGGAGAAACCACCAAACACGCAGCACACGGGTATGTTTACCTATGTAGATTTCAAGACTTGGCCTAATCAGGATATAGAGATAGTCAAAGCGATGAAGACTCTGGAAAGTTTGTTATTGGCTTTAAGGACGACTTAGAAGAGGAAATATCAGACGAGGATAGTGCTGAAGGCACTACCTCTCGAGTGATCTATGAACAAGGAGAAGCTAGCAATAGTCGTACTTTGCTAAGGACGCTACAAGTAGAAACTGTTGAATTAGCTTCATCTGGAAACAACGATGGTAAGTCTCGATAATTGACAAAAAGGTGATGATTCAATCTAACCGTCGATAAGAACAATCCCCAACGGCATCTTACAAGAAGCTCCAGGTCTTGGTTTATGTGGTATGGTTAGACCGTCTGTATACGCTCGTATGTCCTTTTTGTGCTGAACTCATCTAGCATCGACCATTTATGTTCACGTTCTTATTTGACCTGCGAACACCATCCCTTTCTTTGCCGTCGTTCTACCGCAGCATTCACCACCAACTTGGTCCTTTACAAAAACCACTTCTCTCATCAACGTCGCCACAAAACGTTTATCGACGAATACAATTCGCTGACTTTGACATAAGCCAAGAGAAACGAGCTTCGATGGTCGATAATCCCATCTACGATCTCATATACGACCCTAGTAACTTGACCGTACGATCATCCATTCCGAACATCCCGGAGCTTGGTGTTAGTTCGCCGAATTACATGTCTCCATTTTCAACTCCCGAGGGACATGATAAATGGTCTCGTATCGAAGCTCTCAATGTACATCACCAGTTCCTGAGTACATATCTAGATACCCGTTCGCGGCCATTGGAGATGGAACGAACATGTAAAACCAGTCGCGGCTGGTGGCTTGTCTGGGTACGAATTCACGAGCCTGAACCAAATAAACAATCTAGCCCTCCCAAGGAAGCGATTTTGATACGGAAAGCGTCCGATCCCTCTGCTGTCAGCACTCGGCAGTCTCGCGGTGGAAGCGGAGTCAGGTTCTTGCGAGATCTCAGTGGAGCGACTATGTCGAATTCCATGGGGGCTGCTAGCAACACATCACCAAGCAAATTAGCCGAAGGGCTGGGTCTAGATGCTCACAAGTATATTGAAAGTCTATTGAGTTTGAATAAGTGACGGGGTAGCTGATGGGCTTCATTGGATTAGATTGGGATGTATATATATGCGCAAGTTATTCGGTTATCACCTACTAGAAGACAATATCAATTCATGTACATAGGTAATACAGGGGCTCTACTATGTTTACTTTACTGTTGCGGATGGAGAGCTCACAGCAAGACAGCGATGTCAATCTAAAGTCAAAAGGTTGCTCATGATGAATATGTAGATATATCTGTAACTGAACCGAGAGATACATGTATTCAAGAGATGTAACCATAGGCCAAAGTTTTTCTCGCTTCGCTACACTGTATCTCTGGGCAGCTAAGTGCAACAGAAATAGCAGTGCACTTAAGTGGCTGACACAGCTAGAGTTGGCCGCATCCCTCATTACTTCTCTCATCTCCAGTCTCCTACGTTGGCAGTACTATCCTATTTCGAGGTTCCGGAAATACAGGACGAGAGCCTGAAAGCAACCGTTGTCTAGAAACCGGTAATATCTCTGGCATGCATTCCCACTTGTATGTTGGCATCCACTGCGAAAGAAGCGAAGAGGAAAGACTGGGAAGAGAACGCCATCCTGAAATTCTGCAAACACTTCAAGAGATGAACATAGGAAACAAGCGGAATTATAAAAAAGGTGGACTGCAAAAAACAACACATAAAAGGAAACATAAAGATTAAAAAACTTGGACCAATGACCACTCAAATAATCCCATGGGCATATGCGCCCAGTTATCCGAACTATCCACATAAACCCCAGGGAGGTACATGGTCACATGATTGTAAGCACGACAGTCGACAGCGAAAGGTCACTTTAGCTAAGGCAGCCATAATCGCTTGGCGTTGTCGCCGAAAACCTCAAACATGACACGGCTAGATTACAGGATAAGGCACTTTTTCTTGTTTTGGTGGTGAGCCTTGGTCAAGAGAGCTGCGCGGGTGGCAGTCTCGAAAACTTCGCGGACGCCTTGGCCGGTACGGGCGGAGCACTCTAAGTACTTGTAGGCACCAATCTTCTTGCGAACTTCCTCGCCCTAGAGTGGACCATGTTAATAATAGGGAGCTGATGGTGGCATTGGGCCTTGTTGAACGCACCTGTTCATAAGTAACGGGCCGCTGGGAAGTCTTGTTCAATTCATCAATCGTCTTCTGATCATCACGCAAATCGACCTTGCATCCAACCAAGATAATAGGAAGGCCTTGGCAGAAGTGAAGAACCTCGGAGATCCACTGCAGCATCATGCGAAATTAGTGAAATGACCTTATCATTATACGACCGGTGAGTAGACAAGGGTGGTGTTTTAAGCGAGAAAGTGCAAATAATAACGAACCTTCTCCTGAACGTTGTCCAAAGAGTCTGGGGAATCGACAGCAAAGCAAATTAAGATGACGTGTGAGTCAGGGTACGACAAAGGTCGGAGACGGTCGTAATCTTCTTGACCAGCCGTATCCCAAAGAGCCAGTTCGACGCGTTTGTTATCAACCTCGACATCGGCAACATAGTTCTCGAAGACGGTAGGGACATAGACCTGTAGAGTTAATGTTAGCATATGCAAGGTGGCTTTGAAGCCGGTCGCGTGCACGATGAACAGAAGACTGGCACGTGGCGTCGGTGACCGGCGAGGCAGAAAGGAGGATTTTTATGGCTGACCTCTGGGAAAGTTCCCTTGGAGAAGACACTGGCAAGGTGAAAATGATTAGTATTTCGACAACACACGCTTTGGGGCCGTGGAGATTGGCGGGTAGTTTGAAGGAGGATGCTAGGACTCACATCAGGAGACAAGTCTTACCGCAGGCACCATCACCCACGATAACGAGCTTGCGACGGATTTCGGCCATCTTGACTGTTCGCAAAGTAGACAAGTCAGTATATTATTTGAACGAAATACAAAGAGTCCGCTGTTCACAAGACTAGGTGGACAGGGTGGGTGTGTTGTTAATGGGCAGATTTCCAGGCTGTTGACGTGTGATGGACAACGGACAGCTGCAACGACAATGGGGGTTGGCAAAGAAGAGGGCCACCTACAGTCGAGGAACGAGCTCGCAAATGCAAAAATCAATCAAAAAGCTAGTTATTAAGAGAGTCGGAGGGCGATGGAAAGCAGAATGAAGAGTGAAAAGAGATACGGACTACTTTTCAGGATGGAATGATGGATTCAGGTCTCAGCGAGGATGGAGACTGGGAGTGGTTATGGGGGTTACTAGTTAGGCGGTGGTCCAGGAGGCTTACTAGCTACCCGCCCAGGAAGCCTGCCTGCTAAGGCTCCAAGGCTCCCTCTCTTCCGGGTCGGTTGCACAGCAAAAGCCGTTTCGCATGTGCGTCACCAATACGGGACAGGACCGTGACCGCCGCCCGTGAGTCTAGAACCCACTATTGTGGACTATCTGCCAATAAATGGCCTGCAGAATGATCGTCTCAGCACTGCCGTCACAGCTGAAACAGGTACCGGTATTGTAGTATTTTTCGGTGGCTGAGCTCGACTACGGTATGTTTATGTACGTGTGGCTTGCCCCCGAGCATTCACGATTCTGTATGGACACGGCCCCCTTCTCGCACGCCAGCCGTGGCTTAGCAGTGCTGCCAGAGCCAATGAGAGCTGTCGAGAGGACGCAGCCACACCGGGTGTTGACAAGCTAGGTTAGTGCGGCTTGCCTCCTGAGATATCTGTGATTCTATCTGTAAACAGTCATACACACATAATACATTATTGTGTATCCAGCTAAGACATTTCAGATAGGGAAAAAAAAAAGAAAGAAAAGACAAAGAGAAGGGGGAAAAGAAAAAAGAAAATACATACGGAGTACATAAGCCAGCTAAACGGCCATCAGCATTACTATTGGGCGGGTCTCCGGTCCCACTGCTGGCGTACGTACTACGACTATTACTATTGCTACAGCGGGACGCCAACGCCAGGACCAGGTGTCAAGGCTACTTTTGCCTGGAGGCTTAGATTCATATGTCGACGTCACGGTTGATCTGCTTGTTGTTATCTGTTCAAGGGGCTGGTTAATATTGTTGGTTTAGGCTATGGATTGGAGGCCAGGAGCAAGAACAATCGCGATCACAGTGCTTTGGGACTGGGACATATACAACTATCACGCAACAAGCCGTGGCGGTGCAACAGCAGAATCAAGAAGCCTCCTATGTTATTGTCATGTTACGATTGGTGCCATCGCTCAGATAATAACTGTATTACTGATAAAATCATAGGTCATGCAACGCCAGTATCAAATAGTCTCGATTGATCGTCCACGCATCGTATCGACGCAGTTGTAAACTAGGAAATAGGACGCCTTGTTATTGCATACGGAATCCAAGCCGAAATTCAACGGCAGTCCTTACCAATGCGTAATACTACTAGCAAAACCACGGTGATAAGGAACAGTAGTCTTAGAAAGTTATACGCATAAGAATAATCAATAAATCGGCGCATGTAATTGTAATGCCGCCGATCACGTGATACGACTTCAGTAGCGCCGGTCAATTTTCTGGCGATGCCGAGCAGTCAGGTACAGCGACGAGCAACAACGACCACTCAGGACACTTGAGTTCCCTCCAAGGAAAATGCAGAGGGTCATACGCCGTACTGTTTTGGCAAAGAATCAAGCTAAGCGGAAGGCAACTATCCTCGAAAAAAATAAACGACGCGAAGATGTCAAAACCCTGATTCAGCATCAAACGCAAGGCCAGAATGCAAGGAACAAAAGAGAGAAAAATGCTAGGCTCAACCGACGAGAAGACTGGCTGAGAGGCCCTCTAGCACCGAAGCGTGATTCGGGGCTAGAAGAGGGATATTACGGGTCACTAGACTCAGCCGATGTGCAATTTGCAGTCATCCCTGAGCACCTACGAAGACGCTATATCAACATTGCAAAAGGAGATCGTGTATGTCTCCTTAAAGGGCCAGATCAAGGAAAGATCTGTGAAGTTTCAGCTGTCGACCTTACCACGGAAACCATTCAGCTCAGAAATAACAATTTGGTATAAATGTCTTCCCCCCTCCCAGTGTTTCAATATGAGGTTAACATGGATTACTTATCAGGCTCATGTTTACATACCGGACTGGGCTAAAAAAGCATCCCAAGTGGAGAACAACTTCACAACTATGGAGCTATCCCTCCCTATCGATGATGTTCGCCTCGTCGTTACGTTAGAAGAAGATGGCGTCCCCTACGAAGCGATTGCCGAGCACGTGTACGGAGGTGCGCCATTCCTGGAGCAAACTAATGAGGACACTCCAAAACACACCAGGTATATTGCGGGAGAGGATATACCCATTCCGTGGCCACGCGAGCATGTTGTCGATAATAAGTTCAAAGACACAGAAGCAGACAGTCTTCGTCGTGAGGTTGAACACGAAACGTGGGAGCCGACACTTAAATACGCTCCCTTTGAAAGCAGCATTATGGACGAACTCAGGAACAAGTACTCGAAATACCGAAAACGTCACGACCCAGAATGGGTTTCAGAAAAGGAAATGGAGGATCTTCAACAGGAATACCTCCAGTCTAGGACATTGCTGACTCCTCAAGGCGAGCTCAAGCTCCATCGTGCCGCCCAGAAGGCCGAAGCAAGAAAGGCAAAACTAGACAAGCACGGGAACTACATAATGAGCCAGGAAACCACCTCTTTCATTGCCAATTTCATCAATGGAAATTCGGAAACAAGATCGGCCATGGATCTCGCCAGGCGCAAAGCCCTCAAGCAAGTCATAGGATAGTTCTCACTTTCTATCAAAGCGTGTATTATAGATAAATTGTATTTCACTTTACAAAATATAATCAAGTTCATTACCTACCCTCTTCCCGTAATGAAAGCCGTGGTTTAGACTGGTTTGCGTATCTTTGTTTGAGCGGCAGCGTCCCCGTCATTGATATTAAATTCAATGATTTCCGGCCGCCAAGGGGAAAGATTTACAACCTAACAACGCGCCGCGAACGAGTTCACCTTTCCCATCACTTCTACAATAATCGGCAATAAGTCAAAGGCCACTTCTACGAGGCGTGTATCATAATGGCCTTTGCTGCCATTAACTCCTCAAATGGCCCATCGGCCTTCTCGGTCGTGGACACAACGACTCCCCAGCCCGCAACGGCGGTAAATTACGCGGTCATTGACAATGCCTTTGCAGCTGATCTATCATTAAAAAAACGTGTCTACGATGCGATCAGTAAGTTTCCCAGAGTCCCTCGGTATTATTCAACCTCTGTCTAATTTTCATGGCTTAGATGTATCTCCCGAGCATGGAGCGCTCTTTCAAGATATCGCGCAATACACATCAGCACTGCAATCGCGCCTACAGAGTCAGAACAGTAATTCAACTCAACAACTAGAAGCGGACCAACCGCTCGCGAAGAAACGAAAATTGGAGAACGGGAAACCTGGGACGAGCGTCGATGCAAAAGATGCTCCGCTGCAGTTTTATGTTCAAGATATATCCTTTGCGGCTCCTCAACGTAAAAAATTGACGCTGGAGATGACAGCTGCAGGCGGCTACCTCCGCGCCAGGAATCAAACTTCTCAGAGCATTGAATTCGGCATTCCAATACAAGATATACGTGAGTAAAATAATTGGAAATTCGGTAGTAAACCATTGCTAATGACAATCACCATGAGCAGAACACGTTCTTTGTCTTCCCGTTCCCGAAAAAGCTCAGCGTCAATTCAACTTTTGTGTTATACCTAAGTACGGCGATGGTGTCACACCAGTACCTGACGGTCAGTCGGTTCTGGAATCGATGGTGTGGACGGTTTCCGACGGGCCACCTAAGGCGGCATTCACAGGGAATGGGCAGCGTGTTGCAGGAGACGAGCCCGGAGAAGCTCTAATAAGGCGTATGCTTGATGGTATTCTTGGACAAACCAAAGTCATTCGACCAACCGAGCGAGAGTTTGTGAGTGCCACGCCTGAGGCACATCGTAAGGGCGAGAAAGCATATCATGTGAAAGCCCACAAGGGCAGCAAAGATGGTGCGTCATTTTGTCTACCATTTACTTTGTTTTTTACTAGATTCTGTGGCAGCTAACAATACGCCTAGGCTATTTGTTCTTTCTGTCTAGTGGTATTCTGTTCGGATTCAAGAAACCCCTCTTGTTCTTTTCGTTCGAAAACATCGAATCGATCTCGTATACTTCTGTTCTTCAACGAACATTCAACCTCAACATCACCACCCGTGCCGATTCTACACAGGAACCTCAAGAGATCGAGTTTTCGATGATTGATCAGGCGGATTTCGCCGGTATCGATGAGTACATTAAGCGACATGGGCTACAAGACGCAAGCTTAGCAGAGGCTAGAAGGGCCAAGAAATACAATGTCAATCTTCTGAAAGGCGAAGAGGAAGCTGCCGCTGGTGAAGTGGAGGAAAGTGAGCTTCAGAAGGCTGAGCGCGAACTGGAAGATCAAGAAGATGAAGAGGAAGAAGACTACGATCCAGGCAGCGATGCTGACAGCGATGGTAGCGGATCTAGCAGTGAGGAAGAAGATGGCGATGATGACGAAGACGGTGGTGGAGAGGATGAGGAAGGCGCAGATGACGCTGAAGACTTGGTTAAGAACGAGCTCGGCAGTGAAGCTGAAGATGTATCTGCAGATGAGCTGTAGCGGTTTTGTAGTTGATAGATTCGTTGTCGACTATGGACGAATTGCATTTGCCTGCACTTACATGTATCTGCTGAACATCAATATGTAGCACTACAATCGCACAATGTACATCCACATGTGCTGATACCATATAAGACTACATATGTAGGTGATATTACTAGGTACTATGATGGCACGTGGACCATGAAGTCACGATTACGAGCCAATCGGCTTGTATTTGTTCAGAAACTATGGTCGATGATCAGTTAGCGGAACAAACTAACTCGTTGTTGAGGACAAGAACAGGCTGAGGGCCTATCAAGTACTATTAACTGCCCAGGTCTCGGGGGATTGGAGGATCGGCCCTTTCGTCCATCGCACCGCCAGATACGCTCGGAGTACGGCATGCCGTGATACTTCTTGCAAGTAAGCAGGATTATTTTAGAGCTAAATATTATTGCTCTTGTTGCTTGATACTTGTATAACCTCTCGCAGCATCTGGCTATAGCCATAACGACGAAGTGGCACACTTGTGTTTACCAGTTCGACTTTGCATCGTGCCACGCCGTTTGGAAGGATTAGCCTGGATCTTCAGCAGCCAACGCCAGGGGGCAGTGAAAGCTAACGGAGAGCAGTCTAGCGTGGCATTTGGTCGTATCATATCATTACTCGAACAATTTCTCCGGTACGTATAATCCAGGCAGTTCTGTCTGCGAGCTGTCTGTTTTGGCAGCATTCCAAGAGACTCACTCGTAACAACCGAGTTCATCTCCACCCCCCCCCCCCCCCAGGAGCCAAAGTCCAGGCCAGCGGCCCTCCACTGTGGGAGGATGGTAGCGCCCCGTAAAGGCTCGTAACGTATCCATTTTTCAAGGCGATACTCGAAGTGCCATTGGTACTGCTAGCGGCCGGCCGGACAAAGCAGGCTGGGAGACTCGAGGAACGGTCGAAATCCCCTGGGGGGAATTATTGCCACCCCGTATGGGGTTCCCGGTAGCAATAGGACGTACCTAGCAATAATTAAAAATAAAAATGGTGATGTGCGATGCATTATCTGGCGACGACAGTTATTGTGGGCGGTGCGTGATAGAGTGAGTGGTGTGTTAGTGCTAAGCAGCCCTTCTACCCGCCAGCCTAACGCAGGTCAGCCCCTTCCACAGGCAAAGCCTCACTGATAGCACTAAGTAACTACTGCCACGGCCACTGCCGCTAATCACGACCGCACGACTGGCTGCTCTCACCTCCTCATCCTGTCTTCTCTCTCTGCTCTCCTCGACTATCCCCGTCCCCGTCCCCTTCCCCTTCCCCTTCCTTCTCCTTTGCTGTCCTCCAGCTACTCTCCACCGCCCATCCCAGAGCGGTCATCCGTCTACCGCGCAGCTGGTCAGCCCAGCCTGCTCTCATCAGGATCCCGTTTCCTCAGCCAATCCACCCCCCTAAACCAGCTCACCCACCTCTCACGCGTGTCCTCCCGGCCCAGCAAACACGACACCACCTTTCGACCAGCTTTTCCCCGTCCAATCCTCTCAGCCGCCCAATCAGGGGGCTCACGAAAAGTATTTTCTTGGGTCGAATTCAATTGCCATCCGTCACCTGAGGTCTTGCTCGATGGGAGACGGTGTGCTGCCGCAATCGAACTAGGCACGCTGTCACAGGTATGTTGGCAGGCACAGCGGCGTCAGCCGGTCGGATTGGATCCGCTATGGTTGACCAACCGATTTAATATTCGATATTCAATACCCAATGCTGACTCTTTGTCAAACAGATATAGAATAACTCGCTTCGCCCTTAGCCCATTCGTCAGCCCCATCGTGTTGCATTGAACATTTTTCGCCATGGCATCCTCCTCATCCAACGTTGTCGGAGTCCACTATCGAGTCGGCAAGAAAATTGGTGAGGGCTCTTTTGGTGTGATTTTCGAGGGTACAAATCTTTTGAACAGCCAACAAGTCGCTATCAAGTTTGTACGTGTGCTGCTTGCCGATCCCGATGGTGATCACGTTAACCGAGTATTAGGAACCGCGGAAGAGCGATGCTCCTCAGCTTCGTGATGAATACCGTACTTATAAGATCTTGGTCGGATGCCGTAAGTAGGGTGTTCGTTTACGTTTGTTCATCACTGATTGTGTTCTTAGCCGGAATTCCAAACGTCTACTACTTTGGTCAGGAAGGTCTCCACAACATCCTGGTGATCGATCTCCTTGGGCCCAGTCTCGAGGATCTTTTCGATCACTGCAACCGTCGCTTCTCAATCAAGACTGTTGTCATGGTGGCAAAACAGATGGTAAGTTGGTATATCCTCGTCCATCGAATTTGTGCTCACTTCATTAGCTTTCCCGTGTCCAAACGATCCACGAGAAGAATTTGATCTATCGGGACATCAAACCAGACAATTTCCTGATCGGCCGACCGGGCAGCAAGGCCGCCAATGTCATTCATGTCGTGGATTTCGGTATGGCCAAGCAGTATCGCGACCCCAAAACCAAACAGCACATCCCGTACCGTGAGAGGAAGTCCCTGTCTGGTACTGCTCGTTACATGAGTATCAATACTCACCTTGGACGTGAGCAATCGCGAAGAGACGACTTGGAAGCTTTGGGCCACGTCTTCTTGTACTTCCTCCGGGGTGGCCTTCCATGGCAAGGACTCAAGGCTGCTACCAATAAACAAAAGTATGAAAAAATTGGCGAGAAGAAGCAAACTACAGCAATCAAGGACCTCTGCGATGGCTATCCAGGTAAGAACCTCTCTAGTTGGCTTCCCCTAAGGAAATACTAAATATCACTTTCTAGAGGAATTTAACAAGTACCTCTCGTACGTGCGAAACCTTGGTTTCGAAGATACGCCAGACTACGACTACCTTAGAGATCTCTTCACCCAAGCCTTGAAAAACACAGGCGAAGTAGAGGACGGAGAGTATGACTGGATGAAACTGAACAATGGGAGAGGCTGGGAATACAAATCATACTCGTCGCAACACTATGGACATGCTAGCAACCAAGTACAAAACTCATCATCCCGCGATATTCACGGTACACCTGCACGTCAGAGCGGAAGACCCGGCATCACGGCCGACCGTTTAAACGCCGCGCAGCCCCCTCCACCGTCTCCAGGAAGACCCGGAGTCGGGAAGTCGCGCGATCGACCAAACGCCTCCGGCGTTCCTCAAGGAAAACGTCAAGGCGGGCCGACAGGGGGGCTTGAGAGTGGCACGCCCGCAGCGTCCACACAGGCTCAATTCCAAAACTCGAATGCTAATCTTCCAGGCCGTCTAGCTAGCCCGAACAACCAAACAGTCCCGAACACGCAACAACTGTCGGGTCTGCAGGGAGCCAATGAGCCGGAGCCCACCTTCTTCCAGAAAGCTGTCAGAGCACTGTGCTGCGGTACGGGTCGGAAGTCTTGAAACCATCAGCCATCATGCTAATCATATCGACTATAGGTTGAGAGATTAGCTACTGGTTCTCGTCTTCTGTCACCGTGGGGTTTACGTTGTTAAGCCCCAGTGTTCGACCATGCGTTCCAAAGACGTATTCCCACCCGTTGTCTTGGTTTCGTTGGTCTTTCATAATCGTTATCCTATCAAATTTTGCACGGGAATACTCGCTTTACGACGGCACGGCCATGATGGAATTTTGCAGCCACTTTTCTGTTATTGATTTCCCATCCTCTCAGTCGGATCATAACTTGCACATGGTACTGAAAATCATTCGCATGCTGTATAAGGAGTACATCAAGATCGTATACACAAACAATCATCGCCGTCTTGACTTTTCTTACCATCATTTTGTCAAGCTGCAGCATAAGCGTTTCTTTTTCTTTTTTCCCCTCTATCGATTGCCTACTGCCTGCTTTATATCACTCATTTGTGGCGCTATACATTCTGGAACGGCGAACGTTGGAGCGTATTTCTAGTTTTAATTTCCTTCTTTTCCGATCCTCTTTTTCCTTTACCACCATCAATTATCTAATGCTGGAATATGCAAGTCGAGTGGAAGTGAAGAAGATTACAAGCACATGCCGAACATCAACTGTGTTTAAATATGTATCAACACAGTGCCCAATCCCGTCCAAGTGATGAGGTTGAGATAAGGCAAAAAGTGAAGGGCGGTGGGTAAAGGCGAGAATGGGGACGGTCAGAGCTTATTGCAATCTTTTCTTTTTCGTTTAGAAGGACGGTGTGTCTATTTATCACGAAACTGTTGTTTCAATAGGATAGTTAATAAAAGAGGTTTAATGTTGGTCAACATATCAAACTGGGCGTCAAGTGATATCATATTATTTGAAATTCCTAACCCCGTACTCCAATTGGTAACATTACAAGAAGCTTCAAATGTTATTCATCAATTGATGTTAATTATGATGTATGTTAATCGATATCATGGGAACAATAATAAGACTTACTCATGGTCTTCTTGGGCAAGTTATAACATGAAATATAGACGGCATCTTTTCTAATAAAGGTTATATATAGGTGGCTCCGGTCATCATGGGAGTACGTCAGCCTGTCGAATCGCCCAATATTTGCTACATGTACATACATATTCATCTCATCCTCTGTTAATTTGAATATGGAAGATGTATGGTGCTTGGTTATATATAAATACTACACAAAACCCAATTAACAGTAGATATTACAGCATATTCAGATAAAGAACAATGATGGGGAGATCAAAGTAGCTAGAAGAAAGAAAAATTTTATCCACAACTAATATACTAGTTTACAGCTTAAACTGCATTAATTGCTTTGCACCTAACAAATATCGATGTCAAACGTTTCAATGTTATTAATATAGCACTCACTTTGGATGAACAGTTATATATTCAATGTTTTATTTGGGTGAAGTAATATTTTAATGCTACAGAAAACAGAATGTCCAAGTCTACCAACATAATACTGTAGAGGTCTAAGTGCCTTGACACGCTATAGAGTACATGTATTTATGAATGGCCGCTCACCAACTTCAGTGGTATTCACATGTATCAGAATGGTCTGTCTATTATCCGTCAAGCCTGGAAATAGAAGACAGCAGCCCACATGGCCATGCTGTTTGATATAATCGATAACCTATACGGTAGCACAATGATTGTGCAATTACCTTGCATATATGATTTAATTGCAGTCTATCGTTTAGCAGAGTCGGAGTCTAGTATGACATAAAATCTCGCACACAGTGCAGACTGCGATATTTGCTTATAGGAGATTCAATAATACGCCCCATAGATTATTATGCGTACCATGAATAGCAGCAATATACCCTAGTTGATATCACAAATAATTGACATGTCAACTGATAAGATCTTCATGTCTATCTTATATGTGACGTATCAGCGCTACCCAAGAATAAAATAATTCCTTGCCCATAATACCTGTAACCCCGTCTTATAGTGGCATCTGCATGTGACAGCTCCAAAATCACACAGAACACTATTGTTCTGCAGGTTTCTCAATATTGAATCATGCATAAAACCTTCCATTGACATATATGCAACAGGTGGTAGCAGAATGCCAGGAAATAAATATCACTTTATGCACCGGAAAAATTGGAAGACACATAACAAACAATCCCAGCGAATAAGCTCCTGTGGCTGCATATGCACCGAACCGGAATGGGCAGGCAATTGTACTAATTTGATCCTCTTGACATGATTCCTAATGAAGACACGCAGACGAACAGAATACAGTGTACGTTGCAGTCAATTCACGAGCTTCTGTCATTTGGAATGGGGCTAGAAGGATTTCAGGTCAATAATTACGTCGTCCATTTTCATGTCTAGTTATAAAATTGGGTATGTGGCATTATTACGTCGTGTTGCACGACAGGAATGGGGCAATCAAGTCACAACAGGATTTCTAGACCCTAAAATCCAGGATCCATCAACCTTGCAAGCTCCATTTTATTATATTACTGGGAAAGAAAGCAAACCCCCCCCCCCCCATGCTTAAATGCTAGAGCTTTGCCGAGACGTTCCAGATGATCGGTCTTTGACTCTTTGGATTCTTTAACCATCAAATCCTATGTTACCGTTAGTCGACAAGGACCTGAATCCTTCCCTAGCATGGTTCAATGGGATCTGCTTAGATGATCGACTGTGCAGAATAGCCAAGTGGAGAGAGCTTGTTTTGATTCTGTGAGGCAGAGACTCGTACGACATTAGAATAGGGACTCATACGAATATGAGTATTAGAATGTTGACTGATTTGCGTTACGCTGGCAAGCGATTCGAAAATATATTGCACAGCATAGCAACAATCGAGATGCACCGTTTAAATTTACGTGATCAATTACAATAACAGGTGGTAGAAGAAGACGGACGGAATATTCTAAGGTCAAAAGATGGAAAGTTTAACATGATCTTTTTCGAGATGAAGGAAAATAACGACTAATTAAATATAGAAATTCATCCCACCCCATTTCAGGATCTGGAGTAACCATACCAGTTGGCCCTTAGTTGACGGAAAATGAGAGAAAAAAAGGTACCCGTCTACAAAAATAAACAACGTACCAAAAATTGGAAAGCGCTTGTTCAAGTCCTACGTTACTTTGGGGCTTTGGCTTGGAGACTGGTTTGGCCCCCATTCCAAACTTTTCGATCGTTAATCGTAGGGCTTACCGGGAATCCTTCCGCGAAATCTGCTTGCTCCCTACGGAGTACTCCGATTTGAGAAATTTAACTTCCGAAAGAGTACGCAGGGCACTGAACATTTTTCTCCTTTGTTAAGTAGTAGGCTAGACTTGCTATAGCCTGGTGATTTTCCATGTATGTTGCCTATGGCCGGTTGGATTGCGTTCCGCGTTCCGATGCTGAATGCATAGCCTAGACCATGGCATAAAATAATATTAAAATGGCTATGTGAGACGTGAAGAATTACCATTGCGTGCCCAAGGTTGGCAGGACGTCTCGTGGACTCCGCCCCCGGGTTTGCATCCCTCACTCATGCTACTCATGCTAATATCGGGGGGGGCTCTAAAATTTTTCCTGTTCCTTCTTTCCTTCCTTCAGATTTCTTCTTTAAGCCTAGACGGGTTTGCTGCTCGGAGCCTCGAACTATCCTCCATTGTCGTTTAGTACCTCTAGCTCAAGTCTAGAACATTAATTTCCGGTGTAGCTAAACTAAGAAGAGTAATTCCTTGGAACGGCTGTCAACGTGGCTACCCTTCTAGAACAGAAAAGAAATGTATACGTATGCTCGTCGAGCAATCATAGGCAGTCTTATTCTTAACGTTGTCGACCGGACATAGTCCCACACCAGCTTCCGGAGAACGTCGGTGCACCCGATACACGACCTGACTCACCCGGGCTTTGAAGAGTTTGTCATTGTTGATAGTGATGAGAGCAACCACCCACGTAAACAGCAAATGTCTTATTTTTAGCCCGAGATCTCATTATTGTTGAAAGAGCTCGCCTAGCGACATCTGATACCCGCACGGCTCTAAGCCTCTAACTAGATATTCGGTGGGCAACGGCCACCACTTGAGGTATTATGATTAGTTCGTTGGATTTGCTAGTGGGTGCTGGCAAAGTGGCGGATGAAAGAGTCGGAAAGACTATGGAGCAGGCTAACAGAACGACGGGGTCTTGTTCCATATTGGTAGAATTTTACGAAGAGACTTGTCCTGCCTTTTTGACTCTTTGACTGTTTGAGAGCTGGAAGGATTGGAGGTCCACCATTGGGAGTATTGGAAGTAAGGATTTGTTGGTTAGGATTTTGACATGTTGGATGCGTGCTGGGCATGACAAGAAACGCCTCTTCGGAAGTTTTTAGCGTTGTGGCCAGCGCATGATTAGGTTTGGTGGGTTTGCTGACTGTGGCGGTTCTGCCTAACCCAGACCGAGGTGAGTGTTTGTTGGCTGGGTTCTAGACTTGGGTGGTGGTGGTAATCTCATGACACGATAGACGTCTGATCGAGGGATCCTTCGGGTTGGGGCAGCTTGAGAAATATGGACATTGGACAATGGACGTTAACAAGCGAGATCAGGGTGAAGCGTGGAAGGAAGTGGTGGCAGTGGGGGTTGGCAGTGGGGCAGCGGAACTAGGCAGGCTTCTAGAAAATGCAAAGAAGCCGGCTAGAAGCGACGTTAGAAGGACGCTAGAAGCCCTTGCGTCGGCTTGCGATCTATCCCGGCGTGGCAAATACCGGCAATCGCGTAATATAATAAAATTATAATAATAATAATAATAATAATAATATTATTATTATTATTTACAGGCTTTTAGTGTATATGATGAATCGTCTTATCAATCAATATCGCACAGCAATCAAAGCAGAGATGAATAGACAATCACTACACAGTGATGCACCGATTATATCCAAGACTTGATCTTACGGTGAACAGGCACACGGCATTAATAATGAATTAATAATTCTAGTCAATTATGCCATCTCAGACCCCACGCCCGCCGGACATGATTGGCTGGCCCCCTGGTCTTGGTCGCGTAAGTTACGGTAACGGCGTGACATCCAGGGCACCAGCGAGCCTGGCCTGCGCTGATTTGTGGGCGGCAGATAGGCTCCTTCGGCGGTGATTCGACAGGGGTTCTCGTCGCCTTCGCTAGCCTTCGGTGGGCCTTCTGGAAAGGGCTGTGGCCAGCCACCGACGTCAGCCACTAGTCCGTTCCTGTATCTAATTGGCCCGCGAAGTTTGCGCGTCGCCTGACTCGCTGGACACGGGGCTCGCGTAATTTTGGTAATATATCCGTATTCCCGTAGTCTCCTGTCTCCACCCATCGTATGCTCCAGCAGTATTCTCGTATCTACTGTTATTCCTCCCTTATTTCGTTTCATATTCCAATCTGCACTCTTATGGCTGAATTATTCTGCGTACCCGGCGAGTCAAGTTTTCCGTGCGTGCCCTATTGCAAATGATCCAGCGTATAAATTATCGCGATCCGCCCCAGCTGGCCACCAACTAGCGAGATCTGCGGCCACTCGAGTATTTCTTTCTGTCCCACGCTAGGCCAGTTACATAATAGCTAATAAGTAACGTAGTTAATACAGTTATTAACAACTAACAACAGACCCGCCAACAACCAGGCAGGATCCGTCTGCCTCAAACACCCTAGCGCGCTAGCCTCGCACTAGGCAGAGCAGCCGCCCTAAAAGTCAAACTAGGCTAGTCTGCTATAGGAACTGCCTGGAGAGGGGAAGCCATCTTAATCGTATTCTTATTATTCTGACTCTGCTGCACATCACGCTCCTGCACCCTGCAAACAACTCTCACATTCCCACATCCTCGCCGAGCCGACTCTCCAGCATCACCTGTCCTTGCAGCGGGCTATTGGCGACCGCACACCTGCCCAGTCACCACCACCTGGCAATCCGCGACTCGGAACACAGAAGCATTCGGCCGCTGCCTGCCTTCCTCGTGGGTACGACCGACGACTTGCCCTGACTACGAAGACATTTACATTTGTCTGTCTGCCATTGACAGCGCTAAATTCAAACTACAACCGTCAATCGACAATCGACAAACTACATAACACCGATCAACACGCCCTTCAGTGTCTGGCTTGTTCGTATTGTTCGTGGGACTGTGACGCAATCATCCATACTGTCCGATATCCCCATTGATTGCATCATCATTTGCAAGGTAAGCCAAGGTCTTTCATCTTTCCTGTTGCTGTACCCTGTTGCGTCTCCATTATTATCTATTCTGTTCTATTATGGTCCTGTTATTGTCCGATTGTTGCCTATTGCTGTTCTGAACCGTCGCCTCGACCACCCGGCCCTGGTCCCCGGTCCCTTGACCTCATTAAAATGCAAGCAAGTGCTGCGGAAGAATCCACTCGATACTTCCCGGGCCGGGTCTGTTTGCTTATCGGACCCGGCTCCAGTGGAAACTGCGTGATGTGTCGGGCTTGATTGTTATGTCGTGCCATCAACCCCGTACGTCCCGCGCTCAATACACCCTCGCACAGCTTGTTCTGGCTGCTGGGAAGACAACACCGAGCGATTGTCCGTCTTGTTCGTCATCGTAACCTGAGCATCGTTTGGTTCAGTTTACTTTGCATGCGAGCGGGTGATCTGCAAATCACGTCTTCTTTTTGCCCTCCACCCCACCATCCCCTCCCCAATTACAGATCCCGCCTAGGGCCACATTGCCGCGTGCAGCCTGCACTCTGCAGGCGTGCATGCAACGAGCCATTTGCTGCATTCATGTTTGAGTGTGGCCGACTAGCATACTAGCATACTAGCACACTAGAAGCGTGCAGGTTGGCGACTGGGGGACCACACGGTGGCTCGCGCAGACTCGTCCCACTCGCCCTTGTTTCGTCATATTCGCAGACTCAATTCTTCGGAGGCGCAGATCCTTGGTCTCCACCACCTCCCCGGCCAGTCGCGGGCTGCTGTTGCTGGTGACCGATGAACTCTAACTGTCCTGCGTCTGCTGGACAACGTTGTCGCTTCTTGAATAATTTAATGAAAGGAACGCCACCCTACAGACCGCCTAGTGGATTTCTCTTTGAGCCAATTTTTACGATGGCCCCTCATACCCGTGGCCTGTCATCGCCTGCCCCGTTTGTTTGCCTTGCATTTTACTGCTGTTGATTCGCTCTTCTCATCTCCTCTTTTATCCGTGCTTCCTCATTTGACTAACATGCGTTCTGCTTTCAGTATTCCCCTGGAAGTAATTGCATTTCCGCCTGCATTATTTCCCTTTTTCCAGTGTTATTCATCAGAATCCGCAACTGTCTGCACTTGGCTCAGGAGTCGACTAGATATAAAAGAAGAATAAATTACAGGCAGACCGTTCTTGTCAGATGCTCCTGTAAGAAGTGTAGCGACGTTCGGCGCGGTGGCAGGAAAATATAGGGTGAGATCGCGCGCAATCGGACGCAAGTGTACCGACCGCATATACGCGATGATCGCGAGAACCAACTACTATATGCCATATTCTTTGTGGAATCTCACACCCAGTTCAACACCCACAAGTTCTCCAAGTTCGTCGGTGGTCTTCGGCGAAGGACAGGCGATGAACTCCAGGCCACTGAGCCTATCCATCCCGTCCGGGAACTTTTCAGCCGCCCGGCCGACGCTGGATGAAGTGCTCTCTAATACTGCCCCCTTCCCTTATACCCTGAGCGCCTTTATGGCCTATTTGTCTCAAAATCACTGTTTGGAAACTTTAGAATTTACTTTGGAAGCAAAAAGATATGGAGAAACCTACCGATCCGTGGCACGCGTACTTGGTCAACCCGTCATCGTGTCCGACACACCGCAGACGCAGCATTTGCTGATGCTTTGGCAACGCCTATTGTCGGCCTACATTGTTCCAGGTGCTCCGCGAGAAATTAATTTATCGTCACAAGTGCGTGATAACTTGCTCGCCGACGCACGTGCTACGAGACCGCCGCCGCCACAAACATTGGATGCGGCTATCCGGAGGATGCATGATTTGATGGAGGAGTCTATTTTCATCCACTTTGTGAACAGTAACAGTTCACCAGCGAATATTCCTACCTCGATGGATTCATCATATGTAGACGACCACCCGCACTTCCTTCGGCGAGTTGCTTCTCGTGGAAAGAGAGTCTCACCCCGTGCCTCCAGAGACGATGTTGAGTCGCATCGCATGTCCGGATCAACTCGGATTGCGGCCATCGTCAAGACCGGTAGCCACCTATCGGGACATAGTTCAGGGATGGACACGGGGTCTCCTATCTTCACCGACGATTCGGGAAGCCTGGCATCAAGTCCGGTAGCCGGAGAACCCATGACACCACCAACCACACCTCCTTCGAGCGACCACAGTTTTAGCCCTAAGAACCGACCTGACAACACATGGAAAAAGATGGGCATGAAGCTGGGATTCAAGAAGAAACATGGTACCTCATCAAGTCGTGATGGAAGATGGGAGGAATAATCTCGGTTTCTTCAGAATCAGTTATTCTCCGATCGATTTGGTGAGGCATATTACAACCTTTAACCAGAACACCACAGCACAGCACATGACATGCTGTTTTTGTGGTTGATTACGATACGAAAACGACGTATGAAACTTTGTGCATTTTCAAACTCCTGATCGAGCTTGATTAATTCATTAATTCTGGCGGCTGAGTCAATGCAATGCATGCACGCGTGGGTAGGGTATTTGTCAAGCATTTAGCGGGTTTAGACAGTTCACGTGGTTCTTTTTTTCTACTCGGACATTATCTGCTCTCCAGCATTTAATATCTTTTCGCGGTGTTGATAATCACCTGCATGATGAATGACGACATTTTGAAGTCTTGTGGCGACAACATCTACTTCTGTTCAACAAGCAGGCGGTTTTTTTTCTGGTTTCTTCAGGATGGAGGCGTTCTTTAACACGACTATAGAGTAGCATCATTGGGTTTTGGCACTTGCATTAACAGCCTGTCTGTTTTGGGCATTTTTGGTTTATATCCTTGCATATCTAGGTATCTTGGATTATTCGATTATTTTGTAGTGTCTAGTGGGATGAATACCTATTATAATTACATTGATTGGATCTCTCTCTTCAATTTCTCTCTGTACTGTTACACTCACCTGACATTCACTCCAAATGTGTCACGACTCGACGATACTAATCCTTCGCCCCGGCCTCGTTTCTAATGCCGCCGTCTCCAAATCCCACCCGGCGCGTTTCAATTCTGATACATAGTACGTATCAAATCGTGAGTTCAAAAATGCCAAACTACACGACAGTACCTCCAGAATCTGCGTCTCGGGCGTTTCCATAGTATGTTCATTACCATACCCTGCTTTTAACGATAAAACCGTTCTGGCTGCAAGTAACGCATGAGCCCACGCTTTCAGTTGCTGGGTGGGGGTACAGCCATGTTTGAGAACTATAAATATACGTGGTTTCTGTTTTGATTTTTTCGTGGTAGGTGATGCCGGGAGAGTGTTGAGGCAAACAATATACGCTTCGGATGAAAACAGCTTTAGCAAATCAGGCAACATGTTCGTTGATATAGGCAATGACGAGATGAGCTCTTGCACTGAGACGCCAATTCGGCACCATCCGAGGTTTTGGTTAGTTGAATGTCTAGATGAAGAGATAGCAGTCCAACGGAGAATTCCGTCTCTTTCGAATATTCTTTCGTGGTGGGCAACTTCGTCGGGTCTCAGGGCTTCGGGAGGAACAGATTGCTGCTTATGCTGGTTTAGACTGGTTGTTGATTCTGTGGGTACTTGGTCTCTTTCGAAGATAGTTGAGAATACGATGTTTGCACGTTGTCGATTCAGGGTTGTCATTTGCACGGCGCGCACGGCGCGGTAGTTCGTGGCGAGGTGGATGATAAGTAGGACGATGAGAGAGATCCATGTTGCTGGGAGGCTGGTGACGTGAGAGACGACTATAGAGCCGGCCTGGGTTATTCAGTACATATATCAGGTGATGATGATGGTAGATGTGGGCGTACCAGCATGCCTAAAAGAGAAATAATAGTCTCCTGAGACGAATCTTTCTACGAGATGACTTCCTGTCAGGCTATACACTAATGTACTTGTGGGTTGATGTAGACGCACCGCATTTAACTCTCCAATATTCCCCCACCGAGCAAAATGCGCACTCAAACTCGCCTTCGAACTACCCGCAGCAACTCCACATAATGCTCTCAACACGCCAGCACCGCTTATCACGGCGACTCGCGCTGCCCGGGGAGTTACTAGCGGCGAGAGACAGTCTAAGATCATGGCTATATCGTTAAACACGTCCGCCGCCAGTCGATACATTTTACACTCTGGTTCTAGAGCAGTGCCCAGCCGATGCGCAAAGAGGATTGTCGCTATGCGGCCTGATGTGTCTTGAAGGATTTGGAGTAGGAGCGCTGAAGTTGGCGAGGCTGCTGCATCGCCGACACCGACTCCTGCGTTATCGAATTTCAAATGTTAGATGGGGTCCTCGGGGTGATCATAGGCTATGCATACCCTGTAGAACAGCCCTTGAGGATAAGAGTCCGGCTATGGAGCTTGAGAAAGCTTGGATGGAGTCCTAGTACAAGTCAGAAGCAATGTCTTGAGAAGATGCAACCGACATACATAGATCTGATACCTATATCCATGGTTAGCATCCTACACTATTGAGGAGGATATTTGGTTGCTTACCCCAAATAATCCTTACTAACACTATGCGGATATCCCACAGGGAGAAAGACATGCATGAGATAGGAGATACATGAGTTGATGACGGAAGTCGACGTCAATTGGTCCAGACTACTCGACGAGGACGCTGATAGACGGGGTGGCTATAGCTATGTCAGTGAATTCTGTTTATCAAATACCTTTGTAAGTTCATGAATAGACATACAAGGATATCTACGCGACTCTTCTTATTCGATAAGAATGGTAACTCTGTCGTTGGGATGATAGTCTCCGAGTAAACAAACGTTGCGAGAGGGGTATTGACTTCGTCTGTTTCGTTGATGGTCAGGGTGACTTGATTATTCTTGGCCACTAACATCGTGAAGAGAATTCATTCTATTCAAGTTGGACATCGACAAGTATTAGGAAGAGCAGGAAGTTGACATGCAGCAACGTCGCATTTACATTGACTGATTCTGCGATGTGGGGAAGCTCCGGGGTACCAACGACAGGCCCAGGTAAATTGCAAGCTGCTGCTAGAAATTGACCAAGACATGCGTGGTCCTTATTGAATATTTATTTGAGCATAATTGTTATATACCAGGCCGAGATTATTTTTCGAATCTCTTGCAATTGCATATCAAGGGTGATCCTATATCTACCAGCCGCTGAGAATAATATGTACAGGCGAGTCCCATTCTAAGCATAGCAGAAACTAATATCGAGCGCTACCGTTTAAACCGAGCAGGTGAAGATGGAAATAAAAAGAGAGGAACTCAGGCGAACACCGGCACGCCAAACAGAATAGAGGTGGAAAAAAAAGATTAAGAATGATCGCCCCACAAGCCTCGTAGTCAATGTTGTGAACTACGTTCACATCAAAGCAAGTCACGGAAAATGACAATTGACAGTCATTTTCCGTGGATACCGGCCTGCTCCTCAGCACGTTGTCAGTGCTGACTGGGTCTATGCCCATCATTTATGGTACTTTTGATTCTTGTTGAGAAGAAGATGTTTGGTATCCATCGTGTACATCAATCTATCATGCGTATATCAATCGGAAATGTTTCGCAATTAGTTGAACAGGCTAGCTCCACCGGTCTCGATGGCCTCCATTTCAACCTCGCTCCATGGCAGGCGGTGGAAACGAGCGGGGAGCTCGTCGCGGTCAAAGAATTGGCCCTGCTTGGGCTGGATGGAGCCAAGAGAGGCACCGCTTGCACCGCCAATGACACCGTACGAAAGGGAAGAGGCACGGCCGGGGCTGTTCAAGGGGCCATGCTGTTGGGCCTTCGCTCGGTAGGTAGCGAAGGAGTCAGGGAGAGTAGAGGTGGGCGAGGCGGGGTGGACTTTTGGGGTGTGATCGATGGAGGCTGTGAATTGGAATTGCACTGGTCAGACATGAAATAGGCGACGCACTGGAATGAGCTTGGCGACGACGTACCTGGTACTGTGCGCTTTCCGATGAATTTGATTAGGGGGGTGCGAGAAGCATTCCGCAGAACAGCAGTGGAATGCATTTTGATAGCTAGACAGAGACAAGACGCGCTCGCGCGTGTTGATGTCGAAGAAATAGGAATTGATATGGAGATAAAATTGTGGCAGCTTGATAGGCAAGAAGAGTATGGAGGTCGAGGTTCCGGAACAGCCCGCGTCGAGCTTGGCGTGGGAGGAGTCTGCTTTTGCGCTAAGCGTCTCCGATAAGCCGGTCGGATCGGTCAGTCACCCAGTGACGGTGGATAGCAATGGTGGTGAGAAAGAGTGAGGTGGTTGAAGACGAGAAGACAGGCCGAGAGAGTGGGAAATATGGGAGAAAAGCAAGAATTAATAATTCAAGACGCGCTCGGCGTTGCCTGATGGCGCCCAGGCGGCCGAGCATCGGCTGTGGCAGCTTCGTCCGGCTAGCCTGGATCATGTGTTATTACTTTTTTACATTCTACAGCTGTTTTCACTGTAGCTAGTTACTAGTGCTGGCTTCTAGGATTAGCAACAAACAATAATAATAATGATATTCAATTATTATTTTTACTGATCCAAAGCATATCTTCTCCAACATGACTGCATACCCCAACATGCACGGTGGCTGCGATTGGCGGCCGCGGCCGAATCACGCTGTTGCGCGGGGAAGCATTATTGAAAGTTGGGCTGGGCATTACCTGATGCAAACCAATCCCTTGACAAATGCTTATCTTAGCCTGTCTGGTCGGAGTTTCGTATTGTCCCCGCACGGTTCACAGCCGGTGTATTAATATGGATAGCTGTACGGATATGCTCACTGCTTTGTAGTCGGTTTCTGTGCAGTTCGGGATCACTCTATCCCGCAACGTGCAGACCTCCAGAGCGTACAAAGAGGCACCTCACAGTCAGGACTTCAGAGTAAGACCGACTCAGTCTAATGCCCATTGGCCCGCAACCAAACCCACATACATGGCGGTGGAAATGCTTCCAGAATGCGTGTCCCCCCAGCGTCACCGATTCTGAAGTCATCAACTGATGTTCATGTTCCCAAACCCGATACCATTTCTGCTGTCTGAGATCACTCGCCATGTGAAGAATAATGAGCCTCGGGGCATGAGTAGTATTGCATCTCTAGCGCTGCTCGCGAGCACCGTGATGTGCTCCCTCCACGACAACGTGGTCGCCTCGGAGCCTGTGCTCATATGCTCAGATATGCTCGCTCTCCGATATATTTTCGTTGCAGTAGTCTGACTTGTGACATGTGCTTGTCAGCCGTTTGGTTATGTCAGATTCCGTAGGCATTAAGCTCCATGCAGTAAAATAATCAAGTCGTATGAAGACGATCACCTCTCTCGTAGTTGGCAGTCAAAATAACACGCTGGTTGTCGCCATAGTACGTATGTGAGAGGGTGGATCCCATGCACTTTTCTCTCTCTTCCGCGGGTCTCGATAATAGAACAGAGACATCGCTATATCCACATCGAAGCGATGGCAGAGACAGTATTCTGCATATGTGTACCAACGTTGCGTTTACGTTGAAATAAAATTGGATAACGAGGAAACAGCAAGTTGACTCTGTGTGGATGCTGGATATGGCAAGAAGTGCCCCACCCGCCAGGCCATGCCAATCAGATCGCGCGCCTCCATCAACTTTCGACCAAACCGCCATCAAACAACCTCGCGATGCACGAACTGCTTCTTTTCGCCTCGGCGCCTGCCAACCAGCACCATGAGCTACTCCAACAGCTGGCTGGCCTCACCGCCATGCAACCACGCCACCGTTTAGAACGACATCTCGTCTTCAAAGCCACGCGCAAGACAGGCCAGATCAACACACGCCTCGGCGGTGGCAGTCAAGATGTCCAAGGCGCCGAGCTGCAACGCTTGACAAAAATGTTGACAGGCGCCACATATTACACTCAAGTCGTCGGAGTCGTCAACGAAAGTGATTTTGGCGCTTCGACCGATACCTATGATTTTGACAGCCAGCTGTGGAGGATGGAGTGGCGGGACATCCCCGAAGCTGGCACGCGGTCCGCCGTCACATCTCGCCTAATGTCCAACGCCGTCCTTCCACACGGAGATGTTGTTGCTACGATGAACTCTTGGGGCTATGAGTGAGTATACGATGTACTCTCCGTTTGTTTTCTCATGCCTGCGGTATCTGACCATCACAGATTTGTCACCGAGTATGTAGTTGAAGGCGATGTGTTTATTCACAATGACGTTGTCCTTTTTCTGCACCGTGTGCTCAATTATTCAGATGAGGCTCCCAAAACACAGCAACCGCAAAAGATGCTACCGCCATTCAAAGACTTGACTCTGCTAGACCGAAGCGGGAGTTACCTTCTCCAGACTGCTGTCACAGTCCAGGACGGCTCAAATCCTGAAATGGTCAAAACCGCCACTCAGCATCTGTTCAGACTGAAAGAGCAACTCCGTACTGCTGTCCGACTAGAGCAGGCAGATCGGCTATCGTTGGACACGCGGGTGAAATGACGAGATGAAAGCATGAAGACTTTCTGTTACTTGATTATTTATGCTATGATACCCGAATTTAAAAATTATAATCAAATTATTTTGCAGATTTTGTTACGCGATCTTAGTTCTGCATTCCATATATATTTACGGCTGACGTTATAAGGATGTCTTCTTAGTGCTTCAACATCGAAGCCTTCCATACTTACATTGAAGGATACCTCTTCAATATAGCCAGAAATTTCAAGAGATTAAACACGTGGCCATATTAAGTATCTACTCCTCTTCTGGGAATGGCTTGGCACTGACGATTGGTTTTTTCAGTGTTCTATCCAGACATTGGTTACCGCGTGTAATCTACACTCCACGGAAATAATGACGGATCCATGCTGATGTCATTCATTATTGTAGGCATAAGTGTTGCCGGTACTGAAAGCTTGCAAGCGGCCAAGCTTAATTATACCTCAACAAGATACATAATCGATGATTTCGTACTAGACCAAATCTCCAAAAGCAGTTAAATATTCTGTCTCCTCTGTGAGATAATCAAAACTGCATGCATCAGAAGCAAAAGGTTGAGTGATAAACAAAGCATATAAATAGCTGTACTGTTCTTCGTTATCCATCTCTTCAACATACTTCCACAGCATATCAATAGCTTAGGATCTGAAAACACCGGTTGACATACATCGAACATCGAAAGAACATCCTTCATCATGCCTGGGAGTCAACACGTTATCATCTGTCTGCAAAATCAAGCCCAAAAGGAATTTAATATCAAACCTGCAAAGCTCGATTGGTAAGAAATGGTATATTCCTGGACGTGCTTGGGTGACTGTTCCCGCAAGGGAGGTTTCTATGATGAAAATGGAGAGTATGAAATCTCTCCAGATAAGGTCAACAAAATGGTCATTCGACCTGGCACGACAGAGAAGATCGTCTCTTAGGCTCGCGAGGATACATCAACTGTGCTAAAGAAACGGTTGATGTCGATGATGGCAGTACCAGAATCTGCTCCCTCTACAGGAATAATCCTTATTATGGACTCAAAGAATTCCGAGCTGAGGATTAGAATGGAAATAAGTATAGAGTGAACGTAGCGGACTATGATCACCATGATGCACTTGGAGGGGTAGACGTCACTGCGAAATACTTCTTCTTCCCTATTGACTTCGCCGGCACAGAAGGCCGACAACCTCTTTGGCCTGCGACCTCCTTGTGAGACAACCCAGTCTATCAGTTGACCAGTTGACATTACAGCTATACCATAATCTTTTACAGCTTCCATACTGTCAATTTTAACGTGTGGCTCCGTGTTACGTACCAAATATGTATCTGTATCCAAGTAGAATAAACATGAAAGATAAACAACATTGCACAATTAAAGTACATATTTCTTCTCAAGACCAATTAATAGCAAGTAACATAACTAATACTTGTGCTTGGTTGTATGGTGTTGTCGCTTTCAGGATGTAAAGTGCAAATCAATTAAAACCATGTGACTTCGCGGAAGCTTCGACGCGCGGCGCGTCCCGCTGGCCGTCTTCAACATTTCGTCTCTGTTAAACACCAGTAACATCGTTGCAAAAGAAGACACGACTGCCAATACTGAAATAATCTACTTATTTCGTACTTGGATCACTATTTTCCAACTCTGCCACATCAAAGTGGCCGGGTTGAACGGGATGAAGAGAACGGCCTCCTCTCTTGTTGGAGGAGTGTCTCCACCTCCACTCAGACGCAAGGTCGAGTCGACCACAACCAGTACGTTCCTACGTATCTATAATGTCGATGTAGTATTTAAATACAAAAATTCTAATTTCATCTTAGAAACCGCGGTCGCTTCATTCTTCACCCCGGCGTCTCAGAAGAAACCCGAAAAGGTTACATGGAGAATTGTCAACAAAAGTCTCATTGTTGGCAAATATGCCTCTGAGTCAAAAGGGACGGATAAAGTGCACACAGGAAAACGATCTAGGGTGGCTGCCTTTGATTTTGTAAGCCTCAAAACCTGTCTGCAAGATCGTTATGCTAATGTACCTCAGGACTCAACTTTGATATCCACAGCTTCAGGTAACCGATTTGCGAGAGATGCTTCAGATTGGAAATGGTGGAACAACAAAGTTCCCGAAAGACTGAAACAATTAAATGCTGACGGGTATATACACATGAAAACCACCGCTTGTCAAGTATTGAGGTTAACTCGTACGCCAGATATCAAGTCATCGTCGTATCCAACCAGAAAAAAATCAGCTTACAGAGTGAAATCAAAGGCGGCCGCACAGAATCAAAAAGCTTAACAACATTCAAAGAAAAAGCCCTCGTTGTAATGCGCCAGCTTGATATACCCCTCAGCATCTACGCCGCAACACAGTACGACGAGTACCGGAAACCGCGAACGGGGATGTGGAAGGAGTTTCTAGATGACTATGACTTGGACGTGGATAGTAGGCTGGATCTTGAAGAGTCCTTTTTTGTGGGAGATGCAGCCGGCCGCCCAACAGATCATTCCTGTGTAGACCGGTAAGTCTAGACCCGTACGCTTTGCACGGACGATTTCTAAATGTGATCACCATCAGCGATTTTGCTTCTAATGCTGGCCTCAAATTCAAAACCCCTGAAGAGTTCTTCCTTGACGCAAGCCCCGAGCAAGCGATACGGCAGTTCGACCCGACATCATATATTGGTGATGATCCTGATTCTGCAGGTAAGGCGGGGCTCCTCAATTTGTCAACTGGCGTTTCACACGGTTTCCATGACTTCACACAACGTCTACAGTACCACAGCGTGCACCATCCATGAATGGAATCTGATGATCAACTAGTTACACCTACGTTCTCGAAACTGCACCCCGTTGAACTCGTTATATTCTGTGGTAGCCCGGGTGCCGGCAAGTCAACTTTTTATTGGAAGTACCTAAAGCCGTTGGGTTACGAGCGCGTGAATCAAGATATCCTCAAATCGGTATGTACTTTACTGTTTCACAGAAACGGCACAGGCGTTATTATCGTAGTGGCTTTGGGGTTAACCAGTAATGGCTTCCACAGCGTCAGAAATGTATCAAAGTTGCAAAAGAGAATCTGAGCGCTGGTCAATCAGTAGCAATTGGTACGCATCCAACCCAGGCCTTTTTTGTCGACGTGACACTTTCCATAAATAGCACAAGCATTCTAATCGACCATCTGGACAGACAACACAAACGCAGGCACCGAGACCCGTGCATATTGGACGGAAATAGCAAAAGAGTTCAAAATCCCAATCCGATGTGTTTATTTCATTGCACCACCCGCGCTGTGTAAGCACAACGACGCCGTTCGTGCCGCAAATCCAACCTTAGTAAGCCCAGAATACAACTGAGGGAGACACTTGGTGTTGACCAAAAATAATAGAACCCTGAATCTCGCACCGCCCTTCCTGGTATTGCTTTTGGCGATTTCGCCCGTCGATTTCAAGAACCTCAACTCTCTGAGGGTTTTGAAGATATCACGCGAGTTCAATTCAGATTTGACGGCGACGAGGATGCGAAGAAGGTCTGGTCGCAGTTCTGGGTTTGATGGATAGAAAATCTGGACTTATGCCTACTTGCTGTGAATATTAGACCAGCGACATGCATTTGTAAAGATGTGATGGTTTTAATATGTTTATTATTTTTTTTGTTAAACTAGATGTCTAGAATTATCTAGACACCGAGACTGCTATATCTAGCTAGCTATCAGATACACTTTTGGTAGTTCGCTTTTGCCTTTTCCATCGAAATCAAGTCTAAATAAACACCAGCTGCTGCTGGGTAAGGGGTCTATAAACACATAAATACCGGGACTTCTGTCATAGACAGGCAGAGGTCTCTCGGGTCATTAGAATAGAAATATATCACACAAGAATAGATTGCGAGCCTTGGTAAGAAAAACCTTAACGAAGGTGGTGTTGGTTGAAAGAGGAGAATCAAAGGAATGTCTGGGTATCAAAAGGAGTGTGGGTATAAAGAGCGTAAATCCGAAAGATCGGCATCGAAAATATCATTAATTGTTTGGGTGAAAATCAGAGACGTCGTAACGGGTCGTTATGGTTGCTGAGAAACAATTGCTCTATAATTAAACATCTTCCGTGTCGAAGTATTGGAAGTAATGGCGACAATATTGTAAAATAGTACAAAGTTGGATAATTTAAGCGTTGGTGGCGGTAAGTCCGGGTTGTGCCTTGTTGATCAAGTCGTGCAGTATTTTGAAGACATTGCGGCGTCTTGGAGACTTGCAGCGAAGAGTGCAGTGAATAGCAGGGGCAACTGCCATTGGGCCCACGATTTCCTCGTCACCTAGTTCTGGGAATTTCTCGTTGTTGTGTAGATGAGGAATTTTGATGCCTTCAACTGAACTCATGTCCGGCTCACTTGCGCTGAGAGTCGATACCAGTCTCGCGTCATAGACAGAAAACACTTCCAAACTGCGCTTCCACTGCTGTTCTATGCAGTCTAATTTATCCTTGGTGAATTGATAAGTCATAGAAGTCTCGCCGTAATGCTCCCCGGTGCGAACTAGGTGTTTGGCGTAATTGCGACGAGCCAACTGCCAGTCTTCGCGGAATCTCTGCAAGGCGAGAGCATCTAGGTTCTCGGGAATATATGGTTCCGGATGAATGGTGAAGTTGGCGTGGCCCAACTTGGATGCCCATTCATCATCGCCTTCGGTGAGCACCAAAGGTGGGACTCCTTCACCCGAGATGGTACGCTGGGTCGAAACTCCGGCCCTAGTCAAGGAAGTGATTGATGGTTTTGTTGATAGTGGAGGGGAGCGCTGCGTAGAGGTACGTGTCATTGGCACAGGGGGGAAATCAGTCAAATCAGACACGTCTGCTACTGATGGGGACTGCAACGGCGAAGCAAACCCGGAGTTCGAGGCAGAAGACTGGTATGTAGCCAACATTGGAGGGAGCAATGGAGTGGTAGCCAGCATAGCATGCTCTTCCACAATGCTTATGCTATTTGCCTTCTCAATGTCAATCGGGCCTAAACTGCTAGCACTACGGCGTGGGGTATCTTGAGAGAGCCTAGCGGGAGACGCGGCAACAAGAGCGTCCTCGCGTGACGGCATTTTTCGCAAGGCGGAAGAGGTCGAACTCGCTCGCGAATGTAGGTTATCGTTAAGGGTACCGTCGAAGGAATGCTTTGGCTTCCATCGCGAAGATGCAGAAGAGATTCTAGAACTAAAGCGTGGGAGGCCTCTTGAAGACAAGCTCTCAGAACGCTGTCTAGTCGAGTAATCGACACTGCGGAGCTCGTCTGCCAAGTAATAGTCGCCGTTCACCATCTCATCAGGCTCCACAGTGAACTGGTCGAAATACCCTTTTTTGTACGCGTCAGACAAGAGCCAATAACACGGGGTGGTGCGTCGCCACTTACCAAAATACTCATCTTCCATTGCTTTGCTAGGTTTAGGGAAAGGCTCCTCTTTGACCTCTCGCAATTGGGTTGGCCATGAACCCGAGCGTTCCATGGAAATGCCCATGCCAGGGGACGAGATGAGGGAAGAAACAGAGCTTGAAAATTTGCTATGGGGTCGGGATAGTGAGAAAGATGAGACAGCAGGGGAAGCTGGAGCAGAAGAATCGGTATATGTGGGTGACACTGGAGTTTGAAGGGAGTTGCAATGGTCTGCAGCCGGCTCGATCACATTCATGTTGAGACGAGTCCCCGAAGAATGCAGAGACCTCGACATGATGGGAATCAATGATCAGTGTCGTGAGTGTGTGGTGACTGTGTGTGTCGTTTTAGCAAGAGGACATTGTAGACATGCTGGGACTTGTAGAAGGCGGCGACAGAAACATGCGGACCATGGGCCGTTTTAGAGGCGGGGTGTCAGGAAGCACTGAGCAGGGTCGGAATCCGGCGTCAGTCAAAAAAGGTAGGCGTGAAGGTCTGTCAGGCACAGAATGATGGATCCGATGCGGTGCGCGTGCAGGGAGTAGGGTTGTTGCAGGCGCGACTGGCGACAGCAGGGAGTTAGTGGACAGTTGCTCTAGGGAGTGCCACGACGTGGGCGAAGTCACACGGTTGCCAGTTGGAGAGGTTGGATAGGCTACAGGGGGAGACCACGTCGGGCTGCATTTGGTATTTGTGGAAAACAAAGCAGTCGGCGCGTCTGGGGGTGGGCTTGCACACTCACCTCAATCGGTGTTGGCTTGACTCGTTCTGGACCAAGCGGCGCCAAGCTTCGATCTTAGGTCGGGTAAATAGCTACTAGCCGGTGACTTTGAACTTCGCACACAAAGTTTGCGGGCTAGCGATCGTTCCGGCGAAGATCGGCGAGAAATGAGAGCCCAACAGGCCGGCACACGAACGGCACTGCAGACGCGGGACCACGCAAACACGGCGCACGACGGCTAGAGGGATATGGCGAGGGGGTTGGTGAAAAGGGAGGGAGAGGGAGAGAGAGAGGAAGAGGAAGAGGAGGATGAAAAGCGAGATGGTCAGCAGCAATAGTATTCATGCTAACACGATACTTTCGCTCTGAGGAAGGAGCGATGGCGGCGGAACGGGGCAGTGGGCAGCCGGCGGCGATTACCGTTACTGGCTGCAGCGGGAGGGGTCCCCGCAGCAGCTTTCCCGGGCTCTGCCTGCTGGGCTGTTACGTGGGAGGCGTTCTTTCCTCACACAGTGTCCACAGGTACAACTGTTATTATTGCTGCTGACAACACTTGTTATGCGGTATAGACATAGTATACCTGCTGATATCTACAGATGACCTTTTCGTTATTATAATACACAACCAGGCACACACCCCTGTATGTGTGTGTATATATATATCTAGACAAAGACACAAAGACACAAAGACCAGAAAATCTTTGACGCATGGGGGCAAGACCCAGTCGGGCGGTCCTCCGTCGCTCTTCCACCAAAGTGGGCCCGGTCCATGTGCTTCCAGACGCCCGTCGAAGAAACCAAACCAACACAAACAAAGTTACCAAACCAAACGCACCAGGCGGTCCACACCATCTCATACACACGGCAATTGGCTGGCAATGAGGATACTACCTGTTGGTTATTGCCTGGGTGGCCGTTTGGTGTGCAGCATAAGGAAGGAAGAGGGAAAGTTTGGTTTGTGCTGTCCATGCCTGCCGGTAAGTAATTATGCATTAATAATTACTACGGAAGCCCGCCCAAAGGAGGGAAGGAGCTGCTAGTATGCTGCCATTGCCAGCCACCCAGTCTCGCCGCTAGTTCCAATGCGGCTAATCAGCTCCGAGCATCGGCTCGTGATGGCCTGGCCAGTGCCTTGCAGCCTGGATGCCTTAAATATTACATGTATTATTATTATTACCGTTTGTTATGACAACCTAACTTCCTACAACCTAGCTCGCCCTCCTCTGCCAGGAATTCACCGACCATCATTGCATCACAGCTGAGAACGCAAGCGAGCGATCGCCAGGGGACGAACCGTCTGCGCATTGATGCTAGAGCCTAGAGCCTAGAGCCTTACCAGGATGACCCTCGTGGATAGCTCTAAACCCATCCTCAAGTCAGAAGTTGAAACACATCCGTCGACCATAATAATATGATGATAATGTTTGTGATGTGATCATCACGCAACAGATCCCGATCGTTGATTGTGGCCACCATAAAACCATCGCTAAATCAGATAGGACTTTGGGAGTCAATGCAGAATCGGCTCTGGCTGCTTTGGGGGAACCAGGAATTGAGAATCGTTAATAATATTGGGAAGTAGTAGTATCGACCACTCACTGAAATCTCTGTCGGCGACATAGTCATCGCTCACCGCTGACAGCTGTCATAAGCCCGGATGCCAACGTTGGGCTGCCAGCTGGCCGTTCTCGATAATTTTCACAATTATGTTTAGGGATCTTTTTTTTGAGTCCTCGTTTGCCCGTCTGAGGGTAATCCCTGCCAGAAGCCTACGTGATAACCCCCATCCTTGTAGGAATTATACGGGCTGGGTTCGGACCTATCAAATTGACGGACGCAGTACCAATTACAACCATTCCATCTCGCTCACTCAGCTCTGATCTGGGTTGATGGATGTCTTTTCATTTTTCTGACTAGTGAGTTGTGACTGCTAACTAAGCTGTAGCTTACAGGTCACGACCAATGCAGGTACCCTGCCATCTCATTTGCTGCTCGTTGGTGGATATGACGCACACGGCTGATTCTGTACCTGGTCGCTTCATCGCTGGCTCACAGGCCGCCACGACGAAGACATACTCCAATTGCTGCATTTTTGATTGGATGCGCAATGCGGTGCCTTTTTTCCGAGGACCGAAGTCCAAACGAGAGTTTGTCCAGATCCCGGCTCATAGCAGCGGTGGAAATAAGACTCCGATGCACCGGGATCGCAAGAAATAATCATAGTACTTGAATGCTACGGAATACTCTGCCTCTGTTTGGGCTGTTTGGGCTGTTTGTCTGTCGGGCTGCAGTTCGACTCCTCTGATTCGCTGCGCGCCATACAGTGGGCCAGTTCGCCTCGTGAAAATTCTTCACCCGACAGAGGCGATTATTGTGACTAATATCTACATTATTGATGATGAGGCAAGACTACCGCCGTTTCTTAAGTCCGACAGTGACATAGGCCCCATTTGCATCACTGCGAGAAAGTACCAGAGTTTCTAACTTCCCACCGATATGGGCACGGAGGAAACGTGCCTGCCTTCCTCTTTGAGCGATCCTCCGGCTAAGTAAAGAAGCTATGCAGAATAATTATTGACTAAAGAGGAAAAAAAAACCAGCCTGGCGAATCACTGCTCCACGGAGGATCCCATGTCCATGGATCGGACATTTCCGTACCGCCCCTCGTTTCTCCCACCACAGAGATGGTGAACGTGTACTGATAGCGATAGCAACTACCAACTAGGATTTACCATGATATGAGTATGCCATAGACAGAGGCAACACCGGAATGTAGTGAATATACTCTTGCGATGCACTGCGATTGGCTCTCCACGGAGAAACTCTAATGAGAGACATTCAATGATAAAGATGATGTGACTTCTTCACAAGCTTACGCAATATCAACCTCCGAGGCCACCAGTGACGTGCCATGTTCTAGACTTTGCTTGCTGAGACACTGCTCCCAGTTGGATGAAATGGCCTATCTAACAGGCAATGATTATCTCCATGTGGACCAATTGCTAGCCTACCACGAATAGTAGCTAGTCGCAGTAACCCCTCCCCAGATCCTTTACATGGACTCATGAAGTGTCGGAATATTATTTTGTGGTGACTAGTGCGCACCGCCTTCCAGCCGCTTCTTGTGATAAAGAAAATTCAACATGGGGGCCGTGCGAGGTCTGACATCAGATCCACCGGACGTTGCATTCAATGCCATTCATTATATTATTATGAAATGGCAAACAATGGTTCTTGAGCCTATCTGAAACGCCTTAAGATTTCAAAATATGGTTCTCGTTACCAGCCGCCTTCAGATCCTGAATTCTCTCCTCATCCGCCACACATATAGCCTCGGTGCTCGGCCCGGTAGAAGTCGTGACACTGCTACTTCAAATGGAGGATTAGCTTACTAGTTGATTAGGGCTTGTGGTCTAGATTTCTCTCCACCCGCTAGCTCCTGTCTAGTGTCTCCTAGAGTATATACGGCCAAGAAAAAGTTTTGTGTCCTTTGAGGCTTCGACATGGTAGCATTTCGTCACTGTGTAGTGTTTACTTTGCTATTGCAGTAAAACCTAGGATCAAGCAACCCCACCTTAAGCAATCCCTCTCATTAAGCAATAGGAAACCGTGTCAAAATTATATTTACAAAATTGCTTATTACCTCATTTCTAGGTGATGCTTATGGTTTTACCCTCTTCCCACATAAAATACTTTTATTAGGAAACATTACGTGAGGTTCCACTTTAACTATATTAAAATGAAGATCGATTATATAATAATATTAATATATTTATTGGACTACCATATAAATTAGATTAAGCAATCCCTTATGTTAAGCAACGGGAGGTCTGTGCAATATCGATTGCTTAATCCTAGCTTTTACTGTATTATTACAAGTAAATCTTTATCCACCTCAGCATTGGCTGTGTGGACCGCGGAGCTGGCGCTTTGAGACAATGACATGCATACATCGAACGATATATGCAGGTAAAAACTTTCCGGTCACCTCCACCTTCCGACGGCTAATATAAATCCATACATCCCGTAGATAGCGCATACCCGGTGGCGTCTGTCGTCCGAAGTTCCCTGAACAAGACCAGAAACTAAAAATGCACATATCATGCAACGGTAAAAGAGGGCCGTGACTTGATTACGATCGTACCTGCGGTGGCTTAAGGCTTAAGGCTTAGCTCTGGACCGATGTCTTCCTAAGGCAGCCCTAGCCTTGCCATAGACGCAGAATCTGCAGATGGCTTGATCTAGACGCAAGACACGGCCACAACTAGAGTCTAGTACTCGTCCGTAAACTCGCCTGCCCGACCTAGGGCTGTCACAGGGTCGTGGCATGTTAGTACATGCAGGGCCGTTGGAGGGGGTTCATATGGAGGGGTCAATGCTGCATAGTCGCATTTCAAACGGTGTCTAGACCGATGTATGCATGTATGGGCAGATATCGACAGATTGCGGCGCGGACTAGACGTTGGGATTTCAATATCTGATTTCGTGGCGATAAAACCATGTGTAGCAATGACTTCGTCGATTTTTGGGCTGGGAGTTGTGATTTGAGACATAGGCGTATTTAAAACTAGCTACTAGATCTCTAATGTTACATATACACACTTGGATTTACTATTTTATGGCTCTTTGCTTTGGTTTTTATCAATTGATATCTTGTATTGACTGATAGAGATATCCTAACAACGGCGAGTTACAGTAATGGGAGACCCCATAGGCCACATTCATAAGGCGATAATTTCAAACAAAAACTTAACTCTCATAACTAGAATATGAGCTAAGCACAAGACTATCATTCCAGCTGTTGGTATATTTTTGATAGTAGCTGAAGTTCCAGGTGAGGCCTGGTGTTGATTAGGGCTAATCTTGTCGGCTCTCAGTTATGCAATAACATCCACACTATGATTGAATCCGATGAACATGTGTTACTTGCATCAACCCCGCTCGATTGGTACGACATGGTCCAAAATAGCATCCTTCATGGGCAAGCTCTTTGAAATTTGACTTGGTGGTTGTACTACGCTCCCTGCAGCAGTCCGCGATTAAAGAACGTCAGTTGATATATCGGGTCTCCATGATGCTATAGAGCTGTAAAACCACCACTCAGCTTCAAAAGTTCAAATAAATGTACCGTCTTCCATTAAAATAAGCCTAATATGACTATATTTCGACCCTGTGTCAGTCAGATTGTGAATTCTTCATAACCATACTCGGAATTGGAAGTCGGACAGACCGGCTCTCGGGTGTGATGGCTCTATATTTAGACGACCACCGAGGGCATGAAATGTGGTTACTCAAGAGTTAAGATCCAAAAGACATGTGAAAGCCGTGCTGTTGATCTAGGGAATATTTTGGCAATCGGCTTATGGACAGCCAGCGTATAATGACATCAAGTAAGAGCACAGATGTGCACTAACGCTCCGGCATTGATATAGAAGTATTTGAATTCATGATTTACAGTCAACGTCTTATTTTCACCGACAGGCGCTCCGAATGCAATACAACGAGGAGAAACCATATGAATTATCTAATGTCGTTACATTCATGTCCTTGATTCATCGCTTTTTAATGCCTCGTGCACCACGAATTGGTGGAGGACGGACTCAAGATAGTAAATACAGGAGTACTCATATCGTTCCATCATTCACTACCTTCTGCATCAAATTAGACAAGCTTGCTACCGGCCCTGCAACCCAAATAAAACCTTTATAATCGCAGTAAAAGACATTTGATTGTTACTCAATCATGTCAGCTTTTGTTTGATGAAGAAAGAACGGAGATGCGACAATTGCCATGCACAGGTGACTGAAAGAACGGCCAATTGCATCAATGTCCAACGCACAACACGAGAGTTGGTGGCTTCGGACTGGTCACGGAACTCGGCTTCGCGCTCCTACAACATATTGAATAAGCCATTGAGAATGCACAGCGAGGGAAAAGGAAATATAGGTTATTCATACCCGCTGGAACACCTGCTCACGTCGGATGTCCTCGAGACGGCTGTTGAGATCCTTCACTCTCTGCACAATATCCGCCATCTTGCCCGAGTCCTCAGTCTCAATCTTGCTGGTCGCACCAATAGCAATGTCCAAGCCTAGTTTGACGGTGGGATTGCTGGACAACCAGCCGCCGTTTTGCGAATCTGGAGTGAAGCAGATCTTGTGCTGACCGGCATCGGCCGCGGTGAAGGTGAATCGGCCGTCGCTCTTAGTACGTTGGTTCACCACACGGTGGTCGTTGTCGAAGGTTTCCACTACCGTAATCACCACCTGCAGAGATGGGTCTTTAACCCAAGTGTTGGTGTTTGTGTCGAGGATGTCGGCGTTGTAGGTTCCTGTAGCGCGTACGTAAATATCTGCTGTATTTTGCTTAACCCTGCTGTCCAAACATACCCACTACGAGAGTGTCCTTTGGCAATTCCTCGAAGAAACACTTCTCTTGCCTGCCTTCCATATACAGATGGAGGGCGCGTGCCTGTGAGGACAAGACAGTGAGCAGCATAAAAGCAAACAATGGCCATGACGAGCTGATCCTTGAGGCCGACATAGCGGCAAATTGTTAAACAAGATAAAAAAAAGGACGAAAGGAAAAAAACCCAAGTATGAATTGGAAAAGCGAGTAGTTATTAAATGTATTATTGTTGATCGCAGAGTTGATAGTCCAAAGGGGGTTTCTGTCAACCTGGCCGCAACACCCTCACCGCCCGTGCGTGGACCAATTAAAATAAAGGACGATTTCAAGGCCGTTCACTAAGCCGCGTCCGCATTCTCAACTTCCACCCCCCAATATCTATCCATCAAGAATAAGCTTGTTTGCACGCTTTTATCGACTGGGATAAGCCATCTGGGCATTTTATACTTTCGCGACACCTTAGAAAGGTTTCTCATTCGTATCAGTGCTGTCGCGTCACGTTCGCCCATCATGGCAGCTGCGGATGTTCGCGACATGCTAGATTTGCCTGCCAATGGGCAACCCAGACCACACAAGAAACAGAAGGTCGTTGAGAAGCGGCCGGGTGAGTTGAAATGTTCCAAAGCTGATGAATATGCTCTGACTCTACGAAGAGGGTATAACTCGCGAACTCTTTGCCCTGCTCGGCGAAAAGGCACCTCCAATTTCACTTACCGAAAATAAATACAAATTAAAAAAGTCCAATCGAAGAGCGCTTCCATGGTATGTATCGGTGACGTGATCATAAATATGAAACGTGTTAACAAATATATGCAGGCAAATGACAGACTTCAAAAACGATGCGCGACAGGATGGACTTATTCTTCGACATTGGCAACGACGGACGGATGCGACGAACAAGCCTCCAAAACCGGCAGATGCTATGGCTGTGGACACCAACGAACAAGCCAAGGTTGAGACGCAGCAACCAGCTGAGCAGCCTTATACGTTCGCCAAATACAATATCAAACCCCAGCTTCCTAAACGATACACCGATGAGCAATATAATCGGCACCTGCAAAATGATGACTGGACGAGGGAGGAAACAGATTACTTAATGGATATTGTTGAAGAATATGACTTGAGATGGGTGGTTATCGCGGACCGCTATGATTATCAAGCCAAGTTTGCAGAAAATAATGAAGCGAATTCAACAGCTCTCGTGACAGCAAATCACGTTCGCACAATGGAACATATGAAGTCGCGCTACTACACAGTCACGGCGACGATGCTTGCTCTCGAACACCCTCCTTCAGAGATGTCCGAGGCCGAATTCGCATTGCATGAGAAGATGATGAAATTTGACCCAGAACGAGAAAGAGCTCGCAAGGAGCTGGCTGCCTTACAGCTTAACCGTACTGCTGACGAAGTTCGCGAGGAGGGTGTCTTGCTGGAGGAATTGAAACGTATTGTCATGAATGAGCAAAATTTCATTGCAGAGCGCAAAGAGCTTTATGAGAGACTCGACATACCGTACCATGTGGGTAACGCGACCATGTACCAATCGAGTCAAGGCTTGTCGCAGCTCCTGTCAACTCTGTTACAGGCAGATAAGAGCAAAAAACGTCGCTCGATACTCGGCACTGAGAGTTTGGCGAGTCCTGCCGGTCAAACACCAACACAAAACTTTCCAAATGGTGCTCGCGATAGCCAAGTAGAAACACCTACCGCGGCCACCTCAAACAACAAGAAGTTCGCAGCATCTGCAGCGGCAGCAGCAGCAAATGCTCCTCAGCCATCTGTCAAGGCTCTTACCAAAGAGGAAGAGGAACGATACGGAGTTCAACACCATGATCGTGTTACTCCTGGTGTGCAATTCCGTAACGACAAAGCGACGAAACTGACACAAGCAAAATCAAATATCCAAACACAGAAACTAGCTGCTGCACTCACTGAGCTCGATATTCCTCCCCGGTTGCTTATGCCTACAGAGAAGGTGTGCAAAGAGTTTGAGAAGTTAATCCATCAAGTTAACTCACTTCTGGACGCTCGCAAAGTCGCGGAGAAAATTGAAAGTGAAATTCGAGTCCTCGAGGCTGCCAAGGACGAACGCCGCAAGAAAGATTCAGAAGTGAACCCAGAGAAGGAGAAGGAGAAGACAATCAAGGTAGAATCGGAGGATCAGCCTGGCGTGCCTAGTGGTGACAAAGGAGAAGAAACCACTCAGAGGAAACAAGATAATGGTGACTCGAATGATGCCGATGATGACGCTGCCCAAGAAGACGCAGCAGAAGGAGCCGTTGATGCAGGGGTCGAGAAAGCTGCTGCAGTTAAAGAGAAGCAAGCATCTTCGTCCCATAAACGATCTGCTAGCGTTCTCAGTGGTTTTAGTGACAAGAGCTCCAAGAGACAGCGAAAATAGCTGTAAGGGAACCTAGCATATTTCGTGTCCGCCCCTAATGTTTTATATGCGCGGTATACGAGAGCGATATAATTGTCTAGTGTATGATAGGTATATCTAATGGTTAATCAAATTCTGTCGTGCATCTTGCATTATACGAATTTGACGCGACATCTGGAGTCGTTTCAACTACAATCAATTATTCTTACAGTGGTACCATAATGGGCCATTAGTAATAACCTAGTGATTTTGAAAGGTGCTGGGATTTAAATACGACTTCAATATCCCTATCGAATTAAATCCAATATAGTTATTGGAAATGTAAAACCAGTGATTACAATAAAGCTCCTAGTCTCGTTCCAACCTTCTAGCACTTGCCTCTCGAGCAGCGATTAATCCAATCCTGCGTGATACTTAACTACTTCTCATTTTCCTCGATCAAAGTTGGATAGAATTGTATTGGAGATCCCTTGATGCTTGTTCTCGGAATAGCTTCCCTGAGAGCGGTCTGACAAGGAGGCGCTTGCACAGAAATCACGAACAAAAACACCATTCTCAAAAGTTGCTGGTTAATTTGTCTCTGCCTTCGGGTTGCTCACGAATTTTGGTAACCGGGAATGCCTTTTGCTATAAGTCTCCTGGTTTTCTGCCGCTAATTTGACAGCTTCCTTCGCCTGGACTTTGATATTTATGATTTGGTCCACATCCTTGGTTGCATAGGTTTGGGCAGAAGCTTTCTTGTCGTTATTCGTACTTTTACAAGGGCTGTTTGAAGCAGGGTTGGTCTTGGTAGTGGTCTTATCAGGCTCCTCACCTTTGACGAAAGAGTATCCATACCCGCAACGTTTACCTTCCGTCATCCATCCAATACTGACTTTTCTAGTCGAGTCGTTTGAATCCTCATATTCCCTTTTTCGAAAATTGAATAATTCGGTAAACTTGCTCTTGACTTCAGGCGTAGATGTGCCGACGAGGTCATTCTGGCTTGTACAGGACTCTGTATCTTGGAGGACATTCGCCCCTAAGGAACGGGTGCGGTTCTTCGGAGTCAAGTGGCTGACAGCGCTTCTTCTCTTAGGAATAGCAAGAGAGTATATTCGTTGGTGTTGAGAGGATACCAAAGGGTTAGAATCGCTATCGGGCAAAATCGACATGATTTTCTCATCTGATCCCAAGCTTCGTGAGGCATCGCTTTTCTCCGTCTGGCGGCTACGCGAATGGAATGACATCCAGCTCTGGCTGGAGAACTGAGGACTAGATATGTACTGAGCATCGCTGTCATAGTCTTCATCACTGATGAGATCAGGTGTGTGAAACTTTTTCTCTGTGATAGCATCTTTGCCTAGCGTTTCTAGATTGGTTTGACGGGGAACGCGTTTTGGCTTTCCTGGAACGCCATTGTAGCTAGTAGAATGCACTCTGTATTTGACTAGCTTTTGAAAGAGAGATGGCTGAGGCTTTGATGGCCCATTCTGGGGATTGACTGAGGAAGAAGGAGCATCAAAGGCCTGTCGAAAAAGGTCTGTCAATTCGACTTCGGCAACGGCATCAGTTGATGGTAAATCGTGAGCTGATGCCTGTGGGGTGTTGCTGACTCTGCTTTTTTGTGTTCGACTGCTCGATCTGCGTTGGAAATGGCTCCTAAAAAAGGTCATGACGACCCCTAACGCGCCCAGTGACGACAAGCTGCAGTTGACAGGCCAGGAATAGGGGTGTTATATCATGCAGTTAGATGCACATGCTTGATATGATATTGACAATATCTGTGTGATGGAACTAAAGGAACTTTTTGAGAAGTCTGCGTGGTGTTTATCCAACACAGAGAAAGGGTGATGGTGAGGTAGAGGGAAGGCGCGCGGTCAGACTTTCCATTTATGATGGTGACTCTTTCATCCACGTAAGTCTGTCATAGTCACTATCTTCACTGAACAGTATAAATTAAATTCACTGCAATATTCCCCGTTCACACCAAACCAATGTGTATTTTATTCAAACCATTTAATTTGGCAATGAAAACCATAGTTTCACAGGATATATGCCATATTCAAAAACAACAAGTAAGCACCCTCCAAAGTACGCCATGACGAAATCTGCAAAATCTAACACCCAGAAACCATATTGAAGGACACGCCACCACATCTAGTTTATTCCTAAAACAGATTTTAGATTTTATAAGAAGGCAACACCAGGAATAGCAGCACTCCGTCCAGCAACAGCATCTTTGCCAAACTTTTGACTATACCATTCTCGACCACGTCGTGCCTGGGGCATCATGGTGAATATATCATTCAACACAAAGACAAGAGCTGGCAAGGGGAGCGGTATTTGCAGCCGATTAGCCAGCGAAGCGAACGGCCTGATCCACGGAGCAAGAGTGATCGCAGGGGTGCTCAAGGTCTCCTCTTGAAATAGCCCCATTGAACGGGCAGGGTAGACAGAAATCCCCACAAGCGCGAAACCAATCCACTCCAGCCACTCAAAGGCGTAATGAGGGTAGAGAATCCACCTGAAAAGACCCGATGGAGGAGGAATGACATACACTTTGTGATATATGTTTTGATTTCCTGCTTCGCTGACATCTTTGTCAGTGTCATCACTCTTTTTGGCAGCGCGTCGAAGAGCTTCCTCGCGGCGAAGACTCCAGAGAGTCCGCTCAGCACTGATGTTATTGATTAAGCCATATGCAAAGAGAGACAGACCAACCCACGGGATGGCCTTTTTCCAAGGCGACTCCAAGAGGTCGATCGAGAGCGCGCCGTTGGACTCGTATCCCGCCAATTGTGTGTCGTAGCCCACAATCCAACCACTTATGCACGCGGAATTAAACCAATTGAAGAGACAGGCAAACAAAAAGAGCTCAATTCTCGCAGGAGAGATACTTGGAGCTACAAATAGTGGGTTGACGATAGAGCGATTGATGTAATGAATCACATACAGCGCTGCAGTCACTTTGTTCCAGAATGGTAGTTCCGCGATCTTGAATTCTGCCGGGAAAGTTGCTAGGATGTATAGGAGCTGGACGGGACCAACGAGCTCCATCACACACCAAGCAAACCGGCCATTCACATTCAGTACTGAGTTATGCAAAGAGAATTTGCCTGCTGGGTGGTACCTGACCAGCCATTGCAGTACAGTTGCCTGTACCAATATTGACTTTTAGCATGCAGCACAAGAAAAGAAATTCGGGATTAACTTACGGCTGGAAACCATTGGAAAATGCCCAACTGCCAGCTATAGGCCCACGGCGTGGGTGGGAAGAAAGACTTGACGATGTCGAATATGCTGGTCATGGTGACCGTCCAGGGGGGGAAGGCTAAACCGTTTATAGCGACTGAGGGGGAGCTGCTCCTTTCCAAACCACAAACCAGTGGATGGAAAGAGTTTCACAAGGAGTACGCAAGTATGGCGAGGTAGGAAAAGTGTCTACAGCTGCTCGCTTGTCTCTGAATTCATGTTGCGTTATGTAACATCAACAATGCCATGCCATAAACTAACTGAAAACCCGCAGAAGCCACCCAACGCGAGGCTGCAGGGAGCCAGCCTCCTATGTGGGCCGAGTCGATGCGGATCGGCTGTCTGTGATTTGCTAGCAACAATATCTAGATATCTATACATACGCATTTGATTTCGTGTTATTTTTGCGACTTACTTTCCATGGAGAAATAAAGCAAGTATGCAGCTGGCTGGCTATAAAACGTGTTTGTATCGGGTTTACGATAATAGCAGCGCTGTTGCACGATAATGAGATATGATATTCAACGCTACCCGAAATTGCCTTCCAACTTGGTTCCACTGGTAAAGGTGAAACGCTCTAAGTGTGAAATAGTACAAGATATTCCAGACCCTCCAGCCATTCGGCATGTTTCCGTAGCCACTCGACCCAAAAGACACTGGAAACTGTGCGCTGTTATACGCCATGAACTATTTTGGGTTGGTTCATCAATCATATGTGCATGCAGATATAAAATAGAAACCATCTAATGGTCGTAAATTCATCCAGTAGAGGTATCCATGGCATCCTTTTTCGCAGCCTTCCGCTCCGCTTTGAATGCTTCAATCTGATTTTTCAGCTCCGTGTCTAGAATAGTCAATGAAACCAAGTCAAATTAACGACGGAGATAAATACATACTCGTTATGACGTCTTCAATCTTCAGTGGTGCACGGTTAAAAGGGTCGTTAGGATCACTTAGAAGATGAGAGCGGATAGTTGCCCGATCGATGGAGACCTTCGAGCCCGGTAGAATGACTGGGTCTTCCATGAGCGTGTACATAAGGGGATCTAAAATATGTTAGCTTTTGAGGGTTTTATCTGGTTATTTATTCGCGACATACCGAGATACTCGTCAGGAATCTCTCCAAGGTCTTCCTCTGCTTGTTCGTCTGCTTCTTTGGCCTCTTTGACTCGTTTTTGTAATTGCGCCCACTTAGCCATATCCTCCTCGGACTTCAATGCCCATTTGCGGAGGATCTCGGCCGCTTTCTCAAAATTCTGGGGCTTGTAGGAGCGGCCATCACGTGCCACAGCATATATGAAGTTCTCTTTCTCCATCAAGTTCAGATAAACGTCTGCTATCTCACTTAAAAGTCCACGAGGGTTGAAGCCGTATTCTTGAAGATTGCCCACTCGCAAATTGGAGCTTTTGGGACCCACCATGGCGTCAAGATTGTAGTCTAACATATCGGCTAAACGTTGAACAATTTCTGGCATCGTAAATGAGTCTGCTAACGCTTCCGTGAAGAGTTTTAACATGGCAACAGTCTCATTGGTTAATTGCATATACGATTTGGCTCTTCCCTGGGCCGCTGATAATGCTTCTTCCTTTTCTTCGCGCGTCGTCTGATCCATAGTGTTTCCTTCTAGGTTTAATTGCTCCTGGGTGTCATGGATGGTGATGAATGCAGTGAAAGATTCATCAAGGACGAAAGTAACATCATTAAGCAGAAGGTTAACAAATCGCACAAAAAAGTCGAGATTTTGCTTTGCCTGGTCAGAAAGTTGCTTTCTGTAAGCTGGGTTACCCCAGATGCACTTGATGATCTGGAAGATCTCGTAACGAATGTTGAACTTGTCAAAGAACTGTGTATGAGTGCCGGTGAACTCCGCCTCAATGTAGAATTTCATGACGGAGTGAAGGAGATACTCTGTCGCAAAAGGCATCGAGTTAAGCAGGTCAACGAGAACTCCTCTAGCACCACCAGGGCGAGGCCACGTTCCACGAAAGAGTATGGAAATTAACCCAGCTTTTAGGTAAGGGTTCTTAATGTACTGAGAGCTTTCCAGGAATGCGACACAAAGCATTACGAGCTCGTCACCTTGTGTTGCGGTGACAATTTGCGGCATGGACCACATAATGAATTTGAAGTTGCTCACAATGTCATCAATGAAGTATTCAGGAAGACATTTGAAAACTTCCCGAGGTTCTTCTGGTAAAGGTAATGTAATGCTTTGCTTGGGGAAATCGACCCCAGAAATAAGACGAAGTAACCACACAATGACATATCGCATGAATTGCATTGACCGCGTTTGCCACAAACTATCAAAGAGTACCCCCTGAAGACTGTATTTGAGGGAAAGACCCATATCAAGCTGATCTTTGTACTTTTTTAATGCGTTCTCGAAAGTTCGCAGCTGAACGGGGTTATGAATGTATTTATGTCGCTCTAACTCGAACTTGTTTATAGTAGATTCCATGTGTCGAAGATCTTTCTCTAGTTGGTCAAGTTTTGATGTCAAAGATTCGCTGCCGTAGTGGTGAGCAGCAACGGTCAAAAAGAATATTTCTGTGATGAAATTTGAAGTGCCATCCACTTTCTTCGAATAAAACTCGTCTGACTCATGTTGGTCCGCGTTTATTTTAGTCTCGTCTCGCATCTGTACTCGAGGGTTTCTGTGAAGATAGTGTGCATCGATGCGATCAATCTGCTATGTTTAGTGCGGTTTTGACCTTTTAAGGATGGGGATAGGTACTTTTGTGAAAGCAGCATCCATAAACGGCTCACATAGCTGATCTAAACATGTAGTAATGTTGAACATGAAACCATCGGAAGAAACGGTTTTTGGATCAACTTGCATGGCTCTCCTTTTATGATTTAAATTGATCGCTGCAGCAAACCAATCAAGGACCTTTTCTCTTGCATCTTTGGAAGCCCTGATCAAGTGGTTCACAATATCCAAGAGATCATTACTTAGTAACTGCTGTGTCATCCGCAGCGACGATTGTGAGTTCAGAATGAACCCCTGATCTCTGGTTTTTGGACTTGAAAAATATGTAGTAGTAACGGGCCCCTGGAGCGGAGACAAACGGAACCAGGGCCCAAGCAAGGTAAATAGTTCAAAAGATGCCGGATTAGTAGATCCTATGAAATGGGAAGATTCGGTGATAGCAGCTCCAATAGTAGCATGACGAACGAGATTCCTCAAAGCCTATAAAATAATCAGAAACTTTCTGATTATTTGAATGGGGTGTCCTACCGTCACGTAAGGCTTATAGTCGTCATTCATCGTCTTCGTAGACAACTCTTGACTCAGTTGCTCTACTGTGCTGATGATAGTCGCTTTTAATTCATCTTGATCCTCGAATTGTTTGACAATTTCTGAAAGAAAGTCCAAGTCGATGCCTCGATCGTCATCTGCTTCAAGGAGGAGGTGGGGTATTAATGGAGATCGAGCGGTTGGAGCGGTGCTGTTGATGACATCTATTAGAACGAGAGAATTTCCAAGTGGGACTTCCGTTTAAACTGACTTGAACATGTCTGGCATTGTGATCGCAAAGATACAATAGCTTAGACAAAGGCGTTTGGCTTCGCTGACCACAACGAATCGGGGGTCGTCATCCGAGGCCTTTCGAAAGCCCTTAAACAGCCGACTAACTCGTTTCCAGCATGGCAAGAGGTATTGTAATGGCGGTTCGCGACCGGTATTTGACGCAGCCTCTAGGATTGCCTGGTCAAGTACTCCAACAGACATGCGAGGCTCTGCGCCGTCTTCCTCAAGCTCAGACCTAAGACCAGAGAGGTAGGTCAGACTGTGGCCATGAATATCCTTCTTCTGGGCTTCATCGAGGGAGATGCGGAAGAGTGCACGTAGTGTCCGGTCCTCGAACGCCTCGATCGACTCTTCCGGCTTAGTAGCAGGCCGTTTCGACGGCGCTGGAGACGATGACGCTGCATCGGTCGATGCAGTAGGTGTTATTCTAATTCTCTTTCCCTGTGCTGGTGATCCGAGAGCACCATCTTGAGTTTGAGTTTGTCGAGGCGTTTCATTACTGCTAATTTGTGAAGGCGTAGGTTCGGGGTGAGTGGATGGCGGCCGTGGGGGGGTGGCTGGCGATTCTGAGGATGTTGCTGGGCTTGCTTGAGATCCTAGTTTAGCGAGCCTCTTGTTTCGGATCTACATGCAAGGCTTAGCTGACACTCTCACAGATCGAGCACATTCGACAACTAACCTTATCGGCATCTGAGAGTGGTTCCGACATTGTCGAGTGTTGAGGCTCTCAGCGCCTCGAATGGTTTAAAGTAAAAGAATAGAATAGTCCAAGGAAAGTAAAGGTTAGCTGAATGCCTGCACTCCCAGACCAAAAAAGCCGTGATCCGATAAGCTTTGGGCTGCCTAAATCAATGTTTGCGTAGACGAGGAAATGACAACATTCGTCTACTGTCCGTGAGTTTCGCCCGCATTGACTAAGCTATCGCGGAGGCGGTGGGCCTATGGTTCATCCGATAGGTGAGGGGAGCTCCCCGCCGAACTTAAGAATTATTGGTCTACTACGACGATGTTGCTCAAACATAGGAATAAAGACGAAACGGAGAACACACTCTACGTCAACGGTTGAATATATAATAGCTATTAATAAATCCTGATTATTGGAGCCACGGTGATGGGAACACCCGGCACGAATCATTACATATTGACGGATCCAGCGGTTTCGACTCGATATCATTAATGACATGCTTAATAGGAACAATAAACCAAGCATAAGTCCGTAATACTCCAGAAGATGTGCAATATCTATAAGGAAAAGAGGAGAAAGAGAAGCAAAAGGTGGGGGCAGGCATAGTCGAAACAGAGGGTGAGAAGCGCGTATGTGAGCTGATCAATATCTCGTCCGACCCTTAAGATTATCTAGACGCCGACAGGCTTTTAGCTCCATTGCTCTAGCCTCCTTCATCTTTTCCACGTCAGGAAAGAACCAGCCTTGCGCTTCTTGAATTCTCCGCTCTCGTTCTTGGACTTCGTCATCACATTCCCATCGGAGCTTGTTGACAAACTCTAGTTCGACGCGCGAGTCTAATTGATTGAATTTTCTGTTACTGAAATCATCGACGTCATGAGGATTAATGTAGTAGTCAACTTTCAATTTGGGTGTGGTGCGGTGCATGGTGTGAGGCGAGACAGGCCCATCAAACCGGACGGTAGGAACAGACGGTGTCGACGAACCCCCCGAGAAGAGAGAGGACAGTAGCGGCACAACAAAAAGGAGGATGAGAGGGAGGAGTTGCGTTAAGGAGGCCCAACCGGGAGAAGCAGGTTCGGTTTGGGCGTTAGCTTCACGTGGCCTTCTGCGAGGACGATTCCCTCCGAATTGGTGAACTCGGAATCCTGGGCCGCCGCCCATATTGAATACAAATTGAGGACCTCCTGCAAATGCATTGTTAGCGACGAAAGTGTAGGACTGGGCTGGTCGACTCTTACCGAAAGGGCTGAAGCCACCCCCTCCTCCGAAGAAGCGATTAAACAGTTCTTCAGGCGATATTTCTTCCTCAAACATAGGACCCCCTGCTCCTTGACCTCGAGGAAAGCCGCCGCCACCAAATCCGCTGAAGGGAGAACCGCCAGCTGACGGTCCTGCACCGGATGCTGAAAACCTGTTGTCAGGGTCTCCGCCATATTTATCGTACCTCGACTTCTTCTCTTCGTCTGACAAAATCTGGAATGCTCGAGAAACCACTAAATTTTTATTGCGTTAGTCCCAGCTTGTCTCGAGCCTTTGTAAATAACCAACTTTTAAATGCCTCGTCCGCCCCTTCATATCCATTTTTATCCGGATGTGTCAACAGACTCAGTTTCCGATACGCTTTTTTGATCTCGCCATCGGAGGAAGTCTTTTCAATTGCTAGAATCTCGTAGAATGCGGTTGGAGAGCATTTGCGGACTCTTATCACCGCTGCCTTTTGGTCCGGGGTGTATTTGCGGTCCTGGCTTCCTTGATTATGTTCGCGCGACCTCGCCGTCCCACTAGAGCCTCGGTCGGCTCCAGAAGCCGTGGCAGACGGCATGATAATGTAGATAGGTATGAATGAATCGCCTCGATAGCTGGTTTGTGATGCGTCTTCCAAATGTTTTGCTGATGGTGCTGATCACGCGCGAGCGGGGGGGGAGCAGTTGGAGTGTCACAGTAGCAACACCTTTTGGATCGGGCTGATGGATGATGTCTGCAGAGAGGTCACGTTTTGACCAAATATACCATTCGGAAGTAGGTAACAGCAGCTGGGCAGTGAGTGGTGAGGATGGTCGTGGGGTGTTCTGGGCCTAGGAAGAAAGTAATCTAAAATACGTGGTCTCCGTCAAACTGCCTAGTTCTTCCCGAATGGTAGAAGCTTCCGCGCAACCAAACTAATCTTCGTCGCAGCCATACAGACGGTTCTACATTCTGAATTGATCATTGTATGCAATCAAAGACTGCTAAGATATATTTTCGGATTTAAAACCCGGCTTGATCACATTGTAGTGTGATCGACAACCTTGGCTACACCATGGCAAACACTGATACAACAGAAGAGGCGAAAAAGTCTCTTTACCAAAACCTCCGAGCATGGGGAGGTAAGTCTCAGCAAACCCACGATGCAATCAGCCCTCCAGATGGTCTCTTGCTTCAGATTCCTCTTCTTGTAGTATCCATACGTGATTTTATTGTCAGAGCCTTACCGTTTGTTCCCAGAGAATCCATTGCCACCAACGCTCCTTGCGACGCTCATTACTGCTCAACACATGCGACCATTCCAATTATTCCCCATGACATTCGTCCCCGTTTTGCTGTTTACATCATATGCGAACTTGAATGGATTCGAGAAAGATAGTGCTGGTATTAGCGCGGCGTGGTCCGGGTTATACCTTATTCTTGCCAGCCGACGAAAGCAGGCCTTTATGAAGAAATGGGGAGCTCGAGGCATCGTTCGAGGCACTACAATGGGCTTATGCTTAGTGAACATGGTTGCGGGAGGATTGGCATATACCTTGGGAAAGAAAGACGAGGAAGAGGAGAGCGATTAGAATCGTTGTTCTTGCGACTTCGACTGTATGAGTAGGGATGAAAAGTTGTTGCAGGCGTTTTCAAGAGGATAATGATTTGGAAGATATGAGGGTGATTTGTGAATTTATTCAGGCGGGCGCATTTCTTACGCTAATAAACCATACCTTACGCATGTTATCATAAGTTTCGGGCCAACTAAAACGAGCTACAAGTGAAGTCGCCTCTACGACGTATTCTTGGGGGGCGGTTTGGGAGAAAGCTTCATCATTCCTCCTGATACAAATGTTGCGAAACAACATAAGTACGGACACTTTCTGGCACTAAGGAGCTGAGAAGACCATCGTTGCTTTGCGCGGCTTGTCTCGCCCTCGTCGAGCTGACTGGCGTCTCACCGGCTTTTCTCCCTTCAACGAGCTGAATGCGATCTACCCACTCGCGCTTCGCACCATCTTGCTCTCGACCACCCTGGGCGAGATTCCGCAGGTAGTCTTCTTGCTCTTCACGGTTTCCCCATTCATCGTCTGGTCGCATTGTCACTCTTAGTCGATGTCGCGAAAGGAAAGGCTCTAGGGGCTGAAGGGTGTGAGTAGGCGGGTAGTATTTGGGGTTGAAGATGCGTATCAGAGTGTCGTAGCCTGTCAGATGAACCTGCTCTAGACCATGGGGGTATTCACCGGATTGCTCTATGGCGGCTGCCTTATCGACAAAATAGGGTTTCTTAGTAACGCCAATGTCGATCTCTGGCAAATCGCTGAGCGGTGCTGATGATAGCGACTGGAGATGAGTACGTAGGTCTTGCGCGAGCAGAGTCATCATCACGAGGCGGTCCTCGTACAAGGCCGGCTTGGAGGGCTTGTCGGCATTCTGCGTAGCTAGTAGGAGCAGCAGTCTCGACGGGCGGTTAGACTCTTCGAGCGCGGAGGTTGCGATCTTCAGGTGGGCGGATGTTGGAGGATTATAGGAGGAGTCTAGAATGAATAGGGAGCGGGAATTGTCTCGCGGCCGTCCTGCCAATTGGGGCGGAACGGTGTCTAGAATCTCGAATGTTTTGGACGACGCTATGAAGGCTTTCAGAGCTGTGGCATAGCGTATGCGGAGTTGCTGAACCGACGAGCTAGTAGCCATAGAGCACGGCCGTTGATTGATCATGGACAGCCACTGTAATCTTAGATGTAGTTATGGCGGATATTTAGTTCATTGCTCGGAGGGATGTGAGGATGACGTCTTTGGCGGCATGGACGGATTCGGCAGGCGGTCAGCGGCTCGGCTAACAGACCAGGTTAATGTTAAATTCAAGCAGGTTAAATTATTCGTATGAATAACAAATACGAATGATCTGAGTTTCCTCACCCATGGTTTTTTTTCGTTTCCCCCAGAATAAAGCACAGAGGTGGCCCGGAAAGAGAACCTTATACAGATCCCTCACCCGTGATTAGATATTATTCTCATCGGCGTCTAGATAACTGATAAGCAAGGATTCGACTGCCCTTGGGTCAGTATTACAGAGATTGATTAATTTAATAGAAAGCCTCTTGTGCCTTGCCAGCCAGTGGCACAGACATCTGCTCAGTCAGACAACCTATTCTCTAACTAAAGACGAAGTTTTGCTTGATGGCCTGTTTCGAAACGGTGTTGTGCGGCGGTGATTGGACGGCGGGCAGCAGGAAAGTACTAGATCGGAGGAGATGAGGGATCTAGGGAGGCGCCGGCAGGCCAATCAGGGTGGCGGACTGCAGCGTTTGGAGACAAGCGGGGCTTACGCCAAGTGGGGCTTGCCAATCATGTTGAAACCTTGTGTCTCCTTCATATAAAGATACACACAGGTACCCCCCACTACGTATATCTACATATTACGTGTACGCCGATGTGAAATAGCAGTAATATACGGATAGTTACTGGACGCTATGTAGTATACGTATAACCCTATGCTAATATCCAGAAGGGACGCGTTGTAAACATGGCACACCACAGCGCCGCGCCGTGGAATAGTTGGATAGTGAGCTTGGACGTATGTACGTACTATGCTGGTGTACTCTTAAAAGGAATGAGGCGTTTAATTGAAGGGCACACAATATCTGCCGGCTGCACGCCACCAGATCCGCCCTCGAATGACGCTGCGTATTTCCAGCATCTGGCTAGGCCCACCCAATCTATTTCGCTATCGGGATTGCTATAGCGTAGTTTCAAGCTGCTGCCACAACAGCCGCTAGACTGCTAGTGCTCCCGGCTGTCTACCTGGCTAGACTCTAGACTCTTCGACCACTTATCTACCCTCACTGCTGCGTTTCTCTTCTCTTTCTTCCTCCTCTCTTTTCCCCGTTATTAAGGCTGGTCTGCTTCATTCGTTTGGCACTCTCTGGACAGAGCCATCTTCCTTCTTTTCTTCAAAGCTCTTTCATTCCTTCAAGAGCTCCAAGCGAATTGACTTCGCTCACATTCTTTCCCTTATCATACACACAAAATCTCTTCTCGTAGACGAGTGCCCATCCAGCTTCATTCTTTTCCAACACTCAGCCTTGATTGAAACCCGACAAAACCATACATTATCAAAATGTTCTTTCCCAAGCTCTCCATTGCCATCCTGGCTGCCCTGGCCGCCGTGGGCGAGTCTCGCCATGGCCAGCATCTGCACCCTAAGTATCCTCTTGGAACCGGTAGTCAACCCGCATCAATTGCTCATCCAACAACTACTATCTACTCTTCCATTACACTGTCTCCCGTTCCTCTCGGGACGGGAGTTCCTAGCGGCCCAGGCCGTGTCTACACGACTGTCACCGACGCCCACGATGTGACTTTGACCTATACCCTAGGAACCGGTACCTCCACATCGGTCGTGACCACTACTATCCACCGCACTGCCACTGAGACGACCTATGTGACGATTGTAAGTAGAAAAGCAGCCCGAAGCTTTATATATACTGACTAGGACTCCAGACCCCGGGAGGTCAAGCTCCTGGTGGAGATGATTCCACAACGACCCTTTCCACCACCTCTACTTCGACCACCACCGTCACTGTTTTGGCTGCAGAGACTACTTCGAGTGGTTCCGGCAGTGGCCCTGGATCTGGATCTAATGGTGAGGGTTGCTCTGGCCAGGCTACTGTCACAGTTACAGAGAGGGAAACCGTCACAGTGGTATGTTTTGTCCAAGTATGATGGCTCGCGTCGACTAACTATCTCTATAGACTGCATCTCAAGGTGTTGCTACATCAGCTGGCTTTACTACACCCGTTGCACCTAACGCCGTAGTTACGACTACTGCTAAGCCTTCTTCAACATACACCGAGCCTGATTGTGATGAGCCAACAACCACTCCTGACTCGCCTAAGGCCACCGAGACTACATCCGTGAAGTTACCTCCGGCGCCCAGTACCTCTGGCAGCAATAACCCAACTAGTGTGCCATACCCAATTTCCACAATTCCGCAGACCACCTACTTGGCTTCTTCTGGTTTCCTGACCAGCAAGAAGCCTCTACCCACCGGCTTTGGTCTTCGTTTCCGCGATTAGATTGGATTTGGTGTACAACCAGCTACAAAATAACGATCCATAACCAAAGCAAATTTCTTGACTTCGCTACCAGAGGCTTTTTACCATCCATGGACAGCTTTCAAAGGGGAATACACGACATTCATCTTCTTTTCATTGAAATTAGCATTGATTTACACCGCTACATCTTGATTTCAAGATGAAGGGCGGTGTTAATCCCTGCTATTTATTTTTTCTTCTTTCATCACTCTACTGCTAGTAAGTAGCAGGTCTGACCACCCAACGCATTCTCTTGCACAACACATGATTCGATCAACACCAATATTGACCTGGCGTTTTATTCCGTGCTAAAAATATGTCTATGAGGATGTCCGATGTGATTTGGGATGGAGCAAACTTTTACATTCTTCTTTTTTCGGAATCTTTCTCTTTTCTTGTAAAATAGTTGATTCTTTTCTCAACTTAGACTTTTCAACCTGTGCTCATGCTCAATTTAGCAATTCGTATCACCGCAGATTATTTAGACGTTCAGGCTTAGTAGGAATCCTTTTTGGCAAGCACAAATAATTATATGACAGCGACAAAACATAAGAAGATTCATGCCAGTCTAAACCTAGATACATGCATTATTGCCATCCCAGAATTTGAGTACAGACCTAAGCCGATATTGATATACAGTCGACGTCAATCACTGTATATATAGCTACATATGTAATATGACGAGTCTATATACAGGGCGAACAAAATGCCAATATTATACACGTTCCTCTCCATCTTCAATGCTTATTCTTATCACTCGCAAGAGACATTTCCACCCTCCTCAAAGCTTCAACACCATCTTTAGCGAATTGCGCTCGTCTGTCTTGCCACTCTAGCCACGTTAACCCTTGCAATAAACAGTCTGCCAAGTCATCCAACTTCTCAATCCTCCACGCTGCTTTAGACCTCTGTCCTGACCATCGCTCAAGATAAGCGGCAACCACAGTCTGCACATCTGATGGTTTCGCAGACGGAATACTGATTCTCGGCCGCGACTTGGAAGGAAAGGAAGAAGAAGAGCCTTGATCAAGCCATTCACCAACCAAATCAATCTTCATTCTCTTTATACTCTTCTGACCATCCTTGCTGTCGTCTCCCCCTTCCTTTGCACCACCCCAATACTGCGAAACACGGGCTGGACTAACACCATACACCGTGGCCGGGCAACGTCCGAGCTGCTGCATAGTATGTAGTACAGCATGCAGCATCCCCTCAAAGACCCCCACGCGCAGCGTCCATTCCAGCACCGCACTCCGTCCGCCTGACCGAAACCGCTGCCTTTCGATTAGAATGTGTGTTGGGTTGTATGCTGAAATCAGTGAGGAAAGCAGGGTGTACGCGTTTCCAGCAAGGATGTCAGGGTCAAAGCTTCTTTCCCGCTTGCTACTATGTTCGCCTATGCTATCGTCGTCTTCTTCGTCCACCGCATTATCCGATTCATGACTATTACCGTCTGCTCCCTTCCCGCGGACCTTCTTGGCGGTTAGAGTGCGGAATGCGGCCGGTGGAAGTACAAGACTCTGTGTCTGACCGGTGGGTATAGCAGCAATAGTAGTAGCAGAATGAAGTGGGGTTATTGCTGACAGCTCCTGCACGCCAATTCGATGCCATGCGTTAAGCGTTGTTGTGTGCCCTTCGTAATAATCACCAGTGTCAGTTTCAGCCTTGGCCGGCCTGACAAGTAAATGCGCAAACGCGAGGTTTTGAATCCCCATATCAATGCTCAGAATACTCAATGAGTCTCCATCATTCTGCTCTAGATTCACCCGACTATCGTTGCCCGGGTGAAGAAGCGAGTTAGTTTTATTATCGTCATGTTTGTCATGAATATGAGTAGGAGGAATATTAGGCAAGAACACACTCCGCATAAGCTCCGTTCGGAGCCTCGCGCTTAGTACGTCTTTTCGCCCTGGGTTCCTGATACCGGTCGCGCGTGCGACGGTCTTGAGCTGAGTAGCCTTGAGAGATGCTAGCCAGGTGGTCAGAGGGTCAGCCGCTTTTGTCAACGCGTGTGCAGTAAGGCGCATAGTAGGACGCAGGGTTCGCGGCTGTATTCTCCTAGAAACTCCGGCGAAGGCGTGCAAGCCAGCTTTCAGAGAGGAAAGGACCTGAATTGTTTTATTTCTGACTAGACATTTAGTTGATGTTGGTCCAATGGAACACTTGGAAAGGGTTGGTGGTAAACATTAAACAATTAGCGCGGCAAGGCGGGATACAAAATAATTCGTGAAATGCTGTTAGGCTGTGCTCAGCCTGGTGGGTCAGGTCTGCATATATCAACTCTATTTACATACTCGTGCTAAAACAAAATGCTATACTACACAAAACCAGGTATGCTAAGCTTGCTCGGACCAACTATTTGGCGCATCGCTTATCTCCATGCGCCATTGAATGCCAAGACTAGAACCAACCAGTGCCACTGCGAATGACTACCAAGTCAAATCAATATGTAGAACGCCAAGAAAAGACAGGATCCAGGCGCCAAGAATAATGCAGATCAATCCGTTAGAAAACAAATAACACAAAAGAAAAGTATACAAGCTAACGCCGAGACCAAGAAACTGGCATCAAGTTCATGGAGTCTCGGCCATATATACCAACGGTGCCCATACTCGCCAGTGCAAGACGCCAATGTGAGCAAGCTTTGTCGCAATATACCCGAGATCAGACGGTTGAGATCGAAGAAGTTGACGTGCCCGTTGCGATTCACAGATCTCAAGTGGTGACATGGAGATGTATCTTTGCGCAAGTTCGTAGGTTGTATGCTGCAATTGCTGCCGCACGCAGTTTTGAACGAGCCGAAAGGTGAACGAGTCTTCGGTGAAAGATTTCTTCAATGCGGTTTCGACTGTGCTCAAGGCTTCATCTGATACTTCACCGGTACTTCGGTTCACCTCACAAACTAGCCGAGCCATTTCGACCGCGATGCTGGCGTCATTCGGCAGACGGGTTCCTAATTTTGGGCCTTGGTTTGACGACACATCAATTTCATTTAGCAAGGCTGAGATTCGCATCATGAAAGTAGAAAGTAGATGGGAGCGTGTGTATGAGTGCCCGTAGGGTGTGTTAGTAACCATAGACTCGAAGATCGACCAGCAGACGTGGATATTGATAAGGTTTTGTACTTCGGTTCGAAGTTGCCATAAGCGGTGGTTATCAAACTGAAAGGCCTGTGGGAATTTCACATCATCGTCGCCTTGGAGCAAGAGTTCGCATAATCCTCGCAACAAAACCGCAACTGGAGAGAATTTTCTGGTTGCAAATTCCTTGGGTAGGTCTGCTATTCGCTTCTGTCCATCCTGATACCATGCTTTAGTTCCTTCGATTTTGAGCTCACGCGAGGTTATCTGTCTGCAGAAATAATCCTGGAGAAACGGAACAGTGTCCTCAATAAGAATGAGACGAAATGCACGGATTTGATGATTTGCAACATCCTGGTTAATCAAGTGCTTAGTAAATAGTAGTGGACTGATTTCCTGTACGGTTAACATACCAGCTTCATCATCTCCAATATACCAAACAAGGTCCTCAGGCCCATGGCTACCTTTGCCATGTCTTGAGAAGCGGACCCTTCAGAAATGTGTGACACCATTTCATCTGCATTTTGATCTCTCATCGGAGCACAATGCGTTTTCAAGAGAGCTGCCAGCCAGCTGGAGAGATTTGGTAGATCAAGGACGCCCTTCCGGACCTGCTGCATGAGAAGGGAGACATCCAAGTTTTCAGTCACACTAGCATGGTCTCGCTCAGGCACGAGGGTTTTGAGGATTTCTTGCAAGGTCTCGAACATCATGGGTAGTCGTGGCCGGAAGAGGCCTTCTTTGAGGATTTCTGAATCAGGAATTTGAACGAGTGAGATGTCATCCGTTTGAGAACCGTTCATATTGACATATGCGTATATCATGATCTCTACTAACAAAGCTTCCCAGTAATCGTCTGCAATTTTCCGCTTCTTTCTTCCTTTTTCTCCGTCTAAATCGGGTTTGAAGTGAAGGTCTGGCTCAAAGTTTGCATCGGTTCGGAGGTGAATATTCCGCATGATGCGTTCAAGATCCAGCTCGCTGAGGGTCTCCTTGGTAACCGGGGGTAGCAATTCGGCGCATCGCAGCCGACTTATCTGGTGGCAGTCTAACACCATACCTTGAGGGATGCGCATTGCCGTGACCTGAGTGCGACAGCCCCGGGTAGGGAGGCTCGCCTGGCGAGAGCTTCTCACCGAGAGCTTCTCATCAGGATCGCAATCGGCGACACATGCATTGGTGGCAACAGCACTCTTCTGGGGATCCTGTCGAGGGTCGATGTTATCGTTTTCTGCGCCGCTGACTGGATTCGAGGGTCTACCATATCCATCCACCCGATACTCCGGTTTATCCTCTTTGTTGTTGCGAGTGTTGGGTCGCGACTTCTTGGGCTTCTGTAGGTCCATTGCGGCAGGAGGTTCATGCAATCGAAAAGTCGCAGAGGAATCAATTGATGCTGTCAGGCACAGTCCGGGCTCGTTCCTGGGGTAAGATGTGTAATGGCAACCCGTTCTTTGTGGCTTGTGTTGTATATCTATCTGTATATACCGAGCTGGTCGAGATGACGGAATGATGCCGCATGCAGCCTGGAGCGAAGACAGAGGCAGAGTCACAGACGCGGACACGCCCACGCCATCCAGAGGACAGAGAGGGCCCGCGACAAACAGGCGGCGAGCAAGGGAAGGCGAGGCTCGGGCGGTTGTGGGAGAGCAGGAAGAAGCCGCGAACGGCAAGTATCAAGTATGCGGCGACGGAAGGAGAAGGAGCGGGTGTGCTGCTGTTTCTGTTCTTTCTTCTTTTCCCCGCCAACAGCAACACGATGGACGACAGCAGCACGGTCGATTTGCGAAAATGAAGAAAAGTAAGCGACAAGCGCACTCGTTATATCGCCTGCATGGCCTGTTGCGCCAAAGCGAAGATCCAACAAAGGGCCAAACAAGGGAGAAAGCGACGGAGCCTGCCCTGCCGTCTACGAACCACGGCGTTCAGAGTCTCTCTTCTTCACGCTGGGCTGCTGTTATTGGGCCGTCCTCTTCGCCTGTCTTTTTCTTCGGGCGAGAAAATTCGCGCAACGCAGACCTGGATGTTTTCTTTTGGCTGCTCGTGCTCTTACTGGAACTACGCCTGGGTTTGGGGGTACCTTAGTCAGTAAGCTCGGTGCTGCTGGCACTGCAAAAGGGGGTTCCCTTCCCACCGCCCTTTTCTTGTGTTAGCGCGGTAGCAAATAGACATAGGCGAGCTAGAATTGGACATGGGCAGGGCATCCTGATAGCAAGAAAACGCAGGAGAAAAGTGAGGCTGATGCGTGGGGATCTGCAACATTTAGATCGACGCTTGCAGCAGACCCGTTTTCAGTGCGTATGCGCAAATGTTGGACACTCCTTAGAACTTGTCTACTATTGTAATTACGCACGGCCACGGTCTTGTTGGACCGTTGCCACGCGCACTTCATCTTAGTCTCGGCACTATAACCAGAACATTTTCATACATACATGATACGTGGTGTGTGACGTCTTTGAAGGGACACCAGGGATGGTTCTACATGAATGATGAGGGTCTCCCGCACTAAAGAGGACAAAACTAACCTGGCCAATTGTGACACCCCTACGGGCCAGATCCGAGGAGTCCGGCCACAGTTAACCCACCGAACAACACGTCTTTAGACTCTTTGAAGGATGTGTGCAAGGGTGAAGCACGCATTGTTTTGGGGTCTTGGCTGGACTGGAGGTAAGGTACAATGGGATCCTCGCTTGGACCTCAGAGAAAGCTGAACAATTTGACGTGGTAATTCGTGTGTTCTGGTAAAGCCTTATCTTCGCGTTCAGCCAATTCGTTCTATCGGTGAAGGGTGGGCGTTGCTGTCTGGTCATCACTTGCCGACCAAGTCACGTACACCCTGTGAGCTTTAGGAGTTGGACGATATTACAATTGCCTAGTGGCAACAAGTCCATAAACCCCAAGACTCGGTGTGAGAATATTTGATCAGCAACAGTCACGAGGGATCATGGACTAGAGAGCAGTCTGACGTGAAGCAGGTTGATTAGTGTGACCTTTTTAGGATGGAGCAGGAACAAGCGCCAATAGTCGCCGCGACCAATGGCGCGGTCACTCGATGGTGTGGACGGATAGTACGGGATTAATCCATGGACGGTGGACCACGCGGAGAGACTATTTTAGCTGCCCAGACAGACGGGATACAGCGTCTGCCGGTCAAAGGTGGAAGTGATTTGCTTGATGTTTCTTCTCCTCAGCATGTCACCACCACAAAACACGTTTCTACGTGTTAATTGCATGGATTGGGAGAGGACTATGGTCTCAGCAACTTGATTTATCCTTGCCAGTTCGTTCGCCACGACATCATGCGCTGCGCTGCACAGCGGCATGCGGTGCGAGGCTAAGGGAATAATAGGGGCGAGTCGGTCCGCCACGTTTCCGCCGCCTCACTTTTTTCCTAGCTCTCTGCTGCCACAGTGGAGTAACACCTTCCAAGACACTTTTGAAGTTTTGATGCTGGCCAAACATATTAATGGAGAGCCGAACTGATAATCATTAGAATAGCCCCCTGAGGCTGTAGGTTGTAGGCTTTTGCTTCATTGCACGTTGGCAGACTTGTGAAACATTTTTTGCCTTGGTTGACCTACCAGGCTACCACGATAACCCATTTTTGTCAAAGAGTTGTCAATGACACCTGATGACCCTGGAACATAACGTACAATGGTTTAGAATGTGACGACATACATGTAGAAGACGATAGAGCACAGGCATGTACTGTTATATGCACTGCATATGTATCAATTGTATTCGAGTCCTGTCTCACATTGCTCAATTAGTGTACTAAGATATCCTCCAAGTAATATGTAACAATGAATCCCGAGTTGCATAATCCATAACTGTCATGCATGAAAAATAAGAACTTTTCTATCCTGAAATGTGTGACTGATCTGGTAGATCTTCCGAAAATTTTAAACAAAAACTCCTGAATTATGATTGGGCATCAGCAACGTTTGAACCTATGTATATATACATGCTCCATCCGAGTTCAAGAGCTGACAGATGGGTTTCAATGAGGCAGAAAGCTGAAATCAACTAGTCGTAGTAGCGCTAAAACCCATGTCGTTATTGCTATTGCGCCTGTGTGTATAAATCAAACTCATAAATATGACGGCGGTCGGTTACTGTATAAACAAAGTGAGGGTATTTCCTTTCAAAAAAAAAACAGACAAGGTAGCTTCGCACGACCAAGATGGTTCGCAATAGCCTATCGGAACGTGTCTCATCGGCGGTAAAGATAAGGAGTCTGGTTTTGCATGGATAAAAGTGTGTCGGCCCGCTGGAAAACATCACCCGTAAAGAACCGGTCACTATAAGTACTGGCTGGAGTTGATGGTATAGTCGCCTGAACGGCAGGTCCTAATGCGGCGCTTAAGGGAGTAGCAGGTAGAGTGGATGATTGTGGAGAAGTGCTAAAGTGTCGACCGCTATGGCTCAGGTAGGACGCCGATGAAGATGCATGGTGTTGACTTTGCAGTGGCGGCCCGTATACAGCAGTTGGGGGGACCGAGCTCATATCCGCAAGATAAGACCAAGGAGATGCTTCGATCAGCCGACCGGCCTCTCGACTAGCTTTTTGTACAGGCCGTAGAATTGTCACAATGTCGGGGGGCAAAAGTTGCATGTTCCTTACTTCCCGCATGCCCGTTACCAAGTCAACAAAAGACTGCATGAAAACCTTGCATAATTGCCAGAATTCTCTTTGGTTTCTCATCCCAACCCCTGGCTCTTTGAGCTTCATCGTCAAGAGTCTTTTACCCAACGCCTCGGAAGTTTCGTAGCAAGCATTGCATCGACGGATGAGGTCATTCCAGATAATACGAATTTCTTCGGGTTCTCTAGTCTCTTCCGCAGCTTCAAGGCATCGAGTAAACTGAATCCTAGCAGATGGAAGGGCGTGAAGAGCAGCGTTGTATGTTGCTGTGAGTTGTTTGAATATCCTTTCAAAGATCTGCTCTTCTAGAACCTCATCTAGCCCAGTCACCGGGTTGATTCGACTCACAGATGGCGGGGGAACGGGTGAGAATGATTCGCCTGAACGAGGCGTTGCAAGTGATGACAGCCCCGTACTATTCAGCAACGTGGTAGTCCGGCTGTTTGATCGACTTCGATTCCCATAGCTAAGAGTTGCTGAATTCGGTGTTGATATACCCGGTGAGAGAATAGTAGAGGACGAAAAGGCCGGATTGCTTGGGCCGTTTGGAGGATGCTGGATCATAGTATCGCTTCGCAGTCGACGCGTCGAATAGGTGTTTTCTCTCGGAGTCACCACTTTGGTCGGTATGCGATCCAAAGAAGGGTCGTGTTTTTCAACCCCAGATTGAGACAAGGTATCGCCTCCCATTGGCAGGCTCTTTTTGCGAGGAACAAGTGATGACCCGAGACTTATGCACGCATTACGTAGCTCTAAGAGGCTACCATATACCGTCAACATAAGCGATCGAACGTACCGCGAGTCGCCTTGGGCAACAATCCTTTCCGTGCCTTGACGTAACTGTGAACCGACATGTGTGTATGCCATAAGACAAGTCACGCATTCTCGTTTGACATCACTTGAAAGTCTTGCAAAATCCCGGTCGTCAGGATCTATGCTCATGATGCTTTCCAAAGCTTCGTTCAGTTGTTCTACGTGCGTTGACGCATTGTAGAACACAATTTCTAGACTATGTCGTCGCGCATCATCTCCTTTGATAACATTGATCAAGGTAGAAATATGAGAGTGAATCTGAAATAAGGAAAATAGAATTCCCTTTGCACCCTTCACTATAGGCGCTCGCATTGTCTCTTCCTTATTCTCTGGTAGACTTGACATGCGACGAGAAGCTCCATCTCGAGCTCGCCTGCGCCCTCCACGTGGACTTCCTGGGCTGGAGGAATTGCTACCATTGCGTCCACTGGTAGAGTTAGTCCTAAGGAGGGAGCCATGGCTGAGCCCTCGCAAGTGACTATTGCGATACGGTCGCATCTCATTGAGCGTACCAAGATCAGTCTTTCGCGATATCAAGCCCATTCGTTTGTTCCGTGCCGATTGAGGAATAATTCCTTCGCTATTACTGCGATTACGCTCATTGGATCCATTGGCGAATGGCGCGATCCCAGGTCTTGGGAAACCTAAGCCTTGACCAGAAGCTAGACGTTGATGCGACTTCATAGGAATAGGAGGTGGCCTCGACAAACTGGGTGATCGCAGATCTGATGAACCGTCCCCAGTGCTAGGGATCACAGGAAACCGACTGTTGATTCCACGTTTAACTGGTTTTGGCGTATCTACTATTGTCTCGCTGACATCGCTGCCACTTTCAGGCTCTGGCGTTGCGCTTTGTCGTCGAGTTTTTAAAATGCGCTTCAATTCTGCAGTAACAATGGCTTCTTTCTCGTTCGTTGACATAGATAGTGAAGATACCTCACTTTCTTTGTTCTCAAGTATCCTCCTCAAAGGATATTTCAGAAAATTACCAGACACCTTAAGAATCTGTAATTTATTCATATCCGCGAGTCCAGCTGGCAAATCGTCTAGTCGATTTTGCATAATGGAAAAGACGCGTAATGAGGTTAATTTTCGTACTTCATCAGGAATCCGGCTGATTTTGTTCCTGCTGAGATCTAGAATCTCGAGCAGAGGAAGCCTATAAATCTAGAAGACGTTAGGTTTGTTTCACACTGAGCAATGGTTTGATGACGAACTCCTTTTGGAAATTCGCGGAAGTTATTCGCGCGAATGTTAAGATAACGTAGGTGGGCGCATTCGGAAAAGCGGTAGGGTATATGAAGAAGGTGGTTATTTGACAACGAAAGCCTGTAGAAGTTAGCTCAGTTCTCCCAGCTCTCTTTCAATGAACCGCAGCCTATCATCCATTACCTTTCTACTTCGTCTTTGATTATATCCACAACCCCCTCGGGGATTTGAGCAATATGCGAATGACCGAGATCGATTGTTAATTTTGGCCGAACCACATCACTTACTGCCTCACTACCGGCCAGCGAACGTTTCGTGTCCTGGATACCATTTTCCACCGCTTGTTGGGTTAATTCAATCGTCTCCTCTGGAGTTAAGTGACGCGTTGCGCTATCGCGATTGTTATGGATGTTCGTCTCTTTGGTGGCCTTTGCAGTCTGCTGCAAGTATTCTGAGTCATCGCCAACACTCGACGGAGCACTTGTAATCGAACCGGTGGATGAAAAGCTGGATCCGGGGGTTATAGTTATGTCTTCCATACTTGTTTCACTTCGAATTGAACGTGTGGCCTTCGCGGTATCTCCCAGACGTATCATAATGTTGGGAATGGACAAGGTGACAAGAATGACCACGAGATGTAATCAAATCGCAACACACAATGCGTGTTCAAGATAGTGTGCGACAATTCTTAAGCGTCGCTGGTGCGGTCGAAATAAGCATTACATTGGTAAAATGCATAATCATAGAACCGCAACGGCGTGTTGAGAGTACCAGGTCGGGGCTATGCAAATGGTTTCTTGTGAAGCGGTGACAGGGTAGAGGCAATGGCCGTATGAAACTCCAGGCAAGTCGGTTACCGAAATAAACTAAGTAGCCCGACTAGAATCGATCGCCTTGCAAATAGGGAGAGGTAATCGTCTCGAATATTTTGGAGCAAGGAGCCTTTTGAGTTGGCGGGGATCAAGGGTCGCAGTCTGAGTGCTGTTAACGGGGGGTTGGGGATGAGGGGGGAGCCCAGCCCGCGACTTTCGTGCACGACAGCGGATCGAAGCTGTGTTGTATTGCCGTGTTGTATATGTGTATGGCTCTGGACCGTGGTGGAGGGCGAGGTTGGGTTGGGAAGGGACGGTTTTCGATGCTGGCCTGCGTTGGCAGTGGTGAGTCTGGATTGATACTGGCAGGTGGGTCCAGATGTCCGGACTTGGAGCCTGAGGCTTCAACGGCTGGAACGGCCGCCGATCACGGTTCTAGTTCTAATTAATTAATTAATATCAATGCGTATACGTATCACTTTCTTAGGAGCCGCTATTTGGACGGTCAAGGACATCTGTACCACTAAGCTCACTTCTAAACTGTGCGAATAGCTCGAGCTGCAAAGAGGAAGTAAATGTAACAACCCTGCAGACCAACCCGGGGCAGACACTCTCATAATATCCACGAACGAGAAAATAATGATTTCATTTATAGTACATGTCAGAATACCCACAAATGCATACAGAAAAATACACCTTTGTAGACTATTGATCTGCTTCAGACCCAGGCTCGGCAGGTGAAAGCGTGTTGCTGTCATCGTCTGCGGGAAGAACGGCTTCTGGTGCACCCACAAATGCAGCCTGCTTTTGATCAAGCACTTGAGCTTCTGCCTTTGCCCACGTCTTCCAATTTTCGTACACTTTGTCTTCCAGTTTCATGCTGACTTCCAACATGCGAGGGCCGAAGATTGCGCCTGTCGCCTCGGCTTCCTCCGCTGCTACTCGCTGTTCGATCTCCTGTTTAAGACGAAGCCGATAAAATTCTCGACGAGCGATATCGTATGCCGCGGCCTTGGTCATGTCCGGCACGTTGTTGAGAAGCCATAGTTGTCGCTGTACCACACTGTATAACAAATCATGAGGAAAGGCTCTAAACTTAGGTGGGCTATTGTGACAACAACAGCCCAAGAAGATAAGACATACCTTTCACCATCAAGCCTTTTGCCCGGCTGTTGTAATCGACTCCAATCCCAGTTTTCAAAGTCTTTCCCTGTCTTTTCCACCAAAATTCGAGGTCTTGCCAACTCCCATGGGTGATCGCGGAAGAACTCTTTACGTAACTGATCTTCTTCGTACTTGATTTCCACTGGTAAGAAAATCTTGCTAGGCTTTTTATTTGATTTTGATTGTTTGTGGGAGATTGGTTCGTGGACGATTTCGGTGCGAGAAGTTCCTGGTATCGTCCTGACCCGCTGACGCAAGTATTGGTGTTGAATGGGCTGTTGGCGAACGACAGTTTGAGTAGGAGGAATATCGCCTACGACATCCGCCCAGCTAGGCAGGATACCTATCTTTTTGCTTGCTCTTTGCCGCAGAGCCATCTGTCGCACCCGCAGTGCGGTCAAGTTGTATTTCCCCATAATGGCTCTGGCGAGAGCCCGGCAAGGCCGATGCTGGAAAAAAAAATACCAGAATGTGATCTCTAGGTCGAATTAGAGGAATTAGTTGCGTTGTTTAACACTGGAGCGCAGGATATTGGCTGGCCTCGAAGAATTGCTCGGGAGAGAGGTCGGGTTGTTGGATGCGGTGCTGGGCGCGGCTTCCCAGAAAAAAGACGATCGCGCAAATTGGAGCTCTCCGATTGGCCCACGGGGCTTCCGCGCAAAAAGACCATCCATCTCTGAGGTTATTTCCAGGCACAACCTTTCACGATTCAGGAACCTGGATCCGACTCCTTCTGTTCCAGTTACTATCAAGTATTTTTTGAGTGTTATTTCTGTGCTATATAATCTTTTTCATCTTGGTTCTTGTCGCCCGTGCCCTTGACTGAGATGCATGGTTGAATCAATGCCGCCATGTCTGCATTCTCATGCCGAATCCAACTCAGTCCGCCAGGCCAGCAGAGCCCACAGCTGCTACCCTCCCAGGCTCGGTGTCCCCTACCTCCTCAAGAGCTCCTTCGATGTTCAATCGAGACTTAGCCAATTTCCAGAAATCACTCCGGTGCCTGCGATCCCGACGTCGATCGCTCGGTGTCGAGACGATAGCAGATATTTTTATCCAATCTCTGGTGGTTGCTGGATTTTGTGCTGACCACAGCCCTCGAAGCCATATCTTTTCGGCTACGAACAATAAGTCAAAGAGATCAAGCTTTAGATTTTGCTCGTCAATTATGCACCGTGATCACCAGGATAACTTCGATCGGTCCTATCTCCAGCATCGCGCCTCCTCTCCTTTCCACGTGAATAGGCACTCGAGACCATTGAGTACCTACGCAACAAGGACCGACCATAAAATTGATTATGATTTTGAAGAATCACCAGATGACGATATAATTAGCCGTCGAAACACGCAAAGCGAGCTCATGGCCACAACGAGAAGAGCAGACAGGATTGAAGATCGCCGCGTGGATATGGCCCCCCAAACTGGGGTGGCCACTAGAGAGAAGAAGAAACACACCCAGTATGCTTCACAAAAAGGCGAACGAAAAAGAATACGCGAATCTTCGAATGTGCCAGCTCTGAGCAAGAATCCAGCCGTTACTCTGCAGTCTAGCTCGTCCATAACAGAGCATTTGAAGAAAAACCACGCAAATACGTCAGATATATCAAACGTTTTTAAGAGCATGGTCAAAAAAGTGGAGTCCGGCCCACGTCACGAAGATTTTGACCTCAACTCATTCTTGACTGCCCTTGATGACAAAACAAAATCTAACCAATTTGTTTTCAACTTATATAAGAAACTTCCACCACCTGGAGTTCTGCGCCTTTCAAAGCCTCAGAGAAGCAAGCTTCTGCGACGCTTTGCACAGCCCCCAGATAGGCGTCGTTCTAATGCTCGGTATTACCTTTTCTTGATACAGGAAATGATTGATGCGGAACTCCCTTTATCTCGATCCCTGTGGACATCCGCCATCTATTTCACAGCTCACAAAGTACCTGTTCTTCAAAAGAGGGATTTACAAGATGCCCTCGAACTTTGGCGCCGAATGGAAAAGATTAATGGCATACAGTCAGATGACATAGTATTCGAACTTCTATTTACTATTGCTGTGAAGTCTGGCCAGTTTGCCGTGGCTGATCGTTTAATGGAAGAAATGACAGCTCGAGGTATACGTCATACTCGTCACGGAATGGTCTCCAAAATCTATTACTGTGGTCAAAAACATGACATTGATGGCATACACGAAGCTTTCGAAGAGTTTGTTCGATCAGGTGAAGTCATCGATACGGCAGTCCTTAATTGCCTGCTTTCGTCCTTGCTCCGAGCTGGACAATTAGATACAGCAGAGCAGCTATATTCTCGAATGATTCAGGAACACAAGAGAGTGTCTAATGCCTTTCCCGAAGCACAGCAGAACACCATTTCCCCCTCTCTATCCTCCGATTTCGGTACCTGGAGAAAGAATGCCAAAAGACTCGGATCAACTTTTGAAAGATACGCCTCCCTTCAGAAGCGGCATAGACAACATGCAGAACATGCAGAACAGCTACAGAATGCTATCCCGTTGGCACCTGATACAAGAACATTCTTCATCCTTTTTGGCCATCATTGTCTTCTCACAGGTGACTTAAAAGCGATATGTGTGCTTATCAGAGACATGGAGCAAACCTTTCCCGTTCCGCCTAGAACATTCATTTATTATTTTCTATTTCAAGCCTTTGCTCGCCACAATGGGACAAAAGGCTGGACGAAAGAGAAGCTTCAAGAGGTGTGGAAGGCATTCAGACGCGTGTTATATGAATCTTATACAAGACTCGAGCGACTCGAGATTGATGGCTCGTCGTTTACAAAAATACACTGGGAGAATCCGATCAAATCAAGCACCGAACTCCTACTGGACACTCCCGATGAGAATGAACCCGACGTGAGACCAGTCTCCGAGGATAGCCCGGAAACAGAAGTTTCGAACGATCTCATGCAGGAGGAGGAAGAACTCTTGACCATGTTTGATAACGTGGGCCATTACTGGGACTCCTCGTATCTCGATGAGAATATGCCACGACGACTAGAAAATGCCGTGTTCCTTAGTCGGGAGCTCAACATTGTCATTCTCAAAGCTTTTGGCGCCCATGCAGAATCGGAAGATGTGTTACACGTCTTCACGCAGATCGAAAGGATTTGGAAACCATGGAAAAGACTCCCTTCAGATGCCCAGGCAGTCAAGAATGAATTGCAGAGGCAACTGATTAAGACTCAAAAGAAACGTCGACTGTGAGCGGTCTTGTTTATGTAACGACCGATGGTCAGGAGTCAGTTTGTATGCCTCCAATGACCGAGTCAACACTTGTACAATCTTTAAACCCATGTAAATTTATATATATTTATCCTTCATATAGAATACATCGCTCTAATTTTCCGTATTCTTGGAATTCTTGAAGTTCCGTTAAATTGATATGTCCTTCAATCCCGCTAAGAAATCACATGACACCGCGATTTGCTTGTCGAGATAAACGCTCCCACTGCTGCAACTTCCTGCTAACTGTGTGAGGAACCCGGAGAATTCGAGTCTCGGGGGTCTATCATGACGCAAAACATGCCCCACAGAGATGGTAGATTGTCAAAATCGACACCCTAGGGTGGACATTGATTTTACCCTGCGACGCGTATTTGGTAAATCATCTTTTCGGTTAGTGAATACAACTCCCAATTATTTGTACACCGAGCCCACCATTGCTAATATTTGAAACAGTCCTCTTCAACGTGAAGTTATAGCGGCAGCTATAGATGGCCAAGATGTTTTCTTACAAGCTGCTACTTCATTTGGAAAGAGTTTGTGCTTTCAGCTGCCTGCCGTTGTCAGTCATGGTGGTGAGTCTCGCATCCTAATCTATGGCATTGATAATGTCTATGTCTGGGCATTGGTATATACTAATTCACACGTAGTCACACTCGTGGTATCGCCACTTCTTTCTCTTATGGTGAGACTAGCATTTTGACTTGAAGTTTTCATAAGGAGCCTTATTAAAAATTGTTATAGATAGATCAAGTAGCCGCACTCGAGGCCAATGGAGTACCCGTTGCTACTATCAATGGTAACACGCCATATGCCGAAAGAAGAACAATCATGGACGACCTTTTGTCTGGTCATCCAAAAATTCGATTACTTTATGTGACTCCTGAGTTCTGCAGCACCGAGACTTTTCGGCGGAATCTCATAAGGATCTATGCACAAGGAGAACTAAACCGTGTAGCCATAGACGAGGCTCATTGTATTAGCGAATGGGGCCACGACTTTCGACCAGCATATAAAGAACTCTCTTGGTTCAAGAACAATTTCAAACATCCTCCAGTGCCCATCACAGCACTTACTGCAACTGCAACGCCTCCTGTGCGCATGGATATTATCAACTTATTAGGCCTCGATGTCAGAACGCTGAAGATGTTCAACACCTCATCTGCCCGCCCTAATATCCACTATGAAGTACGGTACGTGGAGGGTGAATCCAATGACTGTACTATGGGAGAATCTGAGGACCCTAAAATACAGCACTTGTTGTCATGGTTGAAACTCGTCCGTGGCCGGCGTGACTCTCGTCTTAACCCTAGTGCGCAAAGGGAGTTGACAAGAACGAAGGCTCCTTCAATGTCTGGGATTATTTACGTACCATTACGATCGGTTGCCGACTGGCTTGCCCGCATGCTTTCAGGCTCGGATAATGATATTCGAGCAGTAGCTTATCATGCCGGACTGCCAAATAGTGAGCGAAACCGAATCCAGACAATGTGGACATCAAAGGGACCGGCCCCGGTTCAAGACAACGAGCCAGTCCCTGCCTTCTCGATAATCGTAGCCACAGCTGCGTTTGGTATGGGGATAGACAATCCTCATGTTCGCTTTGTAGTTCACTGGACACCTCCGCGAAGCTTCGAGGGGTTTGTCCAGGAATCTGGTCGTGCTGGGAGAGATGGACGCGCAGCAATGTCTATTGTATATTACAGCTACGAGGAGCGCGAGAGAGTCTCAGAGAGGATAAAAATGGATGAAAACCCTAAGGCAGGCTCTCGTCGCCGCTACATGCCACAAACTGCCGCCAGCAAAGAGCATTCATTGAAAGCACGTGTTGAAAGCTTTCAAAAAGTTGTCCAATACTGTGAAAGTACATGGCGATGTAGACATGAGATCATCAAGGATTTTTTTGGTGACTTTGAGCTTGAGATGATGGGAAGTACTCAAGCAGATATTTCCAGCCAATTTGTGTTATCATCATCGCCACTAGACGAAGAGCTTCCCACGTCGCCTTGTGATTTTGCATGTGATGTTTGCAAGTACGGTGCAGAGGAAATTAAAAAACGAAAAGAAAAAATTGATGCAAACGATGATAATAGCACCGCGTGCCAGAGGGGCATAGCAAGAGTACAGCCTTTTCACGCGGTTCTCAGCTTACGATTGGACCACTAGTTAACTAAAAGGCCACATGGTAGAAAGGCCAATTCTTGCATCCAACAGCAGGTGCATTGATTATATAGATCATATGATAACGAGTGGTCAGCGACTTTTTTCTTCGGTGTCATTAGAGTTTGTCCGGAAATCTACATGTGGATTCGGTGCAAAAAAAATCAATGTAGTTTTTATGTTCACTAGAGCTACGACGCGATACCTAGAATAAAGTATAATAACAAAGCCACAAATATTAGAAGAAGATCAAGATCTGGATACATTGGTCTTGAAATGGGAGTTTTAACTCGGGCTTATTAGTTTCATGAGGGAGCGACCACCCAGGTATTCAAACTGTCTATGATATAAAATTTGTCCTTTTGAGGCCAAGCGATCATAACCCAGGAGGCGGAGGAACCTGTTGGGCAAGGGTTAGCCTGAATAAACACAGATGACCAAAGCATAAAACTCCTTACAGCGTTGTAACCCCCACTCGGAGGTGGTGGAGGGGGAGGGGATCCAGATCCAGCTCCCGGCGGAGGAGGGGGAGGTACATCATTTGAAGGAGGGGGTGGTGGAGGTGCAGCGCCATCGGTGGCCCCTTGTTGCTGCTGAGCCCATTGTTGATAGTATTGATAGTAAGCGACATAGTTCTGGTAACCGCCGTATGCGGCGTATGGATCCGAGCCACTACCGTAGTACTGGGCATATTGAGCAGCATAGTCGGAGTTGGTAGCACCAGGTGCCCCCTCGCCTGGAGCGCCTTGACCGGTAGGACTCATTGATGCACTAGCTGAAGACTGTTGGCCTTGCTGCTGATACCCGCCATAGCCACCACCATAACCCCCACCATGATGGCGATCACCGCGTTGGCCATAACCACCGTAGCTATGCTGAGGAGGATTTTCTTTGAAGCGTTGATACTGCTCTCGAACGTTTGACAAAAGATCCTCACATAGCTCTTTAGCGTTCTGTACTTGACTGGGATCGGGGCCGCTGCAGCTAGATCAGTACAAAGATTCCTAATTATATAGGTGAAAAGAACATACGCAACATGCAAGTACATGGGTTCATCACTCTCACGATCGGTACCAATTTCTCTGAATCCAGATCCACGACCCTTGATCTGCACCTTACAGCCGGTCTTCTGTTGGATGTGTTTGACGTAGGCACCGCCCTGGCCGACAACCTGGGCTCGCAAATTGAAACCTTGGATTGGTTCTAAGTCAACAGGAATACGTTCCTCGGGCCATTTCCTCTAGAGCAAAATGTAAGTATGCACTAACTTCATGGAATGGGAAAGTAGCCTACCCGCCCAAATTCATCACGCTCCACCTCAGGTTGTTCCCGTCGACGAAATCGACGCTCGTCCACAAGATTCGGCAATTCTTGCTTCATCAGCTCTTCGATGCGTTCAATGGCTTTGTCTAGGCCTTCTCGAGATGTGCTTGTAATATGAAGGTAAAGTGGCGGATTCTGTCACAAGGAACTTGTTAGGGCAGAGCTCGAAGGGCGTGCTAGAGAGCGCCGAGCGGACTTACCGCAGCCGTAGCCATAGACTTATCCGGGTAGTAGCTACCACGGGTCGTGACATCTTCACAACTGATAAGCATGTAATTCACACAATCAAATATCAATTATATAAAGCATTGTATGGGGAAAGGCGTACCGGCGCCAGTTTCTTCTTTAATCTATATCAAGCAGCGGAGGTCAGCAGATGCAAAAGAGGGGCAATGATATGCTATGGATGACTGGGTAAGCTTCAAGCATCACTAAAAGAGCAATCTCTATTGAGGAATGACAGGAATGGGGGATTAATAGACGTAGTTAAACAGATCTGGAACCGGTGAAACCATGTCTATGTGCCTGGGAATATCAGCAAGATATGACAGGATTAATTTACCATTCTCTGCGTAGACCCTTTGGTCAGGGTATATCGATTGCGCAGATCATTGACTTCAATATCTCTGATATAGTCTCCATCCGCAATGTAAACATCATTATCAAGCTTGGTAGCACCTTCGATGGGAGTTGTAGATTTTGCGACAGGGCTTGCAGTCTGTGGTTGGTTAGAATTGCGGAAGACGAGGAACGAATTCTAAAGACCCATAGCTCACCGAGCGAATAGGAGGCACGTCAACATGTTGAATGCCCTTTTTAGCCTGTAGCTGTGCATTTATCTTTGCTGCGGCAGCAGCTGTTCGATGGATCAGTCTCCGTATTTCAAACAGAAAAGGGTGAGTTGGCACTCACCTGCAGCAGCAGCAGGGTCATGTGGACTCGCTGATTTAGGAGCCTCAGCGCCAGGGCTGCGAGGCTCTCGACTTAACGGACTGCGATGGCGTGCCGACTCAGACTGGCGAGAGGTGGGTGATCGTGAGCGACGGTCGAACCTGGACTGCCGGCGAGGGTCGGGTTCGGTCTGATCGAAGCGAGATCGTTTCGCTCGGCGCTCGTCGTCTGCCATCTTTGATTCACAGCTCGAAGGAGATATGAAGCCGGTGGTGAGCGCAAAGTAAGGCAATGATGACACAAAGAGGGAGCTGGCAACAATAATGTGCGAGTTTTAGGTTGGAGATGAACCGTCTGCCCCAAAGAGGAATAGCGGCATGGTGCCTAGAGCCTAGAGCCCTGCAATCTTTTGCTCTTCCTCAACCGCTGTTCCGGGTTGCTTGTGGGTATATTATTAATAGATAATGCTGTCTGGAGATGTCTCTGGTCTAAATGAGGCATGTGCACTGGGTGACAGCTCCAGCAACCCTGCTTATGTTCTAGTTTCACCAACAAGCACACTGATCTGGGCAGTGGTCAGCTCCGGACTTTTTGGCCGTCTCCCCGGTGTATTGGTGATACCGTATGGTAATTAATGCCAATATGTCCATGCACGTGGTTTCAATGAAGAGATTATACCGACTGCCTGCATGCTCTGTATAGTTGCGAATAATTACCGACAGTCTGGGGAAACAGAATGACTCACAAACCCAGACAGACCATGATACGTTGTAACTATTATTGCGTTAGCTCCCACTGGGTGACTCACATGGTGAGTAAGTTACCGTATTTAACACCCGCGTAACGAATCGAGACCGACTTCGGAAGCAGTCTAGAGTCTAGGCAAAAGAAACTCCAAACCTCCCGCTCTTCTCTTTCTTCTACCTCCGCCTCACCACAGCATCATCTCAATTGTCGGTTGAGATTAATAGCGAAACGCCTGCTTGTAATTATTTCGCCCTCTTCGTTGGAGTGAGGTCACTGCGATGGCGTTTCGCCGTGCCTTGGCTAAGCCGGCGACTGCTGCTGCTGTTGCACCTTTGCTATCAACCTCGGCCACCTCAAGGTGCGCCATTGGAGTCTCTCGCTTCGAGCTTGCACAATCCTCGCAATGCCGCACAACAACTAGCTCTACCTCTGCCCTCGCATACAAAGCCCTCCATCGTCGGTCACCGTTGAAGCTCCCTGTCGCTGACCATGCCCCTCAATGGGATGCTCCTGCAGCCGTTTCCTCGATATTATACGAGACTCCGCTACCCTCGACGAATCCCCCTAAACGCCATGTACTCAATTGCCTCGTCCAGAACGAGCCTGGTGTTCTCTCGCGAGTGTCGGGGATTCTAGCTGCACGCGGTTTCAACATTGATAGTTTGGTTGTGTGCAACACCGAAGTCGCTGATCTATCCCGGATGACAATTGTCTTGCGCGGGTTGGATGGCGTTGTTGAGCAGGCCCGTCGTCAGCTGGATGACCTTGTCCCTGTCTGGGCGGTCCTAGATTACACTGAAGCACCTCTCGTCCAGCGTGAGCTGCTCCTTGCCAAAGTCAGCATTCTAGGCCCCGAGGCATTTGAAGAGTTGCTCAAGCACCATCGTGAAATGACATCTGAGGATGCCCCAGAGACCTTTGGAGAGGCTGAAAAGATTGCCTCTCTTGTCGAGGACTCTCACTTTCACCCTCGCAACCTTCCAATCTCGCAAGCCCTGCGCCACAAGCACGAGCATTTGGATGCTATCACCCGCCTCACTCATCAGTTTGGTGGTAAAGTGTTGGATATTAGCACAAATAACTGCATAGTGGAGGTGTAAGTGTTTCCCAATCCAGTCTTGTCTTTTTCTCTTTCTAACTCGGCGCAACTAACAAATCTTAACAGCTCTGCTAAACCGACTCGCATCGACTCCTTCCTCAAACTTATTGGGCCCTTTGGTATATTGGAATCGACTCGCACTGGTTTGATGGCATTGACACGGTCTCCCCTTACGGATGTTACCGAAGAAGTTGAGAAGGAGGCTGCTGACGTTGTTGATGCCAGCACTCTACCCCCTGGTTAAATTGATGATTCTGTTGTTTGAAATGAAGTTATTTCTTGATGCCACTTAGTACAATTTTCCTGTACAATTGAATGGAATTAAATCTAATGCTGATGCTCATACGAGGTCATCTAATATAGCATTTCAGATGTAACTATTCCTCATCGACAAACACGTAGTCTTTGAAACGTAAATGTTCTATGCGTAACAAGCAAAAATGTTATTGAACGCCCGCTCATAAAACGCCTTTCAAAATTGTCAAATATGCCCTATTGCTGTTCATGGCTTGAAGCAAGAAAATACCCTAGATCCGAATCTTTGCGCCAATGCCCTTACCCTGGTAAAATACGGTTGTTGAATATTCGCCGAGCGTAACGCCAACCTCAGCCCTCGCATCCATGCGTAATGTACCACCAAAAGCTCTCTTTACAGCTTCGTAACCAACGCCATTCAAATACAACTCAACAGGAAGTCTGGGAGTTTGTGAGATCCTAGGAGGCACGGCAAAGGGGAGGCCGTAGTCAATTCTCCCAACAGGCTCGGTATGATTGTAAAACGCAGTCGCATTAATACTGTTGATATAGAATGTCGACTTGTGGAGAGGAGACGACAATGTAAAAACAGAAGTGGAAGACCACACGTGCAGCTGTCATGGACATGTATATTAGCGCTCACATTAATACAGATGGAGGTTGATTCGTAACATAAAAGTATACACCGCGCAATACAACGCCCTGTCATTGGTGCAGTGTAGAGGCAAATACTCTTTGATGCAGGATTAAGACACAGTAATTATGAAAAAAGAAAGTACCGTTGCGTCCTTGATGAAATGCGGATTGCCATTGCTATCCCCATCTGAGTCGTCGTCGCTATCATCAGGGGCCTCCAGTTTTGGGACTGGGAAATCAATCTTGATATTTGAAAGCGCCTGTCCGATGCCAGGCTGGCTAGGAATAGAGCCTTTGTGACTTTGTAAGGTCAAAGTAGTATTCAACCCTACAAAGAAGTCAGGCACACATTGGAGACCGAAAACCATTTGGTGGGCTGTTACCTGAAATGTAATTTGATAAGAATTTACGGCCTGCAATCACCCCTGCATCACCGCTAGAGGCCAACGGACTCCATAGTACATCAATAGAAACACCAGTATTGTTTCCTGGAACGATAGACATTGCATGGCCCGTAATATGCGCAATGGCAGTCCCGTTAGAGAGTAGCAAACAATCGATAAAAGGTATGGAGGCTGAATATGGAGTAGGGTTAGTGAAGTTAACAGTGGCCTGAACTAAGACAGTCGATTGTGTTGTATGCACTATATCCAGTGACTCCACTTTAGGGTTTATTAAACCTCCAACAGAGCTCCCGAATGGCGCTATGAAAAATCAGTGTCTTGAATGTCCTTGTAGCCTAGAAGAGCTGCCCACGATTGACTTTGATGCTTCCCTGAGCTGGGATGTCATGTATGGTAAACTGGCCCAATGTAGTCACTAATTTTCCATCTACAAGCGCTTCCAAGTCCAAAACAACCGATTTATCTCCGAATAGCAACGACTGAACAATTTCAGAGAATATGTCACTATCCGTGACCTGAAGAGGACCGTCTTTTATCCCAAATGTTACGAACAGCAGCGGGTCCTCACTATCCGTGCCATTGGTGCGAGTGGCATTGGCATGCTGCCACTTTCTCAAGTCAAGGAAGCCAAATTTGTTACCATGATAAAAGACATCGACATTTGCTCGGACTCGAGGGATATCCACATCAAAATTCATCTCTTGGGGTAAATCTACCACGACTTGAACGACCGCTGACACTTTAGGTTGTGAATCCGGGGAGTTGGGTTCAGCAAAGGGGTCGGGCATAGAGAAATGAACGTCTGTCATTGAGAAATTTTTGATCATTTGACCAAAGTCGTGGCCGGTCACAGGGACCGGGATAGTGACGCTTTTCAACAAATTAACCATCCACAACGGGGTTTTATGTGATGGCGAGTCTGCGCCACGGACATATATTGTTGTTTGATGTCCTTTCATATATCCGGAGATAATCTGGTCTAGAGGTGAGTCCTTCTTGCCTGGACATGCTTTCGTCAATTCCGAAGGAAGTTGCTGTATGATCCCGCTAACATCGACAATAGCAGGGGCGGCTGGTTGAACATCGACAGTATTCGTAGTCGCATTCGCTACCAGTATATAAGGGTCAAAGGGTTGACAATTTGGAACGAGAATATCGAAGCCTAAAGGTGGAATAGCTATCGAGAGAGCATAGTCATTTGAAATTCCCACAGAGACTTCGACAGCAACACTAGGATCCTGGGGTGTCAACGGGTTTTCATGAATATTCAGTTTAAGCACACTGATCGATGGTAAAGCAGGAACGTCTTGATCCGTGATATGCAGTTAGAACACACTCCAGAAAGCTTCTCATATTACAGGTGGATACTTACTATCAAGTTGCAAATCGGTAGAGATGACCTGCTTGCCGATGTTTATAATCCCTGACTTGATAGGAACGTTGGCAGCACTTTTTATGCGTAGTTGGCCTAGTCGCCCGTTCATCCAATCGTCGGCAACTTGACGGATACCAGCCACATCGCCCGACGCCAGGTCAGTTATTATATCGATGTGATTGATATGTCCTTCTCTAATATTCAAGTTAACGGCTGGTAAGGATGCAGTACCGACGAGCACATTGTCGTATTCTGGTAAGTAGACATTCACTTTCGATTCACCAAGCTCGACCTCTTTTGCAATCCAAGTGGCAAATCGACCTATATCGCGTACAGGCTTCTGATTAACACGTTGACCGTCTAGAGTGACATTTCCCTGTACCCTCAAGGATACGCCCGAAGATGTTGCAGAATCAACTGATAACCTTTGTGGAGTGAAGACGACAGCTTGTTGTGCGTATGATTTGACGGCAGCTGGAGCCGCAAAGCCAAATATCAATGTGAGGAGAACCGCGACCGTGAGAGACGAAAGTGCGACGATAATAGGCCAGCGACGCTTGTTTTTTTGGTCGTTCGCCGCCGGTGCGAACTCATGGGAGGAACGTAAAGCGAGCGACGAAGGCCGGCTGCGACTTTGGGTTCCATAAGAAGGCCCTTGTGCATCTCCGCCTTGAAGGAGAGGAGCTGATTCGGAGTTCGGATCGAAGAATGGTGATGTGGATCGATGTATATGTTTGTTATTGTGCGGACTGATGTCTTGTGAATCGCTCGAGAGCCGGCCTGGGGACATTGCGGTGGAGTCGCTCGTCATTGTGAGCAATATATATTGATGTCATGGAACAGGCCCTCGCCAGATCAGAAACTCAAAGGTTTGGCCTACATAGGCGGAGATGCAGAGCATGCGATACGAAAGCCAGCGTTGAGTGGCTATCTGGTGGGATCTTATTGATTGTGTCGCGCATGCCATATTTCCGTTTCAGAACGTCACTGCCCGAGCCCCGCCGAAAGTCGTATCATGTGACCTCCGCAGAGGAAATAGTGACTGTCCTCTTAGGCCATGCATCATCATTGATACAAAGTAACATATATAACTATCATTCCTGTTAGAAAGATGGCTAAAAATGATATTCATAAGACGGCAGATTTGTTATGGAGACTAATACTTCCAGCTGGCGAGTACCTCCTCACGCGTTTTGCTCCTCGCTGGAGGAAATCCATTTATTATTATTGTTGTTAATCGCTTCTAACGACCTTAGCCAGCTTCAAGCTATGAAGGTGTCGTTTCAGTGGGCACTAGGGGGCCTTATCCTTAGGGTTATGTGTGTTGTTGATTCATATTAAAGTCCGCATCTAGACCTGGTTTGGTTGACGGATTGTCCCACTATATTCTACATGTGCCATCTTTGTAAAGAAGGGCAGACAAAATCATGATTCCATTTAGCCCCGTAGTGGCCTGCATCAGACTCCACACCATACTGAATACCAATTCTAAGGGAAACGCAAGAAGAATCTCAGAAGATTTTATATCAAAACTCGGCATAGAGAAGGAAGGGGAGGTTGGTAATGTGGAACTATGCTAATGTGGAACTATGCCATACGCTAACCCTAATACTCCTTCTAAAAGTTTCAAATTACCCTCCTCCAACATGGCCTCAAGCGGAGCGGGATTCGCACCCACAGGGGTGTGTTATAATCCTGGGCCATGCCCCCAAAGCCAGAGGACTCTTTACCCCTTGCCAGGCGGTTTGCCACTAACACATCCCACCCTTTAGAGGGGCCTAAGCCTCTAATCCCGAATGGCCTGCCCCGAAGTTGTGCCTAGCGTTATAATGTGCAAACGAGTTCCTTACCCCAAGCCACTTATATGCGCAGGGCAATTCCGGGGCCTTGTAGGGGTGGCCGGGTTACTTGTGTGGCCGGGATACTTGTGCAATACGTTAGTTGCCCTAGGGTCCGCCAATATGCGCGTCTCGAGGGCCTTTGAGAGGCCCCTATATAAGGGCCTCCCCCGGCCGCCGCGGAAATGCGTTTATGCAGGCTAGAAAAATTAGTAAATCTTAGTAACAAGGTTTGCGGGGATCTGTGCCAATTGAGAAGAACCACTATGGCGTTGATAAACTGGCGGAGAGCTTCCGCGTAGCATTGAAATCAGGCATTTTCGACCGACCTCATAGTAGCCACTGTTATAAAATATTAAATATACCCCTTTAGTCGCGCAATTTTAGCATCTACTGTAACCGTCGTCATTTATCACAGCATTTCGTCGTGATACTTGACATCTGTATTCAGATACTGGCGTTTTTACATTAAGGCTGAATATTATTTCCAAGGACGCTTCATATTGAGTGTCGTCGACAGATTTTCGGCCCAATATGTTGAAAGCCGGCAGTGTTCCAAAAGAGGCAGATGTGGTCGTTGTGGGTGGTATGTTGTCCTAATATCCTAAAACATTTGAGAAGAAACGTCCCCGCTAACTCGGCCTGCCTGTTGGGATAGGCGGCACAACTGGTATCGTTGTTGCGACGCGACTGGCAAAGGCGGATCCTCGACTGTCAATCGTTATCCTTGAACAAGGGGTCAATGTCCGAAATGACCCGCAAATCATCAATCCGGCTCTCTATCTTACAAATATCCGCCCCGACTCTAAAACGGCCACCTTTCACAAATCTGAGCCTTCAAAAGACATTGCAGGGCGCGAAATCATTGTACCATCCGGAAGATGTCTAGGGGGAGGCAGCGCAATAAATTTCATGGTCTACTCTCGACCTCAGAGCATTGATTTTGATGACTGGAAGACAGATGGATGGAGGAGCTCTGATATGATACCATTTCTAAGGAAGGTGAGAAGATTCATATAATAATACGGTCCAATTTGCTATTCCAAATGTTACCTTCTATTTCTATATTGCTTACCCACGTCGTCGTATAATAGTATGAAAATTTCCAAGACACTGACCCCGGTATCAACGAACAATTACATGGATACCAGGGTGAGCTCAGCGTGTCGCCAGGCACCAACGCACAGCCTGCTTTTCAGGATGATTTCTTCAAAGCCTGTAAAGATGTAGGTATAGAAAAAACCGCAGATGTCCAGGATCTCAAAACTTCCAATGCTGTTGGTGTAAGTGTTAAGCTATGAACTGCATTTTACTATATTCAGAGGCTTGGATTAACATGAATGCATAGAAATGGAATATGTGGATTGATCGCAACACCGGTTTGAGGCAAGACGTTGCCCACCGGTATTTGTTCCCTACCATAGACCAAGCGAATACATCACTTCAAGTGGCGACTGACATCAAGGTCGCTCGGATCTTGTTTGACAACAACAAGGTTGCTTCAGGTGTCGAATATTTGACAAGTGGTGATGTCAAAGGCCAACCACAAGTAATTAGAGCCACAAAACTTGTCGTTCTCGCCAGCGGTGCCTTAGGGTCTCCCCCAATTTTGGAAAGATCAGGCATCGGTGGAAAGGGTACGTTGGATAAACTTAACATTCCATTGGTCTCCAACTTGCCAGGCGTGGGTTCCTGTTATCAAGACCACAACGTTATTTTCTATCCTTACAAATCGACCGCCGGCAAGGACGAGACTCTTGATGGAGTACTCAGCGGACGACTTCGATTTGAAGAAGCCTTTCAGGCCAAGCTTTCCAACCCAAAAAGGTATATTCTTGGTTGGAATGGCTTGGATTGCGTAGGAAAACTTCGCCCATCGAAATCAGACGTAGCATCGTTTAGCCCAGCACTACAGCAAGCATGGGAGAAAGATTTCGAACCTCGACCCGAAAGACCATTGATGCTGATCTCAACATTAGCAGCTTATCCTGGAGATCATTCCGGAATTGAAGACGGTCAGTATTTCTGTTGCGGTCCATATACCCCCTATCCCTACTCTCGCGGCTCTGTACACATCAAAAGTAAGTCGGCCTTTGAGGAACCTGAATTTCATTGTGGATTCCTCTCAGACCCGCTGGACCTCGAGAAATCGGTATGGGGATATAAGCTACAACGTGATATCGTTCGCCGCATGTCTCATTATCGAGGTCCTTTGCAAGCTGGGCACCCTACTTTCCCATCAGGGTCCAAGGCAGATTACGACTCTGTAGATAAAGCATCTACAGCCCAAGGCTATCCGGTACCAATCAAATATTCCAAGGAAGATGACGAGGTAATCGCCACCTTTATCAGGGAAAGGATACAAACAACGTGGCATAGTATGGGCACATGCGCGATGAAGCCCCGAGAATCGAACGGGGTTGTTGATGAAAACCTGAATGTTTATGGAGTGGCTAATCTGAAGGTTGTCGGTAAGTCTCCCGAGGTCGATTCTTTCTTATATATTTCCCCCCAAATGATTCTTCTTTGGCGGTGGTGTTTGTTGACGGCCTGTATCTAGACCTGTCGATCTGTCCGTCCAATGTATCCGCGAACACGTATGCAACGGCTCTTGCGATCGGGGAGAAAGCGGCTTCGCTGATAGCAAAAGGCTTGGGAATACCATACTCGATTCAGCCCACAGCTAATTAGTTCTACAGTTAAAACTGGGAAGAATCTCACTGCACCGGCTCGTATCTGGTCTTGGTTTTTATTGTTTGATTTTTTAGCTGATTTAGTTTCCTCGTGAAGTTTAAGCAAGTTAATTGGCTATTTTAATTCATTCGTGACCGTAGTCATTTTTACCAATGGTACATGCTATATTATTATGCTTATCTACACAAGAACATGTCAACCAGAATAAGAGCCAAATTAATTGGCATTACCCATGAGGGGACACCTTTTGGTATAGTGGATTTACGGCTGCGAGAACAATCGCTCTCTGTTATCCTTGCCAGCAGTTACAGCGCATTGTATGATTGCAGAATCCCTTACGCTACGGAAAGGGTTCCGCCATCCGCGGTATCCACACGGCGAAATCCGCGCTCACTAACTCTGTACGTGGGTGGACAATGCACGCCATTGGGAGCCATTAAAATTACCTGGTTTGTGACTGGCCGAAAAGAACATGGCTGTCCCGCCTGGTAAGCTTACAACCCCGGACAAACCCAATTTTGTGGCGTGCGGGGTTAATTTAACAGTTGTACCAGTTCCAGTTGGGCCCATCGCGGAAATCGCGGAACACGTCTGACGTTCTACGTACTTTGCGGCGCTGGAGCACGACCCCGCAGGCCATGTAGGTGGACCTCATAGGCGAGCCGGAAGAAGAGGGATGGTGCAGAAACCAGTTTTTAAAGGACGATGAATGCCTTCAGACGGGATTAAAAAAGAGCCAAAACGACGGTTTCAGGTATAACCCTATTATCAACATTTTGTTTGAGGCTATCCTTGTCAGCCACAATGTCCGGAATACTCGTACTTGCGACTTCCTTTGTTCTTTATATCATATACCGCTTCTTAAATCAAACCGAGCAGCCCAAAATTAAAAATCTGCCTGAAGTCCCTGGTATTCCTCTTTTCGGAAATCTCCTTCAGTTGGGTGATAGTCATGCACGGGTTGCCGCCGGGTGGGCAAAAAAATATGGCCCTGTTTTCCAAGTTCGAATGGGTAACAAGGCAAGTACCCTATATTTTGATGTCTTTGTCCTGAAATTACTATAGGAGTTTAGAACATGCGCTAATACACAAGCAGAGAATAGTATTTGCGAACAGTTTTGATTCGGTCAAAAGACTGTGGCTGAAAGAGCAGTCCGCTCTTATTTCTCGCCCAACTTTTCATACTTTCCACAGTGTTGTTTCTAGTTCGCAAGGATTTACTATTGGTACCTCACCTTGGGATGAATCCTGCAAGCAACGACGCAAAGCGGCAGCGACGGCGTTGAACAAGCCAGCCACTCAGTCGTACATGCCCATTATTGATTTGGAATCGACCACCAGCATCCGAGAGCTGCTCCACGATACACAATCAGGATATAAAGATGTCAACCCAATTCCATACTTCCAAAGATACGCATTGAATACTAGTCTGACATTGAACTACGGAATTCGTATTGAGGGAAACATCGACAATACTCTGCTGAAGGAGATTGTTGATGTGGAGAGAGGTGTCTCAAATTTTAGAAGCACCAGCAATAACTGGCAGGACTATATTCCTCTTCTCCGTATCTTCCCCAAAACAAATAATGAAGCGGAGGAATTTCGCGTACGCCGAGACAAATACCTGACCCATCTGTTGAATCTACTTAAGGAGAACATTGCCAAAGGGACAGACAAGCCATGCATCACGGGTAATATTCTAAAAGACCCAGAGGCAAAGCTCAATGATGGTGAGATTAATATAATGTAATTATTCAAGTCGCAAGCTAACGTCGAGGAATAATTTAGCGGAGATCAAATCATTGTGTTTGACGATGGTATCAGCTGGTCTTGATACAGTTCCAGGCAATTTGGTCATGGGTCTTGCGTATCTTTCGTGCGAAGATGGCCAGCGGATTCAGAGAAGGGCATATGAAGAAATTCAAAAGGTGTATCCCAACAACGACGCATGGGAAAAATGCCTCGTTGAAGAAAAGGTGCCTTATATCACCGCTTTGGTAAAGGAGATCCTTCGCTTTTGGACTGTGATCCCTATTTGTCTTCCACGTAAAAGCATCAAAGATATAGAGTGGGAAGGTGCCACTATTCCAGCTGGAACAACATTTTTTATGGTCAGCATTAATGTCATTTTCCTTCTGTTTTAATGCTAACATGTTTCATACAGAATGCCTGGGCAGCCGACTATGACGAGGACCATTTCAAAGATGCTCATCGCTTCATTCCGGAGCGATATTTAGACTCCTCTGACTCTACCGGTACACCTCATTACGCATATGGTGCTGGTTCCCGCATGTGTGCAGGTTCTCATCTTGCGAACCGTGAACTGTATACTGCCTTCGTCAAGTTAATTACTGCCTTCACAATCCACCCTCCAAAGGAAGAAATGGACGCCCCAATCTTGGATGCTCTTGCATGTAATGCAATTCCTACAGCTCTAACGACAGAGCCCAAGCCTTTCAAAGTGGGCTTCAAAGTCCGTGATCAGAGTCTGTTGAACAAGTGGATTTCTGAAAGCGAGGCGCGTACCAAGGACTTATAAAATAGATATGTGTGGGCTACTGTATTATCAATGTTCTCAGAGGCACGAATAGATCTTTCCGCGTTTTAGAAATAAATTCTTCATGTAAATGATAGTAACGAGGACATAATAAATACAGCTCTGTAAATCAAATCCTGGGATCTGTAACACTAATTTAAACCGATTTGAACCTCCCACAGTTATTACAGGAAACTTTACGTCTTTGAAGGCACCTGGTATGTGTTACTGACATCTAGCTCTTGCATAAAAATCTTTAATGTTTAGATTACGAGATACTACGGATTGTTTAGACGATACATAATATCAGTTGATGTAATTAATCCAGATCAATTGATGTCACCGTGGAGTTTTCTAAAAATGTTGTGTTACTTTGTGTTCCTAAGATAGTCTCCGATTCAAACACCAGTTGACTTCTTTTGTAGATATATATAATATATAGCTCTGAAAGGAGAAATAACCGACTATGGACTTCCGACGTTATAAAACCAGGTTGTTTTCACGACAAGTGCAAATATGTTCTCACCATTTTCGGCTGTTGTTTTGTACACCTGACAGCAAAATTCACCATAAGATTCTTAATAAGGATCTACTTAGAGAACGCTTTACTAAGTGCAAAATTGCCTTTTATCCCTCAACCACGAAATCTCGGAGTCTAAACGATGGTAAGCATACAATACAGTGCAAATCAAGGAGTTCGCGGAGATACGTAAACTAGCCGACAATATGGTGCTGACAGTCTGGTTTTTGTTTCACTCACCCACTCTAATAACTCAATTCGACTACATTATCATTATAATAGGGCGTTAAGGCCTCTTGAGTAACCAAACCAACAACATCAGGGAGTATGCCGGTCCTTCCGACAAAAGTGAGTGGCTACCAAAACAAGGTTATTATTGCAGTCGAGGGGAACTTCTGCGCCATAATAGCCCCATTATTCCATCATTGTTATCTAGTTTCCTTTGTCTCTCTCTATTCTATGTTCGTTCTCTTTCCTTCTTTTCCTCTTCCTTTCGCAAATAGTGTGGATCTTCAGAGGTTTTATACTTGCTAGTCTGAATGCTAGATTAGTCTGATCAGACTGTCGGGTATTACTCTCCGTAGCGACAACCATAGCGAGGAAGGATTGTTGGCCTAGAGAATTAACTATTATTATTATTCGTCGTTTTAGGTTGGCAAGATTAAGCTTGATTGTGTTGGTCATTTCTTATTAGAATATCGATTCTGTCTGTAACGTGGGGGTCAAATGGCTGACATTGGCTTATCTTACTCTTCAACTTCAAAGAAACGAAGCTTTTTCAATTACATCAACATGTAGTTAGTATATATCTAACTGTGGACTCTTCTTTTAAATTTAAGTTTGTATTGTACATCAATTGACATTATTTATCTGACATTTCCCTCTCCCGCTCATTTTCCTCATGATGCCCTGCAACATGATTTCCACCGCTGTTACAGTCACTCTTTTAGGCCTTTCTACCTTCTCATCTGCAATCTCTTGCGAAAAGAATGAGGTGCCTGGGACAATCGAAATGCCTCTGACTCTTGTCGAGAGCGGCGGTGATGAGGGTCCGCAGTATCTGCTCAACATCTCTGTCGGCACGCCGCCGCAAAATGTCACCGTGCAGATTGACACGGGGTCTTCTGATCTCTGGATATTTTCTTCCGATGTAAGTATAGTCTCATCAAAATAAATTATATGGATTGTATATATTATTTGGCTCTGAGTCTAACTCTGAATTTAATGGATAGAATGAATGCAATAACTCCTGGGGCTGCTTAGGAAGTTCATTCCATGAAAATGCTAGCAGCACCCTGGTAAATGACCTTCCTGGCCAGTTTGCATATTCCTATGGCAGTGGCGCCAATGGTACTGGTGATTATGTCACTGATGACGTTCAAATTGGTGGCAAGATGATAAAGAATGTTCGCTTTGGTGTTGCGCACAAATCAAACGGGTTTGTTTCCTGTTTCTATATGTGATAGTAGTAAAAGGCCTGACTCGCTATTAGCATATCACCTCTCTACGGTATCATGGGCCTGGGATTCTCTGATGGCGAATTTGCTGTGAACAAGAACCTTTCTCGGTTCAACACCACTGTCCAAAAAATGAGTAACCAAGGTATCATTAATTCGGCTGCCTTTTCGCTTTATCTCAACAATATTGAGAACCAAGGGAATATCCTATTCGGCGGATACGACAAAGCTAAATATCATGGGGATTTGCAGATGATGGACTTGATTGGTTTCGACGGTACTTACAAGGTATATCCCGCCGTTTGTATTGTACAATATATGCATATTTCTACCCCACTTGATATGTATACTGACAAAAGAAATTAGCAATGGTACGTCAACCTAACTGCCCTTGGCTTGTCAACTGTCTCCAGCAATGGCTCTTCTCCAATCACCTGGTTTGGGAACAGCTCCATTGCTGGAGCAGCCTTTATCGACTGTGGAAGTCCTAAAATGTTTCTGCCCGGTGGCGGCTCTATGAATTTGATTCCCAATGTCGGCGGTGTATATGACCCTGAGGCAAGCTCCTCCTTAATACCTTGTTCTGCCATAAACGACACCAAAACCTTTGTCGATATTCAGCTCGGCGGAAGTGACCCTAACGGACCTCTAATCAAGATTCCAATTAGTAACCTTGTGGAGCCATATACGGGAACTAAGAAAAATGTCAGCATCAATGGAGAGAAGGCGTGTTCATTTGGCCTGAGCCCAGGTCCAGATGACTTCCAGGTCCTCGGTGATGCTTTCATCAAGGGTGCATACACCCTGTTCAACATGGATACCCATTCAGTTTCGATGGCAAACGTCAAGCTAAATACGGAGAAAAGTGATATTGTTGCTGTATAGATAATTTATCCATTGTCATATTAGTGGATCAGCATTGCACACAACAGAAAGAGAAGTTGATACAAGCAAGCTCGAGGGTGCTGCAAAAAGGAAATTCAAATGTTATATTTCCAGTCTTTAGAAAGTCTCCACCTAATATATACAGGCCAGGACAGCTTGTGATAAGTGCCAGTAGGTGAGGTGTAACATTATCTACGCGTCCGATCACCCTACTTTTGGAATCAGACAGTGAAAAGGCCCGTCAAACAAATATCATGGCTAGGGCTCCCAAAATACACTTGATACGTACTGCTAGGAACAACCCATTTTTGTTTCTCCACATTCCAGTAACTACTGTCCCTTCTAATCAACGAAAATCTCGCGGTTTTAGCCTGCCCGGTCTCAACCCGTGGTTTTTGGGATCTTCTCAGTTGCTTTGGCGGGGTAGATGGTAACAATGAGAGCAAACCAATGTAATCTCTGTAAGGAACGGTTTCACCAGTGGTAGGATCAACAGTTTAGGACACGTGAACAGCAAGGTTGGAGTATTTGAATTGGAGAATGCTAGGATAATAACGAAGTTAAGCTTGCAGAAAGCGGCCAATATTAATGCAAACTCTTTCTTACAGTCCATATCCAAATTCGTATCTCGGTTCAATATCGGTCTGATCAAAATTGCGGTAATCCATAAGCAAACCCTCCGAGTAATCATGGTAGCCGCTAGCAACCGCAGTACCCTAAGCAGCCGCCTCTTTGGCAATTGTATATGGCAATTTCCCACGGGGAGATGTTGCGCTTTACAAAATATCTACCTAGAAATTGCCGCTCTCTTGACCAGGTATACCGGCCCAAACAACTGCCACGACGTTCGGCTCAGCGAGGATGGTCTCGAGAAAAGCTGGACCAATGCTATGGACTATAACGATAGCTTTCTTATTGACATTTGCGATGGCCTGAACTAGACCATTCCCCGAGTGCCAAGGATCGAGGTTGTTACGGTCCCCAGCATTCCCTTCGACAGTTATGTTGCTCTCGCCTAGTCCGAGTTGATAAAGACAATTGCTACCTCGGCATTCAGAGAGATATATGTATGAGCCAGGTTACCATCAATAATGACTTTCTTCCGGAAGAGTGGGAACGATAGTTTTGTTTTATTTTCTAAGTGTAGAAATCAATTGAACTTAGGCTAAATATGAATGATTGGCAAGCAAAGACTTCGCGGTGTTTCTTCACACCCGCTCCCCAGTACCTGCCCAAAAGAGGAACTTTGTGTGAATTAGGAAGTCGACATTCCGCAATTACGTTTTTTGTCAATCTTATACCAATTGATCTTTTGGGATCGTTTCTTCCGTGGCACCGTGTTAAAAAGGGATGAATCTGTTCCATGCGCCAAAAAAATCGGATGCTTCTATTAAAAGAGCAAGAGCTCAGACCTCGCGGGTGCTATGCCTGTCCACTATTAGAGTATAAAATATTTTACAGTAATCGAGCAACCGAATTCACTGAAATCCAGTTATAAACAAAAATAAACAAGAATGTTTCTGGAAGGGCGTTACAATACAATTACTTTGGTATTACTACAGGAGACGACGGGCCACGTGCAGACCAATATTGCCCCACCGATCTAGTCCCAATGAAGGACAGTGACTGGTCCGAGCGGGTCGGCCCTTGCCTTACTTTCAGCTCCACATGGCCCGCTCGTTCCAACAGGCAAACTGACTGCTTGACATCGACAAGAGAGTCAATATAAGCATCGTCAACCATCGAACTCGACTATAATTTGACCCCTCTTAAGCAAGGCACTTGCGATGCCAAGAGCCGACCTGCCTCAGAACGATGACTACACCGTTGGCTGGGTCTGCGCTTTGCCAATCGAACTTACTGCGGCACAAAGAATGCTAGACGAAGTGCATGAAGAAACTTATCGCAGTGATCATGATACAAATATATATACCCTCGGACGTATTCAAGAGCATAATGTTGTCATCACATGCCTGCCATATGGTCAGATGGGCACCAATTCGGCCGCCATAGTTGCTACTCAGATGAAGTCTTCATTCCCATCAATCGAGTTCGGTTTAATGGTTGGCATCGGAGGGGGCGTTCCAAGCAAAGCCCGGGATATTCGCCTGGGTGATGTAGTTGTAAGTCGCCCAGGACTATCACATGGCGGTGTCATTCAATATGACTTTGGTAAGAAAACTGAGAGCGGGTTTCATCGAACAGGCTTTCTGAATATGCCGCCGACAATTCTGCTTAATGCTATTGCCAAGCTAGATGCTGAAAATATTCAGCAAAGAACTAGTTTCATAGAAGATATTAACAAACTTGATACGTGGCAAGAATTTTCACGTGAAGCCGCTGAGCCGGATCGACTTTTTGATGCCAGATACAACCATGTTGGCGATGATACGTGTCGGAGTTGTAATGAAAGGGAAATAATAAAGCGCAAGCCACGAGATCAAAAAGTTTTGGTTCATTATGGTACCATAGCATCAGGGAACCTGGTCATGAAAAATGCCATAGAAAGGGACAAAGTTAGTTCGGATTTAGGAGGCGTTCTCTGCTTCGAGATGGAGGCAGCAGGTCTTATGAATACACTCCCGTGTTTGGTCATCCGAGGAATCTGTGATTATGCAGATTCGCATAAAAACAAACAATGGCAACCATATGCAGCGGGAACAGCAGCTGTCTATGCAAAACAGGTCTTGTCTATGGTACCAGTGGCACCCCATTCCCGTGTGGCAAATAAGACGTTATTATTAAAGGAAAATGGTAGGTCTTGAGAGCAGCAATGGGTATAGACATGGAATTAATGGGCTACTAGTATCTTCCCAGTCTAGTTTCCACATAGATCCACGGATCCAGAAGGCAGTCGAAAAACTTAATTCTCACAGAACCGCCCATTTAATGCCGGGTATCTTTAGGATGAATCGTGAGGCGCTATCAGAGCATGAATTACAAAGCTTTGTCCATACCAGAGGCTTCCAGAGCTGGTTTGACACTCCATCATGGGTATTAGTGGCCAAAACCTCACGTCACTGGAATTGGCGAGATACACACGGTCAACACAGTGATGGACTTGAGCGCGACCAAATATCTTCTGAAACACGATCATCGGAGGCTCCAACATGCCCGATTGCTGCTTGCTTGGCAGAATACGTCCAAAGAAATACAGACTGTGACGTATATTATGTGGATTGCTATTGGATTTTGGACCGGCCGCAGCAATTGAAATCTAAGCAGTTTGAAAACGTTTTAAAACAAGAACAAATAATGGAAAGTCCCGACACCAGCCAAGTGACTTCCATCCTCCAGTCGTTATTCTTCCAGATCTTCGCCCGTCATCCTCAACAGGCCCAATTCCTGCAAGAATTAAATGAATCAGGAGCTTTTAAGGAAATGGACATATATAAACTTTCATTTGCAGAGATTTCTGTATTGATTAACTACATACTGAACTTGCCAACATATCTTTCCCGCAAAAGGTTAATTATAAGCATTGACCATTTGGAACTAATTGAAACCTCCGCTCAAAGGTTATTGATCAATTCTCTTAATACACCTCGCAGCCGATTGATGGGAAATGTCTCCATGGTTTTGGGAGGATTTTCTATGGATAGAAGCGAAGTAATGGATTTTTGTCTTGGCATCGCAGATGATTGCGAATATCGTGGTGCGTACCCTTCAAGCAGGTATATGATGACATTGTTGGTATCTGACGTATATTTAGAATGCCTTTCTTCTTTACGGTTCGAAGAAATTGATGCCCGGCGAACGCAGGTGCCTCCAGCCGCAGCGGAAACAAACTCTTGGATATGGCAGCATTCAGTGTATCGTGAATTTTCTCGGCAAGATAGTGGAATCCTCTGGCTTCGAGGGAAACCGGGAAGTGGCAAGTCCGTTCTTGCAAAATCTGTCCGAAAGAGGCTTTTCGAACAATTGGAAACTCAAAAAGCACAGGAGACAATCCCATTGGTTGGAGATTGGTTCTATCATCGTCGTAGAGCTGGTCGTTATATCCAACACGAATCCTTTCTCCGATCGATACTCTGTCACTTTCTCCAGCAATGTCCCGAGATCTTTCACCATTACGTTCATGCATATCGTCAGATGAATCCACTTAAAGTCGTATGGACAAATGAAGTTCTTGAGAATATCTTATTTGATGTGTGCCGAGGCTCCAAGCCGATAATCTGCATTGTTGACGCTGTTGATGAAGCAGAGAATATGGGTATTTTAGCGTTGATTAAGAAGCTAACATATCCTGCGGCATCCTCCAGGGCCAAATTCATTGTATTAAGTCGGCACGTTGTCAAGATTGAGCAACAAATTTTCGGCTTGCCGAGTATCACTATCGAAGACGAAAACCAGGACGATATCGCAAAGATTATCGACTTCGGTTTAAAATCGTTACGCGAGGAGATTCATAAGCTCAACTTTAACTCTCAGGAAACTGATTCGGCTTCTCGCATCCGGAATGTTCCAAGACATGCAAGCAGAATGAGACAGCCCAGGTACAAATCCATTGCACTTGCTATGGAGCGGGAGGAGCAGACTATAGAGGAAATGAGAACGAGTCTAGCCTCTAAAGCACAAGGCTCGATCTTGTGGGTTAAATTAGTCCTTGATAAGTTGATGAGAGAGGCCGCTTTAGACCAAAACTGTACACTGGAAGAGTTAAGTCAATCTGCCAGTGACGTTCCCCAAGAACTAAAAGAGTATTATCAACAAATTGTTGTTGAAATGACCACTCAGAAAACGGAGGAGAAAATTACAGAAATCCGCAAGACCCTTATGTGGATTTGTGCGGCAGGGGAGATCAGCGATATCACACTTGAAGGGCTTTGGGAAGCTGTCGCAGTCCTAAAAGATAACTTTTGCTCCTCAACCATGGATGGAATATCAGCAAAAAGAATCCCCATTAGTTCCTACGATGAGTTATGGCGCAAAATTTACAGCACTTGTGGACCGTTCATCGAAGCCTACAACCCTGGGTTTTCGGCAGAGGAATCTCGCAGCTATCAATATGGTGCTTCTTCCATCGTGCAGCTAATGCACCAGACAGTTCGAGATTTTCTCTGTGATGAATCCTCACTCGGGAGCCTTTCCTTCAGTATTGACGAAGCACGAAGCCTGGTGAATAGACATCTGCAAAACTACCTAAAAATAACGACAAAGCCCCTGAGAGACTCATGCGACCCGCTAGATGCCAGGGAGCTTGTAGAGGAGCTAGACAACCAGAAGCTTCTGCAGCTTGCTATCAACTCTACAAAAACCCACATTCGTACTGATAGTACTATGCCCGTTGGAGTCAAGATACCTCATCTAATATCCCCTTTAGCAAGTTCTCTCCAGCATGACTTAATGAAAACCTTGAAGAGGAGTGCGTATATATTTGAGGATGCGACTTGCGACTCCCAGGATACAGGAAGAGTGGATGCGTTTTCTAAATTTCCCAACTGGGAAACACATGCGTTGCTTTGCGTCAGCCGCCTTTTCTACATAGCGTGTAGTCAGGGGTTCGTCACTGCAGTACTGAATATGTTAGCCCTAGCATGGCATATATTGCCCGATTCCTCCTTGGTAAATGGAGAGGTGATCCTGTACGGTGTGTTTCTGGCTGCATCACGCTGCCGGAGCTCCAAGCTACACCTGGACTTTCATTCCATTGCCACCACGGCTCGACAAAATGCATCATTAGACCCGGTCGTGGTGGCAGGAATCTCTAAATCATCAATGGAACTTCCTCCCATGATAACTGACCCAACGACATATCCAATGACCCATAGTTCAAACAACGACTTGTTACCACAGCCTCCTATTTCTCTGGACCCGAGGTTGCCGGGGTTGGGACCTTTCTCTCCGGAATTTATGCAAAATTCCACCGATCCAATAGTTGAAGATTCAACATTGCCTCAATTCGCACTGCCATCCTTGGAACGCATGTCAGAAAATGTCGAGCTGGTGTCCAAGTCTAATTCGAGAAAAAGAAGGCGAAGAGATTGGAAAGCATGTAGCAGATGTAGAGTGCGGAAGGTAACGACCTGAAAAATGATTCTCATAGTATTATATTGATTTGAGGCGCCTATGCTAACATTGAACCCAATAAGATCCGATGTACCCAACCTAAAGATACTCCTCGAATCAAGTGTGACCACTGCAAGAAATTGGGTGCTAAATGTAGTTTCGAAGAGGAAGCGATATCTGAAGCATCCTCAGACGAAGATTTGAAGCAAGCGCTTGGAGAACAGCGGCAAAAACGTGTCGAGGAGCGAAGGCTCGCCGAAGAGAAGAGAATGTTCGATGAAGCAAATAAAAACGCTGAAGAGAAGAGAATGGTCGATGAAGGAAATAAAAAGAAAGTTGGGATCCCTACGATTGAAGATCAGTGGATTTCTGTACCGTGGAATGTCACTCTCAGAGCTGAACTTCCGGATAAGACTATAACGAGATCCTTACATTTCCTAGAGTGGTGTCCCTTTCTTGATTTGACCTGTGGGTCTGGAAAATACCAGAAACCATCTGATTGTGGCATCGACGACGACATTGAGCCTCCCCAAGAAGATGTGGAAGATGCCATTATTGCAGCTCTAGTAGGCAGTCAAAAAGTCAGCTTACAGGCTGATAAACATGAGGCTTTTATCTCAAAATGATCAATTATGGAATGTGACGGAAATTTAGAATAAGCAAATTATTATTCTATCGAATATGATCAATGTGATTATCAATTCAGTGTTGGTTAGGCTATCGCTTATTATGAAGGAACCAACAGCCCCCAGCGAGCCATAACCAAGTCCTAATTAAGTATTAACCAAGCCACGGATGACCCCAGGAGGCCCGCCAGAGCGCCTGCCTGTTTTATGACGATCCCAGCTGCTCCTTCATGCGCAGCACAGGCCTCGGGCATGTGGGAATAGAAGCAGACAAGGAATAAGATCCTTAGCAGGCTGACTCACTGACACCTCGCCCTACACTCCAGACAGAATTGAACAATTCCTCTGGCAAACATACCCAACCATGGAATCCTACTCCACTGCAGAAATCTTCGTCATAACTGGACCGAAAGCGTGGACACCACATTGTAGCCCTAGTATCAGTCGCTCGCACTTCTCGCACCTACAATATTCATCGATTAGGTGTCCGCACAGGGGATGAAAACATAGTCAGTGCCAGAAAAGGACTATGCTGTCCAGTTCCCCAGAGGTAATCATCTGGGGTACCCAGGTATTCTGACCCAGCATCTTGTCGTCTCTGCAAGTGGATGATGACGAGCGACAGTGATTCGAAATATCGGGCTTGTTGTGTCGTACTCCAGATACGGGTAGCGCCTTGTGTAAATGTGAAGAGTAGGGAGGATCATAAGCCATGAAGGGGTAAAAACCACGGTGCCAATACAATGCGGTCGGTTTATCGCTGTTGATCAAGTGTGGAAGATCGCAGATTACGATTGACTTGCAATGGCTTAAGGCTAGCTGGTACCAGGTTATCCCGCAAAGTGGACCACTGCTGGGGAACGAGGGCTCTCGTGACATCTCAAGTTTTAAGTGAACAGTGGCCTATCATCAGGAGCACATTATTACTATACCACACATCACAAGCAGGCAAGACGATCGATCGTATTCGCGTGGATCTGTGGGGACAAGACTAATAGTGTGGATTTGGCGGGGAGAGTGGTGGGGAAGGGCGGAATTAAGGGCGCTGGGCTGGGGGCGTCAACAATTCGGCGATCAGACTCAGTTCCCTGTCGTCATTGCAGGCTTCTTCCTTAACTTTTTTTCGCGAAATATCGGATGGAATATGCTCTGAGAACATCTTCTATATATTGCGTTGTATACGGCAAACATATACCTCAACAATGACACGATGACCACGCTCGAGTTGGAGAACGACTGCCAATCGCCACCCAAGGCTGCCCTGGTGTCCAATAACGGACATGTACCCAGCACTAAACGAAAACGCGACGTTTATACCCCGACAGCATGGTGGGGATACTAGTCATCTCCTTATTTTCAACACTTGGCTAACTTTCTGTTTCACAGTAATGAGTGTAAAAGACGGAAAATAAAGTGCAACGGGCGGACCCCCTGCGAAAGGTGTAGTCGGCAATTGCTTGACTGTCGATATCGTTCCAATAATACCTCGGAAGACCACCCGTCAGCTTGAACCCTGTCAATGTGAATAAATATCAATTTGGCTGACTATTTACTAGAAACGTGGACCAACTTCTGAAGCAGATTAACGCACTCCAGAACCAAGTCTCGGTGCTCTCGGACCATGTTGCCGCCCAAGATCAATCGATGCGAATACAAGCGCCTCCTGTGCACGAAGAAGTCACCCTGGAAGACGTCCCTGGACATGTTCCTGGCATACAACCAGATCCTTGCACTTCTTTCGAAGGACCCACGACTTCGGCATTCAAAATAAAAATCGCGAGAGACGCTCTGAAAAGAGACAGTTTGGTTGAAGACTCCGACGATGGTGGAATCACTCGAGAGGCTAGCCCCTCGCCTCTTAACCGTCAGCGGAATTTCGATTCAATTATTGATCCCATGTGGACTATTAGCCATCAAGAAGCTACTCGGCTGTACCATGTCTACGAAGAAGAAATGGGAATCATGTATCCGATCGTTCCGGTAGAGCAGATATCCCGTCATATCAACATTTTGTACTCACGTTCGGGGGATTTATTTGGATCCCGAATAGATAATTCGAATCCTGGGAACCGCGCCAGGCTAAGCCTAGAAGACGTCATCATTCTGAAGTTGATGTTTGCTTGTGCTCTTACGGCAGAAGAAAATGGTCACAGTAATCTAGGACTGAAGCTTTTTCAGAGTACACGAGATGTAGTCAATGATTCTGTATGGTCTTCTCCCAGCATTATGAGAATCACCGCTCTTGCTCTCACGGTACGCCACCCTCGCACGTAAACGAGTTTATTAACTGTATTAATGATATCTAAAGAGCATTCTCTTCTTCCAAATTGACGAGGAACACAAAGCTTGGAGGACGATTGGAATTGCAATACGAATGTGTCTAGAAATGGGGCTACATCAACGTGAGATCCTCGTAGGACGAAAGTTAGAAAATAGCCAGAGAGAACAAAAGGTCCGTCTGTTTTGGTCTATATACGTTCTGGATAACAGATGGAGTATTGGGACTGGATTGCCATCCCATCTGGCCGTCGGTGATATCGATCCAACACTACCACGCCCAGTAAGTCCACCAGGGGAAAATAGTCTCAACCCCGATTACTGACTCGTCTTTCAGGAAGGTGTTCCTTACCTAACACTGATGATCGAATACAGTCACCTTTCAGCTAAAGTTTGGAAACATGTCTCTAGTTCTCCTTGTAGTGGAATTGCCAACAAAAAGAACGAAGTGGAGTACATTCATTGGCAAATACTGCAGTGGGCTGAATCGATTCCTGACCACCTTAAACTGCCTGAAAAACAGTCATCAACGCACTGGTCAACTACAGCCCCTCCGACGCGAGCTATTCAACGCCTTCAGTGTCTTCTTTATCTCCGAACAAACTTGATGCGTATGCTTGTGTACCAACCAGCGCTACTTAGTGCATCTGCCATTTCTCAGAACACATCAGAGGCAGACATGATAGTTGAAATCGCAAAGGAAACGATCCAATTCATCTTCCATCTCAACGAAACCTCAAATATTTATCAACTACAGCAAGTTGCCTTCAATTTCTTCCTCGTATCAGCCCTGGCGGTATTACTCCTTGCCATCGCTCACGCACCCGCGCGCTATGGCTCCCAGTGTAAGGTCGAATTCTACCTGGCGCTAGAGCTTGTGAAAAAATTCTCGATGAAATCATATGTCTCCAAACGTCTTTGGAAGTCTATCAAAGGACTTCAACGATACGTACCCAAAAAAGAGGTTCATCAAAACCAGCCCGTACAGCCAAACCTAGTAAATGACAACAAAAACGCTGATCCCTCTGTTTACCACCAACTTCAACCACCCGAAACCTCCCAACTGTCTCTAAATCCTACACCTGAGAATTTATATGGTGCAGCTGAATCTGAACCCAGTGGCAGACAAATGACTCTAGATTTCATGAATCTATTCGAGTTTTCTAATCCTCCGTCATACGGAGCCACGTACCCTGAGCTCTTGGACAGCGAGGAATGGGGGTCAAACCAGTCTGATCAATTAGGCTACGAGGCACTGCTTTTTTCTACATTGAATTCATGTTTTGGGCCTTCCATCTCATTAGTATAGTCTAGCAATATCTTTTATATGCCTGTAATTAACATCAACTACGAACGAATCAATAATTAAACTTTTCGTGCGAACTCTATCTCTCAAAGTACATCATCCTACTTGTCTGTAGCATACTACTAGTTTTCCTAAATCATTTGTTATAGAACCACAATGCCAGACAGCCCATAAACACGGTTCTCAAAACTGTAAAAGCAAGTACACTATTATCCCATCCTTCACCCGGAGCCTCGAACATGTAATCTGCAAATAGAGGAAAAGAAAAGCACATGATACTTCTTGCCACTACTATAGCGCCTACAGCTGATACTATATACAGTTAATACGTAGTCGATTACACAAGTTTAAAAGGATATAAAGATCATACTTACACCGACACCAAAGGCTGCTACGTCAATATTCGGCACAATCCAGAGCATATTCTCTTGCGTTGATCATCCATATAAGAAGACTAGCAGAAATCACAAATATCGGTACGAATAGAAGTGATACCCAAAACTTCATATGGTCTCCATCCGCAGAGCGACTCTTAAGCTTATTCTAGATATAATGGATTAATCAGCCCAATGTCTGCGCTCTCATGGTTAGACCAACTATGAGTGATATATAGTGCAGACTACCAATACTAATCAACTTTTGTAGATGTTAGTCCAGATCAAGGGATATATAGAAAGTATCAAGTAAATTCTGCGCTATATAAAGAGAGATAAATTACATAACAGACTATGTACTAAAAAATGAACACTCAGTGAAAAGTAGGGCTCTTGACATGCTTCATATTACGATTTTTTATTTCATATTAGGTATATAGATTTTATTACCAGCCTCTTTATGTAGCTTCTAAGCCTCCAATTGCAGAATCTAAGGCGCAAATATTTCAAATGATATAAAATAAATAAGGACTTTATACTGTCAACTTAAAGATAGTAACAGCCTAAAAGTTTTATCTCTATATTATCTTCTTTGTAATCTAAGCTCCAATTAATAAACCAGCAGAACGGCCCATAAGAAGAACCACAATATATAATACCACTACCATACCACGGTCTTCTACAATCCATAAGTTAAAGAGAACACCACCATCCACAGTCTGTAGTATATACGCCCCGAAATCTGAAAAAAACAATAGACTAGTATCTGTCCCATATTCTGAGCGAAGCTGTAGATAAAGTTGAAAATGAGAAACCATTGGAATTGAAGTTGATATTAAATCCCTACATGTATATATATTCGAAGTATAGTACTTATTACATGTATGTTTGGTATTTGTAGGATAATAATACACCTATAAACTTCGCTTAATAATGCCAAATATAATGAACTAATAATAAAAGCAAGTAAGACGATAGAGAATCCAAGCGCCGATTTAATCATCAAATCAATATAGAGATTGTTGTCAATGGCTGACTCTGCTGGAGCAATTATAGATAAGGCGATGGGTGTCATAAACACAATTAAGGAAACAAGGTCAGTCGCAAGCCGTCTTCTTTTGAAGGACCATTTCTTGAGGGTTGCAGGGTCGTTAGGTCCGTCCCATGTAATCTATATCAACCTATCAGTAGGACGCACTCCTCAGTATTTTTCATTTTCTGAATATCAACACGCACCAGGCTAGTGTCTTATTCGTTCGATTCAGCATCTTTTTCGCTTTTCCTTTTTCCATCTCTCCAGGAGTAGACTCCGGTCTCTCTCTTGAACTCGTAGATTCGTCTACATTGATGTCTTTCGGTGCTGATCTGACTGGCAATGAAGGCGATTCTCGTATAGTCGAGGGTTTTTCTTGGTTATAATCTTCCCCCAGGGTTTTTTCACTCGTTCTTGACAATCATACCAAAATAAACTATTCATTGGAACAACTGTGATAATATCAAGTCATCTTTTTAAACGAAGGCGACATGGGGAGCCCGTTACCAGTGCTGCATCACCAAGAGGATCTGGTGACATATGCATAGACAGTCATTAAAGAAAAATCCATTAAAAAGAAATTAAACTGTGATTTGGCCCACTCGGGTTCGAATTGATTTAACTTATTTAAGGAAAGGTAATTAGTAGATAATTAACGTGGCTCAATATAATTCTATAGGCTCTGCTACTACATGTAGCCGTTTACGGCCCGCTACAGGAACAGGATCATCTTATAAATACATACCAATAATAAAGCCATTTGTCAGGCATAACAATCTCATATGCTATTTAAATATCGGTTTTCCTAATAAAATTCTTCTTACTGTGCTTCCTGTTCTCAAATAAAATTCGTGTCATTGAAGCGGTCCGAAAAGAACGTCAAAGAAAACTTGCCATCTCTCGCAACGGTCATTGAACTTGAATATAATAACGAAAAAGCCACTATCATAAACCATGGCAAGCTCCAACTCAGTGGACGAGACCAGTCCTAGCTACTACAATCCATCACAAACAGCTCTGCTGCTCCTAGACTTTCATGTGCTCTTCGTCCAAAAGGCTGGCGGACCAAAAGCCTCTGCAGCTCTCCAGAACGCAATTAAGCTAAAGAGTTGGGCCCAGTATCAGGGAATCCGAGTGATCCACTGCCTCATTGACAGGCATAAGACAACATTTCCGACCGCGAAGGGTGCCAACAGGCTTAGTGGCTTTCTTAGTGCCATGCAAGCAAGCGGCGGTGAAGAGGCACCTGAACTTATTGATCAAAGCAGTGACGACAAAACATTCACAAGAACTCCGGGACATGTGTCGGCACTCAAGTCCCCTGGTTTGGAAGCTTACCTCCAAAAGAATGGTATCAAGTCACTCATTATTACTGGACTAAGTACGTCTGGATGTGTTTTGAAGACCGCACTTGCAGCTGCAGATGCCGAATTCGTGGTGTCCGTTATCTCGGACGGATGCGCCGATGGAGATGAGGAATTACATGATGTTTTGGTCAGAAAAGTGCTCAACCATCGGGGATATGTATACACTACTGCCGAGTTTCTGCAGGAATATGCTAGCAGGAAATGAGTGAATCTGCCTCCATTCAGGCATTTTCAGCATGATCGCAGGACATGAGCATGGTATTGGTTGGTATCAGGGCTTTGATCCCAATTTCAGGTCCTTGCTTCTCCGCCTGTAAATACCCAATCTTGTTGTTGCATGCGAGGCTCGTGGTTAATAAGAAGAGTGTGAATAGGAATAAATTCAGCTTATGGAATGGTATTTGATAGAAAACTATGACTGTTAGATTATTGTACTATGACGTCTCCCACTAGTGTTGGCTATTGGTGATCTAACCCCCAACGCTCTAGCTCGGCCCATGCTTGATCACAAAAAGAATGAGTCCGCGATGACTCCAACTTTGAACCAAGCTTCATCTGAGTCATTGCCATTTGCCATATTATTTTTACAAATTTCACATTCTTTCCTCTCACTTCTAATAATCAGCGATCGAATAACTGACTGCCCTCCGCCAACAATTGGCCGCAATCCAAATGGCCGCGAATCTCAATATCCCCACGATCCGCACAGGAATTCGACATACCCCCCGATTAACTCGATACCTCCAACCCGGCCACCGAATTTCTGCGCCTCGAAAATACTCGTCCGCTGCATCTCCATCGACATCTCCATTTGCCCCTCGCCATCTCCTATCCATCGCGGACCTTACCCCCGCGGAGTTTACGGCGCTAGTTCGCAATGCCGCGCAACATAAAAAGGCCATCAAGACCGGCTCAGTACCGCGCAACTTACTAGGCGCCCTGTCCGGGAAGACGGTAGCAATGATGTTTAGTAAACGAAGCACTCGAACTCGAATTTCAACAGAAGGTGCTGTAGCACAATTGGGCGGGCAGCCGATGTTTCTAGGCAAGGATGATATTCAGTTGGGTGTTAATGAGTCACTCTACGATACCGCTGTAGTGATATCGTCTATGGTCTCGTGTATCGTAGCGCGTGTGAATAGCCATGATGAAGTTGCCAGTTTGGCGAAACATTCTACAGTGCCAGTCATCAATGCCTTGTGTGACTCTTTCCACCCTCTCCAGATCATCGCCGATTTCCTGACCATTCACGAGACATTTCCGGCACGCCCCACCGCAGGGCTTAGCAGTCTTGGACTGGAAGGACTGAAGATAGCCTGGGTTGGAGACGCCAATAACGTGTTGTTTGATATGGCCATTGCTGCGGCGAAGCTGGGAGTTGATGTCGCCGTAGCTACACCAAAAGGGTACGAGATTCCACAACCAATGCTTGAGATCATTAAGCAAGCTGGCGCAGGCATATCTTCGCCTGGGAAGCTGATACAAACAAATATACCTGAGGAAGCAGTGAAGAATGCCGATGTGCTTGTAACAGACACTTGGGTATCCATGGGCCAGGAGGAAGAGACCGTGAAGCGAATGAAAGCCTTTGAGGGTTTCCAAATTACGCCAGAGCTTGCACAGCGAGGTGGAGCCAAACAGGATTGGAAATTCATGCATTGCTTGCCTCGTCACCCTGAAGAAGTAAGCGACGAGGTCTTTTATAGTCCTCGCTCACTGGTATTCCCTGAAGCTGAAAACCGCCTGTGGGCTGCAATCTCGGTGCTTGAAGGGTTTGTTGTCAACAAGGGAAAAATCGAGTAATGCTACTATCTGCCTATTTAAAATTGAAATTAGTTTCCATAGCTGTCATTTTCAATGCCCAAAAGCCCTTTTGAATCTAACTCGTAACCTTGTCCAATGCCTGTATTGAATGAGGCCACAACGGAAACAAATCCGCGCTTAGCCCTAACTGACATAATCTTGGAGTATCGAATTTCCACGCAATAATCTCTAACCTACTCAAAGAAACGTTGGAAATACCTACTACGTACTACTGTACCACATACTAACTATGTAATACATTTTCGGTCCTGTGAGATCTTTGAGCTTATATTGCGGGGTTAACTTACATAGGAGATGGACCGGTCCTACCCGACTCCCAAAGCTGACATGTGATCGCCCGTAACGAACTTCACCTTGCAACACCCGCAGGTTTCATCCCATGTATCCTTCATTCTTGCGCACGTCTGGAACCTGGCCCAGACAGAGAACGGTAACCCACTGCAAATATGACAATGGATGTAGGTTGGCGTCCTCTTACAGGCTGAGTTGGTGATAAGTACCAGATGGCTGACTGACGTTTCGACCGCAATTAGTCCTATCGATCTACCACGTCTCACAGTCCTTTTCGGTCGCGACGCTCACACCCAGCTTTGAATCATATATCCCTCGCACCGCTTACGCCTCGATTTCCAATTGATGATCTTCCCGACAGTGATGACTATTTTTCAGGCAACCATGGACAAACTACCTCGTACCTTTCCAGCTCATCGGTACCAACTACACCGCCTATTCTATCGCATTCACGCGCCAACTCCCGCACACGACATCATAAGCGCAGTAAAAGCACAACACATGTCTTGAGCGATACCGACCTCCAGAGTCTGGGAGGGAGGCGCCCATTACAACAATATTACGGTGGAAAGAGAGGGGGTGCACGAACCCCCGGGCCCGAGACGAAAACCCGCCATGACTCTGAATGGTTGCTTCGAGCAGGACTTGCTCTTGCTTCATCAACTCGGGAGGAGAAAGGCCAAAGCTGGCTGTTGAAGCGAGAGAGCTCGACCAGCCTTGTTACGGAGCCGGAACCGGCTGAAATCCGGAGCCATCGTCATGGGAGAAGCACCCATCGATCTCGTTCCGGTCTGTCGACACCCGCAGCGCTATCACGACAAACGTCGCGGTCGCGTGGAGGCAGTCGACGGGCAAGTCGCGCGGAGCTTTCCATGACGGCAATCGATGCGGTCGCTTTTAAGCACTCGCGCAAGTCCAGTATCGACAGCCGGCACTCCCTGCTCCCCGACTTTGTGGACGAGCAGATTCGGGCTGAAATTGCGTCTATTCACCAGCAAGGCCTTGAAGACGATTCATCCCTTTCGTCGTCCGAGTCGGATAGCGAGCTAGACGACGACATTGATGAGAAGGAGTTCCAGCGTCTCACTCGAGAACGGGGCTTCGGTCTCGGCAGCTGGATTGACCAGTTCGTCGGCTGGACGCTGTTTGGCGTGGAGGAAGATTACGCCGGCTCACCGCCAGAACAACATGCCGAGCGGACAGTGACGTTCCATGAGTCTCCATCTTCTCGGGGCATAGACAGCCACGTGGACGACGAAGACGACGGGGATGGCGAGAACGAATTCACGGAAGCAATCGCGATCGGAAAGGCGGGTGAGCAGGGGGGTTGGGAGGACGCAAGCTGGTTCCTCCGACTGGCAAAAAAGGCGATTGTTTGATCCCTGGCGGTGTTCCTGAAATTGGCGGGGTTGGATGTATTGAACATAGTATACGTAAGCATTGTTTTGAATCAATCATCACAACGATCTACATGGTCGCATGACATCGCAGCAACATCGTTTACAATATCAATATGTATAGCGACGTGCGACACCGCATCATATGTACTCTAGCTGTGCATATCTAAAAATCGAGTTTGGCGATACCCGCCGGGCTAGGAGAACCGTGCTGCAGCTTGCGGCCAACCAGCAGCTTGTCTTGCTGGGGACGATGCTTGGACTTTGAAATGTTGGCTGCAGTGCTGCACAATGCCACCGATCTACTACTCTATGTACTGAGTAGATCGGAGATGCTGGCCTGCACTGTTCTCGTATAAAAGCACGAGACGATCAACATTGAACGATGTAGCAGCTCTTATCGCGATGACTGGCAGTGTGAATGATTTGGATTCCAATAGTAATAATAAATGATATCTATTAATAACCCTCCAACAACTACACATGTACCGGAGCATATAATCACTGTATTAACATGGGTTTTAAATATCATAGAATTAATAGTATAATAATACCCCGTCGGTGTGGCCGACCGTCGTGAGACGAAAATACAGAGAAACGATTATTAATATATAAATAGAGGACCAACACGATATTAGTATCGTTATTAGTATGGCATATTAATATTCCCAAAAATCAGACGCAGCGAGATCCAGCCAATGTCGTGGCGCTCCCTGGCCGACGCCCCTCTCCACCGTGCAACTCCGGCCCTACAAGATGGCTGATGCCGCTAGAAAGAATCGAAGGGGCAACCGAATTTTAAAACAGAAGGCGGCAAGGAAAATACTAATTTTTAGACCTGGTACGCCTGCTGCATGGCAGTTGGACGTGGGGCTACTCTCTCCACTCGCAGCTCACCACTTGACTAGCATCTCGAATACAATCATCCGAAAGCCAGATGTCATGCTTCTGGTTCATTAATCATATCCATGTCCATTTCGTTCGGAAATATGAATCTCAGTCTATACTAAGAGCAGTACTACCCCCCGGCCTGCAATCCAATTGCTATCGATCAATCGATCAATCGAGATCCGGCCCTGCAGCGCACCTGGATCCTCGTCTCGTTATTTGTCACTCTCCAACCGTTGACTGGTCACTGCGCATGCTGCAAGTCATTGCCTGCTGGTGTCGTATCGTCGGGGACAGCTTTGTTCCTTGCCCTAATTTCTCGGTCACCACGTTGACATCCATCAATCTCGTTCTCCACTGCGACGCCCCTCTTTCATCGCTGGCCGCTGCAGTATACTACATACATTAGCAGCTCCCGAATTTTCAGATTGGTAGCTCTCATCCTGACTCCGCCGACCTGCATGCCAGAGAGGGTGCGCGTCTGTGGTGTGAGTTGTTGGTTGTGTGTGTGCGTGTGAGTGGATGTGTCTGGCAACGAACTATCGCCCGTTTTTTTATACACGACTCCGACGAAAATCGAGCTTGAAATCCCGTTTCCATGGATAGTCTTACTATGGATATTGAGGACGACGACATCATCATGCCCTCCAATCCGCAGCCATCACTAAGCCATCATGGAAATATCGAAGCTGATGTAGGTTGTGTATTCACATCAAAAGAGGACGTATTTAGAGCTTCTGACTTGTTTCTCTTTTCAGGATGCCCTGACCGATTCGGACTCCGCCTTCCAGGGCTCGTAAGTTCTTCCTTCCAGACGCTTGCTTTCAGAAAGCTCAACGTATGCGTGCGTAGAATCGGTGACGAGAGTTATACTTCGTCCATCTCAGACAGTGTGAGAAACTACAAGTATGTTGATACAATCCTGCTGACGAGCTTTGTGCTGATTATTATCTCATAGATATGAAGTACGGCATCCCATAACCTGACTTGCCTTCTAATCTTATGCCTAACACTAATTATGTAGAATGGGCGAAGGTATCATGCCTTCAAAGAAGGTGCCCATTTCTTGGTAAGTTTTCTTTGCCCATTGGTTCTACTAGGCCTTGGTGGTTAATGTATATTCTCAAACAGCCCAACGACGAGAATGAACAGGCCCGGATGGATCTTGCTCATCACATTTATCTCATGCTCACCGGCGGCAAACTAGCTATGGCTCCAATTCACAACCCACAGCGCGTTCTCGACCTCGGCACTGGAACAGGTACGTCCAAATTAAATGCATTGTATCGTCATACTCATAGTTTTATACAATAGGAATATGGGCAATCGATTTTGCAGAGTACGTCTATTCAGCTATTAAAAATTCATCTTGTCGACTAGTGACTGACATTTCATAGTGAACATCCAAATGCTTTCGTCCTAGGTAACGCAGTATAGCCCATGCAATGTTAATGTAAATTGGCTAAACATCCCCATTTAGGCAATGATTTAAGTCCCATCCAACCATCATGGTAAATAAAGTCGTTCCGAGAATTGTTTGAATTAAAAGAAACGGCCTATCTAACGAGATAAACAACATAGGGTCCCTCCAAACCTCCAATTTGAGGTTGACGACTTCGAAAGTGACTGGTCATACTCCCAAAAATTCGACTTCATCCACGGCCGAGAGATGGAAGGCATGGTCAAAGACTTTGACCGTCTATTCCAGCAAACATACAAAAACCTAGTTCCAGGGGGATGGGCCGAGTTCCAGAGCATCGAGCTCAACTGCTTCTGTGATGACGACTCGCGAAAAAAGGCCACCGCATGGGTGACATGGTCTGAGAACTTGCACAAAGCTGCTCGTACTTTTGGAAAGAATATGCGCACCGTCCGCACATGGCCCGACAGGCTGAAGCAGGCCGGCTTCCAGAATGTCCAGACTGTCGCATTCCCGGTAAGTTCTTATATACAAAAATGCTTTTAGTCTTCTCTTGACTAATGGATAATTTTCCTATTTCCAGATCCCTTTCAACCCATGGCCTAAGGACCCCAAGCTCAAGGAAATTGGTCGCTACCAGCAATTGCATATGTTCGAAGGCATGACATCGTACAGTTTGAAGCTATACACCAGTGTCCTAAAATGGAAAAGGGAAGACATCGAAGCGCTACTCTCTGAGGTGCAAAAGATCCTCAAGGACCGCACGATTCATATATACACTATGGTCCATTTTATTTACGGCCAAAAACCTCTGGATGCGAAAGATTAGACTGAATTTCTACGTATATATTTTTCCTTGTACATGGCCGGGAACGGCTGGATTTGATTTTGCAAAAGAATTTTGTTCCTCCTGTCTTTGTTTATTTTAGTTTTTATTTTTAATTGTATATATTGACTTTTTTACTACACCTTTTTTTATTTTTGAAGTTTTGGCCGTTTTTAAATATCAATTGATCTACACATTTGCTACCTGCAACTCAACAACGGGCCAAAATTCAAGTCTCATGAAATCCCATTAGTTATCTACAGGTTTCTTTAAATTGGTGAATCTCAATTATGACAAATATTTTATTTCTCGTAGCTACATATGTAGAAGCTGGTAGAAACCTGAGCAACTAGAGTGCCGCGTGGTGATCCTTGACTAACGGGCATTGCCACAATCGGAAGGAGAGGAATGTACCCTGCGCAAGTATATACTTATATCCATCAAAGGTAGCTTCTAGGTGGGGAGTGCACCGATGTACACACGTATATAGGCAAACATCAACCCGCCGACCCGATGCTAGCACATGGGTAAAACTTGAATATCATAATTTACTCGTTCGATCCACCGACCCAGAACGCCCTCCTTGAACACAAAGCTGCGGATGCGTTAACGTCCGGCTAAACATTATAAAGGAGCAGTGAAAATGAAAAAAAAAAAAAAAAAAATTTGAAAGAAAAGATTGGGTTCCGAATATATCAGAATGTAAAATAGGGAAAGGCGGATGAACGTGGGCCAGTTGTAGTCATTGGGCGGCTTGCGAATACCTGGTGACAGTTTCTGTAAGATAGCCATCTGGTACTCACAGATAGGAAACCGACCCGTAGATAAGCAAAGAAACAGTGTAACGCCAGTGGGACTCTATATGGCTTATGCAGAAGGTATCATAATGTTTTCGTGTCATGATCGAGGCCGTTAGATGGAAGCGTATTGACGGATCAAAGATGATATAGCTATTTTCAACGCTGTTCAGATAAAGACCCTACCAGGGTCCAACCTTCAAAGGCACCCCCATTCCATATGTTCCGGAGAGAAGTTGATCGCGGATGGAAGTCTGGTCGCCACCGGATGTTGGCAAAGGCGGACCCATCCAGCCGAGGCTGTTGCTGAGCTCGTTCACAGCCTCTTGTAGTTTGCCGTTGGACGTTTCGTTATGCTTCGCGATTTTCTGGTCCCATCCGCCGTACTGCAATTGGATACCGCCGCCCCGTTTAGCGGCTTCCCGAATCACTACAACCCAAGATTTGCTGATATTCTCGAAGGTAGAATCACGACGAATGTTGTGTCGTGGAGTGTTTGCTTTAGGTACTCTATTGAGCACCTCCGTTGCTCCATCCAAATAGGCCAAGGACGTAGATGTTTGCGATTCGTTGGGAGGTAAAAAATGGGGTGTAAAGTCATCCAGAGCGTCTAGTAGAGCATTCAGCTGCTGCTTCACTCGATTGTATGCATAGTCTGATAAGGAATCACCGCTTCCCAGTGGGATCGATGATTGCAGAGTCGACAGATAGTTGTGAAGAATCTGCAACGTCGATGTCACACTCGGCCGTGGTGCTATCTGGACAACTTCATCTCCTAAGCCTGGATGACGGTCGCACACAGACTGAAGCACCGACCTCAGTGCATCGGTGTCTAGGGTCTCAAGTAATCTAGGGAGTGGTAGAGGACGACCAGTTACGTTTGGGCGAGAGCGTTTGTACTGGCGGTTGGGAAAGGGTAAAGGGCGTGGGGTGAAGGCAGGCGAGTTGGTGGGAGATGCCGACATACGAACATCATTATCGTTGCCGTCATCCTCAGCCTTTCGTTTCCGGTTGCTGTTTTGCTGCACTGGTGTCGACACTGGACAAGAGCGGCTTGTTAGAAGTCATGTTGCGGATGGCAGATTCAAGGTGCGGTGAGATCATGAGAAATAACAATTTCCAGGGCAATAACTTACTGGAACGGGTGGGAGAGATACGATAATGTTCGTGGAAGTGTGGAGGGAATGGAGGCGTGGCCACCAGGCTGTTCATGTTGATGATAAAACAGTACGATACAGTACGATAAGCAGCAGACCAGAGTCAACGATCCAAGAACGTTGCTGCTAGCGATGCTGCTTGATGAGGGTGGCTTCAAGCCAGTGCGGCGTAGAAGATCGAAGTCGGTCGATCGAAAAGTAAGCAGCCAAGACAGAAGACAAAAGGAAGCAGAGGATGCAAAATGAACTATACGAGCGAGGGGGATGTCGGTTGTGGAGGGACGCAAGGACGAGGACGAAGGGGAGGCGGAGGATGGAGGATGGATAGTCAGTGTTGGTAGTAGGAAATTGGCGGTGGTCTAAGTTAGCGGCGGCGGCGGTATCCAGTCAGTACTAAGTACGGTTACTAACTGACTAAGAGTGCTGGGGTGGCTCGAGGACAGCAAGAACAGCACTGGTTGGCTGCGGAGGCCAGGCAAATGATGGCTTCGTCACACCGTTTTGGTATGGTAACCGCGTACGGGCCGGCCATCTGCGTTAGGCAGGCATCGCTCGTAGGCAAGGCAACCGTCGCCGCCTGACCGCTTGCGTGGGCCAGTATTGCGATTACCCGTATTCTACTAGTACTTTACAGAGTAACTATACTAGGACTGCTCCTAAGTTAGATGTCAACTAAGTTATTATATTATTTCTGTTATTAACTTATTCGATTCTTAATTTATAATTGCCAATTGTCCAAATGATTTCGTACTCTTCGGATCATTATATGCAGTCGATTCATCACTGCGAAACTCGGTTATCATGATACTATAGAAATATACATAGCCAAACCCCAGCTCAGGGCCGCATGTCCTAAGGGATCACTGATTACTATACTAAGAAGCCTGGTAGAAGCACCTAACAACGCCAGCGCCAAAGTACACTCCGCACAATTATCACTTTTAGGCCGATCACAAGTACAGCGATTGAGCTGCCACAATGTCTCGCCGCACCTTGGTGAGCGAAGTCTCAAACTTCTCTTCGAGTTCTTCGCTGCCCATAACCTTAGACGCTTGTGCCATCTGCCGCATCAACTCCTCTAGACGGCGGAACACACGGATCAAGTTACCTTCGAAAACATCGGTCATTTTGCATATCTCTGCGAAGGACTTGCCGTTCGCCCACTCGTACATCACCTCCATGAGTTCCCAGTGGAAACTCTGGACATACTCTTCCTCGTTGACCGCTAACTTGGACTCCAGTGATACTTTGGCGATAATTCGAGCTTGGGCCTGTATTTCTTTCAGCGGTTTCACCAGCTCATCCTTGCGCAACTCCGGCGTATCCTTTGTCTTCTCCTCAAAGACGAAGACACTCAGCACTGCAGCGCATTGTTCTGGGGTCATGTTATTGAAGAAACCGTTGAACAGTAGCTCACTCAGCATCAATTCATCGCCTGTACTAATCTCGCATGCTACTCGTGCTTTGAGCTGGACCACTTCTGCCTCATTGATAAAGCCGAAACGACGAAGGACTCGTTTTCGGCACTTCAACTCATCAAGTTGCATGATAGACATCGCTTCCGAGATCTGCTTTTTGATTTTCTTGATACTAGTTCCCAATTCGACCTTCTCTGAGTATTGATCATACAGCTCAGGTAACCGAGGAGAGTTGTGGAGAGGGTTTGCTAGAAGTCGTGATTCGAGAACCTCGATTTTCTAAACGGGATATTAGTTCCATGTAAATTCGTAGTGGCTTGGTTGTCTACTTACTCTGAGAAGCTTCTTGAAAGAGTCATCCTTAATTTCCATATCCTCAATTGGATCTAGCATAGCGATACCATCTGGGAAACGCTTTTTGACTTCCTCCAAAGAACGTTTGATGCTGTTCCGTGAATCTGGTGTTTGTACCTCTTTTGGAGTGAATATTCGAATATGTGAAATGGCTTGGAGACAGCTCAGAAGCACCGGAACAACTTCATAGTGACTTGCTTCGCCTTCTTCGGGTGGATGAATGCCAGGTGGAAGCTCGGAATGAGTACGGGTGCCCACTGAAGACCCATCCGCTACTTTCAAGAGAACATGAAGGACATAGGACTGATGAGGACTGAGCTCTTCATTAGAATTTTTCGGTTGCTTTCGTCGTTTGAAATCTATAACAACGCCCCAGTCGAAATCGTACTCTAGATACTTGATCCGAACAAGTCGACCTGACTGGAGATAGCGCAGACAGATATCAGGATGGCTGATAACAGTCTGCATGTCAGCAGTGAATTGAGCGAGTTGCTTCCTCAGTTCATAGTAATCTCGAACTGTTGCTTCATCCGTGATGTTCATACTAGCTCGTTGAGATTCGAGGTCTCCAAGTTCTAAACGTTCTCAGTATCAGGATCCATAAAACAATTAATAAAGCCACCAACCTTTCTCTAAGCCAGCAACGCTAGCAGTATTTTGGAACTGAAAAAAGCAACGCTCCAGCATGTATTCCGGAGAGATACCTTCCACACGCATCAAGTTCAATATCATATTATACCCTAAGTGGAATGCAGAATTGAGGCGATCTTGTTCACCTCGGACAATTTCCTTCGCGACTGCGGGCTCCATTTCTTCGCCGACCATCATGATTACAATACCACGCTCATCAAGACCTCTTCGGCCAGCACGCCCAGACATCTGAATGAATTCGGATGGGGTCACCCATCGCATCCCCGTTCCATCAAACTTCCGGACACTTGTGAAGACAACGGTCTTAGCTGGCATGTTCAGCCCAATGGAGAACGTCTCCGTCGCAAAAAGGACTTTAATGAGACCCTCCTGGAACAGGATTTCAATAGTTTCCTTTAAAATGGGAAGCAGGCCCGAATGATGAACACCGATGCCACGTCGTAATAATGGTAACAGATTTTGAATCTGAGGGAGATTCCTATCTTCCTCGGACAGCATCTCAATAGCACTGTCAAAGACTTTAGAAACCATCTCCTTTTCGGAATCATCGTTGAACGAGAGTGTGGCCATATTCAAAGCATTGGCTTCACATTCACGCTTGCTGAAACTGAAAACAATCACCGGATTGAGATTCTTGAGCATGATCATTTTGACGATTTTATAGATATCAGATGTCTCCTTTTTGCCGCCCTTGTTCAGCTTTTTGTCCTTTCCCTTTCCCTTACGTTTTGCAAGGGCATCCGCTGGGTCGTCCCCTTTCTTCTCCGCTATCTGAGCCATTGCTTTTTGGAAGTTCTCTTCGCGGAAAGCACCTTTTTCGTCAACGACCAAATGCATGCCATCTGAGCCAGCCGGGAAGAAGTAGTGCTGTAAAGGAGTAGGTCTGAAGTCTGTATAGACAACGTGACAGGGCTGATTGTGCATCTTGACAATCCACTCGGCAAACTGCATTGCGTTTGGAATTGTGGCAGACAAGAATACATATCGAACTTTATCCGGCAAGAGAATGATGGTCTCCTCCCAAACAACCCCTCGAACTAATATAAGATTAGTAACATGCTAGTATCTCATAGGAACGGCAAACTTGCTTGCATCACGTAGATAGTGGATTTCATCGAATACGACCCACGCTACCTCGCGCATAATTTCGGAGCCGCGATAAAGCATGGATCTCAAAATCTCCGTTGTCATGACAAGGCAGGTTGCAGTTGGGTTAATTGTGACATCACCAGTCATTAAACCAACGTCTCCAAATTCCGCTGCAAATTCTCTGTATTTTTGATTGCTCAGTGCCTTTATAGGACTGGTGTAGATGACTCTCTGGTTGTTCTTCAAGCTCTGCGCAATAGCGTATTCCGCCACAACAGTCTTTCCTGCACTCGTATGCGCAGATACCAAAACACTCTCTTCCCGTTGAATAGAATAGACTGAAACTTGTTGGAAAGGGTCCAAGGTGAAGGGCCATGTTCGCGCCGGTTCCTCTGGGGGCTTGTGTTGAGAGATGGGAACATAAGCATAATTTGCAGGGAGAGCAACTTGGTGGCGCACTTGATGTGATAGTACAACTGCGCCAGTCTCTTTGGTTGCTTGAAATCCTGCCGATGCGGCTACCTGATACTCTTGTTCTGTCTCGAATGTGTCTGCGACGACTGGCTCCGGTTCGTCTTGCAACCGTTGACGTTTCGCTTCGGGTTGGCCGTTCTCGTTATTTCGGGGACTATGATCCTCTGTTGCTGCGCCATTAGTAGGCGCCTCTATCGGTATCTCATCCGCCTTCGGTTCTGGGACTGATTTGCTGTCTTTTACATCGCCATTCGCTTGGCGCTTCTTGCTCTTATCTTTTTTTTGACGATGCTTGGTGGGCTCGTTGGACAACCCAAGAGCCTGGGGATTGTCCTCAAAGACATCAAAGAGCTCATCCATCGCTGTGGATAAGAGCCTCTCAATCTGACTGCGAGAAACACGGGTAAGAGAGATTGATGATCGAACAATAATGGGGAAGGCGCCAAAAAAATGAATCCGTACGACTGGAGATTTCCCGCTTCCCGATTGGGCCAGAAGCACTGATGCGCTCTTATTGGCCGGCCATTTCATCGTGTTGCATCACGTGATGAAGCTACGGGATGTCGGAGCCGGCATCGTTGAATCCTCATGCCACCCATCCACGACCTCGCAATTCCAATCGTCCCCTCCAACCTTCAATTAAGGTGAGCATCTGTGTCGAAACAGCTCAATTTAATACCACTGACCTGCTCAAGATGTTTGCCGCTTCTGCTACCCGGGCTAGGCTCGCCAATTCCCTTGTCGCTCGCCGTGGTTTCTCGACCACCCGTTCTCGGCTTGCCAGTCCCTACCACTATGCCGAAGGTCCTCGTTCCAACATTCCCTTCAACCCCAAGACTCGGTTCTTCTACGCGCGATACTGGGCATTCATGAGTACGTCGCTCCAATACGACACGAAGCTGATTAAGTATAGCCCAAGCTAACGTCTGTGTGGGAATAGTCACTGGTTTCGGTGCTCCTTTCGCCATTGCTGGTAGGTTTTAACATCAATATAGTGGTTTGTTCATTGTTTTCTAACCAAATTTTATAGTTTGGCAAACCTACAAAACCCGTTAAACGCGTTTTCCTTCAATTGTGCAGCCGGGTTAGCGGCTGGACATTCGCGGTCCGGACCACAATGCATCGAAATAGCATTTCATTTGTTGTACAAAACTAGAATACAAAAACATTTTTGAAACTTTCTTAGCCCTCAATAACCCTTCTTATATCTGGTAGCTTCTGAATTACTTTCATTGTGTAGTGGTGCAGGTGTCTGTAAATCAAGGCGTGGGCGGCTGTTTCCGTAATGTGGATGAAGTCATTGGCTGATGTCTGGCGGATAATTAAAATTTAAACGCTCACCTTTTTTGATATTGAACAAAAGCGCCGCCAAGTGGAATAGGGAACCAACTATTTGCAAAATTAAATCCCGAATCCTGAGTGCATTTAGTGAAAAGCAAACTTTGGTTAATATTTCTGCCCATGGCGGCGGGGTAAATCAATTATAGAAAGATGCGCAACCTGAAAAATGTGCGCCTCGTCGAGGTACAGCTCCAAACCAAGCTTCCATTGACAGCAACAGCTTGGGACGCCTCCTCAGATTCTATCATCTGCACATTTGGACCTACCATTGATGATCCTGTCCTTCATCTTCGGAGGCTGCGTCACAGTACTTCTTTTACATCTCCTGCCAGCCTTGATGACCTGGAGAACATCGCCTCGTGGGATGCCCCATGCCCTCTACCAGATCTCTCATGCGACCGTGTTTTGTCGCTCCAGTATTTTGCTGACAATCTCACGGCTATTCTGGTTCTGGAAGGAGGAGACATCGTAATTGTCCGCGAAGATCCTCAACCTGGAGAAAACAAGATTGAAATTCTGGGATCTGTTGACGTCGGAATCACCGCTGCCGCCTGGTCACCAGATGAAGAATTGCTGGCAATCACGACTCGAGCGAACACTCTCCTTTATATGACTCGTGAGTTTGAAAATGTTGCAGAGATCTCATTTAACCCCGAGGATCTGAAACTATCGCGCCATGTCTCGGTGGGATGGGGAAAGAAAGAGACACAATTTCAAGGCAAAAGAGCCAAAGCGCTAAGGGATCCTACAATGCCTGAAAAGGTGGATGAAGGCAAGCTCAGTGTCAATGACGATTCGCGGACTACAATCTCCTGGCGAGGCGATGGCGCGTTCGTCGCCGTCAATAGCACCGAGGCTGGCGTTCGGCGAGTTATTAGAGTTTATTCCAGAGAGGGATCACTTGACAGCGTCAGTGAACCAGTAGATGGCTTAGAAGGGGCTTTAAGCTGGAAGCCATCGGGAAATTTAATTGCTGGTATCCAACGACTGGATGATCGGGTTGATGTGGTCTTCTTTGAACGGAACGGCTTGCGCCATGGTCAGTTCACTCTGAGGCTTTCAGAGGAAGAACGTTCAACCTGGGCCTCAGATTTGGCATTGGATTGGAATATGGACTCTACCGTCTTGGCTGTACGCTTTATGGACCGTATTCAATTATGGACTATGGGTAACTATCATTATTATCTCAAACAAGAGATTCCAATTGTCGGTGAAGGGATCAACTTCTTCCGTTGGCACCAAGAGAAGACATTACGGTTTATTGCTGCTGTTTCTTGTAAGAAATCCCTTTCTAGAATTTCTTTCTCAGTGTTAATTCGTTTGAAATAGATTCCGTTATGGATAGCGATTGGGTATTTGATGTATCTCACGGTTCTACCTCAACTCCAGACGATATTGGAGCCGTAGGGGTCATTGATGGGAGTAAGTCAACTGAATTCATAATTACAAGCAATCCTAAACTGACGGCTTACAGAAATACTTAAATTAACGCCCTTGAGATTTGCTGCTGCCCCTCCTCCAATGGCTTATTGTGAGATAAACGTCGATTCCAACATAGTCGACGTTGCCTTTAGTCGCTCAGGCGCTCGAATTGCTGTCCTTACCAACAATAATTTTTCAATATTCGCTTGGCCTGTCAAAAGCAAGCCAATACCTGCGCCTCTTTTAGAATCTAGTTACCCTCTTTCCGAAGCGTCCGGCTTCCGTCCAAGACAAATTGCCTTTCTCGGCGAAAGAGATGTATACATTCTGAGTCACCATGGCCCATTTGACCGCTGCATAGAAAGGACCACTTTGGAAACCAGAGAGACTACTGTGTCGTATCTCGCCAGTGAGGAGGAACATATTCACTCTATTTTCAGCAGCTTGGAGCGTGATAAGCTCTGGTTTTCCAAGTCCTCTAACAAAAGTCGAGTCATGTCCTACTCGAAAGTGATGCCGGAAAATGGGCATGTATTGGAAATAACACCTTTTGACGACATTCCTACCGTAGATACATACTGGGCTGCTAGCAGCAGCATATCTGGTGATCAAGTATGTCAGAAAAAAAGTATTTTTCTACAGCGTGACTGACTCAAATATAGGAAATCTTGGTTTCTTTGACTAGAACAGGAGCACTTTATGCCAATCACCGCTTGCTGGCGAAGAATTGCACATCTTTTATTACTAGCCCTGCTCATATAATATTCACTACCACTCAGCACCTCTTGAAGTTTGTCCACATCACTGATGTTGATGGTATGTTTATATTGGTTTCTAATCCGTCTACTTCTCGACGTGCTACACGTGTATAACATAACTAATCTCAAATCCATAGATATGGAAGTTCCTGCCGATACTCCAGAAACCGACGAGCGCTGCAGAAGCATTGAACGTGGTGGAAGAATAGTTACAGTAACGCCTTCTAATTTCGCAGTGACACTACAAATGCCACGAGGAAACTTGGAAACAATATACCCTCGGGCTCTCGTTCTGGCGGGCATTCGCAGTTTCATTGACTCCAAGAATTACCGATCAGCATATCTTGCTTGCCGAAGCCAGATGGTTGATATGAACATCTTACATGACTACGCACCCAAGCAGTTCATGGAAAATGTTGCGCTGTTTATCACACAAGTTAAAAAAGTAGAGTACATTGACGAATTCCTTTCTAGGTTGCAGTAAGTTTCTTGTTTATTATAATCAGTCATCATCGCTAATTCCTTTCAACAGGGAAGAAGATGTTTCGCAAACACTGTACAAAGACACGCTGAAGCTTTCCAAGGCTGAATTTGAAGCTGCAATACAAACAAATTCCAGCGTTGTTGCAAAAGCAACATATACAGGCAGCAAGATCAATCGCATATGTGATGCATTCTTAACAGCACTGAAAAATAAGCTTGATACGAATTTGCAGAATCTTGTTACAGCTCATGTGTGCAAGTCACCTCCCGACCTTGACTCAGGGTTACAGCTTGTAGCAAATTTGCGGGGTGAGTTTGCACAGCTCCATTTGAAATTACAACGTAATTAACGTCTTGCGTAGTGCAAAATCCAGCCCAGGCTGAGGAAGCTATCGAGCATATGTGCTTCTTAACTGATGCGTATCATTTGTACAATAATGCTCTTGGACTGTACGATCTCGAGCTTACACTCTTGGTAGCTCAGCAAGCCCAGAAGGTATGGATTTTCCTCTCCCAAATACATTTGGTCGAAAGCTTTCCAGTCCCTAAATCTCTGTAGGATCCGCGAGAATACCTCCCTTTTCTTCGAAACCTCCAAAGCCTTCCTGAGCTCCGCCGCCAGTTCGAAATCGATAACTTCTTGGGCCGGTTCACTAAAGCATTGAAACACCTCCATGCTCTCAATGTATATGATGAGCTGAAACAGTATGCTGTTAAGCACAATCTTTACCGAGATGCCTTGGAGCTCTACAAGTATCAACCAGACCAGCTTAAAGATATGACGCACTTATATGCGGATTACTTACAGGAGCAAAACAATCACAAAGAAGCAGCAATAGGTAAGTTATATAATATTTTGGGAGCATAGATATTCGCATATTGGTAGTTGCTAATGCGTCTTATGTATAGCTTATGAATCTCTTGAACTTTACGAAGAAGCATACAGGGCCTACCAAACAGCCCATTACTGGCGCGAGTCATTGTTCACTGCCATGATGGTACCACTCTCAGAGGAGGACTTGCGCAGCCATGCTATCGCTTTGGCGGCGACACTTGTCGAAGAAAACAAAGATTACATCTCAGCAGCACAAATTCACGCAGATCACCTGAAAGATTATCCTACAGCAGCTCGTTTTCTATGCCGAGGCTCACGCTTCGCAGACGCCACCCGGATGCTAGCTATCAACGGCCTCAAGGACTCGATCCCTGACATTGTGGATAGCGGGCTCGCTGAAGCAATGGGTTCAACAACCGACTTCTTAGCCGACTGCAAGGCCCAATTGAACGCGCAAGTACCTCGAATCCTGGAACTACGCGAGAAACGAGAAGCAGATCCATTGGCATATTTCGGCGGCGACCCATCTACCGAGGCAGGTGGCGCTGATATACCAGATAACGTCTCGTTGGCACCCACCGACGCCTCCACCGCTGCCGGACGAACTATGTTTACAAGATACACAGGTGGAACTGCTATGTCGCGACGGACATCCAAAACACGTCGAAAGGAAGAGCGTAAACGTGCGCTTGGAAGAAAGGGGACAGTATATGAAGAGGAGTATCTGGTGAACAGTGTTCGACGTCTGATTGAGCGCGTCAATAGTACATTTGATGAAGTCAGCTCCCTACTGGAAGGTCTGCTTCGTCGTGGCATGCGTGAACGTGCAATAGCAGTTCAGAGAGCCTTTCAGGATGTTCTGGCAATGTGCACAGACTCTCTAAGTGTCTTTGAGTCTTCGGGGCAACAAAATAAGGCTGAAGCAACAGGCGCGACGGCAGATACTTCGAATGTGGAAATTGATGGACAACCTCCTGTTACAGGAGGTGATGCAGTACTGTGGGATAGTATCCACGGAAATAAGAACCGTCCTGCCCCGGTCGTGCGAGAATTCGCGAAGCTAGCTCTTCTAGGTTGAGTTTCCTAGAGCATGGCTCGACTTTCTAGGAAGTTATTCTATGAATGGAGTATATTATTAGAAACGAATGAAAAGGGCGAAGAAAGAGATAGGAAGATGTTGGATAATGCTATGATAACTAGAAACATCTAATGAAATTCATATTCACAGAATGACAGAATTGCCAAGCATAATCAAGCTCCATTGTGCTGAAACTGATTCTTCGCACTTAGATTATCATTCAAATATCAGCCTTTATTGGTCAACGGTGTGATATCAGGGTATCGTCAATCTTAGCAACGCAAAAAAGCCCAATAAGATGCATCACACAAGCTCCGAGACTACCTTTATTGACTATGAAAATGCCCCCTGCGTAACAATGATAATAATACGCTGAACTAATTATTGGCCACTTTTCAAAATCGCTCCCGTTTCGCTAACTAGATGGGTATCAACCTTCTCTGGACCTTCACCGACACCAGTGAGAATGACCCGGCTGATACCATGCTTCAGAGCCTCAATAGCCCTAGAGTCGAGTTTCTGTAGGTCGGCACCAGCGGAAACACCCTTGAGTCTATCGCCAAAGGGGCCCTCCCAGCCGTCAAGACCCTCTCCTAGGATGGCCTTGAAGGTTCCAGCAACGATTTCCGAAACGTCATCCAGATAGTAGATGACGGCATTGGGACCGGCATCAAACGTATAAGCCGCCACAGTCTTTCCAGCCACATGGTTGATATCGTTAACGAGACGAATAGCAGCCCGTGAGACATCATTTAGGTAGAAAATAGGTGGCTCCGAATCCAGACAGCAGGCATGAAAATTATTCGAGTCCCGCATAGTGAGGTCGGCAAAGGCAGGAAAGTCCCGATTGTGGATTGCAGTCTCAATGGCTGTCATGCGACCAGGGACAATTCTCTCGGCACGAGTTGCAAATAAGGGCGATGTTTTCACGGTGGTCTGCATACCTTCTGTGCTAGGCACATCTTTCTTCTCTGCGCTGACAACCAAAATGAGAGCTCTCATCTCTGGCCAATGTGAGGCAGGAGCGATCTCTTCGGCGATACTGTCGCTTCCATCTTCCTTTGTGCCAGATCTCCAAGCAACATAACCACCCTGAAGAGAGCGGCAGGCAGAGCCCGATCCTTGCCTTGCAATACGGCTTAGTTCTGTAGGAGATTGGGGGAGTTCATACAGATTTGCAATGGCCCGAACAAGGGCTGCAAAGCCTGCAGCTGAGCTGGCCAACCCTGCGGCAGTTGGAAAATTGTTCTCTGAGACGATACGGAGCGGGTATGTTGATAATGCTGGTAGAGAAGGATTGGCAGACTCGAGCTCATTGCGGAGGACACGCAAGCTAGCCAAGCAAGCGAGAGTTCGTTTCGAAGAGGAGATGTCTTGGAGGCTGCCATTCAATGTAAGGGTGTCACCTTCGGACGCGGGGTAACTAGCGGAGCATGATGCGGTAGTCACAGTTCGCAGAGAGCGTTGCGAGAGGGTCACTGAGAGCGAAGAGTTCGTGGGTAAGTTCAAGGTTGCGTCTCGCTTTCCCCAGTATCTTTATTGTCTACAGTCAGCAAGAGTCCTGGTTGTGATTCAGCAAGACCGCACCAACGACCACTTACTTGATGACCGCAATGTTGACGGGCGCAGTTGTGGAGGCACGAAAGACGGTACTGTCAGCCATGACGTCTGCTCCGACAAAGGTCTTTGCCGGGGTTCAGGTAATCGTGATAGTGGTCAGTGAGCAGAAGGATTCCAAAAAAGGCGGAGGAGGGGTATTATTATAAAAGGTTAGGGGTTCCCGAGATGTACAATACCCGACAATTAGTATATATAAAAGTTATTCTAAGTAATTTTTTACCGATTATAGGAGCTATAACTATTAAATTCTACTCAATTATAATACATGTTTATATTAATGCTCGTTATCAGCCGTTTTGTGACATACAAAACAATGACTGTCAACAAGTCAAAATGTAGATCAATCACATGACTTTAGCAGTCTCATACCTGGCCAATCGCATTCTAACAATTCGGCAGAAGCCTTCGACTTGTGTGGGCCCGTTCCACAATTGCTCTCGCTATACCCCTTTCGGCCAAGGCGGTGAGCGATCTTTTTTTTGGGCGTGCCGGCAACAGCCATACTCGATTTGAAATCACGTACAGTGTGTGATATGAGAGACTTGTTTGGAGCCTCAATGCTCCACGTCTACCCAGAAATATCAATTCGCTTTACATATAGATATCTGACATAAACTACCACTCCCAGCGGCTCAAAATGGGCGCTAGTGCGAGCACTCAAGCACATACTCCCTCTAGCGATTCAGCAGCGCAGTGTCCTGTTGACCACAAGACTCGCGAGATATGGCTGCAACAACACAAGGGTTCTGCTCAAGATGCCCCTCATCCGATCCCTGTGGCACCTAATAGGATGACTACTAGTGATGCTGTCGGTACAAAGAACCAGCGGCCGTTATCCAACGACCGTGAAATCAGCACTATACCACGGGCTATCGATCCACATACACAATCGTCCAGCGACAGCAAGTCGAAGAATACGCAAACGCCGTACGGTTCCGCGTCGGGTTCACATATGAATCCGTCGAATTCAGAAGCAGAGACTGGCCACGATGCCGCCTCGGGAAATTGGATTTATCCTTCTGAGCGTCAATTCTTTGATGCGCTGGTTCGCAAGAGCAATGTACCTGGATCTACGGCGACGGCAAAAGAGCTGGCTACATCGGTGGCATCGATCATCCCTATTCACAATGCCGTGAATGAGAAGGCGTGGTCGGATATTTTGGCTTGGGAGAGTAGGGCTCCGTCGTCGGATCCCGGCAGCAAAAAGTGTGGTGGTCCAAAACTCTACTCATTCCGGGGCCTGGGAACGGAGAGCCAGTTTGTAAGTCCTCGAGCACGGCTCAATGGGTTAATGGGCTACCAGTTGCCATTTGATCGGCACGACTGGGTCGTGGAGCGTTGCGGTGGTCAGCGTGTGGAATATGTGATTGATTTCTATCAAGGCAAACAAACAGCCTCACCCTCACAGCAAAGTGGTAGCGGGCTCACTGGGGCTTCGGGGCCTGGGAAATTGAGCTTCTATCTGGACGTGCGGCCGAAACTGAATAGTTTTGAAGGGTGGCGGATGAGGTTTTGGCGATTCTGGGGGCAGTAACCTTCGTATTACGATTGAGTCATGGACTATACCCATTGCATTGTATATTATTGACAGCGAACTGGCTTCAGCGTGTTACCAATTAGACATGTATAGTATCCTCTTCTCTTTTACCCTTCCTCTTGTTGAATTGTCGTCACCTAGACCTCTCCACAACAAGGCGTTGCGCAAAGTCAAGCGCACACATAGTTGCTCTATCCTGTCTACAGTTCGATTCTGAACCCATTGTTTGGTCGTAGCATACATATGTATGTACATATGTAGTGTATCAGTTGACAACTAGTCATACTTTGGCAAAATGGGCATGTATTATTGATATATATCAGAGTTTCAGTGCTGACTACGGATGATCGTCAGGGACAGGTTGATCCTGAAACGACCAAACTCGATAGACTTGTGCTTGATGCAGTTGGCCGTACGGGGAAAGATCAACTTGCACGTTCATTTTAAGCAACGAAGCGCATAGAGATCGTCGATGCACGGCCATTGTCCGTTGATACCTCGGGCGGACAGCGGCGGAACAGCAGGGATGTGTCGGTCTATCGTGCCACCGGTCCAGGTGACGCGTGGCTGGGCGTGGCATATCGAGGCGATCTTAATCCTTTCCCTCCAATTTCCGGCATCGACCTGGCCCTCCATATATCCGTGAGTGGGCACTTCACTGCGCAATTGCAGGCACTGTGCAGGGCGCCCTTATCACAGAGTTGGCAGCAGTGGCGCCGCTAAAACAACACTCCAGGCCCGCTAGCCCAGGGGCGGCTAGCCCGGGCTCAAGCACTGTGCTTGGGGTTACTCGGGCTAAGCTACAATAGGCTATCCTAATGCGACAGTGCAGAGTGTGATCCTGCTCTTCCTTCCCTTCCTCTTCCTGTCGCGCTCCTCATGCAGCTCTGCTACGCCATTTACGCCTGATAGTTATTCCTATGATACTGCCGAGAGCGCTGTAGCGTTGAAAGAGAACAGCATGGGAGTATAGCGCAGAGAGCACGAACAAAACAAGGAAGGGTCTTAAGCGCGTGGGCCGAGCGCCAGGGGCCGGCGAACCATGGCCCAGGCTAGCCCCAGCCTGACAGCGATCTACACTGTGCAGTCGCTACTGGGTGTTGCTGCCCACCCGTTCTCTCCTTCTCCCCTTACTCTGTACAGCTTCCTCCCTCCACCCTCCTCACCCGCCACCACCACGTCCTCCTCCCCCCTTTGGTTTGCTTGTTTCTGTTGACGCTCGTTGTGTATCTTTTTATTGTAATGCGTAATTTCTAATTGTTCCTCTTTCGACATTTGTTTTCCTGTCCTTTGCGCTCAATTCTGCCATATAGCTTTCGATTTTTCTTCACGTCAATTCTCGTCAACTATTTAATCATCCAACCAACGCCAATTCGTCTTGTGGAACGGATAAACAAGGACGAACGATCAATTAATCTTGTTATTTGTGGTCAGATTGCCGCTTTCGAGATCAGATTTTGCGACCACCGTTTCGACAAATCGATATTTCGAGCTCAGTCGCTATCAATGAGGGGTGTAGCTCTGCTTGCTGTCTAGATCCTTGCTAGGGATCATGCATCTGTCACAATATGTGCTCTCGATCGCCATCTTATCAACGGGCGTAAATGCCTTCTACCCTTATGTTCGACCCGTGGCAGCCACCACCTCGGTCCTTGAAAAATTGACGAGCCGTTTCTATCCCTATCGCCTCGGGTCGTCCGTCGAAGATGAAGTTTCCGGCTTCCCGACTTTTCCCCTCAAAAAGCGTTCTACGATGGTACTTGAACACCCTCCATAGATAACAAGGTACCCAGCTAACTAGCCACAGGCGCGACGACAGAATAAATACTCGGTTGTACAAGGAAACCCTCCCACGACCCCGAACAGCGTGGCAGTCGACGACGATGGCCAGGATTTTTCTTATTTCTTTTCAATGGACTTCGGCTCGAAGAACCAGTCAATGTGGATGCTTTTCGATACAGGTGGTACTAACACCTGGACGTTCGGCTCCAACTGCACCGTTCAAGCATGTGAGCTGCATAACACATTCGGTTCTAACGGCTCGACAACTTTACAAGTTTCTACACAGCCATTCGATGTTGGTTATGGGACAGGCACAGTATCAGGAGTCCTCGGCACCGACACTGTTTCTTTTGCCGATTTTAGCTTGCAGCTCACCTTTGGTCTAGCTAGTAATGCATCTAGTGACTTCACCAACTATCCTATGGATGGTATTCTAGGATTAGGGCGCTCAAACGCCAGCACCACTGGCACTTTAACCGCCATGCAAGCCATTGCTCAAGCCCATCTGTTGCATTCGAACATTCTCGGGATTTCCTTACAGCGAACCTCCGACGGCGCTAAAGACGGAGAAATCACCTTCGGTGGCGTGGACACCACCAAGTTCACTGGCGACATTTCCTACACTAATATCTCAGCCGGGGCAAGTGGGTGGCAGGTTCCAATAGACGATGCCATTGTCAATGGCCGACCACTCAACTTCACTAGCAGATCCGCTATCATCGACACTGGAACGTCCTATATCTTTCTTCCTCCCAACGATGCTAGCGCTGTTCATGCTTTGATCCCAGGATCTTCACCTGCAGGCCAAAACTTCAACATCCCATGTTCAACAAATGCGACTGTTCAATTTACATTTTCGGGAGTGTCATACAATGTCTCACCCAAGGATTATGTCGGCTCTGCAACCGACAGCTCTGGCGCGACTTGTTATTCCAATATCATCGGTGTACAGACGACGGGCTCTGATGTTTGGCTCTTGGGAGATGTATTCCTTAAGAACGTGTACACTGTCTTCGACTTTGATCAGAACCGTATCGGCTTTGCTACCCGCAATGGTACGGTGGCAACCACCAATCCATCCGTGACCTCAGCCTCAGCAGGTTCCGGGGCGACGAATACAGCCTCTTCTACCACCTTGAACACGGCTTCTGCAACCCCAAGCACTGCAGTTCCCACAAGTGGTGCTGTCTCACTCCTAACCCATTCGCTCTGGGATAGTATTACCGTCCTAGTCAGTGTTGCATGCCTGTATACCTTTTTCATCATCTAAAGTGGCAACCACTTCGCTCACTCATCATCATTCATCATCTTTTTGTACCTCAAATGCATGTGCCATCGCCCGCTTTTATAAGCTCTCTTTTCTCTGGATACCCACAGACAGCATTCTTTCGTGTTTTCTTGTACCAACATAGGTACTCTGCTGCCATTTGTAATTACTTGCCTTCTAATTAGTTTCTGCAACTTACTGGTGTGTCGTTGGGCCTTCAGCCAGATGTCTGTTTTTCTTGCGGCATTTTTTTTGGAGACACCCCTCGTACTTGGGCGTTGGTTTTACGATGCCCTCTGCTCTTTGTAGGAGTTTCCATCCTGTCACGAGAGCGTACTCTATGTCTCGCTGTGTACCGTGCCCACGCATCCCATTTCTTCCTGAACATGACATTAGGATTTTGAGGAAAGAGAGCCCGTATTTGGGATAATACATACAGAATATAGTGATCAGTCATGTTCGAACGTTCTTACTGTAGAGCTCTGTAATTTGCAGCTATGGCTTATTCCTCTTTTCTGTCGTTATTAATCAATTCCGATTTCTACCTCGTGGAGCTATGATATGATTACTAATATAATCGATTATCAAATGCCATACTAGCTTAAATGCAGGTTTCGAATTTTTCGTAGCGACATAATAAGCCTACGACCCAGATTTAACATTAAACACCGAAGGCCAATTCTTCTGCGCTCTCTGGATAGCTCTCTCCAAAGTAGGCTCTCCCGACGGTGGACTGGGAGAGAAAGGCTTCGTCTGCCACTTCAACTCAAATGACTCAATAGAACTTTTAATCTTAGTGTCGTTGTAGCTGCCGTAGCTTGTTTCCGATACATACTGCACAAAGATCGACCATCGCTCACGGTAGTATGATGACACCAAGCCACCCCATGATTTCGACGCGTAGTCGCTAATCTCTCCATCAGGGCCCCAGAGAGTAACTTGGTTGAGAGCATCATACTCATAAAACGCGGCCGAGGAGTTGTCTGACCACCTATGGGCATTGGAAAGCCATGTCGATAGATCAAAGGCGGCGTTCTGTGATAGGACGTGGTCGAGGTCTGTTAAGAGTTGAAGAAGTGGTTCGCCTCGTTTGCTGTAGAGGTTGTCTTCGCCGTTCTTGTATGCTGCTACGAAATCTTTGTAGTAATCAATGAACGCGTTTGCCATCACTTGACGCGTCACGTCCACGACATCGTATTGGAAAGCAGGGTGGTCCCATAATGACACATTTCCCTTGGCAGCCTGAATCATCAAGTTCCATACATCAACCATTTCCGATGGGTCGTAATTGACTGTAGTCGGGTTAGGGAAATGGCCAGCTAGGTCGGTCAGGCCCTCGATACTAGGGCGCAACTCGTAGATAGCCTTTGGGGTGCAATCCGTGCTTGAATTGGTGTTGTTATATGCCGTCAATCGTAGCTTATCCCATGCTGTGAAAAGCTCGGGTGCAACTGGCGCATTGCCTGAGGAATATCGGCTAGCGGTCCAATTGGAAAAGTAAGACTGAGCATCCAGAGGTTCCGTTGACCAAGCCTGATCAAGCATCAAGTCATACATAATTTCATTCCCTTCTTGACCCTCCATTGTTGACCCGAAGCCGACCAGAGAATCCGACTGGGCTAGAGCCTGGGTTGAGTTGACGGTGACATTCATAATCTGTCCATATAGACTCATTGCGCCGCCGAAATCGTGGAGTTGGCACCATATCCAAGGTTTACCATAGTACGATTTCGTTTGCTGCCATAGAGGGACCGATTCGGAGTAGAGATCAAGAATCAGCATATCGTTATTATTTTCCACGCCTCCCAGATAAGCGGAGATTCGATCGTTAGTCCAGAATGTGGATTGCAAAAAGAGCCAGCCCTGCATCAACCATATAGCAGCTGGATTCGCTGCCTTGAGACCTTGCCATGTGCTATACGACACTTTTTTAAGATAACCCGTATCATTGGAGGCCGGGGTAATTTCGTTAAACTGATCGAGTGTGTAGACATTGGTGATATTGCCAAACGCCTCAATTTGTGCTTGGATGATGTTTTTCTGCAACTCGGAAAAGACTGGGTCTAGGGGATCTAGGAAAGTAACTTCAGAATACTGTTCTGGGAAGCCTCCCCAATCCGAACCCCTGGTAACGTTGACGTCTGGTTTTGCGTTGGTGATATTTGCCGGCACAAATCCCGGGAATGCAGGCAGAGCGGGTGTGATACCGAGCTCAACCATTCGCGCAACAATCTTTTTCTGCATGGAAAACTGATCCTCGATCCATCTAAGTGGCAAGTCACTACCACCCCAGGACCCTTGGATATTGCCAAATCGGTTCCAGGCTTGGAACGCGGGGCCGCTGAAGAAAGGGAGAATATCATCATCAGCCATTCCAATGCTCTTAAATGCTGTCCGTAAGCTTTGCTCGTATCCAACCCATGCAATAGCCAAGTTAACCCCATGGAGAGCCGCCCAGTCTAATTCTAGTTCCCAGTCTTCCCACTGCCAAAAAGCGGTAGTATAGGAGAAAGTAACTTGGGACGTGGTTAGATAGAGAACAACGCTATAGGAAACACGTTGTCAGGCTGGCTTACCGGTGTTAAAATGATATCTCCATGGGACTGCGCTTGAGCCTCGTAATGACATTTCGAGTTTGGGCAAGTGCGATGGTGCAGTATGAAGACGACTTCCAACGAACCAGTAGATGTCCACATGTGCCACCTCCGTGAGGTAGCGTCGAAGTCTGTGAATGATCAGTCAGATTTAGAATTGGAAAAAGGAAATAAAGCAAGGTTAAAAAAGAAGAGGCGAAGGAAATTGTATCACTTACCCAGTGGCAAGAGCACTCAGGGATGTACCTTCGATCAGAATTGTTCCATTTGAGGCCGAGGAAACTTCATAGCTGTCATTCTGGCGTATGTAGCCATTTTTGTCCGTACTGTTGGTATCGGTGAGTGAGAATGTGAAGCTATTGACATGGTTTGGGATTCTTCGTTGGACAAGATTGATGAGTCCCTGCGTTGATGATGTTGCTGCGACGCACATGACCAATGGGAGCAGACACGCTCCTATGGCTTTACGGAACAGCATCCTGAGAAATCACAATAGTGTGATACGGAAGTGATAATCGAGTCAATCGGATTGAAAATTACTTGATACAAGGGTTGGGATTACTGAGGGCAATAGTATATAAGACTGCGATTGCCGGTTGTTGGCACGATTGCCATTTAAGGGAGAAACCACTTCAGGACACAATAATAATGTGCGTACTCGTAGTCATACAATAGTAATAATTAATATACTTATAAGCACTTTGGCGTGTTTTCCTCCGAACGACCCAATCACAATTAATGTCAAATGATAGATGATGGAGTATGTTGCTTACGACCCCGCTGTAAGAACCAGCCATGGGCAGTAGAAGAGGCACTAGATTATCTTTTTGGTTACAATGTTACATCGGCTTGTGCTAAGGAATGATTTAAAATTAAGCATCAAGGCGAATAAGCGTAGGAATGGGTTACTACGATGGGAAGTGATTCGAGAGATGTTCCAACATTTGAAACATCGACACAATATGCACAGCTTGTATATGCGTCAACTGTCAATTACTAATGCTTGTAACTTGATACTCTGCCCGGTTCCTAACCAATATGATGATTGGCGGCCTGACAGCATTATTGTTGGTTAAAATGTTGATCCGCTGCATGAAGGAGGGAACAAGGCATTGAGTGAGCTCTGGTCAACAGGGGGCTGATTCCAGGGAATACGAGGGTGGCTGGAAGTCCTAAAATCAATCGTCTTCGTCTTGCTCTTAAGTTACTAAAAATCTAGTAACAGAGCGTGCCTGCGGAGGTCATAATGAATCTAGTATCATGTCGCGCCTCGCGGAGTTCGGCAATTGCCCCGGAACCCTTCCGGATAATCCCCGTCATAAGAAAGCATTTTCGGCTAGCCTGAATGGCCGTCACCAACACGCATAGTGAAGATCGAGCTTCTACATCTATAAGCGCTGACTACTGAAAATGCCAGGAACAGCACAGGAGAAGCTAGCTCGCTCGGCCTGCCAGTTCCTTGCATCTCGACTGCTCTATTGGCAGGGCTCTCACACAACCACACGACAGCTGTTGGCTAAACGTCACTTCCATGCCACTCCTACCGCCTCTGTATTCACAGCAGCTTGGATACCATCACGTGTCAAAACACCATGGGTAGATGCCCTAGCACAGAGCCGCGATGAGCAAGCTCGAGGAAAATCGGCTGCGGGGCAGCAGCTTCCTCCAAAGCCAGATCTGACTCCGAAGCGGATGTCCGACAGTTACTTCTCAGCAGCAAGTTCTATCTTATTTGCCCAAGCTAAACTGCTTGCTGACAGGGCTGTGGCTAGATACTTCCTCTTGCCCAGGATAAGTGGCTGCTAGATTCATATCTCAATGCTTCCGGGCGCATTCGGTGTGTTTCAAATACACCATTGATCAAATTTCAGGGCTCATCAATTATAGGCTCGGCACGCTTTTTATGGACCTTGACACTCTGGCTGGTGTAATAGCTTACAGGCACACGGGTGATTCCGTCACCACTGTCACTGCTGCTGCTGACCGAATCACTCTCCTCAATCCATTGAAAGAGATCTGCGACCTTGAATTAAGTGGTCAGGTTACGTATGCGACGGGAAGATCAAGCATGGAGATCTCACTGCAGGTCGCCAAGGCGCCTGTCAACGGTGAGAAGGTCAAATCAGAGGATCTTCTGATTACTTGCGCCTTTACTATGGTCTCATTGGACCCAGCAACGAAAAAGTAAGCCAAATATCGAGACCAAACAGGCAGTTTACGTTTCCTGCAAAGGCTTACCAATAAGCAGACCTATCCCCGTGGCTCCATTAGTTGTGGAAACAGAAGAAGAGAAGCGACTGTTTCAAAAAGGAGAGGAAAATTATAATGCAAAGAAAGCTCTGCGCAAAAAGAGTTTCCTTTCACAGACGCCTGATGAGTCAGAATCCAATCTAATTCACTCGATGTGGAGCAAGCAAATATTATCAAAAATGAGTAAGCGCACATTTCTTTAAACTAGCCTACTCATCTTTACTCTCATTGACATCAATGGGTGTCTAGCCTCCACAGCAGCTATCGAAAACTCAGATGCCCGAACGATGTCCTCTACCGTTCTCAAATCGGCAATGATCATGCAGCCAGAGGATCGTAATCGGCACAATTTTATGATCTTTGGCGGTTTCTTGCTACAGAAAACATTCGAACTTGCCTTTTGTTGCGCGGCCTCCTTTTCTCATAGCCGACCAACATTCGTAGCCCTTGACCCAAGTACGTTTGAGAATTCCGTTCCAGTAGGAAGTGTCCTCTATATGAACTCATTAGTGGCTTATACCGAGCCTCTCCTGCATGAGGATGGAAAGGGAAATTCAAAGTACACCAAGGTTCATGTGCGAGTGGATACAAGAGTCCGCGATGTTGAACATGCTACGAGAAAGTCGACCGGCTCATTCCATTATTCTTTCATTGTGCCCAACAAGGTCCAGGTTATGCCAACGCATTACACTGAGTATATGATGTGGCTTGATGCTCGACGCAGAGCTCAGGAGCTTGATCCTATCATTGCTTCTCGGTTTACAGAAGATGCTGCGTCGGCGCGTATGGACGGCGTTACTGAGTAATTTCCCTTTCTTAGATCTACGAAGGTTGGGCAACCATCTGTGGTTTATAGCGGAGGCTTTTTCATAGTTCACAAGCACATGCATACAAACTAGACAATCTACGTATACCATTTTTCTCTTTCTTATTTCTGTAGATCACACATTTTAAAGGAGTAAACAGTCCACTACAGGGAAAGGGTTCACGTGACTATTTAGCCGGAATCCAGTGCGGGGGAAAGCTCAACTTTACATATCTGGTGGATTTGCTCACGATATCACTTGATACCTCGAAACCTATCATTATACAGATCAGCTAAGCGACTTCTCGAATTGATGTCTCTTCAGAACGTGTGGCATCTCCGGCGAGTGGCGGACACCGCTTCGAAGGCATGCTACATATGCTATAAGCCATCAACAAGCGTTCTGATAACGCCAGACAACAAAGTGAGGGGATAAAAAACTTGACACTAGTAAAATACTGTCAATACTATGCTAACATAGAAACCAAAGGACTTTTTCTACGTGTGTCCTTCGCATCTCAAAGATCGAGGGTTCTGCTCGCCAATCATTGATGCAGAAGAAGATGCTAAGAAAAAGAAAGATGAGGAATTGGCGCGGGAGATTGAACAGGTAAAACAAGAATACGAAGAAAAACAAAAGAGGAAAAAGGAGAAAAAGAAAGAAAAGAAAGAAAAGAAAGAAGAAGAAGATGAAGATAAAGAATCTAAAAAGTCCGAGAAAGAGGACGACAGAAAGGCGGAGCAGGAAAAGAATAATAAGGTTATTTTTCATATTTATCGTTAAATGGAATAAGTGCTGATTATGTCAACCACAGATTGAGGAACTCCAGAAAAAAGCAGAGCATAAAGCTGATGACTTCCCTCGCATATTTACACTGCATAAGTAAGCTAGTGATTTGACAAAGTTCCTATATTCTCCTGCTAATATAAAGCCACAGAAACTTTTACCAGATGCGTATCAATCGCATACGCAGCATAGACCTTGCCAAGAGAAATGCAGAACGTATGAAAGACCCGGCATTGTTTCCATCTGTTCCCAAGGGAGATATTTAGAAGAAAGTTCTTCCGGTATCAGTGAGGGCTACCTATTATCAGGGATATCCTGGCCTCTTCTTAATATGGATAATGGGTATTTATATAAGCTTGCCATTGGGAGGATTTGTTCCGATACAACAAAGCTGTGCCATGCAATGATACTCATCCAACGACTAGTCCGTTTAGTAGGATGTGACGTGGAATATTTCTGGGTACGATGCAGATGGTTTTATGCTGTCAGCGGGGAACCCTGTCCGTGACATGGCACTTGAAGTAAATCTTACTTCTGTCCGAATTGAAAGTTCTTTATAGGGTTGATGCTCATCCATTAGAGCTAATCCATTGATTTCCTTCCGGAATATATGGCGACCCTTTCGAAATATGAATACCGGCTCAACCTCGGGCTCTTGAAGAATGGCCTGAACCTGCTGATGATGGATGGATTCTTGGAGAAATCTTCCATAGAAGACCTTTGACAGAAAACGGTTCGAGACTACCCTTCTACAGTATAGACCGGCGAGACCAGGCCCGGATTTTACTCCTACATAGAACGAGCGCTATACAGCTGACTGCATATGCAAATGCAACCAGTATATGAGCTGTGCGCCCTGCAGTGTCTGACTGCACAACTGGCTCAGTGACACTGCCTACAGTGGGTTCATCGGAGCAAACCCGACAATCATGACAGCCAACACTTTTAAATTAGCGAAAAAGGTTGGAGTCATCACGTCAAAGAAGATTAAATCAGCTGAATCTTCTTTGTCCCAATGACTTTTATCTAGTCTATAATAGACAATCTATGAGTCGTCTAGTTGGACCCTATGACAGCGTCTTTTCCACTGTCACACACGCCCCGCCTCAGCACGATAAGCACTAGTTGTGGAAGTATGTCGCCAGCACCCCTGCACAGGCAGAGCACGGACGTGAATCAATAAATAATTCTGTAAATGGCAGTATTAGTACTCTCTGTCAGTCCAGATTACAAGAGGGGTCGGTCAACGGTGTCAGGACATATTTTTCATTGCTGCTAAGGTTATGACTTATTATTTCACGCGTTAATTCCGCGGCGATGATGACCCTGATCGTCGTTCTCTGTCCTACCAAATGCTAAAGCGGCAGTCTGTTGCAAGCGAGCACAAGCCGATTCATTCGCAAACGTGTCTACTGGGTTAAATCATATGCTACATGGCATCATGCAGCTACACGCCCTTGATAACTCGTGGATGATGATATGTAGCGTGGCTGGTAGTACAACTTGCGAATCATTGGAGAGACCCGGGGTGCTAATTGAGCTAATCGATAAGCAGTAAGCATAGAAAGAGGCATCTTCAAGCGTACTGCATGAAACCGACTTGCTAGAATCAGGAGACGGGTGTTACTTTACTATGTGTCATAACTACCAATTTACCTGAGACAGTTAGCTAGCACGTCTTCCTTTGGTAGACCTGTCTATTTATCTGGGTTATTATGCATTATTAAATTAAAAATATGTGGAATGATGTATGACCTCGTATTCTAAGCTTTTACCAAGAGTCGCCCTACCCGCCCCCAATGCTTAGGGCTGATCGACAGTCTGCAATGATTCTCAACAATATGAAAAGTGTGACGGCAGCAAATTTGATGACTGCCAGTAAGTATGTAAGTATGACGTATGTATTAATTGATGCAGTGGTATAGTCGCAAGAACAATCTGCAACGGTGCTACTGTAGAATTGTTGGCTGCTGATCCTATTCCAGACACCAATCCAGGAACATCAAATAACAAGGGCAGTTTTGAAACATCGGTGCTTCCGGCGCTTGCGAGTAGTCTATATTGGCTAATAATTAGTTGGTTGTTAGTTAGCTGTAGTGTACTTTTTATCTCAATGTTGTTAATTTGCCAACATTTCCTCCAATTGTTTCCCAGTAAGCAGTCACAAAATATCATAAAATTATTAATTTTGAAAACTAGCCAACAATACTGTTGACAGAATATTCCAGAGTCATAATAATAATAATAATAATAATAATAAAAAACAGTCATAAGTAATCCGCCTGCATCGTTAGCATGTTTAACAATATTAAAAAGAAAACAAGGCTAGCCCTCTCGGCAGCAACAACCCAACCATGCATCCGCTGCATCCCTTGTTGTTACATCGATTTAGGGCTAAAAAGTTTCTCTCTATTTTCCCTTCTTTTCGGAGGTCATGTGGAAAGGCTGTATGTAGCCTTATGACAACGCCGTAAATCCTTGGCTGCATTAGTTGGAACTACGTATCATCACCATACTGTCATAACGGTGAAAGGAATGCGTGGTGGCTTATTGTTGTATTTATCATATCGAATATCCAAATAGCAGCAGAGTTGGTATGATGAAATCATGCTAGATACATCATTATCCAACCATCATTTGTACCACTGAGTGGACAAAGTGTCTGTCCTTTTCCATCTGGACGCCCATGTATTATAGGTATCAATGTATTGAAATGTAACAAGTGATGTAACTAGCGTGGTGGTGCTGTACTAGCGCCGCATATACTTGCCCCCCGCCCCACCCCCGGCCAATCCCATCCAGGCTCCCTGTATTCCCCCTCTCTGTCTTGAGAACAACGCAGAACATGCTGCAAGATGACAAAAGGATCACAAGAGTTCGCAGACGCCTAGCTAATCCTTACTCTCTCTGGAGTAATTAGACTGTCGAGGTCATGCAGACCATTGTGCTAATTAATAGCGAATGCCTTGAAGAGGGGAAGCCGCCGTATGCATGATGTCTGGTAAATTACAAGGCTGTCGTGCTTTTCTCGAACCACGGTACAACCACTAATTTCTAGCATCGTCATTGGCTGGAAAAGCGACAAGCATAATACTCACTTCATTATATTTATGATCAATTTCATGAGTAAACGAATAATGGATATTGCTGAAACACACTCGGAAACCCTGGGTAACTATTAATTAAGTTGTACTAACTACGAACTAAGTTAACTATTATCAGTCTTCTAGTTGGGCTGGTAGACTAGCATGCAGCCTGGTGGGGGTTGTGCATACTCTGGGAATTGTAACTTGGGTAACCTAGCAGTACGTGCTACCTACTTAGTCTAACTGGCCTAGTTACTTATGGCCACCCAAGGCGCAGGACTTGCTTAGTCCAGACTAGTTAGACGCCTGGGCCTGATCAATCATAACTGACGGCTCGACTAGGTACAGTGAGAGCTCTGAGAGGACATTGTAGTTAGGGCAACTGGGTGGAGGGAACCCTTTGTTTACTAAGCACTTATAGAAGAATGACTTTGAGTCAAGAAAACGCCCGGACTTTGTAGTAAATAATAACCAATGGCTTGATATTCACGTAATTCCTCAATGTATTGGGCTTTCTCCTTTAGTCTCAAAAATGCACAATGCTTAATGCAGAAATTCTTGCCGACTCCACCCATCTAATGTCATAGTGCTGCAAAATAGTATGGGGCGTATTCCAGCCTTCAGAGAGTTAGCTTCCTTTACAGTAAGTACTCCAGTTTACCACTAATATTTCTGAACGATCTACTTTTCAGGAAGCAAGGTGGATTCATTTTTCATAACAATATTAATCGGTATTCGGCAATAATGCTATTGTTATTGCTTAGTGCGAGCATTATTTCCGTGTCATACAACAATACGTCACTTTATATCCGACGTCAGCGATCTTTGTAGCCCGTTAATTTTAGCTGATTGAGGTTATTTTGATTGGCTACTCTAGATATTACTCAAATCTTCATGTATGATATGAAAATCGAATAGCACAAGATCGGACATGAAGAAGTCAGGCTCAGAACTTGCTGACTATGCTGACTGATATTTGAGCTTTTGTCATACGCGCGAGCTTGTTTGATTTTGGAGCTGGATCTGACACTGGCGGCCACTAGCAGTAACGCGGATGTCGGATAATCCATCGTCTGACCTTCTGACCACTGCGAATCCTTGCGCAATTTTTGATCGCTGCGGATCGGCCATTTCCGAGGACAAAGAAACGCTGAGATCATGCCATCCGTTTATGATGATGCAGTCTGAGCAATGCATCGCAAATCCTGTCATCTAAACTGTGCTGGCCAAAAGCACACAATAGAGAAGGGTATCATGTTGTAGTCCGTCAAGATGGGTAGATAGATTATGTAGATTATAAGAAGAATCAGAGGTTATTCCTCTGAGACTCTGCAGCACGCATGTGAGGCGGCAAGCGAATGCCCATACCCCCAAGCTTCGCGTTGTCTGTGGCTGCAGTCGAGGTCGTCTTTGCAACGGACTTATCGACAATGTCAACTCGAGCACGAGCCACGCCTATGGCCGGTACGACCCATTTACCACAGCTACATTGCAATCCCTGCCAGGCGAATTTTCCTACATTAGCCTCACATTTAGGGTTTGGACACACCAGTCGACCTGACAGCGGGGCGTCAGCGTCCGGTGAGGGAGAATTTGCAGGGGTCTTTTCTGAAGCCGAGCCGGGGAAGAGGGATGGTCGCATCCACGTTAGGGGATGCAAGAAAATATGGGCGCAGTCTAGGTCCCGTGAGGTGTTGGATTTGGATGCAAGGACATCTTCTTTGGCATGAGGATTGATGAATGGGGCCGTGGCAAGCATGCGTCTGTCCGAGAATAAGCAATCACGTCCGTTCATTACAGGAAGATCATATTACCTGCATTTGCGGCATCTAACTTCAATCGGCCGCTCGTCTGACGCGCTTTCCCGAGATGGCAATTCATCTTCGAAACGCACTACGTTCATCTCCGGAGCCTTTCCACAGGCGGTGCTAAGCTCGATTTGACGGTTTGATAGCCATCGGATGTACGACGGGTGATTCACCACGTCGTCAGGGCATCCCATCTCATGATAGAGCCATAATTGGTTCATAAAGCCTTCATTGGGCTCGGCGATAGGACGACTTTTTCGAATCAATTTGAGGGTCGTATCTGGATTTAGTCCTTTTGGTTGGCGATTCATAAGATAGGCGATGCATACAGCCACAGAACGAGACTTTCCCATCGCACTGTTACGTCATGTCAGCAATAGGTAGTATACGAGTGAGGTATAAGCACAGACCAGTGAATCAATACGCTGGCGCCTTTATCCAGAGCCGACTGGATAAAGGCGTTGGACTCTTGGAAATGCTGCAGTAGATCTTCATCTTCCACATCGTCGACTTCGATTTTGAGATTTTCAAAAGGATCAGTCAGGTGCTCGTCAGGCTTCATGCGCAACACAGATACGACATGAGTGATGTTGGCGGCGTGCAACGCGGCCTTGTTCCTGAGAGCGAGCACACTAGATAGATGTGGAGAAAAAAATTAGCACATGTGAGACTGGTGGGACGCAGTGAACTGGTGATCCAGGAAAAGTCTGCGTGCACGACTAACCCGCCGATATAAAGATTGTACCCTTGGACCTGATTGAGCGCCATGGCTGCAGGTACAAGCCGTGCGATCTGATGAAATTCTCCGGGGGGTTCCAGACAGCCACGGACGGTTCGAGGGTTGATACTGGAGCGACTGTCCAGTGTGGAAGAAGGACGGGCTTGGGCTAGCAGACTAGCATGGCGTTATTGGAGTTGCATTTATGATGATTGATTTTGGTTAGTCCTTAGATGGCCAATAGTTCATAATCATAACAATTACTGCTATTATGACGGTGGTGACTGGCGAGGAATAGGAATAGTAGAGCAGGAATATTAATATTGCAGGTCAGCGAGTTGCAGGCTTACAGGCCACAGCTCTCACTGGAATCCCCACCGCCTAGCTCGTTCGGGCAAGTACGTTCGTGGAAACTAACCCTAAAAGAGTTATGATGTCTGGTAGCCGAGAGCGATAAGGCCGAGGCCGATAGTGGCCTGAGGCAGCGGTGGCCCGCTGCTCGACAAGCGCTTATCCGGATTCAGACTTTCGTGCAGCATTTTGCTTCTCTTGCACAATTATCCTGGATTATTTATTTATTCCTGCTAAAGTTTGCGCTCGCAGTGGCTGACGATGGCTCATATGATCTGGCAATATGACGAAGCTGGCGCAGTTCGTCGTTGCAGAGATGATTTTGCCGCCACGGGGACAGCCAATGATGGCCAGCAGGGGCCTGAGTTTCTTACGGGGTTCTGGAAAACCCCACTGTGTTCCACCCGGACCGAGCAAAGGTAAATGAAGCCATCTCCATTTGCCATAATCGATTCAGGTCTCGTGTATATTTTATATCCTATCCGGAGCACACTATACGATACATACCCTTGTTGGTATAATACAACAGAGCACCAAACAGACTATTCCTGGTGATTCTGCGGCGCGAACAGGCAAGATGGCGGCGTCCTGACAGCAGCACAGGCCCCGTCAGCCTTAAGAGGCGAGTGACGGGGGCCACGGGGCCTCCCACGGGTAGACTAAGAATCACTAATGTTGCAGCCAACGACAGCACAGCACATTCATTCCTCGCGCCCATACGTAATTTTTCGCTGTCCCCGCCGTGCGAGAACGCAGATTCGGCCTTTGCTCGTTCTGACTCCTCGTTGAACATCAGCATCCAGGCGATCGTAGCCTGGAGGCCACAACAGAGTTCTTCGAGAACTTCGAGTCGGTCCAACACAGCTAGCTCAATACGATTCATTCGCTGGGGCATGCACTACCGCCATTCACGAATAATCTTTATTAGCTACTCCGTACATCCCACTGTATGAACATGGTGGTGTGGCAGTGCACAGGGCTGTCGACCATTGGTGACCGCCGCGTGGGTCTCGCCGGCTAGCCAGGACCATTTGCGATCGTGGAAATTCAAAATTACGGTTATCTACGATGCTGCTCTTTGTGGCCTTGTGCAGTATGCCCGGATATGGGCGAATATTGCCGGCAATTGTCAGGAATTAACACTACTAACAGTCTGAACAGAGTGCATCGGTTGCAACCCAGTCGCCATTTCGGTCAGCGAGCGAATGGCAGGATCTCATCCCTGCCGAACAGGGCATGCAATGCACAGTCCCAGGCCCGTTCTTAGATAAGACGCCCGCCAGTAAAGTCTTACGCCTGTATTGTATGCACATAGCTGGAAGACAGTGGGGTATGTTACGGCTAATTCTAGCATGATTCTTCCTAGGGCCCCTCCTAGGACCTTCTTGTTTCGATCAAGTCTCGGAAGCGCAAATGCCGATTATCCAGAGGTTCTTAATTTTCTACAGTCCACTACCATGTAAATAACTGGGAACTTTAACCCCATTAATGATGCCATGATCGCCGTTATCTGCGCAGGAAAAGGAAAGATGATACGTACGGATTGCACTGTCGGCAATCGGGATTGATCTTTTGGGTGGCGGCGAAAAGGCCTGCCAAGAGGATGGCGATGAAATGGCGAATGAGGAGAAAAGGCTAGGAGTCTACGTAACAGTCGGACCCGACAACATGACTTTGACTATTAGTATTTAGCATATTGGGTTGTTAGTGTGTTGTTGTTGCTGAACTAAGAATCGCACCATATCCCAGGTTCCAGCTAGCTTGTGCTCACCGCTTCGATGAGGTTAATTAGTTCTCTTCTAACAGCTTCGAGTGGGGTGATCGATACCTGTCTTAGTCGATGGAGTCACTAGCTGGGCCGGCGCCTGTTGTTGTTCCCAGGTTCCTTTTTGGCGCACGGAGTAGGCGGAGGCAGGTATTTTAGTACAGTATTTAGTATTACCGATGGGAGCCGCTGAGTGGCCACTACGGTTAACAGGGAATACAGTCATAACGACAACAATAGTAATATATAATGTCACTTACGGAGGGAGGCGCTGAGATATTAATAGATGACCGGGATCGCCAGATGCAGACAGCCCTTGAGAAGACGAAACCGCAGACGCAGCAGTAGGCGCCGCACAAGTGATCGACCCATGCTGGGCGAGCTGACCTGGTTCGACACGGCGGGCAAGCTATGCCAATCATTGGGCGAGAAAGCTCCGGTGGCGTTGCCCTACGAAGACATCTTGCCATCCGGATGATGGTATGGAGAGAAGGCAAGGCAGACCGACAATGGGAATGGCTGGCTGGCTGGTGGCAGGTGCGAGCCAATCGAGGCTAGCCCTACGAAGGCGCTTGCTTGCTTGCTTGTACTGTACTCCGTACGGAGTAGGTAATATGAATAACGAGCATTCAAACTACTTGTCGACAAGCCTTTCAACGGGCTCCGACGTTCCTGCCTGGGAGCCTGGCGTGAAGTTGTACGGGCCGCTGGTTGGCTAACTGTTGCGCACTGGTCCGCCCTAAGCCTAGAGGCGGCTACAGCCTGCCGCCACGCTTGTCCCCATACTCTAACCGCGTGGAGACTAGCCTATGCAATGTACCGTACCGTAAGTACCATCGCCCAGACCCGGCGTAATAATACCACCCAGTGCGCTCGCTGCATATGCACAGCTAATCCCTAGTTCTTTCCCCCTCCACCTCGTGCAGGAGCAGTGGCCAGCCTACTCCCTCACTCATTGTTTGCTCAAATATTAATTAACCAAGAATTCTCAATATTACCGGCCATTATTGCTGCGGTTCCTGTTATTACTGCTGTTAATACTGCTATTATTATTACTACTACTACTACTACTACTGTCGCCGTTATTCGCATTTTCTCGTTTGTCCCTCCCTGTATCGACGTATTGTGTACGGTATCGCTCCTGATGTGTGGATACCAGCCGTTGCTGTTGCATCTCATCTGATGCCGAGTCGCCAATAGTTGGCCCTGCTCCTGCCCATTTCCTTCTGCTGCCGCCCACCTCCTTCACCTCTTCTGCCCTGCAATTGCGCCTCCACACGTCAAAAGAGAGCGCTTTCTTTCTCTGAACGCCTCGCCACGCCTCGCCTCGCCTCGACTCAGCTTTCTCCGAGAACCCTGTGCCAGCTCCAGCGCGAACCCCCAATCAACCCTCAATGGATACTTGATCGCCCCAAGCCTTGGCTGCACCAACCTCCTGGACTTTTGTCCTGCATGCGCCGTGTCCCCCAGTTCCTTCGTCGCTCATACGCTACCGCCGACAGGGCAACTGGAGAACAACCCTCAATTGTCGTCGTCTTGACTTTCTCCGTCTTGCCTCTAAATTTCACTCTCGATTTCGCGTGATAAGGCGGTTTTGAAGTCCCGGTCCGCTGGCTGTAAAGATATGTGGGAGATCCGCCGAGACTTGCTGGCCTGGTTGTGATTTCCTTCTCCCTGGCCTTTTCTACGGCAATTTTGTGCCTGAGAGTGTTGAACAGGCAGGCCATCCACCTTCAATGCGCTGGTAATACCGCTTCTCGTTTTGGATGCTCGCTCCACCATATACTCCACCCCTCAAAAATGGACTTCTCTCGACTACCCTCACCACCATCGATCAGCAGTTTTGAACGACACATGCCAGGACACTCATTTTCATCACACGGTCCAATGCGAATCCCGAACAATAAAAGAGATGACTTTGTTCCCCCGCCTCTACCTCCACCCCCTCGAATAAATGATCTCGAAGATGGTCATGACGCAGGCTGGCTTCATGCCAACGGGATGGGCAGACCCGATGTTGCAAAGCTAGCTCCTATAAACCCGGGCTCGAGTCTCCTGGGTGGCCATCACCCCATTCCACGTCTCGAGCGTATGACTCTCAATGAATCAAATAACTCAGCCGACTCCTTTGCCAAGGTTAAAATCGAACCTCCGAGACCTGTGGATGGGGGCTTTAGGAGCTCAATTTCGTCGACACTGTCAGAGCCGATGTAAGTTGCATGGAAACAGTTGATTTAAATTCTTATATTCCTTTTACTATGATCACGCCTTCAGTTCTAATAAATTGGTGCTAACTTATATCCAATGAGAAGCCTGCAGGGTGAGCGTGATTTTTCTATAAAGAGCGTCATGAATTCGTCGGATAATTATGATCGGCATTTGCTGTCCAAGATAGGAAAACCACATTCCCCTCCACGTTCATCAAACACCCTAGGAAGTGATTGTCGAGGAGGTCCAACGACTACATTACCCTTCCATAATAGTTCCTTGGGAACCAGCTATCAGTCGTCTCCTGCTAGTGATCCGTTTAGTCTAGGCGCCTTTGCTGCTTCGTCTGGAGGCGTTTCGCCAAGGTCAAAGCCGGTATGGAAAGACTTGTCTGATCATTATCGCAGTCCGAGTGTGGAAAGCAGTGTTCCATCAATGGGAAATGATCAGGATAGCTATTCATGTCGCCAGAGAACGGGAGCGATGACTCCTAAGTCGGAAGATACATTCTCCTTTCTTCCCCGTTTCAATCGATCTAGCCAAGATCACGGTGTTTTTCCAGACGTCGAAGGTGATGACGATCATGACCAATTTCGCCATTCTCACACACAATCATATTCCGATGGTATATCCAGGCAACATGGAATGAAACGAAGAGCCTCATCCCCTCCTCGAGAGCCCATAAGCGATGCTCGGCATGCTCTTCACAAAGCTACAAGCAACGGCGATCTTGCGCAAAGACGAACAAGTGGACATCCCTTTTCCAGCCACGCTTCCTCAAGCGCACGTTATCCCCCTAGTCATGGCTCATTATCTTCTCTATCTTCGGCCAGCTATCGAACATCTACCTCTTCTTTTAGCTCTTCCGTGGGACTCTCGGTTGGTGGTAGTAGCATGACCAGTACATCTTCCTATGATCGAATCTCTTCTGGGGGTCTTTCCCCACAGAGTGAAGGCGATCACTTCCATCACGAGAAGCCATTAATAAATCAGTCCAGTGCCGGGGGGTCTCTAAATAGCCTTCAAGCTTCAAGATTATCATATGGTAGTATTGTAGACACGAAGCCTATTGTGTCAGGGCGCAAGATATCCTTACAATCGTCTGTGGATGGTCCGAAGGGGGCTGGCTCTAAACTTGGAGGACTATTTATTTGCGATTGTTGTCCTAAGAAGCCAAAGAAGTTCGAAACAAAGGAAGAGCTTCTGTATGTCACCTGTCTAATCTTATTTGTCATTGACTTGGCTAACATTTTATTTTATAGGGCGCATGAATCGGAAAAACAGTACTCGTGCCATTTCTGCAATAATCGTTTCAAGAACAAAAACGAGGCAGAGCGTCACCAGAACTCCTTGCATTTAAGACGACATTCTTGGTCATGTGCAGCACTTTCTGGCTATCAGGCTGCGTTCCATCCCTCGACCTCTGCTACAACCCAGAGTAATCTTGGTCCCACTCACGACACTTGCGGCTATTGTGGCGAAGAATTCCCGAACAACCCCCAGCCCGACTGGGAGGCTCGTTTTGACCACTTGACCAGTGTGCATAAATTCGGGGAATGCAATAATGTGAAGAAGTTTTTCCGGGCGGATCACTTCCGCCAGCACCTGAAACATAGCCATGCAGGTACTCCAGGAAAATGGACTAACATACTCGAAAACGCATGCATGAAGGAAGAGCCTCAGGTGGAATCAAGACTGGGTAGTATTAGTGAACAGGGCAGTCCGAAAAAGTCTGATTCACAAGACATAAGTGGAGCTGGCTCCGCGACATTTGCATCGAATACCATTGACGAAGCGATGGATGAATCCTAAAAGCGCAACGGCTTTCCCAGCAGGCCGCGATCCATTATCTAGGCGACATAATGATTTTTTACAACATTCAAAAGTTCCTACTTCACTTTTGCAAATGGTGAATTGGGGGTGCATCTTCAGCGTTTAGTGCCACATTCTATTGATTCTTTTGAATTGCGTGGTACAAATTTCTTTTCTGCACATACGTGAGAGGTTAGTTCACTGACTGCTCCGATATCTACACAATCCAGAACTTATTTCTTTTTCGCCCTTTCCCGTGTCATGTGTATATTGGTCATGATCATTAGCATTTGATTTACATGCTGTATTGGATGATTATTGGTATACTGGATGTACCGGAAAGGCTTGAATGGAGGAGGAAACATTTGGTGATGAATATGACGAAGAATTCGAATTCTTTCCCCCCTTTTAATGACGACAAATGAACGGCCGCTACTGTTTACAAACTTGCATGAGATGCTTTAACATCAGTTGAATTGTTATGTGAGGAGGAAAGGATACAAAAAAAGTCGACCAATGTTTCTTTTCATTTCATTTGCAATTCATTTGTGGAGAACTTATATCTAGTGACGTTGTTTTTGAGCATATGCGTTGCAATGACGATATTTATCAAGAATTTGTATATATTCATTCTGTCGTATAAGAAAGAGTGACGACCTTACGAAGCGTTGTTTTATCTATTCATATTCTCACTTGTTCTCTCAAGACTATCGACTCGACTTTTATTCTTTTCACATGTGCATGTGTCAGCAAAATTCACTTTCCTATAATACAGGACAAACTTTAAGGTTAGTATTAGGTCTATGATCGACTAACGCCTTTTCAACGAGATATCCTTCAGAACAGCCAATCTGGTGAAGAGTCCTGTATTCATTTTGATCATCGTTCTGTTAAACAGTACACAATCCCATCATTTCCTTTGTGAAAACTAGAAAGAAGCTTGGAGAGCCCTTCAATAATGTTACTTCGAGTGGTTATATCACCTCCAGACACAAACGGTGACTTGAATGAAAGGGCCACGGTTCGGTGTGCCCACAAAGGCAACCCTAGTTACTCTGTGGATGATCTCATTTTGCCAAAAAATTCACCTTGACCTAGCGAGCAACGAAGAGTTGTATTCAGTTACTTCAGAAGAGCATTTGTTTCACATACGAGCTACATAACCCTAGGCTGTTTGAGGTGTTCATTGATAACGTTTGATGAGTAGAACTAGACTATCGGATGGTCATACCAGCTTTTTATACCACACACCTTTGTTTTATATGATGGTCTTTAGCGATAGGCTCAGGCATCAGAATAAAGCTGGCAATCGACACAGCAAACTCGGGTTCGAAAGAAATAACAGTCGCATTTTCTTTATGAACATGAAAAACTTAAGTATCAGCCATTTGACTCCCAACAGACATTTCAGACATTTCCTTCTGGTCAGCAGAGCCTCGGTAAATATATCTTCACCGCGCAGCCATCGATAGGCTTGTTTTACAATGGACAAGGAGAATATTCAGTACATTCTAAGGAAACTTCAACCGAACCATGACCTCTTACTAGCAGAACTTGTCTTCAAGATAATCGACTATATTACCCAAGATGGAACTAAAGTTGTAAACAATACTTTGCTCTCGCTTTCACAGGCATCTCGGCCACTGACGAAAATACCGTACCCAGAATCTTTATAGTTATAACGTGACACATATGGGAAGCAGTGGGATTCTGTAGGCTACTTTGAACCGCAATATAGAGCTTCCTGAGAATTTAATACCTCTAGAAGCAAATAATAATTACCAAGGAGTCCGGCTTTCCGATATTCATAGCTGTCAAGAATGGAGATCACCACATGTTGAAATACCTTCTAGAAAATGTCCACAAAGACGAGATACAAACGGCTATTTCACAAAAGATAGAAGCCACTGAGAACACTATGTTACATTGGGCCATATTTTACACCGAAGAGCAATATGTAAAGCTGGTTCGGGAATTGACACCTTTGATCGAAGCAGCAAGACGAGAGGTTCTGAGATTATTCAGCTTATCATTGACGCTGCTCTTAAAACCTGTGACTCTTAAACAATTCATAGAACGATCGATTATAATGGTGTTTCCCCCACTCTGCTCTATATAATATCTACGACGCCTCCAATTGGCACATCCGATCAAGAGGCATGCGATCAATTTCTTGCTGGTGCCAAACTCCTACTAAAACATGGAGACAAGTCTGATTGGATTAGACCCTCACGAAGTGCTGCTATGTTCTGGAGATGTTCCCGGCCAATTTCAGTCGCTGATGGCCGATATTTGCACACCATTCGTCTGCAGCGCGATATAGTCCACTTGTTGGCTGCCAATAGCGTCGAGGTTGGTGTTCCGAGTAAAGTATATCAGGATCAATGCTTCTTTACTCCGGTAAGACTTTTGGGCACTACCTTGTTCTACAGCATCCACGTGTTGAATTCAAGGGGACCTTATACAGAACTTGCGAGCACTTGGGGAGACCTAAATTAGATTATGAAAATAGAACAATCCCCTTTTATCTTTCATTGTCTCGGGGGGCCGCCGGGGGGCGGGGGACATACAAATTTTGCATCTGTGGCAACAGACGTTTAAATGCCTTGTGTCTCTTCTTAAAAGTGTTTCTTCTTGAAGATAATTTAATAAATGCACATTATGGGAATATGGAGCCAACATCGACGAAGAGGACCAGTTTGGGAGAGATGCAATACGCTATGCTCAGGATCAAGGTCAGAATCAGGAAGAGTTTCTTTCATTGTTGCGGCGCTGGCGTGAAACAGGAAAAAGTCTGACACGTGGATGATTCATTCATTGCTCTCGGAGTGAGAGATTAATATGCGCTTCTTCCGGCTCTTCGTCTGGCCTCTTTGGTTCGAGATCATGATCCAAATGTTGTTCTTGGGCCGATTTATTATACAAGTTTCTTTGAATGATCATCAATATAGGTTTTGTGCTTACTTAAAGTACATCATCGTACAACTATTCTTGAACATAATAATTAGCATCAACTGAAGTAAACGTCTATCTTTTATCACCTAGAAACAAATGGATCATCATCATTTCCTTTGTCATTATCCACCTGTTCGACAATGCCTGCAGCTGCCCTGGCCAACCTGATATTGTTACTCTTTAGGCCAACCTCTCGATGGTATTTTTCAAACGCCCCCAAGAGTTCGGCGAGAGATGTCTTCAGTATGCTTAACATAATATCGACATCTGGGACAAGCCTGGCCTTGGCTTGGGTTTCAGGGGTTCTGGATGATGGAAAGGTGACGTCTGTCCAATGAATGTCGAGCCCGCCATCGCGAATGAAAGCTTCCAAGGTGGTGATGGTATCGGTAAAAAGACCGATGATCCGAGTCACATCGCCTTGTACCTGACCGAGAGTATCCTCAACCAAGCTAGCCATCAATAGTTGAGTCACAGATTCAATCGCATCTGCAATAGAAGAGATTTGTCCGGTGGGCGTGCCAAAGACTATACCGCATAAGCGTTGTGCGTACGTCTGTCTCAAAGGCCGGCCGATAGGGGTACGAAGAAATTGTGTAATGAAAGGGATTGATGAAAAGCCAAATGAGGGCTGAGATGATGTACTGGGGCCTGTGAGGAGCTTTAGTGGCTCGGATGTGCCCAGAATCTGTTTCTTCCTCTCCGGACTGAGGATGACGTTCGAAGCCTGGCCCAACGTTTCTCGAACCTTTGCTCTTGCAGCTGGTGTCCAGTCTGCAGATTGGCCATATGACTTTGCTCTCACCCCGAAAGATTCACTGAAGCCGCTTGTCTTCGGTGATGGTGCGAAAATGTTGTCCTTTTTAGGGGCCTCGGTTATTTGAGGCAATGTTTGAAGTTGAGGATGTGGCACATTCGGGGCCTTTGCCCCCGCTGCCGATGGGGGGTTTTTGTAATGGTTTATTCGACTAGAAATGCCGTTTATGTTTTCAACGCATGCTTCCAGCACTTGCTTCCAAGCCGAACCTCCCTCGCGATCAATATCGCCAAAGATTGCTTTGCGACGGTCCGGATATTCCTGGCTGATGAAGGACAGTTCCCAGAAAGCGTAACTTTTGACAAAATCCTTCTTTGCTTTCAGTCCGTTGATCAAGCTTCCAGTTGGATCTTTGGTGCCTGTTGTAAGTGGTTGTCCCCTTTTCAACGGTTCTTTGGTTATGAAGACCGTGAAAAACAGGTTGGCTGTCTGCCACAAAAAGACAAGACTCGCTCCAGATACTATTTGACGGACGAATAAATTGTAAAAGTCCGGAGGCATTATGCCTGGAGGATCTGCGGCTGTCCGAGGGAAATTCCAAAATAGCTTTGCGAAGAAAAGGGAGAAGCTCCACGCGGAGCGTCTCAAGAATATCACGTAGATAAATGGACCGGCCACAGTGACTATCAAAGCTTTTCTGAAAGCCTCAGCAATGCATTTGAATGTCCCCCTTTGTAATCTCTTTGTAACCGAGTCCATAGGATGCGGGCGTTTATCTTTTGATTCCGGTGTATGTTTGGTAATAGGAATGATGAGTCGGTCGTAGTCACAGTACAAGTGAAGAGTAGCTTGCATAATTGCTAGCATAATGTGATAGGTATGTAAGTAAATCGATCTTTCGTTGAGAGTTATTCGTTCAGTGAGTCTAGTCACGTTAGCTTGAGGCTTGTTTGTGAGAGGTGAAAGACCATCTTACCCGCCCGGTTTAATCCATCCTAGATCAGCATCATGGGGAGCTGACCACATGTAGACCTCACTGAACCACCACGCAGAGAATATGTACCAGGTAAAAGTTTGAGCCACATGAACGGGGAATATGTGGCGGAAGGTTGCTAACGGGGAGGTTGTAGTTCGTGGTCCAGTATGCATTTGAGCTACTCGGACAAAAAACACGGCTAGGGTCGCAATAAAAAGAAGAAGTGCACGTAGACCGCATGCTCCAAGAGGGAACCACGACCACAAAACTGTTGCAAAGTCGTTAGTACTTCAGCTTTTACTTGCAAGACCATCTCTGGCGGGGTGGGATCACAAACGGGATGTCTTCGTTCCAATAGCAAAGGCAACAACGTAATTCACAAGCAGAGAGAGAGCTGAGGCGTGAACAAACCTCCGATGCAGAGCAGAGGTTAGGATCCGCCTATACGGTCTTGGTAGCGTCGAAGCCATGTTGGGGAGAGTAGTATGCAAATTCTCAAGGACAATTGATCATCGCGTCATACGCTGCAAAAAAGCTGGGTGGCAGCTGTAGAGAAATTGAAGATCAAAAAAGAGCCCAAGGCCCAAAAAGGCAAAGAGGAGCGTACGGGGTGGAATCAAGAAAAAAAATGACCTGAAGCTTTAAATCTCGGCGGATTGTTTTGCGAAATTCAACCAAAACAGCAACCATTCGAGATCACGTGGTCGAGATCTGCGGCTAATAGCTATTCGTCAGGGCAGCCGCGCTTGTCCTAATGTAGTATAATGCGGGTCAAGCCAACGTCACCTGAGCTGGTTGGCTGATGACGGCTTGTAACTGAAGGCAACGATAAGACTGATCCTGCAACTTGCCTCCTCTTCATTCTTGACCTGATTGTCTATTGTCGTTCAATAATGTCGTACGACCGTCTTAATTCGCTAGAAGCCCAGCCGACAACCTGGCGACAAGGAGATGATCCTCAGTATCAAGATGACCCGGAGTTCGCGCGCTTCACTGAGAACCTCTCCAACCAGCTCTTCACATTGACGTCCAACATTTCTAATTTGTCCAAGCAAATTGCACTTCTGGGCACTAAGCGTGATACCGAAAGAGTCCGCGAACGAGTTCACGATTTATTGGAAGAGACGCGGTCTGGATTCAAGGATGCTGGAGATGCTATAAAGAAGGTCCAAACATGGGAGGATGTCAATGTACGTTGAAGGCATTTTACTCTGAGACAAACCCACGAGCGATATTCTTACTAAACTCTGTATAGCCTTCCCAGAAGTGGACGCAGCAGAAGCTCTCTTCCGAGTTCAAGGCCGCTTTGGAAGAGTTTCAAACCGTGCAACGCCGCGCTCTCGAGAAACAGCGAGCTTCGGCAACCGCCTCTCGGACCGCTTTGGAAGAGGGTGGACCGGTGCCAGGAGTCGAAGGCCAGCAGCAACTTCAACAACTACAACAGCAAGAGCTCGAGCAGCCGCGACTGGCAAATCAAGATGAAGTCGATTTCCAAGAGGCGCTCATCATCGAACGCGAATCTGAAATCCGCAATATCGAACAGAGTGTTGGTGAGCTCAATGAACTATTCCGTGATGTGGCGCATATAGTCCATGAGCAAGGCGGCGAGCTTGATATTATCAGCGAGAATGTTGAGAATGTGACAACAGACACTCAGGGCGCAAATGTCGAGCTACGAAGCGCGAGTCGCTACCAGAAGAACGCGCGAAACAAGATGTGCTGCTTACTGGTAATTCTTGCTGTCATCTTGACTATCATCATCGTTGCCGCCGTCGTTGGTTGAGGCGGCTTGATCATGACATGCTCATGCTTATATATTTCATAGCTTCGTGTCACCTGCGTGCAGGACATGCAGCCTCTCATCATGTTGTCCATGTAATGTTTAGCGTGTTTTTCTTTTTTTGTTTTCTTACTGGACTGTGGTCATTGTGATTTAGATCGATGCTCGTTCCTTATCCAATCTTCAATGTTGCCACGTTGTTCCTTACTCAGACTTGTTTTAGCCAAGTATTAGTATCAATCCATGCTATATATTTATCCATGCATCCAGGCTAGGAAAAGAGTATAAATCTCCAACAATATCTTTGTTAAAAAAATGTCTCCAATTAAACTAAAATATTCCTTGTTGTCATTCTTGACCGACTCGCAACAATCAAAACTTGGACAGTAGAAAGTCAAAATAATTAACAATGCTGAAGCGCTTGACAGCTTGCTGAACGAGTGGGGTCGTGACCCCAATTCGAATACTACGTCACTTAGACTCAATAGGCATACAAGGTACTAGGGTCATTTTCTGGCCAAACTACTACTAGTAGCCTTAGAGCTCCAGAGGTCATCCATCATGCCAGTGAAAAGCTCTCCTATGATGCCCTTCTGGGTCTGATGGGCCAGTAGCTTCTTTTCATTCTCACCGGCGCGTGAGCGACCCACAGTTTCGGTCAGTTTGAAAGGATCAATTTCAAGTGCATGATTGTCAACCACCTCGCTCATAGGGCTGGCGGACATGTCCGAATAAGTCTCGGAGACAGCATAGATCTGTGGCTTCATCGGCGGCGATGCCTCCTGAGTTTGGGGTGCGTCGAAGGTATATTGGTTCTCACCCAGGATAGGAATCAGCTGAGCTGGGGCTGGCTGCGATTCGAGAGATACGATGGAAGGCATATAGACGAAGTCGAGGGTTGAGGAGTCGTTCACTGCCTTGCTAGCACGGGAGGTGTTGAATTGGCGGGTTTCAGAGGGTCTGAGAATGTTTGTCAATATCGATATAGATACATGTATACTCCAAATAGACAGAATTACATACCCTCCAAAGACATTACCATTGATGCGGCTTCTCGCAATGCTGAAAGCACGTCTATTCAAGACGTCATTGGTCGATAGACGTTCGACCAGCTAGAAAAGTCAATATGAATGATTGCATTCTTTAGAGAATAGCAGGACATACATCTGCCTTGGAGCCACCAGCTACCAGACCTCGTCTTTGGCATTCGGACTTGAGCTCTGGCAGGGTGCGAGATGCGTAAGAACCGGTCTTGCCAGAGCCATCGACGGGCTGGGCAGAAAAGGCGCCGGTGATGTGCAGGCGGCGACGGCAGTAGAGGGTGGTGGCGGGAGTGTGCTGCTGGGACAGAGCACGCAGGGCACGGAGCGAGGTTGAATGAGGAGCAGCCATTGTGGATGAATTATAGATGGCAAGAATGACCAGTCTTCTACAGGGCGAATTAGCAATGGGATCCACTATACAATCGTAGCTATAAGATCAATGGTGTTAGCGGACCTACCAGTGATGTGTGTGTGTGTATGTGTATTGGAAGCCAGACAGAGGGCGCAAACAGCAACGTAGACAACAAAAGGGATGAGAGGAATGAACAGGATGGCAATAAGAATAGCAACGCAGGGCTTGGCGCAGGCAGCGGTATCGAATAAGAGGAAATAATGTTGGGGAGAGCTTTAGCCTTTGTCGCGCTATCGGGGCCGGTGGGGCGCTTGGTTGAGACGAGTCTAGAAGCCTGAGGCCGCAGGAGCTGGTCACGGGTCCTACTTCCTGCTTCCTGCTTCCTTCCTTCTTGGACAATTCGTTACACTCTATTCTACAAGAAAGACCATCAGGGAACAGAGTATCAAGGCGAGAGAAATGTTACGAGGACCACGCTAACTGCATCATCATAGCTAGAGAGTCTACCCTCGAGCCAGCTGTCCAGCTGAAAGGGAGGGGTGCATCAGACAACTCGGATTCATATGTTGACGGATAACATGTATCATCGTGCTTGAGCGATCACTCAGCAGGGGCCACCACCTGCACGATCGTCGAATCACTACCGGGTCTGCCGGGTGCGATTGCAACGAGCAGATTACCTTATCCAATGGGGGATTTTTCTTCTTATCCAAACAGCCAGCGATCCCCGAAAGCTCACCGGTGCTGACAGACACGAACAGCCAGCCCAACCTTTATTCCACACGCTTCCACAGGCAGTTCCTGCTCATGGTGATACCAGTTGGTAGCGATGTGGACAATTGCTCTCATGGTGGTGGTGGTGACGTCGCACGTTACCAGTCTCGTGTTGTTGCTGCATCGACCAGACAACATTCGGCCACCGTAAAGCCCGCCGTTACCAATGGGAGCAGCGGATTCTCTCCGTCCCGCTGCGGGGGAAGCTCGGACCCCCTCCTTTATTCTTGTTTGAGTCTTCATTATTATTGCTATGCTATTAACTTATTTAATAGGATTATTATCTTCTAATTTACTGGCATGGATGGTCAGAAGGCAGCTGCCTGCAAGCCCACAGCCAATCGACGCCTTTCTGGTTACGGCATTTGTGATTTGAGTGATTGGAATCTGCACAAGCGGTGAGAACATGCTACGACTAATCTGGTAGCGTCGTTCCTGGCTGTGACAATTCAATTATTAATTAATAGCCCACCGACTTGTGCTGGTTTCCATTTGCTCCACCCGATGGTCACTCAATACTAAACCTCGAAACTCCTGGGAATGTATCGGAATGTCAAATTGCTAACTGGAAGTTTGCAAATAAAGATACGCCAATTTTCATCGACCTTGTCTCTAACGATTCTAGTTCAAGTCTTGCGACAAAAAGTAGTCTGATTCAGAATAGGTCGACCCCGTATAACCCCGAATCGTAAACATGGAGTGGTATGTAGAGGTACCTTTCAAAGCCAAACTTATAAGCTAGGACCAGACATAAGTTAACGAGTACCTTGGGTGCTAGAATAATGGACGAGCAATAAATCAACTAATGTAATCGTTCACTACCTCCTGGACAATATGCAAGTTGCTATCTTGAATGGAAAATTAATTAGGCCAATTACTCCAATCCATCCGGTAAATTCGAAACCGAAAGTATCAAGTAGAAGCAAAACTTGTGTCATAAAAGAACACGCAAAAGTCTATCCTATTCCTCACTAGACATTCTACAGCATGAGATAATGACGTGCGATTATATTTTTCTTTGAGATCTAGCTTTCTATTTCTTGGGTGTAACTAGCAGAGTATCGATCATTAACCAGGCTATGAGGGGGGTCTTTCCAACTATTAATTAGTTACCGCGTCCTATATCAGTAACATCTTACTTATTTTCTAATTTTGCATGTACTCGAGCCAATTCTTTGTGAACTTTTGTGCTATCGTACCTATGTTGTAGTCTATTCCAACTACTCTATATCTTGGAAACTCGAGATTTCTGACTACGTCTAGTCACCTTGCGCGCGTATGGATGCAATCGACTGGCTGGAACGAGGTGGTCCACATCTCCTGTGTGAACAATCTCTGGAGCTGCTTCGCCAACTTCAGTTATCCCGTTATTTCTCATCGCCGTCTCAAACTCTTCACGAATGACTGTTATGGTGGTTAACGCCGGATCAATCTATCTATACTATTAGATTGAGTATACTTACTGTCGATCAAGTGCTCAACGCCTTCCTGTCCGTAATTTGTTGCAAATAACATGCTGCGGCCCATTCCAACTGCAGTCGCTCCTAGAGCCATCGCTTTGAGGATATCAGTACCACGTCGGATTCCACTGTCGACATAGACTTCCATCCTGTCAAACACCTCTGGACACCGCCTCTGAAGCTCAAGTAATGTAATAATCGACGGTGGGCTAGTATCAAGATTACGACCACCGTGATTGCTGAGAAGAATCCCATCGGCCCCGGCTTCCATAGCTAGAATGGCATCGTCTGCCGACATGACTCCTTTCAGACATACTGGCAAATGGGTATGTTTTCGAACAAAAGCAATATCATCCCATGTCAGCCCAGGATCGATATTCCCAGCCATCAGTCGGCCAAACCCGCCGCCTTTCTTGTCATTCTTGGCTTTGGCGTCTGACATGGGAACGGAAACGTTCTCGTCTGCTTTCACTCGTTCATCTGCCTCTCGCTTACCCGGCCAGGCTGCATCTACGGTGATGTGGATTGCCTTGAATTGTGGCAGTGAAGACACTTGGCGCAGAAGCTCCGCCGACTTTTCACGGTCTGGATTCACGTACAGCTGGAAAAAGAAGCTAGCATTCGGCGCCGCTTGAACCAACTCCTCAACTGAGAATGATGAATTGTTCGACACCTCAGAACAGTGTCAGCTACATAGTACTTGCAACAAATTAGAGGGAAATACCTACTCCCTGCATGATCCCGCGGCTCTCGCATGCTCTAGCAATAGCACACTCTCCATCGGGATGAATCAACTTTGCCATTGCTGCCGGACTGACAAACAATGGGAGACTACTGTCCACTCCCTGGATTGTTGTACGAGTATCGACGCTACGAACATTTCTCATAACCCGTGGTCGAAACCATATTCGGTCGAAGCATGATCTGTTTGCATCCCGCGTGATCAAATCTGTAGCGGCACTAGAGTAAAATGCCCATGTTTTTCTATTAACAGTTTTTGAAGCCACTGTCTCAAAATCATAAGCATTTATCAAAGTTGTCAAGGGCGGTTTTCCGCTGTCGAGTACGACACGAGCGTTTTCTGTCGGTGACTCCTTCAGCCATTCGTCATTGACAGTGGATTGATTTAAAACCCCTTTAAACTTATCCTGTGGCAAGTTCTTCTTGATCACAGATGGCGAGTGTGCCTCGCTGTATGCTTTAGTAGCGTCTCTCCCAGCATATTTCAGGATGACTAGATCGCTGTCAGCGCGATTCAATAAAACAATGAATGAGGGAATTAACCTGCTGAGCCACCAGGATGATCCTCGTGAAATTCTGTGAAATCCCAAACTTGGCCGTCAACCACAATCCAGCAGTCAGACGGATTGTTGTGCTTTCCTATCTCTTCGACAGAAAGGAGCTTCCCTTGCGGCATCTTCTATTGGCAGCCAAATAGAAAAAAATAAAGTGATAGTTAAATAACAAATTCATGTAAACACCATATATGAAAATATATAGATAACATCGAACATTTAATAATGAAATCCTCCAAAATCGAGCAGTCCTCCACAGAAAAGCGCGGCCTCTTCGGGGAGATCTCCATAATCTCCATATGCCTCGGGGTAATGATTACCGCCATCGCTCTTTCTCCGACGTAGTTATCGGCATTCTGCCCGGTGTACCTGTTCCTGGTTGTGACAAATAACCATTGGCCTATTACTCGGCTTGATTCACAGTGATAAACCAATTTACACTTGATGCAACAATATTCATGTTATCTACAACTAAACCCCGTGGTGTCTTTTTGTGCAATGTCTTATTAACTTATTACACGTCCTTCCTTACTAATACTCTGACGGCGTTAGACTCAGCCAATAAGAAGGACTTAAAACCCCACCTAAAGAGGTTAGCTTGTTTTTTTTCCTCTCGGCCGCACGTAGCTACTCGTAACCCTCCTTTTCTTTCCTATTTCGAACGTCCCGTGACTACACGAAACCTATCCAGGCGAATACTTTGGTACTTTTATCACTTCTGATGATTGCACACACTGCGTTTGGATTTCGAAATCTCTCGTCTAGTGTCACAACGCTTGCTTGTCATCGAGGAATCTCAACGTCCTTGGCAGCGCTGCTTGGAGGTAGGCCTTAATTGGGTCATTTCTTAGTCTGACATTCGACTTAATCCTAATAAAAGTATATGTAGACTCGCTCAGCCAAGGAATATTTCAAGAGTATCAAGTGTCGAATAAACCGTCGTTCCAACGCCAGTATACCACAGCCTCAATTCTATCGAGAAATCTAACGGTAAACATGGAAGAAGACTCTCCTCGGCCGTTGAAATATGTCGATGTATGATTATATTAACCCCGGTGGCTCTCATTTTTTTTTCATCCTAGCGCCTTAAGCTAATATCTTTAATAGATCGGCATCAATTTAAGTGACCCTGTATTCCGAGGCAGATATCACGGGAAACAAGCACATGAAGACGATTTAACCGACATCATTGAGCGAGCTCGCGATGTTGGTTGCACAAAATTCATGGTTACGGGCTCTGACCTGAAGGAATCAAAGCATGCTATTCAGATCTCAAAAGATTATCGTATGCCTAAGACATCTTTTTTTATACCCTTTATTCTTGTTTTTGCTAACATGCTTATAGCCGGATTCTGTTATGCCACTGTTGGCGTCCATCCATGCCAGGCCAAACATTTTGATAATCATCCAGGCGGACCCTCACAACTGATCCAAGAACTCAGGGAACTAGTCCGGAGCTCAAAGGAGTCAGGTCACACTGTGGCCTTTGGAGAAATCGGTCTAGACTATGATAGGCTATTCCTCAGCACCAAAGAAGCCCAATTAAAATACTTCGAGGCCCAGCTTGATCTTGCCGTCGAAATTCAATTGCCCCTTTTTCTTCACTCTCGCGCTGCTAGCGAAGACTTTGAGCGATTGTTGAAACCTAGACTCGAGAAACTCCCCAAAAAGGGTCTTGTGCACAGTTTTACAGGTACAACTGAGGAAATGCGGCGATTAATAGATCTAGGCTTGGATATAGGGGTGAATGGATGCAGCATGAAGACAGAGGAAAATCTTGAAGTTGTGAAGGAAATACCTCTGGATCGGATACAAATCGAGACCGATGGTCCATGGTGCGAAATCAGACCGTCACATTCATCGTCCAAGTATCTGGATGATGCTCCGCCTTTGCCAAAAGCTGTCAAGAAAGAGAAATGGAAAAAGGGCTGTATGGTTAAGGGACGCAATGAACCCATTGCAATCGCTCACGTTGCACACGTTATTGCTCGGGTGAAAGACATTTCTGTTGAGGAAGTTTGTGAAGCGTAAGTTTGATTTGAACTTGCCCAGTTATGATCCATGTCATTGACTATTTGTGCGCAGGGCTTGGAATAACTCTATTAAAATGTTTGGTCTTGGAGAGACTAACTGACGACTTGGATGTATCCTCTTCTACTTTAAATCGAATAAAGGTTTCCTTATCTCAAATAAATCTATGAGATACCAAGGATAGATGATTGAACGTGCTTGCTCTCTGAAGAGTTATGATAGACTACTAGCATAGTTTTTGTCAATTAGTCCGTTTAGAAATATTATTAGCAAGGTAAACAACCTAAGCACAAAACTTAAATCTGCTTTGCGTAATCTTTATTAAGTCCCGATATCTCAGCTTTCTCATCTCAACATTCTCGATATTATATGCTCAAAATATTTCCAATATCGCCTATCTCCTCATCTGGATTGTGCGCCAAATCTGATGTTAGAATATCAGCAATGCCTGTGGGTGGTGTGGACTTCGTTGACATGTAAAGCGAATCTCCGCTAGTCGTATACAGTGAAGAACAAAGGTTCGAGTGTGAAACTGCGTCGTCCATTAGACAATCTTCATCCCACCTAAAAGAACTGGTGACGCCTTCATCTATAGATGTTCCACTAGAAATCGCATGCTCCAACATGATGTCTGACGTCGTATCCGGTACCTGCGATGTCCAACAAATGGATTCTTCTGCCTCCCCAGAAAGTTCATACTTAGGTGCGTAATTAGACTTCTGTGTTTCCCAAGCGCTTGTTAAGCTTTCGCCATCCCACTTTTTGTTGATTTCTGGTTCGGAGAACGATATCAATGTCCCTTGTGCTTGTGGTGAAGGAATCATAACACAGTCATTCCAATTTTCCGCTTGATTATCTACCACATCGGACATCATGTGCTCCGACGAAAACAAAGAGACATCATCTGACCCCTGCCCTGTCCCACATTCCTCCATTAGCATATTGTCATCGGCCAGAGAAATCGTGGCCGGGTTTGTAAGTGATGGTTTCAGGACAGATTTTGTCATATACACTCCGCTTTGAAGAGCAGTCCACACCGTACGCCTTATCATAGGCCGAAAATTATTATTTGCGCAACTGGTGGTATATCCATACTGAACATTTAGGCGACACTCGATAGAAGTAAGCTTCACAGTTGACCTAGGGGATAAAACTTTATGAAACATCGATGTAATTGACTTGGCAATAACCGGTACAAGACCTGCCCTATGACGGATATTCTACTAGGAAATTAACAAACCAGAAGCCATGTTGAGGGTTTTAATAAACGTACATCATAATAGCCTGGTCTGAGAATTGAAGGCGCTATTTCAGATATTCTGAGGCATTCGGCACTCCTAGTTTCATCAATTTTCTCCAGGCACTGTTCTGCTTGTCCAAAGATAAGGCTTCGAATTGAATAGTCCAGCAGAGAACCAAACTTCCAGCTTTTCACGAATAAACTGTTTTCATTCTCTTCAAAAACTCGACAAACGGATTTCTGGTCTGTGAACTCTGCAGAATCACGCTGGGGATGTTGACTGGGTGTGTTCTCGAAAGGGAAAGAATTGGATGGCATTTCGTGCGGACGCAAAATAATAAGTTGACCGTTTGGGCTCGATTCCTCGTAACTTGCATTATTATTTTCAGAAAGTGGATTCTTGGGGAAATCCTGTAACCATATTTTTGTCAAGAATATGTCCCAGGGCCTGTAATGAAGGGGACTCCTTAGATGGATGGTGATGCTGGACAACGCGTAAGTCGGGATTCCTGGAGGTGGGCGTGGGTCTGCCAATGTACATCCTCGAACCTGACGAGGCAACCTGCCACGTAGCTTGTCTCGTGGACGACCAAAAGTTTCATTCAGAACCATTGACAGTTGAACAGTAATGTTGTCTGCAAAAGTATACCACTCATGTGACCTCCTAGACACGCGAAGATAAGAGTAAACTCTAGTCTGTACGTAGCAATAAGTTTGGATTAGTCAAATCGATATAGCAGAGTACTGGTAGCTCACCAAAGAATTCTCCAGCGTATCAACCAATTGCTTAACAATGACGGGCAGGCTGTTTACCAAGCTACAATTCGTCTCAAGACGCACGTTCACTGTCAATTCACGCTCAACGATCACCCAGGCTGTCGTCAAATCTAATCCCTTGCTCGATAATCCATGTGCATCTGTGGTGTCATTCTGATATGCAACGGTTACTGTTGTATTGGATAGCAAACACTGTCCGAGCCGAGCACACTTGAAGGTGCTAATACCCAAGTCAACAACCTGCCGCATCGAGGCTATCCCAAGAAAAGGGTCCACTCAGCTCTCATGGAACATAAAGATGTGGTAGCAGAGAGGAAAGAGCTGGACGTTGACTCTTTTACGAGATCATCACGTGCAGTGGCAGACAGGGAAGGAGCCTCGTGGTGGATCTGCGCGACTGAACTTAGTGATTCAACATTTGATTGATAGACTGTGTACATGTATATGCATTTATATCTGATATGCTACTGCTAGAATAGGGAATAGGGATTCATCGGATCAATTAATAAAATAATTCTGTAACGACCGTAAACCAGTGCGTAATATCCTCTTATCATGGGAGACACGGTCAACTAGTTACAATATTCATAGCATGACCACACAGCGTAGTATCACTCTCGTAATTCTAATTCGGTAATAGAAGCAATAAGAAATAAAAATAAATATTAATCTCCCTCACTCTCGACAGCAATGGCGAGATGGTGTGTGAAGCCTTGAAGGCGCTACGAGTCACGTGGCTAGTCTTATCGTTATCTATCCATCGGCCAACCAACAAACAAGCGGAGATGACAAGACAGCTACAGTGTCCTTCTGCAGCTGACAGACATGCCCAAGGATGAGGTAATAGACCCTGCTCGTCCTAGCGAGCGACGCGAGACGGATGAGGACGAAGCTCATGCTCTTCTCTCTGACTCATTTTCCCACCATAGTGATGAAGACGACGACTTGGTAGTACATTCTGGCCCCAATGAGCGAAGTCCAGCGCGGTCGAGACCACATATACCACGCCAGTCCTCAATTTCGCAGCCGGCTCCTGACGGGCAACGTCGTACACCTCGAACACCGAACCGTGTTAGATTTGACATTGCCGACGATGTGAACGAGGAAGCAAGGCCGGCTAATGGCCACGCCCACCCAAGCCCAGGGGATGAGGACTCCTGGCTAGAAGAAGAAGACTACATGCTGGACGATCCACGACGCCGTCGAAGCAGTACAGGACAAACGGTACCGTTGCTGACTGACATTGAAGCACCGAGTGTCACCCTCGCAACATCCGAGGACTTCTTTCCGGAAGAACATTTGGAGAGCGCTAGGCCCCGTAACGGAATGCGCATGGCCTTCATGAATATGGCAAACAGTATTATCGGGGCCGGGATCATTGGCCAGCCGTATGCTCTACGGCAAGCGGGCATGGTTATGGGGATCGTGCTTTTGGTTTCGTTAACTCTCACCGTGGATTGGACTATTCGACTTATCGTGATCAATTCCAAAATGAGCGGTGCCGATTCTTTCCAGGCCACTATGCAGCATTGTTTTGGGAAAAGCGGCTTGATTGCCATATCAATTGCACAATGGGCATTTGCCTTTGGGGGAATGGTAGCATTTTGTATCATTGTTGGCGACACTATACCGCATGTGTTTGCAGCATTATTTCCGTCCCTTCGAGAAACGTCTTTTCTTTGGCTTCTTACGGACAGACGAGCCGTGATTGTACTTTTTATACTTTGTATTTCCTATCCTTTATCTCTGTACCGAGATATTGCAAAGGTGAGTCTCTCCAAAACCAAGCAAAAGAGCTCACGCTGATTGCAGTAGTTGGCCAAAGCCTCGGCGCTGGCGCTAGTAAGCATGCTTATAATTGTATTTACGGTGGTCATACAAGGATTTCGTGTTCCGGCAGATCTAAGAGGGGACTTGAAAGGGAATCTTTTCGTCAACTCTGGATTTTTCCAAGCTGTGGGGGTCATATCATTTGGTGGGTGGTCTTAATTCTTTTGCAAGAGCCTTACTAACGACTCTTAGCATTTGTTTGTCGTATGTGTAGCCTACGCTATCATCGGATCCGTATTCATCTAACATATCTCAAACAGATCACAATAGCCTCCTAATTTATGGTTCCTTGAAGAAACCAACCCTCAACCGGTTCGCGACGGTAACACATTACTCTACCGGGGTTTCCATGGTCATGTGTTTAGTTATGGGTATAGCTGGTTTTCTGTCTTTTGGGTCAAAGACTCAGGGCAATGTACTGAATAACTTTCCATCCGAAAACATCATGGTGAATATAGCCAGATTGTGAGCCATTTCCGATGTATGAAACCAATAATAAGACTGACCTGGATTAGCTGCTTTGGCCTCAACATGCTCACCACCTTACCACTGGAAGCCTTCGTTTGTCGCTCCGTGATGATAACATATTATTTCCCCGACGAACCATTCAACCCGAATCGCCATTTGCTATTCACAACTTCACTGGTCCTCACTTGCACATTCTTGTCATTGATCACTTGTGATCTTGGCGCTGTTTTCGAATTGATCGGTGCTACTAGTGCCGCGGCTCTGGCCTACATTTTACCGCCACTTTGCTATGTGAAACTGAGCAAGTCTAGCCATAAAGCTAAACTACCAGCCTATGCATGTATTTTGTTTGGCACTGCTGTCATGGCTATCAGTCTTCTCCAGGCGGTGGGCAAAATGATCAAGAGTAAGAGCCACAATCTTTGATAGGGTTGTCTGTTTAAAAATGCTTTTACTAATTCTTATGTTTTATAGACGAAGGCGGATCCCAGACTTGCGGGGGTGCTATGTGATCCTTAGAAACAGGCATAAGTTTCATTTCATCACTGTACATTAATGCATCCTTGTATCGACACCAAGCAACGACCGGATAAAGGGTTGCGACTCTGCATTTAGATATTCATATGAACCCTTAGAACTTCAGAAAAAGAAAAGTATTATTTTCATTTCTCGTTTCATTACGACATTAGAAATACTTAAACTTGGTAGAAGTTTGACCTAAACCCTTCTAGCATCAGTGATTGCACCACAAATGCCTCTTGCTAGCTACATCAGTGAGCGAAACGAGATTTTGATAAATCAAAAGCCTTTGACGACGGAGGGGATGGCTGAGACTGGACTTCACCAAGGTTTTTCACAGCACGAGGCAAGGCTTGTAGCCAATAATCGGATGCGCTTTGGTCTTCCTTTCTAGAATTGCCTTCACATTTCGAAATCTTGAGGTTCACGGGCGGAGGTAATATGGACGCCTGTGCACCAGACTCTTTAGCCATTGCATATTTGGAATCCTGCAGGCCCAAAATGGTTGGAGATTTGCCAATATTCTCCGTATTCGCGGGGAAGAATTCGTCGGCCATAGCGTACTTGGAAGCCGGCACCAGAGTCTTTGGGGCATCGGTAATGTTTTCCTTACTCACAGGAATAAATTTCTCAGCCGTTGCATACCTGAACGTTTGTAGACCCAAAGTACTCGAGCTATTGGTGATGTTCTCCTTCACTTTGGCGGACTTTTCAACCACAGTGTACTTGAGAGTCCCTAAGTCTGAAACTTTTGGCACATTCGCAATATTTTTCTTTTTCGTTGGGGTAGTATTTTGAGGCGAGAAGAGCTTAGAAAGCTTCTCACCTTCGTCGATATCCATGAGATCTGGAATGGGAACTCGATTAACAGTTTTAGTAGAGTTCTTTCTGGGAGGAGAGTCAAAGACAAGTAGGTCTTTTTCTTGATACAACTGTGGGTTTGAGGCGGAACCGCTTGTCTGCGGCTGAGGGGAGTTGTAACCACCTGTGATATCGCCTTGACCATACCCCTGCTTCACACGGTATTTATTGTGATGAATGGGCGTCATTCTTGGAGAAACAGAATGTCTACTTCTGGGGCTAGGAATGCTTCCGCAGCCTGTTCTAGCTGTTGGGTAGCCACCACGGCCAACCCCTCGAGTTGAGAAGCTGCTGCGACCTGCTCTCGAATATGGCATATGAGTATTGTTTTTTTCAATCGCAGGATCAAAGAAACTTTTTTTAGAAGCCGGAAAGTTCGCACGACCAATTCTATGGGCTGACATACCACCGCCACCAACCCGTTCGCCCCGACTGGCGTGACCACCTCGGACAGCTGGAAAGCTACCACGGCCTCCTTTAGGAGCTGAAGTTAGAGCTGAAATCGTATCAAAGCCACTGTTGTTCTGAAACCCTGACTGAAGGCGCGCACGATGGCTCTGTCCCATCATCATAGAGTCAAGATCGTCTTCATCTTGTTTTTCTGTTTCTTTCAGGCCTTGAGAAGGGCCATTCAGCATATAACTTGAGGTAGTTATAAGATATATGAGCAATTGATGAGACTTACTGGACCAACCATCGAGGAGTGTCCTGTGTTCTGTTTTAACACCGCGCTGCCCAGGGTCACGAAAACTAGACACATTAGATGTCTTTAACTGCCCGGCATAGTGTGACTTCTTCTCGTCAACAGTTGATATTTCGTCCCGCCGAATGATCCCCAGATCAGCCTACAGGTGAAGTCTGTGAGAGTGAGCTTGGTGGACTTTGTTATTGAGATCTTACCTGCTGCAAGAGAGCCTGCCGATGTGCCTTTTCATCAGTGTCCATGACCCTTAACCATTAAACAATGATGAGTTCATTGATATTCCTTTCTGAATGTGAAATGGCTGAGTGGGATGATCTCTTCCTTGACTCAACTGAGGCCTTGAGGTGTGAGAAAGGATGAAGTGCTGTTGCAGCGATCAGATGCATGTCAAGGAAGGTGCGAGGGTAGTAGTGCAAACAGGTGAAATTCATTTAGGGCAAACAAACACAAACACCTGAGGAACTACACAACTGCACAACTGCATAATCATCCGGAACCTGGATTTTCACCGTCCAGTAATTTCTTTTCCTTCAGAATATGATGGGTCAATCAAAATGAATGATTGGTTGAGGTTTTATACAAGTCTGTTTGGTCTCACTTCCTTCAAAAGATAGCAGTCCATACATACAAACAGTAGCTTGATCACTCTGATCCTACTAGAATCAGTCTGGAATAAACATAGACTAAACCTCAAGTGATGGTTACTACCTTATGCCATGCTAAACATCGGGACCAAAAATCAATATATGTATAAGATTGACGATAAGTTTGCTTCTTGGGGCACTAGCCAGATTCACTATATGATATCAGATCCTCCTGTTGCTAGTTCAGGAAGTATGAACATCTGATAAGTCAAATTACCAATAATGCATAAAGACAGATGTAAACGATCCTTAATATGAATAATCAATCCCACTCAACCCAGGAACAGCCCATGGTTCCGATCTCCTGAAACGCCTTGTACCCTGCCTCTCTGCCATATAAATCATATTCTAAAATCCAAAACACCAATGAATTATTGCTGCTGTGGCTGTGGTGGAGCTTGGTGAGCACCTTCATCGAGACGGGGTCTCTTAGGATCCCCAGGGCCAGGACCACCATTTGTGGTACTTGAGACCGGTGCATTAGTCACATCGCCTAGTGGAGGTCTCTTCAGCGGCCCATCTTGCGTTGTAATTGGAGGATTGCCTCCAGTATTCCTGGCATCCACATTCGGTCGGGTCAATGGACGGTACGAGGATGTTGTGAAACCTCTGTTGACTGGACTCGCGATAGCATTACCGCCAGGGGCTCCAATTCGGCGATGAATATCCGTAGAAGGGTTAATGAAATCTCGAGTACCACTTGTTGGAGATGATGTGCCAGAAAGCATTGGCTTGGAAATGGGAACGCTCTTCGTATGATCTATACCAGCTGTCTTACGGATAGATGGGCTTTCCGCGTGAGGATCGAATTTCGGCGCCATTGGCGAAGCTTGAGGGTTTTCACGTAATGTGTCAACTGCTCGAGCAGAGTAAAACCCGACTGTTGTTTCCATTGCGGGCTTGTCAAAAACAGGCTGTTCGTTATTCGACGGTGCCATCTGATTACTGTTGAGAGCCCGCAAATCCAATGAACCGGAAGGATTCTCTGTTTTGACTTTGTCTGTGTTTGTGGGTTGAGTTTCTTGACTAGAGCGAGACTTTATCGGGGCCTGTCCATGAATTACTTGACGTTTCTCTGCATTTCGAGGCGGATTTGCTGTAGTGCTATTAGTCGTATGATTATGTGGTACTGGGCGGCCAGTAGGGGTAGGGCCGCCGCCAACCCATGACCTTTCTGGCTTAGACGGAGCGATTGTATTAGGACCCAAATGAGCTGGATATGCGAAGTTTCCTTGTGACCTCTGCTGGGCTGGTGGCAACTGCGGGTTGTTATATTGTGGTTGTAGCTGCTGTAGTGTATCCACATCCAAAGAAACCTCGTCAGGGTTGCCGGCGTTTGTCGCTACGAAGTCAGCTTCGTCAAAAACATCGCCTGACGTTTATTAGCTCGAATTAAAGTATTAGTATTGCAACAGCCTTACTGCCGAATTCTCCGTCTCCATCAACGGTCATAGACGTTTCATGTGATGCATTGCATTTGGTAGTTGGCAAGGAGGGGAGGTCTACTTCTTCAAGTAGTTTCCTCTCATGAGTCGGTTCTTTTTTGACGGGGCCGTATTGTGGATGACGATGGAGATTTTCAACATCCCATTTAGTCTGCATATGTTAAAAACCGTCATGCACATTTAGAAGAGGTAGGTCCTACTGGAGCCACTTTGACTCTAGTGACTTTGGCGAGGTATTCCTTATCATAAACACAATTACCCAGCACATTGCCAAATGTTCTCAAAGCTCGCTTGAGACCATCCGTCGTTCCTTCTTTCTTGGCTTTCTCAAAAGCGGCGGCTTTGCCTTTGCAATTTTCTATGTGTCCGTAACCGACGTCCTAGTGTCACCATTAACTTTCCAATAACTTGCAAGCTCTTAGGAATCAAACGTGTGTATACTTCATGATATGTGCCATCTCTCAAGGTAACTCTAATAATAACCGAAAGGCCAAGACTAATCTTACCAGTGTTGGGGCTTTCGTCAACCTTTCACATATCTGTCAGTTACCGCAACCATTTTTGGGGGGGAGGAGAGTGTACTAACGAAGTCGATTTGAATACTTTGGATAGAACTAGACCAGCCGTTGAATCCAAAGACCTCGTTCGCGAGGTTGATACATTTTTCTGCGGCAAGGTAATGCACCTTCTGACCGGAGGGGCCAGCTCGCGATGATATATATTCGGGGCCGAGCTGCTTATCAAGACGAGCCTGAAGTGTCGCAATTTCTTGAGCCGTATATTCGGACATCCGCCGTGGGCCTTCTTCAAAAGGATTGGCAGTGATGGTGCCAGACACGCTTGGTGTACCGCGGTGTTGGTCTCCAACGCTAAGCAGTTGTCAGAATAATTCGCTTGGGAAACGAGGACTCTCAACTTACGCAGGCATTCTCAAGTATAGTGAGACTAAAGTCTTCCAACATCAGATATCCGAGGACGAGTATTTGAACATCCTCCGCTCCTGCCTTCTGGCGGGACGCGACTGACGCGACCGATATGCTTATGTCACCGACGCCTGATCACGTGATATATACAACTGCGACTCTACGAGTATGTATCCCACGGTCAAATTATTTGATTGTCGCTGTTGCTAGAAAATAGAAACTAATCCAAGTGATTTGGGTTGTAATATTTGTTACTACGGAAAATCGTTGTTGAAGCATACCTCCAAGAGCCGAGAGAAGTCATTGCGCTACAAGACTAGCGCTCGGAACGAGGCCAAGATCTTTAAGCGATTCTCCAAATAATTCAGCGCCATAGGTTTTTCGAGGGAAATTTTGTGCAAATGATTGAACCTCGACCCCATCGTCCTTTCTAAGGGCAGCAGCAACCTCAAACAATGTTGTGTCGACGGGAAGGGTTTTGAGGATATTTCCCTTACTCGTCTGCAATCGTAAGCGAGTCTCCGTGTATGCTGATGCCGGTTTCGAAGTCACTGGCCCCGATGAAGTCGGAGTAGAGACCGCCACAGGTTGTGGAGGTGCTTGGCCTGCTCGTTCGGCCTTCTCTCTCTCAGCCTTCAATCGTCTTTCTTCCTTATCTGCAGCTATCTTGGCTCTGATTCGAGCTTTGGCGTCCAACTCATCCTGTTTTTCCTTTCGCTTCTTCGCCGCCTCTTTGAGCTGTTCCTTTTTCTGTAGATCTTCTTTGATATCCTGCGATTCCTTGGTGTTTTTGCGGCGAATTTCCTAAGTTGTAGGTAAGAAGTGATGATGGTGGATGAAACCTTGGCCGCATGCGTACCTCATTTCTCTTTTTGTCGAGCTTGTCTTGCTCTGACTGCACAGCTCGCTTAGCAGCTAATTTCTCCCGCAGTTCCGCAAGCCTAGCTGTTCTTTCCTCTTCGGTCAAGGGCGCGAGTTCCTCAGTAGATTCCGAGAAATCAACATGTTGTGTTTTGGACGCATGGAATTCGGCCTGGGCATGGCTTCTGAATTTCTTCCCGCACTCGTTACATACCAAACTTCGAGGCTCTTCACCATCTTTCAATGGAGGTCCTTCTTCAGCCTGGCTTGAGTCTGCACCGGCGGCTTTGATCTCTTCAAGAGACTTGTCTTGGTTCGCTTCGAGCCATTCGAGAGCAGCTTGCACTAGGAGTGAGAAAGACAAGTCAGGAAGAGCCAGGGAATCTCAAATAACTACAAGACAAATTACACACATCCGCCAGATTCAGAGACTGCGAGCTCAGCCCTCTCCTTCTCGAAGCCCATGTCGATGAGCTGGTCAAGGTCGGTTGCCGTCATTGTTGGTGTCACCGCCAATCCGGTGTCAACTTGAGAACCAAAAGAAAAACGAAACCAAGCAAATCCCCAAGTGTGGAGCAAATGTAAGAAAGGGGACAGCGGAGTGCCAAACACGTATGTAATCACAACTTGCTCCAAAGTCCCCCGGAGTCGAAGGGAATACTAGCTGGCAACAAGGCCTTTGGCGGGGAGTGACGTGATAAGCGGGACCTGACTGGCGCCGGAGTTTTGGAGATCTGCTCCACTACAAGTAAAGGACACTAGTATTGCAACTTGACTGCATCCTAACTACAGAGTGGTGATAATAATATTAATGCTTGGGTAAAGCTTTAACATAACTAGATATATATGTTAGTTTCTATAGTTCGAGAAAGCATAAGTAATAGGTGTTATCCTGGACCATTCTGGTTCTCCTACCCCCACTGCAATGTCGACAACTACGTCAATAGCGAAAACGATAATGATCAAAATAGCACTACTGTGTGTGGCTTCTTGTCTAGAAAAGCGTTCAGCATTCTATCACATGCCCTCATCACAACATTATTGCAGCCTGTTCCAGACCAGCTAATGATAACCAGCGCTCGAAGACCGTATGGCTGCCGTCAGTGCGTTACTAAAATACGGTAATTTAACGGCCGGCACGCAGCCAAATCCGTTTATGTCAGCACTTACGGGTGTTTTCGAGGTCGTCCCGGGGCTCACGATTGATACCTACACCTAGGAACAGGCCAACCTCCCACAACCCGTGATCGCTGCGCTCCAACCCTTTGTTTTCGCCAGCCAAAACCGGACAATTTATTCTCTTCCCTATCTTTATTACCGCTCGTATTTCCCTAATATCTTGTCTGTTCGTCTTCTGTTCCCTTGCGAGTTCTACAAAATGTCTGTCGATCTCGAGCCAAGTGACCTCGGTTTCCGACGTAAGCGCCAACATTTGTCATATGCTTGTCGGCGTCATTCATCTAAAGGAATTTATAGGGCCCTTCGATCGAGAAGTCGCTGAGGTGCTACGTCTTCGCAATCCTAATGGGGAGCCGGTGGCATTCAAGGTTTGTGTCATCTCTGCCGTGGCTCGTCCACCGTTCAGCGCTCATCGTGGACTATCTATCTAGGTCAAAACCACAGCACCCAAACAGTGTGTATTCCCGAGAAGAACGACTAAATCGACGACTAACAGAGTTCCAGCTACTGCGTTCGGCCGAATTCGGGACGCATAGAACCAGGCAAACATGTTGAAGTTCAAGGTTGGTTTTATCTGAATATCCGTTTAGACAGGCGCTGATCGTCGCACCAATTAGTTCTCCTCCAAGCGATGAAAGAAGACCCCCCTGCGGATGCGAAGTGCAAAGACAAGTTCCTAGTGCAATCAGTGGCTATAACTGGAGATTTGGAATTTTCAAACGTTACATCGATCGTAGGTCTATTTTGGCAGTACGGGTACATGCTGTTTGCAGGCTAAAGGAGGTCCATATAGTTTGAAAAAGCACCAAAGGCATCCGTACAAGAACGAAAAATTCGCGTGACGTTCTTACCTGCAGACGCAACCAACGGTGTGGTATGTGTAACGCACAGGAATTTTCTGTATTAGATCAACCTTGTCACTGATACTCTATCTAGGCCCATGCTGAAGAAGAACTACCCGCATATTCATCACCTGCCGCTAACTTCGAAACACCTGTGCCGACCGCTTCTAAGTCTGTCTCCAACACTTCTCCAATCTCACAACCGAACTTCGACAAGACTCCCAAGGCAGAGACTCCGGCAGAGTCGCCAAAAGAGGTCGATCTATCCACGTCCGAAGATGCCAAAACAACTGGCACGAGTATAGTTGCAACTGCCAGCGGAAACGTTGAACAGCTACTGGCAGACGCGCGAGCAGAGATTCGGCGGCTGAAGGATGAACTTTCAGAAGGCTTGCGGCAGCGAAAGACAGACAGGACCTCAGAAGGCGATAAATCGGCACCTCTTTTACAGCAGCAGCATCCTCAGGCAGCAGCCGAGGCTGGAGTTCCAGTACAGATCGTGGCAGCCTTGTGCTTGCTCAGCTTCCTGCTTGCCTACTTCTTCTTTTAACGAATACTGGCTAGATTCAATCCCGGCCTGTCTCCGCGGGCTTCCTCTGTTTGACGGTTTCTCGGTGTACGCTTTTCCTTCTTCATGTCTTGATACAATTCGCCTACTGGGCGTCTACTTTGTTTGGGCTTTTGACCTTGTTTCATCTCCTGTGTATCATTGTGTTTTTTTAATTTGGCGACTTATAAAGAAAGAATAATGGTTTACTAACGTCACCATTTGGAGTCCCTGAAACTAGTCCGAGAGCCATCACATACTGGTTGGTTCTATGCATCCCGGTTTTGTTGGAGCCAACTTCGTCATAATATTCTTGTTTCCATTCGTGTCTGTTGTATCTCCTTCCTATACGTTTCCTTATTCTTAGTACCTACACTTTGATTCGGGCAAGATGAACAAATCGGCCATGATATGAAACAGATCGTCCCAACATAAAGATATTCTCCAAAGTAATAAAACTTATAAAATTTATCGTCCTGGCCAGCCAGCGATCGACTTAGCCATCAGGAGCAAGACACAATATGTTCTATTTTGCTATGTACATTGTCATCTATTTCTGCTACAAGACATTGGAAACATGAAGGAATCCGTAGCTCGAAAGCATTTACGCTCTCTTAGCACTAGAGCTCCTGACGTAATCTATGCTCGGCAAAAAAAGCTAGTTTTGGATTTCGCTCTCCTTCCATCCACCATCTTCCTCACCGTCCTTGACAGATTCAGCTGAAATACCCTCTCCAGCACGGCCAGACCTCTTGGATAGCCCACCAACAACTCTTCCACCTTGGGCCCTTTTCACGCGACACCATAGACCGACATTTTTATCCAAGACAAAAGCCCAAATAACCCAAACCCAGCTTCGGTGACAGGGAAGCGGTTCATAGAATTCACGGGCAATGCGGTGAACCTCTGGTAACCGGGTCCATGGGATTGCAGGAAAGTCGTGGTGTTCGTTGTGTAAACCAACATTGTATGTCAGGATGTTGAGAGGGCCGTAATAGGAGTATGTTTCCGGAGGGGCGAGAGAATCGAGAGGACTTTTCTCCTCTTTCGTAGTGTTTTTGTTCTGTTTGAGTTCTGTAATTGATTCCGTACCACCATTTTTGATCTCTGAGAAGAAGTAATGTTCGGCAATGAAATGCCCGGCGCACGGATGCAACGAGCCCGCAAGGAAGGAGCTCCATAGAAGATAAAATAAGGGTTGCAGTGAACCTCCACACAAACGGACGAGAGCATAGTCAAAAGAAAGCTGGGTGATGAGGTTCAATACGTGGATTGATGTAAATGGCGGACTGTATATAAACATGGGACGGAGGGCGTAGAAAAAGATCTGGAAAGTGCAGAAAAATGCCTTTCCGAGTAAAGAGTCGAGAAGGAAAGCCTCGAAGGCTGTAGGCAGATCCGTGTCGAGACCCGCTACTCCGAGAGATTTGTGGTGCGTAAGGTGATAAGGCTATCGTAATGATCCCCGTCAGTTTGATTACACTTCTTTTGTGGCACCTAACTGCTAGGACTACATACCCGAAATGCGGCACTATATGGCAGGCCAATTGGAATATTGGCGAAAATAGCAAGTATACGGTTTGCAAACGCCGACCGGAAGGCCAGATTATGAGAAATCTCATGAATGGCAAGGAAGAGATTTTGGTTGGAGGTGGCTCCGATCACATATGCGGTGAGAAGGAATTTCCATGAGAGCATGGGGGTGTCACGAAGTAGGTAAGCGCAGGTTATTTGGAGGGATACAACAGCGAAAACGAGGTATTTCGTGAGAGGCTCCGGACCGCATAGCTTGGTAACCTATTAATCCCATCCGTGGTAAGTAAAAAGGTCCCGGCAGTTGGGTATATTTTTGAGCCATAACGAGCTGCTTACCTCTGGATGAGCTTTTATAATTGCTTGACGTCGTGATCGATGAGGCTCTTCAGTGTACGTCCAAAAAAAATGATCAACAGAAGAAGACCCTGGTGGTGGTGCTCTGACCGATTGTTCTCCCCCCTTTGCAGGATGGATAGCCGCCCTGCGGATGGGGGTAGAGGTTGATGTGACTGATGCCATGAAGACGACAATATAGAATGCTAAATCAAAGCAAGCCCCATATGAACAGAGCGTTGTATGTTTGTCGGCAACGTAGGAGGGCTACATCGGAAGTTGATAAATATTGAGAAGCCTTGAGCTCGGCACCGGATCTCTGAGTCTCCACGTGGGGCTACTGTTGTTATGTATGGCTTAGTTACAATCCACCGCCTACCTGTTACATAGATGCGTTTATTATGATACAAAAATACAATGTCGATTTTCTATTTCTCTGAAATCAAAATTCAGACAGAGTGGGTCGCATAATTTTTATTTGCTTTTCCTTTAATCCAAATATATGCAAGCATGTCGTTAAAAATATTGCATCAGCCAAGGCACAAAGCCACAGAAAGAAACAAGCTGTAGTATCTCTTTCGTATTTGGGCATTGCCCCTCAATAATCGTCGCCTCGACTGATGATTTCTTTTACATTGGGTCGTAGAAGAATTGTCTAAATTCCTGTTAGATGGAGCAACCAAAACAAAGCTTTGGAAACTTACATGTTCGAATTGAGCGGTATAGGAGCCCTTGACATCGCACAACGGCGGATAATCCTGGACTATTCCTGCAGATACCAAATTATTCAACTAATGGTTGTTAACAAACGGCACCTTCCTACAAAAGTGGATTTATACATACTCCAAGGAGGTATTTCTCCTGGCCGAGTCTATCAAGATATCGTCGGCAAAACGGCAGGGTGCCGAAATTCTTGTTGATCACGCTCAAAAGATTCTTTGCAGAAGACAGACGGAGTGCCACATTGGCGGCATCTGGAACTTTGGCATAGTGGGATGTTTCCATCTATATGAACCTGTCAGAATGGCCAATCGTGTCTCGAGGAAAAGTAGAATACCGACATCGTCCCTTACGTAGCCTTTACCGGTACTTCCAAAAGTTTCGATAGCAAAGACTTCGCCTTCTTCCATCTTTGTTTGATCACCTCCTTTTACAATGGGAACACTTTTGCCACCGTGGATGACGTGCTGATCAATATTGTGTCCGTTCAGGTTACGGATACATTTCACTGGGTATGAATTTCCGTTTAATTCGAGTTCATAGCTTTCCATGGCTTCCTGAATAGCTGCCCCAATGTCACTCATACGAACGTCAATACCAGCTTCCTAAAAGTCAAGTTAGATGGCAACTTTCTTATCGTGTATATGAACAGATGATCTGTGTTCCATACCCGAACTCCAGTGTTTGTAGCGTCCTTAACAGCAGCCAACAAGTTGTCATAGACTGGGTCAAAGGTCATTGTAAAGGCACTATCGACAATTCTGCCGTTTATGTGGGCACCAAAATCAACCTTCATAACATCTCCCTGCTGCAGAACCATTTTGTTGCCGGCATTAGGCGTGTAGTGAGCCGCACAATGGTTGATGCTAAGACCGCAAGGAAATCCCATTCCTCCCTTGATGTTGTCTCCTTCTTCCAGACCTTGATGGCCGGTTAAAGCACGAACGCCATCCTCAATTCCCTCCGCAATCTCTGTTAAGGTCTGGCCCGGTTTGATATTGGCCTGGGCCCACTGACGAACTTGACGGTGGACCTCCGCTCCGTGGCGATACTCTTGTAAGAAATCATTGTTCATGCGGTCAAGATAGCGTTTCTCTTCATTGGTTGTACGATAGTTGTTTTCATCCTTGTATTCAACGATTTCGCCTTCCGGGTACTGGTTGTTTGGGAAAAGCTCGGAGAGTGGAACGCGAGGAGGAGAGGTCTGTGTCTTTGCACCAGCCTTCTTCTTCTTCTTGGGCTTGCGCTTCTTTTTTTTCTTCGCGGCTATATCGCCGAAAAGCTGTGAGTCGTCCGTCCGATCTTTACACTGCAAGATAGGATAATAGCCTACCTCCGGCAGCTGTGCCTTCTGCGGCGCCATCCTCTTCATCCTTGTCATCATCCGAGTCCTCGTTCTCTGCTGCATTGTCTGCGGAAGTGCTGGCAGCATGCTTGGCATGACCATTTTGGCCGTTCACTATGGTCGGTCACAATAGCACAAAACACGTCAGCGACGGCTCGGAGAGATAAAGGAAGGATCCCATCCTGTGAAATACTTACAGTCGAGCTTATGAAGCTCCGAACTAGCCTGGGCAGCCATGGTGATGCGTAGTTGCTTCTTGGAAGTATTTGAGGTGGGGTGCAAAATTGCAAAAGCGGGCTAAGAACTCTTATCGATCAGCAATCATCAGTGTGGGGTGCGTCGCCGCTTGGATCTGAGTCAACAATTACGCCTGAGCGTCGAATAAGCTCACGAGATAGTCTGAAATAGAAGGATTAAACTTATGAAGCATATTTGAACGGAGCACAGCCAATGATGCTAGAAACGCCTCAGTGCAAAGTACATGCGGCAGAACCATGACGGCATTACCTGCCACCTCCTCCCTCTCTACACTCGCACCAACGGCAACTTAGCCTTCTATGTATCAATCCAAAAAAGCCATTAGTGCTCATTTCTTCGATTCATGTCTATCATATTCCTACGCCCATCTCATTTTAGAGGTTTCCGAGCAGTCGCAAATGAACTCAACCCAACGTCAACAAAAATGATTCTTCCACACAGGGATGAGCAACTGACCAGTGCGTGTAGACATGCATCTTATTTGTTTTGATTTCGTGGCGGACATGTGCTAATAATACCTCCAACTCTGTTGCCGACCAGCCTCCGAATCGCGTAAAGAGAGCCAATGAATAGCTATCGACTGCCCCCTCAAGGAACTGGACACGGAAATAACGGCCTATTTGCTTCAGTCTTTTATCTTTCGGCCACGTTCCAATAGGGCAGACTTCCTCGTGCGTTCGCACGCTCTCGAAGCCAGCATCGCCCAGAAGCCCCTTGAACTGCGGGAATATGTCGAAGATTCTGCCAAACGAATGTGAATTTGGATTGAATTCGGCCTACAACATGGGTTAGCTCGGCTTTTCTTCTCGGTGGCATAATTCTCCTATGCCTCTCCTAGACAATTGAATATCTCACAATCCACTCGAACGTGTGTGATGATTCTGGATACGTGCCGTCGGTTTCCATGGGCCTTCGGAATCATGAAATCTCTTCCTTTAGCTATATTAGACAAAGTCGCTTCAGAGGCGTCCTTACTTTTACAATGGCAAAGAATGTTTCGTCTGCAAGTCGATACAATTATTGCAAGCAACCGCGGTGGCCAGAAGGTGAGTGGCACAATTTTCCAGGCCCTCTTGGATAGGGAATTGCCTCCAGAAGAGAAAAGCGCGGATCGTCTTCAGGATGAAGCACAAACGTTGGTTGGTGCGGGAAGCGAAACAACTGCAAAGGTATTATCAATTATCACCTTCTACCTTCGTGATAAAAGGATGCTGAAGAAATTGCGCCATGAGTTATCACTTGTTGTGCTCGAGCCGTCCGACCCAGCAAAGGTCCTTTTGTCTCAACTCGAGCAACTCCCTTACTTAGTGAGTTTTAATCCCCGTAGAGTCGAGTATCCAAACCTAATTATCACCTTTCCAGAATACTGTAATAAATGAAGGGCTCCGTCTCATGCATGGGGTCACATCCCGATTGGCTCGGGTTGTCCATTAGGTGATCAAATATAGTTAAGGATTGGGAGATTCCACCATCTGTACGTATTCATTCTAACGTCTCCTCGTCGACTTATTTGTAATTTTCTACTAATATGTCAATTCATATCAGACACTAATCAGCCAATGTAATTATTTTGTTCATATGGATCCGACTATTTTTCCCGATCCATTCGAATTCAACCCAGATCGCTGGATCGAAGCCAATAAGAAAGATATCCGCCTAGCTCGCTACATGGTTCCTTTTACCAGGGGTGGTCGCCAGTGCGTAGGTATAAAGTATGTATACGCTTTCCATATCCTTTTTCTCCAGATTCCTCTTTGTCTTTGCTTAGAAATGATAATTTGAAGGAACGAAAGGAGATTACGCTGACTACCACCTTTTCTCAACAGTCTCGCGTATGCAGAAATATTCTTCACTCTTTTTGTTGTCATGCGTCGCTTTGAATTTGAAATCTACGAAACCACTGTTGAGGACGTGCGAACTGCTAGGGACTACTTCGTAGGTGTCCCCGAACCGGGCTCGAAAGGAGTCAGGGTTCTTGTAACAAAGGTATTGTGAGGCCACATCTTCCACTCCCTGCCTATCCTTGCAGTAATATGATATATCTCTAATACTACCTTAGGCTAACCGTTGATTGCACCTTGTTGTTCCTTATATGCTCAATAGACACTTTCATCTATTCATTTTGCATCAGACTAACAACAACAACAACAAAAACCACTTTTTAAAATAAACATGAGTTTCTAAGAGTAGTATTACATACTCTATATCCACAAAGGGCTGGATTGGAATTAATTGCCTTTTAAGAAGCCAATGGAATAAATATCAATCTGGTTGTGCCACGTTGTATGTATGTAATTATGCGTAATTATACCGTTTCATACAATGCCGCCGATGACGCAGGTCCTCACCAAGTACTAAATAGCACAGCTTTTGCCGCAGTTTTAAACCTCACTCGTGACTCTCCCCTCGAACCTCGATTGGGCTCTAATTGATGCGAAATGAGGGATGCCTCTTCGCCTAACGACTTCTAGAAGGTTGTCGCCTTCTGTAACCTTCTTCTTCAAACCCTCACCTTTGCACCCTCATTTCCGCGGCACCAGCAAGGATTCAGTCCGGTCGTCGGCATCAGCAGCACGATTCTCAACGACTCGACGAGTCTACTATGCTCGCAGTCGTGAGCCCACCTACTACGAAGTCCTTAATATACCGGTGACTGCGACGGCAGCTGAGATTAAGAAGTACGTCCCATAAAACAGTTCCACACATGATCAACTCGTCTCTAATTTCTTCATTATCAACAGACAATTCTACGCCCTTTCGCTAAAGCATCATCCTGACCGCAATCGCTCTGACCCAAGCGCCACAGAACGCTTCGCGACCATATCCTCTGCGTATCAAATACTTGGCGACAACTCGAAGCGTGCGCGTTACGATCGGGATCATGGAATTGTCAATCAAAACACCCATAGTAGTGGCGTATCCGGGCAACATCCCATGGGCAGTCATAGTAGTGCGGGTGCAAACTTGCGCAGTACGAACAGTTCTTATGTTGGCTCACGTCCTGCAAGCGGGTTGAGCAAAAGACGAGGGACGTTTAAGGGTCCGCCTCCCAGTTTCTACGCACACGGCGGATATGGTGCGAGAGCTTCGCGGCCAGGTGCTGGTGGAGCTTATACGGGGACAGGGACAACTGGTAGCAATGCAGATGCTGCTGCTCCGAATGAGGAGGATCCTACTTCCTTTATCAATCATAATCCTATTGGGCATTTCAATGCCAAGGGCCACTTCAGAACGCAGGCAGCTGAAGATGCTCGGCGGCAACAGAGACGGGTACGACAAACACAGCGTGAGCAGGAAATTAGAGATAATGCACTTGCATACAGTGGAAATCTCATTTTGCGATTCGTGATAGTCTCGGGTATTCTAGTCTCGACAGCGGTCCTTGGAGGCTTGTTTAAAAACACCGAGAAACCGAGCCGACAAACAACAAAGACTTCAAAATGATACTTTCTCGCTGTTTCGCATGAGCGAGGAGGATATAGAACAAAACTGGTTAAGTACAGATAGATTGGCGCTATCAACGGTTTTGTTATGTTGGTGTGCCAGCTTACCGGAATCATTACAGGGTTTATATTGCTTCACTCTTTCTGGTCATGGTTGTCTTCACTTCTGAATAGAGGATACGAATTTTTAATCTTGTAGATACACTTGTTGAAGGCTATTTTGCATTATGTACGATATAAAATATACCTGAATGTTCACTCACTGGCTAATACATGTAATCTGTGAAGCTCGGTTTATATTGAATTAGCTCATAAATACCGCCTACCAACGGAGCTTGTTTTTCTACACAAATGAAATAATTTTATATTGATCTGCTATACAGGCAGAGCATACAACTGACCCAAGTGCATGCTAATGCTCGAATACATGTAAACTTTGATGGTCGGATTCCACCGAATTGCTGATCCTCATCCTTGGCATCCTTCTCAAGTAATCTGTCATGTCTTTCAGAGGTAATTATTACAATAAAGTGAAATGGTAATGAAGGGTCAAAAATTCCCAAAATCCCCAACTTCAAACTAGAGTGAAATGTGTCTAGATTTGCGTGGGACAAGGTATTAACTGAAATAGACTAGAATTCAGAGCCCGAATATTAAACGATGCCGCGGATTTAAGAAACCAACTTCGGGGTATCATTTCTTTTGTATGAGAGAATTTAACCCTCGAAGGTGAAGCTGGCACCAACCTTGTGGGCAGCTTGGTTCAGGTTTTGGGTATCGAAAGAAGCACCAAGGCCGAGGGTAACACCAGGGCGGAGGAGAACGTTGTAAGCGAGAGCGGCGATACCGCGATCGTTGATCTTGGCCTATACGCATGGTAGTTAGAAAGATGTTTCAAATTGGTTTCAAAACGGGATCCATGCAGCATGGCGTTTTTGGCAGAGTTTCACAGCTCATACTAGACGTACCTTGGCGAAAGAGGAGGGGTCGAGGCGGTACTTGCTGGCAACTTCCAAGCCAACAGTGTTACCGGCCTTCGAGTCCCAGGTAGCCTTAGCACCAGCCTCAACCTGGGCGTTCACGCGGTGGTAGTAGCTGGCGGAGAAGACAGAGAGGTTGTTGCCGGCAGTGATGGCGGCAGAGTACTGGGGAAGGCTGTAGCCAATGGCAGCGGAGTACTTGGTGATGGCAGCCTTCTGGACGTCGTAGCCACCCTCAGCACCGACGAGGAAGCCCTCGTGGCCAAGGACGACATCGAGGTTGGCAGTAGGTCCCTTCAAGAGGTCAAAGAAGGCACGGGCGTTAAGGTTAGGCTGCTTGAAGTAAAGGTTGAGCTTGGCACCCTTGGACTGGGAGGTAGGTAGGTATTGGGTGAGGATCTCGGCCTTGAGACCCTTGGCAATGTTGTTGTCCAATTCGAGCTTGGTGTCAAGGGCATTGGCGGTAGTCCAGGCCTGGGTGAGGGTAAGGCCTGAATATATAGTTAGCGACTGTATCGACTCGAGGCATTCGCCTTTGCCGCATAGCGTTGGTGTCTGCAATGCAGGCAGCAAGAAAGCTTGTAAGGGGTATTACCAATGGGCTTGTCAACGTATTTGGCTTCAAGCTGTTTCACGACGTATTAGTTTGAGTTTAAACAAACACAGTTATAACCACGAGAGGCGAACGTACAGAGCCGCCGATAGGGCCATCGTGGGTTGATTTTCCCTTCACGGTGAATGTGACGCCATTGGGAGCATTGGACTTGACCTCAATGCTGGCTAGACAAAGAAACAAAGAAAAGGCAGTTAGTCTATTTGCACTTCAGAAGAACAGTAACAAGTCAATGCGCAACATACCAGGGCTGGTGTGGTAGAAATCCTTGTTCAGGAGCTATGATTTCACCGGGTTAGAATCAAGGCGTTCGACAGCGCGACAACTGAATGCTCACATCGTTAGCCGCCTTGGCGATGTCGGAGAAAGCAGCAGGAGCAGCCATTATGAACTGAGATGAAGCGGAAGGTGGAAAGAATGGTGTGGGATATTCTTTAGAATGCGAGGTTGGGTTGTTGTGTTTTGGAGCACGACAAAGGAGAAGAAGGAAGCTTTGAGGAGGACTACCGACGTTGGGTTGAGAAAAGCACGGAACAACGCCAGGGACCCGTTCGTTGTGGCCACGGGGGAGCCTAGGTCGCCTCTCATTGGCCGAACTACCTACGGCCGGCAAAAACCGCCGCGTCACGTGATGCGGCCTCGGTTCATCGTTTGACGATAGTTATACAATTGTCCACGATATAGAACTGGCTGCTGCCGAGTCAGCGGCCTGAGAAAAAAGAGGCCTTTGACGCCTTCAGGCCTTGAGGGATCGCTGTTCGCGGTATAAACGCACTATTCGCATTGCCATGTCGATCTCTGATCAGAATGGCGTCATTTAATGTGATCAGTTACCATCTCAGCAAGCAGTTAATATAGTATACACCATCCATTGATACGTATATATTATGTTCTTCGCAGTTCTCGATAAGAATGAGCAGCTATCTCGGCGATAGCCTGGCAATGTTAAGATCATCAGTTACAGATCGTCATCAATTGATAAATTGTCGACCAAGGCTCTATGTATAACTTTAGTCTTCAGATGGATTAAGTAATACCTGCACGTATTCGACTAATAATGTGGCGTCATAACCAATTATCAAACATTACATGCTTATCACCTGGTACTTTGACCCCTTCTTCAACTGGCTAACCCTACAGAAAGCCGTCTAAACGCTAATAGCCTCAAAAATCATGCCTTTCACTGTCATCCAAGGCCCGAAGGAAGAAATTAAGCCTTCCAATATCGGCCTTGTCGACTTCGCCGTAGACGGGACAAAGGCTAACGACGATGCTACCATACTCTGCCAAACCTTGCCAACTCCTCGCCGCCACGTGATCCTCAAACCCTTAATGAGAGAATGGGTTGTTCGGTAATCTTGGGTCCGTCTAAGTGTATTGCCCAGCGATATATGCCTGACTCTGGGGAAGTGTTCGTGTAGTAGACTGTTGCTCTTGAGAATTTGCAAAGTCTGGAATCCTGGCAACGCCGTGGAGTCGTTCATCGAGTGTGAACTTGCTGAATTTATTGCAGGTTTTGGAAGATAGTCGACACAACGTTATGGGCTACATATGTAGTATCCAGGAGTAGCCAGCCCTACTGCATCTTGCTTAACTGAATAATGAATCTGATATATGAACCATATTCCTGGCCGTTGTCTCAACATTGACTTAACGTCGACTTATGCTACAAGATTACACATGGAGATCCCAGCCGTCCTTTCTTCGTTCCCTGGCCTGATAACTAGACCAGTATGTATCAGTTTCATGCCCAGAAAATACCAAAGATCGCACCTCCCATCTGCGCCCGCTGAGGTGCCAACATATGAAAAGTCTGAACTGAAATACACCGTCTGAAGTAGACCAACCATATTGCACACTGAAAACCGAAACATAATCTTCAAATCAAACAACAAAGAGAAATTCCTAGCCGAAATCTATGTGATTTTTTTTGTATTCTAAACCGCGTTGTTATACTTTGCCTGGTGGGTCGCGATAGCCCTGTAGCCTCAAATTAGGATCTAACATTCGTGTAAGGGACATGTAATTCTTACCGCCCACTAGGGTCAGACTGCTTAGACCAGGTTGGTACCCATCGTTCCACAGTGCCTGCACAGGAAGCAGGGAAGTGCTCGTCAAACATCGTGCGGTACCAGTAGCTATAGTGTGGTCAGTATCTAATACATCGCTTCGGCGAGGGTGACTTACGCCTCTTTTGTGTCGGGAATGTCACTTCCCCACTCCGGCTTTGGGTTCTTCATCATCTCATCAGTGACGTGAAGCTCAGCATTGTCCTTCAGAGCATCAATCCATCCATATCCAACACCGTCACTAAACTGCTCCTTCTGGCGCCAGAGGATGTTATCGGGAAGATAAGGAGGAGTTTCAGGTTCATCCGTAGTGTCAAAGGCTTTTCGTAGAATATACTTCTCAATACGGTCCTTTGTGATCATCTTCTCCTTAGGATCAATGTTCATGGCAGTTTCCAAGAATTGCTTGTCGAGGAAAGGCACACGGGCTTCAAGGCCCCAGGCGGAGGTGGACTTGTTTGCGCGAAGGCAGTCTGCAAGATGCAGGTTCTTGACTCTTCTTACTGTTTCGTCATGGAAGGACTCTTTGTCCGGAGCCGCGTGGAAGTAGAGGTAACCTCCAAAGATCTCATCACTGCCCTCACCACTCAAGACCATCTTCACACCGAGAGCCTTGATCTTCCTGCTCAAAAGATACATAGGAGTGGAAGCGCGGATTGTGGTCACGTCATAGGTTTCAAGGTGGTAGATGACATCCGACAGAGCGTTGAGACCGTCTTCAATAGTGAATGTGAAAGCGTGATGCTTGGTGCCGAGGAATTTGGCCACCTCAATAGCAGCCTTGGTATCAGGAGCGTTGGGCAAACCAATTGAGAAAGAATGCAATTGTGCCAAGACAGTCACAGTCGACAAGTCGTTAGTGTCATCGATTCCGACAAGCCCGGATTGATCAGACTGCTGAGGTGACAAGCCATCCTGAAGGGCTCTGCTGCGGAGAGTTTCACGTTGTGCAATTGAGGCAACCAAGCTAGAATCCAATCCTCCAGATAGAAGCACACCGTACGGGACCTCTGCCATGAGCCGCTTGCGAACTGAGCGTTCCAACATCTCCCGAATGGCCTTGTAGTCAAGTGGCGTTGATGGTACCTTTTTAGGGTCCCACCATGACGGTTCAAAATACCGTGTCATTTGATCCGTCTTGGAGTCGTAAACATGCCCAGGAGGGAAAGCAACGATCTTGTCGCAGACGGGGTGCAGACTCTTCAATTCAGAGGCAAAGTAAACAGCTCCGGGTGTTTGGGAAGACCATCCTTGATAGAAACTGGTTATACCAATAGGATCGCGAGCTGCGACAACGCGGTCTTCCTTTGCATCATAAAGGACCCAGGAAAACATTCCATCTAAGTGCTTGGGAGCGTCTAACCCATATTTCATGTACTAAATATATCAGTATTTGGCCTCATAACCCCCTAAAAGAAACATAGACTTCATATTCTAGACATACTAGTGGGATGATGACTTCACAATCTGAGTGTGTCTTGTAGTTGTATGAAGGATCAAGAGACTTTCTTAGAATGCGATGGTTATAAATCTCTCCGTTGACGGCGAGAGCAAGGGTCTTGTCGTCGTTGACGAGGGGTTGGGATCCGGTATCTAAATAAAGTCAGAGTTGAGATGAGTTATATTATTGGCAGAAATTGGATCACCGTACCGACACCGACGATACTCAGACGCTCGTGTGCGAGAACTGGCGAACGCACAGAAGGTCAGCCCGTCACACCCAGATCAAAACCAGCCATTGGGTTTCATGCTACTCACTAGTGTTGCCTCCAATGAAGTTTCCACCTGAAGGTAGCATCGTGTCAGCCCATATCGCCATAATCTTAACCTGATTCTCGCTCGGCGCATTGTGACTCACTCCAATCTGGTCCACGGTGGCGAAGGCTACAATCGCAATTAGCTTCAATTTTTGAAGAAACCAGATTTTCCCTTACGCTTTCGCCATGCGCAAAGCCGTAGGCTTGAATTTTTGCACATCTGGGTGACTATTTGCACATTGTTAGGATCAGCACCTTTTTTTTTGCGGAGTCGGCGGGGTGCGGATAAAAGTAATTTGGCTTGGACGAATTGTAGACGTACTGATGGCAAGCGAATATTCCACACATCTTGCTGGAGCCCTGGGCAGCTTCTTATCCTTGATTGAGGCAGCTGGAGAGAAGGATGAGAGGGGGGCAATATATAGAGGAGGAGTACGCAGGCTTAGGGCTTTGGCAGAGAAATGCAGGCAGGGTTTGGAGGGGTCTGAGCAGGTGAAATAATAACCGCGAAATCGGAGAGGCTGCCATTGGTGACTCACCCGATAAGATAAGACCCGCCGCCGGCCCCGACAGTATTGTTGGATAGACGAGATAACTAATGGTTGCATCCTCTTGTTACTACTAGTGTGATGTGGCTCTCCAGCTGCTTACGGAATCCATTAATATTCAAATGCATTGCCATTGAATTGGTCTACAGCTTGCACGTTCTAGAAGTTAAGCCAAGCCCTGGGCTTGGCCATGCATGACTTCATTCGTAGTCACATCATTTTTCGTGCTGATGCTAGACTCGATTGTATCCACCAAAAGCAATGAAAATGGTATGGAAGAAAGAGACAACCCCCCGCTCGAACTCCATGGCCGTATGAGAAACTCCCGATAGACAGAAAAAAAAGGAAGATGTGACAGGATCAAACTGCACACCGGTATCTTAAAAGCAGCTATGGCGCCGGATTTTCCCTCACGACTTGCTTTACTTTTTTTTCATAAGCCGCGCGATCCTTCTTGAAAAGATTATAGGCCTCCGCCTGGGCGGGTGATTCAGGGTTAGGGTCGTTGAGGAGATCTTGAACGCCAAGCAGAATTTGTTTTATGGTAATAGCAGGTTTCCAGGCTTCTTCCTCGTTGAGGATCGACAGGCAGACGGTGCCAGAAGGGTAGACATTCGGGTGGAAGAGCGGCGGGACAAATTTACCTGTGATACAGCCACCACTTAGTTACTGAGGACACGTCGTGGGTGCTGAAGAACGCTTGAACTACCTGAGGAGGTAGCGTAGTGGTTCCTTCCTTTCTTCTTTCATATTTTGCAGTGGAGATCATGGCGCAACTCACATTTTGGAGGTTTGGTAGGATATTCTATGGTAATTTATCAGGTCAAAATCATCTTCATACAGCAAAGATAGGTGCAAAGCATAGACAACAAGCAATGTTAGAGTAGACATACCATCAGGGAAAATTAGGTCTAGTTTGAAGAGGCCACCCTCCCACAACGTAGCTGCCTTCCCTGGAATCCCACATTCCCATTTCTTCATGTCCAAAACGCCTTGAGCATTGCGATGGGGCTTAGCATAGAAGCCAAATGGATGGTCTTTGCGCCATTGCTTCCTATGACACCGGAACTAAGTACTATGGTCACATGGACAGGCAGGAAGACAGATCTTACCTCTCCTCGGTGAGGCGGTTGAGACATAGACTCATTGTGACCGTATTGACCCCAAGCCTGACTGAGTATTCTGGTGTGTAATGAATCGTAGTCACAAGTGTAGATAAGGCGTCGACGATCGAAGATGTGCGGAGACTACGGATCAAACAAAGTGCGGGGGTGGATGTGATCGTTGGAAGGAGTGAGGAGAGGAGTATAAGCTGCAGCGGATGAGGTTAAGGATAAGTGAGCATGGTTGAGCAACGATGCGCGTAGCTAATTAGGCGCTGAGCCTCGTTGAACCTCAGCAGTTTGCAGTTGATTGCCCCACGCCTGCCACCAGCTTCGGGATTCCGATTGAGTCGGATGTCACGTGCCACGTGGCCTTGGTTGGATTTTGAAGGCCCTTGATTGTGCAAATAGAAAGCAACACGCTCACCGGTTTCTGTTCGTGGTAGACGAGAAAAAGAAATTTTCAAACAAGAGGGAAAGAGGAAGGACAAAAGAAAAGGAAGTGATCAGCAGATGAGAGATATGATAACGCGGTATGACCAATTTCAATGACCATCCTTCTAATTACTACTACATCACCAGCTTACGATGAGTATTGCGAGGAATTCAAGTATTAAAATATGACAATGCGGCTGACATGAGAGAGGTGCTTTGCGTTATCACATCAGATGTACATTCAGACGAGTGGTCCTCTAGACAGTCGACAATTATCGTCGGTATGAAACGTAGTATCATAATCTCTTATTGATATATACCCTTTTCAAACCTCTCAGTGTCATAGAATTTGGCTGTAATTGTATTGCCATTGAAAACCCGACCTTCCAGTGCATTGACAGCCTAGACAAGTGGTCAGATAAAATCCAATACTGCGTTTAGTGGAATTGGATAAAACTTACACGTAGTGCTGACAATTGAGCAGTAAACTTGACAAAAACAGGAATGGGTCCATCGCTCTGACGATGGATGAAAACTCGTTCAACACGGCCATACTATATCAGAGTTAGCTATCCTTTCTTGAAATCAGGTCAGGGTCACAGTGCGTATGCATTACCTTTTCGTTACATTCCTCGCCTATTTCCTGCATAAGACCACCTCCTTGACTATTGTCAAGTTCTGCATCGAGGTCTAAACCATTTACCATTCCATATAACACAATGACTTCACTCATAGGCCCAAATTTCCCTTCTTCCTCGGCCTTCTTCTTCTTGCCGGCAATAATCTTGCCACGGCCTGCGGGTGTAGCAAAGCCCCCGCCTTCTGAATCCGGTTTCTTCTTCTGTTTCTCAACCTTGACCTGTAATGGGTTGATCATGCCGGAACCAGTGGCGCCTAAGCCCGATCCTTTAGTCCACCCATATTTGGCCATGAGACGTTCCGCAAAGCCCTTTTGTCCTGGTCGAATAGAGCGAGGAGCATCCCCTTCTTCCTGAACAGACTCTTCCTTTGCAAACGCTTCCTCAAGCTCTTCCTCTGTCGCTGGGATATCTTCTGGTGGCGGAGGTAGCACGTATCGAACAGGAGCGCGCGAAATGGTTGCTGAGCCTGGTTGAAAGGTAGACATTGGCGGAGGAGCAGCGACGGGAGGTTCTGGCGGAGGAGGTGGAGGAGGGGAAAGAGAAGGAGGCGGTGGTTGCTGGCTCATTTGAAGCCTCCGGGTATAAGCATCTTCCCACGTAGAATCTTTCGGTACATCCGCTGGTGGTGGTTGATAATCTGATTCCGAAGTGTTCAAGTCATTACTTCCTTGAGTCGCTTGAAGCCGTCGAGCGTACGCATCCTCACCACTGTCCTCCGGATTGATCTTAGAAGTGTCATTTAGACCAGGAGGAGGCGCAAAATTATAGGCTGGGGGGGCAAATTGTCCTGTATAATTGTCAGTATCTTATAGTCTCCTCGAAGCGTCTCAAGACTTACTACTTCTTGGTTGAGAGTATTCGCCGTCACTATCAAAGTCACTGCTTGAACGCCTAACCATACGATGTGTATATAGTCGGTCTTTCCACTCTCTAACTTCGCGGATTTTCTCGTCGCTCTGTTTGTACTCTTCATAATTATTTGGTCGCGAAGGGTCATATATATCATCCCAGTTTGTCATCATCTCAGGGCCATCTCGATTCTTCTTCCTCTTTTTCCGGCCTCCACGTTGTCTTCTTGTCCCTCCGTAGAAGCCATTTATGTCATCGTCGTCATCTGCTGTAGATGCCCAGTCTGCCAAAGTAGTCTTTGTTTGAAGACGCGCAGCGGCACTATTTGCGCTTGGTGTGGGAGCAGCGGGCGCGGAAGGCGCTGAGGTGGGTTTGGGGAATGGGGCCTTAGCTTTTGGCTTCTGACTCGATAATTGTGGTCGTTTGATAGGTTGAAAGCGTAAAGATGCTGTAGTTGTGAAACAGGAAATCCCAGAACACAAGTGAGCAATCATATTGTAAATCATCGTGGAAGATGGGGTATTGCGCTACCGGCACTTAGCTGTTGTTTCTCCGTGGCGGCATCATCTGGCTGAGAATCTCCCTCTGAGCTCTGGTTGAACACCACTGGGGCTCTTGAAATCGTCCTAGAAGCTGCAGAGATCTCTGACGCCGGATCTAGGAGATTGGCGTACAGCGAGAGGCCCCCGCTCTTGCCCGGCGTTGATTTAGAAGTCATGTCAACGGTCGCATGGGCTCAAGACCACACTGTGCCCGTTCGTTAGAATAAGACACTGTTCTCTTATTTGTGCAAACGGGCAGTTTTGCGATAGCTTCATGTTTATTGAGGATCGCCTGCTAACGGTTGAACGACTGGCTTCAAATCAGACTAAGGCCGAAGCGGTTGGGCGGGCTTGGCAAGTTTGCTTCTTTTGCAGCCTAAGGTCTAGCCCATGTAGGCTCTTATTTGGTGCCTTTCTCTTTAATAATAATACTATTATTTGTGTTGTTTAGGACTTCGTATCTGCACCTAATTTAAGCAGAAGCTCATTACGAGCCGCTTCTGCTGCAGGTATATACTAAATTCTGAGAGGCGTTGGGGCCGTGGCGTCGAGATAGACGAGGGCCTCCATAGCATGGCTACTCCGTATATAAAACCTGGGGCTGAGACTTAAGCCATCATTAGCGTGAAGAGCATCCTTGTCGCCATGTGACACGTCAGATCCTCAGCACTGGCTAGATCTTGTTTGTCGGTGTTTTGTTTGGATTGCATGGATAGCAAAGTATCAAGCCATCAAATGTGTCTAACAGCTGACCAGCTGGGAGAGCGCCATGAAATAACCGGGTTTATGTACTGCACCACTGAGCACGAACAAACCGGTGTTATCCTTGGGAGATATGCACGAAGAGGAATCGAGCCGCTGCAATTGCTAGGATTTTGGAGGAGACTGCGTGTAGTTGTATGAGAACTGCTAGTTTTTTGTACTGGCAGTTCGCTTAGACGCGGCAGCATCCGATTTCGGTGCTGCAATGCGGAGATCGGCCACCTCTCCGGTGAGACGCCAATAGTATGCCACAAAATTAATTTCTTACAACATACGCCCTACTCCAGCGCTTCTGCTGTCACAGAACCTGCGCCTGGGCTGCCGTTGATTATTAGACCCTTGGAGTGAGTCATTCTTGACGAGAGCGCCAATAATACGCGCTTCGTCGACCGATTGCTCAACTTTAAATTCCTCGCATAACGCAATCATTGCGCGAGGAACTGTCTCTCTTTCACCTCTTCCTTACGGCCAGGCCCAGCATTCCTGTCGCCAAAAGATGAAGCTCTCACAACAATTTGTGCGCAGCACATTGCTGCGTTCAACTACTACTTCAAAAGCTACTTCGCTATCGGGATTCGCACTATGGCAACGGTCATACAGCACTAAGCCTGGGTTGTCGACGACACCAGTGCTACCAGGCGCTGACCCCTCCAAGCTTGTAATCACCACAACAACCACCCCCAAGGAACTGACTCCGAACAATGAACTGGTTTTTGGCAAAACCTTCACAGGTAAGAACTTTTGCTTCTGGCAGCGAATGCTGAAAATTAACATGGGGGTTGAATAGATCATATGCTCTCTATTGAATGGACCGCTTCCGATGGCTGGCTTACTCCTCGCATAATTCCCTACCAAAATCTCAGTCTTGACCCTGCGACATGTGTTTTCCACTACGCATTTGAGTGCTTTGAAGGAATGAAGGCATACAAAGACAAGAATGGGAAGATACGCTTGTTCCGGCCCAGCAAGAATATGCAGCGTCTAAATAAGTCTTCGTCACGCATTGCTCTCCCGACAATTGACGGTGACGCTTTCACCAAATTGATTGCAGAGTTTACCAAAATAGAAAGCAGATTCATTCCAAAGTAAGTGGGGTTAACAAGCCTCTATCGGGTTTTATGCTGATAGGGTCGTGAAACTCTAGTGAAAAAGGATATTCGCTCTACTTGCGACCGACTATGATTGGTACCCAGCGCACAATCGGAGTTGGGCCCCCTGGCTCGGCGCTCCTCTACGTTATTGCCAGTCCTGTCGGCCCGTATTATCCAACTGGATTCAAGGCAGTGTCCTTGGAAGCAACTGACTACGCAGTTCGCGCATGGCCTGGTGGTGTCGGGGACAAGAAACTCGGCGCCAACTATGCGCCCTGCATTGTCCCTCAACAAGAAGCAGCCTCCCGAGGCTTCCAACAAAATCTGTGGCTATTCGGCGAGGAGGAATACGTGACCGAGGTGGGGACAATGAACCTTTTCATGGCCATCAAGAACAAAGAAACTGGTCAAAAGGAGCTTCTAACTGCTCCTTTAGACGGTACTATTCTTGAAGGTGTCACCAGAGATTCCGTACTTTCATTAGCGCGGGAAAGACTTGTTCCCGAGGGATGGGCGGTCTCGGAGCGTAAGGTACGCATGTCAGAACTCGCTGAAGCTTCTGCCGAGGGTCGTCTGATAGAAGTTTTTGGATCTGGAACTGCTGCTATTGTCAGTCCTGTGCGTAATATCAGCTACAAGGGGCAATTGGTGGATTGCGGATTGCAGGGTCATGAAGAGGCAGGAGATATTGCTCTCCGTATGAAGAACTGGATCGAGGGTATCCAGTACGGTGAAGAGGAGCATGAATGGAGGTGAGTGAACCTATAATCTGAGTAGAAGATTGAATGCTAACAAAGTGACAAAGTTATGTTGTGGAGTAAATACATACTACAGCTATGGTCGAATTTATGCATACGTCAACGTTATTGGCGGCTGTATTTGCGTTTTTGGTATATATAAAGATAGCTCATTCATGTATGTGTGAAATTAATGAGATTGTTTACACTTTGCGTTGATAAGATGAGAGACATTCAGATCTCGGCCAAGCTTCAGTGTTAAGGCTCGCGGACCTCAATTGATATTCTAAATTCAATATTTTCTTACGGCATTAATGCAACCACGGAAGTATAAACTTCACAAGCGTATTTATCAATAGATGTTGAACAACAGATCGGCCTACAGCTCACGTAGAATGTCAGTTTCAATCCGTATCGAGATATCCTCGGTACCACGTGATGACAATGCCCTAAAAACGACGACATTGACAGTCAAAATGAACGAGGACGGGAACATTTATCTAAAACAGGGTTCTTAACCCTGATATTCTTACACTGCGGCTTATTACAATAATTGAGTCTTTGCATTATTTGTAGACTAGTATTTATAAGTGAACGGTTTATATCATAATTCATTATTCTTGCATTCAAAGCACCCTCTATCTAAAACAAACCAGACAAGTTATGGCTGGTCATCTATAAACTTTTCGCTTTGACACGCAACAAGTTCTCCGCATTTTGATACGCAAACAACTTCAATTTCTCGCCCGTGAGCAATCCACTCTTCTCGATCTCCTCAATGAACTGCAATCCCTTCTCATTAGTTGAAAAGGGATAATCGACGCTATATAGGACATGCTCAATAGGCATCGTTTTCAAAAGACATTCTAGTGGAGGCAACGAAAACATGCCACTGGTGGTAATCCAGATATTCTTTTCCCACACATCCTGAAGGCTCCGCTTCTTCGCCCATCTAGCGGTGACGTTGCAGACGCGGTCGAACTGGAATGGCAATAGCTCGCCCATATGCCCGATGACGAGTTTCAAGCGCGGGAAGCGTTCGAAGAGGCCGCTGGCATACAGTCGTAGAACATGAAGACCAGTCTCGTGGTGCCAGCCCCAGCCGAAAGCGCTCAGAGCTAGAGCTACCGAATCGTCATAGTTCCCCTTGTAATGTTCCATCATGGAGTCAGACGCGAATGTCGGATGGATGTAGATGGGCACATCTAGTTCCTGGGCTTTCTCAAACACAGGCCAGAAGCGCTCGTGATCGTAGAATGTCCCGTTGAGGTGATTCTCGATTAAAGCGCCAACGAAGCCCAGGGTTTTCACAGCACGCTCTAGCTCCTTGGCGGCAGCAATGGGTTCACTCATGGGGAGCATCGCGAAGGCTGCGAGGCGGGTGGGATGCTGAGAAACGGCAGCGGCGAGGTCATCATTGACAACGGTGCATAGAGATGGTGAGATATCACCGGGGCCATGGGAAATGACTTGCAAAGATACTTTGCCATTATCAAGGTCCTGGATGCGGTTTTCGCCCAGATGATCTAGTTTTGCAAGAGTATGTGGAGGGAAGTGGGAGTAGTGGGAGCGTGCCTCGTCGCTGGATTCCTTCACCTTGGGCGAGGTGTAGTGCTCCTCGAGGGTGATGAGAGGTGGAGTCATAGCGTTATTCCGGAATAGTGAATTGATATGATGGCCAATACTTGTATTCCAAATGTCATGTTGAAACGTCCGATACTTAAATAAAATCAATCACTCTTTCTGGCCTCCATTACTGATGTATCTCCGAGAACCGAGTCACGTACATCATAAATCCGAATACGCGCGAACACCCGGAGATTGAACTTGGTTACCTTGCGTTAATATCAGGCAACTATTGGTGTGGCATATCCGCAGATCAAGGAGCCATTATTCCAATCTCAAAGCATGACGCGACTATTCCGCCCTAAGTTGAAGACGGAAACAACGGCCTTTGAACTTCTTAATGCCGGAACGGAGATTAGTACTTGTCGCTCGCAACGAACTTAATTGCTAAGGGTACGACCGATCGGTGGCTTTGGCAATTGCAATAACAATAATAAGACTGAATTGTTCATATGTCTAGATACATGACTCTTACTGCCGCTTCCTACAGGCAGAATAATTAATGAATTCGACGAGAGGGAGGACCCCACTATTACCCCTCGTTGAGGCTTGTGGCATACGAGAATGTCTGGATTGGCAAGAAAGTCGCCGATTCCTCAAAATTGATATTTTTTCTGCAACTTGCTCTGCATTCATTTTGATGGAGGAATGAGAGATTCACTGGTGGTCGCATTCGATGATATGATAACCATAAATATGGTTAGGGTTTAGGTTTAGGGTAACTATGGGGGGGCTGCTTACTCAGGCTTCTAAATCTGAACGCCAAGGAATGATGGTAATGAAATAATGAGATTATAATACAATTCACAATAATAATCACAATCATAATGTGTGCCAGGCGCGTCCTATTGTTAGAACTTGAGCCTTAAAAGAGACAGTCGCTACGCCAAGACATACCCTAATTCAACAAGAGAAGTATGCTGCGCTAGAGTGCCAACCAACACAATGACAGCTTCTCTCTGGTTGTTGGTTTCGACCCTCGCTCCGAGGATGAGCCATAAGCGTCACCACCGTTCGAAAGGCTTAACTAGGTGAATACGCGAATACGCGAATACGAATCCTGACCTCCCAGTTGCTTGCGGAAGGGTTTGCGGGATCTGTTTGGGGCATGGCAGAATTTTGAACATGGAGTACATTCTTGTTCAAGGCTCTGAGCCAACCAACCCCTCGTCTAATGAGGGATGCTATTGGTAGCCGACGCACGCCTTGTTGTTGGTGACCGATCGACATTTACGTCAGAACTTCTTTCTGGAAACCCTGCGAGACAGGGAAGACAAAGACAATCTTTAGGTGTCTTACATTAATTAATAACAGGGCGGGGCGCCTCAACAGCTCTTCTGCGTAAAGGACGCACAGTCGTATACGCTCTTGTTGCTTTTCGGAAATGGTGGTTGGAACAGGGATTCCTTCTAGAACACTACTCATTATTTCAGCCAAGACGTTTCACCCGATGGCAGGCATCTATCAATCCAACTCTTTGTTTCTTGGCCTAATTATGGTTAACAATCAATGTCTTGCTAGAGCTCGATCGATGCACCTCTTCATCGACATTGTGATTAAAATGAACGTCGAGCAGCAGCAGTCGATGACCCTGCAGCTACCCTTCCTCTCCTACCCATGAATGGACCTCCTTCTCGATAGTTGAGCTGAATAATTCGACATCAGTCACCGTACTCTTGGCTGCCCTCCGCCGCTATCCTTGAGTTCTGACTGGCTGAAGCCGAGCCAGCCACAGTCCTGCAAGCGGTGTGGACAGACCACAGTAAACTGTAATATACGAGGTCATACGAACTCGGTATGCCGTACTGTAATTTTGCTGCTCTTTCAGCCCTACAAGTGAGAATGTACGTAAACCTGGGCGCAGGCAGGGGGGTGTTTTTGCACACGCACCAATTAGAGGCCGGATACCTAATGGGGCAGTTCTCGGGGAGTTAGCGCGCGCGTTATGGACACGCACGCGCCTGTCCTGGTACGGCTGTGTAGTCTGGGCTGCGGTACCATTTTCCGAAACTGGAAGCCACATTGGCCAGCTCGACATCCTTCTGTTTTTCTATAAAGAGAAAATGTCCTAAAACATGGAGAAGAGCAGACATGTTGAGGGGTCGCAACACGAATACGAAGTTACGAGCCCCAAATCGAGGGGAGCAAAAACGGCAGCCTCGCCCCGCGGTGCAGGGATCAAGATTCCAGGCATCATTAAATTCAAATAAAAAATAGCGAAATACTAGAGACATTCTCGCCGACACTAGACCGGGGTCGTCGTTTTGTTTGTTTGGCCAGCCAGATCGAGTTCCAGTCGGTTGGCAGTGGCGTCGGTGGGTTGCCGCAGCTCTCCACTAGAGACTAAATGGCCTGAGAATAATAAGAATCTGACTGCGGCATTTAAAGTATGGAGAGGATGACAATTAACTGAATTATAGATGAGATGACTGTATGAACGATTATGGTTTTGGTTTATGACTACGACTGCGATCCGGCGCATGACTGATTAGATCTTGTGAGTGCCGGGCTTCGCTTGTATCATCTCCGTTTGAGCAGATACGGATAGCATAAAAGGACCCCGAAACGGCGCGACGCATTAACTCGCGCATGGGGCATGCAATATTAATAGTATTATTACTATGACGAACAAACTAGCATTGCTAGACCACGTATCGCCCAATTACGTAGAATGAAACCAAATTCCCATCAAGGAAGTATTATTGCTGCTTGGCTGCTAGTCTACTCACAGCAACAAGTGCGAGGATTAATCAGCTCGGCGTTAACTAAGGAAGGTTCAACTTATTATTATTAATCCGGTGAATTGTAATCAATTATTATTATCACGCTGGCGTCAAATGTCGACGAATGCCACCTAGACTGCAATAGACTACCGATCACCATGTACATCGCCTCGTCCCATTTTACTTTTTCATTATTCCCACTGTCCCAGTGCTGGGGACACGCTAGTTCACAAGAAATGGGGGTTAGTAACTTAATACATGCTGTCACGGTAGAGGTACCATAACATCCGCAGATTCCGGGACTATGGAAACGTTGTCGTACACCGTACACACTCGTTGCTGATTGACCTAGTCGGTGCTACTTTGCGTCCAACTACCACGGGATGGCGCCATAAGGCGTGGGATTCAAAAGTAATTATCTGGATCGATCAACATCATGTCCACATGTGCAGACTCCAAGCGAGGATGTCGGCGTGATATTTGTCCGAATTCCGACTGCGATTGGCATGCAGACGACGGAGTAAACCATGGCACTTACGAAGATGAGCTGGTTCTCGGCCTTGAAATAAGAACAGAGCTCCTCACTAACTTATTACGTAGCAGTAGTGAAGGCTGAAGGTAGCCATACGCCTTGCATCCATGCATCCAGGGCAATATGGATTGAAACATTACCCGTTAACGGCCCAGGATCAGGATCATCGTTGTTGATAGTAATATTTTTACCAACAAATAATAATAAAATAAAGCTCCGTTCCGGCTGTCGCCAACGCTCAGCCGTAGCGGCGGGGTGATGAAGCTGAGCTGATGACTGGTTTCCGCATTTGACGACGGCTCAGACTCACCTCGTGGATGATTCCAGGTGAGGAAAGACAGGCATCAGGCTGGCCATGCCATTGGCCGCCCTTATGAGTGACTCACTTTAGGCTTCCCAATTTTGGATCCCAGGTATCGCGAGGATACCGAGCATACCGAGTCGACCAGTTCGGGAGAGCGATTCGTACAGCAGCAAATTGCGATGCATGCATGCTACGGCGGGTGTTGGTTTCAGCATCCGAGACCCTGCATGTGGAAACTTTTGGACACAGCTGATCGAAGCTCTGATCTCTAGGCGGGTCTGGTGCTGGCCAAGCCACTCCAGGCTCCAGCTGGGGGGAGGACGCTGGCACGTTGTCAGCAGTCAATCTGCCTTTGCCTCCTGCGACTATGACTATTCCTGAATTAGTACCCGGCGTCATGCCTACTTGGGTTCGTTCTAGCGCTGGGAAGACCGGGTAATGAAATATACCTAAAATACCGTATTTTTCGTGTTGCGGCCCCTGGCGCCTCTGACCCCGGCTCTGGGGGCCCCCGCCGGTCCAGCCACGCGCCAATTAGGACGGGTAGCAGCCCCGTCCAGTGACGTGGGCTCCATGCGCAGCGGGCGGTGATTAGCCACTGACTCCGTACACCGAGCCACTCTATCTAAACGGCTGTTGGGGTCGTCGGCGACATTCCTGAGATTTACGAAACTTTACCAGCAGCCTCTTTCTAGGCGATCGGCATGGCCAATGCCCTTCGCGATTCTTCTTCGTGCCATCTTGGCTCTTCAGACGTCTGCATGCCCAGAACATGCGACTCCATCCAGTGTCCGCAGCGCCGAGCCTAAAATAGTGCAGTGCGATCCGTGGCACCCGCGAAAGGGCCGCCCACATGTGCTGCAGCCCTGCTCCATCCGGACAAGCAAAAACAGACTCTCGCTCCGCTGCGCTGCACTGGGCTGAGCTCGAGTCTCAGCTGCTCGCACTCTATATATATGCACATGCACCACAGGCCAGCCTGTCCGTACTTATATCCCCTGCTGCTCCCCTCGCTCGGGAAAACCCTCGTCACCTTATCATATCATCTCATCTAATCTCACGTCTACATTAAAGCCCTACACTACATCATCGATCACAATGCATCATCGGGGGAATTCGTACAGCTATTCATATACGAATAGTAACACTGCTACCACCAGTTCCAAATACCAGTCCAGCAACGCCCACGGAACAAGCAGTGCGTTCAGTGCCAATGCCAACCCCAATGAAGACTGGACCAAGATATCCGATTTAGCAGAGCGCCGTCGAATCCAGAACAGAATTGCCCAGCGTAATTATCGTATGTTGTATCCGCCAGCAGCCTTGACTTTCTCATTAGACTGACCATGGCGGGTTGTGTCTATCTATAGGCAAGAAATTGAAGCGCCGCCTGGAAGACTTGGAACGCCGTGCAGCTTCATCTTCCGCATCCCCCGAACAGTCACATGCGGAGCCGGAGCCTGTCAAGCCTGCGCCCAAGTCCCGCGCCAATAACTCCTCTCGCTCCAGGCAATCGTCCAAGACTAATACTAATAGTCAATGGAACTCACCTGAGACGGGGGCGAACGTGCAGTCCACCTACGGCGGCATGCCAGAGGATCGTAGCATGTTTGGCCAGCAGTCCACCCGGCAGCTGTCGACTTCTCCACCACCCTTCTTCTATCCTTCGTACCCAGCCTACTCAGACCCATACGGGCACTCGGCCTACTCATCACCGCACCAAGCTCCTCATAACGCATACAACACAATCCCACAAGGCCCATACAACGACTTGTCTTCGATGCCGGGGCATCACCTGGAGCCATTGCCTCATTCGCTTCCCTCTGGTGCTCCTGGTATTAAGCGTTTGAGTGGGTATGCAGATGACGAGGTGCTCAACCCGTTGTGTATCAACTATGCATCGATGGCTGGTATTGACATGTCGGCCTCGACGCAACCTCAGCACCATCAATCCCAACTACAGGTAAATTTACACCCTCCTCGAGCCCGCGCAATTCGTTGTTTCCATATCTAACAATAAATCTTGCGAAGCTGACCAACGACAGACCCCGCCACTTACCAGTACCTACCCTCGCGACCATTCCGGGTCCACGTCTCCCGCCGGGTCATTGAATGACCCATATCCGTTGACTCCGGAGCCAATTCGGCTGTCACCGGCGCATATCACGTTTATGTAGATGACTCTTGCTTACTGGTTGGTTACGGAATTTATGCATGGAAATGGCGTTTTTTGGGCAGGATCGGCATCATTGGCCCAGGGGCTTTGGATGGGGCTTTTCACTCATCTTTTGTTGCGAGTACTGTTACATACATAGGTATCTGAATTTAGCTACACACATCTGCATATACGGGAGACACATTAGATCTAGGTTATGAAACATTGTTACTGTTATTTTGGACTTTATTTTCCTGGCCTGTATCCATCAGGATCGTTGGACCTGTTGGCACTGCTGTTGGTTGTTGGCACTTAACAAGGGTCGGCGCGTACAATGATAAATAATAATAATAATATCCGCAAAAGTCCGAAACGACTCTGCATGTCTTGCACCGAAGGAAAAGACTGCATAACATCAACATGAACATCAACCTCTTGCGATCTCACCGGACTCCCGCACCTGATAGTTAGGAACTTTGGAACCTGGGGCTCAGCCGGGGAATCTTACACAAAAGCCGTCGAATCCGCGGCTGATACCGAATGGGTGACCGATAGCGGGTAAGCGTGGAGTTTAGTCTCCTCTTAAGGTACTACGTAATCATTTTATTTTCGGCTCCATCTGATTGGTATGCCAATTATAAATAGCAGACCCTTGAAACTGTATTTTGTTTAGAGGTAATAAGTGAATCAATGTTGGCTCGCATAGCCTTCCTGCCACGTCGAAACAGCCAACTCTGGACAGTGTAACTTGACATGCGATTAGGTTGCCTGTTGGGGAATATTGTGCGGCGCTAGGCCTATCAGAACAATACAGTTCTGACTTATGAAAAGCGTCCACGGCCAGTCTCCACCAAACAAAGGGCTCAACGACGAACCAACAGTGCGATGCGGGTGATTAGTGGCTGGCTCAAGACGGTGGTTATTGGACCGGTCGCAGAACAACGGGCGCACTAACAATAGTAAATACTCGATATGTGCTCGCTAATTCGCGCCGGAAGATTCTTCAGGGCATGTTGGCGTCGCTGTCGATCATGATTTGTTAGGTCGTAGACTACGGCATAACAACTAATCTGAATACCCAGTAAGCGAGCCCGGCTAAGGAAGAGAAAGGAAGTGCTTTACGAGGAAGCGAATAAGAAGTCCTGGAATTTACGAATGTCGTACAATAATTTGTTATTCTGGAACCCAATCAGCATTAGTCTCAATCGGAATGATGAAATGCTCCCTGTCGATCATAGCGATGTTTTCATCGCTTGGATTCTGCTCTAGTAGTCGCTTGCTTGCAATAACATTGATCCCGAGACCTTCTCCTCTCGGAGTTGGGCTGCCCTAACGGGAAGGCAATTGCAAAGTCATGGACTTCCTAGATAAGACTAGCGCATGTACGTTATATATTGCGCATGCCGAGCTATACTGAGTTGCATGTTATTGGCATCAATTTACCCAGCGCAAGTCTGCGTCCTTTGTAAGCGGGCTTCTTCTACTTAATCATCAGACTGGCAGTATCAATTCTGCATTAAGCATGATCATTTGAAATCATCGACGAGGAGTCGTGTATTCGTCCGATATTTCGACCGGCGAGCGTGTTGTGGCAGCCTTTTCAGCTCGCGGCTGTTTCCGAAATGGTCGATTGAATCATTCACAAGAAATTCAAGCTGACCAAGCTGAAGGCTCTTGCCCAGTAGAATTCTCATTCGCGTTCGCATTCGCATTCGCACTCGCACTCGCAAATCTTACCGTTGTTGTTCTACTGCCGCTTGTTCAGCCCTACAGAAGGATCCTCAATGCTGATGGCAGGATGGATAGTGATGAGCGCAGCTTCCAGCCTTGGATAGTGTATGACAGCGGATGAGTGGATGGGCCAAGCAGCGGCCGTATTGTGACGGCGCGCAATACAGGCACTGTCCCCAGAAAAAACACCCGTATGACACCAATCTGATAAGAGACTAGCGGTGCTTCTTGCCACGCACCACGGCCCCACTGAGACAAATGAGTTACCCGAGCTCCTGACCAATCATCGGCGGCCGCCCACTTAACGTGGGAGCCGAAGCTAACCTTCTTCTCTGCTTCTTATCGCACGCTTTTGGCCCGAGAGCTAGCGATGATCTTCGGGCCCTAGTGAACGAAGTCATTTAGAGTCACGTTCAGAGAGCTTGGCACAAACAGTGACATCTGTGAACAACTATCGACAGCCTTTGCGGTCCATGCTGCGTCGTGTCTTTTTCATCCTCTTGTCCAACATTATTAGAGGTTCCAAGGTTTACTGAGTATTCCCAGCTGAACGACTCTGTATTGTTGCCAATTGCAGCGCCGTGGCTGCCATTAAAGTTCGACGCTAAAACGTATACTTCGTACAGGCCCCAAAAAGGGCCACTGGGTCAACGTTACGAGATGCCCCATTCGGCTTTAACTCGCTTGTCAGTCTGCCCCTAAACAAGGCATCGTTGCGAGCGGGCCCGGTCCGTTTCTTAAATTGACTCTGAATCAGATTATATCAGTAAAAGCTTATCATTGTTGCTACTGTTCCATACCTTAGTTAACTAATTACGGAGTCGCGAGTACGGGAGTAGGTATGCGTGAAATTCGCTGTCGGTTTCAGCCGTCTGGAGCTCGGATGTTCCCCGACGCTAGTGGGGATATTGATATGGCCAATGATGGAGCATGAATCTTCATTACTGGATATTGTCACCCTGTGCAGCGACTCGTCAGCATTCCATGCTATCATTATCCAGAACAGGAACTATTGCGAGGTTGATTCGCTCCACATTGACGTGCGGCTGAAGGGCGTCAATTGCCAAGGTCACAAGGGATGCTGACATCGAGCCAATCATTTGCAGCTGCAGCCGCCATGCTACAGCCAACTTTCAAGATATTGGCTTCAATAATTAGTTAATGACTCGGCGAAGAAAACCTGGGACTTTGTGGGGTCTGGAATGGATTCGCTGGATGCATACATCCCGATTCCTTCTGTACGTAACAACAAGCGTGTTCTGTGTTACTGTCACATATCTGGGGGCGGTGTTCATATGCGAGAAGAATCCAGGCGCCATTCTAGGCGCCTACTCGGGCTTTGATGGGGGACGCATGTTGAATCCCGAGAACAGGCTAACTTTAGTCAAAGACCTGGCTGCATAACACGTGGCTGGAAAGTTCTGTGATGTATGTAAATATATACGTATTTGTCATGCTTTAATTACCGTTCGTCTGTCAGCACTCAAATTCATATGTAAATGTTCTGCGTTGACTTAAGTTGAGACTGTCGAAACTTTACTTTCTAAACAATGTCACATCATAATGCAGTTAAAAGAAAACCTACACTGTAACTATAATAATTCCAGTGCGAAGGATGCTGATGAAACGGTCTTTCATTTTAGGGATCGTTTAGATGAAACCTTCGTATACATGTATCATCGACGGCGCCTATGGAATCTAGACCTTTGGCGCATTCAATATCGTTCCAAGATACTCCACAACCGAATGCGAAATCTCATCATGTATTCATTCAACTACTATTTCACATGAAAGTTGACGGGAGGAGAGGTGTGATATGATGACAGCACAAGGTAAACTAATTATCGCTATGATTATTTCAGTTCATGTAAGAAACAACGACCCCAAAAGGCGAGTAAAATAGAAAAGAAAGCGAAATCGCAGAAATAAAAAAAATTAGCCCCCCTCCCCTCCATTCGTCTCATCGTTAGGAGGAATATGTCTACGTTTTCGCATCGGCGCTTTCCTCCTCATGTCAATCACGGATTGCTGTGAGCCAGCCGGGGCCGATGCCATTTCAGTGTCACCATCGTGGTAGTCTTCATCCTCGTCGCCTCCCCGGATAGAGTGGTATAGAGCTGATTCATCCAGTTGGTTAATGTCAAGCGGTTTCATGCGCAGCCACTGCATCCGAGGTCCGGATTTGGCGCGCTCTGAAACTCGAAATCCGTAAATTCGCGGCTCATAGATCTTGCCCGGGCCTAATCCCGGTCCAAAATTTGACGTCAACATGCCGTTGATCTGAGCTGGTTGGTTTGGCGGCTGCTCCTGGGTCGGGGCGGTCAGAGCAATTGATGAAGTCAGAGACGACGATCGCGATTGGTTCGTCGTTCCAGCGCTCAGTGAAGCTGGAGATAGGATGCTTTCTGCTCGGTTTCCCCCCACATCCAACTCTGGGAATGTCATGAAGAAAAGACAGCCGAACGTCGTCCCAAAGAAGGCTCCATCAACGGACTGAAACCGGCTGTTTGGGGGTGTGTAGATGTCATAGCAGCTGGGACAAAATAACTTGACAGTTTCCTGGCCAGGGGTATCAGTACGACCGACAGGAAGAACCTTGCACCCATTGCAATTCACTCGTGGACAAACTCCAAAATGATGGACCTCGTATTTCTCAAGCATCTGCTGGATTCCTGGACGCGATGTGATATACCGTTGGTGAATCAATCCATACAGCAGCTCAGCAGAGCTCTCAATAACACTGAGATCACTAGCCACCCGCATATGTTTTCGATCGCCGGCTCTGCGATACCCTAACGGTTTCTCATCCCCCAGAATCTCATCCTCGTCATCGTCTTCTTCCTCCTCCTCTTCCTCCTCGTCATCATCCTCTGGCTCGACATCTAGAATCATTTCCAAAGCTTCTTTGTACATGGGCACCTGCGATTGCAGGCCCGTCAAGTTGAAATCGTCTTCAATAAAATCTTCCGACACCTCCGCGAAATATTCGTGACCCATGAGCGAACAAAAGGACGAAATCCATGATTCGGGCGCTCCTTCCGAGGACGACATGGTGAAGGAACCAGAGTCTGACGACAATGTAGATGTAGTTGCTGGGCTAAAGTCTAGCCTTTCAAGGCCTTCGGCCAACGCTTGCGCTACTTCTCCAGACACGTTGTCGAGGGTTTTGGCAGAGCCTGATAAGCAAGGTGTACGGGGGAGGGTTGTCTATTCGAAGGAAGGGCTTGATAATGAAAGGTCTATCAAGCGCTATGGACACGTTTGGCGGGGCTAATGTGTAAAGCGATGCCTTAAACAAGTGTACGACCCAACATGAAGATTGACTTGCGCGGGATAATAAATTTCTTATCGTCACCGCTTGCTATTGTTTAGATGTCGTAGACCCTTATTAAGCGAGCCAGCACCTCTCTCTGGAAATCCCACGGATCATACCAAGCTCAGGAACTTTGTAACGGCAGATGCGAATGGCAAGATCGCGTGACGCGGACGGCGTTCGTTTTCAGTGAGCGATATTTGGGATGGCGGGGTAAAGGGAAATGGCGGACGTAATAAAATGTCTCGAATGAATGACAGGGCCCGGAGCGATTGTGATGCCGAGAGCAAGAAAAAATAATCGGTGTTTACAAGTATATCGACATGGTGGTGTTCGTATAAGATTGCGATCTGAGATGTAGCTTGGTTGGTAGCAGCTTGTGCGTCGTCGACGTCTATGGTGGATGCGAAGTCACGTGAACCCCGAGGCTTCCCCATCTAATGCCAATTCATTTATCCAGGAATACACCCTGCTACAAAGTGACACATGGTCTAGTTACAGATTCAATGCATGAGCTGGGCTTAATAGACTTCATATAGATCATTTTAATATATACATATTCTAGCTCATCACATGAGTTCTCTCAGTACACGTGAGAATTCGGCATCACCGCTTAGTATCCCAGCCAGTCCCTCGCCAGAGTTTTGCCAATCGTTATCGTGGGGGATAAAGCCGTTGAAGTTATCTGGGCCGAAGGATCCGGATGAACCAACCGCTTCGAAAAGATTCGTGAGCTCATGGCTCATTTGCAACCCATTCATTGGACTACTTCCTAGCTCTGAAATGGCTCCTGGCGGTCCATACAGAGACAGACCTTCGATGGGATGACCTGCCAGTCCAGCCATGGCAACAGCTGCGTTGGAGTGAGGGTCACTAGCGTCTGTTCCGATATTTCGACCAAAAACACCTAGCTTCTCAGCAATCCTTCGAACCCCTTTGATAGTATTCCACAATCGCTTGGATATGTAGGACTTGGTGGTGAAGCCGTTCACGAGGTTTAATGCCATATAAAATTCGTCTCGAACTTGCCGACCGAATTCGGCGGGAGCATGGCAGACAACAAGAAATAAGACAGCAAGAGCGGCCACGAGGAAATAATTGAAACAGATTTGCTGCGTTTTGTAGATATCAGAATTTTGGTTAAGCCGAGCCAGGACTCGAATTGTATCCTTTGCTATATTGACGACCATTTGAACGTGGCTTTGATTTTCGAGAATATTTGATGCAGAGTGCAAGACTGGTCTGTTAATCAGGATGCGCAAGTGATTCATACGTAAGTACAGGAGTACACGCAGCCGTTGTAATCCCCGGTTAACAGGAGCACCGCTGTTGGAAGACTCTACTGGTAACATGACGCTCTCTGGTATATGTTTGTACCATTGGCACACCTGGTAGTCTAGAAACCCGATCTCTTCCCTTTTCACATCAGTTGACCCTTCATAGCCTAGTCCAGAGTACCATATTTTCGAGCTCAGGCGGCCATAGGCAACCATACTCTTCAAATACGGTAAAGAATCATCCTATTATTTATAAGTAGACTCGAAATATAGTTTACTATCTTTTATGGCAACTCACGGGCTCTGGAAGTGTTGGATCAATATCTTCGTCTTGGATGACAAAAGGCAAACCTGTGCCAAAGCTCCATCGCCGATCAAGACTATAAACAGACCAAAATAGCCGAGTGATTTGCGACCTGTCAGCTTCAGCTGAAAAGACTTTGGCAACAGCATCGCGACGATGTAATCCGAGCTCTAAACACATCCGAGCAGCTAACCCAATAATGCGGTATGACAATATGTCATTATCTGTGTGAAAGTGATATGTTGCCTGCGAAAAATGGCCGTCAACAGGTATCTCCAAATTAAGATGTATAGATCATTCACATACAATTATTGTAAATAATTGGACAGATTTGATATCCACGGGCTCTAACATTTTCGAATAGAATATGGGCTTAACAGTCTCGAAAAGGCGTCGCGCAAGGCCACTTTGGCCATTTCCTTCGAGAACCAACGTCGTAGCCAGTATCATTTTAATATTCAGCGAGTCATCATCTTGTAAGCCATCTAGCCCAGGGAGTCCGGTTTGCGCAAACCCAGTCCTGTCAGCTGCTTCGAGAAAATTGTAGAGGAGATTGGTTTGAGCAATAACTTTGTCGAGGCAGAAAATTGGGTACATTAAACCAATTTCTTCCTCGTACACTTTGCATAAACGAATGGCTTCTTCCCGCTTGATAGACCAGATTGGATCTTTGGAAGGGTGCATTACAGCCGGGCGGGTCAGCGCTTTCTGTTCGTCAATATCGGATTGAGAAGGTACGACTGGAGCGGGTATCAAATCATTCTGCATTGGGTCCTCATTAGATGCGATTCCCATATCTTGAAGGCTAGATCTCGCGACATCAAAGTTAAACGCTGAACTTGTTGGTCCATGGAAGCGGGGGTGCTTCACTCGCAACCTGTTATTAGCTGAAGTGAGGGTTTCACTGGGGGGGATAGAATCCGATTGCGAGTTGTTGCTGGCGAATGATTCTAATGGCACCGAGTCTAAAGGAGCCTTATGCGAGGTGAGGTTGTTCAAATTCTGAAATAAGGAGTTGACCTGTTCTTGGAGTGTGTTGATCTCTTCTTTCATCACCCGAAATTCCCTATGCCGAGGTCAGCATCCATTAAACGATATAATGGCAGGCGGGCCGACTCTGAATCTTTGAAGTTTCCATTGCAACAGTTTGGAGCGTAGAGACCTATGCAAGAGGGTCAGAAGCGTGCAATCGGCAAATAGGAAAAAGAGTACTGACATTCCAAGTTGAGGTGTCCACAACGCTGGCAGGGAACTTGGCCATTACATTTGATCTTGCGCCGCTTGCACTCGTTGCTAGTAAGTTAAATATTAATGGTGTAGGCCATCACATTTGGTAAAACGACCAAATAGGAATAATTCCGAAAATCTAGGGCAGTGCATCGCGCAATATCCACTTACCATGCGATGGAGATGTATCGATTCCGCTTTGTGCGCGTGTTTGTTCCGCTACTTGGTTCTGCTTTTCTTTTGGCGTTCCCGTCGGGGCTGGCAGCTGTGGCCTGGGGCGTGGATCCGCTCAGATGGGGAGATTCAGAAGCCATCTTAAAAAAGGCTTTCCGAGAGGCAGAACTGGCGATGCGATACAAAAGCGATGAGAGTCATGGACGGAAAGTCGCGAGATGCAACAGGGCAGGTGCGGAATTCAGTCCTTAGGCTGGGGTGCGGATACGGCAGCCGATAGCGGGGCAGATCCACCGTCCTGACTAATTACAATGCTTACATTACAACTGCATCCTTTGAGAAATATTGTTAGCTTGTTAAGGTACGCGAATATCGATCATTGGATGTGTATTCATTTCAACGAGCGTGTGCCATTCGTAACTAACTAACTAACTAGGACTTGATCATCCTCCATGCATTTCTGAAGAATCAAATAGGACATGATCTCCCCATCGGTCATGCGGTCTGCATCTATCGGACTCGATACACATCAAAAACCTCAGACTTAGACGTACTTGACAACAACCTCGGAAGAGCTTGGCACGGTGACGGAAGTCAGTACTTTGTTGTTCTGCTTCAAGTCAATGATGTCTGCACCGCCCGTTCCAACAGAGCTTCCGTCAGACAAGCCAGCAGAAGCGCCAGTGAAGGTGACAGTGCCGAAGTTGTCAAGGGTAACCAAGCTGCTGCCCTCCTCGAAGTCCTCGACAATCCACTCAGCATTCTGGCCGCCCAGGGTTGAGGAGGAGTCTGGCGCAGTAAGGCTCTTGGTGACCTTGTCGCCGTTGGTCAGGTTCTCAATAGTGGCAGTTCCGGCACTGCTAGATTTGGAAACAACGGAAACGGAAATCTTGTCACCAGCGCTGATGCTGATGCCAGAGAAGTCATAAGCATAGTCAGGGTACCACTCGTACCAAGCGTCGAAGGAAGCCTCGCCGCTAGCAGTGACACTGAAATCGATACCGGTCTGGAGAATGGCGTTCGAGTAGGTGTCTCCGTCGATACCAACCCATGCGGACGACGAGCCAGCCTGGCCGTTAACGGGCTTGGGAGTTGGCACTGTGAACTCGGCGGAAACTGAGGTGAAAGTGGTGCCAGAAGGAGGTGCGGTCAGGACAGCACCAGACCAGTTGGACGAGTAGTCGACGTTAGTCTTGTTTGGGGACTCTACGCCCTCGATAGCTTCGGATGAAGCAGGAATTCTGGGGTGGGAGAGACGGCTACGTCCGGCAGCGCGGGCAGCAAGACCATGACCTTTGGGAGCAGCCAACACAGTGGCGCCGAGGAGGGCTGGAGCAAGGAGGGTGAACTTCATTGCGCTGGTTTGAGATTGGTTGATAAAAAGACGACGCTTTGGAGCTATTTGTCTAGGCTGGTTGAATTTATCTGATTGATGAGGTACTGAACAAACCTTCTCAGAGATCGTCGGCTGCTTTATATACTTTTTACCCTCTGTATTCGGATCACAACCCTGAATAGAAATCGGGTCTGGGACCGGTGACTTCCGAGTCTAAGTTGAGAGCTTGATGCGTGCTCGCTGGTCTGTGTGGTGATCGTGGCATTATTAAGGTGTTATATCTGATGTCGATGGTCTCATACAGCGTGTGATCGGCATGGTAGCATTAGGGTGTACCCGATGCTGAGAATATGGTGTCTTTGTAAAAATTAGTCTCATAAATAAGCTTGTCGAATAACCAATCATCTACTCTTCATCTACGTGAAGCAGTCTAGATCGACTACAAACAGGCGCCTTCGCTGGTTTTTGACTGTCAAAAAGGCTTCATTTTGAGGATATCCATGCCAAGAGGTTTCATCGGGCATGCAGTACGAGAAATAACGCGCGAATGATGAATATTGCGTTTGTACAACATCTCACCCCTCATTGGTGCTTTGGACTAGGAGAAAATCTCCCAGACAATGAGAAGCACTGAGGCTGGGCGAGTGATCTCCATCGGAGTATTTATTTCTATTACTCTTTTTGTTATTAATGATGTTATTAACGGACCATTGCATAATATTTGACATGGTGCTGGCGTCGAATGAGAATTAAAAAGCTCTTGACGCCATTACGTGGCGTTTCGATGTCAGCCACGAGCGTCCATGGCTGGATGGCGCAATTATGCTTAGCGGGAAGGGCTACAAGGCTTAACCGTGCTTGCGGGCTGCAACTGGTACAAGTCGGGTCTACGACTCTAAATAACAGTTATCCCCTTCTGAACATTAAAATCCTGCTGCGGTGGTAGGTTTTCAATTTGTAATGATAGTATGAATATAAATGTTGTCGGTCCTTCAATCTATTTCAACGACGAAGAGAGAATAAGTCATCCGATGGCCAACGTAATCAATAGCCTCGTTGTGCCTCGTTGTCCACAGTCGGCTGCGCGTCTGGACCAGTTGACTCCTCATCTCGACCACAAGCGCAGTCAAAGTGAGATTAGATCGTGATAACGACCTCAGGATATACCAGCATCGGGAGTTCAGATTAGCCGCCGATAATAACCGAGGAGGACGGGCTTGTTCCGAAATGAGAGTTGGGACGAACGCTAGGACGCGGCAGCCGCGTGAAATTGTGAATACTAAGAATATTAAAGACCGCTGAAGAATTAGTGAAGCGGCCGGTGCTAGGGAAGGCAATAACTGGTGCGCATGCTGATTGGCTGTGTGAGACATGAGGTTCGCTGAAGGAATAAATTAAAACAATCAAGTTGACTCGAGATTCATCGCCGATAGCGACGTCACACCGGCCAATCGGTGGGCGTGATTTGCTGCCAGTCATTGGCCCTTTGAATCGCGCTTTCTACATCCAGTCGTGTTGTATATTAGTTGTACTATGTAGTGCTATGTAGTACAGTATAGTACAGTGTAGTAGTTTACGAAGCAGATAGCTGGCTGCAGTCGGCTGCCGAGCGTCCAGCACCCGGTGGTAGCCATGGGGATATCGTGAAACTGGAATAATTCAAGAACAATTCTTCACTGATATGTGTAGATAGTAGTTAGCGAGACCAACCGAGTTCTGGTGGAGCTGTGGCGCAGGGTCCGGTAATGCAGCAGCTAATTGGGCAATCAGAAGACCCGCATCAGACCTTAAAAAAAGCTTGGCTCTATCGCTGTTTAGCGTTGGCTGATACCATTGGCATTGGGATCTCTTCAGCATAGTCAGCCTTAGAACTGAGGCGCTGGTACACGTTGCACTCGAAATGCACGAACCAAAGAGTCTGTTGTGCGGGTTGCTGTTGCAACTGTCCTCACTCAAGGGCTGCACACTCGCCAATGACATCGAACGCCCCGATCTCGGCGTGGTCTCTGTTGTGCAGGCGAGAAACAGATAAGGCGTGCCGACAAAGGGCTTTGTGCATGCCGACTGCCAGCCCTGGATTGTCCCCTGATCGCAATATCGTTTTCTTGAGTTTCACTCTCGCCTGACTTATTAATATTGTGCCACCCATGCCACCCCCCTTCCTTACTCGATTGCTCGCTCCTTCCTTCTTCTTCTTTTTCTTTCCTCTCGTCCTGTTCCGCGCCCTCTGACGCTGCTCAGGTCTGTTGTTAACTTGCTCAACGCCTCTTCTGACACCTCCCTCCTGCTAGCATGGCGACTATTCAGATTTGGGGCTCTGACTTCGAGGGCCCCCGCGAGAATGTCGATATCAAGACGGAGAATGGCGTCGCTGCTGGACCCATGGTGTCCGAGTCAGAGATGAGCGACACTATTGAGGTACTGAAAGAAATTCTCGCTGAGCACTCGCTGGATGCCAACTATCCCCAGGAGTTGCTGAACCGTGCTCGCGAATTCTTGGACAGAGATCCCGACTCGATCCAAGCCCTCGATACCCAGGCGTTAGTCGATGATATCAGACGACAAAAGGATTTGATTTTCAATGATTCTCCCTACCCAGAAGTTCGCGCTGTTGTGGACCCGTCCGATGACTCCTCCGTGTCAGCCAATACCTTTCGCGCCTGGTTCATTGGTCTCTCGTTGACTGTCGTTTTCACCGGCGTCAATCAACTCTTTCAGCTTCGCTATCCGACCATCACGATCTACTCCGTGGTGTCGCAGGCGGTATCCTACCCGATCGGTGCCCTCCTAGCCAAGATCCTTCCCACCAAGACCTTCAAGTTCTTTGGCTGGTCCTGGTCACTCAATCCCGGTCCATTCAACCAGAAAGAACACATGCTGATCACAGTTATGGCTAATGTTGCCTATGGAGGTTACCTCGGAACTGCTTACGTGACCAACATCTTCACGGTACTCAAAGTGAAGAAGTGGTACAATATGACTGGGCTGTATGACAAAGCCGGTTTCCAGATCTTGTTGGCACTTTCCACTCAGCTGCTAGGCTTTGGCTGTGCTGGACTCGCCCGTCGATTCTTGGTTTATCCGGCAACTTTGATCTATCCCAAAGCCCTGGGAACGATTGCTTTGAACAAGGCCCTGCACAACGATAGCAAACTGACGGCAGTCAATGGTTGGACAATATCTCGTCTCAAGTTCCTGCAATGGAGCTTCTTGATGATGTTTGTTTATTACTGGTTTCCCGGTTACATCTTCACTGCTCTTTCCACTTTCAATTGGATGACCTGGATCTCGCCAACCAATGTCACGCTAGCCCTCATCACTGGCAGTCTTGGAGGTCTCGGTGTCAACCCCATTCCGACTTTTGATTGGAATGTCATCTCTGTGCTTTATGACCCTATTATCACTCCATTCTATTCCCTCGTCAACAGTGCCATTGGGGCGACCCTTGCATGTATTTGCGTCATCCTGCCAATCTACTGGACTAATACCTGGAACTCAGGCTACTTCTCCATCATCACGAATGGCCTCTCCGATAACACTGGAAATTCGTACAATGTCTCGAAGGTTTTGTCTAACGGGAAGCTTGATGTTGCCGGGTATGAATCTTATGGACCGGCATACATGTCCGCCTCATACGCGATCATGTTCTTCTGCTTTTTCGGCATGTACATGTCTGGCATCGTCCATGTGGCTCTTTATAACCGCCACCAACTTTACAAGGGGTTTAAATCTTTACTCAAGTGGGGAAATGCGCGCGATGAGTACGAGGATGTTCATAATCGTCTGATGAAGTCGTACAAAGAAGTTCCCGAATGGTGGTATATTGCCATCTTGGTGATCACCTTCGTTTTTGGGGTCGTCAACAGCGAGGTCTACAACACAGGCTTTCCGGTCTGGGGCCTCACTTTTGCCATCGCCCTGTGTCTTGTGCTGCAGATCCCGTATGGCATTGTTTATGCCATCACCAATGCAGAGCTCACCAACAACGTGGTTGCTGAGGTTATCGCTGGATACGCCATCCCCAATCAGCCTGTGGCAAATATGATATTCAAGTCTTACGGTCTGCTCGCCTGCGCTCAAGCAATCCAATTCTCCTCCGATCTCAAGATGGGCCACTACGTTAAGATTGCACCCAGGGTGATGTTTAGCGCTCAGGTTGTTGCCACTATCGTTGGTGCTTTCGTAGCCGTTGGTGTCAATGCATGGGCTTTGGCAAATATCCCAGGCGTCTGCACCAACGACCAACCCTCCAAGTTTACTTGCCTCAGTAGGACACCCTTTATCCTTCTCTACCGTAACTTTCTAATATTGATTCTAGGTGTTCAAACCTTCTTCACCTCTTCAGTAATCTGGGGGGTCATCGGACCTAAGCATTTCTTTGCACCGGGTACTCCATACCATGCGACACTCTACGGATTTCTTTTTGGTCTCCTAATCCCGGTGCCATTTTACTTTCTGGCCAAGCGATTCCCACGTTCTATTTGGCGTTACGTCAACTTTCCCGCCCTATTTTTTGGAGTCACCAACCTGTCGCCCTATAACCTCAATTATATCTGGGCTCCGACTATGGTTGGTTTTGTCTTCAATTACTACATCAAACGTCGCTACCTCCCATGGTGGGAGAAGTATGCCTATGTGCTTACATCTTCCTTTGGCGCAGCTGTGGCTATCTCTGCCATCATAATTTTCTTCGCAGTGGAATATCATCCTGTGGTTATTAACTGGTGGGGCAACGCGATTTCTTCAGCTGGTTGCGATGCGGCTGGATGTCCTTTGTACACTGTGCCGGATACTGGTATCCCGGGCACTCAGTAGTCGAAATGCCTTTAAGATCTGCGCAGAAGATGGGGTTGAAGGAAGTGCCAATAATAAGTCATAATGAAATTTCAACCATATTCATTCCATACACAAATAGTAACTCAACTATGCCTGGAGACGTTGTAGATTAGCTACCACTGAGCCAACAACTTGATTGGCGGCTTGAAGAATGGCGGCTTTCAAAGCCTGAAAAGCTGCTGGGCGCTTCTTCCACCAGATATAAAGACTAACAACAGCCATCAACGACAATCCGCGAGTCAAGGTTCGTAATCGACGTCTTCTTATTCCACCCGGAGTAAACTTGGCGTCCCAATGGCCCCAGACCGGGAACATACAGCGTAGTCCATAATCAATTTGAGAGAATCTAAAGGGCGAGTGTCAGCAAATCTCATATGTCACATTAATCAGTTAAAGTGTGTGACATACGGATATGTCGTTGAATTCCAACCATTTTCCTGTGTATACCAGCTCGAGCAACCACTCGAAAACGTCGTACCCTTGAGTCCCCTCTGAACTTTCTCCGTCCACTCTCTCTCCGCCTCTTCTTTTACCTCCCACGTACTCACCGTTCCATCAAGAATCGACTTGATAAATTTCAGGCTATACTGAACCGCATTTTCAGTGGCAAGAACAACACTGGAATGTCCCGTCGCCGTATTCGGTCCGAAAATCATGAAGAAGTTGGGGAATTTATCCATCGCGATTCCTAGGTACGCCTGAGGCCCACCTCGCTCGTCCCAGACGTCGTGCAGACTATATCCGTTTCTGCCAATGACACGCATGGGATGAAGCCATTCATTCGTATGGTAGCCATTTGCTACAATGATTGCGTCGGCTGCGAGCTCCACATCTTCCTCATCTGATGGGTCTGTTCCATGCGCAGGTTTCGGGTATAAATGGCGTCCCAGCGTGACACCCCGAGCCTGTATGCTCTTGAGTCGACGAGTGGTCAATTCGACCTTGGTATCATGCAGACTCCTATACCAGTCACCACCAATAATGCGTCTCTTGCACCCGAGACGGTAGTCTGGCGTCAACATATCAAAATATTTCTCCGGGGCGATCTTCTTCATGTACCGTCGACACGCCTCTTCTTCACTAGATAAATGCTTCCGCGTATAATCCGTGTCTGCGAAAATGGAGAAAAATTCATGCTCGATCATTAGAAACAGGATAAATCGAAAAGTTTGCGTCATCCCGGGGATTTTACGTAGTAACACCGAGACGTATTTCCTGTATATTCTTCCAGATTCTGGATCATCGCCAAAGGGGCGCACCCACGGCGGCGTCCGCATCAATTGCGTGATGGATTTGACCTTATACGGCTCCTTCGACATCGCCGAGACGACCTGGGCACCACTCGCGCCAGTTCCCAGGACAACAACATCCTTGCCCGTGAAATCAATATCATCTCTCCATTTCGCTGAATGAATCACATCGCCTTGAAACGTCTCTATCCCCGGGATCTCCTTCGGGAATACTTTCGGCTCGACCAACCCACCCACCGCGCTAATAGCGATCTTGCATCGCACGATTTCAGTGGCAATGTAAACACTTCTTTCCCCCTCTGCAGCAACTTTTTCGCGGCGCTCGAGTTCAGACCAGTCGCCGGTTCCAGGCCGCAGATACGCCAGCCTGATTTCCCACTCTTCCTCGTCTTCGAGCCATTTCAGCTCGGTGACTTCGGTGTGCAGTTGGATTTTGTCGACGATTTCGTATTTGGCGCAGACGTCAGCGAGATATCTGGCGATTTCGGGGCCGGGGGGATGCATCGAGGTCCAGTTTGGATTCTGTGCGAAAGAAAAGGAGTAAAAGATGGCGGGACTGATATCAACAGTCAATATACAATATAAACGTATTATTTAAGAGCAAATACGCACATGTCGCAAGCAACTCCAGGATACCTATTAATCCACCAGGTGCCGCCAATGCCCGATTGACGCTCGAAGATGCGGAATTGGTCGAATCCAAGAACCTGTTTCAACTGACATCCCATCGCGATGCCAGACTCGCCGGCACCAACGATGACGATGGGGTAGTAAGTGTATGCATTTTTGGCGTAGGCGTTTTGTCTGCGAATTGACGGCATGGCCAACTCTCAATTACGGTGAAAATGTATAGCAAGTTACATGAAGTAATTGATTCTGAAATAGTTTCCAAATATTGGTATTCCAAACATTGAGAGTATCACTCCTACGCGACATTGTTATTACATCCATCCCCCCCTCTTTGCTGCAGCGATCTACCTCGGACCGATAAATAGTGCCACCAACAAAGAAATGCGGGGAAAGCAGATGCAAATCACAAAGGAAAGCTAGTGAAATAGTTGATTGGGGGGTAAATACATATGCAGACATGGGGTGATCGTCACGCTGTGATGCCACCACCGATCCCCGACGGCCGACGGCCGAGCAGCTATTTGCGTACAATATAGTTATACAATATATGCTACATATCAATTGATACTATATATACTGTATGTACTAGGTTGGGATTAAGTTGATAAAAAATCAGAGATTAAATCAGTGTTCGACGTTTCGAACTCGCAACTGCAGCTATGGTGGTATCATCTAACTAATTAATATATATACAGTCATGACAGAGGGAGAAATCAATCATAAACTTCCCATCTTATGTTCAGTCAGTTTCCTTAATGCCATCACTTCTCCTTCCCACTTCGCCAGCCGCAATCGTAACTCATCGCGTTCTTTCGTCACTTGTTCTAGTCTCGACTCGAGAATCGACATTTGAGCCTGCCTCTTCTGCCGTAACCTCTGCGCAGCTAATTTATTTCGCCGCCGTTTTTCTAGTAGACGCTCCTCTGACGAGTCTTGTGAGGAAGGCGTGTCGCTCCAGGTCGACTCATCGGCGGGCACGTTGCGTAGTGAGCGCTGTGTGGGATATAGATTGTGGCTTGTGCTGGGTAGGCCCGCGTGATTGGACGAATCAACGTAGTGCTGTGGTTGCTGGGCGGGCGAGAGCTGGTAGATGGCGGTTGGCGAGGGGGAGCGGTAAATATTTGTCTCTCTTGAGACTGTGCTGGGGTTATTGAATCTGATCTGGCTGCCGGAAACCTTCATTGGAACTGTAGTTGGCGAGTGTGGGTTGTTTGTCTCAATGATAGGATGTAAGGATGCACCCAGGGTAAGGTTGAAGTCTGCCGGGTTTGTCTCCAGAAGCATCAATTGGTCGAAGCTGAACGCTGTGTTGTCTGTGGGAAGTTCCCATGCAGTGAATGGCGACACGAGATCGCATGATGCTGCAGCATTGTGGAAATCAGATTGAGAGGTAAGTGAAGACATGTTTGGCACTTGGCGCTGGCCAATGGGGATATCGGATGTCATGTAGGCGAAGACTCAAGATCTTTACAATTGTTGTTGTAGCAGTAGTAGTTATTAGGCCCAGACGATGCCTGTGTGATATGTTGTTGACTGGCCATGATAGAGGCGTCGCCATAGAATATATAAGAGATGCTAGCCGGACATGGGCAGCAGACGATCTGCAAATCCGACACTAACTCTAAGTATCTCCGGCGCTAGGAGAACACGGCTAGCCATAAATGTACTAGCGCCTGATTTAATCCGTGCCGCTGCATCTCGGCCGCCAAACACGGACATGTTCTAGTCATAGTACTAACTACGATGCTATGTATTATTAGCAAGCCAAGCGCTGGAGAAACATGGATCCTCCGCCCATAGATCACGATGCAAATCCAACGCCTCAGTCGGCGAAAAAAAGAAAGCCGAGACCAAGGCTGTCTTGTGTCGTCTGTCGTCAGAAAAAGTGTGCCTTCCCTTGCTTCTAGAAGTCTCAGCGCCACGGCTGCGATGTTTTCAATCGCAATCAAAGCGTGATGCCTAGTCTAACTAATTGCCTAGACTGAAATGTGACCGGTTATATCCCTGTGACAACTGTATCAAGCACAATAGAACGTATTTGTGCCACTACGCGGGCCCCACAGTAATGAGCAGGAAGCAATCGCAAGGCATCCAGGATCATCTTCGTAAACTAGAGGTCCGCCTTGAGCAGCTCTCTGCTGTCGATGAGCCGTCTCAAGTACCAGGTTTCACGCACCACGCTTCTCAGAATAACCCAGCGGGTGTCTTGCAGCCTCAGCCAGGTCCGCACATAGAAAAAGGTCAATCCGAGTTAGAAAAGGACTACCCCGGAACGATCCTAATAGAGCAGAATGGAACGCGATATATGGATCCAACCCATTGGCGCGCAGTGCTGGATCAAGTTAGTCGTCTCCTCGGTCCCCTGCCGACTTCGATTCGCCAGACTGATGAGCATGTAGATCGCGGAGGTGAAAGAATACCTCGAATTGACCGAGGACACATCACCGGAAGAGGAATTCGAGGAGGATTCTCCAAGCCTGCCGATTTCTGGGCCAGTTCTTCTATTCGGTAACACAGCCTCTACTACGAAGGCTAACCTACTCGCCGCGGTGCCCGACCGGTCGGCAGCAGACCGCTTGGTTTCCTTGTATCTGAACTCGAAAGAATCTACCCTCGGTAGGCATGTCCCTATTTTGCTACCATGATATTGCAGAAAAAGCTGATGGATGAAAAGTTATTATGCACATTCCGACATTCACAAAAGAAGTAGGTTGAACTGCTCGCATTCAGTATTCATATTCAATGCTCATCACTCCCATCCAGTACAGCGAATTTTGGAAGAATCCTGAAGACGTCACCATTAACTGGCTGGCTTTTCTGTTTAGCATTCTATGTGCTGGTACAGGACTACAGCTTTTCTCCACATTTGGTCGTGTCGACGGTGAGCTCGTAGAAACATTCGACGAGTACCACAGGCTAGCGTCGCAGTGTCTCTGCATGTCGGATTACACCAAGCCTGGCCTATACAAGATGGAGACGCTTATTTTAAGCGTAGCCATGGAGATTCTAAGAAGCACAGACACTCATGTTGGCCCCTCAATTCTCCTGGGCCTAGCTTCTCGATTAGCAATGCATGGTGGGTATCACAGAGACCCAAAACACTATCGAGAAATCTCGATATTTGACGGAGAAATGCGCCGTCGCGTCTGGATGTGCCTCTCCCTGCTCGACCATTACATCTCTCTTCAAGGCGGTCTCCCTCCAACCACGATCCAGGCCCAATCCGACACCGAAGAGCCCCGTAATCTCACAGATGAAGACCTAAATCCATTGGCAACCACCCTCCCACTCGCCAGGCCCCCGACAGAGAATACACCCATACTATTCCCAACTATGTTAAACCGGATCATGTTTACCGATGCAGAAATCATCAGCAAAGTCTGCTCCGTCAAAGGTGTTCCGTATCGAGAAGTTCTGCGTCTCGATGCAAAATTAAAGGAGCTTCACAACACTGTCCCGCCTCCGTTACAGTTCCGTCCGCTAAGTGAATCAATCGCAGACTCACCTAACATGATTATGGATCGCTATAATATTAACCTGATGTACCAAAAAGCACGTTGTGATCTTCACAGACGGTATCTGGCCCAACATCGACTAGACCCGGCGTATGCTTACTCCAGACGAGAGTGCCTAGATGCCGCAAGAACAGTGCTACAACACCAGTTTGATATTTTCGATGCAAGCTCTTCGGGAGGCCAGCTCGGCTATACATCCTTTTTCTTCTCACCTATCGTCGCTGTACATTTTCGTTCCGCCGCTATGATTGTTTCACTGGAGATATCATGCAAGTCTCGCTATGATCTGAGACAGAGGCTGACACCCAGTGAGAGGCAGTCAATATTAGCAGAAAGACAGCAGCTTTCGGGGGAGATTGAAAGGGCCTGTGCCATTTGGAAACAACTATGCCATCAGTCGAAGGAAGCCATGAAGACCGCCGAGGCTCTTCAAATCATGTTGAAGATTACACACAACCACCTGCAACATGGAGAAACACCTGAGCAGGAACAGGATGCAAGGTCAAACCTAGACAGCCAAGTCCCAAGTGAGATATCCTTTCAGGATGGTCAGTTCAAATTATTTCCTTTCTCTTTTCGTCAAAGGCTAACTTCCTCTCTTCAGCTAATCCAGCTTTCGTTACGCCTACGCCTCCTGTACCCTACACAAACGTGGAAAACGAATACAGTCCTTTAGATGTCGATCTAATGGACGCTACTTTTTACCTAGGCCAAGACGCTATCAGTGACCCAACAAAAACCACGAATTTCGCTGGCTCTACCGACGTCGTAGACTTTTATGACCGATACTGGGATAATCTAATGCTTCTGGGCGACGAACAACCGTTTACTGGTATGACATTTGACGGCAGCAATCAGGGAAGCAGTGAAACTGGTGTTTTGTAAACAAAATATGCAAAATTTGTGACATGTAGTACACCCACTGTGCGTAGGCGGCGCATTAACCAATCACAGACAGACTTGCTTGACAGACCCACTGTTCATCTTCCTGCGGATCAATCATTTAACGTCATTTTAATTTCCATCTCGATTCATAATAATTCATTCAACCTCTCAGTTCATGTCTTCAACTCATGACTGATCAATTAACGTCCCCCGCCATCAACCCTAATGGGCATGACGCTGAAATGGCACGGTCGTGGCATATCCACTTATAAAAAACACATCTTCTCACGCCATCTCTCCACCCACCAACCCAATCCAACAACTCACCACTACACACCTCTCAACATTCTAACTAATCCCACTATACAAGACTTCCGTAACAAATACTTCCACCCCGAAAAACCCACTATCCTGCACTCCTCATCACTCCGCAATCTCCCCGCACGCAGAAACTGGTTCGTTAAGTCCACCCCCTCTACACCCGCCTGTTTTACCCTGAACCACGCCTACTTCGAGAATTGCACCGATACACTGGTCCCATTAGAATTAACGACATCTACGCATGACCAATTTCAGCGGTTTGATGCTCCACTCGCAGTATTCCTAGACTGGATTCGCTCTTCCCTTTCCCCTTCATCATCACAACCCTTCAGCCTCTATCTAGCTCAATGCCAAGTCTCCAACCTCCCTGCCCCCCTGCCCCAAGATCTCCCTACGCCGGATATAGTCCTACATGCCGGTAGAGGCGATGTATACGATACGAACATCTGGATCGGCCTGCCACCGACATACACCCCGCTGCATAGAGACCCGAATCCGAATCTGTTTCTGCAGCTGGCGGGCACGAAACATGTGCGTCTGCTGGCGCCGGAAGAAGGGCTCAAGGTGTTTTCGAGAGTGAGAGGTGCGTTGGGGAGGGATGCAGGGAGGGGCGCGGTTGTGTTCAGGGGCGAGGAGATGATGAAAGGCCGGGAGAAGGAGATGCTTGAGGATGCGGTGTGGGGTGGGCGAGTTGTTTCGGGGGGAGGGGATAAGGAAGGCGGTTGGGATGGTGTGGGTTATGAGGCTGTTTTGAAGGGTGGCGAGGCGTTGTTTATTCCGAAAGGATGGTGGCATAGTATTAAGGGGGTGGGTGAGGGGGTTACTGCTTCGGTGAGTTGAGATTGATTTTTTGAGGAGGTTGTGGTGCTGATGTGAAGTAGGTGAATTGGTGGTTTAGATGATGTTGCTCCCTGCGGTAGACAGCAGTGAATTAGTTGACGTGGAAGCATGCATATATCGTGTGCTATAATTTGGTTGTTTGTTGTACGATAGTAGTTGAAGAACAAAAACATATGTATAATGCAACACCGGGTTCCAACTCCAGCATGATGCTATGATATGTAAATACCAAACATTTTGTAAATTTAGACATAAATCATGAAAAGCGAACTCCATTCGACGGATCCCACGCCCCAGGTGCTGGCGGGCCACGTCGTCCAGGTTGTGTGCTCCCTGGCGGCGGTAACGGCCCTCCAAAACGAATTCCCATCTCCGGTGACCAGATACCTGAGTTCGCTACAGGTGGGGGGCAACGTTCGCCCGTGTGGGCAGCGGTGCTGTTAGAGGCTCTGGGGCGGGCTGGTTGGGAGCCGGTCGAGGTTGAAGAGGCGGTTGTGCTGTAGACTGTTGATGAGTAGGACGAGATATATTCAATGATGCCATGGCCGCCGCATTCGTGATATCACTGTACACAGCTGTCAGTTTAAGTCCGTAAAGATATCCTTTTGGCTTACTTTTCAAGTTGGCTTGCTTCCATCCGCCGTTGATGGACAAATGACTTGCAGTCATCTCTAAACCGACCAACAATCTTGGCCAAATCATTGTAGAATTTGCGTCCAACCTCAGAATTCGAAATGAGCTCCTTGTACTTTGCGTATCCGTTTTCTAGCTCCTGCAGCGCCTTTTCTCGTTCCTTGCTTGACGTGTCTCCTCGTCGGGCTATGTTGAAGTTGCGATTGGCTTCTTGGACTTGCGTCTCTAGCTGCTCTTGCTCATTCCGTTCTTTTTCAAGCATATCCATATCCGAGTCATATAAATGCAGTTGATCTTCAAAGAGACTTTCAAACTGGCTTGCTTCGATTGGTTGCATAGGATATTCTCTTTCGAGACGGCCCGTCTCTTTAAGTAAAGCAGAATCTGAAGGCCATGTTAGAAACCTACATGATTTTTATAAGATGCAACTCACTGATATCATCTGAGCGGGCTTTCTCTTTTAATATCTGAATGCGGCGCTTGCGCCGATTCTCCAGTCGGTTCACTTCATTGAGACAGCTTCTTAACCTACTCGACTCTCTTTCCAGCTCCGGCGTAATCGCTGCTCTCCTGCTGCTAGGAACATATGATTCTAAATCACGATTCGTCCCTGTCAGTACACGAAGAACCTTTTCCGCATCGTGCAGTTTCTTTCCGATCAGATCATCGGTGCTTTGGGCAGACGAGAAATATCCGTTAATGTTTGTCGCCGTTTCGTAAACTTTCTGTCCAGCGACTTCGGATGTTTCTCTATTCCATCGATCAGTCCCGTACTTTGCACGAGCGCGATCGTCCTCTTCCTTCTCGGCAGATAGAAGATCTACACCCTCCATGTAGAGTGCTTTGTCGTTGCTTTTGACTTGAGCAGTATCCTCGAGAGAGTGACGCAAGAAAGAGAGACCATCTTGCTGGCGCACTTCTTCTGCGTGAGAAATTAGCGTTGGTGGTAAGCCCAGAGGTTTCTCCAACGCTTGCAAAGAGCCTGGGAGGTTCAGTGACTGTAAGAGACTAGAATTATTGTCAGTAAAACACAATCCATCGGCAGACACCAACTCACTCTCGAAGCTTGTCTGTCATTGATTCGAGCTCTCCGATTATATTTTCATTCACTAAGCGGTCGCGACGATCAGAATAAATGCTGGCGGCAACATGAACGGCATAAGGAACTAGCTTGGCTAGCAGCGGCTGGCCAAGAGGGCCATTGTCCCCCAGCATCGAGATAGCATCCGTCACTTGGGTTGGGGCCTTTGCAGCCACCATAACTGCGCGATCGAGGGGTTTCAATTCGGATTTTGGCGGAACAGGCAGGAGATAAATCACATCATTGTCCTTTTCGGCTCGCTTCAGGTCTTCGGAAACTCGGTTTTTGAGACCATTCAAATCGCCCAAGACGATACGACTGATCCATTTGGATTCTTTCAGCGCCTCGTTCACACACTTTAGACTATCTCTCAAACGCGCAACCTCCTCGCCGTATTTCCTCTTATCCAAGCACTCCAGAGACTGACGATATTGGGCAGCAGCAGCAAAATGATGATGCTTGGCTGACATGTGATGGATCCAGTCGGTACTAATAGCATCAGACTTGACAGCAAAGTCGCCAGCATCCGCATAAAAATCCGAAACCTTGGCTGCTAATCTGGCAATCGACGCATCCTTGAGGCCATCCTTGACCGCCTTCTGCCAGAAACATTCTTGGGCTTGCGCTAGTAACAGTTCCTCCAAACTCTGTAATGTCATCTCATCCATGTCTTCCGGGGGCGATGCGCGAAGGTCTGGAAGGATGTCTTTCCGGAGGTGGGAAATCACCCCAGCGCTCTGTGAAAAATAGTTGCATGCCTGTTTGAGGCCGTCGGAGGTGGTTCGGTTCAAGGAATAGGCAAGCTGTGAATACAAAGCGGCGAGATTGAATAGGATATTTGCGAGTTCAAATCTAAGATTGTTCTCTGACACTGTATATTCCCATCACATATCAGTACAAAAAACCGCTCGTGATTACCACATTGCGACGGGTGCAGTTACCAGGTCTCGACGTGTTAAACCCAAATGCAGGGTACCAAGAAAAATCGACGCCGACCTAGATACAAAATCAACAGAGCTCCTTGAGATATCATCTGAGATGCACGTACATCGACTGGAAACTTCCCTCCCAACCATTTCAGCTGCGCGGCATAGGTCACCAATCTGCTAACCCCGCTGACATGAGGCTCCTGCACGTTCACGGCTTCTGCACGCAGCCGGTCGAGAACGAGTAGGTCGTCTGCAAACATATCCGGGCGCTGATCATATTTCGAAGAGATGTACTGGGTTATGGCGTCCGATAGGGAGACAGCGTGGGTGCGCCGAAACGGCAGCTGGAGGATGTTGCTTCTGGAGGGGAGAAGAATGCGTTAGTGACTGACGACCAAGGTGCAGAAGCGAATGCAGCGAGGTTCTAGCTTACGAGGTCATTCTTGCCAAAAGTGATCTGTTTCTCAGTGCAGAATGAGTTTGGCCGAGACGAGAGACCCCGCGCTGAACATTTTCAAGGTTTGTCGGTGTTGATGGTGGATCTTATCGCGTTTTGGCCTGGCAACAAGCTAAGGGCGGGATGACGTCGCCGGGCTTGATTGGCTGGATCTACAATTACATCTACATGTATCAAAAGTATCAATTGATGTATGTATATGGATTAATTATGCTATCCAATTTAATCTCACATGGCCAAGAGCCGTTAACAAAATACAAGACATGCATGCAATACAATGTGAATGATCGACCCTTCCGTGGGTGTACATGCCAGCTCGTACACAGACAGAAATATATGCAATGAATGTAGAGGGTGAAAATCAAGGTACAGATCATCCACCTCTGATATAGTTGGGAGCCCGGTTATGTCTGGTTAACCCGGCTAGGTGTGACTTGGTGGATCACACTTCAAGGCTGTTAATCCTAGTCTTGGTATACTCAAAAAGACTGAAGAGAATCATGTTCTGGACACTCGTACGCATCAGCGAGACGGAGAGACCTTTGTACATGCTGGACCGGGCCACTGCAGACGAAGCCTCGCCGATCTCCTTTGTTCTTCCCAGTAAGATGCTCTGAGCGCGTGTTTTGCGAGTGTCGAGAGAATACGTCTATGACAATGTAAATACACAATCACTACCTGGGATATTTGTAGACTCACCACTAGCCACGGGATGGTTCCGCACAAGGCACCAGCTACCATGGGAGGACCAAAAGGACTCTGGGCTGGTTTGCCCATCTCCTTCGCAATAACCTGCTTCACGGTTTCATAGATGCCAAAGTACAGACCGGTCCCAATAGTGTCGCGCAAAGCATGGAGATGATACCCAGTGTACAGTCCAAGAAAGCCATGGCGGTTAATTATCTGCCGGAAAGCTTGTATGGTGCCTATACGTGGTAAGCTGCGAACTCGAGGATCGCGCACCGCATCGGGTGAAGCTTGAGATCGGTACGACATTAGAACCGAGGTTTGCACCACATTCTTTGCCAGTTCAAAAGGGCCTACAAAATCAGCTTTCAGTCAAATCAAGCAAATTACAGACAGCACTTACACGCAAATGGAGACGCTGCGAGACCGGCGCACATCCCCGCCACTGTAAAGGTAGTAATCGTCGCCAAGCTGGGATAACTTCCAGGCTCATTGTAGTAAATCAAGGGAGAAACCCCGGTGATACGCTCAAATTCGTCTGATATTCGGTATTTAACGGTTTGATACGTGCTAAAACTGACCACTCGAACAAATGTGACGCTCATGAGAGGAGGAAGAAAGCCTGTACGCCTATCAGGTTGTGTTTCTTAGACTGTCAATGACTGACGCTTACCAGCAGTGTAGCCACGGAAACCCTCTGTACGCCATATGTACCTGGCACATTCGGTAAGGTTTCGGAAGTTGTGCCTATAACTGGAATCAGAACATTGGATTTTCGACAATCTGGTGCGCCATACGTTTGCATCCGAGTTTTAAGATTTTCCAAAGGCGTCTGCAATCCGTCAGCCAACTCGATCTATCGCAAATCCACAGTCGTCACATACCACAGCCAAAGTGGCACAAATGGTCGAGGTCGCCGATGCCACCTGAGTGCGGTATCTCTTCAGCAAACGGTTCCGCTTCTTGGTATCAAAGACCCAAGGATTGGAAGACGACATAGCGGGCGATTTAGGTCGAGTGGATGGTGTAGGAGGTAGCTCGGCGTGACCGGGGTTGTCGTTCAAAGTCATTCCTGGTAATTGAGAAGGGCAGTCATATAGAATAGTCGAATATTGCAGACGAGGCTTGGATATCGACTGGGCTCTGTTACTAGCACTTGGTGGGCTGGGGAACCCGATGGAACGCAAAGCGGTCTCTCAGCCTGCGAGATGACCGTTCGGCGTCCCACAACGTCCTTCTATCGAGATGGTTGCGACAGCCTTTGGGCCGTGCAATTGCCGTCCTTCGAAAGCGGTTGCCTCCTAAGTCGGGAGTAAGATGGACTGTGTCGCTGTGTAGATGGGTGTATCACCAAGGGTGCGATGGGATGGTCGGTTGCCAGTGGATTGATAGAGCAATCACTGGCGCGGTTGAAGTTATCGAGTCGAACCCAGATTCCAGGTTCTCGCCATTGACGGTCAGAAGTGGATTGACAAGCTATGTTCACACTTCACGCAGTCAGTCTTGATCTTAGTCCCCCCGAGAGTCCATCGTATCTGGGGGTTGAGAACTGGGGACAAGAGAGATGGCAACCAAGGGTTGAAGGGGATCATTGAATAGGGTTCATTTCATCTGCAGACAGAAAGACAAGACAGGCGGGGGCAAGCTGCTCTCGTGCTGTGTCTGCAGTGGACAATCGACGTACCTTTAGTGGGGCGCGGTTGAGATGTGCGGGATTTGGAGGACTGAGGGAACAGAGGAATGCGCGACTGGCCAGCTATTCGATCAGGAATCGCTGGGCCAGTATAATCGCAGGAGTCAGGAAGTCTAGAAGCGACAAGGCTCGAGTGCGGGTGAGGCATGCGGTTTGTGCCCAGCGAGCAGCAGACAGTGACGTCGACGCCCCAAGCGGCCAACTGCAGTCCGCAGCGCTCTCACTGGCTGGCCGGGCCCACTCCTCTTCCCATGGACATCTTGTCAGCATGTTTCTGTGCTGAGTTAATCCTCAGCAGAGTTCCAGGGATGCGGCCATCATTGGTGTTCGATTCGCTCGTTTAGCTTGTGATCCCAACTCACTGCAACAACGGCCTCGGCCTCAGACGCAGTGACTAGCTCACTTTATTAATATAGTTACTATCGACGATAATCTGGTGCGGAAAATATAGAGAGTCTGCCTATTGTCCTTTCGAATTACAAAAAGAAAATATAACGTACTCTCAAAAACCTGATATATATATATATATAAATTTAGTACTTAACCACGGAAAAAGAAGATTGATTATCGGAAGATTCAAGGAGATATTGTCGATTGAAACTGGTACAGTTTAATTGACGATCGATAAAAGGGGTCACATGACCAGGAACGGCGAGACAGCCAATCAGAGCGCGCTTTCTATATAGAGTAAAACGCAGGGGTAAAGTGTCTGCCCTTACAAGTATCACACGCCATAAATTCGTTATGAATAATTAGATATTATTGTAATTCGCAGTTTGCTCGGTTAGAAGCCATAACAATAATATTAGCATAGACCGAACCTCGGGGAGCTGGGACCTCGGCCCCGGCTTCCCCGCATATGGGCAAGCTTGCCGCCCCGACCCAGCAAACACTAGTCGGCTTTATATACAAGCATCGCACCGTCCCTTACACGCAGTCAACAAGTAGCTTCGTGCGTGCCTTGCTAGAAGATCGCCGCCACCATGGGAAAGAAACAAATCAGCCCAGCCTACGTCCTTGGCGTGGGTATGACCAAATTCATCAAGCCGCGAGGCAAGGTCGACTACCATGAGATGGGATTTGAGGCCGGCGTCAAGGCTATGCTGGACGCGCAAATCACCTACGACGACGTCGAGCAAGGCGTTGCGTGCTATGTGTATGGCGACAGCACCTGCGGCCAGCGAGTCTTTTATCAGTTCGGCTTGACAAAAATCCCCATCTACAACGTCAACAACAACTGCTCCACTGGCTCTTCCGGTCTGGCTTTGGCCCGCACCATGGTCTCGAGCGGTGCGGCCGACTGCGTTCTCGTAGTTGGCTTTGAGAAGATGAGCCCAGGAAGCTTGCAATCTTATTTCAATGACAGAGAAAACCCGACTGGTCTTTTCGGAATGATGATGGCGGAGACTCGAGGTGTTACCAATGCCCCAGGTGCCGCTCAGATGTTTGGAAACGCCGGTCGAGAATACATGGAAAAGTATGCATAACTCTCTTTCAATATTAACGCACGAATCGCTAACAGCATATCTTCTAATTCAGATATGGTGCTAAACTGGAAGATTTCGCTGAAATCGCCCGCGTGAACCACGAACACTCCAAGCGCAACCCTTATTCTCAGTTCCAGGATGAATACACGCTTGAACAGATCCTCAAGGCTCCTATGATCCACTCCCCTCTTACCAAATTACAATGCTGCCCAACGTCAGATGGCAGTGCCGCAGCTGTTATTGTGTCGCAGTCCTTCCTTGATGCTCGTCCCCACTTGAAGGAACGTGCCATCCTGATTGCTGGCCAGACCATGGCCACCGACGACGTGTCCGTATATGACCGCAGCTCAATCGACCTCATGGGCTTCCAAATGTCCCGTCACGCATGCCGCACCGCCGTCGCCGAAGCTGGAGTCAATATCAAGGATATCAAAGTCTGTGAATTGCACGACTGCTTCTCCGCCAACGAGATGATCACAATCGATGCCCTGGAACTCTCAGAGCCGGGCAAGGCCCACGAGATGGTGCGCAAGGGCGATATCACTTATGGTGGAAAAATGATCATCAACCCCTCGGGCGGCCTTATTTCCAAGGGCCATCCTCTCGGCGCCACTGGCCTTGCTCAATGTACCGAGCTGGTGTGGCATCTGCGTGGTTGGGCCAACAATCGTCTCATCAAGGGCACATCGTCCGCACTTCAACACAATCTAGGCCTGGGCGGTGCCGTTGTGGTTACTGTATATAAGCGTGCTGATGGCAAGGAAGCCACCCCGGTTTCCTCAGAGCAGATCGCCAAGATCACAGGGCTGGGCTACAACCCGGCCGTCGAGGCCAAGGGCTTTACGGCGGAACAGGCCAAATCAGTACTCAGTAAGATATCTAGTGACTGGGCTCAAGGTGATGTGCAGGAGAAGGTTTTGGCTCGATTTTAGACTGCCATCTATTTCTCTGCCAGTGTAAGTAAATATTATAGTTTGCTGTATCTTTTTACCTGTCATTACCAAGCGATATCAACCAATGATGATTGTCATGATATGAATACAATAATTACTTAGACCTAGTAAACACATCTCAAATTATAAATAGCATTATCCAATATATACGTGGCAAAAAAAGTAACTCGGATCTTATATACCTTACCTTTTCATATAGAGGACATTACATGTAACTATTTATGGCTTTCTCCATTGCTGAGTAAGCAGCTATCAATTGATTGATAACTAACTATGAATATAACTAGATTGCTTCACTGGATTCAACCTTAACCCACACAAAATTTATGCAACAGCAAATTGACACATGAGGATCACGTGTTAATCCACGTCTTTGCACATCGTTTAACGGAGTTGTTTGTATTCAACATGCTAAGCTTCTCTTCATGCAGTCCTTCATTAAGGACCAAATAGAAATCACAAAATGAATTCCGATAACAACGCGGTGGAGGAAGCGTTGTCACTCATTGAGAGTGTCGGCCTGCCACATCCTCAAGGACCGCTACTCGCGTCTTTTGTCACGGAAGCCGTCAGTCCAAGCCAGGCAGCCCGTTATGTGAGCGACCGACTTTTCGCAGGCGAATCCTCTTCAATAGTATCTGATTGGACTTATCTTATTGAATGCAGTACGTATCTTGATGGGGCCGTTAGCATGTCATACTGACAATCTAGTAGTTACACGAAACGGGAGGCTTCCTCCACAACTGGATGCTCAGACTCAATCTACCATTACTCGCAGAGACGGAGTTAGATGTTGCGTGACAGGCAAAAAGGGCACTTTCTGGGATCCTCTCCTAGTCTTGCCCATACTTCCAATTCCATCTGGTTGGGATACAGAAAAGGCATGCTGGTCGCAAACAGATCAGCAAGCATAGCAGACTGAGAGGCTAATTTTCTTCTAAAGGTGCAAATTTTCAACATGCTTGGTGCATTCTTCGGTCCACAATATCGGGATTGGTGGCTTTCTTATGTTAGAAATCCTAACCTTATGCCGCCGCATTACAACCACTGGCTCGTCCGACAGTCTACGGCAAAGGCCCTCACACTGGGGCTCATAAAATTAGATAGATTACAACCATCAATTGTTGAGGTAAGTGATGATCTCCGATATGTCTCTTAAGTTTGATCCGCTTTCTGACGCCCTCGAATAGTACGAAGTCAGCCATGTACTCATCGGGCCAGAGGAGCCACTACCTGTGGATGGAACTTATCCGCTATTAGGCGACCATTCACGATCTGGTATTGAGAAAATTGATCCACGATTTGTTGGCACACATTCTCGACTCTGTAGAAGCATTCGGTTTCTCGAGTTAACCAAAAGACTTGCAGCGGACAACCTGCCTCAAGTGTCAGGTTCATCTATCTGGTGTTATATATGGCAATCCCCTGTACAGTCCCAGATGCAGAGCCGAAAACGCTTCTCTCTTACGACCTGTGCTACAGGTACCTTTTTAGCTGTTTGGCTCATGTTCCCAAGAAAATTCCGAATAAGTTCTTATAACATCTTGCGGCGAGTTGGAGAATACATATACGGAAAGTCAAATGGCTACTCAACAGTTCAGAGACTTCCATTTGGGCTTTATTTAAAATTTCAGGGACAAAATGGAATGTTTCGCAACGAGTTGAATGCCTTGCGAATAGTTCGGAAATATACATCCATCCCAACTCCAGATCCCCTTGACATCGTGACCGAGTCAGGACATGCAAACGATCCATTTCCGTCTCCCAAGACGTATCTCCTTATTACACGACTTCCAGGCCTGCCCTTATCGCGCTGTCAAGACGTTCTGTCAGATCGTGACTGCGAACAGGTTTCCAATCAGCTGGGTAATTATTTAGCTCAGCTAAGAGACATCCCAAAAGTCATCAATACAGACATGGCTATCTGCAACACTCTTGGTGAGGCCTGCCAAGATCCTCGAATACTTGGCGGCTTACCAGTTGGACCGTTCAAGGACGAAGCGGCATTTAGCCAAACCCTACGATACTCAGACGATTCTGCCCGCCGCGGACACAAGATTGTGCTTACACATGCAGACCTAAATCCTCGGAATATTCTTGTTGACCAGGTTACCCGGTCGGATGGAAGCCGTGGCTGGGTGGTGACTGGGATTGTGGACTGGGAGACGTCGGGATACTACCCTGATTACTGGGACTACACCAAGGCCATGTTCGAGGGATTCAGATGGTCCCGGAGGTATAATGATATGATAAGGAAAGTTTTTAGGGAGTTTGGTGACTATTCTAAGGAATATGATGTTGAGAAGAGGAGCTGGGAGTTAGGTGATGGTGTGTAACATTGGCTCAGTTAATAACCTACGCTCCATCGCCTTGGTACATGTAAATAATCAATTATCATTGTGTACAGAACTTGTATACCGCTTCTATAAATACATTTAGTTAGAGACAGGTATATAATACCCCTACCGCTACATGGAGCCTCCTTCCTAGTGTCAAACATATTTCTTTGTTCAAAGTTTCAAGATAATACTAGCCCTATATAATATTGATTGTTCCCAATATCGAATGTCGGCGGCAAGCTGGATTAGGGCTGTTAGTCGCCAATCATCCCACTAAGAGGGCATGCAACTGATGCTTCAAACCGCCGAGATAAAAATAGCATTATATAACTATAATCGCTATTAAATATACAATACGTCTTCCCTTTAATAAACATAGAAGTAATTATTTTCTAGCAAAGCCATCCAGTTTTAACATGGCCGTCGCCGACATTCAGTCTATTACCATTCCCCCCTCAGCGCCACACACGCATACCGTCGTCTTTCTACACGGCCGCGGCGACAATGCACGCAACTTCGTCGCCTCGCTGAGTCGCTCACGCACCTCCCAGGGCCAAACCCTGGCCGATGCCCTCCCCTCTTTCCGCTGGGTATTTCCACAGGCCCCGATGCGTCGATGCGCCAGTTCTCCCGACACCTGGCCGCAGTGGTTCGACGTCTGGAATGTGCGAGACTTTGCCGAGCGCGAGGAGCTGCAGGCTGAGGGGCTCAAAGAGGTCGTACCAGCTATCGAAGGCATCCTGGCCAGTGAGGCAGGACAGCTTGGAGGACGGTGGGACCGAGTCGTCCTCGCGGGGATCAGTATGGGCGCCGCCACTAGCGTGCATACACTGTTCAACCTAGACGCGCCTTCGCACGGCGGCGGCAGGCTTGCTGCGTTCCTGGGCTTTTCAGCCCGCTGTCCGTTTGTCGGCAGGACGCTCTTCGAGATGCGGCGTGTGCTCAGCCTGGCTGATGTCCCGGATCATGATAATGTCCTTCGAAACACCCCCATGCTGCTCGAGCACTGCGTCGATGATCCGCTGGTTCTGGTTCAGAATGGTCGGCTACTGAGAGATGCGTTGCAAGAATACGGTGCGCAGGTGGAGTGGAAGGAGTATCCAGCTGGAGGACACTGGTTCAACTCGCCAGCTGGCATGGACGATGTCGTTGACTTCATCAAGCTGCACGTCGTGGGAGTTGCTGCATAACGATTACAGATACATGCATGATATACGATGGTGTCACATGGTTGGATGTTCCTGTGACATTGCTATTAATCAAAAAATCATTCAATTGTTGCATTCACCTAACTTATAGAATTAGTTATGATTATTTATATTATTTTCTGGTTTCTTGATGCTGGCCTGTAATTGGCTGCTCTATCGTCTCCACCCATATAATCTTCGCGCTCCCGTCCGATTTTTCTCTTCCTCTCCTCCTCATACATAAAACTCCAGGTCTTGATACCCTTGTGGACGAGCGAGCTCCGTTTATTCCTTGTTAATAACTGCTCGAAGATCTTGTCTGCAAATTTAGACAATTAGACCGAGATTGATGAACAATGCTTGTTACTAATCCCGACAATCTCTCGCCTTTTCTTCTGTGCGCTGGCCGGGTTCGCTTATAGCATACATTACAATCTTCTTTATCTCATCTTTCTCGCATATATGGATGATCGCGAGGCATTACTCTAGTGATAGGCATACCTAGAGCCGATCAATATTAGCTCGAAAATAGGAAGCGAAATTGAATCTTCTGATATTGCCACAGACACGCGATCGATCGATTCTGCTGAAACGACGAGCATGCCATTCTCTCCACCCCGCTCTCACGCGCGCGATCTCCCACACAAGGAATCAATGATATCGTAATGCGTGGTATCGATTACCGTGACTACAGCCGCAACGGAGCGGACCGAAATAATTTCTACATTGGCTATCGATGCCCATTGCGCGTCGCGTTACCCGTACCAACTAACCATTTAGCACAACAAAACAACACAAAAAAGCAAGGGAAATGAAAAAGAAACGGCACATTCGAAGTCTTGTCTGTCCTTTCAATGACGGTTGAGGTCAAAATCGTGCCGAAATTGAGATTGTTTAGGAGATTATTATTATTTCTCTGATACATATCTCACTCGTGTTACGTAGCCTTTGGATATAGAATTCCCAGATTGGGCTTTACGTGTCAAAAGAGAGAGAGAGACATAAACATAGTATTATTTTGATTACACATAAGTCACATGTTAGGGTGTTTTACGTGTTTGGAGCTGTAGTTCCTGGGTGGGTTGTGTACCACCGACATGTGGCAAGACTTGGTAATAGTATAAACTACATACACATACGTCAGTGAAGATCAATCAATCAACATCCCTCGAAGACTGGATTATACGTAGTCTGTAGTTGACCATTGTTGAATGTTTTAGCATCGTGGAAGAATGCTTAAGCAAGGGACAGCACAAAACTCGTCTCTCCTAGTCTGATCGATCATCCCTTCTTCCTCAAGAATGCGCTATGGTTTGGATATTTCTAAGGCCATTATCACTCATCACTTGATCTGCTCGTTTAGGGTTCCTCGTCTATATGTAAAGGAAAACGGAAATAGTGGAATTCGCTGAAATAATCGTGATTGATTAAGCGTAATACGCCATAACATTGTGGTAAACATTATACTTCACTGATATCAAATATACATTAAAAAAGCAATAAAAATGTCCATAGAAGGGTGGCAGGCCATCGGGAAGAATTGACGATCAATAACAAAGAATATCTAATCGCGTGTATTGTCTTCCATACTGCCTAGATTGATACCCAGGGATGTGAAGTTGCGCGAAAATTGCCTCCATTCCAGACAGATCAACATCCCGTGTGAAAATTCCAGCAGTCTAGCCTGTTATTTAAGGGGCACATTTCTCAAGCTCTACGGATACATGTAGCAGGAGCTATATAAAGCCGTCTAATTCCAGTCCGGTCTTTCGTAGGGGTTTGGTTCTTGTCATCATCGTTCTCCATTATCTTCCTACTCTTCTCCTGCAATCGGGTAGTGTACTCAGCAACAACGCTCCAAAATGGCTCACTTCACTCTCTTCCACTACCTCTTCGCCATCTTCGTTGTGCTGGCCATGGTCGCCAACGCACGGCCAACAACCTCTGAACCCGATACTGCTGACCTTGCTGGGATGCTGGAAATGCTTACCGGGTCTAAATCCAACAGCAAACAGAGGGCGGAGTCAGCTGATGACGAACAGTCCGAATATATGCAGGCCATAAAGGACGCCATGGATGTTGCTTCCCAGGTATGACCCAACCAATCTTATTCTGTACTCATGAAAAAAGAATGGACAGGCTAATAGGCTGCTTCCAAGGCCACTCCTACCACTGCCGGCCCTCGAGCAACTCCTAGCGTGGCTGCCACTGCGCCTACCCAGCCATCAGGCAGTACCCGCCCAGCGGCTGAGGCTAGCCCAGCTGCAACTACACCGGCTACAAAGCCAAATGTGTTGTCGAACATTCCTCTCCTCGGACCAATGTTGGGCGATCTGGCATAAGCAAGATGTCTTGTTTTTCGATCCAATTCCTTGTCATCATTTCTTGTCATGGCAAAATCTCCTTGGTCTTTTTGTTTCGAATGTCGATCGGTTGGGTTCTCACAGAATATATTAGGGACTGGTGTTGGAAGGCTGGGTTTGACGCGGGTGTTGCTAGATAGTTGATATTTGAAAAAATAAAATAGCGTCCGTAAATCATTCTCATGTGTTTTAGGCTTCATCATTGTGGGACTTGATTATGAGATGCATAGTTGTTCTCCATCGCGCAGTTGCAGCCCAGACCTTGCTTTCACTCTTTAATTTCGTGCGGGTAGTGTCAATATTTACTGGCAAATCTTCGACTTGATATAGCCTCATTTGATCCGAGTCCAGTTTGATTGTTGCTGGCAAGACAGTCGGGCCAAATTTAGTCATCATCAGATCAACAAATGTCCATAAACTTTCGCCTTTCCATGCAGTGACTTTTATCGCAAAATGCATAGCCCGTTCCATCGTCATCTTTCTCAGTTGAATCATATTCTGTTCCTCGTTATCAGATGTCGCCTCATGACTCAACAAATATAAGAGGAACATCCAACCGGAAATATCCTTTGGATTCGATAAACACCATTTCAATGCCGGCTCAACCAACGTGATCGCGAGATCACATAGCAAAGGAGAAACATCGGTGACATCTTCGGCAGCCATCCTCGTCGACAAATTAGACACAGTAGAATGAAGCTGTCGGATGTAACTAAATGCGTAGTAATTCTTCGGATGCAATTCTGCCGCTTTACAGACTATAGCAAATTCTGCAAGAATAAAATTGCGTATAGCTTCTAATGAAAGAAATATAGCTTCATGCAAAGCTGAACCTTGAAGTTTCAATCGCTCAGTCATGACCCATAAACGATGCTGCCACAGAGTAGGTGATTTTGTGTGTCTATGCAGAGGCGAGCAGACAAACGTCGTTATCAGGTTGAGTTCTCTTTCGAGAATGTCCAGAAGGCCATCCCGGTCAATGTCGCCTTCAGCGATATATTTATCAATAGACGCTTTCACTAGCCGCTTCCTCCAGTTGCATGCAGTTGTATGCTCGCAATCGAATAGCAGAATGACAGCGGGGATAGCAGCAAATTCTCCTTCAGCCTCCAGCGACAAGGAGCTGCTCCCATTTAATCGAGTGACATGGTGCAAGAAGTTTTTTCTCGCAACAATGAATGCCTTGACGAGGGCCGACTTGGTGATGCCGATGAAGCAGCCATCCCTCAACAGCGGTCCTTGTCCTGGCAATAGAATCTCGATCTCCAGGACATCATTGGACTTTCTGGTATAGAATATTTCATGCAAGGATTTGAAGATATTTTCTGGGGATGGCGAGGACATTTGTGCTCTTTTGGAGTATTTATGGTGTCGTGCGGAAAGAGCAGCGGCGCGCTCGGCATGACTTTGCTCTCGCAGTTGGCCAGACGTCATTCTTTCCTTCCACCGATCCAGTCGCCTCCAGCTCTTGTCGTTTACCACGCCTCGCCATGATCTAGCTTGGCAGATAATAAGCCCAAGGAATCAGAACCTCGATCGGATGTCAGTCTAAAAGCCGCGATCCAGCCTTTACACCGCTCCCTCCCACGGCGACCGATACTCAACCTGGTTGTGCGGTTCTCTCTTTACCAATCCTGAAACAACATCACATCGCACACCGCAAACTCGCAGACTGGCCTCGAAATGATTTCCCTTCTGTTGCTCGTATTCCTGGTACATTTGGCCATCTACATTATCAACACGATTGGCGCAAGCACGGTCGATAATCTTGTACGTGACATCTAGAACTTGACAGATGCTCGAAGCTAATCCGATGACACTTTATAGTTATGGCTACTGTACCTTCGGCTCCCTACCACTTTACTTCAAGATTCGCGAAAACACCAGGAACTCAAGCGAGATGTCGTGCAGTTTAAACGAGAGATGAACGCTACAAGCTCACAAGACGAATTCGCCAAATGGGCCAAACTGAGAAGACGACATGACAAGGCTCTTGACGAATACGAAGCAATGAGTCAGTGTATTCCACAGGACCTGGAAACTAGAATTCAAACTAATAAAATATTATTGTATAGATCGCTCCATCGGCGCGCAGAAGACTTCGTTTGAGTGGAAGGTCAAAACAGCTCGATGGATAAGCACAAACGGATTCAAGATTTTTCTGCAGTTCTACTACTCCAAGACTCCGATATTTGATCTTCCTCCAGGATGGTTTCCTTACCCGGTGGAATGGATTCTTTCCTTCCCGCGCGCGCCGCTTGGAACTGTGAGTATTCAAGTTTGGGGCAGCGTGTGTGCGACGGTCATCCCTCTCTCCGGCGACATTGTGACATCGGTGGTGCAAAAGATCGTACCACCACAGGCCATCCCAGCTGGAGGCAAGTCAGAGGCGCCCAAAAAAGAGTTGTAAATTATTAAAGCTCAAAATGTGATATGGAATTGTAATGAAAAACGGCTGTGATGGAGTAATATTTTATTTTCCTACGAAGAAAAGAAGTCTATGTAAATTTTGAGTTCATCAGATATTGTTGATAATCAGGTCTTCAACGGTCCTTGCACGATGGCCGGATCCTCTGTGCTTGACTCTATGATTGTTATATCATCACGCGAACGAGGAATAATTGGACGACATTCATCTAAAGACAAGTCCGGCCCCTTCGACAGAGCATCTGCGCGGAAGGATCTGAAAGAATTTTCAGTCCATCCAACCACCGCTTTCCATAAGCTACAGACTCGGGAAAAAAAGATGAAGCATGGACTCCTCGCCTCAAGAATGAGCCCCATTGAGTTACCAGTTCGAAAGAAAATTCTTACGAACAAGCAATCGCATAACTATCGAACCTCGACGAATAGCAACCCCCTTTTGAATATCCTTCTCTCCCACCCCAACCAAATGCCATTGTATCCACAGTAAAGTGTCGCAGTAGTTGAGGAAGAAGGAAGGAAATAGAGGCGTCAGCCGCTATCGAATTGCTTCTATGGCGGCGCGTTTCCGCATTGCCTGACGAGAACCAGTGACTCCGAGGAGACATGGGCAGGGTGTCCGGGGACTTTCTCCCAAAGCTAGATTAAATAAAAAGAGGTATGGAGATACACTCTTGTATGTGAGCTTTGAATGCGATCCTTTGAGCGAGGAGTTGCTTGGAGAAAAATTGCAAAGATGGGCGAAGAAGAAAGCATTTTGAAATTTCAGCCGAGAGTGCGCTAGGCCTATTGCGGATAGATGCAAATGGTGCAAACAATAGCATTCATCAGGACATGGATGACCATTTATTTGCATCCTCAGGCATGTAAACAATGAAATTTATTACTTACAACGGCTCTTCCAGTAACTGTCGGGCGGCCTCCATCCAAATGCAGCCAGCTTATTCCGCGTATCTGCGATACTGGCCAGTTTGGTCAATTCAACAAGTTGCAGGACAATATCAAGAGGAATTTGAGAGGCAACTGATGACAGTGTCCGTTGTGAACGGCAGTCCGCGTGGGGGTTACGAGTAGCCTGTTCAATGATTTCTTGAATTCTAGGTACAATTGTTGGGTTTTCCCACACTGGAATGGTGTATCGATCGCCATCTCCACTTAGCGCTTCACTTTCTGTTTCACTTGTCCAATCATCTGGATCTGGATCTGGATCTGAATCTGTTTCATACCCAACTTCTTTCAAAGGTGACCTGCACCAAAGCTTAGCATTTTCAGCCCAAAATTGTTCGACTGCGACCAAAAATATCTTTAGATTGGCTTCAACCAATCCAAATCCAATAACACGATCCACTAGTACCCAGCAGTGGGCGTGGATAGGATAGGCTATCTGTTCAACCGGGGCTGTCTTATTATTGTCGGGGTTCAATATATCAGCTGTCCAGTAAGAAGTACAGGACGAAGCCTCGGGATTTACCCTGCGCCAGCCGGTGCGAGCTTTATGATGATCACGGCGAAGATGAGGGACATCATTTAGAAAATCGAATAGAATCGTCTGAGTAATCCCTGATATACCGATATAATCGATATGTGGTCTATGAACGACTGTTGTCTAGGGGTCAGCATGTGTCACTTTCCTCACCACGTTCTAAACAAACAATTTGCTTACTTTCTCGATAGAAACATGTCCATATCCAAGGCCTCTTATAAAAATACATGCTCTCAATATCCTCTGCCTTGACCATATACGAACGGTCACCTCGGCGGCCCTTCTGGAGATTCTTCCACTCCTCGCGCTCGTCCAATGCCTTACTTGGAGTATGTAGAAGCATTAAAGTTCATCCACATGCTATACAACAAAGATGTGGCTGACCTAGTTTCATCATTTTTAAAACGAATTTCACGGCCAGCCAACTGGGGGTTATTAGATATATTAGAAATGAAGGATAAAAGTTCTTGCACTGTCCGAGGTCGTCTTTGGCGGCGAGAAGCACGTTACTTATATGTTGGAAAAAACGGTATGTCATGTAGAGCTGCTCATTTCTAACTTTCTCCGCAAAAACAACCTGATGGCCGATTTAACTGCAAGGAAATTGTCGGCTGGTTAGTGCAATCTGACGCGCCATAGAACAGCATTTCAGAACCGTGGTCTATATGCGTTATTCCACCACATTTCTAATAATTTACACTTATTTAGGTAGTTATAAATAATCAGTTCTCCTAATAAATCAGATCTAAATTAGATATAGTTATTAGTTATTTAAATTTTAGATTTCTTCTCTATTATAGTCGAAAATTACATTAAGAATGCAACGAGTAGAGACTACTGGCGAATGTTGGTGGGATCTCCAAGCAAGCCTGTCAATTAAATTAACGTATTACCATTCTCCTAAGGACTTACATTCACCTATCATATTCTATTCCAAAGTAAAAGCACCTAGCAAATGGTAACAATAATTATACAAATGTAACCACCATGTGATCACTCTTTAGGGGGCTAGAATTAGGGTTAGGACTCTTGTATGTTATAACATGGTATATGTATTTGATACATACGTAATTTTATACCACGCTAGTTGAATTTGGGGGCTAAATCTGAGTACAAATCGCCGTTTTATTGAATTGATAGGATCTTTTAGGCCTTGGCTAATGCTGGCTACCGAGCTGATCACTTCGTAATACTAGGAGTAGTGAGTGGTCTAAGCCCACGGAGGTAAACCACGCTTAGATAGCACGTTGACGTGTAACTTATATATACACCTGCCCCGCTACTGACTACTATATTTGTTTACAAGAATTGAAGATCGCTTGACAAGAAGAAAAAAACCACTCCCTTTTCATCTCTCATCTCTTACCCCTCCTAACTTCTATCCTGCAATTACTTATTCACTATCACAATGGCCTCCACAGAGCCAAGCACAATAGAGAAGCCGAAGATAGGCAGTCGAGACAAGAGCGTCGGCTGGTACATTCCTACACTAGACAACTTATCGCCGACTCAATGGGATCTATTAGAGAACTACGGCAAGATACCGCACGACCGTGTGATACCGTCGATTCTAGAACTGGTTTGTTTCACCTTCCGTCTATACATTGTACCAACAACAATAAGATAACGTAACCATCCAAACTGACCCTGGTTCTACAATAGCGCGACCGAGCGTGGGAGGTATATCCCTTCCCATGTGTCGGCCAATTCCGATTCATCGAGCTCAGTCTCTGCGACATGCCATTGTACCCCACGATCCTGCAGCGGATTCAGAACGGGGGCGTGTTTGTGGACGTCGGATGCTGCTTTGGGCAAGACATCCGCAAGCTAGTACACGACGGCGCACCCGCGAAAAACACCTGGGGAGTTGAGCTGGTAGGGGATTTCGTTGATCTCGGATACGAACTCTTTAATGACGCAGCCACATTGGAGTCGCATATGCTGAAAATAGGAATATTTGATGCCGAGGGAACATTAGACCAATTGACGGATAAAGTTGATGTTGCGTATCTGGGGCTCTTCTTGCATCTTTTCGACTGGGATGAACAGAAAAGGGCGTGCCAGAATATCGTTCGGCTTATGAAGAATGAGCCCGGTGTTGTGATTCTGGGCCAACAGATTGGGAGTGTGACGGGACACCAGCTGCCCAAGGCAATTGGGACTTCTCCAATTTACAAGCATGATCCTCCATCGTTTGAGAAGTTGTGGAAGGAGGTGGGAGAGGCTACAGGCACGGAATGGAAGGTTACTGCAGACCTGGATTTTGGGTTAGGAGCTGCTAATTTCAAGGATAAGTGGGGTGATTCAACGACTCGTCGGCTGGTTTTTGAGGTTGAAAGGGTTCGTTGAGAAGTGAGCTGTTAAAGGACTGCACCTATGCTACACTGTAGATCAAGCTTCAGATCAAATATAACCAATTCGTCTTGATTCTTTAGACTAAATATAGGTAAATTGCTGATACCTTGCATTATCTTCTACATATCAGCGTTTCAGGAGCGATGAATTTTAGACCCTACAGAAATTTCAACTGGAAGACCCGTCACGGTGTTTGAGGTTAATCTGTTGGGAAATCTAGCATTTCACATGAATAATATAATAGCATGAGTAGGTATGAATCGCTAATATTCAAATATAAATGCTGAAAAAGACAAACATTCCAACGTGAGTAATAACAACAAGACGACTATACAGCACATGCCGATGCCCTAGCCAGCTAGAACCCGTCGGATACCACCTTAATTACTGACACAGTTGAGTAAAAACCGATAACCAGGAGCTACCATATCCTCCCACTTCTGCGTGCCCTCCTGGAGATCTAAATCAAAGAGATGCCGGCGACCCTGCAGAGACAAAAACTCACAGCTCACACCGCGTGTATGCATCTCAGCTACAAATCGCTCGGCAGCGGGAAATGGGGCCACCTCGTCTTGGGAACCGTGGATGATGAATGTCGGCACCGTGTACTGTCCGGCACGAAGCCGTGCAAGCGGACTGACAGACGCTATATGAGCAGGCGACGGTGGTGTCAGATCTAGGCCGCGAGAGGGGCCAAGCCCGTTGAGTAAGACGGGGAGGGCGATGCCTTGTTGCGAGAGCGTGAGAAGAAGCTCGGAGCGCGGCTCGCCTTGGACCCAGCCCAGTTCAGAACTATCGCTGCTGGAGGCAGTGTTTGTAATCTAGATGAAGTTAGATCCTCCTAGGCGTGGAGGAAGGAGGAGGACTCACGGGTTTAGCGGGCAGAGATGACAGAATTTGCTCGAGACTCATCTGCGGCTTGGGCATGAACATGAAGCGTGCGGAATCGAGCTCTGTATATATATGATTCAAAAATTAGCACAGTTCTTGCATGCATCAGAGTTGGCTGTGAGAGGGATGCTTACCTCCAGACTCAAAGTCGACAGGGGCATAAAAGCTTAGCACTGCCTTTGGTGGCGGTATGCCCGCAGCTTCGGCCATCCATCCCAACGACATAGCCAGATGGCCACCAGTCGACCATCCTACCACTACCACCTGGCTCGGATTGAGTTGTATACCAACCTCTGCAAGGGCTATTTTCGGTAGCACGGTCCGGATCCATTGGTATGCATCACAGACATCGGTGATTGGTCCATCAACGAGGTTGATCTCAGGGCAGAGTCTGTAGTCAATACTGACTGGAAGGAAGCCTTGTCGCAGGAGATGGCGTGTCTGCGCCGCACGAATCGCCCTGCGCGATAGTAGCATATGACCACCGCCATGGATCATTAGGGCTAATTAATCGCGATGTCAGTAAAGTGATACAGCGCCGTACGTGAGATAAGAAAATGGGATGCGAAATCTATCACATACCGATTGGCAGAGACGACGAGGGGGTCTGTTTGGGAAAATAAACATCGGCGTGGATCCGAACTCCGTCAATTTCCTTATAGACCATTGTCTGTAGGCGATAGCCGCTGTCTTTCTCTGGGACAGGGGTAGGGATTGTTCGCATTTCCCATGACATATTACTTGCCACCAGTAGCTGCGCCGTCTGAGCCTCAGGACAGTCACCGGTTGAGTATCCCATGGAGGAAAATCCCGCCTCAGCGAATGTGTCCATCCACTCCGGCGCCGTCTGTAATGGTGCGATGGGACCATCTGCCAACCACCAGCCATCGAGAAGCCCGAAGCAGATATCGCACCAATTGATGTGGCAGGTAAGTTCTGCAAGCACGACAAGACCCCCGGCGGGTGTGAGCGCCTCACACATACGACGAACCGATGCGGTACGGTCTGTAGTGGCATGCACGGTGTTCGTGGCCACCACGATGTCGAATTGGCCACGTAATTCAGGGCGAATATCGTCTTCTAGGTTGAATGTGGTGAACTCCATAAAAGGGTATTTCACCTGGAACCTGCTCTTAGCTTTCTTGACCAGACTGGGCGCGATGTCGGTAAACATGTAGTCTGTTGCGATGCCAGCATCGGCCAACGCCTTAGCTAGCCATCTGGTCGTCCCGCCGGTGCCTCCTCCGGCCTCAAGAATGCGCACAGGTCTTCTGTGGCTGTTTCCACTTCTTACTAGGTTCGTGAGAAACTCGGAGAGTTGGTCTGTCAGTGTAGACGAGATGGGGGAGGAGCCGTAGTAGTCTTCCATGATTTTCAGGGACGCAGGGCTCCCAAACATGACTGAAACCGAGTCAACTTTTCCACTGAGGCATTCAGCAAGTCTCGGACCTGTCAGACCCATCAGTTTGGTTTCGTTGCTGAACACTGGAAATCGGGCGTCGAAGGCTTGAAGTAGTTGCGAGGCTGGCCGGTTGTCGATCTGTTGACTTGTGCGGGTTATAGCCTTTGGCATATCTCTTGCATCCCGAGATGTAATGACTATCAGACCTTGTCTTTCCAAGATCTCCCAAAGCCGGCGCACGAGTTTATCGTATTTTGGTGTGAGGTAGGGTACGAGAGGTACCTGCTCCCCGGGGGCGAACTGCCTGAGGTCGACCCCTACGCCAGCAAAACCTTCGACGATGTAGGCAAGCGTCAGTTCGTCTTGGAATGGCGCAACCTTTGACCAGTAGTCCAAGATTCCGTGCTTGCTTGCAAAAGATTCAAACCGCGCGTCTAATGCTTTCAGTGCCTCGAAGGGGTTGTTTTGAAATATGGTATCGTGTACCGAAGCGGTTGGGTTTGTGATCGATAATAACGTGTCATTATTCTTTACTTGGTGTTTAGTATCACCGTGATCTGTGTTCGCTATGCCCAAAAGTTTCATAATATGCTGAACCGTGCTACCTGGAGCCAATTCAATATTGACGGAGAAATTATCCTCGATCTCCTGTTTCAGGTCAATTGTGGATAAAGAGTCAATACCCAGATCATCCAAAGACGTTTCGGGCTCAACGTCCTCGAGTTGGACACCCAAAATCTCGGCCAATAGACCAAGGAACTTCTCCCGCTTCGGATCATGAGCGACTTGTGTAGTACTTTTAATGGCATGAGACTTTTTACTTCCGAAATCATGTGAACTCGATTGGAATTCAGGTGGAGGTGTAATAGGAGGTGTTAGAGGTCGGTTCGGAGTCAGACTATGGCCCTTATGCTGAATGCCCAGGAGTTGATCAAGCCCGGCCAGCGTGCTATCCATCAGATTCTTGGAGCTGATAGTTAAACCCAGTGTGGAGGATAGCTCCTCAGACAGTTCGGCAGCGCCAAGCGAATCAAGTCCTATGAGTCCCAACGCTGTGGTTTCTGGGATATCAGAGCTGTCAATGCCACTGCATTCGGCGATGAGGTCTCTCAAGGCCAAGCGTGTGTTTTCGGGTAGTCCATCTGAGACCTGCGAGGCCGGCGAGCTCGTGTTTGGTGTGTTGATGAAGTCCCGACTTCCTGGAGTGCTTGTGACGGTGGCCGATGCTGCTGGTGTGATATGTGCAGTTGTTACCGCTTTGTGGGAGGTTTTTGATGTCGAGAATGCCGCGTCGAGCACTCTCTCAAGCCGCGAGACAGGAAGCTTTGTCATACGGCAGCCAGTGAAAAGAGCAACCAGCTCGCCCTCAGGCGAACAGACAAACACATCTCCCACAGACTGCTGCAGTTGGTCGGTGAAGCTGGCATAGACGCGCCAGTGTGCGACGTCTTCGGACATGGCGAAGGCAGGAGACATGACGACACGGTCGAGTCCCACCATGACCGCGACTTCCTCGTTTGGCAGAGTGTCGCTGGTGTTGATCAGCAGTCCGACCACATGCACACATGCGTCCACCGTGACTGCATCGCATATCTGCCATGCACTGCTGTCCCCGCGGTGCGGCTGCTGATCTGGGACCTTGACTGTGGCAAGCGCTTCGTGCTGGTCGAGCTCAATAGTCTCAATACCCTTGAAGCATCTGTCGTATGTTACAACACGGGAAAACAGACCATACGCACGTTTCGACAACAACATTTCTTTCTGTGAGTTGTTCACGAAGCGCCGCATATCCCCGGACACGAGGCGCTGGAAACTGTCTATCATGGGGTCAAGAGAGAGAGAAATCATCCCGTCCGCATGTGCTGTCTCGGTGGGTGCCAGTCTTCCCTTGGCACTGATCGATGTGCTAGAAGACAGGATATTGAATTTCCACGTCTGATTCTCGCCAGGAACTTCCTCGAGGCGTAGGAGTACCACGTCGCCTTGAGGCTCGACACTGAGTGGATGGCTGACACGCAGATTCTTGAAAATGAGACTTCTGCCTTTCATCACCTGATGAGCATTCCCGGCTGTGCCATGTTTGTCTTCTAGCAGTAGGAGTAATCCCATGGTCGTACACTCCATATACAAAGGCGCAGGACAGAGAGGGCGTGAGCACACCACATGCCCACTGACCACGCTGCAGAAACGAGCACTCTCAGTGTTGATCACAAATTCAGTACATCCAGTATCTATGACAGAGGGGTTCGGTCTTCTCGCTACAAGAGGCGGCGGTGGTGGAGGGAGTGCTTCGGTTTCCTTAGAAGTTCGGCCTGATGCTGTCATGTTTTCGAGGCGGGATACCTCCTGCTGCATTTCCACAGCCTGGTCAATATGATCAACCCAGTGCTGCGTCTTCGCAAACTGATAAGGCGGGAGCCATACTGAGCGACATTCCCGAGGATGTTTGAATGAGGAGAGAAAAGCCCAATGGCTTAAGAAAGTTCCTGTACGCCAGAGACCTGCCACTGTTTCGGTTATCACATCAGTCGGGCGAGGGCGACCTTGGGTCTTGATGGTTTGGAAAATGTGCTTGTTGGGCTGTGCGCAAGCTCGTCGAACCATAGCTGCGATAGGCGTGTTGACACCGGCCTCGAGCCAGAGACATGATGATCCCAACGCGGCCTCAACTCTACGGACAGCATTTCCAAAGAATACAGGCTGACGCATATGCCTTGCAACATTCTGATGGTTTGATTCTGGGGTCTCAGTGCAGGTATGTAGGGGAATATTAGGCTCGTTCCATGTGAGGGACTGTGCAACGGTTTCCAGGTCAACCAAGATAGGTTCTGTAAGAGCCGAGTGGAAGCCGTGGCTAGTATGGACGCGCTGGAAGCGGACCCTTTGAAATTGAGGCTGTTTACGTAGAATCCTTTCCGTTGCCTCTATGGCATCCACGGCGCCGGCGATAACGAGTGATGTTGGTCCATTATAACAGGCGATTTCAAGCTGTGAAAGATTAGTATGCTCCTGTCTTACCAGGGCGGATATCTCAGCCCATTCATCCATATTGCACTCCAAAGCAAGCATGGTCCCCTTTTCGGCGCCCCATTTCGTTGCTATCAGATGCCCCCGCGTGGCAATCAGCTTTATACTGTCAGCCAGCGAGAGCACTCCCGACACAGCAAGTGCTGTGAGCTCACCGAGACTATGACCAATGAGGGCTCTTGGCCGTGCTCCCGCATCAATCCAGCATTGGGCACTCGCGTACTGAACAGCGAATATGCCACATTGCAGTGCTGCAATATCGTCGACGGGGTTGTTCTGGAAGATGGCTGGAAGAAGAGAAGAGTTGCCCAGCTTTCGGAACTCAGTATCACATTCTTCGAGATACGACCGGAAAACAGGAAAGCTGCTGGGAAGGCTCTCAGGAAGGGATATTGTACTGCTGATTTGGCCGCTGAATACAAGCACAAGGGGTGTTCCAGTTCCGGGCCCTGATGTCGGAAGCTCAAATATCTCGGATTCACCGAGCGATTTAAGGGCTTGTACAGCTCCCTTGAGGGTATCGGCGGTAACTGACGCCGAGTATTTGTGACGCTGCCTTCGCTGGCTCAGCGTGAAGGCGACGTCGGCTAGGAGTAGTGAGTTAGAACCCGATGCTTTCTGGTCTAAATATTCCCCGAGAGCCTTGGCATTCTCCACGAGGCTTGTCTTGGACGTTGCCGTGACCGGGAGGTGAAATGATATCTGTGAGGTTGATGGTGATGGCTGTTTCGAAGAATACTGAGGCATTTCACAACAGATAAGAGCACCGTTGGATCCAGCAGCGCCGTAACTGTTTACCAACGCTGCGCGGAAAGGGGCATCCCAGGGTTGCAGGTTGCGGGAGATGTTAATCCCATCTGGAAGTGTGATTTTGGGGTTTAGAAGTCGGAAACCGGCTTGTGGTGGGATCTGACCATGCCGCAGCATGGTCAAGACCTTGAGTAAGCCCGCTACACCAGCCGCTGGCTCGCTGTGGCCCACGTTGGCCTTGATAGAGCCTACATGAACGCTCTGCTGCGAGCCAGCATTTCTACTTCCAAAAACAGATCGAATACTCTCCATCTCTAAGGGATCGCCCACTTGAGTACCGGTTCCGTGAGCCTCCACATATGTGATCTGGTCGGCCTGTACACCGGACTGTTTTAATACAGTTCGGTAGAGGGACTGTTGTGCGCCAGGATCAGGGGCAGTGATGGAGCTGGAGAGCCCGGCCTGGTTTGTGCCCACGCCAGCAATAACTCCCAAGACATTGTCACCATCGGCCACCGCTTGCTCCAGCTTCTTCAGAACCACAAGCCCTGCGCCGTCTGCGCGGCAGTATCCATCTGCGGACGCATCAAACGGCTTGCATTGGCCTGTTGGGCTGAGGAAACCAGCCTTGGCCAGATCGAGATAATTATTCACTCCACTGATAACATTCACGCCTCCAGCCAAAGCCATGTGGCATTCTCCCGCCTGAATTGCTTTACAGGCGCGGTTTATGGCTACCATCGAAGATGAGCAGGCCGTGTTGAACATCTCAGATGGTCCTGACCAACCGTAGGTATGACTTATGCGGCCACAGACGAAGGCTGGAACGGTACCAGTGGAGGTGTACGCTGTCGGGGCATGTCCATTAGTATTCTCCATATACTCAGCCAGCACAAGGCCAATGAAGCACCCAACATTGTCGCCAGACGAGCGGTAGTACTCGGCTAGGTAGCCGGCATCCTCGAGTGCCTCGAAAGAGAGCTCTAAGGCGATACGCTGCTGGGGATCCATGTTTGCTGCCTCTCGGCTGCTGATACCAAAAAAAGCGTGGTCGAATCGCTTGACATCTTCGATAAAGTTTCCGTAGAAGGTGCGTCGTTGCGTGAGACTGCCGCTCTGCGATGAGCGAAAGCTTCCGGGTAGGTCAAATCGATCAATGGAGGAAAGCTCTTGGACGCAATTTGTCCCGTTGGCGAGCATATTCCATAATTCCTCCATGTTTCGGGCTCCTGGGAGACGACATGATGCGCCAACTACGGCGATGGCGTTGTCGGGGAAGTTGAAGGTTGGGGATGAGCGAAGGTGTTGTTTTTCTTGTTCGACCTCTGGTTCGACAAGTTCTAGATCCTTTTTATGGTTTTGCGATGAATGTTCCAGCAATATTAAGCCCTTAGCCATTGTCTTGTTGATCTGGAGGCGAAGTTGATGGAAGGGGGTCATGGTTACGCAGTCCGCCCAACCGAACACGACGAATTCGTGTTTCGATCGAGATGACTGCGCCAGGTCTTGAGCAACGCCTTTGAGCAGCTCGTACCACTCACACCGGGCAGCAAGATTGGTGATGATAAGATCATCGGCCAGGGATCCAGAAAAAATCCGCGCACCGTCCTGGTTTGATCGCAGCGGAACTTTTAGCTGCGACGTATCTGGAAGCTGCAAGTAGTTATTAGGCGCCTCTAAACATAACCGACATAGGTCCTTGGCGAGCTGAATGTTCGCTGGGTTGTGTGCGCTCCCCCCGAGATCGATCATCTGCGCGCGGAGGCCCTCATGCTCTGTGATATAGCGGAACAACTCGTTTACTGTGGTCGCCGCACCCCCGATGCTGATAGACCGCGGCCCGGTGACAGCAGAGATGTATGTGTCTGGGAAACGTCGAATTAACTCGTCGCCCTGGCCCTCGTATTTGAGTCGAACAGCTAGTAATGTTTGCGCGGCCCCGTGGTCCTCGTCGCCCGCTTCCGTGTAGGCGCCAATACCTACTGTTATTCTCATCGCCGTCGCTGTGTGTTTGATTAGCTCTGCTTCATCCTCGGCACATGCAATGCTCATTGCGGCGGGCAACCCGCCACAGTACCCATGGATACCCCCAGTGCCTTGCTGGATCTGGGCCACAAACTGCCGATGTGACTGATGGTGCGCCTCGAGATACCGCAGATACTGGCCTAGCTGCATAACCGCTAGGAGAGGAAGAGAAGTAATATTGGAACGGATCGCGGCCAGCGGACCCGAGACGCCTGTCAGCGCCCAATCTCGCAGTACGGCGAGATATACCGGGCCATGGCTCAGGGCACGCACATCAGATCGTGCAGAAGCGAAAATCTCCCAGAGTTCCGGGTCTGCCAGAGCTGCAACTTCTCTAAGGAGGAGCTTTCCATATTGGTGGTTGCTGAGAAAGGTGTGTAGTCCAGCCAGATAAGCCTCGTCAGCGGCAGTTGTCTGCGGGCAGAAAAAGGCCGCGGATACTTTGTTTTCTGCCATTGTGCTTGTGGTGGTCTTCTAGAGACTATTCAGAGGGAGGGCAGAGAAGCATGGCAAGAAGAGTGTTGAACGTAGTGTCTGTTCAAATGGTGTGTTTGTTGGGATATCAATTCGATGTAGAGAGTCGAGCCGAGTCAAGTTAAACAACAGGCAATCTAGGGCCCCCAGGATTGAAAGACGTGATCGACAAAAAGACATCATAGCCGCCCTGCCATGCATTCAAAGTGACAGTACGGAGTAAATAACCGCCCGCCCCTAGCGTGGCACAGCGCTAGCAAGTGCCACGAATATGCTAAGACCTCCGCGCAAAATTACTATCATTGCTATTCGTGAAATTGGCACTTGTCCAGCCGCACAGACCAGCAGAGGTGCAGCAGGTAAACGACAGCAACCCTAGCTCAACACAGGTCCATACCCACTACTTATCAGGACAGCTCCTAAGGTAAGGTCAAATTCGTAAATGCAGCGCTGCTTACCTGCATGGTAAATTCACTGCCCTACAGCGGAACGAGACGTTGAGTGGCCGGATGTAGTTTGTACTCCGTACCCGCTAGTCCTTAGTACTATCCGAGTTTTCTGTCGTGGGCCCACTAAACTAGCACGCCTATGGGGGCCAAAACTAACACGTGGGACTAGATCTTAATCTACTTCAGACGGAGATATTTTTATCAATCATATTCCATATTCATATTCAACATCCAACATTAAAAATATGTTTGTATGTATGCTTATACGTAAATCTGAATGGCAATGGATCATGAATCAAGCTTCATAAATCTTGATTAATTACACAAACTCTAAATAACTCTAATAATAAGGTTGTATCGTTTATCGCACTAGTATAGCTCCACCCAAAAACGACGCTAATAAGGTATGGATGGGGCGATGGCTGTATGGTAACAGTATGTAACACATACTATACTGCACTACTGCACCAGTGTCGCAGCCAAGCTGAAGCTACGATGGTAGTATGATCTGCCCATCGAGAATAGATTAAACTGATTAGTTGACATACCAACTGTCACATTAGCTTCCAGCTATTACTTACTCTGCCCCTCATCTCAGGTTTAACTGACCTTCCTCGGGGAAACTCCATGGCCACACCATACTCTCAATTCTTGAGAACAGACCAGTTGACAGCATAGAGTCGTAGACAAGATGGCCTGGGACAAACTGTCTGATTATCGCATCGTAGACTTCCTCTGGCTCTGCGCAGGAGCTTATACCCTGGTGAGCACAAACCTGACCGCTAGCTCTGTCCCGAGTCTACAAATGTTGAATATTAAATGATGATTACAAGTATTTTGTGGGCTATGCCTTGTACTTCCTCCACCTACACCCTCTCTCCCGCTTCCCAGGGCCCAAATTATGGGCAATCTCTCGCGTACCCTGGGCAGTATCAAATATCAAAGGCGACCTCTACCAAACCCTGGGGAAACTGCACGAGCAGTACGGCCCCATAGTCCGCATTGCTCCTGACGAGCTCACCACCATCTCCCCCAATGCCTGGAAGGACATCTATGTCTCGAAACCCCTGCTCCTCAAGGACCCATACAGCCAAACCCCGCCTCTCAATGGTGCCCACTCCCTCTTCACCGCCGAGGGAGCAACTCACCGCCGCATCCGTGCCGCTCTGGCCAACAGCTTCTCAGACAAAGCGCTACGAGGCCAGGCGAACATCATCGAGAACTACGTCGCTCAGCTCGTCACACGCATTCGCAGGGAAGCCGGCGATACCCAAAACCCCAGGGAAATCGATCTCACCAAGCTATACGGCTACACCGCTTTCGACACCATCACGGACCTCAGTCTGGGCGAGTCGCTCGCGCGGGGCTTAGAGGGCGACAATGAGCATGGCTGGGTCAAGAATTATTTCTTCCACGCGAGTTTCAGCGCCGTACGTATCGCGCTCGCTCGTTTCTCGCCTCTCGATATCTTCCTGGGCTTGTTCCTGCTGAGCATGACGCGCAAGGCACGCCAGCGAAACTGGAAAGTTATTACCGGCGCGCTGAATCGGCGACTGGCCAAGATGGGCTTGGAGAAGTCGGTGGAGGAGAGGGAGAAGCAACGATACGATCTCATCACGCCGCTGGTCGACCGGCTTGATGAGAGCGGGGAGAAGGGTCTGACCAGGGCTGAGCTGCTCACTAACGGGCTGGCCTTTGTCATTGCCGGCTCGCAGTTGAATACGAATATTATGGCGACGGCGACATACCTGCTGCTTCGTCATAGGGAGACCTGGGATTGTCTGGTGCGGGAAGTTCGAGGTCGGTTTGCTGATCCGAGTGAGATCACGGTCCAGGGGACGACAGATATGGTGTATATGGATGCGGTGATCAATGAGACGCTTCGTATCCGACATCCAACTCCTATCAATCTTCCCCGTGTTGTTCCTCCAGAGGGATATGTAGTAGACGGCATTGCGATTCCAGGAAATGTAAGTCCCTCTTTTTGAAGCCCAGAAATAATTGAATAAGCTGATTTATAACCTGTTCAGTCCGTCATCGGCATCAACGTTCAAAATATCCAGAATGACCCTAGTTTATGGGTTGAGCCGCGTGTCTTCCACCCAGAGCGATTCCTACCAGCCAGCGACCCACGGTACGATAGCAAGTTCGACCGAGATGTGAAAGAGGCGTTTGCGCCGTTCTCAATCGGGCCGCGAAATTGTATAGGATACAAGTATGTACAATCCTATTACCTGTACGCCTACATAGGCTCTGCTAACACTAGCAAGACTCTTTTTCGCGCAGGTACGCGTGGCTCTAGCTACGGTTGCCTGGAACTTCGACTTGCAGTGGCAGGAACCAGCGCAAGAAGAAAGCTGGTTGGACCAGAGAGCTTGGTTTGCGTTTGAACCGCGGCCGCTCTGGGTGAAGCCTGTGGAAAGAAGGTAGGAAATGATCTCTACATATGTATCCATGTATATAAGAAATGACAGAGTGGGTCATGTCTTTAATTGTACACCAAATATGTAGTCCAATTAAACTATATACATATAAAAATCAATTGATCATATCGAACAGGGTATTCCATCTATAAGAAAATAATTATATAGGATTATACCACGAGAACAACCTCGCTGGGTCATACTCCCTCTTCAGCGCCCGAAGACCAGGCAGTTTAGCCGCCGAATACAACGCCGCCGGCGACTCGTTACCATTCGCAAAATGCACGTAGGTCTGCAAATCTTTTCGTCCGCTGCCATGGTGCAACCTGTCTCGAATCTTGCGCCCATATTTTCCTACAGCGGGGAGCTGCGATGGGTTTGTGGCCACGCCGTCGATTTGGCTGCAAAAATATTAAATGTTAGCCCTATCTACCTTTCGAATACCGAAATATATCCACTTACACAAAAGACACCACGTCACGGTACGGCCATGCTGATGTTTTGGCGTCCTGCAGCTGAAAGCCGTACTGAGCGTACTGCTGCATGGCAATAGCTACACCCTGCAGTACCTCGTTGGTAGCCAGCGTCTTGTTCATGTAATTAAACACCTCCACCAGATTCGGCACGTCTATCTGGTAGAGATTAAGCGAGTGCGGAACATAATACGCACCAGCAGTACAACCACCCTCTGCGATACCGCCGTAAAATGCTTTAAACGGAATATCGGCCCATGCGACAGTCGAGATGTTCAGGTTGGCTGGTTTCAGGTCGAGGAAAGGCTGAATAACCTTCATGCCGGCAGACTGTGGGCCAATGTAGATGAAATTGGCCATGACGACCATACCCCCCATAGCAGCAACGTAGCGGGCGTCGAGGCCGATGGCGAGTTCCTTTGGCTGGTTGGAGGCTGTGAAGTTGCTGACGATCTGCCATACGGACTGGTTCAGTGCACCAGGGAAGATCATTTGCGCGAGCATGGCGTTGCCACCATTGGTGGCCGGGTAGATTCTGTAGGTGAGAGAGGTGGCGACGCCGAAGTTGAACCCGGCGCCTTTGAGGCCGTAGAATAGGTCTGGGTGTTGCGTGCTGGACACGTTCAGGAGTTGGCCGCGTCCGGTGATTATTTCAGCAGAGAGTAGAGAGTCGGACATGGGCCCGTAGAGGCCAGAGTAGGGACCGATGCCGCCACCGAGAGAGGCACCAGGGTACCCAATGCAGCCACATTGGCCGAGGGCTGGCTGTCAATTAGTATGGGTAGTATAGGGATGTGAATGGGATTGGAAGATCACGTACTGGCCTCCATGCCCGCGGCTTGCAGCGCACTGGCAAGGTCATTCGAGCTCACCGAGCCGCCAATCGTCATCGTTTTGGCCACTGTGTCAATCTCAATTGAGTTGAAAAATCCCAGATCAAGGTCAATTCCAGCTTGCAGCCTATCCAGCGACGTCGAGTAACCATGACCACTACCGGTAGCGAGAAAAGAGGCGTTGTTATGCAGGGCATATTGCACCTGACATTCATCGTCAATTGTCAATCAATAAAGTATGGGAGCGTGAAACATACCACTTTTTGCACGTCAACCGCGAGTGCCGGCTTCACGGCTACGGTATATGTCGGAGGAGTGGCGATGTTGTAGCGAGGAGTGAAGTTTTTGGCAGGATACGCAGAGGTATTCGAGGTCAAGACGACCTCACTTCCAGACGACAGCTCAGCCTGCAGAGCAAAGGCAATCTGCTGGCCGGTCAGCGCGCATACTGGCGTGGGCTGCAAAAGCCCGAGGGCCAGAACGAGAACGAGGGATAGCAGAGTCAGCATGACAAAGCCAAGTGGACCGAATTTGGCACCTAGTGGTCGCGAAGGAAAGATCAATTGATGGGGACGAAGAGTTAAAATAAAAGGAGAAAAGCATAAACTCAAAGAAAAAGCCCTAGTGCTAATTGACCTATTTTTACTGCTATCACAGCCACCAACCCTAAATGTACATGTACGATACTCCGAGTACCCTTGGATTCTTAGAAGCGCGCTTAACATGTACTTTGCTTCCGATTGTCTATTTTAATCATTAAGTAAATATCCTGCCACACGGGGTTGGCACAGCATTGCTTGCGTGCGCATGGGAATAATTTTAGACTTGTTAGTAAGAATACCACGCGTAATACCAATACGACACCACACTAGCATGAAGTAGCATGTGGAATTGTGGACACGGTCAATTGGATTTGGGAAGCCAGATCCGAAGAATTTGGCCCCCAGACGTGCCGTTGCCGCCCGTCGAAACATACAGAGAAGCAGCATCATTCGCGAGCACAACCGACGTCGGCTGCAGGAAGAGGTCCCCCTCGCCAATTGTCGTCACGACGCCCCAAGGCGTGATCTTGACGACCGACGACGGGTGCACCGCGATGTACGCATTTCCATCACCGTCGAAGCAAAAGTCGTCTGGAGCACCGTCAATGTAGGCCACTATCTCCACGGCGCCGGCCTTATTCCCGTCTTGATCAACGAGCACGCGGCCGAAGGTGGCTAGATCAGAGTTTGTGAAATACAGATACGACCCGTACATCTTCAAGCCGTTGACGCCAATGGGCGGCACGTAGCCAGCGCCTGGGCCCAGCGCCGGATCTGCGAATGCCACATCGACGGCGCTCTTGAGCGTGTCGATGCGCAGGATTCGACCCCCAATCGAGTCGGCACTGAGCACTGTGAACGGGTTGTTGGGCAGCGCCACCAGGCCATTCATGGTCAGCGTGCCTGGCACGGGGATGGTCTTGACGATCGAGTCGGTGGCCAGCGACACGACGAAGAGACTCATGCTGTTGTTCGCAAAGGCGTAGTCGGTGTGCAGCCCGCCTCCAACGGCGTACAGCTCGTGGCCGGGGATACGCGCCGACCCGGTTACGGCAGTGATGTTGCTGCTGAAAGTCGTGACTTGCTGCGCCTGCCGCGAGTTTGCGTTGGGGTTTAGCGTGTACAGCAGGCCAGGCGATACGATCGTGCTGAGGAGAAGGGTGCCATTGGGGAGGACGCGCAAGTTCTCGATGAAGTAGCTGGCAAAGCTGAAGATTTGCTTAGCCACGAGCATATTCAAATGCTGCTGCTGGCACCCTACTCTGGTACACTTTAATGTTATATCGGCTTGACTCGCCTTGCTGTCGATCAAGGCGTAACCCAGCACGAGACAGGAAGATGGCTTCGCTAGGAATAAGTACAATAAGTACCATTATCTCCGGGGAATGACTACTATTTAGCATCTGATATTTGAGTCTTTCGGACTTTCAGTCTCTTAGTGAAGTTACCCAATACGAGGGACAACGCCGTCTAGAAGTTTACCAAGGTACAACAGTGGAAGAGCTCGTGCACTGCAGTGGAGCGTCAGTTTACCAATGTCTTATTCCGTCTTTAACAGATCCCGACAGAACTACATCAATTGATACCGATGGCCATTGGTATTTAGCTAGAGTCGGGTGGATAAACATTCTCATGTGTGTACATGCTACATAGGTAAATATACATTCAATGCTGCATACGTATTGATCCGAGTACAAAGCACTTCTATGCTTCTATTAACCATCAAAAATTAAGTCTGCGTATAATAATATATTATAATATATATGTTACACAACACCCCCAATCACATACCTTGCAGCACCACATGGCCTTTGCCTCGTGCCAATATGCTTATACGAACTACGTATGTTGCGGCGCGCCATCCCAATGCTAATTAATCCTTCAGACTTACACACGACGCGGCCAATCCCGACCACCACAAATCCCCGAAGCTCGACTGCTAGTCTTAATTTTAGTAGTATACTAAGTGCAATTAACACCCCACGTCCGCTCTTCCACTCCCAAGTTCCACGCAATTTGACCGACTCCAAGATCCACTGTAAAATACAGAAAATACGGTGCTAGCGCCGGAGGTGTATACGGGTGAAACAAGTCTGTATACTATCAGGGCCGGTTTGCACTTTCTGCTCATCGTCTAGTGCGTATCAGGCTTACTACCAACGCCACACTGACACCCTGTCACGATGGTTGCGATGGCGATACACATAAACGGCGATCGCGGGTTATCGGGACTTCGCATATGCCGGCTTCAGCAGTGTACATTATACATTTATTGTATTGTGTGCAGTAGGGTGGGTAGAATATGTACAGTAGATGTGGCTGGTAGAATACATGCTGTAAAGATGAAAATGCAAGCCCACAAGAAGGCTGAGCACGTAAGATATCATAAATCATACTCAGGTATAGAAAACGCTCAAATGGAAAAACAAGTGAGCACGGTCAGGTCTGTAGAAACTCCTCTCAAACGAAGCTGCTCTGTGCAGTACGGGAGATTTCCACATTGCGACTCACACTGATCGCTCCCATCGGGATCGGAGCGGGGTCCAGATAATTTTCATCACTGGATCGTTTCTGTCCGAGCGCCGCCGTGCTCGAATACAGCTGGCTCTTTGCGTTCCTGGAGTCGACGTCGCTGTAGCCAGAGCGAGATTGACTCGACGAGTCGGAGCGGGTTGAGAAGAAGCTCCTGAAGAGGGACCCGAAGGTGGTGTGTTTCAGGGAGCGGTTGACAAGTTGGCCGATTAGAGGCGAGCAGAGGGCGAGGATGGCCAGGGGGGCTTCGAGCATGGAGAGAATGAGGAGCGGAACGGTTCGCCCTGGGGATGTTAGTTGGGTTTGGTGATTGTTGGTTGGCATTGTGGGGGTGTACTTACAGGTTGGGTCGGCGTCAGGTTCGGTGCTCATCACGGTGGGATTGCGGACGATAATGATGAAGCGCGCAAAGGATAAGAACGCTGAGCTGTAGCCGAGAATGAAGACAAATACGACGGAGATTTTCCGACGAAGCGTCATTTGCATGCGGAGGATAGATGGTAGGGGAAGGAGGAGAATCGCCAGATCGAAGAATGCGTTAATAAAGGCCGAGGCATAGAACCATGGCATACGGTTGAAGCAGACACCTGGTTCGAAGAGATTGAGGGTCTTGGAGACGGGTGTGCAGTTGAACCATGGAATGATCGCTGTGCAGATAAACCAGGCAGTGACGCAGGCGCCGAAGCCCCAGAGGATAGAAACAAAGGTGCGCGAGACCTGGAAAATTCGGGCGTAGAGCAGGAGGGTTGTGATCTTGATCAGCCAGATGCACACGGCGTAGAGCAGGATAGAAGCATGGCTTATGTTGTTGTTGGGTACTGCGGCCGAAAAGGGGACTGTGAGGAAATGCTTGCCCAGTCCATAGTTGGTCCAGGCGATGTTGAGGGAGAGAAAGCCGTGCGATACAATCAAGGTTGCGAGGATAGTCCAGTCATCCCACCAAAACATCAACGCACCGGGGCGGGCCTGTGAGCGGGCGATGAAGCGCAGCACGACGGCGATAGTCGAGATGGCGATTCCCACTACAGCGACGGCGATGATTTCGGGGGCGCGGTCACCCTGGATTTGAGCCGGTTCTTCGATGGCCATGTCCAAGCCAGTGGCTGGCACAAGCCGGAGCTTGTAGATAAACAATATGTAAGATTCACAGAAATCCAGGAGCAAGGAAGAGCTGGATTTGATCGGGCAACCTTTGTCATCTGTCTTGTGAATGTGTTGGCGGATGACTGGCGTGCTGGCGCATCCTCAAGGCTTCGACAGCACACAAGACGACGGAATAACGGTTGGTGGGAAGGATGGCCTTGTCAAAACGTATTTGACCAGCCTGGATGTCCATGCAAAAATTAAGATAACGGGAGGATTGTCATCTTCAATCCCGAGTCAGCGTCCTGCCCCAAAAACCCCGCCCTAGACGGCACTGAAGAATCGTGTAAGGGATGTATGGAATCAATTGGCGGCCTGTGATTGGATGCGTCTGCTATCGAGAGCAACGTGTTGTCGTTTTGGCCCCAATTGTGCTCGACCGCTGCTAGTGGCGTATGCGTATCGTATTCTTTCAGGCTTCATCACTCGGCACGCGTAGCCCCTCGTGAGATCAGACTCGGACTAGACCAGACCAGACCCGGCTCAGCCTCGAATCATGGCTCTGGGTTACATCCTTGAAGCCGACTAGTAAATAGTAAAGTAGGGCAATTATAGACGGCGTTTCTAGTCGTTTAATTCCGTCAGGTTAAGGCGGTACGTAGTAACTTTTAAGTACGCAATGTTCTCTTGCGTACAGCGCCGTGCCCCAGGCGCTTTAAGCTTAATAGGGAGCAGATCATCGCGCCTCGCGAGTCAGTACTCAGCGTGGACAGCGAGTCAATTGCGCAACATATGAAACGGTGCCAGGTAATAATAATAGAAACTGAAAGTTTATATGGCGCAAATTAAGTAATAGGGCAAACCTTACAGCGCCGCGCTGAAGATCACTAGTTAAGCTTTCTGCTCAGCCAGCGCCTTCTGCCCAATGCGGACCATGTCATCGTTGCTCAAGGTGTCCTTCTCAAAGCCATGGACGACCTGGCTCAGCAGAGCCGCGGCGATGTCCGTCAGCTCGATGTGAGGCAGGCCTGGGATCTCCCTTTTCGGCCTGCTGGGCGAGTCGATGAGCCCGGGCTTGACGACGCAGGCCTGCACTGCGCCATTGGACTGCTCGCCGTATCCGAGGATGAGAGTCTCAGCCTCACCCTTTGGCTGTTAGCACGTACCGCTTTAAATGTATATCTAGGAGTTTGGGCGTATATGTAGGTGTGGTGTAGGTGTAGGTGTACATACCCGGACCAGGCCGTACTTGATCATGCCGTGGGTTTTCAGCTGCTCTGGCACCTCGTCGATGCTGCGGGGTGCAAAGTGGCCGCTCATGTAGAGGAAGCGCAACGGTGCACCCTGCTTGGTGTGGAGGGAGTCCAGAGTGCGGATGGCGACAGTGGCGTAGTCGCGGGATATCTTAACCGTCTCCTCAAAGGGGAGGGTCTGGAGGTTCATCGGCGTCACGGCGATGGTCCTATCCCATCAGTTCTATTATAGGAGATACATGTTTAATAGTGGAAAAAAGATATACCAGATACAGGCATCGGCATCCTCTAGCTCTTTCTTCACGCTGTCGGAGTAGTTCTCGAAGTCGTCTACCACGACAGACCTGAGCTTTGCAGCAAAGGCCCCGGATTCTGCCGGTGCCTGGACTTCGCGGCGGCCCAGGGCGACAATGGAGGTGATGGCTGGGTTTGGAAGACCCTGGCGAATGAGCTCGGTGCTCACGTAACCGGTCGAGCCACCAATGACAAGTTTCATGATGAATAGTCGAGTGCAGAATCAGTTACAAGTTGGTCGAGGAGTAAACTAGTGAGAGAACGCAAACAAAGAACGCGAACAAAGAACCCCGCCATGGCCAGAGCTTTATAGCTCGACCTGTCTAGGTAAGGAACTAGCCCCGGCGAGTATAGGAGGGATGGGTATGCACCATTAGTAAGAGGGGATCTGCACTATGCATTTTAGTGCATACGGCGTTAAGTACGACCTAGCAGAGATTTAGAAAGCAATATATAGGATATGAAGTACCAAGATAATAAGATATGAACAATACAAAATATAAAATGAAGTCGGTGTAGCCATATATCCACAAGCTCACACGGCAAACAGGACAAACAGGACAAACAAACAAGCAAACACCACCGGTCACATGGGCTGCCCAACTAGGCCTTTCGAGGAGTTTTGATTTGCTAATAGGCGCGCTGTCACTGGCCCGTTACCCCGGATTCCTCCATTGCAGCAATGCTCCCAGGTTGCCCTATGCCCTATTAAATACTCTAATATTACTATCCTCCAATATGAGCCTGTTAGCGACAGCATTGCGGGCCCATTCTAGACTGAGCAGGGCAGGGGCGCAGGCTGAGTCGGCCTCACGTGCCCCATTGCCCAAAGAATACTCCTGTCTCCTCTCTTGTGTCTGTCTATATTGCCGCATACCACTGCCTTCAATGCTGCCATCGCCCGTTGACAAGTGAGAAAGTTATACACGATGGACATCATCAACAACAAACTCGCCATGCTGGCCAACAGCACCTCCGCCCTCCGTAACCCATCCTCCCGCATATGCACCAACTGCAAAAAGCGCGAACCTCCCAACGCCGACCCAGACCAAAAACTCAAACGCTGCGCCCGCTGCCGAAATCGGCTGTACTGCTCTCGAGCCTGCCAGCGTGTTGACTGGAAAAGCGGACACCAGCGAGCCTGCCGACCGCTATCCATATCACTATCCAAACCTATACAAACAGTCGAGAAGAAGAGTTGCTTGGCAGGCCTAGCCGAGGACGACGCCATGGACCAGCTCATCGACGCCTATCGGCTACGTGTTGAGGACGAGAAGACGTACCGCGGGACTCTGCGGGGACGCTATGCAGAGGGCGAGGATGGCGCTGTGGTGCGGGATTTTCAGCGGTTTCTGGATTTAGCAGAGGCACGGAGAGAGCTGGATAGGAATGGAGAGGAGAGGGTGTTGCCGGACTGGTGGGATGTGCAGAAACGAGAAGAGTGTGAGTCGAGGGCGATGCAGAGTCAGGCGTGGTCGACGTTGTGGAGGGCGGTAAGCAAGAATGATATTCTCGAGCATTATCGGGATAGTGCGATGCCGATGAAGCTGCGTATGCTAGCGGAGGCAGTGTATGGATATAATGTCATGGATCAGTCACGATGATTACTCACATTTACATTTACATCTACGTTACTATTCTATTTACCCACGCAACATTTGTATGATCAACAGGCTCAGCTTTTAATGCAGTATGATACGTACATGAACAGAAGAAATCGTTATTATGATACCTAGGCTTTGGCCTTTTTGGCTTTTGCAGCCTTGTTGGTCTTGTTGGCCTTTTTGGCTGACTTGGTTGTCTTCTCAGTTGTCTCCTCCGCTTTTGTCTCAGTCTTAGCTTCGATTTCTTTCGTTTCTCTCTCCTTGGCTTCTTTTGGCGTGTTTTCGATAGTCTTCTGCTCAGACTCAACTGTTGTGGATGCCAGCGCTTTCTGGACGGGTACTTGATCGACACTCGTCAATGTCGGCAACTCGATCTCATATCCCAGCGCCTTCATCTTCTCGGCCTTGGCCAGCCGACGCTTTTCCTCCTGCTGAATATTCTTGGTCCATTTCTCCCGAGACTTGCCGCGCTCCAGATGCTGCTTGTCGATTTTATTCCACGGCACCGGCTTGAATCGACGATTGGCGCCTTTCCATAGCTCTGCATGCTGCTGTTCTTGCGGAACGTATTTGCACTTGAGAATGTGTCCGTACATCAGATAATTGTTCATTGTCTCCGCCACGATCTTGGCAACGGTCGCGGAGGCAAACTCGATAAAGGCGTAATGCTTGGAGCGGCCAGTGACGCGGTTGCGGGACAGACGCAGACGAGTGATGTCGCCGAATTGCGAAAAGTAGGCTCGCATTTGATGTTCGTAGAAACCGTGCGGAATGCGTCTATACATAAACACATATTTCGTTAGCAAATATCCTTTCTGTATTCTAGTTATATAACTTCCATAACTTACCCAACGTAAACCGTGCCCGGTTCTTCAGGCTCCTCGTTGTTCTTGAGTTTCTTCTGGATCTTTCTTTTGGTCTTCTTGGAGTCTGGGATTCGTGGGACGGGTTGTCCGTCTTCTAACCCTTCATCCCCAGACGCGTCCTCGTCGCCGCTGCTTTCGAAGCCCTTGATGAGTTCTGCAGTCTGATCATCGATCTCATCTCCGTCGCTAGACCCCTCAACCTCAACATCAACATCAACAGTGTCGACCTTGCTCTTGGTTTTCTTGCTAGCACCCTTTTCCGACTCCTGCTTTTTTGCTACCTCTACAGTCTTCTCCTCACCTTCATCGTCATCGCTTAAAAAGTCACTAGCACGTTTGCGCGGCTTGGCCTTGCGTGTTGAGTCTCCATTACTAGACAATTCCACCCCATTGCTCTCAGATACAGTAGACTTTTCCTTCAAAATCGATTTGCTCGGGGCTAGATCTGCGGATTTCTCGCTTGCCGAGACCTTTTTCGACTTTTTGGCTGGAGGGTCGGTAGGCGCGGTAGCTAAGTAGGTTAGCCTCCAATCTCTTTTTTTTTTCTCAAAAGAAAAAAGAGAGAGATACTCACCCTTGCGCTTTTTCTCCTTCTTTTCTGGTGCCATTGCACAATTAATCAATTAATATGCGTGGTTGAGCTTGAGCTGGAAGGGAGGAGGAAGATTAGCGGGAACTTTTGATTTTTTTTCTTTATCGGAAGCTCCACGCTACGCCAAGCCGGCTCTAGTAACAACTTACTGATAATAGTCCGTACATAGTTAACTACTGCACTCCCTCACTTAATATTTAGTGCCAACACCAAATCCATGGGCAAGAAGAAGAAACCCAGCGCCCTGTCGCACGAGGAGATTTGGGACGACTCCGCGTTGGTGCGCTCGTGGGACGATGCGGTGGAAGAGTACCAGGTACCCTCCACGTGATGTATACTGACTACGATTTACTGATGTATTTGTTGACAGACATATCATAGCATCCACGCCCGCGGCGAGAATGTCGAAGAGGCACTGGAGCGCGCGGAAAATGAGGGGTTAAGTGAAGTTGCTGAAGGCGAGACGATGGATACTGCTGGTCAGGATGGGGGTGGTACGGAGGTTAGATGCGAACGATCCAAGTTTGTGTGTAGAGCTGACATGTTGATAGCGCGCTGCGTCTGAACAGTCTCAAGCTGGGGTATTGAACAAGGGAGTCCCGCCGAACATGCCTGATAGCGTGTTAGGGCAAGGTAGGCGGTTCTCTTCATATCGATGCGGGATCAATACTGACGATACTAGTCCAGGACCCGGCGCTGAAGAACCTCATGATGGCGTGGTACTATGCTGGTTATTACACTGGGCTGCACGAGGGCCGGCAGCAGGCATCTCAGTCTGCTCATACCAACAAATAGATGCATGGCAGTGTTGTTGTGAGTGTTATTGAGCGTCGTTTATCCTTCAATCTTATCAAGGCAATATCTCATTAAAACGGGGTAAAGGCGGCATGGAAGTCTACGAGGAAACGGTGTATTCTGAATAACGCCAACGCTAAAACATATCTCCCCCATCAACCAATGCGGACAACCGTAAACCAGAACGAGCACGCATGATCAAGTATCCAAACAATACACTCGTGCTCAGACTATTATACCAACACCATGTCATGGCCATACGATCGAGAAAGGCGCATATGGGGTGGTCTACTCGGTAGATAGGAAATCACTTCTTTTTCGCTCCGCCCCCGGTGGCTTCGGTAGACTTTTTCTCCAGCGCTGTTGAAAACATGTCAGCATCATCCATGTTCCCCGCCCCTCTGAGTAAGAAAGAGATACCTTTGCGCTGCTTCTCCTGCATAATGGCGGCGACCTTTTCCTTCTCGCGCGCAAACTCGGAGCCGCTCATGGTGTTTTTGTTTTTCTGTGGACGTTAGCAGGAGTACTACGTAGAGGGGAGATAGGAGATAAAGGGGAGAAGTACCGCTTTGCCAGCCTTTTCCAGGGCCTTTTTGCGATCGTTTTCTCTCTGGTTGCCGCGAGTCATTGTGCCTTTTATCCTCTTCTCTTTTCTTGTTATTTTCTGGTTAATAGGGGCTCGTAGTCAGTCCTGGCAAGTTCCTGGCAAAGTGCAGCGGAGAAAATAAAAGCGCACGGCGGAGCGTGCGGTTAAATGCGACTCTCGGCGGATGGTCAGCCAATCAACTGCCAGTATACCTACATATGTATCTTGTATTGTTCGACAAGTGAATATTGGGAAATTAAATACTAAATACTAAATATATTGTAGGAATATTCATGAAGCCAGAATGAAAATGCAGCAATAAGCAGCCCAAATAATCATTCGCGCTCAGCAGTACTCCGTAGTAAATAGTGGTAGGCGCTTAAGACTCCATTAATAGCGTATGATACGTTTCAGGTGAACAATTTCGAGCATTCTCCGCCACTCCATTCCCAGCCGCCACAACGCCCTGAGGCTCTCTCTAGTTTCTCATGCATTCTATTCTATTGTTAAATAGATACTCGGCCAATCACACCGCGCAGCGCGGCCTATTCAGGCCAACACCATCCACGCCCAGATCGACAATGTGCATTATCAGTGCAATGAATGGCCGCCATTGTTTGTTGCACGCTAGCCGTGTTTCATGAGCCTCGCTTTATGGCAACTGCATCAGGCGTCAAAGACCAGACTCAATAGAGTCTACACTATTGTCAATATGTCAAGCCGTTTACTACAAATCTATTGTCTTGTCGCAGAACGCCGCCTTTAACTTCTCGACCTACTCCGCTGCTCTCTCTTCATCTTCCTGATATCTACCTACCTTCTCTTCTCCGCGTCTGCTGGCTGGATCGTAAATTTCAATTATATCTTAAATTAATTTTACAACTTCAACTTCGAATTATCTTACCTCGACAAATTGCTATGGCTGGCCTTTTCAAGAAATCCCTGGCTGGTCCAGGCTTTGTCATCCTCAATATCATCCGCGGAATCAACATCATCGCCTTCCTCGACATAATCGCCGCAAGCGTGGCCATGCTGATCAAGATCTCCATCAACAACAACTTTTTCTTCTTCGAAGCCGTGAACCATGTGGTCACCGCTGTTTTAAGCAGTAAGCCCTTCTAATATATGAAGTAGTTCCAGTCGGTGCTAACATCAGTAGTCTTCCTAATCCTCTCAGAGCTGCCCATCCTGGACGACTTTTTCACCCGTCGCTGTCCGCAGCTGTCCAATACAGCAGGATTCGCACCGCTGGCCCTGGTCATGGTCGTACTCGGCGTTTCTGTCGTTGGGAACCTGAACAACAACGACTATAGCGAGAAAGAGCTGGGCATGTCGTTCTGGCAGGTCGTTGCTTCTGCTGGAATCCTGTCAATGACCATGGGAATCGTCAATTTCATTGCCGTACGCCCCATCTTCTATCTCTCTTTTCCTGTCTAATATTAATGGATGTATAGAGTTTTATCTTCGCCGATTCCAGCGACGGTGAAAATCCCATCACAGCCCGCCAAGTCCGCGCCAATGGTCGCCTCGCCCAAAAATCAAACAGCCAAAACCCTCATCAACGCAGCTTCAAACTCCCTCTGAACCGCGCTGACACCCTCCCGACTTACGGCGCCAGCACGCGGTCCATGTCAATGCGCAACAACAACTCCAACGGACTCAGACTCCCCATCAAGATCTCGAGCCCTGTGCGAGAGCAGGGTGATAACATCTCCAAAAGTGGTAGTGAAACACACCCCACGCCGCCGGATCTTGCTCACCATCCTGCCCTAAACCCGTCTGAATTTGTCTAACCGCAAACATAATAAACAATGATAATACCCCTACACTCGCTAGAAAAGTCGGCGTTAGACCAGGTTGGACTCGTTTCTTTGGTTTATATTGTATTGGCGTCATTCGAAGTAAACACTCGCTCGTAATTGTACATAATCTTGCAGTCTTTCATCTTTCGATTAGCAGGCTCGGCGTCGGTCTCTGTTTCTTTCGGCCTCTTGGTTATTCTTGTTTCAAATATAAAGAAGTAACTGCCAATATAAATATTTCAAATATGCATTAAACCCTAGACTTTTCGGCTAGTATATTCTATAAAAGAATTTCTGCATATAATATTCACCTGCTGCAAGTTGAGAATGAGTGAGTGCAGTATATTTATAGAATGTTTATACTGCCGGAGCGTGTATATGGCCGCCCGTAGCACTAGCTTATCAGACCGTAGAGCTAGCTGGCAACAAAACTGGCCATGTCAACATCCACGTCAGAACAGGAACGAACCAGGCTCGACTTGTCTGTGTTTCCCTGACTATTGATACCGATATACATTAATATATATATTAGTATATCTAAAATGTTGCAGATATAAAATGTCCCAAACCGTGCTTTCACTATTCTCGTGGGGAACGTAAGTACAACAACACCACCAATCTGGATTGTCAGCATGGAAGAATATAGACTGATGTTTCTAGTGCCAAGTCCCTCCTGTTATTCTTTGGACCAGCTCTCCTCCCCCGCGCTATCAACTACTATCGCTCCCTCCGAGTCCAGCTCGCACACCGTCCTCCTCCCCGACCACTGCCATCGCAAGCAAACCATGCCCTGAACGTGCTCTTTGGCGCGATCGTGCTGTTCCTCACTCTCAGCGTGCCCATCAATCCACACGCTCCAGCTCCCAACATCTTCGCACAGACCGGCTCGCGCATCACCACTCCCACCGATGTCATTTTCGCGCGTCTGGCTCGCTATCGGCCCGACCACACACTGACCGAGTACGACAAACTCCTCCGCTCGAAACTAACATCTACCGCCGCACGAAAGGTCTATCTACGATTCGGCCCTGAGGCACTTGTGTCGTGCCAATACTGCGACTTGGAAGACACCACCTCCTATCTACTACACTACCTACCATTCAACTCCGCAGTGCCACATCTCCTACACCTTTTTATTATTGGCCTGGTCACATCTGCCTCCTTCGCCGGCGCCGACGCCGCACGATGGCGCACCTGGTTGACCTTCGCTGCAATCCTAATCGCCATCGCGGATTTCTCCATCATGGCCGCCTTTGACCCGCTGGCGGCAGCTTCTGCGGCCGTCCGCGCCGGCCAGATCCCGCCGTCAAGTCTCTTCCACAGCATGAACCTGCTGCGACCACTGACTCTGGCGCTCTTCGATGTAGTCTCCGCCGCGCTAATCTACATCTCTGCTACGCACCGGTTCTTCTACCGCCCGCCGTCGCAGGCAGACCAGATCGAGCAGCTGGTGACAGGCGCGGTGGCGGCGTTGAACAACGTCACATCGAAACTACACGGAGTCAGCGTGGCACGCAATGCGGTGGTGCGCGACAAGACGCTCAAGGCGCGCGACGACTGGTATTGGCGCACGGCCGTGGCGATGGAAGGGCCCGGCAGTTCTGGTGCTGGTGCTGGCAGTATCTGGGAAGATGAGGAGGTGGTGCGAGCCATGTCTCGCGCGATGAATGAGCGTCGAGGTGCTGGTCGGGGGCTGGACATGGCTCAGCTTGGCGTCAATGCTGGCGAGTATGTCGACGGCATCACGAAGGGGCTGGAGGATGCGAGCGATCAGGCTACATAGCAGAATGGAAGGCCTAGCGATCAAACCTAAGCATCTGATAATACCCCTCGTAGAAGAGCACCGCAAGTAAGGCTAGCAGTAGCGGGGTAGTCTCGCTGTCTCAACATGTAGTAAGAGTACTGGTAGAAAAAGCAAAAATAAGACGAATCACGCCCGGCCTGATAGGCCCAGCGCGCGGGACTCGTGGAGCCAGCGGGGGCTGCGATTTGACGAGGCCGAGCAGTGTGAGACAGCAGGGCGTCTCGGCGTGCAGAGAGCAGGCGGTGAGCGCGAGCAGGCAGTACGGCGATCGGCGCTGGTTGCGAGTGGCTTCCGAGCCCACTGTCTCGCTCTCTCTTCAGGGCTTGCTACCAGCTCTTGACTCAGTACTCGCTCTGCTTCACGACTGACTCGCAGGTGGCAGGCACATCACCATCTCTCTCGCTGCCCAGTCTCAACTCGCTCGCTGTTGTGGACTGTGACTATATTTAAACTGTTGATTGTGTTGCGTCTACTGTCGGGTATGGCCTTGCATTGCATGTGGCGGTCCAACCGCTAATGACCACACTAACTGACCACCCCAGACCCAATTCAATTAATTCAATTAATTCAACTTCCATCACCCTCGAGCCGGATCTCAGACTGCCGCGCAGTCGTTCGCTCGCTATGGCGAAAACCACACATCGGCCACAGTCGCCCTCAGAGTCCATTGACCACCTCAATGCCTGCGTCTCGAGTGCTGGCGCCCCGAGGCTGCTGCAGAATGAAGCTACCTTTCGAGAATGGGTGGTGCAGAACCAGATCGGTACGTTATACATTATATTTATACATTGTCGTTCGTAGCTAAGTTACAGGCATCTCGTTGACCATCCTGTCGACCCTCCTCGCCGCCCACAATCTCTACCCTTCCGTGCAGTCCTTCACCACCCCGTTTTTCCAAATGTCCTACTACCAGCCCGACACGGGCCTGTATTCCCAAGGCTGGGACGACGTGTACTTTGTCGCCAGCGCCATCCTCGCCTTCACCGCGGTGCGCGCCATCTTCATTGACTGGATCTTCCGTCCGTTCGCCAAGTCCACGGGGCTGAAGAAGAAGACCTCGATACGCTTCGCCGAACAAGCGTGGCTGATTGTGTATGACGTTAGCTACTGGAGCTACGGCGTGGTAGGTTAAAACAACCCCTAAAGAAGTGACCGTGACGACTGATGTGCCAAGTATCTGTGGAGCAACTCAAGCTACTGGGGCGACTTCAGGGCCGTCTGGGCCGAGTGGCCGAAGCCTAGTGCATCGGCTGGAATGAAATGGTACCTCTTGACCCAGCTCGCCTTCTGGATCCAGCAGATTTTCGTCGTCAATATTGAAGAGCGCCGCAAGGATTTCCTGCAGATGCTAAGCCACCACGTGGCCACGAGCATGCTGCTCGGCTCGGCCTATATCTACCGGTTCTACAATGTGGCCAACGTGGTGTTGTCGTTGATGGACATTGTTGATTGGATGCTTCCGGTGAGTTCTTTCTCTTTTTTATATAGAGTGTATGCTGACTGGTTAGCTGGCAAAAATCCTCAAATACTACGGCTACGAAATCTTGTGCAATGTCGTCTTCGTCCTGCTGATTTTGACCTGGTTCGTCAGTCGCCATGTCATTTATCCAGCCCTCTGCTGGTCGATCTTCAAGAACATTCCTGTTGCCCTGCCATATGGATGCTACTCCGGGAAGACTGCCGTGATGTACACGGCCAATGCCTATCCTAACCGATTCGCTTATCTATTCGGCCCGTATCTTAACGAAGAGGGGCCGATCTGCATGAACCAGACTGTAAAGTGGATTTTCCTTTCTTTCCTTCTCTTCCTGCAGGGCCTGTCCATGCTGTGGTTCACCTTGATTGTGAAGATCGCCATCAATGCCGTACGGTCCGGCAACGCGGAAGACTCGCGCAGCGACGGCGAAGACGAGGAGGGAGAAGAAGAGGACGAAGAGACCGAGAACCAATCCAATGAGACGGCGCGCGCCGCTCTGGCAGATAGAAACTCCAACGCAGAGAGCTCGTGGCGTAGAGCAAACGGCTCGGTGCGAACCCGTCGTGGACATGGCAGAGTGCTCGGTGATAGTGACCGGAAAGCTCTCCTCGGTAGAATCGGCTGCGACAAGCCGACGCATGATTGATTGCGAGGTGGTTGAGGAGAATGCACATATCTTGACAATTGACTTGTACTGCTGTACTCACTTGTTTTGCTGAGCTGTTTATGGTTATATTCTGTTGGCGGTGTGATGTTGAATACCCTTGTTGTTAGTTATATATCTGCTATAGATTATGAATGATGGACGATTTCAATCTTCATCTTATTGACTGATATTGAACACATATCTACAACCTATCTACTCCCAACCTCAATGTCTGGTACACAATTGACGTGGCTATGAAGAGCAGTATGTCGAAGTATCATAACCCGTATACGTATGGTCGGTATTACACTGACCATTATCATACAACGGGGTAGCTACACCAACTCATTAGCCCCAATGTTCCACAACAAAAAAAAAAAAAAAAAAAAGTGAGGAGAAAGACAACTCACCATCAACCTCCAAGTCACTCGCCGGATACCGAATAATACTCTGCGCATCCGGAGTCAAGTTATCCTCACAATTGATCTGATCTTGCCCGCCATCCTGTGTACTGCTACCAATCCAGGTATCAACATGGTACGTGCCGCTACTCCAGTCGGTCTCGCACTGCGCACACTCGTCCTCATAGCGCAGGTACTTTTTGAGGTATGGCGCGTAGATTACCTCGCACACGTCGAACTCGCCAGATGCGGTCGCGAAGGTTACTGGGTCGGAGAATGTGCCGCTCCCTCCGGCCGCGCTGCGGCCGCATTGCGTGTAGGCAATTCCAGCGCCAGGGGGGGAGTTGTCGGGGTAGCCGTAGAAGGTTGAGGTGACTTGTTGGATGACGGAGCAGGATTGGTTGCGGGCGAAAATTTGGGAGGGGGAGGGCTGAGGCATGGCGTTGGAGGTGAGGAGGGTTAGGGCCGCAGCGGCCAGGATGGAGAGGGAGGGCATTGTATCGAAATTTGGATGTAGTATTTGGGTTGATGTGACAGGTGTGTTCGTTTTGATGTTGGAAGTCGTGGCTGGTGACTGTGCCCCTTTATATAGTTGCTGAGCTTGTTTAAACTAATCCCCGATTTGACTGTTTTGCGAACGCCATCTAGTATGTACTTATGATTACTCCGGGTTGTATACCAGTTGCCGGAACAGGTAGGGGCCAAAATTGGAAACCAGGCTAACTGTTAAACTCGGACGTTACCAGGAGTACTTTGAGGAATGATCAGGTAAGTCAGTAAGCCAGTGTGTAGGAGTAGATGATAGAATAGTTGCTAGTTGCTATATTCTACCATATGTCTAGTATGATATGGACTATATCAGAATAAGGCGAGCCTTCAAATGTCATCTATAATAATATTAAGTATTAATGCACGTGTAGCTAGCTCATCTTCCTTCTTCTATCGATTCTTCTACAGTCAGCAGCTAGGGGCTGTCTGATGCTTGTTCAAGCCACAAAAAAGCCATGATATGTTAATATGTCGATCACCCATATCCATATAATGCCAGCCTTTTTATTCTACCGATACCCCGTAATAATGAATAATACGGGGCGATGATTGACAGGTATCACTTTCCTCATTAGGAATATGGGTCCCGCGTTTCAGGATAGAGTTGGCTAGACCTAACCTAAGTATTAGCTACAGAATAAATACGTATTAATGGATTATGAGTATGAAGTATATGTAGGGGCCATTCTAGAGTATCGATTAATCGATGTATTCATCCTTGGCACTGTAGGGACAGATCGTTGTGTCTTGAGGGCAGAACGGGAGGACATTCCAAATCGAGTTAGGGTTCAGTCCTCTCTCCGCCAGCAGCGAATGATCACTGCAGCTGATTTGAGGTAGGGGCCAAATGTCAATAAATGGAGAACTACCTGGATGTAAATTCCCCACGATCTACAGCTGCATTCTAGAAGATAGAACTATCCCAACGAAGCGAACCATACCGAAAATATTGAATGCCTTTGATCCTAAAGTCCAAAATAGGGTAACATCACATCGTGACATATTCAGTACAAAACTACAAATACCAACGTAGAATGCGATAGCATATCAAGTCTTATTGCCCGGCCTCATGCCCCGGCAGCTCTGCAAAATACTTTGGCTTCTGCACCACCTCGTCATTGCCCCCTATACTCGATAGCTCGTACTTAGTCGACGCCCCCATCGACGACATTTCGATTCTATCGGACTCTGGCGGTAATTCGTGCACTTTCTTGAATGGACTGACCGCGACAGCTCCGCCGCCGCTGCTGTCGTTCTTGGTATCGTCCGTTTTGAAATCAGCTGTCTCGCAGTACTGACTCGCATTCGCCCGCCGCGGTCGCTGTCGAAGCCATAGGAACCAGCCCGCCAGTGCGATCAAGCCCAGCCCGACTACACCGCCCACAACACCACCAACTATAGCGCCGACATTAGTTGAGCTTCCTCCGCTGCTGCTATTCGTCGACGATGTAGCCGGTGCTGTAGCCGTCGATGACGCCCCGACAGTCGACGATACCGGTGCCTGGCAATTATCGATACTGAAATAAACCCAAGACGAGTTATAGCATGTCGCGATTTGCGCTAGTTGCAGAGTTGTCGACGAGCATGGGGAGCTGACGTCGCTATCGTTTCCGTAGATTGTGACTATCTCATTATATTATCAGGGGAGATTTTTTACGCGGATATTTATAAAGAGGTATGTGTTAACGTACCGCCGCACCCGCTATCTTCCTGCGCAACCTGGAAACTGCCAAAGGCGCCGTTGGATCGGAATGGAGTGCAGGTGCCATTTGGGTAGCCGTTTGGTCCGTTAAAGGCCTTGTAGCTATCCTTGCAGCTGTCGTCGCTGAAGGTGGAGATGACGGTGGCGAGGGCATTGGAGGCGAAAAGGGTGAGTAGGAGGATTGAAATAGACATTAAGGAGCGATGCATTGTGGTGAGATTAGACAGCTCAGCTAGAGTTCAGAAGGAGATCTGAGGAAACCCTCCGTTCATGAACATGTCATTATGTGAAGGAATTGATTCTTCAGGTCTTTGAGACCTTCGGGAAATGAGTGCAATGGCAGATAAGGCTGAAGAGGAAGCCAGAAGAACCGCGAGCCAGAAGAAAGAGATCTGAAAAGCTAATTCACCGGCTAGTTCAAGTTCAGGCATTAATCAATTCAATCGCGTATCAGTTGAGTCCAGCTGCAGCCTCCAGCCATTGGGGGACTCGGATTAGTCTGCATCGTGTAGCTATTTAGTAGGTGTATTGACTATTGACTTTGAACTGCGCATGATCTATGCAGCAAGACCTGATTGGCCGTTTCGGACAGCCTGCTCGCATGAACCGCAATAAAGGGAGTAAACAGGAGGCCAGAGCCGTGGACACGGGCAGCCACAGTGGGGACAAAGAGCCGAATGTGGAAATTGGAGGGTCTGTGATGGCGGGATTGGCGGGAAGTGGGCTATAAGCCAGCCAACCATAAGGGGATATTATGGCCATGGGTGGGGTATATCGTTGCCAAACTATAACGCCGCCAATGAGAAGCCGCCAGACTGATATCTGGATTCGAAGTGGATAAGCTAGCTGACTAAAAAACGGCCTTGTTTTACTTAAAACATGTCAAAGTTTCGACGATCTACGAGGGGCGGATATTGGAATACGAGTTTGACGTACATTCTTGCCCCTCTTACTCATCGTGCCTTTTCATCGTATACTTAAGTATTATATGGATTTCCCAGTATTATTGACTAGGAAGTGGATAGACTTTTCATTCAATACCAGCCCTATCCTATACGTAGTATATCTTGCTAGTCAAGCTATATGGATTGATGTCAATGATCTGGTTCTGTAGTTGTCCGGTTCAGAATATTCTACAGTTGCGCTAATATTGATCTCACTGGAATTGATTGAAACATGTATCTGAGTTTTGGAAAATCATTCATAAGTGATCTCTAAAAAGTCTCTAATAACCGGTGTTGAGGTCAATGCGGGTATTTGCTTTTTCCTATACAGCCTAAAGTACGCAAAATACTGTATATAATATAGGCAATATAATCGCATGCAATTAAAACGGGACCAACAGGAGAACTAATCTATTAAGATATTCGCCGTGTGTCCAGGAACCTTGATTTAGAGGAATCGGTTTGAACCCAATATAAGAACCAGTAAAAAGGAACTAAGCGCAAAGGTAAATGAGTTGAATTGTTTATTGGCATTGATAGCTGTACTCCCACCTAATGCCTTGCCCGCAGCATTCGCAACAACACGGCCACCAGATGCTTCTGTGGTACGGCCTGGTATCGCCATTTGAGCTCTGTTCCAAGTAACGGAGCCCTCTGCGAACCGTCGAGGGACATCGGTGTGCTTGCTGACGACTGACCCTGCCTCGATTGAAGATGATGGAGAGAGAGGAGGTTGTTGTGTTTGAGGTGGGATGCGAGGACGCAAGCAGCTGTGCCGCCTCCGATGCTCATGTAGTCATATAGATCTGATGGCATTGTTTCTTTTTGTTATTAGAAGCTTATTATTCAATGCCAAAATTGGATGTTATTTAACAGTTACAGCCATTTTTATCAAAGAAAAGAGTTGATAGCCAAAGTGTTGCTTTTGTAGATGATTTTATATTCATATTGGCTTTAATTAATAATTAATGCTTATGAGTAGAGTATATAGTGCGGGCAACTGATTATATGAATAACAATGGAACAGAGTAGTAGGCTGTGTAAGTGTGTATGCTTTCTTTTGTTCTTTGGGCTGTAGAAGTCGGTGATTATGTTTGTTGACATTGAAAGCAGAGTCAATCTTTACCATTTTTATCAGAAAACCTTGTCAAAAGTCTCTAATTAGATTACAAATGACAAGCCTGTGATTGTTAAAGAGCGGTGGAGGCCGGATGTTGTGCCGAGCCTTACTTGGATTTGATATATTTACGGTGATATTTGTGCATATCTGCTGACATGCTATTGCAAATTTCATCGTCTATGGTAACTCATGTGTCCCGCTATCAATGTCTGCCTTTTCAGCATGGATAGCGAAGCAATGAAGATAATAATCATAATAATATTCATGAAAATCGTGATATGGTGATAACGTCAAGTGTTACCCGCTAAGTCCGTCAATCGCAGCAATCCAGAAAGATCTCATAGCTTAGATATAGGCATAATTCATGATTACTCTAAGTCCTTGCCTTTGGAGTTCGAAACATCGAACGACGAACCATCGTACAGATTACCCAAGATCTCCCGACGCATCTCATCCTCATCCCAAAGAGGAGTCCGCATCTGCCCAAGCTTTTTTTGTCGTGCCACCAACTCGTATTCGCCCACCATGTCAGACCCGAGCCCGCATTCTTGCTGTGTCGTTATAAAGTTGAGCATAACCAGGCGCAGCTGGTCCCACAGCGTGCCTTGCTGAGTCCATTCTAGCCGTTTGACTACGCGTAGCATCCGTGATACAAGCCAGCTCCGTTCTCCCGCATCCCCAGCGTCGCCTCGCGCATAGCCGCCGTTGTCTAGAATTAACCACATGAGGGAGGACACGCTGGGTTCTGCGCTAAACTGCTGCATTCCGGAGTGTATCCAGGCCAGATATAAATCGAAATTCTGTTGCTTCCTATAGCATTCATACAACGCTATGTTCAAATAAAGTAAACATGCCATACGAGTATATTCATCGATGAAACGAACATCGCGGATTCCGCGGTCGTAATCGGGTAATGCAGTCAATGTACAATAAAGCCGAGACGATCTATCGAAGGGAATCATCCGACGAGACTCGGTAGTTGAAGGGGCCTGGCAAGGCGCTTCGAGAAGAGCCTTCTGTGCAGCATGGAGGCAGCGAAAGAACGCAAGAAAATCTTCGCATGACTTCAAGTAATCAGAACACCCCCGTTCTTTTAAGTTTGCTCTCGGCTGCTGATCTGACAACCAGAACCGAAATCGCTCAGGGGGAACGTCGGGAACACTCCCGGTCCATGGAAGGCTGGCACCAACTATAGCTTTGGCTGCGCAACTAAAGTCCACCCTGATAGCTGTCAATATGCTGTTATCATTACTCAGTAAAGGTTCCTTACCAGTATACGACTTGCTCCAGAAAAGGCTTTTGGGCTTTCAGCACCCGCATACCTCCTCTTCGGCGAATCATCAGAGTCAAGCCTTTAATATGCATTCTTTCAATTGAGGGATCCTTGGACCATTTCTGACATCCATTAGCATATACAGTATGGTTGGTGTCTAACACATACTTCTATAACGGCCATTGTAGCCACTGCATAAATAAAGTTGTCTATTTGGTCATCAGTTGTATCGCGGATATTTCTATTGATTAACTGTAATGCCTGCGTCTTATGTGCTAGACTCTGCAGTGACTCCGACTGACCCTCAACGCTTGCGAGGTGTTTGGAGGCAATGGCAAGCATGGCTTGAAAAGGAATGCGGTCTTTCAATGCAAACTGTTGGAAAATTTCCATCATCGGATTTTTCTGAGGTTTATTTGATAACTTGTACATCATGGCGGGATACGTCACGACGTCTATTAGAATTAGTCTTGAATGCATAATTCAAGCATAGAGTTTAAAAGCTTACAGTGGTTGATAAGTCTATGGTCATTATCGCTGATTGGAATGGGATAGCTATTGAACGGATCCCTTATTCCCCCGGCACCAGGAGACAGCAATATATTCGAGGGTCCAGGACTGGAACTAGACAAATTGTGATGCCGTCTCGTGCGAATTGGAACAATCGCGTTATCCGGCCTCTGATGAGCCTCATTTTCTGGCTCCTCTTGCGTCATGGACTCCCAGGATGAATCACCAGCTTGGTGATGCCGGCCCGGGATAGGAGCACGCGAGGAGGCCAGCCGAGCAATGCCATCTAGTCGCCGTTGACGCATATACTGGCGCATTGCATGGCGCCGAACTTGCCGCCGCGAGCCTTCATCAGTCACCAGTACGAACTCGAAGCTTTGCGATGACGACGAGGACGTGGATTGGGCAGGGGATTGCCCGGCTGCTACTAGATTTTCCTCCTCATGCTCCAACGATCCCTTGGTCGAGGAGCCATCGGCGGCGGGGGAACCCGTTCCCATGATCCCATCGCCGGATGACGGCGATAGTTAAATTCTAATGCGAGTAAGCCATAGTCTGGTCACGATCCGGGAGGTAGTGGGGTGGGGGTTTAGGCAAGCACCTAGGCTTGTGACTGGCCGCTGGATATGCTTGCTGTGTGGAATCGATCGTATTAACTAACATATTATCCGTATTGTACTACGTATTGGCAACCAACACGCAAAGTGACGATCCAAGCGCCGTCAAGCGCGAAAGATGGGGAATCGAGGGCGAACCGTTGACGGTGAAGTTGATCGGTCGATGGAAGCTAAAGGCTAAAGGGAGCCACGGGCCGAGGACCAAGTCCAATGTGCAGTGGGTGCCCGATTACCAATTCAGGATGGTCTGCACGTGACTTCGAAATACATATACTGTATACATGATCATTGATATATGATAGCTTTGGAATAGCTAATCGGTAGACTCCGCGTGGATATACTCGTATATACCCATATTCCTGCCCGATGAGACCGGTCAAGTCCGATTGTGGCTATGCTCCTCGAGTAGTTGGTGATTGATTGTAATAACAAACAAACATCCTTCATCCGCCGTCCTTCCGCAGCCTGGCTAGGGCATTCATGATACCATCACTCATGCTCTCTTCTTGTTGCTTCTCCGACTGAGTACCCTCAAATTGATCACCATCATGAGCCGATGCAAACAGCATCTCTTCTTCCTCTTCTATACCGGATATACCCTGCCCACGCTGAGGCCTATCAGCAGGCATTTCCTGCTGAGCAGCAGCAGCTCTCTTCCTAGACGCTTCAACTCTAAAGTCCTCCCGGACAGCATTACTCCATTGCCGAACCTTTTTCTCACCCCAGCCAGGTACAGAACTTATTTGTTCCGGCTGCGCATTGATAGCTGCCTGCAGACTACCAAATGTCGAAATCAAGCTAGCTGCATCGGACTTGTTAATACTCCGCGGGACAGTGACAAACTCGACTAGGCTCTCCCGATACGACTGCGCTTGCTGGGATCGGATGGCAGTTGGCTGTGCGTTCTCTGACGATTTGAACAGTTCCAGATAGTGCGCAGCCTCCGGGGCCGACCAGCAGAGAATAAGGGTTACATTATTCACTATCGATGTCTTGGACAGCTCTTTCAATGTCTCTTCATGGTTTGGAATGTCTACCATGACCAGCAGAATGCGTAGACTGTATTTGCCAGCGAGGACGCGTATGCGGGAGTAGATGTATTCTGGATGTAACCGGTGGTATTTCAATGATAAAAACAGTGCGCAGGTAGTAGCTCCTAGAACATAATCTGCCGGGATATCAGCATACTCCCACGGCACAAGCTTTACATGGCTGAGAATTGGATTGCCCTTTTGCCGCGATGATACTAGAATGGCCGAAGGAGCGGTACGGTTTGGGAGAGCCTGCGGCTTCGGCTGCTGGACTTTCGATTCCGCCTGAGATAGATTCTTTTTCTCAGACTTATTGGAATGTTCACCATCCATTTTCGAGCTTTCTCACCAACAATGCAGCTGTAAACAACAAATGCAATTAGGAAGTGGCTGTCGACCGCCTGCCAAGACCACGCTCACCGCCTTGGCTGCTCCGTTATCAGCGTTTTTTTCTGCCGCTATTTTTTTCCGTCTCTTTCGCTCTTTCCCTTCGAGCAGAAATCATCCACAATGACAAACGAATTGAAGAGCAAAAGAAGACGACTGTCAGAAAGTGGCAGCTTTCAGCCAGAGGAACCAGAAGTGATGGCTTCAACTCAGAATGAGTCCACGGATGATCCCGCCCCCGAAACACCGGCGAAACAGCAGATGAGAAGAGAGCTCTTCGTGCGCTCGCTTCCAGCCTCAGCGACGACCGAAAGTCTGACCGAGTTTTTCTCGCAATCCTACGTGCTGAAACATGCAACTGTCGTTGTTGATCCTAAAACGCAGCAGTCCAAGGGCTATGGTTTCGTGACCTTTGCCGACATCGAAGATGCCCAGCGCGCATTGGAGGAATTGAACGACGCCGAGTTCGAAGGCCGAAAAATAAAAGTTGAGGTTGCACAGCCGCGTAAGCGTGAGATTGGCGAAAATGATGGTAAAAGTGTGCCTACTGCGGAATCCGCCAGGTTGAAGGAAGAGCGGAACCGTCAGAAAGAACAGAATCTGCCTCCCAAGCTGATTGTACGAAACCTTCCGTGGTCTATCAAGGAACCTGACCAATTGGCTGTGCTTTTTCGCAGTTTTGGAAAGGTCAAGCATGCGGTTGTGCCAAAGAAGGGTAATGAACAGGCGGGTTTTGGATTCGTTGTCTTGCGGGGTAGGAAAAATGCGGAGAAAGCACTTGAGGCTGTGAATGGAAAGGAGGTTGATGGGAGAACTCTGGCGGTGGATTGGGCAGTCGAAAAAAGTGTTTGGGAGAAAGCTGCAGAAAAGGATACAGATGGAGATGCAATTCAGGTGGACACAGCACAGGAGGAAACTAGCGGTGATGAGGAGGAGGATGGCAACGAATTTGTGGAGACAGGTACAGATGAGGAGGGCAGCGAGGAGGAGGAGCTCGATGAGGATGATGTGGATATGGAAGACGAAGACGAGGAGGATGAAGAGGAGAAAGGTGATGTCGAGGATGATCGAAATGCTTCGACTATTTTCATTCGCAATCTCCCATTCACCAGCGACGATGAGACACTATATGAACATTTTAAGCAATTTGGAGCAATCCGATATGCTCGCATTGTTGTAGATCCCGAAACAGAGCGCCCACGAGGAACAGGCTTTGTATGCTTCTGGAATGTCGAGGATGCAATCGCGTGCATCAAGGGAGCCCCCAAGCAGATTGAAAATGAAAAAGAAGATTCTCACTCCAAAAAGGCAGCTTCAGGCGTTAAGCATTCCGTTTTACAGAATGAGATGATGGATCCTACTGGAAAATACACCATGGAAGATCGGGTCTTGAACCTTTCTCTAGCCGTTTCAAAAACCAGGGCTGACAAACTGAGAGACGAGGGCGTATCGCGGCGGTTCGCACAAGACAGGGACAAGAGGCGATTATACTTACTGAACGAGGGTACCATTCCGTCCAACTCTGCGGTGTACAAAAAGTTAGCACCGTCTGAGATCAAAATGAGAGAAGACAGTCTCAAGCAACGCCAAAATCTCATCAAAAACAATCCCACCCTCCACCTCAGTCTCACCCGTCTATCAGTCCGCAATATCCCACGATCAGTCACCTCCAAGGATCTCAAAGCTCTCGCTCGAGAAGCCATTGTTGGATTCGCCAAAGACGCAAAGGAAGGACGTCGTCAGCCCTTGTCACCTGAGGAAATACACCGTGGCTCTGAGGAGACGAAAGAGGACGACAAGCGCCGACGAGAGAAAGGCAAAGGTCTCGTGAAGCAAACCAAAGTCGTCTTCGAGAGCAGGGACGGTGGCAAGATCGAAGAGAAAACTGGCGCAGGTCGCAGCCGTGGCTATGGATTCATCGAATACTTCAACCACCGCCATGCGCTCATGGGTCTACGATGGCTCAATGGACATGTTGTGCTGGCAAAGTCTGCTGATGGTGAAGCGGAGAAAAAGAAGCGACTGATTGTTGAATTCGCCATTGAAAATGCGCAAGTCGTTCAGCGAAGAAAGGAGTACCAGGAGAGGGCGCGCAATGGCAAAAAAGCAGACGAGGAAGATGTGGATGGTGGAAACAAGAGCAACAAAAGAGGAACCAAAAGGAAGAGGCCGGAGAGTCGAACCGCCGACAAGAGAGGAGGTAAGCCAAAGGTTACAAAGGGAGAAGCAAAAGAAGAAAACGGCGAAAACGACGAGGAACGAAACAAGATTGCTAAGAGGAACAGAATCATCTCCCGGAAGCGTCAACAAAGGAGACAGCGCAAGGCTTGATGATTGATGTTATTGATGAGGTTGCGGATAAAAGTTCATGGCTGTATTTATTGCATGGCGCGTACATAATATCAATTCATATCAACATATTTCTTACAGCATCAAATTCACGCCCACTTCAGCTACCTGGTCAGATCCTCCTACGTCCGGTACTTCAACATTGAACATCAGATCCAATCTATCTTGAATAACGGGTATATATTTTATTTCAAAAGAATTGAAGATGCCGACCTTCCTATATCAAGCATTTGTAGCACCCTGGATCTTTCCAACAATATTATACCTCTTGCTGAAAAAGAGGAACCACTCATCCAGCACGGTCTTTTCCTTCTCCTCCAAGTCGTACCAGTCCGGGCGACAATCTTCGGGCTTCAAGGACGAGGATGCCAATGCGCGAGAGGGGTCCTTGCCAGCGAAGACTATAAAATAAATATCTCATGAGCTTCTATTCAATAGACACTGTACATATCATTTAGTAATGAAATGCTGGCTCGGATGGCATACCATGGTATTGTCCTCCAGGCGCATATGCGGCATTCTTGCTGACGTCGAAAACAGTTCCTTTGATTGCGACCAATGTCGGACGATTCGGGTCCGTCCCTAAATCAATAATTAACACTAACGTAACCCTGATATATATTCTCGGAGGGAAAGACTCCGTACCGTCAGATTTGGACAATTCCTCTACTGTGATGGGGTCGTCCTTGGGCGGGTCGAGCTGTACGGGGACTTTGGGCTCGAAGCGCTTGGGCTCAGGCTCGTGTTCAGTCATTGCTATTGAATTGTGCAGTATTTGGGACTGAATGCGATCGAATTGCACAGATGAAGTGTATAATTTGAATTGTTAGAGCAAGCTGGTTGTTATGTAGAGAAAAGCACGAGGACTGGCCGAAAGCGGGGTTCCACAATGCCATCATCATCGGCCGAGAATACTGGAACTGGTACTGTAATTACCACAATGCTATTGGGAGAATCGCCTCGGTAGAAAGCCCGTACAATACGAGACGGTATTAACTGGTTAAGATCAGGTGATTCTCAACGACATTGTAGATGATATTGACATCATGGCTATCTATTTCATTCAATTCATTAAAATTGCTTCATATTTGATAAATACACAATGAGCAGTCAAGCCAGTGCAAAGACATCTCTACCAGAGCATTCTGGACAAGGTGAATTCAGCTTCGTAATCTGCCCATGACTATCCCTCGCTGATGCAGTCAAGATTCAGCTCAGCAAGCTCGTCAAGACGAGAACGAAACCAAGCGTGTCTCGCCTAAGCTTTCACATATCCTTTATTTTGAGGATAACGATTGCTTCTTTGCGCCGAAATATAACGACAAGAAGCGGTCGTATAGTAGTTCATCAGTTGATGAGAAACCGTTGCAGGGTGATCGCGGTGATTAATTATCGGTCTCATGGATATCATGGCACACCGTCTTGGTGTCTAAAATTGAGTTGAATTCAAATGTTTATTGACAAATGAAATGCATATTCGCAATATGACTCCCGTAAAAGTGCAATTCTCCTCCCACAACTCCGTAAAATTGACCATATCGTAACACAGGGCTTGCATCACGCAGAACCCTCCCCCAGCTGCACACCAGCAGCCTTCAATGCCTCCAGCCGCTGTTTATTGCGCCTCCCAAGCACCCGAAGCGTATTCTTCTGTTCGCTTTCCGTCATCTGATCCCAATTCGATATGCGGCTCATTGTGCCATCTTGATTGACCACAATCGGGCCGAGATGGTCGAGTGAAACCGTGGTGCCTTGTCCGCCAACATCCAGTCTTGTGCCTGCATTGCTATTGTCAGACGACGATACGTCGGGGAGGGCGAGCCTTGCTGTCGACGAGGACTGGTTTGGTGTTTCTGGGGACTGGGTTTTTGACGGCGAGTCTGCCGAGGAAGACATAGCGCGAGATATAGCTGTCGGAGAACGAAGCGGGGATTGGAGGTGTACCGCTGCAGCGCGGAGGTAGTTGCCTAACATATATATGTTCTGGTCAGGGTCATCGAAGGATGATTGTTGCGGGAGACAGATGTTGGTGGTGGGGTTGGTGCCGTGGGAGTTAGGACAACAAGCCGTAAGAGCGAACAAAGTGGTGGTTGCGAGGAAAAGGAAAAGATTGACCGCGTCAGTGTTCTTCATTCGTGTTGTTGCAATGCTGAAATACTTGGCCGACTGTTTGGAGGATTGCTACGGCGGCGACGGGTGAGTTAACAACTTAATTTGTTACCCACTAGTAAAGCTTATTAACACAATCATCTTGATATTTCTATATTGAAAAAATCTTATTTTTAATTTATATTATCTGCTTCTTATAATATATATAATAATTTATTTATTAATATTTGTATAATATTTATTTATTTTGCCATATACACCGTTATTAACCATGTCTAACAGCACTTGAGTATTCTATAGTAAATAGAATTATTCAAGAAATGTTGATTGGAAAGTGAATTACCTCTATATTTATTTATTTTTCAGTATAACCCCTACAGTCTCGATTATATGAATGAGGATGAATCGCCCGGGCAAAAAGATTTGAAGGAGACTAGCATGAGGTTAGAAATGGGATTAAAGATTGAACATGATGCAGATAATGATATATATAATATTGATAATATGAAGCTATCTGGGAAGTTGCGGAGACCTCTTGGGCGTTCGCTAATAGAGTAATGAAGGTGATAGCCTGACGCACCGTAACAAAGCTGATAGAGTGATAATTTATGGCCGCATAAAAACGCAGCTAAACCTAGGTAGATGTAAACTGATAGCTTATTCAAGAAGATCCGTGAAAATTCGAATTGAAGACTGGGCAGAAACCCTGCAACTGAAAGTGAAATTATGGATAACATAGAATCTGTAAGACCATTGATGCCTTAGGCTTCATGCATCTATGTCATATGATTTGACAGTTACGTCATGTTCTATATAAAGCGGGTTTGGGGATTAATCGCCATTGAGCAATTAATGTTTGTCTTTTTACCTTGTTGGTTAGGGTTGTTCCCCAAAGCCCTAGCTTACAGAATCTCCAAAAAACAACCAATAGGCGCTGGTGTGATGGGGGCTGTGATTCCGTAAAGTAGTGGTACATATTCTGCTGTTTTGAAATTACTTTGAATCAACAAGATGGATCCTATCGTAACTCTCGTTTAGCAAGAGGCTAAGACAAGTATTAGTGTTGATTCATTTTTGGAGCCTCACGAGACTCTTGACGGTGCAATAGGAGAGTTATTCTAAGAGGTGCTCTACCCGCTAGACTAGGATTCAACCTCTGGCCTCCCCTGTAATTTACACTTACTTCTCTTTTATATTTTATTTGCCTTCACGTTCCGTAAAGAGAAGTAATACGCGATAAGTCTTTGCTTTACGAATAACAGAAAAAAATATCACGCAGGGGTCCTTGAGTTCAAGGTAGGCAAAAGTAAATCCGCATTGGGTATCTAAATCATAGTCTCATTTCCAAAACTCCACACAAAGCTAAGCTAAGCTTCATTTCTCACCACCATCACTCACCAGGGCCCTGGTTGCTAGGCGCTGTCAGACCCGAAGCAACCTGCCCCGCCGGCTCCTGAGTCTCATCTGTAATCAACCTCCCAAACGTGTCCGGATTCGGAGTAATCACCGCCGACTCTGTTTCAGGGGCAACATCGAGGGTGCCGCTCAAAAAGTAGTCGAGTTCACTGGGTCCGCCCTGCGAGTTTTCATTCTCAGCTAGTTGCTCGAGTAGGCTCAGGAAAGGGTCGATTTCGGAAGGCGGGCCGCCGCCCTCGCTGACTGTTGCGTGGGAGCCGCTTGTTTGAGACCGTCCGCCGGGAGTCTGCGCGGTGATGTGTGAGACGCCAGGTTGGTTCTGTGCCGCGTCGAAGGGGAAGATGGCGTACTGAGGGTTTGATGGGGGTGTTGGAGCGGTGAGGGATTCTGTAAGGAAGCCTGACGGGGATAGTCCGATTGTGGGTGAGAAGGCATTTGGTATTTGAGGGCTTTGTAAAGATGGGAATGGTGGCGGGGAATTGACGGATTGGGGGAATAGGGCTGAGGCTATTTGAGAATGCTGGGCAGTGGGGAAGCGGATATTCGGGATTTCCGGTGTTTTCGTGTTAGGTAGTGAACCAGGGTCGTGATGTAAAGCCTGGGAAGATGTAAAGTCGGAATTGTTAAGCTGTCGATGGTGCTGTTGAGATTGGGAGAGGTGGAATGGAGGTAAAGCTGGAGCGGCCATAGTTTGTGTGGTATAAAGAGAATGACTGTGGCTATCGAGAGATTGGCGCAGAGAGGCACTGCAAAAATTTGTAAGTATTTGGTCAAACGAGATTGAAATTCAACGCTTACCTATCACTCCCAATATCTGCCGCTTTATCAACAAGCCTGACGTGAGAACTATCAACCGCAATCCCCGGATATCGATCAAAAAAGTCCTCGAGATGGAAGACTGGTGAAAAGCGCATTGTGCTATTCGCCAGATTCCGTACGAGCTCGGAGTGACAGGTATAGATAGTCTGAAGCATTTCTCGCTGGTGCTGGACTCCGGTCCAGCAATGTCGCAGCCAGGACAGTTGCTGCATCTCCTTGGCAAGGAAATCGGAGCTCGATGAGAAGACTTCTCCATCTAGCCCTTTATAATGGACTCCATGGACATGGACTGTGCCAGCCGTGCATACACAGTAACTGATGAATGCGGGCCATTCTACCAACGGCGAATTTCGGCCAAATTCGACAAGTTCAGCAATCGCATTCGAATGCAGGAAGCAAAAATTCGTTGCCTCGATCTGCCACGACTGGTGTTGTCCTGAGCCTCTGAGCTCTGCCAAATCGATTGGCAGAAAGGGACGGTAGATTAAACAGTGAATAAGGTGGTAGATGAGTTTGCTCAGAAGCAAAATCGTGCCATCTGGGTGATTGAAAAGGGAGTCAATCGAAACGAATATGTCCTGCATGCCCGCCGCCCAGATATCCAACTCTTGGCGGATTTTAGAGAGATTAGAGAGTGAGTGCCAGGGAAAATGAGAATCGCCCTTGACCCCACCAGCTGCTAGATACCGGCTTGTGATGCCGAGAATGCGAATAATATCGATAAGCAACGCAGTTGCTCCTTGGCCTTTTTTGCGTGTACCCGACATGAATTGGATATTAGGGCCGGAGTTGTTGAATATTTCCCCCTCAACGTATAACCCATTAGACGGCGTTGATGACCACGACGGTAAGCGTAGGAAAATTGAATAATCGGATATCAGACACGGCCGCTTGGAGCCACAAGTAGCAAAGCGATCCATCATATAGCAAGCCCAGAACATCCGCCGTCTGGTTTCTTTCTCTGCCTGGGATAGATTCAAGTTCGGTGAAGGCTCACGGTATAGGCCGAGCGCAGAAACCATAGCCGAACAATTTGCTATGTAAAGTTAGCCAATTCCGATTAGGAACATGTAGAATATGTATGTCAATATTTACATAAAGTCATATATGCTTTCTTTCCAAATCCGTAAGCCAAGAAACCCATGGAGAGAAGCAGCAACGTCTGAAGATTCTCGATAGTAGGGTTGTCCGCATCAACCTCCCGTCGTGCTTGTAATGCATATTCGAGGCCAGACCGCACTAGACCTTCTTGGCCACCAAGGGGATTGGCATATCTTAAACAAGAATCAGCACGAATAAACTCATGGAGATTTCAGACTACATACCGAACAGTAATCGCATATATCGCAATCATCAAAGGCGACGGTAACTGTCCCATCTGATGCTTTTGCCGGGTCACTGATTCGTCCAGGATATGGAAAGGTTTACCATGAATGCGGGAGAAGAACAGGTCTAGGATAGCATCTGAGAGGATGGTTTGTTGCGGACTCTGCTGGTGCTGTCGGAACTGGCCCGATATGTTGTCGAAGCCATTGTATGTCGAAAGAAAAGCGAGAGAACTACGACGATCGGAAAACGATAGAGGCGATATGTCTTCCCCGCTGGTGTCTGTTGACGGGACGGGAGCAGGGCTTTGAAACGAGGTAACGGTGTTTCTTCGAGTAGCAGCCGCGTCATCTGACGAATACCTCGCCATTTCTCGCTTGCCAGTGGGTGTTGCGATCTCTGGTGCTGGCGTATCGGGGCCCTTTTCTTCTTGTAGGCGCCTTTCCAGACCATCGACGCGTTTCAGTAAAGCTTCAAGGACGTCTGTCTTCGGACCTCTTTTTTTCGGGACTGCGTCTGAAGCCAGCACTGTGTTAGTGACGACGATTTACTATCATACAGCGCATTGATTAATGTCGTACCATAGACGCAGGGACACTGAAAAACCTTGCATGCCTCACAACTCGGACGCATACGGTTGCACTTGATCTGGTCGCACAGGATTAGCCAATTTTCATCTTATTCAATGCCATTGACTTGGTAAATGGTTTTAATTAGAGTCAGAATGCTCACCTTTCGCTTCCGACATGATTTGCAATTCATCGACTCGCGTGGCTCAGCGGTGACCCGACGCGGCGTGATGCGATCGATGCTGACCTGGGGACGGGACATTGCTGTCGGTCTTTCTTCATTTGCCGGCGGTATTGTTATTCTTATTCTTATTCCTATCGGCGAGAAATACGGGGGTTGGTCCCCGACATATGCGGCTGTTCTGTATGTGAATCAGACGACTCTGGGCGATTTACCGTGGCGACATCAAAGCCGCGCGTAGGATAATGCATGCACCATAGTCTGGGGTAGGACTTGTAGTTACATGTATTGCGAAAGCAGTGGCAGCGTCAGCGATAAACCAGCAGTCGTCGGTCGTAGCTACATTGTTGATTGAGCAGAGTAGGGCGAAACGAACTAAGCACGAATAGCTTATTAGGGCCGGACAATTTGCCGAACGGGGAGCAAAATGCGGGGGCCCAGCACGTTTCCCTGGCTCTTAGAGTACCAGTATTAAGCTTCGTATTTTATTAGGAGGATGCAGCCCAGACTAGGCTTGCGGGTAATTAAATATTGTATTGCATATGTTACTGCTAGTTAATTAGTCGCTAGGGCGATGATTATACTTCATATTCCCCCTCGGCTCTGACTACTGTATAAACGATCTCAGAGGTGAATGAAAGGAATTATTACCACTCGTTCACACAGTGCATTTCAGTACATGCCAGGACTTATCATCTTTTTAGACTGATTAACGTATTTTAATTAACATCGGAACTTTCATGGTCACACCCACCCAATAACACGCGCGGCCTCTGCCGATCCCTCAAGAACGGCTCTGATTAGACTCTTTAGAGCACATAAGTCTGATTTAGCTTTAGCTTGCTAACTGGACTGGTGGTATATACATGTAAGTCAGTCGTCTAAGGGGAGTCTCGGTCTCGGCTAATTATCGTCGGGATTCGAGGCGGGGTTAGCTGGGGGACCGGTCGATCCAATCAATCGTGGTTAACGACGCGGGGTGGCCATCTTCAGAAGCTTAGCGTAGGAGGGAGGGCATTGAAAGGCGTGCAGAGTAGTTATTGTCATTCGGAAATAGAACATTGAAGGTAAGGGAAGAGGGGAAACGACTCGGTAGGATTTTGGGAATGACGATGGATGGGTGTTTGCTTCACGAGGATTATTATAAAATGGAAGATATGCCATGCACGATCAGCAGAAGATATAGTCAAGTACCATCGTTGTAACGCTAGTTAGAGAACATCAATGGTGCAAGATACAAAAGGCTAAGAGCTATCTACGCTCGTACCTTGTATATGACGCTGATCTAATACATGCCGTGACCAGAGGCCATGCGGACGAAATCAAACGGGACATTCTGACCCACGAGCAGCCGCAACGTCTCGACCGTCGTCCACGCGTTGACGTCGTCGATGCCATATGCGGTCCAGCCGGCACTGGCAGCAACCCCGAGAGGATCACCCTTGCGTGTCCCTGTGGTCAAGTCCAAAAACACTTTACCACGAGTAGACGGCGGCGAGGTGTGTCCGCTGCTTCTGTAGTGGCGGAGTAAAGGCTGCACCAGGAGGGATTTCTCAGGAGGCAAAGCCGAGACTATGACAAAGGGTTGCTCGACTAATTTGACGGACTGGATGGACGTAAACGGCTCTAGGCCGGCGGCCAGCGGGCCGGATGCTTTGAAGCCGACGGTGTATATGGTGCCTACATCGAGACTTCGCAGTGCGAAAATAGCCGCCGTTGCGTCACTTTCTGAGCTGGATAGCACGATGACTGATCGGCCTCGGTAGGCAGATGGCACGTAGTCCCTTGTCAGGGTTGCTCGAATGCCCTTCCATGTGGCGTTCTCGCCGACGAACTTGTGTTGCCCGTCTGCCCCGTTGACGGTGATGGTGTCAATCGAGCCGATTGCACGGGCAGCATCACTTTTGGTGGGTATGTACGACGCTGAACTGGTGAGTGGCGGATTGACGTATGCGCCGCCAAAACTTGGCTGCATAATCACCGACTCGATTGATCCTCGCGGACCACGGTCAATGCAGCTAAAGCTGTGCGGCAGACCTAGCTCGTTGAAACACTTTTCCATGAACATGGATTGTGACGTAGAACGGAAGGTGCCAATAGCATACATATCTCGTTTGGGAAGTTGTCCCATGATATGAAGAGCGCCGTTGATTTCGGCGGCCGTTAGTTGGCCGGGAGCAGCGATGATGGGTAGGAGAGGGTGAGTGATGGGAGAGAAGACGGTGTTGAGTGCTCGTGATAACTGTCCCTTCTGACCCATGTTAACGGCAGAGAGAAGCGGGTAGGAGTAATTAGCCTTAATAGTAGATCGGAAATATTCCAGTTCGTAGTTTTCCTCAATCGTGTTAACCATTGCAATCATCTTGACGATGTCTGCATAGCGAGCGCCTTCCTTGAACAGCCTCTGAGCTTCAGGAGACGTCCATTTCCATGTCCCAGAGAAGTCATGGAACGCGGACATGATGATACTGTTTCCTCTGTGGTCACACAGATCTTGTCGAATGTCTTCGGGGAGCCACAGCTCGACATCTATATATTCAATGCCCCACTGAATAGCTCGCCGGAGGTATTTGTGGAATAGCTGTGGATCTTCCATGGGGAATTTCCCATTTTCTTTCACGCAGCGAGTCGTGAATATTATAGGCAATTCAGTGTGCTGTCGTAACAGCATCAATTGCTGTCCGACATATTTCAGACTCGGGATTGGGCTACGATTCCCATCTGATGCTGGTTCCTCTAGAAGATCAACGCGAAGCTCGACCGCGTCTGATCCGACGGACAAGATATCGAGGTTCGGCAAGGCGGCGCGCACATCGGGAAAGGTGGTCGATATAAAATTCGTACGTCGTTTGGTTGCCAGGTCAGCATGAGGGCGCCGTTGGCCAAGAATCAACGACAGAAAGCGTGTCAGGTCTCGTCGAAGGAAGGGAGTTTTCGAGTATAAGAATTCATAATGACAGCCCTCCGACAATCTATCAACCGGAAAGGAGCCATCATCGATGCAGTGAGTATTGACAAGTAACAATTTGGACGGATCAGCGCGTCCTTCCGACATCGTATTCTCAAAGTCATTGGTCAAGATCCCCAAAACGAGAGCATCACTGCCAGACACGACTTTGGACAGCGCCGATACAGTCGTCCAAGCTTTCCCTAGCACTTCTGCCACAACCTGAAGGATGCCTTCCTGGCCCGGGCCATACACAATCACCACTGTTCGCTTTAACTCTGAAACAACGCTCTCGGTGCCCTTGACCAAAGTAACCGGGGGCACCAAGGCCACAGTTTCCACCTCGGTGGCCATTGATGGACAAAGATGAGTAACAGTCGTATTACCGAATATACCTGGGCTGTAGCATGCTTGACGGAAGAAATGATTTCTCTATTCTTATGGCCGGCAGAGTAGCAGCAAGTATACTCCTCCCGTAAAAGTCCAGGCACCGAAAATTCTATGTTTCAGATAGGCAGGCTCTCTCTTTCTCTTCTTCTTTCTGTTCTGTGTGACGCATGTGACCATTGAGCAACCATCAGTTTCCTTATATCTTGGACGATATAAGTAACATAAGATGCTCTCGCCGGTACACAGCGGAAACTAAGTGATACCAACTATTCTTACAGTCTCAACAACCAATCGTCGTGCGTATGGCGCCGACTTGACGAAATCGTGTAGGCAACTGTGTGATGATCGAATCCTCACGGCTTGATCAACTTCACCAACAGGAAGAATCAGTAGCAGTGAAAGTAGTAAGAGATGAGGAGGCGCAAGCAGCAGCGAGATGAAATAGCCAGTCAGGTTGTATCTAGACGGTAACGTCGACATTGAATTATCACCGAGGTGAATCGCAGACCAACAGAAGAGGAGCAACTGGACGGGGTATATTTCCCCGGTAGGCGCCGGCCGGAGTTCTTCCGCCAATCAGCACCCGGCTGGCTGCCACTGTACTGTAAAACAAATACGACGATATATACATGTATATATCAATTGATATTTATTGACGACATATTAATATGTTCTACGTTAATATTTAATACATTCAAGAGTGCGGTCAAATAACCAACTTTTGTCTTGTCTTGATTAACCAATCGTACAGCAGTAAGAAAGAAGAGTAGCTATTCTATGGTATCCAACACAAAAATAGCCCACTGGGTATTCTAAACGAGGGTGAAACATCAAACAGGTGAAACATTAAACAGGTGGACGCGAGACCGATCCTTCTTAATTAGAAGGCGAAAACGCTATGCTGTCGTCATTACAGTCATCGGGAAGATTTCAGTATATACTCAGTACGGGTGTACTTGGTCGTTAAGAATCGTCAAAGCAAATCATATCAACTTGATGTGTGCTGTGCGTTCACAGGGATGTGGATCCCCGTCTCGGAATCGATGCAGGTCGTCATGCAAAGGAATGCCAAAATGGCCTGATGGATGGCAGACCCTCGTGCTCTGCTCTATTCTTGAAGATGCCTCGAATGGAGAAGGAGAATTGATTTCCTCGAATGTACGATGAAAAGACCCTGTCGGCTGGCTGCTTATGGCGGTGAAATGGCGAGGCCGTTCATCAGCTTGGGCAGAGGCTTCCTCTTGTTGGCAGTTTTGGACATCCGAGGCACTCCTTGCACCATGCGAGGCTCCTTCATGTAAGAATGATCGAGCTTTGCTGGCGCTAGGCAAAATTAGCATAGCTCTAGGCAGAGAGCAATAAACCAAATACTAACCTCGCCTGATAACTTCCGCATAGTCATCTGATATACTCTGCTGCGTCCGACTTGTAGGCGGGAAAGAGGTTGCTGCCGCCGACCGCCAGAGATGGTCTTGGGTATTCGATAAGAAGTCGGTAGCCATGCGCCCGGAAAAGATAGACGATCGTCCACGATTACGCTTCGACAAGATAACTTCATCAAACAAAACAATTTCCGGGTCCTTGGCATTGGACTTCACCCGCTCGCGTTCACCTATGAACTCATTGAATGCTGCATATCGAATGAGTAATAAATCCTGAAAGGATAACTAGTAACACGTACCTTGGGTCTGCTGCAGAACCGCCACATATTCCGCGTGCTCATGAGGCAGGCTTTTAAGGAAACCATCCATATTGAAATGGTACGTTAATCCCGACTTCTTCTGCTCCTTACTGGCTGGCAGCATGAACTTTTTATATGTATACAACAAGCTAGCAAAGCAGCGCACAAATGCTGCTCGAATCTGCTCAGGGTGGAAAGCAGCAGGACACACCAGGCAAATCAAGGGGGCGCATCTTCCATGAACATAGGTCTTGCAGCCAGTGCATTTATACATTCCTTCCTCTGCCCTTTCGTCGCAAATTGAGCATATCAACTTGTCGTCACGCGGGTAACGCTGGAGACAGTGTCCTTCCACCCAGCAGGTGTTGTCAGTGTTGAATACAGGCTGAACAACGGCTTGGGGAACAATGGTAGATGCGGCAATGGTCGACGTGGCATACACAGACGGCGCATATGTTGATGCTCCGCCGTAGTCGGTATTCAATGTCGTTACAGACAAGTTAGAAGCGTGGCCAAGGAAAGGTACGCTCGGCCGACGTGGAACACCTCTTCTCTCTGCGCCAAACGACGAGCTTCTCCGGGAAGTAGCATCGAAATGACCTGATCGCTTCTCCCGTAGAGACGCTTGCAATGCCATACCCGAGTCATTTCGAGATACAGGAGTGACTGGCAGAGGAGGCGGAAAATGTCCCGATGTCGGTGAGCTGGTCCTAGGGGATGGTGGGGACCCTGTCTTGGATGTTGAGCTTGTCCCTGGCCGCTCATTTCCTCTGGAAAAGCCCCTCGAAGGCGGTTGTTCATCGCGAGCGTACAAGAATGCATTGTAAACAGGTGTTTGTGTGGCTGCAACACCCTGGTCATTACCAAAAGAATTTGAATTCAGGCTGACGTAGCGAGAAAGATAAGTAGACCCAGCCTTGTAATTCAATATAGATCCGTTCTCGGTGGGAAAGGAGTCGAATGGGTACGCCTCTACAGCATATGATGGTGGACCAGGGCGCACACCAAACCGATTGTGGTGTGGGGCAGCTAGTTGAAGGAGGGAGAACAGCTTCTTTCGCTGGTGACGAGGTAGAGGTGTTGGGCTTACATCGCTTTCGATCGTGTCGGAGTCAAGATCTACCAAGACAAAACTGTCCGACGGTAATTCGACTTTTTCGTATCGCCTTTCGATTCCCACAATATACGGACAAGGGGCTTCTAGGGCCTGGATAAGACGAGCTGGTAACACTGGGATTAACACTCCCGCCCAAGTGAAAGGGAACAAGAGGTCAACAAGAGTCCTTGTAGCTAAATATAACATAGACGTGTGCGATGAGAGAAAAATGATTCTAGACTCTGCCAGAGCATACTAGAAACAGTTAGCAATTTCAAGTTCTTGGGTTAGCACTATAAGCACTTACCTCGAAAAGAACAATAATGTTTGATATAGACAGGGAACGGAAAAGAGCATATAAATCAGTCTGTATATGAATCAGCAAAATGCGCTAACTTCTCCAAATTAAACCCAGTAAACTCACATTTCGAGACCCCGGGAGCTCATTCGGGGCTTCTTTTCGGGCGAAAAGCCGCAGCTCTCGTACAGATAACTCAACCTGAGTTTTTGACGATATGGGGCTGAATGCTTCCGTACAGAGGTTCATAACATATCTTTCTAGCGGTTGCCAGATACCAACTGTAGGAGAGCTAGCCGGAACTCTCAAGACGCCTCCATTGGTCCGAGGAACTGCCACGGCCTTGAGCCATTCCTTCCAGAAACTGGTCATGGAAGCGTTCTTTCCCATGATACCATATGCTCTAGGGATCCAAAAACCGGAGTCATCTGTCAAGCCTTCGATTTTGGATGCTGCACCGTGTCGTACCGGTCGAAGAAGGTCCGTCATCAGTCCGATTTTCTCCTCAACAGCACTAATGTCATCCTCAAGTTTTTCTCTCTCCGGAGATCCAGAAGGGACTGTGGGAAGACGGGCCAAAAGGGTGGAAAGCTTGGCTCGTTCATCAGCCAATCTCCCTCCTAGACTTGCGGCGAGTTCTCGTTCCTCATCGGTCATATTATCCTTGCGCCATTCTTCACAACATTCTTCAAGTGCTTCGGCAGCTTTCTGGCCCAACGGAATCCATAATATAATGCAAACACCGTGCAGCTTGCTGCCATCACCAGTAGTCATAACGAAACCATGCCATGTCGAGCGGGGTTTTTGATCCGACGAAACGATATTGATATCGTTGGGAAATGCGAACATTGGTACGTAGTCAGGAAATGTCCCTCGCTGGACATGTTCGTCGACCATGCCTTTCTGAGGATACCGGTCCAGCAATACCGGCTCGAACCTTCGCTTCAGAGGATGCATTGATGGTGAGGTATCGAGTGGCTGAGGAACGGGTATAACTGAGTTGTAATTGCTCAATCGTCGAGATGTGCGGACTGACGCTATTCAATATTAGTCTGCTGTCCAAATTTAGAGTAGCAAAACTCAAATTGCGTACCTTGTCGAGCAAGTGATGGCTGCCGCTTCATGCTGTTCATATCCCTGAAAGACATATGACGCCGGACACTGCCAATGCCAGACTTGAGCGGATTTGTCGACGCAGGCTTTTCTTCTGATACAATCTTCTGCATCTTCGCTCGAGGCTTGGGTCGTGCGGGGGTGATGGCGCCAGCACTCAGACTCAAATCCGTCAAAAAGGACTCTCTCTCGGAGGCGAACTTGAGCAGCGCTTTATCAAAGTCGAATTCACCATTTCCTAGTTCAAAGTTCTCCATGGACGCGGTGGACGCACGAATGGTCATGCTGCTCCGGTTGCTATTGCTCCCTGCTCCCTTGGGATCGGAGAGCTTTGAATCGCCTGAGTAGATGGAAAAGCGAGGGTCGGTCGACAGCCTCGACAGTCGATTGAGCGAATTTCTGTTGCTGGATGTTAGCTCAGTGCCGTTGGCACTGGCCCTGGCGTGGTCTTCTTCATGCTCGGCATCCTCCTCAATAGTATCGGAGACGGCAGGTCCCGGGGCACTCTCTCGCTTGCTCAGATATTCATTTCGCAGCCTCCAGTAGGTATCTTCGATTTCCTGGCCGTCGACACCGGCAATCCAGAAGAAGTCGGCGAGAGGGGTGGTGGACTCGGGGGTGGCTGCTAGAGGCATCCTTGTGGTGGGCGGCGGAGGGAGCTGTGAGGGCGCATTTGCTTGTGCTGCCAGGGGGCTGGGATCACAATTGACGACGCACTGTTACAGATAATTAGTGGACATTCTCAAATCCGGTGGCGGCGAGCGAATGCAGCATTCTACGGTTGTGTTGCGAGGAAGAGAGGGGGCAGTTGTTAATAATAATTTTTAGGGGGGGGCGGCGCGCAGAGTCGCGGGGTCTCAGATTTGGCTTGGGTTCAAACGGAACTGAAGATCATGGACGAACCGGGAACTAGAGTGCAGGTGGCGTTGGACTGCGAATGGATATTATAATATTAATTGATGGTATTCGACGGCCTTTGATGCTAGGCACAGATAGCAGGCACGCGAGGCGACGATGGAGATGAGTGCAGGAGGAAAGAAAGCTCCTGCTACGGTGCTACCTCTAGTCGTTTACCGTCTGCGTCGCTGGGGAACTCCACTATCAGCCAGCCGGACTGGAGTGCACCTCCAAGACATTTTGCGCCTTGGCCAACCGAAACAGTTTGCACAACTCACTAGGAACTACTAACAGGCACTACCAACAGTCAGCTGTCGGCCCTGACGCAGGAACGCCCAACTTCAACCCAGTCCTTAGACTCTTTGGTGCACGCTCCGACTGGTATATCCACAGTGGTACGTATTACTTCGCCCTCGGCATTGGGAGTCTGTCTGGTCTTTTCGGGTCATTATCGTTGTTAGTGCTGTGCTATTTGCTATGGCGGCCTTATCGACATGGCCCCTCGCCCCCGGTTGCATCGAATCAAGGGACTCGGGGGCGTGGAGCGGCCCTTAAAATAAGGAAGAGTCCCATGGGTGTATGAGCACGCTGCTTCAGGCAAGGATCTTCTTGCTCCTACTGTCCGGGTTGATCCTGTACGGTAGGTTTGATGTAGTTATATTGCACTACGTACATTACTCATGTTTATCATAACAGATGATGTAGTGTATTTATACGTTATTGAGAATAATACCTCAGGGTTACATATACAAACGCTCAGGGTTTCAGATGCACCCCATAGAGTAGCCGCCATTCACAGGTACTCGAAATGCGGGTCGGGACACTAGATAGAATGCTACTGCATGTGCTAGCAAAAAGTTATCAATAATAATTCAACACGGTATAATCTACCTTCGCATGCACAGCTTCTCAAGACATCCGGAGCATTCCCCCGTCAGTTTTCTTGAATAATTCCTGTGACGACCACATCAATTGATATACGTATTATGAAGGCATAGTTAGAGTTAGGGTACCCGGCGGCGCAACTCCATTGGAGCGTCGGCCCCAGAGCTGACGTAGTGTCGACTCTGGATTCCACCTAGCGGATATAATTGGTCGGTATATACTCTCAAGGTTCATATGTACTATACAAAGGCAGTGCTTCAATATATAATTGATATAGCTTGTAATGTTCATCTGGCTCGTATTAAAGTGTGCGCTTACTGCCGCTTTCTCGTAAGCAAGTTACCTGTCGTAAGAAACCCGCGGTCGCCCATTGCACTGCGCCATTCAATGGAGAGCTGCCCAAGCGTTGTGCGTCCGTCTCGCTTCAGGTCTTTCTGCAGAGCCTCGAGGCCCTCTGACTGACCAGCCTCCTGCTCGATGAGGAACGCCACCTGCAAAATATCCCGGGGATTCATCGTCGGCCGCTCGATTTGGACCTTGTCGGGCCGCTCCAGGTCCCAGTTCAGAGTCTTTGCCTTGAAAGGCGGCTTGGCGTTTAACGTTGTTTGCTAAGGGTGAATGAGTTAGTGGCTATAACAAATTTTGGTTTGCACAAATATTCATAGCTTACCTCAACAACGACGGACCCGTCCCCGACATTTTCGAGCTGGGCTTCTAGAGCAAAGCGAATGAGACGCGTCTTCCCATAAGGCCCCAAGGTCTTGTTGTCGATTTCTAATGGCGGAAGCTCCGATGACTTGGTGCGAACACTCAGGCATGGCTGGGCGATGAATTGATATAGTTTGCGAAATGTCCTAACCCTCCCGCCAGCAGCATGTGTGGCATCTGACATTAACGTTTCTGTATAGCTGACGTTGACGGCTAATATGTGGTTCCCTTCTTCTTTGAGGTCAAACTGTACTATCTTCTGAAAGGACTGGCCGGGAGCGAGTCCTCCTTCTCTACGCGTGTCATCGTCGGCGGGTTTGAGGTCTAATGGTACCGCTTGTGACGGCGTCTGCATCTCAGCGAGAACGCGGATTGATGTGACTACCTTGTTGCTGTCGGTTTCTGACAATTCGTTGTTGACGCATAATGAGCACGCAAACGTCTCGCCGACATAGGCGGACCCAAATGCTGGAGGTAGTGTGACCTTCCAAGATCAGAAAAACACTGGAGTGAAGAAGAAAAACAGACTCGAGTAACTTACATTAGGGCTGAGAGTAAACTGGCTATCAAAATCATTCGATGGATAGGCTAGGGAGGCTTTCGGTGATATTCTAGTGTCCTCTACTGCCAAAGGATACTGGTATGATAATGAAGGCCGTGAGAGTCTAGGACGGAGATATACCCATATTAGCAAGACAAGGTTTTTCATGTACAGGAACTACCAACCGTAGAACTAAAGAAGGATTAGTAAAAGACTATGTATCCTCTCAACCGACTCACCTTTGAGGGACACAGCATGGGGCTCCTTGGGCCCATCGGCTGCGGAATGAGCACGTGGCCGTGCCATTACTGGGGTGGAGGGTTGGTCGATATGATTCAATAAATCGATTTCCGGTGTCGTTGAACAATAGGTCAGAGCAATACACCGCCTAGGCACTATTGTATCCCTTTTTATGGTGCAAAGGTAATATCCTCCTGCACAACGGTGGAATAGACGCAGTACTATGTATCGAGCTGAGTTTGTATTTGTCTTCTTCTATTCTCATTGCCGCCTCAGATCAAGCTGTGGATGTCAAAATATTCGATTCCTGTTTTGATGTTCGGTCAGGTACCAACCGTAAAAGTCTATCGCATAGATTTGCCAGGTTTTCGTGTTGTTGACGACAGTGCTAGTATCAATAGCGGTCAAACAGAGGGTTGGTTTGATGCTGTTTCAACTGTTTGCACACTCAGCTCCACTGGTGATTGGCCCCGCCGCTAGTGCGCGGAGGCAGGGAGCAATCGATAAGTGGCAAACGCGCTAGTCTTATCGTCATTATCTGCGTCGCGATTTCCTGTCTGGAATAGAAGAATTGCCCCTGAAAAACATCGCAAGTGCATTGTTATCATTCACGCTTCAGGCGCTTGATAACCCTGCATTTGATATCACGATGTACAGCTCGAAGAGACGTTCTGACCTGGTCGCGCCGGATATGGATGAAGGATTTGGTACAGGACTCGATGCGCTGCCTCCCAAGAGGCGTGCTCGCAATGAACCTCCATCGAAGCGACGTCGCCAAACCGCAACCACGCCAACGAATCCCAAGATCATGATCGACTTGACCGGCTTCTCCGATAGTGCAGAAACAGAACCTCCATTGGAAAAGAGCAGAAAGAAGGCAACCCCAGCGACCGAGAAGCGCGCCAAAAGATTCAGAAACCATGCACCGCAGTCATACCTCGAAAAGCTCTATCGCGCAAGAACTCAGAAGTACATTGCTGCATTCTTCAACTTAGCACTTCCACAACTAACTAGGGTTGCAGGATGTTTGTTATCCGTCGCACCCGTCAAAGTGCGGGAGGTGTCCCGGAGGAGAAAGTTGATATGGTGGGGACGACTGGGAATATCTATACGGTCACCATTTCGACGACGCCTTGGTGTTCCTGTCCCGATTCGAGCAAGGGGAATCAATGCAAACACATCGTATACGTATGTTTCCATGCATTACTTGTGTTACCTTAGTTGCTGATCTCCGCAGGTCCTCGTGAATGTGCTGAAAGCTCGAGCTGAATTACAATATCAACTAGCGTTTCTCTTTTCGGTAAGTAAAATTGACCACCATCCACGCCTAAGGTAAAAATTCTTACATGGCGTTACAGGAACTGGTGGAAATGCTCGGAAATTCACCTATTCATCCCGTTAGATCCGACTCCGGTACCAACACCGACAAAGCAGGAAAGCGCAAGCCGATCGAAGGTGACTGTCCAATCTGCTTCATGGAGTTTGATGCGCAAAACGAGCAAATCGTCTGGTGCAAGAACTCATGTGGTAATAATATCCACAAAACCTGCTTTGCGCAATGGGCCGCAACTACGCAGAAGAGAAAGGTGGAGTGTGTTTATTGGTGAGTACTATCCCACAATCCTCTCTCCGTATCAAGAATCTAACGTAGCTACAACAATCAGTCGTGCTGAGTGGGAGTCGGAGCTAGAAAATTTAGACGCCGAATCTCTCTTGAGGAGTGATCGCGTGGGCGCAGATGGTTATGTTAATGTGGCAGCTGAACTGGGTTTATCAGGTCGGCGGGACTATTCTACCTATAACCAGTTCTGGGTGGATCGCCATCTTGATCGTGAGCGGTACTATCCTTATCGTTCAAGATACTATCGATGAACTAGCCCCTTTGCTGCTAATATGCAATGCACTGAAGTAATCCATATGTTCCCACTGTTTGGAATCCAAGGCGAACGGCCAAGGCGTTGGTTTGTCAACAACTTAGATACCAATTGACTGACTTTCCTATGTTAAACTTTATCAATTGAATTCTCATCCTAATACAATTAATACAATTGGGTATCTCTCCACAGCACAAAACCTAACACCAAACGCCAGCAAAACAATAAGCTAGTATAATCCGATTACCTTGCAGTCCTCTGTTCTCTGTCCGAACGCACTCTCTTCCCCCGCCGTGCCACCATTGAGCTCACACCTTCCTCACCCGTCATCCACGATGGCATTCGGGTCGGATCAATGATCCCTATCTCTGCTAACTTGCGTAGCCCTGAAACAACATTGATCCCAGTAAATGAAAGGCCCATGGCGTATTCACCGTTTTCCATGTACGCCTTGACCCTTTCAGATCCATCCTGTGCGTTATCGTCATCGTCATCATCATGATAATCGAGTAGTCGGACATCTAATCGGTCAAGCGCTGCAGGGGAAGATATACTCCCGGACGTGCCGAATCGTGTAGAGACAACAAATTTCCGCTTCTTCGTGGCTGGTGAATCTTCACCATGCGATCTCCGCTTTGACTCCTCCGTATCTATTTCTGATAATGACGCAATATCCCCCTTCTCTGCTAGTGCGTCGCCCTGCGAATATTCCTCGGCTGACACCGTAGCTGGAGGCCGTGGATCAATCGGCGTGCCTTCGACGACGGCATCAGCGAAGATGCTAAAGGCGCCGTTTGCCATGTTCGTTCGCCCTGCACCGCGCAAGGTGAGTAGTGCATCTAGACTCTTGGCAGTCAGGGAGGTGGGTTCTAGATTATAACGTTCGTGTTGCTGTGAGAGAGCTCTAGCGATTGCATTACGCACAATGCTTCTCAAGGCTCGAGAATCAGTGCCTATGGTTGCGGCAGATGCTATCCCCGTCGTCGCCGACATGGAGGTATATATAAACGGACTGCTATCTGGAAATGCAATATATACAATCCTTGACGAATCCAAATACGCCGCGGGATTCTGACGCGGGTATTGATAAGGCGAGTCAGTGATAAAAACCCGAAGCAAAGTAAGCGGATACGCTTTCGACCGCGCTAGATGATAGTGCGCTTTCACCAGAGGCGATATCTCGCGCTGTAGATTCGACAGGAACGTAACAGCATGCAGACGAGGCAGACACGGAGACAAATCCGTCGATTTGGGGTCTGTATTCGGCTTCTTGTCTGCAGAAACCAGCCGGAACGCGGTCCATTTCTGAGCCGTCGGATGATCCTCCAAATATCGGATATCGACCATTGCCAGCTGGCCAAGCGTGATACCGTGCCTCCAGTCCCCCTCTAACACCCTATCGATGACTTCCCGTTTACCGCCTTTTCGGCCCTGTAGTTCTTCGTATGCGTTGCGGACATCTTCGATGCTGTGGGCGGCCGGATAAGGGCTGTTCTCTTGATCGTCGTCGTTTGCTGATGAGTCTCGGTGAAGAAAAGGCGGGTAGCGAGTGAGATTCTGTTTTGACAACCATAGAGAGACGAGGTCGAGGAGCGATTGTCGAGATAGCTTTCCGATTGTTTTGACTAGCGACGCCGTGCTACTGGGTATGCGTAGATCATTGGGTAGACTGGACGTAGTTGGGGCACGAATGCGTTTTGATTTTGCCATGGCGCCGGAGAAGAGAATACATGTACCTCAGACAGTGCCAGGTTCTGCGGTCATTCTCCTGCTGGTTGTGATTGTTCCCCTCGTTGGAGAAAAGAATCAAGCGCGACGCGTGCTCAAACCTCAGTGTGATAAGGATCACGTGGAGATAAGCAATATAGCTAGTACAAGTTTGTGTTAGCGTCATTTCTGGCCTACAATTCCAGCGTGATAATTGGACGAGCTGCACAGGAATGCCTTATCTTTCGCTCTTTGTACTTTCATGTACGGAGTATACTGTAGGAATACTCAAGACTGATTAATCAATCTACACCAATTGCCTCGATGGCTACTGCTGTAGCACACTACTAACAGCTGGGTGAATTCACATATGAAATAACTAAGTAGCGGTGCATTAGCCATATGCATATGCACCGACGGTGACAACGCGAAACAATCACGACATTTGAAGCTACAAAAGACAATACATCCATATGACCTGACAACTGATATTCTCCGCACTCGATACGATTCAGATCGCCTGTCAACAATATGTACCACGCGGGAAAGCGACGCATGAATTGGCGGAAACTGCCGTCGCTTTCTTTGTGCCATTGTGGTGAGGAGGAGGATTGGTAATATCGCGCAGCCAACCACGGCGGAAGAAGCTCACGCGTGGGGGTGGTGCTTACAGACTACTAACAGAAATGTGTTATGGTTATGAGTTATGACCTGCAGCTAGCAGCTCCTCGCTAGCAGCAGCAGGGTGCTGCCAGGCTAGGCCGAGAGAGGGGTAGAAGGCGCGATTATTAATGCGTCTTCCGAGTTCTCGTCCCGAGGGCCACGAAAGTCGCCTCCGATGATCGGGCTGTTGCCACGCAGTCATAATGCTTTCATCGTGGCGATCGGTTTCTACAGACTGAGAGTGAGGTAGCTTGCCAGTACAGCAAGTCAGTAAGGAGTATGCTTGATATCGATGGTGATATCGCGAATTCACATGTAAAGCAGAAGAACTTGAGAAGTAGTACATAAAGAGGAGTAGAGTGACAACGCAATGACAAAGAACAATAGCAGCCTCAGGCAGAATCGTCACTGCCGCGATGGCCGCCGACGGCTGGTGGGGCGCCTTCCGGTGCGTGTTCTGCGGCCAATCAAGGCTGCCCTCACCCGGTCCGGCTCAGCAGCCCACCTTTACCACCCACCATGGCCCTGGAAAACCTCGTTCCTTTTTCTTCGCTCCTCTCCAGCTGCCTGCCTGCCTGTCTCTCAGCCCACGACCTGTCTCAATCCCCAGATTTAGACACAGGCATCGATCTCGACTTATCACCTACGCGACCATCGAGTTCTCTGTGTCGTGAGGACGTTGCAGACATTGCTACGGCACCGTCCCGAAACGTCGGATATCGCCGACTTTGACGCTCTGCTGGAGGAATAGTTTGAACATTCGATCCTCCTCGTATCAATCCCGTATCGATCATCGCGAGAATATTGGAATTGCTTGGAATATCGACGACGAACCGAGATATAATTTACGACCACCATGTCGGGTTTCGGTGGGCGTCGCGCCCCCAGTTTCGCCCAGTATCTGGACGACTTGAATACCATTCCATCGCCCTACGATCAGTCGCTGCAACAACAACAAAATGAATCGTTCAACATCGATGCCGAGCTCGAGTTGTTCACGAACACAGAGTTCCTGGACTTTGGCCACTTTGGCGACATGTCCCTGCCCCTCGCGTACAACCCCGCCGAGGATGAGAAGCCGCAGGAGAAGAAGCCTAATACCTCGGGGAAGCATGGCGATATGAACTACATGGATATGTTGAATGGTGAGTCTACTTGGATGCCGTATGCAAATTGCGTTTGATTTCGCTTTTGTTACATTTCTTTGCTTTGCTTTTCTTTTCTTTTCATGTGGGCACGCGATGAGTGTCAAATAGTTTTGCGACATGGCAGACTTAAAACCAGCCATTATCGCTGAGCTCCCAGCGCTCCCTATCAATCTTGGACAATGTCAACTATGGCCGTCTAGTCATCTGCTTTTTTTTGCGCATTTGTTTCGTTTCATACTACAGGACTGTGACGGGCGAAGACCCTTGCGTGGCTCTCCTATCCACCGCCATCAAACTTTGCAAGCCAAATACATTGTTGGCAATCTATTTGCCAGGGGGCTGCAACCTCGATGGGGCCGAACTTGAAGGCGCTGCGCAAGTGCTATTGGTTACCCCTGGCGTGCCGTTCGTGAAATATCACGACATTTCACGTGACCTCAACACTCCCCGGCAGAGCTGTGCGGGGAGGGTATCCTGCCCAAGCGCAATGCCATCCTCTTTTCTTTGGTCTTGATTTGCAATGCATGCGTCCATGGTCTTCTATCATTTGTGTTTTCATGGCCTTGTCGTGTATGCGGCAGTATTACTGTCGCCGCATAAGCAAACCAGCCTACTGACAATACTTTGCATGTCTAGATTTCAACGGTATGCCTGAATACTCCAATGAGTTCAACTCTGCATCGCACACTATGCCAATGAACACAGCCTTCCCGTCGCTTTCTGCCGCCGATGAATCCACATTCACCAGTGACTCTCTGGAGAAGGCCGCCTCGATCACAACACAGACACCCAAGTCTAGCTCATCCCCTGCTGCTGGCTCTGTGGGAACTGTTTCCACCCCCATCCAGGTTACTGGAGGCAAACGCAAGCAATCTCAAGATTCGAAGAACCTGGACGAATCCGCTCGCCAGGCAGCTGAAGAAGACAAGCGTCGAAGAAACACTGCCGCAAGTGCCCGCTTCCGTGTCAAGAAGAAGCAACGCGAGCAAGCCCTGGAGCGCTCCGTCAAGGAAGCAAACGAGAAGAACTCGGCATTGGAGGCCCGATTATCACAACTAGAACTTGAAAACAAGTGGCTGAAGAACCTGATCACCGAAAAGAACGGCGAAGACTCAACAGACATTACCCAGAAGAGCGAGACTGACATCGCTCAGATGTTCAAGAAGTTTCTAGCCAGCCAGAAGTCTACTGGCGAGCGTCAAACTTCCAGCTCCAAAATCGGCGTGGGCACTGCCTGATTCATAAATTAAAAAGAAAATAAAATCAAAAACAAAAAAGAAAGTGATCGAATCCACTTTAATTTATGATATACGCTTTTCTGCATGTTATATTCAATAGAGGTGGACACGGAATACCCACCGGCTTGATTGTGTCATATTCAATTTCATGTCTCGCTTTTTGATAGGGGGTTCTTGGGGGTTGGGTTGAGGTGAGGTGTTATACTGCTGGGAGGTAGACGTCACTTTTAAACGCTGCTCTTTTTTTCAGGTTCGCTGCGTGCGTTCAACTATATCGTTGTGTTTTGAATCTCACAATACACTACGTCGTTGATTGTAGATATACCAATTCCATTCACTCTGGTAATGTCAACTGCCTTGCACATACTATTCATTCATATCCATATAGTCTTAAGAAAATCACTAGGTCGCCATATCACACCTAGGATTGAAAGAGTAATAAACATTGTTCGCTAGTGCATGTATGTAAAGTTAACCACACCCACTTCCAATCATATCCGGTATTCATTTCTATTAAAATCGCTCCTTTCAATTCTCATGATCTGCTCCTTCTTCGCTATTTCTACCCTTCTCTTCATCTTCTTCCAACTCTTCCACAGGCGGTTCTTTGATTGATGGGTTCAGCTCCTCGCCCGTGGCCCGTTCTTCATGGCTTGACTCGGCCTTTTCTCGGGTATCGATGTGTTCTTCTTCATCTTGAGCACCTTCGCTCTCGCCGGAGATTTCGCCCCAGCCAGAACTTCGTCGACTGATTCGGCCTGGCATAGTGTTGGGGTTCGAGGCAGCGGTGGTAGTGGCGGCAGGAGGGTTGTTGGTATTAGTATTATTATTAGGCAATGCACTTCCTGTGATACTGCCAGTCGTACTGTCATTCCTTGTATGACCGTGGAGGCTGCTTCGAATGCTGCCGTTGTCGCCCTGCTTGCTAGTGATCAAGCTACCTCGATCCCCTCCGGTAATCAGTGTAGTGGCTCCAGATGCTGAATAAACGCTTATCCGTTCTGCGCTAGCAAGACCCCCTAGGCTTTGGCGACTAAGAACACCTGGTGCATTTGACACGGATGCATTCGATGTATCGCCCACATTGCCGCTCAAAACACTTAGTGGGAGACTCTCACGACTACCCCCGAAGACGGAGGAAGGGGCTAGCGCTCTGACTGAAGCGTTAGTGTCGAGTGAATTTCTACGCCGGCGTTTAGAAGACGATGCAAGCGTGAGAATCGACGCATTGTCGGTCAGAAGATTATTAGCTATAGCTGTAGTGTAGGTTGTCGGCTGGCCGTTCGGCGCTAAATGAGGCGGGACAGCAGGCGCAGGAGAAGAGGGGAATTGGTGAGAGAAGTGGACCTGTTGGTTAGCAGCACCGTAAGTGGAATTCACGTGTGGCAGACTGGATCCATTTTGGGCCTGGTTGTTGTAAGCGCCATATATTTGAGTCGAGGGTGCTGTGGACTGTACAGTTGTCAAGGTTGTAGTCAATGACCGCACCGAGGGAGCAGGCGACGAAAAGGTGCTTCCTTCTCCTCCACCTGTCGTCCCGCCATGCCCTGTCGCCATTGTTCCAGCCTTTGAGTAGCCAGCTTCAGAACGAGCGGTATCGCCATTGGTAGACAAAGTTGGTGCCGTTGATTTCGCACTGTTCCCTAGGATGTTATGCTCTGAAACGGAAGTGTGTAGCGACAGTTGACTCGATGCATGTCCTTGGGTTTGTCCCGTCGACTCGGTGTATGAAACAGTGTCATTGTAGCTATGTGGCGGCGATCCAGCTCTCCCAATATTGCCTGACAGTGGATATGGATTATTGTTCTTGAATCCGTTTTGTTTCTTCCCTTTCAGCATCGACCCGTTGCTTCGCTTGCCGGATGTTCTGTTAGGATGAGACTCTGACGATGAGCTTTTCAGGCTCGTCAAACGCTTCACCCAGCTCGAAAATGGCTTTCGTCGACTATGGCGGTCTGTCCACGTAACTGTGAGTTGCTGTACAACCTCAACTAGAATAAAGGCATCCAACTTACCACCATTGGGGTTTGGAGTCTCAGCCATGGCCATTGTGCAGGGGGGGTTCTTGCAATGCTGAATTCTTTGCTAGAGCGGATCAGCTGTCGTCACTGAGATTCACCGTCCGTTGGGAAGGGGGGTTGCGCGATAACGGCGGCTAGCTTCTTGGTGATCAGGCTTTGGCAAGGCGGACGAGAAATTAATTGATAATAAATTAGGATCCTATGAGCAAGGTACTGAAAACAAGTCGAGATGCAGGAATGCTTTAGGTTATTTGGGTTGTTTCGCGGGGGTGGGTGCAGGAGTGGGTGAGTTATGGGCTGCCTAACAGCGAATGCAGCTGCGTTTGTACCCCCAGCAGCAGCTAATCAGACATGGCTGCGGCGCCATCCAACCCGCCACCAATCCGCAGAGCATACTTGTCTCCCCTGTCTACATACCTCAGGCCTAGGGCCCTGCGTTGACATCTCTTGCGATTTTCTAATACAAGGCTTTGCAGTTACTTATTTAATTAACGTCAATGCCCAAACCAACAACCGCGTGGCCCGCTCAATTCTCTGGGCCGAACCCATCTGGCAGATCCACTTGCACTAGATCTAGAACTGACTGTAATCACTTACCATGCTCAACATTTGAAGTCGCCAACAGGTATGTAGCACAGCTCAGCTTTCGTTGATATTATTAGTTGTCCGAATATTTACAAGTACATATGTATCGGGCCGCTTACCAGTATTCTTATGTGTGTATTGAATGTTATCCATTACATAGGAAATTGACGTGATCTCATTCAGTCCGGCATAAAAATATATATATGCATGGCCATCAATCGATACCTGCAGAACCTAGGAATTTCTTGTATGAATAGTGGGCGCTTAACATATACGATGCTCTGGGGGCCGCCAGGGTACTCCTAGAATCTGGAAGATTTGCTTCTCGTCTCGCCCCTCCACGAGACTGCCGTCAGTCAGTCTGACTTGATTCGGTCCCCGAAGAACATCCTTGAATAGTCCTCGCTGGTTCAGGCGCATTCCCTTCTTCCTAGCCAACAATCGCATGCTACGGTTGAAGATATCGTTGCCGGTGAAATACAACAAAGCTGCTCCAATCTGCTCACCTGGCACAAAGAGAAGATCAATCCGGCGCCATACATCTTTCCCAAGCAAGGCCGAAGCTCCGAGCCACTTGGAACCATCATCATGCGAGCTCACCGACAAGCTGGTTTTCAAAAACCCCTGTCGGACGAGTTTTGGAATCACGGAGTCAAGCATAAGAATTCTGATCGATTCGAGTGTGCCAGTGGGTTTGGTGATCAGAACATCAATATCACCGCAATCTGCAGCTCCGCGTCGATAGGAACCCGCTACTATAACTTCCATATTTGAGTCTACTGCATGGACAGCATCCCGCACAACCTTCCCATGCATACCCACCTCTTCCCGTGGAATGCGCTCTTGAAAGTCATAATATCGATCCACTCCAATTTTCTGATTCTCTGATAGCTCTGCTTTGGTCTTGAGGTCTTCTAAAGATCTGAATCCTTTGGCAACCCATCTGGTAGCTTGCGCATACCCTGCACCATATACACCAAGAAACAACTGCAATGCTTTGTCTTCTGGTGTAATATCAGTGTTTTCCAATCGCCGTAGACGGTCGGTGGAGACGATCTCCTCGATTTTATCTGCCAGACGACACCCAATGCCTGGGATAGCAAGGGCTTCTGCCTTGGTACTGATCTTTTTATTTTGTCTTCGCAGGGTTGCAATCGCCTTACGATAAGCCACAGTGCGCCAGTTATCGGCCGTTTTGCTGTAGTAGTCTGCCATTTTTTGCAATATTTCTATAGTTCGCGTGTTTGGGTTATCGGATTTTGCGGCCCCGTCGTGCTTTTGCATACAAGTAAAGTTCTTCTGCCATTCCGGAACATTCAAGTCGGACTGATTTTCCTGGTCATTATCTTTTTCTGCTTCTGGCTGATCTTGTAATATAGAATAAAGCACATCGTCATCATCATCATGGTCATCAAGAGGCTTTGATCGTCAGTCACAGCCTCGATTCCGCCAGCATCTTGTTTGACATACCAAATAATTCACCGATTTGACCTTTTGCACCATTTCATCAAGAATCTCATGGTTTGATTCTGGTTGATCCACGGTGTTTATTGTAGGATCGGTGGGGTTTTTCGTATTATCTGTTGATGGTGTAGCTAAAGAAAGGCCCTCGTCTTGACTAGCTGTTGGTGAGCGCCGATCACGCCGTCGGGGATCCTTTATACGGGGGGAAGATTCCGGATTTGTAGCAGTTTTGCTTGTGGACTGGCTACGAGTTGCTTTCGTTGGTATACCATCCACCCGAAAACGAGTTTGTGTAACGCTTAGGAGCTGCCCGAATTGGAGACAATCAGAAGGGTAATCTTGATTGACTATCGCTACTTCGCCCTATAATCTGCTCTTAGTAACGAATATTCAGCTATAAATGCCGGGGTTATGCTTACAGAGAGCTGTTCCGGGGTGAGCACTTTGCGTAGCTCGTCGAAGTTGAGTCCTTTGTCCACGATGACATGTGTAACATCCGAAGACCAAGTTTGAGCCCACAGAGCCCCATATTCCTGTGACCTCTGGACTCGTAGCTTCCGCGCAAGTGCAATAATGTTGTTTGGCACGAAGAAGAACTTGAGTCCTTTGAAGATTTGCTTTGATTCCGGTATGACTCTAAAGGGTTCTGCGCGGCTTTTCTTGCGATGCTCCGAGTTAGTGGATTCTGCTGGTCGCTTCATTTTGTTCTTGGTGTTTGGATCTTTATATAGCTTGTCACTGGAAGTCTTAGAAAGGGCTTTCTCATCTGTGCCTGACTTTGCAATCAAAGGCTGCTGGGCTGAGGAATCTCGACTGATTGTAGGTTGGTTTCTCCTCGATTGAGAGGCACGAAGGGTATTTTTCGAGATCTCAGGTGCACTTGATGTCTTCAAGAAGCCAGAGAACCCGGATGTGCTTTGCTCCTCGTCGCTCGAGTAGTCCAATCCATCAAGGTCGTGGAAGAAGTTGCTCTTATTTGACGACATCTTCTCAGGCCGCTATCGACCGGGGTGCTGTGGTGAAGGGCACCTGAAGCCATGAGCGTGCTGCCTAGAAGAGGAGTCTAGTTGTCCAAGGTCCTGTTCAGGCGCGTGTAATAATCATTGTCACCATTATAACTTTCTACTTTCCATTGATCTTTCGCTGTGGGGCTGGCGCCATGCATAATTGGCAGGCATAATTGGCAGGTGCATATGATGGCCTGCGCTAATGCAAACCATGGCGCCTGCCCAATCAGGCGGCGTCCGAGCGTAGGCCGCAACATCCAGAAAGTAATTTTGACTCCATCTCTCACTCGCCTCGCAGTCAGTCAACAGCAACAGTCAGGATGCTTGCTCCGGAGTCGCGTCTGTCACTTCTGCTAAGAGACCGTCGCTGCCTGCGCTGTCAGTTCCAGGCAGTCAGGCGCTCCAAGATCAGTCTTCGTTATTCCAGCAACACACCACAGCCATCAGCAGATAGCTCGGAAAATGAGATAGCACCGCTCGTACTCAACCGGCCTATTGGCCTCTTGCACCCTCCGGTACCAGGGCAAAATACTGGGCTCGATAAACGCTCGTTGAAAGAACGGCACAACGACTTTGTTAATAAGGACAAACACTCCCAACGAACGAAAGACTTGTGAGAATCCTAATTCCAAAAACAGCTTCGTGTTGTCCAAGAAAGCATCTATATGCTAATATAATCTTAATCGCAGGAAAAACCAACTCGCAAAGCCTTACTTTCGAGAATGGACGAACCTGCGCTACAATGACGGAAAGACGTTTATAGCAAACCCGCGACTTTTCAAGAGAGACCTATCATTTTATTTCCCCAACCTCTACGGAACTACACTGGCGTCCCCAAGCAAGCCACAAGACACAACAACAGTAATTCACGGAAAAGTCTCAGTTGTGAGCCTCTTTTCCAGTCTTTGGGCAGAGCAGCAAGTTGCGACATTCACGGACCTAAAACAGAACCCGGGACTCCTGGAGGCACTCAAAGTCGACCCGTCCATAGCACAGCAGGTATCCATCAACCTGGAGGAAAGTGCCATGAAGGCGTGGTTGGTCAGGATGTTTATGTGGAGATTGCGACGACAGCTGCCTGTCGAACAACACGATCGATATTTCCTTGTGCGAAAGGGGTTGACAGAACCAATCAAACAGTCAATTGGTATGCTCAACAGCAAAGTCGGCTACGTATACCTCTTAGATGACGTTGGTCACATTCGATGGGCTGGCAGTGGACCTGCGGCACCTGAAGAAAAGGAATCATTGAATGCGGGCCTTTTGAAGTTGATTCATGAGAAAAAGAGCCATGGCAGTAGCAGGTCTCGCCCCGAGTCTACGAGTGCTACTGAAACGACATCTGGTAAAGCAAAACCAAGGGTCATCCCGCACCAGACCGTGCGAACGGTTTAATACAATAATAGCAAAAAAACCAAACTGCAGTACATGTACAGAGCAGCTAGTACTTTTTTCATTAAACGGCATCTCATCCAATCGCAGCTTTCGGTACATAGACCATGCTTAAGCCACGTCCATAATTATATGCATAATATATAGTTCAAGGAATAAAAAACAAGACCACTTCAGGTCAGCCGATCAGGCCAAATCGCAGACGCCAGAACCCACTCCGAAATATAAACATTCCCATATATCAAAGGCGTGGAGAATGAAACATTGAAGATGTAAACCACCCTTAAAGCATACCCGAGATCCAGCTCGACATCATCATAATATTAACTGAAGATAAACAACATGAGGCAGCAGAATCCAATGAAAACACCAAGGATAATGCCATCCCGCCTCCGCTTGGCGCCGATTTTGCCTATCAACGAATTCATCCCTGGAATCTGTCCTGCTGCCCCAACAATGCGCCGGTTGATGCTCGCTAGTGTTTCGCCTTGGAGCCCGAAATTCTCATTAACGGCATAGGCCTGCGCCAGTACCCGATCCATCATATTGTGGCTATTATCAATACGCCCTCGCTCTTCAAGCATGTATTCAGCCTCCGCCGCATGCGGATTCGAGGATCTGTAGGCGTCGATATCTGAGCGAACATTGGAAAGCAGGTTCGCGCGGTCACGGGCTTCGGCGATGCTGGATGAAAGTCGCTGTAATTCTCGGCGGTGTTCGGCGAGAACTTCGCGATGGCGGGCTAGGTAGTTTTGCTTGAGGCCGGACGAGGTGAGGTTTGCTTCTGAATCGAGCAAGCGGGTGAGTTGGTTGATCAGGGATTCACGCTGTCAAGGCTCATTAATTTTTATTGTTGAATGCTTGAGTATGACTGTGGCAGTACCTTTTCGAGGAGTTCCTGTATTTTTTCTTCAACCTTTTGCTGTTCCTCCGTCGGTTTCACGGGTAATTGTGTCATCGATGCATATTGAGAATACGTATGGAAAAGACTTTCAGTCTGTATGGGCAAAAGAATACGGCGGTCATGTTAGTCATAGCCGACAGATATAAAGCCAAAGAGGGTAGATAATACCTGAGTCTCAAGAGACCTCGCCTGTTGTCGGAGCTGAGCCCATCCACCCCCTGTAGACGTGGTCATTTCGAATGCAGGATGATTAGAAACCGCAAGAGCAAAGGAAGAGAAATATAAATTTTCGATAAAACCATCGACTCTATCTCGTAACAGAAAGGGTATCGGCGGACATCTACAAGCACCAACTGAGCACTCAACTCTGAGGCAGATACTAATACATCGAACAAGCCAAATAATGACGACGACAGCGCCATACCACATTCAGCGCGGAAGCCATATGCCTCCTCACGTGACTATGAACCGTGGCTAGTGCCCTGCGGCTTGATGCAGTTTAGCGCAGAATCGCACTCACTTTCGCGAGAAACCCTAGTCCCACAACCCGCCAAAAATTGACGGTCGGTCGCTATCTTCAAACCTGCAACTCGACAATCCACGACAACGACTCGAAGCCGCACACAATGGTATGTCAGGGATTACGACTGTTCTATCGCTTTTATTTTATGCTCGGAGTACTGATTTTTCTTTATCTATTAGTCGAGCGCCAAGGTCAAGACCAACCAGCTCTGGGGAAAGAGCAAGGATGAGCTCACCAAGCAACTCGATGAGTTGAAGACTGAGCTCGGTCAGCTCCGTGTCCAGAAGATCTCCCAGGGTGCTTCTTCCAAGCTGAACAGAATGTACGTTTATACACCGCGCTGCGCACAATATCCGATGTCCATGAATGCCAAGCGAGAGACGGCTGTTTGTGGGAAGAAAAAGGACAAGAAGAAAAAGAGAAAAGGGATAGGAAGGGAAAACGAGCGAATTCGAAAACAACAGCAAATCAAATTCAACCCTCAATACACCCCGATCTTTCAGCTACAGGCACAGGAATTGGATATTTTTCAGAATCCGAAAAGGATAAGGCTAACCAGATCCCAGTCACGATGTTCGCAAGTCGATCGCCCGCATCTTGACTGTCATCAAGGCCAACCAGCGCTCTCAATTGCGTCTCTTCTACAAGGGCAAGAAGTATCTCCCTCTTGACCTCCGACCAAAGCAGACCCGCGCCATCCGTCGACGCCTCACCAAGCACGAGGCCACGCTCATCACAGAGAAGCAGCGCAAGAAGAACATCCATTTTCCTCAGCGGAAGTATGCCGTCAAGGTGAGTTCTCGTCCTCGACAATTACTTGTGTTCTATGTTTGATGTAATGCTAATGTTGTTCATTACTAGGCATAAAAAATGAATGCATGACTTGTGTTGCTGGGGCGTGGGTGACTTAGATGCTGGGTGTTTTCTGAATCCCGTAAACGTATCTAACATGGGTTATTTTTTTCTCCCTTTTTTCATGCGTCAATCTTAAAATAAAGAGCGGGAACTGTATCTTAGTTAAGAGATGCAGACTTGACATTTCCATACCTTGCATAATGGAAGTTTTTGACATGACATTTTTCATTCTACATTTGATTCTAGAAGCAAGTATTATAATATCGTCCAGGTCTGTATGAAGAAAAGAAGTAGTGCATCCAATATGCGATATCCAAGTGTTTTAGATTTTGAAGATCGCCATACATAGAAGAAAACCAACCAGCTCATATGCACCCCGGCTGCCTGATGTAATCTCATCATCCTACCTTGCGCACAGGAACATCCGGGGCCGGAGCCCCTGCTTCAAAAGTCCACATACCGCCACAGAGACAATTCCGAATAACCTGCATTCGAATGACCATCCTAAAATACAGCGCAGACCGCGGGGTCGAGGTATCCCCTGATATCTCGCAACAACGAACACAGCGCCGACGCGCCAAACTGCTTGCCACGGGCTGGTCCTTACCTTGCTGTGATTCACCGGGTTCTACAATCCCGTTCTCATCCAGCATAAATCCTCGTAGAGGAATCTTCTTTAAGACGTCGACCTGTCGAGTCCGACGGTAGTATTCCGTGCGTCGATCATTAGACAGACCTAACCAGCTGTAGTCTGTCAGGTAGATGGCCATTTGGTCGATTTGGGCTTTGATGCCGGGGATGATCTGTTTGAAGAGTGCACTGGCGGCGGGAATTAGGACCGCGGGGATGCGAGAGTTGACTAAGAGTTCTTTCTCTGGGGTGCGCCGTTCATTGTCTTCGAAACCGGCCTTTTGGTAGGTAAACCGGATCGCGTTGTCCACTTCGCTCAGGAATTTCTCGTAGATGTTGGTTGGGACTGGGGAGTTGTTTATCATTTGGAAGAGTTCTGCATAGTACATCCGAGTATTCCCGGGGATAGGAAGCGCTGTATGACCCGTGGACAGGCCGCGTAGTCCTCGACAGATGAAGTGAAGGAAGGCTCGTGACATGCTTGCCAGGATCAGGGTGAGAGACAGCGAGGATGTCGATTTCACTATTTATCATATTAGCTGTGTCCGCCATTAACTAGATATATTGATGGAGTGTAATTACATTTTTGTACAAAGGCTTCTTGATCGTCTAAGACTGGCTCAAATTCCTCAGCCAGTTCGAATAAATCATCCAGAATAAATCGAGAGAAATCCAAAGCCCATTTGGTATTGCCGTATATCATTCGCAAAACGTCTAACGTCCAAAGTTAGCCTCTCCTATTGTCTATAGAGTAAGGGTAGCATACCATTATCAAATGGCTCGTGTTCTTTGGCTGTCTTCGTATATCCTAAAAAGAATGCAAACAAAACGGACGTATGACGTAAATTAAGGATGGCCCAAGCAACTGATGATGGCAAGTTGCGAGGGGCAAAATGGTTTTGAAATCCAAGAGCGGCCTGGACGCTCAGACAACGAGGAATGTACTGATGTTGCATAAGCTTTTCTTGTTCGGTGGTGAAATTACAACTAATGGGCAATGCTCGGTAAACTTCATTGATAAAGGCGTTCTGCGCATCTAATCGGGCTTAGTCATGTATTTTCCTTCTAGGCAAGAAGACTTACCAGGTGATAGATTGCGTATAAGGATGGTTAAAAGATCGTCCGTATTATATTCGCTGGCACAACCACGACCAAATGCCAGCGCTAGGGCTGCGATCCCGGCGGAATACTTATCTGCCAGGTTGATTAGTCTGGCTCGTCCCTATCAACTGACACAAGATCTACAAGGCACATACTCTCGTCATATAAATCACCTTGCGAATCAAAGGAAGGCTCCATCAGTCGAAGCCGGGCCTGCCATTCGCCATCCAAAGCAATAGAAACGCAACCGTTAGGGGAGAAACAGGTGTGAAGACCTGCTACATGTTAGACACACGCCCCTCGAATAGAGTAGTTACAGCATAGCACAAACCTGGAACATCAAGGGGGTAGCGAAAGCCCGCTTGAGACATACTCGTAACTGTGTTCGGGTCGTCCATCCCAATGAAGCTAGTCATCGTCCTTGGGTCGAAGAAAGATACGGAACTATCGTCGTATGTCACCGCCAAAACATTCCCGAACTCGATCTGATCGACGGAAACTACATATCTATCGGAAGATATATCGTCTAAGCGTCGAAGCTCTACTTTTGTCTAGATCGCGTCAGCGGGTATGTCTCTTATGCTATTGACCGATTTCATTACCTTATTCTGACCACTCGCTTTCTTTGGCACCAGTTCCTCAAAAACTGGATGGAGACTCAAATTCGTAGTCTCTAACTGCCACCTAACCATTACAGACGAGGGTGACATTTGGGGTCGGGCGGCATGGTTGGGGGCGTGTATTGGAGTCGAATAAATTGCTAGTATCCAGGGACTAGAGAATGAGTTCCCTGTGTTATCGGATTGCCCAGCAATTATGTCAAGACTAGTCAGTTGATATAGCGAGTTTTTGGATGACGAAGACTCGGCTAAATTCTCGGTCTCACTCTTTTTTGTTGTGAATAGCCTGCCAGGATTCACAGTCTTGTAATGAGTGATACCAAATGTAGGTACAGGGAAAGCCAATGCACCAGTAGCCTGCCTCTGTGGGTTCGGGTCCCAATGTGATGGATTCCATGTAACTTCGAGCCGATATAAGCTGATTTTCTCAGAGAGTGAGTGGGCGGCCACAAGAACACCATCTGAAAATAAAATAAAATAACCTATTTAGCTCTTGCATGACAAAAGGTAAAGGAAAGGTGTCAATTCATACTTGGAGTGGCTAAGAAAGCTGCATGTGTTAGAATGCGGTCAGACTGGCTCGTTGTCTTCAGCTCAGCCGAAATTTCTGCCCATCTGTTGTCAGGGTTCTGATAGATAAGCTTAATTGTCCCTACTCTAGTCACACAAGCAAGTGCTGGCTTCCCTCCGGGATGGAAAGGGCCAATGGGTTTGCGTTGAAAGGGGGAATAGTTCCACCGTCCGTTCAATTTGGCAGCTTGGTTGAAAGCAGGTACCTGGATGATGTTGTGAGCAGACAAAGCTTTCCCTCTCTTTTCCGTGAGATATAAGATACTAGTTTTTATAGAAACATACTGCACGATTGATATTAACCCACATCATTCCCACAACCTGAGCGCCGTCATCGGCCTGGTCCAGAACAGTCTGTCGGCTCATCACAATATTGTTCAAGGCAGTGGAGATGGAGAAGATGGATATCCGGCCAGAGGTATCAATGACGGCCAGATCAGTGCCACTCTCGTTCCAACAGATGTGAGCCAAAAACTGGCCCCCATGAGTCTCTGTGGTCTGATTGAGTGGATACTCTTCGCTCAGTGTCCATTTGCCGTCGGAGGGTTGGCATACCAAGTGGCGGACTGCCACATGGAGGCTATCCTGTGATATATATGCAATGCAGCCCATTCTCGACCAGGCAATTTTCCTGTTCTCAGTCAGCCGATGTTTCTGCATCGGCATGCGAACATATAACAGATTCCACATACTGACAGCAACCCAACAACCGCATCTCATCTACGCGTTGAGCCAGGCCCTTGGTGGGCTGTGGCGCTGACAGCCCGAGATCTAGCGAAGCTGGATCTCCAAAGAGATCGTCCACGTCAAGACTCTCATCCATGATCATTGGCATTCCGAGGGCGGCTTGGAAATCCGGTGTTTAGAATGATAGGAAATGGACTTGGTCAAATTCAGCCTTTGATGCTTCAAATCAGAAAGCTAGAAGATCGCACTAAGTAAATTGTCATATTCAGAAGTCGCATTGGGATAATGATAATTCATGCATGAATAGTCATGCTCGTACTGCTCCAGCATCAGAATCCAGAGGCGGAGACCAAGGTGGCTGATGATCCCCAGCTAAGCCAGCTATTTTCTGTATCACTCCAAGGTCCCCTCTATTGATGTCATATCGTCAATTCAAGAATAGTGAGAATAACGATGGATGCATGCACGACAAAGCCATCCGAGACGCGCTGACTATTCCCAAAGCAGACTCCTGATCACGGGATTGGATGGCGTCCCGGTTCCTCAGGCAGGAGCGATGTCACGTGGGCGCGGTATCCCTGACAACGGAAAGCTGCAGCCCTGCCCAAAACAGAATGCATCCACGATCATATTCATATTATATATTCATGTATCTCTATTATTCTCGTGTCCTTGCTCCTTACCGTCTTGGATCCGATTCGCTGGCTGCTGCCAACCTCTCCTTACATTACTAATATCGACCATGATAGGTTTTAGCAATAGCAATGCCTAAGAATTAGATACAGAATAAACGAATAATAACCATGCTAGGATTTACTCATAACAATGCGGCTGCCCGCTCCGGCCTGCCAAAAACGGGCTCCAATCACAGGACTCCGCGTGCTGTGTTCTATGCCAGCGCTGCAGACATGGTACTGTAAGAACCATCATATGTAATAATGGGAAGAAGACAGTAATCAGAATCATAACCCCGGCCGTTGAATTTTGGCTTGTCACCGCCGGCGCACTATATCCCAGACATTAGTAGTTAGTCTTCTCATGCTCCAACGGCCACGCTCGCTTGCTTTCATGCCGTCTGAGATCAGCGGGTCAAAATAAACAACAGTCAACAGTGGCGCCCGTCACTGCCGTCCGCATAATTAATTCTTCTGCTCTGCATTCCACAGTTTATCCGACGCACCGTTCCTGCCTCTGTGCTGACCCCTAACCACAACCACCACCACCGCACCCGCGATCCAGCACGTATCAACTCCTTCTTCCTCCTCCTCCTTCTCTTTCCTCTCCAGCCTCGCCGTTCTTGACCTTTCACCACCCACCCACCACCTATTTTCGCTCGGCAATTACCTGCACTCTGTCGTGTATTCTGTCTTTTCTGACCTAGAATTTGCGTCTCTATTTATTGTCTGGTCTTGTCTGCCTGGTTTCAATGCTCCCGTGAGCTTTTCGTCCCAGTTTTCCTCTCTCTCCCCCCCCTCTCCCTCTCTCGCCAACCCGCGAAGTGGCCTCTCACGGTCGCGATCTCTACGCCGTCTCGCCATGGACGACCCCCCCAGCCTCCCGCTGGCAGACTCGTCAGACTGCAGCTTCGCAGCGTATTCCTCTGGCTCTGAGCTGAGCTCACCTCCTGCGTCGCCGCAAACGCCGCCGGGCTTCTATCCCTCGCCGCCGCCCACGCAGGAGGACGAGCAGCAGCAGCAGGAGCGCGCCCGGACTGGCCGCCAAGACGAGCCGCCCAAAAAGAAACGCCGAGTGGGCCCCGCGCCGCGTTCAACGCAGCAGCTCGACCTGACCGATTCGGCAAAGCTGCCCTACACTGACCAGCTCGCCCAGATCGACCTGCTCGTCAAGACCCTGCGCACCCACCGCAAGATCGTCGTCATTGCCGGCGCTGGCATCTCGACCTCTGCTGGTAGTATGTCTATCTATTTATTTGTATTTTTGTTTCGAATGAATCCTGCTGACCACCGCAGTCCCTGACTTCCGCTCGTCGAGTGGCCTGTTCAAGTCCGTGCAGAAAAAGCACAACCTCAAGGCTTCTGGAAAATTGCTGTTCGACGCGGCTGTCTACCGCGATGATTCCCTCACTGCATCCTTCCATGAAATGGTACGCACGCTCTCCAAGGAGGCCGCAGACTCAACCCCGACCGCCTTCCATCACATGCTCGCAAGAATCGCCCAAGACAACCGCTTGTCGCGCCTGTATACTCAGAACATCGACTGCATCGAATCCTCCATGCCGCCTCTTGCAACTCAAGTCCCCTTGGCTCCCAAAGCGCCATGGCCGCGCTGTATTCAGCTCCATGGAAGTCTGAAAATGATGGTTTGTCAGAAATGTCGCCATTTGAGTGAGTTCGATGGCACTCTATTTGAAGGCCCCGATGCGCCTGCATGTCCCGCCTGCACCGAGACCGACGATTTGCGCACCACAACCGGTCAGCGAAGCCATGGGGTGGGCAAAATGCGACCTCGCATCGTGCTGTACAACGAACATAATCCCGATGAAGAAGCGATTGCCTCCGTCATGAATACCGATATTCGCTCTCGACCTGATGCTGTCATTGTAGTGGGAACCAGCTTGAAGATCCCTGGTGTGCGCCGTCTCGTCAAAAGTCTATGCAAGGTTGTTCGAAGTCGTCGCAACGGGGTGGCTATGTGGATTAACAATGAGCCTCCCGTAGGCAAAGAGTTTGAGGATTGTTGGGATCTGATAGTCAAGGGCAACTGTGAGGAGGTCGCTCGACTTGCTAGCTTGAAGAAATGGAACGATGACAGCCCCGATGTCTTCGAGCAGTGTGACGCATCCGAGGTTGAGCGGTTGAAGCAACAAGGACAGGTCTCGGTTGTGGTTAATACCCCGAAGAAGAAGGTCAAGACTTGCGATACTGGTTTCCTCACCCCTACATCGAATAATGATGAAAGCGGTGCGGAACTTCCACATAAACGGTCGAAAATCACACTCGCGAACCCTGCAAGCAAAGGGAAAAGTCTTACTGAAATGCTGGTTGCGAGCAAAACCAACGACAAGAAGAAACCATCTGCCAAACCCAAGGCAGCTGCAAAGCCTACTGCAAAGACAACTAAAAAACCTCGTGCGACCAAAGCACAATCCTCTAAAATCACGGAATTCAGCAAAGTCACTAAAGGGCCCAAGATTGCAGACTCAAATAAACAAGCCAAGTCTGATATGGATAATATTTCCAAGGCAATAAAAGTCCTCCCAGCATGGGAAGCTCGAAGCAATCAGCCCCCGATGTTTCCGCGCCTGGTTGGACCGTTATCAAAAGACAGTCAATTATATCAAAACGGGCCCGAGAACAATATATCTCCAGAACAAACAGCAAAGGCATGATAAGGTCATTATTACCGCAATTACTTTCTCTGCATCTTTTTTCTTGACATTCTTCTTTTCTGGGTTTGCTTTCAGTATCATACCTTGACGGCGTTGTTCTCGCTACAAGCGATCTGTTCGGAGCATCCAGATCGCAATGATACCAGAATAGACTTATACTCCAGCTTACATTGATGGCGTTTCGTGAGTCTGGCGTACAGCTCGTCACTTGACTAATGGGCGGTTTGTGGTTTTTATGTGGGAAATGGGTAGCTACATTTCGTGTTTGCATTTTTGTTTATACAACCCTTGAATTCAGGGAGTCTGGTGTTAGAGTGAGCACGATGCTCGAGGCGTTACATATTCATGATGTTATTTCTACCTAATATAATTCCATTGTCGGTTTAGCCGTATCGACTCAAATGCATTGAACCTAAGTCCGAAGATATCAATCCCTATTAATGAGGCATGTCTAGTTTATAATATTAGACCGCAATATTGAGTAATTACCATCTGGCAAGAGGTCAATTGAGGCAAATTTGACCAGTACATCATCAATCCATTGTTCAATATAGACCAAGAAGACCACACTCCACATTTCTACCAAACATGTGCTGAAACTACCCATATAACAAATACATAAATGGCGGGAGGTGGGGGTTCTTGAACACAGTTGGAGCGATTTACTACCATAATAATACTAAATGGCAATTTGGATACGTAACAGGCCTTTGGTGATGTATTATATAAATATGTAAGGTGAGGCGTCTTATTAAATATAAAAGCGTATTCCTTTTTAAATAAGAACGTGACGAGGCAATATATTGATGTATTATCTAGTATTGCCAATTGATATATATCTTCCACAAGGCTCATATACTTAACCCCTTATCTTACTTACTTCCAGCCTCACTCTCCGCCTCGCTCTGAACACACATCAGTTAGTCAACTGGCATAGGTAAGCTTCCAATATTAGTCCGCTTTAATATGCTATTTTGATGACTGTCTATCTAGATACGCATGCAGGAGCCTGTATGTATAAGGCTTATATACACAACGCGTTGGTGTTTTGTGAATAATGCACTTTTGTAATATAATTTCAAATATTACATAATTTAATTAGGGCTTTTCTAATACGTCTTGTAAAGAATCTTCTCAACAAATACATCTTGGCACAGGATACAGATACAAATTTATATGTATATCCACTACCAAGACTTTAAAAATTCGACTCCGATACAACAGCTGAGTAGCAAAAATAGAAAATGGCCCTAAAAACTCAGATCACCGCTGAATCGCCAGTGAACGCTACATAGGATGGAACTATCATGGAAGTTGTTCCATTTCCGATTTTCTTTGGTCTGAGAAAGTCTCGGTATAATTGGAGTAAATTCTCAGAGACACAGATGGCAACAGCAGGCAAGTACCTCGGAGAACCCATAGTCAAAAAGAGGAATACACATACGATTTGGAAAATCTCATACCCTCCCATTAAGAATTCCATGTATGACGTGCATACCACAGTGCGCAATATCGTAATTAGAGGCATGCAGAAAATATAGATGTGTCTTATAATTCGATATGCTCTTTCTTGGCTCAGCACAATTCGGATAGGAGACAGTGTATGCCGATCAGATAATAGAGTAGTTGGGTGTTGAAGACCACTGATCACCCCGCAGAATGGGATGACGAATTGGCCTGGAAGCACAAGAATCAATGACCAAAAGGCGACATCGGAACCTCTCAGTACACAATAGAGATCGACTGAGTATCCAGCGAGTGGAAACAACATTGATCAATCCCAAAGAAGTTCGCTAAAATAAGCAACTGGTTATCTCGCTGCCATGGTTCAGGGTGGAAATCTTGTTGACAAAGCTTCATGCTGCGGACGCATAAGATATATGTATCTTGATTATGTTGTTGATCAATTCGAGAGTGTCTAATACTATTTTCTTCCTCATGGTTCGTCAATCTCACCCTCACCGGAGAAACACATAGGAATATGATTTGACTCATTGTGGCTCTTGGAGGAATTGTGGCTTGATGTCGTAGATTGTTGTCGTTGACACTCAGTGTAAGGCCCCATCAAACCCTGATTCACGCTACTATCATCTAATGAAGTCATGTCCTAGCTAGAGTGACGCATCTCTAGATTCAGGAAAAAGCAATTAGTCCTATCAAGATACAACTAACAGTAATATAATGAGGAAAGTATTACCGGAGTAACCCTCGACAGTCAAAAGACAGGGGTGCCAAGTAATAGCACAATCCGGAAGTGAACACTGAACAAAAAGACTGATGGTACCCCATATCAAGGCGAAAAGTAGCCACAAGATCTGATGATTAGTTTTGTCAATATAGATGAAAGAGAATTGCTAGTAATGCATTAAATCAATCTCTCATTACTTACTGCAAAAAAACTGAGTACCTACGAAATCAAAAATAGCCCTCAACGTGATTAATATAGCAAGAGAGTAGATAATCACGGGCATAAAGAGAGCCTAGGCTAGCTCAATTCTCTATGATAACCTCTTAAATACCCAAATCAAAGCTCTGTGTGATAAGCTTTCTACCTTTCTCAGCAACTTATCGGAAAACTTTTCAGTTGTTAGGAAAAATCGTACCATTCAGGTGGCCAACCCTCAATGCATAATTTCCGAAACTATCACCTCTAGGGAATCGTAAGCGACAGTTTTCACGTATCGAACATAGTAACTGGCGGGCCTCGAAATATAATCGTACGGTTCATGAAGTAGCAGTCCTATTGCAAGCATCATAGCCAATCTAAGCATAAGGAGGATTCTGATGCAAGCTCGTTGAATGAGTGAAATTACGGTTTCTAAGGGTTTTATCTACCCGGGAGATGGTGCCTTTCTGAGAACACTCAATATTACCTTGCGTATGAGAAAATCGACCAGATTTTGGTCTTGCTCCGGTGGTGCGACAGCAGAATGAATAATCAAAAAAAAGCAAAAGACCCCAGGTAGTAGAGACAACGCTATCAAAACCTTCCACGGTCTCAGTTACTGTGTACGACGTTTTCCAACGACATGATCAACTTACTCCAATTCATGAAATGTCCGGGTTTGCCTCCAACGGGTATCTATGAGGACAGCAAAAATAAAATCGTCGGAGCCATTAAAGACTCAGCAGGACATTTTCGAAGTCAGTCTTAAAGTCTATGGTTTATTGAAAATCTTCTAGTCAAAATGTCCAATGAATGATAGACCAGGATGCGTCTCACTCACTAATGGTACTAGTCGGCGTATTTGTTGAAGACATAAGTAATAAGCATAGAACAAACAAGGCCTTTACCCAGAAAAAAAAATTGCGAGGAATTCGATGTAGACGCTCTCTTGTAATGTGTTTATGCAAATTTTCTTTGCCTCATGACGGTATATTCTTTGTTACACAAGAGGCTCAGCCTTGCAATTTAGATCTTCAGATAGTTTAAGGGGTAGCTAATTAAGTTACATAGTAAGGATTGTAGTACTGCATACCAGCTTCAAATCGGCCTTGTCGAAATACTTAACCGATTATTAGATAAGGACTAATTTCAACGACTTCACAAAATGTTAGTTGAGGGTTTCTGTCTTCATAGAACCTGGACGAGTCAAGGTTTATGCAGTTAATAATCCACTGCTATTCATATTTAAAACAGTTACGTACTTCGATAGACGGAGCACTACATGTATATGTCTATATTTCACTATCCTGTGAGTGAAAAACAAATTCAGAGATCGGTGTCATCCATACACTGATGGAAGCAGAAGCATAATATTCATAATTTCTTTTTTCAAATATCGAGGCTCGTCAAATTCCCGCTTCACCCGCTTAATCAATTGATACCGTGACTGCTGTGGTTTTAACAATTTATATTTCTGATTATTTAATAATTGAAGCATTTTTTTGGGCATATTTTTTTGGCAATAATTAAGATTGAGTTACATTGTCTCTTAGAGTATAGAGCCTAGCAATTCTTAGGTCCTCACATTACATCTTAAAAACGCGCACATATATTATTGTACATGAACCATGTTATTCTTTGTCAGCCTTAGGAGCGTGCTGTCGGGTGCCTAGGCCAAAAGTGGGAAGTTGGTCGTGTCGCGCGCTTAGTGCATTAGCTTCTTTTCCAGCTGTGGCTCGGGTTCTGTACTTGGGCTGAGGATTGATTGAAGAGAGTACTTCTTTTGATATTCAGATCATACTACATCACGCTACATCGCATGATCTAATACCGCATTCGAAGCGATTATTCGCCGTGGTCTAGACGCGGACGAGATTTAGAGGTACCCGATTATTTTATTGCCAGCGCCGCGTCACTGTCACTCGGATTTCATCCGATAGTCTACTCTGGACGCACCAGGGCGACTCGCACAAGAGCGAATTGATTTGATTCGAAATAATTCACTCGGTCATCACTGATAACTGAGCAAAATATCATCCGCAATGCCGCCTCGAAAATCAACGTCATCTATCCCGCCTACCGATGGAGAGGAAACCTCCACGGCAGGTGCACAAACTACGGAACAGCAATTAAAAGCCCAGGCTGATGGGGTTGGTGTTGAGGTATAGTTACCCCTTCCTTTCTATAAGAAAATAAAAATGAGAATATAGAATGCAAAAGGCAATTGAATTATACTAACATCAACCAAATCAAGGATCTCCTTCTTCCTCGCTCAGTCACCCAACGTCTCGCGAAAAGCGTTTTGCCTCCTAACACAACGATCCAAAAAGATGCGTTACTCGCGATCCAAAAGGCGGCTACGGTTTTCGTCTCCTATTTATCCTCACAGTATGGCCCTCAGATGAAGCGACTATCAAAGCATTATATCTAACCATGATTTGTTCAGTGCAAATGACGCTACTCTCAAACGCACCCTTGCGCCGTCCGACGTTTTATCTGTGCTCTCGGAGCTCGAATTCGACGCCCTGCGTCCTCGGCTTGAACGTGAATTAGATGCGCACACCGAAGCGCAAGCAGGCAAGAAGCGGGCAACCAAGGAAAAGAAAGCAGCGGCATCAGAAGGGAATCCCGAGAATGTGTTGCCCAAAGGAGCGACTGGTGGCGAGGACGAGGATGCTACCGCGCCAGGGGCAAAGCGCGTAAAACGTGATAGTGATGGGCACGAGAAGACTATCCACACGACTACTGTCGCCGAGGATACCGAGATAGAGGAACCTGATGAAGACGAGACGGAGGAAGTGGAAGAGGTAGATGATGAGGAAGAGGAAGAGGAAAGTGATGAGGATGGCGATGAGACGCAAGACGCTGAGGATCTCGATCACGTCGAGGATCTGGATCGGCACGATAGAGTAGAGGACAATAGTGACAGTGAAGGGGATGATGAAGATGGGCCTGCGGCACAGCTGCGGTCGAATATGGGGTTGGGTTAGAGTATAGTATTTGGATACTAGCATAATAAAGATAGTAAGTGGAATCTGAATATAATAAGCATTTTATAACGAGAACAGATGTATGCCTATGTTCAGTTGACTTGTTTTGATCATTTGATACCTGTCATAAATCCAAATTTCGTAGATGATAGAGCTTTATATTATTTAGCTACCGTCTATGATATTTTAGCTATGAACATAAGACTATAATCAAAGGCTCAAAGAAAGCAAGACCAGAAGATAACGCCTTAACAACCTTTTAAGTATCCAGTCAGTAAACGCATTTCACGCTGATATCTATTTACTCAATCATCTCATCCGCATCGCCACTCTCACCATCCCCCCACAGTCCCTCGATCTTGAACTCCTTGGCCCACTCCGTGACAATCTCTTTCGTGTCAGCACCAGTCGAAGGGTCGCTGTTGGCGCCAGCACCGGTTGTGGAAACGCCGACTACAGGTAACACCGGTGGCTCGACCCAGCCTTGAATACGCCCGTCGCGCCAATCCGTGATAACAGTCATGGCTGCGCTCTGAATATTAGGCACACCACCTTTACCCAAACGACCCCGTTTGCGGGCGACCTGGATTAGGAAATCGGTAGTCTTGTCGCCATTGGAAGGGAAAAGCGGAGGGATTCCGTACACGTCTAGCATTTTCTGGAGAAGAGACTCGGTGGCAGATAGGCGTTTGAGGAGGAGATTGACGGAGGGGACTGGGTCGGTGATTTGTTTCGGAGGAACAGCGTTCAAAAGGACGAGACGGGCATCGTCGCTTTCTTTCTTGGATTTTTTATTCGATGCATTCGGGAACACGATTCCCGGTGAGTCGATCAGCTTCAGTTTGCTGTCCAGCTTGACTTCGCGGAGACTTGTTGTTACACCTGCCTCAGCGCCTGTTGGACATGCGCTGCTTTGGCCCCGGTTCAGACGTGCTGTCAGCGCGTTGATGACCGATGATTTACCGACATTAGGATAGCCGATGACACCGACGGAGATTGCTCGTTTCAATTGAGATGTGTGCGCGTATGATTTCAGCGCCTTGAATAGGGTTTCGGAAGTTCCTTTCACGGTCAATTGCTTGTGATCGAAGCTGTGTGCATTGGGTGCGCCATTGGAAGCCTTGAGGGGGAGGGTGGGAAAGTATCGACGGAGATAAATGAGCCACGCTTTCAGGATTGGTGGAGGCACCAAGTCGATCTTGTTAAGAATAAGAATAAGACGCTTTGATCCGGCTTCTGCAGCCATAATCTCACGCTCCACGTCCTTGGACCGTGTACCCTCGGGATCTCTGGCATCGAGGACGTAGAGAATAACGTCTGCGGCGGCAGCAACTTGCTTGAAGACTTTGTCGAAAGCTCGTCGCGAGCTCTCCTTTGATTTAACCTGTGATGCGAGCGTGGGGATATCACTTTGATTCAACGATAGAACTGCTCCCTCTTCATCGTCCTCATCCATTTCATCCTCACCATCGTCCACTTCGTCATCATCATCATCCTCATACTCAGCTGCTCTCGCCCGGGCCGATGCGAGAAGAGCAGCCATTGGATTCGAGTCATCCCCTCCTTCATCCATCTCATCGTCGTCGTCGTCATCTTCGAGGTCAACGTCGAGGTCATCAATAGGCTCGTCATCGTCCGCAGTTTCGATCCCAGAGGCCGTGTTCTCAGCTTTGCGGCGCTCACGAGCTTCTTCGCGGAGGCGCAGCGATTCCTCTTGCTTGAGTCTTTTCTTCTCTTCGATTTCGGCTAGGAGTCTGTCTTTGTACGGGAACAGGTTGGGGATGCCGGGATCTTTCTTGATTTTCGAGCGCCATGTGGGATCCTGCAGACCGCCTGTTTAAGTCTTGGGTAGGATGGAAAATAATGGATTAAATGAGTTACCTTCTTCGCCTGCCTGCGCAGTTTTTTCTGTTTTGCTACGCTGGCTTTTTCGATTTTGTGTCGCAGGCGTACGGGCGTCCGTTTGGACTTTTTACCTGTGATGGTCTTATCAGTATACAGCATTCGTTTTTTTCTTTCCCTGGCGAGTGGAATCGGTCCAGCGTGCACGGCTGGCCAAAGCGAATAACATACCTAATTTGACCATTGTTCATATGCTCTTAGCAAAAATATGCCAAAAAGATATAACTGGCGAATGACCGAATATGAAAAGGACTTCCCAACGTCTGAATTCTCGCCCAGCAATTTTTTGACCAAAGTTGTGGAGGGTCAAGATTTCGCCGCGCTAAGATAAGGAACATTCATATCGCCGATAGCCGATGCGGGCCTTTCACCGAGATTATCCCCTCACGCTGTAGAAAAAAGATTGGATTCTCTCTTTCTATCTTTGTCAAGTTGACGGTTGTCTAAGATTTTCTTTTATTGGAGGAATTATAGAAGACATTTGCACTCGTTCAAATCTGTCACTATGTCTACCGCAGGCCATGGCTCTTACTCTGCCCCACCGCAACTTCTGTCCTTTGATGGCCTTCTTTTTGATTTTGATGGAACTATTATAGACTCTACAGATGGTACGTAGAGAGCCTTTGGCTATTTTAGTGACTCGTTGAGAGGCTTAGCCGCGCAACGGACTGGCCGAGAAGATTCAAGTGACTGACGTTGCATCTAGCAATCGTTAAACATTGGCACTCGTTAGTGGCACACTCGCGCAGAGCCCTTGTACTTGTCTAACATAAATACGTTCTTATGGTTATTCCAGACTAGCAGAGGAATTGGGTGTAGATCCTAAAGTTATTTTAGCTTCTTCACACGGTAGAAGGAGCATTGATACGTTAGCCTTGTATGATCCAAGCAAAGCTAACTGGGATTGTAAGTTAGCAGTCTTCTCTTATAAGGCGCTTTGGAATTGCAGCCTTATTAACAGCAAGCTCTGAAATAGATGTTAGTGAGATTGAAGGTATCCTGCCCCGGAAGTACGGTAAGGACGCAGTTGAGATACCGGGAGCGCGTGATCTGCTCAACAAGCTAGAGGACGCTGGCGCTCCGTGGGCAGTGGTTACATCTGGGACCCGAGCACTGGTTACAGGTTGGCTGGAAGTCCTCAAGCTAACACACCCCAAGTTCCTCGTTGTAGCAGAGGATGTGGAGCAAGGCAAACCCAACCCCCAGTGCTATTTGCTCGGTCGATCACGTTTGAACTTGGGCGAGTCAGCAAATATGCTGGTAGTTGAGGACGCCCCGTCAGGAATCAAGGCTGGCAAGGCGGCCGGGTTTCGGGTGCTTGCGTTAGAAACCACTCATACCATCCAACAGCTAAAGGATGCCGGGGCCGACTGGATAGTCAAGGATCTGGCGAGTGTCACCTTCAAGGCATTGAATGGCAAAGTGGAAATTGAAATCAACAATGCCCTGCAGTGAAGAAGATGATCACAGAGGTGAAAATAAAGAGGCGGGAATTGTCGGAAGGATGAATCTGTGGTAGATCCGTTGCTGCTGATTCGTGAATGAATGGCGGGATGGATCCTGCATCCTGCGTAACCAAACCATTGGTGTGAGGGTAGATCTTGATGTCGGGTGGTGTGTTCCGCTAGAAGGTGACGGTGCTTGGAAGAACATAGACTTGCATGACTGACTTGAACATTTTCAGCATAGACAAAAGAAGAAAAGAATCAAAAGAGAAATCAAAAATGAGAGAAAAATAAAGGAGACACCTTCCTAAGTCGGCCGTTTTCTGTATGTGCTTCCTGTCTCCAGACGACTGCAGCGAACTGAAGGCTTGGTATGGTTGGACAAGTAATGGGTATGCAAGAGGTACGATCCAATAAAGAGCGGCGCAAAGAGGCTACCATGTAAATCATATATGTGCATATAAGAGTCACATATGTTGGCATCAAACTGTGGAGAACAGTATTTCTAATTGTGTTGGGTACTCGACCAACTGTTAGGTCAACGTGTTACAGCCATTTCCTTCATTATAATTGTTGCGTGTGTAACTTGTTGTTGTCCAAGGTAACTGGCTAGATGCAATGTAAAGGCTTGCATTAAGCAAATGCAGATCAGTTGAAAAAGCAAAAACAAAAAAAGAAAAGAAAAGAAAAGAAAAGGAATTGCTGGAGGCACGATGGTGAGATGGACCGCGTGATCGGGATGTGATTGATCGATACGAATGAATTTCGAGAAGTTGATGGCATAGGAGAAGAGTGTCACGACTTCCCTCTAGGCTCTCTCTTTGTTCATCTCTGGGTTTTTTTGAGTTTTCTGTTGCTTTAATTTTGATATTTGAACGTACAAAAGAAGGGGTGGTTATACCGGATCGCGGCGACTTGGCGCGCAGATCAAGATATCCAGTGACTATTGTTGGGAGTCAGGTGGCAACAAAACAGAAAATGAAAATGGAAGTCTATTGGTGGCGGTGTGGTACCGTGCTGAAGCTCAATCAAGTAAAGAATTTCCCGGTCTGTACTACGGTGAGAAATGCATCGTCTGTACTTTCGGATTGTACTCTGCTCGATTCGGGGCGTCCAATAGTGCGAGCCCGGTCTGAGTGGGCGCTGCAAGGGTTGTGCAGGTTCACGTTTTTCTTACTTTGTTGGTATCTGTATTTGAGCTCAAAAACCGGAGCAGGTAAGGTACGTACGTACTTGGTCCTTCCTTGTCTTGGAGCTTGCAGTTAACGTTTGATGATTACGCACGGGGTTCCTTATGCGACGTCGATCTATTTGGAACTTGAGAAGAACATGGGCGAATGATTTGAGGAACTGAAAATTAGCCACCTTGGCGGAAGCAAGCAGTCGCACTGTAGTTAGTAGGGATTACCACGATGTGAGTTCGTTGTTGATCAGTTTCGTGATTGATCTATCAGTGGCTTGCTTGTAATCCATACCGGTCTATCGGGAGAGCAAGCTGCTAGAGTTTGACCCTAATCCTGAACCATGTTCCACCTTTGGGCCTTAATCTCCGCACGCCGACTACAAGGTGTTGGGTTTGAACATTCAATCCATAACAGTTTATCCCTGAGAAATAGAATCACTGAGGGTACGGTACCAGAAGAGTTAAATTTTGAAATGCGGCTTTGTGTGCCTACACTATATGATCTCGTGTGCATGCATATGTAAACGTTCTTTGTTTAATATGCCGCGTCAAGTCTTGGAAGATGTATGTCGCTGAAACAAAATGACGGCAGATGGTCAATGCTTCCAAGCCAAAGACGGGTGATCTCCAAGCCCAACCAGAACGGTGGGTAGAAGAGTGGCCGGTCGACGTCAGACAGGATGGTGGCTAGTCGATCACAATGACAACGTACGGCGTACGGAGTATTACTTAGCTCCTAAGGAGCCTCCAGCCACAGTACTTCATACGAGTATAGCTATCGGATTGAGGTTAGGTAATTGTCCAAGACAACTTAAGGAGAAACTTCCCGTCTCTCGAAGACCAAGGCCGAGGCCCAAGTTATCTGCGGCGCTATTCCGTGATCGCCCTTTACGGTTGGTACTCTGGAAAGCCGTGGAATAATGAATTATTAGCGCTCTGGGGTTGATCTCCTACAGTGTCGATCAGACCAAGACAGGTAGGTTGATAGTTTGCAGACACAGCTTAGTGAGTGAGTGGATTTCCGATCTATGCAGAGCACGGTGCTTGTTGAGGCGCTGAAGAAAAGTAGCAACCGTTTGCTGAGGAAATAGTAAACAAGTCAATTCGATTGGTCCAACTCTTCGCCGTCCAACAGCGACCGGCGACATGATCTGAATGGACCGACCGGTTCAGAGGCTGTTCTTTGAATATCTGATTGGTCCAGCGAATCCCCGTTACATTTATTCTCCAGGATCAAAGGGATCAAAGGATGCGTGCATCGAGGACTGCTAGCTGCAGCATGCAAAAGCAGATCAGCAGCGAGGGCTCGTGTGAATTGTGTTCTTGACGGTCTCGGGATTGTGCCGTGACTCAATGATTCTCCTTTTTCTGATTTTCAATTACACAACACAGGGCGCTCCGTGGTGAATAAGGATCTTCCAACTGAATACTCCGTTCTCCTTTTTGATATCCGTCGAGGTCAAAGCGTGAATAGATTGTTACATGCGTAGTTCCCAGTATTGTGTCTGTAATGTTGATACACAAAGTCAGGCCTGGTGCAGCAGCATCCAGTGAGCGGGATCACGGAGGATTGATGATTGCTGTAAGATGAATCAGCGACGGCCCACTAGTATTTGCCAAGGTAGGGGGATAAACATCTCATCCCAGGAAACTGGGCTGGACAGCAGCGGAGTCAAGTTGTCAACATGACAAATTATGGGACTTGGGCTGACAGTAGTAGCCTACTAAGGCAATTGGCTGCTGGGCGACACTAGGGGTAGTTTGCTATCGCGGGGCAAGAAGCATGTGGCCAGGGGGACTGCAAAAAGCTGGACTAGCCTGAGCCTGGCTAGGCTCGCAGCGGCGAGTGTGCGAGTGTGGCCTTGTTATTCAGATCTTGTGTCGTTGTCATTGATCGACGCTGATCTGACTGACTATTGATCTTTAGCCTCTGGCGGACGGCTGCCTAGGTCTTGGGACCTGCTATTTGCCCAAACAGGCCCAACTCCTGCAAACGTACTGCGCTAGTGTCCAATCGCATGCGGCGAGATCTGCAACAAATGACAGCAGATTGACAGCTGACGGTGTGGCGCACCGCCTGGCGATAGAGAATACAGGGCGATCCCGTAATTTACGTTTGTCCAATTTTGTGTCTGTATGGAGGAGCTTCGCGACGGATTGATCATTTTCTCGCCCGCTCAGCGAATGACAGAGAGGTCCCACAGGGAGAGACTCATATTAGCCTCGCAGCCTGAGGCGTCTGCGGCCTGCGAGATATGGATAAACTGTAAAGAGTTGATTGTCGGAGAAATGACAACGCAAAGATGGAAGATGGGGAGGAGGATGATCATGATGGTGATGGTGATGGTGATAGTGACGACGATATAACAGGGTCTCAGATTGACAGGCATTAACTATACTACTGTTAATCAGTCTGTTATTACTCCGGAGCCCGTCGTCATCGTGAGTCGCGCCTGCCCTGGGAGCAAAAATCGAAAAAATGAATCCAAAGGGCAGGCGCGATGGGGCGCGTGGGGCCGGCCCACCTCATGCAGGAACGACTCAGAGGGCAGCCGCGGGAGCTGCCGGCGGCCAATCAGCAGCCCAGATCGGCCTCCTTTCTTCTCTCCAGTCCTGCATCTACACACTACACACTACACACTATACACTTCGCAGTGTTCACGCTGTCCCAGACCCCCAGGCCAAAACTGCCCCTAGTTTGTGCCCGACCCTTTTTCAAGGCTGTCATTGTACGCTGATTGGCTGTGCGCCACGTTCTACAGCGTGCAGACTACAGAACTGACAGTCGAGACTCGACAGGCGCCCCGAGTTTTGAGTCTTGAGAAGCGGTAGGACTCGACATGTCCTGCAGAGAGGCTGCAGATTCCAGCCGACGAGGAGCGCCTGACTGCTCAGATTGGTGAGATCAGGGATGGTCGTGGCGGCACGGAGGCGGCTCGTGGGAAATCGGCCTTTGGGAGCAAAGCACGGAATAGCAACCTGCTGCTTGTTCGGACTAGACTCCTCGAAGCCCGGATGTGCAGGATCGGAATATTAGTGTCACGGCTCGCGGCCTGCCTCCGGATCTGTGGACGTTGCCTTCCTCTCTTTTCTTTTTTTGCTTATGACCCGTTCGATTGGGTCGTGAAAAAACAATAATGAAAGATACAACACCCAGTTTCAACACACAAGCTGGAGGAAGCGGGCAGCCGGGAGGAGCCCCTAAGGCCTGGGGCGGCTAGCTCCAGACGGCTCCTGCACGGGCAACTGTCTGGTAACGAATCGGCGGTCTCTTCCCCCCGGGACACAAAGGAAATGTAATGGCGAAGGGGGTGCGATGGGCGACGGGGGGCCCTACCGCCCTGCCGCCCTGTGGCCCGTCCTGCAGCCTGCGAGAGCCTAAATCCGTCCTGGCCAGCAGCCAGCCAGCCCAGCGAGGCTGCGTTCCCCGTAGTGGAGTCTGCTGGGGCATTTAGCCTGCTGTCGAAGCCCGCCTAAGGCCAACTGGGCCAACTGGGCCAACTTCCAAGCCCGAGCGCTGGGCCTGCGCTCTCGTCTCCCCTCGCCCTGGTCCTGGTACCTGCGACTCGAGCTTGGATCATGATGCCGTCCTGGCCTCGCGAGTATTGTCCTATTTGAAAAAAACCGCCTTCAATGGCACCAATGACACCACTGATCATCACGCTGCCAACATCAGCATGGGAGACGATCCGGAAACTTCCCCACGGCGGCTGGGATTCGCGCACCATCGGTGCGAACTTGTGATACTGCAGCGAGCGAGAAACCCGAAAACCAGGAGGGTGTGAGATACACTCGTACCACCACCGTCAAACCACCGTATTATTGTTCGTGTTCGGGTACGGCTACTAAGCCTTCTCTCCCCCCTGCCCCTCCGTCCACTGACCCGCTCTGTGGAAAGGAACATCCACAAATCACCCGGCGGCTAGCATCCACCACTCACAGCCCGGGGACTAGCCCCATCACTCTTGCACTTCACGCTTCCCTGCTCTCTCTCGCTCTCACACTCTCCACACTCCTCTTCACTTCGTCACCTATGAATTTATTCTGTCACTCTTTCGGCTTGTCTGTCTGTCTTTCTTTCTTTCTTTCTTTTGATACGCTCAGCCACACTTAACTACTTGCGTCCCAACGCTCCAGTCGCTCTTTCCTCCTTTCTGTAAACTGTATTGCAATCTCTGACCACTTTCATTAAACAATTCCATTGCCGCCATCTGTTTTGTTCCTTTATTCTTTCCACTCGCCGAATTGACCTCAAAGACACCACCTCCAGATTGCCCATTCATGTGTCTCGCTATAAAACCTACGCCAGCTATTCCCATTTCCGTCCGCCCAGTCCATGAAATCAAAAGTGCTGTTTTAGCTGTCCGCCGCGCAGCTTATCGACCTCTACCGCTGTCCTTCATCCACAAGAAAATCCCCTATACTTCACTGTTTGTATGCTCTGCAAAGTCTTTCTAGCAGCAAGTTACAATGAGTTATTTGCACCATTCGTACCCCTATGGCGGCCATGGCGTCCCAATTGAGCAACCGGTCGGTTGTGGCCCTCCCATGGCTCACGCCGCCATGGCGGGCTCTATGGATGGGTTTCTCCTTACCCGACCGTCCTACGAGATCGACTACTACACTCACGTGCCTATCATGGAGGACTACGAGGAGTATGCCGAGAATTTGTCACGTCCACGGTTGACCAAAGAGCAAGTCGACACGCTGGAGGCTCAGTTCCAGGCCCACCCCAAGCCGAACAGCAATGTCAAACGTCAATTAGCTATGCAGACTAATCTCAGTCTGCCTCGTGTCGCGGTTTGTCTCTCTAATTGATCCATACTGTATGTGTAGCCTTCTAATGAATGAGGCTCTTTTAGAATTGGTTCCAGAACCGACGCGCCAAAGCCAAGCAGCAAAAACGTCAGGAGGAGTTCGAGCGAATGCAAAGGGAGGCGAAGAAGAAAGACGATCAAGACCGAACAAGGGATGAATCTATAGAAGAGGACGACCAAGCTGAGACAACCTCCCTTCAGGAAAAGGAGCAGACCTCGACTCCTAAACAAGTTTCCGGTTCCAATGAGCGGGTAAAGACACCCGCTAGCTCCGTTGGACGCCAGAAGCACAACAAGACTGGAAGCGAAGTCACCCGTGAGAGAACCTTTGCTTCTCTGCAAAGAGCCCTGAATGCGGCGGTTGCCGCCCGAGACCAATTCGCAAATGATGGAAGCACTCCGACAGGAGCAAGTGATATGTCACTGGACATGGCACCAGCTAACCTCTCTGCAAACAGCAGCACCTCTCAGAATTCCTTGAATGTCCCCCCCTCAGAATGGGACAGCCGGGATTCATCTCTTGCCTGGACTCCGTCTCAGAGTCCCGAGGAAGGTTTCGTATTTGGCAACATGAATGCCATTCCGTATGCTGCCTCTGACGATCAACTTGTAGCATCACATCTGGATAAATCCCAGAACCTGGACATGACTGGATCGCACAGTTTCGGTAGCCTCAGTTCACACTCTTGGAGCGCCCAAATGCAAGGTGGCTTATCCGAAGCATCCCCTGCCTCCGAATCTATATATGGATCTTTGCAGTTCTCATCACTACACCCGCCTTCGGCTCCTGGATCTCGACGCCCCTCTTCATCTGAGGAGCTCGCCGAATCCATCGGTAGCATTGGAATTGATGCCCAACTGTCTAATAGAGTTGATGGATCTATGTGGAGACGTCCAGAGAAAGAACTAGACATTGCAGCACGTCGAAAACGACCCAGGCCGGCTGCTATTGGCACCAGCAATAGAGTGGTGGTTGGGAATTCCTCGATGTCATCTAACGCTCGCTTGCCAAGCTTTGGAAACTCCTCCCATTCCCTCCGCCACGCGAAATCCTCCCATACTCTGGGCTCGAGGTACGCGGGTGTGCGAAAGATGTCAGTTCCACAGCGGTCACCGCTTGGTTTCTCGAGCTTTGCCGAGGCAGAGTCTAAGCATAGACTTCACGCGTCTGCTTCGGTTGGCAACTTGGCCCCTCCAACTCCACTCACACCAGAAGATCTCCAGCAAATGCTACCTGCCACACCACGTGATGGAAAATTTGACCTATCGTCACAAAGACTTGCTGATGGGTCACTCTTTCCAGCAGCTCAGGCAATGCAGCTTAATGTGGCCTCTCCACCGGAAACCCCTTTGAATTTGGAAATGCTTTCCACAGTTCAATATCAGAGTCTTGCCCCACCCATGTCAGCCCCGGCTCAATATTCTTCATTTGCAGAATACTCGCCCATTTCGAACGGGCCACTGACTGGAGTGAGTTGGGCAGTTTCGACGCCTGATACATCAGTCTTTCCGGGCGGGCTTCAGACGCCTCAACCGCCTCCGTACATCTATGAACAAGAGGGCGATGACAACCCGGAAAGCAGGTGGGCGCTGAGTGAAGAGAGTTCATTGTATGGCTCGGGAAAGGAATCCGATACTCCCCCGGTGACGATGGCGGTCGGAGACGAACCTAACGCGACTCAATTCTACATCCACCAGTTCCCCAAGCAACAGGAAGCTCTTCGAACTGCATCTCAACAATTGCCGTCTCAATCACGGAAGAATTATACATTTTCCAATCAAACGCCTAGCGATTTCGATTCTCCAACGCCATTTAATACTAATTTTTAATACAATTTTGGTCGACGATGTACAACCTGCATTTTCTTTCTATCTTGGTTTTATATATCTTTGGGAATTTATCTTGGGAAACGGGAAGTGCATATTTTTTTTGATCAGGACTCATCACGTGTTTCATACGAGCTCACATATTTGTGCGTTTTATATTTTCAGCTTGGATTATTCTTTTCACCACATTCGTCCCTGAACTGGTTGGACATACCCATTTACGAACCCGAACGTGCAGGGTCGGGGGTTCTGTGTTATGCTTGCCTGCACGATATCTACTTCTACTACTTCTTTTTTTTCTCCACTTGTGTTTTGAATACCACCGGTGGATGTTTGGATGAGGCATCAGTTTCAACTGTCGATGCATGCTGGAGTTGGGATATGACTATATACATATTTTAATCTGCGAAAGAAGGCTAGGGTCTGTCATGCATAGGAACATATTAGCTTAATCTATAATTACGATATCATAACATTTAGACTCTTCACAACATCAATTGATACATTTGTATGGTATTAATATTATTGTAGTATTGATATACTAGTGGAGACGATCACGCTCACCACGTGGGCGGCTTGGTTGGCAGGAGCAGGATCAACAGTTTGACTACGTAATTACAGTTGCATGCAATCGAGCTTAGCTCTGGTCATGTAGTATTGATCAGTATGTAATTACTACATGTATGCGCGACTCCGTTTTTCTTTCTCGCTTCTCGGTTTCTGCTTTTCCTCCTTTCCAGTTGCTCAGATACTCGCGAAAAATGGCCATCGTCAAAACACTCCTGACTTTAGCGTTGGCCCTGAGCACCGCCGTGGCTAATGGCAGTAGCATCGCTGCTCCACAACCTTATGTGAACTACTCCACCGTGACAGGCTATTTCCTGCAAGACGAGGCGGGCACCGATCCCAGCACCTTCGACTACGTATGCTCTCATTTTCACTAAATACTACTACTACATATTGAAGCAAATTAACCATGTCATAGACGGCAGTCAACTTTGGCCTCCTCAATCGCACCTACGACGCCGACAGCCCGCAGTTCACCAAGACGTTGACGCAATGGGAGCGCTTCTACCGGCAAGTCGAGTACCTGAACAAGAACGGCAAGCGACACGGGGTTGAATACAAAGTCCTCTTTTTGGGCCGCCACGGTGAAGGATGGCACAACGCCGCCGAGTCGTACTACGGCACGCCGGCGTGGAATGTACCCCCCCTCCCCCTATTTCAAATAAGAAAACAAGAATAAAGAAGGCTGACGAGCGCAGTGCTACTGGGCCGAATTGACCGGCAACGGAACAGCAAGCTGGTCCGACGCGCACCTGACAACCAAAGGCATCGCGCAAGCCCAGGTCGCGCATGACTTCTGGCAATCACGCTTCAAACTCCAGCGCATGCACGCGCCAGACGCATACTTTGTCAGCCCACTGACGCGCTGCCTGCAAACTATCAACACGACGTTCTCGACGCTGGCCTTGCCGCACGGCGCTGCGCCGTACGAGCCGCTCGTGCTGGAGCATCTGCGCGAGTCGATCTCGATTCACACGTGCGACCGCCGCAGCAATAAGACGGCGATACAGCAGGCGTGGCCGCAGTATCGGATCGAGAAGGGGTTTGCGGAGTGCGATGAGCTGTGGAATGGGGTGACGGGGGAGAGCGATTCGAGCCAGGAGGTGCGGTCGCTGGAGGCGTTGAATCAGATCTGGAAACACGTCGACGGTGCGCGGAGGGATCCGTGGGGGAGGAAGAAGAAGGACGAGGCGTTGTTTATTTCGGTGACGAGTCATTCGGGCGAGATCGCGTCGATTCTGGAGGTGGTGGGACATAGGGAGTTTGGGTTGAATACGGGGGCTGTTATTCCTGTGCTGGTCAAGGCCCAGACGCTGAAGACGGCGCCGACCCCGACCACGACGCAGCCGTGGCAGACAAGTCTGCATTGTACGGCGCCGCCGGTGACTTCGGTTACTGCTGGTTGCGTGTGTGCTTCGTCGGCAGCTCCAGTAACTACGCCATTAGTTGCGACGGGTGGTTGTCAGTGATTGTATTGTTATTAATGAGATGGATGCTGCTGAGACTTAGAGTAAAGAGTAATAGTACAGAGGAGAGTTGAAGTAATCGTCAATTTTAGCCAATTTAGCCTGTATGCATGAACCTGTAACTCGTACTACGCAGCTGAAACAAGAATCCCAAAAATTGCCACAATCATCGTTAGTAAAAAAAACTTGAAATCGTCCTATGAACGACATACATAGACCAAGGCGAGAAGAATGATAATAATATAGACAATGAAGGAGGAAAATAGAGCGGTGTGTACATAGAACAATCACAACCGAGGACACGACAATGGAAGGACTCAATACTTAAACATGGCCATAAACAACATGGCTACTCACACAGATACTAAGATGCCGAACCATATCGCCAACCTTCTATGCAATATGCCTCCGTTTTCATGCGTCTGCCTGGCACTCAAACGAAATGAGACTGGGTATAACCAGAAGAAGGCAATTACTATTAGTGTTATCCTTCACAAGATCAAAACAAGGGTATATAGAAAAGAACACACAAGTAAACGAAGAAAGAAATGAATGAAAAATAAAAACCAAAGAAATTGCGTTCCCGAAAGCGAGAATATCCCCGTCGGTTTGATGCTCATTGCGTAAAACTCATGACTGAAACCGAATAGCGCAATGCTTGGAAGCTGTGAAAATCAATATCCTGACCATCCCCCACCTAAGGGACTTCCTGACTGCCCTTGCTGCGGTTGTCCAGGCTGCATGCCAGCTGGTGAAGGCCAACCTGGCATTCCAACACCAGACCCCATACCCATAGCCATACCCTGTCCCGGCAGGAATTGCTGGCCAGGGTTTTGTGATGGTGCATACATGGCTCTCGGGTTGGCGACATTGGTGAATGCAACCCCCTGGTAGCCCATTGCAGGCATACCTTGTGGCACCTGTGGAGGCATCTGTAGGCCTTGTGGAATCGCTTGCGTCGGCCGAGCTTGATTATGTGGGGATTGTGAAGGGTGCGGTTGTTGACCATGTGGTAGGGGTGATGGGCTCTGCTGGGGCATTTGCGTGGCATATTGAGGCATTCCCATATGCGGAGACGCGGACAGAGATGGCTGTGGTTGTGGAGGAGGATGACCCCACATTTGTTGCGGTTGTGACTGATATCCATACTGGGGTGTCTGCGATGTAGCTGATAATGCTGGGTTTGTTGCCCGCGAATGCAATGCGTCCGGTCGCATACCCTGCGGAGTATTTGGGAGTGGTGACTGGGCGATATGACCCGGTTGTGCTTGTTGCACATAAGTACCCTGTGACTGCGCCATAATTTGGGGCTGCTGAGCAAGTACACCACGATGCTGTTGATGAACTTGATTCATCATTCCAGCGGAGGATGCCATTTGCGGAGATTGTAAGGCTTGGGAAACTGGTGCACCAGCATCGCTATGACCGGGTGACGATGTTGGGACTTCTCGTGGGGTTGTGTAAAATTCCTCTAATCCTTTCTGCCTGAATGCCCGCTGGGAGTTTAATATCTTGTTGAACTCTGCTGTGTGGGTCGCTTGATTGGCGATTTCCGCGGCATTGGTGGTCTGAGAACGATCTTGATAGGCTTGGCCAGTCAATTCTTGTCTTGGACGGGGCATGGAGCTATACTCTCGAAGTCGTGGATCATCTGTTGTGGGCGCCAAATGTATCATAGGAAGAGGGGCCAACGACGCCGCTTGGCTGTTCATACCGGGAGGGAGATGCGGCATGCCTTCAATTGCACTGCTGTAAACAATGTCGCTTTGACTAATTCCTGGAAGAATGCCTGCATTGGCGGCAGCTTCTGCAGCAGCAGCATCCCGGGCTTTCGCCGCCCCAGGGCGTTTCTCACCAGCTAAATCCTCCTCAGTAAAGCCCTGTTTCCTTGCCTTGCTCTCCCAATAATCGTCACGAACACGTCTGCCATTCACGATCACACGGCTGCCGAACTGACGGAACATTGATCTTGCGGTAACGATGGCTATTTGACGCGAGCGATAAGAGTAGGGTAAGATATCTTGTTGTATGAGGTCATCTTTCTCAGGTTGACTGGCGATGATCTTATATAAAGATCTGTTCTTGTTGAAAAGGAGATAGGAATCGCGATATCCGAGTACACGAGCACATTCGGTTGCCAACATGAACAGCTTTTCACCACGGCCCGGCACGCGGAAAGTACGACACTTGTACTCGCGCGCATCTTGAAGATAACCCAACTGATCGACTTTTTTTTCACCGGCATCGTCCCATTCTTTGGGGAGGTATTCGTCTTGAACGTCATTCAGTGTGTCTGTGGTATGATCACGCACTGTCGGTAAGGCTTTCACCAGGGTTTTGGTAGGGGTGGTTTTCGGAGGCGGTGATGCTTGCGGTGGGGAAATCGGGTTCTGATTTGGAATATTGTGCGGCTGCATGCGTGGGGTTTGCACTTGCCCATGTGTGGCTGATATTTGCTGGTTAGTCATATATGGAGCGGAAGGGGTAGCGGTGTTGGGCGCACGAGGGTACTTTGGTGGTCGGCCGCGTTTGCGACGATTGTGCTCATCTGTGCGCGAAGTGCATCAGATCTTGTTCATGGTCTAAGACAAAAGAAACTTCATCCACATACCGTCTTCATGATCGCCTTCTCCTCCGACATCGCCATACTGATCTGGCGAGCGACTTCGCTTGATTCCACGGGGGCTTGTGTTCGCTTGGGCAACTGCAGCACCAGGATGCGAGGCTATTGATCGTGGAACAGGTCAGCAACGAGCACAACAGCGTCTACCAACGAAAGCGCAAGCCAGGCATCAAGCATCTCTCACAGATATATATCACGTATTATCCAAGAGAGGCGCCTGGCTGGAAAAGAATCAAACAAGAAAAAGACGAGAGAAAATTCGTACCAGCAGAATTTAGCGCGGCAGGGTTGATGGTCCCCGAGCCATCTATGATCTCGCCAGCAATGCCATTGATCGGAGCGGACACGGGATGCGGAGCGCTATACATAATGATATTATTTAAGGGGAATCAACAATCACGTTTCGAACAAGACCGGGGGGTCTCGCGTGCGTTGAGCGACGCGGTTGGGCGAAGGGCCAAACAGCGGCGCAGGCGACGGCGGACAGTGGGAATGGGAGACGGGGACTGGGAGAGTAAGATGGCAGCGGCGTTTGGTGATGCAGGCAATCGGAGTCGTATGCAGGCTGATGGCCAGTTTGGGAGCGAACAGGCAAGACCGCGGTTGGCAACAATGATAGCTTGCGCGGTTGCGTTAACCTTCACGGCTTTCCAGGACGGGCCAGGAAAAGAGGGGCGGCCGGGTTGAAGTGTGGCGAGCGGCACAGCCACAGTGAGGCGCAAGATGGGAGGGAGTGGCCGTCCGAGCTGCGACCGCAGTAAGGTGAGTTAGCTAGCTTCTCACTAGCGATTATTACTCGGCAGTAAGTGCCAGTAGCACTCTTAGTAGTACAACAGCACTACTGAGTGATGCCTGCAGTGAGCGTGACTGGTAGCGAAGATGGGGTTGGGTGGCGGGTCGGTCGGCGACTCGCGCGGGCGCAAATGCCAACAGTCAGAAGCGCAGCCGCAGCAGCAGCACAGGCGCTGGGTGGGTAGGGCAGGCTGGGCCAAGACAGCGGCCAGCAGCAGAGCGAGAGGTGTAATTAGCTGAGGAGGGGGGAGATGAGTGTCTGTGTTCGGTGGAGGTGGAGATGGCTGCGAACGCGGATGCGGATGCAAGGGGGGTGTGGACGGTAGAGGTGGACAGAGGACAGTGGACAGTGGACAGTGGAAGGTGGACAGCGGACGAGAGGAGTGCAATAACTTGGAGAGAGAGTGATCACTGGGGGAGGGGCGATCGACCGGCCGCCGAGAGGACAGGACAAGCCTAGAGGATTTAGAGTGTGATTGTTGATAACTTTAAGCAGCAGTCTGCTTAGCAGAGGCACGAGCAGCAGGAGCGAATTGCGTGCGCCGGTGAGGAAGGAGCAGGGCCTGCAGTTCCAAGGTTTCAAACGACCTTCTTTGCGGTTGACGGAAGGCGGCGCGCCACGCGCTCCTGATTGGCGGGCTCGGCCGATCCGGAAGGAGCGGCGCCTGCAAAGACACGATGACTTAGCACCTGCCTCCTAGTAATGCGATATTGCTTGGCCTTCACCACGCTGTCTGGCGCTTTGTCGTGGAAGCTGCTATTTGCGACGGGGTCCTGTCTGGAGGATCGTGTCGCAAGGATGTCACGAACCACAAATACTCCCTGCGAGGAATGCGCGATCGCCTGGAGAGCCCCTGCTGAGCAGTTGCGACAAGGATGAAGCAGAAGAAGGCCAACGAGGGGAAGCTGATCGAGCGAACGTTGGCCCGAATACTAAACGAAGCCGCCGCCGATCAGTGCAACAACAGCGCAGTCGGTATCGCAGACGCGCTTCCGTTGAACGGTGTGGTAACCCTAATGCTGAGCAACACTGCTCACGACCTGCCTGACAAGAGGGCCGCAGGCTGAGACACCACACGGCAAATCGTCTCCGGTCAAAGGCGTGCGGCGTGTGCTGGGGGGGATCGCTTGGGCCGTCCCGTGGATGTGGATGGCGGATGCGTTGCTGTCGAGACCATGAAGAACAGGCGTGAAGGTAGTGATTGCTAATAACGATCACGACAACTGCTGACGCGGGGGGAGCCTGCCGAGGACCAATCGAGACAGCCAATACTCTTTGCACAGGTGCGACGCGACAACACGAGCGCTGCTCACATTACGGATTCTGATCGCGACGAATGAGTCAGATGGATGGATCTTAGTTTATAACTGCCTACTAGCCTACGAGGAGACGACGCAGCAACTAGCCCGTTATTACTCATCGCCTAGAGAGTAATCAGGACACGTACTAATTAGTAGTAGACCGACTTGCTCTCCCCGATTTTGGGCTTTGGATGTCTCGCGTCGATCTACGTACGGCTGATGAGACGCTAGGAAGCGGATGGCCCTCGGAACGTGACGGAGAATTCAGCGACATGCTGCATCAATGCTCATTGGCAGCCGCTGGGCATAATTCCTGGAAGAATCTGGGTGTTCTGTCTGGGAAATGATGGTTGCAGTGAACCAGAATCTCGTTCAACTCATCACGCTCTGAATCCACGGTTAGCCGCCGACGGTAATATTTACGGTGGGCCACCAGAGCCATCCTGGGTATGCATGTGGCCGTATAACCATGTTGTTTTGAGAATTCTTCAGCAAATATTAATGGTTCCCGCTGTCGCAAGAGGGATAAGGATCTAGCACCGTGGACACTGGATGTGATTGTCCAGTCGCGTTGACGTCGCAATCATCAATCACGGCGAGCACCCGCGATTCGCTGATCAGCAGACGCTGGCCTGTGCTTGGCCCGTGCTGATCGTCTTAGACTAGATTACTAAATGGTACTAAATAATAGACTGCTAATAGGTTATTCATACTAGCATACAGAGTACATCGTGCCGTATCCAACAATACAATTGCGTACGTACACCAGGCGGGCTGGCTTGACTAATTGGCAGATACTGGACAGCCTTCTCTTGAGACTTTTCTCCTTTATTTCTGCATTACGCATAAAATAGCAAGAATACTCGTATAAACCGCGACTCGCAATCAAGCGGGGTTAGCCCTTTCGGGACGGGGCCGTGTCACGAGATCTCCGCTAGGCAACTAGCGTAGGACGACGAATGAGCAGCCTCCAATTTACCAATTTACCCCTCCAGCCGCCTCTCGCCATCCACTCATCATTCCTGCTTCTGTTGACATTCCCGCTTCCACCACTGAGGCTCACATTCTTGTTGACGTTATCAGCTCAACTATCGCCATCCACTTACAGTACGTAACTTACTTCGTCACTAGCCGTCTATCACCCTGCCTGCTAATTCTTCCGACTAATTAGTCTTATTTAATGCGCCGCGCGTGGTGACACTAGCCGCCTGCTAACTAAGTGGAACAAAGACGATGTATTTACTATTTAGCGGCTCTGTCTGCTATCTGGTAATTAGCTGATACTCGAAATGCGATTTTACAGGAAAATTTTCTGTGATTTGCCGATTAAAGACCGCCATCATTGATGAAACAAGCAGCGACAATCATTCATCAATCAATGCTCTTGCCGTTGTTTAACAATCAGCAAGGAAGATTATTGCCCTCTAAGGAAGTAGCAGTGCTGGACCCGAAAATTCGTCGTCTTTCTGCATCCCCAGATTTTCCTCCCAATCGACATTCAACTTGACAGCCTAGCTAATGGGGTCTCGGCACCGTTGAATAGCAAACCAAGGGACGACTCGGGGAGATACCGGTCAACAAATTAACCTCCTCGACACGTCGACACTCTGGATGCGGCGAGTTTATTGACATTTCGGGATGACAGAGACCCTGATCAACGGCTAAATTCATAATTATTTCCGAACACGGGAAATGTTGCTGCGAAAAGGGGATGGGAAAAGGGCTGGGAAAAGCTATTGAAAGAGTCTGGAAAGAGTGCTGACCTAGTCGAGCACAAGTCATCTGCCCAGTCCGGTTACACTCTTGTCATCAACCTGCCACGAACCTGCCACGAGAAACGGCCCGTGCATATAGTATGACATCCGGCTGCCTGAGATTGAATTCGGCTGCAAGATGAAGCACATCCATCTCTTTTCTATTATTATCAGCGTCAATAACCCAGTCGTGATGATGCTCTAATGCACCTACCCACTGCCGAACTTTCTTGAACCTAAACCCCCCCCCAATTTGTTTGCACCTGCTAATAATAGTAAGACGAAGAACAAGGATACAAGTATCTTGTTTCTTCTGAGTAACTAGAGGCTATGTATACACTACGTAGCATCCGTCATTTCGTGTGTCTCTGTCCTACAGACGATCCGCTAAGCCCTCGCAGAGATTCCCGATAATGGAGGACAAGACTGGGCTAGTTTTACAATAAAGCCACCCGGCCAATAAGCGTATAGAAAACCATCTGAGCATCCATCCTCGTGATAGACTTGAAGTCGAACTTGCAGCAGGCCTTACTGGATTAGCCAGTGGTGGATCCACAGACAGGCTAATCATGACAACCCGCCCCCACATTTCACTGTTTTTCTCGATGGAATTATCAAGTCGATGCGATCATGGCTTGTATTGCCGTCCAACATAGCATTGAGACAGGCCCACTCTGATTACGATATAGAATAGAATCCCTGACAATGTAAACGAAGTTTCCATAATTTCATTCAATAATAGTATTATTGTGGCGGTCTAGACCCCAACCTAATACTGCCTATTCAAACAGAAATTTAAATCCCGCCGCAAGAGTAAATCCGGTCACGGGAGGGAAACGGCTGGTATGTCTCATTATTAGGTCCTTTCTTTTCGCATCTGACGTATCACCACGCCTATCATGATTCTCCTGTTAGTCTAGGACTGATAGGTCTCGGAGATAGCCTGCCGGGCAGATTTCGAACAAAACAGTCTCATCGCATATCTGATTGAAGGAGCCAAAGATTAATGCACCGACGTTGAGCCAAAGATGTGACACGATTTAGTCCCTGGCAGGTTATGCACTTACGTTGATCTAGCTGTGGGAGTTATTATTCTTTATGAAGGGCAAGGCCTATCATTGTATTCAATGAACTGTGCCAAATGCGAGATTTGGCGCTCTACTGGTTTGCTTCACAGAACAAAGAAACCACTAAATCCGGTCATCCAACCCTATATTCGTCCCTTGATAACACTAAACATCATGATCTATTCGATATTATCTCTCTCACAGTGTATATAGTATTATTTCCGGGCAAAACAACCAATAACAAACGCAACAAAAGATTTCCACGTCGCTCGGCTCTTTGCATCAACCTGTCCTACTCCGTCTCTCCTACCTTGCTGCAGTCTAGGACAGAACAGGACTGGCTTTCCAACTGACCTTACCTGACCATATCCAATGCTCAGATGACCACTGCGCAGATAATAATTTACAGAACATGATTCGCGGACGCACTGGAGACAGCATGCAAGTTTCTTGGTTTTGACATCTATTATTAGTTAATTCGACTCCTCTGACTCCTCACCAATGCATGAATCGGGTTTTTGTTTCATGCCGTTTTGTTTGTGCTTTCTCGTATACTGGAATGAGAATTTGTTGATACCACCGTTACGCTTTCCTTGCCTTTTTTAATCTCGTTTTTGTGAGTCATGTGGTGTCGTGCATGAGGAACTGAGATAGGGATAGCTGATCAGGGCTGTGACGCGTCTTTGATTGGGCGGATCGAAGTGGCAAAGACTCAGGTATGTATGTAAACGGAATCTGTCGGATATGTCTAATGGCTCAGGACGTTTGCAGAGGTGTGTTGAAGGGGCGCGAGTATTGCATCAGTCAAGTGAAGCCACGAAATATGTTTCGTTTTCCTGGCGCTATGGTTTTATCTTCTCAATTTTGTCCTCTCAAGTTAGAAGATAAGCGGATGGAGGTAATTCGGGTGAGTTAACATTTGATAATAATCCCCTGAAGCAGCTTCAAATGCTTGCTACTGTGAATGGGATGATACAAGTTACACGCGTAGTCAAGACTGATGACGAGAAGTCAGGCAGTGACTTATTTCCTTATAGTACAAGGTATTAATTGATTCTATTTATTAAATTTCTGTTGTCGTAACATTGAACCTTGATTATCTGGCCCACGAACCAGCTTGGAATAGCTTTGCAGCAAATGAAAATTAGAAGAGCACTAGTTAACCCATATCATATTGGTGTCTATATACTCGAAGAAACTAAGCTTGGAGGAATAAATTACGATATAGGCAGAAATTGAAGATTTCATGCAGTCAGTACCTGATCACTGCCCGAAGCAGCTCGTGGTCAAACCGTCACACACAAGTTTGCATATACGTTCTACTCGAACATTCTCGACACATGTGCAGTACACTTCCGAAGCTAGGTGGGCCAACATGTTTCACTAAAAGAGAATCTTTAAAATTGATGATTGACTTGGGGGCTTTTTAACTGGCTAAGTAAGTGTTTCATCGCTATAACCAAACCAACTCCTCTATTTTGCCTCTCACGGTTTTTATACGCTTCTCCCTCGCAGATCATAATTCCAGTCGGGATGATTTATTACTCGCTTGGTCATACAATCAATCAGTTCTTTTCTGACTGCACCATCTCGTGGCAGGAATGTGACCAGGTGGCTACTGGGCTTACTGGCGAAGCCGTGGAGCCGGTTCGGCTGGAGAGCTCCTCGTGCAGTTTCGTGTTTCTGAGTCTCTTTTAGATACAGAAACATTAGATCTTTCTCGGAAAATATATGGCAATGTTGTACCTGCCTGTGTCAATAGAGGTGTTATGGGACCATCGCCGTCGCTCACTGTCTATGCTATGGACAAGGTTCCTGGAATAACTTACATTGAAGCGCCTTCGACAGCACTTCATTCTACTGTGTGGCAAGAACAAAGAGTATCAGGTTTTGCAAGCTATTTTTAATGCTAGCATCTGTATAGCTATAATTAACTTCTCTATATTTTTTCTCAATTCATAGATGAACCGACTTGATGAGCCTTATCACTCTGATTTCTCTTTAGCAGATCTTCAAGCCAAATTTATCATATTTTTACAACATCTCCCCTCGTGTTTCTCCGGCATCATTTCCAAGCTACGCGAAGAACTTCCAATACTTTTTACACATACTCATCCGTTAGTTCTAAGACGCGGCGACTTATGTGAGATGGACATTATTATCGATCCTGAACAGGTGGTATTACTAGAGCCGTTGATTAGGCTGAAGCTAAAATTCTGCCATTTGGAATGTCTCTGTGGGGGGTTCAGAACATGCTTGATGTTATGAACTCGACTGATTGGCATTATTATGAAATTCGACTATGTCTAGAAGGCCTTTTCTGGGATGTATTTTATAAATATGTGGGAGTGATCTCTAAGGAATATAAACGGGCTGTAAAAACCGCGGAACGCGCCATTATGGTTTCGTTTGGAAAGAGGGGGCTTTGAAAACCCGGTGGCTGAGCAAAATTCTTCGATTAGATACGTGGATGCATTTTTACACCGTTTAGAGTATTGAAACATCACTTTTTGAAGTTTGATGTATCTGCTGAAAAGTTGAATTCTGTGCGAAGAAGGCAAATTCATCACAATAAAAAGAAAGTGGCAGTTCCTGTGGGCTACAGGAGAAGTCTTGAAATATGATTCTATAATACCATGGTAAGTACAAGTAAACATACGTATGCTTGCTATCATGTCCTTCCCACTACATAGGACTATTATGTCTATATCCACACCGAGAAATTTGTTGTATCTAGGCCATCGAGAAGGGCAGGCCCTATCTACGGGATTGACTTTTAGCTAGACCAATCCATAATCCTCATTCCCCCTTCAATAGGCACTAACAGGCTTTTAAGCTCCTCCACTATTAAACCTTGACCTTAGGCTGCTTTCAAACCTTCAATCACATGAGAATTTATCTGTTCCTCACCCATCTCGTCCCACAGGGCGACGTACCTCTCGAGGGAGATCTGGACAACTGCCGTCCAGTTTGGCTGGGGGATCATTCCGCTACCACGGCCCAGGCAGCCATCATTTGATTATTCTCTTTATACCCCTTGAGACGTAGAAAAATCCCGATGCGTATCACAGAGGATCGCCGTCCAGGGCTGTTAACAATCTGGGGTCTCGCAAATAGTTGACCCATTTCCTCGCCAGCTTCCAAGGAGCTGATCATATCAACTACATTCAAAATTCTTGTAAGGCCTCATACTATCCCCCTCGAGAAGTTTGTCAAAGTCGATTTGTTGTTTCTGACTTCGGCAGTCGACAGCTGACATTCAGTAGTTGACAACCCTAAAACTTTACCGAGACAGATAGAGATTCGCTAGTCCGAATAAGGAAATTTTTGACAAGCATCATTTTGGTTAGATGTCACTCAGCTAAAGGTATAATTCGACACTCTCCGGAGCCGACAGCCGAAAATAGCAGCATTAATTTAGGGGATTGATCCGGGAAGATCCAAATGCGATATTCCATCACATAATTATCACTTTGCATGGGCACCAAACCCATCATGGAGAAGCTTCTTCTCTCCAGCGGATGGAATTGAGGAGTATCTTTGTATATTTGCGAGAAGAATGATTTAGCGAGTAGTATTAAATTGGACCATATGGTTATAAAAGTGGGGTGGGCTAAGTCTGATGAAGCGTGGCGGTTGCAAGTGAAGAACTTGAGGAGCGGTTTGATTATTGATGATTGGTGTCACTTTTTACTCCACACGACAGAAATTTCGAAGTAAAATTTCCCTCGTATCTTTATTTGCCACATTTTCCGAATCTGATGTGCGGTTTCCCTAATGAGATGCATTGTTACCAACTAGAAATGGCCCGACATCCCTAACCTTCACAGCTTCAACGGAACTTTAGTTCACAGCGCGGATTGACCGAAAGAACTGGAGTACTTACAAAAGACAGTAGCTGTCATTGGTAATGAATATTCCGGAGTTTATATTATGTCGGCAATACAACCAGGTATGGCTTCTGTTAGTCGACTCTCTCGGTGATTTGATTATAACCTATTGGTGATTGCAGATGTAAAGCGTTTAGCTCACTTCATCCGATCACCCACATGGATCGTTCTCCCAAGACTCGAGGTTCACAGTATGAGGAACGACTTGCTGAAGCAAGTCGAAATTGATGAAAATGGAGACTTCGCAAAGGCACAAATTCAAAAATAATAATCAGATCCAGATCTCTACAAAATATTCGTGAAATCTATTAAGGAAGAAACCAAACAGCAACTTCTCTATTTTATATTACACCATACACAGGACGTGGCGCTGGTGTACTAAATTTTTGCAATACCAGATGGTAAAAGACAGTGAGCGCGCCGATGAAATCATGAAAGGGGTCGTTGCATCTATGCGAGTGAGCTGGAAGATTATCCGGTTCTTTGTGATGCTTGTATTCCCAAATTTCCGGTTAAGTGACGTAGACTTACTTCTGGAATTGGTTATCTTTCATCATTGAAAGCTAGTAACGTTTGCGTTAGTTTTGCGTACGAACGAGGTACACATGAACTCAACTCTCTGGGACATTTACCTTGATTTGCACATTTTAACTTCCCCCGTCCATCCCACGACACCAAATGACAGCCCCATAAATTCCCGATGTCTTTTTCCCGAAAAGGACGCTGTTGCAGAAATGGTGTGTCGAGGACTCTGAAATATACATATTAATGGTCGGTAAAAGTGTGTACTGTTTAATTTTCATTCCATTGAATCGGAAATCTTAGACCACTCAAGTTGTCGCCGAACGCTATATCAAAGTGAAAGAAATTCAAACAATTCCTTGAAGCCCGCACGCACGGACAGGTTGACTTCAGTTTAACCCATTCAATGTTTCTCAACCAACCGAGGACCGTAGTAAAGCAATCTTTACATGACCAGGACTCACTGCTGTCTTCCGTAATTTTCCCTCTTCCTCATTGAGTTTGTGCATCTAGCGGGAGAATATTCACGGATCCCAGCTTCAATGACGAGTGATACCACTCGCAATCTCCGAGAACATTAATATCGGCCAACCAATCACAAGTCGAACTATTAGTTTGCACGCCGAACAGAACGAACGTATGACAGTTCCATTCTCGGTGTACCCACAGAGTTATTCAGGCTTAAATATTAGTAGGAAAGTGCCTGCATGCTTCCAATGGGAGTAACTCCATGGCGTTCAGCCAATAGGAATAGCTCCTGTATCGACACTGGACAACGGAGTTGACATTTATTACCTACGATGCAAGGAAGGCGTGATAGGCTTGCTATTTTGATTCTGACTCAACCCATGGGTCTTGTCCAGACGATTTGCTTGAACTCCGAGGTGGGGTTTACCAACTTTTCTACGAACGGACACAATGTCATCAGTGCATATGCTACTGCGTCTGAAGCTAGCTTGTATAGACATAAATATCCCCAGAAAATTTGACAAATATATAATTTCAGCTTTCCGTCATAAGAAATTGAAAGTTTTGCTTCTTCTCTTCTTGAAGAGTGAACAGAAACCATTCTATGTCGCTATACACGAAAAAGCATAACTATGTCGACTACAGCCCAACCACCAGAACCGCATATTCCTTCGGCAGGGCCAGCGGAAAATGAAGATGAGGTGACAGCGACGGCGACATGCTTCTGTGGTGCTGTTCAGCTAGCATTCGTAAGTCCGATACCCAGGGGTCGATTAAGCACTGATATCCTAATTTTGACTCACTATAAACTTATAGCCAACCCAAGGCCCTGGTTTAGTCAACACCTTTCTCTGCCATTGTAAGGACTGCCACAAAATAACCGCATCGATGTTCTCGTCCTGTTTTACAATAGCCAATAGCCATCTGAAACATATTCGTGGGCGTGAGAATCTAAGGACATTCCAACGGTCACACACCATCGCCTCAGGACATACAGTGACGAATAATTTCTGTGCAACATGCGGTTCGTTGATGTACCGTGTTAGCTCGGGGCACCCAGGGATAAGTGTCCTACGCATCGGCACCGTAGACGATTTCCATTTGCATGAGAGCAAGTTGAGACCTCAAGTCGAGGTGTTTACCCAGAGTCGGGTATCTTGGCTCCATAGTTTGCATGAGAAATTCGAGTCCAAGCATCAGGCTTCTGAAGGGGACGCTTCCACCCGGCGCCAAGGCCAGTAAAATCCATTGGCTTATGAAGGAATCTTGCATCATTTGCGTATTGTCGCCGGATCCCGCCTTGAGGGTAAGCTGAACCGGGCTTGGTAGTTTGATATAAAGGACAATTGCTACATCAAAAATTTCTTCCTTTCAATTTGGACGAGTCTTTCTGTAATTAGTATTCCTTCCAAAATAAGTTGAAGGCTCCTTCGCACTTATATATGGGATCTCTCAATCAAAAATATACAGATAATAATGAAAATCAGGCTGCCAGCAGCATAACTCAACATGGACGCGCATCATAATTTCTATCTTCTAAGTTACAAGATATCGATTCTTTGCATATCTACAAGAGTGTGTTAAATTCTAAATTGCAGATTTACACGATGCACCAATCTATCAGTTTGAGTGTATTAGAATTGAAATGCTTGAGTGCCGATTGCCGACCATTACATACGCATTCAAAATCTTAAACAATGAACTTGAAAGCTCTTTTAATTATTAATGGCCGTCTGGCTGCTCTTTGTCTAGTAAATAAATTCTGTAGGTTGCATCTCCAGGTAAAAGATATGTCGCCGGCTTGTTTTCTGTACCGCCCCCCCTCCCCGTAGATAATGAGGGATATATGCCCGGAGACATGTCCTGATGTATCTACCACCAAAATATTTCCGTCAGCGGTGAATAGATAGGACTGCATCCAAGGACCTATTGGCTTGTCCTTTAGGTCGATGATTTTAGGCGAAAAATCTTCTGGCCAGTGATTAGACGTTGCACCCTCAAAACTAGCAAACAACGGATGCTCGCCGAAAGCTTTCCAGTGCTCCTTACCGACGTATATCATGAGCTCTAGGGCCATGCTTATACTAAAGCTATTAAGGCCGAAGCCTTTTTAGCCTAGTGGGAAAGGTTTGACAGGGAGCTACAGCCTAAAGGAATAATAGTTTGTGTTAGTGTACCCCGAACAGGTCCCTCATATTTTAGAATTTGACAATTTGTATTGTTTTAGTCTTTTAAGATTTAGAGGCTTGTCGATCAGTGCCTAATAACTAAATAGTTTGATTGTCGGGATCTTCAACCGGCTAAAATTTCCGAGCAAGCAAGAGACATCTGGAGCTTCGTTAGCAAGGCTGACCTGGCCAACAGACTAAAAACTGTTTCTACAGATAACTTTCCTTGGCGAACGTACATGAACCGGTTTATCCGTTTTCATTTCAGCAAGCCACAATCACAATAGATTCAATTCAATTCCTTCCCGCCTACGCTACCATAAGAATCCGAGTCTAAATATTAATTGTGATCAACAGGGATTTATACCATTTCGATCAAGACAGAAAAAATTATGCAGTTTTGGTGAGAGACCGAGGCTAATCCAATGCTTCAGGCTGTTAACTAATGTACGTCTTCGGCTGTCTGAACAGATCCCGCGTGCAAACTATTGAATCTGACTGACAGGTGTTTAACACCAAGTGGTCCCTCACATGACGATGACAGTCGAATGAGGGTTGGAAAGTGGCTAATGCATCTTGATGGCAATAAGACAACTTCGGTATTGCTAAATCAAGTATTTTCTACCGAGAACAGGCGTGACTAGAATTCTTTCTTGCCATATTTTCAGCTTGTCGTTTGCGGTTGACTGATGAAGAGATCGCGTTCAAATGGCGGAAACTTTTAACGACGAATGTGAGAGAAAAAAAATTATATATACCGGCTGGTTTCTTGCCTGATTTTTTAAAGCATATCCTCAAGTGCCCAGAACCTGATTTGAAAAGAAATTTGAAAGCGTTCCTTTTCTGTCCTTATCCTATTACTCAGTCTTATTATCGCCATGACCAAATCTCCACGCACTCTCCTGTGTGCTCTTGGAACCGTACTCTATTTTGGTTCCAACGTCGCAGCAGCTCCACTCGATATCGACTTGGACATCTGCCTTCCATTCGGCATTGAAGTCGGACTCTTCATTGACCTGTTTGATCCCCCTCAGGTGACCGAAGTTGTCCCTTTCTTTGCTACATCGACCACTGCGATCCCTTCGGCGGGCACATACACAGTTCCAGCTGGCATCTCTGCAACGACGGTGATCGCCCAGCAAGCAACCGAATTGTGCGTGACTTCGGTGACAACAAAGACAACCACCTACCCCTGCTCGACATCGACCTCGTTCCCAACTACCTGGTGGGATCCTTGCAAATCCTCCTCGACTTCAGGGACTTGCCAATGGACCCCACCTGCTACCAGCACTCCCACGACGGTGACTACTACAGTTACTACCACACTCACAGAGTCTGCCACCCCCTGCCCTGCCACAACAACGTCAACGTCAACGTCAACGTCAACCCCAACGCCAACTCTCAGCTGTGACCCCTACGGGTATCTGGTACAATACGCATCCCTCTACCGAGTGGATCTGAGCACAGGTACCACAACCGAGATTGCCAGCGGGCTAGGTCAGAATACATCCATCAATGCCATGGGATACAACACTCTCGATAATTATCTATACGCATACCAATCCAGTACAAAGACAATCCTTCGGATCAGCGCTGACGGCACGACCGTGACCGTGGATACAGATGCGCCCCCCGCAGGAAGCTATGTCGGTGACATCGACACCAACGGCCATTATTGGGTTGGCGTCGGAGCGGCCAGCTCGTGGGCTAAGATCGATCTTGCACCTGGCTCTCCGACTTACGGCAAAACATTGGCCCATGGGACCGCTACTTCCCCAGGATACGACGTGGCCGACTGGGTGTATATCCCCAACGCGGGCGAGTACCTGTATGCTGTCGGTTCCATTGCGTCAAAGAGTGAGACCGCCTTGCTGCGGTTTAGTATGTCCACACACAAATGGGAGACAGTGGCCAATTATGGCAAGCTCGGAGTTGTTGGCGTTGGTGCTGCATATGGAATGAACAATGGAACGCTGTACGCGTCGGAGAATGGTAATGGCCAGATCTGGCAATTCCCTATTTCGGGGGGAACTCCGTTCATGGTCTCTCAGGGCCCTCCGTCAGGGAATAACGATGGAGCACGGTGCGTGCTTAACCTTTTGTCCCACTGAGCCTGAGGTGGAGAGCTGCTATACTGAATGGTTCAATGTTGGACGAGATTGGTAGAAGTTTCAATTTGTTGATACGACTTTGGGCTTGATGCTTCTTTATTAAATAGTTAACAATCTTAATAGCTAATGCTCGTTAATTGCTAGTTTATTTTCATATATGCTTACTTACCCGTCCGAAAGATTCTAGTCTGAGTATTTATTGCAGACAAGTTATCATCATCGTCTCAACCGTTAACAATCATCCAACTGACTTGTTCCAAGTAATCGAGCAGTAGCATACGATGCCTACTTGATTTGAATAACATTGTAAGTGACCTATGAGGTAGTATGTACCATGTGGAGAGATATTTTGTCAAAACGAGCTTGGTTTAGCTTTACGACGGCCAAACAAAGCTTTCATACTCCCAACAAGGTTTGAATCCCAGCCGTTCATAGAAGCCCTGAATTACAACTGAATCAATGAACACGCCCTCAATACCCCTCTCCCGCATGTTCTCTATCGCCTTTACCATCAGTGCCAACCCAACCCCTTTTCCTCTTGCGCTCTCGTCCACACCAACGGCAGCAATTAGACCCGTTTTCTCTTTCGATGGCATCAATGGCATAAATGCATATATATTGGTGAGAATTGCAGAGTGGGAACACATCAGTGTCCATCCGATTTGCGTGTTGGTGTCAGGATCGAAGGCTACCATTACTTCATGGTGTTGATTGTAGGCTGCCAAGACTTCGTACCCTTTGAACCAGCTCTGTATGCAAGTTAGTCTTCATGATTGGGCAATAATGAAAAGAGAGACGAACAAAAGTAGCTCGTTGCTTGGTTATGCATTCTTCGTATAATTCTGGCGACCAGGGAGAGAACCTGAAGTTCATCTTGGAGACTCTCTCTAAGACTTTGGGTGGTGCAACATCGCCGCGGATATCTTTGTAAAAATCCCGAATTATTGGTTTTGTGGACTTGTGGAACCCTGAATACTATCAGCACGTCGGATCAGATGGTCTGGGTGGATATTGTGATGTACCTCGACGGAGAAAGAAATCCTTCACTTCTGATGGGAAGTCCATCGGTACCTGCGGCCAGAATCTAGGGGTCTGAGATCCAATTTCCAAAGATTTTAATTCTCCTTCTCCATTAGCACGAGCCGCGATTCTCAATCCATCTTGTGCCTTTTTTATGAAGGCAGTACCAAGTCCTTTGCCTCGGTATTCTCGCAACACACCAACGGCAGCTATTTTGCCTTGCGCTCCATCGGCAAGAAAAGATAGACAGAATCCTTTTTCGTGGATGTAATGTTGACCGGGAACGGGAACTTGACGTAGAAGGATTTCCATTCGCTGTCGTTCAATCGGCCATTTTGGGAATATCGTTTGCCACATCTGCCATATTTTCTCGAAGTCTTCGTCAGACATGGAGTTGGTGATATGCCTGATGTCATGCTCAATACGAGGTAGCTCCATCTTACTCTCGTTTTCGATAGTCATCTCGAATAGTTGGAAATCTTCCACTCCCTTCTCACTTCGGATATCTCAGAACAATAATTCCAAAGTGAAAAACCCTCACTTCAATTGTATATAAGGAAGAGAGACACAGTTTATAGAATTAGTGGGGACAGCGTAAGAGTGCAGCTAAATGTGAAGCAAAAGTGTCAAGAAACCAACACTGAAGGTGTTTGGGGGTTGCCTAACCCCCGCATTAGTCAACTTTTGCACCTGATATGGCTCGAATTTTAATAGGACCTGATAAACGGAGTCTGATTAATAAGTGTTAGTTTTTGTAAATTTCTTACCTATAATAATAAATTATTATATACCTAAAATAAGATGAGATTGAGGTGAGAATAAGATTTTATTACGTAGGTAATATAGAAGTATTACTTTGCGCTGCGCTGCGCTGCGCCACAGTGGTATCGGAGGGACTAGTAGTTATTAGATATTCATGATTTTTAATGATACTACTAGCCATTAGTAGAAAGCTGTTAGACAAGAGACTATTTATATTAACATATCCTAGTCTGTACAAGACTCCGAGTTAAAACTGTGGACCAACGGCCATTGGGAATAAGAATGTAACCCTAAGTTACTATTGAAATATTGATATGAGATTGGCTACTACGTGGATTGCTATGGTAGAATTAGTAGGGGTAGAGTTCTCATATAATATATAAAGCGTTTACACGCATATATTCTAATGACTCAGGCTCTAGATATCGACAAGAAAGAAAGAAGGTTCATTGTTCTGCAATAATCTATACCAATCTTAAGTAGCTTTCTCAACACTGGCTGCGAACGCCGCAGCATACATATCAATATCCATTATCATCCCGTTCAGACGCGTCGGCGTCCAATCCAATAACTGCCGCGCACGCTGCGACGAGTTACGCATGGTCGTACTCATCGCCTCAAAAAATGGATTGTCTCCATAACCAACCAATTCCACCGAACCCTTGAATTGCCACGCTACGGCAAAGCCCTTGATAATTTCCTCCATGCTTTCCTGGCTTGTCGCGAGATCAAACACCGGATACACAGCTGTTCCGCTAAGCAATTCGAATTTGTCAATCGCTTTCTCAAAACCACTGGCCACGTCGTCGACGTGAATCAGACCCGGTTTTGATTCTGGGTCTAATGGAACCTTTATGCTAGCGGCTGCCGTATGTTCGCTTTGTGAGGCATGGAGTAGTGGCTGGATTAAAGAGGTCCAGATGGTCGATTCGTAGCCATATATGAGCGCAGGTCTCACAATCAAGACATCAAGCACATCCCTCGAAGACAGAATTTCTTTCTCAAACTCCGCGCGCCATGCGACTAGCGCAGGAGGTAGAGTTACAGCATCATGCCCGACATGATCAATGTCACTTACAAGACGGCTGCTTGATCCATGAACCCATGTTCCAGAGCAATATACAAACCCAAGCTTCTGAATGACGGCTCCTGCTCCTTTCTGTGTTGCTTGCTCACACCTCTCTTTTCCAATTTGCTTAAGGCTCTCCAAAATCTTGGCCGAATCTTGATTTGCGCCTGATAGGTCAACGACGACGTCAATGGGTGCTGAGCGAACAACAGAAAGAAAGCTGGATGGGTTGTTTATGGGGTCTGGACATATGACAGGAATAATTTCTTTCTGTGCTAGCTGTGAGCCTTTTTCTGTTGAACGTGCAAGGCCATAGACAACATGATTTCCATTGCGAACAAGGAGATTCGCCACGCGGCTTCCAACATAGCCGGTGGCACCGAGAATGAGAATTCGAGGCATTATATCAATTAAAACTGAGGTATACTAGACAATTATAATTAGTATACAAGTATTCCCTTCAATGGTCAGATTCCTAACTGGCTTGGTCGCTGTGGTGAGCTTGTATATATAACACTAGACTGCATATATATAGTTATAAGGGGCTAGAACGGGGTAGTTCAGATAAAGCCGATGAAGAAATGGAAAATTTCTTTAAATCCGATGCTACCTCGACCGTCAACTCTCGTACGAGATAGAAGTCATCCTCGGATGGAATTAGGGCAGCGATGGGAAAGTGGTTTGACGTTATTCCTTTTAGGTGTTAGCTCGTATTTTATGGCCAATCATTAGATATTGGATTACGGAGATAACTATTCTCGCGGGGTTAACGAAGCACCATCTTAACATGACGTAATGCGAATTACGGTTTAGTCATACTCTGAAATGCCACTTTAGGCGCATATAAGTGTGTATTTAAATCGGCGAGACTTGTAAGTCTTGGCAGGTCAAATATGAAACATCGATCCGGATGAGATGAGCATAATGTGGTATCATGTAACAACTGATTAGGGTTATAAAGAGAATTGAATAATAGAGGTGGTGGATACGGCGCGAAATATAGTCATTCAATCCACCATGCAGAGTAATATTGAAAGCAACACAGATAGAAGAGCCGAAGATTAGACATGGAAAATTCTCAATATAACGACGCTATAGTAGTTTATCGAAGGAACAGTCAACATATACAAGCTTCATTGTCGAGGATATCTCATCCTAAATGAAGCATGTATATGCTTGCCTGAGGCACCCGGTCACGTGTAGTGTGTTTATATGTCAAATTCAGCCTTGCTCCTATTGTACTCTCCGATCAACCGTCCGACTACCCTAGTCAGTCAAATAAAAAATGGAAAGCCGTTTACATGCGCTTTTTATCTTCAAATCTACCCCGTTTATCCACATAAGTTAGCCTATTACCCCACTTATATTTCCAATTTACCTACATTCATGTAACCTTCGACTCAGCGAGGTATATTCAAGAGCAGAAGCGATGGCTGCCCTCAACGAGGCTATTCGGGCCGCAGAGCAAGCAGTCAATATGACTCCAGAAAACTATCTAGACAGGGTGGAAAGGCTGCACTACCTTAGAATTAGATTAAGTGCTAGATATTCAAGAACAGGAGTAATTGCCGACCTGGAAGAAGCTATACGACTCGCTAGGAGAGTGTTTGATATGACTCCAAGAGACGATCGACACTGGGCGGGGAGATTGAATGACCTAGGAAATCGAATTGGCGACAGGTTTTTAGGACTGGGGACATAACTGACCTTGAAGAATCCATTAAAATGGAAGGCAAGTAGTCGATACAGTTTCAGAAGGCGATCCAAACCACGCTATGTATTTAAATGACCTTGGAGTCCCACTCTATGACAGATTTTTGAGGATGGGTGTGATAGATGACCTTGAAGAATGCATTCGAATAACGGGGCAAGCAGTTGGTATGACTCCTGATTATCATCCAAAACAGGCAATGTATTCAAGCAACCTTGGGGTTTATCTCAACAATAGGTATTTGAGGATAGGAACGATGGCTGATCTTGAAGCCGCTATTCGACTCGCGAGACAAGCAGTTGATGCGACTCCAAGATACAGTCCAGACTGGGCGGGTCGATTGCACAACCTTGAAAATTATCTCAGACGGAGATATTCAAGGAGAAGAACAATAGCTGACCTCGAAGAATCCATCCAAATTGCAAGAAAAACAGTCGATGCAACTCCAGAAGACCATCCAAACAGGGCAATATACTTGGACGGCCTTGGATATGCGCTCTCTGATAGATATGCAAAAAAAGGGGTGATAGCTGATCAAGAGGAGGCCATGCGACTCGCGAGACAAGCAGTCAACGCAACTCCAATAGACAGTACACTTTGGGCCCCTCGGTTAGGCATCCTAGGAACCAGACTAATGGTCAAGTATTTAAGGACAAGAGAGACTGCTGATGTTGAAGAATCCATTCGAATTTCTAGGCAAGCAGTTGAAGCAACTCCAGAGGACCATCCGCAACGGGCATCACTCTTGATGACCCTTGTTAAGGCACTCGCCAAAAGACGCTCGAGGACGGGGGCGACAGCCGACACCATCAAGGAGATTACTGCCCACCTTCAATCTGTTTTACGCCAGCGCAATGCGGAAGTCATCACTCGGATACAAGCCGCCAGAGCAGTTCTTCCAGCATGTGCATCCACATTACACTGGGAACAAGCTTACGAGGTTGCAAATGTCGCCATAAGTCTTGTTCCGAAATTAACACCTCGATCACTCGAAAATTCCGATAAGCAGCATGTGCTGAGACAAGTAGCCGGTGTAGCCTCTGATGCGGCTGCGTTAGCATTACAAGCAGGGAAGGGCGCGCTTGTTGCACTGGACTTCCTTGAGCAGGGCCGCGGCATACTCGCAACATCCCTAGAGGAGATGCGGACAGATACTCTAAGCTTACGCTACAGATATCCCGACTTAGCAGAACGATTTGCCCAGCTTCGAAACGAGTTGGAACTCTCTGACACCCGCGACACCTCTTTTCTAGACCAGTCGTCCTGGCAGACACAAGGGAGTAGACGGTATGACGCCGGCAACGAGCTCGATAAGGTGATCGTTGAAATTCGCAAACAGTCTGGATTTGAGGATTTCTTAACCGCACCAAGTGAGAAAGAGATGCAAGCAGCTGCGGCATCAGGTCCAATTGTTGTTATAAATGTGAGCAAGTATCGTTGCGATTCAGTGCTTATTGAGAAGCACCAGATAAGGGTTTTAGCCTTACCGCTCCTCAATATTAAGGAAATCAAGAACAGGGCGCAAAGGCTTATCCAAGGGAGCCTGACGACTCTTGAGTGGCTTTGGAATGTCGCTGCGAGCCCAATCCTAGACGCCCTTGGGTTTGTTCAACCTCCAACTGCTGATAACTGGCCACATGTATGGTGGATTACTACTGGCCCGTTGAGTACATTTCCTCTTCATGCAGCTGGCCTTCATAGTAGCGGTTTTGCCGAAACGGTACTTGATAGGGTTATATCGTCCTATAGCCTGTCCATAAAGACGATCATACGAAGCCGCTCGCGTCACATTCCACTACAGGGCCCAGCACGGGCGATCCTTGTTGCCATGCAGAATACACCAGAACACAGCAGGCTGCCTTTTGCGGCTAGGGAGGTAGCAGTGCTACATGATATTTGTAAACTAACGGGTCTTGACCCTATTAAACCACCACGACGTAAACAAGATGTCATACAGCATCTGCCAAACTGCAAGATATTTCATTTTGCCGGCCACGGCTACACGGATGCCACCAACCCTTCACACAGCCATATGCTTCTCGAAGATTGGAAAACTGACCCATTAACGGTGGCCACTCTTCTGGAGATGAATCTCAACGAGAGCTCACCATTTCTCGCCTATCTCTCGGCCTATGGAACTGGTCAGATCAAAAATGACAGGCTCGTCGATGAGAGCATTCATCTAATTAGTGCGTGTCAGTTAGCAGGTTTCCGACACGTCATTGGGACTCTATGGGAGGTCAATGATGAACTATGCGTAGACATGGCGAGAATTACATATGAAAGTATGAGGAATGGAAACATGACGGATATCTCTGTGCGTCGGGGACTCCATAACGCTACTAGGGAGTTACGGGATCGTTGGTTGTTAAGGATGTCATCAAAGGTCAGACGTGGAAGCAGATCGGTTACAATGGTAGATGTATCCTTTGTTAAGGACACGAAGGAATGCCGGAGAGCAAATTATGTGGCCCCAAAAAATGACGGATTACCCAGAGATGCTGTTCTGTGTGATGACGACGGTTACGACGATGATGACGACGATGATGGCGACGACGAAGGGATAGAATCACTACATTGGGTTCCTTATGTTCATTTTGGCGTCTGATTTATTATTTATTCGGCAGTAGATTAGTCGTCACGAGATTGCATTGTTCAAATGTTGGGGGATAAACACCGCAGTGGCTGATAGTTCATTGACATCTATTTTCAAAGACTTACGGATAAGGAAATTCAGTGCCCCCTAATTCTCTGATGAATAGCTACCTTTTTTGCTGGGTTTGCTACTCTTGATTGGGTGCCGAACAGCATCATATAGATAGATCAGATTATATTATATATATATCTTCTAAGTGAACAACACCAGCCCATGCATGTCATATCATATACGTAGTTCTCATTACATTATCATCATCACAAGGCCAGATCGTCTTCATCCCAGCCCAACTGTTCATAAATCGATTTCTCGGGGGTCGCCTTCACCATCTCCGTATTCCTTTCGTCCAAGCCTACCGATCGTTTGACAGGGGTGACTACTAGAGGGGCGAGTGGAGACGAGGGCATGGCGAAGAACTTGACTGACGAAGACCGAGGGGGTGTTTCGTCGACTGCTGCTGCTTCCTCAACATTTTTCGTTTTACGGCGAGGAACAGGCGTGGATATTTCTTGGTCGTGGGGGTCGTCGAGGGACCGCGTTGTGGGGAGAGCTGGGACTTTGAAAAGAGCTCGGGAACATTGGGCGGTGTTGGGTGTTTCGACGGCTATATCGCCCATGCAATCTAACGGGTCGGAGAGTTTGGAGGCGCCACGAGAGGGGGTTTCGTGGATTGAGTTGACATCGCGACGGACGACTGAGCTTGATAGAGTGGACCGCACGCTGGATTGGGGAACTAAAGAGACGTCGCTCCCGAGCGCTGGAGAGGTTCCCAGCTCCTTCCCACTACCACTAGAGCGCCGAGTTAAGCCTCGAGGAGGCGGGAGAAGAGTTGCGTGTACTTCCTTCTTCCTAGATGCTTTTGGCGTTGCTATGACCTGCACACCTTGGCCCATAGGATTGCGGACCGGGTTTTTGGGTTTTCGTGCACTCGTTGTTCTCTTCTCAGCTAGGTCTGCAAGCTCACTTGCGACAAGTTGGCGGTTGGGTTTCCTCAATGCATTGATTGCTGCATCAAGCTCCTTCTTCTGCTCCATCAGCATGCCCATTTTCTTGATTTTGGACTCGTGCTGCTTGGCGACTGCATTTAGGTCGACCTCGCGTTTATCGACTCTTCGAGCTGCTTGAATGCCACCTCTGACGCTGTTGCCCAAAGATGGAAGGGATGGTTCAATTGACTCGCCCTTGGATTCTTGCAGTGCCGGGGTGGTGTTCGATCGCATTAGGGATGGGTGGCGGATTTTTTGAGAGGCAGCTGCTTGTTCATCTGTCAGGACTCGTTGCAACGTACGCCGGGGCTTAAGAAGTTGCGTTCGTCTGTCGGAGGCACCGCCCTGTGTTTTTGAGCCTTTTGACTCTGGAGTTAGGTGAGATGGAGATGCTCTCTCCACCGCGCCGCCCAATTTCTTCTTAATCGCTTTGCATTGTTCTGGCAGACGTGAAGCATAGAATGGAATAATGACTTCGTTGCAATAATCTCGAAGAGCATCGCTCTCTATTTTTCTCCCTGAAAGATGGTTCTCTGCAGCCTCTTTGACAGATTCGGGTACTACGCCCTCGGCTGAACTCACTGCATGCCAAATACAGAGTCGATCCAACAGAAGTTCGAGAAGGACATTCAAATCTTCTCCTTTCTTGGGCATCTCTCGTTTCCTAACAGAATTGTCACCCTGTGCGTTAGAGTCGTTGGCTGCCTCAGTTAATGTGTTTTTGAGTGAAATAGCCTCCAAGATCAACAGAATCTGAAGCTGCGTTTCTCGCAATCGTAATTCAGAAACGTGTCGTTTTATTTCCTCTTCCTTCGTCAACTCTGCTAATTGTCCTCGATCGGCCATTTGCCGAGATCTCCAGCATTTCTGTATAAACTCATACTCTCCCGGGTAGAGTCCATTCCTGCCTAATTTCTTCTTTCTGCTCCGGCGTTTCTTCGGCCGTTCTTCGTCCGACAGTACCAAGACCATGTTGCGAAGGATTGTAGGAAGACCCTCGCGATACTTTGTATCCATTTTCTTCACGGGAAGAATAGATTCCTTGTAGAATGCTAAAAGATCTGAGCATCTACTGCCCTCCGGATTCAAGTTTTGGAATGCATTGCGACTTCGGGTCAACGGTCCTTTGGCGAAATATGCAACAGAGGTCTTCAATAGTTAGCTTGAGAACAATCATCACGCCAGCAAAACGTACCTTGGAGATATAAAGAGCCTCGAGGTACTGCGTCCTCAAGTTCTCCATGGCAACTTCTGGGGTAGGATTTCCCGGTTCATTCTGCCCAATCTCGGGCTGCAATTGCTGAAAACTACACCTACTCGAAGGCGTCTGAGCATATGCTTGAAATTCAGAAGCGAAGGGGTCATCGTTCTCCTCTGTCATCAGCTCTACGGGAACCTGGCTCCCGCTACCACCATCATTGTCGTTCGTCGGACAACCATTCCCAAACGCCACGCGAACATCGTACTTGGAATGTTTCAAAAAGCTTCCACCGTCCTCGTTTACATCTTGCACCCTCGCTGCCTCCCGCCAGTCTGCCACCCCCTTTGCAGGACGGATACCCGAGTTCCAATTCCTGGATCGTTTCGCGGCGACACGAACCTCACCTTCATCTATACTCGATTGTAGTCTTGTCAAGGCGTATATGTGCTTCTTGACCTGTTCAACCACGTATATCGCGCCATTAGAAGCGAGGCGAGCTGCCAACACCGTCGGTAGGTCGGTTTCCGAGAAGATGTCCTGCAAAAGCTCATTATTGCTCGCGAAGATATTGCCTGATTGCACTGCCGTCGACGAGTCGAGCCATGTCAATGGCAGTGCCGAGCGGGGAAGAAGCTCGATTGGTGCCAAGTTGAATTCATTATCGGATAGCGAGGACGCATGTCCCTAGAGGGCATTACATTAGCTAGCAAGCGATTTACAATCACCCCAACAGACTAACCTTGATAGAGATTATCGGAGACAGTAGGTTATTAGTCTCGACATGGGATATTTTGCGCTTCTTTGACGCTGGGGGAAAACCACTGATTGTGTTGAGAGAAGCCAGACTCGTCGATTCGAGAATCCCCGAACACGCCCGTGAAGCCATTGATTAGCGCGTCTGGAGACGGAGCATCATGAGCGTCGTGGAGCACGATGTCGTGAGTTGTCGACAATGTTCAATTACGGGGCACTGCCGACGGGCTTGTTCAAGGTCTCTGGAGGTTGCAAAGCCTGGTCTTGTCTTGACAGTTGGAGGTAGTCAGTTTTCGGCGGCCCGTCGTCACGCGTCATCGCGCGTTCCGCGGGATTCCCCGCTTACTACATAGGTAAATCTAACACAGCCAATCCCAATAGTAATAGTTGACCATTTATAATTATCTACTTTTTCAGACAGACAGTACATATACGACAATGTATTGTATAGGAATAAGTAACTTCCAACAAACGAAGCAAAAATGTTGAAACTTCTGCTCCTCAAAACGCCGTTCTTCCATATGCCAATGATGAAGTGGTATCTCATGTTGAATATCGCCGCCGACCCAACCGACTTGCTGATTTTAATCACGAAGGAAATAATATGAGAGCTTTTTTGTGTCTATTAAATATATGCTTTGAGTTGTTGAAAACAAAGCGAGTCATCAGGTCATCACGAAACAGTCACAAGTAATGTGCGGAGCTTAGAACTTGAGGGTCTTGGGCTTCTCCCAGGAGAAGTCCTGGTTGGTGAAGTGGCCGTTCTTAGCAGTCTGGAAGTAGATGGGCTTGGCCAGGTCAAGCTCCTTGACGATGACGCCGGGGCGGAGGTCGAAGTTGTCGCGGATGATCTGGACAAGCTCGGTCGAGCTCTTGGACGAGGTACCGTAGGTCTCGACGAAGATGGAGAGGGGCTCGGCGACACCAATGGCATACGACAGCTGAACGAGAGCACGGCGAGCAAGCTTAGCATTGACCAGAGACTTGGCAATCCAGCGAGCGACGTAGGCGGCCGATCGGTCGACCTTGGAGTAATCCTTTCCGGAGAAAGCACCACCACCGTGAGCACCCCAGCCACCCTATGACTAGATTAGTTACTGTGCGTGGGTTTGAATTTGCTTCACTTACGTAGGTGTCGACAATGATCTTACGACCGGTCAAACCGGCATCACCCTGAGGACCACCGATGATGAAAAGGCCAGAGGGCTGGAGGTGGAAGACGGTCTTGTCATCCAAAAGCTCGGCAGGGATGGTCTTCCTGATGACCTTCTCGAGGAGCTCCTTGCGGACGGTCTCGGTGGTGACATCGGGGCTGTGTTGGGCAGAGATGACGACGGTATCGACACGGAGGGGCTTAACAGCACCGTTGTCGTGGGCATACTCAACGGTGACCTGGGTCTTGGTGTCAGGACGGACCCATGGGACGGTTCCATCAAGACGACCCTGCTTCAAGGCACGGTTGAGCTTGTGGGACAGCAGGAGAGTGAGGGGGAGGAGCTCGGGGGTCTCGTCGGTGGCATAGCCGAACATGATACCCTGGTCACCAGCACCAAGCTTCTCTAGGGCCTCGTCGTAGTGCAGACCCTGGGCAATATCTGGGGACTGCTGCTCAATGGCAACGAGGACGTTGCAGGTCTTGTAGTCGAAGCCCTTGTCGGACGAATCGTATCCGATGTCCTTGACGGCATCACGGATGATCTTTTGGTAGTCGAGTCTAGCCTTGGTAGTGATTTCACCGAAAACCATCACCATACCTATCATAATATTAGCCACATTGAAGACATGTTATTTACAGCGATGTTTCACTTACCAGTCTTGGTGGCAGTCTCACAGGCAACCTGTTCGGGGGGTTTGATTAGTACCGCGTTTAACCGACCTGCGGCAGAATATTTTTCTTACCTTGGAGAGGGGATCCTCAGCTAAGCAGGCGTCGAGAACGGCGTCGGAGATCTGGTCACTATTCGATGGCCTTAGTTTCGAGCAGATAAGCACTGCAGAGCACAAGATACTCACGCCATCTTGTCGGGGTGGCCCTCACCCACGGACTCGGAGGTGAAGAGGAAAGTCCCCGAGGGGGTGGTTCCGTTGCTGATGCTGCCCATTGTGGTGAAGGGAATGAAAGATATAGAGCGATTGAGTAGATCTTTATCAATTGATTGAAGGAGATTTGGGCTTGTACAGGAGATTTCGCTCTTCTGAAAAACAACACGACGGGGATGGAAGAGGGAAAAAGTGGTGGGGTTCAGGTCCGATTTTATCTAGCAGCAAGGACCACAGAGTCGCCGAGCACGGAGTCCGAAGTTGATGGCGCCATAGCCCGCTGCTGACTCAGGACTGGCCGGCCCGTTGCTCTGCCCCGCGCTATTCTCAGTATTCTTGCAGTATGGACTCTGGAACGAGAAGAAAAATAAAATCTAAAATAAAAATATCAAATATAAGATCCCGATCTATTAGTACCTGATAAATAACACCGAGTAATTATATACCCGGCTGACACGGACTTGCATGCTGCTCTCTGACTGGCTGCGTCAATCTCTGCCTACCTCTTCCCCCCCCCTTCTAAATTCTACTTCCTACTAAAATTTAACACTCATATTGCTCTGCTCTACATACACCACAGCATGGGATAATCTCGCAGGCATGGTGTGACCCCGTCCCCCACCAGTACATCTCCGTCATAGCAAATCATCCCATTCTCGATTGCTTCTGGAACAATGTCGAAATTTGGTGTGTTGGTGATGGGGCCTGCGGGCGCCGGTAAGACGACGTTCTGCAACGCCATCATCCAGCACCTGCAGACCACGCGACGGAGCTGTTTCTACGTCAACCTGGACCCTGCCGCCGAGAGCTTCCAGTATGAGCCCGATCTCGATATCCGCGAACTAATCACACTCGAAGATGCCATGGAAGAGCTGGAGCTGGGCCCCAATGGCGGGCTCATCTACTGCTTCGAGTTCCTGATGCAGAACCTCGACTTCCTCACCGAAGCGCTCGAGCCGATCAGCGATGAATACCTGATCATCTTCGACATGCCCGGCCAGATCGAGCTGTACACGCACATCCCCCTCCTACCGACCCTAACCAACTTCCTCAGTCGCCAGGGCCCTTTGAACATTTCCATGTGCGCCACTTACCTCCTCGAGAGCACGTTCGTCATCGACAAAGCGAAATTCTTCGCGGGCACGCTGAGTGCCATGTCCGCGATGATCCTATTAGAGATGCCGCACATCAATATTCTCAGCAAGATGGACCAGATCAAGGACACGGTGGGACGTCGCCAGTTGAAGAGATTCGCCACCGTCGACGTCCAGCTGTTGCAGGACGCGGAGCAGGCAGAACAGCAGCAGGAAGAAGAAGATCCAAGAGCAGACCCGTTGTCGAAGCACTCGTTGATGAGTGGCGGGTCATTCAACCGGCTGAATAGAGCCGTTGGCCAGCTAATCGACGACTTCAGCATGGTTTCGTTCCTGCAGCTCGACGCACAGGATGAAGACAGCGTTGGGGCGATTTTGAGTCATATTGATGACGCCACCCAGTTCCACGAGGCTCAGGAGCCGCGTGAACCAAATGACGCACAGGACGTGGACTGGGAGGATCCAGACATTTGAGATAATCCCCAACCTAATCCACTATGCACCAAGAAACAAGCAGAGGCTGTCGATCCCTTCTACTACAATAATACCCGGACAAAGGTGTAACCTGGCGACACTGCGATTTGAGAATATCCAGAATGGCTATACGCTGATTCTGATTTATTAACTACCCGGTCATAAAAGTCGTAAATGATGCGGCTGTAGACTGACAATGTCTATGCACAGCATACTCAGGATTCATCAGAGAATCCAACACAACTTGAACAGCCCGAAATCGCCGTAATCATTGTCAAGAACACAGTATCAAGGACAAACAGAACGCTGTACCATAATGCTATCATCTAATAAAACAAAACACAAAAATGATGCACAATTCCAGACCATTAGTCTGAACATAGTCGCTCCTGTAGCACCCATCAATCATAGATTGTAGTATTGTTTAATTCTTCACCACCTCCTTCTCCCCCCTCGTTGATTCTGATATGCATATCCAGCCGCTCTTGGCTGCCCTTTCCCTTCTACATCCGCCACAAAATCCTCGATAAACCCCTGCACCACACCCCAAATCCACCCGGCCTCCGTAACCGCCCTCTCCACTCCAACATTATACACATAAACCCCGACGCCCAACACACCCGCCCAGAAACACAGCCGAACAACAAACATCACCCAGAACATCACCACGCGCCGCGCATAATCAAGGATCCGTAGCGAGATGTATAGCGCGAGGAGCATGATAGCGACGGAGACGAGGTCTGAGGATGAGAGCGAGAGGAGCGAGGCGAGTGGTTGGACGAGGTATGGTTCTAGGTAGGCGGATCGCAGGGTAGTCAGGTGCGCGGTTGCTGAGGCGGGGAGTGTCGAGATGGTCTTTTTGAGGAGTGTGTAGGAGTGGGCGCGGAGGTAAGGGAAGAGAGATTCTGTGATAATTAGATCTTCTGGTTGGCTTTTTTCGAATCTTTGGGGATGTGGTGGTACCTTGTATGTACTCCATCGTGCTGGTCTTCCTAAAGCGTCTCAATAGAAAAATAGGAAATTGAAGAAGCTGAAGAAGCTGTAGCCTGTGTTGGAGTTGGCAGGAGTTGTTGGGGTTGAAGTGAACGAATGCTTTTTTGAATGGCGCGTGCAGCAAATACAGCGCAAGCCAGCGCGCTAGAAGGGCTATCGTAACACAGGTCTTTGTTCGTAAGTCTTTCCGAAATAGCTTTCAGCTGAGAAAATGGTTGTCGCGATGGAAATGTAAGTGACAGATTGAGGTTAGAGGGGAGTCTCTGCCGAGCCGCGCCAAAGGCCGGGTACCACCACAGTGCAAGTATACTGGTCATCAATATCAATTCAGTTTCTACTGATACGTCAGTTAATATGTAAGACCATATTTGATAAGTGTATTCTAGTCCAAAATGTTGATTGTTGTTTAATTATAATCACTATAGCACCGTGTTGAGGACGTTGCAGAACTCGCGCAGTAAATTATATATACAGGTCCCATACCTTCCATTCGATCATCACCCAAACTCCAAGAGATATATACATCGCATCAAATAGCTGCTAGCTGCATAGAAATCAAATGCAGCTGCTTTTCGCAGAAAGGAAAGAATATAAACCCAAGTCAAGTGCGGGGGTGGGTATTCAAGCTCAAAAAACATGTCGGGTTTACCAAAACCCGAAGAATGTAAAGACGCGCGGTTGTCGTAGACTGTGTAAAAACAGAAAGAAGGTAAAACTGGTATATCCAACCAACGCCAATCAAACGGCTACACCGGAGCCATCAATGCTGGAAGATGCATCGTGCGTATACAATATATATAAATGATGGTTAATAGTGTACAGGACTGAAGATTCGTTAACCCATGCGATTCATTTTTTCGCGTCTAGCCATGATTTCGGCTTCGAGGCGACGAGTTTGACGGAGAGCCTCATCCCTGCAATGCTGTTAGTATTGGTGAACAAAATGTTACATGTGGATTGGTAACTTGCCTGTCTGATTGCAGCTCCGCAACGTCGATCTGCGCCTGATTCATGCGCTGTACCACCTCTTCCATTTCAAAGTCGGCATCGCGCAGAGCCTTTTCAAGTTCCTTCACCCGGAGCTCGAGCCTCTCGGCCTGGATGAGCTGGCTCAATGGGATCCCCTCTCCAGAAGTCGTCACGTCGAGACGAGGTGACCGCGATCCTGAAAAGGGGATAGCCGCTGGTCTTGGTGACAGAGACATTGGGCTCTTGATTCCCATCTTAGCTCGCATGAGCTGGGCATTGTGGCTTTCTTTGAGGGAACGGATTTCTTCCTCGTGTTTCGCCATTTCATCCTCGGAATGGTGTTGGGCATCCACCAGCGTATCCTCCAGACTCTTGAGCCTGTTTTGCATGTCGTTGATACGGTGAGCCGACATCTTTTGTTCGCGCTCTCCCTTGGCAATTGCATCTGCAAGACGTCGACGCAAAGCGTTGTTTGACTCGAGCCGTTGTCGAACTTGTCCTGCAAGTATCGCTGATTCCTGCGAGGCACCGCCCTGTTCCATGTCGGCCTGCAATTGTTGGTAGGCGGTCTCCAGCGACGATGAGGTAACCTGTACATTGGCAAGTCCGTCCCTGGTGGCAGAAAGCTCTTCTGGAAGAGCAATATCATGTTCCTGCAGCAGTGTTCGTAATGAGCTAGTCTCCTGCTCGGCACGGTCGAGATCCATTTTGAGGCCACCAAGACCCTTTTCACACTGCCATTTTTGCTCCAAGGCTTCGTCCGCTCGGCGCCGAAGGTGGTTGATTTCTTCTCTCAGGTTTCGCACCTCTCTTTGATAACCAAGTTTCCGTGGTGAGCCAATCTCTTCAGCCTTGCTCAACTCTATCTCGAGGATCTTAATTCGCTTCTCGTTTTCACGGGCCTGGTAGGCTTGTCGATCAAGAAGGCTCTTCAGGGCCTTGTGTAGAGCATCACGCTGGGCCTCCACATCCTTCACGCGGTCGGCCAGTGATTCACGGCTTTCCCCCGACCGGTTGCCTGACACCGAGTTTGATCTTGATAAGCCTCCTGACTGCGCAAAGCTGGATCTTTTATTCGGCATCCGAGCTAGCGAGTTTGATCTCGATAAACCAACCATCGAACCTCGCTGCGAGCCGAAGTTATCCTCTTCGGCAATGGCCTGGATTCGGTTGTTCTTCTGTCCAGAAAGAGAAGGTACTACCTCATCGCGCAGGTGGTCTCGTTCGTTTCGGAGCTGCTCTAGTTCAACTCTCATAGCAGTGAGCAAGTCCTCAAAATTATCTTTTAGTTGTCTCTCTTCAATCAGCTTGCGTCGTGTATCCTCCAAGTTAATCTCGAGTTCCTTATTTTTGGACACGGTATTCGAGGCATCGACCCTCTGAGCACGAAACTAAATTACTGTTAATACCTTAAAATAACTAGAGATGACAAGAGTGGTCTTACCTGTTGCACTTGGTTTTCCAAAAGTTGTACATGTGACTCGCAGGCGGTGCGTTTCGACCGCTCCTCTTGCCATTTTTGACTCAGTTCTACTTTCAGCTGAGCCCGTTCCTGTTCAGAAGTCCGTTTGATTCGTTCAATATCCTCAATCTTCCCCCCGTCTGTTCCAGTACGAATTGAACTGGTACCCGAGTCCGAAAAGTAATCACTTGTTCTCCGGTTGGCGTCTGTGTGCGATTCGAGTTGGAGCCTCTCTACCAAGTCCTCCAGTTCCATCTCCCGCCTGATAGACCCAGCGAGCTCCGAGCTGATCTCACGCAGCTCGGCTTCCAGTTCGGAAACCTTAGACATGAGGTCGACCGAGTGGCCAGAAGTGGGCACGCTAATCGAACCCATCGACCCCATACGGGTAGGAGGCATTGGGAAGCCATGGATGCCCGGGTCGTTTGGAACAGCGTTCTTCACACCATATGGGGAGCCGCCAAAGGGTTGAGGTAATGGTGAAGGTAGAGGGGATCGTCCGGCATCGCTGATTTCGGTGCTGGTCGACTCGGCTCCCGGAGAAGTGGTGGTCTTCCAACCGAAGAAGGAAGTGATTTTGTTTCCAGGCGTCTTGGGTTGTCTGTCACCCGAACCGTTGGGCATAGTTGGAGGGCTGGCATCAATGTGTAAAGGAGGTGGCCTGGATTGAGGAGGCTGTAAGGCCATAGTCTCAGACCTCTTATGGATCAGAGGCGGCGGTGACCTCAGCACCGGGATTATCGGTTCGCTAGCAAGACGAGAATGAATTGGCGTCCCATGCGGCAGGTAGTCAGAGTCGTCGCTTGTTTCTAATTCGAGATTGCTGTAGGTTCGGGAGGTGTCAATAGGAAATGGGATGAATGGAGATTGGCCCCGAGGATATCTAAGTCAGTGTACATTAGCGTATGATAAACGGCATAGACGGGGCCGGGCGAAAAGACGACTCCTTTGACGGCAACTGGGTTACAGATGGCAAGATGGGATGAAGGAGGGGACAAAGGGATCCCTTACCGGTCGAGGTCTCTGGGGAGGAAAGGGAGGTTTTCGTCTACTGTTTGCAGTTGTCGAGGCGAGTCCAGCTGAGTCGATGACAATGGTGGCTGCTGGCGTTGCGAAGGAGGTGTCCCTTGAGGAAGCTTAGGAGTGATCACAGGAGAAGCATTGCTAGGCAAAGGCTTCCTGCGAACTGGAGATGGGCCACTGATAGACCGAGCGCGTGCGGCGTCAGGAGTGCTATTGGCCAAGGGCTGAGGGAGGTCGAAGCTGGCGGCGGTGTTGTTTCTTTGACGGCGGAGAAAGGAGGAGGAGAAGCCGCCGGGAGTAGCAGCGATTGGCGGTGGACTGGCGCTCGCCATGGCCAGTAGTAGAGAGTTAGCGACTAGCTAGAGGAGTCGAGTTAGTGTGTCGAGTTTCAGATCAGGGATTGATTGTCTGCGATAGTGAGTTTAGCATGGCAGAATAGGAGGACAATCGGCCATGGCTAGAGCCACTGTAACCTTCTTCCTGAGAAACTATTAATTAATCAGTCGGATCGGCATGTCATTGAGCACGAGCACGGGCGAGCGAGGCGACACGCGCCTAGCGAAACAGAAAAGGGGACAAGGGAGACCAAGGGGCGCCAACGTGGTTAGAGTGGTGAGAGTGGTTAGAGTAGGCTCTTGAGGCGGGTTGTGTGGTGGAGGAGGTGGTTGGACTAGCATTAGCGTGCTACTCCAGTCTCCCACTGCGGTACTTCTTACGACGGTACTACGTACCACGACTACTAATTTAGTACCACTACTAACAAGTTGCCTACTACCGATACTTACTAGCACGACGAGCAGAGCACGGCGTGTTGCGATGCCAGCCTTTGAAAGGACAGGGGGCGATAGGCCCATTCGACGATCAGCGCCCATCCCCAATGGAAGCCCTGCATATTACTCCTGTCGGCCAGCCACTACTACCATAGCTAGTTGTTCGCGGAGTAGTAGGTACTAGTGGTACCAAGTCTAGGCCCATTTACTCCGGACGTGCTCTGCGCACAGTCTCTGGCCCTCTGCGCCGTTGGCGTTCATGCATGACTAGAGGGCGGCCAAGGACTGGAGTTACATGAGCAGCGGCTCATATATTTAGCTGCATTTTTCAAAGCGCACTCACCGCGATCATAATCGAAATGAGAGCCTGGCGGCGGCAGTCAGGGATGCCAATAGACGCAATAGTCAAGGACAAGAGAGGAACATGGCGGGGCGCAGCGGCGGACGGATATGGTTCAGGGGTTGCACTGGGTTCCTGACTAAGGCACGGCTGGGCCAATGGGCGCCCGTGGCTGCAAGGCGGGCCGCTTGGGCTTTTCTCAGTCCGCCACTCACTCCTCCACCCTGCCATATCCATACAGTCCGTACAGCGGTTAAGCGGCAGATGCGAGTGGCTGCTTGGAATGTTAATGCTTTCCATTTTCCATTCTGGCACGACAGGCTCTGGCAGACACTGACGGCGACTACGTACTAACGAGCACGCGGAGAAATATGCTTGCTAGCCTAGGGCACGCAGTCCTCGACGCTCGGCTCATCAAGTGGGGTTGGAGTCCCCCTGATTGCGATCAAGCAGCAGTCGTCCGACTGTGGTACCACACGATGAAGCCTCTGTCCTGAAGGCTCGAAAGAGAAGACGGACATGCGTTAAATTTAATATTTGCCGTGTCGATCCGAACCTACACCGACGCCAGGCTTGCACTTTGTACTCCGTACCACGCACTTATTACTATTGTGCATAAGCTTTTGATATTCACATGCCGTGCGAACTGCTGTGGCTGCCGCCCGGCGAATGAGAATCTCTCCAGGCCGCCCGCGATAAGGAGCTTCCTTGGCTGAGTTCTGCAGATAACTCAGCCATACCCACCAGCGCTTACAATGTGAGTTGTGAGTGTAGGTCGAGCCGGCCGGGATCTACTAGCCCTTTTCGTGTTTCGAGACAAAGGAAATATCGCTTCACAGGTGAGTGGTTAGCGCTGTGAATAGAGTCAAAGTGCATTCGATTATGGAAGATAAGATGGGATGCACATATCAGAACTGATAAGGCCATGCCCACTATACATGCATGACAGTATGACTGCATACGACACTGACTAGTTAGTTGGCAGTGGTCATCAATGACAAGCGGGCCCGGGATGATGATGTCGCTTTGATACATGGCGTAAGCTCGTCAGCAGAATGAGTACATATCTAGACACCTGGTTCGGCTATTGCTCATTTCTTGATGGAACATAGGAATTCTCAAATTCTTCAAAGCTAATTTAACCCTACTTAACCCTACTAAGACCCTTCAAATTCGTGCAGACAGCAAAGCCAATCATGGCTGACCCTGGGTCTTCAGCGTCAACGAATGAATCACATCTTTTATATACCTTCCATCATCGTAGCATGCCTCTCAACGTGGCTTCATCGCGCTCTTGCGCTCGGCTAACGTGACATGCGTGTCTGACATCTTTCACATTATCCGCGTCCAAACGATCTCTTGCGCGTCCGTTTGCCGCTTTGTTCAAGTCTTCTGAAACGAATTCGAAAACCAAGGTGCACTGCGCACTGCAATCACCAAAGTTGCTCCAGTCAGACCCTCGATGGCTTTTTTGATACCTGCCAACTCCACAAGTCTGCCAGACGGAAGGGCGAAGATGGCTCGGTAGCCCATGTCCGCAACGTCCTCTGGCTTGAGCTCCTTATCATGAGTCGGTGATGAGGTGCTGCTTTGAGCATCTTGAGCATCGGTGTCGGGACTAGAAGTGTCGTTTTTCTCGCACTCTATCGCTGTGATTTTCTCTTCGCTGCTGTCGTTACTACTGGTTGTGCTGTCATCATCGTAGTCAACGTCGTAGTCGTAGTCATCGGTGTCGTCGTTCTCATCGTCGCTGCAGTAGTGAAATTTTGAATCAGAATCGTCACTCTCGCAGTCTGAATCAGGCCCACCGGCGCAGAAGAGCCAGCTACGGCGTGTATAGTCGTGATAAACCCATTATTCTGGGGCTGCGTGCTCTCTTGATGAGTGATGGGTGATGGGTGATGTGTATGCTTGGCAGCGGAGCGAGTTGGATTTTCTGATATTGCATCGTTGGCTTCGCCGACTCTATTGTCAGCTCGGTAAGTCATTTTGATGTCCTTTTGTGCTGAATTTGAGAGTAGTTGTTTTTGATGCTGTTGGGGGAATATTGTCAGACGTGAATCCGTTTGGGTTCGGATGCTGCCTATTGAACCAACCACGGCGGTGTGGTGAATCGTGGCACCGACACCTCATATGATAAGGCTGTAAATTAATGAAGGTAAGAATGAATAATGTATAAGTAATAATGATTCAAACGTATCAATATGACGGGGATGAAAAGGGGTATAGATCCCGACATAACCTATTATACAGGAATGCAATATAGAAATATTTTACCAACCGTGATATCCAAATTCAACTCCAAAACAACTTTTGTCGTATATCGTTTATATAAGTAGAAATGGATTATGTGCAAAGCCAGTATCAGCGAGTATTACCCCGGTGAGGCTAATAGGGGATGAAGTCAAAGTTCATCCTATCTTTTCGATTGTCAGTACCGGGCTCACTGCGATAGATGTCTAGGCTCAAACATACCAAGAAAATGGCTCCAATCTTCATCCACATTCTTATCATCTTCCGCCCAATAAGCCTCTAAGAAACTTAATGATTGAAGGACGTTGGGAATCCGTGTTGTGTCATGTAAGGAAAGGAACAGCTGCTTGAATGCTTCGCGATCCTCGCCCAAAGCCTCACAGCCAGCTGTGAACAGTGGTGTCGTCAACATGACCCACGGACTGAGACCACTCTTCGGAACAATCTGCGACGTGCATGCCAAAATTCGCTTGACAGAGTATTGGACCTCTGGTGACGAGGCAGGTACCTTGCGTACTCGGCGGTGGATGTGAATCAGCGCTGTATGTTGGAAGGCCTCGTTACACAGCATGAATTCTCGGATAGAGTCGTCAGTCAGCCTTTCTACTACTCCAGGATAAAACACGGTTTGGTTGTCTCCGGAATAACGGTCTATCATGCCAAGCACCATCTTTTCCAAGGTTGCTGCGCGCTCTTCAAAGTCTTCATCTTCGCTTTTCAATTGTCGTGACGTGTCGTCATTCTGATGCCGTTGCCAAGCAATGATGCCAATTTCGCGAAAGATAGCTGCTAGGTGAACGGTAAACCCCCAATAATCGTCCAAGTAGTCAGGACCATCGGTTACAAAGCTATCACTTTGTATCGATTCGGCAGTACTCGCACCAATTGGAGGCCCATTCCCGTTCAGAGCAGATAAAGCCACGATGGATCTGTACCAACGGTCGAGATACTTGCGGAAAGCGGTATTCGGAGTAGTTGATGACTTCGTGGTGGTCATCAAAGCCTTGGCGCCTTCAACGTGTGCTCTCCATGTGTTTGGCTGGATGGCGCCCGAATGGATTTCAGCCAGACAAAGTGTGCGTGCCGTCGCCAAAAGTGCATCGGATCCTTTGCGACTTGGGTCTTGAAGCTCGATTCGAAAATGCTCTAAACTTCGGGCCATCAACCTAGCAATATCTGGCGCGGCCTTGACCGTCTCGGACTGATTATTTACCGCCTCTAGATGAATGGCAGATAGTGCCATCGTAGCGTATAGAAGTGACGGTGTTTGTAAAGCCATGGGAACGATCATTTTGCAGATTTCATCCTGCATACCTGGATGGCATGATGTGACATGTGACGCATCGCGGATGAAATGTTGCAACAGGGCTTTTTGGGTAGGCGGTAACGATGGAAATGGGTCGACCTGTCGGACAAGAGGGAGGTCGGGAGATGACGAGGAGGAGGGGGAAGATGACGCTGGGGTTTCGGATTTTACGGAGACTAATTTTCCGCTGTTCACGGTGGTATAAACGAATTCACCGGGCGAATACTCTGCATATAAGAGAAATGGTTAGAGCATATCCGCATTCCACACAAAAGGCTTCGTCACAAACCTAATCTCTGCATCCCCCCAGGCCCAACACAAGCTCCGAACCTCGAGCGCGAGAATGTGCGTCCTCCCCACTGCAGCTGCATTGCATATCTGCATTGCACTCCAGCCGCCTTGCATCGGCCGCCTGTTTGTATTAGTGCGGATAGCAGCCACTTTCACAGGCCTGGCTTACATTCAGGATGTTGCTCGTCACATTTTTGCCTTCTTGCTTTGCATCGCTTGCAGCCTGTAAACGACCGAGACATTGAAAATGTATGTATATCGTTTGTTGTGGAGGGAAAGCCAGCTTAGATGGAGGCGTAGGACATACAATAATAGGAAAAATTATCGGCCGTCTTATCCGGATATCAGACAGGAAGCCGCCAGTAGACTTTGCTGAAGAGAAGAGTGTTGAGCATTAGAAGAAGGTATCTGGACAGGGTATATCGCGAGCCTGGCGTCAGTCGTGTAATAATGATAACAGAGGCAATAGAGGTCGTAAAGTTGATAAAATAGAAAGAGGGGGTTCTTTCTTATCGAAAGGATGATTTAGCTTCGTCCAAAGCAGCGCCTGATTGGGCCTAGTCGAAGAAGGCATAGTGGCTCGCCGAATGCCTAGAAGCCTGCCGCATTTGGCGACGCCCCACTTCGCCTCTGTGACAATTCTTGCCAGTGCCACCACATTCTTCTACTCTCCTATGATTTCATCTTGTCTTGGTCTCAGATATAGTATCTGGCTAGGTTGCAAGCCTGTTATTATTATCGAGGCACCACAGATAATCTACCTTCGGAGAAAGGCCGAGTTCAAGACTCTGCTGAAAACCCTTGCGTGGAATAATTAGGGGATGAGGGAATGGAAATCTCCTTTTTCGGTTCGGATCCGTGGCATGCTTCCATGCCACATGCTGATCATCACAGACTTGAGAGCAGCAGCCAGTCAACTCGGATCGCTCGTCATTTCCGTTCGTCGTACCATTGGACTGCCTTATAATTACACAGCTCGTATTAATACTACAACTGTATCTAAGAAGTTTGTAGCATTCCGTAGTAACTAGTCAACGGATACTCACGGGGGTTCAGAACTTCAGGGACACTAGCAAGCCTTCTAGCTTCCAACACTGCCCTGCCCAGTGCGCATTGCCTCTTGCTTAAGTGGAGCATCTCAAGTTTGTGACACAAAAGAGACTGAGCAAACGCCCTGCGGAGTTCGGCCCAGGGGAACTCGCGACCTCATTAGCAGAATCGCCTGGGTTCCACTGAGGCGAGTGTGGTTTCATAATGTGAGATCGACGCCAATACGTAGCGATAGTTTGCTGGTGGATGCCTTTACGTACATCTCGATTTCTGAGAAAATACCTTAAAGCCAAGCATGCAGGCTACAGATAAGGGGCGAAAAATAGATCTCGATTGATATGTAGTCATGGTATATGCAACTTCAAAAACTATCTAGACGCCAGCCTTCTCAGTTAAAGGTGTATCGAAGCCATTCTCCCACAGCACGCAAGCTTTCCCACCGCACCGTTTCGTCTCGGTCAGTCATCAGTTCCATAACCCTGGCTTTCAAGCCTAGTTTCTCTAGTTGGTTCCGTCGCTCGGGTACTTCTTTGACAAGGCTCCCAACGTCGTTGCATGCAATTGCCAGCACCTGCTTGTCATTATCCCAGCTCTTAGACAGAATCTCGGCCAATTTTCTGGGCAAGGCTCCGCGCTCTTCCTCGAGAATCCGGTGAGCATTCTCGCGCCAGAATGTCGGATTACGATGTGGAGGCGACCATCGCAGATGTCCAGACTGCACTTCGGCAGCATACTGGTCGAACGTAGTTTGCGTCTTTGTATACTCCTCCAGCATTTCGGACAGAGAGTTGAGGTCTTCAAGAAGGTCTGGATCGGTCAGGTGACGGCCGCTTAAGTTTGATAGCAAACTGGGGAGCCGGACAATCACCGCCACCGGCAGAAGCGTTGTGCGGTTCGCCGTCAAGAGGTTATTTAACGTAGCGAGAAGAAGGCGAGTTGTTTTCTCTTTGGGAGACAGCCGCAGAAGCTGTGTGTATAATTCGATAATGTCATGTTCCCTGTCCTTGTCAGTTCCATGCGAGGCAGATGTAGAATGCTAGGATACCTACGATTGCAATTCATCGCCCACGAGGTCACCCTCGAAGCTGAGTTGCCAAATAACCAGTAGCACATGGTATAAAAGTTGTAGCCCAACGCCGCCTCCAACACTTACGTCGGCATTTCGGATGCTGCTCGTGGCTGCTGAGCCCGCTAAGGTACTTGACCCGGTATCTTTCCCGCCTGCGGCTGTACGAAGGATTTCTACGAGAGTGATGACTGTTTCTTGGCGCTGTTTCCAGAACAGCTCTCTCGCCTTTTTGTTACAGAGAAGGGACGAGAACCCTTGCACCCCAATATCTTGAAGCCCGCTATCTTGGTTCTTCGTCAAGACGGATAGGTACGAATAGAGTTGTGGTAAGGCCTCTTCTTCGCAACTGGATGTCTGAGATGAGGAAGTAAGCGCCGTGGACACCAAGGCAGTCAAGAAGGAGGATGTAAGAAGGGGTATAGGGTCCTCAGGGTTGGTGGAATGACGCAAGAGGGGTAAGAACGGCTTGTAAGGCTGGGGATGCTCAATCAGAGCCAAGGCGAGTGACGGCACATCTGATCGTAAACAAGTCAGCAATCTCCTGGACAATGCAAAGCCGGCCTCGCAAAAGCAGTGACACACCATTAATAAGATCGGCCGACAGAACCAGAATATATTGCACTATATCGGTACGTTTGGACGCTGACTCAAGGACGCTCTTCTCATCTGGACCGCCTGCAAGGAGGGTTGCATACCCCTTCAAATCCGTTTCGACTGTCTGCTGACGCTGTTCCTTCCGCACCTTGTCAACTGCTTTTATCTTCCGTAGATGTTCATCGGTGATGTTGCCGGCTCGCACGGCACCTTCCCATGGAATTGGTCGGGCGCGAATGTTATTCTGCAGAGAGCTGAGGTAGGTGGGCGGTTCGAGAGACATTGTGACGGCCAAGCAACGATCCAGACAAATACACAGGACGGCCTTGTCTGAAAGGCCGGTGCAGTGCAGTGCAAGGCGACAGTTCAGTTCCGTGTTGTGGGAGAGGCCAGGTGATGATGTCGTGGTAGGCTACTACAGTTGTAAGAGCTCATGCAGTGCAGCTTACCGCCTGCGGTTAGCCTGCGATTGGCGCCACGCGTGCTCCCTGTGATCCTGCGCCAGTGGCTGAGCCGCATCTAAGATTAACGATCACCTCAACCGCCGACGGCTGACCCGTCTACCTGGCTTCTCAGTTACACTTCATTATTCCAGCTGTCCAGTATTATTACTGTGCGATACTGGTGTTTCTTAAGGCGTTCTTTCTTGTCTGACCTGGCAATTCGTCTGAAATGGACAATATCTCCTGCGCGGCATAGCTCCGAGTTTCGTGACTCGCAATCTGCTGCTTGCCTGATTTTCCAACCCTCACCACGCCGCAATACTTATGACTGCAGCACGCTGAGACACTCTACGCGGAACAGCACTTCCCAGCTATCGGCCGAGACAGAATCCGTATCGCGATGTCGTCCGATGCGCAGCAATCGAAACCCAGATGGGGCGTCCGGGGCTTTCTTCAACAGGCGGTATCGGGGGTCGAGTCGAGGCTCGACGTGATTCTAGCGAACGATGAGGAGGATGTACAACAAGGCAAACAGGTCAAGGATGACGAGACAGCCACACAACCGGCTATAACTGTCGCCAAGCAAAGTGCTGAAGGTATGCAACAGCATTCACTGCCCTTGACGCTGTCATTGGCTAATTCTTCTTGAAACAAAAGTTTCGCGAAGTTCTTCGAATGCCCGCAAAAATGACCGATTACAAGAGCGTCTAGCGAAAGCTATGGTGAAAAATCAGAGCCCTGCGGCGGGCAACAGTCCACGGTCATCGGTCGAGGTCGTCTCTCGATCATCCACTCCTTTACCGATCAATGATACACGCGCCAGTCTGGATAGTACAAGAGCAAGCTTAGACGGTACTTTGTTGCAATCGGGTCTCCGAATAGCCGAAGATGTTCCACGTACGCCTCCAAGAAGTAGCCACGACTCAGGAAACCGTTCGCAGACCTCTAAAGATCTACCGGACACCGATAGCAATATGGAAACACAAATCGATGGCAGACTTGATTTAGAGCCCGGAAGCGAAGAGTTACAGGGAGTGCCATCCACGATCGAAAATGAGACGGAAGACACTTCCGAGAATATTGATCTCATCGACAACACGGAAACTTCGGCCATTGAGAATCCTGAACTCGAAGAATTGCGAGCTGAGCATAAAGCCGCCGAGGCTAGGTGGCAGGAAGAAATGCATGACTACATCGAGAAGATTGACGCCCTACAGTCGAAATTGAAGTACCTTGCTCAAGAAGCTGCTGAATCTGCCCGAGAAGCTGCGTCGGCCGCGAAACCGGGCAGTTTAGAGAAACAGCTCTCGGAAAAGGATGAACGTATTGCGCTTTTACTTGAAGAAGGCCAGAAATTAGCGAAAACAGAATTGGACAATCGCACTATTATCAAGAAGCTACGACAGCAGATCGCAGATAGCAACAAACAAGAGAACGAAGCAAAACAGCGTACAACGAAGTTAGAACGAGACTTGAATACTGCAGAATCAAGAGTTAAAAGAGTGGAGGCGTCAGAGAGGAGGGCACAGGATTTGCTGAATTCGCAAACAAAAGCTTCCAAAGAGCTCGAAATAGTCACATCCGAGCGACAGGCGTTGACAGCCACCGTGGAAGAACTGAAAAGTCAACTAGCAAGAGCAGTTGCACGTGCCGAGGATGCGGAATCCAAGGCCCAAACCGAAGCTTTGGACAAATCAAATAGGCGAATTACAGATTTAGAGGGCGATTTATCCAGCGCAAAGATCGAGAGAGAACTCAGCGAAGAAAAGTTGAAAAGAGAAATCCGAGACATCAAGGATAACTTGGAGAGAGAAAAGGAAAACGCACGTGTTTTGGAAGCAGAACTTAAAGGAGAGCAATCTGTACTGGAAAGCAAAATGGAAAGTCTCCGTTCACGGGCCGAAGAAGCTTCTTCAAGCGCTGCAGGCGATGCGCAAGCCAAGTTACTCCGCCAGATCGAGACATTACAAACGCAATACGCGGTCGCCAGTGAGAACTGGCAAGGGATCGAGGGCTCCCTGTTGTCAAGACTGACTACGGTTGAGAAGGAGCGCGATGAGATCGCTCGAAAGGAGGCCGATCTACGGCGGAAAGCCCGAGAAGTTGTGAGTTTGGTGGGCAGAGCCTCTGTAATCTATTGAACTAACAGGTTGAACTAGAACATCAAAGCCAAAAAATCAGAGGAGGAGCTTGAAACTGCCAAAGAAACGGTTGAAGAATTGGAGCGCACACTTCAAGAAGTCAGGCAACAGGTGCAAAAATTACAACAGAGAGTGCAAAGAGCAGACGAAGAGCTCGTGTCATTTCGAAAAGAGGCTGCAGCGAAAGAGAAATCTATCGAGGCAACTTGGACACAAAAACTTGAAGAAGAGCGATCCCGATGGAGAGAGCGAGTCGCATCGCCACCACCTTTCCTTCAGGAGCCTCGCACAGTCTCACCTGTCGCTTCCAGTCGCAGGTCCACCGGCCTTGACCCTCTTGTAGTCGAAAGCCGTCCATTGAGTCGTCGATCTTCTACTTTGCCATCTCAGGTAGATCTGGGAACCCCAACACGAACGAATTCATTCCCATCATTCCAAGGAATCGGCTCTCCGCATACATCAAACGGCCTCCCCAACCCCAATTTACTGGGTGCTCCTCCAATTCATGCGCTAGAGCCAGAAGAGTATTACAGTGGTTCTCCAGTAGCGCCATCTGCATACGGAGCACAGACAAACGTTTCTCGCGGGAATGGGATCAACGAGATTATATCAGTTTCAACCGTCGGAGCTGGCCCCTCAGTTCAACTTGTTGAACGTATGAGTGCAACAGTCAGGCGTCTCGAAAGCGAGCGAGCGGCTACCAAGGATGAACTAGAACGTATAACATCTCAGCGTGATGAAGCTAGACAGGAGGTCGTTGAATTGATGCGTGAGATGGAGGAAAGGCGCAAGACAGACGGACGGGTCGAAGAACTAGAAGCGCAGGTCACGCAACTAGACGAACGCTATGAGACTACTCTTGAACTCCTTGGCGAGAAGAGCGAGCAAGTTGACGAACTTCAAGCCGACATCGCTGATCTCAAGAAGATATATCGCGAATTGGTCGATAGCACAATGAAGTGACACGATAAGGCGGAGTCTCTTCGGGTCAACAACATATTTTGCATATTCTGTAAATATACCAATTTATTCAGCCCAGATTCACGATGGGCGAAGATATGTGTATGCATTTTCGAAACCGGTATCATTAGACTTCTGGAATCAACTACTGTATTACGGCAACTCTATGCCCTCACGTTCTGCGGTTTGAAGAATATATTTTCGAACCTTTGGAACATCATTAGCATATCTTCGACATTTAGACAAGGTGTAAACAATCCATACCATCGTATCCGGCGCCAGATCAATAGCCAAATTCCCGTCTACATCCCTCTTTTCGAGATCCGTCCCTTCTTTCATCAACACTATCGCTGCGTCCCCATGGCCCTCAGAAATGGCATGATGCAATACCGTCAGACCGTCAACATCAGTGGCATTGATTGGACTCTTGCCCTCCCTGAGCAAGAGCTTTATTATAGGAATAGAGCCCACGGCTGCAGAGCGATGTAAAGCCAACTGACCCCGTTTGTCTTTGACCCTTGCGCTGCACTTATGAGCAAGTAGTTTTTTGACAGTAGAAAGATTAGCCTTCGAAGCTGCGAAGTGAAGGGCATTCTGTTGTACAAGAAATCAATTAAATATTTGTATCTGGGCATCTTCTTTGTGAGACTCACCTGTCCTGAGGAGCTTTTTATATTAACATCTGCTTCCTTGCGTAGTAACAGATCAATGACCTGCTCGCCTTCATCGTTTTTCAAGCTGGCGGCGATCATGAGCGGCGTCCATCCAGACCCATCCTGTAGAATAAAACCATGAGAACAACCCTAGCAGAACTCAAAGGTTGGACTGACTGTGACATCTGGATCGAAATATTTATTGGCTACCAGTAGCTCCACTATTGGTAACCGGTTATACGCAGCGGCCCAGTGTATAGGCAGACGTTCATCGTCATCCTTGAGAGAAGCAAGTTTTGGATTTGCCTGGTGTCGACAAAAAGATCAGAATGATGAACAAAACATATAAGAAATAGAAAATATGCAACAAATAGATGGCTCACATTCAAGAGCGATTCGACAACAGAAGCTTTTAGTTAGTCAGCAGTTGACTTTTCCATTTAATGAATAATTCAACGTACTTTTTCCTTCGCGAGAAGCTTCGTGTATAGCAAACTTTGCAACTTTATCGGCCTCCATGATGAGTATGATGACTTTCTCCCGATTTATAATGAACTACTGAGTAGGTGGATAATATTGGAGATGGGATGGTACGTACATGGTGCACGGAGTCTAGTAGCTCGCAAGCAACGGTAGTTGATGAGCGGCATAGAAGATGGCCCGAGCTTCTTCAAAGTTCATTCTTTCGCCGCGCCTTTGCGACGCAATATTTATCAAAGCAACAACCCTACTTCGATTGACGACCAAGCGCATTCTCCACCACATACTAGATTCCATACGATTATCTCTACGTTCAAGAATTTGACTTTTTAATAACTCAGCGAACCCATTGCGCCACAAACCGTCGGCCGTTAGTGTTCTCTCGCTCACCTCCAGGAAATGGATATTTTGCCATCACAGTTGCCAGCCGACCAAGCTGTGCGAAAATCAGCTAAAAGGACCATTGAGCTTTTTGGATCCGATTATCTATTGGCCACACCCTCAACATCGACCGATGGCTCAATAGGTGTTTCCTACCGGAGGAAAGCCGAGTACGAAGCCGTTCAAGAACTCCCACCAGCGCTCGCAGAGAAGCAGGCCAAAGCTGCAGCATCCCGTACCAAGCGCCCGAAGATTCCAGGTCAAAACGGACAGAGTCAAGGCGGACAAAGTGGCGCGTCAACGGCTCTGGTGAAAGCAACACCGAGTGGACCATCTGCTGGAAATCAGAATAGAAGCCTTGTTTCACGCCCATCCGCAACTCCACAGCAAAGGCCCGACTGGCATCCACCATGGAAGCTGATGAGAGTGATATCTGGACATTTGGGTTGGGTGCGAGCTTTGGCTGTTGAACCTAATAACGAGTGGTTCGCCAGTGGTGCAGGAGATCGGACTATTAAGATTTGGAATCTAGCAACCGGCGCCCTTCGTCTCACACTGACAGGCCACATATCTACTGTCCGTGGTCTGGCTGTCTCGCCCCGCCACCCATACCTCTTCTCCTGTGGTGAGGATAAGATGGTCAAATGCTGGGATTTGGAAGCAAACAAGGTCATTCGACACTATCATGGCCATCTAAGCGGTGTCTATACCCTTGCTCTTCACCCGAATCTGGATGTTCTTGTTACAGGAGGACGTGATGGTGTGGTACGAGTTTGGGATATGCGAACACGTAGCAATATCCATGTGCTTTCCGGTCATAAAGGTACGATCGCGGATGTCAAGTGCCAGGAGGCTGATCCACAGATTATTTCTGCGTCTCTCGACTCGACCGTTCGTCTTTGGGATCTTGCAGCGGGGAAAAGCATGGGGGTCTTAACGCACCATAAGAAGGGTGTGCGCGGTCTCGCCATCCATCCAAAGGAATTCACATTTGCAAGTGCAAGTACGGGAAGCATAAAACAATGGAAGTGCCCCGAGGGCGCATTTATGCAGAATTTCGAAGGTCAAAATGCAGTCATTAATTCCATTGCTGTGAATGAAGACAATGTATTGTTTTCTGGAGGAGATAATGGATCCATGTCATTCTGGGACTGGAAGACTGGCCATCGGTTTCAGTCGCTTGATACTATGGCTCAACCTGGATCGTTGGATGCGGAAGCTGGTATTATGTCGGCTACTTTTGACCGGACTGGTCTGCGGTTGATTGTTGGTGAAGCCGACAAGTCAATTAAGATCTGGAAGCCAGATGACGAGGCAACGCCGGAGTCACATCCATTAGACTGGAAGCCGACTCTTGGAAGGCAAAGATATTAATATACTGATGTTGCTTTCGACAGCATTCTTGCATGACTGGGAAGTTTGAGGCGTTAACGAACACCGAAAGTATCGGGATCACATTCACATCTTGAGATTATTGCTTCATTAGTCCACTGTTGTTTGACCAAATTTATGTATACTTATGAAATCTTACAACCTCATTGAATCGCTCACATAAAGTAATCAAAAGTATATATACATGTATTAAATCAGGGGGTATCCTGCATCTCACTAAAACTCCATGGTGCTTATATTTATATCATTCACTGATCAAACCCGAGACCTAGCCCCTTTGCTTCATAGTCATCTCTGAAAGCTGACTTCACCTCCTCGGCAGCTATTCGTAATCTGACTTTGCTGCTTCTATCTCCCCTAGCTTTCGTACTGACTCCTATTTCGAGGGCGACGACACCGGAGTTCATAAGCTCCATAGCCGCGTAGCTCATCGCACGAACTCTTGCACCAGGGTTGCTACCTAGGAGAAAGTCCTTGATACTCGAGCCTGCAACACCTGCAACTGCCACAGAGGCATCAGCGATCCGCCGTGCCTCGTCGAGGATATCTCCCAATGTGGTCTCGGATATACCTGTTCGACGAACACGGGCCAGCAATGCTGCAAGAAATAGCTTTCCAGACAATGGAAGACAGCGGAGAGCTTGTTGCAGCGGTGTCGACGTAGCTTCTTGGATAGCTTGTTTGATAGTAGCAATCGTGACCCGCGGGGTCGAGGCAATCGGCTTCTTCTGCGGACTCGCAATTGTCACGGAGGGTTTGCCGTTCTTCTTTTGGTTGCGTTCTTTGCGTGTGTTACTCTTACTGGGTGTTGGAGGAAGTGCATCGTCTTCTTCCACCTCGCCGTTGGCGTCGCTTGTTTTTGTGGCAGATTCACTTTCTTGCTCAGCGATTTCAACAGCTCGGCGGCAGATGTCGAGCGCGCGTCGAGCATCTCCACTGACAGCTGCAACCTTTCGACTGGCGAACTGGATAGCATCCGGATCGACGATGTTTCCGGGGACGTTCGCGAGACGAGAGGAAATAATCTCCATCAGGTCTGTGTGTTTGTAACCGGGAAATGTGATACGGGTTAGGCCTAGGCGACTTGAGATTTTGTTGCTTAGGGTTCTTTCAGGGAGATCCATAGTGTTCGCCACTGCGAGGACAATGAGACGCGAGTGACGAAGCGCAGGCCAGTTGAAGAAATTGTACATAACGGATTGATTTTTCGTGACCAGTTGATCAAGTTCGTCCATCAAGACAACGCATGGAACTCGTCGGGGAGAAGGATGACTGAATTCTCTTTCTAGCAAGTCGAGTGCGTGGGATGGAGAGACACGGTCGCCTTTCAATGCTTCCCAAAGCAAAGAATATGACTGATGCGGATCGGTTACTTTCATACCGTTGATCTCGACAAAGATAAAGTCATCCATTTCTTCAGCAAGCACTGAATTATTTAATTGCGCAACAACTTCCCTGACAGTTGCAGTTTTTCCTGTGCCAGGAGTTCCTGAAATATAGATACAAGCACCAGTGCCTTCGCTGATCGCGGCGCTTAGATGAGAATATACGGTTTCAAACTCTGCATTGCGGCATGGTAGTGAGGTGGGCACGCTGGAGACATGCAGCAAAGCTCGTGCCTGGCGATATGGAGACGAGGTAAAATGTGTCGGGTCGAGTACACGAGTCCCCAATGGAGTAAACTCGAGTGGTTTCTTCACCACAATACTGTGAAGCTTGAGTGTTAGGCATGTACTCTTATTGAAGCGGGGATCGAGAGATTACCGTTTACTAGTAGGAGTCGTGAGAACTTTTCGTCGAGATTGGGGAGTAACGTTGAGCGTTGTCATTCGCTGCCTCTTCCTCGGTGTAGTAGGTGCGTTGAGATCATCTTTCGTGTCCACGTACTGTAATGCGAAATTAGATGTTGCTGGATATTTAGTACAGGTATACTCACATCCCCATCTACAGTTTTACGCTTCTTAGCAGCCTTAAGACCCATTTTGAGCATTTCAAGGAGTCGAAAGACGCTTTCTTCATCTCCTTTATACACATCCTCCCAAACAAATTCTTCGGTATACTTCCCTTGGAGCTGATTGACTCCCCTCCGACAAACAATGCATTTCTGGTATTCGGCAATTGCTGCTTTGCCCTTGGGGGGATCCCCATTTGGATATTTCGCAAAGAAAGCATCTTTGGACATGACATTTCCCCTACCATTTATTGAGGTTAGTGGATTGACATTGAAATCCACTGTCAAGTATTGTTCATTAGGTAAAGCATCGGCCCGCTTCTTGTTTTTGGTTGACAGAAATTCCTCCGGCGAGGCGAACCACATGACGTTGACCGACTTGACCGGCTCTTCGTCATCATCCTCATCTTCCTCTTCCAGAAACTCCGTTATTATCCCAACCCAATCCTTACCAGCCTCGGGTGATTTTAGTAAGACCACATGTCCTAGCCTGCACTCGAAAGACCCCATGCGGGCGGCTATGATATTCCTCTTTCGGGTTTTTGGACGTATTGAGCGTCTCCGGGGTGTTTGAGACTCTGATTCATTGTCGTTCGCCTGGTTGCTATTGGCATTCTCGATTCCATTTGTTTCTGGCTCGTATATCCACTCCCAAGGGTGATCATCATATCCCAGCTCATCGTCGGAGTCGTCTCGTACTAGGCCCCCTACGGTGAGCCATTGCTTGGCTTTCTCTCTGTTGTCTCGTGCAGTGCGGGGTTTTGGCTCCGGGCTTGAAGAACTCATGTTGTCGCTGTCATCGGAGTGTTCCTGTCCTTCAATGTTGCTAATTGCCTTAGGCCGAAGCTGAGCAAAATCATTAAACGCGTTTGACGCGCCGTGACTCGCCGTGACTAGCGCCCCTGATGGGGACTAGCGCAGATCGGATCGGTGGCCGATCTAGCTAAACCCAATTGAGAACTATATCGTTTGCTTCTGAGCAATAATTATTCTCATAGAACTAACAAACAACGGATAAAACGACGAATGGTAGCGACGACAGGAATTTAAGGAGGAAGAAACGTCTGCTGTATTTGAAATGATCTCGTCAACCCATGTTCCGGTAGCCAGCTGAACAAACAGTCAACACCGACCTCCCAAGGCGGGCACCTATGATAATAATGAGGGTTGACCACTTTGTTTGTCGGCGGCCTGCCACCCACCTCCTTCCTCCCTCTCAGTGTGTTTTGCCCGGTTACTTCCTCCGCCCTCTGATGACATCCTTCTCCTCTCAGTCCCACTTCTGAATTCATTGTTCTCACCGTGCCACCTCCTGATTCTCGTAAAGCGTCAAGCTTGTGGAAACGACGGCTCTGAAGTCCTCGTGCTTAAAGGGCCTCGTTCTCCAGTGCATAAGCTTCTAAGATGGAGTAAACACTTCGGTTCTCTGAGTCCCCGATCGCCTTCGCTAACCTACTCCAGCTACGAAAAGTCATCTGGCCCAGGTACGGCAGAGATTTGCGGATTTCACTCCGGAGCATCAAGGGTTGACTTTGGAATTAGAATGGCTTTTGTCCCTTAAGGACAATAAGGCAGCGGTGTATTCCCCTCCTCAACGCAGGCGAGAGGAACAGATCAATGTTTCCCCTGCAGAGGCTACAAGAAAACCGCAAGGTCCCATTGTTCGCGAAAAAGGTTTCAACAACGGAGCTAGTTCGATGCCCAAGAACAAAACTTACCGAGACTTGTACAAGGCGAAGAGCATGTGTAAATCCGGAAGCTCGCCCTCGGGTTGGTGTCTTTGATCCTACTCAACTTCTTCTTATTAACCTTCTCAGCGGAATATGAACTCCCTAAGCCTTATGGCAAATACAAGGTGCAAGCGTGAGTCAATGATAATACCGAAAACAGAAATGTCTGGTTGCTGACATGGTTTATAGGTTGGTCGATGCCGGCAAATCTTTTCTCAAGGGGAAGCCTTTGGCTGGAGACCTTGACATCTTCATTGGGATTTCTCACAAGACTGGAGCCTATGTTAAAAAGCCAGACAACCACGCTAAGGTATGTGACGAGGTGAATTTCCTCGGTTATGTCTTATTAACAGCCCTGGAGTCCATACAATTGTGGGGTAGTTCCCAGTCTGTACAAGCAGCGAAAAGCTTGTTATCAGCACTATTCAAACGCCACGAAGAAGTGCTAGTCTCTCGACAGCAGCATGCCTGGGTTAAAGTCAAGCCAACAAAGTCCGAGGTGGATGATTATGAAAGTGAAATTATTTCCCCAAAGAAGGCCGATTCCCTCATTGAAATGCTAAGAAATCCGCCCATTCCTGGTTCCGGGAGCCGCCACCGAGTAAGTCATTTCCCCTGAGCTTCCCATTCACCATTGACATACCAAGATGGCCTTTCTTTGGCCAGTCGGCGAAATTCCTATTGGCGAAGTCCTGGGTGCTGATCTGGAGGGACTTGATTTCCTTCGATCGCAATACAAATGTTTTATTTACCTGTCAGACGGGAATACAAACGTGATTTGTGTTTCCAGCTCTGATCAGGAGACGCTTCAACTAGCGATTGGTCAGCTGGAGGAAAAGTGCCACGAGCTGATAGTGACGTCAACCTCGAAGAACAAGCTCTATCTGGTAGATTTACCAAGCGACGAAAAAAGAGTGGAAGCGATTACAATCATGAGAAACAAAGAGTTGGTAAAGCCGTGTTTTGTGATCAAACCATCTGACGACTCCCATAATGAGGACGTACTGATTTGGGAAGACACATCATCATCAGACAACGATACGCGTTTACTGTCCGCAATCAAGCGATCACTTTGCTGCGTACCTTTTATTAGCGGCACTTTGAGTATGCGTGTAAGCTTAGGAACGTTCATATTCGAACATTTTCGTGCGCCTAAAAATCCTGACGAGGGATATTCTGTTGATGAATTCAAAGAAATGGTTTCGAATGAAAGGATGAAAGGTCGACTTCTACCTGGGTGAGGATTGGCTATTCATTTCAATCTCATGTTAGTTGTTAACTAAAGTGAATACATCTAGTCTCAAGATCACCAAAGACACACTAATAGGCGAAGAGGCTAGTCGGTTATTTCAATTGGCAGGCAGGCAGCCTTTTTCTTTCACGGGAGGATTGGTGAAGCACATGGTGACCGTGGAATTCGACGCCATAAACAATGATAAGCTGAAATTGGAAATTGAATTCAAAGCAGTGGGACCACGTTATGAGAGAATAGCATCTCGATGGGTAGAGTGTCCAGCGAAAGGGAAGTTCGTTGAGGAGAGATCATTATTACAAGCGATCATACTCGACACTCTAAAGTAGGTTGACTTTTCTTCTCAATGTTTATTGTATGCCTACTAACCATTATCAGTGCAGATTGGCAGCTTGAAATCAAAGAGAACAAGACACTTGCTGCATCTCAGATAAACAACGCCATGGAAGAGTTTGACCATTCACTGCGGCTCAGACAAGGTCTAATCCATGAATCTCTCATGACAAAGCCTAAACGCCGTACAATCTTACCTGGCGGCTTCCCAATTCGTCGACTTATTGAAAAGGCAGCTATCCAGTTACCTATCATAGGAACTGACTACGTTCTAGAGATAGCACGATATGATACCTACGAGAAAGGGGTTGCCCAGACTATCAGTGACGTGGGACCTTCTTCATTTTCTTGGGGGGGGGCCTTGTTTGGGATAAATTGGGACCAGGACTTGAAAAGACTTGCTGAAAAGAAGCAAATCCAGCAAATGGGCTACTACTCCATCCTTGATCCCTTTTTTAATCAAAATGCCAAGGATGGAAGCAAAGCTGGCTTCCAGGGTTTCATTAGTGTAGTCAAGGATGTGTCACGACTTCTCGGTAAAAACGAATGAGTTTCGACAAATTCTGGATCTGAATTATGCTATGGGCTCGTGTCTCTGAAGAGGTCAAGGATCCTTGATTAATCCTCCTAGACTGACACGTCTACACCACCTTCACTTCATCCGACCTCAAATCATTCAATGTCTTTACCAATGAAATAGTATTTTCTCGTTGACATTGATAACAACACCTTGATGGAAAAAAACCGCACGTTTGCCATTCTTCATCCGTAGGGAAAACTAATTCATACCCAACTTTAGGATTCGGCTGGTTAGATTGTCTATGAGAATTTGGAGGATGCGGTTCTGTTTTGTTCCTTTCCCTTGATTCAACGCCAAGTTTGATGATCGGTTTGTCCGATTGATTCCTAGAGCATGCTATTAACTAGCGGAGCTTGTGACAGCTTCACCACTCAAAACTTTTTGTCGAAGGGCTTGTGCATTTGTTAGCTATTTAGTCTCTTGAGCGCATCACATGAATTTAGCATAATGGAAATTACATACCATCTTCGATCACCCTCAGGTTTGCACTCTTTCCTTGCACTATTTTTTCCAGATCTGTGATGTTCGCTTCTAAATCTTTCACTTTCGCATCGTAGAATTCAGTAGCCTTCGCAGTTGTCTGAGAGAGCCCAGGATTAGAATAACGCGCAAAATATAGCAAATGAATATATCCCTACTTTTTCCACATAGAACCCTGTTCCCACATCCACAATGACCTTTTCTCGTTCTGTCAATTTGCCTTTCACATACAACGAACTTGTCAATGGGACAAGAATGCTATCGCCGCCCGCCCCAGGAGCATCCTTTCGTCCGACAATACCATCGTTGATTGTTCGTACGCAGTCTCGGAATTTGGATTGTGCGGAGCGCAGTTTCGCGTGTGAGTTGGTGAGGTGTTCCAATTCGGAACTCAGCCGTGTCTGCAGACTGCGAAGTTGTGGGACGGAGAGGGTTGTTATGTCGACTGTGTGAAAAGTTCAATAGATATTAGCATCTTTCAAAGAGATCTCTGAGGAGAAGAAAATAGCTGCAGGGGAAAAAATGAAGTGCTCGTACCGGCACCTGGGGGAGCACCAGAGGAAGATGCGGGGGTATTTGAGGATGACATTATGCGGTAGCCACTGCCCCGCGCAGTGTTATGCGAATTTAAGTTCGGATTGAAATATGTATATGTGGGAATATACAAATATAGCGGTCTGGTATCAAGTTTGGGTTTCAATTAATTGTCGTGTGTTGCTTATGTATGGTGAAGTGTTGACATTGTGTTTTTTGACAAGCTCAAGTTCGGCCCGCAAATCGAAGAGTGGGGAATTCGGCCAACCCTTACATACTATACGAACTATGGTACTCTTCCTGGCTTGACATTGATATTCTGAGAGAAATGTAGTTTTGATTGTACAGATATATTAATGGCATAATATACAATAGATGCTACACACAAATCACAGCTTTCGCAGCAGTGATCCGACATATTCAGGTAATTCTGCGATACCAACATTCTGACGCAAACCATCCAATTGTCGACAATGTACTTCTACCTCTTGATTCGCTTTCCAGGACTTTCCGACAATAACTACCACTGGGAAGCCAATCAGATCTGCATCTTTAAGCTTCCAGCCAACTTGCTTAGCACGATCGTCTAGGATAACGTCCCTGGTATCCATGTGCAATTTCAGGGTATCGTAGATGGTCTCAGCATCAGCATCGAGGCCAGTGGTAGGTATCACGAGGATTTCATACGGAGCAATTGCTCTCGGCCAATTGAGGCCATTTGCGTCAGAACGTGAATCAGCTACGGCAGAGATCATACGCGATACTCCGATTCCGTGACAGCCCATTTGCATTGGATTGATATGGGACTCTTTTTGGGTATTAGTTTCAGTATGCTTTTCAATCCTCGAGCTGTCAACCTGAACAGTCGCTCCAAAAACCTGGGTGTAACGAGTGCCTAGATGAAATGTGTGTCCTAGTTCGATTGCCTTGTGTGTGTGAAGCGCCCCTTTGTTGCACTTTGGGCACTTGTCGCCACTGACCACGCGAGTGAGATCGAGGCCGTCAGATGTGCCAGGAAAGCTGTTCAGCATTGAGAAATTGATGGAATGTTTCGAGGGTTGGAAACCTTCTGGTAATCCACTTAGGGGAGGATGGTTGTATGAAACGACTTGTGAATCGTACAGGTCTAAAATTGTGTACCTTTTGTCGCCTGGCGGATTCGAGGCTGAGGTTTTCTCTACGAAGTGGACCCATAGATTTGTAGAATTTTCCAAGCTTGTTAGCAAGTCAACGCCGGCCGTCTTTGCTACGGCTTTGATGGCATGGGAGTTGATTCCCCTTTCCACTGGTTCCTCGGTAGAGTCTGATCCCAGCTTAGATTGTTGAATTGAGTATTTCGGATACCAAACTCGGACCAATGTTTTCTTATCTTCTGAGATGGCTGTCCATAGTCCTGTACTTATAGCGGTAGGGTTTTTAGCTCCGACTCCAGTGTCGGATGGTTCTGTGGAATTTGCATGGCTAACGGGGTGATGGCTGCGTCCATCTGACACCTCTTCGTTATACACATAGTCACATGCAGAACAGCTGATCAGCGTATCCTCTCCTTTCGCGCTTATGAGATGGAACTCGTGACTCAGATTACCGCCCATATTACCGGAATCAGCAGTAGCAACAAGATAAGGAACCTTGAGTGTGTCGAATATCCGTTTGTAAGCTTCTCGTACGGCCTCGTAAGTTTGCATCGCTTCTTCTGTGTTATAGTCGAAGGTGTAGAGATCTTTCATGACGAATTCTCGACCTCGCAGAAGCCCCTGTCGCGGCCTAGCTTCATCGCGATATTTCCTTGCTGCTCAAATGTTTAGAACATAGCGATAGCGGTATATACAGATTAGGAACTAACATATCTGATAAACTCTCAAAGGCAAATCCTTATATGAAGTTACGAGGTTAGCGACAAGCGAGGTGATCTCTTCCTCATGCGTTGGTGCAAGTAGGAATCGAGATTCCTTTCTATCATTAAGTCGAAAAAACTGCTCAGCTTAAAGCTCAGTCTCAATCATTGTCCGCTGCTTCATGTCTAACATACCTCCGATCCGCTCTTCAAGCGGCCAGTCTTCTCCCATAGATCCTGGGATGATAATGACGACAGAGACAGTTTCGATGCACCTGCACAAAGTAACGATGTGAGAAATAAAGATCTGCACCGTACAAATGAATAAGTGTTACCTATAGCCTGCATCTGTGTATCAATCAGTTTCTCCAGTTTATCCTGCACCCGCAGACCCAATGGCAGCATGTGAAAGATTCCAGAATATGCCTGTCGGAGGAACCCAGCCCTGATTAAGAGGTCATTTGTATCTTCTGTTCTTATTTGTTAGTAAAATGTGATGATTATAGTAAGCATGCTGTGCACACACCTTTGTCCATTCCAGCAGCTTTTTTCTCGATTCCGCCTGTTGGCAGCCAAAAATTGGAGGATCGAGTGCGGCCGTCATTCTAGTTTCCGGTTAGCACGGTTATAATATATGCGAATAGATTCGATGGATCAAAATACATGAAGTTGGCACACAAAAGTTAAGGAGCCATGTTGCTGACGCGGATTGGACAGTCGCAGGCCAGCTATAGGGCTAGGCCTTAACTTTGTGAACATTAATTATAATTCAATTGAAGCAATTGTTAATTCATGTATATAACTTGATAAGGCGAAAGATCAAGATCGTGGAAATTGCATCGCATATGGACTGATGTTTCTACAAAAACAGTCTTAGCTTCCCTAACTTAGCCCGAGCTTATCGTTATCACGGCCCGGCCCCTGCAAAACTATTCTCCGGCGGCATCACCACTAATTTCTCAGTTATCCGGCAGAAAAATTAAGGATAACAAAAATCAAAAAAAAAATAAATAAGTCTGCTTGCTCACGTTCAAGCACACAGATCGCAATGGCCAAAATCAAGAAAAAGGTCGAAACGACGAGAAGCGAAAAACCAACGTCCACCAACAAATCGAAAGATGCCGGGGACGAAAATTTCCTCTCGCTGGACGCCGGCGCACTTGCTAATCTAACTCGGAATATCGAGGCGCGATTGAAAGATAAAAACAGCTCCGGGAAGAAACCTGCGAAAGGAGCGAAACAACCTACACCGAAACCGAGCAAAGAAAAGGCAGACACTTCTTCGCAGAAGAACGGTACGAATCAAAAGTCGTTCAAAGGGAAGAAGCGGGACCGCAATGGAGATGTGATTGAGAAGATAGAAGACAAGACAACGAAAAGTGGGAAATCTAAACAGGCAGTATCACAAGATGATGGCGCTGAAGATGAAGACGAGGTTCTCAGAAAGGAAATTCTTGCAATGGGGGGCAGCAAAGAGGACTTTGACCTTTTAGCTGGGGTGGAGTCAGATTCAGAACTCGAAGACTCTGCGCAAAGTTCAGGCAAAAAGAAGACTGAGCCTGACGGAGATGCTTTGAGAAAGGAGCTCTCTAGGTTGTTGAAAGACGCTGGCCAGTATGTCCCTGAAATTCCTGACGAGGAAGCTGAAGATGAGGACGTCTCTGAAGAGGCGGACGTACAAAACTCCGACTCAGAAGATTCGAACGACGATGATTCAACCTCATCGGTCAAAGAAGATGCGCCATCTGAAATCATGCCTGAAAAGCCGCAAGAAATCACATTCCCCAAGGAATACTCGCGATTGGTACGTGGTATCTAATTATGGATGTTTACTCTATCTAACTTCATGTAGACTGTGATGCCAAGGTCGGACTGGTATAACACCGAGCTACCTTCAATCCCTACATCGAAAATATCAAATGGACTCCCCAAGTTCCTGTCAGACCGAATTCGGCGGCAGGCAACATCATTGCTCGAGAAGGAGAATGAATTATATACACAGATTCAAAAAAAATCATCTTCGTCGTCTCACAAGTTCTACTCAACTATCATGACCTCGGGAACACTGAGCGACAAGATCTCTGCACTTACGTTGGCCGTTCAAGAGTCGCCTATCCACAGTGTAAAGTCCTTGGAAAATCTAGTATCATTGTCCAAAAAGCGCAGCCGTGCTCAAGCAGTAGACGTTTTGCGATCTCTTAAAGATTTGTTTGCGCAAGGCACACTTCTCCCTGGCGACCGAAAACTCAAAGCTTTTGCCAACCATACAACTCTTGTCAGCGCATTCCAAAAAGTCGGAAACAATTGGACCGAAAGTGATGCCCTTCCTGGCGGTCTCCGTCCCAGCCATTTGATCGTGTGGGCGTTTGAAGATTTTCTCAAGGAGCAGTATTTTGAGGTACTGAAGGTTCTGGAGACATGGTGCAACGACGAAATTGAATTCTCCCGAACCCGGGCTGTCAGTTATGTCTACGAGCTTCTTAAAGAGAAGCCAGAGCAGGAGGCCAATCTGTTACGTCTGTTAGTCAACAAGCTGGGTGATCCTGGCAAGAAGATCGCGTCGAGGGCTTCCTATCTTCTGCTCCAACTCGGTCAGGCACATCCACTGATGAAACCAACTCTGATCAAGAGTGTCGAGGAATTTCTCTTCTGTCCCGGTCAAGGTCAGCAAGCTAAATACTATGCTGTGATTACCCTAAACCAGACTATTCTCAGCACGAAAGAAGAGGAGGTCGCCATCCAGCTGTTGGACATATACTTTTCGCTTTTTGTTATCCTCCTGAAACCCAATGAGAAGCCAAACCAACAGCGCGGGAAGTCTGGAAAGGGCCAGAAGAATGATGCTGCTGCTAAAGGAGCGCAATCTGAACCTGACGACCAGCTGAGAGAAAAACTGGTCTCGGGGATTCTGACTGGAATTAACAGAGCTTATCCGTTCACCAGCTCAGACACTGACCGGTATGTGTGGAAACCTACGAAGACATTCATGTGCTATTCTAACCATATACAGTGTATCTAAACACATCGATACCTTATTCCGCATCACTCACTCTTCCAATTTCAACACGAGTATTCAGGCTCTCATGCTTATCCAGCAACTCAGTCTCACGCATCAGCTTGAGGCGGATCGCTTTTACCGGACACTCTACGAGTCCTTGCTCGACCCACGAATTGCTACGTCTTCCAAACAACCACTTTATCTCAATCTCTTGTACAAGGCACTGAAGAACGATCCAAGCGTAAAGCGCGTCAAGGCATTTGTGAAGCGCATTGTTCAGGTTTTGGGTCTCCACCAGCCATCCTTTATCTGCGGCGTGTTCTTTTTGATCCGAGAATTGGAGAAGACATATGCTAGCCTGACCTCGCTTGTTGACCAGCCGGAAGTGGATGATGAGGACGAGGAAGAAGTATTTAAAGATGTGGTTGATGAGGAAGACCAGCCACCAGCGGAAGCTGTCGAGACAGAAAATTCGAAAAAGAAAGACGGCTACGATGCTCGCAAGAGAGACCCACAACATAGCAATGCCGATAAGAGCTGCTTGTGGGAACTGGTAAGTTAGCCGATTCGAGTGCCTATCTCATTTACTAACAAGACCAGATTCCATATCTAGCCCATTTCCATCCCTCGGTTTCTGTTTCGGCAGATCATATTCTTACACACGAGCCGCTGAGTGGAAAGGCTGATTTGAGTATACATACTCTGACTCACTTCTTGGATCGGTTCATCTATCGCAATGGCAAGGCGTCTGGCGGCCTACGTGGATCATCCATCATGCAACCACTTGCAGGCTCTGGTAGTCACGACTTGCTGGTCAACGCTAACGGTTTGTCTGGTCGAACACATACCGCTGAGCCGGTCAATTCTGAAGGTTTCTGGAGTAAACGTGCAGAAGATGTTGCCGCTGAAGACGTCTTCTTCCACGAGTACTTCAACCGGCTTGGTAAGGATCAGAAGACCAAGAAGGACAAGAAGTCGGCCAAAGACCGTGGTCGTGGAGATGGAGACGGAAGCGATGATGAGAATGAAATCTGGCAAGCGCTTGTGGACTCCCGACCCGAGCTTGAGGGCGACAGCGACGATGACGACCTCGACATGGACGATCTCGAATCGGCCTTTGATGAGGATGACGAGGAGGATGAAGAGGACGGGGGTGTTATCTTCAACGATGCATCTGACGGATCCGACGAAGAGGCAGACGTGGATGAAGATGTCAAGATGGACGAAGAGGAAGAGGTTGAAGAGGCCAAGGCAGGATCGAAGAAACCAAAGGCTAGTGCATCCGACGACGAAGACGAGGATGCATTCGACATGGACGTCTCTGATGATGAGGCATTCCGTGACAGCGACGAAGACTTGCCGTCAGATCTGGAGTTTGGCGGAGTGGAGTTGCCCCCCTCGCCCACGGCGGAGAAGGAAGACGAAAAAAGCAGGCGGCAGAAGAAGCGCAAGCTGCGGCACTTGCCGATGTTTGCGTCTGTGGACGATTATGCATCATTACTGGCAGACGAGGATGATGGACGAGTGTAGGCGAAGTAGGAGTAGCGTATCTAGAATATAATACAGGAAACATGTACAGTTCTGGTATGTATCATGTGATATGAGGATAACCCTAATCATGCCCTGGCACGTGGCAGCCCTATCGAGCCCTTTGACGTCATCCCGCGGCCGCTTCCGGGGTATGTATTGTATCAGTACTATACACACATATACAACTGTTATATTATTAGAATCTGCATTCCTAAGATGGAGAGGCCATGTCGGTAGCAGAATAGTATGAACCATATATGCCAGTATAAAAGAATTGCACGCGCAACAGCGTGCAGACGGCGTCGAACTGCTTACCATCTGCAGGGCGCGGGTCTGGCTGGATTAAAATCCATAATGGATATCACAATTAATAGCATGTACAAAAGCAAGGCAAGGGCTGCACAAAACTCAGTTGAAGAGGGAAAAGTGGGCCTCGACGAAAGCGGCGCCCGCTAAGCCTTATCGGGTCAGGCGGCCTTTCTCAGCCTTTTCGGAGACGCCGTACCCGCAGATATTAAATATTAAGAATTAACATTATTACGTAGTACATGGATGGCTGTGTACTATCTGAACAGAGCGCAGTACAACTCAGAGTCCCATCGTCTATCACTCGAGTTGAGAGAAAAAGAAAGAGAGAGGCGAGTCAACCTTGCCATTGCATCCGACTCGAGGAACTTCACCAAGCGCCCCAAGGAGGCGCCCAGTGGCTTGCGGTGGGGTGGTGGAGTAGGCCAGCCCCAATGCGGGAGGACTGCCTTAGTACCTGCTTACAAGTTCGTAGTAGTCGTCAACACTTGACTCCAATCACGCCGCAAGCATTTGCTGCCAACGTCGCTTGACCGAGTCGATAGGACGGCTTGGGATGAGGCCTCCCCACTCGCTGGACAGATTATTATGGGGGGTCGACCGCCGTGGCGAGGGCCGGATGGTTATGTGCACGAATTTTGCCCTGTTTCTCAGGCCGGGCGATGTTATACAAGTGCGATTACACATCATGACTTCTGCGTACAGCGTACACTGGATGCGTTTCTAGAAGGCTTCGATCTTGCACCATCTGCAGGCGCGACACGCAAGAATCATCGAGCCCAGATCGACTAGCACCCCCGTACGAGGCCCGCCTGTAGGGCCGTTGTTCTTACTGGTCTATTACTGGTCTGCCGGTCGAAAAACTAGATTAAGGGCCCGAGCACGTCATCCGCAGTCCATACTCCACGTCGCTCTTTGGTTCTGATTCTTCCTTAGTCCGGCTACTCGTTAAAACAAGGAATTGTGAGCATAAATTCGATTTCATTACTACACCGTGGAAAATCTCTTCACCAGACCGTTGGAGGATCGCTTATTACTCGCCGAGATCAGTCATTCCGGCTGCCGAGTAGTAGAACTACCGCCTCATTGTCGTTCGATTGCTGGCACACTAATATCTGATTGACTATTGATACGGCGTCTTAAGATCGGTATTAATAGTAAGTGGCTGCTCCACACTTTAAACTTGGTAAGATTGTGCTGACCGTGTAGGCGTCACGGTTTGTTGGTACGTCGCAATACTTTTCCTTGGCCCTTTTCTGAACTTTTTTTATTTTTCTCAGTCTTCCAACTAACCTTCTCGTCCGCTCTTCTAACAGCCTGCAGAGTTGTCGACGATCAGGCTCATCAATTCCATTCGCTTGCACTACTGGATTTAGTGCTCGGATTCTCGGTCGCCTTTAGCTATTAGTTCCTTCCAGATCGCATCTTAATCGCCAGTTATCGCATCCAGCACGAACGGTACATGCATCCAGAGGGCCGTTTAACTCGTTCTTTGTCTTCAGTTTTTGCTTCGCTCCTGCAAAAGGAGCACATACGGCACATAAAATGGCGATAAATGATTCACCACCGCTCGACAAATCTGCCGATGACGCCACCTACAAGTCTGAATATGATGAAGAAAATCAATCGCGGAGAGGAAGTCGCGTGACTGAAGTACACGATGATGATCGTGCCACCATTGGAAAGCAGCTCGAGTTAGAGGCTGAAAATGCCATCAAATACCGAACCTGCAGTTGGCAAAAGGTTAGTCAACTTCCCCGCTTGATCGCATTAGGATTGTGCTCATCTTCAAGCTTCAAAATAGACCGCAGCATTGCTCTTTTCGGAGTACATCTGTCTGGCCATCATGTCGTTCCCCTGGTCGTACTCGGTTTTGGGTCTAGTCCCGGGTCTCATTTTGACCGTCTTCATCGCTGCTGTGGTTCTGTACACGTCTCTTGTACTTTGGTATGCCCAGTGATCCTTGATAAAACTAAGCGCATACTAACAAACCTACAGGAAATTTTGCTTGCGCCATCCGGAAATTCGTGATGTTTGCGATATAGGTCAATATCTCTTTTGGGATTCCAAAATTGCTTGGTGGGCCACTGCCGTTATGTTTCTGTTGAACAACACTTTCATTCAAGTGACTGCTCCCAACCAATAAAATAAGACGAATACAAGCTAACGAAAGTCAGGGACTGCATTGTTTGGTTGGCGCCGAATACTTGAACACCATAACTGGACATGCGACGTGCACCATCGTTTTTTCAGTAGTCGTTGCAATCATCTCCTTTTTCTTTTCGCTTCCGCGCACGTTCGACGGCCTTTCAAAGTTGGCGACTGCCTCGGCCTTTTTCACCTTCATTTCAGTGCTGTTGGCCACCATCTTCATCGGCATTGAACCTCACCCGGCCAAGTATACACTCGCTAAGGGAGAGCCCAAGGTGACAGCCTTTCCAGTCAGTGGCACCACCTATGTCTCTGCCATGAGCGCCTTCTTGAACATCAGCTACACCTTCATCGGACAAATCACACTTCCCAGTTTCATTGCCGAGATGAAGGAGCCTAGGGACTTCTGGAAATCTCTTACCGCCGTCACGGTCGCAGAGGTGATTGTTTTCAGTCTGGTTGGTGCGATCTGCTACGCCTACACGGGAAATCAATACATGACGGCTCCTGCTTTTGGTTCCATTGGGAATGAGGTGTATAAGAAGGTGGCATTCTCGTTCATGATTCCAACTTTGATCTTTCTTGGTGTCTTGTATGCCTCTGTCTCCGCACGCTTCGTTTTCTTGCGCTTGTTCGAGGGCACTCGTCACAAGTCAAATCATACAGTTGTCGGATGGGCATCATGGGCTGGGATTTTAGCCGTTCTTTGGGTTGCCGCCTTCATTATTGCCGAAGTTATTCCTTTCTTCTCGGATCTGCTCTCTATCATGAGCTCGCTTTTCGACTCTTTCTTCGGCTTCATCTTCTGGGGCGTCGCCTACATTCGCATGCGCAGCGCCGATTACGGTCCTGACTTCTACAAGACTCGTGGTATCCGCGGCTGGGTTGGTTTCCTCGTCAATGTCAGCTTCATTCTAATCGGTCTTTACTTTTTGAGTGCGGGCACCTATGTAAGTTTATCGTGCTACCTGATCTATCTATAATATTGGCTAATGGCAATGTGATAGGCTTCGGTCAAGAGTGTTATTCTCGACTACGAATCCGGCATTTTCGGTGACCCGTTCTCTTGTGCGGACAATGGTATCTGATTTAATTATAATTTTGCGTTCATCGGTTTGGACATGCACGAGACTCAACCCGATGTTTCTGGTTTCGATGTTTCTATTTGAGTAGATCTACCACTCGTTGCAAGACCTATTCGGCTTCTTATTCATGTAACTTTCAGTTTTCTTAAGGCTAGTCAGCAATTTCAACCACCCTTATCCATTGTCGTGCATGCATATTATAGAGATATCAGTATATACAACTTTTGAAATTCAACTTTTCACATGATCGGACCGCACAGTAATCACTTAGGGCTTGCGTCGGAAAACGTTATCTCAACGTGACTTTTCCGTTATCGCCTTCGGAGACCCACAGCAATTGCCCGCCTCCGCAGTATCACCATCTCTGGCGCTTTCTTTACTTCTTTTCCTTCTACAACTTTCAATTAACAGCTGGAAAGAAAATGAAAATGTCCGGACTAAGGCACACCTACAGAGGACTCAAGTCCATTCCAACTACCCGCCAATTGTCCCGGGCGGTGGCCAATGGCACTCAACAACTGCTTCCTCGGCCGCGGCCCACCACCGGAGTCCGAAACATTTCTTCTGCTTCTACCTGGGCACAAACACAACCCACGAAGATTGCGCCTGCAAGTGTCAGGCACGCTTCTTCGTCTAGCTCAAGTTTGAATAAAACACAATTATATGATCTTCATCTTGCCCATGGCGCCAAGATGGTGCCCTTTGCGGGCTATGATATGCCGTTGCAATACAGCGATCTCTCACACGTGGACAGTCACCAGTGGACGAGAGAGAAGGCAAGCTTGTTTGATGTCAGCCATATGTGAGCTTTTATTCTATTTTCCGTGTTCTGTCAAACAATTTAACAAATATCCAGGGTCCAACACCGTCTGACCGGCCCTGGAGCTCTTCCTCTCCTACAGAAAGTCACTCCCTCTTCTCTTGACAAGCTGGGAAACAACCAATCAACCCTATCATGTCTCCTTGAAGACGGTACTGGCGGAATCGTTGACGACACCGTCATCACCAGACTGGGCCCTGAGAGCTTCTACTTCGTCACCAACGCCGGACGACGTGAGGAAGACCTGGCCTTCCTCACCGCCGAAATTGACGCATATCGCACTGAGTACGGGCCCGACACCATCAAATGGGAAATTCTCAGCGACCGAGCTCTCGTCGCCCTCCAGGGCCCTCTCGCCGCTTCCGTCCTACAGTCCTTCATCTACACCGACGGTGAGGACCCAGCATCAAGCGATCTCAACACCCTCTACTTTGGCCAATCGCGCGAGCTGTACCTGAAACTCGCAGACGGCTCCAAGACCGCGCATAAACTGCTCATCTCACGCACCGGTTACACAGGCGAGGATGGCTTCGAAATTTCCATTCCAACCTCCGGCTCCCCTTCTCTGCCCGCCCAGGTCACCGAGCTCCTCCTCTCACAGCCTGACCAAGTGCGTCTCGCGGGTCTCGCAGCCCGTGACTCTCTACGCCTCGAAGCAGGCATGTGTCTTTACGGCCACGACATTTCGACCGCCCACACGCCACCTGTGGCAGCATTAGGCTGGGTGGTTGGCAAAGAGCGCCGCGACGCCAGTTCACCAGCCTCGCAATTCAACGGTTCCTCCGTGATCCTCCCACAACTCGCATCCCCCTCCAAGACTATTTCTCAGCGCCGCGTCGGATTCACGATCGAAAAGGGCGCGCCGGCTCGTGAGGGGGCTATTGTTGTTGATCCAAACGACAGCAAGGTGCAGATCGGCGTGATAACGTCTGGCCTGCCCAGTCCGTCATTAGGCGGAACGAATATTGCCATGGGGTATATCAAGCAGGGACTGCACAAGAAGGGGACGGGGGTGGCTGTGCTCGTGCGCAATAAACTGCGCAAGGCGACGGTGACGAGTATGCCCTGGGTGGAGAGTAAATTCCACCGTCCTACTTAACCTATAGATTTCTTGTCTTCGTGCCGTGGTTTGTACAGCATTTTATTATGATTCTGTGGAGTTTTTTCTATGATTGTTATGTAACATTCAACATGAGCAGAGTATATCTACGATGACGATTTGGTTTCATCAATCAGTCTATCTCAATAGTTTGCATTTACACTTCGAACATTAAAATTCAGCTTTTCTAGTCAGTATAATGACGCATGAGTGTATCGCTACCCGGTAACTAATAGAACAAGACATAAAATACTATGCCTTTCTACCATCCTAATCTGATAGCAGTGACATCCCTACCTCTACAATCGACATATAGTCCCCCGGTATAATATATAAATGATGGCCTGGGGTGGCATGGGCCATCCCTCCCACCTCGCTGGCAGCCTTGTAGGTTAGTTAAATAACCCCCCTTTGGGGATTACGTTAGTCTTACTAGCCCCAGGCCTCCCAACTGTTTCCTGACCTGCTCCCCAATGGAAAGAAGTGGCCTATGCCCTGTTTTAATATAGTGACAATGTCGTACGAATGTGTATAGTCACGTGATATCATATTATAACAGCCCTAACCCTGTCTACCTGCGAATCCGAGTAAACTGCCGGGGGTGTGGGTGTGTGTGTGTGTTGTGTATGTGTATTCAAAGAATGAAAGGAAACTACAAACAAAGACTTCTCCGCCGAATTGACGTGGAAGAGAGGGGTTTAATAATGAATTCACTTGGTGGGAGATTAAGGGACAGTAACACACACCTCACTCTGGGTTCGTCAAAACACCCCCCTCGTCGATGCTGGATTCCTTTTACAAACCATGCCCTGGCCACTGTAGTGGAAATTCTTGTCAGGGCGGAGGATGCGTTAGTTTGACTCAACTCCCTCCCTCATCGATCTTGGACACCTTTCCAGACCCCTGCCTTGACCAACAATTTGACATTTAATTTGCCAGCTGGAGCTGCGTTCGTTGGACTCCACTCCTCTCCACTCTATCATGCCTAGCGGGTGGGTAGCATTCTTCGGATCGATGCTGTTGTCGATGCACACGAGGGGATCGACGAATTTATTTTCCGACGATTAGGAATGTGGTCGGATCAGCGCAACGCATGCGTCGGTAAGCAAGGAGCAGGATAGATATAGGAAATAGAGTAAAGGTGTTAGGTAGTATCTGTATTGCTATCTTACGTTCAGAGCAGTATTAAGATACATGAATTGATTCGACTGTTAACTAACTAAACACCGCACCGTTTATTAGTAAATGCGCATAGGAAACAAGCACTATTTGAGTACAGGCCAGCCCATCCATGCATAGCAAAATGAGAAGAGATCGCTAGGCATGCATAATAAAAACACTGGAGAAAAATGGGTATCAACGAATGGTACGCCCATCGCCTGATAAAGGCGTCTCGGGAGAGAATTTGATCGGGGTACAGCTCAGAGAAGATAAGATTGTTACGTGAGTTCACGTATCGATCAGAGTAATGATCTAATCCTCAGCTATGGCTAAAGAGTTGCGGCGCGAGTTGGCACGAGAATTCACGCGAGAGTTGGCACGAGAACCGTAGGTGCTGTTCTGGCGACTACCCAAGGTCTGGCGAACACGGAGGTTTTGCTGGGAACGAGCAAAGGAGTTGGCCCGAGACCCAGTCGGGAGGCGAGAAAGGCGACGTCCATGGGTGTCAATCTCGGCACGAGCATCGGACAGCTGCTGGGCGAAAGGTGATCTTTTGCGTAAAACCGGTCCCTTCCAGTAGATGACATAGACTGCAACCACTAGCATGAAGGAGATACAGACTGCATATGTTAGTGGATATCAAGCCAAGAGATTTGGTTGAACTTACAAAGAATGGTACAAGCATATTCGATGTGATACCTTCCACCAATATTCTGCATGAAGGGCGTGGCGGGGATGGTGAGAACGCCAGCGAGGAAATCACGAGACCAACCGTTTCCACCAGTGGCAGAAGCAGAGTAAGGACCATAAGCGCAAATCATATAATCAATGGTAGCCATGTAAATCGCGTAGTTGGCAATACCGACAATTGCAGAGAAAATCATGGTGCCGATCCAATGAAGGGAGGACCCTGAGCGGTCCAAGCGAAACCAATGAGGCCAATAGGCAAGCACGGGGCAGTGTATAACAACCACCATAGACGAGACTCATACTGTGCAACCTCATCATCGGGCTTCTCCCGTCGCTCCTTAATGTTGCGCTTGATTGCGGGGAAGAAGGAGAACCAGGCAATGAAGTAACCAACCAGGATGGGAATAAAGGACAAGCCCAAGGCGACGTCGTCGAAGCCCCACTGATTATACACAAGAGAGAAAGATTGGATGAACATGAAGATGAGGGCATCGCTGAAACCGCTCAGCAGAGAAAGAGTCAAGACAATAGGCTCAGTAAGGAACATGCGGAATGGACGAATCCAGGTCAGGATGATTTCCTTGGCGGAAAATCGCTCGCGGAATGAAGTGAGTTCGTTGGGGCCGTAGATGTTAGTATTTTCACCGCTCTCACGCATCTTCTTGGCAATTTTGTCCATCATGATGGTGGAACGAGTTTCAGGGACTAAGAAAAAGTGCAGAATTTGCACGGCGCCTCCGAAGATAAGCTGAATCCAGATGCACCAGCGCCAGTGGAGATACTGCTGGCAGAAACCACCGACTACAGGGCCCAAGACTGAACCACCGACGGAAGAAAAGACGACATAGGCGACGGCATATTGTTGAGTATCGGACTCCCACATATCAGCAATCATGCCGAGAGTAACAGAACCGCCAGCAGATGAAAGACCACCGAGAGCACGACCAACCATGATGGTCGCAAAGTTCTTGGACAAGGCAACAGGAAGCTGGAAAACATTGACGAGAAACAAGCTAGCTTGGAGGATTGGCCTGCGGCCCAGTTCCTCGCTCCAGGGTGCCCACAATTCGCAACCAAAGGCATAGAGAACCAGGAAGATCATGGCACCACAGCGAGCAGCCTGAAGGGAGACGCCGAATTCTTCGGAAATTCCATCGAGAGCGTTGGAATAGAGACTGGTGTTGAAGTTCATGGAAATTTGCACGATAAAAATGACGGTCAAAATGGTCCACTTTTTGTACTCGGGAAAAGAGTAACCGAGCTTATCGTAGCATTCTTCTTCGGTCAGCTCCTGCTTGTCCTGAGTGACAGTGGCCTCAAGCTTGTGAGTAGTAGTCTCGCCATAGTGAGCGTGGCGGCCAGGGCGGCCACCCTCAGTGTCTGGAAGAGCGTTCACATCCTGAGTGGCTGAGGAGCCTTCAGAGTCGAGAATCTTCTCATCGTCAGCAGTCACAGCTACTGTCTTGGGAGCGGGCTCCAGATCAAGATCAGAAGCAGCAGCCATTCTGAGGAACAACTTTCCACAACTGAAAGGAATTCAGAAGCACAAGTATGAAAAAGACTAGAGGGATCGTCAGAAGAAGGCTTAAGCACAAAGAGGATGCAGGCAGATTGATTGTGTGCAGAGAAGATAAGAGACGAAGGATTCAGCAGTTTGCAGGGGGTGAAAGGAAGCGTGAAAGGGACTGTGCGAGACAGTGAGCGTGAGACAGCTGTGAATGACGGAGTGGCGAAGAAGAAAAGGCAGCAGAGGACGACTGGAGCGGTCGTATTGAGGTTCAGGGCGGCTGGTGGGGGGCGTGACAAAACAGGCAGGAACGGAGTGCGAGGGAGGTGGAACAGGGCAGGCACGACTGGAGCAGAGGCATGGGGAGGTATACACACCTCAGGCTCAGGCACGTGGGCAGCAGCGAAGAGGCTCAACAGGCCGACTGTTTGCTGGGTGTGTGCTGTTTGCACCAGACAGCCAGACTGATCTACTACTACCTATGTATCTGACTGTGGTTAGATGAAGGGAGGATAGGAGAATTGTTGGCAGAATGGGAGACGAGGAGAGACGATGCGATGACGGGGGGTGGAGCGGCTCATATATGGTGTCTGGGTGCATGCAACGAGGTACAGCACTGGACAAGGCCGGCTGGGGCCCCAGCAAGCTGCTCTCCAACGAGGCACCAAGCCTCCAGGACATCAACGTTGTGGGATCCGCCGCCTCTGGCACCGTGACCGTGACGGTTACCGTACCGTAACCGTACTGTTATTACCGGCTGTCCCTGCCCAGCCAGGGCGTGCACGGGGCTGTAGGGACCTAGTGGACCGCCGTAATACAGGCACGGTACGGCGATGACGCTGTTCAGCGTTATCGTCGGCCGTGGACCCGCATGCCCCCACCAGCTCGAAAATCACGCCGCTTTGGTCTGGCCTCATCGCATCCACGCCCGCAAGCAGCGCGCCTGCTCTTCTCGTGCTCTTTCCGGTCTGCGAACATGAGAATGAGCCCGGCCAATCAGCCAGCGGTTGCCCCGGCCCAGTACACACCCTCTTCCGATCATGCCATGCTTCTGTGTTGTCGCACGTAGGCATGGATGGTATGATGGCCGGGCTCCACGGCAACTGGCCTTAGGCTCGGCAGCCCGAACGCTCGGCTTGTCCGCTGGAATAAGGGACTAGCAGGGCAATCATGACGGAAGAGGCATCCCTCCCCAGTCCCCCCATCCGCGTGGCGTCGTCGACCCACTGCAGAGTTTTTCGGCTTCTACAACAACATTATTATTATTAATATTGTTATTAATCCACATTCTTATTGTTGTTTTGAACTGACTTGGAGGGGCCATTGTTGGAAATTATACTTTTATGATTCAACGTAATTGAGTCCAAGGGCGATCCGGCCTTCCGACGCCAATATTCGAATACGATGCTGGGTAATCGCGTGACAATACAGCGTGTAACAGCGGAGTACATTAGTTCTTAGCAAGCCTCTTAAGATGGAGCCCAGCCTCCAGTGTAAGCTTGTTTTGAGCGCTTCAGGACGTCATTGTGATTACGCCCCAGGTCGGGCAGTTTCCGTTCCAGCATTATAATCATCATGATAATCAACACGGTTCGCTGCTATGCAATATTACAAGACAAAGAAATATGAATATATGAATCTCGGTTCCGCATCATCAAGTAGCAAAATTTATGGGCCGCAGCTTCTCTGGTGTGCCAAGAGCGAATGAAAAAAAATTCCCTAGCCAACGACGCTTGTACACTTGTGCGCTTGTAAACTTGTAAGCTTGTAACCAGGGAAATGCCGCGACAACAACATGGAGAACCCACGGGGAAACAACTAGCAGGCTCTGGAGCAATTCCGCCCCGGTCACGACCTGTCTGCCTACACTGCCTCCCGCGGATCCCTTACGATCTGGACAAGTCGTTGCGCCTTTGCCAGCCGCCATACCATGGCCGAATTCGCGTACAAGCTCATTCGGAAATTCACCCGATGTGGCCATGGCTGGTTGTTGTTGGGCACGTATGGACCGAGATGTACTGTAAAATTGAGGTGTAACCAAGTATCTGAGTAAGGAGTCTTTCCATCATCCCTTGCGAATCCTCAGTAAACACGCAAAAGCTTAACCGTCAGCATGCCATTGGCTCTGCCCTATCAGGAGCCTGCGTTTCACCGATCCATATGGGTGACACGCAAGGAATTCTCGCCATCTGCGCCTGCCAGTCGGACAGTGTCGCACGTCTCGCGCATGGCATGTGGCGACGATCCGTGGAGAGCAATCTGGGGTGATGGACATTATTTCCTAGCCCAAGTCGTTGTTGGGGGTTAACTTCATCCAGCGACAAATACCACATTCGTACGCAGAAAATGTCTCCTAACAGCGACAGAAAGGAAACATGCAGGAAAGCTGAAGGATTCGCCACGATGCGTGCATCTGGGGTAGCCCGTATCCAATTACTGCAGATCACTGTGTAACGCTCAAGTAGCCTTCCAACGGGTCAACTCGGCTTATTCAAGCTGGAATTTTCCTTTGTTCTTCTATTTCTCGGAGGATTCCCCAACTTGACTACTGTCATTCCAATAGGATCGACCGAGCTATCGATCTGGCAGTCTGACCGTCGTACAGGCATCGATGCAGATACATAAATCTCTCAGAAATCCCGCTTGCTGTTTCATTTTAGCCCTCGAGGAACATGACAGCCATGCATCGAATGATTATACCTTCACCGTTTGCCAACTTCAGACGAATTTGACCATATGGTTGGCCATGCCAAGGCCTGAAGGAACTCGTCGATCATCCTTCGCGTACGAAGCAACATTACATTACGTATCGCATCAATCACTTCCCCTATTCTATGCCAGATCAAGTAACCTCTCTCGTGCCTGTGCAATCCTATTATTATCACCCCCTATTATTGTCTGCGCGTTTATCCGTACTAGCATGCTGTGCTGGACAATCGAATAACGATCTTCATCTTTGGGGCTGAAAAGCTGACCGACGACCGATGTATCAATGATGATTTTCAGTCTCCCGTGCACCTACTCGGGACTAAGGCCAATCCAGCTAGTCTGATCTGCCTAGCAAAGCGACGGGCAATGGCGTGGGCGGCTTTTTTCGCGTTGATTTTCTGGATGATCGACATCTAATTATGATCTGGGGTTTGAGGGCAAAAAAGACTAACCAAAGACTAATGCCAGCCACTTGTGAACTAGACACTGCTGGGTCGGGGCGAAACTCAGACTGCCAGGTGCATACGCGCGTCGCAAGGTCTGAAATTTTCACACTGTTCAGGTCTTAATTCTTGATTATTTTTAAGGTTTGCCAGAGAGAATAGTCTGTCAACTGGTCTGGGGAAGGTTACATTCCGTCTCCTGTAGCACGCCCGCATCCAGCGCAGTCCCCATCTCAACTATCTGTATGGGTACTGTGACCTCAAGCCACAGGTTAAACGGCTGGCCGGTAGCAATAATGCAACATGTGCCAGTGCATGCACCTACTCCGAGATATGGAGCATCAGTGCGCAGCATTCAATGCGACCTGAGCGAGGACCCATATCCGGAGTTGATCCCGGATACATTTCACGTAATGCTCCCCAAGGCCGACAGCGCGAACCCAAATTTCTAGAAAGATTCAGCCACTCTTTCATATCAGATTATGCTTGTGTATGAAGTACTCCCTACAGACGTGCCAATCTCATCCTGAAACCCCGGTATGATGCATCGCCGTGAAGAGGATGGGCCCTTACGCCCGCAAGGGATGCCAATACTCCTGCGCTTGCTGAGCTGCCGATAAAGTTCGATAAGAATGTAGCAGCACCATGTGTTGATTCGGACAAAAGCTGGACATGAATGTGAAAGCCACGCGAGGCTGAATATTACTTTCCTTATCTTAAGCAAGGAGGGAGAAGTATTGTCGCCACGATATGATCGTCGTATTTTTGTGTCAGCTCATCTGTAGGAGAAGAAGCAAAGTAGGCGCAGAGTAGAGTAGAGTAAGAATAGACATGAATTTGTGTTTGTTCTGTCACAGTGTGAGGTGCTCGGCTGGTGCCTTCCTCGTAACTCTCTCTGCTGGCGACGCCAAAGGTACGTAACCGCAAGGCAGGAGCGAGCACGTGTCTGCTACGTTTCTACAACCCTCATTACATCGCCTCATCATGATAAATAATTTGGGGCACTATTTGTCAGGTATTTCTTGTTCGAGCAACGATTTTGAATTCTTGAAATGAAACTAACGCATAATCCAGCGACAATTATCATATTCGACTTTGAAACGAAAGAACCAGGCTTCACAATCAACATATCCATCTCAGCAATCTATCATCAACTCGAAACGCCTTTATTCCACATTCAAACAACAATATAAGTTCTTCGTGGGGTCGTGACCACTACGGTTAATCCGCATCCTGGGTGCAATTCAGTGCGTGCGGTCGCAGACCAAGCGCCTCTTTGATCAGAACTATGAGGTAGTAATTTTGATGTGTTTGTATTCATAGGAGTACGATTTCTTTAACTCTGGCTTTTCCATTCAACCATCTTGGATGAATTCAAATATACATTCACGAACATCGCCGATTCTCAACTCACCATCTGTGATAGGCTCGACGGGAGGTATTCAACACCCTTTATACGGCGTATCATAACTCTATGGAGATCTTCCTTCCGCTGGATCTTAGGGCAAGTCCGATCCATACCGTCTATATTCATCAGGAATTGGGCTGTCGTCGTCGTCAAATGGATCAGGCATAGGAGACCCTGTCACTGTGAAGCAATTGTTGTTCATCGCAACGTGGTTTGGCTCATGAAGGCTTGACTCGGACTGTTCCATGGCCTGTCCTGAGGCACTACTAGCTTCATAATCGTGGTCAAACAATGTTGCATCGTTCTGTCTTGTCTGTGTAGTGGGGCTCGGATTGCCTGGGGCAGTCTTTTCTGACTGAGAACCTGGGATTTCTGTGGCAGGAACACTTTCAGAGGCATTTGAAGGGACATTTGGGGAATCGCTGCGTCTATGAACCACTCGATTCCCTGACGAAGCCAGGGCCTGTATTACGATCCAATATGCAGCTAGGATTCCACATTTTGCCTTCAGACTGTTCTCCCCTGGAGCATTTGTGAAAGTGGTTTTGGTCTTTCTATTATCTTTGCGCTTTTTCAGCTCATGAAGGGCATTGATAATGGGACTGGAAATCAGATGATAATTTGTCTGTATGCTTTCTGTTGTCGTCTTAATGTGTCTCGTCGACACCTCGTTCTTCTCTTCAAGGCATGACTTGGTGAGGGATAGGCACCTTAACTTGTCGCTCCAAGGGAAATCGTTCTTCCTAGAACGATCTATATGAAGGATTGGTTAACATTGCAAACACAGAAGCAGAAAATGGAGATCGAATAAACACCTGATTCGCTTTTCATTGTTTTGAATAAGTCTCTGAAGTTCGCCATGCTGAGGTTGCCTCGGAGATGTCGGCTGTCTGTAAGTTGAAGTGTGTATTTTCTGGGAAGAAGTAGAATGAGATTAGATCGTTCTTAGGAAATCGTTAAAGCTCTGCTAATAGTGAAGTGATTGCGTGAACATTTAATTAAGTAGCAATAAGTGAATAATATAATGTCCTAAACGACGACACCTTCTGCTTTCCTTGTATCATTCTATACCACTCCATTCTTAGCAATGTGCAGTCACAAATCTTTGAAGCATAGATGAAAGAGATGCATAGAGTGAGATCTAAGTGAGTCAAAGATTAAATATTATAACAATATAAAGTTATTAAGTAACAATGTCATTGCTTTGAAGGTGAAAGTATAAAATATCTTAATGATGCTAAGAGACTAAGAATCTAATCTAATCTAATATTCAGAAATGAAACAGCTTGATAATCATAAAACAAACCAAATGTAGAAAAGGTTCTACACGTAACTTAGCACACTTATCTGCGGCCAATGCCTATTTGTTGCGGTTTGACGTGATCTCCACTCACTTACGCCAACATCAATCCTACTTTTTCAAACCCCCACTCAAGTGACTCCTCGACTGTTCCGCGGTGAAACCAGGTTGGCTCTTTTCTTTTTGCAATTGATACCCCATTTCGTTTTCTGACGAATCTCAATTCTTCTTTGTCCTTTGGTATACTCTTTTATCTTTTGGAAAACTTCTTTAATTAGATATCAGAAGAAAAATGGCTACGTACGTTATGTACCCCTCCTCCGCATTCCTTCACTTCTCCCCGCGAATACAAGATTCTCGTTCTCCAAGCCAAATCCATACTTCCATTTAACTGCTGCAGCACTTTTCAGCATTATATTGAACTAACCGTCCTAGAAACATTACTTTCCACGCCGCGGCGCTCACGCGCACCGAGCGCTCCACACTTCGCAACCAGCAAGGCCTCACAATCTGGCTAACGGGGCTGTCGGCGTCAGGTAAATCGACGATTGCCGTGGAACTCGAGCACCAACTCCTCAGTGAACGTGGCGTGCACGCCTATCGGCTTGATGGCGACAACATCCGGTTCGGACTGAACAAAGACCTAGGCTTCAGCGAAAAAGACCGCAACGAAAATATCCGACGAATCGCCGAGGTTGCGAAACTGTTCGCTGATAGCGCCTCTATCTCTATCACCTCTTTCATCTCCCCGTATCGCGCGGATAGGGACACCGCTCGTCAGTTGCATGAGGTGCCGACGCCGGGTGAAGAGACGGGCTTGCCGTTTGTGGAGGTTTATGTGGATGTCCCCGTCGAGGTTGCGGAGCAGAGAGATCCAAAGGGGCTGTACAAGAAAGCGAGGGAGGGGGTGATTAAGGAGTTTACAGGCATTAGTGCGCCGTATGAGGCCCCTGTCAACCCGGAGGTGCATATCAAGAACCATGATATCCCCGTCAAGGAGGCTGTGGCTCAGATCATTGCTTACCTGGATTCGAAGGGATACCTGCCTCCCAAGAAGTAGAGGCTTCCTGGCTATTTCAATATTTCCCGTATTATGAGTCTATGCATGATTTGATGATTGAATAAATAGATTCAGCCAGCATGCCAAACAGCAGCCAGTATCGTTGATATCGTTGATATCAATTGATCTACCAAGACAAATGATAGCAAGCTGAGTGTCTGGTTCAAGTACAGTATAGCACAGCACGTAACGCGCAATATAGACATGTTATGTATCACTCAAATTCAAACTCATAGTACACATATGCAGTGTATTCCGCTCCAGTACCTTCTCCTGCAGCTTGCATTTCATTAGGGTCGTCTTTCTTGACCCGACCCTTTTTATCTCGGCCAAAGGCATTACCAGCGAGATAGTTGTATTTATCATCGAGGTTCTTCTTCGCTCTTTCAGCACCTCTTGGTGTTGCCTACATAAAATTAGTGCAAGCCGTTAGAAATGTGGAGGAAGCGTACCCGAACAATAGCAGACACAAAGTCCAATGGCAGACCATATCGGAGGGCAGTCTCGACAAAAACCCTCAGAACAAGGACGTGGATCCAAACCATGACCGCCTCGCTCCAGCCAGTCCGACCGAGTCGAAGAGTCTCGCCCCATAGTTTGCGCTCGTCACCTCCAACTCGTTCGACCTCCTTGGCTTCTGCCTCGCGGCCTCCTTCTGAGTATTTGAAATCACGCGGTATCCACTTCTGTTCTCTGGCCTTGTGGGCAAACTCTTGACTATGTTTCTTGAACGTCGTCACAGCGTAAAGACTAAATTCGTCGTCCGACGCAACCAGGTTCGCTGAGCGCGGAACTACCATGGGTGCTATCGTCTCATAAGTCTTGAAAAAATCTTTAACTTGTTGCGAGGGAACTGCAACCAGATGTGTTTCCAAATATTCCGATTCCTGAACAAGTTGTCGTGGGTCGACAATTGAAGCTAGTGATTTTGTTGCCAGATTGCCGCTAGTTTGTTTATAAGTGAATGCCCTCTCTTGCTAGTTGAACCAATGGACTTACGTCTGCTTGCGCTGTAATGTCGATAGAGTGTTTTTGACTTGATTATACTGAGAGTGTTTGGTGCGAATATCATTGTCAATGCTGGCGGCTTCCTAGATTCGCGGCCCCCATCAGCAAACTGCTTAAACGAGAGAAATTTCTTGTATTCATACCTTATGTAGGAGATCGATTAATTCACCAATAGATCTGTCCGCACGGTACTTGACTTTATTCCACTGAAATGTCCGCAGGTACTGGTCAACGGGCTCTAAAGTAACGGTCAGCACCAGCCACCACGCCTACCATACCACCTCAAAAGTGCTTCCAGTCAGACATACTATCATTCACCGTCTTCATTCTCTGTATCTGTTCTTCATCGCTCGCGAGGATCCCTTTGAGCGCATCGCCCACCTTGCCTACCACAGCCTGGCAGATCCCCTCCAACTTGCCCAGTTCCTCGGCCTGCTGCACCAGAGCATCTAACGTTCCGATTTTGAATTCAGGGATCGGGAATGAGGAAACAGAGCCATCGGGGCCAACAGTTGTAGATATAGTTTCCAAGGCATCATCGTGGTGGTGGGACGGGACGATGGAGGTGGGGAGGGAGAGTAGCTGGTACTTGATATTCTTCGCCATTTTGGATTCCCTTGTTGCTCTGAGAGGCTCGGTCGGCAAAAAGGAGGAGGGTAGATTGCCTGCTGCCGCGCTCAAGAGGCGGGCATGAGGTACAGAGTGGGAGTGGTGGAAGGAGTATGGGTGCTGTTGTTGAGCAGAGAGACGGAGCTTGGAGCTGCGACTGGAGGTTGGCCGGCGATTGGCGCGATGGCCGGCTCCACTCTGCTATAATAATGCTTGCAAACAACATACATATATGTAATAATTATATTTAATATTAAATTAGAAAAATAATACCAAATACTTGGTCTTTATCAGGACTTGTATTTCGACCGTCTAGTCTTTCTAATTGATAATTATGAACGAGCTGCCTCTACATGGCCGCCGGTGATTATGTACTCTAATAATGTCTGTATACCGAGAAAGAAGAATATAAACAAACATGCGTCAATACCGTCGAGATGTAGCCCGAGAACGCCGGTCGTAACACAAAATTAGGTTGGCTTGAAAATAGAAGGAATTTTCTGCTCCGTGTTAGAACAGCACATCTCTGATAGGAAAGAATTCAAACTTACCGCCGCATACTTTGGCTCGACGAACAGGCCCTTGGCCTCGACGAATACGACAGGCTCCTCGTCACCCTCTGGCAGACTCTCCAAGCGGCCCTCGACCCAGGCCTTGCGACCTTCAACCTTGACGGTAGTCGCTCGGAGGACCAGATACTTGTCTGCCTCGACCGGTCGTCTGTAGTCAATGTTGAGATTTGCAGTAACCACCACACCGTTAGGCAACGCCGGGATACAGCAGCGGGCCAGACCCTCGTCTAGAATCGTTGCCAGCAGCCCTCCGTGAACAATGCCTGGGTGTCCACACAGCTCAGAGCCGAGGTAGGAGATGGATACCATCTCCTTCCCAGACTTCTCCGACCATGCATACGGCGGCACGACAATACGATTGGGACCCGTAAGTGTGCCTCCCGTCAGCATGCGCCCGCGTGTAGTCTCTGGGATCTTCAGATGTGGACGGGATTCGCTGAATTCCGGTTGTGATCGCAGCTTCTCCGCCAGCGGGTGCGTCTTGATATAGTTGTCGATTTCTTGAGAGAGCTCGTCTCCTGGTTGGAACAGCTCCAGCGTTTCCTGGTCTGTGGGAATTCCGACTGCCATTATCCTCGAGCTGGCTTGGAAAGGAGCGACGGATAGACCGGCAACAAATGCGACAACAGCGAGCGAGGTGAACCCGAGAACACGGCGTAGTTTGGACGGGGGTTTCGAGGCTTCAGAGAGCGGAGGGCTGGCAGCTACTCAATTCGATGTGAGCGTTGGTTGAATTCCTGTGGCACGCAGAAGAGGGTCATCAATCTTACCAGTCGAATATCGCGTAATGGAGGGTTGTCCGCTAGCATATCTTAAGATAGCCCGACTAACAGCGGGCCGCGGCGCTTTTGTAGGCCGATACAAGCCAGGCAGAGCCCGGACTACGGCTACGGTGGGAACCATACAGGCCGAAAAGACTGTTGGGACGCTGACAGATGTCTTGCTTTTTTTTTTGGAGGGGTAGACAATTGTTATTGGAAAAGTATTTTCTGGTCCGTAACAAGTAAAAGGGCCGGCTGGTCAACGTGGGACTCCACTACAGCCAATAATTAGTCTTCCCGAAGCATTTGATCTTCTTCTGAGCAACAGCCACTATTTGCATTCTGAATTTCGGCCGTAAAGATTAATGAAAGTTGTGCATTGCTCAGGATTATTAATAATCCGTAGGCCACTTTTACTCATGAGAAACTACTGTGATGACGCCTGGCCGGTGGAACGGCTATTCGCAAGTACCTCGGCAAGATCAGATCCCCAACAAGATTTATCTACTTCGTCTTTAGTATATAGAACCATCTCGACAAAGGATGTGCTTAGTGCTGAGGCTGTTGTGAGTGAGGTATAGCAACTCAAAAATAATGTAGCAGCCTACTGAGCTCCGAGTCCCGAGTTTTCTTCGGACGTCATACAGATATTGGCTAAAATATTGCAATGAAATTAGATACTGTATAGATTCTATCTGCATAATATCTACATTGTTTGTCTATAGCGCCCCTTTAGCAAGACTGATGACTTTGTCTGCTGCGTCGTCGAAGCTGTCAAAAGAGTGTAGTGGGAGTCCACTATTAGCAATCTGGAAGCAATAATCAGTTCATTTAGTTCTCGATCAGACTAGAGAAATATAGTCTTACCATCCTTTGGCCCTTTTCTTCATTGGTGCCTCGCAAACGTACCACGACTGGTACCTTCATGTCCAAATCCCGGAAAGCCATGATGATGCCCTCAGCAATCATGTCACACCTGGTGAGGCCGCCAAAAATATTGACAAAGATGGTCTTGACACGTGCATCCGAGCAAAGAATACGAAAGGACGACTTCACAGATTCCGTGGTTGCTTTGCCGCCGGTATCGAGGAAATTGGCGGGGGAGCCCCCTTTCAATATAAGTGCATCAACCGTATTCATCGCAAGACCCGCGCCATTGACTGTCAGGATTTAGAATGGTTAGCTGTAGACATCGTTTCTTTGCAATTTTCTTACCTAAAGTCCCAATGCTTCCCTCACCAGCGAGTCTTATTGTAAAAATAACGGTTAGTTGTAATCAAGACTGGAATATGCGAATAGAGAGCATACTTAACGTAAATAATCCCCTTTGTCTCTGCAATAACTTCCTCCGGGACCTCCTCCCTGGTATCACGTAAAGCATGCACTTCTTTTTGTCGGTCAGAACTTTTAAAAGCGGCATCATCAAAGCCAAAATGGGCTGCATGCACTCTCAATTTTCCGTCCTCCTCGGAGAGTGAAGCTCTTGTTTCGAGGGCAAACGCCTCATTTTTTTTGAAGATGTTATAGAGGCTATTAATATATATGCCCAGATCTCCATGGCAGTCTTTCGGGATAGCAAGGAAGGAACCAATATCGTGTATTATAGTATTGTTTTCGTTGAAAAACTCGGGCCTCTCGTAATTGAAAGGGATTCTCAGAGAGGGTCCACGAGATGCAGAGACAGAAGAAACTGTGATGCATGGTGACAGTGACGTTCGATCGACGGTAATCGATAGGTTGAAGTCCTCCGGGCCCGCAGGTTTTTCTTGCGTTTTGATTGTGTATTTCTCGAGCTTTTCAAATGCTTGGTGCTGCTTTATATATAGGGAACACCGTTGCCCTTGAAAGCTTCGGGAGTTAACAGGATTTTTGAACCGTCTCATGGTGTGGAAGCCTCTCTGCTGACTGGCTGACTTGGGAAGCGTCTACATTCATGTGGGTTAGCAGTTTGCCTAAGTAGGGGATATATTTATTCACACACTGAAAAATTCGAGCGATACCTCCTAGCTCCAAGGAGAGCCTTCATTCCAGCCCCGAACTTTTCAGGATGCGACACCAGAGTCACGCCGGCTTTCTCGAGCGCCTGGTATTTGGCCTTCGCATCAGGTTCGCCGGGTGCTGCCCATGCCCCAGCATGCCCCATAACTCGGCCGGGAGGAGCTTCCAATCCTCCTAGAAGTGCCATGATCGGTCTTTTGATGCATCAGCCAACAAGCATCGTGTCTAGGTATCATACATAATGCTCACTTGGGATTGGAGTTTCTCTTATGGTAATCCTTAATCCACTCTGCCGCATCCAACTCGGCAGTGCCTCCTACCTCACCCACAATCATAATTCCATCTGTATCAGGATCGTCCTCGAAGATTTTCAAGGCGTCGACAAAAGTTGTACCAGCCAAGACATCTCCTCCCATGCTGATACATAGACTTTGACCCAGACCAGCCCTTGTCGTAGAAGCAACCGTTTCATAACTCAACGTACCGGATTTGGCCACGATACCTATCCTGCCGGGGGAGAAGCACGGCAGAGGCTGGAATCCGATACGGCACTTACCTACCGCAGATATAATACCAGGGCAGTTGGCGCCTACAAGTCTTGTTTTCGACTGTGTTTTGAGCATGGCGTGTATCTAAAAGAATTAGACAGTGTTTAATAGATTTGTTTTAATTCTACCTACCCGTAGCATATCATGAAGGGGAACATGTTCCGCAACAGCTACGACGAGAGGGATTTCGTTCTCGAGAGCCTCCTCAATTGCTTGGGCAGTCTGACCTCCTGGCACATAAATAGCGGAAGCATCTGGGTTGACTTTTTCTTTTGCCTAAAATCATAAGATAAATGAATTGGATGTTATTTTGACAGCTGTGTATTTAGCTTACCGCTCGTACAGATGGAAAAACCGGCAAGCCGAGATGCTCGCCTTCTACGCCTGGCTTGACACCCCCAACAATATTTGTCCCCCAGTCCAGTGACTCTTTGGCATTTGCAGTTGCCTTTTTGTTGAGATATTAGTTTTCGCCAGTATGTACCGCATAAGAGACCATACCTGACGACCTGTTATTGAGCGTTAGCTTGGTATTGGAAAGTGTAAAAAGCATAAACGAACCGGTAAATCCTTGGTACAAGACCTTTGTATGCGCACCAATTTTGAGATTCTTCAAAGTGTCCTCATAGCCTGATACTCTTGGAGATGTAGAAAATCTAGAGATTGGGCGAAGTTGCGGCGGAAAGGTCGTTCGACATTTGACTCTTGACAGTCGGGTAGACAAAATACTGGCAGTCATTCTGTCTTCCTGCCGAACCTCAAAGGCACCAGAAAAACGATAATATTAGAAGGAAAAAGAACGCGCTAAAAGAGATGTAATTAATGCATCGGTTCACTGGTTATCAACATCACAGTCAGGTAGTTGGAGAAGTGCGGAGTATCGCTAAGAAGCCGAACTCGGGTCGGGCGAGCTCCGACCTACATTCTGCGCCGTAACATTCTATTTATTACCAGAATAAATGCAATGTGTTTGCATATAGGCAACATAGTTAGGTAATATCAAATTGGACAACTAGGAATCTCCGTCATACAGATAAATCGGCAATTCGGCTTTCATATAGCCGCGAGTGCACAACCCACTGCTCATTGCATGAACGAGAAAAGGGACCAGTTATATGATGCACACTGGAGGAGTCATCTTTCTCCCTGACGGTCACTTAGACTCACACGGAGTGCCCTGAGGGCTTCCAAGCATTGGGTAGACACTCGACCTGGGATTAATTATGTACATAGGATCGTGTTGTCGAGCCAATCAAGGCGGCTACCCCCGGAAAAGGCGGGGTTGGGCCTACTAGTCGTTTTCTGGCCATCTGATCATCATCAATGACGCATCCATGATATACTACTACACAGTATAAGCTGCAGCCCTCTAGCCAGGCACCGTCTACATATGTATAGTTCCGTCTCTTATTGATATATATATACCTTTACATATATATATCACTCCGGTTGGATATGGCTGGTAATTCCTCCCAAGAGCCCAGAGGTTTGCGCACCCGGTCATGCCGCTCTACCAGCCTTGCTAATGCGCTGAATATTTCCTGATGGCGGCGGTAGCGAGCCTTGAGGAGTCTTTAGAGCACTTGTCAATCCAGAACAAGAGGCCGGAGCCCGATATTTCACGTCTAGCAGTGAAGAAGCCTGCTGATAAGTCTAGCAAGAAAAAGAAAGGAGTCGCAGATTCGTGGGAAGATGAATTATCCTCGGGGTCTGGCACAGAAACGGAGGAAACAACAGCGAAAATAGGAATCAATTCACCATCGTCCAAGTCGGAGGGCCCTTTGGCCCCTCCTCCTACACCCATAACTTATCAGGGGGACTTCACTGCCCGGTGGGAGGCTACTTCTTCTGGACCTACGTCGCGCAGAGAGTCACCACATGTTAGGCCTGAAAAACAGACTGCCGTGGCGAACAGGATGATTGCTGGCGCCCTAGGAATCCGGGCGCCGAAACGCACAGAAGAACAGCGTGCCTATGATAGGGCTGCAAAAGAAAAAGAGATCAGACGCCGAAATAAAGCCAAAGAAGATGCCGCCAAGGCTATAGCGGAGGAAGAGAAGGCAAAGACAGCGGTATGGGATGAATAGCCCAGGCGGCTCTCATAGGTGGTCATATATTAAGTCTAGTCAGTTGTATAATGACACTAGGGAATATCATGTAAATAAACATCTCTAGGTTGCTATGCCCACCCAAGAGGCTTTTTGTATACTACCAGAGAAGCTAAACACTACTACATAGAAACGCAGAAAAGTGTATCGGAGATAGTAAGATAAAAGGGGCATTCTAATGCCCAACCGTAGGCTGTTCAAAGTTCTTTCATGTCATGTCTGCCATCTGCCGTTTGCATTTTTTAGACTTGAGAATATCACCAAAACGTTCCACTGGCGCCATGGTTTTTCATTCGTAAGATTTCCATCGTGAAAAAATATTTCGCTGGCTCCGAAACGAGAGACATGCAAGGATCATTATTAGTTCAAACCAGAATCGCGCATTTATCCTCCGATCTGTTCCTGATGGACTTCAAGAGTATCCCCATCTTGCATATCGAGCTAAGCAGCACATGTTTCGTTAGCCATGTTGTCCAAATGCGCTGAGAGTAACATAGGTCACCCTTACCGTATCGGGCGAGTCTTCTGGGCGAACGCGAGTACCGTCGAAAAGAAAGCGGACGGTTGAGGGCTGCTTTCCTTGCCGTTCGCAGAATGCATCCATGAGCTTTTTGAGCTGTGTGGATCGCTTGATCTTGAAAAAGACTTCGTTGTTGTTGTCGGTCACTTTGATATTGAGATGCTCTGTGCTTTGCGCAGGAGCGTCACCAGGCATGGGGGCGTTCGCGTCTGCCATGGCTGCTTCTAGTGGAGGCGAATGTGAAGTGCAAGAAGGGTCGTTCTGGATAGAAGAGTGGCAAGAAAGTTGCTGCGTGGGGAAGAGATATGGTCAGCGTTGCGACACCTTGGATTTTTTTACCAAAAAGCGGATAAATGAAAGATGTCATGAGGGCACTTACATTTACAGGACGCTGCGAAGCTGGCGAGGGGAGAGAAGAGAAGGAAAGAAAGAGGGACGCCAGAGGTTAACAGTGAGAGAGTCGAAGTGATGAGTGATATGCTCCCAATGCGCAACCGCCCAATCAGTGAAACCCCGCTGGACCTGCCGGATAATCTATCTTGCGGCGCACCCAGCTGCCATGGGCGGTTGTGTACAGTTACAAATGTGAATTGGCAACACTTTTGGTATTCTGCAGATTCGGATAAAAAGAGAGAATTCAACCTGAGCATGAGTGGGGAAGGGTCGATCTATTTTGTTTTGTGAGAACGACTGTCTTTCTCAGGCTGCTCTCGAGACTTGATACTCAGGCGAAAGTTGCGTCATGGTATGCTTGCTCTACAGAGAACACGCTGAGCCGTCCTAAAAACAGTGCAGGGCCAACTACAAGAGGATCTCGCTCATGACCCTCCATGCCATCCCCGAGCAGTGAGTATTCCCGTGGCACAGCAATACTTGACTCAGGACTAATGATTACTAGTGTGCTATCCAGGGTGAGGTCTCCTATGGTCACTCACAGGCCACACATTTGATTGCTAACTGTTACTAAGCGTGTCTGAGCAAAAATTCTTACAAGGAGGAGAAGTGTCAAGCACAGATAGATGCACTCTACGAGTGTTGCAATGCCTTCTACAAAGAACATGGCGACGATGCCAAAACTGCAAGTTGTCCAAAAGCCAGCCTTCTGAGGATCAAAATGAAGCAGCGAGGGCAGGCGTCTGGGTAAAAGTCGATTGGATGCCACCCCAAAGGTAAATAGACGGGATGGAGTGAGATGTAATGGTAATGATATAGATTTGGTAACTAGCGCAAGAAACACCGTGTGCCGAGTTTCATAGCGACCATGTGGTTCGATGAGGATGTAGATGTACCAATTCCTTTGCAGTCTGGACCCCCATGCTGAAATAGATCAGGGCTGGACTAGTTGTAGAAACTGACGAGTTGCTATAAGACAACCTTGAGCGCGGCTTCTGAACACTGAAGAGTACGGTCCGAGACTCTAATGGTTGCCTAGAGACATTTAATAAAGAGAAAAGAGAAAAGGAAAGCAAAATTCTGGCAGGAAAAAAGGCTTAAAAAGCAGCGCGGAGTTTTGGTGACGCTAGGCCAGTCCGGACTAGCGGCTGCGCTGGCTGGCGGCTGCTTGGAACGCGCCCGAGTTCTTGCTTGACCAGAGCCAACTCTTTCTCCAAGCTTGCTGCTCGTACGCTGCAGCTCCCTCTGCTAATTCTGCAGCATCGCATCGAAGCTGACGCGGTGCACGACCATACCCCAACACCGCCATGGCGCCCATTCCCGATTCTGCAGGCGCCGCGCGAAATGCTTCAAGCTTTATTTTTGGCAATGTGAGCGGTATCTCTCGACTGTTGTTGTTGACACTGACCACCGAGCCTTGTTCCTAGCTTCCCCAAAGTGGCCATCCCAATGAGCCCGAAATCATAGAGATTGATGAAGATGATGACGACGACGAAGATGTCAGAAATAGCGACGAGAATGTTGACGACGAGGAGGAGGAAGAGGATACTGCAGATTCAGTTGCGGATATGAATGGCGATGGATCATTAAGCCATGCTACTAGCCCTAGCATTCTACAAAGAAGTCCAGGTACGACCTCATAGGTCAATGTAATAGCAATCACATAGCTAACGGTCTTTGTCTAGCTATACGTCCACCCGCATCCTCCATTTTTTCTTCCTCTGGTGTTCAGCAAGTTTTGCATCCTCTTCGGCGTACAGCAGACCGTGTTACCCGCCAAATGGATGCTTTTGCGGAAAAGCTAGACCGCTTCAAGCAGCAGGACCGGACCCAGGGCTCCTACCAGGCTGCTTTCTCTCTCATCAAGAACTATCAGCTACACGCCTCTGATGCGATCAATGAAGCTACTCGCCAAAGTACGTTAAAGCGGGCCAAGCTAGGTTGGAATGCGAGTCGCGAGGCGGATCTGTCGACTGCCACATCTGAAGAGGACTTGCAGCGACTGCAGCTTGAAATCGACACATGGGACATTCTGCTAAATTTGATTGCGGTTGATGACCCCACGGCTATTTCTCACGCAAAAGAGGCACAGAAATCTGTCTTTCAGAACCTGCACCGCTATTCCACGGACAGAGAAGTGTGGGAACAATTCTTAGATGCTGATCAGCATGCAACTGAGTGCGTGATGGTGATGAAATGGCTGGAGACAAAAGCAAAGTCGTCGGCACAGCAGTTGGATTCCGTGATAGCAAATTTGGAAGCGCAAGCAGAAAGGGGTACCGGATTATGGGCACACGGGTGGTTGTACACCAAAGAATCCATCAAGGGACAAAAGCGACTTCGAGCTTGGCCCCAACCTTTGGAACCCAATGATCCAGGTCTATTAGCTTCTTTGCTCAGCTCTGAGAAGCAGGAACCTTTGATTACCCAGCTGGACCCAGATGCTGTCATTCGACAAAAGCATGCTTTGCAAAAGCAAGACCAGTATTACGAACAAGCCACATGGTTAACTTGCTGGAAAATGCTGAGGCAAGGTGAGACGTGGACCAAAATTCGAGAGTGGTCTCAAGAGCGCCTTGAAAGTTGGCGGGCAGTCAGTCTCTGCGGTTCGAGTGTTGATCAAGACGGTTCTGGCGGCAGACTCTCAGCAGATGACAGCATGACACGTATGATGAACTGTCGGTCACAGGATGCATGGCGAAGTGCCTGTTCTGCTCTTGCTCGAAACCCGAGCACAAATGACTACGAACGAGCTGTCTACGCCTTACTTAGTGGCGAGACTGAGCCTGCTTATAAGGTGTGTCGGAGCTGGGATGAATATCTCTATGTCTTCTACAATCACATTCTACTATCTCGATATCGGAGCTTTTGTTCTCAGTTTTCAAAGAAACTTACTCACTCACCACTAGTAAATGTACCATACGTGCCAGAACCGATGGATTATAATGCAACTCGTCTTTTCTTAGACGGTTTGAAAACACACGACCTGATTGGTATGGAGGCTCGCAATCCTTACCACACGATTCAGGCTGCCATTCTCGGGAAGAACTTTGACTCCTTCTTCTTGTCAACGGCATACGCTACCTCCAAAATTAACAAAGCACCGAAAGACCTGCATATAATTCCAAATCTGGGCGTCAGCAACATCGACGGCTCTGCGATCATCGCGGTTCGTGACAAGGATGCACTACGAATCATTGCTCACCTGTATATCATTACGAGGAATTTGTCATATCTTCGCTCTGATACATCTTTCTATGACACGGTATCACTGAACGTGATTGCCTACATCGAAAGTTTGCAGCAGGCTGAGCTCATCGAATGGATTCCGCTCTATGCCTCGTTTCTACCATCCGGATTGGTCTCCAATATTATTACACAAGTGTTAATTGGTGTTAGCGAGCCTCGGGAAATGAACAGAATGGCCAAACTACTAGAAAAACATGACATCAACATAGAAGCTGTTCAGGAGAGTCTATGCGACTACGTTTTACACAACACACCGAAGCCGGGATATTCCTCTTTTACCCTGGATTGTAAAGCCGTTCGTGATCGAGAAAAGAAGGATATGATATTGATGCCTGTGATCAAGAAGTTTGCCGGCAAAAAGGCGAGCCCTCAGAATGGGCGTTTGATTCGATGCCTCGAATGGTATTCGTATCTTGAGGGACATTGGAGTGTGATTTGCAGGCTGGTTGGGTATCTTTATAAGAGATTTTATGGTAAGTTGCTCGGTCTACGGAAGCGACGTTAAGTAACCGTTATCACAGGGAACGGCATGTTATTGGAAGCTCGTGAATTAAGTGAAAAAATGAATCTTTCAGAAGTATCTCAAAAGGTTCTCGGTTATGACATACGCCAGGCTCACTTGATTGAGGAAAATGGACTGGCAGACGCGTCCATACCGCCAAGTCCCTCAAAAAGTCCGTCAAAGAAACAACGATTTCGTCGATCTCTATCGCAAGATGAACGGTCACAACATCTCGTGGCAGCTGAGTTAGTGCTAGACTTGGAATACATCAGTTGGGCATACAGTTCTTTGGATGAATTCCAAGAGGTTTGGGAGCAGCTCGAATTGTACTGTCTTTCCCTATCTGTCCCCATTCCTTTCTATTTACGTTCAGCTAATTTTTTCAGAAACAAAAATGCCGAAGCAGAAAATTCCGAGCATATTAAAGAGCTCAAGGAACGTCTCCAGTATGCTATCGAGCAAGCAACAGAGCATACCGAGTCGTTGCTCGACAAAGATTACGGCATATTAACTAACGCCTCATCCCGTAAGGACCCCATTTAGTTTGCGCTCATAGTTGTGACTTTTCTTGCTAACTTTCTAACTTTTTGGTGTAGCGGAAGAAGAGAAACAGCTTGAATATATCCGAAAAACTTACTTCCCCGATATTGTCCTAAACTATCTCACTGCTTTGTACTACTCAAGCTTGAAGCTATCACGTGGCCTCCTGGTCCGAAGCATGGAACTGATCGTCCTTATTGCGGAGGACAATAATATGCTCGATTGCTTTATCGATTCACATCGAATGACAGAGCTGGCGGATGCAATGGCTTTGGCGTCCGCAGCTATGATCAACGCACCAATGCCTAAGGGACGAAAGAAGACGGAGGGGGTTGGCCAACTTGATATTTGGAATATCACAACACCAAAAGAAGGTGAAGAATATCAACTTCCAGCTGCAAAGTGGCCATAGTTGGTGATGTCGCTTCTTGGTCATAGAATGACTTTGAAAAGAATGTTCTTGTTCCTTCCATTGTGATCATGGATTGGAAATGCATGTAAATTATCATTATTCTAAGTGGAAATGCATGCTAGGAAATTACTAGCACCGCCCATAATGACAGAGTTCCAAAAGCAAAGTAGACGGAATCGTTTTTACTACCAATGTTAAGAAACATTAGTCAAGCCAACATGCGCCCTGGGCTTGACATGACGGTATCCTCGGTCTCCGATTGGACGGGAGCCGTGTCAGGATTACTTGCCCATCCTGGAAATTTTGAGTCTGGACTGGACAGTAAATGGCATTCTGGACACGGCCATTAATAAGCATGTGTCAATGTGTCACACGGGATGTATTTTGCGGCCAATTAATGTTTCGTGCATGCACGCCTTGCAGTTGTCATGGCTGAAGATTCGTACACACTTAACAAGACCACTTGCATTTGTAATGCCTTGGCTCGGCCTATTGGAATAGGTATTAAATTGGTGGAATTGCCTGGGTCTAGTATCCTTATTTAACTGTCATCAAGACGTCAGTAATGACTGGGAAGTTGTGATTGCTACCCCGAACTCTATCTACTACTCCTCTCTTCCTCATACCATAAAAACGACCAAGACACTCACTATGTCAGGCCAAGACACAATCCTAGAGTACGGTTACACGGCGGTCCCTGCGTCAGCCAAAATAGTCGTCGCCGAAACCACGCCGAAGCCATCATCTTCCGCGCAGCCCTTTGCTCTGTCCTCCATCCCTACTCCAAACACAGCCCTCGCCAAGCGCATCCACAATTACGCAAAATCCCACCTTCCAGAACCGACATTCAATCACAGCCTCCGCGTCTACCACTATGGACTCGCTATCAAAAAATACCGCTTCCCTACGTGGAGCTTCTCGGACGAGACTTACCTTCTCGCCTGTCTGCTGCATGATATCGGGACTACGGAGGAAAACCTAGCCAAGACGCGCATGAGCTTCGAGTTCTACGGGGGGTTCCTCGCTCTCGAGGTGTTGCAAAGCAGGGATGCTGATGATAATGCCAATGCGGTGGCCCCAAGAGAACAGGCGGAGAGTGTGGCGGAGTCGATTATTCGACATCAAGACCTGTGTGAAGTTGGGAAGATAACAGCTGTGGGGCAGTTACTCCAGCTAGCAACGATATTTGGTAAGCGATTGACTCGTTTTTTTGTTGTATATCTTGGTATAATAGGCTTGTATGCGGTATATTGACTATGGACTTGTTAGATAATACTGGATCGTATGCCGATCTGGTACACTTGGACACCATTGAGGCTGTGACAAAGGCGTATCCACGACTGGATTGGAAGAATTGTTTCGCGAAGACGATCCGGAAAGAGATAGCGCTGAAGCCCTGGGCTCATACCACGGCGCTTGGCGAGGAAGATTTCCCAGCCAAGGTGCTGGGGAATACACTGATGGCGCCGTATGAGTGACATTGCCTAGATGATGATAGTGAAGGTTGCATGATGGCAGTGCAGAGTGGACAGGGGTGGGACTTGAGTCTCCGGAGGTTAGCTGTAGCAATTATATGTTAATTGAGGGTAGTGCTCATTAATTGATACGTATATTGATATTGATATTCACACAGAATCAATGATATTCCCTACTCAACTGGTAGCGATTGATGGGGACTGACGGTGAACAGCACATGTAGATATCAGAAACACCTGAACAGCGAGCTGGCAACGATTGGGCTCGAAACTTGGTACCATAGCCATGATATCGGGCCAGACCTTTTCCTTGTGAGGGGTTTAATTGCCACCACTGCTGCTTGTCGACTGGTGATGCTAGGAATCAGGATAGATGGATGCGGCATCAACCAATGGACTAGCTCTAATCTTAATGGGTGACGTACCAGACTAGTACAGGATAGGTAAAGTCTGCTTCGCCAAAGTTGGCCAATAATGTAGGGTCCCCCGCAATTGCCTGCTGTGATTGGTCTAGCCGGACGCATGGTGGCCGGGGTTGGATTGGACTGAAGCGGCTAGCACCGCCAAGAAAGCCAATAGCGGCCCAGTCCCTGGTCTCCTGTTGTCAGCAAGAAGCCTAGTGGCGATCTGATAATCGTCTAGGGCGACGCCTGCACAGAAGAACAATCTTTACCACGGCCGGAATCATCGTCGTCATGGCCGAAGTGCGATGATACGAGACGTCGCATTACTGGTGCTATCTCCGCGCGTCCGTCCGCGGGCTGTTTGCAATCCTTACCCAAGGGGTGTGCCTATCCACTTCCGAAAACATTCTAGCTTGAGGCAGTGCAAAAGATGCCAAGCCCTACTCTCCCGGAATCATGCCATGTCAACCATGACGACCAGTTAGGGGAACCTGGAGACTGGCGATCCAGACTGGCGCTAAAGGAGAAATGGTCAAAATTGAGGAATAGAATCCTGCGCTATGCTGACTACCATTAGTCTCCTCCTGCTGATGATTATGATTATTGATTATCTGTCATATCTCATCAAGTGGTGGCGGCCCATGCCGTGTGCAGCGCCATCACATTGGGACCAAAAGCATTGCTGCCCACAGCTCCTCAATAGTAATGCAGGAAGGGTGCTGAGGGGGCACACGCTTGCTGCCACAAAGCGCAGCGCCGGCAGTCTTCTCTCATAGCAGTAATGGGACCGAAAACTAGAAAATATAGTAGTCATCGTAGAATCATGACCCTTTGTGCAGAGTATAGAAGAAAACAAACCATGTCAGGGCCCAGGCGGCTTGAGGCTTGAGCTCTTTCCACGGTAGCGGAAACAGCCTATGATCGTCTCTCAAAAATTTGAATGAGGTGGGACCAGCGAATCGCCTGCTGTCGGTGTGGTGGACGTTGTGACGAAGCTCCTGTTGGTCCAATTTGTTGTTTCATTAGGACCCAGTCTCCCCGAGAGATACCCGCCGGCATTCGCCATCGCATCGCCATCTCTTTTCGCTCTGTCCCAGTCAACATCTCTGGCCATTGTCATTTGGGAAGACGTCGAGGGTTAATAATTCGATAATACTCTGGTTTCTTTTTTTGTCGTCGTCCTTTTTTCCTTCAATCGTCCCTTGACCCTTGTTTGTTTCATCGACCAGTCCTACCGTTTGGTCGTGCTGCAACACACGAGTGATTGATAACCCCATTTCTATTACACCCTGCCGTTACAACAACACACAAATCTGTTATCCTGCTGGATTGGATTCTTGGACTCTGTGTGATCTATCGATGATCTTGATATCGGCCACTCGTCCGGGACTGGTGATATTGTACTAAGGTTGTCACGAGATAGGCATTGAGCTTGCAAGAGTTTCTCGGGCGCTCGATCCTTTCCTTCAACTATCTAACAGACTGTGTCGTGCTTAGATCCTGTCTTGGTCAAGTAAGTCGCATCTGTCATTGCCACGAGACCTGCTTGAAACGTACTAATAGACGCATTTACAGCACCAACGACTTCACATATTAACACATCCCTGCTTGAAGTGAGAAGGAACTGAATGTCTACCTAACCGCTCTATTTATGACGGCCATGAATGGAGTTTAAACATTGCCAATCTCTGTTTAACGCTGCCCTTGTTCGACTGAACCAATTTAATACCACATTCCGTGATCAGGGATGGTCGAACCCCCTACAAACGGGGAGAGTCCCCGAAACTCGCTCCCTCAGCGCCGTGAACGTGCCCCAACGATTACGATCGACACGTCTGCAGTGAGCCCGATCACACCAACGGATCCCAATCTCCAAGCAAACATTCCACCAAGCCAGCCAGCAGCTCCGTTCCTAGCGCGCGAAAGCTCAGATGCAACACGATCAAGCATTTCGCCTACAGATGCCCGGTCTTCAAATTCGTTTGATTTGCTGCGAGAGAGTCGACCTACCTCGCCTCACAATATCTCCTCCCCAACGCACAAAGCGAGCGATAGTAGCCATTCCCATTTTCTAGCCGTCCCTGGTACTAGATCTCGAGGCAACTCCTTGGAATCAGAAAGCAATGGAAGCAACAGTAGCTCCTTTGGTGGGGACACTTACGTTCAGTCAAGCCCTTCTCAAACCGACCCAGCGTCACACGATCTTAGCCGAGGCGAAACCTTGATCCTTAGCGACGACGAAGCTTTACGACCCGATCCAGGAACGGAGCATGAATTCGAGGTGGAAGATAACAAGTTCGCATTTTCCCCGGGTCAATTGAAAAAATTTCTGAATCCCAAAAACCTAGGCGCTCTTCACGCTGTAGGTGGAATGGCGGGTCTCGAAAAAGGAATAAGGACTGATCGGTACTCAGGTCTGAGTATTGATGAGACTTATCTTGAAGGAAATGTGTCTTTCGAGGATGCTGTTAACGTAGGCAATGAATATCAAAACAAAACGCTTGTGGGAACCGACACGGTAGGAACCAAATCGACACAGCGCTCTTCACCCCAAGAGCTATATGTTGACCGGAAACGGGTCTATGGCACGAATGTGTTACCCGAAAAGAAAATCAAGACTATCTGGGAACTAGCATGGATTGCTTACAACGATAAGGTTTTGATTCTGCTTTCTATCGCTGCCGTGATTTCACTCGCTCTCGGTATCTATCAATCTGTTACCGCTACAGATGGGGAAGCAAGAATACAATGGGTAGAAGGCGTGGCTATTATTGTTGCTATCTTAATTGTGGTAGGAGTAGGGGCAGTCAACGACTATCAAAAGGAACGACAATTCGTCAAGCTAAATAAAAAGAAAGAAGATCGAAAAGTCAAAGCTCTACGGTCCGGCAACACAGTGGAAATATCGGTTCATGATGTTCTAGTTGGTGATATTTTGCTCCTGGAACCTGGTGACCTTGTACCCGTAGATGGTATACTGATTGAAGGACACGATGTGAAATGTGATGAATCTTCCACTACGGGCGAATCCGACCTTCTACGAAAACAAGCTGCCGATGAGGTGTACCAAGCTATCAAAAACAACGAAAACCTGAACAAAATGGACCCATTCATTCTGTCAGGATCGAAGGTCACCGAAGGGGTGGGTAAATTCTTGGTCACTGCCGTCGGAGTGAATTCGGTTTATGGAAAGACATTACTCTCTTTACAAGATGAAGGTCAGACGACACCGCTGCAATCGAAATTAAACGTGCTTGCCGAGTATATAGCTAAGCTGGGTCTTGCATCTGGTCTCCTGCTGTTTATCGTTCTTTTTATCAAGTTTTGTGTCGAACTTGGCCATTACGGATCACCAGGAGAAAAGGGACAGGCTTTTCTACAAATCTTCATCGTCGCTGTTACAGTCGTTGTTGTGGCTGTTCCAGAAGGATTGCCTCTAGCCGTTACTCTCGCTTTGGCCTTTGCAACAACGAGGATGCTTAAGGACAACAATTTGGTTAGACTGCTACGAGCTTGTGAGACCATGGGAAATGCGACTACGATCTGCTCGGATAAGACAGGCACTCTGACACAGAATGTGATGAAAATTGTCGTCGGTGCTGTAGGTACCTCAAATCGGTTTGCAGATAGTGACGGCAACAATCAAGACTCAGAAGAAGTCCCTCCTTCCGCATTCTTATCGAAGCTATCGCCTGATGTCAAAGAACTGCTTCTTCAATCTATCGTCTACAACTCGACTGCCTTTGAGACAACAGAGGACGGGAAAACTACCTATATCGGGTCCAAAACCGAGACGGCCTTGTTAACTTTTGCTCAGGAATATATGGCACTTGGAAATCTCAATACAGAGCGTGCGAATGCTAATATAGTTCAAATCGTTCCTTTTGATTCGACTCGCAAATGCATGGCGGTGGTCGTTAAGCTCAAAGAGGGTCACTACCGGATGCTCGTCAAAGGTGCTTCTGAAATTCTCATCTCCAAGTCGACAAACATTGTGGATAGACCAGAGACTGGTCTTAATGCTGTGTCTCTTACTGATCGTAGCCGGTCAACCCTGGACAATCTAGCCAATTCATATGCGTCTCGGTCATTGCGAGCTATCAGCTTGTTGTATCGTGATTTCGACCAATGGCCTCCTCGAGGAGTGCCTACACAAGAAGACGACCGAAGACTAGCTAACTTTGATGCTGTCTTTGAAGGTATGACTTTAATCGGTGTGGTGGGCATTCAAGACCCTCTGCGACCTGGCGTCACTGAATCTGTCTACCAATGCCAACGCGCGGGTGTTTTTGTTCGAATGGTAACTGGTGATAATATTAATACAGCCAAAGCTATAGCCCAAGAGTGTGGGATATTCACTCCTGGTGGAGTTGCTATGGAGGGTCCTAAATTCCGAAAATTGAGCACTAAAAAAATGAACCAGATCATTCCTCGGCTGCAGGTCCTAGCACGGTCCAGCCCTGATGACAAGAAGATACTTGTTTCGGCTCTCAATAAACTGGGTGAGACGACCGCTGTCACTGGAGACGGAAGCAATGATGCTGCAGCTCTCAAAACGGCCGATGTTGGCTTCTCAATGGGTATTTCTGGCACTGAAGTTGCCAAGGAAGCTTCCGACATTATCCTGATGGACGATAACTTTACCTCTATCGTAAAAGCTATCGCTTGGGGACGGACTGTCAATGATGCCGTGAAGAAGTTTCTTCAGTTCCAGATTACTGTCAACATCACGGCTGTTGTCTTGACCTTTGTATCAGCAGTTGCAAGCGGCAACGAATCCTCCGTACTCTCAGCGGTTCAGTTGCTATGGGTCAATCTTATTATGGACACATTCGCCGCTCTTGCACTTGGTAAGTAGCACAATAATTGAATATAAATGAAACCCACTGACCTTGGTCCCAGCTACCGACCCTCCTGCCGAGTCCGTCCTTAACCGCCGTCCCGAGCCAAAGTCTGCGCCGCTTATAACTCTTACCATGTGGAAAATGATCATTGGACAGGCGATCTACCAGCTAGTCATCACATTGATCTTGAACTTTGCTGGAAGGGTCATTTTCTCAGGTACAAGCGTGTTTGAGAACCCAGCAACCGAGGAAGCCGAATTGAAAACCGTTGTTTTCAACACATTCGTGTGGATGCAGATTTTCAACCAGTACAATTGCCGCCGTCTTGACAATTACTTCAACATCTTCGAGGGCATGTTCCGTAACTACTGGTTCCTCGGTATACAGCTTATTATAATCGGTGGACAGATTCTGATCATCTTTGTCGGTGGCCAAGCTTTCTCTATTCAACGTTTGAATGGAGCTCAGTGGGCTGTCTCCCTTGTTCTTGGAGTCATTTCTATCCCGGTGGCTGTTATCATCCGTCTCATTCCAGACGAATTCATTCGCCGGTTGATTCCCACCTTTTGGAGGCGAAAGAAACGGGGTGGTCCTCGCGTTCTAGTGTCTGATGAGGAGAGAAGCTATGAGTGGAATTCTGGTCTGGAAGAGATCCGGGACCAGCTGACCTTCCTTAAGACTGTCCGAGGTGGACGTTTGAAGCATATTAAAAATAAATTGCAACATCCGGAAGATTTCTTCGCTGGGAGGTCTCGGAGCAATTCGCGCTCTCGTGATGAGTCGATCCCGTCAACTCCAAATGGGGAGCCTGATTCCGGTTCCCCTCCACCAGCCACGCCAGACTCGCGATCTCGCAACCGTACTCGATCTCGATCGAACTCTGCCTTTGGTCCAGCTGCGGCGATGGCGGGTGTCATTGCTGGCAGTGTGGCCGGCTGGTCTCCGATTGAGCGCCAAAATGGAGGTGAAGATTCCTGGCATCTGTCGGCCAATGATCCCCATTCAGGACTAGACCACCAACAGGGACTCGAAATTCACCCAGACACCAGCCAAGATGACCCTATCATTATTAACAATTACGATCTGTCCCCGTCAACTCCACCTAGTCAGAATCCAGATCTGGCTCCTGTTTTCGCTCACGCTCCTCCAGATCGCACACCGAGTCGTGGCCGGCGCTCCACTTCACGGCGGTCACGCTCGAACACCATGACTACATTCAATAGTCGTCGATCTACGTCTCAGACGTAATTGCTCTTATATTTGACTTTTATACTTCCTGTTAATACGCTCGCTTATCTTTGTCCGACTCCAACAAATCTGCTTCCGTGACCTTTCTTTCCCTCTGCATCTTTTGTTTCTGGTTTTCATATTATCCAGGCGTCGGGGCGATATCATTGGTGAAGTTAGAATAGAATTGGATGGCTCGGTGCTTTTGGTGTTGAGAAAAGCGCATTTTTTTGTTTTTGACATTATTTTTTCTATGGGAAAGTGAAACATTCTGCATCATCACACGCGGCATACGGAATTTTGTCTGCTTTTCTTGTCAGAGCTGCCTAAAACTATACTTATTATTATTATTATTATTACAGCCGAGGGGCTACATTCGCTTGTACATTTTTATCTATTTCAAAATCTCCATTTCATGCATGTCCTACCTTGTTTAATGTGGTTGCGTTGATGTAGAGAGCGATCGTTAGATATCATTTACGTATAACCGGTTACTCGACGGAGAATGGATTTATTGTTAGTTCGAATATGTATTTAACCACTAGATATAATAATTCCATCATCTCGTCTTCCCTGTTATTGGCTCACAATGCGACCCGGAATATATGCGCTTCTTTGCATGGTTCGTAGCCCCTTACCTTGTTTTTTCGACAAAGAAATCAATCTAACCAATGGATATGGGGTGTGGCAATGACCAATAGAAACATGCATATATAGATGTCATATGGGGAACCGAGACGTTACATAGAATAGGAAAATCCATTGATTCCATTCTGCTCGCCTACAGTGTTAGCTCGTTGACCGAATAACTAAGATTAATGCAGGTATGCGTGTAGTATGGAGGAGCGAGCTGAGGACGAGCGGAACAGAATCAACCGATTCGGAAATTGAAGAGGGGTCAAAACCACGTTGATCACCTGCGAGGCGATTAGTCTGTTTTGGACAGACCTTGGCCTTGTACCCTGGCAGCTCAGAAAGCGCTAATGTTCATCCCACATCGATTTCTCACATGGTGATTTTTGTGTAAAATCTGCGCAGGTTAATGTCGGCTATAATGTAAGGCTCTTAGTGATACAATCGAGATCTTCCAACTTTGTGTAACTTTGACGTGACAGTCGGAGTGGGAGAAATTTCAAAACTGTTTCTTGTAGACCACGTAGAATCGCATTGCAACAAAGCTTTTCTATTCCTCCGGTTTATCCAGTCACACAGCCAGCGTCATACAGCTGAGCCAAAGAAAGCGCCGACACAAGACGTCCTCTCCTGTACTCCGTAGGCTGCTCACATTTCCTTAGCCTACTTCATTGGCGGCATCATCTCCATCCCCCGCTCAGCTCCAATGAAAATGAAACGGCGCGCATTTAAGTGAGAGACGCCGTCTTCTCATAGGCCCGCGACCCCTGCAAGCTGCATGTGCAGCGCGCCGCAAAAAGGTGAAGAGAAATGTAATACCGTACGGTACACTGGTGGTCGATGACTTTGGGTCCGTGTATCCGTACAAAGAACTGTATTCGCCAATTTTTATTCTTTGTGGATGGTGTGCTAATCGTTGGTGGCGAGCAGCCATTGGATCGTACAGCCTAGACAGTACACATGTTTCTTGACGTGGTTCGGGACTTTAAATCCTAGGGGTGCGTGGGACTGGAGTGTCAATGAGTGACGACTGATTATGGATTAAGTTACTCCACTGAGCGTTGCCAAAATCTCGCTAGGCACAACTAGTTGATAGCTGCCTGCGTCCGATTCGCATGTGGCCTGGCGATAGTACAAAGTGTTAGAATCTTCTGAGAACGTGATGACACCTCGAGGGCTCTCCTGCCTTCCTCTTACCCCCATGATCGCCATAAATCGTCAACAGTCCAGCAACAGTCAACTTGAAGTGAGTGACCGGAGCTCTGGCTATTGGATCTCGCCATAACAATCCTGCACTGCGCAGCGATACCTGTGAGCTACTCTCCGTTGCGTCATTGTTCACACACTAGCTGTAGTGTCACTATCCAACATGCTCAACGATACCTGGTCCATTCTGTCCCTAACCTCTTCATCGCGAGCCCTCATATCCCCGGCCGCAATTCAATCCACAATTCATCACGCCACGACCCAGTTCCTCGCTGGCAACCTCCATCAGAGCAAGAACATGGCTTTCTACGCCCTGCCGGTGCTGCTGGCGTACCTGCTGCTCGTGAAGACCTTGAGATTCCGTCGAATCGATAAGCTGCAGACGCAGTACAGTACTACATCACTCGCTTCAATGACGGATCGTGAGGCATGGGGGATCCAGAAAAGCATGATGGAACTTGAGTTCCCATTTACCTTTTACAAAAGCCTCCAGTTCGCTCTATTCCGGGTATGACTTGTCCTCGAAATCCTAACTCGTTAGAGGCTGATACTAATTCGAGAATATAGACATACGGTATTCCAACAATATCAAAAACACTCACCAAAACCCAGCTGTTTGCCAACCCTCTATACTCATTCAAACGCTATGCAGACACCGTGCTACTCATTGGCGAATTCACATCTCACGACCCAACCTCTGAACGGACTCGCATTGCCATTGCACGCACGAATTTCATCCACAGCCCATATCTCCAGTCCGGCGCAATCACACCGGAAGACATGCTATACACCCTGTCTCTATTCGCCACCGAGCCACTCCGTTTCATTGACTTGTATGAATGGCGGAGCACCACCACCCTTGAGCGCTGCGCGATGGGAGTATTCTGGAAGAGCGTCGGCGATGCATTGGGCATTGATTACGCAGGCTACCTGCCTTCTGCCTCCAAGGGATTCCGCGATGGTAACCACTGGTTGCAGGAAGTCACAGCATGGGCACAAGAATACGAAGCAAAGGCAATGGTCCCAGCCCAATCAAATAGAGAAACAGCAGAGCAGACGACAGCCTTATTGACGTACGTTCTTCCTCCGCGGCTCAAGTTAATAGGCGAGTGGTTTGTTTCACACATGATGGACGATCGACTTCGACGCGCAATGATATATGACCCTGCCCCGGATCTTGCAAATGTCGTCTTTTCAGCCTCGTTTTCACTTCGGAAGTTTATTCTTCGGTATTTGACTCTTCCTCGCCCAGAGTTCTTGCGATCGCTATCCTTTAGCGAGAAACCAGATCCGGTGACGGGGACGTATCATTTATTGTCTTGGTCAGCGCAGCCATTTTACGTAAAACCCACGTTGTGGAATCGATGGCTAAGTCCTGCGGCTCTCTTCTTTCGCATCCTGGGATTGCCAGTTCCGGGAGATCAGGGGGATACGTTCTTTCCGAATGGGTATCATTTGGATAACGTTGGTCCGAATACGTTCAGTGGCAAAGGCAAGGATTTTATGGAGAAACAGATCAAGATTTTGGAAGTGGAGAGGAGAGGACAATGTCCTTTTCATTAACGGCCTTTGTGATTAAATAATTACGATTTATTAGCTCTCTTATTACACCTAGTGACTAGGTAGAGGATAATTGAAACTACCGAAACTGTCCATTGTTGACCAAATCAAGTGTTATTTTATTATATTCATTTATTCCGTAAGGAGTATAAGATCGGTGGTCATATGCCGATCAAACAAAAGAATGCTTGCTGATTTGCTGGGACTGCCTATCAGCCAGATTTTGGCACGAACAGAAGGAAGACATGAACCAGAGGGTATTATTGCGAGCATGGCGAATCGTCAGTTATAATCAACATTTACTCTTCTCCCTCGAGAGGAAGTTCCTCCTCACCGCTGTAAGGTCTGGTGTTAGTATGAATAATTCGCTAATCGGACGGAAAGTAGACTTACTATTCCTCCTCGCCTTCAGAAATGGAGGCATCCTGGTACTGCTGGTACTCAGAAACCAAGTCGTTCATGTTGCTCTCAGCCTCAGTGAACTCCATCTCGTCCATACCCTCACCAGTGTACCAATGCAAGAAAGCCTTGCGACGGAACATGGCAGTGAATTGGTCACCGACACGCTTGAACAGCTCCTGGATAGCGGTGGAGTTTCCGACAAAGGTGGCGGACATCTTAAGACCACGAGGGGGAATGGAGCAGAGAGCAGTCTGGACGTTGTTGGGGATCCACTCAACGAAGTAGCTGCTATTCTTGTTCTGGACATTGCGCATCTGGTCCTCGACTTCCTTCATGGAGACCTTACCACGGCTAAAACCTAGTTAGTACGTGTTTGTCTCTATTTCATAGAAGCAACATACAAAAGAGCAGAGCATGTGAGGTAACGACCATTGCGGAAGTCAGAAGCGGCCATCATGTTCTTAGGGTCGTACATCTGCTGGGTCAATTCAGGAACGGTGACGGCACGGAAAGAGTGAGCACCACGGCTGGTCAAAGGAGCGAAGCCGACCATGAAGAAGTGCAGACGAGGGAAAGGAACCATGTTAACGGCCAACTTGCGCAGATCAGAGTTAAGCTGACCAGGGAAACGCAGCGAGGTAGTGACACCAGACATGACGGCGGAGACGAGGTGGTTCAAGTCACCGTACGATGGTTGGGACAACTTCAATGTGCGCATGCAGATGTCGTAAAGAGCCTAGAGCAAGTCAATATCCGGTCATACTAAATAGATATCTTACTATCGGCGCACCTCATTGTCAATGCAGAAAGTCTCATCGGAGTGCTCAACGAGCTGGTGAACGGAAAGAGTAGCGTTGTAAGGCTCAACGACGGTGTCAGAGACCTTGGGAGAAGGAACAACCGAGAAGGTGGCCATCATGCGATCGGGAAATTCCTCACGGATCTTGGAGATCAAAAGGGTACCCATACCGGCACCGGTACCACCACCGAGGGAGTGGGTGATCTGGAAACCCTGGAGGCAGTCACAGGTTTCGGCCTCACGACGGACAACATCGATGACCTGGTCGACGAGCTCGGCACCCTCAGTGTAGTGACCCTTGGCCCAGTTGTTACCAGCGCCAGACTGGCCGAAGACGAAGTTGTCGGGACGGAAAAGCTGACCGAATGGACCGGCGCGCACAGCGTCCATGGTACCGGGCTCCAAGTCGACGAGGACGGCACGAGGAACGTACTTGTTGCCACTAGCCTGGATGATATTAGTTCATGTCTAGTCGGATGGCCTTTTCAACACGCACCTCGTTAAAGTAGACGTTCATACGCTCCAACTGGAGGTCAGAGGAGCCATTGTAACTGAAAACACGTCAGATAAGTTTTCCTGCTATTCACATCCAGTCCTATCACTCACACGCCGGAGCCATCGAGGCCGTGCTCGCCAGAGATGGTTTGCCTACAACAGGTCAGTTCATGTTTTGATTAGGGTTCTGATATCGGACGAACCAGAAAGCAGCACCAATTTGGTTACCCTACGAACAAGACATTCAGCATTTCCAGCCCTACCTATATTCAATTCGAGAGCGGAGGGAACGCGTTACTTACGCACTGGCCGGTCTGGAGGTGAACCTGTTCAAGTCGTGGTGAATTAGCAAAGCCAGCACATACAGAAAAAGAAGTGGGGGGTAACCGTCAGGGGTTACGGGACGCGTCGCAGTAGACGGGACTTACAATCTCACGCATTTTGGATAGGGGGTGGTTGGACGTGGAATGGGAATAGAGAGATAGACAGAGCGAGATGAACTGACGAGAGTCTGGGGGAGGAAGGAGGAGAAGCAAGAGAGAAGTTGGGTTGGGTTGGGGACAGTTGAGCGGTCAGGAAGGAAGCAACAGGCTAGTGTGGTGCATTTGTTGTGCGGGCGTCAACACAGGCGCCGCGCTGCCTCAGGCTGCCTCGCCGACCCGCGATAGGGGCTCCGCCTGACCTGTCTGGGCCTAGCGCGGGCAGGTTGGTCAGGAACCTCCTCTTTTTTCCCCATGGTTCTTATATTATTGTTGTTGTTGTTGATATTCATACACATATGAATGACCTGTTCGACATCACGTCTCCAATTCCCGTCTTCATCGGTCCACACCCACCTGACGAGTTCATGTGCACAACACGAAGAGAAAAAAAGAACAACACGCCATGCCCGCCTGGTACAAGACCAGCTGTTGATCGCGCGGCCCCACCAGCTCTGGCCACCAGCTTGCTGGCTCGCTGACTTAGTCGACGTTAGGCTTTGCAGCTAGTACCAGGTGTTTGCGAGCTGACTGGATGAGAAATTGGCTCAGTCACCTAGTTCTCTGTCACCAGTGTGATGCTGGAAAGCCAATATTTAAGCAATAGGATGCGAGTTAATGCGGTAACTCTCTATACATATATTAATACGTATGAGGTCGTCTTAACCCATATCAAAATACCAACTATCAACTGGCCCAAGTCGTGATTCATTAAGTCAACACCATCGTGTTCTCTACCTAGCAGTATTTTCCACAACGCGCTCGCTTTCCTGTTGGTTCTCGAGCCAAGAGCCAAACCCTTCGAGCCGATCGTCTTCTTCATCGCGTCCTTCGGCCATGTCTTCAAGAGCAGCCCGCCTTTCGTTGGTTTTCTTAAACTTCTCGGATCCGTCGGCAATATACGCCTCGACTTGTGTTCCTCCAAAATACCTCCCTCCCATGACCTAAAGTCATTTAGTAAGGATCTCAGCAGCTCTTAAAGTAGAAACACTCACTTTGACGCATTGTCTGGCTGCGTCAGGATCACTGAAGCGCACGGTGACTACTCCATTGGGCTCTTGATCATAAAGAACAACATTCGTAATCTCGCCCAGTTTCGAACACTCGTCACGGATATCTTCCTTGATATCGAGAATTGCAGCAGGATCCTTCTGTTCCGATTGTCAGTCCCTTCCCTGCGCCGGTGTGAATAGTCCCATACCTCAATTTCTGCCAGTGTAAACATATGCTTTAAAACCACCACCTTGCTCCATCGAGAGCTGGTATCTGGCAGCGTAGATGGGTCGTCATCGTCCCAATCCGCAAGTTTGCTATCGATTGTCAGTACTAACCCATCAAACTTTTAATGGAGACATACTTGTTGAGTTTTTGTGTTCTCTTTATGATCTTTTTTTTGTCCCGGTTGCTGATGCTAGTTGGCACGTCTTGCTGGCTCTTAAACGAAAAGTCTGCGACTTGCACCTTCATCGTGCCTTGGGGTCCGGCCTCTCCCAATCTAAAGTTGGTGTCGTCAAGCATCTGAATTGCCAGATTTACTGATTCTGGCCGGAAGTAGACAACTAGGGCCTCGCCCTTGAATTTTCCACCATCATCCAGATACATTTTGATTCGCGGTCGGCCACTATCGATTTCCTCGGCGATGACGCCGCATTTGCAGAAGACATCGTTGATCTCCTCTAACGTCGCATTGAGAGGTATGGACGTAACATATACCGCTGTGTTTACTCGAGCTTTCTTCTGTTTCTGTCCGTTCTGTCGTGGAATCAAAAATGTTAGATCAAGTATTTAGATGGAGTCTGAACACCAGAATGAAATATCAGCTCACATCATCTCCCAGCGTTTTACGTTTCTTTTTCAGCTGTGAACCCGTAACTGTCTCATCATCATCAACCCCTTCGACTCTGTAGGCTTCTCGCTGTTGTTCAAGGAGCGCATCATCGACCTGATCAGATCGCAATTAGCCTGGCCCCTGTAGAGAATGGGAAGGAAAAACATACGGCTTGCACCCATCGTTTCAGCGCAGTGTCATACTCAAACTCCTGTCCATCTTCAGTTTCTAGGATGAATTTGTTGTCAAGCCTCGAGAATGATATTCGCGGGTCGTTGTCGAACTCTGAGGGGTCTTGAGGAAAGCCACCGGCGGATTCCTCTCCTCTTGTTGACGGCGGCGCATTGTCCGGGTTGCGCAGCGACATGCTGGCGGGGGTAGACTGTGCGAGTGCCGAGTGTAGTAGTTAGTGTAGAGGATGGAGATACAATCGTCGACGACGCATGGAACTGTCAAGTAGTACGACGCATCGTCAAGCTTGGAGGCCGCCGTTACGTTGACTGGCTGGATTGCTGCCTGGTGGGGCCGGTCCTTTCCCCACGAAATGATCAAAATGACATCGAGACGTCTCAACCCAGACAACATTTGAAGGATCAAAGTGATGTTTTTATCAAGTCAATGGATAATTTTAATCCACTATCCATTGCTGTCCGAAACTCATGTATTCAGCGTTCTAATGTGCAGTTGAATCGACATTTTCGTTCCATTGAAGCGCTGATGTACGGTACATGTCGGTCAGAATAACACTCTTTTGCCATTTTGACATGTTACCATCGGTACTATGGATCCCACAACCGAGAATCATAACATATACTCATCTTTAGATCGGCGGTGAGATGTAAAGACACCCAGATCCTCGGCTACGGCTCCAGCTACGACCAACGTGCCTTGTAGCGAGGCATGGGATATTTGGTTCCTTCCAAGATTGGAGGAATTTCTGTGTATATGCCAAACTCTTCAGGAACTCTTCCAGCAGAGATTGCTAAACATCTGCCGAGGATGCGTTTCATTATGCCAAGACATCAATTGATGCTCTCAATTACATCAATGATCAACCCGATATCAAGGCAATTCTTCAACTTAGCCTATCAATATAAAGCAAGTCTTGCATCATGAAGAATACCGACACAATTTTATCATTGCTTCTTATTTGCTAAACTACTAATGTGAGACCACCAGTCTTATTTTATGTATATGGAGCACCGTTTGAGTTTAGATGGCCATCAATGGTATGTCACGATTCTACACCTAAAGGACAATATTGCTTATACTATGAAATGATAAGTATCTTGGCTTCGGCTTCCTAGCCGGAAAAGACATCTTACAAAACCGCGCATTTAATCTCAGCCTGCTCGATTAACGAATGGGATTGGAAAGAGTAGCCGGCAATATCGAATCATTTGGCGGAGATCCAGATCTTGTGACTATTTGGGGCGTGTCGGTGGGCTCGGTATCGGTATCGGTTTTTAATCAAATGGCCCTGTACGGTGGCAATAACACGTACAAGTGGTGACCGTTGTTCGAGGCGCGATTATGGACTCTAACAGTATCATGCCAACGGTGTCGATCGATTTGCGCAAGCCACAGAAAATGTATGATCGGGTGGTCGCTGCAGCCGGACGTTCAAATGCTATGGACTCTCTTACCAGCCTACGAGGGCTTAGCTACACGACTTTGCAGATGCCGTCAATCGGCCCTGAGCTTGCTATCATATAATGGTATCGCAGTCTCATATATACTATTCTCAGATGGAGTCATTCTACCCGATAAGCCTATGCGGCCGTACCAATGATTATCGGGGGCCAAGAGTACGAAGGCAACTTATTCTCCTTATTCCAATCGAACGTGACCACAAGCGACAAGCTAGCCACATACATCTCATCAATCTTCTACCCTACAGCTTCTGTGGAGACAATCCAAACGCCAGTCAAAACATGCAGCTCTTCAGCCTCTGACAGCTCACCTTACCACACGGGATTCTTCAACGAACTAAACCCCGGCTTCAAACTGCTCGCCTCTGTCGTCGGCGACCTTCTCTTCACACTAACCTGGCGTACATTTCTGCAGTCCGCACTAGCCGCTCATCCATGCATGCCGGCATGGTCGTATCTGTCCAGCTATGACTACGGAACCCCGGTCCTGGGCACCCTTGACAGCAGCGACATGATGCAAGTTTTCAACGGAATCCTACCCAACTACGCAGCCAAGAGCATGTAAGGCTACTATTACTCGTTTCGTATAACCTAGATTCGAACAATGGCACAAGTACTGACTATCCAGAATGGCCTGTGTAGAGTCAGAGACGGGACTTGCTGCAGATCTTTGCGGATCGCTCGGCTCTTCTGAAGGATGGTTTAGGCAGGAGAGCTTTGGGTTTCTTGCGAATTATACTGATATTTTGCTTACGTGGTACATGTACTAATACTACAGTACTACTGTGTCAGTTAAGTAGCGTGCTTGTCCTTCAAATGGTCAAAAGATTTGTAGTTATAACCACATCAATTACATATGTACTCTAGACCAGAGACATGAATATACGATATCTTTACCAAATGAATTGATACATATATATTGATTAAGCGACCAGTGACATGACAATTAGCCGCTACACCAAATTCTAGACTAGCCTTAGTACACGTATTTTTCAAATGCTATGTTGAAGACTTTATTTGTACTTTCTATGTGCTTCATCAGGGTATCTATCCACAGGAAGGGAGGGCAATTAAAAGAGAATATATGAGTAACAATGAACGACTAACATACCCAAGTTACACGCAACCAAAACAAAGTTTTTGGTATCGCCAGTAGGGAAAGAAAAGGAGAAAAGATCTAAGCTTTGGTTTCTTGGATTGCACGCTCGGCATCAGAACTGATGGATGCCTTGCCAGATGGAACAACAGAGCCCTCAGACGACCCGATCACGTCACGGGTGATTTCGACATAATCATACTGCGAGATGGTTAGTATCAAGTTTCGAGGCGAGTTGAGATGGAAGAAACTTACAGCGAATTCGCCAATTTCGGCATCGTCAATGCCCATGATTTCGTCTTCCTCGGTGGATCGAAGAGTAAGGCCGGGGATGAAGTTCATGATCAAAAGAATGATGCATGTACCGCCAAATGAGTAGGCGAACCCGGTCACGGAGTCGGCGAGTTGGTAGGCAAGTTGGATGTAATGGTGGTTGAGCCAGCCTCCGGGGATGACGGTGACTCCGTCGAGGTGGGCGATGTAGTCACTGTTTGATAGTTAGTTTTTTGTATGATTTATTGCTTTGGAATGACATACGCAGCAAACAGGCCCGTGAGAAGGTTGCCGGCGAAACCGCCAATGGCATGGACAGCGAAGATGTCGAGAGCATCGTCGACACGTAGGAGATATTTGAGCTTGGTGCCGTAGTTGCAGGCGGCAGCGCCGACAATACCAAAGATAACAGCAGACCAAGCTGGGACAAAGCCAGAGGCGGGGGTGATGGCAACGAGACCAGCAATAACACCGGAGCAGAAACCAACGGTCGACCACTTCTTCTCCAAGCGGTAATCAAGGAGACACCAGGTCACACCACCAACAGAAGCAGCCAAGTTGGTGACGACGGCAGCCATGACAGCACGGAGATTGGCGCTCAGGGCAGAGCCTGCATTGAAACCGAACCATCCGACCCAGAGGAAGACGGTTCCTATCACGACGTGAGTGACGTTGTGTGGGCGGTAGTTCAGTTCGTGGGTTCCATGACCACGGCGTTTGCCGAGCATGAGCGAGTATGCGAGGGCAGCGGCACCAGACGAGATATGCACAGGGGTACCACCAGCAAAGTCGAGACCTCCCAGTTGAAACACCCAGCCAGATGAGTTCCATGTCCAGCAGGCAATTGGGTCGTAGATGACAGTAGACCAGACGAACATGAACACGACACACGGAAGCATGCGGCCACGTTCAGCAACGGCACCGACGGCGAGGGCAACGCTGGAGACACACTGTCAGCATTTATTGGTGACATTAGAGGCGCGTGGTGGAAGACTTACGTGATAGCAGCGAACATGCCCTGGAAGATGGCAAACAATAGGTCGGGAACCTTGGTGCTTCCCACCGAAGGCTGGGCTAGGACATCCTTGAAACCAAAGTTGCTCAGGTCGCCAATGTACTTGCCACCCGAGTGGGAAAAGGCCAGTGAATAACCCCAGAAAAACCATTGAAAGGAAATCACGCCGACGGACATGACCGACAGCCAGATGAGGGAAAGGGCAGACTTGCGGCGAGCAAGACCAGAGTAGAAGAAACTGCATCATGTTAGACGATTGTTATGCTGTGGTTGCGGCGAGCGGCGTCTTACCCAACACCCGGAATCATGAGCAAGACGAGGGCGGACGAGGTGATGACCCATGCAATATCACCAGCCTGTGATCTCTGTTAGTTCATCGGTGGTGGAACCAAGGGAGGCTCGGGCACACACATTGTAGTAGACATTGAGATCCTGGTTCAAGGAATCGCCGCCGGTTGCAATGGTGCCATTGTAAGGGACCAGCGGCACAAAGTCAGAACTGGAGTCTGACATGATGAGGCAGCGTCTGGTTGTGGTTGTCCTGTCCTTAGGAGGTGAAGAGCTGCGGGTACGAGCACTTCTAGTTGCACGGTTCGATGGCGCACTTGACAGGAGGAAGAGCAAGATGGCAGGAGGCAGAAGATATACTAGATATACTTAGACGCCCGGAGCGGGATCGGTGGGCATGGCATGCATCGCGACGGACCAGGCTGACCCGCAGGCGTGCCAAGAGATAACAGAGCAAGCCATGATGAATCGCATTGAGAGGCCAATGGCGTCGCCAGGCTGATAGGCGCCACTCTGGCTAGCAAAGTTGGGGGTGCGGACTAGGTATCGGATATTTGGTTGGCATCGCTAGTCCCAAGTAGTCGCAGGGTCTATCATTCTCGGACAGCTGCTGTTCCGCGATGTTCCTTCTTCCCCTTTTCACCCTTATTCGGTGGGAAGCGCGGCTGCGGTGTGCCACCGCTGTTGCCCAGGGTGCATGTCCACGTTGCGGTGATAGGCGCGATGGTACCTGGCTGGTACATGCGAGACGAGATTAGGAAGAGAGTGGAAGGCGAACCTGCGGCTTATCTCCCTATCTCGGCCAATCAGGCTTCTGATTAGTCCCCTGCTATCTGCATGGAAACCATTATATTTTTCTATTACAGAGTACTTTTACTACCAATACGATTTATAAATAATACCAGCACGGAGTATTCTAGATCTTTTTATGCAATAAGGTAAGCAATTCGATCGTGGAGAACAACACCAGATTCACTCCATGCGACTCGGTCTCGATCTCCATCCACATAGTAATATTAATACATGCACTCTGTTATGCTCCCTTCTGTTATGCTCCTTCTGTTATGCTTTCCGTGCCTGTTGTTATTACTAATTATCCTGCATTCTTCTTCACATCCCGATTATTCCCTTCCATATTAGTAAATTATTCATAAATTCTATTGTATCTGCGGAAAAGTAACTTTTTCCGCCGTGGCCAATCAGCGCCGGGATCGACCAGAGATAAGCCTCGTCTCCATGATTGGCGGGGCGCGTCGCTTTGTCTTGGCGTGTTTTGTTAGTAAACTTAAAATATACATCCTATCTTGTCATTACCTATGTGGTAACTTATGGAGTAATAATAGTAGAGATAACTATCACGGAGAATATGGGGTAATAATCTTATTATTATCTATTTGGATACCTACGTTTGCGGTTCAGAGTACTTCTAACATGAGGCAATCGAATTTGTCACCCAATTTAAATACTATTTCTTTGATATGATGTCACTATGCAAGAACCATAAAAATCATCACGATCACAGTCAAATAGGACTATGTGCAGCCAATGGGGTTTCTTCGGGATTTACTCTCTTTCTTATGCATCTAGTTTCTATATACTTGATCCACTCTCGCTGTTTGAAAATTTACTTTTTATTTGTGCCCACAGCAGTCATGTATGTAGCTACCGATTCCACAGAATCATTACTTGCGGTATAAATAACCGAGAATCCTATACCAATTAGTAGGCGACCGTAGATATTGTGAAACACGCCTATCGAGTAAATAACTCATGCATTAAAATGGTATTTCCTTGGCATGGAGTGTCGTGTGCTCGAACCCCTAATGTGCCAGAATATGTCCGGCAATGAATAAACCCTGAGGGAGCCTTGCTATAAGTGGCTGCGTCCAATTGTAGGCCCGGAGAGACATACCACGGTAGTCATAGACTGTCGTAATATACGACTATATATTACTTTCCTAAAACCGTGCACCCGAAATGTTAACCGTCGTTTTCTTACATGTGCATTTTGGTGTGGTATAGCGAGTCCATATACTGAGAGCATCAATTGATGTAACTGGCCAGAGTTGAAAGTAAGGAAGATATTCAGTCGTGGGTTTAATCAAACGGCCTCTCTGAGGAAATTTTAACTGATTTCTGTGGTAAATATGTGCCAACTGGTACCCACCGCCCAATTCTGCAATACTATAGCAAATCTAATTACGTGGTATTTCTCTATAGACAACGGAACAATTCTCTTCGGCGTCTTCTGTTCGATGAACATATGAACTTAGCCAGAACTCATGTGCTTATACACTCTTTCAACAGTCATCTCTATTCCCTACTCAGTTAAATGTTAATTTTGAACACGGGGGATCGGCATATGACCAGGACTAGCTTGAGACCAGTGGGTCTTGTAATCGATTACATGACCACGAAAGCGATAGCCAGTTGTATTCCTTCGGGTATTTCTGTGCCTGTAAAAGTCGAGATGTGGAGTGGAACCAAATACTCTTGGTATTATCATTATTATCATTATTGACTGAAGTGGAAAGAATAATAAGCATGACTACGCACTGTAGCACGCAGGCACTCGACTTAGGCTAGGATCTCAACCCTTCGGTAGCAAGGCCCAGGGTGGAAGGCGAGGTCTATTATTATTATTATTGGATATAAGCCGCGGCCGCCGATTAGACAAACTACAGCCATCAGCACCTGGACTCGTGCGGCAACGAGTGCATGCACTCCCAGGATTTGCCACTTGTAGACGACCCTTTACAGTGAAAACCCAGCACTCATAATCCATCCTCTGGCAATGAATGCACCTTTCTTCACCAAATAATTGCATACCAAGCTCAGTCTCTATGATTTCTCCCAATGTTACTGATCACCGACAAACTACCTTCATGCTCATGAGCCCAATCAAACCACCATTTACCTTTTGTCGTGGGTTTATAAGGTTCTTTACATTTTTTGCCCGTGGTGGACCATGACCACGGAACGCGGGGTTGATCAGCAATTTGAGACCTATCGAACTCAGCCTGGAGAACACGGAGGCCAGAGGTCGCCGGAGGAGTGAGTATCGGTCTATACTCATGTCAGTATAACCTTTCTGATAGCAGCGAGCTACGTACTCGGCAATAAACGTTGTCGAGGCGACAGGCATGTCGGCAGGAACAGACGTAGGCGTGAGAGAGCGCGGAGAGTGTGGCACAGGTGAGGGTAAAGGCGAACCGCCGTGGGAGGATGCTGGTAGCGGTGAAGTGGCAGGCCAGATATACTACATTTAGTGCTGTTTTTATGCAGTTGAAGCAAACGACTTACTTAGCAGCGGGAGATTGAGAGGAAACAGATTCGACCTTTGGCACATTCTCATCGTCGCTTAAGCTGGTTGGTTCACCGGGGAAGCACACGAACGGCAACGGGATGGAAGATCTAATATACAAAGTATCCAGTATTATTATCCTACTGTCAAATCGAATGACTTACACAGAACCGGAAGATAGAAAAGAGAAAGACGATAAAGAGTCGCTGTCAAGAGATTCAGCCTTTATGGCATCACTCTCATCGATGCTTAAGGAAAGAGGCGAGTCCGCAAGCTGCTGATCCCTGGCGTGACCATCTAGCGCCATTTCTGATGCCTGCACCAATTCGGATGCGGCCCTTTCATCATCTGCCTGGCGTAGATACTCGCTTGCAGACTGAATTCGATGCTCAGCACTAGTATTAGTGACCTCAGGAGTCTGTGAGACTGGCTTGCCGTGGCGCCTCTGTGCTCGATTGGCGCGACTAACCCTAAGCACTTCTCGCCGGGCATTTGCACGTATAGGGTCGCCCGAGCTGTGTAGACCTTGATCCTGCACATTCATTTTTGTACTTGGAGTGGGTGCCGTAGTTGAACATCTAGAAGATGGAGAATGAGAAGCGTTGGGTTTACGACGCTTATTACAGCCTATTGTATTCTCGCGGCATGATAGGCACCTCACAGTTTCAGATTTATTCGCTTCGAGATGAATTGGTCGAAATTGAATGAGTGATCACAGTTTATGCATTCCTTTGTAGAAGCCATTCTGGAAACCCTGCAATGAGGCGTGAATGATAGTTCGATGTCATGATTTCTCGTGGTTGTTTATTCTCTGTATGAAATCGGAGACGGGGTTTGTTGTTTGTTAAGAGGAACTGAACTGCGCTAAGCCTAATCGAATAGATTTCCTTCCATACGCACTATTCCCGAAATAACAGCTAACAGACCAATCAGCGCATGTTGATTTACGGCGAATTATTCTTTTTTTGACTACTTCCATTGCTATTAATATTAATGTTAGGATTAATTTCAATGAACCATGAGGAGAGAATGGTCAGCATGACTACGCAGGTACGAAATTAGGCTGGGCGAATGAATCGCGGCCTGTGATTGGGCGTTGAGACGCGGGCGGGGCCAATCTACCAGTTGGTCATTATCTAGCAAGTTGCAACTGCCAACACCTCAGGGGAAAAGCAGAACACTCATCTTGCGACTAAACATTCCGTGTCAAATTTGCAACGCTGCAGTTCCACAAAGACATCCCTCCTTTTGCCAATTTAGCCCAGCACTTGAGCAATTACCGGCAGCACCGCGCCGGTTGTTACTCATGTATTGCAGCCGGTAACTCTTCCCTTCTCCGCAGCGCATCACAGTCCACACGTGAAACGCATCCAGGAAACACGAGTGAGCAATGGAGACCGCAGATATCATTGTGAACAATGACTCCGACAGCTCCGGCTCGAATGACGAGTACAGCTCGCCTTCGACCTACGTGATCCGAGCCCCCTCGGAGCTGGACGACCTCGACGTTCAACCGACCGCTACCATAGCTTCGTCTCCACCCCTCGGCGGTTCTGTAGGGAATCTCCCAGCTGGGTATGCTGCATCGTGGCCTGTACGTCCAGCAGGGCGACCTCGTGGATCGAGTCTGGTGGTAAACCCGGCATTTGAAAATTTGCCCCTCTCGGATGGAGTGGCTGTGTCCGATCGTGACATGAGGCTGCAGCGCCCGTCAGGTCCAGCAAGGACACCCTCGAACACATATGCCCCTCAGCGGCGCCCGCCACATTTTATTAATCTTCAGAATGACAATCGTCGCTCGTCGTCTGCGAAACGTGGCTCCCGTCGCGACCCGAATGCCCAATACCGAGCCCAAGAGAAAGCTTACGTTCAACGATTACGAGCGAATCCGCAGGGATGGTATCAGCAAATCGGTAATTTCCAGGGTTTGCCTAGCATAGATTCAGACGTGGACGATCCTTCTCCTTCTTCGGAAGTTCCCTTCGAGGACGATCAATATGACCCTGACATTCAACTATTCCTTGCCGATAATGATAGCCAGCCCACATTCGAAGAGCTGAAGAACCCGAAAAACCAAGAGCGTCTAGAATGGCATGCAATGTTGGCCTCCGTGCTAAAGGGTGACGTTGTCAGGCAAGAGAAACAAAGATTGATGGGATCGACCGAGTCACGGCGAACTCTTGCTATGAACAGCGAGATTTGGCTAGGTGTTCGAGCAAAAACATGTGGCCGAAGCGCTCCGCTGCAGAAAAAACTTATCGAGGATGCACGATCTGGCCTCGGTCCACTCATTGAAGATATCATTAATTTCCAGATCAAGGGCGAAAAGGAAATCGGAAAACCTGCTGTTGAACAGGTCGAGGATGTTGTTGCTAAACTCGGCAAATGCGAATATCTTTACCCAACAAGAAAAGAAATGCAGACGGCCAACCCAAGAGCTGCCTCGGAGCAATTCCGGGATAGTTGTGATGCTATTATGGCCTGGCACAATACAACGCTTCTGATCAATACCGAATTAGCCATTCTTCAAAGCTGGGTCGGTAACGCCGAGCTCGATTTCACCAAGCCACGAACAACAGTGTACAACGCTGATCTTTCAGATGACGGTTCATTTTTGGATTGTATTATGAAAGAAGATGGTCTCAAGACCCTGCAAGGTAACCATAATATGATAGACGGGATAGGCAATGTCATCAATAAAGCGAAAAATACACTCATTGAGAACGCAGAAGCATTCTCTAAACGCCACCTGCCTCCATATATCGAGGAGCTTTTAACCCTCATCAACTTTCCCTCAAGATTGATACTAGAAATTATTCGTGTTCGTCTTTCGTATGCTAAGAAAATGAAAGATCCAGCTCAACAATCGCCAATTCTTGTTGATCAGATGATTTCGCAGTTTCAAATCCTTATGAAAGTCGCTGTCGATATTAAGCAGCGTTATCTTGTCATTTCAAAGCCTGAACCTGGCTGGGATCTTCCACCATGTATTGATGAGAACTTCGATAACATCGTGGTGGATGCTATGAAGTACTACTTCCGGTTGCTCAATTGGAAGTTGAATGCCAACAAGAATACGTTCAAGGAAGCTGAAATCTTGGAACAGGAATGGGGATTCTCTAATGAAATCGGCCGTCAACTCCAAGGTGGTGATATCGAGGTTGCTGAACAGTTCAGGTAACTGCTGTGATGACTATATTCTTTACTAGACACTAACTCTATTTATTTAATAGCGCTTTAACTGCCAAGTCTTTGCAGCGACTGATGATTCACTTTGAGCGTGAATTGTCACCTCGTGAAGATGAGGACCCTCTTGATATGGACAAGCGATATAAAAGCACATTGGACTCGACTCGCGTTCGACAACGGAAGCTTTACCGTTTCTCTCGCTTCCTTCGACAGCTTTTTGAAAACGCGACAGAGTACAATTTCAGTGCAGATATTGCTGAGGAATTCTTCGAGGCTTTGTTAATCTCAGATCATTTTTTGATAACTTCAAACGACTCTGTTGGGCAGAAAGGCGTATATTTGATTGCCCACCACTCCTTGTGGAATCAGCATGTTGATATCCAATCTATTCTTGGAACTTCGTTCCGTGAAGAGGATACCCCAAAAGACTCTTCCTTCTTCCCGTATATCCTGGTCATCCGTCCTGAACGTCAAATCTCGTGGGTTGGCAAGGTCATGGAAGTAGAGGGCCTTGAGCAACCTACTGATGTTCGCCTTGGAAAATTACGTCTCGTCGCAGATGGTACCCAACAACGGCTGGTGAACTCGCGGCTCGAGCTGGCGCAACTGACGAATCTGAATCTTGATATTGCTATCGAGCAGCGAGCCAACTTAGGAAGAGTCAACGCTGAACTGAATAAGATCAAGAAAATATCTTTCAAGCTATCTATGACAATTATGAATAGTGTTGCTATCATCAGGCAACAACTCAAACAAATGGAGATCGAGAATACTGAGTTGATCCAAGCTTGCTACGCATTTGCAACGGAGTTTGGCAAACGATCGTCAAGTTATGTCGATGCCAATAGACGAGCTATGAACAGTGCTCGATTGGTCGACCTGTCTCTAGAATGGGTAGCTTTTATTTGTGACGACTGTGATGCCTCCGATAGAAAGACATTCAAGTGGGCAGTCGCAGCACTTGAATTTGCCATGGCCATCACCTCTAGCAATCATCTTCTTTCAATGGATGACACGCAATATTCTCAACTGCGAGTTAAAGTAGCTGGCTGTATGTCAGTTTTGATTTCTCATTTCGATATTATGGGTGCAAGGTCAAGCCTAGCAGCACAGGCTGAGAACAAACGCTTGGATGAATCCCGCACAGGTTCTAGGAGATATGGTGCGGGCAGAATACTCAGTGACGAGGAAGCAACAAAGATTGTTTGCGACCAGCGTCTCTCACACATTGCTACAGTGGAAGAATATCGAGTTGAAGAGCACGCCAAACGGCAGGCCGTTGGCAAAGTTTTGGAAGGCTCGAATGAAGCAGATCGTTCGCTCACCGTCCTATCTTCCTCTGCAACCAACGTTAACCTTCGCTGGCAGCAAGGCCAGTTCATCGGCGGTGGAACATTTGGCTCTGTATACGCCGCGATCAATCTTGATAGCAACTTCCTCATGGCTGTCAAAGAAATCAGGCTACAGGATCCTCAGTTGATCCCAGTGATTGCACAGCAAGTCAGAGATGAAATGGGCGTCCTTGAAGTCCTTGACCACCCTAATATCGTCTCATACTATGGTATTGAAGTTCATCGTGATAAGGTATATATTTTTATGGAATACTGTTCTGGAGGGTCTCTGGCAGGTTTGCTCGAACATGGTCGTATCGAAGATGAAACATTCATCATGGTTTACGCATTACAATTGTTGGAAGGCCTAGCATACCTACACCAAGCGGGTATCATCCACCGTGATATTAAACCCGAAAATATTCTCTTGGATCACAATGGAGTGATAAAATACGTCGACTTTGGAGCTGCTAAGATCATAGCACGTCAAGGTAAGACGGTTGCTAATACTGATGCTTTGACCAACACCCCCGGCGGCTATAAAGACGGTATGGGTGCAAAAGACCCCCAACGAAAGAACCAAAAGACCATGACTGGTACGCCCATGTATATGTCACCTGAAGTTATTCGGGGCGACACGACAACTTTGATCGAGCGCCAAGGTGCAGTGGATATTTGGTCCCTTGGTTGTGTTATCCTTGAAATGGCCACTGGCCGTCGTCCTTGGTCATCGCTTGACAACGAATGGGCAATTATGTACAACATTGCCCAGGGAAATCAACCTCACTTACCCAGTCGGGACCAACTAAGTGACATGGGTATTGATTTCCTTAGCCGTTGCTTTGAGCGTGACCCCATGAAGCGACCTACCGCAGCGGAACTCTTACAGCATGAATGGATTGTGTCCATCAGAAACCAAGTCGTCGTTGAGCCGCAGACCCCCAGCAGCGATGGTGGGAGCCTGACTACAACTAGCTCGACTGTTAGCAGCCGCCACAACTCGAGTACCTTTTCGTAAATCGACGACGGACTCTTGTTCCTTCTTCTCTCCCACCTCTCTCATTTCCCTTCACGCACGATACCCCGAACCAAATCTGTAATCTTCCTCATAGTCCGTCGTTGGTTTTCACCTAGGTGTTGCTTGATACAGTATACACGGTTGTGTCAGGCTTCTTTAGAATGTTTATTCTTCTTCCTTGTGTTTCACGAACACTGCCTTAAAAACCGGTTCCTCCATTGCACATGTGTCATTATTAACCAAGCATGTTTACCATTCCCCTTCTTCTGTACATATACAATGTCAAGTTTAGACGAAGGTATCAAAAACTTTCCAGTTGTGATGGTCGTAAGGATTAGCCCTAGAAAGGTCTCCAACGGCCGATTTTCTTACAGGCACTCTAGCTTATTCGGATAACTGAAAATGACAATTCAAATCAAATCCTCACTAGAACTCTAGGAGGCAAGTCATGTTCATCATAATACGAGTATGTTCGAGGAAAATAACCTGAAGTTACTTGATCATGCGTACCCATGTCCATTCGCCCAGAGCAGGGGAATATGAAATAAGAAGAGAAAAAAAAGAAGATATGATTAAACCACAACCCACACCAAGAAACAATATTGAGAAAGAAACCATGTGAGCGCCTCGTATCAATATCCGTTGACAACCGCGCTGAAACCCAGAGCCACCAAAAAAAGACATGAAGACCATACCAAGCAAGATTAAAAAGGTGGATGCGTGGTGTATTTTGCGTAAGTGGGAATAAGAGTTGGTGATGTAGATGAGGGTGGAAGTTTCTTCTTAGAGCAGAGCCAATATATAAGGCGGGGGGGCTTGAGTCTTTTATATCTACCCATACACCGCTGAGTATACAAGAAAGATATCGAAGATAATCATTGGCTAACTTTGCGACCAATATTCAGCGGAACTCGATTGCTGGCGTGCAGCCATGATCTTCAACATGCTTGAGCTCAAGTTGTTGATATCTACAAGACTAGTTAGTGTCCAAAATTGATATATAAATTGTGAGGATTGTCGTACTTCTCGCTTTTCGCATGGAAATAGATACCACTGACGGTTCCTTGCACCTGGTTGAAACAGATATAGTAGAAGCCCTCAAAGCTTGCTCCAGAAATCTGGTGAACTCGATGGTCTGGCACAAGGAAATACTCTTTCCAACGCATGAATATGTGTTCTCGCTGAGCGATATTCCGGTACGTGAAACCCTCCTTCTTTGCCTGCTTGGCCAAGGGTCTCCACGCTTCAAACCGGGCCCAGTGTTGCATGTCAGTTTTCTCATTAGCCCCCCAAGCTTCATTTTTAGTCTGAAATGTGTGCTTTGTGCCAATAATCTCTCCTTCGAAAAAGGTCGTTAATGTGGGATGATCCTCGGTAAGTCCTGGGGAAGCGAAGTATATGTTAGTACAAGCGCTTGTGAAGCACGAATGTGGTCGTGGATACTTGCCTTGGATGCAAAGATAGCCGCATAGATATGACTCCGCCATATCAACATGTTTAATTTCCACGTCTACCTTATAAACCTGGTGATCTGATTGTTGAGTGCCTTCAAACTTGCTTCCGGCTCGCAGAAAGGAGGACGTATGATTTGGCAGGAGCTACCACAGGTTAGCATATTATACAATAAAAGCAGAACTTATGAGCGCATCGTACTCGAATATTGGAAAACTCATAGTTGAACGAGGATGATACAGATGTTGATGATGCGACCGATGACGTCGGAGAAACGGTCGGGCTAGATTGGATAGTCTGGTCCTCTCTACTCTCTGAAGGCGCGCTGGCAGGGCTCAGGGACGTCATAGCCGCATCTTCTTCCGGGTTTGCCATCTTAATAGACGAGTCTGCCATTGAGGCTATTGCCAATGATGTCGCATCGCTCGATGGTCTGTCTTCAGTCGACCCTGCGGCCGAGGCGATCCTCTCGTCTACGACATCATGCTCGTCGGCGATACGCTCCTCCGGCGCGACCGAGAATGTAGGCCCTCTTATTATCTCTGGCGGACACGTTGTATGCGTGATGGTGGGCTCTTCGTCGGCAAGCGCTCTCGTGGTCAATTGTGCAGTATTGTCACTCGGTGTCGGCATCAGGACAAATCAGAGATGTGACATCGGAAACACGCGATCTGGAAAACACACAGCACAGGAAGCATAAAAGAGACCCCAAAGGAATAAATGAGTTACAAAGGACAGGACCGCAATGGAACAAGATCCTTTTTGGCGATGTGCGTTGGTGACGATGGTGGTGTTGGGCTAAAACGGATGAAGAGCAGTCCGTCCACGGTTGGTCATGCGATCGCGGGGAAAACCACTCAGCGAGTGCTGATCACTTGCACGTCTACGCAGACAGTTCGCCAAATTTTAAGGCCGTGAATGTCGATGAATAAATAACTACTGAATGGCAAGCTCTACATTCAGGAATCTTGATCATTTATCACTAGGCACTCAGTGTGTCCTTCACACTTCCAACATGATACTAGTTGTGGACCCTAAATTGTGCTGATTCCAGAAGAATGGAACTTCTCATTGTTCTTCCTCACATTATTGATTGATATACACATTTTTTGCCACAAAGCCAATTCCTAAGTTGTGCTTGTTACCTTGCCTAACGCCGATTGCACCAGATTTGGATATATTTGATATCTTTCTTTAGATAGGTTTGATCTGTGGTGAGAATTCAATATTAGCAGCAGACTTGCATTGGCGCATTCCTCGTAGATGGTTACCTTGAAATGTAAGGAAATAAGGGAGAAGACGAGCGCCTTTAAGTCCTGGACGAGATAGTAAAAGACGCGCAGTCCTTCTGGGTCCGCCGATTCTGTGACGTCGACCAAAGAGCCGATCTTCGCGGTCTATAACAAAAACGTTAGTCTTCAGCAACCTAGGCGATCTCTCGTCCCAATCACCTCGAAAGAAATATGTTCGTTGCCCAGTCTAATTTCCAATTCCTGTCTCCCATCTTTGTTCTTCTGCGGCCATTTGGAATCATCTTCCCTTGGTAAAAATTAGCGACAAGCATCGAAAATGATATCGGCCCTCCTACTTCATGATGTCGCTATCCTTGATAATACGCTTTATCTCCTCGACAAGCAGGGAACTGACACACACTATATACTGTTAGATTCTATAACTGAAAAATTTGTCTGCTTGGAATGAGCGAGTCTCACTTTCTTTCCGGATGAGCGAATCGTTTCGGTAGTTGGAGTTATTGGCATAACGAGCCGAAGCGCTGCGGCCATCGCCGAGTGTACGAAAGTCAAATTCTGCAGGCGCGTCAGGATACTAATACTTGGCGATCGAGAGAATGCGCGATTTCTCTTACCTAGAAATTCATGTCCGAACCGCCCAGAGTGACCTGAGCTGCGTTTTAAGTCAGCAGCGGAGGAAACCTGGGCATTGATTGTGCCTTACTAGTAGCGGAGATAGAAGGGCTCGTTGAGGTCCGACATGGTGTCTGTGCCCCGATAACTTCGTAGTAGACGAGGTAATTAGCGATTGCGAGACGTTATGGAAGCTCGAAATAATGCTGGCAGCAGCAGCAAATTGGCGGGGAGGCTGCTAGGCGCCTAGCTCGGCTTAGTCATCCACACATTCCCGCTCAGGCTACACTGGGCAAATGGACAAGTAGACAAGGTCTCCGAACTGTTGACAACCCCGCCAATGCATTCAAGGAAGGCGACGGAGGTTGGGACACGATATTGATATCCTCTTTTCTGACCTGGGGCCTTTCTCATTACGATCGCACGCACTGCTCCTCCCAATTTGGATGCGACTGACCCGATTCAGCTCCTGATCTCCCTTTACACCCTCGATCACCCGTACATCATCTAGCCAGCAGACAACAACCATGGCGTCGTTCTTAGAAAATACTTACAGCCTGGTCCACCAGGACAACACGGCGGACCAGCCTTCTCTGCAAGACCTCAAAATGCAATTAGAGAAGGGCACCGACGAGACAAAATTGGAGACCATGCGGAGAATCATAACAATCATGCTCAATGGCGACCCAATGCCCCTGCTACTCATGCACATCATTCGATTTGTTATGCCCTCGAAGAGCAAGTCTCTGAAAAAGCTTCTCTACTTCTACTACGAAATCTGCCCGAAGCTCGATGCTACTGGAAAGTTGAAACAAGAGATGATTTTGGTTTGGTGAGTGGTTAAATGCTTCATTCCTTCCAATGTCGGCCTTTCTAATAGTTTGCCAGCAATGGTATTCGGAACGACTTGCAACATCCTAACGAATATGTCCGAGGAAACACTCTCCGCTTTCTTTGCAAACTCCGTGAGCCTGAACTTATTGAACCTCTCCTCTCTTCAGCTCGCTCCTGCCTCGAACACCGCCACGCCTATGTGCGGAAGAATGCCGTGTGGGCTGTATCTTCCATCTATCAACACTCAGAATCTTTGATTCCTGATGCCCCGGAACTCATTCAAACTTTCCTTGGATCGGAAAGCGACCACACCTGCAAACGCAACGCATTCGCTGCCCTCATGTCCATCAGCCACCAGAAAGCACTGGAATATTTGAGCGAAACATTTGACAGTATTCCTAACGCTGATGAGCTGTTACAATTGGTCGAACTTGAATTTATTAGAAAGGATGCGGTACAGAATGCCCAGAACAAGGTGAGTGACGAATAAGCGGATCGCATGTAACATCTGATTCTGAGAATAAATTAGGCACGATATTTACGATTGATCTTTGATCTTCTCGATGCTTCGGCGAGCACAGTTATCTACGAGGCTGCTACTTCACTTACAGCCCTTACTAGCAACCCTGTGGCCGTGAAAGCAGCTGCCTCGAAATTGATTGAGCTCAGCATCAAGGAAGCGGATAACAACGTGAAACTTATTGTGCTTGACAGGGTGGATCAACTAAGAATCCGGAATGAGGGTGTCCTAGATGATTTGACCATGGAAATCCTACGTGTTCTTTCTAGCCCCGATATTGATGTCCGGCGCAAAGCTCTTGGCATTGCTCTAGAAATGGTTTCGAGCAAGAATGTGGAAGAGATTGTCATGCTTCTCAAGAAGGAGCTTGCAAAAACCGTGGACGAACAGTATGAGAAGGTATGTCATTCCTTGCTGCTGACCTGAACACATTGCTCATTCCGCGTTTGAATAGGCCAGTGAATATCGACAACTCCTCATCCAATCCATCCATCATTGTGCAATCAAATTCTCGGAGATTGCTGCTAGCGTCGTTGACTTGCTTATGGATTTTATTGGCGATTTCAACAATAATTCAGCAGTCGATGTCATTTCGTTCGTCAAAGAAGTTGTCGAGAAATTCCCTGCTTTGCGTGGATCCATCATTGAGCGTCTGGTAGCAACACTCGCCGAAGTACGAGCTGGCAAGGTCTACCGTGGTGTTCTTTGGGTCGTTGGAGAATATTCTCTTGAAGCCAATGACATTCGCGAAGCTTGGAAGCGCATCAGGGCTAGTCTTGGAGAAATTCCTATCCTGGCATCGGAACAACGGTTACTGGACGAAGTTCCTGACGAAAACGCCCCTATAACTGATCAAGTAAATGGCCATGCTAAGCCTGCGGCTCCAAGTGGGTCTCGAAAAGTGCTTGCAGACGGAACATATGCCACTGAAAGTGCTCTGACAAGTCGATCAGCTGCAGCTGCTAAGTTGGAGGCCGTGAAAGCCGCCCAGAAGCCTCCATTGCGTCAGCTCATCCTAGATGGTGATTATTATCTCGCAACAGTTCTATCATCTACTTTGACCAAGTTGGTCATGCGACACTCCGATGTTTCTCAAGACGCTGCTCGTACCAACGCGCTTCGAGCTGAGGCTATGCTTATCATGATCTCCATTATTCGCGTTGGTCAATCGCAATTTGTGAAAGCCCCAATTGACGAAGACTCAGTGGATCGTATCATGACCTGTGTGCGCTCTCTAACTGAGTTCTCGGAGAGAAAAGAGCTTGAGACTACCTTTTTGGAAGATACACGAAAGGCGTTCAGGACAATCGTGCAGACCGAGGAGAGGAAGCGTGCAGCGAAGGAGGCGTCAGAGAAAGCTAAAACTGCTGTTCAAATCGACGACACCATTCCCATCCGGCAGCTAGCTAAGAAGAACGCTGGGGAAGGCGCCGATGAGATTGAACTAGATCTTATTAAAGCCACTGGTGGCGATGCTACTATAGAGAATCTTTCCTCGAAACTCAGCCGAATTGTTCAGCTCACAGGTTTCTCCGACCCGGTATATGCTGAAGCTTACGTTCAGGTTCATCAATTTGATATTGTCCTGGACGTACTCTTGGTTAACCAAACGACGGAAACTTTACAGAATCTCTCAGTTGAGTTCGCAACTCTTGGCGACTTGAAGGTCGTCGAGCGCCCAACAACACAAAATTTGGGACCTCGGGATTTCTTGAATGTGCAAGCTACAGTCAAGGTTTCGTCTACCGATGCTGGTGTCATATTTGGAAACGTGGTTTACGATGGATCAAGCTCCACCGAAACCCATGTGGTTATTTTGAACGATATTCACGCCGATATCATGGACTACATTCAGCCCGCCTCCTGCACAGAAACACAGTTCCGCACCATGTGGACTGAATTTGAGTGGGAGAATAAGGTCAATATCAACTCTAAAGCCAAGGACCTTCGCGAGTTCCTGAAGCAGCTGATGGAAAGCACCAACATGACATGCCTGACACCAGATGCATCACTTCAGGGTGACTGCCAGTTCCTCAGTGCTAACCTGTATGCTCGAAGCGTTTTTGGTAAGTTTTTTCCTCTTAGAACACTCCTACTGAATTTACATTTGCTAACTATGGTCATAGGTGAGGATGCATTAGCAAACTTGAGCATTGAAAAGGAGGGAGAAGATGGGCCAATCACTGGATTTGTGCGTATAAGAAGTCGTTCGCAAGGGCTTGCCCTTGCTTTGGGGTCGCTTAAGGGACTGAAAGCGTCTGTTGCATAGAGGATTGATAATGTCGAGTTTCTTTTTTTCCCTTTCGTGTTCAAAATACAGTTAACTAGCCTTGGAGTGCTAGCGGTCTTATTTCTTTGTGTTCTACCTCCGGAATGATCATGAGCCCAGGTTCTTGTTGAATGGAGATCTTCATGTTTAATATGTGTCACCTATCTTGGAGATCTTCTGAGCCACCTGAAAAGAATAAATCTACAAGTTAATCTGTTGGAGTTTCGCCCGTATAACTGCTGTAGGATTTCAACGTCGATTGATTGTTTCATCCGTATAGACTGCGCCAACGGAGACACAAGCCGACAGTCTTCTCAGCATTCTCTCTTACATTAACAAATCGAATTGTTTTGCCAAGGGTCTCATGCGACTAAGGTTTAAGTTTATACAGCCATAGCAAGCCAAACCAATAATATCTTCTTGATGGCTTCATGTAAATTGCCATGTTTGGAAGTGATAGAGCGGTGCTTGCGAGTTGCGAGTGGCTAACTGCGAGTGGCTACGGCGGGCGGACGCTTAACCTTTTCTGGATGATAAAACCAAAAAGATTTGAGTCAGAGCCAATCAGCTTACAGACACTCAGGCGTTTTGTTGTGTCACTGCTCAAGATTGCACGAGGGTGGGGTAATTTATGGGAACTTACAGGAAGATGCCGAAATATGGTTAGCGACTCGGCTGCAGGGGACCCATATTTCAGAGTTATTCCAACACTGCCGAGCACAGGCAGACACTTATCTAGACTGACTCCGTACCTGTCATCCTTTCTTTGTCGCTATTACGCGCGCATTTGAAGCGTGTCCTACTTTTCATCCGATCAGAGTCACTCTATCCTTCCATATTATTACGCAGTATGATTTGTATTGTGCAATAGATACCATGTCTACTGAGAATCCGACGCAAAAGTCGCCTAATATAGCCGACTCTTTGGCTGCGACCTCTGCTGCGGAAACATTCAACCCCAATTATGTCCTTGACGTTGGGAATAACATCACCTTGACCCTCGGAGCAGATACGCTTCTTATACAAGGTGTGTGATAGCTTCATATTCTCCTAAAAGGCTGCAAAGTGGCTTGCGCCACGTAGCTTGGAGAACATGACTAACCAACATTTCTTTGCTGTCCAGATCCCAAAATTGTGAAGAATATAAGGTTTTGCGGCCTAAGAACAACCGGTATTGAATATTCTTCCTAAAATAAATACGGCCAGCTTTCGCCTCTATTGATTAAATGTTGGCCTAAAGTGCATGTGCTAATACCGGCCATAGAGTCTACCGCATCCCAAGAAATTCCTTTCTACAATATCCTCGCCGTCGATGCTTCCGATTCAACTCTGACTATAAAATACGCGAGGCTGATTTTAAAAGACGACTATACCCCCAGCACACTACAATATGTTCTTCATGGCGACGCGGCAAGAGCAGAACCTTGGATAGAGCGATTATTGGAACTCGCTTACGGCGATGCACAACGAAACAAGAGGTTGCGCGTCTTGATCAATCCTTATGGCGGCAAAGGATACGCCAAAGACTTATATACTGAATATGCAGCGCCCATGTTCGAGGCTGCTGGCTGCACGACTGATTTGGAGACGACGACTCACACTGGCCACGCTACAGAGATCTCCGAAAATATAGACATTGACGCATATGATGCAATCGTTTGTTGTTCCGGAGACGGTCTGCCGTATGAAGTCTTAAATGGGCTGGCAAAGAAACCGAATGCCTCCGAAGCGCTCACGAGGATTGCAGTTGTGATGCTTCCATGTGGTTCCGGGAATGCCTTGGCCTGGAATCTTTTTGGTACTAACAGTGTCAGCTCGGTAGCTCTGGGCATTATTAAAGGTTTGCGGACTCCTATGGATCTAACGTCGATTACTCAACATAATGCTCGAACATTGTCTTTCCTGTCTCAGTCGTATGGAATAATCGCCGAGTCAGATTTGGGAACCGACCACTTGCGTTGGATGGGTGCTGCTCGCTTCACTTATGGCTTCTTGGTTCGTTTGATTGGTCAAATTACATACCCATGCGACTTGGCTTTCAAGGTTGAGATAGACCAGAAAGACAAGATCAAAGAACATTATTATGCATATAAGAACAAAAAGCCGGAACTTAGGCCGGTTGGTCCTGGCGATCAGACCGGTAAGGGTTTGCCCTCGCTCAAATACGGTACTATCGATGATGAGTTACCTAGTGATTGGGAGAAGCTGTCGACGGACACGTTGGGCAACTTTTACGCGGGGAACATGGCTATTATGTCCGCGGATATCAACTTTTTCCCAGCCTCACTTCCTAATGATGGGATGATAGATCTCGTTATGATTGATGGAAAAGCCGGTCGGTTGAAGGCGTTATCTATGATGACTGCGGTCGAAAACGGCGCTCACTTCGACTACCCTGAAGTAGTAGCCCGTAAAGTTACCGGCTACCGCCTTGTTCCAAGGAATCGTGACGACGGCTACATTAGTGTTGATGGTGAACGAATCCCGTTCGCACCTTTTCAAGTAGAGGTACACCAAGGACTGGGTACGGTGCTTTCGAAGTCAGGACATTTATATGAAGCGCAAGGGCCTAGTTGAATGGGAGGCAACTTTTCTGTGTCGATTTCATGTCTTGTATACATTCCCTTGCATGATACCCATACTCAAGATATTCCTTACCCAAGTCATAGGATCTACGATCCTAGTAAATAGAAAAGCGTTATATAGAAAACATTCTTTTTCCCAAACCAAAGTAACCTGCTCTACATATAATAACGAAGAAAACTAATCCCCCAGCCCATCCCACTCATCTTCTTCCACATCACTGTCTTCCTCCACCACCTTTTCTCTGAATCCCCACTCGACGAGTCTCGCATCCTCCAAAACCTCACGAGATACCCTAAGCCGAACAGACTTTGTCGGGCACTCATTCTTCAATTTCTTAAATGGCCGCAACAACAAATCCATGGGGATATCAAATCGATCCTTCAGCGATTTCTGTCCCTCCCCCTCATCCTCACCACTATTCGTATCAATAACTTTGGCAAGCTCGTCAAGCCATATATCATTGATATGATACCGAAGACCATCGGGACCATGCGGCATCGGTATCGAATCTTCCTCGGACTTTTTCTCTTTTGACTCATCTTCCTCCGTCGGATCGAAGTTTATCGGACAAAGGGGCCCTTGCTCGAGCAATGTTATGTAAGACTCTAATTCCGCCCATTTCTCGCCTTTAATATTGTTTTCTTCCGTCTTTGCTTCGGCTGTAGCAGAATCTTGCTTCCTCCTTTTCCCATTTTTGGACTTTTCTTCCCCCGCCCTTTTCCTTTTCTTTCCATCGCGGCCAACATCGCCGGTGTTATCCGACTGCCCAATTTGTCCCTGCAGATACACCTCAAAGGCAACCCCGACGTAGTATCTGATCAGCAACAGATATTTATCCAATCGTAGCCGGTCCAGAGCATGAAACTCGCGGCCAATAGTAATCCAGAACGCACGTAGAAATCGCAGTCGGCTTTCTCGCGGAAGACTGGGAACGAGGGTATATGAAAGATCACGTGCGAGGGCTTGTTGGGTGAGTGGACGATCGGAGTGGTAGAAGCCTAGATAACCCAGTCAGTATGATCAAACGCCTTTGTAGAATTGTTTAGATAAGAGTGGAGTGTAGAACGCACAGAAGAATAGACCTTTCCAAATCTTCAAGAGTTCGAGGAGAGATAAATCGCGGCGGGCGCGCAGGAAGAGTGACAGTGATTCCAAGGCTTTATCGCGAGTTTTGCGCTCTGTTTTAGAATTAATATCAGTCAGCCAATTGCATCTCCAGTATTCTTGTAAATGGGAATCTAGCCCAGACATACCGCTTGAAGCCAATTCTTTCACAAATGGCGTTTTCTGGATTTGTTCCGCGTGGTTGGTTGCGGTAGCCATTTTGCTGGTGGCGGCTACCTCGGACAGGCGTCTAGCACTTGTTTTTCAGAGTAGTCGCAGATGATGAAATAGAGGATTCAGGTGTTCAGAGTTACAGACTAGCCCTTCACAGGAACGGGCTATATGCGTAGAATTTTCATGTATGCTGTTTGAACATCATACTAATTGCCGCAACTTTTTTTTCTTCCGCCTTAGAAGCTCCGCTCCGCCCTTCACCGCCTTGAGACAGGCCATATGGCATTTCATTGGTCAATGCATGAATATTTACAAGTCTTCAAAGTTGTGACTCCCAGGTTGTCTCTGGGATTTGTTCAACTTATGGTCTTGGTTGAAAAGGCTTGCATGGCTATGTGAGATTCTCTCAGAAATTTTCCTAGTTTTAATTATCCACACCATACATCATTCAATTGTTACGTGAAGCAAAGATACGACATTCAGTTTCAAAGGAAATCAGACGAGCAACGCCACTGTGGATGCATCAGACAAAACTAGGACGATAATGAAGAACAAGAGCCTTGATTGAAGATAATGGAAAACAACAGTAGGGGTATTGTGCAAAAAACAGATTTAACTCCGATAAAAAAAAGATGCTATGAGAGAGTGGCAAGGTAAGATGTGAACGAGATCGCACATTTAGTAAATGTGGGCTGCATCACAGAGACGATCTAGAGACGACCAATGCATTGATTATGTTGCTTTGGTTCCATCCTTGATCAAGTAAAGGCTCGTGTTCCTTGAGCATTCGACCAAGGTATGCAATACGAACGCGCTGAAAACTGGGCACCTAGTCGAAGTGAGCAAGATATACAGAATCTATACTGGGGAAATACATACGCTAGCTTCACTCTGTATTCGTCGAGCTAACATACCGACCGTTTGGGTCTTGCTGATGGACACCGTCACGTCAGGCCCTCCTCGATCACTAAGCCGTGCCCGCACCTTGATCATATCACGCTCACTCATTTTTCCTTTCTCCTCCCGTCGTCTTTCGAGGTCATCGGGTATGAGCTCATCATCTGACTCTTCCGGTATGATTTTTGGGTCAGATATTGCATCGTCGTCCACATCGTCACCTGGCTCATCGTCTTGAGCACGCAAAAATGAATCGTCTACCATATTCTCCGGGTCACTGACAATACATTGAGGCAGCCGATACAAGACTCCATTTTCGTCATAGCAGCCTTCACAGAAATCTCCCGTGGGCACAGTTATACCAGCAGCATCAATGATACCTTGCGCAGTGTCTGTCTCTCCGCCGCATAAAAGCGAGATCGCAGCACGCAGAGCATCCCATATTTCTGATCGCCCCGTAACCCTAGTATCCCAGAACTCCTCCCGTTCTTTTGCAAGCTGTGCAGGCGTCCACGTGCGTCGTTTGCTACGCCATACATGCAGACGGATGGGCTGGTTGTAATGCTGATCTAATGGCAATGGCGGTCCTTGATGATTTCTCACTCGTCTTGACTGAGACTGACGACGCGGGGCCTCATTTGGATTCTGGTTGTTTGCCGAATGCTCCGAGTGTCTCGCATGATCCGCATAGGACTCTTGTGTCACAGTTACATGTGACGAGCCTTCGTCGTTATTCGATCGAGAAAAACAGCAGCCCTATCGGAGACAGGGTCAGATCCGCTTTACAAATGGTCAAGACTGCGATGTGGGAATTGAATAATAGGAAAATTATGCGCTGTGCAATGCCATAACCACTTACCATCTTGCATGATGCTTGCGCCGCACACCGAGAGCAAGGTGAGAGCAGATCGGGGTTGATTAAAGAAAAATAGACTAGTGACAAGTTGATTCCAAAGCGAAGTTGCTGTGAAGTTGCTGTAGATGATGAGTAGCAGACGGTAAAATGCACAAGCTCGTGCTTAAGGTCGAACAAATGCTGTCGAGAGTTGCACACTGGCGACTAGGTTATGGCTCTCAACACTGTATTGCTAGTTGACCTGAAGGACGTCGGGCAGTGCAGAAATAGTGGCGAACAGCATCATTAGCATGATCAACAATGAGAGCCAACAGCGTCTAGGGGCTAGCGGGGACAAAACGTTGTGACGAGGGAGAGAATAGCAAGCTCAGTAGGTCGGGCCTGGCGCGCATTCAAAAGGGAGCGAGACGGCCAGTGTCCCTGCGACAAGGGCGCAAATATAGGTAGTATTTGCTGTTTGATGAGAGCAGGAGAGGGGAGAGGGAAGAGGGGGAAGAGGCATTGATCAATGTGAGGAGAGGAGAGGAGAGGAGACTCTCCAGATGCCTAGATTGCTTCTGGGCAAGCGCCGCTGGCCGCCGAATCATACGACATGCGACGACGCACCACATGGGCCAAGACGCCAGTCAGACGTCAGCGTCTGCTCATGGAAAGCTTATTACTAGGCACCTGGTACTGTTTCTTGGGCCGTTCCGGATCAGCTCGGACCTTGCAGAGCAATACATGATGTACCCAGCCGCCGTCGCAAGCAGCTCTGATACTGAGAGGGAGTATCGCATGTTCCTCTTCCCAGCGGTCACGCTATCCGCAGCTGGACTAGCCGCGTCCTAAATTTATACGATACCCCCACTGAGGCTATGCCGCTTTGGGCCCGGCGCATGCAGAGTAGACTAATATGGTGGCATAGTAATATAGTAAAGTAATGATAATCTCTCAATAATGCCAGGGGACGAGTTGTTGCTGAGGATGAATTAAAAGGGAAATAGGGGGAATGACCAAGAGAAGATTATAGAAAGAATTTCTTGTTTCTAAAAGCCTTCATACTAAATTAAATCCTTTCTACGCTTCTATAGCTCTCTAGGCAAGTACGACAACAGAAGTCAAAATATATGTAGCCTTTCTAAGGACTTATATAGCTTCATTTTAAACCCATCCAACTTTCCATATAGCATATATGCCACTAATTCTAAAATAGCAGCTAGGAGATATGCACCTAGAATGGAGTACTAAGGTGTGTATCTGGGGGAACCCTATTTATCCATGAAACAAAGCCTCGTAAATCATAAATCGCAGAAGTCACCAAGAATCACATAAGTCGGCATCAACGTCTCTCCGAAATCCGTGTCCGAAGTCCTTCTCATCCACTGGCTGGCCGTCAATGGTGAAATGCTTACGGAGAGTCTGCAGCTACCTCGCTCCGCGATGACACAATTAGTAATGGTAATTTTGGCCTAATATAATACAGGTTTGTCGCTGTACTTCCACTAGAAGATATGGAGATAAGCGGTTGCTTTGGCCCAAGCAACCCCAGAATTCCTTTCTTATGTCCGGTTATCGCCGTTATGGTCTTCTACTCTGCCAAATCATTTAGATAGACACTTGGGGGTATAACTATCCTGACTATCGACACCTTAGAATCATAGCAGATCCCACCCATGATTGAAGTTTAAAGCATCATTTTGTTTTTAATTTTTCTCCAAATCATTAACTTGAACTGTACTTCAAACATGTCTCAGCAAAAGTTCAACAAGCTTGCGAACACCCGCATCTTGATCCTCGGGGGCACATCAGGCATTGGCTTCAGCGTCGCCGAGGGATCGCTCGAATATGGTGCTTCGGTGGTGATCGCTTCTTCGAACCCCGAGAAAGTCGAGAAAGCAGTGTCCCGTCTTCGTGACGCCTATCCCAACCTTTCGTCCCGCATCTCCGGCCAGGCTTGTGACCTGTATACCCCCTCCACTGTGGAAGCAAGCCTAGAATCGCTCCTTGCTTTCGCCACCAAGGATGGTAAGAAAATCGACCACGTCGTGAACACGGCCGGTGGCCCAGGTTCGCGTCCGCCACTTTCTGAAATCACGCCCGAGCAGGCGAACACTGGTGGCCCACGTCTCGCGGGCATCTTGATGCTGGCTAAGCATGCACCCACGTATATGGAAGCCGGACCCCAGGCAAGTATCACCCTCACGACGGGGACCATGCTGTTCAAGCCGCTCAAGGATCATGTCGCCGGAATCGGATCGGCTGGTGCGGTTGATGCAACCGCGCGTGCGCTCTCAATATCACTAGCACCCCTGAGAGTGAATGTCGTGGCTCCTGGCGCCATCGACACAGAATTATTGCAATCAATTGGGGGTGAAAATGAAGCGGTGAAGAACGCTACTTATCAGATGTTTCGTGATACGAACTTGCTGGGTATTCTAGGCCGGCCAGAGGATACGGCTGAGTCGTACTTGTATCTTATGAAGGACCGTTTCATCACCGGACAAACTATTTTGACCGATGGAGGGAGGCTGCTCAAGTAACAGTCTCTTTTGGAGATCCCGTCATGGCAATAGTTTATTTTTCTGTTATGGCTCCTAATGGGCCTCACTCAGTGTCGTTGGTAGCCAAATATCGATGCAGACTATTTATATCAACAATTAAGATAGCTGAATTAGCCCCTGAAAAGAGTCGGATGGAACTAGTTGACCGGCTGGTAGGAATTCTATAGACTAAAATGAATCCGAATGACACTTTAAAAAGTCTGTTAAACAGCTCTGATGATGGTATCCCAAAGTTTGACTGTACTACCACGCCCCTATGATATCAGAAGTCGGCCCGTCCAGTGAGAATTCCACAAGCTAAACCTGATTTGAGTTGCCCTCGAGAGTCTGCTGCATGGTTTCTGTGGTGGTATCCCAGAGCTTGGCTATTCCATCAATGGAGCCTGACGCCAATCGTTGGCCGTTCGATGAGAATGTCACCGATAGAACAGAATCCGAGTTACCCCTAAGTAACTGCCACTACAGATCACAGAGTTTGACTGCCTGACCTAACTGGCGAGGGAGAATACGTGCATATGGACTGCGGCTCCTTAAGGCGGCAGGACTTACGAACTAGATCGGTCCGGCACAGCTCGCGTCTATTTTATAAATAGTTATCCAGAATAGAGACATACTGCTGAAAATCGATTGTTTGGTCTAATACTGTACACGGCTTTGTGCCATTGGGTTTACAGATGAAGAGCTTACTTATCGAGAGCACCTACCGTGAAAACTTTGTTTATTCTTTATCACTCTCCTCATCACTCTCCTCATCGCTCCCAAAAATCGCCTTAAAAACGGCTTCCCCGGGTCGGTCTGCTTCTAGAGCTTCATTCTTTTCTGGTTCAACAACAATCGGAGCTCTGGAAGGTGAGGCCGTGGCCTGCCCTGGTTCTGACGTGCTTAATGTCCGATCAGTCTTGGTAGATTCCGCAAGTAATTGATTCATCACATCTTGAGACACAAGATCGAGCCGGGAGTTGTCCGAAGGACGAGACGTCGTTGTGGTTGTGAATCGTGTAGCATTAGAAGCCTCCCCTCCCAGAATATCTCCCGGGTCGAGTTGAACATGAGCTGGAGGCTTGATGTTGAAGCGTTTGCAGAGTAGACGAGTAGGGAAGAAAGAGATTGTACTACGAGTCATAGGCCCGAACATACCAATCTTGGCTGCCTCCTCGGCGGGGTCTTCAGGCTTCGATGCGGGTTGGGTCAAGAGGGGGCTGGAAGCATCAAGCTGGTCAGATGCTAGCTTAGGAGCTGAACTGGCAGAAGTAAACCGAGAGGCTATCACACCAGACACTGGCTTGAAAACCTCCGCAGCTCTAGCAAACTCTCTCATTTCTGTAACCCAATCATCCGTTGTCGAGCCTGGCAGTCGGTCTGGTAGGCCGTCTTTCAAACCAGCTCGCACCTCCAAAAACACGCGATAACGGCTCCTTTTGCTTTCGTCTTCGGCGTAGGGCATCCAGCCTCCAACGGCTCTACTCAAGGCCTGGACAGCAACGGCTTTATCAAGTTTAGGGACGAGATCCCATATGTTTCTGCGCTTCTCGGAATCAGAGATTTCATATCCTTTCGGAGCTTTCTCTCCCAACGCTGGAGGCAAATCAGTTTTGCCAGTCAATTTGGCTATCCTCTCGCGGGCCTCCGGAGTCATCCAGTCAAAAATTGATTTACCAGGCAATTGGTCTTCCCCTAGAAGCTGGGCACGGGTTTTGGGATCAAGGGTGGAGGCTTTGGCAGCATCGGCAGTGGACGTGTAGCCAGTAGTGTCTCGGTCTGTAGTTGGAGTCTTAGTAGGCTTCCAACCCTCTGGTATCTTAGGTGGTGCAAAGACTTTTCCGGAAGAAAGAGATAGGCTAGAAATGGCATCTGCGAGAACGAAGCCCTCGAGCGGCAACCGACCATCATGACACTTGCGGAAACCGGCTAAAGATGTTTTCTTCGAGATATATACGGGTTTGTTATTTAGGAGCGGGTTGGCTGAGCTACTTGTGAGCTTGCCCCCATCAGCACCTTTGGGTTTTTTCTTCTTCTTGTCACCGCCAATAGTACGATTGTAGGATATCTGGGGTCCCATTGAATACGGATCTTCGTCATCTGATCCGGTATCGTTCAATATTCCGACGCCAAATCCACCGTGACGAGGAGCCTTCTTTTCTTTGGTCTTCTTACGTGCTTCTAGTCGCTGGCCAAAGAACGAATCAGGGGCATCTTCGTTGTCGTTATCATCTCGTCCGCTTTCTAACAGCAGGTTAGACTCGAGTCGTGATTCTCCTTCAAAGCCGAGTCCTTTATGATCTGTCTTCCGGATGAAGGTCACTGTGGGCGCATTTTCAGGCGCAAAGAGATGTGTCGAAGGTTGCGGTTCGTTTCCGGGTTGTGTACCATCGCCTAGGTTTGCCTTTCGACGTACTTTTGGCCCAATACCTTGGCCTTCTCTCCAGCCCATTCTCTTCAGAAGTTTCACTCCCATGGTCTCGCCATCGGCTTTGAGAAGGTCCATGATACCGCCACTTTGGGCGAGGTGGGACTTGGTCGAGCCAAAACCAGCAAAGTCCTCGGAAGTCTGAAGCTGCTTTGACTCTTCAGCCTCACGTACATCCTCCTCGTCCATAAAGTCTTCAACCTGCTGCTGTTTCGCTTTTTGAGCGCGGTTTGCGCGGGATGAAACGAAGGTCGCTGGCGTCCATCCTTCCTTTGAACCCACCGTATTAAAATACCTGTAGCACATGTATTTAGTCCGTATGTTCCTTGATGACCATAAACCGTGGGCTCACCCGGCGCTGAATCCTCCAGTGAAGGCGCCGTGCAGTCGCTTCCGTCCTCGCTCATCCGTTACCTCCTGCTTCCACACGGGTACGTAGGATCCATCGTCCCGAACGCTTGGGTCGAGGGGTGGCAACGGCGTGCCAAAGAAGGCGAAGGGAGACTGTTGGGCCTGGAGATCAGCCTCGAAGGCTGATCGGGGTCTTTTGCTGGCCATGGCAGTATGACGGCACTTCAAAGAACAATCAATCTCCGTAATTCTGATCCTCTTCGTGGCGAACCGGGGCCAGCCGAGACGCGCCGACACTCGCAAGTCAGTTACACGGCGAGCCAAGGGCCGTAATCACGCTCGACAGCGAACAGCCATCTGATGAAGACGGTGGGCGCACAAGAAGGGTTGGTACATCACAAGGCGAAGCTGGGTGGAACTTTCAAGGAAGGAAGTCCCTGAATAGTCTAGCGCACCGCCACGGGAGCCCATTTGTGGCTGGTAGCAAATACGCACTTAAGTTTAAGTCCTTTCCATGCTTATGTTATTATTATCAGCACGAGATGTCGTATATTGTGTATTTAGAAGCGCTTCTTCTAGGTCAGTATTATCACATGTGGGACACAGCATCACTAGTAGTCATAATATGCCGTTGTTCCAGTGCGGATTAATTATTCTTGGCTCGTCAGGCATTCGCACCTGGCGGTAGAACAAAGCCCAATGGTCTCAGATCATCGCGAGCCACCTGATTATAACACTAAGAAGCATATTTATTATTCTAGGCTCTCAAGGTTCTGGATAATGAATACATGCAGCATGGGCATTGGGCATCAGCACCAGCGGGGGCAGCGGGTACTCATGTTTCCTCCTCAACAAGCAAAAGTAATAAATAAGATTAGTATTCAATAGCTGCGCAGTGTTCAGAGCAATATTCGTACTGGTCACTTTGGGTCATTTTCCATGCTTGGGGTTGGCCCCGTCCCGTGAGCTGAGCAGGCGCTGACTGACAGGAACCTCGTTTGTAGCCTGACTCAGATTGCCCAACAAGTCGCAAGCAGGCCGCTTGCAGTACTTAACGTGGCCGCGTCTCCCAGAGGCAAGCTCTCCAGTTCAACATCGACAGACATTATTCCAGACAGTGCAGCGTGCTGATCTACGCAAAAAGCAAAGAGTGTCTGGCTACTCGCACTAGTTGCTGCTAGGCCATTAGCAGGTGCGATTTCCCTAGTTACCGGCGTCAACCAAGGCTTCCCTGAGTTACCACTTAGTTGACTGGTTATTATTAGCAGTACTTACCAGCCATCGCCTGTCCAGCCTCCCGTGCATGCCCCCATCTTCGGCGGCTGGTTGATATCCAGGCTTTCTTGATCTCTGCCTTGCAGATTATTATTGTTTCCTCGTCTGGCTCTCTGCACTGTCTACATCCCGGTGACTGCAATCGTCATACGTGGTACCACAATCTGCCCGCGCTTGAACGGCGACTGGAGGAGGACTCACCGCGAGAGACTCAATCTCTCAGTCTATTAATATTGTTATCGACAGGCTACAGCAACAGCCCGGCAGCACCGCTCCTCTGCGTCGATCGCTTCGAGCCGCACCAACCATTGTCCAAGGCACATGGTTAATTAACGACGGCGATCTGTAGCTGAGAAAATATCACAAGACATCCAAATAGCTATAGAGGTTGAAAGTTAGACGCCAACCCAAGCATTCATCTAGAGCGCTCGGGATGTCGGCCGCGGCATCTGCCTCGATGAGTCCGACGGTTGTTCGCAGCCACTCCTCCTCCTCCCGCGCGCAGGCGCATCCTCCCCCCCAATCGTCGGATCTTCCCCACAGGGCTCGCAGCACCACCAACAGGCCCCCATCATCATCATCATCACACTCACACTCCCGCCATCATTCATCCTCCCGACCGCAGTCGTATGATCGTCGACCACCCCCCAGCTACGTCCCCTCGACCATCGCTCGCCGTGATTTTGAGAATCCCAATCTCGCCCGTCCGCCATCGTCCCGCCGGGAGAGCTCCCGAGACCGCTCTCAGGAGCGCCCACCGCCCGCTTACCGACCTGACTCGGTGCGAGCGCCTCAGCATCACCACCGCACCTCGTCGCGATCCAGGCGGGACAGCGTCAAGATGGTTGGTACCACAGTCGATGCCAAAGCGGCTGTCGCCGAGCAGTCAGCACAGGCGTACGCTGCAAACTCACTACAGCCGAAGCGTCGTACCATGATCCCTACTCCAACAGGTCAATGGGCGCTCGGCAAGACTATCGGTGCTGGGAGTATGGGCAAGGTGAAAATTGCTAGAAATATGGAAACGGGCGAGCAAGTAAGTGGCCTGTACCTGATTTCCTTGTAAGAGTTTCAAATGTGCTGACAGCTTCCGTCCCAGGTGGCCGTTAAGGTCGTGCCGAGGCAGTCCACCGCCGAAGAACATCGCAATGGGAAAGACGCAGAACGCGCCGATCGCTCAAAGGAAATTCGAACCGCCAGAGAAGCCGCGATTGTTTCGCTCGTCGACCATCCCTATGTATGCGGGATGCGAGATGTCGTTCGCACGCCATATCACTGGTACATGTTGTTCGAGTATGTCAACGGTGGTCAAATGCTCGACTATATTATTTCCCATGGCAAATTGAAAGAGAAACAAGCCAGGAAGTTTGCACGCCAGATTGCCAGCGCCTTGGATTACTGCCATCGCAACAGCATTGTCCACCGTGACCTGAAAATCGAGAACATCTTGATCAGCAAAACAGGCGACATCAAGATAATTGATTTCGGATTAAGCAATCTCTTTTCTCCAAGGAGTCACTTGCGCACGTTCTGCGGTAGTCTGTATTTCGCTGCTCCTGAGTTGTTGCAAGCACGACCGTACTCGGGCCCTGAGGTCGATGTGTGGAGCTTTGGAATCGTTCTGTATGTTCTTGTATGCGGAAAGGTTCCGTTCGACGATCAGAGTATGCCAAACCTTCATGCCAAAATTAAGAAGGGTGTAGTTGAATACCCCCAAGGTCTAACAGCAGGTATGTCAAGACAGGATTACTATTCTCGCGAGTTCTTGTGGCTAACCAGCATGTAGAATGCCGTCATATCATTTCCCGAATGCTAGTCACAGACCCGAAACAACGAGCGAGTCTAGCTGAAATTATGAACCATCCATGGATGACCAAAGGATTCAACGGTGCCCCGGAGAACTACCTACCTACGCGCGAACCTTTGCAACTACCTTTAGACCCAGAGGTGGTGGAGAAGATGACAGGATTCGATTTTGGCCCCCCAGAATACATTACAGCGCAACTTACAAAGACTCTAGAGTCAGATGATTACCAAAACGCTCTCAAAACGTTTACCCGCGAACAAACAATTCCCACCCCTGGTGGTGACAAGAAAAGAGGCGTCTTCGATTTTTACCGGAGACGTAACTCTGCGAGCAGGGATACACTTTCAAATCCATCTGTTGAGGCAGTCCAGCTCGGAAGCGATCCGCTTAATGCCTATAGCCCCTTGATTTCAGTCTACTTTCTTGTCAGAGAAAAACTTGACCGGGAGAGAACCGCGAAATCTACTGGTGCCCTGTCAATTCCATCTGACGTGATGTTGAAAATGCCCGATCTACCAGCTCCCGAAGCTGCGCATACGAATCAATACGATGTCCCAGGGGAAAAGGACACCAGTACCAGAAGTCGTCCGCGTGCACGAACGCATGGCGACGGTGAAATCGTCGATGGCATTAAGAAGATGCAGTTGGGTTCATCCGCCGGTCCTACCGCTCCTGCAATAGTGACGCCGCAACCAGATACGCCCATCAAAAAGGAAAGCACTGCTGCGGGTATACTAAGACGCTTTAGCACTCGAAGGGTAAAGGACCGGGGGCGTGATAGCGAGCGAGAGAGGATTGCTTCCCCCAATATGCCAAGTCTGAACGTGCAACCCCCTGCTGAGCTGGCCTCGCCGCCGCATCGCGGTTTCAGTTTGAGGCGGCCACGACGAGCAGAACCGTCGCCAACCGCAATTCATAGCTCGGACAGCCAACCACGGCATCAGGATCTTCTAAAGGCCCCGGGATCTGCCAACCAATCGTCGCAATCTAACAAGTTCCTGGAGAGATCTACTAGTGTCAATTCTGCAGATTATCGCTCTCGTCGATTAGCTCGAAAGCAAATTCCCGACAGCGATGGGGTAACTAACGAACCTCCTCTCACAAGCGGCTCTGACCATTTCGCCGCTGACCCGGAGAAAGCCAAGCTAGGCGATTCAGCAGTAGCGTATGAGTCTAAACCGACGAATCGATCGTCAACTACGCGTACCAAATCTCTTGGCCATGCACGCCGTGAAAGCATACAAGCGCGCAGGGCTCGTCGCGAAGAGATTCGAGAGGCGACTGTCCCTGAGGATGCAGATGACGGTGATTTGTCGGGCAATGGGACTGCGTTGGAAAATGCAAATACAGGCGAGGATTTCGCCAAACCAGTCTATCTCAAAGGCTTGTTTAGCGTTTCTACTACTAGCAGCAAGCCCATTGCATTTATCCGTGCCGACATTATTCGCGTTCTCAAACAACTCAACGTCGAGTACACAGAAATCAAAGGCGGATTCAGTTGCCGCCATGTACCCAGTATTGATCTCGACCGTGTTGTTGATGCTAGACAGCCAAGTCCAGAAAGACAAGGTCAGGTGTTGTCTAATCAGAGGCGGAGAATAAGTTTTGGGGGATTACGCGGGGCCGAAGAAGTGAGAGAAGAGCCAAAGGCATCCCATTCGACACGTTTTGCTCGCCGAAATCAGGGTCCACCAGACCGAAGCTTCATTTCCAACTCCGAAGACTCGGACGAATATGTCCCACATCGAGATAACGTAGGCGAGCGCGTAGTTGGTGAAACTACCACACGCGTACAGAGTGATACCGGAGAGAACCTGATTCTGCGGTTCGAGATTGTGATTGTTAAATTTCCATTGCTTTCTTTGCATGGCCTCCAATTCAAGAAAGTGTCCGGTGGCATGTGGCAGTATCGAGAGATGGCCAAGAGAATTTTAGATGCTTTAAGACTTTGATTGTATATTGTCGAAGTGAGGTGATACCTAGCATTTTTTTCATGTGCTTGACGACGTTTGCATTGTTGCTTGAAATGGCTTCGGCTTTGATAACCCACATCATGCCTCATTCAGCGCATGTCAGCTTCTCGTGTACATTATTATCATATCATTTGCTCCGCTCATCCGGCATACTTCATCAGCGGGCCCAGCATCCGTTATGTGGTGATTCCCTTTCTTCCCTTTTTTCCTTTTCCCTTTTTACTCATTAATTGCTCTTTCTTGCATTGAAGCCTATGCTACTTTTTCCAAAGTTATTCGCGACATGAGTATCAACTTCTCGCACATTGTATCTCAACCACATGTATATGTCTAATGAGTATTCTCCTGAATGTATGTAGAGACCAATTGATAATAAATTGCGTACTGTTGTCAGACACTAGCTTAGAAGTTGTGAATGGCGTGGAGTTTACAGCTGTGAACGTCTAATCCCCTGGTTAGTATCTTGTGGATGATATTACATGTACTATTCACTTTGGTCTGCTATTAGGCAAACCGTGAGAGTTGTAAGAGATAAAAGGATTTAGCTTTCCCAGTCTTTGCAATTAGTAAGACCATACATCTCATAAGGCGGTTTCACCGATCGCCAACTGTCCGGATCTTTCTCTCCTCCAGTCCCTTCCGGAACTGCTTCTGTTCCTCGCAATAACGTCTCCACTACTTTTCAAAAGCTTGTCTATTCTAAAAACGTGTTAGGGTGCTATCCCATTCCCAGAGAGATCCAGAATATAATCACAATACATCCACACCCTTTCTAGATGCTGGGGCAGCAACGATTTCTGATCTTTCTGCGCTACTAGGATGCCAACTTGGAACTGCCACACAGAGGGGGAACCGGACTCTGAATCAATGTTGAGATACGTGATGATCTGGTTGTTTAGGTCGGACTCTCCTGCGGATTGAGTGCCGACACGATGGAAGACCAGTGGAATCTCGATGAGTTTTGGGACCGGGAGCCACGGAATTTGAGAAGATTGGGTGATCTGCCTCGATCGTCATCGCTCCTCAAGGCGGGAGACCTCGTTTATCAACATTTCACCGGAAAATAACGGCGTAGATGGTGGACCCCGGTGTACTTGCAACTGGTGCTGCTGTAACTGGTGTAACTAGTAGTGGGATAGCTGCAGAGAGCTCCGAGTAGATGGAGTGGCAGATCCACAATTTCTGGCTCTGAATCCGTGTCTATGTTGTCCCATTTTGAGTAGTCAATAGTCATGGCGAATCGGCAAATACTATTTCTTTGGAAATGATTACAATTGACGGCGGAGGACACGAAACGTGTTTAAACTGTAATCAATTTATGCCATTGAATTCGGGGGCCTGAGCTGTAAGAGGGTGGGCAAAAAAGTTGCCGCCTCACTTTTGTCCGCCGTAGTGGAACAGCTTTATAGGCGATTGGAAGGCCGCGGTAAGCACACGCAATGGAGAACCTACTTTTTCGCGAGGATGGCACCGCTTAAGACCGATCTCTAAAAAAAAACGAGAATGATAGCTCGCCCTCTTGTATATAAATATTAGTATAATACATAAGCCTTTAATTCTAACGGATTAAAAGGTTTAAATTACGGATTAGAAGATTAGTGGGTTAGTTTAGGACTCGAGATTTAGAGTTAGTTTTTCGAGTTAGATATTTAAATTTGATCTAAGTAAATCATGCTTCCACTAGTCAAACCCCCCCCCGGGTCCCCTATAACTCCTGACAATACAAACAAGCTGCCAGCTGTTTGTCAGGTCATAATTCTGTTTAATCTTAACTAGCTTATTATATCTGGCTCCGTAAAACTCAAGTTGAAATTCAGGGTTGAATACGTCTGCCTCATTTATGTACACTCCCGTTTTCGAAACCCATTCTCTCCGGAGTGCCTCTGTGTTCTGGTTAGTTCATTGAGCAGCGGCGTCCAACGTGCCCCGTGGTGCAACGCTGTCATCAATGACTGCATATAAAACGATGAGATGCAGGCAGATTGATCGCCAGTCTGGATTCAAGGTGCCACACATGCTCGGCTCCACGGATCGAGGGCCTGGGTTACCCTGGTGGCCCTAGACAATGAGGGCGGAGGCTCCATTTTCACTCGGAAGCAGAGCACGACAAAGATAAGAGGCAAGAGTCTGTGTGTCGATGTCAGTAAGCTCGGGGCGGCCAAGTAGACAACTCGACGTCAAGTTACCGTCGCCTGCTGCGCTTGGGACCTAGCTCAGAATGTTGAAGTAAGACAAGAAGCTTGGGAAGATGACCGGTCTGGATAAGGATGCTGAAATAGACCTATTGTGGGGGCTCTGGGCATGGAATTTGGCTACAGCTGCGAGAGAAGCGCAGTGATGGCCTCTGGCGTAGAGTTGAACGCAGTCAAAGTGATGGATGCAGACGCGCCGGATTCAGTGAACCAGGGGAACATTCTCTCCTACACATACTTAGTTCGCAGGTATTCCAAGGTTTAATTATCCATTATTATTATTCTCTTCCCGTAATTAACAATCGACATAGGAATTGGCAACTACTTTTTATCCCGACGCATAGACATATTAAAAGTGATCCGCGTAGTATCTCAGGAGCGCCTAATATTTCCTGTTTGAGCTAATTATACGTATTCGGCGCCAAGAATAACGGGATTGCCCTAACTTGGACCCACCTGGTGATCTCAGGGCTACATGAACGTGCTTATATGATATTGAAATTATGGTCCTTAATATATGTCTGGTTTTTCAATAAAAAATATGATACTGTCCCTAACTACGATGTGACCAATGTACTAATTTTTCTTTCGCACCTCAATTCTCTCAAACACCAATGCCGCCAGAGCTTCAAGATTCTGGGCACCTGTGATATCAAAGACGGCCATATCTGCCTTGAAGAATGGATCGGCGATAATTGGCAAGTGCATCTTGGAATGTATTTCCCACCGCGTAGTTTGACTGAGAGATAAACCCAGCAATGCCGGACAGAGAAGAGAGCATGATAAAAAAATCCATATTAGTGGGGAGGAGTTTATGCAGGGTCTGTGTACTTTTTTGATCTTTGAATTAACGGTAGTTTGCCACTTGGTGAATGTTATGTCATGTTTTCGAAGATCGAGTCCTAAACGTATAGATTAAAAAGTTAAACTTCTCACCTGCAGGACCATGGTACCTTGAAGACAGCCCCACATCGAGGGAAGGTCACTACATTCCTCTAATGCAGCTGATAGAGCATTTATAGATGTGACATCGCATTTTGGCGCTTTCACGTGAACACTCTGATCTGTGGAATGCTGAATGGGTTCTTTGGCGGCATCAGATGTCGGTCCTGACCGTGAAAGTAGGATGAGATTCCTTGCTCCCATGGATGCCATCCATCGAGCGGCACTACGGCCCAAGCCTCCTCACCCTCCGCCGATCAGGTATGTTGCATCAGAAGGAAGGGAATAAGCGGGCACGTGGCGCAACAGAGTCTACTTAAAATTCAATATTAGGAGAAAGGCGAAACTTTAATGGACGATCTACTTATTGGAATGGGATCTGTGGTATTGAGATTAATGGCTAGTTTACCTGTATGCTTGCCGCCCTGTATGAGTCTGAAAGAATCGTCGATATTCGCCACCTAGATGGGTTATTTATACTAGGGAATGGTAGGCTGTGAACCCAGGCACGAGAATCGTAGCAGCCATACTATATTGGATATTGTCCGGTAGTTTCACTACTCGCCGGGAATCACACCGAGCAAATTTTTGAAAACAAGCGATGACGAGGGCACAAATACTTGACCTGCCCCATCAAGCGTAGTGAGATGTACAATGGGGTCTTGTCTATCATTTTGAGATTGTTCTGGAGTCCATTGGAACACCTTGATGTCGCCTATTGCATCTCCTTTGTCATCCTAGGCTAGATGTCTAGTAACTGGAGCGACGAACCATAGTTCACTCCATCATCTTCAAAGGCCTGATACATTTTATCTGTAAGCACATGTTCCGAGCACCCCCTCACAGCTTCAGACCACCTATTCTGGTAGTAATGGTTTTCTTTCAAAGAAAGCTTCTCAGCCGCACTCCAATTTGGGGATGAGTTCTGATATTGTACAGATATAACCCCCCGGCAGTTATCTTGTTGTTGATCGCCCGTTCCTATGTAGATCCGGAATTCATAAGACGTCATTCCCTTCTCGAGTACACTGCGTAATTGGCGCATACACAAATGCACCTCGGTCTTGCTGATGGTGCTGATTGAGATTGGATACATAAAGGTGGCATCCTTCAGAAGAAGCCTTGCAACGACTCGCTTGCTATCGGCAAGATCCGGGCCCCCCTCAACCGCCATTATAGCCATTCCAGTTGCCAGGTAAATGACCTTGCCATTGACTTTGTGATGTTAAATCTACGGTGTTTTGCTCACGTTAAAAAACTTGAGCCATTTGGCGTCTAATGATGCCGATTCTGGGGCAGGTGTACCTGGTAGTTCGAGCCTTTTATGTGGTCGCAAAGAGCCGAAGCCAAGCAGAAGCACGTCAGTAGGATGCCACGTCCCGCACTCTTCAGGTTAGGCACAGCGCCTGGAGGCGGGGGTCTGGCTGGCCCGTCCAAGAGCGCTTGAAGCTGTGCATTAGAACCCGTTTAGGCACATATGTATTCATTGGATCATTTGTTCCATATTCATGTGATTTTGCGGAGACAAGGAAGGACGTTGAATGAATTAGAACTTGGAATCGTCATATACATTTCTGAGTGCTGAAAAGGCAACAAATACCATCAATCAGAAAATAGAATGTTAAGAACCTAGGTTGAGGTGTGTTGCCAATAGATTAATCAAACCAGACGAAGCTCCAGTGGCGCACCTACAGGATTATTCATAGGCTATTGTTGGGGGTCGAATATGGCATAGCTGGTGCTAGTAGGATTCGCCGAGTTCAAAAAGCAATTAATTGCGTCCGTTGACCAGTAATTTCTAGAATAGACCTTTGTTACTCTCGTTATAATATCATCATACTATACAATGTAGGGTATGTGTTACCCGAAACGGAAGTATCTATTGCAGGTGGATAAGATTCTTAGGCACCATCTAATTTTAGTCTCATATTAGATACGACCACGTCTTTGGGAGAAGTCGACTACTGATGCTTGAAGGGGAAATAACGAAAAAGATTGGGTATAATTTTGCCCACCTGATGGCGCACCGGCATACGTTCCTATTGGATTAGACGAATGTATGTAATGTGCATGTATGATGCATGAAATTACTTACGGATTATTCACTAGTATCGCCTTATCATGTGGTATTGCCCCTTTCGGCGCTTTGGAGGGAACCTTATGCATGGCGTTTGAGACGGAAGCCTTGAGCCAGAATTCACTTTCGTTAGTGCTCATCGCAAGATTAGAGCACCTACGTCTTCCACACATCACCCTTTAAGATACTTCTAAACTACCTCACTAACAATAATACTAGCTCCGAATATTTATCATCACTATTCCAATCCTATGTATGCAGTCGTATTCGCCTTCGGCTGACAACCTCATCCATCATGGCCAAACTCGTGCTCGACGGTGGCATTGCTCTTGTGACTGGCGTAAGCGAGCTTTCCCTAGAAGCTTCAAAGCTGAAGACACTCGCTAAAACCTCGTCCACAACAGGCGGCCGCGGGAATTGGTAAAGAGACAGTGTTTTCATTTGCGGAAGCTGGCGTGGAAGGCATTGTCCTGGCCGATTTGGACAAAAGTGGTGCCGATGACGCTGCAGTAGAAAGCAAAAAGCTCGCAAGAAATGCAAAATTCCGGACTATAGTAGTCCAAGCCGATATATCCGACGAAGCTGCCGTGAATGGGATCGTAGATGCCGCCATCAAAGAGTTTGGGAGGATAGACTACTGCGTTCATTGCGCTGGTGTATGTACACCCTTTGGAGTTGGTAAATCAAAATTGAGACTTGCTGAACTTCTTTCTTAGATGGGGAATATTTCTGGTGCTACAACGGAGAATATCAAGGTTGACATTTTTGACAAGACGATGGCGGTAAATGTACGGGGTACAATGCTGGTTGTACATGCTGTATCAAAGGCGATGGCAGGCCAGGAACCACGGACATATCACAGCGTTCGTCATGGGTTAACACGTAGTCTCGGTCGTGGTTCAATTGTGACTGCTGCCTCGGTAAATGCGTTTGTTCCAGCACCAGGAATGCTACCCTACACATCTTCCAAACATGCCGTGATTGGTATTACCAAGACAGCTGGTGAGTAATATCCTCAACAAGATTATTAAAATATGTGGTGTGGAATAGGTAAACAAAATATGATAAATGGACTGGCTAACCGGTGAACGTGGCCAGCTCTCGACAACATAAAGAATCAGATTCGCGTAAATGCCGTGTGCCCAACCTGGACGAATACGCCGATGCTGCAAGCCAGCTTAAAGCGGGTTCCTATACTGGAACAGTCTATCCAAAAATTCTCGCCCCTTGGAAGGGCAGCGACAACAGAGGAGGTGGTTGATTATATCATGTTCTTGTCCAGTCCGTCCGCAAGCTATATCAATGGAACATGCCTGATGCTTGATGCGGGGTTGACTTTGGCGGCACATGGCGCTGCGAATATTTGACATACGGAAAGAGAGGATTAGAAACACTGAGTATCAACGATTAGAAATTTCAAGCGAGGATTTAATAACCTCAAAAGGTTGTCTGATATGTCACATGGGAAGAAGTAGACAATGTTTCAAGTTGCTAGAGACTAATCAAGGTTGAAAGTATTTTTATTACTAAACATGCTCCTGGTGGCTTATGTCCTAGAAAAGTCCACAAATAATATTGATTGATGTGTTATCAACTGGCGATTAGTGCTCTGTAGTGCTAATCCAAGAGCATGCGAAAGGATTTAGGCGTCTTTCCCCATGGAGTGAGACGGCACCGTGGTCGAGCATGGTTTCTCAACAGTACCAAGTGTCCAACGAGTTTATGGCTCAGATCGAAGCTGTAACACCCGATAGCGGTGCATAAATGAACGATGTTGACTTTCGCCAGCCCAAATATAAGGACTATTTTCGGGCATCAATTGTCTTCCGCTGTTGGTGATCAAATGGAAGTGGGGTAGCTGGTTTTCTATGTGGCAAAGGGGTTGGGAGCGAGAACTGGAGTGTATCTGCTGACGGGCGGATGTGTTGCGTAGGGTAGTATTGAACTAGAACAAATTATATCTATTGTTATCAAGAGATAGCAACCGGCCTTATTATCAATACATATATCGTCAAGTGATATCATTGATGCCCTTATGAAACGACATGGTCCACCACATGTAAACATTGACCTTACCGAACTTTACACGAGGAATAAAGTATAAATTCAACTAGACATTTGAAACATGCATATCAATTATGTACTTGTTCAGCCAAAAAACACCATCCGTCACTCCAGTTTCTCCATAAAATCCACAGCCAGAGACCCTCCAAAAGAAATAACGAAATATCAGCATGACGAAGCGGCTCTGCACGCAATGTTAGTCAACATTCAAATTTATTTCAAATTACTTACGCAGCAGCGGCAATGTTTCTTCTCCTCTTTGCGCGCTTCTTTTCTGCCTTGCGAGAGCCGTATTTCTCTAGATCTTTCTCATATTTTGAGCGTGGAAGTATGTGGACTCGTGGAGGGGTTTCGTAATAAACCCGATTGCGTCGACCAGAGCAGAAACACATGGTGAAAGGCTAATCTTAAATCTGGTTTTTGATTACCTTTTTGTATCAATTGATGATGTTTGTATGTATGACTGTTCATTGACCCGGTAACTCTCGCCCGTATTTATATCTTTGCATTCTCTAGATGATCTTCATCAATGAAGATCGATATCTATGAAACTTTAGTTCCCCGCATTACCGCAAGGCATCACAATTTCTGCTTCTATATACTCGCACACTCTATATTTAGAATGCTACCCGCTCAGCCCCACCTGATGGGGAAATAGATCTGTAGATTACCTCAAACGATACAATGTATGAAGACTTTTGATGGTACAGTTTGAAGATTGTTTGATGGGTTACGCTGAGAGATTTTATACGTATCTTTCTGATTCTATTACTAATTTTAAGGTTCGATCCTGGGTTGAAGAAAGGAATGATGTTAAGTTGAATAGCATCCGACCAATCAGTTCACACCCTTCGTCTAATTTCGCCCCCGTATATATTCAGATTCTTTCCTAACATCCGCATCAATGACTATATACTTGAAAGTGCTACTGGTTGGGGGTTAGGAAGCTGAGAAGTCTTGGTCACGGGGGCTTCATGTTGAGCGAACTCGGAAGAAAAGTGACATTATGGTTTCTCATATTTGAAACGATCTAGCCTATAATATTAATGAACTATACTACATGGATTATATGGTTTTATCTACCTAGCTATTCGTTCCTACCCCTACAACAACATTTGCATTGTGTCTTGGCATCTCAACTTTCAACTATCAAATTTAATTGACCGCTTCTCAAGAGAAACGACCTAGACGTCTTGGATAAATTAAAAATTAAACAAAGTAAACTTAAAACGAGTCATGTAGATAAGGAGAACAAACTTATCTATATATCCCATGGAAAAGACTTGGTCTAATTACGACATCGATTGTGATTGGTTACAAGTTAACTGAGGCTACTGAGCGGTCCAATGAAATTCCTCAAATTATCGCCAACTGGTAACCCGCAAAAGACATTGAAATTAATTAGAGCTGAAGTGAATATGGAAATTATCATAACTCTGATATTCAAATATTATAATTGATTTAAATCATCTGAAATATTACTGGATTTATTTGTTTAATAATTTAATTAAAAATTTACAATCTTCAATTTAGAAATTAAGAATATTGTTTTTTATTTAAAATAAAAGAAAACCAATTAAAAAAAGTAAAAAGGTAAAAGAAAATTAAATAATTGATGATTGTTAATTAGTATTTATACAGCCACGTGACTACAGATTTATAAGTTGTCTTGGCCAAGTTCCCACGCTAACCTAACCTCATACGCGACAAACTGGCAATATCAACCACAAACTGACACTCAAACTTCCTAAAAAGCCATCATGAAAAAAGACAGTAATCAAATGGACCGAACATGGATAATTTAATTGACTTGACGCAAGATTCTGACGGCGATGAGGACGTGTACCAGGATAGCAAAGTGAGCCGCCTCTGCCCCTGTTTTCCTCAATCTGTCCGCGCCTTGTATGCTTGATAAGCGCGTCAACACTTAAGAACATTTATTTTATTTTATATGGAAATATTCTCTTGATTTAAGAGAATTTTTTCTATATATTTTAATCTTTTTAACTTGTTTTGTTGCTGTGCGATTCCTCTGTGTTTTGTGGTCAAGTGTCAACTGGTGTCACTTAAGACTCATTACCTAATGAGCTCAGCCCTTGGCCCAAAGTCTTGATTTGATGAAGATTTATTTTGCTGCTGGCAATTGAGTTAACGAATTCTAGAAACAAACACTTCTGGCACGATTTCTAGGGTCTCAGCCAGCACAGCCAACCTCCCTGAAAAGAAAGTATCTGCATGATGAGCCAAGATCAAAAGGTTTACCTGAGGCTGCATATCAGCCACCAGCAAACCATAATGTTTTTTTCAACCCCCTGAACTTGTCATCCAACAAAAGGGGCTTTACGCCTCAGCCTCGTCCCGAAGAAGAAAAGACTGAAAAGAGAGAATACTCATTAAAGCCACTGTCTAATTTCGACTCTGTCGTTAGCATCTCTTCCAGAGGATCTTCTATTGAGCCATCAGTTAAAAAGCAATATGAGGATGCCGTTCACTCTCCTATCACTTCAGACGAGAGTATCAAACACGACAAAGCTGCTTCGTCCGAAGAAAAAAGCATAATCCCCACCCTGCCAAAAAAAGAAACGAGCTTGGATGATGACAAGCCCCTCCAAACTTCCTCATCCTCCAGAAAGGGTGTCTCGGCCAGAGTCTTCCCAACTGTAAGCGTTGTTGTCCCGCAGCTACCAACACTATCGCCCATGGGAATGAAGCATCGGAAGATAAAGAGGCTGCCATCGCTATCAGATGACAGTTCAGGCGAAGACTCGGATCCAGATGAACTCAAGGGCATCAAGACCAAATACTACCCCATCGACCTCCACGAGATCCAGGCAGGAAAGGGTCGTTATCCTACAGTCCGCTGCACGAAGCCTCAGAGTTTATCTGCAGAGAGTAACCCGATAAAGGGGCATATCAGATCCAAACAAGCAAAGTTTTTCTACCTTCGAGAAAGCTTGAACAAGAAACTCAGATCTATCAAAGGCCCTTCCGTCACCATGGCTGATGAATGGAGCGGTGCAGGTAGCTTGGCGTCAAATTTCGAATTCACCAATACCTACAAGCTGCTCAAGGGAGTCAAGCGCGTTTCCGATGAGTTCAATGCTGGGTGTGACTGCGGCAGAAAGTGTGATCCCGCTAGATGTCTTTGTTTAACCAAGGAGGAAGACACCGAAGCACTGATGGTACCTTACGAGATGAAAAATGGCCAAGTCGTGTTGAAGGACAGTTTTATTAACAAGAAAACCATGATATACGAGTGCTCATCGCATTGTGGCTGCGGCAAAGACTGTTGGAACCGCTTGGTTCAGCATGGCAGGACAATCAGACTTGAGATATTTCACACTGGTAGCCGCGGATTTGGCCTGCGATCCCCAGATCCGATTGTGCGTGGGCAATTTATCGACTGCTATCTAGGAGAAGTCATCACATCGGCCGAAGCTGACCTACGTGAAGACGCTGCAGGGTCACAGAACAGCCCTTCATATCTATTTTCACTTGACTTCTTCCCCAGCGAAGGAGACGAAGATGATGCGTATGTCGTTGATGGGCAGCGTCTAGGTGGGCCGTCTCGATTCATGAATCATTCGTGCAACCCAAACTGCAAAATGTTCCCCGTCTCTACCCACCACGGGGATCAGCGTATCTATGACCTCGCCTTCTTCGCTCTCCGCGACATTCCCGCTGGCACAGAGCTAACCTTTGACTACAATCCCGATTGGAATGGTGATCGCAACCGTGATCCCAATGCTGTCAAGTGTCTATGCGGCGAATACTTATGTCGTGGTCAACTCTGGCCGAATCAGCGCAAAAGCACCAAGGAGGAGTGAACACACCACCACCTGTCTAGGGAATAATGAAAGGGTCTTTTTTTTTCGGGTTATTCAAGCATAAAATGTGTCATTACGACTTACGAACATATCATGGCGTTGGGATTTCCTTCTCTATCGCATTTTCATCATTCGGTTATTGTTCCGTGTATATACCCATATTTGGCGAGCCAGCAAGCGATTTTTCTTCATTTTCTTTCTTTTTCCGTCTCGTCTGTTTTAATTGCATGAGTACAGGCGTCAGCTGGAGAGGGCATGCTGTGTATTTGTTGGTATAAATCTTCGGTGGTGGGTTATTACTGTATATGTAGGTTGATGTTTGTCCTGAGTAAATATGCGGCAAGTAATCAAGTCAATTCGAGTACTTTCGCTACTTTAATACTACGTGTAGTGGAGAGAGGTGAATTTGGTAGGAAGAAAGTAGTATGTATTAAACTTATTTATCCGTCAGTCTTGTGGCTCACGGCGACTGATACCAAAGTAATGCCTGATCTGAAGGCTTCTTCCGGTCTGGTGACGGAGGAAGAAAAGAAAGTAACATGACAATAATAGAACACTGTAAAATATAAACTTGCCGAGTGATATCATAATAATCTAACCAGTAAATGAAAAACGCCGCCCTTGATAAATTCCTGGATAAAAACGCCTTTAGGTATGAACTAGAGCTTCCTTGGTAGTGTAGAGCTCTCTGTGCTACCTGGTATGATGTGAAGCATGATGAGTGTGGAGAAGTATGTGGGTATAGGTGTTATAAGTTGACGCGGATCGATGTGAAAGGCGTAAAAATATTGTCGGGAATTAACGTATCTGAGAAGAGAAGAGCATATCTTTGGCTATTTTTCTTCGGACAAATGCTCATCTGTATGAGACGAAGACTTCACGCATTGCCCTCCATAACCTCGACGATACCGCCCATCACATATCGAGGTTGTTGCGGGTTCAGCACTGAGCATTGTGAAGATTGTGTCCAGGAGCTTCGCTTGCTGGTCATATCCTCCAAAACATGAGCATTTAAATCCATGGCGATCGGGATGGGATCAACAGGACGCGGCTCCATCAGGCTCAGGCCAACGCGCTCAATAGAATCTTCGTCACAGCGAGATCGCTCTTCGCTCAGTGCCAGATCGACGGCAGATGGGCGTCGACGGAGAAAAAAGGGCGACGAACGGCGGAAGGAGAAGGGGATGATGTTGGCAAAGGGGCTGCGGCTTCGATCGCGGCTGTGGGTGTTGTTGGAGCCTGAAAATCGATGCTTGCGGAATGGCCAGCTGGAGCCTGGCGATGAGGTTGGACTGCCACTGGCAGAACTGAGGGCACTGGTCGATAGCGAGTCGCTTTCTCGACGGTAGTGTGTGTTATCCATAAAGGCGGTGCGTAGCGACAGGCTAATGTCGGCCATTGGCGATGGCTCGAGGTCCCTTGAGCTGGAGGGACGTTTTGGCTGCATGGTGGTGGGTTGGTGGATTGCTGACGGATTGTATGTCGATGGGAATCGTGGGACGGGCTGTTTGGGAGGACAAAAATTTATCGCGAGGACTGTGCCAGATCAGACGATCATGTGATTACGGCAGTGAGCTGTAAGTTACACGGTTGCTGATTTCTGGGGTTGCAGTGAGGCTTTTCGCCAGTCTGTTTGGGTGGCGGCAGACTCGGAGTAAGACTGAAGTTGCAGGCTCCGATTGTGGCGTCGGACGCATGGCTTGCCAGGGCAGTCCAGTTGCACGACAGCAGAGGAGAAGGAGAAGCAGAGTGAAGCAAAACTTAGGACGTCCTGATTAGAACTTCGACGTGAGGTGGGAGAGGGATTTAATGTTGTCGAGTAAAGGGGTCGGTTTTGACGATGGCGATGACGATGACGGCGTTGGAAATAGTAATCTTTTTCGGCGTGTCTCAGACTAGCCCGCTTTGAGTTTCTGGAAGGGTCGAATATATTCAACAACCCAAGGCAGGTAGGTACCTGTACTAGGGTAGAGACAGAGCAGCAGCAGCAGTGGCCCTGGAGGAGAATAAATAAGAATTAATAAATGCCGATGATGACAATACGAATGCAGTTCCTGTTATAACAAGAAGCAGCAGCAGGAGAGGTGGGGCTGAAGATGCCTCCTGACGCATTCGGATCCAGCACAGCATTCAATAGATTCAATAGTCAGCCCCGGCACTCAGGGGCGCTATCTATTATTATATTTATGTCTATATCTATGTAATATAATATTATTGTTATGTTATTATTATGCCATTATATTATTCTATTTTCTATGCTATTCCCATTATGAATTGGATGAGCATACAAATCAATGGGTGTATCATGCAGTGTCAGCCGTTACAGATATCGAGACTGTATAGGCAAGTTCCTGTCGATCGCCGGTTTCGAGTTCCAGCGACGGAACCACCGCAACGGCTAACTAACACGCAAGCAGCCACGCTCCTTTCTCTGAGCTAGAGACTTGGAGTATCCTCGATTGAGGCTAACGCGTCGCCCGACTCGCCCCCTCGTCAACAATCGCGGTCCTTGGCTAGCTGTCCTCCGCTCTCCCTGGTAGGGCAGTGTATCAGCACATCCCAAATTCTAGTACTCTCTGACAATCGGCGTCGGTGCTGTTTGAAAACACGGAGAGGAAAATACAAATTGCAGCATAAAGAATAATTGAAAGCGCTCCTTGCGTTCGGTGTGTTCGGCGTCCGACCGCCTCGTGCTCGATATATTTCTGCTTTAAACTCGCCAATCAGAGAGCCGCAAAGGACGGGGATATTAGCATCTGCATCATCTACAGTGATCGTCTGCAGGTCCAGCGTCATAGAATACTCCTGATTAATGAGAGCAATTTATGGTTCACACACAAACCGTCTCATCGGGCTGGCTTCTGTCGGACGACCTGATAGAAAGTAACAATTAGCCTCAGTAGTATATTTTTTACCCCGTGCCAAGCACGCCTCATGTACATACATACAACACACATACATCAATTGAGACATGCATCAATGCACGGGGAATATTCTGCAACTTTCTTTTCCCTTCTTGCCTAGGGCGTGCATCCAGGCATATGTAGATGCATGCAGCCATTATTGCATTCCGCATTCCGATGGCTTGCAGCTGCAGGCTGCAGGTAGCCCTACTTCCTCCTTTCAGGAAATGTCCCGGCGTATGCAGGTCTCGCCGAGCATCCTTTTAAGACCAAGGGACTGTATAAGTTACAAGCCAAGGAGTGAATATTGATACAATTCAAGTAGCATTAGGGCAATTAAGGAGATAATCAGATGCAAGCACAACGCAATTAATTATTCTACATCAATTGATGTCCTGTATATCAATTGATGCTCTATGCAATGCCAAGCAGATACATGTAATGAGAAAAGTAACAATGAAAGGGCCAAAAAAAAAAAAGGAAACCATCATGCTGTATATCCGGAACAATCAAATCTGATCCTATCAGCTAACGCCGCCGCCTATGCTAAATTATATCGACTCCATCCATCGACGTAATACAAAGAAATGAAAAGGATCGAAATAGTAGCTCCTGCACGATTTCGCCGAGAGAGTGTAAAAAAAATACTATATATAACGAATCAAAATCCATGCCACTTACGTACTAGAACGTCATAATTGCTGGAAATAAAATAACCTCCCTGCTCATCATCTTACTCGTGACCACCGGAACGTCGCTGGGTAAAGCTTCGCCGAATACTTTCGCCCCATGCGGAATCACCCAGTGATTGCATCATATCTTGCACGATAATGCCACTGTTGTCCCGGGTATGACCCCTAGGTGATGACGGCTGGGACAGTGGTAGACTGGTGTTGTGGATATCATCATCGGTATCCCTAGTCTGCCGTGGCGATAATGAAGGAGCAACTAGGGACCATTCCGTTGCCGACCCTCGTCTGGACCCGCTCGTGTCGATTTGCAATGACGGTCGAGTATTAGATGAAATCGATGTTATTGATACATCCGGCGATGCCATAGGCGTGCTTGTAGCCGAGGGCTCCTTGTGTATACTGCTCTCCTCTTCCTGCGCATCGCCCGTGTTCTGCCCGTCAATAAAGATCTCTGGAATCGAGAATTGAGGGATCTCTGTCAGATTTGCCGTTTTGCGCTGTTCTAATCGTCGCCGGAACTTGCGAGACCAGTAGAGTGTGTCAAAGAAGCTGATGACTGTGTTTCGTCGAACAGCTTCTTCGACTCGTTGCAGCCGGGTGCGTCGACGAAGGAATTCTTCCAGTCGCAGACTCTTGCTGTCCACGATCACCTTGTAATGAGCGAGGATCATAAGACATGCTGAAAATGCAATCCCGCGTTCCGAGTCTGCCGATACTAGGACTTCTTCGTAGAAAATGTTTAGTCGCTGTCGCCTAGCACGGATTTCCTGGACAGGGATCCTATTCAGAATTTGAGACAGCTTAGCAATGTCGACTTCATTATTGCTCTGCCTCTCAGGCTGAAATGAAACAACAGAGTCTCGTGGGCCAGAGCGGCATTGCTCCAGAATTCTCCCGACTGTAAATTCACCGTCGTAAATTCGCATTTCAAATAGACCGGAGAGTTCCTGAAACATAATTATTAGTTTGGCGTATCAACTGAAAAGGAACATTTGAAAACATACCCCTAGAAGCCTTGGAAACTGTTCCTTCGTTATGAATCCTGTGCCATTAGGATCGAAATTGGCCCACGCTTCCTTGAAACGTCGAATTTCGTCTCGATCAATGGTGTAAAGACCGAGTCCACTGCTTCGCTGGTACACGTAGGAGAAACTCTCAAAGATAAGCGACACGAACAGAGATACGAAAATATACATGCTGATGATGTTCCAAGCAATGAAAAGACCACGCGCCCATCCAGCGCTACCACAGTCTGTGCTGAAGAATTCGTCGGTGATTGTACAATACGGAGGTACCATCGTAGCATAGTCTTCCATCAATTGGTTCCAGCCTTCTCCGTTACTTGTACGGAAAAGGAAGATCAAAGCTTTGGGAACGTCGCGGAAGTTCAAGTTGGGTTTTCCGTTCTTTCCAATCTTTGTGAGGCCAAATGTTTGAGTCGTGGCGATGGCAAACACAAGGAACAAAACAAACCAAGTTGCCAAAAGATTGACGATTGACCCAAGACTAGCTGCTGCCGTTTTGAAGAGCTGATCCAATTGGTTGTTGCGCGGAATGATCAGCAATGTTATAGACACCAAAAACAATTTGTTTAATTGTTGGAAAAGCTGATATTGGTTGAAAATAAACGACAAGATGACGGTCACGAAAGTTCCAGGAACTGCGAGTAGCGAATAAAGATTCCATGAGCTTCGTCGGAAGCGCGGCCATCCGAGTCCGAATATACGTATAAAGAGGTCTGAGAGGTAAAAAATTGTCAAAAGAAAGAACAACCCATCTGTCCGTGTTAGCACCGCATCTTCATTACTCCACACCAGTCAATTTACCTCTTGTAAACTCCCAGATCACGGGATACGGGTACCATTCCATACACAGGAGCAACAAATGTAAAACAAGTAATGTAGTCATACACCGTGACCATCTTCCATTTTTGCGAGAGGCAAGTCGATAACATTTCCTTCGCCAGTTTGGCGTGTTGGCGTTGATGGATCGTTTAGAAGGTGAAATTTGTCGGAGTAGCTTACGCAATTCGAGCCATGAACGTTGTTCCGCTGTCAGGAAAGCAACACCCGTCTGTTCCGTGTAATTTCGCATAAAGACGGTCACGAACAGAGTCAACACAAAGACCGCTCCAAGCAAGTTGAAAGCAACGAAGAATAGCCCATTGGCCTGCGAAGCGAAATTCTGAGGCTGTTGGCCGCGTCCTGTGATACTCATTGAGCTTTGTTGTACATCAATCCAGCCTTCCTGAGATACAATCTGGAAAAGAATGAACAGGGACTCCCCAAAGTTGTCGAAGTTGAAGTAGGAGTTGGCCGCAACTCTGGGTGCCAGGACATTCCACGCGTATGGCGAGTTGTTGAATTCTCCGACACAGCTATTGAGGCTACCGGATATCGACTTGTCGTTACATGACACCATTTGCCCATTGAACAAGTTCAGTCCATAGATAGCAAACGGGATGAGGAAACTGAGCGAAACAAAAGCAGCCTTCGCATGACGTTAGCAAAGTTTTAAATAGTGGACACTTGCCACACTTACCGAAATAACCTTCCAGCCTCCAACGATGATGACAGAGTGAAATGTGTTCCTTGCGCTGTCACTAACATTGAGCAATCTTAGAGCACGCAAAGCCTTAAAGGCTCCAACGATCCTTGAAACACTACCAGCGGTGAACATGGAGGTAATGATGTTGACCCAAAGTGTCACGAGCACAACACCATCGATGAAACCCCAGGAGCTTCGGAAATACGCATTTGGGGTCCAGAAGAACCCATCAGCAATTACTTTGATGATAGCCTCGATAGTAAAGACTGCCGCAAAGCACATGTCTGACCAAACAAACCAATTGGAAGTTGAGTACTCACGGCCCTGGAAAAAGTCTCTTTGATAGAGAGGCGTAGTTATACACGCCAGTATAACCATTGCCACAATGCATGCATAAATGAATACAGAAAATGAGTACCATAGTGGCTTGTAAGGATCCACACCCTCGAATCGATAGCTGCCTCGTCCTGGACCGACTAATCGTTGACAGGCTTTGCGGATAGGATTGGTTGGTGAAAATATGTATAGTGACTTATTATATCGAGGATGACGTTGAAGATACTCTCTTTGCGCTACCTTCCGCTGCTCCGCCGCCATGACAACCTCTTTTGCCAAAGTCCGAGGATCAATCTCATCGTACGCTTTGGAAAATTTCAGCTTAGCATAGAATGGATTAGGCTCTTGATTCAGGAAGGTCTTAGAGAATTTTGACCATAGTGTCGACATGAGTCCCGGCTCAATGTCATCCCTTTCCACAGGTGCATGGTTGTGATCATCATTGTCATTTATATCAAATTGCTCATCGAGGAACTCCTTGACCACAGCGTCTTTCAGTAGCATTTCCATTGTAGCCGGTCCATAATCAAGGGGGTCACGGTATCTCGCCTTGTCACGGCTGAATTTGAAGATAGATGTCAAAGCAATGTTACTAGCAGAAGATGAACCGAGTTCTTTCTGCTGAAGAAAGGCCTTGACCTGATACAACCGCTTTTGATCCTCTGAGACATCAAAACTCTCTTGAATTACAGCAATAAACATGTTCAGGATGATGAAATTTGCGAGGACAAACCACATTATGAAGAACAAGGCCGAGATCCAAGCAGTGTCATCTCCTGTTGTGAATGTTGTTGAATTGTAGAGAATGGTCGTCCAATTCTCGCTAGATAGAATCTGATACATACCAAGAAAGGAGTTGTATATCTGGTTAAAAGTAATATTAATCGTGTTACCATCAGGATCCTGTTCTGGGATAATCCCCGAAATAGCTGCGATGCAAAAATGGCAGCGAGGAAGGTCATCAAGAACACAAAAAGAATCAAGTTCGCTAAGCCAATGATATTTCGGGAAACAATCAGAATGAGGTCTCTTGTAAGAGAAAATGCCAAGACGATACGATAAACTCGCAGGATCTGAAAGATTGTAAGACCTGCGTATACTTGGCCAGAGTCGTGTATAGATGGGATTTGTATAATAGATGTGGTCACTGCAAGGGCAAGATCGACCCAATTGCGACGGCTTTTGTGAAATCCTCTCCAGTCCGTAATGAATCTAAGAATAATTTCCAGCAGGAGAGTCAGGGTAACGGCAGTTTCCGTGCCATTAATGAATCGTGCACGGGATGGATCCATACTTGAACTTCGTAGACACTGTATTATGAGGCCGTATGCGATAATCACTATCCATAGCCATCTCGTTTTATCAAAAATATGCTTGAGACTGGTGACACGGCGATGCTTAGACTCGTGCTGGTCGACACCTTCGGGCTTCTCCGATGCAAATGCGCTTCTGTTGCTTTCTTCTCGAATAATTTGGAAAGACGATGTGATGACAGCAACCAACAAGTTAACCATCCACAAGCTCATGATGACAAGTCCGACGGCAAAAAACAACGCAGAAGCGAGATAGTCGGAGTCGGTCGTATAGTTTAAGAGATCAGTAAATGTGTTGGAACTCATGATGACAAAGACCAGTTCCAATGCCATCAAAATATTGTCAAAAGCTACCGTGCCATTGTAGGGGTTAGTTCCCTCAACACACATAGACCCTTGTGGACAAAGATATCCTTTGGGACTAAAATCCGAAGATACACCATCTGCGTAAACCCATGAGGTAGGGTCTCCAGTTACACTATCGAGATAGCCACCACAAAATTGAAGCGCGTTATAGGGATCATTCATCGTAAAATTATTTTGGCCTTGGGGGTCAATCCAAACGCACGATCGACGCAAACTGGACTTAAAAGTTTGGATTCCTATGATGGCGAAGAGCAACCAAAAGAAGCCAATAAGAAACCCAACGTGGACGAGAAGCGGCGCGGCCTTTTTCAAACTTCGAAGAATAATCTATGTACAAGTTAGAAGAGAATATCTTGGTACCGCATGTAACTTACCGACGTGCCGTTGGTTATGCCAAGGAGTCGCAATAATCGCAGACAACTCAACATCTGAAATATGTATATGTGATGACTGTATTGGTAGTCGACTAGCTGTAAGATAAATGAAATCCAGTACGAAACCACAGCCAAGAAGTCTAGTCGATTGAAGGAGTGTCTGAGAAAGGCTCGATGAGCGAGCCGTTTGCGCGACCTCTGGCGTGGGTCGTCTGCAATGTCAGCTAGTTGTTGCAATCCTGAGAAGGTTCCAGTGAAAGTTCTTCGGAATAATGAGACCTCTGGTTCTAAGCGCACAGATTTCTTTTTTGTCGATGGTTCACGATGTAGAGAAAACAAATTTTTCCCCTTTTCTGCCAGCGCTTTTCTGAGTCCTAGAGATCTATCCAGTGTGCTATACTCGGCAGCATTCCAGACAAACCCCGACACAATAGTCCTTACAACTAATTCAATGGTGTAGATGATAAAAATTATGAATAAAGCGAAATCCATGGGCCGCGTGCTCCACCGATGATATCTCGCATTATCCCAAACCGAAGACGAGGCCTCTACGGTTAATAGAATAGCGTGTATCACAATGACTATAAGGATGAACGGTTCTGTGAGAGGATGCACCAAGACATCACAAAGACGCATCCTTAGTGGATTATCAGGACTGAATACTCCCAAGGATTTGCCCCTAAACGGATTGGCTTGTGTCCTCCATGCCGTCTTTGCCGTACGTTTTTCGGTGACTCGATCATATATTGGGTCAGCATAACCGTGCACTTCAGGTAAGTCTGGTGGTCCATCAAGTCGCGCTTGCTTTGTTGATTCTTTCCGTAGTATTGCGTTTTCAACTGGTTCGTTACTCAAATTGACGACTCGCTGGGACATCATCTTCATAACAGAGCCTGCCCTCTGCAAAGCCGATCCAGACGCAGATGGGGATATCGAGCGGGAACGACTTTCTCCTGCGCTGTTGCTGCCTCTTCTTCCTCCAATGCCACTCTCCAAATTGAGGTCATCGCCCAACCGCGACCCGTACTGACCACCGCCCAATCGAATGCTCTGCATGCTTGTCCGTTCCTCTGGCTCAACAGTATTCGAGGCACCACTAATAGGCTGGAGATATCGCTGATCGGTCAAATGCGCAGTGTCGCTATTCGGAATTGTTGGCGAGAGCAGGTCCTCCGAATGCGATCTCTCGTGTTGTCCGGATGGCCCAGGATAGGCGCCCATCATATATTCCTCCCCATCGTGAGCGAAAGAAGACGAGCCAGAGGGTGGGCGACCAGCGAACGGTGACTGGAAATCCAAGGCCATCGAGCCGGTGGCTTGAGCAAATCCGCCGGGATCATCGACAAAATAATGATCTTCCGACGTATATGGATTGTGTTCCCTAATCCTTGCTGTAGATGGCTGCGTGACATGAAGGCCGACCCTGTCTATCGGACTGGGCGAGTCTTCTGCGATGCGCTCATAAGTGTTGATGGTCCCGCCAGAGAGTAACGATCGTCTGGGAACATGAGCGCGGGCCCTGCCCGTTGAACCGGCGCTGCTGCTTCGCCTTCGTCCGCGACGTTCACCATCATCGTCCAAATCATGGTCTCTGCCTAGATCTTGCAGGGGAATCGGCTGCTGCGTCGAGGAGTCTGGGCCAGAGACATGGCCCTGATTGCTGGATGCCATGGTTGCTGGCAATTTACTACCCTATCGCATGCATCGCCAATTGATCTCAGTAACCGAAAGAGGCGAGAAATATCATCTAAAACAGGGTATTTCGGTCGAAGGAACGTGGGTGAGTAAATCGGACGGAGATGACCTGGACATTCAGCTCAGCAACCATGCGTTAGTGTTGGAAGCTGCAATGTGGCCGACGGGAGAGCAAGGAGGTGGTGCCTTTACGTCCTCACCGAGTAGCAGAAAAAATAAACGAGCCGATCCTGCGACACCAAAAACGAACGAAAGCATACACACATACGGCTTCTGCGACAGGAAATAAAGTGTTCAGGTGGTGGCCTCTATCAGGACGTAGTCCTGATTAGTATTTCAACAGGCCCCCCGTGCGCGCAGCCACTCTTTTTAATAATAACGAAGCTAAGGGTAATTTAGGCCTAGCAGATCCGTTCTTAGCGCCGGCGGAAGGGCACGGCTGGCTCTGGTTGGCCGGGCCGTCCACGCTGCCAACTAAGCTGGTGCGTACGCTGAGTCTTGCTAGGAACATGCACGCGGGGGGGTATTGTTGGCTGCTTCTGTGACTCGAGCTGAAACTGGCATTTACATTTTAGTAGATAAGTTAATAGGTCATCCTAATTGGCAAGTATTGTCGGCATAAAGGGTATTGAGCACGATATTGGATACTACAGGATGTCACTAAATGGATGAGAAGGGGCTCGTCTCTAGCCCTGAGTTAACAGTCCTGAGTTCTAATAAAAGTTTATTAAAATAGCCAGCGCCGAGGCCCGTCTGCAACTCTCACCCACTCGACGAACCGCTCCCATTGGCTGAAAGCACCACAATTGTCTCACCAACCTTGACAGTTGAACTCAGCCACAGTCACCATCTCTACAATGCATGCTAATGACGCTACAGGAGAGTCGATCCCAGTAATACAGTATGCAGTTGGTACTACAGTATGGTACTAATGGCATTATGCATGGTATATCATGGTAAGGAGTCCTCCAAGTCTAGGATTGATCCGTCTCCATAGTGTCACCTCCCGTTCCAGAATTTCCCCCTGTGGCTTGCCTGTGGACCCCATCCATGAATGCCTCGACAGCATCTCCTCCACCCAATGGCACCCCACCTCTTCGGACAAACCCCCCATTTTCGACTTTGATCTTGAGAGCTTCACTGATGCTGGGTAAGCCACCGTCTCGGAGAGCAACGGTAAGACTCGCCAGGCTTTGCGTGAACTGCGGAGAACGCAAAACACGCTTCAGGATATCCTTCCTTTGGCTGAGATCGAGCGACATCAGTACGGCTTGGGCAGTTTCGGCATTAATATCTGCTGCAGGTATGTCGTCTATATCCTGCGCCAGGAGAAGGAGAGACGGCGGTAGGAAGTTCAGTAAGTTGTTAACCTTCTCATCGTCGGCGGATTCGACCATCGGAATCGTCGACGAGGGCGAAAGTAGGTCGGCAAGGGTGGTGAACAAGTTTTCTGGGGCAGGGGATTGGATGTTTTGATTTCCTTGAAGGGACTGTAGCAGGCCTTGGATCACAGACGACGGGTCGGATTGTGGAACAGTAGCCCTATTTACAGTAACCGATCAGCACGTTGCACATTTTACGCTAGATACATTGCTGGAAATTCAAAAAATCAAGGCGATGAATTTTTTCTTTCTCTTTTTGAATGGAAACAATCTATCAAAGAGAGAAGAACACGCATTTCAAATAAACGCCTGCCAAATGAAGGGGGAAGGAGATGCAAAAAAAAAAAAATAGTACACAATATGCCTGTTAGGGATTTGTTCCCAGAGAGATGTACCTACGCTCGACCACCGTCCGCACCCCCTTCGCGAGATTCCTCGCCCTCTTCGCGGATATCGCCTCCCGTTGCATCAAAGCCAGCACCGCCGCTTCCACTTCCACGATGTTCGCCGCCGTGATGTGTTCCTTCAACATCTTCCATAGTGGCATCATCATCGCCATCGCCGGGTTCATTGCGAGGAATGTTGGCAATTTCTGTTTCGACGTCGACCTCTTCTCCTTGTAATAGGCTATTGACAATTTCGCCCAGCTTCAGATCTCGCGGGCTGAACCATGTGAGATCGCCCTGTTCATGCTGGCTTTTTGATTGGAGCCAGAACAAGTATCTCTGAGAGCTGGACAAAAACTTCAAGACGAAGATGCGCCCATTCGTAGCTGTCTGTCGGTACGGTGCAAAGGTACCGTCGGACGGTACCATCACGAGATCCACTTCAGGATCAGTAAGAGGAGCAGACCGCGGGCGCCAGCAGAAATGAATAAGATCATCTTCAGAGTAGAGATATATGTAGCCTGGCGTGTCTTTCGGCTTTACTAGAGGCGGGTTGGCAGAGGTCTGCGATGCAAACAGTCAGTATTGTTGCTCGGCAAGATCACCTGCGGGATTCCCCATATTTACGCACATCAAGGTCACAGATACCAGCCTTGAAGGTGATGATCGGGGCAGCGATCGACATGATGGCAGTGTCGACGGATGTCAGAGGAATTGAAAGAATGCTTGGACTGCCCGCGCTGTTGGCCAAGCAAGCTATGAGGAGAGAGAGAACAGAGCAGAGTAAGTAGTTAGTAGTAATAATAAACAGCTCGAGGTACGTCAGTCCGTGGCCTAGCACTGCACACAAGGCTCTTCCCCCCAGCCGTAATGGCAAGCTGCATCTGCACGGCAGGTGCGGCTGGCCGGCCGTACCATTGACGGCACCCCCCAAAGCGCACTAGCGCCTTTCGGTTAAAGGATAGGGCTCGGAGTGCCCACAAACCCTTATGATTTCCCGCTCTGGGCCACACCAAGTCACCTTCTCGACTCAACCACCACCATTGTCGACAACACACCCAATTTCTTTCCGGGCAGGTTCTTCGTCACACACGGCCAACATGTCGGACGCTCAGACGAAGAAGTTTGGAAAGGGCGATCGGACGATCCCACACCCTAGCCAGAAGGCTCAGAAGTGGTACCCTGTGGATGACGAGCCGCAACCCAAGAAAGTCAGTAACTACCTTGACGATGATGAACAGTGTCTTGCGGATGGCCGAGTCTGCGAAAATCGATTGTGCGCTGTATATATGCTTGCCAGGGAGGAGAATGTTCCCGAGGTTGCCTTTACTACGACATTTGTGCGATATTTAAACCTGAACGCTAGTTGCGTACATTGATTTATACAGCGCCGCCATGTTCCTGCAAGACACTGGACTAAATTGTTCATACTCGGATTTTTTCAATGACAAAACTCTGACAATACATGTTGTACAGGTCCGCAAGTCCATCCGCCCTACCAAGATCCGCGAAAGCCTCCAGCCTGGTACCATCCTGATCCTTCTAGCTGGCCGTTTCCGCGGTAAGCGGGTTGTGCTCCTCAAGCACTTGTCCCAGGGTGTTCTCCTGGTTACCGGTCCTTTCAAGATCAACGGCGTCCCACTCCGACGGGTTAACGCTCGCTACGTGATCGCCACTAGCGGCAAGGTCGACCTCAAGGGCGTTGACGCCGCTACCATCGAAAAGGTTTCTGCTTCCGACTACTTCACCAAGGAGAAGTCCAAGGAGAAGAAGACTGAAGAGGCTTTCTTCAAGCAAGGAGAGAAGCCAGAGGTATGTTGCGAGAGCACGGTCTAAAACCATATATGTGCTGACCATTTATCCCTCCAATAGAAGAAGAAGATCACCAGTGCTCGCGCTGCCGACCAGAAGGCTGTTGACCAGGCTCTTCTGGCCAACATCAAGAAGGAACACCTCCTCGCCAGCTACCTCGCCACTAGCTTCAGCCTCCGAAACGGCGACAAGCCTCATGAGATGAAGTGGTAGATAATGACGGTTGCATTCGGGGTATTGTTTTAATGGCGTGCAAAAAAAAACAAATGAAAAAAGACCTCTTATCAAAACATGAGAAAGGGAATTCGGCGTTGCAAATGGCCTTTTGTCCCTCCATATCGAGTTGGATATGGGTGGAATGAATATTGCGCGAGTGGGGATAAAGCATCATTTGCACTGCTATCGTTTTTTTAAAGAGTCTTTCACATGGGCTATTATGAGACACATGTAAACTCGACATTGGAAGTCACCAACTTCCCATTTTCATTAGATTTTTTTCCCTGTGCTTGGCTGTTCTACTACTGATATAAATCGGACACCACACAATTACAAAAAATCCCAACCGACTTTTCTGTTAATTCTTCAAATATTGTACAAACTAATTTAATGAACACCATTTCCGACAGCGACAAAACAACTTCGTTACATATCAAGCATTATTATTAACCCTCCTCCTTGTCTTTCCTTTATTCGCCTCTTTAGTGACAGAATCCCCAATATGTCTTTTCGCATCCTCGACCGCCTTGCGAATCTTCTCATCAATATCCAGCGCCGCAATCTCTTCTCGCACATCGTCTTCGATCGAATCGCTACCGCCGACAGTAGAGCCACCCACCCAGTCGAGGATTCCCCATGCGCCGTAGTTCCCATCTCCGCCGCTTATCACATGTAATTCTGTCCGACGTGCCATACCACCTAACAGAATCCCCATTGGTAGAGCCGAGTAGCCCGAGTGAGTAAATGTTTCCTCCAACGAGACGAGGGCAAGGAAGATCATATATGTTGTCATGTGAAAACGGAAGAGCGCAGCAGGTATGTAGAGAGGAAGGAATTTCCAAATCAGGTAGCAGATCGGGTGATCGTAGTGTGCCGTCAATGGCCATGGGGCTCTTAGACCATGGTACCAGGAGTCATGGAGTCTCGCGACAGGTAGGTTCCGGTTGTGCAGAACGAATCGGTGGAGACTATAATTCAAGATCTGTAATCATTCAATGTCAATTATGCTCCCTCCCTCGAAAGTCAAATGCGCAGTCTGAACGACGTACTTCTCTTACAATGAACCCTCTCACAATATCAATGGTAATCCCCCATGGGTACGGCAATCGCACCGCGACTCTGATTGCGCTTCTGAAACGGAGAGTCTTTGTCAATGTGAATTCAATGGCGCCTTGTGCTGCGATACTGAGCAAGATATTGAAGAGAGACCACGCAACGATCTTAGCTTCTGTACGACTGAGTCTCTTGCGTTTGTGTCCAGAAGGTAGTCCGATATTGCCTTGAGCTTTGATGCTCATCGACGCCGCGGGGAGAAGAGCGTCGAAGAGGAAAAAGAACAGCGATGGCACAAGGTAAAAAACGAGTCGAATAGCCAAGGTGCCGAAGAGCTCAACCCTTAGGGGAGAGTGGGATAGAACGAGAGTCGTCCATGTCATCCAGAAAAAGAGGAAATTGAGACTAGTTGTAAAAGGTATAAAATACATGACGAAGTTTGAAAAAATATATAATTTAGATCAGGCAATATATCACATTATGTGATTGAAGGTTGATTCAAATACGGTCAATTTAATTGCCAGAGTATATAATATAATATATTGATGAAGAAAGCATCATGGAAGCAAGGATGCCGTGGAATGCGGTGGCTGGGAGGAACTTCGAAAATACGTACAGCGCGGGGACGGTATGCAGACGTCATCACTCTGCCAATGCCAAGAATTCCAGAACTAAATGCATGGCGGTGGATGAATCCTTGATACAATCAACGTTAGGGGCTAGACTCTTGGAAACATCTTGAATTATTAAAAATAGTGTATATTGATATTAGGGTAATACTAATTTACATCACAACCTAGCAACATACGCACTTTCCCGGCTCGCAGCCCACCTAGGATGTGAGACCTAGGGCCTAGTTGAGGATATCCCATTCTTCTTCCCAAAATTGAAGGCCTTCCCCATAAAATCTGAAATGACAAATAGACATACAATATTAGTGAACCAACTAGCCACAGTGTCGAGGAAGACGCTGTTTCGAGGGCTAATGCCAAGGGAACTCGTCCGCATCACTTGACCAACCATATTGGTTATAATTTGAAAGTCGCCCTTTTCGAGTCCTTTAATGGCAATGGCCGCAACTTCGTCTGGTGTCTGGGGTTTGTCAGCTTCCTCCATGATATGAGTGAGAGCTGGTTTCAATTTCTGCTCGTTTTCGAAGCCTGGACTCGAGATCCCCATAGGGAACACAATGTGAATTTTGACATCTGTGGCAGGTGCATTCGCGTCTTTGCTGCGGCGCGCGCCGTTGTACATTTCAATCTCTTGAACCAGCACGTCGGACAGGTTTCGTATAGCAGCTTTTGGTGGCGAATATGGGCTGTACCCGGTGACGGTGAAAAAGCTCAAAGTGGAAGCCGTGAAAATAAGATGTCTGGGGGGTGATGAAAGATTCGTTCCACTCGACGTAATAGGCGCCAACCACCTTCTTAATGTAGCATGTGCGGTGTATGCAGAAGTCCAATATACCGTATCCATCTGATCTCTTAAGGTCTGGATAGGGACATCGATAAAGTATCCGGGATGGCAGTATCCAGCACAGCACCAAACAGCATCAAGTGCGACACCATTGTTCCACTTGGTGGTTTCGTCCAAAATCCGGTCGGCGTCGTCAGGGTTCGTTAAGTCCGCACTGATATAATGGAAACGTTGTTTGGAGGGATCTACAGCGGCTGCCTGCTTCTGGTCAGATAACTGGCGTGGTACGGTTGTAAAATTGGAACTGTACCTGGATGAGTTTGATGGCAGCTTCAAGCTTTTGAGTGGATCGAGAAACAATGACAATGTTGGCCCCTTTCTGCGCAAGCTGAATTGCCGCAGATCTTCCCATTCCCTCCGAAGCACCGGTTATCAGGATGGTCTATACGTAATTAACAAGTAAGTATTTTCGGATTTTTGATTCCCGTAAGCACTACGATGACGTACCTTTCCATTGACTGGAAATTTGTTTGACCCGAAACCCAGCATCCTATACGCTATTGAAGTGAGAATCCCGAGAAAAACAACAGCAATTGCAGTAGTCCCCTTGAAGTATTCCATGGGATGACCAATGAACACAGAATGAGAAGTAAGAATGAGACTCCACCTAGCAGTACTATGAACTTTGGGCTTACAGCAAGCTATCGGTGGGTTGCAAAGAAGACCGTCTTGGCGACTTGATTTACACTCCAAACATGGTGGCCATTGTAAAGGTAACTAGTTAGTGAAATCATGTCAAGCGGATTATGTAAGCTATACTATTTTATACCAATGATATCTTTAAAGTAATCCCAAATCTATGCTTTTAGAATTGACATCTCATGAATTTTTCGATTATATATTCTGCATAATTAGATATGAGAAGGAGCTGACCGTATTATTTTGCGAGGTTTCTCGAAGCTTGCGTTGGGCCAATAGAAGCAGCAGGCTTCGATGTGGGGCACTTGAAGGCGGTGAAAATAAAGCCAATTTTTGATGATTATCGGAAAAAAAAGAATCTGCCCATTTACGATTAGTGAAACAACCAGCAATCACACTTTTTTGTTGAAAGTCAAAAGAAAATATGGCCGGCAAGAAGAGGAAGGCAAGTGGCCGGCAGCCTTTCACAAAGGCTAAAGATACACCTGCCCAAACCAAGTTCGACTATAACGAAACTTTCGATGATTCCGAGGATGAGTTTGTCGCAGGTCGTGATCACATTTTATTAGAGGACGGCCCGGAGACAAAGAGGCGACGCAAAATTCAAGAAGAAGGTAAGTGCATACTACTCATGTTTTGGGGAGTTTCCTCATGGAATCGTTTACAGAAGCGTACTTTGAGCCGTCCGACGAAGAAGTTCTCGGATACGAGGACGAGGACGACCTAGACGAAGAAGATTTCGATGAAGATGAATATGAGGATGATGGCGAAGATGATTATACCTATGATAAATCGGTCAAAAGGCAGCGTGACGGAACAAGTCCAGTTGCCGACAAAGACGATGAAGAGGAGGGACTCGGTGCTTGGGGTACATCGAAAAAGAGCTATTATAACGCCGACACTATTGAGACGGAAGCAGATGCATTAGAGGAGGAGGAGGAAGCTAAAAGACTTCAACAAAAGCATCTGAGGGCTATGAAAGAGGCCGACTTTGGCTTCGATGAAATTGACTGGGTGGAATCTGGGAAGGGAGCTGACGAAAGCACGCACGATAAGAATGGGGTGATTACGGAAGTTCTGCCCCAGTTAGAAATCACAGATGAGATGAGTGCCGAAGAGCAACTGAAAATCTTGAAGTCAAGATATCCCGAATTCGAGCCTCTCGCCAAGGACTTTGTCGAGCTTCAGCCCAAATATCCAGGATTTTTAGCTGCGGCAGAAAAATCTGAAGAAGCTGTCGACGATGTCTCTACGCATACACCGATATCCATTGTCAAATTCCGAGCTCTTTCAGCTTACCTTGGTTCAATTAGCATGTATTTTGCGCTCCTAACATCGCCAGCCGAAGACGGCGATGAGAAAGTCTTAGCGCTACCGCCGACAGACCTAAGAGAGCATCCAGTCATGGAATCACTTGTCAAATGCAGAAAGCTTTGGGAAATGGTCAAAGATTTACAAATAGTTGACGAGTCAGAACCAGAGGTAGATGAAAGCGATGACATTGGCCTGGATATAGTGAAGGAACAACCCGAGGTAGCGGCTGCATTTATTTCGTCGAAGGAAAAGAAATCAAAGACAGCGACTTCCAACGAGAAGAAATTGACTAAGTCACAGCGGGCTGCAGAAAAGGCTAAGGAAGAAGCACAGGCCCATCGCCTTGAGAAGATCAAGAGGGCAGAAGCCAAACTTACCGAATTGAATGACTTAGTTAAAGTACCAAGCAATAAGAGCCAATCCAAAGTGTCTCAACCACAAGAGGATGATGATTCGGATTTCGGTGATGAAGGCGCTCTCACAGCTCGTGAAGTCGAAGAAAAAGCCAAGAAGAGACGCTCTCTTCGCTTCTACACCTCTCAACTTGCACAAAAGAACAACAAGAGAGACGCCGCGGGTCGAAATGCGGGCGGTGACGAGGATCTACCCTATAGAGAACGTCTTAAGGATCGCCAGGCACGCTTGAATGCAGAGGCTGAGAGACGTGGTCGCGCACAGGCAAATGAAGCTGAACAGTTAGGCGGGGAATCCGACGATGATGATCATCGCTTAGCACTAGAGATTCGTGGCGACGCAGAAGGTACCGATGACGATGAATACTACGACATGGTTGCAGCTCGCAACAAACAAAAGAAAGCAGACAAAGAAGCACGGGCCGAGCTAGCACAGGCCGACCAGGGTGGTCGAGTCGAAGAAATCGAAGAGATCGGTCCTGACGGCAAACGTCGTATCACTTATCAGATCGAGAAGAACAAAGGCTTGGCACCCAAGCGTAATAAGGATGTACGTAACCCGCGTGTGAAGAAGAGGAAGAAGTATGAGCAGAAAAAGAAAAAGCTTGGCAGCATTCGACAAGTGTACAAAGGTGGCGAAGGACGTGGTGGCTACGGTGGTGAACTCACAGGTATCAAGAAGAATCTTGTTAAGAGCGTTAAGCTCTAAACAACGAATCTGACATACTCTGCATTGTTTTTTCGTGTTTATAGAATCTTGTAAATACATCTTTGAAAGTCTTTTCTTTAGGCTCATATGGACACATACGACGAGTAATAATCAAGATTTACCTCTACCTTCAATGTGTATAGAATATTTCTGTTCTGGTTAATAGACCCGCTAAATTGTTTTTGATCCCTGTCTCAGGGCAAGTAGAGAGATCTAACCCTAAGAAATTCCGAGCAGTAGTCTCCTGCTTATGGAAAAGAAGAAAGTTTACAGTTAGTGATGGCAACCATGAATAAGATCATAAATATCTGAATACCAATATAAACTCACCGCTTCCTCTAATATCTTCTTCTCCTTCTCAGATAATCTAGCACAAGCCGACACCAGATTCTCACCTCGAGCCGACAACGAAACCAACTCATTTGCCCTCGAAACGATGGCAGGATCGATACCGTTCATTGCAGCGCAACTATCGTAAACGAAGATCACGTCAAGTCAGCCCCAAGTGCACATAGAACTATTTAGTTTATAACATACAAGGTACCAAAGCTCTGGTTGCTGCGGCCTAGTTTGAAACTATCATGATTTAGCTCTCCATCATTCTGTTTATAGAGACGATATCGTACTTATAGAGATAGGTAAGCTGTTCTTTAGTGTCACGAGTGCTTTCATCAACCCTTACTTCCATATGACCGAATTCGAGAAACTTTCTCGGAGGAAGAAATCCATTCTCAAATATCTCATGAAAATGAGTAGCTGCAAGCACTCTTGGCCTTTTGTCCGCGAGACTCAGGAGATATTCAAATATACCGCAGGCAAGACCAGCTCCATCTATCGGAGGCGACAAAGTGAGTAACCAATGTTATAAACGGGATTCAAAATAATTCATTACCATTAATCCCTGTCCCTTTACCAAATTCGTCAATGACAATGAGGCTCTTGTCTGTAGCAAGTTTTAATAGTAGAGACATCTGCTGTAGATCTATCATAAATGTACTTTGTATCTGCGTTATGTCAGTCATTTGTGTCATCGATAGAGAATTCACTCTACACACCTTGGAGACCGTCTCTGGAGTACTGATACGTGTCAAAATTTTGTCCGTGATACCTATCTCAGCTTTTCCAGCGGGGACAAAGCTGATCACTGTTAACTCCCGACATTTATGATGTGTTGCGATAATTCACCTTCCTATATGGGCCAGATATACGATCAAAGCGATCTTTCCATGTGAGAGATGACGAAAATTCCTCATCATATTATACTTACTTGTTTCATATACACGCTTTTCCCGGAATAATTTGGTCCAGTTAATATTAACATACTCGGAGAACTTGCAAAGGCTTCAGGAGCAACCTCATTTTCACTCTGTAATGGATTTGGCTCCTCGCCACCATGGAGATAAACATCATTCGGGACGTATGAAGCAACTGTAAGCTCCTGAAGGGGATGTCTTCAGGATTAAATCAGCTTCGACTGGAAAATTTAAGGTAAAAAGTCTGACCGTCCATCTTCGATGCGTATTGTGTTTCGTTCCGAAATCTGTGGTCGTACAAATTTGTAAATACTCGCAGTTTTTGCCATTGCAAGATAGCTGACCGACTTCTTAGACCAAAGCTAGTGATTTGAAATTCATAACATACCAATCGAGCTCTCCGCACAGATCTGAAGACTCTAAAAGAATTTTCTCATAAACCAGGACTTTCTGGGCGAGTTCATGGGCAATTTCAATTTCTCTTTCTGGAGCTTGTCAATTTCTTCTGAGCCGAATGATTAACCATAGTTGTTCTACCACAGATTAGCCCATAGATATCACCTAGCTCCTCGTCCATTTCCCTCATTCGATCATCTTTAAAGTAAGCCCGGTTCTCAGTTGTGAATATTTGCTCCCAATTTCTATCCCTCCCTATGTACGCCGCGCGTCCACTGTTGTCAAAGGGAATAGCGATATTGAACCCTAGTTGTGGGAAGTATATCACGTTAACATCGATAGCAAGTTGTCCGGGTATAGTAGAAGCGATATTGATAGCGACCTCTCTTAACAGGCTATCTAGACCATTATAACGGTCTTTCGTAAGGTCAAGTTCTCGATCTACACCAGATTTCACAATCGTGCGTTGTTGCTGCTGAGACTCCTCAATATCAACCTAACAATCAATAAGAACAAGTAATAGACACAAGGACAAGTAATAACCGTAGTATAAATTAAATTTCCCACGCTGTAAAGGCTGGAACCATCGAGAACTTTGAGAGCCTGCGAGAATGTTAGAAATGTAACCCATGTGTGTCTGAAACCCACCTTATCACGAAACGCTATCGAATCTTGCCAAGCTATCTCTCCCACTGCGTCTTGGAGATCAATGGCATAGAATGCAAACTGAATTGAGGCATTAGCAATTATAACGAATCGGCAGTAAGCTTACATTTAGCAATGTCCCCCAAATAGTACCTTTGAACCCTCCAAAGGTGCCTTTCCCAGTGCTGAGACCTTTATGAAGACTCGTTATTATTGGGCGCATGTTCTTGGTCTTTTTGAGACTAGCATTTAGTTTTTGCACCACAGATGCATTGACAGGCCGCGAGAGTACATCAACTATATTCTGTCTCTTCGATATGATATCCAACTCAATACTGGGGCGGAGAAAATATTGTTTTAAGCGCTTCTTTCCTTGGGGTGTAAGGAGGTGTTGATGAAAAATACCATACAAGGAGAAGTCCTCTTTCCCCTGCGAGGATGTTTTTCCTGGTCCCTGATTGAAAACATTCGGATGAGACTCAGACTGTAGTATTTGCAGTGAGGAAAGAGTATCTGGGCTGATGTACCTTCTACATTTAAGTAATAAATCCAGACATTTCTTATATGCATGCTCACTCACATTGTCCCCTTGAGGAAAAATGTCTCAACTGACCGGACCGCGTAAACATCAACTGTACTCTCCAAAGAAATAGTTTGCTCATTCGTTCTCTGTCGGTGTATATAGGTAAGGACGGCTCCGGTGCACCCTATAGAAACGGAATTCTCGATATCAACTACTCCCGCGAGACGCAGAAGCTTTCCCTTCTCAAACGAAAATCCAACATTCTCATCATTTACCTCCTCAATCTGCGTTAACCCGTTTCCAGGCACTAAAAACTGAGCAAGTTCTTCCTGCTGAAAGATATCCAGATTAGCTAATTTTGCCTTTGCGCTGCTGACATTGAATTCTTGGGCAGGTCGGATGTCGAGCTGGTATGGAAAACGGAATTGATCATCTAGCACAAATTAGTGGGACTCTGAGGTCAAGAAAAAACTACAGACCACGATTATGTTGCAGATTTGCTGCAGCTTCCTCGGCTCGCATTGAAGCAAGCAGCATCGTCGGCCCAACTTCAAGTTTCACTGATCAAAGACTGATGCGTTAGAATGAGAAGTCAAATCATGAAGTGGAAACCGACACATATCAATAACATCCTTTCCCCCTAGTTGGATATCACCGAGAATATAGAGCCGCCCCTCTGACACGACATAATAGGAGCAGCCAACGGTACCACGCTCCTTCAAGTCGACAGCCATGATGACCTGGCCAACATCATCACTCCAGTCAGGTTCCTCGGCAGCCTCTCCAGGCACCACATTGTCTTGATGTCTGTCTCGTGTGTTTTGAGAATATCGCAACTCGGCACGTCTTTCAGAGAAGTGTTCATGCGCCAAGTGAGAGGACATCAATTCGGTTCTTCCTGGTGCAAATCGTTGCGAATTTGAGGACTGGTAAGAATTGCTAAACACAGATTCTCGTCTCCTCTTTAAATTCGCCATAACCAAGAACAATGCGCTTGCAGGCTTGAGAATGTTTAAAGCAAAGGGCAGTTGATGGAATATGAAGAGTTGTTAATTGACTTGTGTGCAACTACTCGCTACGTTCCTTCCTCGTCTGCTCAGGGAAGGCACCTACCCGACAGCTAACATTGACAACGTCGAATTACCTTCACGTTAGTACATGGGCAATCGACGCCAATTGATCCAGGGACTCTTTTACGATCGTGAATAAGAGTTGAATTATCATTATTACGAATGGGCAAAGATCTCAGAGAGGAGACGATGCGAATACTATACACTATCAATACAAACACATTTTGTACACCTGCCACAGACCCTTCCAATCCAGCAGAATTGATAAATTGCACCAAATATTGAGAACGCCACGCATGCAATTCATATTACACATAACTTGGTACTAGTAATTAGGCAGGAACGACTTCTAAACCGCTCTTGTCGTCATTGAATTTTACTCGAGCGGTTTGTCCGGCGGTGACTTCACCTCGTATGATTTTATCGGCCAGTCGGTTGCCAATTTCTTTCGCAATGAGACGATTGAGGGGACGGGCACCGTAACGTGGATCATAACCCTTTTCACAAAGCCATTCCTTGATTTCCTCGTCGACTCGGATTGTCATTCGTCGGTCATCAAGTCTTGCCTGCAGTTCCTTCAGTCGGATGTCGACAATGTCTCGTAGGGCACTCTTTGACAATCTCTTGAATATGATAAATTCGTCGAGACGATTGAGAAACTCTGGAGGGTATGCTGCTTGAACAACATCCATTACAGCCTTCTTCACATGAGTTGGAACATCTCCTTCGTCAGAGATTTCGTGTTTATGCAAGGGATCTAATCCAACCAAGATATCAGCCCCCAAATTGGATGTGAGGACAATAATTGTGTTACGGAAGTCGACCTTGTGGCCCTGGGAGTCAGAAAGAAATCCTTCGTCGAGAACTTGTAGCAAGAGGGCTGATATATCTCGGTGAGCCTTTTCGAACTCATCAAATAACAACACGGCATATGGTTTTCTTCGCACCGCTTCAGTAAGTTGACCGGCGTCGTCGTAGCCGACATATCCAGCAGGAGCGCCAATCAGCCGGCTGACCGTGTGTTTCTCTTGAAACTCGCTCATATCGAACCTCAAAACCGCACTCTCTGTTGAAAAAAGGAAGCCGGCCATCTTCTTGCAAAGTTCCGTCTTTCCAACACCGGTGGGACCCAGGAACATGAAAGACGCAAGTGGTTTGTTTTCACCACTCAGGCCAGCCCTTTGCATTCGAACAGCGTTTGCCACAGCTGAAAGTGCTTCGTCTTGACCGCGTACAGATTGGCGCAGGGTATCTTCCATATGAATCAGTTTTTCGACTTCTCCTGCCATCAATTTTGTGACAGGTATGCCAGTGGTCCGCGAGACAACATTTGCAATGTCATCGGCAGTGACGGAGTCGTGGATTAAAGTCTGATCATCCTTGACTTCAGCTCCTTCTTGGGGTAGCTTTTCCTCTAGACTTGGTATCACAGAGTACCGCAACTCACCCGCTCTGGCGTAGTTGCCTTCACGCTGTGCCTTTTCAAGTTCAAAACGAGACTGCTCCAGTTCTTCCTTAGTTCGTTTGATTTGATTGATTTCTTCTTTCTCTTTATTCCAGGTCTCCATAAGCTTTGAAACCTCCTCTTGTTTTGATTTCAACGTTTCCTGCAGCTTCTCTCGGCGTTCCCTACTCGTAATGTCCGTTTCTTTTCTGAGCGATTCCAACTCAATTTGTATGGTGGTAATTTCTCGGTCCAGTTCTTGGATAGAGTCTGGTTTAGACTCCTGTTGTAGCCGAAGTGCTGATGCGGCTTCATCCACTAGGTCAATGGCTTTGTCTGGCAGGAAACGGTCCGTGATATAACGGTTGCTGTATGTAGCAGCAGCCACAATTGCTGCATCGGTGATTCGTACACCGTGATGAACTTCGTATTTGTTTTTGATCCCACGTAGAATTGATATCGTGGAAGCTACCGAAGGTTCACTGACCAGGATAGGCTGGAAACGTCGCGCCAAAGCCACGTCTTTTTCAATCAATCGATATTCGTTCAAAGTGGTGGCACCACAGCATTGAAGTTCGCCCCTTGACAGTGCTGGTTTCAGCAGATTACTCGCATCAATGCTACCTTCGGCTTTCCCAAGGCCGAGAAGGGTATGTAGCTCATCAATGAAGAGAATAACACCGCCTTGAGCATCTTCGACCTCCTTCAAAACTGCTTTCAGTCGTTCCTCAAAGTCACCTCTAAACTTCGCTCCTGCAATCAGGGAGCCCAAATCCAGTGCTATGACTTTTTTATTCTTGATACTCTCCGGCACATCACCCTGAACAATTCGCTGCGCAAGGCCTTCCAAAATTGCTGTCTTTCCGGTACCTGCAGCGCCTATGAGGACAGGGTTGTTCTTCGTTCGGCGGGAAAGAACCTGAATTGTTCTGTGTATTTCCGCGTCTCTTCCAATTACAGGGTCAAGCTTTCCAGATTTGGCCTTTGCGGTGAGATCAACCCCGTATTGATCCAAGGCTGACTTTTCATCGCCACCTCCCAAATCCATCCGATGCGTACCACCAGGAGGCTGCGGACGACGTCCATTCGAATATGTTCTTCGGTTCAGGAATAGCGGCGGGTGATAAGCTTGCCGGGCGAGAACTCCGACGCTCATGAAGTGACCTGTATAGGTCGTTCGCTGTGGCACTCGACATGATGCGATTGCCGATGGGCGACATGACCGTGCCCGGCCAAGGATAAGTCTTGCCGACGACATCACTATGCAATTTGCTCGATAGCGAGGAGCATGCGTCGACAATGCAAGGGCGGCTCTGCAGTATTATTATAATAATAATTCCAACAAGCTGCGGCCAAACGCGGAGCTTTCCAGAAAGCTCCAAAAGAAGCTTGGGCTGCTCTCTTAGCGGGCGGTGGCGGGCAAGCACCTCAGTGGCTGGGCAACGATCACGTGGCTCTGCTAAGGAGGGGCCTCCCGCTTAGAGAAAATTCTCAACTCAAATTTCCAGACACGTTGGATTGTTCCTCCCCTCCTCATTCATACCGCTACTCTCCTCACCACCCTATTTTCGAGCTTTATTCTACCCCAGAATACTCTCACACTCCACCACAATGGGTTTCACCGACTTTGTATCAGATGCTGGCCTGACCATTGCCAACAGCTACCTCTCCACTCGGAGCTACGTCGTTGGGTAGGTTGCGAAGATTTTGCCTGTTTTGCTTGGAGTATTTACTGCCTTTCCTCCCTCCCCTTGATTCCCCCTACACCTTGCTTTAGTATGATGAAATCAAATTGGTCCGTGTTTAGGAGGCGGCTTAAGACACCGCTGTATGACTACACACAATGCGAGTAATCGCGCTTCTGATATTTATGGCAATGCACTTCGTTTTTGCTAGCACCATATTCTGCCGATCAATGTTTATTTACTAGAAGCTGACGCATTGATGTAGCCATGCTCCATCTCAAGCGGATGTTGTAACCTACAAGGCCTTCAGTGCCGCCCCTGATGCTGCCAAGTACCCTCACGTTGCCCGCTGGTACTCCCACATTGCCTCCTACGAGTCAGAGTTTTCCACTCTCCCAGGTGACCCATCCAAGGCCTTCACTACCTACGGCCCAGAGACGACGGCGCTTCCCACCAACCCTAAGGATAAGCCCGCTGAGGATGATGATGACGATTTGGACCTCTTCGGCAGTGATGACGAAGAAGAAGAAGACCCAGAGGCTGTCAAGGAGCGTGAGGCTCGTCTTGCTGAGTACAAGAAGAAGAAGGAGGCCAAGGGACCCAAGCCTGCGGCCAAGTCTTTAGTCACTCTTGAAGTTAAGCCATGGGGTGAGTTTTCGTCCACGATTTGTCAATTAATATTGGTCCGGTTCTGACTCTTTGTAGATGACGAGACCGACCTCGCAGAGATGGAGAAGAACGTCCGTGCTATCGAACAGGACGGTCTTGTCTGGGGTGCCTCTAAACTTGTTGCCGTCGGTTTCGGTATTAAGAAGCTTCAGATCAACTTGGTCGTCGAGGACGAGAAGGTCTCCACCGATGAGCTCCAACAGAAGATCGAGGAGGACGAGGACCACGTTCAATCCACCGATATTGTAAGCTTTTATCCTCCGCTTGTCGACTTGGACGTTGCAAATCTAACCATTCATAACAGGCCGCTATGCAGAAGCTGTAAATGTGATGTGCTTATGAAACCAGGAACGGGATGATGAATATGGACGTTGACGCCTTTCAGAATCATTAAATATCATGACTTTTCTTTACCTAGACACCGGCCGGTGTAGATCCTGGCCATAAAAAAAATTGAAAGTCGCGTTTAAGTGGCACCCACAGCCTTTTTCTATATCTTTAACCATAATTATTTTTATATCGATCACGAAACAGACCAGCTCTGTAAACCTGGTAAATGTAATGCATGAATATGCGGTTCTCTTAGATCGTGTTATTTTGTAGCACAACACGGACCCGCCGTTTTATGGTAGCTCGGTGGATTGCCGGCGGGAGCTCGAACTTCCAACACTCACCTCTTAATAAAATCACACTCGGGCTTCATATTATCCGGGCTTCATATTATCAAACCCACATACGCCCTTCCAACTCCAACAATAACTTTACTCCCGAGGATTATGACTTGATGTGACATTATCACAATTTCATCTTAATCCAACCCAAACCCCCACAACCACCTTTCACAATGGGCTTTATTTCACGAGTCGTCACCTTCTTCGGCCTCATCCTGCTAGCGCATGCGTACGTGGCAACCCAAGCGAACATTTAACATGTTTTTCAACGCATGATTACTAACCGCACATGCTTAATTATAGAGGCTACTCCGCCCACGAACACACCACCCTCTACAGCAACGTCGCACATTCATCTACGGTATCGACCACTAGCCCCCTCGGCGTCCTACCTCTCGACATTACGATCGAGGCATTGCTATCTGTGGTAGTGGTGTCAATTGGGCTGGTTTTGGGGACTGAGAAGTTGAAGCCGATTACGCACAGCGCTTGGGCTGGTCAGATTGAGCGCGAGGGCGGAGGGAGGAATCCATACAGGAATTTGGAGGAAAGGGCTGGGTTTTGGGACGTTAGAGTAAGCTGCGAGCGCTTTTTTATAATGCTGAGTTTGGATCGAGAAGCTGATTTGATTTTTTTTGTTCTGTGCAGAAAAGTCGGAAGGAATTTGCGGATTGGATGCGCGCGGACGGTCAGAATGCGGTTAAGAAGTCATAGGCGAAGGGGTTTGTTGTATTGAAGTAAATTTATTGGGTTGGGGGTATCAGTAGATTTAATTCATTGGGTCAACTGGTGTATTGGCAGTTGAAGAGTGCCGACGTTCTATATGCAAACTATGGCAACTCAGTCCAAATTATTGGCTCAAGCGACGTTAATTTGGTTCTAGATGAATCATCACTAGCAAATTCAGAACGCCTCGATCTAGACAATTTCACTGCTGTCAAGTACATATTATTCTGCCTAGTCTTGAGATTCAATATCGATATTGCTCTAGTTCTTGGAGGTACGAACATAAATTCATCCGATTAATGTTACAGCGCAAACTTGGAAGAATAACATTTGAAGTAGAGGCTAGAAACAAAATCTAATAATTATTCAATTTCAACGTTGAACGTTGAACGTGCTTATGACTTGTGGCGGTCGCCACCATCGACTGATAACCAATGTATTCCAATAGTTCATACCCGTAGGGCTTGCGGTTATCAATATATAAAATCCACATTGCACATGTGAATTGATGGGAATTCGAGGGTGATCTAGGCCAGGTCACAGAGACAATACATTATGATTATATATAAACAGTTGACGTATCAATTGATCTGATTTCGAGCAAAGAACTGCCTGACAGCATTTTAGAATGATGTATTAGGTTCAGCTCCTGTTGAATGGAATCATGCAAAATGGTCGGACTAGGCTGAATGAAGCGTCGGGGAGACGCGTCAGATGCCAATTGCCAAGTTTATTATTTAGTGCTAGTAGTAACATTTGAACTTTCTGGTGTCAAGTTTCAACCGGTAGCTTAGGCCTGAATGCATGTCTTTTCTTAGTATGGCTGATGCCTCAACCATACCTGGTGTTTACAGAGACCAGAATAATCATACGCTTTCAAAGTACTCGGGTGTAACCAGCGATAAATATCATAGCAATAATGAACCATTGCCAATAATAACTTGACCACTCACTGGCTTATTATTAGTATTCTGTCTTTCCACGTCCCCAAAAGAGCCAGCACTAGACCAATGGAGTCGAGATATTGGTCGGCTCTCCAATCGGCTCGCCCAGGCAAGGCAATAATTAATCTCGGAGCGTTATGCAAGGAGCAATAGTCAATAGTCAATCCTTAACAAACGTTAAAGCGGTCGAAAAGCAAATACCATTGCGGTAAATTAAAGCAGAGGGGGTACCGTAGAGTGTGCTGTTAAGCACGCCTCCTGGGTGAATGTCTCAGACTCAGCCAAAAAGTTGATTAGGCTTCTCACTCCAAGTTTCGCAGTGGAGCCGCATCGCCCGCCCGTCAATGGTCACATCGCTATAATGACGATGATTGTTATTAGCAGGTCATGATCACCGACAGCAGCAGACAAATGACGAATCAGGCTCTAAGCCCCTGCTCGCGAGCCGAAAATGAAACAAGTCGGACGCCACCCGTGCGCTGGACTCGCGAGACTGCGTCCGGGCGAATCATGCTCAGCCACTAGACGGTCTGCGGGGGGAGAGATGGCAAAGAGTGCCAAAATTGCATAGGGTCTCACTTCTCAGCCAATCTGGCCCTGCGTTCGTCTGAAAAAACAAAACCTGCACTGTACAATGAGCAGTGAGCAGCGAGCACCAAGGTGGAGCTAGCCGGCCTGACAAGGGCCATTGCCTTGTTTGTTGTTCTCATCAATAATAATAATACGACGTCCGGAGTACTAGTCTAACTCGATGGCGAAGCTTATGACCTGACCTGGGGGAAGTGACCCTGGCCGTATTTAAAGCGGCCGTTAGCTCTCTTTCTTCGACGGCCCCTTGACTTTCACCCGTTTCCATCGCCAGGCCAGTCGTTACCTTGGGACTCTCAAACCACTCCCTAATCATAATAAAAACACCACTCGCTATCATCATGCGTTCCGTTCTTGCTGTCATTGCCTTCTCGGCTGCCGTTCTCGGCGAGACCTCTGTTGGTGAGACTACTGTTGGCGAGACCTCTGTTGCTCCCGTGTCGGTGGTAAGTTCTTGAGACGAATCAAAACACTGCCATATCGCTAATTGACCATCATCAGTCAAACCCTGCCACGCAGTACCTGACTGAGACCAACTCCCTCGGTGTCGTCACTGGCCAACCGACCGCCGTCACCACCCAGCCAGAAGTTGTCACCTCGCAACCAGCAGCTGTCACTACCCAGCCTGGACTTGTGTCTATCCCCGCAGGACTGACCACGCCTGTTGTCGTGCCTACGCCAACTACATCGAAGAGCGCGGGTGCTTCTACCCAGTCTGGCTCTACTGGTACTGCTTCTGGAACCGCTTCTGGCACTGCATCCGGCTTGACGACTTCTGGTTCGCCGTCTGGATCTGCGTCGGGTACTTCCAGTGCCTCAGGCTCAGGCTCAAGTTCTTCGCACACTGGTGCTGCTGTCCCTGGTGCCACTGCCGGCCCTGCCGGCATTTCTCTGCTTGCTGCAGCCGCCTTCGCCATGCTCCTGTAGGGTTGTTGAACGGCTTCTCCTATCTCACCTCCTTTTCTTGGCCTCTAATTCCCTTCCAATTGCTGGCATAGCCGAGCCTGCCCTCTCCTGGTGTCACGCGGGTTTTCTGTTACTACGTGATAAATCCGTTGCCTGTTAGGTGTACATGCTTGTTCTAGTAACTGGAGCATATCTTAGAATTTTAATAATGGACGAATGAGCGATGACAATTGTGTTTCTGTGTTTGGTAATAGATGCTCCGGAAAGATCATCGAAATAAAGCAATGTGTAAATCGTAGACAGCATTCCTTTCCCCAGATTCAATCTAACCCGAAGAGGACATATTGAACACGGCGGCGACGCGTTGTTATGAGCTAGGCCGGCCTAGGCTTAGCGGTAGCCGCGCGAGAGCGAGAGACGCTCCTTCGGCTTCCCCAGCAACACAAGCAACCAACATCAACGGCCGGTTGATCTCCCCGACGCCGCGCAACGAGTCTCTTTGCCTGCAACGCTTTCTCGATTTCCGACTCTTTTCACCGCTTGAGATTCAGAAGTGGCTATACAGCGACACAATCTCGGCCATTGCAGAAGCTCGGCTACGTGCTAGACGATTCCTCGTGTGCATATCAAGCTGTGACAAGCCGCAGAGAGATCCCTCTCACATCGCAAAATGGTACGTATAGCGTCTTGATTGTCTCGTCCGATTCGCCAAACACAACAGCACGCTTCTCAGGTTTCTCATAGTCACTCTTTCTGCTAACACTATCGTCATCAGGTTTCTAAATTGCGTCGGCTTATCGCCGACCATGCAGACCTGCACAACTCCGACCTTCCACCAAATTATCTCTTTCCGGAAGCAGACAGCCAAACATCAGACGACCTCAGTCAACTTACAGTCCTTCTCGCGGGTCCCCACGGCACACCGTACTCGGCCGGACTGTGGCGACTTCACCTCAAGATCCCCGATGATTACCCCGCCAGCCCACCAAAGGCCGCTTTCAAGACACGCATCTGGCACCCGAATGTGGAGGAGTCCACTGGAGCTGTATGCGTTGATACGCTTAAACGGGATTGGGAATCGAAATTGACGTTGAGAGATATCCTTGTGGTAGGCTTCGAAAATAGTACGAGCATGGCCTTGGGTCGAGCTAACAATACCCCATAGACCATATCATGCCTTCTCATTCATCCAAACCCGGACTCGGCATTAAACTCGACTGCTGGATCATTGCTTCAGGATGATTATAACGAATTTGCGCGTCAGGCAAAGCTCATGACGTCGATACACGCACTAGTACCTGGAAACATGACACGGTCTGTTTTGGAAGCCAAGCGACGAGGTGAAGACCCTGAGATGCTCTCCAGACTTGAGAACGAGCAGCAACAAGCGGCACACCTGGTCCAAGAAACAAAGAAAACAAATTTAGTTATGAAAAAAGCAGCCCCAGCAACGTCGGTGGAGACGCTCGCTCAAAACCCCGATGACAATATGCTATCTGATAGTGAGGATTACATGGATGATTATAAAGAGAACGACCCTTCATTATCCCCCGAACCCGTAACGAATATACCATCCTCTCGAAGGAGCACGCAGGAAAAAAGACCGCTATCGGTTATTCCCACCGCACCGCTCCAGGATGCTGACGTGGTCATGTACGACAGTGCTTCCGATGACGAGAATGTATCCGACGGCATGACTGCATCAGAGAGAAATATTGCGGCCAACACAAGCAACACAACATCACCTTCCTCATCTCTCCAAAATTCCATGTCGCCACCAGCGCGACAAGCGCCACAGAAATCCCTTGCCTGGGATACATCCAACTCGAGCTCATCATACGCAATCTATGAAGACGAACAAGGCGAACCTGCAGCGAATCTGAACCGCCGCGTCAGCTACGGTAAAGAGAACCTCGTAGATGGCTTTTTCTCGACAAAGGGATCATCATCATCCCCATTCACTTCTCTGCCCGCCGCATCACTAGTCATGAAATCGCCTCATCCGAAAAACCCATTCACGAATTCACCTCACACCCACCCTGTTGCTGCCACTGGGCCCTTTGAACCGCGAAAAGTCACGAAACCAGCTCCCGGCAGTGGTGTTCGGAGAGGTTTAGCAGCAATGAAGGGCAAACCTAGGATTGGACTCCGACGCTTGTGAGGTACTAGCAGTTTGCACAAAACAGTATTTTGCATCCATACTTGGACATACTTGGATACGGACATTGGAGTTTGGGACTCCGGATAAAGCATATAAAATCGACGAAACTTTGATGACGACAACGACAACGACAACGACAATGAGGACAGTGATGATGATTACGACAGGCAATGAATAGATACAGGGCACAGTATGAACATAGGCACAAATGCATAGATACAAATGTGGTTGGGTGGGCGTTTGGTTTGGTTGAGCTGTTTTCGAAATGAAACTTGTGTCATTAAGGAGTTTAGGCGATTTGCTTCGTTTGTTTGTTTCTCTTTTGGTAGAGACCAATCCCATGGTCGTCTTGAATTTCAATCTTTGAACACCGGTTTCATCTGTTACATAGTTACATACTATCTCCCTCCAAAGAAAATCAACAACTTGAATACATACGATAGTAGATGAAAACTGCAAACGATAAATAAAATTGGAATTTCGGAAAATAACTATGCCAAATATTTCTAGACCATGTATCCGTCTGCAGGCGATAAAACCAGCAAAAGGACCGCACTCGTCTGTGCTAACATAATCAATCTCCCTTTCTCATCTTTCTTTCCCCTAGAGATATATCTGTGCCGATCCAAGTCAGTCAGATATATAAATAAGACCCTCTCTTATCCCATCAGTAATGCCTGTCGGTGTGACGTCCTGCAAGGAATCGCTAATAAAAAAAATGCAAATTTTCGCCATATTCAACTGCAGGTCCAAGCTTGTACAAAAAGCAAATCTGATTACCCTCCCCAACCTCTTTGCAGCGTCGGGCGACAATAATTAGAAATGACCGATGCCTCCTGCAGGCGGCTTCGCGTCCAAGAGTATATAAATGTCTGGACAAACCAATATCACATGAAAGGGAATCCAGAAACAGCTAGCGTTATAACAAAATTTGATGGGACGATCAGGCGCCGACGGAAAGCACAAGCTTCAAGGACAAGTGATAATAGATAGACCGTCGGGTTATACAGTCAAAGCGTCAAACGGTTCAATTAGCAATTGCTATTACTATGAAAGGTTGCATTTCATAAGAGAAACACTTTTAGCATGCGAGGAGCTGGAAAACTCCTTAAAGAGCATACGGGTTGACAGAACGAATAGTTAAGCACCTATTAATCATCATTAGTATCAAAGTCGGCAAGATTTGACAAGGGAAAGCTTACGGTGGGCTCTTGCTCAAATCAGTCTTGAGGATAATAGGAACACGAGTCATCTCGGTCACATCTTGAATGTACTCGCCGTCTTCCTCACGAAGCTTGAACAGGTCCAGATACTTCTCTTTGTTTGTCAGCTTGGCCTCCGGCGTTTCGCTGGCACTTATAGTAATCTTGGGGTCAGAGCGAGTGCGATGTGGAGCCTGGTCAGAGTGGTCATTACGAGTGGGCGATGGCGGCATGCTGTGAGTTGTTCGATCGGCAGAAGAGTTGAGAGACACGCCAGCAGCCATTTCTGTCACTTCGGACATGTCATCATCATCATCGAAAAGGGCATCAACATCATCGGTCGACATAGTGCCAGTCTCAGTCTGCTTGCGCTGAGCCTCGTCTCGTTCTCTGGCACGCTCACGAGCTGCCTCTGCTTGCTGAGCAGCAGCGGCAGCATGGGCTGCTCTGGAGCTGCTTGCATTGGGGCGCTCATCTTCGGGAATGTAGGCCGAGGATGGCACACCCTTCTCCCAGTACAACTCAAGAACACGGGTTTCTTTGCGGAACTCTGCTTTCTTCAATGGAAGCTGGTCACAATGCACGCGCTTTTCAAAGCCAAATTCAGGAAGGAGAACATCAAAGGCCGATTCATACACACAAAGAACGATTCCTTCGCTGATAAGGTCACCGCCAATTTCCTGCCTCTTCTTATCCATAACACGGCACGACTCAATGTGGACGCTCTGTTCTTGAGCGTTGTGAGCCGAGTCCTTCTTGTTATTACATTGCTCGGCGGTCTTAGTCAATGTGTCGATGTCTTCGGAAAACTCAATCGCTCCATCAGACAAGATGGAATCCAGTTGACGGTGCACGATAATGTCGGCATAACGTCGAGTAGGGCTTGTGAAGTGGGTATAGATGGGTAAGTTAAGCGCGTAGTGCTGGCGTTGGGCCTCAGTCAAGTTACCAGCAACAAAGTATTTGGCGCGTTGCATTGCTTTGATTAAAACAGTTTCCATACCCTGTATCAATTAGCATATTTCTAGGAATTGGCCAGCTTGCTTCTTACCTTGCGAATATCTACATCTTCCACCTTGAAAAGACTGGCTTGCAAGGTTCCACTGCTAGTTGGGTCAAAGTCGAAGCCCAATCGGTTCATCCTTTCAACGAATGTATGAAGTCTGCGGGAGTTGGGAACAGCTTGGCGTCGAAGGAACGCCTTGTCAGGCATTGCTGCGAAGAGCTTGCGTGCAACGAAGAAATTAGCCTTGTGGTTGAGCTCTTCAATAAGTTCGTGCGCAGGGGAAGAGTTGAATATGTTGTGCTCAACCGGCATGTTTTCATCGTCGAGTTGATAGAAAAGACGTAATGATGGGATGTTAGTTGCACGGTTACCGAATCTGGTTTCCTTGAATTTGGTAGTAATAGACTGCGATGATTAGCTATAAAGAAATGGCCATTTGGAATCAAGAAATACTTACTCCTAGAAGACGGATCTCGTCAGCACTAGCACCTTGTAAGGAAACATTGGAATTTCCATTGATTGCGGCATCGACGTCATCATAGCTGAGCTTGCCAGAGCTCTTGATGACACCTTTTCCAATCCAAACGTTGTCATCAATCGCACCATTGGTGGGATCTACCTGGAAGACAACACTGACAACCAAACGTTCCTCGCCTGGAAGCAAGGAACAAAACTCAGTTGATAGGCGGGCTGGCAGCATATTAACAACGCGGGTCAGAAGATACACACCCGTGCCTCTCTTCTTCGCTTCCCGGTCCACGAGCGAGTTCTGTTTCACGAAATGCGCCACGTCAGCTACGTGGACACCAAGTTCAATCTTGCCATCAGCGAGATTCTTTATGTGAAAAGCGGCAGCTAGTTCCTTGGTGCCAGTAGGATCGATGGTAAAGGTCTTCTCGTCCCGGAAATCACGACGAGATGCTAATAATGCATCGCCTTCAGAGGCTGTAGTCCAATCTTCCCAGCCAACGTTCTTCAACACGGCCTCTGAGAACTCGTCGGCCGCAAAGTTGTTGTCACGAAGGAGGGCGTCGGTTTCAACCTTCAAATCGCCCATTTCACCCAGTTGCTCCACCAAAGTTCCAAATGGGTGAAGGGAAGTGATAGGCCATCTCTTGATACAGGCGACGAAAATGCGGTTCGCGTAGTCTTGATGTTTCTCAACGAAATCACGGGGAGCTTGTTCAGTTGGGATAGCAATCAATGGCACACGTTTGTCAGTAGGCTTAAACCACACAATCTTAGGTTTATCTTGCTGGCGGTCTTGATGACGACCATGCCCACCATCACGAGCGGCACGTTCAGCTTCTTGCTTCTCCTTTGTGGCTTGGCTGCTTGGTCGAAGAAGGCCAAGCGTTCCCGAGAACATTTGACCGGCGACTCGTTCGATGACGGCAACGACATGACCAGCATAGAGAGGCTTCTGTTCATCGCTAATTTCATCCTCCTCAACTAGTAGAAGGCTTTGACCTTCAACTTCCACATCATCGTTTTTCTTCTGCGTAGGGCGCTGGCGTAGACTGCCACGACGACGGATGCTACCATCAGGACCGACTTGTTGGTTATCGCCATTGGCACCGGAATCAGATCGAGACACCTTATCACCTGATCTGGTATCGGTGATATCTTTGCGTTTCTTCTTCTCTTCCTTTTCCCGTTTTTGACCCCAAACTTCATCTACATCCAACAACTCTATAGCGACAAAGTCACCCTCCAGGGCGCGATTGCGATCCTTGCTACCGCAAATGAAAATATCGGCATCAAGATCAGCGCATGTAACATATGCGTCGGATCGGTTCTTCTTATTCACTCGCAGAATGCCCGAAACCAATTGGCCGTTACTTAGTAACGCAGGAAGGTTAGCTTGGGGAAGATAGGGAGTAAAAAGCGTCTTGCGTTGTTGCTGCTGCTGTTGAGCGGTGAGCTGTTGAGGTGCATGCTGGCTACCCTGAAGACCAATTTGGCCGTTGATTTGGCCACTTTGTTGCATAGCCTGGATTTGAGCGAGCTGGAGAGGATTGAGTTGTTGACCATTAAATAGCTGCGGGGCCATAACGACTTGACCCTGGGGGAGCTGAAGGAGTTGTGGTTGATTATACTGGAATTGACCAATGGAGCCAATGGACTGGTTCATAGATGGTCGCGCACGATGGCCTGGCTGGAAACCACCGCCACCTTGTTGGTTGAGTCCTTGGTTGGACTTTAGCTGATCTTGATTATTATTATTGTTGTTATTTGGTTGTCTCCAATTGCCGTCAAAGTTTCTTGACTGCGTTCGGCCGTGACCACGCTTAGGGGCATCGGCTTGTCCACCTTCTGGAATGGGGAACTGGAAGCCAGCTGCTCCTCGGCCAACGGCCATAGACTGGCTTCGCCCATGAGCACCACCACGGAAGTTTCCGCCGGCACGTTGTAAGCCTAAGCCTTGCGGTGCCTTCGGCTTTTCCTCGGGAGATTGACTATCGGTCGCGTTACCGGATCCTCCAGGGCTTGGAGCAGGAAATTGAAAACCGGCAGTGGCTCGCTTCTGTTGTGCTAACTCTGCAGCTTTCTTCGCTTCGGGGAGAGCTAAAGAATGACGGCGTTGATGGCCACCTCCGGCTGGAGCGCCGCGTCCCCGAGATGGGCCACCATTTTCGCGATTTTGGTTACCTTGGTGAATGTCTGCAAACGCTGACCCGGACGCACCGGATGAGGGCGCGGGGGGAGGACCCATTCCCATGCCTGGGAGGGCAGACTGATTACGACGATGAGAGTGCCCATTGTTTACCGGGATCCCGAGCTGTTGTTGTTGTTGCATTTGCGGGAATTGAAATGCATTAACCTGGGGAGAAACGCCTCCCTGTCCTTGCATTGTGGGAGAGTACCCAGAAACCTGACCGAGGGGTTGCTGGGGTTGCAAGAGTCCCATGTTGACATATTGCTGGTGGGTAGCGGCAATTTGCTGTTGTTGCTGCTGGAGCAGCTCAATCTGCTGTTGTATCGCTAGTTGTTCCACTAGATGGCGGAGAAGTTGTCAGTCAATCAACACGGAAGCATCAAGAAGTGCATTGAAATCCACGTACTCATCAAAGGAGTGAGCTCAGATGGACTTCTCCGATGAGCTATATGGAGCCGGCGGCCGGCTGGGCCGGGGACCCCGGACTGGCCTTGTTGGTCCATTTCTCTAGATTAAAATTATAAGTACTTCCTCGCCACGGAGGTGGTATGCTGAGCTGCCAACGAATTCCCGAGCCGAACTTCGACTTGAGGGAGCAGTTGGAACTGTCACACGGCGGCAGCGGCAGGTAATCTATCAACGAAAGAACGAATTCATCAGTATTTTCTTCAAAATGGCACCGGCAGGATTCATAAACAAAGGATATTTGTAGGGATGAGATGATGACACGAGGCAGTGAAATCAATATGGCAAGGTGGGGCATGCGGATGGACGGTTAAGGGGCCAAGCACGAGCAACAATAAATGCAGCCTTACTGTTTCAAAACGATGGTCCGACAGTGTATGGGCTATTCAAGTCACTGGTGAAATGTCTGACGACGACGTCACGACTTGGCCGGGATGAAACAAGCAAATTGCGAGTAAGACACGTACGAAGAAGAGCACAAAGTACGCTGAACAGAATTATAAGGACGACGGGATGAGCGATGTGCTGGGAGACGTGGCGAATATCAGTGGAGGTATCTTAGTTGAAATCGACAGACTCGTCTCTTTTGGAAGGAGGGAATAATTGACGCTGCTGGGTATCGCGCGGCGTGGAGGGAAGGATCGAATTGTGCAGAGGGAGGTGATATTAGCCGGAGCCAGTCGCAGTGAGGTAATCAGAACAACGACGGCAGCGGGCAAGCGATAGCGAGCTTCGACCAAGATGAGATAGGAGGAAAGGACCAAAGCTTGTGAATGAGCGAGGCGAGGTCACAGGGTAGCTCACACGGAGGATAAATCTCCCACGGAGTGGTGGAATAGAGAGAGAGAGGAGGTGTCACTGTGCGTGAGAGTATTGCAGGATGGAGCTCCAGGTAGAGGGAAGGCGACCGTGGAGATTGGGGGAATTGGCCTTTTCCAAATCGGGGGGCAGAGAGGGGGGGCGGCACCAAGCGGAAGCCAAAGGAGAGTTTCACTAGAAGAGGTCTAGAGAACGACAGCAACAAAGCGACTTGCTACTCTGACAGGCGACACAATGAATGAAGCAAGTAGAAGGGAAGAGGAGGAGGAGGGGGGGAGGAGAGGATAGACAGGACGGAGGAAAGAAGGATGGACTACTGAATAGTAGGAGTTACTTAGTGTAGGGAAGCGTTAGGCTGTGGCAGGCGCGATGAAGCTGGCAGAGGCAAGTGCCGTTGCTGGACTCCAGGCCTAGCCAGCACTAAGCGACTAGCCGACCAGGCTAGTCGCTGAACGGCCATGACTATGTCTCGAGGAGACTGTTGGGAGCCCGTCCGCCAACCACAGGCGCCCTTCCCGCAGACTATGCCTGACTAGGGCTGTGCTTGGCTCTCCAGGCTTGAATCATCCACGAGAATGCTCGTCAATCATCAATCGCTATTGATAATTGATGATTGATAATGATGTTGATGTTGATGTACAATAACAGTAAGAATAGTCCACAGAAGATGTATTTGGCAGAGACTGTCATGAATGCGCAGTCAATTGTCGCGCAAGCGGTTGGAGCTAGTTTTTGCCATTCACTGTCCGAGCTGATATCTTGTATTGAAACCAAGGCCAACAGACTCTAGGCAATGGGCGAAATATCTCCGGCATCGTAGAATTGCATGATTGGCATGGCAGAGATCCACTACCTTGTCTGACTGTTGACGACTATTCAGCCTGCTGAATGCCAATCACCCTATGACCCCCAGTGTTGAAACCCTCCCATGGAAAATATTACAGATACGTTGTTCTTGTCAATTCGTCCCTCATGATGCAGCTGTCCTGTCGCGAGTATGATCTCGCCGAGTCGGACATTATCCAAGCACAGGTCTGGGGTTGCGTTGTGTTGGTCATCATTGGGCTGCGAGTGGGGATCTCTGGAAATATGATGGTATTTCCCGGCACAGCTCAGTCGCGAATGAAATGGGTAGATTGGCCTATGTCATAAGAAATCGACTTGTTCTCGATATATACTACGAAGAAGAAGTCGAGCGTTGTCAGCCTGAAAAACAAGGTTCTCAGGGTTGTGACGGCCAGCCAATCAGAACACAACCCGCGCGCTTTTCTCCCCGTTTCGCGCCAAAGCAGCTACGGCAAGCAGAGACGCCAACCAAAGTCCAAGCTGGCAGATCGTTACTATCATTATTGCCATTGAGTTTAAGACAATCACATCCTGGTCACGTCCTTCACTGCTGCAATAGGCTCTTTATTTGAAGGAACTCTGATATTCCCGTTAACGTCCGTTTCTTTAACAAATCCCACCAAACGAGTCACTGCTAATCGTGAGGCACTTTGCAGATTTCCATTTCCAAGTACGTGAAACGCGCAGCCAATCGCAAAACATTGGCAGAAGAGCCTGTATTTAAGACTCGAGTGTCTTCGAATTTCAAAAAAATTCATGTCTGGAATTGATTCAAAGTCCTCTCCCTCTCATTCCGCGATACACTCGAGACCACACGCGAAAATGTTCTTGTTGGCTCAATAATTCAAACAACTGGTGCTGGTACTTTAAAGTCTCGGTACTCGTTGCGATATCACATCATTCTAGCAGACTTTCTGCCTCTGCAGGTAGAAGTAGACGGGGTAGACGCCGCCGACAATTTTCCTGTTCAGCGCCTGTATCAAATACGCCAGTCCCCCCACTGATTTACTCCGTTCTTCGATAACACCTCACCTATTGATATCTTTATATCCCTCCCGTTTTGCTCAACTCGTTCCTTTTTCCATTGAAATTCAATCAACTCTATACTCGATCTCTTTGGCGACATTAAATTTGAAGAAATAGTTAGCCCCTCTTACCACAGCTATCATGGTTAAAAGACGGAGTGTCGGCAATGTTCTGGACAGTCCGTCTAGGCAGCTTATTGTCGACCTGACAAAGGATCTTGAGGCGATACGGCTGCATCATGAGGATCTCAAAAGGGTTTACGATTACCGTACGGAGTCCTTTACCGCAGAGCAAGATGAGATCGACCGCACCCATCAAGAAGTTTACTATGCCGCCATAGACAAGGCCTACGATTACTACGACAAGCACCGTCGAGAGGCTGAGGTCGTTCTCAAAGAGCACCTACGAGAGGAAGAAGAAAAGCGGCGTCGAAGAGAGGAAGAGGAACGACGTCGCAAGGAAGAAAGAGAGCGTCTTGAGCGCGAGAGGAAAGAACGCGAAGAGGCAGAGAAGAGACGTCAAGAAGAAGCTCGTCGAGAAGCAGAGAGGCTTGCCCAAGAGGAGCAGCACCGTCGCTTGGCAGCAGAGGCGGAGGCTAAAGCACGAAAGGCGGCTGAAGAAGAAAAGGCTCGTCGAGAACGTGAAGAAGCCGAGGAGAAAGAACGCCAGCGCCAGGCTGAGTTGCAGAAAGCCAAGGAAGCCGAGAAGCGGCGGCAAACTTTGGGAGTTCAGGTCAACACTGAACAAGAGGTTAAAGAACATGAGCGGTATCTGGAACTACACAAATATCTCAAGCAGCTGCGAAAATATGTTTTGGACGAAGCAAAGAAGGATCAAGCTCTTAAGAACACAATAGGAGACTATCGACGTGGCATTACGAAATGTATTGGGCAACTAAGAGAGGGTCAAGGTGCTAATGCGAACAAAGGTCAAGTACGTTATCGTCCAGCCTTCAATCCGCTTTGATCATGACTAATCCGAGGAATAGATGACTGAGATACGGGAAATCCTGCGTAAATCACAGACTATACCTCTACCTTGTGATGCCCGCCGCTTCTTTATTCATGTGCCCGAGCAATTCGCCAGCCTGTCTGAAGAAGAGGCAAAGGTGTCGGCGGTCTTTATATATTTGCTCAACATATTTACCAAGGCCGTTGTCTCCCAGCTCATCAATGAAGCTGGTGTCAAGCTCGAGTATGCAGAGCCAGTGGGCATTGTGGTTGCTCAGATATTCTCTACCGAGCAATACTCTTTTCAGGGACATGCATTCTCCGATATATTCTGGGCAAAATATCGAGCGTCCTGCCCGGCTTTATGGGGGTTTTATGGCAAAGACAACACAGAAGCTGGTAGATTAGCCCTTGGATGGAAACGAGTTGATCCCGGTGGCCCATTCGTTGATGAATCCGATCACCAACAGCGTATGATAGGATTGGGATGCGGTTTTGCAGCCATTACGCTGCGCAATTTCGGGAAAACCACCCGTAAAAATCCATTTCCTAATCACAACTTCTGGAGAGCAATTTGCAAGATTGTTTTCATTCCCCCTGACGAGCTTCAAGACACACACTTCTATATCCTTTACGCCATGTTACGATTTGCAGCCGAACGAGTGGTTGGCTTCTGGGGCCAGGCTGGACTAGCGCTACTGAGAACGGTCATTGTCGATGTTCCAGGTCGAGTAACGAGGAAACATAGTGGTGCGATCGGCCAGCTCAAAGTCCTGAGGGGGCTTTATGCTACTGAAAAAAGCATCATTCTCTAATTGTTGACACCATGTCGAATGTATTTTCTATAACGAAAGACGATCTATGGGGAATCAAAGGCAACCCAACCGCCTGAGATGTGACTCCGAGTGCTGATTCGATGCTACCAAGAGAAGAGGCTTGAGCATAGATCAGACAATGAGTCTGGCTCAAGCTGATTTGGCACTTGAGACGGAATTCATTCCGCAGGGTTGCTCAGCGATCATTCAACGTTTGGCTTTTGGGGCTGTATAATAGAGGAGCGTGCAACGCTTGGCGCCAACCCATTCTCCTCGAACTATTGATGCGACAGTGACGAAAGACTGATATTCATGACGTGTTTCATTTTGATGGAATCTCCACGAGTCAAAGAGGAAGAATGTTGATATTCTGTTGCTGACGTGGTAGCATTACACCAAGCGTTGACTGTCGACCAGAATGGACCAATGACATGGAAACATCATGATCCCAATGCCATTTTATTTCTATATCAGAATACTTAGAGTTGTAGTGTGTGCTTGGGTTGAGCTTACTTAGGGGCATAAAAAAGAAACATGGAAAATATCCCTTGACAATGGAACTGTAACTATAGCTGTATATCGGACAATCCGTGTGACATCAATTCCAGATGTCTTGTAGATGGTACATGCAATGCAAGCCCAAAGGATCCTCTTCTCGCCCGTGGAATCGAGAAAGTACTGCAGCCACAGGGTTATATTTAGGCTCGTCTATCAACGATGCTGCGTACATGCATGTCGAGCTGCACCTAGTTTTAACTTTCAGATTGCGATGACATAGTCCCCTTTGATTATTGAATGCGCCTGCAGGGGCGTTAGCGTGGGATTCGGGGGACGAGGGTTTGGAATCATTATTGATCAATTGTTCAGCCACCATCGCGCCCCACGTGGCACGATGGCTCACAGGGCATGCGTAGCTGACGCTTGGGATTGCGATGTTCCAGGCGTTCGAGATGTTTGAAGAGCTGGAGTTTCTAGTATGCTGGCAGCGGAGAAGCCGTAACTGCCTCGGCCGTATCGGGCTGCCTCCGACAACCATCAACCATGGCTGTTGACATTCGGACTCATCGTATCACGTTTTTGTTAATTATGTCCTGCCATATTCAATTCTACTCTATGCTTTCTTCATTCTCTCTTCTCCCTTTTTCCCTTTGTTTTATTCGTCATGCTTGTATGGGCCAATGCAGCTTTTGGCCCTCGAATGTTCCTGCATCGTCCTCACGAACTGGACCTGAACTATTGATGGCAAACCTTAGTCAACCAACACCGCAGCTGTCAACTAATATAGTTCAATGCCCTGATCGGGAAGGACGTTGACTCAGCTACGACTGCTCTGAGCCGACATGATCTGATTCGGCCAGCACGAACGACTAGCGGTGAGGGGCCGACTGGAAGCTTCCCATAAGCGAAAGGATCGGACTGCGCGAATAGGATCAGAGTAGAAGGCCATCGCGTGGGACCGTGTCCATGTCCACTGGATGGAGAAGACCTTTTTCCTCTTTTGCGTATTCGGCCGCAACGGTCTGGGCGTGGTGTTCTGTCGGACGCCCACCCGCACGCGCACCCGCAGTACGCCCTGCAGCCGGCAGATGCAACATACCAATGGCCGCCCGTTCCAGACTGACTGGCCATCACTCCGGACGCTTGCCAATGAGCTATTACTAAGTTATGGAGTATGGACAGGCTAGCTGGCCCGGCATTCAGCCACATACGGTCCAGCGCGATAATTAAACGTTTTTTTAGCTACGGGCGAGAGACCCGCCCTCGATCAGCCCTAGAACTACACGCGATGAAATCCCTAAAAGTCACGGACGAGGAGTATCGCCATTCGTGCATTTGTCCTGACTAGACAAACCCAAATACCGCCGTGTCGGTTCCCTGCTGACCAAGACAGCTAAAAATAAGAAACCCGTCTTTTTTCTCTCTGAAGCTGGGGGCTGAACGTCGACACGGCCGAAAAGACCCCTACTATCTACATCTAAATCTTAGACAATACTAGTTCTTCAGACAACGACCTGGAGCTGTGAGACATATGAAGCTAGTGGCTTTGAGTGGCTATCACTAAATTATCAATCCACGTTATCCCCAGCTCCTATTCGCTGTCCGCGGAGATGGGAACGATCTAGGTTGTTATTGTATGACTAGTAATCCCAATTAGAGGTGCATGTACATGCTGTATACGGTATATGTATAGAGTCTATTTTAGCGCATTATTATTGATTGGCACCTGTGAATATTTTGCGTCATGATCGAGACTTGCTTATTAGGCTTGCTTCCCCCCCCTCCCCCTCGTTCACATCGCCTTCTCCCACTACTGCATTCATAATAAGTGGAGGCCATCCCACCCTAGGTCTTTCCATCTGCTTGACGAAATCAAATGTATTTCGACTTGGTTCAATTTGAGCCCTCGCCTGTATTCTTGGCCATGTCAGACTCTGGAGATTCCGTAAAGATGGAGCAGAAGAGAGAATATAATAGAAACGCACAACGCTTGTTTCGTGAGTATCATATCTTCACTAATGTCAACTGTCACGAAGCGAGCTGGAATCCTAACTATTCTATCTTAGGTCAACGTCGAAAAGAACATCTCAAAAACTTAGAACGTGCAGAACAAGAACGCGCGTCCAACCATGCCGAAGAGGTAGAACGGTTACGACAAGAAATAAGCGAACTCCGTTCTGAGAACGACCATCTTCACGTCTCTCTCTCCCCTTCACGACAACTCTCAGCTACCCCCTCCGTGGCAGCCATCACATCAAGTCCGCAGTCTCAATCTACCAGCCCTTTCCCTACGACCCTCGACCTCTATGATCCTGGATATGGAGCGATAGTCGGCGACAGCCTCCCCACTGTGTCGCACGACGTGACACCATCAAATGCATCCGAGCTAGACACTTCCCCCTTCTGCCTCTTATTTCCGTACGACATCGCCACGCTGCGGCGCGAATTGCACGAGCAACTGGCTGCAGTACTAGATATGAATGTACTAAGCCATCCACAACTCCACCTATCAACGCTGGCAGCTATCGGCCCATCGCTGCCTCCACCCTTGCGGCCAACGTTGCTACAACTCCAGACTCCACACCACGCCTACATAGATCTAATCCCGTCACCAACGCTCCGGGACCTGTTAATCCAAACCGGGTTCGAGACTGCGAACGCCTTTCTGACGGAAGTCTGCACGTTTGTCTACGAAACTGAGGATTTGGGCCAGCTGACCATCTGGGGCCAGGACTATCTCAACGAGATGTCGTGGGAGTTCTCGGAAGCAGTGCTCAAAGCATGGCCCGGCTTGCTGACGGCAGAGTGGCGAGTTAGGGCCAATTTCTGGCGGAGGCAAAGAAATCAGGCGCTGATTGAATTAGACTGAATGCTTTCTTTTCTTTTTTTTTGGGCCTGATTACTAAACGGATATCTACATGTAGACGGATATATTTATGTGGAACGATTTGCATTGTCGCATTGCATAGCGGGTTACTTTGATTTTTGGCGCTATTCTGCACCCTGTACTAGTATTACGAGAGAGTTTCTAAGCCTTTGTTCATCATTTTCGTGTACATAAAGCATAACACAATCCCAGCTATTATCGAGGTTAGCCTAACATTCCGCGTCATCAATTGATGATCTATAAAGCACTTATTTTTTTAAGTCAGCAGACTATACATGGATGTAATCATGGATGTTTTGTCATATAAATTTCTAAGCAAGCCCGATTGGAGGAAATTTACTAGTCATCATAGTGCTATGTATTCCGCTTCCACTGTGATTTGAAATAATTCCTTTCCCCTGTTCCGTACATATCAAAGATCGGCTACGTACTAGGAAACTCCCCAAAAGCAGCGTCGTAAACTAGACAGGATGTGAAACTAATTAGTGCCTCCTCCTATAGGTACGTCACATAAGATGCTGCGCCCTTTTCAAAGATTTCTAAATAATTCCGTTTTAAGTAAATGGCGCCACCATACATTTCTCTTGACCGCTCGTCTCCGGCTTACTTTTAGCTCAGATTATGCCTCCCCCAATGTATTAAGTTGTATTGGATCGTCGCTCCCGTGCTTAGTGTTGATGTCCTGCCACATACGCAATCCCTACCCCATTCGGTATGGACCTAGTGCATGCTCTCTTTGGAAGCCATGGCGTCCGGGTTTTCAGCGGATTTAAGGTTGTTCATTGAGCTAGGATCTGGCCGTTATGTAGAAGCCCTCGCATTGTGAACTGCTTCCGGATATCGCGGATGTTTCCATGCTCCGCTAAGGCCGAGCTGTCAGCATGAAATGAATGACTCGAGCAACCCGCCTTCAGCCCTGCAAGTGAATTATTCGCATATGGGTAGTTTGACGGGCTTCGGGGACACAGCACAGCCTACCCTGGGCCGATTCCTAACCCGGACAGCACAATGACCGCCGAGTCCGTTCTGCCGTTTTTGAAGTTTGCTCCCTTTTTCACACTAGTTGACAAATAACTTGTGGCTTGTCGCACGCCCTGAGCTGGTATTTGGAATTGGGATGTCGTAACGCCGGGTGAGCGATAAAATTTGTTATCACTGCATCAATTATTCGCCTCCGCCTTTGGCAAGAACTAGACAGAAAAAGGTTAGCAGGAAGGCTCAGCTGCAGTGTCGCAAACATCCTTACTCTCAGGATAGGCAAATCCAAGGGAAATTGACTTCTCTCACATGGTGAACCGTGGTTAATCGTTCTAGTGTAGCAACTGTACCTGACTGAAGCTCAAGAAACACCTCAATGGACGATTTATCAGTTCATGATAGTCTTGTGCTCGTTGCCTGCTCCCGGTAGATGCAGGAATAGAGTCGGCTGGCTGTCACGGGAAGGCACGGCACTCTCAACCAACCCTTCAGACTTGCTCTTGCAATATTCCTTTCTTCCTTTTCGCCCCTCATGGTTCAATTCTTTTTACTTTGGACGGTCGATCTCGTGTTTCGATTGAAAAGTTGCAAATTGCACGAACGTTTGTGTTGCCCTCTCGCGAGGCTTTCATATATCTCCCAGACACCATCATGATAATGGCCTCGAAAACAAATCAGACTCCTCTATTTGTGCTCATATTCCATCCAAGACGACATCTCTATAGACGTATGGTGCTCTGACATTGATTTCCAAGTAAGAGAAATGGTTTTCGGGGGAGACTCTTGTATTGGAGGGCAGAATGGTGCTAACCACCAAGGTTCTTTCCACCAAGGTACCCTAGGATGTGTGCACATCCTAAAGCAGCAAAGAAGAGAATACGGTGAAGATGATCTCAACTATATAAAGAGTGAGGCCATCTTTTGCTAAGAATTTTCAGTTTCCAAAGTTGTGGTGGTCTTCGGTCGGCGGGAGCACTGTGCCATTTGGTGTCTCTGCCGGGATATCTTCGAACGTTTCGGACGCTACGCCTTCGACGAGAAAAAAAAGGAAATACCAATTCACTTTTGATAATTATTACGCAACAGATTCTTCGTGTCTATTATCTGCAGCCTCAGAACTGCTCTTATGGTCTTGTCTTGACCTATCCTCGATTAGGCCCCGTCGAGCAGATGCCGGAAACGTTCTTGCACGGAAGCGTTCGCAGTGACATGAGTCATCAAGAAAGCAGATTTCTTAGCAAAATGGTCCAACAGCGTTGGCCATAGGATATATTATCACCAAACCCTCTTACGAAATGGAAAATGCACACCCCACGATGTCTATCAAATCAGATATCAGATCTTTAGACGGCGATTGGATCGACTTACCTTCTTTGTCTTGGACCATTGCTCTATGGACGGCCAACGTAACATTAATACCAGCCTATCGTCCAGGCTAGTCAGTCAGTCCAGCCATGTAGGTGATGTTGCCTGTCGTGGGTCTCTTATCCGGCGTGCGGAGGACTTCACTGGTCTCTCCAGCAGCCCATCCAGAAGGAGAATGATATGCAGCTGTAGTACAAAGACTAGAAGTGTTTAGCTATACCATTCTGGTCTTTTCTGGCGCATGACTGGCCACAGGACTTGCGGACTAATGGCCCGTGTGAATGACTCTAAGTGGTGTTTGTGTTATTGCGACGCACTTTTACGATGATACCCTTTTTAATAGATACTGGGCCCCTTCGCCTCTCACAGTACTATTGCCTAGTATGTATATAGGTATGATTACTCCCGTTCATTTTCCCTGGAAAGATTTGATATCAAAAACCCCGAGCCTTCCTTAGAGTCTCGGCCCAAAGCCTGGCCTCACAGAGTCCTCTCAGGCTCAGACCGTGGCAATGAAAAAGAAGACCAAACCTCTTTCATTAATGCAACATCCTCAGCAAGTCTCGAGACAGCGGAGACTGTCCTCGATCCTATCCAGTGCTCGCGCCCACTCCCCACTGCAACCGCACTTGCCGCCTGATTTTGTAAAGAAAATTTTTCTTCTCTTTCACTTGCCATGTGCGGCATTTTCTAGCGGCTATATGCTGAATCGTATGATGTAGATGTTGAATCTAGAGCCTAGAGCGTAGGATAATCGAAGATACGAAAAGGCATAAATAGCGGATGAAATCCTCGTTCGAGACAACCTCTCTTTCATCCATCAAACAATCATCTCAAATCCAAATCAAGCCACTCAACCGAAAGTTTTCTTTCTCAAACAAAACTATACCAATCAAAATGTCTCCCTGCAACTGCACCTGCTGCTCTGGAAGCTGCTCTTCCTGCTCCTGCTCCTCCTGCGGCGTACGTATTCATCTTCCTCAATGCTTATTGGAGCCTAGATTTAAAACTATTACATTTATTCATATGTATTTGCTAACTATATTTTGTTATAACAGCACTAAGCTAGCCGAAATCCACCCATGCCTAGACTACGTACTTGACAATATGTCACGGGCTATCTATCTTTCCTTTTAACAAACAACATCAAGACAAAATGTCGTTGGCACCTGTGTTACTGATGGTTTCAAAGGGAATACGAATTTGACCACCTTAATTTTTTCCTTGGATGTTCAATACATGAGATCTATGTGGAGGAATGGACTAGTGTTTGCCTGGGTCATATGAAATATCAACCAATCAAGTATCAATGTAACTATCTAGTCGGCAATTGGAATCATCAACTTACATAAGTCATCGTTCGTGAAAATTCTAGTCTTTCTGTAGAAGGTTACACAAATCAAATACATGTCACCAGCAGTGAAAACTATTCCTTCTGCGGGTCGGAAGTACGGTCGGGGGTGCACTGGGCTCAGGTCAAGCATCACCAAACCCTCCCAAACCCGTCAAGATAATAAATTTGCAGTAAAGACCTGGTCTTTCTCCTTTGGAGGAATCTGATTGCGAGTGAAAATCTCTTTAAATCGAGTACTACTGAATTCGGAAAGTGCTGGTTGATTGATCAATATTGATATATACAAACTTGCCGTGCTACATACGTACTATGCTTGGAATATTGCGAGTATTATTCGGGTCTGTTTCGGACGGGTTAATGATTGACCAAGGGTCCCATGGGTTTCCTTATGGGTCCTAGTAGGGAACTTGGCGATAAGAGCTTCGATATCCACAAATTTTATCGGCGGATGCTCTTCTACGAGGGCGATTTCGTAGGAAGATGACACACGTATTGGTGCTTATATTGGAAAGCAGTTAGTAGATGAATTATAATGAAGAAAAATGGAAATTCTAACAATCAGGTAAGCTGTTTTACATTTCTCTCATACCATTTAATGTATGAATTCAACCAATTTCAATTCTCGGAACCAGAAAAAAAGGAAATATGTATTTTGTTCCATAAAGAGTGGACTTGTCACAACGACAAGGAAACGGTATAAGGGGGAAAATTATTAACAGTGAAGTTGAAGCTGTAGCGACTTGGACGAGAAGTGGTATCAATAATAATAAAGGAGAGCCAAATCGAAAAATAAAACCCAGGATATAATTCACACCTGAATGAAGAGAAAAAGAAAAAGCGAGAGATGGGGGAATTAATGTCGTCAAGAATAATAATGATTGGCAAAGAAGAAAAACGATTGCGCTATGCAGATTAGGAAATTGTACATTCTGTATACATCAAACAAACTGAAAGGGGAGAGTACATATATAGATAAACAATCAAAACCAGTGCATATCGTTAGGAATCAACGGAAAAAACCGCATCCATATGTCAATCTTTTGGCGGTACTTGATGGGCTCTTATTTACTCTTGTGGCGAGAAGATGGCAGCTTCCTCTGTTGAACCCTTGGGGGATTCAGGGGCCATGATACTGTCGCCGTCATCCATCAAGGCGCTAGAGTCGTAGCTGTTTGGCTCTGCATCGTGGTCATAGCTAGATCTCCGAAGCAGTGGTGGGGTGGTCGGCGGTTCATATGCATCCTGGTTGACAACAGGCAGTTTTTCTGTCTGTCGAGCAGAGAGAGAGGGGGGCGTTTGATTGTATCCACGCAATGGACGACTTTCCGACGCTGCTCGGCGTGGGCCCATCTTTCCAACTCCAGGTGGCGCAGTCAAATTTTTTGGTGTATAGCGTACATTTGAATTTGGAGGAGTTAGAAGGCCGGATAGAAAGCCGCCGTTATTGTTTGATTTTGAAGGCGTTTGCGAGGTACCAGCTTCCGAAGTGAAGGACTCTCTGCCCTTACGCCAACTCCCCCAAGCCGCCGCTGCTGCAAGAGGTAAAGAACGTGGAGAGGCCGCAATATCAGCGAGTGATGGGAAGGCCTGTCCACCAGTCATCGCCCGTTCCTTCTCCTGCAGTTGCATTTGGAGATTGGCTCGAAGGCGAATGGCTGCGTCACGGACAGCGTTTTGATCGAATGAAGGTTGCGAAAGTGTTCTGATGATATCCTGGAGATCATCTACTCGAACACCGAGCAATTCTCTCAGCCAGTTAATCTCAGTATCCTTGTCCTTGATCTTGTTCGGCGCCTCCTTGTCGACTTCAGACAGCTCTTGTTCCAAAGCTTCGATACGGGTCTCACGCTGTTGTAATTGATCCTGAAGTACAAGAATAGACTCGCGAAGGGCCTGAGGAGAGATTCTCTCTGGTACAGAAGAGTCTTTGCTGTAAGATAGGGATGGCGAAGAAGAGTGCGGTATAGGGGAAGGTGAAACAGAAACTCCCTTGGCCTGAGCGGCTTGAGCAGCTGCACGGGCAGCCGACTTGGCAATCTCTAGCTTCTCTTCCAGGTGTGCTACCCGGTCTTGCAGGTGGAGTACCTTTTCGTTGGCAAGAGTGAACCTTTCGTTCGCGTGAGCCTCAATACGCTGTCGGTCTTCGGAGGCGTTATGCAAAGCTCGAGCGTGGCGTTCGCGGAGGTCGTTAAGAACACGGTCATGTGTCTTGCGTTGTTCCTCAATGGTCATGTCCTTCGAAGAAGCCAGTTCAGCCATAGCAGAAGCCTTGTTTTCGCGTGCTTCTTCTAAGAGCAGTTCGTAGCGCTCCTTTGTGGTATCCGCATCTAGACGGACGTTCTCAACTAGACTTTCCAAACGAGCAATTTCAGCTTCAAGTTGCGCGCGAACATAGTTGACCTGATTGTTTGCAGATTCCAGATCGGATTCCATCGAAGTCCGGGCGCGCTGGATCTCCACACGGCTGCTCTCGCGTGCCTCGTTAAATTCACGTTCAAAACGAGCCGCCTGACTCTGGTATTCATGGTTTTCTTGACGTAGGGTTGCGACAAGCTCCTCGAGCCTGTGGTTTTCTTGCTGAGATTGACCGAATATGAATTTCAACTTCGACGCTTCACGTTCGGACTTTTCAAGCTCTTCGATGTCAATCTCGAGCTTCTCACGAAGTTTAACTTCTCTATCATATGCAACACGGAGGGCATCATGTTTAGATGTAAGATCTTCCTCTATCTTGCGCGCCCTGGCTTGTTCGCTAGCGATATCCTGGGTTACAGTGACCATGTCATCCTGAAGACGGTCGAACTTGCCACGCAGACTCTGACGAGCGCGCATGCTGTCTTCAATACGAGCAGTGAGGTGTGCGGTCTTTGTCCGTAGCTCCTTGTTCTCCTCTTCTGTCGCAGCGACTTGCTTTTTCCAGTGATCATGCGAAACCCGATATTCATCAAGTGTACCCTCGAGTGCAATATTCTTCGCAGAAAGCTCCGAGAGTGTGAGCTCCCAGGACTCTCGTTGCTTTTCAAGGGTCTCGGAACGATTTTGGATCTTCTCGAAATGAGGAATTTTTTCTTCCCGCAATTGACGAAGATCCGCCTCTGCGTCCTCAGCAGCTTGTCGGTAGCGAGTAGCCTCGCTTTCAGTATGACCAAGCATCTTTTGCACTTCCATCAAAGCCTCTTGAGCATCACGGCGAGCCTTGATTTCTTGTTCAGTACGCTCATCAGCCAACCGAAGCATGCTCTTAAGACCATCAAGTTGTAATTTCAAGCTCTCAGCTCCAATTTCTTCAGCCTCACTAAGTTTCTTTTGTCCTTGGTTAGCGAATGCCTCTTTTATTAAGGCCTTAATATCAGCTGTTTCAGACTGTTGAGGTCTTTCTACCAAAGCCTTCAGCTCAGCAATGTTTTCTTGAATTGTAGACAGGCCAGTGGCAGATGTTGAAAGCTCTGATTTCGCTGCTCCATGGGCAGTAAGCGCTTCAAGGATAACGCTCTTCATCTTCTCTAATTTTCTGTCTCGCTTGTTCACTGGTGTTACGGGTCGAACTTCTTCATCATCCTCATCATCAGCGTCGCTGTGCTCAATTTCTGGAGATCTGTTACGCAATGGCTGTCTACTGGCAGATCTCGAGTTCATGGACACAACAGAATGTTGGATGACACCGAGTGCCTCTTCAAGAGGACCAAGTCGCTGCTCCAGAACCCGTCCGACAAGGTCGTTGATATGACGATCGAAGAATTTGCTTTGTTGAATCAGCTTATCATCCTCACCCGACGAGATGACATCATCCCAGTCGCTAACATGCTCATTCATGCTTAGCAAGTGGCGGACTGGAGACTGTGTACCAGACGCGAAACCTCGCTGGGAATAAGTGTTAGAATGAGCGTCCATATCAGAACTGAGTTTCGGGACGATTTGCAACAATTCCAGGTCTCTTCTCGGGCTTGGACTGGGAGCATCGCTGCGAATGATGTGAGGAAGGTGTGGCTGTTGTGCAGAAAGCGTTTTAGGGGTAGTTGAAACAACTTGATCCGGTAACGGAGTTTTCACTCGCTCTACTCCGAGATCTGAATCATCGCCATTGAGTTGATCCATCACCGCATTTAATTCAGCCTCATCGACAGAATCTTGATCAGCCTCATGGGTGATATCTTCCTTGACAGACTCGAGTGGCTGGCGCTCAGGTTCAAGCTCAACGGAAGGCTCGTTTGTTTCCTCTTCTTGAACGGCGTAGCGAGACGCAAAGAGACCACTTTTAGGTTTCTCAGGTTGAGCCTTGGCTGGATCAGCCTTTGGTGACTCAGATCTGGCAACAGCTTCGTTGGCTGGTTTAGTTGAAGGAACGAACTCAGAAATCGATGGCCGGAAGGTGAAAGAACGTGAAAGGGCCGAGAATATTGATTTCCTTTGCTCCCGTTTGGGCGCTTCTGCCTTTGGTGCTTCAACAACAGGCTCAACAACAGGCTCAACAACAGGCTCAACAATAGCCTCACCTGGTGTAGTTGCTGGCTCATTATTTATATTCTCCATGATTTCTTTAGGCTCCTCCGGTTCTTCTCCGAGTTCGTCTTTAGGCGCTTCTTGGGGTTGTCCTTTGGATGTTTCTGCAACAGCTTGCGGCTCATTCATTGGCTCTGATATAGCGGAGGGTGCATCCTTGATAATGGCGGGCTGGGTCTCTTCTTTCTCGAGAACGATTTCTGAAGTATCCTTCACAGTTGGCACTTCGTCGTCGGCGCGAGGGCGTTTTGCATCAGGGCTTGATGGTTTGATGGGAACATCCACTCCTTCCTGCGAAGGGAAAGTGTTTTCTTTCCCTTCAGCCATCTTCTGTGCTTGGCCAGGAGCCGGCGATGCTTGAGCTTGCGCGGCTTCTCCCAGTGGTGAAGGAGTTGGCAATTCAACATCTTCGTCGACTTCACCAGCGCCGCGCCGAGCACGTTTCTGACGTGGCTGCGGGCCTGGTGCACCGGGCTCCGTAATTTCTTGCTCCTTACTATCATCTTCCAAATTCTCATCAGGTCGAATGATTGGTACCGCCTTGGAACGTTTACCCTGGTGTGACATCTGGGAGAAGTCAATATCACCGAAGATGCTGCTCCTAAATTGGTCTGGAGCATCTGATGTGTTTGAAGTTATGCTGGTCCCAGGGTTAAATGCAGGGGCATATGCATTGAAAGAGGCTGCCGAGAATGTGAATCCCTCGGAGGAATTGGGCACGAATGATGTGTTTTCGTTGTTTACACTGCTTTCGAAAGGATTGAATGCAGGTGCTGTCACATTGAACCCGCTCAAAGAACCACTGGGTTTGAATACGGATGATGCCGGAGAGAATATTGATCCATTTGCAAAGCCGTTGGAGCCGAAAGAATTCCCTTGGAATGTGAAAGCGTTCGAGGAGAATGAAGCTGTTGGATCGAATTCCTTAGCTTCAACATTGAGACCGGACATAGAGGTTCTCGATTTATGGCCGGCCGCGAAAGAACCAGTGCTCGCCTTTGCACTGTGCCAAGGGTGATGACTCATGTCAATCTTTTGTTCGCGAGGACTTCCCGCGAGGCTTGGATTAGTGTCAATTTCATCAGCATCTTGATGTTCATTAAGAGGCTGCTGTTCACCAAATAAGCGATGATGGCCAGTGGAGAAGGAGTCTTGAACAGGAAATTGTCCGTGCACAGGGGAAGGTTGCACGTCCTCTTCTGCGACGGCCCAACGAGATCTCTGCAAATCACCTTCAGGTTCCTCCAACTGCTTTTGAATCGATTTCTCCAAGCTGTAATCGTTTTGCGAGTAACGGTCCAGGCCCTTTTGCAAAGTCTCACTTAGGTTACGATCATGACCACGAGGTGTGGGTTGAGCAAGCTCCACATTCGAAGACTGGAAGTGCTCAGGGTTGACCTGAGCTTCATCCATAATGAGTGTTGCAGCGCGCGATCCTCGAGTCTGTCGATCGTAATCTAGGGTATCATGGTTGGGAGGCGCACGTAACGAATCCCTGCGGCTATAGCCGTCGTGAGAGTTTTGGCTGAACATTTCCTCGGCATTGAGGGGTGAAACGGGAGAGAAGATAGAATTCAAATTTGGCATGCCACCGGCACTTGCCTGGCGTGCGTTCAATAAGCTCTGTGGAGTAAGCGTGCCAGCAAGGGGAGGTGTAGGCTGGTAAGGGTATGGTAGACCCCCTACCAGATTACCATCCACGCCAAAGAATGGATGTTGACCTCCGAATTGAGGCGGCGGCGAAGCTAGTGATTCTGCATTTGTACTTGGGTTCGTAGATTGATTGAAATGAGGGGAGAAAGGATGTGCACCAAATAATGGATTGCTGGCAGCAGAAGACGTGGGAATCGGCGGCGACATGATGTGACCAGGAAAGGAAGCCACATGGTTCATTGCAGCCATGGACGCAGGAGACGGTGCTGAAGGGGGCTCATCGTCAAAACTACTCAAGACACCCAGTGCTCGTAGTTTCTCTTCTTGTAGATGGTTGACATATGACTTCCACTCGTTCAGATCTGGGAAACGGACAGAATAGTTTTTTGATTCCCGATCTTGTTTGAAATCAGCTGGGTCTGGGTAAGGTAGCCGACTAAAGCCACCATTTTCGGTGAAAACAGAGTCCAGCTCTGGAGCAAAGACATCGAATCCATCAACGTGGTATCCTTGATCGCGCCATTTTTTCAAACGTTGCTCGACGTCTCCCTTGGTGAGAAGGCCATGTCCAGCCTCCTTGGATCCTCGTGTATCCTCAGGAGGGACCGAGATTATACAAGCCTTGTTACGCCAGGCTACCTTTTTCCTCTGGCGTTGCGAAGAGGTCTGGCTTACCAGGGGGGGCCGGCTAAGAGGCACCGATGCGGTTTCATCCGTAGTCTGCGTCTGTGCTTCATTGAGTGGAGGCGGCGGTAAAGGCTTGTCTACTGGAGAGATCGGCGCGTCAGTGTCATTCTCCACTGAAGACGCAGGAGCGTCTTTATTGTCTGCCATTGCGTTGGGTGGTGGTTCGTCTCCGAAGGCGAAGGCCCAGAAATCTTCCTGCTTGAGGGTATCTGTACTTTGCGTAGACAAGTGTTTGTTGCGATGTCGGCCACGCTGTCCAGTAATTGACCCGAACCTTGACTTCAACGACCCGAAATTGGCAGCTTTAGGAGTTCTCAACAAATCTTCGTCGCGCGAGTCGTCAAGCCCTAACCAGCCCTCAGTTGGGTCGTCTCCGAAGTTATTACGAGCAGTAGTGAAAGACGGTGCCTCGCTGCCTTCGTCGTCACTTAACCAATTCGTTCGCTCTGTTCGTGTTTGACCAGAGAGATACTGATTTATCCAATCCTCGGTAAATTGTTGAACGGACGGATCTGCTATCGGGGCGCTGATGTCTCTTGTTGTAGAACGGCCAATAGAGCTATAGAGCCGTTTCGGAAACTGGCTCGAGGTTGAGGTGGTACGCAGCGACCCGGGACCTCGTGTCGAGGTGTACCCACGACCCCTGGTTGGAGAGTTGTCCCGAGAAGCAAGACTCAAACCTGGGCGATGACTTAATGTCCACGAAGGTCGGCGTGAACTTGGCGTAGCATATGGTGAACCCCAGGCGGCAGTATAATAAGCGCTGCTTGCCTTGTGGTTTTCAGGGGACGCAGAAGATTGCGAGTCCCACGCGCCAGGATACTTGGGCAACGATGGGAGTGACTCGGGGGATCCAAGCGACGGCCGCTGGCCGGGGGATCCAGCAGCTTTGACACTAGAGGCAGGTGAGGTCGCTCGAGATACGCCTGCTGAGTCGTTTGTCAAGGTGCCGTCTCGCAGAGTAATTCTGTGCTCGACGGAACCGATGGGCGGCGGAGATGCCGGGTTAGAGGATACGAACGGAGGTAGATCTAGATGACGAAAAGCATTCACGTCAGTGTTCAGTTCAGAAATTTATCCCTCTTCGCGTTGTGGATGGAGACATGGGCAAGATATCGCAATTGGGGTAAGTGTAGACACTGATTACGTCCATCTCATCAAAGCAAGCTGTATCTTCTAGGAACAATGAGCACAAACGCACCTTCCGTGTCGTCTTCTGCAGCAAGCCACTGCTTGCTGCGCGTGTTATAGCCCGGAATGATGAAGCATGGACGCCAGAAAAGATGGCAGTTGGCCGCAGATTAGTGACCTCTGGTCAGAGCACCACAGGCCGAGATCGTGAGAGCTGTGATATAGTTGGCAGTAGGCGAATTCTCCGATTCTGGAGTGGTGCTGGCGCAAAGAGAGGCTCTGGTTCGGTTAGGGGGAAACCCGGTATAATTTATTCACCACGCGAAATCACAAGAACGTCCAGTATACCACACGGGGGACCATGGCGCATACAAAAACGAAACAGGAGAGGACTCGCGCAGTAAGGACCGAGAGATTGACGGCGAAAGAACGTCTGGGGGATGACTGGCGGAGGAACGTTCGATGTCGAAGAAAGGAAGGGGAGGGAGGCTCAGAAAAAGGATGGCACTGTAGTAGGCACGTCACGGGAAAAATTAATTGGGTACGGGATGTGTACTGGCATTATTTGAGGGAGCGTTGAGCAAGCGGCATCCACCGTGACTGCCCCGGGAGCCCGCTTAGCTGTGCTGTCACCAATAGGAGCACGCTGCGAGTTGCGGTCAGTTTTGGTTCCTCAAAACGATGGTTATGTTGCCCTCTTTATCCTACGACTGTCATATATGTTAGTCTACAAGGCTTTGGGGACAATGCAGAGATCGACTGCGTCCAGCATGACTGGACGAGTTCTTGATTGCCTGGTGTGCTTACGATGATGCAGCAAGAAAGCCAGTTATTCTGCGTCGACGCGTTTACGGTTCGCGTAGGTGGCTTAATTGCTCATGTTATTATTGTCACGTACGGATAGTCGCTGGCCCCATTGCGTACCCATTTTTCAGGGGTAAATAATTACTGCTAAATAGTCATAAAAACAGCTGTTCTGTGGTTCTGGTACGGGCCAAGCCGGCTGAGTGCGGTGTCCACTCTCCTCGCAACCCGCTGCAGTTTAATTACCGTACCGTATTGATGCCTCAGCCATCAAGTCTCCTCGAACTGTTATGCACGGCCTCTGATTGGCCCCCGAGCTTGGCCGCCTGAGGCAGTTCTGTCGAACTTCAACAGTCTGCACATCGCCAATTTCATTGTCAACTCATCTTTGTCGATATTGTCGCTTATAATTTGGGGTTCGCCCCGAGTTAGTAGAGCTTTGCTTCTGTTTCTCTGTCTTGGTACCACCCATTTATACTTGGCCAAGGAGAAATCTAAATTCAGCGCTATCGTAACAATGATTGAGCATGCGTGCAAGCACGGAAGCCGTATACACATCTTATATTATGAATAAAGTAAAAAAATTTAACAGAAGCTGTCTTCAAATCAATCATTAGTATACACCTTTCGTGGCGTAAAAAATGTAAAATCCGTCTCCCCAATTAACATGGATGTGGCCCGAGCGCCGTCCATCCGCGAAATCGAGATAATTGACACCTTGCCTGGACGACCGCTGCAGTCTGCCAACACCCACGCTCGTTCTTCACACCCAGAGGCCTCGCCATTTTTCTTATTCCTCGAGCGCGAACCCTCACCCCTTCGACAAAATGCGCTTTTCAACCTCTGCCGTCCTAGTCTCCATGCTAGGCTGGATAGGGGCTGCAACCGCCCACAACATCCAGCTGAAAGCCCATTCCCGCGAATGCTTCTACGAGTCCCTCCACAAGGACGACAAAATGACTGTCACATTTCAGGTCGGTGACCGTGAGTTTGGAGGTAGCGGGAACCTCGAGATTGATTTCTGGGTATGTTGCAATGGGAGCCTAGTTAGTGTGCGGTATAAATGATTAACCAATTTTTTTACCTTGATATACAGGTCGAAGATCCCAACAACAATCGCCAATATTTCCGCAACTCGGTCTCATCCGAGGATTACTCGTTTACTGCCCATCGTGATGGCAAGTACTCTTACTGCTTCAGCAATGCGGCGTGGGCGTCGAATTCGAAGGAGGTCTCTTTCAACGTACACGGAATTGTCTATGTGCCGGAGTCGGAAATGAAGCAGGATCCCCTGGATTATGAGGGTATATTATGATGCTACACTACCCGTTTTTATTTGTTCCTGACAGTGGTCCTTTTTAGTCCGCCGTCTTTCCGAGTCCCTTGCCCAAGTGGCCGACGAGCAGTCCTACATTGTGGTCCGAGAACGAATGCATCGCAATACAGCCGAGAGTACCAACGGTCGTGTCAAGTGGTGGAGTCTTTTCCAGCTGACGTTTCTCATCGGCGAGGGTCTATTCCAGGTTTGGTGGCTTAAGCGATTTTTCGAGGTATGATATCTATCTATCCATCCATCCACCAATACGGATACGCATTAACACGGTCAATAATGTATAGGTCAAGCGTGTTGTCTAAAATGTGTTGACGGCGACAACCTGTTTCACCTTTTGTATCCCGTTTTTTCTATGAAGCCGGCGTTCAAGTATTGTGGACGGTGGTGGGTTCTTCACTCGGAAGCATTCATGGTCTGTTTTGGTGTTAGGACTGTTAGATTATGGAGGAATGAACAATGCATATCTAATTCTATACCGGATGGATTATAATAAATACATATGTATGAGTGTAGGCGCGGATTGCGAACGACACGACTTCAATTACATATTCGGCCACACTAGAGGTGTCAGCCGAGGACCACAAGACCACCCGGCATATCCAAGTGAGTCTTTCAGATGAAACTTCAACAGCTACAAGCCATATTGCATGCATATACGTAAATACTAATTAGGCCATAAACATTGCAGTCATAAGTAAGAGGATCCCCCGCACGTGCCGAGGTAGCTAATCAGTCCGAGGGAAGCAGTGGGTCTTACCCCACAGTCCGAAGCCTCACTCTGTAGCTCTATATAGCTCCTAGTCTCTTGATACTTGCTTGCTGCTGACCCTCAGCCAATATACAGAGCACCTTACCAGCTGCATACTCGTCTCACAGGAAAAAATACCGAAACACAATGGCGACAAACTCCCCAAACCCCCTTCCCTTCTCCGAACCCCCCTACCTTCGTGGCCTTCCCTCTCCATACTACACCCAATCGCACCGCGACTTCCAGAAGAGATGTCGCGCCTTTATATACGAGAACCTGCATGCTAACGCCCTCGACTATGAGCGTGCGCAGTTTGTCCCCGAACATGTGTTTCAGACATTCGGGGAACACAACATGATTCTCCCCAACCTTCCCGCCCCATTACCTGTGCAATGGCTGAAGCGGTTGGGTATCCACGATATCTTGGGAGTGAAAGTTGAGGAGTGGGATTACTTACATAATGGGATTTATACTGACGAGGTTTGTTTAGTTTCGTTGTTATCTTAGTTGTATCCGGTGCTAATGTAGATCTTCAAGATGTCTCGATCAGGTCTTTCTGGGCCCTCTTCCTCGCTGACTGCCGGCATGGCATTTGGCATTCCGCCGATTATCAAATTTGGTTCTCCAGAGCTTCAAGAGAGGTTCCTGCCTGAGCTATTGACATGCAAAAAGCGGAGTTGCATCGCCATCACAGAACCTGATGCCGGTAGTGATGTCGCGAATATCACGACGACGGCAGAGAAGTCTCCAGATGGGAAGGAGTATATCATCAACGGGACGAAGAAATGGTACGTCCTTGTAACCATTGTTCAATTAATATGAGAAATGAATACCAATTCTTCTAGGATTACAAACGGCATCTGGGCCGACTACACCACCATGGCAGTCCGCACCGGCCCTCCCGGCTCCGGCGCCAAAGGCCTCTCTCTCCTCGTCGTGCCACTCAAGAACTACCCGGGCGTAACCATGCGCCCCATCAAAGTCTGCGGCTCCGAGACCTCCGGAACCACATACATCGAGCTTGACGACGTGCGCGTGCCCGTCTCAAACCTGATCGGTGCCGAGGGCGCAGGCATGAAATACGTAATGACGAATTTCAACCACGAACGACTCACCATTGCCGTGGGCGTTGTCCGACAGGCTCGCGTTGCGCTGTCAACCGCATTTGAATACGTGCTTCAGCGTGAGGCGTTCTCGCAGCCGCTCATCGCGCAGCCTGTTGTCCGACACAGACTCGCGAAGGCCGGCGCGGAGCTCGAAACGCTGTCGGCCTGGGTCGAACAGTTCCTGTTCCAAATGAAGCATCTCAGTAAAGCGGATGCGGACCGTGAGCTGGGCGGGTTGACGGCACTGGCCAAGGCGAAGGCGGCCATGGTGCTGAATGAATGCTCGCAGTGCGCGATGCTGCTGTTTGGCGGGAATGGTATGACGCGGACGGGGCGAGGCGAGTTGATTGAGCGGATATACAGGGATGTGCCGGGGGCAAGGATACCAGGAGGATCAGAGGATGTGTTGCTAGATTTGTCAGTGAGGCAGTTGGTTAAGAATTACCAGGCTGGATTGAAGCAGTTGCAGAGGGAGGCTAAGATATAGAATGCGAGGTTGACATTGTAAGGATATTATTTCTTGATAGATAGAATCACAATCTTGTCATTATCAATCAATTACTCTTCATGCGTTAATGACATAATGTTTGTCTCGATGGATGAGCCCAATGACGGGGCAATATTTATCATGCACCTAAAAACAACCCAACTCCATATATCCACGAGGGTATCCCACCCAAAACGCCGTGACCATGCATGTTCATGAAAATGGAAAATCTTTCAATGCCAGTATCAAGCCAATATGCATCAAAACCACAGAATAGCAACAATCAAACTGACCATAACAGCCAGAAAACTTCCGTTTCGATCTACAGGGCTGGATGAGTCGACGATGGCTTTATTGAGCGAGGAAGTAGGAGGAGAAGGCTTGGCGACGACCGAGTGAAATGCGACCTCATTCACGCTGTTATCCTTGGACGAGGGAGTGAGATTTTGTGTAAGGGGATCAGCTATGCGCGGTTCATTATTTGTAAGATGTCGCTGTGAGGATTGTATTGGAGAAGAGCCGAAAATCGACCATGACGATAGAGGCGAGATCCGGTAGACCCGCTGCCACCATGTTTCTTTCTCATCGATATTGTTGCTGTTTCCTATAGACTCAATAGTAGATATGCGCTGCATGTTTTTCGTCTCGATAGATCGGGATTGTAACAAGCGACCAGTCGAGTTGCTATTCGCATCAAGCGAAATGCTATAAGCTGATGAAACCGAAGGCCACAGGTTAACATCCAGGACGCTGTCTGCAAAATAAGTACCGTTCCATTAGCTCGACTTCGCAAACTATAGCATATAAGAATACAGCACTCACCACTCCATTCGAAAACCACACTCTGCCTCGTCCATGCCTCGCACACAATCGGCGTCACAGACAACAGCGCCGCAACGAGCATGGCCAGCAACGGAATCGCGCCGGGGTTCTGCAGGCCGGACCTCATGGTATTATTCCTCCTCTTCCTGATGTATTTATTTCCTGGTATTCCCAAGCACCCGATGCTCCCGCGTAGATGAGACGGCGCATGGGTTACTTCATGGCATCAACAAGAAAGCAGTCAACAACGGAGCAGCAGTGGTGGTACGAACGTTGGCGGAGACTGGACCGAATTTTGTATTATTTACTCTGAGAGAAGCTCATCCCGGCTGAGCGAATGACGTCCGACAGGCGGCTGCAGAGCTGAAACAGGGTGGTGCTGGTGTATTACTTGCTACTAGCTGATGGTTGGGTGGGGGTGCGCTGCTGCAGGATCGTTGCTGCGGCGATAAGCAGAGCAATCAGGGAATTGCAGCGCCGTGCAGATCATATGCGTATCACAGACACATAGACAGTAAAAATAGAAGAAAAGGAGAGGAAATGAAAGGCCTGTCGCTACTCATTGTCGAGGGAAGCGCAGTGCAGCGCAAAGAATGAAGGAAGAGCAATGGCCGCAAGCAGAGCTGCGAAGCCTGCGATAAGAGCCGCCGCCGCATGACGTCAGTCTGGCTGGGCAGGGAAGAGCGGTGCCAAGGAATCTTCGTCTTTTGTTCCCCTCCACTGGTTATTATCGTTCTTTTTTGGTTGTTGTGAAGACAGTTATTATTACAAGTATCGTTGTTCATGATATCCACCGTCTGCGTAGCGCTTGCTCGATCACGTCATTGCGAGGACAGGGCCTTGCAACAGTGTCCGTGTCAGACTGAGCCTTGCTCCCTTTTATTTTTAGAAGCGGGATAGGGTTCTCTGCTATCTCGCTGCCTAGTAGACAATAGTCTTGTCCCATACAGGCGTGTATGTACTATCTCTCGACTTTTAAACCGGTCAACCGCTCGTCCGACACCTGTCTCATATACTGTATGCAGACCGATGGCCCCGCATGACGCATGGAGGGGAGAAGCCGGATAGCGATTCCGGAGGATATCCAAACTAACCACGCATTCCTTGATTTTCAAGGCCCTTAAATTAATATCGGTATTCTTCTGACCGACTTGGATTTCTCGGTAACAGTATTCACACGGTTGATATCATATGGATTAGCCCGATATGTCGCAACTGGCTCCAACGCCAAGGATTCGGTAGAGATAACCCTTTACGAGCACGACCATTGCTGTGTTGTAACTGGACGCCTTAAGTCGTGGTCCCCATCCTCAGCCCCCAGCCCTGTTTTCTGATGGTGCTTCTGAAGCCTGATCGGACGATGGAATTAGATGCCAGCGAAGAGATCGCAAAGATGGTGTATGAATTGATTAGATAACCCATGATACCCAGAAAGACGAGCACCATGCCGAAGCCGTAAGGTGCTGCTGCTGCATCAACACTAACAATGCAGTGCATATTCTGGTTAGGGCTAGGGTTCGGATGACCTCTTACAAATCTATACATACGGTCGATAAGTAGTCTCCCTCCAGGCATGGAGTAATAAGGCAAATTTGCCCTTCAACTACCCTGCTCCTAGGCACAGAAGCTCAACCAAATCTCAAGTCAGCATCTGTAGAATTTCTGTACATTGCCCCTAGAGAGGAGTAACGCTGTCTCACGAAGCTACCCCGATAACGTAGTCGCTCTTCCCAGAAAGTGAGGCATTCAACATTGTGCATCTGGATGTTCAGAGCTTGTATGTAACCCCAGATGAATTTGAAGTTAGGTTGCTCCACGTCCAGACAGATAGTAATGTGTTATAGGGTGTGAGCTGGTTGTTTAATTGTTAGGTCGATACCGATTAACATGAATTGAACTGAAAAATATGGTTTGATTACATGTGCATGTAATTGATCTGGGAAGTTTTTTTATACAATTTCCTTTTCTTATACTGTATTCATGGAAAAAAGAAAGGTATCCAATGTATGATAAAACAAAAACAATTACAAGAATTTCCAAAAATCTCCAAAAGTCCCCAATAACTACACCGCGGGTATAATTCCAAATCGAATATTTCCACCTCCGGTTGCAAATATTCAAAAATCTTCGTCATCTTCATCATCATCAAAATAGGTAATTACCACATCAATCATCAATCAACCAATGTTTCTTGCCATATATCAATCGCCATGCAAAGTTCAAACATATAAATTCAATACGGGACATCATTATGCTATGTCTTCAAATTTGTCATCGTCCAACATTCCCACAAACGCCCGCTCGAGAAATGCACGCCACACTTTCTTTCTACCTTTCTTTTTCAATTCACTGGTGTCTTTATGTTTGTTGTTGATGCTAGTATCTGCTGCCTCCCCGATCCGTTTGGCGAGTTGGAATAAGCTCCGGACTGTGAGGTCGGGGAGCTTGTACACGCCGTCATCTCGAGTATGGTATTCCAGCTCGTACTGGATATGGCTGTCTTTTGATGACTTTTCCGCTTTCGTGATGTTAGCGTAGTATTGAGCATAATTTAGCAGCGCGAAGGGTTGGTTTGAATACGCCGGCCCAGGCGGTGCACTCTTCGCTGGTCCATCGGGAATCCGTAACTTGGACTTTTGGATCTCGATTTCACGCTCATCCCACTTCTCGCCTCTTTTTAGCTCGCTTTGGCCGAACCGCTGAACATCGGCCCATGTTGGGGTATGCTCCAGCCCGGTGATGTTGTATTCCATCACACGCAAGGTTGGGTAGTAGTTTGGGACGACACTGGGTGAGACCATTGAAATTGAATATCGTTCTGCGAATGGACCATCGATTTTCTTAAAGAAATCTCTCTTCTTCTTCTTTTTACCGCCGCTCTTTCTTTTTTTCTTCTTCTTCAGCTCGTCTAAAGCATCAGTCTCGGCAGACCACTCATCCTCGAGAACAGATGCTGGTGGAGAAGGCAGGCCCGCCCATTGATCACGAAGACTTGTCAAATAGCTCGCCTTGGACTGTATGGTGAAGTTTTCGTAATTATTTGCTTCAACGAATCGCGGGCTCGGTATTTCGAGTAAAAGGCTGTCTATATCCACATCCTCCGAGTCTTGCAACATGAAGTGATCTATATTCATGTGTCCGTATAACCCGACGACCACAACGTCTCGGTACTTACGCAGCCACAGGGTGTATTTTTGCCAACATGTTTCGTCCCATGCTTGCTTGTCCCCTGACCGTGCTGGAGGGACGTGTCCCATGAGAATCGCCTTCATACCCCGTTCACGTAATAGTTGAAGTTGTACCCGTAACCACTCCATTTGCTGGTACCCAGGCTCAGACTTTTGAGCACATCCATCGACAGCATTGTTCGAGTCGAAGAAATATAGGGTATTCAGACTGAAAACGGACAGCTTGTTGGGAATGACCTCGGTTTCAAACCAGCCGCCCTGAAGGAAAGTGTGGCGCTGCTCTTCTGGTATGAACGGCTTCCACAGCTTCGACAAAATCTCAGTCCATCGATTAGGCCCTTTTTCAAAAATGTTGTGAGGCATGACGTCGTTGTTGCCAATGTTAGGCACGATCGGAATGGCCAGCGTCCCGCTCGGATCGTCATTCCGGCCTGACCGGAAGACATCTTCGAATTTTTTCACGACGACAGCGTTGAATTCTTCGACTTGGTTTTCGGTTCGTGGTATACGCTCATCGTTATCGTGGCGGGCAGAATCGCCGGTCCACACAACAAAATCTATATCGTCCTTCAAATTCTTGTCGATCCAGGCGAATGTCTCATTGATCAGGGACTCCGGCGAGTCGCAGTCTGTTCCAGCAGACCCGAAAGATCCAGCGTCTCCTTCTCCATGGTGGCAAGCCTCATTTTCGTCGGTGGACGTTCCGGGTTTGTAGAAGCGGTCTAAATGGAGATCTTTGGCGGGCAGTTAGTACCAGACTGTAACTGATCCGGGCGAGCTGGGGGGTTATGGTACGTACCTGTTATGTGCAGAAACCGTCCGGTCAGGGACCGAGATGGCTGTTTCTCGCTATCGACCTGGGGATGCAGCCCAATTAATGGCTGCTGGTACTCGACTGGGGAAGCGACAGTGGCGACTGCTGCGACGAGCAACACGCCGATGGGGTACCGCATGGTGGATGGAACAACGGCCCGACACAGCGGGAGAAGCGGTCGAGGCTAACGCATATACCAAACTACTTTTGCCGTGTAAGAGCGGCAGAAGCAGGAGGTGGCCACAATTGTGGATGAGAGAATTGTTGATATAGGAGCGCGCGGCGAGAAGAGCCCAAAAAATAAAACGCTAGAGAGTGCGGAAGATCGACGTCACTGGCGGATCTGGATCAAGCAAGCACCTGCAGGCACCAGGCACCCCCGTAATGATTGCGGCATGTGGTGCTTTCTGCAGGAATGCGCTTCCAATATGCTCTCTTTTATAGAACACAACATATATATGAATTATTAAACACACAGATGATCAGGGTCTGTGATCCCACAGGGTCCCCAACACAGCCAAGAAAACACGAGTCAGCCAGTCACGATCCCGTCCGTATGACAGCAAAACCCTCCCCACAGCGCACACGACTGTGCCAGCACGTGCGCTAGCCATTGGATAGGCAGCGGCCCAGCGTCGCCGTTTTTGTCTTCTGACTGTATCACACTGTCAGCGTCTGTTCTGGTAGGTGGAGGCACAATTAGGCAGTAAGTTAGAAAGTAGTAGGAAGAGCGTTCCAGCCAATAGATTGAAAAATTAACGTGGATTGGTTGTGAAAAACACACTTGCCTTTGGTGTTGATAAATTACGGCCAGTAATTGATAAGTAATCCAGAGCATACGTGTATACATTACCGTGTGTATCAACTTTACGCTATCGTAATTTGCTATTTCACAATATCGAATGATATCTCCGATTCATCCACAGGAACCAACTGCCAGGTATATATATACATATACTAGATACTGACAAATATTGTCGACTGTGAACCTAACGAGTTATATGTCTCATATGTAAAAAATTCCCGTGATTAGCAGGTGATGATAGATGGCAAGTACCCCCAACTGGAAAGCCACAAAATGACAATGGTCAAGAGCCAGGCATCTGTGTACAGATGGTCGCGGATCGTGTCTAGTGGTTGGTCTAATGTGACCCTTGTATAGAAACCCCCAGGCTGCTGTTCGTGTATTTGACCAGAAACTGGTAGGATCTATGGACGTTGACATAGAACGATTCATTTCAGTATCAACCCTGCGGCTCCTCGAGGGTTCTTTGGTGTCATTATCAGGCGTTGGAAGTGTATGGAGACGATTATCTCAGTGAGACAAGAGATGAGAAGAAAACCAAGCTCGTAGGAATATCGGTAGAGCCGCGAAAGGTTTCATTGTATTATGTAACGTAGCATTCCAATTTGTCCTGCGCTATTCAATTCGTAGAGTCCATTTAATGAATCAGATGAGGCCCCGCAATAGCCACCGCTGAGGTGGCTCTAGAAAATCCCAGATAAGAGATGGAAAATAAAGACCGATAGTATGTATGATATCATTCAGCGACATGAACACACCCATAATCAGGAGGAAAGGTGAGACGCCGCTGTAATTTCCGATCGTTTTCTACAAGCACTGCAACGCCAAGCTCCAGCTGATGTCGATCAGAGAGTCGTAATTCCATATGACAAAGTTACTGATGATATTTGCGACGCAGAGAGCAATCAGCCGTGACAATCTCCAGAATCGCTTGAAAAGGCTTTCACGGAAAATATCACGCGTGGTCATTGCAATAAGGACATACGTGGACAGCTTCATCGACCCTAGGGCGGCGGAGATGTTAGAGTGGTATTGTGTGATGGCGCAGTGTTTGGTGTATGCGACTAGGTATATCGATGTTCCCATTCATTAGCATGACATTCTGGAGTAAACGTGGGCTCAGAAGCCTGTTTGCCAGCTTCTTCACCAGCGGTTTGGTCAGTCCGAGAAAGATTTTCTGAAGGCACCTAGTTGCGCGTGAAGTAGCTGACTATGGCAACTAAGTAAGTAAACTAGGCTGTTGCTAGGAAGGCGGCTACTACCTGTTACACATGTAATAAATTGTCTCAGTCACCATAGCTCAATATTTAAGAAACACAAGAAAAAAACTATATACCCCTTGACCAGCCTGGAGGTTTAGTCCGATTAGCACATCTCATTCCTTCGTTACAATTGCTTATACTTACGATATCTGGATCAGTGTCAAATATCTCATCCGTAAAGGAACAGTCCAAGTAACCACAGCCCATAGCTATCCGATCGTTCTTGGCTCTCCTAGTTTCTTTTTGATGGATGAAATTCAACTTTTTGATGTATTGTTTCCACGGCGAATTTCATATGGGAGTAAAATATGTTCATGAAGGATCATCAACGTTCCTGAAGGTCTGGCGAAGCTGAATGTGGCGTTTACTGACTATCTATTATCATTATTGGTTGTGGAGGTGTTGAGATAGGCTACAAGGCTGAGTTTGATAGTGATATGCCAACGAAGCTGTTAGCCTTGATACGAGGCACTAGTCGCTGTTCTAACTTTTATGAGGCACATGAATGTCGATCTGTACTCATTATAATCAAATTCGGACCAGAATCTTAAGTAGCATTCGATTCATTTATTATTTCATGATTTTTTCAAAGGCTCGTCCGTAGTTATCGATTGTATCGTCTGCCCAAACACCACGTATTGAATCCAATTAAGTGATACTATTCATCTAGTGGATTTGTATCAACGTCGACGATTAATCATGAATCTCAGACTGCTATTTCATATGAAATGGTAACTTCATCCAGGAGCGTGTGTGCAAGTCACCATACCAATAACCACGCTCAAAGTTATCCAAGGACAGCCTGGCTGACCTTGTATTCAACAATCACCTTCTCTCCAGTCTTTGAAATAAATCGACCCTGTCCGACAAACACCCCGTTCTCGAGATCTTTGTAGCGCTCGTCACCAGTCTAGAATGGAAGTTAGTGAAATAAAATTCAATTCTCCTCAAACCTCCGCGACAATGGAGAGACAGATACGTACCTCGAAGTGGAATTGCGTAACTATTATTTTTTTCGCGTTAGCCACTCTCCATACCATATTTCTTTGAGACATACAAGAATCCCCGAAATCCGTCGCCAAATCACCAGCGGCCCCAGCTAATATCTTTGCCGAGTCCTCTGAGAGATTCACTGTTCCTGTGTAACTGACATAAATCAACTATTGTCTGCTTTAGCCATGGCATCCGAGAACACAAAAAGAATGTATAAAAAACAAGACTGACAGCGTCATCATGCGTTTTCAATACGCTATGCGCATCCAGACGCAGCCTTTTCTGATCCGGGTCGGCGCGAATATAGTCATTGCCAGTACCGACAAAGGTTGCATTGAGAGAAGGCGCAAAATCGGATTCTGCTTTGACTGTTCCACCGATCATGGGCTGCGAAAGTCAATTGTTGTTCGTTTCCGATGAAATTGGATGGACATACAACTACATCGAGTCCGGTTTTGCGGTGATGGCTGCCTGGGGGTGTGTTAGCCTTGAGGAATCAAAACAGCCCATGGTGTGATGGAGGACGTACCGACGGAGAAGGGCGGGTCGATTTTTACCTGCGTACTTTAAAGTTAGAGCAATATTCGCATCGAACCAAACTGATTGTTGTTGCGTTGAAATTGGGTTGAATTAATCTCCGCACCTGGATGGTGAACGCTGGTTTGAGACTTGGAAATCCAGCCATGTTGTTGATTGATTGAAGATATTCTTATTGCTGGTATGCTTGTGAATCAATATACCGTGCTCCAATGGAGAACTCAAGATGAATTGACTGATGTTTTGACGTTGTTGCAGCCGTGATGAGGGGTTGCTGGGATGAGGGGATGAGGGGTACTAAGATTGGAGCTGCCTCGGTCTCCGATTTGTCCTAACAAGTTGCTTCTCAACTTTCAAAAAAACCGATGATAAACTATGCTATTATGGGTATCACGAAATCAATTGTGTCGTTACGCTAATCATGATTATATGAAACAGGATATTAGCAGCAACACGCCATCAGATTAATCTGGCAATAGAGGGCTCCTCTCGTCGACTCGATCTCCATCTCTTTCCCTCCGTCGACGCTCATACCTGCCTCCTTCCATATCCGATCTCCCACCCCAGCCTCTAAAGAAGACGACGTGGAGGTATCCCCGCTCTCTCCGATCCTGCCTCCGCGCGCACGACCGAGCCGTCGCCTTCAGGCATGCATACAACAGAGCGACCAACACCATCAACACAAATGATGCCGCAACAGCTGCAGACACAGATAAGAAGTTGCGCGTGCTGACGTTGCATCCCAGGCCGCGAGCCCTTACCTCCCAGCGTTCTTTGGCGCCCATGGGACAGATGTCTGGGTGTTCGATGGGGGCTAGGAGTGGGTAGTTTGGGGACGGGTTGGGGACGCAGGTTGATGACTGGAATATTGTCAGCGAGGTGTTTTGCATTTTGTGAGGTAGATATGAGACATCCAAACCAATTTTGAGACGTCTGGGTCTGGAAAGAGATTGAAGGAGTATGCAAGGGCTTGCAAAGACGGGCGTTTCCAAAATGATAGAAATTACAGGATAAAAAGAAGGAAAAGATTAATAAACCGATAAGAGCAGTCACTTACAAATGGGCACCAGCTACAGTCGATATCATCTTTCATTGATATACAGTCATCGCAAGACTGCCGCACCCAACATAGAAGCAGCTTGACAGGATCCCCGCCATTTTCGGAGACGGTACCGTTTGGCAAAAACGATACTTCTGGGATATTCACCATAGTATATCGTTCGCAAGGTGTCTGAACTAACAGACAGTTTATCTATCGATGATGGTTTGACGCAAGACGTGCTGATGTATGTTGGTGGGATGAGCTGGGCTGATGGAGGAAGATTCGCGGTCGTACATGGCCGGAGGCCCCGACGCTAAACCTAGAATAGAAGTATACATACACATACTCTCTCTTAGTGTAACATTTCAGCCACAGGTTTTGTCTATGATTCTAAGAATTCAGTGCTATGGAAGATGTCTGGGATTAAAGGAAAAATAGAAAAAATAGAAATAGTGTCATAATCTGTAATATTACAATAATTTGAACAGGAAAAACGATATCTTTCGAGTACCTACTAATATTAAGATATGCTAACGAGAAAGGCGTGGAAAAAGTGAAATATTTGAAACAGGAATAAAAACTATAACATGCATGTAAATATGCTGCCCGAATCTCAATTGGCATTGCTATTTATACTCCTTGCACTATACACGAGATTGATCATCTGATCATGCATGAAACATTCCGTGCAAGATATGCCTTCTCCTAACCCCCTCAGCATCTTACACGGCGTCTTTGTACTATAAACAAACTCGACCTATCTTATTGTATTCAGGTATGGGAATAAAAGCACACGCATAAAGGGCGTGTAATTGAAGCCTGTCTTGAAATGTATCAACTAGGGCCGAACAGTTGCGAAGCGGAGACGCCGCTTCATGTACGAGTGATGTCGCACAAGCCGTATTACTATTGTCGCCGATGTCATTGATCAACTCGTGTACATAGGTATGAGGATTGCGATTAGGAAATGGACACGAACTATCGGTTGATATATCCTGCTAGCGTCGGCGAAACAAGGGTGAGATTGGTCAATCAAGGAATTGAGTAGCTTTTTGCTGCACGCTCGACCTTACAGTCTGACTTCTCGGCATCTCCATATCACTTAACAAATAGCAAAGAATCGATTAAGGTTGACTCTACTTCAGCTTGGAATGTGTTCTTACTCAGCCTCTATTGCTGATGTCTAGACGTATGATGTCATTTGCATGCAGGGGCATGGGCTGCGATTGGCTAGAGTAGGCATACCATAGTAGCAACAGACAGACAACGCCTTGTAGGGATGAACCAGTACTTCCAGTTGACAGTGCTTGGGCAACAAGAGTATGCTGGCCGGCGCCCAACTAGACTCTTAGATTCGCTGCCTTGCTGGTGTCTACGATGGCCAAAGGAGAGAAGGCTATGCAAGGTGTTGTTGAAAGAATTCTATTCGAGTTACTTTGTCGTGCAAAGCGCCCGTCAGGTATCAAATGTGCTCCCCAGGCACCAAGACTCTCAAGACTTGGGTCGGCGACGGCCCGCCCGGCAAGCCCGACCGAACCTGGCTCCTTCCTGGCACGTCTTCACCTTCGCCCTGCAAACATCACGGATCCTTATATCTCGACTCTGACGCTTATTGCATGTTCATCTGTTGAATATTGAAATGCTTCACGCTGTCGACAAGAAGATTGCAGGCTACGTGACTATTGAGTAACAATATTTACTATTCATATCCGCCAGCCAACCCGCGCCGTCGCTGGAGCCTCCCTAAGCCATGCATGGCCTAGTTACAGCACTGATAATACGCTCAACTGGCGGTGTACCGGATGAATACGTAGCGTACGCTGCACGCCTGAGGATCCTCGATAAGATCCCTCGAAAATTCATAGCGGTCAGGGCCACTAAATAGTGCTAACTAGATTACACATCGCCCCCTGGAGGCTGGGCGCGCGTCCTTGCCAGCTAGCCGAGTTCAAAGCGACTTGGATGACTGTGCAGCTCTTGGACGCCATCCTCATCGTTACATCGCAGGCAGCAATAACTGCATTCAGAATCGCCAGAAAAACGATAGCTGCGGCACTCGTGACGACTGTTTCCGCATAGAGCTCCATGTATTGCGGCCTCTTGTTGTGCGGCCCCAACACCGAAAGACATATTCTGCTGAGCCTGCATAGAAAAAGAAAAATTACATGCGAGGAAATAGTCTGGGCGTTTTGTGGGACAGCCCGCTGCCACGCTGGCAAGCGCCAGTCTAAAAAAACCTGTGGCTGGGTCGAAATGGCCTGCAATACTGCTAATTCATATAATACATGGCGTGTCGCGCTAACTTTAACGCTGATGATGTCCGATCTTCGAGGCTTGCCCTCCTCCTGACTGGCTTGTCTGCTTGCTCTTGATCCACCGCGGTAGAGGCTTAATGCCCCGGGCTTAGGCTAACTGTCGTCAAGACCAAAGAACCGAGAGCTCTGGCTCTGACACGTAGTTTCGCGATGCATATCCTTTCCCACCCCCGTTATTATTTCCCGCCGAGTGACAATCGACAATTGTCTTGGTTCCGCTGAGCGCCGTGGAACCTTGGGGATTTATACAAGCTACTCCAAGAGGGGCCAGTGGAATTAATGCAAATCCGTATGACGTGCATCACCGGATCTTGCTGGTAGGAGAGGCCGGCGTTTTCGCCATCATAATCGACGTCGCGACCACCACTTTAGTCGTGGCATTGGATTTACTCTCGTACCCACCACCTCTGCTCGACCAGATTGCCGGGTTCTGGACAGCTGTCGCGGATAAATCTCGATCAATTGTAGCCAATTGACCGCCTGATTGCCTTGCTGTACTGCTATTTTCGCTGCTACGTAGACACGGTTGCGGTGCGGCAAATCTCTTGTGCCTGATAGACACTTTACTTCTGTCAGCACCACCACACGCACACTCTTGCCTGCCTGACTTGTCATTACTGTCCCGGACGCACGATGAATCGCAGGGACCAGCGACTGTACAGCCACGTTCTCCTTTCCTCCCTCGAACTCGAATTCCTGATTTTTGGAGCACAATAACTTTGATCGCCCCGGCCCGTAAAGTTCAGAAAGGCAGGTAAATCCATCTAGTCTGTTGGGTATCGCTCCCTGTAGGACTCGCTCAGATTGAACCATCGGGCGTTATTTGATGCGCTTCTTGGTGTCTAATTTGTCGTATTCAGCTAAATCGGAAGGTGCTAATACTATATAGATTCCTATGACGGTCGTGTGCTTCGGAGTCGTTTCTAGCCCTCCTATCTGTATATTTATCAGCTATCGCATCCCACCAAGTCGCTCAAAATACTCCCTCTACCGCCCTTTTTCGCTTCATTTCTCAAAAGCCGCTTTTCTTTCTGCTTAAGCATTTTGTATAACTATTACGGATTCTTCGTGGTCCTTCCGTCAAGTTTGAGGGTGACGTTTTCGCCGCTTCTAATTGTCACCCATCGTGAAGAAACGACAAGCAACGCCATTTCACAGGGTTGGTTCCGATCTAGGCCGGTTTAGAAGATTACCATTTCACGGATCCTCAATTCGCTTCAAATTTCGTTTCTCCTACCTAAAATTTGCTAGTTGTTGATCACCGGTCCTCCATCCACTCGTTTTGGAAGCCGAAGAGACAATCACTCGCAATTTTCTCGGCCAAACCCTCTTATGAATTACGGAAAAACACTTCAAATCGTCAGGGATCAAGGTAAGCGCCGTGTTTCCGTTTGTGTCGCCTATATGTTTCATCCTTGTTTCTGGCTGCCGCTGGGCGGCTATGCGGCGGCTACTGGTTCAACACCACATAAAAGCTTCGCAAGTCAAGACTGTGCCTGTTTCCAATCTACGTTTTATTATTCTCAAAATACTGTTACCTACTAGCTGCCATGGTTCCCGAAAAGCTGGCCGACACCGGTCTAGAAGAGGAGGACGAGGATTGCCAGGAGGATGATGACGTCTTGGATATAACTGACTTGGATAATCTTTTGCAGGAGTTGGATGTTTCTTTATTCGCTATTTGGATGGCCTCCCACGAAGTTGACCAGAAATATCTGGCCCACCTCGCGCTTGCCACCAAGCATGAAAACCCGTTTCTCTCAAGTATGCTCTACAAAATCCTCGGATTATCTGTGATCTTGTCAAAAAAGTTACTTCGTGCTCGCAAGCTCCGTCGTTTGGATCCTACGCGCGAAACGAAATCATTACAGCTGTATCACCATATCGTCTGGCTCTCACGAGAGGGTTTGGTGATAGTAGAGCAGTACATTCTGCCCATGGTGCAGGATTACATTGAACTGAAAGTACTCGCCTACAAACTGCGCGCCTCGTTTTACCACATATTCGTCCTCTTTCACAACCAACCAGCCATTCACACGCCAGGCATATCTAGTCTTCCAAGTTCATCGAATTTGCAAAATGGTAATGGCTTCGGATCTACAACCACCCCGTCTGAGCCTAATCGGGCATCAATTACAACAACTCCGCCACCAACAGAGGGTGGCCCTGTCAGAAATGTTACTCAAGGAGGCCCTCCAGGACTGCCGCCGGTACAGTCATCAAAATTCACAGCGTCTTTTCTTCTACCAGCCCTAGACTATACGTTGACTGCCACCCCTTGTTTCGCCCAAGCTGCTGCTCTAGCTGATACCCTCTTACCAGGGTCTCATCCCTTGCGTCTTTCTGTGAAGCTAGAATACGCCGCATACCTTTACGACTGCCTCCACGATGCCGACTCTTGTCGGCGACTAGCTAAACAAACCATTGCCGATGTATACAACGCCCAAGAAGGCATGGATGACGAAAGTTTCGAGGATGCTGCTGAACTAGTTGCTGTTCTTGGGCGGATGGTTAGGCGAGGAGGTAAAACAAGTAGTGCTGGAGGAAGCAGCACTACTGGACGCGATCACTCTCGCAGCAACGACGGTCAGAGCATTGTTAGCAACCGCACGCCACCTCGACCAGCGCCTCTCACACCTACAAAACAACATACTCCACCACACCACCGCACTCCCAACCGGAAATCGAATTCGCCTACCCCTACCAGGGCAAAGCCGTCTCCGAAGCCGTCTCCCACTTCTTCGCAGCTCAAGACGAAAGCGATCACGAAACAATCGCCATCTACAGCATCACGTGGTAGCACTACCCCTAAAGCTCCTGTTCCAATTATCAACCCGATATAAAACATTATTACAACAATGTCTCTGCATTTGTGGCGCATGGGGTTTTATTTCTGTCATCTCGAAGCATCATGTCTACTTCTATTCATGACCCGCCATTTCCCAGGGTAATCGCTGTTTGTAACTTATGATTTTTTTGTATTTCTGACCGCTCGATTCTTCGCCATCGAAGCGTCGTGTATTTATTAGGACGGCCTGTTTATTTATTTACCTTTCTTCAAGCATTCTGACAGATCTGGGTGGATATACCCGCACACTTACCTTTCTACTATGTGCATCAAGCATTGCTTCAACTCATGATAAGGTCGGTCATTTTTTAATTCCCAGCGCTTTTCTAACGTCGGCCAAATGTGAATACGAGCATCTTTTCAAAAAGAGAAAGGCGGATCTTGAACAGAATAAGAATACCTCTTAAATATCATAGTCAAACACCTACTTCTAGATAATATATGACGCTGTTCCTGGGGATGCTGGCTGAATCCGGAAATGATTTCCAGATTCGACAGCTTATAATTGGAGACAGGCCTTCGAGCTAGCCTAACATGGAAATTATGCCAGCATCAGTTGATGTGACTTCGACATTGTGCTTTTATCGTAGCCATCGTTAATGACATAAAGTGCTCTAGTCATTACTTTTAACATCTTGTCACTATAGGCAGACTTAATTGGCTAATTATAACCAGTTTTTGCAGTGGTAGGTTACTAATATTGGGGAGGGATTGCATTCCTTTCCGATTATCTATACTTCTTAACCTATCTAATACCATCGTGATCTATCAAGCAGGTTTTTATTTTGTTACTACTTTGTCACATATGATTCAATATGGTGCATTTAGCCCTGCAATCATGCTTCATGGCTCGATCCGAATCATGACGTGAGGTGTAATACGTGTTACATATCAAGTGGACAACGAATAGATAAACCCCGCAAACTCATATCGCATACCTTAATATTCAAAGTGTGTACCTGAAGTGTTTATTCTCTCGATCAGTCAAGTCTTGAAATGCCGTTGCAGCAGCGGCAACATCATCGACTGTGCCGTACTTGCGATCTCGCCTTTTATTCAACCAAGCGAGGTAAAACCGCAGAAGAATAACCAAACAGGTTGCAAAGGAGGTCATAGCGATAAACAAAATAAACGCTGTGGGATAATGTCGGTCTGCTTCCTGAGTCAGGATTGCGAGAGGAGCAATCCCATTTGAGCTGCAATATGCTGCCCAGATAAGACCCGCTGTGACGGCTTTCTTGGTATGGCCGGCGGTGTTGGCGCTGATCAGTGCGAGGAGCATGACATAAGAGATTGGATACCAGCAGAGAAAGTATAATCCCCATAGTGGAACAGCGATGTTGCTCCAGCTGGATTTCCAGATCATCAACGAGCCTGCGATGACTGGGAGGCAGCCGGCAATTGCAAGATAGCATCTTGTGTTCTTTTTATAGGTTGTTATGAGACTGAATATTTGTAAGTAAGCAATTATATTAGACTCAATGAGAATGCCGAGCAAGACCACTTACCCAGCAACGAGGAGCGTGATAAAAATAACCGCCCCTCCAGCTCCTAAATGTAAAACGGCCTGAAATGTGGAAAAGCCAAAACTTTGCGTTATAATTGAGCCAAATCCTGCCAATGCAGCGTTTGTGAGATTTACGGAAAATACGATTAGAACCATGATCCAAGTTTTAGGGTCTGTGAATGTTTCCTTGACTTGATATGTCTTGAGTGTCTTGTTCTCGATGCCGATCTGTTCAGTCCGCATCCGCTCAACTGCAACAATCTTTAGCTCCTGAGACAGGAACTTGGCAGAGACGGGATTGTCAGGGAGGATAAGTAGGACAATAATCCCCCAGCAGAATGTCACTGTGCCAAGCACTAAGTATTGATACTGCCAGGGTGCCAGACGACCATGGATATGTCCTATCCCATAGGTGATGAGTGTTCCGATTAACGCGCCGAGTCCGGTTGATGAATACCAGATGGCGAACCGCAGAGGGTGCTCTTCACGCTTGTACCACATAGCAGTGATGAGTGAGAAGGCTGGTGAAACCAATGCTTCGGTAAAGCCAAGAAAGAATCTAATTATTTAGGTGTCAACTGGTGCGCGGTTAAAGACAGAAAGCTGACTACTCACCTTTGTACTAGGAACCCTTCGTATGACTTCACTGCCATTGTACAAGTTGTAACCCCTCCCCAAAGCATAATTGATGCCCCCACGAACTTTCCTAGAGGGAGTTTCTGAGATAGAATAACCCCGGGAAATACTAAAATAACGGTTGTTTAGCGTAAGATCAATTGAAGTCAGAGCGCGGACACCGTACCTCCTAGCAAATAGCCCCAGAAGAAAATCATCGACACATATCCGTATTTCTGCAAACTTGTGCTTTCGCCTTTGCCGTTGCTGGTAGGTACAATCTGATAAAGATGGAGATCTTGTACAATTCCAAACAATGCGGCACCTGTGAGACATGTTTTGTCCATATATTGGAGTCCGAAAGATATGGTCAAGAGGGGCATCAAGAGAGCATCGATGCGACGGCGGCATTTCCTCTCCAGTGCAGGTGTCACGACGACAGGATCAGAGCCATCTCCCGCCAATGCAGCAGCAACATCTTGCTCTCTGAGGTTGGCAGTTTTACGGTTCTCTTCGTGCTCATATGCCCCTTTATGGTCAGCTGATATTGCTGTTATCCTCATCTTCACTTGATGCAGTTGGTTAAATTGAAGTCTGTAACGAGTTAGGGGAATGATAAGGGTAATTTTCACCTGTAACCTGACCAGAGGCTAGATCGGCAGATATACCCGCCCTTTATGGATAACGAAATACGGGGCATCATTCTAATCAACTGGTATGTCTCCAATAGAGTTTCTTTACCCCGGTTTTCCCCAGGTGCTCAGATGGGGTAGAACGTAACTGAAGAGCCGAGCCCGAAGACGGTAGCACTACTGAACCCTCTTTGTTGGATAGGAAATGTGCAGGTCTAACATGTTCGAATTTACCTGCGTCCGATACGCTTGTACAGTCCGCCCAGACACAAGCAGCTTTTCTTTACAACACTAAATAAACCCTAACTGGTTCTCTTGCGGAAACGGATATCGGCCATGACTGGTTCTAAATGTTATCTGAAGCCCCCTTGGATTCTCTGATCTGAGTTTTATTAACAAACAAAGAACTCTTACAGCTGACTGCTAGGTTATCGGCTTTATAGGCTGGGTTTAAATAAGAGTCATGAACCTTGTGGCGGATCGGCTGCTGCGGATCGGATTAGGGTTACTGCGGGATGTTGACGTCGAGTGACACAAGGCAGTGCAAGACTGTCCTTAACAGAATTGACTTCAAAATTATATCCTATATACTCTCGTCTTTTCAAAACTAATAAGTACGATGTGAAATGTTGAAGTCTTATTGGAATGAAGGAACTGAATATCGTAGCTGGCTGTAATCTACAGTACGATACCGATTATGGCAGAGCACGATTTATCAATATCGCACAATGACCAGTCGAGAGTGACCCTTGGGATGGTCAAGTTTTAGCTCTACTTCGCTCCAATTAACAAAGAAAGTATCTTGTGCTTGGTTAATGTTAGGGGCGAAGAATTGGAAGCGTGTTCAGCATGACGATGCTTGTATGCCAGTGAATAAACTGACTACGGTCCTTGGTCTCTGTGGATCCAGACTGGTGTACCAACATATCCTAACCTTGGCATTAAATCGTGATTTGTAAATCGGTTCACATATGGACGTAGACTAGTCTATGAATGTCGTGCTGATGAGTGTTACAGCCGTAGTCAATAGTACATAACTATCAACTGGAAGCTCTCGGATGGGTCTAGCCCTGCGGTCAATATTTCGTCACTGTTCGGCATTTCTTGGATGGGGAATCTTTGAATCGGTTGAATATTTGAGTTAAGATATGATAATAACTCCCATCGGTAGTATAGTCACTTCCGATTTTCATAGAACTAGGAGGCGAGCATATTTGGCGAGATAAGTCGACTAGAGAAGCCGAATAAGGAATCCGTTTTTGTAGGGAACTGTCGTACCACAGTAAGAAGACGCCACTAAAAGTCTCCCATGTCTCCTATGAACTCGTCCTTTGTTGTCCACCCCAGTATGATTCGTATACCGTAGAAGATAGTGTGTTGTCGTGATTTATGCTGACTAGTACGGGGTGTGTAGTAGCACGTTTGTTGAAAACTGGAATGACGAGACCATATCGGCAGAGTACACGTACGTAGAAACACGTTCGCACGCAGTACGAAATGATGGTACCTATTTTTCTGCCTGGTTCACCAATTCTTCTACTTCAGCTTCCGAGAATCGGTGAAATAGCTTCCGAAGTTCCGATTCGTTGTTCGACTGAGAGGATTGAACATGAAGAACCGGAACATCGAATTCGTAGACATCTTTCCATTGTTTATGCTCCGGGGTCATGATATCGATTTCGGTGTAGTCGAATCGGCGTCGTTTCTGGAGTTTAGACACGGTCAATTTGGCAGTATCGCAAAGCCCACAATGAGCACGCGTAAAGAGTGTCAATCGGGCGGCATTGAAGCCGAAAAGCGCTCTTGTAAGCTGCATGGTAATATAGCGGTTGTTGGGGAAGACGGAGGAAGCCCATCTACGCCATGGAATGATGGAACATTCGAGTTCCAGAGGCTAACCCGATTTGGGACCTTCATACCCGCCGCAAGAGCAATGCAGATGCAAAGAGATCAGCACTGACTTTGTAACCGTCCATTTCTCCGCTTGTTTTCGTTTTCGCACTCGCCGAAGCTTTGGTCTTTGAATACCTATCTTCTTATCTCTGTTTATACATTAAATTCGATCTCACCGCCATGGCGGCTAAGTGCGTTCACAAAGGATGCGGAAAGGTCTTTACCGACCCTGCAGAAGACTGTGTCTACCACCCTGGCCCACCGATCTTCCATGAGGGCCAGAAGGGTATGCTTGAGACACTTATTGGCCTCCAGCTTCTCCATGTTTTATTTGTTGACCAAATGGATGATTAGGTTGGAAATGCTGCAAACCCCGCGTTCTCACCTTCGACGAATTCCTTACTATCCCACCATGCACCACTGGCAAACACTCCACAGTCGACGACACGCCGAAGGAAGAGCCTAAGAAGGCTGATGTCTCCAAGATAGCTACTCTTGCGGAGAAACTAGATGAGAAGGCACTGCCGACAACGACACCTATTAATCCTGCTGCTGCCATTCCACCGCCATCTGCCCCCGCACCTCCTCCAGAGCCCGACTCTGACGACCCCTCGCTCGCGATTCCAGCAAACGCAACATGTCGGCGTAAGGGATGCAATGCGAATTTCAACCCGAATATTTCTCGCGACAACGAAATATGTTTACACCACCCTGGCCATCCTATTTTTCATGAAGGTAGCAAAGGTTGGTCGTGCTGTAAGAGGAGGGTACTAGAATTCGACGAGTTTATGAAGATTGCTGGGTGCACGGAGAAAAAGAGACATCTGTTTGTGGGTAAAGGCAAGGCTGCCGGCGAGGAAAAGGTCAATGACGTTCGGTAAGTTGTGTCAGCAGTGTTGAGTCCTACGGTGACCGTCAGGCTGACAGCTATGCTAACACGGTGGTTGCCAACAGGAATGATTTCTACCAGACCGCGACGACTGTCAATGTATCATTATACCTCAAGAAGATCGATAAGGAAAAAGCCAAGGTTACTTTCGACACCAACTCGATTGACTTTGACCTGCTTACCACTGACAACAAACGATTTACCAAAACATACAATCTTTTTGCGCCGATTGACCCGAACGCTTCGCAATATACTGTTTTTGGGACTAAGTTGGAGTTGAAGTTGGTCAAAGGTGATGGACAGAGCTGGCCAGTCTTGCGCAGTGATGATCAATGGACTGGCGAGCGCATCCAGATTGGCCAGGCTGGTCGTTTTGCGTAGAGCTGTTTGGGGCAGGACTATAGTGATATAATGCGATCTGATGACGGGGCATTCACGGAGTTTTTTTGTTGATTTCTATAAAATAGTATTCATGGACTAGGTGCCATGTTGAGCTTCGGTGGATGGAATAATTAGGAGAGAACAGCTTTTTCATTGAGGACTCGTTTCTACGTAGACATTTGAACTATGATAAGGTTGAAAAAATTTCGGTATGGCAAAGAACCTAGCAATTCCACCAATCCATACACATCAATACAGATTAGAAAAAAAGTATATCACGCCTCCTCCACAGCTAAAGCGCATGGGATGCCTCGCCGAAGCGTGGCCCTAGCCTAGCCATAAAGTGAAAGGGAAAAAGGACGACGCGCTGCAAAGTTGCTCTACAGAGCCGGGAACGGAGAGAAACCCATAGTTAGAACTGAATAACCCTCAGCAAGCCGCATAGCGGAGCCCAGATAATATAAAGATTTACAATACAAAGTAAGTAAACCTCTACTGATGATAGATGAGGAAAAAAAGAGAAAAGAAGAAGAGAAATTGCGGACTGCGGAAGTTGGATTTTATCTGCAGGCCGGGGCGGGTCCCGTGTCCGCGCCATGCCCTACATGGCATAGCGTCGGACCTTCCCAATATGGACACGCCTAGGGCTAGGGGTGCTGCAGTCATGTGGCCTGCCCCCCTCAGTGAGAAAGGGAAGCGCCACACTGGCCAGAAACAGTCTAGCGTCCCCAACCGATTGGTGCCCCACGTTCGACTTTCCGTATGAGGACTAGAGTATAGTCACATGCCGAAACAGACTCCGTTGCCATTGGTGCGTTCTGCCTGGCGGTCTGCAGAGGGAGCCCTGCAGCACATTGTCCTGCGCAATCCCAGCCCAATCAGACTGGATGCAGTTGACTCTTGCATTCTCTCTGGCAAACGGACGCAACATCTGAAGCGAGATTGAGCGTCCTGAGAATATCCTTTTAGGCTTGCCAACCGGTTTTGGGCTCTAGTAGCGGCGGCTCTGTCTTAAATTATTCCAGACGCCTCGACGGCTGACCCCTCCCGAGCTGGACCAAACCCGTTTCGACTGTCTTTCACAAGCTGTGGCACGAGACCACATCCCATATTCTACCAGTTCTTTATCTTTGGCCCCTGAAGCCCTGTCGTCATTGCTCGGCCTGTGCGCACATTATTTATCCCTGCGTGGTCCTGGCTATTTCTGTGGTTGTCAATTGCTTCGTGGCCGATTGTCTTTGCTTCTCTCTACTCTCAGCCGGACCTGTTACATTGCATTGCGTCTCCGTGATTCAAGATTGTGCGGTTAATTCTACCAGGTAAGTCTTTGGTTGTGGTTGCTATTTGATTATACAGACTCAAATCATTACCAGACCAGACTGACAATGGATTTCATCTACAGACTCTGACATATCCTTTCAACCGTCGAGATACAACTAGAAACAGAATATTGACCATGGCGAATGGCTCCTTGCGTTACATTCCTCTCTCCTACAACCATGCCGATTCACAAGCCTCTGCCCTGAGGCTGGTTCTTTCCATCAACCCTCACTGGGAAGGGCCTGAAAACCAGATTGAATTCGTGCGATTTACAGACGGGATAACAAATACTGTGTGTTCAAGCCCGGATTCACCAAGTAACCGCATGCTAATAGGAGTGAATGCGTAGTTGTTCAAAATTATCAACCGCAAGCCAGGCTTGACTGAGGAACAGCTTGACTCCGAGGCCGTGCTGATGCGTGCGTATGGTAACCACACCGAGATTCTTATAGACCGTGAAAGTATGTGTGCTATGAAAAAACAAACCTTGCCCAAATGCGACCATCTGCTAAAGTAAATTCTCTATCCTGAAGGGGAGGCTAGATCCCACACGTTACTCGCACAACATGGTCTTGCCCCTCCATTGTTAGCCCGCTTCCAGAACGGCTTGTTGTATCGATTCATCCGTGGCAAGCCCACCGTGCCTAGTGATCTAGTGCAACCACCTGTTTGGAGAGCCGTGGCCCGTCGTTTGGGCCAGTGGCATGCGACAATCCCTGTCACTAATAATACTCCTGCTCCGGATACATTTTCATTGGAAGCCCAAGATGGTTTGATTGACTCAGACCGACGACCGCCAACCAAGAAGGAAGATGACATTGTACCTATCCAACCCCGGCAAAAAGGGCCTAATACGTGGACTGTTTTGCAAAAATGGATTCTTGCGTTGCCGATAAATACGGAAGAGCAGCAGACGCGTCGTAAGATTCTCCAGAAAGAGCTTGAACGTATCATTGCTGAACTTGACGACGGTACGGGCATTGGCGAGGACGGGGTATGTTTTATTCTCTTTCTACCCCGATATAGCACATTGACCACTCGTTATGCTGACCATTCATGATTGATAGCTCGTGTTTGCTCACTGCGACTTGCTAAGCGCTAATGTCATAATAATGCCTCCGACGCCGGCGAATGGCTGTTCAAATGGCCACCACGATACCGAGGAGGTCAGCTTTATCGACTACGAATATGCTACTCCGTCTCCGGCTGCTTTTGATATTGCCAACCACTTTGCTGAATGGGGTGGATATGACTGTGATTATAATATGATGCCTACACGCTCTGTACGGCGAGAATTTTTGACTGAATATGTCAAGAGTTTTGTCCGACACGGTGGCAAGGGAATGGACTCTGATGAGCAAAAAGTTATTGATAAACTATTCCAAGATGTGGATCGATTCAGAGGTATCCCCGGTTTCTATTGGTGTGTACCTCTACTGCCCTTTCTTTTGGGATTTGGACTAATATATCATTTCAGGGGAGTATGGGCGCTTATCCAAGCAACAATCTCTCAGATCGACTTCGACTATGCCTCTTATGCTGAAGTACGTTTAGGCGAGTACTGGGCCTGGCGACACGAACATGACGGAACCCGTGCTGAGAGTTCTGGAAAAGAAGTGCCTCTACGAGAGCGGAGATGGGCGCAGGAAGCCTGAGATCTTTCTTACTGAAACTGCATAGATTAGTTGTCTGCTTTGCGACCAAAAAAACTTTTCCTTTTTTTAATATGAGCTTTCTTCTTGTCATCTAACTTTGTGGCGTTTGATTTTTCGTTGATGCAGCCATTTTCGACATACATACATCTTTTCTGTCTACAATCATTCTAGATTGGTGACAGTGGCGGCATTTGAAATAAAACGGTTCTGATAGAGAAATAATACAAGCGGTTGTCTCTTATAGTTTGATACTGGTTTAAGGATATAGGTATTCGGATAGGCATCGATTCAGGCGTTACAACCGTATATTCAATCGTCAATATCGTAGCAGCCGTTGATTCAATGCTGGTACCTCGAAATCAATACAAGTCGCTAATTCAAGATCTACATGCATGAAGCTTCAGAATACTTTATTTCTCGTTCGTGTTCGATCCCTGTAACTCGTGATCATTCAGAAACATTAATATCTCATTCTAGTTAAGAAATAACCCCTGCATTGCTATGATCTTGAAAACTCATCTTCTTATGGTATTCCTCAACGATAAATCGACATCAGCGCATGACTCCAGATCCAGAAGCAAGTTCTTGCTGTAACGCTGCACAACCAGTACTATGATGCCGTTCAACTTTACAGGGGTGGACGGCTTTGACAGAGATTCATCCTGGGGAGGGGGGTCTGTTGCCATATTCATGTGTTAGTATCGCAGTCTCATTATGCTGCTAAGGTCATTCTTCACACCGCTGAGTGAGGGAGATGTGATGGATTCTTCGAAACGAGAAATTGGTCCCGATTATGGATGGTTTCTGGGAACTCAGAAACATGACAGACATGACAGTCAGTATTTGAGTCGACCAAGTCATCCTCACTTACGGTTAGAGAATTGACTGATCTATATCCCTGACATAAATCCTGGAGAAACTATGTGGTGGCACTGTGATGTGAATAACCCCATTCCAAGTCCCAAACAGTCATAAATAATTGATACCCTAATGGTGCCTATATATATATGCATATCTATCAGGACGCTCAACAACAGATGTGCTACGCTGTGGAGGTCGACGACCACGGCGAGTATGCCAGTGTGGTTTACATAGCTGCTACCCCAACGACACCAGTCAATAAGCGATACGTCAAATCTCAATTCCACAATTTGCTCAAAGGCCTTCCCCCTGTGGATTTCTCTGAAAGCACCAAGGAAACTGAGTTGACAGGGACCAAGGGCGAGTAGTAATGGGATTTGGATTATAAGGATATTTTAAGTATTATGTTCCAAGAGTTAGGTACTGGATATTTACTACATAACCCAGGGTCTCTACATACATGTAAGCCATCTAGACTATGCAAATGGCGAACCTGCAGTAGGTCAGGGGCCTAGAATATGAGCTGCTACAGTCGGCTCAAAGCTTTGGTGATCCTCCAAATCCATACTTACTAAGATCAGTTTCATCATTTCCATATAACCATGAATTTTCTAGAATGGCGAAGAGGCAGTGTGAAAAGCTGATATTCCTTACGAGAATATTTGGATATTCCAATAATATGCAACGTAACTCAAATAGTTCCCTCCACGTCCATAATGTCAATATTTGTTCCTGGTTCGAGGAAACACACACCTGTGTAAAAAAACTATAGAACTAGGCTATTCCCACTACGTCATAAAGGTCAACACTCGCACAGATAACAGCATGATCTCGATATCAGTGTTAAAACTCCAGGACCAGACAGCACTATGACGTTGGCTTGCACACTAACACCTTTCTCTTTCCGAGGTTTGTGATGGTTTAACACTGTGCCCTTAGTCAGCTATGGTAAGGAAGCCAGAGAGGTACAGCGCATAGAAATAAGGACTTACTCCTCCGGCTGGAGCATACCAGCTCAGACATGTCTGAGTATCATTATCATATTCAGTGCAAGGGCAATCCCCATACTGAAGACATTGACAATTGCATTGATAAGGTTCGGTCCCATAATAGCAAGTCTGACAAGTTCCAGTTTGAATACAGCAAGTATCATGTTGTACCGAACATTGTCTACGTTCAAGTGGCGACTCTCTAGGTAGCGCAGCGGCTAGCCCAGCCATCATTCCAAGGATCACTGTGAAACGCATTGTTGATTGTATTGTAAAGAAAGCCGATCAAAAATCTGAGGAGGACTTGCGAGGCTGATGCTGATTGTGCGGACAATAAGTAAGAGGTGTTTGTAGAAAGAAACATTCTGAAAAGAAGGGGAAAGAGGAGACTAAATTGAATTTAAGGCACAGGTTCAGAAGTCAATCAGGCCGAGTTCCGTTATTTTCGGAACTCTCCCTGTCTTTTCTTATTCGATATAGCTTGTCCGATTTTCAATTCGTCGAGGCTAATTTAGTCTTCAAATGCCCTGCAGCTTAAAAGACTATGGATTGATTACCTTTACGCTAGTCTTCGGACCGCGGAGTGCATACGACTTTTAAATCATTATAATTGCATATTCTGAAATAACGTGTATCTTTTCCAACTAAAAGTGATGGATATTCTTAACTGCAATTGATTAAAAGTGTCTACTTATTTCCAGAGATTCCGAACTAGAAACATCTCAATTAGACCTGGAATGGTTTAAGTAGACACATCTATATCAATGGACTATTGCTCTAAAGCGGATGTGTGGCTTTTTCGCATTAGACCAAAAAGGGCATTACGTCTAGTGTGTTTATGGACTCTCAATGCTGATTAGAGTTGGTAATAGCCATTTGCTCCGCTTCGTTTAATAATCACCGACTATGATGCAACGTTTTACTGTAACCACACGCAGCCAAATCCTGAACCACGCAGGCTGTACTCGTAACGTCTCGCCATCTAATGATGTACGTACATAAATAATAATCATGGCACTCAAGCAGACAGGACATTCCTAGTGTGGTTAGTTCATCGGACAATTAGCCAATTAGCTCGGAGCTTTCAAATTGTGTACAGGATAACCATCTTTACGTAGCCCGTTGCACAGTACGTCGTCTCTGTCAGGTTCTATCTAACCAGTCCAAGATCATTCTGCGAGAATGACGTTCCAAACATCCCACGCACTAAAACTTTCTGACGAACCAGCCAATTTTTATCTAGTCGAGTTCTCTCCGCGACTCTTCGAAGGCGGACTGTAGGCTGCTAAACCTTTTACTGGTGAGACTCTGTCATAAGCGAATGCCCTGAAAAGATGTAGAAATATGGCTATGGAAATGACAGTAGAGGAGGGGGAAGTTGGGATGTTGAGTTTGTCAAGCCACAGTGTGATTGATGTGGTCCAGGAAACATAAACATGCAAACAAAAGTAGAAACTATGAGAAATTTCAGCAATCCAGAACATGGGAGAATTAATATCGCGTGCTCGATAGCTACAGGGTAATTCAATGTCGGATGGTGAAGGTCTATGCCGCCCCCTGCCATGATGATTGTTGTTAGATTGCCGGATACTCTCGTTGCCTGTTGGATATAGGATTTAATTTCATTCAACATAGGCCAGACCTGTATTGAGATTCCTTCAAGGGGTAGACCTTGGTTAACATATCTATAGTATGCTGTGAGTGGTGGTTCGGTGGTTCTTGAATGAGGATCACATCTATATTTGCGTTTCGAGGCTATTGATCGGGCTTTCATACAGGACCTGTATTTCACCCTATTCAAGTATATATCACGTACGTTCGATCTTATCGAGGGCTAACGGACCTCGGGCAGCTTCTGTCGCTAGTCCGAGGGTCAAGAAATCTTGCTCTCACACTATACAGGCAATGTCATCACTCGCGGCTACGTGCGAAATTTTCACATTGTACCCATTGTTTAGATGAGATTGGGACCAGTAACACACTCATGGAGACGCAAGTGCCATCAATTGGCTTACTTTAAGGAATAGTTGGGAACAATGGCGTAGTGAGAGATAATGAGGCAGTTCTGAGCTTATGCACATCTTACAATGTGATTAGATTTTAAGATTGATGGTTATTCAAAATTACCTGTTCTGTGAGTCAATATCAAAAGGGAATTTTATTCATGTAGCTTTTGGCAATAAAATGAATATTGCTGTATCTACTCAATCACGTGATGTTACAAACCCTTATTTTTCCTTCACTTAGGTGTTGTCTTCTATTTGCATCCTGATCTATTAAAATCGCTCTCACTGCATAAACAATAAAAATGTCACATCTCAGGCTGATTTACAAACAATTACTTTCATAAGGACTGTACTCTGAATGAAAGAAGAAAAATTCATTCGGGCTACTTAGGATCCTATTTCGTTGTGAGGAAACCCTCAGAAACAAAGAAACAGACCCCCTGATTGTTTCTAACACAAAAAGGGGAAAAAATTCTCGGAGGGGGGGCCTGCAATGTAGAACTTCCGAAGTTACCGAAGACCGATGAGTACACCGGGTTGTGGAATGAAATCACAGATGCCAGATGTTATCCTCTAACGTTGAGGGAACGTTAGCAGGCAATTAATCATCTTGTATCTGATTAGGAGCTCTTACCAGGGTCATCTGTGTCGTCATCACTAGGGTCAGAGGAGTAATCTCCCACGTGACACTCGTCACTAGAATCCTCCTCAACGGGGAGGTAATGGCGAGGATGGTCCAAATCGACTTCAATAGAGAAAATAACGAGGAGCTATTAATTGAGAGAATGGAAGAGGGGGAAAGGGATAGATAAGTGGATGGCCAGAGGGAACATGGTGGTACTGCAGGAGCTCAAATTCGACAAAATCCTCGGCAAGAAAATTAATACTATCTCCATTCGCGTCAAACACTTCAGTCGCATCGTTGGACTCAATGGACTCGTTTGTCTCGTTTGCTTGGCTCGCCTCGATGACTTCTTTGGCCGGGCATGCATCGTTCAGAGTCATCACTATTATCAGAATCATCTCTATACGTATAAGAAAATTTAGTTAGATTCAAGCTATTACACTTAGGTGCAGGGGGAAATAGTGTCACATACTGATCGACAGCGATGCGGAACCGAACAAGTGCGAGCCAACAAATGACTGACCACTCCTCCTCAAAACGGATTCTCGCAAGATCCATATCGAATTTGCGGTTTATCAGAAAGCCAAGATATGACGAGAAGTTTCAAATCACAGGAACTCGTGCTTGAAAACTGGAATATTTGATAGCGTTTGTGATGAGGAACGTAGCTATGGATGCGAAAAACTCGAATCTTGATAGAGAAAAGCTGATGTCAAGGAAGCACAGGAAGGGGAGAATATTTTGTGTGGGAATGGGAACAATGAAAAAAAGGCTAAGGCCTTGTGATATCCGGTTTGTGAGTATCTGCACACAGGTTCTGTACATATTGCTGTTGGTTCTCAGTACACGATATACTTAGGACACTAGTGTGAACTGACTTTCATGAGTACATGCTAAGCCATCATTGCATGTAAAACAACTATCTATATGGTAAGCCCATAAGATTTGTTTCTATTAATCTTGACTGATTGAGCAATCCCAATAAACCAAAAATCTGAATTCAATGTTCTTCTTGATACTCCTTGGTTCTGCCAATAGGCCTGATATTTGTTCCCCAGAACCAAAGGACAACAGGAACAGGTATCGCAATGACAATCCATACGAATGCCAACAAACTATTGCCCCATCCATAACCAAGTTTATCATATAGCTGCGGTGCAAACAATGGAAACGCAAAGCCAAGGATATTACTCAACATTCTCACAGCTGCCCCCGCGGATGCAGAATGATTCGGGAATTCATCAAGCAAGTATGCAAGCGCAGCTTGGCTTGCCAGAAAATCTCCTGCTGTGAAGATTACTGCGCCAATATCGACCATAATCCATTTTATGTGGTCTTGGGCTGACCACCCCAACCAGAAGAGTCCTACTGGTAGTAAGAATACACCAACTAACAAAAGTGGCACTCGAAATTCTGGTGGTGCAGGAGTGCCATCAGGCTGTCGAGCATGAAGACGAGAGTAAACAATATCCATGAGGCGACCGCCTGCTTGAGTTGCAAGCGTACTACCTAGGGCAATGGAAATATATTGGAGACTGCTGGTGGTGGCTGATTCATTGTATTGATCGATGAACACCCTTGCAAAGAAAGACAAAACGAGAACATAGATTCCAAACCCGAGGGCCATGATCAAAGCCAATATTTGAATAATTGGACGTGTTAATAATAGACGTAACGGTCGTATTAGGCTTGCACGAATCTTGGGTAGGAGGTTTTGTTCTGACGGGTCGTTCTCGTTTGTCGCTATGGTTGCACCCTTCCTGCGAAGATCGGCCTCTTTGCGCTGTAGCAATATTGGTTTAAATGACTCACGAACGATTAAGAACCCGGATATAACAACAACAGCATCGAAAATAGACATCACCCAGAATAACCATGGCCAGCTTACATGCTGACTGACTAGACCACCAACAATCGGACCAAGGGCCGGGCCCAAATAAGGAAACAGTGTTGCAATAGCTAGGGACTTGCCGCGATCCTCTTTGCGATACATGTCAGCCATGATAGGGCCAGATAGCTGTATTTTTTCGCCATATTAACTCCATGTTACCGATTATCCTTATTACGGACATGATACGACTCACATTAACGCCGCTACTCGCTCCTGCACCAGCCAGAAACCGGCCAACAACCAGCATTGCCTTGGACTTTCCAACAGGACATAGAGTGTTCCATACAATATAAAATATGTTGCCTCCTATCCACATAGGCTTCCGGCCGAAAACTTCACTCAAGGGCCCAATCAGGAAAGGCCCAAAGGCTTGGCCTAGAACGAAAATCGAGAAAGAAATTTGGGTCTCGGATTCCCCTAGCCTCAAGTCTGAAGCCATTTGTGGAAGGGCTGGGGCTACCACACTCGTTGTCATAAGACACACGAGCTGTCCCAGAGAAATAGTAATAGCCATAGCTATCTTGCGCCTGCTCGACCAGTTGTAGGGATTTGTTGGGTCATCGGGGCCGTCCCATGTTACCTAAGAAAGCATGTCAATAAACAAAAAGTTAGAGAATTAAGACTAAGTAAAATATATACCTTCACTGGTGCCTCCCAATCCACCCGTTGTTGATCCTTTGCTATTTCCACATCATGAGTCTGCCCTTCCCCAATATTGACGTCGTCTTTCGTTGTTGAACTCATGCTTTAACAGCTTTCTCCTAAAAAGAATATGAGCTTACCTTATATAAGATATCCCGGAAGAAAAAAGTCTTTTTTTTTCGATAGTTTTCAATTGTAAACTTTTATACTTGTACACCAGAATCAGGCTAAAATCCTACCGTCTCCATTTTTCCTGACGAAGCCAATGACGGCCAGAAAGGAGTTCGGGATTCTGAAACATTGTTAGATATCTTGCAAAATTTGTATTTCAAATGAGTAGACGGTTACCATTGCAAACATAGGTACTCCGATGAACACCAACAGTTGATTCCATTAGAGAATCCAAGCCAATTATGCTCTGCTATCGTTTATAGATCTTATCAGATATCGGAGTACCCACTGAACGATACTCCGTCATTGGCAGACAGCATCTGAAATAGTCCGACGCTAGGACGAATGCAGGCAAAGTCCCAGCCATTATGCGAACGCGTTCTGATTGGTTGAAAGCATCTTGTGTTTTGTATTCACTATGGATAGATAATAGATGGGGACTGCCTATGTGGCACATGACAGGATGTAACACTATGCAGCTGTAGCATTCAGCAAATAAGCCTGTTCGCAGCTTCCGTTCCTGGAATTACAGTCGAGATAATTGCTCAAATATATAATACACTAGACTTCCAGAATTGTATGTTTTCAGCACATGAAGATTACTTTTAGAAGATAAAGCTTGTTTTCGAAGACTTGGTATGTTTTCCTTGATTTTATTCATCCACTAAACTTTAAGTGACAGAAAGAGTTCCTTGTGGCGCGGATAGTGTGGGAATTTTCAATACAATCTTTAACGGTCTAGACTTTACCCCTGCAAGGAAACCTTTTCCAAACGAGTATGTCCTATCAGATATCTGTACACCCACAGCTTTCATTCGGTTGGATATTTTAATACCCCTTCCCCGCAGCGCCTTCTAGCAACAGACATGATAAGTGGCCCTTAACTGGTTCAGATCACCATGTGACTAGACAAGGAAAATATGAAAGACATATGTGGCGTTGAGCTGGGCCACACGAATAAAACTACACCTAAATCCATTGTAAAAACAAGTAGAAAACTATCGTCGGTGTGACATACCAATGCATACACTGATTTACAAGTCAATACTCAAAGAACGAAAGAACTAGAAATATGAAAGGAGATGTTTTCATACACTGATCTTGAAGTCTGGATTTGTGTAGGACCAGAAAATACCCCTGCAAAGAGGATTATGCGAGCCTAATCTATGAATACGTGTCATCGTCACAGTGTCGGTGTCTCGATTCCAATCCACTGTCTCATACTCGCGATAACTGCTCTTCTTGCGGCCACCCAAAATGCGAGTAAGTGAAGAAAAATATTTTGCTTTATCTATTCCTTGACATTTTATTACTATGGTCTGCAGTCTAGAAATTTTACATGAAACTTGTAATATGCACAGGCTAATGCAGGTATAGTTCCTGTCGTATTGAAATACTCCAAAACCCCAATAAGAACATTACCATGGACCTAAACTTCCATAACTGATTAATGTAATTCTATTGGTCCATGACAGGACTTGATCACTTGACAAACGATGCTGGTTGGGACTAGTATATTAGGAATGACATCGGGCTCCTCGTTGGATACTGTTTCTTTTTTTCTGGGAATCTCGCGTTGATACTTGGCTTCCATTTTTTGAGAGCCTGGAAGTATTTGGAGTACTTTCGTTTCTAATTTACGTCATTTTCTATATTTGAGAGTCTATTTTCGCAATTTTAACCAGCCTGTGTTGCAAGGTGACTTTGTAAAGCGAACAGACCCCGCCACAGCCGAACGGGCCTCCTCCGTCCACGCATGGAGGACTTCCGACACGAAGAATGTCTTCCGCAATATTGTTGTCGGCCTCAACAAAAACAGATATCTTGTAATGAATTTCTCCTCGTCTCTGAAAGATTTAAATAAAACAATACACTAAAGCAATATAAGAAGAGAAGATGTTCGACCTAACCAACAAAGTTGTTCTAATAACGGGCCTCGGTCAAAAAACGCTGATTCCCTCAGACCCCAAAGATCAGCGTAAAGGCGACTGGGGCATTGGTGCAGCAATCGCAACACTCCTCGCGCGTCGCGGCGCAATCATCTTTGGCGGAAACCGTTCTTTGGCAGCCGCCGAACGCACGAAAGCACAGATTGAGTCCGAGGTGGGACAAACTAATAATACTAAAAAAGCCGTTTGCGACGTCATGGTCGCCGACCTCACTGATGCAGCCTCAGTCAAGGCCCTGGTTGATTCATGTATGGCCAAACACGGGCGCATAGATATCCTTGTTAATAACGTGGGGAAATCTGAGCCTGGGTGTCCTGCGACTATGGACGAAGCAGTGTGGGATGCACAGGTGGATGTGAACTTGAAGAGTGTTTATTTGACCTGTCACCATGTGCTTCCTATAATGGAGAAACAGTCCACCGGCGGCTCCATCATAAATGTCTCATCGATTGCGGGACTGCGGTATATTGGAAAACCACAAGTTGCGTACAATGCTACAAAGGCGGCAATTATTCAGTTTACGAAAGCAACGTCAGTGATATATGCTGCCAAGGGGGTGCGTTTGAACAGTGTCGTGCCGGGGTTGATTTACACGCCGTATACGAAGGAATTGGCGAAACGGTTTGCAAGTGAAAATGTGTCTGCAGAAGAGTACATGAAGATTCGAGACGAGCAAGTTCCTATGAAGAAGATGGGCGATGCCTGGGATGTGGCACATGCGGCTTTATTTTTGGCTAGTGATGAGGCAGGATATGTAACAGGGCAGGAGATTGTGGTTGATGGTGGAATAACTAGCTCAACAGGAAGGATATGACTTTTTTCTAAGTCTATTATAAACATTAAATAATTCTAGACAAAACTAATAGCGAAATTAGTCGAAACCAGACTATTGAGGGTCTTTTGGTGGGAATAATATCGAACTCTCTGCCCTATAATCTGTATCGTTTGTGCAAGAACTGAGGTTTGATGTGCTATCGTAGCTGAGAGAGCTCTGTGATCCACGTATCTATTACTGTAGGTGACCTTCGCCTTGATATCTAGTTACTTTTACCCGGTGTATCGTCCGAGGCTCGCCGACTGCCTATTTGATTACCAATCATTTCTGCCGTACTAGGGTAATATTGATCTCTTAAGACGATCTGATAAGTTCGAAAATAATATCCTTTGGCTAGCTTCAAAGCGCGAATTAAAGATCTTTGGATAACAAATCGATATCTGAGTGGACGATTTCTAGGCGAATATTATCTATATTATCTAGTTTGAGCTGTTCTCCCATTTATACAATTTACGCATTAATTCTTTCAGACACCGGCCGAAATACCATTCTTACATTCAGCATGGTATATTATCTCTCCTTCTCCGAGAGAATCCTCGACGGGTAAACTTCCGATGGACGCGGATGGCTTCCGTCATGTGGGGACAGACTCGGACATGCATACTATAAAAGTTCAAAAGCACAGCTTCAAAAATGCAATCTATCGATCAATCCTTAACGCTAAACGAAGTTGATAAATATTATTCAAAGCCTACCTTATTTTTACAATCAATCGTAGTCACCGCAAACTCATAATCCATGTCCGAAAATACACCACAAAAGCTCTACCCCATCTCCGCCCCGCAACTGCAGCAATTCGTGCAGTCCATCTTAACTGCCAACGGGATTTCACCAGCAAACGCGGAAATAACTGCATCATGTCTGGTCCAAGCAGACCTTCGAGGGGTTGATACACACGGAAGCAACCGCATCCCCTCGTATGTAGAGCGCATTCGCCAGGGAGTTCTCAATCCGTCCGTTGACCCGACACTCACCCAAATAACACCAGTTGTGGCACTAGTCGATGGGCATAACGGCCTCGGGTTCCCGGCCGCCCATATTGGAATGGCCAGAGCCGTTGAGATGGCCAAGGAGTTTGGTATCGGTATGGTGAGTGTGAAACACTCGAATCACTTCGGCATGTCCGCCTGGATTGTCCAGCAGGCTATCGACGCCGGGATGATGTCCCTTGTTTTCACGAACTCGTCACCTGCGCTTCCCGTATGGGGTGGGCGCGAGAAGTTGATGGGTGTAAGCCCGATTGCCTGTGGTGCGCCAGCGGGTAAGTCAAAACCATTTATTCTCGATATGGCGCCTAGCGTGGCCGCAAGAGGGAAGATCTATAAAGCCCTGAGACGAGGGGAGAAGATCCCTACAGACTGGGCTCTTGACGGTGAAGGGAAGCAGACAGATGACCCGGCTAAAGCTTTAGAAGGGGTGATGTTGCCTATGGGAGGACCCAAGGGCTCTGCATTGGCGATTATGATGGATGTGTTTTCAGGGGTTCTTTCAGGCTCAGCATTTGCCGGACAGGTTACTGGGCCGTATGATCCGTCAAAGCCGGCGGATGTTGGTCATTTTCTAGTCGCAGTTAAACCAGATCTATTTATGGGTTTGGAGGAGTTCAAAGAGAGAATGGACTATTTATACCAGAGAGTCGTTGGCAGCCAAAAGGCGTCTGATGTTGAGAGAATATACTTCCCAGGAGAGATTGAGCAGGATTTAAGGGAGGAGAGGCTGCAAACCGGAATACCGTTGAGCGAAAAGGAGATCGAAGCACTTAACGACGAAGCCAGGAGGGTAGGAGTGGCTTTATTGAAGGATATTTGATGTGCATACTAGCGGCGTTTATGTTCTATTTCTAGATTATAGGCTAGTCATCCCGGTTGTCTGAGGAAGAAACGTTCGTGATGCTACCAGCTTTTTGTAGAGAATTTTCATAAATTAGTTGAACAGACAGAATAGTTGGAGAATCATCGAGACATATGTACTGAAAGTTCAACCTTGCTCGAAATCCTATCTAAAGTCGCAAAAGGTAATATAAACCTAGAAGAACTTGACTAGTTGTGAGTTCAGTTCGAGGTGGACTATGGTTTGCGGTTATTTTAAAGTTCCTAGGTCGCATGTCCCAAGAATGCAAAAATAAAACTAGATGCTTCATTAAAGAAAACCTCCGAGCGTGGGGAAATAATAGCATAATGAACCATATCGTATGGGTGGTTCGTCTCGCCATGAAGAGATCCATAAAGCTGGCTCCAATTTAGGGAAATGGTCTCTGCGGTGTCTACCTCCAAGCATGGAAAGCAAGCAGCTATGTAACGCCGAAAATTCACAGTGATCAATTGAACTGCCTGAAAGATTTCCTCACTAAGAATCAAGATAATTTAGGGATGCCACGCATCGCCGGGAGAGGGCCCCGGGGGGGGGGGGGGGGGGGGGGGGGTATAATGCTTGTGATGGCAGAGTGATTCTCATTGATATCCATTGAGTAGTGATGGCCATAAGCTCGCTTGCTTCTCTCCTAAGGCTCGTTCCCAATTCTTTTGAGGGGGATTAATGACAAGGACAGGTAATACCGGGTTTCAAATGAGTCCATCGTTCAGACTCGACTTGAACGCCTGCTGAGGTGGTTATTATTCCCACGTATTTACCGAAGATTGCGAGAGTGGTTGTGAGGGCCAGCAGCGTCAAGCCGGTCACAATCTTAGTATGATATGATTTCAAGTTTCTCCAAGGCTTTGTTGGCAATTCAGCGAGGTGAGCCTGGGGATGCACTCGATTTGTCCTTGGTCCGCTATGACGATTTAATTTCTGGCCATTATTAGTCATAAGATCGACGGATCGTCTCATAGTCCAAGTTTAAACAGAATAGAGTAATCGATCTACCGACAACACGTGTCTTTCACGTAAATAAGTAAGACATCTTCGTTGTGTGCGGCTGAAGAAAACGAATTCCAGCCCCCAGGTTGACAAAAGACGCCATATATAGGGCGTGGCTGAAGAATGAGTGCTGATGCATGTTGCATTCGGCATAGAAAAATGACCATTGGGCTAAGAACCCAGGGGCCGGATTTCTGGAAGCACTGCCGTGCGCAACATCTGCTGCTATTGGCGTGAAATGTATTGCTAAAACGAGTGGCTTTAGACTATAAGGGAGCAGCCTGCGGGAAGGAGTAATTAAGAGCGAAAAGGAGGGGGCCGTTCTCTAGCTCGGCTTGGCAGGTAAACCCTATTTGCTTATTTTCCTGACGTGTCTGATTAATCATGGTTTATCAGCATATGTCTCGGCCTATCCTCTCGTTGATCGCGTTCAATGTCTTTCTTTAATACTGGGTGGTAGTAATTGCAACCAGACCTGTCGATGCATACATTCTTTTCATTACGTGACTTGAACAACCAGCCCAGATAGGCAAGGCAATGGACGGGAAGCCATCAACAGCCTCATCGCACTCCAGCGACACGGAAAAAGACATCTCGTCCGATAAGAGTCTCGTCCGAATTGTCAAGGAAAACGAGAATGCGCAGCCAGCGCTATGGACGCCGCGAATGTTCCGGCTCTATGCGATCCTGTCGCTTGGATACTTGTGTATTGTTTTGCAGGGGTACGATGGCTCCCTAATGGGCGCCATCAATGCCATGGTGAGCTTAAAATAACACCCTATATTACTGCGAGAAAAGCCTCGGCTCACTGCTATCCAAGCCTCAATACCAACACTATTTCGGACTGTAAGTGGCCGATACATAACCCCGTCTCGCCCTATCCTCATTAACTAGATGGCAAAAACTGATAAGATCCCAACAAATAGCAAATCTGCTAGTCCATCCACTGGTCTGGTGTTCGCCATCTTCAACATTGGAAGCCTAGCGGCTTTTCCATTTTCCGGCCCGGTAAATGACCATCTCGGGCGACGATGTGGCATTTTTGTCGGTTGCTGCTTCGTCATCATCGGCACCTGTGTTCAGGCGCCAGCCACTTCACAAGCCATGTTTCTAGGGGGGCGTTTCTTGTGCGGATTTGGCCAGGGCTTCGCAAACGTATCAGCTCCCACCTATGTATCGGAAATGGCTCACCCTCGCTGGCGAGGACCGCTTTCGGGTTTGCTGCAGACTAATTTCTACGTCGGAAGTATTGTGGCCTCATGGGTCACATATGGCACCGCATTTCTTGACGGAGAAAGCTCGTTTCGACTTCCACTCTGGCTTCAACTCGTCAGCTCGGGAATTGTAGCCATGGGCATATGGTTTAGCCCAGAATCTCCTCGTTGGCTGATGGCACATAACCGACGTGATGAAGCCGAGCGTGTGTTGGCTCGGCTCCATGGCGATGGTTTCGTTGGTCACGCTGATGTCCAACTTCAACTTGCTGAGATGGACAACCAGATTTCCACAGCTGGCTCCGATAAGCGTTGGTGGGATTATAAAGAGTTGTTTAACACTCGATCAGCCCGTCGCCGCATGATTTGTGTTGTGGGAATGTCATGGTTTGGCCAGTATTCCGGCAATGCTCTCGTTAGCTACTACTTTCCGGTGATTATTGAGCAGACAGGCATTACAAACCCTCACACCCAACTTCTATTGAATGCTTTGAACCCAGTTATTTCTTGGATTGCCGCGATTTTAGGCGCATTACTCTTGGATCGCGTGGGTCGAAGGCCATTCCTATTGAGTGGCGTGCTGGGCATGTCCATGTGCTTAGCTGTCGTGACTGGATGTACAAAACTCTCCGTCGACGAGACGAATCAAGCCGCCGGGCATGCTGGTATATTCTTTATCTATCTTTTTAGTGCCATTTTTGCATTGTGTCTAGTACCACTTCTGTCTTTCTACGTCGCAGAAACATTACCTACGGAAACCCGTGCAAAAGGGACAGCTATTGGCCAAGTCGTTGGATCTGCAGCATCCATATTGGGCCAATACACGACAGCGGCCGCCATCGCATCCATTGGGTATTACTATTACCTGGTCTTTATTTTCTGGGATTTGGTCGAATTTACGATTATTTACTTCTTTTTCGTTGAGACAAAAGAGCGGACTCTTGAAGAACTGGCTGAGATTTTTGAGGCACCTAACCCCGTCAAAAAATCCCTAGAGAAAAGATCACTGCAGACTGTAAGGCGGACTATTGGGACCGAAAATCCAGACTAGCCCGAGATGATATTCCAAGACTAGCTTAGATATTACAATAAAATCGGGCCATTTTGAGAATCGCCATGATCCAAGAATATTTCCTAATCACCTCGTCATCCGAGTGACCTGCGTAGGCGGTACCTTCTGTCCAATATTCTGATATTTTACTGTTTCAGAAGTGTAAATGTATTTTGATATTTGAGAATATTTCGTGTATTGGAATTGGCTTTTATTCCAAGAATGGAATCCAAACAGCGAAAATATCGTTTATAATCCACAAAGCAAACCATACTAACTCCAATGCTTCGGCCAGTATGCTGAGGTCGACTGGGATATGGTCTGGTGGTTTTTAATCACAGTGGCTCAAAATTCAAGATTCGTCACTATAAACGTTGATATGTACGGCCAAACGATTTCATTTGTTGATAATCTTAGAAACTTTAATATATTGGTAAGTCAACGATTCATAAGAAAGTCTTTTATGTGATACCTTTCCTTGGTAATTTGCACGAATAATCAGCTACGTTCAATTCGAAACAACTCTTGCTTTCATCCCAAGCGTTGGGCTGCATAACTTGATGGTGAAATTTTCTATGGATTTAATTTCCTACTATCGCTTTAGTCAAGATGAATAAGAGATAGGTGTACATCTCATAAGTGGAAAACTAGTGAAATCCTATTCATATTGCATCCAGTAATCTCGAGGTTTACCCCTAAATTTAGCTAGCCCTGATTCGTCCATAAGGCCCCGAAAATAATTTATCCCGCATATTACCGACACGAGTTCAACATTCATTTTTTGCCAGCGTCACCGCATCTATAACCACGAAAATATCTACCCAAAATGTCTGATCCAAATTATCACGTTGAAATTATAAACAGTGTATCCATAAACGCGACGTCGTCATGTACACGACAAAAAGCAATCGATGCAATCCTCGATTTCTATCGATTGCTCACTCAAATGCCCTACATCCCACCCGAAAGTTTGATGATCCCTCATTCTAACGGTTGGCAAGGAGTGGATGAGAACGAATTACGGAAACGCGGGAAAACCGACGAAGCCATCGACATTCTTAAACACCTCCCATACCTTGACCAGGAACGCTATGGCCAGCAATGGACTTTGGCCTATAACACTCTCCATATAAACTATGCCAAGGGCGAGATTTATCATGAATACTTAGAAAAGGACAGAAGTATCCTTCCTCTTCCTGGTCATATCGTATGGCTCACTGAAGGGTTTGAGCGAGCAGGGTACTATTTATTGCTTAATACCCAGACTTGGGAAATCATCGAGTATACTCTGCTAGGCGAAAGCATAGAGGTTGACTATGATACATATGAATCCATGCCACCGGAGCTCAGATGGACTACATATAGCAGAGCGCCCGCAGATGATTATTTTTATACATGGAAATGGCGACTGATGGCATTGAATTTTATTCTAGTGCAAGACCATCGGGCTTTTCGGGGCACTGCCGAAATGTTTCTAAAAGACCCTGTGCACTTGTTTGAAGATAGTCTCATGGCGTCGGACTCTGAAGATGAAGATTATTTGCCTGACGAGTCTGAGGAGGTGAATTATTTTTCACGGCCAGGAGATGACATGCATTTGGGTAGTGCTGAAGAGGAAGAGGAGGAGGAAGAGGAGGAGGAGGAGGAAGAGGAGGAGGAAGAGGAAGAGGAGGAGGAAGAGGAGGAGGAGCAGGAGGAGGAGGAGGAGGAGGAGGAGGAGGAGGAGGAGATTGACACAGAAGAAGAGCTAGCAAACATTCGCGATGAGATAGAAGATCTATCAACCTCTCAGCTTGATCATACTTTGGAGGCACCCCTTTCTCAAAAGGAGGATGATCAGCCACCGAAGCGAAATCGCAGCATGCTATTCACCCTTTGCCAGACGTCGAACTCTTATGATAAGCTCTATCTTACACCATATACAACCAAACGAAGAGAAGATATGAAAGAGCTTATCTCAATTTACGTCTCGCACGGATGGCCAACACCGGATTTTGAGTGGAAAATCTCGGGTCGGCAATACATGACATCTATAAATTCAAAGAACACGCTTGATTTAAGCACGTTCGATCGTGAAGGGTGTCTTACACAGCTCAGTGAATGGATGGGTCTCTGGAAGGAAAGAGAAATGGAAGAGTTGAGAGAAATGACGCAAAGCTAACGGCGTAGAAAAATAACACAACCAACCAGCAGCTAACGAAACGGTTTTCAGCAAGTCTTTTGTTTCGATTGATAGCGTGCTTGGCGGTTTAAATCATCAATATTCAAGTTAATTAATCTTAATTTGTATAAATTATTGAACAAGTTCACATGTAGCTATCGGTCTAACAATTACCAACGCTTCAAACACCCATCTAACAAAATCTTTGGCATCAATTACTATCAATCCAACAGTAGTCATGCCCTTGACAGGAAGAGTTCCTCATAATTCCTTGTTTCCTCCAAACATGCACATCCACTCATCTTCTTCATCTACTTCAAAATCAAATCTCATTAGATCCTCCTTATATGGAAACATGTATGTACTCGTTACCCTGTCATACATTTAGATTAGTAAGATCCCTTTATATGTGATAATTCGGTTTTTGACAGGGGATGTTAAAAGTCGAACTGACGGATTGAGAGAAAAAGAGATAAAAAAAAAATAGCGTAAATACATACCGGTGGTGCTCATCGCTCTTTTGATACTCTTCCAACGCCTTCCGATCTTCATGATAACTCAATAATGCGTACTCAAACCCTTTACTTCGCTCGATCGGGTCTGTTATTGACGGCCCACCAACGATAAGACGATTATTCTTTACACAAGAGAGAGACTTGAGTTTTTTGAGTTCTTTAACAAATGTTTCCTTATGCTCCGCCGTGATTTCGGGGCGAAACTTGAAGAATACTGGGAGAAGTATGTGAGCACGGGAGGACAGCTTTGTGCGGAGTGAGTTTACCAATGTGGATGACAGTCATTTCGACATTGGGTTATGGGCAATTTTATAATATGCTCACTTAAAATACAGGAATAAATATCTTCTTGATCGAATGAGATGATATCGACAGGCCGGTTTAGGAAGCGGGGGTAGACGAGCGGGGGTGTTCCGCACCAGTCGGGCGGCTTCCGTCGACAAAATATTTCATCTTCCATCACCAACCATCGATCCATAATGCCTGTCTAATAGGAAGAACTTCAACGGGAAAAAGATTTTTTTGTGTGTTTTGCATGCTTATATCCAAAAATATGTCTGAAATCACAGACTCGTCATCCAAAACGCGTATCCGTGCCGCCTGCAGAAGATGCCAGCGGCGGAAAATTAAGGTATTTCTCAAGATTCATTGCGACGGATGTTATCCGCTTTCTGACATTCAGCTTGTTCGCAGTGTGGCGGAGAGTTTCCTAGCTGTGGCGCATGCCAAAAGGCCAGTGTACCGTGTGTTCGAGAAGGGAAACAAGAAGTTCAGAGATCGTAAGTATTTCTTCATCAATGATGGCCTGACTCTGACTATCCGAGTAGTTATATCACAGGGATTGAGCAACGAGTGAAATGGCTAGAGTCATTAATTCGTGAAATCCGGCCGGAGCTTAATCTTGAAGATGGACCAGGTGGTATGAACAATATACCAAGCCAATCATTCATGCAAGAGGGTGTGCCGTTGCCGTCACCAAACAGTCCTCTCCGGTTCAATAATACCATTACTACACACTCAGATGAAACTACCGGAGATATATTTCCCAGCCATCAAAACGGTTTACAGATGGAAAATGCAGCAGAGATGCCACGATATCGACAGATGAAACAAGCTCATGAAATAGGCCTTGTATCATTATCTCCCGGAGGAGAGGCTCGCTACATTGGGCCTTCCAGTGGATATTTCTTCGCTGACTTAGTATTTTCTCGAGCTGGAAGACGCAGTCAAGCGAGACCTAAACCACGTACAGCAGAAAAATTCCCGCATCTGGTTGAAAGTCCCGTGGCAAACTTACCAACTCGGGAAGAGGATGCTATCAGAATATCCTCAAATTACTTTCAAACCACCCATTTGGCATATCCTTTTCTGCATGAGCACTCTCATATGCAAAATATACATCAGATCTACGAGGGTAGTGCAAGAGCTATTCCACAGGTCTCTTTTCATGTATACATGGTGCTAGCAATCGCTTCCTCCAATCTATCCAGACAGCACAAGATCCAGTTTCCAGCCGATGGGTATTTCAATACTGCGATGAAATACTTCCCGGAATTATGTGCAGAGAACTCTCTAAAAGGAGTCCAATGTCTACTTCTCTTAATTGTGTATGCCTTGCACAACCCTTCATGTCATGTCAATATCTGGAATTTATTGTATCAGTGCCTTGCCTCTCTGATCGACTTGGGCTTGCAACGTGATATCAAGGCTCTTCCTAGTTTGGAAGTATCACTCCTGGAGCAAGAAATGCGAACACGTGTATTTTGGGTCATTTACACACTAGACCGCACGCTGGCTATTTTGATGGGCCGTCCAATTGGTATTCGAGATGAGGCATGCGAGCTTAGGGTATGTAATGGACCACACCCTCTATGAAATAAAAAAGACCGAAATTAAATTGATTGCTATAGCTTCCGATGGATATATCGGATGCTCAGTATGAGACAGGCTCGACGCAAGAGAGAAGCCAGGAAGATACGCCAACACACATAACTTATGCCATTCACCTCTTCAAGCTCGCACGTCTCAACTCCGAAATTAAATACGTCATGCACAGTATCTGTCGCGAACCTCCAGCATATGCCTATCCGCCGATCCGCGATATGCGTACCTGGCAAAAGGAAATAGAGGAACGCCTTAACTCCTGGTCTTCAGGGATCTCAGCAAACTCATGCTCAGAGATAGCGGTCAAACTAGCCGAAATAAAGTATCATGAAGCTATCATTCTCATACACAGGCCAAATCCGAGTATACCCGAGCCATCGGAGGACTCTCTCCACGTTTGTTTCCGCCACGCAACCGAAGTTTTACGAAAATACGGTGTTTTGTATCGCACTGATGACTCTCCATTACTGTACACACGACTGACAGTGCACTCTGTATTTCTGAGCACACTAATTATGCTGTATGCAGTTTGGAAGATATCAGAGATTGCCGCGCAAGTTTGCAAAAGTTTTGAGCAGTTTATCGCTGATCTCAAAACGGCGTCTAATGTGCTTAGTAGTATTGGAGAACACTGGCTCGAAGCGAAAAAAACGAGGGACTGCGTGGATGAGTTGAGCGACGCAACGGTGAAGTGGCTCCTCAGCAGTCGTCTCCAGCTCGCGGAGACTGCCTCCCATAATACAGACGCCCAGACGGGTACGTACACAACCCAAAATTTCCATGAAGGTATCGGAATACGCTCACACGTATTTTTTGGATTAGCGATAGTCCCGCAAAACACAGAGCAATCTGCAAAGACCGCGCCGTCTCCGGCAGGATTTGATCCCTTTGAATTCCTGGAAGACCCCAACTCCCTGATGTCATCTACAGAATGGTCAGACCTGCCTGACTTTGATAATTTGATGTGGGAGATTCTGAACTTCAGGTAGTTGATGTCAGAGAAGAAGGAAGTCAAGCTGTGCAAGTATTCCGATATTTGAACACAAAATATCAATTGATAGTACTGAACAGTATCTATTTAAAAATTTTACCAAGCAGACTCAGAACGAGGATAGTCAAGCACACACCGGTTTCGTCGGATATTGAGATGCTCCAGCATCTTTTATGATGTCACAGAATTCTTCTTTTCCTATTAAATCCCTTTTTTTCTTTTCTTTTTTTTGTTTTCTTTCTTTTTTTTTCGAACTATAATACGAAGCAAAATCCTCAGGCTGTCGGAGTGGGGCCTACCTACTCTTGGCCCTACCGCATGCTGACAGAAAAAATTCCCTAAAGCGGGTTAGCACTATATTCTAGCATGACGTTGTGTAAGGACGGGTGGCGTCTACCCAGCCAATAAAGATGAGCCGGTCGTGGATTTCCTCTGGTTGAGCATGAATAATCATATGGATAGAACGGTGGCTCGAGGCTGTGAAAGTGGCATTCTTATGCAAGATGGCGGGCTTTGGGTAATCTCCGTCAATGTTGGAGGACTGATGCATGCTCAGGACCGCCGGACTTAGGACGTATAGAAGAAGCGAAAGAGTATAAAGTGGCCGTTCAATCCTGTCGTTAATCTTCCAGTTTCAAAGAACATATCAGATAAGCACTGAGAAAAGGACATCAAAATGACCGCAATTGAATACTCCGAATCAACCACAACCAGCGAGATAGTTAAGGCTTTCCCTGACAAAGTCAATGGCCGAACCTGTATTCATCCTCTTACCCAAAACCATTTGCTTTCGAATATAAGCTGATTAGTAGCAAAAAGTCTTGGTCACAGGGGCAAGCGAAAAGTCAGTCGGTTCTGAGACTGCTATATCCCTTGCACGAGATGCCTCTCCGGCGATCATCATCCTTCCTGGCCGCACATATTCACGGATTGAGCCTGTCATAAAGGAGATCAATAATATCAACCCAGCCGTCAAGACTATTTTCGTCGAGCTTGATCTTTCTGATCCCGCTTCTGTGAAGAAAGCCGCAGGAGAAATCCTTGACTCTACCGATATTGACCACATTGACGTCTTGATCAACAGCGCTGGAGTAATGGTTACACCTTATACTCCGACCAACTGGAAATCCCCCACTGGCCAGCCGATCGAACTTCAATTCGGAACAAACCATCTGGGCCATTTCCTACTCACCAAGTCCCTCCTTCCGAAGATAAGAAAGGCAGCCCCGGGTGCTAGGATCGTCAGTGTATCCAGTTCGGCCCATCGACTATCTGGTATCAGATATGATGATCCCGGCTTCCAGAATGGAGAGACATACACTGCTTGGGAAGCTTACGGACAGTCAAAGACTGCAAATATCTTATTAGCAAACTTTTTGGGTCACACTATCCCCAAACACGAGATTGCCAGTTTTTCACTCCATCCAGGTAGTATCTCATCGGGGCTGCAACAGTATGTCACACCAGAGATATTGCAGGAGGGACTAGCCAGGGCAAAAGACAGTAAGTTTTGGCAATGATAATGCTTCCAATACTGTACTTAGCTGAGATTTCCGGTAGTACCAAACTTCGAGCCCTACGGCAGGAGAAAGACACTGCAGGAAGGCGCAGCAACGAGCATAAGAGCTGCGCTAGATCCGTCGCTGGAAGGTGAGATGCCATTATCCCAAGCATTGCTAAGAGTAGAGACTAATAGGACTTAGCCTTCTCTGGAAAGTACCTCAACGACTGTAATATTTACACCCCAGCTCCTTGGGCTGATAGTTTTGAGGAAGCTGAAAAGCTCTGGAAGTGGAGTGAAGAATGTGTCGAGCGGACTTTTGCTAATTGATCGATGGATAGTGAAACATTTGTCGTCTTGCCTGTTCACATGCCTCCTACCTAAATTGATGTGTAACAAGAGGAGAATATAACCAATTCATTAAATAACTGTCATTGATAACTAACTTAGCATGCGCGTACACAGATACATGTAATTTAGATCTACATGAATATGGCATATATAGAGCATACTCTAGCTAGACCCATTAGGTAGCCCATTTACCTTCGCTTTGGGAACAAGCCCTTCCTCAGTAGCCTTTATCTGCAATGCCAAAAACTTGGAGTAGATTCGACACAATGCCAGGTTGCCACCCATGTACCAGAAGTTAGGATGTCCCGACGGTCTCCAAATCTGTCGAGTGTGTTAGTATGCTTGACAACTGGCAAGAGTTTACAAAAATCCGCCTACCGCGCGTAGCTCGCCCTCTTCATCAAGATCCCACACATCCTTGCACCGATCTGCCACTTTATCTCCCAGCACTTTTCGCACGGTCGTCTGCATATTGTCATACCCCGTAGCCAACACCACGAAATCCGCCTCCAGCTCTTTCCCATCTGCCAGGACTAATGAGTTAGATTTGAATTCTTGAATTCCATCTGGCGATTTTTGGACTTTAATTGATCCATCGGCGATGAATTTACTGCATCCGACGTCGATGTAGTATCCGCCGCCGCGAGTGTAATATAATCGAGCAATCCCGCTGTCATCAATGCCCTTGTAGACCTCAAAACCGGCTTTCTCGAGACCGTCGAGCAGGGTCTTATCCTCGGCTGAAATGCGTTGAGTGAGGTATACGTTGAAAGCGAAGCCGACTTGGTATGGTAGGGACTCAGCCCATATGTCTGCTTGTTCTGTTGGGGGTCTTGACACGGAATTAGCTCTCGATGTTACTATTTTATTACATGGAATATCTAGAAGTGAGCTTACCCCCATTCATCGTGCGTCCCATCATGCAACATGAATACTCCCTTATCTAGAGATAGCACATATGTTCCTCGCCTCTGCAGCATCGTGACCTCTGCACCGTTTTCATGGAAGTTCTCGGCGATGTCATGGCCACTATTACCCGTACCGACCACGACTACCTTTTTGCCACGAACATCGTATTCGGCAGCATCTCGATGCTGAGATCCATGGTATACAGTGCCCTTGAAAGTGTCCTGGCCTGGGAAAGATGGGATCTTCGGCTCTCCGGAATGGCCAGTAGCGAAGACAATGTGCCTGGGGCGAATGGTGCGCTCGAAGCCGTCGGGTTTGGAAACGACAACCACCCAGGTAGATGTGTTGTCATCGAAGGAAGCAGATTTGACGGACGTACTCGTCCACACGTTCAGCTCCATGATGCTCGCGTATGCTTCGAACCAGTCACCTAGTTTGTCTTTGGGGGTAAATTGCGGCCAGTTCTTGGGGAAGGGCAGATATGCTAGATGGGTGAATTCTGCGGGGTCGTGGGTTACCAAGGTCTAGTCTTTGGTTAGCAGTGTAAGGGAAACTGGTGGTATTTCTCTCTACATACCCGATATCTCTTTCGCCAGTTGTCGCCGATCCTCTCGTGCCGATCCACGATGAGGGTCGAAACGCCTAGTGATTGTAGTCTAGCTCCGAGGTTCAATCCAGATTGTCCTTTGCTAACTGTTAGCCATTCTCTGAATATTTTAGTGTATTAGCACTATGACATACCCGCACCAACGACTACCACGGCAGGTTCTTGGCCGCCCTCCAAATTGATAATCTTTTCTCTTCTCTCCTTCCATGTTCCTCCGGCAGAGCCATTTGGCATACTATCCAGAGTTCCGTAGACTCGCTTTGGACCAAGCGGCTCTTCGGCACCTTTTAACTCTTGTAAGGATGTATACACCGCATACGCCTTCCACTGCTTTCCCTCATCGTCCAACATCAATCTTAAAATTCCTGTTCCACGTCCAACTTTCGTTTCAAAATGAAACATAGAAGCCAAGAAATCAATTTCCGGAACACCATTCTCAGGGGTACTAATATGCGGGGCATATTTCCCTTCGGACTGCAGCGATAGTTTAGAGATCTGAGTGGCGGGTTGGAATTGATTAAGAAATGAGGCTATACTAGCGGCAGTGTGGATCGTACGAAAGTCCCATTGTAGAGCGAGATGGTCCCGCCAATAGGAGTCGCTGTGGAATAAATTATCGATTTGATCTTTCAAAATAGAAGGCGTAGATAATGCCTTTTCGAGGTTTGTGAGCCATTCCTGCGCCGCACACTTTGGGTCGATGCTTTTGAGAGAAGAAACGCGCGGTGGCCTGGGTAGGGAGATGATGTGGTTTGCTTTCTTTTCGGCTTCTGTGAGCGTTGTCGCCATGTTGAGGATTGTGTAGGAATTGTTTCAAGAGTAAGATACAGGGATGTTACGACTGCTCAATCGACAACGCTGAACGTGTTGAGTGAATGAAATTGACAGTTCCCATTTTCTAGCTCTAGAATATCTGCTGCTATATATAAGCTGCAAGGTAGCTCGATTTTGTCCTCCCCACCATGAACCTACCACAACCCATCGGGCCAAGTCGAGAGCATGTGAGTGGAAAGCGAAGCGACCAACACAACGTACACATGACCGAAGAAATACCCAGTCAGAGATCCAGAACAACGTACTGTAAGGAAAGTTCCAGCTCAGTGATGGGAACGAACTCGGGGTAATTTCTACAGAAAAAAACAGGCGACCCCGGACTTGCAGCCGATGGCTCCACACTATGCGACCTTCCACCCTCAATCGTGGTCACTGCCCGGCTTGGACGGGGAGCATGTCGGCAAACGCGCCCAGTCTCCGTTGGTGCAAGGACATTTGGCATCTAAGGGCCACATAGCGGGCTATGTAATCGCTGAGAATGCTTTGTGATGATCCACGAGAGGAGGATGTGCGGGGGAAGAGATTCGGGGGGAGGCAAGTGTGCCGAGCAGTGGGTCTGGTCGGGAAAGTTTCCCTTTTAATGGAACTGTTTATATTTACGAAGATGATAACAAACGTGAAAGCAAAATGTATCTGGTATCCATGAGGGTGTGTTTGAAAAGTACCTGGGACAGGTTTCTAACTACTCCGATTGTATTCTATCTGATTCCCGCCAGCCTGATATCTTCTCTTCAAGGTTTTAAGAGGATTGTTTCTAGCCCAGGACACGAATCAATCCTATATGGATGCGCTGCTCAATGGGATGACGGGGTATATTCTGTCAACCCGGTACTCAGCTGTCTTTTCATTGATCGCATCACCTTTGGTAGATTGACGTGGCTCCTCCCTCAACACCCTATCCGTAGGTGGCAGCCTCACTACAGGCGTTACAGGCTCTTTCCGATGAATCGCAATAGAGCATGGCAACTCAGGAGCCGTCTGCACACCCTCAGCCCACAGTGGATGAACAGAGGATAACAATGAAGGACAGCAAGGCGGACAGTGCAGAAGGAAACGCTCGTTTATCCCTGTGGCTCGATACTGTGCCCACGCTTCGTCGGCCCTCTCCTTCATCTTCTCATACCACTCGTATGCTGGCGAAGTGGTGCGGAGATAATCTAGCAAAGTGATCATCTGGTCATGGATAGTAGACACTTGCAAGTTGGGTATCAGACGAAGATGCTGGAAGAGGTAGTCGAGAGTCAGACCCAGCTCGTTCACGACCCAGCACTGCATCAAACTGCGGCATTCGAAATTATGCATCTGGATATCCAGAGCGTGAATGTAGTCCCAGATGACTTTGAAGGCAGGCTGCTCTGGAGTCAGGGTTCTGCTTGATGGATTTGATGGCGCGACGGTGGGTTTGTGATGATTGTTGCTGGGATCGGTGGACTGCGGTGCTGCAAGTCGACCATTGAAGGCGGGAAGAGCTTGTCCGTAGAGAGCTGAGGAATTGGGATCGAAATAATTGCGGTTCATGGTCACGAAGAGAGAGCTGGTTATTGTTCCTTGGTTAGCTTGTGCTGCCTCCTCCATGGAGTGCGTTGGTGATTTGGCGGGATCTTACGCGTTGGAATATGTTGACTCTCTCAGAAGGCAAATATTGATTTTGGTTGACCATGAAGATGACAGGTTGAGGGAGTTCAAGAGGGAAGAGACGGTTCATCGTTTAGTGTGATGTTGTGGACAGGAAGAATGGGTGAGAGACACATGCGCTAATGCCTGAATTGCAGGAGAGATATTAAGTAGAGGCGCGTTTGTTTTTGTAACTAGGTAGAATTTAACAATCCTATGTTCGTTAACTAGCAATTTCCATCACAATAAATTCTATTCACAGCTTTAAGCCGGACGCTAATTGCAGCATATTTATTCCGCTACTATGGCCTTAGCTGCTGGGAGGGCCATGGTACCTCTGTCACAACGTTGACAGATCATTTATAAGGAACTTTCTTTAGATACTCTAATCGTTTGGCCTATATTAGGATTGAACACGTACAACTCAATTATTTTACCGCCCACCAAGTTAACCAGTTCTCGACAACATCAGAGAACCCCAATTTCTCTAGCTCTTGAGAAACACGCCGCCTCCAGTCATGCTGCGGAATAACTTCTTCAAGTTTCTCCGGCAAATCCATCCCACTCGAACAACGAAATTTGGTTCGAATCCACTCCTTTGGAACATACCCAGCTGTTTCCCAATCGATGATGCCAATAGAACAATCGGTTCTATCAAAAAGGATATTCCCAGGCCCTAAGTCACAATGATAGAAAACAAAGGACGAGCAATCCATCCCTATTTCGTCACAACTCTTAAGAAGATGACTAGGATCAAAGTCCATTTCAGCACGAGGCTTGATTAAGTATTCCTCTGTCAGCTGATTCCCATCAACGCCACTAATAGATTCACCCGTCCATGTCGTCAAAGACTTGCAGATGTTGGCGATACGAGATACACACGCCTGTCTTACGGTCTCATCCATTTCATACCATATGTCATTCAGGGTAAGACCAGGAAGCCTTCCGAGAATAATCAAATACCGCTTACCGAGGTCTGCATAGTAATAGACCTCCGGAATGTTAAAGTCAAGCGGATGCTTATCCCGTAGGTATTGTAAGGTCGTATGCTCTCTTGTTGCTTTTGGTGTAATGAGATCTTTTAATTTGATAAAAGCTTCTCCAACGCGCCAGACTGCCGAGACATCACCTGCGTCATAAACTTTCTGAAGTTCACTTGTTGCCGGAAGTGGCCGTGTTTCGGGAATTGGAGCAGTGGCACTAGAAAGAACAAAAAAGGCGCCATTTTCATCGCTCCATGAGGCCAGACTGGGAGATACTGTTTGCTGGCGACTAAGCAACAAATTATCTGCAATCAACCAAGAGTTGTCACTGATTTCGCGTATAGAGGTGTTGATAGGGTACATCGAGGAGTGATCGGTCGTGTTAAGCAAATGTGAAAAGTATAGAGGAAAAATCTGAAGAATTATTCTAAAGACTACATCTAATTTTAACTACCTAGTCAAGGAAGTGGTGAGGCGTCACTTGAACCGCAATCCCCGTCTGGCTGCTGCCATAGTACGCCAAAAAATAAGCGGCGGTTTTGCTTGGCATGACCAGTCGTCGAGGATAACTCCCGATAATGCGACACGAATCACACCATAACGTCCTTAGAATGACCAGTATTGAAGCGATCGTGTTTTGCTTGACGGGCAAGTCGGCCTAGATATCTCGTCTGTAATTCCATCTTGGTCTTGTCTCCGTGCCCCTCACGCCCTTTTTTTTTTGAGAATGGTCAGTGTGCCAGAGTAAATAAAAACAGTCACCTCGAGCTTCTACCCGTTTATGAATGTAGTATACCTAGCAAAGAAGTTACGGTGCGATAAACGATACGCGGCAAACGTCGTTCTGCTCGGCCTAGTGTTGGACGAGACCGATTTCTTAGCTTTGAGCTAATGGCTAATGAACAGTTTAATAACCGCTAGCAGACACTTTGCACTGTAGCATCGTAAGCCATATAATAGACAGGGTGTATTTTATCTATTTTTAGTCTTGTCATAATACAGATTACTCGGATGCTTCTTTCCGTTTAGTATTATAGGTTTCAGTACAGAACAGAAAAATTAGCTATGAGACTAACACTATACAGCTAGTATATATTGGCATTAGGGTTTGGGAACAAAGCTCTCTGTGTAAAACCATAAAGGACATTTTGGGCGTGACAGTACTTCATTGTCAAGCGCAAGACGGGTATTGTGCTTATGACTGTGACTGTTATTATAATCAAAAGTTATAAACCGTGTTTTATAAACCATTAAACTGTCCCGATTAAAACACAAAGCCGTATCCATACCAGAATAATTATGTATGCTTGCCTGTAGTGTATAATATCAGACCTGTAATATCCCCGATACCAGAAGGAAGAAAAAAAGACCAGTCGAGTTGACGTCATTTATAATAGAAAGAAGGTCATAATAGCAGTAATAAAAGTCTCAAGAGACAGGGTCGACGACTTCTTAGCAGCACTGTCAACAACGACGCTAGGTCTTGTCGGAGTTGCGGACGTGGAAGCAGAAATACTAGGGGAGGGTGCCCCAGTCTTAGAAGCAACACTTGTAGAACTTCGGCGGGTAGAAGGAACAGTCAGGTGGCCGTCGAGTTCAAAGTTACCACAGTTTAGTCGGGTTCCATTGGATGCATGAATTACGACCGACAAATTGCCGATATAAGCAATGGATTCTTGACGGTCTGACAGATAGAAGTCGGTGTATTCAGCAGAGAAATTATCCACGCCAGGTGCTACAATAGCGAGCTCGTGCTTTCCACTGAGATCACCGAGTTGGCAGGTAGCTGGTTCGGCTGAATTGCAAGGGGGGTCCTCTCCACGATGATATGGATCAAGATGGGAACCGGCAGCCGCGCAGCTTCCGTTAGAGGGAACTTTGAGGACATGAATGTGATATGCTATTATCTGAATGAGTTTTGCTCAAGCAAAGGGTTCTTAAGATCAGGATCCTTACGGAATGGACCAGCATCCTCAGGTAGGCCAGTGAAAAAGACGCGAAACAACAAGCCAACACCTCCAGAGCCAGGTGTGACGGTAACTGCACCGTGAATGCTAGAAGAGTGGCTGTTAGAGAGACTAGCGGTATATGTGACGTCCTCGTTCCCAGTGATGACGGGTGCCTCAATGGTGTCCTGGCCGAGGATTGCGAGCATGAAGGTCGCAAAAATCAAGAGGAAACGGATCATGGTCGAACGACTTGGCGGATTATCGGTGAATCAGTCCGGCAACGAGCCAGATTAACGAATCAAGAGTTGAATAGAAGGATATTTAGAAGATTGAGATGCTGTTCTATAGCTGCAGTGGGAGAACGATGCTCGAGAAAAAGATGTGAAGAGGGAAGAAGAGGAGTGATAGAGGGAAGAGGAGCGGTGACTCTACAAAGCGACGGAAGGAGCAGGCCGGACAGCATACTCGATCACGTGCAGGGAAAGCACTTGGATTTCTTGTACGTCGTTTCGGTTGGATATATATTTATAGACCATTTATAGACCTGTTTCATCACGCCGGCTGCACAAGTATCCAAATTTACAAATGGTAGATACTAGTGGATAGCCACAATCTGCAACAAGAGATCCGTCTCAACATGAAACTTCAGAAATAAAGCGAAGATAAAAGGATTTGATTATTGACTCTATAAATTGGTAATTGAGATACATTTTATGACTTAGTAAACCACAAAAATATGACATCCGTCATCCATTTTGGAGATATCACTCGTTTCATAAAATATATGAAACATGGGATATTGGGGATCATATTTGTGAGTCAGATCCGTCATCAAGAAACCGCCTCTCAATTATCTAAAGGTGCTGGCAAGTTTCTGGTATTTCTAGTAGAATTCAGGACTCGGAGTACAGTGGTGATTAGAACAAGCGGGAGTGAAAAAACCCGCGCCAATATAGACTTTTCACCAGTATATCATACGCACTGGTATGTTCAACAGATAAAATGGTTGATATAGTGGTAACTGACGCAGAAAACCGACCGGGTGTTGGGATTTATGAATCCACGGATAATAGCCAAGAGATCAGATGAAAGTAGATGCGTGATGGCCTGATTGGAAGTGTAGTTCAATGTTGAAATTGTTCCACCTGAAGCGTTTAAATCTTGATTGAAGAGTGGATACACTTATGATACAGCAATTCTTATCAACTTTATTACGCATTCTTCTAGTTTTATCTTGCAAACACTATCCGACCAAGAAAATATATTGCTTGAATTATACCTGATAAATCCATGGAGTTCTATTAAACATAATATCAATAATGAAGCCTCACTATACATCATCAGCAGTTTTAGTACTAGCGTTGACTTTGGTCACACTTCCACCAGACGAGTCACCTCCATTAGATAAAGGTTTCGCATAAATGATGTCGTTTTCGATATCCTCCAATGTTCGTCCCTTGGTCTCTGGTATCAGCAGCGTCACGAGTGCGGTTAAAAGCATCACCCCTGAAAATAGTCCTAAAACACCGTCTAAGCCAATCGCATTCTGTACAGATCCAAATGCAAAAGCCGTAAGGACAGCACCACATTTTCCAGCAGCTGCCGATATTCCATGAGACATTCCGCGAACACGCGTGGGGAAGACCTCGGCGGGAATAAGGAAGGTTGTACAATTAGGGCCGACGTTGAGAACGAATTGAGAAATGGCGAATATCACCATTAAACCTGCAGTGGACGTATGTACGCCTGGGGAGCTTATTCCCGCCCAGATTGCGTAGAGAATGCAGACGGTAAGGCAAGAATAGAATTGCTGGCGAACACGTCCGATTTTGTCAGGAAGAAAGATGCCAACATAGAATCCTGGGAGGTAGCCCTATATATCTGGCTTAGACTTCGCTTTGATACCACGGGTATGGGTTATACGAACAGCACATTGAACAATGAGATTGCCAACAGCAGTTTTATACAAGGTCTCCCAGTGAGTGGCTCCCTTGGCATATCCGATTTTGGATAAAACGACACTTTGATTGAGGTTTATACCGTAGAAGGCGATATCACTTATTTGTCAGCGCAGAATAAAACTAAATATGATTTACTCACAAGAGAAACCAGGATGCTGCTGTAGCAAACAGAACTTTCGCGTGCTTCCACTCACTGAAATAGATACGAAAGTCTTTCCACTGTTCCTTTAGACCGCGTTTGTGTCCAGCTGCGCTGTTTGAAACATCTGTATGCTGTAAGTACATGGTCATATTGAATTGTTGGGTGAGTATACATTTCTGGTATGGAATAGTTTCTGCCATTGTGAGTCTGGCATACAACGTCAATGCAGCCGGAATGATACCGAGACCTAGTAGAAGTCGCCACACCCACTCCAAATGCCTTTCACTAGTAGCCACTGAACCCTCAAATGCTTTCAACAGCACCAGAAATACTACGCTAGCAGTGCAGTTTCCTAGACCAATATTTGAAAAGACCGTCAGGACTTGCTTAGCCCGGGAACCAAATGGACTCTTTTCTGCCGAAAGAGAACCCGACATGGGATAATCTGAGGACGATTAGACCAGTTGAAGCATCGTAAGCTAACCACCTACCAGCTCCAATGCCAAAACCCGTCACAACCCGAAATACGGAAACCCAAGCAGTAACCGCAGTTGGAGTAAAGTTCTTCCACGGGAGCAAGACTACCATTAAGGTTCCGAACATTGTGAGAATAAGTTCTTTGCCATAGATGGTGTGACGACCCCATGCATCGCCCAGAGTTCCGAATGCCAATTGACCGACAATCATACCCAAGCTGAGACAACCTTTGATGACATCGCTATCAACCGTCGGGACCGTGTTCTTGTCATTTTCAAAGTATAAATACCCCAGAATTGGCACGACTGAAAGGATCAGCAGGTTGCATCTGATAACAGGCATCTGAAGACATACCAAGACCGATGGCCAAGTTCAGATAACCATCTGAAAAGAAGCCGATTCCGGCCACTGTTAAGAACCGCAGCTTTGACCCTAGGGAAGTCATTTTACTGATGACTGGGGTGGTATTGTTGGCAACAAGGGGGATTTGTAAGGATGATTGCCGGAATCTCGCCGGGTTGAGCTATTTCACTGCCCCCGTCTTCCATGGTGTTATTCCTTCTGTACCTCATCACTTATATAGACCATATTGATCGGATTCGCTCTCCGTGACTGTTATTGCAGTTCGCTGTCGGCACGAAGTACCGTAGTTGCGGCCGAGATCCCTGCCACCACCTTCATCAGCATCCTGAACGATTGCTCGAGACTCTTTTGGCTATAGCCATTGATATTGGCCATTGTGATCGTGGGCTTTGCAATTGTCTGAAGTTAGAAGAGAGCAAGGCCAGGCAAGAACCACTCAGACGGCACGGGTCCACACACGTGCGTCGGGGTGGCCTGCCGGCTCCCCACCTTGGTGGGCAGCAGTCGGGACGAAGTGCGTTTTGCACTCTTTAACCTGGAGGCCCAACTACGCCAAGTTTGTCTGAACGAAGAAAGAAACACCCTGTACGGCCTGGTATTGGGCGCAGATTGATGGAGAAGGTCATGCTCATTCCGGTACCCCTCATTGGCTATACACTCCAACCAACCCGATTGCCTGGAAGCCCCCGCATATGTTTGTTAAGGCAAGGCCGACAATTTCCTGGAAGGGGCCAATTTGAGCGTATATTCACGCGATTTTATCGTTTAATAGATATTATATAGGCCTGCGCATGGAGATATACTAAAGAAAGCAATGGATGAATCGCTTCCATCTCCGCCGGCCGTGAGTGCCTTGCGCGAATCATTTGGGGACCGAAAACCGCCCGATATCACCCGCAAAATCACCGCCTGTGTTGCGTGCAGAAAGCAAAAGGTACATCGCCATATGGAATGTCATTGCAGCCAGTCCTAATTGCGCAGGTCAAATGCCACATGCGAGATGGCCAGGTGCCATGCTCCCGATGCAAGAAGCGAGGCTTGTCGTGCACTGTCAATAGAAGCTTGCAGATGCTGCTGGAAGATGATGTAACGTGCGCAAGCCTTCTATTTCAATGAAATTTCCATAATTCTGATTTATATGGCAGATGGAAAGGCGCTGTGGTCCAGAAGCTCCGGCGACTAGAGGACTCGATAGCCAGAATCGCTACCAAAGTGGACATGCCAGAATTACAGGTGCAAATCGACAATCAGCCAGAAGCCATCAGCCCAGCAGCAGCTGCTATACCTGCAGAGTCCTCAAATCGTACCCCGGCATCATCATCGGAAGACGAGACCCTTCCCCCGCAGACATGGGCAGTTGTTATGGACCCACGAGGGGGTCCAGCGTCCATTCCAGCATCATGTGTGTCTGAACTTCGAACGACCGCGTCGTTAGATAATTCTCGGTCATCAGGTCAACGAGACCTGGTTTCTATGGGCATTCTCTCCCTAAATCAGGCTCTTTCTCTTTTTGATATCTACCAATCCCGCCTCGATCACTTCTTATATCGCATTCTCGGGGATCACACCAGTTTAGACTCGGTACGAGTGAGCTCGCCACTTCTTACTGCTGGTGTATGTGCCGTAGGGGCATTGCACTCCTCTTCCCTGGGGTATCTTTTCGACTCTTGCTATCGTGAATACAAGAACTTGGTCGCTTCCTTGATGTTTTCTACCAGCCTGAAAGCGGATGATGTGAGAGGTCTCTGCATTGGTGCCTTTTGGCTGCATGAACTCTCTTGGTCTCTGATTGGAAATGGTCAGTTCACCATCTCGCCATATGAGCCATGCTAACAATTTTCAGCGGTCCGCGTCGGGTCCGATATTAAACTGCATCAAGGCATATATCGAGCACTGAATGGAGACAGGGAGGGGTATTTGCAAGCCCGACTTTATTATTTGGTTTACGTATGTGATCATCATTTCTCAGTAGCATACGGCAGACCTCCGATGTCACGAGAGGGGTTCATCATCGACTACGCTAGTCAATTTCTCGAAACTGAACATGCAACCGAGGACGATGCGAGGCTTATAAGCCAAGTCAAAGAATGGTCGGTCTTGGGCACTGTATTTGACACCTTTGGGGTTGATGTCGATACCGCTATTCCACATCGTAGCCTCCCACAGCTTCGACGTTTCTCCATAGCCCTTGATGTATGGCACGCCGACTGGAACGAAACATTCAAAGCAAACCGGAATGTCGGAAACTACCCCCAGAAAGGGGTTGGCTTTCACTATCACTTCGCTAAGCTCTATCTCTGTTCCCATGCGTTCCGTGGGGTTCCCCCGGCACAAGATAGGCGTCAAAGCCTGACACCGGATATGGAGGATGTTGCAAATACTGGCGTCCTCTCGGCAATGTCAATCCTGCGTGTCATTGTTTCTGACGACGAATTTCAATCCTTTCTCAATGGCTTGCCACTTTACTTCGACACTATGATCGCATTTGCCGTAGTATTTCTCCTCAAGGTAGCTACCAAATACGCGACAGCTATACGAATTGATACAGCTCAGATACTATCATTAGTCTCTCAAACAGTCGCTGTACTCCGCGATATCACGCGATCTATGCATCGGCAGCATCTACTTGTGGTCATCGCCGAGGGCTTAGAAAAACTGCTGTGGATGTGTCAGGAACCTGTTCAGCACACACAACCTCCGATGATACAACCTTCCCCAGCGCCAGAGCACACTCAAAATGATATAAGTTGGATGGAAAGCATTAATAATTTTGACTTTCTAACAAATTTTCCCACTGTAGACGACTGGTGTTTCCAATACAACGGCCCGAACAACAATAGACATATCACGATACCCTGATGAAAACAAGTCTATTTAATCTACGTTATACCCAATTCAATACGAGGTCAAAAACATCATAATTCCTCCAAAGTTTTGTAGTCGCCGCGTTAACATCCCGAACCGGTTTCGACGTTATGACAGGGACATCTTGCTCGCTAAGACCCCCGTGAGAGCGAAGAGGGTGGTCTCTTACCTGGGATAAGTCGTGGTCTGATTTTCGGCTTCCAATCACGGCATTGGAATCAGAAATCACAACAATATCTCCTTCCCGATCAAGCGGCATGTCATATTTCTCAGCAGCTGCTTCGCCACTCAGAGCAAGCTTGACGTGTGGTAATGATCGGCAATGCGATAGAACCTGATCTAGTTGGGTCGTGTCTCTGAGATACACTCGCACAAACGATCCAAGGGCGCCATGATGTCGAACAAATGGGTCAGTGATAGGACATATAACGCGGGATGAGCCGGTGCCAAATTTTTCACTCAGACTGTCCTCAAGGAACAACACGTTGGGCTCTCCATCGGAATTGGATTTATGGCTCATTCCGTGATCACCCGTCACGCCAACGATTGGGGCCAAATTGACCAATTTTTTCAACCGAGTATCAAGTTGCTTCATAAACTCGTCAGCTTCCTTGCTACCGGGTGCGTGCTTATGCTGGACGTAGTCAGATAAAGTCAAATACAGAAAATCGGAACGATGCTCTTCCAGCAGCTTGATCCCGGCATCTAAAACAAACAATGAGAGATCCCCAGAGTATTGACTGGGTGCCGAGCGACCTATCCAGTCTTCCACATTTTCAATACCATTTTCATCCAAAGTACAATCTGCTGCCCGCTCTGCTGAAAAACAGATAGCATCTTTCAGACCGTGTGCGAGAATCTTCCGTAGCTTATCTTTCGCTGTCACAGCAGCGATACGCACACCTCTTATCGACATTTGTTCAAGTAAAGTCGATCCTCGAAGCAAAGAGTCGTCTGTGATCATCTTTTCTTTCCCTGTTTCCCTGTCCAGGAAAAAGTTTCCGGCGATACCGTGGACCAAGGGTGGCACGCCTGTGATTATTGAGACGTTATTTGGGTTTGTGAATGACGGCATGCAGCTTTTGGCGGTTTTGTGGAATCCATTGTCGACCAGCTTTTTGAATGTAGGTAATATTCCTGCTTGGAGTCCGGAATCGAGGTATTCGGGATCAAAACCATCGACGCATATCACCACAGTGGGTTGCTCGGGGAGTTTGTACTCTTTTGAGTGCAATCGAAATTTCGTCCTTGACTCTGCATACTTTTCTTAGTTTTGTTATTATGAATTAACACATCTTACGCACCTAAAAGACATTGGTATGCCGTTTCCTTATAATCTGACAACGGTGGCACCGCGATATTTGCCACTTTAGCCAGATCGTCCCATCTCCTCACGGCAAGTTTGGCACCGAGCAGAGGGTCTTTCTGGGCCTGTTCAACCTGCTCTTGATTGAAAACGCCGCCCTGCAAATATCAGCCAGGTTTCATCAGCTTGTACCAAGAACCAATCACCTGAAACGTCAACGTTTTCTTGCTTGTCTCACTTAGCCCATCATAGTAACCCTTATCCGTCGCAGTTAAATATCTCTTCGCCATGACATGCGCGCCAACAAGCTCAGCCACCTTCTCACTGAACCCCAACCCACGCAAGTAATGTTCCCCTAATATCTCATGGCTTGCAGGGCCAATGTATTCCCCATCTGCAGAATACATCTTGTGCATTTTCTCCGCCGCCGGAATGAAACGGCCCACATCATGGAGGAGAGCGGCAAGCACGACTTCATCATCATGACCGTACTTTGGGTCTTGTCGAGCAAGATGGGCACATTGTAATGAGTGTTCAAGCTGGGTTACTGCTTCGCCGAGGTAGTCGGTCTGGCCCTGCGCAATGAGGAAGCAGAATAGGGTGTTGATTGTGTCGCGAGTATGCGATTCAACGGAATCGAGGATTGTCGGAGCTGGGTCAACGTGTTTGATGTTCATTTTGTATTCTTTTTGCAATATCTAAACCAACATGGCTATAGAAAACACAAATATAGAACAGGGCTGTATTGACAATGCACAGATGATCGGGGATACCACCCTTTTCTGTCAGAACTTAAAGCAACTATTTCTCGGCACGCGCGCGATTATCAGGGATGAACGCCGTCTGCGCCGAGATGACGCCTCATTCGCAATTGGCAGGGTTTAATTCACGCTGGACGTGTCCAACATAACCGTCCTTTGTTGTTCCACGAGTGATTAACCAAACAGGCTGCAAATCGGGGCGAACGCCGCTGATCGTTACCAAAACGGCTAGACGTCGGTACGAAGACCTGTGATGGGGAATTTTCGATGTACCCCTCATCTGCAGCACCGTCGAATTTGGGGCAATTAAATCCACGGTGTTCTTATCCTGAATCCACTTCTTGCTGTAGTCACGAAGCGTTTTAATGATAGTAATGTGTTTATGGTGTGTATATATACTCAGGAATGGACCCTACATCAAAATGTGAAGTTCGTCACCTCGCGCTGCGGAATTTCCTTTTTCGGACTTATGATCACCCTAATTCCAAACAATTTAGGTAAAAATATGTATACCCTCACCACAGAGCAGGTTGCTTCCTATCATCGGGACGGATACCTTCTTCTCCGCGTTGGTGAGCATCAATTGGTCGATCCGATTGAGTTATCTCGATGGACGGAACAAGTCAAGTCATGGCCACGCGAAAAGGGGAAGTGGATGCCGTACGACGAGATCAACGTGAATGGCGAGCGTCAACTCATGCGCACGGAGAATTTCGTTGATTACCACGCCGATTTCAAAAACCTGGTGTGCGGGGAGGCGTTGGCGGGGATACTGAAGGCGCTCAATGGTGATGTACGTTCACCTACCCGTCGCTATGACTTTGTCGTTTCTAGCGATATCTCTGATGGCTGCATGTGCATATGTGAGAAGTGAAGAAGTTGACAATATTTCAAGGATATGCTCCTCTTTAAAGATAAAATCAACTACAAACAAGCCCGCGGTAACGGCTTCCAAGCCCACCTCGATGCCCCGGCATACGACCACATCGGTAAAATCGAGCACGTCACAACAAACTTCGCCATCGACGCAGCGACCCACGAAAACGGATGTCTGGAAGTTGTCTCTGGTAGCCACAAAATGAACGTGCCCTGCATAGATGGCGGCCGGATTGATCCCGCCTGGGAAGCCGAGCAGGACTGGGTGTCGGTGCCGCTGGAGGCAGGCGATGTTTTGATTTTCGGGTCGCATTTGGCTCATAGGTCTGCGGATAATAACACGGATAAACAGCGTGCGAGTCTTTATGCAACATTCCATTCGAAGAGTGATGGGTTGGAGTTGCGACAGAAGTATTATGCGCATCGTCGTGCGAATTTTCCGCCAGATCACGGTTAGTGTACCCCCTCTCTTCTGATATGTCTCATTTACTGATTTGTTTTGAAAATTGGATTAGAGCGCGAGGAAGGAAAGGATTACGCCCAGGGATTCAAAACTTATGGATTTGCAGCACCATTTTCGAAAATTGGAGATAAGGCTGTTGCTGTTGTCGCCGGGCAATCTTGATTAGTGATGCAGCTTTCTCTACTAGATCTACCAATTTGATATGTCACAATTGGACATCGAATATACGTCAAAGTTGATGTAACCTTGATATCTAAGACCGGTTATGATTGTTAATGAGACGATTGTCAAATGTTGGTATCAATCTTTATATTAAATATAATTCTAAATAATTTACATCCTCTAGAAGCAAGATATACATGAAAAATCAGCCGTAGTCTTGGCTTGTGAAGAAAGGATCTTTTAGCAAGACATGAAACATCAGTCCCACCTCGTTTGTAAATCCAGAACTGTTTTTTTGAAAGGACTGCTTGTTTCGCAAGGTATTGTCCAAATAATCCTCCTGCAGGGGATTTGAGGCAAGGAAATTCGAAAAGAGTGTCGTATAATCTAAGGATATAGATAATCTTTCAATCACGCTCCAACTTATGCGGACGGCACAAGGTGCAAGGTCTCAAGAAGACTAATCACCGTGTCGCCAAGCTGGGCATCGACATCACTGAGCCCAACAGAAAGGCAGGAGAGCAGTTCGGTAACGCCGTGGGTGACGTTGCCGACAGACTCGAGTTCGGACTTGATCTCCTGGCCGTTGAGGATATTGTGAATGAGCTTCTCGATCTGTGTTTGCTCTAGGGACTTGAGCTCATTCACTGCGAGGGCGACAACTGGGTCGAGGCAAGCGAGCACACCGTCAACCTTGAGTCTTCGGTTGAGAGGTGAGGGGGCAGCCATGGTGGCGCCGAGGAGGGAGAAGGCAACGGTAGCAGCGAAGAACTTCATTTTGATTTTTGCAAGGTTAAGGAGAGCTTTTTGGAAATGGTTTTGTTCTTGCTGGTCAGAGATCAAGGAACTTGAGGAGATGGGTGATACAGATTGGGAGGAGAGGGATTAGAGGGGTTTTCCAACAGTCTTATATAGACTACACCCCCCTCGAGAAAAAGCAGCATATCATTAGACGGTACATAGCTTTCTACGTATCCATTAGGAGATCAATTTGATTATCGTATGAAAACCGTAATGATGACGACCGGCAAATTGCTTCCCCTGATATCTAGATGATCGACGTGCTTGGCTCTAGCTGAGTTGGGTGTTCTTCCAAATTTTATGCACACGATCAAGGAATATTATCTCTTTTCAGAACGCCTAGAAAGTAGAATCAATGAACTATTCATTGACCTGAGATTTAGTGCGGGAGATTAACACATGGGGGTCTGGAAAGTGGGGTGTAGATGAGAGACATGCAAATGTACCTGCATCGAGGGTTTAGTTGCATGAATCAGGCGTTGGGTGTGACGTCTCTAGTGTAGGGTTCCGGATGTTTCTTGTTTGATTGGCCGCAGATAAGGATTCACCTTTTTCCCCCTATTGCATCACCGTAATGATGCGACCTGATACTTCCTAGCCATGCCGATTAGATTAGTTTTGACTGTCAATTAGAAAGAGCTACTTACGAAGAACGACATCAATATTCTAGAGAATTCCTACTGAATACACTATATAACAAAGAGAAAATTGTTATGTCCCGACTATCACTGCACAGAGAAAAACTTGGCAAACACAAATCAAAATTATTAGTTTGCCTAAGTATCCGTACATTGCTCTCCTATTTGAAATGATGATTATTGGCTCGTTGGTGTTTACTTTCTTTTTCCCCATTTAGCGTTCTTCCGATCTTTTGCCAACTTTTGGGCAGGCCCACTTTGCGGTCGACTTATGGCTCATTAGCTGCTCGTCGATCATCGAATCAGGACAAGCCCCCATCTGTGCGTCAATAGTTTGGGAGTTTAGGGCCTTGAGGGTTGAACAAAAAAGGCCATAGTTATTGGTCGAAATCGGTGTCAGGCGTTCTTACTTATGTTGATCATCGATCAGCTCATGCCAGGTACGATCCAGTCATCTAGGACCCATTGAAAAACATGGTTCCTAGAAGTAGAATATTCAACGATTGAGTCATGGACAATATATTGTAAATTGCTGAGTTGGCTCTGTGAGGTATCATATATCTGAATTGATCCCTACAATAGATGAACTGATCGACATACTTTGTCCATTCTATGACTCTACATGCCGTGATAGCGCACAAGTAAAACCAAAAGTCTCCTAGTTTATTTCAATCTGTGTATTGAGCATTCTGCATAATAATCATATAAAAAGAAACAAGGCTGAATAATAGTAAGAAAAGAAACATAGATGAGGTAGGCCGGATTTATCGTGTGATAAGACGCTGCCGATTGCCGAGACTCGGCGGCGAAATCAATGTTATCTGATTCCAATTGTTCATTTCTATCACGTTATCGCTGCTCGTAAAAAGTATATATGCATCCGATTGGGTGATATACAGCCAGGCTGAGCGATAAACAATTCTAGAGAACCGCGGTTGACGCGTCGATCTTCACCTCCTTGTTCGCACATCCTCTTTTCCTTGGCTGCTAACTGTCGATCCGACGAGCACAGTGGCTGACAGATTAACCTCGGTGATAACATTACTAATAGCAAGTCAGTTTTCTAATGATTTTCCAGGCTGATTGGGATCAGACCATAACTTTCTTGAATAATTGTCCATGTTCATCATTTGGTGTAAGTCTCGTTCATGGATTGGCCAAACCCATCCGCTATGCACACAATTTGCACCATCAAAGTTTGCTAGGATCGATGACTTATCTGTATTTGCTCAAGGATGCGTCCCTCTATAAATTGACTAGATTGACTCCGGGTTTGTTCGCAGCTCTCACGTTTGCTTACTTATTTATTACCTGATTGGCATTACCTTAGTGGACTAACGAACTCTCGAAATTGATGACTCTCGAAGATCATTCAATATTCACTCAACGATCGAGCTTTACTCTTAGAATTCCATGATATTCGTTTTGACCTCTACCATTCTACTATTTACCCCTGAATTATTACATCTCAAAACTTCACTTTACAATTGTTGCAATTTATGTACTATTTATCTAGCCCATTTGGGGGGTTTGGGTGCAATGGACCTCGGGGAAGGCGCACATCAAAATCGAGGAAATTTATTATTTGGAGGGCCAGCCCCTCAGGCAACCCTTTACAACGCAAAGCTTTGGCGGTCTCGGTAATTTTTGACTTGTGTGGAAGATACTGAATGAATCCACCGGGGCGAACCATGAAAGCTGAACTATATCCGTCGTCTGCAACACGGAAAATTTACCTGTGTAAATGTATCGAAATTTCGAATTCGATAGACAGCGTGCATAACTGCACAACACCGAGGTATGACTCAGCATATTTATATCTTCCTTCAGAGTATTTCCTTTCTCATTCTTTGTGTTGCTACGATTGGTGATGCCTCAATTCCGGCCCCGACAGTTCACGAAGACTGTAGAAGATATTGATGATAAAATACGCATTCAAAGCCATTATGCACAATTGAACTCAACCCAGACATTCCTCGTGACATCAAAATTCCTGCTAGGTTACCCAAACTACATGGGCCATATCTAAAAGCGAGCAAATATGCAGAATTAAATCCACTGTCCTATGCACCAAGAGAGTCTTAACAAGCTCAAGGTTAAAGAAGATATCCGACTGTATTCGTAGAACCGTTAACAGTCACTACCACAATGAAATATGTGAAACCAAGAGGAGATAAGAGAGCTCGCAAAGCTCGCAAGCGTTCGCAAGCATGTGATATGATTGCTTTAAATACATTGCTTCATTACTGTAATTGACTATCATCATTCAATCTTAGCAATTATTATGGCAATATACATGTCATTCATTTTATAACCTGTATCTGCTTCCTACATGCCTATGTGATAAGTTGAACCCCAAATAAGGGGACAAAACAACATTTCCAAACATACGACAAAGTAAAGAACAGAAGTTACTCGGTACAAAAGTGCTTTATAAGACTATTTATTGCTGTAATTTAGGTATTCAAAACACAATTATTTAAGTGCTGTTACACATGAAATGGTGTCAGGGAGGTAATTTCCAACCCACCTCAGAAAAGCCATATGTTTTTGAGCAAGCCATTTTGTACAACGTTCCGAAAGCCCGTCGACAAAGCGATATCCGGAGTATGTGGTCACAAGGATCTAAAGTTGTACAAGACATATAAATACATCAAGTTTATATTACTCATGCTAGACCTGTAAGAACCGCAAGTCTTATATATGATGACTGCTCGGCACCTTCGGAATGATGAATTATCGCTCCTCAAACACATACTTGAAGACACTTACTGATACTCAGACTTGACAATTCCAAATATAACAATGCGCTACTCAATCTGTCTTCTGGTCAGCCTGGCATGTCTCGCTGTATCATCTCCTTCCTCATCTCCACGACCGGCGCCAGCTACATTTGGCAGTGATGTTGATTGTCCCTACCCAAATGGCAATTGCTACGATGATGATTGCCATGGAGAGCTGAGCGTTGATCGTGTTACCTGTACAGAGGTAAGAAATACCACCGTATTTTACATTGTATAATGAAATTTCTGACTGACTTGATCGACGTAAAGGGTGCAGACAAAGGATGTGGATGTGGGTATAAGTGTGGCGCAGTATCTGGAAAATGCAGTGATAATGAATGCAACGGTGTGAAGGGCCGCTGCACATACAACTATCTCGGCTGCACCTGCGTTCTCTGAGGTCTCTGCCCTTCTTGAAAGGTGGAGGCAAACTTCATCTTGCAGACTCCATAAAATTCGAAAGCTTGTCAAGTATGACACAATGACCTGTAGTTATTTTGAGTTTTTGGAATGGGGTTTATGAAAGATTATCTGTTGCTTGGAAGCACTAGGCCTTATATTGTTTATGAATGGCAATATTATTTACTATATGACTACCCTCAAATGCAAGTAAAGACTAAAAGACTATATAGCTATGACTTTAAAGACATTTATTGTGCTATAAGATGTACATATGCACTATAAAGTTTGTATCTACGTATATGTACCAGTTAGCTCGAAGATCGTTGAGAATCATTTTACTCGTCAATGCGACCAAATATCTTGGTGTTACAATAGCGAAAGCGACCTTTCTACTACTTGTAGATCTCCATTTGACCGAGGAGGTTAGATACACGTGCGATCGAAACTCGCATTTTCTAATGAGCAAAAGATTTAATTGGAGACAATGCGCATTCTAATTCAGTAATTATCGGCAGTAATAGTAACCATGATAAATGTAATATCAGGGGGCGTGTAAGTAGCTAGAATGGGAAACATGAATACTGTATTGTAGTCCATTCAATAAGGCAGGAAAAGTAGTTGTGGTTATCCTGTACCTCATTTGATAAGCTGTTTCTGAGTCTAATCTGGCGTAAGAGAAGATCATAGACGACAGCTCCTCAGCACCACAAGTGCATCATCAAGACATGACTTAGCATCACAGGAGTAACATGTTATGTCTAAATAAATAAGTTTTCACATGGTTACTATGAACAGTAAAAGGAGGACAAATTGTTTACCCCTTATACCCTGTCACTCTAAGCTGATTATTAGTTCTAAACGTCTGTATGACTTCGGATACACCGAGGACGCCGATTCGATGCCCTCTTGCGTCGCGGGAAAAAGGAACTTTTCACCAGATTTTGTGACCCTGTCCCACTAGGGCGTTCTTTCAGGTGATGGTGCCCGATATTCACATGCTGTATATCATATTAAATCTTGGACCGAATTTTGGCTCTTATAATATTGAAGAAGAGCCCATTTCACCATCCACCCAGACTCGAGAACTTCCTTGACATGGCAAGCATGATCTCCATATAGGCCTTGATGTTGAACTTGTCCAATATCAATAGAATCATGTCTTGACCTAGGCTTTTGACGGATGAGCCCCGGGTTGGTAGTTATCCAGCATCGCCGCTCCCTCAAGAGATTCGTATAAAACTTGGGATGTAGAGTCGTTATTAGGGCTACTAGGTTAGATTTCTGCGCCAAAATCGATTGTAGTGAGGCCGCGATTTTAATGCCTTATTGAAAGTAAAGGTCCGTTGTAAGCGACCTCTACGAAGAAGAGATGAATAATAAGAAAATGGAGAATTCCTCAATATGACATTAGTGAGGTTCCCATAATCCGTCGTGGATGTTTAAATGAACTTATACGTTCTGCTTCGCCTGCTCCGAACGGTGCTACTTGCAGCACCCAGTTATTGACACCCAGTCGCCTTTGCATTTAATAAATTTGAGGTAAAATTCCCGTACATGTCAAATTTATGTCTTGTTCTGAGAATTTGTCGTGTGCAAGCTTTCCTTTTTCGGATAATTCATTCGGAGACTGCCCCATTAGCAGTAGGTCGACTCACTGATTGGACCGCACATAAATACTTCCGTATCGGAATCGGTTCAACTAACCCCGAAAAACTGGTGCTGACCAACGCCATGCATTTAGAATCTTACGTTTCAACGTCGGATTTGAAACTTAGACTTCTTTTGTATTTCTTAGGCTGCACGGTCACATTTGAGAAAGAAAAATATTACCATTAGCCGTCATGGAAACGGTATCTCAAACTGAGACGACCATGCAGGGAAGTGTGGAGCTCCAGGGTCTTCAATTCGCCAATATTGAACATGCCAGTAATAGTATTGTTGCCAATACCGCTCAACAATCAAGCTCAGTGAATATGAATGTATCGTCAAATTCAATGACTCCCTCAGCGACTGGGAACGAGCCTGCTGCTGCGCTCAAAACTCACCAAATCACCGTCATCATGTTGGCTCTCAGTGCCAGCGCGTTCGTCTCTGCTCTAGATCTAACTATTGTATCAAATGCTCTACCCGTTATTTCGGGGTACTTTCATAGCACTTCCGGCTATACGTGGATTGGAAGCGCTTATGTCTTGGCTAACACAGCTACGACGCCAGCATGGGGCAAGATATCCGACATTTGGGGACGGAAGCCTCTGCTTTTGGTTGCACTGGTTGTGTTTTTTGTTGGAAGTGTCCTTTGTGGAATTGCAAATTCAATGCCATTGCTGCTTGCAGGACGGGCAATTCAAGGTGTGGGTGCTGCTGGGCTGAATATCTTGGTAAATATTTGCGTTAGTGATCTGTTCTCGCTCAGAGACAGGGGCTTGTACTTTGGCTTGCTCTCTGTTGTGTGGGCTTGTGCAAGTGGTGTGGGGCCAGTGCTTGGTGGAGTGTTTTCCCAGGAGTTGTCGTTAGTTGAGTCCTGTGTCAATTGTGGAACTAATATAATATTGACTGAACGGCTATTAGATGGAGATGGTGTTTTTATATAAACTGTAAGCAGAAGTTTGGCTCTTCATTAATCTAAGATATGTACTAACCTCTCCAAGTGCCCGTCATCGGAGCAGTGTTCTGCTTGTTGTGGTTCGTCCTCAAACTCGATACTCCCAAAACACCCGTGTGGGATGGTCTGAAAGCCGTCGACTGGACAGGCTGCCTGCTTGTTATCGGGGGTACGCTTATGCTTCTATTCGGACTCGATTTTGGCGGTGTTACTCAGCCATGGAACTCAGCCACTGTGATTTGTCTGATTGTATTTTCCGTCTTCATGGGTGCCTTGTTCGTCGTGAACGAGAAGAAGCTTGCTAAATATCCTGTGATCCCAATGGATCTTTTCCAATACCGATCTGGAATAGGCTCTTTTGCGCTTTGTTTCTGCCATGGATTTGTATTTATGGGAGAGGCTTACTATCTTCCACTATATTTCCAGTCTATACTCGGGTTGAGCCCGGTGATGTCAGGAGTCTACTTTTTACCTTACATTCTAACAATCTGTATCTCAGGAGCATTGACAGGACTCATCATCCAAAAAACCGGGACATATTTGCCAACGACTTACCTGGGGTTAGGCTTGATGGCTCTCGGCGTCGGGCTGCTCATCAACCTCGATATCGAACTCAATTGGGCGAAGCTGATAGCATACCAGATCATTGCCGGCGCGGGCAGCGGGATGAATTTCGAGAGTCCTTTGCTCTCATTACAGGCTGTCGTCGGCACACGCAATGCTGCGACGGCAACATCAACCATCGGGTTCGTGCGGACATTGTCATGCGCCATATCCGTTGTCATTGGAACAGTGGTATTTCAGAACCAAATGGAAAAGCAAGGACCGAGCCTACTGGCCGCCCTTGGCCCTCAACTAGGCAGTTTGCTAGCCGGGGGGGACGCTGCTGCGAATATCGATGTGATTAACACGTTGCCGCCGGCACAGCAACTAATAGCACGACAGGCATTGGGTCAATCTCTAAAGACTATGTGGATTGTGGTAAGTACTCCAGCATTAGCCTTGACTAATCAAATTCCGGCCGGGTTGTGCTGACAAGTAGCCAACCTGATAACAGTATACTGCATTTGCTGGTCTTGGGCTGGTTGCGGGTTATTTGATAGGCGCGCACCCTCTGAGTCGCGAGCACCAGAGTGCTGTTCTAGGGCTGGATCGTCACAACAACGTTGAAGAGTCAGAGCAAAACTAGCCGACGGATGTCAGTATCCATGCAGTCCACGTAACTGCAGGAATAATAATAGTGTAGAACAATATAATTGATACGTCCAGGAGAGTGACATCACCGCGTCTGTTAGATAGGGAAACCAGGGCAACAGGGACGGGGCTAGCGCCGAAAGCGGGAAGGCGCCAGTGAGCGTCAAATAGTTGGCGGCGGCGTTCATTGCCGGCACGGGACCACGAGGAAGTGCGCGATCTAGGCCACGGTAACCTCACGCGCCAACCAGTAATACGCCAGGAACGAACGCCCGTTGACCCACCACGGGCAATAGTGACCGGTGACTGGAGGGGCAATTGCGGGCCCATGGCTGGTGCGGGGCAGGTACTGTCTGCTTCTGGCATCTCATGCGCTGCAACCGCTCAGGCTAGCTGTTCCGGGACACGCACAGTGGTGGCGCCAAGGCGGGCTGCCCCACCGTAGTCGCCCTCAGTCACTCAGCAACCAAACCCGCTGTTGTTGCCGTGTGTGGGAACTCCGTTTGGAACGGCCATGTCTCTCCTTTACGCTGTTTTGTGCTGCTGCCGCTTTTTGTTTTGCCTATCCATCTTTTCCCTCTTGAGACGAACATCCAACTAGTATTCACATACTCCTTCTCCCATCTACCCCCAATCTATATAAGCTATAAGCTATCATATCGTTACATCCGCCACAATTGTTGGCATCTCTCGCAATCTGGTTGGTGTCGTTGATCGGACGGCCCGCTTAGCGCATTTTCATCTCCGCCCCTGGACGGACAATTATTCCAGAACTCGAACTTCAATCGCAGATGCGCCAGGCGTCATTTTGACGCCCTTGGACACATACATGCGATGCCCAAAACGCGGTATCGAGATACAACCCCATGGTCCCAGAAACGCGACCGACTAGACCCCGAAAAAGCCGCCTCTCCCTATGATTCCTCCATCAGCGACGACGAACCCGTTTACTCTGACACCTCTCGAGTGACCTCTGGGTCGCTCAGCTCCCACATACCAATGCTCGCCAGTCCCTCCCGGCGGCGGAGGCCCAGGGCAAACGGCTTCATGCCTCATCGGTTAATGAGGTGTCTCTGCCTGGCCCTCTTTGTCGCCCTCTTACTCTTCGTTCTGAATTTGTTCCGTTTCACATTGTTTGGACGCGCCGAACAAGTCCCCATCGATGTCCCGAAACCTCCTCCTAAGCCACATGTGTGGGAAAGTTTTCCATTTTTGAAACGGTACCATGGTGGTATACGGTCGTTAGTTGCGCGCAAGGATAATGTGCCGGAATATCCTGGAGACGGCGCTCCTGAGGATTTAGTATTCCCAACAGCAGAAGAGCAAGAACAGGCTGAAGCAAACAAACCCCAGGAACCAGGAAAAAAGACTGCGCAAAGACGCTCTGCCGAACTCCCTTTCAAAAGCTTACCATACAACCCTTACCCTAATTACAAGACCGAGGAATACGCGAGGCAATATGGCGAAAAGGTCGACTGTTTCCTCGATGAGGACAATAAGATCCATGTCCCTCGTCTTCAGTACTATCCCGGTATCCCCGATGGATTTCCTGACCCGATCATGGGTTCGAACGCAATGCTGGGTATTCAGGATGATATTTGCTTTGACCGCTTTGGACGTCTCGGCCCGTATGGACTCGGCTACGGGGTCAAGAAAGGCGGCAGTGGTGCCGGCATGGAAGGCGACCGCGACGGCGCTGACCGTGTATGGGAGGATGTCCCGCCAGTTGACTTCCGTGAAATCAGCTGGGCTACTGCACAGAACCGCTGCATCATTGCAAACCGTCACCGTTTCGCTGAACTACCAGAGCCTCGTGTTGATCGCGCACTTATTATGTCATTTGGAACTTCCATTCCAAAATCTCACCTGGAAACACTTCCGCCAGCAAAGGAAAAAGGCCAATCCCAGCTGCCTCGCACCGCAGTCTTGATCAGGACTTGGTTTGATTTCCGCTATACGGAAGAAGATATCATGTACCTCCGAGCTCTCATTTCAGAACTATCACTGATGAGTGGAGGTGAATACACAGTTCACTTTTTAATCCACGTGAAGGACGACAATCTGCAAATCTGGTCTGACGATGAGACGTACGAACGCGTCCTCCGGGACTCTCTTCCAGAAGAATTCCGTGGAATGGGAACTCTGTGGTCCGAGAGACAGATGAATTTGATTTACGGTGGATTGCAAGAGAGTTTCGAGCGCGGTCTCCCCGTCCATGGCGTCTACCGAAGCACTTTCATGCCTGTCCAGTACTTCTCTTACCTCCACCCTGAGTACGACTATGTCTGGAATTGGGAAATGGACGTCCGCAACACCGGTCACTGGTATCATTTCTTTGATAAGTCAACCAGCTGGGCTAAAAAGCAACCTCGCAAAGGACTGTGGGAACGGAATTCTCGGTACTACGTTCCTAGCGTACATGGTCCTTGGGAAGACTTCATGCATACTGTTCGCGTCCAGACCGAACTCGGCACTAACAACCCAAATAATATGTGGAATGCAATGAAGGATGAAGAAGAGAAGTCCGATCCAAACCACAAGGACCACGGCCGTCATGGCGACAACTTTATCTGGGGACCAGAGCGTCCGCATGAATCCGATATCCTTGAGCTTGACGAGGACGTGATTCCGCCCACTACCATAGAGAAAGACAAGTACGAATGGGGCGTTGGCGAAGAAGCTGACCTGATCGTGTTGAACCCACTGTATGATCCAGAAGGAACCACATGGCTACTACGCAACGACGTCACCGGGTACAACCGCGACGAAGGGATGCCACCACGCCGCGCAGCCATCATCACAGCCTCGCGCCTATCCCGCAAACTCCTGATGACAATGCACCGCGAAACCAGCATGAAACGCCACACCATGTTCTCCGAGATGTGGCCTGCTACCACCGCCCTCCACCATGGCTTCAAAGCCGTCTCTGTCCCTCACTCAATCTACATTGACCGCAAATGGCCAACACGCTATGTCGAAGCCGTTTTTAACGGCGGCCGCAACGGCGCCACTGGAGGTGCTCGTACATCCATCTTCGGTGACCGTGAACACAACTTCCGTGGCACAACATGGTTCTATTCTGCCGGGTTCTCGCCGAACCTCTGGCGTCGTTGGCTCGGCTACAAAGTCGACAACGATGGCGGAGAGGAAGAAGAACTCTCTGGTGAGGGCCGAATCTGTCTACCGCCCATGCTGCTACACCCTGTCAAGGAGGTACAGCTAGTCATCGACGATGGCGGGGTACCCGAAATAGCCGAAGACTCACCCCCTTAAATTCAAGCCAAGCCAGATTCTACGAAAAAGTGAACACGATTTCATGACGCGCGTCACCTTCGATGTCATTTTATTACATCATTTCCCCCATCTCCTTTTCTCATAGTTTCTATGAGCTTAGAATTCCAGTGTATATCTTCTCCCCCTGTCAGCGGTATACCCTTTTTATGCTTTATCCCTTCAAGCAGATATTTACATCATGGCTTGTTCATCTAGCGTTCTAACCCGTTTCTCAATGTTGATCTGTTTGTCTGGCACATTTAGAGACTGGAAACATCGGTTGTGCTATTTGTTGTCTTTTTTGGGGTATGATTAGCGTTTTTTTGGGATGATGTTTGGTTAATACTATCTATGTACATAACTGTGGTTAGAAGAATTGATATGAGAGTGGGATTGTACCCAGTGATCAATACGAGTCCTTACGATGAATTAAGACCTATGTTTAGATAAAGTTCTTATACCTACAGTGTCAATATCAAGCACTCAATACATCAATAGTGAGGCACAAGTAAGTTGACGATTCAATGTAGAGATCCAGAAGTCTCATACACACAGTAGCTTCCTAACATCAACCACCATTGTGAACTACATGTCGGAAGCAGTTTCAAGCATAAGCATTCAGTTCAGCCAAAACCCAGTATTCGATAGCACACATCCGCTGAGAAGTTTCAGCGAAGCTATGAATTAAACAAAACCATTGTCGAAAAGGGAAGAATCAGGGTTCCCAGCGCATTCTTCCATTCATATATCATATATTCTGTGAGTATCTTATCCTTTTAGCTGAAATCGGTTGTTTCTGTCCATTAAAGAGTTAGCCCAGTCAGAAAGCTTGCGCCTATGCTGGCTGGATGCCAAGCCTAAGTTATAGATGTTGACGAGTATTGTTCCATCTCTCCTGTTGTCGTAATTTCTAGCCGGTCTAGATCTGGAGGGAGAAGTCTCGATGATGAAATGGTTGTACGATGTCATTTATGGGCAAATGAAAACTACATGGTCCTTACAGAATCTATAATTAGAATTAAGTCCGGTCATTAGTTGAAACCCGATAGAAACTATTTATTTTTCGTTGGCATATTTCAGACTAGCAAATTACTTTTCTTCATCAGCGGTGGAAGAGGGATGCGATTCCATACTCATATGTTTTTATTTTAGAGCTGGTGATGTTCCTCTTTGAGCCTGTTTTGGATTGAGATTATTCACTAGTACGCACACAGGAGGGAACAATTGATGTCCAGGGATATTCAGTCAAATGTCACATTATCCTTTCAAGGAGTCGCCATAGTCTATTTGAAGAGTCTTCTGGGTTGCTAGATGTGGAGAGAAAAGATACTATCCTTTTCTGCACATTACCGGATCATTACATTAACTGTCGACGTAGATAAAGATTATAGGGTTTTTAATCTGGATTGACAATTGTGAATATCGTTAAACCCCGAGAATATCCAAGTTAGATAAAAAATGCGAATGATATCACGCATTGGGTAAATAAATACCAATGGCCTCTCGTGCGTCTTGAATTCTGCAGCGAAACTCTGCTTCGTGTTCGGCATTTTCAAATGCAGTTTCGCTCAAGTCTTCAGATGTGTCCACGAAGAGCTTCCCATCGTGTATATACAAGCTAAAATTGGGATATGTCGAAAACAACGCGTTATAAGTCAATGATAGAATCATTATCTTTAAATAATCCACATCAAGATGCATAAGCAACGAGGGCAATGTATCCATACATGGATCTATAAGATATTGAAGTATATCAGGGTCAAATATTCCAGAAATGTCATTTTTAAAATGTGTCAATACTGCTTTGGTTGTCTTGGCTGGCAGGACAGACCAACTGTTCACCAACGCCCACATGGCCGCATTTTGGATTCTAACATCATCGACTGCAAGAAATGATATCAAAGTATCACTGATATCTCTTACAGATTTATGGCCCCAGATGACAGACATTGCTTTGACTTTCGCTAGTGGTGGCCCATTTATAACGACCTGAGAAAGAGCTGTTAACATTTCATCAGGCAAGCACACCCGATCCGAAAAGAATTCGTCAATATCAGGATCAGTATCTCGATTTTCGTCTCCAAAATATTGCAGTAATACTTCAAGGATTTCAGATGGTAGATCGCTTCTATTCCGAAAAAGCAGTACGACCTTTTGCATAGCATCAAGATCATCCCTTCTTAGAAGTTGAACTAGATTCTGAAACACCCTCAGTGACAAGTTATCTTGGCAGCTCAGAACTGCAATAACTTTATCTATGTTACTTTCACCACCATAAATAATGTATTCGCTTACTCCCTCAATTGTATGGAGGGGCAGACCTGGCCGCCGAAGACAATCAAGAATCAAGCCTTTTTCACGCTCATCGCCATCGAAAAAAAGTCGAGTCAAAATCTCAAAGTCTTGGAAATGACTGAATACATCTTTAGAAAGCACTTCTAACGCGCCACATCGTAGCTCACAGTCGTCACTGGCAAGAAGCCTGATCATCGAATCAACTACATTTTCGGGCCAACTACCTTTCAAGTCGTAAGTGCAACTTTTGAAGGCAATAAGAAGGTCGAGTTTTGGCTTCTTTTGCTTCCCTTCTAAGAGGAGAAGCATTGGTTTTATCAGTCTTTCAGGAGGACATGTTCCAGAAAATATCCCCAAAATTGCGTCGCGTCTCAATTCGTCTTCATTTTCATGAATGAGTGAAAATAAAGCATCGTATAGGGCTTCTGGCTTGACTCTATTTGAACAAGTGAATAGTCTTGCTGCCCTCCGCCTAATTATTTCATTTGTACCGCCAAGGCGCTGAACGAAATTCATAACAAATTCTTCTGGGAATGCTTGAACATGTTGAATGAAGCGCTGAGTGTTGATAAAAACGAAGTCGCTTTGATGCACGATCATCTTTTCTAGTAAACGGAATGTTTCACTGGAGGGCGTCGACGTATAACCAATGCAACCGGATGCAAGACGACTTGTCTCTGCGGGAGCATGGTCGATAAGAAGGGCAATTCTATGTATTATGGCTTCTGGTAGACATTGTCTACGCAAAAAACGTTTTACCAGTGCATGCAGTCTCCCACGAGAAGTATCGATGATGTCCACCAGAAAATGGAGTATTGATTCCGGCACATCTTGGCAGAACTGTATGGAACTGAGTGAATCATAAGTCATTATCGGGTCTACATTCCAGAGATAACGAATCAGAAGACAGATATCACTCGCAGAAAGAGACTTATGGTGATATACTAAAACCGAAAATGCCTCTACTTTCAACTCTTTAGATTTGCTAGTCTCTAGCAATGAACAGGCGGCCCGGAGAATCGGTAACGAGAGGTAAGGCCGTCCACGGATAGTCTTCATTACATCCACCAACATAGTTTCTGGTCCGTCGTCAAGAATCCGGAGTAAAAGATGATCTGGCAGTCTATGAAAAGCACTCCAATCTCGATGAAAGAGTTTATACAGGAGTAGTGCCCACTGTAGCTGCCGATACTCAATCAAATTTGTATTCTTCCCAGTATCCGACGCCTCCCATCTGGGTACTTCTCCGAGGCAAGAAATTATCAATCGGTGGTGTAACAGGCCTAAAAGATCACGGGGTTCGTCGTCAACGCATTCGAAAAAGTAGTTCAGAGGATCTCTTGTAGGTGTAATCTGCCCCCATCCTGCTTCGAGAAGCCCTGATGTAAACTGCCAAAAAATACGATATCTCGGACTGTACTTTTCCTTTTGCAGAAAAGAAAGAGGTGTAATAAGAGAAGTCTGTGGCCGCGCTCCCATGACAGTCAAACAGGACATCTCTTCGGACCCCAGCCAATGTCTCACAAAATATCGAGCGGCAAAGAACTCTTGAAAAGTCAAGTGTAAAAAATAGTAGTCTCGTACACCCTTTTCCATTGGCTGGTTGGAGGATCGTAGGAATGAGAGATATTCGATGATATGCTCCGATAGCGGCGCTTGCTCTTTTTGGGATGGCGTCAATTGATATATATGCGCACGATCGCGTGGATTAAACTCGATAAGGTTGTTGTAAAGTCCAGTGAAAGCTAGAATCTCGACAATGGCGACTTCCTCTTGGGCTACTCTTTCAATTTGATGATCTTGAAAGCATCGAGCAACTTCTTCTGTGATTTGCTTCTCATTCCACTTCTTTTGGAGGCGGACGATGTCTTTCTGCCATAGCTTGAGAACGACTGCCTGGTAAATAGATGTCATCGTCTTTGACGAGTCGGAAAGAAATCCAGTGTTCCAGCTATAGCACATCGCATCCAATTGAATTGGAATCGCGAAAAAGGTTTCAAGCTGTGGGTTCACTTTTAGGAACGTTAATATATCTTCTGCTATAGATCTGTCTGCAACAATTTCAGAATTATTAACATAACTCAATATCTGTTGACGTTGGAATCCGACGGTTTCAGCTTCGAGGTCGATATCCGTTACAAAATGCTGTCCAGATGCATAAGGCCGCGTTGTCACTATAGTCCAGGGCATTTCAAGGATATTATGAAGGAATTTTCGCATAGCTTGTCCAGTCTCCCATTCGTGCCATACCTCATCCAGACCATCGAGAAGGAACAGACATCGGTTGCGAGAATTCATCACTTCAAGTATTTCCCATGCTTTCTGCGCTAGAGACCTTCCATCTGGATGCTGGAAAAAGTATTCCTCATAGAGAAAATCCCCAAGATTGTATGAAGTCCTATCCGCACTCTGTTTAAGTCTTCGGAGAGGTATCCAAACCACCCAATCGAACAAATCATGCCACATACTGCCATATAAGAACTCGTAAACTATTTTCTTGCAGAGGGTGGTTTTGCCAACACCGGCATGACCTTGAATTAAAATCCGTTTCACCGGTTTGAGTTTGCCATTCGAGTCTTTGATATGTTCAAAAAGGTTATCTAACAATAGATTTTCATTATTAGAAGTATATTCGCTTCCCATGTTTAGCCAGGGTCGGTTGCGGTCTTGGATAGAAGTGTGCTTTTTGTTGGCCGAGATGCGGATAACGCTCAGATTGATGTAGCATTCCTTCATTGGTAAACTTGCCCCGGATATTCGCAAAATTTGAAGTCGACTTTGGGCAGAGTATGCATTTTTGAGAATCTCAAATACACCGACTGAAGAAACAGAGGATAGTCCAGCTATGACATGCTATCAGCGTTTATTTCTAACTAGAAAGTTCGTATAATCGTTTCTATATAGCCCCTACGTACCTTGTGTAGGATGTATATAGCCAAGTAATTCTTTCGCCACACCAGCAGCAGCAAGAGCAGCATATGGCTGCCATCGGTCATTCTTGTGCGAATCGGCATAGTCAGATATTCCCCTGATAACGATACACCTGAAGTCATTCATCAATCCAGCTGCTTCCATTTCAAAACATAGCACATCATCAAGTGATTTCGCTATTTTCTCTCGTTCGGATGCGTTTTTGATGACTCGGTCTCCCGAGGCAATGAGGCCGTAGTGCACGTAATTTCCACGCACAGGACGTTCGACGATCTGACTCTTGTCGCATTCTTCGCAAGTACTTTTCTTGGATTTATGGTGGTATTTCGAATTGAATAGAACGTCTGGAGAGTCCAGCGGTCGGGAGTATTCGGACAATTGCGGATATTTTTGTAGAATGTCTTGAATAAATTGGGAAACCTTCGAGCCATGGATTCTGTGGTCGGATCGCATCTGGCCGAGTACTGCCAGCCATTCTGTTGGTGGAGGACATAAATACCCTTTTCTTTGGAACCCTGTGATTGTGCTCTTTCCTAAATCGTATTCAACAACCCCGCCCTTATCACCCGATGGTGTACTAATCACAACATCTCCAAGCCTGATATCATGCCTTATACTCGGAATTCCACCACCTATACCAACAAGCAGACGAAGAGTGATTGATGGAAACGATTTCGAAATGCCGTTGGCGACATTGGCTGCCGAAACCTTGCCCTGATAACCTGCAGGCAAGGATGCAACAACAACATTATGTCCAGATAGTTGTCCGAGTGTATAACAGTTTGAATCGCCGCGTACGGGCGGGAGTCGCGCATGTTCTTCGTCCATCAGGCATTTGACGGGTGTTAGCTCTACCTCCAAAGGGCAGAGAATCGCCACGTCGTAGGATTCTCGGGATAGCCTCCTCTTGGTCGACGCCGCCATTGCTGGCCTCTCCAACCCGCAGCTGGCCAAAAGTATGCGCTTTAAATTTTAAGATTTGAAAATTCAGTTCTTAAAAGTGAGTACAGAAGATAATGAAAGAGAGGGAAAAATATTAGTTGGGTGGAAATCGACCCAAGTAAATCGACAAGGCTGACTGTCGTCTGAGACTAGGATGTGATTGGCTTACCTTCCGCCGAATCTGCAAGATGCCTCACTTGTCACGCGTGGTTCGGGTCTCGGGTGGCTATGCTAGTAGGAGGAGCACCAGCGCATCAGTAGGCACCGACCGAAGCAAATTCTGGGTGGCTAGATATTGCTACATATGTGCACAGGGTAATGTTGATTACTAGCATGTTATCTGATACAGGAACAGGACATAATTGGGTTTATAAGGATTTTATATCAGAAACCAATACTCCTATAACTACCGGAGAGTCAACTGGTTAGTCTGCATGGGCGTGCAGAAGCTGCTCCAGGAGACTATTGTAATAGACACACACACATCTAATTTAAATTTCATCTTGAACCAAAATCAAGGCTCCAATATAATATCAGTGCCGACACATCGATTACAAACCAACAAATTAGTCGGATCAACTCGCTTCTTGATGGATAAAAGACGCTGATACTTGTCTCCCCAAAATACCTGTTGCCAGTTCGGTTCATATCTAATACCATCAATATCAGCAAATTCCGAGGCAGAAGCGTATAACATAGACTTACGGATTTGCTTCGTTAACATACGTTCCTCCATCCTCGCCAACAATATCAGTTAGCCGATTGCTCAGATGAACCATAACTTCGCGTTTTCGGTGCTTTTCTTCCGCAGTGGCGTTATCGTTCCAGTCGGTAGAAATGCTGAATACGCCATGAGCTTGCTTCCAGATTTCATGGACGGCGGTATTATCACGCTCATCGTTGTTGGCTTGGCCGACTAAGCTTTTATCAGAAATTATCTCATTAGAAATGGGGTCTGATCTGAGAATGGCATACTCCAGTTAAATCCTGCTCCATCGCCACTCTCTAGAATCAATTCAATCAACTCATCCGTCTTGTTCTGAAGAACATCTGCTGTCAGCAACCGAGACGCATCCTGAATATTCGTGGCAATATTTGGATCTTTGAGGAATGTGTCGAGGTACATGTCCCAACTAGCTGGATATGCTGCCATTTGAGCAGAAACGCCGGGGATATTTGACAATTTCTCCAGTGGTGCGAAGGTTTTGTTGAAGTTTTCTAATGTTCCATTCGGCTGGACAAATATTGCAGAGAACCCTCCTTCGATGTTCGCGTAACCGGTAAATCCAGCTTCAGTTATAGTGGGAATAAGTTGAAGACACTGTTTGGCTACCTTCTTAAAGGTTTCGTTGCTAGTGGTATTAATTTGCGTCCACCCGATAATAAAACTTTGAGGAACATGATGTGTTTTGTAAGTCACCGAAGTGAGCACCTATTAGGAATCAGTCTTCTTGATATTTCTTAGACACTGATGGTTTTGACATACACCCCATGCATTTCCTCCTCCCCCTCGCAATGCCCAGAAGTAGTCTGGATCTGTATTATTGTTGACTGTCCGGTGAGTGCCATCAGCTGACACAATGGTCATTTCAAGAACATCTATCTCAGTTAGGAGCAGTATCTTAGACAATATGTGTAAACATACTATCAGCAGCAAGCCCGTAATAGTGAGCAAATGGCGAATGGCCACCACCGAGAACGTATCCTCCTGCAGCACCCACCGTTCGAGCAGAGCCACCAACCACGATGACGTTTCGGGCAGCAGCAGCTCGATAAACGTCTAAAAAGTCAATAAATGTTCACGTTTGTCTAAAATGGGGTGAAGTGTAATACCTAGCCATTGCTCTCCGGGTTGGATTGTGACAGCAGGAATACCAGAAGTTTCGGGTGCTGCACCTTCGGGAATGAATGAATCATGCCAATCGATACCTTTGAGATGGTGTGTCCAAATCGAGAACGATCCTTTACCGCTTGATCTTCCGAGGCTGTGTGTAATCAGCATTATATTCTATGTAGATATTGAATAGAGAAGAAGTGGCTGAAAATAAACATACTGATCATGTCCCGTATTCTTCACTACGAGGTATAAATCCTTGTCACGGGCGAAATTCACCGAGAATTGGATATCCTCGACGCTTCTTGCATCCACAGAGTAATATGGCACTACCAAAGCCTCAATACTTAATTGATTTGAATTGAGGGGGCTGGGTTTACATACCTCGTCCTTGGTCACAAGGCTGGTGGAAATCGTCCAAGTAACATTGCCCGTACTTTCCCATTTCCCAAACCAAAGCAGAATATGCACCGGACTGATTTGTACGCCAGAAGCTATTGTCCCAGTTTTTCTCCGCAATGTCGCAAGCCTGTGCGTCGTAGGAGGGTCCCTGATGACAGACTGCAGCCGAAGGGAAGGAGCGTATGAGACGACCACCAACTGTGGCATTGAGAGCTTGCCATGAGTGTTCATCAGGCCAACATTTTTCACCGAAAGTGCAGCGATGGGGTATACAGAATTCGGCGTGGGCAGGGGTTTCCAGTATTATAACTGAAATTAGAAACGCTATCAGTCTTGGAATGTACATGTTTTCGGATTAATGACACAGTTTTTATTTTCATGAACGAAACACCTGAGAGAAAGGGAAGCCATATTTATATTAGTAATTTGGAACACTTTCCGAAATTGGAATACGAGTTGGACCTCAACATCAAATATTAGACGCAGCTTACTCAGACTATATCCGCGATACGAGATTTCCTAATCCGGAAATTATATTATTGTTAGCATATCCAGATGCCTGAGGCGCCTGGTCACGTGAAGTGCAAACAGTCTTTGTCTTCCATGCCAGATTTTTTACCGCTCAACTCTCAACTCCTTACTCAACCGTCAGTTTACCAAGTTTATCTAAATTGAAGGCATAATTAGGCGGCATATATCTAACGAGCCCCAAGCATACCATCAAGACGCGACGGCGCAGCATTGAAAAGTTTCAAGGCGACATTGAAGACAAAAGGCTTACGATAGCTACTTGAGGATTTTGTGGCTCATGTCTGACTAGATGACCGGTAGAAAATCTCGATACGATATTCAAACCTTTGTCGTATTAGTGTATACCCTGGGCTAAGCGGGAGACAAGGCAGCAGCGGGCTGAGGAAGTGGTGTGGGGAGAACGCGCTCGCTTCCACTCGTATACCCCATACGGAGTGAGCATTCAAACTAGCAAAGAATTTTCAGGTCGTCGTTTTCAACGAGGCACATACACTTCGCAACCCTGGGTCAGACCAGCGTGCCGCTATATTGTGGCTAGAAGCTAACTTTAACTCACGCCTCAGCGCGACCCTCTTCTACAACTCCGTCCTTGATGTTAGAGGCTACCTGCCATTCATTTTCCGGTACCGTCCCTATTCGTTCTATTAACTGACAGACACTGGACCTGAAAAAGGGTACCAATGTGTTTGCGAAGAATGTTGCAGAGGTTGCCAAATACCTCCGATGCACCATTGAGTAGGTTGAGAAGTACGTCTTGCACTGCGGTGGTAGCGTTAAGTAGTCTGGGACACGCGCAACTAAATACAAGTCTTCTATGATGTCGATCAATATTATCAGAGTGTCCTAATTTGAGACTAGAATTATCTTGCGAGTATATCTATTTGGAAGCGGATACATCGATGATCTTTGGGTGCATACTGTTGTATTATAGGCACATGAAATAAATGCTGAATATGTTGGTTACGTAGACGGGACGGAAATTATAGTATTTGCAGATCAAGATGCTATTCATTTAATAAATTAAATGACGATTATTCTCAATCTACGTTAGTTTTTTCAACGATCAATGAAAGAGGGCCATTGTCAGGTCAAAAGCTTCAAAAAGCCTGCAAGAAGAACCCCTCATTTAGGAATAACAGCTTCGAGTATCGGAACCATCCCCTTCTTGAACGTTCTATGACCACTATTCAGCAGTCGCGATAATGGTGTCCAACCGTCGTTATCTCTCGAGTTGACATCAACCCGGCCTGTCGCAAGCAGCCGCTGTACTATCATCTCGTGTGATACTGGTTTCAAGCTCTCCGTTGGGTTTACCGCCCAAGATAGCGGTGTTCGACCGGATTTGTCCTTCATGTTAATGTCAACATCTCCTCTCCCGAGGAGTAAACTAGTAATGTTCACATATCCCAGATCTGCTGCCCAAGAGAGTGGTGTTCTACCATCAACATCCCTTGAATTAATGTCAATTTTGTCGTTTTCAACCAGTAATTTTACCATGCCCTTTTCTTCATTGATGGTTGCCCATAATAATGGCGTTTGTCCTTTGTGGTTTTTCGGATTAATGTCAATCTCGTCGATTTCAAGCAGGAACTTCACCATATCTTTCTGCTTTCGGATAACTGCCCATGAGAATGGTGTACGACCTTCCTTATCCCTTAAGTTCTTACCAATATCGCTTTTCTGGAGCAGTGACTTGATTATGGTTCTCTGTCCGCTAGCAGCTGCCCATGAAACCGGTGTTCGGCCATCATTATCGCATGATCCAACATCAGCTTGGTTCGTCTTGAGTAGTAGATTGACCACAGCGATAAGTCCATTAGAAGCGGCCAACGATAGTGGTGTCCGGCCCCTGTTATCCTTGGAATCAACGTCAATCTTGTCGGTTTGAAGCAGTAACTTGACTATAGCGTTCTGTATTTCACGATTTCTTTTCGCGGGGGAAATTGCCAATGACAATGGTGTCCGACCCTCATTATCCTTTGAGTTAACGTCGATTTCTCGTGTCTGTAGCAACAATTCGACTATTGCTTCATTCCCACTGATTACTGCCAATGACAATGGCGTCTGACCCTGATGATCCTTTGAATCTACTTGGACAATGCCGGTTTTAAGTAGCTTTTTGAATATCTTCACATTCCCTTTCACTGCCGCGTGTGACAGTGGCGTCATGCCATACTTATCTTTTGAATTGATGTCAACCTTAGCTGTTGCAAGTAGCATTTTGACAATACTCGCATGACCCTTCCGAATAACACGTGGAAGAGGGGTCGCTCCATTGGAATCTTTGAAGTCTGGATTGACCAATCCCTTCACGAAGAACTTGGCCATTTTATCACTTCTTTCGTTTTGCGCGTGATACAGGGCGTAGCATAGAGCATCTGTGCGATTGACATCCTCCAAGCTCGGGTCAGCCCCCTTCTCCAATAGCATCTGAACCACCACGTTATGCCCTTTCTCGACTGCATAAAACAGGGCAGTTTTGCCAAAGCAATCTCTTTGGTCTAGTGTGACTCCTTCCTTCAGAAGGGACCGTACCACATCTTGATGGTTACTTTTTGCTGCATATGACAGAAGCGTCCGACAACTTTTGGGATTTGTCGTATGCGGGCATGCTCCGTTCTGCAGGAGCAACTCAACTATTGTCTTGTGGTCATATTGTGCCGCCAACCCCACTGGTGTCTGTCCATCGCTATTCGTGATATGGATATTTGCTTGTTGGCTGATGAGTTTTTTGGTAGTTTCTATGCGTCCATATCTTGCAGCCCACTCCAGTGCCGAACTGCCAGAGAATTGTATGTTGTGGCGATAGAGAGTGGTGTTTAAGAGATGGAATAGGCGGCGATTCGTCCGAACAAAGGCGTTGAGATCTCGTTCAGAATCGAGGGCCTCTGATATGAGCAGAAGCAGCTCGCTTGGTAGTGTAGAGAGCGCCATGGTTGAGAACAGCTCGAGAGCACATGGAAGTAAGGAGAATGTAGAGGGAAGAGAAGTGTAGAAGGAATGGGAGTGTAGAAGAAGAGTGCGGAAGGGAGAGGAGTGTGGAGAGGAAGAGATGAATCTCAGGGAAGATTGTATTGGTGGGAAACAGAGAAGCGTTAATGAGAAGTTCCCAAATAGAAAGAGCGATGCTGGATTCTACAGACGGCGTCGATGTAAACAAGAGATGGTTGCAATCAAGTAGCCCCGTAAGAGCCATGTGGTGGAGTTGTGAGAAGAACACTCTGCCGTGTTATTGCGAGATATCTCAAATGGTAGAGTTGTTTGAAAAATATCAGTTGACGTGCCGTATCAACGATACTTTAAGATTGGGATGGTTTCAAATGTTGTCGTATCACAGTTATTCGATTTTACTATCAAACAGCCATATGAGAGATAACTTAAAATGAGAGGATTGAGTGAAGAATGTCTGTGGATCCGCTGTATCATTGATATTTGAAGCTTGTGGTTGCTTATAACGAAATATCTCAATATGAGAGTTAGGCAAAGAGCGTCTATGAATATGCTGTAGCAATACTACTTCAAGGTTGGAATAGTTTCATAACTTCACTGTCTGACTGAGTAGTTACCGACTACTCTCATACTACTCTCATCCACTACATGCATTACACCAAGACCGAAACAATATACTTCATTGAGTGCTAATATCACCTCAAAGTGGCCACAAGCTGAACACAATCTCTCTTCCAATCGGAAATCAAATCATGCCATACCTAATTCCCAAGTTTCAAGCCACCAATAGGTACTACCAAGTATAACTAAAGCAGAACAAAGGACGCCCAAGCAGTTGCGATTAAGTAGGATGAAATAGCATTTCAATAAACATTTAATTCGATTTTATCAAAAGCAGAGAAACATCGAATAGTCAACAATAAATAATAATAATAAAAAGGGGGGTGTGGAGAGCTAGATATAAATCTCATTATCCCACGTCAAGAGATACAGCGACGAGAGAACACGGCATGAAGGGGATTCGAGACGGGGAGTTGTTTATGTAGTTTGCAGACGGCATCGTTCGTTAGGAGGAAGTAAGTAAATAAAGAAGAAGTCTTTATAAGAAACACACACATCGTGGGATCAATCTTGCAAAAGTGTCCTTTGTATAGAAAGAAAAAAGGAAGGAAGCGCTGCTAATCATCACAGCACAGATTTCGCTTTTTTTCCCCTCATCTCGACTGATAATTCTGGCCGACGCAAACTTCTTCAGCGAGATAGGCCCCTCGTACATGTCCTCATTCATTATCTAATCACGACCAGTCTTTCTCAAAGTCTCGGCGAGCCATTCCAGACCCTCGTACAGACCGTCGCCAGTGGTGGCGCAGGTAGATTGGATGTACTGTAACTATTAGAGCCTGTCATCTTGGATACAAAGGGGAACATACCCAGGCACGGCGAGTCAAGCTCTGCAGACCCAGCTGCTGGGTGATTTCGGCGGGGCTCATTGCATTCTAGTCGAGTCAGTGGCTTGTACAGGAAACACAGCAGAAGATAAGAAAACGTACCGGCAAGTCCTGCTTGTTGGCGAAAACAAGGAGAAGAGCATCGCGGAGTTCGTCCTCGTTGAGCATGCGCTGCAATTCTTCGCGGGCTTCGACAATACGGTCACGATCATTGCTGTCGACAACGAAAATGATACCCTGGGTGTTCTGGAAATAGTGTCGCCACAGGGGACGGATCTTGTCCTGGCCACCGACATCCCACACGGTGAATTGGATGTTCTTGTATTCGACAGTCTCGACGTTGAATCCTGAGCCGTTAGTCAGATTACCACATGTTGACTGTCTTGTCTGACGAGTAAGGGACTAACCGATGGTCGGGATGGTAGTGACGATTTCACCGAGCTTCAATTTATACAGAATGGTGGTCTTTCCGGCGGCGTCGAGACCGACCATCAGAATACGCATTTCCTTCTTGCCCCATAGTCGGTCGAGGAGTTTCGAGACTACCAAACCCATCTTGGCGGTGGTGGAGGGATCGGCTGGGGGGACGGTACGGTTAGTGATGTATCGCACAGCAAGGATGCGAGGACGAGACTAGGGAAGGGAGAGCGATAAATGATGCAGCGACAGGGGATGCAGGCGAGCTGAACGGAGAACGGAGTAGGGGAGAAGTGGGCTGGTGTATTGTTTGACCGAATTGTTGCAATTGTGGGGGCAGGTGTTTTTCTGGTTTGGACCCGTGTCCACAACAGTTGACCACAGGAATATCACAGTCTCAGCGTCGAGAGAGAAGACGACTTACGTTGGAAAAGCGGATGAGAGAGAGGCGCTAGATGAGGTCGCTGCTGTGGTGGGCAGCAGTTCAGTGTCGCAGGGAGTGGTGTGGTGTTGTGTTCACTGTTCAGGTAAGGCAGAGTGTGAAATTTCGGCCAGGTCGAGAAATGCAGTGGGCAGCGTAGCCTCCGTCACTAGCGCCAGCCAATCAGCCACCTCGGTACAATATTATGATTGGATTCTGTTCACTTACCACGCACGAGCTTGTGAACGTGCAGATTGTTCTTTAACAATACGTACTCCTCGCAGGCTCACGATATCTTCGGCAGGCCGCACGGTGTCTCTGCAGCTGTACAGGGCAACTTTATGGTGCCGTTAACCTATAGGCAGCTATCGCCGCGAAAGGACACGGTGTTTAGCCGACCTTTGGATTGTTAATGTTATCTGTGGCGCTGCTCTCAAATGGCCCACGCGATCGAGTCGAATCGGCGTTAGGCGCCAATATTCCCTATCTTGCTAGCTACAATATTATTGCGAGGCCCGCAATAGGCAATTGCATTGCACTTGCCTGGCTATATATTATAACTATTATATTAGCATTCTCAACAAGCCCATCCCCTATCCCCACATCACTGACCCGTGCCTGGAATATGGCGTCATGGCTCGGTTCCTAGAATGTGAAAATGCGACACGACCGCTCAACATTACAACATTATTGTGATGAGCAATGGGTATAGTGTATATTATATTAATGCTAATACTAGAATAACAGTTCTGTCGTTGAATCACCGCTCTCGCTTCTGCGTCATCAACTGTCGAGACCGCTGCCGTGACGAGTTGAAGAATGACCTGGTGACAGACCGATAGATGGTCTTTCCCTCGACCGTATCGCTGGCGTACCCAAACACCGCGAGGAGGAGAATCGATAGCACCATCAACACCGCAAACGAAATCCAGTAGGCGCGCGCCGTCAGCGGACCGGCGACGTCGGGCAGTTGGATCGAAAAGTAGCCCGTCATGAGACTGATGGGGAGGAATAGAATGGTTGCTTTGGCGAGGAGAATCGTGATGCGCGTTAGTTTCTCGACGGCTTGGGAGTCTTTGAGCGCGATCAAGTTGAAGTTCTGTCAAGTCAGGTCAGCATAATACCGTTAACCATTATTGTATGATTTGGCTCAGCATACCAAAAACGTAAGCGTTTCTTTCTCCGCCAGACACGCCTCAATCTCGCTCAGGCAGTACAACCGAATCCGATCTGCGAGTCGCTCAAAGCGCCCAACGGCAGCAGAACTCAGCTGCACGCCGGCTGTATCATCGTAAGCTTCAAGGAAACTCGTCGCACTCAGCGACATGTGGTGTGCATCGAGATTGTCCGTATCACTGAAAACACTCATATTCCGACGATGGCCCGGCCTTCGCGTTCTAGATTCATCGCGCAGTAGGCGCTGCCGTTGGAGAATGCGCGTAACCACCAGCTCATAGCTTTGATATAGACGCTTCAGAATGGCTAGGCGGCGGCCGAGCCAGTGCAGGTCGTCGACGAGGTCGACCATGGGTTTCTGCAGCATGTCTTTTCTCTGTCACGCTGTTAGTAATTGTAGTCAATCAGCAGGATTGTTCAACCCACCAGCCCCTCTAACATCGCGCCGTACATGTGCTCTCTCCGAGACACCAGCCCGTAACTAGACACCCAGTCGTCAAAAAGATAGTAGACGATCAAACTCGGCCCATCTTCCTGTTTGATACTTGCCTCATCCTGCTCGGTATCGGAGAAGTGGCGGACGCGCACAGTCACCAGGGACTCACTATCGAAACGAGAGGCGTGGTATTTCGACGCACCGGAGAATATCGATATGATATTCCGCCTTGCGGCGCCTAGAATGGCTTGTTCTTCTTGGACGTTGGGCTTGTAAGGCCCTGGGAAGGGGTTTTCTTGGAGAGATATGATGGTGCCTGTACAACTGTTAGACAGTGGCTATGGAACGGCTAAACAATTCCTTACCATCATCACACAAGATAATCCAACTCCATAGTCGTTTCCCATCCGGCAGACCTTTGCCGTTACTAATAGCCCTGTCCCCGATCTTCACCGCATACAGCGAATTATACCCAATACACGTATCTGCTGAAATCAGCCCCTATCCCGCACCAAAAATACAAACAGACTTACATCTCGGTCCATAATCCACTGAGCAGAAATGCCAGATATGGTTGATAATATGCGAAAACGTCAGTCCGCTCATAGACAGCGTCTCCGTACTTGCTGTCGCAGGGTCAATGGTTTTCAGATGATACGCGTTTTCGAGGTCATTGCCAACCGGCTTTGCGGTGCTGGTTGCTTTCTCGTCATCTTGTTGTCCAGAAGGGACATTTTCGTATGCTTTTTCTTCTGCGATTGGAGACTTTGTTTTTGGCACAGGATCTGTGCAGAGCATTTTGATTAACCTGTATGATAGGCCATATTGTTGTGCGAGGATCTATAGCATGTTAATGCGGTGGTTTATTGAAGGTGAATAGTAGAGCATACTTTGATAGACTCTTTTTGCGCCTCGGGGGCCCAGAGATGACTTGACAGTCAGAATTTTCTTTCAATAGCAACATCTAATCTACTTACATCCATCTCGTCCCGAAAAACCTCGGCCTCTAAACGACTGTCAATTCCAATTCAAATCAACGCAAAAAAATAAAGAAAATAAAGCCATACCGGTTCATTAATCAACGCAGTAAATTCATTTTCATCCAAATCCCCCGCGCACCACGCATCCTCATTGCCAAAATCCAAGACGAAATTCCGTGTCGCAGGATTCACCAGCAGTTTCTGTTTCTCTTGGAAACTGGCTGCATCGTCAATATCGCTGAACCTCTCTGCCAGATTGGAGTCATTCACGGAAATGCTCTTATAATACCCAGCAGCCGTCTGGACAGTGGTTGGAGCTTGTCTGGTGGTCTCCATCGTGAGCAGTATACAGTGTGGGTCGGGAGTAAACAGAGCAATAAGCGCTATTTCAGGGCTAAAAGGGTATAAACGCTCTGGAAAAACAGGAGAAGAAAAGAGAACAACTGAGCAGAAAGTAAAGCAATAAATACTATCAGTGGCTTATGAATTGATGTACTCGAAGTGTATGTTACAAGAAATTGATTTGGTTGTTGTCGGTCAGATGAGGCGAATCAGCTGCCTACCGCAGGCGCCAGCGCCTTGCCTAGTCAAAGCTAGCCAAGAACCCAGCACTTTATTCCAGCGACGAGAGTAATTGTATTTTTCTGGTATGATGCGTCACGTTACGGGAATCAAATGACCATCTCCGCATATTTATTTGGTCTCGAGTGTTTCGACGTCATTGCCAGTACTTTCAAAGCCCTTGCAGCACAACATTGAATGGACGTCGACTGATGCGATATTCGTGACTAGCATCTTAATAAAGTCTTCAATGTTTCAAATGTTCTTGAGAGTGTCATCTTACAAGGATTTTCTTATTATTGTTCCGATCGTCATCCTTTAACGTTCTCCAGCTAATGGTAGTATTAACTGAGTCACCAGAATACGAGCTCTAGTGACATGTATCCACTAGCCAATCAGAAACCCAGCAAGGCGCAGCATGAAAATGCCTCGAGATTATGACTCTTACGCTGAACAGATGTACAAAATGGCACCATTGAAAGGTTCAAAAGCCAATGCATCCGTCTCCTTGGAGTCAATTAAAATTTCAGATTTCGTTGCAATCTTTTGTTCCCTAGAACAATGGCAAGGTATAGGACTGCCATGAATGACATTTACCTCCTTCCAAATGGAGGACAATCCTCAGACGAGTTACTTCGGCTCGTCGAGCGCTACAAAACAACACGACTAACGGCCCTGCAACTTGACCCAGCTGCCTTCGGATCAACATACACTCGAGAGATCCAGTTCACGTACGAGACCTGGCTCTCGCGCATCCAGAACCCGCTGAGCAAGACGTTCCTATCTATTGATAGCACAAACACCAACCAGACAGACGAGATCCCGCTTGCACAGAGTGAATGGGTCGGCACATTGACGGTCCTTGGACCGAAGGTTACTTCAGAAGGAACAACGCTTTGGAATACGTTTACCAGAGAAAACTCGACTCATACCCCAGATTTGGCGGCCGTCAGGAACAGTAATGCAATCTATATGATGGCGGGAGTGTTTGTCCATCCGGGCTATCGCCGACAAGGTCGTGCTCAAAGGCTCGTCGACGCCGCGGTCAAGAGAGTCAGGGAGGAAGCAAAGTTTGCTGGTGCGTCGAGAATTACTATTATTCTGCAGGTCAACACAGAGAACCAAGCGGCCGTACGTTTGTATGAGACAGCTGGGTTTTTGGCAGTCAGCAATGAAAAGACAGACTGGCGAGGGATGACTTGGGAGGAGCAGTTGACGTTTTAGAAATGCCCGTAAATAGACCAATCAAAATGCATAGACATTCCAAGTCACGTGTTATTGTAAGCGCAAAAATTTAGGGCATGCTAGGCCCAGAGCGGAATAGCGTAGCGGATTCCCACAAGCGGGGAGCCCTTCTTTTCTGCCGCTCTCGCCTCTCAACGAATTTGATCCCAGTAACATTCAGCGCAGAGCCACACCATAAGAATCAAATATTCTTCTGGAAGACTGTAGCCATCATGTCTAAAATCACAGTCGGTGAGATTCACCTTTTACGAAATCTATGTCCCTGTCTAACCAACTATTACAGCCGGAGTGCGCCAAAATGTCCAACAGCTTCTGGATTACTCCCAGAACGAGAAGAAGCGTAACTTTCTCGAGACCGTCGAGCTGCAGATCGGCCTGAAGAACTATGATCCCCAGCGTGACAAGCGTTTCTCCGGCACCATCCGCCTGCCCAACGTTCCTCGCCCGGGTATGAGCATTTGGTATGTTTTATATAATGAGATGTGAAAAAAAGAAGTTGGCTGACCGAAACAGCATTCTTGGTGACCAGCACGATCTCGACCGTGCCAAGCACCTCGGAATCGAGTCCATGTCCGTCGACGACTTGAAGAAGCTCAACAAGAACAAGAAGCTCATCAAGAAGCTCGCCCGCAAGTACGACGCCTTTGTCTCGTCTGAAGTTCTGATGAGACAGATTCCTCGTATCCTGGGTCCTGGTCTTTCCCGAGGTGAGATCCACAACATCGCAAATATAGGAATGTTAGTGCTGATATGGTTATTTAGCTGGTAAATTCCCCACCCCCGTCTCCCACGGCGAGGATCTCGAGGCCAAGGTCACCGAGGTCAAGTCGACCATCAAGTTCCAGCTGAAGAAGGTTCTCTGCTTGGGCGTTGCTGTGGGCAACGTTGCCATGACTGAGGATGAGCTCATCTCCAACATCATGTTGGCCATCAACTACCTTGTCTCCTTGCTGAAGAAGGGCTGGCAGAACGTTGGAAGCCTGGTCATCAAGGCTTCCATGTCTCCTCCCAAGCGTCTGTACTAGGTTCTGTGCTTTGTTGCATTTGGATCGTGGATGGGAAAAATGAACTTTTGCGAGGTTGTTTAGGATTAGCTAGGTCCGCATGAATCTGATGAATTTCGTCGCAATTTCCTCCTATTCGTTGTAAAATTGAAAAGATCTGATTTGGTAAATAAAAGTACACTATGTAATAGCAATAGGTATATGCCTCATTGCATGCCCTCCATCAATTCCGTCTTATCCAATATCATGCCTCTCATTCCAATAAACTCGCGAAGATTATCCCATTCCTCGCCCTCCTCCTCTCCTCTCCTCCACACATCCTTGAAACCCCACGCAATAGCGACCTTATCCAGCGCCGCCCTCTCCTCCTCCCTCAGCCAACGGTACCGCAACGGAATCCCCGATGCCCAAACGACACGCTCCATCTGGTCGTTCGAAGTCGCAATTGCGATTACTCCAACTGCAGATGTGAAGCCAACATACGCCAATGTCGCGGCAAACGCTATGCCAGTAGCCGTCCCCGGATCCATAGTATTCTGTATCCCTGCCGCCCATGTTGCAACCGCATACGAAGCCACTGGCGCTGTGACTAATCCTGTCAGGGGGGCAGCGGCCTTTTTGAAGACCTTGGCGCGGTAGAAGGCAGGTGCGCAGAAGGTGGTGTCGATAATGGCGAGAGCCAGCGGTAAATTTCTTTGCGCCACAGCAACGTCCAGTGCCATGTTCGCAAGTTCTGATGGAACCGCGTTTTTTACATCTTTCGGGTTCTGTTTGCTGAACTGAACCGGCAATGTGTCGGCCAGTGGGATAGGCTTGTTGGCGAAGAGCGTGAATATTTGCGGGAATCGGTCTGGGCGGTTCGAAATGGTCTGGATCTTAGTATAGAGCTTGAGGATATCTGTTGTAATGAAGACTTTTTCGTCTAAGAGCACCTTGTCGACGATACTGGATATGGTGTCTGTAAACTTGAGCTGTTTGCTTTTGTCCACTGTCGAAGTGTATGACTCAGCCTGTTCGGCAAGGTCAAGCAAAGACGACGTTGCATTGGATGACTCCTTGTCATGCTGCTCCTTGGGATTGGCGAGCGATTCGACAGTGTGCAGACATGTTTGCAGCAATTTGACCACGGTCTCTTCGGGGACCGCTTTGTCGGACTCTTCTATCGCACGAAAACTCTCCTGCAGGTCCCACAGAACAGGATGGGCGTGGACTGGTAGCTCTGAAGCCGTAGACTGGTTTGCATTGTGCGCGCTTGGTACTGTTCTTTTGGCGTAGCTCCGTCTAATGAGGTTGTTGCCAATTTTTCGAGATGGCTCGCTCCGGAACTTGGAGGCGGAAACGGCAGGTCTGGATGAGAATTGGCAGAATTGGCAGATGGAGCTTTTTGCTCGAAGGGCTCTGTGAGGACGTATATTGAGTCCTCTCATGGCGCCAGGCTGCATTGACAGATCAACGATGTTGCGTTGCGATCATTGATGTTGATGAGGCTGCCCGCCAGCCACTCACATCCGCCGAAAACGCTACCGCCTGAGGTCCGCACCGCCACAGCCTCGCCGCCTCTCCGCCCGCGATACGACTGACAGGCATCGTTGATGACTTGACTGTCAAAGTGTCAACTTCTTCTCTGAACTCGCTCTCTCTTCCCCCCTCTCTTAATCCCGGCAAGTCAATCGGACTCACTGCCCTGATTTGGTATACCACACACCCGTTGCCGACCTGCCTTGCGGGTATCTGGGCTTGTTGTTGCCTGCATCTTCTCTCGGCCTCACCCATCGCACCTACTTGTCCACGCTCATCAACACTCCTTCTCTCGACCCAAGATGCCTCCCCCTCCCCCTCCCCCCCCTCCACCGCCTCCAGGTGTGGGTGCTCCTCCACCTCCTCCTCCACCACCCCCTGGAGGAGCTATCCCTGCTGCACCACCAAGAGGCGCTGCTCAAGATAGGGTACGGCCCAACGTCGACGTCATTGTCTATGATCTACTGTAACTGACATCTTGTACAGAGCGCACTATTTGCAGACATCACCAAAGGAGGCCCGCGACTGAAGAAAGCAGTAACAAATGATCGATCTGCTCCAATGGTTGGCAAGGAAAACAAATCCAGTGGTCCACCCCTTGGAGGAGCTCCCCCAGTTCCTGGCATGCCCAAGCCGCCAGGTGGTTTGGCACCTCCAGCCCCTTCAGCAAATCGGTTAAGAAGTAATAGTGATTCGGGAGCTGGCTCGAGTGATGCGGGGAACGCTGCAGCTCCGCAGTTAGGTGGTCTATTCGCTGGCGGGATGCCGAAACTGCGAAGTCGAGGAGGCGTAGACACCGGCGCCAACAGAGATGCATCATATCTTTCAGATTCTGAAAGCTCTCGTCCAAGACCGCCATTGGGAGGAGCGCCAAAACCTCCAGGGTCTACCCCTCGACCACCCGGCGCACGACCGCCTCCTGCGCGTCCTAGTAGCGAAGCACCAGCTGTGAATCCATTGGTTGCTAACCTGCGAAAACCACCTCCAAGGCCTGGGTCACGACCGTCATCTATGGTATCGGCAATGTCAATCAAATCTGCACCCGAAATCCCTCCACCACGAGCTCCTCCTCCGATTCCAGGTGCTACCAGACCCCCTCCTCCGCCTCCGTCAGTTGCATCAAGAAAGCCGTCCGGTACGGCTCCTCCCCCTCCGCCATCAACATCCAGTCCTGCGCCTCCAAGTGCACCACCTCCACCTCCAAGTGCTGCTCCTAGGCCTCCGGCATCTGTTCCTCCTCCGCTACCCCCATCTACCGCGCCATCTATACCAGCTGGTGCTTCTGCTGCTTCAGCATCGATTGCCATGCAGGCTGCTAGAAATGCCTTTGGCAACTCTCATACACCCTCAGCTCCTCCTCCTCCTCCGCCTCCTCCTCCTTCATCTACACCCTCATTACCTGCAGCTCCTCCGCCGCCTCCACCCCCCCAACTGCCCCTCACGCTCCTCCTCCACCACCCTCACTAGCACCGCCAACAAGGTCGCCTGCGAGCTCTTCACCAATGTCATCAAGGCCCACATCATATGACGATCACTCGACACCCGCAGTGCGTTCGACATTAGACCCAAGCGCCTATACTCTCACCAATGGAAGCTCCACTCCGGCATCACACTCCCCATCTCCAGGTCCTGGCGGCCGTGTTCAAGACACCCGTTTCAAGTTCCAAGACGAAAGTTTATTCCCGAAACCACGGCCATTCGCTGGGGGTATTCGGAAATACCGTGCCGGCAGAGGCAGCAGTGTGCCGCTTGATCTTAGCTCGATAGGATGAGCAGTAGCTGAGATTGACTTCGTTGCATTCGTTCACTTAAAAGCTGGGCAGTGATTAGGATATTTGTATAGCATGAGTTGAATACGGTTAGCATTGATCATTGTGTGGATACCCGGGATGGTGGTGTCATTATATATAGTTATACGATATCATCTGCCTAATCAAATTACCAATGTACGCATAGACAATCATCTCGGCGTGGTGTCACTAATGTAAATAAATTCGGCCCGATGTCATCATCTGGACGCGTGTATTGGTGCATGTACTTTGCCTAGCACATATGAGGCACTTGTCCTCGGATATCATACTGTAAATGCTCTACCCTCCATCACGGCTCCTAACTTCAATTTTCATAACTCGATCGAAGCCGCACTAACATAGGCGCTGAGCATGGATTCAATTCCCGCGCCGAAACGCTCATCCATACCCTCACAAGAATTCATTTGATCCGCCCATATAATCTCCCTCTTTAATTGTTTCCGTTAAACATTCTTCGTCCCCCGAATCACCTCCCCCTTCACTTTCTCCCAGTCTATATCTGCATCAACCGCCTCATCCACCTCGCCGCAAACAACTACATTGTCGCCTCGTATCAAATACAAGCCATGCTCAATCTCCGAGCTGGGCTCGGGGTCATCTGGTGTACGGATTATGCGCTCGACGGTTTGTGTCAGGACGAGGTTTGTGAGTTGGTCGGTGGAGAGCAGCGTGCCGAGGAGTGTGCGGCCGTCAACGGTTATGACGAGCACTTTTTCTGGATAATGTTAGCCGAAGAAAAGAAACGAAGGAGAGAGAACAGCGTACTGTTGATGTAAGAGCTTAGGGACATGGCGCTGGCTGAGCTGGCTGGGAAGACTCGAGAGCCAGTGATGTGATGCGCGAGCTCTTCCGCGCGGGATGGCTGGTCTTTTCCCTCTCTTGTGTACCCCGCAGTTGGATAGATAATTGAGTCGGGTTCAGTGGGATATAGAGCGCGACAGTTCACGTCAATTAGTGGATAAGTGAATAAAAGCAGGTCTAATTAATTCTTGTGTTTAATGAGTATTCTAGGTGCGGAGCAGCGGTGATTGGGTCAAGCTTTCCTTCCCCACACTGGCTTGCTGACTGTGCCCTGTTAGCACGATCAGCCTCATGTCGCATCAGGCTGTCTTTCTTTCTTATTCTTTTCTTTCTTTTCTATTCTTTTTTTTTTATGATTATGAAATGAAATGACGATCTTGTAATTTCTATCTAGATGCATCTGCCCGGGGAAGCTGGGAATGTAGATCGAGTATTACCTTCTTTACACAGCTTGTGAATCGAGATACCAAAGATATTAACATCATTCTGCACGACTTACGCAGCTCAACCCACCGTTCTTTCCCCGCTTATGCCGACCTTGCTGGACGTCCTCTATCCCTGGCCAGTGGTCTCCACGCTCGCGCTGAATCTCGGCGTGGGCGACTTGCTCCAGCTTTCTCGTGTGAACAGCGCTTACCGGGCCGTACTACACGGCTTTCCGCGTCCTGAGAGACATGATAGTAATAGACATGATAGTGCGAGTGTTCGGGTTCGCCCGGATATATTCGTTGGTCACCACCAGAGCTCCTACTGGAAGAACCTAAAATCAACCGCGCAGATGTCCTGCGCCGAGCCGCATCATCGCCGAGGCTATCGTGCGGAGCTGTGCCGGTACTGTTCGTTTCCGATATGCGACGCCTGCGTAGTCCGGGTGCGTCTTCCCTTGCCTATATTCAATAGTATGTACGTTAGTTAACGGATACCCAGGAATCATTCGACCAGGTCACAAGCGCCTGGCGCACGAGAACGCGCCATCTATGCGTCTCATGCTGGGCTGACGGCACGCCCCATCAAAACCGCACCTATAGTGGCCCGCCAGCAGAGACGACACCATACACCTTTGCGCCTGGCGAGGGCGATTTCTGCCAATGTACGGCTGCCGACGGATGGATCTGTGCGGAGTGTCGCAGGAAGCAGTGCACGGATGTCGGCGAGCAGCGAGAGCGATGTTTTGCAGAGGGCTGCCAAAACAAAGCTGGAATTGAGAAGGAGAGGAGAAGTGTTTGTTTGTGGTGTGATTTGCCGTGTATCAATCGCGCACCGCTGAATATAGCGGCTGCTACACTGTCGACGCGCATGGAGTTGGTGGGTGATATGGCGAGGAGCAGCAGTATGTAAGAATTCTACGTATACATTATAGATATGTAGAGTCGGTATCCGGGTTACATGTGTATTATTTAATAGAGAACAATGGCCTGGGATGACACCTTTACTTAAGATGGAAAGAGGATGCATATGGCATCTTTGTCTGAAAATACACTCGATGCAAGCAGCCAACTACATGATGAATCAATTAATAGTTTATGTAAGTTAAAATTTGAATGATTGTCCTACAGCACATATATCAATTGATACAGAGAGATTCGAAACCTTTATGTCGAACTATATTTGGTTAGAACCACGTCTGAAACGACTGAATGAGTACTGAATTTATAATATATTACAGTCCAACTTTTGGGCTAGAATCCTAGTCTTTATGTGATTTCCTTCCAGTTCCCGGTGTTAATGTACATGGTTGTCCAGAAAATAACATTGAATATTTCAACTTCAAGTCGAATTGAAGATGACTACAATGGATGCTTAAAAATCTCATTGTGAGAAAATCCTACATAAGTATAAATAATGTGAAATATCTCGAATGGTTAATAATCCATTGATAGCCACATCTTAGATAATGTATATTGTTGCAAGTATTGAACTTTTCATTTTTTGAGAAAGAGCGTCATAATGGTAGGAACATCAATGAAGTAAACAAGTAATGAGCGAACTCGCAAGCACACCAATAGGTTGCCACACTAATATTCTCTTTCTACCCCACCCACCTACTACAATATGTAGATACATAATAGTTGCAGATAGAGGGCATTCCCGAACTTTTCATTGTTTCTCCCCTGATGTTGGTAGGAGGTGTGGTCGCATAAATAGACTTGCTAGGGTAAAAGTTAACATCAGCCGTATCTAACATAGAAAAGCAAAGATAGGGAGTACCAAGGCCGTTTAATGCCCCAAACTGAAAACTCTCTCAACGAGACCCTCGGCACCACAAAGAGGGTCAATGATATAGGAAAGTTTGCCGAAAAGCCCACCACGATTGTGTTTGGAGTCAAAGTCCTGGAAGCAGTATAGAAACTGACAACTAGCCTGGGATCCATCGTTTCCCTGGTCTACTGATGTAAGGGAACGGCGGACACATTCGAACGCTTCGTCTGCTTCCTGCTGGGTAACTCGAGCAGCTGAGGCGGCTGTCAACAAGATCGCAAAGGTGGCAAGAGAGAGCTTCATGATGGTGCCTATATGATAATAAAATTTATTAGAATATAACGCCATTATTTCAGAGCAGTAGATTATACCTGCTAGATATTCTTGGAATTCCTTTGAAGTTAAAGCCGACTTCTCTTCTCTGGACTGATGGTAATTGCCGTTTGTAGGTTGTTTATTCGGATGATCAGTAACCGTCTCAATGACGGGATCAAAGATTATATAGGTGCCGTTTCAGATAGGGGGCAAAAATAGATATAATTCTTCGTCCTTGCCTTTCGTAGTTCTGAGGATTTTGGTGGACTGAGTGAACCCATTCAAGAAATTCGCTAATGCTGTGTAATATGTAGACGGTACACATGACCTATGCTCAGGGTAGTAATAATCTACGGATAGCTCTATATTTCATAGTATCAGCCAGCCACAAGATGATCACGTTGCTTTTGCGAAGCAAGGAGATACTTGTGAAAAGCAATTCTAGGTGCCGTGCAGATGCAGTCTCTGTTATGTACTTTCAACTTGTTAAAGCACATTTAGAGCAACTACATATTTGGTAATTGAATATTAAATATCGCAAATAGTGGGTCTTATATTTTGTTGAATTTTAGTGCATGAAGAGAACCTGTCATGAATTTTATGGCTAGCTGATCAACCCAGTTTACTTATTAAACATGCAGATATCCCTTACTTTTTACCATAATAATGCAGTCATTTGTGGTACAGGAGGGAATTAAAGGTAGTTCCAAATATGTCACTTGACATATGTAATGACTTTAAGTCCGATTTACGTTATTATATTGTGTTTATTCTGATGTCATAAGAATCCGGAGCAATTGAGACGGCGACTAGCCCTTACCTTCATTGACGGTTCTCAATATTGAGACATTTATGTTATGCTAGGGATCAGCATTTCATCGTGCTTAAAGAAACGAATAGAATAGGGTAGAGAGAAGTCAGTGGAGAATATGACACACTTTGTCACACATTAGGTCATTTATTGAATTATCTAACTTTGAGCTATTCTATCTATAAAAGTTAGAAGTAATTTCAACTTCAGTTCAGGTCTATCAACCCACCTTGTCCTCTCATAAATCCAAAGGTGTCAAGAATAATCAACCGAGTCATCACTTAAACAACAGAAAAAATGATTAAACCACAGACAACTCTACTATTTTTACTTCCTATATCTGCGTCTCTGGTGGCTAGTTTTCAACAAGGCCTGCCTTCTAAGGGAACTGCTCAGGTACCACTACGCTATATCGAGTGGGAGCAAGTTATTGAAGACGGATCTATGGTCTACAAGGCGACGTCCGACAGACCGTTGGAATGTTGCCCCTGTAGACCAGTAGGTTCTGGGCAAGGAGTTTCTGGACAGGACTTTCAGTACTGGGATGGTAAAGGGCCGGGTGGAAGAGGTTCTGGACAAAGAGGGTCTGGACAAGGTGACCAGTTTTGGGATGGTAAAGGACCAGGAGGAAGAGGTTCTGGTCTAGGAGGTTCTGGACAAGGCGACCAGTTCTGGGATGGTAAAGGACCGGGTGGAAGAGGTTCTGGTCTAGGAGGTTCTGGACAAGGCGACCAGTTCTGGGATGGTAAAGGACCGGGAGGAAGAGGTTCTGGTCTAGGAGGTTCTGGACAAGGCGACCAGTTCTGGGATGGTAAAGGACCGGGTGGAAGAGGTTCTGGTCTAGGAGGTTCTGGACAAGGCGACCAGTTCTGGGATGGTAAAGGACCGGGAGGAAGAGGTTCTGGTCTAGGAGGTTCTGGACAAGGCGACCAGTTCTGGGATGGTAAAGGACCGGGAGGAAGAGGTTCTGGTCTAGGAGGTTCTGGACAAGGCGACCAGTTCTGGGATGGTAAAGGACCAGGAGGAAGAGGTTCTGGACTAGGAGGTTCTGGACAAGGCGACCAGTTCTGGGATGGCAAAGGACCGGGTGGAAGAGGTTCTGGATTAGGAGGTTCTGGACAAGGTGATCAGTTCTGGGATGGCAAAGGACCGGGTGGAAGAGGTTCTGGATTAGGAGGTTCTGGACAAGGTGATCAGTTCTGGGATGGTAAGGGACCGGGTGGAAGAGGTTCTGGACAAGGCGATCAGTTCTGGGATGGTAAAGGACCGGGTGGAAGAGGTTCTGGACTAGGAGGTTCTGGACAAGGCGATCAGTTCTGGGATGGTAAAGGCCCCAGTTCCAAGGGCCAGCAAGGTGGGACTAAATGGCCAGGAAACCGTGCTTGCCCTGACTGGTGTTATTAGGATCCAATATCAGCTAACCGCGGTAATGGGTCGCCAACATAAAAAGAACCGTATCTCATAAAACAATGAAGCCCAAGAAACAGACGATGAGCAAGAAGAAGAAATGATATATCAAAAATGATAGGCTGGACAGGGCCGGAAATGTTCGGTAAGATGTGAGGGCACTCAGACCACGCTCGTTTTCTATATACCTGGGAGGATAATACTTAATGCCATATGTTGAAGTCTATTACAATCTACAGTGGTTATTATGCTTCCAAACTCTCCCCAATCACTAACCTTTACTATAACTTCTCTGCTTTCATTAATTAGACTCTGGATCCTAGAAAGCGACATACGTCAACCTAAACAAAGATTGTATTGCCTTGGAGACCTCAAGAATATACAATCCACTTTGGAATCCACCCAAGAAGAATTAAAGCTTAAATTCGAGCCCAGAAAAAGACCAATTCGGAACTCAAGCTTCAAATCGAAACCAGGAAAAGATCGATTCCAAACTAGAGCGTCAAAGTGATAACCTGAATAAGAGACTTGGTATATTTGAAGATGACGCCCTGACTATTCGATTGCATGTACTATCCTGAGGTTCAATTGATGACGTAGGAAACGCTAGAAATGAGATATTTCATGACAGACACATCCTGTGGGACACAGAATGTATGCGAAGACATAAAAAATATTCCTTAGTATAACTAGGACTTTTGAAAGGACGGATGGAGTTCCATACAAGGAGTTTACAGGCAATACCTCAGAGATCCCGAAGCAGGTTGTTGACGCTTTGAATCGACGAAAACAAGTAACGATACTCGATTGTTGGAAGGATGGCCTAGCACAAGAGACACCAACCGCTACAAATCAGCCATTCTCTCAGATCAAGTCTGACATACGTGAAAAGTGCGGTAAGATTTTCGACGCCTGGTTAAAGTCGAAAAAGATGGCATCGCATATCCAGAGTCCGGTATGGAGCTCATATTCAATGAACCAATGCAAGAATACACAAAGGGCCTGGAGCTTTATCGTCTTCATGGGGTACACGGGGTTTAGGTTTTGTTCCTGTCTATGATATACTGGTTGTTTCACTGTTCTTCCCTCTGGTCATGTCCTATCAATTGATATATGTACCTTAAGAGATCATTCAAATGTTAACTTACATAAATTATTCCATCGTGTACTTGGCCACTTGTATGAAATGTATATCCAGATAAGAGGCTATATCCATCTTCTTTCCATCTTAAGTATAGGCGTCACCCCAATTATTGCTCTTCTTGACCCTTAAATAATAAGCCTAGTACTGACTCTATGCATATCAACAATGTATATCCAAGTTCTCTAATGGAACGCCAACGGCTTGCTTAGCCACAACATCAGCGAGTTGGCAATCATCTTCGCCGCTTCGTCGTGGGACTTGATACTGGCCAGCTCCTGGACTATAATCACCGTGGCATCCCCTTGATCGGGCACCTTTCCATCGGTAATATTCCACATCCCTCTAAACAGGGGGCGTTTCATGAAAACTGGGATCTCGATCTCGCGCGCTTTGATATTACACGGACCGTAGACACCAACCAGAAACTGGGACTTGAGTGGCGTATCCTGGATGTCCAACGATGGGTCACAGTAGTGCTCGAGTAACACGAACATATCTTTTTGAGAAATGCCGAGAAAATAGCTGGTGCTCAAGAGTGCAACCCCGGCTTGTAAGGCGCTCCTGGCTGGGTGAGCTGTTCAGCCATTCTGGATTGCCGATACAGAAACAGCGACCGTTAGGGGAAAAAAAATTGAAGCCTTAAACAGTTATTAAGACCACCAGACAGTTACCAGAGCGATAGACCGCCGCTGGCCTATGTATATCCTTGGTGAGTATATGTGCAGTCCATCACCCCGAATCCGCGGAGGAGCTCTCTCGAGTCCAATGATATAAAGTACTAAGCGTCGCACAGACTCGGCCAGATGCTGATATTGAAAGGTTAGCTCTTCAAACCCAAAACCAAATGTTAGGTAGTCCGATGATCTACTTGGTCTATTGGGTTTTGGTTGTTGGTTGTTAGTCGTTGGCTGTTGGTTGGGGTAACGCGTAATAATTAATTACAAGTATCTGCACCGCCGCACTTGCTTTTTATAATTATTACATGTTCCTTCCTGTCATCCTTGCGTCTCATTTCTCCTCTCTGTCTTTCTATTCTCATTCTAGATTTCGGTCGAGCTCGTCGCTCTATCCGGTGTGCATTAATGAGTGATGGATTTCGAGAACACCAGCCATTTGCTAGCTGCGGCCCAGAAAATTCGAGCTGACTATATTGAATATGCCCGAACCACGCCGATTTCAGTGTCGCAGGCATCGACGCTGCGTGACGATGCAGTCAAAGGTCCCATCTGGGTCAGCAAATTCACAACGCCGACCCCGAACGAAGATACCTCATGCTCCCTTCTTCTGGACCTGATCGACGAGTTGAACATCAAGCATGTTCGTTATGATCGTCCCCAGTCGCAACGTCTCCGCTTCGAATGGGTTGGATTTCGTGGCCAGGTGACAAGAGATACACCAGAGCCATCACTGTCCGAGACCGAGAAATTCCAGAAGCTAAACGCAGAAACAAAAAGTCCATTGACCATCCTCTACATCTACGGAGGAACCTTTGTGTTGGTTGTATATTCCCAATCCACGTAGCCCACTCACTGACCTAGGGAATAGCCTGAACACACCATCTAGTTATCGGAGGACAACCGGGTTCCTGGCTCAATCAACCGGCTCTAAGGTTCTAATGGTCCACCAGCGCCTAGCACCCCAGAACCCTTTCCCTTCTGCACTGTTGGATGTTTTCCAGGCCTACCTTACCCTGCTGTCTCCTCCTCCTGGCTCTCCACACGATCGAATTCCGCCATCCTCTATAGTTGTGGCTGCCGATAGCTCCGGCTCGTGTCTAGCTCTAGGATTGTTGCAAATCCTCCTGCGCCTAAAGCGTAAAAACGCCTCTATCAATTTCCATGGACAAAGCATCCTACCGACGGTGCCCGCTGGAATGACATTGGTTAGCCCGGTCAGCGAACTGACCAACTCTGTTCCTTCCTACCAGCGTAACGCCAAATGGGACATGTTTCCCGATATGGAGAACAAGCCTTATCTGGAGCAAACATTCCCAACTTGTGCCATCTGGCCTACTCGGCCACCTCGCGCTGATCTCTACTGCGAGGGAGCCATGCTGGCCCATCCTCTGGCTAGTCCCGCGGCCTCCAATGACTGGTGCGGATCGTGTCCCATCTGGCTAGCATCAGGCCAGGAGCAAACTGTCGATGCCTACCGACTGATCGCGCAGACGGCCCACGCCCAGGGGGTGTCAGTAACGATACAGGAGTATGAGGGTATGCCGCACACCTTCTACTTCTTCTACCGCCAGGCACCACAGACCAAGAAGATTATGGGAGACTGGGTGAAGACGATTCTTCTCTTTTCTCAGGGAGCTAAGCCCCCTTCAAGCGCGAGCTTCATCCGAGCCAAGGGCCTGGTTTCCGAACCGATGGACTTGGAAAAATTGGTGCCGATGACTGTACCCGAAGTCCAGGAAATGATGTACAAGAAGACTCTCTTGTTTAAAGTCCCCCGGCATCATCGAGAAGCTCACTCGTCTCTTTAGCAGACCAATACACTCCTTTCCAAGTTGCCGTAACATGAATCACACGTAATTTGCGTATAACCCGAATCCAATAAATTGACACTTTGGACCTAAAGCTGTGTGTATGGGTTGGCATCTTCTTTATGCCACCGTTTGTTAGGAACATTGAAGCAGGCGGTACCTATAACAGAAGACAAGGAACTTCAGCCGGCTGTATGTTTGTATGAAGTATATTGTACTAGTGACATTCCTTTATGTACCATCATTTCAATCTTCAATCTTCAGGGTTCAATGTTCTTGCTGGAGATCTGTTTTCCTTGCAATATTCCAGCAGACAATACTTTAGCACTTTGGTATAGGAGAAATCTTGGATATCATGAAATATAGCGAGAAACAAAGTGCTAATGTCGTGAGCTGGGCCAATGGGGCGGAATGCGGGGACCACAAGAAGAACACGACTCCATAATAATGTCCATCAAAACGCATAATACTACATATCAATTGGACGATGTAATTAATTAGTAGCTCATGGTGTGGGGCATAGCCGTTGTGTCAACGTTCGCCTCAGAATAGCATTATGTATGTCGTTGAAATGGTAAGAGACATCGCCGAGGAAGTCAGAGTATCAGCTGCCAACATCATATGCTAGTCCAATGAATCCGTGTGCACAGCCGCCGACACGATGATCTTCGACATCATCATGATCCTATAGCGATAGCCACGGTCCAACACATGGCATCCGTGCAGACTCCATCCAGAGGATAGCATAGAATGATACAGTTAGCGTAGCAGAGTATATAGCTCATACAATTGAATATGCATATAGAGCAGAATATAGAAAAGGATAAAACATTAATATTGCATGACTGAGTTATGTGATGATTAACCAAGTAGTCAGCGATGAAACCGACGCATTTGTTAGCGGCGGCAGCAGAGTCATACCGGCCAACCAGAAACCGCATACGGCCAATGCAGTGGGGCAACCAGACCACGCCGCGTGCTGAGTGGCCCGCAGCTGTCAGTTGCTCCTTCCTTGCCCGGTTGCCCCTTCCTGGGCACCCCCGTCACTCCTTCCCTCCTTGTTGTTGCGGTGATTACTGTGACTGCTTCAACGTCGACTTTGTCGTCGCCCTCGTTTGTTTCTTCTCTTTTTCTGTTCTTCTGTGCTACTCCGATCCGCTTCCTGTTCTTCCTCTTCTTGTCCTCGAATCGTCCTTGTGGGGATTGTGTTGCGCTTGCATAGCCCATGCATGCCTGAACCACTCTTTGTTGCCCCATCGGACCCCATTGCCAGCATTGCCAGCATTACCAGCATCCAGTGAAGTGTCGGTGAATCTGCAGCCGCCAGTATCATACCAAAACCGCTCGCAATATCGATTGTCAACTTTCTTGCCGTCCGCCGCACCCTCCATGCTTTCCATAGTCCGAGAAAGTCGTTGCGTGCAACGTCCCACGTTGTCTTAAGAGACATCCCCAACATTCCCCTCCACACCATGTGGTTAGCCCGGGGTGTGCAGTCTGCGGTTTTCTACTACGTAACATGTACCCCGTGCGCCGCCGCTGTAGACCGGCGACGGAGAAAGAGAGATGCTGCCCGAGTACAGCGTGAACAGGCCAAATCGACCGTCATTATCACCGACCAGCCGCGTCCGTTCGCACAACCGACCCCGTTCAGTACGAATTCAGGATGGATGGAAGAAATTGCGTTAGGGCCAGGACCCCCAACTCGTCGCCATAGAGCCAACAAGAATGGTCAGAACGAGGCAATGGCGCTGCCGAGATTATCGGCCACGTCTAGCACCACGGTAGAAGATACGGCGTCGTCAGAGCAGGATAAGGCGTATTTGAAGACGTCTTTGGGAGACCGGTTTCACTGGGCGCGGTTCCAAAGAGAAGACGAGGTTCTCTGGGGTGAAGAAGAACAGCAGGTGCTCGGCTCTTCCGTCGGGTTTTCTGGTAGAGCTCGTGCGGGAACGAGTCATTCGAGTAAATACTCTGTTGGCCGTGCACCTCCAGTCAACGATCTTCACCCGCCAATTGTGAGTGGCCCGACGAGCCGTGCGGAAACTCGTTGGATGTTACAGCCACCCCCTACTGCCAGGGTCATGGCTGGAAAGGCCAAGCATGATGACTCAGTACGAACCAGCAGAGAGCCGAGTATACGGAAGAAAGCCACACGCGATATGAAGATTGAAGAAGCCCCTGAAGATGATGAGGTTCAGGAGGGACAGTCAGTGTCGGTTTCGGATCTGCCGAGCTGGCTACCCGGGAGCACGAATAGCAATCGTAAGACGAGCGACAAAAAGCGTCGACCAGCGCCGGTCACAATTGTCAAAGAGAACTCCAATTCAGAGCCTTCTACCCCTCAGTATCCACCACTGGCGACGCTGGCATCTCGACCCGAGTCTATGGCTCATATTCGCCATGCGTATGACGAGTGGCATTTTCAGATATCCTCCACACGGTCCGACTCACCATCGAGTTTGGGATCACCCGTCGACTCGTTCCATTGCCCAGACACTCCATACTCACGCCCTGAATCGAAACGCACAGAAGACAGCGGAAAAGCTTTCCGATCGCCATACTCCAGTACGGCAAGCCCGGGTCGCCATGGTGATAAGAGCATCGAAGCGATCCGCGTAGAAGTCAACGAACCCAAAACCCGAGACGAAAAGCCATTAAAATGGCGATGGAGCTTTGACGTCTAGTCATACATTTCGCTGGCCGAGATGCTGAAAACCTAAATCTACCACCCTCCTTATCTTCCTTATCCCTTATCACCACCGTTTTTTCGGGAACATGTACAGTACATCACTCATTGCATATCCTTCTGCAACCTACCCACCATCGTCCATCTTTGTATTCCTCATCCTTGCTTTTCTTAGCTGTGCATCAGTCTATACTCTAGTGTATTGTGGCACGGCGTTACCCGGGTGTATGCTTGCTTTGCTTTGCCATCACTAGAACAATCATTCGATGATTTGCTTGTAAATAAGCGTGAGGATTGATATTCAATCTACTTCTCTTTTTCTTAGACGTTGTTCCAGACTGACTTAATTATTCATTGCACAATCGATCCAATTTACGTTACTGCCAGACTAGATTTGGTAGACATAGAATTACATCCTGAATACGAGGGACAACACTCAATGACGTCAGAGTTCTAGGCTTATCTCAAAAGAGGACGGGCTGAAGTCTAGAGGTCTTCTGCATTTCCCCTTTGCATAATTGAGAGATACGACTGACTGGCTTTCATCATGGCGTCCCGGATTCTTTCGATGTGCCCGATAGCTACTGGGTTGAATGTGGTGCTGCCGTTCCACCCAAGCGGGTCGCGAGTGTTCTCAACAACACCACTGGTTCAGCTCAAAGAATTCTTCCCTCGAACAGAAACCAGGAAGATCGTAAACACAGAGACGTCATGGCGTCATCCGGTGTACACTTCCCTCTTTACTCAAAGGTTAATATTAGAAATGCCGGCATGACTTACGGATTGATTCACTAGGTTTTCTGAGAAGCAAATGCGTGACATCCAAGTTGCCCATCGAGAGGCACGCGATTGGTCTGACTGGGTTGCACTTGGCACTGTTCGGTTTCTGCGTCGGTCAACGGACTTTGCAACGAAATATAGACATCCACCCGAGAAAAATGTACAGAATCGGGCAGACGATTTCGTCATGACAGAACGCAAATGGCTGGTTCGGTTTATATTCCTGGAGAGCGTTGCGGGCGTGCCAGGGATGGTTGGTGGGATGCTGAGACATTTAAGAAGCCTGAGGAGAATGAAGAGGGATAATAGATGGTGAGAGGTTAAAAAAAAATAGATGAACTTCGATATGCTAACGAGCGTAGGATAGAGACTCTTCTTGAAGAGGCGTTCAACGAACGAATGCATCTTCTCACCTTTCTCCAGCTGGCAGAACCGGGCTGGTTCATGCGTCTGATGGTCCTCGGCGCACAGGGTGTCTTTTTCAATGCTTTCTTCATCTCGTATCTCCTGTCTCCTCGTACTTGCCACCGATTCGTAGGCTATCTTGAGGAAGAGGCTGTGTTGACCTATAGCCGTGCTATCGAGGACCTCGAGGCTGGAAAGCTGCCGAAATGGCAGGACCACGATGCTCCCAACGTTGCGATCCAGTACTGGAATATGCCTGAAGGTCATCGCAAGATGAAGGATCTACTGCTGTATATCCGTGCGGACGAAGCCAAACACCGGGAAGTGAACCATACGCTGGGGAATCTCAACCAGAAGATGGATCCCAATCCATATGCAGCCATATACAAAGACCCAGTTGATGTGCACCCGACCAAAGGAATAGATAATTTGAAACCTCATGGGTGGGAACGGAAGGACGCTATCTGAGAGTCAAGAAGACATCTTGTCGAATCATAGAATTCAATTTCGCGTTATACTACGGATTCAATTCGATTTATTCATATATATCACATTAGGTACAGCTAATACAAGAGAGTAATATATATAAATTGGCTGGCAATGACGTCAGGATCTCGCTGGCCTCCCAAGCCCCTCGCCTCACAAATTGCCTTCGAAGCAAAACCAAGAACCAAAAGTCAACTGCAAAAGGAGTCGGATACTAAAATTTATGTGAAATGGAGTCAGGGGATAGCGTCAACGCATCTTGTATCAAGGCAAAAGACGAGATGACTGACAGAGCCAGTGACCAGGGCCAATTGGACGAGAGTGAGGAAGACCTAGACGATGATGGTACACAAACAGTATCAGGTGAAGTGCCGCTACAACATTACACTTCTGGCGAAAGAGGCTACAGCTCGTTAAAAACATTCAATGGCCGGCCATACACAGGCATGGCTGTGGGCGGCTCTCACACTTGGAACTACGAGAATGGACTATGGAAGGAGACCAAGACCGAGCCAGACCTCTGGAAAGTAGATTACGAGGCAACAAAGCGACGCATGAGAAGAGCCCCCAAAGGAAGTGGCGTGCCTGTGGGTGCGCAGTATCATTGGTATATTATCGCGCATCAGGTATGACATCAATGGAAGCCCGTTTCTATTTATATGCATATCATATATGTATGGTAAGACTAATTCGCGTCTTTGTAAAGTATGTCGAGAAAGTCGATGAGAATACTTATGAAACACATCTTGTCGGTTCGAAATATAAGCTAGCTCACAAATCGGCCACGGCTAAGGCGTGGTCTATTCCCACGGTCAAAGGGCAACGAGATAGAGAGCTTGACATCCTTGACGATGCGAAGGCCCGTCTTCAGGGCCTACCACCGGTGCTGGCGAGCGAGAAGGTAAAGGAGAAGAAACAGGAGAAGGGGCAGCAGACCTTAGATACATTGTTTACAAAACGAAAAGCTGCTGAGGAAGACGACAATGTCAAGAAGAAAACAAAAGTTGTGATGAATAAAGAACAGAAGAGAGTATTATTGAGATAATATAAATGAATTTTCTGTTCCTTGTACCCGCTTGCTGGCGTGTAGCTGAGTTACGTGGAGGATTCGATGGGCCACTTGCATCAAAAGAAGGAATTTTCATTGCACTTGATAGTTTCCAAATGGTTATCATGTGTGTGATTCTCAGTTTCATGCACCCGAGGTTTTGGTTCATGAGGGTTGAAAACCAGGCTCAATTTATGCCCACAACACCCAAGACATGATGGTCGGAAGTAGAGATGTATTAGCTGAGTTCTCAGATCTGAAGTACTCATATTTAGAGTTGCCTGTATCTAGAGTCGATAGTGAAAATAGTGGAAAGAACGAATATATCAAATTTATGTCCCTAAGAAGATGAAGGACTCGATTACCATCATTATAGATTAACGGTAATTGACTCGCATTTGATAGATAAGATAAATGGAACACAGATATGGAAATGCGACTTGGGATGCATGCAGACTAGGATTTTGGCGTCTGAATATGAATGAAACGAGGAGAGTTGCCTGCTCCGCCATCAACCTTGTACAGCGTGTCTCTCATAACTCGAGGCTCTATCGCGAAAGCGATCCCAGAATGATCCAAATGAATGATAAACTCATCAAAAGCAATTTCCCCGTACATTGGAGTATCGACAGAGCTCCATAGTCCTGAGCTTTGGTCCATAACCCGGTGTTGGCCAGTCGGTTCACTCGTGTCTTTCTCAAAAATCGCTCGGTATGCCACGCGACGAGACCTAACATCGTTGCCTTGACTATTTGGCGAATATCCTAGATTCGTCGCCTGCAGGAACACTTTAATGGGCGGGCTGCCGGTCTGAGAAGCATAAGCCTGTATAACTGCCTGGAAGTTGACACCGCGATTGATCCATCGCTCCACTTGGAGACCATTCCTGTCCACAGACACAGTAAGACTCGAGTTTTTGCTCCGATCGGACGACTCATAAGTTCCGCACAAGCTCTTGCATGCTTCGTAGAGAGTTTGATTTTCCAGAGTCGGGATCAAAGACTGTAGGACAATTTCGGAAGCGACTTCAATAACCGCCGCGCTGCTTGGACCGGCTGCCATTATCGAAAGCGCAACGCCGTAGTCCGGGGAGATAATCAGAAGCGAGTTGTACTGACCGATACTCCCAGACTTAGTGTATAGGTCAATAGTGCGGCCGTGGGATATCTGACTCTTGGTCCTCAGGATCTCCCAGGGGCTTCCCACGGATAAAGAAAGACTTGAGGTATGGGAGCTCGGCTTCATCCAGCGTCTAGTGGCGAGCGGAGAAAGCTGCCTGTTGAGCAGAATATCACGGCCAAACTTTGCCAAATCAGACGATGAAGAGTACATCCCTGCTGTACTTGATATCGACACAATTTAGAAGAAGTCGGTGACACGGAAGTTCCCAGGAATACTTACGGTGTCTCGTCACCTGTGTCCTGATACCACCCACTCTCACCGTTTGGAATTACCCACGAGCTTTCGCCCCTAGGAATCGCATAAGTGGTGGTTGTCAGATTCAGAGGTCGAAGGACTGAAGACTGTAGTAGTTCATCGAATCGAGTACCACTGATTGCTTCCAAGATGTATGCGAGCATTCGGTAGGCAGTGTTTGAATAGACAGGTGTCGTTTGCGGTGCGAAAACTGGAGCTCTTCGAAGTAGACCCTGAAAGTATTCTAGAAGGAGAAACGATGAGTATGAATATTTGAGAGACGTGGATAACGAGCACGATACCGTCGCGATCACATGGTGGCACGCTAGCATTGCCACCACATTGGGGAACATCTTCTGGTGACAGTAAAGGTAGTCCAGTTTCTGACCAGGAGACATCCATATTGGCCAAGTCTCCATAAGAATCTTCGTTAGACATTAGCTTTTGCTCTCTCGTCCCTTTTTCATACGAAACTCACAATCCCTGCCGATACCAGATAGCTGTGAGGCAAGATCTCCGATCGTGATCTTGCTCCAGTCAACATGCGCAACCGAAGTATCATCATCAAGAATAGCAGCGCCTTGAAGTTCAGGAAGATACTTCGTAATGCTGTCATCCCAATGCTCCCAACCGTAATTGACCAAAAGTGTATACACAGTGAAGAGCTTGGAAATGCTACCGATCCTGTACAAGGAGGTATTGGTCACGTTTGCAGTACTACCAGCCGACTGGTTCAAAAAAGACGATGAGAAATGGAAATCAAAAAAGGGAGAGTTCTGATCATCCTGGGTGGACAATGCCGTGATGGAGATTGCGGACGAATTGGCAGTGAAGTCTCCATAGATGCTGTGGCCCTGATGAATGGCCTGAATCAAGGAGGTAGACAGATTCGCAGTAACAGCGCTCACGTTGAGGGAACTCAAGAGCCCCGACGGTGGCTGAAAAATAGGGCCAAGAAGGAAGCCAGCCATTTTGACTAGATAACAAGATCGAGCAGCTTCCAATCGAAACTGATAACCCAGTAGCTTGAAGAAACTGGAATAGGAGTCTGACAGCTGAGAGACCTTATAAATGCCTGAAACATGCCTCGAAATTGAGTCCCTTGGATTCGCGGAGACGGAAGTTCGACGGGATCTTCGCGGTACCTTTTCGGCGGGTGCTGAGGTTCATAACCAAGCTGAACTTTATGGGCTCAAGAGTTTTCAACCAACTCCTTCAGAGCATTTAGCTGCTCGTTCACCCGCCTGACAAAATGCGCAGTGCCCATGTGGGACATAGCTGTTGCCGCGGTATCCCGTAGCTTGGCCGCTTTTTCCACGTAATCTACAGCCCTTTGTCTGGATAGGACTTTCCACATCCTGGAGTTTAACTCCCTTGCGTTTAGCTCCAGGACTGCAGATTGTACGTGTTATTCTTCGAGCATAGTGTCAAGATAACTCCTCGTCTCATGTCCAGTAAAGCTTTCGAAAGGTTTGACAACCTCAATGTCTTCTTCTTGTATCCGAGACATGACTCCCTGATCAAGATAGTAGAACGCATCCAGTCCGTATACGTGCCACAGTAGAAGCACTTTGCGCTCCGCTGCTCTTACGAGCGTTGGGGGGGGAAATATCTAGTACTGCAGCGTCATTAAGACAAGAGATTGGGGCGTCAGGAACAAGGCGCTCAGTTGTGAGTGAAGGGCGGTAGCGGTGTTCCCATCTGATTCGTAGGCAAAGCCAACCACGAGTGCCAGCGCTTAAAGATCATCAAGTCTAATGGTTTGCTTAGATGCTGCATTGTTTTGCGCTTCCAGAAATGCCAGCCTGAAGCCAAAAGCAATTTGCTGCTGCAAGTTCCACTTGTCCGAAACGGAATGAAGGGACAAGGGACAACCTCGAAATGCCACTGCAAAAATGAGAGCGGAGCTACTTCGACGGCTCTCATACTCTGCCATCAATGCATCTCTGTGAATGATGGGCAGAACTAGAGATGCGAAATCAAAGTACGCAGCGAGAGCTGCCTCTAGGGTGCTGAAGTCGATTCCTTGGGTCTCGTAAGGACTTTGATTTGCAATCGTCCCTTCCATAATCTCGTTTACATTCTGTAGGCTGGCGTCTGACCGACCATCTATATTGGCAATTGATTCCGAGGGAGCAAAACTGTGCATGAACACCTCATTCAGAACCCAATGCTTTCAGGGCTGAGTTCAAGATCCAGATCTGTCCACAGCAACTCACTGATTGAAGTATGTAAAGGAGAATCAATATTGATATCTGGGTTCAATATTGCAACGATAGTCGTTTAAGGTGATAGTGATAACAAGGTATTCCCGCCTAGCAGCGAAGTAAGTTTGCCCCGGTCGTTCAAGGATGACTTGAGGAGAGTCGAGACTAGGCTGCTTCTCTCCAAGCCCGCACTATTGGGGCTTATCTTGCGGCGCCGGTGGATTTTGATATCATCAGAGTCCAAGGTGCATGGCCTCTGCCGTAGATCACATTGAGAACATGAGTCATGGTCCTCTCTTGCGCGAGATGCCCGATCGCATATGATTTTGCGCCGAAAGCAAAAGTCACACGACTCACGCTCCAGCCCTCGTTTCAACGACATTGTGGTTGAATGGCAACAAGCCCCATACAAACATTCAGTCGCCGAGCCGACAAGAGCAGACGAGGCGCAGAGCGAGCAATCAGTCAACTGTGTCTTAGGCGAAGGTTTAGATTCCGTGATGGGCGACTTAGGAATCAAGTATATCAAGGTCAATCAAGGCAGTGGAGTTAGGATGAGGAGAGGAGGCGTTAAAAGACCTCCGGAAGAGAGGGCGGAGGAAGCATCTTATACACACTCGACTAGGCTAGGCGAAAATGAGGGGGTCCTAGGTTTAGATACAGAGGGAAGCCATTTTCGGCGTCGTTTTGGTCGACGAAAAGACGATAACTATGCAGAATAACTAGAGCAGGGCAGCTGGCGGTCAAGCGGCGACTCGCTGTCTAAAGTTACGGGTGGAAAGAAAGCCCGCTTCTGGCGCCGGAGGCTGTCATTTTCGGCGTCGATTTCACAGGTCCCTATATTCTAGTTGTAATGTATTGATTTATTTCAGCAATTGAGGTGAAATTTCATGTCAATAGTACATCTACTTGGAATAGAATAAAAAGTAAAGAGTTCATACTCGATCATGCATCATGAAACATCATAACCCGTCAATATCAATATATATACTACCTACACAGAGCCAAATATCATTTTACTAAATTGTAAAGTAATCACGGCGCTAGTAAATCGCGCACACTCATGCCCAACTTCCGCGACGCCTCTACAGCAAGCGACGACCGCTGAGCGCTCTCTTCGATGCTCGCGCCTGTTCCGCGTCGGTCCATGTTCAGCATTAACAGGGCTGCGCTGGCCTCGTGGTCGATCATGCTGTCGGCTTCGTGCGCGGCGCCGCTGGTCGTGCTGCTCGCGTAGCTGGAGGAGATGCTGTGTCGGTGGTGCTGCTGCGGGAGGATGGCGGGGGAAGGGGTAGTAGAGGTGATGGGTTGCGAGGGGCGCCAGGTGTGTGTACTTGGAGGAAGTTGTTGCGGAGAGCGTAATGGGCCGAGGGCTGGCGAAGGCAGGATCGAGTAGTACGTGTTATCAATGGCTGGCGCTTGATGCGGGTTTGTGTGTGGTGAAAAGGCGGGTGATATGCTGCTGGCTGCCGGGGAAGCAGCGGATGACGAGGAGAAGGATTCCTCGTCAACGGTTTTGTCCGGCATCATGACTTCTGGTGATGTTGGCGATGGGGGCCCAGGCGGCGCGGCCATCATGAGTGGTGTTTTGGATTGGCTGTTTTTGCCAGATGCGCTTTTGAGCTCGGTGATGCATTCTTCGAGATAGTTCATGTAGTCAATACTTGCCTAGAGGAGTTAGTCATGAATGAATTAAGGGTAGTAGGGGTTGATTTACCTGCAGAATAGCGAGTTTATGCATCTCCTGTCCCCGACATGCTGGAATCATATCCTTTAGCGTGGAGAACTCCTCGTTCATTTTCGATCGACGCCGCCGCTCAATCAAGCTGTGGGCCGTCTTACGAGCGATTTTGCGTCCTGCTGCTGACGTAGCACTAGGCTGCTTCTTTTTCGAGCCAGACTGTTGTTGGGTGGAAGCGGGAGCGGGAAGAACGGGGTTTGCGGCAGCCGGTGCAGTTGTTTTCGCAATGGAAGCCGACCTGCCCGCGCTCTTCTGCGAGGATTGAGTTGGCGTGTTATTCGAGGTGCCCGCTGGTGTTGACGGTGTTGACGATGTCGAAAAAGTGGTCTTGGGCTTCATCTGGATGATCTTCCTGGTCCTTGTTGGCGGCGGCGGGAGATTGAACTCATCCAATGCAGCGGAGCCTCGCTTGGTACCCTTTTGCGATGAGGCAGCGCTCATCCTGCGACTGCCAAGCGCAACTAGGTCGGGCGATGCAGGCGACACAGGCGGCTGGAAGACCACGGAGCCCTTGCGGCTGCTACTACCTTCGTCGGTCACCACGGGGCTCAGGGCCGCGGGAGGCAGCGCAAAGGAGTGCTCGGCCATGGACTCAATGGTGTGGTCTTTGATGTGCAGCTCGCCCGAGGTGGCAGGCGTTGGGGGGAGGCGAGGGGGCATGATATAGGAAAGTCTGCTCAAGTGCCTGATCGAGTGTATATCAGGATATCAATCTGGATAGTAGTTCTGATGACAGTCTTGTACAGGCCGACAACGGGCTGAGGACAGAATGGATGTCTGAAGCTGAGAAGCGATGCGAGAGGAGCACAGGCGATATATGAAGGCGAGTTAGTTACTAAATTAGCAGTCCAGTATTGCCTGCGATAAGGCGTTGCTGCCAGTGTCGCGTGCCTTGTGCTCGCAGCGTCCGTGCTGATTGGCTCCTGCGCTGGCCCAATCAGCAGTGACGCTGCGAGCACAAGGCACGCGACAGGTGGCGCCAAATACGGTTAGGCTGCTGATCATCATACACCACCGTGCTACGTTGTAGTATACACCTACTACACCTACCGGCACTACCGCAGCTACTACTCTGATAATGCAGTATGTGGTGGTATACTACATCGTACATATATATATGCACTCTACTGGTGATAAATTGAGCAACCATGGATCAATTGAGAAACTGCCGCAAAGTACTCTGTAAACAGGACAAAAACGAGCGTCACGAAAGTGTGGGGAACAGCCCGCACGTGCCTGGCGCTCCCAGGCCAATCACAGGCTGCTCACGTGCCAGCCGTCATCTACACCGCCGCAGCCAATCACGAGTCGACGTGCTCCTTGACGCACAGGTCCTGGCACGACGGGTATTGCGACCAGCTATGATCTTGTCAGAAAATAATCCGAATGCTTATGTCTTGAGGGTGCTTACCAGTAGTCGTCATTCCCCGGGAGCAGCTCTAAGCACTGGTTCGCCAGGTCCTGGCAACGCAGCGAGCAAGCGTCCTTGTCGTTGACTGGCGCATTATCTTCGACAAAGTCCGGCGCCTCGGGGGCTGGCTTGTTGTTCTTTTGCGTGTTCCAAAATGGCTGATGCTGTTCGTCGCTCTTGTCGGTCCTCGGGCTGTCCGTCGGCACGCCGATCTTGCCTACCAGTGGCGTTGATGAGGCTACTGCCCTGTGCCGTTTCGTCGAAGAGGCGTGACGGGAAGAGACATGGTGGGAGGAAGAGGCTGCACGGCTAGACCCATGCCCCGACGATTTGTGCAAGGCAAAAGTGGTCGGTGACGGCCGCGAAGATGAGGAAGCTGTCGGGGTTGGGGTTGGCGTGACAGTAACTGTCACCACCATCATGGCGGATTCAGAGCGCATCGCTGCCGACGACGATGCTGGGGTGGCCACAGAGCTGGAGCCTGCCACCGACGAGCGGAAATTCCGGTTGCGGCCTTGATATAGGTACGAGGGGATCTCGCCGCCATTGTACTCTGCAGCCAGAACCGTGCCGGCCAAAGCGGCAAAAGAGAAGGAAAGGAAACTCTGAAAATGCATAACGAGAGACGATCAATCAGCCGCTGGATGATATTTTGACCCGCAAATAATCAAGCTGGAAGATGAGAAAGAGAAAAGGGAGAGATTTGGCCGGGTAATACAGGAGATATCTCCAGTCTCTTATATTGACAATCCTCATTTCCATGGATACGGGATCGCACTCTGCTGCGATCTTCTAATTCACGCATATACAGTGGGAATATATTGAACAGAGGATTGGCATGGATCTGCCGTCGAATCATTCTGCCCGGCTGCATGAATCTGTCTTGAGAGCGGGCTGCACATTCCATTCCACATTCCAGTGTTGACCACATCGAGTTTCACACAACAAGCGCCTGCCACAGTTGCAGTACAAACTCGAGCTTTTAATAAAAACAACTTTTGTCCGTTTCACCTTTGTTGATGGGGTCCCTATGATGAAACTCGTCACAACGCCTCCTTTCTACTGGTCGACCAAGATCATCAAACGTCATATCCCCAAGCCACCAACAGCACCATCCGTAGACCACCAAATATTATCTGGCTAGCAGTAGATCAGCACATGCCAAACCTCCCAATATGATTCAGATGGAATCGCAAAACAAGTTTTTAAAAGATGATCAACATTAGTGTACTACATTTCAGCAAACTGTCACTATTTTGGCCATCCATATTAAAACCAGTGGTTAGAAGCTACTACTGGCATGCATAGTATACTTTTCTTCAACTATTTGACAGCCACTCGGAAAAACCACCCCTACATCTTCATTGCCTCAATAATCCCATCAGCCCCTTCATCAACCGGCTCCCAGATCCCGATCACCTGAAGGCTAGCAGCCTCCAGCAGTGCCTGCCACTGCAGGCCCGTCCGCTCCATCCCACTGTTAAACGCCATCATCGTCATATCCAGTTGCGCTTGGAATTGCGGGGCGCCTTGCTCCAGGACGATCATCTCATGTAGCAGCAGCTTCGGGTACCCCGGCGTCATGACGGTAGCGACCTGCTCCAGGATACGAAGACAGTACTTATCCGACCAGTCGTGAAAAATATGATGATAAAAGTAGACTCTTGCACCTGCTACCACTCACTTATCAGCCATCCCCCTTTCACCCAAACCAGACAGAAACAGCGTACCTTTCACCAACTGCTCCGTAAAAAAATCATATGACATCAACTCAATCCCCTCACCCAATCCCTCACCAAGCCCATCTACAACAGCCCGCAAATCTTGCAAAACCAACCTCCCCGTCCCTGGAAACCTTTCCCGAAAGTCTAGCAAATCATGCCCCTTGCCGGCACCTACATCCACAATCAAAGCCGTATCAGTGCTAGCACTGTCCAGAATCCGCTCTTGCACGGGATACCAATCAACCCAGTACGCGCGCGCGCCCATCGTGTTGCCCATGAATGCATTAAAGTCCTTGAGTAATGCCGGTAACGAAATTATGCGCTCAAAAGTGGCCAGGAGGGTTTGGAAGGCGTGCTGGACGAGTCCGCTGTGCGGGTCAATGGGGCTCGAGTACCCGTTTTGATGCATATAGTCCGGGGCGCTTTGCATGGCCGGGACGATCAGTTGGGATCTATATCAATTATCAACGTAGTCAGAAATCGTCCCGCCTAGTCGTAGTACCCTGGTGTAGGGTGTTCTACGAACATCATCCTATGCCCAGCGGCGATTTCGTCTTCGCCATAGATTCCGTGATTGCCGTCGCTTTCCACGTCTTCGCCTCGATTTCTTCGACAAAGCTGGCCGCTGATAACGGTCGCATGATTCGTACTGTGCTCCGGTGTTAGAGTGTATAAACCTTCAGTGATGAATGGGACAGACCTACTGATCAACAGCTCCTCCGCTCCCGATATTTCTGCTAACCTCACTGACGAAACCGGCCCTTCTTTTACCACATATTTGAATAAATCCAAGTCCACGGCGAGTCGTGTGGCAACAGCGATCATGGGCTAGAAAGCTGGTGAGTTGCCCAGCAGTGTTTAATGTTTTGGATAGAGAGGAGTACTGAAAATGCCATGTCAACGGCTACATTATTCGGTTCTTCGAGTTGGAGCGTGAGTGCTTTGCTTAGCTTTAAACACTCTTTGCGTGCGTCGTGGTCGCCTGCATCGTTGAGTCTGGAGGTAAAGGCATGGAGTTTGGATATAAGGGCGGCGGGGGCTTCGTTGGAGGTCATGATTAGAGTTTGGTAGTGTTGAGATGATGAATGGATTACTAGAATGCTCAAGCAGTATATATTCAATGTTAATAAGTGTTTCAAATAAATAATACCAGACGGTCAACTGGTGTGATTCTAATACGCCAAACCTGGTTTTGCACTCTTTGGAGCTCTGCTAGAATTGTAGTATGGGAATCAGCGGGCATATATACGTGCTTATTTCTTTGTTGTTGGCTGTTCCTTAGCTGGAGGAACACATACTAACTCCAGTTTAGCCCTGCAGATTGTTCCATAGAGAACATGTAGTGCTTACTATGTGTCAGCAGGATACAGCCCTACAAAGACCTATTGATAAGAAATTGATGATGTTCGGACGTTGGGTATCTATTATCGACGGCTGTTTCCACATGCAGGCGTGGTTTCCGATCTGCTACATCAATTGATACAATAACGTCTATACAATTACTGTCTTTTTCTCTGCTAGTATGCTTCTTATGTGGAAAGGGTATCCCCGTTCATTTCCAGGTATTCAAATAATCCCCGCGCTAGTCTTGCAAAAAAAATGAATCATTGAGTCGAAACATCCCCTATGAGAACGTTTGAAGTGTCTACCCATGTCTCTAGGGAATGGTAGTATGTTATAGATTGGTATATTCTGTCGTCCTCTTTGCATCCGTTAATTATGTGGGACAATCTTAGAGAGACCACCTGACATGCATATACATCAAATTCTACTAATATGTGCAGCGCGACGTCGCTGATATCAGCGGGTCGGGTTGCCCTAATTCTAACCCTGAAATCTCAGCTTAGATGCCGTCATGTAATTCTCAAGCTCTTTTTTTGGAGAGAAAGAGTTTCTTCAAGGTAAGAAATTTTGTTCATCGAGACGTTCTAGGCATAGCCGCATCCTAGGATCAAAAGCGATGATCAACCTTCTCCTTGAAAGTGGCGCTAATTCTAACCATCTAGACTAGCATGGCAGAACTCCTCTAATGTGGGCAGCACGTTCTGGCAATCTTGAGGCGGTCAAGCTCCGTTCTAAAGGAGCTAATGCAATCTGAAACCTGTTGAAAATGAAACTGCATTGTCATTAGCAAAAGTGGGTTTATCTCGCTGGCAATAGGTGCAACTTAGTTGTTGGCAAGACAAGGAAGGGAGAGAAAATGTGGCCAAGTATCTTTTGAAGCAGAGAGTTAAAATGTGAAAAATAATACCAACGACTTTCTTTGCTAGCACGACAGGGGAACAAAAGTGGCGCTATATGTAGCTTTTTAGAAATAGACTGCCAAACGAATGGATGGAACAAATACACATCTATCTAGAAAAACAATCCACCACGACGAATTGATGCAGCCAACTACCAGGTGACCCCTACTTTCAGAATCCTACATATTAGAGCACAGAGCGTATATATAAGTATGTAGTATGTAAAAGCATACTCTTTTAGATAATATTCAACTTAATAAAATATAGTGTTTACTAGATCTAGAAATCTCTCTACAATAGGACCATATAATATTCATTTGATGATTAATGGTTATAGATAGAATCTTGTAAGATACATTGAAGTGCTAAGCCCATGATCTATCAGTTATTAAGCGCCAGCTTAAAGCTTATCCATGAAATGATTAATTTAACAAATAATAATATAGTTCAAAAAATCAAAATTATGTTACGAGAGGGAGCGGAAAGAAGTAGGGGGAGATAGATGGATATAGGATAAGGATGACGCTATTTAGTGCTTATTCACCTTCGTCCATCAGGTCAGGTGAAGAAACCGAGCTGAAAAACAGGGGGATCATCAAAATAGTCTTTTCTTAGTGGCTCCATGGGCAAAATACCGCTGCAGAGCCTAACACGAAGCCTGTTGAATGACCTTCACAGCAAAGACCACACAGTTTCGTAGCCTTAGTCCTACCCATTGAAATATGAGTCTGCAGACAGGCACGAATGCATCGAGTACTGCATAATCTTAATAAACCAAATTCGTTTATTTCATTGTACTCTATATTACTTCCGAAGTGGAGTGGATTTTTTAAAAAAAAATACAGTCGTTTCTATCGGATGTAATTCCGTACACCGTGGTGTTCTCTCTTTTCTTTAGGCTCCGCTGGTGATTGACAATGCCTATCTCATAAGTTAGGTCCTATTCAATCTTGACACAGTAGAGAGGTAGCGAAATTTGAAGTACCAGAATTAAATCACTTACCAGCATATGCTAGGCATTGTGGGATTGCGGGATATGAACCCAAAGGCACGAGACTATACTCTTCGAATCACTCCGTCTTCTTCACTGGTCTCTGCTGCTCTAGAAGGAGAGGGACCTACGGTCGAACTCCTGGTGAAAAACGGGGTTTTCGTGACAAAGTGAGAATTTCAACTCGTCTCAACCAGTGGAAGCATCCACTACTCGTAATTATAAATCTATATTTGGGTCTCGGGGACACAGAGTATCATTAATCACATGGGGTTTATAGGCTCAATGCGGTATAGGTCGATATCAGCCTTAGGCATCGAGTAGTGAACCTAGGCGATCTTTGTGCCTGTCGAAATTCCAGAACAGGATGTAGGTTAACCCATGATCCGCGGCTGCCTAGTACATGCTACAACATGAGGGGCCTAGAATGCAGTCTCCTATTCGATTCCGGTCGAAGGTCGCCCCACGTTGATTCTAGAGGCTGGTCTCGCTGTATAAGCCCAGCCTGATGCGGTAAGAGTGGACCCGGTTAGTCTTGATAGAGACAGCAGTCTCTTGCGGCAGTCACCTAGGCTGATCCTTAGCTGAAACCTCAGGTTGTCGGATACGCACTTTCGAGTTTCCGGGTGCGAAGTCTCTGTTATCACTGTTTGCCATTTGTGTTTTGGCCACTTGACCCCGTACGCAATACAATTTCCATTTCGGAGCCCCTTAAAAGACATTGATGCCGAAACACTCACCATTAACAGTGGGTCAAGGGCTCGGATAGCCGCCTCTTGGACGGAGCAGAACGAGCAATGGAAATTTTCAACACGGTCCCACACATCCGTTGTAGCGCTATGGCCACCTGTAAGAAATTACGCCCAAATAAATATACAGGCTTCATGCATCATGCTTCATAGGGATGATGGTCGGGAAAGCGCCGCCTGTGGAGCGTGGATTCACCATGTCGGATCGTATATCGTCTTGCTGCGCACGAGGATGCAGCCGCTATTGACGTACTCAGTCGTACCAGCCTGGCAATAACTATTTAGAAATTGTAATTTTCAACTAACTGATAGGCGAACTCAGCCACGCCGCTGAATTCATTCAGTAATGCTTGCGACTGTGCGCTAACAGGGTTCACGCGAAACTCTCGTATTCGGGCATTTCGGCAGGTGGAACTTTTCTGATTCTCGTCCTTAAAATGAAGATGCGGGACTGCTGTTGGCACAGCTCCGCCTGCGGGCCGTGTCGATCATCCATATTACAGATGTCGAGCGCCTCCCAGAAATCTCAGACTAACTGCTTGAACCAAACACTCGAATCCCTAGCGTAAAGGGCGTACTGTATTACGATAACCGCAATGGATCACTAACGTTACCGTCGGCATATACAAAGCTCGTCGCGTATCACGAGTCTCGTACCGTATAAATGTTACCATACAGCTCGACGCTAGCGGATCACGGCGCAGTGTAACGAACACGCAAACTCAGCCACCAATGCCGAAAGCATCTGGTAACTCGACGGGCGTAGAGCTCAACGGATACTGGAATGTGTGGAGCTTGTGTCAACTAAAATTTTAGCCTGGCCAGACGTCAGGCGGCCAAAGATGGTGAAAATTCCTAACACGTGCTCAGCTTTGGCACGCTCACTGAATTGGGCGCTAGCGTGATTGATTTGTAGACCTTATAATGAACATATAACTGAAGAATAACAAAGATATACCAAAGAATAATAAGGATACACTAAAAGATACACTAGAGCTGAACGGGTGTCAGAAATAGCTAAAAAAATTATTGATTTTGGCCATTTTTATTCTGCTGTTTCTGACATCCAGCTACTAAATTTTAGTTGACACCCACCGAGCACTCCGTTCAACTGTAGCCCGTAATTGGACTCGGGCTAATACTGAATATTTCGTTCCCCAGAAAGCCTCGTGTCCAGCCAGCCGCTTTAAGCCAACAAATTTAGGTGGCGGGGCCCACAATTGCCCGACGTCGGGCAATTGTGGGCCATTTCAGCCTACTTCAGGACCATGTAGGTCCCTGCGTTGATGATCGCGTGCTACATCCTGCTCCACATGCGGGGCTTTTCCAAAAACGATCCTACACATTCGTTTTATCGCAAAGCTTGTCTATAGGAAATTACTCCTAAATACGGGCTTCATGCTTCATACGGATGAGAGTCGGAAAAGCCCCGCCTGCGGATGCATAGATAACATGTACGTTACAGGGGAGATGTTTTGGAGAGTTAACCATATGAGGGTAGAACGGTGGACGGTGGGTTAATGTCTATACTGATGTTGTGGTAGCTATTTGTTTACAAACAATCTTATGACGACTCCCAACTAGTGTGCTCTCAGGAAGGATTGGTATTTCGGTGACCGACAGTTATTATTTCTATCATTTTTCGCCTCTTTTCCTATGAATCAGGGACGCTATTTCGCCTCTCTACTTCTTCTGATTCCATCTTAAACTAATATATATCGGTCTTAGTCTAAGCCGCTTTTTGTTAATTCTCGATTTACTGGCCTCATTCTCGCCCAGTCCAAGTCGACTCGGCGCCCAATCAGAGCCTTTCAAAATTACCCATATTAATCCGACACCTGCGGGGTCTAAGGACTAACCTAAATTTTAATAGAGACCTGATGGTGGTCACTAACCAAAAACGTAAAACGTTGTCCCATCATGGGTCAATGTTTTACGATTTTGGTTAGTGAAAGATGTGGACTGTCTAGCGAGTAGAGATGGAGAGGAGCGGCTATGGGGCTATCTGTAAATTCCCGTGAAGCCACATGCGTGATCTAGGGGGCAAACGCTCAGTCCAGACTCGATACTGTTAGTCGCATCGATACGACAGCCAACATTCACTCTTTGCCGATTATAATCTAACCAGGGTTGGACTTCCTGGAGGCTGAGGCTTAAGCCACTAAGGCCGCCAAAATCGAGATCCACACCACCACTTTTCGGCGGTCCAGAATCAGGATGAAAGAGAAAACCGGGCAGCAGTAATGTTAAATAAAAAAATTACCAATAGGCAGTACGATGTGTAATCCTTTGAATTACTTGTAAAAAAAAAAGCGTATTTAATTCGACACAGAGTGAGAATATTCAGCCAGAGCCTCATTACGGAAGTGGCAGGCCTCGCCTCGAGCTTTCGTACGTGCCTTGCATACATGTATTCTAATGACAATACCCGGCTCGGCACGGGCTCTCGGTACGTATTGACAACCCACTTGATGCTTCCTAGCCTCTTGACCTCGAATCTAACCGTATAGAGCTATTAGATGAAGGAAATTTTCTCATCCACGGTGACAGATTGACATCTGTATTGCTGGTGCGGTTATAAACTTCATCTTTTTCACTTTTACTTGTATTTTATGTGTATGTGCGGACGATGGCGTAATTGTGGATACTTCAAGCATGACAGATACATGCTTAGCTATAATCGTGAACGAGTCACAGTGGTCACGATAATACTAATGATAGTGATCTATATTACTCGATTATCAACGGGAGCTCACATCGCCTAAATACGGATACTCTCTGTGGTTATATAATCGCTCTCTTAAGTCTTAACGTCCCGTCACAACTACCGGGAACAAGCTTGAATCTGGATTATTCCACATTGGAGACGGATTGAGTGTATGTATCATTGGACAACCAACGGCCTCTGTTCTGTCGTGGTCTGTACGCTGCCACTGCCAGAGCGCCATGGCTAGCGTGAGCGTTACCGGAAACTTGCAAAGATTTAAACGACCAATCTATCAATGACTGCGTACTATTTAAAACGTGATTTTCTGATACTCACCACTGGAGATGGGTCATATAGCTTGCTGCGAGTGTGAAATTTATTCCGGCGACACTGTTAGCACCGGGGTTAGCCTGGCTGTGTTGCGGGGCCCTTGTTGCTGCGGAGCCGGCGTGTCGGTACCTATTACGTAGGTTGGTGGGATGGCACGGTCAACTATGATTTGTCTTTGCTTCGAACGTGGCTGCAGCTCCCACCGCTAGCCTTGATCCTCATTGCAGAAAAATAACAACACCATACTATGTAATAAACAGGATATTGCGGCGTGACCCATTCTGCAATCCATCGGCTAGTTTGATGGGTACTTGACGTATCTATCCATTGTAGCACTATCCAGTGAAGGCATTGTCATCCTTAGCGTCAAATAAGGGGCCCATGTGGTGCCTCACCTGAGTTATTAGAAATGGCCTGCGGTCTTGACAGTCGAAACATAGCTAGACTACCTCGGGAATACGAAGGAGACCAGTTAATAGGTCATCTGGAGGTGGAGGGCCTGTATTATAATACGTACCTCGCGAAACTTTCAAGGATTTTACGACCAATCTGACCACTACTGTGCATGTGATTCAAAGCTCAATTTTCTAAACTCATTTTATCACTCGATAGATTCCTGTCGATGAGGCCATAATCCTTCTGCTTGTCCAATCGGCTGATTCCACCATCTCTCCTTTTCCAAATCCGCCTCAGAAGTCTCTAGCAAACAGGAAATGCATAACCTAGTCTCCCAACGGAGTACTGTCATTCAGAAAATATAGCTTGCCATTCATAAAGAGACCGGATCCCACCCTTCACCCCTAGTAATCGATTTCCCAAGCCAACAACCCATCACAAAACGCAGTCTTACCCGTTTCTCAGTTTCTTTACTTATTGTTGTTTTATCCCTCCGTTGCTCTGATTGCATAGAGTTTTTATTTGCTGAGAAAAAGAATGACAAACTATAACAATAACGTGAGATCCATCAACCAAGTTATGAATGTCCTTGCTAATTTATACATGACAAAACTCTCCAGAGACCGGACCTTGAATGGGATGATTCCAACTTTCCACACCATCCAATACCCGCTGATTCTGTGCCGCGTGATCGTAACAACCAGTCAGTAGGGTTGACTCCTCAGGCTTGTGTCGCTATTCAACAACCAACTGTGCCCCCCTTCGTCCCTGCCTACTACATGGATCCAAATCGTCCTTACTATGCTGGGGCCAGCCACCATAACGCTCTAGGCCCCGATTCCGCCGCTTTTATCTATCCGATGAATATGGAAAACCATTCTCATCATCTCGTCACGGGAGTTCAAGCACCCAGCCCATCTGTCCCCACGGTCAAAAATGGAGCTATGAATATTAATCCTCTCCCAGAGCCAGCGGAGCCGGTACATAAGAGGTTTGTTATAACTATCCACTCTTAAGCTTTTCGACATAACCACAGCTAACATCGTTTCTCCTCCTTTAGTGACAATTCTAATCCGGACCACAATCACCGATGCGATTGGCAAGCCTGTAATCGCTCCTTTACTCAACCCCAAGACCTAAAAAAACACTTCAAAACCGACCACCACCACTCCAACAATACAGTGTGTGAATGGGGAGGATGTAATAGTCCATTTCTTCAATCCAAAGGCTTGTTACGACATGTCAATACTATCCATATCTTCCCCGATGCCTTCTCGTGCCCTATCAATAAGTGCAGTAAAACTTTCAATCGAAAGGATAATATCCCGAGACATGTTCGTCTCATGCACAATCGATCCCCTGAGCTCGACGAGGTAGAATAGAAATGGCGAGTACATGAATACTTATGACGGGTTATGTGTGATAGGACTAAAAATGGGTTAGATGGATTATCTTTCGGGCAAGCGTTATTTTTCGGTTTGTAATACTCTTATACTATTAGTATTACTTTTACTTGTGTTTTTTCTTTATGTATTTAAGACTAATATTTTCTATACTTATTTCACATCACATTGATTATATCATTTCTTGGCGTTGGGCTGGATTCTCTTTAGTAAGGTGAATACCGGGTCCGACTTGACTGAACAGAGACACGTCGAGGTACGATCCTCTAACTCAGTGGGCGGTTGACATTGGTGTCAGGTGAGTTGGTTTCAAGGACGTCCAATTTCAAACCATCTCGCAGGCAATTAAAGGATATCTAGATTACAAATATGTGCCACGCTACATCGCTGATGTCAACTGTCAACACTGGTATGCATCACCTTTCCGCGCAACCCTAGCCCTAACCCTAAATCAACGACTTAACACCTGTGAGCTCTGGGCAATCCATAACCTTTATATCGGAATTTTGAGGATGCGAAGCCGGGATGGACAAGGAGCATCTTACTCATGAATTTCATTTATGTTAAACCATTCAAAAAAGGTAATTCGGGGATTACGGAAGGGCTGGTACGAAGCTAGCGGTATAAATCTAGAGAAGCAAGTTTCCCATTTCCACTAAGCAGTAACATATCGAGGACTGTATTTCTGGCATAGCAATGTTTCAATGATAGCAAAGTCTTCTTTCACCGATGTCAATATTTCTGTTTTGCTTATGTTTTTCTTGTATATATGACGACGCCTTAATCATAATATTATTTTCGTAGATTAATGTAAAAGAAAGCCATTAAATCTAGGCCAATTCCGAAGCAAACTGAACCAATCTAGTATATTGCAGCTTCGATAAGTGGTCAATGTTGGTAGGACAAGGTTACAAAAGTTTATTTGTCATCCTCCTAATTACCGGCTAAGGATATGTCGGTTACTGATTGCAGTATAGCCAGTGTGCAGATACTGCTTAGCGCTTATTATATATCCCCTAGTTCTTATAAATAGTATGCCTGGAACTGCTATGTACCCCTCCGCACACCGACCTAATGCAAGTTATATAAAAAATCTAGAAAACGGCAGAAATACCACACGATTTCCATTGCTATCTTCGCGTTTATGGAGTCAGCTAATATCTCCGAGAAACCAGGTCCTGCAGCTGTAGAAGCCGGGCATGGTGGAGAGGAGGATGCTGGACAAAACGTCGTAAACACCGCAAACCAGGCTCCTCCTGAAGACTGGTTTGCATGGCTGCAAGTCCTGGGAGCATTCTCGCTGAATCTAAATACATGGTAGTGTCCTCTCAATACACCTAACCATCTAACTTTTTAAATGTTGATATTGATATGATGCACAGGGGCCTCATGAACGCATTCGGTGTCTTTCAGACCTTCTATCAACTCGATCTACTCGCCTCCAAAACATCTTCAGAGATATCCTGGATCGGGTCGACGCAGTCATTTCTCATGTTTCTCGTTTCTGTTTTTGCAGGGCCAATCGTCGACGCGGGCCATCTGCGACCCTTACTCGCGGTGGGCTCCCTACTGACTGTGCTTGGAATGTTCATGACAAGCCTCTGCACCGCGTTCTGGCAGGTTTTTCTCGCGCAGGCAGTGGCTATGGGTCTGGGGTTTGGCTGTCTGTACGTACCAGCCCCGACAGTCGTCTCGCAGTACTTCCACGCCAGCACGGCGTTGGCGATGGGCGCGTCATCGGCGGGGAGTGCACTTGGTATGCCCCATATCTTTACATCAAAAGTACATATATGCAGCGGCACTCTAACATACCCAAGGCGGGATAATCTACCCCATCATCTTCACGCACCTCCAACCGCGCATCGGCTTCGGCTGGGCCACGCGGGTAATCGCCTTCATCGTCCTGGCGACACTCCTCCCGGTGCTCTTCATAATGAAAACCCGCGCAGCTCCAACTTCAAAATACACTCTCCTCGACAAATCTGCGTTCAGAGATACGCCATATCTCCTGCTCAACCTCGGCCTCGTGTTTGGGTTCATGGGGTTCTATGTGATATTCTATTACATCCAGCTATACGCGCTGCAAGAGACTAGTCTGTCGGCACCGCTGCAGGGGTATCTGCTCGTGGTTATCAATGCCAGCTCGCTGCTGGGCCGGTTGGTGCCGGGGTACTATGCGGATATGATCGGGTCGATTAACATGCAGACGGCTGTGGCGCTGGTAGGTGGGATATTGACGTTTTGTCTGGTCGTCATCAAGAATGCAGCGGGCTTGGTGGTGTTTTGCGTTTTGTATGGGTTTTGTGCGGGTGCTTTCATGGGTTTGCCGGCGGCGGGAGTCGTGAGTTTGTCGCTGGAGAAGAAGAGTATGATTGGGACGAGGTTGGGTATGACGCTTGCTACGGTCGGATGCGGCGTTCTGGTGAGTAACCCAATTGCAGGCGCGATTCTGAACGGGCGAGGAGGCTGGATTGGACTGATTGTGTGGTGTGGTGTGTTGCTTATGGCGTCCTGTGCAAGTATGGCTGCGAGTCGGGTGGCGAAGGTTGGTTTTAGTTGGAAGGGGGTAATATGACAGTTTTGAATTCAATTCCGGTCTATAGTGTCTTGTCTATCTACTCAAACAGCTTTTTCAACAACACCATACCAAATGCGTCTCCTCCCGGCGACTCTTCCATACGGATCACTCTATTCCCAGCCCTCGAGCTCAGCCATAGGCCATGATCACTATGGCTCTCTACCTCGCTGTCGACCTTGTGTCTATTCCTCCGGTCGACAACACACATGCCTCTAGTCCAATGGCCCACGGTCTCAATCCGGATATCCTCTGGCGACGTGACCGTAGGCTTCCAACGGGTGTCCTCCGCAGTCAATGCATACCACACACAAACAGGATCATGCAGCGACAAACTCGCCGAGGCTCCCTCATGTCCCTGATGCAGCCGCTCGAGAGTCTGAAAGACATGTGCCATAAACGCCGACACCCACTCGGCCAGCGGACTGCCGGCTTGTAAAAGCGGCGTGATCGTCCGGTCAAAGTCGCCGCGCGTGAGGTTGTGTTTCAGCGTGATGTCGAGCGGGAAGAGTTTGAGGGTGAGTGGCTTGCTGAGTTGTGATGGGTATGCACGCAGTTTCGTGCTGACTGGGATTGTGCTTTGTGGGTTAGGTGAGGTCAGCGCGAAGACGCGTGCAGCGGCGACGGAATCGGCGTAGGCGTTGAATTCGCCGACGGGGGTGACCTGTTCACTTAGTATAAATCCTTTGCTGTTTTTTATATAAAGGATAGAGGGAAGGTACATTTCCGGCTTCATTGATTGCACCGCCCATCACGACTACTTCTTTTACCCGCAGAAACGTCTCTGGGTCCTTTGCTGCTGCCAATGCGAGGTTTGTTAATGGTCCGACGGCGACGATGGTGATGGTGTCCGGCTCGTTTTCGCTCAGGACGTGCAGGATCTCGTCTGAGGCGTGGCGTCTGGACGGGATGAAGGATTGGTGAGAAGTACTCGAAGGTGCGACGTTGGGGAGAACGTCGGGGTCAGACATGGGCGCGAAGAGATGCTCCCACGATTCACCAGGTGTGAGATGAGGATGCTGGCCAAATATTAGTGATTCAGATATATAATATATGGATATATAATATATGTATATATACTCACGCTGAAATGAATGCCTCCAAGACCATCCTTGCCGTCTACACATTCATCAGAATCAATATCAAGTTCTTAATTCCTTTACTAGGGAGCATACGGAAGTAATCTGCAAGCATCTTCTGATCATCCAGCGGCTCCTGCGCGCCGACAGCAACAATGGGCTTGCGCGCTCGCAGCGCATCGAAACCTTCGGGCTTCCCCTGTTCTTTGCGCCATTGGGTCTCGCGTTCGATGATGTGCAGCATGGAGATAACATTGCGTAGGCAGCTGTGATCATTAGCTATGATATAGAAGATAGGGGAAAGGGTATACCTCTGCACTTCAATGTTGCCAAAGGTCAATGAGATCAGTAGCACTTCTATTTCTTCCGGGCTCGACGCGAAGGCGAGCAGCATGGCGAGAATGTCATCGATGCCCTGGTAGCGTCAGAACGATTATTCTTCTTCCCCGCGTTAAAATGACATGGAATGACATACCGGATCGGTGTCAATGATGATTTTTGCCTTGGGCGCCATTCTCGCTTTAAAATGTATCAAGGGTTGTCTCGCAGTGTATATATTAATTGGTGCAATAAATAGAAGAATGAAGAAAAAGAAGAAAACATGGTCGAAAAGATCATTATCAGTATCGTGGAGTGAACTCCAGTTGGTGGGGTTAAACGCGACGTAATGATAATAGTAGCGAGCGGAGAGCTCCGACGGGTACAGAACCGCAGCCAATGGCGGCTGCATATGTTGACTTGGTATTCTTCTCGGTTCAAGTAAGATGAATTAAGATGACATACTCGCTTTGGCCCCGATGCTGCGTGGTTTGGCGAGGAGAAGGTTACATGCTGATAAACCTTTAACCGACAAAATTGACGATGGCCGGTCGTGGTCGATATATTGGGGCGATTGATGCCGAATGGCACCAGTATATCGTATAATATAAATAGAACCCCAGCGATTGACCAAACACTGGCAGTATGGGATACAAGAGCAATTGACGTTAATGTTGAAAGGGATGAGGAGAAAGCAAAGGACGGAGCTGATTTGCTGGGCGGAGTGGAGGCTTTAGTCCACCACTGCTAGCTGCTGCTGCTGCTGCTGCTGCTCCAGCCTCCTGGCCGCGTCAAAGAGACCACCTATATTTATTCTTTTATTCCATTGATTCTATTTATTGACTGCCACCACCACACCCATTGATCATCCAATATGTGCATGGGCCGTCCCGTCTAGCCGCCCTCCCTCATCGCTGCGCACTCTTGATTTCCTTGTTCCAGTTCTCCCCTTTCTTTAAAGCTCCACCCGAGCCACTCCATCTCTCGACCTGATCTGATCGTCTGGTCGAGCCTCAATCAAACTCAGCCAAGGCCTTTCTATCATCCGGCATTCTGCGCAGTCATTAATCTAATACTCAACTCCAACCTCAAAGAAGAGAAGAGGACATCTGGCACCGATCCCCTGCGTCTCCGAAACACGCGGCCCCGCACGGGATTTGTGAACACTTAACTAGCGATCTGAACCAGAACAGCCCTCGAATGTGCTAGCTCGCGTTCGAGTGGTATACGATAGCCTGACGTACACTGTACACGACTATTTTCCAATACACTACTTACCTGTGAGTACATTTGGAGACCTTTACTATATGGGTAACTAACTAACAGCATAGAACATGAACCCCTACGTGAGCTGGGCCATCGTCCTGGTCGTCACCGGCGGACTCGGCTTTTACTACTCCAACACAACCAAGCCTAGAGGCAGGACGCCTGTCCGAGCTGCCCCTGAGAAAGTCGAGGCCGCGGCACCAGCCCCGAAGCACAAAAAGCCCAAAGCTCGCAAGTCCCCCGAGCCATCCTCCAAGCAAGACGAGAAACCCGCATCGCCTCCTCCTGTGTACACTGCAGACGACGAGGATGATGCCAACAACAAAGAATTCGCCAAGCGACTGGCGGCTGCGAGAACCGGAGTGACAGTGGGCGACACCAAAACCAAGCCTCGCAAGGAGATACGTTCTAAAGTAGTGGCTGCTGCCCCCGAAAGCGTCGGCAGCGAACTGTCGACCCGTGCCCCGTCTAGTAACGGCGGCGATGCTGACGACGATCTGTCCTCGACTGACAACGTGGTCGCATCGGCAGACGACGTCTCCGATATGCTCGAGAAGCCTGCTCCGGGCGCCTCGGTTCTGCGACTGACAGGCTCAGTCGAGTCCAAGGAGAAGAAGCAGAAGCCGCAGGCTTTCAAGCCCGTCGAGACCAAGAAACAGCGCCAGAACCGCCAAAAGAATGAGGCCCGCAAGCAGGCTAACCAGGAGGCCGAAGCCGAACGCCGCAAGCTGCGGGAGAAGCAGCTCCACACAGCCCGCGAACACGAGCGCCAGGAAGCTGCCCGACAGAAACCCGCTGCTGCTCCCCAGAACGCATGGAACAAGACCAATGGCGCTGTCGCGACCCCGGCCCCCGCCACCACCGCCAATGAGAACCTCCTCGATACCTTTGAGCCTGTCGCAAAGCCATCTGGCTCGTCAGGTACCTGGACCAACAACCTGCCGCCAGAGGAAGAGCAGATGCGGATCCTCGGGGTCTCCCCAGGCGAGGAGGACTGGACTACGGTTCCGTCCAAAAAGGAAAAGACCAAGAAAAAGGCCAAAGCTGACGAGAGCGCCAACGAGGCCAGCTCATTCGAGGCGCCAGCGACTATATCCGAGAGCAAGCCGACGGAATGGGTTGCGCCAGTCGCCCCAGCCCCGGTTCCAGTGCCAGTGCCACGGGGCAAGAATCACCCTCTTGACTCGGATTGGGCTGCTTGATGCATACATACTTTACACGCGTGTCTGTTGTATTCAAAAGTCGTGCTTGAAAGTAGCTTGTTTCTATGCCTGTGCCTCTATGGAGCGCAATACCCAGTTCTTTTTTTTTCCTTCTTTTGTACTGTACTGTTGAATGGATTGCAGCAGATTCTGATTGTGTATTATTCTAGCGCTGTATATGTACTGATTCAATTAACAATACTGCCAGACACTACTCAGTAGCGTACGTGTTTATACTCTTCTCCAGATCTGCAGGGATCGACTAGTCCGTCCTTGATGCGGCTTGATTATTCAACAATAAACAACAGAAGAAAATGAAAAAGAAAGCAAATGGGTTGAATAGAGAAATTAACAAAATAATGGAATAAAATGAATAATCAAAACAATACATAATAAAAACTACATGTCACACAATAAATACCGTAAATGATAAAAATAACATAACTAAGCACGTAGATCGGGGCCGCCAAGCCTAACGTCCCGCAAGGACGTAGCAAAAGCGCCATCGTGGCCTCTTGCCGGCCATTGCGTTACTTGCACTGTTGCTCACTACCCTATTTAATTGCTTCTCTCGCTGACCACGGCTATGAAACTTGCCTGCCAGCTGTTCTAGTCATTGCATATTTCTTCCTCTCCTCTTTACTCTTTCCTCCCTTGCTGAATACTCGTGACACTGTACTTGTTGACAATACACCATGGCCCAAATACGCGGAACTGCGGGCTACAACCTCGGCCACCAGAACCGCTTCGCTGGCGGGCCTGGCGGACTCGATGCCACCAGCGATCCCAGTCCGCTCGACCAGATCCGCGAGCAGACCAGCAAGATTGAGGACTGGCTGGACACTGTGTCGGATCCGATCAAGCCGTATTCCTCCCTCACCTAGCCGTGATGTATCCTGTGTGTGTTTATTGACCGATGAGTATAGATACGTGCCTGCCATCGGCCGCTTCCTGATTGTCGTTACGTTCCTCGAGGACGCCCTCCGAATCATGACGCAATGGAACGACCAAATAGTCTTCCTGAAGGACTACCGCCACAGTGCGTCGTCCCTTTATGACCTACTATCCTATCTTCGTGATGACTGATCTCTGCTAGTCCCCTGGGGCATTACACACCTCTTCCTCCTCTTCAACGTAATCGTCATGCTAGCGTCGTCAATTCTCGTGATTGCTCGCAAACACAGCGAATACGCGGTCGGCGGTTTACTCGCTGTCGTGGTGACGCAGGCGTTAGGCTACGGCCTGATTTTCGACCTGAACTTCTTCCTGCGCAACCTGAGCGTGATTGGCGGGCTGTTGCTGGTAATTTCGGACTCGTGGGTGCGCAAGAAGTACATGCCGGCGGGCCTGCCGTCGCTGGATGAGAACGACCGAAAAATGTACGTGCAGTTGGCGGGTCGCGTGCTGCTGATCTTGCTGTTTATTGGGTTTGTGTTTTCGGGCCAGTGGTCGTTCTGGCGTGTGCTGGTCAGTCTTATTGGGTTTGTGGCGTGTGTGATGGTGATTGTTGGGTTCAAGGCGAAGATGAGTGCGGTCATCCTCGTGATTTTGTTGAGTGTGTTTAATGTGCTGGTCAACAATTTCTGGACTGTATGTTCCCCCCTTGATTTTTATTAAGTGTATTACTGACTGCCCAGCTCCGTCCCCACCACCCGAACAAGGACTTTGCCAAGTACGATTTCTTCCAGGTGCTATCTATTGTGTATGTGTCAAGCCTCACTATCAGTATCACATGTCTAATATCAGTCTTAGCGGCGGTCTCCTCCTCCTTGTCAACATGGGTCCCGGCCACTTCAGCGTCGACGAGAAAAAAAAGGTATACTAGTAGCCACACATCCATTTGGCTGGCACACATCATTCTGGTATGGTGAATTGGTTACGCATAATATATGATATCATATCCATCACGAGCGGAGGAGGCCATGTACGAGAATATCTCCATTATCGCATCATCGAGGGCAGTGTTAAAATTTGTTAGTTCTGATTTTTGTTTTGGTTAGTTGGAGTTAGTTCGTTACATCAATTAAGCAATTGGACCTGTTCACTGCCGATGATAGTTGTGGATTATTCAAAATGTTGAGATTGTCATTTCATCAGTGATGCCTATATACTGTGATGTCATTATACATGTCATTTAATGGTGATGTGTAGGCCGGGTATACACCCTCCCCCGCTCCTCCCACGACACAACATGAACTCCCTTCAAACGAAACACATACTCAACCACATCCCCCTCATCGCCATCAACTACACCCCTAGCTACATGTCGATACACACCCCCTTCCTCACCCTCTGTGCTCATCCCTACAAACTCAATCCGTCGCACGACTGTGCTACCATCAGATGTCGTGAGGATATGAATGCGCTTATCAACAAGCCGGAAGACACACGTCCCTTCTACTTCAGAATCGCAGTATTCATACTCTACATCACCCTCTGACGGCCCAGACACGCATACCCGCGGACACAACTCCACCTCTCTTTTGCCGTCAGCAGTGGACGAGACTCTCCACTTCCCATGCAATGCACGAAAAACCGCATGGCACAATGCATCCCGTCTGCCTGCACTAGCCGGCGCCATCAACGCCCTCAGCGCGGCAAGGGTTGCGGCTGAGTCGGGGGTTTTTGGGGTGGCGTATCGCGCTGGCACGACGGGGCCTACTCTCTCATCATCATCATTCCCATTTTCATTCTGTATATCGGCGCGCGCAATGCCCAACTCCCGCGCATACGTCTCCATTAACCCCACATAATCGCCCATCGGGAACTGCGCTATCGATGAGTTTTGCTCTCGCAGCGAGCGGATCGAGTCGCATGCAGATAGGTCGTGTGAGGTGCCGGGTGTGCAGGTACTGTCGCCCCACCGAACGGCGAGACTTCGTGCTTGCATCTCCATCACTCCCCAGTAAGGGCCGCGATACATGCCTACGAAGCCTAGGTCTGGAACAAGTGGGTTCAGAGTCGCTTTTGCATCGAGGAGGAGCGGGAAGAGTGGGTGGGTTGGGGAGTAGTTTAGGGCTGAGAGGACGGGGTTAGGGAGGAGAGGAGAGAGGGAGGGGAAAGGGGTGAATCCTGTTGCGAAGACGATTGCGAGGATAGAGGGGATGGGTTCGGTTGTGCCGGTTGGGTGCCGGAGGATGGCTGTGTTTGTGCTGGTGGTGAGGGACTCGAGACGGCCGAGAAGAGGGTGGATGGTGCCGCTGCGTACGAATTCGTTGTAGTGGTCTGTCACGGCGACCCATGGCGGGTGGTCTCGGTCAGAGGAAGAGGGTTCCAGGAGGTTAGGCTGGGAGGAAGAGAGGAGGGAGGAAAAGTAGTCGTGTACTGCTCTCGCGCGCGCTGCGGGAACGGGGCCCAGTGTGTACTGCACGTCGCCTGGCGGGCGGCGGGAGAGGTCGTATAGGGCGAGATCGAGGGGGATGAAGCCGCCGGATTGGTCGGGGAGGTAAGTCGGGACAGGCCAGAAGGGGCGGGAGGAGATGTGCTTGATGGTCAGGTTATGAGAAGGGAGAGATGAGAGGGATAAGGCGAGGGCTGACGCGGCTTCGGCGCCAGACATGCTCCCGCCTACGACGAGGATGGTGCCGGTGGGATCGGCATGGTTGGTGGTGAGTTGCGCGAGGAAGTCGGAGGGAGAGTGGAGGGACGAGCTGTGGATGGCCCTGGTGGATGGGAAGTTGTGTAGTCCTGGGATGGACGGGATGTGCGGCGTACCGAAGAAGCCTGATGCGACAACGAGGTAGTCGAATGAGGAAGACACAGTACTAGAATATATATTAGCATGATATATCCTTTTTTTTTTTTTCTTGGGGTAGATGGACCTCTCTGGTTTGCTCTCGTCCACCCATTCCACCGTCCACCGCCGTCTCTCCTCCTCATTTTGACTCTTATCAATCTGACTATCCTCATTTCTCATCGTCCGAACAACCCGACAACACAATTTAAGCACCTCATCTGGGATAAACTTCTCGCAATACCGCTGTAAATAATCATTGACCTGCGCTGCTCTCGGGAACATTCCACTTCCATTCCCATTATATGTATTGGGTTCCTCCCACGACAGATCCGAGAACGAGACTGTGAATCGACTCAGATTCGTGCGCATCGACGCAGGAATAAACCCCTGTTGGCGGGATAGTCTGTTCGTAGCCCACAGCCCGCCGATGACAGGCTTGGATTCGAAGATGGTCGGTTCATAGCGGCCGGGGGAGTGGTGGAGGAGGGCTTTTGCGGTGACGAGGCCCGAGGGGCCAGCGCCTGTTCTCCATTAATATCTAGATGGAGATGTGGAGGGGATTTCGGTGTATGCAACTAATTGACATGTAGTGATGGGACTACGTACCAATAATCGCGACCTTTTTAGGCGTCATTGTCTCGTTGGCCGGGTTCATGATTGTTGACACATGCATGGACGGGAGTGTCGTGGTTTAGTTGATGTATGTGTGTATATTGAGGGGTACCGCGGGGTATACATCTTTAATGTTATGTTATACACCAACGCGATTATTAAAAATTATTCATTATTTAGCTATACTCTATACTGTATACTTGTATGCTAGGCACAATCTCTAATCCGTGTACCATGCTGACGCTGGACATTTTTCGTCCCTGCCGACATCGGCGTTCTGTCTCAGCCAGAGTAATAAATACTCTAGGCAATAAGAATAATTCTGCGTGGCAGAATGGCAAGTTACCTGTGAACTTGCCGTAAGATATCGCTAATCGATGTCGTCGGAGGATAATAATGTTCTGATCGACCGATCATCGTGTCGGCAATCATATCATATGATCGATTGGATTGTGCCGGAGCGTTTGTGGTGGTGGCGGAGGCCGTTGGTGGTGGAAGATTGGTTGAGAGCTTGGATAAAAGAGTGATTTGGCTCTTAAACACAACCATCAGCACCGACCAAATATGGATGTTGTAGGTGAGTCAAGACATACATGGCAACTGCTGCAGCCACTGCGAGACGTGCAGGTTCTCTGCCCGGCGGATGCGCGCGTCATTGAGATCCTGCTCAATCAGAAAGGTGTCGACGTTGCGCTGGGTCAGCGGTCTCTTGCAGCGATTCTCTCGCTTGAGGATCTCGCGCTCGGCCAGGGCGGCGCGCGCGCTCTTGAACGAGAGCCGATTGCGCAGCTTTGTGATGCCGACCAGCGGCAGGGGCAGGGTGCGCGAGACGAGCACGTCGACGTCGGCCATGTCGTTGTCGGGGAGGATGGAGTGCATGGTGATATATGAGATGTAGTTAATGAGGGAGATAAATTGGGCTATGAGTGAGAGCGAGTCGCACGAACGCTGCAACAGAAGATCAAACGAAGAGGGCGGCTACATGTATATAAGGAGAAGAAAAACTAAATGCAGAGGGGCGGCGGGGTCCGATCGCTGCAGCTACTGGCTTAGCATTGCTGCCAATCGCCTTAGCATTCTGCCCGCGCTCGGATCGCACGGCATTTTATTATCTATTTCCACCGTCCAGATAATACCACACAACTATCTGACTGTCTATTGAGAGATACATGTGTATATGAGTCAATGAAAATATCCTATGTAATTGATATTGTCTATATTTCATGTTATTTCCGTAGAGAACACACTCCTTGGCAGGGCGCAGCATGGAGCAAAGTACATCTGTCGGTGATGTATAGTGGACCCTAGTAAGTCCTAGTCTGCAGTGCTAGGAGCGTCTTGGCAGTGATCCATGTACAGATCCTCTGCCGTCGCAGCCGACCTAATCGTGCTCCCAGCCGTGGTTGCATTTCCACCAACCAATACTCGGTGTAGCTGGCCGGAACTGCCAGCTCGGTACTAGCTTGCTGCTCTTTCTTGGTAAAAGAAGAGAGTCCTCGCGCTCAGGACCCTGTCTGTGGACAGGCGCTGCGCAATCTCAAGTAAATACTGCAAATATGGAAAGGGGGCTTGGCTGGCATTATCGAATGTAAATAGTCTTGGCTGCACCTAGCAAATATTCTTGGCTGCAACTATTAGACACTCTTGGCTGCACATCACTGTTGCAGCTCTTGGCACCAAGAGTCTCAGAATGTGCCAAGCGACCAATTTTGCGTCCTCCTGTGCCGTGCCTGTCACTCTGTCACTGCGTACTAACGTGGTTAGCACTTCGTCCTCAATCGGCAACCGCGTCTAAGAATAATCAGTAAATCGCGCATGTGCAGATGGAACAATATTCTACGGAATATTACTCGATTATATAAGTCATGTCTCTGATGTTATCTGCCCCACCTCGCCAATCATATTGCGTAGTCGGCCGTCCCCGCGGAGTTAAGTTATGCACGTGCGCACAACCTCTGCCCCTTATGTAAGCGAATCGTCACTTCGCTGGCTGCCCTAACCCTAGCCCTACTTCTGCTACTCTGACCTCTTAGTAGGTTCCTACTAAGTAGAGAGATGAGACGGAGGATACTCAATAATTGCGATATAGGTACACCAAAACAGAATATATATGAATCTACTAATTTGTTCCAAGTCTTCAGAACTGGAATGATACGCAGAGATGGTTGAGTTATGTCTACATGAGGTAGGCTATTCTTGCCATCTGCTCCGAACCTAGTAGCGTTGACACTACGTAGTATTTAGCTCGTGCGTATGTATATATATACTGTAACCCAGATATGTACATGTATATGAGTGAAGTATCACGCCTCATGCTCGGCAGCCTTCCTAGGCAGCACCAACCACAACCCAGCCAACACTACCAACAAACTCAACGCAAAAGGCTGCAGGCTCTGCACGCCTCTCGCCTGCGCAATCAACCCAGCCAAAAACGGCAATACCGCAGCTCCTCCCCCTCCCAGCGCCGCTGCAAACCCTATACCCGCAGTATGCAAATGCTTCGGGAGCAGCTTCGCCGCCACCACCATGGCCACCGGGAACAGTGGCCCGATGAAAAACCCCAGCAGCGCGACCATCACCGCCGACACGACAAACTGCGCAATCAGCCAGAACAGCAGCTCAAAGACAATCGCGAGACCCAAGTAAATCATCAGCGCGACGCGCTCGCCCAGCCGGTCGTTGACAAACCCCAACACCAGTCGTCCGAGCGTAATGCCCAGCCAGAACCCCGTTGAGACAAGTCCAGACTCGAGATTCTCGCCGTTGCGTTCTTGCCGCATGAATTCCACTAGCCAGCCGCCAATAGCCACTTCGACGCCCATGTAGATGAACAGCAGCAGCGCGAGCGTCCATACAATCCTATTCTTCATGGCTTCGACAGTGCGGCTATTTTTTGCTCCGGAGTTGGTACCTGTCTCGATCCGTGCGTTGTTTTCGCGGAACTTTGCGCCTGTTTCGCGCCAGAACATGCTTGTGCAGCCGAGCAGTTCTAATACCGAGACGGCCGCCATGATATAGTAGAACGTCCACCACCCAAGACCCGCGCCGATCATCGACGTAGCGACCGTAGGCGACACAGTTGCACTGCCCACATTAGTATCACTCACACTATCAACCACTTTTAAGGTTGTAAAGAAATAGAGAAGATATACCCCGCCCCATACGAGGCATGCAAACACCCCATAATCGAATTCGCATTCACCATGTCCCCTATCCACGCACTCCACGCCGCATCAACAAGCCCATTCCCCATCCCGATGATCGCGTATACGCATATGACCACCGGGAAGGGCGGTTTCACGGACAAGACGATGAAGGGGATGATATGGCATAATGGCGCGATAATCGCTATCCCGCGCTGGCCCAGCACCATGTGGATTTTGGTCACGGATACAGTCGCCAATGTGTACCCGGCGAACGGGGTGATGAAGATTACGGAGACGAGGCTGGTGGAGAGGTTGTAGTATGATCGTAGCTAGAAAAGTTTATTAGTTAGATGGGGTACATATTATTGTTATCATTATTATTTATTATTATTATGGTTTGTACCCATGGTATCAATGCCTACAGCCCCAGTCAGTAAGTGATCTAGATATGATAAGATATTATCATACCCCATACGCAGCATCGTTGGCTCCGACGATCACGAAACTGAGAAAAGTCGCGGCGACTTTGTACTTGTTTAGCGGCGGGTCGTTCCATCGCTGTTTCACCGTCGTCACTGTCACGCCTGGAGGCGCTTCTACCGCCTCGTTTTGCTCTTCCAACGCAGCAGCAGAAGAAGACGAGGAGACATTATCTAGGTGTACATGTAGTGTGTTGAGATTATTCCTCTGCGGCTGAAATGCAGCCCGTTGCGGGAGCTCAATGGCTGATGTTGCTGACATTTCAATATTCGTTGTGCCGCGACATGGACAGAGAAAGTAGAAGAAGAAGAAGAAGAAAAGAAGAAAGTACTGGCTTACGGTTAATGTTTATATATATATTAATCGACCTGATCATCGGGGCACCCCGTGGGTTGTGGAGAGAAGAGCGAGCGGGGCAGAATGACTCAGACCAAACAAGCCAATCACTTCATCCAGCTTGTAGTTATATAATTGCAGATCATTGAAAAGAGTTTATTGCCGCGTGTGAATGCAACGAATAAGCAGATTCAATCAATCCGTGGCATTACGTATTATTGTTGGTTGTAATCGTGGGATTGTCAAATGAGGTTCTGCCCATTCTGTTGGCAGAATGGAGAGCAAAATTACTGGATTCGGGAATAAATGACTCGGAATTGTCCCGACGGTTGTCTCTTCTTGCTTTAGATTTAGGCTTAACATTAAGTTTGGTTTGCTTTTAGATTCTGGTGTAGATTGGTTGACAGGTGGTGCTAATTATGAGCTAGCGATAGAATACAGCTATGTTTTGTAAACTGTAGGGAACTGATTAAATTACATTTCTGCTGTTTCGAAAAGTACGTCTTCTGGGAAAATTCATAAACCCATACATTTCATGGCATTTGATTGATTCCGATCGTATGCACATAACATTGATCTTGCGTTATCTATCCATACCACTTCAACTACCGTCGTATTTCTCAACAACTGAGTTCACGTAGCAGTAGCTGTCACTCCAACGTTGCGGGCGTGGGTACTTGCAGGAACATTCCCGGAATTTCTATACTAAAAGTAGATGAAGCGCTGCGGCTTTAATAACGAAGAGATGCTATCTGAGACTGGGCTCGTGGCATCCGGAGCTATTAGTGTGATTCAACAGTCTATCCTTAACCTATCAACATGCGAGAACCCTTAATATTGAGCCTGGCCGTTTTTAGCGGTAATCAATTATAGAAGATCGTACGTTAAGAATGTGGCTTACCAGGCTAATGATTATTCAGCCTACACCCGAATCAGCTAATCTACAGATTCGAACAAAGAAGTATGTATGCATCTTGATCTGGTCGGCCAATAACAAAAAGACGCGCACCCTTGCTTCTATAACGTGGATCGCCTGTGACAAGCTGCAGCTCGATAGAGCGAGGCGCTCGGACTTATCGCGCCCCTCTTTAAGTCCGTCCGATCAGCCCCGCCAACTCTAATTCCTAATTGTATATCAGAATTTACGTTGAGACTGCAATTATTCTTAATTTGACATTAGTACATCATTCGAAGCTAGTTATACAATGGCAGGTTCTATCCTCCTGCAGAACGGCACAGTCCTCTTTCATGAAGGAAATAACGTTAAATTCCTCCACAACCATGATGTCTTGATCCAAGGAAACAAAATAAACAAAATCGGACGAGGCCTACAACCTCTGCCCAATGGCAAACTGATCGACTGCTCTGGGAAAATCATTTCACCAGGGTTCATTGATACCCATCATCATTTATGGCAAACCCAGGTAAGCCCCGTCAATTCGATCAGTTTGCCGTATTTATTCTCTAACACTTGATATAGCTAAAAGGAAGACATGGCGATCAAGTTCTTACAGACTATATGGTTTCAGGTACTATAAAGTCTGGTCTTCAAAATTACCTAGCTAAAATCTTACTAGGAATGCTTCAATCCTTCAATTACGAAGCTGAAGACATGTTCTGGGGCCAACTCGCAGGCTGCATTGAGAGCATCGATAGCGGAGTGACCACCGTCGTAGACCATGCCAACCTGACATACTCCCCAGAACACGGTACGTCTATCCAACCTAAATTTTAGATTATTATTAAGTAGCCGTTTAGCTACCGAGGCCCTACGCGCCACCGCATCATCCGGATTAAGGACCATTTTCTGCTACGGAGTAATGCCGCGGCTGAAAAAATGGACGTCGGAGTTTGAAATCGACAAGGAGGTCTTCCCCGGCTGGTGGCATTCTACGCTTGAAACCCTGGCCAAGGCCCAGCCGTTTGGCAAGGAGCGGGTTCAGCTTGGTTTTTCGTTTGATCTGTTTAAATTACCAAGGGAGGTTGTTACCGAGGTCTGGACAAAGTGTCGGAAGTTGGGGTTGAAGATTTTGACTACGCATTACTCCTCGCCGGCGATGCCTAGTGTGTTTATCTTTTCTATTCTATTATTCCTTCTTCTGTATTTTTGATTGACCGGGCGTACTGATGAGTTAAAGACAGTATCAAAATGCTCTCCGACTACGGCCTCCTCGACAAGGACATCATCGTATCTCACGCAAACAACATAGCTGAAGTCGACGCCCGTACACTCGTCGACCACGACGTCTACATTTCATCCACCCCCGAAACAGAACTCCAATTCGGCCCCGGAGACGTCGTTGCATTCCGCGACGACATCCGATCTCACGCTTCCATCGGCCTCGACTGCCATTCCACCAACTCCACCGACCTGCTAACTCAAATCCGAATGTGTCTTCAGTATTCACGCGCAATGGTTGCTGTGAAGTCCTGGGAGCAAGAGGGGAAGCAACTGCCGAAACTGACGATTAAACTCGAGGAGGCCTTTAACCTGGGAACCATCCAAGGTGCCCGAGCAGTCAATATGGAAGATCAAATCGGAAGTATTGCAGAAGGAAAGCTGGCCGATATCATTGTATTCGACACACATAGCCCAGCCATGGTTTGTGCAGCGGAGGAAAATCCACTAGCTGCGGTTTTGCTGCATGCTAGTGTGAGAGATATCGAGACTGTGATTATTGACGGAGTGATCCGCAAAGAGGATAAGAAATTGTCGCAAATTGAGATTCTGGACGAGCCGAATGGGAAAGTAGAATCAAAGATAAGTTGGAGCGAGCTTTCACGGAATTTGTTGGATAGTCGGGCGAGGATTAAGAAGAGAGGAGAGGGTCAGGATTTTGCAGTGGCGAAGAAAGCACTGTTTGGAGGCGCTTGAATGTCGTACCAGAGTTTTAAAATATTTCATATTAATTCAAGTTTCATGCCACTACTCTTTTTCATCATGTACATGTCTATGTACGTGTCATCGTTGTCGAAATTCCCTTATTTAGAAAGCTCTATGGAAAGTTCAGCAGCCCTAAGAACTCTAAAACTAGCTCACCACCACAACGCTTAGCCGGAATAGTACGCTTCCTCTACGTACTGTGGATGATTTTATCATGGTCATTTCAACGTTAAAATTAGATACCTAGTAACCTCTCATCACTTACTGGCTGAGACTTCGGATAAAGCTGATTGCGTCTCAAGACGATGGATAGCAGGGCTGAGTCATCAAGTATTAGCTTTGGAGTAGTATAGAATATCTTAATAGATCTATTCTGATATGGAACAGATGATGTAGTCTGTGGAACATTATTTTGTCAAGCTTGATTAGCTTAGTGTTGCCCAATTGCCGCTAGGGCTTGGTCGCGCAATTTTTGGTGTACTTTCATGTGACTAGATTCTACAGTAAGGAGAAATTACCAACGTAATGTGATTAACGCTTCTTCAATTCAGACACGAGGTATTACGTCCTCTAGAATCCTTGTGTTAAATACTGATATGTTTGTCACCAGAAGAGTTTAATCAAACTCGCCATTGATAAATCTCCAAATTCTATTTCCCCTTACATCATGCAATCGGAGACTACAGCGAATAATTAGTGTGTGGCAGCCTCTGGCCTTCCATCTAGTGTAAAGAACTTTCCACTGTCTGCCGAAGTCGCACGATTGACGAAACTAAGGCACTGACGAATGGACTCTGTTGGTTGCAAAGGTGCCTAGTTAAACAGTCAGACAATGTGTCAGGCTCAACTTTCAGAGACATAACTCACATAAGACCCTTTACCCTCGCCTGCAAGGTCGGTATTGACCCATCCAGGGTTGAGAGCCAAGAAAGTAAAACCTTTCTCTTTGAATCTAGATAAAAGACACAGTCAGAAAGATAATCCACATCACCAAAATCAAAATCCACCTCGCAGAGACACATATAATAGAGAAATGGGCTTACTCACTCCACATGGAATTTCGCATTAGCCATTGTAACGCCAGCCTTAGTCACGGCGTACGACGAGAAATGATAACTAGGCTGATCCAACGCAAATCCAACATCCCCAAGCATCGACGCAATATTGACGACCTTTTTCTCCTGTCCATTCTCCAGTAGGGGAATGAGAGCAATTGTGAAGAATACAAGAGCAGTCACATTGATTTTGAACTAGAATTTGCAGTGGTTTGTTAGAACGTATTTTGTAGATTTTTCCCCTAACAAAGATTTATAGATACCTGCTCAGCCCACTCATCGGGGCTGGATTTGGAGATGCCGGTAGCAAATTCTGCACCTGTACCAATCATGACCCCGGCATTGCTTAATATTGTTTCATCAGCAAGTCTGCCTAAGGTATGGTGGTGAAACCTTGCTCACTTAATAAGAACATCGACTTTTCCACCCGCGACTTTTGAGATCTCCTTGGCCACATTCTAATGAATTCAAACATTAGATATAAAACTGTATTCAAGTTTGAGATATTCTACCATCACTCACCGGGAACGAGTCAAAATCCGAAACGTCGCCTTTAACAATAGCGATATTTTGTCCTTGCAAAGCTTTCAACTGTGTTGCCTTTTCAGGGTTGCGCACCACGGCTATCACATAGTTCTTTGGGTCCTGGTTAAGTTGTTGGACCCATTCGAGCTGAAGACATCATGTTAGGACGATCTATCTTTTATTTGCAATGTATAGTGGTATGACTTACCCCGAGACCGCGAGAAGCACCGGTGACAACAACAACACGAGTAGCAGAAGTTGACATGATGAGTGTGTGGATGGCCAATTAAGAAACTTAAAAAAGTTGTGTAGCTAGTGAAGGAATAAGTTGTTGATTCTTTGAGACTTGTTTCCTAGATACACGAAGTTGGCGACGTATTTATAATGAGGACGCTTTTAATCTACCTAGTGTATACATACATCAGAAGTGCTCTTCCAATGTTTTCTTGAGATAGCTTTGTAGGGTGGCGTTGTTTCTATCGCTTTCTGGGACATTACGCACATCTACAGCCTACGATGGAGAAAACAGTAAATCTGGTGTTTTGGATTATTGATCAAATTACAATAATAGTAGACTGCCAAGCTATCCTTAGTCATCCGAGCCTATCAAGGGTTATCGTTTAGTGACATAATAATGAGCATATGCAGAAACGGATGCATCAATTGATGATTACTGATCTTGCAATAATAGCCGACATGTCAACATTTAATTATTAAGCCTGCATGAGATATTCTAAATCTTCCAGATGAAATATGAAATCACCTAATTAATAATAAATCCGCATAATTAACTGAGAAGACTTGCCTACGTCGTCAGCTTACATGGCGCCAAAAGCCATCAATCACACACGCATAGACATTACTCGAATGTAGAAGCTCTAACTCCGCTGAATGTGAATAAGCAACCTGATGTCTATACTTGTGTCACATGGTATGGCTTGGTGTCATGGTACAACAAAATCATCTATAAATGCCTGCACTTAGCTCATCCTGAGCAGTGCCATACCAGCATCTTTCAAAACGGTACAGATAGAAATTCAAAATTAGAAAGCGAGATGATAGTTCTAACAGGTATCATGATTCTAATACACCTGACGATCACTGTTCTAAGATATAATAGGTACATCTGGCGGCCTCGCAAGTGTCGCACTTGAAACAATCCTCGAGCAGAAACTTCTTCAGCCAACGGAATTCCGCCTTTCTAGTTGGAACGGTCAGACAAAATCAAAGAAAGCTATCGACGCAGGGATAGAAGTCCGCCGAGGTGACTTCAAATACCCCGACACTCTTGTTCATGCGTTTGAGGGTGCAGAGGCACTTTTCCTGGTTTCATATCCCTCTGTTGGCGAGGAGCGATTCCACTATCACCGCAATGCAATTGATGCAGCAAAGGCTGCTGGTGTTCGTCATATTCTTTATACTTCATTAACATTTGGGGGTATTACTGGTGAGCAGAGTCATGCAGGAGTGATGCAAGCACATATCCAAACTGTGAGATATTTGAAGGCATCCGGCCTCAAGTGGACCATTCTTCGCTTCCCAACGTACAACCATCTATGGAACAACTTTGCGGGATTCCTGCGCTTGGAAGAGAAAGGAGACGCAAAAGTAGTAATTCCGGACGATGGCCCGAATCATTGGGCTAGTCGTGAGGATCTAGGTGAAGCGGCGGCTCAGGTCATTGCAAATTGGGTAAATACCCCAGCGAATTTTGAGACAGTTTCACACTAAATATTCTTTGTTAGCGAGACCATGAAAGCCAAACTATCAATTTCACCGGACCTCAGTTACTGACAATTAGTGATATCGCGAGGCTCTACAGCAAATACACTGGGCGTCAAGTTGACATTGAAATTGTGGGTACAGAGAAAGCCATAGACTATCATAAGCAACACAAAACACTCCCACCTGAACAGGAAGACTTTCTATCCAATTGGGCTTCATGGCATGTCACGCTGGCCAAGGGTGAGACTAGCTTTCTTGACCCAGCACTTGAAAACCTGTTGGGTAGGAAGCCGAAAACTGTTGAGGCAATGTCAGATCAACTATTTTCGTCCGATTCCAATGCCCTTGATACGAAAGACTTTAACTGAAGTCTTATTGGGAGTATTCAGTATGATGTAAATTCGAGATTCAACTAGTCTTACAGGATCAAATAAATATGAATTTGGCATAAAGCCCTCTAGAGATATTCTGCAGCAATATAATCGAAAGAGTTTGAAGTACAAAGACATATGGCTATTTTGATTATTCGGGTTGCTAGAACTACTTTCGAGGAACTCATACTTGAACTAATTGTTCAAAGGCCTCAGGGTCTCAATTTATACAGGGATAAAGGTTCAAGATGAAAGATGACAAAATAAGAGCTGGGTAGTCGAATGGAAGCTAGAGTATCATCGCTCTACTTTTCTCCATCTGCTTTTGATGGAAAAGTGAAATCCTTACCATTCACCTTTTTAACTTTCATATTCTCCAGATCGATTCCATCTAATGTTCTCGCCTATTGATTTGGGTTGTTAGCACCCTCAATGTAAAGGCTCTAAGCTTTCGGTGATTTCAATTTGATTCTATTTCAACTTACATTGACAGCTTGGATGCCAGAGAAAGCGCCCTCCACCAAAGATTTTGCAGTCATGTTTGTTCCGCATACTTTGCAAAATAAGTGTTCAATGGACCCAGTCGCGAAGCGATATTCCTGTTTAACATGTATCTGAGCCTCTGGTTTCAAATATTAGTGATAATATAGTGATCTGGCAAACATACAGTCAGATTGTCCGCCCCATCTGTAAAAGAAAAATCGGTAGTCTTGGGGTACAAAAGTAAAGCACCGGTTGTGCTACAATACGAGCCTAATAACGCATCAGCTTGTCTCGTTATTTTATATACATCATTAAAGAACAAGAGATCCAAAAAGAGGACGGATGAACACCTACAATTACAGGAAACAAGTTCCTGCTCCTCTAGCCCTGGGGAGATTGTAAAAGTATACTTAACAGCGGCGCAATGACAGTGACCGGTGTACGTAGCCATTATTCCTTCTCTCGCTGAATTGTAGGTTGAAATGGGGCTTTTTGATCTTTTGTTCAAGGGTGAAAATGTTCAAATGTTAAAATACCTAGATTATGGTGGGGGAAGCCGGAATACTCGTATTCGGTCAGCCCCAGGCAGCAACCCTCAACAGATAGCAGGTCGTTGGGACTTTGTGCGTGTGTGAGTAATTGTGAATTCCACGTTCTCTTCTCTTGTAATCCCCATTCTTTATCCAACATTCGAAGATTTGCTGATATATTTGCATGTTAATAGACGGACCTTTATCAAAACGAGACCTGATTTGTTCACCAATTTAGAGATGTATGTGAGCTAGTCTGGGTTGGGACTAGTCATAGTTTCATCATATTTATAGAAAAGGAAGATTTTGAAGACATCTGGTTTGGAAAACTGTTTACAGAATACATTAATTGATGTATCTCTGTAAGGGAAATGACAGTAACGGTACTCAACATTATGAATTGTCTCTTCCCTGACAGCTGCCAAGCATCATCCTTGAGCGAATAATAATGCGGCGTTGCTACTTATCTACGCACCAGCCAATCACCATGAGTATGCGGCCAACATTACGCATCCCTAGCAACGCCAATGCAAGTTGGTAAATCCGATTGATCACGGCTGGAATTCTCAATCTACTCCAATTTAGTTTTTGTCGACGAGTTCTCTCATGCATTCCTGAAATCTCGTATAGCAGTGGTGCGTATGTTTATCCTTTGTCTTTGTTCCGGCAAATTCCCACCACTTGTCGAAACTTAATCGGATTCAAGAATGCGACATTCCGAACCAAATATTCCTGCAGAAAAGCCAATGCAAAAGCAGAGAAAGAAGAAACCGACTCGTGCACCCGTGCCCAGAGTGCGCACGGGATGCCTGACCTGCAAGTAAGATCGTCTAATGACCCTTCTCCGTCCTCTTCCTGCTGCGTCTATCACGGCCATGGATATGACGGCCCGCTTGGATATAGGGATACTTATCCAAGGTTGTATAGAATTCGACATAAGAAATGCGACGAAGCCCGCCCATCATGCATCCTATGTACAAGCACCGGACGCAAATGTGATGGATATCAAATAGTTCCTGATCGCAGAACCCGGCCCTTCCGAAAATATAGGATGGTGCCTACTTCCCAGACCCAAGTATCACAGCACAGCCTTTCAGGTCCACATGCATCTGCAATAAATTCCATAGACCCGATGGACCTGATCTATACTAGCTCCTTCCTAGTCAACCCTAATGAGGCTATTCTTACCCCGCGTGAGCGCCACTATCTGGACTACTTTCGGCTAAACACGTCCTTCCAGTTCTCTGCCTACTTTGGTATGGACTTCTGGCATCGAATTGTTCCTCAAACTAGCCAAGTGGAGCCAGCCCTGCAACATGCAAGTATCGCCATGGGAGCGTTGCACTGGAACTTTGCCGAAAACAAATCCGGGAATGATCCGATTGACAATTCTTTCCCTTTACAGCAGTGCAACAGAGCCATTTCATGTCTACACCATACCCTCGCTATTGAAAGCCGCTCACACACGGAAACTGCCCTAGTCACATGTATTCTATTCGTGTCTTTCGCCTTTTTCCAAGGAGACATCTCCGCTGCCAAAAATCTACTGCAAGGGGGTTTGAAAGTATTACGAGATTGGAAGGAACTTGATATTTCTTCTCATTTTGAATCTTCAACGAGGAGGAGCTTGATTCAAGCATTTTCACATTTGAGATTTCACCTAAGGACTTTCACTGATTCTGAAATGCACTCTAAATTAAACGAGTGGCCAGCAGACTGTTGGGTTGAATCTACAGGGTTTAGTCTGTCTGAGTCGATTGACAGCCTGGACAAGGCAGCCTGTCTGGTTTTCGACATATATGCACTGGTAACTCCAGGAAATAATCAAATACCCAGTTTTCCAAGCAAATATCAAAAATTAATCCTGCGCAAGTTGCAAACTTGGGCAACAGAGCTCAAAACTTCATTTGAGAGCCGCGCAAATGGCATATCCATTAAAGAACGTACTACCATGACTGTCATACAGATATGGAGCGAGATCATTTATATCATGGTGGCAGTGGATAAGGGACCTGGTGAAAAATGTGAAATGAGATATGATCTGTTTCAAGATCACTTTCAACGAGCAGTCAACATGTCCAAGCTACTCCTAACCTCAAGTTCTCTTCGATCTCTAATGCCCACCTTCTCAATCGGAACAGGCATTATCCCGCCTCTTTTCTTTTGTGCATTCAGATGCCGGGATTGGGTTGTGCGACGGGATGCATTGCTCATGCTTCGCGGATGGCAATGCCAGGAAGGTATATGGAAAACGCCTGCAACAGTCTTTATCTTGGAACGTCTTATAGAAATTGAGTCTGAGGGGCTGTCGCCGCAGGATATAGTTCCCGAGTCCGCACGTATTGAGTCTATGCACGTTGATATTTCTCCCATAGGCCAGAAAGTGCGAATATGGTATCGTCGGAATCGACACTGCGGTAATCAACGCTGGGAGAGCGAATTTGCCTCTTTTTCTTACTAAATGCCGTATTGTGATATCTATAAGCATGGAACCAGATAGAAACGTAATAGAATGAGTGTCACGATATAATCAAATTTTCGAGCTAACTCATCAAGGGGATGGTCAAATGCATTTTCAGTAATGAGAGGCGGATGGATGTGATTGGCTGGTGCGGATATAGATCGTAAGCACCTAATTTGTCTTTTTACGCTCCGGCCATTCTTGACGCTGGCTATCCTCCTACTGTTCGTAAATACATATGCAGTTTTAATTCTTCCTTGTCGGTTACTTGGCTACATTCTAGTCTATTTTGCTTATAAAGAGTTGAATTGGACGGTCAACATGGATATCTATTTGCTTCATAGTCCAACTAGCTCCTGTTGGGTATACTCTACTCTCTTGAAAGAACAAGAAAACCTTCATTCTTGAGTATACAAAATCGAAATATAAATACACTCCATACAAATTCGCCATAAATTTGCAGTCATTATGGCAACAGCAACAGCCAGCGCTTCTCTCAGCGCCTTTCCAGCAGGAATTACAAGCAGCTCTCAATGTACCTTAGAGACATGTCCTCTAACATACGCTCACCTCACGTATCTTCCCAACGCCGCCGGAAACGGACTGTTACTCGCCATTTTTGGACTTTTGATTCCTGCGCAGATCTATATGGGCATTCGCTACCGGACGTGGGGTTTCATGGCAGGCATGTTCTGTGGTCTAGTGCTTGAAGTGTTTGGATATGTGGGGCGATTGAAGATGATAGACAATCCATTTACTGACAAATGGTTTGCCATGTATGTACAAGATTGTCTCAGAGAGCTAAAGAAATATGGGCTATTTACTAAGCATTATATTTCGGTAAAAGGTACATTGTGTGTCTTACTATCGCACCGGCGTTTCTCAGCGCAGCTATCTACATTAGTCTCGCACGTATCGTCGCAGTATACACTGTGAAATTATCCCGGTTCTCGCAACGTTGGTACGGAATTATTTTTGTCATATGGGATGTCGTCTCCCTTCTTCTGCAAGCGGCCGGAGGTGGACTTGCTACATCCAACGATGAATCGACGCTAGAGACTGCGAAAAGGGTCATGATGGCCGGTCTTTCCACTCAGGTAATATCTCTCTCAATCTACCTAGGGCTATGCATCGATTTTGCATGGAGGATACGCCGCTTGAAACGAACCAACGCAAACTCCTTTGACAATCGAAATCTCGAAATGACGAACAAACAAGGAAATACTCCCCAACAATTCTCCTCCTCCGAGAATTTGGCAGGGAATATAGTTCTTCTGAATCCAAATTTTGCAGCTCTCCGAGCATCAAAGAGATGGCTTACTTTCCTGGTTCTCCAGGGTCTGGCAACAATCTGCATTTATATTAGAAGTATTTTTCGACTCGCCGAGCTGCACGGGGGGTTTCGGAGTAGTTTGGCTAATGATCAGGTTACTTTTATGGTGTTAGAAGGGGCCATGATTGTAATTGCGGCTCTTGGATTGAGTACTTGGGGACATCCCGGAGTGGGATTCTATGGAAAATGGCAGGTTCTTGACTATCGCTTGTTTGTGAAGAAACCGCATACAAGCGGTGTGTAACATAGGAGAGGATACAGTCCGAATATTTCATAAGAAGGCCACACTTGGACTATTCCTTGTTCAGCTCGTTACTTGTTTATTTCCCCCTTATCTAAGATAGCAGGGATAGAGGCTACCGTTTGATTTTCAAAATGGTTGCTCCATGTTTTTGACAAAAAGCATCTATTAAGTTGACATATCTCAGAAATATCTAGAGAGCTTCCAAAAATAGCTTCAACACTTCTACCGTCACCGTTCATCGTTTGTTCGAAGGTGAAGCCTAGCAATATTCGTTTAGAAGGAAAGATAAATATAATCATAGAGTATCGAGGGAATGCGTTATAGAAAGTGAGCTTAATCGCGAAAAAAATAAAAAGAAGAAAGATATAACGAGTAAAAATCGGCCTCATGAGTTCTTGTTAGTGAATGTCAAACTCTTCCACAACGTCCAAGAAGTGCAATCGCGGTAAAAGCTACCACCCTGTTTCCAGTACTCTGCCTCTTTGTGCAAGTCACCTATCCAGAGAGAGAAGAAATTTTAGAAATTTGATATATCCATGAATACCATTATCGGTGTAAAGGAGGGGAAATCTTGCGACATACATCCATTGATAATTGTACTCAGCCGATCAAAGCAATGAGTCGGTCCATCACCCGGAAGATTTAGGTCATACCAAAAATTCAAGGGCGGGTAAGGGCAGTTATCGCCCCCCTTGTAGGTCACCGAAACGGTAATATTCGTCGAACTGGGGACTTTGTTATCGTCCAAGACATAAACGACGTTGTCAAATCCAGGATTCGCTCCCGGGTTTAGTTCAGAAATATTCCAGCCGGCACATGCAGTGTACACGGCCTTAAACGCTTCATCAAGGGTCATAAAGAATCTTGGTTGTCCTTGAGGTATTGGCCAGTTCTCACTAAGACACATGAGGTTGCCCTCATTCACGTATCGATCGACTCGTTTTTCAAAGCGTGAAACATCTAGGCTGCTCTGTTAGACGAACTAGTTTGAATTGATCAGAACTTGTTTCTATATCAATATCATACCTAAGGCCGGACGTGCTACCACTAGTAAGGCTGACCAACTAAGCATAAGAACGATAGCTACCGTAAGAATCAACATAGTGTCGACATTGAAGCGAGTAGGAGATGGTGAGATTCCAAGGGCTGCGAATGGCGCAGAGACATGAAATCCATAAATCTTTTTATTATGTAAGGACTTGGAAACATGAGGAGACGACCAAGGACTGGGGATTTTATTCTTATACATGGGTTAAACGGGCATGACTGCACCATTGCATTGATGAGCTGGAAACTTGGAACCAACAGCCTGCAGAAATATACATTCTGAGAAAAGCTCTTTGTTGTTTATGTCAGCATGTAAATATGACTATATTTCCGGGGCCGCTCAATTCATGAGTCGTTGAGGGTAGAAGCGTTTCAAGTCCCCTGGCTCCTTGGTTTTGAAGCGCAGACCCTCCACGGATGATACTCATAAATTGCACAGTCCTATTCATAGAAGACCAACAGCTTTGTCAGGATAAAGAAGATCAAACCGGTCAGCTTAGTTATACAAAGAACCCGGAGAAAGCAAGTCACTAATTGATACAAGAATAATCATCTCAAAGCAGACAACTCCTATATTGACTCTTGGGATATATATTAACACCAATAATAGCCCACTAATCAAATGATTTGAGGGTGTTTGCTATGCAAAAGTGCAATGCCCTACTAAAATTCGTACTGATTGTAGACATCGCAATCGTCAAGAACCACAAAAAATAAACACCATCGGTACCGTATATCTTACCGAAATCAACGAAATAATCGCATAATACGATGGTGCTATAGATGTAAATGCAGATGTACATGTTCGTGGAGAGGCTATCCAATCAGCAGCAGCTGAATGGTAATTCTTCCTATCCAAAACTAGCGTTCATTAGTTATATCGGTGTTCCAATTCCGGAATAGCCCCACTCCGTTCATCCTAGTAGCGAATCGGCACTCTGGCTTACAATTAAAATGTCTTCCATTGGTCTATAGCCCGCAAATACCTGAGGCCGATCTGCATGACGTCGGCCATTCCCCGCCTCCGCATGGCCAATGACTGCCCAGGTAAAGTAAGGGCAAATGCCTTGGGAGGCGCTGGTTGGCAGGAGCACTCGCAGGTGCCTCAGCTCCTGCATAATACGGGGCATGAAGTTTTTCTATACGCCCACGGAGATCCGATAAAGGTAACACCAACGAGCCTGGAATGATTCCCTCGATACTCCTACTGATCAATCTTCTCCCTCTTACTCCTTGTCTCCAAAACTTTCTCTCCTAGCTCCGCCTGCAAAACAATCATCTCTTTCCACGAGCACACAGATAAGATATAATTGCTCAACAGTATTTCCAGTGATTGAAAACAGCACAATGGCGTTGCTGTTTCTCAAACAAAAACTCTTTCCCTCCTCGGTCAACAACAATCAGCGCGGTGCCAGGAGTGAACCCTTGAAGAAAAATTCCTATTCGTCTGATCTCAGTAAGTTCTATCTCAATTCTCCTTGCTACAATAACAATGGCGTTCTTATACGTTTTGTTTCGTAGACCGCCCTTTACTGCCCGACCCAGAGAACTTCGACGGCTCAACCGTCGATGGTTATAGTGATAGGGATGTCGAAGCACAAATGGCTGGCTCATATAGTACCTTTGCAGCAAGCCCTCCCGGATCCCCAGATACGGATGATGTCGAGTCGAATAGCAGCAGCTCCCGTTCTCGAGTTGACCCACGCCTAATTTCCGACGCCATTCTAGGCCTCTCTGACGGCTTGACGGTTCCCTTTGCGTTGAGCGCCGGTCTTTCTGCCATTGGTGATACTAGAGTTGTTGTTCTCGGTGGACTAGCTGAGTTGACGGCCGGTGCCATTTCGATGGGGCTGGGTGGCTATGTTGGCGCGAAGAGTGAAGCGTATGTTTTATTCACGCTCACCTTCGGTTTTGAAAACCAATCTAATATGATTATAGGGAATCCTATCACGCGACAGTCCGAGAAGTTGAAGAGCTCATGTCCCGTCCCGAAGAGACCAGCATCATTATACAATCCACATTTGCAGCCTACAAGCTCCCGTCACACGCAATTGACGAAATTGTAATAAACCTCCAAGCGGATCCTGACCACCTCCGCGACTTTCTTCTCAATTTTCACCACCATGAAACCGAACCAGGGTGCAACCAGGCGTACATGTCCGCGTTGACTCTTGCTCTAGGCTATTTCATTGGAGGGTTCATCCCCTTGATTCCCTATTTCATCGTCAGTCAAGTCCTCATCGCTTTTTACTACAGCATTGCCGTTATGGCTGTCACACTCTTCGTGTTTGGATATGCCAAGACTTGTGTTGTGAGAGGCTGGGGCGGTAGCGCCAATATCAACGCCGGTATAATGGGTGGTCTCCAAATGTGTGTCGTTGGTGGTCTCGCAGCTGGCGCAGCAATCGCATTGGTGAAATTAATTAACCGCGATGATCAAACTCTTGGTGCGAAGACGAAGACTGAATGAACAACCCTTCGATTTATCTAGCATTTATGAGCGTTTTGATAAGGCGTTGTGTCGGCATAAATCATACAGTGCGAACCTGGCGTTTTGGCATGAATCAGGAAAAGGCGTAATCTAGACTTAATTGAAACAACAGACCATTGAAGTGTTGCATTAATTTTCAACATCATTTTAGATGCCCGTGTAGTTTTCAAATAGAATAGCCTAATAATCCTCACGATTTCAATGCTTTGCCAACCAATTCCCTGCACCTCTCACTCATCGTTATTTGCAGCGCCATTCCCCGTCCCTTATCCGACATCTTCCCCCAAGTCTTTCTCAAAATTCCCACCATTTTCTCCTCATCATCCATCTCTTTTTCAAATGCGTCGAACTGATCATCCAGAAATACTAGGCACGCAACATCCTCTAAGGTCTGCGTATCCTCATCCTTTTTTAAATTCTCCTTCCTAACCAATGCTGCCACCCTCTCACTTTCCTCAGCCGAGTATCCAGCTTCTAGGCAGTATTGTTGGGCCAACTCGGCCTGCCGATTTTTCAAAAATGTGCGCCAACTGAAATACCCGACTTTCGTGGCTGGATACGAGGAGCGGGGGATTTCCCAGCGGCGGAGATGTTGGGCGCGAATCGCGAGGCGAAGAAGCTCTGATGCTGACGGATTGTAGCTTTCTAGATAGGATGTCATTTTTTCGGCATAATGCAGCTCGTATGGGACTTGTTTGTTCGTGCTATCGTCATTTTTGGTTGTGAGATTTGGGTCTTGGTAGTGCGCCGCGTCGATAGCTGCAAGGGCTTTGTGGAATTTATCGGACATTGTGCTATTTCATTCGCATAGTGATTTTGCCAACTGAGTTTCCTTTTTCTGATCTTTTAAATTTCTGCCTGTTGTTTCAACCCTGCTTTTCTCTATTGATGAATGGGAAAGAGCTGGATTAAGTTGAGGGGAAGTAGTTTTGATTCTTATCAATGCTTATCGCTCAGCCTGCACCTTACATACAGTAATACAAATGTAACAAAAGTTTGAATTTAGTATCAAGATTTTCTACCTGTCTTTCATCTGCATTTACACCACTTTATGTCCGATTAATTTAGCCTTCTTTGGGGACCTCCCGTAGATAATGCAAAAGTTCAAATATTATTAATATTGATATGGGGAGAGCTCCTATAGCCAATGCATTTTTGTGGGGCTGTATGCAGACTTTTGTCACCTTATTGTATGTGTTTTCAATGTATAGATTCACCATAACAAAGGCTTCAATACTACTTAATAACTATACCCTTTCAGCCTCTACAGCAGCAGCAAAATCTCCCAAACTCTTAAAACTCCACCCGAAACCAACCTCCCCTTTCTCCAACAGGTGCTTCGCATCCCCTCCCATGCTCGTAACACCACCCTCCCCTCTCGCAATCCAAACACTCTGCAATCCAATACGTTTCGCAGGAACATGATCATGGAACTGGCTCTGGGCAACATGCAATATATCCTCCTTTTTAACACCAAACTCCGTCTCAACGTGATTAATAAGGTATTCGAAATTCTTGAGGTTGGGTTTGTAAGACCCGATATCTTGGGCAGTGTAAACTGCATCGAAAAAGGGGTTCACAAGAGTATTAGATCCCGGAACTGGAGCTTTGAGACCAGCCAGTGGTCCATCAAGGGACCTCGAGAAAGAGTCTCGGTCAACATTCGACAAAGGGACGAGCTTGAAACCCAGGCTTTTAAGTTTGCGCAATGCTTCGACGGTATCTGGGAAAGCAGGCCAGATGGCAATACTATCTGCAAAAACTGTTCCTTCTTTTTGTAATGCCGCTTCCTTATCTTCTTCAGCGTCTGTTGGTAGAGTATTCAATTCTCTAGCCAAGGCAATATATGCCTCCTTCAAAACTTTATCATATGTCAATCCTGGGTTTAGGGACTGTATTCTCTTTTCATGTTCATGGAACGCTGCTCCGAGGGCAAATTTATCATTTTTGAGTGGAGATGAAGCTGGCAGTCGCTCTGAAATGGGTGAAAAAGCTTTGAAAATGCCCTTCTCCCAATTGATCAGTGTGCCGTAGACATCAAAAGATAGTAAACGGAATGAGGAGAAGGGTCTTGAAGCGGCCATTTCGTTTGCTTTTCTTTCCTTTGCTAATACTTAGCAAATGTGTTAGCGGATGTTATTGAAACTATAGAGATCAATTGATGGGGGATTATTTATATCAACTTGATCATGCGGGGTAGTTACTTGTCGAAAAAGGGCGCAACCCTTTCTTAGTAAGGATTATGTCGGTTACTATAGTTGCATATTTTCCTGAAATTACTAGTATTAGTTAATTGGTAATCATGCTTATAATGCAATTACCAATTTATCTGATCTCATTAGTGAGTATTCACGTTAAATTCCGTCGTCATCCTGCTCCACCGAATTCTGTTCCACATATTCATCCCACCCTTGGCAAGTAGAGTTCAGCGTATCATAATCTATCAACTTAAGAGCCTCTTCATATTGCTCCAAAAATTGAATAGCAAACCCTTCTTCAGTGTGCCATCCAATATGACAGTGCATTAACCACGCACCAGGGTTATCAGTCTTGAATGCTACCACAAGATACCCAGAAGCGGGCAGCATCGCTACATCCCGGCGAGGCGGGTTCGATAGACTCGTAATCTCCGAAGAAGAGTACGTACCAGTACCCTGCGCAAGGATGAAAAAGTCATGGCCGTGCAAATGAATAGGGTGTGGCAAAGAAAGTGCAGTCTCGATAACGACATAGGACCATTCGTTCCGTTTGGGAAGCTCGATTACGCCACTGTAATTCGTGAATGAGGTGTCGTTGTTCCAGATCTGAAGGAGGGTTGGGTTGTCCCAGTAGACCTGCATTGATGTGCCGTTCATCATCCAGCGGAAAAGATTGTCGGAGTTTGAACCTAGTGTCACGGGCTCGCTGGAGTTATAGTAGGGAATTGACGCATTTTGGGAGAGATAAGGGACTAAGTCCGATACATCTATATCGTCGCAGCTGTCGGTATATGTGTAGGCGTCTGTAGTTGGTGTTGAGGGTGAGCTGCCGTAGTATACGATGCCTTTGATGTTGTCCACGCTGTCATTATCGGAACACGCTTCTTGTGGAATAGCACGCATCCAAAAGCTCTCGTTGCCCGTGGACTGATCCGCATTGACAACTAAATCATATCTCTGACCTGAAAAGGGTGTCAATCTGGTGGATGAAACAATTTTAACATTCCCGGAGCATAGCTTACCCATTCCGATGCTTAGAACAGTAGTATTGAACGGTTCTATAGGCACCAGATCCATGGCCATGACAATGAGAGTGTGATTGTCAATAGAAAACTTGAAATGCGTGTCTACTGCAGCGTTTATCAAACGCAGTCTATACGAAGTACCAGCCGTGAACGACGTATTAAAGCGATATCCCGTCTGGGAGGTCGAATTGTCGTCGCCATAAACATTGGTACCATTTATAAGGCCATTATCCAAGGTAGGCGGGCCACTGGTCTCAGCAGATTGGAATAGTTCATCCACTGTTTGATGACTCCAATCATTAAGGAACAAGACGCCTTTATCCTCATCATAATTCTCTGTGGCTGGTCCATTTATCAAGATACCGCCAAAGACTCCTTCCCATGCTTGCAGCCCGATGTGAGAGTGATACCATGAGGTGCCGTACTGAGTAGCTCTCCATTTATACGTAGTCGTCTTACCAGGCGCAGTGGGACATTGGGTAATGGAAACAACGCCGTCATTAGGATTAGTATAGTTCTGACGTATTCCATGGAAGTGGATGCTAGAGCCATTCTTTGTTGAAGCGAGGTTGTTGGTAACATGCACAACAACATGGTCTCCCCAGTTGGCAGTGATTGTAGGTCCTGGGATCGATCCATTGATTGCCATGACTGTCCTAGAGTAGCCATCAGGTGCGGCTGTGAGTTGTTCGATGTTCAAGTAATACTCCCTGGTCACGCCTGTCTCTGGTACAGTATTGTAGTAATCGGTACTCACGTCGTAGTCGCACCATATTTGCCTATCACTGGCTGTGTTACCAGAACAGACATCTCTTTTCAGTGCCCCATCATCAAAAAAGGGACGCCCAGGATGATATATAGATTTTCCTATCGCAGTTCCTATGAGGCTAAGAAAAGTAAATGCAGTTTTCATAGTGTCGAAAAGGCTAGATGATGAAAACCTTTGTCGAAAAGTATTAATACTGTTATATCAAAAGCAATTAATGAGCTAGAAAGACCGAGGTGGTTTATTAGTGTCTTGAACAAAGTTATATCTTTATTTTGAACGACTATCCCTATTATATAGACTTTGGAAGTGGATGCCACGTCCCTGGGTCAATTGATTAGATCCTGGTCTCTCTCGCCGTGATCCTCGCCGCTGAACCAGAATATCATCCAAATCACAGTAAGTAATACAATTTAAAATCTACATATGCATGAAGATAATTCAGGCAATATCCCCGTCTGCGTGACGCATTCAGCGGATGCATCAATTCGTAAGCTGTCGTAAGCTGCTATTTTCTGCTCAAGTAGTTCATGTAGTAATGCTTGCAGATATGACATTAGGCACAAGTTTCAAAGCAGCCAGTGCTGTAATAGGCCAGTCTCATGCAATATCTAACAACACAGCTTGCTCCTTGTGGAAGGTCATCTAGAGACCCTCAGTATAGGGTAGGCCGATAGTTCAGCTTTTATAGAAATGGTCACATGCATCGTCTAAAAGGCCGATTTGTCATGTCTCTCATGTTAATATAAATCAAATTAGACTGGGTTTTCAGCTCTTCACGCGCCAAATTTTCAGAAGTTTTTTAAACGCCCGATCAACGCTAAAGCACTTTCGGGTCAGGGATGGATCGCAAGCCCTAACGCGGCATGGAAATAAGCCCGCCAACACAGCCCACAATTGGCATGCGGCCCATAAGTCATACGCGGCACTTACGCAGTGCGGGAGTCACTATTGATCTAGACTCTGCATCTCGACATGTAGCTTACCAAAATAGCTTGGATAGAGCAAGTCTAGGGACCTCTAGCCAATGCCATCCATATCGGCAGGCAGAATCGGCTACCCGACGGGTGCGTACAGCCCGACGTGTATCAATGGCACTAGCTATATTATTCTTACTCCACGACAACAGGAGATTCAAAATATCGCTATATATATAGGCATTGAAAAGCAGCGTTGAAAACAAAATCCTGTTGAGCTTTGTTTCGCATCTCTATTTTTCATATATATATATATTCATCTTTATGCCTATGAATATGTTTTCTGGTTTGCTCTCAACCACTGTGCTCTGCCTAGTGACCTCTTCTTTCGCATTGGTCACCCGCAGCACTCCTGAAGTTGGTGAGAAGTTTGGTCTCTATGCGTACGGTGACTCCCTTGGAGGGGTCCCTCTCTTTTATGCTGACGGTAAAGTTGATCTAAACATTGAACATCATGTTGTTGAAAGATAGAAACACGCAGCACAACTAATGTGTTGAAACAGGGAAAGCGTTTGTTGGCGATTCGTCTAATTCGACCTCTTCCTCGATTTACAATGTGACATGTTAGTTCTCTCTATATTTCTATATCTCCAAGATCCTTTCGCACGTCTGATGCAGATTGTCCTAGTTGAGCGCACGTCAGCCTCATCGTCTAGCCCTTGGCTCGCGAATCCTAATGGGACTACTGCGGCCGACACAAACTGGTCGGAAAAAATGTTATATATTCCTAGTTCGTCGGCATCCTCTGATCAGATAGGATTCATTTCCAACGCAGGAGACAATGAGATCACCACTGGCTTTGTATTTTATGGCCAGTCGGTAATGGTAGAAACTGCTCCCGGGGACTATTCTACAAGCTTCTATGTTCGGCCTTCCTCTCAGGGAGAGGGCATCTATTCCTTACTGTGGAATGTTACTGGTGATGATACTATCATTTCTATATCTTTGCGCTCTGTCGAACCCTCTAATGCATGAGGGCCATGTATTAATTCATGGTTGTATGCTGGTATTTAAGCCTATTTATTCAATTATGTCACCACAGCATACCTTCTCAAGATAAACCGGGTGCTAATTGGTCAGTGCCAGACCCTGCCTCAAACCAACGAAGACGAAAAAAAAGGACCGCTTTTAATTGAATGGGGAGACTGAGTCAAATTTGATGATAATAATACTAAAGGGAAAAGTTGAATTTAAGAAATTTCGGTCATCACTTTTCATATTTTGTTTCCTGTAGGTGCTTGTTTAGCTATTGATAGGTTCCAAGGGAACAAGTCGAAGCCCGTTTCGTTTCGCTTCCTTGCGGTTTTTCTGTATAGTTTCTAGGTCTTCCTCATAATATATCTCTGCCTCCTTATAGATTGAGTCAAGTTCTTCAGAGTTATATCTGTCAAACAGTTTCTCGACAGCCAACCTGTGTTCTGGATTCCTTTCTTTTACTTGAACCTCCAGTTTTCCATTAACATCCACACTCGTTGACACCTCGATTTCCATTTTACCTTTCGCTGCTCTTCCGATGTGTAATTTCATAGACCCGAGGTAGTTGTTGCTCTGCGCCATCATTCTCTGACCTTCATACACATCTACCGTAATATATTCTTGATCATCCGCCACATCAATCTCGAAAACCTTTTCCCTCCGACTTGGTAGAACCTGATATGTAGGCATCATTACCTCGAACTGGCCGTACTCCGTTTCAATCCCGATAGATAATTGAAGCATCGGGAAACTAAGAGTGCATAGGTTATCATCATTAGAAATGACATTGGCAATGATGGCTGCTCCATGGACAATGGCTGTTTCGGGAGTAATTGAACTCGCGTTAATGAATTTGCTTGAAGGGTAAGTCTCGCCTAGGACTGATTTGATCCAGTCCGCTTGCGAATCATTCCCCACCAAAACAATTGCATCGACTTGGGATTCAATGATCTTCGCATCCTTCAGGACCTTTTGTACTCTCCCAAAAATTTTCTCCCGGGGTTCATATCCATGTTGCTGACACTGTAGTGTCGTGCATGTAGGGTCGGGTTCATGACTTGGAAAGCTCTTTAGATCGTGCGATCCAGCGTGTCTTTCTCTAACGTATTCTAAGATTTCGAATATCCCGTCGTCAATTAGTTCAACAGAGACAGTGGAATGCCTTTCTCCAACATGGTACAAGATAGCGTAACACTCATCAGAGCGTCCGCAACCACCTGGAGCGTCCATTTTATACCCTATTCCAGCATACACTGGCTCCTGTCCGACACGATCGACATTTGTGAATCCGGCGGCCATAGCAGCCTCTTTGATACCCTCTACCTGCGTACGGTCGGTGTAGGAATGAACAGGGGCTGATACAACAACATTCGATATAGTTTTTCCTAAGAAGTTCTCTGCATTGGCTTTTAACTGGCCCAGTATGATGGATGCGATATCTTCTGCTGTCGTGAGATGTACTGATCCATCACTATTGGGTATTCGAATTCCGGGCTTGCCCTCGTTGTCAATAACGTCGTATGGTAAGAATTTCAAGTTGTTTTGAACTTCCGGGTCCGAGAACTTCCGTCCGAGTAAGTCGCTATCGTGAGGTCAGCGAAATTTTCTCCCCATTTGAGGAAAGGGAAGCGTCTCACCGGAAGTCAAAAATTGTATTTTTGGGATTTTTAGCCGCCTGCTCCTTTGCCTCGAAGCCTACCAATGTTCCACTCTCTGTGAATGCGACATATGAAGGTATTGCAGTACGGCCATGCTCGTCTGGAATCAAATGGAATGTATCGTTCAGTATAACGCCAACTCGGGAATAATCATCGCCCAGTTCAATACCGATGGCTGTATTATCAAAAAAGGTCAAAGTCAGAGGGCACAAATATGCAGCGTTATTTACTAACTTACACTTCTCGGGTTCGTTTCCATCACCGCCACTCCCTTGACGATTAGTCCATTTAGGCCAGTTAGGGTTTCGAGGACGGAGGAATATTGCCAAAGACAGCACAGCTAAAAAGCCTAGAAAATACAGCGTTCGCCTTCTGTTCATAGATGATGCCATTTTTATGTTTTCAAATTGTACTCGATAGTATATTTAATGAGTAATTGACGGGGTTTGAACTCGGTTAAATATATAATCTGATTATCCGGATTACGGCTGTGTACTGGGCTTGAGATCTGTCCTTAGGAAGGCATGTTTGAGTGAGTCACCAAGGCATCAACAACAACACCAACTGACAGGTTAAGTTTACGTGGCCTCCACTAAGGCTTTCTTGAATGCTTTGTTAATGACATCTAATTCAGTATTTTCACATGCAGTGTATCAAGTATCTTTTGTTTCACATGTTCCTGTTAAGATATCAGCGAAACCTGGTAGCATAATTTTAAGAAATTAAACCAGTACAAAGGTCGAACAATTCCATTGGTATTTCTTTTTTGTATTGTGTCTTCTGTTCATTTCTAACATACATCGATCGAGTCGACCGTATATAGAAAGCAAAGCATGTGATCAATCAAACATAGAAAGAGGAATGAATTACTTTCTGTTTTGCTCCCCCCAGTGACTTTCCCCCCCCTTTTCTTCAAGAATAAAGAAGTTTGAAAACAAGTATATCCGTTTCATTTCTGCGTTAAAACAGAGTAAAACTCTTACATCGTTCTTTTGTGTATCATCCCGTCTTTCTCCAGTTCGCGTTCATCAGAAGCAATCCTTGAAAATTTCTCTACTTGAAAATAGTAGAACGCAAGGTAGTGACGATAAAGTAGCCTCTTGGGCCATAAAAACAAGTAAATAAAGGAACGCACAGGAAGTAAAAATAGTGAAATAGACCGTGGCCGTTCCCATACTTATAAAACATGTCCCAACCGTGAAACGCCGTCCGAGTTATCAAACGCGGGTATATCCAGCACCTCGATGCAAAAATCAAAATGTACGTTGAAAACAATGTAACTGCAATAGTGCGATTCCTGCGAGCTCCGAATGCGAGGGTCCAGTTTCCCTAGTGCATTCTCATCTAGCCCCGATCCCATACATACCAACCCCGTAACTTCCTGTCCGTTCTGGCATTGGAGGTGACATTTTAGAAATATGCTCCTATCCAAGGTTATTAGCCCTTGTTTCATCTTGTACAAAGTAAACAAAGTAGACCAACCTTCTTCCGCTTCTTCTTCCCGCTTCGATCTTCGCTATTTGAGTAGAAGGCTGATTCGTCCTCGTCATCAACAAAGCCTTCGCCATAGCCAACAAAACTATTATCATCATAGTGTCGCTTTTTCCCGCGAGTCGGACGAGCACGCTCTGGTTCAGCAGCCGGCGGAATAGGCGCTCCGTTTACTTGGACTGTGGGACGCATGGTATTTGGTGTGGAAACGGACCTTTTACCCGGATCAACGTTGGGGTTTTTTGGCTGTTTCTCATGGCCTAAAACGTCTTCCCAGTATTCTGTATTCGGTACCGGTCCAGGTTCCATCTTCATCGCTCGCGTCTGTAACTTGTGAAGGGTCGAATCAACATCTGCAACCCTAATTTCCTTGCCGTACACTTTCTGATTCTGCCATTCCTCCTCCGGCCACATCATCAGATGCCTTAGTCCTCCAGACTGGCCCTCATTTTTTACAGCTTTATTTCTTCCCGACAATCCTAGCCCTTTCAATTTTCCTTCGTATGACTTGCGCAGCCGGTTGATCTTTTCACCTGTTATAGGGTCTACCCTCATGACTGATCTTCCAATAGGGCCCAAGCCATACAGAGATATGAGATCCAAAGAGGGATCAGGTCCTGTAATTGTGGGAGCTAATCATGGAGCTTGTTAACACACAGACACCAAGACCTAGGACTAGCAACCAAATGCAGTCAAAAGGGATATCTGTGTCAAGGAAACCTTACCAGTTTTGAAAAGATGGAAGGCTGTGCCGATATCTTGTTGCAGAGCATCAAGACTTGGATCGTGACTGATCGAACGATCCGCCTTCGAGTCAATATCCATCAGATCTGCGTCTGTAGATACCGGCAAGCCTCCCAGTTCAGTTGTTCCTGGCAACCGATCCCGGTCGTGATCAGAGCGTCTGTGTTCGGACCTATCGACATCCATATTGTCGGCATTTGAGTGCTGCGAATCTTGAGGCCACAGCTTGTCGGCACTGTCCGCGTCATCTGCAGGCGTCGCATTCCGGTGATGACCGCTCACACTACTGGCCGGGGTAGGAAAGGAATTTGTGCTGCTCACAGTTGGCTGCTGTGAGGTCTGTGTAGACATTGGGGTTGACGATGGCGGGGAAGAAAGGGGTTGACCGTTCGACGTCGTATGGCTGGAGGACGTATGTGGATTTGCGAGATTGGCGGCATAGCTCTGTGCGCCGACTGACATCAACGGAGGAGATGTGGGAGTTTGCGGACTGTAGTTGGTGGGATGGTGAGGTGAGCAGTTCACCTTGAAATGATCCCCAGGTGCTGAGGATAGTGAGAGAGGGTGGTGTTGAGCGGACAGTGGTAAGAAAGAATCGCACATAAGTCGCAAAGGCTATCGGGAATAAGTCTAGACAAGGCGCAGACCAGGGTGCCCGATGTTTCCAGGGACCAGGAGCGATGTTATTTGATCGTAGAGACTAGTGAGCGAATCACAGAGTCAGCCCGTTCAAGGCTTCGCTCACGGATGGATCTCGAGTCGCGGCGCCAGCTCAACAGCCTGCATTACAACGTAGTCAACGTCGGTGTAAAGCAATATCAACCAGGGCGAGTAACAGTAGAGAGTAGCAGCTAGGTTATCCGTCGCCGTTGGGATGGTGAATAAACGACTCCCTTCGTTGCGGACTGAGATTGAAGTGAGGCAACGAGGAGTTGGACGGCAAAAGCGCCCGGTGATCACGTGACTTATGGACCCAGCCATTTCTCAGCTACCGCCTGCCGAATGGAGTCATATTGGGGCAGAAACCGGCACGCCATCACGTGCTCGCGTGCAGCCATCGGGCTCGGGCTTCGGGGCGATCCTATCTCCATATGCGCTTTACCGCCAACTCTATATTAACTATAACATGTATTCTATATTATTGATTTGCTTTGATCCACACCATGTTTTTTGCGTGAGATAAATACTCTCTTTTACTTCACCTTTGAGAGTGAGATACTTAAGATTTTTCGGATATTGGAGCATCCCTGCTAAACTCTCACACAAGATATCACAATTCAACAGCTGAAGCTCTTGAAGTTGGGTGTATCGAAGAGACGGCACATCCGGTGGGGGAAACTTCACGTAGGCTTCTGAATTAAAGTTTACCGCGCAGGTTGCAATTTAACCGCGACTCTATCTTAGCTCCGTGTTGGTGGCTTTTAGGGACCCAAGCAGCTGGTTGCCCTCTCATCCATCCTATAGGGGCAGATGTAGGACCCCCTCCCTTCTCCTCCTCCTCCTCTTCTGAGCCTCCGGGCTCTAACCCAAAAATATCGGCCATGGGGGCTTCCGCCGCCGCCTGTTGTCGGTCCTCTGCCCCCCTCACGGTCCTATAAGTACCAATAGCGCATTTGGTGGATTTGGGTCATTCTTAGTGTACTAAGCCTGTCTAATAATAATGCTGGATATATTTATACAGTAAAATGGAGTAATCGCATGCGATTATCTGTAAACTAATTTTAGAGTGCGGTAGCACTATATCATGAAAAACCGGTCATATGACTCATATCAAATTCGTGAGTTCCTATAATATCAATCATGTCCTGCCAAGTTGCTAGATCAGTTGGACCCGGGAACGTGAAGGTCTCTGAGATCTGCGGGCTATGCCGCAGACCAGACTCTATCAATGAGCCTGACGGCCACAGGGCGTTGTCCGTCTCCAAACCTACGGCAAGAGATTGGTGTGGCTGAATTTGTGTAAAGTCTTGGCCTGATAACGAGACTCGAGCATTATGAGCAGATATCGCCCTCGATGGTTCAGCATTTCCTTGCTGACTACTGTTTTGGTGATGCGCTTCTCTTCCTCTTCTCCTTCCCACGCCCGTTAGTGCCGCTTCGGAATTTCCCATGCGTATGGGATTTAAGGCTTGTCGCGTGTTACACGGTCTTTTGAGCCTTTCGATACACATTTCAACCACCTTAATCTCTGCTAGCCGGAAATCATTGACCCAAATCTCATGCTTCTGCTTGTCGCAGTATGACTGAAGGTCGTTGACAACAGCATCGACGTCACGTGTGCCGCGAGATTGCTCTTGAATGGCAAGTACACCCAATACAATAGCGCTGTTGAAGAGTTGTGGAGCACCAAGACACCAAGTATAATGCTCAGCAGGCTCAGAATTGTCATCGTGCCCAAGACGCGTCTTGAGATCAGCACAGGCGGATGCGAAGCATACATCACGGCTGAAAGCGTGTTGATCGGTAATTGACGAACGCCATATGTAAGGGCGATGCAAAGTAATTCTAGCGAAATAAAAGGCTGTGCGAATATACAGCCGATGCCAGGCCAGGTAAGAGCAAGTTGAGTCCAGCGACAGGTTTGGATTTTCGAATGCCAAATAGGCCGGCAAGCTATCCCTCCAAGCAACTAGTTGTGCATCTAGTTGCATCACCTGACGATATGAAGCGGCGCGAATCCCAAACGTCTGCTCCTGGATCTGTCCTATAATCTTAGCTAGCCCATGGGAGAAAACAGCTAGAACGGCGGGTGTCGGGCTTGTATCGATAGGCTCTACATCCACAGTCAGGGCTTCATCATCTGTCAGATCATCGAGAAAAACGTTCTCCGGCACGCAGGTCAGAGACTGGGTATCCAGAATACAGTATGGTCGTCCGAGCGCAAGAGCAGTCATCCGATCCAGAAGGTATAGATGACACCAGAGTCTTCGTCTCGTTTCTACTACCCGGCGGGGAAGTCGCCAATGTCTTCCATCGATGTGAAAACCTTGAGCTATAGCCAAGCGTGCCGCGAAGCCGACTGTAAGCCAACTCTCGGTAATTCGCTGGGCGAAGAGGCAGTAGCGAGTGACCAAGATACCAGCACGAACCAGATCAGAGCTTTCTCCGTAAAAGGACGGCGCTATAACAATGGCTTTTCTGCTAGCCCAAAAGAAACTCAGTGACGATTCCTCATACTCTCTCTGGGTTTCGGGTGCCGCGCCTCGAGGGCAGTCCAGATATGCTCCGATGGCGAGAATCATGAATAGAAGGGCCAGCCAACGAATGTCAACCGTTGTCACATCGTCGTAGCCCGCCTTTCGGGACCAAAACCGATCATACTCCCTTCGGAAAGATGATGGGTGGACAGCATCCATGTTCCAGCTAACATGTGTCAGGAACTTGTCGACTAGTCGGTCTACCGTTGACTTTTGACGTGGCAGGAGGCCGAGTAGATCCCATAGCTGAGAGAAAGGTCCAGCTTCGTCTCGAAAGGGCCGGGCATTCATGCTTCGCCGTGATGTGTTGGCTCCGGGTTGGACGTACGGCGCCTGAGAGTCAATGAGTGCGGCAGCTACTTGCGGTCCAAAGTACGAGCTACCGAAGAATGCCGGTGCACCCCGTGACTTCCATAATTGTCCGATTTGAAGGCTTTTCTGTTCTTTATTGTGAGTGGGCTCATTTGTGTTTTCATAAAGGCCGTCTTCGACCCGTTGGTTCTCTCCGCTCTCATCCTCATCATCGGCAACGGTTATTGTTGGTTGCTGGTGAACTCCAACGAGATCTGGAGGGGCTACAGTATGTTGTTCCGGAATAATTCGACGCCTCCTCACCCTTGGCCTTGTAGAGCTAGCAGTCCTAGTATATGATGAGGTTTGGGTTGCACTGCGTGACCCGGGCGGGGTACAGAGATGCGTGACATTTCTAGAAACACAGTTCTGGCACGGTGTGGACCCTTCACACTGTGGCTCAGGTCAGAGACTTCAGGCCGTATTTTGACAGAGTTAAAATTCAAAGAAGGTAATTATACGGACCTTCTGCTTCCTTGTATGGCACTGTGAACAAGCTTTTGCTGTTCGCCCGCGGCTCCGTCGTAGATGCATTGGCCGTGTCGTGTCCAGGCTTGTTTTATAAGAGTTTCAATGCTTGGATTGCATTAATTGTCCTTTTTTTCTTTCCCTGTAGGCTCTGTGACCTTATTCAGTGGATGAGAACCCTGCTAAGATTGTGAGGAGTACGATGAGATATTTTCCCGAAAATCGGCATATTAATGGGCTTTCGGCTTTTGTATTTGTCCGATCACCTACATATGTACGCACATCAAAGAAACCTAACAGAACCTAACAGAACCTAACAACTTCACCTTGAATTGACTCAAATGTAATATTCATGACAAGGATCATTGAATATTTGCATCGGATACTTTAGATTCTCCGATGGCTTGAGTCGTGGGGCCTCATCGGCAAAAACGATATCGTACTAGGATATCTGCAGACACCTATTTCTCACTTTTCCGGGATCATATGCGAAAGAGAAAATGATTGGGACTTGGAAATTTTCAAGTGGATTTAAATCAACGCCAATGACTAGAGAGCTGCCTAGATATTCACTTTATCGAACGAGAATCATTTTTTTTAAGCAGCATATTGAGCTTACTATAAACTCCAAAAGAAATGCCAGAACAGTGGAAAGACCTAGTAGAGGAGCAAAAGTCGTTCGAAGATGAAGTTATCAGAATCGACGAATGGTGGAAGACACCCCGCCAAGCTGGCATCAAACGGCCATGGACGGCAAGCACTATTGCTTCCCTGCGCAACACTGTACCAGTGCCTTGTCTCGCCAATGCTTCCGCTCTGAAGCTATGGGCCTTGCTCCATGAGCACCGTAGTAGGGGCACAACTGAGCTAACATTTGGAGCGACCGATCCCATTGCTGTCAGTCAAATGGCCAAGTATATGAGAACTGTTTATGTATCTGGGGGATTGTCCGGTTTCAGCGAAAATAATTATCCAGGAATGGATCATGCAGACTATGTAAGCTACCTCTTTGAGTTCGTGGTTTTCAACTTGAGTGATAAAGGGAAGAAAATACGACGATAGGAATTAGAAATGCTAACACTCGACCCGAAAAGCCATGGGATACTGTACCAAAAGTGGTTGAAAAGATTTTTAAATCTCAGCAATGGCATGATCAAAGACAACGGCAAGTCCGAATGCAGCATAGAATCGAACAGCGGGCCAGAATGGAGAACTGGGACTATCTCATGCCCATCATTGCAGATGGCGATATGGGTTTCGGATCACTGACAGCTACCCTCAAGTCGACTAAGGCCCTCGTTGAATCTGGTGCGGCTGGAATCCATATCGACGACCTAGCCCTTGGTCTGAAGAAATTTACTATTGGTCAAGGTCGCACTATTGTTCCCACTTCTGAGTATGAAGATCGTGTTAAGGCTGTGCGTATGCAGCTCGATATCATGGGTGCCGAAACTCTCCTCTTTGCCCGGTGTGATCTCGACCATGCGGACTTCATTACTTCCGTAATTGACCCTCGGGATCATGAATATATTCTTGGAGCTACAAGAAACGTCAAACCTCTTCAAGAAGTAATCGACGAGGCTATCACCTCTGGAGAGTCACCTACTGCTGCGAGGGATGAATGGCTTGTTTCTGCGGGCACTATGACGTTCGATGAGGCTGTAGAGGAAGAAATACTCGGCTTCAAGCAACAGCCTAAAAGTATCATTAACATCCAATCAAATGACGACTTATTAAATAATTACAAATCTCGAGTGGGATATGGCACCTCGCTTTCTCAGCGCCGTGCCATTGCAAAGGAGCTTCTGGGAGTCAACATTTTCTTTGACTGGGAAATTCCTCGTTCTCATAACGGCCAGTACTTGTACAGATCTACTGTAAAGGCCATCATTGAGCGTGCTACTGTGGTTGCTCCGTTGGGTGACGTCTCTTGGGCACGTATGGACCTCCCAGACTACAACGATATCAAGGCCTATCACGAGACCATGCTGAGTCGTTTTCCTAGCCGTCTTTTTGCATTTTCTTGGGGTGGCGAATGGAAGTTCCCGTCATCGGCAGGTTGGACAGCAGAAAGGCTGAAAACCGTGTCCCAGGACATGGCTAAGGACTATGGGGTAGTCTGGCAGATTCAGCCGATGTATATGATCCAGGGTGTCAACATGGAGATCGAAAAGTCGGCCGAAATGTGGGTGAATGAAGGAATGGGCGGGTATTACGAGAAAATCCAACTCCCTGCTACACAGAGGAAGCCTTGGAAGGTTGACGGCTATGAGAAGATGAGCTGGTGTGGTGGATATTTAAGCGACGCTTTTTTTGCGGCTATAGCGGGAGAGGAAATATTACAGAAGAAGTAAATTTTGCCTCAGTTCATGACACTTCTCGTCTCGCCAAGGTCATGCTTTATTAACAGTATTAATTAAATACTCAAATTTGGGCACACTTTACATAGATAAACTCTCCCATGAATTCGCTCACAAACACCTACAACGCCGTATTGTCTACAGTCTCTCGTTACATATTACATAGGGATAGAACCAGCGGCTTTCATTGGGACCGCTTCATAACTGTCTAGGCTGAGGTTTCTCAAGGTCACTTTAATGTATTCTATTCCGTCTCAACGCTTTGATCATAGTCTAATCAGTGGTGGAAAATCATGCTTTCCCTGGCCACGGACCCAAACCACCTCCCGCTAATTCAAATATCTTCGCCGCTTTGAGAACACACAAATCATCAAATCTCTTTCCTATGATTTGCATTCCAATAGGAAGTTTAGTGACTCCATCCGAAGCTGTTCCCCAGCCACATGGCACACTCAGCGCGGGATGGCCTGTAGCGTTGAAAGGTGAAGTATTGTTAATAGAACCAGCTGCGAGCTCGAGTTTGTCTAGGGCAGAACCGTAGGCCATATCTGGATGAGGAGGTGCCACTGTCGGTGTCGTGGGTGTAATCAAAATATCAAAACTTCCGCTAGAAAAAGCTGTGTCGTAGGCTTTGCGCAGCTGGAGTACGTGGCGGTGAGCCTTGTTCTGAGCTGAGATCGGCAGGTAATTTGGATTTGTGAGTATTTTTTCGCCCAGAATCGTATTTATTACTGCTGGGTTAAGCTTTGTTAGTGAGTCGCACATTTCCTGATCCGGAGGCCAGCGGTGCTCAATGTGAGGCAGGTCATGTATCAAAAAGTCGGCAGCCCTGCCCCCAAAGGCGTGAGACGCCATCTGGTTGCGCGTAGCTGCTGTCCAGATGGAAGCACCCATAGAATGCATTGGAATTGAGACATCCGAAACATGAGAACCGCTGGCGGTAAAATGTTCCAGTGCGGCATGCTTGACTATACGAGCCACACTCTCGGACATTTTGGGAATATTGAACCCTTCCATAATCAACCCAACGCGCAATGGTCTGCCAGCTCCTGAAAATTCTGTCACTTTTCCATCCGTAGGTAATGATTTGATGAAGCCAGCGAGTTCTTCATGGTACGGTCTTACGTTTTGTCTCAAGGGGCTTTCTGGACCCATGCGTGCATCGAGTCCATCGTACCCAGCGATGGCTGACAGACATAGAGCAATATCCTCAATAGTACGTCCCAGAGGCCCAACATGGTCAATTAAAGGCAGAAGACCAGCAATTCCCGTGTAAGGAACCAATCCGTGGGTAGGTTTGAGCCCGTAGATGCCGCAATATGCTGCTGGAATCCTAATCGAACCACCTTGGTCGCCACCGATGGCCATTTGGACATCAGGGCCGGCATTCTGCAGTCCTGGAACGCCGATCTCACGAGCAAGGCCAAGTGCAACGAGTGTGGCAGCGCCACTACTGCTTCCGCCGCTGTTGAAATCGCGACTCCACGGGTTATGGACGGGCCCGGATGCAGCACTGTAGGACATGGGCGATAGGGAAAAGTTTTCACATGTGGTAGTCCCCACTATAGTACCGCCAGCAAGCAAAAGCCGTGACACCACCGAAGCATCGATGTTAGAGTGGGGATAATCCCCGGTGGTCGAGACAAACTGGGGGGATGTGCCCAAAGTTTGAGGAATCCCTGCTACTGCAATAGTATCTTTCAATGCTATTTGATACCCTTTTAGAAGCTGACTATCTGGTTTAAGTGCCTCAAGCTCGAATCGGTGACACCAACCGTTGAGGATATTCTCGTCCTCTTCAGGTTTGCGATAGGTACGCTGGCCACCCTTCGTTGGTACAGCAATCAGGCTGGGATCGATGTAATCTTCCAATTTATCCACCTCAGTAGCAATATCCAGTGCAGATCGAGAAGCGAGAAGGAAGGCAGCCTCTTGATCAGATGAAAGTTTAAACCCACATTCATAGGCCAAATTCCGGAGGATTTCCTTGGTAATGGGAGAGTCATTCCTCATTTAGTGTCAGCAAGCGGCTTATAGCAATTAATAGGGATTTAAATAATAACAGGCTCAACCTACTCCAAATTCTCTGACAGAAAAGGAAGAGACATGTTGATTCCAGGGAAGTCGATTGTAGAATAGTTTTTACCTCGCAATCAATTTCTTTCCCCCACAAATCTCAAGTATCCGACTTGAAAGCTAAGGTGAAGTCTAGATAAATAGTTAAAAGTCAATGATTAAGAGGTTATCAGGAAAGGACTCATTTTTTAAACTTCGACAATTGGGATCAAGCATACTCAGCTGTCGCGAAGCGTAATGGGGTAGGCACTGGCAATGTAGATTTACTCTTAGGCTTCAGTGAGGGGTTCACTGTTAGCCAAAGACGATGTAATCTGTTACCCCTCCCCGCTCTGGGTAAACGCACGCCCCTAAATATCTAGCTTCGTTAGTTATTGCCCAATATAATGATATTGGCTCTCTTATCTCACATAATCAAATGTAGGCTGTCTTCACCTATCCAACCTAAAGGCCGTACAGGTCAGCATTAAGGGTCGTATTAGGTACTTTAAATTCCCGGTGATCTTTTCAAAACAGCTACTACCGATTTAAAAACTGTATTGTTTTCTTATATTATATGTTGATATTACATGAGTTCTCTGACCCTTTAATTTGCCGACGGACATTTCCCAGATCGGAAAATGCCCACAAAAAGTTCGATTGGCTAGCCTAGTTCTAGGTATTACTGCCCTGGTGGCAATTTGGAAAGGAAATTGCTTTAGGTTTTCGAAGTCATTGTTTGAAATCTATTTGGGAGTCGGTTTACCTTGGAGTAGTTCCTAATTTTATCTGCCATCAAGTGTCATATACTGCTCATATGATCCCCATTTACTTTGTCGGGAGAAATGAAATGCATTCAATACCCTAGTGGCATCAAAGCTGTCTTCTTTGATTTCATGGGCACCTGTTTAGACTGGTACTCCGGGATAACAGCGGCATTTCCCGAACGACTCGATGAAAACACAAAACGCTCCCTATCTATTTCCTGGCGCGAATCCTTTTTCGCAGACATTCATGAACGTTTTAAACAAGGTCTACCAATGGAATCCTTCGACACAACTAATGCACGGCAGCTGGAGCTCGCGTTGAAGCAGCACAATGTCGCGCTATGTGAGACAGAAAAGATAAAGCTCGTCCAGGCATGGCATAGTATGCCGGCCTGGAAGGACGTTGCTGAAGGGCTGATGGATCTCAAAGGCCGCGGCCTGGAGCTTTTCGTGCTAGCTAATGGCACAACACGGCTCCAACTTGACTTAGTGCTGTCGTCCAAGCTATGTGAATTTGACATGCTTTTCTCAAGCGAGCTGCTAAATCTGGCTAAGCCTGATCCAGAGTTCTACGCATTGGCGTTGAAACTGACGGGTTACCGTCCGGAGGAGACAGCCATGGTAGCTGCGCATGCGTATGATTTGCGGGCAGCACAAAGGTTGGGTATGAAGACGGTGTACATTTCGCGGTGGACAGAAGATACACAGTTGGATTTGCGTCAGGTGTACGAGGATGTGGATGGGTATATCGGGTCTTTGAGGGGCCATGAGGAGGAGGAGAACAGTCGAGACCCAGCGATGATGCGTGATTTATCGGTGGCTTTGGGACTGGAAATTTCCATGGATATATAAATTAAAATACGTATTTAGGGGACAGGTCGTTCATATATTCAAAGTAAAGCTTCATGAAATTGAGACTGAAATTTCAGCTTATAAAATGTAACTGATATTGATGATGTAGCAAACTAGCTGGCTCTACATATGTAGTTATTAATGGGTATTATTCCGAGGCTGGCATCAACTTGACAAATTGCAAACAGCCATGAGGAGAAGCCTTGTATGGTCCATGCTTCATTCCAGGGAGTCTGTAAGCATACGCCCCAGTACTCCAGGATTGACCAAGAGTAACATCTTCCAACCCCCCTTCGATGAAACAAACCTCTTCGATATACGTGTGTGTGATGACTTCATCGGTGACTGATGTTGCGCCTGGGTCGTACCATTGAAGCACGGACTTTTTATCAGAGCCTCGTTCTCCATTCAAAAGTAACTCCCAAATTCCAGGTCCGATCGAATACCATTCCCCATACTGTGGAGTCCACACGGGAGCTGCTCCAGGAGGTGGGTGGTTGGACCTTGTGGTGAATTCTTGTTGTACAAGTGGCATGGCTGTGTTGCTTGTAGATTGGTCGTATAGATGATATAGTAGAACTTTCGTAGAAGAACAGCGGTTGCCTAACGTGAGGTTAATACGTGAGGTCAATATCTGAGGTCAATATCCCTGGGCCATTGCTTAATGACTAGTTGCTGGGTTATTAAGAGTTACTTACACGATAACGATTAACTAACGACCGATTCACCTAGTCATAAAAGTTCTCCTCGCAGAGAGTTTCCATCCTAAAATTAAAAGGTGCCAATAACTTGTTCGGGTTATTCTTATCGGGAATTTGAAGTGTTTAGTAATTCTCTTTTCCGATCCGATTGACACTTTAATTGCCGATAGATGTCATGACTCGCGTCCAGAGCAACCCAAACTATGTACGAATAATATAGTTCTACGTGGCGATTTCAATTTTTGTACTCAGATCTGTAATTTCCGATAAAAATCTGTGCATAGGATTCTATCCAAATCTTATCAGTCATAACACGTGCATATACAGTAAATGGCGGCTTTAGTACCGCAAAAAGTTAACCCTAATGTTATCTGATAAGAAAATTGCCCTCTTTCTATCGGATGGGTGATAAGATAACGTTTGATCGTTGGTAAATCATGGCTATAATACGTAGTAACATTGAAGGTGTATAAAATCTACATACGTAGCCACAAACTACATACATGTAATATTTCCAACCTCGTGGTTTCTGAAAATTTGATACTGATGAAATATGGATGCGAAAAGAGCGCAAACCCGCGATATTGAAAGAACAAGCAGCAATGGTAGAGGATCCTATCATGCTTTTCAAAGCGGGAAACTGCAACGCGGTCTTAAAGGACGACATATCCAGTTCATTGCTTTAGGGGGCACCATCGGCACAGGTTTATTCCTGGGTATTGGCAGTGCTTTGGCCACTTCAGGCCCGTTGTCTCTGTTTCTAGGGTATTTGGTCACTAGCATTGCAATTTGGTCCATGGTAGTAATAGTCCTTTTTCCTTTTTTGTGTTTTTTTATCTCAAAAGGTCCCGATATTTTCGATACCTTGGCTGACCAGATTCATGCGCATGGTTAGATGCAATGTCTGGGAGAGATGACCTCCCTGCTACCTTTGCCAGGAATGATCGCTCAACTAGGTTCCCGATTTGTAGACCCAGCACTCGGATTTGCCATGGGGTGGAATCAGTGGTACAACTGTGCGATCGCGATTTGCAGTGAGACATCTGGGGCGGTCATACTGATTCAATATTGGACTGATATCAACGTGAGTACTACAAATACCATAAAAAGGATCGATTACGTTCGTGAAATATTATATTTTACTATGCTGACTCAATATCACAAGTAGCCTGCCGCATGGATCTCAATAATCCTTGCCCTAGTCATCATTCTAAACATCGTTGCCGTCTCAATCTACGGCGAGGCAGAGTTTGCATTCGCCGGCATCAAAATCGTAACCATCCTCGGCCTCTTAATACTCGCCGTGGTCATTGACCTCGGCGGCGCTCCTGCACAGCCCCGTCTAGGCTTTCGATACTGGCAACATCCAGGCGCTATGCGCGAATACATCGGCAGGGACGCCACCGGTCGCTTTCTCGGCTTCTTCAACACACTAATTAACGCTGCGTTTGCTTTTGGTGGAGTTGAACAAGTCGCTGTGGCTGCCGGCGAGGCTAGAAACCCTTCACAAAATATCCCCAAGGCGATTCGTCGGGTGTTCTGGCGTCTTCTGTTCTTCTATGTCTTTGGGGCCCTTGCAGTGGGCGTTTTGGTTCCATATGACGACGCGCATCTCCTTTACGCTAGCAGCAGTACGGCTAAGTCTCCCTGGCTAATTGCTATTTCCAATGCTGGTATCCGCGTTTTGCCGCATATCTTGAACGCTGTCATGATCACTTCAGCGGCCTCGTCAGCGAATGCCAATTTGTACACCGGTTCCCGTTATCTCTTTGCTCTGGCACAGCAGGGCCAGGCGCCTAAGATTTTGTTGAGATGCACGGAGCGAGGTGTGCCGATGTATTGTAAGTATACGATTTTGCATTACCATCCTGCCGAGGGTAAATTTTCTATGTTGCTAATCCTATATTTCTACCTCGTGTAGGCGTGGCAATCACCGGCTTAGTTGGACTATTGACATACATGACCGTCTCTTCCGGCGGCGCAACGGTCTTCCACTGGTTTTCCAGCCTAACCACGATCGCCTATTTACTCACCTGGACGTGTATCTGTTACTCACACACTCGTTTTCGACGAGCCCTCAAAGCTGCCAATGTAGACCTGAACACGCTCCCGTTTAGGATCCCTCTTGGCCATGCGCCCTTGCTTGCCTGGGGCTCGATAGCTTTTTTTTGCATTGTTTTACTCTTCAACGGCTTTGTGGTTTTCACACACGGGAATTGGAATGCTCAAGACTTTGTTTCAGCGTATGTCGGTCTTCCGTGAGTATTTTTCTCCCCCCCCCCTCCTTTCTATCTGAAAAGAAGTCTAGCTTATGGGTAAATAGGATTTTTGGGCTACTTTACGGAGGCTATAAAATCACTATGAGGTCAAGGATAGTACCAATTTCTCAAATAGATCTTCTGACGGGGCAGGTACTTGATGAAGATGGAGCCAATGATGAAGCGTGCTTTACTGGAAGCCAGACCTCCGGAAAGGTTGGGAGTATATGGCAAAAAGTTTGGGATAAAATGGTCTGATTTTCATTACTGTTGCTTCCAAGCTTGTTTGGGTCCTGTATATCCAGGAACTATGGTCTGTTCTGTTGTAATATTGAAATTCACAATGCTGGAAACCCATAGCCCGCATTCATAAATGCTCTAACGGCTAGAACGCTGTTATGATTCAAAGGCAAGAGTTCAGAATAATGTAAATTTATTAATCAGAAGACATATGAAGAAATAAAGAGAGATTATTATCTACTAGACAATGAACTCCAGCTCATATAAACTAAATTTTGTTAGATTTATAAATGCCTTCAATAAAGTTAGATTTGACTGGCTAGAGAGGTTGTATAGTAAAAAGAGGGTTTTGATATGCACGTGACCGCTGCCTTAGGCAAACATTTACGCCGACATATTTCATTCGTGAACTGAATAAGATATCATTGGATATATATATATGATAGAGCTTTATTAATAGATACTGTTCGGCTTGACTGCAACACCATCTAGGAGAATCAGGAACGGTAGAGGACAGTTCCATGGTTGACCAGCAGTGACGACACGTCTGGTATATTATCTGCCAAAGAGTCCATGAGTTCCACTTGTTCTTCCTGACTCAACGTCCGTCCGCGCCATGGTCCTGGCTGGTTTGAGTATTGTGAATATTCGCCTCCGAATGGCCCCATCCAAAACATGGGATCAACAGCAGCTTCGACATACGCAAGACCGCCTGATGTGGTAGACGCGGATGTGTAGTTGGGGTCCCAACCTGGAAGGCCAGGCACGACCGAGGGGAACGAATTAAAAGGCGTTGCAGGATCGAAATTGGGGTCGCAATATGCGGCTGTCATGTGAGCATATGGCTCCTGATTTTCATAAAGCTGTGGATGGAGGGAAGTGGTTTGCGCGGGTGATGTTTGCGAGGTATTGTGTGTAGAGGTAGACAGTGTGAAATCTGGTGGATTCAATGGGGACTGTGAAGTTGGCACTTTAGTATTCTGGGCAGGAGATAATCCCGGTTTGGGTTCCGCCGATGGATCCCTAGAAGGTGTGCTTTGAGTTTCAGTCTCAGGAGTTAATTGACTGGCAGAGGTGACGGTCTGCACAGAGTAATAGGAGTTTGCTGACGGACTAGACATGGTAGGCGGGGTAATGGTATCGTGGGTTGAGACTGGTGACGGGTGCGAAGACGGTGAATGAACGACAAAAGACTCCATCGTGTCGTATGATTTGAGGCAGGCAGTAATAAGACTTCTGTACAGTTGGAGAGCCGACTCACAACCTGGCCACCGTTGTGCGGATATCATGACTCCTTCTAACGCAATTTGAAGGTAGTTCATTACCTCATCAATTGAATGTTCTTTGCGAATTTCAGGATAAGACAGAGTCCATAGTAGAGTACTGATGGCCATGAATAGGGCTTGAGTGGACGCCCAGGTCAAGTCCACTGACCCTGTGCTCATTTGCTCCCGATGCATGCTAACATTGAAGACACAGGCATCGTAGCATTTCCGAGCGGCATCGACAGTAGGTTCAGGAATCTGAGGGGATGGACGGTATATCATAACTACAATAGTGTTCTTTCGACCCACAAACCTGAATAGTGTTAGTAAGGTATATGGCAGAGCAGAAAACAGTCGCGGAACCTACCAGGTTTCGCCCAAACCACTACCTCCATCCTCCTTTGGACAGGACGATACCCAGTGATCCAATTTAGCAACCATCTGCTCAACCCAGGGATCCTGGTGGTCTACTGGAGTCTCTCTTTTGTTTAGATAAAGAGTGCGCCGAACTTCTGCTTGTAACAACCGCATTTTAAAAAAGTGGATCGCAATACATTTAGCTAGTATTGGCTTAGCCCCGGCGAGTATCCCGTGAGGCGTAATGAAACGGTCATCCACCAGCTCAGGGAACTTGATGTCTAGATGATCATGGCTCAGGCAAAATGAATTCGGGCGGCCTAAACTGTGAGCCAATCCAAATTCCATTGTGATGACAACCCAGACGAGTCGCCGACGCATATCAACTTCCAGAAAATCCAGAGGTTCACCAGTGGGCGATTTTGTGATGGTGGCTTCCTCTGTCAGTCCAAGTTCTTGGGCTAATTTAACGGCCGCGCCGACCACCCAGTATGATGCCGTCCTAGTCGGTGTGACTAATGAATACTGGGCGATCAATGCGAGGCATTGTAATGTTCTGATATCCATACGTTTCAGAGAGGGTTCCAAAAAAGGTAGAGCAGCCAGATAATAGCTATCGGCGAGACCTGCATAGTCGGCACTGAGCTTTTGCATACTAATGGCAATTATCATCCGTAGCTCAAAATTCTGAATAGGGTCGGTAGCGCCACTAAAAACGTCTTCCGCGTCTTGTCGAAAAGTCGGTTCATGAAGTACAGGCAACATAGCCTGGCCTAAAGATCTCCGTCAGATCATTATCACTAGTGCTAGCTCGTGGTGAAGGTCACTTGCCTCGAACCATATACAGATCAATCAATTTGTAGGTCAGTTCCCGCGGTGGAAGCTCATCCTGTGGCATAGAGCTGATCATTGGATAAACTTTGGACGTCGGCTTCGAACTTTCTTTTGCAAACATGTCGCGAATCTCTTGTGCTGTCATGGCGGGCACGACATCTTTGATGCTTTTGGAATCTGTGTTCTGCTTGGCCAACTCCATCACCAACCTCGTAATTGCAATACCGCTTGACGGTCCGAGATACCTCGGTTCATCAGTCGGTGTAAATTTAATGCGGCCAGCTCCGCGGACCATGAGTTCCGCATCTGCTGTATGCTGAATCTCTTTTTCTGCCTCTTCTATCTCTTTCTCCAGCGCGCGCGCTTTTTCTCGTAGCTGGACAATGTATGTGCGGGGAATGGGCATATTTCTTGCCGGATCGTAATAGACACATCGCGAATTGCTCCGTTGGCAAGGTTCGCATCGTGGGATACCAGGGTCACATCTAGATTTCCTCTTTAAAGGGAAGAATTATCGTTAGACTTGGTGCTTTCAAAATATTCATGATACTATAAGGCTCCACTCCTACCTGTCGACATCTCGTACACGCGGTCAGCGTATGGGCGATCCGGCCGTCCGGTGCGTCCTGCGTACCTTTGAACGGGGTGACCTGCTTCCAGGGGTCTGTAAAGACCGGTCGTGAGTTTGATTGAACATGGTATTCTGCCATCTTCACGGTCGAGATAGAGTCCTTGCGCTCCTACTTAAATTCGGCCGGGGCAAAACAAGGAGTGTGGACTCTGGTCGTTATTAATCTTCATGGTCTTTCCCTGGGATTGTTTATTCTTGATTCCGGAAACAGACTCTACCCACGATGTCTTTCTCGCGACCCAGTCCCAGCGGAGGCGGGAGGACCAATGTCGACCGCTGCTGAAAATAATGCTGCTAGCCTTCCCCCACTCAAAAATCGCTGGTGACAAGAGCTGTGAAAAGTGGAAAGGTTCCAAATAGCGATCAGATCAGTAATAGGGAAACTATTACCGATGACAGATGGGATACTAGGCACGCCGAACAGTAATCATGCTCCATCTAATTGCCCCGCATTCAGCCCTTTTTGTTCCAATTCTATCCCAAATTGGAAACAACGCGTGCCTGTTGAAGTGGCTTGACGCTTAGAACGGCATAGAGCGATATGGCGCAGACCACAGGGTGGCGGATATGAAGGCCAGAGACAAGAATAACAGTCTGCGGGAATGAGGGGGCCTATCTCCAACGGGCTAAGCTGAGAAGTAAGGCGGGGACAAAAGATACAACAACGGTGAAGGCGTATGTCGGGACTCAGGACTCAAGGCGATCAGGACACTCAACTCATAGATGCCAGCTGGATTGGCTCAAGTAACAACTGTCAACAGCTGTGAATAATTACAAGAAGAAGTAAGACGAAGAATGTTGATCGCAAAGCGGTCCATGGTGTTCGTAGGGCAGGAGCCAACAGGGAGTGGGGTCGGCCGGTGTACGCGCTGATTGGCTGGCTCGGCGGCGCGGGCAATCCTCCTCCAGCCGGCTCGAAACACCAAGAATACGCACAACTATTACCACAAGCTGCCTTCGTGGGGCTACGAGTCATGCTGCTCTCCAAGTGCAGAGCACAGAAAGTAAGCCAAGGCCGAGCCAACAGATACGCTACTACGATGCTTCTTTGTTCGACTTGTTCGGCGCAAGTACTGCTGACTGCAATAGATGCTAACACGAAACACTCCACTGATACAAGCTAGAACGTCGAAAGGTGCTGACACACTAGGGGGTGGGCACCGCTAAAGGCACTGCAGGCCACTCGCACGGCGTCGTTGCTCGCACCTCGCAGCGCCATATGGCACAGTCATCCAAGTCCCGATAACGTTATTCTGATTGCTCCAGCAAATCCTGAAACAACGGGTTGATGTGGGGTGCTCACCGCATCGCTTAGCAATACTTCTACTCGACTGCCGAACTCCATCGTCTGATATTATATGGTTTGGAAATAATTGCTATTGGAACGCGCCGTCTCGCTAACGGAGGGACTAACAGCAACTATCAGCAACCAACAGCCATTATTGTGCAATCCGCTGTCTGCCATCTACAAGTGTCGGTGCCCGTCTCTCGGAAAGCGAAAAGCCTCGGTTCGTATTTCTATTATTATGGCTTTGCTGGCACGATCAATTGACCCATTGTAGCTCAATGCTTGGTGACTTGCGAGCCTAACAGCGAAATAGCTGTTGCGACCCCACGACGAGCCTAAGATCGGCGCCGCGTTTCGCTAGACTCCTTGCCTCCCCCGCTGTCCTCAACATTTGTTATTTGATTATCGAATTTCTCTCCCGTCGGCAAGCTTTCTCTAACCTGTGCAGAGTGGCTACTCCTGCTCCATAATTCACTTTCGAACCCAGCTGAAATAAACTTCCTGCGGCACTGCCTTACATCGTGAGCGAGCGAGGTATCGCCGGTAAGGCTGGCTGCGGATCTCACCTCTCATGCAGCTCCACTTGCCATCATTACCATCCAGCCACTGGGAGTCTCTTTCTGTGCACATCTTTCTCCATCCTTCCTTATGCTTCCAAGCCCTGCAATATACAACAAGCAACTGACCTAGGCTGTGGCGTTCCACGCCCTTCGACCTTCGTACCACCGGTCGCTTTCTCTCCCCTCCCGTCAGGACCAATTGGATTAATACGTCTTCACCGTGGTCAACAACCCAATGGTTAGATAACAAAACACGCTCAGACCTTGACAATATCAACCTTGAAAATCATATGCTTGCGCCATTGACGTCCACGAAATGCGACCCTTCGAACTCTCTTCATAGCATGTAACAATCCCGCCATCATGTCGTCCGCCGCGTTTCTGGATAACCCAGTGCTCAAAGTCAGCCGCCCTGTCGCTGCTTGTTCGAGATGCCGCACTGCCAAAATCAAATGTGATGGAAAACTGCCGGCATGCTCGGCTTGTGAGAGAGCAAACAAGGCCAGCAGCTGTTCCGGCGCTTCAGATGAATTTGCAAAGGGCAAAGAACGGAGTTATGTTGCTTCCTTGGAGGGGTATTGCGAAAGACTCGAGAAGCATCTGGCCGAGGTGCGTCAGCGCAAGCAAATGCGAACGCTTGCCGCTGGAGGTGTTGGCGGGGAACAGATTCCGGAGAGCTCGATCACTGCTTTTGCAACAGACGATACCAGCTCCCAAGCCCATCACAAAGAGGTCTCCGATATAGATGACTTGGTTGGCGATTTCGGTTTTCTGTATGTGATATATCCTGTTCCGACGGCGGTAGTCGCTAACGAATATCATCCAGCTCGGTCAACTCGACATCACGGGATTTCAGTGGAATAACCTCCAACGTGTCATTTGCGCAATTACTTTTGACAACATCAACGGTTGAACCACTCCCTCAGTTCTCAAATGCATCACTTCTGCCACGGTACGAGGCGACACAGTTGATGCAGCATTACTTTAACACCATCTACATTCAACTACCATTTTTCTCCGAAATCACATTCTGGACTTCGATGGAAGCAGTATACCAGAATGAAGGTCGATTTGCAAAGCCAATCGATCAGTGGATGGTGCGGATGGTGCTGGCAATTGCCTCTGCATCTCTTTGGCCCCAGCAACATGGCAATGACCCACAGTTCGCCTTGTCGATGGTCTCTACAGCGCTAGAATTTTCAGCGGAAGTGCTACGGCCAGGTTCAATGCTAGGCATCCAAGCAATTCTTTTCCTTACGCAATACTCACTCTTCGATCCCACACATTTCCGTCCGCGTTTCTTGGTGTCTTTTGCTGCTAGGGTGATGGTCGATTTGGGGTTGCACCAAGATCCACCTATCGAAGTTCTATCCGATAAGGCCCGTCTAGATCAAAGGCGCCGACTCTTTTATAGTCTTTACTCCATAGATAGGTACGTTTGGCAAATGTCGTCAAGAGGGGTGGAGTAGAGCCTAGTTACTTACTGACTTGCTATCCAGGGTAATATGTACCGCCCTACGCTATCATTTTTCGTTTTCGGATAATTCAGTTGATGTGAACCTACCAATTATCCCAAAATCTTCGGCAGATCCAACCAATGGGAACTTCTTTCTCAAAAGCTTGGAACCTGCCATTCATTTATTCAAGATTCGCCGCATTCTCTCCACCGGTTATCACGAGATGTACTGTAATGGCCGCAACCCTTCACCTCAGCCTCTAGTCCTAACATGGAAACTCTGTGCCGAAGCTCGTGAATGGTATGACCAGACGCCAAGCAGTCCATCAAGTTCTTTAAATCTACTATATCGATTAGAACTCCTGTACAGCACCATTCTTTTCCTGTCACCCTCGTATCGCAACCCGGTCATATGCGACTTTAGCAAAGTACTGCTCTTTGATCGGTGCATCGACTATATCAGCCAGTTCCATCAGGTAGTGGACAAGTCCAACAGCTTGCCATTCGCAACATTTCTGGATATTCAGCGAGTGCGTCAGATCGGGCAGCGATTTGTGACAATTTTGAACGAAGACTATGACCTGCTTATAAGCGACCAAGTCCCAGAACCGCCGCAGGTACCTGCTGGTACTCCTGAGCCGCCATATCTCGCAGCGGAAGACCGCATCAATTGCCTGGCACGTGCTTTCAGGTGTCTACTCTACATAGAAGACATCCTCAAATACGGTGTCCAGAGATGGGACACCCGCCAACAATACAATGAGTTTATCCAAGACTCGGCCACAGTAAAACTACGACTAGAGCAGCATCAGCAGTCATTTCAGACAACTCGGTTTGCTGATGTGCCTTCGGGATTCATTCCTGCTATGCCAACGAATGGTTATCAAGAGTTTCAGCCGTATGTCAATGCGGGAGAACAAACTTACTATCCCCATCTCACAAATCATGAGTGATGTAAACACCATGCGAACAAGTCAACATCCATATTTGACGTGTGTGTGTATGTATTCTTTGTCAGGAACAGTAATGCCCAGGGCCAGAGGAATGGCTTCCGTCATAGACAACCTTGAACTAGCCCGTGTCGCGCCTTCCTCGTTGGCCGCTATATCAGCTACATCTCCGGAGACGCTGCCCAAGTCTACGACTACATTCACAACACTTCCTGCAGATTCAAACCCGTATCTCGTACACTGCATCCCCACTCAAAACCAGATTTACTCGATGCACTGGATTATTCGTCATGCATTATAACCCGATCTTCATATGTCTCGTCGCAGTCACCCTGTGCTTTGCTGGTCGTCGAACTGACGAACGACTATCATCAAAGCAAGGCCTGGCCTTCTCAACGGACGAAAACAGCGATCGCCTCATACGTGCTCTTAAAATCTGCGATCAGTCCCTCGACGATGCCGTCATCCTTGCCACGAAGTATATAAATCAAAGCAATACACTTCTACCTCCCGAATTTCCAGAATCTTGCAAGGAACTCATAGAGCTAGTGGAAGAGCTTTTAGAAAACCGCCGTACTATTAACCCCCGCTACTATCAACAGGGCATGGATCAAGTTCCGATGAATCGGGCTCCTCGTACGCGCGCAATATCATCGACCTTGTACGGTCTGACACGCGGGTGCCCCCAAGTATATTCCACCCCCAAACGCAGTTATCGCCGCGAAATCTGTGAGGCCAATGTATGTCCCGCGAAGGGTCTTGAGAAGACCTGCAAATCCAAAAACCTTCAGCCTACCGCAACCCAGACTTGCAAGATGTGCTATCCAACGCCAAATGCCAAACTTATCACTGAGCACTGCCAGGCGAGATGGCAGCGAGAGCGGAAAGCGTTCTATATTGTTTGCTTCGTTCTTATGGGGCTTACACTTGTTTCGGGAGTGCTCCTGCACATACGCAGATATTGTGTTCGGAAGCGAAAACTGCAGGCAGAGGATGAGACGGCAGCCAAACAATCCGGAGAGATCTATCACTATGATGGCGCAAGTTCCTCAATATCATTCGGCCCGGATGATAGTGAACCAGAATCCAGTAACGCCGAGCGAGATGTCGACGAAGAAAACGAAGCTCATGATATATGGGACGAGGGCGATGGTGATATTGGGAGCGCCACTGCTCAGAGGAAGTGGAAACAGCTTGGAATACTTTCCAAGACGGGTCGAAAGAGAATACAAGATTTATTCGATTTGGAGGCAATGCGGTCTAGACGGGAGGTTGGAGGCAACCCCCAACAGCGACATTCTGGCGACAAGATTCCAGTCATGCCTCGGGCTCCAAATGCAACGGTGCGACCGGTAGAGCGAGAACATAGACGGGGACGATCCGAAAGGCGACTACCAGAATCCAGTAATGCTTCAGCAGTCGAACTACAGGTTATGCGGAAGAGTGGCACCGCTTGAGCTTATGTTTATCACTTAAAAGATCCCTCATTATGAGTTCAGACATTACCGTACTACCGAAGATGTAACGACAATTCTTCCTTTTGACAATAGCCATTACACAGTAAGAGGCTCAACGTTCAATTATTAGCGGAAGTCATATTATATTAAATTACATACATTACACGAAAGAAATGCACATCTGCCGCTTCAATATATCCAACTGCCTTAATTTTTCGCCCCCTATTAACAGCTTTATATCAGCAGCCAGTGCTTACAGAGCAATAGCAAGACCCAAAACACCAACAGCACCAGCCACCCCCATCGCCAAAGCACCAGTAACAGCAGGAGCACCACCAGTCGAGGCATGTGTAGCTGCCGCAGTCGCAGCCGTAGTCGTGGTAGCACCAGTAGCAGCGGCAGTAGGGGCAGCAGTCGCATCAGTCGCGTAGGCAGTGTACAAATACGTCTTTACGCTCGGTGGCAGAGAAGCCACCCAGCCGGGCGTGTTGCCTGCCTCGATAGAGCTGACCAGGGCATCTGCCCAGGACGAAATGGCTGCGGGGTTGGTGAGCTCGGCGGCGATGGAGGTGGGCAAGGCGGTCTCCAGAACGGTCATGATGGAGTCCGGGGGAATATTAAAATCTGCAATGGCGTCGCTGTTCAAAAAAGGATTAGCGATGTGAATACATACAATGTACATATGTACATATTGGCTTTCTCAGCTTCATGTGTGATGTTGGGGGGTAAGTTTACCCGGCGACGAGCACGGCGCTGGCCGAAGCAAGGGTGAGGGCGGCAATCTTGAGCTGCATTTTGAATGTGATTCTTATGTCGACTGCTGTATCTTGTTATGAGGATAGTAGCGAGGTGGGCAGAGTCAATTGATATGGAGAGGACATGGAGCCCCTTTTATGAGTAACCAAGATGGAATTGTATGACTATAGTAGTATACTGTACGATGACTATAGGGGTACATGTACTACATGAAATACATGATCAAATCACAGCCTAACATGCGTCGTATTCATCCCAGAGACCCTTCACGCTAAAGCGTCAACACGAGGCCCAACACGGCTTATCAAAACGTAGCTATCCAATCGAGCGCAGGGGTTCTCGTCCCACAGTCCGCACTGCAGCTGATGGAATGTTAGGATGTCAGAAGTCAAAACAGTCGCACGTCTTCGGCTGTAATATTACATAACTATGTAATGCTCCGTAATAGTATTTGCTATTCAATAATACCTACGGATACCTTTTCAATAATATTGCTGTGTATAGCTCCGGGTAAGGTTTCCGGAGCCCTGGCGCTAGGACCTAATTATTTGACAGGAGTAATCCGTATTCAACTCAGTCTTGCCCCACAAGCGACTCTAGCGTGCAAAACCGAGCTGGGACAGGATGTACTATTATTATTATTTTTATTGAACTAGCCTAGTCATTGTTGCAAGAAGCTGGGAACTGAATTCCCAGAATGCATCAAATGTACTCTGCATTCCACATGTCAATATTACTTATAAACAGTGCTAAGCACCTTAGCTAATTAGCTTCCGCAAGACAAGTGGAGCCATGCGAATAAGCCGCATTGTATGACCAAGCGATATTACAGAATACTAACTACTAGAGATTATCGAGAAGAATGGTTGATTTGTTAAGGTCGATGAAACAGGTTTCATCTGGTTTGTGACGGACAGGTCTTTAAAATGTTGCCTTTGTATGAAAACCTCAATAACCTCAAACTTGTTGTATTGAACTACCACATTTAAAGAGTTCTGGAATGAATTTTAGAAGCTGTATGTTGCTGTCAAGAATCTAAAATATAGAAAGGTAAAGCAAGGCAAGTTCGAAACCTTTGCTTCTTGATTTCGTTATTTTCGAAGCTCCTGTGGTAGGAAGTTGAGCCTCTTCAATAATACAACAACACATAGGTATGACTTGAATGCCTCGTATCAAGCCGCACTTAAAATAGTGATCGTCAAGCTAACAAAAGTCTTAACAGCATGATCTTCCTGACCATGACTCATGACGCAGCTTCATATTTGTCGCATCGACTACGTATATCTCGTGACTATGATACCTCTCTCAGCTCTACGTAACAGGATTTAACCAACGGCCATGAATAACATTTCATCAACTAATATTCATAATAATAATACAGCTTCATCAACAGAGCGGAGTAACAAGTGATATTCATCAATATATATATATGTAGCCGATTGGGGGGGGGGGGGGGGACACCATCTAAGCACCCCCCTCCCTCTTCGCATATTCCTCCTCGATATTCTCTTCATACAATCGATCCGCCTCGGCCTTGGTCAACTGGCGCGCACTAGGCGCGTTGTCTATATCAACGGCATTCGCGCGCTGCGAGCCGGGGGCATCGACAACCGCACCAAATCCTGCTGTGCGTCCGGTTTGCTGGATAGTAGATAGAGCTTCGAGGGAGGCAGTACCAGCGCTGCCAGTCGGACGGACTTGATCGTTGTTGTTATTGTGCGTGGGCGCGTCCTCGTTGGACGAGAATGACACAGGCATGGTGATGGGTGTATGATTCGACGAGGGTAATAATGATAGCGCGATAATATTGAAGGCTTGTGAAGGATGATAACTGACGACTGGAAACTTGTCTGTCAGTAGATCAAACGTGGTTTTAATACTGCAAGGTGGCGACAGAAAGCTGTCCCAGTGGCGAGAGAACGTCACCGCGGGCAGGCAACAAACATTTCATTAGCTGGCTGTCGAGACGTAGGCACCGAGAATATCGACCATTACGCGAACTGTTCGCCTGTTTACATACACACTGAATAGAGTTCGTTTAAGTAATCCCTTCTCCAGAACTCAGCATATAGCCAAGCGTTGATGAAAAGAAAGTATCCACGAGGTGGAAGGTGCCAAAGAATACGCCTGCCAAAGACCCGAAAGCCGTTGGACAAACAGTTCCTCCGCGCTGTGCAATGCAGGGACCTATCTGTGGTGAACCGCCTTCATGATCGCAGTCACCCAAACAAGGTAAGTATGAAGAAAGAAAGAAGAAAAAGAGTAAAGGAGCGCGGGAGGGACGCTGTTTATATACCCACTGCCTGCCGCGCTAGTGCCAGATTTGGCTAGTTAAGCGAAAGGGTGATCTGGTGCGCTACCAGATGCTGATTGGCCATGTTTCAGAGCGGCTTCTGCCAGGTGTTTGGTCTGTTTGTCTGCAGTTCATACGCGTCAAATTCTCTACGTTGTCAATTTATATATAGTTAATAGGTTGATGGATAATGAATATAGATCTCGTTTAGTAAATCATTACGTGTAAAGCTTCTATCACATTTGTATGGGTATGAGGCAGTTCATTAGTCATGCAGGATGCAAACATAACAAGTTGAAGCAAGTGTTTATTCGGTACTGCTAAGGGCAAGACAAGCGTCCACCGCCAGTCCGACTCTATGACCTCGTTAGTATATAACAGTAACAGTCCACGATGCTGCAAGATAAAGACATACCTGCCCTCTTTCATTCGGACTACGTCGTCAATGATGTCTCTATCCAAGTTCGGGAACATCGCCGACAACGTCCTAGTCTTGGTCAGCGTCATACCAAGTCAAATGCAAGATATTGAGACATACTCTACAACATCTTTATGTTCCGCGCGCTGGATCCTTCGAGCTTCTGCAGCCTCTGCGCTCGCCTGCCGAGCTGCCGCCTCCTGAGCATCTAAAGAAGCTGCGTTCGCAGCACTCGGAACTCGATCATCGCTAGTGTACCCAGCTGGGGGAGGTCGAGGGCTGGGTGCTGGCGCTGCTGAGGAGGCCGGTGCCTGTGCGTTTCTAGTCGCATCCTGCTCTGTATCGTCGGAAAATATCTTCCCAATCGTAGACAGCGGCTTCTGAATAGTCCTCAGAAGTCCAGCAACGGGGGCATTTTCTCCATCGCCTAAAGATGGACCATCTTTTCGATGTGCATACCGTTCGGCATCTGTCGATGCTCGTGGTGTTACATGTGCGCTTGATGATGACTCCGACTCCGCCTTCAAGTTTTCTTGAGCAATGGCAGAAACTGCAGCCTCAACATTCTTCTCAAATTCCTCGTCGCTTACGGTCAAGCTCGTTCGGTCAAGTGTTTCGATGAACTGAATAGCACCAGACTACGCACAAGTCAGAGATGTCCTTTGCGTTCCAAATGAAAGTAACATACTAGAGAAGAAAGATAATAACCTGCTTCTCCTCCCAGCTTGTCTTGGTTGCGGAAACGTAAGATGTACTGGACATTAGAGACCAAGTGTTCCGGGTTCTCCTTCAACACAACGTAAATTAACAGAGGAACGAATGAATCTGCTGAGGTATCGGGGTTCTTGGAATGTTTCAACAAGCCTGAAAATCAAATTAGCAGTGGTCATCTAGGGCATAAAGTAGATTGTACCAAAGATGACTTTGCAACAGTTGAGAATGCAAATAACTTTGTCCCGAGGCGCTCTATAGCCTTTGATTTTGCGCAATTCTAATACCAAGCACCGTTAGGCCTTTCCTCTCGGGTATAGGCTAGAACATACCTTGCTGTGCAAGATTGATAAAACGCCGGCCATTGTTACCAACAGGAGGAATATCCAGATGCTCTGGCTGTATCCAACTGTAGATCCGAATTTTCTGTGCTAATATTTCATCCCGCTCAACATCTTCCTGGTGCTGACCGCGTCTGCCAGGTCCATGCAGTCTCTCCAGTTCCCTCCGTTTACTCCTGCTCACACTCCTCGGCACTGATGGTGGCGGTGGGATAGCCGGAGAAAAGGTCTGCCCGTACAGCCTATTCATGACCAGTTTTTCCATTCCTTCTTTGGCATTATCGAATTCCGCGTCAGAAACATGTTTCCAGACTTCACATTGCGCCATTTTGTTTGTAATGAAAGCCAAAAAGTCACTTATTATCTTAACCTGCTCGTGAACTAACCACTGCTTCTTCCCAAATTCCATTAGAAATGATCGGAGGAATTTGGCGACAGGGTCTGCGGTGCGGTGTCGAAGTTGCTCGAGAAAACGATGAAAATCAAAAGGCTGATCCGACTCTGGCTCAGGAGGTGGGAGCCCAGACATCGAGGATACCGATCGAGGAGTCCCCGGAACTTCGGACCCAGCACTAGGTGCTTGCTTTGGCACGGTAATTGGTGTTATGGAAGTCGTTCCAGCCGACGAAGGGATACTATCAACGGGCTTTAGGTGATCTAGACTCGATCGACGCGGAGGGAATTGGGCAGATTTCCCTTTGAATTGCTCCGCAAGCTCTAAGCGTGGTGACATGATTTCCGTCTCCTTTGGTCCATTTGTTTCGTCCGAGAACTGGTCCATTATACTCTGAATCTCCGATTGCTCATCGTCGGTTTTGTTGACTGCGTTACCCCCCTTTTGCGGTTGCGTTTCTTGTAGCCGTTCTTCATGTTGAGGTACATCTGGTAACTCTTTCTCGGTGTAGTCGACTCCTACTGGAGAATGAGAGGCTTGTGGCGTCTTCGGGGTAGGGTCGATATATACTCCATCCTTCTGCGGGGGTGTGGGGGGGACGTCGAGTTGAGTCTGGAGACTTAGGCGCTCCGGCTTCTTTGACGAGAGCGATAATCTCTTCAGATCTTCCGGGTCTAACTCGCCATGGGCGATGCTACTTCTCGCAGTCGGTTCGTCCAACGGAGACGGGTCGACGTGGACGAGTTCTCCTAAATCAGCCTCGTGTTCTCCCATGCTGGCTGCGTTTTCATAACGTGTATCGGACGATGTGTTTAACAAGGCACTATGACTTCCATATTCTCCGGGGTGCGCTTTTTGGGGATCCTCGGGCGCTGAGGAGAGGGGATTATGTGAGGTGGACATAAGGCTTATGCCTGCCCCCACGTCGATAGGAATGAGGTCACTTGAGCCGTGATCTTGCTCAGGCGGGGTATTAGTATCGCATTCTGGGGAATGTAACCAAAAAAGGAGGAAAACAGCAGATGAAGATCACTGCTGAATAAATATAGGTAGAGGTTTGAGAAAATAAAGGTCTCTTGTGAATAGTCAGTTGATCGATAAGAGTACTCGAGCGTAGTGTGTGTTGGTTTCCACACTATTCTGCCACTGGACACCGCCTTGTTTGCGGCGGATGGACAATCATTATTTCTTTCACGCCCTAAAACCTTCGCATACAACCTCAGATCTTACAAGCAGGCTGCGCTGCTATGTGCGGTATTTTCTTCTCTTTGAGCGCATCACAGCATGTGTATCCCACAGAGAAGACAGTCGCCTGGCTGCAAAACCGAGGACCTGATAACTATCAGACTCACCAAGTGCAGCTAAACTGTCCTGCTGATCCGCAAGGTGTAGGCGAATTAGCAACCACGACGGTTTATTTAACATTTATCTCGACAGTTCTCGGACTACGAGGCGACCATGTCACGTCTCAACCACTTGTTGATGCCGACAGCCGATCAGTGCTGTGCTGGAATGGCGAGGCATGGAAAGTCCGCGGTGAGACTGTGGAAGGAAATGACACCGAGTTGGTCTTTCGAAGACTCATTGAGGCTTCCAAACTCAGAAATGGAGATAATGAATCGGAAGTAGATCAAGCAACTAAAACTATTGTCAGACTAACAAACATCATCAACAATATCACAGGTCCTTTCTCCTTCGTTTTCTACGATGGCTTCCACGGAAGGATTTTTTTTGGCCGTGATTGTCTCGGGAGGAGATCTCTACTTCATAGCCGTGATGAAATAGGAACTCTCAAGATTTGTAGCACGTGTGATGGAACGCCGTCGGTGCCATTCGAGGAGGTTGAGACTGACGGCATATACACGATTGATCTTTCACGCCTTTCTCTACAAACCCATCCGACTGATAGCTCTACACTTTCATATCAAGTGGAAGTGATACCATGGTCAAGCGAAGCAAACCCTACTTCATCACTGAAAAACCCCATCCCGCCTATGAACCAAGCTCTCCCATCGTCGCAACCACCTGCCCTCAGAATATCATCCCCCTGCGTCGAGCGACTAGAATACGAGCTTCGTCGGTCCCTCGACACCCGTATCCGCAACGTGCCACGTCTAGGAGTTGGATCGAACACCAAAATCGCAGTTCTTTTCTCAGGCGGACTCGACTGCACAATCCTAGCCAGGCTCGCTCACGACATCCTCCCACTTGACCAACCAATCGATCTTCTCAACGTCAGCTTTGAGAACCCTCGTGTCGCCGCCGCCTTAAAAGCGAAGAGCGAAAAGGACAACACACATATGGGATCCATATACGAAAGCTGTCCTGATCGAATAACCGGTCGGGCTGGGTATGGCGAGCTACAGAGGGTGTGCCCGGATCGCCTCTGGCGATTTGTGGCTGTTGACGTTCCTTACGCGGAATTCGTGTCGCATCGAGAGGAAGTCATCCAATTAATGAAGCCGCATAATACAGAGATGGACCTCTCCATTGCCTGTGCGCTATACTTTGCATCAAGAGGGCAAGGAACCATCCACACTACACATGATCACACCGCAGCATACACCACGACGGCACGAGTCTTACTCTCCGGTCTAGGAGCAGATGAACTCTTCGCAGGCTACGGGCGTCACGGCGTAAGTTTTACTCGCAACGGATTCCAAGGTCTAATCAACGAGATCGATTTGGACGTTGGTCGACTCGGCAAGCGGAATCTTGGCCGCGATGACCGGGTGATTTCGAACTGGGGACGAGAAGCACGCTTTCCATATCTCGACGAAGAGTTTGTATCATGGACGACTCAAACCCCAGTCTGGGAACGCTGCGGCTTTGGTACAGCAGAAATAGTCGATACTGAGATCAACGAGCTGGATCAATTAACCGAATCACTTGATCCTGAGAAGAAATCTCTCCGTCTCCTCGCTCTCAAACTTGGCATGGTCCAAACAGCCCGCGAGAAGAAGCGCGCGATACAATTCGGCTCAAGGACAGCTAAGATGGAGAGCGGCAAGAGCAAAGGGACGCAATTAATCTAAACCTTGACTTTTCTCATTTCTTCCCTTTTTCCCACGCATTATATACACCTCCCAAAGCTTTCGTAGGAGTAACACCAGCGATGATGACATTCAGAGAAACAGATACTTCTGAGAACGCCACCTCGATCTACTGTTTCATCTATTCTTTTTTTCGCCTTCCTCCTTTTCTCCTTTTTGTCTCCTTCTCCTGGGCATTCATTAGCTGGGCTTTGTGTCTTTGCTTACCCTCTCATTCACATATTATGAATCACGCGACTGCCTTGGGCAAGTGGAGCGAATATGCTTGAATTTGGGGGTAACGGTCAAGAACTAAAGACCGCTTTGAGAGTTGGGGTTAAGAATTGAGACAGCTAGACAAAGGGAAGACATCACCAAGGCGAAGAATCGGGTAGACAGACAATGACGAGGAATTGAGGCGGATTCAGTGATTCACTAAAGGCAAGTCTGAGCTGGAATTGCACAGTCAGAGGATGACCAAAATGTACAGGTCGTTTTCGGTACATAGTTAGTCACGCAGTAATTGTACGTACATGTAGTAGACAGGGTCTATGTATGACACTGAATGAGTAACATGAATTGGATTTAGCCTGCTTCGATTTGAAATACAACGCAAAGGCGACAGACAAGACCAATAGGACTTGAACTAGACCCATTCTGAGTCATCTGATAACTGTACTAATTGATATTCAAAATTGAACCGTTTAAAATTCTCGCGCAGCCAATCACATTCACTTTCTAAGCCGTAAAATGCATGACCAAGTCTATATCTACAAGTGTTCGAGTCATAATACTGAGTCATCGAGTTTATTTAATACAGTTCATTGCGGATTCAATCAAAAATGAGTCAATGATTATCATTGCGAGGTCCAGGGCGAGTGATTCACCTCATCCTGAGAGTAGAGTTTTGAATATAAATACTTATCAAAGTTCGGGCGATGAAACAATTCAAATTGATCAATTGCTCAAAATCAAAATATTATGAAAACAATAAAGGACACTGACAAATCGCAACAAGTCCATATCTGGCCACGAGTCAATCCAAGCTCGTAGAGCAAGGAGACATCAGAACCGGCACAGATCACAAAATCACAAATAAAGATACAACCAAAGGTATATAATGCACAAAAAGGAAAAAGAGCGTTGGTTTCCGTGGCGAGTATCGCCAAAGACCCAACATATAAAAACTAAACTAACAGAAACATAAACCCCAAAAACTTTTATCTTGAGGAGTGTCATCGTCAGGTAGATGGTCGAATCCAAAAACTAACTCATACTCCAAAAGGTTGTGAAGGGGGGCCCTTGCCCCCACACCACTGAGCTAGGTCCTGCAGGTTCATGAATAGGTATAGAAAAGAGACCAAGTTTTCAATTTGCAGGCCATCACTGCTGTTCGGATTGCACTTCTGGGCTATATGATACACCTGCCGGTGCAAACTTCGCCCAGAATTGTATTTGATCCTTTAGTTGACTGATTTCATCTTCTAACTCTTCTACCTTCTCCTCCAAGTGTTGTTGCTTCTCTACCTTGCGCATACGCGACTTACGAGCAGCCTCAGTATTGCGAGCGCGCTTCGCTGCGGCAGGATCGGCCGGGTCATATACGATTTTCGGAAGGGCTTTGGACTGTCGGCGAGCATTGACTCCAGCACTTTGCACAAGCTTCTTGGCAGACTTGCCAGGGGACGGAGCTGGGGAAGACACGGAGCGAACCATTTCAACCGGACGTGCCTTCGATTTTGACAGATCGTTCATGGACATTGTGACCATTGTCGCATCGAGATCTTCTCCGGTAGGATAGATATCCGAGGACACGAGAGGCAACCAGTGCTCCGCGGAGGCCGGAAGCTCACCGTCCATGTTTGCGAAAGCTGGAGAGATGTCATGGCTAAAAGATATGCCGTCTGGAGATTCGTAGTATGATTGAGGAGTACCGAGATCCGTAGAGAACGAGGTTGAAGGAGGCCCGGAGAGCGTCAAATCCTTGGGCGAAACTGTGCCCGGAGGCGCAGCCCCCGAAGGATAATTTGCCATGTACGAATAGTCGTCCATGAATGTTTCTGGGGAGGCCATCATAGATGAAGCAGGGGAGGTAAGATCGTCTAGTAGAGGACTTGCAGTGGTGATATTGTAGAGATCCAAGGGGAAATCTGTGAGGCGTGATTCATTAGCATTCAGTTTACTTGACTCAATAGATAGTAGTGAGACAGGAGTTGTGGGGCTAAAGCGGTGAAGGTATGTACCTTGGACGATATCGGACGAAGACATGACTCTGCGGTGATGTATTTTGGTCTGAACTTTAGATTGTAACTTTTCTGTGCTATTGAATAAAGGAACCGAAGGACGGTTTACGCGTGGAGAATTCGAAGGTACAGAGGCCGCGTACAAGCGATGTGCGAGGCGCTTCTGACCTGTTGGACTGAACCGATAAGAAGTGGACGAAGGTAACCCGGTAGACTGTGGATTTAACCTCTTGATTTGCTGAACCTGTTTATTTTGCGGCTGGTTCACGTTGACACTGGAGTGAAGCGTGTGTCGGCGACTGACCAGGGCTGGGTGGTTGACAATGGAGGATTTAGGGTTGAGGCTCAGCGAGGCTGGCAAACTCTCGTCCCAGAAGTTGGCTTGCGGGCGAGAAACCGGTGTTTGCGGATAGAGAACGAAGTCCTCGTGCAGATTGTTCTTGTTGTTGCTGTTCTTGTTGTTGATCGAATTCGGATACGGCGCCAATGGCTGCTGGTGTGGGGGCGTGGGAAGCCATGTTTGCTGTTGGTTATCCGTGGTGAACGAAGTCACTGGAATGGTGGAAGAAAGAGAACTTGGGCGACGCGAGGCGCTGCAAAAGTTCAGAGACCCGGAAGGGGAAGGCTCTGAAAGTGGTATTGAGAGGGGATTATTTGTAACAGTAGTCCGTGAGGGATCTATCTTGTCTGTCGCTGGGGGAGGGACAGAAATGTGACCTGGAGCAACGATGATCTAAAAAGCCGCCATTATGCAGACAATGACAATATGATTCTAGTGTTCTGATGCGTGTATGTGTGATGAGGTATTTTGTGGAGATGACAAGAAGAGAAGAGAAGAGGGAAAAAGCCAGGCACCGACACGGGGCATCAGGCAGTCTTATGGAGGCCACTGCGGTCTGCGGACTAAGGGCGCTGGCCAATGGGCGGTATCCAGGAGGGACCAGCAGCCAATGGTGTGGCCGGGGGTCGTAATTAAGCCCCATCTGGTTTAGCGGTGTTCGCTAAGCGGAACTAAAGTGTGAGTCATAGCAGAACCCGTGCTGATTGGCCGCGAGTCGAGCCGCACAACGCCAGGAAGGCGCGTTTCACGATCACGGTCGAGGCTGAGCAGACTAGCTCCTGCCTTCTGTGCCTCCTGTCAGCCATCCAGGGCGATGCCTTGCAGCGCAGGCATCTCACTACTGCACCTCTCATTCTTATGTCTCTAGCCGATGCCAGCACTCGCGATGCGCCATCGGGACTGGACTGTCGTACCTGGCGCAATTGGCGAATTATATGGCCGCCATGATGACTCACTCGCAGACCAACTCCCAGATGGTCGAGATCGACTTCCGACTTACGTCCCCGACGTCAGCTCAGCCCACCATGTCTAATTGCGCCGTATATCATTACGAGGTGTCTCCACCGCTATTCGCGATCCTCTACTGTCGACTACGACTACCAGCTTATAAGTTTTTCTATTCGGGTTTGAAAAGAACATCTATCTAAATCCACAGTTACAGGCAGCAGCAATCAATTGTTATATGTCGACTTAGCTACCTGTCAAACAGTCTACAATATACAGCCTAATCCTACAACAACGGCAGATTAGTTTCATTCCAACGAATATGTTCCGTCCGCACGGCCCCGCACCAATCTCAGGCTAGAACAAGTCCCAAACAAGTTTTCAAACTCGAGACTTCAGCACTACCGTCAAGCCCGTTTTGAGGAGCGATCAACATTTTTGATACTCATCCCGCTGCACACTTTCCAATCAGATGACGATTGAAATAAATGCGAATTCGCTTCACACGCCCTAGTACATTCATCTTGTCTGAGACATGGAGATTATTGAGAGAATATTGTATTTGAGCCGGTTCCAAGATCGGAATCGGAGTAAGTACTCCGTAGCACGGCGCCGAAAAACTCAATCCGGGGCCATCCACCAGTTATTACAATTGCCGTGATAGCGGGCGGGCTGCAGGCTGGGTGGTGCCTAAGGCCTAGACGGCGTGGTCAGCCCTCACCGGTCAGCCTCGCAATGGCTCGCATTCGTCACACGGCGCTCTGTCTCGTGCTGTAGAATTGTCGTCGGCAGTCGGCACACACATAGTATTACTAATATTCTTTTGTGGATGTTGTCACAGGGCGCTTCCACATTCGTCCATTTATAGCGGGGATCATAGACCATACTCCGGATCTCGCTCCATCAAATAAGATATTCAGACATTTTACCATAGGTTTATTCACGAGGAATTGCGGCAGTTCGATCAATTTTCTCTAGATTACCATGTGAAAATCGGCTTGGCAACATATCGCCGAGGATTGATCAATTCGGATATTAACCCCGGCTACTAATATGCTTAAAGTCGGTTGTGCATGTATATCAATACCAAATCAATCACGAATCACACGTGAATTTTTATGACCTTTCGCCAAAGTTTAGAACATGTACACATATTTCTATAGTAAAGAATCAACCTGAATCATCAAATTGTTCCAATATTTGAAGAACAAATACATCTATTATACATGTATCATGTATCAATTGTTGTAGTCAAGTCTTAAAACGACATCAAACACACCTTACATACGTAGTCGGTAGTTGATATATGTAGAAGAGTATCACATATTTAAATGTTATTTGTAATCGCAATATGAATTCACATAAATCAATTGATAGTACACACTCGGAACTTATTATGTCTTAAAGCACAAGTTCAGCCCAGATGTTACAGAATATCTGATGTAGAAGATATAAATTGATGTAGTTGATATGAGCAGACTTTTTCATTGACTGATAACATTTGACGAAATTGAAACCAAATATGTAGAGACGCATAATGACATTGAGGAGACGTAGCTATAACTGCAATCAAAATAACTCCTATAACTACAGCCATAAGCTAAGTCTGGATAGATGCAATACCGGTTATAATCAGGGAGCTGCTGGGCAAATTTGGAATAAAATAGTATGTGAATGCCTTCCATTTGCGTAAACTAGGTAACTAACTGAGTTGACAACGGTTCAAATGTTGAGTTGAGAGTTGAATTGGGAGGGGAGAAAATTAACAGATAACGAGTGCCTCAGGCAACCAATGCGTCGACAATTGTGACATCACTACAATGACTAGTATGGATTATATATATTCAAGGACTAGAAATTTTCAAATTCGAGATGCAATAGACGACCAGTTGACTTTTCCATAGTCTGAATCCAACCCAATTTCAATGTTTCCCCGGTTCACGACAAGGGAATCATCGGCAAATTGGTATACGACTCATTCATATCTCCCAGCCCACAGTGAATAGAAACGATTCCACTTGCATTAATATTCTCAACACCTTGAACTGTAAGGGTTGTCTGATCAATTGGAGGGAAACAGAGCGGATGGGTTCGCTTGGTGAATGCCGTACCTATTGATGTCATCAAGGGTGCAATCCGCATTACCTCTCCTTTCTTTGCGGGGCGGGATGCCCGTCTTCGTCATCCCAGGAGGTAAGTAGCATGTAGGATGGGAGTGTCGGCGGCTGAGACGGATCTGTCTCCAGAAAAGCACATTCGTATCTAGCGCGAGGCTCAGACCGTGGCCATATGGATAAGAAGCCATTCAATCATACGCACTTTCAGCTGGGAGCCGGTTTTGCGGAAGCGAGAACCGTTTCTATGGTGAAGAACATGCCAGAATCCTGGGCATTTTCAAGAGAGACAGCAATGGCGCTATGAACTGGACAACAAAGAACTGTTTCCGTTAAAAAGATGTGAATAGACTCATATCGTTGGTCCTGGTGTGTTACATTGCTTCAGAACTGGTATGATAGACCACGGAGAGCTATTTATTCAATCCATCAAAAAAGAGCTTGTGTGGTGTTATCTGCGGAGGCGGAAAAGATGTGAAGGACATATCAATCCTCGGGTTGTGAAGCGGAGCGCAGTATCCACAACCTTGAGACGAACGCGAGGAGTAGATGCTCATCTATTATCTATTCCCGAATCATTAGTGAAATTGCAGATTTATCCAATCCGGTTTTAGTGAGTTGAAGGTTAAAATTCATTTCCGGCGCTGTCAACACTCCACGTGCTGTTAAACCTTCCTCATACAAACCACATATTCCTTCCCACTAAAACAATATGATCAGCTGGAGCCGGAAAAAACTCCAACACATCAGCATATAGGAGGGGAAATACTTGCAGGGGCATTTGCTGCAAGATGTCTAGGTTTTCTGCTGTGATAAACCACTAGTAATTGTTAGAATAGATTAGTTTTTCGGACACGTCTTAAAACGCGTGCAGTATCAGATTTTCGAATAGATCAATCTAGTACCAACATGGATACCATTTTCATACCTGTTAAATTGCAATTTATGAGTTTAATCTACGACATCCTAAAGACAACTTTAGTCTCACGGCACAGGTCAACAATCAGTTTGTGCATACAACTCCCCTATATTATTAGTTCAATTTCAACGCATTGCCTACTCTCTAAACAAAATTCTCACACATACAACCATGTCAGCACACAGAAACATTCTCTAGTGGTGTCTCGACAGTTCCCAGAACTCTGCACCAACCGGAACGTTTATTGACGTAGCACCACACATGTAATAGAGACATATTCACCTTTACAACTCTCTGACAATCTATTATATAAATATGTTTTCTGTTAATTAATTCAAAATTATATCTAAACATATGAGTAAATCCTGAGCTCAGCTGCAATGCTGATATTATAGCAATTCGCTGTCATGTGACTATTGCAACATGTTTCGGTTACATAATCAATCAAAACTACAATGTGCTGTAAATCCAATACTGACAAGCATCAAACAGCATAACGAGTCGTGCATGTACATCTCATTGGCCACTCGACCTATCGACGAATGTAAAGGCTGTCAAAGGAGGGGTAGGTCTGCTGATCGATGGCATCCCACCTTGGATATCGCCAGCCAGTAACGACGTGCAATCGCGATAGACTATCTCCTACATACTTGCTGTAATTAGCAAACATATCACAGTGAAAATACGCCTCAGGCACTATATATTTAAATGCATCGAATACATCAGCCACGGCACCATCAGTCATCAGAATTGGATTGGTGAGGTGATTGATCACGCGGTCAACGCCTGAACCATTTGGCCGCCACGCGCGACGTTGAGACTGGAGTATGCATGTAGGCTGTTAGTGGCAACGCTATTTCTTCGCATCGCACTCTGCCTATCACATGTAAGCTCTGGACTGTCTCTGTCTCCGAGAGTCGTAATATATTGTATATTGTATATTATATATTGTATCTGTACTTCATATGGGTCTACTTCACGGTCGTGCCAGCTGTCATTCGATTGGGCATGTAGTGCAAGTAATTACGGGGTACTGATGCAGGAGTCGGACTGCGTCAGGGAGGCATGATAGACCCTCGTCGAACTTCCTAGTCTAGCGCAGATCACCGGCTACCACCAAATCGTCACGTCAGTCGAAGGGGGCTTGATTGGGTGCTGTCCAGCGTCCTGTATTATTGTTTCAATACATACACAGTGTCAATGTACGACGTTGTAATCTGAAATTAAGAGCCAATCACACGGCCGCCGGGGGGGGGTTCTTCAAAACAGGATTCTCTGGATCCCTACTCCTAGTTACTCCATATAGGCGCGGTTAGTAGGGTTAGTAGGAGGACGCTGGACGGCTCTCCTTCTGAAAAAAGCCAAGCTAAGAATTAGTGAGAATCCTGGCTCACCGCATTTTCGAGCTCTGCCCTGCTTTCTGCTTTCAAAGCGGCTGGTAATATGGGGGAAGGAGTGATTGGCAAAGAAGGTCTGCTTCTGGCCGATTGCGTATTCCGTATGCTGACGCACCAGCTAGACTGTGCGAGAGCAGATAGAGATGGAGTGCAGGATGAAGAAGCAGCAAAAAGACTGAATAGGAGAACCCCTTTTCCTGCAGCGGGGCAGCGATCGGCGGGGCATGGCGGGCCGCGCAGCTGATTGGCTGGTGGGCGACGCTAGGAAGCTGTAGTCGCCCATTTTTTCTGCCCTTCTTCTTCTTCTTGTCCGGGGCTGCTACATTGGTACATTAGCTTTATGGTACGCATATTGTGGCATGGATTATCGATATCGCCTTTGTTGGCTTGCAACCGGATGATGTTATTATTTAACAGTCTTCAGGGAAGTATACCCTATAACGAGATTGACATCGTCTCGACACGAGGCGCACAGCAATCAAAACAAACAAAAGGGTGGAGCCATAGGGCTGCTTCGGGCCTGGCCAGTCAGCAGCTGTCCCAAAGCGGCTAGGGCGGCCTGTGGACCAATGGCTAGGCCGCGTTGCTGCTAGCAGAAACTAGCAGAAAATACTAGCTATTGATGGCATGACTATTACTGTTTGATATTATCCGAATAACAGCTGTGCAGAGTTTTCGCCAGTCGCGTGCTGCCGTTTAGCCGTAGACAGCAGCGACTGGCCCAATAACGGTTGTGGTCATGCGCTCAGGCGGGTAGGCGTCTCCAATGGCAGCACGCCAGCCCGCCTGGGTCGTCTGATAAGGTCAGCAGGTGAGCGACGTCGACGACTTGAAACATCACGCCATGAGGCGGCGGGAGTGACTGGCCAGAGGCGTCCGCGATCCATGGCTGAGGAGCCTGAGCTGGAGATGGACGGTGTCCGTTACGGTATAGAACCGCGACCCTATATCTCCATGATCGTGCTACTCCTAATTCCTGCATTCACTAGCACCGCTGCAGAAATATTAGCCTTCAATACAGAGCCCTTTCTACGCGCCCACCCTGCTGCGACAGTATCTTCAGGGACTCGACTCCCTCGAGTTGCTGTGGGAGGCAGTAGAGTCTAGATACATGGAGGACAGCAGATCAGCCCCACCCGTAATTTACACAGGTAACGTACCGCCGTACGCAGAATACGGCGCCCCTCCTGCATGGGGCTGGGCTAGCGCCTGCCGGCCGCGCTCCTATTTCTTGCGGCCTCCTTCCGCCTCGCTCTTTTTCTTTCCTCCTCCTGCTTTCTCGTGCCAGATAATTACTCATCTCCAACCAACCCCGGCTTTTCCTTGTGATACCCCGAGTCGCTCAAGCTCTGCTTTTGCGTCTCTTGCTTTTCGCTTCGTTGAGATACCCCTCGCAAGATACCCTATAGTGATACCCACCAGCCCTCGTCGTCGCGAGCGTCGAAGCTGTTTTTCCACCCGCTTCATTAATAATTGACCCTACCCTTGGTTTTAATTATCTCATTTAATATTCCCACCTACCACCACCGTCACCATGTCTGCCGAAGCCCCCAAGCCTGTCGAAGAGACCCCCGTCGCTGCTCTTGCTGCTGAGCCAGCTGTCATCGAGACTCCCGCCGAGACCACTGAAGTTCCCGCTGAGCCTGCTGCTGAGACCGAAGCTGCCCCTGTAGTCGAGACCACCGAAGCTGCTGAGGCCGCCAAGGAAGAGGTTACTCCTGCTACCGACGGCACTCTGGGCTACAAGGGCCCTGGTCTGGTCAAGTGAGTATCAGTAACAGCAAACAAGTGATGATGAAACGGGAAGATTAACAATGTATTACAGGAGCTTCCGTTTCGCCAAGCGCTTCTTTTTCTTCTCCGACGATGCCGTCGAGGCCAAGAACTTGACTGCTTTCCTCGCCTCCGAGAAGGGCTCTGCGGCTGCTCAGCGCACTGCTGCCTGGGCCACCCAGACCGGCAAGGGCTTGCTCTTCTACACCAAGCGTGCTGAGGACAAGGCTACCCCTGCCGGTATCTTCAACCTGGTATGGTTTTATATATGACGTGTTCAATTCGGTCCACTAATAAGCGTAGTCTGAGGTCAGCGACGTTAATAAGGACGGCTCTAGCGAGTTCTCTTTCAAGCTCTATACCCACAAGCACACTTTCCAGGCCGCCAGCGCTGCCGAGCGCGACAGCTGGGTTGCCGCTTTGACCGCCAAGACCGCCGAGGCTACGGCTGAGAAGGAGACCATCACCGGTGGCGAGGGCTACAAGGCTGAGCTCGAGAAGATCACCAAGCCTGCCGTTGTCGCCGCAGCCGTCAAGGCTGCCCCTGCTCCCGAGAAGGACGCCAAGGAGGGTGAGGCTGCCGAGGACAAGAAGGAGGAGAAGAAGGAAGAAAAGAAGGAGGACAAGAAGAGCCGTTCTCAGTCTCGCAAGCGCGCTTCCATCTTCGGCAGCATCCTTGGAAAGAAGGAGAAGGAGGAGGTCAAGGAGGAGGCCCCTGCTACTGAGGCTGCTCCTGAGGCCGCTGCCGCTACTGAGGAGCCAACCGTCGAAGCTGCCCCCGCCGTAGAGGCCACTGAGACTCCTGCTGTTGCCGCTGCTGAGCCCTCTGCTGAGACTACCGAGACTACTGCCGAGGACAAGAAGGAGGAGCCCAAGTCCGCTACTAAGTCTAAGCGTGGTTCCATCTTCGGAAACTTCTTCAACAAGGTCACCAGCCCTGGAAAGGAGAAGACTGAGGAGGAGGTTGCCCCTGTTGCCAGCACTGCTCCTCAACTCGACAGCCCTGTCGACGAGTCTGCCGCCAAGCCCATTGAGCCTGAGGCTGTGACTGATGCCCCTGCTGCCGAGGCCGCTACTGAGACCCCCGCCGAGGACAAGAAGGAGGAGAAGGAGGAAGCTGCCGCTGAGACCAAGTCTAAGCGCACCTCCATCTTCGGCACACTTGGTAAGAAGGTCAAGTCTGAGGTCACCTCTGAAGAGAAGAAGGCCGCCAACAAACTTGGAGGTCTTTTCCGCAAGCCCAGCAAGGCTGTGAAGTCTGAGGAGAAGAAGGACAAGGAGGCTGCTCCTGCGGAGGCCATCCCCGAGGGTGAGGCCAAGGCTGCCCCTGAGGAGACCACTGAAGCTACTCCTGCTGCCACTGAGGCTGCTGAGACCGCCGCCAAGACCGAGGAGCCTGCTGTCGCTGCCGAGCCCGTCAATGTTGCCCCAACTGCTGCCCCCGTTCAAGCTGCTGCTTGAAGGGCCAATGCCAGAACGAGCGTAGTGGAGTTTGAAAAGTGGTGGGATGGGGAGTTTGCCTCTCGTTCTGGCATAGCCGCGTAGCTGCCGAGCTGCCAAAACGTGAAACTGCCTGTACCTGATTGTGAGACGAGATGATACCCACTTATTCTTTCTCTATTCTCTTTGTCTCTTTGTCTGTTTCATTTGTGTGTTTGCGTGTGCTTGTTGTTACAAGCGCAACGATACCCGAACTCGAGTGATCGTGTTCCGTTGTGAACTAGATTGATACCAACGTATATTAATAGTAATAGACTGTTTAGCTATCACTCGCCAGACGTATCATATACTCTTTTTTATTTACGCATTGCCTTGGACATCTACATCAATTTGATATAATCCCTAACAAGTCCCTAGCATATCACTCAACGCGCTCTTCTCGTCCGCCGTCACCGTCAACTTATAATGGCTCTTGACCTCCACCCACGCCTCCGCATACGTGCAGTAAAAGCCCTCGCTGGGCGGCTTCCACTCATCCGGCCCTCTATCCCCTTTACTCTCATTCACACTACTCGTCACCGCCCACAGCAGCGGCTGCATGATATCATTCGCATACGCCTCGCGCTGGCTGGCCGTCCAATCCGACGCACCATTCTATCCAATCAACACCGCCCCAAACACTAGTATAGGCAGGGGCAGAGGCAGGGGGGAGGGGTGAGGGGGGGCTTACATTCCACGCGTTCTTCAGCGGAACCATATGGTCAATCTGCAAATCGCTCCTGCTCGTCCACGTCTTCCCGTCGTACGGGCTTACCCATGTACCTGAGGTCGCCTCGCATGCTCCGTCGACGACGACATTCTTGCCGTCGCGTTTGAGTACGTATTCACTACCCCTATTATCAATATCGTCTACCTACCAGTTTGACAGCCGATGACTGAGAGGATAGGGGGAGCGTACCGCGTGTTGCACGTCCCGTTGATGGTGTCCCATGTCTTGAAATTGTCGCGCGCGTAGCCCGCGACGTCTCCACCCGCAACGACGGTGAGGGCCGCGAGGAGCTTCTGCGCGCTGGACGTGGAGGGGATGCCGGTCTGGATGCCATTAGCAGGAGGGAGGATGGATGGGAAGAAGGGGGGGAGGGGCCAGGGGGCGTACGGGGCTGGGTGCTGGAGCTGGAGCGGCGAGGACGGAGAGGACGGTGCATGCCACCGAGAAGACGACGGCGGGTTTCATTTTGATATGTCTACGTCGATTACTGGAATTCAAGAGCGGTGCACCACAGTGTGAGGGAGCGGTGTGGTGTGGTGTGGTGTAGGATACCTTTATACTGCGAGGGCCTGCATACATGCACACATGATCAGCAGATAAACATGAACCAGACTACTACACATGTACTGTCCTCGTGCTATTCGTGCAGAAGCATTGTAATTTGATTGTATACTACATCAACAACCCACAGCCAATCACGCAGCACGCCCGCTATCACGTTTATCTAAACATCGATCTGATCGACATGCCGATAAAGAGCACTACAGTACTACGACACAATTTATGCCGATAGACAGGGACGGGCCGTTTTTAATGAATGAGAAGAGGGAGCCTGGCACTGCCAAGCAGCTTGGCGGTGCACGATGTAATCGTATGCACGACGTGATTGTTGCGTTTAAGCGAATTGGGTTGGTGCGCGGCTGGACTTGGGTTCTTGGCGGGTTACATTTCAATCAGACTAGGTCTGTACATAATACATCAATTGATATTGGTTGTACATAGCAGGCTTACACGAGGTTTATCAATTGAATGATGGTGAGGGATATTGAGGAGGGTGTTAGTAATATGGATGGATATGTGAATGTAGATATGAATGTATTAAATACGTAGATGATGCCCGCTGAATATCAGAATCTGCCGCCTTTTCAAGAAATCACCCCGCTATGGCAAGAACATGTCTGATGTAATGTGTCAATAGTGAACCAAAAAGGAAGGTAAAAGAAGGAAACTCACGATGTAATACTATCCATCCTCTCCGCCGTCAATTTCAAACTAACCATCAACAACTCCTGCGCAATCTGCGGCTCCTGCGCCCTCAACTCCATCCACTTGTCGACACGCAAAACCCACGCTACACAGTCCTGATCAACCTTGACTGTCGCCGTGCGCGGCGTGTCGCCAAAGAACGGCAACTCGCCGCACGGCCTGCCCGCTACAATTAGCTCCGAGTAGCGGCCCTGCGGCAGCGTGTACTCGGCGCGCAGCATACCGGACTCCAGCAGGTAGAACGTCTCTGGGGCGTCGCCCTCATGGTACAGGATTGTGTCGCGCGGGTATTCCTCGCGGTGGAAGAATGCGCAGCTGGGGAACCAGAAGTCTTCGGATTTCGAGGTCAGGTCATGGAAGGCTTGCAGGAGTAAGGGGAGCGGTTGGCGATATGCCATCCATTTCTGTGGCGCGCGAACCGCGTTTTCGTCTTGGCTGAGCGTCTGGAGAGCCGCTTGTTGGAGGTAGTTGCGGCGAGGGGAGTGGCCGTAGGTGTCTGTGATGGAAGAGATGGTTTGCGAGACGTCTCGCGGGACGTCGAGGAAGCGAGACTGTTCCTCGAAGCGCCGCGTTAGGGCTTCCTTGCGGCTGTAGAAGATCTTGAGGTACTCATTCTCGCAGAACTCGAGCGCCGAGTTGAGGTCTTCGAAAATCTGCACTAGGCTTTCGTCCGCGAAGAGGCCGACGTTCTGTAGACTCTTCCCGACCTCGCCTTCCACGTCCAAGCCAGAGATGATGGTCTGTATGTTTCTCTTACCGAGGATGCGGTTGATGCGTGTTAGAGCCTCGGCGGCAGAGAAATCAAGACCGTTGACGCGGGAAAAATCGAGCACTAGGAAGCGGATTGGACGTCTGTTGAAAGCTTCGTCATCGATGAGCCCGCGCGCGGTGGTTTCGACTTTGACGATGGTGCCGAAGAATAGGAATCCGGATAGCTTGATGATAAGGGTTTGTTTGCCAGCGTCTTTGAGAAATCGCTGCTGGATCGGCGGTCGCCGGACGGTTGATGCGGTGAATTCGCCAGAGTATGTTGCTCGGATGGCTGATTTGCGGGATGTTTGAACGACAAAGTTGACGCAGGCGAGGATGATGCCGACGAAGATGCCAATGACGAAATCCCACGCTCCCATCGTGACTACGATGATGACTACGGTTAGATACTCAAGCTTGTGTAGCTTGCCCCAGGTGTCGACCAGTGCCTCCTCCATCAATTCGATACCAAGCAGGAATATCAGTGCGCCGACTACTAGAATTGGAATATATCCGATGATGATCGGGCCAATGACCATGATTCCGGCAGTGGCTGCGGCGAGCATGATGCCTGCTAATCTAGAATCACCGCCGCTACCAATGAAAAGCAGACTGTTGGTATATACTAGATAGTTCTAGTTGGTATTAGCCTCTTTTCATGTGTGACGTAAAGCGTAGCTACCTGTATGCTCCCTACAGCTCCTGACAGAGCATTCGTAACTCCATGCGCAATGAGCTCCCGGTCAACATTGAGATTGTCCTCTCCAGTGGAAATGCCCAACGCGGGAACATTGATGGGGACATGCAAAACCCCAAAGAAAGTAAGAGCAAACATGGCAGGAATAGTGTCGGCAAGCGCGCTCCAATTTACAGCAGAAAAGTCTTTATCGTCAGCATCATCCACAATCAATAAGAGAAAGGAAGGAGTACCGTAAAGGGTATAAAAATGCCACCACGGGTTCGAAGCTGCTGGAGCTTCAAAAACCCAGCCATTCTGACGCAAAGTCGTCATGGAGAACCGAGCAATAAACTTGACGACGTAAAACATAACAGCAACAAGTATGAAATAACCTCCCACTAAAAAATTAGACTTGATGAATCGCTTCAAGACAAGAAGGAATATGGCGAGAAATAATGGTATCAACCATAAAAACAGAGTATCGAGTTGGAACAGCTTCTGCAGTGTTGCTATGTTATACTCCAGAGAACCAGGCAATCGTGCAGATACCTCGACTCCTGTTGCCACCAGGAACCAGCCAACACCACCAATACAGCCAATGAGAATATGTCGAGGGAAGAATCCAATGAGAGAGCCTAATTTGCACACTCCCATGAGAAAGAACACCAGTCCCGTCAGGACTGAGCTGATCGAGAACGACAGCACTGTCGTGGCGAGCACAGCCTTGGGATTATCTTCGCCAACGCGGCTGAGGATCATAAACGCCATTTTGTGGAAAAACGGAACCACTTCGATCATCTCACTGCCAATTCCGCCCTTGAAAATAGACCCACCCAACGAGAATACCAGCTGGGCTATAATCGTGCTAACATAGAACATGGAAATACCGTCCGAACCCAAGTCTGAGAAAACGGCTTCCCCCAGGGGAAACAAGATCATTCCATACGACAATGCGTCCAGGATATTAAGAAGCAAGCCCAAGAAAACAGCAGGCAGAAGACTGACCGGACGCACCACACCTTCCCACCATATTGTCCGACGATTCCACGACTTGGGATGTGTAGAAACATAGAAAAAGGTTTCTGCTCTAGAATACGCATGCTGCGCAGAAGACCTTCTCTGACTATACAGCGACTGACTCTCCACATCTCGGGCCGTTCCATAGCTGAGGTCCTTGGACTGTGTTCGTTTGCGGATCAGCGAGGTTTGCTCGTCGGGCAGCTCATCTGCTGCGTCTGTCCGCGAGATGGAATTATTTGGCGAAACACTCTTGGCGGCAGGGTTATTGCTGCTCTGGTCTTCAGGGTCATTGCGCATCATCGCCGTCAGCGCGGAGCTCGAGAGGTGGGCGGTTGGAGTCGGCGTGGCAGACTCGGAAGCCTCCTCAATCACGTCCTCAGGCTGATACAGATCATTATCAGGCTGAAGCGGCCGACTCTGGCGGAAGAGATCTAGACTGAGAGGGTCAGGGTCCAGAAAAGCGGGCGCCGACGTCCCGGATTCAGCATCAGACACAGCCAATGAGGCGAGTTCTGCAGACTGTTCCCGGACGCCCTGGGAGGAATACTGCGCGGGGTCTAGACAGTATTAGTAGAGCAACATACGATATATCATCATATGATACGGGGCTAACGCACCTAGCGAGCCGTGGAAGGCGCGGTGATAGAAGGAGCGAGAGGGGGTCTTGACATTGCTGCTGGAGAGCAGGGCCTCAAGCTTTGTCGGCGTGGAAGTGGAATTGAAATTGGAGGCGCCAATGGGGTCATTCTGGTCGAGAATGCTGTCATGCCTGGAGACGTGCGAGTCGCTGCGCCCACGTGCGTCAGGGTCGGTCATGACGAGTGCTCCGACATAGGACTCTTCTCTCTGTGTCTGGCCTGGTTAATGGCGTGAACGGCCTAGTTGAAGATACACAAAGACGAGAAAATGGCGTGCACGATCGACATTATTAGGAGAATTCACTAGGATGGAGAAAGACGCAAGAGGGGAGCTCCCAACAAGGTTGGAGTAGAAGAGAAGATTTCATCCGGCTGATTAGCATAGGTTAGCAGATTAGACTGGGGCCGATACGGTCCGGAGAGATAAGAGCTCCATTCCAGACCCGGCACAATTTGAAGCTGTCTTTGAGCTGTACTTCGTAGATCAATTGACCTATGAACTGATCCCGATACACAAGCAGGACGATGCGATTGCAGTGGCGACAGGACTGGCGACAGGACTGGCGACATCGGAGAGCTCAGACTCTTGCACGCACTACATTCGTAATATGGCGCCACGCAAACCTTGCCTTGCAGCTAGCTATACGCATGTATTCATTTTTAAGATATTATTATTATTATTATTACTATTACTATATTAATATATTAATATATTATTACATTATTATTGCTGTATTGGCTATGAAATATTTACAAAAAGAAACATGTCAGCCAAGTCTTATCTGCAGCTGCGGGGACTGAAATGCGCGACGGGTTGAGATCTACTAGCTGCATGCCCTAGCGTCGTACAGCTCGATTACAGTAAATATAATATTCCGAGAGTTCATAACTCATTGGACTCACTCCCACTGTTGTGAGCCGGGTATCTAACATTTTAATTTTGTAAAAGGCCTAGGCCTAGCTCAACCGCTGCAAAAACCCCTGCGCAATCAGCCGCTCCACGTCTCCCTGCCGCACGTAGAACTGGCTGTTTTTGGTGAGATTGATGGCACTGGCTTCAGTTAGCATATGCAACGCCCAAAAAGACAAGAAAAGAAGAGAAAGAGAGAAAGAAATGAGTAGAAGACTAAAACATACCCATACTCCGTCTGGATCTCGCCCGCATCCTTGAGCACCCGCACATCAATGAACAAATCCTTGGGCGGTTCCAGACTGCCGGTCAAATCGATATCCGTCCAGTGGCCTTTATGCGCGGCGAGTATATCGCAATACAGCCTGAAATACTCCTCCTCCTCGGGGCTGAGCGAGCTGATATTCCCGCTTTGAGAGCTCGCAATGGCGTCATCGCCAGCACTGCCACCGGCACCGGTGGTAGGGATCTCTGGTTGTTGTTGCTCGAGCACGTCGATGCCTTTCCAACACATATCCTCGAGTTTCTCGGTGCGCACTCGGTGGTAGGCTAGCAGGCAGCGCTTGTTGCGGCGCATGCACAGGTGGTCGACGAGCAGCGCGCAGGCCACGGCGGGCTGCGACGACGGGTCGAAGCCGCCCTCGACGGCGGCGAGGTGGTGTGCGACGTCCTTGTCGAGATCGCGCACTTCGCGCGCGACTGAGCGAACGATTTCGGTTTGGTAGGGGGGCAGGTAGGCGAGGGATTGCGTGCGTTTGGCGTGTTGGACCTTGGAGGGTTAGTAAATGTATGGGGTGAGAGGGGTAGGGAGGAGTACCAGTTTGTTGCCTAGTTCGCCGTACATGGTTCGTGGATTTGCCTCATCAGGACTCTTCTACGGTGGAAGGCGTTGCTGGTAGATGCTGCTGACAGATGCTGTTGATAATTAGATGCTGGTGGGCCGTGTTCAGCTCGGATTATTATTAGATTGGCGGGCAAGCGCGTCATCTCGCGCTTGGCGTCTGCAGTGCACATACAGTTCTATGCTCCAGTACTATGCAGTACTCTATGATTATTATAATGAATTCGAGATGAATTAACTTTATTGTACCGATGGTATTACCGACATGCGCGACAAACGCTTTGACAATTTGGACCGCCCACCCTGAAGGAACGAAAAAAAACCGAAAATACCACCCTCCCCATAGATGCAAACATTAAACGATTGTAGCCAAACCACAAGACGTAACGGAAAAGGCAAATGGCCGCACATTGACAGATGAGAAACTAGGATGAGGAACTAAGATAAGAAAAGAGGAATTATGATCAGATGGAGGTCTAACTCTCATCCAACGAGGGTATCTTCCAGCCCAAATCGCATGCCGAATAAAATACCGCCAAGCATGAGTCGTAATAGTCATCAAACCCACAATACAGACACACAGACTCGCAGGCTGCCTATTGAGATGGATATGTACTCGACGGCTGGAGCCAATTTTCAAAGTCCTTGCCAACTTCAGACACCGAAACCCCATCATCGCAAGGCCAGATATTGTGGCCATCTTCTAGAGGCTGGGCGTTGGTGTAGCTGGGGATATGGTCATAGTTGAGATTCTGTGTCCCCGATGCACCAGGCATGGCCAAATACGGACCCATTTCCTGCTCAGCTTGCCAATATGCAGGTGCTGGAAAATTTGGGCGGCTGTATGAACGCATGTCAGGACCAGGAGCATCCGCGGACAAAAGCTGAGGATCTAATTGATTGCTCTCCATGTGACTGACAGGATGGTTGCTTGGGTAGGAACGGACCAGCTCTTGATGAAGGCCGCCTGGAATTCCGACGAGACTGCTGTAGTGGCCATTCATCAAGGCAGGCGGCGGATGAGGACCTTCGTTGGCAGTGCGCATCATGTTCGAGATTGGTGCCTGAGGATGTATAAAATACCCATGATGATTGGCATGGGGAAAGACGTGTGGTTGGAGGGGCCGACTATCCATCTGCCACGTAGGGTGGTGGTAACCTTCAGCTAGAATGGGCTCGTGGCTGTCGAGAGGGGTCGACTCGCGGCTGTCGTAGCAGCTATTGAGACTGGAAGTTTTCATCTTTTTGTGTTGCATGGGCGATGGATGAGCCGGAACCTGGAATTCCACGCTATCACCGTCACTACTTTCGTCTCCCATGGAACGCTTCTTATTGCGAGGGGGTGGCTGTGTCTTGTTTGGTGCAAATTTGTAGTCTGGGTGCGCTTTTTGGTGATTGTCGCGCTCAATGAGAGCGAGGAACTCGAATTTCTCACGTACCTCCGGTGGTTCCTTGGGCCAGCTTTGTCCAGATACTCTCGAGACGATTTGGTGGTTGTTCTGGGAGCACCACTCCTTGGTGCGTTCTGCATAGGCGGAGCGATAGAGCATAAACGAGTTCATCGGACGCGCAATCTTTCCATTCTTCTTTGCCACCTCCTGCATCCGAACCTCCACTGACCGGTTAACCCAAGCTTCCATGTCCTTCACTGGAATGTGAATCATGTGCTTTGTCAACAGGCTCAGGGGCGCGTCGATGATTGGATTCGATCCCTTCTCTGTTTTGACGGGTTTGGTACGACGCCTGACGCGCGGTGTCTTCAAGACGCGGACTTTATCGGTAGCGATGCTTCGGATAGTGAAAGGAGAGGGCGGGAAGAAGGGCTTTCTCCCGTTTTCGGAGAGTAGCTCATGAGTATCGGGGCAAATCGGCTGGAACTTTGTCAGTAGGTGCTCGGCTTTGACACATCGTATGCTGTTGCTGCTTACAGCATCGTCCACTTGCAGAGGCATGTCGGCAGCGTCCTCAGACGAGAAGCTGGGCGGGCCGACATAAGTCTGATTCACACGTTACCTGGGCATATCTCATGGCCCGCGAGGAGACTTACCTGGTGAGTGGGCATTCTGGGGATCGACATGTTGGAGGGTATCGGAGTATGAGTATTGGACGCGCGGTAATACTGTCAACGGTGAGCCAAGATCGACGTGCCAACTTTCCCAGGCTCGGCTTACATCTGTGATGTGGGAAGAGGAAGTCGACGTAGGCCTTGCAGTCATCTCAACAAGGCAAGGCAACAAAGAGGACAATGCTCTTCAGACTGCACACGTCCAGAGGAAAGAGGCAGATAGAGAGGTCGATCGATATCGGGGAGAAGGGGCAGCAGGGACGAAGGATGACAACATGCAACTGTGTTTTTTGAATGTTCTTCTTTCTTCGGTTACTCTGGAGTCATTATCTTCTCTTCGCTGCTTCTTCTTTTCTTCTTCTTCTTCTTCTTCTTCTTCTTCTTCTTCGTCTCCTGTTGTGGATCTGTTGGCGAGACAAGGAGGTGCTGTTGTTCAGGCTGTGTTGTTGGCAGGTCACAAATTAGCAGATGCGGGCTTATTTGAAGGCAAGAGCAGCAGCAGGCCAGAGAGAGGGGCACACACGCCGGTAGGAGCGGGCGCACAGTCACAGCAGCCCGATTTGGAGGCGGGATCAGAAACGGCAGCAGGAAACAGATAGAGAAACAGGACAGAAACAGAAACGGCGGCTGAAACTGCAGCTTTCTAGAAGCCAGGTCGCCAGGCCCAAGGTTGACTGGATGGCAACGCTGAGCTGTTTCATTGGGCTTTGTTGATGAGACGAGGGCTGCTTGATTCGCACGGCACAGCAGGGCCTTTTTGTATGCTTCTTCTGTGCTTATTTCTTGGACGACGCGATTAATATAGCGCAGGCGGCTTTGTTGTGGGTTCTGCAGTGGCGGCGGGGGTGGTTCAAGCTTGTGAGCGAAGACAACCACACCATGATACTTGGCCTGATACTGCGTCCGGGAGATGTGTCGAAGGGCAGCGCTGGGCGTCAGTTTTGCTCCTATATAATAGCAGGGCGATGGACGACCGCATTGGGAAAGGACGCAGTCGAGGCGGCACAGTTAGAGCCACCAGCAACCAACGGTGAGCCAGGCTATGCTGTTTACCCATAGGGCAGGGGACAGCGCCGCGTGTCGATCTGTGCGAGCTACCACGGTTGTTATTTTACGGTACGCTAATAACGTTTAATTACGAGTACATACATACTCTGACCACGACCACGACGAGCACCTACTATTACATAGTAGTACATGGCTTAGTTCCTAGTTCCAGTTCCAGTTCCAGGACCTCGTCACGGCGAATCAGCGCGGGGACCGTCTGGCTGGGAGCTGGAGGGCTGCAGCTGCATGAGGCAGGAGGGGTCAAGCAGAGGCAGGAGCGACTGTGTCAGTTTGTACTTTGCAGGCCGTGTGCTGCAGGAAGGAGCACCCTGGCGGCGACGGAAACGGTATGGGCAAGAGGGCAGGAGGCAGGAGGCAGGAGAGGGGTTTCCTGTTTGGGCCTGGCGCGGGCTGCGAGGCGATACCGCGCCAAAGACACCAATGGCAGCCATCGCAGCAGCAGCACGGGGTTTGCAGATCACCCGCGCTGCACGGGGAAATGCACCGAAGGGAATTAATTCCCCAGAGGCGTCGACAGGAGACACGGCTCACGGCTCACGGCTCACGGCTCACAGACTTGCAGGCAGACTCTCAGATCACGGTACAAGTAAGTCTGGGGCTAGGCTAGCCTAGAGAGTAGCGGAGTAGCCGGCCGGGGTGGCTGTTCGAGCATAGGAGCAAGTGGACGTACAGCGTGCTTACTCCGATAGTACTAATTACCGCTGGTACTACTGCTACTGTTAGTCGCTGCCATGCAAACAGGCGCTGGGGCGGGGCACTCTGTGGTAAGACCCTCTTCCAGAGCCTGCCCCACCGCCGTATCGTACCGTTCCGGGACTCTCCGGTATGTATTATAATAATATGCTTTGGTAATTAATATTGGTATTGACGGGGGGAAGGGGGGGAGGAGAGGTTCCGAGTGTGCTGTAGTTCTGCCCTGTCGCGCTCAGCTAGACAGAATATGTGGCATCTCAATTTAGAATAAGCACTGATCACGATGATATGCAGAGGAGAGGGGAACAGAATGGGCACTCCACCGCGGTCATGCAGGTCTATTTTAAGGGATTTGCCCAGTTCATCTGGTTCTTTGTGCGACACGCCCAAGAGCCTGCATTATCGACGGAATCTGAGTAGTTGCTCGACTAGTGCCCGGCCGACTCAAGTGGCTAATTTGCAGGCAAGTACTCCGTACAGTACACTCTAATGAGTGACTCTCCACGTGAAGTGATAAACCAGCCTACAGGCGTCCGCGTACGGTGCCGTATGGTATTGTGGTACCAGATATACCACTATCGATTGTAGCATGCGTGGTTTAACCTATCCCGCTTAGCTGATTGACACATGTCATGCTACTTGTCTGTCACTGTCCCGTACTGATTGCGCGGACTAATCAGGCAGGGCGGCAGGACCGCGGATATTAATACTCTCCGACACGATCTGAGCGTTACCCCAGGCCCACTCTCATAATCTCTGCAAATGTACAATACCCACATCATCCCTGGTATATTTGTGCCCTTATGCTATGCAGACTGTCATTCTGGTTTGTCCCTGAGCTATTTGTCATTCAGCGTGCACGATTGGGCATGCTGTTGAGGACGGCATGAGTCCAGAGTCCGCCGCACTCGTATCCCGCCTTCTACATCAGTAGTATGTATACATCTGAAGCTGGCAGCTTGACTGTGCTGGACAGAGTTTGAGAGCTCCATCCGGACCAGCGGCTGAGCATCCGGGGAGCCGTCTGCGACTTTACTTTTTTGTTTGTTTCCAAAACAGAGTTATCTAGGGCCTTTTCTTTTTATGGTTCGCACATGGCATGGCAATGGCATGGCAACATGGAAACAATGACTTCCTTCAGCCCTCCCTAACTAGGCCCACCAGCCAAAACTTTAAAAATAAAATTCTTCTTCTCGGGCAATCATGGAATTTAGTGAATTAAGTCCTAGCAAATTATAAAATAGATTTTATTCTAACAAAAGTTTATCTTTTTAATTTTTCTTTATCTGTTCTCGGTCAAGCTTTTTCTACCCCATGCTATCTACTTTTAGCCACACATCACGACTAAACTTCCGTGATTAACTTCTGTGGCGTGACTGGCTTCTATATGTATGTGTACATGTGATCGACGAGTTTGGGCTAGACTCGTGGCCGGCAATGTTTCAGTGTCAATTTCCCTTCTCATATCGATAATTGCTGGAATAGGGTAATGGGGAATGAAGGTGTGATATGCGTCGGTACTTAAGTCTATGCAAGTCTTCGTTGCTATCCTGCAGGTGGATCAATTTGAAGTCCAGTCTTAGCTTTCAACTTTACTAGAGTAGCCTTCGAGTTGATCTGCGACTTGGCCGTTGCGAAAAAGAAAACATGCAATCTGGGGTCTGTGATTCGCTAGTTGACGCATCCACTTGAATTCTTATTCGAATTCAAGCTTTCTTTTCTTTGATTTCTATTTTATTCTATAATCTATAATATACATTTTCCATCTGTTCTATTTATTCATTTCACAACAAATTAATCCGAAATCAATCCGTAAAGTAATAAAACTAAACAACTGCCAGCCTAGATCCTCTATAGCGCAGCCACTAGGCGAACCGAAAAAGGGGTTAAAAGTCCCGCGCCCTTATTTGGCATCTGGAACCATACTTATCCTCCCTGTCAGGTCAGCCTGTCTTCCCAATTGTTAGCATTAATTGATCGCATATTATCCCAATCCTGCGGGAAAATCTAGATTGGATACATTAAGTCGCTACTTAAAATTGATCCATCTGCAATGATGTGTTATTATGACTCGGCAAGTTTTATCATCGGCCTGTAATAAAATAGTAAAAATAGATTCATAATACATACTAATTAGCACCGTACGGAGTAACATCATCGATGTATTTTAGTACAAGTATATCGGGGTCATCGGCCCGATATACACGGGATCCTGACCAACCAACGCGTTGACTATAGAATCGTGTTGTTGGTAGGAAATTGGTAATTTCGTTCTAGAGTACATGTAAACGGTTGACTGATCCACCGCCAGATGATTATTAATTATTTATTAATTGATCTGTATCCGTATTAGTAGTCAATAGGCCTAGCTGCTCGGCGCTTGACTAGGTCTAGACAATGTCACTGTCAATCCGGCGTTTACGGAGATATTAGTACCAAGTACTAAATATAAGTACAACCTGGCGGTATGGCTACAACCGGAAGTGATAGTGATGGTCACCAGTCAACCGTGCTGTAAAGACCGCAGGGATAGCCAAACTCTGCGCTCGGCCACTCTCCGCTGTCACCTGTCAGGGTGCTGTCACTCAGTCAAATGACGAGTTATCTCCCTGTGCGACAAGTAGCTTTAGCACTGCAAACCTTGTATTCGTTAGCCAGCGGGATAATGATAATATTGAATATTGAATGTTTAGTATTGAGTGATGACAGCAAATCTCTAGATGTTCCTCTGGCACATACCATAGCTGCAGAGCGATGGCCCGTGGAACTCGCGATATCGATACCAATCCGGCATGATCTCCCTCCTGATCTTCGAAGCTTTCCCCCCTGGCCCACCACCCGCTGAAAACGATTTCGGCTGCATACATATGCTGCTGATCATGTGTCGTCAGTATTCGGTAGTTACTCCATCAGTCAGATCCACAGGATCGTGAACAACAACATGAATGGTGACAGAGGTAATAGTTCTCTCGTAGTACTGCAGGGAAAGCTCAAAGAGTGCTAGTCTGCATAACCAGAAACAGCCGCTAATGGGCCGAATGAGGCCAGGATATAATGTCCTGACGAGTCAGCCAATCGTGATGACGCCACAGGGGGGGAGGCATGCCAAGCCTGCCACAGCGGGTCAAAAGGGTTCCACGGGCCTAAACTAGGCTTTGAAAGCTAGAAGGTTTAGGGTTATCCGAAATGTGGTTCGCGACTGCGGGGGACCAGCGCCAGTGGGAAATACAGCGAATAGGAAGCGTTGCGGAGAGAGACGGCAGTCTGTGCGTTCTCTGATCGGGCCTAGCGTTCCCTGGGTCAAACTCGCTTGTTATTATTCCCGAGTCGCGCGCCTATTTTCCTGCGAATTAGCCGTTGGGCCGTTCTGGGCTCCTTCCGAAAGGGGATTGCACATTACCCTATTTTCCAGTCGGCAAGATTTCGTGAGCCGGCTGGATTCCTATTCGCGAGAATGTTCATGTTCATGTTTTTAGTTTTTATTTTTTATACAAGCTTCTGTCTATCTGTCTGTTTTTATTTTACTTCACTTCTGAATACGTATGGGGACACAGAAACGGTTGCTCTGCATGTCCAACTTTATTTAGTCATATCCTACTACCGTATGCAGCCTAGGGATTTGACAGATGCCCAACTTTAAGACACTGGTGCCTGATTCGGACTGCGCTCTTCCTTCAAGTTTCGGGTTCTGCTCAGTTAAGTTGAATTTACTGTGTACTAACAGCCAGCCTGATCCATTAATACAGTCAACACGGTGATTTTCTCAATCGCGATCTCGATGAAACTCAAAGTACAGATTCTGACTAGCAAATAACGTGACCGTGCTCTAGTTCTAACCGCTGGCTGTACGGTACAATGTCAATCCTGATGTCTCCGTGACGCAGCAGCGCCGCATTGCGGCATTGCTGTTGGTTACATATTGAATCCTTGGCGGCTTGTGTCGGTGTAGTCGCGCGCCGAGCTTACCTGCTCAGCCAGCCGCGTCACTGACTCAGCTCCAGCCATGACTTAAGTTAGTGTACTGTACTGCCGCACTGCTACTAAGTATATAACTATGTGCAAGGCACTGCATATGTACTAACTAGGTGGTAACATGCCGGCGTTTCTGTTTTTGTGTAACCTGCTGCATGAAATCACATCCTTGATCATGATCCTTACTCCGCGTGGAGAGCATAGCATAGCCCACCGACCATGGTCCTGGTGTCTGGGTTGCAAGGGCTATCCGGACGATTGGAACATGACTGCCTGCACAGCGCCAGCAGCAAGCGGCAGCCTGATTGGGAAAAGGTCATGGGAGTTTGGTTTTATCCGGACCGCATATGATATGTAGATGTATGTATATCGGTAGCTGCATCTTCGAATGTTAGCATTTGTCGCAGCTTGCAGTGGGCAGCCCGGAAAGCAGCAGCTGTACATATGTATGCATATAGATTTTTGTTTGCGCGTGTTTGCATTCTTCTCCGACTGCATGGACATATCAGAATCAGCGGGATGTATACTGATCTGTCGAACAATGCATGGTCTCCAGTATTGATCATGACTTCGTATACAATAGTACAAATACCGTCTTGATTATGGAACTCGTTTATATAACATTTGAAGAAGGCAATTTATCCGGGGCTTGTTGGGATAGTACTTGAGGAATTCCAATGCCGACTACATATACCTAAGGCATGCATTATATGATCATTTGGTGACAATTGCTGCGATATCACAAATATAATCAATACATGACTTCAACATTGAAACAAAAGTCAATAAAACGTAAATACACTACACTTACTCAATGACCGTCTCTGCTACATGTAATTCTGGAAGCAGCGGATACATCATCCGATCTAATATTTTAATTGAGTTTTCTCCAGGTCCCCCCTACCCCTATTATTTTAATATTGCCTAAAATACGAATCTTCAAATCGCGGTGTGCAAGAACCCTACCCTACCCTACCAAACCTAAAAATCAGTTGCGAAAACTTGCTTTTTACATATGTATCCTCCTAAGAACGGTATACACCGCAAATTCAGGACGACTACCCAACTTGGTCAATAAAAAAATCAATAACCTTTCCATCCAATGCAGAGAATTATGCAAATAGGTCCCCGGGAATAGTGGGAATTCATTTATCACAACCGCGCTACGCGAGATGATATCAAACATTGAAATGTGATGTGTCATGAAAAATAAATGTCATAATGTCAACTCGGAGGCTAATCGTGCCGACGACATGCGGCTTTTGCAGATCTCAGTCTTGAAATTTATCGTTACTGTATTTTTTTAAAACTAAATCATTCAACATTGAATTTGGGATGGAAAGATTATTCTAATTCGGGGGTTTTTTTTAGCTGGGTTAATTGAAGATGGAGAAAGGTATCTTATGAGAATAACAAAACAAGAAACACAAGGAAAAGAGAAAAAAAGAAACCATCGTACACGTATTATGCAGACCGCCTAACCAGAATACTTTTGCAAAAAGTAACTAATTCCCCGTAACGAACTCCTGCATATTTATTCACGGACGGCGGCATGGCTGTCCTTTACATATCTGCAATTCTCAGATATTGCTACAACTAATGGTTCCGGTGTATTTGTGGAGGTTGCTCAGGTTGTATATTCCAAGATGACAGGGGTGGAATAGAATTAGCTGCAGCTGCAGCAGCAATCTGGTTTTCCCTCTGCCGGCGTTCCTCTTGCTCGGGAGTCATCATCTTGACTGGCGGCGGAATCGGTGCGTCCGCGGAGCTCCGTCCCATCAGTTTGGGACTCGGCTCTAGTCGGTGGATTGGCGGTAAGATGGTGGCGCCACCGATGCTGCCAGCTGTCACGGGACGTGGTGAGTTTTTGGTCGGGCTCAGACCGGATAGCGCTAGGTTTTGAGAGCCAGGAGGTGGTGGAGATGCATGAGTGAATGAGTCGGAGAAAGACGTGCGTCGATCAAAGCTTGAAGAAATAGGTGCAAGTCCGCGATCCTGTGGAAGAGGCGGCCGATGTTGGCCATACGGAGTGGAGGGGACAGACCCGTTTGATAGAGTGGATGGAGGAAAACCTGCCAATGGGCCAACATCACGGTTGCCTTGCGTCGGTGACATGGATGGTCGGGTTTGAATAGGTGAACGGTGAGCCTGGCTTTGAATGGAGTGAGAAGAAGAGGGGCGGTGAGAAGATAAAGGATTGCCAGAAAGGATGTCTTGCAGTGCTGACGATGACCTCTGTACTGACTGCTGAGGCTGAGGCTGGTGATGAATGAATGTGGGTTGAGGTGGGAGACTCAAAGGAGAAGAGGCTGGACCGATTGATGTCTTGGATGGAGACGGGGGTATTGGTAATGTATCGAATGATGGGAGTCTTGTAACGGGCGGGAGCCGACGTTCTGGCGATGGCGGATGAGCAGCACCATTGACCGGCGGAAGAGGTGGTGGCAGTGTGGGCTGTCGAATACCTGTAGTTGCGGTCGGTTGCATATACGGAACAGCTAATGGAGCTCTGGAAGCTGAAGGGCTTTGCTCCTCTTCCTTCTTTGCACGAGGTTGGCTTGCAGGAGATGCAGAGCCAATACGGAATTTGAGTGGCGGAATCTTGGGCCGTTTGGCTTCTTCTTCACGACGCTTGCAGTCTGTGCAAATGAAATGAAAATCATCCTTTTCAGCATCCTCCTGGGTGACGCCCAGACATTTGCTGTGTTGCCACACGTTGCAGCGTTCACATGCGACACTGTGGGAGCCATCATCCTGTATAATTCTTAGCATCGTAGATTTCAAGTGGAAAGAATAAAGACTGACGATGTTCTCTCCATGAACGCCGCAGCCAGCGCAGTCAAAGATCCATTGATCTTCCTCTGCGAGCTCCTCCATTTGCCTTTGGCGTTTCTCCATTTCAGCTTTAAGTTGCCTTTCTGAAATCCTGCCTTCACCGGACTCGAGTTTCATCCGTTCTTCTTGTAGTCGATTCATTTCTTCCTCTTGTAGAATGCGTTTTGACTCGCGGTCCTTGATTCGGCGTTCACGGGTCATTATACGATGTTGGCGCTCGTTCTCGAACTTGCGTTGAGTTTCCTGCTCCTTGCGAGCCGCCGCAAGATCTAGTTCATGCTTGCGAGTTGCCTCAACAGCTTCTTTGTCTCGTCGTTCCTTCTCTTGTTTGTCCGCAATACGACTAGACCTCTTGGCTCCAGCTAGAAGTTGCAGGCTAAATAACTCCTTCTCTCGTTTCTGGCGCTTGCGTTCTTCGGCTTCTTCAGCCTTTTCGAGGATTGGCAAAACAATCTCAGTGAGTCGGTCCCTAAGCAATTTCTCATTAGGATCTCTCGTCTTTCGGAATTTTTCGATGAATTCTTGGTATTCGTTGAGGGTAACCGCAACGCATTCCCACTTGTAGCCGCCCGAAGGATCTTCGCTGGATCCATGTCCATTTTCTGTCACGTCCTCGTCATCCTCTTCAGCCGGACCAGAAGTTCTTCTTCGCTTGGCAGCTCTGGCGGCGGCTCTGGCCTTTTTAGAATTTGCTTTGGGTTTCGCAGGAGCCGGAGGAGGGATGGCGGGGTCAGTGCGACGATATAAACGGTTATCATCCAAGACGTAGTAAATGCGGTCATCACTGTCCCATCCAAATTCCTCAATTCTCTAATGATTAATTAGCTGAAGACCCACAAATGAATGCTTTGTTGGCTAACGGACCCATTGTAGCTGCTCCGACTCCTTCTGCTCGGGCATCTTCTCACGGATGCGATCCGGGTTCCACAACGTCCACAGGGACAGTTGATGTAATACCTTGAGCTTCAGAAAAACATCAAAGTCTCTGAATTTATTCGGCTCTTCATCGTAACCGAAGGGGTTGACAAGATGGGCCCCTTTCGCATTGTACTGGCGACGCGTATACTCGTCGAAATTCTCAAACCTTTCAGACGAACGCAAGTCAGTTTCACTTGTTCATAGCTTTTGTGGAGACTCATGAAACATACGACAATCCCCGGTGCGACGACACGAATTTAAGTAGCGACAGTCCAATATCCATCAGCTTGTCCGAGGGTTCCGGCTTGAGACATTCCATTTCCAATTCCTGCGATGACCAACGGTTAGCTTACAACGAATCGCGACCATAAGTTTTCAGCCGATATACAGCTTTCAGGAAGCAAAGCCAACAAGAAGGCTAGTCCTTCTTTGTATGGGTCATCTGCAGAGGGGCGAAGGTACCTCGATTCCAAAGTCCTCGTCTATCTTCAAGACCTTTCCAAAGAAGTAAATGTACTGCATCAGTGAAGAGAATTCCCAGCAGTTCCGAATCTGTTGCAGCAAGCTCAGTTCTTCGGGCTGCTTGGCCGGCTGAGCCTCCATTTCGGAGTGAGCGCGCTTTCGCGAGACCATGGCGGCGGAATGACGAGCGCTCCGGGCGCGCAAAAAGGGGACGTGTAGGGTGGCCAATCGAGCACGAGATGGAAAGACAAAAATGCCAATAAAATAAAAAGATGGATGGATCCAATAGCCGAATGCGTTTTGGGTTGTGGTCTGGATAGCTGGGGGAGGGAAGACAGGACGCGGGCTCTCGGTATAAAAATCGAGGCGCGACGTGATCCCTGCGGCTCTCTTGGTCTTAATGCGTTCTGATTAGGGGCGCCGGCGCCAAGCTGGGCTCTGCACAGCCAATCAACGGGCGAGGCTGCAGTCAGCGCGTCGGGTCACGTGGCTTGCGCTGATTCTGGTTATATTAGCGATTCGGGCCTAGCCGCAAGCGGGAGTCACGTGTTAACATATTAGCAACATTAAATATAGTTGTATGTAGGGATGTCTCGCGTTCAATTAAAATAATAGTACTATGGTGAAGATAACGATACAGTGAGAAATGCAGCATGTGTTTCCAGCCGAAGAATCTTCGGCATAGCAGCAGCAGACATACAGGAAACAAATCACCAGTCAACGAAAGAGACATTCCAGCTTTGTGCTCACTTTTGAATGTCTAGAAAGGCGCAACGCAGTCCCCGGAAGAATAATAGAGTACATCATGCAGTGGATTTTGCAAACACATAAACGCCAGCCTCCAGTGCGCAGAACCTCCACGGAATGCTCTTGCCGACCAGCCAGTCAGTTTAACTGACGAGCAAACCGGCGCGAGAGAAACTGATGGGAGGAAAGCCAAAAATCAATTCGTCCCCGTGGCAAGGAAAAGATGTGGAAAGGAACATGACTGTGCAAATCAAAACAGGGAAATTCGAACATCCTGGTATCTCTCGTTCAGCGAAAAGTCTATGGGGCAGAAAACAAGTAGGGGATGAATGGATATGATGGCCGTGATAATGCAATAATCAAATATAAGAATCCCAAGCAAATATGTAGCGAAGTATACCGGACCGTCTAGGTCATCGCTGCCAGCCAACATCCCATATTCTCAATCATGACAGAAAGCGAAGGAGTTGTTGATGAGTTCTTCCGGATGGACGGTCAGAAAAGAAAAAAACAAAAGGTCACGGATAAAACACAGCCGACTGATGATGTTGAATCTAACATCGCATCGTGCCCAATCGAGCAGTGCCGGTAAGTCTTTGCCGCGCATCTGCCTAAGGAAAATGTATGAAGAAACGAGAACATCAGTCTTGATGCAATCTTTGTACGCCTAAATAAAGATCCGATTTCGCCGTAAACCATTCCATGCATGTCGTGAGATAATCACCGATGTATCAAGGAGTTGGACACTTCATATTTCACATAGCAGTACCAGCGGCGTTGCCGGCATCTACGTTGTCTGAAAGATTGATCAGCAACTGAGCTAGACAACGCTTGGTAGCAGCATCGTCACGAAGGACGGATGAGAAGGTAGCATCGCGAAGTGGTTCTGGAAGACATTGTCGTAATGCTTCGCGAGCGCGGTTGTTGTCGCTCAGTCTATATAATCTCAAGTTAGACCTCGCACAATATATAAGGCGAATCGAAAATGTTTCGTCGACTTACCTCAAAAAGCAACGAACCACGTGTTTAAGAAGTCGCACGGTTTGTTGCTCTACCAATTGCGTAACCATGTTGCTCAAAACAGTACCGACGGCATAAAAGCGCTCATAAGTAGCACATATATAGTTCAACCCAGTATCGTCTAATAATATCTTCTGAACAATGAATATAGCAACTGTCTTGCTCAACTCCGAGCCGGTCTCCATTATACGAAGACAAAGAGGGATTATCTCAGTTGTCAGAAGAAAGTTGATCACATCGGAGGAGTCGTTCTTAACAAGAGCACCGATAACACCGAGAGAGGTGAGACGCAAGTATTCGAAAGGTCGAGATTTGGAAGTAGTGTTGAGAAACGGGTAAAGAAACAAAGGAATGTGCGCTAATCACAAAATTCATATTAGCTACATCTGAAATTTCACAGTGCTCTGGTTTTCTCACCATTCAAGAACAAGGTGCGGGTATCGTTGTGAGACGCAACGCACTGAAGCAATGCCAATGCATTACACACCCGGTTAGAGGCGGCAGCAGTGAGTTGAGATGGATTCAGCAAAGGATACACGGAAATGATCTCCTGAAGTAAGGCAGTCATGACACCTATCATCCACGTTAGCGAAAAGAAGGGGTTATCAGCTGAGACTGGGGGTCCATACCAAACGAATGCCAGATGACCAGCGCGAGCTCCGGAACTTGTTCTCGTTTTTTACTGAGCTCCATGAGAGCAGTTTCACGTCGATTTGGGTCAAGAAGCTCAGCCACCCAAACGAAGACTTTGCGATTCTCCTCGCTGATTCCTCCATCGATGCCGGCATTCGTTGCGTCAGTGCCCATGCCTGCGGCGGCATTGGCTGGAGCCTGCGCCTGACTGCCGGTGACCGCACCGGAAGTATTCCCTGTCATTGCAATGCGGTTGTAGTGCTGTTGCTGCGCTACAGCAGCGGCGGCAGCAGCCTGAGCCTGCGCATGCTGCTGAGCAAGCGACGTATGCTGTTGGTGGTGCTGGGCCTGGTGATGTTGCTGCTGCTGTTGGTGCAGCCAGGAAGGCTCAGCTTGGGGATACTGGTGCTGGTGCGAAAATACGTGTTGACTCTGAGCCTGCAGCATGGCTTCAGATGTCTCGAAGGCCGAATGAACTTTTCCGATGGGATGGGGTCCGGATCCGAGGTCTTCGGGCGCAGTGGTGTGCTGAGAGCGACTCGAGGAAGTATAGAAAAAGAAGGAATTGTTTCTTCTGAAATATATGTCACTAGTGCAAATGAGGGCTTTTCGGTAGATACATAAGTGAGATGACTGGAATTGGCGATGTGAAGCGAGGTGTCTGTCTGGAGCCGAGAAAACGGTGAGGGAGGTTGAACTGACTCCAAGTTGCCTTGCTGAGGCGGGGGCCGCTGTGGCTGCTGACTCAGTTTATGCCTTGCTGCCTGAGGCTGCCACTATCGTCCCTACTCCTGCTCGCGATTCAAAATGTTATTTTGATGAATTTGTCTATTTATGTATATATCACAGTGGGATTGGCATTTGCACCAGCAGCTCCCATAGAAGATCTAGATGGCGCATTAGTCTATTTAATGATTTTTATGACCATCTTGTAAATGGTTACGTGATGAAGTTTAGGAAAATAATCAGAGATGAATCCTACAATTTTCGCCCCTTGGACCAGTTTCTGTATGAATATTTGACCAGCCCATTATCAAATCGAGGCTGCTGCAGGTGGGTCGGAGTTGTGTCAATCTCTTCTGCTTGACGATGGCATTATCGCGTTTCGCACTGGCGACAAGTCATAGGACAGAAGGGCGGAACGAGAAACCCAGTAATAGTGCAGTAGTTTGGCACAATCTAGTTCAGACATTGATGATGAAATGGTTGATTGTGAATTTGAAAGAGAAACAGTTGAGATGAAAGCAGAAAAGGCGAGATTTAAGAAGAGAAGAAGAGGGTTTCTCTTTATGTTCTATCCGGCCATTATGTAAACTATATGTTATATCTTACAAAGCAACTACATCTATCTTTGAAAATAAGGTTTCAAAACTCTCAACATATTTTGCGCATCAAGCTGCAGGTTCACGGTGATGAAAACGTGGTGTTACTGTAGCTTAGACATATATCTAGTGGAGAATTGTCTGCAACTAAGAAGGAAAATGCGATGACAGGCTGAATAGAGCTAGCCAGTCAACCAAGCCGTCCCACAAAATCATGCAAGAGCGAGTCCATGCACGCATCGCACTATTTCCATAGATGCCATAGGCAAGGCTGTGTGCAGTGCTATCTGTCCAATCAGACAGCACAAGAGCCTGACCGCCAGACCGGCTGTGACTGCGACCACAGCTGCGACTGTGACTGCGACTGCGATGTATAGTACCTTATTCAAAATCTCTGCGGTAATTGCGATCAGGGAATTTAGTCGAAAAGGTGACTAGATTATTTAAAAGGGGAAGGGGTGCCTGTTTTCTCAAGCCATCCAGAATATGCTTGATGTCTTGTCAGACCCTTAGAGTATAATATGATGCTTTTGTGAGCAACTCCTAATTGCTACGCGCCACAACTTCGAGCTCTCCCTATCTCCATTATAAATAGGGTTGACAACAAAACATCTTTTCTAATGGATTTCTTGAATTTCTCGGACAGACCATCTGTCCGTAAGCGACTGCACCATATGAAGTGCAGTCAGTGTCGTCGGAAAGATGAAGAAGGTATGGAACATTCTTATTTGATCGTCTTGTTACCTGGCCCTGCAAGTTGGTAGTGAAATTCACCTCTAGGTGCTAATTTTACCACATAAAGTATCTTCCCTTTGGTCGCTCCTGGCCCAATGAAACGTGTGTCCAGTGCTCCAAGTATAACCATGTTCTACCAGTATGACCACGAAGCAAGACAAAAAGCTTCAACAGCAACAAGGCGCTGCATCTATTATGCTGCCTGATCCGGAGCAATACAACGGCAAACATCCAGGGCAGCACGCCAATGACAGGCCATCCTGGTCAAAATGTGCAACTTACTTCAGCACCTTGGTAAAGGCTACCTTGGGCTATTTTCGGCAGCCAAGCCACAATAGTTCGCTCTCCTTGATATGCTGATCATTCGCTTGATTAATTTTGAAAGCGAACGAGTTTACTAACTCCTCCAAAGCGGCCTCCTTAAGATGACAATAGGCCTAGAATTCGCAAGGGTCTTGCACGAAGGGACAGCCAATAGGACGAGCTGAGAAGAAGCTAGGTCTCGTATGTCTCATAAACTGGGAGACCCCAATTTTGATAGAAAGTTCGACCAGATCATCACTGAGGCACAGAGATGGCAAATCTCGTAGACGCAGTTGGTGTTCTCGAGGTTCTACTCAGAAACTGCGATGATTGAGAAACGTACTTCTGGGAAGATATAACAATGCCTGAAATTGCATCAGTGAGTGATGAAGAGTGTCCTTCTCTCTTTAGCAGACTCCTTTCACCAGCGCTTGGGTTAAAAGAAGCTCGCCTGAGAGTCAGCGGAGTGGTGCATATGATCGAGCCTTTGGAAGAATCAGTGATATCGGAGCTTAGAACATATCTCGTCAGTAACATTGAGCAACGTGTTAAGAGCGTTCTAGGCACCGAAGAGGACTTGCAGGTATTTTGGATAAGGATGAAGATGATGACAGTGTGGCGGACACCGAATAGACCACAGCATGGGTACACCCGAATATGATTTTGAAGTCATCGATTTCTTTCCGCATCTTAATGGAAACACGGCATATAAAGTGACTTTTTGCTTTTCCTTTGTGGCTTGACCTTTTTAACTGTGATATAATTGTCGTTAACTCTTCATAAATTAAATTGCTGCCTTGGTCTTAAACCATAAAAAATTTACTGTTTGTTGAACCAAATAATCCAAAGCTGCCCACCTATTTTATACTGGCAGTAGTTAATGATGTTTAAACTATCCCCGGTGGCAACTTAATATAAGTTACCGGACATCCCCCCAAACGGATTCAATAATAGTAGCCCATGCTGATCCAAAAGGCTCCCAAGACTGGGATTAATAAGTCGCGACAATCCAGGGCGAGAACCAGTGACGAACTCGCGAATTATTGGCCGCGTTGATTGACAGCTTGCGTTCAACCAATCAATATCATTGCGCTACCACCCGCTCTGCACCAACTTCAGGCTTGAAAACTGAATTCCTGACAACCTGCAATCTTAATCAAACTACAAGACGATCGATCTCGTGCCATCGGCTTCTACAAAAGCTATTGAGGAAAAGCTAGTCCGTCAAACTACGGGAACAGATCGCCGCTGACTATGGGGAACTCCGGACAGCCTCACGACAACTCGCACGAGGGGCATCAGTTCAATAATATTCAAATCCATGGTGACAGCAGAGTACATATCGGTGATATTCACCATATTAGTCACTATTATTACTCTAATAAGCTAAAAAAACTCCACAGACAACAAGAAGTGATGCGCTCGCAAAACGCATCTATTGAGATGAGTCCAGAACAGATTAATCGAAAGGGTTGCACCCTTTTTCCTCCCTCAATGCTCGATTCTTATCCCAAATTAAATCCTCCTTTGCCCAAGTCAGTCCGGGAGGAACACCAGGCTATGATGCAGCTTGAGGGTTTCGGTACTTCACAACTTAAACAACGCCAGACAGCACAACAGCACGCAAATAAGGCACAACAAACCTCGATTCAGAATACTTGGAGTGGATTCCACACCAGCGCATTTAAAACGCGATCTGCCACGGCTGATGATTTTGAAATACAAAATTCGAAGACCCGGCAAACGTCAAAAGTTGCCTCAGCCCAGCCGTCTACCAAATCTTATGCTGGCAAACACTTCGTGCACTTCAGCGTAGGGAAGTCAGTTTTAGAACCATCCCCACGAGAAGGGTCTCATGCCTTTGGACCTGGGGATCCCTCTCCGAACAAATTAAAATTAGCACCGACTAAACTTCGTAAGAAAAACCACGCAGAAATGTTTACAACTTCAGCAGCTATTGCGACTATGAGCTTTTCTATCAAGAGAACAATATCCGAAGACTGCACTCAACGTTATGGAGATGAACCTCCACTGAAACTTCACTGCCTTCAGAGAGAATCCAGGCGACGAGGAGACTTAGGCGTTGCGCATTTAAAAAGACTGTCTTCGGCTTCTCGATTGGCCGCGAATGGCTAAATCATGTGTCTAAGAACGGTTGAACTATGGATGTTACAAACAATAATCATATTACAACGCAATATATCCTCATGAGGAACTATCGGCAAGCGCCAACATTTGAAAGGATTGATAAATTACTGTTAAATAAACCCTTCAAACCGCTCAGTTGGACTATTTGAAAACTTTTCCACCCAAATTCACACCCTGTCAGATGGTCTTTCAAGCTATGTGTTAGGATAAATAATGAATAGTGATACCACACGCTATATATATACCTGTAGTTATGATGTTGATAATCAAGAAATTGTCACGGTACATGACTCATCATTACTCCAATCCGGTTGATACATGCAAGCATTAGAGATTTTCGAGACAGTATATCAACAGTTAAGTTGTATCAATGCACTTCTCATTATGACATCACTGCAAGTCCTATCAATTTTCCACGAAATTCCGAGGCAAAGCAGGGAAGTCACTTGTCCGTAGGAGACAATAGTTGAACATTGCCCCAACTCACACAGACGCCCGGCATTGACCATGCCATAATACTCGCCACTTTACTCTAAAAATACACGTATTATTGGAGCGACTACAAAGCTATTGGGGCGATCTTAGTCTACTTTTTGAAATATGAGGGTGATATAAGTACATATGCAACCAAGTATAAAGATACCTACAATTTATAGAGGAGACTTGAGAGGTACTATGTAAGAATAATCGTATCTAAACCTGAATATTCCACTTTATGACGCTATTCCATGGGTAACTTGACCAAACAAGGAAAAAAGCATTAACATCCTAATCGGGAAGGGTAGGGTTTCCAGCGACCCACAGTATTGTGACGGTGACAATGCAGAACGTCAGCGACATCTCAATTATCTGGCATAAATATGAATAGCAAGGCATGGAAATGGAAGTACTGCCTTACAATTTAATGTTCCTCTTGGCTGAAATGCTGTAAAACAGAGCAGGAGAATGCCAAACAGCTGAATCCCGAGATAAGTTGGATTAATCATCATTGCTGCGTCCGTTGTTCGGATGCAGTCTGTTCTATCTAATAATAAATACATGTGCCTCTTTTCTCATCTTCATATACATCGTAGCAACATCAACATCAACAATTGAAAGATATTTACATCCAGTCATTAATACCATCATCCATAACATAAACCGGTAAAAGAATAGCTTGATAAACTCCGAGGGGAGGGTGCACCTCATGCAGGATAGAAAAAAAAACAATGCAGCTCGCTGTATTTCTCGTAACAACCGGTCGATCCGATCATCATCGACGTGATCTTCGATCAGATCTTGAGTCTCTGGTTCGACGAGTTCGACGGTCATCTGAACTTGCGCTGCCTGTTGAATTGTTAGTCTTCGATATTTCAATCTGACGGGATGATCAACTCACTTTCGCTTGCATCGTAGCTGTAATAAGTATAGTAAGAGCTGCCAGGACCGTAGCTGTATTCCGACTTCTCCTCTTCCTTATTCCGTCTTCTTAGGCCTAGACACAACGCTACGGCTCCGGCGATTACAGCAAGCCAGGCCAGCGTTCCAAAGCCAGACTTCTTCTCTCCGTGGTCTGGACGAGATGGGCGTGTGCCGAACCATGTCCGTCTCGCTGGCTCGGCGCCATGAGAGTGGTGGGATATGCGTTCTTCGACATAGGTTGTGTCTCTGCGCTTCTTCGACCTGAGACCAAGCATTCCCAGCACGGTATCAACGACTCCACGGATACAGAGACAGGCGCACAATAGAATCAGCAGGAAGACACCGGCAATCACACCGATGACAATCCCGGCAATTGCGCCTCCGCTTAGACCATGGCCGCCGGATGCTTGGGCGACGACAGTGGCGCCGTTGGTTCCTACGGGGGCAATGAAGCCGACGGTGGTGGTTGCTGAGGCGGTCGCTGTAACTGTTTCGGCGCCGCTGCTGGTTGGACGGACTGCGGGGGAGGCTGTTCCTGTGGCTGCCTCGTCGGTTGAGCTGCCAGCAACACAGACGCCGTTATCGCAAATCTCTTCGGCGCTGCAGCAGCTTGTACCACAGACGCTCTCGCCCAACGACACGGCGCAGGTAGCAGTGCTGGTGGGTGCCGCGGTGATGTAGCTACTATAGACGGATGTCACTGTTGCGAGGTTGGTCTCTGTGAATGTTGTGGTGTAGAACTGCCATGACCCAGAGCCAGTTGAGCCAGCTGAGCCAGCAACGCATTCAGCCTGGCCGAGGCTGTTTGTTGTACATGTTTGGGATGAGGTGCAGCATAACTGGCTGTAGTAGCCGCATGGATTGGAGCAAGATCGTTCTTCGAGGGTGTTTTCGATGATGTCTTCTTCGGCAACGTTTTCGTCGAGTTGAACCGGCGTGGACTGTGCAAGCTGTGCTATCGTAGCGAGCAAGACCGAAAAGGTCGTCACGACCGGAATGGCACGCATTGTGATAGCTCTCGAATCTGAGACGGTTTATGAGCTGAGCTGGTAGCGAGAATAGCCTAGTTCCTGCGCAGCAATAAATCAAGCTGTAACACGCAGAAAGATCGCAACGTAGATGAAATCGCTCAGCTATGTTCGTATAAGACCGATCAAGTCAAATGTGGATGAGGGAGATAAAGAAGAAAAACAAAAAGGTTGATGGGTGGTGAAAAGCAACGAAATCAGCAGGCGGTGGTGGAGGTTATGGATAGCGGCATAGCATCCCAGCCTCTTTTTACCAACCACCCGATTTCTGCTCGCAGCCACCAATCACCACCACGTAAGTTTAGATTGGTTTCACTTACACTGTTGAAGACCGGCGTACACTCCACTAAAGGACTCTCTTTCTTGCTTGGCTACTCCGTGGTTTTTGGCAGTGAAATAAAATGGCTGGACTGGGTGATCCTGGGATGAGTGAGTTGGCAGGGCAATCGGTCCGACCCCTCACCACCACAACCACCACAACGGCGTCCGGCCAGGCCAGCTCCGGGCTAGCCCCTCACAGCACACAGGATTTGCTCAAGCCCCCTAGTACTAATTAGTCGCTGTCTCGACACAGTCTATGCTTTCAACGACTCAAAAGTCACAATGGCATGGGTCTCAGGCGATAATCGACAGGCTGACACCTGTCAGGCACAGCCCAACGAGCGCTATGCAGCACACCGCATTTTGTAAAACTTATAAACTCTGCAAGCAACAATCGATAGGGACACTTCGGTTGCTTCCTAACTATACCAGATCTACCAAACTTGAAGTCCATTGACTATTTTCATCAGCTCATAATTGATATTCGGTCTTGGTGATCGCGGCCCACTAAACAAAGTGCTGCTTATCGATAGCTGGCCCGGCGACCGCACCCTGTAAATAGACTGCTGCTTCGGTCCCATTACATCATAGGAAGAGTTGCTAGTAGACGCTGTGCAGACAATTCATGGATTGTATGGAGTGGATAGATAGATTGTATAATTTAACTATATAGACGGCATCATGTATGCTGCCGATTTTGTGGAGTCAACTTAGGCTTCCTCCGCATTCCAGATCAGATCTGACACTTCACATTCCAGATATGCCTGTATCCGACATGGTGGATTATGCTTATTTAGACCTCAAAGACGTAATAAATAAGATGAGTTTATACAAATAAATCAAGAGATATCATATTCACATTCCATATACAAGAAAGAAAGAGAAAAAAAAAACGCGCGCCAACGCCACAGCCCAGGCCGATCTTCCAAATCCTCATAAATCATCGTGATGATTACTTCTATCATCTGCATCATATAAACATCCCTAAAACCCCCGCTGCAGCAGCAAGAATAATTTCGGATAAGCTAGATCTCCGCCGTGGCGCATAGCTTCCTGTGACGAATTGTCCATTGCTGGCCGAAGCGGTGCCAAAGGCCGTGCAATATCCTTCTCGCAGCCCATAACAAGCCTGTGTACTCAGACTCGAGCATATTGATAACGCTGCTGATGCTGATGTCACAGCAGTGTTACCCTGTACTGTCACGCCCCCTCCAGCGCCGGCGACGGTTACGCCATACTGCCCGCCGAGGGATACTATACAACTTGTGTATTCCTCTTGACAGAAAGAATAATATGACACGCAGGTAGCAGCATTTGCAAAACTGGTCGGAATATACACGAATGGGTACGCACCACCGGCCACCGTCGAGCCAGTGATGCTTACTGGAGGTGCAGACGTGGTGGTAGTAGCAGACGTGCTCTGCGGAAACATGAAGCTCGATGTCGTTGCCCCATTACCACCGCCGCCGCCAGCTGTCGTACTCCCACTTAATGTTCCTGTACACGCTGCTCCTATTGGACAACAAGCGATGTTATTGGCGGCATCGACCGTGCACGTCGTTCCTGACTTGCAGCAGACATTGGAATTTCCTTGACCAGAACAGCCGTTATAATCGGATGGGCAACTGTCGTCGCGTCTTAATATTCGCATAACCCTTGCAGCCTGCTGACCTGGGAATTCTCCGTCGATGGGCTGTATGAAAGGTGCCGTTTCTGTGCACCAGGATAGAGAAGCCACCAATGCCACGAGGCACAGCAGCGACTGCTTCATCATTGCGACCGGGTAACAACCCGCGACACCGTGGGGTTTGCCAGTCCTCGTTGCAGTAAGCAGAGTTTAATTGATAATTGCGAAATTTTCTGAGGTGTTGTACGTTGTAAGGCCTCTTGGGTGTGATTATTCAATGTCAACAACGACCGTTTCTTTTCTCGGGTTGGTATCAGTTCGAGACTTGAATGAGGGACTGGAGCAGGAGTGATATGGGTCAGCACACATGTCAGAAGATTGCATACAATTGTCAGCACAAAGAACGCACTCCTTGAGAAATAGTGATTGATTGAGTTGAAAATTGAGGTTTGATTGTGCTAAAGAGTGGGAAACACTGGTAGTCTCCGCCGCCAGCGCCTGCCACGGCAACCGGTCCACCCGGACAGGCTGGCAGCGGCCCAATCGTCCACCTTGCATATTTTCACTCTCTGCATTTTATCTTTTTCTCGTGTTACAGTTAAAAAGTGATACACAAGCACTGCTTATACTTTATTCCTGCCACTGAATTGTGCATGGAACACAATGACTCATTCGATGCATCGATCATCGTCGGCTTCCAAACCGAAAAGTAAATAAAGACGTCATGCGATGGGCGACTCAACTCTGTGCGTCGATGCAGAACAGCTTACAACTTACAACTTACAGCTTAAAGCTTCTTATACCTTGGGTCGCTCACTCGGTGGTTGGTGGACGCACATTGAATCCGAAAATAACATCACTGATTCGATCGTGAAATTACGTGAATGCTCTCCCTCACGTAAGATGTGGTGGGGTCAGCCCCCGACCAGCATTTATCTCCCGCATATATAAGCGTCACCTTCAGGTCTGCTCTACGTCTTGCTCAGCGTACGATTTTATGCTTAAGTACTGGTATTGATATTTCTGAACATTGCAAAATGTCAAATATTCCAATTGTCGATTTCTCTGCCTGGAACTCCTCCGACACAAGCGCTCGGCTTCGTGTTGCAAAGGAACTTGTCAAAGCTAGTAAAGAGGTTGGCTTTGTCTATATCGTAAACCATGCCCTGCCAGATGCGTTGCTCGATGAAGCCTTTGACTGGTCTCGTCGGTTCTTTGCTCTGAGCCAAGAGGACAAGTTCAAAGCCCCTCATCCTAAAGGATGGGCAGTACACCGAGGCTACTCCTGGCCGGGACTTGAGAAAGTCTCCCAGGCCATGAGTGAAGAGAATGACGAAGAGCGGATTGAAAAGCTACGAGAAGTTACCGACTATAAAGTAGGATTGGCCGCGTAGGCAACTCTTCTCACAGGCTAACGATATGAAAAAGGAAAGCTATGACATAGGAAGTGACGAAAACAAGGACCAGCCAAATCAATGGATTCCGGAAGACTTGCTTCCAGAGTTCAGGGTATTCATGACTCGCTTCTATTGGGAATGCTTCGGGGCTGCATCCGATATAATGCGTGCTCTGGCCGTCGGCATTGGATTAGATGACGAAGAGCACCTTGTGAAGCGGCATTCTGGTCATAATAATCAATTGCGGCTGTTGCACTACCCCCCAATTCCAGCAGGAACGCTTGAAAGTGAAGCCATGTCGCGCATGCCCGCGCATACGGACTGGAGCTCCATGACAATGTTATTCCAAGATGACTGTGGTGGCTTAGAGGTAGAGGACCCTTCTCAGCCGGGCACATTCATCCCAGCGACACCGGTGAAGAATGCGATTATCATGAATGTTGGGGACTTGCTGCAAAGATGGAGTAATGGTATTTTTCACTCTCTGGCTACATGAATAATGACTGATAGTTAGTGTAGACTATCTCCGATCTACGAACCATCGAGTTGGACTGCCTCGGTTGAGCGATCGCTTTACTGGAGCAAGCAGGATGACTCGCGAACGATATTCAATTCCTTATTTCCTCGCACCAGATCCGACGACGTTGATTGAATGCCTTCCAGCATGTACTAACCGCGATAACCCGGCCAAATACGAGCCCATCACTCAAGGTGATTACAACCGCATGAGAGCTTCCATGCAGTATTAGCTGCGGCTCATAAACTGCGAGCTTAAAAGGACTTGAATTTATTTACCATTCCAAAATAACATTCAAAACATTAAAAGCTATAACTAATAGTCGCCTTACCGTCCTGAAAGCGGCTGAGGTGGGGTCAGACACAACCCAATTGGCGTGGAGCGTAGGTAAACTACCATTCGCAGGATATGTATATTGTATATAAATGGATGTCTAGGGTGAGAATATGGTGGATAGCGTCTAGGGTGATAATTTCATTCCATGTAGTCATCAGGGTGATGTCTGGAGGAGCTCTCGTCAACTGGAGTCCACCCACCCCGATCCCCACGCCGACTCCGATCATTCCGAATATAGTACTATATATCCATCTACTGCCTCGTTCTGGTCCTCCAGTACTACCTCCTCATGATGCGTCGGCACAACGGGCTCCCATCGTCGTGCGAGCCCTGTCGCATATCAAAGCTCCGCTGCGACCATACCGTTCCTACATGTGGCCGGTGTCGCCGCAAGGGTAAGGCTGCTACCTGCGTGTACAGGCTAAAGCCAACACAGGCACGGCCATCGATAGCAGGGACTGCACAGACACCGCTGGCTCCGCGAGACCAATATATCAAAGACTGGAGCCGCCAGTTGGCTTTGAACTCCACTCCGAGCTTCCTAGGACTTACTAGCTTTTCGGCAGTCTACAGCGAGAACAAGGCCAGTCTGAAGCAGCATTCGTCTATCACAACACTGCCTGACCTAAGTCCACGCCGTGTGCAAGATGGTGTTTACGTGGTCGACGACTTCCAGGCGCAGCTAGGCGCAGAGTTACTGTCCCTGCTCTTTGATGACTTCGAGCTGTGCCGTCGTATGGCTATCATCGGTGAGGATAGTAGTACTGAGAGCACCATCTACCTGCCTACCATCCGCACCATCTGCGACCTTGTTGAGGGGATGTATAGGAGCGTTTCTGGTCATCTGGACCGACAATCCCGCCTTCTAGCGCTCTCGCGGCGGCTATTCGAAGGCACCGCCCGCGACCTCGTCACGCACGCGGCCATGACATTTGACGAGTATCTCATTGCTTTCTCGGGACGCTGGGAGGCCGTCGGCTTTATCATCACCATGTTCGGCATCTGCGCCGCCCACACGACCGTCGACGACCCGCTCTTCAACGGCCTGGGCCTCTCTGCTGCCGACCACAAGAACCTAGGCATTCTGGCCACCGCTGGCAGCGACCGTTGCCTGCAATTCTGCGATAGTATGGGTGTTATGGGCGATGCCCTCGGCTGGCTATTGCTGCAACACATCAACCTGCTGACCTTGGTCTGTGGTGACTACGGTATGTCTCATCAAGGCATCGTGGAGAGTTAATAGCTAATTTCCAGACTATCGACCACGGAAGCGCCTTGGAGAGCTCTCGACCCTGCTCTTCGCCATGGGTTATCACCAGCTCGACACTGGCGACGATCTGCCCTTCTTCCTCGCCGAAGGGCGCAAGCGGCTCATGGTATCCGCCTATACCTGCGACAAGGCGCTGGCAACGTTTTTGGGATGTCCACCGCTGATCGCCTATCGCTTTTGTCGCATCCAGCCGCCTTTGGACCTGGCACCGGCTGAATTAGTCGCCGAGCCGGTCGTTCGGGAGGCCGCTATCCGCAAACTGGATTCGCAGGGTTGGAACACTAAGGGGTTCATCAAGGGCAGCTCGTGGAGCCGAATATCTCTGCGACTGGCCCACGTCCGCGAGCTTGTCATGGAGCTCTCTCTTGACTCCCACTATCAGAACATCTGGAAACAAGCGGAGTATGCAACTTCCCAGTCACTCCATTGCTATAACCTACTCATTCTCTTTCAGGGAAATCTCGCATCTGTTTTCACAGGTGCGCAGTGAGCTTCCGTCATTCCTCCGGTGGGATGAGAGAACCGAAAGTGCCTTGCGGCTAACAAACACATTTCCTATCTACATCCATCTCGATCTCCTGTATAGCAATTTTCTCTTGCAGCGCATCCTAGTCAAGCATTCATTGACCGGGCCCGAGACTCTGATCAGCCTCGCGCACCAGATCCTCACAGCTACTCTTACCCAGATTGCCATCGGTCAACGATGCAGCAATCCCTTCAGCGAACTCGGATGGCTGGTACCCTCACCTTTCTTCCCATTTCACCAATGTCGTCTCATTCTAACGTTTTAGATTCCCTACTTTGGCCTTCCCTCAGCAGGGATACTCGCCATCGAACTCCTCCGTCTGACGCAGAATCCGCAGCTACGGCTGAATGAGACTCCATTCCCTCGCTCTGAAGTGATTCAAAACCTCAGCATCCTCGTCTCGCACATTCAATACATCATTCTACCGCAGAAGGGTAACTATGAAATCTGCCAACAGGGCCGCAAGGTCATCTCGTACATTCTGGAGTACGTGCTCGACCAGCCTCCCACAGATGTTACTGTGTCGGTTCCCCCAGTGGTGCCGAACAACCTAATTCCCCCGGACTGGCTGGCTGACGAGTGGCTGAATGATGGGACGGACTTTATCAAGTGGATCGACGGGCTGGATTGGGACGAGGACAATGAATTATAATGTTAACGATTACCCAACGATATGTTATTACTTATGAGATGAATTCTCTGATTCACGTATAATAATTACGTAAGTAACCATGGACGATGGAGAATAATATCTACACTGATCTACCTTCTAATGTACTCTAACATCTGTTTCAAGCCTGGAACTGGATGCAACCCACATTCCTAGTATAATGAGCCCTAATATTACTCTCATCGCTTCAGGACCCACTCGTATTCAAGTGTTCATAACCAATTTAACTGCTATAATATTCCCCTTAGGGTTCATTGCGAGCATGGACGTCATTTCCGGAAAGGGACTAGCGTGTCGCATTCAGATATATAAGCCAATCGGCAGCTCGCGATTTGATACAAGTGGGGCGTCAATTCCTGCTATGACTTCACCTCGACTGTTTGATGCCTCTTCATTGTTTACATATCTTCCACAAAACGCCGATTAAGAAAGAATCTATGCAATAACAGATTCTTCACTACTTACCAATCTCACCATATTTACCCTTTTATGCTACCATGAACTTGGGAATCGCGCAATTGAACTAGCTTCAAATCCAGCACTGCACGTCAGCTGGCTTGCGTCGGCCATGTCACATATTCCCACGGCGGTACCGCCGCCCTCGCAAACAAGTAAAAAGGTAACAGCCTGTAAGTAACCCGCCAAGAATTTTAACTTCACATGCTAAAATCCCTCTAGCATCAAAAACAACATTCCATTTCCTCGCCGGGCTAGCCTCAGGTCTCTCCTCCTCCATCCTCCTCCAACCGGCCGACCTCCTCAAAACCCGCGTCCAACAATCCAAACGCACAGCCTCTCTCTCCTCTACAATCCGTTCAATCATCTCCTCTCCAAACCCGATCCGCAATCTATGGCGCGGCACACTCCCCTCCGCCCTTCGAACAGGTTTCGGATCCGCGCTATATTTCACATCCCTAAACGCGTTACGCCAGGAAGTCGCACAACGAGGACCGGCAATCGCGCTCGCCGAGGGTGCTAATAAGCAGACATATTACACTTCTTCCGCACTACCGAAACTATCGCATACCGGGAATCTCCTCACCGGTGCTGTTGCGCGCACCGCGGCTGGGTTCGTTATGATGCCTGTCACTGTGATCAAAGTACGGTATGAATCGGACTACTATGCTTATCGCAGCATACTGGGTGCTGCCAAGGATATCTTCAAGACGGAGGGTATAAGAGGACTTTTCGCGGGTTTTGGTGCTACGGCAGTCCGCGACGCTCCGTATGCGGGTTTGTACGTCGCCTTTTACGAGCAATTCAAACGCACACTCGCGGGAATCATCGGCAATAATACCACTACTAAAGTTAACGACGGTAACAATAATAATCAAAAACAGTTGACCAAAAACATCTCCTCGTCGACTGTGAATTTCGCATCAGGTGCACTCTCTGCCGGACTAGCAACAGCTCTCACCAACCCGTTTGATGCTGTGAAAACGAGGATTCAGCTGCAACCGGGAAAGTATCGTAACATGTTTTATGCGTTGAAATTAATCATCAGGGAGGATGGCGGGAAGGGTCTGTTGAGTGGTCTTGGCTTGAGAATGGGAAGAAAAGCGCTGAGTTCGGCGCTGGCGTGGACGGTGTATGAGGAGTTGATTATGAGGGCAGAGAAGAGGTGGTCGGTTGAAGAGAGGATGGGGCTATGAGATGTACCAATAGTTTAATAACATAAATTATCATGTGGGCGGGTGCGGTTTGTATAGACATGGGAAAGAACGGTGCATTGGGACTCTATGTATAATAGAAGGGCGGGTTTGGCGTATTTTTAGGGGTTGCAACATTTGAATACACAACTCATGTTAACATTAAAGAAGCATGCCCTTCATGTATAGAGATTTTTCATTGGGAATGGACGGGGCGGTTTCCGGGACCCAGCATTTTCCCATATTGAAATTTGGTACGTGCCCAGGTAACCCGGTAATCATCAACATTGCAGCTAGAACATGTCTCTAGATGCTTGACGTTGCGGCGAAAGCCCTACGCACAGCTGGACGGAACTGGCGTTTACTTGACCAAATGTTCACCGTGAATGTATTTGCAGCCTCGCTGATGCGCCTTGGTAAGACGAAATCGGCAGAAAAGCTGTGTAGGCTCGTTAGGGATGGTTATCAAGAACGTGTGGACGGCGCTGCACTCTGTATCCCGCGGATTGTAATAGGCGCTTAGGCAATATCTAAAAAGATCATTGTTTATCTCTAACTATAAGCTATAGATAAGTGACTGCATGTATCAGGTATGAATTAGTTATGAGGACAGATTATGGTTCAGCAGATACCGGCAAGGATCTGGAATTAAGTGTTCGCTATTTTATAACATATATAATGGTATTGATAATATATACTTATATATGATTGACCATGAACGAAAATTTGAAAGGCGGTCTGACTGAGTTGTTAGTGCTCTAACTACAGAGCAGTGAGCAAGTCCACTAGCGCAGTGACAATCGGACACCCTGTATCATATTGGGCAGGATTTGTAGGATTCGGTGAGGTTTCATTATTAATCGCTAATTGTATCAAGGTATTCCCATTCGCGTTGTATTCAGGGAACCCGTATCTAAAAAGGTTAGCTTTCAGGACTATGCCACAGATGAATAAACGACTAGTTGCTCTTCAACAGCATATTTCTGGAATAGGGGGGCTTACTGTACCAGCCCATTCACTGGATCTTTTGCAAAAGTTGTCCAAGCCTTGCGCATGTAGGTCGACATAATCTCTTCCTCAGCCGTCCGCGCCACCTTGTCTTGAATATCCATATCCGTGCCGAAGACCATCGGTATCTCACTTCCATGCCAGGCCCCTTGATTTTCTGACGGGGTGGATAATTGCATATTGGGGAAGTTCCCAAAATAACGATAACGCCAAGTTGGGACTTTGTTAACTTGTCCAGCCAAAGCACGATAAGAAGTTGGACAAGTAAAAAGACTAAACATCAAGAAGGCCCATGTAGAACTGGGTAGCGTGATATTCTCAACGGCAAGCATAGGTTGGAACAATCCAGGTTCCCAGTTGTTATTCCCAATCATCATTGGTCGTTTAATTAAATTTCCATTCACAGAACGGCTGATATAGTCTGAAAAAACAATGATGTTATCAATAGTAGGACCGAAGCTCGCAGAGGCGCCGGGAATTTTGGATGCGGCAGGTATGGCATTCAGAACGTCCTGCCAGCTCTTTGATCTCATGCAGCTAAGCACCGAAGCTGGGTCTCCAGATGCATCGCCGCACCCGAGAGTCTGAGAAACAGCGTACCAATTCGTAGCTGACGAAGCAGCACTTGCTTGGGTATCCGGACTAAATACCGTGCCTGATTCAGCGATGAAACCGGCCACAATTGGGTCAGAAGTCCACGCATAAGAGTAATAGTCCACTGAACTTCCGCCTGCAGACTCTCCGAACATTGTGATACGATTAGGGTCTCCTCCGAATCCCTCAATATTATCGCGTACCCACTCTATGGCCCGCCGTTGGTCAAGAAGGCCGAGATTATTTGAAATGGTTGGACCTCCTGGGAAGCCAAATATATTAAGGCGATAGCTATCTCAGTTAGTAAAGTTCGTGAGTCTAAGAGCAGTATTCTCACTTTGCAGACACAACAATCACATCCTCTTGATCAGCCAGATACTTTCCGTTATATGCTGGAATATCGGACCCTCCACTACTGTATGAACCTCCATAGACCCAAAACATAACAGCCTTTTTATCTTCTCTAGTCTGCGGCTTAGCCCAAACGTTCAGTGTAAGACAGTCCTCTGAGAAAACGTCAGTAGTTTGGCCTAAGAAGGACACAATTATCTCAGCGCCTTGAGGCGTAATTCCGTATTGCGAATAATTGCCGAGTGCCGCCATGTTGATGCCAGTATGCGCTGGGCAGGAAGCGCCCTTTCTTCTGTCAATAGCAATTTAAGGATATCAAAGGTTATACAAACAAATTTCTCAGCATTAATCTGCGATGTTCCATTGAAAGGCTGCGGCGGTTCCCACCGCAGGTCTCCAACTGGAGGCTTCGCCTGTGGCAAGGTTAGAAATTTGATATAGGACCGTGGGAATTCTATTTGGGTAAAAACAATCAACCTACAAAAGGAATGCTTAAATACTCCGAAACATCAGACACTCCAGGTGCAGCGTGGCCCTGTATTGAACCACTAGTTGTGTGGACGGTTTGGCCAACCCTAAATGGGACCGCACCAATTGTGGCCGCTGAGGCACAGACAGCCAACATACGCGTAAACTTCATAATTTCAGACATGATTTTTTTTATTGTATTTGTCTCTGCCCATTTTTGAGTGTGTATAATCGTTTTTTATAGCTACTGATCCCCCCCCCCTCCCCCCGCGCATTTTCTGTCTGCTTAGACAGACTAAATGCGGAGCCGAAGTACCCCGGCTTTCGATGTTGAGGATGTAACTGGATGAAAATTAACTCTACAGTAGTGTACCTTTCCCCCCGTATTTACCCCGTATTTCTTCTACGGCTCGCGAATATTTGATGACAATGCCAACAGAATAGAGTGCGGATACAGAAATGCCGCCCGAATGTCCGTGTTAGACCATAACTTAAAGCTCCATTAGAGCTATGCGCTTATTTTACCAGGCTAAGACGGAGATTTAAAATTTTAGTTATGGCCGAGGTGGTACCAGAAAAATAATGATAAGTTTATTATTATTTTGTTTTAGGGAAGGCCGCTGCGCTGAACATAATCCAATCGAGTTTCACAGTTTTCTCAGCATGTCGCTCTTTACATCGATCGATTTAACAACAGGTTGGGAGTTTAAGCGCTCGAATGATACATCATTGCAAGCATGGCGACAAGTTGACAAGCTCCCAACTGTAGTCCACCTAGACTTAATGCGTTATAATTTGTACATTGGTCCTCCTTCATGTTCTTTATAGTTTTACGGCTCACAATTCAAAATCAAATTTTAGAATCCCAGACCCATTCCGCGATCTGAACGAATCGAAGGTACAGTGGGTAGGAGAAGAAAGCTGGAGTTATCGATGCAGCTTTACTCCTTCACCCAAGGATGATGCAGACCGAGTAGCTCTTTTGTTTGAGGGCTTGGATACCTTCGCACATGTGAAACTCAACGGGACTGATATCCTTCAGAGCAATAATATGTTTATATCGCACCATATTGATGTTACGTCACTCCTCAATTTCAGTGGCAAGAATATTCTAGAAATAGACTTTGAATCCGCCTTACTAAAGGCAAGAGATATTCGAAGAGAACACCCCGAGCACAATTACATCGGACATTTAGGCGAAGTTGAGAGATTGGGTGTGAGAAAAGCTCCATATCATTGGGGTTGGGATTGGGGACCTAAGCTGATGACGGCCGGCCCGTGGCGCCCAATACGCTTACAAAAATACAGCAGCCGCATTGAGGACATATGGTTAGATTATACCCTTGATGAAGCCTTGAAACATTGCGAAGGAACAATATTTGCCCGTGTCGATGGATGTGTCGGAGATGAGATCCGTCTGGCTCTACGCAATCAGGAAGGGGATGTACTGTTTGAAAAAAGATTACCAGTACATCCAGAAGGTCATGTACAGGCTGAATTTGCATTGCAAAATGTCGCTTTGTGGTACCCACATGGCTATGGGTCACAGTCTCTGTATTACATCGATGGTGAAGTGTTCACAAACGATAAAGCAGTCCACCTTCTGGCGCGGAGAGTTGGTTTCCGGCGCGCAGAGCTTATCCAGGAAGCTGACATATATGGTAAAGCGTTTTACTTCCGCGTCAATGGAATTGACATATTCGCAGGAGGGAACTGCTGGATTCCTGCCGATAGCTGCATCCCGAGGTTATCCGCCGAAAGATACAGACAGTGGATAAGGTTAATGGTGGAAGGAAATCAAATCATGACCAGGCAGGTATTTCCAATACGCTGGTATCGAGAAACACTGCTAATATCAAAGTATCTGTAGAGTCTGGGGCGGCGGGATCTACGAAGAAGATATATTCTACGACACCTGCGATGAATTAGGAATTCTAGTATGGCAAGACTTCATGTTCGCCTGTGGTTCATATCCAGTTTTCCCATCCTACCTTCAGTCAGTGGAGTCAGAGGCTAGAGCGAATGTTCGTCGCTTGCGGCACCATCCATCCATTATAATTTATGCTGGCGGCAATGAGAATTACTACATACAAGAGACATATGGTCTTAGCTATGATTACGAAGGCGACAAAGACCCACAGTCGTGGCTCAAGTCGACGTTCCCATCACGCTACATATATGAGCATTTACTACCCAGAGTCGTGTCTGAAGAATCATCCTCCGTTGTTTACCGTCCGGACAGTCCGTGGGGCGATGGAAAGCCGATTTTAGACCCCAGCGTCGGAGACATCCATCAATGGGAAGGTGTGTAGCTCAAAAGGTGTAGATATCGAAACACTAACGAAAAAATAGTTTGGCATGGCATTATGCGTCCTTATCAGACTTATGAACAGATCGGAGGTCGATTCAACAGCGAATTTGGAATGGAGGCGTTTCCGCATATGAGCACGATCATGCGCTTTGTATCCGACCCCAAGGAGATGTACTCGCAGTCCTTAACTATGGACTTCCATAACAAGGCACGTGGCTACGAAAGGCGACTTGGTGGCTATATTTTGGAGAACTTTAGAGTATCGACAACAGATTTCAAGGTTCGGCAGCAGGGTTTTCTTCCAACTTTTCTCGGCTAATAGAAGAATATGTAGTACTGGGTTTATCTTACACAACTTGTTCAGTCTGAGGCTATGAATTATGCCTACCGTGGGTGGCGTCGTCACTGGGGAAAGCCTTCCGCACGTCGGAGCGGGGGAGCCCTTGTGTGGCAGTTGAATGACTGCTGGCCTACAATATCATGGGCGGTTGTGGATCATTATCTCGTCAAAAAGCCAGCCTTTTACTCAATAAAGCGATCCATGGAACCTCTGTCAGTCAATGTTTTACGCAAGCACCAAGACTGGACTGCTGGCCATGCTTGCCCAGCTCTTGTTTCTCATTACGATATCTGGGTAGCAAGCAGCAAAACTACAATGGTCAAGGAGGCTGTATTGGAGGTAAGGTTTATTTCGATTCGAACGGGTCTCGATTCTTTTCCGCCCCAGAAACATGCAGTAAGGGTTCAGCCTAATAGCACAACCACAGTTTGCCAGGGTATTCCAATTCAGAACCCTGCAGGTCACGACACTTTCGTCATCTGTGCCAAGCTTGTAGTTGATTCTCAAGTCATAAGTAGGCACGCTGATTGGCCCCAGCCATACAAATATCTTTCCTTCGACGATGACCGTGGACTTGTGATTCGCTTTGAAGACGATTACCGCCATAAGCTTCGAGTTTCAGCTTCGAAACCAGTCAAGGGATTGGTTTTCAGCGAAAGACCTGGATTGAATTTCAGCGACAATGGATTTGATGTTATTCCTGGGGAAGAATATTCAATTGAAGTCAGAGGACTCCAAGAAAACGAATTGCTTGAGTGTATTTTCTTGGGAATGAAGAATTCATATATCAGTCAATGTTGTATGTATAATGTTGAATATGAGAGACCGACCTACCCGAATTGATGGAGTTAAAGATAAGTGCAGAGTCAATTCCACGATTTAGTCTATGCAGAATAAATTTTGTTTGACTTTTGGCACAAAGGTAAAATAAATTATAAAGACTTTTCATAAAACATGCTTCGGGAACAAAATTACTCTCCTGTCCATTCCGGATACTGGAATAAGATATCTGACCAGTTAGTTGCATCCCATTGCCATCCCTCGCTATACATGTTAAGCCCTAGTTCATATACTGTCCTATCAAATTCGTCATCAGTCATATTGTACAGTGCATCCGAAGGCACACCACAGGTGTGGTATATCCTAGCTATAAACTGCCTAGAGCGGGCAGCAGATGCCGACCAAGGGGCCATTCCCTTGAACAAAACAAGTGCCTTTTCAATACTAGCGCACCATCTACCAGACTCCAGGTGGTTTGGATCGATTATTATGCATAGGAGTATTACCAGAGTGAATTGGTATAAGACCCAAGCTGCACTCCAGACACGAAGTCTGTCGAGGGTATGAGTCGTGGAAACCATGTGGTCTATTGCTTCGCAGGCAATGTCCTGGCATTTTAGGATGGCTATTTGTTCGTCTTTCCTCAATAAGCTGAATGGTACTCTTCGGTTGGCATAGCTGAGTAGGAACGGCCGAAATAGTAGAAGCCGGAAAAGGTGGTATCGGTTATGCAGAGCACATTTGGCTGTCTCTGAAGTTGAACACCCCAGATCTAACGTACGCCACTCACTTGGGAGATTTTGAAACCACTCTCGTACTTCTGCATCGTATAAATTAACATCGCTTACTGTTATAGGATGAAACTGTGCAAAGCGGTGCTGTATTCTAGTGGCAATCATACAAAATCCTCGTGAACAATCGATTGAAAGCACAGCGGAATCTTTTTTCTCAACATCGCTAGGGCTTCGAACATTCATTGTTCCCGGGTCCCATCGGCCAAGAGTGGTTCGGCCAAGTGTCATAGAATTGTAGGTATCAGTACAGAACAGACACCACCAGATGTTGCGTCGGATTGTTGGTTTCCAGTTCAACCCCGTCCTTGCATTTATATTAATTGGCTCGCGGTGAAGCCCGAGAGCGATGGCCATACGAAAAGCAGCACCCATTATTGCATAACCCATGTTCGGAGCGTTTTTATAGTGGAGATAGTAACCTCCTAAAAGGCATAAAGCTTGGAGGCTTTCTACACAGCCATCGCCAAGAAGTTCAAAATCGAGATAGGATTTGGCTCTTGCGTAGTAAATCTCGTACGAATGGTCATCTGCGGTACTTGCAGCCAATGACCCCATCACTAATACCATATTCAACAATGCAAGCCAAGCTCGATCGGATCTATCTCCGCGCTTCCATTGCGAGAGGAAATCGGCCTCGTCCAATACTGGGCAAACTTCGTGGAACCGAGCAAAATATTCCATGATACACGTACTTTCGTCGTTTTGTGGAATAAAGTTTTGGATGTGAGGGCTCGGCAATGTCTCGTAGCCCGTCTGGACTTGTATTGGACCCTGGTTCACCAGGTCCCAGTTGCGGGTTGTTTCATGTTTCAGATCCGTCTGTATAGACGGTCTCAGCCTAATCATGGTTCGCAAAATCGCATGAGTGGATGAGAGTCCCATATAAGACCGGTGCTGAAGTCGCAAGGAGAGGCCATTCACATCATCGCACATCCCTCTCTCGGTGTCTTGCATCTCTTGTGGCTCATTCCACTTTCGTTCGTCATCAGCCTCAATGTCGAGGCTGAGTGGTTCGCTTACTGAAGTCGACCATGTTGGTAAGGACCCTCTGTTAGCCAGATGGAGTAATTCCTCTCGAGATAGCTGCGCCAGGGAGAGTGGGGATTGCGAAGGAAACAGCTTGTTGACCACGATATTTGCTGAAGTGACGGAACTGGTTTCAACGTTAGTGCATCTAGCTGACCTGCTTAATGCGTTAGTCAAGTCGCTTAAGATGGTGCCTGGCTGCATACTTGCGAGTAGAGGACTGCCGATGTTTTCGGAAGGAGTACTGGCAGTCCTGCACTTGGTAGTATACGCATTTGTCACAAGGCTGGCTTCCGTTGCAGGATATTTTGCGGCGTCTGCACTCGAGACATGACTTATTTACCTTCACATTGTCACCCACTAAAGGCACTGGAGCCGTAAATGCTTGAAGACTTGAGGAGTCCATATCCAGATTTGCACATATCAATACAAATCTATACAGCAAAGAGACGATTCTATACTACAGTCCCAGCGAAGCAGGGCCTATACTCGGCGAGCAAACATTTTTCCAAGTTAAATTCAGAAAATAGTCCTATTGTCGGTCTGGCAGCAATGACTGGGGGTAAGACTGCGCTAACGGTGTGTGGCGAAGTAATCCAAATTGACTTTCCCCCCGCATTCTCCCAGATTCCTGTAGATCAGGAATGTTACTGTCAACCCAGCCACATTCTCTTAGGATGAGCTGACTCATCCTACACTCTGTGAGATAATCGTTATTGGCATGCTTACTATAGTCGAATATGAGTACTCCATACCCCAACATTGCAACGACCGGATCTGGGCATCTCGAGAGCGGCAACCTTGAGCTATCAAACGTGCCGTCAGATCAAATCCCGACCGCTCTTGGATGCCTTGAAATCTGCGAAAGACTATCTAGGAACCACACCAACCTCGCGCTAGGACGGTAATATAAAAATGCCGTGTTAGTGCCGCTTATATCGCCGTACTAGGGTGGGTTTCAGGCGTCAAGGTTTAAGGTGTTCGCCCCTGTTCAAATACATGCAAAACCTATTATGTGATTGTCATAATATTTTAGTGGCGTCTAGCTCCACCCAAAAATGCCTATTATATATTCTTACCTCCGAGAAGGCAAACTAGAATACCGTGTAAAGACGATTGGGTTCAACTACACTTCGCTACATACAAACCATCACGGGGACACGACAAAGAGCCGCTCATTCCCGAGGGTATACGGGATCCAGTAAACTTCTGGCCCTATTCTATACTTTTGGCATCAACTCCCTTTTAGATTAATATCTGATAACCGCCAATATTTTATGAGAAGGCCTATATATTGCCAGAATATGACTACTCTCTGTCTTCATCAAACGACTAACATTCTTTTGACACGTTGACTATTTCGTGCTTAGAGGGCGTATCTTTAACGCAGGGATAATTATTCATCTGACTCCTTCCCGATATTTCGCCATTGCTATCTTCTCCGGTACACCATGGCCATATCTAGCCATGACAAGGAAGCCAAAACTACTGATCATGTGGAGGCTCTCACTTTTGAACTCGATGCCATCGACACCTTGCGTGGCGTTGCTGCGCTAAAGGTAGCGGAACGCCTAGAACCTGTGCAAAAACTGAGCAAAGGTATGGTGCAGCTTTATGTTATCTGCGGCTTTATGTTCCTCGGGGCGAGTCTTGGGGGGTACGACGCAAGCCTCATGGGCAATCTAATGGCCATGCCCTTCTTCCAAGCTGAATTTGATGCCCAAATTCTCGGCGCAAAAACAGGGCTTATCTCCAGTATGTACTCAATCGGCGCTGTGAGTGCATTGCCTTTCGTCGGACCCTGTGGAGACACCTGGGGCCGTCGTCCAGGTATTGCTCTCGGTTGTGTCATTGTTATCATAGGCACCGTTATTCAAGGCACATCTCACCACCTCCCTCAGTATCTTGCCGGCCGTTTCTTCTTAGGCTTCGGTGGGACCGTCGCCTCGGTAGTTCCAGCTTACATAGTCGAGATCGCTCATCCAACATATCGTGGGGTCATAGGCGGTCTGTATAATTGCTGTTACTATGTCGGTTCGGTGCTCGCTGCTATTGTGCTTCGTGGTTGCGTCGGTTATCAGTCTAACCAGTCATGGCTCATCCCGACCTGGTTCCAAATGGCTCTGCCCTCTATCCTCCTAATATCCATTTTTTTCTTTCCTGAATCTCCACGATGGCAGTTTTCCCATGGGCAGGTTGAAAAGTGTCGTGCCTCTCTCATCAAATATCATGGTAACGGTGACTCTGAGAGTTTGTATGTCAAGTTACAACTGCGCGAGTTTGCAGAGGAGCTAGAGTTGAATGGTGCCGATAAACGGTGGTGGGATTACCGTACTCTGTTTAATTCCCGGGCCTCCCTTTATCGAGTTATCCTTTGCGCCGTCTCCGTGCCGGCATTCAGCCAGTGGACCGGTCAAGCAGGCGTATCTTATTTCCTCCCTGCTATGCTTAGCACCATGGGAGTCACTTCCACACTTGTAGTTCTTGACATCAACTTGGGACTCGCAGTCGCTTCAGGTATTGCAGCTTGTATCGGCGCCAGTTGTATGGACTTTTTTGGGCGACGGAAGACGCTCATCACATGTTGTCTGGTTCTTGTTGTAATGTGGGCTGGCATGCTTGCATGCACAGGTACGTTCAATGCCAGCGGCAGCGATTCATCTGCCCGAGCATCGATCGCTTTCATATTCCTGGTGGGAATTTCCTTCTCATTTGGTTATACTCCTCTTCAGCAGCTCTATGCTGTTGAGGTTCTGAGATACGAACAGCGCGCCAAGGGCATAGCGTTTGCTGCCATGATGATGAGTGGTGCTTCTCTGGTTAACCTGTTCGCTACACCAATAGCGCTCGAAAAGATTGCATGGAAGACCTACTATGTTTGGCTAGCTGCATGCGCTGCCCAAGCAATATACTATTACTTCTTCATGGTGGAGACAAAGGGTCATACTCTTGAAGAGATGAACTATATATTCAACCAGAAGAATCCAAAGAAGGCTTCTCTGGAGTATAAAGACAATATTATCGAGGGCACCAAAGGGTAGTGCAATTATATAGCAACAGCTCCGACGCCCTTGATCAAGTGATAATGCCGTTATGTGGTGTGAATATTTATTATTTCTCACTTAGCTACTTATTCCTCGACAGTTGACCTCTGTTTATTTTTCTATAACACAAATGGAAGTATTATCACTGCTACTCGATTTTATTAATAATATATCAAGGGCAGCATGCTTCTGTATGAAGTTTCCATAAAAGAGATGTAGAATATGTAACATCATTAAACGATTTCAGTTCCAAGGTGAGTGCAATGACCTGGTTAATTCTCGTATCTAATATAAGGTATTCCTCAGCGTCATCTGTCCCATGAGGTGAGAATTGAGAAACGATGCTTTGCTTTTGTTCCTGGATAGAAGCCCGTACTGGTCTCATCATAATGTTACCGGCTTCTACACCAGATTGTCCACCGTGGCTGTGACTACTCGACCGTCGTGTCGCCGTTTTCCAGAACTTGGAGAGTAGCGGATGCAATGGTGATGTAGCAGTCACGGTGATGAAGTTTTTCGCTTTTATTATACTCTATAAAGTTATAATGTCAATTGGATAACATTGTTGCTCATAATGGCTTGTGTTATATAAATCCTACTGGTAATAGTTGCTCTCAAAGTCTTATAATTTGGTAATGGGTCTTCAGTTTTATCAAGGTTTAAATTTGCTGTACTACTAGTAGTAATAGTAGTTCTCATTGACCTGTTAAAGCTGGCTTCCATACTATCACCGCTATGCAGGATTGAACTCTATTTCGGTGGTGTATATGAGTAGTAAGAGAGATACTCCCAAGGCTGCTAAATAACTAAGCTACCACTTATATCCTAAAATTAAGCCAAGAAGAAAAAGTTAATAAAATGATAAAAAAAAGAATAATTTAACGCAGATCTTGCAAAATAAAACTCCGATACGGGGAATCGAACCCCGATCTAATCTGTTAAATGGATCCCATTTGAAAGAGATTGATGCTAGCCGTTACACCATATCGGATTGTTTTTTGTGGTCCTTAAAGACATAGACTTACCAATAATAATATTGCCCCACATTTTAATTGAATTAAAATAGTTAAAATGACAATAATCACATGTGGTGGGGTTAAGTTTGCTCTATTAATGTAATTAAATATCTTTAATAGGTGTGGGTAGAAACATTGGGAACGGCCATGAGTAGTTGGATTGCACATAATGAGAAGCTAGATAGAGAAGAAAGTGCTATAAATGCTAAGTACTATGATGAGAATATAAACTATATATCGCTGGTAAGTAGTTGTAAAGCTGAGAAGGATAATATTGTATGTAACTATCTCAAAATTACTTGCTGCACGCACCAATGCAAAATGCGGCTAACCTGAGCAACCGCCGTTTTAACCTTAGTCGATCGTGAGCAGAGGCTGTGCGGCATGAACAACACCTTGGGCACGCTAGACAGGGGGTTGTTTCGAACCTCCTCGAAGCTGGCTGTTCTTGTCCAATCGCAAATGCTTTGAGCCATGGAGAGCCATGGAGACCACAAGGTGTTAGGCTTCGCACCTCCAGGACTTTCGGCCCGCCACCAGAGCGTCTCCAACTGCACACACAGTCCACTCGATGGCCACCTACTGCTGAAAATACCGTTTCCACACAGCTTCCCTGTGACAAATCGATGGAACTCCGCTGTGATTACTCCAGGTACAGGTGCTCTTGTAGGTTTCAGCCTTGCAGTTGCTGCAACGCCGTTCGGACCCCACGACGGTTTGAAATGACATGGCTGGAGACCGCTGAGTCTAGATGGGTGGTAGCATAACGCTTTATATTTCAGTTGCTTGTGTCTTCTTTGATTCCGTTCCTTTAATACCTTTTGTTTGCACGCTTATCACGTCCAAAGCTACGACGGTATGGATAAAAATTCAGATCCTGTGACGACCACAGAGGACGCACGCGCAGTCATTGAAGAGCTAGCGCGGCGCAAAGGGACCTTCACACATGCATTCAGGCGAGAAGCAAAAGAGGAGGCCAAAAATGGCCGCAAGGGTATGCTGCAAGCAATCGAAGGCAGCGAGGAGATTCGAGAAGACCTGGCAAAGGCATTGAAAATGTGAGAGCCCCTCCGTGGTCCCCTACGACGTTCTTTATGTAATGGAAATAACTCTCCCTTAGCATATCAACCGACCTATACGCGAGCCGCGCGCGGTTCCTGATGGAAGTCATACAGAATGCCGACGACAACAAGTATGCAGAGGGCGAGACGCCAACACTGTCCATCACCGTATCTCCCAAACATGTCAAGATCGAATGCAACGAGGAGGGCTTCTCCAGAGAGAACATTCAGGCGCTATGTCGGACGGGCCGGAGTTCCAAAAGACCTGGCCAAGGATACACGGGCGAAAAGGGCATCGGTTTCAAGTCCGTCTTCAAGCTCGCTAATCGGGCACACATACGCTCTCCCCCTTACTACTTTCAGCTGGATCAGACGAGAGAGCTTGGCATGATTACGCCGCAGTGGGACGAAGACTACTTTGACGACCACGAGGAAGAACATCAGACGACCATTGTCCTGGACCGCATCTGCGACCAGAAAACAGACTTTTCAACTGCGCTAAAAAAGGACGTTAAAGCAATCGACCCTGTCCTTATTCTTTTCCTGCGGCGCATAGAACGATTCCATCTCACGCTCTTCAAGTCCTTCTCGGATGATGAGCCGGCCATCTCAAAAAGTTTTCGGCGCCTCAACTGGACGCCCGATTCTGGCATTGTGTCGCTCAAAGACGAAGATGCCAACACGATGCGCCACTTGTACAAACACCGATTCACCACTGATATTGACGGGATAGAAACCCGACGACTAGGCATTACAGAGACCGACATTGTACTGGCCTTTCCGGTGGAGAAGAAATCGGGCACGTATATACCCTCGATACGGGACCAAAACCTTGCCTTTGCATATCTGCCTCTTGGAGACTTTGGGTTCAAGGTGCGGTACGTTATGATGGCTCGAACGCTCCTGCTAATGCTGTGTACAGTTTGTTATTCAGGCCGATTTCCTCACCACGTCGAATCGTCAATCGGTTGACGAAGATAACTATTGGAACAAAACCATTGCAGACGCGATTCCGCATGCCTTTGAGGCAGCTATCGACGAGTTCAACAACAATGGCGGGAACTCAGACTTGGACGAGCTAGCAAAAATGTGGCCGCTCTACCTCAGTCACAATACTAGCATCTCGAGCTCTTACTGGCGCAAAATAGCGAAGAGAATAAATAAGCGCCTCAGCAGAGCGTTCGTCATCAAGGACCGAACCGGCGGGGTCCAGGTGCCAAAAAATCTCATGTTCTTGGACTGGACGCACGATCGCAATGGTAAGCCGATGTTTGGGCAGATGTGCGACTATGTCTCCCCCTCTTATCCCGAGTCGGTCCGCGAGGCGCTCTTGTTGTTGGGTGTCACTGCCCCTGACTGGAAGTGGTTGTGCGACAAGCTTCAGGAGCTGCATGATAAAAACTTGCTTCACATTAGGATGCGAAGCAAAGAGTGGTGCTCGGATCTCGCCAAAGTAATTCTCGAGCCACAGGAACCCAGGGGCAACAGAAAGTATGCAAGAGACCTGAGAAGCTTTTCTCTGATCCCCCTGGCCGACGGCACCTGGCGGTGTCCCCCCTCTGAAGATGATCCAATCTACTTTCCGGCGAGCTTGGGGACGGTCATTCCACCTGGACTGCCATTGTCTCTGGTCGACGAAGAAGCTTGCGCTTGCCCCAAGAGGAGTAAGCTCTTTCGACTCCTTGGAGTAGAGGACTGTGACGTCCCAAACGTCGTCAAGCGGATCCTCGACTATCACGCCAAATTTAACTCAGCAATGCCTGATCATCTCATCGCCCAGCTAAAGTACCTCTACAAGATGCGAGAGCATCTGCTGCCCGGCGACATGGACAAGGTATACTTTGCCTGTTCCGCCAGCAAGCACCTCCAAAGGGGCACATCGTCATATGCCGATATTTCTGTTGATGGCGAGCTGCAACAGCTTTTCTCCGGTTCCAGCGACGCAAATTTTCTGGACGGCGACTACTTTGCAGAACTCGATCCTTTTGAAAGAGCCAAGCTTGCAGAGTGGTTGAGTGAGACAGCCAGCGTGGCGTTAGCCCCTCGCTTCATCTCAACTTTTTCCCATGGGCTGCACAGAGACTTTAAATGGCTGTTGGCTAATAAAAGTGACCAGGTCTTGGCTATCTTGCGTCAGCACTGGAGTCTTTATAACAAGTGCATGACTAAAAAGGCGAAAGACACACTAGCAAGCCATGAATTCATGTGCAAGTCGGGAGATCGTGCTGCTTTGCGCAAGACCTACATCCCTTTTCCCAAACTTGTAGAAACGACACAAGTGTTTGGTTACGCCGACGACTGCCATTTCCTGGTGTTGCCTAGCGGTGACCCAAAGGACTGGAAATTTTTATCCAGCTTGGGTGTCGGACTGGATGAGGGACTCGACTTTTATTTGTGGATACTCAACCAGAGCGGCTTCGGGGACCACATAGACGTTGACAAGTCAAAACTGCTTTACCTAGCGATCCAGTCGCGAGCTTTCTCGCCTATTGAGCAGCTGAAGGTCAAGTAAGTGTACACAGCTGTTTGAACGGTGGCCCTCGTTCCAGACGCTCAAACAACCCGGAGCCGACTGATAATGCTGACTGTCGCCAACAGGGAAGCGTTTGGTAATCATTTGGTCAATCTTCCGAACGGCAAGTATGAGTGCCTGGAAAGCTGTGTCTGGCAAGGACCCAAGGGATTCTCGTCCAAGCCTGCCTTACGCCCAGTCTACGGCCATGAACTGGATCGGCTTTTTCGAGAGATCTTGGAAGTCCCAAACGCGACGAGTGCCGAAGTTCAAGAATATCTTGAACAGCTTGGGCATGATAGGTCGACGACTATGGCAGATGTCACTGAACTCTATGTGTTTCTACAAAACCACTGCGCAGACACGTGAGTAGAGTGCAGAATGCTGGATGAAATGTTGCTGATCGAGAACAGGTTCAGCGTCGATGACCAAACCGCCTGCATTGCCGTGCCATCTTTACCGGGGTCTGCCCTCGAGTGGAAAACGCCGGCTCAGTGCGTGTGGGACGACGAGGAGTTTTCGCAGAATGAGCTCGAGCTAGAGAGTAAGACCGCCATTCGTCGCACCGTAGAGCAGCATGCACCGACAGCAAAAGCCTTCTTCACCGACGTTCTCAAACTCCCAAATGCTGGCATCCATGAACTGCTTGCCGATTTGTCATTGATGCAGAAAAAGAAGCGCGACGATCCGAAGCGAGTGCATTTGCTCTATGAGAGAATTGAGAGCTGCCGTCGCCGCTGGCCAGACACTATAAGGCATGTGTCCACACCTAGCGCGCGACAATTGGCTGACCGTTTCCATAGAAGAGCTTTCAGGAAGTCCCCCCTCGTGTTTCTTCGTGGTGTCAACGACCAAAGCGGCCGGTGGCTGTCACTCAAGGACTGTATCTGGACCCGGTCGGTTCTGCGGTACAAGCATGCCCTCATGCCTTCGTTGAATCAATATCGTGACCTGTTCCGGGATACGTTGGAAGTGCCGAATGCAACCATGGACATGCTGGTCACTGACTTGCTAGAATCACTAACGGACTACCCCATGGAAGACGAGGACGGTTACCAGTACGTAAAGGAGCTTCTGCAAGAGATTGCCCGCCTGCGGCAGAACAATAAGGAGCTAGAACGGCTGGACGACATAGAATGCTGGCCTTGCCACACGCCAAATTGCCCGCGTGACCTTTGCTCGATTGGAAGTTTCTACGTCAACGACCGGCAGGATCTGTTCGACATCTTCTCTGACAGTTATACCTTTCTCGACTTCGATTTTGACACCTCAAGAAGAGTTGCAGATTTGCTTCGTAATCGAGGCTGTGACTCGTTTCTGTCCGAGAACGTTTTTATAGACACGGAATCTTGTGAACCGCTTGAATACGATCATGACCTCACACAGGATTTTCGAAGCCGTGCAGATGCACTTGTAAAGTACGCAATTTCATCATCCGATTGGACACTATGCTTTTCATGCTTACGCTGGTATAGATATTTTGAGTACGTCAAGTGCGAGTCCTCTTATGAGCTTCGGACGCTTCTTGAAAACGTCGCGGTCTGGATGAGTGCAGACATTAAGACGCACTATACATTGGAAGGTAATACTGTGACGAAAAGCGAAGGAGGTTCCAGTGTAAAGGTCAGCCTTGGAGAAGATGAGACTGCCAAGCTGGAGATTTTCGTCTCAGCGAACAAGCATGCGCGCGATTGTGCGCTCATCACAGACATTCCAGAGCAGCTTGTAGCGGCACTGGAGCTTGAACCGGCCGATCTCCCAGATCTTCATCCCCTCCTGCGGGTGCCACTCGCCTCACTGAAGGCCTTGCTGATCAAAAAAGGCATCACTGGCGGGGACACTGCAGACGATAGCGAAGAGACTTTGGTGGCAGATTCAGTCAACGAAGACTCGCTGAGCCAAAGTGATGGCAGCTGTCATGATAGTGGTGACGACGCATCGACGATGTCTGCAAGCGGTGTTAGCTCGGATTCCGAAGGGTCAGCTATCGTACAGTGTACGCGTGCTTCAGCGAGGTCTGAGGCTGCAAATACGACTCTGCGACCACATATGCATCATCGACCTAGCTTTAGGCCGACCACGCCTCAGCTTCAGTCGCAGTATCATCTGAATTTACCTTCCGACGAGAGCCCTCGCGAGCGACCAGTCACGCCCCGTCCCACGGCCGCTGGTCTTTACAGCACAGATAATCGCAACCGGAACAGGGCATTGATTCAAGGCTTCGCCCTAAACGCGGACCCTGCATCCAGCTCTGGACGTGGGAGGTCCAGCGGCCAGTCTGGTGGCGGCGGTAGTGCCATCGACATGAGCACATTGAGGGAGGCCCTCGAGGCCGCTGAGCCTACTCTTGTGTCGACGCCGATTCAGGTCAATTCTAACCCGCGCCGATGGGCAGGGCCGATTCCAAATCGTAACGAGGAGGAAATGGCCCGTGATTTTGAAGTCGGCTTTTTGGGGGAACAATTTGTAAGCCCCTTAGACAGTCTGACTTGCCACATCTGGCCAGATCAGAAGCTGACTCTTGTCCAGGTATACACCTTGCTACACGATACGCTCGAGTTGCCCGACTTCACGGGCAAGGACAACTGGACCAGCTCGCTGCGCTCTCGTGCTGGCTTCTCGACCTTTGGCCGCGAAGTGTCGGATTTTACCTATGAGGACACGCAGGGCTCCCTAACCCGCCACTTTCTGCGGATGCAGCACCCGTACGCGACGCCAGAGTGGCTGTCCACGGCTTGCGACAATGGTAATGTGCCTCTGTACCGGCTAGAGGTCAAGAGCACAACCAGCCAAGATCCTACTACTACCTTTTATATGAGTGGACGTCAGTACGAGTTGGTAAGCTTTTTCAAGTCACACAGCAAGTTAGCAGACCTTTGGGCTAAAATATTGACTAGGCAAAGAAGCTGCGCGTCACTTCGGCGACGCCGTCAGAGGTCTACGTTGTTCTGCGCATCTCGGGCTTGGATGCATTGGAAGATGGAGCAGGACACCGGCCGCAGTGGAGAGTGTATTTGGATCCATACACGCTCAGCGAAGAGGGCGTACTGAACTTTTTTGCGCCGACGTATGCCGTCAGGGTTACTGCGTTGAACGGTTTTGCATGATTCGATCTATATCCTGAGAGACGGGACAATTGAGTCGATTTGAATGACCGCATCTGAGCGCACCCCCCCTTATTGGGGATTATTCAATCTACGTAACGAAGTGGTTGATCCGTTTGACAGCAGGGCTGTATTGCCGCAGTAAAGATAACCATTTAACGGCAAATATCATATGTAAGGCACAGAGCACTTCGCGTAAGCGAGACCAGCCGCTTCGAATGGGCGTATCAATTATGTGTAGTAGTCTACATAAGCCCTACATCTTTTATAGTTTAAATAAATGAATAAAATTACAAAGCATAAACAGGCACTTAAAATAAAAAACACCAAACATACAGCTACCAATAAGATGATATTATTAAAGCAACATGCCACAACTACCACAATAAATAATAATATTCATGCCTTATCAGTGCCACTACTACCAAAAATGGTGTCTCCTGACGACTTTTTTTAGTGGCCTTGACACCTAAAGGTACATTCAAGCTGAAAATTGGCTGTAATGACTGCTGCGACGTATATTACTGTAGTTGAGATGGCCTGGTAATATCTAACTCCAATACGATAGATATTCAATGTTTTGTTGTAATCTGGAACCCCTACTTTCTTAATGTACTTGTAGTTTGCTTTAAGTTTCTAAGTTTATAATTTAACATTTGTATAATTAGGATTATTAATATGTCAAATGTTAACTATATACTCGTGAGCTGCATACTTAATCTTCGATCATTCAAATCACTGATATATTTATGATATGGTATGCCCATCTTCTCTTCCAACAGGCCGGTCTAGAGCCATCGGAGGCGTCTCTCCTTGCTTCAGGAATATCTGTCATACTAATTTTCGACATTACAATTCCTGCTACGATATATGCTGATAAATAGGGCCTTCAACATATCATAATCTATGGCGGCGTTGGGCTTGGTATTACATTATTTCTGATTAGCAGTCTTTATATTAGTAAAAATGTTTAGAGCAATTTTGGCCCTAATCACTAGATAGTTGTTATATCAATATATCAATTTATCTCTTTTACTATAATCTACTATATATCATGGACTGCTAGGATCAAGATCTATGCCACTAAAATCTAATTTTAAATAGACATGCGTTGCAGCAACTAGTCTCGCTTACAATTGTAATTAGGCGACAAATTCTTAATAGCACTCACTACGCCTATTTCACTGGCTTAAAACAGTTTTAGCATTTACTTTATGTTCAAAAGATATCCTCTGTTAAATTTATTTATCTGTACAATATTTATTCCTGAAACAAGAGGCAACAATCTCTGTAATGTAACTGGTTGCTGGTGCCACCCAGAAAGAATATGGAGATGCTAATATAGATGTGTTACCTAGAACAAAAACTAAATATAGAAAATGCTCCGAAGCAAATCTAAATATGGGAAATGCTATGAAGCAAATACAGAATAGAAATTAATGATGACGGCATCGATTCCTAAGCCTTGGCCGGAAGTTAAAGCATTTGAAATCAGTGGTAGCTGAAGGCTCCGTCTATAGCTCTGGATTTCTCTTGGTTGATCCATCGATGTGTGGCACCCCAGCAACCGATGCAAGAACTTCACTCACCAAACATATGCGAGGCTCTTCAGGGATACAATTACTTTTCTGCGGCTTGCGGAATCAGCATGTCGGCTCCAATAAAGTGCAGACTCTCTATCGCGTACAGCCGCAGAGCCACCGGCACTAGTTCAGATGCACCTAGAATCGATAGCGGCCAGATAAGAATGTGACCGGATGCCACTATGCGGGGAGACTGAATCTGTGCCGGGAGACTCTGCCGGAACTGAGGTACAGTGGCACAAATCTCGGAGGCCATCATTTCAATAGTTTCTCTCGCAGTAGAACAGAGCAGTTCGTGTGTGGCACAGGGTGCTCCCATGCAAGCATACTTGTAGATGATCTCGTTAAGCATCAAACGGGTCATTCGGATGGTATTCCATAGCTCTATTATACGATGAGTTTGGTTAATGTGCCGTTTCCCTCCGTCTTTTGGAAGACACCTATCTTGCGTGCAGATAGAACTATAGCACCACTCAGGAGGCACCGATGACGCAAACAGGACCACGCTGTCATCTAAGTCCTTGGCAAGGCAATTGATTTCCTCCGGGTCAGTCAGCTCTCCATACCTGATTGCAGCTTGGAGATTTGTCAATCCCTCTATGGCAGTGGAAAATTGCAGTACATAATTGCTAATGTCAATAAAGCAGGCAACTGATTTATGCAACTCTAGGAACTCTGGTGGGATGCGAATTCGTTGCTGAACACAGCCGACATGGATATTCTTCCCGACCTGTTTGTAGAGCTCACCACCCAGTGCAGACCTAAACTGTTCTGGTTGGCGCAGTTGAAGCAGGGCGACAGCGCCTTTCATGTGCTTCAGCCAACTGTCGCACGAAAAAGGCTCCTCTTGTGTAATATTCTCAAAAAGGCTCAAAAGTAAGACAGAAATGAGCGTGCCATCTTTTACAGCTTCTTGCCGGGATTGGACTGCATGATTCGTCTCCTGGAGGGCGCGTATGTACTTTGTTCTGGCAGCCGTCATCAGCCCGCGAGATCTCCTCTCCTGCGACAAGCTGGCAAGCGCTACGGCTTCGAGGGAGGTTAATAATGGATCGCGCACAACGACTCTCTCACATAGCTGAGCGAGATATTCGAAATTACCGCCCATTATGTATGACGACAAGAAGAAGGACTGTGCATAGCTCTCGATGGGTAGGTCGAGCACCGTGTCCCTGTGCAGTTGCAGTGTTTTTACCAAGGTTCCTAGAGAAGAAGAATATCGGCCCGAGCTCTGGGAAGACCTGGACAGCAGCCGGGATGTTTTCAATGCCCTTTGCCGGACCTTTTTAGTTTCATCGTGAAATAAGAGATCAACGATATTCCGATAACCGGGGCACACAGACGATGCGTTGATACACTGAGTGCATGCCGGCCTGCGTTGATCACACTACTCTGAGTTTAGTGAATATGTTCTCCGATACAGTGGAATCGACATATGCGTACTCTCATCCTCCGAAGACGACAGCGCTCACAGTGTCTGGATGGCTTTCCACAGAACACCATGGCCGAGGAAAATATATCGATGTTGAAGCGTACGACCCACAATCCTCATAGGAATGGAAAGAGGCAAAACACAATAGAAGAAAATTAAGGAAATATGCCGTGCTGCTGGACTAACCTGATTGCCGTCATCCGAGTTGGAGCGGCGTTGTCTCCCTTTTCCGCTTTGCTCCCTTCACCGCCTTGGATGAATTAGTTTGTTTAATTGGATTAGACGACTGATAAGCTTTGTAACCAGGTAGGCAGCGTTGCTCTTGAAAAGGCTAACCGACCCTTCATAAATTTCGGGCCGGGCGCAGCGCGACCCCCTCAGCTCAACGATAATCGGCCACTCGAAGCAAATCCAATCGTGCACAATTTGAAGCTATTCGCGCGTATATAAGTAAAAAATATTAAATAAAAAGCGATAGGTTCAATTTCTAGCTATTATTTTTCGCCCTAGATAAACGTTGACGAAGTTGTTTCATGACCAAATCCCATTTCTTCTTCAACGTTTGTAGTCTCTTCCTCTATACGCTTTATACGAGATAATTCCAAAGAGGATTGGATTCCTCTTCAGCAATATGATTTCTTGAAGATAATTTTCGAAGATTTTGAGCATGTTGTGCAGCCATACTTTCGTCCAATTGCCGCTGCAATTGTCCGAGTAAATGCGCTTGAGAAATTGCACCCTGTTGAAGCTCTTTTACTATCTTTGATATGCTGGAGTATAGAGGTCATGTCGATCTAATTCTTGCGCTCTTTTTTCAAATTAATCTGCAGTTGTTGGTGTAGTAAATGGCGAAGAAATAGGCTGTCGGAGGTTACTTACCTCTCCTATTCGGCTCCATCAAGCTCCGAGAGCGGTATTACAGGATCCCTTTGCAATTGATTCGAAGTCTTTCATCCTGTTACCGAGTTTATCCACCTCGTGTGGGAATTATGCTCATTGTATAAAAGCGTAGGATCAGTAACGTAGCTGGGTAGTTTTGGCGCTATGCCTAGTGTCGCGTGCATTCGACCATGACGAAGGTTAAGGATCCAACTCTAATTTTGGCGCTATGCCTATTACCGTGGTGCATTTCGACGCTAACTTAACCATCGGGAGTTTGTTCTAGACTCTTATCATTGTGTCAGGCTACAATTTCCTATAAACCGACCTGATCGATACATTGGTTTTTCTAATTCTAGATGCTAAATAAGCAGACGAGGGGATAATACTAAATGTCTTGCCGTTTCTACACGCTGTGCGTTCGATGTGTCGATCCACCTTGCATAGATCTCTGTAGCTTGTTCGAGTTATTCATGATTGTCAGGAAGCTCAATTAATTACTAGATGTCGCCAAGCTGGGCGAGATCCAAAGTTCATGGGACCTAGTTCATATGCCACGAATCAAGGAGCTATAAAGTCTAATACCTAGTCAAATGTGGCGGTTTAAGCTCGAACCACTACGCTCACAATTGCGCACAATCGTATTCCGTTGGCTATCGGCGGCCGTGCTGACGCGACGAGCGTGACTTTCTAATACATAATTATTAATTGATTAGCAATCATGTTTTTTGGTGGTGGTTGTAGAGGTGGGTTCTCTTTGTGTAAGTATATGAATCAGGCAAGGCACTGTATGGAAGTATCGTTAGAAGGGAAAACACATCCAAGGACATTCTCTTCCACGCCCATTCTCAGTTCCTATTTAAAATTACTCTTTCATTCAGAAAACAGAACACCAAAAATATGACCGAACCCAAGACGTCTGGGAAGATTGCTATTATCACCACTAGCACCCGCACTCCACGGGTTGGCCCAAAGGTCTCAGCTTTCATTCACGAGATGCTGCTTATGGAGTACCAACAGCATCAACCGGCCCTCTCCTTGACTCTAGTAGATGTGGCCGAATTCAAGCTTCCATTATTCGATGAACCGGTCTTACCGGCCTTGGTGCCAGCGCAAGCGTCATTCATATACGAGCACAGCAAGAAATGGAGTACCGAAATCGCCCAATATGACGGCTACGTGTTTGTGATTCCTGAATACAACCATGGAATGTCGGGGTCGACTAAAAATGCCGTCGATTATCTCTTCCATGAGTGGGTCGGGAAGCCTGTTCTCATCGTCTCCTATGGGACCATGGGCGGAGCGAACGCATCTAAGCAATTCAAGGACGTCCTCCAAGGCATGAGACTGAAAGTGTGCGCTACGTCGCCCACTCTGCCTTTCAAAGGTGGCATAGTTGATCGGACTGAGGGCTTCGCGGCCGGAAAATCGGGCATTCTGGGAGAAGCTACTCGTGGGGAGTGGGAGGAGAACAAGAAGGAGGAGATCTTGAAGGGTTTCGGGGAACTGCTAAATCTCCTTTCTCGCCAAAACTGACGAAAATACTTATTCCATACTAGTAATTTTTCGTCTTTTGTTCCTGGTAGTCAATGTTTTTTTTTGCAGAGATGGAAATCCATTGCAATAGGTAGCTGGTTCAAACAGACAAGATTAGAAACTGTGATTTAAGTTATTGCCTTAGGCTATCTACTGTTGTATAATGTATTTGCATCTCTACTTTCTCTTATTTCTCACCAGTGGTACGCCGCTCTGAAAGCTCGAATCTACTCAAGATGGTTGTACGATGGCGAATACATGTACGCTCGTCCCGCGCATTTCTGCGAAACGGGTTGAATCTGGCCTCGTCTGAATATCGGCCAGAATTTCCTTTAGGGTCGTAGAAGGTAAATTACAACTTTAGTCAAAGTTGTGTCTCCTCATTGTATTATTCTATTCTCGTTATGCATTCTATTTCGCTTAAAGATGTATTCGGTTTTATATATATAGTATGTAGCTCTTTCGCTATTAGCTAACTAGTCAATAGATATTTGCAGCTTGTTAATTCGATATATTCCGTAATGCTGTTAGAGTGACGAATAGTTTCTTCGATCAAACTGTATTTTCGAAGAAATATTTCAAGGATTGATATTAATTAACACCCCCCCCTTCCTTTTCAGGAATCAAGTTTGATTAATTTTCGATATATATATATCGGAAATATAGGTGTGGTAAGTAATATGCTGTTGAGTTTGCTTTGGATCATATTCCACTTAATTTTATACAGCAACTTGAAAGAAAGGAATTATTGGGTATTATACGGAAATTAAGTAAAGACTTTTTGAACAAAAACAATTCAGTACATATGTAGAAGACTGACCCTAGTGGTGACAATGGATGTGATCTTTCGTTTCTTTTCAATGTCGCTATTTATAGTAAGTGCAAGGCGTGCAATAAAGAATTGAATGAGACTTTAAACTTAAAGGCAAAGCTCTAAGATTTTCCGTGGGGCTCATGGTATTATACAAAGCCGTTTTCAATGTTATATATATTATATAGGATTAGTTTTTCTATTGATTAGTCTACATGTAACTATATCTAGGTCGCTTATCTTAGCATCCAGTCGTTTAATATCAGCAATATATGGGGATTATTAGAACAGTGTACAGATATTGATTGTGGTAAGAAGTAGATTATACTGATCAAAAGGCCTTTGTTTGTATTTCTAGGTTTATCTAGCTGTGTCAAAATAGTGGCGAAAGTCTAGGCGTCGTGGTCTATAACAGAATTCGTTATCTCGGAATTAAATCTCGGAATTTCGGTGTTGGTTTGGAATGGATTTTCGTTGGTTCGGAGTTCAATGTTGAATTTCATCTTATCAACAATCCTTAGTTGCACCACTCAATATTAGTGCAAACATACTGTATATCCGATAGTATATCGGACCAATCTTTCTGTTAAATTAGCTCCGAATGGCGTCTTCTTCGCCGCCAATGAGCAGCGGCCGACCCACTCTGAAGCTAACTAGCCCATTCTATGATGGATGATTCGAGGTTGCATTCAAGGTTGCCTAAACACGACTACGCTCTCAAAAGAGAACGGAGACTCTGTTTGCTCCAGCAACAGGAACTCAACTCGAGAGCAAGCTGTTAACGTGTGCAGGTGTCCGAAATGCCGTTCACTACGGGAGAGGGGAACCTGCTCCAGCTGAACCAACAGAACTTCGACTTCAACATACAATTCGAGCAGCTGTTCTTCTCTATCATACCGTCTGTTTTGTTCATCCTAACATCGTTATGGCGGACGCTTTCCCAGGCACGGAAGCCTACCGTGGTGAATGCTCCGGTTTTCCAGCTCATCAAATTGGTACGATCTGATCTACTAGGCACAGAACTGCTGATTAATTAGCCACAGGGCGTTATCACCGCATATGTCGGACTTGAGCTTTCGCTTCTTATTTTGGTTGCGGTCGGGTCTTTCCAAGTAACCAACATGTTTATAGCTTCATCGGTCCTCAATCTTGTGTCTGCACTATTCATGATACTGCTGAGTACCGTTGACCACCGTAGAAGCCCGAGGCCGTCCGTGTTGCTAAACAGCTATTTGTTTCTGACTCTACTCTTGGACGTGGCTCAGGCAAGAACACTGTTTCTGTCATCTGATAACAAGCCTGAACTCTCATACAGCAGCATATTCAGTGCTGCCATCGCTTTGAAGACTGGAATATTAATATTGGAAGCCCAACAAAAATCTAAATGGCTAAACTGGGACGAAAAGGAACATAGCCCAGAGGAGACGAGTAGCATCTTCTCTCTTGGCGTTTTTCTATGGCTGAATAAGATGTTCTTAAGAGGATACAGGAAAATTCTGACCCTCAAGGATCTTTATCCCCTTGATAGCTCCTTCAACTCCCAATCACTTCACGACGAATTCTCCAAGAACATGGATTATTCTAAATTAAAGGGCGACAAATATGGCCTTGTTAAAGTACTCGCACGCACGCTAAAAGTCCCTCTTTTGCTTCCCATACCCCCACGCCTAGCACTTCTTGCGTTCACATTTTGCCAACCACTTTTTATTGAAAAATTGCTGGATTACCTATCCCAGCCCAACCTCGATCCGAATATCGGTTACGGGTTTATCGGCGCTAGCATCCTGATTTACTCTGGAATTGCTATCTCCACGGCCTTTTACTGGTATGTAAAAATGCAACCTAATCGCCAGTAAGACCGCTACTTATACACAAATATAGGTACTTCCACCACCGGACACGTACTATGGCAAGATCTATATTAGTCACCGAAACATTCATCAAAGCTACAAAATCCCGTATCGGAACTGGGGATGACAGCGCCGCACTGACTTTAATGAGCACGGATATGGAGCGAATCCAAATGGGCTTCAGGGCAATGCATGACATTTGGGCGAGCATAATCCAGGCTGCCCTGGCTGGATGGATGCTCTACGAACGGCTTGGCATAGTCTTCGTCGCACCCATGGGAGTTGTTGTACTTTGTTTCGCAGGCCTGGCTATCCTTATAAAATACACCGGTGACTCGCAGAGGGCCTGGATGGCAGGGGTCCAAAAGCGTGTTGGACTGACGGCTACGGTTATAGCCAGTATGAAGAGCTTGAAGATATCTGGCCTCTCTTCTGCCGTCAGCAACTTCGTTCAAAGGCTCCGCGTCGAAGAGCTAGCGGCTGGTGCTCAATTCCGCAAAATAGTTATTATTGCGGCGCTCCTTGGCTTTACTCCGCAGACGATCGGTCCACCGTTAACCTTTGCATTTACTCAACGAACACTGGATGCGTCGAGGATGTTCACTAGTCTTTCTTTCCTTACGCTTTTGACCAACCCGCTGTCGCAGATCTTCCAAACCATCCCCCAATTCATCGCCGGATTGACATGTTTAAGCCGAATCCAGGCCTTCTTGGAGTGCGAGACTCACAATGATTTCCGGCAAGTTCTTGCTGATATGAGGCACAATGCAGAAAAAGCCCAGCTGCTCACCGCAATTCCATCTGATTCAGAATCAGACACGGCGGACCCTATTGTCATTGAGAGCGGAAATTTTGGTTGGGAAGCAGACAAGTTCGTCTTAAGAAACGTGAGTACTCGTGTGTCCAAATCATCGTTAACTATGGTCGTTGGATCTGTTGGCTCAGGCAAATCTACGCTCTGCAAGGCACTGCTTGGAGAGATCCCATTCAGCCAAGGCAGCGTAGTATTAAGCACTAGGTTGCCCCATGTTGGATTCTGTGACCAAACAGCATTCCTCTGGAACGGTTCGATTAGAGACAATATTGTTGGATTCTCTCTATTCAATAATGAAAGGTATAATGAAGTCATCCAGGCCACATCTCTAGACTTCGACTTTGCCACGCTCCCACAGGGAGATCGATCGAATGTCGGATCTGATGGAATTGCCTTGTCCGGGGGCCAGAAACAACGCGTTTCTCTCGCACGAGCTCTGTATTTACATTCTGATTTGCTAGTATTGGATGATATCTTCAGTGGTTTGGATGTGGACACTGAAGAGCAGGTTTTTCAACAAGTTTTCGGACCAGACGGGCTGCTGAAACGACGACGCTCTACGGTCGTTTTGTGCACTCATAGTATCAGGCATCTACCCGCGGCAGATCACATAATAGCGCTCGGAAATGGCACGGTTTTCGAACAAGGAAGCTTTGAGCAACTGATGGCCAGTCAGGGATATGTTCAGAGTCTGGGGTTGAGTGGCTTTTCCGACAGCGATACTGCATCCGAGAAAACGATATCTTCTCAAAAGATCGCACAAGAATCAAACCCACTACAGCTAGATACAGCGACAACTAATAATTCTTCTCGTACGCAAAATTTGGATACCTCGCGACAGGTTGGCGATAAAACGGTATACAAACATTATTTTAAGAGCATGGGACTCTTCTTAGCCGCATGTAGCTTCTTCTTCGCTGCTCTTTGGGGCTTTTTCACGAACTTTCCAACAATCTGTGAGTTATCTTTCCTGTACTCGAGAATTTCCCAGGGATTATTCGCTAACTCTACTTATCTAGGGCTTACATACTGGACTGATGATGTCTATTTGGAACATCCGCGGCACTCCTGGGCATACTACGCAGGGATATACGCATTGCTTCAAATATCCGGTATGATATCGCTGCTTCTCCTTGGAATCGCGATCTTCATTGTCTCTGTAAAACGAGCAGGCGCTCGTCTCCACCAGGATGCCTTGCGAACCCTTATTCGAGCACCACTAAGTTTCTTCACCAATACGGATACCGGTGTTATTACAAATCTATTTTCGCAAGATTTGAACCTTATAGACACAGAGTTGCCAGATGCAACCTTGAATACTCTCTTTAGTGTAAGTTCCATTCACATTGCTATTTTCTTTGAAACATAAGGAAGGCTCCAGGAGTCTGACCCGGTAGTTGTAGCTCGCTCAAGCAGTCGGACAAGCGGCTGTTATGCTTACTTCGTCGGTGTATTTGGCTATCAGCTATCCGCTCCTTGGTATCTTATTATATGTCGTGCAAAGGTTCTACCTACGGACTTCCAGACAGCTACGACTGCTAGATCTTGAGGCTAAAAGTCCTTTATAGTAAGTTTTACTCTACCACCGTCATATAATAGACGGCAGTTATGTTCTATTCTAACCTGCATCTTAGTACGCATTTCCTCGACACTGTGAAAGGAATTACAACTTTGAGAGCATTCGGTTAGTAGCGTGTGAAACTACAACGATATCTAATCAAAAGATTGTTGTATTCAAGACTTATATTGTTGCTGAAAGTTGAGATATAGGTTTTATTCCTAACGACGTCGAGAAAAATACTCGCCTAATAGATTCCAGTCAAAGGCCCGCGTATCTCCTCCTCATGATCCAATCGTGGTTGAACCTCGTTCTCGACCTGGTCGTCATGGTGATGGCAGTGGTTCTGACTACTCTTGCTGTTCGGCTTCACTCCAACTCTGCTTTCGCTGGTGCCTCCTTATTCAGTCTAATGAGTTTCGGGGAAAATCTTTCAGGCATTGTCATATTCTACACGAAACTGGAAACATCTATCGGGGCGGTGGCTAGATTGAAGATGTTCAACGAGAACGTCAAGCCGGAGAATAGAGACGAAGAGGATATGATTCCTCCCGAACAGTGGCCCCAGAGTGGCCTGGTAGAGTTGAAAGGTGTATCCGCGAGATATGAGTAAGACAAATATATATTTCAACATTCGTCTCTACGGTACTAACCCCCAATCTACAGAGCCACAGACCAAACCGACATCGCACCCAACCTAGCCCTCCACAACATTAACCTCAAAATCAGCCCGGGCGAGAAAGTCGCTATCTGTGGCCGCACCGGCAGCGGCAAGTCCAGTCTTATCGCCCTGCTCCTTAAGCTCCTCGATCCAACCCCCGAAACCACAGGGAATGCAATGATTGATAACATGCCACTCCATCGCATCGACCGGCCAGCACTCCGTCAGCGCATAATTTCCGTACCCCAGGAAGCCGTCTTCTTGCCTGATGGGTCCAGCTTCCAGACAAATTTAGACCCATCCGAGGTCTCAACGGCCGAAGAATGCCAGGGTGTGCTTGCAGCCGTCGGCCTGTGGAGTTTCGTTCAGGAACGCGGTGGGCTCAATGCAGGAATGAGCGCGGGAACACTCAGCAGTGGCCAGCGACAACTCATGTCCCTCGGCCGCGCGCTGCTAAGACGGTATGCGCGAGCGCGGAATATGGGGCTAGGAGGCGGTGGTTCAGACCGCGGGATATTGTTGTTAGACGAGGTGAGCTCGAGTGTCGACCACGAGACGGAGCGTGTTATGCAGGAGATTATCAAGGCGGAGTTCAGGGACTACACCGTCATCGCGGTTAGTCATAGGCTAGACATGATTATGGACTTTGATAAAGTCGTTGTCATGGACAAAGGTGAGATTGTGGAGGTTGGAAACCCGGCGGTATTGGCTGGGGAGCCGGGGACGAGATTTGGAGATTTAGTGAGGACGGGGGCGAAGTAGACTGCCACTGCTTCCTTATAGACCTGATTTAACGTCTATATATACTTACAAATCAAACATATAATTTTAACAACTATATCTAGATCGAACCTAGCCCACCGTAAGTTAAGAAGAGACTTAGGGTTTGGCGGCCCGCCCCAGGACCCGTAGCCCCAGCCGCAGGACCCACGGAAGATATCTATTGACCTGCAACTGCTAACTCAAGACATTCTCACTTCCAACGCAGCACACCCTCCCATTTCCCTAATGGCATCATCCCTTCTTTCAGGTATTTACCATCTATACGACCTCTTTCAAGCCATCCGAGGCGCCAACCCCACCTTCCTCACCCCCCACCATGTCCCTGGCACAGATCTAACAGGCAAATGGATCATAATCTCCGGCTCCAACAGCGGCATCGGCCTCGAAGCCGCCAAGTCCTTCGCTACATGGGGCGCCAACCTGATCCTCGCATGCCGCGAGCCAGCATCATGGGAACTGCATCCTACTGCTGCCGTGCAAGAATGCAAATTCCTAGCTGACGCGCACGGTCATTCGCGGTCGGTAATCGAGTGGTGGGAGATCGACATGGCGGATCTCGCCAGCGTAGAGGCATTTTGCCGACGGTGGCTCGATAGTGGGCGGGGTTTGGACGTGCTCTGTAATAATGCCGGCGTGGTGTCGACGTCAAAGACCCATATGACCAGGGACGGGTTCCAGTTGGTTCACCAGGTCCGCTGCCATCTTGCAAGTAATGATACATTGTAGCACACATCAATTGATGTCTCACTGGGCTTAGGTTAACTTTCTATCTCATGTACTCTTGACTCTTCGCCTGCTTCCCTCTCTAGCCCGTAGCCCCGAGCCGCGGGTTATATGCACAACGTCATGCGTGCACCACCTTGGCGAGCTTGACTTGGAGCACTTCAATTGCGGGCCCGACATGCACGGTGGCGATTACGGCAACAACAAGCTATACTTCCAAATGTGGGTTTCTGAGCTTCAGTCGCGATTTCTTAAACATCGCGAGTACATGCATATTACGATCAATGGGGTGCATCCGGGGTACGTAGTCACTGGGATCTGGAAGAGCGTCAACGAGGCGGAGGATACGTCAGGGCGATGGCTGAAGACTCTTTCGCGGTATATCGGGATTACGGCGCAGCAGGGTAGTCTGGCGATTACGCATGCGGCTACAAGTCCGGAGTTGGGGCCGGATCCGAAAACGCAGAGTGTTGGTGTGGTTGGGGGAGGTGGTGGTGGGAGATACATTAATCGGATATGGGAAGCGGCGCCAAAGTTTTACTGTCACGATTTGCAGGCGAGGAAGAGGCTGTGGGTGAAATTAGATGAGGAGTTGCAGCTTCGAGAGAAAGGTCTTTTGACGATTCTCGGTCTTTGATAGACCGCTTCCATAAAAGTGGAAGAATTGTCAAATAATCAACCAGTAAACAGGGTGAAGCGGAGTTGCGTTAAAGTGAAGTCATGTCATTATGTCATCATATCAACACAAATTGTACCTCAATCAAAACAACAGAATAACAAAAAATATAAAAAGATAACTATCCAAGAAAAAAAAGTCTGTGCTATCCCAAAAAGCCGAAATAATCAGAAAACCCGCCCTCGTATAGCCTTCAATTTCAACGAGCCTAAGAATGTTGCCTCTGAAACCAGGACTCTCGAAGAATAAACTAACTCTAAGTGAAAATCCAGGCTTTGCCAGCAGGGCTCTTTTTCCTGACGAGATACATCTTGTCTCTCTTGCGATCGTTGACTTTCAATTCCGTGAGCGTTGTCGAAGTCTCAGTGACGAGTCTACCCTCACGAATACGTTTAGTGTGTGCAAACAACTCTTCTTGGAATTCTTCGGAGACGTATTGCTTGATAATAATGAAGTTGGGGTCGCGCTAAAGCTGGATTAGTATGTATAATAGCAGAAATGAAGGGAAACTTACATTATCCCAGTCCCAAGGCAGGCGATATGCTTCAAGTGTTTGAGGCAGCAAATACTTCTTATGTACCTAGATAGGTTTATTATTAGTGGACATCTTTAGTCAAAGACGAATCACTTACTTTGATATATGTAGTTTTCTCCCGTCCTGGATCCAAAATCACGAGACCACTTTCACCATGCTTCTTTTTCTCGTCCTCGTCCTTCTTCTTCAGCCTCTTTTCAATTTCTTCCTCGGTGAGTCCGAAATCGGCCTTGAGTCTTTCGCGGAATTCGTCATCCTTTTTCTTCTTCTCTTCAATTTCTCTCATCCGCTTAGCTTCCTCGTTCCGCTTCCACTTTTCGATAGCTTGGGCTTCGAGTTTCATCATTTCTTTCTTGCGTTCCTCTTCTTCAAGTGCTTTGCGGGCCTCCTCATCTCTCAGTTCTTTCTTTATACGTTCCTTTTCGGCCTTGATCGCTTCACGCTTCTCGATTTCTTTCAAATGCGCCTCATGCGCAAGGCGCTTCGCCTCTTCCTCCTCGGCCGCCCTGCGCTCTGCTTCCTCCAACCTTTTGATCTTTGCTCGCTGGTCTGCAAGACGCTGTTCTTCTTCATTTCGTTTCAATTTCTCCAGTCGTTCCAGCTTGCGCAATTTGTCAGCAAGGTCGTCCTCATATATGACCTCGTCATAACGATGACGAGAATGAGATTCTCGTCGATCCTCACGATGTCGTTCCTTGGATTTACCAAGCTGTCGTTCTAGTCGATCGATTTCCTGCTTCTGCTTTGCAATTTCTAGATCCTGGCGGATGTCATTTTTGGCCAAAATGCGCTGGTCCACCAGTAACTCCCAGTCACGCTGCTGCTGGATGGGAGAGGGTGTCCGGGGCGCAGAAACGTTACTGACAGCCCTCAGTCGACGATGAGGGCGAATAATTTCAATTTCATCATCCTCTTCGATAAATTTATCGTGACGGTCATGGCGGTCGTGGCGTTCATGGCGATCATGACGATCGCGTGACTCTTGTCTGTTGCGGACATCGTTATGGACATCAACTATCACCATGGGATCTTCACGGGGGCGGCGGCGGTTTCCAGTGGACGCCGACCGCCGGACGGTGGAGATGACGTTAGGACTAAGATAACTGTTTGAATCGGGGCTTATGCGTCGACGAGAGCGCGAGAAGGAATGGCGCTTGATGCGATGACGGCCAGGGCTGCGATACGACTCGTCTGTTTCGGAATACTCCGACTCGGACTCACTGTCGTCCAGGAGGTAGCGAGGCATGGCGGCAGCTTTACTTGGACAGAGTACGCTTCGTTCGCTTAGAGATCTGGTACTCAGAAATACGAGGCTGGCCTGGCAGTGTGTAGTGTGGGTATCAAGATCAGGTGGACGTGAGAAGTCTTGAAAAGCATCAAACAACGAACGCAAATGGGGATAGAAATATGCGGGCAAAAGATGAGACGAAGTACCAGACGGGGGTAGAAGAGAGAAAAGGAGAAGAAGAGAAGAAAGAGAAGGAGATGTTCAGCTGAATCGGTGGCGGGGGAGGCCGGCTCGTATTGGAGAGAAGAGCGGGGTGCCTCAGGCCGTCTGTTAGGGCAGCTGCGTACGCCACCTGCCCGGCCTGACCAGTTGCCATTTATATCATTTGGGCCATTCATTCTTGATTTCTTGTTGTTGTAAGTACTGTTCCACTCGGGCCTCGAATGGACCCCTCTTCCTCACATAACCCAGTACGATTATGATTATAATATTATTTTGATTGTTGTTTGTGTTGCTGGCTCTGGCTCGGGCGGGCCCGTGCCGACCCTCCTACCGACATTTCTTGCCTTCCAGCCGCCCTGATGGGGTCCCATACTTTGTATGGGACCACACAATATTTGCTGTTTCAGCTGGATGCGCTTTTCTGCCGACGTCACTCTCCTGCCGCTGTGCATGTACATGTACATGTACATACATGTATCTAGTACCTACCTGTACTCCACCACTGGGTCTTGTTCTCCCGACCCACACGCTATTTCCACTTTAATGGGAGCAACACTGGCTACGCTACAGGCTTAACGAGAGGCTACTAACGTCCTTGAAATCTAGAACAGGGAGGCATATCTAGACCTGGTCAGCTGACAGCTCGATCATCATCTGTCATCTGTCAGTCTTGTCAGTCTTCTTCCTTGTGTCGTATCGGTATGGATTTGCGGCTCTGTCGGGCTTTGCGGTGATGTCACCAGGACCCGCTCGTATGTTGCAATCAAGGATGTGAGTCTTGCGACGGCTATTAATATTAGTATGATTATGGATAATCCATGTCTCTTATATCTCGGTACTGTATGTATCGTCATCGTCCCTTCTCGAATTTCTATGGTGCAAAGATTATGATTGTTACTGCTGACTATCGTTGATTGGGCCGCCATCTCCGCCTGACAAGTCGGTGTGACGCCATCAGGGACACCAATCATGTTTGCGATAACCACACCATTAGACGCATCCGATCTCGCCGCAAGTCATGGTTCTCTTCGAATGCACAGTGTATTAGAGCGTGACTATCAGCTTGGTTGGCGTGCCACAACATATCGAGACCACTCTACACTGTTGGTAGCGGCCCGATTGGACGGCACCTGAAACTGCAGCCGCGCGCCTATTTGTTTTATCGCCCAACTACGCATAGTAATATACTAATGTGGGTAATCATCTACGAACCTGGCGGCCCTCCAGGATGCAGCTAATAGCCTGCTTCGGACAGTTCTGTTTCAGCATCGTAATCGTGGGAAAGCTGGTTGGGCATGGCTACGCGAGTTGTATTGCGCTAAGGGGATTTGGCGCCGACCTACCTGCGATGTCTTAACTATTCACATCTTCTATCGACTTATCATGGATTAATATTAGAACATAAGACTCGAAATACAGTGGGGCGTATCTTTGGGCCGTTGTAGGAATTGAGGTTGGGCAATCTAGAGGATACCTACACAGGGGAGTCGCGCTCAAATCGTCTCCACCAATATATGATCATTTGATCACAACATCTACTTCGAAACATTAAAGATTCTTGGTTAATTCGGACATATCGTCCTTCGCAATTCCCATGCAACATCCAGATCTGCTTTCGCCTTGGTCAACTTTCCAAGGCTCTGAAATAGTACCCGCTGTTTGTAGGCCAAGTATGGAATCATACTACAGGCTTCTACTTAATTGCTTTTTGCGTCCTTTTCCGAGCATTGGCTTTTCTAGAGCATGATAGCCAGTTTATAGGTAGTATTTTACATATTAAGACCTAGTAGAACATGTCAGAAATGGATATTATTGATTGCTGGATAGGTTGGACTGGCTGGGCTGCTTAGTACCTCTTTATTAAACCACATCGTCCTTAGTTTCGGTAATCCCATTTTTATTTGCATCTATTAATTCATACGATATGATTTGTAGGTTTAAAAGTTATTTATCGTACCGGACTGCCTTATCAAACTGGTTTATGTACCCTCATTGTCGGGCTGTCGGTTCCCAGCCATACTGACGAGGCGCCAACTTCCTCCTTCATCAACACATGCATCGCAATCCGCAAGAGCTAATTGTACGCCTATCTCGAGCAAAACGAGCCCCCAGCAGACCGATGCGCCAGTCTGACATGCAAAGACTAATGAGCACAAGGGAATGCACAGTTCGTTTCCGAGTCCATCTCGCTAGATGCATTGCAGCGATGTACACGACACCTTTCTGGCACTGGGATCTAATAATGGCCCATTCGAAAGCAACGGTGAAGGCCATCAGCAGCTGAGCTTCTCGTCCGACAAATTTTGTTCATTCTCATAAATACTATCACCAACCGTCTATGCTGAGGTCCCCTTGAGTATATGCTCCATATTTTCCTTACTTTTTTGATGTGTCGTTTCAAGATAGTTCAGCCTCTTCTCAAGACCGCTAATATCGTTTTTGAGCGTCTCGGTTTCTGTTGATAGTCGCTTGTCGACTGTGTTTATCGGGGCGTGGATAAACCTGAAAGATGTTAGCGTAAATAACCCACTTCAATTAAAGGGGTACACACATTTTTCCGACTCCTTCGTAGACATTGGTATCCTTGGGTAATGACTGCAATTCGCTCGAGGTAAGTTGTAAAAGCCGGATGTCGCGTTGTTTAGTGGAGATCTGTGCTTTCACTATATTGATCTGCTGCTGGGAGGAGATGGCGCGTGCCTCGATCTCTTGGACGAGCTGTGTTGGCGATATGTATTAGCAAGGCAGTCCAGACTTGGCTTGAGTGGTCGTTGAGGAAGGTGGCTCACCTTTTGTAGAGCTTCCGGCGGAATAGACATGGTGGGCACTTGTTTAGGAGGAGAACTGATCTGGAAGTACGTGTATTCTTCCTCTCCCAGGTTTGTGTTAAGGCAGTAATGAGAGGAGAATGATACTTTCTAGTTCATCGCGACGATGTGTTGACGTCGTTACAGAGGTCAATTGCATTGGAGGCCGTAGCTACCTAAGCCTATTAGCGTAGAGGCTGCCCCGCCTCTCATCCCTGATAGGAAGCCTGAGGGCTCAGGGCTTAGGGTTAGGGGAGGACAGTGCACTGACAACTGCATCTAACTATATTTTAGATACTACACACTATGGGCTAGTTAGTTGTGAACTGTGGTAAAGCAGTTTGCCCGATGATACACAGCAAACATCTACACAAGTAACCTAAATCTAGCCTTCACGGGGCACCACCAGCAAACGTTATACGCAATTACCACCACTCAACACATATCTGTCTTTAACTGTCATCTCACTAAAAGGCGTGTAGAACGAAAATGAAAGCAGATCATAAACTATTCAATAATATAGAGTACTGGTGACTGCAGTGCCAATATTTATGCCAAGAGAATCAGGCAGAAAGCCCCGGGTAACGCGGAAGAGCTTATCTGACATAAATAATGCGGCCAGCACAACGGCACATTCCACCGAACAGGACAGAGACAGACAAGTATTCGTAGTTTATGACAATAATATTTACATGATATTTCAAAGATCTATACAAATAAAGCATACTTAGAGCCAAGAAAACAATTAGAAAAGAGAAATTGTAGGGCTGGCGCCGGATTGGGCCTAGCCTGTACGAGGCCAATCAGCGCAGCGGCGACTGCCCCATGCGTGCCCTCGTTCTTTTCCGAGGCGCAAAGGCAAGAGCCTAGAATGCAGCTACGTCACTAGCCGTCTCGCCTCTTCTTACGCCTTGAGACATGTGAGATCTTTTTGTCGCGCTGCCTGTGGTCATATCTGTCCTATCCTATCCTATCCTATCCTGCCTTGCCATGCCCTGCATCCTTCGCTTCTAATTAATCTTACATTTTACTCGTTCTGACTCAAACACTCCTTCAAGTTCGTCCATCTTTCTTGTCTGAACAGTCTCGAGCCCCGCTACAAGGCTCGCAGATGCCTACACACGGCCAATTCGTGACCATGGAGCACTGGCCTCATTTTCCATTTATTCCTTATCCGCCCTCCAAGGCTGGGTACTGGAGCCCAGTGACATCAACATTGAACTGGTGTGAAGAGGTACACCGCTCCCGGAATTCTGTCCTTTTTTCTAAACATCCGCGACTAACCGGCCGTGTAGGACTACTATGCGACACCCTACTCTGCAGAGGTCATCAATTCCTTCACAAACTTGCTATTCTTATGGCTAGGCATCAAGGGCGTTTTAAACACGCGCAAACATGGCCACGATAGTGTCTTTCAGGTCGCCTTTTATGGATATCTGCTGGTTGGCTTGGGTAGCTTTTTATTCCATTCCACGTTAAAATGCAAGTCTATCCAGTCATTACTTTCTATGCAACCTCATCGCCCTTACTAATGAAATTTATTTACAGACCCGATGCAACTGGTTGATGAGCTGTCTATGATCTACACAACGTGTCTCATGTGCTATGCTTCGTTTTCGTATATGAGGCCATTGGGATTCAGAGCCTTTCTCGCTATCTTTTTAGCAGGACTGGCAGTTTTCATCACCTTGTACTACCATTACCTACAAGACCCTGTATTCCATCAGAACGCCTATGCACTGCTTACGACTATTGTCGTGATCCGCAGCATGTACACGATGGAAGTAGCATTACGTCCCAAATGGCGCAAGTCTCGCGAGGAGGACCGTCTAGCCCGCGAAAAGCAGGGGCTGCCTGTTCCTAGCAAGGAGAGGCAAGAATTCGAAAATACACGTGATTTGAAGACCCTCAAGACCATGTGGTTCATGGTGGCTTATGGCCTTAGCATGTTCCTGGGCGGATTCGGTATTTGGAACTTGGACAATCACTTTTGCAGCACACTGCGGCAGTGGAGGCAGACCATCGGATTGCCTTGGGGTATTCTCCTAGAAGGCCATGGCTGGTGGTTAGTATTGTTCTTCGTTTTTGTTAAACCATTGACTCATGTTTATTAGGCATCTAATGACGGGCATTGGCGCATACCTTTATCTTGTCTGGGGCATCTGGCTCCGACACGTTCTTAACAAGGAACAAGATAATTATCTTCTGGTGTGGTCGCATTTCTGGAATTTCCCCGAGATTGTCCGCACATCGTCTATTACTAAGAGCAACGGCTCTTCGAAAAAGAACCACTGAGCACAAGATGTTCGAATCCTCTCTCTTTAGAATGCGGTTTATCCTAAATGATGAGACCCTATGACCGATAGCAACGGTAGTACAAGCCAGTTTGACTTGAATTGGGGTTATTATCGAAACCTGTCCATTCGTTATTGAACCTGTTTGCATGTCTGGAGGTTGATGGGCGTCCCTATGATTAGATTTTATACTTTACTCGGATGGCGACAGCTTGCATTGGATGATTCTATATCATTGCCTTTGTTGTGTTAGTAGAATCAAAAGATTTGAATTTATTTAAAATCACGATGAATGGTTCTAGCTTGAGGATTTGATTTGGTTAAAATGATAGATATTCACATTAAAGTGACGTCTTAAATCTTTACTCTCCAAGGCTCTTCATATCCAAGAGACGTCACCCTCAACAAGTCTAGCTCACCAAGAGCAACCTAACGCTAATGCACATCACAGCTTCGGTTTCGAATTACCATCCGTACTCCTCGACGGTCTCGCAGGAGGCGGTCCAATCTCTTTCAACCACCTTTCATCAACAGTGACCTTCTCAACTTTTGATTTCCGATTCCACTCCTGCCGAAACGCATCGTCTTCAGCTTTCCATCGCTTCAGTTCCGGGCCAAAGAAATCAGCTGCTGCGTCAGCACATTCAATAACTGCTTCTTGTGCCAGAAGATGGCCTTTTTCTTTAAAAAACACGGATTTCACACGTCCTGCAGCAACGCCACCACTACCTCCGGCTCCGATGCCCGTGTTATCCAGTTTATCGGCCATCATGTGTGGAGGGCACATGTTAGATTGGCCGGCGAAGATATATAGTACGCTTGGTCGAAGATGTGGTAGGTTGTAGAAAATCTGGACGGGTTCGGGGCGGTAGAATGGGTGTGGGTTGGGTTCATTGGGTATAAGATCTGGAGTTTCCGAAACACTAGCAGGCTTATTGGTTTCGGTGTCGTAGTCATAATTCGGTCTGGAGAAGGTGAAAACTTCTTGGTGGCGGGTTGTTATAAGTGTGACTGGTTTTTCATCATCGCTCTGGTTTTTGTTGTGTGCTTCAGTGGATGGCAATGGATGGGTGGCGGTTGGTAGTTCTCGAAGACCATACTTCACCCATCTTTCTAATACTCGTGGATTCCAGGCTTTATAGAATGGGCTGCGACTAAAGCTTTCTGCGGCTGCTTTTCGGGAAGGCCAGATATCGCGTCTATATGTGGATAAAACAGTGTTTAAGGGCACGAATTTTCCTTGGAAATCTTCGGGGAACTGCGTTGTTTGGCGTTGGATAACAGGATCCAGCAATACTAAGCTGTGAAATAAGCGAGGTACGGTTAGAGATAGAGCAACTCTGAATATACAGTTAGGTTTCTTTGTCTTTGGTGTTCTGATATGTTGACTAACAGATGTGCGCCACCCATACTATGGCCGATCCCAACGATTGGACGGGGCATTTCATCGCGCTTTAGGTTGATCAAATGCAAAAGATCACGCGGGTGATCATACCAGCTTGCTGTATGCTGTATTAGTGCAAAATGCTTTATATCAACCTTGAAAATGAGAGCTTACGGTCATTGCCGAGGACATCCTCGTTAATCACGCCGCTCTGGCCCTGGTGCGCGACATCGGCCATCCAGATGCTGCGTATCCGGAATCCATGATTCTTACTTCGAGCGTGAAGTTCCTCCCATAGTGGCTCATATAGCTCCTATCACCCAACTGTAAGACTAGGAATAGCCTTTAGGATTCAAGCTCAAAAGGGCCATACCTTTGGAAACCCATTCGCATGTGCCGCTATGATCGTAACATCACCCGGCTGCGGACTCGGATTGTCCAGCGGGATATACTGTTTTACAGCAAGTCGAAGGGTCTGCTCCTGCGAGGTCGACGTCGCTCGTGGGTATTCTCTGATGTATTGTCCCGGAACTACATGTTCCACGACGCGAAATGGGAAAGACATTAACACCGCTTTTTATACCTGCTGTATATCTAGTTGACGACGAAACTCAAAAGAGGGGGCGATTTCTGCGCGAAAACATCTGTATATGAACCCCAGGAACTGGAACCGATAATCTATTTATCGCCGTGCAGGGGTGGATGTTGTATGAATGAGAGTGAATGCGCATGCTCACTGGCCGGGTAAAAGACCGATGCCACTGCCGTAACCTAAATCAATTGATCGCTTAAGCCGAGGTTGAAAGCTGTCCGGCCGACCCAATCAGAGCGACCATCTCAATACGAGAAAAAGAATGTAATTACTGTTTAATAAGTCTTCATGAATATTTGAGTAAGATGACATTGCATTGTGGATGAATATCGAGAGATTTTGCTTTATAATCTGATTGTTCTTTACACTTAGCTTGGGCCTGCAAGCAGGTGATGGCGATGTAGTTGTTGTCGAACCGGGTACTTTGAGCGATCCAAGTCTGTTAGTTGCTGTTTCTAGTAGTATATTGGATCTTGTACTGTTATATGATATCCAAACATCGCGACCGTCGGTATATCTTCCTTTGGTCCTGCATAGAATACTAGAATTATTATAGCGCGATTGGCTAGCGATGCCCCGCTTGCTGACCAATTAACAACACGTGACATCGCGTTGACGGATCGCGTTGTTCTGCCGCGTCGAGATGAGGCGTAGCCAAACACCACCAGCACTGACAATACCACAACGACACAGCCGTCCAGAACAACAGCGGGTTATCGCCATCCCAGTACATATTCATTTGCTGTGTCTATCCCCCAATATCACATCTTGACCATCATCACAAGTCCTCCCGCGCTGGGAGACAAACCGTAAATATGGCAGACGACCAGGTCGAGCAGCTGCTTCGTCAGTGCAAAATCTGCATCGTTTGCTCCAAGGAGCTTAACGAAGACTCTGCTATGCAGGTAAATTAGCCTGAAAAGTATTACGCATCGAATGACACTAACTTGTTTAAACTTCAGTTGGATATCCTGATCAAAGATCATGGGGGCGAGGTTGCCATACACAAAGCGCCCGCGCCATTTCCTCCCATCCATGAATTCACACACATAATCTCATCCACAGCGGATTTCCCAGCCTATCAATCTGCCTGCGATGCACTGATTCCAGTAGTCAAGCCTCAGTGGTTACAGACATCCATCGCAAGACACAAACTCGCCAATCCGCGCCAGTTCAATCCGGACCCCAGATTTTTTTTCAGTGATGTCGTCGTAACGTGCGGCGATATCCCAGAAGGCGATAAAGATGCCATTATTGGCGGTGTCATAGCAATGGGTGGACTATATTCGCCAAGAGTGACCTCTCAAGTGACGCATTTGGTTGATCTCAGCATGGACTCGGACAAAGCAAAGACGATTGTCGCCAAAAAACTAGGGACAAAGATTGTACTCCCTCATTGGTATGAGATCTAAGAACCCTCTTTCGGTCTAACATTCAGTTTATTGATCGTCTTTATCAGGTTTGATGATTGTTTGAAACTTGGACGAAGAATCGACGAAAGACCATACACTCTTCCAAACCCTGAAATTCTTCGTGCTAGTCCCAACGCGCCGATCCGAAAGGCCGAAAACGCAGATATTGTGGGCGCTTCCACGTCAAACCCCACTACATTACCTACCACCAAAGACCAGAATCGCAACCTGAATGTCTTGGAAGGCAAGAATGTCATGCTTGCGTCTAACCTCGGCATTGGGTCTCATTTACTCGCATCTATTGAGGATTTGATCCACCAAGCGAATGGCGTTGTCACTAAGGACTTGACTAAAGCAAATATGCTCATTTGTCGATATCGAGAGGGTTTCGAATATCGCACAGCGTCGCGATGGAACAAAGACGTCGGGAATTTATCGTGGCTCTATCATCTCATCACGCACAATGCTTGGACATCTCCCCTACGGCGGCTTCTACATTACCCTATTCATCGCGATGGTATTCCCGGATTCAAGGGGTTGCAAATCAGTCTGTCCAACTATGCCGGTGAAGCACGCGCGTATCTTGAAAATCTCATTCAAGCTGCTGGTGCTGAGTGCACAAAAACCTTGCGACAAGAAAATACACATCTAATTACAGCGCACGGCGGCAGTGATAAGTGTACAGCAGCTAAGGAATGGGGCGTACAAATCGTCAATCATCTTTGGCTTGAAGAAAGTTACACCAAATGGAAAATGCTCCCAGTTTCGGATCCCCGGTATACTCATTTCCCTCGACGAACGAATCTAGGAGAAGTGGTCGGCCAGACAAGGCTTGATAGAAACGTGCTCGAACAGATATTTTTCCCTGCAGAAGCTAGCACTGATGAATCGCGAGTTATGCGACAAAAAGATCAGAACATCGCAGCCAACCTCGAAAGCAATGGCATGAGCCCACCCAAGAAACAGTCCAAGTCCGCTGCGCAATCACCTTCTGTATCAACACCCAAGGCTGTTACACCCCATACTAACAAATCGGCCCGCAAGACCCCACTATTAGCAGATGCGAAAACTCCTTTAGGTAGTCGTTTCTTGGCCGATGGGAAAGAAAATGCTACACCGTCGACAACTAGTAGTCGCAAATCCAAGGAAGCAGCTGTGGCCCGCATTCACAGTGCTGCTCCAGACATTGCTCTGTACGAGAAGGAGAAAAAACGAGTCGGTGGAGTGATATACGGGGGACGTCGCAAGAATGATGCCGATCTCGTATCTATAAATAACAAGAAAAGGCGATCAGCCGAGCCCGAGGAAGATGCCGATGCTGAGGACGACAAAACCGATGCCAAGCGCCAGAAAGCATCGAAACCCTCAGTATCCATTCGTCTCTCCATTACCAGTTATCAGAAATGGGTGGGGAATATGAAGAAGGAAGATTCAGATAAAGTGAGTTGTCTCTTGATTCTATATGCTATCTAATTCTGACTTGAACTAGCGAAAATTGCGTGACCTAGGTATTGCTGTTGTTCAAGATGCAAAAAAGTGTACTCATCTTGCGGCGCCATCTATTCTACGGACACCGAAATTTGTCAATGCTTTGGCATACGCTCCCGTTATCGTTAACGTTGAATACATAACGCAATGCCTTGAGAAAAACAAGTTGCTTGACCCAACCGATTACATTCTGGTAGATGAATCAACCGAGAAGAAAGTTGGGTTCACTCTGGCGGCTGCACGTGAGAGAGCCAAAAAGAACCAGAATAAGCTCCTTCGAGGTTATAAAATCTGTTGTTTGGAGAACATTCGCGGCGGGTTTGAAGCCTTCAAGTCAATCGTCGAGGTTAACGGAGGCGAATGCACACTGTTCCGAGGACGTGTTTCGATTAAGGATTCCCGAAATCGCGACTCGAGCTCCGATATTGAAGATCAAAATGAAGATCCTTCAAAGGAGGGTGATGTTTTCCTTCTCAGTGGTGATGAGTCTGAGCATGTCAAGCTCTGGCCTCGGTTCCGGCAAATGGTATTTGAGGTCGGCAAGACACCGCGCATTGTCAACGTCAACTGGCTGATTGACATTGCCATGTCTCAAGAAATTCGCTGGAAGGACGAGTATGAGTACACGGACGAAGATGGCGCGAATTGATGAGTTATAATGGACGAAGCTGTGTACATAAGTAATGTACGTGAAGCTTCTACGGTTTGCAGTGGCCATGTTTGCATGTACACGGATACGATTTAGGCGTCGTTTGAATATACCACTTTTCAGGCATCACGATAGCAATATGAGATGTTGTTTTAAAAGAATTTAACACCTTTTTCGTCATCGCCGCCAAATATCTGAGCTTTGCCTCGTTTCACGAGTATGTTCAGGGCTTTGAGCATGACTTCGGGGTCCATATCATGAAACTCTACATCAAACACATCAGTTAAGCGAGTCCCCAATACTCAGCTGCCATAAATACCTTGTGAAATAGTAGCATCCCCGTTTATTAACTCATAAACTGTAAGAACAGTATTCTTCTGCGCCGTCTCGTCAATCTATAACCACCAATGTTAGCCAATTCCTTCACCAGAAATACTAACAATACACACCCAATCCGCAATCATTATAGCCCAGTCCTCCGGTCTCCTCCACCATATCCACGCAACAGTCTTCTCACCGACCGATGATCTCGAAGACCCGCTACCGCCTCCTCCAGGCGCCGCCGGAACCCATTCAGCTCGACCCCCTCCTCCGCCATCTTCCTGGGCCTTGGCCATCCAATCCACAATCCTCCTCGCCTCCAACAACCCGACCTTCTTCTTCAAGCGCGCATTATGGAATAAAGGAAGATCAACAGCATCAACCAACGAAAGCCGAAATGTACCGTGGTACCGACACCAGTCCGAGATCAAATCCGCCCAGCGCTTCATTTGGGCCTGCTGTGTCTGGGCATTGGGTTGGAGGGTGAAGAAAGGCGGGAAGTTGTAGTCTATGGGGAAGGTAAAGCCGGATGGTGTTTTCGTTGGAGGACGTGTGGAGGAGGAAGAGGAAGTCTCATTAGTAGGAGTGTTATTGGTGCTGATCGTGTCTATTGAGGTTGTTGTTGCTGTTTTAATGCTGGTTCTTATCGACGGGTCGCGTGACGAGATTGGGCTCGCGGGTGTGAGGACGTTGCCTGCTGTTGTAGGTGCGGAAAGAAAGGAGTTTGGTGGGGATGATGATGGCATCTTGATGCTCGAAGATATTTCATCCAGAAAAGTACATGTATAGAAGTGAAGATTGCTGTTAGAGGGTTATTGATCGTATGCGGGGTACTTTTTTGGCTTTTGGGCAATGGAAGCCCTGCGACTGCGCAGACTGAGATTATATAAAGCCGTAGGCGAGAACTGAGGGCTCTGCTCTTATGAATCAAAGTAAGGCATATAGATTGCTATTGTGTTTATGCGAACAGAATGAGGCGGTGGAAGACAAGCAGCTTCGGAGCAGTCTGCGATCTGATATCCCCGCCAAGGATCCACATACGTCAGCTCCAGGCAATAATGCATTGTACATGGTCTCTCGCTTTCAGTCTCAGAGTTCTGAAAACTAAAATCTTGAAATTTTCGAGATGTATACTTTCCCATAACAATCCGATATTTCGATATTCCTTAAAACCAGATTGAACAGTCCTTGTAGCGTGGATTCTTCCCAAGATCACACACAGCTTCCTAGTGTGGCGGATTTTCTGCATCTCCGATAGCAAAAAAGTTTCCTCCGCAACGTCTCCGCAGCCTCAGTCATTTTTCTCGACCTGATCGTTTCGCTGCATTTTCTGACCCTGTCTCTGAGGTCAACGAACTCTTCTCATTCATTTCTATATTCTGCAATCACGATTGCAACCATGACAGGCGCCACAAAGAAAAAGATCAAACGGGCGGAATACAGAGAGGCTCAAAAAGCCGCGCAAACCTCGGGGGAGCATGTCGCTTTGCCGAAGAAAAGGTTCTATCGCCAACGAGCGCATGCGAATCCCTTTTCTGATTTTGATTTAGAATAGTGCGTTCCCAGACTACATGTGGTATCGTTATGAATTGAGCTGACTCTGAGCGAGTAGTCCCTTGAGTCCAGCGCATATGAACTGGGCGTCGCATTACCCCGGTTTCGTGGACCCTGATACATCGAAACTGACCGTTGGAGGATCAAGAAGGATTTTGAAGGATGTAGAAGTAGTTGATATTGGCTGTGGATTTGGGGGTCTGTTAATTGGACTGGCACCCGTACTGCCTGATACACTGATGCTTGGTAGGGATTACCCTCCAGTGAGAGAACACACAAATTTTGCTGACTTTTCCCTTACCTACAAGGAATGGAAATCCGTCTACAAGTGACAGAATACCTCCAAGCCCGCATCTCTGCTCTCCGCGCTCAGCAAGATCGACTACGCAAAGACCCCTCGTCCTCAGAGCCTATACCAGAGCCCCAACCCACAGACACTGAAACCTCCGATCTACCAGAAGACGCGCCGGCCTTTCCAGATGCTAGTTCAAAAGACGCCGCGCTCATCCCTGGTGGGTATCAGAATATATCTGCCTTGCGCGCCAACACCATGAAATTCCTGCCGCGGTTCTTCGCGCGCCATCAACTGTCGAAAATCTTTATTTGTTTTCCTGACCCTCATTTCAAGGTGCGGAAACACAAGGCTCGGATTGTTTCGTCGGCGCTGAATGCCGAGTACGCGTATTTCCTCAAACCGGGCGGATTTTTGTATACCATTACAGATGTGGAGCAGTACCATAGATGGATTTTGGATCATTTCGGTGTGCAGCAGAAGGATGATGCTGCGGCTGCGACTGAGAAAGAGCATACTGCGGGAGTAGGACTGTCGGAAGATAATAGCAAACCAGGGGACGACGATGTGGATAGTGAAAGTGACGGTGAGTCTGGAGAGGCCCGTGTTAAAGAGCTGTTTGAGCGGGTTTCAGATGAAGAGTTGGTCAAAGATCCATGTGTCAAAGTGATGCGTGAGGAGACTGAGGAAGGGAAGAAGGTGAAGAGAAATAATGGGCCTAAATTTGTTGCTGTCTTTAGACGTTTACCTGACCCCGAATGGTCTACCTCTTGACTGGTTTACGGTATATGTAGAGAAATTTGAAAATAAAGAACAAAATTATACTCCAAAACCAACTAAACCATTATACAAACACTTGTTATCCATGGAAATCATGCAAAACACCAAATACCATGTTTAAAACAGCCCAAAATATCCGTAAATCATAATTGAGTGTTGATCTATAAGCATAGATGCGAATCTTCGACTTTCTGTCAGAAATATAGCAGTCAACAACGATAGGCTGGCCGATGCTTATGCAAAAATTCAATGATTGATATATCCGCAATATAAATAACCAATTTCGCACTCTGTAGGCAAGGTTCTCTTGATATAGAGAAGGAGTGTTTGAACGACCACCCAAGGATTCCTATCAGTCATGCTAGTCTGGGTAACTAAATGGACTAGCTGAGGCTATGCTTTCAATCGCCTAGCTTCGCACGGCTCACAAACTGCAAGCTGAACTGGACCACCGATGATTCGTCCCTTTGTAGTTCGTCGCGGCTCACCTTCTTTAACAAAAAATCGCCCTTCCGGTCCAAAATCACCTCCACATTCGTGGCAGACGAAGCATTTGTCATGCCATTGGCCGTCTAGAGCAGTGACGACAACGTCTTCCATCACCGGTTGTTTGCAGCCTAGACAGCGTGAAGCTGTGCGACGAGAGTGGCAACGAAGGCACCAAGCAAATCCATCTTTCTCTACAAATGGAGTTTCTTGATTGAATGGCTATTAACGGTTAGCTCGATCTTATCCTTAGTGATCAGGAGTTAGGAAACATACATCACCACATTCGGCACAGAAGAAGTGGCCGACATGCCACTCCGCACCGCATGCGACCACAACTTCTCCTTCAATTGGTGTCTTGCAACTCTTGCACCTTGGACTAAACAATTCGTGAAAGTCGAGATGGCAGTAGAACCGCAAAGCATTGGCTTCGATGTCATCATGCGAAGCGTTGGCAAGTCTTTCATTACGTGTAGCTTCGGGCTCTTGATAAAATGCAACACATTCTAGTCCAGTGCCACAGTGAAAGCATGAGAAGCATTCGGGATGAAAGCGAGAACCGGCTGCTGTTACGATCCTACCTTCAATTGGCAGTGTACAATTCGCGCAGGTTGCGGTGGGAACACCAGACCGCGTAAATGGGGAATACCATTTACTCTGAGAGGTCGGGGCCATTCGTTTTGGATCAACGGATTTTCGACTGTTCGACGACGTAGAAGCTGGTCTAGAATCGGCATTTTTATTGGCTTCTTCGACCGCGGAGACAACAATGGATGGACTTTGCTCGTTCGACTCATCCGGAAGGTTAATAGTAGGAACAGCAGGAGGTTCTGATACATTGATGGCCGGTACAGCAGGAGAATTATCATGAGCCTTTGGAGTCTCGTTTTGTGGCTTCCACGACGGATCGAAACTAACAATAGGCTGACCTAGTCGATCACTCACTGCTGTAGGCATTGGTAATTTCCCGCTTCGGTCCTTAAATTTCATACTAGTGGCTGCTCGAATATCATCACTGCGAACCTCAAGTCCATCTTTTGTCGAAGTTGGCTCTTCTTTCTTTGGTTCCGAAGGCTGAGGTGTGGATGAATTGGTCGTGTAAAGGGGGTTCCTCGATTGAGTAGGTGGGTTTTTGTATATGTCGACTTTGTTTTGCTTCCGATCAAATGGAGAGTTTCGAAAGCGCGCGGGAGTAGAGCTGAATTCTTGTGGAAGAGAGTTTCGAGGCTTCACTCTAAGAGCTGAAGGTGCAGGTGCGGGTGGGCGCTGAGTCTCAGCTTCATTACTAGGTTCCTCCGGCTCCTCATAGATAGAGTCCTCAGGGTTCCTGAATATCCCTTTAGATGACTCGCTGCTGACACTCCTCGATTTTGGCAGTTTGTCACGAACAGTTGGAGCACTCTCATCTGGTGGTAGTGCGAAATTGACCCTTCCTTTCTTTTTGAAGCTAGTGTTTGGCAATGATTCATTATAGCTATCAGGTGATGATGCCTCCCCTGAGCTTTCAGGTCCGGACATATTTTTCTTGTGCCTGTGCGACACATCCACAGAGGCTCCCTCGCTTTGGCGTCTGGAGAGACTGGCCTTTTCTAAATGTTGTCGGAAGCGATTGTTACTTTGCAGGTCCGGGTTGGCATAAGCAGCATGCGGGTTTTTGTAGGCGGCACCTGGATTCTGGTGTTCCCACACAAGCCTTGTTGCTTCATCTTGAGCGTTAGAGTATAGACGTTCTTCCTCCTGTAAATCCATCTCTTCTAGTGCGTCCCGAAGCGAACGCGCTTCTTGCCTCTCCATCCAACGCTGACCGCTCTCTCGATACATCCCGCTAGGGGTTCCAGAAGGGGCAATCTTGGCATCTGGTGAGAGGTTTCCGCTGACGCGATATGCACTTGGTTGCTGGACTAAAGGTCGTCCAGCAGAGCCGAATTGCAAGGATTGCCGGTTGTGCGACATTGCGCTGGCAGAACGAGGGTAAGGATCTTGAATATGATCTAAGTTTTCGCTGGAGGAAGAGTCACGTTTGTTCATCGATAATGCGGATGCAGCTCGAGGAGGAAGCTCGTCGCGAGACTTGGGCGGAGAAGCGGCAGCGTGAGAGGGAAATGGACGAGAGCCACTTGGTCTGGATGGAGGACCCGACCGGAGTTGTTTGAGATAGCTCGCTGGTGAAGGGAACGTTATTAGTAGGAAGTTAAGCTACATAAACATTGATCATTAAGAATACGATGTAACTCACCGACTTGATCGTCCGACATGTAGGTCGGCCCTGGAGGGCTGACCTTCCTGGAAGGGTCTTTGACTCGACCCTTGTGTATCATGATGGCGGGTTATCACTCGCTTCGTCTGGAATGCTGGAAGGCCAATGGAGGCGTGCTTCTGCTACGTGCGTGATAAGCGTGGGGGAAGGGGATATTTTGATCCGGCAATGTTGGCGACAAACAAGCAATTTGAACAATGCCGCAATGGCGCGCAAGCAGAGTTGTTGGCTGGGCCTTGAGGCGCGAGTTCAAATATCGAGGGCAGGTGCTGCAATGACTAATTCGGATGTGCGCCAATATGAAAACAAAGCGTCGCGCGGCCAACGCGGGGCGGCTGCCAGCAGATCGGACTGTCCGATTAGATCGGCCAATCATGAGTCGCCGCCTTGAGATCTGTCGCCACATCGCACCACTTATTTAGTCCACAACTCTAGTGAAAGTTGTGATAGTCCCATCCCACGTTGACAGGGCATTATTGACAGCATATCAAAATGTCCGACCGGCCGCATTTGAATTCCAAATATCAGCCATGTTGAGATCCTGCAAGGTGTATTTGGTCATAACTTATGCTGCAACTAATGGCTTCGCCCTCCTGCGCACATCAGATGAATGCTAGTATTTCGGATAGATATTGCAAATGTTTTTGAACTCCTAAATCATGACAGAATATACCATTTCAAATGATTTGTAATCTTCTAAGGATTTTGCATGTGGTCGAACATTGAAGTTCTTGCACGATTATAGCCAGTGCAGATGGATAGAGATGGTAGTTACGGTAATTAGACGATCTTGTAACATTGAACTTATTGAGGTGCATTATGCCAATAGTCCTCAAATACATGTATCTATAGCGAATAATCGGTTTGATTCCTCAATCACGCCTTTCCAAGTATCAAAATCCGGACCTTGCGTTTGCCTGCACCGCGTCCTCCTTCCTCCTTCACCGAGCTGACATTCACCTCGACCTTTTCGAACAGCTCAGCCTGGAATGACCGCTCAGCTTCGGGATGGTTCCTATCCCAAACGCGCACGGTATACTCTTCTGGGTCGTATTCACTCTCGCGCCGATGGGCGATTTCCCTCCTTTGTTCGTTGTCATGTACATCTGGTCTCTGCTTGTCTCCCGGCAACATGAAGTCTTCGAGTCGGACCACAGCTTCAATTCCAAACCGAGGAACGAAAATAACCACTCCGTTTTCAAAGACGCGCATAATATATCCCTCTTCGTCGACTCCGAGGTTCTTGTCGTCGCCTTTGTTCTTGGCCATCATCTCGCCACGGGCCTTCAGTGCTTGGCCAACGTAGTACTCAATACTAGCTCTTCCGGCAAACTGTGCATTACGGTGACGATAGTTGATATTTTTGCAGACATCTTCCAGCTGGCGCCGTCGGCTAAGTCCTTCCGCTGAAGTATATCCAATAGCAGCAGCAAGTTGTCGATGAACCACAAGATCGGCGTAACGACGAATAGGAGACGTGAAATGTGTGTAAATAGGCGATGCAAGACCATAGTGACGGAAATCTGCCTCCGAATGTGCACCAGCGGTGAAGTACTCAGCCGAAGTCATGCAACGTGTGGCGAGAATACGGATCAAAGTGTTGAAAAATGGATTCTTGGAGTCAACACAGCTATCCAGAGAGTCTGCCAACGCCTTCGAACTGGAGACATCAAGTTTCAGGTTGCGTTTCTTCTGCAGTTGTGTAGCTAACTCCTCGAAATTGAGAGGAGGCGGCGAGGCGTGTCGCCGCAACAGAGCGGTCTGAGGGAATGCATTGTAGATTTTCGAGGCCACCGTGATGTTGGCGAGTAACATGAATTCCTCAACTAAACTGTTTGTTGCCAAATGTGCCTTGGTCTTGACATCAGTGAGGGGGTCATTCAGTTCAGATTCAGTTTCGATCCGGATTTCAGGTGAGGCAAGGTTCAGAGCACCTGCGTCCATACGCTTTTGACGCAACACCTTGGAAAGGTGTAGGAGTGTACGCATGCTTTGGGTCAGCTCATCGTTCTTAGACTTGTCATCAATGCGGATCTGGGCTTGTTCGTAGCTGAAAGCCTCACGGGATCGAATCACCGATTTTGTAAAGTTAGCAGAAACAATTTCTGCATTCGGCGTTACCTCCCAGATGGTGGAAAAGGCAAAACGCTCCACGTAGGGCTTCAAAGAGCACAGATCAGTTCCAAGGAGCATCGGAAGCATATCAATTCTCTTATCTACCAGGTAGACAGTGGTACCACGCAAGCTGGCCTCTAGATCCATTGCATTATTCGGTTTCACAAAGTGAGACACGTCGGCAATATGAACGCCGACTTCGAAGTTTCCATTGGGCAAAGGTCGAGCGTGTAAGGCATCATCAATATCCTGACAGCCGGGAGGATCGATACTACAAATGAGGAGGTCTCGTAGATCCCGGCGATTTTGCCAGCCCTGATCTTCCTTGCTAGCAGGAACTTTCCAGTCATGACCCTCAAGAGGCAGGCAGTCGAGAACAACCTTCGGGAATGGGCGATATTGCACATCATATTCGAGGAGCAGTGCCTCCGTTTCCGCACCCTTGGTTTCCAGTTCTCCCAATGACCGCACGAAATGGCCTGTCGGGTATCGTGAGTCGCGATCCCAACTATCAACTGTCACTAAGATTCGTTGTCCGAGTATATCAGATGCTTGTCGGGTTCTAATTCGAATCTTAGGGACTCGCTTATCCATAGGAAGCACGAAAACAGTCTGCTGGCGTCTTCCAGAGTTGCCCAGTGATGATGTTGAAGATGCATCAATATGGCCGACATATTGACGCCAATTCCGCTTAAGAATTCCAACCACTCGAGCTGTAGGTTGCGGCTTTCCCTCTGCATGCTTCCCATGCGCCTTTCTGACTTCTTCTTGCAGGGCTTTCTTTTCTCTGTCTGGCACTACAGTCTCATTGTCTTCGTTTTCTGGATTGTCATTCTTTGTAACCGCCTCCTCATCGATAATTTTGGAGGACGGTGACTTCCACTGGTCTTTGGGTAGCACCTCCACAACAACCACATCTCCGGAAATGGCTCGGTTGCTATTATCGCGGCCAAGAATCAAGAGCGGTTTATCGAAAGCCCCCACATTCACCGATCCCTCCAAGTAATTGTATGGTGAGATGTTGAACACGCCTTGGTGCATATTTCCGGCACGTAGTCCCGTCATCATCTTCGACATGGAGTAATGTTCCGGGTAGAAAAGCTCCGTTTTTTGACCTTTTTCTTCGCGTGATTCATTGATCATATCTAGGAGCACATCTGAGTCCTCGAGGCCAGATACATAGTCAGACAACGATGAAGCGACCACATTTTCCTGTTTAGCCTTGCGCAGATTTTCCTTGTCATCGGTGAGCACGACCATGGTTGGAATAGTCCTTCCCTTCCTGGCAGATTGCTGCAGATGTTCTCTGTACCATTTGGCGACTGCGCGAACAGCTCTATCATTCCGATCGTTGATAGACTCGTTAGGTTCTCGGCGAACGTGGGTTTCAAGGCGAAATTCATTGAAAAAAAGGTAGAAACGCTTCTCGTCGGATTTTATAAGCGAAAGTAAACGATTGTAGAGAGGTAGCGAGAGATTCCTAAGCTCTTCAAGGACAGTCTGTAGAATGATCACATCATAGAAAGCCCCAGTGTGCTCGAAAAGGTCCATTCCGTTTAACAACGCATTGGTATCGGGCACGATATAATGGCCCTTTGGAAAGGATTTGCTACCGGCGGGTTGATCGGAGAGAACAAATGGCGCAACTGTAGATCGGACGTATAAGTAAGATGTTCATGTCAACGGCTGGAAGGGAGTGTGTGCTTACTATTACCATTCGCGTCGGCAGGCGCATAGGTTGGGCATATTGTACAAAGCTTGGAAGAACAAGGGATATCCTGCCTCAAATATAACTCCCGAACGATTTTCTGGACCTTGCCGCTCTTAGTCGACCGTATGAATACTTTGCTGGACACATTCTGGGCATGTGGGTTTGAAGAGAAGTCTCTTCGCAAGCTCTTCATTTCGTGGTCAAATGGATGCCACCAAGCACCGTGGCTGTGTCTTCAGATCAAAAATAAGAAAAATATTCGATGCGCATAAGCATTCATAAAATATCTTGTCCTGCCTAACCCGACTCGCAATAGTTTGAACGGTGAACGACGTGATAAAATAAGCGGGATGTTGTCGAAGAGCACAAATCTTGCGAAATCTTCGCCGCTCCGTCCGCTTATCAACGTCGGCATAATCGTTATCGGAAGTGCTCTCGACCTGATCACAACGCATTCTGAATGTGGTCAATTTATTGGGAATTTCTCTGGAATTTTGCCCTAGTGGTCAAATAAGTAACATCTTATTAATTATTCTTCAATTCTAAAATTGTGATATCCTAGAAAATGGCGATAGCTGTACGCGACCCTTCATTGCTTGATTCCCCGCATACTCACCTAGTCATAGGCGGTTGGCCAACTCTGTTCGACAGCGAGCATGGCACATAATCTCTCCCAATGTCAAGTACTTGTGAGGAAAGCTGTAGCTGCAGGTGCAAAGGTGCTTTTGGCCTTCGGAGGATAGACACTTAGTCTTTGCGTACACTAACATGAAGACAGGCACTCTTTCTCCCAGAAGCTTCTGACTACATTGGTGCATCAAGTGCAGAAACAGTGTCTTTAGTACGCCCTGTACAACAAAGTGAATTTGTCCTAGGCTTGCAGAAAGAAGCTAAAGACGCAAAGTTACCTATCAACGTTGGTATTCATGAGCCAGCTGAAGGAGGCACTAAAGTCAAAAACACCTTGATATGGATTGACGAACACGGAGAGATTGTGCAGCGTTATCAGAAGATACACCTCTTTGATGTCGAAATTAAAGACGGCCCAATTTTGAAAGAAAGCACGTATGTTGTACCATGGCAGTACTGCTTTTGACTCATCTAACAGCATGACCGTAGGAGCGTTGAGAAAGGAACGGAGATCCTTCCGCCATTCGAAACACCTGTGGGAAGGGTAGGCCTGGCAATATGCTTCGATGTATGTCATTCAGCCATATCCCAAACTAGTCAAAGCAAATGGTATTTTATCTTACAATATTTCGCAGTTACGATTCCCTGAAATATCTCTAGCATTAAAGCGTCAAGATGCGCAAATAATAACCTTTCCTTCAGCGTTCACAGTACCAACTGGGAAGGCACATTGGGAGACTCTTCTTCGTTCTCGAGCAATTGAGACTCAGTCTTATATAATTGCTGCTGCGCAAGCAGGAGCTCATAATGACAAACGAATAAGTTACGGTCATTCGATAATCGTTAATCCTTGGGGAGAAGTGGTTGCGAAACTTGGAGGAGACTTCAAAGAACCGGAAATTGCAACTGCTGATATCAACCTTGACCTCGTTGCCAAGGTAAGAAGAGAAATGCCTTTGCTGCGACGAACAGACATCTATCCTGAAGTATGAATAAAATGGAAATAACGAGGGTGAGAGTAGTATCACGTCTTAGGAGATTGGTATACAATATCCGGTACCTCGAGCAATTATTTACTGCGCTTGATTGGTTTCTAAATCATCATTTAACTAGTGCAAAGAAATAAATACTATAGAGATTAAGGAAAACGAATGCATATCAATAAAAGAAACATGTCTAGAACCAACCAACAGTCCCAGCCATCTTCGTACGACTGCGCCGAATAAGATCAGAAATGCCGGCCTAGATCTCTATGTACAACGCAGCTGAGAGCCTAAGTAAAACATGATACGAGTCGGCGCCTATTTTTGGACCTTGTCGGGGTCCTCCAAGATACCCTCGGCTTCCAATCTTCGGCGAGCCTCCTCCAATGCCCATGTTTGTATCCTGAAAACAATGTTAATCAGAATGTGATCTCCAGAAGAAATAAAATGAAGATAAAAGAAGAAGCAATATATGGCCAAATGACAACCGTCAAAAGAGACGATTGCTTGGTCTTCTGAAGAGGTTGATCCATGAAATATACGTACGATGTGTCAGGCTTAAAAACGTATGCGACGCCAGCAGCAACCAGGCTTCCAATGAATCCGTAATACCAGACATTCTCCCAGCCCTCCTTCACGTATTTCTGGCCGGGCTTGACACCAAAAAGCCATCCACTTGGTGGGTCATAGTGGTCACCGTGGTCGGCAGCACGCAGTTCGCTCCGCGTTGAGAATGGGCGAGAGGCCTGTGGGTTGCGCAAAAGGCAGCGAGAGCGAAGAATAATAGAGGGATTCCGAGCCGGCATTGTGAAGGTTGTATTGAACGTGACAATGTCGAAGGTGTATGGAATGAGCTTGAGGAGGATATCGAATTTCGATGTGAGCGGGGGGTTACCGAGTTTTCTCAGGGCGTTCAACACCTTCGCACGAACGGACAGCACTTTTCAAAGCACGCTGGGATTGATCAATTGATTGTTCTATCGATATTTCTGGTTGCTGATTAGCAACAGCGCCCTGTCTGAGGTTGGAAAGTTTGGTCTTGTAGTGGACAAGTACTAGCGATGAAGCTACTAGGGATTCTCCGGGCAAGTAGCCGGTCGGCCGAATCCGGTTAAATAGTTTATGCCTTAAACATCAGGCAGCCTATGCTCAGGTCGACTAGACGTCGGCTATACGCGCTCGCGTCCACACGCGTCTCTTGAGCAGCCCTTTATCAACAATCAAGGCTGCGTTTTGCTTCTGAAGACAGGATTCTATTGCGAATGGCCAATTCGCCACCTAACGATGAATATTTCAAATTAACAAATATAAAATAGCAGGTGAGCCTCGAAAAATACACCGGCACTTTCCTTATTGACAGTGCTCTCCCAGTAGTTACTGCAACCCTCCGTACTAGATGCGTCATGACCACCAGACAAAATTCGTCTATTTCGTCCAACTCACGAACAAAGTTGAAGAATTTTCGATACATTCCTAGTGAAGAAAGCGAAATGCCATTGACTAAAGCACCGGATGTCAAGGTTCCCAAGGATGCCGCCAATGCCGACAAGGAAAACCAAAAGTCCTGGATGAATGGCGTAGCAAAGCCGCCTAAATCTCCTTCCAAGAGCCAACCATCAACACAGCCAAAAGACCAGAAGCAGACAAAGGAATGCCCCAAGACTCCTGCGAACAGAATACCTCTCGCAGATCTCATTAGCAACGCGGAAGATGCTATGAACGATGTGTCGGAGAAAGAAATGACACCAGATGACTATATATCGTGGCAACCAGCTCCTCCCCAAAGCTCAAGTACAACTGCTGGGTCCAAGGGGCGACGAAAGAAGCGTCGACATAATTCCTCTCCTGCTAGTTCGCCGCTGAGGACAGGTAAATCCAGCAAGCCAAAAGAGCCGTTCGATCTCAAGACCTTCCAATCTCTCTTGAAAACGCCGCAGAGTGATATAGCGACTGATTTGTGGAATAATTACGTTGGCAAAAGCAAGCTGGAAGGTGCTCTCGACATTCCAGCCAAATTCGCCAACTTATCTTCCTCCCCACGAACTCCCATATCCGAGAAACTTGCACGAGATTCTTCGGGATTGCGGCGGTCTGCTAGTTGCAACGTTGACTGGCCATCTTCTAAAACGAAGCGAAGAAGGATTGACGGCCCGAATGGCCTGCGTACTACCCGCGATATTTTCTCTCGCTCGAGGAGCAATGTCCTCGACTCTGGGAGCTCAAAGAAATTGAGCTTCCTTCTGGATAAAATCCAAAATAACCTCGCTAGTGCAAAAGTGACTGCTGAAGTCAGGTCGCCTTCTTCTCCCTTGCCCGCTCAGAATGATCGACATGGAAAAAACTTGCCTTCGCCATCGAAAGGCCAAAGAAATTGCGAAACTGCTGCTGGCCAGCACATTCCTCAGGTTGCCATGGAAGGGAATAAGCCCGCCGATCAACCACAGGCCCTTCGTAAAGAAAAGGCAATGAGATCTTCATCATCTGAATTTAGTGATGACGATTTTGATGAAGATATATTAGCTCTTGTCGAGTCATCCACGGATCCCTTTACAGATTCCGAAAACCTAAAAAATACAATGCCCCAAACACCCGTCAGCCGAAAGTCATTTAATATCGAACAGTCACCATGCCCCATCGACAACGCCAATAAGAGGACATTCATAGCATCGAAACAAGGTCAAAGTGACGATGAGTTCGATGATGATTTAGGAGAGGGCATGGAGGAAATACTTGCGCAATACGATGAGAAAAAGCCACCTCAGCATGACTCTATTCTTTCACAGACAAGGCCAGAAGCTAAGTCGAGCAATAAACCGAGTTTTTCTTATCCTGTCAAGATGCAAGAAGCCCAACCCATTGCGCATGTGTCTCTAGTTGATGAATTTGATGATGACGACCTGGATCTGAATGGCATAGATGAAAATGCACTTTGTGGTTTGGATCAACACGACCAAGTTGGTAACCCTTAGCATGGTTTTCATTAGATACTTACTTCGAGTTATGTGAATAGAAGTCCAAAGCTCAGCAAGCTATCAAACGCTACCTCATTGTACAAATAGCGCAAAGCCAGTATGTAAACCAAAAAGGCCGTATTCAGGCAGAGCAGGTCAGCAATCTTCTATTAAACCATTAAATCTCTAGCGAAGAGCTGAGTAACTTATAATAATCCAGGTGCTCTCAGTTGAAGACGAACGAACTCGTCTCAAGAAGGTGATCATTTTACGCGAGACTTGGTTCGACACGCCTTGTACGAAAAACTCCTACGTCCATCTAATAGGAGATTTTGACAACACTGGCCAATGTATTGTGGATAACTCTCATAACATGATCATTCTTCACCCAGATCACCTCATTTCGGCTACTGTTGTTGCCGATGCAGTGACATGTCAAAGACGTGCGGTCTTGCAAGATCGAGTCAAGGCCACTTCCGATATCAACAGGCCACAAGTTTTCGGCCACATCCTCCATGAAGTTTTCCAAGAAGCCCTGAAGGCGAACCGATGGGATCTGCAATGGATGCGGACGATGATTGAGCAAGTTCTCGTTCGATATGTCGAAAGTCTGTACGCCATCCATATGTCCATGGCTGAGGCCGTCGAGTATGTGACAAGTAAAGTCTCCGAATTGCAAGCCTGGGCCGATGTGTTTCTTCGTTCCAAACCGAGTGTAAGTTTTTGAATGTGGTAAAAGAGAAAGCTTCTAATTCTAACCTTCAGTTACAGGCAGAATCATTGGTTGAAGACAGACATAACACCAAGGCTAACCTGAGCATTAATAAATTGCTAGAGGTCGAGGAGCACATCTGGTCGCCAATGTACGGCTTGAAAGGAAATGTTGATGCGACTGTTCAAGTAGTTTACAACGACGTTGATGGTCAAAAAACATTGACAATACCTCTTGAAATGAAGACAGGGAAGAAGGACACGAGTCATAGCCACCGGGCTCAGACCGCACTATATACCCTCCTCCTTTCTGACAGATATGGTAAGTTGTTTCATTTTTTTAGTGTGCGTCTTGTGGTTGTAATCAATACTGACAACACGGAAGACATCGAGGTTACTTTTGGACTTCTCTACTACCTTGAAATGACGAAGATGTTTCGGGTCAGGGGAGTTCGTCATGAAATACTGCAAATGATTCAAGAGCGAAATCGATTGGCAGGGTTTGTTCGTGAGAAGACGGAGCTGCCACCTATGATCAAACGACCCCATATGTGCAAGCAATGTTACTCAAAAACGTCCTGCTTTGTCTACCATAAACTCGTGGATAATGGTGACGGTGAGACTAGTGGTGTAGGCGAGAAATTCGATGAAGCAGTTGGCCATCTCAACGCACAGCACGCCGAGTTCTTCAAGAAATGGGATAGCCTACTCACAAAAGAGGAGAAGGACATGATGAAATTTCGACGCGAATTGTGGACGATGCTCAGCAAAGAGCGAGAGGCTCTCGGCCGCTGCTTCGCTGAAGTTGTCGTTGAACCAGGCTCTACTTACGAAGACACTAATGGTCCAAAAATCAATCGTTATCGGTACACATTCATCAAATCGAACCCACCTCCAAGCTTTTCATTCACAGATTCCCAAATCACAATTGGTGAACCGATCGTCATATCTGATGAGAAGGGCCATTTTGCATTGGCAAATGGTTACGTTCTTAACATTAGCCAGAGACGGATTACTGTTGCAGTGGATCGACGATTACACGATGCACGAGTCAAAAACAGAGGATTTGATCCGCACACAAATCAAAATTTCAAGGGCTTGATGGAACTCGACAATGACAGTAATCCAGGCTCATGCGAAACTAAGGATGAAGAACAGATGGTCTACCGGCTTGATAAAGATGAGTTCAGCAACGGCATGGCTACAGTTCGAAACAATCTTATCTGCATGATGGAGAAGGATTTGTTCCAAGCTCTCCAGCTCAGGAAACTTATCATTGAGGGACAGGCACCTAGTTTCAAAGCCCCGTCCTCTGCAATTCAACTATCATCATCGGCGCAGTCGGGCCTGAATGTTGACCAAAGACAAGCCATTGACAAAGTCATGAGTGCAAAAGACTACGCACTCGTTTTAGGAATGCCCGGTACAGGAAAGACAACGACAATCGCCCATATAATCCGTGCCTTGGTTTCTCAGGGAAAGAGTGTACTGTTGACTTCTTACACACATACTGCTGTCGACAATATCCTGCTTAAGATTCGAGATGAAAATATTCGTATTCTTCGCATCGGTGCTACGGCAAAAGTGCATCCTGAGGTGCAGCAATTCGCTGATCTAGCCGCGGTTCCCAAAAAAACGATCGAGGAATTAAAGGATTCATATGAACAGTCAAGGGTCGTGGCTACAACATGCTTAGGCGTGAATCACCCTATTTTCAACGAACGTATCTTCGATTACTGTATCGTCGACGAGGCTTCCCAGATCACCCTTCCTGTTTGCCTTGGGCCTATCCGAATGGCAAAGACATTCATTTTGGTTGGCGACCATTATCAATTGCCGCCGTTAGTTCAGAATAAAGAGGCCCAACAGGGCGGTCTTGACGTGAGCTTGTTCAAACTTCTATCCGATGCCAACCCATCATCTGTCACAAACTTGGAGCACCAATACCGGATGTGCGAAGAGATCATGCTTCTATCCAACAACCTGATCTATTCCGGGCGCCTCAAATGTGGAAATGCTCAGGTCGCTTCTCGGTCACTCACTATACCGAATCTCCATGAGGGGCTCAAAAGCCATCATATCACATCTCTGATGCAGATGTCCTCTGAACGATGCCTCGGTTCTAATCAAGGACGCTGCTGGATCAAAGATTTACTCGACCCATCGGTCAAGACGAGGCTTGTCAACACTGACACGCTATCCGGTCTCGCTCCAGAGATCTTGAACGGTTCCCGAATCACAAACCCCTGCGAAGCAACACTTTGCGCACAACTCGTTGATTCGCTCATATCATCGGGAATTTCACCGCGTGAAATCGGAGTCATCACCTTCTATCGCAGTCAATTAGCATTGCTAAGGCACAAACTACGACGATATTCACATCAATTAGAAATGCATACAGCCGACAAGTTCCAAGGAAGGGACAAGGAAATCGTGATATTGAGTTGTGTGCGTAGCAACAAAGATAATCAAGTGGGCGAGCTGCTGCGCGATTGGCGCCGCGTGAACGTAGCCTTTACTCGAGCACGCACAAAATTGCTCGTTATTGGTAGCAAGTCCACACTTCGAGACGGCGACAAGTTGCTATCAAAGTATGTATCGCTTATGGACCAGCATCAATGGATATACGATTTGCCCAAGAATGCTTTGGAAGATCATGTTTTTGAGTCCAGTGAAGAGCAGGGGTTTTCGCCAACACAGCGACGAATAACAATGGCCAATTCGCCAATCGTGGCAAGATCAGTTGACATACTAGGTTCTAACCACAATCGAAAACGAAAACGCCATTCGATGTCGAATGGTAGTCCGCTCAGTCCTAGCGAAGGAAATAGGGCCAAGAGGACAAAGAAGATCAAAACGCCGGAGAAAAGGGGTAGTAAGGGGCTGAATACTGACCGGTTTTTGAACTCAAGGCCTGTTTTGAATGACTTGATGAATGAATACATAGAGTGAACAATGTATATATTGTTCTTGGGTAGTCTTTATTCTGGGTATTGTCTTTGGATATTATGGGGTTTTCAGTACTATGGAGTGAATATTCAAGTTTGGACTATTGACCGATCACACAATCATGATAGCGTTATAATGAACTACATGGATATCAATATGGTTTTCCTATGAACATCTTGAAGGCATTGAAGATAAGAATATGCAGCTTCTATTTTTCTAATGTAAGGGTATCATGGTTCCAAAAAGGAAAGGATTTCCAACTCCAGGATAAAAACAATGGCCATGCCCTTTATAACTCAAAACGCCTAAAGATCAATAGATTTTCCGCCGCCGAGGCCCTGCCATTCGGCTTGCCCAAGAGCAATAAGCAAGGAAAAACCATAAATTGTTATGGAAAACGCTTGCATCAGGGCCTCGCCAGGTGATGACATATGTGTGAACGCATGCGTATTGCTGTCATTTTCTCGTTTGGTTCGTTGCCCTATTCTCTGTCTGTCCTTGTCGTATAAATCACTGTTCGTATAAACTAGGTCGAAGCTTTGCGACGTTCTGCCGGTGCATTAAGGTAATCCCGAGTTCCATCGCTATGATATTTGAAACGAGCACGATTGTTTGGATTCGCCTTGAAGTTTTTAGGCATGGATAGCGGGTCAAACACAATTTTGAATTCCCGAGGCTGTTGCTGAGATTCTGAAGGCCGCTTTAGTCCCTTGGGGGAGGACCCTGGTGTCTTGTTTGATTGTGTTGAAGACGATGATGGTGTCGCAGAAGGTTGTCTCGAGGAGTCTCCCAACGTACTATAGGATGGCGCTGGCCCATTTTCCTCTAGCTGCACATCCAAAATGCCCTCCAGCTGTACATCTAAAATATTGAAGGTAGGCTGTAGCCAGAGATTGTGCGATTCACTGAGATGGGGGGCTGATAAAGATGGGTGGTTGATAGGCTGGTCGATGGCCAACATGGCTGGGTTGATGCAACCGACTCGTTGATAGGGGTTGCAAGGCATAGCCCTATTAGACACGGTAGCTATGCCGATTGATTGGAATGAAAGTGTGTCGGTCATCTAGCGAGTGGAAGCGATAGAGCAAGGAGCAATACGCAATAAGCGAGGGGATAAGAAGATGGCGTAGATAGATGGTCGAGATGAAGACGCTTTAGGTTTCGAGATTTTGCAGTAGAGCAGGAGCGTCTGCCGTGTGTCTCTGCTTAAAGCCGACGCAGGAGCAGGCACATATTGAGGCAGCGAGGCAGGAACGCAGGAGTATGGTTCGCCCACCCTTACGAGCGCTGCGTCGACCCAATGAACTCCCATGCCAGAAAACGAAGACTGCCAGGCCCTGTCCTTTCGGGCATAGTAACTACAGCATACCCATCGCCATTTTCCACTGGCTGTCTGCGAAACGAGGTCGCCGACAAGGCAGCCCAGTTTCGCGTGTCTTCGGCGTGGCTCCTGTGCTGGTTAGTGACGAAACCATTGCTCAAAGAACAAGTTGCTTTACTCACAGAAGGGCAACGAGCAGCCGTGTAATCCAATTTGACGTCATGATTCCATGCCAGCGAAGTGTCACCAGAGCCAATGACTGCAATTGTCCAGTGTCTGATTGTGGCACTGAGTAGCGACTGAGATAGCGGTCGATTACGTCGTTCACCTGTATTCTGGGAGACTCGAGCGATACCAGCGCGAGCCATTCCGAAATGTCATTGCAGTAGTCTTCCAGGCGATTCTGCGAAACTGCCGAAGCAATTTCATTTGTAGACAACGCCGGGACGTACATTGGGGGATGGTCAATTTCGCTGAACCGGCAATTGCGTAGTTTTGGTTGATGCCTTTGCAGGATCCGCATGGCTATATAACTCAACAGTTAGCCACATTACGGGAGATCCTTGAGGTCCTTACAAGGCGAGATCTTTACCTTGATCCAGAGAGCCCGAGGATGACGGATCAACAAGAAGTAGCCACGTAAGCGAGGAATTGAGGACGTTTTTGCAAGCCCATACAATGCGCTCGAAGCCTTTCTTGCCATGCAGCATGGAGGGCTGGCGCAAGTCCAACTCGATCACTGTTCATTCAAGAGTCAGACAGTGCTCATAATAGGACAAAAAGAGAAGACCAACCAAATCTTTCCTTCGCATGCTTTCGACCTCCGCTTCGAACTGGCTTTCCTGTGAGGCCGGTGCGCTCATATCTCTCCTTATTCAGCTCGAGCGTCAAGGTTCCTGCCGTTTTGAGAGGGAACGTCAGCCTCGACGACAATACAACTCTATTCAAATATCTTTCTCAACGGTTTCTTCCTTCAAAACGCCACGCTTCGCGTTTCTTCTCATTGTTTTGTATATTCATCATGGTTCTCTTGTTTTATTCTTCTCATTCTTTAATCCTGACTTACCATCTTGAACGGAATAAACGTCATCCACTCCTGGTCGACCTTCTGAGACCATCAAAGCATAACCTGCGCGTGTCAACACCGCTACATGGCTTGAGAATAACAGTGAGTACTTTACCTGTCTTGATAAAAGTGTTGAAAAATTCACCATCTAACAACGAGGTTAAAGGCATAATAACCTGGGCATACTTTGGCGGCTCGATATTCGCGCGTATTGAGTCCCATACTGCTGTATAAACATCTTTTGGTAGTATCAACTCCGTCTAAAACGCGTCAGATGACCTAAACTCAATGGCCTTTCTATAGTACCCTCGAAGGGGAAGCTCGAGAGGGAAGAGAGAATAAAAAATTAGGTATCGTACTGTGTGCACAAAGGCATGCTTTGAAATGGTCGAAAATGGAGCTTTTCGAGGCGGCGCATGTTCAAGATCGACATTAGCCGGCAAGCTACCAACTGAAAAATAAGCCTTCTCGTGGGCTGACGCATCGTCGGAGAAATCAAGCATCGCCGCGACAAAATTTCGAGTAAGCAACTCTCATATCCCCCAGGCGGTTCTGTGGTGCGTTTTGCGCTGTCACGGCTATTCTGGGAGCCGTCGAAGTCTTCTCTAAATATTCTGGAAAATCTCCTTTCAAACTGAGGTGAAAATAAGCTTACAGGGCTAAAAGAAATTGCGGGGAAGATGCCCTATTATTCGAGGCGGCCGTCCAAGGGCGTCCGTCTCCCTAGCGCACGCTGGCGCCAGGTAGATGGGGCTGCCATCCGACCAAATCATCATGAAGTAGCCTTGTTGGCAAGTTGAATGTCAGAGTAATTTACACCGAAAACCGGATTTTATGGCTTATCAGCCTCAATAAGGAATGAACCAACATGCCTTTGCCTAATGAGATTCCTTGTTGTGGGAGAGTACGGAATGCAAACTATGAGCCTGGCTGAGAATTCAGGATGGTTTACTGACGTTAACCAGTTCCGCATATATGAACCTTTGAAAAAAACAAAGAAAATAAAAGAAACAAAAAAAAACCGCCTAGCTTCAAAGTTTGCATTTGATTAGAGAGTTTATGACCATGAATCAAGACTGTGCAAAGGACAGAATAGATCGGCAAGGCTGAGCTACCCTACGGGTTGTACTACTAATTGCATTCCTAGAGTTTAGCATCAGCCTCCTCAGGAGCCTACAGAGCATGACTCTCTCAGCCCTTAAATAGGCATCTAGGGGCTCATATAAGACCTCACACAGGAGTATATCCACGGGACGAGAATTCTACAAAGGGATTTCCCGATATGGTTCTTGGAGAACCCAAACACATAGCGTGGCAAAGATAGAATAACGGCCTAGCTGCCTACTACTTCTTGGTCTGTCTTCGAGGATCAAGGCAAATAAACAAGAAATGCGAGTGTCAAGATCTATATATAGCAATATAGTACATGTAAAAAGGGCACAACTACAGACTGATATCAATGTTTTCCACTCGCGCTCACTAGTCATTCTTAATATAGATATTCATGAACTCTTGAGTCATCTGAAACGTGTTCCTACAATATTGAAACAAGAGGAAAACAAAACAATGCGATATGCGAAGAGCAAAGTACACTGGTCTTTTTCCAGAAAAAATTTTTCATACCCTCCGGTGCCGGCGCCTAAACTGCTCTGCCCTGCACTGACGTTTGTAGACATAAAAGTATGGTACCACTCGCACATGTCAGCCCATCAGCCATGGAACTGCAAATATTCTGAGGTCATAATGTTCGCGGTATTTCTTTGCAGCGGAGCCTTGATTTTGAATATTGCCTTATTGTCAAGGACTGTAAATGAATAAGTTTGTATCGAAAACGGATCATCATATATTTATAAACACCCTTTATCGATTATGTGTGACCAGATCAGGAGATAAGCAAATTTAATTCTTTCATAAATAGTCATCACATGGTATCTCCTAACTTAGCCGCAATCGTTCCTCTACATGTCCAGACAAAAAAAAATAGGAATAAAAAGAAAACGAGCCAAATAATACAACTGCAAATCATCCTTGATAAACTGTTCTTCGTTTACAGTCCCCCGCCAGCAGCACCAACAATCCTGAGCCCACCAGCATTTCCGCTATCAGCCATCAAAGAATACGCGAGCCAGTACCGAGTAGGATGCCACGCCACAGCTGGAACACCAGAACTGACAGGTATTGTGTGAACGCTTTCGCCGGTCTCGGCATGAAAGATCTCCAGGCCATGAGAGCTGATCTCGTCACTCGCGCCGCACAAGAACCGTCCGTCAAAGCTCCAGCTGACTCCGCGTATGGTGCCGCTGCCCTCGCTAGACACGGTTCGTCGACATGCCCAGTCCGTAGTATCCCATAACGAGATCAGCGCGTCGCTTCCTCCAACGGCTAGATAGCGGCCGGTTGGCGCCAGAGAGAGTGCTAAACAGGCAGAGCTGTGGGCATTGAGGGTGTGTTGTAGTTGAAATGACGGGTAAGAGAATATCTTCACCGTGCCTTCGCCCGTTGTAGCAAGAAAGTCTAGTTCTGGCGCGGATTCTGTAGGGACGTGGTGCGAAAATGTCGTCGCGTTTGTTTGCGTGTTTTGTGGGTATGAGGGTAATAGTGTATATGTCGACGTGTTTTTCTCGGTCATCGATGCGCCGTTCAGGCCATTGAGCGTAACGGTTGGCGTTGATGGGCTCTCGATAGATACAGGAACCAAGGTATCGTCCTAAAAGCCACGTCAAATCAGTATCATTGATTACCGTATAAAATATCGCGCTTTGATTTACCTTCCTGCCAACAACAAGAACCTTCCCATCCGCTGACCATGACAACGTGAACGCCTCCCCACCGACATCTAGTCGACTCACACAGGTCTTCGACCGCACATCCCAGAACCGCACTGTTCCATCACTCGAGCAGCTGGCAAGTTCAGCATCCCGAACAGGGTTGAACAACACCTTCTCTATCCCCCCAGAATGGCCGCGCAACTCAGTCGAGTATCTCGCATTCGCGCGTTCCGGGTTCCATATACGCAATGTCCGGTTTGCGGAGCCAGTGGCTATTAATTGGCCCGTTGGGTTCCAAGCAAGTGTCCGAATTCTATATCAAACAGGAATTGTCTTAGTCAAATTGCGCGTGTAGAATGCCTTTTATGCACATAGAGGCCCTGGTGGCGTTTTGCGCCCTGCAGGATGATCGGAGCGAACGAACATATGAGACCCAGGTCCCCGTGCGGCAGGATCCTGGTAGTTTTGAGTCTTTAATGAGCCGAATATATAACCGAATCGGTCCTTGTGAATGAATCGCCGGTCGGGTTGTTTGTGTGCCATCTTGGGAGCTTGCGATCACGTCGAGATCTTCGAGGTCGATGTCCGAACGCCGCGCCTATTCCGCGATGGGTGTAGCTGTGGAACGAAGGCCAGCCTTCATTCGCATCGTCTCTGGAGGTCTAAATAGGTAAAGAAATTTCTCCTCACTAGTCATACGCCATACGACCGGTTTGTAAGGGGTGTTGACTTCGAGTCTCAAAATGACAAAAATGCGGGATGAAGCTTTCAGGTTGTGGATCGCTGCTGCCTGAGGCACCAATAAGACATTCCCCAGCATGTTTTGCATGTTTTAAGAAGACAATGTGGTAGAAACGCTGAATGAACCTCTTAGAATTTCTAGCTATTCAAAATGTTATTATGTGAGAAATTATTATGCGGTAAAGTATATACTCAAATCAAATAGCAAATCACAACAGGTGCATAACATAACGATCGTGGATATCTTCGAGATTTGCCAAATGTACTCCGCCAGCCCCAAATCCCAGAACATGTCCAGCTCTACATATTTCTATATATATCATCAAATTTGACAAGAAAGATTGCCGCCTGGTTTCCAAATAAAGACTGTCATTGGGGCCATCCGTTCCAACCCATGCCTTGCAGCATTTGTTCGAACTGACGATTAGAAAGGGGATCTAAATCATCGACCATATTATTAAGCGAAGCGTCCTCGAACCCTGTAGGTTGCTCCAGTGGATGTGACCAGCCTGCATTTAGGGCAAATGGGTTTTCCATGCCTGTTGAGTCGATATCGACGTTCATCGTTGCCGTATCGAAGAAGTGTGGAGTCGAGCCACTGAAGTGGTGGGATGGATCATTGCCATCGAGGTTGAAAGACGCTATATCAGGAATGGACGAGCTCTTGTTGATATTGTCATTTTGCGGCTGAGTAGTTGACAATGGCTTGTCCATGCTTGAGGGAGTAATAGCAGCATTCGATGAGTTCATGGTGGCGGGTGAGGCTTTATCAGACCCAGACGGATTGTCACTGAGGTTAAAAGAGGGAGAGATGTTCATTTCATTGTTCGGCCATAACTGATTCTCATCAATTCCAGGACTTGCATTACTATTTGAATTCACAGATCTATTAGTAGATCCGGGGTTATTCAAATTGTAACCGCGCTGTCGGCTTGGGACAGAGCCAATATTCTGGGATGAAACAGAGCCACCTCGGCTGTCGGGGGAATTGGTATTGCCAATCTCCGTGGCATTCTCTAGGCGTATATTAGCAATTGTGGAACACTCATCGAATGGTTCCTAAAGCACGTCAGCACGAGTCACAGCGTAGCCTAGATAAATCGTACCTTTTGCTTTTGAGACGTATTATTTGTCGTTGAAAGGCCAAACTCGCTCCCCGCCAGATCAACATCTAATTGAATCAAAAATGATTCCGTGAGGGAACTGTACTGTTTCAATGCATTCAATGCAGTAAGCAGGAAATGCAATGAGGATTTGACAGCTTGGTCATCCGCTCGTGATTTAAGATATTGTACGAAAACCCGAGCAGCAACGTAAAGACAAAACGCGACAAAAGGGTTCATCTTTGGCTTATTAGCATATTATAACGATCTATACTGTTAAAAAGGGGAGCTTACCAAAGATAAATCTGTATGGCTGACCATCTTCATTATACTCGCAACCTGATCCGCGGCGATGATACACCGTCTTTTGCTTTCTGCCGCAATTTGATTTTGGAATTTGTTCTTCTCAGCTTTGAAAATAGCAGCTTGATGTAAGCAAATCGTCGATGTATGGATACTCATATTGGCAAAAATGATGTTCGGGTCTGAGATGCCATGTGGTAAACGAAGCGAGCTCGGTAGCGAGAGTGAGATATTCAAGAGTATGTTGTCATAAGCCCGGTGCCGTTTCCAGAATTCACCATTCACATCGCCTTCCCTATCCTGGGAGTCAGGACGATGGAGATGGGTGAGATTAAGACCGAAAATGCACGACATCAAAGCCACGCTCCCTAAAGGAGATAAATTTGCAATATCGCCAGCCAAAACATCTTTCAATGTTGGTGCTACCTCGGCCTTGCCAGTCACGAAAGCATCCTCGCTAGCAGGAAGATTCGTCATAATCTATAAGTAATGGGTTAGAAAAACTTTGTGTGCGGGTAGTGAATCATATTACATACGTCTCTCTCGTCAAATATCATAGGCCACCCCGTACCAATACTAGCATAACGGTCATGGCAGAAGGCTATCCAAAACGTTCGGCGTCTTTCTTCTCTCTCAATCCAGTCGCGAGGCGGTGGAATGCAATGCTTGACGTCCAAACCAACTCCATCTAGACGATTGAAGCACATCATCGCTGTCAGTCTCGCCCCTCTCCCAACACTAATCCAAGCTCTTGGAAATAGCATTTGTTTAAATTCGTACAGTGAGATCAACAACCATGCTTGACAGTGAGCTACACTGACGATGTGCTCTCCGTGACCTTTCATCTCATCCAATTGGATATACTTTCGGGCACGCGCGTAAAAATGTTCTTCCAAAAAGGCGTATTTCGGTGTAATAGAGGCGGTCAATGCCCACATGATATAGCGCAAACAGACCGGAGGGCGCATATTAGGAGCCAAGTTCATGGCAGCATAGAAACGAGGGCGATGAATCATTGGCGTGGAGGGGTGTACTTTTGAGAAGTACAGTCTAGTCCTGCGAATTCGTAAGTAAATTTTCGTACGGCTTTATCGCTTCTGCAAACCTACAGTTCATCCATAACTTCCTGAGTCGGTAGTGGCTCTTCTAACCCCAAACTGATTACTTCCCACGAGGATTCCGAATTATTTGAATCTGCAGGAACAGAGTTTTGGAAGAGTTGAGTCTGGCCCAGCCCTTCTAAGAGTTGCTGGAAAGAGTTATTTGACATAGATGATATATCTGACGGTCTCTGAAATGATTCCAACGGATTGGGAGGGGTCTGTCGGCTAGCCGATGGGTTTTCTGGTTCCTTATTTCTAATAAACGTCTCGACCTGCGCTGCACGACCCAGTCAGTAAGAACTTTCTCATGTTTCCTCAAGGATCAAACTGCAATCGAAACATACCAAGTCTTGCCTCTAGCTGCTTGACGTATCCTCGCTTTGGGCCGCTCTTCTTGCGAACTTCATCATAGGCGCAATTGTGGCCCACGCGGGCACATGTCCCACAAGTGGGCTTTATTCCATCGCATTTCAACTTTCTCTTCCGACAAATAACGCATGCCATTCTTTTCGGGCGTGGGATAAAGTTATTATCGTCTTCGTTTGTGTTGCCACCAGCATTTCCGCGTTGGGGCTGGAATGAATCTTGAGACATAGGTTCCCCAGAACCCTCGTTCGATGAGCTATCATTCCGAGATGTCATGGTCGGCCATAGAATGTCGACAACTCGGTATACTTTTGATGGCTGAAAACGCTCGTAGGCGAACTCGGTCGAAAATATGCTGATGGTATCGATGAGCGAAATCTCACTAAGCCCCAGTAATACAATCAAGTGGCGATAATGCTAGCAATTTGTTCAATAATATCCCTATAATATGCGGAAACCGTCGAGGTTGGAAGATGGGGTCGCTTGGATCGATGCAGGCAGCCTAGGCTTACGACGAGCAATAGCAGGCGGTCTGGTCGGACGAATACGTGCGGTTGAGATGGTGCAAGACTGAATCAATTTTGTGTCGCTATTCAGTAAGGTATCATGGGCGATAGGCCACAGTCATAGCGAACGTTCGTAGACTGTATAGTATTGAGCCCAGCAATTCTTAAGAACAATCGTCAGATATTGGGGTTGGTAGACTAATCTGAATCCAGGTGGGTTGATGATTTAATCTGGAATAGCTACCGGAACAGTTCGGCCGTAATGCCGAGAGAGTCTGAATGCGGCAGTAGAGCCCGAATCTGGCGGTAGGACAAGCTACGCAATTAATCACAAATGTATAAAAAAAAAGAAAATAATAGCTTCATAGAAATGTTTTGTGAGAAATTCAATGTATTGTACAGAGAGACAATCGGCTATAGATGCAATAAGAAAAAATATCTGCGTCAGATGAAGGATCGTGGCCCCGAATAAGTGTACATGAAAAAGTCCCAACGCCCTATATGAACAACAAATCAAGTGCTGGTCTTAGTATTGTCACAGATATCATCGCATGCATTTTTTAGAATTAGTTGTAGCCTCTACGCCGCTTTCCCTGGTTACGCACACGAGGAACAACGACAGCTTTGTTGATTTTCCATTTGGGTCGAGTTTTGTAACCGGATTTAGTCTGTGCAGTGAATAAAAGTTAGCTTGAAGAAACTAGGTATATCAAGCGTTCCTGCAGAATATCACATACCGGAATACCCCAAGGACTCTTAGGGTCAACATTTCCCTTGGATTTACCACGTCCACCACCGTGAGGATGGTCCATGGCATTCATAGCTACACCTCGCACAGTCGGGCGAATACCGAGCCAACGAGCACGACCAGCTTTTCCGAGCTGGGTATACTGGTAGTTGGGATTACTTGCAACTCCGACTGTCGCGCAGCAGTCTTTGTGAATCAAGCGAACTTCACCACTCTGAAGCCGAATCGTTACATGTTCGGCATCGCGTTTTGCCTTTTGTCTTTCGCGCTGTGTAAGCTTCTTTTCCTCAACTGTCTCACCAGACTGGGCTTGAAGCTGCTGTTTGCGTTCCTCGTTCTTCTGCTGCTCGGTCCCCTTGGCAATAACCGTTGCAAATGTTCCAGCACTTCGGCATAATTGGCCCCCCTTTCCGGGTCGCAGACCAACATTGTATATTAGCGTGCCGACAGGTATCATGTGTAGAGGTAGGCAATTGCCTCTCCATGCCGTTCGTGCAGCCAAGACACCAGGATCAATCACACCTCCCATGCTCTTCCACAAGTCATCCGGAATGCCAGGCATATAGCTTTGGATAACATCGCCGGCTCGCATGCCATCAGCGGCTAAGACGTAGCTCAATTTACTCGTCACTTTCGACCTAACCAGAGCGATATGTGCTGTACGACCCGGGTCATGTTCAATTCTCTCTACAACATGCGGGCCGGGCGTATCTCTGGCAAAGTCGACCATGCGAATTCGACGTTTGTGTCCACCACCGCGATGGCGTACAGTTATATGGCCGGTGTGGTTACGGCCTCCTTTGCTCTGGCCTCGCTTGGGAAAGGTCAATCTGTGCACAGGACGGCCTTTCCACAGATGGTCGTTGATAGGTCTCCGCAAGTGTCTAAGACCAGGAGTTCGGGGTTTGTATCTTCGAACAAGAACTCCGACTTCACCTCGAGTCGGCGGAGGAGCAAATGTGATGCTTGGGTCGTAGGATGATTCCTGGACAGGCGGCGTCTCGGTTTCTTGGACAACGGTCGCATACGACCGGGCGTTGAATGTCGAAAGGCATCGGTAGGGAAGCTGCAGCGCCCTCGCGAAGAAACGGGGTTGCAGCATGGCTGCGATCCAGGTGGGCGAGTCGCACCTCGAAAACAATATTGAACTGAACTGGTTCCAAGAAGTGCAATGCATCCACAGACGGATCCCAATGGCAGCAGGCGGGGTCAGGATGCCAATTGGCGCCGCTGGTAGATTGCTCGCTGGTCACTCTGATGGCAATCAATTGACCCGGCCAAAAAAGTATGTTCCTGCCCGGTCACATGATATCCGCACGGCCACCACGCTGCCGGGTACGCCACAGTGGCTGGGGCACCACGTGACTGCGCGACACGCCTGTTGCCGCAGCGACGGCCGTGTTTTGCTCTCCACCCGCGCGCTCCTCGCATCGCAGACCCGCTTCCTGCTTCACGCCCATCGACGCCCTCGCTGCAGATAATACAGCACCCGCTTAGAAGAAAAGTCGCGCCATTGTTACCGCCCCGGCTTGTTGTTATGGGAATACAGTCTGTATTTTGGCCCTACCCTCATAAATAGCCTTCCAGGCGCGTCATCTTTTCATTCTTCCAAGCTGCCTCTCATAATTACGCTGCGTGTCTGTCCCGTACGCTGCTGTCTCCTGTCCCATACTATTATCTACTGTTGTCTACGGTCTCGATACTGTCCATCTTATGTGCAATTGACCCCAGTCTTTGCCGGTAAGCATTCCTCACCAGATTGCACGCATTTTTCCCTTGCCGCTGGTATCGTTTGTATGGGCAGAACGCGAGGAGGCCGTGGTTGGCAGTGGGGCATTACCGTCACTGACACCGGCTGCCACGCTAAAGGCCTAAGAGCCAAACATCACACCTTGGGCCTGCTCAATTTCACTCTACCTACCGCCCTCCTCATAGAAACGCTTCCCTTCCCAGCCCTGACAAGACTTTGTACATTCCTCACTATATTGTACTTACTCATTTTCACTTCCACCGCCGAGCACTTCCTCGCTCGGAGCTGCTTACACGCTCCTAACTTATTTGTCGCGCTCATCTGACCCGCGCTTCCAAGCTTGCAGACCCTGTCAAAAACAACAGTCAACCCGTGACAAAGCGTGATATCACATCCAGAACATCCATCTACTACGTATTAATCGACTGGTATATCTCACAATTCATTGAGATTTGCAGCATTGAGTATATTTCCACGTGAGGTATGTCCAGGGATACGCATCCAAATTCCTCACCATCTCCACTCCAACGTCCACGACTAACAAACGGAATGCAGCTGGAATAACTGTGACAACGGCCCAGACGATCTTCGACATCGCTCAATTGTACTTGATCTCGGCCCCAGCCCTTTTCTTTATTCTTGACGCGTTTTCTACCATTAACGGTAGTCCATCATGCCGCCGGTAAGCTACTAATATTAATCATAATAACTTGCACTTTCAAGCGTTGTGTTTTTCTGCTGCTTCTTTCTTTTCATTTCAAACCATGTCCTCATTTGATGTTCTTCAGACACGGAGTCTCCGTCAGAGGACAGTTGCGAACGAGAACGACGAAAATGGCCCATCGACACGCCTGACCAGAGCGAAGGCTGCTGCCCTCACTACATCAGACGTCACGACCGCTGCAACGAAAAAGCCTCTCCAGAGTAAAAAGGCCAACTCGTCCCTTCCCACTGCGAACGGGACTCAAAGGAGACGCCCTGCGCTGGGTGATGTGAGCAATGTGGCCAAGACGGATCTAATTGATGCCAAAGATGGCAAGAAGCCAGCAACAAAAGCTGGCCTCACCTCCAAGGCAACCGCTCAAGCTGGTGGTGTGCAGAAGCTTAGCCGAACTAACACGACGCGCTCCGCACTAGGTGTGAAGGACAACAATATCAACAAGAAGCCCGCAACTGAAATTAAGCGTCCCGGAAGTGGCAATGGCATCAGTGGGAGCTCAATGAAACGATCCTCCAGCCAAAAGTCCATCAAAGAGGAAACCGTGCACAATGATGAGCCACCTCGCAAGAAGGTAGACGTTGAGAAGAAAAAACAAGAGACCACGAAGCAGGAAGTTACTACAATTCAAGATTCAACCGAGGTTGAAGTTGTAGACAAGGATCCCCTCGGTGAGGATGTCGTGGATCTCGATACCGAAGATCTTGGTGACCCTTTGATGGTCGCAGAATACGTGGTGGAGGTTTTCGACTACCTCAAAGATCTCGAGCTGGAAACCCTTGCCAACCCCGATTATATCGAACATCAACCAGATCTGGAGTGGAAAATGCGTGGCATTCTAGTGGACTGGCTCATTGAGGTCCACACGCGTTTCAGGCTCCTACCCGAGACTCTGTTCCTCACTGTCAACATCATCGATCGCTTTCTGTCCGCTGAAGTCGTTGCTTTGGATCGCTTACAACTAGTGGGTGTGACTGCTATGTTTATCGCATCCAAATATGAAGAAGTTTTGTCCCCTCATGTGGTTAATTTCAGTCATGTTGCCGACGAGACGTTCTCGGATAAAGAGATCCTCGACGCGGAAAGACACGTTCTTGCAACTCTTGACTACAACATGAGCTACCCCAACCCGATGAACTTCCTTCGACGTATCTCCAAAGCTGACAACTACGACATTGAAACGCGTACTCTGGGCAAATATCTCATGGAGATTAGCTTGTTGGATCACAGATTCATGGCTTACAAACAAAGTCACATCGCCGCTGCTGCCATGTATCTTGCTCGCCTCATCTTGGATCGGTCTTCATGGGATGCTACCCTCGCACACTACTCTGGATATACGGAAGAAGAGATCCAACCAGTCTTCCAATTGATGATTGACTACCTCCATCGCCCTGTGGCTCATGAGGCTTTCTTCAAGAAATATGCCAGCAAAAAGTTCCTCAAGGCTTCTATTGTTACTCGTCAATGGGCAAAGAAATATCATTCCATGTATATTGAAAGCTCAATTAACGAAAGCTACAACCAGGCCCATGGCAAATTATAATGCGAAATGAACTACGACTTGTCGATCCTTCGGGAATTCCTTTCTATTGAGATCACAACTGGGCGGCGCTATACCTGGATGGAGTTCATTTTCTACCTGGGCGTTTTTCTCTTTTCATGCGGGTGCTGGTGGATGGAACCAATTGCATTTTATCACGGCATTACTACTTTGAGCTAACTTCTATTTACCCTTCTTCGGTGTTTACTTCCTCTTGGATTGGCGCTTATCAGCTTTGCTGTTTTTTTTGTTTCTGGCTTCGCTGTTTTTAAACAGCGGAGCATACTTACTGTCTCTCACAACCTTACCCAACTTTCATCAGTATCGGGTGGTGGGATCGGTATATTTTATTTAGGCTGCGGCTCCTATTGTGGACATGGTAAACCTAGCAATATACTATCGGGTCATTCCATGCACGCAATTTGCAGCAAGAGTCATGCGGTGGAGAAGGGACACCCATACAGTGGAGGAAGGGAGTCGCGCTCATCTAAGAGAAGAGGGCTACTATAGCAGAAGTGTGGAAACAAAAAGGTGAAGGTGGTCTATAAATGCGTGTCTCAAATTCTAGTTTATTGAAGAGGGCTTCTTTTGCTTTGTGAGAAGTACGTGTCCCAGAAAGCAATTTTGGCTTGTCTCTTATTCGAATAATGTGGGCTTGGTTGGTTCTCGAGTTATTTCGTCCTTTGATTGTTTTAATCGTCGTTGTAGATATGCTTTCTATTTCCATTCCAATGAGACTTTCTACAGGTAATGCAAACATATGTGTGGCATATGTTCAACATACACCCAACCCAAGCGTAGCATGTAGTTCCAGAAAACTGGATTTCCAATGTCGCTTACTTGGACTGCGATGGGGGGAGATGGGGGTTCTCAGATACCGTTACAGATTCTCTACCATAACAATATGTAGCAGGCAATTTGGATACGTAGTAGACCCCTGATAACGTCTGACATAAAGTGAGACGTTATATATATATATATTCAACCCCCAATCTTACTCACTTCCTGCCTCGCCTTCTGTCTTGAGGGCTTGCTCGCTTGCTTTGAACTATTAGTGAGTCTTTAATATCGAGGCATAGTATGTCACTTATATGACTAACTATCTAGGTGCGTGAGCAAGGCTTGGATGCGTAGGAAGGGCTTATACGCGCTTATATACGCGTTGGAATGGACATGTTAATATTTTATAAACAATACACTTTTGTAATATAATTTCAAATATTATATATTTTAATTAATGATATTGGGCGATGTTGAATCGATTATTTTGATATGTTTTTGTAAAGAATATATCTTTCTCAACAAATACGTCTTGGCACGGGATGCACATACAAATTTGTATACATATCCAATAATAAGATATTAAAAATTAGACTCTCGTCTGGCAGCTATATCAAAAATGAATATATATAAAATCCAAAGACATTACTAAGACGTTGCTGCAACCCTAAAACGGTTGTAACAACGTATCAGGGCAGTATTAGAGTATTCCGCTATTGAATCAATGAACCTCGGCTGTGGATCACCACTGCCAAGCGGAGGCCAATGAAACCTCCATCTCAACAAGCCACAACAAATGTAACTCACTCTCAATCACGGAAGGTATTTTAATACATTGATGCATCTTGAACGTCGATTTGACCAGGTTCTATCGCGGATCTACCAATCATCCTATCAGCCTCTCCAATCTCGACACAGATATTTCAGCCAACATCTCACATCCCACCAATCACTCGGCAACATTATCCACATTTCAACCGACTCATCAAGTACCCCATATCTCAATCATCGTCATCACCAAAAGAAGCTTCAGCGAAATACCCAGTAATATAATCTTCAAAATGCCAAACCTTCCTGCAATTCCCTCTCCAACCTGCCCCTTCTGCAGCATCGCCGCCGCATACCCTCCCATCCCTCCATCATCCGCCATTCAAAAGGTTCCGCCCCGCCCAGGAAGCACAGAATCTTCCCATGCATTCCTGATCCTGTCTACGCAACATGTCCTTGCATTTTTGGATATTATGCCCTTGGCGAGAGGGCATATTTTGCTCACGAGCAGGAATCATTGGGAGAAAGTTGGCGACGTCGGAGTTCGGGTCGGCGAGGAGGTTAGTGTGCCTGATTTATTAATCATCAGACATATTTCAAAATTTAATCGAGGGACTTAATGACTCATGGCTATGGCAGTTTGGTAAATGGCTCCCGGTTCTCTCAAGGACAGCCATGCGAGTTATATTCGGTGCCGAAAGTCTTGCAGAAGAACAACATTGGAACATTGTTCAAAATAACGGTAATAAAATTCTCCACCATTTCAACCAGCCCCCTTATATATGAAGCTATGTAATGTATATCTAATTATGGAAACAGGCGAAAGAGCAGCCCAGGTGGTTCCTCACATCCATTTTCATATCATTCCTAGGCCACCGCTTGGGTCGCCTGGAGCGATGACTAAATCGCCGAGTTGGACGATGTTTGGTCGAGGGCAGAGGGAAGAGTTAGATGATGAAGAAGGGGAAGAGCTTGCTCGACGGCTAAGAGAAGAGCTCGCGAGGGAAGTTGGGCGGGTGAAGCAGGAAGAAGGTATTGATTTAGACGTCGATATAGATCATAAGTTATGATGACTGTGAGTCTGTTTCTCATCGTCAGCTGATGATAATTTACCTTGCATGTATTTGAGCAGCTTCGATTCGCCCCATGCCGTTTTCAAATGTTATATTGAGAGAGTGTCCTATCGTACATATATATCGATTGATGTAACATCAAACAAAACTATGAGTCTACCTACATCAATGGATAAAACTGAGCCCCCGGAGCCCACGGGTACTACTCAGTGAGCTATCCTTGTACAATCCCAATCACACCCTTGAGTTTTTGCTTAATCTTCGATGACCTAATATTATTCTTTGATTATCTGATCACTGAAGCTTACGGACAATTGTTTACAATAATTAGTGAATGATTAGGCGAACAGCTATTACGACAAGCCCTGGATCTACTGCTGTGTACTCTGGACTCTCCTTTCCCAAGATCACCGAGCCCAAATAGGTCCCATCTGCACAATCTACAGCGGCCAGCAATATCCTCGGAGCAATCCCAGGAGGATCCCATTCCCCAGCTCCCAGGAGTAGGAGATGCCACCAGCCGAACCAACCGCACAGGGGTGGCTCCGGTTGGTTTAGATGCTTACATGGTTCCGTCTCCCCAATTCTCGTGGTGAAGTTTGTGATGCGCTCCCTGCCTCGAGGATTGAGCTTGAAAGAATTATACCGCTGGGCACGTAGATCGGTGCCAAACACCCTCCGATGGCCATCTTCCCACGTAATCTGCACTTTGCGAATTTCCCAGTATTCGATCGCGTACCAAAAGCCCTCCCAAATCTCGATGCCTGTAACTGGCACGTTTTGGACCTCATGAAACCAGCCCTTCCCCACGCGGTCCATGGGCCTCTGCATGTGTTGACCGGCTATCGGAGGTTTAGGAGGTTGGGCTTCCGTGGGAGGCTGATTCTGGGCCGGAGGTTGAGGTTGAGAAGCAGGCTGCTCCGGCGAAGGAGATTGAGTCTGCGTTGGAGGCTGGTTGGCAATCCAATCCAGACTCTTCCAATGGTTCTCCCACTTCTCAGGCCCTCACTGCAAGACATCCGGTTTGGACGGAATGACCTGCACACACGCATATTGGCCTGCTCGGAAGAAAGTAGGTCTCTCCTGGCTTCTTGGCTTTATCTTCAGGGACCTGCAACGCGGTATCTACTGAGTCGAAGCCCGTCTTGGCCAGACCGGGCCATTCTTTAACAATCTCCCGGGGGCCCATAGATGATCTTGTCCTTCACACGTCGATCTTGACGTAGTTGGGCCCGCTGAACAGATAAGCCTCGTTGGGAACGCCAGGCACCGTCGTCCCGGCCAGGGACTTCCACTTGTCTAGAGTCTTGATGGGGCCCTCGATGATCGTATCACCTCCGGACTTGGCTGTTAACTTGATGCGGACAACCTCTAGGTCTTGGAAGAAGTACAACTCGTCCGCGACGCCTTGGACAGGGAGGATGGCGTCCACTGTGTCAAATCTCGCCTGCCCTAGGGATTTCTAGTGATCCTTGATCGATGCGGGACCCCAGGTTCGCGTCTCGGTGGAAGTGTATGGCTCCCAGCGAACGCGACAGTAGTTGTTGACCGAGAAGAAGCATGCCTCCCCGAGGTCCTTTTGGTAGAATGCGGCGTCGACCATGGTGAGGGTACAGCAGGTATGTTGTATGAATAGAGCGTTAGAAAAGAGATCCTTCGAGCGAACTCTGGAGTGCTGGGTAGTTCTGCTCAAGAGAACACACAGGGAATGTACTCTGTATTTAGCGCCTACACGGTCAAAAGAAAGATAGATACATCACACGCCCGAGTATCCAAAGCGTAATGTCCATACAAGTGGGCAGCTTGAGTATGGTCAAAGCTACGCTCAGGCCTTGACATCATGCACGATTGAGCTGAAAAAACGGTCATTTCTACGTGGAGAGCGATCTCGGAAATCTGACCTATGCTGCGGATGGCCATATTCATTGGTTCGACAATAACCGTGTAATCAGTGTCATGGGTGTACATTCTCAAGAGTCCTCCCAAATCGGTTTGTTCGTATTATTTCTGACAGCACGACAGAGAAAAGGCCGCAGACTCTGATATGCCTCGTGGCTGCATGTCTCAGAAACAACAACGAGTCTGCGCCAATCGCTGCATCATTCTGTTGCTATGCACACTATATCGTTCACTGACGGACTGACCGATTTTTCGGAGAGCTTGCTTTTTCTTCCTTTTCCCCTCTCTTCCTTTTCCTACAGGTTATTGACTTTAGGTTACGCTACAGTTGCCTATGAGCTTGCTTTTTCTAATTCTCATACTTAAATATTGATCTTCGTATCTCCAAAGGTGTAGGTTTAGCCAGCCGAGACGTTCTAGTTTCTGCGGAACTACACTTTATAGCATAATTACTGCATGTTCATGCACCAAATTACGGAATAGCACTTGTCAGATCATCATCTACAGGAGTACAAATATACACTAGTCTACTCTGCATTTGTTAGTACGTACGGGCAGATCCCACTAATGCTACCATAAGTACGCACTAACTGGCAATCCCACAATTTACTGCCTCATCCAGCAGTAAGAATACAGTGAATCAGTTTTTACTCGATAACATTATGTAGGTAGACCACAACTACGTAATCTAACAGCATACAATTTGATGCTCTGCACTGATTGCAGTAGACCCGTCCTGGCCACTTACTTCATAATTCATCCAGGACTGCAGAGGGGCGTTCTCTCTGCCGTAGTTGGGTACGAAAGGCCAGATTGATTTGAAAAATAAAATGGCAGGCTAGAAATGACAGGTTTGAAAGATAATCATGGATCTGTTCATCACGGTCGAACATGTAACCAGATCCATGTGTTCTTCAATAGGCCTTCAGCAGCTAGTGGGACTGGTGGGCATCTCCACTGTTCCGGAGGAATGATTTACGATTGAAATGGAGGCTAACACAGAACGTGCATTTTTATTCTATATTAAGTAGGACATTTACGGGCTGGGTCTGCATGACCAGACGTGTATGACATGGACTAATGTCCTTGATTGGCTTTAAAAATTTATCTAAACCCTAACCAATTTTATTGATAAATAAGAGAGGTAGCAAAAAAAACATTATAAAAAGTGGTGTAACGCGCGTGGTAAATGTGAAGGACTTAACGCAGTACTGCGGTTAGCTTCTATCATTAGAGCTAGGCAGAATCTACTTGCTAGTTTCATACCGAAGGCGGTATTGCGAGTAAATACCAGCCGTAACGAAACTATGCCGACGGGTTTTCAGCTTCCGTAACCAGGCAATGTTCCATCGGCCAACCTCAGTACGAATACCGAGACCGGTTACTTATATAATTACGCTTTTCAAACTATCGGTTCACCGATTTCGGTTACCAATACGAAGACTCCAGCAGTAAGAATTATCCCCAAAGCTAGGTTGTTATTCATCTGGGGAAATAATACATTCCTTGAATTACTCAAAGTGTAAAATTCCATTTAATTATCCATCTAGCTTATACAAACTACTGTCTTGGTTGCTGTCGAGTAGTTTCGTGACAGAGCTATGATTGCCAATGTGGAAATCTGACGACTTCTGTACTAAATAAACCGGGGGTATGTGCGCCAGTCAAAACTCCCAACTCCAGCATTCTTTGAATTCGGGAAATAGATAAGTGGGCCTGACTTGCTTTTTGCTGCATATAAGAAGAGGCCGAGAACATATTACGAGCGTAATCAAACCTACCGGACGACTATCTTAATTATAACACTTACAGCACATCCGATCCACTGGTAAACTGAGCATTCTCACGATGTCAACAGAACCAGTATGCGTCATTTCAATCCGACCAAAGGAGGGTAAATTCACCGAGGTGCGTTTGCGCTGGTATCCACCAATCAATTATTGTATTCCTAATATAACCTTTGGTGCTGACCATTAACTATAAGCTGCTAAACTTTGTATCGCCAACTTTGAAAGAAATCCAAGAGAATGTTGCTGGTGTTGTTCACGCATATGAATTCGTGGTATCAGGCAAGGAAGAGGTTATAGTTCTTGAACGGTACATGCAGTTCATTTTTCATTCCTCAATATTTCATCTCAGAGGCTTGAGACAAAGGAATTAAGAGTATCAGCTAATAAAATAGTAGATTCCGGAGCAATAATGCTATGTTTAACTATTTTAACAGTGATTACCATGAAGGATTGGTTAACAAGCTTTTGCCCTTGGCTCAGGAGCCTATTGATATTAGAAGTTCGGCAAATCTTGACCAGCTGCAGGACTGGAAAAGTGGTAGCCAGGGAGGCCATTTTACTGTTTGATCTTGAAATATCACTTCTTGGTCATCATGGTGTTCTAGCTTTTCCAGGTTATATCTGTCATTCTCTACGCTGCTAACACATACATTGGAGGAAGAATACTGCACCAAGGAATGATTCATAACTATTACCTTTTGAGTCCAGATACACAAAAGTGTGTTCATTTATGTCCAACATCAACAAAAATCTATTTCTTAGGCCGTACAAACAATTTCCTGATAGTCAAGTGGCCAAAATTAATCAGTTTGCCTACCATATCTCCCTGAATCTAGAGAAGCTCGAGAATCGAGCACACTTCTCAAACATCCACGAGTGCGTTCCTGGAATATATGCGTAGTGGTGCCCCAAAAAGCTAGGTAGAAAATTACTGCCGCTAATAACATGTTTTTCTACATTCGCATTGACATTAAGAAAATATTTGAATCTCTAGTGGAAGATAATGATATACCAGCCCCAACGAAGACGTAGCCTACAACCTGCGCCGGCCAAGGGATAGATCGACTCAAGTAGTTGGTCCAATATTACGGAGCTGACAGAAGAGCTAGAGAAATACCTATTAGGCCAAACTACCGGGCCAGCGAAGTGATTGCTTGGAGCAGTGGACCGGGAGAAAAAGATTGGTTCGGCATTATTGACAAAGGTGACTCGGCATTTGTGGGAATCTTCCCCGCACACTAAGCCCAATTAACGCGGGGAACAATGCGGGGTTGGAAACTTAGATAAAGCATACCTGTGCCTTTTTTCGTGGCAAGTTAAGTCGTTTGCGGAGGCAAGATATGTGACTATTCGTCTAGCTTTGTGGGGTCTCTTCGTATCCGCTAAATCTACTCTCGAATCGTTGGGTCTCTCTTCCTATGAGTAAGCGCCAGGCATGCGTTTAAGTTAGTTTAAGATTGGCGCTTATCTTGTCCAAAACTTAGTCGGTATATTTATTGACGCTTTGCATTGCCACAAAAAAGATCAACAGCTATTCAAGGCCATTTGGGATGATCAGTTGAGGAGTTACCTACCAATCAGTGGCCGTGGCTTAGAATTGAAAGCCTCCTATCCTCTTCATAGCTTTCGGTATTAGGGCTGGAACAAAATATGGATTAATCGAACCCCGTGGTGCTAAGCTATAAATACAAGTTCCCAAGCAACCGGTTTTCAAATAATGAATTATCCATTAATATTCATGATACTGGTCATCCATGGCTAAGCTTACAGCATACAATATCGCAATCACTTGCCTCGCGGCTTTGGGAGCCTTCAGCTATGGCTTTGGGTTTGCCATTTTCGTGACTAGCATTGGCCAGCCAGGGTTTTATACATACTTTAATCTTGATCGTGAGTCGTGGCTTGCTCGTGTACGACCTCGTGTTAGAAACAAAACTCACCAATATTAGCAACCAGCAGTTATACGGCCAAGTACATGCATCTCTACTAAAGAAGCCCAACGGAGATAAAACAAGAGCTAACATTAAATCATCAGCATTCTGGGTGCAATCAGTGGACTATTCAACTTTGGTCTCGCTGCTGGAGCCCTTGTACAGGGATGGCTGTCCGATGCTTTCGGTAGAAAGAAGGCATTTGCCTTTGCCAGCATCTGTTCTTTAATTGGCGGTGCCTTAGTTGCTGGATCTGCTGCCATTCCAATGCTGATAACTGTGCGAATGCTGCAAGGGTTTGGCTTGGGGATCCTCGTTGCCTTGGTGCCATTATATGCTACTGAGGTCGCCCCCCCTCATCGTCGTGGTATGCTCTCTGGGCTTACTGCTATGAACTTTGCGCTTGGATATCTAGTGTAAGAATATACACCACACCTCCACTTGATATAAAAATGCTGATACTCTTGGAGGTGTGCATGGGTGTCCGTTGGTACCTACTATGCGAAGGATGTCACACTGCAATGGAGATTGCCCTTGGCCTTGGGTTGTTTAGGGCCTCTTATCATTCTTATTGGCCTCCCATTTCTCCCTGAATCTCCTCGCTTCTTGACCATGGTAGGAAAGTCAGCCGAGGCTTTGGAGGTACTTCGAAAGATCCATCATGATCCGAATGACCCTGAAGATCGGGCCGCTCGTGCAGAGTATACTCAGATTATGAGACAGACGGCACATGATAGAGAGGAGGAAACAGGATATATAAAAATGTTCACAAAACCTTCTTGGAGAAAAAGAACCCTGCTCGCAATGTTTATTCAGTAAGAAATAACCTACAAGAGAGCATATTGTGGATACTAATCTGGTTAAATATAGGTTCGCAGCACAATCTACAGGGGTATATAAAGTCATCAATTCTGCAATTAACTCTGCGATGTATACTGACGAAACCACACTATATAGGTGTTGGCGATTGCGAATTTCCTCATCCTCATATTTGGCACCCTTGGAATGACAGGAGCCATGCCACTTATATTATATGGTACGAATACATGCAATCGACTATTGTTTAAGCCACGTTAACCTGAACATATGTAGGTGTTTTTGCTACTGTTGGCAACATATCCCTCTTAATCTCACTATTTGTGGTTGACCGTATTGGCCGTAGAAAACTATTTCGTACGTTATTCTATTCTATCCTATGTATAGAATACGCTAATATAGTCTACCTAGTGATTGGGTTTCCGGGGCTCGCTGTAATCTTGCTAATTGAAGCCTTATTACAAAGGCAATATCTAGACTCAGACAACAAAGCCGGTTTGGGAGCATGCGCAGCTATGTTCTATCTTTACGTTATGATATACAATGTCTGCATAGACGCACCATCATTTATCTGGATCTCAGAGATATTTCCAACGACAATTCGTTCAAAAGGGGTCGGACTCGGCTTTTTTGCCTATTCTGTGGGAGCGATCACATACACAACGCCATCAGCGCTTGAATTCCACAATGTGTGAGTTCAGTTGTTAGCTATTAACTTGATAAATGAATCCACTAATATATACCTGCAGAAAGTATAATATATTCTACCTTTACATGGGTTTGTGTCTGATTTCTACTGTTGTTATTTATTTTTTTGTGGTTGAAACAAAAGGACTTCCTGTTGAGGAGATTGGGGCTTTGTTTGGGGACAAAGTTGTTGCTCACCTGACTGCGGATGGGCAGGGAATTGTGGAAGACGACTCATCCAAGGCGGAAACTGACTACGTGGAAGTCGTTGAAGAAGTCTAACACAAAGGCGCTACTCTTCACAGTTCTAGCCGAGAATAACAGGGTTTGGTGTCACTTGCTTAGAAGTTGCTTTCCAAATCAGCCGAATGAACTAATATAGTAATTTAAATTCTATATCTCGGAGGTCTCAGTCCTCTATTAATTATATGAGTTGCCTTCTCAATGTTCAATTTTATAGTGCTCTTCCAAGGTAATCTGGAGTCTTCCGGAATTGTCCTGCTAAATTACCCCTGACAGTAAACGCAGACACTACGGGATGTGGAGTCTGCGAGATATGTATTTCCTGGTAGGGATTTAAAAGAACCAAATCGAAAGGTAAGACTAGCTGGATTGTTTGCTCACTCATGGTCGGTCTGAATTATAATATTTTTCCAGTCGTCAAACGTCTTAATGTGGTTATCGCATACCGATCTAACCATTTCATACGCATCACTTCCAACAACAAGTCTTCCTGGGATGGTTTTCCCTTCAGCAACACCAGTTCCAGTGATAATATCTACCATAATCTTTATCCCTTTTTGCACATCTCCAGGTTGAGTCTGATCAAGCTGGCCAATATAAGTTTCTGTAGCACGAACTTTTGATTTGTCATAATCTTGAATATGATGAGAAGGCGTTTTCATATTCTTAGAGCTAAGGAGGCTAGATCGGAATCCTCCAGGTTCTATAGCGGCAACTTGGATTCCAAATTCTGCAACTTCATCACGAAGTGCCTCAGCATAGATGGAAATGGCCGCTTTAGAAGCAGCATAAGTTCCCATTGTTGCAGAGCCAACCCAACCAGCCATCGAGGATATAAATACGATGGTTCCTGATCTCCGAATCCTCATTGATGGAAGGACTGCACGAGCGAGGTTCAAAGCTCCAAAGACATTCGTTTGAAACACTTTCAAGTCTTCTTCGATCCTTCAAAAAAGAAATAAGTGAATAAATTATAGGGATGCTACAACTGCCAGTATGACTTACGTCGTTTCTTCTAACCCTCCTGTGTGGACGAAACCAGCATTGCTAAGAAGGACATCAATTCGGCCATAGATACTCAACGCGTCTTGCACAACCTTGTTCACTTCCTCCACAGGTGCAGTAACATCCAGTGCCAGGGTGTGTGCACCAGTATTTGACAAGGCTGTGATGCTTTGGAGGCTTCGAGCTGTTGCAATCACCTTGTGTCCTCTGCTAAGTAGCTCTCGAGCAAAGGCGTCTCCAAAGCCAGATGGGCAACCGGTGACAAGCCAGACATGTGATGACATGACGGATTTATTTGACAAAAAAGTGATATGGTCGAATGAAAGAGAATAAATATTTCAAATTGCACGGCAATCCTCTGCTTTTATACATAAGTTTTATGTGTAGAAAATTTTATAACCGCTGAAATCGGCAGTTTGTCTGAGCTCCGGTAAGTCCGAATAACTCCTCAACGGCATGCTACCCGATTTTATTAGACTGATGTAAGACTGATGTAGCTCGGCTATATACTGCGCGGGGCTATTAATTTTTATTTCTCGAATAGGTCTATCTATGACTCAGAGACTGCTCAAGCGAAGAGCCTACGCCATCTTAATCGACCTAGATAACAAATTATTGGGAAGATATTCATAACTTAAGGAATGATTCCGAAAAGGTCTAACTTCTAGGATTCTAAATAACGATATTTCCGTCATCGAGCATAACAGCAGTATTCAGGGTAAAATTATCAAGCATTTTACAGGCCAAGAGGTCGTGTTCCCAAATAATGCCCATCTTCCTGTCTCCAATGACTCTTTGTCGAAAGAAAAAGAGAAATGAAGGTAGAGACATAATAACAATAAGCGTGTAAAACGATGGCCGTTAGAATGCTCATTGGAGAGAAACCGGTTCCAATATGTTGTTTAGTTGAAAATTTGAAACCATCTGGTTATGCTGAACAAGTTGGTTTAGGGAACATGGAGATTTCCTGCACCTCGAACTGGCCCTTCGTCCTAATTTTCATATCCAATGGGTTTGGGTGCCCGAACATATGCCAATTTCGTATTTGCTTCCAGCAACATTGGCCCGGGTCCTCCAGATACTCTGGGGTCTTCCCGAATGAAATTACCGGGGAAACCAACATCAAAATCATTCACACTCTCCAAATACTTGATCTGTTCATCGGTCAACCTGATGTGCAAGGCTTGCATGTTGTCTTTAAGATGCTCAACCTTTCTTCCTCCAACAATGGGGAAGACATTAGGCGTCTTGGCCATGACGTAGGCTAGGGCAATAGCAGTGACAGATTCAATTCCATGCTCTTCTGCTACTTTAGAAAGAGCCTCACTAATACGCACCTCCTCGGGGCTCTGCGTACTTTCCGAGAAACCAGCCATACCACGCAGGCTTTCACCTTCCTTCTTGCGAGCTTCCAGAGCTTTCTTGGACTGGAAATGGCCGCTACCCAGGACATCCCAGGGGGCAAGGGCCATACCGAAGTGGCGAGCCATGGGAATAATATCCCGCTCAAAATCACGTCGCATCACATTCCACCGACCCTGGTAAACAGAAAATGGGGTCTTTCCATTTGCACGCGCATATGTATTGGCTGTGGCCACAACCCATGCTGGGCAATCTGAGGCACCCAGATATAGGACTTTTCCTTGCTCCACCAGGATATGTAGACTATCCATCATCTCCTCAATTGAGGTTGTATGATCCCACCAGTGCACATAGAGGATATCGATCCACTCAGTCTGAAGTTTCTTCAGGGAATCCCGTACACTCATGAACATGCTGCGTTTGTGGTTGCCGCAGGAATTGGGAACCTTTCCCTTGCCATAAGCATAGGACTTGTAATCGCAAGTGTACTTTGTTGCCATGACAATTTGGTCTCGATTCTGGCGAAGGGACATCCATTCACCCAGCCATTCTTCAGACTGCTCATTCTGATAATTGTTGGCAGTGTCAATGAAGTTCCCACCAGCCTCGAAAAAAGCGTCCAGTATTTTGAATGACTGCTCCTTGTTCATACTACCTAAGTCCTCGGACCAGGCGTCGCCGATAGACATAGCACCCAGCTGAAGCGGAGAGACACGAATCCCCGCCGTTGATGAGAGGATTCGATAACGACCCAACTCATTGACGGGTTCGGGGGCGGAGTCGAAGACTGCCATGATGAAAGAATAAGTGTTGAATTCGTGAAGGACAGATTGTAAGACAGCTAGAAGATTAAAAAACTGTACAAGAACAAGAAGCTTTGATTTTAGAAAATATCATGGCACTTGTTTGGTTCGCATTTATACCCGTTCATTTGTTCTCCATTATCGATAAATCGGCTTTAACCGGACTTTATGTAGCTTGTGGAGCGTCACCAGAAATGTGCATTGAATAACATATTCCATTTCCATTGAATAATTATTGTACATCGTTACTCACATCAGAGTTTTCGCTGCTTCCGAGAGATATGGAGTGGAGTTGATATATGGATGCTGCGGTTCAAGGAAGCTACGGCGTCACCCTTAAGTTTAATGCCGAGAGTTTACTGATTTGCGTAGAGAGACTAACCAATGAAGGGGAGGGTGCTGGGATTAGGTTTGAATTGTGTACAACTAGTGGTATGACATTCTCGGGCTCTTTGTGATTTTTTGGTAGGGTTTCCACAATTATAGGTTAGAAAAATAGTGACATTTAGCGATGGCAAATCTGGATTATTAATTATTGGAAGACCGATGAAAACCTGGATGCCACGGGTGGAATATCCCGAAATTTTTCGGGCAACGTAAAACGAATCGGTGTTCCGCAACTTCACTCATGGCCATATCAGGCCTGCACCGACTACTCCTAGCTAATTTGGGCTTTGCCTACAATAAGAGTTCCCCCGTCCTTAACTAATAATGGTGACGACTCATCCTCAGATTATCGTCTATACCTACCCGTTCTCTCCTTGGGGTACTAAAATAGTCACATACCTCACCCTTCGTCATATTCCTTATGCGGAATGCCATCAACCGCAGCACTGGCCTCGTCCCGACATACAAAGCCATTTCGGACTGCAATATCGGAGGATTCCAATACTTGCCATTGGGAGAGATATTTACTATGATACCTTACTGATTCTTGAGAAGTTAGAGGATTTATATCCTGGAAAATTCTCACTATCTGTCCATGACCCAGCAGACAAGGCCTTAACGAAACTACTCGAAAAATGGGCTGAATTAGCAGTCATGAAGTCTGTCGTATCTTCATTGCCTCCTGATGCACCTCTATGGAAAAATGAAACATTCCTTAAGGATAGGATCGAGCTTTGGGGCAGTCAGTTCGACCACCAGTCTAGGTTCAAAAAGCATCCCGGAGCCTTGGCTGAAATGAGAAATCATTTAGCTCTTCTTGAGGATTTATTGAGTGATGGAAGACAATGGCTACTCAATACTCACAATATAAGCCTAGCCGACCTTCACGGTAGGCTACCAATGACCTTTTAAATCATGCGAGAGGTGCTAGTCACTCAAAGCTAATTCGTGCCAATACACAGGAGGCTTTTTATTATTTTGGCTTCGTGATACTTGTGGTGCGTTATCGACGGAGTTCTTCTCCTCGTCAGAATACCCTTGTACATGGGCGTTCCTGGATCGATACGCAGACGCCATTACTTCGGCAAAGCGAAACGGACACACGCCAATCGTACTCGATGGGGAGGATGCCGCTAATGTAATCCTCCATTCTGACTTTAGTGAGTTGGAAGGTTCCGTACTTAACGATCCTACCGGGCTGCAGAAGGGTCAAATGGTGACTGTGTACCGTGATGATGATTTAAGCTCCAAACACCTGCACCGGGATGTTGGCCGGCTAGTCAGCCTTACATCGCGAGAGATTACGATCGCGGTTCAGGAAAGAATAGTTGATGTTGAGATTCGAGTACATTGTCCACGATGGCAGTTTGTAGTAGAGGCTTCAGGCGGAGATTCCACTGCAATTCATGGTTAGCCTCGGATCGAGGAATGAATACAACTCATTTCCTAGTCTTTATTCTTACCTCTGACACTATTACACTATATCTTGGAAGATATTTGCTAGAGCATATTCACAATTATTTTCACATACCATCAGCGCCATCAAAATTGCTGTACTAACCTTCTGTCTGGTTAGTATAAATCGACTGTTATGTCACGGCCTGCTAGGCCTGCATTGATTATTATCATACATATAAGTGGTGTCAAATACAGCTGATATATAAATCTGATATCTCTAAACAGGAATATCGGCAGTGAAGATAGATCCATTTATATCAGAATCTCATAAAGTCAAGAAACAGGTAATATCTACTGAAATCCTAAGTCTACATCTCACACTTGGTTCTGTGCGTAAAAGACACCGCCAAACAGCGTTTTAATAACAGCTAATCTACAAATAACTAGTTCTACAGTTTTGACCCTTCAACCTTCACGAGCCCACCGTCTACGACGCTGTAATTTCTATTCCTTTTCCATCCAAGCCATTCCTTGAGAGTAGTCTCTCCTCCTTGTCCGGGATAGAGAGTGGAGGGTGTCCAGCCCCCCCGCGACGACGAGTATCCATATGCTGGGGTACTCTTCAGATGAACTATTGGTCGCTGTTCATATCCACTCTGTTCGAGTTCTTGTTGGGTAAGAACAGGCGTTACACAGGCATCTGTGCCGTCAAAAATATCCTCCCATTCTCTCCTCGATTTAGACTTGAATAAATTTGTGAAGAGCTCGAAAAGATAAGGCCACGTCTTGTGACGGTCATCCTGGGGACCAGGAAGATCTGACGTGGTAAGGGAAAGGCCCTTGAGCAACAGATCGAAGAATTGTGGTTCTATTGCTGCCCTGTATAGATTGAAGCCACGGTTAGCAAAATAAGAAGGCATCTTGAAAAGAACTAAACAGAACAATTGGCATAGGAAGGAAGCTTACACAGCCATGAATTGTCCATCGCGTGTTTCATAGACCTGGTAGTAGGGGCAACCACCATCTAAAAGATTTGTGCCTCGCGGACGGTCCCACAAAGGGGTTTTCATATTCAATCGCGGTGATATTGCTATAAATGCGCTCCCATCCACCATATTTGATTCGACTATTTGTCCCTTCCCAGAAGACACTCTTGCTAACAGTGCCAACACAATACCAAGGAAGCATACTAGTCCTCCACCTGCAAAGTCTCCCATGAGATTTAGGGGAGGCACCGGTCGCTGTCCCTTTCCGCCGATCATTGAAAGGACACCTGATACTGCGATATAGTTCATATCATGCCCAGCCATGTTGGCATATTTGCCGTCGCGACGAAATCCTGTGAGCCGAGCGATAATAAGTCTAGGATTGACTCGCAGGAGCTCATCGGGTGGCAGGCCGATTCTCTCCAAGACTCCAGGACGGAAGGGATCGATCAGGACATCAACATGAGGCAACAGATTTTTGATAAGTTTCAAGCCTGCTTCATTCTTCAAATCGACTGTAATAGATGTCTTCCCATGGCTAAGCACGTCTCTAGTTGTAGGCAGAACATTGTCAGTGTGAGCTCCTGGGACAGGACGGTCGACACGTAATACAGAAGCACCCCAGTCTGCACAGAGTAAACCTGTAAATGGACCTATAATAGCATTTTTGTGGTTAAGTTGTTTGTCTATAAATACAGTTGGTTACTTACCGGGTGCTAAACCCGCCAATTCCAAGACCTTGACTGCATTTAAAGGGAGCCCCATTATTTTGACGTAGGTGATTTCCTCTTCCTGCGGAGGAAATCTAACCAAGTAAATTCAGCAGAATTTGTCTTTATTGTGTAGAAGAGAAATGTCAATTATAATGTGTTACTGCATCTGCCATTGACCTCGGTATATATAGTAAAGCCGAGGCGCTAGAGAGTAATGATTCACCGACTAACGTATTTATATGACACGGGTATTTGGATCAGCCCCATACACCATACAAAAAGGCCATTTTTCATATCCTTAGATCTCAGCCAATTTATAAATAAAGTATAGTATAAAATACAATATAAATATATTATATTATTAAATGACATAATAAAAAACCGATAAAAAAATATCATTGTTTATTATAATTACATAAAATAGTATAAAATACCGAAAAATATATTGTATTTTTGGTAATCTTAGATGTATCTTATTTGTATTAATCTATAAATATATGACTAGTAAATATTTTTATTATATATATTAAATTTTGAGTTACTGTTCAGATATAAATTGACTGGGATATTAGGATATGAAAAATGGCTATATTGTATGGTGTATGGGGTTGATCCAAATGCCCGTGGAATAGTGACGTTAACAGGTATTGTACTTATATAATGTCGAGACTAGCTAAATTATATTCATCAGTTCTTCAGCTGTAATGAGCTGAAATCAAGGTTGTCGTTGATCTATTCTCCCCTCCTAACTAGTATCAAGTATTAAATATGGTCCACCGTATGACAGTTGGGAATGCAGAGGCACTATATACCTATAGCGAGAACACTGTAATGAACTTTACAAACTGTCCGGAGTAGTCTTGGCGAATTATCAAATACCTAGTTAAACCGAGACCTTTGAGTCGCTATTAGGGCATGTGACGGGATATTTATAAGGGGATATAGTTGTCGTTTGATTTTCTAATTCCTCTCACAACTCAGTGCTTCTCTGAATTTCAACATGGCACCAGTTCACGCCGTGGCCTTTGCTTATATCAAGCCTGGAAAGACTGATGAGGTAAGCCGATAAGTCTACTTTGTTCAACCAAGATACTTCTAAAATTCTCTGCATTGAAAAATGTAGTTGTTAAGATTGATAATCGCTGACCCAAGAAAAAATTGAGTTATGCAGTTCGCAGCCCTTCTTAATGGGATGTCGGAAAAGGTACACGCTCTCGAGCCGGGTATTCGCAATTACTACAATTTTAAAGTGCCAGATGAAGATATGTTTGTGATTGTTGAGGTATGTTTTACTTCAATATTCTTGAGAGAGAACGTATTAACTTATATATCATCAGAGTTATGAGGATGAGGCTGCGCTCCAGTATCATGGCGAAACGCCTCACTACCATGAGTATTTGGAAAAAGCAATGCAGCTGTTTGCAAAGCCTCTTTCCTTCAAGATTAATGTGAAGATCCCAGAGAATCTGATTCCTGATTGGAGTTCATTACAGTAATGAGATTTTATAGCGCTCGATTTCATATCCAGCATTCACGATAAAACTGACAAGAACCATATATGTAAATTTCACATTTATCAGTTTACTCCTTCTCACACAATTCCATGATACATTAATGTCTCTTGTGCTTGTACCCGCTTCCATCAATATGTGATCTCTAATTCATTTTTTTTTGAATTAATCTGAGACATATACTAGCTCTGGCTTATAACAACAGCAGTTTTATTTATTGTAGGTATACTGCACAATATTTGCGACAAGTACGGCACCAATCGAGGTTTATACACTTTACTAAAAATAATGTAAAGAACACAGATATGTTCGTTGCAGTCCTGAGAATAGTAGCGGTCTTCGTGTACCTATTACTTGGGGAAAGCCATCATACTTTAGATTGATTATATGGCATACTCACAAACAACAATCTGCTGCAATATCTCATCGAAATTTTGCTACACTAAGGCATTGAAGACTTTGAGGGCGGGATGTGTGCAAAAATCGTTGTCCGGCAACTCTGAATAGCGAAGGCCATGGATATTCGCCTCGTCTACGGCCTGGTTATGTAAAACCGGCAACTTCCTTTGGTGATAAGTGAATGAATATACTATTCACGATTTCTTTTTTGTTCCTAGAATTGAAGAGACATCGTCTCGTTGACTCATTCACCACGCTGGTGTTAGTTAAGATGATTTAATTTTTTAATTTTCTGACAGTTTACTAATCGTGTTTACCAATTCCAGATTCTTTGGAAAGTTTTGTTTTGAAAACCGAGGCAGGGAGATTCGGAAATCTGTATCCTCAAACTTATTAAGCGATTTTAAAGTTTCAGTCCTTACACCTTGAAAAAGATAGTCCACTTCGGGTAAGAGAATGCGGGGCCCGGCTGCTGGGACTCGGCATTCAAGATGCTGAGTGCGGCTAAGGTGTGGTCACACTAGGATGATGTCGTATCTATTAGATATTCCGTGCCTTTCCCAGCATCTTCTATTTTCAGGGAAAAAATTTCTATACCTTTTTTTTTTTTTCGTAATTTGTCCAACAATATTGATATCCTTTTTTGTGTATATCATCCATACGCCAGTGGTAACAAGATGCCGTTGCAATACGACCCAGAGTTTGCTAAAGCCGCAGGTGCTGGCTTGGTAAGATATATGGCAGCCCCAAAACCTGCTTTGCATGATATCGAGGCGAGAAGAGCTAGGTTTAAGGGGGCCTTGAAAAAGGATGCTCAATATCCAATCCCAGACGGCATTACGCGACTCATCCACCACGTCACAACCTCTGACGGTCACCGAGTTGCCATCTATCATTTTCGAAAGACAGATCAGGATGGGCTTGGCCATCATCCAGCAATTGTCCACATCCATGGAGGAGGCTATTTTAGCTTTAGCGCTACACACAGCACGGAAACATTGATCGAATATGTCTCGAAAAGTGGAGTTCAGATGCTTTCCATCGAGTATCGTTTAGCTCCTGAGAACCCATTTCCGATCCCATTGGATGATTGCTGGACGGCGTTAACCTGGATACATTCTCATGCGGAGAGTCTGAATATTGATCCCAACAGAATTGCAGTCATGGGCGAGAGTGCAGGAGGAGGCTTGGCTGCCAACTTGGTTCTCCGCGCCCGTGACAGGAGCCTATCCCCGCCTTTGGCAAAGCAATTCTTGATCTACCCCATGCTAGATGACCGAACACAGTTGGACACTACTGAAGGACTCGCTTTTTTCACCGCGGAGGATTGTATCACTGGGTGGACTGCATATTTGGGAAAAGAAGTGGTAGGAGCGGAGGTCGTTCCTCCTTATGCGGTGGCGGCTCGCAACGCCAACGTAGAGGGGCTACCAGAACTGTATATTGACTGCCCTCAATTGGATATTCTTCTTCCGGAGAATCTTGAGCATGTTAAAAAATATGTGGATGCAAAGATTCCCACCGAATTTCACCTCTATAAAGGTGTTCCACACGGATTCATTAGTCTAGCACCTACTGCCTCTATCTCGAAACGAGCAATAGACAATCGGGTTCTCGCAATGTCAAACTTTTAAGACTACTCTTATAGGTGTGGCTATTTTATTGCCCGTATTCTGGTTTCTTACTTCAATGCAGTTAGGTAATGGGTAATAGCTCCAAAAGGTGTTATTTCTCAAGAACATACCAAATAATAAGGTTAAACCCGCGAACTACATAAAACAGAGAAGAATCCTTTGAAAAACGAAACTTTGAGATCCGTTTTCAATTTCCGACATGTCTGTCTAGAATAGTGTGTCAATTTGTGCCGGTATCTTCGTATAGTCTCCTCTGAGTAGCTATCTAATATGTCGTGCAGAGATCCGTCACACGTGGTTGACCATATTTCGTGTACTGCTACTTGACGGGGTCCTAGCTCATTCTACTTCGTGTACGGAGTGCGAATTGGAGATACTGATACAATATCCCGAAAATGCTTAATAATATGAAATTCAATAACAGATACACAGCCAAACACGGATATAGCCAATAGTCTTACAATTTATTCGTGACATCTACGATTTAGGGTTGGCCCTAGGAAACTTTGGAACATAATCACCCAGTAACAGTGACTGGAGTTATCACCCCTCAAATATGTGAACCAGAATACTAGAGTTTTGCCAAAATTGATGACCACTCATCTCCACCTCCTTTGACAATCTCATTCTCCCAGTAGTTGGGGTTGAATGTAATTTGGTTCAAAGGATTCTCGTGGTGGGCTCGATTGAAAAGATCTTCGTATACTTTGCCATCGTATCGACCCAATGCACTAGGCGGTATTAGTATGCAGGTAAAGAAAAGAATACAAAACAAAAGGGAGAAAAATATATAGAAAAACATAGCCATTGTACAGTCTTGAGTAATAACGAGCTATGTTGTGGGAAATAAACATACCTATCCAAAAGATAATCGGGAATCATCCACGCATCAACTAGATTAACGGCATGTGGCCGGATTTGTGTCATAAATTGTTTAACTTTGGTAGGCAGTTCGCTTAATTGGCGTTGGGAGACTGCACCCGAGTTGAAAACTAATCATCGGGTGATAATTAGCTGCCGACATAAAGGGGTGGGAACATGTTACTCACAATCATAGCTTGAGCTTTCCATGGTGTAAAACGAAAATAGTCGATAGAGATCCCATAGGGATGCTTTGGCTGCCTCTGATATGGCTTTTTCTGACTTGAGAGCCTCGTAGAAGACTTCGACCATAATCACCAGAGATTGGGCTAGGAATTTATAAATTAGAACGACTGATTGTCTCTCTCTCTGACTTCTGATATTTCTTTTCGCATACCTTGGCTCACTTTGTTTAGTTGGATCATCAAGGAAGTCCATGGCTTTTTGTTGATAACTCTCTCCACATAGACATCATACAACTATTGTTTGTTAGAAGTGTGTCCGTTTTGTAGTATTATGATTTTTACAAAAGGGCACATACCAGAGCAGATGCTCGACGTTGGAAGCTCTTCACAATGGCATAATCACTGTTGAAAACATCGTATGGTTCGATAACCTGTCCATTTTGATGAGCTGTCAAGAATTCTTTATAGGAAGCGTCAATTGCATCCACTGCAGGTGTGTGAATGTTGGCCGCAGCATCTGTCATTCTTTTGATCAGGTACGATGCAACCTGCTGTGTAATCATCCAATTGTCTCCCTCGACGGTGACTCGAGAAAGATAGTCCGGACCTAATCGGGTGAATCCACTGGCACCCCCATACCCATGGCCCCCCAATGCACGACGACAAGTCTCTATTCCATCCGCCACAATGTTGGTGCAATGACTCTTCAGACCGGATGACATGCTGTGCATGTAGGCCAGGCTGCTAAAATCTCCACGCTCAATTTCCATACGAGCCGACTTGTACGTTTTCTGCATCGCCAGTCCGACATAATGCAGCGCGTATGTCGTTGCCAACAGTGGCAAAATGCGAATTTGTACAGTTGGATAGTCAAGAACGTGTATCTCAGGCCCTTTCGCGTTATCGCGATCCTTAAACTGCCGGCGGATACTGGTATAGCGGACGGCGACTGTGACTGCGCGCGCGAGCGCAAGTCTGGACTGGTGAACGATGAGTGATCGGACGTATGTCATGGTGCCATACACTACTTTGCCCATTTTCGGCTGTGAATACGCCCCGGTTTCTGGGTCGACCTGGCTGTATCGCGACAGTAGTGCCGAGTGAGGAACCCTGTTTATGTATAGATTCAATGACAAGAACACAAAAAGAGAATCCATAGTTCATACGTACCGGAACTGGTCAAAGAGCATATAAGCATTGTCTATGGTACTGTAACCAAACTTGGGGCCTATGTCTCCAATAACTATGCCATCTAAAGGCTGATGGCTTTCCATGTGTCGAACCTGCACGATAAACGGATGTGGCCCATGTGATACATACTGTGGGCTAGCTGATGTTTCGGTTCCGGGTCTAGGAAGCAATAGTTGTGCCACTACAATGGCATGGTTGGCAGTTCGGCCGAGGCTGCCATTCCACCACTTACTTGCTGTCAAAGTCGGGCTATGGAGAATGAACTCGTGCGTACGCTGATCCCATCGAGCCTCCAATTCCAACCCTTGGACATTGCTTCCATGGCCAAGCTCTGTCTGTGCATATGCACCGATTATTTTGAATGATTCAATCAATGGCATCCAATGGGCTTTCTGGGCATCGCTTGCTTGCTCCCTGACGGTTGTAACGAACATGTGCATGTGCAGAAAGTATGGTGAAACATCATCAATTAAAGTCTCCGCCATTTTATAATCATCGATATTCCATCCATGCCGGTCAACTAGTCGTCGCAACAACTTAGCTCGAGCTAGAGCTAGTTTGAATAGATCGGGGCGAGATAAGTTCGCTTGCTGTTTCTTGTTGAAGAGTGGTTCCTTCTCCAGAATAGGCAGAATACGAGCTTGACGTTCAAGAAATCCATCGTGGGAAAGCAAATGCTGCGCCAGCTCCTCCGCTGAGATGTTCGACTGTGCGCGTTCCTTGGCGAGGATCGTTGGCCCATCTGGCTTGCTGGGCTGTAGCTTATCTGTGAAATCCGGCATGTTGCTTGGTTAGAACTGTGTGAAGCCAAAGACACAAAGAAAAACGGTGGGTATACTCAGATTTGTATTTGTATACAAATATACAATACTAGCGCGATAATCTTTTTTCGGTATTCGGCTTTTCATCCAAGAAACCACAATATGTGATGTACCAGCCAATTCACGCCGAGACTACCGCCGACCACATCACCTGATGATCAACATCCGAGACCCGGATCAGCATAGACGACACCAGCATAACCGCTTGCTTTTTCCGACAATTTTCTTTTGGAAATCTGTTTCAGTAATTTTGGGTTTAAGCTACCAGAATCCTTTCCATTTTTCGGCTACGTATTGCTCTAGAACTAAATAGTCGCAATCCATAATTAGTACATCTCTAGGGAGTAAACAAAACCTGAGTGGCCAGGAGAATTGATTGTTCCTGACATATGTACATTATATCGTACCAGAAAAAGTGGATTTTTCTGGTTTCAAAGGCTTTCGATCTTCTTCCCTCATATGATTTCTTCTCTCTGGTAAGTCTGCTTCTGTTTTTATTTTTTTTTCTTTCTATTACTATCATTACCGATTTCAACGGATCACGGATTATAATGCCAAATGGAATCAGAATCACGTTTCTCATCTCCAAAGAATGAAAAAAGAATTGAGTCAGTAATCCAAACTACCACCATGATATCATGTATCCGCGGCGATTGTCATACTCTAGCCGAGGCTCCTGAAACCAAGCACAAGGACCGGCCTGTCTGGCTGTTCCCTTCGTCGACGCCACGTGTTTTTTTGTAGGCTTTAAATCATATACTTCATTCGGCGGAGTGGTCTATTTATTAAAGCATAAAATTTGTAAATTGTTATATTCTAAAATCAGGATGCCCCTTCGCTGCTGATAATGGATTATTGTGTGAGCTCAAACATGGAGAATTTAGCTAGCACTAGAATTGACGGCGTCATATATTGTCTTCCTATGAACGAACAGTCGACCGTGTTTCTCCCGTCATATCTTTGCCCCTGGCAAGAAAGTTTTCCGACTATGCACATAGCTAATCTGCTGCACATTTCTATTCATTTCTCCCCAAAGTTCTGAGCGTAAAAGCCCATAAACTCTGCACATACAACAACAGTTTCAGTAAATCTTCAAGTTCATTAGAGATGAATCGAGTTCTTACCCAGCCTTTGCTTTCGGTGCCCATTTGTTTGCTATTCCTAATGCGACTTCTAGCATCTTATCCGGCTCTGCGATAGCGTCTACGAGGCCATCCTGCAACGCTTCTTTCCCAGTGAACCTGTGGCCTTCCAATAGAACCTTTCGCGCTATTTCCGGGCGTAACTTGAGCTTGGGAAGGGTTCCTACTCCAGAAAAATGCATGCCTAGATCAACCGGCGGCATGCAAATGAACCCTCGACTGGAGTTCATTACGCGGTAGTCATGAGCGAAAGTCAATGGGCATCCTCCACCAAATGTATGTCCAGTAATGAGAGCAACGGTTGGAAATGGAAAATCTAGTATCGTATGTAGTAACTATGTAGGACGCATGCGAAATTGGATCTGTAGTCAGCCTCGCAAAGCTCCCCGTAAGCAGATCACAACATACAGGATAAAAACCGTCAGCATTCGCATACGGATTCGTTTCTGCTTCTTCGAGATCGAGCCCCTAATAGTAATCTCGTTCAATCCTGTTTCTGCCTCAGGGAAGTGAGATTACTTACGGTGCAAAAAAATTTGTCGTTGTTCCCACGCGTGACCACGGCACCCTCAGAGCTTGGCCCTAGCGTCTCTCTTACTGTGTTAAAGGCACGGATCATTTCCTGGCATGTCTTCGTGTTCAATCTATTCTCAGTGCCCTTCTGCAATGTAATAATAAAGACATTGCCGCGCCTCTCGAGAGTGAGATACTCGAAGTTATTCGTTTCCGCCATCACCAGTTACTATGGTACCAAGGTCATGTGCCAGGTTGAATGAAGACGACCGCGTATGAATTGATAAGCGAAATGGTTGAAAAGCCCCCATCCGGGGATGACGGTTATGCAATTACCGAGACGTGAAGCAGTTGGGGTTTCTAATGCCGAACCAACCATAACACTAGGGTTTCCCCAGAGACCAACCCATGGGGTATTTATACCGAACAAGTTTATATACTCCATGACATTCAAACAACCAATAGCGTTCACACCACACCTGCATACATTTTCAGAAATTTACAACATTTGATCGACTGGAAGACGATGGCTGGGCTTCTCAAAAGTAAAGTAATCGCTATTACAGGCGCATCTTCTGGAATTGGGCGAGCGGCCGCGTTTGAATGCGCTAAGAACGGCGCGAATCTCCTGATCCATCATTTAGGAACAGATTCAACTCGGAAAGATGCTGAAGAACTGCAAAAGTCTTTGCGATCATCGTTTAATACCAAATCGGTTCTGTTTGGAGCTGATTTGACCGGTGAAGGCGTTGCGGAAGAACTCATCCAGCGCACAGTATCTACTTTTGGTAGGCTAGATACGTTTGTTAGCAATGCTGGAATTTGCCTTCCATCCCCTGCGGAATCGGTCACGAAATCGTTTCTACAGCGCCATATCGATATCAATTTTACAGCCGCCTATCTTCTCACCCAAGCGGCGACGAAACAATTTGTTAAGCAGGGAGATGGAGGAAGCGTTGTTGTCGTCTCCTCGAACACAGCGGTAACCGGAGTCACAGGCCTGACTCATTATTCTGGCACCAAGGCGGGACTTTTAGGCATGGTCAATACGTTTGCTGTCGAGAAGGGAAAGCATAATATCAGATACAATTGTGTTCTACCAGGCCCCACGGCCACTGATATGATCACGGATTTTGTGAAGGACGATGCGGACAGAGACAACATGATCAAACGAATTCCTTTTGGTCGGCTCGGCACTCCCCAAGACCTAGCGGGTGCCATTGTATTCTTCGCCAGCGACTTGTCTCAGTTCGTAACTGGTCAGCACCTTCTGGTGGATGGAGCATGTTCGCACTACTTCATGTAGAAGCTTCCTTCAAAAACTCGCTATTCGAGCGGCAGCCTCACACAGTCTCAAATCTAGGTTGTTTGTCCGAATATTTGGACAAAATTGTATGACCATTTATTGTACTTGCAGGTTCATATTTGAAACATCAAAATCTATCGTTGATATGTTCATCTTCACAGCTTCTGGAGTCACAAAATGGGCTCACCCAATAATGTCAATCAGATACCACTCTTCAATGTAATTGTTAGTTTGGCGTTTCAACCTAGGGGTTTTATTGGCCAATGAAACATCACCGCTATAGCTCACTATGCACACAAAAGTAAATACCAGACCAATTTTTGGGCTTGGAGGTGGTAATTTTCGATCTCGGGATTCTATTGTAATCATAGGCTTTAATTTGAGTTATCCTGTCGTAGCGCATCATCCATCTCATTCATTCTAAATAATTATACAGTAAACACCTGCTTCAAGAAGTACCATAAGGACAAAGAGGGGTTTCATTTAAAAAATTTAAATGATGATTGATTTTTACTATGTTTAAGAAAAAATAGGAGTCTCGTTGTTTACAGAGGGCTGGCTAGGTTATTCCGAGACCCCACCCACTTTCGGCATAACAGGACCACGCAAACTTAGCCAAGAAAGTCAACCGTGGGTCATTGACATTTTACTATTCCGATCGTAAAACTTGCTCTGTCTCTGCTAGGATTATTATCTCCGTTTAGCTCCGCATAGTTTCTGTGTGGTCAATTATGTGCATATAATTCATGATAGAGGGGAAAGAGTTCCAGTGTTTTTATGCCGAATTGCGTCGAGTGGGATTCAGAAGCTCTCGAAATGAATTAATACAGAGTTCGGCTTCCTGTTTATTAAAGTCGGAGACTATGCCATTTACCTAAATCATAGGATAGCAAAAGTGTTCAAACCATCTGAAGATTTCCTCCCTGCTGAACATTCTGGGACGTAGCAATGTCTGAAGATATTCCATCGCATGATGTAATCATCATTGGTGCCGGGCTCTCTGGCATCTACTCCGTGGTGTCGATGCGCCGACTAGGACTCCGCGCACGTGTCCTTGAACGAGGCGGGAACGTGGGCGGCGTCTGGTATTGGAATCGATACCCCGGTGCCCGCTTCGACTCGGAGAGCTACACCTATGGGTTCTCATTCTCCCAGGAAGTTCTAGATGAGTGGGAATGGAAAGAGCATTACTCGGCCCAGCCTGAGACGATAAAGTACATCAACTTTGTGGTGGACAAGTTAGGAGTGCGGGACGACTTCCAGTTTAACACCGAGGTACAAAGCGCTCATTACCAGGAGGCCTCGCGCACATGGCTCGTCACCGACACCAAGGGCAACACCTACACCTCGCGCTTCCTGATAAATGCTCTGGGTCCGTTGACAACACCTCAGCTGCCGAACATCCCTGGCGTTAAAGATTATAAAGGCACGGCATATCATACTTCGCGGTGGCCGCACACACCCATCACCTTCGAGGGCAAGCGGGTCGGCGTGATCGGAACGGGAGCGACTGGTATTCAGACCATCCAGGAGGTGGCCAAGACAGCCGATGAGCTGTTCGTATTTCAGCGGACACCCAATTGGACCGCGCCAATGCGCAATAGCGAGATCTCCAAGCAAGAAATGAAAGAGATCCAAAACAACTATCCACAGATATTCCATCGGTGCCGGCAGAGCCCCATGGGTTTTCAGTACTACCCAGACAAGCGTAAGGCGCTAGAAGTGCCTAAGGAAGTGCGCGAGCAGTTCTGGGAGGAGTTGTATGTGCAACGCGGATTGGTCAAATGGTTGGGCAACTTTCATGATATCTTCATTGATCAGGAAGCCAATGACCTTATCTCCGCGTGGATGGCGGATAAGGTGCGTCAGCGTGTGAACGACCCCGTGCTGGCTGAGAAGTTGATTCCCACAGACCACGGCTTCGGCACCCGTCGCGTGCCCCTTGAGAGCAACTACTACGAACTTTACAATCAGTCTAACGTAAAGTTAGTGGATCTACGTGACACACCCATAGAACAAATTACCAAAACTGGCATCAAAACTGCAGGTGTGGACAAGGAATACCCCCTCGATGTCCTTATCTACGCCACAGGCTTTGATGCCATCACCGGCTCATATGAGCAAATCGACTACCGAGGGCTAAATGGCAAGAAGCTGGCTGACAAGTGGAAGGACGGACCTAAAACTTACCTAGGCTTGACTGTTGAGGGCTTCCCCAATATGTTCAATGTGCTGGGCCCTCACCAAGGCTCAGGGAATATCCCGCGTAGTATTGAATATGCTGTCCAGTGGGTGACTCGTTGCATCAAGTACTGTCAAGACCATGGCTACACGTACTTCTGCCCAGACAAGGCAGGTGAGACGCTGTGGACAGACCATGTTCTCAAATGTACCGAGGGACTGCTCTCAACTAAAGTGAACTCGTGGATGACTGGATACAACTCGAACAAGTTGACTAAGAGCGAGAGGACGGTGATCCGATATAGTGGCAGTTTGGTTGAGTTCCGCCGGCGATGCGACGAAGTAGCTGACAAGGGCTATCCTCATATAGACTTTGCGTAATTTCTGTTATTTCTCTGGGGAATCTGGCATCTGTACCTCTGAGGTTCTTCTTTGTACAGAATATAGATTTAAACTGAGCTGCATGAACCGTGGTTGTCGGTTACATATTATCCCCAGAAAATCAATATATAGTCGGGTGTGTACCCCATACAATGGCGGAATTTGTCTTTTTATTGCATCCAAATGTTATACCCCAAGAAGTTCGGATTTCCTCCGCGAAGAACACAATAGATTGTTCATGGCTATAGATTTAGCATGATACTTATTATCTGATTCCCGAAACGCCGTCCTGTTAAGGAGGAATAATCATTTAGAGAGGAATACTCTTATGCTGTGCTTGAGTCCTCGCCATTGTGTAGGTACTTCTCTCTCTTGGGTCCATTGCCTAATGGATGAACTATCGGGACAGTGGGGAAAAAATATTCACCATTTTCTGGTCAGGGGCTTATTTACATACACACGGTCAGCTGGGCTGTACCCGTTATAGAATTTTCCGCTTTTAATAGAACTTACAGGTGCTAAAGGTTAAACTTGCATAATCTATGAAGAATTAAATACAACAGTTACCATTTTATAAAATAACGAATTAGCTTTTCCATCAACGTTATACACGGCTCCTATCACAAGGGAGCTCTGCAGCACCAGTAGAAAAACGATAACATTGGCCACTTCTGATGGTAGCCGTTTGCGAGGGATGGGGCGGCCGGATGTCGGACGGGGAAGTGTTGTGCCCGCCTTTTTTAAAGCAAACCGTAGTTGTATCGTCGGCCCGATTCCGGAGCCGACCCCTGTAACGCAGAACACTTTGTCTCGGAGGGAAATTGTCATTCTCTCACAGGATAATAGTTATGATAGAATGTATATTTCGCGCAGTGGGAAAGTTACTAGAACAAGGCAGGAGTAACAGGGAACAGAAATCGGATTGTAATACCTGGCGAGGCCAAGAGTTGAAACTGGGAAACCACAGTTTCGAGCATTTTGTAATTTTCCGACGCCGAATGTTCCAGCTCAGTATTCGTTGTATTGCTAATTTTAATAAGTATTTTTGTGCCTAGTTTTATCTATTTCCTAGGGAATTGGAACTTAAGGTGTTAAAAGTATCTAATTGGGTAGCATATTCAAAGAAGTTTGGATGGTGATTTTTACAGCAGTGAGATGTTATGTTAGATTTGGTGAAGTGTTACAGCTGTGTCTTTCATTTAGATATTGATCTAGCTCCATTTCTTTTGCTTTGTCAAATTCATGGTATAAAAATTAGCGACGTATAGAAAAAGGCTTGAAAATGGTACGTGAAATAACTAATTAATACATCAGCCTATTTTATTATGCTGATGGCTATGTTCATAAAATATGAAGTGTTGCCGACTGTTTTCTCTCTATCCCGAAAATGCGGGGAAAAGCCGAAAACTTTCGGCTTTATCGGAACCTCATAGGAGAACATCCATAGCCGAACAAGAGTTTATTTAGCCGGTGCCCGAATTCAATTATCTTTCAGTGGCTGGTGTGCGGGAAACCAAAAATGAGTAACGCAATTGAACGATTTTAATTTCGCTGCCTTTTCTTTTGCCGAACCCTATTTTTCAGGGTGCTTATATCCATTGGTCTGGACGGAGGTGGCAATGTTGGCGCTCCAGCTCTTAAACACGTCCATAAACAGAATAGTCATATAATATCATTTTCCCTATCGTAGCATGATAGCTATCTTCTAGAAAGATTCGTTTAATCACGTTGACTGTGATCCGCAAATATAGCAAACTTGAGCTCAGGTCTGTCTCCAATAACAATGGTCAACCCAAATGCACGAGCGAAGCGCTCCCCAGTTGCGTGTGAGCATTGCCATCACCGCAAGGTTCGATGCGACATGGCAGTGCACGGGAATCCATGCACAAACTGTCGACTCGACAATGTTGACTGTAACGCCAGAGCTCCGAAAATAAGAACCCGACGACGACGCCAACTCCATGTGCCAAACACAACGCGTAATAGACCATCGCAGCTCCCCACGGGAGTTGTAACCAATCCGATAGTTGCCTCGCATCATGGAGATAATGATCCATTGTTAGTCTGGGATGGTGAACTCGATTCCAAGTCTCCTTCAGAGCAATCAAGACATAACAGTAACTACCTCGCCCTAAGTGTCATGACCCAATCAAGAAATCACATAACTGACAACAATACCTTGCTCTAGATTCACAGAGTATAGAAAGCTTGCCATTTTCATACTATGCATTTCTCGATGGCTCACGACTAGGCTGTCTGGAGGAGCGCGATATACAATCACTCGAATCACAAGGTTGTTTTCATTTACCAACTGGTCTCGTGTTGGAAAAATTGATCAATCATTATTTCCTATATGTTCACCCTTGTTTACCATTGATTGACGAGGCGAAATTTTGGCGCATGTATCACCAACCACAAAAATACAAGGGCCAATTTTCCTTACTGCTTTTCCAGTCCATGCTCTCTGCTGCTGCTCCTGTACGGTCAATAACATTCCCCCCCCATGAGTATTTGTTATTAACTGCGTGATCACTAGTTTATTCCTATTCATGTCGCAAAACAATGCGGTTTCTCCTCGTTGATCGCGATACGAGATGATTTCTATCGCAAAGCTCAGGCTAGTGAACACCCCTGTAGTATGTCGTATGTGTCAACATGTTAATTGATAAACAGATCCTCTACGAACATAATCTCGAAGATGATCATATCGTGATCGCGCAAACGGCGATATTATTGAGCTTCTATAACTCTAACTCCGACGCAATGAGCAATTCTACATGGCTTTCTGTAGCCGTCGAACATGCACAAGCCGTGAACGCTCTTGAATATGACTACATTGAACCGAGATTCAACCGCGAGCAGCTAAAGAGACTGTGGTGTTGCTGTATACTTCGGGATCGTGTGATCTCTCTGGGAATGCGTCGCCCACTTCAAATTTTACCAGAAAAATTTCCCGTAACGGAGAATTTGATGTGTCTTGATGATTTAAAAGAGGAACTGGGAAACTCTAAGACCTACAACTTGGAGACGAAGACAATGCTTAATTTCATGTTCATCGGCCTTTGCGAATTCGCAGAAGCGGTGACTGACTTGCTATTGATCTTATACCCCCCGCACCAACGGTCGCCCTGGGTAACTACTGACAGGCATGGCACCATCTGGGAACACCTTACGCGAATAAAACTGAGATTGTCAGTTTGGGAGGGCGATTTTATGAGAAGGCTTGAACATGATGAATGCGAGATCCATCCTTCCATCACCCTTTTTGTCTCCATGATCGATATGTACTACCAGTATGTTTGATGGTTTACTGTAAAGATAACGACGCTAACGTATTTATATAGGGCTGCACGAATAGCCTTATGCAATCATGCCTGTCGTCTGGCTGCTAAGTTTGAATCGCTACAGTCTAAGAAGTTGATTCTTGAATCCTACAAGTCTGAACTCCAAAACGCGGTCACCGATATGGCTGATAGTGTTCGACGATTGATTGTTGCCGATATGGCGAAGTATCTACCAGTGAGCGCGTATGGGTTTCACCTCTTCTCTTCTGCAAGCTTTTCAAAAAATTCAGTCTAACGTCTCAATAAACAGGATGGCTTGTACGATGTTACCTCTCATTCTATGTGGGCTGGATGTTAGTTTACCGTCTAGTGCGAGGACACCTCGCCGAAACTCCCAAAAACTGCTCATTTTCAAGGAGATAAACCGGATATACAGTCTGCGGTACAACGTCAAGCGTCTCTCACTTCTAATAGAGCTGGCGATTGAATTTGTCAAGTCGGAGATTATTAAAATAATGCTAGGTGCAAAAGAAGTCGTCATATCTTTTGCAGATATGTTTGAGCGAGAGCCCGACAGCTATGTAGGTTTATGTCTGTACGTCGACAGACTGCTTGCTGTAGATGATCTTGGCACGCAAATCAATGCAAATAAGCCCAATCGCGCACAGCAGCAGCACCAAAAACAGTTATTAGACCTGCACCATTACATCAAATCGGAGCAGCCTTGCTTGGCTCCAACTTCATATGCTACTACTAGCAGTAGCCATGACAGCGACGAATGCGATAGCACGATTGAAGATCCCAGCCAAATCATACCATTTGCGTCAGCTATGTATTCGTCAGCGTCTCCGTCCTTTTCGTCTCCAGAATACATGGGGATAACCGTAACGGAGCAAATAGACACCACACCGATGTGCTGGGCATCAGAAGATCAAAATATACTAAAAGAGCACAGTCTGGAACAGAGCCAAGGACAAACATTAGGGGGGGCCTGGTCTGACCAATATTTTGAAACTATTGGATTTCTCGGAGAATGATCTAATCGCGTTAATTAATTTGTACACTACTTTCATGTTATCAATAATGGTCTTTGGACTCTAGTTCTATACTAAGTTCATAGTAATTTTCTCAATGGCATCACAACCCGTCCACTGTATTAACAGCATCTAGCGTAGAAAACAGCGGACAGTTTCATTCCGCTTTCATTTTACAATTTCGCTTGTCTTTACTCGATCTGCCTATTTATATTATCTGCTACACAGGCAGTGTAAAAGTTTCTACTCTCGAACGAATTTTCCCGCTTTAAGGTAACAAAACAAGCGTTCATTGCGGTATTATAACCTCTGCAACTGATCTCATATCATTTTCATGGCTATAAAGGCAGAATTCGCCTTTATGTCTACGCATTTAACATACTAACTACTATAGCACTGCCGAGTCCAATATTAGAGCTCCCATATCAGCTCAGCACATTACTCAATCCCCGCTATTATGAAGGATCGCCTTTGGATATCAAACCGCCCAGTGGGTTTCAATTAGACCTTTGCCTATAGGGTTTAGATCTGGTCAAAATCAGGATACTTCATCACCCTCCATCTATACGGATATAGGCTACAGGAAGAAAGAATCATCGAGAAAAAGATGAGTCCATAGGCTGTGGATATAAAAGAAAGCACTAAACAATGAAAACTCATACATAACATAGAGAAGGGCCAACCCTTCGGAAAATACGGTTGCCATTTTGTAAGTCAGTAACGGTCTACTAGTATCCGTGGAGAAAGATAGCTCAACAATTTTCTTGGCCGAACATGATAGGAAAAAACAACAGGCTATTGGCCGATCTCAAATAAAGCGGAACAACAGCAGTAGAATAATATTGATACACAAGACCAAGCCAGTTAGGATGACCAGCCTGTAGTTTATATTGACACAAATTGACGACAAATAAGCCGATGACCTCTATAGTTTAGCCCTTTCCATCTCTACTCGAGCCTCTTCTTGGGCTCGCTGCCGTAGCACATTTCGCAAAATCTTTCCAGAGGGATTTTTTGGAATTTCATCGAGAAAGACAACACCACCTGACACACGCTTAATACGGGAGACCCGAGCGTTGATAAAACTGGTAATATCTTCGGCAGATGCCGTCATGCCTTGCTTCAAGACCACATAGGCTCTTGGCCGTTCATCCCCCTCACTAATCATACAGTTAGTCCTGGAAAACGCGATAAAACCATATCAGACTGGGTAAATTTTCCGACTACTTACAAAGGAATACCGGTCACTGCAACATCTGATACAGCGGGGTGTTCCAGAAGCAAAGCTTCTAGTTCGGCTGGCGCTACCTGATTTCCCTTCACTTTGATCAATTCCTGCGTTACCAGCTTATCAGCAAACCATATCCCTAACAATGTAGACCTCAAACAGTCACACGTTCTCTAGGAGCTTACCTTTTTGCGGTCGACTATAAACCACTTCCGGTTGTTATCCATAAAAGCAACATCCCCAGTTCTCAACCATCCATCTGCCATCAAGGTTTCCTTGGTGGCATTAGGGTTGCGCCAGTATCCCTTCATTACATTAGGTCCCTTGACCCAGAGTTCACCGCGCTCGTTTGGACCCAGCTCGGTCACTTCATCTTCAGCCATAACCTTAGCTTCACAGTTTGGAACTAGCTCTCCAACACACGCCGAGTCAGATTTATCCAATGGATGCCAGGCCGTCACGATAGAGGTAGTTCTACATGTTTAAACAGTCATCAGTAGAAGGAAATAATAAAAGAGACGGAGCACAGGAAAGATTGCATGCATACTCGGTCATACCCCAGCCTTGCTTGATGTTGACTCGCCGATCCGGCCAAAGTGCTTCAGCCTCCTCACAAACCTCTCTACCGAGAGGAGCGGCTCCGCAAAATATAGTCTCCACGCTTCCCAGGTCGTGGTGTTTTACCTCTGGCCTTTTAGCCATGCTCACCACCACAGGGGGCACCATGGTCAAATCTGTGATGCGAAACGTTTCGATAGCCTGGAGGAACTTGACGAACTCATATTTCTCCATGATGTATACCGGCACTTGACGCATCATTGCTATGCCAACGAACATATTCTGAGCCATTGCATGATACATTGGTAGAAAGCAAAGCCACTTTGCTCTCGCCAACTTTGGCTTGTAGCCCGGGTCTAGAAAAAAGAGGTGATTGTACTGTAGAATATTGGCAATGATGTTTTTGTGGCTAACTTCTACTCCTTTCGGAACCCCAGTAGTTCCACTCGAGTAGTTAAGTGCAAGTGTTCTATTGGAAAGAATTGGAGTGGATAGCTCCTCCCAGCAGAATTGAGTGCCTTCTTCCACAGAAGCAAGCAGTTCTCCCCAATAGCGATATCCTTTTGTAGGGGGGAATGGACTCCTTGGGCTGGCATATGTTCCTCCCAATTGAAATACCGCATCATTGAATACGAAGACATTGTTCGTGCCCAGTCCAGCCAGCTTTGCACCTTCGATAGCAGTCGGAAGATTTGCTTCAGCGCAGATTAGATAGGTTGCTCCGCTATCTTTTAGCTGATAAGCTAGTTCTCGAGCAATATACGCAGGGTTTGCAGCGGTGAAAACGGCACCGGCCATGATAATACCCATATAAACAACCGGAAAAAGAATGTTATTGCCTGAGTAGAACAAAATGCGGTCTCCATTCTTGATTCCCGACTTTCGAAGACCTGCAGCAAATCTCTGACTCCAAAGGCGGAACTCCGACGTTGTCAGATAGTGCGTGTCTGGCCGAGCCGCATCTGAAAAGCATCGATGCGTGGTAGATAGAGCATGAGTCGGTGATTTGAAAATTAGCGTTGCCAGATGTGCATCTGGGATGTCGACTTTCCATTGTGATTGAAAAGGCATCGTATTGATTGGAGGAAGCTCAATCCCAGACTGTCGTACGGAATAGAGGAAATTAAATGAACAAACTAAACGGTCTGATTAAAGGATTTTAAACATAAAACGAATACAAAGACAAAAAAGAGAGACAAGACATAGTATTCTTTTGAATCTACTATATGATCTATATGATCGGTATTCACCTTTCAAGTTCGGCATTTTGGCGTTGAGATTCGATCTTAGTTATTGGATTCCGGGGTAGGGAAGAAAGCCGGGGAGGTAAGTAATTAAAACAAACCCGAAATACATTTCTTATACCGAGAGCTCTGAAACTTTGCAGATCTCGGGAAATACCCGCGTGTATAAAAATCCTGGATGATTTCACATCAGGTATGTAGGCATGATGGTAGAAGGAAAGTACCTCCCAGGCCTGCTCCCCTTTGGAATAGCTATTCATCGAATATATTCAACCAGATGCTTGATATTCAATTCAACCTAATTTCTAGCTGATATTAAGAGGAGTTTCCTTAAAGTTGAATCTAAAACTACTGTGCAACAAGTCAATTCGTTATAGAAGGTCGAAGAACATGACCTCAGCCTTTTCCCCACAGGGAAATGCTACCAAAAGACATAATGAAAATAAATGTTCTACATTGACTTGTTATAACTCCTTTCTTAATGCTGCACCTCATGATATCATTATTTTCAAAGGCCAATACAGTGAAGATACTTCTGGCCACATCTTGGTGAATGTTTGCGTTGAATATCCCAGTGGTAATATTGAATGGGAGATGCGAAGGTACGACCAAGTCCAAAATCGGTCTGATTTTGAAAAAGCGCTTTGAAACTGGGGAAAATCTCAATTAAATTTCCTTCTATTTCCCCCTGATTCTATGTATTACTCAATTTTCATTGCATCACCTAGGATTTGAATATTTAAATGAATAATACTATATATCAATTAGTTTAATTTTGGTTTTAAAAGTTTTAAATAACATGAAGTATATCAATTGATATTATGCAAGATAATAAGTGAATGGTTTTATTTTGATATTTAGTCCATTGGTATCTCAATTTCAATCCGTCTTGAAAAAAAGCACATCCAGATTGTATTCGTAAGCTGAGTTGAGCGGCTTAAAAAACAGCAGCCGGAACCTCACGTGCAGTAGTAAACGTGTAGGAATCCATTCTAGTTAATCTCGCGAGAGGGCAAAATACCTTCACTCAATCCTTCAAATTCGGACGGGTCTTGATAGTAAGGCACTCCATCGCGCTTCCATTCTTTGCGGCCGGAGAACTCATCCAGGTACCATGTATTTTCAAGTGGGCTTTTGAACTCGAAATCAACGAAACCACTTCCCAAATAGCCGAAGCGATTCCTGCTAAAGTACTCTATATCATAGTCTTGTAAGTATGGCTCTCGGAGAGCCTCAAAGAATGAAAGTCGCGAGCCAGGCCACATGATCAGATCTCCATCCTTTGTCCCCTGCTTAAACCAGCTCGTGCAGGGATCTGCCCAGACTGTTCGGGGAAGGTAAGTCTTTGTATGTTCCAAAAAGTCTTCCACCGCAGAAGGCTTTGGGCTCAGTCGTCTGATGTGCTGTACTCGCATAGTTTTGATGACTGTAATAAAATACTTGCTCAGGAGGGACAGGATAGGAAGAACCGAGCCTTGTGCAACCGGTGTGAAAGGGCCCCCATATGTAAAATAATTTGGGAATCCATCAACTGAAATTCCGAGGTAGCTAGCAGGAATTTTTGCCCATTTTTCCGCCAGCGGAAGATCGGGATTTAGGCCAAAAATTGGAAATCGTGGGCGGAAGGAGGTATCAAAACCCGTAGCGCAAATGATCACGTCAACGGGATACTCGGTGCCATCCTCGGCCACCACACCCTTCTCAGTGATTGACTTGATGCTCCCCGGAAGAACTTTTGTTTTCTCCCCGACTAGGGCTCCAAGATATCCATTGTCGGGTGTGGGCCGCCGACAGCCAACGCTGAAATCGCGAGGAAGCATAGCTTCAAGGATATCAGGCTTTGTCTTGAGCTTTGCAGTCATTTCGTTATATGCAAACTAAGCAATTAGCTGTCAGATTTGCAACAGTTACGGATATTCATTTAGACGACTCACAGCATTGGCTTCTTCAGACTCGGCTGAATTGCGTAGAACTGTTCTGAATCGGTTGTTCAATTCATGCTCGATCATCTTGTGGTACCGATGATATGTTTCAGGGCTTCGCTCGAAAAGTTCCCTTTGTTCGGGTGTGTCTATTTTCGATATTAAGCTCGGTCCAGTGTCATCACAGTCAGTAAAGAATCTTAGGAGGCTTACATGCAAAATTACGCCCGTCTTTAGAAGCAAACTTCTGTCCAATTGCAGCTGTGATCCATGTTGCGCTGCGGACCCACGTATACAGCTTCTTCACCTCTGGATATACCGCAGAGACTGTTTGAATGCCGGAGCTTCCAGCGCCAATTACAGCAACAGTTTTGTCTTTCAGATCATATCCCTCTTGGAATCCGGCTGTGTGAAATAAATCTCCAGTAAAAGTCTTGATTCCGGGTATTTTCGGCCATTTCCAATCACTAAATGTTTAGTTTCTTGACGGTATCAAACCTACGGATTACTCCAGACACTCACTTCAAGAATCCACCTCCATTCAGAATCATATCACACTCCTCACTCCATTCTTCGAAACTTGAATCCTTTCCAGGATATTGTCGGCGAACTCTCACATTCCACTTGCTTCTTTCATCATTCCAATTTGCGGATACAATTTTGCATTGAAGCTGAATGTATTTCATCATCCCTTCTTCATCCACAATACTCTTCATGTACTCCCAGATCTCTTTGGAAGTGGAGTAAAACTTTCGCCAGTTGGGATTTTGCTTCCATGGAAAGCTGTAAGAAACGCTGGGAACGTCACAGGCACAGCCAGGGTACCGATTTTCATACCATGTTCCACCAACGTCAGGGTTCTTTTCATAACAGACTATCTCGACTCCTAGATCACCTAGCTGCTTGGGGGCGTGATGAAGGAAATCGATTCCAGCTGCTCCAGCGCCAATAACGACAATCCTGAACGGCCTCTCGGGAGGTTCGTTGATCATATGATTAGAGACAACATATCCACGGTCACTTGGCTTCTCATCCCACTCTGGATAGTGTACTGGTCTGTTAACAGATGCAGGATGCGGACCTCTTCGATTTCCTCCGAATTGGCTTTCCTTTGGAATGCCGTAGCGGTCCAAAATACTGTTTATTTCCTCATTCATCTTGTTTGAAGAAAACGAGAATAGTCGCTTTGATTTTCACAGTTGTCTTTACGGATATCTTGTAACGTGTAGAATACATTCATCGAAAATTAGATTAAGACCAAGGGTTTTATACAATTAACAACTGATACTCTGCTTCAAGGTATTAATCCATAGCATTCGACCCTGCACTCCATCGGTTTTCTTTCAATATTCAGGACCCACTTCAACAGTCACCATCAGGACTTATGCCGAGATTATTAAGGAAGAAACGCATGGTTAGATCGTGGGTCATTGGAAAGAAGGGCCGTTTGGGTAAAATACCAAACCCGTTTGTCGGAATTCCCTGTTTGAGCAACTGAGCCAGTTAAGTTCCTACCAAGCATCACAACAAGATATCGCCCGAGTTTGCTACGGCAATTGTATGTGTAAAATGAGATGGCATCAATTTCATTTTTCATATTTTTCCCCCTCTATGTGAGCAGAACTGATCGCGATGGTGCTGCATGACAACAATGTAAGCATGTTGAAATTTATAGATTTACGATTAAACTATTTAACCCAATATAGATAGATGCTACAAACTACAATCAACGTGACCGAGGCATTTGGAAATGTTCTCTTGCTCGAAACATCGAGGAACTTAGCTTCTTGCCCCGGAACGAGCTTTTCCCAATGCCGGCCGGATCTCGGCAATGTTAAAGCGAGACCTAAACCCATCCCGAATATTTACCAGGGTTTATCGAGAGTTACTCACATTCCTTATTTGAAATTGTTCTTCCTTTTGGAGTGTACAAATTAGCTGCTGAAATTACTGCATCATCTCCAGAGCCCCGATTCCTTCCTATCCCCGACACGTTCAGACGTTAATCATGGCTTCAAACGATGGCAATGCCTATGTTATAGGTGTTGGTATGGCTGCGTTTCTCAAGCCGCGCGGGACACGCATGTATACCGAGTTGGCGTTTGAGGCTGGTGCCAAAGCTATGCTTGATGGCCACATAACTTATGACGATGTTCAAGCTGGTATCGCATGCTACACCTCCGGCCCTACTTGTACCGGGTATGAACTACCCAAATCACGATTGTATTCCGAAGAGAGCTAAATATTTTCAAAGTCAACGAGCATTCTATCAATTTGGAATGACAGGCATCCCAATATATAATACAAATGCCGCTTGTGCAAGTGGGTCGACAGGATTACATCTTGCTCGAGGATTTGTCAAATCGGGTGTACATGACTGTGTTCTGGTCATAGGGTTTGAGCAAATGCAACCTGGGCCTTTGGTTAGCAACGTCTCTGATAGACCAACACCATTTGACCTCAGCGTCAAGTTGATGAAAGCCACGAGGGGCAAGACCGAGACCCCAAAAAACCCACAGCTATTTGGTAATGCAGGAAGGGAATACATGGAAAAGTTTGAAAATTCCACCGGTCCTAGGGGTCAAAAATCATGCTAACTAGCCCTCTTTAGATATGGTGCAAAAGCGGAAGACTTTGCTGAGGTTGCCCGAATGTCGCACGAGCATTCATCAAGAAATCCTTACGCGCAATTCCGGACGGTTTACACGTTAGAGCAGATCGAGAAATCTACGATGATCCATTATCCACTCACCAAGCTCCAGTGTTCTCCAACTTCAGATGGAGCCGCTGCTGCCGTCGTGGTCTCCCAGAGATTCCTTGATGCCCGGCCAGAATTGAAAAAGTCGGCTATTTTGATCGCCGGTCAGTCATTCATGACTGACGGTCCCTTGCTGTACTCCGGTAGCGCTATGGAGTTGGTTGGATATGACATGACACGGCGGGCTACTAAAGCGGCCTTGGGGGAGGCAGGCTTGACGCCGAAAGACATCGGTGTCTGCGAATTACATGACTGCTTTTCTACAAATGTGATTGTTTCCCTGGATGGAATGGGCTTTTGCAAATCTGGAACCGCCCACGAAATGGTCCGACGTGGTGACATCACATATGGAGGCAAAGGACCGATAGTTAATCCGTCAGGTGGCCTGATATCGAAGGGCCATCCGCTTGGAGCAACAGGTCTCGCACAATGTGCGGAGCTAACATGGCAGCTTCGCGGGTGGGCAAACAACGGCCGACTTGTCGAAGGAACCAAGGCAGCACTTCAACACAACATTGGTTTGGGAGGCGCGGTTGTAGTCACTGTCTACAAACGATATGACGGGAGAAGCAATACAGATTCTGTAGTTGATAAGGATAGCGCGGCTCGAATTAGTGGCCTTGGGTACAACCCTGCTGTGGAGGCTCATTACATCCAACCTGAGAAAGCAAAATCAATTCTGAGTAAGAAAGCGCCATCCGATTTTGCCCTAGACAACACGATCGATCTTATTAGCGCACGTTTGTGAACGGGGAGAAAGAAATAAAGTAACTATCAAATACTTCCCGGCCTCTACGATATGAGCTTTTTTTCCAAATACTGATATCATTTATGGTCTATCGTTTTAATTTAATCAGATACACTGGCTTAAAAGATAGATAAATTACGGCAAGGTCTATACAATCCTTTAAATGGATGACAAAGATCTCCAAAATTGTAACAGTAATAGTAATGTCATTTATGGAAGAATATTGGCAAATATTTGACTGAGATCGATTTCAATCGACCCAGAAATCATTTAATATATCATTTAATATACAACTAGGGCCGTGAGGGCCAAATTGAAAATCAAATGATAACTCTATATCAGGACCATTCAACCTAAAAGCAAGATCCAACTCGCTTTACACAGACCTTGTATCTGTTGAATCCCAAAACCCCCGGTAAGGTCAGATTGTATATTAAAGCCCAGTCCGTTCTCTGGCTCTAGACCTAATGGTGTTGGGCTCCCAGGGATGGAGATTGGGAGGCTTGTTACATGTATGATCTCTTCAAACATTTACAGGGATCCCTTGTTTAATGATGATGTCTGCGATAGTTCCCGGATGAATTCTAGTTCACTATGGATTCGGGGAACACGAAGTAACTTCTGATGGATAGAGCCCGGTAGTGCCATTGTTTTCTCAATGCGCAATGAGAGTGCCGTAAAAGCACAGGTGAAAAGATGACGTTAGAATAGTGATCCACATCTACAGGAATCCCTGAAATGCCGTCGATTTTGTTCTATGGAGAAGCGAAATCCTCAAATACCGATATATGATATATCTGCTGTCGTGTTTACGAGTTAGTAGCTGTCGAGATGGACAAGAGGCTTCTCGGCCCAAATTTCGATTGGCTGTAGGGAACGGATGGGGAACGCATGCGGAAAAGCTGGGCAGCCGCAAGCGAATAGTGTACGCTCTCTACCCCGGCATTTGCTTATTACCCCAAGAGACGTGCACACCATCCCCGTAGGTATTTTTGTCGATCCCAGAGAAGGTTTATGTGACCATCATAGGGCTCCCTGTTAAAAAGCCGAAAAGAACAAAATAAACCGACAGGTCCAAATTAGTATAAATGGTGGATAGAACCATGAGACATATTCCAGCAATTCTCTTATGATCTAGTAAAGAACAACGGCACTGTAAGTTCCTCTGAAAATGGAGACCACTACAATCGGTCTTTCGCACCTCATAAATGAACATGTTCGGTCGTGGCCGATCCAAGTCATCGGTGGTGTTTGTTTCATTGCCTTTATTGTGATCAGAACAATCTATCGAGTGTATTTTCATCCCCTCAGGAAAATCCCTGGTCCGAAATTGGCCGCTGCAACACATCTAGTCGAGTTCTACCATGACGTTATCCTTGGGGGTAAGTTCTGTTGGGAAGTGCAGAGAATGCATGAAAAATACGGTGAGTACAACAGAACCACTCCTATGATTAGATAGATAATCCATGAGAAACTCTTCTGACTTGGTGTGAATGGCATAAGGACCTATTGTGCGAATCAATCCCCGTCAGGTCCACATAATCGACCCTGACTTTTACGACGAGATTTACGCCGGTGGGAATCGCAAGCGAGACAAAGACCCTGCGTTTACTCCTCGCTTGGGTATGTCTCTGTCGGTGATATCAACGGTTCCTCATGATCATCATCGGCTGCGACGCAGGATTTTGAACAACTTCTTTTCCAAGCAGTCGGTCACGAATTTGGAGCCGATGCTGCAAGAAAAGATAGACAAGTTGTCTCAGCGCTTGAGAGACGCGAAAGAGGCCGGCACCGTAGTAAAACTAGAATACGCCTTTGCAGCTGTGACTGCAGATGTCATCAGGTGTGTTACCCAGAGAATACCTTTCCGAATTCACATATCCTTCTTTGAAATCATGCCGATATTCTCCAATGAGTCCAGTTTCTGAGTTGATTTTCTTTACTAGTCACTACTGTTATGGCAAAAGTATGGGGTATCTGGACCAATTGTATCCGCAAAACGATCTCAAAGAGGCTTTCAATGCTCTATTTCAGGGAATACATATTTTGTATTTCTTTCCAATGTGGGGATTTTTGATGAATAAGTTACCGCCCTGGCTCATTGCAAAATTGAACCCGAAGTCCAAACAGTTGGCGTACTTCCGCTCAATGGTACGGGAACAGTCTGCAAACGCACTGAATCTGCAAGCAAAAGGGATGATTAGTGATAAGAAACAAAGCATCTTTAATGCTCTAGTCGATCCAGCTCTCCCAGCAGAAGAACGGACACTTGATCGGCTGACTGAGGAAGGAATGATCGTTCTAGGTGCAGGTGCTGAAACCACAGCTAATACTCTGACACTCGGGGCTTTTCATCTCATAAAGAATCGAGACAAAATGTTGAAGCTCCGACACGAGCTAACCAATACTGTGATGCCAAATTCAACAAGTCAACCAAGCTGGAAGCAACTAGAGCAGTTGCCCTATCTGTCAGCCGTCATAAATGAAACTCTCCGTCTTGCCGTTGGGGGTTCCTGGAGAATACCCAGAGTCGCAACACAGGAAACCATTGTTTACAACGGATACGAGATCCCTCCTGGCACGCCGTTAATAACCTCGAGCTGGTTTGTGCACATGAATCCGGATATCTTCCCGAACCCAGAAAAATTCGACCCGGAACGTTGGATCAAGGCTGCTGATAGGGGAGAATATTTGCCACGCTACATAACCAATTTCTCCAAGGGGTCGCGCAACTGTCTCGGTATCAAGTAAGTTGCAATAAAGAAATGGAGCCCCTATATTGTGCATAGCTAAATACGTTTCCCCCAGCCTGGCGTATGCCGAATTGTACATGGTCATTGCTCGCTTCGTCCGAGAGTTTGACATGGAGCTGCACAACACAACCGAGGCGGATGTCGCGTGCGATCGCGACTTTGCCGTGTTCCATTCAGATAAGGGTCCCTGGAGCGTTCAGGTTTTAGTGACCGGGGTAGTGAATTAACTGATAGATTCAAGTTCGTTGTCTAGCGCTATCTGAGGAGGAAACTTATGCCAGGATGAGGAGACGACATTTTTCCCCTTACTACTTCGCAAAACGTAATTAACAACACATTTATGTCAGGCCAATGTCGACCGGTACCTCTTACTACTTATATCAAATGATACGCTTAGCAAGATCTGTATACATGTAGCATTGAATATGGGACAAAACGAATTAAAGAGACTAAAACGCGAGACTGATAACCAACCTTACGCTACCCCACAGAATCAAATCAGACATGCACATACGACCAAGTCCCCAATGATTCTGCCAGATCAAGTGCTTCACTCCCGTATGATCGGTTAAGCCGAAGACCCAATCATATGCAAAGCCGATCGTCCAATGACATGCTATACAATGCCGACGCAGTACATCCATGGTTTCCTCCTCTAGCAAAAGCCCCAGTGGCGTTACGACAATGTCTGGAAATTAGCAACCTCTTAACTCCGCCCCTATTACTGAATTATTATCTTGTTGGAGGATGAGGAGCTCAGTAGCCGGGGTTGAGCCCATCCCCACAACTTCCCCGCACATTTCAAAATATATCCATTCTGGCTTGATGTCTTGCAGGCTCAAGCTACCCTTCTTCACTCAAGGTCCCTCTTCGCCGAAACTCCAGCACGCAGGACCAGGCAAGAATAACCAACAATGGGACGAAAGGTAAAGGCTTGTGTACCATGCCATGAGCGCAAAGTACGATGCGACGCCATGGAGGTGGGCACACCTTGTTCGCGGTGCGTCGATAGCCGCCGCACCGACTTATGCATCATGCTCAACTCGTACGAGAATCGCGTCGATTAAAATTTTAATCCCCTTGCTGATTCTAAAAGGAAAGCACTGGAGCCATGCGCCCAGGAAAATGAGCCTGCGACGCCATCCCATATGTCAATGTCGGGTGACGCAAGTCACACGCTGGTAAGATATACGCCAGAGAGAAAAAGAAAATAAAACCAACTCACAATCACAGAACGATAGCTCATCATCACATACAACAGCAGCGGTGCATTTCGTCTCAAATATAGATCACGAAACACCTTCACACTCGTCCAGCCGTTCCTCTCTTCAAAATCAACAACTGTCGCCGCGTGTACAAATAGGACTTAATAGATCCTATTCACAGAGCCATACCAGGACTTTCGAGTTCATTCATGAGGTGCCTGCGCTTTCTTCGACATTTACTGATTCTCCGGATGATTGTGAAGACATGATTGATTATCATGATGGTACAAACTCAATGACAATTCTGACCGAAGCGCTTGGACCGGACAACAACAACACCCTTGTTCAGAAGGCAGCACGCGGCCCAAATTCACTGATGGAGTCGCAGGATGGATTGTGTGATATCGATGCCAATTTTTTGCGTAGTAAAGGTGCATATGATCTCCCTCCACGGCAAACCTGGTAGGTCTATTTTGTTGAAGTAAGATTACAACTACAGCAGCTAACACATTGCAGCGATAAACTACTCCGCATTTTCTTTGATTCTGTCTACATCCGCTCTCCTATTTTAGATCCAGTCAAGCTCATGGAGGAGTATAGCCAACAAAATGTGTCCATGTTCTTGCTGCTGGCGATCCTGACAACTACTATCCAACATGCCTCTTTTGAACTGATCCAAGAACTTGGTTTTGACAGTCATTCGACTGCTCAAGAAACCTTTTTCAAACGCACCAAGTTGCTTCACGATTTTGATGTTGAGAAGAACCAGCTACGACTATTACAAGGATCTCTTCTTCTCAGCACAACCCATATTTCCCATTACATGCAGAGGGACTACCGTTACTGGCTTTCTAATGCCACCTATATTGCAACAAAGATGGGACTTCATCGAAATGTAGTAGGCCAGCGGCTAGATGGGTCAACAAGAAAGCTTTTTCGACGTATATGGTGTATACTTTACTCGTGGGATGTCCTTTTAGCTCTCAATGGAATGGACACAATGCGGAGATTCCGCGATAGCGACTCCGAAACATGTACCGCAGAAATTACAGAAGACGATTGGGAGGATGATCCGATCCCTGAAGTGTTTCAGGAATTTCTTCATCCAATTAAAAACGTTGAAAAATCATATGTAATCGAGGGTGGCAAGTTATCGCTGTTGAGTACGTTCAATATTTATACCAGTCGTCTGGCTTTATGGAGATCTGACCTTTTGTTTCCCTGCAGTCGCACAATTCTGGCAGAGATTTTCATCCACTCCCCTAGATGCGTGCTATACTCAGCTCACAGTGGCGATGGATTCGTGGCGCGAGTCGCTTCCGCCTTCTTTCAGAACTCCAGCCATTCAGGAGACAAGTGTTGTCAATACATGGAACCTTATTCTCATGGCAAGAGGCTATGTTTGTGAATGTATCATGCATCGCATGATTATACGATCCGCTGGCACAAACGAAAGCCTACGTCTACGAGCAGGACAGAAGCTTTCTTCTGCTTTGTTTGAACTCAACACAATCATCGACAGGATCATGAATCAAAATACAGGACAGTTCAATTCTTGGGTTCTGTAAGTCAAGTCTGCTACTTGCTACGTATGATAAATTCATGAAATTAAAGACTAATCAATCTTTTAGCCATGGATTCATCTCAACTGCCTTGGCACTGCATGTGGAGAAAGCGTTGAACCCTGCATTGACCAGCCTTGAAAGATCTATGACCAACCTACGAATCCAGGTGAACCTAGAATTTCTGCGTGACATGGCCAAGACATGGTCCTACATTGGCGTAATGGTGAGGGTGTTCGAGGGGGTGATCCGCCGCTACGGACTTGTAACATCTTTACCGGAATCTGAAAGCATTCCTAATGATATTGGTGCATTTCCTCAACAATCACCAGACGTGTTAAACCTTTTAGGGACACCAACGATGCCCAGGCCGAATCCATGGATGTTCGGCCCTGCTGATAAGAATATAGCACTTGACCTTGGCATGGGTGATCTCAACGCCAACTCCGTGTTGGAGGAGTTGTTGTACGATAATACATTATCCTGGGACATATCCAAATTAATTTAAACTACATCCGAAAAGACACCCGCAGTGTTGCTTACGAGTCGACCACGGATTTATGTACCTGAAGAGCTGGCTGTCATGGTTTTCTTTGACAAGCGGGAGTTAAAATATCCAGGAATTGGTATGGCAAAATTTTGTTGCTACTACTATCCAATTTGTATATATGCATGGATAATCATTTGCAGATGTGCATATACTTATCTGCTGTACATTAATGAATGGACCGAATAGTCATCCCACTCCATCTCTCTATGCTAGTGATCCACCGTCCACGCTGACGACAGATCCCGTCATATAACTGCTCTCTGGACTGAGTAGGAATACAATCACAGAGGATAGCTCATCCACGTGTGCGGTTCTTTGTATAGGGCGACCGGCGCTCGCTCGTTTTAGAGAGCCGTAGTTCTCATCAGCAATCCGCAGCAGCGGGGTATCTGTAGGCCCTCTATCAAAGGCGTGCGTTGATGTTGGTTATTCAATGGCTAAAAGGCCGGTTGGGGGGGGGGGGGGGGGGGGGGGCATGCTTACGGTAACACAATGTTGACGCGAATATCTTTGGACCCTCCTTCTATTGCTGCGCTCTTGGTCAAGCCCACAACTGCATGCTTGCTTGCACTATACAAAATTCCTTTTTTATACCCTCTCGCCGACGCGACGCTCCCGATATTGACGATGCTGGAGGGTGATGCAAGGAGACCTGGCACCATGGATTCCGCAAGGGAGTTAAAAACGCCTCTGACATTTACGTCCATCACGAATTCATACTCCTTGGTTTCCAGCTGCCAGGTTTCCAAAATACCAAATGATGGTCCAACCACCCCTGCGATGTTGGCAACACCGTGCAGTTCTCCAAAGTGCTTCTTGGTATCCTCAAAAAACCGTTTCAGATGTGACCGTTCTGCCACATCTACAGTCATTGTAAACACACGCGATTGTTCTGTTGGAGGTAATGTATCGTAGGCACTTTGTAATACCTTCTCGTTAACATCACTCATGCCAACTGATGCGCCTCGGGAAAGGAGTGTTTTGACTGTGGATAGGCCAATGCCGGAGGCAGCGCCTGTCACACAGAAAACTTTTCCTGCCAACGAAGCCATTCTGGGAAATCTGATTATTTGGATGACTGATATAAAAAAATTGGAGGCGATGTTATAATGTGATGGGGTGGCAATTGTAAGTGATTTATTCAAAGCGATGGATTAGTTTCGCGACCCACTAGTATCTTATGCCGCAGAATCTCGGCTTTTCTGTAAACCGTCATATTAAGGACTTAACCCGGCTACCCGGCTATGCGATACTCGGCAGGGTAAGTGAAAATACAGATAGGAAAACCATGTGTGTCGTGACATATACTGTATATGCCCAATACAAAGACACCAAATTGTTACGCAGAACACCCAGACATTATTCTAATCGTCAAAAGCACTCCTGTTGGCGCTATATAGAATGAATACTCAGAATGAGAAAATCAATCATTTTTGTAAGAATTATTTATTACAGGCTTCGGTTTGAGTCACTACCAGACAATATCTCTTTGCCCTTTCAGATTTATAGCACCGGGATTGTTTGAAGCCCCAAGTTAAGTCTTGTCAGGGGAGGCAATAATATCAAGAATGCGTCTGAGTGGCTGAAACGAATACACCTTTTGAAAGGGCATGGTCGTCTCTCATACAAAATCTGGAGGACGACGACGCAACAGGGGTTCATGCTGTAGCAATCTCACCCTTCACCCAACAGCAAGCGGACCACTTCTGCATCTGAAGATCATATCGAGCTGTGGGACGCGAGAACTAGGGATCATCTGATTAAAGTAGGAAATACTGTACAAGAAGTGTTATTAATGATCTGCATGTCTTAGTAGGAGTTAATGACTCACTGCATGTTCATATCCATCCATTGATCTGAGTCAAGGAATGAACGCCGCCCACTATTTTTCGGGTTTTATTTCCTTTGATGATGACGCAATAAGTTGATTTAAAAGTTAAAAAAATATTTTTTGTTTCAAAAACTATTACTCTGAGCTCTCGATAGTTGCAATTGCACTTAGCCCTAATTAAGCCACAGTGGCTGGTGGAATGCGGAATCAGGGGCGATGGAAGGACGCGGAAGAGATGCATTCTCAGAGATAGCCAAGCAATAAGGAAGATGATAAATACAGGGTATGCAGCTTGGTTGATCATGATTTGAAGTGATTCATATTTCAGAGATAAATACAGGCAGGCAGATATAGATGGCAAGAGACAGCAGAAGCAGGTGAAATGATAACTTGCGGTCATGACTATATTATCTACTTAGCTTCGCCGAGATGCTTCTTCAGGAATGGCAGGGCTTTGTCGAGCGCGCCTTTGACAGCCTTCGGCTGGTCGTAAAGCTGATAGTGCGACACGCCGGGGAGCACAACGAGCTCCTTCTCTTTAGAAGCGGCACGACCATAAATCTCATGACCATCACGGTAGGCGCCAAAGCCGCCAGGAATATCGCCAATAACGGCGATGAAGGGACGAGTCATGATGACCTCCGCATGGCTGAAAGCATCCCATGCAAGGGCGGCGCTATTGAATGAGAAAAGACCGCTCGTGGCACCACATGGTTTCTGGCCGCGGCTGGTCTTGTAGTATTCAGTTGCCTCCACGATATCAGGATCCGAGGTCATCTTCTTAGCCTCCTCGACTGTTGGGGGAAGGAAGGGGAATATATAACGATCGGCACCCTGGGCTTCGAGGGTGCGCTGTTTGGCCATTTTCTCAAGAGAACCGACCGGGTCGAAGCCAGCAAGGGACTCGCGGGCCAGCCGACCAAAGTTCGCTGCTGTGATGCCGACGCAGCACTTGAGGCGGTAGTCAGTCATGGTCGCGTTGAAAGCATAGCCGCCACCGCCGCAAACGCCCAGCACGCCGATACGCTCCGGGTCGACATATGGGAGCGTCTGGATGTAGTCGATGACATAGCGGAAGTCAGAGACGCGCAATTCAGGGTTCTCCACGAACCGGGGCAATCCGCCTGAAGCTCCCTGGAAAGATGCGTCAAACGCGACAACTACAAAGCCAGCTTCAGCCATTGCCTTGCCATAGACATTGCCCGAAGTCTGCTCTTTGCACGAGCCAATTGGATGGGCTGACACGACAGCCGGGTACTTCTTCGTGTCGTCAAACTTGGGTGGGAAGTATATGTCGGCAGCGATGTCCCACGCAATGCCAGGGATTTTGACGGGCTTGATGGTTTCGGACATGGTGGCTGTCGTCTGGTTTAGTTTTCTCAGGTGGCTGTCGTTGTGTTGGTTGCCATGATTCCCGTGAACACCTTTTATAGGTCGCGAGAGAATGTTTACTTTGGTGGCAACATACGTAATCTATCCCGAAGAAATATAGATCAGTCGAAGTTCTTCGGGGTGGAGCTATCACATCCGGATTCAATGTGGGAAACTAAGTAAGTGATGACGCGCTGACCCAAGATGTTTTCGGACAGGTAACATTGACACGAAAGGGCTTCAATTTGCGATGTTTGCAGCGGACTTATTGGCTTTTGAAGCGACACGACAATTTAGAAATATTAATAAATATCAATTGATATATTCATTTGTTGTTGTTGGGCAACAAGAATGTATGCTGATCTGACCAATGAGAGCCAAGCATCTAAGGAATCCTCTGCGGTGATTGGTTGACATGTGATTACTAAACATTTCCTACACTGAGGTTCGATTGCTCATAAGTAGAGGCTTAATCATTTTATTATAACAATTGACATCCTAAGGGTTATTTTCGCCAGAAGAATTAACTTGCTAGTGTCTTGTGTTGCACTGCTTGTTGGGCTTCTGTTTATTTGGTTGAAAGTACTAGACTCGCATTAGACACACTGCCAGAAGAATTAAGAAAATGCTAACCTTTCTTCTGAATTCGTTCAAATCGTCAGCCGTCACGCCATTTGGATCATCTGTGGCCCGATGTATTCTTGTGTCTGATGAAACCTCTCCACCAGGTAATTTTCGATAAGTGAGAAGACGCCGTGCCCCTAGCCATGAATAGTCAGAGGTCTTTAGTCTTGTAGCGCAGGTAGATATGTAGTATATAGACTTACAGCCACGAAATTGTTGGACACTCACATTGACGATTTCCAGAGATGGGTGTGTCGGGATCATCAACTCGATTTCCTGATCATCAGCTGTAGGCATCCACATTGCAATTCGACCTCCTTCGACCAGTGTCCGGGCGGCGAAACATAGAATGTCGTGTTGCAAGCTCACGAAACCATACGGTTTCTTAGTTGGTATCCAGCCCGGTTGTCTGGACAGTAATCAGGATAAGTGACTCTATGGAAGGATCAAGTAACTCACGTATGGGCTGGCTTTCCATTATAATAAACTGGTTTCTTCACGCTCCCATCCCTGCTCCCTAAAACCTTCAAGCCCTCTCGTATACCGTATGGGGGGTCACAAATAATGCCATCAAGAAAAGGTACATCTCTGATAGGGGTGTTCGTGAGGTCTGACGTGAAGGCATCCAGAAATTTGCTTTCGGTACCATACTGAATGAAGTTTGAGAGTACGCCGATAGGGTTGTCGTTCGTGACTGGTTCTTTCCCCTTAAAGCTTCTGCCGTCAATATCAGCCCCAAGCGTCATAGCTCCAAAGTAAGCTGCTGCAACCAAGAAACTTCCAGTGCCAACGAAAGGGTCGAAGAATATCTTTCCAGGGGCAGCAAGAGCCATATTTGCCGTGACCAGAGACAATTCCGCATCCATGGATGTCGTAGCGATATAATTTCTCTTTTTCAAGTTGTATTGTGTAGCTATCTCGCGACTGCTGTGACACAGCCAACGTGTAAAATAAATCCTTTTTAAAATTTTCGGTTTCTTGCCTGGTGTCTGGTGGTCTGGTTGATCTTTAGGGTTACCGGCCTTTTTCATGTCGGAAGTCTCCTCCTCTCCCACATAGTCTTCCAAGATGGCAAATTTCTCTTCTGGGTTTTTCATTAGGATGAGTCCCTGGAAATCTAGATATGAGAAGGATTCGATAAGGTCCTTTTTCTCTTCCTGAGCCCTTCGGGCGCCGAAGCTGTCTACGGATATGCTAAAGGACACATCTTTGTAGTCTTTCCAGCGAGGTTCTGTCCTGAGCTTAACGTTGGCATGGAGTTCCGCATAGCTGGTTCCAGAGCCCCAGAGCTCGTATCCCTCTTGGGTGAGAACGCTACGCGAAATGACCTTGCGTGCTGACTCCTCATTTGGAAATTTGACCACGCAAAATGGCGACTAGATCGGCCTGTTAGAAACTCGCTTAATATAAATCTTGAACTATTGATGTTCCAACATGAAGTTCACCAGGCTACAGGCTATATTCTCAAAAACAATGTATTTACCGAAAAATCACTAACAAAATTGCGAATGGAAACATTTACTTACATATTTATCATACCAGACAAATTCTAAGTCGACTCCGGCGAGAGTAGCAAGCGCCTCGATCTCCGCCCGTCGAAAGGTCTCGTGAGTCTGTGCAAACCGAATCACATATTCCATGCTGGCAGTTCCATTAGAATATTCTTAAAGAACTCGAACAGCCGATATGGTATGGTTGGAAATTAGCCTTGGAACGTGTTAGGTCGCGATCTCTTAGGGGGGAAGCAAAGAGACGCGGAACCGCAGACTTTTCTTCCCTGCCTGTTTTGGCGGGGAAGGGTATGGAAGGGCAAGCAACCCTAAATGCTGCGTTGGCCGCCAATACATGTAACAACACCCTTGAGTATTTTTAAAGGAATAGAAAATTTTTAAAATATAAAGAACAATGCACGACATGCTACATATGTTTGTCAATATTGAACAAAATTGGACTGAATGCTGAAATTATCATCTGCTATCGTGGTATCATTCGACCTTTCATCCCACATGGCCTTCGCTACAACCCAACACGATTAAAAAATTGGCACACACGAATAGCTATATGCTTAGTACTTTACTATTTGTCCCATAAGTCCTTCACGAACAAGTGTTAACAGCTTGCCGTATAATCACCCTACCTTTGCGCCATTCCCTTGGAAAAAAATTTACTCATAGAAAAGTGAGTAGCAGATATCGAACGCCTCGCTATGTATTGACAACTCTAAAGGTGTATCGTGATTCATAACCCTCCTCTTGATCAATTTCAACTTTCTGATCTTCCGGTATCATCTCATGTTTGAGCTCCCATCCTGCTCTTCGGCAGAGCTCTGAGACGACTACGTCGCAATCGCCTAGCAAATCGATATCAAAGCCAATATGTGATACAGGCTATTCCATGTTAGTATCATGGATATGGTTCTGCTCCACAAGTACTGACCGTGCGGGATATATAAAGCTGAGGGATGTCGTTGGGTATAATACTAGGAACATCCGCCACAGGTGCCACCTTCATCGAGGTCCCAATCACAATGACCAAGTCGGTACGTTCTCGGTCTTCGTGAACCAAACGACGGCCAAATTCATCAGGGAGGTCTTCACCGAAAAATGTGATATCCGGCTTTATACAGTTAGTGGTAAATAAGAAGAATGTCATAAGCTAATCTACCAACCTTCATCACACCTGGAGTAGGAATGTCATAATCGTCGTCGTCCGAGTCATCTGCGTCTTTCTTTCGGTTTATATGAGAGCCATTTGAACTGCGTTTCCGCTTCATCCCTTGTGGTCGAAGAAGAATCTGTTCTTTGCAGGGTTTGCACTCTGGAATTTTGCCTGACTTGACAGTCTCAAAAATAGCGTCACCGGGCACTTTAAAACGACATTTTGTGCACGTTGCCATTGCAAAAGAGCCATGACACTGTACAATTTTATCATGGCTGACCCCGGCATTGGCCTCGATGTTGTCGATGTTTTGAGTGTAATTCGTCAGTAGTTTGCCCTTGTCTTGCAGAAGCTTGATAAAAGCGTGCGTCGGTGAGAATTTCTTTTCAGTGGGAAGGATATCTTTGGCAACTGAGAAGAAAATGCTAGGATCTTCATGGAAGAGCTGGATATCGAAGACTTCTTGCGGGTCGCTCAAACCAAGATGTTCCAGCTGGGAGTACAACCCGGTGTCCTTGGAACGAAAATCGGGTATACCGAGGCTCGTCGATATCTATCAAGAAAGTCAGAATTATACCAGCTTTGAAATTGACTAACGAGGAACGAGCACACATACCCCTGCACCAGTAATCACAATAATGTTTTTCGACTTCTGCAGCAACTCAACTGCGTCTTGGATGGTGTTATAGTTTTCTAATTTTTGGCGCTTGGCAAACTCTCGAGATATGACAAGGCCCAACAATGGATGGTACGCATCGTCCGGCGCGTCTTCGAGAAACGAAGGAGGCACGATGCCAAAAGCCGTCAGGAGCTTTTTGGCAGTAATCGTATTGTTTCCGATCGTTTCTTCAACAAATGCGACCTTTCCAATTTCATGCAAGCGCTTGCGATAAGTAGAAGCCTCCTGTGGCGTACACGCATCCGGAACTGGAAAAGGGCGAGGATTAGCCAACCACGCCAAGGTGATGTATACGGATAATGAAGTTTACCCGAAGAGAGTTGATCGTCGCGAACAAAGTGCAATGCTTCTTCATACAGCGAATCGGTTTCCCACTCATCCCCCGAAACGTCGCTTTCATCATCCTTACCAGGAGGAGATGCCGGATCCTTCAACGTATCGCTTGGTGCCGCAATCTTCACCTCTGCTTCAAGGTCCGCGGAACCATTCTCAACAACATCTAGTTCTACGAGCGGCTGCTTGAGCGGCTCACTCACGTCTGTAGGCTGCACAAGATCCATTCTGATAAACCCAACAATGCGCACCGTTTTGGCGCCTGAAGCATAGGGCTAGGTGCTCACATTGGCGGTTCAACGACTGAGACACCTCTTTAGGGGTTGCGCAACCTCCGTTTACTTATCTAAACTTATCGGCCGGCGGCCGGGTTAATCCGGGGTGCGTTCCAGCCAATCACGATTTATTAATGTTGGTTAATTTTCGTTGATTACGTTCAGCCAATGAGCATCTGTGGAGGGCAATACACTCTATATAGTATATCACGTTACTATATACTCTTCTCGTAACGAAACCCAGGCAATCATAACATGAGAATAATCCATGGGGCGCTAAATTTGGGTTAATTTAAGAGGACGTATATCAATTCAATATAAATAATGTATTTAACGTTGATTATTTTATTCATAGATCTTTCATCTCATGATCTTCGTCTTCGTCATCTTCTCCAGATAGAACTTCAATCTCCTCATCTATATCGTCCTCTTCGCCGCCTGGAATAACGGCATCTGATTCACTATCGTCATCGTCTTCTCCCAGTTCTTTATTCAACTCCTGAATGAGCTCCACGGCGTGCTCCTTGAGCTTTTCATCTTCGTAATCCATTTTCACGTAGAGTTTCAAGCTTTGCTTAAGCCATTCCCGACTAGCAACCATCGAATCGTGTCGCCTTCCTTCAGCTGACGACCTAGGATCTATCTTCGTTGGTTGTTCTCTTTCCTTTTCGGCCATCAAGTAAAGACACCATCCACCAAGATACCAGGCCTCAATGCTTTCATCGTCTTCAAGAATAAGTCGCTCTAGTACTTGCAGTGCTTCAAGTTCCATTTGCACTTCCATAAGCAGCCGCGAAAGGCTAATTCTCGATGGAAAATCCGGAACCTTGGGGTCCTCTGGCGGCAAATCCTTCCAGATATTCAGACTTCGAGAAAGAGACGTCCGAGCTTCATCCACGCGTAATTGAGATATCCTAACTGACGCCAAGGTCTGTAGACAGTCCGGGGAGTCAGGTGCGACGGTAAGGGCTTCAGTAACGAGGGCTTCGCATCGGGCTTCGGCATCTTCTTCCCACCTACAATTCTGTTAATTAAAGGATACATTCGCTTTCAAGAACCCACCTACGAGAGATCGGTCATGTATAGCTCGACAACTCCACATAGAGCTGTCGCTAGCTTTTTTCGTTTCTCCTCGACAATTGTAGCATCCTCAGGCTGTGCGCTTTGTTCCAATGATTGAATCACATTTCTCAATGCGCTGACACCCTTCTCATACCATCCCACACTATCTGCACCACCTTGCTCACTTAATTGCGCAAGCCATAAGAACTTTTCCGCACCCCCACCTTGTGCTTCAGGCGTCGTTCCTTCGGGATCAATCTGTACTGCGCGCAGGAAACTTTGACGAGCGGCATCAATTTCACCGAGTTCGACGTATATTTCGCCGATGAGGTTAATTGATGATAATGATTCTGGAGAGTCTTCCGCAGAAATCTCTAGCACTCGCTGAGCTAAAGGGAGAGCAGCTTCAGCCTGTCCTGTTTGAAGTAGAACGGTGGCTTTCTCTAAAAGCTCCGAAGTCTGCTCCGCCATTTGTGGTTTGAAGACAACACCGCCGACTCCGTTAAGAACGGATTTTTTGTGCTTCGCTGAATTCTTCTTGTTTTTCGTTCCTGACTTGCCCATCCCTTGACGTGGAAAGAAAGAAAATATATTATAAGTATGGAGTGTTCTTGAGGTATTGGTCAATTTCGTTCTGGTGAAAATAAATTTGGGCCGCCTCTATCCATCAATGTTTGCGGTGTTTGCATGCGGGACAGATACTGTAGCTCCACTCAATGTTCTTTCAATGTCCCCATCTAGATTTATATGCGATCTACATTTGCGTCCAATTCGAGCTTGCGCATTATTTCCACTCTATCACGGCTTATGTTGCAAGGGACTGAGCAGAAACACCGAAAATCGAGTTGGATTACTCTTTGCTGAGCCATCCATTCGACTTTGCTAAATTCTGAGGCCCCTCTGGCAGTGGAGGAAAAAGCTCGAGAATGGGCCGGGAGGAGCAGGTTGAGGAGCGAGAAGTTCTCGATTCCATTTTTCCAGAGGAAATATCAGGTTCGCACTTATTTTAAATAATAATAATGGGGAAAGCTTGTCTTTCGCTAATATATGCTATGACCTGCTAGATGTATCAGAAACATCTTATCGAATAACGATTACGCTTGACATCGAGCCAGAAGCCGAATCCGATGAAGAACCACCGATTTTGATACTACAAGTTTCATATCCCGAAGCATATCCTGATGTAGCGCCCGACCTTGAAATTTCGACTCCTCCAAATGCCCCAAAACACTCTCGTTTCGATGTGCAGGAAGACAAGGCACAACTCATGGAAGCGCTTCAACCCAGCATTGAGGAGAATATCGGCATGGCGATGGTATTCACACTTGTCAGCACTCTGAAAGAAGCGGCGGAAGGCTTAATAGCGGAACGCATAGAGTCTGACAAACAAGCACATGAGAGAGAAATTTTAAAGGCAGAGGAGGAAGAGAACAGGAAATTCCAGGGAGCCCTCGTTACAAAGGAGAAATTCCTTGAGTGGAGAGAGAAATTCCAAAAGGAGTTGGAAGAAGAGGAGCAGCGATTACGGGAAGAGAAAGAAGCAGAGGAGAAGAAAAAGAAACCGTCTGCTCGTGAGGAGGTGAAGCTCACAGGAAGACAGCTTTGGGAGAGAGGTTTGGTAGGAAAGGGCGACGATGATGAAGAAGGCGACGATGATGTGGTGTCTGGTGTTGCCGAGAAATTGCAAATCTCATCATAGGAGTATTGCACTTTCAAAGATATTCGAGAGCTTGCGCATAAGTGTAAACATGCGAGGCATTCCATGCCAGGTGCTGATCACCTTTGATCAGGTTCCCAGCAACTTTTACACGCCCACTATCAGTTTCCTGCCACTTTCGTCCTCATGTGCTGATACAGCCATTTTTTCTTCAGACCTTCAACATGTAAATAATACCCCGACCGGGTTTGTTCAACACGTAGCAGATGAGGCTAATTGACTCGGTGTGGAGTACCGTCCACAGCATATGGGCTGGCTCGTAAATGTATAGTCGTTGATTTCGAGGAATCCCATATATGCAGGATTTAGGATTATGTATTTGCCTGACGCTTTGTTGCAGATATTGTTCAATTCAATGTTTTTGATTGGAAAGAATTGGGTCTGGATTTGATTCCACGACTTGTGCTTTTCTCTGCGCTTCCTCTTTCTCTGCTAATTCCCGCTCAGCAAGAACAACTTTCCACATCGCTTCTGCAGTATCTTGGTGTCTTTGTTCGTAGTTTCGATTGTCATTGACCGACTTTTCATAGGCTCTCCACACATCTTGTGCCCATGTGCCTTTTATCCACGTTGGTTGTTTGTCATACTTCTTCCATAAAACGGGATCTCTGTCCTGCAGATATCGGTCCCAATTTTCTTCATCTGAAGCAAATAATAGATCTGCATAGAGTCTAGCACGCCGGCCTGTCAGTTTATCTCTCTGTGCAAGCTTCTGTCGAATGACTCGGCTGAGGCTCTCTGGTTGTGGTTTCTTGATTCGCAAGAAAGGAATGCCACGTGCACAGACAAAAACAGGTACTCTTCGTCGCCCAGTAATAATAGGCCGTGGTCGTGACAATATCGGCTCAACGTTTGGATGTGGTAGCTTTGTTTGACGGGCGTATTCGATATTCTGCGCTCGTCTTTTTTGGTGCCGACCAAGGGTGACTAGCCCAACATCTTTAGAAAGCTTTTCGTGTTTCTTAGACTCAAGTACAAGTTTCCGTGCTTCTAGTTTTTGGAGGTACTGGTTAATCTGAGTGAGGGAGTCTTTGCTTCCCCGGGCTGCCGAGTAAAACAAATCTAATGCCTGGGTCGCGCTTTAGTTCCCCATACTTGGAAATAATGAGAGTAACGAACAAGTATTTACCTCGTATCCTGCTTGAAGACTATGGATTGTTTTTGTTGGACTGCATAACTCTTTGTATCGGTCAAATCTCGACCTGACCAGTTGTCTGATGCTTTCGGCTTCGACATTTGTTTGGGGTAATTTGGAGGATTGTCGCAGAAGTGCTCGGTATAGAGATAAGCCTTTAGAAGGTTAGCAGTTCTGGTATAGCAACAATGCATTGAGACGACTGACATGCGAAGCGATGTACACCACTTTTACTTGGAGGATGCGTCCACTTCATTCCTGCGTCGATGAATGTAATTATTATGATGCTTGACGGAGCAAGGACGGTGGAATTTCACCATGCACTAGGAAGTAATATTATTGGGTAGAGTACCCTGCAAGCCCCACCTCATAGGATCCGCTACGAGCCTTTCTTCTCAGCCAATCACAGGCCACTTGATATACTCCGAAGGCTGACAGCTTTGTCAGTCTCAGGCTCCCTTCTAAGTACGTCCCTCTTTCTTGTTCTTCGTACTATCCTTCCTTTTATCCTCTCAACTGCGCTCGTAAACCAGCTTAGCCGTAAAACAATATATGTGATAATGAAGGAAGGCAGTCGAAGCCCGGGTAGTCTGCCCCACGGTGTGTGGACGCTGGTCTTCGAGTTGGTAAGTTGATCTATTAACGTGCTGCAGGTAATGGCTAATTACGCACCAGATGCGAACACAAGATCTGTTCAATATTTGCTTGGTCTCCAAAACATGGAACGCATTAGCAACAAAGTTCCTATATCGATCAATTCCTATAGGAGAACAACACAGTCACATAACACATTCACAGATATGGTCCAATGAGGCCAGCATCCGGTCTCGGCTTCTCTCCCGATTAGAAGATGATTCAAATGACGAACTTAGGGCCTTTGTGCAAGAAGTGGCTGTAATGCCTACTTTCGCGTACACGATTCGCTCTATTAGCGAACTCGAGGTAGAAGACTGGTTGTGCAAGCTGTTCGTACGCCTACCGAACCTCCAATTAGTCTCTATCCATACCTCTATTCAGCGGTTAGATGAGATCATCTGTACTATCTGTGATCACAATCGGCGACCGGAGCTTCGTCTGTTCTCTGTAAACGGAACTATGGGTGATAGTAGATTAGCAGACCGAACCCTATCCTGTATTTCGACCTTACATGCCACTGTGAACCCATTTAAGGAACAGGATGGGCCGAATCGTCACATACTCCACCTCCAAAAACTGTTTTTCAAATGTCCAAATATGCGGTCTTTTTCTCTCTGTGTGCATGGCAACTACGGAGGATGCGTACTCAACTTCCCAAGTTTCGATACTATCAGAACTTTTCAACTGGCCGGGTATGAAAATTTCCCTCTAATAGAGGAACTCTCGCTTGATGCATACGCGATGGAAGACGATGAGTGGATCCATTGGAAAGACCGGTTCTCTTGGTCCAAACTAAAGTCGCTCACCCTGGGACCGAGTGATCCTTGTAACCTTTTGGACCGGATGGCTGGGTATGCCACATCATTGAGAACCCTCAAGGTTCTCGGCTATGCTGAAGAGGGAAACTCGGACTGCAAATCGGTTGAGAGATTTCTATTCTCCTTTGATAGCTTGGAGACCCTAGAACTGAATGGTTATTTGTGCTCTGTAAACGCAGTTGCACAGCATAAGAACATATCGGACCTTTGCTTGCATATGGCCGAGTATTCAGAAAAGGAAATTCAACGGAGAGTACTTACCACCGCCGAGCTCAAACACCTTGATAAACACTGTCCAAAGATGGAGTCACTCAGCATTGACGTTGAAAGGAGTAATAACGAATGGGTAAGTGTATATATGAACAGACAGACACCATCAGCATTTGAAATTGACCGAACTATGATATAGCCGGAATCCATTTTCGGCAGTCTCGCAACCAGTTTTGCTAATTTGAAGGCTCTGTCAATTCACTTCGAACTTGGAATCAGCGACATTGAAAACCCCATTATGCCAGCGTTGGACGAAAGTTGGGCAAAGAATCTTAGCCAAAAGTTCTTCAACAAGCGACATTCATTCGATTATGTCAAAGACGACAACGACAGAACATCTCTTGGGAAACTACACACTCTAACTCTGAAGACGGGTGAGAGCCAACGAAGATTTCCCCAGTGGGAACCTGAATACTCGCGTTGGGAAAATCAGCAATCAGCGACTTATGAAACTAGCCTGTTGGGTGATTCGTCAGTCGATATTAGGATAACTAGAGCGCCTTTGTATTAGTGATTAAATCTAAAAGAATTAATCGACTACTCTTTCATTTCTGCCTTCGTTTCAAGGTCATGGTGGGCGGCAGCACGCGTTACCAGTACGTATCGATCATCATCTCCACGTTATCCCAAAGAGATCCTTAATATAGCAAGTGGCTTTACATGTCGTTAAACGAATTATTGTTATTTTACTTTGATGTTCTCCTTGCCTCTTCTCCAAAATGGTTTGCAGCTGCCCACGCACTTGATTGGATGCCCTCGCTAACTTCAGCCCTAGCACCCCTTTTCTACATACGTATGTAAGCCTTCATGTCTCCCCTGGCCGGAGGTAGGAGGTGGAAGACTAAAATATGACACCAACAACAATCAACAGAACATACGGAGCGGCAGGTTTACAAGAATTTGCTATCCATCAACATTCTAGACCAGACACTCATAACTATTCTTTAGCAATCTCGATGACAATCTTCTTGGCTGATACTCCCACTCTCTGCAGGTCAATACCCTCTTGAACCTTCTCCAGCCCACCCTCAATAATCATTGGGTCTGGCTTTGCTTTCAATTTCCCAGCGGCCAAGGCTGCTGGTAGATATTTCCGCAATATGGTATCGCCAAGATCTGATTCTAACAGGGCAGGTTGCCAAACCCATACTAAATCAACACGTCTCAGGTCAGCCATTATATATCAGAAGTTGGTTTGGACATCCAAAAGAGTTGAAAAGCAAAAAAAAAGACAACATACCGCGACGTGGTTCAATATTATCCATAAATGAGCCTTCTGGTGTATTTAAAACAGCAAGCCTGCCTCCCCCAATCTTGCCCAAGATTTCACCGCAGGGCTTCAATGTCTCTGCAGTAGAGATACAGTCGAAAACATAATCACCAGGTTTCAGAACCTTGAGAACTTCTCCGACAATTTTGGGGTTTCTGTGATCAAACACGTACGATGCGCCTAGATCTTTCACGTACTCGAAATTGGCTGGGCTAGCAGTCGTGGCAACTTGGTAGCCAGCAGCAATAGCGAGTTGAATCGCCGAGCTGCCGCATGATGAGCTTCCACCCCAGATGAAAACGGTTTTTCCGGTAGGTTTGGGATCCAAAGACGGCAGTTCCAGTTGAAGTTCTATAAATAGACCCACTGCTGCTGTAGAAATGGATAATGGTAACACAGAGGCATTTGCCAAGGGTAGAGAGTCGGGAATTGCTGATACATGAATTTCGGGGCAGGTGCTGTACTTTTGCCATCCACAGTTTGCCGTTTTGCGCACAATTAAACCGTTACATAGCCTGGAGACGAGAAAGGAGTAACGGTCAACCATTTTCTTCTTTATATCTGCAAATAATTTCATACCCAAGCACTCTCTGCCCCAATTGAAACCGGGTCACTTTGGAACCGAGTTGCACAACAGTCCCAGCAATATCAACTCCGGTGATGTTGGGAAATGGCATTTCATATGAGTCTCCGTCTTGAAGCTATGCGGTTTCAGTACCAAACCTAATGAGAACAGAATAACGCAGTCTTACTTTCCAGTCAAGAGGGTTCACAGCCGCGTATGCGACTTTAATCACGATCTCATCTTCTGCTGGTTCTTGCTTGGGACCTGGGCCAACCTTTAAAGGATAGCCTTTGAATGATTCAAGCCACGCAGCTTCGTTATCCACGATTGTCGTCATTGTTGACCCTTCTTGGCCTATTTTAATAGATTTTATGTATATGGAGATAAGTATTGAGGAGAATGAATTCTGATGTCAATTATAATGAAGCCCATATTGGGTTCATGTGTTAAATTGGACCTATATATAATTTCTCATATCTCACGGAATACCGTAGGATAGAAAGTACTGGATCTGTTAAAAACGATAAATATCAATTAGAACGTATCTATATGACTGGCTTGTTTGTTGGTGAAGTGAAGGGCTCCACCGAAGTGACACGGAACTCCGTGAGCCTTAGAGACTGATTACCAATCAACCAGTAAGACTCGAATTCAAGTTTCACGTTTGCAACTTACGCAGCTGCACATATCGTCATAAATTAAGTAGAATATCACCGATAATATGACCCCAGAATTCACATGCAATATCTGTCGCAAGACCTTTGACAATAGTAGGTTTGCCCTACGTACATATAGGAAACGGGTGGTTAACCCAAATGGCACCATTTCAGGCAGGTCACGTACCAGACATGTTAGCTACTGTCGAAGAAAGTCTCGCAACCCTCCAAAGCCAAGAAAAAAGGCTTGTAGTGGCTGTACCCAGGCCAAAACGCAATGCGACATGGGATTCCCCGCATGTTCGCGGTGTATCCACAAGAACATCGTTTGTCGATATCAAAACACGTTAAACGTGCAAGGTCGGCCACAGGAGCAAGACTCCATCCCATTATTGTCATCAGCTTCGATACCATTACTGGGGTCAATTACAGACACTTCATTATCACTATGGCCTCCATACGTGGATGACTTTGACTTTCAAAACTCAGCGCTCCCGATAGTAGACATTCTGTTGCTTGACCAAGGCCTGTATGACTTTCTGAATATTTATCAACCCGCTCCCCGGGTCCCTCGATTGTTTCAGCCTAAACAAAGGTCCTTTGGAGAGTCATCACTCGACCGACATTATGTCCTAGTCAGTCTAAGCAGCTACCCAAGAATGGTGCTTTCGAGAAAGAAAGATGACATACCACCGTTTGTACATGCGAAATATCTGGCCACCTCTGACCGAGAATTTGCTCCAAAACCGCTAGCTCGCTGCGCCGGTATTGTAGCACTGTGGTCAGTCAAAACCAAGGATAATAGCGTTCATATATGGAGAGCAATTCGATCTGAGCAGGAACGCATCTTTGAAGAGGTATGTTACCTGTCGATTCAAGAAATTTTCACCGATTAATATTCGTTTCACAGTGTCTTGGGTACAACGGTACAGACTTAGTGGCTGCCGCCCAAGCGATATGTGTTTATAATATCTTGCGAGTCTTGGAGAAAGATGACGATGTGACCGACTTCGATATGCCATTGGTGTTGACAACATTAGTATGTGTTAACGCTTATTCCCACCTTTTAAAATACAACAAACTCATTACGCAGTAGAAAGTCGCGAGATTAATCGGTTATCCGAGTGTCGGACATAGCCATCACCCTTCAGCACAGAATTCACAGAATTCACAGCCAATATGGGAGAATTGGGTCATAGACGAGTCAGGACGCCGGTATGGTAGACACTTTCCCGGTATATCTTCTTACATGCCGGTATGTATTGATAATTGAATGATATAGGGCGATATATATCCTACTTATAGTGATGTCGCTCTTCGACATCTCCCCGGCAATCGACTATAACTCTTGCCGCTGCGCAGAGTACCTATCCCAAATACCTCTTCCCAGCCCCAAAAATGTGTGGAATTCCCGAACAGAAGCAGAATGGGTCAAAGAGTCAGTTCAGTCAAGCTGTGATGACCAGCGTCACCAATCTCTCACATTTGGCGATCTGCTGTCGCACCGGAATGGCAAACATGAAATTGATTGGCATTCAAATGACAACCCGACTGTTAGGGAGTCTACGCTAGATCATTGGCTCGCCGGCGTTGATGATATGGGAGTTCTTGTCATGTCGGCAGCGAAAATCTCGGAGGATACATTCTTTGCGAATTCATTTTTCAATTTGAAAGCGAGTCGGTAATAGTCTGAAGACTGATGCTTTCAGTTTTAACTTGTGTCGGATAAAAAATATTCAATCAATATTTTGGTGAGTGACAGCACAAGAGGTAGAATTTGGCTGCCCTTATGTTAACATTACTAGTAGAAGTCTACTATTTAATCATTTAATTGGGCCCTATATAAATGATGAACATCCAGGGTTCGACTAAAAGCACGCCAAGCTTGCCTGATATGCACGAACAATACGTAAATCTAGAAAGAGAAAAGACAATGGTCCCAGCCAGAATACTCCATTCCTACCATGCGAATACGCATACACCGAGGGCGTATTTCAAAAGGTTGAACCTTCAGGCGGCTGAGGAAGCTTCTTATGTTGAGGTAGTGACATGAATCTAGACAGAGAGCTTAGTCAATGTAAAATATCAATGACAGCTAGCCGTACCTCCGAAGTTCTAGTAAGATGGTCTCCATGGTATAATCCCGTTTCCAAATTGCCAGGGTTGGTAATTTCCCGAGGTCGACCTGCGAAAGCTCAGCACAATGCCCTTTTTCCATCTGACTTTGGAGAATTACCACTCCGTTCCGAGGATCAACGCAAGGGAGGTTTATCTTGGATACGAATTGTAGAGTTGGTGGTTTATCTGGATAGTCGTCTCCACAGTGAATATTGACACTATATATTCGATTCTCATGGACGCTCTGTACAACGGTAGATCAGCCGTGGACTCTGCAAGAAAGCCGGAAGGACACGAACATGGGGAGGGCCGAGAATGGTGCCATTCCAATTGGTCATCATCAAATCATCTCCATCAGCGAGACCGTAGGAGCAAGCTTCTACCGGTATTTATTAGCGTTGGCAAGCAGATTATGCGACAGCCGTCATACGCACCAGCTCCCTGGCCTTTCTCCCCTTTCTCAAGCTCCTCCAAAAGACGAAAATTGCGTGGAATCTTCGCCATGATTGCTAATGACAGCCAGGCCGAAGATGTGAGGTTGTGCGTGAGTGATGTGCAGGTGGTAAGCGGGTTTTTGAGTCTATCAAACAAACGACGCTGGAGGGGCAAAGGCGTCAGGACCACCGGCTCCTCCATGATTGGCTGGCATTGCGTGAGTGGACTGCATGGCACGTGATTCAGTATACACCGCCTTGCAGCCGCCCAATCACTTCTCTCGGTTGCTATTCAAGCATCGTCTGCGGGCGAGGACACGCTGCGTGTATGCTTCCCTTCCTGTACTCTGTCGACAACATATCTGACCTTCTATGGAGAAGCTCGGTATTCCTCCTAGCAGTTTTGCATATATGCCCCTCCCCGCCATGGTTGTTCCGAGTTCTTAAAGGCAACCGCGTTTCAAACGAATTACTGAGCTTCGACTCCTGCCAAGCATTTGCACCAGCTCCAAATAGAAACTAATTGCATGCTGAAGCGCAAGATATGCCATCGCTCCTATCATCCTCTCTGCCTAATTGGATATGACCTCCCAAACTCTGCAGATAGAGCTTGCAAATTTAATTCAGGAGTCAAAACGCAAACACTCCGAACTCAGAAATGTGCGATTATATGTTGTTTTATTACCAAAAACTACTGCTAACTGCACCTCCAGGCTGCCGAACAATCGCTGAGTGAGTTGAAGGCTTTGCCTTCAACTTCGGAGGCACAAATCACAGCAGGTCCGTTTTTGCTTTACATTCATCTTGGGTTTTACCATCATGCAGTAGACTGAGTAACCATTAAAGACTTAATACGCCGTCCGAATTTCATCACCCCATTTCTTCTTGCTTGTCAAACACGGCAAGTAAAACTTGCCACCATTGGTGCTGTTTGTCTCCAGAGGCTTGCGACATCTCATGCGCTGTCGCCTGACCGACTTGGAGATACCTTGTCTGCCTTGAGAGAGTCAACCGGCCTGAGTATGGAAACCCCAGTGAAGAATTTCCGAGGCACTGACATCTGTATAGGCCAAGATGTTCAGCTAAAGATTCTGCAGACACTGCCAGCTCTATTGCATAATTACTCTGACGAACTGAGTGGAGAATTACTAGCACAAACCTTGGAGATTTGCGCGACATTGCAAGCCAGCAAAGTTGCAGCAGTATCAAACACCGCAGCAGCTACTTTGCAACAGCTCGTCATCTCCACATTTGAAAAAGTTGTAGCTGAAGATGGTAAAGTTATCCAACGAAAAGACAAGATCGATTTATTTACTTTACGAAGGAAATTCCGATCACCCAATTGCTACCAAGACTGTCTCGGTTGATGGGTCTGACATTGACGTTGGGGTAGCCGCATACGATGCCCTTCTAGTAGGCCTTGACTTCATTAAGTTTTACGAATAGAAGCTAATTCTTTTTAGATTCTCGGCGATCTTTGCCACCTCGTGGAAGGCGAGAAGCTTGAATTCCTTCAGATAAAGGGCCTATCGCCTGTCTTTGTCCTAGAGCTCATTGAGAGCATCTTGTCGAACAATATCAAACTGCTCCGGAGTCATCCAGAACAGATGTACGTATTACGAAACCGTCTCATGCCCTTGATAGTGAGGTATCTCTCGGAAAGGCATGGCTTCCCTCAAACGCTTCGAATCACAAGAATTCTCCTCATTATTCTGCGGAACTTTATGAACCTCTTACCAGATGAGTGTGAAATGGCTCTCGCACTTCTCATTCACCTTTTAGAACCTGATGTCTCTGTGTCGTGGAAAAGAGTTCTCTGTATGGAGGTTTTCCGTGGCCTTCATGCTGAACCCGGCTTGATTAGACTGGCCTATGCTTTGTTCGATGAAGTCAAGGGCCAAAAAACAATCGTCAAGGACCACATGACCTCCCTCTTACGACTGGCATCGGAGAAGCCTTCACTTATAGGCATCAGCCATCAGTCAACTGTTCCGTCCAGTGTTCAGCATTCCAGGTCCAACACTGAGGAACAAATCACGCTAGAGTCTGGTGGTGTTGCTGGAGTCATTGGGGCTGCAGTGAACGCTGCGGATGAGAATGTAACCGGGATCAGTAGCCAGTGGAGCACGGTTAGAGCACCATATCTGGAACTTCTTGATAAATCAGAACCACCTCCACCGCCTGAAACTTATATTTATAGCCTCGTTCTCAGCTGTATCAGCTTATTGTCCGAGGGTCTAGCCAGGTTCATTCTCCCTCTGACAGTGACAGAATCGAGAAGCAAACGCAAGAAAAGAACGGCAATGCATGATCGGGAGCAAGGTTCTAGCGGGGATCTTCGTGAACTGCATAGATCAAGTTCGACAAGATCTACTGCGTCTGATTCAAAGAAACAAACTGTTCCCCTGAATCCATTGACTCTGGAAGATCACCCACAGATTGCTGCCATCCGATCCAGCGCAGGAATTATCGAATCATGCTGGCCTGCCATTCTTTCAACCTGTTCAACTCTTCTTTATGCGGCCTTGGATGCGGACTTTTACCACAATCTTGTTCGATCTTTTCAAAAGCTGACCCATGTGGCTGGACTTCTGAGGCAGTCTGCTGCCCGAGATGCATTTTTAACTACCCTAGGCAAAGCCACCATTCCGGTGGACAGTTTGAATGCACGTGGTGTGAACCAAAACGGATCAGGGTCGGGATCGCAACAAGCTGAAGCTTCAGAAACTACAGCGCAAGGAACTTCACTTAACTCGCCTGTAGCGACACCCAAAGCGTCATTTGAGGCTTCTCGGGCATCTTTGAGCACTAGGAATTTGCTTTGCCTGCGAGCTCTTCTCAATCTGGGAATTGCGCTTGGACCTACGTTAGACCAAGCTGCGTGGTCTATACTTCTTGAAACATTACAAAACGCAGATTTGGTGATTAAGCTCTCTGCTGTCATGACCACGAAACCGGGCCCTACTGCTGGAAGCAACGACAATACAACTCAACCCAGCCACGACATTCCTCGAGCTAATATGGGAAATGAGATCATCGCAGTTCAAACAGTTGCATCGAGGATGTTTGAAAGTACTGCAGAGTATCCCAACGATTCCTTTGAAGCGATATTGAAGGCTTTGTTAAACTTGGCGTCAAGTTTCGGGAAGAGTACAAACGTAAACGCCCTTTCACCCACAAGCTCTTCCCCTTCTCGACGTATGGGACGAGTCCATCAAACAACCCGCAGTATTTCGTTTGCGGTGGGGAAATCCAAAATACAAGACGACGAAATAAACTTTGTGTTAGAAAAAACCAAAGATCTTGGTTCAGCGAACATAGATCGCCTCTCGACTGTGGGACCGGAAGAAGATGCAATCTGGGATACATTGAATGTCAATCTAATTGTAATTGTGACCAACATTGACCACAGTCCAGCTGGTCGTCTGAAAGCAAGCAGGACTTTGAATAGTATTGTCCTTGAAACCATGAGTAATGGCGACATTGATGACGAGACTAAGAACGCCTTGCAATTGAGAAACCTTCGGTCGCTTCAGTCGCAGATTGGATCACTCTATCAGCATCAACAGCGATTTCAGTCATCTGCTGTCGACATTGAAGCCCATGAGCAAGTACTAGATACGCTGAAGGTCATGCTGGAGCAGCACGGAGAAACCTTTGTATCTGGTTGGGACCTCGTATTCGAACTAGTCTCTAGTGTTTTCGACAAGGGTAATTCGGATCCTGAAAATATATCGGCGGAAGATATGAAAAATTCCTTGTTGAGACCTCGAATGGTCACATCCAGGTCTCCTCGGCTTGTTCGGGCGGCGTATAATTCATTGCAGCTGATCGCTTCTGATTTCCTCACTCTTCTTCCGCCCTCATGTCTCCTCAATTTGGTCGACTCGTTTTCATACTTCGCATCACAAGACCAGGACTTCAATATTTCGTTGACTACAACTACTTTCTTCTGGAACGTTTCAGATTTCCTTCAGGCCGAAGTTGGCAAATTCTCCATCGAAAATTCGATTGATACAGCTATAAGCGAGGAGTCTCTTGCAAAGCTTACAGACGATTCCGATATTCCTACCTCCCGGGGAGCTTTGTGGCTTTTGCTACTTCTTCGCATTGTAGGCCTCACTACAGACAGTCGACCGGAAATTCGCAACAGTGCAATTCGGACACTGCTGAGAATATTTGATGCATACGGTCCACAATTGTCCCCCAGGGCATGGAATCTCTGTTTGAATCGAGTTTTGTTTGTCATGATGAGCGACGTCCAGACCAGGACTCTCGAAACTACAAAAGCTAATGGAGAAGGGGGGGATGATCAGGCAAAAGCATGGGAAGAAACAGCCGTTATCATGATCAAAGGTGGCTCCGACTTGATTGCAAACTTTTTTGACCCAATACTCAAAGATGCTGGGTTTGACTCGTCCTGGGAACGCTTTCTTGGATTCTTTCAAGTACTAGCCCAGATTAACACCCATGAAGTGGTAGAGGCAGTCTTTGGAAGTCTCCATGAAATCATAAAACATGCAGAAACCTCGAGTGCCCTTAGCAATGGAGCTGTGCGCTTAGCCTGGCTCTTGTGGGTGAATAACCATCCAGTCATGGGGGCAAATTCCTTGAACATGGAAGACTCAAATCAGGATGCTCTTCTCGCGTATTTCCGGTCTTTCCAGCAAATCTACAGACTTTATAAAAGCAGTGTCACTGAGGAACAAGTCCGGCAAATTCTGTTGCACATGCGAGTAGCAATGTGGAATTCTGTTACTTCAAGATACTCACTTGATATTGACAGCCAATCAACTCTTCAAGAATTGATCATTGAGTGTATGAAAGCGCTTTGTTATGACAAGAGTGAATCTCAGCCTGCTATTGTGACATGCCTAGCAGATTTCTGTGACGCTGCTTTAACACAATGGTCAGCTGATCGCGACAGGAATCGCCCGTCATTTGTCGCGTTTTCAAAGGCAGCTATCGATCTAACAACCTGGTATATCGCTGAGCATGGTATCAAGGTCGATATATTCTCAGACGGTTCCCTGGTATCATTGCTACAACACCTCGCACATCCTATTGTTCGAAAATATAACTGGCAGGGCAAAGACCGAGAGCCATTTATCTGGCAGAAAGCTACAACATCAGCTATCAACATTCTCCGCGTGGCGGTGCCATATGTCGAAAAGCAATATGGCGTGTTTGAGAAGTCTGATATTACGCGGTTTTGGTCCAGCATCGTCGAGATTACACATGGGATTATCACAGCCAGCATCCCTGGTGATGTCGATATGCCACTTACAAGAATCGCTTCCGATGAGGAATTTGATATTGACGCTTTTCAGAGACTCGTTCCTCTAATCATCCCCTCACTTGGATCTAGTAACGTACCGGAAAGTATCCAGCGAGACTTCTCATGTGCCCTTGTTGAGTCATCGTTCATTTACCCTCCACAGCGCATGGACAAGCCAATCAATGCACTACTTGAGAAACCACTCCATGACCTATATAAAGTACGCCGGGGCCGGACATACAACCCAGTACCTATCTCCAGATCGCGCATTGCCTATGTCCTCGTCGATACAATGTTCCAACTAGCACATGCAACCACCCCCTCCTCGCCTAAGCCCGAATCATCACGACAAAACGGCGTTCAAGATACCGACCCCACTGTCCCATCACGCATCGCTCTTGCGCGCTCCATCATGCCCTACCTCATCCTCCGTAGCTCTCTCCCCCTAAAATCATACATCGCCGACCAACCACTCCGTGGTCTCATGCCGCAGCCAGCCTCCGCGCACCGCGAACTCATCCACGTTCTCACACGCCTAGTCGATCTTGAAAGCGAACCCGTTGCTATTCCCGAAGACCCCAATGGAATTGTGTCATCATCTGCCATCAAGACTCGCCACAACAATCACCTTCAATACCGCAAGCATCTCGGCTGGATGTATCCGCTCGTTGTGAAATGTGTGCATGTAGCCGGGCAGGTTACGGGCCGAGAAGATCGACGTGTTTTGGAGAATCTGGTGAGGATACTAGATGCGGTAGGGGATTGTTCCAATATCGATCATGAGGAAGAGGACGAGGAGGATGAGTAGTAGGAAGGAGTTCTAATACCGACTATCGATTATTTTATTTGTTGTCCTTGACTCTCTCATAGATTCTGTATATAAATTAGATTGGAGTAGTTAGTCTACATATGGACTTTATTTATTCTTTCACCTGCAACCAAGGAAGTGTCATACTTCTGATGTATTTGATATCTACCAGAAAGACACGAGACTTTGTTCTAGGTACGGATACATGAGTAATTACTATGTTAGGTGGGGACAATGGCATTTGGAAAATGGCCAGGCTGGAGGAAATAAAGGAAAGGGGTCTTGGTATTCATTCGTTAGAAGTCAAGGTATTACTCTATCACGCGGGACCAGCAGGTTGCGGTTGGGGCTGCGCCTGTTCTTGTGCTTGTGCTTGTGCTTGCGCTTGCTGCTGTGCAGCAATAGCAGCTGCTGGAGGTTGAATCATGTGCTGAGGGTTTTTATTCGGGCCAACGAGGACATGCTGCTGCCTCTGGAGCTGTTGCTTCTGAAGAACCTGCTGCTGCGCAACCTCTGGGGTTGGGGCGATTTCCGGGGCTTGGCGGTAGAGAACAATTTCCGATTGCTTGAAATAACGACGGGCGTCTGGGTGAGAAGCAAGTCAGTCAGTTGCTCAAGAAGAAAATGCGTATAGAAAAAGCGGTCTCCATTGAGATCTTAAGATGTTGGGGGTTTCCTTGATTTCATCCTAGTTTTTATAACCAGTCGGATAAATTCAGGCAGGAGTTCAGGCAGCGTGGGGTTTGGTGTGACGGGGAAAAGACGTTAGCGCAGCCAGGGCCAGAGACACCTAGTACGAAACCGTATTGATAGCGTTTCAATGGCCGTCGGCTATTGAATCGGTAATCAATACGGTTTCGTATCTAGGTGTCGAACATGGCCTGTTTCCCATTTCCGCACGAGCCTCGACAGAGAATCACAGGCAAGATAAATATACAAAACTTATACATACCTTCGTCGATTAGGACTAGGCTCAAATAGTATCGGGTCGAGTATTTCTTGTTAACGTCGCGAAAGGTCGGGGTCAAATCGAAGCCGCCAAGGAATAGTCTGATAGGGATAGTTTCACCTAAGGTATCCGTTAGTTAATTCTGTGGTGCTTAGTTAGCCTCAAAGCAACATACCTCGTGATGGTGACCCGTCCATAATCTGTCAAGGGCGGTAAGCATGGGAATTCTCTGAGATTACGAATGGAGAAAATCGCTCACCTCAAATCTCACCAGTGTTTCACTTTCGTTGTATTGGTTTGGTGCCGCGCCCGTTGTTTCTCGTCGAATGATGGACAGCTCCATGTGTTTGATCTTGAGACGTACTAAGAGGAAGTATATTCGCCCGACGATGACATCTTTCAGGTGGTATTGTGATTTCGAGTACTCAAACTCGATATGCAAGCAGTCTTCAATTCCAACATCCATCTTGATTGGACTGTTAGTCTCTGGAGGCATGCGATACGAATATACCCAGAGATCCTTTTCCCGAATGACATCAGCCATGCGCCGTGAGACTGTGACCCGCACAAAATATCGCAACTTGACGTTAATGCCATTGTATGATTCATACTGCTTCTCGACGTTCTTGAAGTTGAAAGGGAAGGTTTGTGGGTGCTGCAATTCGCCGGGGGCGGCGAGCTCTTGAACAAGAGAGAGAAATTCGTAGTGATTGCCGCGGTCGAAAAACATCTCTAGGCAATAGTCAGCACACGGTTTCACTCATGACTTCTCTTTGCCATCCGGAGGTAAGAGAAGCTAAGATTGTACAGTATGACGTACCGATCGAGCCGATGAATTGCACCTTGATGCCGGTGTGCTCTAATCGCTTTCCATCTTTCGGTCGGATTGTCACGGCGCCTTTGATGGATTCGCCATCCATATAGAGCGGGGCCTTTTCGCGACGGCCCTTATCGAGCTTCACATCGACTGTTTGCCGTTCATCGCTGTCTTCTAAAACGATATCGATATCAACGGGTGTGGAGAAGAAGAAGGGAGCCATTGCGATGGAGAAAATGGCCCAATCTTTTTGCCAAGGACAGAATTAATTGATGCGCACTGTCCACACTAGAGAAGAAAATACCCGCAAGCTCTGGCTAGATGTAGAATTCAAGCTGTGATTATTGTTGTGACAGATGCGATTGATCCATGTGACTTGTCTGCCTAGGCGGCGGAGTTGACGCTCCTTCGAAGAAGCTAGGTGGGGTTACGTAATCCATTTCCTCCGCATGTTTAAACGTTCGATCCACGTGAAATCAACTTTACACTGTACATCATTAAAATATCTCCGCTATGTATGTCAATTAATGTTATATTTCTTAAAAAATACTCGGTGGAAGAATGCATGATATATATGCTCTTAGTCAGATGAATAATATAGGTATCAATAATTGATGAGGGACGTGCCGTACAAAGATGAATATCAAACTTACCAAGAGAGTTCAATTCCTATCTACATGTATTATTTCAGGACATTACAGAAATATGGATTAGACATGCTTTAAATACCATGTGTTAAAAATATAACAACAAATACATATATAACATTTGAAGAAGTTTAGCGCTCCATAAATGTCTACAAGGTCAATTGTTCCAATGGATTTCCCAGCCGCACAAGGATTTGCGATTAAAGAAACCGGCAGTTGCAGACTTGTATAGTGATGTAGCCTCTACTGGTCACCCGGTCGAGCCGCGGGCCAAGCAGCTGTTCTGAGTCCAACGACTGAGCTGTAGTCTGCCAGGCTAATGCAGGTTCTTGGATGCATGCTAACCATGTGTCAAGATCACCACCAGTCCTTTTGAAACGACGTGCATGTGCCAGCTTGTCCTCCATATGGTTCTCCACATTGGGTAAAAGGAAGAAAGAGACATAGACTCTCCAGTATCTTGGCAAGGTGTTGGAAATGATCCGAAGAAGAGGTGGGCATGAAATTGAATCATGAACGATAATATAGTTGAGCTGCAGAGTCAGTATTCATACCAAAGCGAAAATACAGCTAGCCTGTATTAGGATTAATTACAGTGATAAATGGCTAGCGTGGGGGTGGCATCGGCATTGTAACATATTATACGTACTGGTACCGTATTGCGGGATCCATCCCTGCTTTCTGCACTCGCTGACTGGACAGGCAGTATCTAGGATGATGTCATTATGCCATAACCGGCTGCAGCAATACGCGCCGTTACAAAGTGCCTTCCTTACCGTTTCACCCACCGCGAAGCAGTTTCCGACCAGCTGCTATCTCGGAAAATGAAAAAAGGGCGGTATTAGACACTGTTTCCATCATGTGCTCAAATTGTAGTCTCTGCGTAGAGGCTGGGAGAAGACTGAATATTGAGTCTTGTTGAAAATGAGATATCATATTGCAATCTGGACTGCCTGAGTCAACAACGCACCTGCTATGTACCGTACGACTCCACGGAATCATGTAGCAGAGTCGTATTAATTACTAGCGGCCGGTGCCCCCGCGCCATCCTCCCCTTACCATATCGTCGGAAGCACTCTACTTCAAGCCTTCTCCACTGCGAAAATGGTCTCTGTCCAATCCATTGCTTGTAAGCGTCGTGGATTTCTTCTCCAGAGGGGGTGAGAACTTAGAAAGGACTAAAAAAGACCAATTCACCCGTGGGCTGGTCTTTTCTCTCCTTAAAAAGATGGGCGGGCCCGCATAGCCTTCTCTTTACAATTACCGCTCGTCTTTCACTGTACACCACCTATTCTCTTTACTATTGCCTGTCAGCATCACTCACATCCGAGTCCATCACCTAGTCCAATTCAGAATAGAAGAATAAGTCACGAAAAGCTGCACGCGACCACCCTAGCACCATCTGTACAACCAGGTAGAGACCCGCAGCCTACCAAGGTCGAGCCGGTCCAGCAGACGAGGATTCACGACTACGACCTTCCAGCTATAAACTTCCCCATTCTTCCGTCCAAGCCAAAATGCTTTCTGCAAACGATAAGCCTGCGAATGGCCTGAGTCCCTTAGTGTTCAGCCATCTCAGCAAGCCAACTCCCAAGACAGATTACCGTATGCCTTTGAATGGACGGCTCAGCGTGGAAATGCAGCCATTACAACATATCTGGATCGTCACCGGGCCTGCAGGCTCAGGCAAAACAACCGTTGCTCAGAAGCTCCAGGCTGAGCTGGGATTGCCCTATTTAGAGGGAGACGATGTATGTCTCAAGTGTATTTATACTATGAAACGAATTGCTCACTGACTTGGGTTTTCTCCAGTTTCACACCCCCGCAAACAAGGAAAAAATGGGCAATGGGATACCCTTGAGCGATGCAGATCGTTGGGATTGGTTGATTTCCCTGCGCGACGCTGCAGTGAATATTCTATCGCCTCCTGACTCAGACAACACCCCGGCGCCATCCGGTGTAGTCATGTCTTGCTCGGCACTGAAGCTCAAATATCGGGACGTCATCCGGATAGCCGCGTATGACCACCCAAGCATTCAAATCCACTTTATATACCTCAAAGCAGACGAAAAGGTGCTGATGGAGCGAGTCAACGAACGCGGCGGCCATTATATGAAAAGCAATATGATCCGCTCGCAATTCGAAGCCCTCGAGGACCCTACCGACGAGAAGGATGTTCTCGCAGTTGATGTCACAACATCTCCAGAGGAAGTCCATCGCCGGGTCTCGGAAACTGTGGCCAAGAAATTAGCGGAATATAATTGATAAGCGTGATGTTCTTGGTGTCTGCGAATGATAACAAGCGCTATGGTGTTCGGCAATAGGTGCATTAGCATGGATACACTTTATTTTTTCCCTTTTCAATTGCATTGGTTGATAGCCGGGTTTCAGGCTTTAATGATTTTGATCCTTTTTTCTTCTTCGGTCATATTACCTCATCGAGGTTGTCTTTTCATTTAGTAGATTTATATCGTTGTAATACATTAGAATCAATAAACTGGACCACGCACTTAAAATATGTAGGTTCATATATTTCATGCACTAGGTATCGCAAAGGATTTAACTATATCGAACAGTCTATTTACTCTACCAACATATATTTATATCATCTCAGTCTCAGCAACATTTTGTCCGGCGACTCCATAAATTCTCGGACTTTGTTGGCCATCCGTGCCATTGTAGCACCATCTATAACTCGGTGGTCTGCGCTCCAACTGAAATTGACGAGTTCGGCCTTGGTGACTTGGCCAGCATCGTCAAAGACAGGGAGAACCCTTGACCGACCAACTCCGAGAATTGCAACTTCGGACGAGACTATCACAGGCGCCACATACGTACCGCCAATATTTCCAATGTTGGAGACTGTGATAGTGCCTCCACTCAGATCGGCTGGTGTGAGCTTGCCTTCTTTCCCCAGAGCGCTGAGACGAGATATCTCAGCAGCAATGTCCGAGATTGACCGCGCCGCGACGTTCTTGATGTTAGGGACGATGAGACCCTGAGGAGTGTCCATTGCAACTCCTATATTGTGGTTTTTGCGCATCACTAGCATTGGTTTCTTTGGATCAGATGTGTCGATTTTGGCATTCAGGGTCGGGTACTCTTCGAGCGCTAGAGAGACAGCTTTGATGATGAAGGATAGAGATGTGATTTTCGGGGTATTGCTGGGATCACTGGAGAGTTTGCGTCGAAGAGCCGTGACAGCATCGATATTGAGTTCGTCTGTAAATAGTAAATGGGGTATTTGCAAAGACTTGGTCATGGTCTTGAACATTTGCGACTGCATATGATTCAATGGTGCAATGGTCTCAGTTTGTTTGGTCTCAGCCGGCACAAGTGGTCTCGCTGATGACGTATTTTGCTGTACTGGGACTATGCTAGCTAGGTCTCTTGATCTTGCGAACTTTTGAACGTCCTCCTTGAGGACTCGTCCTTCTTTGCCTGTCCCCGTAACGTCGAGGATGTTGACATTTAAGTCTTTCAAGAGCCCGCGTACTGCAGGAGTCGCAAGAGAAGCGTATTTTGATTTGGGTTTCTCTTCTTCAACAAGAATTTCCTTCGGGGTATCCAATTTCAAATCTTCAGTGATGGGGCTAGTCTGCGAAGGTTCGGGCTCGGCTGGCTCTGCATTGGCAAGAACGGGTGTGCCCTCGTCGGGATACTGTGCATCGTCGACCTCAATATCACATAGTGCCTAGCAAGAGATAGTTAGGTATATTTTCTTTCCGGTAATATTCCTGATAATAGATCCGATATACTCACTTTTCCTGTGGGCACTGTATCATCTGCTTGAAAATGAAGCTTTTTAATAACACCCGCATATCTCGACGTTATCTGTGATGCACATCAGCACGAGCCGTGGCTTACAAGCAGGAAACATACATCATCCACAGCTTTGTCTGATTGATATTGACACAGAGGCTTCCACTCCTCGACATGTGCGCCCTCCTCCACATACCACTGAATGATCTGTACTTCAGTGATGCCTATTAAAACGCCGAGTCAATTAACTTGTAGAAGTCTTGACAATAGGGCGTTCGTCGGAACTAACCTTCTCCTACATCCTTCAGAACCTGTGACCTGTTTCCCCAAAACGTGGTGGAGCCATGAAATGCCCGACGACGACAGAGATCCGCCAAAGCAAGTGATTGTAAAGCAATTGAGGGGTGGGTGCGATAGACGTTGCTGCACACAAGCCGTCGGGAGCAGCGTAATAGAGTCATATTGCCCTGTTCATGTCACACGAAGAAAGAAAGGGAGAGAGAGGAGAAAAGAGAGAAGAGTGAGGGGGGCATTGGTTTTCACATTGTGGTGCTCAGTAATAATCAAACAAAGTCGAGTTGCGGAGGACGACGGCTAAACATGGCAGGCCGCTCTTATCAGCCCGCCGACGATAGCCGAGCGTTATCACTGGAGTTCCCCTCACGTGATGGCCGAGGCCCTTGACTCTTTGAGTAGCAGTAGGTTTCGATATTATTAATATCATCTACTGTACTTCAAATGTTGTTAGGATTAGATCCCATACAGCTGTACCTTGCACTAATGTGGAACGAATGTATGGTAGAATGAGGTTGGAAGGACCTTGTGGCCCCAGGCAATTACCCTTGTAGTAGACCTCTTTGACCTTTGACCAACTTGCTTCGATACAATTCCCAATCATCCATATATTTGGTGTCCGCAAAGCTCCAAGGCTCAGCTTGTTATTTCCAATCGGGGATTTATATGCATGATGACTCCCGCTGTCCTTTATCTTCCTCGCCATCCGAGAACTGTATTCTTACATTTTTCGATGCCTGGCTCAGTCCAACGCGAGAGTATTTATCAATTGATAGCAGCATGTTTCCAAGAGCGGCCCCGAAGCAGTACCAGTCGTGTGTTTGCTGGTAATATGGCTAAACGGCCTCGTTTTCTCGAAATATCATCAAGAACAAGAACCAAATGTCGCAAACCCCCACCTTTAAGCTGAGCTAGTCCGTAAGTTTGTTGCCGCGAGCCAATCGCAAGCTCCATCACCAGTGCTTTCCAGCTGTTCGCGACCCATCCCAGATCCAAATCCAATAGTGTATCAGTATCCATTGTTGCGACTCTGATTGCATCGATCCGCCAAGGAGCACAGAGCTCGGCGCCTGCAAATGATTGGTGTCTGCCGAGATCTGTCCCAAGCTGAATCTCTCACATCTCCACTAAGAAGGAGGGGCACTGCTCGAGGTGTGCAGTCGAGGGGACTATAAATTGCTGCAGATCATCGAAGAGCCCCTTGACCGTTTTGATCTCCAGCATCCTCGGGTCTCTATATACGAAAGAAAACATCGCTCAATTCGTATCCAAACTCCACCATGGTCGCTCAAGTGCTAACTATCCGCAATCTCACCTCCACTCCCATTGAGTTGAAGCTAGTGGAACGCTTCCACCCGCAAGAGAAACCCAAACAAGATGGCATTCAGTCTTTTGGGGCCATGGCCAAGAATTTCGCGCGCGCTGTGACTGACGCCGCGACTAATGTGACTCGTTCCAACAACACTGCTGAGCCACTTGCCAATGATGCTCAACCCTTTGCCCACCAGGATGTGAACATTCGTGTAGAGCCCTTTTCGACAAACAAAACAGATGTAAAGACATTCGAGAATGATGACAAAGAACGTCTACGCCTATCGTTCGAAGTCGATGGCGAACGACACCAGATTACTATCCCGGTCCCCACTGTTGAGTCGGCTGAAATGAAAGTATTGTCAGACAATCCTCGCCACAGACTGACTGGTGTTTTTGTTACACAAGAGTCCCATCTCGCAATCTTCTCCTCTGCGAATCTGAACGCCTGGATGCGTGAGCAGCGTGACGATATCCCGCTCTCTGCGTTCTCAATTCCGGGCACACACAACTCGCCTACCCATCACATAGCTCCGCCCTCAGTCCGTTGCCAGGCAGTCAGTCCCAAGGAGCAGCTAGAGAATGGAGTGCGGTTCTTTGATATTCGCGTGCAACCCCAGTACCCGGATGACCCGTCGAAAGACGAGCTCATCCTTGTGCACAGCGCCTTCCCCATCTCACTTTCTGGCAACAAATACTTCAAAGACTTGATGCGCGATGTCGACGATTTCCTCAACCGAAACCCTTCTGAGACTTTGATCATTTCTCTAAAGAAAGAAGGCACCGGAAACGCCACAGACGAGCAACTTAGTCGGATTGTCCGCGACCATTATGCCAAACCAGACAGCCGCTGGTTTACCGACCCCAGAATCCCTAACCTAGGCGAGGTCCGGGGTAAGATTGTTCTCGTGAGACGCTTCAACCTAGAAGATCGCTTGAAAGGGGAGAATGACGGGCGAGGCTTCGGCATAGATGCTGGCGGATGGGCTGACAACACCCCCAACGCGACCTGTCCAAGCGGCTTGCTTTGCATCCAAGATTTCTACGAGGTTCTAGAGACCGAAAACATCGAAAAGAAGATACAATACGTCAGTGAGCACATCGGCCGTGCAGGTTGTGTTCGATACCCCTTTGGAAACGGTGATCCGAACCAGAAGCATCCTTTCTACATCAACTTCCTCAGCGCCAGCAACTTCTGGAAGACACAGACTTGGCCGGAGAAGATTGCTGCCAAGCTGAACCCAGCTGCTACCAAATATATCTGCTTGCAACATTGCGATCACCCTGATGGTGACTGGGGCACCGGTATTCTTGTCACAGATTGGGTCGGATTGGACGGGGACTGGGATCTCGTTCGCTGTATTGTGGGCATGAACGCAAAATTGAAGCTAAGACAAAACTAAATCAGCCGTATTTGGCTTCTCATGTCTTTTTGTGAATAACAGAATCTAACAAAATTCAAGATCTTATTTATAAAAATTTTCAGCACCCAGAAATATTATTGGTTATATCTGAAGGTAAATGCAGAATTCGCAAATTATGTAGACAGTGAAGAATTGAATGGTATTGTACAAGTAGAAAGGGTGTAGTTCATATTAAACAACTAAGTTTCCTTTCCCCCGCTCTCTGCCTTCTCTCCATTCTCTTCTTTCTGCTCTTCCTCCAACACACTCCTCCGGCTTTCCATCGTGAGATAAAGGCTCTTGCCAGCACCCTCCAAAGTAGATGTAACACTGGCTCCAATACCTTGCAACGCATGAACAAGCTGGGCTCGAAGTCCATCAAGACCGCTCTCGATACTTCCAACCCATTTGGTTCCTTCAAGATCAAAGACTCGGCCATCTACTCGAGCAGCCACCAACATGAGCTTCTGCAATCCCTCCTGGACAGTTGGCTCGTGGTAACCGGGGTTCGCTTTCCGCGTCGGAGCCGAAAACCCAGAAGCCTTGGGAGCGAGTATCGACAAGGCGGCTTTGAGATGCTCAGGGGAAACATTGGGCAGAGATAAAACTGCGAGGGGACCCGAAAGAATAGTTGCCAGTTCATGCTTTCCCTTCGTTTTATAAACCGCATCGTGTGCTGCACGTGACAGGTCGTGGGTAAGAATATCCTCACCGGATTCGGCTCCTGTCATGTTTGCGGGGCGGAAATAGTCTACGATACGTAGGGCGACTTCGAAAATCCGTGTCTGAATGATTTGGAGCTTGACATGCGATGCCATGGCAGTTGTGTTTCGTCCTTCGGAAGCATGCTGTTCGTCGACTTTCTGCAAAGCCCGAGACAGTTCGCGGCGGATACCTGCCCATTCGGTTGATTGGAGGTTGTTGTGTTGGAAAAATACCATTAAAGGTGCTGTGCGAATGAGCGATGTGTATTGTCGCAGAAGCTGCGAGCGACGTTCTTCAGGTCGTCTGTGCGAAGGAGGCTGGACGGATGCGGTTCTTGCGATACGTGGAGGGTTTTTGTTCATCCTTTGTAAGGAAGGAGGAGGAACAACGACTGTTGATGCGACTGTCGCTGTACTGGCAGCTCTGATGGGCATGTCATATTGATATGCCAGTCCTTTTTGCCGGCGGACTGACAGGGTGATGTGTGAATGCGGAACTCGTAAGCGTGGAGCCATTGATATGCAAAAAATAAAAAATTAAGAAATAGATCTATGAATAACCAGAATTTGAATTCAAGAAATGAAAGTCGTGCCTGTGCCGCGCTGTATTGAGTCCTTGAAAAGGTCCAAGCAAGCAAGAAGCCGGGGCTATATTTTTGCTCTAGTAAAGTCGAGCCAACCAAAGGAGGATAGCCGGGCGGTGAGATTCTGCAAAACGCCAAGAACCTGTAATAATTCCGCCTTAGGCCACGACAGTCACATGACCTCTAGATGGGTCTCCGGTCGGCGGTTTCGGCGGTCGGCGAACCATAGTCGGAGGCGTGCTGGGCCGGTTCTAACCTCATCAGGCAAGGACTTGAGATTCATAGAGAAGAGTCATCCCAATTGTAATTCGAGCTCCTGTTTAAGAAACTCAAGAAGCCAGTGAGCGACAGATCTCGACGACTTATTATATGCTTTCTGATTCAGATCAAACACCACAGCACAATGGCTGAGGCAGATCAGCCTGAACCGGTGTCGATTTCTCCTCTGCTGAAGCGTCTCGCGTACCCCTCCGCGGCGGAGATCCAAGTCTCTGCTGAAGAAATTGCAGCCGCATTTGCCCTCATTTTTGAGAATCGTCTTTCCACTATCCAGACAGCTGCTCTGTTGACTCTTTTACATTCCACTGGTCTAGACCGAGACCCAAAAGTCATTGCACTATGCTCAGAACGCATGCGAGAGGCCGCAAGCACCGTCGAGAGAGCTCCGTTGCGGGCTGTGGTTAAAGCTCGAGGAAAGGCAGAGGGAAATTATAGAGGTGGACTAGTATGTATTGGTTTGGCCAATTGATGGCATTGAACTAACATTAATACTCCGTCTAGTGTGATATCGTGGGCACTGGCGGTGATGGGCATTCAACCTTCAACGTTTCCACGACCTCGTCAATTATCGCAGCCGCTCTATTGATGGTAGCTAAGCATGGAAATCGCTCGCAAACATCCTTCTCCGGGTCGGCAGACGTTTTGAACTGCGTTTCTCCTGTACCACCGAATCTCTCGGCGATCAAGACAAGCGACATCGCCAAAGTATGCGACAAGACAAACTATCTATTCCTTTTCGCCCCGAATTTCCACAAAGGAATGAAGTACGCGGAACCCGTTCGCCGCGGCCTGGGTATTCGCACAATATTCAACCTGATGGGTCCGTTGGCCAATCCTATCGACTGGGCATTAGAAGCCCGGCTAGTTGGAGTTGCGTACCAAAGCCTTGGACCTGTGTTCATCGAGGCATTGAGACTCGGAGGTGCAAAGAAAGCACTGGTTGTTTGTGGAGAGGAGGATATGGACGAGATCAGCTGCGCGGGGCCGACAAATTGCTGGAGGCTGTCCGAATATCCGAATCCCAACTACAAGGACAATAATAAAGCGGAAGAGGAAGAGGACGATGACGATGATAACGAAGACGACGAAGAATACGAAGAAAGGACGCATACGAAGCTAGACATATTTCAGATCCACCCCTCAGATTTTGGCTTCCCTACGCATCCTATAGAAGACGTCTACACGAAAAAAATGCCCAAAGAGAACGCTGGCAAGCTTATGAGTATTCTTCGCAACGAACTGGATCCCGATGACCCCCTGATGCATTTCATTCTCATTAATACAGCAGCACTCTTGGTTACAGCTGGAGTATGCGAAGCCGAAACTAGCAACATGGGCCCTGGGGATGATGGGAAAGTGATCACAGAGCGCGGACCGGGTGGTGGGCGCTGGAAAGAGGGTGTTCGACGGGCCCGATGGGCTATCGAAAGTGGGCAAGCGCTGAAATCCTTTGAAAAGTTTATTGAGGTGACAAATACTCTATAAAAGTTACACATCTGGACGTAGAATGTGAAAAGAATTTATTTCGGTATAACCGATACCCGACTCCAACATTTTGCTTCTATGGTATCTTGTTCATGTTTTTTGACATGTACCCTTTTCGTCAACAATGTACTTTAATGTACATCACAACGTCCTTTTGAGCAAAAATGAAACAAATCATAACCGCCGATGTAAACAATGCATCAAATAGAACGAATCCAAAGCGCCGTAAGAAAATGCGTCATCCAATAATAGTATTTGCGACGTCGGTAGGCCCGGCCGAAGAAGCATGGGTTGGTCAGTAAGCGTGCTTTTTATGGCGATGGTATGTGCCCCGCCCTCTGTAGGAAACTCATCGCGAACTAGGATTGCTGTACAGCACTTTTACCGCGCTTCGAATTGCACCATCCTACAAACATACGAGTTAGAATACTACCCAGTAGTAGTCAAAGATGGCAAGGAGGCTAACCTCTTTGTCCGCTCCTTGTACAATATGCGATGTCCGCACTCCGGGCATCGAAGAGCAGAGTTCTGCTGTAGCGCAAATTTTGAGTCACAGTCACCGCAGATATAGCGAACAGCGGCGGGGCTTTCAGTGGTAGCGAACCCAGATTGACCGCCAACGCCTCCGTTGGAGCCGAGCGAGGGAACTTGGTAGGCTTCGCGAGACATTTCCAGCAGATAATCACTGATGTGGTGATAGGCGAAGGGTATGGTATAGGTTGACTTGAGATGACGCTCTTGGTAGTTGCTTGGATTATCAATTCTTTCTCTCACCGCCCGCGCTCGCCGCCTAGAAAGTTCGTCTGTCTCCACCCTATGAGCTAACTATATCAGGCAAATTTCTAGAACACCACTACCTGCTCTTTCTGATAGTCAAACGTCCTGCATATAATCGATTATAATTTATAGGTAAAGACAAGGAGTCTCGTGTAATTTTGGACCCAGCAAACACTCATGCGTTTCACACGTCGGATATTTCTCCTGCAGAATACATCAACTAAACGAAAATGAATGCCCCAATGGTGAAGGTTGAGCTTGCTGGGTGATAGAAACAACCATCGATAGGGTCTAGTCATTTCTTTGCGGTTGTTTATTTTCTTTGCCAATATTCAGTCTCGTGTCATCAGCTCCATTGTTTGATCGTGCAATGTGGCGCCATTATGTACAACAAGCAGGACCTTCTGAATTACGAGGGCTGTGAATAAAAACCTTATGGACACCTAATTTGATAGTGCATGGGATGAGCTGCGCTACTTCTCGAAAAGCTGTGAAAACAAGACAAGGTGAAATTTACTAAGCTTGTCAAACATGGAGCGCAGAAACAGATCCGGTCCATACTTAGGGGAGGCAACCTTCCAGATGCCGTGAAGCCTCTCACCTTGAATAAAGAACAGCATCATGAAATGTTTGGAACCTGCCTCTACCGCATGGTGCATGCGGAGTATGCTAAGAAGAATTATGAAGAATATAAGTTGAGGAAGGCCAAAATCCTCATATGGGCAACACCAACTTCATCGCGAAGAAAATTACATCGAAGGAACGTTGCGATGAACCGCCAGACATGATGCTAGCAAAGGAGGGATCTGAAACGACCTCGGGAAAGACAAAAGGCACTGTTTTACGCGACTTTTGTCTTGATTTTCTAGCTGTTAACGGCAAAAATAACCTGTCTCAATTGCGGCTAAGCACCTCGTCACTACGATGGACCCCTTTTCCAACGATCCAATTCTCATCAGTGATATCACCTTAGCTGGCGTACATCGCACACTGGCCAAGCTCGAAGAATACAGTGGCGCCCAGAAAACCCTCATCTACCATTACGCCGAAGCAGAAAAATTGCGCATGCTTGTTGAAATCGACCTGGATCTCCATATGGCGATAATGGATATGTTTGTGGCTGGGGGCGATTCGCCCGTGTTGTGTCTCTACGTAAAGAGTAAGTGCTTTTATCGTTATAACGAAGGTGTGGTTATCAACTAACATCTGTGTAAGAAGACGACTAAGGTTCTTCTCGACCGCCCACCATGGTTTCTCGGGAGCACAATGAGATGCTTTCATGTGCGTATTTCTTTTCCTGTTTTGTTATTGTTACTAGGCTCTTGAGTCTTTACTAATACAAACCCCTCGTTAGCTTTATTTCGAACAGCCTTATCAGTTACTTCATGTTCTATGAATCTCAAAATGTTAGCAGTTACGATGCGCCGCACTTGACAAAATTTCTCGGTAGTACGAGGGGCCCAACAAGAGCATTTGCAGTGGTTCCAATTTGGCTTGAAAAGTGATTAGCAAGCTATTTTTAGGTGTCAATGTACAATTTCATAGGTTCATTGCTAGTAACCTAGGAATAACTACATGTGCGGGTATCTATTCTATTTCGCAAATTGATCATCAAGCCCTTTATCTCAGGCAAGTATGCGTAAATGGGTATTTAAATGCAGATAATTTCTCCATTACCACCCACCACCAATTTTACCGGCAAGTTCAACAACTCGAGCGGTATCATTAACGCTCTTCTTGTCTTTACCCACGTCACTTTCGACTTTTCGATATGTTGTATATACGAGACTTTCCAAATTGGAGCCTGTTAATTCAGTCCAGTATTTCACAATGTCGTGTGACCTGGACTCTCTTTCCAGAATGGATGCGTTTGATGATGTGTGTTCGGGTTCATCGTCAGAATCAGCCGAGAAATATGCTTCGTCAACTCGCGCAAGCCAGGCGCGTTGTTCATAAACAGATGACTTTTGTGTTTGAGTTATAGGATCGTCCGAGTCTGCAGCTCGCAGACTTGCATTCGCCTCTCGAGCATCATCTATACGTATTTGACCACCTCCATTAGTGCAACCCCCTGGGCACGCCATGACTTCCACATATGCGTAATCGAGCCCAGTCGATGTGGTAGACGCAGTACCAGCAGTGCCACGCTTATTTACACCAGGAAGCCGTGAAGCACGAGCTGGTTTTAATCTTCGAACAAGATTCTGGATGTTTCTAAAACCGTAATACCTCGCCGCCTTCAAGATGGTCTGCCCAGACTCGGACACCAAGGTGTACTCAAGCACATCTGAATTACGACCTCGCTGGGTGACAATGTTGCTCCCTGCGTGTCGTGCCTGAAAACTTGAAAGAACGTAGTAAAGATACCCACCAGAAGATCCATAATGCTGGTCTTGTTTATAGGTTTTAGAGAATAGGAATGAATCCACTTTGTGGTCCGGAAAGTGAGGAGCATAGGGCAAAGCCAAAGGTTTTAGTGGTAAAGAGGAAAGGTTGGTATTCCGAGATGATGCCAGCATCAGTAATTCTCGTGATGTTATAACGCAGTCGACGTCTCGAACAGGCGGTTGCGAGGTATCCGCGTTGTCGACATCCCATGCCGTGCTTGTCAATTCCTCCCGGCTAGCCTCCAACTTCTTATCGAAACAAGGCATGATGGCAAGATGCCAAATCTGCGAAGGAGATACGCCAAGCACTCGGCTTAATATGGATTTAAGAAATGTCCCCGCTAGCGCTTGTGGTGACTTTAAACGCGACAAGTGGGGGAGAACATATGGATGTGTCTTCTCCGCATAACATATCCAGCCAGGGCAGGCAGAAGATAAAATAGGACGGTTTGGAAGCGCGAATTGTGATTGATTGGATGATGAATTTGCGCTCTGTAAATCTTCTGCCACCTCCTCAGCAGTAAGCGTAAGAACAACTTGGCGCAAAATATCCGTATCAACAACCCAAGTGAACCCATTCTGATGCTTCCCACCAGCACGCAATCCCTGGGGACCACGGAGAAACTGATCAATCATGTGACCTGCCTTGCTCTCGGAAATTCCATAGGTGGCAGACAAGCTAGCCCTGACCTGAGGGCTGACACTTGCAATAAATATCCTTTCATCATTCACAAGCTTTCTTGGTAGACTGATATGCCCTCCTTCGCCGGTAATAATCGGTGCTGGTGGATAGGCGTCTAGGGTATTCAGAACCTCGGCATGGGATTGCAGAGAAATCAACACCGCTTCAGCAGATGTGACACAACCTGAGCATGCGAGGCAATCAGTTAAGGATATTTGTGCCGGGGCTTGCTGTTCCGGCTGAACTTTGTCTTCGGTCGTGACTTCGTAGGACTCCTAAATTATTCTATGGTTAGCTTATGGATCGATAAGAAGCTGTGTCACCCACCTCCTGATCAGCTGCATGCTTCTGGGGCAGGGTTTCGACAGGCTTTATGCAAGCCACTCCAGGTGATATAAAGTCGTTTAAATCATCGGCGGAGAGGATGGCACTCATGTTGATGTTTTAGTACACCCCAGTTCGAAAAAAGGCAGCACAGCAAAATTGGCCGCGGGGTTGCCCAACCGTAATCACTGATTTTGTAAGCCCTGGATAGTGCTTCCCTTTCACTTAACCTGATGTCTCGAAGGAGTTGAATATTCTCACGCCATCAGCTAAATTGAAGGAATATAAGGGCTAACGAATTACTGAACTTGCATTTGTCAGTTGCCTCCGGTCGGTGGCGATTACCCCCCCCGGGATCGGCGACAAGACACACCGCCCTGGATGCGGTACATAATCTGCCGGACATATTTGTTCCCCGGCACCAACTCGATGATTATTATTAATAAAGCTGAGCTGATGTACTATGTCTATAGGATGCTTGCCATCAGTGCTAACTAACAACATATTGTATCAAAATACACAGAAAAGCCGCTTCTTCTCTTCGTAATTAACGACGCCGCTCATGAAAATGGAAAGTGGGAATGGGAACTAGAACCTTTATAGGTAGAGGTATTGGAAATTTATTCATTAATGAAATAGGAAGTTAAATTGCTCCATACTGAGATAATACCAAATGATATATCATTTCAGATTCCCAATCAGCTCCCACTGCTGATACCTTGACTTCAAGGAAAGACTAATCCTGTACAAAAAACTGCCTCGGACATGCTCGGACATGTGTCTTTGATGGGAGAGTCACTCCTAAGTCGACCAACTTCCATAATCATTTAGAGTTGCGTGTCGAACGCCTTCGTCCAGCTTGGCTAGCTGAGCTGGACTTCTCCTCTTTGACAGGCGTTGCATCCTCCTTTTTTATGTTGGAAGCGCGCTTTTTCGATACTGCCCGTTTTGGGGTCTTGGAGTAGTCATCATCATCATCTTCTTCTTCTTCCTTTTTCACACTTGTTCGTTTCCTCTTGCCGTTTGTCGAGGCCTCTTTCTTAGTATCCAATTGGTCTTCTTCGGTAATGTCTTTGGCTACTGGTCCAGTTTTCTTTTGAACAGCAGGTACCACTGCACTCGTCCTACCTCCGACAGTGAGAAATACGATCTTGTCTCCATTCGGCAGCACTGAAGCTTGATTTTTCTTTCCTTTACCCCATCGGTGCTTGAAGAGCCAGTCCTCTGGAAATTTCTCCGAATCGGCCAGGACATCCACAGATGCTGTGCATACATATTCGATAGACTTGTGTAGTTGGATTATCTGTTCGTTGCTCAACGTATTGCTATACTGTTCTGGGTGTATCTTAGCATGGTAGAGAACCTCATCCCTAGAAATAGTCAGACCTTAAGCTCATATTCATTAGTTTATTACTCTTACCCCATCCAGTTGCCGATGCCACTGATATTAGCCTGGTCAAGCAACATAGCTTTGATCGGCACCTTCTTGCTTTTGACCTTGTCTACCAGCCACTCTGCCGTAAAAATATTCTTGTCTGCAAGTGGATCTGGGCCGTTTTCCTTGAGAGGAGTGTATTGTCGAATGTCATCAGCCGGGCAATCGACAAGACGAATCCGCGAAAGCCTTCGGAAATCCACAAATGCGGCTTCTGTCTTTGGAGTTTCATCCGTTTCAAGAAGGAATTTCCAGTACTTCGGTGGCCATTCCTGATCTTCTGGTTTCGTAACGCGATAGTAATATGTGTCTGCGTTCTTTATTTTCAACCATCCTGCCATGCCAAAGTGCATCACAAGATGTGGAGGTTTTGACAGTGTAATCCAAAAATATTTGCCTTGCTGTCCTGCACCTGTGACCTTGTTTCCCTGTAATGCTTTTTGAACCTCTGCAGCAGTGGTGCCCACCTTGCCATACACGATATCATCATTTTGAGTCTGTACAACTGATAACGTCTTATCCACCAGGTGTTTCCGGATGAAATGCACAATACGCGCGACCTCTGCGAGCTCAGGCATGTTTCTTCTATGTACTAAGTTAGTTAAATATTGTGTATAAACAGCTTGATGAGATATGGAAGAAAATATCAAAGAACAACCCAGATAAAAGACAGGACTGCCGTTGTCAGCCATCGCGTCAAACTAGACGTGTTTGGGATATCGCGTGATCACGTGACTCGTAATTTCAATGAGATCACCAGGTACCCTCCCGATCGTTATCAGTGAAACGTATCACCAGCTCTTCATCTCAGGCAGCTGCAATCTGGAATACGCCCAGTCTCCTGGATACATGCAAATAACAAGTGTTTAACTGACCTCATTTTCGAATCACTTCAGGATCTCGCCCGAAAAGTATAGATTCATTATAGACGTGGCAAGTGCAGAACATTCAAACTGGAGTGGTTTTGGGCGCAACGTTCGAACTCGAGCCAAGCGGAGAAAGAGGTAGAGATACCTCAAAAGATGTCAAAACCACTACCAGTGGACTCAACGTCTCTGACTCCGCAGTTCTGCTTCAATGAACGTGTTTTGCGAGGTACAATCTTCGTATAGTACCGTCGAGCATCAATTCATTGCACTTGCAACTAATGAGACACAGATTTCCTTCGCCTATCACGAACAACCATCGATGATTCGATAACACAAAACCTGAATGCCTTGCTGAAACCCGCCGGTGAAGGATTCGATCCTTCATCAACCCACGTTCGACAGCTCGACGCAACAAGTAAACGGAAACTTTCCAACAAGGCGTGCGACTCATTCAAAGACGATGTTCTGTTTCCGGCATGGCAAACAAGATCAGATATTCTCAATTTCTGTGCCGCAGTGGCGACAAGCCCAGATCCTGAGGACCCAGATCTCATCTCGAGACAAGTGGAGTCTGCAAAAGAACATGAACGCGTTGTGAATGAGCGTCTAGATCCATATTCCAGTCGATATTTCCCCCGCGAAGCCCGTACAGAATCTCTTGCGAGCCTTGTTCGAAATGAAAGATCCGTGGAGCAAATCATTCGAGCGAGGACCTGGGGCGTTGTGGCTGAAAGATGCGGTACAACTAGATCGTGGGAGGATGCGCTTGATCTTTGGCAGGAGCAGAGACGTATAAAGTCCGATTCGTCTTGAAGCTTATCCGGGATGATAAACTTCGATGTGGATTTACTGGAGAGCAACGGAATGGTCTCTTTTCTATGCATGTATAAAATGCATCACGTGGCGTCATCTTGCAAATAATAGCATTAAGGCTGGGTTTGACTAATGTACACAAATCTCTTCTTGTATAAAACAAAAACGGAACTTTAATAGAACTCTTCTTGTCACAAAAAGCGGCTGTTTATGAAGTGCATGCTAGCCATGAAAATTGATTCAAAGTCCACACATGATGGAGCTAATGCTCAAATGAGGTTGAAATTAGGCATGATTGTTCATTTATGCCAGTTCAATGAACCATAAGTTTATTAGATCCAAAGCAGTTGTGTGAGTAGTACTTCTTTAATAATGCCAATTTGTTATTCCAAAAGCACCTGTCTGTTTCTCCGCCACACATTAGCGCGAGTCAGCGGTCCCCGCACATACCGGACCACACATTTAACCTCACCAGGCTCGTTCCCAGAAAGACCTGGAGTCGTGCCACTGACAACGCAAGCGGTTGCCCGCCATGCCTCAATTGGGTTCAAAAGATTCATCGCTGTTTCGGCAGGTGGTGCGCCACTATGAGAACAAGCAATACAAGAAGGGTACGAACTAACCCTCCCAGCTGAGCCGCAGCAAATAGTCATGCTGTATCGGAAGCGAAGCTGACTGAATATTCATCCAACAGGTATCAAAACCGCGGACCAGATCCTCCGCAAGAACCCGAACCATGGCGACACACAAGCGATGAAGGCTCTCATTATGAGCTGCCTAGGACAATTGGAGGAGGCATTCGTGTTGGGGAAAACCGCACTGAGAAATGACATGAAGTCGCATGTATGCTGGCATGTCTTCGGTCTACTGTATAGAGCAGAAAAGAACTACGAAGAGGCTATCAAAGCATACAGAAACGCGCTAAAGTTGGAACCGGATTCCCAGCCTATCCAGCGTGATTTGGCCCTTCTTCAGATGCAGATGAGAGACTTCGAGGGTTATATACAGAGTCGCAGTTCGATGCTTCAGTCTCGTCCATCGCTACGGCAGAATTGGACAGCACTCGCTATTGCCCACCACCTTGCCGGAAACTTAACTGAAGCCGAAAATGTTCTCAACACGTACGAAGAAACTCTGAAGACCCCGCCTCCGAGGACCGATATAGAGCACTCCGAGGCCGTCCTGTATAAGAATTCGATAATTGCTGAGTCTGGAGATCTTGAAAGGGCACTGGAGCATCTTGACACTGCCGGAACGCGCTGTACAGATGTTCTGGCTGTTATGGAAATGAGAGCGGATTATCTATTTCGTTTAGATCGAAAAACAGACGCGGAGGCGGCCTACGCCGCTCTACTTGAAAGGAATCTCGAAAACTCAAACTACTATGATGGCTTGCTGAAAGCGAAGGGGATTGCTTCAAACGACCACAAGTCCCTCAAAGCCGTATATGACGAATGGGCCGAGAAATATCCCCGAGGCGATGCCCCGCGTCGCATTCCTCTGGACTTCCTAGAGGGCGAAGACTTCAAGCAAGCAGCTGACAGCTACCTCCAACGAATGTTACGCAAAGGCGTCCCGTCACTGTTTGCAAATATTAAAGTTCTATACGATAGCCCATCAAAGAGGGATACCGTGCAAGCACTTGTCGAGGGATATGCGTCCGGAGAATTCAAGCCAGAGGTTAACGGATCTTCAGAAAACCAGAAAAATGGAAATGCAACCGATTTCGAAGCCTCCACTTACTATTTCCTTGCTCAACACTACAACTACTATCTCAGCCGCGACTTGCAGAAAGCACTCGTCTACGTTGAGAAGGCTATCAACCTTGTGCCGAAATCTGTGGACTATTACATGACGAAAGCAAGGATCTTTAAACACTATGGCGATTCCTCTAAGGCCGCAGAAATCATGGAGGAAGCAAGGAAACTTGACGAGAAGGATCGTTACATCAACTCCAAGGCGGCTAAGTACCAACTACGCGACAACCAAAACGAAAAAGGACTTGACGACATGAGCAAGTTCACACGAAATGAGACTGTTGGGGGTGCTCTTGGCGATCTTCTTGAGATGCAATGTGTGTGGTACTTGACAGAGGACGCAGAAGCTTACTTGCGACAAAAGAAGTTGGGTCTGGCCCTGAAACGTTTCCATGCAGTCTTCAATATCTTCGATGTGTGGCAAGAGGACCAGTTTGATTTCCACAGTTTCTCCTTGCGCAAAGGTATGATCCGAGCCTATATCGATATGGTCCGGTGGGAAGATCACCTAAGAGACCACCCTTTCTACACACGAATGGCATTAGGTGCCATAAAGACATATATCCTTCTGCATGATCAACCCGACCTCGCCCATGGCCCAATGTTTGCAAACATCAATGGCGCTGATGGAGAAGATAGAAAGAAGGCTCTGAAGAAAGCAAAGAAGGAGCAACAGAGATTAGAAAAGGCTGAAGCAGAACGAAAGGATTTGAAAAAGGCTAGTGCGGCTACTGCTAAGGGCGCGGACGGCGAGACCAAGAAGGAAGACACTGATCCCACAGGTACCAAATTGGTTCAGACAAAAGAGCCTCTTAAGGATTCTCTGAAATTCCTCACCCCTCTACTTGAATATAGCCCTGGAAACATTGACGTACAAACGACTGGATTCGAGGTCTATATCAGAAGGCGTAAGTCACGTTTTCTAATATATTCGCCTGCCGCAACGCTAACTTTAGAAATCTTCTAGAAAAACATGCACTTGCTCTGAAATGTCTCCTGGCTGCCCATGCTATTGATTCTTCCAACCCGGTTCTTCATGTCCAACTGCTACGTTTCCGCCTCGCACTGAACAATTTATCCGAGCCACTCTCTGAGACGATCTCCGAGATCGTCACGAAAGAATTCGATCAAATTCTACCAAAGTCTACAGATCTACGTAAATGGAACGAGTCGTACTTGACATCACACAAAGGCAGCGTAGATCATGTCCGCGGCGCATTATCAGCGCGGTTGCTACTCGCCCCTGATACAAAGGCGGAAGCCGAGAAGGAACTCATCTCTACGCTCGACCTCGAAAGTACAACTCTTGAAAAGGCTCTCGCCGGTTTGGATACGCTGGATGAATGGAACAGTGGCTCTGCAACCAAGCAGGCATACATTGAAAAGGCCCACAAGAAGTGGAGTGAAGCGTCTGCATTCAGATCAACCTAGGATAGAAAATCGCACCGATAATTGTTGATTTCTGAGATAGCTGCAGAGATCGATTGTTTGCTGAGTTTGAGTTTATATAGAAAAAAACATTTTGCTTGTATGCTGAGTGGGTTGGATGTTTTTATGTCGGAGCGGAAGATCTAAAAATGAGCGGATTCTGCTACATAGTTTTGAACATTGACCAAAATTAATATAAACGGGAATAAAGTATTAATGCCCATCGTATAAGAAATATGCATGTAGATGTAGTAGTCAATATATCAATATGTATGGGAGACGGAGATGATTGCCACGTCAATTGATAGGAATAATATTTCAATACTATAATAATAATAATGGAATTGAATTTGACAAAACGATTGATATGCGATGTAACAGCTAATATGAGTATAGATTATGCTAATAGTATCACTTCTATCATGGTGTAAAGGAATTCTACACAAAAATGAACTCCGTGCCAACATGCATAAGTACTAGTACAAACAAGGGCGGTAAATGTTTATTGATAATATACAAATGGGTCGAAAGAAAGCCTTGGAATAAGTACAGTATGAATCGTCGACATGAACATCGAAAACAATCCAAGGAGTTTACTATGCATCTTCGTTATCGACGTTACCAATGATGGACTTCTTCTTGGCCAATTCTGGGTCTTCACCATAGCCGTAGTCAATCCAAACACGCTGCCAGAATGTTAGCGGCGTAGGCTTCTCGCCTTGGCCCAAAATCCATTCTTGCCCTTCGGCAATGCGATTGGCACGTTCCTCCTCTTCAGGAGAGAGGATGTATCGATGCATACGGGCAGCGATACGAGGGTCGATTACGACATCATCAATCCATTCTCGTTCTTCTTCGAGCAATTTGGGTTTTTCCTCATCATTGACACTGGGGACATTGTCATTTTCTGCATGGTGCTTTCGAGCCTCGGCTTCCTTGCGAACAGATTTGTGCCATTCCTTCTCTTCGTGCTCAAGAAGGGTTTGTTGCTCGTAGGCTCGTTGCGAAATAGTCTCAGCGGAAATGCCGTCTAATGGGTCCGACACGATATCACCCTCACCCTCAAGATAGGGTCTGCTTGCAGAGGCGAGAACAGCAGCCGCTACTTCTCTACCTACTGCATCCGCCAGATAGCGTTTTGTCAAAAAGCGATAAATACGAACTGGTGTGTTTAAAAATCCGAGCAAGTGCGGAAATTGTATAGGTGCAGATGCTTCAAAGATAGCAGGGGTAGTGGAAGCAATGTTTTGCGTTGAATATTGTGTAGCCGAGATATATGCTGGGGTCGGTCGTTTGGGTTTCTTCTCTTCTTCTTCCTTCTTTTTTTCTTCCTCTTTCTTCTTGTCTTCGTTGGATTCGCCAGGGCTCGTTTCCTCCGATTCTGGCGAAATAACTGCATCTAGGCTTTGGACTGTAGGGCTGTCGGGTGATGACTGAGCTACAGTGTCGACGACTGTGTCCGTAACTTCTGGCTGGGATGGCGGGGACGATGCTGGAGGTGGAGGATCCATAGGACCTAGCCAGCCTTCGTGGAGGCCTCGAATGTATTCCTTCCACGTATGGCGTCCAATAACAATGTCTCCCCTCGGCCCGGGTTCCTCAGTAACGCCCATTCTCTGCCGAACCTCAGCAATCGCAGATTCCTTGCTTGGCTCCTCTACCGTGGAGGTGCGTTCGCCAGCTTGTCGTCTTTGTCTACGAATCTTTTCTGCCAAGCCTGCGCGAACATCGCCCTCTTTTCTACCCTCAATCACTTCGTAGTCTAGGGCGGCGGATACGAGAACAGGCTTGACGTATTCGATGAAGTACTCCCGCGCAGGCCGAAGCCCGTCTCCCGGAGGAGCAGATAAGAAGATAGTGAGCCGTCTCCGATTTTGCTCCAAAGGCAGCAGCTCTTTGGAGAGATGGGCGACCATGTCAGACCATTTCTGTTGTGCACGTTTTTTTTGCCGACGGTCGTACATATAGGCGGCAGTGAAGGAGCCGGTGATGGAGAGGAATATCATCCAATTCCGAGAGGGGAGTCTGAAGGTGAAATTAGGAAGTCCTGTTCTCGTTAGTCGCTACGTTGCGATCCGTTTGACATGTTGCGTACCCATCATCTTGAAAACAGGGTTCTGCGGCCTGGCTGGGGGCTTCTGTGCAGCATTCTGGCCGCTTTTCGCCGCGTTGGATGAAGACGATGTTTCAGCCATGGTTGCATGCAACCGCGACACTAACCCAGGCGACCGACAGGCTTACTTGGGCTGGCGGTAGAGCAGGATATGCACGGTGTTGCTCCGTGATGCGATGATGTTCATGCGTTCCTCAAAAAAGTTCTATGCGGTCGATCCGCCTTCCGGCGTTATGTAAGCAGCGTCTTATTGGTCGAGGTAGGGCACACTCAATGAGTCTTAATATGCACAACAATAAGGATCAAGACCATATTCCAGAAGCTATTTCTGAGCAGACTGACAGATGAGAAGCCATTGATAGTGACACAGCTGCTAATATGCTGGATGTGCAATTACAAAGCGTGGCGCAAGTACTCACTATGAATGGGTGAATGGCTGGACTATAGCATAACCCTGCTTACTAGCCATAAAGAGATAGCGATAGTAGATGTTCAAAGAAATCTTCGAGATAGTAAATACAGTAAATACATAGTAAATACATAGTAGAAATACAATAACCATAATAAAGAAGAATATTCATTGTGCACACAGCGACGTGCTGAAGTTTGAGGCTCCCCACCCTGCGGCATCCCACTGGCCGCGAAGTCCCCTAAGTTAGCCCCGAACAACTCAACTGTCGCTCCCGTTGGTCTCCTGCCCCCCTTTGGTCGGTGTGCTCACTGCCAGTCATCGTCGTTGTCGTCTTCTTCCTCGACGAGGACAGCTGCAGATTTTGTCTTCACTCTCTTGTTGATCCAGCTCTCCTCGGCCTGCTGTCCCTTGCTCAAGTCAATTTGTGTGGCACGGTCTCTTCGCCAGCGCTAGGATCAACGTGCTGTTTCACCTTGAAGCCATCCATCCCACCTTGCCTCCTGATTCTGCACTGTACGACTTAACCCCTTCGCTCGTTCTCCCTTCCGTCAACCTCCTTTCTGACAATCCACTGGCAGTCGCTTAGAGGAGGCCCCGTATCAGCGTGCTCATCATGGACCCGAACAACAATCGCCTGCACTTGAACTTTGGCTTCAATGACAGGAACTACAATGCTGCCAATAACCGTGTCTACCCCACAACACCCTCCACATTTCCGCAGCCAATTTATCAGGGCCAGGACTACATGGATCCTCATGGGGCACAGAACAATGCGTATGGACAGGGCTATTTTGTAGGAAATGCCTATCCGCAGCAGGGCCATTATCCCGTTCAACAGCAACAATATGCACAACAACACAGTTTACAATCGCCCCAGCCCGCCGCCTATGGAGCTCGCCCGCCTTATAGTCCTAACGATAGCACCAATGGCTTGATCCAGCAGTTCTCAAACCAGGATCTGAGTGCACCCCCGAGACCAGGCCTTGCTCCGCGGTCTGCTTCTCCTGGTCAACGGCCTCGCACAGCGGGCTCGGCTGGGCCACAACAACAACAGGGCGGACATCTTGCCCCGTCTATGGCAAACCGCAACTCGAAGCCTCCGGGTGAGGAAGAGGAACTCCAGCGATTTCCCGAGCGGTACTCTGAGAATGTTCACAAACGGGGAAAGGCTGCCAAGGAATTGACCAATGTGTTCTTCCAAGAGAATATCGAGCGGGCTCGCGAGCGGAACATGCGGTAAGACCGTTCCTATCTTGACCAACTTAAGAGGAAAGCCGATCTAATATTGTTTACATTAGGTCTGTCAATCTAGATAAGTTGATACAGAGCAACAGCTTGCCAGAGTCGAAGAAGCGCGGCGAAGTTGAAGCTTTGGCAAAGAAGGAAGCAAATTTCCTTAGATTCCTTCGCACTAGAGAGACTCCTTCCAATTTCCAGACAATTAAGATCATCGGCAAGGGTGCTTTTGGTGAAGTCAAGCTGGTGCAGCGCAAGAGCGACGGCAAGATCTACGCACTCAAGTCATTGATTAAGACAGAAATGTTCAAGAAAGACCAGCTTGCCCACGTCAGAGCAGAACGTGATATTCTGGCAGATTCCAAGGATAACCCTTGGCTCGTGAAGCTGCACGCCTCTTTCCAGGACAATGCTTATCTATATCTGCTGATGGAGTTCTTACCGGGTGGCGATCTTATGACTATGCTCATTAAATATGAAATATTCTCGGAGGACATTACACGGTTTTACATGGCTGAGCTCGTTATGGCAATTGAGGCTGTACACAAACTAGGTTTCCTTCACCGGTGAGTTAAAACCTTGGAAGATGTTGAAAGTGTTCGCTGACTGGCTATCCAGTGACATCAAGCCTGATAACATACTACTGGACCGTGGTGGCCATATCAAATTGACAGATTTCGGTTTGTCGACTGGAGGAAAGCAACAACACGATAATGCATACTATCAAAACCTTCTCAAAAACTCGACGTCGAAAGACAAGAATCGTAACTCAGGGTTCTTCTCGGACGCCATCAACTTGACTGTGTCAAACCGCGGACAGATTAACACTTGGCGAAAATCCCGTCGTGCGATGGCCTATTCGACGGTTGGAACGCCGGATTATATTGCGCCTGAAATCTTCAATGGCCAAGGTTATACTTATTTGTGTGACTGGTGGTCAGTAGGAGCGATCATGTTCGAATGTCTCGTGGGATGGCCCCCCTTTTGCGCCGAGGACACGACCGATACTTATCGAAAGATTGTGAACTGGCGGGAATGTCTGTACTTCCCTGACGAGTTGCTGCTGTCAAGAGAGTCCGAGGGACTTATCCGAAGGTAAGTGTTACTAATTAAATCTACCACCCATAAAGCTGACTTTGGAATTTAGCTTCCTCTGTGACCCTGAACATCGCGTTGGTAACGAAGGTGGACAACACGGCGGTGCTACACAGATCAAGAACCATCCGTTCTTCCGTGGAGTGGTTTGGGACCAGTTGCGCAAGATCCGAGCACCGTTTGAACCCAGACTCAGTTCCAATGTGGACGTCTCGTATTTCCCTATTGATGAGATTCCTCAGGAAGACACAAGTGCTGCACACCGAGCGCAAGCCCGCGCATTGCCCGAAGAACAAGAAGCAGAAATGAGCCTTCCGTTCATCGGCTACACATACAAAGCATTTAACGCATTCCAGGCCAATTAGCTTTCACGCTGAGAAAAGGGCTATGAATGTGTCGGCCGTTTTCAATCCATTTCTCGCCTTTTCAAACATACATACTCTTTGAGAGTTTGAATTAAGTTTACGGGTACATTGCACCTGACCTTGGCTGTTCAAATTTACAATTCATATTCTGTGAATCCACGTTCATATGTTGTTGACGGCTGTGAGATATGCTGTGGGTCAGCATTGCTAAATCATACTTGCATTTGTTTATTATCATGATCAGCCATAAATAGTGTTGACATGTAGTTGAATACAATATTGAACAAAATGTGGATTTCTGTAGCATTATAAACCTAGAACCATCTCAATATCGAACTCCAAATAATTACATCGCCATCAATAGCCGTAGCAAATGTTTATTCTTCCGCCCAAACGCCATTATAAAAGAAAATAACATGTCCATGTGAACGGTAGCTTATGGTCGAGGAGCTAAACCAGGAACACCACTATATCTCTCTTCACGTTCCGTCTTGAACATTATCTGAACCCAAAACTCCTTGCTATCCTCATCAAACCACGTCCAATATCTCCCCTCGCGACGATCAATATCACGCGCCTGCAGCTTGAACCCACACGTCTGATATGGCTCGGCTGCGACCAAGAGATACTGAAAATTCTTATCCGGCTCATCGATCTTCTGCTCAAACGCCGACATGAATCGCACACGCGGCACTACTCCCGGCGTGATTTCTTGGTATTGTAATTGAAACAGCAGCCCGAGTTGTCTGGTCAGGGGATCCCTCGTCTTTGTGATCTTGTAACCGGGTCGTCCGATCTTCACCATATTTTTCTTGACCTGCACACCCATCGCGCCCGGCACGACTCCATCCTGAGCTTTGCCTTCTTTCTGTTCCTTCGCCGCGCGGCGTGCAAGGTTGGTTTGGTGCTTGCGGCCTTGCGTATGAGCGAGGTATGAGCCGTCGTTCTGGTGAACTGTCAAGCATAACCGGCACTCGAAACTGCCAACGTGGTTTTTGAAAAAGTAAGGGTCCTTATCGAGATCGATCGTCTCCAGCGCGAGCTTGCGAAGACGTTCTCGCCGATCTGCGTTGGAGGCGGATTGCGAGGCGACACCACCGCCACCGAACTTGGAGCCAGCGCGATTCTGCAAATGAATTAGACAAAGAAATGATAACTCTAGTTTGAAAGTTGTTCTTACCTGGTAATCCATGGTTGCGTTATGGCTTGCTGAAGGTTGGAATTTGAGTGCTACGGCGATTCAAGAATGATAGATCGTGGAAGTTTTGGAAGCAGGTCTGGGCGGCAAGAGGCGGCAGAATGCGGTGCCTTTAGGTACCGTCGTATGTGATTGGTCGGAGCCTGAACATCAACTGCCGTTTATCTCAAAAACACGCTGTAAACAGGCAGTAAGGTGTGAAATGAGGAATAAACTTACGATAGGCCAGCGGCTGTCCTTTCAAACTGCGCTATGCACCGTCAGATATGTTGGGCCGGTCGAAGGCACCGAAGGCGACTGGCTTGGTGTCGAATGGGACGACCCTATGCGGGGGAAACATTCAGGGGAGCATAAGGGAAAGCGATATTTCACATGTAGTTCTCTCTCCACGTTTTGGGCTCTTTATTATGACTTACTAGCATGATCTAGGTTTGAGTAAACAGCAGACTGCGGCCTCCTTTGTACGGCCTTCGCGGCCAGCAGATCAGCCTCAGGGTTTTCTAGAAGCGCTGCGGCAGAAGTATGCTTCAGAATTTGAAGAGGAGCTCGCAAAAAGGAAAGCTGCAGGTCGTGATGACGTTCAGATGAACGAGCTGATTGAGTTTAATGGCAAGGTTGTAGAAGAGGTTGGCTTTGAGAAGATTAGGAAGCAACTTTCCGAACTCCAAGAGCTCAAGATTATTGTCTTGGACGGCCAATGCATTGCGGGTGTGTTGGCACAATACGAGGATAAAAGTCAATATTTTGAAGAATTAGGCGAAATTCGACGGACGTGTCCGAAGATTACGGAGTTGGATCTCAGCCGGAACTTGCTTCATCGCTGGCAGGAGTTGCGGGATATTTGTGAACAACTAAAACGATTAAGGATATTGAAACTCAAGTACGTTGCTCAAGTGTTGTATGCCAGACTTTGGCTGATGTGAAAAGTGGTAATCGATTCGAAAATGTCCAGTCCGGCCTTATATTCGAGAGAGTGTCTCAGTTACATTTAGATCAAACGTTGATGTCCTGGGAGGAGGTATGATTTTTTTATTAAAATTCGATATGATGAGTGCTGATTAATGTTAGGTGTCGTTATTGACAATGCAATTTCCGGACCTCGCATCTCTCACTGCCTCCCTAAATCACATATCAACGATTTCGTCCCCTCTGCCAATGAATTTGCGTAATTTGACTCTCGAGGACAACGAAATAACTACGCTCGCCTCCCTAGAGCTCCTAACTAGACTTCCGAATCTCGAGAGACTCTCACTTCGCGGGAATAGCATAGACACAACCGGGATATCTCAACCTGGCACTAGCAAGGATACCAATCCCTTTCAGTTCTCGAAGACCTTGAAGTTCCTAGATGTTTCTCGCAACCGCATCGATTCCTGGCCCTTCGTGGATGCCCTGTCCAAATTTTTTCCTGGCCTTGAATCATTACGGATTTCAGGAAACCCCTTGTACGACAAACCTGTTGCACCTGCAAACATTACAGGATTGGCTGAAAAGCCCATGACTGCGGATGAAGCCTTCATGCTAACGTTATCCCGGTTAGAGAACCTCAAGTTTCTCAACTACAGCAAGATATCTGAGCAGGAACGGACCAATGGCGATTTGTACTATCTCTCATTGATCGGGAAAGAATTGTCTGCATTCCCGGCTTCAGAAGAGAAACGGATCCTAGCTACACATCCTAGATATTCTAGATTATGCGAGATATATGGCGATCCCACTGTCAAACGACATACAGATACATTTCAAGGAAAAAGCATAAAGCCAGGATCGGTTGCCGCTCGACTCGTTAACTTCAAGTTCTACCAACCGTCGCCATCAGCCCCAGAGAACACTCCCGATCCTGGCAAAGAGCAAGAAAAAACATACCCCATTCCAAGAACATTTGATATCTACAAAATCAAAAACATTGTAGCTCGCCTGTTTTCTCTTGCACCATTGCGATTCCGTCTCATCTGGGAGACGGATGAGTGGGACCCTGTCGAGGAATTCAACGTTGGCGGTGAGGAGTGGGATAGCGAAGACGAAGAAAATGAAAACAACGGCTCGCAGGATCCCAAGAATCAGGGCAATCAAGTCAGCTCGAAGCCTACTGTTACAAACCCGGATGGCAGCAGGTTTGTCAGGAGAGAAGTCGAGCTCATTGACTCGACCAGGCAGGTCGGATTCTGGTTTGACGAGAATACGCGCGAGGTCAGAGTGCGTATTGAACCGTTCTAGCTGCTATCTTACCATCACCTTCAATACAGCATGACGAATGAATACAAACATGAGTTGCAAGGGGAAGCACATAGAATGAGTGCTTATTGCTTAATGTAGATAAAGTTCAAGGCACCAGCACGCTTCGGGCTAGCTCCGATCACACGCTTCGCCGCCACTACTGACCAGTCTAACCTCAACTTGTTCCAATGACTTAGTCCAACAACATATCAGGCAGTTCACCACCATGGCCGAATACTGGAAATCTACGGTATTTTCGGATTTTAATTATTTAATGTTACCTGCTAACTCTTCTCCAGCCTAAATATTGGTGCAAGCAATGCCAAATTTACGTCCGCGACACCGCCTTCGAGAAAGCCCAGCATGAAGCGACGGGAAAACACCAAGGAAACTTAAAACGCTTCCTCAGGGACATCCATCGCAGCAAAGAGCGCGAGGAAAGAGAGAGCCAACGGACCAAAAACGAAGTCGAGAGACTGCGAAACTTGGTATCGGGCAAACCCGCCGCGCCTAGAACCGATGCGGCGCAGACTCGACCGCTGGCATCGTCGCATGCGCCGCGGCAAGCAACAGCCGAAGACCGAAAGAAGCAGATGGCGCAACTGGCAGAAATGGGTGTTGCTGTTCCGGAAGAGTATCAACGAGATATGGCGATTGCGGGGCAATGGAAAACGGTTTCAGAGCGAAGGATTACGCCGGTCGAGAACGAGGAAGATGGTGAAACTCGGCGGCTCAGTGTTGGCGTGAGGAAGAGGAAGCATGAGGGAGAGGAGGAGGAAGATGAAGAGGCTCATATTGAGAATAAAAATATACGAAAGGGCTGGGGTGCCGCGACGCGAGATTATCCTGGAGCCACTGACGAGAACGACGACTTAGACGCACTTCTCTCAAAAACAAAGGTGAAGAAACGTGATAACGACGCAGAATCAGACACGAAATCAAAACTAGAAGATGTCCAAGATAACCCCGAAGAGAAGACCGCATGGACAAAGGTCGAGCCTGAATCAGCAGAGCCAGCCAAGGAGGAAACCGATTCACAAGAAGCGTCTCAAGTGCAGCCAGCAGAGGGCGAGCCTCAAGAGACAGCGCCAGCGGTTGTCTTTAAAAAACGAAAGAACAAGGCTGCAAAGAGATAGACAATAAATTAATACCCTTTAAAACATGACATATTTAATTGATATCAGTTATTATAAATCGCAGTAGATACTAGTTAAATACTTGGATTCAGCGTAACGTAATCCAAGTAGTGGCGCATCTGGTTGGCCAAAGGACGCAGTGCACGGACTTCACGATTGCAGCGAAGCAGCATTATCCAATCCAATTGGCAAGACACTTTCTATACTGCATTTAATCTTTTATCTCTAAACAAATTGCTATTTTCTCTCGCTCTATCATCGCCATCGCATCGCTCCAGCAGCGGTCTTCTATACGCGCTCTCGATCTCCGCATTGCTGGCCTGGCATTGGGCGCTACTTCTAAGCTGCCGACTGCGGCTCTCCCGACCAAAAGATCTTGAACCTCTTCAATGCCCCCCCAGCTCTATACACCACCGCCAGCCCCTTCGACTATAGCGCCATTCGTCTGATAATCCCGCATATGCCGCCATTTGACCGTCTTCTGGACACCGTTCGATAGCCTTATCCGCTGCTCTACCAGGCACGATTACGGATTGCCTCTGGTGCCCGCAGTCGTGCTAAACCGACCTTGCAGGTAAGCAGACTTGATCAGGTTTTAGCACCGCTTTCAAACTTCATCTCTGCGGCTGCTTTGTTTTTATGCCATGCAAAATGCTGGAAATGTTCGGCTGGATGTTGGGGCAGCTCTATTCGACTTTGCATCGATGCGCGCGTTTCAATGCATCCGTTCTTCAACATGAAGAGCGCTGCTATGAGAACCATCGCCAGCCTCGAATTGTCAGCCGCAGAGTCTGCTGTCTCAGTTCCTAATAGCCTTCTGCGTTTGTTAGTTCTGATTTTATGTCTACTGTTTGCCGTTTGGGCTTCCTGTTTCCTAGGCACATCTACTTTCGTCGAAACACTTTACAGCAAAAGTATTGCTAACTCACAAGGCGCATGACAGAATAATATACGTATCCTTTCTTTACAACTGCGAAACACACAACCAGCTGCTGGAAGGCGCTGAGTGACTCCAGAAGGAGTGCGCGACGCCATGTCAGATTCTCAGCCAGATGCAGCTCCTATCAATGAGCCCCCTCCTCTCCCTCCAATATCGTCGGAGGATACAGAAACCTCCATGGCCGCGAATATTACACCTGAAGCAGATCCGGCTCCTCCAACAATAGAGAGTACGACTGCGACAACAACCACAACAGCTACGACACCAGTTCCCACGCCTGTCCCAGCACCAGCACCAGCACCAGCACCGATGCCAGATCCTGCTTTTTCCACTACAAACACAGCTACTGCGCCCGGTATGCCATTGAGCAATGCTCCTGATCCAGCATTTCCACCGGCAGCATTGTCATCACCGCCAATGTCTACTCTTCCCCCGTCAATGGCTCCTTACCAGCCACCGCTCGATGCCTCTGCCGGCAATTCGCAATCGATGCACGCACAAGCAAGCCCGCCTATGCATTCGATGGGACAATATAACCCGGCTTATTCACCGTCAATGGCACAGCTCGGCATGCAGGGCGGACAGATGAGCTACCAGCTCCCCGGCAACCCGCGATCGCGGGCGCACCAACGGGAAGTCAAGAGACGAACAAAAACAGGCTGTTTGACATGCCGCAAACGCAGAATAAAGGTAAGACCGATTTGCACGCCCTGGTGGTAGTGGAACGCGAGGTTGCAGGGCGGCATGGCGGTGGTTTTGCAGTCGCTTAGGCGTTGCCGTATCTTGCTTCTACTGGCTCGCCCTAGCTCGCTCGCGTCTGCATCCCACTTTGATAGAACCCCGCCAGACGTCACTCCTACTATTCGCCCTTTCCTGCCACCCCGTTCTGTCCTCTCGCATTTTCTTTTTCTGATGTCCCTTTGTTCTGCAATTATGCTGACACGTAATTGGTAATACCAAAAGTGCGACGAAGGTCATCCGGTCTGCCGAAATTGTGTCAAAAGCAAGCGCGACTGCTTGGGGTACGACCCTGTTTTTCGACAACAATCAACGCCTTCTGAGATCCGACCGGCGGGAAATTCGCAGCCTTCGCTGGTGCTCAACCCGCAAGAATCGCCGAACCTCTATCCCTCTGCGCCTCCCGGCTACGTTCCGGCCGGCTCGCAGCCTTTTGCACCCTCCGTCCAGTCGGACTCGTCCGTGAAGTCCTTCGACCAGCCAAGCAACCACCCCAGCGCTGTTGAGCCTTCGATAGCTGAAAGTGATACGATGTCAGCGCTGGCAAGTGTCCAGGATACCATTGATGGGTCTATTTCTCAACCCGTTGGAACTCCTTCTGTCATGACCACGCCATCACTAGTCCCGGGTTCGGGACAAGTTGGTAAACAAGGTAATTCTGTCTAAAACGATCTTAAATGTCATGGGCTAATCATGAGTCGCTTCTTAGAGAAAGTAAAAATACAGGATCTCTTAGCACTCCAAGGCATTGCGCCACCTCCTCCATACCCTATTGTTCCTATTCAACAAGCTCGTCTGGACCAGATACAGACTGTTTATCTTCACACATACGCGCCGGCTATCGATCGGTTTTTAGAAACCAGATGGTTTCGAGACAAAGGCTTGTCTCAGCTATTGACCAATGCCCAGCTAATGGCTCAATATTCCGCACTCATTGATGCCTTCAGCGACCCCAAGATTTCCGAGCCCGCTGTTCGAGGCCGAGTTGAAAGTTTCGAGGCGTCCGTCGTCTGGGATACAATGTCAATATGTCGCTCAGCCCGTCATTTGGTGCGCAATGGCAACCATGAACCGATGCAGGAATACGACCTGTTGACTACCGCAAACCGATTTGATGTGCTAGAAGCCTTGATAACCGACGACTATCTTAAAGACAATCCATTACATGAAGACCTTAACCGCGAACCGCCACCGAATCCTAACTCTTTGCAGGACCAGTTGCGGCGGCGGTCTCTGAATTTCTGGAATTGCATCGGTCATTTCCTCACGCTTCATGATATTGAAGCGTCATCAGCGGTAGAAATCGATGATACATTAACTCGCTGCCGTGCACTTCTTGATCAGATTGAGAATCGAGATGTGGTGTACTCGATTGCCATAGGGCGGCACCTTGGTCAACGGCTATCAGATTATCCTCGAAATAAACCAGAAGGGTCTAGTGACGAACGAAATTCCAATACAAAGCTTCTCGTCGCGCAGCGGTTTATTGAAGAGGAGTCGAAAGAAAAAGGCACAACCCAAGTTGTCAAACGCCTCTGTGGTATGGTCCACAGGTTATGGGAGTTGAAGAATATATTGCTTCCACATGTGTGAGCTTACTAATATATTATTTTCAATTATGATGATCTTAGCATTCGGCGTTGGGTTCTACAAAATGTGACATTCTTATGCCGGCACGACGCTTTGAGTCTGTGCCATGGTGGCGTTCGGCTTGGTCGTTATATACCGCTATTCGTGTGCCTGATATGTTTGCGTTTCACGTGTTGAATCAAATTTGATTCTATCTGAGATACCCTCTTTTGACACTATCACGACTGTATGGGCTCAAAGAATCTGATTCTTAAAAGACGGTAATCGACTTTCAGCGTTAATTGTGCAGTATGCATTTCAGCTATGTGAATAGAATCTTTTTCTCTTTCTCTTTCTCTTTCTGTACAGAGAATGTGTGCAATATTGTATACTATAAATAGAGGTTATATGCAAAAGTGAAGATCAATGATTATTTTGAAAGTAGTCTATGATTTGGCCATCTAAATATATCTACTTACCCAGTTATTCTTTGTCCTACAAATCTGCTTGCTCTGGCACAATACTCTTGAGTGTTCCTCTTTCCAGAGCCTGTCGAACATTAGCAATCGCCCATTCTTCCATTGCTGTTTGCGTCTAGTCCATTCATCACGATTAGTTTGTCTCTTGTAGAAAACAGGATGTATAGCCTACCTCGACAGTCCACGTCCCCATATGAGGTACAAGTAAAACATTCGGATTCCGCACAAGCCCCGGATGCACTTTTGGCTCTTCTTCAAAAACATCCAGCCCGGCTGAGTACACTTTCCCACTATCCAGCGCCTCCACGAGCGCGGCTTCGTCCATAACTGCGCCTCGCGCTGTATTAACAATAACCACCCCGTCTTTCATCTTTGCGAATTCGGCTGCACCAATGATATGGCGCGTATGAGGCTACATCAACAGTCAGCATATCACTATCAAACCCGGCGTCTGGCTCATACGTTAAGCGGCAAATTCAAACTAATCACATCACTCCGCGCCAACAACTCCTCAAACCCGACATACTCTGCGCCCGCCGCCATCGCCTCGCTGAGTTTGCGACGATTGTGATACACGACTTTCATTCCAAACGCCTCTGCCTTGCGCTTCAAGTTGCGCCCGATTCCGCCCATACCGAGGATGCCTAGCACCTTGCCCTCGGGGTCATGACCGAGTCGTGGAGCGGGTTGACCGCGAAACTGGCCCGCGCGGAGCGCGTGCATGCCGGCATTGAAGTTCCGCAGTGCGCCGAGGATCAGGAACATGTTCACGTCGGCGGTTGCGTCGTCGACGGCTGTCGGCACGTTGGAGACGAGCAGCGGTGGATTGCGTTGCGTGCACGCGTGCACATCGACTTGGTCATACCCTGCGCCTGTTCCTTATCAGTATGACAGTATTACCGTGGAATACGGAATGGAGAGGGGGAGGTGGGATTACCGCAGTGTGCGAGAAATAGCATAGATTTCGGCAACGCAGATACCAGCTCTGCGTCGAATTGGCCGGTGATCTCGAATGACCCGAAGGTGCGGTATGCGACGACGACGCCGTCGAGTTTACCGTCTTTGCATTCCTGGATGAATTCGCGCCGGTTGGTTGCATGCGTGGTGACGAGGTCCGCGATGTCGGTGAGAGACGCCCAGGTCTTTGTGGCGCTGTAGGGGGGAGGTAAGTAGGAGGTTGGTGAAGACTGGTTTGTGAGGGACAGACGTACTGGTCGATTTTGCCTAGTAAGAGGGCTTTTGGCCGCGTCATTTTGTGCTTGATTTGAATTAGCTATTGGCAGGGAAATACTTCTCCTCTTCTAGAATGCTAACCCCAGCGAATTATAGAGGTAAACAATGAAACAATGACATGGGCTGAAAAGGGTACCGGTACTTACTTTGATCTATGAAGTGCCGCCACTTGCCACGATAGTGAAACGTCGCGAAATGATGATATTCTACAACTGCACGAGAGAAAGAAATTCCTGAAAAAACCGGGCCTTTCTCCTTTATATTGCACGGTAGGAAACCCCTCGCAGGAAGAGAAGATACAGGCAGATATTAGTCAATATTTAAAATGATAAGGCGGAGGAGTTGCGGGCTCGGCGGGGACCACGGACAACTCTCCGAGATAGAGGGGCTGTCTCTATTGGCGCGATAATTATTTATACTCTAATTATCTACTTGATATCCATCTCAAGAGTTTGTAGGTTGTATGACGGCAAATTCCATGCGCATATTACACTAGATGTATTTGTACATGTTTTCGTCAACTCTCCGCCTACCACTACAGGTAGAGTCGGTGTAGTTTTGTGTAAATCATAGAGAGCGGAGCTGATGAATTACCCTTCAGTGAGTATACGAGTCCAGTCGAATTTGCGCCATCTTTTTCTAAACGGCTCTACTCGACGGTCACCACTCCTGCTCCATTTGCCCTGCCGTTTGATGATATCTGGCGCAAGATCCAGCATGCCGCCCAATGTCTCCCTGGCAAACAGATCCCCGCGTGGCCATCGATGAGTATCCTCAACAACATGGCCCATTCCACCGTCTAGTTCAAACCAAACGTGGAAATAGGGCATTTCCTTGACTAGAGTGCGGCGAAAAGCCAGTTTACCTAATCCTTGCTTAGACTTGGCAAGAGTATCAATCAGTTTCCTGTGCTGGGTCCATTCTGCATCTGCGGCTAATATAGCTTCCCTGAAAAATGCCGGAGATGTTTCACCTAGGCTGTAAGGAAGTGGGACAACTTCTAGAGCTGCATGTCGCTTGCGATCCGGCTGTGCTGCATTTTCGTAGAATATCACGTCTCGGCCTTGGTCGTGATACATTCGAGTCAGGCTCTTCATGAAATTGCGGATTTCCTCCCATTCGTCATCATCACATTCCAACAAGTTGGTGCGGTGTTGGATTGGGACGATAGTGGCGCTTCCTTCGCTGAGTTCGGGCTCCGTGGGTAAGGTCAAATACGTTCGTGTGGCTAAAGAGACAACAGGCGCCACCGGGGGAGTATTGGTGTCTTCGTGGTGGCACAATGGGCAGTTATCCAAGATTCTGTTCATCTTCTGAAATTCATTGATCGCAGTGTTTTTCAAATTGAGCTCAGATTTCTGGACTCGTTTAGCAAGCTTGGATGCGTTCTCATCCATGTATTCCAAATCGTTCTAGAGGAGTTAGTGTTTGAGCCTGGGCAATATGATAAAGACTCACATCAAACTTGGCATCTTTGGCGATTCTTTCAGCAAAACGAAGAGCTTCACCGCCGGCTTGACCACGATTCCGTCGCTCCTCTCTTACCATGTCCTCAATCGACATATCATTGTTCTCTTGTACCTGACCCCGTTCGCGACCTCTACGATTGTCGACAGGCTTTACTTCTGCTCTTGAGCCACCAGCTAGCATCCGGTTTTCCATCACGCCCAACACCACGACATCGCCTTCTTTACGATTCGCCATCAATGCAGCAGCAGTGTTATATTGCTCTTCGAGTTCTGCGGCTTCAGAGGATCCTTTCAGTTTTGCTTTCATCATCTTAGCGCGAAGACGGTTGAGGGCGGTAGCATCGAGATGCTGCGTTGCCCCGGTAGGATGCACTGTATCTAGCGACTTCCCTTGTTCCTGAGAGCCAGATTCGGCGAGTTGGTATTTCTGTGGCTCAAGGCTTCTGTGAACACCCTGGTCGAGCTTTCTTTCCTGGAAAAGCTCTCCGCTCGGCTTTATTTTCCCGACGTATGATTCTCCATATCTCTCTCTGCGGTCCATCTCGATTTCTTCCTCCCGCGCATCGTCGAAAGAGCGTAGATCTCCAAATCTTTCAATGGCAACCTCTTCCACTTTCCTTGACGACTCTTCAGCCTCCCTGTAAACAGCTCTCAACTTTGTCATTCTCCACTGAGAACCAGCGTCGCCGAATGTATAATCGACTTCATGTTGAGCTGGCTCAGTTTCTACTTGCTCGGTGACTTTTCCATCCCTCAGGTCCCTGAGATGTTCATTAAGTTCCTTTTTGTGTATTTTGAGATCGAAATCGGCTTTTAGCATTTTTGGTTCTGGGTCTGCCTCAGGACGCTTACTCGGTCTCTGGACGTAATCGACGTCGAGCGAAGAAGGCGCTTCCATCCAGGAGTCTCGTTTTAAACTCGATTCAATATTTTTCGTGGAAGTGTCATCGGCATCAATATTGGGCAAGTCACGATCATGAATGCTGTCCTGTCGATGCCTTCTCTTGTGAATGCTCTCTCGTTCCTCGCCATTGTCATCCCGCCGCGACCTCTTATGCCTATGTCCGTTGGAGTCTTCACGGTGCCTGTCACGGTCATGGCGCCTTTCTCGAGACACGGAGGAGGAATGATGGTGGTGATGGTGACGATGGCGATGGTGTCGAGAACGATCCTTGTCCGTGTGGCTCTCGGAATGTCTCTGCGAGCGACTTTCGGCGAGCGACTTCTCAAAGTCTTCCAGGGTCATATTGTGCTGGGTGTAAAATCAGCCAGCGAGGCAATTGTAATGCGCTCATCTACAGTTATCGATAATGGGAGATAGTTGTAAGGGAGAGTTGTCGAGAGCTAGAGCAAAATCGACGAGGCTAGCCAGAATGACGTTGCGGCAAGCCCCACCTGCACCTACCCAGCCGACTTTCGCCCCGCCAAATCAAAAAAATCATCGCAGCTTCAAACAATATTACTATTATTTCCATCCTGCATACTGCATCCTGCGTCCTGCGTCCCTAGGAGGCCTAATATACGCTATTTAGCTACTACGACAATCCTCATTTGCCTTCAACCGCTATCAACAGCAGGCAGAGACATCCTACGCAAGTTATGGCTGCGGCCACGGCTACAGGCGATGCCGCTTCGCCCGTAGCAGTCGTGTGTGTTGGCATGGCAGGTGAGAGACTTGTTTTATTTCGAAAGAAGCTACCTTCTATACGTTTCCCGTCTTCTTCCGTCTAGATGTGCAAGGCAGGGATGCGCAATGAGCGAGGTTAAAAACTATTCCAGCCAACGCCGACGGGCTAACGGATATTCTGTTCTAGGCTCTGGGAAGACCACTTTTATGCAGCGAATCAACTCATACCTGCATTCTGAAAAAAGTACGCCATATGTCCTGAATCTCGATCCTGCGGTGCATTCGGTTCCGTTCGAGAGCAATATCGACATTCGTGATTCGATCAACTACAAGGAAGTGATGAAACAGTACAATCTAGGGCCGAACGGTGGTATCTTGACTTCGCTTAATTTATTTGCCACCAAAATCGACCAGATCATCTCTCTATTGGAGAAACGCACGGCACCGACCGACCTAGCCAACTCTAGTGAGCGACCGATTAAGCATATCCTGGTCGATACCCCTGGTCAGATCGAAGTGTTTGTGTGGAGCGCGTCGGGAAGTATCTTTCTGGAGACACTGGCGTCTTCTTTCCCTACAGTGATTGCGTATGTAATCGACACACCTCGTACTAGTTCCACAAGCACGTTCATGAGCAACATGCTCTATGCCTGCAGTATCCTGTACAAGACGAAGCTGCCAATGATATTAGTGTTTAACAAGACCGACGTTCAGGATGCAGAATTCGCGAAGGAATGGATGTCAGATTTTGATGCTTTCCAGAATGCTCTGCGGCAGGAGGAAGATGCGGGGGCCTTTGGAGGAGAAGGTGGTGCCGGGGGATTTGGCGCGGGCAGTGGGTACATGGGTTCGTTGCTCAACAGTATGAGTTTAATGCTGGAAGAGTTCTACCGCCATCTGAGCGTGGTGGGGGTGAGCTCTATGACAGGAGACGGCATTGGTGAATTCTTCCAGGCCGTGGAAGAGAAGCGCCAGGAGTTTGAACGAGACTATCGACCAGAGCTCGAGCGTAAGAAACAAGCGCGAGCTGAGGAGGCATCCCAGAGGAGAGAGGTCGAGTTGGGTAAGCTAATGAAAGACATGGCTGTCTCTCGCGAAACATCACATGGGAAAACCGCACCGGAGACTGTGAGCGATGCAGAAGAGGACCCACAGGGGGACGATGCCATTGGCGACAGTGACAGCGACGGACTCTCCGGGGAAAGCGACTCTGCTTCCGCGCTGGGAGAGGATGCTGGCCTAACACAACGGTACCAGGAAGCACTAGTCGATTCGTCTCAGCCAACAGACGAAGACTTCAGCTTCATGAGGTACCTACGTGCCACCAACCCTCAGTGAACCATTATCATTGGCATGTCATAACAACATTTACAATTATGCTATCCGTACGTCCGCCTTCCATCCGTGGTGCAGTGCCGCAATTCAAAACAAACGAACCGACGAACAAAAAGAATCGAAATAATTCCCCATGCGGATTGCGACAGCCTTGGGAGCTGTCATAGCGGAACTGATCCAATTTTCAAGGCTGGCCTCTTACAAATTCTGCTTTTGGGAGGAAATTCTATTTTGAAACAGTTGTGATATTATATTGCTTTTTCCCCCGGACTCTATTGAATTCCGCATCTCTATTTCCGAGCCCCTAGTCTCGCTCATACGAACAACAATTATCACCCCCTCGAACCAGCCATTTAATTGTGCTGTATGGCTTTCCAGACAGACGGTATTCGATGTCACGGATGCTTCCAGCCTATTATCTATCTTAGCCCGAGTGTGTTGATCTGCATCTATGTGAAAGCTGCACATGTTCCAAGCCTGGACGGACTAGGCTCATTAGACTGATTGACCATTGAGTAGCGGTACCGCGCCTTGCCTAACTGAGGCTAAAGTGTTGCTCTTTTTTCTCTTTCCTTTTTTCCTCCCTGGGCGGCACTGCGACAGCCTTCGCCGATGACTGATGCAGCACGGATCTCGCGCAGTATGCAGCTACAACTAGCCCCGTTGGTCTGCCAGATTGCCAAGATTCCAGGGTTTGGGGTAGTCTTTGTCCCAGCTGCAAGGTGTCACACCGCTTGCAGGAATGTCAAGGCTGGGGTCTTCGACTATAATTGGCGCAATTTTCAATGTCAATAGACCACGAGCGTTGATGTGCATAATTCAAGCTACTACGTATGTATGAATAGGTAGCTAATACTATCAAGCCTCTTTCACCGCCATAGCCTTAGACTTGGACCAACTAAAATACAACATTAGCTAAGCAACGGCCAGCGGGCCACAATGGGACTCGTGAAGCTCAACTCCCCAAACCCCAGACGGCTGCGGTACTGGTGTGGATCGCTGGGCAAGGCGTCATGCACCAGGCTTGATTGAGCAAAGATCGTTCATCAATCATGAGCCTAGTACCACATCGGCCTTTGACTTCCAAGAAAGCCTTTGGACGGGATTGGATCACGATGATGTGCATCAATTGATATGTAATCTGCGGCGCAGCCCATCCATCTCCTGTCAAAATCATGTCTTCGTGGTTCCTTTAGTTTCGTTCCGCTTGGTTCATGTATGCAATGCCTGGTGGAAACCCCTCATTGCTATGTACTCCGAACAGGCTAATGGTCGTGCCCTGTATCATCCGCCTGCTGAATTTTGCAGCCCAAGTATCACCGCTCTAATGCACGTTAACAAACTGATGATCGATCCGTCCCTGAGACAACGAGGCTCGAGCGTTTTGCTTCAAATGTTTCGAAAGTTGCCGAAGTAAGCTAAACGTGCTTCGGGTCCAGCCTTATCTCGTTCCGTACAAATGAATTGCAATCGTGTAACCCACTTCCAATAGGGTTGTCTTGAGGGTTGCGGTGGCTGCAATAGTACTGAGTGCCGCATTATCAAAACTCACTGTATGGTATGTGGCCCAGCTGAAGGAAGTGACTGCGCGTGGGACCCCATTCATTTGACTCATTGCCCGATGTCTATTACAGAGGAGATCTTTTCCAAAGCCCGCCAATGGCGAAGATCGCCAACAACCCGACACCGCACTCGGAATTAACCCGCAATGAACTGTCGTAATTCGAGAGGCGTGTTTGTCTCCTGCGTCAAACCCGATGGCTCCTTACAGGGTAGGTAAAGTGGCGTGCCTGAGGGTGAAAAGGGTTAGACAGACCAAAAAGCAGGAAAGCAGAAAAACAAATGATCTAGTACAGCCGGGATCCTCATCTCTTTATCCCCGGTATTTATCATAGGTAAAGTACAGACAAAAATACCCAGAATAACTCCAAGTCTTCTCGAAAATCAAGAGATATATCTCTATGTACACCACGGCCATGGGTAAATCATCATTACACAAATTGGCCATGTGGTTCCGTCGTCTCTATTCACGGAAAAGTGGCAGCGCTTCTCATGCAAATACAACGGCCGTCGGAACATCACCAAAGCAGGCGTCGATGATCTCATGCGACGCTGAAGTGGCACACTACTCGCACCACACACGCCTCATATTTAAGCCGTGGAGGACCAAAGGCAGCCCCTGCCACAGCTATACTGCGTCTATACCGAGGACTGGTGTACCTACAAGTGAGGAATATAATAAAATGGTATCTGGAGTTCCGTAAGTTGGCCAACCCTAAGTCACCCGCCAATGCAGAAACTCAAAAATGGCTTGTTACTGACGGTTCGTGTGTAGATACAAAACTAGCTGTCCCCAGCTACGAGCCAAAAAGATCGAAGTGCGTCAATTCTGCGCGAAATATAACGTTGACGACCAAGTGGTGGCAGACCAGACCGGTTCCAGGTACGAGCTGTGGCAGAATATGCGTGAAGAGCGAGAGAAAATGCTTCGCACAATTATCGGGAGTGTCGGTGAAGCACCCCTCCTTGATCCTCCATTCAACTTTAGCTACGGCTGTAATATTGTCCTTGGAGACAAGGTTTACGCCAATGTCAAGTCTGTCTCCTCGTGCTCTTCTTGAATTAGCGAAACTGACATTTGTGGGTAATATAGTCTACGCATCATAGACAGCGGCTTCGTGACTATCGGTAACCGGACATTTATTGGCCCTAATGTCCTAATCGTCACTGACCTGCACTACAAAGAGATTCAATCTCGCCGAGATGGTATTGTCTATACTCGGCCCGTTACCATTGGAGATGACTGCTGGATTGCAGCTGGAGTGATTATCAACCCAGGTGTGACGATCGGGAAAGGCTGTACTATTGGCGCCGGCTCTGTTGTTACCAGAGATATTCCTCCATTCAGTGTTGCATGGGGGAATCCTGCGCGGGTGGTTGAGAAGGTTAAGGATGCCCATATTGTCTATCCTGATTATAGCTGAAGCTGTTCTCTGAATTACTGTACAAACTATTAGGAATGACAAAAGCATGGACTAGGTTGTTAGGGCGTTGAGTGGTTCGTTTCGGGTATCTACAGACTATGTTTCTTGTTCTTGCTGCATTGTGATACTACTATCTTGACGACAGAGATTGGCATCTGATATTCCATAGACATATTATTGGAGTTGACAAAGGAATGGTCACATAGCTAAGCATAGGCATAGATAATATCTTGTTTTCACTGTCGATAAACTATCTCTAGCCCTACTCAATAGCCCTAACTTGCTCTGATAGGCTGGCCGCCCGACTGACAAAAAGTGACATCATCGCCCATGCCAAGCTCCCCTCATCAACAACGTTGAACAATGTCTCAACACCTGCAAGAACCTTGATCAAAACGAAATATTACTATCTACAAAAGGACTTCACATTGATACAGTTGATTGTTCGCTGATTCGAGAGTGCTCAGTATTCTACTTCCTGGTGTTCATTGTAACACGGTTTGCTTGACTCGGATCTCCATCTTTCGCATCGATACGGAAGGCATGGATGTGAGTACCCGCGTTGTCTTACATATATGCCAGATACTAAGTGTACCAATACTCACATGATTCGTTCCAGGTCTTCAACGCCTACGCCTACGGGTCTAGTGCATGGCTAGCACTCAAGGGCTTCGCTCTACTCGGAGCTCCTAAGCTGGTCGTAACCTTACTGGTAGGTGAAAACCGGGGTCATGCTACAGGTACGTTGTGCAGCTGGAAAACTGTGTTACCTAACTATTCTCTAACCTTGCATTCACATCTGCAGAGCTTGAAATCTATTTATCCCGTTCCTTCGGACTCGCCTTGCTTGCAATTGCCCTACTGACGATTATGATGACTGGCTCCATTCCCTTGACGTCTCAGACCGATGTCAAATCCAGCGATACCGAGGACACTGACCCTAGAGCTCCCTATGCTTTCTCGGCTTTACTCATTACGACCCTGCTCCATGGCGTGCTGGCCTTCTACGATTATGCTTGGTACATCTCTGATAGCCAGTCGGGGCTAGCATTGGGTATGGTCGGCTCGACTATCATAGCTGCTATGGGAGTCTGGTGTATTCTTTTCGGCACGACCAAAGGTCGTGTCAGCCGCAAGACAGGCGCGGATAAGAGGACGTCTGGGTTTCCGTTCAAGAACGCAGAGGCAGACAAGAGGCACGCGGGAAGGAAGGCGTTGTAGGCTATCGACAAAGGATATCCAAGTGTTTTATTCTATCTTCTCATTGCTCATAACTCTATTATGCAAGTGGAAAGTTGACACCCTCCGAACACTGTGTGCGGGATATACTATACGGCTGTGAAGTTTATACAAACTCATACAGTCTTTCAAAACATAGGCTGTATTCACCGCGTTACCCTATCTCTGATTATTACTTGCCGGCAATATCGGGCTCGGGTTGCCACTGTTGCTAAACATCGCTATTTTCTATGAATAGGCCAGGGCAGATAAGAAAGTCATGGTCATTGGACATTATTGACAGACAGTAAGAAATGAACAGATGCTTACAATGACTTGTTTAAGTTTAAGTCTACCGTGCTGGTAATTTCTTCACTTTCTCCACGACTGTTGGAGTCTCCAACATATCTCTCCACCCATCACCATCTTCAACATACGTACTTCCAACGGAATGCCAAGACCGCCTCCATGATTGAATTTGAACCAAAAATTCACTCGTGGTTTCCGGTGCGAGGAGTATGCAATTATAAGGATTAGCATGGGAGTTTTCATGATATTTTCTGTACGAAACCGACGACTCTGTTGACAGCCTTGCAGGAAGGGATGATTCCGTTTCATTAGGGTTAGGGTTACACTGGAAAATGGATCATTACTTGGATGCACTCCTCCGTCAACGTAGCGTCCCAAAGGTAGCTTTTTTAACAAAAATGATAAAAAATATATGGCTCTCTCAAGAAATGAAGGGAAAAAAATTATAAAAAAATCGCCCCCGGATAGGATCGAACTATCGACTCTCAAGTCGTTGTTATGATAATAACAGCTTGATGCCCTAAACCACTGGACCACGGAGGCGATATTTGAACAGTGCGAGTTCTAACATATGACCCTTTGAATAATACTATAGGAAAGAGTAGCTTCATAGCTATTGCCATCTGATCAATCAAAAAAAATAGTCAACTAAAATAACCAAAATAACCCTTACCAAGCAAGCGTTGCGCTATTTTCGGCATGGTGGTTGAAGGTTTAAAATCATCTCATTGCATGCCGCTTTAGTGGATATATTTGACCGTTATATAAATATCATTGATGTGATCGATAGGCTTCTATTTGCCCACCATGCTAACCATCTATGAGTGTTAGGAAAAATTGGATCAATTGTTTATTTCAAGAGACTATAGGAGAAGTTCGCTTTCACTCTTTACCTCCAAAGCGTTTGTTCTGCAGTAAGACGAATATCTAGCCAAGCATCTCAGAAACGTACACGGTCTTTGCGCCCTGATGTCGTGTAGTAAATACACTAGATCGTGGACCACCGCAAAAGCACGGCAGCAGCGATGACAGGCACAACACTCACTAACTCCCCGAGGCCCGCAAATTCAGGTGGAATCCTAGCATTCACAAAAGCACCAGCACCAAGCAAAATGGCAAAGACATTGTAGACAAAACTCCATCCGAAATTGAACTTGATTCTGTTCATCGTGATTTCGCTTACAGCTATCATGGAAAGTATACCGGTAAGGTTAGGACGTATAAGAACAACATCAGCCGCAGACTTTGCAACATCTGTTCCTTCGTTCATATGGACGCCGATTGTGGCTTGAGCTAGAGCGATTGCATCATTGGTCCCGTCACCGCAGAAGACGACAACGGGTGTCTTGGGATTCTTTGTAGAGATTCGGGGGTCTGGGACGGCAAGGAGGCCTTGAATATATGCTTGTTTGTCTGCTGGGGTACATCGGGAACGGACATTAGTATCGGGGATACCCAGCAGAGTTGCAACAGATATGACGGCGCCATGATCATCCCCTGAGATGACATGAACGGAAAGACCACGTTCACGCAGTTTGGTGACAGTATGGAGAGCGTCAGTACGGAGTGAGTCTTCCAGGCCAAAGATAGCAACAAGACAGTCGTTGATTGTGAAGCAAAAGGCTGTATATCCTCGTGCAAGGATAGGCTTGACATGCGGATCGGAAGAGACATTGAGCCAACGGGAATTTCCTGCCTGGAGAACCATACCTGACACAGAGCCTTTTACACCTTTCCCAGTCAAAATCTTTGGATCAGATATGATAGAGGTCGAAATGCCCTTTGCTTTAAGATGCGTAGCCACAGCAGCAGAGACAGGGTGCTTATTACTAATAATTAAGCTGAGCAGAAGGGGCATAGTGGAGCTCATATTGCCGTCTATATACTCCTCCACGGCGACAGTGAGTTTCCCTTGGGTGAGCGTACCAGTCTTGTCAAAGACGACATGAGAAGCCTTGCACGCAACCTCGATACTGTCTGCAGATTTAAATATCACGCCTCGTTCGGCAGCAACACCGCTGGCAATAACAATAACCATGGGGACTGCAAGACCGATGGCACAAGGGCACGAGACGATAAGTACGGTGATGCCATACGTGATTGCCTGGGTAGTTGCTTCAGCCCCAGATTGTTTCCGCACTGCAACACCAATAGCAATCCAAACAACAAGCGTGACGATGGTCACAGCAACCACAGTTGGCACAAAGTAGCTCGCAACACGGTCAGCAATATCTTGTATCTTTGGCTTTGACAATTTTGCTTCATCAACCATCCCTGAAATCATGGAGATAGTGTTATCACCAGGGAGACGTGTCAGCCTAACAGTTAATGTCCCAGAACCGTTTATTGATCCTGCAATGACTGCAGACGTAGCTGATTTCTCGACTGGGCTTGCCTCTCCGGTAATCATGGACTCGTTGACCTCGGAAGATCCCATGATAACAGTACCGTCGGTTGGTATCTTTGAGTCTGGAGCAACCTTAAAGATGTCGCCGTACTGAAGAAGTCTAACGTCAATTTCCTTCTCCTGGGCGCCAGACTCGTCAACGATAATAGCAGTCGGTGTCTGTAGGGAACGAATGGAGATGGACTCAACAGCTTTTTGACGAGCCAACGCAGCGACATACCGACCGACCATAATCAGGGTGACAAGTAAAGTGCTCGTTTCAAAGAACTCGCCTGTTGGCAGTGGCTGATCTGCAACAAGATACCCGAACGATACAACAGAGAATATGAAAGCAGCACTGGTACTTAACATGATGAGGAGATCCATCTCGATCATCCGAGAAAATACCAAGCTCTTCAAAGCCTTTGGGTAGAATGGCCCTGCAATGAAGACCTGGACAATAGTCGCCAGCCCTAGCGATGCAGAACCATATGCGATTTCCCTCTTCGGAAGTGGAGCCCAAGCCAATACCAGCACTGGAATTGTTAGAGCTATGGACAACAGGGTCATGTACCCAACGTAACGAACGTGCTTGCTGCCAGCTTCCAGGGTTAGGTCCGCTCGAGGAGCAGCAAGGTTGACAGGAGTGCTCCATCCCCTTTCAACAAGTTCTCGCCCTCCAATGATCTTAGCATCGAAAGCGACATGGACGGTGTTCTTATCGACAACTGTTAGATCTGTGACACCACGTGGCCAGTCTTGCTTCACAAAGTCAGATGAATCGACGGGTACAGTGATGTTCACGCTGGATCCTCGATCTAGGATCCTTTCACACTTAAACTCCGTGGTTCTTTCTAAATGCTTTATGACTTCAACCAGGGACCCAGCATTAACGTCAAGATCGAATTCAGCGCGGGAAAGCACCAAACTAGTCTTAAGGTTCTTGATCGACTTTAACGTGGCTAGAGTTCGTTTTAGCTTCGTCTCGCACCCAGTACAGGTCATTCCAGTGATGCTCAGAATAACATGCTCGTTGCCTGTGATGCCTTTCTCAACGTCAAGAGTATAAGTCACGTCAGTAAGACTCTCCTTGTTCTCAGAGAAACCCATGGGCTTTTCTTTAGTAGCATAGGCTACCGATTCGGGAACCGTAGACGTCATGAATTTACTGCAGCAGTCGTTTAAGCAGGCACCTCCGCTTGCCTTTGGACTGGTGTTGCGATAGCACCCCTCTGACGGCGGCGGCGTTTCCGTAGCAAAGCTCCCAGCAGCGCAGCAAGGATCGAGGGAAGCACGAGGAGTGGACTGGTAAGATCTCTTATGAAAACGCTTCTTATCAAAAGACGAGCGTCTTTGGGGTCTACAGCAAGACTCTTGCCCAAGAGCCAGCAAAGCGCGGCAGACACAACCGAGAGCTTCCAAGGTAGCCGCATATTTCATACGGGTGCTACGACTGTGTTGTTCGCATGGTTTCCCTTCTTCAACCCCCGGGCAAGAGGAGCTCAGTGGCGAATATGCAGCAGCTGTAAGTCGGTGACGTTAATAATGTTTACCTGGTTTGAAGGACTATGTATTGGCTTACCTTGGGGCGATTCGATAGACCGCGATACCCTTTTTCCTTTATCGCATTCGCGGAGCGCAATGCGATCGAGACAGGACACATCGCAGCAGGGATACGTCTTACCCTCACAGCAGCTGGGATTTTCTGGACCTTCTGCATTCAGTTCCTCTGCGGCAGACGGATGGTTTCCCTCCCAGTCCTGCTCATGAGTATAGCAGCCATCGTCGACTTTGACCTCGTTCGTTCCACAACTAAAAGTGTCCTGTATCGCCTTGTTTGGTCCACCGCAGCAAGCATTGCGGCAAGCAGTAGGGAGGATTCCAGTTGGTATGCACCTGTCAAGTCTCTTCAGGTTGCTGTTGCAGCAGTCGCTTTCTCTCGTCTTCGGAGAGGGTTGGCAGCAGCGAGAATCCTTGCAGCTGTCGGCTCCTGAAGCTTTTGGAGGCTCACAATCACTACCCTGGCTTGCCTCATTGCTATCATAGCAGCAATCAGCATGGCGTGGCACACATCCTTCGTTATCACGCGGAGAGTCCATCCCCGCGTCGTCAATCGAGGCAGTCTTGTTATAATAGCAGCTATTACCATCGACCGAAATATCTGAGGATCCGCGTAAACCAGAACCACAAGCCATCATGAGAAGCTCTGTTTGCTCAAGGTTCAGGAGAGAAGCTGCGTGAGATCTATTCCCTTTCCCTGAGCAACCAATGAATGCATCGCGGGGGCACGCACGCCCGATTAGGGCTGCTAGCTGCCTCAGGGCGCGATTGGTCAGCCTAAGGCCGTCTCATTGCATGCTGCTTTAGTGGGCATCGTTTCGCCATAACCGAGAGGTTCCATTTGCCTGCCATATCAGCCAATTCTGTAGCAACATGTTATGAACGTCAATGCAGACATAAGATTAAAGCTCGCCACAGTCCTCACGAGAGAAATTGGACAGAGGGAAACTTGGAGGCTTGTCTTATGTATATTTTATATTATTTCTATATACATTAAGATTTTAAGGGTAAGCGGGTTATTGTTTTTCCCGGCCGATGCGCCAATCTCCGCCCACGATTTCACAACAATCCAGTGCCGCTTCAACCGCCTGTCAGCTTCTGAATAATATAGCTCTGTCCACTGCTTGGGACACAGCACCAACAAACAGCGCATACTAAGCCGATGCTCGGCGCTTAGAAACTTTACATCAAACTCCCTCACTATGGACAGCTCCGGCCTACAGGATTTGCCGGTCAGCTTGCCTCTGGGCTCGCAGTTGTCATCTGGATTTGACCCCAGTGATCCCCAGTCTTTCCACGGCTTCTCCCACTCCATGGATCACGGCCTCCCTGCTACCGGGACATTCGTAAGTATATGCAAGATGGATACCAAATCATGCTTATCTAATGAGTTTTCAGCAATCAATGGTACAATCACCCCGGCCAGGGAATTTTGACCCGCGCGATAATGGCCATGCGCGGTATCAAATTCCCCCGCTACGCCCGATACAAGATGTGTCGGCAAGCAATCATATTGGCCATAGTCAACCGATTCAGCGAAGCTCCGGCTTGCCATCACGAAGCTCAGATGTCGTCGATGAACTGGATTGGATACCCCCGCTTATACCAACACTAGCAAGCCCTATTAGCCACCAGTCGGCTCCGCACTCGCAAGAGGCCGTAAGCTTTCTTTCTGACGCCATTATGGAAAATAAAGACAGTCACTTCGGAAGCATGAAACTAATTCCAAACCCTCCTGACCTCAACGTTTGGCGGGAGCGGCTGTTCAATGTTGATGAGCCTATAGCACTGACTGAAGAACAGTACGTTTCCTCCCGATGCTCTTGTCTAACGAGTTTGCTGTATGGTAACTGATTCTATAGATTCAAAACTTATTTCCCCCACATCGACAACGTGTACTCACATCGGTCCACCCAAAAGTACAAACGCAAGCCCTTTGTTTCTTACTACTGGGACTGCCGTTTGAAGGGGAGACCACCAGGGACTCCCAAGTCCGATGACCCTAATAAAAAGAAACGCAAAAGAACAGCGCGACAGCGCGACCTATGCGATGTGAAAATCAAAATCATGGAGTTTTTCCCGGGAGCAACACCAGCCGACTCAGATTTAGGGAGCTCGATTGACGTGTTGTCAACTGGAAATCCATCCACGGCTGCATTCTTTGGAGGTCGGCCGGGACAAAACCAGTCTTTTGGCATTTTGACTCCAAACCAAGCCTTTCCTCCAGGACATCCAGGGGCCAGCGGGCAGAAATACTACACCATCCAGCGAGTCAATGGCAATGGCGGCAATGGGAAAACAGATGGTGTTGAAGGCGGCCACCGGCACACACTAGAAGAAAGCGACCGAGTGAAGAAAAACAGTGTGCATAGGCACATGCTCAAATTAGCGAAGGAAAAGAAAGAGACGGTAGGTTCTATTTCCGTTATTCTGCTGCAATCCTGAAGCTAGTGCGCGGGACGAAGAGAAACGAAAACTCGATGCTTGATATGATATTGTTGTTAGGGTGGACAAAGCGTGGGGTTGAACAACATACGTCATGTCTGTCACCCGTCGCACCTTTATTATGCTGATGAGACCTGGCCTTTCTTTTCTTTCTCGTTCTTCATTAAGACGCTCCAATTGCGCCCATTACCTCCTCCTCGCATTGGCTACCAGGCGCGCAGCGTGTTGACCCTGAAACAAATACAGACCTATTGCGCAACCATGACTGACCAGCAGCAGAAGCAAACGCAGACAAAAAGTTACCACAAGAAAGCGACCGGTCAAGCTCAATTGACCGTCAGAAACCGGTCAAAGGATGATGAGCTCAAATTATTTGCGAGTTGTTTCTGGCAAGTACACATTGACGGCCCCTTTATTGGCTTAAAAAATAACAATAATATAGTCCTTTCGTTCAACGGGTTTGGATAGCACTGGAGATGAAAGGGATTTCATATCAATATATAGAGGTCGATCCCTACAAAAAGCCAGACTCGCTGCTAGAAGTAAACCCCCGTGGGCTAGTGCCAGCACTTCGTCATAATAACTGGGGGTGTTATGAGAGCAATGTGCTTCTCGAATATGTATGTACATCCCTCCCAGCGACTAGACACTTCTCACCAAGAATTTAGTTGGAGGATCTCGACGAAGGAGTGCCGCTTCTTCCTCCTGGCGACGCAAAGCTTCGTGCCCACTGCCGACTGTGGGCAGACCACGTTTGTTCTTCCCATTAAACACTTCGTTAGAGTGGCAGCTAACCGACAGTGATAGATTAACCGGCATGTAATTCCACTATTCTACCGGGTCTTGATGGAACAAGACACTCAAAAACAGGTCACCCATGCCGGAGAACTTAAGGACGAGATTGCGAAATTAGTCAATGCATCACACGTCCATGGTCCCTTTTTCCTAGGTCCTGCCATGTCATATGTTGATGTGCAAATCGCGCCTTGGATCATCCGCTTGAGTCGCGTTCTGAAACCGTATCGTGGTTGGCCAGAGCCTGAGATGGGTACTCGCTGGGCTAATTGGGTGCAAGCGATTGAGCAAAATGAGCATGTCATGGCTACCACAAGCAGCGATGACCTGTACTTGGATAGCTATGAAAGGTATTCTGGTAAGTCGATGTATAGTGCCTAGTTCAGCAAAGTTGGGTGCATTGATTTTCCAAAGAAAACCGTCCAAACACATCGCAACTCGCAAATGCAATCAACAGCGGGAGAGGCCTGCCTTGATTGTATTTAAGTAGACGAAGGGCTATCAATCCATCGCTGTTCACGGTCTTCAACATTTGACTAGCTTTCGGCGCTTTTTGAGTTCTGATATTTGCATGACTTGTCCGGACTTAGACACCCCTGCCACGAGGGCTAAATCCGAAGCCGCCGCGTCCATTGCTATCGGGACCCCTGGGGCTTCGTATAGGCTGCTTTGGAACCTGTTGCTCACCATCAGACTTGTCTGTAGAAGATTGTTGCTGACGGTCTTTTCGTTGTATGTATGTTGAGTTAGGCTTGGTAGAATAAGTTGGGTCGTATAATTGTCTCTGTTTTCCCATTGAGTTTCCAGGAGAATCACGCTTATCACGAGTATTATCTCTTCCACCTCCTCGATTCCTCCCTCGGCCCCGATTCCCATCACCACCACCACTGCTCTGGTTTCTAGATGGCGGAGGGGTGCCACCTGGTGACGAGGCGCCAGATCCGGGAGTTGAAGAACTCCCAAAAAGCCTTTCACGGACTTCTTCATATTTGCGCTGCTTTTCTTCTCGGTCTTTTAAAGCTTTGGCCTGCCGTTCCTCTGGTGTCATCTCTGGGGGCTTGTTTGATTCATCTTCCGAATCTGATAACTCCCTTCCATTAAGACTCAACCCCGAGATCCCTGCGGCCACGGCATCCGCACCTTTTACATTCTCTCCATTTCTCGACGCTATTTGAGGCCGACGGCTTAGCACAGTGACAGCAGGTCGGTATTCTTGCTTGAGTGGGACAGCCGAGCGGGATTCGAGGTAGTGGAAAGTCTGAGGAGCATCTCTAGTGGAATTTAAAAGTCAGCTTACACCGTGAGACACACACAACTCGCATCAAGACATACGCTTCCGCCCATAGCTGCCTATTGAATTCTGCCTGTGCAGCCCTTCGTTGCGCTTTGGACACTTTGGACGACACCTTCTTGTCCAAGGAAGCGGTTTCGGAATTCGGATCCTGCTTCTACCGCAGATTAACATTGACATGGAATAATTCAAGTATACGCTGTAAGGGAAGTGCGTACATCGAGCGATTCCCAATCTGCCTCCCATGCATCAGGGACATTGTCCTGCTCGCTACTCATGGTGTATCACTGCTGGTGTCGAGGAATATGCACGCCAAAACTGAAATCTCGTATAATTTTTGTTTGCCAAAGAACTGAAAACCCACTAGTGGTGGGACAAGAATGCACGCAGGCAGCGGCGCACACAAGGTCTTAACACTTTGCTCTAGAAGATAAGCTGGCGTATATACAACGGGCGCAGTCGAAACGGAAGAAGCGACGGGATAATGCAAAGAATGCAGTACAGCGATTATGGTCGGAAAGCAGAGCAAAAAGCGTGTTTCAAGAGGTCAGCGAATTAATTGTTAGCAGAAGAGACTAAAGCCAGCCCGCACTAGTTAGTCGCTGCCTGATTCGTCCGGCCGAAATCGCCAATGCGGGGCGAGGTTATCGCTCTTTATCTTCTATCCTTCCATCCTTTTATCGGCTTGTTCTATCGACTTGATATTCTACCTTCGTCAAGTATTGTTTATCATCATGTCTGCAGGTGTGTCTTCTTATTGTCATATAGCTGGACACCCGTTCTGACCATCTACAGACCCCGACGGCGACTCTGAAATGCTCTCCTCATCCGAGTCCGCCTCTCCACCTGGCGCTCGTACACCGACATACAACACCGTATCCGAACTCTCTCCACCCGGGTCACAGACAGCATCGCATCATGGGGGCTTAGGCGACGCGACTATTGAGTCACCCACCTCTGCATTCGGCAAAGCTCTCAGCGTTGGAGGTCCTGACGATAAATCATCGAACACACAAGCCAAAGAACCAACAGCGTGGAGTAGCCAGAGAGCGCAGGAGGAGTACGGCCGTGCTTTAGAGTCGGTTGTTGATCGGGATTTTAGTCTTAGTAAGTTGGTATCGCTTTGTCATAAGACTTGATTGTTTACGATTTCTTCGCAGAAGAGTTTGGGGACCCGTTTGATGAGTCGGATATGTTAGACGTTTCAAGCGCCTGAGCGTGCTGCTGGTGGCTTGAGAGCGACAAGTTTTAAGATAAGAAACACATCGATGGTATGTAATTCCAGTGTCTAGCATACTTATGCATGGGGAACGGTTAATAATAGCCCTCAGCGTTCAAGCAAAGTGTACGGTATGGATTATACGGTTGGATCGAGGCATACTATTGAAGATAGACACCTCTTGACTCCAGCGGCCTATACATAAGCTACATTGTAGCAGTCAAATTTCATGAGCCAGGGCCGATAAGTAATTGCCAGGCTGCAGTGAGGAGTATGAGGATACTTGACCTGAATGTTAGCTGGGAACTCCAACCGCAGTTACAAGGCAGAGCTTGAAAAACACCCGAAACAGTTTCGTGGTGCTTAATAGAGAAATGAATTCATGAACCAACTTTCCATAATCATTCTCTAGACTTGGTAATCAATTCATTAATTAATATTCCAGCTTTCTAGTTGTGCTTCCCATGGCAAGGACCACGTTGGCACGGCAACGAGCGGTACCCGTCCTTAGCTTGCACCACGCGACTGCCTTTACTCTTCTCTAGTTTATTGTTTGATCCATACAGTTATTACCATTGCGATCAACAGCAGCATGGAATAGTAGCAATATCATTATCGCAGCCGAGCAGCGAACTTGAAAGAAAATATACTTCGTCTTGTCATAATAACAGTACAACTGGCAGACCCACGTGTGCGCCGTGGGTAAACATTCCTCGCGCTTCATCAATACTACATCCAATAATACTGCCACTACACATGCGACGTTGAGAAATTGGCGACTGCAGTGAGTGGAATTATCGCATATCAGCTATCGCCAGCATTCCTCAGTCAGGCACGGTGCTGCCACGCGTGCATTCCGACCATGGAGGATGTCAGTATGATCATGATAGACGCTCCGGCCATCATGCACCCACAAACATTCCTCTCACCACGGTACGTGCCTGGCCTTGTGTTTTATTTCGTTTCGTTTCGTTTCCTCTCGGGTCTGCCCAAAGTTTTGATCCGTACGATGCATATCCTTTGTTCACTATTAACGTAAACAAACACGTGGTGCTGGTACAGAATTACACATATCACCAACCAAATCAACTTTGCGCCTACCGCGGTCACGACAAAGGCCATCCCCCGCGCCTGGGAGCGTATCCCGTCTCGCGCGTTTCTCGCACGTCACAAATCGCGAACGATCTGGAAGCGGTTTAGGAAAAGCATGGAATCGCTGCGCGATCGCACGGGGCGTGTAGGGAGTAGAATCGAAGAGAGGGAATTTGAGAGCGAGATCAAGACGTCGGCAAACGCTGATTACATGCGCGCTACAAAGCGACAACGGCTGGACGACAGCGATGACCAGCAGGAGGAGAGCGTGCAAATAGAGCGGGGCCGGTCGTTTCTCGAGACGAAATGGGAATTGGAAGCTGGGAGAAGACGTCGTGAGTGGATGGGAGATTTGGGGAGAACGCTCTCTGATAGGTTACTAACTTCCCGACTAGGCAAGCTGGTCAGCATCACGCAAGAAGAGGAACATGCGCATGTGGTTTCATTTGGCGAGGGTGTCGGGATTGAGAAGAGTGAGGGCGGGTTATTGGAAGAAATTGAGCGCCTTGTCTCGCTGGATGGGGAAGCTTATGCAGTCGTGGACGCTCTTAGTAAAGGCGCTGAAGGCAGCAATAACGAGCAAACACTTGACGATGTCAACCCCACTATGAAGACCACGGCAGCTGCAGAGATCGCAGAGATCGTTGCCAGACAGGAGCCATCGCTGGTCCGGTCAGCCTTGAGAATGAACTCGCTTGATGGAGAGGATGTAGCTCTGCTGAGTGAGTTCTTATCGCGCGCTCAAGCCAAAAGAGCAGCCAACGCGACCATGACGCCTAGCAAGATGGATAAGCTGGATAAGCCTACAGCAATGAATTCTCCCACGATTCGACCACGGAAGGCTCTCGAGGAAGTTGACAAGAACTCTCCCTCGCCTCAGAAACAGCATATTTCTACCCCAGTCAAGTCTGCTCCAATCAAGCCCGTTGAATTTCCAGAACGGCCAGTAAATCAAGAAAACCGCGAAGACGCAGCGACCGAGGCATCACCAATTTCATGTCGTCGCAGCACTCGTACAAAGCTACCCAAGACTCAAGCGCCCAGCCAGCCCCCAGCTGTGCCGAACCAAATCCCAGTACGACGCGCAAATGGAACCGAGTTCATCTTCTTACAGCGGACAGAAGCACAGGAGCTGGCGCTTTTGACTCGGAAAAACACGCGCCGCAACAAGGGGAATGCAGTACTCCCCAAGCACTTTTTACATAACTGCGCCAAACAGGAGCAGAGCGATGATGGCGAAGCTTCATCTCATTCTCCTCCCAGCGAAGAACCCGTGGTACAGGTCCGACGATCACCCCGCAAACATCCTGGATCTAAGCAGGTGTGGTGGAAGGAGGACAAGCTAGTTGAATATGCGCCGGAGAAATTAGACGAGACAGTTTACGGATCTTCACCAGATAAAATAGCCGAAAAGCTGCGGCACGATGGTAGCAACAAGGCTTCTACGAGAGACAAATATGAGTCCAAAGCCCACACGCTGCCAGCAACACCAAGCAAGAAAGTTCGCAGAATCAACATGCTAGCTCCAGCGAGTACGAGCGCTCCGATCAAGCCTTTAACGGTCAGCACGCCGATTCCTAAACGCAAGAAATTAACCCCCAAGGCCCCGGTCCGGAGCGCAGGCGCTGATACTACAAGCTCGACTCGTCTAGATAAGGGTGCACAAGAAATAGCTGTCACCAAACCCGCCGCATCAATCGCAAAAGCAGCAGTTTCAAAGAAAGCGAGTGGCATTCCTAAAAGCAAAAGCTTACTGAAAGCGACGTCGATACCGAGTTCGGCGTCAATCATGTCTTCAGCGGGAGCTACGCCTGTGGCCAAACGTGTGCGCGCGAAGAAGGTGGGAGTATGATACTAACTCGGCGGGGTGAATTGCTACGTTTAAGCACTGATTACATTGTTTGATACCCTTGCTTTGGTTTGTCATGTTTTGTGGTTGTATTGTATATAATTGATTTCTAGTTTCTCGTGCAGTATGATAACCCTTGATATTCTCATTCATGATATCAGTATGGATTTAATGGTCACCCGACATCAATCAATCACCTCAATGCCATCTTGTCGAAATGGGTCGCATTGCTCCAGCATGCATGATAATATCCCGGTTTAGGAATGAAGCCACAGTGGATTCTCGCATATCACAAAAGGAAACGGTTTTACTTCATTTAAGAACCACCCTGAATGCTCTAAATAATCCACTCATGTAACAAGAAAATTACGCACGCCAATAATTTCAACTTATCAACCTATCATACTTATGTCGATAATATCAGAGGTGAATAGCCTAGTTATTTGGCCATTGTGGAAACCCCTGTGCCGCCATGTATAACAGTTGAAACAATTAGCTGGTTATATTAAAATATATGAATCTACATAAAAAGAATTCTAGGACCTTTTATATATTATCTCTGTATTTAGCTGCGACAGTCAATTATAATCATCATAGTTTTGTATAAAGACCTCAGTAAAGAATACATTATTTTATCAGTCTATTCTCAATTTCGTAATAACAAAACAATGGTACCTAAAATAGAGATTAAAATACCATTAATGAAAACAAAATTATATATACCACCCTGTATCAATAAAATTTCTTTAAATACTCAGATTTTAACTGGAAAGATCCAGATTCGACATGTGCTATACTTTGATGTGAGATCATGAAATATGTTCACTCATTAGACCAAAAAACTATTCTTATGATATTGACATTCGGTTCTTAGGTTTTTTGTATTTTACGAGTTTAAGTCACAAGATTGCAGAAAATATGAAGCTTAGGTTCACTCATAGAGAGTACCTATGTAGAGGCCCGGAGATGAATAAGAATGAACTATGGGACTAGCTATTTCGTACATGCCTCCAGTACAGTAGAAGCTTTAAGGAGCGTGAGCAATCTATGAGTGTTAGCATTATTATATGATTTTTTCAACTGTTGGGGCTCATAAGTGTCTCAAATTCCTGCCTTTTAGTTCAACATCTGGAATACAGCCAGTCCTGCGCAGAATACCTATATTGGTAAAGCCAATAAATTCTCTCAGTGCGTAAATAAATGGAGGGCCTATGGTTTCCACATATTTCTATATTGGACCCCTTTATCAGGTAATGTGTGACTATATACTATATGCACTCGGAGTGCAAAAGAATTACTCATATCAACATGCTACTAAGGCATCAGGCAATCAGTACATGACGGTATATATTTTCCTTTGTAATTCTTTACTTGTAATTTTTTTTCACTCTAGTGTTGCCTCTGTCAGTCATCGAAGACAAGAAAACGGCGATATACAAATATGCTATTTACTATTGGCCAACGCTAAACTTTATCATGGTTGAATGGCTTCAAAATCTCTCTATAATCATTGTCTGTAAATCTCATGTGGCGCCTTTGGCCAAGTTTAAGTTACAAAGATCTACACCACCTTGACCAGGATGTAAGCCCTTCCCTTAATTTCTCTCTTCTTTGGTATCCTTGGCTTTATAGCGTACATATGTACTTTCAAGCATGACAAGTGTATGCTCGGACAGTCACATGAAGATGCATATCTCGTCGGCAGATCGGCGCTGAATCAGGGGTTGCGCGACTTGTTTCGTCAATAATAATTGATTACTACGTCTGATCGACGGCCAAGTGACTTCATTAACTTAATACTACATGTAATTTAGTGGACACTGTACAGGGAATAATAATAATTATTACGAAAGTATAGTATGTAATGGTAATACTAATGAGATAGATGCGGTCAGACGAGCAACAGATTATTCTAATCGCTTCACTCTTAGTATCAATATAGCGTATCAAGAATGCGCAGTATACCCCGCTACCCCGCGACATGCCCTGAATTCATATGTACCCCGTCTATGCAAACATCATACATCTTTCCTGGTAATAATGTAAAAAGCTATTCTAATATTGTATTTATATATTGTAGATAGATCAGGTGGAAATGGCAGCCTTGGCCTCCTCAGGCCACACGTCATACCCAAAGGTATCCTTCATATTAACAAAGCGGAAATGCCGATTATCAGCAACAGCATTGACGGCAGCAAAGTCGTCATCGGACAGCTGGATCGACTTGAAATTGGACTCGATGCGCGCCGGGTTCGAGCTCTTGGGCAGCACGACATACCCTCGGCGAATGCCCCAGGCGATCAGCACCTGCGCCAACGTGTACCCGCGCTTCTCCGCAATCGCAGTCAGCGTCTTGTTCTCGCTCACCTTCTCGCCTGTCGTCGGCACCTGGTTCTGTGAGCCGAGCGGCGAGTATGCCTGTGGCAGGATGTCGTGTTTGAACAGGTACTCGACTAGCTCGTTGTTCGGGAGGAACGGGTGGATTTCGATCTGGTTGACGTGCGGCTTCACTTTCGCGAACGACTGCAGCTGCTCCAGTCCCTTGATGGTCCAATTGGACACGCCAATCGCGCGTGCCTTTTTGTCCTCGTAGAGTTTCTCCATAGCGCGCCATGTCGGCTCAGGGTTTTCGGTTAGGTCCTTGAGGATCACGTACTACCTACTTAGCTCTCATAAAAATAGATAGAAAAGGGGAAAAAGTACCTTGCCGTCTGGCCCAACCTTGGGCTTCTCCTGCGACTCCTTCTCGGCGGCGATGGGCCAGTGGATGAGGAACAGGTCGACGTAGCTGGTCTTGAGATTCTGCAGGGAGCTCTCGAGCGACCAGAGCACATCGTCGTAGCGGTGGAGGTGATTCCAGACCTTGGTGGTGATGAACAGGTCCTCCCGCTTGACGGAGGGCGTTTCCTGCAAGAAATCGCGCACTGCGTCGCCGACTTCGTCTTCGTTGAGATAGTACCAGGCGCAGTCCAGATGACGGTAGCCGACGCGCAGGGCTGTCGTGACAGCCTTGTAGGTCTCTCCTTTGGCGCCCTCGTTGGCGAAGGTGCCGAAGCCCACGGCGGGGATGGAGACGCCGTTGCTGAGCTTGAAAGTCTTGCCGTCTGACATGATCTCTCTCTCTCTCTATATATCTCTCTCTATATATATACTATGTCGAAAGCAGGTCAATGAGAAGGGTATATTAATTGATATAGATAGTCAGGACTAAAGGTTATTTACAGCGGCAAGAGTTTGGCCTGCCGGGAAGTAGCTACCCCGCCATCGGATACACGAAAACGTCGGTTGCAGGGTAGACTTTCTCAATCAATGATCGATCCATTTCATCCCAAAACCCAAAACATATTGAAATTATTCGCTCACCACGGATCATACTCGTCCGGAGCAGGAGGGGCTGGTTGATTGAATGATGCCGTCATTTTCCCCTCCCGTGGGTTCGCATGTAACTTGCGATTATTATTACGATACAGCACGCTCCACACGGCTCTACTACACAGCATACTGCATGCTACATACTGCATAGTGTCGGGCTGCTGATTGGGCTGTCAGATAGCGACGGAAATTGAGTGAAAAATCTAGTGAAAATCTAAAAAACCGAATTGAAAAATCCAAAAATTTCGTTTCCCTTTTGGGCGCTAGGCAGACCGTGAAACTTGGCGTGACATCACCGCCCCAGTCGGGAAAAGCAACGCAGGGGAGGAGGAGCCAATCACGGCGCCACAGCCGCCCACAAGCCGAGGGACCATGGTGCACGCTGAGTGGCTGGCGCAGTCTGGGCCGGACCCACTGGGCGCCTCCCCGATGATTTGTGGCGTGCAGATAGGGGTCCACCGGGCCCACTTGGCGCGCCTCGCCGAAGAGTTTGATAAGAGTGTGAAATGAGAGAGGAACATGAGACTATTAGTTATGGCAGTGACGGCCAATCCAATCACGGCGCCAGTAATCTCTGGTTAGTGCAACTGCCCGGAGCCCTATGGCCCGGCATCGTGACGGCTCGCTGCATAATGACGGCATCGGCATCTCTGGCAAGTGTATTTGCACTCTGTACTCGATGCTCATACTCATACTCACTGCATGCCGGCCGACTTCTCGGGCCGGCTTCAGCTTGGCCTAATTACAGCTACAGAGTGAAGTTTAGACTGCATTTTAGACTGCAGTTTACAGATTATAGTGTACAGCTGCAGTTACAGACCGTAATGTACACCTGTGTTACAGACTGGGTGTAAGCTCTCCACCGGACCCAATGTCACCATTCGCAGTACCACTCGTTCTCTCGTAGCAGCAAGTAAAGTGACGACGATAATTCTTAGGGATGATGCAGTGGACCGGCCTAGCCTGTTTCGGCACTGCTGGTATATCTTCCTCACGCGGCTGCCTCAGCATGAAATAAATAGAGCGCTCCTTCCTCTCTGTCCTCTACATATATTCTATTTGCATACACTCTTGCCATCCATTCTGTCAACCACGGAAGCTGCACTGTCTCTTCTATCCGTGTTGACCTATACCTATCCCATCCTATCTCATCCTATACCTTACCTCTTACCTCTTACCTCCTTTATTGTTATTGATAATGCCTCGCTTCGACGACTCCGACTTTGGGGCCGACTTGGCTCAGGTGCGTTCTCCTCGCGACAGCCGCCCCAGCGTCGTCACCACGGCCCCTGTCGCCCCTGATGGCACCATCATCCCCATCCCCGCAGACGCTCCTCATCTAGGCCACCGAGACAGCGATGTGGTCGAGGTGCCTGCAACCCGCAGCTCCATCAGTGACGCGGCCCAGTACATGCACAACCTCAGCCTGTCACCCTCCATGGTGGACAGGCGTAGCTCCCGCAACTCGTTCGGCACCTCGCTGCCCATCCCACGCTCCCCCCGCCGATCGCGTCTGTCCTCAGTGGTCTACGCAGATGGCGCCAGGGGAATCCCGCCTGTCGTGTCCAGAGACATTCTGGCGTCCCAGGTCCAGGACATGGCCAAGGAAAAGGTGCAGGCCGCCAAGAACATGGCATTTGCTTTCGACATCGATGGTGTGCTGGCTCACGGCAACCACGCCATCCCTGAAGCCCGCGAAGCTCTCAAGATGCTGAACGGAGACAACGAACTGGGCATCAAGATCCCCTACATTTTGCTCACCAACGGTGGTGGAAAGCCAGAGTCGGAGCGCTGCGAGCAGTTGTCTCAGATCCTGGAAAGCCCCATCTCAGTCGACCAATTTATCCAATCCCATACCCCTATGCAAGCCTTGGCCCAGTACTACGATACCGTCTTGGTGCTCGGTGGTGAGGGCGTCAAATGCCGTGGCGTTGCTCAAAGCTACGGATTCAAGGCCGTTTACACCCCCAAGGATGTGCTCGCCTGGAACCAAGAAATCTCTCCTTGGCGTTGCTTCTCCGAGGAGGATCGCGCTCAATCCCTCCCCGTCGACTTTTCTCGTGTCAAGTTTGATGCTATTCTTGTTTTTGCAGATTCACGCGACTACGCCACCGACTTCCAACTCATTATCGATCTTCTCTTGTCTGAAAATGGATACTTGGGCACCAGGTCCAAGAACCCAGGTGCCGGCAGCATTCCTTGCTACTTTTCTCAGGGCGATATGGTCTTCCCCACTGCATACAAGGGACCTCCGCGTATGACCCAGGGTGCTTTCCGCATCTCCATCGAGGCCATGTACAAGGCTCTGACTGGTGTCGACTTGGAACGGGTGGTCTACGGCAAGCCTGAATTGGCCACGTACAAGTACGCCGACGAGGTTCTCAAGTCCTGGATGGAGGAAATCCACAACGAGAACAAAATCCCTCAGAATGTGTACATGGTCGGTGACAACCCCGCCTCCGACATCATTGGTGGCAACATGTACGGCTGGAACACGTGTCTCGTGCGTACCGGAGTCTTCCAGGGCAAGGAGGGCGAGAATGACCCTAACAGTCCCGCCAACTTTGGTGTGTTCGACCACGTTTTGGATGCCGTCAAAGCGGCCGTGCGAAAAGAACTGGGCAAGGAATTCAAGTTCAAGTGGAACGAAAAAGTCAACCCGGTGCTCCACGGAGACGGTGTCTCGGCTGTTGAGTAGTTACAAACAGGCCACGAATTATGCATATCGCGTTGCTTCAATGTTACAATGTTACGGTTAGAGGCGTTGGATTGGTACATGACTTGGCTCGTACATTTGGTACATGCATGGATATCCAGGATCACGAAGTTTGACACTCGATCCAGTTTTACTATTTACGAATTAGATCAGACATATCACGATGAATGATATTTTTACCTCACCATACGAATAACTATGCAAATAGCTACATGTATACATGTATTCGCCTTCCCCCCTGTTGATCTGCTCTAGCACGCAGAATATCGAGTAATAAGCTTTCGATTGAGTTTTCCAAGCCGATCGACGTAGGGATGACGCTGGGCATGAATATCTTCCCGAAGCGGCCGACTTGTGATGCCGATAACTAACAACTCTATTTGAGCCGATTCTCTGGTTCGCAGTCAGACTTTGACTTTTCCCTCGCCACCAAAATATTGACAACATGTGATTGGCGCATCGATGACGTACGTAATTACTAGTTTAGTTAGGGTTCGATTGGGCCAATCACGCCGATGCGTAGGATTGGTTTTTGCTTTTCGTTTTCGTGCGTGTTTCGGAGCTGTCTCGGTGAGGCGATTCGGTGTAGTCCGAGGTACTGTACATCAATGTTTATCGAGTCCAAGATTCGGGGATAGAGATAATACTGAATGAGAGGCTATGCCTGTGCGCTGGGGTTTGACCGGTATGAGGGTAGGAAGTTCAATTGGAATGCTATTAGATAAAGAATATATCTTAATCACTAATTATAACTGGAAAACATTTAGTATTTACTTTGAAAATTGAAAAGAAAACAGACTGGAAGAGACACCTGAAAACATAGAAATATTGTTTGTTTATCCGTTGTTCAATCAACATTATCTATCAAAGTTGACGTCTAGTCCGGAGGTAAGATATAGATGCTCTTATGAATTAATAAATACATGTAGTTTCAATCTTGGCAACCTGTAAATATAGGGACACCTAAATAAAACAAGAATAGATTCAAAATGAAAGAACAAATTAGGCGGCAATGAGAAGTGCCAAGTCATACCCACTCGTTGCGCTCTGATGCAAACTGTTGAATAGTTCGCAGAGACCAAGTTCAGCATCCCAATTTATTTCACCACATGTAGAATACTCTGAACATAGATCTACGTATTGTTTGAAGTAACTGAGTGTTTTGGTTATTATACTACTGCCTGCTTCAATGGGATAATAATGTCCGCATTCAAGAGTAAACTGTTTGCTATAGGAGTTGGTGTAAGGGCTTTCTAGGGAGCTGCAGCTTTGTGGGAACGGAGGGAGCAACAGCCGCCACTGTTGTTTGACTTTACGATAACTGTAGTCGATGCTGTTTCGTCAATTGTGACAGTATCGGTGATTATAGCTGTAGCAGAGCCGGTTTCCTCAATAGTTACGGATGTCACAGTTGTTGTTGTGGCACTGACTGTCTCATCTGCCGTTATCCCGTTAGCACACCGTTCGCATTCTTATTATTTCGCAATATCTGACTAAATCTTCCTGCATGCTATTCCCCTAACGGTGTTGTATGGCCATCAAGGGTTTGCTGCTTGAACACGATTCCTTTGGCATCGTGTCTATCCAGCAATCTCTCCATATCATATGCAACGCTTGACGTCTCCTTGATATCGTTCCATCCGCTGCACTCCCCTTGTCCTGACTACTAGAGCATGTGTCGTCTGACATTGAAGACGAGGACGAGTAGAATGTGCAGTCAGCCAACTAACACAAGTTCCAGAGCAATTAATGACTGCCCTAGAGGAGCTACTAGGCTACACAATGGTTTCGCATAAGTTTTGGGCATTCCGCCATGTTGGCGATATTAGCCGGGTGGAAGACTTCCTCGAGTGCGTAAAGACAGGGCAAGAACGACGAGAACGAGATAAAGTGGTTAGAAACTAAAATGGCTATCTGTGAGCTAGCTGTTATGACATCTTCGTTTCACCTATATGATTACTATATATGACTGACGCTTTATCAGGGCTTATGAAAACCAGAAATAGGCAGCATAGTGAAAGGGATTCAAGAGATTAATTAGCATCAGGAAAAGGGGTTCATTCTTCCGCATATATTTGGTATTTCTATAATAACCTCTTTAATAGTGTCAGGAAGGAGATCAGCACCAATGCGTTCTTAGCTGCATACGGACAACAAACTTGATTAAAGAAGAAGAACCCTTCACTAGGTAGGGTGGTTGGCTAAACACATCTCCCCCCGTCAACCTCCAAATCCACGCCTGTGATAAACTCTGCCTCGTCGCTTGCTAGATAACAAGCAGCATTGGCAATATCTGCCGGGGTACTCGGTCTCCCCAACGGGATTGTCGAGACGAACCCAGCTCTGTTCTCCTCCGTATCCGGCTTTCCGAGAAACAGATGCGTTCTTGAACGATCAGCAACTACAAACATAAACACCAAGACCTAGAATGGAGCTTACAGAGCAGTACTCCCTACCACCGGGCAAATCGCATTAAATCGAATGCCCTTGGGCCCATACTCCACCGCCATCGTCTTGGTTGCCGTGCTCACAGCCCCCTTGGACGCATTATACCAGGTCAATCCCGGACGCGGCCGCAGCGCCGCCGTCGAGGAGATCTGGATAAAGCTGCCCCTGCGCTGGTTCTGCAGGAAATACGGTAGTAGGACACTTGCCGAAAGATAAATCGACTTGACATTGACATTCATGACCATGTTGAACTCATCATCTGTGACTGTTTCCGTCGGCTTATTGTGGTACGTCGAGCCCGCGTTGTTGATAACAATATCCAGTGCGCCGAATTTGTCAATGGTGGTTTGCAGCAGCCTCTCCCAGTCTGCGCGTTTGGTGACGTCGGCTTGGGCGAAGCTGCAGTTTAGGGATTGGGCGATTTTGCTGCCGTTTTCTGAGGAGAGGTCGGCGATGAGAACGTGCGCGCCCTCAGTGACGAATTTCTGCGCGATGCCTGCGCCGAAGCCGGATCCGCCGCCGGTGATGATGGCAACTTTGCTGTCTAGGCGCCCGGGCATGTTGTGTATGAGTTCAAAAGGTTGTTTTGGAATAGTCAATTGAGTGGAGAGCATTAACGACGAAGACCGTGACAGATCGACCTGAGATATGTCGGTATATAAACCCCGCATTCGTTACCTGTGAATCCCCGGTCCAACCCCTCACTCTGTACACATGTATGGGATCCCCATGCACACCAGTGGATAATGCTATTGGATACAATACCTACTATACCTACTCTACCCCCGGAGAAATATCAACAGCCGAGGGTGGATTAGGCCGTAGATCTAGATTGCTTTCCTAATACGGAATTCCAAACAGCATATCGGAAAGAACTCCGTAGTGCTTCAATACTCAACATAGTAGTCAAACTCATGTCATTGTATATGCCCGGTACATGTAGTTTACAGAGCTAAGTAACATTAGAACACGCTCGTAAGCCTCTCTAGCAACGGCCGGCGCTGTCGTTGCTGCTCTGAACCTGCCACTCCACTGCTTGCTGCCTGTTGAGCGGCCGCCGCGGCGTCCAGTCTTCTGCGTATATTCTCGTATCGTTCGCCATCCTCCCCAGAACTCCCAGACCCCGCTGCAGGATGATATCTGCGAGAAGCGGATTCCTTCTCGCCGACCATCCACGCCGGAACTCGCCAGCCGCGTCCCAAGCCGCGCGATGTAGGCAGAATATCCGCTCTCCATGCAACGCCAATAGCCCAGCCAGTGATTGCGGGTAAAAGTGATGCGGGGAATTGCGACAGGGCTAGCTGTGCTGCGACGAGATATGTGGTTGACTTATCAGAGAGAAGAATGGTTAATGACGGCTTGCTGTTAGTGTCCGTTGTCGTAGTGTTTCGGCGGCCAGTGCTCCCACTCCCGCTCGTGGAAATGCGGTATTTGAATGTATGCGGAACTGATGCATGGTATTGTGCCAAAAGAGCGAACATGACCGCAGTCGGCCCTGACGGAAGGTAGTTCAGAGTGTTGAACGAAAGCGGGCGTAGAACAAGGGAGAGCAGGAGAGGGGCGATGATGGTGGTGTAGGGCAAGATAGCTACGAGGAATGTCTATATCATCAACAAATTAACCATTACCATTATCGCAGTGTGATATCAATGTCCAACACTCACAGCCAATTTCCTAGATCCCCACATTCGCTCAACTACTCGCAAATGATATGCCAGCATCGCAGCAAACAGGACTTCAGTCGAATTTGCGTATCCAGCTATCTGCCAGAGAAGAATCCTCGAAAATTGCGCATAGTGCCATAGATGTGGAACGACCAGGATGTGGGCGAGATGTTTGGCGTCGAATATCGACAATGCGATGGACGACGCGACGATGTAGATAACAAGAACCTTGGAGACGGGAGCGTTGGTGAAGCCGGACGACAGCATCTTGAGTCCTGTTTTGTTCGAATGGCGCAATTGCCTAGATGTTCTACGACGCCGTGGCCATCGACTGTTGGATGTCGTTGCGAATGCGATGTGGTGGAGCGAGAACGCGGTGACGTGGCCTGAAGGAAGTCTAGAAACTGCTAATATCTAGAGCACGCGATTAGTGTCTTCTACCGAGCTGAGTAGAGTGACTGAAGGTATATTGAGGTAATGCAGAAGAACCAGCAGGAGAATGCAAGAGGCAACATAGATGTTAACAAGTAATGAATATTAACCGCAGCCAGCACAGACCAACCTCAAACCCGGGGATCGGATCGGCATGCCGGGACTGCACGGCATAGAGACTCGGTATAATAAGTACAGTTATGATTTAATAAGTACAGTTATGACATGATAAGCGCAGCTAGTACATGATAATAATGTGCAGCCTCTTGTGATTTAGATATATTTTAACGTATTGACTAATTGGACATTCTAGATTACAAGACCCTGGAGAATCCATCTGTCGTGAATAGGAACGAATAGGAACGAATAGAAATAATAATCAAGGCGCAAGCGAATCTTCTCTAGCAGCAGCAGCCATTGCCTCTGCCAGCGCTTCTTTATATTTGCTACTAGCTAAACTCAAAGCCGATATCGTCGGACCTAGCAGCTTGTTGACGACCTTTTCGCCGCCCCCCACGCCAGCCAGATTTACGCGCATTTTTTTCCCCGTTGCTGCTAAGACATCACGGGCATTCTGTTTCAGTCGGTTGACTTCCACCTCTTTCTCGGCCTCGGCATCAGCGGCAACAGCTTTAATGCGGTCCATTGCCCGGTTCAACGACTCCATAAGAGAGGCGAGCTCACCAGCTCGTTCAGGGTTTCCGGACAGGAAGGCCTGCCAGAATTGATGCAAAAACTCAGTAGTGGTCGCATGCGTCAAGGTCAACCTGTCGAAGAGTGTGCTTGATAGACCCCATGTCCCGGAATTCGGAGAGACCTCCGTCTGTGCTCTGCGCTCTCGAATCGCGTCAAAGATTTGCGTCGACGCGCGCTGCAGGTTAGCCTTAGACCCAACAGCTTCACTTTGCGAGCCATTTTCGTCGTCGCTGTCTTCCTCGTCGGGCTCAATAATCTTCCCCAGATGGAAAGAGCCATCTGTTGTAAATGTCCCAGTTACATCCTTCTGCATGGATGTAATTATTTGTGCCGGATCCTGCTTCGCAAACGCCTCCCCTTCTTTACCTTCCTTCTGCTTCCCTTGAGCGAAGAATCGGCTTTGGTCCCGTATATTCAAGATAATGCGGTGTTGCTCTTCATCTCCCTGAAGATCCTTCAATATCAAATTGTTGTACGTTTCCTCATCCAACCCAATAGGCGCAGACGGGTCTCCATCGGCTGGTGCTACATTGGCCATGATCTTCTCACTGAGTGCATTCAGGGTTCGTATAATAGGAACCTTTTCAATGGAAGCAGGTCGCATATCGAAATCGGGACGATTACCTTGCCGCTGACTGTGGTTGACTTCATTCCCAGCCAGATCAATAAAATGAGGTACCTGAGTGTCCTTGACCCGATCAGCATGCTCATCTTCCTTGAGGTATTTATCCAAGATAACGTCTGTCGCATCAGATTCGGATATTCGTTCTCCACGAAGCTTCTTGAAGAGCCGGCTCTGGAAAAATCTCGACCAGAATTGTTGCTCGCTAAGTTTAGGAACATTCTCATCGTAGACCCTCTTGACCAGGGGGTGCTGATTGAAGATCAGCTGTATCTGTTCTTTGCTAATGTTTAGCTTCGTAACATTATTGTCCGTGCGCGGTTTCAGTGACGAAAGAACATTGTAAGAGCCTCGCAACTGTGCTCTCTCTATCGCATGCGCTCGGAGTAGATGGACTCGGGTCGACCAGAACTGGGACACAAACTGACTACCTGACAACGACTCAGGTTTCGTGCGGAGAGATTCCATAAACATGCGTTGTAGACTTGGATCGAATTTGAGTAGCGACTGCTGCAGCTCAGCGTCTGCTTTCAGTTTATTATCGTCATCCCATGCAGCTTGTCCCGTTCCAGCCGACGATATCGCATTTGCCATTGCCATCGCTGCTGAAACTCCATCACTTGGTAACCCTTCCGGACCAGGGATGGAAGCAGCTTTCGCTGCTGTGATCGCGACACTGAGAACATCTTTTATTGCGTCGGCTTCTGCGCGGGCATTAGGACCGGGTTTGAATGTGAAGATGTACACGTGCGGCTCTGGAGCGTCATTCTCTTGGGCGAAAATCCGGAGCATTACTTTGGGATTATTTGCAGGTGTCTGCTGTAGATCTAACAAAAAATTCCGTTAGACGAATAAAGTGACAATCCTTGCCATCACATACTGGTCATGCTTTTCACTGCCACCGTCACCGCACCTCCAGCACCACCAGCTGCGGGGATCCATGATATCGAGGTATGATCCTTAGAAACTGTGAGCGTGCCATCCTTCTTCTTGTAAGAGGCAGAGGCAGACGGAGCCGCCATCTCGAGCCAAATAGAGCAGTCGTATTCACGGTGGTGAAACCGGACGTGTGACACTACTTTCCCCACCACCACCTTCCATCGGGAAATGTAGGAATTTTGAGATGGTGGCGATAGAAACCTGTACGGGTAAGTTCTCGTAGGCGAGAAACTGGTGTCCGTGGACCGAATTGCGCGAGGCTGATGCCTCCATTCAGCCTTACGGGTTAAGCTTATTGCGTCACGTGACACATAGCTACTGTCAAACTTTTAACCAGAACAGCATCCAACTCTACGTTGAGAACCAATTTCTATTTCATGGTAATTCACTAATCGATATCAATTGACGTAGAGCTCAGTATGATTTGGGCAAGCCTAATACGCGCTCCCCAATATAGTTACAAATCATTTCTCGACTGACTGGAGCAATCCGAGGGATGAACACCTCACGAAGATATCTCTCTACATGGTACTCCTTCGCATAGCCCATCCCACCATGCACCATAACCGCCCTCTCACACGACTGAAAGGCAGCTTCGGCGGCAAGATATTTTGCAGCATTAGCGTACTCGCCTCCGACGTAGCCCTGGTCGTACATGCGCGCTGCGTGGTATAGCATCAACCGAGCTGCTTCCAGTTTCATCCAGCTGTCTGCGAGCGGGTGCTGGATCGCCTGATTCTGCCCAATAGCACGCCCAAATACTATTCTTTCTCCCGCATAGATTGCTGCCTTCCGCAATGCCGCGTACCCAAGGCCCAATGCTTCGGCGCCGATAAGAATGCGCTCTGCGTTCATTCCATGCAGAATCATTTTGAACCCCTCGTTCTCCTTCCCGACCATATCACTCGCCGGCACTTGCCAATTGTCGAAGAAAAGCGTGTTGGTGTCCACTGCAGCTCGGCCCATTTTAGGAATTTCCGTGATCTTGACTACAGACGAGTCGATATCGGTGTAGAAGAGTGAAAGACCTTGGGATGGCTTCTGCACTTGATCTAGAGGCGTGGTCCGGACGAGTATGAGGATTTTCTGCGCGTTTTGTGCGGTAGAAATCCAGATTTTCTGACCTGATAATACATAATGATCTCCGTTTTTCCGGGCTTGTGATTGCAACTTTAGTGTATCAAGCCCGGTATTTGGTTCAGTGACCGCAAAGCATGCCCTCTCTTTTCCTGCAATCAGTGGCCTCAACCAACGCTTTTTTTGCTCTTCGGTTCCGAATTTGACAACTGGCTCTAGACCAAATATGTTCATATGCACTGACGAAGCAGCTGTCATTCCTCCACCAGATTCTGATATGGTTTGCATCATTATGGCAGCCTCTGCGATGCCTAATTCTGACCCGCCATACTGCTGTGGCATGCAAACACCTAGCCAGCCATTTTGGGCTAAAGCTTGGTGAAATTCAGCCGGGAACTTTTTGCTTTCCTCTTGCTTCAGCCAATAGTCATCTGTGTATGCAGTACATATTTTTGCAATCGCTTCGCGGACAGTCCGTTGGGAATCAGTCAAGTCTGTATCGTGATTCTGGAGATACTCTGTTGCACCTGCATGAACACGCCGTATGGCCTTTCTATCGAGGAGACAAGCATGTGGCCTGGAACGATATCTCAACACAGGCCCTATGCTCGGTGTTCTTAACTAAATAAATCGTTAGTGGCCCATTCTTGCTGGTCATAATTGCAAGGAACAAACAGTAAAGCTGTGCACTAGAGCCGCCATTTCCGTACCTACGGGCCGTTTATCACTGATAGCTACTAGCCAGCCTATTCGAATAGCCCTATCCTATTTAAATCCTATTCCCATTGCTAAATTATAAGCATAAAACTCGTATGGATGAGAACCACATGCTTGTTGTGCCTCGGGCTAGACCCGACGGTACATTTTGAGAGGTTGGACTTCGGCTCCGAAGCCCGAATGGCAGCATAGTTTGTCAAAAGTCAGCTCTATTAAAGTCAAAATGTAATGGAAATAATAAATTGAAATTTCCGAAACCCCGCTTTCTATCTTCTACTTGCGTGCAGTTGTCCTCGCCTCGGTGATTTCGTCAACCAACCTCGGATCAGAAAGTCAATGAGCGAATCACACCAACAGCAAATTGTCTTCGTCCGATTTAGCATAACAGTAGTTTTAATATCGATAATATCATACATATATCTGTACATATCTAGGGTAGCCCGCTATTATATTCCATCGGGAGCAAGGGCCGATGTCCATGAGAAGCAGTCGACCAGCGTCTATTTTAGGGATTTGTGAAAAGAAACCCTGAGCATCTAAATTAATGCTGTCTCAGATCGATGATTGTTCAGATCAGTCTATCTTCCAATATGAACTACCTGATCCCAGTTACCCCTAAGCGGGCTTCTCAGATTGCATCGTCTTTGGTCTTCCGGTCCTACATCCAATTTACTTCACGCCCAAATCATACTTACACTTCGCGTCACAATAATTCTGGTCCTCTTTCCGGAGTCAAAATTCTTGATTTGACCAGAGTACTAGCTGTAATTACCCCTAACATAATGTCATATCAAGAGATACTGTTTTTCTGATATGGCTTCACTAGGGCCCATTTTGCACCCAAATTCTTGCGGATTACGGAGCAGATGTAGTGAAGGTTGAACATCCCAACGGCGGAGTAGGTCGATTCTGTTTAATTTAAAATGCTGAAACTGCAATTGATCTAGATCTTTTTATTAAGATATACTACTCTGTAGGATGATACCCGGCTTTGGCGAGAAGCAGGCGAGGAGATTATTTGGAGACCCGAAGCGACCAACACATCCATCTATTTCAACACTATTAACAGAAATAAGAGGTCTATTGCGGTCAATTTGAAGGATGAAAAGGGTAGAGAGATTATCTTCGAGTTGACTCGCAAGGCAGACGTAGTGTGAGTCATACGAGCACTTTGAAAGGGGAGAGCGTGTCGAAACCTGGCTTCCTGACAATATAAATATCAACAGAGTAGAGAACTTTATTCCTGGGAAGCTGGACAAATTGGGACTTGGGTATGAGGCATTGAAAGCCGTCAATCCGTCTATTATATTGGCGAGCATTTCCGGTTAGTTTACTTCTTCCATTGCAGATATTATGGCAGCTGAATCTTCCTTTGAGGCTACGGTGCCGATGGCCCATTCTCCCGGCGTGCAGGGTACGATGTTATTGGCGCCGCTGAGGGTGGCTTGCTTCATATCACTGGCGAAGCAGACGGCCCTCCAACGAAGCCCGGTGTTGGGTTGATGGACATGTGTACAGGGCTGTACCTCCACGGTGCGATTGTATCCGCATTGCTCGCACGTGAAAAAACAGGAATTGGACAGAAGATAGACACTTCGCTATTCGAAACCACAATTTCAATACTCGCGAATGTTGGCATGTCGTGGATCAATCTCGGCAAGGAGGCGCAACGCTGGGGCACAGCACATCCAACCATCGTTCCCTATGAAGCATTCAAAACAAAGGACTCGTTCCTTGTTGTTGGTGCAGTCAATAATAGGCAATTTAGCAATCTATGTAAACTATTAGGAAACGAGGATCTAGCGAATGACCCTCAGTTTGTTGACAACAATGCTAGGGTCCAGAATCGGAAAGATTTGAAGCGTATACTAGATGGCCTTTTTGTGACGAGAACGACAGAAGAATGGGAGAAAGTCTTTGAAGGAAGTGGAATGCCATATGGCCCGATAAATACATTGGAGAAAGTTTTCTCGCATCCACAGGCTCTTGCTAGGAACATGGTGGAAACTGTAGAGCAAAACGAAGCGGTATCAGGAAAGGTCAAGGTCCTCGGTAAGTGGTTTCTACGATTTTGGCCCTTTTGCCATGCTAAGTCAACTAGGGATGCCGGTCAAGTTCAGCCATTCGAAGCCGTCAATCAGAGAAGGACCACCATTGTTAGGGCAGCATACGGAGGAAGTGTTGCAAGAACTCGGGCTGTCTTCTGACACGATTTTAGAGCTACGCAAGGCTGCGGTTATATAGAATAGAAGATTACTCCTTCAATATTGTGGGTGCTTTTGAAATGAATATTAAACTTTATATAGAAATACAATTTCCTTTTCTCACAAAGAATTTGTCGCTATCTTTCGAACCACTCTTGTGAAAAGCCCAACATGACTTCATCAGTTTCCACCTGTCCTCTAGTACTAATCGTTTCTTGCATTTCTAGAAACATCTGTTGAAAATCAACAATTGGATCAAATGGTGCAAAAGAGTTGCTTGTATATTGATCAAGGCCGGAATACCCTGGCGAAGGAAGTGTCTGTGGTGTCAAACGACGACCGTTAACCGCAGAGTCTCGCATTTCTCCATTAGCAGAGGTCATTGATTGAGGCTCTATGATTGTTTGATTATTTCTAGAGACTGGTGCAGTCTTGTCAGTTTTCTGGTGGAAGCTCGTTGCAACAAGCCCTTTCAGAGCACTCATGCTTAGCTGATTGAAAATATCACAGGAACCTCGTGCATCGCCCCATCTTTCACAGATTGCCGTCAAAATATTGGAGCAGTCGCGAACATCGGATACGACATCAAAAAAAGATGGTAGAAAAGCCATAATTCCCCGCTTTCGTCTCTGTGCGCAACATCCAACGCTATACACGTTGGCCAGACCAGCGATGAAAATCGTATATAGGCAAACCCACGAATAATTCAAATGACGATCACACAAGAGTTCGAAATACTTGGCTAATACAAGACGAGATGAGTTCCATATAATCTGCAGAACATCATCCATATCTTCATATGACTCAAGCCCCTCTGTTGCTGGAAATGTTGCGGATGGTCGGAATAGCTGGAGACAGCCACTGTGATATAAAGCCTGATACCAGCTTGGATGTAGGTAGGAGCATGTGATGGCGGAAAGGCTATCAGCTGGGGGTAGCGGAAGAAGAGAGATATTTTTTCGCCAGTCTTGAAGCTCATTGAAAAGCTCCCTTCTAATGGCTTGTCGCTCATGGAGGGGAAGTACCTGTACAGACCGACTGGTATACATGAATCGATGTATTTTAGATTGAATCTTGCGTAGTAGAATATGCATCAGAAAAGGAGATGTGGCCTGCGAAGATGAAAATGTGTTTGTGGAAGTTTTATCGAGAGCCTCATCATCTGCGGCAGATGGTAATCGTACATGGATATCATCATCATGAAGAGCAAGGGGGCGTCCGAGGGAGATGCTCACAATTCTGCTTTCTCGTTAGTGAAAACCTTCAACGAATTGAAAAATTTGATAAAAGCACTAGCCTTTCCAGGTTATGATAGCACCAAAAGCATCGACGTTGCATTTCCACTTGAACGGAGACAGGTATGGGGCCAGTGACATGCAACTGGCATCTGGGCAGATCTCTCGAAATCTTATGATGCAAGCCGATTTCCACGCATAAACGAGTGGCTTTTCCAAGAACCTCCCACATTTCACTAGAAGTATCACGCAGACTGGCATGAATTCCATATATACAATATAATAACAATGCCTGTAATGATCGTATATCATGTAGGCTAGAGACCTCGTTCAGGCGGATCAGCGCTCTGGCGAAATGAGACTCTACATCGCGATAACTCCATTCGACTCTCTTTGACGGAACAGAGCCCAAAGCCAAGACAATATCGAAGGCGAAGGCACAGGCAGTGTTCTGCTGATAGAAATGCGGGTCGGAATATATGTTTTGTACCATTTGCATGAATCCAGGCCGGTAGAGTAGTGGAAATATGAGGTGCCAATGGGCAAAATACGAGTTGATCAATGGCATCGCCACTTCCTGGTCTACTAACCTTGCGGTTTGAGGGATGGAAGGAAATGCGACTCTATCGAGCATTCGATGGCTATCACTAACTCGTCCAAACAGGCCGCTGGCAGTATGGGAAGAATCAACAACCCGCTCGACGACATCGACGAAATCTACACCGTTACTTGAACCAAGATAGCGGGCTTCTTCGCCGGGCGTTCGCTGAAGAGAGCCGGCTGCTTGCTCCGGTGATTGCTGTGCCCAAGCATCATGGGATTCAGCAACATCGAGCTGATTTGGTGCGCGTTGATCGGTATTGGGTGTTGATTGATGCGACTGGAGGACATTAACTGATATATCAAGGTCTTCTACCTGCGAAGAAGCCCTTCCTCTGAGTTGCTCATTTTCTTTCTCTAGCTCTTTCAATCGCACCTCGAGCGATTTTAGATACTCCTGCTGCAGCTGTCGATCTCGACGTTTATTTGGGTACTGGCATGAAGAACGGCTTTTTATACACGAGCCGCACTCTGGTAGTCGACGATCACACTTGGTCTTACGCGAGTAGCATCGTTCGCACGCATGCATGGCTGATTAGCAGAGGCATGTATTTGTATTAAAGCCGAGAAGACTAAGATGGAGTGCAAATAGAAGCAATGATTGCCTGCTTGGCGGGAAGCAGAAGCTTTTCTGACCAAGGGGCGTAAAGTGCTCGACCTGAGAATGTGGAAGACAGACCTCACTCGTCATACAGAAATATGTCGTAAGGACTGAAAAGGGTCGAGGTGTTGGAGAGAAGGAACCTCTCCGCATTTTGCACGTGACAAGCCAGTTGAAGAGCGGGGTGATACTCCAACAAGTCCAACAAAGTTTATTTAATAATGCCCAATTGGTTATCCATATGGAGTAAGAACTTTATTAGTTATTCTACTGCTTGCTACTAGTCATTTGATTTTCTACTGGTATATTCTGCAGCTGCACCCCATTGATATGGATAGCAAAGTTCTTTGGTGACCAATGGCCGACATCTTGATTATTTTTACATCCACAGTACCACCGTCAACTATGCATCTTCTGTGAATTTCACCATAACAGGGGGCGGAACAACCTTCAATCGAGCTAGATCACGGATAGCGTTAAATGAAGATTCATACGAGTCTACACTTCCCAGGAAGCCAAGTTTCCTTGCTTTTCGCATGCTAAGAGACAAAGGCCAGCCACCGATGACCGCTGAATCTGTCATGGAGAAAATCTGAGCCCGGTTTTTGTCAGTGAATGGATCAAGAACAAGTTCATGTTTCTGGGCAAGCTCAGCCCACGCAGCTTGAACCTCGGACTGTCCAGACCATTCCTGTAAGCTAAAGGTGGAACATGTCGCTCCAAGAGGACCGTATCTGAGTGGTTACGATATATTGTTAGCTTTAGATAGATTCATCTCAAGGAAGTGGTAAGAATACCCTCGAGGTGTCTGCACATGTCTTGACACGTTGACGCGGTACTTGGACTTGTCCTCCTCCGGAGCCTTCCACCCCGTTCCATACCAGCTGGCCAGGTAAGCCCAGAAGCGCCCCCATGTAAAAGGGAGGCCGTCCTGAATGTTGAAAGCCTCGTTGGCTGCCCTGTCTGTCAAGGCTGCCCATTCTTCAAAATAGGCATTTAGCAAGGCAGTGCTTTGACAGTACTCACGATCCCAGGCCGTATAGTCACCTGGAAAGGCGAGAGGCCGATGCAAATGTGCTTGAACTGCTCCATATATAGCTAGGCCAACCATGTGATTTAGTGCGCTATCACGTACTGCACCTATAATATATGAAGGGCGAACAACATTCCAGCCGACACCGGTATTCTGGCAATAGTCGAAAAGCGCGTCTTCCTGAGGATAATAGAAGTTGGATTCTAATGAAATCCTTGGATCAGATTCAAACGATGGGCTTGTAGCAGGCCCAATGTGGAATCCATAGTGCTTAGCTCCAGTCTGCAGCAAGAAACGCTTTGGTTGCAGGCTTGATAGTCGAAGAGCACCAATGAAGTTTTGTATTAGGGTTGCTAAAAAGTTCATGTCAATTACATCAATTTATACCCCCAGACTTGAGATAGTTTGTTGTTCTTACCATTGATTCTAGCTAGTTCATCTGCATCTGACCACATGCCCAAAACCTGGCCTTCCTGTTGAGGCTGCATATATGCGAAAAAGAAGACGTAGTCACTAGGTTCTTAGCAGACTCTTAGATTACTAGAAAAACCAACGTACACTTTTTGGATCACTTTCAGTCGGTTTGCAATAGATGACTGCTCTCCAAGAAGATCAACGGAAATATGCTCAACTCGCTTGGCTCCCTCGCCCAAATCATCGAAAAAGTTGCTGGGAGGTGTTCGGCGGGATAGGCAATAAATTTTGCTCCATCGCTCTGGTGCAGCAGCAAGGACACGTACCATATGATATCCCGATATGCCATTAGCGCCGGTGACCACGGCAGTCAAATTCGAAAACGATTCATTCTGGGGATAAGTGGGCAAGCCATGGAACAAGCCTTGTGACTTAACGACTTGAGAGGCAGCCATGATAGATTACTTGGTGGAAGGGGATATTTTTCGTGTTGCGAAGGGAAATGACCAAAAGGTTATCCAGCCAATAATGAGCATGTTTATACATGTTGCTCTTCCTCAATTAAAGTACACCCCGGATCTCTTTCCCCGCATTTTGACGCTCCCTGAGTTCGGCCCCGAGCCCCGATATGGGGAACTCTTTACGTCGGATGTGCGCCGAATCGCCTTGATGCTTATATAATCATAGTTTTCAAAGAGCTTTCACACTTTCTGTTGGAAAATGAAGAATGGGAATCCGAAGAGAAAAATATTTTTTAAATTGAAGTATCGACAGATAAGGCAATATAGGCACAATACATTACTTAATACGTTGATTTTCCAAGCCTTCATTTCTGATTTGAGACCCAGGTAGTCCTCAAACCCAAATTGTTCTCCGAATTTATTTTGAGAATTGTTGCACATTTGATATTACATCGTGTTATACATTATCAGATGCAGATTTTTTAACATGTGTATTTCATCATTATGTACCTTTATATTTAAATCAGGTACATGATGGTCATTGACAATGAAAATGTACTACGTGGAGCGTAAGGTGCGCTCTCATTGGTCTATGTAGCACTTTGGTATTCCAATGTAATTTACCCCTCTGTTCTCATTGATCAGAGCCCCGGTCTTGTTCATTCAACATCAACATGTGTTTTGTTGACACACGCTAAGGACGCAATCCGTGGCTGCCTGGAAAATCTGGTCGTCAGCCTCAATATTAATAATTACTGATGACTTCTTTCCTTATCCTCCTGTACTTACTTGCGATTCTATTGTGTAGAGCGATTTCCCGTTTCGTATGTCCATTTTCGGGGTCACTGTCGCTTGTTTACATGTAATTTGTTTTATTATGCATGGACAAAACTAGGGCTATGCTCGTCACGAGACGGAACCAAACAACAACCGTATTAGCCATACCTGGAATATTCTGGCATCATGCACAGCTGAATTCAAATGATTATAGCTTTAAGATCACCTTTCTCGCCTGATGTTTTTCAAATATCTCATATGCCTTGGGTGCCTCTGCTAAAGGCATACGATGGGTAATAAAATCTGCAAATTTATCTTGATTTTCGGCGAAAACCTTGAGTGCTTCCCCAAATACCGGCCGGACTGCGGCGCGTCCCATATTAAGGCTGGAAATTGAGAATCAATAAGATTAGTCTAGAAGGGCAAAAAGAAATTAGGGCTTACTCGATGTTCTTTGAATATGCTTCAAACCCAGAGAAAGGAAGCTCAGACTGATGAAACCCAATCGAAGATATAGCACCACAGGCTCGAACGACGTCAAATGCCAGTCGCAATGCTGACTGGTTCCCCACGCTTTCAACCACTGCATCGGCACCTCTACCATCTGTCGCAGACTTCACAGTTGCTAGAACGTCATCTGTTTTTAGGTTCAAGGGCAACGCGCCCATCTTTCTCGCTTCTTCTAGACGATCCTCCACAGAGTCAACTGCATAGACAGTGCCAGCTCCCAGAACCTTGGCTGTTAAAACTGCGCAAACCCCAACCGGACCACATCCAAGACAAACAACCACCACTTGACTGAGAGGTTGCTGCCGAAAAGAGGGCCGCAGTGCAGATGGTGTGTGTAATATGTCCCCAACGATTGATTCCGCCGTCTCTTTCCCGAGTTTCAATTTCATTAGGGCTTTCATCGCACCGTAGTACCCAGTAGGGAAGATATCACACATAATAATCATCCGCTCATCGCTGACTTCGTCCGGAATAGCCTCGAGAGTGCTTTCAGCATAAGGCACTCGCACATATTCAGACTGGCCACCGTCAAGCGCCATGCTCCCAAATGAAGGGCCATTGACGCATCTGTTGGTGTATCCATGCTCACAAAACCAGCATTTCATACTATGCCCAATTAGTTCTGTAGCAGCCAGCTTCCTGTAAATTTTATTATAGATCCACCTACCACATAGGGGAAAAAATAGACATGACTTTCTGTCCAATGCTGAACCTCCTTACCGCTGTTCCAATTTCCTCAACGGTTCCTATAAACTCATGGCCCTATTATTTGTTTTTATTAAGCAGATACATCTTTAAGAGGAGGATTCTGTATCATTTACCATGATATGCCCGGTAGTTGTCTCCTGATGACCGCGATACATATGTAAGTCGCTGCCACATATGCCCGCAAGCTGAACCTTCAAAATCGCATCGCATTCGTCGATAATGACGGGCTTTGGCTTTTCTTTGACAACGATATTAAAAGGACCTTCATAGACTACCGCTTGCATGGTTTCGGTATTCACGAATATTGATTATCTGCTAGTTACTTTTCGCGCATAAGATAAGTGACAACAGCTAATCGGACTCTACTAAGGCACATCAATCTTATTTGAATTAAAATAATTTCGCTTAGATAAAAACCCGACACCAACCAACAACTCTTGCGTACGCATCCCCTCTTTGTGGGGTTTGCACAGAGACTGGTGAGGATTGATGTAAGTTCGGGCCAATTCTCCGACTGCTGGGATGTTTTATAGCCGAATAGAACCGACCAACACAGAGATTGGCGCAGTTAGCTCAATTTATTCAATACCTACTGATATGCCGCCGCTTTCTCCATCGTGATTTTCTCCTGCAGGCAGATTGCTACCATTAGAAATATTACGCAATGTTTAGTACCCAAAAAAGAAAGCTGTTTCCTACTAACAATAGAATAAATAGAAAACCTTGAGCAGAGTCGTCGCCAACAAACTGGCGATCTCACAGCGCAGTCATTAGTATTTATAGCTTCATACGTGCAATTCTTCCTGATAAGCTATCACGTGTGATACCTATGATACCTGCATCAAAAGTACAATCTTCCCTTCGCGTGTCTGTCTTTTACTAGCCATCTCATATGCTTCACAAGCTTTGTTAAATGGGAACGCCTGCGCAACAAATCCCTTAAGCAGTCCAAGCTCCGCTAAAGTAGCAATTTTCTTCAACTGGACATTGGACGGCTCCACAATGAAATCGAGAGCCTTGACTTTTTCCTTTCCTCCTGCGAGTAGAAGTGTCGTATGTTTCTCAACAAACCCCAAGCTTGAAGAATCAACCGTGATCAAGCAGCCCTCGTCCTTTACAAGGCGCCAGCAGCTCTCCAGGTACTGCCCCCCTACTGTATCAATAATGATGTCATATTCATTTCTCTTGTCGAGTAGGTCCTCATACTCCACCACTTGATCGCCGCCAAGGGAACGAAGGAATCCTGCATTCCGGGCCTTGGAACTCGAAGCAGTCGTCACGTGGAGCCTGGATAGGGCTCCCAGTTGCACGAGATAAGAACCGACCGCTCCGGATGCACCCGTAACCAGAAGTTTAACCAGTGGGCTTATCTTCTTGGAAATTGAGCTATTGGCTTCATGATTGGTGATTGGACGAAACGTAGGGTCAGGCTCGGTAACTCCTGCATGGACATATAGGGCTTGCCAGGCAGTCAATGCACTCATTGGGACCGTTGCCGAGCTCGCCCAATCTAGGTTCGCGGGCTTGCGCGCTACCTCATTTGCACTAACAACTGCAAACTCTGCCCATGTTGACCCCTTTCCAGTTGCTGCAGTCATGCCGTATACATAATCTCCGATCCTTAACATCTGCCCATTGTCAAGGATGTTATTATCGAATACAGAGACCACCTCCCCCGCAAAGTCATGTCCCAAAGACAAACGGTCTGACTGATAAGTCTCGGGCCAAGTCAGTTCATCACGAGTCACCGTAGCAGCATGTACTCGGATCAGAATCTCTCCCGGTTGTTCGAGCTGTGGTATTGGCACCTCGTTTTCTAAGTGTAGGGCGGATGGAGGAGCCGGATTATCTGCAGAATATGGCATGGATTCGACGGCATCTGAAGCTCGTTGAATGCGAACAGCTCGCATCTTCGTTTGACGCATCGCCATTGCGTGCTAAGAGTTTGTTAAATTGGAATAGCCTACAGGGCGCGAACGTGGAATTATCAGTATTCTTTGCGAGAGAGGACGGTAGGAAAGAGGAAAGATTTGAGCTTTAATATGCCATCAGCCAGTGTTTGAGAGCAACATTTGCAATTTGCTATAGAGGGCCGGATATTAGACACTACTAGCAGGGAGGGGCATGTCGTGATATATACGAATCATAATTGAGGCGATCCACAATTTGATTATCCACTTCATACCTGGCCAAATCGGGTGCGTTGCCGAATACCCGCACTCTCAATTGATGTAGTTAATGGATAGCCTACACGGGATACAGATCTACGAGTACCCGACGACAAAGCGGATATTGGTTAAGTATTTGATTTAAAAGAGCCCATCGCCCACCTCTAGTAAGCTAAGTCAATCCTCAAATATCACAAATCCGTGATCAAGTACTCCACAAAAACATACTACTGAAGCTTTTTGGGGGAAAAAAATGGATACGATATCCAAAGAAAACCGGTAGGCCGGTCTGGTCAACTTGTGGCAAAGACATAATAACCAAAGTTCTTGTAGTCTTCGCCCGCGAGAGGAGGTCAAGGTACTCTACGACCACGAACTCAAAAATGCTCCTGGAAAGTCCATAATCGGCCTGGAGATAGAATATTCTCCAAATGGATTCACACCTCCCCACCGACACGGTGGAGCTACAGTGGTTGCGTTTGTGACTGAAGGAAGCATACTTAGCGGTATGAATGGCAATCCTCCCCGAGTCTACGAACCAGGAGAAAGTTTCATGGAGCTGCCGGGATGTCATCACACAGTCGCAGAGAACAATAGCAAAACCCAGAGAGCAAAATTAATTGTTGTGCTTGTTGTGGATACTGAGGTGGTAAAGAAGTCAGGCTATGAGGGCCTTACTGTCCTCGATGATGGATGGGAGTAGTCCAAACATAGCATAATGTTGCAAATAAAAATGCACACAATATTCCCAGGAACAACTCTACCCAAGTGGCAAGGTATGGTGGATAACTCACCGTCTACTAATTTCCCTGAACTACTCAGTTAACCAATATCGGCACCTGCCGGCCGCCGAAAACGAGATACCTTGTTTTGGTTTTTCCGCAGAAAATAACGCTCTATCCCGATTAATAGAAATAATAACACATTTTGTATGTATTCTGGCGTTTACCAATGTCACTTTTTCTATAACTGTAGAGTAACTGCACATTTAATCAAACCCACTGGCTTTCGCAGGATTATAAAGTCTTACTTCTAAATCTAACCTCTAAGACAAGCTGCTTTAAAGAAATAAAAAATTTTTGACTATTGGCATCGCTCGATCCCACGACATGTGGATGTGTTGCAATAGTTAGTTTTAGCAATGGCGTGAAATTTTCGTATAGCTAGTTACATGCCCATTGATACACGGTTGGATGGCTGTAGTGAGAAACTCCGCAAGGTGTACTTTCGTTCGCCAAGAAATTCACAAAATGTCATCGTTCTCGTAGCCATGATGTGTAGAGGTCACTAAAATCAAGATAAATTCATAAACTAGATTCAAAAACTTATCATAAATTTCAAACTTTAATACCCGGTACAGATTCGCCGTGAGTTCGGGCCAATTCTCCGTCTACGGGGATATTTATAGCCCGAATAGAACCGACCAACATGAATTCATATTAGATTGAGGGGAAGACGGCAGTAAGTGAAAACACATCAATCTCCATACTTTTTCATGAAATTTACTACATCTTATTCTTGAAGAACGTATCGCGTTGCTTGAACAATCATGTCTGCACCTACGATTCGCTCCGTAGCGGAGCTGACAAAACTCTATATCAATGGCAATTACGTAGAGGCGAAATCCGGACAAACCTATACCATATACAATCCTAGTGATGAGTCAGTGGTATCTGACAAGATTCCGGTCGCAGGCAAGGAAGACGTCGATGCAGCTGTCGTCGCAGCAGAAAAAGCATTTCATGGGCCGTGGAGCAAGTTCACTGGTGCTGAGAGATCTGCGTGCCTGCGTAAACTGGCTGAAATTCTTGATGAGAATGATCGCCTGGTCGATATCCTAACTCTTGACTCACTTAGTACCGGAAACCCGGTGTCAATTATCCCAACCCGGGAAAAAAATTATATCATGAGCCAACTGTTATATTACGGTGTGTAACACCCCTGAGACTTTACAGATAGCCAAAAGTCTGATGACAAGCAGCTGGATGGACGGACAAGCTGCGTGGTGATTATCTCCCTGATGATGATGGTTTTGTGAAACTCGTACGACATGAGCCTCTTGGGTATGTGCCTTGTCAATAGTCTAGTTTCTAATCCATCAAGTCTAACGTTCAAATTTAATTAGTGTCTGCGCTGGAATAAACCCATTCAATGCGCCAGTGGCAACCTTAATCATGAAAACAGCCCCTTGTCTAGCAACAGGAAACACTATTATCATGAAACCATCAGAATATAGTCCCCTCGGCTCTTTAGCAATTGCACCTCTCTTTGAAGCAGCTGGCTTTCCCAAAGGTGTTTTTCAAGTTGTCACCGGTGCTGGGGATACAGGTGCATTGCTTGCGGGGCACATGAGAATCAGAAAGGTACTATTCACCACAATGTCTCAAAATGTCAACATGCTTAGCATCTCCTTAGATAAGCTTCACCGGAAGCGTTGCTACAGGAAGAAAAATCCAAATTGCTGCCACGCAAAGCAATTTGAAACGGGTGACCCTTGAACTAGGTGGAAAAAGCCCGGCAGTGGTGTTCGAAGATGCTAATTTAGATAATGCGCTCACCTGGTAGGCTGAATCTTATAGACATTCCTCCGGTATTGGAAGCACGTTGATAGTGACAGGACAATAAACGCAATCCTCGCGCGTTCCGGACAGGTTTGTGTTGCGGCATCTCGGATCTACGTGGAGAGGTCAATTGCCGACAAGTTCATCGAGGGTTACAAGGAGCGCATGAAAGCCGCGGTAAATAATATGGGCAATCCTCTTAATAAGGCGAACTCCATGGGGCCATTGGTAAACAAGACGGCATTTGAAAGAGTCACCAAGATGATTGAGAGAGGAAAAGCCGAGGCGGAACTTGTTGTTGGAGGAGTGCGTCACGGTGATCAAGGATGCTACATTGAGCCCACAGTTTTTTTGAACCCCCAGAAAGATGCTCAAATATATAAAGATGAGGTATTCGGTCCAGTTTCAGTGATTAAAACTTTCGAAACCGAGGAAGAAGTTTTGGAAATGGCCAATGATACTGAATTTGGCTTAATGTCTGGTGTTTTTACCAAAGACATCAATCGAGCATTGAGGTTTTCTTCTAGACTGGAATCGGGCGTGGTTGGTGTCAATTGCGTGAGCATTGTAAGTGGAAGGTTCATGATTGACAGATGGTTGCTAACACAACTGGCTTCTTAGATGAACGTCCAGGTTCCTTTCGGAGGGAAGAAGGCATCCGGGTTGGGCAGAGAATTTGGTGAATATGCAAGTCTTCATTTTCTAGTACTTACCATAATATATGGACTAATGCTTTACTAGGCTTTGCGAAGTTTCACAGAGCCCAAAACTGTTCTTATCAAGTAGGTTAATTTCCCCGTTGCTGAGAATACTACTTATTCTCTGAATAGTATGAACTCTTAAGACTTTGATTAGCAAAGAATACCTAGTTATGGGTAGCAATATATATAAGAGCACACTGCTAGTAGTCTGTATAGTATCAACTAAAGTTTCGCTTTTCGTGCCGCATAGTATTTGTTCTAACTACAATGGCTACTGAAAGTAGACATATTGCACATGAATTGGAACTGAGCCTTGGAAGTTTTCAGCTATCCCCAAAGTCAACTTTACTACATTACCCTCCTTTTGCTTGTCTTGTCACAACTAGAATGGCCCTTAAAGAGAACGACTGTATATTTAGTTCGAGCTCAATTTCAGTCTTTCAATCACTCCAGCTGGCCATGGGTTTTGATTTGTCTGACCCCGCTCGTCGCCCCTCGGGCTTTTGGGCCGAAAGCAACGGCCTTCATTATAAGGTTTTTACCCCAGTAAAGATCCCGGGGCTTAGGGGGCTTCCCGATTGGGAAATATGATAATGCCCTTTTGAGAGGGCCAATAACGGCCCCTATTGTCAATCATTTGGCAATTATATGCTCTTCTTCAAATCTAATACTTTTTGGTCCAGATATTTCGGGCGCGATATCCGATGATATCGGAGACCGTCTCCAGTCGTCCATCGAGCTTCGGACTTAAGTTGGCGACGAACGGTGAGGCCCGTACAAGTCACTGCGGCCGATAAAAACAAGTGATATCCCTAGTTTAGGGACTTAAAATCTAGAGAGTGTAGTCCACGGTACATATGTACTTAGCATACTTATACCACTGTCACAAATCATCAACCAGACACACGTACCCTAACTAGAATGGCGTCTCCTAGCACTCGCCAGGTGAGCGCATTCAATCTTGCCGTAAGTATACAGACCATTCTTAGCCATAAACATTCTTATTCTCACACCTATCAGATTGTCCTTGCCCTTTGCTTCGGCAGTTTAACCTACGGGTACTCTTTTAGCATCACTTCCACGACGCTGGGCCAGCCTTCATTCTTTGAATATTTCAATCTGTCTCAAGACACTACAGCACCAAGATATGCCTATACAAATCGTGTTATTGGGGGTTTAAATGGGTGTTTCTCTGGCGGAGGCTTTCTTGGTGCTTTAGTCGGCGGTTGGGCTTGTGATGCGCTTGGTCGCAAGAAGACACTTCTATTAGCTACCCCTATCGCTATCCTCGGCGGCGCGTTACAAGGAGGAGCAGTGAATATTGCAATGTTGCTCGTTGGTCGAACCTTGGGCGGTTTTGCAGTGGGTAAGCTTTTAAAGCCTGTTCCGTTTACTTTATATTTTTCGCACAGACAGGCCGATTGATCTAATCTTGATCCCCATTGCAGGAATTCTAATGGTCCTCATTCCACTTTTTCAATGCGAGATTGCGCCTCCGGCGGCCCGTGGATTTCTCGTATCTCAACACGGTATGTTTTATTCTATGGCTTCATGAGGCGAATGCATAGCTGACTGGCCAGGCGTTGTGATCGTCTTTGGATATTCCGTTGCTGCATGGGTCGGCTTTGGCTGTTTCTATACAACCAAACCAGCATTTCAATGGCGATTCCCACTTTCTTTGCAGTGCCTTTGGCCGCTAGTTATGTTGCTTCTGACACCACTTCTACCTGAATCCCCCCGTTGGCGTGAGTGATCTCATTCTACTCATATAGGACTGTCAATGCTGATTAGATGAAATCAGTTCTAATGCAAGGTCGTCAGCAAGAGGCATGGGATATCGTAGAAAAGCTACACAACAGCGATAAGGATGACTCGAGAGTATCGTTTGCTAGGGAAGAGTTCTACCAGATGACAAACCAGGTCTCTGCAGATCAAGAAATGGCTAGCTCCGAGACGTTAACGACTTTATTTACAAAGAAATCTTATCGAAGACGTATGTTGTGTGCATTCATGACTATGTTCGCATCAGAATCAACAGCAATCTTGGTTATCTACAATTACAGCGTCCTTCTATATGAAGGGCTGGGCTTTAGCAGCAATATTTCCCTGCTGTTGGCGGCGGCTTATGTTACTGTGGCATGCTGTGGGAATTACATTAGCTCACTCTTAATGGACCATGTCGGTCGTGTGAAGCTGTTGAGTATGTTTAGTACGTTTGACTCGAGAGGAAAACTAACTGCTTCTAGTCACTGGTATTTCCGGTTGTCTGATCTGTCTCATCTTCGAAGCGGCGCTGTCAGCCCGCTATATAGGGACAGAAAACTCCTCGGGACTAGGCGCTGGAGTTTTTTTCCTATTCCTTTACATTTCATTGTGAGTCTTCTTTCCGCATTATATATGTAAAGAGAGTCTCTAATTTACATGTATTTGAAAGCTACGGCTGCTGTATTGATGCCACCACGTACGTCTACTGCACGGAGATTTTCCCGACTCACATTCGCTCGCGAGGCATGGCATGGTCACTGGCCGTATTGTTCGGTACTACGGTTGCCTACCTGATCCCTGCTCCAACAGCATTTGCACAAGTTGGTTGGAAATACTACCTTCTTTTCATCATTTTAAGCGCGATAAATATACCGATCATATGGACTTTGTTTCCGGAGACCAAGGGGCTTGCCTTGGAAGAGGTCGGCGAGAAATTTGGCGATGATGTTATTGTAAAACTCACCAATATTACTACAGAACAGAGGGAGCAACTAGATGATGCTATCAGGGCCGATAAAAGCAGGTTGGAAAGTACACATGTTGAACGGTTACCTGTGTAGTATTCCAAGGGGGGGTGTATTCGGTTCTACACTTACGTTCGATTTTAGGAGATTAGTTTTTAATATGCCGGTAAAAGACTTATAACTATACCCTGCAATTCTCCGCATTATCACTCAAAGTACTTCTTCTCTCTCATAAACTTAGTAGCAACATCTTTATCATGCCCAAACACAAGCCTAGCATTGAACAGCCTCTGTAGCCTACGAATCATATTCAAACTGCGAAACCAGGCATTATGATCTCGCGCCAAACCTCCGTGCGGATGGCCCAGCTCATAATTTTCAGCAACGTGAAACTGATCCGTCGTCCAAATAAACGTTCCATCATGCTCCAAATTGACCTGCATAATACACAGTCCCGGCGTATGGCCCGGTGAGTGATGCAGCGTGATACCCTGGAAAAGATCCAGATGCGATTCCGTGAAGGTATTCCATTTTAGCCTGTCGAGAAGCATGTAATGGCCCAGATACACGCCGAGATCGGCGCCGGTGGCGACGGCCCAACAGGCATGCTTGAACTCTTCTTCGTGGACGTAGATGGGCACATCGGTGTCGACGAAATGCTCAAGACCGCCTGCGTGATCGAGGTGCAGGTGGCCGATGATGACTGCTTTGACGTCCTTGATATCATTGCCAGTGGCCCTGATTGCGGCCGGTAGTTTCTTCTCGTCGGAATACTCAGTGCGAGGAAAGATGTCGGTTAGCGGAGCACCCCATTTCTACTTAATTTAGCATATTGACATGGTATAAACGAGAATCGGGATATACGAACCACATCGAGGTCTTCTGCACAGCCAGTCTCGTACAGAATTAGCCCTACTCCCGGATACTCAATCAAGGTCGACAAAATAATCAGCTCCCGGCGTTTATTCTCAGGGTTTTTGTTTGATAGAGAGCTCGTATTACCACCACGAAAAATCCTATGCTCTTGTAAGTAAACCCATGAATCTCCGATATTACTAGTACATACCACGACTCGTCCGCTTCCAAGGTGCCCAAATCCAAGATATGCATTTTAGTCCCAGTGGGACATTTGAATCCGGGAATAGCTGCCGGGACTAGAAGGCTGGCAAGGTCTGCAGAGGAACTCATGATTTCAAAACCAAGGAGGAGTATTACTGGTCTTTGAGGATGGCAAAGGTATAAGAAGAAAGTGAAGCTGGTAATCTCGCACTAGTAATGATTTGAGTAATCAAGTTGTGTGCTCAGTTTTGACAGCCTAATAACTTGATTGTAAATTTGGGGTTTATAAGCGTCTTTTATCTCTCGCGTGGCTCAGTGGCTAATTGGGTAGATGATACTCGTGGCTTTGATACCAGTCTCCATGGGGCTTGTATCGGACGGAATGCCCGAAGAGCTTAGGATAACTCCCTGTGCTCTCATCGGGCAAAATGTCCTTGCCGGACTGCAACCCGGACATATAACAAGAATCGGATAAACCCCATTTTATTATCTTGGTTAGGCGGGAAATCAAACTTGAAAGATGCTCATCCGGTTGTTGCTAGCGTAAAGATGTCATCTAGGCAAAGTAGGATAATTTGAATATTGGTAGAGTTTAAATTGAGAGTAGTTGGTAGGTTCATTCTAAACTGACCATAAGTAAATAAGTTGACCAAAACAGTTTTAATTGCTAAAACACCATTCACCAAAGCACTCAGTAACAATAACAATAACCAATTACTTGCGAACCCCAATAACGCTAGAGCAACGCCAGAGAGGTATTTTAAAAATGACAGTTTCATAAAGCATCCAATCCATCATCCCATAGAGTCGTCAAAAACTTGCCAAACGCTCAATAGATGCATAGTTCACGCCATCACAAATGCATGCTGGGAATATGGCCGTATAAGAATAGACATTTTTGATTCGCAGAAAGAAATTCAACTGAAGAAAAGAATTGATCACTTTTTGAACATATAGTGACCGTAGATGCCTCCAACTTCGCCAACCGTGACCGGGATCTTTCTCATTCCCCACCAACGGGCGCCCATTTTCCACCAACGCGAACCATCGTCTAGAGGAGCCTCAAGAGTCTGGTCGGTTTTCACTGGCTCTCTCACGTACCAGCCTCGGCGGCCGATTTCTCTGACCACCCACCCATTTGAGCGTCCTGATTTTGTTCGGTCACGCAGGGGAGCGATTAGCTTATCACTCAACTCAATCACCTCCAGCGGCATACTTCGTGGAGAGACAAGGATAAATTTATTAGGATTGAAGAGAGTCGCCAGTGAAATATGAGGGCATTTGCTCAAGTCCAAATAGTGAAGAGATGGTGGTTGCCACTTCTTTTCGCTAGTAGTGCCAGCCTCATCATTAGCATTTGGTTGTTCGACGGGCATGAAGAAAGAATTCAGATCGCTGGGAGATAGATCCGCTCCACTAAGACCTAACTCCTCCAGATGCTTGGTCAAAGGAAGCAGTAGTGGAACATGCTCGGGTACAATCCGTGCACCATTCAAGTTGAGAGACCGGAGGGATGATCGGAGTTTCGGGAGCAAAGCTGTCACATCGTCTGCCTCCAAAAGTCGATACCGAGATGGGTCGGTCATCAGATTGAGGTACACCAGAGACTCGGTAACGGCAGGATGCGTGGTCAAGAATTTCACAACTTGAGGGCCTGATAGGCGCAAGCATTGCGAAAGATTCAGATGCGTCAGCTGAGCAGTATCCGGAAGGGTGAATAGGGCTGCCTCAGTGATTTGGGTGCGTCCGAGGTCCAAATGGGTCAGGTTAACAAGTCGTGGAAGAAGGGTCGCAAAAACGGCGGGTGAAAGTCCGCTACATTCGTGCAGGGACAACCTCTTCAGTTGCGGCAAGTATACTGGGATATCCGCTGGGGCCTTGAAGGCCTCCAGGAAGTCAATCGAGAAAGCTTGGGACGAACAGCCAACAAAGTCCACAGCCCTCAAGTTAGGCAGACCACCGAATATCTTCTGAACCACTGCATTGTTGATGTCTGTCTCAAGGTGTTCTTGCAGCAGGCATTCCATCAGGTCTGGAAACAAGTCCAAGCATTGCAAAAGTGTCTTCGAGGTCAAGTTCTGGATCTCAGCGTTCATTTGCCGTGTACGACCGAGTCCTACAGAGGTAAAGTGAGAAAAGTCCAGACGTCGAACAATAGTTCCCAATGCCGGGTAGTTGTTGATATGCTTTAGTAGCTTAGAGAAAATAATAGAGTGGGGAACAGTGATATTGCGATAGAGCACGCTTAGAGTTGCCGAATGAAAAGTGCGCGATGTCAATAGACATGCAACGAGGTCGACATTGCGGGGAGTATAGCCATTTGGCGGCAGGTCCACTGCCAAATAAGATATGATTTGTACTGGAGAGTGGTTAGATAGGGGTAGTGGAACAAACAGGAGCAAACATACTGAGTACTTCAACGGGCAATTTTTCAATGGTAACCCGAGGGTGCTTGAATTCTTGTTCAGTAAGAGGCTCCCTAAGGGCTGGGCGTCCATTACTTGTATCCCAAACCCAGTCGCTTGACGAGCTTCTAAAGTCTAGACGGCGTAAATCCCCATAGCTCTTGCTTGCCTTCCTCCCTCGAAGACGTATGTGCTTCCAGCCCATGAAGCCACCGCATGGGCAGCAGAAGTCGGGCATGCGGTCGACGGCAGCAGTCATATCGACGGATGTGCCAGGCGACGTTGGTGTTAGGCGAGTATCAACAAATGTTTGGGCAATCCCGGTGGTGTCTTCCTTGACGGAGCCGAATGAGCCGCGGCGGGCGCTGTTGGACCTAGATTGGGACCTCGAGGGAGACTGAGATGAGTCCCTGGAGGAATCCCAGCAGGTATCGTCGCTTTTAACTTTGGAGCGCAACTGCTTCTCTGGGGTAAATGGACTGGGGGGAAGGTTTGGCGCACCCATGGTGACAAGCCACCCCAAATCGGGGGATACTCTCTTTATGCCGGAGGAAATCTGAGAATAATACTAGGGCGAATTTTTTCTGCTTTTTCCCCCGGATTGCACGGATGAATCAGTCAATAGTCACACACAAACGAATGAGAGGAGGGGCGGCGAGGAGTTAGTTGCAGGAAGTTGGGAAATTGTTAGTCACAGAATTCTCGTGGATGGAGAGGCGGCGCGGTTGCCGTCGGACCCAGCACAGCCTGCGCGAATGGCAACAGCGGATGGCGCCAGCTTTAATAATATGATTCAATCCCTAATGACTACTAGTCCATTATTAATTAATCCTTCTTAATTATTCTCGATAGTCTGCTTATTCTAATTGCTGCCGCTCATCCATACTGCTCGGAGTCGACAACCGCCGGCACGCAGCCATGGCTGGAGTCAAACCTTGATTCTCTTTCTGTTCCAGAATTCATATTGCGGCCTCTTTGATGCACTATCACGTAGCTACTCAGTACTAGTCATTGCCACTACTGGAAGCAAGCCTTGGCGATCTGCCTGCTCATTATCTGGCCAGGCACTGCTCTATCCGTACCGTATAACCGTGTCACTGATTAAGCTCTGATAGAACCTCGTGGCAACTAGCCTTATCCGTTGACGCAGCATTTCCTTTCATTCCCACTCGGATGAACCCATGCAAATTATCGTATTGATGCATTAATATTGTATTACTAACAAACAAACATGCAAACAGAATAGTAAACGATTCCCATTATCACATAGAAACAGATGGTGGCATATGGTGCAATTCTGGTCGTCGCTGCTTGATTCCATGACATAATCGAAACCGCAGGGTGGCTCCACCTCGCTGGCGGGCTTTCTGCTGTCATTCAGATCATGAGACCTCGTCATGCCATCTATCACATCTGTCGTTGACTCAGACTGTGCTCATCTATTCCAGCCTGTCAGGACAGTACGAATACGCATTCGTCCGCCATGCCTATCCTCTCATCGTCGTAACATACAGCCATGGCAAAAGAAAAAAAATATGCGTGGCGACGTCAGAAGGCCCAGAACCGCAGAGATTTCTGCCCCACGCGGCGGTTGCGCGGCCACTCACAGCCGCCCGCCTGGATCTATTAATATAGCCTCTTTACCCCAGAGTAGCCCTGGCCAATCACATTGCCTGCACGCACAAGGATGCATGGCCGTGGTGCAGGCTTACCTAACAGATACTCCTCTGCTTTCCCCTTGCGACTGCAGTCGGCTCTGCAGGCCAATCACGGCTCTTCCTAGGAGATCATGCCCTTGAAATGCTTCTTAGCGCGGAGTTAGTGTTGTGGTTACCCCGGATTCTGAAGAACCGGTCTGTCAGCTGACCTTCTTTCTCTTCTTCCTGAGGACATAGTCGGTAGATTGAGTCGCTGGTCTAGTATGACTAATTTAGTAGCTACTACGATGCTGACAGTTTGCGTGTATAGTGTCAGGGACATATGGTGTCACCACTGAAGGCTGCAGATCCCATATCTAGCCACCTAGTTACTCCGTACGTAGTTTGCACACCCCATACATAAAACGAACCTGCAGAAGGATCCGGCTGGGCGAGTCTAGGGAGCTAGCTGGTCGGCGCTAGCAAATCACGCGATCCAAGCTCCAACCTGGTGGCCCAATACCACATACAATGCAATTGTTAATTATTAATGAAGACCGGCTTCCTGCGGCATTCTAGTCACGTGGAGCGTCGTCTAGCTTGTCCTTCTGGGTGAATAATGCAGTTGTATACTGTACAAAGGATTTCTGCGTATGCTTCTATCAATACAACAAATGGATAACATAACTCAACACGGTTAAATATAAACAGCAAATATAACTCCCATGCGTTCATCATCGTAGTAGTGTAGAAGTCGAGACTAGAGCACCTTAACCTTATTTTGCCGCCGTCCGACCACGCTTCATGTTCTCCTTGCAGTCGGTACAATACCATTTCACTAGAGAGAGAGGCCAGATTAGCTTGATAGTCTCATAACTTTCCAGCCCAAACTTACCATTCCGGCCAGGAGGCTTGGTGAGCCCCACACATGACAGGTGGAACCACTCCGTCGGGCAGGCATCATTATCACACGCTACCATCTCCCCAAAGCTGACCTGGTGGCAAAAACAGTATCGAGGCTCGCTCTCATCCTCTTCATCGTCGCCTTCGCGAGATGACTCCTCCTCCTCGGGAACGGCTGCTCGCGGCTTGTATGCCGTAGAGACGCTTCCCGTCTTCTTGTGAACGCGTTTTGATCCGGATTCGGTGTTGTTTCGAGACGATCGTCCCCGTGTTTGAGACTCGGGAAATGTAGAGACAACAGGTGTTGATGTCTTGGAAGATCGTCCTTTCATATGGCCACTGGAAGATGCACTAATTGCCATTGGTTCTGCCGCATTGTTGTCATCCACAACGTTCATCTCAGCACGCTCGCTCTTATCAGTTACCAAGTTGGCTTTGCTGTCGGAAGTCTCCTTTTCAGTATCGGATTGGCGAACAGTGTCTCCGGGGAATACAGGAGGTGTGATCTCTTTGATCGAGCTTTCTCGCGGGAAACTGTTCTTTGAGTCGACTGGTTTGTCTACAAAGAATGCAAAGTTAGAACCGACGCCTCCCCACGTGACCCAAATATTAGATGACTTACTGTTGGCATTCATGCGATTGGACACAGAAGGTGGACGCTGTCGAGAAGCTGCCTGAGAAGCAGGCTGTTGCGCCCTTGACGACTGTGGTCGATTGTTGGAACTAGGTCCCGGACTGGGTGCAGTCCTCGGAGGGTTGAAAGTTCCGACAATGGGGGATGAAACCGCGGATGGTGACCCAACGTTGGATGTAATCGTGTTATTCCTGCATGAAAAATCAGTAAGAGTTGCCTTCAAACATTACAAAACCCTAGCGTACCTCTTGCGGCCGGCTGTAGAAACTGCATTAGTCGCGCGAGGTCTTTTCTTGGCATCAGCGTTCAAGCTGTCCTTGGAAACAGCTCGCCCATTATTTGTAACTGCACTAATGGATCTTTCCATGATCGTTCCGCCGACTTGTACCGGAGCAGGTTTTTCAACGACCTTCCTGCGTTTCGGTGCTTGAGCTGTTATTGCGCTGTCTGCATGGTAAACAGCATTTGCACGAGCCTTGGCTGCACCACCTTTCCGATTTGTTACAGTACGTATGTCATCGGAATCCAATTCGGCATGATTTCGACGTTGTTTGCGGGGGTTTTCGCGCCTTCCGTCGCCTCGATGACTCAACCCCTCCGATTCATGCAGAGCGTGCACAAAGTGAGAAGTAGCAGACGCTGCTTCACGTCGAGGACGTTCATTCCCAGTAGTTGCAGCCTTAGCAGTAGTGCGATTTGTATAGGCCCAATGAGTAAGGCTTCCCAGCCTCGCTTCTTCGCTAACTTCTCCTGAGATGTATGGGAAGATGGTATTGAGACGAAACAACTGATGGTCAAGCTCGTCGTTTGCGTTGGTTAAAACATGGTTTTTCTCGTCCGCCGTCATCATTAAATCCGACAAAGAACGCCTTACACGATCGAAAAGCAGCCTGCGCTCTCTGCTCTCTTGCGATTCGACGTTCTGCAGGTCATTCTGTCCAAACAGCGTTAGCGACCAGTGCTAAAAAAGCCCACCATCATCCAATAAATCAATAAATCCAATATTTGGAATGTAGATCGAATAGTTTCTTTGTAGAAATAGAAAAATGACCTCACCTGAGACACGCCATACTCCCTCACTACCCCGTCCACAATCGGGGCTGGATTCGGCGGATAAGGAACCGGCCGCGATTCCGACGCCGACAAGAGCAGCTGTTGTAAATTATCTTCCAGGGCCCACGCCTTCGCATCGACCTCCTTCAAAAGCGAATTGTGCCGACGAAACTCCCGCGGGAGGGCCGTGATGGCGTCGGTGAAGTGGGTGAGAGCAGGGTAGAGGCCGTGGGGGGTGGTAGGCACTTGAGAAGAGTCGCCAGCTGACGATTGACCGTAGAAATGAAACGAGCGAGCGACTGTCTTGGACGTGCGAGATGGGTTCGTACGGGTCTGGCGAGACATGTTGCGACTGTTTGAAATTTGCGATATCGTGCCAGCTGTAGCGGCGATCGCGACGTTGCTGGCAGCCGAAGCCATACCGCTGGTGAAGCGACTGACGCAAAAAAGGATGAGGTTGTGGTTTTCGAGCTTGCGATACAGGACTTCGTACAAGGCTGCGCGTAAAGAGAGTAGTGAAACAGTATGAAAGCAAGACACAAGTTTGTGGCCCAGTCAGAGCTTCAGACGACGAGCTGAGAAATAGCAGGAACCGCCGATCATTTTGGGAAGGCGGTGATGCGCGTGCGAATTCCGAATACGGCCGGGATCTCCGTATGGCACGTGACTATTAGGATCTTATTCTATAACTAAATATCAGTTAACTGGTGACGCGTGCTGCCACACGCTGTGGCTCTGAAACAAAACCGGAAACGAGAAGGTGGAGAAAGTCTAGAAAAATGGAAGAATAATGGGGAGTATACTCTAATGCATCAGTATTGTGTCGGTTGTAACAATAAAACGGTAATAATACAGTTGCTCCAACGATCTTAGTGCACGAAATTATTTATAGTGTATTGAGATTAGCGTGGTTAACACCGCTCTTTCACGAAGATGTGTAGGCTGGAGGAACTACTTCATTATAAAACCCACCTAATGCTTAGGGATTGTTATTGAAACCAATGTCACAATACTATCTCATTGCTCAGAATGGTCTCCTAACCCTTCACAAACCAGAAAGAGCTCCTCTCATTCTATATTCGGCAGAGGACCACAAATGGGCCTACACTGATATCGATGAGATTCAAGTGGAGGAATTGATAGAAGAACCGGCATCTCCGTGCCGCCTTCAAAACCTAACTACTATCAGACACGTACCACAGAACAGGAAGTGGACACCATCACATCCACCTCTGATCCAGTACAAACTAGGAAACGAGAATGGCATTTTGATTCTCAGAAAGCGCAAGTATATGCATCAGCATATATCTTCACGCCGCGAGGACAATGAATCAACCTTCCATGACGAACAGATAACGAAGAGTTTCAATTCCAAAGGTTCATTCCTAGTACTGCCTCCTGAACTACGAATCCTAATATATCGCCACCTCTTGGTCTGCTATCCCAATGCCGTTCCTCATCCTATCTGCAGTTGCACGTCAAGTTTCCGTATTATCATCAGGAAAGATATCTACAGTGGTTACAGACTCTATCCTCAGATACTTGTGACATGCCGCCAAATCTACTTGGAGGCCTCACCAATCCTTTATAGGGAGAATGTGTTTAACCAGGAGTATTTCTGGCCAAGCACATTGAGAGATCACAGGTTGTATCCTGTACCATTGTCAGACACCTGTCGACTTGGTGAAAAGGCCCAGCTCATATCTCGCATTCGAATCATCCGGCAATATCGCAATATACTGCTTGGTAATGGGCAATTGAAAATCTTTCGAAGCTTCCCCTCACTAGCAGAAGTAAAAGTAGACTTTGACCTCAACGACCCTGTTTCCGAGCTTGACCTTACTACCCTCTGGCGAGAAGTGATGAAATCCCTTAATCGAAGACAACCGAAACTCAAACGGGTGGAGAGCTGTATTCGCCTTCCTTTCGACGATGATTATAGAGAGTGGGGCAAGAATCAGAAAAGCACGTCGCTAGATTTCAGTCTCCATAAGAGGAAAAAAAGAGACATTGAGAAGTGGATGAAAGAAGAGCAGCTATTTGTGGGTCGGCATCTATCTTGGTCATTTGAGACGTTGACTTCCGAATATTGTGGACCGTCCTGCGAAATAACCTTAGTAGTCGATGATATTGAAAATGCAGACCAAGCATCCCGCATACCTGTCAAGGTAGTAAGTGAGTATGAGGAGCGCTTCGGCTACGAAATTATTTGATGACGCGTCGATAGTCCGAGAGGCCTTTGTAGGTTAGGTAGGGGGATAATGGGCTCTCAACGTATTAGCGTCGATACTACTCTATACAGTAATTGCCTAGTCAATATCTATACACCTCAAATTATTGGTGAAGATCATTTCGTGAATGATCGTTGAACACTGAAGCCATTATCGTAGTATCATCTAACGTGACTCACCACCCACCCGACAGTTTTTCTCCGAGCGCGTTTACTATATTGATTTTATACGATTCAAAGCGTTACTATGCCAACAATTCAAATAGAAATTCGATTAATTTAGCTGAGCAAGAAGGCCGAATCTTATTAGGTATTTCCGATTGAAAAGATTGAAAAATTCCTAATATTCATAAAATGGTAACTGTCTATAATCTGCCTCATACGACTCTTCGAGACCGGCTTAAGGAGATTCAATTAATGACTGGAAATGTGCAAATGGACTCAAACTTTCAGAATTTGAAGAGAAAAATGGACACTTGTATAAACTATGTATCGTTGTCAGAATTATCCGGACTAATCAAGAATGAACTAAACTGTATTTGATTTATATGTTCAACATCTATGCATCACACAAATCAGATAAATCAGCTTAATGATCTAGTGAAGAAAATTATGAATGTTTTGGGTATAATTTCCTTCCTCATACTTAGTTTTCTCGATAAATAGCACCAATAAACTCCTTTATTGACTGGCCCTTCTCAGTAAGACGACTATGCAAATCGCATAATGTTCATGGCCGGTGATTGGCCAGAGCCCGTGTGGGGCTGTCTGGATCTGAGCTTATATCGTTCTGCTCCTAAATTGAGCAAGCTCAACAATTTGTTTGCTTTTTTGGCATAGCGGTCAAGCGCTTGAGTGGGGCGCTCCCGATTATCACAATTCGTTGGTTGTACGTGGGTGGAGCAAAGGAGGAGCACCATTCGCCGAGTGCAAGCACTTCAAGTCTCGAAAAATGGACCTAAATGGGCATGGTTGGCCCCATCTGAAAGCTGAATATCAATCTTGGCTTTATAGGAGAGGCAGAGATTAGTTATGCATCAAAGATCAGAGTGCGGTAGATCGATTTAAGGCTTAAAGCTCTCGAAAAATGAACCTAATCAGGCAACTGGTCGCTGTCACCGAAAATGCTCGATTAAAGCATCGAGACATAAATGCGGCGCAAAGTTCACGTCAAGACAGAATTCTTTTAATGTAGAGGGTATTCTACCTTAGATTTGCCGTGGTTGCTAAACTGAATAAGAAAACCTACTCTCAAAAGGAATCAGAGGTGTTGTTGTATGCACAGCATTCTCCTGCACATAAATTTATAATGTCCCATCAACAGCAGTCACACCACAATCGGTTGCTCCAGCCATGGCCCCATACATCTGCAGAAACCGAGTTACCACCCCCATACAGGGAGTATGCTGATAGCACCCGAATGTACGCAGGTCAAAGCACTACTCCGCATGGTCAAAGTGTAAGCAGCGACGAAATAAAGAATGAGGAGACATTCGTCGAGTCTACTCTACAATGGATTCCATCACGGCCATTGTCTCCTCGGGTACAGGGAGAACAACTTGAAGTATGTGCCCCTTCGCAGTATGAGATTTTGATTTTCGGTCCTGACCTGGCACTGTTTAGAAACCCGTTGTCATCCCACGCCTAGATGTGGTAGGTGGTCTAAAGGCCCCTCTTCCGTTTCTTCGTGCATACAGCCCTGTACTACACGCGCACGACATTCATGAGACCGAATTCCTCGCGTTTATTGACAACCTTACGGTTGCTCAGGCTGGATCTCCTGTCTTCCAGGCAATGAATGTCGCTGGGATGGGCGTAGGATATGTACCTCATCATTGGTTTCAATTAGCGGGAATTGGTATCCAGGTGGCTGCTGGGGTAGGGACAGCAGCTGTTGCTACGATTCGCACGAAGAAGTTTCTGGCAGTTTCAAACGAAAAGTTCTTTGCGCCCCGCGGGCTGAAAGTCTCTCTCAAGAAAGACCAAGATGTCGCCTCCATGGTTGGATATCCATTGAGCCAGAGACTGCTATCATCAGCTCAAATTGGGCCGAACACTATCATTGGGATACGTGATCGGCGCATGGCCGTGTTGGCTCCATACATAGCTACGCTGACAACCGATGTACCGCCGCCGACCAAGCAAAGAAATATTCTGGATAGAATAGCTGCTAAACAGGTTGAAAAAGCAACAAAAAAGAAGGAAAAGGATCTCTACAAGGAAGCCTGCAAGTCACAAGCAAACAGTAACTCGAGCAACAGCGATTCGAGTGATAGTGAATCGAGTAGTAGCGACTCTAGTATCGCAAACGTCGATAGTAAAATTGCTAAACTCGATCGTGAAATCCAAACAATCAACCGCAAAGCGGATTCGGAGCTTCTACTACACGGCACTTCCAAATCTGGAAGCATTGAAGACAGGAGGTCCAAGGAACTAGCCAAGGTACAACGGAAGAAAGATAGGTTGGAAAGGAAATTGGTAAGGAGGACGAGGAAGACGGAGAGGAAGACGGAGAGGAAGGCGAGAAAGTCGGCAACCAAAAAACAAGAAAAAGATTCCAAGCTGGAAAAGAAGGTAAATAAGATGGAGTACATAGTTGTCGAACGTCTGCATGTGCAGTAACCATTGTATATCGCGTTTTAACATACGCCGTTTGAATCATAGCTTCCTTTTAGATACCAGTTGCTTTCTTCCCGTTTAGCTGTGGTTGAAGGTCCAGTAAATATTTTGCAGTTGCCCATCTACCACTCTTCCCATCTTGAATTTCCTGTAAAACATCCTGCAGCCATGCACCAATAATCGAATTCGAATTTCCAATAGCGTCGTGTGCCATGCGCAAGGGAAATAATAGGAAAAAACTGCCAGCCCCTTTTCGCATGCTTTCTAGATGGTATTCGATGCTACGACATATAATCAGACCAGCAGCAAGATTTCGATCTGAAAGTTCGGCAGCATTCAGTGCCGACGGGTGATGTAGCTCGCCAGAAAATGCAATTGTTTGCGCTAGCCTTTGTGCCATTATCAAAGTCGCATTGTAAACAATGACCGTGTTGGCATGGTATAATGATTCATACTCTATGATGGTTTCCCACGCTGGTATAGAGAGACCCAAAGCATTTATAACAGTCGGTGTTGTGGGCGGAGCTGGGACCTGACGGCAACAACCTGGGTTCTTCATATTCCAATCCTGCTCCCAGTCAGCGAGTTGGTGTAAGACATGGTCGACTTTAGAGCGCAGATGGCCCCATTTCATAACACGGTAATCGAAGGAATTATTAGAAACTATATCCTCCTTTTCAACAAAGAGTTCGGGAAAATCGGCCAATATATCAACTAAAAACTGCATGCCGGACTTTGCTTGTGGCTCCAGAGACCATGGAATCGATTTCCATTCCGGCTGGGACAGAATAGTACGTCTTCGCAAAAGAATGGAAGCTAGAATAATGCACATTCGTGAATTCTGCAGCATTATTATCTCCGGGTATTTTTTAAACGACTCTGGCCCACGTAGGGCCATGATCTTTTCAAGACCAAGAGCGTGGCTAATCCAGCCATTCTCATTTTCGGATATAAGGAACTTGATCGTATTATCAGAATAATGACACGGTCATCATAACACCAGGGCAGGAGAGGAGGGTACCTCGAATAGCGACATTACCATAATAGATTCGATGAGATCAAACGACGTATAACGCGATGGGTCACCAACAGCCTGACGAAGATATTCAAGGGCAACCCCATACCGACGGAACCCCTGGCTAACTAGCTCCTTTTCCTTGTGCTCCAAGCCAAAGAAGGTCGTGGAAAGTGCGAGAAACGATTTTTGGACCAAGGGCCGATCCACTGTTGATGGGAGGACAACAGGATCATCCACTTCCTGACCCTGCAATAGCCGTGACCGTGTATACTCGACGAAGATGTCATCTGTACATATAGGAAGATGTGCCCCAAGAGTCCAGTCTGATCTCACAAACTCCTTTATCGGCAATAAAGCCGAACGCGTAGTTGCCGAAATATTTGAATCAAGCGATGGTGATAATTTCCTTCGCTGGCGACCATCAAATTGAATAATTGTCATTTCCTGATAGCCCCCGCACTCAAGCTTAGCTTTAGCACACCTCTCACATTTTGGCTTCCTCTCGTCTGTTTTCAGGTTGTCAGCTTTCGCGAAGGCTTTCGAAGAGCATTAAGCTCATCATGAATCAGATAGTGTTTGTTACCGCATTTAACGCGCCGACGACGGCAGTTGTCACAGGCCTTCGATCTTCCTCCGACTCCAACCATCTAGCTGCATATCATTTGAACCACCTACTATCCTTTACAAATACGGCAATCTCAAAATTCAGAGGTGTGCGATATCGACAATAATAATTATTTATAATTATTGATGATTAGATGGTGGAAGACGCGGGTATATCGCGATCCACAGCGACGAGCCGACCAATGGGGGCAGTGCGACTCACTTCTGACGTCAGTAGGGCTGGTAGTTCAACAATACAGTTGATCATTATGGTTTCGGGTTTGGCAATAATATTGACTACTTGATGGCACATTTAGCTCAGAAGAAAAGTTTCGAGCCTGTTGTAGCTACTATTCGTATTCACCTTCTTCCTCTCATTATATATATGTAGCTAAATAGAGAATAATAGGATGCGTACACAAAGCCTGTATACTATGTTACCATATATATCGCGCCTCTACCGGTAAAGCAATTTTGGATACCTTAAACAGCTCTACCACGGACAAAGATTTATGGAGTTAATATTTGTACGCATTGGAACTCTTGATATGCAAACCTCGCTGGACTATAGAGTGGATGGTAAATCTATGGCCGCAGAATGCTACGTGCTCCTCCAACCAGGTGTAAGCTTCCTGTCACAAATACTTGGACTCCACATCGTTCGACACCGATACCTTTTGCAAGCTTTATTGCCCCCTCAATACTCGGCTCAGTGGAAACTGCAGCCTGGGGATCAATATCCTTCCACAGTGAAGCATATATAGCGCAAAGGTCCGGGAAAGGCGTCTCCGGTATTTTAAGGGTTTTATCTAAAAGTTAAATAGTTAGCTCACTGTCTATCTACATACATATGCTATGCTTATCACTTGCCTATTCTCGTAGACCCATCATCTCTCTCCTGGTACGTAGTGAAGATGACATGATCTGGCATTGCGCCGTGCTCCGAAAGAGCATGCGCCAAACATTTCACAAGAGTCACCCCATCACGCCCTTCTGAAAAGTGGCTGAAGATAAGAACCCGATACCTAAACAAGGTGTATCGACGTTATATCAGTTGGCTGACCATTGAGATGAGATGGATGAACTTACCTTTGAGTTTTTAAAGAGTTAGTGTTCTTCGCAAACCATTCCGCTGCTTGTTCGAGGCTTAAAGTATTGTGTGCTCCATCTAAGAACCACAGTAATTCCCCATCTTGTAGAATCTCGAATCTCCCAGCCCATGAGAAATTTTCGACTCCCATGGAAATGTCGTTCGAGTTTAATGAATGCTCAGGTGCCCTGTGTTGCAGAAACGTTTTAGTGAGTTCAAGGGCCAAAGAGCAATTTAACCGCTGTACTGGAACACTAAGTGCCTTGAGGTTCACAGGAAGAGACATATTAGTAGAAATGAAAGTCAATTTTGTCTTCTTTTCCGTTGCACGATTTCGTAAAACTTCAGCAGGACCGGCTTCCTGAGCTACCGAGAGTGCAGGTGCCCCTGCCTTGAAAACCCCGGCTTTATGCCAGGCAATGTTCTCTATTGTAGGACCTAGCTGCGCAATGTGGTCCATACCGAGAGACGTGATCCCAGTCACAACAGGCGCCCGTATCACATTCGTGGCGTCGTATTCTCCACCATGATGAGTCTCAAATATTGCTGCATCAACATCTTCCCTGATAAACGTGTGAAAAGCCAACAAAGCCAGAAACTGTAGGTAGCGGGGCTGTTTTGTAGGTTCTGTATTTTTTTCCACATCATGAGACATGATATTTTCCCACACTTCAAAAAAGTATCGTGTAAAGAGATCCTCCGATATTGGTCGATCATCAATCTGTATTCTATCCCGGATACATTGCAAATCAGGACCTGTATATAAACCGATTCGCTTCGGAAATCCTGTTCTTAGCCCATGTGCGCGAAGAAAAGAACGAGTAAAAGCGCAGGTACTGCCTTTCCCTTTCGTCCCGGCAATATGAATTATATTTAAGTTGTCAACATCCCTGTCCTGGAACTAGGTAAGAACGATCCAGTACTGCAGCGTAGCTCATTGGCCATCCATACTGAGTGTCCTAATCTCTGCAACCACTCCTGCATGCCGAACAAACTGGGTATACCCCTCACTGTTTGGGTACCGCGAGCATTGATTGCATCCTGAGACGTTGAAGAGAGTATCGCAGCTGTTTTCGGTCGTGCTTTTCGTCTTCGCGTCTCTAGGAGCTTGAGTGCATTCTGCATACTATTAGATGAAATATGATACAGATATTTGAACTAGTACCTCGTAGTTACGCTTCATAACGACAGTGTATGAAAATTGGTAGGCTTCAGTACAGGTAGCTGATGAAGAGTCGAGCGAATGGTCAGCCCCCGCTGTTACGCAGTGTTGTGCAAACAAGTCAAACAGTAACTGATCAATTAGCGCTGACTCCCCGAAAAAGGATATGAGCAAACCAATTCCAAAGTTCTACTATGAGCAGATCAAGATGTCTGGATCCATGGAAACTGCCGTTGACAACTTTGGAATAATAATTTACCGCATCACTTTACCCAGGATAAGTTTTACAGAATAGAGAAGAGCTGCGGCCACTTGAAGAGTCGTGAAGCAACAAGCCGATTTCACAATTCGCCCACTTCAAAAATGGAAAGCCTCAAAAGGCTGTCTGGTTATAATGGCAATGCCAGTAACAGACATAAAAAATGACTTGTCACAACACTACATGTATGTGAGGTTTGCGGAGATAAATATATGTATGGTGTATGTTTTGAACAAATTGAAAGCTTCACCACTTGCTAAGAGAGAATCGAGATCGAAAAACAGAAATATGCATTGTTATAACAATAGTTATGCTACCAAGTGTAATAGTAGTCGTAAAAAAAAACAAAAGAAAAAAATGTTACACGGGTTTATAAAATGCCGGACCAATTTGCAGTTTGCATCTTTACATGCAAGACTTGACCGGAGGTATAGCCAACACATCTATACACACAAAGGTACCAAAACATGAATCATCTTCACTCCCCCTTAAGATGCTCCTGGTGGACAGTGAAAGCATCATTGAGCAAATCTTGCTCCTCCTTCACGTGGCTGGCCTTGAGACCTGTAGCCACAGAGGCGCTGGGGGAACGACCGGCGTACATCACGTGACGTCTGTTGTGATGCTCGGTAGCGTTGAGCAGAGTCTCGATACGTGGTTGCACGAAGCTCCATGCACCAGCGTTTAGTGGTTCCTCTTGAGCCCAGACAATGTCCTTGGCGTTAGGGTAGCTGTCCAAGTTCTCCTTCAGCTGAGCCCATGGGAAGGGGTTGAGCTGTTCGACACGGGTAATAGCAGTATTGCGAATGCCATTGCTTTCACGGTACTTGGTCAAAGCAGTGTAGACTTGACCAGAGCACAATACAACGCGCTCGATCTTTTCTGGCTCGTCGATGGTGGAACCGTGTGCTAGATCAGGGATAATCCATTGGAAGTGCGAGTCACCGGTAAATTCCTCGAGATCTGAACGGGCAATAGGGTGACGCAGCAAGGATTTCGAGAAGAAGATGATAAGTGCTAAAAGGGGGTTGTTAGAATAGAGCAAATTCTACATTTGGAATTGGTAACTCACGTTTACGGAACTGTCGGTTGATCTGGCGACGAAGAATGTGGAACAAGTTGGATGGCGAGGTCATGCAGACAACCTGCATGTTGCAGTCTTGGTGCTGACGGTCCAACTTGTCGGGTGATGGGAAGACACGGGGTTCCTCATTACTCAATTGCAACCAACGCTCCATACGACCGGAAGAGTGCTCTGGGCCTTGGCCATCATAACCGTGAGGTAGCGAGACAACAAGACCGGAGCGCTGTAACCACTTGACTTCACCCGAAGCAATGAACTGATCAATGATACATTGTGCGTTGTTGGCGAAATCACCAAATTGAGCCTCCCACATGACGAGGGCATTTGGGGAAGTAAGAGAGTAACCGTATTCAAAACCAAGACTATGGAAATACCATCAGTATCAATGACAAAGTAGCAAGTGAGTAGAGCTGAGATGGCAATACTTACACACCAAACTCACTCAATGAGGAGTTAGAAATAACAAAGGTGCCTTGATCGGGGCTAATGTGTTGCAATGGAGTGTACGTAGCCTCGCTTTCTTGGTCGTGGAGGACGGCGTGACGCTGGGAAAAAGTACCGCGTTCAACATCCTGTCCAGAGACGCGAACATGGTGGCCTTCCTTAACCAATGTACCGAAAGCCAAAGCCTCGGCAGTGGCCCAGTCGATACCCTGGCCGTCATCAACAGTCTTCTTTCTGTTGCCCAAGATACGCTTCAGGTTGCGATGGACATTGAAGCCATCCGGAGCTCCGCCGATCTTGTCACCAATCGACTTGAGGGTCTCAGCATCGACACCAGTGGGTAGATGGGGTAAGACTTCAGTAGCTAACTCCTTTGGACTCTTGAAACCGTTCCATGCAGAAGTCAACCATTCCTTACCAGTAGGTTGATAATCCTTGCTGCGATCGAAGCTATCGTTCAACATACCCCAGACCCACTTCTTATGCTCATCAATATCCTCCTTGGTAAATGTACCTTCGGCGATGAGTTTTTCAACATATGTGTCGAGCTGGTTCTTCTGGGAAGCAATACGCTTGTACATCAGAGGCTGAGTAAACGAAGGCTGGTCAGTCTCGTTGTGACCTTGTTTACGGTAGCAGACAATATCGACGACGACATCACGCTTGAACTCAGCGCGCCAGTCAGCGGCAACCTGGCAAACGTAGTTGACAGCTTCCACATCATCCGCATTGACGTGGAAAACAGGAGCATCAATAGCCTTGGCAATATCCGAGCAGTAAGGGGTAGAGCGGGCGAAACGAGGATCAGTTGTAAATCCAATCTGGTTGTTCACGACAATGTGGACAGTACCACCGGTAGAATAGGCAGGAAGAGAGTGGAAGCCCATAGTTTCATAGACGATACCCTGAGCTGCAAAGGCAGCATCACCGTGCAACAAAACTCCCATAGCGGTGTCAAAGTCCTTCTCATCCTTGTTGTAGTGTTGAATAGCACGAGTCTTACCGAGAACAACAGGGTCCTCGGCTTCAAGATGTGAAGGGTTGGCAACCAGTGAAAGTTGAACACGCTTTCCAGACGGAGTGGGACGCTCGAAGTTCATACCAAGATGGTATTTCACATCACCAGAACCTTCATCCTCAGGCTCAGCAGAACCAGCGAACTCGCTGAAGATGGATTCGTTGGGTTTGCGGACGACGTTGGAGAGCACGTTCAACCGACCACGGTGAGGCATTCCAATAACAATATCCTTAATGCCATAGTCGACACTTCGGTCGATAAGGGCCTTCATACCAGGTACCAAAGTTTCACATCCTTCGAGACCAAAACGTTTGTCGTTGGGGAACTTGGTAGCCAAGAAAGATTCGAAACTTGAACTCCAGATCAGACGATCAAGGATACGGCGCTTCTCATCGACCGAGTATTTGTAAGGCTGTGGGATTTCAAAGCGGTCACGAATCCAGTCACAAGGCTTGCGATCCGGAATGTGAATGTACTCGACACCGTATGAACCACAGTATATTCTTTCACAGGCGCCAATGATCTCACGGAGGGTCATCTTTTTCCGTGAGTCGGTTTCGAAGCGGGGGAGGATACCGGGTCCTAGGGTGAACTCTTGGTCGAGGTCCTTCTCAGTGAATCCATAGTGATCCAACTCTAGCTCTTTCGGGCGGTTGTAACCGAAAGCTTCGGCCTCGCCACGGATGCCTAGAGGGTCAATCTTCGCCTTGTGGTGGCCACGGGCCTGGTAGGCACGGACAAGAAGCTGGACCTTAAGATGGTTTGTCAGATCGTGCCCAGCGGTCGGCATATACTGTGGGACACCGCCGACGGGGGTGGGAACGATGGTGGGAGGGGGCTGAAAAGCCTGAGAGATTGGCATATTGCCATCTTCGATGTTCTTGAAATACGTCTGCCAAGAGATGTGCACACTCGAAGGATCGTTGCGCCATGCAAGGTACATCTCGTCGATGTAGTTGGCAGTATTTCCTTGGAGGAAGCTATCGTTGGGGTCCTAGTTGTCACAAGTCGCCGTCAGCGCGTTGAAGCGCAGGCGAGAATACCAGTCAGTTGATGTCCATTTGTGTACTGCGCTTAGCATGTTTATTCATCGTCACCCTCTTCTTTTTCTTTTTCTTTCTTTCTTCGCGCTCAAACACGCAGCAACGTCTTGGTTTAGGGAATTGAGCTTACCACCCCGCGCGATGTTTCCTCCGCACTTTGGGCATATTCCCTCCGGTGAGCAGCATGGCCAATAACGGCCAGCGGTCTGCGGGCAGTGAGCTGGAAATTTGATCGTGCTCCCGGAGCTGCCAGAGCACCTCGAGACGCTGTCGCAAGAGAGTAGGATCTGCGGCAGGCGGAGCAAGCAGTGCTGCTGCGCAGCAGACTGCTGCCGGCAGCCTTCTTCAAGGTTGTAGCCCTCAGCATGTCTGGTATGGTGTGGAAAGCGACAAAGAGAAAATGTTCAACTGAGCTGGGAAAGCATGTAAACGGAGAGGAGAGTGCAGTTGCTGACACGCGGCAGGTTCCACCAACAAGAGAACAGCGAGATTTCTGGGAGCTTAAGCAGAGGACGCGAACCCAAAGGCCAATTGCAGTAGGCAGATAGGAGCGATATAATCAATAACGTCGGTTTGTGTTGAATATAACACGCAGAACCGGCAAGAAAGAAAAACGAAACGGATTTGGTCGGAGAAATGGGAAGCCGGGATGATGTCGTAGCTGGGATTTTCGGCTGTTCCAGTAAGCGGGAAGGGGCCACGGCACCGCGTTTCCGAGTACTTACACTTACACCACTGTACTAGCGCTGGCGTATCTTTGCAGATGCTACAGCGAGATTCTTCTTAGATGACGTTGTGCTTGTCGAGGAAAAGAAACAGAGAAGAGAATAAAAAGAAAAGAAGAGAAAAGACTTGAAACCTGCTTGGCGCCACGCGTGACTGTGACTGGAGGCAAATGCGGCTTTTTTTTGCACGATGCCTTGTATTCCGCCGTCTGCGATTGGCTGCTGCAACAGTCGAGTAATAATAGTGACTCGTCTGATGTGACGTGTTTGTGTTCGCTGGTGTACTGTTCTGGAACTGGTGTATTCAACATTATATAATATGTACATCAATGATTATTACAGCTGGTGTGGTAAATACTATACTATATGCAGCGAAAAAGTATTAGATACGGTATAAGATTGCGATGTATACCGCAGCATCGATCGATAAATGGAACGCAAGAATTCAGACAACCGCCAGAAACGCCGTTCATTATTATTTCAAAGCAGGAACAGTTGCGATTAGATATTTCGTAAATGTTATAAATGTCAAATGTGAATTTCGTGTAGTCGTGCAATCATAACGTGGCGGGAGGTCAATACTTGCGCCGATGCTGAAGCAACCAGTGGTGGAATAACCATCCCTAAATCAAGAGTGTTCAAATCCGACCTTGTTCGAGGACCTCGCGTTGGTAGACTTCAACCTCGCCGCTGTCGCTGGTCCTGCGTCGTTCGAGAACCCATTTATTGGATCCATCCTCCACGGTTTCCTGCTTGTAGCTGATGCTAGCTGAACTGCTGGCTCTGCTATGAGACGGCTTGGGGGTGTTCCCAAGACCGCCATCTTCTTTGACGCTTGTCGATTGACCAAAGGTAAGTGTCGGGCTTCCGGGGGCACTCTCGCCTTCAGATGAAGGAGAAGAATTGTGATGCCCGCTATTCAGCCTATCAACAGGATGAGATGGGAAGTCTGTGCCGGACATCAAGTCAACAGGGCTGTCCTCAGGGATGCTCATGAAGCTACCTCGATTCGACGGCCCGACTGGACCGTACTGGGGAGAGAGACTGCCAGCACTGCTCCGCAAGCTGCCATTACTGCCACCAAAAGCACCGCGACGAAGCCTCATCAGTGCCTCAAAGGACATTTCATCGTCGATATTTCCAAAGTCGACCAACTGTGCCAAACCAGCGTTGGCCAAAGGATTAGCTTGCGCGGCTGCTGGGCCATGCGTTGAGAGCGAGACAATCGAATTGCGTGTGCTCCATTCACTTCTCTCAGTAATCGGAGTCAAGCTCGGCTCACGAAAAATGACTCCGCCGTTGTGGCCACCAAAGTATCCACCATAGATGGGTTGGGCGTTGCAGTTTCCAGTAGACTGTGCGTAAAATCCAAACTCCCGGCCGTAAAAGCCTTCATCATCATGCTCCAAGGCGTCAGCGTTTGCTTCGGCGATGATAAGGTCATCGTCAAATCCATCGTCGTCGTCGTAATTGAAATCGTCAATTGTATCGTCAATTGCCATGTTTTGGCTGTGTCGACTGTCATCTGAGATGAGCCCAGGGTGGGAGTCTGCATTCTGGGAGTTGCTTTCTTGTCCTAGCGATGTCTCACTTAGGCTGATATTGCGTTGTGGGAGATCATCAGCCACTCGAGCTAGAGCGCTATGGAAGGCTTCTAGATTATGTTCAGAAAGCACGCCGCTTGCAGCCTTCGGCATTTCTCCGCTGGAGAGCTTAATTGTTATATCGTTCTGAATATCCCATGACTCTGGCCGAAATTCGCTCACTAGGCTTGGAACATGTCGGATATTGACATTTTTTCCAGCACCATAATCGTTCGACTTGAGGGAGAGATTTCCTCCAGAGGGGTTTTGAATTGCCGCTGGGATGCGTGTGCCCGGGTAGAACTGGCGCCCAAATAATTCGCTATTTTCATCATCAAAGATAGATTCATCGAAGGTTCCCTCATTTGCATCAGTGATAAACTCGTCAATATCTCCATCATTGAAATACATGTCATCGTCTTCTTGTTGGGAAAGTGATTCACTCATGTAAGCTTTGTTTGACATAGTAGCTGCAGTAGCTTCAGATTCGGCTTCGGCAACTTGATTTGATTTAACGCCCATTTCATTTCCATCATCTTCCTCTTCGTCACCATAGTCCGACAATGAACGGGTCTCATCGAGGAGGAAAGTCTCAGTAGTAGGCACTGCATTGGCTGAGCCCTCATGGGCATCAACGGTGGTTTTGAGCAGGGGTATTTGAGGATTCATAGGACTAATTGGACTGGCAGCGATGGTAGGCAGGACAGGAACAAACAGTGGCTCGGAAGTTTTCACAACACCAGCAAAGTCACTGAATTGATCATCATCTTCTGCGTCTGCATTGACTCCAGGGATCCTCTCTTCGAAGCCTCCGTCATCTTCCATAGCATCATAGTCGAACTCATCTTCGTCAAAATCACTGTAACTGAACCGACTTTGCGGGAAATTGTCTTTACGCGCAGCCTCCTTCTCTTTATGCTTTTCTTCCAAAAGCTTTTCTTGAACAGATGACCCAACTCCACCCATATCAAAGCTGAATCTCGAAGCATCGCTCTTGAGACGCATAGGAACACTGGAAGCATGCCGCGAGGATTCAGTAGACTTTCGAGGATTTGACGGAGGCGAAGTGCGCTTGGATGGCGTGGAGTATACAGGCTCGGAAGCCTCAGTCTTTGGCTCAATAGACTGACTATTATTCTCCGGAACATTTGCTGGTAGTTTGCGCGCGAATGCTGGTAGATCAGACGGGTCATGGTTACCTAGGTTAGAGTCTGTCAACAAGGAGGACTGCAAGTAACCTTTATTTTCGACTTGTAGAACTTTGCGGTCTTCCCCAAAGTGTTCCTTAAAGACGGGGGAATATTCGCTGTGGCGTTTTCGTTGCTCTGTTCGCTTATTTGAGGTACTGCCCTCTTCAGACTGCTCTCTGCTATTAGGCGCACCGGCCATCTGACGTCGTGGTCGCGGCGCTGAAAAGTCATGCACTATTTTGCCACGAATTCTAGGGTCATAGTCATCTGGTATGGCGGGGACTACATTTTGAATCCCAAAATTTCCATCGTCAAGTCGCGCATTAGCTATCTGTGATGATCTCCGGTGTGCCAGCAGCGATATAGGATTTAGAAGGTGGAGCTTTGTTCTTCTTTGCTTTTGTTGAGCCGGCTCTGTAGATTGCTCATGATGAAGGCCATCGTGTCGAGGGGGTTGTATAGTCTCCAATCCTTTCAAGGATGCTCCGCCAACAAAACCCGACAGTCCATCGACATTCGTGTTTATTCGCAAATTCTTCGCCGTAGTATTGTTCCGCGGGCTAGCCTTGTGCTCAATGTGCTGGGTCGGGGTATTTTGTTTGAATCCCAAACGCCATGTTCCATTCGTTTTCGCAGAATTCGTCTGCATCAGATCAGGTCTCAAGGGGAGGGCTGATGGCGGCTGCAGATGATTTGTTTGCGGAGAAAGCCCGTCTGGTGTTATGTCGCCGTCGCCGTCGCCTGGGCTTGAATGAGGACGCACAAGGTTGTCTGTCGACGTTGACGGTACTCTGAGGTTGCCCAGGGACTGTTGCGAGCTCAACCCAAAAGCTAGCGCCTGGTCCTCGCCTATATCTCGGACATGCTGCTCGAAGACGGGAGCGGAAGGGAAGGATTCGGGGAGGGTTGTCGATTCGACTAGGGAATCGCCCAGTGCGGTAGATAGAGGAAGGCCTGGAAGCTGGGGTGGTGCGTCTGCATAGCTACCGGGGGATAAACCCAGGGGTGACTCTGATCCAGGTATCGGGCTTATTCGACGGTGATCGCGACGCCAATACGAGAACACGGTGGATGGTGGCATCTTTGCAACCTTTTTTGAGCTTCCGTCTGCTCGTCGTGGAGCAGTCGCACCGGTTATGATATTTTGAAGTCAGATCTCATTGTACTGATATGGGATTGGGGCTGATCTCGACCACGTTGTGTTGCTGACTCGTGCACATCAAATACCCACACGTGTCTAATAAACGATCAGTTGGCTGTTCGTGGGGCGGATGCACAAGTATATGAGAGACGGCTGCAAGGGATGTGTATTCCACGAAATCATAAACTAGCAATTACAGATGAACTGCACAGGATAGTGATAAATAATAATACGAATCAAATGTCCGCAAGCGGTCAACTGGTGTGCAGAGGGGGCTGGTTAATAACCATGAAGAATGATCATCGATCCGCAAGCTGCGCGGGATCGGCAGAACTAGGAACCATGGTAAGACACTCTCGATTTAGACGTCTATACATGTACTCATGGACGGATGTTATTATATATTAGTATATTTAATAAATTCTTGTTGTGGAACGACCATTCATAATTGATCCACCGGTGTTTGCAACCATACGTAGTTATTGTATTATATTATGTTTTTGTGGTACAAGGGTCAAATTGAATTGATATTGATAGCCTGCTTCAAAACATTGTAATATATTAAAACTGAATATTCGGGATTGCTTCCTTGCTGATACACTGACACAAAAGACTTGCTAAATGCAACACCAACAACAGCCCCAAATAAAAGAAGTTCAGGCCAACACCGCCTATGTATGAATGCTTATGCATATCGCTAAGACGCCCAATGAAACGGAAAATATTGTGACTGCGTAGAAGAAACTGGAACTGAACCTATCTCATGATGCTCTGCCGCCATCGGTCAATGACCTCCCGTTGCCTAGGATCGATAACCGATGGAAGCATGTTGGCATTCTGGGGATATGGCATGCCCAAGGCGTACGCTCCGTAAGGTAGTTGAGGATCATGGCCTGGTACACCGCCATAGCCAGACACTTGTCCAAGGCCAGGGTGATACATCATGCTGGGTGGAAGAGTGTATGTGGTAGATGATCGGTTTTGTTGATATGCCATTCTCGGGTCCCAGGAGTTTTGGTAGGCGTGTGTTTGATCAAGCGAAGACATGCCTCCACCGGCACCTGCACTTGGATATGCATGAAGAATATCCGCCATGCTTCTGCGATTGTTGATGTCGGTGGTGCTCTGAGACTTTCGTATCTTGGCTTCTGCCTGTAGACGTTTTCTGCGCTGCCCAAGAGTCTCCTCTTCTTCAGCTGGGGCTGATTCTCGAGGTTGAGATGCTGGCTGCTTTTCTGAAGCAGGTTCAGGCGCAACAGGCTCATGCAATTTTCCAAGCTCAGCCATAATTTCATTTTCGAATTCCACAGAGATGATGCTTTTCGATTTGTCCCTGTTTTCTGCTTTGAGACGCTGTATTCGTTGAGCGAGAGTTTCTTCATCATTACCACTATCAGATTCGGCTTGTCCACCCGGCGGTACACGAAGCATAACGCTGGAGCGTCCATGAGGCATCACTTCAGGAGGCGCCTCGCCACGTAGCCGGGCTCGTCGTTTACTCAGCGGCTCGTTTTCTTCAAGCTCCCGGCGCTCCATAAGGCCAAGAGGCCGTTCCTCCAAGGCAGGATGTTTGCTACCGTATAATACACCCAGGGGAACGTCTTCGTCATCGGCCTCGTCGGAATCGTGAATAGCTTCAGCTTCCCAAGCCAAGGTCACATGTTTTTGTCGTCGTTTGTTACTTTGTGCCTGCGCGACAGCATCAAGCTGCAGAAGTGTTGAGTGCATGCCGTTGGGGAAAGCAGTCGCAGCAGTTCGGTTTCGCTGTTTCTGTTCGTGTTTTCTGATTTCCAACTCGGCTAGAAGGGTTGTTGGGCGTCCGGACAAAACTTGTTCGTTGAGTTCCTCGTTTTCCCACTCTTCCACCTCGTCGACGCTCTCTTCCCCTTCACTGTATGATTCGCCGGTGGAGATATCGGATGAATGGGAGCGGGAGTGACTACTATGCGAATGGGTGTCATACATGCCATGCGTATCATGCAAAGGTTTGTCCTCAGCTATCTCTGTATCGGAGTGCGGTAGACCAGGCGAAGGTTCAGCAGCCAGGTTTAGCGTGCTATCGCGAAGTCCGATAGAGCTCCTTGATCTATGGCCATCCCCCTGATCGGCTAGCATTCGCGACGACCGATCCCGTTTTTTCGTTGCATATACCTCTCTTCCTGCGCTGCCGACAATGGGATGGTCTGTAAATGCAGTTACAGGGGCATGCGCGGAGGCATCGAGAATGCTATCCAGGGTATCCACAGCAGATTTGTTCTTGATTTTGACATTCAGAGGAGTGGATGGCTGATCGAAAAAGACGCTGGCTCGTAGTTGTGGAGGAATAGCAGAGAGCCTTTTGCCTGGTGCATTATGCATTCCTTCAACACCATCCTTGGCTGCGTTCAGAGCACTGCTCAGCAACTGGGTGCGACGTTTCTCTTGGTCAGGTCCCACAGGTCGCTTGGAAAGGCGTTGAGGAAGATTAAGGACCTTTGGAATCGGAGCCGGATAGTATATCATGTCCTGTCCACCCCGAGGTTTCTCGTGATGTTCTGCAGTCGTAGCCACAGGAGTGCGATTCAAGGAAACCTGGTGCGACAGGCTGGGCTCCTTGGGGTGCGGTACATAATGGACACCATCGAAGTCCAAAAAGAGATCGGTAGCTTGTTGGTATGTGTCAGTTGAATGAGCTGTCAACGGTCTTTCGAGAATGCCTAGAGACAGATCCGGGAGATGGGTGTGTTGTAATTCGACTCCAGGGTCGAGAGGTGAAGGCTGAGGGAGTTCACCGAGCAGTTCACGGGCGAGTAGACTATCATCACTTGGTTGTACCGAGTCTTCATCCTGCTTTGGCTCGTGGATATCCTGCAACGGCGATGAAACGGACGTCGATCGAAAACGCGGACCCGACAGAATCGATCCCCTGGGTGAGGAGAGAAAACCACCGGGAGAATAACCACCTGAGCGAGCGGCATTGTTCACGCCAATGATGGAATTCGACATGGAGCCGGACGAGAACTGGCGCAATGGAGACTCTGGTCCCTGTTGCGTCGAGGAGGTTAGGGAGCGTTGTTTCTGTTCCAAATCCAGCTTGCGGAGCTCAACGCCGAGGTCCGACGAGGTCAAACTGAGACGCTCTGCGCTCTTCTCGAGCCTCTCGATGTTCCCAACATAAGCACCCTGCAACGATTGTAGATCGGGAGTCGGATGACGCAGGACAAATGAAGAGGAGCCACTCGAGGAGCGCAAGCGCGGTTCTGGCGATGTGGGCTCAGCATTGGAGTAGCGGACTATCGAAGCTTGTTGTTCGGGCGCGGTTGCCGGCGCGATCTTGCTAGGATGATCATTAGTCGTCGCCGACGTGGGATCGACAACGTGTTCCTCTTCATAATCATCATCTTCAACTATGTCGTAACTGCGGGATTGTTTGAGGTGGCTGAGGGTGCTGCTGAGGAGGGAGGCTGCAGGGGCTGCGTGGTCTGCGTGGTCTGCGTCAATGTGTGCACTCTGCACCTCAACGGGGTGTGAGGCGTCAGAATCGCTAGAGAGGGATGCAGCATCGTGAATGTCATCAACTTGGGCGATGGCATTGTACGCCATTACAACAATCAGCAGCAGAAGCCACGTAATAAATGGCCATCAAGGGTGTATGTGATTTGCAAGTTCACAGGTGATAACAGGAGAGTTGGTGTTATCATGTGATGAGAAAGAAGTGAGAGTATGCTTTAATTAATTAGGTTTGCGGTTCCTCTTGTGTGCATGTAAGACAAGCAAGACAAGACAAGACAAGACAAGACCACAGCAGTGGAAATGACAAGATAATTTATTATTATTATATTATTATTACTGCCCAGATTCTTACTACTCTCCCGCGGGCGAACCAGGAATGGGCTTGTTTCATCCAGCTAAATTTAGTGTGCCACAGCATTCCAAGTTTTTGCAGAATATTAAAAAACCGATCAATCAACAGCCAGAGACAAGCGTGGATCAATGCCAGTGATGGCTGTGGCTGTGCTCGATGAGGGAACTCTCAGTGGGGGTTCTCCAAACAGAATTAATGATTAATGGTTAATCGCCTTTAAACACAGGGCCATTCGACTATTGCTGATGACCGCAGGCTCGACCGAGCTGTCTAGATCGCAGGCATGTTAAACAGGAACGATCTGCCGCCGACGTAGGTGCTACAGACTAGTGATCTCGGTGTAAACGAGGGGTCGTCCTAGTATCTGGGGCTCTTCCACTCTCGCAGAGTCTAGAGGGCCGTTCCTCGGTCCAGACCGGGCAAGCTCGGTGAAACACAGTGACATTCACCAACTGGTCACAGAGTCATGTACCCATGATGGCAGAATTGCTCTTTTCAGCAGCTTTACGTTTTTTTATGCATCAGACTGCATTGAATCTTCAATCTGTATTATAACAACCTGCGAGATCCATTCCAGCTAGTGGAGCCACAGCCAATCAGAGTCGCGAAAGTCGCCGGTTGACTTTTCTGGTACGCGTATGGCACGTGACCGGGCGCGGTATCGCGATCCTTTTGTAATGGCTTGCAACCCATACAACAGAGTATTGTTCGATCGATTTCTACGTTTTCTTCTTGCTAAGGGACTCTTATTCTCTCGGAGATAGAATGTCCTATTATGATATTGACGCTATATTGACGGATGGTCAAGTACGTTCAGGCCAGAGCAATAAGCGACTCTCATAGATCTTTACCCAGCAGACTAATCCATCTAGCAGAAACTACCATGTACTTTTGAGCTCGAGGTTCCCGGCCTTGGCTTTCTTGAGGGCAATCCCGGTGAAAATGTCCGTGTTGGCGATGCATCAACCCCGATAGCCATTGAATATGCCATCTAACCACGCGATGCGTATAGATCAAAACAGGCACTCAGGTCGACCTGCCATTATGGCTAGGAGAAATGCTTTCTATAGGGTAAAGACATAGACTGGTAGACTGAACATAGTTGCTTACTAGCCGTGCCTATATAGTGCGCGACTGGGCACCTCACGCCTTGTGACGCTCGATATCCCCTCCGCGCTCTCTGAGCGAGTCATGAATGCTCTCAAGGCCGATCCGCGAACAGTAGATCTTCGTGCCCAAGCTCCTCATTTCTATAGTCTCGGGGTGCGTATTCTCGAGTTGTTTGAAGAGGAAGAGATGGGCGATGTCTTGAGCGATGTGAGTTTCTTGCCTGTTATTTCCGGGGGTATCGGTTACTTCTTGTGTCGTCGGTCGCTGACAGTCAATCAAAGACGCTTAGTAAAAGAGCTGCTGAGGTTGCCAATCATGCACACAATCCACGGGGAGCCTTGGGCGACGGCGTGGACTTTCTACGGGGGCTGGACGAGACGGAAAGACAGCGTAAGCTCTTCGACGACTACCATGTGCTGGTTGCTGACTTGGCGACCTTCTAGTGTTCCGGATAGCTCATGATAGCGCAAAGGAAATTAGGATATGGGCAGGTGAAGCAAAGAAACCGAAGTAATGTGAAGATACCACTCTTTATGCATGTATTTTTCACGGCCTACATGAATTTTCATATCATTCTGGCTCTAAGCATTGCGCCTTTCTTTTCTTCAGTAGAATGCGGCTCTGTCACGGTTTCATCTTTCAATTGATTGTGTTTAAGTACCTACAAGGCATTTAAAAAGCGCTTCCAGTTGTCTTTCTATCGCAGACTTCCAGCTAAGCAGAAAGGCCTTGGTCCCATTCTCACCAAACGTATTTGAACCACTCAATGGAAGTGTGGACTTGAATATGGCGACTGTTTTATATATGGCCAGCCACCAGCCTTGTCGATTGCCACCTCTGTGGCTGTTTCTATTAGATGGCCTGGATGGTTTGACATCAATACAAGCAAGGCACACTACTCAAAGAGAATCAAATCGATGAGCATGGCAGCAGTGAAGCCAGTACCATCCAGCAATCCAGCCCTAGTTTCACACGTTCAATGTAACGGCATACAAAGGGCAATTACAAGGACAGCAGCAAACTATGACAAAGGCAATACCTGTCTTAATTTCTGGGATCCTAGAATACTTGGGACATTATTATTGGGTTCAGAAACAGATACTGTCTCTACAACCTCATCCTCTATGATTTTCATAGAGGAGAGGGGTAGTGGAAACCTCTATCCACTGATAAGCAATGTTTTGACACGAACGGCTATTAGTCTTCGTGGATCTTATGGGTTGTTATCGGAACATTATCTAATGTGCTCACATACCCCCGTATTATCGATAAGATGTGATCTCACATTGAATTCGGACTTCCGACACCAGAAGACATTTCTGATTGGATACATGTAGAGAATGGCGCGCGTACGACACGAAAATTTCCGCGTCGCGCAAGATCGTGATTCGTGTTGGCCAAAGATGCTGTACTGATAAAGCCCGCTGATATGTAATTGGCGTTCAGCCGCCAACCAGAGCTGTGGAATGAAATTGACTCGTGTGATGGGTCCAGGATCAGATGTGATGTTGGTGACAGTCCCCAAAAACAGGAGCAGCCTTTCCCTCTCGGGACTACTGCAAGGGGCAGCGGAGCCAGCCACCGCGGCGGGCAATGCCCCGATTGGGCCGCCGCCCGCTGTGGGTCGCGCCGACAACCTTGTTAGGCTGGCTGTACCTATCACAGGCTCTATTCAGCAACGCCTGAGGCAGCGAGGCAGCTACTTTTGGGGCAGCCGTTCGGGCGGCTGGACTGGGTCTCTGCCCTCGGTCTCTGTTCACGGACCACTCACTAATGCCCAGCTCTCCCAGCCCTCGTAGAATAATATTCATTCTCCATTGCCATCACACATCCATTACACTCGTTCCCCCTTACTTGCGCCATCTGTGATACGTCGCCATCTTCCTTAACCTTCTTTTCTTCTGCTGCTGCTTCTCCTCCCAGCTCCAACTTCCCCATTGGCTGGTACCTTTCGCCCAGGTGGTTTTCTCCATCTAGTTCCTGTCACAACGTTTGACTTTGCGCAACCCCTACCTCCCTCCCTCGCTCGCCTCTCAATCAATAATCACTCTCAATTGAACCATCAATGTCCCTCTTTGCCTTTCTCTGCATTCCTATTTCTCTTTGAACTTGACTTCAACCCCTCGCATCTGCCACACTCCTTAAACTACCAATAGAGATCAACGTCAAATTCTCCGACTGGCGCACGGTGGACCTGTGCTGTTTCCCTGGATGGAAGTCCCGCCCTTGCCTGCACCATACCAGACCAACCCGTATTTAAAGCTCACAACAGTCCGCCAATATGAGTGTGTACGACCAAAGACGTCCTGCGTCCACAGGGCCATCTTCTTCTCCTTTGCCGCAGTCGCCGTTTCTTCGACGAACTGGTGGAGTGTCTCCCACGAGACGGACGTCCTCCAGAAGACTATCTTCCCGTGAGCAAGCCTTTCTTCAATATACCTTGGTAATGACGTTGACGCCTTTTAAGATGCAGGTGACGCTGGCCGCGCCCTTGCTCGCTCGACTCCTCGCAAGATTTCACGGAACAATCCCCCACATATTAACAACGGCGAGCAATAACACGAATGGTTTCGTACTAGATTGATGCTAATTGAGAAGTAGACATTGCAAAATCGCAATTCTCAATTATGAATCCACGGCCTCAAACCCCAACACGACGAGACTCTGGTGAGTTGATCCCCATCGCCCTAACTATCACCCCTCTAACGGCCTACAGATACCGCAGTTACACTCGTCAACCCTACCTCAACGATTCTCCAAGGCTTGATTAAGGAGCAGCGCGCGAGCCGCAGCTCTCGAAGAGCAACTCCAGACATGCCGGACACCATCGCCATTAACACGACCCCCACTTCTCAGTCGCATTCTCGGTCCCATGAGGACAGCGTTTCAGAAAAACAACGTCGGGTCAGCAACTCTTTGTCTGCTGGAATAAGACAACCCCGAGATATGGGAGTCCGTGAGATGGATCAGGTTAGTAAAGTTTCAATGACTCCAAAAAAGCCCCCGCTAATTGGCATCTTAGTACGTGTCAAAGATAAATAAGCTGAACTTCGACTTGAAACTTGAAATATTTCACCGTACGCAACAGATGGCTGCCTTGGAAAAGAAACTGGAGCGCATGCGTGCCATGGAACAGGAGCTTGAACGGTTGCACGGCCTCGAGGATGAACTAGACGAGCTTCGAGAGGTAGACGAGACCAACGAAAGGCTTCGAGAAGCCAACGAACAGCTGCAATCAGAACTTGATAAACGAGATCAAGCTATCAGTGAGGCTGTTGATATGATCTGCCAGCTAGAGGCTAAGGTAGAGGAGTTGCAGGCGGGTCGATCTGAGCCCCGTCCATCAACCGCAACCCCTCCCGCCAACGAAGGATTGGGCCTTTCTACACCAGAGCCCACTGAAGTTTGCACCCCCAAAGCCGACATTGTAGTCGATATACCAGACCGAACATCTTCACGAAAAGGCACACGTCGCCGACCACGGAAAGCACCCAGTTTTCTACGTGAGGAGAACAGGAGTACTGCTGCTTTGCGAAGTTTATATCTGACCGAAGAGAACAAGTCCGTGAGGTCTGTCAGTACATCGACTATGGCAACGACGGTGGATTCGACGATGGAGCCATCTTCTCCAAGACTGAGCGTTCTCAGTGAATGCAGCTATTTCAACCCGCAAGATATCCAACCGAATAACAATGCCATGGACCAGCTTGATCGATTGGACCGATATGACTTCACTGCGGAAGACCATCCCGACATGTTGAATCTTGGGGGTTCAAGAGATAGTCATATCGGTCGTATGGACAGTAACTGGACTCAGCCTCAAAGTATCGTTAACGGCTCACTTCGCCGAAATAGAGCACGCACTCTTTCGGATGTTTCCAGAGGCACACAAGTCCCTGCCACCAGTTTAGTAGAACCATTTCTTGCCGTTCGGGATACTAAAACTTTTCACCTTGACAGCCCTAGTCAACCACATCTGTCTTTTTTTGGCGGTAGACTTCCTCCAACCCCCGATACAATGAGCACGTTTCGTTTGGGGGCTGGAAGCGGGTCAAATGCTTCCTTTTCGATGGACAGAGCGGCAGTCGATTACAAGGCGCCAGGTACACCGTCCTCTATGCCACGGCATTTGAGTCGGCCACGTTCAGCTGGCCAAATAGCAACTCGACCTAGCACCGGAATTAGCGGCGTTTCAGATGGGATCGACACGACGATGAGCGTGGATACACAGCAAGAACTAGCCCCAGGAAGCAGATATGATATTCCTGGTCTATTCCATTCATTCAATCATTTTGGCAGAGGTTCTTCAAAGGCCACTCAACTCTTAGGGCCTGGTAGTCCGAGCAACCCCAGATTGAGTTGCTACGGTGGTGATTTATTGTTCAACGGCGAAGGTGTTGATGACATAGTTTCAGGAATCCGCGAGGGCCGAACTTCGTCCTTTAGGTCTGACGTATCTAGTAAGTTTCCGACACGGCTGGCCTCATCGCCGCCATTATCGCCACAAGAATGGCTTGAAGCAGCGAAATCAGAAGAGTCAGCACAGGAAATACGATCGTCCCCATCAAGCTTAAGCGAAGGAAACTTAGTTATCGAAACCAGCGGAGCCGAACAGCCTGATGTCATTCATGAAAATAAAAATTCAGCTGATAGCCAGCCTCTTCCACGAAACCCTCCTCTTCGTCTCCGTGCATGGGCAAACGATACACAAGCTGTTCCTGAACCGCAGCCGCGCAGACGATTGTCTCTTCGCCCTAGGTTTTTCAGCCGGAATCGCCAACAAGAGCCACCCTCAGTCTCGACTGACAGTAACCAAGGACCTTCGCCCCTTCCGACGAAATCGCCATTGTTGAATGTTTCCAAACACCGACGGACCGGTTCAGGGCCAGGTCTCGTGTCTGAAGGTTGTGCCAGACCAGGAACCACAGAAGCTATTCGAATAGATACTCGTCCTCTACCTCGACCACTTGCAGACTTGCGTCCTTCAACAACCACGCGGCCGAAGACATCCGACAGTTCAGAGCACCGACGGAAAGGGTCACTATTGTTGGGTTGGATGAAGGGTTCGACCAATAAAGATGCCGACTGTTCGCTTGTTGGAAACCTGTCACTTCCTCGCAGCGCCACAGAAAGACCCAAGTCTACGGTTAGCACTGGTAGTCAAACTTTTGAGCTTTGGGGAGCCAATGAGGACTCGTCCAAAGCCGATGATGAACCTGTCTGGCGTGCACGAAGACGGTCTCGGAGATTAGCCTAAATATATATGGCAAACTATCACAACATTACCTACCACCACCTTCTTACTTCATGATACCCCTGCTTTTGTATTGTATTTGATTTTTATTTTGATTCCTGGCATTCTCTTTTGCCAGAGTCCGTGACTTGATGTTGTATTAGAAACAATCGCTGTTTCTTTGTTATGTGTCTACCCTTTGACACTCTTCATTGACGTGTATTTTTACGAAAACTCAAAAGTCTGATTTCAACCGACGGCCGCCTCATTGTCCTTACACATCCACTGCGTGTACCACCTATTCTTTTACCACACAGATCAGTTCGTTTTCGTTTACTATTTCGATACTGGTCACTGTACTTTGCTACGATCATACTTTTTGGCTCGATGCTTTCGATGTATTGATCAATGGATGAGACGCTTTCGCGATGTCTGTACTTAGCTTTTTATTTTAAACCGACATCATTATACTTCAATGTTCTTAATTACAATACAAGGAGCTTTCACTTAGAACATGGCGACATCAAACCATTACCGAGGGACCTATTAAATTGTAAAAGACTGGTTTTATCTTGCATTATGATCTTACAGGTAGGATATGTACGTCCTCAATGCTAGATGAACAGACTCTAAAATACCATCCAACATTGCATATAGGCACCAGGCAGTTCCTAAGCACCAAAGCGCTTCTCGGCAGCCTTCCAGTTCAAGACTTCCCAGATGGCCTTGAAGTACTCCGCCTTCCGGTTCTGGTATTGAAGACTGGAAGTGTTGTGTTAGTCCAATTGTGTCATAATTTCTTCCCCAATTTGGTTTTGAGGGTGTAGAAAACGTACTAGTATGCGTGTTCCCAGGCATCAACACCTAGAAGAGGAGTGTATTGGCCGACGACAGGATCTTGGTTCTTTAATTGCCATCAATTAGTACGTCTTATTCGCCACCCAAGAAACTAGAAGTAGATGAAATAGAACATACGGCAAAGGTCTTGATAGACACATCGCCAGTGTCCTTGTCCCGAACAAGCCAAGCCCAACCGCTGCCCTGGATACCAGCTAGGGCATTGTTGAACTTGGTCTGGAATTCGCTGAAGCTACCGTAAGTCTCATCGATGGCCTTAGCCAAGGCGCCGGAAGGAGGTTCACCACCACCGGCACTTTTAGGAGCCAAGTTCTCCCAGAACAGAGAGTGGTTGATATGGCCACCGCCGTGGAAGTTGATCAAAGGCTTCAGCGCGATTTGCGCGGCGATGTCGTTCTTGGCTTGCGCTTCCTGCAGTTTCTCGATGTTGGTGTTGAAGCCATTGACGTACACGTTATGGTGGCCCTTGTGATGGATTTCCATGATCTGACCGGAGATGGAAGGCTCCAGGGCGCCGTAGTCATCTGCATCCATGAAGAATAGGTTAACATACGTATTCGTTCATTTACGGTCGGTGGATCGGTTTGCTGGTGGGCGATAATAACACCACTTTAATTCATCCTTAGATTTGAGAGTCGTCGCTTACATGCAAGATCGGGAAGAGTAACCTTGGTCCGGACGAAGCTCGCTCCAGCAAGGCCGGCAGAGCGACGAGTCGAAGCTCCAGCGCGTAGAGCGTTGCGGGCGGTGGAAGTGCGTAGGAGCGAGGCAGACATGGTTTGATGGATCAGAGATTTTCTATGTAAAGTGTTTGTCAGTTGAGCAATATCAATTCTGGACAATTGAACTAACCGCGGTTTCAACAGACTGGACGAACCAAGGAGGTCTTGAGGTGAGGTGACGAGATTATTAAGTGTTAGCCGACATAGGCAAACAAAACGTCATAACTACTCGGCAGCTCCCGGGGTCTCGGGCATCTGGAGTCCCGAGCTGCAGATAGGGAACAATGTTTCGCCGGCTCCGTTGCAAAGCTCCGTAAACAGTCTAGGTTGCGCCTATCATTTTGGAGATTGATACTGCCAACCTTGCGGTTTTTGCCGCAGACAACGCTGCCTAGAACCTCCATCTGCGTGCTTGACGACAGCACGGAGGCTTCTTGAGCTCACTCCTACGTCGAAATTCCATCAAGTCCGAGACTAGTCGCCTCCGTCGGACTTGCGACTATGGATCATGACGAGTCCCCTCCGCGATCGCCCTTTGCAGGTCAAAAGCGCAAGGTGGAGGAAATGAGTTCTTCAGACGAAGAAGAAGCTTCAAGGCCCGTGCTTGGGTTTCGAGGCTTTCAGCGTGCTGCTTCGCGCTCAGAATCCCCCCCAACAATGAGCGGTTTGGGAGGCGGGGCTCGTCGTGGTGCCTGGAACAACATGTCAAACCCATCCGTTGGGACACCGAATCGCGGGGCTGGAGGGGCTGGAAATAAATCAGGATCTACGATGGGAGGAAATTCATTTGCAGCGAGAATGATGGCAAAGATGGGCTATGTGGAGGGCCAAGGTCTGGGCTCGACTGGTCAGGGTATTGTCAACCCAGTCGAAGCACAGGCTCGTCCGCAGGGTATCGGTCTCGGCGCCGTCAAGGAAAAATCAAAACAAGCTAGAGAAGAAGAAAGGCGGCAAGCTGCTGCTCGAGGCGAAGTTGTGGAGGATAGTTCAGATGAAGAGCGTAAACGACGACAGAGGAGAAAGGCGCAACAGCGTAAAATGGACGGTCGCAGTGGAACGAGTACGCCGGCTGGCCCACCAAAACCACGATTCAGGACAGCTCGTGAGATGGAAGCAGAAGCGGAGGGGCTAGATGTGCCCAGTGTGCTTATGTCGCTGGTTGACGCTACAGGGAAGGAACAAAAGGTCTTAACATCTACTGCAGGATTGATGACGCCGATGCAATTCGTGAATAAAGAAGAAGGGGAAGCGCTGAAGATTGCCCGTCGTGCACGACATGACCTAGAGGCTTTCGTTGATGAGTGGAAAGGTCTTACTGAACGAAAGAAATTCATTGAATTCGAAGAGAGCCAGGTTGTCCACGAGATCGATGCCCAGCAACTAAAGGCAGACCAACTAACCCAGTTAGTATCAGCTCTCAGTGGCCTTGAGGTATCCAAAAATGAAGGCGACGTCTCACGACTTTTTGAAGAGGTTACAAGTAAACTTGAATTGATCGAAGCGGAGCATCGAGAAGTGATTGACGAGTATCGCCTATCGGACGCAGCGGTAGCAGCTATCCACCCTCTCTTTCGCCGAGCCATCGAAGAATGGGAGCCATTACAAAATCCTACATATCTTGTTGCTGAACTGCGACGTTTACAGCCTCTTCTTAGTCGAAATCGGTCGCAAGCAGGAAGTGAAGAGCAGCATCGGCAATCGACAACCCCATACGAAACCCTGATCTACTCAATATGGCTACCCCGGGTACGTTCTGTTCTATTGAACGAATGGGATGTTTATGAACCTTCGCCTGCCACTTCACTTATGGTTGCATGGAAAGAAGTAATCCCAACATTCGTATTCGCAAATATACTCGACCAAGTGATAGTTCCCAAACTCAGTACGGCTATTAAAGAGTGGAAACCTCGTAGTAGCCGACGCCACCCCAATGCCTCCCAGCAAAACTCTCGTTTTCCATGGTGGCTATTCACCTGGCTACAATATCTAGACGACCGACACACAAACCCCAAGCAACCAACTGGTCTGCTATCGGACGTAAAACGCAAATTCAAGATTCTTTTAGATACATGGGATCTGCATAAAGGCTTGTTTGGCGGCATCGAACTCTGGAAAGAGGCACTCGGATCTGAATTCGATGTCGCGCTTCAAAATCACTTACTCCCCCGACTAGCAAGGTACCTACGAGAAAATTTCGAAGTCAACCCACAGGATCAAGACCTGGCCGCGTTTGAAGATGTCCTCAAGTGGAAGGATTTTTACAAGCCTAAGGTTTTCGGATTACTTCTCGTCGCTGAATTCTTCCCTAAATGGCACAACATTCTATATGTTTGGCTGACGAACGAGCCCAACTTCGAAGAAGTCGGCGAGTGGTTCACCTGGTGGCGCTCACAGGTTCCTTCGGAACTTAATGAAATCGTGGCCGTCGATGACGAATGGACAAAGGGGCTAAAGATGATGGACCTAGCTTCTCAACTGGGTGAGCGCGTTGCAACAGAACTTCCACCGCCTGAAACGATCACTCAAGCGCCACCAGCGCCAGGTGCAGGCGGTCTTCAACCAGACAAGGCTATTCCAGCAGCCGTAGCCAAACCAAAACAACCGGCCACAGAAATCGCTTTCAAGGATATTGTCGAAGACTGGTGTGCAGAACAAGGCCTCATTATTCTTCCCTTGCGAGAAGCCCATCCGCAAAACGGTCTACCTTTGTTCCGTATTACTGCTAGTGCGAGTGGGAAAGGGGGTGTTGTTGTTTTCTTGCAAGGCGACGTTCTCTGGGCACAGAATCGTAAAGCACGGGATACTTGGGAACCGATCGGATTGGAGGATCGGTTAGTAGAACGTGCTGAGGGTAAATGATCAAGGAAATAAATGTGTATAAAGGGTCACCTCCTTTAATACCTATTGTATAGATATTTCACCGACAATAGTCACTTTCAAATGTTATAAGATACCAATGTCAACCGGATTTGTGGCATGCGTAAATAGTCAGTCTATGTAAGTCTTATGTAAGAATCATTGGCCATATACAATCATTAAAATGGAAAACTACTCAGCATAAGAACGCGCTTAGTATCCTTCCTCAGGAGACTTCGTATTATTTACACAATATTATAGCCAATTCTAAGTGGGTAAAACAACGCAAAAAAAGCAGAATGAGTCTCTAACCCATCTAACAATAAACCTCAAAACTGGTTTAAGAATCAGCCCTTAGCATTGTATTTCTCGTTGAAGGCGTTCACCGCTAGTAAAAAGTCAGAAAATTAGAACGATAAAAGATGAAGGGACCATTGGCTATCCATTTACCTATAGCAATTTGCTTATACAACCAATTTCGTGCGCTCTCATCTTGAACTGGAATAAATGGTCCATTGGCACCGCCCTTGAGTGTAATGCTCATGCCGGTTCGTTCCTTCGAGATTGTTTGGATGTCCGTAAGCGTAATTTCCCATTCAGACTGAAGCTTATTGGATCGCACAAGCATAATACGGTCGTAGGTTAACAAAACTATCATGTCCCGTCCAGGAAGCTCAAGGTGTGCGATGTAATCCTCTTTAAAGAATTTGCCGTCATCCGTCGTCTTGAGCCAGAATTGTCCAAGCGCTTCACGTTGTGAGTAAGGACGTACAATGCCATCCATGCCAATAAATCGGGTAAGGCGAACGCGGTCCAGACCTTCGGCGTCAAAAACAGTTGTGGTATTTCGCACTCCCTCGGCGAGATCTGTTTTTGGTTAGCTAAATGCCTTATTAATCCAAATACAGTTACAACTTACTGGATGCAAGGTCAAACGCTCCAATGGCTGGCTTTGTTACAACCCCAAGAACTCCAACTCCAACGCCTTTCATAAAGCCTTGGAAGCCTCCCTTCTCTGCACCCTGCAGCGGATGACGTGCAAGACCACCAATGCCACTCGCCAAGCTCTGAGCGAATGCATTACCGCCAGAAGTTACGCCATACAGTGCGTGTTTAGGTCGATTGCGTGCTTTGGACATCCGTCTTTGGTCTTGGAATTCCTTATCAAGAGTAGCAGCTGCAAGGCCCTTAGACATACTTCCAGTGATCTTGGCCATACTATCCGAAAAGCCGAATACAGATTTCTTGAAAAAGCTACCAGCACCCTTGGCGATACCATAGCCCAAGTCTTGAGGCCGATCTGTAACCAATCCTTGATACGGTTCGTAGAAAATATCCGCCACGCCAGAACTGACAGTGTTGAATAGACCGACTGGATTTCCTAGGAAGTCCGCAGATCCAAGGACAATATGTATCTGACGGAGGAACTCTTGGGTATAGTGTTTCCTGACATTCGTTATGAGTAGTGGAACCGAGACCTTAGCATTTTCCAATATGAGGGCATTCAGTCGAACCGGGGCATCATTGACGTTTCCGATGGACATCGTCATAACGTTGACAAAGAACATGAACGGGTTGGATGGCTGTAATTTGTCTTCGACATTTACGCGTTCTGTCCGCATGAAAGAGATATCTACCTGCATGGGTTGCAAGTGCAGCAGTTCGAAGTAAACATCTTGCTTTGCCTCATAATATCTTGGCTCAGGGATGTCTAAGTCCTCATCGCAGAGCTTGCCTTCTTGTTCAATCGACCACGATGCGCCTGGAACTTTAGCAAAGTCAAGCATGGCAAAGACAAAATCCTCGTCGAGTTCCAAAGTCATCTGTTGTAAGAGCAGAGTAGCATACTTGATGTAGAGAACACCATATGAGTCATCTTTAACCTTCGTAATCATAGCGTGAAATATGGGATGCGCCTCCATTTCCTTTCCAGTCTTTGGCACAACACTAGGATAGAGAAGAATAGGGAAAATACCTCCGTAAAGCTGATTATCGATTTGAACCCATTTTATGGTAGTATCTAGTGTCTGATACACTTCAGATTCGCGCAGCTTGATCTCTATTTCACGGAATGTGCAATAGAGCAGTTCCTTCATGGTCTGGTTGATCAACGATATACCTACACCACCGAGACGGAGTTGCGCTTTGAAGGTAACATCGGAGTTTTCTTCTTTGACTTCGAAACCAGTTGCAACGCTAGTTTGGGATGTTTGCCCTTTCTGTTGTCTATACATACTCTTCGATGGCTTAAAGTTAGAAAGAACAAGTGTCTGAGTGGGACCCTCGGCGACGATATTGAGATCAACTATTTTTTGACCACTTGAGTTGGGATGCATTGGGACTCTCATCGGAATCAGGTTTCCTATCTCGGCCAATCTAATATGCCGTTCTTTTCCATTGCAGTTTAACACCAGAGACTTGCTCTTCGCAGCAGGATAATCCCAAGCATACGGCATGATACTACGAGGCGGCAGGCGATAACGAATCGGACGCCATCCACTATTCGTATCATCGTATTCTTCATCGTCAACATTAGGATTTGACTGATAGAAGATGAACTCCATATCACTCTCGTTCCTCATAGAGAATGGCCAATGCTTGGTTTCCATGCTAAAGTGGATAAATATAGTTGCGTTTTCCATCACCACCTCCACTTTGATGAGTCTTTGACGTTGAGAAGCCTTGGCTAGTTTAACATGAACTGTTCCGACATCGGCGATGTTAAAAGGAGACGACCATTGGTTGTTGACACCTGGGAAGCATAAACACAATTGCTTTTCTGGAACCTGGCGAAGGAAGTTAAGAGGTACAAGATCCCCCCCCTTCAATGTCAAAACATTTGAGGTCCCTGGCTCCCTTACTTGCAAGTCTTCGCTCAGCTTATTGTTGAGAATGAAGCGAGGTGTAATAGTGACAACCCTCGTCAGTTTGTATTTGCCTTCTCCCTCGGCGACTGACACGCCAGCGTGGAATTCAGTCCTAGTTGATTTTGAGGGAACGACAATCTCAAAAGTACTGCCGATAGCGTCAAAACTTTGCGGTTTACTCCAGTGAGAATCGCCAATCCGCAAGATAGACCGGTTCTTCTGGTCATCTGTATGATATGAATACATATAAGGCTTCGTGTGGCCAGCATTCGAACCAGCATTTATTCCTTGTCCAGCTGCTGATCGTGCAGATTGCATGAAGGCTTTGCTTTGAATCTCCATGCTGAGACCTGTCTTGTTGAGAATCAAATAGGGACTGTAAACACTAACTTTAAAAGCACCGCCACTGTCGGGGACATTGAAGTAGTGTAGTTTCAATCTCAGTTCTGCACCGTGCTCGTCTTTCAATGCAAGTACATCTTCTCGCCTGAAGTCCTGGACATTGCCATTGATAATGGCAAACTCACTTTGCCTGAAAACCGAGTCTTGCATATCGATACTGAGTAGAAGCAGGTGAGAAAGCTCCACGACATGTACCGGACTAACTCCACCTTTTCGCAAGAAATTGGTCCAGTCTTTGCGAGTATTCTTGTCATATATTCGATATTTAAAATCATAAGGCAACAGGTTCTGAATTTCAACAGGCGCTGAAATGCGGAGTTTCATATGCGGGTAGTTGTTGAGCAGAGGATCTCGCTTGTCAAAGGAGGCGTTTAATTGAAAGTAGAATGGAGGAGACTGCTGCCCACTCTCGCCCTTACACGTAATTGTCCTTGTCGGCCTGCGTAGAAGATCCTTCCAATATAGCTGTTCATTAGACCAATCATAGCCAAATCCTTGGTCGGGGCGCACGACGAGTTGATGCAAAAATGCTGAGCCAACTGGAGCAGGACGAGAGTCACCCGGCAGAATCTTTTCAATCTTAAGTAGATGGCCATCGTCGGGGCTGAAGACACCCATTTCAACAGGTATCTGCGTGTTATTTTCCAACAGCAAAGGTGAGCGGAATGTAATGTATTTAACATTGTCTGTGCCTAACTTGACATCGACAAGAAGCTTATGTAGCACTTTGTCTTTCTTCGGCTTGAGGTTGTACAGCGTCTCACCCTCCCTAATCACTGGTATATGATTAATGCTGTCGAAGCCACTGCCGTCGAGCTTGACGCCCACTAAGCCCGCATTTCCCTCAGGAGTAAGATTCTCACGCATGGTGGTTGGATCTTCAAAGCGCCAAGGGTATTCTTCTCCGTCACTAAGCTTAGCAGCCGGTCCAGTCTCTTCTGCTCCAACGTCTGCCCACACCCTAAGGTCAAACCCAGTATAGTTACGGATCCTATACGGAGCATCAGCACCTCTAGGTTTAGATAGCACATCCTCATCCGTTTTCAAGAATTGAAATGATTTCGAAGCGAGAGCGATTGTAGCAGAAGTAACTGTCAACTCCATGTTTTTGTGCGAATATGCCTCGATAGACAAAACATCTGGGTTCAATTCCTTCGCCATATGAAATCCTAGTTGCCATGGCTCAACAAGGGGCTCCCAGGCCGACTTCGAAAAGTTATAAACGTTGACAAAGGTATCAAATGTAGTGTCCGCATTCAAGGTAGAAGACCAGTCTCTGACGTCCACATTAAACTTCTTAACGCTCCAGTCAAGTAAAGGAAGTTCGTGTAAATCGCCAATCAAAATAACTCTAATGCCATCAATCTGAGCACCGAGTTCCTCCTTTTTAATCACTGCGGGTTGGTTCGGGTTTAGTCTCTGTTCTGGAATTAAATTACCGACTGCTTGAGACCCTGCGGCAGCTGGACCAGACAACCGTCCACTGGAAGATCGTCTTTTAGACGATTTTGTGCTTTCGCCCTTAACTTCCTTGAGTTTTTTGGGTTCGTCAGAGGTATCGGGTTCCGGTAGGCCTGTTCGCATTTCGGACACCTTGTTCATGATCTGTGTGGCGAGAAGAATATCTCGCAGTGACAAGCGCAAGACAAGGGGCTCCACATGAACATCGATGCTTGTCAGGGCTGACCCTTTGTCTTGGGGACGGCTATCTACAGACAGCTCCAGTGTGAAATCGTCAAGAATCCGCAGTCTGCTAGTTTCAAACTTATCCATCCGGCAAAGAAACATGCCAACTTTATTGATCTGAAGCGTGGAAACATTCTGGTGCGAGAAAAGTACTTGTTTTGTTCCGAGAACGATTGCTTCAGTGTTTGAAATTGTAGGATTAGCAATCATGATGACTTGTGCATCGATAATGTCTGCTCTGAATGAAACTGTCATCTCGCTTTTCTCGTCAGTTTGCCTGGTAGGAGGCACGTTATAACTACTAGCAGCAGCACTAAAAGCAGCTTCTGGCTCTTCCGGCGCTTCGGGTGTTTCAACATCCTCTTCCACATTCGATGACAATCTCTGCGCAAATACCTCGCTTGCAAATGACTGCAAGGCAATTAAGTAGTCGAGAGCAAGAATTATGCGAGGACTGTCAATGGTAAGCATGGCAATTAAGTGTCTATTAGGCCCCGGTGACATCGAAACACTGGCCATGAATTGTTGCTGAACATTGGTATTGATGAGGGACATGATTTTCCTGAACTTATTGGTCTCCTGTAAGCGACTGTCCCTGATCGAAAATGAATGGATCAATAGCTCCGACTCTAAAGCCCCATCGCTCAGCATGCGCAGTTTAATCCTGGTATCATTCAAAGAAAATTTAGATAAACTGGCCTCGTCGACTTGACCAACGGGTTTGTCCTCCTTGGCCGAAATGAGTTCCAGGCCAACACTATCGACTTTGAAAATCATGTCGAGTTTAACCCATGTCTCTTTGTCCTGGCCTATTTCAGGTTTTTGGTTCGTTTGTTTCATTGCGCTCTGGATGGCATATGTCTGGTCCACAGGCTCTACACCGACCGCAGGTAGAGATTTCATTGCCTCTAATTCTTGCTGATCACCGTCGGGTGTGAAAACTCTAGGAACCGTTTTGGAGATTTCCAGCAAAAACTTGAGTTGTGCTTGCGATGTACGAAGTTTGATCGGAGACATTGTACCTTCGACTTCTATATCCGGACGAGGTTGGTCTTCTTGATGTTCAAGATAGCATATGCTAAAATCAAGGTTCACTTTTTGTATCATCTCTAGTTGTTCATGAGACCCGTCTTCGAAGTAAAAGTCAGAGATAAGACGGATGTTTCGAATTCCAGTGGTGATCACATTAACCGCTGGACTGTCTTTTCGGTCATCAAGAGGAACAAAGGTATTGCTAGCATAAATTTCTCCCAGTTCTGCAGTGATAAGATCTCGTGGCCTTTCATCGACCAAAGGTTTGGGAAAGACGACTATAGGGGTCCGGACAACAATATCGAGTCTCATACGCGAAGCATTTTCCTGAAGTTGGGTTGCTTGGCTAGCTGCTGCTTGTCGGGCTGCATTGAAGATAGCCTGCATTTTTCCGAATTTCACCAAGAAATTGACAATTTTCCGGTACGGCTCTTCCAAAAATTGAATCTTGATGGACCCAGATCTTAAGAAAACTTCCGAGTCATAGCCAGGGTATGATGACGACTCGGGATCAAAAGTCTGGTATCTAAAATCAGCAAAGTCTTCTCCTTCGATGGTCAACAATCTTCGGAGAGATGAATCTGCAGACGCGCCGACATTCACATCATCAATTAATGTCAAGCTTCCAATCCGTGATTGTATTTGTATGGCCTTGCCAACCAAGAAAATACCAACGTCTGCGGTATTTAGACTCAAGGTTGCAAGTCTTACACCATCATTGTTAAGAATTAATGCAATACTCTTCAGATTCGACTTGATACGAATTTTCCCAGCTTCTTGTGGTTTCTGCCGTTCCAAATCTAGATCTTTAACAGCGCTGTCTGCCTTTCGTCCTTCTTTTGGTTGATCTGGATTGGTGAATGTAATCAACACAAAGTCTAGGAGTGTCAAGAGAGTCTTTCTTGTAACAATGACATTTATAGTTGAGACTGCGATGTCAAGGTTCATGTTAACTTCCTCGTAGGTCGATTTGAATTCGGGAGACTCGGGTTTAACGCGAACGAATTTGAGATTGAACAAGTCTTTATCTTCCTCGGCATTGAAGCCTTTCGAAGAGATGATCTGCTTGAATTCAGGGGCTGGGTTTTCCTCGATATAATCGTCCACACTGAGTGACTTCAGCGTCACTTCAGCGACCATGTCGAACGGTCTTAGGTAATAATCTAATTGAAAGCCTTGAGCGATTAATTCCACAAGCAGTTGATCCGGCCTTTCTTCTTTCGGATCTGATCTGAATAGAGAACCGCGCAATGTTCCAACGGTGAATTTAAATTCAAAATCACGTTGGTGTAAAGCTACAGGCTGCTCATTCTTTTTTGTGACTGCACTTTTGACCGATTCCTCGACATCAGATTCTTCGTCGAGAAGAGGAATTTCTCTAGCAGTTGATGGTTGAAATGAAGCCGATCTTGCTCTGGTTGTAGCATTATCAGCAGGGGTTTCTTCAGCAGCAGTCAATCGCTTTGCAGACGGCTGTTCAATTGCCTCTTCAAATCGTGGTATGGCTATATCAATAAGTTTCATCAAATTCCTATATTTTTTGTCAGACATTGAAGCATGCAACTCTGGCAGGTGACCTGAAACTCGAGTCCTCGTTAAGTCGGTAGACTTAGGAACAATGCAAAACTCGAGGACAAAATCGACATTGATTCGATCTATAATGTGTAGATCTTTCGCAGGGTCATCAGTACTAAGTTGTGATCTTGTAGCCTCAATACCGGGACCTATGAGCACTTGGGTTGAATCAAGTTTGATCAGAAACTTGTCATAAAGAAGATCCTCAAGTTGCCGGTAATCTTCTTCATCATATTGTCGCTTCTGTTTTGATTGCAGTTCCATCATAGTTTCTCGGTTGACTAGTTCACTGTTGACGCTGATGTGACCAGCATCTAAAATGAGGCACAAAGCACTTGCTTTCGTGATACTTTCGGGGACTATAATAAGCGGTGCTTGAAGGTCAAACTGAGCGTTGACCTTTTTGTGTTCCTGGAGAGCATACTCTAATCCAGCTCTGGTCTGCTGTCTAATCTCTTGAACAGTAGCTCCAGCAGAGTCTAGAAGTGCTCCAATCGATTCCATGTGCCGTGCGGGTGGCTTGAAGAAGTGTACAACCTCAACGACGAATTTTGGATTGTAAATCACCTCGATACTCTTAAGTCTCACCTTGACGGCTGTGTCGGCATCGCTTTCAAGAGGATTCTGTTCAAGTTGAAGGTGGAACAAACTGTCCTCTTGTTCTGATTCATCGCTTTCCTCTTCCGAGCCCAGATGCTGTGATCGAATGGAAACTGCATCACTTTCGTGGTCGCTGGCATCTTTGACGCGCACAATCTGTGGAAAAATACTACCTTCTGTTGTTCCATCGTATACCCTCAAGCCACCAAGGTCCAGGCCAATGAAGAAAGAATCGGGTCGCTGTAAGGCTTTTGCTCTGAAGTTGTCAAAAACAAGTTTCATCACCTCGCACGCTTCTCCATGTGGATCACGCTTCAATGTTAAGCTGCCGGCTCGAAGACTAGAGTTGACTTGTAACTTGACCGATTCTCGAGGAAGATCAACACTTTCAGCCAACGCCTTTTTCTCGTCCCAATCAATGGCGCTGTATAGCTCTTGCCGTTGCTCTTCTGTCATTGTTTCCGCTTCATCCTGTTGCTTCGTACCCCACATCCATTCGCCCCATGTTTGCGTTCGTTGCGGCTTCTTAATTCCCACATTCTCTTTTCGTAATTGGTTGCGTGCCAAAGATCGCCAGAACCGAAGATCTTCATAAGTATATTTCCTCTCCAAACTAAGTAGTTGTGCTGACTGCTCCGGCGAAAGTGTCTCCTCTTTTTTCTTTTCTTAAACAAGTCAATATACGACAATCGGTCATCTCTTCTTTCTTTAATATATTCCCATGTCCACCGTCGGTTCCTTTCATGAATTTTCGATAACACTGCATTTCCGGCAAACTGAAACCAGGCCCGCGGGTCTTCTTTCGGTGTTTTGGAAGGCTGAAGCTTCTTGTATTCTTGGTGGCGCACGAAATAGTGAAACAAATCCACAAGCATCAGCGTATCTCGGTATTGGTCACTATCCAAGACAAAGCCTAATTCGTTGAATAAAAGTCGTGCTTTCATCCTAGGCCGGTCGAGCTTTCCGGTTTTATCCATCTCAAGGCCGGCACGTCCACTCACGGGGCGAAGAATGTACTGGTTCTTCTCGTCAAGATCAATTCCTTGCTTCAGCCTTGACATAAGCTCGTCATGATCTATCCCTTGAGCTTCTGCACCAAAATCCGCGCCGCTACCAGTTCCCAACAACTCAGTATCAGTATTCCAATAAACGGCGAGAGCCCCTAAAACGGCTAGTTTGTGGGTTGTTCCAGATGTAGATTGGATAAAAGTCGGTCGCCATTCTGAATCAGTACTTACTGCACTTAATTCCTTGAGTGTGATACCAACAGCGAAAGGGTGGCCAGGAGAAGCGATAGAATCCTCGTATCGCACATGGACATTCTTAATGGAAATCTGGAGATTGTCGACAATAGCAGTCATGAAACTTTCCGTAAAGCTTTGATTGCGTCTTTGTTCTTCTTGCGTCATGCCTTCCGTGTTACGATCACGAAGGAGTTCAGCACTTTCCAATTTATCCATCTTGATCGCGTGAGCCCTGTTTTCTTCTTCCTCTACATTGTATCCGGTGTCTTCCCGCGGTGCGGCTAAAAGGAATACATCCTCAATATCCACCTTCACAGGCTTTCCTCGCAAATTTGACCATGGGATCGATAGAGTCAATTGCCCTAGGTGGCCTTCAACAACATTGAGTGGTAGACGAAGTTGGTCGAGGGCCTCCCGACGCAATTCGAGGTTATGAAGTTTGACATCACCTGACCAAATGCCTATATTGAGTTGTTTCGCGTCGAAGTTTTTGACGTACATGCCCAGGAACCTGTTGAGCAGGTTTGCAACCACGCCTTCCAACATGGCGGGCAGATAGAGGCCGTTACCTGGACCGGAGTCTTGTGTAGACTATGTAGGAAGCCGGCTATGCATAAAATCGAATTGGTGGCTGGTATTTCCGAATGATTTAACACTCAACCTAATCCTATCACGAGAAAGATAACTTCATTAGTTTACTCGATAAAAGCAGGGAAAACACAGCGTTTGCTTAGCAGTCACCAAGCAGATATATACCTACCGATCGTTTATAAACCAATTCCATAAATTCGTGAAAACCTGGATCTTATCTTGTTTTTTTGTTGATGATTATTCCCTGAAAGCCGTTTGACGTGGCCCAGTCGGCAAGCATTGGAGCAAACCTGCCTCGGTCGATTGAGACGCAGCAGCACTGGAGAGCTCCCACGTGTTTCCGTGTTTAGAATCAAACGGTCAGGTTAAGAATTGAACAACACAGGTCAAGATAGTTTCGGCTGGAGAAAGAGTAGCCGTGGCTGCCCTGAGACCGATCAGACAATCCTGTTTATGGTCTGATTGCTTTGAGTTCGCGGGGAGGAGGCTTAGAGCTGGGCCTGTGACGTCGTCGCTTGGCGGTCGCATGCTTGCTGGGCCGCACCAATAACACGTTAACCTGCCAAATATCATATATAAAATTTATCTTATTCTACTGCAAACATGATACAGAATATCAAGCTGGCTGTGGTTTTATGGGCTAAATATTGCGTTATTGCATACTAACAAGAAAAACGTATGCTCCAGAAAATATGGCAAAGCCGAGTGTCATGTCATCCAACCTCCATGCGAACTGTGATATGGAAGAGTGTACCGGTCAAAATCTGTCCTCTTACTCTAGTTATACTCTTACTATGTAGCAGCATTTGAATGGCTTGAATGACCATTAAATAATATCTGAGGAGTGGCAGCGTGTTTCTGCCTGAGGCATCCGCGGGCGGTCGGAAACGGGAAGCCACGAGACTTCGGCACGGCTCTTTATGCTTTCATCGCCAGCGACTGCGCTCCTACGAACCTCACCACTGCCCGGCCAACACCGCCATCTCGACCACCACAGTCGCTGAAGCGCCAGTCCAGCTCACGAAACACAATCTCCACTCCCATATTTCGCCTCGATCTCATTCAGAAGGCCAATTGGCCCCCGCGTCGGCTGTCCCTCCTCTTTCCTAACCTACCCGAAGCTTTTTTAAACCTCATTCCACAATGCTCTATCGCATGTCAGCTGCTCGCGCGGCCTTCCGTGCTGCTGCCAACCCCAATGCTGCTGCCGTCCGCTCTGCAGTTTCTGGAAACGTCTTCAGGGCCCAATTGACGTCTATCGCTCGCCCATCGCTGCGGACCCCAGCCTCGAAACTCGCTTTAGCTGTCCACAAGCCAGTCACAACCGCCCTCGTCCGCTACTCTTCCAACAAGGCTCAAGTCAGCATCATCTATCTATGGTCTTTTCAAAATGAACATTTTTTGACTGAAAGGTGTAGGTCACCCATGAGGATGAAGATGTTGACATGATGGCTGGTGTCAAGAATGATGTGGTAGGTTGAGGCCAACTCGGATATCTGCTTTTAGGCATGTCAGAAGCTAAGGTCTTTTCCGAACAGAAAGTTATTAAGGAGACCTTCACCCTCGACGAGGTCCCCAAGGAGGCCTTGTACTTTGGTCTGGCCGGTGTTATTCCCTACTTGGCCACCTCGATTAACACCTGCTATCTCGCATGGGAGATCAACAACCAAGCACTCGGCGGCTCTGGATTTTTGCTTTCTGCAGACACTGCATCGCTGCTGTTGCATCTTACCGAGCCTATTCAGGTGGGCTACGGTGCTGTGGTAAGTCGCAATCCGAGTTGATGGGCAAATTCTGTGGCTAAACTCGGGCTGGTAGATCTTGTCTTTCTTGGGTGCTATCCACTGGGGATTGGAGTGGGCTGGATACGGCGGCAAGCACGGTTTCCGCAGATATGCTACTGGCTGCATTGCCCCCGCTGTGGCCTGGCCAACACTGTTGCTCCCTGTCGAGTATGCTCTTATCACTCAATTCCTAGCTTTCACCTTTTTGTACTACAACGACGCTCGTGCTGCTAGCCGAGGCCTTGCTCCTCATTGGTATGGTATGTACCGATTCGTCCTGACCTTTATTGTCGGTGCTAGCATTGTCGCCACTCTGATCGGCCGTGAGCGTATCTCCCAGAGCGTGTCTGAGGAGCACACGATCTCGGAGAAAATCCAAGCCCTTCTTTTCCTCCGCAAGAAGGAGATTGAGGAGGCCAAGCTCCGTGCTGAGGAGGAGAAGAACGCCTCGGCCGAGTAAATAATCAGAATGAAGCCGGCAAGGAGTCATTGCGCCCATAACAATGACAGGTTCTTTTATTCCTCTCTATCTGTTTGTGAAAGCAATCGTTCCGTCCCACTCGTACCCTTAATGTACCTATCCGATTGCTGTCGATCGAGCTAGTTCACTATTCTATAACAATTTCCTTTGTTGTTGTAAAATAAGAAGCAGATTTTGTTGAGCTTTTAAGAACTCTTCCAACTTGTTGAAAGCTAGTTAGGTTTAAAACGGCGCAATATACGACTGTAGATTCTCTTTGTTCTTCAATCTTCAGTCTAGCCACGAGAGAACGAACCCGCCGAGCTGTACAAGAAGCATCGGTATGGGTGTGTATCTTGATTACTCCCGCCGTATTCCATAGCGCCGATGTAGTTTCCGCATGCTGATTTGTCGGATCTTTCCTGGTACATCGTTATAAGATTGCGTTGCATGCATTTACTTTCAAAATTATTTGTGTGGTTCAAAATCGGCAATACAAAGAGGCGTTTTCACTTGAGTAGCATCTGATTGTACTTAGCGCCAGCTGTGTAGCGCCCCGCGCCACGTTTCTCAGATCTCTGACCCTGCCTCGTGTCACCCATCCAAACTACTATACGATGCAACAAAGCCTGAAACCGGCGTCGGCGTCGGGATGGCAGCCGACACCTACGACAACCTATGTCATGAGATATACGGGCGACTGTACTCGCAGTTGGAGAGAAGAGATGAAGAAAGATACCGGTTTGCACCCAAAGGAACCGTCAAGGGCGTGCTGCACCCAGACATCCTCATGCGTTTCTTCCAGAGTTTGCTTTTACCTGGACAGACTGCAATGGACCAGTTCAATTTGACTGAAAATGATCTTGTTGTAAGGGTGGATGAAAGAAAGCTTTACGATTACCTGGCCATTCTAATATTTGGGGCCTGCCGCATCCAGGCAGCAAGAACATTTACCATAGCGCTTGTCGCCGTCCATGAATGGCCGGTTGTGAGCAGCAGAGGGGAGAAATTTCATTATCTACCGACCGACCGGAAAGAACTTCTCGAGCTGTTTCATGACGATGTCACTGTTGATAAATTCTGTATTGCGCAACCATGTTTCTGCCCTGTGGTAATTCGGAAGAGGATGGAGGTCAGCATCAAAAACCTAGAGGCACAGCGTCTGCCTTATTTAGAAGAGCAACTGCTTTCCCAGGGGTCCTTTGGTACGGTATACAAAGTCAAGATAGCCAAAGGTCATTTTTACAATCCTCGAGACAGGACAGCAAATCTCAACCATGAGGAATTGGCGCGTAAAGACTATCGCATTAGTCCGGAGTTCCGAGCCCAAGAAGAACGCGAGATTATGGAGAAGATTCTTAATAGTTCTTCTCATAAGTGCAGAAATATTCTCTATAATTATGGTAGCCTTGATATCAGTCCGACGACATATAGCTTGTTCATGCCTCTTGCTATTTGTGATCTCAAGGCATATATGACAGAGTACCATCGGACCAAGCCAAATACTACCATGGAAAAGGCAAAAATTATTCAGTCAGCCAAGGGACTTGCAGGGGCTCTCAATTTTCTTCATAACGAGATGAAAACTGCCGACATGGAGGAGCTAGTTTGTTATCACATGGACCTCAAACCAAGCAACATCCTAATATTCAGGGAGGAAAGCAACAATGAAACAAATTATGTTTGGAAACTAAGCGACTTCGGAATGGCTCGTGTCAAGATCCGCCATCGGGACCACAACAGTATGAAAGAAAAGGATTTCAACAGCGTGTTTATTCCTCGTCCAAAGCCGCACGAACCATCTTCGTCGCTTACGATAAGCCGACATGGAGAAGGTACATATTTGGCTCCGGAGTCTGTCTCATCAAGACCCAGCATGAACAGAGAAAGCGATGTATGGTCTCTCGGATGCGTTATCAGCGTTGTATTTGCATACTTAGAGGAGGGCGGAGATGGCGTGACTCGTTACCAAGACGCCAGAGTGAACCATCCTCATGCAGATGGCTATGATCGATTTTTCCTGCGTAACACGAATTTTACTCCTCTTAAAGTCCATCCAGTTATCAGCAAATGGCATTCTTTTCTCATCGAACGAGCAGAGCAACGACACCCTGAGGAAGGGGCGGTTGTGAAATTTATGTTGAGATACCTCGAAAGCTCGGTCTTTGAAGTCAAGCAGACAAAAAGACACGGTGTTAAGGAAGTAGAATCAATGTTACTCGAAACCTACAAAAAGTATAACAAATTGGAAAGGGATGATCCAGATCCTGGCAGACGACCAGTACCTCCGAGCCCAAAGCTGTGGCATAGAATCCGGCCGAGGTGAGCTCTTTATTTTTGGTTTTTTTTGGGTTATTTTTTTTTTGTAGTTTCACAAGGTATTTTGGTCTAATCGTTAACTAATAGATCTGCACGCTCGGCCGATCGACAGGTTGATGTTTGGAATCTATCTCCTCTTGAACCTTTCAAGGGTTGCCAAATTTCCCCTAATGGGACGTACGTTGCGTACTGGACTGACATTAAGATCTCACTCTACACCTCGCACTCAGTATCTCTTCAGAATCAAAACTTGGTGAAACCGGCGGCAGAGTATTCACTTGAATCGGAATACATGAATTGTATCTGGAAAGAAATCGCTTTGACACAGAGATACTTGGTAGCATCAACAACAGGAGCAAATTTTCAGGTACGAAATACTCCCCACAGTTATTCTTCAACTCATATTGACAATCACTGCTAACCGCCGCTGGATGAAGTGTTATATATTCGACCTTGAAGCTGGAAGGTCAGTCGACCCCAGTCTCAATTATTGGTATAAAGTTTCCTTATTTCACCCTGAGATTAGCAAACTTGCTATATCACCGGACAGTAAAGCACTTGCATGTGTTTTGCGTGATAAAGAAGAAGGCGAAAATAAGAGTTCATTGTTTCTCGCTCCCATGTCCGAGCTGATCCGGATAGGCAAAAAACTGTAAGCTCCAAATTGCAAAATCTGCGCAGTAATCGGTTTTGTACTCACGTATATTCTTAGACAAGAACCGCCAATTGATGAAACCTCATCCAGTGAACTCAGCAGTGGCGATTCTAGGATGTCTAACAGTGATCCGTGGTCGTTAGGGAAATTGGATTGGCCTGCGACAAATATTACGCACTTTTCTTTCTCGACTACAGAGGAAATTTACATGGTCGTTCGCCCTGAGCTTACGGTCAGAAGCATTGAACACAGAATTTCTATTTTATATCTTAACCTGCCCACAAGGAAGCTTTACCCTTTAGATATAAGATCACTAGTAAGTTTTCTTCTTTATCTCAATTTGAATAGATCTAAGCTTGCTTTCCCAACTTTAATTCATAACTTTTGCTGACCTAAGAGTAGCTTGACACCAACATCGCAGCAGCTCTCTTTACCACGTTCGCGCCCTTTCGTCAACAAGCAGCAACCTGCGCTGTTGTCACCAGAGAAAAGCAACTTTATATTAGAAACATCATTGAAAATGACCCCTCTGCTGCCATTGAGAAAAAAATAAAGAACTATAGGGTGCTAAGATTGATTATGGGCTGGCGAGATGAGAAGATTTTAGCTTTGGGAACGCCATCGGCGAGCCATAAGATGTTCCTGCTTGAGATGACAGTGCCTCGATCTGAAAATGACAGCGTTTCAGTAACGGAATTGACACAGATTCCGGGCCTTTCATATGACGACGAGTTTATCGAAATGCTCTCTGATGAGAGTGGAGAAAAGTATGTCCTTATCGCCGCATTGGCAGGGGCAAAACAGAGCACCATCTACAAAGTACACCTTCCCGGGGTCTAAGAGAGACAAATGAAACCACAGAGAGGAATATTGCAGGAATGAAGTTGTCGGTTCTATCTATCAAGCTGGCGACTCTTTCTGGCCGAAATCGGCGCTGGTTTGGTTTGACGTCAACCTCCGCGTCATAAACCTCAAATTCCAGTCCGTGGGAACGTTCACTCGAGGTACGAGACTGCGAAGCATCATACCGTGTCGATCGCTATCACGCTGTACCCGCCAGCGGTAAATGAGAAACGTGATGGTAGTCAATACAACCGAGGAGACTATAAATATCCAGATCATCGACGTAGCGATCATGCGACTGTTATCTTGATCCATTGCAAAGAAATTCATGCCAAAGAAGGACTATCCGGCTTCGTTAGGATGGGAAAAATGGCAATGACAATGACAGGCATATTTAATGAAATTGGATGAGGACTCACGGTTAAGAATGACGAAGGCAGGTAAAGTAATGTCAAGAACGTCACAAAAACTGCGGACTTGTTCAGTTGCAGTATGTTTTTGGTCTGCTCTTTTGCTATGACTTGATCGCGGAACGATAGCGTGTCTGTTAAAAGTTGGGCCGTCATCTGAGAGCGTTGTTGTAGATGTGTTGCCATGCGTGAGTACGATATACATTGTCGATGGTAGTTTTTGAATTGTTGTGCCCTCGGGTGGATTGGTATTGTCAGCGAAATGGAAGTTATAAGAATATAAATCTCGTCGAGAGCTTCTGCAGCTGGTGCTAGTACGGTAGATATCTGGAGAAACCGCCTTTGGAGGCCCATTGTCGTGCTTAGGTTTTCGAATCCAATCCGCAAAGGCTCATCAACGTATGCTACATTAACACCGTTTGCAATGGGTAAGTATTCATTCTCTAGTGATGCGATGTACTGCCTCCACGCTGGAAAGTACGCTGAGAACACGATTCTGTGAAGCCAGAAAGGTTCTTTCTGGGCTTCTTGAGCATGAGTGAGCAACCACTCTTGCGCCTCACGATGTGCCTTAGATGCAGACATCGGATTGAATAGCACGTAAAGGCTTTGGCCAGTCTTGGTGTTCAATTGGTGGTAAATACCAGTCTGGCGAATTACCCATTGGTCCGCGTTTGTCTTGTGCTCCGGGTATCTCACCGTGTAAGATACTTCTAGATACATTTTTTCAGCATGTACTCCACCTCAATGCCCCAATCCCGGGAACTAAACTGCCTTACCTATGATGGAGCCATCCCGTGACTCGGTATAAGGAACGCAAAACACCTCTTCCACTTCTCGGTTGCGACGATAGAAGCACGAGGGTACGTCCCAAATTGATGAGCTGATGCCATGTTTAGCGACGATTAGATCCAGCATAGACCTAGTAGCCTGCAACGGCTGCCAAGAATTGCGCTGACAGATAGAGCTAGACAACATTCGATCAGCATCGCAAATTTTCCCCGACCCTCGAGTTAGCAAGGACTCACATATAGCGACATGCGTAGTCATTGTTATGATCAAAATGCGCGGCGAGGTCCTGTACGGTGGAGAGATGGGATTGGCGAGAGCGAGGCGTAGGCTGCTGTTGGTCAACCTCGATGAGGTGGATGGGCTCGACCACCTCGTCCACAAAGCAATTATCTAGGGACATATTCCGTAACGCGATTGGACGAGGAGAACTCAAGTACAGAGTACTTTCGAGGAAAACACCCGAATCAAAGCTAGGGAGAAAAGCAAAAGATAAGCTCTTTATTATTATTATTATCAGAAATGCTAGTTAAGACCGTTGTATTTTGCTGCTGGGCAGTGTTGACACCCAAGGCTAACCGCCGATGCGCCTGCCCTCGCATCTGGAGCCCCTCGCTCCTGCCGCGCCACGCTCTAAGCCTCGTACCAGCACAGCGCGTGCTTGTGCTCACGCTCACAGTCTGCCCTGCCCATGCCTGCTGCCGCCCACTGAGGCTCGCAATGGCCGCCCTTGTTGATTTGCTATTGCTCGCGCACCGCACTATCATCATTCGTCAGTCACTCCTGCTTCCAACCCTCCTCGTGTCGCTTCTACGGCAGATCTTACTCGATATCAGCCTATGATGTGCAGCGGTTAGTCACGGAAACAGGTGCTATGCAGGATCTAGAGGCTGGCATACGTCTTCTATCTTCCTGGGTGCGCTAAAACACCACTGGTCATCTCTCATCTGCCACTCAGCGTTCTCCGTCAGCAACAATAATAGTCTCGGCCAATACACCGACTGTAAGGCTAACCCACCTGTATCTTGAATTCGGTCTGGCCAGGGAAAAGCCGCTCGAGCAGGGATTGCAGTTGCGCTCTTTTCAAGTAGCGGTGCGTGGTGTTCTGTGAGATTGTCTGCTGTCCGTTGTCGTTATCCGGCATTATTTGACATTCCAAGTAGTGTATAGTGCAGGTGAGCTAAATGTCAGTCTCTTTATCGGAGTTGCATAAGATCAAGTCCACTTTTTAAACGTGAGCCTTCCGTGAGGCTCTGCATTTTGCTGCCACGTCACTGACTGCACGAGATCAAGTCAGGAGGGTTACATAGTAATTATGTGCCGCCCCATCTGTGGCTATCGGCTGTTCTGCCTGGTCTCCAAACGCCCTAAACCCCGAGTTCAGCTGGCAAGTGCAAGGCGACTCGGCCACAGCCTGCGATTGGCAGGGCGATGCGTTCCAAGCCTCTAAACCATCCCGCTTAGCGAGAGAGGCGATATCGCCCGTGCGAAGGCTCTTTGCACGGATCGGGCGTTTGCCCAGCCGCGCTTTTATCTCCGGAAAATTACGCACCCCTCACTCTAGGGTAGCCGAATGGCAAATCCAGCATTCTCATTTCGCGGCCGACTTACTGCTTCTTTCGCTTTTTTGCGGATATTTCGTGATGTGAATTGACGCATCGAGGTATGTTGCCGTCACTTGAGCTCCCTGAATGGTTCCCTGAGTGGGCACTGCCATCAGAGCCACCAGGAACATCCCGACGGGAAGATCCGACGCTACCAACATCTCAAACAACTGCCGACGACAGTCAGAGTGGCACAAACTGCGCGGCATCAGGAGAAGGGGAACCAGAACACGTACAGCCGGAGTATCGCGATGGCTTCATTCGCGTGCCACCTAGAGAGATTATCGTCGTACCAAGCCAAGATCGGACAGTTAGAAGAAAGCTCCGCGGAATCCATCTATTTGTTCGTCCTACAATTTGTAAACTTTCACTCGTGAATAATATATATGCTAATTGGTGGTAGATGATTACAATCAATGGTACGCTTGGAACAGGACTATACTGGCGTGGTGGGCAGATTCTCGAGCTTGGGGGCCCGCTGGCTGTTCTCCTTTCCTTCCTCCTAGTGGGCCTCCTATCATGGGCTGTCATGCAATGCATCACTGAGATGCTTTGCATTTGGCCCATACCAGGTGCTTTGTCAGTCTATGTTAGTGAGTTTGTTGATGTGGAGCTGGGCATTGCTGTTGGCATCGCATATTGGTATGCTAAGCATTGAATCTAATATCGGCGCAAAGCTTACGGCTTCATCAGGTTTACATATTCAGTCTCCTTTTCCGCTCTGATCGCAACCTCCGCTGCGGAATTTGGCTTCTGGCCGGGGGTCAATGGCAACACAGGCATTTATGGAGGCATCATTTATTTGTGCATCCCACTCAGTTTGGTGTTTTTCAACGCTCTGGGGATTGAGGTACGTACATGTCTAATCTGATAATTGCGATTACTCACCGCCATTAAGATGTACGCTTTCATCGAAGTTGTCTCAGGCACGATCAAATTATTGTTCCTTGCAGTCATCGTCATTGCACTCATCGCGATCAACTTGGGAGGTGAGCTAAGCCACTTCACAGCCACTGTCATTTTGAACTGTGTAACTCACTATGAAATAAAGTCGGACCAAGTCATAGAGGCTACATTGGTGTCCAGTGTAAGTCAAGTTCGACTGTTGTATACTCAATACTGAAACACTCCGACAGATTGGAATGCGCCGACTGCTTTTGACACTGATGCTGCCACAAATTGGGGCACTGCTTTTTTGTAAATCCACATTAATGACGAGTGCTTTTACTATCGAATCACTAATCCCTTCTAATAGGATGTGTCTGTCAATTGCCACATTTGCCTACGTTGGGGTCGAGATTGTTGCTGCTTCCGCCTTGGAAGCACGGTGGCCTCGAAGAACCGTTGAAGATGAGACAAGGCGCACAACGTCGGACATGTCCCGGCAGTCCAACGATACGCTAATCGGAAACTCAGTCAAATTCTCCTCGATTTTCATCTCCGTTCTGGCTACAATTGCATACTCGGTCTCGGGAATGCTTGCCAGCTTTGACATACCACGAGACGACTGCCAGCTACCACGATTAAGCTGGATCAATAGTACCGAGAGCGCTGAATGTTCAACGTCACCCGACAGTTCACAAACAAACACGGCATCAGCCTTTGTTGCAATTGCCGCGCAATCGGGCATCCCTCACTTGGCAGATATTTTCAACTTCTTTCTCGTATTTACCAGTCTGTCTTGCGCCAATACGAATCTCTATGTGGCATCCAGAGCTCTTTTTGGTCTCACCAGTCGGTTGGATGGAGGCAGTGGCCAGTCCTGGTTCTTACGGCTTTTTTCATGGTTTGGCAAAACCAATCGCCGTGGTGTTCCGATGAAAGCCATGGTCCTCTCTGCAGTTGCGTTCTGGTGGGTTCCTTTTCTGCAATTGAGAGGAGGCACTACCACTAGTACTCCGATTGGCATGGTAAGGTCCTCTCTTTTCTTTGCGAAATAACACAGGCTCATTTGGAGGCACTAGTTTATTGAGATCCTCGCCGAGATGGGCTCAGTGGGAGTTTTGATCGTTTGGTCCTGCGAGTGCCTGGCGTTTATTCGGTACTATCACTGGTGAGTGTGCTAGTGGGCGGGAAGAGTAAGACATGATATACAAGAACTCTGTTAACCGGTCCATAGCATCACATCACATCGAGCAGCACTTGAGGAAAAGAAAGTCCCTCAGGTCCGGCGGTGGGACCGCCATGACTATCCGTATCGTAGCCACGGGCAACCGGTACTAGCATATATTGCGCTTACAGGGTGCATTTTTGTTTTGATAGTGGTCAATGCGGCCTCACTTTGGAATGGGTTCCACAAGCTGCCATTTCTCTCATCATATCTGATTGTAAGACGGCGAGTTGCCTTTGACTTATAGCATGCTGACCCAATCCATTTTTGTGTCCAGGTCCTCTCGTTTATCGCGCTGTGGATACTGTTAAAGCTTGTGCGAGGCGCCAAGTGGTCGTTTGTGGACCTATCGAATTCGCAGAGGGTGGTGAAGAAGCTATTGGATCTGCATGATATCCGAATGGGGGCAACATGATATCCATAGCCCATATCTATATGAGAATAAATATGTAGTATAATATATATAATGTATATAATATTAATGTACACAATATACATATGCATACCAAATTAGCTGCATGATCCATGGTAAACTATAAGCCGGCGTCAACCTTGGAAGTTACCAATATCAGCTCAGGCAAGACCACGTGGTCCAGCTTGAATATACATAAAGGGTTTTCTGCCGGACAGATTTGATATTTGCTACATCAATTGATGAACAAGAATGTGTTTGCACCCAGAATGTATTATATTATGCATAGCATGCACGCTATCGCACTATACAGATAGACGGTCTAGACCATGCAGCACTAGGCTAGTAGTTCCACCAAAGAGACCGGTAGCTGGGAACACGCCCACGGGGTGACAAAAATAACCAGCGATGCTTCTAGCCTCGAACAGCGAAGATCGTTGTCCCACTCGATAGACTACACGGTACGCACATGCTTCTAGCGAGCTCCTCTTTTTTTTTACTTGTCGCGTGACGGTGTTAGCTCGATCGTGGGACGGGCCATTGACTTTGATTGTTCCTGACTTTTTGGTTGCTCAATAAATTCAACAGTAATATCAATATCAATTGGCTCAGTGATTGCAATGGTATATCTCGATTGGCTTATATAATGACACAATATATAGTTAAAAGTTCAAGCCGTGCATGGTTGAGTTCAGGAGACATGCAGACGAAACTGGTTTTGCAGACACGAAACCTGTTCCGTGAGCACCGCCTCACCGCATACCCACCGGGCCAACATTGGGGGATACCATTGGGAGAAAAAGAAAAGCACGATTCTTTTTTTTGGGGTTTCCTCTGTTCCTTACCCGCGATCGGCGGTTTCATCTCGACTTGATTCTACTGCTATCAAACACCATCCCCGTATACACCATCCCCATATACTACTATAACACCATTACACTCAACCTCGGCTTCTGATCTGCTATATTATACATCGATACCAGCCGAGCCGGCGCTAGCGTGCCGAGCGCGCAGAAGCCGAGACGCTGATTGCTGGAAATTTTGCGAGGGCATTCACAAAAGAAGAATAAGAGTAACGTTAGTTAATAGCATTGGCTATTACTAATAATGTCAGCTGGTCGTCTGATCAGAAAAAAAGAAGAAAAAGCGTTGCGGGGGGAGCTTTGGCCGAATAACATGGAGAGCCTTACTGTGCAGGCTCCACCGCCGCACCTAGTTCTGGCGGCGGAGGAAGCATAGACCGACCTTGCCTACTGCTTCCTGCCTCCTGGCTCTTGCCTTGGCCGTGTCTGCGTGCCTGCCTCCATGCCTCCACCACACAGTTAAAGGCGCATCCTCCCTCTAGCCTTCTTGTTCTCTCTTCTTTTTCTTCTTCTTCTACTTCTTCTTTTTCTTCTCTGCGCTCGTCTCATCCTGTGCTCCATCCCCCCTGGAGCGGACTGCCCTCCTCTTCTTTGCCATTATTGGCCGTGCCCTGACCCACCCGCGTCATCGTCCCCTACGTCACTCACTCTTTGCGCCTCCACATCAACCAGTGTAGGCGTCTTCAGACAAGGCAGGGCAGAGAGGAAAAGAAGCAGAAGCAGGGCAGCCCGCTTGACGTCTAGGATCTTGTTCATAATTTCGATGTCATATTCGTGATTGACACTCGTACATATCGCACAATCTTGTCTCCCTCTTCCCCCCCTTTGCATACTAGTTTTTATATCGCCTGTCAGCTGCAGCTTATTCAGCTTTCTTTTGTAAATCGTGCCGTGGGAAATGGCTCCAAGCAGACGCCGTGAATCAGTAATCAACAAGACCACCACCGACGACGGCGCGCGGTCGCTGATCCAGGATGAGAACCGTCGCACCGACAATTTGAAGGACCGCTTCATCGGCGCCATTGATCAGGGCACCACCAGCACGCGCTTTATTGTCTTTGACGGCACCGGCCTTCCGGTGGCCTCGTACCAGTCGGAGTTCCGCCAGATTCACGCGCATTCAGGGTACGTTGCACGTCAATCCTATTAGCCATCGACAAATGGTCGGACCAGTAGGATACTGACAATTGATGTTCGATCACCCAAAGATGGCATGAACAGGATCCCAAAGAGCTTGTCTCTTCCGTAGAAAAATGTATAGAAGAGACGATGAAGACCTTTCTGGCCCTAGGCCACTCGAAATCCGATATCTCCACCATCGGCATTACCAACCAGCGTGAGACTACCGTCGTCTGGGATTGGGAAACCGGAGAGCCCCTGCACAATGCCATTGCCTGGCCTGATACCCGTACTAAAAGTATGGTGCGAGAATTGAGATCGAAAGAGGGTGCTGATGATCTGGACAAGATCTGTGGACTGCCCCTGTCGACCTATCCCTCGTCCGTGACCCTCATGTGGCTGTTGCGCTATCGTCCCGACGTCAAGAGGGCTTACGACCAGGGTCGCCTCGCATTCGGTACTGTCGACAGCTGGCTTCTGTACAATCTAAACGGAGGCGTCAAGAATAAAGTGCACGTGACCGATGTGACCAATGCCTCGCGAACTATGTTCATGAACTTGCACAACTTGAAATACGACGATACCCTGTTGAAATTTTTCGGCTTAGATAAGAATAAAATCAGGCTCCCTAAAATAGTGCCATCCGCAGACGCCAAAGCATTTGGCAGCCTCGACGGCGGTCCCTTGGCCGGGACAAAGATTACCAGCTGCCTCGGTGACCAGTCGGCCGCCTTGGTCGGCCACTGTGCTTTCGAGCCTGGATATGCAAAGAACACTTACGGAACTGGTTGCTTTTTGCTTTATAATGTGGGCGAAAAACCCGTCATATCGCAGCACGGTCTATTGGCCACCGTGGCCTATCAACTCGGAGAGGACCGAAAACCAGTCTACGCGCTGGAGGGTAGTATTGCTGTGGCGGGCAGCGGTGTCTCGTTTTTGATGAACAATATGGGTTTCTTCCGTGACTCGCGAAAGGTCAGTGAAGTTGCTGCCACGGTGCCTGATAACGGTGGCTGCGTGTTTGTTACTGCATTCAGTGGTCTCTTTGCTCCATATTGGGTTGATGATGCAAAGGGAACGATCTGTAAGTTCTTGGGTCTTATATTGAAGATATATATACTTACACACCAGACAGTCGGTATCACCCAGCATACGCAAAGAGGCCATATCGCCCGCGCCACATTGGAGGCTGCTTGTTTCCAAACTAAGGCGATTTTGGACGCAATGGCAAAGGACAGTGGGCACCAACTATCCGATCTGGCTGTCGATGGTGGAATGAGTAACTCGGATATCTGCATGCAGGTGAGTCTACTTAGACCCTCTCGTTTGAAGATACAACTGATATTGACCGTCGATCAGTCCCAAGCTGATATCATTCAAATCCCGATTGAGCGGCCGTCAATGCACGAGACCACTGCGCTCGGGGCTGCCATTGCCGCGGGCTTTGCGAGTGGAATCTGGTCAACGTATGAGGAGTTACGACACATGAATCGCGCCAACCGCACCGTGTTCAAGCCTTATTTGTCAGCGCATGAGAGTGCCTTGATGTACAAACAGTGGAGTAAAGCAGTTGAAATGTCGCGAGGCTGGCTTGATGCTGGCGAAATTGGAATGGACGAGGAGGATGAGGAGGAGGAGGAACATCCAAATTCAGCGCCAGTTCCTTCAGCGCATGAAGAAATTCAACGCACGATGGACGAAGTTGCCATCGAAGAGAGTGACGATGTGGCCATCAGTTCAGGCGACGACGTAGCCGTCAGCTCGGAATGATCTCTCGCACCTTTTGTTCCGTTCATTGCAGAACAGAACCTGAAATGGGTAGCGAGTACCCTATGACGTATGAGGCATATATTTGGGGTAATTACTTATGACTGTACATATTAGCAATATTAATACATAGATCAGGCTTACTATTGTTACAACTGCGTGTGATAGAATTTCAAATATTGCCTGGCAATTGCGATGCATAGTATCATTACAGAATGTAGTAATGATACTATCCATGTTACACACGTAATCAGCTTCAGAGCAATACCCCAATACGTACATATACTCCAGGGTATCTTCTCCACAATCGTAACTCCGACCCTCTACAGAACCAACAGCTCGTGGTAACCTCGTACCAACAAGTGACACAAGTGTTACCGTTGAAGTCTGCCAGCAGTGGTTTAACGACTAGAGAGTTTGTCTCTTAATATTATAATATGATAATATGATAATAATATCATTAATGCTCAATAACAGTACATGACGAATATGATAGATCACTAGACGCCGACGGTAAAGCGTGGGCTCAGCCACATGAAACAAACGGGTAGCTGCACGTATCATATGTTGCACCAACACGACAGGAAATAAGAAGCAATAAAAAGTTAAGGGCTAGCCTATGGGCGTGTTTAGGCCACGATAGTCTTCTTGCTATTTGCGCTTGCGCATGTAAATCGAGAACTACCGGCAGTGTGGAGTCCTAGTAATAGGTACTAGTATAGCGACGGAGATTAGTCTCCTGTGCGGTAATTAACGGTGACTTGCATTCAATATAGCAAAATAATATACTCCGTACTGCAGTACATGTACCCTGCAGAAGACACTGACTATGAAAGTAATCAATTGATATAATGATAAGAGTAATAATATTACATGATTGTAAAGGTGCCACGAGAAATGTACTGTATCATTGTATGTCGAGCTGACGACCCACTTGAATCCTGGCTCCTAGCAATCTAACAAGGGCATCGCCACGCCGCTGTCTCACATTATTTGGCGTTATTAATCCGGCCGGAGACTCCGTAATCTTTTGACTTTTTGGAGTCGTCGACCCATCATCGACTCATAACCATGTCAGCCACCCTACCTCGCCACCCCCACTGTTGATTTGATGAGATTAATATTACAGCTGGTTGACTCGGGCCGTGTTCGACGGTTGATGCTTGACATGATTGCTTGTCGAGTCTATATCGATGTCGGTTGACGGTTGAATCGGGCGAGGGCGATCTTCTCGGGTCAGCTCTGTTTGCAGTCACCTGTAACACCGTCAGCCAACATAATAATAATAACAACCAAAGAGAGAGAGAGAGAGAGAGAGAGAGAGAGAAGGAATCGGAATTGCACACGGCCCCATAAAAATAAGGTTTTCGGAACCCAGGGGAAGCAAAAGTTAGAGAACAAAGACTAGAAAAAGCAAAAACAACCGCTGCTCAGCTGTAACAACAATTCGTCCTTACCGCAGTCTTCGTCGATTCGATCTTCTCTGTGCGGCGTTAGTGCTGGTACCGCTTAGGAAATAGGGCATAGGGATAGGAAACGGGAGAGCTACATGCTCACGACATTCAGAGGACACGTCTTCCCCGTTCGCGCATATACGGAGCACCATGCTGTGACCAGATATCGTCGGTGGCCGCAGCGGTAGTTGACTAGTGTATGGTCACACATTGCCTCAGTGCTGGATAGGTGTTTTGATATCAGCTGTTGCAGCTTCGATATTGATTATCACAGGCTACTGTCAAGTCGATGACAGTGTCGATGAGCAATTAATTGTGGGAAGGAAGCCGTATATATAGCAAAGAAACAGAGGCTTTTCTATCGCGTGATGGGGGGAGAAAAATAATTTTGAAATTGGAAAAAAAAGTCCTTATAAAAAAACGAATGAAAAGTCAAGAGATGACGCATCCAACATAAATTGCTTTTTCCTGTATTGTCTCTATAGCATGATGGCTTAAGAACTGTGGGTTCTTTTTTATAAGAGAGATTACAGGTAAGAGAGAGTTGGGGGTGTGAAAGGCTACCTACCGAGCTGGCGATGAAGACGAATGTACTACCAGGCAGAGCGAGCCACATCTTCAATTAGAGAAAGACGGTGCAAAAGATTAATAGGCTCGATCTGTGCCTTCCGAACATGTCCCCCGAGCAGGGCGGGGGTTTGATTGTAGCCTCTAGTATCCATAGTCCATACAGTCAGTGTAAGAAAAGGCCGATAATAATAATAAATAATACACGCAGGAAATGGGGCCCTCAGATCCTTGCAATGCGGGTCGGCTCGACCAATCCAGAATAAAAGGAATTACAAAATCCTGTTAGAATTTGGAAATGTGGATGGAAGTATCGAATTGCGTCGACGGCTCATAATGCAGGTAATATTGAATCATTGATGTCAATAATTCAGTGCTAATTATACTATCGACATCTCTTTTGAAACACAATCTAGTGATACATGTTAAGACGCCGTTGGACGAATGAAGATCTCTCCCTACGCATGAAATATTAAATCTGTTAGAGGGATCGTCGGGCTTGCATGGTTGATATGCCAGGGATTAAATAATTAATAATACCATGACGAGAGCCATGCCAAATCCTCTTTCCTTCTTCATTTCTTCCCTTGCTTTTCCTTTTTTTTGCCTTTACCAGGCTCGTTCCTTTCTTTTCTTGTTTAAGTTCATGGCTCGTGCATCTCTCGGCGCCACACGATACGACATTAATCCATGTCGATTTTATTACATATGTACTATTACTATTATGATATGGCTGTTGCCTCGCTGCTACCCATTCCTTTTTCTTCCGTTCCTTTTTTCCCTAGCATAATATATGTACTGCTATTTCTGGATTCCTGGGTGGGTTTATCAGCTACCTACACCCATGATCCAAGCCACAAACCGATGCAAGGGTCTCAAGCTAGAACGTTCGGTGAACAACTCTGATCCTGTTCGATTTGGAATTGATCGACCGTTACATAAACTAACTGATCCTTGAGCCGTCCCTGGCTATTCCTATACCTTAGTATATCTACTCTCTCTACTACATCGGTGTCCACTGCTGCTGCCGACAGTCAGTATATTTCAGATACGTCGGGTGGTGACTGTGACAACCTGCAAGTCAGAAGTTAGTCGCGCAACGATCGACTACATGCAGCATGCATGCAGAGTATGCCGAGGTGTCATGCCGAGACCTAGACCTGAGTAAGCCAGATATTAATTATTTCCGATATTTGTACAAAAACCGAGTTATTTTCGTGGGAATGAGTTATTTCGTGATCAATGATGTGGATTTTATATCATGGTGGAGTTGCTAATATGGTAAATAACACAAGAAAAAATACAGGAGCTTGTCCCATTGCATTCATAGAAGCACGATGATTATAGAACAAGATGGATATTAGTTAATAACCCAATGCAATTTTCACTTCGCCGCCGTAACCCCCGTTTCTGGTGTCTGTGCCTGTGTCGGCTTCAAAGCTGCCGTGGTAAGTGCGTCTGGTAGCTTCAGTGGTGCCGCTGGAAGCGACTGCATTTTGTCTAGCTTCTCGCCTCGAAGCACCTTCTCCATTTCTTCCTTACTCAGTGTCTCGTATTCCATCAGCGCCTTCGTGAGGATCTCCAACTCATTTCTCTTCTCCGTCAGAATGTTGGTAGCACGAAGACTCGCCTCGTCAACAAGCCGTCGAACTTCTGATTCAATTTCCTGCTTGGTTTCCGACGATAGAGTTTCGTAATTGGTTGACAAATCCACGTTTCCGAGCTTCTTCGAGTAGCCGAATCTCGTGATTAGCGTAAATGCTGTGTTTGTGGCTTGCTGGATATCCTATTGCCGGAAAAGAAAGTTAGAAATCGGCCAATATTGATTTCATATGCAAAACATTTTTAACCTACCGATGAGATACCACTGGTGACGTTTTCGGGACCGAAGACCAGCTCCTCTGCAGCCTTGCCACCCATCGAGACAGAAATATCCGACAAATACTCGCTATAATTCCTCGAAACCGTGTCCATCTCAGGAAGGAAATGAGTAATACCAAGCGCCATGCCGCGAGGTACTATGGTAATTTTGTAAAGAGGCGTAGAAGCCGGTGAAAAATAGGCAACAAGCGCATGACCTGCTTCATGGTATGCAGTGAGCAATTTGTCTTTTTCTTGAATAATACGACTCCGAGCCTCTGCACCCATCATGATTTTATCCTTGGCCCAGTCAAAGTCTCGAGGACCAACACGTTCCTGTCTATTGCGGCTTGCACGAACCGCAGCTTGATTGACCAGGTTTTCCAGATCAGCACCCGAGAAGCCCGGAGTGCCACGTGCAACAACTGCAACATCCACATCAGTGCTGACTTGCACATTCTTCATGTGGTGCTTGAGGATTTCCATGCGCCCTCTAACATCAGGGAGATCAACTACGACCCGGCGATCGAATCGACCAGGGCGAGTCAAAGCTTTGTCGAGGAGTTGAGGATAATTGGTGGCCGCAAGGATGATGACGCCACTGCTTTGGGAGAATCCATCCAACTCGGTAAGAAGCTGGTTCAAAGTTTGTTTAACATACGCCGCATCACGTTCATTCCTCTTCGCACCTATAGCATCCAATTCATCGATGAAAATGATGGCGGGCGCTTTGGCACGAGCTTGGTTGAAAAGGTCTCGAACACGTTTGGCACCAACACCAACATATACCTCATCAAACTCCGATCCAGACATGTAGAAAAAGGGTACCCCAGCCTCTCCAGCAACAGCCCGCGCAAGCAAAGTCTTTCCAGTTCCAGGAGGACCAACCAAGAGAACACCCTTAGGGAGTTTTCCTCCTAGAGTAGAGAATCGCTCAGGGTTCAACAAAAACTCCACCAGCTCTTGAAGTTCGTCCTTGGCTTCGTCACATCCGTGAACATCGCTAAACCGGACTTTTTGTTGTTGTGGTGTGGCCTCGTTGGTCTGAGTTCCGCGAACATTTTTGATTAATCCAGTGGTTTCGACAAGAATAGTGATTAACACAAGTGACAGATAAGCAAAGAATCCAAAGTATAAGAAAAACTTAACCCAGCGGAAGACTGAGCTACCAAGAGATTCTTCGACCACCACATACAGAGGGGCCTCTTTCGCCCCAGTGCCAGACTGCTTGGTTGACACACCAACCTGACTGCCGTGAGCGTGAGCAGCTACGGCTTGTCCGACTGATTGCAATTGATCTGCATCTAGGCCTTGATTGCTCCCCTGAACAGCAGCATCACCGCCAATTCGCTGCAAGGCCTTTAGGTAGATGGCCTCGGTTGTTGGGTTGGTAGCATATTGACCGGTGCGATATCGTTCCACGATGATGGCAGGCATATTTGCACGAAGTAGAGACTGGTAAAATATGTTCTGAGCGTTCGCGCTGCCGGGGTTACTGTTGGCTGCCCTCTCTTTCTGTGCTAGAAAATTGTGCGTGACTCCTCCAAATAGAAATCTGTGTTGGTCTAGCTTCGAAAGCCCATGTGTCCCGGACGGTCTCGGCACTGGCCGGGAAGTAAAAGAGGAGAGTGACGAAAATTGACGAGAGGATTGAAGTGGTTTACTTGCGCGAAGTAGCATACTTGCAGAGCGCAGTGTCGGCTGGCCAAACAAAGGCCTAGAAGTCAGCAGGCCAAACATCATGTGCGGCCTTAGATTATCAATAGTAGCCGATTTCAAGGCATCTGGCAGGGCAGGGTGCTCCTTCTTGGAACTTGCATCAGTATTTATCGAAATATGAGAGAATTTTACAGTTGAACATACAAAAACCGGTGCCACTTCTAGCCGCTTTCTAAGTTGGTGCGGTGCTTCGTTGTTCCTATTGACACGCTGCCACTGGGAACCAACGGCGTTCATAGTCGACAGCAGTTCAGACGCCGCAGTCTGCAAGTGCTAAATATCACGCAGAATGTGTTAGCCTGATGGCAAAGAGCTTAGTAGGACTTAGAAACATACCGGAATGTTCACCGAAGCGTTGAGAGCCATGACTGTACGTTGAGCGGCGCCGGGCCGCGAGCCACACGGGAAACGCGATTTTCAAGGGAGCGAGGTCTCGAAGGAGGATGATTTACAATAAGAAAGATAAAAAAATTATAGGTATGGCAAGAACTGCCCAGACGGGATGAGATGAGATGGATAGAAGAAGGTTGGGGAAGCAGAAGACGACGGCCTGCGACCACTTCCGCTGCGGCGAACTTCATTTGACTCGAGTTGCCACGTACCGCCAGCCAATCGGGTCGATTGCAGCCCACGCAGCCAGACCCGCTCACGTGACCGCGCATCTCAAGCAGTGCAAACAGTCAACCAATACTCGAACTCTTGACCTCTATTCGACCTCGCCTACGTCCAGACATCGACCATCCGCGCAATGCTCTGCGTGCGTCCATGTCCCGGAAAACCATCTTCTTGATTGGTGCTCCATCAAGGCAGCTACACTGGGATCATGTGGAGCTTCTGGACGCTGCTGTGGCCCCCTTCCATGCCGCTGGAGGCGCTGTCCGTTCCGACGCTGTTAGGTGGAGAGTGTTGGTAGGGCCGGAGGCTCATGCTAGCTCTACTCACGATACTGTTTTTCTAGACACGCTTGACTTACAGTCGAAGGCTCCAGGGGATGTTTTGTCACGTTTTTATCAACATTCAATCTCAATCCGAGACACGCACTATCTATCAGATTCGAGTCATGACGAAACAACCCTCTCGCTTCATGACAGTTATGAGGATGCCAGTGTAGATCCAGCCTTCAGCTGCTCGACTGATACTCATCTAGCTTTCTTGGGAAAGATATGCCATCTAAAGGACATACCAAACGCTGCATATCTTCTGTCCATTGTTCCACAAACTCTGAGTGTAACATTAGTTGTGGCAATCCTCGGCATCAATCCACCACGGCGAGTCACATCGCGGTACTCTAATCAACAATTTGATATTCTCGAGCTTGTGGTAGGGGATGAGACCAAGACTGGGTTTGGCGTGACTTTCTGGCTCCCAGTGAACGACACCCACAAAAGGAAAATTACCGAAAGTAATGAGACGTTTGCTAGCACACTACATGGGTTGCGGTCCCGAGATATCATTCTACTTCGCAACGCGGGACTGAGCTTCTTTCAAGACCGTGTGTACGGACAGAGCCTGCGAAAAGACATGACCAAGGTGGATTTATTGCACAGACAGCCGCTTGACGTGACAGACTCCGGCGGCATATGGTCTGCCACTAGGATTCTCAGCGCAGAGAAGGAGGACAAGCTGCGATACAAAGTGAAACAGGTGCGGGATTGGATGGTCAATTTCGTTGGGGTGAAGGCACAAGCTGGCAATAGCAGAGTTGGCGGCATACTGCCGCCAGACACACAGTAGGCTTAGGTCAACCAATACCATTGCCACGTTGTCGTTTAGCAGCATGTGTTGTGGTAGTGCACCGAGGCCCGCCACGATTCCCTACTAAAAGTGCACTTAATAATTATTATTGCGTACACATGTTGTTTCAGTTCGCAGGCTAGGCCTGATGCGGCTTACTGTGTTCGTGGATCAACGGCTGGCGGATCCGATTGGCTACGGCCGATCTGGCTTCATTTTAGCAAATTGGATACTCCTTATTGAATATTGAATAAATAATAATGACAGTAGTAATAGTAATACTAACGTTAATAATATTAGTTTTCGGTGACACAGTGGCCTTGCCACAGGGCGTCACCTGACGGATCGGGGTTGTGGGAGAGAATGCTAGTATATGCCGAGTATGGATGGCTGTGTCAAGGGCACATGGACGCATGCGTGCGCCATTGGCTGGTTTATTCCAGCTCAGTACGACTGGGAGTATACTCAGGATGAAATATGGTTATGATTGTCATCGTTAATATTATCATCATCAAATAAGAACAAAGAATAATAATAGAACGGAATCCAAGGGGCATCCCCTAATAGGTACTCCATAATAATGCTGAATATAAAAATAATCAATAAGACGCTGCAAGCGGGTGCCTGGTCACGCGTGCCCCGGAGCCCGCAGCAGACTCGGCCAGTCAGCGCCTGGTGCGACGCCGCAACGCCCAAAACAGCCTAATGCGCCCACTCCAACCACCAGTAGCAGAAGCACCCTGAAAAGCTCCCAGTTGTCCATTTCGACACTTCTTCATGCCGTCCTCTTCGCCCCCTCCCTCTTCTCCTCTCTTCTCTGCTCTCGCCTGTATGAGTCGCTCTACTTATTGCTCGCCCGCCCCAGCTAGACATTGAGTCGCCGTCCACCCCATTCTACCGCTCGCTTTCCTTCTCTTCCATCCTTGCGACCCGCAGTGTCCTCCCCCCGAGTCACTGCGCCGACGACAACACGTGTTACGCCGCCAGCCCACCGTTAATCCAATTCCATAATCATGAAGGGTAACTGCCCACTCTCCTCAAATGAAGATGGCCTGTCCACAGCTAAATCATCTCGAAACTATCAGCTCTTATTCTTGTCGGAGGGTTTGGTACCCGTCTGCGACCCCTCGTAAGTTCCCCTCCGACATGCTGCCCACGTTCGGACAGCATGCAGCGAAGATCACCCACCCCTAGCGACGAACACACCGAAAACTTAATTGAACTCTACTGATTGATGTTCGCCCTGTCCAGACGCTCACTCTTCCAAAGCCATTGGTCGAGTTTGCAAACCGGCCCATGATCCTTCACCAAGTTGAGAGCTTGGCTGCTGCCGGCGTCACCGATATCGTTCTGGCCGTGAACTATCGGCCTGATGTCATGGTTGCCGCGTTGAAAAAGGTACCGTGATGCGTGCTTGTAACCAATTGTGTAAAATGCACCAAATTAATGCGTCAGTCTGTGTCCAGTACGGAGAGCAATACAACGTGAACATCGAATTCTCCGTCGAGTCCGAGCCCCTGGGCACGGCCGGTCCTTTGAAGTTGGCAGAGAAGATTCTCGGCAAGGACGACTCGCCATTCTTTGTTCTGAACTCAGATGTCATTTGCGAATACCCCTTCAAGAAGCTGGCTGAATTCCACAAGTCCCACGGCGAAGAGGGTACTATTGTGGTCACCAAGGTCGACGAGCCCTCCAAATACGGTGTTGTCGTTCACAAACCCAATCACCCTACCCGTATCGATCGCTTCGTGGAAAAGCCCGTCGAGTTCGTCGGAAATCGCATTAATGCCGGCATTTATATTTTAAACCCTAGCGTCCTCAAGCGCATTGAGCTGCGCCCGACTTCAATTGAACAGGAGACATTCCCCGCTATCGTCCGGGAAGGACAATTGCACTCATTCGACCTGGAGGGCTTCTGGATGGATGTGGGCCAGCCAAAGGACTTTCTCAGTGGTACTTGTCTTTACCTGTCCTCCCTTACCAAGCAGAATTCCAAGCTTTTAACACCGTCATCGGAATCATTTGTATATGGCGGTAATGTGATGGTTGATCCCACTGCTAAGGTCGGCAAGAACTGCCGTATTGGGCCAAATGTGGTGATTGGGCCCAATGTGGTGGTTGGCGATGGAGTGCGTCTCCAGCGCTGTGTCCTGCTGGAAAACAGCAGGGTCAAGGACCATGCGTGGGTCAAATCCACCATTGTAGGATGGAACAGCTCCGTCGGTAAATGGGCCCGTCTTGAAAATGTTACTGTCCTCGGTGACGATGTCACCATTGCAGATGAGGTCTATGTGAATGGAGGTTCCATTCTACCACACAAGAGCATTAAGCAGAACATTGATGGTAAGCCCTTACTTCTAATCTTTTTCTGACGATGCTAACACTTATCCAGTCCCCGCGATTATCATGTAATGTGATGAACGACCTTGATTTTACATTCCCCTTTTCAATCTCGGTGCCAGGGCATAGGTCAACACATACCCGGTGCCACCATTACTTCTTTATAATCCCGTTTAGTCCTTCTCTTCGCGTCGATGTCATTCCTTTCTAGACCCTGGTGGTGAGAAAGAGTTGTTAATATTCTCGACGTCCATCTATCACAAGCGTCATGACCTGATACTTCGTTCATCGCATTCTCCTCTAAGTTGGAGTTAATCTGTTTGGCTCTCTTGATATCTATATCAATTTTCTCGATCTGCATACCCGTTTACGCGGGATAATTCCCCTTTCTTCATTTTTGTATACACATCTCTCTGCTCTTTTGCCTTTCATCTATTTACTCGAACGTTCTGTATTATGTTTGGTGGCCGTTTTCCCATCATTGATCAACCCAATTTTAATTGTCATGTTGAGAAGAAAAAAATGGAGTATATCTCTTGTGGGTGGGCCGCTTGCAAAGAACAAAAGCACGTTTTTCTAATCCTTTGTTTAAATGCTGTTTATGGTGCCTAAAGATTTCTTTGAGATATAAATGAAGGTGGAACAGGTCTGCTGTCTGTTGCTCTGTAAATACTTTTCCTTTTGTCCTTTCTTGATTTCTTCTCTTATGCAAAAAAACGAAAGGAGATACAGAAAAGAGATTATAGGTGTTCGGTAGACATGTCAATTAATGATAATAACTGAAAGGACCGATTTTCTGTACATAATCTATCTTAATCTATAAACATTTGATTGCGAGCTATGTGTATCTAGATATATATATAAGTAAATTTATACGTATAATCTTTGAAAGACCAACATCAACTGATTAACTTTTAAAATTAAAAATTTGTGAAAAGTTTTCGAGCTCGCAAAGGAAATAAGAACTTTTTATATATTCAGTTTATTCTAAACAATAAAATTATTAAAGTTAATAAAGATATACTTAAAGTAAACCAGCTTGACCATTGGGTCTATATATTTATAGCCCAGTGCAAGTATCGCACGGGTTATGTAGTATTTTCTATAGCAGATACCCCGATTAAATATTAAGTTATTGACAGTAATTGTATTAATGTACACATGGTCATTCAGACTCCTCAGCAGCATCGAGCAGTTTCTCCCAGTGAACACGCAGCTCTTCCATCTGCTGCCAACTGCGGCGCCCAAGCTCTTCAAATCTAACCCTATCCTCCGCAGTGGTATATTTCATACCTCTCTTACGACGACGTGCGCGATCTTCCGGTAGCACACCAGTGCCTATCACGCCACCAAACCCCCAGCCATCGATCTCAGTGCAGGCTACCAACGGATTTCCGAGTCTGTCCGTCGACGAACCCCATTTGACATACCCGCCACCGTTCTCCCGATACGGCTTTTCAGCTTCGTCGAGTACTTCTTGTGGACTGAGCGCCAGCCATACGGGTGCAATCGCGCCAAGGTACGTGGATACGGTATGCCAGGGCGAACCGATGAAGCGAGCTATATACATAGCGGCGAGCATGCAGTACCATAAGGGGAGGATGAGGGGGACAACAGAGGATCCGAATATCCCTGGATGAGACACGTAAATTATTGGTGCTGGGCTATTTACTAGCTCTGTCGCTGTCGTGCTTTTTGATGATGGTTGGGAATCATCAGCTAAATAGCTATTCACCCACGGTGCAGTGCTGGGAAGGTCAGAGGTTAATGCAAGGAGATCGGTCAATGTCTTAGAGCTTTCATATGCAACGTCTCTTTTCAATGCCTGGATATCTTCCACGTCGAAGAAATTAATGGTTGCCTCGATACTTCCAGTCCAGATAACCCGTCCAGGGCCATTTGGTCGTCCAGAACGCCTGAGTAGAGGCATGAGGTTGTGAGCCAGCATATAATGACCAAAGACGTTGCCGCAAAATACCAAGCCTAAGGGGGTTTCCTCAGGCAGATTTGTATGTCTCGGGACAGTGACGCCCACCGACCCAAGTTTGAAGTTTGGCCAGGTCAATGCGTGTACGAAATCCGTGAACACATTATATAGAGTTTTCGGCCAGTTCAGCCCCAGCCATCCTCCTGCGCCGGCGTTCAGTATTATAGCGTCGAGTTTGGGGAAATTGCGGTTCAGGCGGCGCGACAAGGCACGAACGGACCAGAGATCGCATAAGTCAAGTGTCTCTGCGAGGACTGTGATCCGGCTGGCGACTGGATTTCCGTGGCGAGAAGCATATTTGAGAAGTCCGTTACGGGTTTCTGTAACTTTGGCTGGGGGGCGACGAGTGGTGAAGATGATGGTTAATTTGTGCTTGGCGGAGAAGTTCTGTGCGAATTCGTCGATCAAGCGACAACAATCCGAATAACCAAGGCCGCTGGAAATAAATGAGTTAGCTTGCTTTTCTGTAAAACAATTGGCGTGGTTCACAGGATCAATCGTTGCGAATGTCTGCGACTTACGTATTTGCTCCTGTGATGAGGACGACGGTATGATCGTCAAGTTTGTCTGGCGGGTTGATTTGCAGTCGGGCCTCATTCCCAGGGGGTAGGGCGTTCTTGGGGGGCATGGCGAGGAGAGAAGTAGCTGGCAAGGAGGAATATTCAATTAGCAACACATCTTCTAGTTCTGCTGAAGGACATCGACGGCAGTCAATTGATGACCAATTGGTTCATCCAGGCTGAAGCTTTACGGGTCCCTGACTTCGATCCTGCGGTAGAATTAATATTGCTGCGGGACCCCACATCAACATGCGCTGCAATTGGCCATTCGAGGTAGCCCATGTGAGAACCTAATCGGATGCATCGCAAAATCATACACAGTTTGTTCGTAGTTGCCATGAAATCATGCGGCTTTTCCTCGAGGTATGATGCTTGTTATGTTAGGTCTAGTGCATTACACTATATTTACCTTTTGATAATTCTATACGACGAGAGCGCGTCGTTAATTAAAAGAATCGCGCTTAATTAGCAGCTGTCGCAAGTATCAAACAGAAGACAGGCACACATCGATTGAAATGAAATTATATATATGATAACTGGTACAGTGGCAGCCCTCAGAATGTACCTAGTATGAATGATATCGCAAATTGACTATTAAACAGACGAGCTCTAATAGTTAGTACCAATATTGTGCATATTCAAAACGTTATAATTAAAATGATAGATATTTCTGTAATATCGAATACTTTCAAGCAGTCCCACGAATGCATCAATGATCAGAAAAACCCAGCATCAACTTTTCTATCATCAGCATCGCAGGTTTTCTATTAAAAAGCACGCAAAGAGCAGAGAATATTCAAAATTGTAAAGTTATCCATCAGGCTCGATTTCAAGCTTCCTTGAGTCCCCCAGCCTACATGTGACCGAAACACTAATTGATGCAGCCCAAACGCATGCAAGGACAACGTTCCCCGCCTTTCAATATTGCATTTATTATAGGAAACACGGCTCGTAGTTATCCGTAGCACATGTTAAGTCGCATTAACCGTCCGGCATGCAGTGTGTCTCGTACATCATCGTGCGTCTCTAACTGAACTGTGACGACATTCTAGATAAGTAAGCACAGACCAATTATGTGCTTATATAATTTCATCTGCCTATTTATGCCTAGTGATGGTCGGCAAACTACTTTAGTAGGTCAGGTCATCTGGAACCTCCTTTGTACTAGGGTCTAGCAGACAATTTTGACGCACGCTAAACCCCCATTTAATCAATTTAGTCTAGTTCATACTAACACTATTGTTATCTGGAGAAAGGCTCCACATTATAGGCTGTGGTCTGGTCTGGTGCATTCTTAAGCCAAGGGGCTAAAGGCATCGTATCTCGGCAACGTTCGGCATCATCCTTGGATATAGTATTGGCAGTACAATATTCCGTGTATTACTAGGCTCACTTACATGGCTAGTAGTGATTGATATAATAATGTCAAGTGAATAACTGTATAAAGGCTGAGTTATAATCTTCATCTGATGCACAGCGTCATCTTTGATTATAACTATACCAGAAGGATAGACATGGGGGTCCGAAAACTGAAAGCTTGTTTCATGATATTCCATACTACTGCTATCATAATGTGGTCGACTGTTGGCTCTAAATTTAGTGGAATTCAACAGCCATGAGGGAATAACAATACGTGATATCACGGAGTATATATCTCGGCTTGCCTGTCTGGTTCAGGAAACACTAATTGCAGACCCGTTACAGACGAACAATACGCTAATACCGGCTCCTAAAGGTAGCCACTTAGAGCAAAGTGCTGACTCAAGAGCCCCACAACAAGGCGCCGGCGAATCAATTTCTGTATAAGGACGGTTATCTCGGCTGTTTGTTGATCTGATTGGCTATCTGTGCTAGTCTAAGACTGTGGCTGGGGTGGGCTGACCCGGTCATTTATCTTGTAATGTTACCTTTGTTTTGTGCCGTAAATTACGGTAATGTAGTGAAATACGAGGATAGCAGTATTAGTGCGGGGGGAGACCGGAGCAAGAAAAAGAAATACAGATGGTTAAAAAATAGCTTAGAAAAAAAGGGAAGCAAATAGAACAAAACAGGATTTGTCGCCGATATTCACTGCATTGAATTACGAGCTAGGTGCGCTTGTTGACGTAAATTGATACTCCGAGACCAATTGGGTGGGTGAGTAATGTGACAGCGTGTACACTACTGTTACTAAACAATAATACCTATGGAGTACGGAGTATTAATATTGTCAGCCAGTCATCAGTGACTGAGTACGAGACTAAGTTATAGTAGTGGTTTTATATCGGAACCACTTTCCGAACTAATTCTACTGCAGCTGACGGGTATGAAAGTACTGCTACTACAGCGTAGATACCAAGGAGGCAGGATCATGCTCGCTGTTTCATCTAAGCACTACGATGATTGGTTATCAAGAACGAATAGTATGATATCTCACGATCCTGTCTGTATCCGTCTTTCGCAGGCTGAATTGCAATGTTCACCGGGGTCAATTTGAGTCAGTTGCAGATATAGTTTCGCCTAGGTTAAGATGCTAAAGAAAAAAGGAAATAATAGTTAATTGTGAAAATACGAATCGATGTTTTACGGAAGGGACCCCCGTGCAATAAGAGAAGAAGATGACATGCAACTAGCAATAGACGAAAATTAAAATTCGCAGTTTGATTATTTCAAATTGATAGGCAAGTTGCAAAGTCAATATCGTGGGTCGGACACAGCCTCGATTGTAATTAGAGTAATAATGATAGTCCTGTTAGACCATTAAGATTTAGCTGATGTAAGGAGTCAGAAGATGCCGAGACCGTTGATATCTAATGGTAAATGCTGATAGCGGTAAATAGTATCGAAGTCGGCGACCTGGTGAGCATTGAAGCAACGGCCCCACCGCCACGAGGAATCATTTTTGACTAATACACAGTCTAATTTTTCAAACTAAGACGTGATGGTATGTGCTGCTATCGGTGGTCCAATGATACGGGGTGTATTTGTAAATGCGCTGCTTGCTCTGCTATAAGAGTGATGATATTGATGGCCCCAGCATTGAATCCCGAACAATGTGTGATCGTCCATACAAATATTGTCAATAGAAAAGTAGATTTGCAGCTGGAATCGGATCAACCAGTATCAACAACCTGGGATCAGCAGTCCATGCTAACGTCCCCAACTCGACACCGTAGTCCCGGTGAGTTGCTCATGCTGACTATCAGCCGTGTCTTCAAAGTTTAGCACTGTCTAGACTCTGCTCAGTCTGCATTCCTAATAGAAGGAGTGACCGAGGGGTAGTAAGCTAATGCCGATCATAATGGTCGCATTTCCACGGATCTGCCACATCTGGGCTATCCCAGCGTTTAAACCTTCCTAGTACGGCATCCGTCTAGATTAATGAATATATGCTTGAATGCGTGCAGCTTCTAGCAAATAGCAATGGTAGATTCCGCCACTTTGTGGCCACCGATTCGTCAGTGGATGCTGGACCATGGTAGATAGTAAATATTAAATAGCAATACTACATATGGGGCAGGAAACAGGAACAAGAGGAAGATACATTCTAGGGTGGCTTGAAGCTTCGAGTGAATTGGACAGGGTTTCAATTGCCTCAGTAGCCGTTGCTCCACATGGAAGCTCCGGGCTTAGTTGCTCCGTAGTTAGTGACTAAAGGCGAGCATATTATTATACAATCTATTACTTGATTTGCGCCCGGTCAAGTTCACACGATATAGTACTAATACTGCTTACAAGTTTCTACCAGAGTTTAGAACGGAGTAGTTACTGTGTGGATTTAAATTTAAATGACGATACTGATTAGTGATTACTCCGTCCTATGGAATATGGATTAAACAAGTATGTGATCTCCGCATCAATGACTCTAAGTTACCAATAGGAAGAGCGGTCCATAAAAATCACTCCGTTGTGGGGTCTAGTTTACAGTCTGCTTATCCTGATTGGTGACCAGTCCAGGGTGATTGGCTGCGCTGGGTCATGGGATGTCACCAGTCCTGTCCCATTGGCTGAATGCCGGCTCAGCAACCTGCCTCATTGGGGCATGACAAGACGGGAGGCCCACTTGGGTAGGTGGACTCCAAACCGTCTCTGGGAAGAATCGCCTTTGGAACTGCGCTAAATACACTAAATGGGACTAAGAGAGACACTAAAAGATAGACCGCTGAGTTAGAGCGCTTCTCGGATTATGACGCTTCTTTTGTACACCCCACTGGCGAGTACTTTGGAGCATGTCAGATGAATGTCAGTAGGAGAAGCTGTGTGGCTGTGTGGCGATCGCCGATGCTTACCCCTTATCCAGAATGGCAGAAACTAGACTAACAGACGTTAGGAAGAAGAAATTATCATTCATGTCCAGGCAGTTAGTAATGAATCTAAGCTACGTACTAGCATTGGCTGACGACGACGGGACGATCCAGAACCCCGGAAATGGCGCCAGCCTACTGGGACACCCCCTACATCACGCCCAGAAAAACAACAATTCTGCGTTGTACCCGTAATAGGGAGCGAGAAAAAGGAAAAACACATAAAAAGAAATAAAAATAACAAACTTTATCCACCACCCAGGGATGATGACCACCACAGTTGAGGAGCCTCCAGCCAATAGACATGTCGCCCGTCAGCCATTCCTCAGCCAAACCGACTCGATGCATCATCTCAAACGCCTCTTGCGTACTGACACTACGCCGTAAAGGACCATAATCTCTTCCCACGCTAAGCCCCGCGTGGCGGCGCCTGTTGGTCAGCCCTGGTCTGTGTGACTGTCTAAACTAGCCAAGCTTTTGCCAAGCCACCCTTGGGTGTGGATACAGAACTCTGAGAGAAATATCCCCCCTCCCCAACCTATTTCGGCTGCCATTCTCAGTGGTGGAAATGCACCTCTCGAAAGTGGGGGAGAAGGCGACACCAACGACCGGCGTTTTAATAGGCTTTCGCGACGCCTGGCTTGCCTTCTCTAAGGGTCAAGCAAATCCCGACTCATCGCGCTCTATTGGCTGCTACCGCCCCTCAGTTTTCCCGGCTACTGGGAATAATAAAATCATGATGGATTATTATGTCTGTCTAGTAAAGGCTGGTGCGGTCGAGACACACCATACCAATATACTACGGATGGAGAAGGTAATGATAGTCCGGACAATCTTGCATTGTTTGATTAACAGTAACTACTTGTATACACTAGTGTATTCCGGGTACAGAAGCCGCGTTAGAGGCCGACATCTACTTTAGATGTCTCTTCTGATTCATCAATCTCCTCAGAGAGGCATCTCCCGTCAGCCAGGTTGCCGAGGATAGCCAGCACATAAGAAATATATGGGTGGCAACTTTAACATTTTCCGATTAGAGGCGACTGGGAATGTTAAAATATTCACGTAATAAAATAAGATTTAAACTTATGTAATTTTAACAACCAGGGTATCACATGCTATCAAAGACTGGACGGTACCGCAGCCCAGGAGATCCCACCAAAAAGCACTAAGAACATCCGAACAATAATTTGCCTCCTCAATCACGAGTACTAAAACATGCAGCACACAGCATAACCTGCGGGAGACTCTCGGATCCGCTATTCCTAAAGGAATTGTAGAACCTCCAACGGCTGAGAAGATAGTAAATACACCAAATCGACAATAGAGATTGTGCACATGTCGTTAAAGTAACCGATCGTACTAAGCACACACAAAGCACGGTATTCGCCGAAATACAAACAAAGGAGGGTCATGTATGCAAAGTAGCAGCGCTTGCACTCCGATCGTAATAAGATACTTAGCAAGAGTCGCGCAGAGGTAGTCAGCTAATGCCGAGAAACCCCCAGTCAGTTCCTTCCTGTGAATTGAGGATTCGAGCAGGGGGTTTGTACTGGTATTCAGGGTGATAGGCCATCATCATCGGGTGGGCAGCCTCGGTGACCATGGGGTGGTGGCCTGGGTAAGGCGGTGGAGGCTGCTGATGGTACTCGGCCGGTATGTAGCTTGTTCGAGGGCTCGGATCATACCGCGGCTGCTGCATGATATGGGCATACTGTTGATGGTCCACCGGTGGAGGTGGGTTGACGGTAGGAACGGGTTGCGGGACTATACTCGGGGCCTGAGCGAGGGGGATGGTCTGGTGCGATTGATAGAAGTCGGGGTTGGGGGCGGGCGGTTGCTGGTACATTGATTGATGTGCGAGAAGGTACTGGCTCGCAGGCATTGATGTCACCACTGGGGTCTGGTACGATGTGTGGTCTGGCGTGGCCTCTTCGGACGAGAGACGAGTGGCATCAGGGGGATGGGAACGGTGTTGATGTTTTGTCAGGGTTGTCTTTCTGCAGAAGCTAGATCTGATGAGCGGGCAGATTCGTAGCACAGCATATTCAGTGTATGTCAACCAACCTTCTTTCGCAGGTGGGCTCCTGGCATATATAAGGGCGCTTGCCCGTGTGAATGCGCCGATGACGAGCTAGACTCGAGGACTATAGGAGATGGATCAGCTCTGTACAATGTGCGCGTATTGAGAAAGGGGATGAATTGGTGCAGACATGGACGACTCACGTCAGAAAAGGCCTTGTGGCAACCCTCATGGTCGCATACGTGAGGCTTCTCGCCGGTGTGGGTGCGCGAGTGCACGGTGAGCGCGCTGCGCTGGATGAAGCTCTTGTTGCAGTCGGCGACGGTGCAGTGGTAGGGGCGCTCGTTGGTGTGAATGCGATAGTGCCTGCAGAGGTCGGATTTGCGATTGAAGGACTGCGATCAGTGAGTCCAGTGTCCAGGGTCGGCCGAATTAGGAAGGCGCGATGGGGGTACGTACCTTCCCGCAGTGCTCCCACGAGCAGTTGAAGTCCCTTCCGCCGGGTGCCATCGCTGTATATGTATCTATATGGATATATATATATACACAGGTATATATATAATCGAAAACGGGCGGACGCAATATACACTGCAGGTATATTGCAGAGAGATGGGGAGGAGGGCTGTTTTATTCCTGACAGAGCAAGCTAGACTGGCGGAGTGGGGTCCTGGGGAGTGGGCACTCGGGCGATAAATAAAAGGAAGGGAGCAGTGGCGGACGAAATTTGGCATGGAAGACGAACGGCGAAACGCATGCAGCCAGTCGGGGTCGTTGGGCCGGCGACTAAGCACAGTCGACAATGATATAGTGAACTAATAACGCCAGAGTGGTAATTAAATTGTTGAGCACGCTGACTGGCGATATCTGGGGAAGGAGAGGTAGATGATGCCTGGGGTATATACGCCGTCGCGGCCGAGGGCTAATTTAAACCATTCGCTCATCCAAGTCTCCTGGCCGGCTGGCTCGCGATGGCCACAGTAATTAAACCATGCTATCCAAAGGTTACAGAGGGCGGCCCGCTCTGTGCTCGCCTGTCACTCTTTGCCTGTCGGGGATTGCTCTCTGGGCTGCTGGGAACCGGCTGGCCTAGTCGGTTTAGTTCCAGTGGCGGCATTACAGTATAGATTACACATTACAGCAGCTATCCACTATCTCTAATACATGCGCTATCTCACCGTGGGTATATGTCTTGTATAACAATATGATTATTATTATTACTATTATTACTACTATTAATTGCTGCTAGTAATTGCTGCTAGTAATTGCTGCTATTATTACTATCACTGTTAGTGTCATCATTAATTGAATTGATGAGGGCTAGACGCAGGTGCAAGTGCATCCCACGTCAAGTAGGCTATACATAGTACCGATACGGGCTACGTATGGGGGGACAGCATACGGTAAATACCCGTACCGTACGGGGCGCCAAGGTAAGATTACGGCCCACCGGCTAGCCCTGGTTCCTGGCCGCACGCCCACTGGTCGCTGGCAGGCTGGCATGCTTAGTATGTCTGGTATTGCGTGGTACCGCCGGGTAAATTCTCGCCTAGTGACTTAGTATTACTCCTGCTTCTGACACCGTGTCACCCCGTCCACTTACGAGTCTGACGGCACTATCGAGTGTTACAGCTGCTCAACACAAACTCAAACTCAAACGCAGCGGCCGCCAATGGCAGCTGCCAGGCGCCAGTCCCTGGTGCAAGCTCAGACCAGTGGGCTGCAGTACGAGGTGGTAAGGCCGAAGGTTCGCTCGAGTCACGGCGACGATCAAAGGATTCGTGTCGACAGAGGCTGCTGATTAGAGGATAGACAGCGGATAGACGCGTGCTGCCCCATTGATCGAGCCAGGGCCAAGGACCCCGTTAAGCGGTGCTAGTCCTCTTGGACAATCCCTAGGCCTCAACTCCTGGGAGCTTCACATGAGCGCCAGCCAGAGGCAGAGGTGGCTAGTATGATTACCAGTTTCCGAGAATGGCTGCGGCGGCCGAGATGGTTTGTTGGCTCCTATGTGACCTCGCGCGCCTCAAAAGTCAATGTCAATGATAATATAAAATATAAATATATTAATATGAAATAGCAGAAAGACAATTGCTCTATCGATGAGGAAAACAATACCGGCACCAAATGGATGCATCCCATGCAGGTCTTCCCCGCATCTCATGGTGTGGTCGCAACCCTTCCTTCTGTGATCCGATGCACCAGGCCTCGATAGACATGATGACATGCATAGCTTGTACCGCTGTTACGGGACCAGTCATGCGGTGTCGTATCGGCGATGGGAGCTGGCCGAATCTAGGGATGAGAGCTGTGTTCCCAGTTTCCTGGTTTCTGGTTTGACTTCTGACTCTATCTACTTCTAGTTCTTCTGCTTTGCAAACTCAGATCTGAGGATGTTGATGTGACGGCCAGCGATCGGCACTCCTATTGAGTCTCGACTGCCAGCTCGACGAGGGTGACGAGTCTACCTAGTCGACGCGGTGGGTCGTTGTCTCACAAATAATCTGGATGCTGGATGCTGGATGCTGGATTCGCTGTCGTTTTCTTGGGCGGGAGATCCTTGTGCCTTAGGCAGTAACATCAACCACCATACGGTCACTCGGCTACCTCATACTGTCTATAAAAAGAAGAAAAAAGGATACGAAATAAACATAAAAAACAATAAAATAATAAAATAATAAAAAATAAAAAATAAAAATAAATCTAGCAACAATAACAGAATAATAACAATCACCATATAAATTAATAATAATACAATACGAAGCAGCTGATTTAGAATTCGGCCGGTCGGAACGGCCTTCCTCCTTGCTCCTTTCCTTCGCGGCGCATGCATGCATGTCAGACCAAACACCACTCACACTCACCACTCTTCCCAGCGACCAGATACTTGACTCGCCTTTATTTGTCATCTGTCAGAACAGCTCTACTAAGCACGCCGCTTGCCACTCCCTTGACTCGCGCTCGACATGTCCACTTCACGATATCAACACCGAGTCGCTTATGCGCAGATTTGATCTCTATCGCCGTCCTCTTCATCTACGCGATGAAAGTACGATTCACGGAATACCGATCAGCTATCTATCCACAACAACGTCGATTTCTTGGCCGTTGGTAACCAACCCCGCATTCTTGGCAGTCACTAGAAAGGCCAGCGCTTAGTTCTACAAGCGACTGGTACCAGCGTGCTGGCATGTTCACTAGGCTACATAGGTAGTCAACGCCGAGTTGCTATCTCTGCCAGTAACCAACCGCGCTGGGTCGCGGTTGGTAGCGTCGTCAGCCTTCGAGTCGGTGTGACTTGCGAGTCAGGCCCAGCGATGGCATGCCTCCTCTCCACAGCGCCGCTTCGTATATCCCATCGTGCATTGCTCCGTTCCCTGGTGTTGGGTCGGCGGGGCTGGCTGTTTGTTATCTCGATATCGGTTGGAAGGATCACGAGAGCTGCAGCCCGGCGCCACGCAGTTCAAAAATACTCGCTGCTGACAGCTTAGTCCATGAGGCTGATCGCCGTGCTATCGTGACCTTTAACATAGGTGTGTACTCCGTACCACCTACATAAATGAAATGTGCGACGCTAAAATCGTAGTGCCATCCTGCTTTATGCCCAGCCTAGCTCATGGATGATAGACCACTCACTTAGTGCTTAGTACTTCCCGAGCTGGGCGCGCGAGTCCTATCTAAAGAGATCAGAAAAGACTTGGTAAGTGCGCAGTAAATACTGGTTTTCCTAAAACCTCGAATAATAATATCCTAACAATTTTTCCCATGAATTGTGTTGTTATTTGTTAGATGCCGCTCCAACTCTTGCTCTATCTATCGTCCACCCCGCAGCCTGAAAGAGAGCTTTTACCTATTAAAGAATGACAAGGAAGATGAAGACCAGAGAACGCGATACACGGCACAATTTTGGTAAGCAGTGCTCTCGAGCACAATGACCACCGATCGAAAAGCCTACGGGGTATGAAGCCCACCTGCGACTATTATCATTATCATCATTGTTAGCTGAAGCCCACGCCAATCACTCAGGATTAGCCATTTTTGCGGCATTTGTAAGATTTTGGTTGATCCTCTTAGATCATAGACCTCGTATCGAAGGAGACGATCATGGTCGTGGAACATGGTCCTGGACCCCAAATCACAAGACCTCACGCAGTCCATACGAGATTGCAAGATTCTGCAACTTTTATTAGCCGTAAGCGAGAAAGTCATTGAGAAGTCGGGTAACGTGAGCGCCACAAGTACGTAAATCTCGGTGACGAAAAGACCATCATCGTCGCTTGTGTATGCGTACGACATGTCGATCATGATATACGGTTTGTCTTTCGCAAGCCAGACTTTATTTATCCGGTACCAGGGCACACATGATGGCTCCCAGTCACCACAGTCAAATCTCGTTACTCCGTCCCTAGAATGATCATATATCAGTTAGCATACACGTTATCAATAGCTCCTAAAATTCTAGATGACATACACACGGTGTCAATTTGTCAAGGTTATAAGTTGTTATAAGCTCAGTAGGATCCTTTTCTCCATTTTTCCAACGCACACAACCAAGGCCAACGTTAAGTGTGGAAGACAAATATCCAACAATATTGGTAGGACTACAGCAGGGTTCCCTCACGAGGGTTCACAACGATCAAGAACGTTTCCACCTCTTTTTCGTCCAAGAATCACTTAGATCTGGATGATAAGTAGCAAGCATCTCAGGGTCAATTGGGGAGAAGAGAGAAGGAAGATCAGGTTCTTCACGTTGAAGGACCTCGTTCTAGTCGACTGTCTCAAAATTGATGCCCAATTCCTCAAGCCCCTCTTCTGAAGTTTCATGTCCCAAAAGTTGTGAGACTCGTCTTCTTGACTGTCGGGTCATAGCCTTGCACAGCCGACCATGCCAGCAGCCAGTCGTTGTGTTGATAAATGGGTCTGCTTGTAGTGGTAGAAGAGCTCATGTTACCAAAGGATGCTGAGAGCTAGTAAATGTGTTAAAAGGATGAAAGGATAAAAGCACTGAAGCAGTATCAAGGGTATCTGACGCAAATCAGCTGCATCAGAACGAAGTGGTGCCAGAGCGTCTTGAGAGGTTTTGACTAGTTAATATGAGGGGGGCTCCAGTTACCAATCGGGTGGTTACATTAGTATGCTGTATCAACCGATTTGAAGACATAGTCAGGATTTCACAGTGGGTGGATATTCTATTGTGTTCGCTTTGGCCTCAAAAAACTAAAGGGCATTTCAATCATACATGTATTCTAGAACCTTAGCGTACGAATATCATACTGACCGTCGATCCTATATGTACTTGGTAGAGTGTCTACCACACATTATTCCTTTGCTGCATCGCCACCTAGAGAATATGGTATAGACAGGATGCAGGTTGGCAGGACTTGCATCTGTTTCCGATCATAACATTTATTCGCTAGCATTTGCTACCCTAGCATATACATTCACATGTCGTTACCAAAATAGAGCCATTCAATATCACATGTATCTTTCTTCTCATTTTCCCGTCTTCTTGAATAGCCACTTATATTATAAGTTAGGATCATTACCACTGTACCATATTTACTGACAGACTAGAAACGGCACTGTGCGGAGTTACATGCAGCAAAATGGGCGATGATCGACATGCAGTATGGAACGGCATGGATTAATGTACCGGATGTGACATATCTCATGCAGATTTACAGTTTGAATGTGATCCAGAAGCAACGTTTGGACAGTTTCTTAGTCTGGAACTCAAATCCGAGTCAGTATCTTTTCATTTCTTTTTCTTCTGCCTTTCACTATCTTCACGGAGAGATATGATATATCATATGTATAATTTGCCATTAATTCTTATTAATAATCTTGATAATGAGTTCACTATAATACACATGTTCCAGTTGACGAAGTTGCATGCCTATATGAGAATACAAGTGTGGATGCATCACCGACGTCGACGTGTACATGAAGATAAGAAATCTAACAGTCACAGATTCTGGTGTATGTTACTTAACGATTATCTAAGCTTGTAAGCAGTAATAAGTTGACCAAGATCAATGATACATGTATCAATCTATGCTATCAAAAATACCTCTATATACTTATATCACCAACTGGTCAGCCCCCTCTCCCTGTCAAACCCACCACGCAGTTGATCCGGCTTGACCAGTTTTCCCTGCAAAACTGTAAACCTCACAACATTCTCACACTCTTCAGGCCGCACTCGCGCGAGCCAAATACCCTGTACTGCACCATCATCCTCTTCACTATACTGCTGGACAAGCTTCTCACCCACACTCTCATTCTTCTTCTTATACCAATCGAAATCTCTCCGCCGGTAGATAATCACATTAGCCGAGTACTTGTGCCCTCCAACGTGGCTGATGAAATAAACTCCAACCCCACCGGGCCTTTCGTCATCCATATCCCTGTATAACCCATGACTGCGTAGATGCCGCTCAAACTCACGTTTTAGCAGAGGAGCCGACTGTCCACAGCGCGCATCGCGTGTCTTTTGCGAGCAGAGAAGGATAACTGCTGCATGCGGCGAAGGGCGAGATCGAAGCGGTGTTAGCGATGAGATGTCTTGTGCGGGAAGCAGCGTTTTCGTGGGGACTGTCGAGTCCCCTGTGAGGTCGGGCTGTGATGATATTGGGATTGAGCGTAATGGTGTCGTTGTTGTGATGGATGGGTTGACAAAGTACTTGATCAGGTCCGGGGTCAAGGCCGGCGTCACATGATCGATGATGGTGAAGGCGGGGAAAAGCGCGACGGTTGTAGGCCGCGACTTGTTGTCTTTTGCATGGTGATATTCGTCTGGTACGGGGATGTTTGATGCCGAGAGTTTGAGTTTCTGAGAACTTAGTTTCCATTACAGACAAACAGGATGCTTAAGCAGATAGATGAACACACCCCATTGTTTGGCGCAATGCCGCCCTTGTCAATCGCCTCCATCACACTCCCCTTTTCGTCGGCGACATCACGAACCCAATCCGCCTTGCCAGTCGCAACGAGGACATGGGTTGCCCAGCCGTTGACATTGCCGTACAGCTTATCCTTCAATTCGACATCGAACTTGGCCGGGTAATGGATGGTGCAGCTAGCGCAGTCACGATCGCAGTCCTCGCCATCTACCGCCGGATCGACCTTGGGGAAAAGCGCCGTCTGCGAGGATGCGCTTGTGAAGCCGTCGGTGGCCGGACTGCCGGTTCGTGGGGTCAAAAACTCGGCGCCGCGGCGCAGTAGTTTCTGCATTGTGGCCTGCTGGACAGCAGCAGAAACAATAACAGTAACAATAACAACAATGATGATGTGACAGAAGGATAGGAGAATTTGATGTCGCCATCCATTAAGAATAAATTGTCATATGGCGGGGCGCCACATGTTAGTAATATAGTTGCATCTAATCTGGCTTATCTGATCCGCTTTGCCGGAATAATTCCGATAGAAAAACATAGGTATTTAATAGGATAGGTACTTTGTACAGCACACTCATGTTACATATGTATATAGCTCTATACTTATACACCTATGAACTAGCCAGCATTCATTAAAAGATTAAAGCGGCGGATATAACCGATACTAATTATATACATTTCAAATACTGAGAAAGAACAGTGCATCTACCAAGCTGCATCCCCTCGGGCAGGAATATTAATGGCATACGGAAGATCCTCAGGGCTTCTAGTCTTCACGAGCCGGATAACGCTACCCGCAGAATTCTGCGACAAATTTGATCCGACACGACGCAGCGAAGTCATTGATGGACCGCTCCTGAGTCTATCCGTAGACCGAGATTGCGCTGGAGAACCGTTGCTTTGAACCATTGGCGCGGTTCGCACAGAACGTAAACTGCTGCCCCAAGGCGAGGAGGAATTGTTGCTACGCCTGCGGTAGAGGCTCTCGCCTAGATCCTCCGTTCCGAGCGTGTCGGTCTCCCCCTCCTCATCCGATGGGCCGATAAACGACTCGCTGTCCCCTTGAGAACCATCCCCGCGTATCTCTTGCAGAACCTTCGGATCCACTTCCTTCATACCTCTTAAAATCTCCGCAAATAGACCCATCAAACTTCGGAACTCGTCTTCGACGAGCGGTCTAGGCGAGAACCGGGCTTGCTCATAGATGGAGAGGAATTCCGCTCCCAGTTCCGGAGGGTCAATTAAGCCCAAAGTCGTGAGATGTCCGACATAATCTCGCAACCCCATTGCTGTAGGCCGCTGCAATATCTCCACGACGCGAGGGTCGGGGATGTTCTGGTCTCCGCTCCCTGACGGATCCGCAAACCGATTTGACGAAATCAGCGGATCGGAGGGGGCCAGTGAAACGGCCTTGGCCTCGATCAAGTGTGGAAGCTCTTCTATGACTCGCTGATATCGTAGGCCAGGGAGGTCCAGAGATGACGGCGAAGACCAGCCGGCGTGTGACACAGGGCCCCATGGCGGCCGATCGGGTTTTATGGAGAGGTCCTCATCGTGCGCGGGCTCGTTGTGTTCGTCGAAGAGATTTCTCGGCCGGGCTTGATACGCAACAATAGCGCTTTGATGAATACCGTCTTCTACCAGCCTTTGTACACTTTTGCCAACTTCCCCTTTTGCGACCGGTATCCAAGCTTTCGGGATGGCACCGAGGCCAGTTCGAATGGTGTATATGCGACTTGCGTAGACGAGCAGGGCTAGTAAAACTGTCACGATATAGACACCAGACACTATGAATATATTGGTGAGTCTGCGATTTCGGTAACATTGGTAGATAAAGTCGCCGGGCGTCAGTAGCGTTAGGCAAAATGTGACGATTCCAAGGAGGGTATAGACAGTCGAATTAAGGATACGAAAGACATTAAGGGCCATATTATCGGTGCATTTTATGGAGGCTAGACAGCCTGTCCTCAGCACATGTGAGCTGGAAGCTCACTAGCCCAGAGAACGGAGTTCTGTTGAGAATGTAGTAGTAAGAAGTCTGGCGATGGTTGGCGATGCGAGCTTAGTTCTAGTCTTTAGATGCCGAGCCTAGTCACGTGTTGACAATGACTTAGCAATAGAACAAGCCTGCCATATATTATAATATTAATATAAATAATAAATTTATCTACATCAGTAATTATGCTTCGAAATATAGCAAGGTCTAAAATATATTGTCCATCCCATTCTAGATACTGCCCGATGTGCATGACTCGCTTACTCTAGATACGTAGCTAAACTCACATTTAGTCCTCAATGGCAACTTCGTCTTCTAGCGTAGGACCAATATTCTCGCCTCTTGCGCGGCGAATAACACGCTCAATACCATCAAGACCCTTCTTGAGGTGCTCCATCTTGGGACCGTAACTCAAGCGCACAAAGTGATGGCAAGGGCTGTCGAAGAGATCACGACGCTTAGCCGGGTTCAAGTCGAAGAAGATACCAGGGACAACAATAGTCTTCTCCTTCAGGAGGGCGTTAAAAAAGTTCAGCCCATCGGAAATGTTGGCACTCTCAGGCAGCGGAGGGTGGATGGAAGTCAAATCCAACCAGATGTAGAAGGTGGCGTCTGGGACATCCTTCATCGGAAACCCGATCTCGCGGAGACGGCCAACCACGTAATCACGCTTGGTTCGGAAGTGTTCTTGAAGGGCTATCATTTCTTTCTTCACGAGCGACGGTTCGAGCATAGGAACTGCAGCCTCTTGGAAGGGCACATTTGCACCGCCATCGAGGTACGAGCCGGCTGAACCAAGTGCGTCAACGAATTCCTTAGGGCCAACAATCCAAGCAATACGCCATCCAGGCAAACGGAATCGCTTGGTAAGACCGTCGATCAACAGGACATCTTTGGGTGGGCTTGTTAGTTGCTATGACATAGATCTACGATAAGACATCACATACCGTCCTGATCAACATCAATGACATTCTCTGCGCCACTTAGTGTCGTTCCATCACAGTTGGTGGTGTAGTTGTATCCTCCATAGAACTCGTCCAAGATGAGTGTAGCACGACCACGGCAGATGTCCTGGATACGAGCAAGCTCTGGGTTTGCAACAACGTGACCAGTCGGGTTGCGCGGGTTGGAGGTCAAGATAACTGATGTACCTCGAGCGATCTCTTCTGCGATCTTATCGGGGTGGATGTGGTAGTGGTCATTCTCCGCCAATGGGATGGGTATGGGTGAGAACTGTTTGTTTCGTGGAGTTAGTCATACAGCCTCTACACCCAAGGTAGAAAGAAAGCATACATTCTTGAAGAGAGACAGCATCTCAGAGTAGGCAGTGTAATCGGGAATGGGGAAAGACAGATATCCATTTCCCAGAATAGCGGCGATACGGATCAATCCAGCGCGACCACCAGGGACAATGCACACATTTTCCCAGGTGTACTGGCTGTCCTTGCCTTGTCGGTACTGCTCATTGTACAGCCGCGCGACCGCTGCGCGCAGAGGTTTGATACCAGCAGTGGGACCGTATTCACGAGACGCCGAGTCGATTGGGATGGACGTTGGGCGAGGGAAGCTTCCCACGATGTCGTCGTCGGCTTCAGGAGCGCCCTGGCCAAGATTAGCCCATTCTGACGGGCGCTCTGAGAAACCGTATTCGTTGGCGCGCTCTGTACACCAGATCACACCGGTGGAAGCTCGAGAAGCATCGAGGCCGGCATGAGGCTTGTGGCCCTCGTGGGCAGAACGGAAGTCACGATGTGTCTGGGACTGTTGTTCTGTCGCAGTCCGAATTTGTTAGCATTTCCAGTCAGTTGTGAAATCAAAGTTAACCAAATACGTCAAGATTTAATGAGATACAAGCCGAGACTCGTCGCGGATTGAGTCGACTTGGCACCGAGGGGCAGATAAGAAAAAAACCAAAAAACATGGAGTTTCTCCACCAAAGCAAGGGGAACAGTGGCGCAAACGAGCCAGGGACAATGCATACCGTTCTGGGAAAGATCTTTGGTGGTCGAAAAGCGCCTATTAGATTCGGAGGGGCGCAGAATGCTCACACGACGGCCGGAGAATGACATGCTGGCGGTGGTGTGCTTGGCTGTGCGACGTTTCTGGGACTATCAGGGGAAGACAGGACGCCAAGACAGACAGTCCACTTTAATATGGCAGAGTAGTAAATTAATATCGACGGACGCCCTGCTGATCTAAGATATATAACAGGCAGACAGGCAATGGAGTAATATATACTAGTATGTAGTAATTAGATCAATGGATAGTAATAATGTATGTATGAGAGGCCATGGCGCCTTTAAATGGGAAGCAGTCCAGCCCTGGGGGCCACGTACGACTCAGCTCTGTGTTACTCCCAAGTTACTAACTAGTCACAATCCAACGTCAATAATGAGCTGCTTCACTACGGACAATCCTCCGTACTACGACCCATCATCCAGCCTCTTACATCAACAATTAAACCTGCAAAGCTTGATAAAATCGCGCACGCGCTCACAGCTCTTCGATTGGCCCAGCCACAAGAGGCGATGTCTGTATCGGTAGTTTCAGTGCGGCCTCGCGACAACTGGGCGGCTCCAAGACATCCAAAACGAATCAGTTATTAAGATCCCGGGTCGGCTTTCCCCGAATATCACCTTGAGAAGAAAATCCCGCCCCCTTTATGCCCAACGACCGCCCTTACGCATGTTCCTGAGCAACACCTTGGTCTGTGCAAACGCCAGGCGCCCTAGCCGCATGCAACATCACCTTTTGCCGGGCATTATCCAAGCCAGGCTGAAACGAGACTTCGCATCCGGTTACATACTGGTACAGACTTGCTTATTGTGGAATTCTGCTAGATGGAATGGAGTCAAACTAAAAGTCGGTTGCATATTGCAATAGAAGGAGCACGTAAATACATCAAATATGGTCGTAGAAGTGGTCATAAACTCGGAAACAGGCATCGACTGTGCTAGGCTGACAAGATCGTAGCCATTTCCCATAGGATGTCCAACAGTAAATGGGCGGTTTTCGGAGAAGTAATGTCACGGACAAACAGGTTTCGGCCTCCCTGAATTGAGATCGAACCTGTAAAGATACACTCTAACTGCAACCAAACGCCGATTGAGAAACGCCATAAAACTACCTTTGAATGCTATGTGAAACAAGGAGGAGAAATGCCGCTGCCAGAAACCAGGATAAATCAGATTTAGTTCTCAACTGCCTGGCAGAACAGCTGGATCTCGCCTACTTGACCTTGGGCGAGGCTTTCCTGATGCTGGTCTCTCCACTCCATGAATGCAAGTTGAACGGCCTCATCGCTGTCAATAGTGACAAAGTCGCCATCTTCGTCCTTATAACGTAGACGAACGGACTTGTTTCCAATGGAGCGATTCGTAAACCGTGCAAGCTTGGCATCAACCCGGTCAGTCAGGGATCGAAATAGAATGTTGCTGGCGATAACGAGCGTTACGTAGTTGTCGTCAAAGTTGACCTTTGCTTTTAATTGAGTCGGCATGACTGGGCCTTGAGGCATCTGTGCATCAGGATCAAGAGTGCCAGAGTCGACAAGATAGTTATCTGAAAGTGATGACTGGCTGGTTGCCAACGATGAGGTGTATGGATGATCCTGATAACCACCAGACTGAACATGTCGCGTGGTGGCAGACCGAATCGGCAGATTGCCATTGGTGGGGGAGTTGTTCTGGCTTCGACTGACCGGTGCTCTCATGCCTGCAAGTTGTGGTGGAATAGGAGGGACCGGTACGTTGTCGATCGTTTGCATGCTGTGAGTGTGCCCGTTTACATACCGAGCTGGATTGTGGATATCAGGGCTGCTAGCTGAACGCATCCTCTGTTGCGACGTTTGGCTCTGGCCAGAGAGTGGAGGTAGAGATGGGCGCTGTACTCGTCCGTTGGCACCATTGCTACTTGAATGGTTGAAGTAAGGGTTACTGTTCCCATCCCTCGATACTACTCTTGATAAAGCCGGGGCTGTATACCGATTGGACTCCTCATTCCACGTATTTGTTGGCGTCATCTGCCTAGTATAATTATACGCTGACTGGGAGCTAGAGCGTGTTGAAGGCACTTCCGTCACAGGTGAGAAATATGACGTGCCAAGAATGCGTTCGCCTGGTGACAGATTACCATTGGAGAGCTGTGTATGAAGGGCTGGAGGTAAATCCGGGAGGGGGAATCGGGGCGGTGGGCGTGCAGCAGGAAGAGCGATGGAGCCAGCACTTCCTCCAGTTGCTGACCTGGCTCGCAGACTGGTACTCGAAGCATTTCTGCTGACTGGAAATTCCGAAAAAGATCCTGACTGGACCTGGGAATCTTCATCCGCATCATATTCTTGCTGATACGGATTGATCATTCCCTGCATGTTCTGCATGTACATGAATTCCGAGTCTGAAGTTCCGGTGTTTCGAGTGTTGCGCTGGCTAGATTGTTCCTCCCGCTGCATATCAATATCCTTGTGCCATTTCTTCATTATATCCTCGTTGGAGTACCGAATGATGAAATTATCGACAACCCCAGGATCACCTTTCCAAAATATTTGAATTCGGTAGGAACCTGGATAAACACTATGAGGAGACAGTCCATACTAGGAAAGGAATAATTTGCTATCATACCAGGTTTCTGAAGTAATACGATGTCTGTAACATTTGCCATATAAATTCGGCCCTTGAGCTGCAGGCGTGGCTTGCCCTTGAGGTTTCCAGAGGGTTTATCCTTTGATGATCCCATGAGCTTATTCTTTGGCTTGTTGGGGTTAACATCCTTGCAGCAGAGAAGAATGCGTTCGAACAGGTAGATATGATACTTTGCCAGCTAAGATCAGTGACTGCAACAGAGATGGGATAAAGCCCATTAACTCGTATAGGGCTAGAATACTTACTTCTCGTTCAGTGTCCTTGTTGGTGTCCCCTTTCAATACGGTGAAGGTGCCAAACCGTAAAAGATTTCCAAAAGCGTCCACTTTGAGTGACTTCCAATCATCTACCCGATTGGCGAGATCATGCATTGCAGACTTGAGATGCTCGGCATCGATGGCCTGGTTTGCACAGTCTAGAACAGACTGAATCATGTCGATCGCGTTGGTGATACTAGCCTGCAATTCTTCGTTTTCCATTTGCTTGCGAAGTTCCTAAATCCTTTAATCAGCACTTGAATATAACGCTTTTTTTAAAATTGTAGCATCCCAACGGACCGAAAGCATAAGAGGATATTTGGTAAGTCGTTGAAATGGCTTGACGAAGAAGCTGTTCAGTGTTGCGGGCTGCGCAACCATTTGCTGGAGATCAAGCGAACGCGGAGCAGATTTGATCTTGTCCCATTCACGCAAACAAACATCGTCGCAAGTAAGCTGGTTCGAAATAAAAGGCTCATATTGGCGAAGTGCTTCCTCTGATTCAATGAAGACGTGGCCCCAGTCTTGTCGTTCCTCAGATAATGCATAATGCTGCTCCATTCGAATGAGAAACCTTTGCGCAAAATCCAGCAGATTATTTAGGTTGGAAAAGATCTCGTGGCTAGTATCGCCGGTTAGAGCACCAGTCTCCTCGAGTTCTTTCTTCAGGGCCTGCAAATTCTGTAGATGGTGAACGTAATCACGCTCCGTTTCGAGTAATTCCTTTAGAATATGTTCGCGCTTTGTAAGTTTTCCGGTGCCCCCTTTACCTCCTTGTGTACCCGCCACTGCGGTAGAGGGTCGTCGGAGCCGGCCCTGAATCTCCAGGATATCTAAGACGCGATTTACCATTTTTATGACCTGCTTTTAATTAGCAAAGGTACGACACAGGTCTAGCGACGACGAGGATAATGCAAACCTTGAGAAATCCTGTTATGTTATCACCGTAGAGATCGGTAATCAGAAAGCAGTCTTGTTGAGGGAAGCCCAAGTCTTGCAGAGAGGCTTGTAAAAACTTGAAAGTGGCGGCTTTGGGTCGCTTAGCCTCAGGGACCTTTTCCGGGTCGATTTCAAGAAGCTCGTCTGGCTGCGAGGCGTTGAAAATGGTGAGAAGGGGATAACCAGCTCGAAAACAATTCCACAGTGAGGCGACTAGATCGCCCGACGCGAGCTCTTCTGCTTCCATATCTGCTAGATTCGCCTCGAAACCTGGAACTTCAGCGAGACGGAGCTTCAACTGCACAAAAGTCTGATAGATAGACTCGCCACCTCTTCTATTGATAATATTGTCCTCCGCGACAGGGCCTCCAACGGGAGTTCCGTTGCTTAACGGCGTATCCATGTTGGCGACCGTTCAATCAAATCGTGGTTCCCAGAACACGATATTCCTCGACAAATAATCGCACAAGTAACTGTCCCAGCCAGCGTACCTGGTCTTCTTTGCTAGGAGTTATGCACCATCGATATCGGGAGCGTAGCCGCAAACCGAAGCGTGGAGTTGAGGGCCGGAGGGGAGAACTGTGAGGTAAAAGTGGAATGTTGCGTCGCAAAGGCCGATTGCGCGACGGACTAAAGCGGCGATCACAGCGAGAACCTGCTCCACACAATTTTCCTTGTCCTATTTCCTTTTTTTCTTTGTCCTTTTGGAAATAACCGTAAGACGATGGCTCTGATGAAGTAAGTGGAGGGAACGTGCACGGCGAAAGGCTATTGACGATGACCGCGGGAGACGTGTCTACAGAACTCTGTTCAGCTTTCGGCACTAGTAGCAAAAGTATAGCATCAAGCAGTCAAGAACGAAGAAATATCGAGAGCCGTCGAGAGCAGAAGAGATAAGGGACGGCAGCAGTATGGGCTGACGGGCAGCAAATCTGTGAAGCGAGATTAGTTTGTTAGTCTGGTACGGCAGGTTAGTTCAGCGCAGGGGTCTGTCTGAGTCTCTGTCTAGACTCTGAAATGCCTGGTAATGGTGGGGGGCTTCGGTTGTGGAGAGGACGGAGGGGGCGGTTGGGCAGGGCAGACAAGGGAGAGGGGGGAGCTCACGATAGACACAAGGGGGGGTGGCTGTTGAGGAGGGTAGAATACAGAGCAGAATACAAGCAGGGAGACAAGAGAGAGGCTATCGAGGCGAGATAGTCGAACAGATAGATAGATTGACGAGGTGGAAGGGCAGCAGACAGGGCAGGCAGGGGGAGTGAGTGATGCTGCAGTAGCAGCGGCCTAGTGTGCGTGCCATCTTGGCGGTTTGCGCCTAAGGCTCACACTAAGCATCCGCTAATTGCGCGGGTGTTTCGGTTCCATTTAATATTAAATATTAAATCTCATGATCACGGTCGTCTTGTGTGCTGTGACGCGGCGATGTGAAACACGCTATTAATACTAATAGTCTGATATCTAATATGATTCCCTATGCACCTCCCTGGCTTCGTGTGGGAATGAAACACTTGACCGCTGCCCTTTGATATAAGCTCAATTTGGGTGGTGCATGCTTCGATGATTCAATATACTGCATTCCTCTCTATTTGCAATTAGCAATGGGCTTCCGAAGTAGAGTACAGCGATTAATCATTAAGACTTCGGATTTTAGACGGCCCATGCACCGGCATCAGTTGATCAGTCTTACGTATTGATATACATGTAGAGATTTGCACGGGTTTAGTATCGCATACAGCATTCAAATGTTCAATGTTGTAGTCGAAATAGCCATACAGTATGCCAGTTGGGTTAGTGTTAGGGTTTATGTATGGCGCTACGTATATCAATTGACGTGTTATTGAAGTTCGAGCACGTTTGGGTCCTAGGGCCCAAGCAAGCTCGTTAATATTAATATTAATGTCGATCGGAATCGTGCTACACTGCCAGCAATCCTCGCTATCACGTGTACGCTTAGATCCGTCAACTGGTGTAGATGATCATTCCTGGAGGAGTCATTTCCCCTTGTGCGTCGTATTTTTTGCATGAAATGATCTCATTTACGTGACCTATCACCTATCTGGATTACCTGTCAATCGCCCACATCTTGTAGATCTTCCCTGAAAAATATTGATATTCTGAAACAAGATGCTGGCGAAGGCCAAGTCTCCTTTGGCATGTAGTCCACAAATCACGTTATGTCTAGGTCGTATACATCCCCTACACAGAGCGTCAACTATTCCAGGATTTGTCCACAGCAATTCCGTCGTACATCTCACTCCAGTTTACAGCGCTTGAGCCTTCCGAATGATATACCCCGAATACCACCGTCCCCTCCAGGTCCTTTACTGGCAACGCATATAAGTTGTAATCCGCCATTCCGAACTCATTCATAACGACCCTATGCCGAGGAAGTTGACGGCTTGTGCGTCGTTGGACAAAGTATTCCTTATCCAGTTTATATTCTCTCATTGCATCGGCAGATATACCCGCTCTTTCGAGAGCCAGTCTGTAGATCGAGAGAATGTGGCTGGGCCCGTTGTGACCAAGCTTATAAAAGTTTCTCACGTTGCGGTGGTACGCGCTGATAGACTGGAGGTTCGGATACGCCTGTGGTTTGAATCCGCGAAACATGTTTTCAAAGTCAATCGTGTCGGTGCTCGGAGGACAGCGATAAGCAAGGATTGTGACTTCTCTGATTGAGGCCGGCAAAGTCTCTGCAAATGGGAGCCATCCACCCTCCTCGGCGTTGCTAAACAGGTCAATATCGAGCGTCAAACGTTCAAGAGCGGTGAATTCATTCCATTTCCAGTTTGTGGTTCGTGGTGCAGACGGGTTGATCGACAGATAGGGTTTATATGGATTCAAACAGGGTTCATGACGGCACCCGCACATTGCGCCATATTCCATAATCTCAATATGAAGACGTCGCAGAGACGACCTGGTATATTTCAACAGTATTGCACAGATAGATTCAATAGTGAAATCCGGTAAAGGATGTACTTCTGGAACGTTTTGCCAACGCCGGCCAAACACCGATTCTGTGTGGAAAACGTTGTACTTGAACTCTTCAAAGCTGGTGCAGTTCTCGATAATTCGAGTTAAAACGCTCCCCGATATGTTTCCACGGTCGATGGTAAGCGACCTCAGATAAGAATTCGCTGATGGAAGTAAGTAATCTGGACCATCGGCGTCATTCCGGTCAATATCTGAGTCATGGGCAGCGAAATCCCTGAGCGACAGATTTCGAAAACTTGGTAATCTCACCAAAGCTGCTAGTATATTAACAGTCTCCTCATCATTCTCAGTCTCCTCATCATTCTCAGTATTGTCGGCATCGCCATCTTCAGGATCGCTGTCGTCACTCTCTTCACGATCATTACCATATATGAACTCTAGTCGCGCGTCTTCTAGTGCCGATAGACCCTGAGCAAGCAATCCTCTTTGTGATCTTGCTGCCAACCTGCTAATAGCCCGCCATACATATGGAGTAATTGAATCCTTGTTCCTAATATCTAGATGAATCGCTTGGAGCTGCGTCAGCCGGGAAAGAAGCAGAGCTAGTGCGGCGCCTCCACGACCATTGGCAATTGCTTCGAACCAATCCTGGACTTCTCCATCTTCAATGATTGGGGATTGCCGAACGCTTTGCATAACCAAATGTAAAGCAGATTTCAGGGGAACTTTGTTTTCTTCCATATACGTAAAGGAGTTACTTGAAGCCAGCTCCTCAAGGTACCACTCTAAGCGAGGATGTTGAGCCACGCCAATTAATAGCCGAGGAGCACCCAGCATAAAGGCCTCATCACTGGCAGGGCTCCGGACATTTGCAGGGAAGATGGTCAGTTCCCGCTTAAGGATAAGCTGCGATAACTCTTTGTGTTCTTTGAGGCGGTCATGGCAGAGAATATGGAATTGCTTACAGCTGGATGACAGAGCGACTATGTCTCCAGGATAAACATCGTCTATTATCTTTTGCTGTAACTCCACAGGCAGTGTGAGGAGCTTCATGATGGCACAGACGGGGGTAACTATTCACAATGTCATCACAGAAGAGATGCCTGGAGAATATAATGCCTCAAGAGTATGATTACCGACTATCTTGGTTGATTCAACGAAGTCAAAGGGGAAAAGATCGCCTTACCATACTACATTTCTCAGTGTTAATTGCCAGCAAATTTTTGAACATGGACGTTGTGGTTCGAAGGGTACATGTAAGAAGAAGAAAGATCCCAGCGGCATTATTTCCCCACTTCAGCCTTCATACATAACTATCACCACAACACACCGAGAATATGCGCAAAGACATGGAAACAATATGCATGTGGATTTTGAAGTCATTGTCTAGGGGCGGAACCCAAGAAGTCTATATTCTTACTCTGACATAAACTGATGTAAATGGAGAGAAAATTCCAATACTACATTCAAACTTTTGTGTACGTCCATGGATGCCTAAGCGGATAATTGGAATAATATAATATACTATACGTCTACTTTCCATTTGAACTTATATATTTTCGAGCTAGCTTGTAATGTGACATTGGCATTGGCGCTGGCTTGTAGACAGGATGGTTGGATGGACACCTGAGGCGGAGGACTGTGTGAGCCTGAGGCACCAACGGCGCCCCTGCCAATCAGTGTCACAACAATAAATTAATAATATGATGGAAACTCCAAACAATAATCATAATGCCCTTAGTTGCTATTTCAACTATTAATTACTGGGAGTAGAGTAGTAGTCCTCTCATATTAAGTTGGTATTACTCAGTATTACAAGTCGATCGACGCGGCTCATCAACAGCGGCTAGCCTCGACTAGCGACACTCTCACTACTCACTAACCATCGACCTTTGTTTGTTTGGGAGTGGCTTGTGCAGTCGGTCGTCCTCTTCACTGCCTCCCTGCAGCCCAGTCGACGCTCGCAAGAATCTCATGGATCGCGAGCATTCGCCCGGAGCGTTTTCGCGCATGCCTGTTGCTAAGTCCGGGCTCGCCGCCGCTTCCTTAGCCGCCGCCTTCAAGCTGGACGAGGGCTATTCAGACGACACTCGCAGCCAGCCTGAAAATGAAGCAAATGCCCCCCAGAGCGAAGCTATGCTATTGCCCCCCTATATTTTCTCCCACAGTGAAGCCGAGAGAGCAGGTACGTCGTGCCACCCCCCAATCACTGTGAAGGATGGCAGCACTGACTCCACAACTCGCAGAACTTGCCTTCACCATCCTCCGCAGTCTACGAACAAGCACAATTGCCTCGGTCGTCGAGCGACTCACACCGCGGCTTCATATGGACCCCGTTCTCAAACTTCCGCCTGAAATTACCGCGGAAATATTCGCCTACCTGGACCCGTCCACGCTGCTGACCGCGTCCTTAGCCTCACGTGCCTGGAGAGATCGTATATTCGATTCGCGTCTGTGGAGAGAGATATATACCAGAGAGGGATGGAGGCTGGACATCGATGCCATTCGCCAATATGAGCAATTACACTCGGAACCCTTAACCTCACAGAGTCGCAAATCACGGGCTAGACACGACGATTCCGATGTCCCTCAACCGCAACTCAAGAGACGTGTCACTGAAGCAGGTATCGGTCCGCGAGGTCTTATGAGCCAGGAATCTCAGCCGAATCCGCCATGGAATGAGCAGCATCAATCTGTGGAAGCGGACGTTCCAGGGTCACCGCAGGATGCAGAAGGTGATAGAGAAATGCGCGACATTTACTCGGATAGTCTTTCCTCTCCGTCAGCCGAACGACGACCTGGGCTTGACGGACTATTATCGTCTATGCCGTCGCCTCCTAGCGCAAAACCATCATCGCTGCTGATCAGATCACCGAATGGATCCGCTAGGATTAACTGGCCACATCTTTATAAGCAACGAAGGCACCTAGAGGACAACTGGCTAAAAGGTCGCTTTGTGAATTTTCAGCTTCCTCATCCTGCTCACATAGAAGAAGCCCACACAGAGTGCGTCTATGCCATTCAGTTTTCAGGCCGGTGGCTTGTAAGTGGCAGCCGTGACAGGACAGTTCGCGTTTGGAATCTAGATACGAGACGTCTATGGTACGCCCCTCTCCAAGGACATAATACTTCCGTGCTGTGTCTGCAGTTTGATCCAAGTCCGGAGGAAGATTTGATTATATCAGGGGGCAGCGATAGAAATGTCATCATCTGGAAATTCTCCACAGGCCAAAAAATTCGCGAATTGATTAATGCGCATCAGGATTCGGTCTTGAATCTCAAATTTGACAAGAGATACCTCGTGACGTGTTCTAAGGACAAACTCATCAAGATTTGGAACCGCCGTGAACTCAGTCCTATGGATAAGGACTATCCTACCATATTCAGAGGTCCCGCCGTCAAATATCCTTCCTACATCATCGATACGGCTAGTATTCCACCTTCGCTTCTAGAAGCCGAGCTAGCAAATCGCCACATAAAATCTTTGGAGCCATTCAGTCTCCTTATGACATTGGACGGCCACGGAGCAGCAGTCAACGCCATTCAGATCAATGATGATGAGATTGTTTCCGCCTCAGGCGATCGATTGATCAAGGTTTGGAACATCCATAACGGAGCTTGTTTGAAGACCTTGATGGGCCACACGAAGGGCATTGCATGTGTTCAATTTGATAGCCAGCGTATTGTGAGCGGGAGCAACGATGACTCGGTGCGGATCTTCGACCATATTTCCGGGGCCGAAGTCGCTTGCTTGGAGGGCCATAACAACTTGGTACGCACCGTTCAAGCAGGCTTTGGTGACCCTCCTGGAGCTGAAGAGGCTCTCAGACTTGAAGCCTTGGCAGTGGACAATGACTACTGGGATGCACAGCGCTCTGGTAGAGTTCCTGATATGCAACGGCGCATTTCTCGACGGGCAATTGGTGGTCGGAATGCTGGTTCTAGAAATCCCAGAGATGTAATGGCCCTAGGTGCCCGAATCCCACCAGGTGGAGGTGGTAGCAGGTGGGCAAGAATTGTTTCGGGCTCATATGACGAAACCGTCATCATCTGGCGGAAAGACCGTGACGGCAAGTGGCTCGCTGGTCATCGACTTCGTCAAGCCGATGCGGTGATCAATGCAACTGCAACGGCTCTAGGCCGTAGTGGACGTGATGCACCCAACCGGGTGTTGATGCGAGCAGTTCACAACCAACAGGCTATCAATCCACCCATGGCACCTCAACAACCTCATCCCAATAATCAACCTATCAATGTGACCAACAACCACCAAGGAAATGGCAATGCAAACCCAGCATCACCAGTAACAGCACCTCAGCCCCCAACACAACCTCAAGCCAATCAGCCAGCGCCTCCAAACAACAACCACGTTCCAAACCCACTGGCAGTTCTTCAGCAGGCACACGTATTAAATGCACTAGTTGCTCAACAGCCCGGAGCTCATGCCCACCCCCATCAAGGCCACCGCCACCTTGGCAATCCACCGGCCTCGAGAGTATATAAGCTTCAATTCGATGCACGCAAAATCATCTGCGCTAGTCAAGATCCACGAATTGTGGGTTGGGATTTTGCCGCAGGTGACGAAGACATTATGGAAGCATCGCAGTTTTTCATTGGGCTATAATGGTATACATATATAATTTAATCGAGCAGGTCGATGGATTAAATACCAATCTTTCGATAAAAGCATGGCGCTATGTCCTTCTCTGGCTACCACAACAAGTACATACATACATACATACATACATCTAATGTTCCCAGTCTCTTCTCATGTGACGTCAACTAGTCTATCCAACGCTTGTGGCCCTAGGTACCCTCTCCGCAACTGACGCCGTTTGGCAGGTCTTTCTTCGCACATTTCCTTTTTTTTTTTTGAACTCAAAGCATAACCGACACAATGCAGTAACGATGATGAAGTCCATTATTATTATAATTCTTAGTATTATTATGCATGAAGATGCTGGAGTCACTTTGAGAAGGGGATGCTACTGAAAAGGACAATGTTTAGCTGCTTTTTTTGGATTTGAATTTTTATCTTGGAATCTTGCCAGTTCATTATTACCAGCCAGGAATGGTATCACGTCCGAAATAGAGAAGAAAGCCTCCCGTGATAATATCGAGATGTCCTTTCAGTTTTCTGAAATAGAGACCCTCGTTTATTGATCGTAGAATACTAATTACATCGATTGATAAAGACATGATCTAGGTAGACTGAAAGGAAGTGACAGGCGTTTCAAAGTATGTACAAGGATTGAATGAAGTGATACTAACTGATACATCGGTGTCAATGATGAGAAATAATTCTTGCTTCTTAGTATAAGAAACATTGAAAACTACCTAGTAATTAAAGGATAGTAGAAACAATCTCCCGAATAACGCGAATAATAGTAGCAGCAGTCGTGGTAATAGTAGTAGTAATGTATAATGTATATGCAAAAAGGCAATACCTGTTCCCCGCAGATCTAGCATGCAATAAATGATTGGTTGTTTTGGTATACATGAAGACATTTGATCATAGCAGTCATCATAATTAAGATATTGTTCAATTATATCAATCAGGCGTGTGAGACAACAGTACTTTGACTGAGATTCGACTTGCCCATTGTATTTTCCATTTTGAGACTTCGAACCAGCGCTTCGAGTTTCTTGCGTTCTTCTTGTTCCGCCTGTAAGTTTGAGTTGTTAGCATCAGTCGCTATGAAGGGTTGAAAATAAGGTAAACTTACTCTAAGGAGTTTCATGTTCTCGGACCGTGTATCCCGCATCATCTTCTTGAATTCATTTTTCAATACCATTGTCGAAGTCGTCTCAGTGGCAGCATCTCTTGTAGTCATTTGGCTGCTGATTCCCATCCAAGTAATGCGTTCGTCACTGAGCTGTGATTCCAACTGTTCGCAACGGTCGCGCAGATTGTCGATATGACTTTCGTATTTTTCCCGCTCCTTTTCAAATTCAACGCTTGCTTTCGTCATTACTTCGTAATCTTCAATTGTATCCCGCAATTCCTTCTCTAGCATCTCCACTCGTTTTTGAGAATCGCCACCCTGATCGTTGTCTTGCCCTGCTCGTAGGGAAGCTAATTCTTCCGTGAGACTGATATTCTTGGCATTTAGATCTTCAAGCTCTTTTCGAAGAGCAGGATTGGCAGCAGCTTCAGCAGCCCGCTCAGCCCGAGTCCCGTAGGCTCCATCAAGCTCGGCTTTGACCACGGTAAGCTCCGTTTGAGCGCGGGCAAACTCTCCCTCTAGTTGGTCTAATTCTTCTCGAAGACGATGCGTCTCTGTCTCTGCTTTTGTTTGACCTTCGCTCGCTTTACGTAGCGAGTCTTGCAGCCTTGTAATCTCTTGTTCAGCCTGCTGGCGAGCATTTCTTTCGGTTTCCAACGCTGTAGTTTCTTGTTCTCGTGATTGATCGCGCAAGGTCTGGTATTGTCTGGCAGCATCGAGCTGTTCCATAATTAGAGCCATTTCATCCCTCACACCCTGCACCTCACGCTCTGATAGCTCAAATTGTTTCCTTGTTTCGACGAGCTCACGTGTTATATCTGCGACATGGGCATCCTTTTCGGCATCAGATTTAGAGTTCAACTCTCTCTGTTGTTGAATCTGCGTCGTCAAAATGCTCTTTTGATCCTGTAAGCCTTCAATACGACTTTGTAGGTCGTCGAAGCCTGATCGCAAATAGTCCATGTGGGTACTGACAAACTCCCCGGACGGACTTGGAGGTGGAGGTAAAGTTGGCGAAAGATGTGAGCCGGCCTGTCCTAGCAAGGTATGAAGACGACCATTGATGGCGTTGAGTTCGGTTTCCATTTCCCCAGCTGCAAGCCCTGTTCCGCCTGTTGGGAGGTTTCCACTTTGGAGGATGTCGAGATGATTTTCCAGATACGCAAGATGAGCCTGCATAAAGGCCGGAGACGTCTCATCTTCATTGGATTTTTGCGGTAAGGGTTCCAGGCCATAATCACCCTGACTTTGGAGTAACATATCACGTAGACGTCCATTGAGCTGCTCCAACTTTTGTTCAGTACTGCGAAGGGCGCTGGAGTTGATTCCCAGTCCATTCTGACCATCTGAATTGTCCAAGGACCTGTATAAGCTGCGGTCATCAAATTCCGATGTGCTTGGTTGAGCCATGCCATTGGTACCATTAGCCCCATTCCGATTGATGTTTTTCTTTAAACCTCGGTGTGTCAATTGCAGTATTCCGGAAGTATGTTCGAGCAGTCGCTTATGAACACTTTGTGCTCTTTGTTCCAAAGTCCACAGCTCTTGCGCCAACGTCTCACATTTCTGTGCGCTGACCGTGAACTCGTCATTCTCTGACTCATCTGCTATACCATTTGGACCGCCATTCATATATCCGCTTTTCAAATGGGCCTGAGGATCGGGGAGTCGGCGAAGCGACTGCGCGGCGTCTCTTAATTTGGTCTCCAGGGCAAGTTTGCGTTTAGTGCCTTCAATGCGACTTGACAGGATGGCGTATTCTCGTTTCAAATCTTCGACTGTCTCAAAAGGAAGAATCTCGTATCCGGCACTGTCTCCGATCGCAGTTTCGGTTAAAAGATGCATCAAAACCGAATCCGTAACGTCGACGGAAGGCGTATTGGGTTGAGGAACCATGCCAGACTAGATTGATCGCAGTTAGCGGTGGTATTACGGAGAATCAAGTAGGACAACATACTCCACTATATTGAGACCTGTCGTCATTCGATAAATCCGAAGTACCACGGTAGCCATCCACGAGAACCTTTGAAGGAATCCCAGTAACTGCTCCGCTGGGATATGCGGCTGAGAGGTACCTTGGATCCCCGTAAGAGGACATACTAGACCTTAGGCTAGCAACATTCATTGTGTCACAAATTATGCTGAAGCGCGGAGGCTATAAATGAAAGGGGGGGCTTTTCTTCTTTTTTCTCTCTCAACTTGGATTCACGCGGAAGACATGATTTCCGGAACGAAAGGATCGACTGGGGTCAGTAGGGAACGAAGTAAGCGTTGGGTATTGTGAATCAGCTGGTCGTGCGGGATGAGGCAGCGAAGGGTTGTGTCAGCCGATGGGCTGCTGTATCCAGCGGCGAGGATAGGGACGGGCTCTGTGGTGCTTCAGGGACGATTTCCGGAGTTTCTGGCGAACACGCAAGAAAGAAAAAGCAAGATGCAGCGACTTTACCGAGTTGAGTTTACGGGAGGTCCAAACGGGCCAGTACTGACTGTGGCTGGTTCCTTCCTGCTTCAGCTGGGCCTGCGCCTGCCTGCGCCACTCCCTTTCTTGACTTTCTGTCAATCATGTTTGTTGCTTGTTCTTCTTTTCTATATATACACTCGCATCCAAGAGCCCTTTAGTTGTGCTCTCCTTCCCCTCCTTTAGGCACCATCCAGCAAACCCTAAAAGACACACAAAGACTGCTTTGTTTACCAGTGCAGCTAATGATGCCAAGATGGAATCCGTCAGCCGGCACTTTATCGGGTCCGTATGGGCATTACTGTGCGTAGGGTAGAGGTGATAACTCTCTCGTGCCTCAAGCGGGATCTGATCATACTGCTACTACTTCGTATTACGTACTAATCATGGTTAGTTGCTAATGTTTTATTATAGCCCTCGTCCTCGCTTCGACGACATGTTTCTTGGGCACGGACCTTGTGTGTTAGCTGTATTCAACTGATAACAACGCCGTCCGATGACTCGACTGAGCTGGGGCGACGATTCAATCGTGATTGACCGTTGACGGTCCTGTCTTGTTTTCAGATGAGCTTATCGCTTTAAACAAGATTGTTCATATCCCTACCAGGCAGTCTTACTTGCGCCTAGTGCGTGAGTAATACTACTTGCGCTAATCGCTCCCAACTGTGGGCTCAATCCAGACAGCGTCGTCTCGTTGTTATCATAACTAGCTAGCTGATCAGCTCTCCGACATCGAATCAGCCAGCAGTCTCCGCTCCTCCTTTACAAACGATCATTAAACGATGTCACTTGGGCTCGTACCCCGCAGCCAATAAATTGGAACCCGGTCTTGGAAGATGTATCATCATCCAATCACGGCGATCGGCGGCGCTCTCGTTTTCCGCATTAGTCTTGCACTTTGCGCTCGATATCCGAGAAAGCGCTTTGTCGCGTGCATCCTCGGTAGCGTAGTCTCGATGGAGTAACTGTTTATCTCATGATTTCATACGCTGTATACTTTATGTAGGAGAGTTGGTATCTATATATGGACGTCCCACGCTAAGACGCCTGCTTTCACGTCTTTCCCCGCCAGTTTCCCCTCGAGCTGTCTCAATAGCGTCGATTGAATTCACGCCGGGATTCTTCAGATTAACCCTGATGCAGATACTTTGATCGTACGGCATCATTGTTCTCGTGCCCAACTTCTCTACTGTCGCAACCTCTGCTGACAGACTCTCGAAATGATTGGGCAATCCTATATAGCAGCAGCAATACAATGAACATTTTCAAGGGATCGTCGAGCGGTCAATTAGATACGACGCCAATAGAACCTGCAGGCTTTTCTCCTGTTCATGGGCATGAGAAAGATTTGGAGATGCCAACCCGGAAGGAGGAACCTCAGTACGAGGTGGAAATCGCCGCTACAAGAGGAACGTACCGAGTATATAAACGGCGATTTTTCGGTCTCCTCCAGTTAGTCTTGTTGAATATTATTATTAGTTGGGATGTATGTTTTCAAATTCTTGGAATAGAAAACTGAGAACCATCAGTGGATATTAATTCGTGAATAGTGGCTCACATTCTCCTCCATTTCATCTACATCTGCCGAATACTTCAATGTGACTGAGAGCACAATTAACTGGCTAAGCACGGCTTTCCTCTTTGCCTTCTGTGCTGCAACCCCGTAAGTTCTAGTTGCACGATCATTGCCAACCGTTGCTAACATCTACCTAATTAGAGTTGTAATGTACATGTTAAACAAGGGTGGCCCAAAGCCTGTCATCATCACTGCTTCTGTTTTGATCCTGGTCGGAAATTGGGTTCGATATGCTGGCACTAAGGCCAACAATGGAACATTTAGTGTGGTTATGTTTGGACAACTGCTGCTCGGCTTAGCCCAGCCGTTTGCCTTGTCTGCACCAACGAGATATAGTGACCTGTGGTTCACCGAACAAGGTCGAACAAGTGCCACTGCTTTAGCAACTCTGGCCAATCCGCTGGGAGCTGCCGTTGGGCAGCTTGTTGATTCATTCTGGGCTGTAACGCCGGGCGAGATCCCCGGCATGGTGCTTTGGATCTCCGTCATCGTACGTCCTTGTTCTATACCCTGTTCTTGGAGCTTAACAACATTGAACTGACTTGTTACTCAACAGTCTACCATTGCCTGCATACCCTCCTTCTTCATTCCTGCACGGCCACCCACACCGGCTAGCGCTTCCAGCATAGTGTCTAAGACTCCCTTCCCAGAGTCGGCCAAAGGAATCATCAAAATTCGTGAATTCTGGCTCGTTTTCATTCCATTTTCGGTATACGTTGGTTTCTTCAACAGTGTCTCCACATTAATTAACCAGATTCTGTATCCTTATGGCTTCTCTGAAACCGAGGCTGGTATCGCTGGAGGCGTTCTTATCGTCGTTGGTCTCGTTGCGTCCGCCATCGTCTCGCCTATAAACGACCGATACAAGAAATATTTACTCGTTATACGCATATGTATCCCCATCCATGCCATCTCATATATTGCTCTTTACTTCGCCCCCTCCAGCCCCTTTGGTATTGCGCCGAGTATCGTCGTATGTGGACTCCTCGGCGCAAGTGCTTTCTCAATTTTGCCTGTAGTTCTCGAGTTTCTCGTCGAGATTACATACCCATACTCTCCTGAAATCAGCAGTACACTCCTCTGGATGGGTGGTCAGCTTCTCGGCGGTATATTCACGATTATTCAATCCGAGCTTAAAGCAGGGCAAGACGCGAACCCACCGCTCAACATGAAAAGAGCTCTTATTTTCAGCGCCGTCATTGCATGTGTCGCAGCAGTATTTCCGCTCACGTTGAATGTTATAGGGCCAAAGATAGTCAATAGACGGCTTGAAGCCGATCAAAACAGATGCTTGGACGTCCAATTAGAAAGCCATGTGAACAATCAATCCCATTCACCCACTGCTAACGACCAGAAACCGAGGGAAGACAGATTTGAGAATTGACACTTCTATTGCATTATATTCTCATAGTTGGTTGTAAATTCTTTGAGTTATCTCAATATTCCAGATGTCAATTACGGAGTTTGAATATCAAGGATTTGTCTGTCTAATTACGATCAGCCAGCAATTTACGTCATGGGATCGATTGATGTGATGTTTGTGTAATGAGAACGGTTCTAAACAAAAGGAAACGAGTATAAATATTCCATATAAGAGACAGTCACTTTGCTATCTGTACATAAAAGTGAAACATGACAATTCTATTCCCACTTTTTTCTTTGGACAAGAACCAAAAAAGGGATGGTTCTAACTGCCGGTTATGCGATATAAAGGGTACAAAAGGTTAAACAAAACCATGTGAACAGCCTGGACGTATTCAAACCATATCTTCCGCGTTGTCACGGTCGAACTTTGCTTTGTCTGCCATACTAACCCACGAGTAAACAAGGTAGAGAGAAGAGTGAGCTAGACGAATGTATTTGACCGAGACCGTGCTGTATCATGCCGACGTCAAAGGATGGTTGCAAATGTGCCGAGCCTTTACCGCAGGTTCTTCCAGAGCTTTGGTGCAGCGCACTGGGTCGCGCAGTGTTGAAGGTGGAAAACTATAAGCAGAAATTCATGTCAGCCTAAACAGTATTCCGGGTATGGAGAGGTCAAATTATATCCGAAGAGGAAAATCAGAGCTTTGATAGTGATCAAGGCGGCCCCACGGAATTGAAATTGAATTTATGCTTACACTCTTCGACGCAGTCTTCCTTGGGTCCTTTGTGATCTTCATCCTCCTGCTGGCGAGTAACACGCTCAACGCACTCGTCAAAGTGGTGCTTGTATGGCGCGCATGATTGTGAGTTGGCACAGTCTGTGGAAACACTCAATCAGTAGCTGTCCAGAAGTCATTGTCGAGAGTCCAAGACCCGTGCAATTGGATCCCAGAGAAATCAAACCGCAATATATGATGGAATGTTGTGTCTCGAAAACAGCACTCGATTGAATTGGGCCCAAATTTACTCACCTTCTTCGAGCTTTGGCTTGATGTCCTCGACTTCCTCCTCCTCCTCCTCCTCTTCCTCCTCTTCTTCCCCCTCCTCTTCAGTTTCACCCTCGGCCTCTGCGCCTTCCTCGGAAGGCTCCTCAGTAGCCTCCTCGTTATCTTCGGTGGGCTCCTCGGCGGACTTTCCTTCCTGCTCTTCGGCACCTGCGCTGTTGCTGTCGTTCTCCTCGACGGGAGGCGCCTCAGCCTGGGCCTCAGCGAAGCCGAAGGAGGAGAAAACGTCAGAAAAGAGATCGGCGAGACCCATTCTAATTGTCTCAGGCAACTCGATGAGTGCAATTGGGTTCGTTAGGGCGGTGCGTAGGGAGTATTGCTCAGGTGAATAGCGAATGCAGGGCGGAAGTGAGGTTCGGGAAGCTTCAGGAAAAACGGGACGCCGCGGTGTGGTCGAGCAGGCCCGATGATGACTGGCCAATTAGCCCGCACGTGATTGGCTGCTAGTACCCGCCCGCACCCGATACTCACATTACAATAAATAAATAGTGTACTATTAGTGGTACCTGATGTTGATACGATAAACCATTCGGAAGTTTGATGAGGTGCTATCATGCATTAATATCTAATTAAAGGAAGTGCAATCCAACGTGTGAACACAATAATGAATCACTCTATAATAGCGGATGTTTGAACAAGGCCGTTTATGTGTTCATCAATAATTTCAAGTCGAACTCGCAGCAGATAATGGGAGTGATTATGTCTCAAGAGCTTGTCCTGCGGAGCCGGTCTTCTAGCTCTGCTGCAACGCTCTGTTGCTGTACCTCCTCATAGCCTGGCGGTGGCTCTGTAGGAGGGGCGAAATCTGTACTCGGCGTTCTGTCGGTGCTTGAATTTGTGGCATCCGAGCTTTGCTGACCGTTGCCAACATTTACATTGCTTGCCCCATCATAAGCTGGCAGTTCATCGAGGTGAACATGAGCAAAGTTAACGCCTCTCCCTGTTGAAGACCGAGCAGTTGCCGCCGTGCTGTTATCTCGCGCGTGTTCAACTGCTTGACTGAGGCGATCCTTGATACGCTCGAAGTTTGAATGGAAATCAAAGGCTCCTCCTTCCTTGAACGTGATTTTCAATTCCACAGCCGGTAGTGACGGCGGGATTCCCCCGCCTGCAACTGGGCGCACTATGGCAGCCCATACGTTTGGACCAAAGAAGGGTGCAGAAACATGGCTGTCGTGGATGTTGAGGAGAGGTGTGGTAAATGATTGGAATTGTTCACTTTGCTGGGAGGGAAGATACACGATCTGACATTTGATCAAATGTCAGCCGTAGCTACACAGATTAGGCGGCTGAGTGGGAAAAACTGACCCGTTGGTTCGTAAGGTACAGACAGCCTGAGCTGCTGCTTATTGTAAAAGGTTCATTTCCCGATTGAGAGCTCGAAGGCTTCAACGACAGCGTCGTGCGCGGCGGGGAAGTATAAATGATGTGCTCGCTGGGAAGGCGGACAAAGCCCTCTTTACTCGAGAGCATAACCCAACTGCTCGCAACACAAAAATAGTCAGCATTGATTTAAGCCTTGCTTTCCAAACCACAGAAATTTGAAGTTGTGATCGCGAATCGAAAGGTAGCAATGGTACTACTGGAGGAATAAATTGAGGGGCGTGCGGGAAGCAGGACTAACTTCAAGGACATTTTCCTTTTTAAAATGCTGATTGCAGGTACAGTGGTAAAGGTTCCTTTGTGTGTCTAAAGCTGTTGGAAATGCAGGGTCGGCTTCGTCGTCTGCAACAGGCAAGAGGCGTATATAGTACTGTGGCTTCGATCAAGATGGAGGAATCATGTTTAGGGGTCGTGACTGAAGGGGTGTTGCTAGATGGCAGCGGCAACCGTGACCACGGTCATTACCGTCATTCTGAAGAAGCAGGCCGAAGCTATCCGAAGTATTGATCTGACGAAGAGAATCACAGCGGAGAGGAAGTGAGAATCGTCAGGTTAGCAAGGACTTGCTCATGGAAATGTTAATAACCGCCGAGACAGCTGTAACTCGCAGGCAGTGATGGTTGCTGGACTGGCGTGGGGTTCAGAAGATGGTGGTGACCTGTGACGTCCAGAGGTTCGGAGGTTCTCACGGGATCGCGGGATCGCGGGCGGCCGAGCCCTCTGCCAGGCCTAGAAGGGTCGCATCGCGCGGCTGTTCCGCAACCCCACTGCAACTATTTTCCCTGCAAGTTGCAATTTCACCTTCCTGTGATACGGTTTCGCCCAGAAGCCCTTTCCTTACTTTGCCAGAGATCCTTGGAGATTCCTGTGGCATGAGAAACGGCAAGCCTGTACAATACTTGAGAACTCGGGCTTCGCGTGGCGCGCAAGTATCCCGCTACGTCATTACCCCGGATTGGCAACGTGCAGCTTTGCGCGACTAGCTCACCAACAGTCACGTATAGCCGCTTGTGCGCTTCTTTCCAGGCTCGGAGTTGCTCTCCTAAACCCCTCTTACCTTTCCTGTGGCTCTATGATACGTTGGTTTGCTGCATCTGCGAGGAAGCCCAATTTGCCAACCGAGAAGACTCGCGCTTCAGGTGGTTGCGGACCGTCAGCCAGCTCGACATCTTCAGGATGGCGAATCAAACGTACATTCCAGCCCAGATTGGGTGGCTCTACGACCTAGTTCTCTGGACCTTTTCTGTTCTTATCGACCTCTTCTTTAGGGAAGTTCACCCGCGAGGTTCCTGGAAGGTACCTAGAAGGGGACCTTTGATTATCGTCGCCGCACCACATGCCAATCAGGTAGGAGCTTTATTTGACAAAACACCTATCACTCGGCTCTGAGACATATTCCTGACAAAGCTTTGCGATATAGTTTGTCGATTCATTAATTCTTATGCGCGTGATCCGCACAGAAGTTCGTCGCCGCATTTCTTGGCTTATTGCGGAGAAATCCTTTAAACGGAAGTTCATTGGCCTTCTTGCAAGGGGAATAGGAGCAGTACCCGTGGCGCGAGCAATGGATAGTATGAAACCTGGAGTAGGGACAATCTATCTTCCAGATCCTGTTAATAACCCAACTTTTTTGCGTGGAAATGGTACCCAGTTTGACGGGCCCGGATTCGAGCCTGAAGGCACTATTCATCTTCCAACAATCAATGGTAACTCCTACAGTGCAACAATCGCAGAGATTCGTGGGTCTGAAGAGATTGTGTTAAAGAAGCCTGTCAAAGAGAAGAGCGCTCTTTATCAGTTGACTGGGAGAGAGGATATTACTGATGACGGGAAGTTCACTGGGTCGGCTTCTGGCATTCCTAACGACTTTCAAGGCTCAAAATTCAAATATGCACCTCATGTAGATCAAACCGGGGTGTATAAAGCGGTCTTCGAAAGGCTAAGCCATGGCGGTTGTCTTGGTATATTCCCGGAGGGTGGCAGTCATGATCGTCCAGAGTTACTTCCACTAAAAGGTATTTTCGAAGCCTACCGTTCTTCACAATGCAAACACCACCGTACTAACTTGTATTGTGCTAAGCTGGTGTCGCTATCATGGCACTCGGTTCTTTGGCCGAGAACCCAGATTCAGGTCTGAAGATTGTGCCATGTGGAATGAATTATTTCCACGCACATAAGTTTCGTTCCAGGGCAGTTGTCGAATTTGGTAGTCCAATAGAGGTCCCTCCTGAACTTGTTGAGAAATATAAACGTGGTGAGAGGCGGGAGGCAGTCGGTGAGCTTCTAGATACCATCTACCATGCCCTCTTGGCAGTGACCGTGAATGGCCCCGACTATAAAACTTTGATGGTAGGCCAATATTTCTCGTCAACTTTCTTGGCAGTCAAACTGACGTCACTTTTAGGCTGTTCAAGCTGCTCGTCGTTTATATAATACTAAAGGAAAGAAACTTCCGCTTCCAATGGTTGTGGAATTAAATCGTCGCTTCATCAAAGGCTATACTCATTTTAAGGATGACCCTCGTATCAAGAAACTGGAAAAGTCGATTATGGAGTATAACAAACAACTTCGTTTTCTTGGACTCCGTGATCATCAAGTCGAATACGCCAAGTTCTCTATTGTTCAAGTGGTTTTCACGTTGATATACAGACTGTCGAAGCTCACACTGTTGGCAGTCGGTACGCTCCCTGGCCTTCTTCTTTTCGCACCCGTATTTGTCGCCACAAAATCGATATCCAGGAAAAAATCTAAAGAGGCATTGGCTGCCTCCACAGTGAAACTACAGGGCCGTGATGTCATGGCCACTTGGAAGCTCCTTGTTGCTTTAGCCTTTGCGCCAGCCGTCTATGCATTTTACACGATTATTTTCACATATTGGACCTACCGGAATCGTATACAAGGCTTCGTGCCTGAATGGGTTCCCTTATGGGCAATGGTTTTATTGGGTATCGTGCTATTCCCAGCCATTACCTTTGCTGCTCTTCGTATTGGCGAGGTTGGCATGGATATAGTGAAATCCCTACGACCTCTTATTTTGTCGTTGAATCCTTCGTCCGCCAACACCCTCGTGAAGCTCAGAGCGCGGCGAGAAGAATTGTCTCATGAAGTGACTGAGGCTATCAATACTCTTGGACCGGAGCTTTTCCCTGATTTTGATTCTGCTCGCATCGTTGCCGATCCATTTCGGGATTCTGGTTCTTTGACTCAGGCTGAAGAAGCTAAGGAAGATGACGAGTCTAGGCTAAGCGCTCGTAAGCGAGATAGCTATACAACGCAGGAACCTCTACCACGAAATGAATCCTTCTACAATCTTGCCAGCATTGGCTTTTTCTCTACACGCCCTCCTAGTCGCAGTCGAAGCCGCAGTGCCTCAGGTCATGGGCATGCGGGGTCAACTGGACAGTCACTCACAGCATTGAGTACGCTAGACAGCCAAGATGGGATGGATGAAATTAGCAAGCGTATCCATAGCGCTATGAGGGAGCGTGGCAAGGAACGTCGGAGACGCAGCGAAGACATGAGCTGGGAAATGGCAAGCACTGGCTCCATGACACCGCCTGAGGATGAGACGAAGAAATATCAGTAAACTGTTTCAATTTGTTTGAGGAATATTCCTGCTATTTTTTTGTGCTATAAGAAAAAGGTCTCGTGGTTTTAATGTATCTACGTTTTAAGTCTGTTGATACCCTAGAATATCTCTGTTTCCGAACCATATCCCGTTCTTTTTCAGCTGCATCTGGCGGTAAATTAATATTCTACTGAATTTAAAAGCTGTATATTTTTATCTCCTACATTTCCTTTACCATGATATCGCCCAACGGCCGCGACAGCGTAATTCTCAAGAGGAGGCTATCCAGAAGATCCTTCCCTATTGGCCCAAGCACGTTTTGTGGGGAGCCGCGGATACATCATCCCATCTCCGCATCGCCAGCCTGGCTTCACATCCTCGGTTTCTTTCTGCCTTGACTTCTGTCTTGTGTACCCCTTTTTGTTAGCTGTCCTATATATTGGGTTAGTATCGAGTACTAGGCCTCATAACCCTCTTGTTCTCATGCTCATAAGTTTAGGTGCCCAGCTGCATTCTGTACAAAACTGTTCTCTTACTTTTTTTCAAGACCCCTGTATTCATTATTCGACGCATGATTAATTTCGCCACATCACCCATCAAAACACGCTGCAACAGTGCCATTTCGCCAGCGGCACCGACATATAATTATCCGCAGAAATAGAATATAAAAAAAAGACTTGATCCTCATCTTCAACACATACAACCAAGCGCGCTTTACCTTGTCAACTCAACCGCGGCCTTTTTGGCGCCTGCCTATCATTCCTCAAAATGTCGTCTTCTATGCATTTCTCGCACCTCCGAAAATGGATTGCAGCCTCTCCACCAGTCGAGTTCGTCGTGAACAGAGTGAAAGAGCTATTAATCGGTGCTTTAAGGCAAGGGCCGATCCCACAGCATATTGCGTTTGTTATGGACGGGAATCGACGTTTCGCACGGAGTCATGGAATTGAAACCATTGAAGGTCACCATTTAGGGTTTGAAGCTTTGGTGAGAGTAAGTACTTGTCTTTGATCTTCCGCTCATACGGATCCTTTTCAGTCGAATTAGAATCTAATGATAATCTATCCAGATCCTAGAAGTTTGCTATAAGAGCGGTGTGAAAGTTGTGACGATCTACGCTTTCAGTATCGAGAATTTCAATCGATCCCAATTTGAGGTCAACGGTCTGATGGATATGGTCAATGTCAAGCTTGCACAACTCTCTCAACACGGAGACATTCTGGATCGATATGGAGCCAGTGTACGATTTCTCGGCCGCAAAGATATGCTCAGGCCGGACGTTGTTGCAGCAGTAAACCGAGCTGTCGAGGTAACAAGTCGCAACGGAGACCGTATCCTGAACATATGCTGTCCTTACACATCCAGAGACGAGATAGCAGGTGCAATTCGACAAACGGTGGTTGACTACAGCACGCCATTGGGAGAATCAAGAGGCAACAGAGCTCGTAATCCATTCTCAGAGTCGCACATTGCTTCCAACATTCGAGCACAAACTCTTAATACGAAAATCCAAGATAATAATAATGATTCTGACTCGATATCTGCTGTTTCACAAGATGATGAAAATGGTTCGGCCGGGGGTGAAACTGACGTCAAGGTTTACGATTCACCGTCTTCATTTTCGTCATCTACGACTCTTCATCTCGCTGGTCAGGCAGAGGATAATTCTAGAAAAGGTTCGCCGCTGGCGAAACCTGCAGACCTCGACGGATCTGGATTCCCGTCACCAGAGAGTATTAATGTACAGACACTTTCCGACCACATGTATACCAAAGGGAACCCTCCTGTTGATATCTTGATCCGCACTTCTGGTGTGGAAAGGTTAAGCGACTTTATGCTCTGGCAGTGCCACGAAAACACGCAGATCTGTTTCCTTGATGTACTATGGCCCGAGTTCGATTTATGGCACTTCTTGCCTGTGCTGTGGAAGTGGCAAAGGAGAATTACAAAGTCGTTGACTGGCGAGACTGGACTCGAGTCCGATGACTGGAAGAGAGCCAACAACTCCAATATGCATTTCCAACAGACATCAGCGATCGAATCGTATTAATTTTTTTTGTGAATGTGTAATATCATTGCCTTGTATATATAGCTTGTGTGGAGTTCATACAATATTAAGAATTATTAAGAATACAATTCAAGCTGGTTCTGCACTAGTTTTCCCCACGACACGGCGCGCAAATAGACGCTATTCGCCGTCTGCATTTTCCACATACTACACTCAACAGAATAATTTTCAGGTGTGAGTCAAGGCGCAAATAGGTCCTATTCGTTTTTTCGGTGTCCTGCAAAGGTATATAATCATGCCATATGGTCCTTTTGACCCTCGTCCACGAAGTTCCTCAAGTGTCACATGACCATATCGCAGAACCGATTTCGGAGTCTTGAATACTTGCCCCGCCAAAACTAACCCTGGACAATAATTCTGTGAAAAGCCAACTGCACAATCTCATTGAGCTTCAATTTCTCCCTTTATCGTCGATAATCGAACCTCAACATGGTGAAGTCGGTTGCTGGGTCTAAAGTCCTTCTTCTGGGTTCTGGTTTTGGTATGTAGTCCCATCAGTCCAAGTACTATCTATAGAACGCTTTGCTAATGGCTGGGTTGATCATAGTCACCAAGCCCACAGTCGATATCCTCGACCAGGCTGGCGTTGAAGTGACTGTCGGTAAGTAACTGGAGCTAATTTAAACTTCCTATTCTAGCAAGTTAGCTGCGCTGCTTGCTCTGAATCTCTGGACGCATGGGACTCATCAACTAACTGGTCAATCACAACAGCCGCCAGACGTCTTGAAGGCGCCCAGAAGCTCGCTGCCGGAGGCAAGCACACCAAGGCAATTTCTCTTGACGTGAACGACGCCGCTGCTCTTGATAGGGAACTCGAGAAGGTCGACCTTGTCATCTCCTTGATTCCTTATACGTACCACGCCACAGTCATCAAAGGCGCCATCCGCACAAAGAAGAATGTTGTGACTACATCATATGTGTCTCCCGCAATGAAGGAGCTTGAGGAAGATGCCAAAAAGGCCGGTATCACAGTCATGAACGAGATTGGTCTGGATCCGGTTGGTATCTCAAATCAACCAGGAGGGGTGTATTTCTAACATCATCCTCTATCATCTAGGGTATCGATCATCTCTATGCAGTCAAAACTATCTCAGAGGTCCATAATGAGGGTGGCAAGATTATCTCCTTCCTCTCTTACTGCGGTGGATTGCCATCCCCTGAAGATTCTAACAACCCACTCGGATACAAATTCTCTTGGTCGAGCCGTGGTGTTCTTTTGGCTCTCGGTAACGATGCCAAGTACTACAAGAATGGCGCAGAATTCAGCGTCAGTGGTGAACAGCTCATGGGCGAAGCCAAGCCTTACTTCATCTACCCCGGATACGCATTCGTTGCTTACCCAAACCGTGACTCTACTCCTTACCGGGAGCGCTACAACATCCCCGAAGCCCAAACTGTTGTCCGTGGTACACTCCGCTACCAGGGCTTCCCTCAAATGATCAAGGCACTCGTTGATATTGGTTTCCTCAATGAGACCGAGCGTGATTTCCTCAAGAAGCCAATTCCATGGCGTGAAGCCACCAAACAGATCCTTGGCGCTACTTCTGACAAGGAAGCCGATTTGCTCTGGGCGATTTCTTCCAAGACTAACTTCCAAGATAATGACGAGCGCGACCGTATCCTGACTGGTCTTCGCTGGATTGGTCTTTTCTCAGACGATGCTATCACCCCACGTAACAACATCCTTGACACCCTTTGCGCCACCCTCGAGCAGAAGATGAAGTACGGCCCTACGGAGCGTGACATGGTTATGTTGCAGCACAAGTTTGAGATTGAACACAAGGATGGCTCGCGCGAGACACGCACTAGTACCCTTGTTGAATACGGTGACACTAAAGGATACTCCGCCATGGCCAAGTTGGTTGGTGTCCCTTGCGGTGTTGCTGTCAAGATGGTTCTTGATGGCACTATTAGCGAAAAGGGTATTCTGGCTCCTATGAGCATGGATATCTGCGCTCCTCTCATTAAGACTTTGAAAGAGGAGTATGGTATTGAATTGATTGAGAAGACCCTCTAAATGTGATGTTCAGCATTAGAGAACAGTCAATAAGGTGGAAAAGTTATTAGATTACAAATGCACGACTTTAAGGACCTGTTAAATTATTTTGTATCTGAATTTATGATTTTCTTTGGCAAGAGTTTGCCTCTATCATTGCTCGTATAAAGCGTACGCACATGGCAGATTGAATAAAACCACTAGGAAAAGCTAACGTAGCAGACGTGTGTCAATTGTGTCCATTGATGTATTGAGTTTGTTGCTGATTCATGTTGCAAAGGATAAGTCCATAGTGGGAAAGCCTAGGTCACATCTCTATCACGCCGCCATCTAAAACTTAACTGGTTGATGGTGTCCTATAAGAGATTGGGTAGGATCTCAGAGTATCGTGCCAAACCTACAGCAAGGAAAAAGACGAAGACAAACATCAGCACAAATGTCCAAAAATATGACTGATGATGAGAAGGAGAAGGGAGAGAGGGGTGAGGATTTCGGGGAACTGGGTTGCCAAAAGATGGTGGGGGACTGTACCCGAAGGTCTGCTTGATGCTGCGAACATAATATCCTTCCCAGTTGCGTTGGACAACCTCTTCCTGCCCGATAGGAACTCCAGTCCAGGTGACTCGCATTACAGTCACACGGTCAACATCATTCTGATCAAAGAATATTTCCTGGGTACTATAGTGACCCTCTGGCCACTGAGCCAAACGCCATTTTTGCACGAGGGACTTGGGGGGTCTAGTTTGACGAATTCGCCAGTCACATTGCCATCGAAGATGGAGAATTTGCCTCCAACTTTAGCGCCATCGAATTGACGAGGAGGGCCCCGAGTGAAGGCAGCAATGCGCTGGGGGTCGGTGAATGTAGTGTACATTTCTTCAGCGGTAGTCCGGAATTCATCGGAAGCAGTAACGGTTGTAGTATTCACAGAGAGCTTTCCAGTCGTAGCTGTCGAAGTCTTTGAAGTCACCGGTGGGGTGGTACTTTTCTGGGTGTGCATGGTAGGTGTTGCAAAGCCACTGGATGGGTTTGATCCTGGAGCATGTTGGATATCTTTGCCGTGCTCCTCAATTAAAGTCTTGCTGAGTTTGCTCAGCGCTACCCGTAATTGTGGAACAAGCTTAGACCGGACAATATCTTTCACTGGTTGCTTTGAAGCAGAGTCTGAGTAAGCTTCGATATCAAACTGGGTCGTAAAACGTTTAGTAGTAGTTCTCACACATCTTACATGCCTTGAGAGAGGCCGGGGAGAAAACATACGACGAACTCATCTTCTTCGGTATCATGGGCGACTTCGGGAATATTGATCGTACCAGTGACGGTTTCATCATCCTTAGTCTTGCCTACAAGTCCGGTTAGCGGCTACTTTTTACTTGATTATAGCTGGGGGTCTTCGACCTTCGTATTCTAATTGCAACTTGACATCATAGAGAGTAATAACCTTGCCTTTACGCTGGCTGACATCTACGTCGCCGTCCATACTCAACACCTTCTCGATCTTAGCCGAAACGCCATCGCTCTCGACTGAAATCCTGGAGAGGGTTTCCTGCAAATAGTTCTTGGTCCAAGCCGAAACGTCCTTATTCACCCAATGCCAATTATTTGGGTTGTGAAGAGCCATTGTGGTAGAATGAAAGTAACCGCTCGTGTTTCAATACGAGGCCTGAATTGAGAATAAAATTATTATGAACAGTTAAAGACAGTGTCTATTTACCGAACCGAGCAGAGCAGCGAAGTTCTGGGATTCGGCCGAGGATAAAATTTTTCAGTAGAAGGCCCTATCATAACAAAGGTTAGCAATTGAAGAGTGTCACCGACTGCGAGTGCATAGGTTTTCTTGAAAGCTAAATAGAAGCAAAATGCAAATCAGAGCTTTAGGCCGACCAATGCGACCCTCTGCGAGCAAAGTCCGCAGCAAACAGAGTACAAGTCTTTCTAGGACTGGTGCCAGCTATGTATCTCATCATGTTGCAAGGGTATAGGTGACTTTGTGAAGAAGAGTGCAGGTCACAAAGTAGGAGGGGAGGTAAACGGGGAGAAGAATATTCAACGTCGCACCCCCGCCTGTGTGTGAAGAAAAGGGAGCAAAGACAAGGAAATTTTGGGTTTGCTTACTGTCGTAGAAAGAAATCGGCGTATTCTGCTTGATGGACTCAGGTGTTAGTTGACACATAAGCCAAAAGTGAACCAGGAGTAGCGGATGGCAGCAGGGTTTGGGGGAAGATGTCTTCTTCCCTGCCAGGACCGAAAAAGATTATTGCTGAGAGGCCAAAAGGAAAGCTCTAGAAGGATGCCTGTGTTAGGTCACGTGAGAGTGTCATTCTCGCCCTAGTCCTGTTTGGGGATTTCCATCCTGTTTCCTTTTACGAATCTACAGATCCTAATTTCAACGTCGTCTCTTGAATACAACGTCCTCTCTTGTTTTACAGTCATCACCTTGCTTAATACTTCCAAAGGATCATATTAATCATCAGATATGAACCGAACTGAACGACAATCATTACTTTATTCATCTCATAAGATAACGACAGTGGGTATCTCAAATTCAAAAAACCGAGACCATAAAACTTCATAAGCAGGGTCGACCTACTCCAGCTGCTCTATATCTTCCCACCCGCCAGTGGCCAGAAGATGGTCCTTCACGCGCTCTCGAAGAGCTTGTATCTGGCTTCCAAGGGCCTCCGTCCACTGGCCTTCAACCGTGGAGACCCTCTCTTTCAGATCTACGGTCAATTCACGCTCTTCGCGCGCCTGCAGTTTCTGTATCTCACGTCCAATAAACTCCTCGGGCTCTCCGCGACGAACACGCTGTGCCTCCATTAATTTGCAATTCGTCCTCATTAACCCTGATTTCACCTCATGGAGCAGGCAAAGTAGATTGATCTGAGACTCGATGAATTGATAGGTCGATTTCTCTGCATGTGAGAGCAGAGAATAGAGATACTGCATGGGAAACTGGTAATAGCTGGGGTTTTCGTCGTACTCAGGTGCAGGGATTTGAACTTGGAACTCCGAAAGAACCTCAGGCACTTGCTGCACTAATGTCATCAGAGACGGGGCGATGTCCCAGAAAGCAGATAAATGTGTCTCAACACCGCGCTTGACGTTTTCTTCAATAACGTCCATAAAAGATTCAAGTCTAGACAGAGCCTCTGTTTCGTACTGGACGCGCCGATCGAAAGCGTCCTTCACAAAGAACGCGTCTGTCTCTCGCGTTTTCTCTTCATTCTTGCTTTGCTTGTACGGCAACGTGACGACAGCGCGATAGTTTTCATTGCTTTCGCCATGCAATTCGTAAATTTCGTGATAAAGATGCTCTCGAGCTTCGAAGAGCCACTTCAATTGAGTGAGCTGCTCTAGTAGTTCAGGCTTTTCGTCGCCTTCTTCTTGAGTTTGATTTGGATTTTCATGCTGCGTGGCTGCACTGAGTTTTCCACCCAGTTCGACAATACATTCAGTGGCTTTCTTCACGCGGTCACTAAGGATGGCATGCATTGGCGTCATCACCGTGCCTTGATAAGTATCAAATTGATTTTGCAACAAATCTTTCTCCATGCGTTTCTCGTCAACTTCTAGAGCGGCTTCCGCTTCCGCAGCCTCGGCATACGAGATGCCACCTTGCTGTATCTGCTGTTGAATGTTCGCTCTAAATTGCCGTCGATTCTCTTGTATTTTCTCGTCATGCTCCTGCCGTAGCTTTTCTGTTTGAGCCTTGTGGCGCTGCCTAGTTGCCTTGATTTCGGAAAGATCGCTGATAGAACGAACAGTGGTCCGATAGACGACCAAGTCGGGGTGGCTGTTGTTGACAGCAGGATGATGCCTTGGATATGGTGGTGGAAGAGTAACCAAACGTGAAATATCCATTTTATTCAGGCCTCGTGGTGTGAAGGGCTGAGACTGGGTTGAGGGTTGAGAATCAGGCTCATGCCACCCGACCTTTTCAGGAGGGTACTCATCCGGTCCGTAGGCCATTTGCAGGGGTTTTTGATTTCCTCCGGATTGTTGTTCTTCCTCCGATTCGCGCAGTGTCTCGTTGTATCCCATCTGCATGGCTTCACGCAATTCACGCGGAACTCCCATATATTTTGATTCCCTTTTAGACCTTTGGGCTCGGCGCTCAGCCCCTTCACTGCTAGATCCAGTCTTGGACTCCCACCAGCGGCTAGGTGGTCGACCCCTAGAGCTCATTTCATCATTCTCAATGCTTATGCTAGCAATAGGAGAAAGGCAAGGTTGGTAGTTGCTCCACCATGCTGATTCAGGTCTGGAGGATACACCTACAGAGCCACTGCTTTCTGCTCTAGAGGGTGAAGTCTGTTTGAAGGAAGTATCCAACTTCATCCCAGTTGGCTTCGCTTGTGGAGGTTCCGGCACAAACAATTTGCGCCGTACTTCCTCAATTTCGATATCCACGTTGCCGTCGCTAAAAGTCTGCGAATATATTTGGCGTCGAATGCGGGATTCGGAGAGGATGAAGTCGGTGAATACTTTCAATGCCTCTGCTTCATTTGTTGCTGATAATTCTTTCTCGAGCATAGCCTGGTATCTTTGAGAAGCTCCATCTAATGGATCGATACGTTGGTGAATAATTGAGTCGAGAGATGGGGTTTGGTGCGTTGAATTACGTCGTGGCAGAAGAGGGGCGGGAACAGAGACTATATCATTTGGTAGGTGGAGTATATGAGAGATTGGCCTGTCCTCTATCTTTACACCTAGGCGTGAAGGTGGCTTTGCTTCTTTAGAAGAGCTCAAGGGAGGCGTCGGTAAAGTCTTAGATGATGCGTCATGCTGCTCTTTGGGAAATGGTGACTCAAAATCCGGTGAAAAAGGAGGGGTGGGAGTAATTTCCTGACGGGAAAATATCGAATCTGGCTTGGGCGTAGAAAACGAAGAACGATCAGAAAATAGCCCAGAAGAAGTCCTAGATCGACTACTAGACGGGAAATCGTCGGATTGTGCACTCCGAGCACTGGAAAGAGGCTTTGAAGCCCCTTGGCGACGATTGCTTGCCGCAGCATCGGACTTTTCGACACCAGCAAGAACGAGGTTTGATGGTGTTACTTGGTCCGAGCCATCTTCCCAAGCCTTGTAGATGTTGTTGTTAGAAATAGACGTCAAATCCTCGGAAAAGTTGTGCCTTTTGTGTCTGCTCTCTATGCGACGCTCGCGAATTCCTTTCGCGCTACTATCCCTCACGGCAAGACTACGAAACAGGCCTCCACTTCCAGGCCTGTGCGAAGAAGAAGATTCACCAGAATCTATATTTTGCCTGAGCGATGGAGAAGATATCTCGGTGTTCACGTGCAACGATTGATTGTCATTCAATTTCCTCTTCGGAATCGCTTCATCAACCCAATCGGCGGGTGTTGGTGGAACTCGGTCAAGAGCCGTGCCTAGGACTGGAGGACCGCGCTGACGGGAAGGTTGAATAACACGCCTAGATGATGCATCTGAAGAGCCGCTAGCACTTTGAGATCTCAACGGGGGCGGCCCAGGAGGAGGAGGGGGCAATGGCATTCCCGGTTCCCAGCTTGTTCTCGGCGGAGACCGACTATGGGATGTACTCGACGCTCGTGATGAACTGTTGCTTTGCAATGCGCCAGTAGAGGCCGCTCTTTTAGATGAAGGAGCCTGTTGAGGTATATCGTATCGTTGGTGATTCTCAGCGTAGCCGTATGGAGACTGCTGCTGAGAAGCGACAGGGTATTGTGACGCAGTTGACCCAGGTCGCGATATACCAAGCCCCGAATCGAAACCACCACCTTGATGATGGTCTATGTTTGCCCTGGATGACGATCTAGATCCCCCTGGAGGAGGTGGTGGAGGGTGATTAAGATATGCGGACTGCCAGTTTGTGCTACCATCGTTCAAGGAAATCATCGACACTGGTCGAGAGTGGGAACTTTGGTTGCGATATCCCAACGAATGGCCATCTTGAGGCTGCCCTGTGATATCGTTAGATCGCCCCGGTCGTGGAGATACAGCCGCCAGAGACGGAGGTTCAGATGGTGATGTTGCTTGGTGACGAGGCGTATAAGGTGGAGGAGGGGACAGTTGAGTGTCTATAAACACACGATGAGTATATGGCAGGTTTTCGTCGGAAATCAACAGAGATATATGGCTTTACAAACCTGAAGAGCGCGGCGGAGGCTGCACAACTCGAACTACATTACTCCGCTGAGGGTGCGCCATATGCGCTATCTGAGGTGAACCACCTCCACTCAGAGGGGCCCATTCTTGAGGGTTATAAGGCGCACTATACGATGAAGACGGTATTCTCGAAGCCATCGGAGAAGCTCCTGGAAGGGCGCTAGCTGGGGAAGGTAGGTAGGGCGATTGACCTTGCGAGAATGGACTCGAGAGAGAAGTCGCTGGAGACGGGGTATACCCAATCCTAGCACCAGCACTGAGACTCTGATACGGCGCGCTGCCCAGGCTCGTGGTCAATGCCGGAGGTTGAATGGCATTGCTTCGACGACTCGTAGGAGACGAACCGGCGGGTGGTGAATGGGCAGCAGCAATATTAGGGCTGCTTGTGTTGCTCCAGCTGTCTTCTGTTAGTACACTGAAAGTACCTAGCGTCCACTAGTACTCTCGAGCGCGACCCCGGACCAGGAAGAAACGAGAGACGCGGCGAAAGGATGTAGGGGATATAAACGAAATCATCCTACCCATTCATGTTGGGGGCACACCAGGTGAAACGCCACGATCCAGTAGAAGGCGTGTTTCGTTCAAAGGTTCAAGCGCGCCATCACGACTGGGTTAACAGGGGTGTTGCAAGCGAGTCAGTCTCTGAACAAAGGCCGTGGCCTTCTAACCATTTTTCCTTTGTTGGCAGAGTATAGGTCGAAAATCGGTGAAGGGATGAGAAAAGTTGGCCGAGATTAGATGAGGCTGTTTCTATTCTTTGCAACAGGCAAATCTTTGTCTGTCATTAGCCCGTCTTGCCCAGCGTGGACACCACTAACCACGCCTAATCGAGCTTAATTGGCAGGAAGAAGGTGCATCGGACATAGTTCGTCAGGACCAAAGTAGTAGTAGACTAGTAGCACAAAGCGCGAAGGCCCAGTTGTATATAAATAGCCTCATCTAGGGTGTTCTATTCGCTGCCGATTGGGGAGGGCGAGAATCATACCAGAGTTGTAGCTGGGACGAGCAGCCTGATTGGAGCAGCAGCAAGCCAGAGAGGACGATTATCTGATTCAGGAATAATCAGCAGCTATGGCCAGACAAGAGCTGCAGCTAGCCCTGGTCTCGTCACAATGCGCTACTGCGCTACCCCTCTTCTTTGCCTCCCCAAGCGTCTCTGAGGCCGAATCAGCATGAGCGATCAGCCGCTGAGGAGAGTCACTAAACACCGTGACCCTGCAACACGGCCTGGCGTGCGCAATAATTCGCCAAAGCCAATGCATGCAACTGGGTGAGTATCTATTTATGCGACAAGCTACAGTGCCGTTTCCCATATCCTGGGACAGTCACCTGGAGGTCAGCGAGGTACCCGTTGGGCGGCGTGAAATAACCAGCCAACATGTGCAGCTAATTTCTGGCGGGTTTACGGAGTAGTTATCATTCAATTCGAGATTGTGGCGTTGAGATATCTTATTGAAATGTTGTAAAGCATGAAAATCCTACACTTTGAAACCGACTAATCCTCACAAGAACATATTATTGACAGCCGTTATCCACACCTTGGGGCCGTTTGGCAAGCAGTACAACCCCAAAGGCCCAAGCACGTTCAGCATAGCTACATGGAGTGAGTCGTGACTATCAGATGCCGGCATCAGCAGGTAGGGTGTGTGACACTACGTATTTAGCGTTGCAAAATGGTTTTAAATAAGAGCGATGATTACAGCTAAACAACTCAATTTGCTATGCGAATTACTAAGTCCTCTACTGCGCCGCGGCGAGATTGGTATATCATTTTCGTTATTCTTGCAATGAGCATACCTTGAATACAATTAGCTTCTGTTTCAATCCATTTGTAAGCGTGACACAAGTTGCAAAGGATAAGAAAGTGTCAGATAGTGCCCTGTCACAGGCAGTGGTCATCAATGTAAATAATTTTATGTTGACCGTCGTGATAAAAATAGTAAATCATCATGGAAACAAAAAGGCATGCAAAGGGCATCGAATATGGAAGAGAACTTACTCAGATCTACACAATCACAGTATTGGTTCATTACTAGTACACCTGGTGACGCGATAGTCAGTGTATTTGCACAATACTCGACTCATGATCCATTAATGTCAGGTCGTTCTCAGTCCGGACAATTCTCGTCTTAACTGGCTTGCACCAGCTTGGACATATGCTTGTCTTTGTGTTATGTCGTGTCATCATTGGAAGTGAGAGAAACTGTCACGGTGGACTAACATACATTACGAACTGTCGATCAACGAAGGTTATCGGCACCAACGAAGCTAGGTTATTTAAGCGCGTCTATTGATATCAATCAGCGGAGCCTATGAAAAACCGGCAGGAATGTAAAGGAATGTGAAATTTCAGTAAAGCATGAATGGTAATTTAAGGATGTTGTCTGCATCGATAACTCGAATAAGACTCGTCATCTAAGGAATCATCATATAATAATGACAATAAAGAGAGAGGAAAAAGATCTTACCGTTCGTGGTGGTTATTCAACCAGAATCTAACTACTGATGCTTATGCCTTCGAGGTATTGTTAGAGATCACGAGTGCCACAAGTGAAACATTGATTCCAGGTAGAGATGCATCTCAGTGGGCGAGGTTTTCTAGGCCTGCCACAAAAAGGCGTGTCCATCAAGACCGGACTGCTTTTACAGCCGTCGGAGCCCAGTGCCGCTTCATCATCGAGGCAAGGAACAAATCGAAAGGTCGGCACTCACATATTTGGCGGTGTCTGACGACAACTGTCTATCTTCGATCGAGTTAGTCAATTGTCATGAAAACATATCAACAAGTTTGGAAGTGATAAATAATAACAAGATCAGTCTAAGCCTAATAATATCGTCAAAGCCCGAGGGACTCGGCCGGTAATTTCCAGCGTATATTGTAAAAATGATCATCATCTTGGAGGGGGGGGAGGAAGACAACAATAGGGGAGAAAAGTCTCACCAGCTGTCGCTTTACAAGAATTATACTTGTAGCACTGGGACATTAGAGGTGGAGCATTAACCAAAAACTCTGCACAGCCAAAATGTTAGCCATAGCGTTCCCTCACACAGGACTGATGGAGATGACAGTGGTAGGAGAGTAAAGTCAGACTGACGTGTCAATTCGAGTTTCATTCCATAAGGTCAAAGACTCTAGTTTGCGGTTGTAACAAATCATCATGTAGTGAAAAAGAGCGTGAAAAAAATCCAACTCACCATGTTCCCAAGCTTTGCAGCTGCAATTTGGCTGTATACATAGTTAGCAGCCGACGGCTATAAAATGCCGAGACAGTCTTTGAAGATTTGTGAATAAAATCGAGGCTCGTCAGCTAGGAAGCTTCACGTCGCAGAGATGGAAGGCAGGACTGAGCTATTCTTGTTTTTTTTTCTTAAGTAGCGTTTTTTTTAGTCGGCTAATATTTGGGCCTAGCCTGAAGGGGCAGTGTTGTATCACATGACCTGTTTACATTGTTTGCAGTCTTCCCTGCGGCCGCTCACGTGATTTACCGTATGATTTCTAATCTCAAGCAAAGGGGATCCAAGCTCGACCATCAAGCCGAATAATCAGTATTCTAATCAAGATCCAGATGGCAGATACTGTTAAGGCAAACCCTATAACTTTGTTGATTGGTGGGAGAATATCACTCAGTCCAGAAGCACCGAAGATCCCATCTTGTTTCGCCTCGGGGTAAGTCGACCGAGGGATGGAAATTAGATAGTATCGATATGCTCCATAGTAAAGGGCCACAGGCGCGGAGAAGGCCGGCGCAGGACGAGATAATATAAGATAATGTAAGATAATAAGCCGGAGCGTGTCCAGGTGGCCGCTCGATGCGGTCTAGCGCGGGGAATGGCGGGTCTGCGGCAGTGAATGCGGGCACAGTGACGAAACCCATTGCTTCGAGCTGCGTGACCTGGCTACCATGTACCTCGTGATGCTAAAATAGCTGCCATAGGTACCTCGTTTTGATGTACCTCCATTGTGAGTCGCACTGACGTTGTTGCTCCCCACACCCGACGACGACCTGCCTGTATATCCGTCTCGCTCTCTCTCTGTGTTATAAATACCCATTCCTCTTGAGGGCCTTTTGGAAAATGGTCCAAGTTTTACAACCTGACACAATATCCATCCTCTAGCAGATCTAATCCAGGCATCCGAGCTCATCCTTCGCGTCTACAGCTACTCCGCATTCTCCAATTCCGACTCTCCTACCACCATTCCACCCTTGCGTCTCCGCTGAACCGAGGTTAACCGCCTATTAAACCGCACCCTTTTATCTCAACTGCTCCCGCAGATTCATTTTCATCATTCGATCCGTATCAGTTACTATCACAACATCCGAGATCACAATGGCGGCTGCGATCAATCCCCCCGCCGTGGGACAGGAGAACATTAACACCGACATTATCACTTTGACGAGATTCTTGACTGAAGAGCAGACCAAGCACCCCGAAGCCACTGGTGATTTCACGTAGGTCTCCTAATACCCTTCGTTCTCCAAAGTCAAACATCCTACTACCACACTCAACGAAACTAACGTTACACCTTGAAGGTTGCTGTGCCACTCTCTGCAGTTTGCTTTCAAGTCGATTGCTTACTATATCCGTCGTGCGACCCTGATCAACCTCACAGGCCTAGCCGGGTCTTCGAACACGACCGGAGACGACCAGAAGAAACTAGACGTGATCGGAAATGATGTGTTCATTTCAGCCATGAAAGGATCTGGCAGAGTCCGTCTTCTGGTATCCGAAGAAGAGGACCAAGCTATTATTTTCGACGAACACCCAAATGCACGATACGCAGTTGTATGCGATCCCATTGATGGCTCGTCTAACTTGGACGCTGGTGTTTCTGTCGGCACGATTTTCGGTATCTTTCAACTACCCGACGAAGTCCTGGGTCCAAACAAAACCGTCTCGGCTAAGGATATCTTACGCTCCGGTACCGAGCTCGTTGCTTCTGGCTTTACTATGTATGGTGCCTCTGCTCAGCTTGTCATCACTATGCGTGGAGGATCTGTCAACGGCTTCACCATGGAAAACTCTCTCGGTGAATTTATCTTGACCCACCCTAATATGCAGCTCCCGCCGAAACGTGCCATCTACTCGGTCAACGAGGGTAACAGCGTCTACTGGGATGACTGGGTCAATGACTACTTTCACTCTCTGAAATTCCCAGAGGAGGGTGGTAAACCGTACAGTGCTCGTTACATTGGTAGCATGGTTGCTGATGCTTATCGCACTCTTCTCTATGGAGGTATCTTCGCATATCCGGCGGACAAGAAGAGCCCCAAGGGAAAGCTACGTATCCTCTACGAGTGCGCACCCATGGCTATGATCTTTGAAAATGCAGGTGGCTTGGCTGTCAACTCCCGCGCTGAGCGACTTTTGTCTGTTGTTCCTGAACATATTCACGACCGCAGCGGCGTGTTCCTTGGCTCCAAAGACGAGGTACAAAAGGCTATCGACGTGTACAACAAACATCACTCGAAATAAGAAATAAAAGAAGGATATAAGTGCATATAATTCGAAATTGAGCGGGAGCAAGGAGCTTTATTCTGGTTGGATGTCTATACTATTTTATACTATTTATGTGATGACCCGAATATATTGACATTGTACTACATAACTTAATAAACCGACGTTGATCCCTAAATAACCGAGATTTTCTGGTGAAAATCCTTAAAAGTTTATTGAGGGTGCTAGCATAAAGGAATATTAATTCTTGATTGTCTCTCGGCCGATACAATGGTACCTTTCGAATTCGTTTGCGTTCGTTGCATAACATTAGGCTTATGAAGAAAGATACTCGATCCCATCGTCGCAAAAGCACGCAAGCGGTGATGCGAAATTAAATCCAAGAAGCGTGATATCTTCTTTCTCAACACCCGGATCTCGTCCAGACAGCGATTTTGAATCGCAGAAAACAGAACTCGCTGCTGAGACGTACAGCTCGGTGCTTCGGAGGCTTGCTTCACAAACTCTAGAACATGATGTGAGAGCCGTAATCTATAGTTACTTCGCAGCACAGAGGTGCCTATATAAGAATTACGCGGTGCTAAAGGCGGGTCTATGGTGAATTTTGCGACGGGGCTATCGTGTGTCAATGGGTATAGAATGTTTTCCACGTTCTCTGCGTCTTGTAAGATGGTTTCCGAATTTAGTAGCAACGTATCAGGATCGCCGGTATTTAAAAGTTCCTGGATATCAGTGCATATTCGAGTGCAATGATAGGTGAAAATGTATGCTCGAAGAACAGGGTACTCAGCCGCTTCGCAGTATTTATGTATTTCGTTGAACCACATGATTGCTTCATCAAAGTACCTTGGGTCAGGGGTAAGTACTCGGTTGTGCTATGAACCAGTTATTCAAACTAAATTCTAGAAGAACATGACGTGGGTATTCAGTTTGTTAACTCACCATTGTGTTATATACGGTGAAGAACAAATTCCGTCCATCCTGTCTTCGAAATTGATCCCGGCCACGCTGACGGATCAGTTCTATGAGTCCCTGATTATGAATATCCCATTTGGAAAACGCATTAGCGCTATCCTGTGTACTTAGGAGCAGCTGTAGTAGGATGGATGTTAGCGTCACTCAAGCTATGAGAGCCTAGAAACAAACCTCGTACAGACCCAAAAACAACACACCTAACAGGATGCTGTCATTTTGATATTGTCGAGGGTCATGAAGTGCCAAGTTCATGGAAGCAATTGCTGTTCCGTATGCCTTCACTCGATAGGAAGTAGCTGTATGAGACTGGGAAATATTTTCTAAATACGCACACCCAAAGGCATAAGCTGCCTTGTACAGCGCCGAATCTTCTTCAGCCAGTTTAAGTAGGTCGGAGAACGTGGATGAGAAGTCAAAATTGTCCTTTGCCAACGGCATAACATGGTCCTCCCATGGTTCTGATAGGGGCTTGCACCATGGAATAGAAACCGTTCTGTCCTCTGTGTTTACTGTCTCCGAACGAGACCGACAAACCTTCGGCAAGGGGTACGGGTTGCCTGCTGTATTTCGTTTTCTGCGAGGACCTTTATTATGATTTGACTGGTATGATGATACCGTCGCTATCTGGAAGAGGCTAGATGTTTCGTCGCGATAACCAGAACATCGTAGTCCCTTTCGTATGCACTGACCACAGCCAGGACGTACAAGATCACACTATCCAGGCATCCGGTATAAATTAATAAATTGAAATTTGCGATGAATCTGCATGATCGTATCATACCTTAATTCGACGCTGTCGACATTCATGGCAATCCCGGCTAGGTCGGCCAGTGTTGGGCATCGTATCCGAAATAGATGACCATGAACAACTCGAAGACACGAGGTCTCGCACTCGACATCGGGTTACATAGATGTTAAATATTAATCAGCCGATGCATCAATGTAGCCTAGTTAGAAGTGATCAGCGAGTGAAGTTCCCACCAACCATTTCGGCCCTCAGCTGAAGTAGGGCTGCTGCAAGGAACATAGGCTATCCCCCTTTCGGAGATCAATTCGCCTAATCAGGGAAGCCGATTGGACGAAGGATAAGGGTATATGCAGCCACCATTATTGAAACATGGAGCAAGATGTTTGTTGTATATATATAGAAGCAGTAGAATGTGCTAAATGTTTAGGCCAGTCGTTCTACTAAGAGACACCCACGGCATCAATTGATATGCGATATCAACAACATTGACACTATTATATATGCAAACATTGAAAACTAGACCATCAACACATCTCCGATGAGATACTGATCGCGACATATATATTTATTTCTAAAGCTATAAGACAGTATTATAACAACGGGAGATAATAGAGAAAGCCAAGAGACCCTCAGTCGACAGGATCTTCTTCAAGGAGAGTCTTGAAGCTGAAAGGCTGGAAGGGAATGCCGTCACCAATAAAATGTTTGCTCATAGCTTCAACCCAGTGCAAACGCAGCGAATGCAACATGGCACTCGTTCCTTCCATGACACAGAGGATGGCCACAGTACAGAAAAACCAGAGGTAAAAAGTGGCGACAATCATGATGACACGCATAACAGTGCCCTCAGTAGTGAAAGCACCCCCAAGAGTCATATTCCAAAGCACAATTGAAAGCTGTTGGTGAGCAAGAGACAAGGCCCAGAGACGAAGGTAAGAGGCAGTATGTGAGATACAGTTAAGACAAAATTCTAAAGACAAAGAATGTTAATACAGACACAATGAGACAGTCATCTGACATGCTTACCAATTGTATGAATGACTTGGTGAATCATCTCATCTGAGAACTCAAATTCCTCATGCTCTCCCTCATCAAGATCTTGCGCTATCATCGCAACACCCTCGCCATCACTTGCTAGACTGTCACGCCCATTATATGGGCGTCCGTTCAAGTCTCCGTCATCATCCAATGCGCTGACATGGGATTGCTCACCGAGTCCTCGATACCCTAGAGCTCTTGCCCGGTTGTGTTCGGAACGAAGCCAAAATGGCTTAAGAAATAACATAATAGGCACTTGAATCACCGCCAAAAGTAACAAGATAACTTGTACTTTGCCCTGTCCTGGGTAGAGCTGGTCTTCGGGACTTACACTTCCAGGACTAAGAAACATAAAGATGAGCATGTTGAGGAGACCCGGTGGCGAGACTCCACGAGCATTCCAATCTACGGACCACTTGTAGACAATCGTGATAACGAGATACCCAAAAATAGATTGGAAGAAGATCATACCCGGAATAAAATTTCCGAAAATGTCAACCTTAGATTTAAAATGACGTGCATTGATGTATTGCATGCAGAGAGAGTATGTCATCTTGATAATGTCAGTTAGTTATTTCAAGAGTAAGATAGACAAATGAAAATTTCACTTACGTGGGCCCATCCCAAGAGAATACTCAACTTCATCTTGTAGCTGTTGCTGAAAAGAAGCGCGTTCTCTGCTTCGTGCCAGTTCCAATCCAACCCAAATGTATAACGATAGCCGGGCTTAAGTGATGCTACTACAGCCTTTCCACTCTCAATGTCGTGGGGCCATTCCCATTGACTGGGGAAAATATCGAACGACAATGAGAAGACATCGTTGTAGATCAGGCCAGTATATATCGAGAAAATTCCCATCAGCAACATAATGTATCGACCGTAGAATGCCATGTAGGTAAGCTCATCTAGCTTTGTTTGAAGCAGTTTCTTTTCAAAGGTGATCATCGCAACGGCCGTCAACGTCATGAGAAGACCATGGCCAAAGTCACCGAACATGACAGCAAAAAGAAATGGGAAGGTAATAATTGTAGGTAGACCAGGGTTGACTTCGCCATACTTAGTAATACCGTAAGCGTTAATGATGGTTTGGAACGCCTCAGTAAACTTGTTGGTCTTGACATAGCTGGGAGGCGTTTTGTTTGTTTTGATCTGATTAACAATAGTGGGAACTGACAGCCCAGCACGATCATTGACGTCCTGCAGTGTCGATTTGATCAATGCGAGGGAATTAGTTGGGCACCATGCTTCGGCAATCAGAGTCTTTCTCGCTTGGTCGTACGAAAATTTATTCAGCGTATGATAAACGGCTTTTTCTTTCTTAACAATAATCATCCAAGCAGCGAGGGAACGGGCGATCTGAGTCAATTCAGCGTCCAAAGTGTTTTTTGTGTTCCTCAAAACACTTTCAATGTCACCAAGACGAGTATTGACTTCGTGAATTTGATCCCGCCTTAGTTCACTGTTCTCATCAACATTGTAGAGGTTGGCGCTGAGAGATTCAGAAATCTTTCGAATCTTTGAGATGATCTCCTTTCCATGGGCGAAGATAACGAATACATTCTTGTGGACTTCCTCGTTAGTTGTCGGGTCGATAATCGGTTCTGGGATTTCGGATTGATTCATGTAAAGATTTCCTCGCAATGTACGCCACAGAATGCGTTCGAAAGAGCCAATACGATCTCTCGGAATGACGCCAGCGACAAAGCCAATGTTCATCACAGAGAAAGATTGCTGACCTTGGGTATCACCATTCTGGCCACGAGAGATCTGGTGTTCAACGTCCTGCAAGAGTGGAGCCTCATCGCCTTCGCCGTCGACTGATGGTCGAATTTCCTCGGTATGACCGTGAGCCTAGATAGGAACCTCGTATTAGAATCTATAATCTGGTAAAACCAAACAAGAAGCTACATACGCGGTCAAAGAAAGCACCAGTTTCTCTCAGAACCCAGCGCCATTCTGTGAGTTCAACTTCTCTCTTCTTCAACGTCTCGTAGCTATCGTTCAACGATACAACACGCTGTTCCAAGCTTTCGCTGCGTTCCGCTAACTCGTCAATTTCGGCAGCGGATGGCGCGGCCAAAATATTGGCGAATTCGGATGATGAACGCATGGCAATGTTTGCCTTTTCCATTTGCGCCGAGAAATATCCTACAGTGTTGCATTAATTAGTCATTTTGATCTGGTGTACAAATGACCGGGTATTTGTTACGAAAACGTACGTAGCTGTCTCTCGACGTTGTCAAGGCGGCGAATTTCTTTGGTGAAAGTTCGTTGAAACGCATTCGTGTCGGGGTTAAGCTAAACCGTACACGCTCGAGTCAGATTTCGTTGATGATTATATAACTGTTTGTGTTGCATGCATCACAGGTACGGGATACGTACATCTCGGAATTGCACCTCTCCAACCTCACCCAAGGCGCTCACGACTTCCCGGCCGATTTCATTTGCAATATAGAGCTGAGTCAAGCTCATGTCCGCCGAGCGGAAAAATGTGTCCTTCGGAGCCATGTTGAAAAAGAGATTCCACTGCTAAAAAGCAGGTGTTTAATGTGAAGAGAACTCGTGGTTGAAGAATAAGCGTAGTCCCGAGAAAACAAACAAATAAGAAAGGGAGCGACGTATTTAAACAATAGTAAGAGCTTCCTTTGAAGATGAGTGCCGTTTGAGTCGGCCCCTCCACCAAGAAAGAATCCTCGCTGTCTTGGACGAGAGTGCTAGAAAGGTTGCAGTGAATAGGCGGCCCCATTCCAGAGAAGCTGTCAACTTCATCACGTGATTCGCGTCACGGGGTATTTCTCCTACCCGCGACGCAGATACATAACAAGTATTTAAACGACTTTCATTATTCATGCTAGCTCTGCTCTGTTTCTATTTATTGTGAAAGATACCAATACAGGAGCTCTTTTCAGCTGATACTCCACTGTACATTCGACGCTAGATTATATGTTACGGTGTTTCTGCATGGCTTCGAAGACTGACAACCCATTTTCAACGTCCGCCTTGACCTTCTCATCTTGATCTATAAGCTTTGGGCAAAGCTCTAGGACATCATCAAGAAGTTCTTGTGGGATGACGACAACTCCCTCTAGTGGGTCGCAGAAAACGATATCACCCTGTGAAGGTTTAGTAAGCTCGATGCACAGGAACTGCGGACACTATCCAAAGAGCAACACTTACGGTCTTAACGGTAACCCCATTGAAGTCAATCGGGACATTTCGTAGACCCGCTTTCGCTTCTGCTCCGGTACCTACGGTTGTTGTTGCTTTCGACCACACCTAGAGTCAAGTGTGGTCAATCATAGACCAGGTAGAAATCACCATGACTGATATACTTACGTGTAACCCAGAAGCACTTAGCTCTGCTAGATCTCTTACTCTTCCATTCACAACAACACACTTGACACCCAAATACGACATTCTTGCGGCCATAATTCCTCCGAGGACGGCACAGTACTGGCCGGGCGGCTGATTCAGGACCGCAACAGTTCCCCGTTCATTCCAGTCAACCCAGTGCTTTCCAGGCGGGAATCCATTAGCTTCTGGATTCTCTACGCTTGGAGAAGGGTCGCCTTTGGGAATGAATTGGAAGGTCACGGCTGGAGCAATAATTTTTTGTTTGCCAGCCTGGCGGCCAATGTAAGGAGAAATGGGGCCTGGATTCTGGTTAGTTTGGTTCTTCAGATACGAAGTACCTTGTACGCACTGATATCGGCAAGTTGGCCGGCTCTTGGCTGCCCACCCGGAGGTACATTTTGCAATTTCAATAATGCATCTGAGATCTAGTACTTGTTAAGCAGGAAATTAGAACACTTGAATAGACGAGACATACATCACATGCAGATAGCTCCTCTAGTGCTTTGAGCTTTTGCTCGAAGGTTCCTACAGAAGACATGGCACGCACCGGAAAGGATTGTCTTGTAGCCTGAACAATTCTTTGTTTGTGGGATATGCAATTGCTGATCAACGGTATGGATCGGTTGCAGCGATAAAGTGTAGAAGTTGCTTGATGACAAGCCTTTGGCAAGATTGCAGTCAATGCCACCATCTGACGAGAACTAGGTAGGAATAATTTTATTATCGACAAACTCCAGAAGACGGTATTTCTAGTGCAACATAAGAAGCATTGCTATTACTACTTCGCAAGTATGGAATGAAATCGGTTGGTTTGCCGTCGGCTATGGTCCGGGAAAGTTGAAACCAACCGAAGGGCAGCTTTAATTGCGATTGGGGCTACTTACTCTATTACGAATTGGATTTGGGGTAAGTTCCCCTTGTTCATGGTAATCAATCTTACCGACCCAAAGGAATGCCCATGTTATGATTCTCCCGGAATCTAAAAAGCATTTTACTCTCAAATTATTCTTCCCAACCGAAGTCTTGAACTTTGTATGTGAGATGGATGCTGACCCGTATCAAGCCGAAGATGCGGGGTTAAATGACTCGGGTTTACTATGCGACGATGCTGCCACTAATCTTGAGTGAATATAGCCAGAGAAAGTAAAGGCGATATTGATGAGTTTAGCGGATTGTCCACACGTAATGCCAATCCACGAGATTTATCGTTGGCTAAGACTAGTTAATCTACAGTCCAGTTGACAGCACATATAGAGAGACTAGTACGGAACATTGAAATAGCCGCACCATCATTGAACACAAGAGATGAGATGCATCAATGCTAGAAATAAGTGGTATCAGTTTGCCGCCTTATGATATTTTCACTAGAGTGGATATATGCAATGTCAATTCTTTGATAGTCGCTAAAATACCCTATGGGAAATGATCTATTGATGATGTGCATTGAGAAATTCCCTGTTCCGCAAAGAGGTTGAATAATGATTGAAAGAGCTCTAATCAGGATTGCGGTTAGGTATTAGTAGACGGTCATTGCCTGGGAATCCACGCTGAGAGCGTGACAACGCCTCTTAGCCATGGTCTAATCATTAATTTAATGGAAGAATTAGAGGGATTAGATGGCAAAAGTCAAAAACCCAAGAGAAAACTTGTAATTTGGTCGCCAGTCTGTTTTCTCCCAGCAGTACTGTACAAAATGATCTATTTAAAGAAAGGAATCACGGCTCATATAAAAATTGAATATCATGTCGCCAAACATCACCGTGTTAACCAGTATTTGTCCTCGATTAGAAGGTCCTCTTCTCAAGCTGTAATATCCCAGTCAGTACCAAATGCATGTTGCATTATCAATTGATATCTGTGCTCTTACTCTCCATGGGTTGCTAACTTCGAAGCCAGCAGGGGCCTCTGGGTTCGTGGATTGACCCCTCCAACTTCCAGTTATTCGTAGATCTCTTTCCATCACTGTAATCTCCCATCAGTATTGAGATTCAAAATTCATTGGATCGGTAAATCGGCTTCAGTTTCAGGTGGAGACGTACTTTGCTAAAGGAACTGTTAGCTCAAGGTTTCGTTGACATCAACTCAAATATGGGACCTACTTTATCCCAAGCATCTCTATTCCACCTTGCTTTCTTGTGATCGTTGACAAAATACTTCGTAACACTGAGGCCGACTCCGGTGACGGCGTACATCTAGGTTGTTCTTTGAGTTGGTCGCATCGCAATTGCTGGGAAGGTATAGCTTACGCCGACGATGATCCCATAGGGAAGCAGAGCCTCGAATGGCACACCCATAATGACGGTTGAGCAGTAGGCAGGGTAATTGATCCAAAAGGTCGCAGAGCACTGTTCAGTCAGGCGCAGTAGTCGACTGAAGTCACTTGGAGCGAGCAGCGAGAGATCCACGGTGCAAGTCACAACGGAAGCCGCCCAGGGACCCGAAGTGGAATAGCGGCTTGACGGGACTCGAAATGTCTTGGCATGATCAGTCAGCAACCATCCGCGACATCGTCAACCGCCAGAAGACGGATTTGGGGTATGCTTGCAGGAGAAAAGCGCGAACAAACCCGTGTATATTGTCTGTCTTCGACTTTACGCGTTCGAGGACGTGTTATTGCATCCAGCTTGTATGTTTCCCTTTGATCGCCCTTTCGACTGGATTTGGCGTGCCGGAATTGACATCTTTCACTTGCGCGAAAGAGCGCCACAGAGCTGTGAATCAATATCTTTTCATTGTTTGCGCCAGTCAGAAGCCAACTCTGTCGACAGTTTGAGGTGAGCTCTGGCGATCGCATTACGAGTTTCGGATTTGTCGCAATCCAATGTCGCACTCCGCCACACTCAACTGACGACCTCACCATTGGGGAATTGCGGCCATATTCCGATAGTACACAAGACTCTGAGAGGCGAAGAAGTTCCGCTCAATTTGGCGACTGGCGAAAACCTACGCACAGCATGGCCGCAACCATGCTGGCCACCCAAGATGAGCTGAAAATGGACCCGCAATCTCCTTTAGTCGATAGTGATCAAGATGCCGAAGGGGAGGAGGATACCGACTTGTATCAGATGGACAAACAACTACAAAATGCTGTTCAGCAAGCCGATGCAGATGAGCAGGCTGAGGATATCGATGCGTCGGAAGAGTCACCTATAGAAGATAGTAAAAGCTATGAAGAGTCAGTGGAGGCGAACGAGGATGAGCTATCGGATGCTAGCGAAGAGGACGGGGTTATAAAGGTACCTAGACTGCGCCGGCGTGGGAATGCCGACTCGAATTCCGATGCAGATGACGCGGATCCGGACGCTGCATTTGAAAATGGCTCTGAGAAGAACTCGGCCTCAGGAGTAAGCAGTGATGAGTCGGATGCCGAGGCAGATGGCTGGGATGCCGAGAGTAACGAGAGAGACGATCTTGAAGGGGAAAAGGGGCCTTCTGGGAACTGCATGTAAGAACTTGGTCAACTCATTCCTGCCTGTATATTTGCTAATGTGGAGTAAGATTTTGCGGCCAAGACGAAGATAACGATCCGTCGGAAGACTTCGAAGAATATCTCACTTGTGCAGTGTGTGGAGATCATTGTAAGCTGCTATTGCATCCACTTTTCTCAACTGTCATCGCTAATAGTTTTCTTTGATAGCCCACAGGCAGTGCGCTCGAGAACAAAATGCGTTTAGTGATAACGAAGGTGCGTCAGTAACACTTTCGTATTAAGGACCCCTTCTAACTGCTTCAACAGAAGCGCAAGATTGGCGTTGTGTGTCTTGTGTTCAGAACAAACTCGAGCCTGACCCCGGACAGCAAGCAGCAGCACGGCGTAGAGCAGCCGCTCAAAGTATTGCACGCGATCTACTCGCAGCATCGAATGGACGCCAGGGACCTCCGTCTCACTCGATTTTTACTAATCTGATCGTTGATGATGATCCAATGGATGGATCACGCTCACTGCGAAAAAGAAAAAATTCATCCACCGAAGCCGATGAAAATACCCCTGGTGTGCGAAAGCGATTACGACGTACACCATCTCAAAGTGCAATCGACAGCGCTGATGGTTCTGTGGATGCGGATGGTTTGTCAAGAAGTCGGCCGCGTAGAGGGCGTAGGCAAGACAAAGAGCTATGCCGCGTTATTCAGCATAGCAACGGCGAATGTATTATCGCATTTCATCTCGACTCTGTGAAACTGGCTAAAATCCTCAATTCACGCCCGCGTCCATTAAAGGCAAGGCGGCGAAAGCCGCCAAAACAAGCTGCAGTGGAGGAAGAACCTCTGGCCCACTTTGCTCCCATTATACCAACCTACACTACGCCTTTCTACTCTTTCCATGATCGCGAGGTTGACGAGCTGAAATCTAAGCCTTATGGTGGTATCCTGTCAGAAGCTGATGCCGATACTAGTCGCACTCTTCCAACTCAAGTTGATCGGGACAAATTCGAATCTGCTCGACGAAAAGCCGAAGAGGATTGGCAAAAGAAAGTCAAGGAGTCTGACCCTGTTGGGGAAGTGAACCATCGTGCATCTCAGAAGGTTTCAGGTCCCCCAAGCAAAATCAAATGGATCAATTTTGGTGGCTACGAGATTGAGACATGGTACGCAGCTCCATATCCGGAGGAGTACAGCCGCAACAAGGTGCTCTATATTTGTGAATTTTGTCTCAAGTATATGAATTCGGATTTTGTTGCGTGGCGTCACAAATTGAAATGCCCCGCGAAACACCCGCCTGGTGATGAAATCTATCGAGACGGATCAATATCAATTTTCGAGGTAGATGGACGAAAGAACCCTGTCTACTGTCAAAACCTCTGTCTCCTCGCAAAGCTATTCCTGGGCTCAAAGACGCTCTATTATGACGTTGAGCCTTTTCTCTTTTATGTCATGACAGAGCACGATGAGCTAGGTTGTCACTTCGTGGGTTATTTCAGCAAGGAAAAAAGACCAAGCTCGTCTAACAACGTATCATGTATCCTGACTCTTCCGATTCATCAGCGGAAAGGATATGGAAATCTACTTATTGATTTTTCGTATCTCCTGACGCGAGTCGAGAAGAAGACAGGATCTCCTGAAAAGCCACTTTCTGATATGGGTTTAGTTTCTTATCGAAACTATTGGCGACTTATTTTGAGTTATCAGCTGCGGAATCAGAACACGCCGCTCAGTATAGTCGAGCTTTCTGATCGGACAGGTATGACAGCAGACGATATCATTTCTGGTCTAGAAGGACTACGCGCCCTAGTCAGGGATCCAGTTACAAAAACCTATGCATTGCGGTTGAATTATCAATATTTTGAAGAATGTATACAAAACTGGGAAAGTAAAGGGTATGTGAAGCTCAACCCTGTTGCTCTTGTGTGGACGCCCTACGTGATGGGACGCAACAACCAATCTCATTACGACCGTGCTCAATTGCACACGGTAGCCCAACGGGAAGATGCAGAAGAGGAAGAGGAAGGCGAGGACGAGGACGAGGAGAGTAGTGAAGTACCTGTTGAAAGTGACCGTTCCCCTAAAATTAATGGTGTCACAAATCCGGTTACGGATGGGCTTCCGTATGCACCGGCTGGGCCTCCTTCAACTACCGGGTTATCGCTTGAAAGCTCTCCTCACAAGGTCAATGGCGATCATAACCCTGCAGCCAATTCACCAAATCCTGCAGCTGGCATTCCACCCAGTCGATTTCAGATCCATCCTCCTGTTCAAGGGCCTGTTTTCAAACGACGCCCTGGTCGACCTTGGGGTAGCAAAACCAATTACAACAGAGTTTCCTACAATTCAGGGTCACGGAGTGCGCGATCTACACCTCGACGTACGTCAACGTCACTGTACGGTATAGGGACGCCTGCATCTGTCGGGGGTTCTTCGGCTCGGCGGGCGAGGAGCGGGTTGGCCGCCGAACTTGGCCTTGAGGTCGAAAATCCGTCCACCCGCGGCGTTGTAAATGGCGATGTTGAAGACCAAGAAGGTGTATTTGCTGGAGAGGATCCCGGGGATGACTCCGCTATTATAGCCGATCCCCAGGCGGCAGATGATTTTACATCACTAGAAACAAAGAATAAGCAACCAAATGGTATTGACTCACCTTCCAACGGCGCAGCCAAAGAGAACGGCGACTCTGCAGCTTCTAGGTCCGGAAATTCTACTCCTCGACGCACCCGAAGGACCCTTGCCGATGAAGACAAGAAAAGTGCTGAGGACACATTCGTCTCACCTGCTACCAACGGCGATGACAGTGATGTTGATGCCGAAGGTGAAGTTGATGAGGACATGCAATTGGCATAACTATGTTAATCAGTTGGCTATTTTCCTTAACCCGTTCTCTAACTAACGACTAGTCACCCACGTATTAACCCAACAATGTTCACGACACGTGAGGAAATGGCTACAAATACCACAAAACCGTTTTATTAATATGCTGGCATTATTGAACTTTCAATCAACTTAGCTGGTGAGGATGCAAGGCTGCAAAGCGCAAGGGATTGTGTCTATTGTTATCGATGGGGCATGGACAGTTTAAACTTTCGGAGTTGGCAAGTCCGTTGTCTCCTTGCATCGGTTCCTGTGGGGAAAGTTTTGCGATGTTATTTTTTCTTCTTTTTCTCGTTTCTTGATAAGATACTGATGGAGTCTTTCGCTGTACGGTGTGATTTATATGCATTCACATGGGTGTCATTTTCTTTTTTTGGGGGAGGGGGGGCAGTATTATGAGCTCGGTGTTATACTGAGTCCAATGTATTATTGTTCTTTTATTATCTAGGGGCGTGTATGCTTTTGGAGCGTATTTTGTTTCATTTACCTCTGTCTTGTTATATATAGAATCGGCCAGAACACTGAGACTCGCTCCTTTGGATGACAGCATTGCTACTTCTTCTCTCCTGGCTTATAAGAGTTAGTACTAATTGAAGAGAGCTTAAGGCGACAAAAATCACGGCTTTTCCCCAGATTCGTACCAAACTTTCCCAAACCTTTTTTCGACAAAAAGTCAGGAACCGTAAACCCTATACCTATTAGTTTATTCATTCTAAAATTCGGTTTGATTACAACCTTCCATAGTCTGGTTTGACAGCGGCACAGATCACTAGTTCCCAGTTAGTTGGTTTTAGTGAAGAACAGAATGGGGGCGCCGGACGAGCAAAATCTGGTCGGCCCCATGAAGCAAAATCCATGGTACGGAATGGAGGGAGCTATGCAAGACGTGTGATATACGGTTTGTTGTACCATGGGCCGCGGTTGGCTAGTTAATTGATCAACTGTTAGGAATATAGTATAATAAAGCAGGCTCGATCGATTGCAGTATAGCGTAAATAAGCTTTCGATATTTTGGATTGTTTACATGTGATCCTTTTCGGTTGAAATGTCCGATATATTTATTTTTTCTTATTTCTTCGGGGACATTTTCATTGTGGATTTGTTATGAATTGCTCAGCGTTTATCCAGTTACGCTCTAAATGCTACTTTCTAGACCTGTCTGTGGAGAAGAGCTAAAGGGCGCGTGCATAGCATCTCTGAGTTAGCCTCATGTTTTCGCAATAATTGCTATGGATCACAAGTTCGTTGGAGCTTTCATAGAAGGCTATCAGCAATCCTCGACTTGTTCTAATTGACTAGATGTCGTCAATAGACCGTAAACCGTTGGAAAAGTCCGACCTTCGCCGGATAATGGGACTTTTAATACTGCAGCGCTTCTCAGACCCACTTGATGTGCTGGATGGAGCTTAGAGATGTTATCAGCCACTTGTGACTCGTGCTCACAAGCCAAATTTGAAAAGCGATCCAACACATAGCTAGGCGTTAAAGCTATGACGGCAGCGCGGATAGGAAGCCGTATGCTTGCCCTATGTCTCGTAGGATCGTAGCGACCATTTCCAGTCTTGGTTGCGTTTTGATCATCCACCCTCGTTTTGTGTGAAAATGATGGCAGCTTACAGGCTCCATTCTCGAAGCAGGGAGCCGAAGGACTCCACCGGCTGAAAGCCACTGTTATACGAGCAACTTGCATATGTCGCAGCAGAGACGTGACCTTTGGCCCAGAACTTGATTGATCTTCAACTTCCAACCCGTCACAATTCGAGTCAGACGGTAGAACTGTGGCACTGACCAAGTTCGTTTGCCCTTCGGGTCTGCGGGTTTTAGTGGCTTACTGCCAGCAATGCAACTAAGGCACTAGGCTATGATATTGCAGCGTAGTTTATATTTAGTGTGGCCGAAACATGCACGTCGGCGAAAGTGGATAGGACGGCCGCTGGGCTTTCAAATCCGCGTAGCGCTAGTTGTTCAGCCCGCCATAAGTTGGGCTCCTTTTGGAACGCCAGCTGGTCGGTGCGTACTGCGAAACGACTGAAAACATCCGGTCTCCAAACAACGAGGGCGGTTAGCTGCAGCTCTTCAAGACGTCGAACCTGCCAGATGGGCTGGATTCAGGCGAGATAGAACTGACGGCAGGATTGTCACCTACATAGGGAGCATGGTCAGGTGGTTGCCAGGAATTAAGCAGGCTGATTGCTAGCTAAATCTTGCCGCGCATGCCATTAGACTCTGGCGGACACTAAACGACAAAACAGTAGCTGGAGCGAGTGACGTCTGCAATAGGAGTAGCACTCGTTCTCGAATCCAAGCCACTGTCCTACCCTCAAGGGCGCTGCAATCGGATCTTCCCCCGCAGAGCACTAGAAATGGCAAGGACAACCTGACCGGTTTGCTAACGATAGGCTTGTGGAACCAACAGCGCACGGATTCGGTGAGGGGACGCATCGTTTTTTAGATCGATGATCGTGACCTGCATCGCGGATGTCCGCGATGTGACCCGTCCCATTGCATCCCCGTTGACTGCATAAAACCGGGCCGCCATCTCACAACGTCAACATATCATCCACGGGCGATGGTGTAGTTTGGTCGCTATGCCTTCGTTCTCGATGGCATCTGCCTGCTCACTCTGTCGGAATTCTGCTGCGCTTCGGTTCGGCCAAGCTTGCATTTAATTTCGTGTTCTGCCGTCGCTCGTGTGAGGGCATCCCGCGCATCTTGCTGTTGTCGTAGGATATGGTGGTGGCTAGGCTAGAGTGAACACTCGACGCCCCGATATAACAGCGACCGTCAATCGCACCTGGATTCATATCAACGAAAGAGACTTTCTCTCTCCTCTGCCCTCCATACACTGTGTTGTTTTCCTTCGTGCGAGTGTGCAGTGGATTGAGCATCGCCAAACGGATTGATCGCGATCCAGCGACTCTGCTGAGGTCAGAGCCCAGGCTCAGTGACGAGAGAGGAGCGATAGCGCCGATTGAGGATCACGCATCGGCTCACGGGGGACCAGGGCATTCGTCGAGGCACGCGCGAGTCAAGGTCGTGGTTGTGGTTGTGGTTGCGGTTGCAGCCGCAGTGGCAATCGTGGTAGGCGTGGTGGATGACATAACAACGTTTGGGGAGAGAGTAGGCCCCTCTTTCCTCTTGTCCTCTTTTCCTCTTTTCCTCTTTTCTCGCTCGTTTCGTCCATTCTTCCATTATTTGCCACAATGGCTCGAGCGTGATTGTTCAGCCGACAGAGGCGTGATGTCTTTGTCTACAACCAACGGCTTTGTCTCGCTCTACGAGTAATAGTATATACATCGCTGCGATACGATACGCTGACGGGAATGCTAGACGCGCACACACCACCACACCTGGGCGGATCTTAAGATTGCCCTTGCATACCTAGGGCCGCAGGGGCGAGTTTGGCGTCTGCAGCAAGACATCGTGCATTTCCGGCAGGCGGCTCCGTCTCCGCAGAGTCGCAGCGAGACCAGCGGTTGGCTGCGAGTCTGGGACGGATTAAATGTGCGTGGAGGAGAGCCAGCCCAGCCCTCTTGCTAGTCCTAGATAGGAGAGCCTGCGAGGCCTGCGAGAGCCTGCTAGACGCGAGCGGCCACTGGGCCTGCCCACGATAGCCACACTTCCCAACGCCCGCGCACCAGTCAGCACGAGTGCTCGATCTGCCCTGCTCCACCGGCCGGCTGCTACCAGCCTACGGCCATCGCCCATCCATCGTCCATCGTCGACCGAGGCGCTCGAGCCGAATTTGAACCTTGGAGGGGTTGTGTGGTGTGGAGGGGGCGCGCCTGCCGGACTCGGGGCGGCGTGTATACTATTGTCTTCTCGTACTAGCCTGCTAGGTCATTATTATAATTGTCGCCTGTGTGGTACTGCTCGCTGTCGCCCTCTCGCTTCTCCCCACCCCCCATCCATATCGCACTTCCCTCCTGGTCTGGGCCTGTGTTCTCGGTCGATGACGAAAAGTGTGCGAGCGACCAAGCTTCCGTATCCGTCGACCGTGGATCATACCCACTGTATGACTACGGAGCCGTGGTACGCATCGTGGGACAGCCCGGAAAGCGAGTAGGCTTCACGCTGCAGCATCGTCGAACCGCATTATATCTTCGTCACTATTACCACCATTCCCCTCGTTGCTATCACCATTACCATCACTTGACTCTCCACGCATCGAACCCCGTCATCCGCGTAAATCGCAGCCTTGGGTTCTGCCTAGGTCGCCTGGTTCCAACCGCCCGCCTTGATGAGTGCATCGACGTTTGCGGAGAGCTCCGTTCCTCGCTCGGATTCCCAGAGGTTTGTCCACTGCCTTCTTCCATGTTTCACTGAAAGAAAGATCCTTGCCCTCGAGCCCATCCTTGCTCGCGTTATCAAGCCTGCTACAGATCTGACAATGCTCTCCAACACTAGCTCTGACTTCGAGTTGATTGTTCGCCAACAACCGGAGAGGGCGCGGGTCGCCGGAGGCAAAGAGAAAGGTGAGTCCGTCGTGTCCGCCAGTCAAGAAACACACCACCATTAACCACATGCGCAGAGCGCAAGCCAGTTGACCCCCCGCCTGTCATCCAGCTCAAAGTTCGCGAGGAGAACACATATCTTGCCCAGTAAGCTATTGCGTTTTCTTTCAGGTGTCTAGCGCTGACCGTGATAGACACTATCTACAAAGCCCCTATTACTTTATGTGTTGTAGTTTATACCATGCTACCGAGGATCATCCTGTGCACTACAACCAACCCTCTACTGCTTTAGCAGGCACACTCGTCTCCTCTCTGCATCGCTTGAAAGATACCGACAACGCCGGTGAGTATTGTTTGGGCCCAGGTACAAGAATCCAAGCTTTGCAGTACTAACCCCGGACCCTTTTCCTAATAGATGGAGGATTTTTCGTGTTTGGAGACTTGTCCATCAAAATTGAGGGCGAGTATCGACTTCAATTCACGTTATTTGAGATGCAGAAGTATAAAAGAGCCCTGGTACAACGTGATTTCTGTGGTGAGACTGACAAGATTTCGATTAGGGACAATGTCGTCGCTCTCAAGTCGATTCTTTCCAATCCATTCGCAGGTGAGAGATCTTATGAAACGCCCTTTCAAAGCGTTTCGCTGACCTGTTGAAAGTTATGCCCCCAAAGAATTTCCCTGGGATGGCAGAATCTACACATCTTTCTCGCTCCTTTGCAGATCAAGGAGTAAAGTTGAGAATTCGGAAAGAGGCTCGGAATTTAATGTTAGTCCCAAACCCTTGCAGATCTGCAGAGCCAATCGTTGAGCAAAACTCTAGGAAACGTGGAGGAGCCCGACCTGAGGAGTATGCTCCTAGTCTACCGCGGTCCCCTGAGCGCACTACTATGCCGCAGATGGTTCCGAACACTTTTGCCGGCTATCCTCAACATAGCTATTATACCCCAGGTCCAGCTCCAGCTCCCAAGCGTGTACGCACCTCAGTGGATATGGATGCAAGAACGGTTTATGAATCCGAGGCACGTTACGCCCCGCCGTATCCCCAATCAATGTATCCGAGCCAGCCGGCTGGCTACCAAAATCCAATTGGATTTGGTTATTCAACTGGGCAGACAGGACTACCAGAATATAGCATTCGACAACCACAATCTATGACGGGTGCAGGCACTTCATACGGCAACCCTGAAGATCCCATGCTGGCCATGAGATCGCCGAGCGGAGCCGGTTATATGAATCCACAGCGGTATCCGGCTTATACCGGGGCACAACAGCTTTCGTATGGCCTTCCTTCTCAGCAAATGCCACAGCTTTCAGATTCTCAACGAAATCCGCAGGCAACTTTACAGCCCCTTGTCACAGGCCAGACTGTGAATCAGCAAACCACTGTATGATTTACACTCCCTTTTTATCCATGCGAAGAGCCGCACCTACAATCCCAGTTCAGGTGGCTAAGAATGATTCCTCTTGAAGGATCAGATCCTACGGCGTCAGTGACGCCAGATATCTTCCACCATTCCCGATTTCCAGCCAGTTCGATAGTATTGTCTCGTGTTCCTCGGGCATATAAAGTGCTGCGCATCCTTATTTCCTAGGAATACATTATATTGTCGGCGAAACAATTCGATACGTCGGAGAAACGACCCTGATGCATATTACTATTCTCGCTTTAGATTTATTAATGGATGAAGCGTTATACCTCTGGAGTTGCGGATGGAAAAAACCTCTCACACACCCCCTTTGTTCGTTACTTTCTCTGTACAAGTAGGGCTAGGTTAGATTGGCTTCCTCAGAAAATCAATTCAGTGATCATGAAGACTTGCAGGACATTTGGTATGTCACATTTTTTCTTCCTTAAGATTTGTGTTATTGTGACCATAGCCTATACCTTCATATTCTTTTGCCATGGTCATCGATTTCTACAGGCTCGGCACAGGCATGACCTCGTCACAAGAATAGATTTAACAGCTGATTGTTATTCTTCTAAAGTAAACCGTGGCAAACTATTCGTAAATAGTGCCCGCAGACACAATAGCATGGGCAAGATGAAAGATATTTTGTGGTCTCTTCTTTGCCTATTGTTGTGAGCACAATTGGGCTGTTATTCAGGCTATTGAAACCGCAGAGATGACAGTTTTGTAGTCGTCAAGGCGCAAACGCGCCTTCCCATCCGATGCTCCTTCCATGTCGGCTTCTCCAGCCCTCAGATCTCGATCAGTATTATCTCTTCTTCGTTATTCAACACCCTCAGTTGCTTGTCTACCCCTTATTGCTCTTTCTATCCATCTTGGACTTGCTTCAGCCGGTCTGTATCTTGCAGATACCCGTCCTCCTTTGTGATGGCAGCAATGGGTCCTCCACATCCCAGCAGTCTCCAAGTACGTGCGAGCTGGGATGGTGACATCAGACATGCGGCTTGTATCTACATGATTGTAGAAGTAAGTGAGGATTTCGCAACAACTTGCATATTGCTAATTTGTCAGGTCGAAACCAAGCCAAACTCTCGCCTCACTCTCCTCAGCGGCGTCAAAAATACCGGTCTAAGTCACTCAATGCTTTGGGAAATTGGTCATCCTAGTCAAGAGCCGTCTGTCTAGGACAGGGCCAACATCCTAGCAGCCGTTACCCATGATACAGGAGACCTTCCGCCATCTCCACCAAGGAAGTTGTTCCCCTCGATTAAGAATCATCGAGACGAAGATAATGGTGAAGCTACATCCGACCATCTGTCAAGTTCTCCTCCAGTTGAATCATCAAACGATAAGATCCAACCAATCTGCAATGACAATGCAGGTGTGAGTGAATATCGTGTGCAGGAAAAGGCCGAGGAGGCAAGTATCACTGGACCAAGCCTCTCGCACAAATCAAGCTCTATTTTAAAAAAAGATGGAGATATCTCGCAGGAGACTAGTACATCCATATCAATGGTGAATGCGCCTGGCGAGCCTGATTTAGGTGATTCGTTGGTAGATTTGCTTCCAAGTCCGACTCCCTCCTCCCGGGATTTGATGCCCTGGGCGTCAGCTACGGACATTGCAAGTCGGCTGGAGACAGAAGAAGATGCGGGCGCGGAAAGTGACTGTTTAAGTGTCGCCTCTGAATTTATCAGGTCTTCATCGAAAGAAGACCCTGACATCTTTTGTGAAAATGGGGAATTGGTTTTTAACTGCCCGAGCTTCGCTAAGGAAAGAATTTACAGGGCCGAAATTATCTTTCTGAAGCATATTCGAGAAGGTCGAGATAAATGGCTAAGTCTTAACCTGTCACCGATGATAATGGCGTGTCCGGATATTCAAGGTACCTTCGTTTTTGACGGACCCTCAGGATATAATTTCGAATTCGCCAGCGACATTCTAAAAGCACAAACATCAAATGGCCACCTCGAGTACAAATTTACTCCTCGAGAGTGGCTCCTTACGCCGTTTCGTCTTTGTAAAGATGAAACTCTAAGCAAAGATACGGACCCTTTTTCCAAGGATTTTGCTTCAGCACATGAAGAGGATAAACAGGATACAGATAACATTTCACCGTCTGTTCTCGAGACAGGGCCCAAAAAACGATCTAAAAGAGGTCGCCCCGAATTCAAGTGGCTCTCTGAGGAGGAAATCCGACAAATGAAAACAGATATTCTCAAGTGGTTTTTCACCCCTCTTCATTGGGTTTTTGTTGCAATCTACATAGTTAGCTTCGGAATACCTGGTGTTGTCTCCGGCCCTGCTAATACCTGGTGGACAATACATGAAATACCGGAACTCGCGAGAAATTTCAGTATGCAGGGCTATTCTATGCTTCAGATGAAGTTTTGTTCATGTCCATCTGCCGATCGTTCTCACCACAATTTACACGATAATTGGCCTAGCTATGACTTCTCTTCGCTGATAAAGCAATCAACTACATCGACAGCAACTAAGTCGAGCGAAGCACTCAGTACCAATGATGGTTTTCCCCTCGTCTCGCGGAATAATTTATCACTGTTGGGGATTTCAACCACCAATCAATATACCCGTTCCATACGTTTGTCTGACGGAGAAATTTTAGCAACAGAGGGCCCATCAATTGGAGAGGAGCTTTTTCCTACAGAGATATTTTCAGCCATCGAGTTTTCAGCTTTGACAATTGATTTTCAGTCAGAAAAAGATGAAGTTTCTTCCTCAAATATCTCTTCCACCGGTATAGTCGCAACACTAGAAGCGACGGTATTCTTCCCACCACACATTCCAATGAGAGAGACATAGAACAGCGCAATGGAGCTATTTTCAAACCGTCTTTTGCTGCGTCCGTTACATCACTATCTTAGATGACTCTGCAGCATGTGGCTTGTTCAATTTCATCTCTCTGTATTATTATGACGACTAGTCATGATGATGACCCACAATGGGAAGTTTTCGAGAGGTATTCCTGCCATGATAACGGTCACTGGCGGCCTCACACTACAAAAGATCAAATTGACTATTTTCTCGGCTGGACGCCACCTGAGTGTGGAGGATAACCGGTCTGAATCATTTGTCGTTGCACAATCTAGGATGTCTTCAGGATTATTGGCTTATCTTGAGTGGAAGAGCAGCGGTCTATGGCTGACTGCTAACAAAAACCTTAAGTGATTATATATTTGTTTGTCATAACGAAAGCGAAACTCTGTTTATTTTCATGAATCTTCTTTAATACCAAATCCTGATGTGGTTAATGTTTGTCGCCCTCGATGTTATGCTCAGGCACAGCAGGCTGCGCAAATACATATAATAGCTAAAATCGGTTTCTACTTTGCTCAACCGGATATCTCTAAAATGCCTTTGTCACGCAAAAGAACCATCAATGAAAAACGCTTCTTTCAAATCTCATTCCATCGTCTAATTTATATGTGTAGCGCTGTCAAGCCGTTTTGAACGCTGTCAAGCGCGCTTTAAGAGAATCCTGTGACTCGTTCCCACCGATGGTACGCAACAACCCACTAGCCACATCATAAATCACACCCTGAACAGTAAGCCCCCGGGTCTCAATCGCATCAATCACAACACTGGTCTCCTTGAGCTTACTGACTCCATCGAGAACATTCAATTCCGCAAGCTTAACAACGGCCTCCGCGGGTTCAAGCCCTTGCAAAGCCTCCAGGTTTTGTTGTCGCAGACGACGCAGAGGCAGCAACCAGGCGTCCAGATTCCCGAGTTTCGCATTACCAAGTGCAGCATTCACACCACCGCAGGCGGTGTGGCCACACACGACGATATGCTTGACTTTCAGGTGCGCGACCGCGTACTCGATCACGCACGCTGAGCTGAGGTCGCTGTAGTGAATGACATTGGCGATGTTGCGGTGCACAAAAACATCACCGGGATTAAGCCCCAAGATGGTTGTCTCCGGGCATCGTGAATCAGAGCAGCCAATCCAGAGGATTTCAGGCTGTTGGCCGGTTGCTAGGGCCGGGAAGTTGTCTGGGTAGGTCGAGGCCCATTCCTTATTCTTTTGGAAGCCCGTGGTGAGTTTGTCTGTACGTTGTCAGATGTTGCTATACTGGCGCTGAAAGTAAAGGGTGCATGTGAGGAAGGAGTGCTGTCGAGGGACACAGGGTTTGGGGCGTTTTTGGATGGATTCCTCCTGGGTTTTGCAGAATGAGGGTACATGATAGTGTTGCTTTTGTGAGGGCGGTGATTATGGCAATGCCTAGCCCTTTTCAGAGTGGCAAAGGATGCAGGATATGTAAAAACAGGAGTGCGCAACAGAGTCTTGCTGTGGGTGGTGACAGAAACCATTGTGCTGAGTCTCCTGACGTCCGGCGACGTCTGATATAGCGCGTTGATACGCTGCAGTAAGGGAGGACAATAATAGCAATCAACAGCAATGACAGAGCACAAATAATATCTGCAACTATTCTAGAATGCAAATTTATGCGGGGGTAGAACCAATTGAAGATGGCAGAAGAGTGATGCGGAAATGTTAAAAAGGCAGAATGGATTGTCCAAAGGGTACAACAAACAGACATACCAGCAGCCATGACGGTCTATTGTTTTCTTTTCGACTGTCAATTATAGCGCCGTAGGATCAATGCAATAATTGTTATGGTATATTGGGGTTGACAGAGAAAGATGCGAGCAACCGACAAATGCTGAATGTTATATGTTGAATGTTGAGTGTTGTATAGCGTGATTGCCAGTCTTATGATCCTTATCGCTTCACCGGCAAAGCAGGCCCTGAACGTGGGGCCAAGGCCCGGCAATCGGCCAATGGTTGCCGGTGGCCAAAACTGACCTGCCATCAACGAGGATATTACGGGTGCTTGGATTCCCTCCTGCATCCGACACTACCTGACAATGAAGACGAAGGTGAAGAGAGAGAGAGGTGTTCATATTTCATGCTGCGACATAAGAGACGCTCATGCATCATAAGGAGCGACAAATTTACAGAGCAATTGGAAAACAAGAAAGCGCCAGACACCGAACCCGCTAACAAACAACAACAAAGTCACCCCATCGATTGTCAATATTTCCAGCTTTTGTGTATATACAGATGCAGGACATCAATTGATGCACCGGGGTATAATATGTATAAGAGAGAAACCATGCCAACATCGAAATACAAACCAGGATGCTGACTGGCGAAACGCTCTAGCGCTTTCTTCGCCCAAAAATGGAGCTAAATCGGCGCCACGACTTACCCTTCATTTTGGGGTCGTCCTCATGTGGTCGTTCGCCGTTGTCTTCCTCGCCAGGCTCAGCCTTTTTGTCAAGGGTTGTCCATTTCTGATCGTGGGTTTCCGCAGCCATGCTATGTCTCTTCTTGGACTTGCCAGACCGCGCTGGGGCGTTCGCGTCGTTCAAGGGGCCAATATCTGATAATGTACTGGATCGATTCGCAGCCTTTTTACGCGTCGAGGAGTCCCGTTGTGCTGGCGCCAGTCGATCTCTCGACAACTCCAGTTCGGAGCCTGGAAAGGTCGATGACTTGGATCGCAGCGACAGCTGCGACTCGGCCAGCGAGTCTCCTCCATACGTGGGATTCTTGGCCCACCCCTCCACAAAGGCGATCCAGATACCGCTGGTCACAATAAGCACTCGCAGCTCTTCTTCTAGGTTGATCAACTCCCGTCGTGATTCTCCGGTAGCCGAATTTGGCGGTGGCGGGGAGCCTGCGTCGTCGCTGGAAGACGGGGCTGGAGGATACGAATACTGCTCAAAAACGTCGATTCCATTTCGGGTCATGGATGCAAGGACGGGATGGCGGCGCGAGTTGGGGTCGAGGACGCTGAACGTGAAGCGTTTCTGAAAGTCGCTGCTATTGTAGTTGTCGCCGGCAGAAGATATGCTGGAGACCCGACGGGTTCCCCTGTCCCGAGCAACCCATCGGACCTTTCGGCGCTGCTGGTCTCCTTTACACACCAGTTCGTACGATCCGTTGGGCAGCGGCGAGCCTTCCCACGACACGCCCAAGCTGGACACAATCTCGACCTTGCACGAGCGTGGTGGGTCGTCTTTGGTGAACGGTTGGCAAACGCAAATCGTCGCGACAACCTCTCGCTGGTCGGCAGACGAGTCCTCTGATGAGATGCTACGGTCGTCATCGCCCAGCCCATGCTGCTCATACATGTCGCTCGTGACAATAACAAGATCGCGGGGACCCAGCCCCCGCAAGCTGGCGAACAGCTTGGGAAATTTGCACGCTAGCCGGGGCGCTACGGCGGCTGGGAGAACGTCATATTTAGGGAATGGTCGCGACATCTGACTGCTCTCATGCAGTTGAAGAAGAAGCTTTGGGCGCAATGTTAGTCGGCGATGGCTCGTCGCCACTGGATGCGCAAACTGGAAGACTGTTTTGGGGCGAGCAGAGCGTTTACGAACGGCCGCGGGACGCCGTACAGTGCTCGTTGGGGTTGTAACACTGTCATTATTGGCATCTCCCTCGTCGCTCGACGAATACACGATACTATGGTGGGAGGATTTGGCAGAGAGGGGAGGAGCAGGGCTTTTCCGTGACGCAGTCGAGTTTTCTGCTGCTGTAGACTTAGAAGACCCGAATGGGTAGAAGTCTGGCATAGACGGCAGGGCCATGAGAAACCCCAATTTCTTCTCCGCTTGTGCTTCTTCTACAGCCTCGGGTTGCGAAAATTCGTGTCGATGGGCTGCGGCTGCGTCCGCGGTGAAGCCGAGATTAAATAACATCAAGTCAACCTCGGCGCAAAGATACACAGGCACCCACGATCACGTAGCGAAGTTGAAGTGGCCAGAATTGGCCCCAGGAACATGTTCAGTTTACAGCCTGGGCCACCAAAGATGTGACAAGCGATCTGGTCGGTCCGGTCAAGCAGGATACATCTGTATCAGTGACAGGGTGAGTGGAGAAGCGATGTATATATATTTTAATGTAACGTTTGTCTCTATTCAATTAAAGATCTGTCAGTCTTGCTCGTCGGTGGGAGAGTAGTTCTTGCTATAGGCATATTCATGGTTTTAAGTAGGATCTGAAGAATGCAAGGGGTGGGGGGTCACGGAGCTGGAAGCATGGCGGGACAGTGCTGTTACACAGCGCCCGAGAGTGAGATTGCGTATGCCCAGAAGCACGAATGTTGTATACGGCGTATCCGGGGTAAGGGGAGTTTACCTTGTCAGTAGGTGATGGACGGTTCGATATTAGGGCTGTTGAATGGATCTACTCTAAAAAAAAATAAAAAAAAGGATTCAAAATAGCAAACAGGCACATGAGCAGGCATTATTATTATTATATAAGTGTTAGTTCAGGATAGGCAGGGCCGTCAACCACGTAACAAACTCTGATCTTCTTCACAGCGCCAAGAATCCACAGCCGGATCATCGAGGCACTAAATTCGGCCGAGCAGAGGAGTGTTACGGAGCTTCGGGACCCATTAACATTCTGGTCGGGGGTCCAATTTTCCGTATCCGTATTCATTACTACTCACAAGGGGCAAGTCTGGGCTGGGCTGTTAGGGAAAACCCAAGAAGAATCAACAGCCTCGCGGGATCCGCACGGCTTGTGAGGGCTGAGAGGGCTGAGAGCCTGAGAGGTTTATGTTGGATGTTGTTCGCATAACGCTTTGCTCTTATTCGCAGAGGAAAGTTTAACACGCATCAGAGTTCGGTCCAGCTAGTTAGGCTGCACCTGTTTCACTGCTTGACCTACCCACCCTTCCGTCTGCCGCCGGCCTGCTAGACATAGCATAGCATACACACGCAAGTACTGGATTCTATTCTTCTAGCAATATTCAGTGTGGAGGGCGCCAAGACCACGGAAACCGTCACCGAAATCCGAACGCTGGGCAGGAATTTTCTCCATTGGCTGGATTGCGAACCGGTGCTACTAATTAGCCAGCCTGGTTAGCACTCGTACGTAAGAGTCGGTAAGACAAGGGGAGCGCTGTAGGGGCGGCCTCCTTTAGCCCCTGTTAAGTCAGTCATCCGGCAGCCTGGGAAAAACCCAATCCTTGACTCAGTATCCGAGTCGGACAGCCGTTTGCAGAGCAGGAGGCTAACTTTGAAGGTGCAAATTGGGACACAATGGTGTGCGGATATTCCGTTACCTCCGCCCATACAGACGCAGTCCCCATACCGCGGGCGTCATGTGACCCGTCACTAGCCCGATGCGGCACGCTCAGCGAGCCGGCAGCTTCCGTTTCCGACAGCTGACCTTCTGCTCGCTAATCACATGACATCGTCCGCGTTTTGTCCGTCAAGATAATCGCACTCATCTCGCAAATCATGCCAGCCAGAAAAGAGACAGACTAGTGGCCAAGACTCGGTGGTGGTGTGTGACAGTCACTAGCGAGGTGTGGGCGTGTCGATCACTGGCCGCATCCAGGCGCCGCGCCAGTTGCGCCGCCAGTTGCGCTAGGAACAATTTGTCAACAAAAGGTGGTTTATGTTAGTTAATATTCCACAACTAACTAATCACTGATTATGGATTATGCTAAATCTTGCCTAGTATCCCGTACTTTGTACTATGTACTGCGCTATGTAGTTGCATGTTCTCTAGTAGTGGCAAAGACCAGACCCTCTAGTGCCGGCGGTCGGTCGTCGGATAGAAAATTCGAGATCGTCTCGGATGCAACTTTTATGCACAGGTGCCACAGAGAGGGTCAACTGGAACTTTGCCACGCTTGTGCTAAGATAATAATGTCGATATGAGAGAGCATTATCATGCTGCCTTGTACTGTACATACCTACTACCTGCACCGTGGCGGTGTGAGCCTGCTCTGGTAGTTACTAACCCAAGTTAGTTACTGGTTACGAGCCACTTTTGTTGTAGTCTGTGTACACTCACGGCCTTAGGCAGCAAGATATCCAATAACCACCGCTAAAACAAAACTATATCAGCATGTTCATTATTTCGCTCTTGAATGAATCGATGATATCCAGGCAGAATAATTTCCAAGACTACGAAACGGGTTAAATCGACGTATTCGTATTCGTATGTTTATCCCTATTTTCACCTGAAACTATGGCGTGTTTGATCTAGTCTATACACGCGTATAACTTCAGAATGTTGATATTAATATTATTATCAATTATATATCTAGGTGTCAAACATGTAGGCAACAGTTTCCACGAGATCAATTGATGCCTGATCTCTGGGACTTGATGCCAATACTAGTTAACACCAGGCATGAATGTTCGTGACCTGACATTGCCATTTCCACATATGTAAACAGTATGTAAAGCAGTACCTGCGTCTAAACGCAGACGCATGAGAAGGTTGAAGAGTTTGGATTAGACACAAGGGTGAACGAGCACCAGATCGATGTTGGAATGATAGAGTACTTCCAAGGTCTCCTACCTAACAAATTCTGTCTTGTTTGATGAATATAATATTCAGATAGTGGCCTATGTCGTATTATATAATGGCTTCAATGCTTATGCCAGCTAACCACGTGGCACAGAGACCAGGGCACAATTCAAGCAGGGAAGCTACCCCGGCTGACACACAGAAGGAGCGACCGGCCAGTATTTTCTATTGCGGTGTTGTGGGTACTATCCATTCTTATAAATTGATATAGGTACAGAAATGATTCCTGTTTGTTTTTCTGTGAGAAGGTCGGTCGAATACAATGCTGCTGCAGTTGAACGCAAGGCCAGAATTACACAATATGATTAATTGATTGTCGCGTCTCCACCGCGCCGAGCCGCTTTTAAAGTTATTCCCCACATCAGCTCCCTTTGACGCCGTCCCATCGGCTTAAGACAACACGTCTGGATAAAGCCCATCGATACTGGCTCTGATATGGATCTTGCTCAAAAACCCGACAATTCTCCAGCACAGCGTGCTGAGGGCAAGCCAATCGCGACTGGGTCCACGTACCTCCAGCATCCGATCTGGAGCCTCGCCGGCTTATTCTTAGCTTGGAAGCTGTTTCTCTTCGTAGTCGTCGTCAATTGCCCCGGCTTAGGCTATGACGCCTCGACAAACCTGCTGACCGTCTCTGAGACAGATGAGCCTGTCGCGTCACTGGCAAGGATCTTGAAGTTCGTGCGATGGGATTCCATCTATTTCGTTCGCATTGCCGAGCGGAACTACCTTTTCGAGCAAGAGTGGGCATTTCCCTATGGCCGCGTGCTACGTAGCTTGACCTCTGGTATATTCTCCCACAGGCGCGTCTACAGGTCTTCAACTAACTACCTCTCCAATAGCTCTCGGTCGGTCAGGTCGCACTATCCACCCACCAGAAATCGCAGTCATTGGTATTTTGCTCTCACATATAAGCCACTTTCTGTCTGTTCTGGCGCTCTTCAGTCTTAGCAACACTGTTCTTGGCCATGAGACGTCCCGCCAAAGGGCTCTATGTTTCGTTTCTGCTGCTCTCCATGTCATCTCTCCGGCGGGTGCTTTTCTCTCGGCCCCATACGGAGAACCGGTGTTTTCATGTTTGAACCTCTCTGGATTCTACGTATACGCGTTGGCTATTTTCGCTGAACAGACCAGAAACTACAGCCGGCGAGACTTGTACTTTATCGTTGCAGGTGTTTTATTTGCTGGGGCTACTCTGATTCGCGGCAATGGGATCCTAAGTGGCAGCCTGTTTGCTTACGATGCTGTTCAAGGAGCGATTTCAGCTTTGACTGGAGGACTTTCGTTCGGCCTAATACGTCGGACAGTATATGTGGTCATCGGGGGCAGTATTATTGCACTCGCAATGGTTGTACCTCAATACATTGCGTTTCAAGAATATTGCCAAACAAATCCAGATACGGTACGCCCATGGTGTGGACGGCTTTTGCCCAGCATCTACACCTGGGTTCAGGCTCATTACTGGTGAGTTCTGTAACCACCCGCTTAGTGGAAGTATGCTGATGTTGTCCTAGGAACAACGGTTTCCTGAGATACTGGACGATTTCTAACCTGCCACTATTTCTTCTCGCAGCTCCTATCCTATCGATCATGTTCTACTCGTCCATGGTGGCGCTCTGGGGACGCCTAGGGCAGTCTTCCTCTGTGTGCTGGAGTCACGTGCCCCAGGAAACGATACTTCGACGGTCCATTGTGGTTCGCCTTGCGATTCCGCAGGGGATACTGGCCGTCATGGCATTTACCAGCTTTCATGTGCAGATCATCAATCGGATCTCCTCTGGCTACGCGGTGTGGTACTGGTACTTGGCCTCGGTTGCATTTGAGTCTCCAAGCCGACGAGCATTCGGCGTGATCGTGCAGGCGATGGTAATGTACGCTGGGATCCAAGCTGTTCTTTATGGATCTTTCCTGCCACCGGCCTAGCGGGAAAAGCGAAGGGGGCTATTAATAAAAATGATAATAAAAATGATGTCGTCTGATACTGTTCTTAAGATTGCGCGTCACAGTGGTGCCTGTCGACTCTGTGCCAAGACAATGCAAGCACGGACTGGAATTTGCATTTGGCCCCGGACAAGCTCACCGAGCAGCAGGCCGACTAGGCAGTAGAGGACGCGAGAGCACAAATGCAATAATCAATAATTATATAAGGGAGACAGACACAGGCAAACAATCGCAGAGCGCCTCTCCTGTCCGTGTTGCTAGACCCTACTTCCGTCCCGTCCATGTACTGTGGTCCGTGACCATAGCATTATGTCATCCAGCTTCGGTGGGCTCGACCATCCCCCAGCCCAGGCCAGCAGCCACTAAGCTGTCCCTAACATAGCACTAGCACGCACTGGCAGTGCCCTCCGTCACAGCCTCACAGCTCCCCCCCAGCTCTGTACCCAACCCCATCCACCACCACCACCACCTCCTTACAATCAGCCCTCTGCTTGTGCTATTCCTATCGATTTCTCCCCCTACTGCACCTCTACGCTGGTGTCGTGAGATGCACCCCCCGTATCCTTCTCCTGCTGAACCCTGCTACCATTAGTTTGGCCGGCGTGTCTGTTCTGTCTTCCTCCAAACTCCAATTCTTGTTGATTACCTGACGCCACCCACACTCTCGCCCCGTCATCAAAGCCACCTCCGCACACAGCCGATGCAAACAAGGCTGAATTAATCAAGTTGGGAGTAGACTATCTCTACGCATTACCCTTCCTCGTTTGTTGGATGAAAGGTGTGTTCGTCTGCGAGCTTGATCAAGGAAGGCTGTTGGACTCTCGTGCGCTGACCGTCTTCTTCCCAGTTCTCTTTGATCGTCACCCTTCGCATTTTATCTCCCCACAAGCCTTGCCATAACGGAACTTCGCCTGAAAGCCATATCCAACTATGGATGGCCCTAATGCACACCGCGTCGCTTCTATCTTAACCTCCGACAACTTTCAGAATGCTGCAGAGATATCCAGAGCGACGTCGCCTGGTGGGCAACCTGCCGAAACAAACGGCGCCAAAAAGGCCAGAGTTAGACCGCGTACCTACCCATACTTTGAGTACCTACCATATGCGACCGAGGATGATAAACAACGAGAAGACAACCTGCATGAAATTCTGAAGTGTCTATACGTTGCAGTGAAGGCCGGTGATTTCAGCCCTGGTGCTGTGCATTGGACCCGGGAACTGCGAGGATGGCTATCACTCAAGTTCGACCCAACAAGAGAAGAGCGCGTGAAATTGGTTAGATTGTACTATGAGTTATCGCTCGCCCCTGGAATAGATCCGAACGTGGCCGAGAGATTTGCAAGCATGTTCATGCTTCTCACAAAGTAGGCTGTACTGTTGGCATGATATAGACGACTTTTTTCACTGACCTCGAATCAACTAGGCGAAAGCATTATCTACGGCCTGTGAAGGATCTCACTCTTGACTGGAAGCCTCTATTCAAGGAATTGAGAACTTTCGTTCTCCCAACCGAGTCCGGCTTAGTCCATTCAACAAACCTCAAACGCAATATTAAAACCCTCACCAAGCTATGTGCCTTTGCTCAGCTCTACTTCGACCCGTGCGAGGTCCCAGCAATGCTGGAAGAATTCCTTCCGCATTACACCACTTCATTTTCGGAAGGTGCTTTCGTCGTCGTGGGATTAATGAACTTACTCCTGCCTACTTCTCCTGCACCCGAATCTAGGGATGATTTGCGGCCGCAGACATACCTTCCTACGTACTTCCATCTCTGGTCTCTTGTCAACCGGTCGAAGACTTTCGATATGAACTTTTTAGATCATTTATCTCGATTGGCTCGGGACTCCTTACCCGCAGGCTATATTCCCTTTGCCGAATATGGCATATTTACGAAAGAGCAATCGTCGCTTATCTTCACTGCAATTCTAAGATTGTTAGAAATCCCGGTTGGCCAGGCTACTTCTCCGTATAGTGCCTTGGTCGACATTTCATCTGGGTTGGGTATCATGCTTGACAGAGATTCGCGAAAACACCCCGTTGCTCATCACATAGCTCGTTGGATTGTGATGTCATTGTCTCCGGCTTGCTTAGAGTCGCAAGATTCTGTTCTAGCACAACTCGAGGGTCTTATTCAAGCAGTTGAGACCTTCTTTCACCCTTCCAATTCCGGAAATTGGACCAAGACGTTGGCACAACTGGTTTATTATTTGGCCGACTTTTTCGTGATGCGTTGGAATCGCGAGCGTAGTGGTGAAATGGAAATACCTCCAGAGAGGAGGTTGAATGAGCCGCTGAAAAAGCGGTTCGTTCTATGCTTGCGCGATGTCATCTTTATGGGCATTTACGCAAAGAGTGGAACGGCTATGAACTTTTCGCTGTCTACTTTGCAGAGCCTGGCTTACCTTGAACCGCATCTCATCCTTCCTGGTGCATTGCAAAGGATTTACCCGTCTATGCAAGGCTTGGTGGAGGTCCATAGAACTACTTCGTCTCTGAGGTCCCTTCAAGTTCTGTCTAGAATCATTGTTCGCACCAAAGGCTTTCGTTGCCACATGACAACACTCCTTGGACTCGCTTTGCCTGGTATCGATGCTAATGACCTGGAAAAATCTATGCATGCCCTTTCTTTTATTCAGGCCGTCTGCTACAACATACCATTCGAAGACTTGACAAAGGGTCGTGATGATGTTAACTGCAGCATGCTAGCAATGCAGTGGATTACTGGTGAGGTAGAGAGGATGGAAATAGAGGGTGCCAGTGTCCAACTCAACTATGACACTGATTTGAGCGACGAGACCGAAGAAATGATTCTTCGTTCGTCTACAGCAGGCTTTGGCGAGTTTCTAATCTCATTCCTGGGTCGAGTCTTTACCCTCCTAGAAAACCTGCCTGATGCCTCACGGGTGCGAAGTGGCTCTCCCGAAGAAAATGTCGTCAATACCCTTCCTGCGACTCTTATGCCGCTATTATCGGCCCTGTCACCAGACCTCTATGATATGGCCCTGCAAAAGGTCGTGGACTTTGTCGCGAACCATGTCATTCACCAGGCTAGGGATGCAATGGCTTTCATTTGTAATGCTGTCTGCAAGGTGAATCCTGAGAAGGCGTTGAAACGTTTTGTGCCTCTTTTGGTCCAGTCAATACGTTCTGAGATCGATGAAAATGGTGCTGCCTCTACGCGGACAACTGGCTCAGAGGTGCTGCCAAGAGACCGAGCTTTAGTCTGGAACGTGAGCATGCTGAGTATGTGTGTTGTTCATGTGGGAAGTGCGGTTTTGAACCACAAACAAGAGCTCCTAGATATTGCCATTTACATGCAAGAGAAATGCAAGGGCATACCGACTATCCACGTGTCAAATTTCATTCATCATCTCCTTCTCAACCTTACTGTTACGTATACTCTGGATTATGGTCTCCTCGAGCCAGAGGACATCAAAGATGGTATCAAATTGGAGCATTGGGGGTACCGGCCAGATCCAAAAAACTTAACCATAAATTGGCATGTACCGAAACGTGAAGAAATTGAGTTTGCAGTTACTCTATTTGAAAACCAAGCAGAAAGTGCTCTGAAACAGCTAACTGCCCTGACTGACGGAACATCTAGCGTCAAACGAGATGGTAGTGGAAAAGAATGGTCCGATGAAGTAACTAGGAAACTCGTGTTGCTAAGACTCATAACTTCTGGCATTTCGGTTCTTTTTGATCCCAAAGCAGCATCCAAAAGTGATGAAAATGGCGTTTCACCCGAGTCGAGCGACGTTGAAATGATCGAGACCAATGGTAATATGTCGGAAAAAGAAGATGATGAAGATGGCGACGCTTCTCTTGATAGTACAGATGAAACAACCGTAAAGGAGACATTTGCTTATCCTACTGGATATACCTTCTCGGAGGATGACCCTTTATACACCAAAATACACAGTATCAGAAGACGGGCCGGTCATGTACTCCATGATGTGCATCGCTTCCTGACGGAGAAGCAAGAAGACGATGTACCCTGCTTCGGAGCCTTGTACACCGCCTACAGGTCCTGGTTTATCGATGTTGGAATCGAAAGATCAGCTCATGTATTAGATAGGGTCACTCGTCTTCTTGCTGCAGACATTCACCCATACAAAGTTAGCGGGATTCGCAAAGACTACCCAAGACCTCTTCTTATCCGGCGTGCCAACGTTTATCATTTACAGCGTTTACGCCACAATGCAGCCCCTCGCCCGAGATCAAAGCTCGATGAAAGGCTGTTCCTTGATTTGGCAGAATCAAGCGTTTCGATTTACACTGATATCCGGCGAAATGCTCAGAATGCTGGGGAGTCAGCTCTCAAAGCTGTTTGGGGCTCTCGCTTATTGGTCATACCACCACTGCTCGCAGCCCTGCAGAAGGCTATCAAGGAAAATGATCATGCGCGGATCAAAGGCGCATTGTACTCGTTACTGTATGGCAGCCTGGCGAAGACTGCGGGACGTCACTGGAAATATACACCTGATATTGTTAGAGCCTTCATCGATGCAAGTAGTGTTGATAAGCCTTCGGTTCAGAAACTTTGCTCCGGGGCAGTTTACCAGATCATGGACTATGGCCGCCCAATGGAGAGGATGGCTGTTCTCAATGAGGATATTATTAACTCAATTACACCGGGCGAGGACGTTGAGGATAAAATAGAGATGAAACGCACCTCTATCGGCAAGAGGCGTGCTGCAACGGAAAAGAAAAAGTCAGAACTTGCGGAGGAGCTTGTGGAATTGGCCCGAACATCTCACTGGAAAATTGCAAGCCGTGCCGCAAGCATCGTTGTCAGCATGGGCTTGAGATTCGATTATATCGCAAGCGATAACCTCGTTGATCTCGTTACATTGGGATCAATAGATACTCATCCAGGGCTTCGAGGAATGTACTCTCAGGCTATGATAGCCTTGTTCACAATGATTGATGTCCGCGCTATTTGTGGCCACAGTTACAAAAATTACATCCTCGGCAAGCAAACTTTCCCTGCCAGGATCCATGTTGCTACAAAGCGGTACGACAAGGGTTGGACTGAAGAGTACCTATCTAGCTTTGCTAAACCTGAGGCCGAGTACTATGTGGATCACGATTTCCCAGGGTGGCTCGTTTGGTCAGAAACCATGCCTGCCTACAAGTCCAATATCAAAAAAGACATCGAATATGACGATCTGGAATGGAAAGTGCGCACCCATATGGGAAAACTTTTTGACCGCGAATGGTTTTCCAAGTTTTTCATGTATCTCAAACAGGAACCTCGCGATGCGTCAGCCGACAAGTTCCGCATGGCATGCGCGATGATGCTGCTTTACGTCTTTGAATTAATGTTCAGGGACGAGCTTACCACGGCTACCTTCGATGAAATTAAAGAAGAAATCGAGTTGGTGTTTGAGGACGGAAGTGACAAGCACCAGCATCGTGCCACAGCTGAAATCCTAGGTGCATTGCTCAGTTCTGTGACAGATATTGATGTGGAGAAGAGAACATTGGTATGGGAATATGCTTTCCCCATGGTACGGAAGATTTTCACAGATGGTCTTACCCCTGAGAATTCTGGCTACTGGACGACATTCCTTCATATGGTTCTTCAGTGTCGAGATCCCCGTCGTGCTTGGCCTTTGGTCGATTGGCTAGCCGACTTCCGGTTAGACATGTCTTCCAATGCTGCGTTCAAGGAAAGCTCGAGGATTAGCCTACTGCATCAGTGCATCATAGATGCAGGCTGGCATTTCCAATTAGAGAAGCCTATTGTCGAAGACTTTGTCGCCCATCTTGATCATCCATATAAAGGCGTCCGAGAGGCTATGGGTCATACTCTAGGATCAATTTACCGAACCAGATACCATGAGTCTCATCCCGATGTCGACAGTCTTGTCAAAGCCCAAAGTGCTGCATCTTCCATCGGCACATATCCATATAAACCATCTGCAGACTTTTCAAAAATGATGAGAGGCGTATTCGAAAGATTGAAGGTATGGCGCCAGGAACGCCAGCCAGGCCAGCAGACTCCTTCTTCCTATACATCTGGCAGCAAGACTGTATTACTTTGGCTGGACTCAACACTATCTTCTCATGAGTGCACACAGCTTGTGCCATTCTTTTCTGAAGTCTTCACTGAGGAGCTACTTCACATGATGGATATCAAAGAGGACCCGGAGCTTCAATCTCTAGCATATCATGTTTTCCGACACCTCCCCAATATTCCTTATCCTGCAGAAGAAAACTCACCGTTTGTTGACAATCTCATCCACATTGGACAGCGTTCAACGTTGTGGCATCAGCGCCTTCGGGTGATGATTAATATGCAAATTATCTATTTCCGCCGTCTATTCCTTTTGTCTCCCGGTGATCGCGACAAATTGTTTGAGTGTATCGCAAACATGCTTCAAGATAGTCAGCATGAGGTTCGGGTCGGCGCGTCAGCCACGCTTTCAGGCATGATTCGATGCTCTCCCGTGGCACTTCGAGATTCATACGTCAAAAAGTTCCAACAACGATTTACAGAAAAGTTGGCTAAAAATCCTCTACCTAAGAAACCAAAAAATCACATTGGCAGATCATCAGCTGCATCTAGTCGAACAGGAACTCCTACTCCCGAGCATACGAGACTCATCATCACTCGTCATTCTGCCGTCTTAGGTCTTGGTGCGTTGCTTCAAGCATTCCCTTATGCGAGCCCGCCTCCAACATGGATGCCCGACGCCTTGACTACGCTGAGCACGAAGGCTGCCAACGACCCCGGTGTTGTTGGTCAAAGCGTAAAGAGTATTATTAGCGAGTTCAAAAAGACCAGACAGGATACTTGGCACATTGATCAAAAGGTCAGTCTACAATACTCTTCTTCTTATCTAAAGACAGCCGCTGATATTTTTATGATTTTACCAACAGGCATTCACACCTGACCAGCTTGAAGACTTGGCTGGAGTCTTATGGAAAAGCTATTTTGCTTAAATCCATCCTTGGACTTTCTTATCGGCCGTCAATCTAATTTTACATAGATGCTTCCCAGAGCGAGAGGATAATGAAGGTAGAGTGTGTAATAATAAGTGCTAAAAATGTACGAGGCAGATTTAACTTGGGACAGCGAGCTTCACCTTACCTTGTAAAAAGTAGGCTATTTGAATGCAGCAGCTTGCGAATATATATATATATATTTTGGGGTTAATTGGACTTACCCCAATTATTGTCATTTTTCCCCTATTCGACTATATGAATTGATGTATAATCTTTTTCGTAAAACTTCTCAAGTATTAAAAAAAACTCTAATCTCAAGATGTGCCTAAGGACTACACACCAATCGATTAACAAAAAAAATGAATACGATTTCTTTGACAAAGCAGAAATAAAATCAAAAATCGCAAGTCAAAGGACCATTAGGCACGTATGATTAGAAAATTGATAATGGACTTTAGAATAATGAAACAATCGTAAACCTCACGATCTTTGCTCTCTTAAGAATGTGGCTTGCTTGTGGCGCAGGAACAATTATTAATGGAACCAGACTTTTCCCGCCCTTCCGTCCTTGCTTACTTGTGTTCTCGACACACTGTAGACTGCCTTGCTTTATTTTCTTTCTGTCTTTCGTTTTTGTATTATTGCCATTCATTTTTTTTTTAAATTTCTATCTGTCTAATACGCTTTGCTCCTTTGTTAATTTGCCCTTCGATTTGACAGTCATATGAAACCGTTTTCTTGATGGCTGGCCATTTTAGCCCAGCATCGGCACCTTCCAAACATCTTCAAAAGTGCTCGCTGTGAATGTAAGCAACTAGAAAATTTTCAAAGCCAAAGAAATATGGCTCATCGCATCCATGCTGGCGGTGCAGCGAGCTATCCTCTACTTGATCCCTGGTCCCACGGGATTGGCGTGATAAGAGAAGTTTGGTCCTGTTGGTCGGAGCTCGATATCACACATATCGGATCCCTTGTCGCTATTGCCGGCGTTGTACCAACGGCGTGGAGATTCTTGCAGCGCACATGTACTGAGACATACGGCTGGATTAGGCGTTGTTTCGTGGCTTCGGTTACAATTCCCGGAGGTGATCCTCTTAACAGGAGCGTAGTGCAATGGATCCTGTCCAACCGGTCACGGCATTATCGATCCTTCACGGGTCGTACAGAAATTGGAAGTGCTGGTGTTGACCGGGCTGCTACTCTCAGGAAAACTCGCCACGCAGTCCGCTATTCGCCCCATTGGGACACGAAATGGCTCTGGTATAGAGGTAATGCTATTCATGTAGTGCGTGCAGCTGGGAACTGTGGTGTGTCCATGTCTGATCCGAGTTATGACGGAATCGGAGGCGAGGAAATTACAATAAGCTGTTTCGGTTGGTCAGCAGAGCCTGTCAAGAAGTTCATTGAGGCCTGTCGTGAGTATGCAGATAGGGAGACCCAATTTTTTGTTATTATTTACGCACGGGATCGGTACGGGCTAGCATGGAAGCCAAAAGCCCGCAAGCCGATCCGACTGCTAGAAACCGTGCACTTTGATAATCAGCTCAAGCAGGAGCTGCTCGCCGACATTCGAAATTATCTCGACCCCAGGACTCAGAGACTTTACCAGAGCCGGAGTATGCCTTACCGCAGAGGGTACCTATTTTATGGTCCGCCAGGAACTGGCAAGTCATCTCTATCGCTCGCCATCGCGGGTGAGTTTGGCCTCGACCTCTACGAAGTCAAGATCCCCAGTGTCGCTACCGATACAGACCTTGAACAGATGTTTCAAGAGATACCGCCAAGATGTGTTGTCTTATTAGAGGATATTGATGCGGTGTGGGTGGACCGCTCAAACGTCCAGAAAAACGACCATGAAGGAAACCACGTACCAAACTGCACCTTGTCTGGACTTTTGAATGTCCTAGACGGTGTTGGATCGCAGGAAGGTCGCATTGTCATCATGACCACCAATCGGCCAGAAGATCTTGATCGTGCATTGGTCCGACCCGGCCGCGTAGACACAAAGGTCTATCTCGGAAACATCAACCGGAAGTCCACTGAGGAGATGTTTCTACGCATGTTTTCACCTGATCTAGGCTGTTCTTCACAGCTGAATATGGATGAAATCCAAGAGCTTGCTGTTGAATTCGCCAGCCACATTCCAAACGATACATTCACCCCTTCATCTCTACAGGGATTCTTCCAGCTGTACTTGAACAGCCCTCATGACGCTGTTTCAAATATTGGTGAATGGGTCAAGAGAGAACTTTCGAAACAGCCGGATAAAGAATTTGAGGACGTATTTAATGAAAGGAAAATATAAATAGATTGTATATTATATATAAACCATTATCGTTGCCATTTAGACGCAGTATCAATAACAACTTCATGATAACATTCAAAGTGTAAGTGACCAGCATTACAGACATATCTATATCAAAGATACGTGTAGCGATATTGAAGGCATCTGCCACATTATTGGAAATTAAAATCTGTACCCCCAATTCAATGTATATTATATATAATAGTCTACTAGATAATGTCCTTTTCTACTAACGACAAAGATACATACCTACGTCGTTAGTAATATACAATTGGCAGTTGTAATGTCAAAGACGTGACCTGCATGATTATAACAAGCCAACTCAGTCATTTCATACCCGTACCCCTCGGTTACTTGATAGTGCTTCACTTTCCATTGCTGCTTGTGCCATCAGTGCAGCACCCACCCCGGACCCGTCCTTAGTGAGGCCTATGCGCACTCGTCGCTCACCATGGTGACCAATTTCCGGCACTTCACGCATTGCACCACGCATTTCTGCCTCGAAGTTTGGGTAAAATTCAATCAGTGAGCCATCAGCGCCGATGTCAATCACATTCTCTTCCAGACGATCATTGACTGGCTCTGGTATTTGCTGGTGTCTGATACAAGGTATCGACGTTCCTACCAGCGAGTCCATACCAAGCAGCTGGAGAATTCGGCGCCAGACAAGTCTCAAACGCCATGTAAAGCGTTCTACGCTATTGATAGTCATATCTAAGGCCGCCGGTGTCTCATACTCCTTAACTTCGGTATCGTGATATTTACCTTCTTTATGGGAAGCTTCAAGTCGACCGCTTTGTATGATAATGGCTGAAAGTGATGCGCCTGCTAACCGTCCGGCTCGCCGGACAATGCGCGTGGCCAACAGTTGAATGGCTTGCGCATCTTCTGTAGCAACGTTTTCTGTAGCAACGTTTTCTGCCATCAACGTTTCTTGGATGATTTTAGAAGCGTTTGTGGTGTTTTTGGTTTTAGCAATCGCGAGTTCTGAGAGAAAGGCGCTATTGATGCCTTCCTTTTGGAAAATCGGAGAATTTTTGTTGAATTTCAGGTTAAAAGCATCGACTTCCAGCAATCGCAGAATCGTCAGCCGTAGCAACTCTCCAAGATACAACCCGGAGACCCTTTTCTCCAGCATTTGAGCGCCTGGATCAGTCGAGTCCTTGTCAAGTTCGTCGTCGAATGAAGTTCGCGGTAAGACATCCACGTTATTGTCACCAAGGCAACCCCATTCCGTATTGATCACCATTATTCCACGGTGGTCCCCTTGGATAGCGAGCCTCTGAACATTCGACAACTTTTCAATGTATGCGGCATTAGTGCCAGTCCCAAAAATGACTGCGCCTAGAGTAGAGTCTTTCGGATGTGAAGTGTAAGATCTTGTTAACAAAGCTCCCACGCTGTCATTCGCGAGAACAGTTACCAGAACAGGCAATCTTAGCTTATCGATAGCCTCTTGCAACATGACACAGGGATCTCTGCCAATCGCTTCGGGTATATCCCAGCCTTTATCCCAGTGTATTAGAGTCCCTCCCTCGAGGGACGTCTGCTCACAGGTAAAACTGAAAGTGAACCCTAGTCTATACGGCGAATGATCAGTAGCCCTGATGTTCTTGCAATCCTGGTCTGGGTGCGCAATGAGGAAATCCGATATCTTTTCTGCAATAAAGTCGAAAAGAGGGTGATAACTCTGGTTTACCATGACATCGGACGGCACTTTATGCTTGGACTGGGTCATGGTAAATGTAGAATCTCCATTCAGTTTGACGAAGCATATTCTACAATTGCTGCCGCCGAGATCGACGGCCAAGAACTTTCCCTTCTCCGTTCCTGTTGGTACCCTTTCCACATATGCCGGTAGCTGCCAGGCTCGGCGATTAACGAGTCCATCTTCTGCAATGTTATCAGCACCACACCGGAACGAACCCTTATCAATACGTTCTTACTCAGTTGATGGACAAAGTGCCTAGTCACTCGTCGAACATGATCAGGGCTGAGATCAAAGCCGCGAGAAATTTGTTCTGCCTGGGCTAGGAGGCTGGATCGCTCATATACGCTTCGAAACATGACCGATGATGGCGACAACAGTCAAGAGAAAGGGAGACGGGGAGAAGGATAAAGTCACCCTTTTGAGAAGCCAAATGAAGTATTAGGCTACCAACAACCATCCTGCCGTCATCACCTAGAAGGTCTCTCCCTTACTTTAGAGATGATGCGAGTTCTGGCAAATTTGCAACTGCATGCCGTGAGATTTGGCGCGGATACAACATCGTCTCGAAGTTCGGTGAAAGATTGCCGACGAACGCCGAACAAGACCGAAGACACCCCCAGGACTTTCAGTGTTGGGTTAGCGTGACCGATCTAAGATGGGAGGAGGCACGCACTAGCCAGATTATCCCAAATAACATCTGCAACTTCTGTACCTTCCAGTACGTAAATCAGAAGCTGTTCTGGTGTGTCTTTTTGACGGGATCTTCTCCAATACTGGCTGACGTGTCCAAGCCGGGCTTTCCGGGCAAGATCGGACGAACTCCGTACATGGTGTTACGAACTGAGGCCAGTTAGTTGGCTACTGGCCAACTTCCAATTGGGGAGAAGGAAATTGGTTCACAGTCAATTGTTGTTACATGTAATTAGTCAGTAATCATGAAGTTGGATTAAAATCAGATCGTAAATTACGATGTTGAAATTGCCTTTGTATTAGTCCGTATTAGGATTAGCGTTTCTGGGTTATTTCTGTCCCCAAGTGAACTTCTCCAGCAGAGCATCAACAGTCTGAGATGCTGACTGAAAATCGGCAAGCTCAATCCTTTTAGCAGACATGTCCGCACATCAACGAGATCATGTTGAAAATGGCGATAGTCGTCATGGTCGGCCGGCGAAGCACGCTGTGGAGCAAAAGGCTCGGAAGGCTTGTAGTCAGTGCCTTTCTATCCCCAAGATTGACTGAGCAAGAAATTTATATTGATGGGCACCTTGTTTTGCAGTTAATTGCAGACGGCAGAAAATGAGATGTATTATCGAAGGTAACGATGCATGCCGTCGATGCCGCCGGTCCGGCCTTCCTTGCATCTTTGTGCCGCGTGCAAATGCTGCAACGCTACCAGGTGCTGTGACTGATACCAAAGATGTCGATTTTAAAACGGATGTTTTGCGTAGATTGAAGGTAATTGAGGATAGCCTTGGGATCTCTGTAGCGGATGGGATCCTCCCTGAGTCTGCAATTCTTGACGGCGGATCCAATGACGGCGAGGAGCTCTCGGTGGAGTTCAGCAGCTTAGGTGCTCTATGGGACGCAGCAGAGGTGCTCCAGTCAAGTGCTCCCAGCTCAGTTCCTCAATATATATGGCGTAAGAGCACCATTAAAGACCTTTGGCTGTCGTAAGTTGATAAACACCCGCTTGACTAGGTCAATTCGATCTGATCATTTCAGTTTTCATGAACGAATGCCAGGGCTGCATTTTATGCACCGGAAGCAAACATTTTCTGCGCCACAGCCTCTACTTCTGGCATCAATTTTGTATTGCTCAAGCACTCGTGGACCCTCGGAGACGCAGGGTATTGCGCCTCATTACTTCGCTGTCCTTTGTAATGCAATCGCGCAGCTGTGCGTTCCCGGGAGTGAAGTCGGCACGGTACCACAGGATACTGAAGAATGGGCCTTTCAAACTGTACTTGGTATTGTGCTCGCTGGACTCCTGAATGAGGCAATTGTTCGCGAGACAGGGGTTTGGATTTCGATAGCCTATCGGCTCATTTTGGAACATTGTCCTGCGCATATTGACGAGACATCGCGGGAATGGCGCAAACTCTTCAGTGGAGTTCAGATAATTGACCTTGAACATGCCTCTCTCCATCTATCTTGTCCCGTGATACCGATTGAGTCACCTCTACCGGGACTGCAAACGTCACATCGAGACCAACTTTATAGACTATCTCGTATGATGCATACTGGACTCACCCATTTCACCGGGCGAGGATTACCGACAATCTGGTCTTGCTTTACCGGCCAAACCTCGGCGGTTGTGAATCTGGATAATAGATTTACACCTGTCGACGCCGCAGTGATAAGGGATTGGGCTAGACAACTCGATGAATGGCTAGTAGAGTTTAGTCAAGATTCGGAAGGCTCGGAGCAGGAGTTGAGGGCTGTTTTCCGTCAATACGTATTACATCGATTAGTTGTTTTATCTATCTACCACCCTGCGAGGGGCTGTGATCTGTGGTCCAACAGTACTACACCTACGGAACAACATGAATTGCTCCTTTCAGCTCGAGCGACACTAAAGCTACATTTACATGATGACTCCATTTGGGCCAATTGGGATTTGATCATGATAACTTGGGCCGCACTTATTGTTGTACAAGGTATTGAGGGTGGGGCCGGTGAGCCTGACGGTAAGTTATCCATTGTACTTATCATGGTAATGCATCGCCGACTAATAGTGACCCAGATGTTGCAAACATACGAATACATCTCGAAATGTTGAAGCAGATGAATAAGCCGAAACCCAGCCTCTGTGATAAACTAATAAATCGATTGGAAGGTAGCCTTGCCAGTGTGCACACACCCGTGTCAGCAGATTTTCAGCATAATTCATTTGAGAATTTGGATATGGGTGCTCATATGGACCAGTCATGGCAGATATTTGACCATTCTAGCCTTCATCAAATGATGTACTACGACTGGGCGACTCATGAACAAAGTCTCGATTAAGTGAGCGCAAGTGGTATAGTTGCCGACCTAGCAGCTAAGAACTTGAATTCACCAATACGTGATGACATGCTATCTGGGGTTAGATCGCCTGTTTGAAACTCTTTCGATATTGACGCATTATTAGGAGTCTCGTCAGGGGTTCTGAGGGCTGAGACCCCCAGCTCCTTCTGTAAAATGGTTCGTTCCACGCTCTTGAAGTACTAAAAGCAAAGTCAGTCTTGTAACAATGCCGTTTTAGGAATTGAGAAACTGACTTTGACTGTTTTCACTCTTAGTTCTAGAGTGGCATCCTCATCCACCACCAGTGTACTGCATGGATGGAGTTGTAAACAGGACAGGGTGCACATGTGACTCACGCCGCTCTCAACTGCTTGTTGAATAGCGAGCGACTTTGCCGTTCCCGTTGCAATGATAATTACCTCCCGTGCCTCCATAATAGTTTGCACACCGACTGTGAGGGCCATGCGCGGCACCAAGTTTAGATCGCCGTTAAAGAAGCGCGCGTTGGCAACTATCGTTTCATAAGCCAAGGACTTGACTCGAGTACGACTGGCCAGGCTCGAGCCAGGTTCATTGAATGCTATATGCCCATCACTTCCCACGCCTCCGAGGAACAACTCAATGCCGCCGAGAGCTTTGATCTTGGCCTCATATGCAAGACACTCTTCGGCTAGATTAGCTGCATTGCCGTCAAGGATGTTGATGTTTTTCGTGTTGATATCAATGTGCCTAAAGAAATTCGTGTACATGAAGGAGTGATACGACTCTGCGTGGTTTCGTTCCAGACCAACATACTCGTCCATATTGAATGTCACAACATTGCGAAATGATACCCTTCCCTGTTCATATGCCGTTATCAAGGCATGGTATATGGGCAAAGGGCTGCTTCCTGTGGGCAGTCCGAGTACAAAAGGACGTTCTGCCGTTGGGGCAAAAATATTAATTCGTTCTGCAACCTATCAGACTTGATCGAACTAAAGAGGTACTTGAGACTTACTGGTTATGTATTCGCAAATGTACTTTGCTACCTCCTCAGAACGATTTCGGATGATGAGTCGCATGTTGCTGGCAGTATGTGAATGAATGTGATGAAGGCAATGTAAATATTGAACCTATAAGGATGGTGGAACAACGTAGTTTTCTTTCCCTTGATTTCCAATCTATATGAATATGGAGTGATTTTGTGGGAGTAGTAGTAGTAGTAGTCATGTATCTAGACAAGAGATATTTGGTCTCTGTGGCTCCAAGAAAGTTACAAGTATAATCATCTAGGCCGGGGTCCGAACCTGAATCATCTTACAAAATATCTATAATTTCCCCATCTTAGGAAAATTATTGATATTAACATCGGATATTCTTTTACATTTCACCATTGATCCACAGAGAGTCTATGCCATACTTCGCATTGAAATCGGTAAATTTCGGAGGACCCGGCAAACCCGGCGAAGCCTCTGCGCAAGACTACGAGGACGTAGAGTTTACGTATTTTGAAAAGCAATGGGATACAAATGATCAAATAAATTACATGAATGGATATAACTTGATGTGAATTACGCCGTCAAGTTTGTGAAGCTTGCACTCAAGCTCGATGCTAGTTATGATAGGCATCCCGACGCGTATCATCATTCCTATAGCTTTTTGATTCTCTTTCTTGTAATAGAAAATATAAATAACGCAACCTTCATAGATAAATAAAAATTATATTAACAGAGATGTTGTAATTAATGGGTGTATGCATTGGTAACCAGGCCCCTGGCCCTTTGCCACCACAGACTCTGGTTCCATACCTCCCCATCCTCCCCTCCAAATAGCGTGCGCCATTTGCACAAGAACCACGGAGCTACCTCCCAGCTGTGCATATCCCATGGTTGACCTTGTGTAGCTCCAACCATGGGGGTTCTGGCCTCATTGCTCGCAGTACTCCAATAGGAAAGTCCATTTTCAATAGCCAGATCATTCTTTAACTCCTGCAAATTAATCAAATGTGGCTGCATGGCCAACAAGGTAATGGCACGAGCCCGGAAAACGGGAAACGGAATGAGATCCATAAAAGCCGGATGTGGACATAACATTTGTGATAGCGTAGGCTTAAGATACCGGGGTCGATGGGCTCGCGACAGCTGCAAGTCTCTTTGGGTCATCGGCCGGCGTTATGGGTCGGTAGAAAGGCGATGGAGCAATTTTGTTGGATCTTGAACATCGAACCCCATGCTTCGAGCATTATGAACACATGCTAGGAGTATATGACTTCGTGAAAAGTGAATACATTCTCTCCATGGGTCAGGTAACTGAGATGGAGATGGTGTAGCCTTAGAAGGGGTAGGTCCATAAAATATGATTTAAATTCCTGCGGCTATGACTTTATTAAGATCAAAGCCTTCAACTGTAAACATCTCATCCTGTATATCTCTATTACCCTGGTTGTCATCTGGAGGAAGTTCTGATCTGGCCCCTGATTGTGACGGCGAGGTGACTGACAAAGGGTGTATGTCTTCAGGGAGAGATGTGATACTTGGGTTTTCCTGTAGCAGAGAAATTTTCGTTACTTTTGGGGATAATGCATTTTGTTCTTGGTGATTGATAGTCTCGTCCGATGTAGAAGATCCGCTAGGAATTGAGTTGATATGAGGTTCAAGACTTTCTAGATTTTCTAGACCACAAAAAATGCTTGAGTTTGTGCCCGAAAAAGAATGGCAAGCAGCAGGTGGCCAGTCAGAGAGGATTGCATGAATATAATCATCTTCATCGGCTAGTTGGGAATTGCTTTGTGCTGTGAAAACGAAGTTAACTGGTGACGATGACAATTGATTTTGCGGAATAATATCGTCTTCAAAGGAAGAATCATTGGTTCCCCTTCCTTCCCATATCAGCTCAGGGTATAAATACGGTGTCACTAGACGGTTCTTAGAAGCATCATCAACATCTCTCGCAATTGCGGTGTCATCCGCTAACTGATATATTGGCTGTCGGCCCTGTTCAGGCGACTGGGCTGACGAGCCTGAGGAACGTAAGCCATCAAGACGTTGTACTGCTCTCTGCCTTTGACCTAGTTTCTAGGTTAGGGTATGAGGGAGAACCAACAATAGATTATTGCACTTACGATAGGCTCTCTGATTAAGTCGATTTTGCTCACGGCGGGCGTTGGTGAGACTACGCTTCCGCACTCTTCTGGCCCCATCTTGAGTACGTCTGGGAGTATTGGTAGTAGTCTTTTCCATTGATCGATATCTCCTGCTACCGTATCCTTGGTAGTTAGCCAAAGCTCATAGAGAAAGTAGCGATGACTGAAGCTTCAGTATGCGAGGATTAGCCTCGGCGTTAAGATGTTTGGTATTTCCAAGCTAATTAATCCACCTCGATGAGGACATAGCTATTTTGCGTAAAATATGGATATCAGGCAAGTATTTGCAGTATTAAGCATTACCTTTGTCTCGAGCTACAGGTTTGTGTCGTGGCTTACAGATTGCACATGATAGTTAACTATGTGGCTTACAGGGTTACTGAAAGCCCTACCCGAATATTCCGGGTCGTAACTATGGAATAGCCGTATTGGAACTGCGAGTAAAGATGATGATATATCCTTTCAAAAGCAGGTTGTAAGTCAGATAATTTATATGCTTATCTATTGTCTAGATACATGTAAGCCAAGTTTCATCGTTTGATATATAAACATATAAGAATGGGAAAGCTTCCCAGCTTATTTCCAAGGAATCATCTATCACCTTATTCCCCTGCTGCTATCTTACACAAGTCATGGCTGCTTCACACCAGAAGTTAATCGTTGTTGTCGGTGCTACTGGAAACCAAGGAGGCTCAGTAGCAAACACCTTCCTCAAACTCCCAACTGGAAAGTCCGTATTACAACTCGCAACCCTTCATCTTCGGCCGCTCAAGCCTTGGCAGCACAGGGTACCGAAGTTGTACAGGCGGATCTTTCTAACTCCAGCACGCTATACAAAGCATTTCAAGATGCAAATGCCATCTTTTTGAACACCGACTTCTGGGGTATTTACTTGTCTTTTGTGACTGCAATGATAACTAGCAAGGCAGATTCAACAGGAGAACAACTTGCTGACCCCAGCAAAGTTGCCTACGAAACGGAGCTCACCCACGGCAAAAATGCTGCTGATGTAGCAGCCCAAGTACCAACACTGGAACGCTTCGTCTATTCTGCGCTCCCGGCAACGACAAAAGTGACTTGCGGAAAGTGTCACTCTGATCATGCAGAGTCAAAAGACGCCATTGTCGAGTACATCGAAAATGAACTCGTCGATTTGGCCAAGAAGACATCATTGATCTATCTGGGCGCGTATAACTCGAATGCATTGCTTAGCCCGAAGCTTGATCCATTACATGGCAAATACAAGTATTTTCTACCCTTCAAGGCAGATACCAAGATGCCAAATCATCGATCCGAACGAATCGACAGGGCCATTTGTGAGAGCTTTAATTGAAGATGAAGCTCCAGGTATCAAGCTGCTGGGGTATAATACTAAAAGCTACTTGAGTTATCAAGAAATTTGTGATATCTGGTCGAGGGCGAGCGGTAAGAAAGCAGGGTACGAGCGAGTGACTGTCGAATTTATTTATCAAAAATTTCAAATACCAATAGATTTGCTCGAGGCAGTCCGGCTCTTGCTGAGTTTGGCTACACAGGATCGATCAAAGTGATTGAACCGAGTGACTTGAAAAATACGGTGCAGACAAAGTCATGGGAGGTGTGGATAATGGGAAGAGGCTCTAAATTAATCTTGGAAGTTGTCTAGTTCAAATTTAAATTCTAGATTGAGGGGGACTCTAAGCACTAATATCTTAATAGGGTTCTTTCGAAATAGTCTTGATATCAATTGACATTGTTTTTATCTATATTACCACATGTGTAGCTATGAATTAGACTGCGAAATACTTTAGATGTCTGTAAAGAAGTTTATAAAGAGACCAAAATATATTGAAAATAATCAAGTGATCTCACAAAATTTCAGCTTCAAGAACGGGTTATATTTTTTATTATAGATTAACTACCCTACAATTATCGAGTTAATCTCCACATGTGCAGATTTATGTTATTCATGATTATATTTTGAAATTCTATTATAACATTTGAAGCTCTACATATGTATGTGAACCTTTAAAATGTTGCTAAAATATCATATATATCATACTTTCCATCAGCCATTTTAAGGCATAATTTGGCCATTTGCTACAGCTAGAAGCATTTTAATCCTCCTTTGCCCGGGCTATCTTGTCCTTATACTTCTTGCTACCCACAAACCACCATATCAATATGAGAATGGGTAGCCCTCCAACCACAACACATGTGTAGTTCATATTCTGCACTGTGACGGGCATGCTGTACGGGAAACTAAAGAAGATGATAGCAAAGAGAAGCCAAGCCACAGTCACGCCGTTCACAAGCCAGCCCCATTTGCCCATGTGGAAAACACCCTTGTGCATATTAGCCCTACCAGTAAGCATATTCGTAGCTATGGGGATCAAGTATGCAACATTGTTGATCGTGACGGCTGCACCAAGCATGCTATTGAATGCCGTGCTACTGCCGAGGTAGATACAACCCAACGCTGCATTCGCGGCGGCGACTAATAGTTGTGCGTTGAATGGGATGCCAAAACGCTTGCTGACACGGGCCCAAATATCGGAGAATGGCATGGCACCGTCACGAGCAAAGGCCCAAAGAACTCGCGAAGTCGACAATTGGGACGAGATGACGCAAGGCCCGAGAGCGATGAATAGAATGAATGTCAGGCCGAAAGCACCGCCGGCCGACTGAGTGACCTGGTGAAAGAGCTCGGCAAGGGGCAGACCGGTGTTTGTAGTCGACAGAGCCGCGTAGTCTTGAACACTGAACATCAGCGTGATGAGATACGTCACACCTGTTCCAAATGCGATGGTCAGGGTGATGGCAATGGCGAGGGGCGCATTTCGGGAGGGCTAGATGATAATCAATCGGTGTCATCGAGCTAAAGCTTTTATATCACTTACATTAGGCATCTCTTCAGTGATATGGGTAACTCCGTCAAGGCCCCCCAGACTGTACAAGGGATTGACAAGACCAGTGATGAAACAGATGACGTTATTCTCCCAGCCAGTGTTGTTGATCCAGTTTCTGAAAACGAATTCATTGGTTTGATGTGTCGGGGCGCACGCAACTACCGTGACGAGAACGACGAGCCAGCCGATTTGGAGGTAGAATAGGGAGAATCTATTTAATGCTGGAATAATCTTGTTGCCAAACAAAACCACCGCAGCTGTCATCAGGTTGAGAATCTGATATATGATGAAAGTCTGCCAGTTCTTGATCACCAGGTCCGGGTGATAGAGAGCATACAGCGCTTGGACTATACCTTCATTAGCAGAAATATCTTGAGAGACGGGTCAGAAATTTGGTAATCACATACCAACTTGGGCAAAAATTAGATTGGTTGAGGCTGTGGTGAAGATCCCTGGCGATATAATCAGTATAGTCAGTTTTTTTCCCCTTTCAATCCCCCCCTTTCTCACTCACAGCCGCAGACTGTCAGCCAACCGGTAATGAAACTCAAGAATGCACTCGACCTCCTAGGAGCAACGGCAGCAATCCAGTGGTACATGCCTCCTTCGGTTGGGTAGCTGGACACAAACTCGGCGAGGGAGGCGCCTAAGAAAGACTGGAGGATCGTGACAAGAATGAAGCCATATATGATGGCACTCGGTCCACCAGCATTTATTTCCGTGACAATACTCAGTCCGAGGCCAGTCCATGAGATTGTTGTTGTCGAAGCAAGGCCAATCAGAGACAAGATGTTGAAATGACGCTTGAGCTCTTGGGTATGACCTTCAATCTGGTAGTTAGCACACGACAGTCATTAAACTGGGGCTGTAGCCGTACCCATCTGAGCCAGTCGCAGCTCATCAGCGTCCATGACAGACGCCTCCTTGACCGGGGCGGCCATATCATCTGAGACAAATTTTTCGGCCATGTTAATCTTTTTTGCTTGTTAGTTTCCCAGGAGGTTCGGTCGATTTACAAACAACCCCAGGCTCGCTTTGCATGCATGGGTGTCAAAGTGATTCGTGCGTCGTGGCGCGTGCCATGATTATAATAGCGATCGAGCTTGAACTGATTGTTAACTAGCTGTTGCACCATGTCATCTTTATCGATATCTAGCTTATGGACCCCATGCGGACCCGTGGGTAAGATTAGCTGTGCCGGGGTATACCGGGCTTCACCGGCGGTTTAGCTCTTGAGACTTGTGATAGCAAACTCCACAACGACACAACCCAAGATCCACATTAATACACCAGGTCGGCTCGCCGAAATCAACTACTGATTAGATTATCAGACCACCCGACAATCTAGTTTTCTGTGTCCCCCGCATTAATTGCGTGGGCTCTGGAAGACATCCGAGGGTTATCTTGAAGTGCCTGATAAAGGAGGCATCATGGAGGAGCCAGCCGGACATCCGAATAGATAACCCTATAAAGCTTGATACTATGCAAGAAAATCTGAATAGTTTGACGTAAATGTAGCAATAGCCTCGGTCTCGAAAACAGGTTTTGATACGACACCTCTTCGCCATGTTTTTCAAGATGAATTCCTTTCCAACCCTAAGACTCGGCCTGTAGAGGACCACTGCGCAATACATATGTATGAAATAAGTAAACACTTACAATATATACAAAATGTGTTCTATATATATTGGCTTTAGATATGGAAAGAGTTTAGAGATCAATTGGTATCGTTGATATCATGCCTACTGAGCTAACGTAGGCTCGAAATAATATAAAATACTATACACATCACGAAATAACGGAGATATAGAAGATATCAAGGTCATAAATGGGGAACATCGTCCGAAAAGCTCTTAATTTTGGTGAACAGAAAGCGAGGATATCTTTACTCTGCAACCCAAACGGCAGCCATGCCCATACCAGTTCCGACACACATACTGGTCACACCAATCTTTTTGTTTGTGCGCTTGAGTTCAGTGAACAGAGTGCTGACTTGACGGGCACCAGTGCATCCAAGAGGATGTCCAAAGGCAATGGCACCGCCCTTGGGGTTGACCTTCTCCAGAGGGAGACCGAGTTCCTTAACACACCAAACACATTGAGATGCGAAGGCCTCGTTGATTTCATAGATGTCAACATCATCCTTAGACAGACCTGCCTTTTCAAGAGCAACAGGGATGGCCTTCCAGGGTCCAATGCCCATGAGCAGAGGCTTGACACCGACAACGCTGGCTGTGACATATTTACCAATGATCTTCTGGCCAAGCTTTTCGGCAGTGGAACGCTTCATGAGAAGAACAGCGGCGGCTCCGTCGGAAACTTGAGAGGCGTTACCCGCATGAATACTACCGTCTTTGGCGAAAGCAGGCTTGATCTTGCCAAGCGACTCGGCAGTGATGCCAGGTCGGACACCGTCGTCGGCCTTGACGGTGATCGTCTTCTCCTCATCAGTCTTGGGGTCGGTCCACTTGACCTCAAGAGGGAGGATTTCCTCGTCGAAGAGACCGGCTTTCTGGGCTGCGAGGGCCTTTTGGTATGAGGAGGCAGCAAAGGCGTCTTGCTCAACACGAGTAACGTTGCGGTCTTTGGCCATCTGTTCGGAGAGGACACCCATGGGCACTTTGCAGTTTGCAGCCTCCATGTGGTTTTCTAGAAGCTCGGAGAATTCGGTGACGGCACCGGGACTTGGAATATCAGTTAGCAATGTGGACAATAAGAGAGAAGCAAGGCAGAGACATACCCATATTGAAGACTCATGCTCTCGACGCCGGCACCGACACCGACATCAATCACACCTGCCTTAATCGCATTGGCAATGTCGACAACGGCTTGCAGGCCACTGGAGCATTGTCTGTTCAAGCTCCGCACAGCGGCAGTCTCTGGGAAGCCAGCAACAAGGGCGGCAGCACGGAACTCGGTGGCACCACCTCCTGGAGGAAGAACGGAGCCGACGGCAATATCTTCAACGAGGCTGGGATCGATTCCGCTGCGGCTGATGAGGCCCTTGAAAGCACCAGCAAGCAAGTCGGCAGCAGCAGTGTCTTTGAATCCACCCTTGCCACCCTTGGTGATGGGGGTTCGGAGCGCGGCAGTTACGACAATATCATCTGGGTGCTTATCGGTGATACTGCTCGATCTCGAGCCAGAGAGGTGTGAAGACACCTGGGTAAGGCGTTGTTGAGCTGCGGCTAGGAGCGGTTCACATGTCAGCGGAGGAGCAGAGTTAGTGTGGGTCATAACGTTGGAATTACCTTGAGACATGCTGGATATATAAAAAACGCGAAACGGTGCAGGATGGATAGATGCAAAGGATAGGAGCAAAGACGATGCGAAAAGAAAGAGGAAAGAGGAATACGGTGCTCGGAGATTCCTTCTTGTATGTGTCGGATCTCGTCTTAGCCGGGCTGGCGCATTATATCATCGATGCCTCGTGAACGCTGGACGCCGCTGCAAAAAAAGCCGAGGCATCCGTATCATTGTTTTTCCGTCCCGCAGAGTCCCGCCACGTGACTCTCTCGATGCGGATTCGGGAACGCGAAGCATGTGAAAGCATCTCGGTAAATGGAGAGAGCGACACCGTTACGATCTAAGGGAGCTTAGGAGCATCTTGTCTGTCACAAGAAGTCCGGCGCTTGCGCTGGACCTTGGTATGTATGTGGCTATTAGTATAGTGACGGTGTTGGTTTACATGGTAGATGCTGGCGCTCTAACAATCACAATCACAATCCCACAAGTGCTTGTTCCCAATTGATATTATGTATCGCCATTATTTTGATTCTTGGTTATCCGTTTTCCTGCCTGGCGGTTTAGGAGTCGAGATGATGGAGTTGAACATGCCGAAGAACTCTTTGCGGAACTAAACACCACGTCAGTACCTGCGAATTCGAATAGAAACCCGGCGCTGCACTCACATTCTCAAAAGGATGCTCTTCACCTTCTTTGTCCCATTTCATAAAGAGCACTGAGTATATAACAACGACTGCCAATTCGTTAATGAAACTGCCACGCTAATCCAAGTCATCAAAGGGTTGAACTAACAGATAATAACACCCCATTGAATGAGCTTCGTAGCCTTCACCCATCTTGGCCGTGCATACTTGAGTGCTGCTCGACGTCTGTATTTGCGCTCTAGTCGGAGTTGGTGCTTTGGCGAAAGTTTGGACATGTTCGGTGGCCATTGCCTCTTGGGCTGGTGCGGGCTGTAATACTCCTCCTCCTCCTCTACAGGGAGATCTTCAGCATATTTCCCATGTGGAGATGGTGCATCTCTTGTGTTGCCATGTCTCTCAGTGGAACTTAATCGAAACGGTGACGATGAGTTTGTCAAATGTGTGGAAGAAAAGGCTCGTAAGGAAAGTGAAGGTCGCCCTAGTCTCGAGTGAAGGACATTATTCTATCTACATGTTAATTCGCCGACCTTTATAGTTTTGATTCTTTATTGATCTCGATAAATGTGAACTGACCTTGGAAAACGTTGATACTTGTAAAGACGCTGGGTGGCGACAGGCGCAGGAAGTGGAGGACTGCGCAAGTGGAAGATAGTATGAGGCCTGCGGACAACTGCGTCGCGTCGCAAAAAAGGTCATTGAAAGAACCCGCCGAGAGATTGCCATTGCGACTCTGCTCTATTGTGATGGGGATTGGCGCTGGTCCTGGCTGTCAACTGGTATTTTTGAACAGTCTGCAAATCCCGTTGTCAGTCAAATTACCTCCGCAGTCTAGCTCCGCACCAAGCTTAACCCTTCTGGGCGATTACTCCAATACTCATAAACGTACTATTTAGAAAAGAGTCAAAAATAAAAAGAACAGAAAAGCTTCATGAATTCATTCTTAACATCATTGTACTCCATTATGTGGTCATGCTGTTATTCAGTCCTGCAAACAGGAAGACAATTACGCAAATCAAACCCTAATCAAATCATTCGTGAATACCACCACACAAGCAGTCAAGTCAGGCTGTGGCAGCGTATGCATATGGATGAGCTTCAAGCCTGTAACGCCATTCCTCCAACGCCAATTGTAATGAGAAATAAAAACACAAAGAAAGAAAGAAAATTCGTTAGTGATATCACCGGGCTCTAGATCCATCCATCTAGATCAGCCTCCTTTGCAGGAGCCTTTTTTTCCAAGTCTATGGCAAGTGCGATTTTTGGAGGTTCCTCGACTCTCTTCTTTTGTGGACTTTTGGTCGGAGACTTGGCAGGAGAACCAGGCTCAGGGCCTTCACGAACAAAGCGATAATCCCAGCCATCCTCGCGAGCAGCGGAGACCCACGTTTTCAAGCAGTCGTGTACGGCGCCATAGAACTTTTCCTTGCAGGTTCGCATGCTGCCGCCCATGACTTTTTCAAAGCCTGAAGCGCGCAACTCTTCGCGCAGAGTGTTTCGCTGCTCCCGAGTAGGTTGACATGCAATAAGACCGTTCATCAGATCAAGATGTGCGGCGAGGTAGTTGGTGGCATCCCATTCCACCCCACCAACATAAGGCGCCGCAGGAACCGGGGGGCGCGGTACGGGAAAATGTCTCTTGACATAGTCCTGTTCCTGGTCTATGATACTGTCATCCCTAGAGGCAATTGGAATGACATTCAAATGGTGCAGAAAGATCCAAAACACTTCCTTGGTTACATTAGTTACTTCCTTACTCCACACACGGTATGGTCGAGGCTGATAGATATTAGCAATGAAATCAACTTGCTGGGTCTCTGGGCAAGGATCGCGCAGATAGGTGAGTATTTCGGATGCGCATTCCGACATTGCCTGTGTGGATGCAGTCGAGAGGTAGGTAAAAAGAAGGCTGATGATAATTCCTCGAGTAGTAAATTCGCTTGGTCCCTTCTTTTCGTCATCAAACAGCATGCTCAGCAGCGCTGGGAAAAGATTCTTCGCAACTAGGGTCAGCCTCTGCAGTGCTAGCGAGGTTGTGCAGAGAGCTTTCAGGCAAAGTAAAGTTTCATGAAGCAAGGTGTCCTCATGGTCCTCTCTGCAAGAAAGAGTCAGTAACGTTCATTTACTATGAGCACACTATTCATACCTCCATTCAACGGCCATGATACGGTAGAGAAGCTGGATAACCTCATCCATACCGTTGTCCGCAATGAACGAATCAACCCAAGAGACGGTTTCGTTTCTAAGAAGCAATCGAAGTTTGTGAAGCTTGCCGACTTCAACCAGCTCTGGCTTTTGAACTTCCCTCAGATAATGGATGAAATCGGCTGGGTCGGCAGATGTGTCTGTGTGGGCCGCAGCTTGCAGAGACGTGACCGAAGCGGACGCTCCTGGCAGCATGGATGAGTAAGGGCGTGCAAGTTCGATAGATTTTGGACGTTTGGTAGAGCTAGTGCTGTCCGATTTCTGATGTTTCTTAGACGGAGACAGGTCGCCTCTTGACATGCTGAAAGGCGATCGACCCCTCGACCGAGAACGAGCGCTCTTATCGCGGCCATGGGACGAATTTGTACCGGCATCCTTCCTACCACGGCGACCAGCACTATCGAAAGTGCTTGATGTAGCTGAATTAGGGCAAGAGCTCTCAGTCCGGTTTTTCTGTATGAAGTCGGCTTTGATGCTAGTGTCCAATGCTCGCATCTTGTCACGCATGTTTTGAGGGATGTTCCGTGCATCCTAGCTATTGGTTAGTTATTTAACACTTTCTTTTAAATGCAAAATCAATGCTCACCAAAAGCTTTTCAAATTCATTTTCAATTTGCTTGGAATCAACAGACTTTCGGTTTTCAGTTTCCTTAGCATTGAGAGCGGAAACAGCAGCCATGACTCGGCTAGAGTTTCTTTTTGAATCCTGGCTAGAACGAACATCCGAAGAGACATGGTTCTGAGAATACTTCTCTGGGTTACTTTGTTTATCAGATGGCATGCGCTGGATTTGCCCCAACATTTCCCGCATTTTCGTTGTACCAGACGAAATGTAATCTGATTTTGGTCGTGGTTTTTGAGCTAGAGTAGGCTGATGGTAATCGTAGAAGTTCCGCTGCTTGGATGGTGAGTATTGTTTTGGCGTATATAGTAACACTTCCTCTTCCAACGACCGGCCATTTTCAGGCGCAGATACGCCGCCTGGTGTATCCTCGAGTGGCTGGGTAGCAAATTGAGCCCAAATGGGAGTGGTAACCTCAGATTTCGGTCGCTGATTCTCTTTATTCTTTGGTTCACTCACTATTTCCCCCTTTCGCCCACGTTGAGATCTCTTCAAGAGAGCTGACAAGCTAGTTGAAGACTTGACCTTTTTCATCGTCCTTCCCAAGCTCCCTTCATCGGTCGAATGGTGGTCCTTCTTCTCGCGGTCCCCGATCAGACCCTTGAGGGAAACCGAGCTCTTCGTCTTCTGGTGCAACCATTCCCCTTTGCGTTGAGGACGAGAGCCACCTGCGGCATCCCGATTATGTGCTCTTTCCCCCAATGGTTGAGCATGCGGATGGTCTGCCGGCAGAAATCCAGAAAAAGGATCTGCTGTCACTGGTTTGGAACGTGCCAGGAGAGCATCCCCAGCGGATGGGGATCTCTTATGTCCTCTCGATGGTAGAATTGCGCGTAGCATTGATGGTTTCGAAGATGCCGGCCGATTGGCATCGTCAAAGATGGCTGGGGATTGGGTGTACAGAGCCATGACGCGTCACTAGAAAGATCAAGCTGCACGATACTAGTCAGATATATGTTTCTCTAGGGGGTAGGATTCATACTTCTGATCGTTGCTCGTGGCTGCACAAACAATCAAGTCCCTTGACGAAGAATCAAATCACGACACAAAAGCAAAAGACACAGCAAGAGCTCACACGAGCTCGAGAAAGGAATCAAACGAAGAGAAGCGAAAATAAGAAGCAATCAAGAAAGAAAAGAGGCTGGAAGAGAAAAGACCATCACCGGCGAGAAGGAAACAAGAATGGAAGCAATGAAGAAGGATAACCAAAGGCCGCAGCGGAGCTGGCCAGTGACTAGAGACGTCAAAGTTATTATAGCCCACTATTATTATTATTATTATTATTCACGGTCTTTGCAGGCAGGCATAGCAATAATAATAATAAAGCGTAGACGAGCTCCGGTTGGCGCCCAGCAGCTGCGAGTGGCCAGTTGAAACGTCCGGCCCCATGCGCGTAAACAGAGGTGGGGAGGAGTTGTTGGGGGCAACCGGGCTGCACATCGTATCGATAAAAAGCCGATAACAACGGCTTCTACGGAGTATTTCTATTTATTAGACTACCACCTCATCTAAATCTTAATTATTATTCCTACGCTTGTCCACTGCTCCTGGCGCCAGTGATTCGGCAGCTCTGATGCTTCATTGTCTTGTCTTTCAGAAATGCTGCTCCATTTATTGCATCTGTATTATGGTTGTCCAGGTCAGGACAGGAGTCAACATCAACAGTGAAGTGCATGCTCCATCTATAATACCACGATTATTTAATATTGCTGTTATTGATTAATAACCCTTGGCTTACCCACAATCATAACAATTAAACAAACAGCGAAGCAGAAATAATAATAACATCATCATTATTATTTTTTTTGCTGTTGCTCAGAGACTTGACTGAGCTATTGGGATCATCGATATGCAACTCTCTGTAATCCTGGTCAGTGGCTTGGTTGGACACCAATTGACCAATTAAGATACGTATTATTCTATTCGCAAGTGATGAGAGATCATGTTGCTGTTCCAAGGCAAGACAGCTGCAGATTGCTGCATCCAGTAATCAGGTGCTGAGCATGCAATGCTGAGATGCCTAACCAACCTAATAATCTGCCCTTGGCCAGGAATAAGACGATAGACGCGTCACGAAGTCACATGAGATATGGATCTCGGCATCAATAAGATTATTGATTCGGAAATTCTTCAACAGTGCTGCGGATGTCACTGACAACGACATGTATCTGACAACACAATGGACCTGAGAATGTCACAAGCTCGTCGAGTGTTAAATTTTGGCGATTTAAATATCGATATGCACCGACACCATAAATTCCCTTGTTTCCTGCGCGCTGTAATCATACATGCCTTGTCGCTCACGATTGGCCATCGACGGCACTGAAGATTCCTGGACGCTTCCGGAATCTGAGTGTCCGGCATATTCGCAACGCAGCCGATTAGAAAAGAGGGGTACCAAGGTCCTCACGATGACGACTGTCTCTGTAAACAACAATGGCGGTGTATACCGGCCCGGTAATGTCTCATCGTGACTTGCGGGTGGATTCGGGCGGGGGATTTGCCCGCAAACTTAAAGCTGGCCACTCATGCAAATTGTCGCCTAGGCCCTGTGGTATCTCGTTCAACAACTATATAACCACTCTGCAGACCTGTAAGCACGCGCCCAAGCTTCGTTCTACTTAATTATCTACGCCGTGTGCTGTGCTATATCGGAATACCATGAATCAGACATCTAGAACAGACGACATCCTCGACAATCCCGGATGGAACCAAAGCCCGCCGTCGCTGAGTGCCGAAGAGACCACAAGGCAGGACCTCAATGGCATCACTAATCGACGGGAGCAAAGAGACCATACGCTCCAAAACTCAGACTGTCAAGACAGACCGACCCAGCTAGAGATGACACCACCCCGCGAAGACACTGCACCCCCGATCCAGGGCGGGAAGGGGGACGAATTCAATGTGACTGCCCCTGTGGTTAACCAGTCGCATCGTCAGGCCAAAGTCTTGACGTTTGAATTCTCAATTCCTCGCTTCCTTCGCCCCCTCATCAAATTTGCTTCCTTTATTGGACCAGGCTTCCTGATTGCCGTCGCCTACATAGACCCTGGTAATTACGCCACCGATGCTGCAGCTGGTGCAGAGAGCAGATATGCTCTTCTCTTCGTGGTCCTGATGTCCAATCTCTTCGCCGTTTTTCTACAGTCCCTGTGTATTAAGCTAGGCACAGTGACGGGCCTTAGTCTTGCCGAAAACTGCAGAGAACATCTTCCGAAATGGATGAACATGGCTCTCTATATACTAGCCGAGTCTGCTATTGTCGCTACTGATATTGCAGAGGTACTTCGTGATCATTTCTCGTGTGAGCCTACTTAGTGCATTACTAACCTTTCTTAGGTGATTGGTTCGGCCATTTCACTGAATCTCTTGTTAAAGGTCCCTCTAGTGGCTGGGTGCGTTATTTCCCTGGTCGATGTGCTAATTCTTCTGATATTCTACCGACCTCATGGAGCGATGTGGGGCCTTCGGGCTTTTGAGTTCTTCGTGATGTTTCTCGTGATTGGGGTCGTGATCTGCTTTTGTATCCAGCTTTCCCTGATCAAGGAGCAATCTGTTGGCATGGTTTTTCGAGGCTACCTTCCGTCTGCAGCCGTCGTACAAGGGTCAGGGTGAGTACAAGCAATACACAACTATCATACAAAGGGATATTCAACGGTGGCTCATTGTTGTAATAGCATCTACCAAAGTTGCGGCATTCTAGGAGCGACAGTTATGCCTCACTCTTTATTTTTGGGAAGTGGTACCGTCCAACCTCGGCTCAGAGAATATGATGCTGGAAAAGCCCATGTAGATCCCGCAGCCGGTGACGAGGACACACCATATCGACCCTCGATTCAGGCCATACGCAGTTGCATGAAGTATTCGATTGTGGAACTTACACTGTCACTTTTCACGTTCGCCCTCTTTGTCAATAGTGCTATCCTCATTGTGGCTGCAGCAGCGCTTTACGGAACACCCGGAGCCGCCAATGCCGACCTGTTTGGCATCTATCAACTGTTGTCACAGTCTATCGCACCTGCGGCAGGGACTATATTTGGCCTGGCTTTGCTCCTTTCGGGCCTGTCTGCAGGGATTGTTTGTACCATCGCGGGACAGATGATCAGTGAGGGCATGATCAAATGGACATGTCGGCCATGGATTCGTCGACTGCTGACTCGTTCAATCAGTATTGTTCCCAGCGTGATCATTGCTGCTGCTATTGGGAGAGAAGGGCTGAACACAGCTTTGACAGCGTCTCAAGTCGTTTTGAGTGTCATCCTTCCATTCGTAACCGCGCCGCTCGTCTATTTTACTTGCCGCAATAAATTTATGACCGTCGGGCAGTCCAGGACCCAAGCTGATGAGACTGAACAGACTCCCCAGTCTGAAGTCGTCAAGATGCGGAACAGCTGGCCTGTCTCTGTGCTGGCATTTCTCGTGTGGCTGGTCATCACTGTTATGAACATCGCATTGTTGGTATTGGTTGGACTGGGCCTGGCATAGACATCGCTTCTAGGATATGAAATAAAGTCCACACAGGAGGAAATGTATCTAGATGAATCAATGCTATTGATGATAGAAGAATCGAAAGTCGTTTGTTGTTTAGTTAAAATCAAGGTATCAATGAACGAGGTACTACGGCATTCTTGTAAAAAAAACTTATGTTAGCCTACCCCGCCAGCAGCTTCTTTGACCTTGCCTTGCTCAGGAGGCTCATCAATAAACGTTGGTGGCGCGACCTCATCCTGCATGAAGCTCGGCATCGCCTCCTCGCCAAGTTGACTCTCAAACATAGTCTCCTCCCCTAGAGCCTCCAACTCGGCGTCCAGTTCAGCCTCATCCACGTCTTCGGGGATATCATAGGCACGCGAGATACTTTCGTTAATTTCATTCCCCATCTCCATCAGATCAGCCATCTCATCCTGCATCCGCTCGATCTTGTCAATGTCGATCTTGCCGTACTGTTTCTTGAGCGTCTTTGTCGTCGTTTTCATCGCATCCACAGTCGTCATCACGTTCTTGAGGTTATCCTGCATCATGTTGGCCTGCTCCATATTCCACGACTGTTGCGACAGTTGATCGCGTTGCGCCTCGTATTGCTTCCTCCTCTGCAACACCTTGAGGGCTTTTTGCCGCAGCGCGTTCTTGCCAGGTCCATCGCGCATTTTCGCCAGCCGCGATTGGTATGTGGACAGCTCTGAGTTTAGGGCTGCGAGCTTGACATCGATGCTTGACACCCGATTATCAACCTGTCAGAAAGATAGCCGTTAGCTATGCTGATGCGCGCGGGGTTGGCGAGGAAGCTTTGATGATGAAGAAAAGAAGGACCAACATTTGAGATAGCTGAATCAAGGGTTGGCTTGGGAGCCGTATTCTTTGAGCCAAATATTCGGTTCATAATGTCCGACTAAGAGGTCGCCCTCGAGGCGACTCCAGCCGTGGGATGTTTGGGATGTTTCGTTAGCGGTAGTGACACTGGTTGTTATCGCTGGATCGCCACGTCGCTGGGAGGGGTACAGTCGTGCAGTCAGCTGACGTATAGCCTTTGGTAGGTTGACCAAGCGCTGCAGCTTCCCTGGGCTAGGTGATGCTAAGGAACCAAGGCTGTTAAGACGGATGTCTCTAGGACGTGTGCAGTGTACAGTGCACAGAAGACCAGGCAGCTAACCTGTGGTCCTCTGCTCCTCGTGCTGTACCGACGTCAGACTGCGGCTAAGCACAGTTAGTGGCTAGTGCCTGTTTAGGGCCTCAGGCTCTCGGGCCACCTGATTGGCCTCAATGATCATTTCAGTGAACGAAAGCAAACCTGGATCTACCGCCAATTATTGAGCCGGGCATTATTACGATTGTTTCATTGAGTCGCCATGTGACCAACTCCAGTACGACAATAACCCTGCGTCGCTCGGGACCGGATCTCCGAGCCTATTAGTTAGTATCCATATTGGGCATCAGCCTGATGAATAATGACTGTATCCGCCGTATGCGCAAGCCGCCGCCTGTCCTCAGTCTCATGCTCGGTATCGATGGTATATGGGGTGAGCATTTGATGGTAATTATTGGATATAATAATATGCTTGATAGATAGAAAATGCATGCAAGCCAAATAACAGGCAGTAAACTGTAATAGTAATAATAATAAGAGCCAGCAGGCCCTTCCAGAACCCGCTTAACACGCTACCGTCGCTCCTGCCGCTAGTTCTTCGTTGTTAATGAATGCGACTGCTGCTGAATATTATTGTCTCCCTCCACAAGTCACAACAGGCAAATAATCTCTGCCAGCCACCAGAGGTCGGTTATATCCAAGTCTTTCCTCTTTGTTTTTATCTTACCCCGCCGCCGATCGCATTCATCCATCGGCCTCTGTTTGGTGTCTGGCAGCCCTCGTCTTGCGTGATCCGATATTCCTAATTGTGATCCCTCCTCGTCAACCGCTGCTCACTCGGTACTTCCCCCCCGCCCATACGACCACCACACGCCTATCTTCAACCCATCATCATCCTTCAGAACTACCTATATTATACTTACATTCTCGTTGTCTAATCTAGATCTGTTGGCTTCGTCACACAACACCATCAAAGGCGACGATAAATGCTACTCGAGCGGGCCTGCGTCTGATTCTTTCCCGACATCCCTAGTCGTGTACTCTAATCCTTCATCGTCGCTCTCTTGACGTCCGACGGTACGAACCCCCTCGCTTACACTTTTTACCTTGATATTGCAAAAAAGTAGTCAGCAAATACAGTTTTCCTATCGCTACTGTTTTTGTCTTGTGGCACTTCCAACTGTCCACGAATGAGACCACCACTGACTGTTCTATGCAGCGCGCGGTCGCTCGGATCCTACCTTTCATTTCCCTCATTCTGTCCTGCTACGATTAACGAAGAGAATACGACGTAATACTTCCACCATCATTGAAACATCTTGTACCACTATCTCCACAAGACACGTACGCTAGATTATTTTGCATCCGTCCGAAAGCGCGCATAGATAGCCGCATTACGATCTGTTAACACGACACGACACTACAAGAGGGGGAAATTATTCAATAAAGAATTCTCGCACGAGATACCCTGCACCCTCACGTCCATGATTTTACTTTCCCGTTCCGACCTGTCACATAATTCAAGATGTTTTGGCGATTCGGGGGGTATGCAAACATTTCCACAGTCGACACGCTACTAGACAAGCCCGATGTCAGCTTGGAGGAGTTGTTGGATGAGGCCGAGCTCATCTCGGAGCTCAAACAGCACAATACGAAACTCATCGAATATTTACGCGAAGACCATATCTTGAAACGATTGATGGAGTATGTGATTGCCCCGCCACTTATCAATGAAGAGGAGGAAGAAGAAGATGACGGAAACGATCCGGCGCCATCCGTCGAACATGGCAATGAGACGAGTGAAGAGAAAGAGAAGAACGAAGTTCTAGACCCAGAAGACCTCGAAAAGGCCGAGAAGCAACGTTCAAAGTTTGCATACATTGCATGCGAGATCTTGTCCTCAGAAACTTGGTCTATTCTAGAATCAATCATGCTCAACGAGGCCTATTTGCGAGATTTCTGGGATTTTATGAAGCGACCGGCACCTTTGGACTCACTCCAGGCGGGCTATTTCACAAAAGTCAACGAGGTCTTGTTCGACAAGAAGACAGAAGAAATGCTGGAATTTTTCAAGTCATTAAAAGGCATTGTCCCTGCAATCCTTCAGCATGTGGACAATCCAATGGTCATGGATTTACTCTTGAAGATCATCAGTCTAGAGAAGGTTGAAGGTGGTCAGGGCATTGTGGATGTAAGTGCGACTCTTCTAATGCTCAATTTCATGTGCTAACGTTACCCTTACAGTGGCTTAAGAATGAGGACCTTATTTCCATCCTTCTTTCATACCTGTCATCTGATCACACCACTTCAGTACAAACTTCCGCAGGCGATTTTCTCAAAGCCATCATCACAATTTCTGCGAATGCAACCCAAAACGAGCAGTCTTGTATTGGTCCCAACAGCCTTACTCGACAGCTAGTTTCAGCTCCGTGTGTGGAGGAGCTTATCCAGTACATGTTACAAGGAGGAAACTCGCTTACCGTGGGAGTCGGCATCGTCATTGAAGTCATCCGCAAGAATAATTCCGATTACGACCCTGAAACGGCCGGTGGCCCAGAATCCCCTCCAAGTATATATGACCCTATCTACCTGGGAACTCTTCTTCGCCAATTTTCGACCCATATTCCAGATTTCATGGCCTTGATTGTCAGTTCGAAGCACTCGGCAATTGTGGATGGCCAGGCTATGATAGTGGACCGTGGACAACTCAAGTCTTCTTGGGGTTCTAAGATTGAGCCTTTGGGTTTTGATCGTTTCAAAACTTGCGAATTGATGGCGGAGCTGCTCCATTGTAGCAACATGGGGTTATTGAACGAGGTCGGTAGTGAGGAGTACATCCGACAACGTGATGATGAGCGCGAAAGACTGCTCGCCCAAGGCGCATTTGATATACCCAAGGACCATGAATCCGGTGTTGATTATAGCGAACATGCTGGGGAATTTGGACAAGAATCCATTACGGAATCCCAATCTAGGGCTCCCGAAAATTCCAATGCCGGCGAAGATGACGGATTTGAAGATGTTGGGTCGTCTGGAGTTCTAGTTGAGGATTCAAATGCTGGCACAAGAAACACGGATACAGAAAATAAGGAAAAAAATGTGCAAAACGAAACGCCAGGGCTACACATTGAAGACAGCATCGTAGAAGAAACCCTCACTCCTTCACCGAGCAGTTCTAAGACCGAGGGTTCAACTTCTGAACCATCAGTCAACGCTGCTTCACCTAACGAATCTAACGTCACTCAGAAAGTTGGCGCAATAGCATTGGAAAACGATGGGCAGAATCCAGCAGTGCTATCTCCGCATCCTGAGGATACACCTGCACCGTTATTTGCATCTACGGCACAGGAAACTCAGCAGAATACGGGTCCAATACCTGAGAGTTCCGCATCTGTAACTCCTGCTGAAAATGAAGACATCCCCACCAACTCCAGTGTCACTAACACTGAAGACGAATTTGCTCCTCAGATCCAATATGATGCTCCAGGGCAACCTGTAGTCGGAGATTTCTTAAAGATTCAATTCGTGGAACACAAAGTCGTGCCCACTATTCTGGTAAGTAGCGGATTGCCAGAAATTCCAATGAATTTTCTAACTTTACTCTCAGGGATTTTTCTTCCGATTTCCATGGAACAATTTCCTACACAATGTCGTGTACGATGTTGTTCAACAAGTCTTCAATGGGCCCATGGATCGAGGCTTCAATCGATCCCTAGCCATAGACTTATTCGACAGTGGTAGCATCACAGAGAAAATCGTGGCAGGGCAAAGACGCAGTGATGAGGCCCAGGCCACCAAGAATATGAGACTTGGATATATGGGCCATCTGACTTTGATAGCTGAGGAAGTTGTCAAATTTACAGAAAGACACCCGCCTGAGATTCTCTCACAAACAGTCATTGACAATGTGCTACATAATGACTGGGTCGACTACGTAGAGCGAACTTTGTCAGAAACTCGGGAACGTGACAATGCCATTTTGGGTGGCGTTCGCCCTGATATAGCTGGACATCGTCAAGCCGTTATGAATGCTGTTGGTACAGCGCAAGGGTTTACTGGCTCTAATGCCCTCGCAAATGCCGGGTTGAATGGAGGCAATGGATATAGCTTTGAGAATTTCGATTCAATGACACATGGAAGTGCATCGAGCGGAGCATTTGGTTTGGGTGGCAGCAATTCTCTTCTAAGTGGCTTTGGCAGCTCTAGCGATGACGAAGATGAAGAGATGGAAGACCAAGAGGACGAGGATGTCAAAGGCACAGCAGAAAGCACCGCAGAAAGCGGATCTGAAAATGTGGGTGATACTCTTTTTACAGATATCGAAATGGACGACTTGTGAAGACGGGCGGACTTGTCGCTCTCAACTTGGATTTTTCTGCGTTCTTGAAACATTTCCTCGCTGGGGTAGTCATGTTAGTTGGGCGGGTCCGGAACACGGTGATGAGGATGGATGCTGTGAGGGTTGTTGCTGAGGGGAATAATATTTGTTAAACTCCGGTGCATCGCATTAGATGTGCGGAGGCAACCTGCACTCTTCGTGTCGCATCTTCGTTGGACCGTGTTACTGCACTAGGTAGATAGGCCGGCATCTTTTTTGATGTCTGCCCAATCCGCTGGTCCGTAACTGCATATCTGCTCTTGTTGATCAAAGTGTCAAGCCGGAGCAACCAAGCTTGCAAACTAAGACACGATTCTTTTACTCTTCTATTATGTCTTCACTTCACTTGTTTTTTACTGGCCTTTTGGTATACATTGCTAACATGGTGACGGCCTTTTATAGGTGTCGAGCTCTTCAAGCCAGCCTATCCCAATTCTTGCCCCACCCCCTGCCCCTCTGAATATAGTACCATCACGGGCACGACGCCAATTAGCTGCTCGATTAGCTCTTCATAAACAGCAGGCCGATGCGGCTGCTCAGAACGCCGGTGACTCGTCGAGCACGGCCGACGTGCATGCCAATGACGAGCAATGGCAATCAAATCCATTCATCATCGCCGGCTTAGAAGACGATCCTGCCGCCTCTCCTGGTGCTCCTTCGGCTGAATTCTCTGCCATGGGACAAGACGATAACAACCCACCTTCGCCGACCTTCCATACAGGTTTCACACCACCAGGATCACCCTCGACAAACTCTTCGGATGAAGCAGCTGGCGAGGTCAACGAGACAGTGCGACGTAAAGTGCGAGTTCCATTAGAGGTAGATGATGACGACGATGAATACGGCGACTTTCGTTCAGCTGGGATGCGAGACTCGGACGAAGAGGAGGAAGCTATCATCAACGAATCACTCGGCTATTCGAATTTCTTTGAACCCAGTCGGTATGGCGGTTTCAATCGTTCGTACAGTAGGGATGCATTTGACGATAACGACGGCAATGACAGCAGCGATGGCGAAGATGGCCTCGTTGAGATACTAGTCCCAGGGCGAAAATCGTCTTCATCAAACTAGCTTCGTTTGTCGTTCTTTTTTACCGCCAATGTGTATACATCATTTCCGTTCGTGTCTGATGCATTTAAGGTGAGTTGAGCATTCAAAGGAATCGGCGAGTCTGGATGGTCTAATGGGGAATTTGCTGTGGGGGGAGATTTGGGGCCATTGTGTGCGATATAACTTCATATACCACTGTACATTAGCTGTTTATTTACAATGAATCTGTTTTTAAAACCTCGCTTTTTCAATTTTTAAACTGCCAATTCCTGAATTGGCGTTTCGTATTAAGTTGACCCTTGCAATATCCAATGAGTATTTGTAAATATGTCCATTCATGGTATCAATTGACTGTTAAAAGTGGAACTGAAGATTCAGAAAACCAGTATTTTTTCCGGGTAAAGGTAGAATGCTTACTTCAACCACCTACTTCAAAACCTATGTACTTCGTGGTATGAACTCAAAATATTGTTCGGGCTAATCATTACCCAAAATATTATTTCGTTGTCACTGCTGGCTGTAAGGCAGTTGCTAGCTTTTAGCACCGTATAAAATGTCTCAACGGTGCGTACACAAACATGCCAGCCTCACATCATTGACCTTTCCACCTCTTACCACCAACATGCTAACTCTTTTACCAGGACCGCTGAAGCCACTCTCCAAGCTCATACCTTACTTCATGAATGGGTGAGCCAACAGGGTGGCAGGCTGGATGATCGTGTGCAATTCGCTCGCGATGATGAACGCGGGGTACACATTCAGGTCAAGCCCGACCAAACATCCAGCATGCCGTCAAAAACATGTGTCATCAAAATTCCGGTGGAGCTGACAATGTCCTATTTCAATGCGATTGATTATGAAATTCCAACAAAAGGCGGGGACGGTAGTGACGAAAAGACGTCTCCATTCTCGAGCCATGGTGTTGTGTTCCCGAAACAATTCATTACTAGCATTGGATCGGAAGAAACGACGGCGTTCTTCTTGATGGGGCAGTATCTCAAAGGTCACAATAGTTTTTGGTATCCATATATACACTCATTGCCACGCCCAGATGAATTGACGACACCGTTGTTCTATTCGGGTGAGGATCTTGCATGGCTGAATTTGACTAGTCTTGCGGCGGCGCGAGAACACAGGATGCAGATCTGGAAAGCGAGATATGAGAAAGGTTATCGTCTACTACAAGAATTGAAATTTGAGAGGGGGATTGACTATTCCTGGTATGTTTTTTGTTCCCTGGAAAATTTGCTAGGACTTGATTCTCTGATTATTCATTGACTATTAACCTCAGGGAATTATATCTATGGGCGTCGACAATCATCTCTTCAAGAGCATTTACAGCCAAAGTCTTAGCAGGCGTTATTCCCATGGAGGAGCTTTCGGAAGACAAGGTCTCCGTCCTTCTGCCTATGATTGATGCAACCAACCATCGACCTCTTGCCAAAGTCGAATGGCAAGCTGGGAAAGATAGTCTTGGGTTAGCTGTGATGGAAGATGTCAGTCCTGGCGTTGAAGTAGGAAATAACTACGGTCCTCGAAACAATGAGCAATGTGAGTCTGCCATTCTGATTGTCCATAGTACATCTACTTACTTGACTGCGATGTAGTGATGATGAATTATGGCTTCTGCATTCCCAACAATCCATTTGAATACCGCAACGTTAATTTACGCGCTCCACCTGGCAGTCCTCTTGCCCAGGTAAAGACCGAACACAAACAGCACTTTCCAGGCTTCGGTAATAGAGATAAAGAGCAGGAAGACAAATATTACGTGTTTTCCATTTCATATCACCACACTGGTACTCCTCAGCCTCTGGAGTTGTCGGTCTTCTCGGCTGATCTACTAAATGCACTCTCAATCATAGTAGCCAATGACCGAGAGCTAGAATGCATCGAGTTAGCTGAAAGCGGCTTTCGAATTCCTTGGGAGCAATATGCAAATTCAAGGAACCTCATTGCGGCTCTAAATCAAATTATTATTGAGCTCTTATCGTATGTCCAGAGGCTTGAAGTTTCGGGACGTCAGCTGGGAGAGCCTAAAACCCTGCAACAAGGCTTCGTGAAAAAGTATCGAGATAGCCAGATTCAGCTCTCGCGCGCTGCTGCATTTGTGGCGAACTGGACTATCTTGAGCTCGCGGGGCAGACTTGAGAGAGATGACAGTAACGACCGTGAGAGGCTTGTTGATCAGCTGCTTTCACGTATGCCGAACGAGGTCTTCGACCAGAATACAGCAGAGCAGATCAAGGCGAGGATACTCACAAGAAACTCTCTCCTTCCAGACAAAAGCAAAAGCGGCGAGGTTTTCCACTTTGAAAGGCTATTTCACCTTCTCCCCACAAATATCCAGAAACCTTGTCGAGACTGTCTCGATGCAATCATCTCGTTTGCTAGGCGCGCAATCGTAATCAACGACGAAACTGGGGGCGATCGGGACGACACAAACAATGGACCACTCGTGTTATTGGCCTATTCTTTATTTATATGTTTCATTGTTGCGGTTCATCGACAAAACTCGTCTCAGTTGTCTCCTCGGCTACAATACTGGTGCAATTTCCTGCTTCGCAGGTACACCACCCCACGGAATGATGTGGCCTGGACACTTCCTGATGAAAATGACGAGACAATTCTGTCTGCTTTTGACTCGCTAATGGATGAACATGTTTCCCATGACACGCTTTCCAGCGTATCGACTATGGTGGGTGTTGCGCCACCATCAGGCAATCGAGGAGTTGACGAGTGGTGGCTCTCCCCCAATTGGGTCCGTTGGGCGTGGCTGGTGTTAGAGCAGGAGATGATCATGAACATAGTGGATGAGCCGTTAGAGCATATGGTAGAGGTGGAGAGGAAGATGAAGATGGTAAATCTCTTGTATATTCCAAGGGAATAGAGTACTGCGGCAGTTGAAAACAAGAAACGTATACATAACTATAATCTGGGGCTAGCCAGATGTCATTTTTACAATTGTAGGTCGGAGATTCTTGACCATTGAATAATATATAATATTCAAGATATTGGAGAACAAGATGATGCAGGCCGATCCTTCCGTATTCAGCGCCGATATCACGTGATCCGAATCGGCCAATCACGAGCTAGGTGAAATAAGAGAGCCGACGCGAGGATCCCGACTGGACTGCGAAGTCCAACTTCCTCCACCCAGCGATATCTCTTCACCACACCGTGCTCTGGCTCCATTGAGTGCCCAGTTCAAGATGTTGTCGCGAGCGGTGGTTCCGTCAACCCCCTCTCTATCCCAAATTTCGTCTCGCGCCCTCTCTTCCACTTCCGCCACTGTTCGTCTGTCCACTCCCGCCCAGACGACCCGATCGTTCGCTACCGTGCAAGATGGCTCTGCCCCAAAGCGACAATATGGCGGCCTTGCAGACCAGGACCGTATCTTCACCAATCTCTACAACCATCATGGGGCTGACTTGAAGTCTGCAATGAAATACGGTGATTGGCACAGAACGAAGGACATTGTCCTCAAAGGTCATGACTGGGTGTGTGTTCGGATGTCAATTAGCTGGATGAAGCAGCAAAACTAACATAGCCATAGCTCATTTCCGAAATCAAGGCGTCCGGTCTTCGTGGCCGCGGTGGAGCTGGTTTCCCATCTGGACTTAAATACGTGAGAACTCTAAAACCTAGGTATGAAATTAGAAAGGAGCTAATATTCTCATTGTGTAGTCATTCATGAACTTCAAAGACTGGGATAAGGACAAGCGACCACGTTATTTAGTCGTCAATGCCGATGAAGGTGAACCCGGCACCTGCAAGGATAGAGAAATTATGCGCAAGGACCCCCAGAAGCTCATCGAGGGTTGTCTCGTTGTTGGCCGTGCAATGAACGCTACTGCCGCTTATATCTATATTCGTGGTGAATTCTACCATGAAGCCACCGTGCTTCAGCGGGGTATTCAGGAAGCTTATCAGGCTGGATTGATCGGTAAGAATGCTTGCGGAACTGGCTACGACTTCGATGTTTACCTCCACCGTGGTGCTGGTGCCTACGTCTGTGGTGAGGAAACCTCGCTTATTGAATCTCTCGAGGGCAAGGCTGGCAAGCCTCGTCTCAAGCCCCCTTTCCCTGCTGCTGTTGGTCTCTTTGGCTGCCCTAGCACAGTCACCAATGTTGAAACTGTTGCTGTTGTGCCTACCATCGTGCGCCGTGGCCCCAGCTGGTTTGCTGGGTTTGGTCGCGAACGCAATCAGGGAACCAAACTTTTCTGCATCTCTGGTCACGTCAACAATCCTTGTACTGTTGAGGAAGAGATGTCTATTCCTTTGCGAGAACTGATTGAGCGCCACTGCGGCGGTGTTCGTGGTGGATGGGACAATCTCCTTGCTGTCATCCCGGGTGGTTCATCTACCCCAATTCTACCCAAGTCAATTTGCGATGATCAATTGATGGACTTCGATGCTCTCAAGGACTCTCAGAGTGGTCTCGGTACTGCGGCCGTTATCGTTATGGACAAGTCAACTGATGTTGTTCGAGCTATCTCTCGTTTGTCGCACTTCTACCGCCATGAGAGTTGTGGTCAATGCACACCTTGCCGTGAGGGTAGCAAGTGGACGCAGCAGATTATGTCCCGTATGGAGAAGGGCCAGGCTCGCGAGCGTGAGATCGACATGCTTCAAGAATTGACCAAACAGGTTGAGGGACACACCATCTGTGCCTTGGGTGAGGCCTTTGCATGGCCTATCCAGGGCTTGATTCGACACTTCCGGCCTGAGCTGGAGGCTCGTATCAAGCAGTATGAACAGGAACATGGCAAGCAGCCTTTTGCCGGAGGCTGGGCCCCAGAGACGCGGAACGAGGGCAAGCTGATTGCACCAGGTCAATAGACCAGTATAGTACACAAGTTGAACCGCTTATTAAAAACATCGGCGAGGATGTAGACGTGATGCAAGTTTTGTCTTTGAATATGTACATTTTAGTCTCGTCATAGCAATTTTACTTTTTCCTTTGTTACAGTGTTACCGACCAATATAGATGTGCCAAGTTTCTATTCACCACGGCCGCTGACAAACAAATCTGAAACCATGAAAGACATTTCAGCCTACGGCATAGTTGGTTCAAGCATATAATTCTCAACTACTGCATGCTTCCGATTTCGCCTCGTCTCGCTGTCTGCCTTCATTTCAGTCTGCAGTTTCCACCTCTTCTGCCTCCAACACATTCCCCATTTCAGCTCAGCCCATAACAGACTCAAGGCTGCAACCAAAATAAGAGGCGTCAACGTAAGATACCAGCCTATTCCCATCCCATGCAGCATGAAATCCACAACAGCCGCGCCTACTGCTCCGAGTATGCATCTCAAGAGATTCTGAGCCGCTGATGCCGTCGCTACCTGCCCCGGAAAGATATCCGCAAGTAACGTTCTTATACTATTTGACGTGCAGAGAAGACAAAACCCAATGACGAACTGGATCACCAGGGGAACAGCGAGATGTGCGTGGTACTTCAGTGCCCAGCCATAGGGGATGAAGAGGATAGCTTGGATAAATGCGAATAAGAAAACTATTGGGAGCCGCGCTCATTCAATAGGGAGGCTAGTGAGATCTTCGTTTCGTTTACGATCAATCGCCAACCCCCTATTTGTGTGCTAGACGTTTATAGCTCCAGTCAAGGAATCACTGGTTAACGACTGCACCAGTGGCTGCAGATACTCCCAGGGGTCTGTTGGTGAACACCTTTGTTATTGTTGCAGGACTGTTGGTATTGGACGATCACCACACTTACAGAAAACATAATCCAACTTCAAATTCATTCAATCTATAAATACCAGGATATAACGTGGGCGATCCAGTCATAAGCACAAGATTGCCAAACGTCAATCAGCCCAGAATAAGTAATCAACATCAAAACATCCTTCTGCAGCAGCATGATAATGATTTCAATGGATTTGGGAACCCCATATTCTGCGTGTGAATTGCGCAGTCTTTACTCAATGACTGACTCTTCCCCTCCCCTTCCCCCTAAAATAGCTGCACGCTACACTGTGTGCTACCCGATGAGGCTATTCCTAACGCCGCAACTAACGATTTCCACAATTTGTTCAGGATACACCACGAACATAAGTTCCCAACGGCCGAAAATGTCTTCTATTTTGCTCTTAATTAACAATTCCTAGGAATGATTCTTTGAAGCACCGGGAATTGTTTTAAAAACAAAGGTCGGTGGCGGTCGTAAAACTATTAGCGTGGCCTCTGCAGTCCTGAATCGCTGTTGACGCTCTGCCCACAGCACCATTAGTGAAGTCGGCAGGATGTAAATACCCTCCGCAGAGCTGGTGTCCTGAAGTTTCCGGGAAATTTTGGTGGCCATGATTATTGAATACCGAGATGGCTTGGATTTTACCTATATAAAGTGATGGATGCAAGTCCTGAATTGAAATTATCTGTTGATGCTTTGCAGTCATTACTTCTCGATGTGGATTATCAAACGAGGTTTATTACAGAAATAGAATTTTCAGCTAAAGTACACGAAATTCAGTAGTGAAATGCTCGGGATGTCCTTGCACTGGCAGTCTATCGTTGCTAATCAATCGAGAACGGAGAGTGGTATCCAGAGAAGTACACTACCATGCTTAATTAGCACTAGCCATCACCATGCTGTAGTATCGACGACTAATTTCAGCAGTATGCATAACTCTTGCATCCCCAGTAAGAGGCAGTTTGAGAACAGCAGATAAATCGACACCCTAAAATTCTCCAGTTAGCCATGTACTTTAGTCAAGGTCAGATTCAAGATTGAACGTACATCATCCTCTCGTGCACACCAACCCGCTACAATCCGACTCATCTCCATGAAAGCAACACGTTCTTCCAGTACCTCAGCACCAGGCGTTTTTTTAATTTTATCCCCCATGATGACTAGAGACCCAATCAAACGCTTCAGGACGCCCTGTTCACGATGGCTTTGGGCAGTCACGAGGCGCAAGAAGTCTTCATACACAGCGCCACCACCGCTCCATCCACGCACCTTTCGTTCCGGTGAGTCTCCAAAACCATTAAGTAGCTGTCGAAGGATATTCCAATCTCGTTCAATGACGGTTCGTGGTCCCACTATACGACAGAAAGTAGTGTGCGCCTCATTCCAATTCTTGGCTCGTATGAGATAGCCCACCTCATTAGCATAGTCGCCGCTGTACCTGGAAAAGAGAGCCTTTGCAACCCAAACCCACGACTCAGGTATTTTGAGATCATCTACAAGATATGTCCACCCAGCATCTGCTTTACCATCAGCCATAGTAGGTCTTGGTAAAGTGGCCGCGAATTGGCCAAGGGTTTCCTTAAGGCCATGTTCTCGGTCTGTTGCGCGGGAAAGGTGAAGCAAAACGAAGAGAGCCGGTTCCATTGCACCAGAAGCAATCAGTTCCCATGCGTAGCTCCAAGTCAATTGATCAGCACGACTTTTGTTCAGGATAATGTGATCATTCATTCCGACAAGCGAAGTAACCACCTGGTGCAGCTGGAAAGAAAGGCGTGACGTTAATTTATTGCCAGATACCGCCTCAGGCAGCACAGCTTCCGGCAGATTTATCTTCAACTCAGCAACGGCAGGGCCACCAACGGCGGCCGCGTAAACTTTCAACAAAACCCAGAGAGGGGATTCTTGATTTGAACTCAAGGAACTGTGGCGTACATTTCCATACTCGGCTTCGAAGTGTGCTGGAATCGGATAAGCTGGTTCTTCACCAGTAGCTAGATCATGCAAGAACAGTGATACAGCAGCTTCAATGGGCTCATCCTCTGCAATGCCGTACCACAGTCGTAGACCAAAGGCTTGGATCCAATCCAGCTCAAACCGTTCTGAAAAGGTAAAAGTAGAAGCTCGGTCTTCCGGCGCTCCTGAAGGACGACCCACAGAACGATGAGTGTTACCTGCAAGGAGTTCGTACAACGCACGGATAGGCTCGTTGATCTCAGAGTAAACATTATGCTGACGCCAAGACTCAACCTGTTTTTGCATATCAATGCGGCTAGTTTTGTCCCTGCCAATTTGCGCCAGCATTGTCGCCAGATGCAGATTTCCACTTTCTACAAGGGCATTGCAGGCATCTTCAATCCGGTGAAAAGTGAGAAATGCAAACGCGCGTTCTTCAGGGATTTCAATACTGTCTAGGTCTTGGCCGTATTTCTCTCGAACTAAATTTTCCCAAACACGACTGAGACGATCTTTTTTAATACGGTGAAGAAATTTCTTCCGAAGCTGTGGTGGGACACCCGCAGATATATCATCTTCGATATCGTCATTGAAAAGGATACTCGTGAGCTGCCAAATAAACCGCTCATGTCTAGCCTGAGAAGAAGACCCAGTCGACGATTGAATAAATGACTGAATATCGGATTTGTCATTGCGAGCAAACGGAATACCATCGATCAACCGGATAGAAGATTGACGGCGTTGAGCTTCTAGAATATCGATGGACTATTCCAAATTTTAGTAAAGCAGATAAATGGGAATTCATATGAACAAACCTTCGGCGTTTCCCGAAATGAAAAAACTCGGACTCCATCCAAGGACACGCCTGTAGACCAGAATCCATTCGAGACCGAAGGCAAATTGCCGGAATCCTCGTTGATCGTGACTAGAGAATCTCTTGGTCCCCATCGAGGCTTGTGGGTGTGATGAAAAGCATCATCGTTCGCAGACAACTCGTTAGAACTGCTAGCGAATGTCTTGGGTGTCTTCGAATGTGGCAACTATAAATGGAAACAGATAAATTTAGCTTCAGTCTCAATTTTATTTCAATTCGATCAGCTAACTAGGAGGCGAACGAGAGCATATGGCTCACGTTCCTAATTACATTGTGCCGGAAAAAAATAGGTCGAAGGGGAACAAACCTCAAAAGCTTTCAACTGCTCTTTTTGCTTCTTTCCAGGCGATTTGATATTTTTGTTGGGTTGCGAGAACAGAGATTGCATCATGTCAATACTCGATGTGAAGCCCTTGGATGGGCTGGCCATGGCTTCTTTCGGATGTTGTATGCCATCAATTTGTTGGTTTTTGTCCACGTAGGCCTCGGCTTGCCTAACTCGTAAAGTTTCGCGATCCTGCTTTCGAGGACTGATGGTCCGCTGTAATTGCTGAGCCCAATCTCCACTTAAATCAAGACGAGGCTTTGATGGGGTTCCTAATCGCAAGGAGTCCGAGCCGAAATCGTTGATTGAAAAACCGGTACGGGTAGTATCTTCATGCTCCACGGTTTGATGAGGTATCGGAAAGGTGCCCGCCATCACCATATCTTCATCCTCAATAGACCCAGTTACTGAGCCAATGCTTTCAGTAATATCATCTTCAGCATCACGTTCAACAACTGAACCCGTGGAGCCATCCTCTAAAAAAGACCCTTCGCCATCTTCTTCCCCCGAGTTCGCACCCTCCTCCTCGGCTTGAAACATCTGATCACCGAAAGCTCCTGGTACCATCTTACGTTTCTTGAAATCAAAAGTATCGTCCTCAACCCCTGCCACAGACCCAACAAATGATTCGTCGAGTGAAAATGTCGAGTTCATTTCGGAATTAAAGGTGTTTTCTGTGGAGCCACGAGCTGCTGGAGATCGAGCCTTCGGAGTCGGGGTGTCAGGACCAGCACTCAACGTGCTTTGGTTGAAACTCTCACCTTCTTCGTCATCATCATAATCAAGCCCATATGTGGTGAAATGAGGAACACGGAAGACCCATATCCCGGTATCCTTCTCATATCTCACGAATTCGGTATTAGTAATTCTGCGAAGACGCTGAATATGCTTCTCAAGTAGTGGGCCAGTAGTCGGGGAAGACGGCGACTTCTGATCACGTCCACGCGGCCAGGAATTTTCGATGCGCAAAGTAGAAGGTACATTCAGGCCTTTGCCCAGAGGAGGCTTGGAGCGGTCGTCAGGATAGACAGTGATTGATCGCACTCCAATCTGCACAATTATGCCAAACAGACTGTCGAGATCGACTGTGTTCAGATCAACAGGCCTGTCAAAAGTAACTTGACCACACCCTTGACGACCAACAGTGAAACCTTCAACATGCTTCAGCTGCTCACGGCTCATTTTGCTCAGTTCAGCGCGTGATGGTTTCATCCAGTATTCGCCTGGCTTAGGGTCAACTGTTGGTGCAGATGATAAAGCACCATTTGCAGTCAAGCCAGCGTGTTCGGGAACAACAGCAAGTTCATTACCGCGTACTTGCTCCATTTCGGGCCGGGTGGAAGTTTTTTGTGCCGCTGAACTACTCGCGCCGTTTGGTGTTTCGCTCTTACGAATTGACTTTAGAAAGCCAATCTCTTCTGCGGTAGGCTCAGAGATTTCTGTTTCAGTACGTACGACGGCTCCATCTGCCGGGGCACTAAAACTGACACGCTTTTTGTGTTTATCAGTAGACTGGGAACCTTGATCTCCGTTGGTGATTGGAGGAGTAGAACTAGTCGGTCGCTGAAATAGATCGTTTCTCAAGCTACGATCAATTGTCAACCGCTTAAGGCTCCCACTAGAATAGCGAGAAGTCGAGCCAGTGAGGGCACCTGGGGTCAAGACACTGTCGGCATCAGGATCAAAAGACTTCCGAAGGTTGCTTGTAGAAAAGCTCTTGCCGAAACTACGTCCCAAACTGCCATTAACATTACCTCCACGGACACTGCCATTGCCGAGAAGGCTTCCTGTGAGACTAGAAACACTGGATGCACTTGATGGTGATCCGTATGTGGAGTAAGAAAACCCGTAGCCTTGGCGGCGTGGCGGCGTGATGAGACGATTAGCAGCATTTGGCGTAATTTTGTAAATCGGAAGAGGGGTGCGTTGCTTTTGCTTCATGCTAGCTGATAGAGGAGTTGCCAAAGGGCCCGGACTGGGTGCATTTGGCACGGGGAGACCGGAAAAGATAGATTGGTTGCCGTAAGGATTACCATCGAGGAGAGACGCTTGGAAACTGCCGGGAGCTGGCTGTTGCTGTGCTGGCTGTTGTTGATTCTGTTGACTGGAAGAAAACATACTTCCTGTGCCAAAACCAGTTGATGGCTGTTGTTGGGACTGGCCTCCGAATAATGAGCCGGTGTTCTGAGCTGTATTAGTCTGTCCGAAGAGTGAACCTCCACCACTTCCTCCGAACAGCCCACCAGGCTTCTGTTGTTGCTGTTGCTGTGCCTGGTTGTTGCCAAACAAGCTCGTGGTGCCACCAGTTTGGGTGTTTTGAGCACCTCCAAAGCCACCAAAGGTGGAGCCAGTATTGGTTGCAGTACCGGTATTCTGACTTCCGAACAACCCACCAGGCTTTTGTTCCTGCTGCTGAGTTCCACCGAATAGCCCAGTGCCAGTCGACTGTTGGTTTTGGTTTCCGAAAAGTGATGTGGTGCCTTGCTGCGGTTGGTTATTTAGCCCAAAAAGTGATGACCCAGGGTTTGTATTGCCGAACAAGCCCGTTGACGTTTGTTGTGGTTGATTTCCAGTTGCGAGTCCACCGCTAAAGAGCCCACCTGGCTTAGCCTGATTCTGATTCTGGGTTTGAGCGCCAAAGCCGCCGAAAGCTGAGGTGCCAGTGCCAGCGCCAGTGCCAGCGCCAGTCTGTTGTTGGGATCCAAAGCCAGAGGCAGTAGAAGTGCCACCGAATGGATTACTGGCAGTCGTGGCACTGGTAGATCCAAATCCACCACCTCCAAAGCCAGTGCCAGTGGTATTGCCACCGAATAGGCTCTTATTTTGTTGCTGTTGTTGAGTCTGTTGATTGTTTCCGAAGAGAGAACCACCGGTTCCAAATCCACCGCTAGTATTAGCAGTTTGTCCAAAGGTGCCCGATGTCGCTGTGTTTCCGCCGAAAAGAGTAGATTGAGTTGTGTTGTTGGCAGTACTTCCGAATAGAGAATTCGCCGGCTTTGCTGCTCCAAATAATGAAGTGGAGGGTGTTGTACTGGATCCAAATCCTCCAGCGGTTTGAGTTTGGGCTTGCCCACCGAAACCAGACGGTGCACTTGTAGTAGCTCCAAAACCACCGCCAGACCCGAATCCTGTATTCTGTGTATTAAAGCCTGTCCCAAAAGCTGAGGAGCCAAATGCGCCTGCTTGTCCGCTTGCGTTTGCGTATCGGCGTCCACTTTGATAGTCTGCTAAGCGTAGTTCTTCAAAAGAATAACGTTGATAGGGCTGCATGTAGGAAATGCTCTGGTAGACGTTGTTCGTATTGCTGGTAGGATCTTTCTCAGTCACAGGGTTGAAAGGAGTGCCAGCTGTTCCATCTGATGGTGGAATCTGGCCACTGAAGGCAGTCCCAGTGCTAGCCCCGAAACCAGTGCCTGTGTTGGAGCCGAAACCGCCTCCGCTCCCGAAAGTACCTGTACCAGTAGTGTTTGCCGTGGCCCCAAACGCACTAGGTTTGTTCTGCCCAAAAGCACTGGTTCCTGTGTTTGTAGTACTGCCGAATCCACCAGTTGTTCCAGAGGAGCCGAAGCCTCCACCTCCGCTTCCAAAACCACCCGAAGTTGCTGTATTACTTCCGAATAGACCACCGCTAGACGTTGTAGCACCAAAGCCAGCAGGTTTATTTGCTCCGAAAAGAGAGTTGGATTGAGTGTTTGTAGAGCCAAACCCTAGAGATTAGGAAGTTAGCGATATTCTCTCACTAAAAATACTCTTTAAATCATAACAAGAACAGAAAAAACAATTATAAATGAAATCCAAACAACTCCATGACCGCCTCGTCGTCAAGACTAATATCAGAAATTGCCGATGGTAAAGCAATCGATGAGGTTCATCCGCGCGAAACAACATGAGAGGTGGCGATCGAAAGCGAGCCAAGGCACATACCTCCGCCAGAGCCAGAGCCAAAGCCTCCAGATGTGTTCCCGAATGTACTGCCCCCGCCTGTGGTGTTGTTGGCACCAAAGAGATTTGTGTTGCTCCCGAAGCCTATAAGATTGATAGGTATCGTTGTCAGACAACCGTGTAAGACGAGAAGCTAGTATCGAAAACGATCGCTTCGACCTGGCCATCGCCGTCCATGACTCTCATCTCGATCGGATGGTGTTTGGTTGCAACATCGAGGTGGCAAGTCGTGGAGTGTCCAAAATGTGAAAACAAACAAGACCATGGACATCCGTCGAGGGCGAGAAAAAACATCGAAGTAAAGATAAATAGTATAAACGCGTTGAAAAACCTACCTCCAGTGTTCGACGATCCGAATCCTCCTGAAGTCCCAAAGCCAGAGCTTTGCTGCTGCTGGTTGTTTTGGCCAAAGCCGCCACTACCAAATCCACCGAACGACATGACTGCAATAGTTGGGGTCAATACATTCAGTCAAATGTGATCAAAGGCGTTTTTAACTTGAGAAGCGACCGAGGTAGATGGTAGGCGAAAATTACGCTTGGTAGATACAATAGAAAAGAAGTGAGGAATAATTAGAAAGAAAAGTGAGGAGGAACAGTTGATAAACGACGCGAGTAAGGATGGAGAAAAACTGCTGTTGCCACAAGGATAGGAGATTGCGACGCGCTTCTTTTTTTTCGACGGCAAGAGCGTGGAGCTTGGCAAGACCGCGTGTAGAATCAGAAAGAAGGGAATTGCCTCAATTCCCTAGTCTGAGACAGTGCCCAGAGTCCGCAGATGACAACTGAGGCGAACAATGGGTGCAGTGCAGAAGGGATGGGGAGGAGGAGGGGGTTGGGAAAACGCGATGAGTGCAAACGAAGGAGGTTAAAAGGAAGCCGTAGGTAACAGGCAGCCCAAGCAGCGCAGAACCAGGGAGCAGTCCACCCCGAGGAGCCACTTGCCACGGAGTTCCTGCCAGCGCAGCAGGTCATGTGATGACTATTGTGCTGACTCATCTGGTTCTGCCTGTCAGCCTGAGCTAGAAACAACCAATCACAGGCCTGCGCATCATTTTATGGCGCCCTCCTTGATAATAGAAACACAGTAGCCAGGTTCATTTGAATTCCCTTTGACAATTACATGTTAGAACAATAGACACCTATGCTACAATGAGCATCAATTATACTTGATTTCAAAAACCCAAAACTTAATTGGCGCCATAATGTGAACATCAACTTTCATTACATACAAAATATCGACTTGCACGCTGAACATATAGCAAGGATTTACACAGTTCCTCCCTAGTCAGGCCCCTTGTCCCGATCGGATTATATATATATATATATATGTATGTATGCATACGTATATATACGCTAGTGGTTTCCTTCCCAATTTTCTTCTTCGCTCCCGGAAATGTCTCTCGCCGTTACAGCAATTGTCGTATAACTAAAGTCCATTTACTTGCGCGAGGCCTTCACGGTCTCAATGATCTTATCAACAACGCTAGGATCCGAAAGCTAGAAGCAAAGTCAGTCTCCATATGGGAGATCAAAATTGTTACCGGGACAAGCAGGAAAATTCAACGTACGGTAGAAGTGTCTCCGAGACTATCCTCCTCACCACTCAAAATCTTGCGCAAAATGCGGCGCATGATCTTTCCGCTACGGGTTTTGGGAAGATCCTCAACTGCGAAGACAGCTTTGGGAGCAGCAAAAGGCCCGATGGACTTTCGTACCTGCATAATGAGGTCTTTCCGGACTTGGTCAGTAGATTCGTTGCCGCTCTTAAGCGAGACGAAAGCATTCACGGCCTGGCCGGTGAGTTCGTCCGAGATTCCAACGACAGCAGCCTCAGCAACCATTGCTACAAAAGTTGATTAGTTATTTTCTGGTATCAACAGGCGGCGGTCAAACATACGGTGCTCGAGCAAAGCAGCTTCAATTTCAGCAGTGGAGAGACGATGTCCAGAAACATTAACAACGTCGTCGACACGTCCACGGATCCAGTAATATCCATCGTGGTCTCGGCCAGCACCATCACCGGTGAACTAGGAGAATGGCATTAGCCGCGGAAAGCCAATTGATAATGAAAGAATTACTTACGTAGTAGCCTTTATAGACATTGAGGTAGGTGTCCATATATCGCTTGTGAGCTCCCCAAACAGTACGGGCCATGCTAGGCCATGGCTGCTTAATAGCAAGAACACCCTCGACATCGTTTCCTGCAATCTCCTCACCGGAGACAGGATCAATAATAGCTGGTTCAATACCGAAAAATGGAAGAGATGCACTGCCAGGCTTTGTTGGGGTGACACCACCTAAGGGGGTGATGATGTTTGATCCAGTTTCGGTTTGCCAGTAGGTCTGTTAACAATTAATAAGTTGTAGCTGATGACATGGGTGTTTTAATAGAGGGCAACAAGGTTCCTTACATCGCAGATGTGTGCCTCCTCTTTACCGACGCTCTCAAAGTACCACTTCCAAACTTCCGCTGCAATGGGCTCACCCACGGATCCAAGTACCCGCAGATGTTCCATTTTGTGATGAATATGTTCGTCCCCAGCACGTTTGAGCAGACGCAGTGCAGTAGGGGCAACGTAGAACTGTGTGACTTTGTGTTTCTCAATAACATCCCAGTATCGGGAAAAGTTGGGATAGGCTGGTGTACTTTCGAACACGACGGTGGCAACACCTAAAAGCAAAGGCGCATAGACGACGTATGTGTGACCAGTAATCCAACCAACGTCTCCACCACAAAAGTAGCGGTCATCGTCATGAATATCGAAAACGTATTTGCCGGTAGCGGCAGCTCCCAAGAGGTAGCCAGCTGTTGTATGCATGACACCTTTTGGTTTGCCAGTTGATCCGGACGTGTAAAGAAGGAAAAGGGGGTCCTCGGAATCGACGGGTTCAGGAGCGAGGTAATTGGGATATTTTTCAACCTCCTCGTGCCACCACAAATCACGGCCCTTGGTCCAGGGCACATCGGCTCCAGTGCGCTTGAAGACCAGCACACTTTTGACATCAGGGCATTGTTTCAATGCCTCGTCCACGATCTTCTTTGTGCCGATGATCTTTCCACCACGCTTACCCTCATCACTGGTAATGACGAATTTTGAATTGGCGTCCAGAACACGGTCGCGCAAAGAGTCAGACGAAAAGCCAGCGAAGACAACAGAGTGAACAGCACCAATGCGAGAGCAAGCTAGAAAGGCGACGAGAGCCTCTGGTATCATTGGAAGATAGATGGCGACGGTGTCGCCCTTCCGCACACCTTGCGATTTCAGGACCCAAGCGACTCGGGAGACCTCGCTGAGCAGCTCTCCGTATGTAATGGAGCGACCTTCACTCGGCTCGTCAGCCTCGTAGATGATGGCGACCTTGTCGGGGTTTTTGATCGCATGGCGATCGACACAGTTGAAGGACGCGTTCAGTTTCCCTCCTAAGAACCAGGCGTTGTCGCCATTGATGAATGAGCCGGAATGTGTGGTGTGAAAGTCTTGGTCGAAAGTGAGAAGCTCCCGGGCCAATCGGGACCAGAACGTATTGGGATCACGAATCGACTCCTCGTAAAGCTGCTTGTAGTGGTCAAAGCTGTCCAGATGGGGGCGACTGGAGTGCTTTTTGAAGTATGCAGTAGGCACATGAAATGTGTCCACTTCATGAGCCTCCGCGACCTAGATCGCATTATTTCGTCAGTCTGTGCTGTCAATACCTTGGAATGAGCAAAGCATAAATTTGGCAGTACTTACTACCCCTGTGGGAGGCTTAACGGCGCCTTCGGACATGTTGGGCAACGGCCGGACGTGAAACTAGGGATAAATAATATATATCTGTCCATGGCCGTCAGTTAGAAGGGGTGACAAGTTGGGATGGGCACATGGGAAAAAATCATCTGGTTGCACGCCGATGCATCGAAGCTATCAGTTAGCTTCAAGGACTAGAAACACTCACCCAAGCTAAAAAGGTCAAGACCCAATAGAAGGCACGGGCGAATTTACGATCGGATGACGATCGATGGTGGCAGCGCCGTCGCGATAAAAATAAGAGCAATAGCAATGATGCCGTGGGCTGTGCAAGATCCTACACAATGTGATGTGGAAAGGGAGGGCACAGTCGCCAGCAGAGACGAGAGACTGAACTGGGGGTGCAAGAGCGGCGTGAGTAATGGAAACAGAGAGAGAAGGAGGGTGGGACGAGGAGAGGCGGGGCAGCTGCTGTTATATGGTATGGATTGGACTTCCTCCGTGTTACTGCTACGACCTGCTCTGCGATGGACTCGGTCCTTGCTGCTTTATTACGGAAATTGACTCGAGGCCCGACGGCGGTACGATGCCGACCACGACCCGGCGCAAGTGGATGCATATCTATTGCGTTCAGTCGTCCGGCACCCTGCAAGCCTGCAAAGATGTTTACCATCATGCTCGGCCATGCGGGGAGTGCTGACAGCTTCCGTTGGACCGGAAGTACAACAAATCCCCAAAGTGAGCTCGATCATTGGCTGATCGCCTGCAGTGGGCGTATTGATCATTACGTCCGCATTAAAATTCAAGGAGTATTAAATTAATTCTCGCTTCTCGCATGCAATCCGCGGCTGCTGCTGTCCAGGGCCTGCTCAATCCGGTCGAGACGTCTCACTACATTCTCTAGTATAAAAACACTGCATGCTCACCCATGTCCTTGCGACAGGGGTCGCGTCAATGCTGCATCGTGTGGCGCGGTGAGAGCTTTCGTTTCTGTACGGACACTCCGCTTGTATTAGAGCTGTTATGGCGGGGGACATCAATACGCCGGGCTACGGCCAGCCCAGGAGGCCTTTGGTGGGGTTCAGCGTCGAGTTTGTAAGGACGGGATGAATGCAGGGACAGCGGCCACATGATGGAAGTCCTTACCCAATCCCCACGAAAGATCCTCGTCGCATCTGACACCGTCTTTTCATTTCTTTCCTCCTTTCGATCCCTTCTCGAGTCGTTGTGACGTCTGCGGGGAAACCCACCGCAGCTGTCCGGATATGGACAGCCAGTTTGGCAGTTGCCGGAGTCGTGATACACATGGCTCGCGTTTTCTAGAATCATTTTGTGTCGCATTTATAGAGTCGGTATTAATTACATGGGCTCCAACAGGGCATCAATATTACAATACTACTAGTACCGGCCAAGCGCGCGAGACCTGCAGGTTGTAATTTCCAACCCACGCAAAAAAGAGCTGAAAACTAAATGATTAGCCGGCCCTCCGTGTTCTGGCGGCGGGTACAGTCTGCGCCGCAACGAAAAGCGAAGCCAAGAAGATGGATGAACCTTATGGGTTAACGGAACGGTGCGAGGACAACCGGACTCGGAGAAGCCAAGTGCGCTCGCTACAGGGTCAAGAGGCTGATCCGCATGCAATTATCTCCCGCAGGCCACGCAACCATCATGATAGCATTGGCATTCATAAGAAGGCAATGCAATTATAATACAGCGATGCCTGTAATAGTTAGGTATTGTTGATTGGATATTGAGTTTCACTTTAGATTCGAGTCTCGAGTTTCGAGTCTCGAATGTCTAGTAAAGTCAATGCGTACACTGCATACCAGTGCATGTTGATCCTTGTTTTCTTGTGGAGTCTATGCTAGATGCTTGAACATCATTCAACGATAGTTCACAGGCCAATGTCTTAAATTAAGTTCCCACTATCAAACCTAACGCCGGTTACATTTATATGAACCAATTAACTAACTGGCCGTCCTGTTGTGTAATTGTCTTGATTGATTATTGAAAATGTGTAGTTGACTAGAACCACGCTAGTACCAAAAAGGCAGGCTTCCTAGTATCGCATAAGAAGACAAAGCAGATGTTACTTCTCTGTTACTTCTCGCACCAAAAAGTCTTTCTGGTGATATTCAGCCTGTCATAGTACTTGACCATGGTCTGCAAAGAACAGGTTAGCTGACAAGTTTGAATATTGGTTCTGCTTCCACTTATCACCAGCCCTCGAGACTCGACAATTTAGGTATGAATAAAACCCGAGTGACACTCTCCAGATAATAAATATTTCTCTATCCTAGAATGTGGTGGCGGTGATACTCAGATATCCCATAAGTGGAAGGTAGATTTCCGCTAGAAAGACGACTCGCTAAATTCCGAATGCCAGTTAACTGTATCCCCGAGCAATTGATGTGTCCAGCAAGAAACCGGATATTGAAGGTTTACTATCAATTTATATTGCAAAACTGTACTGTTCACGCAGAGGGACATCAATTTGCTCAGGGCAAGACATCTGCAACTCGTAAAAGTAGTATAGGGTCTAGGTGAGTTAACGAAATGCCTCGTGACGACGATCTGAGAGGGGGGCCATTATCTCTAGACAGCTCGCTCATAGAGCAGGGCAATGACCTCATATTATGTATTTCCCCTACGGCTAAAATTGATAATAGATTCTAGCTTCATCTTTTTACGCTCCCTATGCGACATGGGTCGAGAAGAGTAATTACCATAAACATGTTAGCGCATGACCTAAAACAGCTAGATCATCTGGATGGGGCAATAAGTGGGGAAATCTTCGGCTTATGGAATAAAACCATCCATATTGTGTCCTAAAACGTGCTACAATATTGTAACTAGATACACGCAAAAATGTCTATCTGGATTGAGTATCTATATCAGTGATCAGTCATTTGTACTATACATAATTGAAGATGACATGAAGAGTATGGCCTCATTAATTGCCACAAATTGAAGTAAATTGTTAAGTGCGGGGAGTCAACTGCATCAAGGAACTCGTCCTCACGTCGAGCCATTAGCCACCTCAGTATCACTTTACCTTGGGCCATGTGTCTATGAATAAGGAGGCACTTGTAGCCATGGTTCATATTTTCAAAAAGTATATGCCTGACCATGAACCTATCTAGAGTTGTGACGCAACATCAAAATGCAGTGTCAGTATCAATTGAAATTAATCTGGGGAACAAAATTAAATACCTCTTTTACATTGCTAAATATGATTCTAATGAAGGGTCTCGTGTATTGTGTGAATATAATTATTTAAGCTTAAAATCGGCATACAAATGTTGTAACTAGTGCTGGCGATTCAAAAGTCTAGGCATCGGAGCGGTGACGACCGCTTAGTTTAGATCAAAAGTCAATGTGCCCATCTTTTCAATTTCTACGAGTTTACTTGACTATTGTAAGCATGCTTTTAAGGGGAAAAAAAGCAAGCCGTACCTATGACCTGAATCCAGAATCAATACTTTACTTGACAAAACGTAGCCCCTCCATGTCGCAATAAACTTGTCTGGTGGGCTTGTTGAATATCACCGTGTCATGCACAAAGCGTAGGTTACATTTGAAATTCCCACAACTGAAAACTAATATGGAGCTTATCATAATTTTCCATTGTGACCTACTTATTTAATCAAAAAGATAGGAACTAAAAAAAATTTCCCGCTTGCTTCTACTGGCTTGTCAGAGTCTGCCACCCGCCATTCCACCAAGATCCCACACCGAGAATAAAAACGGCAATGCTGCCGTCCTGAATGAGGCTGCGAATAAGCTGCATTCCCGTAGCTAGGCTTCCCTGACGGGATGTTCCGAATAGCATTCCTGCCCCATTTAACACCAGTTCAACTGTCATGAAAACCACAAACGGGTTCTGAGCGGCAGCTGGCGGTGGTGGGTTGCTCCCGTACGTCGCGACCGAGGATCCAACGAGAATGAGCAGATAGAATCCTAAAATCAAAGCAAAGAGAGTATGAAGAAGTTTCCATAGCCACTCACGTTGCTGCTCCGCCGGAGTCAGAGGTGAGGAGCCTCCTCCCAGTAAGAATTTAGAAAGGAATGGTGGAAGACCAAGAGCGGATGTCAAGTCATCTGGATTTATGGTGCCTTGAGGTGGAGGTGCCATTCCCGCGGAACCTGGAGCCGTGTTTTCCGCCCCTGGTACACCACCCATCATTGAAGTTAATAGCTTCATCATAGGGTCTTGGTCAATCTGTTGTTGGGTTTGTTGCTCAGGTGGGTTTGCGCGGAGGAGAGCCCTTAGATATTCTTGCTGCGCTTGTATGTCATCGCTGGGAGCATCGCCGGTGGCTGGAATTGGCGTAACAGAGGGTTGGAAGGCTTGAGGAGAAGGGTTTGGCTGCGACGATGCTGGTGACGCTGTGCGAGATAGTGGCTGCGGCGTTGGGGAAGGGGAGATGTCGTCGCGAGCTGTTGATGAGAAAGAAGTTAATAAGATATCTATATTCGACATTGACCTGGAGTTATCAGGGTATGTGCATACCGCTGGCTGGTGTTCGTCCGCTGAGACTCGTAATTTTATCAAGTCGAGCGCTTCCGCCAGCCTTGATCTTTGCCTCGCGACGTTCACGTCGCAGGCGCGCTGCCTGCTGAGCGGGTGATTCTTCTGCTGAAGACATTTGGTAAAAAGGGATGGCTCGTAAAAGTAGGTCTCAACCACAAAGATCAGCCTGACTTGCGGTTCTAAAAGAAGAGTTCGTATTAATAATTGCGGGATCGTTGTTATTAGTTCTGACGTCGATGAACACTGTTGTTCATCCAGCTCGGTAACGGTGGTGCAGTGCGAGTGCCGGTTGGCCAATCACATTACCCTAATACCGTTCTGACCCTGTTTTCCTAACACGATAGTAGTAAACGCGAAGGGCGAATATAGTGATACACTGATATAGAGATCTCTATCCGACAACTCTGAAGCGATATTAATAATTTCAATAACCAACATTTCATTTTGGCGTTAGTTTTCAAAGGCCATGAAGGACCGAGGCATGTTAGCAACTATTCAATAAGACGATCACGTGATCTAAAAGCTTCGCGGACCACGGTGCTGTGAGATGACGCTAAACAGGCTTCAGGCTTCCCCGGAATCGTCGTGGGTGCATCAGAGAGGGATCAGATAATATTCGCCAAGGGCCCACTGGGTTACTAAGTATGAGCTCCAGATCAAGTATTGAGCATAGCGTAAAGGCTGCACGATGGAGTAAAGGATGCACTGCGGTGGGCCGTGGGCCGATGACGTAGGCGAGCTCTTACTAGAGGCAGGAGCTCTCGACTCGATGATATCAGCCAATTCTCGCAGATCCTGGCTTTTATTTAAATGGCTCACGTATGGAGACGCTTCAGAGCTTCATACACCTGCTCCTGATCAAACTCTATGGACTATTGTCCCTGTTAGGCCCTCCTTAACGGACTGGAAATCTACTGATCTCAGGATTCCCAAGCTGCTTGGCGTCATTTGGTGATACCATCTGCCTACCAACTCGCAATGACTTCGGGTGAAACTCAGCACGCTCCAGGCGGCCATTGGAGTGCCGCCAATCCCATCCCAACTATTCAGAAATTTGTCGAGAATCTCGACAAGGACAAAAAAGAGCGGGACCGAAAGATCGACGACGAAATCAACCGTAAACGGCAGGCTGGCTCGAAAGACGTGCAGTCAACTGAGGAGCAAGTGGCTAAATTGTCGAAACACACCCGTGAAGTGACGGATCCCACGAGTGGACGAGAAATTACAATTGAAGACGTTGGGAAACAGTACATGGATGCTGTAAAAGATCCAAAGGTTGGCTCTCTCGCACAGACATTCATGGAAGTTGCACAGAACTAACGGAATTACAGATAACTGTGCCAAATTCAAACCTCGATAAGCCAACGGTTAGTCAGTCCCTTGAAAGGGGTGCCACAACCCTCCATTGACGCCTACACCAGACTATTAAAACCGACCCATATCAAGAATTTGAGGAATACAAACAGAACCAAGATGTCACTGCCCCCCCAGATCCAATTGCTGAGGGCACAACTTCCGATGTGCCTATACACGGGGAGAAAACCAACGTTCTGTTTCATCCCACTCCCTCGGTCACTTACCAGCCTATGTTTGAGGAGATCGAAAAGCGTGCAAATGGACTCACAGCTGGAATTGCCATCACTGTCATTGTATTAGGAAAAACCTTTGGCGGTTCTCTATGGGGGCTTATACCCCTGGCTTTCTGCTTAGCATCAGGGGTATATCTTTGGATGAAAGAGGTCATTCGTACTGGCCGAGATTTTGAATGGCGCAGTGAGCAACTCCGAGGTGAAACAGTATGCCAGACTCACCTTGCTCTCTTATTTATAAAGATGCTTACTAATTTGGATATAAGGCAACTGCAAACCTCCTTCCCGAATCGGTGGAGTGGATTAATGCTCTCTTGTCTGTGACTTGGGGCTTACTTAACCCTGACATGTTCGCCAGCATTGCCGACACGATCGAGGATGTCATGCAAGCTTCTGTGCCGAGTGTGATTGAAAATGTCCGCGTTTCAGAGATTGACCAAGGGAATAATCCCATTCGAATTCTCAGTATTCGATCTCTTCCCGACGGTCATGTCCAGGATTTGCAAAAGAATATCCGTGAAGACAACAAGAAAAACAAGGACCCTCAAGAGGCGGCTGCAGACGAGGAAGGTGGAGACTATTACAATCTTGAGGTTTCTTTTGCCTACCACGCAAAACCATCCGGCGAGAGTGCCTCTGCTAAGGCACGCAACATGCATATGCATTTAGTGTTTTATCTAGGGATTAAGGGTCTATTTGGAATTCCATTTCCTATATTCACCGAACTGATTGAGTTGATTGGGACAGTCCGGCTTCGACTTCAAATGACGCCGCAACCTCCATTTGCAAAATCAGTGACTTTCAGTTTCATGGGTCTTCCCCATGTCCGCGCTGGCTGTGTACCGCTCGTTAAAAGGGGAGTAAATATTCTCAATCTACCTTTGATTTCAAACTTCGTCAACTATGCCATCGGAGCAGCGGCTAGTCTTTACGTGGCCCCCAAGTCTATGTCGTTAGATCTCGGTATGATTCTCAAGGGTGATGATATTCAGAAAGACACCCTAGCATTGGGTGTTTTCTGGATTCGTATTCACCGAGCTGTTGGCCTCAGTAAGCAGGATCGTAGAGGTAGCGAGGGTGGCGGTAGTGATCCTTACATCAACCTCTCATTCTCGAAATACGGCAAGCCGATGTACTGCACTCGCGTTATCACAGACGACCTGAATCCTGTATGGGAGGAAACGGCTGCATTGCTGGTTACCCCTGAGCTGATCAAAGCTGATGAACAGCTGAGCGTTGAGTTGTGGGATTCTGACCGTAACTCTGCTGACGATATAGTGGGTAAGGTAGAACTTTCTATCCAGAAAATGATTCAACACCCGGGTATTATGTACCCACAAGTATCCAGATTGGAAGGTATGGATGAAGGGAGCAGTATGCCTGGAGAACTACGCTGGGAAGTTGGTTATTTCGGCAAGCCTCGATTGAGACCAGAGCTTCGAACCGATGGAGAGAATCATGAGCTTCCTGAGACACTCCGACACGAGCCCACGCTCCAGGATGAGAAGGGTGTAATTAGTACCGAGGATGAAGATGCTGTCAGTCACACACCTCCGGATCCACTCTGGCCGAGTGGCATCTGTAGCATTGTCATTCACCAGATAGTCAATTTGCAGTTGGAGAACATTCATGGCACTCAAGGAAGTCGAAAGGGCAAGGAATTTGAACCCGCCAAGCCTTATGGAGAAAACGCAGAAGAACAAGGCAAAGATCTTCCCACAGGTTATTGTACAATTTTGTTGAATGATCAATTGGTAAGTCGATTCGAAAATGTAGTATCTCAGCTTTAACAGTTCTCACAGGTGTATCGAACTCGCGCCAAAGCTGTGAGCAGCAGGCCTATTTTCAATGCAGGCACTGAAAGATTTGTACGCGACTGGCGATCCGCCATCGTCACAGTAACTGTGCGCGACCAGCGACATCGCGAGCATGATCCTATCTTAGGTGTTGTGTCCTTGAAACTTGTCGATTTGATGAAAACTAGCTCTCAGGTGACACGGTGGTACCCACTGGATGGAGGGATTGGATTTGGACGCATACGGATCTCTCTCTTGTTTAGGAGTGTAGAAACGAAACTCCCTTCTAATATGCTGGGCTGGGATGTAGGCACATTTGAGTTTCTATCTGAACGCATTACCTTGAAGGATTTCTCTCAAAGTGCTAAGCTTTGGCTTCGCACTGGTGGCAGCACTGGGAAAATTTCAAGATCTTATTGCAAACAGGATGGTGACGATCACTATTTCGATTTATCTCAAACCTCGGCGAAGCCTCGGCTACCCGTAAAATACCGCTATCGCTCTCCAGTTGTGTTTGAATTTCGTGTTTCTGGGAAACGAAGAAATACAGCCTATGCAGTTCTATGGCTCCAACATCTCGTTGACAATGAAGAGACTCCAATTGACATCCCAATTTGGACGACAAAACGCGGTGACCGATTAACTCAAAATTATGTCACGGAGGAGAATTGCAAGACACTAGGCTTGGATGCCCTAGAGGATCTGACTGAAGTTGGACGTCTTCAGTTCACTGGAAGGTTCTCCGCTGGCATGGATGAATCACACGAACAATTCGTTGCGGATAACGACAGCCGTGAGACATTTGAGACATGGGAAGCTTGTCAATCAGAAGGTCTTCGAGACAGGCATGTAACTGTCGAAATTCCAGAAACCGTACGTGACCTACACGAGAAGTCATTGGTGCAAGGCCGTGATGTACTTCGAGAATCCGACACAAATGACCGCAAACGTTGGATTGCGAAGGATGGTAGGGATTGGAGCGGTGCATTTGGCGAGGATCCTCGAGACCTGGTGGACAAGAGAGCTGATGGGCACAATATCAACGGAACTACTAACGAAACTTCCAATGACTATGATGAGAATGATGACGATGCCGACAGCAATAATGACGGTAGTTCAGAGGAAGACACCACCACAAATAGCGCCAGCCTAACTACCTCGTCAAGTGCAGGTCAGTCCAACAAATCTGGTAATAAAGCCAACAAACGCAGTGAGCACCGCAAACAGCGGGGACTGATGCAATGGAAACCTGCTCGTAACGCAGCATTTGCCAAAGACGAAGCTACTTTTGCTCTGCGGAAGATGAAAAAGAAGTTTGGGATTGGCGACTTGACTGGCCGTGAACCGAACATCGAGACTGAAACTGGCTCTTAACACGAGATGAATCCTGCGTGATGTGTAATATATGAAATTCTGAAGGGATGTTGGATGTATTTTATAGCTTTTCGGAGTTGGAATATGACATTCTTTCGATTAAACAATCTAACGACGGATGATTCGTTAAAATTTGATTCTATCAATTAAAATTTGAATATCAATATCGAGCCACCAATGATACAGATTTCTCAAAACAAGATTTGACAGCCTTTGATAGCACTGAAATTCTTTTTTATCTACCCACACTACATAACGCATAATTCAACTGATCCTAGAACCACTTAGAACCTCGCAATGGCATCTTACTGTTTGATATACTTCTTCAACCCTCTCAATCTCTCCTTAGCCGTCTCGAGAACATCATCATTCTTGCATACTGCAAACCTCAAGTAGTCCTCAGCAATATGCGCATTTGCATCGGTATAAAATTCTGTGGGAGGGATAGCCGCCACACCAACTTCTTTAATAAGGAACCACGAGAGCTTGAAGTCGCGGGGTCGGCTGGCTACATGTGGAGGGAAAGGATAGTCTTCAGGCAGTTTGACGGAGGCCATGTTTGCAAGAACAAAGTAGCCACCTTCTGGATCAGAGTACTGAGGATACTTTTAGTATTTGCCTTGCCGGTGCTTTAAGGGTAAAAAGACTCACGGGGATGTTAAGTTCGTCAAATACTTTGCAGAAGAGATCGACTTTGCCCTTCATTTCATTACGAGATTCGTCCCAGAATCCCTGGCTGTCGGCTTGTTCGAATGCCACGGCAGAGGCCTCTTGTAGAGGGGATACACTACTGTAGCAAATTCGGGTATGAGCAGCAGCAACATACTTGATTAAATGGGGCGGTCCGATGAGATAGCCCACACGCCAACCCGTAGCATAAAACGCCTTGCCGGCAGAACCTACGGTGAGGGTGCGTTCGTATAGCTCCGGAGAGAGTGTTGCGATGCGTGTGAATGGGACATAGTATAGTCGGTCGTAAACTTCATCAGAGAGGATTATCAGGTTGTGCTTGGTGGAGAGAGCACCAATACGCTCAAGCTCGTCTCGCGAGAAAACTTTGCCAACGGGGTTATGTCTATAGTCTGTCAGTTTTCTGTCATAGCCTCCACTTCAGGTCGTATCTTACGGTGTGTTGAGAACCTGGGAATGGTTAGTATAAATACACTGAAAAAGAGTTTGATTGACTCACAATCATCTTTGTCTTTGGGTTGATTGTTTTTTCTAATTGTTCAAAGTCGATGGTCCATTCGGAGGCGGAAGATGTCCTAGTAGCACCGTCCTGTGGGGGATGCAGAGGGACATATCGAATGATACCGCCAGGCATCTCAATGTTGCTGATGTACCTTTTGTTGATACGAGTTAGTTAAGAAAACTCCAAACAAGGTGTTGGGAGACTGACTGGTCAAAAAAGGGCTCGAAGATGATGACTTCATCACCTTGTTCAATAAAGGCCATGAAGGCGCTCAGCATTCCTATTTATTGGATTAGCCATGAGTCATAAGCCATGGGCTATCCGAATTGAGCTTCAAACTAGCTGACCTTCATTTGCGCCGGTAGTAATCGAGACCTCGGTCTCGGGATCTAGTTCGCGACCAAATGATTTGGAGTAGGCAGCTGCAATGGCTTTCTTCAATCGTGGTCGACCCTATTAATCCAAACAACAAAAGTTAGTAGTGTATCCTGTGTTTACAAATGATGTGAATGCTATCATACCTTGGTTGGAGAATATTGGTTGCAATCCACCTTGTCGAGGGCTTCTTTTGCGGCGTCCAATGCAAATTTGGGCGGATTATAGCCACTGAAGAAACACAACCAGGGGTCAGCATGAGTGTAAATTTATGATATATGTCTTGTCATATCAAACCTACAAAAATCCCTGTCCCATGTTCACAATCGGCTGAACGGGCGAAGCCGCGGCCGCCTCATTCACAATAGTCCTATGAAGTCCAACTATCAGCGCGCAAGCCTAACTGGACAAGGCGCAAGGGATTCTTGAACACACCAAACATCTTGCCGTTGCCCTGCGACCCTTGTCGCAGGCCGAAAAGGATCGGGACGCACTGCAGTTGCAGACATGGCTCGTACAGAGTCGCGGGGAGTGCGGGGTGAGGTTGGTCGGAGACAAGCGGAGGACGCGAGACTTGTGAGCGCCGATGTTCGCAATAGATAGCGATAGTGATGCGTGCAGATTGCTGGCCTGATAGATAAGACAGGTAAGTTCCGCCGCAGAAGAGGAAACATGAGAGGAAAGCGCGAGAGAAGGAGAGGCGATTGTTGGATGTCGAAGGTTGTCAGCGTTCGAGAGATTTGGAGTTGTCCCCGCTTTAGGTTCCGCAGCAATAAGATTCAATGCTGCTTGCGTGCTCGCCCTAGTCAAAAAATACTTCAAATTGTCTATTAGGAACCTAGGTTCATCCATTATTTGGTGACAGCATTGTATTAACATGGGTATCTCTTAAATAAGAGCCCAACGCTCACATCCTACATACAACTCCTGAATACCCGAAACTTATCTGTCCCATCAAACTCCATCTATATTCAGACACTCCGTATAATAACACAACCCCCCAAAACGCACAATTGCTTTGTGTAGGTTAATATTCATCACAGTCATTATCATAGTCATCGTCAGTTGTTCCATGCAATAGATGATTGCCGAAAGCAAATATATCGTAAGCAGCATCAGTGCCATCATTAATATCCCCACTATTGCTCTGTTCTATCGGATCAGGCAATGGCTGATCATCGGGTTGATTGTACGTGGTATAAGTAAAGCCAGAGCCTTCCTGAGGGTCGCTAAAGATATCGTTGAATCTATTGTCATTCGTTGTACTTGGCGAGCTAGACGGAGGTTGTACATTGGCAGTGTATCCCCACGGTGTCGTTTGAGAGAGCAATACTCGAGGATCAATGGTTCTCTCGGGTGAACATGATCCCGCAGGGATCATTTTGTTGTGATTTCGGCTAAGTAGCTCATCCACGCCATGTTCCCACTGAAAATGAGGTGTATCTTGCCTGAATAGTTCTGTGGGGGTGCGACTCTGACATCTCTGACATTTGGGCTCAAGCCCGATGGCAATATTGAACGGCAGTATCTCAATTACGTCAGGAATTACGACGCTCTGCCCATTGGATGGTAGTCGAAGAATCTCTTGGATGGCATCTTGTATGGATTTCAATCGCGATTCTATCTGTCTGAATAAACCCGACATTGAAGAGTCCGGCTGTTGCTGTTGCTGAAAACGCCCGATTTTGTCAACGACACGACTGTAGATGGTGATAGAGCACCGTACAGCATCATCACCGGATCGCTTGGCTCGAACTTCTTCATTGAGGCGAGCGGCAAAGCGGATCGATACTTCGCATATTTCCATTGCGTAGATAGTTAGATTAAAGAAGATAGCAATTCGAGAGATATCCACAGCCATAGGCTGCACAGATATTTTAGATCGGGTAAAGGTCTCGATTGTAGCGAACAACCTGAACATTAAACAAGCATCTTTGTAAAGAGGATGTGCATATGCAGCTTGGTTAAGTTGTGAAATCGGTACGCATAAACGAGCCAATTTAAGCAACGAGGCCTTGACATCGGCATCAATTTCATCCAAGTCAAATTGATCGAAATACCCGGACCACGTGTTTTCAAATTGACGTGTACAGTCCCCTGATGCCCAATCGATATAGATAAGATCATGTGCAGAAGGCTTTCGAAGTGATATGTCTGATCTTAATTGATTTAGGATTATGCGCGGTTCTTCGAAATTCTCAACCTTCATTTGAAGCTGGGAATTCCGCAAGGTCGTCGATGGCAGACATAACGAAGAGGCATTACGGATGCAAGTAGTTTTGCTCTCGACACACAAATCGCAGGGAATATTTGAGCCGCACCTTTTCTTCTTGAAATAACACCACGTACAGGCGCCCCCTGCGTTTTTTGTTGCAAGCATATCCTCTTCTTGCTTTTGTCCCCGTTTTTTTCGTGGCTTTTTCTGCCCGGTTTCAATTTTCTCAGGAATAAAGGTGTGCCCTTCAACGGTAGATGGTGGCATATTAGGGGGGAGTACATTGGATGTTAACGGCGAGCCTGGGGCCTGGCAATGAACTGGTTTTTGGTGTCAGAAGCATGGTACGAATCACTCAATGAATACGACAACCAAATAAAAAAACTAACCGTGTGGATAGACAAATGTACTGTATTGACTCGGCACGTATTGCTGAGGGGAAGCACCAGCAATGGCAGGTCTAATACTTCTGAATTGGCGCTGCGAAGTTTCGACAGAAGGGGGTTGGTTTGGTATGGGCGGGACGGCGAAAGAGTGTGCGTTGGCATTCAAAAAAAAGTTTTGAAAATGGTGCATATACCAAGGGCTTTCTGGTGGAAAGACAAAGCGAGGGAGCGCGAACGGCCAATTATTCCACTGCCTTGGCGAGGGTAAGAAATTACCGCCAGAAACAGAAATCAAGGCAGGCCATTGAGGATAGATCACCGACATCGATGAGGCAGGGGCAGTGGAAGTGGAAGTGGAAGAACGGGGAGGCAAGCTTGACGAGGCGGAGCAATATATACGGTTTCGCCGAGCAGATTCTTGGTGGTCCTCCATGGCAGCTGGTGATGGGTTCAAGGCCACGACTGATGAGTTAATGCAAGAGTGGCAATGGCTTCAATCGAAGGTATCGACAGCAGCCAAAAATAACAGATTGACAAGAAGACGAGGAAGGGAATCTCAAACAAGAATGTGTATTAGTATGCACTGGTTCGGGTGCAGGGGTAGCCGGCTGGCGAAGAGGTCGTCAGACGACAGGGCGCAACCGAACCAGCACTCGTATGGACAAACAGGACATGGAAGGTCTGAGACGGGGTAAGATATAATCGAGCCTTCTTATCCCTCTGGCAGTACAACCAACAGTAGCTCCCTCGTCACTTTGCTGAGAAACGTTTTGCCCAAATCGCTTGACCGCCTTCAGGCATCTCCAGCATGATTCGACGACTCGACGACGACGGAGCCAAAAACGGACTAGGGATGCCGGCCCCTCCCGCGCTCCGCTGTTCTCCGCCGTCCAACGATTGGGCATCCAATCGTTAGCGGCTCGGCAGCGGGCGGGGTGGACCCTGTCAAAATTCTGCCGGCAGAATGTTTGTTTACTTGCATATCTGAAGAGAGTCGCAATCTAGCTGGTCCTATATCCATCTTCGATTAGGGCGGGAGAAGCAAAAGTATTGCCTTCCTCATGCCAATGAAGATTCCCATGCTGCTCATCTGGGCCTGCGCGCGCGTGGTTTCCGAAATGGCAGATGTACACAGTTCAAAGTCGCCGCCACGATTGCGCGACCCCACATGCTTATTTCTCTGCGCTTCGCTCCATCACAACACATCCTTTGCTGGAAAATAATATCACAATAACAGTCCAGCTAGGCATTCTACCTAGCAAGATCCGGGTCTTCCATCTGGCCAAGGTCGTCGTCTTCAAGGAAGATTTGTCCTCGCAGCTGTTCCGGCAGGTACTCTTGAGCAACTTTGCCATCTTTATAGTTAGGGTTGTATTTGTACTCTTTGCCATAGCCAAGCTCCTTCATCAATCGTGTTGGCGCGTTGCGTAGGTGTAATGGAATCGGCAAGCTTGCTATTCCAGGTTCCGCTAATGCCGCATAGGTGTTGTTGAGCCCGCGGTATGCCTTTGTGCTCTTTTTCGCAAGCGACATGGCCACAGTAGCATGTGCTAAATTGATCCGGGCTTCAGGCAGGCCGACCTTTTCGACGGCACTGTGAGCCGAGATTGCAAGTGTTAACATACTGTTATCGGCTAAACCAATGTCCTCCGACGCGACAACAATCAAGCGACGTGCAATATACAGTGGGTCCTCTCCAGATTGAATCATGCGTCCGAGATAGTACAGCGCAGCGTCGGGGTCGCTTCCACGGATTGATTTGTGGAAAGCCGAGATAGTGTCATAATGCTGATCACCAGCTCGGTCATAAACCAACGTCTTTGTCAGCGATTTCTTTAAAGTGTCTGTCGTCATGCCATCCCGTGTCGATAAACCCATCGCCAGCTCCAACAAATTGAGAGCTGTTCTGGCGTCGCCGTCAGAAAATGTGGCAAGGTAGTGAATCAATTCATCATCAACGAGTTCGGACGGGGAATAGCTCGGGCCCTCAGTCGCCAAGGCACGTTTTAAAATGGAAGTTATGTCATCCTCGGTGAGCTTTTCAAGCGTGAATGTTCTGCATCGGGACAATAGGGCGTTCTGAACCTTGAAGCTTGGGTTTTCGGTAGTAGCAGCAATCAGAGTCACCACACCACTTTCCACGGGGCCAAGGAGCACATCTTGTTGGGACTTGGAGAAACGATGGATCTCATCGCAAAAGAGTATCGTTTTTCGACCAGTCAAATTCAGCTCGCTTCGTGATTCAGCAAATATCTTCTTGCACTCGGCAACGCCGCTTGTCGTACTGTTGATCTCCACAAAACGGCTGCCGACCATAGCAGCAACTACTCTGGCAATGGTTGTCTTTCCAGTCCCCGCACCACCCCATAGTATCATACTAGGCACTCGGTCTTGCTCGATCAGCGACCGTAGAAGACCATTAGGACCGACTAAATCCTGTCCACAGACTTCATCAAGATTCTTCGGCCGCATTCGCTCGGCCAAGGGAGCCGCTCTTTGAATTGCATTTGCCTTTGGTCGTTTCGGGACTGCGTCTATTTCAGTCTCGATGGGTCCGGCCTCTGGTCGTTTCCGTTTGAGATCATCTTGTAGCGGAGTCGATAGCGCTCCTTTGACACCATTGCTGTGAGATGGGGTCGATGGGGCCGGAGGCTGGGCTGTGCTAGCTTTGCGTGCAGAGGAAGGTTGAAAGAAACTGGCAACCGGGGTGCTCTTCTGGGAAGATGCGGAGTCGCCTTGGCTCGAGAAGGGCTCGTCGATGAATTTCTGGCAATTGGAGTCGATGTGGGCGTTGATGTTGATTTCCCTGACGCTCTTTGCGCAGATAGGACAGGACACCATGGCTGATGGATTGATCGAGTCGGGATGGACGTGGAGGGAAAGAATCAACCGTTGGACGCGTCTAGGCAAAGCACAATGCGGCGGACGAGTACGGCAGCCTTGAAATTAAGGCGCGGAAAGCACGTCCTACAGCTATTCACAGTATGGTAAGAAATTGGTCTATTGAATCCACCATTTAATAAAATAACTATAAAATACCAGCACATTAATACAATAATTAGCCAATGCAAACCTGGATGTTCAACAGTGTTCGTAATAATAAGTGCAAGCCCAACCCAGTAAACTAGCGGGCTCAGCGCGTCTGCCCGCGTCTGCAAAACCATAACTACTTTTATTGCTACATTATTATACAAAGGCATATTTACTCTCCTCGACTCATCGCGCCTGGGCGAAACCTCACGTCGCCCCGCAGATGCAGCAACACCTCAGGCTCCTTCGACCTTTTCTTCTTGCCTTGCCATTCGCAATTGCCTTTCCGCACATACACCAATCCTGAATAATCTTCTCCATCGACAGCCGGCCGGGTCTATAATGGCTTCTTCACACCCGCCATTCGGATCGCGATCAGCATACGCGGGCGCGGGCGCAAAACTACCGGATCGAACAAACCCAGTGCCGTTCAGCGCGTCGGCATTTTCGCGAACTAGGGGACTCGGTGGTGCAAATACGGGAGATGCTGCACAACAGCAGCAGCAGCAACCCCCAGCGCCGCCGGCGCATTCGCAGGGTGGCACGATAGGACAGGATACTGGGGCTGCGAATCCATTGAATCGGTTGACTGAAGAGCAGCGAGAAGAAATCAATGAGGCTGTGAGTTTCGGTCGTCCTTGTATTGTACTGTATTATACGTATGCGAATGTTGAATTCTGATTCCGCGTGGATCTAGTTTACTCTCTTCGACCTCGACCGCGACCGCCATCTAGACTACCACGAGCTGCGAGTCGCCCTACGCGCCCTCGGATTCACTCTCCCAAAACAAGAACTAATCTCTCTTCTCACAACATACGGCGTTCCGCGCCCGCAGGTCCAGCAGCAGCAGGGGCAAGCGCAGGGACAGCAATCGTCACAGCATCAGAACAAACCCAATCCACCTCCCCATCCGTCATCGCTCCTAATGCCACTTTCCGCATTTCAAACTGTCACCTCACATAAGATCCTAGAACGAGATCCGCGAGAGGAAATCCTGCGCGCCTTTGAGCTGTTTGATGAGGGCGGGAAGGGCTTTATTGATTTGGAAGATCTCCGTCGAGTGGCTAGAGAATTAGGCGAGACGGGGCTTGAGGAGGATGAGTTAAGGGCTATGATTGAGGAGTTTGATTTAGAGGGAGTCGGCGGTGTTACGAGAGATGGGTTTTTGAGCATTTGCTGGCAGTGAGCATGGGAATTGTTTTGGGATGCGTGCTTTTTCTCTCTTCTTCTTTTTTTCCCTTTTCTTGAACTTGATCATGCCTTTATTCTTACTCTTACTGTTCATCTGGAAATCTAACGCGTGTGGACCTGGGTCCTAACATTAAAGTTTTCCTTCTTTTCGTTGCCAGGCGTTTGAAAGGGATGGTACGTGTCGAACGATTAACATCAATTGATGTTTACAATTGTTCCAGGTTTAGAAAGGCGTCTTTTATTGAGACTTATATAATCGCTCGAAGATTCTGAATACACCAAACGGCCGTAACGTTAACTGTATATATCACTACCTAACCTAGATGCCTACATGGTACTCTATTCCACTTAGAGCCTAACAAAACGGACCAAATATATGGATATGAAAATTCCTCAACGTAAATATGAGAATAAAAAAGAATCCCAAAACAGAGAAAGTCAGGGAGATAAATGCAAGAAGGAAGCATTATAGAAATAGTCGTTAGGCGTATCGTGGTTGCGTTATAGGAACATGTTCACCATATGTTGGTGGCGGATACGCAGGTGGAGGATATCCATACCCTGCTTGTTGTGGTTGTGATGGAGCCTGTTGCATACTTCTTGGTGGTCCTTGAGGTATGGGTCCTGCCCATCCTCCACGTCCTCCTCCACGGTAAGCACCTGGTGGCGGAGGCGGGTTGGCTTTTCGATACCTGCGTCGTCGACAAGACGAAATAATACAAGAAAGAATTACGAGCAAAAGTAATCCACCGAGACCAGCGGCGAGGCCGATGACCAGAGACTTGTGGTCATCTATCCAGGACTTGATTTGGCCGCCGACTGATGAACCAACGCAATTCCCGTTACTGCAATGACCGTTCCCGTTGCAGGGAGTCCCGTCGAGGAAGTTTTGCTGCATGCTGCCGCATTCGTTGGAAGGTAGCACAGAGGAGGCACAGTAAAGAGTACACGCGGAATTATCACAGGCGTACGTGTCGTTACTACCCAGGACAGCGCCGAGAACGGTGCGGCATTGAAGATCACGGCTTGTACATTGTCCGCTGGCACATGCAAGGCCGGTGTTGTTACCACTTGTGCAGCTCGTGCCATCTGATTTATGCTGGTCTGCAGGACAGTCTCCTGAGGTACCTGAACAGACTTCGGCGATATCGCAAGGGCCAGAAGCAGCGCGGCAGGTGGTATTGACGGCCGAAAACTGGCAGTTGGTACAGCAGGATTCGTTGGAATCGTCGCAAACGGCGTTGTTTTTATATTTGCAGGTAGTGGCATCGCAGCAATTATTGTTCCCGCAGCCTTGAGTTCCACCACAGTCGCAATCTTCTCCGCTCTCGACAATGCCGTTGCCACATTCACTACCGGTTGTGGTGACAACACCTTTATTATCCACCAGACAGTTCGATTGGACGCTACTCCGGCCTATCGCCGAGCAGATGTTGCCAATTGTGCACTGCGAGAAGTTTTCGAGATCCGCACTTGTCGTTGGGTTCATGATATATTTGCCGTTAGCATCGCAGGTTGTCGAAGTCAAGGGACAGCATTGTGAAGTCTTTTGAAGTCCCTGTCCGCATGTCTGACTGTCACAATCATGGACTGCGCCAAATGTGTGGCCGGACTCGTGGCTATTACAAGTTAGTTGAGGTGTTCTCAAGGATGAAGAAAGTCGAAGTCACATACGCAAAAACCTGCCATTCAGTAGATGTTCTCACAACGACATTTGCTCCTGCCACAGTCGCATTGTTTCCTCCATGCACACAAAGTTGTCCAAGCCACGAGACACCCACTTCACCTCCCGTTGCACAGTCACTCATTAGGGTCCAGTAAGCATTTGTGTCATTCTGCTCACCACGCCACACTGTGAAGTCATTCAGTCTGGTCGTGATATTATTTCCCGAGCTACAGTCAGTGTTCCATGGCGTTGCGGTTGATGTGGTGCTGCAGCTGTCGTTATTGTTGACGATCAAATTTTTCAAACCGAGTGAGATATTAAAGGTGTTCTCATATAGAGTAGACGCCGTGTTGACCATTTGAATGATATCTGATTGCGCAGCTTCTTTTGAACTGAAAGTTTTGGTATACGCGCAGTCAGTTACAACGCCGATCAGCGCCACCCTCTTAGTAGATGGGCAGCCTGCTGTGTTGCCAATAGTTGATGCTAAGTTGATCCCTCCAGTATTACCACCGACACCCCCAGTATCGGACTGTCGACGAGACAACCCAAACATCTGGTCTAAAGACATGGCACCGTAATTAGGCGACTGTGGTGGCCGAAACACGGGGTGGTTAGGATCCGTGTTAAAATCCAGTTTATCTGACTGGCAAGAAGCATCAGCGACGGATCGCCGTTTCAATTCAGTGTGCTCGACGGCCCCCATGTCAGAATTTCGAAAGACTACCATATAATCTTCGTCTCTTTCCTCTGGCAAATGATCGGACGGTCGCCATGTACGCATGTAATTGGACCGCAGTTTTATATTATGATAATCGTGCATAATACTAAAAGCCCCTTCGAACATGGGCTGGGGACCATCCTGTTTGACGTAGACGCGTGCCCAGCCGGCATGTGTCCAGTGTCCTGGTTCCACCTCGGTCCATGATGATCCCTTAAAGACTCGATGCTCCCTGCGATCAATTGGTTCGGAATCGCTGATACTGCCGTCGGGGTTGAGATAGCCAATCTGAGCATCCTCCGGCAACACATCATGGTTAGGCTCCAGCTTTAACTTGACACGCTGCACGCCGTTGTGAAGGGAGAATGTGACATCAAATTTTGAGTGAGAGTGTACTCTGTGAGACGGCGTATGGATGACTACATCTTCCAGATCGGAAGTGTACCGAATGGGTAGTGGAGCTTGTGAGTTGGCTACGAGGGAATTGTCAGCAGCGACTTTAATGTATAGGCAGAATCAATAACTGTACCGTGGACACTTTGGAGAAAGACTGCGGTCGCACTGAAAACAGCGGCGAACCAACTGTAGCCAAGCTTCATGTTGGCTCAAAGCCTTGCTAACGGACTGGCGATGATACCATAAAAAATAGAGGCCAATGGATAGGTAGTGTGTCTGTAACGCGGGGATTCGGCGCGATCGTAATGAGCGATGGGATGCGATCTGAGCACGGGTTGCAAGCCGGTCAGGAAGAATTCCGCAAACGATGTTAGGAGTGCGGCCAAGAAGAGAATGAAAAGAAAAAGAGAAAGGAATGGCGACTTTCAAAAGTCAGAGCCGGCCATCATCTGGATGGTCAGATTAATCAGATGAATCAATGTTGCAGGTGAGATCTATGGCTGTCAGTGCAGTTAGCGGCCCTTAGTTGGGGCGCAGCGGCCTTGGCGGCTCTGTGGTGTCTCGGCTGGTGGCTTTGTACATACGCTGGCCACGAAAGCCAAGGTCCGGGAGATCCGGATGGACAGAGTAATTAGTATTAATTAATTGCCAACTAGATTGAGATGGAACGAGTTGGAGGAGTTATCGGTTACTTAATTACTAACTAGTACTAATTAAGTAGTAATTAAGTAGTAATTAAGTAGCAATTAAGTAGCAAATAGTTAGGCGGCAGCTCCACTGCGATAGTCTAGACTGTACTGACTAGACTACTATATAGACTGAGAGTAGAAGTTGAATCAGGCCCAGTAGAATGTAATGATAGGTCAGTCAGGAGCAGCATGGTACAGAGCATGTGCAGATAGTGCAAAAGCAGGAATATGGCCGCCGCAGATACCGCATGCTTCCGTAGAGAGAGCCTCTTCTTCCTCGTCACTTTCTTCCCAAGAAGCGTCATCGAGCGGTATGTTTTCTGAGGCCGAATTCTGCTGGGCCTGGGATTCGGTGTCAGAGCGAGTCTCTTCCAAAAGTCGCCAATCCTTCAGAACCTCTTCTTGTTGCCGGAACATCTTGCCAATGTCTCTGCCGCTACTCTGCCTTTGATCCCCGGCGCTTTCCACCATGTTCGTGACGGCGACGTTGATCAGGCTCAACTCTCCGAATGGCCGATCAGGATGCAGCTTACGGAACATAGAAACTAGACACTCATCCACTAGCTTTTCGGCAATAGCCTCGGGATTTTCTCCGAGACTAAAAATAAAACTTGGAGCATGAGCCGATCGCGATATGCGCCCGTTGGCGTAGCTATATTCTCGAGATCCGTCGCCATTCATAGGAGATCTCTGACGAGTTGAAAGGCGAATGGTTCGGGGATGTGCTAGCCAACGGTGCACACCATCGTCATCTTCTTCGACTAAGTCAGCCCTTATTCGCCTAATCAGGCTTGTTGCAAGAACGTGTAGTTGCCTTTTGACTTCATCAAATTGCTGGATTCCCTGGAACGAATCTTCAATGCTTATTTGTGTCGGGACAGCTCGCGCTTCTTGAACTTCACTGTTATCTACTCCATTCAATAGCTCCCAAGTACGGACCCCAACATCCTTGGAGGCTCCAGGGCCACCGAGGATGTCTAATAACTTAGGAGGTCCCATGCCTGGGGAAAGTCGAACGTCCCGCACTTTGACTTGTTCATCTTGGGTTCTTTCATTGTACGGCTGAACAGTAAGCTCCCGCTGAAGTAGGTACGTTCTGAGTTTGTGTGCTGTTTTAAAGCCGATACCTGGAATCTTGCCGATCTCGTGATCATCAATAAATCGTGTGACGTTGCTGACGTCGGCATCCCCTTGACCTGGTACATACGGTGGAGTAAGAGTCGTTTGGCTATTGGGCTTGTTCACATTACCAACAAGTTTGGCTAGTAGTTTCGAAGTGGACACACCAACCGTGGCTGTGTATCCCCGCTTACGATCGAGATGGGTCCTAATATGGTCCGCCAAGTAAGACCCGAGAATAAGGCGCAGTGTCAACGCGTCTAGGTCATTGTTAAAAGTAGAGAGTGTACTCAACATCGGGAAGGTTGGCCCGCAAAACTGAGTGGCGTCAAACTCGAAGCCCTGTGTTGGGTCCCGTCGGTCAAGGCAAAAGAATGAGTGCCCCAAGTCATTCCGATTCAAGAGCCCCATGTTGTGGTCTATCATGTCAGTGACATCCAAGAATACCTTATGAACATAGTTAGCGAGCTAGTTTTCTTCGCCTTTCTCGGTCGTAGTGCTATACCTCATCAAAGCCTAGTCGTTCAACTCTGTGACCCCACAGAAATGCTCGCAGGAAAGTATAGAGGCTTTTGGACACGTCTCGGAACTTGGTCAAATCCTCGCCAAGGATTATGACGACTTCGGGGCATATTTGCTTCGCCTCCTTGATGAGTTGTAACTTCCGCAGACCCCTTCTACGGGCTTCATAGTTGCAAGTGACAACGATTTGTTTCTGTTGCACAGCCAGCGGCAGCGATTTGAGAGCCGGGTTCTCTGCTTCTAGAACGCTGGCATAAAAACAGTCGTAATCCTAACCCAGGCGTCCGTTAGTCATACATGTTTTGTTTTGCTTTTTTTCCGTCACATTGATCACTGACAAAATGGATGATGATGCGGTTGTCATCCCGACGCAACATCGTCATTCATTCCTGGATAGGAATGAAGAAGGATCATGGGACCAATCTTCGGGAATTTTGCTTGTGTCCCGCTGCCAGAAACAAAGCCACGCTGCGTTTACTGCGCGCCGAACATGTTGTTGATCGGTACACGAGCAGGTAGCTTTGATGGAAAGATCAATGCGAGCTCTGATATGGCATGACAAAATTCTCCGAAATGGAAACAAAGCAGCCGTCACAGAATATCTTTGACGGAGTCTCCGAGACTTGAAAGTAGTGAATGCAGACGTCAAGCCTCATCGTCATGGTCGTGAACTGCGCCACATCGTCGAGTGGCTGGAGGATTCACGTGATTGGTTGACGTGCTGTAGTAGGGTACGGTTTGTTTTCCTTTGTCCCTTCCCATTTTTCCTCTTTGTTAGGGTTTTCTTCATTTTCTCTTTTTTTAATAAGCGAGGACTGTGTTGGTCACGCCGAAATCAATGCAGAGGGTCAGTAGAATTGTAATCAACGGTTGGCGGCGTGATGCAAACGAGGCGAACGGGGGGTTTGGGAACAAAGAACCAACTGGGGTAAACTGGATCAAGTCAATAAGAAATCCACAGTAATAATAGTGATTGATGCTGTATGTTGACTGCCACGGCATCACTGTCACACAATCACACTGCTGAGCGTATCGCTGTATCAAGTGCATGCAGAGCAGGAGGTGGCCTCAATGGGCCGCGTGGGCCGCCGCGGGCTGTGGACTGAGGTTCTCATTGGTTGCTATAGGCCTCGTCAGGCCGATGCCCGGCCAATGAGCGTGCGAAGGATGCATGTCTTTTTTTAGACAAGGATGAGCAGACTGTAGTCAGAACTATTGCCTATGCATTGATAATATTAATAGTTTATGCATCTGCCTACATAGTCACATATTCCTAGTACCAATAGTTACTATATTAATACAAGCAGTAAGCTTATCACTCTCCTGGTATAGCAATGCTCCTACTACAAGAGAAATGCGGGATCTGCAAGCTTTAGTAATATTAAGAACGGAAGTATTAATAATAATACTGTTATTATTATATAACGTCAAGGTGGCCATTCTGCATGTAGTAAGACGCAGTAGCATCGCAGTCGCATTGCATACGACGGAGGACTACGGGTACGCATCGTAGACGCCGGCGCTTAGCGTCCGCCAGTCGGGCTGCCCGTGGATGCTTCCGCTAGGCTTTACTAGGCTTAGCTTCTGTCCATCTTTAGCAATAGCGACTCCGTATTTAGCACGGACACACTAGCCCCCCGGGCCTAGTCTCGTCTGTATTTAGAAAGCGCCACCAGCCAGTGCTTGCCCTTCTAGGCGGCCTGCCGTGATACTAGTGCTCAATCCTAAGTATTATTCTACCTAACGCCATCGCACTTGTCCTTTACCCTGGCAAAAACCCTAGTTAGATTTAATCCTCGCAACCCCTCATCTCATCTCACCTCGCGCGTTTATTAATCAGATGAGATCCCCATCAGATTCTCTTCGATCTGTCCTGGCACTGTGACTGTCAGTGCTCTGAATCAGCCTCTGACAGCATGACCAACAACCCTTAAACCGCCTCTAGATTGTGTCATTGTATGCGCCGTTGGCCCCAGACTCCAGAGTCAGACGATTGTCGCCAGTCTCCGCCGTCACGCAACCAGCCCCAGCCCGCCGCCGGCGCTGTGACTTTTGCTCTATGATTAGTTTAGCATCGCTCCACCAGTGTTCGATCGCTTCTCGATAAATCTGCATGGCTTCCCCCGTCGGAATGATCTCCACATTACCCATGTCCTTGGAGGTGTCGCATTTCAGTCCACCTGCTTGCGATTCGCCCTCTGCTCCCTCAACTTCCTCTCCATCGCCGTCCCTCGTATCACCGACAACCGCGCAAAGAATGATTGCTCTCACAACTACGGCGACGCCATCGGTGACGCAGAATACCAGCTCGACAAGACGGCCGAAACTATCTTTGCAGACTGCTTCCGTCCCCCTCACATTTGGGAATTCCAGCACAGGCTTTGCCAGAACTTGTGCGACAGCCTCGCCCACCGTTCGCAACACTTTCAACAACGCTTATGAAGTCACACGACCCTTGTCTGCCGTCGACTCGCCGTCCCCCTGCAGGCTCTCTAGCAAAGGCATTCGCCATGCTTCCCCATACTCCTTTAACTGCAACTACTACCGATCATCAGAGGTGGCTCCCTATCAACAGCCCTTAGGAGTGCGCAGTATTCTTCGCAATTCTCCTTTAATGAGACTGTCGGTGACACGACATTCGGTGTCGATCTCTGCCGGTGCTGCTTCAGAAAACCGTCGAGTGTTTTTCCCGGCCAGAAAACAGGTTTCATTCCGCTCCCATCTCGAGGAGGAGATTCGCACGGTGCGGTTCGTCGCCCGGCATTCGGACCTCAACGCCGATCCGGAACCAGAATCAGAGGCAGAGAGTGAGTGCGAGAGCGGTTCGGATTCGAATGGCTCTCAGTCTGACAGCCATAGCTCATCTGGAGAGGATGAGCGCGACGTCAAAGAACGACCGTACAGAAAAAGACGCAAGTCTGTTCCTAGCGAGCGGCAAATCCGGGCTGCAGCTCTGAGAGACGGTCTCACTGCCAACTATTCCGCTGTATCAGAACCAACGCAATCAAAACGTCGACGGAAATGGCGCTGGACTTTAGATGAGTGTACAGCATCTAATACGGTGGACTCTGAGAACCAGCCTCCATCCCCATTACATCCATTACAGCAATCAATTTCACCAAAAAGTAACACTGAAACGAGCTCATGTACATTCCTTTGATGATTTCTTTTTTTACTACTAGCGATTTGCATGATGTCTTAGCGACGGCGCTCTGGGGTAGCTCATTGCATGTTGCGTAGTTGCAACAACCACCATCATATCATCTTTGTAATTTCACGAACCTTTCTTATTCTATCGACGCACGTCGTGCATCTCATTTTCATTTTTTTCTATACTTTGCGTTGAGCGCAAATTTCAGACGCGCTACAGAATATTACAATACCCAATGAATGCCCTTGACTCGAATCCACATTCTATTAATATTTCTATCTCAGTTTAGTCCAATTTTTAGATAGATCTCACGTAAAACCCCGCAACCAGGCGTACAAGATTTGGCAAACTATAAACCCACTTCGTATAGAAACCCTCGGGTTTATAGTTTGGCCCCCAGGCGTTGGAATTTCTAACCACGCTGGAACTATGGATGCGTACTCAGAAGCTTAGGCTTTAAGCTTTTAAGAGACTAGAAAAGTTCAAGAATGATTATTGTCCTTCCATCGGCGGTTGAATCCTTCAGCTCTCCACGTTTAGACTTTTCTAGGGCACACAGCTCGAAGCTAAAAATACAACCCGATTTATTAATACTCCGGCGATATTGTTATTGTCCGCGAGATTATTAAGACTCAAATGCATGTGGCACTGTTATTAATGTTATTGTTTTGAGTGGATAACCGCCAATGATGTGTAGTGTTTACTCTTGATGTTGGGGATCTTCATGGATGTAAACAAGCATATGTTAAGCAATGTTTACGTATTGGCGAATTGACACCTATATGTCAATTATAGTATTGCAAAATTTGCAATAATGTTGATCGTCTATTTCGGATGACTGGGTCTGTCGTTTCACAACTGTCAGCGTCGAACTATTTTGACGTCATGCTGATTGGTAATGCACCGATTTCGTCAATCCAGGAAAAAATGGAAAACTTTGCAACTACGAATGAAAAAAAGACTCTTGTTTTCTTTTTTTTGCAGGTGAGAAAATATGATATCAATGCCAACCAGTTGCTACTGGAGACGTCAAACCCTAACGAACCAACAATAATACGTAGAGGCTGACGAACCCTCAGTCATGATTCAGTCCTACCAGATGCGATAAAAATGGACATCAAAGTTAATGCTGACGGAATAACTTGTTTTAAATCTAAAATGATCCGATAAATTGTATTTTGGTACTGATTGACATATACATTTGATGTCGAAGTGTCATCCATGACTTGCGTGATTGGTTTCAATGTTACTTCATCTCAAGGCAGATATATTAGATATGACAAGTAGATAGAATTAAATTTAATTACTAAAACGGACCGAGGTTTTGACCTCTGAAGCTGAAGCAATTAATCTGCGACATTCTCAATCTGGAAGTTCTTTGGTTTGAAGGATTTACAGGGATCGTCTGTTTAGAACTTGAACGACTCGTCGGTGAATTCTGCTGATCTCCCCCTTGTGAAACTGTAGATCTATTTTGACCTAGCAATTCATACGACTTTTCAGCTAGTTAGCTACTAACTAAGTAGTCCGCTAAATGAACTCGATGCTAACTAGTAAACTAAATTTCTTTTCAATGGCATATCAGCGCCCTCCTGTATGCGTGTTCTGTATGGTAGCGTATATTTCGTCTGTTGTCAGCTTAACAATAGCTGTCTTGTTCAGTATGAGCATGTGAACTGGCTGCACTGTAGCATCTTCTGCTACCGAACGTGAAATTCTGTTTGATTCAGCTAAACTTTGTTTGCATGCATATGGGACTCTTAATATGTGTCCTCTGACCATCTGTATAGCAATTTAAACTGATAGGCATATTGCAGTATGGTAGTTTGTTGAATTAGGCCTTTTGGTAGTGGTTTCTTGACGCGGCGTGTTATGATTGAATCGATATCGTGGTCAAGCTTTGCTTGAATATAAGCTTGTAAAGAAAATTCTGATTATCGGCAGCATGCCACGTCGCGTCATTTGTCTGGAAATATCCACAAAATCCTGTTGAGAGTGTGTGTTCCAGTTCTTTGGCTCTTGAGCGTAAACATGAAGAGAAGATCGAAACAAGGATCGAACCAAAGTAGTGAGTAGTGGGTTAGTCATTCATTACAAGCCTCTACATATGCAACCACATGATAAACTTTACTGCAAGCTAATCGACTCAAAAAACAGTTTTCAATTTCCCTTATTGTGACCAATTACTACTTGTACATCATCTTTATCGCTTTCTCGTCTTCGCCTCGCTCTCACTCTCATCTTCCCCCCTGTCCTGCTCAGAATCCAGGTTCTTCTATCTCCATATCTCCAATTGGCCAGTCCCAGCCCGTTCCACGCGTAAACAGGCGCTCATCCTCAGGGAGCACACACGGGAAACCTTCACCCCGTGTGCGTCCCTGGATTGCTGCCTCTATCATCCCTGGGAGGCTTGGGTGGGTGTGGCGGTGGGCACGCAACAGCCAAAAATTCGCCTCCATATTCTTCATCCTCTCCTCGAGGAGGAGAGGAGTGGCGCCGAGCAGGGTTTGGAATTCCTGCTGGCACAGGGTGTCCCGGCACCCTCGACGGTTTCCTCCAGACCAGTCGATTTCGCAGGCGTGCCGGGACCCCGTGTACCAGTCCATCAGATCGCACTGGAACTCCATGTTCATTTGGTACCGCACGGCCCGGTCCATGGCGGCGGACCACAACCCCTGTTCGCGGAGTTTGTCACGTATCATTCGGAACAGATACCCTAGGAATTCGACTTGCGCAGGGGACACTATAGAAGTAAGTAGTTAGTAAGCTCTTATATATGAATATTCTGGAAATAAGGGATCTTACTAAAAAGACAGACTCCCAAAATGCGATGGAAGCGGTCTTTTAGGACCGGATTGTCAAATGACACAACATGAACGACGCGAGTGGAACAGCGGATATTTAGAACATCTGCTGGTTGCCCTGCCCCGATGTAGTCCTCCCAGTCGCTGAAGACGAAGTAATCCCCGGAGCGATCTACTGCGTGGTGGACGGCCTGGCGATGTCTCTCTGGGTTATCCCAATTGTAAAGATTTGGTAGTAGAGGGGGGGAGCTAATCACTGGCAGTTCGCCGCGAGCTATGATTCCAAACGCGTATTGCCCGCACCACGACCAATGGTTCTTGACATCTGCAAAGAGATGCTCTTGACTACAGTAGCGTATTTCAGAGAGAGGCCCACACCGAGGACAAATGACTGAGGTGTAATCGAGGGAGCAACAACGCTTATCACAGCTGGGTAAGGTGCATTTGAAACCGGTACTGTCTAGCTGAATGAAAGGAGTTTCACCAACCGGACCTTTAGGCCCAGGTGCCTCAGGCTGTGATTTCACTGTTGGATTGGCCAGTGCGGGGATGGGAGCTGCAAGTTTTCCCTTCCCTTTCTTCTTCTTGCTATCAGATGGCCCAGGCTGCGTTGCTGGATTCAGAACATGCCTACTATCAACAAATTCATGATTGGGAATATATGTTTTCTTAGAGGTCGGCGGCAAAGGTGGAAATTCCTCACTCGTAACATTCGGAGGTGGTGCTTGGACGGTAGCTGAGCCTGATGGCAAGTGCTCTTCACTGGCTCGCGCTTTTGGCAAGGCGTGCTCTCTGACATCTCGATTGTGATCCTGATCCTCGACGGCTGGCCGTGATTTGGACAAACCCTGACGCCTTTTTGCATGGGAAACAACACTCCAGCCAGTGTCATCTTCTGGGATTTCGATGATACCATGTTGATTCGTAGTGATTGCCATAGGTTCCCCAGTATGTACCTTCTCCTGATTGAGATTTTCAGACTTCATTGCCTGCTTGCCCTGCTTACCCTGCTTACCCTGCTCGCCCTTCTTTTTCGATTTTTTCTTCTCAGGTTTTGGTTCTTTCTCGTCATGGGCTTCTTCTGCACTCTCATTAGGCAGAGTATTGGTAGGAGATGATCTAGGCTGAGACACGGAATGAATGGCTTGTTTCTGAGGAGAGCCGGTCTCAATAGTATCGGGTTCATTCGACTCGCGTAGCACATGGGCGGTTTCATTGGTCTTGTAACCACCAGGCACCAAATTTCGGGATGCATGAGTCCCCAAATGTATCGTGTCAGAAGGTTCTTGAAGATCGGTATTTATTTCAGACTCCTTTCCTTTCGCGAGAGAATTCAGCTTTTCAGTGTTTTGCTGGGAACCAGTAGCTTCAGTAACAAAGATATCTGAAGTCTCCTGTCCATGTTTCTTATTATTCTTTCGTTTGCTTTTTCTCTTCTTTGCCATGGTCGACAGAGTAGACACAGAGACAAGTTCCATGTTGGAGCTTTCTTCCTGACGATGTGAAAGTAGATGAGATCTTTGCGGAAGAAGATCCTTGTCGAATACTTTTGGAACCTTTGGTCTATTGACAGGGTCTTTCGATGAGCTAATAGCAGAAGCTGTAGGATGATGAGGCATAATCTTCGACTTGCCAGAATCTGCCACAGTTCCCTTTAGATGTTCTTCATGCTGTTTGTTGTGGTGTTGAATGATGTTCCACCACCAAGGCTGTGAAGGATCTGGTTGAAACCCAGGGATATTGGCGTAGCTTTGGCTTGTATGGTCGAAACAAGATTGGTAGTATGTGAATACCAGATGTATATGGATCTGAGGAAGGACAATCTGGACAAATTTCAACTTATAAAAGTCAGCATATGTGTAAAGATAGTAAGAAGAAATAAAGAATTGTGAGATTGCTTACCTTGTCACCGTCAAGCTCTTGTTTGTATTCTGCTTTGTTTGTGTTTACCACCACTAATGCAGGAAGGCCCATGCAGGTAGGACGGACACGAAAATAGAGCATATGAGGCATGGCATTATCATGTGCCCATACGTAGCGACATCCAAATGCGGTGGTTGGGTTTTTCCATTTGATGGCCTTGCCCTTCGAGTCCTTGTTTTTGTTGCGGTTGGAATTCTTGGACTGGGATTTGAAAATTTCGACGACGTCCGTCAGATAGGATTCTATAGCACCATCACCCATGTGGATTGATTGAATGCCATATGTTTTTGGATCGCGAAGGAAATTTGTTGTGGTCAAGAAGAGCCCCTTTTTGCCGCCTGGAAACTCCTTTGGCACGAGGGTGTGGATTTTCAGAGTTCCATCTTGGCAAGGCTCTGCCTTGATAGGGGTTTCTTCATCCATCTGGCAGTCTGGGGGTGCTGTTGACACATCGCACTGGAAATCAGCAGTGTGCCAATTGCGAAACTCGAATGTAAGGCAGCTGGTGCTAGAGTCAGGAAAGTTGAAAAGATTTCGAATGTTCCCGAAGAAAGAAGAGGAAGAAGAGCCCGAGGGTGAAATAAGGGAATTTTTTTCCCCAAGAGTGTGCCCTGCCTCATGGTCCTGCGTTGGGGCAGCATCGTCAACAGTATCAAACTGGTCTTTGTTTGGAGTGGCAGCGCTGATGGCGCTGCTGGGAATATGCCCCATCATCTTAACTAATGACCGTTAGCAAAGGCCACAAAGATGAGTTTTGTATATTATATGATAGAACGTAGATTGTACAAAAGACAAACTGGGTGAGTTGGCTTGATGTTCACTCAATCGTTCCTATTATTATAAACGTTAAGTTATTAATGCAGTTTTCACATCGCAGGTGAGAGTCAAACACCCACCTTTATGTTTAGACAGAACCTTCATCTAAAACTGTAAGTGGATGCACTGTTGTTGATACAGATGAGTCTGGATAGGATATTTTTGGATACAAGTGATGGTAAGAATGTGAACATAAAGACTATCTAACTAGGGTTGTCTATCCAGGGCCAGGGACACGAACACAAAGCAGACCAGAGTTCTAACTTCAACGGATTAGAGACTAGATTTGCAATTTACTGGCGGTGAGTCTGATTATGCCTTTCTCTAGATGAAAGGCGGTGCCTTATTTGGAAAAGCAAGCGAAGGCCTGACTCATCCTAGCATGGCTCATGTGAAGAGCTCTATTTGCAGTATATTAGCTAACTTTTCCTAATTGAATTCAATGAATTGCCCCATTGTGGGCCAGAAATTCGAATATGCCGGTATCCTAGCGAAATGGGGCATCTTATGCGTAGCCATCTCTGAGATGGGACAACTTCACGGAACCTAAACTTCTGATAGTGTTTTTGAACAATTGCGACATATGCATGTAGTATCTGATAAAGTCTGCCATATCTCAGAAATAATTGTAATTATCATCGAGATAGCCATGATGTCCTGGCAGTTACCCATTTTGGAGAATATTAGATTATGAAGACGGGAATCACTCGAGGCTGGCAGACTGGGGGGCTATCTTGGAATTGTCCCACAGCTAGCTCCCAGCCACCCTAGAGGTAGAATCTAGGTTATGGGCCGTGATTACTGCGATATTGAGGTTCAAGTCGAAAAGATGAGGTTGATTCTACCTTCGAAAAAGGTTTAGATAGCAGGCTTCCCAATCGGGAATAGCGCATACTCTGACCAACAACCCGCAATTATACCAGGTCTGCTGCATCCCATAGCTTAATACAGATTCCTTTTTACATACAATATACTCGCACCGCCTGCCCTGCTATGGTTTCTATAGTAATTGCTCCACATATACGAGTAGAGGTCAGAAATAGAGAGCGTTGTCGTGAATGGCCTGCGGGTGTTTCGTCGCAGCAGCGCAGGGGCAAGTGATTGGCTGTGCTGGCTTCTCTACGCGCGCGTTTCAGCGGTATGAAACATGCGTCACGTGAGCCCAGCGCCTTCTTATTTTAGAAGCAGACAATTGACCACCCGATCACTGCTAATCCTCCCATCACTAATGCATGATTGATCAATCAGAAGAAGAGCTCCTCCCTAAGCGCCTAACTCTGCGAGTCTGGCATCTGTTTCATCATCGATCGATCGAGCAGCCAGCCAGCGCCTAGTGCGTCTTGCTGTGAGTCTTGGAGGACTGATTGGAGCAGACCTCATTGGACCCTTGTTGCGCTAATTCAAAAATAAGCTCAGGTCGCAGTTGACTGGCCGCTTCTTCACACTTCTTCACACTTGTTCTCAAGTCCCTATGACCGGGCACAGGGCATTGGCTATCGATGCTACTATTCTCGCGGCATCCTGGCGCTTTCACGTCTCGTTCCTCCACACTGGAAGGTACTTCCAGTCAACAAACTAGATAATTTAGGCAGCACCGCTTAATTCAAGCCTGGTGTTTGGTAACCTCAAACTCGCTGACTTCATTTGAGTATCTTGTTTTAGAACATGGTCAACCTGAAGAATGACTGGCTCGCTGCCGCTGGGCGTGTCCCGTGTGCTAAGGCGACACGACATGCCCCAGATGCATTCGCATCTTTAATACCCAGCAATACCCTACCCTGACAAAGTGTCAGAAATTGAATGATGATTCATATTATTGAGAAACGAATGCAGTGTCTCACCCTCTATTGTCACGTCGTCTTTATTCAGGCCTATTGACTCTTTTATTCTATCTCCACTTTTGACTGCATTCAACAATAGTACTCATGGAACAATAACCGTTGACTCACCATCCTCCCTCCCCTCTCGGTTCTTTCTTTTTACTTCTTCAACTTATATTATATTCTACCAACCCCTCCACTTGTCTTATCCCATCATAGAAACCTTATACCCTCCAAAATCATCGTTACAACCTTGCATGATCATCATCTTACACCTCGAACATTAATCACAAGTACATGCGCTGGTCGCCACTGTTACTTTCTCGCCATACACCATGAGAATACTCGGCCGTACAATATTTCCCATGCTTCCGCCGTACAATGATCAGGAGGCTCCTCCATACACAGACCCGGATAAAGCCACGCCTTACCTAGGTATTAAAGCGCGCTTGTCGCAGGTTTGGATCAATAGATGGACGATCTTGATTATGCTAGTACTCGTCCGTGTTCTGATGGCTATCACCAGCTTGGAGGGAGACATGGGAGACGCCAAGACGAAGGCTCTTTCTGCCTGCAACAGTGTACAATCTATGGGAAGCACGATGGCTTCTCTGCCTCATTATATGTCTAAAGGAGTCAATGAATTGACAAGTGACGGCATTACAAAGGCTGTCAATGGGCTGGTCGAAGTACTCGGCCTCATGATTTCCGGAGTCGAGGGGCTGGTGCTGTTCTATATCAATTTCCTCGTGCAGACTTACCTATGTCTGTTTACCTTGGTAGCCAGGGGAGCTGCCGAGATGGCATTGACTGTAGCCAGTGACGTTACAAGTTGGCTTAATAAGACACTTCCTAGCATCGAAAACGACATTTCTAGTGCGATGCAAACTGCCGAAACGGGTCTGTCAAAACTCAACGACTCCATCAACAGCATCAAGAAAGATTGCAATAATTTCATTACGAAAGGCCTTTGTGACGATATTCCCAGTATACCAACCATTAGTCTGGAGAATGAAATCAATGAAATCAAGAGCCTCACACTCCCTTCATCTATTACCGACGACATAAATAAGGTAAAGAACGAAATCCCGACCTTTGATGATGTTAAAAACAAAACAACCGAGGCAATTCAATGGCCATTCGAGCAACTCAAAGGACTTGTCAAAGATAACCTTGGAAACTACACCTTCAATAACTCTGAATTTCCAGTTCCTGAAAAGCAGTCACTAGATTTCTGTGGCAAGAATGATGGGATTGACGACTTCTTCACTGGGTTAGCAGACACACTCGCATTAGCCCGAAAGGTTGCCATTGGTGTTCTCACCGTCATAGCAGCTCTCGTCTGTGTTCCCATGGCTTTTATAGAGCTCTGGCGTTGGAGAACGACAAAGAAGCGCGCTGAAATGGTTCGTACTGTTCATGACTCACTTGATGTTGTCTACCTTATCTCGCGGCCGCACACTTCATCACTAGGCTTGAAGGCTGCTAGACTCTTCAGCAACAGTCGCTCTCAGATTTTAGTGCGCTGGGTATTCGCCTACGCGCTCTCAGTTCCGGCACTTGTGATGCTGAGCTTGGGTCTCGCCGGGCTTTTCTCGAGTCTGTGCCAGTATATTCTACTCAAGTCTGTAGAAAAGGAGGTCCCGGAGCTTACTGCTCAAGTCAGTCAATTTGCCGACAAGGTCGTCAGTGCATTGACCAACGCCTCTGAAGAATGGGCATTGGGCACAAATCAAGTTATCAACTCGACTAACACTAAGATTAACCATAATGTCTTTGGCTGGGTCAATACGAGCACCACGGCTTTGAACAAGACCCTTAACACTTTCCTCGACTTATCTAACCAGGCGATCAACGATACGTTCGGAAAAACACCGCTATATGATGCCGTTAAGGGCATATTCGACTGTGTTGTGGAGATGAAAGTCCTAAATGTCGAAAAGGGACTGACATGGGCATCCGACCACGCCTATGTCACTCTCCCTAGAGTCCCTAACGACACTTTCTCCACTGGAGCTGCTGCTAGCATAAACAGCGGTGACAGCTTTCTATCTGACCCAGGCTCCACTACGTCCAACGAAATTACCGAAGTGGTTTCCAAGGTGATCGACAAATTGAAAGATGCCATAAATACAGAGGCAAAGATCGCGGGTGTGCTTGTTCTGCTGTGGGTGTTGATCCTCCTAATGGGCATCTTACGCGCCTTGAGCCTGAGCTGTATGCGTCGACGCGTTCGCGGCGAAGGGGGCGGGCAACCGGCTGTCCCTGGTGCTCTTGATCGCGTCGAGCCTCCTATTGCAATGAGCGGCGGTGCTGCCAGTGCTCCCAACGGCTTCGAATACGAACATAATCAAACCCCTCATGGTGGGACCTACGCTTCGCAAGATACGAACCGCAGCGCACCCCTTGGACAAGAAGACCCATTCCAGCAAGCAGAATACGAATATCAAGATCAGAAAATAGGATTTGCCGGGGAACGTGACTACTCATCAGCTGTCCACCCAACAAATTCGTCTGACATGCATACCCGAAAAAGCTCCTATGTGGAATTTGGCGGTGATGAGAAACATGCCTAAACATCATAATGATCTCTCTCCGAAAAGCATCCCTTTCCTACCATTTCTTTTCATCTGCATTCTCGTTATACCTTTTAGCATAGCTTTGGATGGAGTCTTCTTTCGTATGTCTAGCATTTGCAATCTCATCCGTGCAGCGCTCATTTCATATGATGTGCTCTACGAAAATATGAGTAATTCTGCATCATTCATAATGTCATAGATCGGTGGTGGGTTGCTTTGGTTTTTCTTTTGTTTCGACTACCACATTTGCATTCTAGTGCCACTCATTAGATACACGTATTATTGGCTTCCTACAAGCCTTACAAAAACATACTACACTTAATCAACAATGTGATTTGATCTGTGTATTACCTCTAGTCTCAACAATGAAAAATGAATGCATTGAGGACATTAGAACCGTTTCATAACTCGGTCACAAAACTCGTATCCAGTATACATAGCTCATCAGCCAGCAAAAATACCCGTCATAAATAAAACGTTGAATCCACGCTTAACACACTCTCAAATAGCTACAAAGAAACTCTTTTCTCCCTCTCTTGGGGAAACCCTAGCCCTCTCAACAATAGGGTCCGCACAACTAACCCTGATACGCTCTGGAGTTGCAGGGCTTTGCAACTGCAAGACATCCGAAACCCCCCATTCAGCTCTAGCTGCTTTGAGGGCATCTCGAATTGCGAAAAAGACTGCACTACCCATGAATAGTGGAGGTTCGCCCACACCACGAGACCGCTGAATTGTCCGCAGGTTTTCCCAGTTGACGTCCTTAAGAAGAGAGACGTTGAATATCTGCGGAATATCTCGGAAACCAGGGATTTTGTAAGCGCCCGGCCCTTTGGTGAATATTTGCCCAGAGGCACGATGCCAGAGACTTTCCTCTGTTGTAAAGAGACCTTGCCCTTGAATGAAGGCGCCTTCTATTTGACCGTAGTCAATAGAAGGGTTGATGCTTCGCCCGACATCCATTTTGATATCAGCTCTCAATGGAGTCCAGTCGCCGGTCAATGTGTCTATTTGCACCTCTACAGCAGTGACTCCTTGAGTGAAATAGTAGAACATTTGACCCTTGTTCTCACCCCAGACATAACCAATATCTGGCGTACGGTAGTAACCATTTGCTGATAGGTTAATACGATCGAAATAGGCGGCATGAGCGAGTTCTTTCATCGATGCATTTGGCATCTTTTCGCGATATGGTCGGAGGCGTTCATTTATCTGCTCGCATGCATTATAAATGGCATAGCCGTTAAGGTCAGAGCTTGCAGATGCAGCCGTAGAAGAGGTGTTCGCTACTGTATTTGTACCAGTCTCAGATATATGGATATCTGTAAGAGGAACTCGCAATGCCTGAGCTGCAACCATGCTCATTTTTGTGTGAAGACCCTGGCCCATTTCAGTACCACCATGGGCGACTAAAACACTTCCATCATGGTAAACATGCACCAAGGCGCCCGCCTGGTTGAGAAACAGAGCCGTGAACGAAATACCAAACTTAGTGGGGATGATAGATAATCCTCGTTTCGACCACTTGTGGGTTTTGTTATATTCGTCCACCGCCTTTCTTCGCTCCATGTAAGAGCTCTCCTCCTTTACTTGTTTGTACATGAGCGGAACAAAGAAGTCCTTCAACTCCTGGTTGAAGTGTGTCTTATCCCCAGGTTCGTACATGTTTAATGTACGTAGTTCATCGGAAGACATGCCGATGTGGTCAGCGACTTCTTCCATCATAGACTCACACATGAACATTCCCTGCGGCCCGCCAAATCCTCGGAAAGCGGTATTGGAGACTGTATTCGTCTTGCATAGCCACCCCCGTACATGCATATTTGGGATTCTATATACTCCATCGATATGGGATAACGATCTTTGAACTACGGCACTCGACAAGTCTTGAGTGTGGCCAGCATTTGCAAACACGTCTGCATCAAAGGCAAGGATTTTTCCTTCCTTAGTAACGCCCACTTTCCATCGGCAGAGGAAGGGATGACGCTGTCCGGATGTTATTATGTCCTCATCTCGATTCAGCATACACCGAACTGGTCTTCTAGTTTTATGGGCAGCCGTAGCACAGATACCGGCAAGTTGAATAGACCGAGTTTCCTTTCCACCGAAACCTCCACCGAGTCTCTTTACTCGGATGACAACTTTGTTTGCCTGGACGCCGGTCACTTGTGCAACATACGTTTGTCTTCAAGATAAAAAGTTAACAATACGATGCGTGTAAGAGATCTGGAAACTCACGTCTCTGTTGGATTCTGAGTGCAACTAAACACTTCAATCTCTCCATCTTCCGGCTTCGGGATCACAACGCATGCCTGGGTTTCCAGGTAAAAGTGTTCCTGACCACCCATTCTTGACACACCAGTGAAGATGTGATCGGCTTCCTTGAACCCCGTCTCGACATCTCCATTCTTGATGTGTGGGAAATGGTCAAAGTAGGAATCTGCTTCTATAGCTTCTTCAATCGTGAGTATAGCCGGCAATTCTTCATATTCGACCTTTACCATTCGTGAAGCCTCTTCCGCAGCCTTGGCAGAGGTGGCAAGAACCATTCCGATGGGTTGGCCAGCTGTAAATACATCATCAACTGCAAAGAATTGCTCGTCGCTCTTCGGCGCGCCCCACCAGTTCGCCGCGGAAGATGGAAGATCTCGGTGATCAACGTAGTCGTACACGCCAGGCATATCAAGAGCTGCTTCAGTATCCACTCTCAACACTTTAGCTCGAGCCTTTGTAGAAAGAACCAAACATCCGTAAAGTTCGTTCTTCTGTACCGGTATATCGTCTGTGTATTGCGCCTCTCCAGTACATTGCTTCAAAGCCGAGAGATGGTTTCCTGACTTTCCGACAACTTCTTGCATATAGGCATCAGATGCCTGGTGATCCTTCTGACCTGTTGAGATATTCCTCTCAATTTCATCAGTTATGTCTTGATATTTATTCGCTTCTGCCACATCCAGGGTGGAAAGGGTCTCATGATAAAAGCGATAAAAGAAACCCAATGCCAATGTTTTCCGATACGTGGCCATGCCTCCTGGAACGCCAAAACTCAGGTCAAAATCTTTCTCCAGTGCATTCATAACGCCTTCCAAACTTTGTGGATCGGTGAGCCTCTTGCCAATGATGTACTGTTCCGCATTGGTTGCTGAAACAGTCATTGGTGCCATGCCACCGTAAACAAGATTAGCACTTAGGACATCATTGGTCTCTGAAAGCGAGATTCTTAAAGCAGCATTAACAATAGCAATGTCATCGTCTTTCCGCTTCGATTGTTTGTAAGCTCTGAAATGTTCGCCCTTTTGGGCAACCGGAATACGTAAACTAGCAATTATAGCATCTGCGGGGAGAGCAGTTTTGCGATATCCCTTGAAGAATTGTGTCATTGGAATCTCGGTTTCCCCTGATAGACACTTAGCAACCAGTATGGTATTTGAAGCCACAAAAACGGGGTTAAGATCTGAGATGGGAGAAGCAGTGGCTAGATTTCCAGCTGGCGAGGCAACGTTTCGAATCTGGCGTCCAGCGAAATAACGCAGTTGCTTCTGGATTGCGGCAAATGGCTGTCCTCTAGCTTTCCCATACTTTTCTATTGCCTCGTCGCAGATGTTCTCCAAGTCTGTCAAGGACACATTTGCACCTAGCTCCAAATAATCTTCTTTCAGGGTGTATTGTTTTAACTCAGCGATATCACCGACATAAACCGACGGGTCATACCGCATCGCTTTGAATTTGATCTCGATTTGTGTTTCTGTACTTCCACCGATGAGTTTCGCAGATGGATAGGCATTTTTGATCTCCAATAATTGCTGGAGGTTTACTGGTCGGTACCATCTTTTCTTCTTGTTACCCACTGCAAGAGCTCTAAAATCATGTTTTCTCAATGCAGGCGGAAATATTAACTCGGTTTCTGGATTATAAGGGATAAAGTCTGGTTTTGGTAATCGTAACTCTACCCCTTGGACATCATCGTTGGTTTCGAATGCCCTATTGGACTTGCAGCAGCCGCCAGCTCCATTCTTCTTTTCCATACAACACCCCGTGCCACCATTTCCTTCGGCCTTTTTACACCCACTTGCAACCGAGAAGCTGTGGGCAGCGTCTAGGATGGGACGGTATCCAGTGCAGCGGCAAAGATTGCCATCAAATGCCTCCTCGACGTCGTGAGATGAAGGCTCCGGGTTGTTGCGAAGTAACGCATATAAACTCTATATTCGTTCTTAGCTAGGTTCATAAGGCGTCATCAAGGAAGCCTACCATTACGATTCCCGGGGTACAGAAACCACATTGACTTCCATTACCGACAGCAATTCGCTGTTGAGCAGGATGGGGTTTTTTAACATCGCCAATTCCCTCCACGGTTATAACATGCTTTCCATCAACACTAATGACAGGCGCAAGACAAGCGTTCACGGAGGCATGGTATAGCTTCTTGGTAGTTGGATTGATTTGCGAGACAACCTGCACCACAGTCAGACAAATGATTTCATGTTTGACAGGGATACCGTGTAAGTACGTACCACGGTACAAGCACCACAGCCCCCTTCCGCGCAACCGAGCTTTGTGCCCGTCAAGCCAATTCCTCTGAGATACTCTAAAAGAGTCAACTCGGGATCGACATCGTCCAACACGACCTTAGTTCCGTTGAGATAGAATCGAATAGTATCGTGGTAGTCTTGGGTAAGCTGGATCAAATTCGAGATCTTCTCTGGTGGTACAGCTAGAGCCGACACCTCTACAACACTTGGTGCCATGACTGCAGGCGACGGTACAACAATCGATTCAGATCGATAAAACTTGATGAGTGGCGATAAGTAAGAAGTGGACACCCATCACCCAGATGGCTGTAACCGTCAAACGAGAGGGTATATATCGTGACAAACTATATAATAGGATGAGAGATGAGAAGGAGAAGAATCATCCTGGCCACATGGAGAAGAAAGTAATACCCAGAGCATGATCTCCAGCTATTCCCAACAAAGGACGAGGGGTCGTCGATTGTCTCCGCGAGAGGACTGAGCTTATCGGGGATTTCCCCACTCCAGCCGGCCATCGCCACTGTCCGATGGTCTGTGGAGCGGAGCTGGCCTATCAATGTATTGATTTGATATTGGTGTCTGTAAGAAATGTTTGCGAGGGAATATTATCCCGAATATATTAGACTGAATCAAGGCATCGATACATGTACACTACCAGAAACGTCAACAAGGCACAGAAAAATATAAAAATAAAACGCCGTGCCACATGCTCTGTCTATAAATCGCGAAATATTTACAAAAAAACAGACAGATGTTAGAAAAGGAAAAAGGACAGTGTCGTCTCTTAATTCACCCTAACTCCAACAAACTGCTTCTCTTCTTCCTCCCATTGCTCTCGTTCCACTGCGCTGCGTGCCCTGGAAAGTGTTAGCGAGATACGTTTGATCAACGAGACGCTCTACGTGGGAGATTGGCGAGGAAACCAGATAACAAGAAACTAACCTGTAGGCTTGCACGAAGCGCCACACCTCCACATCAGCCAAATTCCAGGCTTCTGCGACATTGCGAATGCTGATACGGTTCGTTTGCTTGTCACGGAGGAGTTCACGGGCTTTGCTAATCAACTCGTACTCTTGTTCCAGGATCGCGTTTGGTTTGGTTTCAGGCTTTTTATCTTCTCCATCTTGCGCCTTCTCCGGCGTCTTTTTGCTATCCTCAGTATTTTTAGGCTCGTCCCGTGGAATCTTAAAACCGAAAAGCCATTCGAGTTCATCCAACACGGTGGAGGGTGGCTCTTGGCCAGGCTGAGCTGGGAATGTCTCCACCGTCATCCAAAAGGTTCGCCACACAAAATCATCTCCGGCAACAGTTTCCTTGAATGCGACTGCTCGCGAGGATTCCCCATGATCAGGGCCGAGAAGCTCTTTGGTCACTTCAGTTAACCAGGGGTTGCGTGAGGTCTCCCGGCGGATATATTTCACATCAATATCTCCGGAGGTATGTTGAAGGCTGATGAGAGTGTACGGATGCGGTAATGTTCCAATAGTATAAGCAGTGGTAGTGTTCTTGAATGACTGTGGCTGTGAAATGGGAAGTGGTTTGGATTGTGGGTCACACAGCTGGCACGTAGGTCGATTAGGAGGACAAGACGGTGATTCTGAGCGAGGGCACTTGATAAGCGATTTGGCCAAATGCATTGCAGGCTCTATCAGTGCAGACGTGTGTTCAGGAAGCGGTTTGAGTACGGCGATACCAGACGGAAAGATATTGAGGAAAGTGGTATGCAGATGTGCATTAATCAGCTCTGCCAGGGCTAATCGGCCATTTACTGTCGAAGAAACATGTTTCTCGGCAAGCTTAGGGTAAGAGCTTGTGATAGTGCTATCATGATAGTATGCCAATGCATCAGAATGTTCCATCTTAAACATCTCTGCAGGAATAAGCTTAATGATGGATGTGGGAAGGGTGTCTTGGATTTTGTCTGCAGCTTCTGTCGCGGCCTTGATCGCATCATTGATGACGTTCTTCTCTCCTGCAAATAAGGCTCTATCTAGATCTTCAAATCGTGTGATATGGGTGGGTAGAGCACCGGCTCTGAGATAGGTGAAGATGTCATCGTCGTAGCCGGCCATCGGAAAGCAACGCCAGTCGGCGAACAAGCCTGTGCCCATGTTACCCCAGGCGAGCCACTTGACGAAATCCAACTCTAGCTCTGGGCCAAGATTTAATTGTTGCCGTCGTAGTTGAAAATCTTCGTACAACTGGTTGTTTAATGCTTCGGCTTGACTGAGTACTACAGGCCGAAAGCCTTTTGCATACCATGCGCGTCGCCAGGCAAGCAGCAGCTCACTATCTGCATTCTTTTCTGCATCATCGTCCTTCTTGTTTGGTTCGTAAAAGGTGTACACGGGCGGACGTTCCGGCAAGGGAGGGAGGACGGTACGATGTTCATCGAGTGTGATGGACGACGAGAATGGGTTCATCCATTTCCAGTCACTGTACCACTTCGACTCCCCGCTGGTGCTATGTTGTTGCTCAGGTGGTTTGTGAGCGGCTGGACGGAAAGGATGGCGAAAGTCGTCAAACGAGGTTGGAATATACCGCGAGGGACCGAATTTGACGCTTGGCACTGACTCGGAGATGGTTCCCGACGACCTGGAAAAGATGAATAAAACAAAGCCGACAATAGCCACGATAGCTAACAACGATGTAGTGCGCTGAGCAATCATGGTTGCAGGGAGCGCGAAGACGCCAGCTACGTCGACGGAGCGAAAGCGGTCTTCCTGGCCACAGGCTAGCGGTGGGCAGAGGGGGGTGTGGTGTCTCTAACGCATTAACACCACCATAAACATAAGTCACTGACGAGAAGCACGCGATTGTATACAGCACCAAGCTTTTGTCTGTCGACGAGGAACGACGGTGAACGAAAGGAGCAGGTTACCTTCCACGCAAGCAACAGCGGACTGACTCGTAGCCTTACCGCATTTGGATAACCATCGTATCCACTTTGCTTGGCTGCTTTTAGTCGACAAGAAGATCGGTCTAATTTATGTTAAATCATTGTGTTTTGTACCTTGAGGTGTCGCTAAAACAGTCGCCGTAAAAACTAGACTGGAATATCAAAGAGGCGCACCGAATAGCCTCAATCCCCAGGCAACAGCTTAAACCGTCGATGCCTGAGGCAGCGAAGACTAGGGAGCCGCCAGATTGAGGCAAGATAAATAGTCTTGCTATGAAACAAGTGTCATTCAATTGTACAAAAAAACCGAAGAAGATCATGGTCAAGGTTCATTCAGCCCATAGCGAACAAGAACAACCAGCATGCGCCTCTGCAGCCTGATTGGCCCAGCGCCCTATACAAGCAAGTATCCAGAACAGGCATAGCGCGGGCGGGATGCCTGCTATGACGAGAACAAGAAGAATATTCTTCATTGAAACCTCCTCACGCCCAAAATAAAGATCAGAGACCTGGTTACTGCAATTTTCGAGACCGGCTCTACTAGCAGTACCAAGCACAAGCTCGCCTCCAGCCTAGAATATACAGCCGCATCAAAAAAAAACTACCAGCCATAATCCATCCACCATGGGTTCTATGATCCTCCCGCATCTCCAGAATGCGTGGCAAGTCGATCAAGCCATCCTTTCAGAAGATGAGCGTCTGGTGGTAGTCAGGTTTGGAAAGGACGCACATCCTGACTGGTGAGTCCATTTACTCATTTCTGTCTTTCCCATACCGTGTTCTTCCCATACCTGCTAATATCTGCGCAGCCTACGGCAAGATGATGTTTTATCCAAGATCGCGGACCGAGTTAAGACCTTTGCTGTCGTTTATTTGTGCGATATCGAACAGACACCAGACTTCAATGCTATGTAGGTGTTGCATTCTTTTTGACTTGCTATCACTGATCATCTTTCAGGTATGAACTATACGATCCAATGACGATCATGGTATGTCCCTTGTCGCTCTGCTTCTCAAAGTGTATGACTGACGTACATCTAGTTTTTCTTCCGTAATAAGCACATGATGTGTTAGTATACTATATTTCCAATGTTCTAGACGCCTGCTGACGAATCTATAGGTGATTTTGGAACGGGTAACAACAACAAATTGAACTGGGTGCTGTAAGTTGCGCCTCGTCTCACATGCGTGGTGAATTACTGACAACTACTGTAGCGAGGATAAACAAGAATTAATCGACATTATCGAGACAATTTACCGTGGTGCGAAGAAAGGGCGGGGTCTGGTTGTCAGTCCCAAGGATTATTCCACTCGGTACAGGTACTAAAGCTGTCGACAATGCTGCTATTCCCTGTCTATTATAAAAAAATTCATATACACCATTCATTCCTTTGAAAAATTCTACATCTAAATCTGTAAATATCGCAAAACCTCATCAACAGCCCAATCTAGAATCTCCGTCATAGGCTTCTCTCCCTGCCCTGGAGCGACAAGGACACCGGCGTCATTGCGCATGTTTACACCTTTGCCGGCCAGCCTCAACAACTCTTCATCGCTCTGTGTTGTACTCTTGGCGTACCTATCCGCCAGGGACTCCTTGCTACTCGCATCCTCCTCTGGAATTAATAACCACGCATGGTCCTGCACATATCTCGGCCAAACGATATCATCAACATAACCAGGAGGATCCGTCCAAAAATCCTGTGGTGGTGCGTCATCCTTCTCATTCAAATCAACCGCCGACGGGGCTATATGTTGTTGGTGGTTATCGCCCAAAGGACGTTCAAGGGGTGTCGGCGCTGGGCCGATTGTGACATATCCACTCCTCGCTTCCCTCCGCTGTTTGACAATGTCATAAGGTGCCGGGAGAAAAAGTGGCAAATCAATATTTTCCTGAACTGGTCGTAGAATGTGTGAAGGGTTCTCAGAGGCAGGGGGTGCATAGAGCAAGAAACCTTCCAAAATCGCAACTGTCAGCGGCGGTAATTCCTCCCCAGTCCCGGACCCGGCTGTTTTCGAGTATTCTTGGGAATTTGACAGCCGTGCTTGTACACTCTGACTTATGCTCTCTATTTTGGCTTGTGTAACACCAGGATCCGTTGCCTCGTTCTGATCTTCCTTGCTTTGTAGTCTAGGCGGTAGAGTTCCATGTTCTCTCACATACGCCAGCGCAGACGCTAGAAAGTTGACATCAATCGCACCAATGGTATCCCAGTCCTGAACTAGCTCTCCCTTCGCGGTTGTTGTAACTGGTATCCTATTATTAAATTATCCATAAGTTAGGACTTTACTCTCTAAAAAACGGATATCTTTCTCTCTGCATCTCTTACTTGTCGTCCGAATGATAAAAGTCATCCTCGTGGATAATAAATGTCCTCACGCGGTTATCCACTGCAAATATCGTGCGTAGAAGTCGTGCAAGGGTTGTTTTACCACTTGACGAGGGGCCTGAGAGCCCGATGACGATTGTTTTGGCACTTTTCTTTGGACGCTCGGGGGTTTCCGCGAGGTCTGTCATGGCAATGTGACCGATGTCTTTAGTCGTTTACCAGGTACTGTCCAAATATATAACAGAATAATATTTTTTTGCTAGGATTTGTAGTATATTCTCACTCGTGCGCATTGGGCATGGAGGCTTGAAAGAGCTGCAGAAGCGAGTAAATGAAGCTCTCATGCCAGTCTAAATAGCATTGCGGGGACAGTGGGGCAGTACAGGCGATAAGATAATGGGATTCGAGACTCCGTCCATACTCATTCTCCCTACCTCTTTTTAACTTAATCATGAGAGTTCAGTACACACCGTCTAGTAAAATCGGAGTATCTTTTTCATTTCATGGATAACCTGGTGCCAGTTCTAAATATTCAATGTTGTTACATCTACATAAACGTGGAATGAAAGTAGAAATATCAATTGATAACACCATTGTCTTGTAGAGATCAAGAATTAAATACATCTGAATGACATATATGAACAGTTTTCATTAAATTTATCCTCAGAACAAACTAGAACCTTGGGCAGGCAGTTCTATATCACTGCCACGAGGAGTAACCGGGTTTGACGCAGGAATTTACTGTGGTGTAAGATCTGATCTGTCTGGAGATGGCGATGCTCTCGGAGGAGTCATAACAATTCCATTCTCGGTAACGATCTGGAACCTAGGAACCGTCTTTTTCTTCTTAGGTGTATACTCGGGTGAGATGTCTGACTCAATCCAAGCAATACCGGTTCCATCCCGAGATGACTTGCGTTTGGTTGGAGTGATTGGGTATTCAATAGACGATTTAGTCTCACGACTGTAATCATCTGGAATCGGCAACTCATGACGGTCAAAAAACCCGGAAGGCTCACGCAAGTATGACGGTCTGATGTGCTCGTCATTCTCTGGCAAGGGATAGAATCGCTCGCGTTGAATGATGGAAGTCATAGTCGAGTCTTCAAGCATATCCTTCTCTGCATGCTGCATTTCTGAGTTTGTCATTTCCTGTCTCCTGCGCAACATTTTCTCTTCCAATGTATCTTTAAGAACCAACGTTTCAACAAACACAGGTCTGGTTTGCCCAATACGATGAGCACGCTTTATAGCCTGGCTCTCAACATTAGGCCTCCAAATCGGGTTAACTATGAATATCCGGGACGCGCTTGCGACGTGTAGCCCATGTGATGCCTGTCGTAAATCCATGAGTAATATTCGCACACTGGATGATTCTTCAAACAACGAAAGATACGCAGATTTCTGACTTGTTTTGAGCGTATTGGCGTAGATTCGAAATTCTATACCCAACATTTCCAAACCCTCGGCAATCCAAAAAGCTGTGTTGTTGTTCTCATAGAAAATGATGATTTTTTCCGTCTTATGAAGTTCCTGGACCCGATCTAGAAGATATGTGAGCTTTGCAGAAGTAGTTGCAACAACTTTTGTCTTTGCAAGAGGCAACTCGGGTGAAAGTTTTCTGGTAATTCCTCTGAGAAACGTCTTTCTAGGTGATCGATTCTCTGCTGGTTTGTTTTTGTGTGTGAGTGTATCCGCTGCCCCCGACTCATTTGCACTTTTGACAGACTTTTCAGATCGCTGTGATAATTGGCGTCGAGCAACAATGCCCGCCCCAGCTAGTCCTTCAGACGGGTCATCCGCTGTGAGATTTGATGTTACAAACAATTGGGCATGTCGGGCATGGGAAATCCCTAAAAGCAGCGGTTTGTTGGAATCCGGGACACCGTTATTGAATGTCAACGACCATTGTTCACGAGCATGCTCAGGGAAATCTTCAACATAAACACCAAGTTCATCGAGATGACAAAATGCGCTGTAGCTTTCGCAAGAGAGTGCGCGATGAGCAATATGCAAACCCTCCATTAGAAGCAAGGTGTCACCTTCTGACATCTTCTCGCGATTCTTTTCTAAATATTTCAGGGCCACATCTATAGTCGTCTCCAACTCCTTTTGCTTGTGACCTGTCCACCAAAATCCAGCCTGGCGAAGATTGTTTATCAACAAGCTAATATGCTTCCTGTTTCGACTCTGAAACATGTAATCTTGATCGATACGCTCCGACGTAATTGCATTCACCGTCAGAGAGAATAGGAAGATATTCAGAGATACTTTGTCGTAAAATGTTGGCTCAAGGCTCACGACTCTGTTGTACAGCCTTGGGAGCGGAAGCTCATTGTTGATGACATCCAGGCGATGTCTCACAACAAGACCTTGCAAAACCGCACGAAGAGATGGTGACTTTCTCCGTTTACCGTCTTCTCCTATTGGTTTGATGTACTTTGTCCAATTCGCAGGGTCTTCCGACCGCGAATTTGCCCAAGGCTTATGCTTCAGAAACTCCACGACAATGAGACGCAACTTGTCCACATCCTTCATTTCTTCATCAATAGCGGTGCCAGTCTGTTTGCGAGAAAGCAAAACTGATGATGCTGTGTCATCGGCAGGCCAAGCATCAGTTGCGAGTGCTTGCTGTGAGGCGAGACTCAGTTCGGCCCCGTACAGTCCATTGGAAGGCGTTCCAGAAACCACCCATCTGCGTTCGATGTGCAGTTGATCTAAGAGGTGCACAGTACTCGACTTGTGCCCATGGCCTGCGACGTTGTGGCCTTCATCTACAATAATTCGAAGCCAGTGAAATCTCTTGAGTGGTGATTCGGAGGAAGCAGATGGAGAACGACGATTGGTTTCAGGCTCCCCAGCCTCCTTTTCAAATCGAGTACGCGAGAACAGTATAATATCATAATCGAACAGTTCATTCATAGGAGGCGTCTTGTCATTTCGGTTTCTCAAAATCAACACTCTCAAACCTTCGGTGTGAGTATCAATTTCCATTCTCCAATGGTCAACCAAGTTAGGGGGAACAATTATGAGAGTCCCCGAATTCAAGTAAAGGCTGACTGCTCCTGGCCGTGACAACCATCCACCACGACTTTGATACCTTGAAGGAGGAGGAGAAATTGTATATTTCCCCCTATTGAGCACGCACGTCTGCACACACCGTTCATAATTTATACCCGACTCTTTCAATCGCTGAAAGTGGTTCTGCCAGGGGATGGAAAATCGCCCAGCCGTAGCAGCGGCCATCTGCATGAGTGAACCAGTGGTGTCACGCACTGGATTGCTAGTATTTTGATACTCCGTCGGGATGCGAGGAACATGGCCACGTGTAGATAAGATGACTGCGAGACATATCAGGGTTTTCCCGCAGCCCATGGTTTCTGCCAATATTCCTGTTATCTCGTTAGATATTGGATTCTTATACGGAAACAGAGAGAGACTCGCCTCCACATGCTTCTGAATAAAGGCGTTTTTCACATAACAGAATTCCATCTTCTTTGTCATAATAGTATTCCTGGCCAAAGGGTGTTTTGTACACCTGCACTCGTGGGTCTAACATTTGCTTCGGATGCACTTCTCGCTGGATCATCGTTGCCGCCGAACGAGATTGGTAAGGATGTAAAGGTGTCTTGAGCCCCAGAACTCCAGATGATTCTAGAGTATCTGTATTGTGAGCCCTCGAGCTGAACATCAATTCTTGCATAGCTAACCGACCATCTCCATCTTCGACGTCTTCCTGCGTAGGACTGGGATTGTTTAAGGTATTAAAAATGTACCATAGCGACTCATCTTCAGCGGCATTTGTTTCATGTTGCGACAACGTTGTGCGAAATTCTCCATCCCAAGCCGCAGAAGATCTGTCAACTAGTGATAAAACAAGCTTAAGAGCCTTTCTACAGGCGCTACTTGTGCGAGAAATGATGTTGCGCCCGACATCATCAGGCAAAACATATACCTGGGCAAAGGACCATCCAGTGTGTGACTCATACGTATGCCAAGCAAGTTTCACCCAACCTTGTTTTTGTAATATCGCAAGTTCGGCATCTGGAAAACTGGGATTTTCGAGTACTCGATTATCGCTCCTCCGCAAAACGCCAACTGGAAGGTAAGGGACGGTGGCGCTCGGGGTTTCTGGTGCTGAAATGTGACGTTGGCTTGTAAAAGAATGGTTCGAATCGGAGAGGGGCAATGCGTAGGACGGAAATGAAAGGTCATGGGCAGGGATTGAGAGAGTAATGTCTGACGGCTTCGACAGAGGAAGGGTAAGCTCGTTCTGCTTTTGGGTTTGAAGGCAATCAGCACACTTGATATTGGATACAAGCATATTATTCAGTCATTGGAAATATGTTAAGCCTTACCTTCATCTCAACCTCTCTAGAGAGAAGCACTGCGTCTGCGACAGCTGCAGTCGACATCATTGATACCCCATAATCCAGCCCTATCTGCTAGTCGTAAGGAAACGGAAACCCCACCAAAGCGACAGAGAGGCCAGTCCTAGGTTTTCATATTCCTTAATGAGGCATGGAAAGTAATGAATGGATAGGGATACCTCGGTAGCCAGGCAAGTCTCACTCGCATCGACACGGCGAGTGGAAGCGTGCTGACTGACCATCGACCACCGAGAACAGACGACGATAAGACTTATCGCGGCAGAACGACGGGGCTAGCAGGCATTGTTTTGCGGTTGGTCAGTCTCCTGACCGCCTTCAAACGCCTGTTTGTATTGTCTTGGTTTGTCCTTTTTGTTATTTTGCATACATCTTATGTTCTGTATGTTCTGTATGTATTGTATTTCTACCATCAACAATCAATGCTAGGCTTGAATTCGCTAACCGATGCATTGTCCATCTAACATATACATGCACGATATGAAATCATATACTACCGCGTAATAAAGTCCTCAAGTTCGAATCCAACGCGTCTAAGAGCCTTCTCCTCGATATCCTTGCTTGGATCTGGAAGACGCCTGACAATAAGCGTGCGCGCTTCATTAAGACGGACCTCTACGGGATTCCCTGAGCCATGCCTCTCAATCTCATCTCGCTCGCACTCACGAATGTGAACGGTCACATCAGGGCCAACGCATGCCCGCCAGAGAGAAGCCATCCACTGCCAGTGTTCTAGAAATGCATACCGATCATTGATCGGAATGGCACAGGCGAACGCATCTGCAGTAGTAAGTTGGTACCTAGGAACCAGAGCAACAGGGATTGCATCCGCGTTAGTCCCTAGGGGAGATGGGCTCCGCTCTGTTTTAGTCTCAGATTGAGGTGTCCCAGTCCTGGAAGAGTCCTTGGACTCGTTGTCTGACTGCTTACATCCGACAAATTGAGTGATATCATCCGAGATTCGATGCCATGCGGATATAACGTTCAGATAATCCACCGTAGCATCGCCCATTTGACTTGAAGATGAGCTCTGATGGGTAAGGATATCAGGTCCTTCGAAGACTCTGACTAAGAACTTGTTGTCGTAGCTCAAAAGCCGTCCGAGATGTTTCAACATTATTTTAACTTGAGTGGGGTCTTGGCCGTCGACAGCAACAACGACGCCCCTCGGTGGTGAGTCATTGCGTTCAGAAAGTGGAGGGGATATTTTAGTAAGAACTTTGATCTTATTCAAAACGGGTATGCTCATTACTGTGTCAGTTTGATTCCGTGCTGCAATATCGTTTCCTTTCAACGGTGGAAGAGTCAAGTTCGGGTCTCGTTCAGGTTGACGGGGCACATGGCTGCGGAAGTAGGCAACGCCTGGCCGAGAAACATATGTTTTCTGAGAAGACAGTGAGTATGCTTCTGTGTCCGGGCTTCCCGTCCTGTGAAATGTGCTACTGTTCAGACGACGGCGTTTGGAATCTGCAGAGTCAGTGTCGGATTCTTTCCACTGAGAATGTGAAGAATGCGACACTCGTCGATCTGAATCGGGATATAGATTCAAGGAGCTGGAGCGGCGGCGGTCGGACCTACTGCCTCCACGGATCGAGCTGTTGTGCGAAGAAGTCGACTCGGGTTGTGAAGAGCGGCTACTCATAGATGGAATGGTTGCAGTCAAGGGTGTATGAGGGGTGGAGGGTGGGTTCATTAGACGCCCACCGCAGCGATTGCAGATCGTCGGGCCCATTGAGCTGCCAGCAGACATGGAAGCATTACGTACATAGTTGTCACGCCCAAATCTCCGAGGTTGGTATCGGTAATCCGGATACTGCTGCTGATGTCGAGCTTTCTCTGCCTGTTGCATCGGATGTCAGCGAAAAGTCGATGTCAAGTAACATACAAGAGAAAACTACCTCTGCTAATGCTTTCCACTCTTCCTTTGTTTCTATCGGAAGAGCTCTCCATTGTTCTCCTATGATCTTCGAAATCTCCGGGTTGGCGAGGCCAGGATTTTGGGCTACAACAGCAGCCTGATAATGCTGTCTATACAGAATAAATGCTATACTTTGAATTCAGCCTCTAGAATATATGTGGTTTTTGGCTCTGAGCAGCGACTCACCATTCCTCGGCCTTGGAATTTTAGGGTCTGGTTGGCAAAGGCAGAATTGCGAGGCCGCCTCTTTTGCCGACTCCAATTTCGTTGGACTATCCGAGGCTGACCGCTCTCCCAGTGTCAGCTCAACCGTTCCTCCGGGCGTGTTTTGTTTTGGAGAAGTTGTGAAATTCGGTTGGAGATGATTGTTTTCTACCAATTTCTCTCGGTTGATAGATGACAGCTGCATCTGAGACAATGCTGTCGAGCAGCTCTCAGAGTCGTTTAGTTTTCGCATGCTAAGTGAAGGGCGTGACATGTCCTCAATCGACATGGCCCTGCTCCTATCATTCATGATCTTATGCTCTAGAAGACTGCTGGTCGACGGTTTGTGGCAACGGCTTGCGGTCTCATACAAAGCCGGGGGCCTAGGGAGGACACGATCGAAAGACATGGTGGAGGCCTTTCAGATATCAATCAAGATATGTACATACAGAAAAGAATATAATGGAAGTCCACCGTGTCCTCTAGTCCCGCGGTTAGATTTGCGATGCGTATTGATGCGGCGGTCAGTGTATATATATGTGGACGTATATAATGGCGGTGGCGGGAAATAGACGCCGGGTAAATCATGAAGAAGCAAGAAAGAGTTCATTAAAACCGGGGTTTCCTGGGAACGCTAATAATGTCCTGTTGTCCTCTTGACCTTATGTCTCCACAAGGACTTTATGGTGCTGAGCGTGTGTACAATGACCGGACCGAGGCCAGGATGGACGGTGGGCAAAGGAGGACCAGTGCTCTGGAGCAGGGCTTTGTTCCAGAAAAACTGTGCTGCATATTACATATGACAGGGCATCTGCATCCAATTTTAGACTTGGATAAACGTGTTGGCTTTGTCTGGTTGGGAGAGGAGGGGGGATGAAACCAATCGAATCGAGCCCACCCAAATCAACAGAGCTGTTGATCTCCCGTGCCGTTTCATTCTCAGCATTGGCTCCCCAATGCAAACAATTGACGGGAGCTTAATTGTGATCATGATTAGTCGGTGAAGGGGGGAACAATGACTAGCTTTGGGTAGGAGTTAGGGCTAGGCGCCGCCTCGTCTCTGCTTTTGGTTGTTGTTGTTGTTGTTGCTGTTGTGAGCCGGAAATAACAGAAAGGCCGCAACAAGGGCTGGTTCCTCTCTATTGTTACAGCCCAGGCCGAACTGCAATAATAAAAAAGGAAAATATAAAAACACGAAAAATACAAAAATAACAATAATAACAGATAATAAATAATGACTGGGAGGTCTTTCTTTGTTTGATTTCGCCCCGAATGCGGCAACCTGCAGGCCACTTGGGACGGGGGGCTCTTGCGCTATCCCCGAATCCGGAGAATACACGACGACTAACAGCCTCGTCCCCTGCACCAAAAAAGAAAACACTGCCGGCACTGGACACCATTCGACGGGGTCTTATTTCTAACAAACAGCCTAGTTGCATTGCGGTGGTCATTCGAAACGTCTCAAAAAAGGTCTAATGCAGTACAGCGTACACAATTCGACGGCCACCAGAGAGGGGAGAAATATTGGCAGACAAAGTAATTTACATGGTATATGCATCATATTATGTATGTATATAGTCATATCACAAGGGAACAGCCGCTTCCCAGGCAGTCCGGACCCAATCGCTCTGCTTCTACTTACATGAGCTTGCAGCGAACACGCAGAACCCATAGCCTAGCCTGTAGGGCTCTGTAGCCCCATGCCTTGACAGCGACTGCCACCAGGGCTGCACCGGTGCGTATTGATTGGTGGGTTGGCAGCGCCTATGAAGATCGCTTGCTGTAATAGGGGTGTCTTCGCCCTAGAGAAGGCAACGCAGCGTCAGGCAGTCAGAAAAAGCCTAAAACTGCCTACTCCCTAGAAATGCAGCCAGAACCTAGATAAAACCAATGAGCTGAGCATATCAACAATTTCGGTGCACCTTGGCAGAATGATCGTTCGTCATGTTTGAGTTTTTCTGCTGCTTGCAGGAGCTTGAAGCCGTGTCTGGAGACGACAAAAGTGGTAACGGTAATTGGCGGGAGGAGCGGACAAGAAGCCCAAACAAGCCATTCGATCAAAGGAATGAGAGCGGCTGCTTCTAATATTGGTGATTGTGGGACGCACTGATTAGCTCTCGGGAGAAAGAGAAGTGCTCCTCCTGATCCTGCGTCTATTTATAGGCGTGTTGTTTGTCTCTTGAACTTGCTCGTCGTCGCTTTCAGTAGACGTAGAGTTGTTCCAAGAAGAGTCAATGCCATGGAAGATTTCTGTACCCATCATCTGATTCGCCGCCGGGCCGAGATGCATGCCATCCCTAATGTTACACATTGTCAGTCATTTCTTTGTTTCCCATCAAGGGTAAGTGGTTATTGCTTACCAGAAAAGGAACCTTTCAGGGTTTTCACATCGTTCGTCCTTGTTTCCCGGAAATGGCATCCATTTGCCAGTGTCGGTGGTCTCCACACACGGGTGCTCGACGTCGTCCCAGGGATTCTGATCCCATAATCCATTTCCATCAAGCATTCCCGCTATGTAGAACTGCCTCCCGCGGATTTGATCGAGGAGAAATTCGTTTGTATCAAAAACAAAGATTGATCCGCCTTGCCAGTTCTTGGCCTTCTCTTGCAATTCCTGGTTCCAATTGGTGACTACCGATACTAGGTCCTTCTGGCCTGAGCTTACGTCGAAAGCAGGAAGAAAGGTAGGGTCAATAGACAGCATGAGAACCACCTTGAGGTCGTTAGAACCGCTTTGTGCGGGAAGGCGATCTAGTTGCTCGAAGAGCACGTCAATACTGCGGCTCGTGGAGCCCTTTGTATCATCAAAAGGCATCCGGAGGAATTTCCAAACATCCCATACCAAAAATGATACGGCAAAGACAGTACTATTCATACGAGCTTGGATGTCGCTGTCCGCGGGATTGGTCCCGACTGCAGCTTGCTCGGCAGCCAGCCACTGATCAATCTGACCACGAAGGTCCGGGAGTGGTTCCCTCACGCTATTCAGGTCCGACTGGAGGTTCTGGAGTTCGGCGTCATCTACGACAGATCCGCACAAAGGACCCTTGCAAGCATGGTTCTTCTGAGAATAGCTTTCTAGGCGGCAAGGCCACTGCGTCGGGTTAGAAAATTTGCATTCCAAACATGGTTATTTGGAGAATAATCGTACCATTGTACAAACCCATTCAGGCCAGGATTTACCTTCATTTTCAAGGCGTGAACCGGTATAGCTCCAAGCGTCACCAAAGACAACAAGCCTATGCTCGGCTCCCCCGGGAATCACAGCAGTAGTACCACCCCATTTTCCCGGAAAAGGCAGGCCATTGCCGGAAACATAAAGCAGTCTCACAGCGATGAGGAGACTAACAAAGGCAAGCCCACTGAGTGCATTCAGCCTTGTAAGGTAACGCATCTCCAAGAGCTGGCGGCCAGATGCTCCACGCTGATAGACAACTGGCGAGAATTGGCCAGGTTGTTTTTTGTCCGCAGGTTGCTATTGTCGAAGAAAGCAAACAAATGAGCCGAATAGAGAGTAGGTAATCCTGAGTGGCAGTCCCTTTGTCACCAGCGTTTCTCTTTCTTGAGGATTCTGGCTATCTGCGTAGCTTGTCTTCTTTTGCTGCTTTTGGCAACTTGCGAGTGTAAATATAGTATCGAATATAGTTAAGGTGGAGAAAGAAAAGTGGCAAGACGTTTGATATTAGGTTGTGTGTCGAGAACAAAGTGGAAGGAGCCAAAGGCGGCAGGTTGGAAGAAGAAGCAAAAGAGCGACAAACGAGCGCAAGGGGATGAATATTCCAGGTCCAGATCGATAACAGTTAATGATCGGCTTCGTCAAATGTTAGCTGAGCATTCTGGCGACATTGCTGGCTTGGCAGACGGCCATGATGAGACATAAGAAGAGAAGGGAACGCAGCAAAAGTCGACTAAAGGCCTCGAAACTGGAGTCTGCACTTTTTTGCAATAGCCCGAGTGGCTCTGCACGCGTGGACCCTTCGTCAGTCGCGTGCTCCACTGCCACGGAGGGCATAATAGGTAGACCGTAGTCGTAGTGCCGCGGTACGTAGTACTATTGAAAGGCCCCCAATAGCAGAGATATTCTGATCGCCGCCGACGTCCGATGGTGCAGGCTAACGTGGTCAAGGAAACGAAGTAGGAAGGACGGCGGGGCCTGAAGGCTGACAGTGGACACGGGAGATTGTGCAATGCAGCTTGAGTGGCCGTTGTCATCGAGAACCGGTATCCCGTGACCGATGACACTTCAAGTTCCTACGTCACGACTGGCCTGACTACATACATGCATTTATTCCTCATCAGAGCCATTACAGTGGGACGAGGTTTTTCACCATCTAGGCAATACCATGATGCTATCGAAGATACCTTCGAGGCTCTGGAGAAGCCACTAGCGGGCAGGGGACAACGAGCTTACGTGGAGGCTGACGACAAGAAAGCTAAATAACGCCTAACCGACAACTCCCCGATGCCGGCAGTCCCATTGGCCTGATGCGCGCGGCGATAAACTCGATTGATAAATCCACAATGAGATTATTACCATTGTTGTGTTCATAATAATCATTCATCGCCAGAAAGCCGTAGTCGAGCACCAGTGGTCGTCATGAGCCGCCATGCGTCTTGTGCTCAATTCATAATGGGGCAGTGAGCCGTGTTACGGAGTAAGAGTTGATATTATTGTTGTCCCGAGACAGCAAAAGCAAAGAAAACATTATAAAACAGGTCTTTATTGTCACTGATCATTCTTGTAGTAGGCAATGTGTCACGCGCTAGGATCGGCATAAAGGTAGTAGCCATCCGAGTAACTGCCTGAGGCATCAAATAGCAAATCACATGATATAGTCACCTGACATCTGGCACGTGATGCGCAGGTCAACCCTACGCCAAGCCTGGCCGTCCCAACAAGGCTAGCGTCGATGTGTTAGTCAGCCCGCCCACAACAAGCGTGCGTCCCTAAGCGAAATTTCCCACACAGGACTGTGGCCGATCTTGAAAGACTTCATCATTCGACTGTCGACAACCCGCGCCTCCGTCTTGACCGCGCAATCCTCGTCAAGATGAAGCTCAACATTTCCTACCCGGCCAATGGGTCGCAGAAGCTGATCGAAATTGACGATGAGCGTAAGCTCCGCGCCTTCATGGAGAAGCGCATGGGAACTGAAGTTAGCATCACCTTTCTTCCACAACCGTACGCTTCAGCTTGGCACTTCGAAGGACCATGCATTGCAGGACATTATTTCAGCCAGAAAAAGGAGAAAGCAATAGAAGAACGAGGAGAAAATGAAAATGAAATGCATGAATGGTCTGGAGAGGCGCTTGCTGGGCAGGTCAACTAAATTTTGTCAAGACACTGGCTGACTGTTGTCCTTCTTTAGGTTCCTGGAGATGGCTTGGGCGATGAATTCAAGGGCTATGTTTGTCTCCCATTCCGTTATTGCACCCCTAAGGCATATCCTTGCACGAAAAAAGGAGAAAACACGTTTCAGATCCGCACAGCAATTCCAGACCATCGTATCACCTTCGGCTTCCTACGACTTGAACAAACTCATAAGCATATGCAGCTTTTAAAATGTGTGCCTTATCCAAGATAAAACTGCAATGGCAATGAACAAAAAGTCTTGTGAAGAGTAGTGCTGGGAAGAAGGTGCTGCGTGTGGTTTTGGTTGCTAAGGCTTTTCGTAAATCGTGTTTTTCGCCAATCACTGTCCAAGGAAGAAAGGATAGGATTGTCTGTAACACCAAGTTGTGTTTCGTGCAGTCCTTGCTCTGAATTCCTACTGACTCACAAGCCTGATATGTTTTGATCATACGCTAACGAAAACTCACTATAGCTCTTCAAGATCACTGGTGGAAACGACAAGCAAGGTTTCCCCATGAAGCAGGGTGGTATGTTGTGCTTGACAATGCGTGAACCTTGTTCTCGTAACTAAATCAATCATTAGTTCTTCTCCCCAACCGTGTCAAGCTTCTCCTCAGCGATGGTCACAGCTGCTACCGCCCTCGCCGCACCGGTGAGCGCAAGCGTAAGAGTGTTCGCGGTGCCATCACTGGTCAAGACTTGGCTGTCCTCGCCCTCAGCATTGTCAAGCAGGGTGAAGGCGAAATCCCCGGCTTGACCGACGTTGTCAACCCCAAGAGACTCGGCCCTAAGCGCGCCACCAAGATCCGCCGATTCTTCGGTCTCGACAAGAAGGACGATGTGCGCAAGTTCGTCATTCGCCGTACTGTCACACGCGAGGGCAAACCCGACTACACCAAGGCCCCCAAGATCCAGCGTCTGGTTACCCCCCAGCGTCTCCAGCGCAAGCGTCATCGCATTGCTGTCAAGCGCCGCCGTGCTGAGGGTGCTCGTGAGGCTGCGTAAGTTGCGATCAACTTATTCAATCCTGATTCTAGCTAATAACTTATTAACAGTAACGACTACGCCAAGCTCCTCGCTTCCCGTGTTCAGGAGGAGAAGGCCAAGCGAACCGAGCTTCGCAAGCGTCGGGCTTCTTCTTTGAGGAAGTAAATGTAGGGTTGATAGAAGGGAATGTTCTGGGTTTTATGTGTAATGACAAAGCCCGAAGCCTCACCTTGCTGGGATTACATGCAGACATAGCCCGGTTAGAAAGGTTTAAAATAATGAAAGGGAGCGAAGGCGCAATTCTTAAAATTCCACACCGGTCCATATCTTACAAAACCGTGTGTCAGTTTTTTTAAAGGACACGCTGGAGTACTTGAGACATGAAAAGAGTTTTTCCAAGGAAAATGGGGAAATTTTTTTATTCATATCTTTTTTTCTTCTCTTTTTCCTTACCCTTTGTTGGTCTCTCTTCTCAATTCCTTTTGTTGTCTATTTATCACCCTACTTTACATGAGCAGAGAGATATGGGACGGGAAAAAAAGAAAAATCAATGATATTCCAATTTTTTGCAACAAGATTCATTTTCAATAACGGTGCTCTTTTCATATTCGGTTTCGAACTGCATACCTTTGTGTCATTATTGCTTTTGTCAGTTTGAAATGGAAGATGGTAGTTATGTTATAGAACTCTGGACCTGGACATTCTCAAGTTAGAACTAGGTTTTTAAACCGAGACTCTTCACAGGCTATAGTAGCGTAGACTTGAACTATCCAAGTTGCCATGTAATTATGAAGATGTACATGGAAAAGTATCAAAATATAAACAGAAGCTAGAGAGAAAGAGCTGTCACTTCTATCACTATTGCACATATATTTAATACATCAAATTGGCATAATCGAAACTCCCACAACAAGAAAAAGAAAATTCAAGCACGGAGACTGCGTGTCCACTTTTGGTATCGTAAAGATTCATTATGAAAAACAAGGATCGAGAGAGAAAAAGCCTCGAATACAATCCATCCAAATCGATTACTCTACTGCATGAGAGAACAAAAAGCTGACAGACTCTCCGTTATGTGTTCGTCGACATGCCTCGGCCAATGTTGGACTGATATCAATACTCTCAATTTTATCGCAAAGTTCTTTCTTCTCTGCATGAGGTACGGTATTTGTGACTACAAGACGACGAAGACAGCTACTGTTCAAGTTGCCGATGGCATTACCGGAGAGGATAGCGTGAGTGACAATTGCGTTGACCTCCTTCGCGCCATGTTGTATGATCGTATCTGCAGCCTTGACAAGCGTACCGCATGTATCGGCCATGTCGTCGACAATGATTGCGACTTTGTCCTTGACATTTCCGACGAGCACCATGCGCGAAACCTCATTGGGACGAGCTCGTTCCTTGTGGATGAGAGCGAATTGAAGGTCGAGACGATCTGCAATTGCAGTGGCCCTAATCACCAAAGAATGCGGCGTTAGTCATTGTCTGGGACTTTTTGTTCACGACAAGTTTTGGCAAGAATGTACGAACCTCTTCGCACCCCCAGCATCAGGGCTGACGATGACACAATTCTCGACATCTAGATTTTCACGAATCCACTTCAACATACTCGGCTCCGCATAAAGATTGTCCACAGGAACAGTGAAAAACCCCTGGATCTGGCTAGCGTGAAGGTCCATAGTGATGATATGGTTTGCGCCTGCAGTCTGCAGCATGGTTGCCATGAGGCGGGCAGTAATAGGTGCTCGACTCTTGTCTTTCTTATCCTGGCGCGCATAGAAAAAATTCGGGATAACAGCGGTGATTCGCCTTGCCGAGGCAGTTTTGCAAGCGTTGATCATGATCAAGAGCTCCATAAGCCCATCATTGATGTCATTCGGTTTCGTAGATTGTAGAACGAAAACTGTAGATCGTGCATGAATTAGGATTCAAGTCTTCGAGTTGCGCTGAAACAAGACGTTCTCTCACTCACCATCTTCGTCTCGTACACTTTCACCGATAGTCACACTCGTTTCTTGGTTGGAATACTGAAGAACCAGAATCTTAGTTAACTCTATTCCCAGGCTGGTATATGTGTTAGTCCTGCAGCTCATATCAAATTAGCCGTTCTAGCGTGCGTTATCGTACCGATCCGCCATGAGCTTTGCAAGCTCCGGGTGACTATTGCCAGTCAAAAGTTTGATGCTGTTAGTCGCCATTCCCAACAGAGAATTTAACGATCAGGTTTCTTCGAAAATAATGTTTGATCAGACGAATATCGGGCTACGGAGCAAAAAGAACTTTTGCAAGACCACAGACAGAAGATGAATTAGCCAGTCAACCCCGCGATGAGGAGAAAAGTCGAAAAGTTTCGTTCCCCAAAACTAGCCGCGTGGGGACTACTAATTAGCCTCTCCGGATAAAGAATGTCCGGAAATAGATCGCAATCATTCTACAATTTTCGAAAAAAGTGACTCACAAAACCGATGAATGCCTGTAATTTCATGATCATACACAGCTCTAGCCCAATATATCTACTATTATCCAACATATTATGACGTTTTGCTGAGTCTACGAAGAGCAGTTGCCTAGTGTTCCTCCTCGAGAGGATGTAAAGAGTCTAGAGCATTCATTGTGAACAATAGTCAATTCAATACATAGAATGCAATGATAATGGGAGAGCCTGGATTCATTCGCGAATAATTAGTATCATAGACAGCTAATTGACCTGCACTTCAATCTGCTCCCATGAAACTTTCCTCCAGAAACCAGCCAGGCGTCGTCCTAGTATCTACAATCCCCTTGCAAAACATGAAAACTGAAAAAACTTCTAAAGTACATGAACAATCGCTCTCTCTGGTCCACACGTATGCGATAAACTCAATTTAACAAACCCGCAATGAATCGAGAAAAAAATATAACGAAAATACTCAAGCGCCATCGCATGCAGGATATCACATTGCCTAAGCCAGTTGCGCAAAGCATAGAAGTGAGAATGGTTTCCCTTGTTCACGCAAATCCAAAGTATTCGCTACCAGCAGTCATTGCTTTGTAGACCCGCTGGCGGAGATCTTCATAACTCTCATATTCTGGCAGATCGAGTTCTGTGGGCCCGGTTAGAAAAAGAATCGCATATATAAAATCAAGAGAATAAGCTTACGATTGAAGCAGGTATGTGAGCTTGGAAGGCGTTCTTTGTTGCCATAGTCGCGATGAATGTTGAATTTGCTGAATCCATTCATACCTTCAAGCTCCTTAAAGCCATTGAGTGGGACCTTACTGGTGCCCGTGACAAACTGGAGTAATTTCGCACGTTCTTCTTTGTCAAAAGATCTGACTGCTCGCCAAAACCATTGGATTTGCTGGGACGAAGCAGAATAGTTGTGGTATTCCGTGTTGTTTTTCCAGTCGTCCACGTCAATTTCCGGTAGACCAGAGATGAGTAGCTCAAGTTCTTGCTCGTTGAAAATGGATATCAAATCAGGTGGAATTATGTCGTGAAATCCTAGAGAATAGTATTAGTGACAGATAACTTTTTCAAAAATTTGAGTCCGCTCATACCTTTCAGGAAGTTTTCGAGCTGCTCCTTCACAGACCCAACCAGTTTATACTCGACAACTAGCTGCACATATTCCTCTTTGTTATCTTGAGTCACGGGAATGTTGCGGCCGTTCGGGATTAGGTCAATAACCTGCGTCTCACCGAAGTCGTCAGTCTCGATAGAGAAGGACTCGGTAATGATGTCAGTAATATCGTTCTCCAACATCCAAAGTAAAGATTTGTAATAGTCAAGGTCAAGTGTTTCCATATCCTTGATTGAAACGGATTTCCCAAGGATGCTCTTGTACACAGCTCGGCTGAAATGACAATCAAGGACTCGGCCTTCGTACAAAGCCTTGCCAATAATGCGACCGATGAACTTGAAGAACATTAGATGCTCAGTATTGACACCACTTAAACGGTTTGGATGGAATGTCGTTCGATCAGACGCAACAGGAATGAACAGTGCATAATTAGGATTGAACATGCCACGGGCAAGAACTTGAAACCATTCCCTGGTCACGCCCCCAGCATCAACGCCCTCTTCTCCATGAAAGCGAACACTCAATTTGCCATATTTCACCTCCTCGGCAGATTTGAAGTAAAGCGACTTGAATGAATCGAGGAAAACCTGATCTCGTCGCACAGACAGCTGTAGAGGAGGATGAGGGTGTCGAGACTCCGTGCCACGTGAGTGAATCCGACGAGTGAAGTAATTCCGCTTGTTATCAAATTCCAAAACCTTAGGATTCTTGACTAAGAGAGAGAAAGTTCCGCTCATGAGACGAGGATTTTGACGAACAAGCTCATTAAGTACTTTTCGGTGATTCTCGGTAAAGTTGAAGAAGAGATTTTCCATGCCTGACCCAGTATCGGGGGGTGGGCTTGTCACGGAGAATTCTTTACCACGCCGCGAAGGTGGAGCTTCTTTGAAAGACGTATTTTTACACACAACCATAAGAGCCTCAATCAATGGAAGCAATGTAGTGGCGACATTCAGCATATTCTCCTTTTGTCGAATAATATTCAAACATGCGCTCAGTCTGTTCCAGAGTGGGCCAAAACTTGAGCTTTCATAGAGGGTCTTGAGTACATCCTCTTTGGGTGCAGATTCTGGCTCAGCACCCTTAATCTTGTCAACTCGGTTCGGGTCGAACAGGTAGTCGAGCGCTGTGAGAACACGGAGCAACTTGGCCTGGTCTGAGCTGGCAGGCGAAAATTTGGAAAGTGCAAGGCCCTGCATGTCTGTTCCAGAGCTGGCTTGTTCAATATGAGGAAGCAATTCATCAAGATCTAAGAGAATTGCTTCACTTAGCGTCTGTGCTTGTGATATGAGTTCCTTGCCAATAATATCCTTCGCACCAGGAATTGCTGATAAATTGTTAATCGTCGACAGCGTGTCTCGGAATGTTTTACCATTGCACTCCTTTGCAGCGAGAATGCTCACGACGAGTTGCAGATTATGATGTGGTACAACTGGAGGTTCAATCGAGCGTTTTTTAGCCTTTTCATCATCTACGCTAGCCTTCGTAGCATCGGCCGCCTCAGTCATAGGAGTATCCTGATTATCGGTAGGTTGTTCGCGGTTGGATGCCGGTTCAATTTGAGCTTCTGTATCGTCAGAATGCTGAGGTTCTTTGCCTTTAGCTTCGTCTTGCCTCTCTTTTTCACGTCGCAAAAGAATAGTAAGAGGCTGGGTGATTGTGCTGAGGAGATTTGACAGTTGTTCCATGCAATTAGGACTTTCCATGATCATCTTTCGATCCAATAGAGATAATAGGGAATTTAAGGCAAATTTATTTTCCCTTGTCTCTTTGCCTTTACCCCTCCGTAATGCTTTCAGTTTCAACATGGAGGCTGACTCGTGCTCGGTGAGGAAGAACCAGGAAATGTGAGGATTATACTGTGTCAAGAACAAAAGTGTACCAAGACATTGCTGGACAACCATGAGAGGCGTAACTTCGCTGTTGGCACTGCTCGAAGCCTGGGAAGGAAGAGTACGCTTAGCGGACTGTGGAGTTTTTTGGGTAGCCGGCATCTTGGCTCGTAATGAGAGATGAGAAAAGCTCCGTTCTATAGCTGCCACATCGCCACTTCCATCTTGGAGTATAGAAAGGAGAAGGCTGATCACCTCAACCCGGTTTTGGCGATTCTCACAAACGTTGTGAAGAATATCATGCAATTGATGCCGAGCGTTCCCCTGGAGAGGCATAAACATCAGTCGGAGTAGAGTAGCAACACCGGCTTTGTCGAGTATTTGAACAATTTGGCGGCGTTGCGGTTTTCTAGTTTCTTGATCGTGAGCTTCATCAGGATGCCGTTGTTCTGCACGGCCAACGTCCCCGAATTGTGCCAGCCGTCGGCCAGGAAGAGCACGAGCTTCGGAAAGAAATTCTGGACCCAGTGTAGCCAAAATTTCATCGGGCTGGTCAGCAAGAACAGCCTGCCGCAATGACGGATCAAGGGTAGCCATAAAACTAGCTGCATCCATCTCTTCTGCAAGGGCTGGGCCACCGCTTGCCGTAGCTTGCCGGCGAGCAGACTCTCGATCACGGCGACGCCGAGCTGCAGCTTCCTGTTGTAAGATTTCTTCCCGAATCTCAAGGGGTAATGCCTCGAGAAATTCTTGGCTGATTTCTGTCGGTTCTTCGCCAGATGCTACTGCTTGAGACCGCTGTTCCGCAAGTTGCTGCATGATAACCTCTTCTCTGAGCTCCTCTGGTAGAGCCTCTAGGTATTCTGGGTCAATTTCCATGCCTGTGATGTCCACTTGACGGCCTCGGATTGTAGTATAGACATGTTGTACTGGCTCGGAAGGACCTACTTCCTGAGACTCGGCAGCTGCTTCAGCAATGGAGTCAGCGGTCTCAACATCATCCATTGGTTCATCAACTTCCTCTGCTTGAACGGTTGAAGCTCTAATTTCAGTTTGCCGGTGTAGTTCCTCTTCACGACGAGCAGCTTCTTCCTCTTCTTTTCGCGCTTTTTCACGCTCTTCCCTCTCTTTCTCAACGCGCTCGAGTCTCTCTTTCTCGGCTCGCTCTTCTTCGCGGCGTTTCCGGGCCTCTTCCTCTTCTTTCTGGCGTTTCTTTTCTTCTGCAATAGCTGGAGGTACGAGAGCGCGTAGAAGAGAGTTGACAACTCGTTGGGTCTTTTCAACGTAATTGTTGCTGAAGAGAATACGAGCCTCCTCCTGCCAGCGAGCAGCAGTTGTTGCTAGAGCAAAGCCGATAGCTTGAGATGGATCATCACGAGACCTAGTAGGGGTGGGCTGCGGTCGACCCAATTCGAAAATACCTTGAATCCGGTTACTAGGCATGATGGCTCGTCGATCAACATGGACATGTATACCATCGGGTCGAGAGACAACTCCAAATCCCGGTCCACCCTGCCCTCCCCCTTCAATGGCCTGCATAATAGCGTTTACAAAGCTGACGGGGCTATCCATTGATAACATCCGACCTCCAGATGTGGAGTCCACGCCATGAACCCAGTCGGTGAAAGCCTCATTTGCTGTACCACGGGTTTGACCAGTAATTTCTAGACTACGATCAGCACGTAGTAGAAGAGGGTTTGTTCCATCATCATTATTTCGAGAGGCAGCCTGGCCGCGCTGAGAGCGATAAGGGGGAATTGGAATGATACCATGACGGCTAATGCCACCGGGTAAAGTAGTCCACGCTGCAGGCATTCCACGAAAGTGTCGATGATGGTGGTGATGGTGATGTCGAGGTATGGGCGGTTCTTCGCCTTCCCAGCCCCATGGCTCGAGGTCCTCATCTATTTAATTCAATTAATAACCCCGGAAACGGTGCGAGTTTAGAGACGAATCTTACCATCTAAACCTTCCTCGTAGGAGATTTGGTCTTCATCCATGTCATCTAGCTCCTCCTCGAGCTCATCGATCTCATCTTCTTCATCTAGCCTAGTGTTTAGCATAGTAAGTGAAACGGGAAATAAGTCCACACCTTCATCCTCATTCATATCATCGTCGATCATCTCATCCTGCACATCATCCCGCATGCTGTTCCCGGGAAAGTCGTCCACGCCACCAGCTGCCTCATGCATTACACGAAAAATATCCTCGAATCGTTGCCCATCACCATGCTGGTCAACCTGCCTGATATCGGCAAGTTCATTTTCAAGTTGGGTGAGCATTTCCGCAGCCTCCTCATTATCTTCGGACATTTCTTCACTTTCCCATTCCTCTTCCTCATCGCCTGCTAAGCTGTCATTGCCATGATCACCAGTAATTTCCCCTGCCATAATCTCGTCGTCCTCATCGTCCAAATCGGAATCCTCTTCGTCGTCGTCGTCGTCCTCATCATCCTCATCATCTTCATCGTCTTCATCAAGGAGGACTTCGATATCCATGCCAGTGTCTCCAGACAGGCCTTCAATGGGACCCCGGCCTCCAAGATCTTCATCCTCATCGCTAATTACTTCACCATCGTCTTCGGGAACATCTTCATCGTAGTCCATCTCATCGCCATACTCATCGTCGTACATTTCGTCGTCCTCTTCAGACTCTTCCTCACTAGTCTCTTCTTCGTGCCGTGGTTCTAACATTCCTAAGGTTGAGTGTCGGAATAGATCTGGTGTTTCCTCGCGGTCATCATCGAGATCTGAGACTGAAGTTGCGGAAGATATTTCATCTTCGTCAGTCTCATCTAGGGCTGAAATGCTGGAGGTTTCATTCAAAATGACAGCAGTCTGGGTAAGCTTATTCAATGGGCGAAGAATATATTTTATGACTCTTTTGGATGCTGGGAAATTGAGGTCAACATCCGCAATCGATGCCGTCAAAGCTGATATGAAGTGCTTTTCGAACATCGTTTTCGCAAGCTGTCTTGTGGAAGAGGGATAAGCAGTGTCTCCACTGGCGAATGTATAGCCGCTGAGCATTTTGTCAAAAAGGTCAGCAAGACACATCAAGCGGGAGTATTTGAGATCAAGCGTTTCAATAGAGGACATGGCGTCCCTATACGCCTTCAAAGCATGCTCGAGAGCAAAGCGCCGAACAAAGAGGAGCTCGGGCTCTTCCTCTTCCTCTTCGGTATTTCGTCGCCTGTTATTCCCACCGAATTCACCGGTGCGAGTACACAATGCTACAAGTACTCGCATTGCCCAAGAAGAAGTATTGCTGCGTTTTTTGAATGCGATCGTTTCGTCGTGTTCTAGTGTCCCGATAGGGACCAGTGAGTTGAGTAAGTAGTTGAGAACACCCCCGCGTGGCTTTGACGGTGTCATTGCCAGGGGATCAGCTTTACGGGAATAATTGATAAATTCCACTTTTGTTCGGTTGTATGATGACAGAAGTTCGGTTAAACATTGTAGAAGAAAGCACCGGTAGATGTAGATCGGATGATCATCCGCCTTGAATGTTGACTTCTCTGACTTTTTAGATCCTCGCGTGCTAGTCAGATCTGCAGTCGAAGATGACGGTGAAGGCTCTTCAGCAGCTACCGACATTTCAGTATCAGTTTGCGTTTCTGGGCGGTCAGTTGCATTTATATCAACATTGTCTTGTGGAACTTCTTTGTCGTCAACATCACGATAGGACAAAAGTTCTGACAGCAAGTAATGGATCACACCATCAGGATTCTCGACGACTGGGGGCTTGATATCTGAGGTCTTTCCTTTGTCTCTCATTTCTGCTGTCTCATTGCTTTCAACGCTGTCTATGGCCTTTTCTGCAGGATCTGCCTTTGGTATCACAGGTTCGGGTTTGGAAACTTTCAATGCCAGGTTTTGGGGTCGCTGATTTACCTCATATCGTTGTAGTTTCAACTTCTCGTTAGTCACTTCCACAAACAAGTCAGGTGACCTAAGTACCAAGTGGTACATTTGTCTGACATATGCAGTTGTATCGGTTTGCCTAGAAGATCTAGATTCGAAGCTAGAGGTAATTTCGCTTCTCATTATTTGCTTGATGGTTTCCTCATCTTCGACGATATGCCTCAAAACCAGCATGAAAGCACCTTGTAGTTTGTCATTTGTAGAGCTTGATAATTGCTTCATCATGACGAAGAGACGCTGAAGGTTACGCTTCTCGCCCATGCGAACCGCAATCTGTCGACTGCGTGTGAGAATAACAATGATTCGGCACACTGATAACGCGAGAGAGCCATCCTTTCCTATCCTAGGAAGGATATCTAGTAGCGACTCAAAAAGCTGCATTTTTTCATCCAACGCAAGCAGAGGTGGCTCAAGAGAAGCCCTTCCAGTATCAATAGAGTCATCGAGAGTCTGAGGTGGTGACCAACGTATCTGAGGTGGTTGAGCATCATCTGATAACAATTTTTCAATGACGAGCAATACTTGCCCAATCCATGGAGACGTCTCTTCAGCTGGCTTATCGGAATGGGATATTTTGATGAATCCAAGAAGAGTAACAAAACACTCCTTTAGCTCATCCACTGTCGCGTTGTATATTTGTTTGTCTTGAAGAACCAAAGCCAGTAGATTAGCGTACGCCGCAATCTTCTTGCCAGATGGCTGAAAATCATCCTCCATCTGTAGTGAAACCAGAGACTGCACCAACGTTTCTCCAACTTCTTTTCGGAATCCTTCCGGGTCCCGATGTTTCTTCGTTGCTGCAGCAATGAGATCAGCCAACTCAAATGTGACATCGTGATGAACATTGAGGACATCAAGGCATCGTTCTATGAGATTGATTCTGATTTTGTCACGTTCAGCATCAAGTTCCCCGATAGTCGTAACCTCATTCTTGCGTGATTCAGTTGACTGAATTACAGTCTCGCTGGGTGCACCGCGGCGACTTTCTGTAGAAGCTTCTTCTAGTGGGTCGTTGGTGAGAGTATCCGAATCATTGAAGATATGGTTTAACGTCCTGGCCAAGAATTCCGTATTACTACCGGGCTCGTTTTCTCCTATCTCATTCAGATTTCCTTCACCTGCCGTGAAGCGAGTCGACCCGTCTCCGAAATACCTTGCTAGAGCGGCATTGCGGTCCGACACGGTCAAATGGTTGAAATGAGGAGTATCTGCTATCGACATGTTCTCGGTAGGCCCCGTAACCCTTGTTGTCGCTTCAAGATCAGGTCCAGGAGAGAATCTAGGAGGTGGCCGAAGCCAGGTTTGGGCACGACAATAGTCCTCCGCAGCAGCCAGGGTATTATTGCACCTATAGAGTGCCTCGCGACATAGTTCCATATCAAAGCCACGATCTATGAGCGTGGTGAGCCTGTCTCGGTTGAGAGAGAAAGTTCGCTTAGAATAATCTGAAATAAACTGATTGCGGCCCTTTTGAGTAGCTGCCCCGGCTTCGTGTTCTCCATCCAGGGTTGCACGGAGAATATCCACCAGGCATTTGACTATAGAACTTGAAGCCTGATCAACAAAGTCAGAGCACCATAGGTCTCTCACCATAGGTAGAACTTCCATTCGCAAGTCTACCAAAAATTGACTAGGGTTGAATTGATCGGGACGGTCCCGGTCCCGGTCATTGGTCTGGATATTTTGCAGCTGGTTCGATTCCCGTGCAGAAGTGACCTCTGAGAAGAACGTAAGGATTATCTTCATTCCTCCATAGGCAGATGCGAGGCGGGCTGAGTGGTCGGCATCATTTAAATTTCCAGCTTGCGGGGCCAGCAGCTTGATTTCTTGCAGGAAAAGTTCGCAGATAGTTTTCATCACTTTTAATCCATTTTGCTTTTTGAATGCCAAAAGAATGGATGTAAGTAAAAGTGGGTGAGATCGCTCTACAGGGGCTTCGAACAGCAACTGGGAGAAGGCGGATAGGATGACAATGAGATAGGAAAAGCGATCTTTGACATCTAGGGCTCTGTTAGGAGCAGTCAACTGTAATTGATTAAGCACATTTTCAGCAATGACATCCGCTACCATGAATGCACTCTGTCTGTGATAATTGTCAGGCCGACGCTTCGCGAAAATGCCTATGCCGAGAAGGTGGAAAAATTCTGTAATAGTCGTTGGTAGAGAACTCAAAAGATACCGTAGGGCCTGTGTGTTCTTGAAGGTAGGCCCTTCGTCTTCACCTGCTCGAGAACCATCATCGGCTGTTGCTGGCGCTGTAATATTGGAATTCGAAACACCCTCAAGCTCAGCATTTGTGGCAGTCTGGGGAGAGATTGGCCGGTCTTCATCATTATCAGGAACCACATCCTGCCGAAAATTGTCATTGGAAGGTCCCAGTGCTTGGTTGGCTTCGTCGCTGCCCATATCGTAGCTAGACACTTTTGTGGCTTCAATCCAGCGTTTAGGCAGATTTTTCTGCACGAGAATTTCATCCCAAACACAAGCAGCATGAAGCTTCCCTAAGTCTCTGACAAGAGTCGCGTATTGATCGGCTAGATTGACTTGTGAAAATGCGAATGTTTGATGGCTAGGGCGTGTTTGATACATTGGGGGGCTATAGACCTCACGTAACATATCAGTCAAAACGTGAACAGCTACAAGATGCTTCACATAGTATGTCCCTCGGCTCCAAATCAACTCTCTATTATCGCTGCTGTTAGAACTCCCAGGATCCGGCTGAGTCAAGGGCGTGAAAAAGCCTGTCGATGTGGGTTCTTTCCAAAAATCGGCGAGGCGATCGAGAGAGTCTTGATTTCGTTTAATCAGAGAAGGAATGACGAGATGTGGCTTGGTTTCTGCCATCATATGAACCAATTGCGCAAGTTCACTATTGGCTTGACGACTCTGAAAATCGAATGAGAGGCTAGGTAGAGTTGCAAAGTCCAACACGAACTCAACACCGCCGGTTTCAATAAAATACGTGCAGTTTGTTTGGTTCTCAAAGAAAGCCCCGAGGAAGCGCATGACAGGGTAGATATAATTTGCAGCAGTAAGACCCCAGTCATCAGCATCTGTTGAGGAAATCTGAGCCATGGGTTGTTCTGTACTCGGAACTTCACCGACTGTCAGAGTGCCACCATTAGGAAGCGTCACCTCTTGCAATGGTGGGTAAGAAAAATTCCCATTGCGTTCAGCTATTTTCTCAAAAGGCTCTCCAATTTCCACAGGCAAGGCATGCTTGCCACCTATCACTGATACGTTTCCTTGTTCATCCTTGGCCCACAACTTAGCTCCGGCGCCGTTGTAAGCCATCTTCTTACATAGCAATCCAACTCGGGCAACCATGACCAATACGGCGGACATAACTGACTCTTTGAGGGCCGGGTGGTGCCTGACAAGTTCGTCAAACGTAGTTCCTAATGAACGCACAAGATTTGCATCCATGCATTTAACATGGGCAGGGCTCTCGAATATCTCAAAATAACTGTCAAGAGCACCGGATGCCTTGAACAGGTCTAGTCCTGCTGAATTGAGGCAGACAGCCCCAAACGCCTGGGGAATACACGACATTGCTTCTGCGGCAGGTAAAATTCCATTTGCTAATTTTTGTCCCTTGGTGCGCGCGAGGACATAATTCACATTTCGAGCTGCAAGTCCGCCAGTAGGCATGGCACTCGTTTCCCCGGTCGATTCTACATCAGCAACGGCTGCGGAGGGCTCTGGCACATCCGGAGCTTTAAGATCCTGTAGAACAATTGCTTCCAAGAGACTCTTGCTGAGACCAGCTTCGGCAATAACAGCATAGCTAGTAGGTTCGTTGTGTATGAAACTGCTTAGAATATTGATGGCACCGCTCCACACATGAGAACCAAAGATCGGTGCGTTCTCAAATATCAAACGGAGGGCAGTCAACAATGGTGGTGAATCAACCAAATTGCGTATGTGCCGGTCAAAACCTCCTCCATTGTGTTGCATTATGTGATTGACGAATCTGAAGAGCCATCTCAAAGATTGCTGTTGAAAATATGGAATATTATAGTCGACAGATGGGGTGCGGAAGTCTGGTGGTATGCCAACACCTTCGTTTACTTTGTCAAAAGCAGACCTAGTCTCGAATCCTATCAAATCGGAAATAGCTTCGAATCCCTTGGCAGCTGCTAATGTTGCAAGAGCATCTCGAACAGCATGTACAAATGTATCCAGGAATTCAAGGACGCGAGGGTATACAAGTCGAGCTTTCTCGGTGCGAAGATTCAAGACATCAACAAACATAGGGATCAACCCAGCTGCAATTAAAGTTTCTGGAGTCCTTGAGCTGGAGCCTGGCAATGTCCTTAGCAGCAAAAACAAGGCATCCCGCCACTCATCCGATTCATTTTCATCCTCCTGTTCGGTAGAAAGCTCTGTTATGGCTTTTCGAGTCAGGAACATTAGAATGCCATGGTTAACATTAACGCTGAGGGCTGCACAAACATCGGCAGATCTTCCTTTGTGTTTCGTCAGAGCATCCAATGCGAGCAATGCGAACGTTTGTGTGGTCCGCAGGGTTGTGAGGTCACCACTAGCGCCAAGATGAGCCAGTTCCGCGAGTTGATAAACCAGCTGTAGACGTTTGGGCTGATCTGAATCCTGTTGCAATATCTTTTGATGCATAATGGTTTCCGGATAAAGGTAGGCCAAGTTAGTAAGCGCAAGTAGACGGATTGACAAGGCCTCCTCGCGAGTTTTATCAGATTCAACCAGGGAACGAGCGGTCCGCACTCGATGAAGAAAATCGTATTTCGACTCCGCCGGTACTTCGACCAATTTCGATTCAATAATGGTTTCAATTCTGGTTGAGGCAACCTTCAGAGATGGAACCTCGACAACTCTGGAGTTGCGAGATGACTCTCCAGCCCTGGCCAAAGGTGTGGTAGCATGTACTAAAGGAGACTCTTCGGTGCTGGACATGCGACTAAGACGGGGTGTTGGAAGAGTCGCACTTCTCCGCAATGGCGTAGGAGTGGTAGGCACTTGGGACTGGGGTTGTTCATATGGTCGAACTTCTGGCAAGGATTTATCCTGGTCGGAGATACCCGAAGGATAGTATACTGCTCTAACATTACCCCATTCTTCCCAGCCTGTTTTCTCTCGAAGTAAAGCAATGGCATCGTTGGCATCGTGCCTGGTTGCTAAGGACTTTTCTTTTCCTTTAGTAGATACAATAGGTGAAGACGGACCAGTTGAGGACTTGCTTAGCACAGTTGGTCGGGGAAATGGTAATGCAAGTTTCTGGACCTTTTCCAAGTCAATATTGTAGTGCGCGGCCAACAAAGTCTGTTGGAAGTGCGTGGTGCTGGCATTCCGTTGGCGAGCATGGTATCGCTGAGCTAGAGCCAGGGCTAGACGGAGTGTAAGCAACAGGAGGCTATTCGAGGTTGTATTCAATAGGTCGTTTAAGCGGTCACTGCTACTGTATAGACTGCGATTCCCACATTTCTCCTGTAGTAACTGTGAGAAATCAAGGATGGCCTCCACGAGTTCTCGATCACCCTCGGGTCCATATCCAAGAGAGTTCAGCACTTGGTCGATCTCAATCTCTTCGTTGGAGCCGTCGATGCGTAGAGTGTCGGTCAATACAAGTCGGTTGAACGGTATTATCTGAGGGCCAGCATTCAGTCCGTACCGGTCAATAACGTTGGCCAAGATGTCATCGAATCGGTCTAAGAGGGGAATCCAATGATAAAGGTCGCCTCGCGGGAAAGGCCATGTGCGTGGAAGGGTCGCAAGGTGTGCCGGAAGCTTGGCGAGGGGTACATTAGTTGCGAGTTTGATGAACTCGGACATATACGGGGACTGAAAGTGTATCGATGATTAGCATACTGTTCCAACAATGAAGGTGTCATGGACTTCGGTGCTTACAATTGTAGCCTCATGCTTCGAGCCCGCCACCTTCTTAATTCTCCCCATTTTAAGTAAATGGAACAGCGGCAACCATGGGAAAAGCCGAGTTCCCCAGGTCGTAGACCGGCCGTTGAGTCAAGAGGTTTGGTGATGTTGTGGTGGACCAGGTCGTTGAGAGGAATGTCAAGCTGAAGTAAACGAATGACGTCTGGGGTGGATGCGTTCCGGCCAACGCTCAGGACAGAGGGGCAAGGCCAGACGGAACCTAGGAGACGGTGTTTCGGGTATTTAAAAAAGAAGTCAGAGGTCCAATGGGATGGTGAGGGCAGGAAAAAGGGGGGACGGCACGTCGACGTTTGCAGATTGTGTGCGCACGAGTCGGATAATCACTTCACGAAAAGAGGAAGATGGTTCGATTGCGGGAAGGCGAACAGCGGACAGAGCTGACGGTGCAGGTCGGAGCTCGGGGCTACTGCCAACGCGATCTAGGATGGATGAAGAAATAGAGGGAAAGGGAAAGTGAAGGAGAGCAGGACTCGATACGGAGCGGCTAGGATCAAGAAAAAAGGCGATGGAGAAGCGAAGTCAGAAGGAAAGAATTGGTCGGGTGGATATTGAAGGTCCATGTTGAGAAAGAGAAAGAAGGTGGGGACGCTCTAGGTTTGCTCCGGCTAGGCTGCCTGGCTGCCTCGCTGCCTCACGGGAGCCTTGCTGGTGGAAACTTCGTGAACAGCGACGCCGTCTTCTTCGATTCTTATTTTGTGTTGTGTTTGTTTGTTTATCCGTGCTAATATGTTGCGTTCTAGCACTCTCATTCCAGGAGACCAGTAGCCCCTACTTGCTCGCCGCCTTCGACGCTGAAATTGACTTCACATGTCAGCCATCGTCATACAAGACCCGTGAAGCCTCGCATTGTTTTTGAATGGCAAGCAGCCAGTTTACCAGATTAGTGGTTATTCCTAGAGGTTAAAAGCCGGGGGGTACTGTAGCAGTTCACGGTGGCGCTAGGGTTTACTACAGAGCTACATGATATCACTCGCCAGAAACCTTCAGCTTCCTTTGAAACAGCACTGTAGGTGGCTTTACGAAAGGCATTCTAAAGCTCCCTCGAGACTCGATATTCTACTCCTATAAATAGATTGCTGCTTCAGTTGATGTCGTCGGTGTAGTTGTAGCTGAAATACGGTGTTAGGAGTGCTGGCAGTTATATATCTCGTATATACAACTAGGTATATATATTTCCATGCTTGGCTTGAATTGATGGATTTCACTCCGCGCTGCAAGCCACTAATCTTAAACCTGCTGCTTAAGTAATTAATATTATTGACTGAAACGAGGATCTCTGCATCATACATCCCATAAAACGATATTATCAGCTAAGAATGAATACTTGAAGTTTCAGGCCGTCTCAAGAGTTTACGTATTCTAACGTCATCGCCAGTTCGATGGTAACCACGCTCAATGCTATGCACACAGCCCTTCCAAGGACCCAAGGATACATTTACTACATATTTGGCAATCGTGCAGCAGGTAAAGCAACAATTATGGGAAACTGTCTATTAAGGTACTGCAGAGCATCTAATGCATGTGATCACCAACTAATGGCCATCCCTCCGAAGATGCGAGATTGAAGGAGGAAACGGTGAAACAACACACTTAATACGATCTGACAGATGGCACAGACTTGTATATTGTCATTGATAGGTCCATTGGTAATAGCAAGGGAGAGCTCGACTAGCGAATGCGGCCGTCTTGTTGACAACTCCATCTGGCTAGTAAGACTCTTAGGAGTTGGAGTATGTACTAAACGGGGTGTAGTTCAGCGCTCTGTGCCTGGCGACATGTAATTCTCAAGTATTTTGTGCAATCCACACGTCCTAGGATGTTCATCCTATCATATCAAAATTTCGCGCAGGAGACCTACGCCGCAATTACTGGTCTGGCATTCATGCATAAGCAAATTCATGTGCCGAGGATCGTCAATTAAAGTGGCATTGGGTTAGCTCCTTGGAGAGTCGAGCACTTGCGGGTCCTTTCCCCCCTTCAAAAATATCCATCCTCCTCCTGTTCCTCACCCTCTTCTCTTTCATCACGCTCAATCCTATCGTTTCTAATATTATATTTTACTCTCTTCCCTGCCGAGAATAATTGTTGCAGGTGGCTAACCCGTGATCAACATGTCAACAATTGACATTGTAGTCAATCCCCGAGGTATGTAGCCTAGAGCGGTGCTTTAGCGAGACAGCATGTTTTAATCTTAGCTCTGAAACTTACATCTCCCTAGGAAAGCCGATCCGCAGGCTTCCAAAGGAGGTCACACTGCCGGCAACCGCGCCTGTTAGCGACCTCTACAAGACCGTCGCCCAGAAGTCAGGGCAATCGGTACACCGACTGAGGATCACAAAGGGTTCCGACGGGAGCCTATTGTCAAATGGATCGGAGACTGTTCATGATAGCGGCCTCCGTGCGCAGAGCGTCGTTTACGTCAAAGATCTAGGTACGAAGCGTCCAATGCTTGTATTCTCTCACCACTATCTGTACTAACCGGAGATTTTAGGTCCCCAACTTGGCTGGCGATTCGTATACGTAATTGAATACCTGGGTCCTCTCGTTATTCCACCTATCTTCCTCTACTTGCTGCGACCTTATCTCTACTTCAACTTCGAACAAATCCCTGAGCCGTCGGAGCTCCAACAAATTGTGTGTGCCGCTCTATTTGTTCACTTCTTGAAACGCGAATTCGAGACGATTTTTATCCATCGCTTTAGTCTTGCAACTATGCCTGCCAGGAACATTTTCAAAAACTGTGGCCACTACTGGGCTCTCGCTGGTGTCAACATTGCTTACTGGGTATTTCGCCCCGACTCTCCCACGGCAACAGACAGCCTTCACCCGGTCTTGTACTATGGTGGACTGGCCCTTTTTGTGTTTGGGGAGCTAGCCAACTTGAATGCCCACCTGATTCTGCGAAGCCTTCGACGACCTGGAACTACCGAGCGGGGAATCCCGAAAGGCTTTGGCTTTGGCCTCGTGACTTGTCCCAACTACATGTTCGAGATTATTGCTTGGATTGGTATCTACTTTCTGACTGGACTGAGCTGGAGTGTGTTCCTCTTCCTTGTCGTTGGCACTTTACAAATGTGGGCTTGGGCCAAGAAGAAAGAGCGTCGCTATCGTCAAGAATTCGGTGACAAATATAAGCGCAAGCGCTTCACCGTTCTGCCTCCTTTGCTGTAAAGGAGCTATGGGATTATTAGGTTCTTGGAGACAAACAGATTTGATTTCTGGTACCCGCAAAAAAGTTGCGCCGAAAGCTTGGATCGTTTACAAGATCCAGTGTCGCCAGACAGAGTGTTACGAGAGTAGAACATTCTTCGGATGAAGATTATGTGACTAGAGTATTAATAATAAGACGATAATGTGTTACAATTCCACCAAACCTGGCCATAATGATGTATCCTAGCATGATTGCAAGCTCCGCGGAGGAGTAAGTTAAATTGCATGCTAAGGATTATTGATGATCCGGTCCGCATACCGTACATAGGGAATAACCAGGCAACCTTAACATCAGCGCCTCTGCTCTATATATAAATAATAACGACATGGTCGCGAACTATAATTAACGTCTTTCAGTTGCTGCGAAGAATCTGTATAGGTTTATCTCGGCGGAATTTCAATACCATGTATCGCAATACTTGATCTTGTTCCCTATCTATAAATCTTCGACCTCTCGCAAGCGGCCCAGCTCAGCTATGCAGTACGCCCTGCCACCACGCAAGTCGTCGACGGCTCCCCCATTCGCTCCGCGCACCTCTCTCTTCTCGCTCCAGCGCCGTCGACAGCTGAGGACAATTGGGATCATTGCATTTACGGTTATTTCGGTTTTATTCTTTCTTTCGCGATATTTCCGTGCTACAAGCGGGGGACCCATCACAACCACTATCTTGATACCGTCTGGAACCCCAACTATCGTGCTTGTCACTCTCTTCGACCCCGACACGTTAAGTGAGGCATATCTTCAGAATATCAAGAATAACAGGGAGGACTATGCCTCGCGACATGGTAAATTCCCTTCATACTGGACAAATGAAGTATGGTCGATGCTAATCAGCCATGAAAAGGCTATGCCAACTTCTTCGCGAATGCATCCGATTATCTTTACACATTGAATGAGCAACAGCCCCGAAGCTGGGTTTCAGTTCCTGCTGTTCGACATGCAATGAGCGAATACCCATATTCGACATACTTCTTTTTCCTTAGCGCACATGCCCTAATCATGGAACCACGTCTCTCCCTTGAGAGGCATGTCCTAGAACCCAAACAACTTGATTCATTGATGATGAAGGATCAATCCGTTGTCCCCCCCGACAGTGTCATAAAGACCTTCTCCCATCTAACGGCTAAAGATGTAGAATTGATCATTACACAAGATGGTGCGGATTTGGTTCCGAGCAGTTTCATCATCAAGCAAGGCGAGTGGTCTCGCTTCTTTTTGGATGTGTGGTACGATCCATTATATCGAAAATATAACTTCGCAAAGGCGGAGAAGCATGCATTGGTATGTCTTGCACTGTTGCGATCAATCATTTAGCAGCCTAACATTTTCCACAGGACCACATTGTTCAGTGGCACGCAACGATTCTCGCAAAAATGGCACTTATTCCCCAGAGAATCATTAATTCATACAGCAAGGACTCTCCAGATCCCGCTATCGGTGGTACCTACCATGAGGGTGACTTTGTTATTCACTTCAATGGATGTGATGCTAAAGAAAGGAGCTGCGAAGAAGAGATGCGTCCGTATTACTCGATGTGGCAGAGAAAGACCACCAACTTGCAATGAATAATCTTAATTATCGCAACCGTGTCAACGATTTACAATGTTAAATATAGAACAAGGTGTTCGAGGGATCCTCTGAATGTTTGGTTTTTGGGCAACGTTGAACTTATTGTCTCGATTTTCCTTCATTTAAAAGGGCAGTTCATTGTCAGCTCAAAATGAAATACACTGAGAAACTGACAACAACTGGATATCAAAATGAGGAGGTAACAAAGAAAGGAAATATTGGATATGTGTACATAATTTATCAACGTGCTAAAGAAATCAACATATGATATGATACAAAACGTTCATTAATTCTCCTGCACCTTTATGCCAACTTCGGTCCCTGTGTTGGCTGCTCCTTCAAACTTTCTAGGTTGGCTAACTGTTCCAGCTTGATAGGTGTCTTGTCTTTGATATCAACCCTTTCCTTCAAAGGGGTATTCCCTCGCCACTGTATCTGCTTCCGTGTTCTCAGCCACTCCTCAAATGACTTTGGTGGCTCAGCCAAGCCCAGCTTTTTCCTTTGCTCGCTAAATCTTGCTTGGATTTTAGGTGTCTGCATGACCTTCCATCTCAATTCCCAGCCAGTTAACCCTAGTTCCTTGATTCTGGCTGGTTTATCCGACAAAAGGTAATTGTCTAGGCCATTGCATTTCCGAATTGTACGTAAAGCCTTGCGCGTGACTTTGATGAACACGTCCTCGTCGAGTGCATCACTATGCAGTTTCTTCCATCGGACGTTGGGTTTCCAGGAGCGTCTTGTTTTGCCTTTGTTCTTGCCCTTCGAAATCTTGTTACCGAAGTCGATAGACACGCCGCCGTATAAACCAGTGTCCGCCTGCTTGTATAAATAATTGGGTTTATATGGGTAAGGAGGGACTTCCTCAGAAAGAGTCTTTCGCTTTTGCAGGAAAGAAGTTGTCGAGAAACTCCGCTTGATCGACGTTGGGGTGTCCAGAGACAGCCCACGAAAGGCAGTTCGCAGGGAGCTTGCTGAGAGCATCGTTTTGAATGGCACAACTACGGTACCGGTATTGACAGTGTTGTATAAAGAGGTAAATGAATGACAAATTTAGTGGATGCTAGGAAAGCGCTCGTAGTTGACCTGGCACTGAGTTGTCCAGCCCATTTGTACATTCGAAACGAAGATGCATTGCTTGAATTGTTTCGGAAGAGAATTTGGGTGGTACGTGGGCTGACCGCCTTCGGCTTCTGGGCAATCCATTGGCGGATAGCCATCAGCCCTGCAAAGCTACTTTATTCAACTTCACCAAGCTATTCACCGCCGACACTGCTCTCTTTTATTTCTACCATTTCTTTCATTAGACTCATTCTCAAGATCACTTGCATCGGCCCACTATCATCGATACGATCTTTTTTTTAAGTCTGCGGCTTCCTTGAAGCGTTTATTTTCATCATGGTGCAGATCAGCGAAGTCAAGGGCGGTTCGCGCGAGAACAGGACGATGGCGCATACGCATATCAGAGGCCTTGGTTTACGTTCAGATGGTACATCTGAGAGCTCTGCTGATGGCTGGGTTGGTCAGGCATCTGCGAGAGAGGTATGCTAATGTCCATGGTTTTATGAATATAGAAAATTGATTTGTTCCTATTTTTAGGCATGCGGCGTTGTCGTGGATTTGATCAAAGCAAAGAAAATGGCTGGTCGGGCAGTTCTTCTTGCTGGAGGACCTGGTACCGGTAAAACAGCGCTTGCTCTCGCCGTCTCGCAAGAGCTGGGTACCAAAGTACCCTTTTGCCCGATTGTTGGAAGCGAATTGTACTCTGCGGAGGTCAAAAAGACAGAGGCTCTCATGGAGAACTTTCGAAGGGCTATTGGTATGACTACCGGGTCCCTAACTAGTCTCACATATCTAACTATATAAAGGTCTGCGAGTTCGGGAAACGAAAGAAGTTTACGAAGGTGAGGTGACAGAACTCACACCAGAAGAGGCAGAGAATCCTCTAGGCGGATACGGGAAAACTATCAGCCACCTTATCATTGGCCTTAAATCTTACAAAGGCACAAAGAAACTGCGACTTGATCCCAGTATCTACGAGGCTATCCAAAAAGAGCGCGTGACCGTGGGCGATGTCATCTACATTGAAGCAAATACGGGGGCATGCAAAAGAGTTGGACGATCAGATGCTTATGCCACCGAATTCGATCTTGAAGCAGAAGAATACGTTCCTGTGCCCAAGGGTGAAGTTCACAAGAAGAAAGAAATTGTGCAGGATGTGACCCTCAATGATCTTGAGTAAGTTCTTTATCATTAAAGCCATTGTTTGCGCTAGTGATATTGTCTAGACTGGCTCGCGTTCATTCAACTGACTTGAACCAGTATGGCCAATGCTCGGCCCCAGGGTGGACAAGACCTAATGTCTATGCTTGGTCAGCTCTCTAAACCGAAGAAAACAGAAGTTACAGAAAAACTAAGAGCCGAAATAAACAAGGTTGTGAGCAGATACATTGAGTAAGTGGCTTGCAACGTCTATCCATAATTCCAACCTAGTAGCGGCTATACTAACTTCGCGCAATAGTCAAGGAGTAGCGGAATTGATTCCTGGCGTCTTATTCATCGACGAAGTACACATGCTTGATATTGAATGCTTCACCTATCTGAATCGAGCTCTTGAATCCCCCATAGCGCCAATTGTCATCCTTGCATCCAACAGAGGAAACACTGTGATCAAAGGCACAGGAGACGTCACAGCAGCTCACGGCATTCCTCCTGACCTCCTTGCTCGGCTTCTCATCATCCCCACTCACCCGTATAATCCCGAAGAAATCAAAACTATCATCCGACTTCGTGCTAAGACAGAGGGATTGAACATTACCGACCCTGCTCTAGACAAGATCTCTGAACATGGCAGCAAAATCAGCTTGCGGTATGCCCTGCAACTCCTTGCTCCAGCCAGCATTCTAGCACGCGTGAATGGGCGCCCAGGAGGTATAGACGTTGCCGATGTGACAGAATGCGAGGATCTCTTCATCGACGCTAAGAGAAGTGCAAACATTGTCAACCAAGGGAAAGGGAACTTCTTGCCATGATATTAGCCGTTATAATATCAATTACGGGATAAATCAATTTTCTGTAGGGAAAGAGATAAAAAGGGAGTAAATGGTGGATGGGGGCATGTACGTGATTATATGTTTTATTTGTATTTCATGATACTAGTTTGACTCCCAGCTGGTTAGTTGGTTTGCTTGTAATACTAGCGATGTTGGCCATTAACTCCACCGTACTTATTTCAAATGCTTAGAGACCCAGAGCCTGTTAGCATGTTTTATCCATCAATTCTTTTATTGATACCTGCTTTCTCCGTAGCTACGGTCTCAACCCTGATGAAGGTCGTCTGCAGATATCATTGCAAAACCAATGATCAGATGATGTTAGAATAGCTGAGGTTGAGTTAAATATGACCATCGACCAAGAAGTACAACAGTGTCACTGGTCAGAAGGCCAAATCCGGAGGCTTGGCATGACGAAAATCACGTGAGGCATTGACGGCGATAAGCAGGGCCTATCGCAGGCGCCAGGAACGGGGCAAAGCGACGACCTCACCATCCTTCAATATCCGAACCCTTACTGTTGCCTAATACGCTTCGAAGGAGATATATCTTGCAGCCACACTCTGATAAGGTCTCAGTTCAACCATTTAAGGCAGCTGCTAGCCTCCATACAACGGTCATCGCACATTAGTATCGGCCACGACATCTAGAACCTAGTCGTCGATCAATCCGTCCTACATTGCCCAGACAACTACATATACACTTTACAATATGGCCAACCCGCTTGACACAGATGCCGGCTCGGAGCTTTTTAGTAGCTATGAGGCTGAGTTCAAACTCCTCCAGGCCGATCTCAACCAGAAGCTGGACCAGATAGCAGAGGCCAGCGGAGAGCAACGAAAATCTGCCATTAGGCTGACAGAAAGCGTTTTGGATGAAGCAAATGAATTGGTAAACTTAACTCGCAACCTAATAGGATTCAGAACAAAAAACCTGGCTGTGATGACTGACTTGGTATATTCAGCTCAACCAAATGCGCGTCGAGAAGCAGAATATTCCTTCAGCAACCCGCTCAAAAGTCAACATGCGATTCCGCAACTATTCCAGCGACCTAGATGAGACAAAACGCAAACTCAAGTCACTGTCTGACGATCGCCGAGCGCTCTTCGGTGACCGCTACACCGATGACCCCGAGGCCGGAGATGTGCACATGGAACAGAGGCAGCAATTACTCTCAGGAACGGAGCGTTTGGAACGTAGCTCTGCTCGTCTACAAGAAAGTCAGCGTCTCGCATTGGAGACCGAGGATATTGGCCGAGGTACTTTAGCCGACTTGCACCAGCAGCGTGAGACGATCGAGAGGACTCGAGAGAACTTGCATCGAAGCGAGGGCTATGTTGATACAAGTATCAAGACGTTGCGGGGCATGGCCCGTAGGTATTACATCCCCAGTGCATAACAACCTCTTTTCAAGGCGAACTTATCTAACGAACTACTTCTAGGATGGCTACCAACCGGGTGATTACAGTCGCAATTATCACGGTTCTGGTTCTTTTGATTTTCGCTATTATCTACAGCAAGTTTCATTGATAATGTACTATACTTTTTTCAAGCAGGCGTTTATTCAGATGACATTAAATGAGTATTTCATTATGCGTTCACTTAGCAAATCATCAACCTCCAACCTATATGACGTTCAATGCATTATGGGTATCTAATGTGCTATGCAAAACCGCGAAATATACATGTATATACTTGACCCAAAGGTCGAAATTTCAAGCATTTCCACAAAGTCGTTAATTCATCACTCTCACAGCCCCAAAGGCAATGTTTACCACTACCCCAACAAACACAGCCAATCCCTTTCTCCAACTCCAGACCCCTTCTTCCCGCCGTAGCCACATGGCACATCCAATAGGCCAGAAGAAGCCCATGATTGCGCCCCAGAGCATGTCATCCAAGGCGCCATGCGATCCTGAGCCAAGGCCACCGCCATCGTCATCACCGCTGCCGAGAGTTGTAGCTCCTCCACCCAAGGCGCCTGCGCCCATCGCACCCGAACCTTCGTCCATCCACCGATCTTCTAATTCTCGTAATTCTGCGCCTGATGGCATTGTGTCAGGCGTATAAGATACAGACTGTAGTGCCAGAAATTGTGATCTCAAAGCCGAGATTTCACTGGGTGTAAAGCCCGCAGCAAGTAACCGATCAAACCCTCTTGGAGCGGGTGTTGTCAGCGATTCTTCTTTTTGGCTTTTCTGTTCGCCCGTGGGTTCTGGGACAAGGTTATTTCCTTGTTGAAGAGTCGATGCCATGGCAGCTTCCGCATCAAGGTCTGACGCGGACAGAACAATATCGCCGATAGAACAATGTATATAGAGGCGTGGTATGTCAAAAATCTCGCGCGCCACCGCTTTCCCTTTTCCCTTGGAGATTTCGTCTTTTGTTCGCTCGACATCGGCTCTCGTGGATATTGGGGTGCCTGCTCGTGGCGACGACAGCTTCAGGGAGGTCGCCAAAGAAACCGCATCTTCTAAGCCTCTTCCAGAATAGATCAGCCGAAGTCTATGATCTGCTAGGTCTCGTGGTAGCTTCTGTCTAATTAATTGTTTGAGGCCTGTTGCCGTTGTGGTGGTTGGGTTGGTGATTTCTAGTTGAACATCGGGGATGGAAGCGGAGAAGCGGACTGTCAGGTGTAACTCTGGCTCTGTCTCGAGTTGTTCCAGAGCGTGCGGTGAGAGCCTCGAAGTCTCCATTTTCGTGGAGATCTGGCGGTTTTGTTTTGATGATATAAGTATAATGATGTGTTGTTTTCCGATATTGTCTCTTTCAGAAAGAGCGAGTGCCGGCAGACCTGCTGAGGTCCGCGCTGGTTTAGCCGCTGACGCACTTGCCGATATGCGGACCATCTCTCATCAATCATCAAACTACAACACTACCGATGAATTTTGTCTTTATAAAAGGGGGCAGTTTTGGTTTACTGAAGTCCATGTACTAAAGATATGTAAATTATGACATTAACAAGGTGGAAAGTAGGTATATATTCCTAGCAATATTCATCTGTTCCGGGGGTCGTTAGAAACTACAATATCTAGATCGAGTTGCATTGGTAGCAACATAAAAGACCAAGCATGAATCAAACTCTTGCATGTCTAATGCTTGTGTGTGTGATGTTGTGTTTTTCAAGTGTTTATACAATTAACACGTCCGTGAAAGGGTTGTAAGGTTGAAATCGGAGGAAACGCCGCCCAAATGCATCATAGGAAATCGAAGTGTATGTGCAGAATATAAAATCAGACCATGAAGGACTCGCCGCAACCGCATTGTTCCTCTGGGAGATATCTGTATTAGCGTACAATTGATAGCGTGTTTGGGCCAGTTGTACTCACTTATGTTTGGATTGCGGAACACAAAACGTTGACTAAGTTTGTCCTCCTGCCAATCCATCTCACTTCCAATAATACTGAACAAAGCCTTACTATCAATAAGGACCTTGACCCCTTCCTGCTCAACAACCTCGTCGAATTTTCCAGGTTTCTCAACATATTCAAGAGCATAAGCAAGCCCTGAGCAGCCACGGTTCTTCACGCCGACTCTGATCATTTTCGGGTCTGGTTGAGATAATAATGTTTTCAACTGTGCCACAGCTGTTGAGGTAAGGGTCATTGCTGCCTTTCTGGGACGAAGTCTTGAACGACGAGGATTGGTTGAAGATGTAGTTGTAGTTGAGGTTGTGCTGGCTGACTGAACAGGAGAGGACCTCTGTGTCTCGCCTTCTCTGGCACTAATAGACGATTGCCGGTCTGAGGATGGGGCTGCATTATACGCACTCTTTTCGGTGTTGAACGGAGCATCGGCAGCAATGGATGTGTCTGGTATGCCGGCGTTACGGGGCGGAGGGAAGTTGTTCTGGAGAGTATGAGGTTGGAAGGCGGTGGCAGTCTGCATGTCACGTCTAGATGATTGATAGTTCGGTCGGTATGAACAGAAAAGGCGGACGGTGCATTTGCATCCCGTTGTCGCAGATGCCCTGGCATATTTGAACATAGTGGCTGCAGATGATGTCATGGAGGGACGGAGAGCCACGGAGGCCGACATATTCAGAGAAGAATGAGAGAGGTACGGGCTTCAAGTTGAGGAGGCGACATGCGCATGAACGAGCATGGGGAGAGGATGGTGTTGAGGGGTTGTGGTGGTTATTCTGGATTAATAAACGAAGCCGCGGAAGAGAGACAGGCAAGTCGGCGGCAAGTCGGCTTTCATCTGGCCGCAGTCATGCGCGCTGCTGTGGCGGCCAATCACCGTCGAGGTGTTTGTAACCACGACGTATGGCATACGTAGAAAGCGCAAGCAACACGGCTGAGTTTGGGCATAGAATAAAGTATTTATTCTATCCTACGCGGTAAAAAAACATCAAACGAATAAAAATAAATGCTGCAAAAATTGAGCACGGCAGTAATCGAATCGGGGACTTTACTAGCCTGCAGGCGCATCATACCGCCAAAAAGGGTTGCAGCAAAAACAATACATGATGACTAACGTATGGAGATCGGTGTTTTCACGGTGCGATTTTATTCATCAATATCGAAATCGATCAGTATGGCTGGACTCGATAGAACTGAAGGTTGCTGGCGTGAGAAGGTGGCGCGCAACGAGGGACGCGGCAGTCAGTCAGGTTAAGTTAGTTGCTAACTAGGCACTCACTGCAGTCAGTACTATTACTAGTGGCGGGTGGCTTTCGGCTTGTGTGTACTTCTATCATTTTCATTCCTGGGAGATTTACCACGTCGACGTGATCTGACTGGTCACAGCACTGAGAAACCGAGATCCCTAGAAATTTACATCCGGCGGTTGCCCGCTCTCGTTTCAAGTCTCCGCTCCTGGAGATTCGTGGCCCTATCATGGTTGCTGAGCCGCCGACATAATTCCAAGTGTTCGCAATTTCCAGCATGGAAGCCTCGCCTCTGACACAGCAGGCTAGACCAGAAACATTCCAGCCCAAGGTCGTTCAGCTTTATGAGACTCTTTTCCAGGCATGTGCCCTTGTATACTTAAAGTTCACCGCAATCTAATTGTCCACCCAGCCCACAAACCTTGCGGAGCCCACCGAAGGTTTCTGGCGGGAGTTCTTTTTGCTTCCTCCAGACCCGGTGCACCTGCGCCGCATTATAGATGCCTTCACGCCAGACGATGCATTATCGTTGCAGGCAATCACGCAGCAGGTGTTCTCTCGAGCCATTCGGGAAGCAGCCGCTGGTGTAGCTCCTAATGATACCCATGCGCTTGAGGTTAGGACCCTGATACCTTCTGTTGCCCCCTTTCAATTCAACATAGATTGCTGAGACTTTATAAGACTCTTACCGCTTTCCTTGGGAGCATCTTGGTCAAAAAGTACACAAACCCTAGTTCTGATATCATCACGATCCTTGCGGGACTGAATGAAGGGGATCAAGTATTCACCGATTTTGTCGGTATCCTTGACAGAATTATTCGGACAGGGTCATACTGTAAGCAAAGATAGGATTCTTTGCTTTTTGCTCGACTAATAGGAGCGTTTCAGTTGATCTCCGATTGCAAGCTGTAAGAACCGCGATCGCAATCGTTAGTGGAGCCTATAAAACTGGTCTCGTCTCGTACTTCACACACCGCGATCTTTTCCCTTCTATAATGAAGGTACGCTGATCTCCCACTATGCCCGGAATTTCTTCTAATGATTCCCAGTTTATACATGATTCCGAAGACCATCTAAAAATATTGGAGCCGTTTTCGCTCCTTGGTCTTTTGGCAAACTACAATAAATTCGAATTCCAAAACCCGTATCAGCAACGACTCGGTGATTTTGTTAATGAGTCTACTATTCAAAAAATCGTGAAAAGTACAGGCCTGTCTTGTGCTGGTCTTAGGAATGGTTATGTTGCCATCGAAGATGATCTTCCTGAGGGATGGACGCTTAGCAATACGCTCGTCTTTTTCGGATTACGCGCGCTTACCGGCGGTGCCAAAGACAAGACCGTTACTTTAAACCCTGAAGAGATAAAGGAGACATTTGCAGCGCAGTAAGTGCACATTCCTCCGTCTGGTGAGTTGAAATGCTAATGGTGCAAGACCGGCGGCCGAAGCTACGATCCTCCTAGCTACTTATGATTTTGTCAATGCAAACAAGCTTTTTGGCTACAGCTTGGTCACCTCTGTGCCTGAAAAGCGGAATGAAGAGTCTCCTTTCTCAAGCTTCCTGTCACTGACATCATATCTGCTCCAACATGCGTACCGGTCTGAGCGAGTGGCAACATATGCAGAATTGAATCTTTCTATCCTTCGTATTCTAGTAGAAGATCCAGTTTTATGCAAACGAATATGCGGTGAAGAAGGCAGGCGCAATGTTCGTCTTTGTCGACAACGACAGCCCCATATTCCTCTTGTCAACGGTGAACGTGTGCCTGCGACGGTCATATTCGATATCATGATCGATACTATGACTCACAATCTGCGACGCCGCCTAGACGTCAACCTCTACTGGTGAGATAATCTTCCTTTTCTTTGCCTAGTCCATTACTAAAACAATGCAGCCATACCATCGGCATCCTCATTCGGCTGTTTACCTTTTTATCGTCCAACAGAACTCGGCTAACATACCACTGGTCCGAGCTGTGGCGTACCCTGCTCTCCCTAATGCGATTCCTCACCACTTATGCCTCCGATATATCGCTTAACCCTCGCATCAACAACCTGACAACTTCGCTGGTCAACTTGATCGCATTTTCTCTTTCTGCTGGTGACACGTTCCTACCTGACCCAGCCTCTTATGACGATCTATTCTACAAAATTGTGGAAACCGGGCCCGTCATAGCTCGATTCCGAGATGTGTACAATTTAGCCCCATTTGCCTGCACTACACCAGGCTCAAAGGAGACCAATAATACCGACATTTCAGATACAAATATCGCTGCTATTGATATCCTCATTTCCGTATCCACACATTTCCACTCGCTGCTTTTCCAAACGGACAAATCGGACTCTACAAATGGAGCGACAGATAGCAATGATGCGCCCAAGATCATCCCGGCTGCACGCAAGAAGAATCTTGGCCCCCGTGAGGTACATCAAATCATCAAGCAAGGCTCCGATACACTCAGCATTCAAACCCGTGAGGGGCTGAATACATGGAGCAAATGGCGCGAAGCGGATTCGAAACTCGAGTTGAAACGTGCTGCGAGATGTGCGGTTGAGGATGCAAGAAAACTTGTCCTTCAATAACAGCATCAGTATTCTTAAATTGAGCATAATTCACGGCTATCAATGTACGGCATTCTTATATTTTATTTTATTTCCAATTTCCCATTCTTTTGAGTTTATTGAATAGACCATTGATGTCAGTCTACCTGAGTGTGATACCTTTATATTTTTGAATGTAGACCAATGACCTACTGAGAAGAATAAATTCCAATTGATACCATCCCCTAGCCAGCAAGATCTTCCAAAAGGCATAAGAAAAGAGAAAAAGAAGCACAAGACGCCTTATAGCGGAAAGAAAAAAAGGACAACAGTAACACAAATATTGTAGCTACTTTTACTTTACTTTTCATTCTATTATAGTAGCTTGTCACTTTAAACAAGTCGCGAAGTTGCAGTGCCCGGGTTTGGAAGGGGCACTCCTGTTGCTTTTTCCATATACTCAGCACTAGCGCTGATATATTTGTTTGAAAAGAATTGTTCAGTATTGCGGCTCAACCAAATCGTGAATTTGGAGAGCTCCTCACGCAGTCGGTTTATAGATTGCTGATCCATATTTGTTTGTGCAATGAGTTCGGGAAGCACAGCTGTGCGTGAATGTTAATGATGAACAATGATTGAAAATAAAATAGCAGCACATACCAAATAGACGAACTAAGTGGTGGGCCCCATAGATATCAAGAGGTCCTTTGTCGGCATAATTATCGGCACCACTTTCCCATTTCTGGCGCAGAATTCGATATTGCTCTCTTTCAAATTTATAGAGCAGGATCTTGTCAAGTGACTTGTCAAAGTACTCTTTGATTCCCATGGTAACCTCTTCGAGAACATCGGTCTCAGCAGTAGTCGAGCGCTTGGGGTTCTCCTCATCTGAGTACGCTTGGAGAATTGAGTTGACGGAGTGAGGCGCTGGCAGAGCAACGACCTGCTGGTTTTTGGTCACGTTCTCCCAGTCATCGACGAGCAATGCTTTGAGATTGTCAGGGAGCATAATGCGGATCGATGGCCGCGAGTGAAACTGGTCCTCCTATTTTCCTTTAGTCAGACTTATTTTTAATCTCAAAGCAACTCAAATACTTACTTTTTCAATTTCATTGTCACGGCCGCGCTTATTCCCTTTGGCGGGGACAGATGATTGTCGTTCTTCGCTGCCCCGGCCGGAGTCGGAACCTCCTCTTCGCTTTGTTAATTTACTGTTGGGATTGGCTTTTGCCCACGACTGAGCCGATATCTCTCGCCGAATTTGGGCAGCAAGCTCACGGTTCTCCTCCGTGAATTTGCGAAGGCGCTCTTGGGGAACCCAATCATCCCAGCTGTGAATAATCGATGTTAGTGCATGTCCCAACTTCTTCCCGCCAGTAGAAAAACGTTGCCTCCCGGAGCCGTGTCGGCATCCTGCTTATTTCATATGGAAAACACACAAGCAACACTTTCTCAATCATGGCTGGATGTACCATTTAGATATAAAGCAAGAGGAAGGAAGGGAGTGGATGGTAAAACCAACGCACTGGTGGCTGAAATTAGTCAAATGCGAAATACTTACGTGTTTTTCCATCCCTTGTAATGGACCAGATACTCATAGGGGCTCTTTCTGTCATCCGGGACAGTGTGTTTCAAATCCATGATTTTAGCTTCGTAAAGCACTTCATGGTGAAAACAGAGAACTCGTTCGTCCCGGCTGTAATTGGTGGTTGCTGGTGCCATGGTGATGTCGTATTAAGCGCTCTTTGCCCAGAAATCTTCCAGGCCGCCGTCTCTAAGCGAGAGGGAGAGAGTCCGGATAAAAAGTGATGCTTACTGAGTGGTGACCTGGTTTGAGACACTTGGGATGCTGCTTGTAAGGACTGGGCCCCGCTTAACATGCACAGGATGAGCGCTGGCAGCCACAGTACAGAGGATGCAAACGCGCTAGATGTCTCCTAGAAGCGGCAATGTTCTTGCCCGAGCAATTTTCAAGTGACGCGATGCTTTTTAACGCAAAAACCGAACTTTTCATGCATAAAATTCCCAGCCTGGCCCACGGTCTGAGCAGCACAGCTGAGGCAATTATTGTGTGCCCGTGAAAAACCTGCGGTATGGGCGGCACTAATCTGGTAGAGCTAGAATACAGCGATAGAAGAAGAGGAACGCAAGGTCTGGGCAGATTGGCTTGTAGGAGAGAAATTATGCGTGTGTAGGGGCTTGGGGTTGGAGGAGGAAGGGGATTGAGAGTGACAAAACGGGCAGCGGAGAGGGAGGGCAAAAACGCGTTACGGCGCTCCTATCAGCTATCAGCGCTCAGTCCAGTCAGTACTCTCTCCTCTAGACTTCCCCTCTGGTTGACGGTAGCACGCCTGCTTGCTATTCCACGGTGCCACGTGTGCCATCATATTTACAACCTGAATCCGATCAGTGTTGCCAGCTCGTCGCTGGATCGGCTTATGTGTGACGCGCAAGACCAAGCGCGTGTCCGAGCCGATTCATCCCATCTAATCGTAAAGGCAATTTCTACCGGGGCTTTCTAGTGCCGGACTCACCGGTCGTTCTCCTGGGTGGTGATTATTCAATCGCTACTCGCTTCTAAAGACTGGAGCCTATTCTTAAGTTTCGTGCAAGAATATTGGTTGTGTCTCACAAGAGGCTCGTCACCATGGCTCCGTCAGAGGATTCTATTCTCAATAACTTTCTGCTCTCCCCCGCGTCCCTCCCAACCATCATTTCTCTGCAAAAGTTTACAGAGCTGTTTCCAAAGCGCCTCCGATCTCATCCGCAGATCAAAGTGCTGTATCGAGAACTGCAGGAATTGCGCTCGCAGGATATGGATGGCGTCACCGAGCACATCCTCGAGCAAGTCGAAGAAGGCGGGAAGCAAAGAGCCGATTTACTGCGAGCCGCCAAGGCATCGGGCGTAAATGGCTTTAGTGAAGACGACCGCCGCGAGATGAGCCTAGATCTGCAGCTGTTCGGTCCGACCTCCAGCACTGAACCCGTTGGGTTTCACTCCTTCTCGAGTCTTATCTCGGAGATGGAAAATGCGTGTTCTACTTTAGAGCAGGAGATTGCAGCCACGGGGCAAAATGCAGCTTCTACTCTCGCTGATATGAAAAGAACGGTGGGTGAATTGAGCGATCTTCGCTATGGAAAGTTTTCCAAGCCTGGCATGACCGTTGATGATTTTGTGGGAGAAACTGTCCGAGGACTGAAGAGCCTTCAAAACGTTTGCGATCGTCAATCCGACGATCGATTATCTTGATTCTCGACTTCTGAATTATATATTACTTCAACAATTCCGTCACCTCGAGGCAGAAGACTAATGCCCTCACACTATTAATGGGTCCAAAAAGAGAAATTACAGCATCTCTCTTGCTCTCCATCTGGTTCCAACCAACTCAAACCCTATCCGACATCCCTAATGGAGAAAAATTATAATGTTCACTTTCACCACAAAATCCAATCACTATCTGTAGTCTCAGATTCGACCGCCTAAAAAGCGGAGAATGCTTAGTTAGAAGGCTCCGTATGCATTCAGCTCAGCACAAAGAGAATTGCCGATCAATTTTTCCATATGCTCGTCCACGTCCAATGGCGTATCATTTACAAACATAGGCTGACCAACTTTGTCAAAGTCATATGGGGTTATTGTATTTCTCTGCTTCCAATTCACAGTCGGGTTTCCTGGTACTCTAGGAAGTGGAGGAAATGCACCGAAACCAGATTTCGCCCGCTCACCACCCTCATGGCTACATTCAGTTGAATCTGGCCATGGTGCCTGGGCTCTGGACGGGTTTTCTATTTCGTCGGGCCGCCAGATTGTGAATTGTGCTAGAACAGTTGATCGAAAATCGCCCAGCTTCTTTCCTTGAAGAACGGGCTGAACCTTTTCCTTGCAAAGAGATTCTCTCTGAGACAGCCTCGCTGCTATTTGCTTTTTCATGCGGACGGCTTTGGCTTCAAGTATAGTCACGCGATGTACGACCCATTCACCCATATTTGTGGGAAGATATGGCGGATACATCTTCGCTGGATGACCTCTAGAGGGAGGCAAGTAATACAGTCGCAATCGTCGAAAAGCATCTCTCTCTTTTACCTCGTCTGAGACCCAGGTTAAAGAACACATGCGAGCACTTGGGGAACATTTATTTCCGCCACCCTTGGAGGGTTCAACAGCCTTTACTCAAATTGTCAATTAGTTATCGACCCCTTGATCTGTATCCACCCGTACTTACCGTGCGGTAATCATTTGTCTCGTCGCCAAATTCTTCATTTAAGTCGTGGGAATCAACGTATTCCGCATCCTTCAGGGGTTGGACTTGTATATTTTCTCCAGGTATATCCATACAAACTTCTCTGAGATAGAGCTTAGCAGATGTCTAATGCAGAAGCTTTATCTTTTGATGCAGACAATGAAATAATAAGATAGGGGGTTTGCTATGAGAAGGCCGATTGTGAACAGAATATACGTTAACAGTGCTTGATCATGAAGCCAATAAGGAATGAACAGTGTTCGTGACGCCTTTTTATTGATTAATGAATGACTGATTTTAGTCCTGCTTGGGAACACGTCATTAACGTAGGGCAATCCTACTGCATGATCTAATGTCCATATTCTTGCCTTATCCAAATGAGTTAGCGAATAGACAATCAAGAATATCAGAAAGAGACATGCTCTTGTCGGTCATGGCGGTTGTTTCCGATCCTGATTTGTTCATCTATCATAGTCACATCCCTCAAAAATTGATTCAAATGGCCACTCAGTAGTCTCCTCAATACGTGCTAGAGCGTTAATAGCAGATCCAGGAGGCTTTCAAATGACAGCATAGTCCCTGTCATTGTCTCAAGGGTTCCATTGTCTTCCTTTGAATTTTCTTCCCCTTTTCCGCTTTTATTCCACCCCCCTGGCTACTACAAGATGAAGCGGCACCTCACTCCGAACCATCTTCCTACCCAGAATAGACACCGAGAGGAATACCCCTGGAACAGTTTAAAATACAACGTTGAGTCCAACTTTTTTCTTTGTGGGACTCGATCCATGGTCCACAAGTAATAATATTATTACAGGTTCCCTGAGTCAATATATGCCTTGCGCCATTCCTAATGCGGTACCTGTAAATATGCGGGGTTGTACCTCGGTACCTTATTTTATTGTTATATTTGTTTTTAATGACAGGTGCCTAGAGGGCTAAATGCTCAATTGACGGTATTGTTAGCCTATCACAATTTTCAATGGTCATTGAATGTCTGGCGAGCCTGGAAAATTGGCGTCTTCATCTCTGATAAGATAAGATTAAGATTGTCTTGGCAGCGTCCCACTCTTCCAATTTCCGAGCCTCAAGAACGCGTCGACACTCACACGCTTTCCTCCTGACTCGAGGATTTTTCTTTCGCTGTCATGCCTTCCGTACCCCTATTTCCACCATCCCAGACGCGCTCGTCCACGGAGCTGTCGCACGATGCCTCGAATCCCCTCCCGACCATCCTACACACCCCCTCCGGCCTCGCCATTCTCGAACTGCAGGGAACCATCAATGTGCCTCCATCCGATGTCACAGAACAGGGCAATTCTTCGGGGCCTCAACATACCGACACCGTGGATGCTCTTACTCCTACTGGGAAAATCGTCGAAACTGAACTCGGCAGACTCATGTTCCCAGACTACGTCGAAGGGGACACTGACAATACCAAGTGGATGAAGCGTGCATACCTATTTGTCGGCAAATACCAGCGTATGACGGGCGAAGTGAAGAAATTAGCGAAACCGCTCGCCATCATACGACGCCGACAGCAACAACAACAACAACAATCAAAGACAGGCTCCATGGTAGATGAAGCTCAAGTTGGCGAAAGGGAAGGTGGGGATGAGCTTGAGATTGTGGAGATTATCAAGTACAAGATCATTTTTGCTTCAAGACCGGAGCCTGTGGGTATATAACAAGGGTTTTTGGCACGAAGTAAGAGCTTGTGCTTGTTCATTCCAGGGCAGTCGACAGACAACTTTCCCAATAGGCGGGGACTCATCGGGGTGCCTCGACCTGGCGCTTCCCATCAGAAAGAATGGCGATAGTTATATCTATTCCAAGAGGATGAATTGTGTGTAGCGATACTGATGCCGCCATCATTTCCGCGTACCATGAAGGCCAGGCGCCGGCGCGTGCTTCTATTTGGGCCAACGCAACCTAAGGTGCTAGTTGAACTAGTCACCTGTATGGTCAGACATGCTCAATGAAAATCGCTATTCCTATTACTAACAGGAGTATCGCATTCACGCGTGGTATGACTCAGTTAGATACCATCATACTTGAACGTTGAAGTGACTAAAGGTCTAGACATGCCATTGACTGGAAGGTAGTCGATAGGCAGGGATCATTGATAGTTGTGTTAGAGACAAAATTAGACTATTCCCAATATTAAGGACTCCTTCCAACGTAAGCACTTCTATTTTCATTTCAACGTTATAGCACCTTGACTAATGCTTCGCTAATTCTATTCCACAGTATACATGGTAGGGTTGAGGTCAATGGTATAGCATATCCTCAATCTTGGGGGGAAAACACAGGCACACACAAAGACACATACATCACCATTCAGCGTAAAGATACAGCTTGAGTTTAATATAGTATGAGACTGAACTAAGTAGGACAGTAGGCCGCGAATCATGGGTAGTTCCTTTTAGAAACCGTGGGTATAAGGTATAAGTGCAGTTATCCCCGATCGAGTTTCCTGACGACTAGGTAAACCACACACACAAGAATAAGATGTACAGGAGAAGAGAAACCAGCTTTCTTAATAAAGAAAATTTGGTAGAGTAAATGGGGGTGAGAGAGGATCGAGACAAACGCATCTAGCCATCCAGTGCTTTGCGCAGGTCCGCCCACTTTTGTTTGAGACCTTCATGATTCTCCGATAGCTGTAATAATATTCGTTAGACCAAGCCATTGTCTAATTTGGAAGTGTAACTCACCTCTGCCCATTTCATCTTGGTGTCAACAAGATCTTTCTCCATTTCTACCATTTGTTCCTCAATGTTCCGGTTCTCGTTTTGAACCTCCATGTTCCGTTTCATAATTCGTTCCATCTCAGTCCTCAGCTTTTCTTCAACCTCAGCCGGTTGCTTGTCAACGACGATCTTCAACTCTTGAACCTGGACTTGCAGACTCTCATTGGCATCTGAAAGTTCCTCGTTCTCGACTTTCACTCGTACCAGTTCCGACGCCAGCTGAACGTGTTCTTGGTCTGACTTTTCAGCATGTTCTTCTAGTGACCGTATTCGTGTAGCTTGTGTTGCAACAGTATGCCTCAATCCTTCGAGCTCTTGTTCTCTCTCTTTTTCCGCTCTATTTTTCTCTTCCCACTCTGTGGTATATGCACGGATTGTTTCGGGAGTGAGTGGAATCTCAAAGGCATCCTGTACCATCAGATCCGCCCGGTAGACCTCCTTTTCGCTGCCACCGGAGCTTCCAAAGAACCCGGATTCTAGTATCGAACTAGCTGATGGTTGCTGATCAATGTACACATCGAAAAGCTTTTCCTTGACAAATTGGGACAGGGTAGACATGTCCTTCATGCTAAGGAGTGTTTCGGCATTGCGGCGCATGATAGCAACGCCAAAACGGAGAATGGTACTTTCGAGTCCCTCTTCGAGGATGAGATCGTAGATACGAAGGACAAGTTGCAGGGGAAATCGGTATGCAAACAGTGTTAAAAACCATTGGGTGGCATATAATTGAGGGCTCAACCCTCGGCGACGGAGATGACAATACAAAGCTGGCTCGAGGTCCTCCAAGAGTCGCTCAAACTGGAACAAGTGAAGATGCAAACCAGGCATATCTTGAATAAACATTTCTCGTAAGCCATATTTATTCATAAGTTTGACGAGCAGGCCGAACGCATCGACTTCCTCCATCTAAACAACTTCATCAGCAAGTGTTTTCAAACATGGTAATCGGCAGCGCTTACATTAAAAAGCAAAGGCATGGCAATGAAATTAATGCCTTGTGCATAACCAACGGCCTCATCATAGAGGGCATAAGCCTTGCATAGGCCGAAAAGGGCTTCTTGGTTTCCCTGCGAGACGAAATATTTAGAGTAGCTTGTTCGAGAGCCAAGGTCTCGTCGTATCGTCTTTTCCAGCTTCCGTATCGCATCTGCATCTTCTTTTGCCTTTTTCTTGCGGGCGGCTTCTGCTGCTAGTTGTTCTTTCACAACCTTCTCAGCATCCTTCTCTTGAGATGGACTAGGCGAAGGTGTTACGTGACTGGAGTGAGATGCGGAACCAGAATTATCTGAACGAATGGAGGAGCGTGATGAAGCCAGCGACTCCTTCTCTGAGTTAATGCCGGGTTGGTTGCCATTCACACTAGTATGCCTTTCCTTGTCAGTGCCTCGCACGACAAGGTCTCTATACACCTCCTCGAGTCCGGGATTATGACTATCAGCTAAAACTTGCCAGATCACGCCTCTAATAGTCTGGGGAATGCCTCGCTTGATAGCCGCATTGAGTTCATCGGAGTTAGCACCAGTCAACGCATCAGATCCAAGATTCACAATCTTCTCCCATAGTTCCCAATCCACAGGAGCCGCAGCATCTGTTGCAGACGCCGATATCCCCGAAACTGTTCCAGGAGCCAGATTGGGGTTGACTGATGGAAATGGGCCAGCTGAAGTGACAGCGGGTGAAGGAGCGGACAATGTATCATTTTCCTCTTGAATGGGACTGCCCACCACCTGGCTGACCGAAGCCTGACCGGAAGTAACACTGACCTGGTCTGTGTCTGTGCCTTCTTCTCGCAAGCGTAGCAACTTGAATTGATCTTTGAGGCTGTTGCGCGGCTTCTTCGAGCTCAGACTATCTCCATCGTCGACGGTGTTGAGCGTTGAGACTGATGCGGCGGTGTTTCGTCGGCTATCTATCGAGCTAGCGGGAGGAGACTTGATGTCCTTCCCGGTACTTGCTCTAGACAGCCACGAGAAGGGACTTGTGAGCTTGCGGCCGGGTAGGGCAGGCGGAGCAGGGGGAGCGGGCTGCGGGGGTACTGAGGGCTTTGCGGCGGTAGGCCATGATACAGAAGGTAGATTGGACATGATTGCAGATGAGACGCTTTGCTTTGTTGTTGCAGAATCGGGCGAGACCGATTTTGGAGAGCCTGCAGGTGGCTCCGGCTCTGGACTGGCCTCCGCTGGCTGCTCATCATCCTTGTTACCCATCAAGTTGACGTCGTCCAGCGAAGTCGTTGACAGGCGATGAGCAGTCAGCAGCGGTGATTTCTGGTATTTCTTTCTCTTCGGGGTGTCCTCCGTCTCCGAATGTGGCGCAGAGCTGCTATCGTCGGAGTCGTCGCTGGAGGTGACATCTGGCTGTGCAGATGGAAGAGGCGGCGCGTGCTCGGCGCGGGGGGTGGTGACAGATCCATTTGATAGCCGGCGATCAGTCAAGGACCGCGTCGAGGAGCTTTGAGGGAGTGAAGGGGAGACGTGAGTAGTATTGTCCTCGCTGGCATCTTCAAAGGAGTCCTGCATCACAATCACACGGTCAGCAGAGGAGCGGGAAGAAGCCATGGTGGCCAACGTACCTCGCCGAAATCCTTGGGCTCGGGGCTTGAAGCCATGCTGATTCAAGCTGAGATGTTGACGATCGCTCTCCTTGCTTGGCAGGTAAGCAGGTGAGTTACACAGCGGCCGTATCCAAGGCGGGTTGAGCGTTCAAAAGGCCATTCAATCCAAATAGTGCTGTAGGCAGGCAGGCAGGTAGGGGGTTAACCGAAGTCGAACGGGGTAGGCACACAGCGGTGGGAGGAAAAGGGGCGAGTCAAGGACGATGACTCAACGTTGCACAGGTGGCGACAGGGTTGAGGATGCGTTTCGTTTCGTTTCTAGATGACTCGCGATGGGCGATGAATCAGAGCAGAGGTGTTGTGAATGAAGATTGTGGAGGCGGCGGGCTCGGTCACGGGCCCCGTTCGTTCCTGGTTGAGCAGCCCCGAAGACCGCGTTCCAGCTCCAGCTCCAGTTTCAGCTCCAGCCTTACTCTACGTCTATTAATATTTATCAAATGCCGGTAAATACAAAATAATATATGCCATCCTTATTATCGTTTATATGCTAGGAATAGCTAACACACTGCATGCAGCCGCATGGCTGGCGTCAATAATGTTTGTGTGCATTGCGCCGCGGTGGAGCTGGCTGCTGACGCCGTTGAGATCCAGGGGCTTGTTCAAAGTATGCACTATGCACCCCTATTTGGAGCTGCTTGGCATTGCGCTGTCGTGTGAGCAGTTAATATTCGACGGTGTTGACCATAGATAGATTGTTGACCATGTATCTGGAGGCCAATACCATGGGTATTAATAGACTTCTCCTGTTTAATCATATTTTAATATTATTCCCTGAGCGTCTTTTCAATGTCCGCCCAATGTCCTTTTCTCAGTGGATCGAGCTGCACCAAAACTCCAAGCCATCCTATGACCTCAGCCCGATCCACCTCAGAAAAGGCGCCTTCAATCTTGGCTGCAATCAAATTGCATTGGATCAAAGCTTGGTAGATCCATTTACAGTCCGTGCACTCCTCAAGCATGTCCTTTATCTCCTCTTTCTCCGCCTGAACGTATTCCAGACGCTCGGCGCTCGTCAGGTTCGGTGCCATGGTACGCGCGGCCAGTGAGGGGTCAAACACGCACATCAAGCTCTGATGATAGAACCATAATGATTGATCATAGGGATCGATAAGAGCTTTGTGTGCAAAGTTTAATTCTACGCATGACAATTAATATTGATCGCCAAGACTCTTCGAAACGGAGAGTGAGAAAGTTACCTTCGTCTAAAACTTTCTTCCGCTCCTGATCCGAAGCCTTCTGCTCGTCAAGGAGCTTGTATATTACCTTCGTTCGATTGTGCCATGCCGAAAAATTCGAAAGATTGGCCCCAATCATCTTTTTCGTATAGTCGACTTCACTCTGTGTCATAGTTTCCGCATTACTGTCATGGGCAGTGAAATCTTCCAGTGCTGCAACCACAAAGCGCCTATAGCCCCAACCGTGAAAGTTTCGACTATCCATACTAAGCATTTTACCAACGAGCGCGAGCTCTTTCTGCCAGAACTCATACGCGACAGATTTGGGTAGAAGGCGCTTGGCTTCATCCAATATCCATAGTCGATAGTTCCAAATCCAATAGCACTTTGGAAAGGATCGTAAAAGTGGAAAGAGAAACTCGAGGTCAGACTTGATGATAGCCGCAACCGACTGGTCCGAGGCTGTATCCTGGGAGAACTCTGCTTGGCGGATGACTCGCCGATAATTCCATACAGAATAATACTCGGGATTCCTCTTCAAAAGTTCGGATATCTCTTGTAATGTTTCCGGTGTGTAACAGCGTTCTACAATCTTCATTTGAGCGTGAGCGTGAGCGTTTCATTCGGGTCACAGGCCTCGAAGCAGAGCTCTCACCTTTTTGCGAACTGAATGGTCTAGGTCACGGTACTCTTGGATCTGCTGGCGTTTCTGTTCTATGTTCTCAACCGGCCTTGAGCTCTGGCGCGGAACACCATGCTGGCAGTCCAACGCGGATTAGTGCAGTCTTCGAAGAGGTGTGAATCTGCGAGGGACATACACTAGCCATTGCGGAGCTTGTAAATAGCTCTCACTAATACCCTACGCCTTGAAGGAGGAAAGAAAAGAAGAACATTAATATCATCTGGTTTACTGGGAGTGTCCAGTGTTGATAGAATCGTCTGCGCCCCACACTGCAACGGGGAAAGAGCGCACCAGGCAATCACGTGCGGGCTGCGCTCCTTCCCAATTCGGCATGTCGCTCTCACCTGCCCTCATGGTGAACTGACGCACCAGGAGCTTTGCCGAGCAACTCTCCAGATATTCTCAAACTCCCCTCCATTTTTTCTTGACGGGGTCCTTCTCCTACTCATGGTCAATTCGACTTGTGGCTGCAAAAGCAGCAATGGAAATCGCTCCTTATTCCCCTTCGAAGAAGTCTTGTCCTTCGACAAGCAGAGTCTTTCATTTCTCTAAATACTCACAAGCTACAACATTACTGCTTGATAACACCATAACAACCGCTCCTTGTTCATCGCACATAAAGCGAGATAGTAAGCATCGTTCCTCGACTTTTCCCTTGGGTGAAAACCTCCAGTCCTTCGTTACCCTACAGAACCAGGCAGCTACAAAGTCAACATCTGCATCCAAGCAAACACCTATTGGTGTCAATGTCCAATTACTTCTGACTCCCGCGCGTGAAAGGATACAGGGGGTGAAACGTCGATCAGCCGCAGCATACCTCCCAGCACGCCGCTCTCACTCTAAGTCTCGAAATAGAGACCGATTCATACCATGGCGATCAGACCCCAACGCCTCTATTACTCAGCATCATATACGAAAACTTCCGAAAGATTTAAAGGCCAATGAAAAGCTCGTCCGTCACCAAGAGTATAGCGATGATCCTTTTGGTCGCCGTGGATCCTGGGGGATACTACCACCTTATCAGCCAAACTTCTCGCAGGCTCCGCACATGTCTCCACACCTTGTAGATGATCAGGCAGTACCGAGTTTATATCCTCTTCAAAGACGACAAGTCACGCCTCGTCAAGTGAGCATAGGGGGCATTTGGAATGTCGGTGGGCCTTCGATTGCAATAGGAGGTCCATGGCTGGGATCGACTGATTGTCAAAAAGGCTTCCCTGGACAAAAGTCAACTACTCCAATTCATATTGCCCGATATTCATACGAAAATTACCTTTCTTCAGAAGAAGAAATGGAAATGAATCAATCAAGACTCGCTAAAGCCTTTGACGTTGACCTGACACATCGACAACTTATCATTTGCAAGCCCATCACGCCAACGAACATTAGCATATGTCCTTCTTCTCCGCAATATGAAAGGTTCTGCCCTCTAGCATGGAAAGACTGCATGTGGAAACGAGGCGAGCTTCTACCGTGTAATTCATTTCATGCCATATAACAAAGCGACGCTGCTAATAAAAAGTAGGTTATAATGCCCATCGATGTCAACCAAAAAAACCATATCGTGCTGTGCCCTTTTGTTTTCTGCCCACACCCTATATAAAAGACGACTTTTACTGCTCGGTGCTAGCCTACTGTCGCACTTCTGGACTATTAGCATATGCTATGATGGATGTTGTCTATTTATGGTCAACATCAACTTGCGGAAGGATGGCAGCGTATGCCGTAGGGCATCCTAATGAAGACTACGTCACAGGTTTGGCATTCTCATCATCAGCGGGTCAACGAAGTATTTTAGCAGTTGCAACACGATGTGGCTATCTATACCTGTGGAGTACCCACAGGCCCCAACCACGGCGTATATGGCAGTATCCCGTCCCAATAAGTTGCGTGGCGTTCAAACAAACAACAACTCGACGTCTTTCTACAATCTTCTCGGGGGTTGAAGCTTTTGTTGAAGACTTGGCTGTTGGTGACCAGATTGGTACTGTTTGGTATTACTGTGTCGAATCCTCCGATTCTAGCTCCCTTTCGAAGGTTACGCTTCTGGCCAGGATTGAGGCGCATCATGGGTGTATCTGTGGCATATCTTGGTCCCCAGATGGAAAATATCTCGCTACAAGTGGTGATGACGATGTATGTCTACTCTTCGATCTGAAACGTATCCTTGGCGAAAAACACTCCTTAAGCTTACCGCGACCACCTTTGATCGCGAGCCAACTCCTTCCTAGCCAAGACTCCCAAACTGGCTTACATTCGTCGATCCATGCTCGATTTCTTCGTATTCTTAGAAGACTATCCCAACTGGAAACTGGGTCTTCGATTTCTGGTTCCTCAGCGTCATCCAGCCTCTTATCTGATTTATCATCTTTTTCTGAAGTCTTGGAACCACTGAGAGCTTTGCTTAGCATCGGCCAAGATCAGCGCGTGAGTAATCCAGAAACCGATGGGGCTCGGCGCCGTTCAGTTACATTATCAGGCAGCCTTCAAAGAACCGTGAGAGCTTCAGAGTCTCGAGAACCCTCTTCTATATCGTCAGACGGGCACTCAGACTCACAGATTCCAACTACGGCTTTCATACCTTATGACAGCCAGGTGCATCAATTCGTTCATTACTCTGCCGTCAAAGCCATCGCCTTTGCGCCGTGGCAGCCAACTCTTCTAGCTACTGGAGGTGGCATGAGTGACCGCACTGTCCATTTCTACCATACACCATCCGGCAGCTGCTTAGCCAAAATCTATATGTGGGCGCAAGTGACAGGGCTTGTGTGGAGCACCACTCGACGGGAAATCGCAGTAATCCTCGGATTCCCTGAGCCCGAGCATCCATTCCGTGTCGCTGTATTTGCATGGCCCAGTTGTGAGCAAATTGCGGCCATACCCTGGAATATAGATGCTGAAGGTCAGGTCTACCCTGAGAATTCTGTATCGGAGAGGGCACTATCCGCAATAAGCATTCCAAACTTCAAGAATCCACCCTTCGATAGGTATAATGCCCCAACTCACCCCGAAGATGAGTGTATTGCCGTAGCTTCAAGTGACAACATCAGGTTCTATCGAATCTGGAGAAAGCCGCACAAGCATTTTACTGGGTCTACCGGTGTATTGCACAGTACAATTCTAGAGTCACTTGATGGCATTGAGAATCCAGGGAATGAAGTTATCCGATAGCCTTGTCTCGATTTGTTGGGTGTGTAGCCAAAAGGTTTCGCTTCTATTCTTATGGGTTGGTACTATCACAAGTCTACAGCGCTATTAGTATATTAGGCGTGACCAATGTCAAAGGGTCTTAAAATGCACATTATTTTTATGGCTTGTCCAAGCTTTATCGAAGTCACCGAAGAAATCACTAGATCTATGATAAGATTACATATTCAAAGCAATCAAATATCGAAAGCCCCAGTACCGGACTACTAACTTACCTACAAATAATATCTTCTAGCCATGATTCCAGTCTATAACCCCTAATTACCTTAAATGAAGTTGACCAGAATGATAGTGCGGTGCAGCTAATCTCTAATCTTTTCAAATGTTGATAATATGCTCGCATCATATATACATATGCAATGAATGGCCCGACGCCTCTGGAATTCCCAAAACAAACCAAAGAGTACAAAACCAGCGAAGACAATTTTAGAAATTCGGAGCAGTAAATAAAGAAGCTTTTTAAAGTAAGAGGGAATGGAATCCGGGAAGGGAAGACAGGCAATTGTGCTTGTTTGGCATCTGTGTTAAAGGTTCACCGTGTAGCTGAGCTCATCTTGGGAGGGTAGGGTTATGAAACGAGAAAAACAAGACTATGTGCATACATACACAATGATATCTCTTTTAATCATTTTTGGCCGATGACATGGAAGGAAAGTTTATGAAATAAAACAACGAAGAGAAGATGACACATGCTTATGAGCGACCACCCTTCTTACCCTTGCCGCTCAATTTGGCCTTTTTCGGAGGCGGTGCAGGAACAGCTTCGACGTCGGATACATCCTCTTCAGAATCAGCGATGAAGTCACCCATATCGCTACCTGCGTCAGAGTCATCATCATCATCATCCTCGTCGTCGTCGTCATCCTCATCTTCATTTTCTTCAAGAGACTCCTCGGCGTCTGACTCTTCGGCTTCAATGTCGATTAAATCTCCGTCTTCGTCCGCATCTTCGTCGCTGCCTTCTTCTTCCTCGTCGGATTCGACGCCGAGTCCAAATCCGTTAGGAATGTCATCGAGGTCATCAGCTTCTTCCGTGTCGGTCGCTTTGAGGCGTGGCGTGTTGGATGCGGCCTTGCGTTTGCGGCGTCGCTCAGCTTCGCTGGTATCAGTAGCAGTGCCGGCGTAGTGAGTGACTCTTTCCAGTATTTCCTCATCGTCACCCTCCCTGTGTGTTCGGTCTTCACTCATGGATTGTCTCAACTTGACCTGAGCGTCCAACATGTCCAATTTACCTTTGAGGAGAAGTAACGAAGGGAGGGTACGAGAGCGTTGGTCCATAACCTTGTATAAAGATGTCATCCTTCGTAGGATGTCGGTGTTTCCGGCGATGGCTCCTCCGTGAGTGATGCACGTGAATTGTACCCAGACAAGAAGATGTCCATATCGACCGGGCCGGGCTGCCATGCGTTCGGCGACCTTCTGGAGTAAAATGCCCGCGAGGGTCGAGTCCAGTCGCTGGATGGTCGCGCGAACGATGTTCAAATCTCTAGCATGGAAACAAGACTCTAACATATCAATGTCGTTTGTTTTGAGCGCCTGCGAAAGAACGGTTGATAGAGATACACCCGACGGTATTTGATAGACTGTCTTGTCTGACGCTCCAGGGATCAAAGCCCTGCCACCAGAATTATCATGTAACTCAGCCTCGACATCAATAGCGGAGCTCCGTTGCACTAATTCTCCAAAGGTGGGTTCTCCGCCAGCTTCGTCGTTTTCTTCAACCCCAGAGTCGGCAGCCTCTTGCATTTCGACATCCTCGTTATCCTTAAAACCATTAGCCAATGCGTCGCTTTTCCTTGTCGGCCGGTTTTCTATCTCATCGTCCTCCGAGATATCCTCTTCTAATATCGATTCAGCATCACTCTCATATGTGCCATTCATTTCGACTTCATCTGTGAATGCGCCGGATTCGATAGCAGCACCGTTCTCGTTAACGTGCGATTTACTTGCATTTCGTGTTTCCTGCACAGCGGCAGAGCGGAGGACCGAAGGAGATTTACGGGCCGCTATTTCGTTAACCCCCGAAAAGGCAAGCTCCTCTGTATCTTGGGCTTTCCATTTCACACGCTCAAACACAACGTTAACCCCCCCCTCAGCCCACGCGATGAACAGCTCTGACCCTTGGAAATCAGCCTGCACAACAGACAACCCTTTTCTGGATTCGGGATGAACAATTTTCACCACCGCGTCGGCTTTGCGGGTCATTTGTTTCGCCCTCGCCTTCAGGCTTGCAGGTTTCGTACCACCCTGGCTACCAGACTGTAGAAAGGGTCTGTTGAAAAATTCGATAGTTCCATCATTTATCAACACAGCGAGAACCTGTTTAGATAGTACATCACCATCTTCCTTTAATGAGGAGGCAGCAGAGTATAGAGATAAAGACGACACCTCCTTCTCCGCGACTAGACTGTGAGCTATTCCCTTCGTCTTTGGATCAAAAACAGTGATGTAGCGCGCACTATCGGCGGCGAGGAAATTACCATCCTTGGAGTTTTTAGTCGATGAAAGGAGTGTGTGGATTGGGTTGGCCATTGCAGGGAACGTCATTGGTTGTGTGTCTAACTTTTCGACATCCAGGATAGTGGGGGTCTGAGTTGCGCAAATGATCGATGTGTCGGAGAGGGTTGGTCTCGCAAGTGCTGAAATGGTAGACGACGTCGGTATATTGATCGTTCTGGATGACAAGTCAGAAATGTATCGTTCCAAGGAGCGAATTGTTAACGTACCTAATGCTTTGGCAGGTACGAAGATCCCACTGAACAAGTCTATTATCCTCCCCAATACTCCACCCCTCTCCCGTCGAATTTCCAGCCGTAAACTTGAAGTCTCGAATTCCTCCACTATGCACGCCGCTCAAGGAACCAAGCACTTTGCCCTCCTCTGGAGAAAAAATGCGAATGTCGGACGAACTTGTGCCAAATGCAATCACAGCATCACCAACAGCACCGTGGACATTTGAGTTTCTCTTTCGTTTTTTCTTCGGGCCATTCTGTTCCCGCTGGCCATTGAAGTAACCCCAATCCAAAGATGTAATAGATTCCCGAGGAGCTACTGCATGTTCGCACTGCAGGGTGCCAGTGTGGATGTCATGAACACGAAGATGTTGCGAGTCGAGTCCATGGATGACCGAGGCGAAAAGGGCTAATTGGTATTCGGATGGCGAAAAAGCAGACCGGAGAATAGACGATTTGCTGGCAGTCATGGTGGCAGCGTCCGCAGCAGGCGCGGCTGCGGAGGAAGTTTTTGACGCCGGTGGGCGAGAAGATTTCTTGCCCATTATTGCTACTCGAATTCCCGTGCCAACAAAGCTCTCCTTGACCGAAGGAAAGTGAAGAGTCTGGGAAAGTACAATGATTCGAGCAGCGAGCAAGAGCTTGGAATGGGATTCACTGTCTGAGAGTTGTTCGGCGATAACGTGAGGAAAAAAAGTTCTTAGATGTGTATAGCCGCTTATCCCGTTTTGGCCTAGTCTGGAGTACTCGGCATCTGAAGCAATCGAGTTACGCTAGTCCTGTTCCGGGAAGGGCTCCTTTTAATCAAATCGCTGGCAACGAGCATGATCAGACAATTTGCACGTTTTCATGACACAAAGCGGCAGCCTTGGATGAATGGGAGGAAGGACTTGTCACACGGATATGTTTTTTTGACGGTAATGGGTGGTTTGGATAGTCATGGCTATTTTTAACTCTTTGTCTGATATCGGGTTGTTAGTATTCAATGCTGTTAAAATATATATCTCTTCATGCAGTGCTTCGAATCACAAACTTCGACTTAGTCGACTCAACATTGAATCAAATACATTAAATAATCAGCCTAGACACACGCGATCCAATTGACAACACCAATTGACCTATCAGGTATCAAGTAGCTCGTCGATATTCAACAAGCGTTGCCTGAGAATGTACTCACGTGACATCTCCATCATCATAATCGTAAATCGGATTCCGTCTGCCTGTACTATGTAGGTTAGTTTCACAATAGCAACGTGCATATTTAACTAGCCAAAAGAATATTATGACGATCTGGTCCCAACGGCTGTAAGTGGATGGAGTGATGTAGAATCTCAACATGACAGCAGGCACCGTGTTCTCTTGATAATAGGTCATCCAACCGAGCCACCTCTTATGTCATTCCTCAAACACCAAGTTATCACTATTCATGAATAAATACAATGTAGTTGCCTATGCTCGCAGTCTACGCGTAACGATTCGTTACCAGCAACCTGGTCGTTTGGTGGACGTATGGTCTGACACACGTGATTGGCAGAGAGCTCACGCCAGACCCGACCCACTGGCTGGCCGGTGAGATGGCGACACAGGCTGTATCAGCACTAAGTCACACACACTCATTACAGCCTAGACTAGAAGCTGCAAGGAGAGAGGGCCCAGGGCTTTACCCTGATTGATTGCAAAAAAAGAAACATATCAACGAATTATGAATAATTACATGATATGTCTTGTAGAGAGATGGGCTCCACCGGCACAGGCAGGTAGAGAGGAGAAAGGAGGCAAAATGAAGATGAAAAGTCTTCAAATTCTCCAAAATTAAAAAATTTGCAGCAAGCAAACAAGACACGAAAACGCAGATGGTGGCTGAGCCGACCATTCATGGCGCACACGACCAGCGAAAAAAAGTGGTTTTGTGTCCCGGAGCTGGCGGATTATTGTGTGCGGCGCTGAAATGCTGCAATTCTGAGAAGCCCAAGGTTGGTTGGCTTCCGGCGCTCGGTATCCGCTTTCGGCAGGGAGAAGCCAATCAGGCTGCGCGCGCAAAGCACTGCAGCGGGCGACAGCCAATCAGCCGGCGGTGGCGGGGCTGGGCCGGGTTAATCGGGGCTAGTGGACGCAACGGGGCTAGTGGCAGCCGGCGGGCGAGCCTGATACGGGTTCGTACTTAAGCATTCTGCCACCCCTCCGATTCTCCCAGTTGTTCTCTTCGTCCTCGGAGTCAGCCTGTCAGCCTGTCACAGGTCACCTGCCTGCGCCCTTGTGTTGCCTGCCCCTTTCCCCACCAGGTCCTTCCTCCTGCCTCTGCCTGCCTTCCTGCGCTCCCAGGCCCTAGGCTCCTTCTGCGAAAGTTATTTCGAAACGCGTCCCGGCGCGACACGCTCCTGCCGCGGTGCCTTATTAGCCGCTGTTCTTCCGCCCAGCTCGTCGCCGTCCTTCACTCCTCCCCTCTCCCTCTCTCTCGCTCTTCTGCTCACCTCTGTCGCCACGTCACCTGACCTCCCCCCAAGAGCTGAACGCCCAGGGTCACCTGACCATCCATCCATCCATTTCTCGCTCTCCCCGCCCCGAGGCCCGCCACTCTTTCCGCTCCCGTTTGCCTCCGCCCTTGCCTCCCACGTGACTTGTTCGCTCTTGGCAATATAAAAGTGACCCGCCTCCTGCCTGTCGCAATCGCATACCAATTGACTCTTCTGTGCTTGCGCCTTACTTCACTCTTGTCGCGTAGTCATTGAGGAATCGATCCTCTTGTGCCAACCGTTCGCCGACCTCTGACTACGCGCCCAACGTTGCGCTGCGCTGTCTACCTCGCTGTCATCGCATCGTCCTGCGCTATTTGTCACTCACTGATTTGCACACTCTTGCATCGTGGTCCGCGGCGGGCCCAGCCTGAGTTCCAACATGGCAACTCCTCCGCCTGAAGGGGCCACTGCTCTCAAAGAAGAGAAGCCTCAAGCGCCTCCGCAACTCAACGACGTTACACCTGCTTCATCGCTCAACAGGTATGTCATTTATCTCTCATTCTTTCCCTGCTCGGACGTTGTCTTGCGCGCTTGTTAGGGAGTCACGGTTCAATTAAACTGTGCTGACCATTGCCAAGGTCTCCTGATTCTCTGCTAAACGGCGATACCCGTTCTGAAGAAAAGAGTGTATCAGCTGCGCTAAACAAAGCTGCATTCAGTACAAACAACGATGTCGTCCCGTCTACGAATGGAGAAACACCACCTATCGCCAATGGAACAGAAGGAATTCCCGCGCCTGATTCGAACACTGCGAGCTCCATAGAAGCAAAGCTTGAAATCAAGCCTCAAGAAATAGCGCTATCGCCTCCAAAAGATCTTGGAGGAAATGTTGAGAACACAGTATCTGAACCTGCCGCCAATATCTCAAATTCTCCCAAGGAAATTGCGCAACAAAGCCAGTCCGATGCTGAAACTACTCTTCCCCACCATGCCGCTTCTGCTAACGAGTCAACACCACCACAAGTGGATTTTGTCGACCAACCCATGACCGACGCTCCCCTGTCACCAGCAAAAGTATCGCGCGAACGCGAGGTAGACCCTGAAGAAGAGCCTGCCGCGAAGCGCGCGAAAGTGAATGGAGGTGCCCCGGCCGAGCTCGATACCAAAGCGACAGATGCGTCTGCTCCGCCAGAGGCAGTCCAACCGACGCCATCAGATGCTGTGGGAATAACACCTCTTCAACACAAATTCCTGATAAAGGCTCTCACTAACCTTAAGAGATCGAATGACTCGCGCTTTTATCGAGAGCCCGTTGACCCTATCAAGTTGAACATACCAAACTACTTCACAGTCGTCACTGAGCCAATGGATCTATCAAAAATCGACGAGAAGCTAAAGAAGAATGAATACACCTCCGTTTCAGAAATCGTCTCGGATGTGGAATTGATGACCCACAATGCGGTAAAATTCAATGGTCCAGATCATGTGGTGTCCCTTGAAGGCGTAAAGTTGAAGCATACGTTTCAGAAGCAGCTTGAAAAGCTTCCCAAACCTGATGAGGTCGAAGAGAAAAAACCAAAGAAGCTGCCTCCCCCCAAAGAACACCCGCGTCGTGAACCTCGCCTCAGTACTCAAGCTGCCCCGAAGCAGAACAACGCCGCTTCTCCAACATTTGCATTGAACCCGGAGGGATTGCCGATCATCCGTCGCGACTCTACGAACGCGGACGGGCGTCCAAAACGTGCTATCCAACCGCCTAAACGCGATTTACCCTACTCTACTAAGCCCAAGAAAAAGAAATTTCAATGGGAACTAAAATTCTGTCAAGAGCTGTTAGATGAGTTGCACAAGCCCAAATACTGGACTATCGCAAACCCATTCTACTATCCAGTGGACCCTGTTGCATTGAATATTCCGACTTATCACAGCGTGATCAAGAAGCCAATGGACCTCTCGACTGTACAAACTAAGTTGAAGGCTGGCCAGTATGAAAACGCCAAAGAAATGGAAGCCGACGTGCGGCTGATGTTGAAGAACTGCTTCAAGTTCAATATTCCCGGCGATCCGATCTACGTAGCCGGACAGAATCTTGAAGAAATATTCAATGCTAAATGGGCCAATAAAAGTCATTGGCTTGAAGAACACGATCCAGACAACCACACCCAGAGCGCCTCGTCTGATGAAGATAGCGAGGAGGAAGAGAGTGAAGAGGACGCCGACCAAGAGAAGCTTCAAGCTTTGCAAAGACAGATTGCCGAAATGTCTAAGCAAGTTGAGGCAATAACCAGGAAAAAGAAGACACCCCCAGCATCAAAAAAGGCCGGGAAGCCCAAGTCGGGTAAGAAGGAATCTAAGAAGGGTTCTAAGAGCGACAAGAAAGCCAAGGGCAGCAAGTCGGATAAACGGAACGTGACATACCATGAGAAGCAAGTCATCTCCAATGGAATAAGCTTATTACCGGATAAAAAAATGCAAGAGGCTCTGCGGATCATCCAGAATAATGTTCCATCTTTGAAAGGAACGCAGGAAACTGAAATTGAGCTTGATATCGACGAACTGCCCAATGAGGTTCTTGTGATGCTGTTGAAATTTGTGAAGAAAAATGCACCACAGGCGGTTGTTGATGACTACGAAGACGTTTCTGCACCGGTTTCGGCGAGTGTTCAATCAAAGCCCAAGAAGAACAAGCCTATGAGCAAATTCGAACAAGAGGCTCAGATCAATATGCTGGAGGGCAGCCTGTCTCGGTTCCAAGGAGGCGCTTCGACTGAGTTTGCAGAGCCAATGCATTCTGCTGAGCCCGACAGCACCGATGAATCCGACGATGATTCGGAGGAAAGTGAAGAGGAGTAAATGCCGCTTCGCTTATTCTTAACCTTTTATACAACCTTTTAATGTTCTGGCGCTCCTCATGTCGTGTGAGGATGCCCTGATTTTCGTGCCTTTATTATGGCTGCATTATCTAACCCTGTACATAATTGTATTCCATCTTGTTCCCCTTGTTTTTCCCCTGGGCGTTTTCAAAACTGCTACTTAACGCCATGACTTGATGAGAATACTGCTAGCTTGGATTTCTTTGCCTGGGCCTCCACATTTTTCATCTCTCTGCTTTGCAAGCGCTTTGCTCCCTTCTTTACTGGATAGCCAGGCTATTGCTTCATCCCTACCATTCTAAGAGGATGCCAGGTTGTTGGCTGGACTCTCTAGCAAAGGTGTGTGTGCTGGGGACATGTTACTCCGCACTGCGATCTGTACGAATACGATTCTAAAAATCAGAAAACATCTTTAAACCAAAAAGCTGTAGTCGCGGTTTTCATATTTGTTAGTAATTATGATCATTATTATTAACTAGCAGTACACTGGATAACTTAAGCTTGAAGAAGCGAATAGACCTCAGATGGTGGGGATTGACTAGTGCCGTTCTTTAATTAGCTTTATCCGTTGTTTATACTCACTGCCCCTTCGATGCCTCTTCAACCTTGGAGTCGACACAGTATGATCCCACTATGTGATCCCTCCGTCCTGGATAACAATCCACAGTTCAAAAGACTTTATCAGCATTTGACCAAGGACATTCTCAATCCTAATGGCACCACCCGTGCAGACCAAATCGATCCTGCTCGCAAAGCAGTTGCTGAGGTTTGACTAACCCGAAGTGCCCCGCGAGTCGTGCATTGGAATTGTTGATCAATGGATGTCTATTTAGGAGCTGAGAGGGCTGCAAGTTAGTGCCGCGAAGAAGGAAATAATCAGAAACGCGACGAAGCGGGCGATATTGGATTCTCGGAATGCTTTGCCAAAGGATGTGCGTGCCAATGTGCTGTTTCTTTAGGGTCAATATTGTACCTGAAACTGACGAGTTGATTATGTAGCTACAAGAAAACCACATGGTAATATCGTTGTTTCTCGATGACTCCACGACAAACATTGAAGCCGACAAAGATAATATACTTGGAGACGATGCAACCGCCCTCCTTAAGCGCAACGTTGAGAGCTTCTACAGCAACATCCATATGTATGCACCGTATATATCGCGAACGATCACGTCAGACATCGACGATCTACGTTCCATCGCGAACTTATTGAAGCCCACCGCAACAACCAGCGCACTCTCCGGACGGCCGTTGGCGAATCGGTCTCAACCTCGCAGTACTCGGACAGGAAAATTCGCTGCTAGGGAGAGCATCCAGCCACGACTTTCCTTGCAGATTACAGAAAGAATGCACAGACTGCGAGAGCTTCAAATATCAAAATTACCAGCTTCGAGAAGACAAATGGCTGTGACAGCTGCGAGTGTGCTAGCGGCTAGAGCAGCAGTGATCGAGCGCATGATTGTCCTCCTGGAACAAACAAAGCATGGTGTATTATGTAGAGCGATGAAAGCGCAGGCAGACCATTTGGCAACTGTTGCCGAGGGAATGAGTGGTAAAGCTGAGTACGTTACATACATACGATCCACTGTATCAATTGTCTAATTATGTTCTTTGCTTACAATCAAAAAAGGGTGATAAAGCTTGAGGCTCTCACAACCATCTACACGCCAAAAACGACAGCGGCTCTTGAGGATTACCGCGAACATTTGAGAAGAACGCGCTTGCGACTTGAGGAGAAACAGAGTATAGCTATTCAGACACTGGAGGAGTATGGGGAGGTTGGAACTGATCACAACAAGAGCGACGTGTTAAACAAACGCGTTGGCAAGGATAACAAAACAATGCCAGGCCCTATGGCTGATATAGCCCGCCGATATGGTGCTTTGGTGAAGGAAGTGGAGACGGTCAAGACGGAAATGAAGCGATTAGAGATATAGCGCTACTTTTGTGCAAGAACCTAACTCATATAGCACTCCAGCATTTGGTGCATTTTCACACGGATTTTACTTTACCACGCTGTTAAGTCATTGGATGCACGGCCGGTCACGTGCTATATACATGCTCTCCGCGGCGGTAAAAAAGTTTGGCCGAAGATTTGTTTCTAGTGGCAACAATTCCACTACTCGACCCAAGTCCTTATTCCGACAAGAAGAAGAATTTCAAGAAATTCAGTGTTGTTTAATTGCAATATATCAAAGAAATCCCCATTTTTATCATTTCCACAACTCCGGCCGGTTAAACTCCCGCCGTTCTTACGTTTCTATCGACCCCGCCTTCAGTCGCAACAATGGCCGACGACGAACAACTATCTATTTACGACGAAATTGAAATTGAAGATATGACCTATGATCCCAACCTTCAAATCTACCACTACCCGTGCCCCTGCGGCGACCGCTTTGAGATTCCTATCGATTCGCTGCGAGATGGCGAGGAAATTGCTGTTTGTCCGAGTTGCAGTTTGATGATTCGGGTCATATTCGATCTGGTGAGTTTTTCTTGTATGAACATGTTATGGCGTGGGTGTGCTAATGTTCTTGGTGTTTAGAATGATTTGGTTAAGGAAGAAAAGAACGAGGACGTTTCTGCTCAGGTTGAGGTCAAAGCGTGAACGACTCTGTGATGGTGCATCCTAGAAACCCTTTTGGGAGCTACGAGCTGTGATCAATGGGGACTACTGAGCCTGGAAGCTGGAAACTGGTTTACGAGCTGCCGTTCGCAATCACAGTGTGTGCATGCAGTTTGGAACAACGTGCAGTTGGACAAGCCACGCATGGCAACTGATGTACAACAGCTATCCGGGCCACCATATATAGGCAGGCCGTCGGTTTCGGGCCTACCACGGCTGTCGCATTGTTCTTTAAGAGAATTTCGGGGCCCGGTATTTTAATGCTGCTGTTACTATTGGCGAAGTTACGAGTTGGCTATAGCCAACTCTAAGTCTCGATTGATGATATCAATGACTTGCATCCAATGTATACGAACTTACGAATTACTTTATCTTCTGTACATATTTTGCATGAAGGCTTCGTTGTGATTCTCACTGCGAGAATGAATCACCAAAATATTCACTTTCTCTGCATACTAGTTGACCTTGTTGATGTTGTACATAGTTATTGCTCCGAGTAGATATCCTCCGGTAGCTCAAGAGTCAATTCATCATTCAGAAGATTGGTCAAATTAGAGCCATCCCGCAAATAGATCCATTGACCTTTGATAAAATCCCGAGTATCCTGCTTCTCGTGCATCTGATCACCCTGCACAACCCAGTCATAGCGCTTGGGCCCGGAGATAGGTGAACTGAGCCAAATTTGATGGTTGGGGGGCTGCTTGTTAAGGACGTATGTACCGACGCTAGGTACTATGACGTTGAGGACACCAGCCTATACCAGATCAATACATCAGTATATCACAAAGTTGAGGAAAACAATTAAAAATAATAATATCCGCCACCGGTGTGACATACACTATACTCAGCTTCCATATCCGAACCCTCCTCCTGAACCCTCTCCACTTCCGCCAGCAACACATTTAGATAATGCTCCGAGACCTCATGATAATCCCTGTCCGATAATGGCGTTGCTTCAGCCACATGGGTAGCACCGGCCGCAACAGCAGCGTTGCTCGATTCCGGGTTTGGAGCTTTCGGGTCTGACGATTCCGGCAACAGTCCTTTGCGTAGGGTAGGCGTTGTGTGGAGGAGGCTACGTCGCACGCTCTGCTGCTGAATGTTTTGTGATTGAGCCCATTGGGGTTCTTGTTGGAGAGTGGCAGCAGGCCGGATTATGCTGGCTGGAGCAACGCTGCGACGGATGGATGGAAGTAAAGCTCGTGAGGTGCGGGCGAGCATTGTGGATTGATGGCGCTTGCTGGAAAAAAATGAATGATATTGAAGGAATCAAAATATGGAGCTCTTAGATGTTTAATTCTAGAGGGCTTGTGGTTTGAGAGTGGACGGTGGGAGCAGCAAGCTAGGTGCGGAGAGGTCAAGCTATGATGCCATTAGTCGCCCGCAAGCCAAGTAAGGTTAGACAGCCCGCCCAATCACAGCCTCGGCTTAGCATGGTGATCGTCCGACGTCGTTTTGCATTGCATGATATTTGTTTTCTGATCTGTTGCGTCTGTTGATGCTTTGTAGAGTTTTTATCGGGCTGATATATGCAAAGAAGGTTTGCTGTATGGCGAAGGACACCAGCATCAAATGAAGGTGACCGTGTCTTTTGGGCCAACAACCATCATTGCATACTCGACCAGGCCTACATTCATATCAATAACATCATCACCCCGAGCTAGATACGCCACTATGTCTAGAAATTCCAATTCCCAAGGAGGCGGAAAGCGTTTGCAGACAAAGGAGAAACGACCTCCTTTGACACACTTTCTCTGCTTCCCTCTCGTCACCGAGCATTCTTTGCCTCTATTGGAGAGATCATTCGCCGATTTCAAAAATAATATTCCACTTAGACGAAAGACCTTGGCCAGTCATTCCATGAAACCACGCCCACCGCTCTTCCCGGACTCTGCAATCAGACCACTGGGAACCCTGCATTTGACGTTGGGCGTGATGAGCCTTCCAACGCCAGAACGTGTGAACGAGGCTGTGAGCTTTTTGCATTCGATTAGCCTCGAGGAGGTCCTTAGGGAGACAGAATCGGAGATCATTAATTCTCCTGCTCGAGGGGAGCAACAGAAGTCCTCTGGCGAAGTCATCCAGAGTACTGGTGATCTGGCACCGATTTCCGTTTCTTTAGAATCTCTACATGCTTTACCAAGAGCAAAAGCAGCAACCGTGCTTTACGCAAAACCCGTAGACCCGACATCTCGTCTATACCCCTTTGGAGTTAAGCTACGTCAGCGGTTTATTGATGCGGGTTTCATTCAACCTGATTACCTGAGAAGGAAGAACTCCAGGTCCTCTAACAAGAAAGAATCGGGGATTAACCAACCTATCCAACAACCAGGGGTGGAAAATGAATATACGCCGAACGAAACACCTAAACTGAGACCACTACTTTTACATGCCACGGTGGTTAATACGATATATGCTCGAGGCGGGGATTCCCATCCTAATGGAGGGCGAGATAGACGTAGAGCGGGCCCCTTAACGTTCGATGCCAGGGCAATTATTACCCACCACAACGATTATTACACCGATGAAACCTGTGCGGAAGAAAAGAAGCACGATTTTGACGACGATGATGACGCGCCCGACATGCTTGAGGAAGCTAGTAGTAGCAGTGAAAACAACGAGACCGGCTCTCTGTCCGCCGAAGAAGGAAGAGCTCATCCGTCTAAAATGGTCCAGGAGATAAACTCTCTGCAAGTCGATAACGACATGTCTGGTCCAAAGTACCCCTTCGTCTGGGCGCGGAATTTCCATATTGAAAAGCTTTGTATTTGTGAGATGGGTGCCAAGATGTTGGATGAGGATGGTGATCCATTAGCTGCAAGGCTGGGCCAGAAGTACAGTATCGTCGCTGAGAAGAGTCTGTTGATATCGAAATAGGGAAGAAGTGATGGTGTCTGATGGGATTGAATATATGCCAATAATAAGTTTACTCCTAACGGCCTTGATAGTAGAGTGCATGAAGCTATTATGGTCTATTGATTTTGTTCTCCGTCTTCTTAGAGTCCTTTATAAGACGAAAAACTCAAATGCAGATGTGCATGTTAATAAGTGTTGCGGGTTGTATTTACTAGAATATGGTGTGACACAATGCTTTGCTGTTTACGCATAAACTCTTCATGCAATCATGCCTCTAAGACCTATCAAATACCTTATGCATGCTGTGCCGAATCATATGTATAGGGATAGTCATATTGATCTGACCATGTGGATCCCTGATCCTCACAAGCCTCAATCGCACTCTTTCTTTCTCATAGTTTACATTCTCGTTGAATACCAGCAAAATAATAGAAATTATATTTAGATTAAGATGCACTCTCGCCTGTGAGAATAATCGGCCTTTTGTGGGGGTAAATTAAAATGAAAAAATCGCAATATTTGCTACGTCCAAATGCACCTTGCGTCGGCATGCCAACTCATCAATGCCTAATAAAGACACTATGCCTTTCCAGTCTAATAGGCTGCATTTTGGCGTAAGTCCTGATTTCATAAAAAACAGGATATTTCTGAAATAAAGCGGATGACTATTTATTGGCAATATCCTCCATCCTACTCCGATAAAGGGCAATGGGCAACAAACAAAAAAGTAGGCTTGCAGAGGAGAACCAAGAAATAAACTTCTTTTGTGGACTTCACACAGACTGATATATTGTCTTTGCCCATCATCTATTTGGCAATGTCTTCAGAGACGTCAGGTCTAAGCTATTTTGACTATGTGGCATACCTATACGGCAAGGGCATCAATAACTATTTAGATTCCTCAGTTCAGAAACGGTCTCTCTTAGTACAGCAAATTCCACGCAATCATTTAAGATACACAAAGCCCTTCTGGGGTCAAAGTCAAAAGCAATCTTAGCAGCATTTGAGCATCCGTGCGAGGAAGGAGAGAATGGTGTTTATAAATTTAAAGAGACGACGGAAGGCACTGTTACCCGGTTTATTGAGTGGGCATACAGAGGGGATTATCCTGACCCGGTTTACGAGGCCGGCTTCATAGAAAACTCTGAAGTTTCGACTAAAGAAAGCGCTGAAAAGGACAGCGTGATTTCCGACACCGATCTTGAATTGACTCGTGATGATCATCCGCTCTTAGCTCACGTTCAGCTATACATTTTTTGCGATATTTATGGAATCAAACAGCTCAAGGATCTTGTATTTTCGAAACTCACATCTCGCCTTGCTGATATCGGGAAGCCTGAGAGACTAGACGCCCAGCTTGCAATCATTGATGTCTTGCGTATTTTTTTTGCAAGTATTCATCCTGATAATGATCTGGCTGACTGGCTGGCGCATTACGCAGCATATTGTATGGATAAATTACTGTTACAGAATGATTTTATCGACCTACTCCAGCAGGCTCCCGTTCTTGGTTCACGGATGATGGACTATCTGCATCCAGCATCAACTCCCCCTTGGAACAGCCCACGTCCAAAAAATAGGTTTCCTTTGTCAGTACACGCGTTTTCCTTGGGTTTTAATACAGATTAAATTGCGCCAACTAACCTTGTGTCAGGTTGCAATGATATCGTTTGTCAACAATGCCTGTTGTTGAACATCATTCCCTTGCTAGATTACCCAGTGTCGTTGGCGCAGCTATCATTAGCATCTACAGTGATGGAAATTACTTTTTTCAGTAAATAAATCTGTCAGAAAATTTGAACATGAATTAACTGGACCTTAAATCAAATACTCAGTAACAAAGCTGGCAAAGTATACTAAGAGCAGAATTTATCAATATAAGACTTGCTTGCCTCGATCATTACAACATTCATTGTCTTTTGGAATTGTAACAGTGGATTCTATACTATTGAAAGATCGGTATTCAAAAATTTAGGCAAGTGATTGTTTATTATAGTTGGTCTAGTCAGCCATTGTGATTACACCAATCGGTTTAAAAAGGATGATAGCTCAGTCCTTGAGAGAAGCTATAACAAAGTCTGTAATTGCCTTCGTCGTTGCACTTGGAGGCCTACCTGCTGAAAAGTCCATCAAGGGTCCATCGTGGGCTTCATTGGCCATGTGTACCGTCACTTCTCCTTTACTATTTCTCTTCAGCATCTCGCCCAGCTGTTGTATGTGGTCACTGAAAACTTCCTCGTAGCCCCCGGTCAACAGAATACCATCGACAGCATCAAGGCCCACCCACCAGCTCTCTGAAACATCCAAAGCCATTCCCCAGCCATTCCCGGATGAAATCTCGTCCTGCCAGGGGGAGTTTTCCACAAGATAGACTCCCCATTCTTCCACAACCTTCCTGCTTAGAACATCGGCACTGAACCATCTCTGATAGGAGGGGGTATTGAAGTTGAAGGATGCCAGTGGAGATACAAGGAAGCATCCTTTTATTGGATCCGATAGGTCGATTACGCTATCTGTTGTGAGCTGAGAAGGGCGGAGACGATGTAGATGAGCGAGGAGGCATAGAGACAAATGACCCCCTGCAGAATCGCCTCCGAAGACAATCTATAAGGAGTTAAGCCAATTCTTGAATTGAAGGAGATCGTGCTGCCATCAACATACATCCGATGGTTTATACCCAAAAGCCAGGAGATGTTTAAGTGCAAAGATGCTCTGCATCATCTGCCTGGGATACGGATTGGCAGGAATCAGGTCTGAACGGTTAATATGTATCTCTATTTGAGGGAAATTCCGACGAACCGTATTTGAGAATACATACACTGAGCTCAATCCCAGCGCTGTTAGCCTTCTTCCTAACATACGACATCCAGTTCATATGTCCGTCAGAAAGTGGCATTACATATCCACCACCTACTGGAGGTCAGCAACGTTCCCACAAGAGACTGGTTTGACATACCGTGGAAAAAAAGGACGACCTTATTTGCTTTCTTTGGACCAAGCCACAGGAGACGAGTTGAATTGTCAGCAGTCAGAATATCCTCCGCATAGCTGGCCCCATGAGACAACACCCATGCATCATATGTCTCCATAGTGGATGGCAAAATGGCCTGCAGTTGTTGTGGGGGAGTGTTAGCCATCAGAGCGCCTGCAAATCCATTCCAGATGGAGGGCCCCAGAGGAAGCTTTTTTTGCCATGCACGTATCATGGCCCCTACAATGCGGAACGCCGCCCGTGGCAGGATAAAGAACGCGAGAGTAAATAGAAAGCGTAGTCTTGTGAGGGGTGATATGCTACGCATCATGCCTAAATCTTTCATAAAATATAGTCTGTAATCATCACGACTGGGGATAGGTAGAGCGCTCATCCCGGCTATTCCTCAACATTGTGCTCTTAGCTGCGCTATGGTCGAAGACTGATATACAACAGAATGATATACAACAGAATTATTTACCATCTTCACTGACATGGGTCAATTGAAAAGCCGAACAAAGCATGCGAGACCAGCCGGAACCCTCCCGTTCCTCCGCCCAAATTCCTATGTACAAGGGGCAAAGAACCGGAACCATCCCGGACCGAGAACTATCCCTACCAAGCATCGCCAGTTGAAGCTCATCTCCGCAGAACACGGCAGATATTAATTTAATATGTCATAAGCCTATATAGGTAACCTTCGAGAGTCTTTCAGAGCCCGGATCTCGTCTGTCCTCACGCCATGCCCCTGAAAGCCACCGGGGACCCGAAGCGACGAACTACAGCACGCCGCAAGGTCGCATTGGCCTGCGACTCGTGCAGGGAGAAGAAGACCCGCTGCGACGGAATCAAGCCCATCTGTGGACCATGTGTGAGACGATCGTACCGGATCGATCAGTGTGTCTACAACGCGGAAAATGCCCGGTCCGCGAGCAGGGGCGAGTAAGTTTTATGAACATGCATGGATTGACGCGTTCGATGCATCTTAACGCAAAATAGATATTTCCATAGTCTCTGTCAGCGGATCAGAGAACTGGAAGATGCATGCTCAAGAGCTGGAGTCTCCATCCAGACCTCGTCAAACCCTCAACACGAGCTGCCTAGCGAACCCAATAGGCAAGATGGAGTGCCAGCGGAGGGAGCCCGATCTCCTCCAGCTGTTCTCCATCCACGTCTAGAAGCTGTTGAGCAGAATCCAACGCCTCTAAGCTTCGAGGTTGGTGTAGCACCGAGTCACAGACCGCCAACCACACATAGCCAACAAGACAAAAGCCAGGACGATGCAGAACCCTATGAATCACTGTTATTCGATGACGGCGAAGGACACATAACGGGCATGGGCCAGATCACAGCGCCAGGCGCTGAAAGCAGACGCCAATCTGCTCGGTCCCAATTCTACGGTAATTCATCTGCTGCTTCGCTCATGCGCTTTGCCTGGCAGTCCATGTCTTCGCGGCCAGTAGGTGGTTCGCGTCCCGAACCCGTGTTCAGTAAACTTCAGGATACAGTCACCGACTATCGATTTGATGATTTTTCTCTGCCGCCACGGGCATTGGCAGATAGCCTCTTAAACTGCTTTTTCAACCACATCTATACTCTTTATCCATTCTTCCACCGTCCAGCCTTTGAAGCGGCCTATCAGAATCTTTGGCGTGCGGAAGATGAGCCCAAAATCCCTCTCACAGACTTGAGAATCGGACTGGGATCAAGCGTGGAATTCGGGCCTAGATCAATTGTCTTTCATTCTGCACTGAATGTTATTTTTGCTCTAGGCTGTCAGTTTGCAGATATTGCGCCCGAAGAAGTCGAGCTTGTCTCGAATTCCTTCTTCCTCCGTGCGAAGCGCTTTATTGGACTCGATTTTCTCGACATAAATACGCTTGGTGTTGTTCAAACGCTACTGATCACGGCGGTGTTTCTTCAAAGCTCTCCGTATCCCAGCCGATGCTGGCATTCCGTTGGGGTGGCCTGCAGGGTTGCGTTAGGGCTAGGACTTCACGAATCAGATATTCTGACTACATTGACGCCTTTGGAATCTAATATTCGACAGCGAACTTGGCATGGCTGCGTGATTATGGATACGTTAGTCCTGGAAATATAGATTGATCCCATTTATCTTGTGCTGATCCATAGCTCACAGTACCCTAAGCATGACATATGGCAGGCCAAGTATGACGACGCATCTGGCCACTCTCCCCCCACCGAGCGACTCGGAAATATCCTGCCCTCAGAACGGAAATGAAAAGTCTTCACTGATGGCGTTTTATACCCAGGCTATTAAGCTTTACGGTATCCTGGACAGAGTCCTAGCAGATGTATATTATGCTTGGCGTGGCCAGTCACGCCGGGATCAATCGCATCCGTCAACTAAAAGCCTTGGGGGCCTGGACACTATCCTTGAAATCGAGAGGCAACTGAAATTGTTCGAGATCAATGTGCCTTCTTTCCTTAAGTGGACCTCGGAACAGTCTGTGGTTTATGCAGATGGAGAGCCAATCCTGGCGATTGCTCAACAGCGGAATGTTCTACGTGCCAGGTGTGTTCATCCCACTATTGTTTCATAAGCTCCTTCTTACTTGGTAATACAGATACATCCATCTCCATCTTCTCCTCTACCGTCCTATCTTCACTCAGCTCTACTCGGAAAGAGTAAGGGAGCGAGAGACTGTAAACGGACGAGACCTTCAACAGAACTCAACATTCCAAAACCTTGAAACTCAGAGTGCACTATATTCGTATATGTGTAGTAAATGCGCCACCGCATGCGTGATGGCAGCCATCGACCTTATCCACCTAATCCATGAGACTTATCAAACCAACGCCGCTGATGCGTGGTGGTATAATGGATTCTGTATGTCGTCCATTAGCACCAATGTTCTCTATGCTGAATACTGATTATCTCCTGCTTAGATGTGTCAACTGCCGCGGTAGTCCTACTCATGTCCTTCTCCGCCCCATCAATGCTTGATCCATTGACCATGGACAAAGCGCGAGAAGCCTGGAGAGAAGCGACGGCTGTTTTGGAATCCATGGCCACATTTAGCCGCTCCGCTAGTAACACCCTTCAATTTCTCCAGGCTGCTTATCGCCAAGCGGTGCAACAGACAGGCCGGGACGTCGATACTTCGCGACCCCCAAATGACATGTCTCAAGCTCATGATCAAATGGATTACCTGGATAGAGACTTGACGCAAACCCCGTTTTTCAATTGGGAGGACTTCGCGGCTAACATGGGGTCTGGTGTGGATGATTTGGGGTTCTTAACAAGGCTTGATTTTCCTGATAGTTTTGGCTGAGACTACTGGTTTTAATCGAGCTATCTCCCAAGTAATGCAGTTGTCTAGTACAAATCGTGAACCTCATTTTCATGCATATAAATGATATTCTTGACTACCACATCATCAATATTTATATCTATATATAAATAAATTGAGATTTCTCAGATCCCAACCCGTTGAATACCGTTCTCATGCCAGATTCTCCCAGTCGGCTTCAGCAGGGAGAAGGGACATCGTGTAAGCACTCTTACTCAACCACCCAGCCTTGTTCACTTCAATGATGCTTCGCCTTATGTCGATCCCACCCCACCACATCAGTGCCATGAATCCAGTCCATCAGCCCAATCGTCCCATAGTTAACACGAAATTTCTCATGATGCAAATCGTGCAGCTCAGCAGGCGGAAGTTTTAAAAAGTCATACCCGCTATGATCTGCCGCCGCTTCCCAAAGCTCGAAGACAGTAAACACCATGATGCAGAGGATATGGGCGCCTTTAAGGTATAAAGGCAACGTAATCGGCAAGACATTCGCTAGAAGATGCTCAACTGGATGGGCGTACTCGGCTGCGAATGCTACCGGTGCGGTATATTTGTGGTGCATCTTATGAATATAGGCATAAATGCTGGGATGGTGTAGAGCGCGGTGGACGTAGTAGAATAATACTTCTCGGGCCAGCAGACCGAAGGCGAAATCAATAACGAAGATCTTCAGAGGAGGCACGATCGGATGGAGATTCATACTCATATTGGTGAAATAAACCGCCGCAGCATGGAGCGCCACTATCCAGGCATGGTTAAATAAGCTGACTTTAACGCAGTGTAGGATTTGCTGGCGAGTTGGTTGTCGACGGGCACCCTGGATTTTATGGCGCTGCGAGAACTTCGGAAATAGGATATCTATCATCATATAGATCGTTGCTGGGATAATAAATCCGATGACCTGAGCCAAGATGACTCCCATTACTTCGATTGTGCCTGGATTGTGCGTTGTGACAACATCGGTCCAGGCGGCCTGCAGATACGAGTAAGAATCCATGGTCGTTTGTTCTTTGGAAAGGTACTATTGTTTTCCTGACTCTTTGGAGAGCTGGTGGCATCATAACTTAATAAATGGAGGACGGACTTCACCGGTAATCGCAAGACCTGGGTTTCAAAATAGCGGTTATGTCATCTCGTTTACCCAACAAGTCCTCAAACCCGGAACAGACCCGATGTATATGAATTCTCCATATTGTCTTATAATTTCTCCTTTCCAAAAGTACGAGGGGCCCCTTGCACATGTTATACCTCGCTTCGGACGGATCTAGCGCTCGGAAGGGTTCCGACATGATTTGATTCGGCTCCTTAGTTTATACTTAAGCCAAATGTGAATCCCAAATCAGAATGCTTGAAAGCAATGTATTTGTAATTCAGTATACACCACTGTTCGATATGTATTCCAAATCCGAAGTTCCCTCCTACAGCCAGATAGCCTGTGTTGGTGCCGGACTATCAGCCGTTGCCCTGGGTGCGACGCTGAAGAGATGGTATGATCTCGAAGACATTCGCTTCTTTGAACGACATCCCACGAGCGGTGGCACATGGTACATCAACACCTACCCTGGTCAGTGATGAGCCCCCCGCTATCACTCCAAGCACTTAACTTATGCTCCTGTAGGGTGCGGCTGCGATGTGCCGAGCGCTCTCTACAGCTTCTCATTTGCTCTAAACCCAAACTGGACGAAGCTCATGCCATCAAACCAGGAAATCCTCGAGTATGTCGATAATGTGTTGGATACCTACAATCTTCGTCCTAAGATGACCTTCGGCACAGAAGTTGTCCGTAGTGTTTGGCGCGAAGATGCAAACCGGTGGTTTCTTTACCTGCGTGATCTGACAACCGGGAGAGAATACACCCATGAATGTCAAATTCTCTTCGCAGCCACAGGACAACTCGTCGAACCGCGTCCATGTGAAATCCCTGGTACTTTGGATTTCCACGGGAATATCTTCCATTCAGCGCGGTGGGATCACAGCGTAGACTTGGAGGGGAAGAACGTTGTTGTTATTGGCAATGGATGTATGTCCTCCCTTCCCAAATGGAGGGAGATAACCTGACATTGTCTAGGTACGGCTGCGCAAATTGTGCCAGCGCTGGTAAACAATGAGAAGGTGAAGTCCGTCACGCAGATTGTCCGAACAAAGCACTGGATATTCCCAGCCCCGAACTTTTCCTACAGTTGGGTTTTGCAATGGATCTTTCGCTATATCCCACTAGCCATGAGATTGCATAGGTTTCACATTTTCATGATTGCTGAAAATGATTTTCGATTGTTTCCAATGACCAAGGGGGCAGCGAAACTTAGGGAGAAAAGACGAAGGCAAGTAGAAAAGTACATGCGAGAAGCAGGTCCAGAGAAATATCACGACATTCTTATTCCAGACTTCGATGTGGGATGCAAGGTATGTCTCTATTCTTGTCCCCCGTTTCCACTTTGCTTTGGACATCAAGTCAAGACCGAATGCTAATTTCACCCTCAGAGACGAATCTTCGACCCCGGTTACCTTGAGTCTCTCCATAGCGATAAAGTCCTTCTGACAGATGCGAAAACCGAAAGGATCACCGCAGAAGGCATCGAGACAGACAAAGGCTTCATCCCGGCGGACGTTATTGTCCTCGCCACAGGCTTCCAGACCAACAAATTTATCCCATACATGGATGTTGTCGGCCGCAACTGCGAGAGCATCTCACAGCACTGGGCTAAATATGATGGCCCAGCCGCCTACAATTGCTCTGTGCTGAGTGGATTTCCGAACTTCTTCATGCTCCTGGGTCCCAACGCTGCAACTGGACATACGTCCGCTATAATGGCTGCAGAGAAGTATGTCGCCGCTCCTTCTCTTCGGTCAGAATGAGAGTCTAACGATTAAATCTAGCTCCATCAACTACGCTCTTCGTGTTTTGAAGCCAGTCTTAGATGGAAATGCTGCTTCAGTAGAACTTAGGGCTAAGGCTGAGCATGACTACGTTTACTGGGTGCAGGACGCATTGAATAAACGCGTTTGGAACGCTGGCTGTGTATCAGTAAGTTGGCTTGGGAAATGTCATCTGCTACCTTTCATTAATAGTATTCGATACAGTGGTATCTTAATGACAAAAAGTGGAACTCCATGTCCTATCCCTGGACTCAAGGCCACTACTGGTGGAGGAGCTTTTTTCCCACATGGTCCGACTGGAACATCAAGGTTTGCTCCCCGACTCCGTACCATTAGGCGGGCATGGTATACTAACTGTATAAAGAAAGGGGTGAAGCCATCGACTCGTTCGTCATCGCAGATATTGCTCTTGGCTCTTTTGTGCTCTGGAATTTTGGGAATCGCACAGTCTAGTGATAGGGGGAGCATGTCTCTCCAGAATCTCAGAGACTACTTGGCCAAGGTGCTATCTAGCTTGCTGAGCAAGTAGATAAGCAGCAACCTGTTCCCTACATTGATTCGTTGGTCTTTTATCGGTTGCTTCGAAGCCCGGTGTATATTATGTAGTGGGTTACTTTCTGGTTAGCAAATCCATTCTTGAACACAGAATCTGTCGATCTCGATGGAATACGGTCATAGAAGTGGGGAGCACGACAGGAGATTCAGAACAAATTTACGGTCCACGGACTGTTTGGTCTGTGATCAATCTTGGAATAAATAAGAGACATCAATATTGTTCATAATCCAAATTATAACTAGTGATGGGGATTCGGCATCCCGTAGAGCAAATATTCCAGTATCGCTGGTCTCAGTTGTACAATCGGATTTCCATCGCACATCAATTTCATTCCACTGAATTGAATGATGATGTTTAAAGGTACTGAGCCATTCTTCCCACAAATGAACCTTTGGTTTCAAATAAAAATCTTACCAATTTGCTCAAAATCTGGTTTCTATATTGAAATCGTCATACGAGCTCCAAGATAATAGGTTTGGCAACAATAGTACTTATATACTTGGTGCTAGCATGAGGCGATAACAGCATAGTATATCAGCTGGCCATTAAAAGAGGGAAAATAACCATCAATTAGAGCTCGAAGGTTCTTGATTTGCATTATAAATAGCAGAAGTTCATTCTTTTCAGAGACCGCTTAAGCCTAAGAAGCTAAAATCGGGGTAGGTGGCTATGGTATCTATTGTCTATAGGGTACATCGTTAAATTTATAGAAGCTTTACACGATATTACATTATAGCGTAGTACTTTGTGCAGGCACTAAGACTTGCTCACCCTGTTGAAAAGTCATGCTTTATCAACCTTCGCCATCATACACGTCTGTAGAAAACGCGAGCAAGCTCGGTAGCAGTGCCTTTCACAACTACAATCCTTCGTGTCAAGAATTGCTCTTCGCCAATTATTTCCACTGCCCAGATCTAATCCCGTCGAGTGAGTATTGGATACAACAAGAGGTCCTCAGTATGCGTACCTGCTCAGCCGCCCATCCAGAGTTGACGCTACGGACAAAGTCGTGAATGAAGGCTTTTTCTACGGTCTCCTCTACAGCTTCAACTTCCAGGTTCATGACGGCCATCTCAGTCAAAAAGATTCAACATTCGACCCAGCAGCCTTGGTCTGAAGCTCAACAACCGGTCGGAATCGTCTATCCGAAATTTTCACCCCGGCGATATAGTGACTACGGATAATGACAGGTCCGAAGAGGGTGTCGTTGTGCTCGAATTCGGCCCACGTCAACGGACGATTCTCCGGAATGCCCTTCAAACCCCCAGTCAAGGCAGGCTCTAACCTCATCCATTCTGTTCGTGCCGATGTAGAGCCATCCGTGTCGGAGCCCTGAGTGATCTTCAGGGTCGTCGTTGCTGCCGCAATCGCCTTCCTTGTTATCCAGGCGATTCCTTGCTAAATATTTCCTTAGCTTATTCTTGTAGCATGGTATCGGACTTCTTGCCAATTTGAATACTCCATCGAGGTTGGATGATCGGTCCTTGTCCTGTTTCCGGGGCCATGGATTAGTGGGATATTGCCTAGATGGTATGTATGGTAGACTTACCATCACCCAACTGCCGCTTAGGTCGTGGATACTTATAACACTCGAAGTATCCATCTTATTGGAGGTGTGAGACGCAACAACGCGGTTGGTAATGCAGTGAAGGGATGTAATCTAGAGACGGCAACGAAGAAATGTCCTCTTATCATATCTGCTGTAACTGTCCACTTACAGTACAAGTGTTCATTAGCCATTCGGGAGCTTCCAGCTGTCAGTGCAGAAGATTCCTTGTCATCTCGGCTGTCTGTTGTGCGAGTAAACTGCTAGCCGGATCCCTTCCGGCCTCGAGCCGGAACAGTTGTGAAGCAGGTTGCGGACTCCTGGGAAATTTCGGAGAAGACAAAATACATATGCATTTTTGGGATGCAGCCGCAAGTTCTGTATGTGAATATGTCGGTCCTACACTTGGTGCATGGAGGTAGATTCAGCGCTGTCGCGACCCTCGGGATATCCATGAAATCCCCCGGTCCTGCTGGATTAGGCTTAATCATGCTCCCTGGGTCTATCCGAGTTACAATTATTCAAATAACAATAATATCTTTTCTATTTTTTATATATATTTTTTGAATTATATTATACAGCTTATTTAATAAAGAAAATATATATATATTTCTATATCTATTCTCTAGTTAAAAATTCTTTTATATAGTTTGGTTATCTAAATGAAAACCAGGCTAGACTCGCATCAATCTTAACTATAATTAGTGATTCTTTATTAGCGTGGTTCGGTTTCGGTTTAGAGAGTCAGAACCGTTCGGTCTTCGGTTCTGGTTTCAATATTGAGGACCAAGACCGAACCGACCAACTTTTGGGTTTGGTCCAGAAACTCAGGACCAGAACCGAACCAAATGACAGCCTAACTAATATATTATAATATTGAATAGATTTTTGTATTAATTATAATGTGTGTAGTAAAAAGTAAATAAAGCTGTAATGCGTTGCTTGTCAGTAAGAAAAATTTTTTAAAATCTGTTAGATCCTTCTGCGAAGGGCAGCCAACGGCTAAATTAGGCCAGGTGGTGAGCAATTTATTGTGTTAAGCCCTTCCCAGAATGGTCTGGGTTGAGATAATGGATACGTACATAATTTAGCTGCCGCCTAGAGCCAAAACAGCAATGATTGACCGTGGACGTTATTCAAATCCTAGAATCAGATGGCGTGCCAACTGTCCTGGGACCCGGCGTTAGCATGAATGAAATTCGTTGCGTTATTGGAGGAGCAGATAGATCTAAAAGAAACTACTGTAGGAACAAGGAACTGCACATTAAGTTTTTTCAGCTACTCCATACTTTTTGAAAATAAGCTGTTTACAAAAACCTATTGCAACCTCCAACTGAATCAATGCAAGCGCTAGCTTCAGCAAGACAAGCAATGAGGCAATTAAACGCTATCAGATACCTACTGTATCCAATCCAGGCCTGGGTCCCGAGCCAGTGAGGAACTGGAAGGCTATAGGGAGATGAAGTCCTGGACGCCTAGAAGTTCGCCCTATTAGATGTTTGCTTTTGACCTTCCTCATGCGGTAGGTAAGGACGTAGACTACCAGTACTTGAATGGGTCTGCTGATAAGAGCCATCCATGGTTTCGGACAACCGCCGGCTAGGTTACATATAGTATAGATTCAGAACCAAATCAGCCTAGGACATATTACATATATACCCATCACCTCCGGAAACCTTTCCTTTTGATCACCAATCCCAAGAATCAAAAGTCAAGAGAAGGATATTAGCCATTCCCTTGTGATTTCTGTGTCTTCCAAGATGAAAATCACACTAGCTTTTGCTCTCGCAGGCCTTGTGCCGATTTTTGCCAGTGCGTTTACGTTTCAATTTTTGTGCAGTGATATGCTTTTTTAGTTACTCCAGCTCATTTACCTTCATTTCAGATGCAGCATCAAACCCTATCCAGTGCGATGTGTGCGAACTCGCTCTCGACGCAACACTGAGTGTTATTGAAACCAATGGCATATCGGGCGAAATCATTCAGAAGGTCGACGCCGTGGTCCACGGGGAGGTGGAATCAATCTGCTCCAAAGTCACCTCTACAGACACAGATAAATGCGTGGAGGAGGCAGAACTGGTGATTGGGAAGGTTGTTGAGGAAGTGGAAGATAATCTGGATAGTGGCACTGTTTGCAGCTTGCTTGGTTATTGCTAGAGGATGAATTCCAATTGGGCTCAACGTCTCACTTAGCTCTGGCGAGAAGAAACGTATTAATTGACATTGCAAAACAGGGTATTGTAAATTATAACATGATCGCTGGATTAAATCAACTATTACGCTATAATAAAACCCATTATGTCTATATACTATTCAAATGATTATAGGCTCTGGTCTCATCGTCCGATGAATCTAACAAGTAGGATTTCAGTGAAGGCTAGAATAGGAGTATTTGACATCTACCTCATGAGTCATATGAAGGCGGACTTTTCTTAGGTATAAGACTTCCATACGCTTGACAGAATATTCTCTAAAAGATTGAAGCAACAAGTGATCAGAAAGGGCGAGTAGCAAACATTTAAAGCATCCTGTAGCAGCGCAGGTATTTACCTATCATTTCTCCCCTCATAGTTTATTTGCAAACCCTACGGAGGGCCAGCGTGGTCAAAAATGACAAATCGTGCTTTCAGAAAGATGTTCCCGAAAATGAGGAATCTGGCTCTGGATTGACTTGAATTCCTCCATGGCAAATGCTGTCATCTAGCACTTCATAAAAGGATGTAGTCACCAGGGACAACACTACGATAAGCACTGATACCAAATACAAAATCTGGCGAGGGTGATGTGCATAGGAACAACCAGGCAGCTTCGTCAATATCGAAGAAAGCCCCAACAACTTCTGTATAGTAGCCAGTAACTACATCTGGTGGGAGGTAGAGGAGAGTCGTTCCAGTATCTAAATTAGGATTAGAAACTGTTTCAGTCACACAAGCATAAGGACTAGCACGCGCCGGTGATGCCATTATAGGAAGTTCAACGTCTGGGGTCACTCCCACTCGGAAGCTAGTGAAATCAAACTGCCAGTATGCCGGATAGCTATAAGGGAATGTCACTGGAGTCTAGCCAATTAAGCCCTGGAACTCGGTCGGGTTAATATAGCCGAAGCTGTAATTTCCTGGCTCTCCATGTTTAGGGTTTGCAGTAAAGAGTGGCTCCTTCAATGTGGGAAGCACATTTTCAAAGAGTGCCTTGGATAACCTCACCTCACACCGGAGACACTGAGATATAGGACACCTTTGTTCCATTTTTCAAATTTATCCTCTCCTAGCTACTAATCCTTCTAACCAAGTATGACACCTCATGATCGGAATCAGTTGTTCTCTGTGGTGCGTGCTGCCACTGTGCCGCAGCATAGCGGAGGTTCTACAGTATGAGTAGATTCATATAGACACCTCTTTATATAAAATAAAGAGTGAAATGAAAGAGTACTAGTCTCGCGGAAACTTTTGGGATCACACCATGGCACGTGAAATCCGCCATCGGAATGATCCCGGCTGCCCATATTTAAGCTGATGGTGGCGGGTTGGCAACATCGTGAAAATAATCATCATCATGCTGGGCGTTATCTCCATCTCCGTAGCACTTTTTAGCCTTCTCTATTTCTGCAAGCTACGCATATTCAGCGCAATGAGCGACCACACTTTGGACTGGCTCGCCGAGAAGGCGATAGGATGGAGTCATACGCCTCCAATCAATAAGATTGATACGCACCACCACATCGTGCCGTCATTCTATGCCAAGGGTAAGAAAGCGAACAACTTCTGGATATCAACTAACATACAATCAGCAATCGAAGAACAAGGGGGCGATCCCAGTGGCTGGCCGACCCCCAAATGGAGCTCGTTGGCGTCTAAGCTCCTGATGAAGCGCGTTGGAGTCCATACTGCGGTCGTCTCGGTCACAGCCCCCGGGGCATGTATTCTCCCAGACCGCCATGCACGCGCTAAGCTTGCAAGGCAGTTGAATGAGTACTCTGCCAAACTTCGCGATGAAGACCCTCAGTCCTTCGCGTTCTTTGTCTCTCTGCCCAACATCCTCGATACAGAAGATGCCCTGGCCGAGATTGCCTACGGGTTGGACACACTCGGTGCTGATGGGGTCACGCTCTTCACTCGGTATGGCCACTCCAACACATATCTCGGCCATCCCGATGTCGAGCCCATCTGGGCGGAACTTAACAGACGACGGGCCGTCGTCTTCGTCCATCCCACGCACCCAGTCGATACTAATCCTATCAACCCGAAGCTCCCGCAGCCGGCCATCGACTATCCCCATGAGACAACCCGCACAGCAATGGACATGATCGTCAACGGAACACGCCGCAAGTACCGGGACTGCAAGGTAATCCTGTCGCATGCGGGCGGAGGACTCCCCTATATCATCTCGCGCGTCGCAACCCCCATGAAATTGGCGCCGAATTTTGTCGTCTCGCACCGCATGGGGACAACGCATGCTGAAGTACTTGAGGCATTCCGCAGCTTCCATTTTGACCTAGCTTTAAGCTCCTCCCCGCAGGTTTTAGACATGCTACGGGCGTTGGTGCCGTCGGATCATATTCTGTATGGGAGTGATTTCCCATATGCGCCGATAACAGCCTACCCGGCTTTCCTGGAGGAGTTGGAAGGGTATGAGATGGATCAGGAACTAAGGGATAAAATTAACTTTGGGAATGCGATGAAGTTATTTCCTCGATTAGCGTTATGTAATGACGACAGGGCGTAGGTACATGCTACTTGGAAATAAATACTAGAGTGTTAGTCTCACAATCCAAGACAAGTCAATCACGTATATAGCTTATATACACCTTGCAACTGCCATCACTTCGTACTCCTCTAGACCGCGTACACATATGAGTAAATTAAACAAGCCTTCCAGTCTTTGGGTCAATTTCCTGACGACCTTTGAAATCTACTTTCAGGGATTTAGTGCCGCTCCGAACCAAGTTCTGAACCCAATCTGGGGCCCCTCGCTGCACATGTCACATAGCCCGTCAATGATTATCTTAAATCAATCAAGGGGAAGAGAATGAACTCACCAAACCAGCAAAATAACCAAATATCCCCGGAAGGAATATTGTCCTGCTAAAGCCACTGTCAAGCGTATCCACAATAGCGTCCACTACTGTTTCGACATGTAAAAGGGGCATCAGGAATCGGGGCTGGTTCGTTTCTCCCTTGAACAGTGGCGTTTTCGTAAAGCTCAACACGGCAAGCGAGGTGCGAACCTTTGGGGCGTTTTGAAGCCTGAGCTCTTGGGCAAGACACTGAAGATCTGGCTTAGTAAGGTGCAAAGCTCGCTGAAAATCTCAGTCAAGAAGACAATACAGTACCTCGTGGAACGCGATCAACCCCGCCTTCGACGCCGCGTAATCACCAAGTCCCGGGGGAGGTATATAGGCGCTCATTGAGGCAACATTGAAAATGTGTCCATGGTTTTGCCGGATCATAGCCGGTAGGAATTCTTTAGTAAGGAAGAATGGTGCAAGCAGGTTGGTCTTCAGAGTGATGCTATTGTCGCTGTAAGTACCCTCGATCACAGTCCGGCCGCGTGACAGGCCAGCATTGTTAACTAGCAATTGTTAGCCAGATCGACATTGAGAACCAGGGGTTTCATACTGACCGAGGACAGTTGGATGACCAATTTCGGATCTGACCGTCTCACAGAGCGCCGCGATTTCCTTCTCATCGCTCAGATCACACTTGTAGTACCGGATATGATCACCTTTTTAACGTTTCCCAGTAAGCAGAATTTGTTTGCGAGGACGATTTGACATACCAGGCTTATACGTCAACGGTATGATATCGAAAACAACCACGCGTGCTCCCATTGCAGCGAGACGCTGAGCCACGCCGGCGCCAATGCCACCGCTACCACCAGTCACCACTACCAGCTCTCTCTTCCAGTTCCACGTAGTGTCTACCGTCCAATTATTCCGACTTTTGGCACTCAAATAATCGTTGAGCCAAAGGATAGTACTGGCAGCTGCGATGAATTGGACGAGCTTCTGATACGGCGAGGCGGTACCGGTGCCGAATTTTTTTCCTTGTACAATGCACAGGAGTATTAATGTGCAGAGAGGATGAAGTATTGTTCTCCGCAGGCCGGTGACGATGGGGTCGATGTAAAGACCTTCACGGGGGATCCATCTTCTGGCCGACATTCTTCAAAATACTAGGACCTAGGTAACAACAGCGCTACCCTTCTAGTAAAATGTGCTAGACAGGTGATATTCTAAGGAACTTGTATATTTACTGCGTTCATGCTATAGAATACTGCCGTAAAAGGAAAGATATCGGGCCGGAAGCATTCCGTGAGACCGGAAAGATCCCAGGGGACAATTGCTTGCCAGCAAAAGAGCGCGGTCGCAAGTTAATCGCTATTCTCCGGATTACAAGCTTCTCATATCCACTCCTCAATCTGGAAACAGCCTGAAACCGCAATCCGGGCAGTCCTGAACACGCAACGAGGGGAGAATAAACATTAGGGCTGATTAGTCATGGCTTCCGGGAGAGCACAAAGGGGGTTATAAACTCATATTGTATATATTTTGATCAAATATCAACCAAGATCCTTCCTTGTATTTCGGCTTCAAATCCAAGTCTCAAGATTGTTGCACTTATTTCAACTTGCCTTCCGGATAATGCGCCAGAAGTCCACCACAAAGTCGCCGCCTGCGGCTAATAACTGCCCGAAGTCCTCTCTATCACCAACCTGACCCAAAATTGATGCAACATACCGCGTTGCTAAGTTTCTCAGTGGGTCTATCTCTCCGGTTCCTGAACGCGTGTTCTGGTATGTAAATCTAATAAAATCGATAATGCTGACCATATTTGTCTCATAGATTGTGAAATCTTTCAAGGTTTGATGAAGTTTATAGAGAACTAAGTTGCGAAGGGACTCGATCCCGTACTTGTCGGCTATGACATAGAGCTCAGCATGGCCTAAAAAGACGGGCGTGAAGTCTTGTGTTGGTCCTCTGTTGCTTGTCGGGGTGAATTGATAAGCATTTCTGGCTAGGGTATAATCTAATGCCGAAAACACGCTGTGAAGGTTTCCATCGCAGATAGTTCGCTCTCTAAAAGGCAATTCAGACACAAAAAGCTCTGGCTCAGCATAAATATCCCCCATTAGAGGTGGAATTCCTTTCTTGGCAGCCACTTTTTTCTTTTTCCTGCGTTGGTGAGCAGTCCAGCCCTCCCATCTATCCCAATGCTCGTGATTCGGTCCAGGTTCGGGTTCATATGCAGGTTCAGGCTCAGGCTCAGGCTCAGGTTCAGGCTCAGGTTCAGACTCAGGTACAGGCTGAGGGCTTTTCGTAGAAGCATCGAAATCGGTTGCTTGTTGAAATGTAGGCGGTGTATAGTCATGCAGGTAAGCAAATTCACAAAGTCGGGTGAATGTGTCCTTGCTCACGTCCGGCCAGTTGACTCTTCTTAACTTCGCTTCCTTCATTTCAACATTCATAAGGGCATATAAAGCAGGGGATAGATCGGCTAATGGGCCAGCATGCACCATGACAGCTTCTTTTTCGTGACCAACTTGAAATGTGAATATCGGCGAACGGATGTGTCTGCCAAGCCTTAGTGTTTTATTCTTACACAATGAACAATATGCTTACTTGCCGAATAATTCTTCCATTTTTGTATAAATTACCAGAAAGGTAATCAGACTGCTCTTTGTAGAAATAAATTTGCCAAGTCCCACCATCAACGAAGAAAATAAGAATTCATGTTGTATGAACCACATTATTTATGACTTGGTGGGCTGAGATAATTGAGATAATTGACCTCTGCCAGGTGTGTTACACAAAAGAGAAACGTGCTTAAATATCATTGGGTGTGAAATAAACGCATATATACCCAATAGATACACTTGTTGCATCCTCGTATTGAGCTTATGAAAAGCAATTAGAAGCGGATGAACACTTAGGACTCAGGTTATCAAAAACGAGTACACACGAAGAAGCTATAGTCCTTCCTCAAGGCTAGTCTAAATTTAGTTAATAAAAACCACCAGTTAAAACAATGTAATGAGCACGTACAGACGATACGCTGTTAACTTATAAATTCTGGTCTATACCTCATTGGCATAGACTTAGCATAATTCTTCCACATAGGGCTAAGTTGGTCGAAGAAAGCGTTTTGGGGGTGAAGGAGGCTTCAAGTCTGGCTCTACATGATTCATTAGTATCTGAGCGAGAACCCCCCTCACCCTCTCTCAAATTTCCTGCGAATAAAATTCGTATTCCCATAAACACCAGTCTCTATTATAGGAGATCCGATAAGAGAATATGATAGATCTTATAACATATTTATATAAGTTCAAATCTTATACCTTTGCTTAATAGAAATCTTATATAGTTAATTGAATTATATGGAAATTCTTGAACTATAGTTCGTCTAATTTCATTATGTAGAGTATTGAATGAAATAGTAATTATAGAATCTAGAAGCGAGAACCTCTTTATTATATTATTCAAGTTCAGAACCATAATTAATGGTGGCGTTCATGGGGATACATGAAGATGATGATAGAAGATAATTAGTTTAACTCTTTTAGGGATACAAGGCGCTGACTTATAGCCGGCAATGTGCCTATGGTCAGGTAGGACAAACACCAGTAGAGCTAGGTCGCAGCGTATTTAGGAGTTGGGACCCGACATAGAGCAGAATCTGGTGATGTGAAATCAATGGGCATGACTCGCTGGCTCACGGCTCGTGTTAATAGAGCTAGAAGCTCACTGTTTAACATGATTAAACCTTAGGTGAACAAATCATTTGACGATTACTATCATCGCTTTTATGTAGGTAGTAGTATGGCCATGAAAACATACAAATGGTTATATTAAATCGATCAACTCCATACGCCCTGCGATGCCGCTGGTATCTAATTTACATGATCATCAAACTCATAACCCCAATTCACTACACTACTTGACCTTGCTCATAATGGTCTCCAAGCCGCGTTCAATATTCAACTCTGCAGCCTTGGCCTTGATAGAATTGATCATGGACCGCTCAAAGTCGTCGCGCGAGCGAAGGACAGCCTCCACCCACGACATCTGCAAATCCCAGTACTCGGTTCTGAACGACTCATACACGACCACCACGCCAGCGCCCTTGTCAGCCTCTAGCAACCGAACAAGCCAGTCGATCAGTCGCCATTTGTGTTTGATCGTCGTTTGAAAGGAGTCTGGGAAGCGTTGGAAGAAAGCGAAGACGGTCAAGATGTCGTCTTTAAATTTCTCCGTGAATGGGTCTTGTCGACGGAATTTGACACCGCGGTTGCGGATTGCAGATAGATAACGGATCAGGAGCTCGTCGGACAGTTCCTCGACCAAGATCTCAGTGAGGGAGGGGTGTAAAACAGAGGCATAATCTGATATGTAATCTTCAAAAGTTGATGTGATTCGCTTGATTGCAAACTCTCCATACCACTTCGGAGTGAAGAATTCGGGGAGAGTAGTGCGGAAATCCACCGTGAAGATGAGACTTGCAAATTGAGTCAGACAGTGTGTACTAAGATCGACGTACCCGTCACGGAGGGCGTCCAGTTCAGCCATAGCTCTTTCCTCCATGTAGTTGGGTGTTACAAGGGCCTCAATATCACGCTTGAAGCGAGTTAGGTATCCAAATTGACCTGTTTCCTCGTTGTCATCAATGCACGCGATTTGATCGTTCGCGACAGCGATCAGCCAGTCCTGCAATGGCTGTAGACCTTCGGCTTGTTCCGGGCTCGTGTTATTGTATTTGGCACATTCCTCATCGACAACTGTTTGCCATGCTGTCTGACGACCTTTAAGCGCTCGGAACATGGAATCAATAATGCCTTCAATTACATCCGCACGGTCAGACGCAGACGCAGCTCCGATTTGTTCGTTCAGCATACGCCACATGTCTCCCAAAGTCTTTGTGCGGAAGTGGCCCTCTGGATTGGCTTCTAATGCATCTGGCGAGCGCTCGACGAGTGCCTTTCTCTCAGTAGCGAATATGCGGTCCATCCATTCGTCCACTGCATCAACAATAACACTCTGCCACTGGCGGATGAGTTCGAGCTCGCGATCATCGAGAATGTTAGGTATCAAGTCAGCTGACTTCCAACCCAGCTTGGACATTTTCTTGTAATACTTAGGGGTCCAATGCAGGATTGCTAATAGGTTGTCTGGTGGCAATTCGGAATCGTCAATAAGGTTAATTAGGAAGTCGTGCATTAATTTATGATAAGATTTTGTATACGTGGCGTATATCTTCCATTTCTTGGGCATGAGTTGCTGCATGCCCTGCTGAACGGTGAAGAGATCGTTGAAAAACCATTTCAAGCTCTTTTCTAAGGTGTCGGGATCGCCAAGGAATTCTTCCTTGGTAGCATCAAATTGGGTCTGCGCATAGAGCTCGATAGCTTGTAAGAAGTTTTCTTTGTAGCCCCTGACCGTCTTTGGACCTATGTTCATCGACTTGAATCGGTTTGCCAGCTCTGCGTGGTCCTTTTGAGCCTCCTGCAAAGCCCGCACTTGCTCATCATTCTTCTCTTCCTTTGCAATAACGATCGCCAGTCTGACAACCATGCTGTTGTTATCGGATTGTACAAGTGGAATGAGATTCATGCAGGCGGTTCCCACATGGTCGTCAAACCAATCGATAACCGAATCAAGGCCCTGAAAATAATCCTCCAGCGTTGTTTCGTTGCTTTCATCGTTGGCTCTCCGAATCTGATCCAAAGCCTCATCCCGAAAATCCCTGAGCTGGGATATTAATATGTGGGCTTTGAGTAAATTAGGCTGGCTTTCAATGTGATCATCATCCTCTTGCAGGAGACTCTCAGCCCTTGCTAAATCGGCACCAAAGCTCTCCAGTCCTCTTTTCATCATAACCACGGCTTCAAAATTCCGTTGAATCCTTGCGAGTTCATCAATGTGTGAGAAGTCCTCGACGGTTGCCTGTGACTCGGCGCATAGTTTATCGATGCCTTGGAGCTCATCTCGCGTTTTTGATACTTGGCGCTGGCCCTCAGTGAGAATCGCCAAGCTTTGTTGGACAGTTTCGAGCTGATCTCGAAGGCCCTCTCGGAGTTGTGCGTCGATTGCTGCCTTCTTGCGCTGGTATTCTAGCTTCAGTCCGGCAATCTTGTCCAAGTCTTCAGGGTGGCGTAACAGCTCGGCGAGGCGCGGAATCGCAGCCGCTTTTTCCGGTCCTTCAGTGGTGGTCATCTGGGAATAATATAGTAAGTATCATTCAATGGGAATCGCCGTGTTGTTTTGGACAAGCGCAATTACCGTTCAGATCCTAGAAACTAGCCGACGGCGATTTGGGATGTGGAAATAGATCCCAGTGCACACACGTATGCATCCAACTTTATAGGTATATATTCAAGAACAAGCTCCTAGCCTGTCTTCACTGCCTGACCTCAGGCGTGCACATAGTTCACAGGCCGGGTGAAGCACAATCAATCATGACGAGACGTGCTCCATGCTCCACGTTGGCGATGGAGCACTTCGTCCACCCAATCAGATGCCCTGTCAAGATGCCCCCGATTGGCCACGTGATCTCCCGGCTTTGCATCCGCGGATTTCATTGGAGACAAGCATCTGCGAATTTCTCCATGATGGTCTCAAAATAATAACACCTGCCCAGCCGATACAACCAAACTCTACACCCGTATAACGATATTTTGCAAATCCTAGCGAAACCGACCCTCTTCCCGTCGACACCGATTAGAGCAACATTCGCTCGAAGCCAGCAAGGCCGCGCTCTCATTTCTCCTCGGCCGTAATTCGTCTCGAGCTATATCTCATTCTCTGCCAGACAATCACAACCACACGCTATACATAATGAGCTACTTCCGAATTACTCTTATGCGGTCGGCCATTGGCCTGCCCGAGCGAACGAATATGGTTCTGCATGCCCTCGGCCTTAAGAAGCGAATGGCAACAGTTTTCTACCCCGTGTCCCGCGATGTAGCCGGTCAAATCATGAAAGTCAAGGAATTAGTGTCCGTGCAAGAGGTTGACCGGCCTCTAACAAAGACAGAAGTTCATATGCAGCGGAAACCAGATCTCGGGTATTACGTCGAAAGAACATCGGAGCAAGAATGGGAAGGGAGGCGGTATGAATGATAGTGGGAAACTTGGTGGTTTTGCATATTCTAATATTTCGGTTCTATCCCGGCGCAATCTCTTCTTGAGCGGCAAAGAGCTTGTGTGTTATTTCGCTATGACACTTGTCAGTCGACGAATGTTTTATTAATTGGATTCTCCGCCGTTTGATGACTGAGCACTGGTGCAAACATTCATCATTCTGGGGCGATTGTACTACTACATTCATTGCATATTTAAAAGCACTGATCATCGTCAAGTGTCAAGCCTTTCCTTGTATTGTATGAATAGCATAATAATGACAACGAATTCAACATATTCTCCCCGCCAGACTAGACCTTGTATCCCAAACCTTTGCAGTCTGAACCTTTACGCCACGCATGATTATTGTAATACCAACAAGGTTCTGTACAAATGCAGCTATAGTTTCAGGCTGCCTCATGATTTATATAATGCATCGAGAAAGCCTTCGGCCAGACGGCTAACGATGCTCTTATCCGGTAAGCTGCCTGCCACACCGTACAACGCAGCAGTATCGCCTCGTTTCCTGGCGTAAGATTTGCCCTGTTTCTTTCTTTCCTCAGCTTTCTCCAACTCTTGCTTCACAATCTCAGTCAACTCGGTCTGCAGCTTGTCGACAGAAATAGCTGTAGGCCTCGTAAATGCAACGTGGATGGCAGGAGGGTCTTGTAGCGCATTGAGGTGCCATCCCTTCTCTGCCATGCCATCAGCAATATCATATGTATCGATGCCCTCGTTTTTGCTTGCAAATGCAACCACACTGACATCAGGATAGCCTATGACTTCAAGATTGGATGACAATATTGGGTCTTCACGAATGGCATTTTCAAATTTCTTGGCAGCACCCACAATTTGGTGACAACTGGCGATATAGCCTGACTCTCCAATCGTCATTAAGCTTGCCCAGCAACCAGCTATCAAGGCACCTGGGCGAGATCCTGCAATAGATGGAGATGCATAAACGCCTCCAACCCAGTCTGGGAAAATAAAGTATTGATGGTTTCGATATGTACGGTTCCGATACAGAAGGACTGAGTTTCCTTTGGGCGCAAACCCGTACTTATGGGTATCCACGCTGATACTAGTTACGCCTGGTTGGCGAAAATCGAAACCACCCTCGTCTTCGTAAGGCGATGGGAAACCTGCTTTTTTGAGGAATGCAATAATAAAGGAGCCAAGGCAGCAGTCAACATGGAGCGGAAGCTTGTAAGAAACAGCAAGGCGTGAAAGAGCTGGGATATCGTCGACGATGCCATGAGGGAAATTTGGTGCAGATCCAACGATGAGCACAGTGTTGCGGTTGATTAACCTGCGAACAGAGGGAATGTGAACTTTATAGTCGGGAGCAGGACAAGGCACGCGATGAACCTTGATGCCGAAATAGCCCCCGGCTTTGAAGAAAGCCGCATGAACAGTCTCCGGGACAACCCTGCGCAAGTTAGGACTATCCTTGACAGTCGAGGTGGAAACTTACATTTCGGGCTCGGTAATTCCTCGCTCGCTATAGCCCTTTTGGCGAGCAGCCAAGCACGCCATTAAAATAGATTCAGTACCACCGCTAGTAGTCACACCAGCTCCATCTGTTGGTGAATGGAAGAGGGCAAGAACCTGAGGGATAACTAGTTAGTACTGGTTCGGATTGAAGAGTCTTGAGGATACGAACCATCGCCACGATTTCAGCCTCCATTTTTCGCACTCCAGGAAAAACATCTGGATGAAGAGGATTGGATACACTGAATGTACCGATAGCCTCTGTTTGAAGCTTCAACAAGTCCTCGCCTCCGTGATAGACAGCACCGCTAACGCGCCCATCTTCCCATTTTGCGTGATCCATGCCCGCCAAACTTTGCAGTTCCGTGCGGATCTTTTCTTCTGTCCATCCTTCCTTTGGAAGGGCAAGATACCTAGTGACCCCAGGGCCCTTCTGAAGCATCTTATCCTCAAGCTTCGTGAGGGCGGTTGTGATCTGTTTGTCTACCTGGCTGCGAACGCCAGGAGCTCGAAGGAAGAGAGAAAAGCACCATAGGCGGACGACTGCAAAGACATTTTTGAGGCTGCCAACAACGCCATACCCTCGCAGGGAATCGAATGTCTTGCGGGTGTATCGAAGAATGAAGAGAAGGAAAACTATATTTCTGATTCTGCATTCCCGAGTCATCAGTCTCTGCACGGAAAAGACGGCATTGCACGAAGCCAAAAAATCTCTCGACTTACAAGTCAAAGTTGAGAACAGCAAAGGCGGCATTGTGCAAGTTTCGTGGGAGAGCTGCTGCTAATTTGCCCTGCACCGATGCTGGCACCAATGATGACGCCATGGCTCGAAGTTCGAGAAGAGCTGCGCGGAACTAACACGGGGTTAGAAGTCCGCGAGCACGGCGAAGATTGGGGGAATATGAGGGAAGAATAAGGAGGGGTAACAGAAAGGTATAAGAGTGCTTCGTGGAAAGGTGTTGGAATTAATCACTGTTACTACTGCCCGTCGTGGAGGAGGCAAAAGAATCAAGAACCAAGAGCCAAATGTTTTTGGGGCTCGGGTGGCGGCTGCTCTCCGGGAAGGCACCTCACCTCGGCATGTACTTGCCCGCCTTTAGCGTTGCGAGGAAGTTGCGAGTGCGGGAACTCAACCACAATGTCAACTTATCAAGTCTGGTCAACTACACGAGACACTCGATTGGAGCGGCCATGTAACTCATGTTATCGTTCTACTCACGTGCGCAGATCAGTCCCTGAATAGCCAGAACGCTGTTCTTGTGGTGGTGTGGCGACCCATGCATTGAGGGAACATTCAATGGTTACAGATCTTGATTCGATTGCAAACGTGACTGTATATGTGTATGTACAAGCAGTATGGTCACCCATCCCCGAACACCAAGTAGCACTTTTTGGTTGTGGAAACAGAAAACAAAAGGACTGAGCAGAAATCACGGCCGCAACCAGTGATACAAGACCGTGAAACACCAAAACATGGAAACGTAGACACAAGGAAACGGTTTCGTGGACATTCGATTACATGTATTTTCCAGATCCTGAGGATATGGCTCTACGCAGAGACTGTGCCGTTGGCCTGTGCTTCTTCAGCAAGTTCCTTCTCCTTCTGTGCGAGTTGGGCCTTCTCGTCCTCGGTCAGGTCAAGTAGAGGCTTATCGGTTCCGAGCTTGATGTTGTTGTGGAAGGCACGGATGATGCTGTCGGCATCGTCGATGGCGATTGGCCGAATGTCAGCAAGGGCCTTGATCTTGGCAGTACATTGCTTGTACTGCTCATCGGTCATTTCAATCTTCAGTTGTTGGGCACGGGATTTGATGGCGTTCCAGCCAGTCAATCGCGAAGCAAAGTGCACGTAGCGGGTCATGCCGAAGTCAGCGGGGTTGATGATTTCATAGGTGCTGGGGTTGTTGAGAATAGCCTTGGCATGGATACCAGCCTTGTGGGTGAAAGCACAGAAGCCGGTGATGTAATTGTTGAAGGGAATGTTGACTTCAACTGCGCCTGCGACAAGATCCTCGAGGTCCTTCAACTTCTCCAGCTTGTACTTGGACTTGACATAGTCTGGGGCTTGGACCATCATTCTGGCCATCAAACCGCCGAGAGGCGTGATACCGTTGCGTTCGCCAATGCCTGTAAAAGTTAGTAGATAATCGAAATTAGGGCTAGATATCCGTACCAAGAACAGAAGTATCAATGTGAGTGGCACCGGCTTCCAATGCACAGTAAGCGTTTGCAATCGCGCAACCAGTATCGTTGTGGAAGTGGGTTTCAATATCGCAGTGGACGACACCACGAAGCACTCGCACAAGCTCATAGACTTGACGAGGGGAGGCACACTGGATAACATTAGTATTAGCAAAATAGCTTCAAATAAAACATGATGAAGCTTATTCCATCTTTATGGATCATTAGATCACTTACTCCGACAGTATCAGCAATACCAACTCGGTGAACACCAACTTGGTCAACAGCAGAGTAGATGGACAAAAGATCGACGAGGTCTAAAGAAGTTGTCATTAGTCAAATCCTTACGTGTACTCATTATGGAAGCTAAGTTCTAACATACCAGAGCGGAACGAATCTTCACTTGAGAATCGAACCTCAATTCCCTTGGACTTGACAAAGTTGATAACTTCAATGGCAGTGTTGGTGATATAGGTCATGTCTTTTCCGTGAGAGTGTTCGCGGAGACTGTACAAAGGTTAGACAGGAAGTTTCCAGGGCCCATATAGCGATTACTCACTAAGAACTTGTACCAATGACAACGTCGACACCGTCAACTCCAGTCTCAACTATTTTCTCAAGTTAGTATTGATATAAAGACATCTACTCGAATGCAGCAAAAGTGGCAATCTCGCATGCTGCCTCCTTACGACTCAAGTTGCAAAGATGGATAAAGAACAGAATGACTTTGGAGATGGAGGCGGAAGTCTGGGTAGCATACCGGCTATTCTGGCATCATCCATGTGGCATCGGATGTGTGTAAGAATCTATCAAACGGCCATTAGTTGGACGGCGTGGATAGATATAGAGCAGATCTCTTTACCTTGGCCTTAAGACCGAGCTTGCAAATCGCCTCACAGTCCAGTCTCGACTGCTCCGAGGCACAAGGGCTGGTCAATTCAATCTAAAGCATATCAATTAGACAGGAGCCACTTTGTCTCAGCCGAACGATGACTCACATAGTCAACACCAAAGTCGTCCAAGGCCTTGGCAATCTCGATTTTCTTCTCAGTATCAAAGAAGGCATTGGCAAACTGCTCGCCCTCTCGCAGGGTGCTCTCAATGATCTTGAAGCGAGAAACATTGCTCAAGAAATCGGTGACTCCGACGTTGTGGCCGTAGGGATTGCGGGTGGAAGGGTGAGGGTTTTGGCGGGTTTCAATGGCGGTATAACCGTCGTGGGGGTGGAAGTCTGGAGAACCAGGGTCAGTACGATTCGAAGATTTGCATTACCAGCGCGGCATATATACTGTTTCCATTGGGATGGCCATTGGCCTGCCCGTTCGGCGTGTTGTCTGCACCAGGGCACATTTCGAAGGCGGGGTGCAGAAATTGAACAATGAGGTCACCGGCAGTGTAAGATTCTAGATAGTATAGTATAGTCCTGTGGCGAGGGAAGGAAGGTGAGACAATGGGGGATGCAGAACAGATGAGCGAGTATTTATCCAGCGAGTGAAGAGGGGAAACGAGGATGAAATACTAGTACGAATATCTAATTATTTTTCTTTTGAATGACTCAACGCGGCACCTGCAGAGAGGCAAAACTGGGGAGCCCCGGCGACGCTCACAGGCTCGCGGCAATCGAAGTGGGGATCTTTTTTTTCCTACCGACACCGCTGGGTTCCGCTGTACTGCCGCTGCTGTCTTTGGCGATCTTCCTGAACAGCATGACTCAATGATATTCAATTCGCCCAGACTAGCTAGCAGAGGATCGCAAATGCCTCACGGTGCCTACGCAGTCGCGCAGGTTGCTGAATTCCATCTTCTACAATGAGCTGCTCGGCCGCACCTGATATTCGTCACACCCCGACATCGGCTGCAGCGTCTGCATGGCCAGTCTGGATGCTGTGGTTTATAAGCAGCTAACTGCGAGAATAAACTAATTCCCTGGGCCTGTTAGACTGTTGAGCTGTTAACAAGCACCCTCCGCACAATCCCGGGGTATCTACTCTGTGTGGACTGTCGATTGGCACTGTGGGCTGTTTAGTTAGTCGCCATGGCATGTGCAATCGATGATGTATACCGTCACATGTCGCCGACGAGGCCGTGTCCATTGACATCGTTTACGTTCGGAAATTTTACTAGTTGTTGTGAACTGGTATGATCGATGTCATTATACAAAGAGGCTCTCTCATCTTAATTAGAGCCATTGGTCGTACATTGTTGCTCGGATGCAATGCAAATTAGACCCTTTAACCATTTATTAATGGGAGCCTTGGGAAAAACTTGCAGATGGACTCTCACGCTCGACAGCTTATAATGTTATAATGTCGACACTTCCGAGAATAAATAAACACATCGAGATCTTGATGTAACTCAGAGTGGCTCAGCCTTAGCACTGTACAGTATTCACAGTGTCTCCGGCTAGCTCCCTTTCGGCGTAGCGCCCACGAGCGTCGCGAAGCTGCCAGCTAGCCACTTCCTTCTTAGCACCGACTCTACCAGTGCTCCTCTTTGCGCGCTCTCTCTGCCTGGACACCTGCACCGTCAAGCTCCATCAGGAACAGCCTCTTTCTCCCCGTGTATTAATACTTCCTTCATCTTACCCGCTGTTTCCGCCGTGTCGTCGTCAGAATGCGTTTTCTTTCGTTGATCGTGGTGCTTCCCGCCCTTGCTGCAGCTCAGCAACAGATTCCCCTGGGCGACCAGGTCAAAGGCTGGTTCGACAAAGTCAAGTCTTTTGTTCCAAGTACACCTGTCTCGGACCCTATTGAGAACGTTGCTCAGAAAGCAGCAGGCAAGGTCGCCGAGAAAATTGTCACCCCTTTGACCACTAGCAACTGGCAATCTGTGCTGGAGCCCTCCGCCCAGCCCCAGGAATGGCTGGTCTTCCTGACCGGCGGTAACAAGACCTGCCTTGGCCGATGTGGACAAGCGGAGAAGGCTTTCAACGTGTGTATCCATCGTAACTCAATTCACGCTCACTCGAGACTCACCGCGAATGATATAGGAATCCACCGCGCTGTTTGCTGCTGACCCAACCGCACCCAACCTCGCCTACCTTGATTGCGAGAAGGAGCCTATCCTGTGTTCGATCTGGGCTGGTGCGCCTCCTACCGTATGGCATTACCAGCTTCCCCAGGTGCACCCAGGCGAGAAACGCCCGCCAGTTCCATTGCACATTGTCTACTTGAACCATACCACCGTCACCCCCGAGACCATCTACAAGATCCATTCCGAGAAGACATATCAGGCCGAGCCCGCTTATGAAGGCGTCCTTCATCCGTTTGACGGAACCCTCGCTGTGTATGGTTTGAATGTGCCTGTTGGCTACATCATGTACGGGTTCTCGGTTGTTCCTAGCTGGCTCATGATGATCGGCATCAGTTTCCTCAGCAGAACGATCATGTAAGCCTACCTGAAATTTTTATGTGGGAGTCTTTTTAGCTAACTCTACTAGGGGCCGTCGGATGCGCAACCCGGGACAAATTGCTGGTCGTAATGGCGCCAACTAAGTGTCGGCAGTCTATAAGATTTGTTTACAATTTATAATTCTGCTCAAGAAACGAGTGCTACTCCGGAATGTATATAATGATATGTTAAAGAGTTTTGGTTCTCTGAATGACTAGAGTTTGAATGGAAGACTGGAAATCGTATGAGCTGCAACATTGCTTTCTAACTCATAGTATCCTTATTTAAAAGAAATGTAAACGAAAATGCCTTCAAAGTCACGAATTAATAAAAAAGAAATTCCTCGTCTCCTCTATCCATTAAGAAAGACAATCATTCTAGACATGATGAAGCTGCTGGGCACATGAAACAGATAGGACCAATGACGCAGCAAGCCTCCACCGCGGCGGCTCAAAACAGGCCTTCAAGACTACACCCAAAAAGTATCCCCGATTTACCTCGCACCTTTCAGCTCGAAGCTCGAAATCATGGCTACCCCCGGACTAGCTACCGATCGCATTTCACCTAGCACAGCATCTTACATCCTGGCGACTGCCATTCTTGCCGGCGTTACTGGCTATTTCATCGGACAAGGTAGCTCTCTCGGTCTCTTCTCTTCCGCACCGGCACAGCAACGACGATCGAAACAGGGAGTCAAAGATGACGACGATGAATCAGATTTCGAGGACGATGAGGATGAGTACGACGCTGGAGAGTTAGCGACGTTTGAAGGGAATCGCGATGAAGTGAAGCTTGTGCTGGTAGTCCGGACGGATTTGGGCATGGGTAAAGGTATTTCTCCCTCTTCCTCCTCTTTTCACTCGGTTTATTGAAATTAAAAATTTTTGTCGAAAATGATGCACACGGACCTTTTTTATTTAAAAATTGACTAACATTCACCTGCGCTCAACAGGAAAAATCGCTGCTCAATGCTCGCATGCCACTCTCGCCTGCTATAAATACTACGTCGCTAAATCCGCCGACTCGCCAATACTGAAGCGCTGGGAACGCGGTGGACAAGCGAAGGTTGCTCTGCAGGTTAAAACAGAGGAAGACATGCTTCTATTACAAGCGCAAGCTATCAGCTTGGGTCTCTGCGCTCGCGTGATCCATGACGCAGGCCGAACACAGATTGCCAGTGGGAGCAGGACAGTTCTAGGTATTCTAGGACCGAAGAGTATAGTTGATCAGGTCACAGGTCATCTCAAACTGTTGTGATATAGCAAATCGTTATGATGGTGCTGGGTATAGATGTATAGATTCATTATTGGCAACCATGTATTTTCTAACGGCACGTATTTTCTAACGGGCATGATGATGGACAACCTCCGTCCAATTGATATAATTTTACTAGCTCAATATAAGAGACCCAGGTAATCAGCAAGGCGACACCCATGTAAACATCGTGAGCCTGCCGCTCGAAAACGGAAATACAAAACCTCGTAGGTACGAAGGTAATGAAATGTTGGCCAGTCATGGTTATTCCCTAGTCTCATCAGCCGACGGCCAAATCGGTAAAGGGAGTGGGAATATGACGCCGACAGCAAGCCAGCTTTCCAACCGAGCTCACCAAGCAAGGCAAGGGAGCTCAAGATCAGAAAGGACCTGGCAGCTGCACATCAATCTCAGATCTGTCGACAGGAAATTGACACCATTTCCTAGAATGAAGAAAAAACGATGGCTCCTTTGTCGTCGAACTGCCCGGTAATCAACCGCACACAGCTTGCATCCCCTCGAAAGGAAAAGAAACTGGCCAGGACTGCCGGACACAGATCTTTTTGTTGTGGTAAAAGGAAAAGAGAAGAGGAGAAACCCGAAAAATCTTTGAGTTAAATACTCGCGCGCTGAGTGGGCCACCGCCGCGCGCTAGGCCTCTTTTGGCGTGGCCATATTTACTGGGGCTCTGGCAGATTGTGACTTCCCTCATAACTTACTCAACAGCCAGGACCCAGCAGCGTACGTTCCAGCTATCACCATGGCGGACGCTATTTCTATCGAGCAGAACAACAAGATTCGGGTGGCCCTTGGTCTCAAGCCTCTTCCTGTTCCTGGCGCAGAGCCTGGGCCAGTCTTCAAAGAGTCGAAAGAGTCCTCGTCTGACGATGAACCGGGAAGCACCCTAGAGTCTCGCGAAGCCCAAGGCTTTCAGAACTGGCAGAAACTACAAGATGACGCCGAGACGAAGCGCAAACGAGAAGAAAAGAACGCCGCGATTAAGAGAGCACGAGACCTAGCGCGCCGAGATGCAGTGCTGCAAGGAAAAGGCCTTGGAGAAACCGATGTGGGTGACCTTGATACAATGGCCTGGTTGTCTCAACACAAGAAGTTATCCAAAAAGATCGAAAAGGAGAGAGCCCGCAAGCTCGCCGAGGAACTTGCAGAGAGAGAACGGGCTGTCGAGTATACTGCTACAGATCTCGCTGGCGTCAAAGTCGCCCACGAGCTTGGTGATTTTGATGGAACCGAGGATCATGTCCTGACTCTCAAAGATGCTACCATCGATGAGTACGAAGAGGAGGGAGATGAGCTGGAAAATCTGGATTTAGTTGACAAAGACAAACTGAAGGAGAGATTGGAGCTCAAGAAGAAGCGAACGGCCTATGATCCTGTTGAAGCTGACGGCACGGGAAATATCTTGGCACAATATGATGAGGAGATTGATGGGAAGAAACGGAAACATTTCACTCTTGACGCTAAAGGGTCTACGGTCGAAGAACGTGAGGCTAAGCGACAGCACGTCTCCGATATGTTGAAGAAGCAGGCTATAAATCTCGACATAGTCGCCGATACGCCGACATCAGACTATATGGACATTAGTGAGGTTAAAGTGAAAAAACCAAAAAAGAAGAAAACCAAGACCAGACAGAAAGCACTCGACGAGGACGATATTTTTCCTTTGCCCGATGCTACCACTGGCTCAAATGAAGACCAAATGCAAACAGAAGCACAAAATGCCGGAGGAGGAATCAATAATACTAAGCTGAAGAAGACTCACGACACGTCTTTTGTTGACGATGAAGATCTGCAAGCCTCACTTGCTATGCAGAGGCGCGCAGCATTCAAAAAGCGCAAGAAGCTTCGTCCGGAAGATCTCGCACGCCAGTTGAAGGAAGAAGATTCACAAACGCCAATGGAAACTGATAATGGCGATGGTGCCGAAGAGGGGCCCGGCCTAGTTATCGATGAGACTTCCGAGTTTGTATCAAATTTACAACGACCGGTACTCTCCGAGCGTCCAGAAAGACGACCAGCTGCTCCTGCTGAAGATGACGAAGCCAAAGAAGAATCTCCAGATATAAATCCTGAGGATGTCGATATGGAAGGGGTTGAAAATGCTGTGCATACTGAAGAGGGTGCTGATGTAGGCAGCACAGAGGACACCCAGAAGACAAAGATGAGTGCCACCGGACTGGAGGAGGAGTCAACCTTAGATGAGGGTCTAGGAGCCACACTTTCTATGCTACGGCAACGTGGTCTTGTCCAGGAATCGGAGGCTGCCGACCTTAATTCTCTACATCGTGATCGTCAAAAGTTTCTTCAAGAGAAATACCGCCGCGAGTCCGAAGCAGAGAAACGGGCCAGACTCCAGCGTGAACGTGATCGTACCACTGGTAAATTGGAACGCATGTCTGCCCGAGAACGTGAGGAATACGCACAGTATGAAAACAAGCAACGCGACCAGCAAGAGTCACGACACATGGCAGATGTCTTTAACCGAGAATACAAGCCGGATGTACAACTCAAATATGTGGATGAGCATGGTCGCCTGATGAACCAGAAGGAGGCGTTCAAACATCTCAGTCATCAATTCCACGGCAAGGGCAGCGGAAAGATGAAGACTGAGAAACACCTTAAAAAGATTGAGGAAGAGAAGAAACGCGAGGCTATGGGTGCTCTGGAGAGCAGCCAGCATACCGGCATGAACAGCGCAATGGGTGCTACGGCTAAGAAGAACCGCCAGGCTGGTGTTCGTCTTGCTTGAACGGTTCAATCTAATCAATCTATATGCAAATCAGACTGGCAGTTTTCTTACGATGCTTAGTATGGATCTAGATGTACATACAATACACTTTGAGCGCATGCTTCATAGAGACAAGATTGGTGAATACGTGAACATGACATGACAAATAATATTTGATTCATTTAAATAGCCGAGGCTAAAATGTTGACTTTGAACACGCATCGACAAGCACCATTGCGATGGCTAGGGTTAGCAGGGCAAGGACGTACTCTCGTAGACTCCCTGATACCTATACATTTGAACAAATCAATCGCAAATCCCGCAGATACAGGCCAAGTCAGTGATCTGATGCAACCAAGCCTTGGCGGACTAGAAAATGGCTCACGCGCACAGATCGTCAATATTCGATACCTGCTGCTGTTTAGCGTCTGAGCATATTTGTTTTCCTAAAGTTTCAGATACTCTCCTACATAACAATGATTTTATGATAGAAATATACAATAATTTTCAAGTAAAATGTAAAAAAGCCAGCAAAATCTGTGCGTCACGAGCAAACACATGATTGCCTGAAGGGGCCGAAGCCGGGGCCGGGTAAAAGCCGGCCAATCGAAATTAGCCGTTGCAGAGCTCCATCGTGACTTGACTCTTAACTCTTGACTCTTGCCCTTCCTGTAGCTTTATTCCAACCGCTTCCTTTCGTCCTTTTGCACCGACGATTGTGTTTCTTCTTTGCATCTCTTGTGTTTTGACCGTATCCATCTAATTGCCTTTTCTTTCTCATTGGCTATACACACTTCGCTGCCATGCTTTCCACCCTCAGAGTCACCAGCCGCCAGGCTGTCTCGCGTGAGTCAGCGATGCGGTTTTTGTTGACTGGAGTGCGCGCTGGCTCAACCTGGGCCAATGTCCCTCAAGGCCCTCCGGTAAGCTCAACTACTCGTCCGTAGGAATGACAACGACTCACGATAACTTTTGGTGACTGCAGGATGCGATTCTGGGTATCACCGAAGCTTTCAAGGCCGACTCTTTCTCGGAGAAGATCAACCTGGGTGTTGGCGCTTACCGTACGCTCTAATTCCATTGAAAACCGTGCTGTGTTCGGACAACTGGCTCAAGTATATATCTATTTTCAGGTGATGACAAGGGCAAGCCATACGTTCTTCCCTCCGTTCGGACCGCCGAAGACAAAGTCGTCGCTTCTCGCCTTGACAAGGAATATGCCGGCATCACCGGCATCCCGTCCTTCACCAAAAAGGCCGCTGAGCTTGCCTACGGCGCAAACTCCCCGGCTCTGAAGGAGGAGCGTCTCGCTATCACACAGTCCGTCTCTGGCACCGGTGCTCTCCGAATTGGTGGTGCCTTCCTGGAACGCTTTTACCCTCACGCTAAGAAGATCTACTTGCCGACTCCCACCTGGGCAAATCACAATGCTGTCTTCAAGGATTCGGGTCTGGAGGTTGAGAAATACCGTTATTACAACAAGGATACTATTGGCTTGGACTTTGATGGGCTTGTTGAAGACTTGAAGGCCGCCCCCAGCAACAGCATTATCCTGCTGCACGCCTGCGCCCATAACCCGACTGGCGTTGACCCAACCCAGGAGCAGTGGCGCCAGATCAGCGATGTCGTTAAGGAGAAGGGCCACTTTGCTTTCTTCGACATGGCATACCAGGGCTTCGCTTCTGGTGACGCCGACAAGGATGCTTTCGCCCCTAGATACTTTGTCGAGCAGGGCCACAATATTGCCCTGTGCCAGAGCTTTGCCAAGAACATGGTTCGTTACATGAATATGCTGAATATGACAAGAGCCTAACATTTTATGTTTAGGGTCTCTATGGAGAGCGCGTGGGTGCATTCTCTCTCGTCTGCGCTTCTGCCGAGGAGAAGAAGCGTGTCGACTCTCAGATCAAGATTCTTATCCGCCCATTATACTCGAACCCTCCAGTTCACGGCGCTCGCATCGCCTCCACTATTCTCAACGACGCCGAGCTGAACAAGCAATGGCTGGGTGAGGTCAAGGGCATGGCAGACCGTATCATCGAGATGCGTGCTCTTCTGAAGAAGAACCTCGAGGATTTGGGTAGCAAGCATGATTGGTCACACATCACCAACCAGGTACGTAACTTTCTCGAGCAGGGAATTTCAATCGCGGTAGCTGACTGGCTGGGTAGATTGGTATGTTCGCCTACACTGGTTTGAAGCCCGAGCAAATGGACGTCCTGGCCAAAGAGCACTCCGTCTACGCCACCAAGGACGGCCGTATTTCCGTCGCCGGTATCACCTCTGGCAACGTCAAGAGACTGGCCGAGTCTATCTTCAAGGTGACTGGTTAAAAAACTGTATTACTGTGAAAAATCTTTGAGAGCCGTCTCTGTCTCTTGATTATGTTCCGAAGAGACTTGTAATATCTGGCAGGGGTGAGGTAGACAGGTGCTTGTGCAATATATATAACAACCTATCAATCGATTATTCCCGGGTAAAAAATTAGATAAGGTATAATTGCATTCCGGACTGTAGTATTACATGTATACTTGAGACGCGTCTTTGCTGCATGTTTGTAATAACATCAATGTAACGGTGATACGGTCAACTTGGTTGTTGTTGCGAATGTGACTTCCACCAATTCAATGTGTATAGCATAAATTCAATATTGATCGAGAAATATACATGTATAATTCACGACAATTTGGCATTTCATTCTCGGATTCTTCGGCCAACCTCTTTTTTCTAGCGCTCAGAACCTGACCAAACAGACCCCTTCAATAAAACGACGCATTTAAATGGTTGATAGATGCACTGCAGTCTGTTGGTTAAAACGACCATCGCGAAGAACGATGCCATCATAAATACCTATTGACAGAAAGGGGTTCAAGATTGATGGTCAAGGTTGTCGGCGGCGACATTTGACTCTGGGTCCTAATGATCTTATACGCTTACATGGTCATAAAGCCAATATCTATTGTAATCAACCACGTGAACACGAATGTCTTGCCAATGCAGTGTCCCATAATATTTATTCTAAAGTTTGTTTGGCTGGGCTATCTTGATCTGAAACGGCTGGGTCAATTGATGTGTGAATGACCTGCGAAGGAGATTTGAATCGACACTGGATTGGTGGATATGATACTATCTACCAATCCCACGGTAGTTGACATATGTTAACTGGTATTGACGGTTCATGCGATGCGGCAGTCGCAGGATTAGCATTGGTTCTATGATCTATATATAGCGCTATTATTAGAAGAAAGGAGTAGCTTCACGTTTACTGTTGTTTGCATATAGAGTTCTGATGATACACATCCATGTTTTGTTTAAATTAGTAATCAGAAAATAGTACAGAGTACAGTCTCAACTGCGGCTTAGGTTAGTTGGTCAACGCTTGGTTAGGAATAATCCAAATTAGTCTGCATGATAGAGGGCACTTTCTCTCCGGCAATTTTCGGACAATGTATAATCTAGGATATAGAAGGTGGGCAGTAGCAGTCAAATAATGGCTTTGTGGGAATGTAAGCTTCGGCAATAAGCCGACAGGCTTGAGTGGAATACTAACCTAGCGAGTTAAGCGCCTCACAAAATCGGTACGTCTTGGATCTGGTCACGCTACAGATGGCTGAGCGGCGGTCACGTCAACTGCAAGATCAAGCATTGACCTGTTGTCATCACCGCACGGAAGTGTCCCATATCCGTCTGCTTATGCAGTGCAGCGAGCATCCATGGCCCTTTTTGGGCAGAGATGAACATATACTCCGGGGATTGTAGCGAGGCCGGACAGCCTGAGCAAAGTGGACCCGGTAATTATTTCGAGTTTCTCGCAGCTCTCCATGATTTGCCGAGTACAACTTTTCCTTCCTCAGTTCCCCATAGACTAGTAATAGCGATTCCAGTGACAAGTCTGTGTGAATAAGGAAAGTACGGTAAGCTGATGGTTGTCGTATCATCGATAGAGAGTAAACAGATTTCTGGCCAGGGTACCGCGGCCAACCATTCCACGGCGGACTCGGCCTACACATACAGAAATACACATGCTCACTTTCCGCTAGGGATGATTGCGCACTAACGAGGGGCGTTGGCATGGCATACTAGCCATGACTCGTAGTACTAGTTAGTAGAACAGTGGGCTGGGAACATATGCCGGCCGGCGCGATGCCATTGCTGGCAAAGACAAGGTCTGGGGAGTTTCCACGGCGGGCAAACAAATCATACGAGAGACATTGGACCACAAAAGGCTCGAATAGCAGCGGAGGGGGCTGTTGGCAGGGTTGCAGAGGCGAGAAAACGCAAGACGGCGCGCGGTGGTGGTGGTGGTGTCTGCAAGTGCAGGCCACTGGCAGGCAGGGATGGAGAATGGTGCGTTCTGGCCAACGCGCGTTGATGTAATGTTGCGCTGGCGACAAAAACAATTTAACTAGGCTCTGCTAGACGTCGTTGGACTAGGACCATCGCCTGGGTCGTGCCCACCACGGCGGCGATCCATCGAAGGAGCATGAATTCCAGTTTGGCGGCCAAGTTGAATTCTGCTGTTCAAGTTGGATGTCGAAGAGAGAGAGAGAGAGAGGGAGAGAGAGAACGAACGAGACCGAGAAAGGGGCCCCCTTTTGCGCTGAGATAAGTGCCGTGCTGGGTCGCTCCTTCCTGAGCCTGTCTTGGCTTTGGCGGCCGTCGAGGAAGGCACGACCCTCTCAGATCCAGCGCTGACCTCATAGCAGAAGGCAGATAGATGCCTTACTCCTGAGGCCTCATCCATAATCCCAATGCCAGCCAAGCCAATCCAAGCCAATCCAATCCCACGGTTCGCATCTCAGATCCCACAAAACATTCGAAGTGCCTCACGCTCCCGCAAGATCGCGTCTCACGGGGTCTCAAAGCAGGACAAAGCCATGGCATTGAACAAATGGCTTTATACTGGACTACTGCTGGCATGCCTCCTACATAAAGGTAAATTCAAGGTAAAATAACGGCTGTGTGCATGTGCAAAGACGAGGCTGGCCATACTCCCGCTGTGCGATGCAACGACGTCATTGGGCCTGGCATGGGCTTGGTGCGGCCTGACGGGATGGCTTGAGCCACGACGTCACTCGTCTCACGTGCGGCGCCACCATTGGTCGTTGTATACATTAGTGGCCCCCACCGTCGGACCTCCTCTCTGCGTCGCCCTTTTCTTCGTGTCTTCTACCCCCATCATAACTTCCTTTGCCAGGTTCCTCTTCCATGACTGTCAGTCTAGCGTTGGCTGCTAACTCTGGTAGCAAGTAAGAATCCCGCCGACTCTTGTGCTCCAACCCACCAGCGACCGGCCTAGCCTCGACATCTCCGTCTCAGCGACCTCCCCCCACAGCCAGCAACTCAACTCCTGACTGGCCCTCGGCTCCTATCCGGCCTCGCTCTGGACTGCCTGCCGGTCATCAACACACTGACGATGTCACTAATGCAGTGATGCACAAACCCCCAGCGGAGCATGGCTTACCTCATAGTCGATAGCCTCTTGCATGCTCCCGATACCGCCCACTTACTGAGCCGCCTTCAGGGGGTACATAGTACGTGCTTTTTGACATGGAGTGATGGATCTGATGCCTTTTTTGAATGTGTGCTACATCTAATTCCGCCTGAGCCGCATATCGTATTCTCTGTAGCCGATGTTTGAGGACCGCCAACTGCGGATGCCCTTGAGCTTTCAATTTTGAACTTTGTTGGTTGATCTCTATATCCAACACGTGCTAATGCACCGGAACATGTCGACATGTCATCATCCTGCTCTTGACCCTTTATCGCAGGATGAGTACCCACAGATCTCCACCCCTCAAATCATAGACGTTGCTTGCGTATCTCTTACATATTAATATTATACCAAATCAGTGGGGTCTGATGATGATCATCATATATACGAATAATCCGCAAAGTGACCAGCACCAGCACCGTCAATGGGTAAGAGATATTCCAGGCAGCATGTCACCGAACGTCCGAGAAGGTAGTGTCATTGACCGCCTGTTTCTATCAGTCTATCAAATCGGCCTGCTGAGAGTGAGGAGCATCGATATCTCTCGTTCGTTAACTTTCTTATATTGCATTTATTTCACATTTCCAACCAACGATGTCATCACCTTAATACTGTCCGGACCAAGGTCGCTGACGACGCTTTGAAAGAGGGGCTAAGACATAGATCTCGATCTCAACCAAGTGATCAGACCATCCTTGGCTGCTCTGCCTGAAATTGTATCCCTTTTGGTATGCCAAGAACAATGACATCCAGCGGCAGCTTGGAGGCGGTTGATAGTATAGTGACGTTTGCTGCCGATTGCGCAAAAATAGGGAGACTCGCCTCGCGTAGGGAGTAAGAAAATAAAAATCCTGAACAAGTATGAACAGGAAATGCACATGGATAATAATAGATAACCATGATGTAGAGTAACAACGGCATGGACCGAAAGTGTGTGTCCCACCAGTAGCCGCCAGTCCTCCAAGCGTGATCAACCCAACCTTCGTTTTTCTCATTCAGCCCCTCCTCTCTCCCGCCGCCTCTGGATGACGACCTGGACAATCACTACTAGCCCCCCCACACTGAGTTTCGAAAGCTCTGGCCTCTCTTAACCTGCGCCAAATCTCCGTCAAATTTTGCGCCATTCCTGCCGCTCCGAAAAAGGTCCTGTCTCGAGAATCCCGCTTTGGCTTTGGTGTTGGAAGCTCCTTGCTCGTATCAAGGTGGGTAAGTTGGCAAACAATAAGCGACCGATTGAGTCTCTCGGCAAGTCTTGCACGTATCTAAGCTTTGGGGCTTTTGCTTATTGAACTATTATAGGTATTATTATCCGTTCCACATCGGCGCTGCTGTCGTGCTCACACAACGGTCTATCTGCCACTACCCCTCGTTGGACCGACCTCCCACCGCTGCCACCACCAAGCTGTGTTCTGTGGCTGCAGCCCCGAACAGAAGAAGCTAGCTATACGGATTGATCTACCCTGCAACAAGGAAATTTACTGAGCAGACTCAAAAAGTGCGTGTCGAAGCTTCTTTCCTACCCTGACCCCTCCTCCACCTGGCCGCGCAATTGATCCGACCTCGAGAACAACCAAATTGACCCTCGCACCTTGCGCATGGTAATTCTCTACACATGTCCGAGAATTCATCGACATGCTCGCCGCATCATAAAAAAAATGCCCTTCAACAGTCAAGTCACATAGCCATTGTACCCATAGCCATTACTCCGACGTTTCACTTTTACTCGTTTTGAGGACCTGACTAATATTTAAAACAGTCATACCTTTGACTCTGAGCATAGAACGAACTTGCTACGACAGCGTCGCGAATTCGAATCGAGGATATCCCATACTTACGCTCACCTATTCTCGCCGGTTATCACTAAAAAAATAATACGCAACTGCGCCGATAGCTGCATCGCCACGAAAAGGGCACGACACACGCCACAGGTATAGCCCTTATTCCTCCGAAAAAGCTCGTCTTATTTCTGGACAACCGTAACAACGATTTAGTTCTGCATTGAGTTAGCCATCGACAAGCCTTGAGATCTAAAGCGAATCTCTTCGCTACTCTTTATATACACAATGCCCCCCACTCGGGCTGCGAAAAAGGAGGACCTGGTAAGAGATATTTATTTCTAACTAATGTTAATAGAAACATCCGGCTAATGTCACTTTTAAGAAGAAGCAAGATGACGGTCCACCGGATCTTGCCCATTACAGCGACATCATTGATCATAACACATTTGAACAGATCCTCGAAATGGATGATGACGAAGAGGAGCGAGATTTCAGTAAGGGGATTGTTTATGGATTCTTCGAACAAGCGGAATCAACATTTGAAAAGATGGAAAAGGCATTGTAAGCACTCCCTTATCACTCCACTGCGGGAAGCTATATCACTATATCGCCCAGGGCTACCCTGAACACGTGAGCCCAGGTCACATGGGCACAACTTGGCACGTGCCTTTATGGGACTTACATTTGAGAGAAACAAAGTGAATTCTAATTTTTCTTTCATAGTTCTAAAAAGGACTATGGTGATCTCTCCCAATTGGGACATTTCCTGAAAGGCTCGTCTGCCACCCTTGGTTTAATAAAGGTCAGAGATTCCTGCGAAAAGCTCCAACATTGCAAAGAAGAAATTCTCGAGAAGGGCGAGGGCGCCGAAAGGGAAAAGGCCGATGAAGATATCCAGTCTATTATTAAGGGGGTGAGGGAAGACTACAAGGAAGTAGCCGCCCTTCTCAGACGATTTTTTGGCGAGGAGCCTGCCCCCAACGACGAAGAGCCTGAAGCTAAAAGCCCCAAGTCTGAGAAAAAATAAACAAACAACTACAACAACACACAGCAAAAGCTAAAGCTGAAGAGAAACCTAACTATCTCCTCCCATTGATAGACTTTATTTTATACCACCTCTCCACCTATCTATTGATGTTACATTCCCCCCTATCATGTCTTTTCGCTTTCTTTATCTTTTCCTTGTTCAGGTTTGTGTAGGTGGGTTGGTTGTACAGGGTTGGGCGAGCCCAGCAAAGCAAAAGATGCGAATATCACACATGGACACTCTCAATCAAGACATACACTCACAGACATATCTGCTACCATAGTTGAGTTACAATGCGTAGCTATCCTCGATGGGGGTTTCGATTATATTTTGCCGTTGAATGAAAGATTATGACTTGACCCGATTCAACGATCAGTCTATATATACACAATGTTCTTAAATCCCACACTGTAAAGAAAGCATTTCGATGCTTAATCTTCAATAGTCAGGGGTCTCCTTATCCTCATCTTCCTTGCGCCTCTTGGCCTTTTTCTCCCTCTGTCTGCGCTCATGTTTCAATGCCTCCGTAACCCGTTCATCCTGCTCATCCGCCGTCTCATCCCAGTCTACGTCGTACTGCTCAGCCACCGTCTTGATCTCCATTCGAAGAGAGTTTGCTTCTTGGATGAGCGACTCCCACAGTTGAAGGTCAATACCTTTTGCCTGATAGAGCTTCTGCTGGCGGCGATTGACGGTGAAATCGAGCGCAGACCGATACGAGATTTCACGATTGTGGTAGAGGAACCACGCGTACCCACCCATCAGCGTGGATAAACTGACCAGATAAGTAATCGGCTCCATCGTGTCCCATCCGTACTCGGTTTCGAATGTCAATTTGTACACTATGTACCACCACGATACCATAATCCCCAATCCCCCAAGGGCAACGCGTTGAGCACCTCGGTGCGCTAATAGGTCGCATTCTTGCTTGATGACAGCGAGGTCTTTCAGTCTTTTGGAAATTTTCCGTAATCGCATGCGAAGGTAGTAAGTTCGGTCATTGAAGGATGGAACTCCTACGGGTATCTTCCCTAGGGGAGAACCTTGGATATCGACTAGGAATTCTTTAACTCGAGCTGCGTCTCGGATGAAGTCGCCGATCTCAGTTGACGATGACCACCGTACGGGAGGATCCTTCTTGACAGCCTCTGGCTCAGCACCGCCCAAGTCTCCGTACATCTCCACACCCCCTTCTCCTGGTCCGCCTCTTAGATGTGATGCTGATTGTTGAGCCGCGGATTTTTGCCCTGCGTCTTCAGGCTCGTCCTTTTCTCCTTCTTCGATTTGGTCCTCAATTTCTCCATTTTCGGTGCCTCTCCGCTTCAGCTTGATAGTCTCATCTTGGATTTCCACGGCGAAAAATGACACATTTGGTGCCCGTAATTTGCCGTTCTTACTCTCTATTGGTGGTACTTCGGCTTGTATCAAGCGTTCTAGATACGAGAGGGGTTGTTGGGGGTGTAAAAGAAGCGCCAAGGGTTCAACGTCTGTCTCAGTAGAAAGTTAGACTTGGAGCTTCATAGCAAAACTAGAGAAAAGAAAAGCAGCCTACCTTTCCTATCTCCATTATAATCGCTTGTTGTCACAGGAAGAATCAACTTGAGAAGTCGCGAGGGCGTGGTTAATAACTTGCCTAATGATTGCAATTAGACTTTCAGAGTTGATGATTGGCATAGATAATTATTTGGACTGACCCTTGGTCATAGCAGAGGCAGACCTCAGACGTCTCACAGGAGGCGTCTGAGAGCCTTCCCGCTGCCAAGGCGAGTCATTCTGTCTGTCTTTCACATATTCAACAGCTTTTTCCAAGTCAGATTGAACATTTTTGCGAGGCTTGTTGTCATCACTCTCGTGACGCAAGTCATCCGTCTGGTTTCTCGTTGTAAATTGACGGACACCGGTCGTTCCCTGATCCGAGACGATTCTGGTGTCCTTCTTTGTCAACCTGGTGGTAGAATGCGTGCTGCGTCCATCATGATTCCAGGCGGCCGCCCTCGTTACTAGCGAGCTTGCTATATTCAGATCGAACCTGGGTAGACAATGACGTTGTTTTGGGCAGGTGTTTCTCAGTAGTGTTGACTGGCATAGTCGACCCAGGCCGATTTTAGCCTCCATGATCCAGGACAAGCAAGACCTTGCCCTGACCTGCGAGAGGAGATATGCGAGCGTTCCCGCTTCTTATACAGGGAATCAGATCATGCTGGAAGTTGCTAGGCCAGGAACGTGCTTGAGGAAGGCCCTACGTCATACAGCCTGCAAACATGGCAAACACTGCACCCTGAGCAAGTATACGGCGACACGCGTTCTCATTGGCTAACTAGGCTTTAATATCTGCCAGCGTCACGCATGATAAATCATTATATTAATGCTCATACGAAAAAAAAAATAGCCCCAATATCATGGGGATGTACTTCCAAATCATAACTAAATCAAGCAGCTACCGCCCATAATTGATACATACTTCATCCGCATCAATTGGTTGCAATATCAAGACATTGAATCATTGATGGGAGAAAGGGGAGGAAACATGTACTCGATTTGAATTACTATCAGACATGAAATTCAATGGGTCCAAAATGCGCAGTCCATATAGGAGAAAAGTAAAGAGGGGAAAGAGAAAGAGATGATCCCGAACTAGGGAACACATTCTATGAGAAAAGCAAAACAACGGTTTTGGCGTCATCAACATCATTAGTAGTCATAAGTCGTCATTATCGTCATATCATGTCATGTCATGTCATTGCAGAAAATTAGAAAAACAAAACAAGTCAAACATAAAACATAATTGTCCCGCTCTTCACCGAATCATAAGGTGTCAAGTCTAGAGAAGTATGCATCATCATTGCCGTCATTGCCGTCATTATAGTCGTAGCATCGTTATGCCAGTGGGGCTTCGTTTTAAATCTTAGTATGGCGTGAGTGTTCCTTTTCCTTTTCGTTTGGTGTCTTTCTTTGCAGGCACAATCGTCGCGCCCATTTGCATGGATCACATCTCATATCAGCAGAGACGAAGCTGACGATTCGTCTAGTATTGGTAAGCCAATGCTCGTGTCGGGACCCCCTGACGGCGCCCGTGGGCCAATCGACCTCCTTCGTGGCTCTCAGGGCTGCTGCCTCCACTTCGGCTGCCTCCACTGGAGGTCGCATCGCTCTCATCAGCGTAACGAAGGGACCTGCGACCAGTGCCAATAGCAACCGGAACGCCCTGCATAACTCCACCGTGGTCATGGCCAGCCGGGTACATTCCATCGTTGACGGAAAAATTGCGACAAATCAGGTACGCGCGCATCGCGGCGTTCTCTCGAGCCATAACCTCGGATTCACAGATCGAATCCGCCTTGTACTCGCGGTTGTTGACGCGAACCACACAGTTGTAACCCGTGGAGCTTCGGAATGCATCATAGCGAGGCTCAGACCAACGTCTGCGCTTGCAGAGGCCTAGACGTGTTGTATCGTCAGTCAACTAAAAGTTCCCGAGACGTTTTGATTCGCAGAATGAACAACGATGGGGTCAAGGATCAGCAATGACATCCTTGCAAGATTATACACAGTGGAAGGAAACAGAAAGAAGCCACACGACTAGACTAAGTCTAACATGCACAGAAGCATTCCTAATTTAAGTGGGAAAAGCCAAGCAAAACGCCATAGGAGACAGCGAAATCTGGTCTAAATGATGACTCTAAAAGATGGCCACGCAATCAATTTGCTTAAAAGGAAAAGAAAGAGGAACAAAAGCAGTCTTATTGGCGGACGTACTTGCAAGGTAGAGAATGTAATACATATTGGTCGAAGTGGACGGTCCAATGGGATTGGATATCGATTTCGATGTTTCGGATGAGGCGCGACGAGGCGAGAGGTTTTGGGTATCTGCCAGGGTTCCTTTTTCTCCCAATGCCGCACTACAATTATCGAAATAGCATTTAAGATGCCGTTTGAATATGCAGTTGAGATCTTGTTGATGCCCAATTGGCCCGGTGATGCGTTGTAAAGGCAAAGTCTGATGTAGTTGTTGTATTATAGGCTTAGTGTGGGATGGGACACAGTAAGTGGCGGCAGCTGCCAATTGAACCTGACAGGGGACGAGTTGGGTTTTCTTTTTAAAAGTGAAGCGAAAGATGACAAGCAAAGAGAATTTTAGGAATTGCAGCAAAGGATCAGAAGGAGGGGTGAGACGGTGGTGGAGGGGAGTGAGAAAAAAGAGAGAGAGATGCACCAGCCCTGGGAAGGCGACAGCACAATAAGACTTTCTTGTGCAGCTATTTCCCCAATGTGACTCGAAACGGGCCCGGGTTATTATGGGGCTGAAAGAAAATTAATAAATGCCTTTTTCCTATGACTTTTTTTTTAGAAAAAAGGGCGTAGTAGTAGTCGTAATAATAACTAGGAAGTGGCAGACTCCGCTTCTCTCGGTGTCATTGTTACCTTTCTAAGAAATGAGAGAGAGCGAGAGCGATCCATCGGAAAAGGCGCGCGCACGCAGACTCCTGTGTGTTTACCTTTCTGTCTGTATCTTACGTTTTGATGTGCTGGCACGACTGTCTGCCGGTGATGAAACCCTAGGATCCAGTGCTTTGAAACGAACCTATGACGAACGAGGCTCGTTGCCGATCCAGGCGTCAAAGACAGCCTGTTCTGCTTGCTCATACTAAAGGGAATAGAAAAACGTCTGAACGCGCGGCGAGCCGGTCTGTCGGTCGGCGTTCTTTCTGGTTAGCAGGATTAGACATTTAGTTATTAAATCTGTCTAGGTCCAGGCTTGTATCCTGTACGGGATACACAAGCTCGAAGCAATAAAGAAAGCGCCAACTAGCGAGTGGGCAAACGACACTACAGACACCACTAATTACTATCTATGGCTAGCCTACGACAGCTCGGAAAATAACAACATCAGCCTACTGAAAGAATATGAATGATGATGCATAGTCATATCACAACACCTGCCAATTCGACGGGCTTGGAAAAGAGAAGGCTTGTGGTAACACCGGTGATGAATAGTAATTACCGTCTACAGGATACAATCCACAATGGACCCCGCAGCGCGTCAGAGGAGAAAAATTGCCGCCGAGGAGGTCAAATCGAAGGTTGAGGAAATCTCCACCCATGCATTTGCCAGGCTCGGTTGTTGGCCGGCAGCATCAATTACAATGGCAGCTTGTTCTTGTGGCTCCGGCCAAAATGTGGTGTGTATCAAAGACGAAGAGGAGAAATGGAGAGCCAGCGTACTAGTATCTTCCCGACTTTTGAGGTTTTTTGACGCGGTCTAGTCGTCTCTTGGTTGCTTTTGTCTCTATATTTCCGGGGTAGTAAATTAGGACACAAAACTAGCTAGCAGTAGTGCAGTGACTTGCAAGGCTAGTGCATTGTCCAGAGTGTTCAGAACTTTCAGTCCCGTGGTGAGTTCATTAGTGAGTCGCTTGTATATCCCATAAAGCCACTGGCGGCTTAGGGGAGAAGTAACTACAAAGGAGTTCCAGTCGAAATTTCCCATCAAAAGCACAACCTGTGGGAGTCGGATGGATAAGAAATCGAGGCCCCATCTGGACGGCACCGGAGACAATTGGTGCAAAGATATCGATGGCCCACCGCCAGAGAGGGGTGACTGTGAGTAAGAATCGCTAACAGGCGCTTAGAAGACTAGCAGACTAGCAGAAGCAAGCAATATTACTAGGTTGCATGACTAGCTGCGAGGTCCGGGTAAAGCCTGCCTCAAGATGGGCGTTGGCGGCGGCTTGGCGTAACGACAAATCGCTTCGAGAGGACACCAGCACAAAACAAAACAAAAGACCGAAGCATCCTGGGAGGGGTATTGAGCGTGGCAAACCGAGCCTGTGAGTGCAGAGAATAGAGTGGCTCGGTGCATCCAGTTAACGCACAATTATCGCGTTTGGGCTTAGTGACAGGGAGCATCAGATGCATTGATGAGTTGTCAATTCGGTGGCCGCTGCAGAGGTGGAGAACTCGTTCCAGATTAGGATTATCGGCTTCTCGGATTTCGAACGGTGGTTTTCGTCGCCGTGAGTGCGTGCTGCACTGAGCGTTGCTTTGATGCTGCTGTTGTTATCGAAGGGGCGACTGTTACTGGCAAAACCGGTGTTGATTGATCAGAGGTGTATCGCCGATATGACATCAACAGCCAATGTTATTAGTAACAATACCATCCATGTACTGCGGCCGTACGGCTTGCCAAAATTACCCCTCACCTAGCTGTCTGTGCTGTGTAATTAACTCCATGCCTGTACGCTTCGTGTATTCATCACTGCAGTCACCGTGCAGTGTGTATCAACCATCAAAAGGCTATAATTACATAGCCTGACAAGGTATTGTTTCAACCGATCGTCGCATCCTTATCGTCAGGGGCAAATTGGTGCTGACCGTTTGATTCTTCAGGAATAGTCTTCGCTGACAACCCATATGAAAGACCAATACACGCGCCCCCTGCTCTCCTAAGAATATGCATACTATCTTGGTTAGTGGCGCCTCTGGACCGTTGTTGTGCACAGTACTGCATATGATTCTACTGGCGGTGGAGGCCGACATTCCTTACAATAGCACGCTGTTAGCCTGGTACGATGGTTACCCGTGTTCTGCTCTTCAACGCTTGAAATCATTGGCCCACGTCTTCCGATTGCAACAATTGCTTAGATGATCGTGATACCTAGGCTATGGAAGAATATCAATTGATCCATGTATGTACTGCGGACCCCACCCAATCATACGCTACATAACGGTAATACATCATGAGCCAATTAAGCTCTCGTAGGTTGGTAGCAACTCATATCGCTTGTGCAACGGATATGCATCAAAATGGATTGAAATTCCCCGGTACGTGCCAGTTCCTACACTGACTCTAGTACAGAGCGAGGATGTTTCGATAATCCATGGGCATCCACCTTGGTACCGCTATTCGTTCGGCATAGATGACTTGTTGTACGAACCATGCTACCATGTTCAATTAGATAGTTTGAGACGCCATTTTACCTTCTCAGGTTTCCCACTGCAGCCTACATGGCCATTATTGGTACTTCAGATCGGCCTGTCTTCGCACCATCGGTGTATCGCATCCGCACTTTTATGAGGAATGGTGAACAGGGGATGGAAAGATGCGAGACGGTCGACATCGTCAAAGATGTCCTGATCCGGCCCCGCTGTAGAACTTACTTTTATGGAAATAGAACGCCAAGAAAACGCAGAAGCAAACATCCCTGTAACCGAAGAATCCGCCCCATTGTGGTAGTGGTGGTGCTGAAGACCACTTAGTCCAGTCAAAGTATAACAGGTGTGGTATGAGTCCGGTTGTCTATTCATCGCTTTAGTCCTATGAAGTTGTAATGAGGGGAAAGAGTAACATACTTTCCTGGTTTGTCGCGAAGACCACCTAATTTATTCTGGCAGCAATTTAAGATATACCTAGCAAGTCCTTCGCGACTGTACAAGCAGGTATCTGGCGGAGGAACAGAGTCTGTCTCACGGGGTGTGCCCCTCAAAGCCGACTGAATCAATGGCCAACAGTCTCCAACCCAATGACTGTAGCAGCCGTCCACCAATTTGTTAGTACGGCCAGAATATCCACCTTCTGGGGCATACTGCCTAGCTGAGAGCCAGGACAGTAGAAGGGGCACATCCATGTACCTAGAAGTGAACGCGTTGTTGTTTAGTAAATTATAATATGGCTAAATAAGCAAGATCGGTGTGATGATCTTACTTCATAATCATGTCTTCCGGTTTACCAAGAATACACAAGCAGGCTAAAACGCAGAATGCGTATGCCCCGTGAGCCTCTGCGGCGCTTGGTTTCCCAGATAACCCGCCTTCAAATGTCTGGCCTGAAGTTACTTTCGTTAGAATGGACGATTGCCCACCAAAAAATAGCGACTCACATCGAGACAAGTACTCAGGGAGACCACTAACAAATGTGCGCAATCCATGCTGGCGCGCTTCGGCTTCTGGAGGCAGATCCAATGGCAGATTGAGAAGAGATATGATCACCATTGCGCAGTATGCGCCCCTCCATTGGTGTCAGTTCAAAGGCCGATTGTATTATCTTTTTATCAGAATGGAAATTTTGACTTACCGGACATCTTCTTCGCCACCAATGACAAGCTGAAAACCACCGTCAGGCTGCTTCAGTCTCCCGAGCCAAACCCACCTAGCAAATATAAGCGCAAATCCACATTGACATGTAGGGGAGCCTCTCTTACATTGCTTTGCGGTCAACTAGCTTATATGCATCATGACCCCCGACCAATGCTAAACAAAGGACAGCTGGAAAGGTGGATGCCAAGTGCGACATTTGGCCATGGCCTCCTCCAAACCCGCCTTTTTCGTTCTGCATCGGAGTAAGTGTAGATATTACCCTGATCGGGCCGATTTGACCCTACGTCAGCATCATCCGTAAGAACACAAAATGAGAGAAGACGATCATTCCCAAAGGAAGAGCGGGTGAAGGTTTTCAAGTTGTAGGGTTCTATTTTTCTTCTTACCGTTCACGATATTTGCTTACATCTTCTCCTAGAAGAGCCAAGGCCGCCAGAGCCCAATACGACATCCAAGGTCGACTCGCGTCGAGACTGACAAATGTTTCCGGGTAATCTTCAAGAGAATCATAAAGATACTCGATATGGCGATCTCTTAGCAGATGAGCCAATCCATGTACGTTTACATTGTCTCTTAGGCTGCCATCAGTGCCTCGTAGAAACGGAAGACATTTCTCCACGGTCTCGTCCTGAACCGTGCTGGTCTGTGTAACCAATAGATCGCGAAGGGCCGGCAGCTCTTTGAAGATCGATGGTATGCGAACGTCTTGGGCTGTAAAGGTCATGCTGTAGTTATGCACCGAGGCAGGAGCTTGTTGGCGGTTGCGAACGCTAGTGGATTGCGGTCTGCTGCTTACAGGGAAACGGACTCTGCGGCGAGCTTTCCCCGACGCTGCCACAACTGGCATAGACAGAAGGCAACTTGCGGCGAGCAAATGTAAAATTGAAGCGTACTTGGCGGTGATTCTTGTCAGAGGGCAGCGTTTGATTTAATATATTTAGTATTGTCTGGCTGGGGTGCGAGATTTTTGTGGTTCGCGGGTGGGCAGGCAGTGGCAGCCCATTGTTCGCTCCTTCCTCCGGCAACTCCATGCTCCTTCCGTGCGTCGCGTACAGGAAGCGCTCTTTCTGTTCTAAATCTCTCTACATCACTGGCTTGTCTATTGATTATCTCTCACGTTCAATAACAATCTTTCACTCCTGCAAGAGCTTACGGAAATTGCAACAATCCGCTGTAGCGCAAAAATACTATTTATCGCCTTGTCCAAATGTTGAACCGACGATCCTTTCGGGGCAAACAATAATATACAAGGCCATGCCAGCTACGATGATTGTGATGCCGATGGATCAGCCACATCTGTGATCCAAACCTGCGTCACACAGTTGAGAATGCGAAGAAGTGGCAGGGTACACCACCATGCAAGCAAGCACTCTCACAGTCTGTACACACCGGAGATCTCGAAAGTGTTCTTGAGATTGACAGGTGCAGGTACCGCAATTCATGTAACCTTTCTGCTTAGAAAAGCGATGTTCAAGAATATGATGTGGTCTTTAAAATTACCACGAATACGAGAACAAGAACAATATCAGGAATATTGTAGGTGAGCATAGCATGACATGAGTGGCTACTTACTCATTGGACAGCTGTCATTTGCACACGGGCCATGTATCCTGGCTTAGGCGCAACGGCCACTCCGCAAGTCCGCACAATATTCAAGATCAAAGACATTCAAAATGACAGACAGTATGGATCCTCATTATCGAACGAGAAGATCATTGTAATAGTGGTTGTATGAAACAATGCACCAGGACCTAGTTTTCTTGGTCCAAGCAAGACTGCCAGTTCAGAAGCAATCTGGGAGAACCCGTGCGATGATCCATCAAGCACGGCACCGTGTTTGCACACAATGACATATTTATAGACCCGAAAAGTCCCCAGCGTCGATCAACGGTACCAGGACAGGCTAAGTCAGAAATTAATTAAGTGATGGCATGATGCGTGAAGATGACCTAGGGTCTCCAAGAAGCATAACGCACAAAGCATCTGCAATTCTTACGGATGTCGTAACACTTTGTGTGCCACTGTGCAGGTGTGTGGTGCGCAACCGAGATGTTACATGCGTCGAGGCGAGTAGGGTCATAGCAATATGGCAGTAGTGGATGATGCCAATTGGTTGTCGGCTACATGACAGGGCTGGTTTACGAGGTCGCGGCGCCGGTGATATCCAACCATTACAAACACCGAGAGCATGGTCTCGCCAACTTGCAGCATGTGGAGGCAATAGTGACAATAATAATATGAGTGCGCCAATCCAGTGCCATTACGGTGCATGGCTAGTTTGGCTGCGAGGCTGGGTCATCCCCGGCGGGGTCCCATTGTCTGTTCCCGTGACCCCAAATGCCACGCCAAATGACTAGTACGGTTCGTTGCAATGATCTAACCCGACTAGGAAACAGCAGGATAATATGTCGCCATTTCGCTATATTGGGATACTTCCACAAAACCATCCGACACTCGAGAAGGATTGGCTTAGGACCAAAAAATGTTGAGCGCAGACGGGCTGATGCGTAGTTCCGTCAAGCTTACTTTGAGTAGTTTGTCTGATTGAATAATATGCTTGTCGGGAACGGTTTTGGAGAGGGCTGGGCAGCGGATCCGTGTCGAATTATGTGCAAGTCCCAAGATGGAAAGCTTTGCTTCCCGCCTCTTGATGGGCCGCCGACGCCGGATTCTTTGTTATTCACCATGCCTTACGGCTCACGACTCACGAGTCGGTAGGTGTTTTATGTCTTGACGGGTTGACACCAGCCACCGCGGCAGAACGCTGCAGCCTCTATCCAGGGTAGGCAGGCCCTTTGTCATCAATGGCAGACCACGACGTGTGGCAAGGGTTTGCGTAGACGTACATCGACGCACATCGACGTACATGAGCGGGATGCTGGCCGTAATGGCACGCATTGCGGCAGTCGTGATAGATCATAGATCATACTGCTGGGTGCTGACTCTGCGGCCTCAATAATGAGACGGGGGGACTCTGTTGGTCGAATGGGCCAGGCGGGGAGCGGGCCGAGAACCAACCCCAGCGAGCCCACTAATAGCATCCTACAGATATGTATACAGGCCGTGGCAGTAGTAGCAGGACAGACCGCCAGCGGATCACCCGGGCTTGCCAGATGCAGTTTAAGCTCCCAGCCTGATCAATTGATAGCGATAACACAATCGTGCCAACTTATCGCTAGTATCCTGCGAGGCGGAAGCCCTCCACTCCCGTCGTGGATCCCCTCCTCGCATTTCCTCCAACCATCAGCGGCCTCACACCGCCTCTTCGCGCTCAACCAGACACGCACCCCACCGCTTCTGTGCCTTTTCCTCTTCTCGTCCCCCCAGATCTCGCTGCTTACCTTTTGCTGCCAGAAAGGCTCATGGCCTGATGCGTCAGGGCTACACCTCAACTCTGTCTCCCTCCGTGCTTCTCCAAACCAGCCATCCATCGCCTGTCTTGTACTGGCATTGACGATGTCCAACCTCAACATCACCAATGATGGCCTGGTAGACCTCGATTATGACCCGAGACAGTACCTCCAGGCCCAAGGGTGGCAGTTGCCCGTCGACCAGAACGCGAATGCCCACGTCCACGCCCATACTCATCGATCAGATGGCGCGCGAGACATTTCGCCTCTCCAAACTAGCAGTCACACCTTTGACCAGACTTTGCCAGCAGATGCGAACCTGATCTCCGACTGGCCGGCCTTCCAACAACCCCTCCACGGCCATCTTCAGTATTCCCAGGTCGAGACAACTGCTCCTCAGTTTGCATCCAGCTTCGGCGTTTCGTTGCACACATCGCCTGTCGACTTGCTCCCAGTCTCACAAGCACCTTTGGACACAAGAGGCCTACTCGATGGTCAATACCTCGCCATGTCGGCCCCTGTCGACGTCATGCCATTCACCTACCCTGATTTCCAGGAGCTCATGACCTTTCCCAATGGCCTGCCTGAGATGACATCGTACGGAGCTCCGCCAGCTGTCCCAGAGAGCAGTTCTCCCACAGACACCTATCTCGAGGTGCGATCCTTGACGAGTTCAAGCAGTGACAATGGGTGGGCGACAGTCGATCACCGCCAGATCGATCACTTCCCAGAACAGGGCATCTTCATCAACCCGACCCAGACGCTACACGACCGAACCTTGTCTGAGTCGTCGTATTCGGATTTCGAGCCTAATCGAGCTTCATGGAGTGGTAGCTGGGTGGATGTTCAGCACCCAATCAATTCCCCAGGCTCCGACTCTAACCTCGAGTCTGTGTACAACCCATCGGCTGGCCGAAGAATCTCCCTTGATCACGCCTCGCATGGATCTGTTTCGCCAACTGCTGTTAGCCCAATTGCCATTGTGCGGCCAATTCCAGTTCCCTCCAAGAAATCTTCCTCCCCCACACACTCACTGGGTTCACAGTCGTCCCCCTCCTCTTCTACTTCTCCTCCTGCTAGGAAAAACTCTCGCAAAAGTCCGATTGCTGCGAAAACTGCCGAAACCAAGGTACGAAAACAATCACAGGCCGGAAAACCAGAGAATGTCGAGAAGCGTATTGGAAAGCGAAAGGGTCCTCTCAAACCAGACCAAAGGAAGCAGGCTAGTGAAATCCGAAAGTTGCGCGCTTGTTTACGGTGCAAATTTCTTAAGAAGACTGTAGGTGGTGCCGATTAGCAATGTATTGGTCTATGTCCTTTCCAGACTAACGGATCCCATAGTGCGACAAGGGCGAACCTTGTGCTGGCTGCCAACCTTCCCATGCTCGATTGTGGCAGGTGCCTTGTACTCGAATTGATATCAAGGAGATTGGGTATTTTATGAAGGACTGGAAGGCAGATTATGAGCGTCACATCACAATGGGTTTCTCTGTCGGAAATATCAAAGGGTTCTCTGAACACGAACGAACACTCTTTGTCACTCATGGCTATGGTCAAATCATGCCCATCAATGCCCGTGAGGTTTATGTCCGGGATGAAGAATGCTTCAACATGGACTGGGTAGAAGATGTCGAGCGCGATTTGAGCCAATTTGAGGTGTCGACCATGAAACTGTCTGCTGGCATTGAAGGTATCTCACCAGCGATGTTATCCGACTACCTCGATCGTCATATCGATGGTAATGGAAGCTTCGAGAAGTTTGTTGATGACTACTTCGATGGCACTCCCTTCCTTACTGAGTTGTTGAAGACTGCATTCCGGTACTACTTCCGAACCAAGCTACCGGTTATCCGCAAGGCTCTGAAGCTTATTCTCGCCTACAATCTCACTCTTCATGTTACCATGGTGGAAGGCATTGGTGAGGAAGAGGGCTTCCTCGGTAAGATTGAAGGCGAGAGCTCGAAATTCCGGGGGAAAATAATGGCTCCAGTTATGATCAACTTCCAGATCAAATGCGCCATGGCTGCTATGTGGCGTGAACTGCAAAAGGACGTTTTGGAGGAGCTCTCTGCTCTTTACTCGAGCGTGTACAGTGGTGAAAAGTTGAAGAATTGGCCAACCATTTTCCTCCTCGCGTCCATTTTACTAGCTGTCTGGGAGGAAATGCAATTCGATTGCTACTACCGCGTTCCGGTAAGTGAAATAAAGTATCAATCTTGAAAATGCCTTGCGTTGCTGACTGCCTGACAGGACGCCGCCGCTGTGGAGAAATTCTGTTATGACATGGAATCTACTCCTGTTGGTGTGATTGTCGGTCTTTTCCAGGCCATTTCGCAGAAACTCCCTTCATTCGCAGACTGGGAAACAGGCAAACACCACCATCTGCTGAACTCGAACCCTGATGTGTGTCAAACCATGACCGAGGTTCGACATCATGTCACGCGCCACGGTATGGTTTGCAGGAAGTCTTGATGTACATTTTCTCCAGTCGACTGACCGTGAAATTATAGATACCTACCTCCGTACCCGGTCTAGCTCAAAGTTCAACCGGCATGACTTTGACTGCCTGTCGAACAAGTTCCTCTCTCGACTAGCTATTCGTGCGAATTGAAACGACTTATGAACAAACAAAAGAGCAAGCGCTGACGTGTTTATGTACTCGTTTTTTCACCTTTGTGCTATTTTTTATTTATATTTTCTTTGTTACGGCCTCTAGAGATATGGCGTTGACGTGAAGACGAAAGGAATGACGAGATGTTTTGATCAGCTGCAGGTCAACATGCCACTCCTGGCTTGTGGACGATTCACCCTCATTTATGACATCACTTTTATCTTGTTTTGGCTTTGGCACTACTGCCTTGATCCGACTTTACACCCCTGCTGCTTTTTCTACGAGGCGAATGCATGCGCATTGTCCTAATTGCTAGCAGTGACGAGGATCACGAATGTTATGACTGTGTACGGTCGATAGTCACGAGATCATGGAAGCTTAGCTCCTTGTATTTGTTTTTTGTATTATGCCTTGGTGTCCAAATTCTGATTTCTGATGGGCGGAAAGATGGGATGGGCCAGGGGATAGCTTTTGCTTTTGTGCATTTGAGCGGTTTGAGCGATTTCACGTCTTGTGTTGGATTGGCAATTACGGCAATCTACCCCAGTGGTTTCAATAAACTCTAAATTCGATTAAATTAACTCTACTGAGTTGAGAGTAACGATGTTGTCTACTTACCCCATACAATATAGGAGGGTGCTTGATGATACACAAGCTACATCAAAATCAACTTTTTCCAATTTTGTGTAATTTCAGTCTACAATCCCTTACCAGGTGTTTACAACCTCTCCGAGTTTTTTGACCGAATCAAGATGTGCGCGACAAAACAACCAGAAACCATTTACCTGCCACGTCCCTTGATTAGACGGTAATGGTTCAGTCATGCTCACGCCGCTTTGAGTAAAGTTTAACTGAAGTACTAATGTATCCTGGAGATAAAGTAATGGGATATAACAGCCGTTTACGTGAATTTTACTATACAAAGTCTTTCGGTTGCCAGTGTCCTTGGTTCCGTGGTGTTGGCACCAAAACGCTCCCAACCCGTTGAACGGCCTCTGGTAGTGAAATTTCTATTCAATACCCCAATCTCACTTGATGGCATGATGTTGCTGTAAATATTTTCGTCCCGCTTTTGTAATGAATTACTCAAAAAATAACATGGATGAGAATGCTATCGTTGCTAATAATGCTGTTCCTTCGTGGGGGCACGATAAGCCCGATAAGAGCAAGCCGCTATCTCCAGACTTGAGTTACAGGTAGAAGATTACATGTAGAAGTACACGGAAGTACCTACACGTAGTGCGAATGCATTCGAGCGGATTAAGCGGCATGAGCAAAAAGAGTTTACTTATCCATGACTGTAACATACGGATGGTCGCACGTACTCCGTAGTAAGTGTAATAATGGCGCAAATAGGGCGATCGGCTGAATCGGCAACACGGCCGGGCTATGCAGGAGGTCTAAGCAGCCTCTAGATCGCTTCATGAAAGTTTGCAGCCATGGCCGAGATATTATCGTTTGAAGAGTTTTTTATAGCCGCCTTATCGCTAGTATTAATGGTTGCATCCACCATGTCGTATTGCACATTGCCATTATTATTGATTGTTGATTATTGATTGTTGATTGCCTCGTGTAGTAAATATCGTCCGGTCAGAGAAATGGAGGTGAAGGTAATTAGCCGTCATTCAGAGTCATCCACTAGTAAATACTGCAGTCTATTGCCGGTGTTAGCATCATCGAGCTGGGTTGGCCGAAGACTCATACGTACTAATTAGGATTGTGGCCTAAGCGCTTGGTGCGGCGATAAGAAGTCCATCATGGCGTCATCGCAACGGTACAGATCGATAGGCGTCGAGGCGATAAGCGGTACTCAACCGTCAGGTTGTACTGTGTGCTGCGGGATCGACAGGGGCTACAACCTATAGCACGAATAACGACTATACAAACAAGAATGACAGGTTGACAACGAGGATAGTACTGCAATTGTGGTATGAAGATAGGACAAATCAAGCGGAGAAACCTCGGAGCGATGGCGTCACTGGGTCGCGGTCACCTGAGCTGACTCACCCAGCGGGTCCCTGGCGTGGCTGTTCGACAGTTCCAGCATGTTCTGGCCCTGACATATTCTTGACAGCAACATCAGAAACAGATAAAATATCGAGTGCAGAGTGGTATATGCTCTTGTTATTAGTAATGTAACCGCAGCAATAGCACCAATAATAATGTACGTGTCGAAAAAATGTAAAAAATGTATTATATGTCTCGCCGTTCTTGGTCTCACTGCGCCTCTCGCCTCCACCCGGCCGTTTAGCCTCTGCCGCTCCCACTTTCGCTGCTTATAAGTAGCCTGCCCCCGCCGCCCTCCTGCCTTCCTCTCCCTCTCTCTTTCCTCTCCCATTCTTATCTCTATCACCCACATCGCCTTCGCATCCTGCGTCCATCCTCACTGCTTCCCCTTCTCTACTTGTCTCCTACAATCACTGCCATCTCTTCACTATGCAGATTTTCGTAAAGACCCTCACTGGTAAGACCATTACCCTTGAGGTCGAGTCGTCCGACACTATCGACAACGTCAAGTCCAAGATTCAGGACAAGGAGGGCATTCCTCCTGACCAGCAGCGCCTGATCTTCGCTGGTAAACAGCTTGAAGATGGCCGCACCCTTTCTGACTACAACATCCAGGTATGTCCGGCAGGCTCATGTTTGCCACCCAACTGTATCTCGTGCTGAGGCTGATTATGATTACAGAAAGAGTCTACCCTTCATCTTGTTCTCCGCCTTCGTGGAGGTATGCAGATTTTCGTAAAGACCCTCACCGGCAAGACCATTACCCTGGAGGTCGAGTCGTCCGACACTATCGACAACGTCAAGTCCAAGATCCAGGACAAGGAGGGCATTCCACCTGACCAGCAGCGCCTGATCTTCGCTGGTAAACAACTCGAAGATGGCCGTACCTTGAGCGACTACAACATTCAAAAAGAATCCACCCTTCATCTTGTCCTCCGTCTGCGTGGTGGTATGCAGATCTTCGTCAAGACCTTGACGGGGAAGACCATCACATTAGAAGTTGAGTCTTCAGACACCATCGACAACGTAAAATCAAAAATCCAAGACAAGGAGGGCATTCCACCTGACCAGCAGCGCCTGATCTTTGCCGGTAAACAACTCGAAGATGGTCGAACACTGTCCGACTACAACATTCAGAAGGAATCCACACTTCACTTAGTGCTCCGTCTGCGTGGTGGTATGCAAATTTTCGTCAAGACTCTGACTGGTAAGACCATCACGTTGGAGGTGGAATCATCAGACACAATCGACAACGTTAAATCGAAAATCCAAGACAAGGAGGGTATCCCACCCGACCAACAGCGTCTCATCTTCGCTGGCAAGCAGCTCGAAGATGGTCGAACACTGTCCGACTACAACATCCAGAAGGAGTCCACTCTCCACTTGGTGCTCCGTCTACGTGGTGGAAACTGAGTGGTTGCTTGAATAATATGGGGTGCATAGCCTCATCGGCGTTTGGTGGTTTCATGGTCTCTGCGTAACATTTTGATATCAACTACGATTAGCTAGGATTACTTCATGACACGAATACATTCGAAGACATTGCCCTGAGGGCTGTCGATCTATCATTTACGTTCAAGTAACTTTGTAGAATCCGTAGATAAAGTCCAACAATACGATTTGTGAGTCATCCGATATGAATTATGGCGCCGCTTGCGGGGTGTGGGTCTGCGGAGTAACAGTACTAAGCGCTGCAAGAGGTTCAAGGCTTGTTGAATAAGCTGGACAAGTTTGTATACTGCTTATAATAATGATGATATTTAAGTATCTTGTTATATGAAATCTCGCGAATATCAATTTTATTTGTCTTTGACTGTTTGCCTCTTCATTTACGAAGATTCGCCACTCACATGACCCACCGATAACCCAAAGTCACTAGCAAACGTTGACACAACAATGCCCACTTGACCCATCCTCCAAACCTCCAGGACGTGAGTCGGTGAATATGCGTCGGGATGCCCTCTTATTTCTACCACATCGCTCTCGAGATCCTTGCACAACCTGAGAAAACCTCTTCTTTCGATTCCGGCACTCCCCAATTGGCCGCCAGCTCCCTCTCTTACGAATCCGCGCGCGAATCTCTTCTTCCCTTCCAACGTCGCAGCAGAGACAGCAAAACCACACCTGCGTCAACACTGCGGGGTGGGTGGAATTTCAGTTCACCTAGGACGACTGCGTTGAGTTCTTACGACCAGGATCAATGTCTGGTCCCACCATCGTCATCGGCTTATCTCTCCAGCGACTTGACGACCGAACCAGATTTGAGACTTGATCAAATATCCATCCAAAGTATCGATATGATAACCCCAACCCACGGCAACACGGCGACCTATGCAAAGCGACCCGATGAGAGCACTGCGAGAAGCGGCGATGAGATCGCAACAGGCATCGGAACGGACATTCTAGGCGGTCTGCACACGAAGGGGAAATACATTCCACTTGATCAGACGTTGCCTGATAGCGTGTTTGGTATAGTTCATTTGTACCGAGATGCAAAAGAGACCCCATCGCTCGCCCTCGATGACCATCCATTGTATCTCAAGGGATCGTCTGCCGCCCGCCAACCAAGAGATCACAATGGCAGCGAAGATATACAGTACAGCAGCAACTCGTCGTATGTTTCGTTGCCCGATGCGGACTGTACGACGCTGTGTATCCTGGCTGTTCCATCATACATGTCACCCTCGGATTTCCTTGGTTTTGTTGGGGAGGCGACGAGAGATGAAGTCAGTCATTTCCGGATGATCAAGACTGCTAGAGCGAATCGGTATATGGTGTTGATGAAATTTCGAAATGGGAAAAAGGCACGAGAATGGCAAAAGGATTGGAATGGGAAGGTTTTTAACAGCATGGAGGTAATTTCTTTCCCCTTTTTCTTTCTTTTCTTCTTTTGGCGCTACTTTAGAAATCTAAATTGATTCTGACCAAATCAGCCCGAGACTTGTCATGTTGTCTTTGTCAAGTCTGTTGAGATTGAGGTCGCCAGACCAACCCCGACAACCCGGATATCCGATGTTTCGAGACAATCGTTTTCTACAAACCCCTCGAGATCGCTGGGTGCTGCAGCAAACGCATCCCCAGGCCTATCTTCCGCATCGCTCTCTACAAGACCTATTGCTCCACCTACGCCTTCTCTCGTAGAATTGCCCACTTGCCCGGTCTGCCTAGAACGAATGGACGAAACAACGGGTCTTTTGACTATAATCTGTCAACATGTTTTCCACTGCACGTGTCTTCAAAAGTGGAAAGGGAGCGGATGCCCTGTGTGCCGATATACCTTGGACGATTTCGCTCTCCGCAGCCAAGTTGCTATGGATGGACCACCAGCTGAATGTGGCGTGTGCCACTCCGAGCTCAACCTATGGATGTGCTTGATATGCGGTAGTATTGGGTGCGGCCGATACGATGAAGCGCATGCATTTGCTCATTATAAAGAAACCTCCCACGCATTCGCCATGGATCTTTCGTCGCAACGAGTGTGGGATTATGTGAGCGATGCATATGTTCATCGTATAATCCAAAGCAAGACCGACGGCAAACTGGTCGAGCTTCCTGCAGCAGATAACTCGGCGCTAGATCCTCCCGACTGGACCGACGCTGTTCCCCGAGAGAAACTAGAGAATATGAGCGTAGAATACACCCATCTTCTAACGAGCCAACTCGAAAGCCAACGCGCCTATTTCGAGGATATTGTCGAACGTGCGGCAGACAAGGCATCAAAAGCGAGTGCCGCAGCATCCGCTGCTCTCGAATCCGCTGAACAAGCCAACGAAAAACTCAAAGATCTACAGCTACGTTATGATGCTATCGCCAAAGACAGCGTGCCCGGCTTAGAGAAGGAAAAAGACCGCGCCGGTCGTCGAGCCGAGAAATTTGAAACTATGGCACGTAAACTCGAGAAAGAATGGCGCGAAGAAAAAGCCATGAACGAGAACCTGGTCAAACGTGTCGAACTACTAACCGAAGAAGTCACCAAGCTGAAGACTGAGAATGCGGATTTGACGGAACAGAATCGCGACTTGAGTTTTTATATTAGCGGCTCGGAGAAGCTGAAGGACCAGGGCGATGATATAGTTGAAGGGACAATTAGTATACCTGAGAATTCGTCGAAAAAGAAGGGGAAGGGGAAGAAGAGGTGAGCTGCTTTGGCATTCTCAACGCATTGACTGGAGTTACCGATCGGCTTGGGCTTTATTGAGATACCAATGATATGACATGCTTTGTTTTTCCGCGATTGCTTCTTAACCAACAATTACACTCGTAATCTGAGAAATAATACCTAGATTAACAATCTCTCGACGAAGGTTTATTCCATGTCGATCGTTGATCTTATCACCACCTCGCCACTGTCTTACTCTTAGCATAAATCTGTATGCTATTCCTCTTGGCTTCTCGTACTTGTTTACCCATTACGTGTCCAACCATATGCTATCGAGATTCTGATTCGATGTATTTCTCCAAGCGAGATATCTCCGACCTCGCCCAGACATCGGAGACTTCCCAAAACGGAACCCCTCCCCAGAAAAGACTTTGCCACCTGCAATGCTCTCTTCTCATTCGGTACCGTGCAAAGCCAATCTTGGCCCACCAGCGGAACGAATCAGGTAACGATTTCACGCATGCGGAAAGACCGCCGAGCATTTGCCAAGACAATTCCGCCCAGTCCTCCTCTACGCCTTGGAGGCGATACTAAGGAGTAGAGATTGATGTTAGTGGTGGATAGATAAGGGCTAGATCCAGCATATCTCCTCTTGTAATTAATAACTGCTTGGTACGATGCCAAGGATAGGAAGGTGTTGGTGCAGTCGTCCTTGGCGTGACGGTGATGGCCGAGCGGAGATTTATGACGACGTCATGATTGGCTACACTGGCGACATACTTTCGATTGTCGTTTGTGTTTCTTAGATTGGGGTGTGTATATAAAGGGCGGGGATTCCCCTGGTTTGGGGCTTGAAGGTGTAAATGAATGAGGATTGAATAGACTGTTGATGAAATTAGGGCTAGATTAGTAACCCTAATTCTTGAATCTAGCCAAGACAGAGGACGTTCACCTACTCTATGGTAAATTAACTATAAAATCGTTCATTACTACTCAGTTCTCTAAATTTTAAGACCTTTTCAGCAGGACAACGAGAAAATGCTGTTCAAAAAGAAAAAGACGTCTTCTAACACAACACAATCGTTCCCGATACACCCATTCCTTCTTTCTCAAAACGATCTCACCACCAAGCTCAATACAAACACTGAAACAGGCTTATCGAACATCAATGTCCTCGAGGCCCAAGGTACTTATGGCCCTAATAAGCTCTCTGGCGAGGGCGGGGTGACATGGTACTCTATTCTGGTGAAGCAAGCATCGAATGCAATGATACTTGTATGTCTTTCTTTTTCTCCCTTTCTTTCTTCATATTTGCTGATAACTGTCAAGGTCCTTGTCCTTGCTATGGCGCTTGCGTACGGGGTCTCGGATTACATTGAAGGTGGTGTCATCACCGCCGTCATCGTCGCCAACGTCTTAATCGGATTCTATCAAGAGTTCCAAGCCGAGCAAAAAATGGATGCTCTGCGAAGCCTGTCTTCCCCATCAGCCACTGTTCTACGCAACGGCCAAGCAGACACCATCCCCTCCGTTGAGGTTGTTCCGGGCGATATCGTGTTGATAAAAACCGGGGATACTGTGCCTGCCGATATCAGGCTGGTCGAGGCAATGAACCTAGAATGTGACGAGAAGATTCTCACTGGAGAAGCTATTCCGGTAGCAAAGGATGTGAACTTTCAGCCAGATGGGGATGATAGTGAGGTTACCACAGGCGTTGGGGATCGACTCAACATGGCATACTCTTCCTCCACCGTAACGAAAGGGAGAGGAAAAGGTATCGTTGTGTACACTGGAATGTACACTGAAATAGGAAAAATTGCATTGTCCATGCAAGGTCGTAAGCAGCGCAAGGAGAATAGGTCTATGTCTATCAAACACGGCGCATTTCAGCCTGTCAAAGGTGGCTCTCTTAGGATCTGGGATGTGCTAGGGAAATTCCTCGGTCTAACTACTGGTACCCCACTGCAAATCAAGCTGAGCAAGCTGGCGTATACATTGTTCGGGTTTGCGATTTTGCTAGCTATAATCGTCTTTGGGGTGAATAGGTTTCATGTTACTAACGAAGTTGCTATTTATGCGATTTCAACGGGTGAGTAGGCTTTCCTTTTGATAGTCGATTTTCATTAGCTGACTGAATGATCTATAGGAATTGCAATTATACCAGAGTCTCTTATTGCGGTCTTGACGATCACTATGGTCGTTGGCATGACGCAAATGAGGAAACGACGTGTGGTCGTTCGCCAGCTCTCTGCGCTCGAAGCTCTCGGTGGAGTTTCTAATATCTGCAGTGACAAGACTGGAACCCTTACACAAGGGCAAATGGTCGCTAGGAGGGCTTGGATTCCTGGGGTAGGTATATACAGTGTTAGCAAATCTGATGACGCTACCAATCCTACCCGTGGTGTTGTCACCTGGAACTCTGCGCCTGCTTCCAAATCGGAAGCTGAGGAGCTTCAAGAGAAGAAGAGACAGGAAATGGACCAGGCGAGAAGTGCAGCAGGGCTAAAGTTTGATATACCTCGTGAGAAACAAAACAAAGAGAATTGTGAGGATCCGGACATGCAAACCGAGGGCACTTCTTTGCCGGAAGTCAACCCAGAACTAGAATCGTTCTTGTTGTCTTCTTCCCTATGCAATCTTGCTACTGTTCGACAGGACTCCGATTCCGGTACGTGGCAGACTATGGGAGACCCAACAGAAATTGCGTTGCAAGTTTTCGCAACTCGTTTCGGGTATGGAAAGAAAAGTCTCGAGGTGGAACATGGCTGGAAGCAAAGTGCCGAGTATCCGTTTGACAGCTCGATAAAACGTATGTCTGTCATATACAAACGAGGCAAGGACAAGCCAGTGGTTTTTGTGAAAGGTGCTGTTGAACAGCTTGTTGATCTTTGTACTTCTATCGGTGTTGGTCAACACAGCGAGACAATGACAGAAAAAGCAAAATCTAGAGTTCTTGAGCAGATGGGGTTTCTTGCGGACCAAGGCTTGCGAGTGCTTGCTATTGCTCAGAAGTCGGCCCCGGAGGGTTGGCAGCAAAGTGACGAATTACCTCGTAATGAAGTTGAGAGAGATCTGGCTTTACTTGGTCTTGCTGGACTGTATGATCCACCAAGGCTCGAAACCAAAGATGCTGTAAAAGGTGGGTTCTTGATTTCGCCTTGCTAAGACTTCTTGCTAATGAATATAGAATGCACAAATGCAGGAATCCGAGTTCACATGTTAACAGGAGACCATCCTTCAACTGCAACAGCGATTGCCAAAGAAGTTGGAATCATTCCTAGAGATACTGGATATCTCACTGCCGACGAGGCGGCATCTCTAGTCAAGACCGCAGCTGAATTCGACGGCATGACCGATGAGCAGATCGATAATATGCCCACGTTACCCCTAGTCATAGCACGGTGTGCCCCAGACACCAAAACACGCATGATTACAGCATTACACCGTCGAGATCGGTTTTGTGCCATGACAGGTGATGGAGTCAACGATGCCCCATCGCTCCAAGCTGCCGATGTAGGCATTGCAATGGGTATGGGCGGATCCGATGTTGCAAAATCAGCGTCGGATATTGTCCTTACAGATGATAATTTTGCAAGTATTGTCAATGCTATCGAAGAGGGTCGACGGATGTTTGATAATATCCAGAAATTCGTCTTGCATTTGCTGGCATCTAACGTCGCCGAGGTTGTTCTGCTTATAGTGGGTCTTGGGTTTCAAGACAGAGAAGGTGTTTCAGTATTTCCTCTTTCTCCGCTGCAGATTCTCTGGATCAACATGTTGACGTCGTCGTTTCCTGCATTTGGTCTCGGACGTGAAAAGGCTTCCTCTTCTATAATGCGGCGCCCACCACACGATACGAAGAAAGGTGTATTCACATGGCAAATTATTGTTGACATGATTGTTTATGGCGTGCTAATGGGTACTTTAACCCTCCTCACATTCGTCATTATTATATACGGGGTCGGTAATGGCACTTCGGATCTTGGAATTGATTGTAATAGACACGAGTCTGATGCATGCCGTGTCGTCTTCCGTGCTCGAGCTGCTGTTTTCGCAGAACTCACCTGGTTGATTCTGATTGCTGCATGGGAGTTCAAACATCTCCGAAACAGTATGTTCAATCTAGACCCGCTTCGCGCAGAACGCGATGGCGTCCGATCCTCATTTTTTTGGGATATCTGGGAGAACCAGTTCCTTTTCTGGGCAGTCATCATCGGGGCTGTCTCTGTCTTTCCAGCCGTGTATATTCCGGGCCTGAACACTAGTGTTTTCAAACACCGGGGCATCTCCTGGGAGTGGGGACTGTCATTTGGCGCAGTGATTCTCTTTGTCCTGGGGGCAGAAGCATGGAAGGTCGTCAAGCGTAGAACGGGCTGGTTCTCTGAGGAGGAAGGTAGTGAAAGGGTTGAGAGAGAGCTTGGATTGAGACAAGGGTTTTTCAGTTTTGCAAGAACTTTGACGAGATTCAGTGAAAAGAGTTTTTGGGTGGATAACTTGAAAGATGGCTCAAGGAGAAGTCTTCCGTCGAGGGCACACACGGTGGAGGCTGTGTAACGATCATTTTTGCAGGAAGGAAATAAGGATATGTAATTAGAAATTGCTTTGTGTTGATGAATTAATTATTGAATTTAGTGGATAGAAATACGAATTGCTATTTAGTATTTTATGGTAGTAAATCGCTCTATTATTATTCAAGAGCCCCCATCTCCTGCTATTGATGTACTTGAGGATATACTAATATTGCCTACGTTTATAAAATCACGATTTATTTAGCCTATTCATTTTCTCCTTAACAGACCCGCGGTTATCACATGCCTGTTCATTACTGCAAGCTGTAACGGAGTTCTCCCATCTCTATCAAGAATATCTATCCGCGCTCCCCTTTCTAAGAGCCTTCTCACAATATCATAATAACCAACACGAGCTGCCCAGTGAAGAGGTTTCATTTGCTCGTAGAACATAGGTAGCGTGATATTAAACCCATAGTCAAATATAATACTAAAAAGCACATTCCTTCCTAATTGGGGGCTCGGTGAAGCGATATATTAGCTCACATAATGGAGTACCCCTGTATCACAGAAAAGCAGGGATGCGGTAAAATCCGGTTGCCAGCCATGGATTTTAGATCGGCGTGATGGTATAATACTAAATATACAGCAGGGTAATCAGAATTAATCCAACTCCGTAAACAACACTTCCGGTTTCGATAGCCTTGTGAGTATGAGGACTTGGTTTTGGCGTTTTAAGATACCGATGCTATACTACTACCTGCCCATTTTAGTCCGATCGCAATAAAATCAGATGGACTCTTTTTTCGTCTCAACCGGATATTTCTGTAAACTTTCATACCACTGCAAGGCAGAGCCGAGAAGAAAACACCATGAGCCCCAGAAAGTGGCCAGCGAGGACTGGTATGCCACTCCAGATGACGAACTCGATGCTAAGCCTAGGGCGCCGCAGAGCTATATAAGTTAGAAACAGACCACTGTTTATGTTTCCTTGCTATAATAGAATGGACATAATATTCGGCATAATATTCGGCATAATCTAGACAATTTGCTTACCGTGAATCCAATCCCGCCGATGAAATTCCAAAATCCTATGTGCCACCCCAGAACTTTGGGAGCAGGGATATACCACCTTGGCTGTGTTTCAACTGTGAATAAAAGGCTGATAGGGTTTATTAAGAGTTAAAAAATACTGGTATCAAGTAAATTCATGACAGAAAACACTTACCCGCTTAAAATGAAACAAGTTCCTCCTGCAATCTGCGGGACCCAGAATATACCATCAGTTAAACCTTGACTCATATAATTCAATATCCCAGGTAGACCTGTAAAACCAGAAATCCAGAATACGGTGGCACCAATCATCTGGATAAGCGATGCCAAAAATCCCAGTTCGTGAAGATAGTGTGACCGCAAATCGGCTAGGGAAGGTAGCCATTGAAAGGATCGCTTAAAGTCAGGGGTAGATTCTTTCAATCCATCCCGAAACAAGGAGTGTCTCTCAGAGTGGTGATGAGTGCATTCCTCGGGCTTGACCTCGGTGGTGCTTATCAGATCCTCGTGCGACTCGTGTCTCTTGATGACAGTTTCAACGGCCCAACCGAAGCACCTGGTCTGATTAGCGTTGATTGCCTCTAATAGAAGTAATACACTTCCTATTTCAAAAACGGAGGCTCCAATAAAGGCGGTCACGCCACCGGCAGTAAAGGATTCATTGGGAAATTCCGTAGAGGGGTCTTGCAGCGGTAGCCAGACGAAGAACGAATTGATCACCCAAATTACAGAGCCAAAGGTGAAAATAGTTGCTACCAGATAGGACACGTCCCAGTAAGGAAAATGCGTCATCATACGAAGAATGTTTTGCAGGATGGGGCGTAAATGTGCCGTGCTTTCAGGAAGGATATGCCGTTGTTGAAGATGAGCTGGTGTATATCGAATATGCACTGCATGACGGCCTTTCCGATTGTCACGCGACCGCCAAAGATATTCCACATGGGGTTGACTGTCATCAGCCACTTGCTGTTGGCTGTCTACATGGCCTTCTTGGTCTTTTCTTGTCTTGCGCAGGGGCGCAAGGCGCTGCCGAGTTGGATTGAGGAATGAAATCGGCCTAGATGCGTGGATCGGCAAAAGTCCACCGGCGGCATGGGATGCCGATTGATATGGTATCTTGCTATTGCCGCTCATCTTCCATACTGGTAATAGAACATATAATAACGTTGAATTGACGTCGCCGATGGCTTGCGCGGTGTCAATATCAATGCAGCGCGTAGTGGTTTTCCGTCAATACGTGGTCACCTCAACGTCTGAACTAAGCCCAGCGTACAGTCGAAGAATGATTTAGTATTTTGCATGTTCCGCAAGAAAGATTATTTCAGCCTAGAGCGTTGTAAATCGGAGAATTGGCAGGTCAAGCAAGGCCCCTCCATGGTCAAGAGCAAGAACGTCTTGGGGCCGGAAGAAAGTTAACCCGCGTAATTTTGAGTAAAGCCCGTTACAGCTTGGAAGCTCAACCACCGCCACAATATTCTCGCTGCTGGAATCATGAATGGAATCACACTTCGTGACTAGCACTGGCCAGAAGGTCAAGGTTCCTCAACCAATTCTTGCCAATTCGAAAGAAGATTCCCACGAGACATCCAACGTCAGCCTTGTCGATGGCTGCTAATCCCTCACTGCTCCGGCCAGTCACTGCTACTGCGCGTACCCTCCTCCACAATTCGACGAAATGCTCTCACGTCTTCCAAACACTGCGACATCATTCATCATCCGTATCTGCAGATGAGCTTGCACATTTCTCCGGGCTCGCCAGCAGCTGGTGGGACCCAATGGGACCGTCGCGCGTTTTACATTTAATGAATCCTACACGGCACGACTTCATCGCCTCATGTCTGGCAGAATCAACCCCTGCGACGAAAAATAAGGGATTGCGATATCTAGATGTGGGCTGCGGCGGTGGCATATTCGCCGAGTCTCTGGCTCGTACCCTTCCAACACCACATAACACGGACGTCCATCCGCGAACAAAAGCTGCATCGATTACGGCGGTGGACCCATCGCCAAGTCTGATCAAGATTGCACGCGACCATGCACGCAGGGACCCGGAGGTCTTTGCGCATCTACAAAATGGCGCATTTCGATATGAGAACACTACGGTAGAGACGCTTGGCAACAGTACAATTTCAGATACGGAACACGCGTCTCCTCCAAACCGCGAGTTCGACGTCATTACCCTCTTTGAAGTCATCGAGCATGTCGACCCGGTCACATCCTCGCCGTCCAGCTTTTTGACGCACTGCCTCCGACTGCTCCGGCCTGGTGGGTGGCTCATTGGCTCGACTATCGCGCGCACGATACCGTCGTTTGTGGTGAACAAGATGGTGGCCGAGGCGCCGTGGCCGATCGGCGTAGTGCCATGGGGAACGCACGAATGGAGCAAATTTGTCAACGCAGACGAGCTCCGGGGGTGGGCGGAGGAAGGGCTTATGAGGGCGGCGGACGGACGGGCGAGCCGGGCAGGCAGCGAGGCGCTTGAGGGCATGAAGTGGAAAGTCGGCGGCGTGGTATATGTGCCCGGATGCGGATGGAAGATGGTGCAGGGAGGGGAGGACTGGGGGAACTACTTCTGGGCGGTGCAAAGGGGTGACCATTAAGTATTAATATTAGATATAGAGTGTAAATAGTGTTGAGCTGTATGATTAAAGATCCATGCTAGACTCCCTGTCGATAGGATCCACGAAGCAATAACTATGCTAGTATGACGAATACCTCCTTCAGTCGTGGAAGCACGAACGGCCTCACCAGTCACTAAGTGATTCTAATTACTGTACGAATAGTGAATGATAACATGAATGATGAAAGGGGCCAAAAAAGAGTAAGCAGCTCCACTCCTTCTTCGCGTCTTCTAGAAGGCCGTCCTCAATCGTGATCCATATACAGTCCATGCATCCGGATGGTTGGGGCTAGCGCGGACGAGGGTTGCATCCATAATTATTGTTGGTATTATTACATTTTTTATTATTTACTAAAATTATTATTAAAGTTAGTATGATTCATGTTCTATTCATGTTTGTGTTTTGACCACGTTGTGGAATCTGCGTCCGAATTAACGGTGGTATCAGCTCTGACACAGACCTTATGGCATCGTTCCAGGGTGCAATTAAAGGAGGTAGCTGGAGAACTTCTACAAGGGAAGAATACTATTTATTAGTAGTAAGCACCAATTGATTATCCCGGAGGGAATGCAGTGTCCAGCTCGTTTCAGGGCTGGCCGTGCATGCATGAGAACAGGGTGTTTCAGACCCAACGGCCTACCTACGCTTGCAGCCTAGCACAAGGCGACAAGATAGTAATCCTTCTAGAGGCCTTCTCGAACCAACGCCCAAGCCAAAGTTAAATTCAGGCGATGGGGCGCGAGGCCGTAGACCATACTACAATAGTCGCATGGCCATCCTATTCTCCCTTCCGCCGCTGGTCTCAGCCCCTGACACCTACAGGACCCTCCTTCGTTTCGTCCTATTATTGCCCCCTATCTTCCGAAGAAACCTCGCTAGTCGTTCGCTCGCCGGGATGACAGAGCCAGTAAGACGCCTAGACACGGCTATGGCAAGAATACCAGCGAATAGGTTCATGCATCTGGATGCGAAAGAGTCTCGTGTTCCAGCAGATCGTATCCACAGCTCGGGGTCGCACTAGCCAGTACCAGGGAAGTACGTGCTAAGCAAGCGTACTAAGTAGTCGCGGTGGCCACCGGCCTGCTCGACTGTGGTTGTGATGGACAGGGGCCTCATTAGGAAGAAGAAAAGAAAAGAGCATTTGCTTCGACGCAAAACACCGCCTCCTTTGTTTCCACTTTGCCTGCCTGTCTGTTATTATTATATCACTCGCCCAGTCCCTCCTGTGGCCACCGCCCCTGACCAGCACTCTATCCTCTCCCACCATCTCGCCCGCTAAGAGTAATATCAACATCAATATCAATGTCAATGTCAATATCAATGTCAATATTCTGATGTTGACGCGACAAGAAAAGAAGAACAAGAATCAGCGTCATCGTCATCGTCATCGCCTGTCGGTACGAACTAGCCGTGCCCTGTCGTACCGTACCGTACCGTATTATTACCGCGCCTTACTTTTTTGTCCTCGACCGCCTCCGCCCAGCATCGTTCAACAACAACACAACACAGCAGCAACTCTCGTCCTTCATCTGTCCCATTGTCTGTTCATCCCATCGATTTCGAGCCATTCTATTTACTGCCCAACTCGACCAGCCTGGCGTGTTTACAGCCCCTTTCCCGCCTGGTACGTGGCTGCTTGCCCCGATTTCTTTGATCTCGTCGCCCGGTCTCCTACCCAAATTCTTACTTTTATCGCATTCTTTGGCTGTTTGGTCTGGGTCGTCCGCCGGCCGATTTGCATTTTACTGACCTATCTTGTTTCAGATCTACTATCAAAATCTGCTCGACTCTTCGAGACAGGGTAAAAAGACGACGTGAGCCAGACTGCTTCTCCATTGAAGCCGCACATTCTAACTCTTTCATGTTCTAGTTATCGACACCGCTGATCGACTGCCATAAACGTGTTCGAGACGCGCACGCGCTACATTCCGCCGTAACGACCTGGCCAGCTCCACCAAATCCTCATCCTGAACAGATTGTCGCTTCACTTGGCTCGCTTTGCTCGAACAATTCGCCTGGACAATCCGGGCTCTGCCGAAAGTGCTGAGGTCTGCCTCTCGACGTCTTGCGAGCCGACCTTGATCTCGACTTCATACCTGCCTGCTGAGGCAGGTCATGGAGATCACGACCATACTGAATAGAAAAGCCTCTGCCGCCCTTGCTGCCGATCCCCATTTACAAGCACAGCTCGCTCAAGCTGTCCAGTTCCACGCTCAGGAAATGAGTGACCACACAACTTCCCAACCCGGTGACCACACCGTCCTCGGTTATCCGCCTGGCCAACCTATGCATCAAATGGCCCATGTGGCGCCTCAAGGAATGCCTCATCCAGGAAACGGTGTGCCTCTGATGCCAAACGCATACATGCACGGCGGCTTTGCCCCAAACCCACAACAAATGGCTCCTGCTCCGCCACCGGTACAACAAACTCGGTCAGGAGCAGAACCAGCTCCTAGAATTTTTCACTGCTCGACGTGTCAAAAAGGCTTTGCTCGCCGCAGTGATCTTGCCCGTCATGGTACGTACTATCTGAGGTAATAAAACAACTACACATTACTAATCAACTACGGCAGAACGTATTCATACCGGCGTTCGACCACACGCATGCGAGTGGCCCGGTTGTGGGAAACAGTTCATTCAGCGGTCCGCGTTGACAGTCCATTCGCGTGTTCATACGGGAGAAAAACCGCACATGTGCGAGCGCTGTGGGAAGGTAAATTAGCCATTCCAATGGAAAGAATCAGAAACTGATCTGTTTTAGCCATTCAGTGATTCCTCTTCTCTAGCTCGGCATCGTCGAATTCATTCTGGCAAGCGCCCGTACAAATGCCCTTACGCCAACTGCCAGAAAACCTTTACCCGCCGCACCACGCTCACTCGCCACCAGAACCATCACACTGGGACTATTGAAGAAGCTGCTGCTCAGACTGAGGCTAGCCTGCGGCAGAACAAGGAACGCGGGACTCGTTCCGATAATATGTACTCAGAGACCGGATCTGGCCAATCCACGCCTTCTCCAGGGCAGCAGATGTCAATGGGGCTGGGTAGCGAGCTTCCGCCACTGAATGTGCTCCGTCCTGGTAATGAGTACTACATGCCCAATGGATCGATCCCACCGCACGTACGGAGCGACTTCCCACAGGGCAGCCCTCGCGCTTCTCCTGCTGCGACGTCGCCTTCTTTGTCGAGTTATAGCAGCCACCCACGTCCTTCGATGACGTCTCATCCGACTGGTTACGGACCGCCGCAGCCACTCGAGCCTCCAGCGAACAACGACCATCGACCTGGCAGTGTCACGGGTAGTCCCCACATGTCGAGTATGGGCTGGGCGTCCCCATCCCATGGTAGCATTCCCTCTCCGGGGTCTGCGCACGACTACAACTATCCTGAGCCGAACGGTACAGTGTATCCAAGTGGAATGCCTCAGCACATGTACTTTCCCAACTCGACCATTCGACGACCAGGCAGCACCGAACCCGAGAACTACGAAATGAAGCCGAGAATCGGTGACGCCTGGTCTACGGCTGTTTAACCAGTTACCAACCACGGTTCGAGATCAACCGAATCGAAAATTGTTTGCACTTTACATGCCTCTTTTATGATCGTGTTATCCGTGATATCCGTATTATCCGTTGCAGAGATTCCCCTCATCGTCGTTTCCAGATTTGTATTTTTTCCGCGTTGCATTTGATTTCCAAGATACCATGTTCGAAAATAACAGAAAATGGAACATACAAGCAAGCATTTGCACTGGGAGGAGTGGGAGTATGGTGTGACCATCTTGATTATGATTTCTTTTGTTAGTATGATAGTTTGGACTGGATAGACTGGTCGCTGGGTTTATTCATTTCCTTGGTGGCGTTTCGTAACTGACTTATATATAACTTCACCTAATATATTCCTATCTATATCAATTTGAATTGATGCACTATTATATATCTCAACTGATGTATGTTTGATGGTAGAATTGAACGATGTAGCATATATATAGTGTTTGAATATGTCAAATTTAATGTTCTCAAGACAGTAACTGTATATTAAAATACGCTAGTATGATACACCCAACCCTTGCATATACACCATACCCTAACGCCATGCCAGACAATTGATGTCAACCCCAGTAGCATATTCTCAAATCATCAACCCACTCGAATTGCCACCCCCCAATCCAGCCGGACACACACACTCCGCCGTCTTAGCAACAGAACCCGCCCGACCGAACAAATTCATCACCACCTTTGACGCAAATGACGGGCCCATCGGGTTCGCAGCCGCGTGGTTGCTAGATAGTAGGCCGAAGCGCAGGATGACTTCGCCCGTGGTGATCAGGATGGAGATGACGATTAGGATGATGATGATCCATGTTTGATCTATCACGCGTTAGCTACAAGCCTATATAGAGAAGGAAAGAGGAGGGGGGGGGCGGGGGCGTACGGGATTCGTTGTTGTCGGCTATTGAGTCGGATAATATCTCGGTCAAATCGAGAAACACGCGACATCGTTCGTTCAGGACCTGAATGCGCGGCTTGATCTCGAGATACTCGCGCACAGCGATGTATAGCGGGTAAAGGGTTGGTTCGGATTCCCAGAAGAAGGTTGGGACATCGAGCATGTTAGATGCTTTATGAATGAGTTAGTCTGTAGTTCTAATAATGGGTGAAAAGAAAAAAATAGGCGTACAGAGATTAACCTCAACTCTGCTTTTAAAGAGCCGCCCTAATATGCGAAACACTTCGTCACGCTTCATGCCCAGCTTTCCCGTCATAGCCAGCCGGCGGGGGATATCCTTGGCCTCGGTCATTTCCTTGGACATGGCCTCTTCGAAGAAACAGAGTTTCGTGCTCTGTGCAATTCCGTGTGAAATGGCGAGTTTGATCATATGATCCCCAGAGCGCAACGTGATCATGTCATTGTACACGCGCGGCCGCGAAATCTCGGTTGAATACTCAAAATGAAACTCTTCAGTCTCAAAGTCTTCTTCTGGTAGTGCCAGCGTTGCGAGAGGAACCGAGGGGCCGCCGCCCGTGGTGCTCGAGGACGAGAAGGTGAGGTCGGCAAGCATATCCTTTTCTTGACGTTCTGTGAAATTCCAAAACACCACAACCCCGTAACTGAAAACGAACATCTCGGCGTAGTTGAATGCGTTTGGAGAGATGCGGCGAACGACGGTTCTTGTTGGCTGTTTATCATTATTGTCTGTTTTCAGTACCTCATCATGCTCTCCACTAGACGGCCGATCCTCGCTATCACCATCGCTGCTATCGACATGTCGACTTTGGTTCTGCTCGTCGTCAACAACATCACCACTTTGGTTATCCCGTCGGCCGCCAACAGAGTGCTCGTGCTCTTCCACGTCGTATTCGTCATGATAATCTCTCCGTTCGTTACGCTCAATCTCCTCATCCAGCACGATCTTCCCTCCAACATCCTTCAACACCGGACTACTCCGTAGTCTATACCCTCCTCGACCTGAAAGTAACGGGAGATGGTAAGCGGTATAAAGACAATCATCATACAATTTGGTCCTCGCGCCATGCCACTCTTTGACAAACGCCGCCGTCGCGCCCATTTTGAAGCCCTGCGCCGTACAGTACGCCGTCACGCGAGGCAATTTCTCTGCCCGTCGCGCCTTGGGCAGTCTCTCTGCATAGCTCTTCGCTTTCTCTGGCGACACCAACCGCCGACGCAACGCCTCTTCTTCAGCCAGTAATGGCGCAAGGTCATTATCGACGCCAAAATCCCCGCGAAGCCTCTGCTGTTGTGCGGCCAACTCGAGTCGCTGCCGGAGCGTCTCCGGGTCGAGATTCCGTTCCTGGGCTAATCTTTGAACGAGTTCCTCGTCCGCGGCTTGCAGCTCCTCGTCGTCCACTTCTTCCGCATCTTCGGAGTGTGTTTCTGGTAAGAGGACTAGCTTTTCAGTCACCTTGGTCGAGCGCGGTGGCAGACGCGCTTGAGCAGCCAGCCTTCCTGCTGTGCCAGCTGTCCCGCCGCCGACATTCGCTCCAGACGCTCCACTGATACCAGCCGATGCTGAAAGACGCGACCGGGGTCTCATTTGCGGGCGTTGCTGGGGCGTGCGGCGTTGTTGCATTGAGGGAATATCGGAGGCGTACTGGAGGACATTGTCGACAGTGATCAGGCGAGTTGCGGGCTGGAGAGGTCGTCGAGGTTGCCGTTGGGATTGTTGGTCACGAGAGTCGGTGACCTATTAAAGTAGCATCAGCACACTGTCTGACAGAATACGGCGTCATATTTGACAAATTTCAATGCACTCACCAAGACCGTGGGATTTCTTCTTCCCGACTCTGGGCCCTTTTGCGGCGCCATGTTTCCTATCTTTTCCACTTCCCACGCCGTTTCCTTGCTGGCGCCAATTGACTATGCAACCCAGGCAGAAAGCAGTCCTTGACAGTGCAATTGCAGGTATCAAGCAAGCGAAGCGGCGCGTTGAGCAAGGGCGATGATCATTGGCACAGACGAATCAGTCGAGTTTAATGTTAATAGTTAGACGGCCTTTCCATGACGTCGACTCTGCCAAGAAGATAAATAACTGCCGCCGTATTGGGAGCGATTCCTGGTACGGTAAAGTAACTTACACAGCAAGGCTGAGTCAGCAGCTACCTGCCACGTGCCCGCGCGAAACGGCCAAGTCAACCGGCCCGCAGACTCCACTAATTAATAATAATAAATAACAACTAAAGTTAGTTAATATATTGTCTGGGGTATTTGTTTTTTGGGCTATTGTGGAGGAGTATTATATATGTACAAGCATCACAAGGTAAACAACTGATTATCATTGAGCACGGCGGGAAATTCTTATTTCATAATATCTGTCTTACTACGGATGTGTCCTAGGCTTCCTATGTACAAGGCAGAAATCACCGTAGTAAACATGTCAAGAAACCCCCTGCGCCGAACCAAGACTATTTCTTAAGGTCTTTTTAGATAACAATAGTATGCCAATAATGAAGATGTAATCCAGTCACCCTTGGTATCCCCGTAATCTCCGGTCTTCGTCCCAGATTTCCTTCTTTGTTCGCTGTACCCGAGCATGCATTTGCTTCAAGCGGCTCAAATCAGACGGCGTAGGGTCCATTTGGTTCGCAACAGAATCGTGCAGGCTGCGGTACTTGGAGTATAGCTTTTTGAAATCCATTGATTTTTGCCGCAGTTGTTGCCGAAGTTGGTCCCGGTTAAGTGGCGGTGATGCACTGCCAGAGCTGGTACCAGCTGGAGACATTGGTCGCCGACGTTTGATATCGTCGCTGTGTCCGTTCATACGGCCGGCTGGTGTCTGCTCAGGTAAAGTCTTTCGTTTCAGAGTGTTTGCTCTGTCGGACGAAGGCTTAGCTGTTCCATTGGACCGCACGCTATCTTTCGGCTTCGCAATCGGTGCTGGCTTTGTCTTTGGTTGCTTTGATATCTGTGCCATTAACGGCGAAGAACTAGATGAACTCGTCTGACCCGAATTATGTGTAGAGTTGCCAAAGTCGGATGCATTGGTCGGGGGTGAAGATGCCAGTGGAGAGGGTTTCACAGGTGATGTAGGCTTTGTCGAGCGAGGTCCAGACAGTGTCTTTGAGGAGGTGTTGTTGGAGGTAACAGGAACTGTTTTGATACTCCGTGGACGTGGCTCCATTGTGACTTGGGGTTTGACGACTGGAGAGCGTGTCGTGGTACTTGCTTTGGCAGCTGCAATCTTGGCGTCTGGCTTCGCTTTAGCCGTTGCTTTGCTGCCTTCTGTCGTTTTGCTAGCTTCTGTTGTTTTGCTACTTTCCGCCACTTTAGTCGTTTCTGTCGAAGTTGTAGGCTTCTTAGCAGGAGGAGTGGGGGGGGAAGCTAAAGGCGCAGCTTCCGCCATATCGATGTCTTCATCTGAATCGTGGACAAACTCGGCGGATTTGAATTTCCCCTCAGATTTTGCAGGAGCCTTCTTGTCGGTCTTTTTGGTTACCCGCCCTGCTAGGGTAGTATTCTTAGACTTGGCAGGGGCACTCTTCTTCTTTGACTGCATTGTTTTTGTAGGAGCTGGAGTTGTCGGCGTCAATCGCCCATTCGTGCGATCAGTTTCGTTGCCAGTATTGTAACCTTCTTTCAACGCTTCCTTCCCAGCTTCTTCAGATGCGTGGACTTTAATTTGCGGTGGTTGTGGACCAGTTTGTAGCTTCAGTCTTGATTTGCAAACGCCTCTTGCTTTCTCTTCTTTCGAATTCAGCATTTGCCAGAGCTTGTCTGAAGGGGAAATGCGTTGTCGATCAAAGGCCGAAATGGCACTTTCAATTGCTGATGATCGGTCGGCCTCGTTAGGATAGGGGAAATTCCAAATATCTAGTTCTTTGTAGTATCTGTCTTTGAGGTTGAATTTGGAGGGGTCAATTCGATTCTCCACTCCGTATTTCCGCGCCAGCTCAAGACAGTCCTCTTGTGACGAGCGAGTTGTCTGAGCAAGGTATTTAACAGACACTGGAGTGACGGCTAGCAGGTGCATAAACGGTACTTTCAAAGCATCGATGCGAACTTTCCGTTTGTTGTGTGAGGGTGGGGCTGAGGTGGGAGTGACGGCAGGGATAGAAGCCGGGGAACGAGCTGCCCCAAATGAGGGACTGTTGGGGATTGAACGGTTGTTGAAGAAGCGTTCCTTCTCGAGATCGGTCTTGCTTAGAAGGGCTCTGCCGTGAGACCGCCTGCCATCGGGTTTGAGGTTTACCAGCTGTGTTTTCTTGGACTCCTTGCCTCTTTCAAAGGCACTTAAGCTTTGCTCCAGATTGGCCAGGGCTTCGTCTGTAGCGGAGGTCGCTTCTTTTGCTTTTTGCACCTCCAGACTATGACTGAGAAGGCCAGAAAAGTATAGATTCCCTCGGTCGGAGGCGTTGGTTCGATAGAGTTCGGACCGCTGGTGCTCGATGGAGGAGTGGAAATGCTGAGACTTGGAGCCGTAGTAGAGGGTTTGGTGTTTGCCTAATCGTAGGCGAGCTTTCTGGTCCTTTCTGAGGGCGTCGACCAGTTCGTCCAGTGTATTTTGGGCGAGATTGAGACGCATTATCTGGTTCGGCTTCGAGTGAGGGTCTGGAGAGGCGTTGCCGGGCAGATCCCCACGCCAGAGCGACAGGCCGGCCTCGGGCACGTGGAGAGCCATATCGAGGGGAGCGAACAAGAGGTATTACTCTCCTATTCCACAGGCGATATTCCCAGGCGGTGGTCTGGTTGCGGGTGTTGAGCACACAGGGAGAGAGGGAGGGAGCTGGTGGTTCAGCTGTGGAGGCGAGCGGCGAACGGCAGCTCCATATAGAAGACGGGATCAGCAGACTGCAGGGACAACAATCAGTCGAGCAGACAATGCACGCATGGCAGGTGCAGGGACAAAGGCACACGGACGAGGCGAGACAGGAGAGAAGTAGCAGAGGAGGAGCTGGGGAGAATTGCGGCCAGGGTGCGAGAGAGAAAGAGAGAGAGAGAGATGCGTTACGTCGTTGGTCGAGGGAGCAGGAACCGAGAGCGCCAGGGCAGGCAGGCGCTGGCAGTGGCACTGGCAGGGCAGGGTACAGCCGGGGCCGGGTGCTAGAGCCTAGGGCCTAGAGCATCTTGGGATGGCGTGCGGCCCGGTGGGTACGCGTACCGTACCGTATCGTATGGTCCACTCCCCGGCGGCCACTGCTTGAGCTGATGCGGTTAGCCCGCGCCGATTAATTCCTCGGAAGGCGCGGCGCGGGAGGCTCTTTGGGCCGGCCATTGGCTGAGCGCAACGGAAGCTACGGTGACCGCTAGTACTGCTGTTACCACGTTACCAACACATCATGAGTCCGGCTCATCTGAGTTGGACGCGCTAGGCCTGGCCGGGCTAGCACGCTGACACGGGACCCGGGCTTGCTCCGGCATCCTCTGCTTTCCTCTGTTCTTCTCTTCGTCGTCTCCACGTATTGCTTTGGCGCTTCCTTGTGTTGCCTCTATATTACTTCTATTCCCTTGCCCACATCGAGTGTCAGGGGTTACAAGCAGATTACATTACCGGCGGGCAGGCGCGGCCGTGTGAGATGGAGCATGCAGCGTCAGCCAGGCCTTGGCCGATCTCCCGGCAGAAAGCGTGAAACGGAGATACGGTATGTTGGTATTGATTACTCGCAAGCTGGCAAAGAAATTATTATTAATTACGTTCATGATTCATGAATATTCTTTAATACATACCAACGCTTGCTCGATTTGTCGTGGCACAGTGTCCGACTTGAGAAACCTTCGTAATGACTGTGCTTTGTCTCAGCAACCGGTCTCGTTTCAGGCCGTCGTCGCCAATATGAGTCTTTGTTCGCCGTCTCACCTGTTCTTGGATGCTGGCACAGCTGAACAGCCCAGTCAGCCTGGGTGCTCAGAATGTACATGTACAGCTTGTCATACTGCACAGCCATATCCACCCGAATCGCCACCTGTGACCCCACCGGACTATCAGTATTCACTATCCACTATTCAGTACGTGTGAAGATGGCCGATATTATTATTCGATCATCACCTGTGGAATTGAATCGAAATGAATGTAGAATTAGTAGTACTAGTGTCAGTATTACCATTATTGTATCCCAAAATGATAGGCTATCTACAGCACGTCCGATATTAATATTAATCTAGAGGGCTTCAGAGTGGCGCCCTTGCTTCCGACAATCCACCGTCCTGGCTAGGAGTTAGGAGATGATTGGCTGTGTGCAATTCGTGCTATAACCAAGAACACGATGCTGCTGCTTAATTCTTGCTGCACATGCAGACATGGCTCGCGATCACTGCCGTGTAGATCGTCGGCTGTCTGAAACAACGGGCAGCGGGTTAAATTAGTGGAATGCTGTCTATTTACTGGCCATCACCCATGGATCGGTGCCTGTCTGCGATGCATTGGCCCAATGGGTGTTTTGTCAGCTAGAATAAATATTAGTGATGGCTGCGTAGGCCGACGATCCGGCTTCATTATTCCTGGAGGGTGGTTATTTGGGTATATACATTTGCCCAAATGATCAATTGATGCTATTTCCGCGGCTGCGGATAGGCTGAGGCATATATGTAGATACTACCACCGAGTGAAATGTCGCATTGTTCTCAAGGTGAAGGTAGCATCCAGATCACTCGCCGCATCCCGTGATAATTCTAACTCCCCGTACGTATGATTATGAACTCCGTAACAGTGTAAGTAATCCTGTTATTCTCTCTGCATCCCGGTCTGCATGCGGTTAGCCCGACTACTAGTCTGCTTAATAACAGGCGCCTCGGAAGAGCAGATAATATATCTCGTATATCAATAGCAAGAGAGTAAATAAGCAATACGTATGTACTATTAAATAGCCGTTGGAAACGATGTCCTGGTCAGTCGGAGGAGTATACTGTTCCATTTCTGTACAATATGAAATGTGTATTCCTGCTTGCTGACCAACCCTGAAGAATCGTGGATCTACAGCTAGCCTCTAGCTGGAGCTAGTCCTCCTAGCCTAGGTCTGTATTGACATGCTCCTGTTGACGGTGGTCCGGTGATGGTTATTATTGTATTATTGTATTATGGTTATTATTATTAGTATGGCTAGTATACTAATATTTCTTTTGCCGCAGCAAGCCTGCTGCAATATACGTAATGCACCCAGGTCTTGGTTGGTTCCAGAAGGAATCCGTCAGCCAGAGAGAGCTATGGATCAGAGGCGTGGGATCGCCATGATGTTGGTCATACTTAGTCTTTAGTCTTAATTCTGCTGCGTACTCTGGAGCAGTCTAGCTTGGCTGAAGACTTAGTTCTTACGCCTTAATAATCACCATCGGAGCCTTATCAATCCTAAATTATTAATCTGGATTCTGTAACTATGTACGTACCAATTGCTACGGACGCGGGCCGTTTGTATTTTTGATCAGTACTAGACATTAGTCTGTTTAGCAGTGGGGGCTTGTTATTTCAGTATTTCTGGTTCAGTCGTTATTCAAGGACTAGTTGACTATGAAGTCGTGTAAACAATCCGGCTCATTGAGTGAATACTGACTAGAATTGAATTGCATATTAAAGAAGAGGGCCCTCAGCCACGAATCACTGTCCCAACCAGACTGTCGGACAAGCGACGCAAACTCTCTGCCGCGGCCTGAGCTGCTCTGACAACAGACATCAATCAGGCTAGCGTCGGTCTCCATACATCAATGATGATTAGCGATGATATGCTTCGTCTGGAGTGGGAGTAGACTGCAGACCCCAGGGTATTATCGTATGGCTATTCGCCCCATCCGTTCGTCGGACGCAGCACATCGCAGACAACCTTGCTCTGGATGTCTCCTCGCCAATCTACATGGCAGCACATACCTCGACAAGCAATAATAACACAACATCCGACTTCGTCCTTCGTCCATCGTTCCTGGCTCGGACCGGCCATTCCACCCACCGAGCGCATGCGACCCGTTCCCCCAATTACTCGACAACTCGACAAGCGAGGAGAAGGTGGAAGAACTAAACTACTTAGTCCCGAACTAATTCGTGCAATACCACACACCTCGAGTCAAAAGCGGTCAATTAGATTCGACCATGCGCCTTGACTATTAAATTTAAAAATCACCGATCCTCGGGGCATTTAAAACCTTCGCTTTTGTTTCTCGCCTTTCCCCGCTTTGGTCGTCACGGGTTGCTCCGATCGGAGTTTTTTGGCGAGCGACACTCAGAATTATTAATTCGACTGTCGCAAATTGATTATTCTCAGGTCGGTTAATTGGGTTGTCAATTGAGGGATACACGCACATGTACCTACATATGTAACCAGCCTAGTATACTTTTAGAAGGCGTATTATTTTATAGATCAAAAGTACATGCATCTCATCGTTCTCGGTCTATCTCATTTTCCGTAACATCTGAATACAATTCAATCGTCTACATCTGCTCGAAATATGCCTGCCACCCAATTTCCTTGATCTTAACGCCCTTGATTTCTAGGTTTTCAACCTTGGCGTTGTCCGCATATTGCTCAACTTTTCGTTGAACTGCCGGTTCGTACGAACCTAGGATGCGGGCAGCGAGCAATGCAGCATTGATGCTATTGTTAATGCCAACAGTGGCCACGGGTACCCCTGTATGATCTCGTCATTAGCATGGAGACTTTATAAATAGGATGGCTTGGAAAGAAACTACCTCGTGGCATTTGCACAATGCTGTATAAACTGTCCACTCCGTCCAAAGCACTGCCCTTCACTGGAACACCGATAACAGGCAGAGCTGTATGAGCTGCTGCCATACCAGGCAAGTGAGCTGCACCTCCAGCAGCTGCAATGATAACTTTGATACCCCGTGACGCTGCTTTCGAGGCATATTCCGCCATGTAGTTGGGGGTGCGGTGTGCTGATGTGATATCAACTTCGGGGTCGATACCAAAGTAGTCTCTAAGAAGCTTGAGGCCCGGCACCAGCGTCTTGAGATCACTGTCTGAGCCCATAATAACTCCCACTGTAGGTGTGGGTTGAGATGTGCTGGGCTTCGCTGCGGGAGTTTTGATATCTTTGCGCTGCGCCCGAATCTCGTCGACCGTGTCGATCAGGGGCTGGATGGTGGTCTCTGCATCGTACATCGTCGCGCCAGTTACAGTAATGTGCCCCATCTTGCGTCCAGGCCGGGCGGCTCCTTTGCTGTATAGGTGTATACTGGCGTTGGGGATCGAAAGGGCACGCTCTGCCACCTGCAAATGAGAATCCGGCGTGGCGCCACCGATAATATTGAGCATAATGGAGGGCTGGCGGAGCTCCACGCTGCGAGCAGGGATTGGGAGGTCGAGAATTGCGCGGAGATGGGTATCAAATTGAGAGAGGCCGCAGCCTTCAATAGTGTAGTGTCCGGAGTTGTGGACTCGGCTTGCAATTTCACAGAGTAGAATCGAGTCGTCTTCAAGCAGGAACATCTCAACGCCAAAAACACCCTTTCCCTCAAAGGCAGCAACGGCATTGCGAGCTAGCTCTTGGGCCTTTTTGTTGATAGTGTCTGACACATTGCGGGCCGGTGCATAGACAAGCTTGCATATTGAGTCTTCTTGGACTGTCTCTACGGTAGGATAGGAGAGAACGGTGTCTTTTGTTTTCACAACCATAACAGCCAGTTCCTGTTACTGCCATTAGTCTGCGTTTTAGTAGTAAATGATAAACACTGACCATCTTAAAGTTGGCCCATTTCTCTGCATATAATGGACGTTCCTTCAGCGCTTCGAGGGCTGCCAAAATTTCGTCCTTTGACCTGACAGGATAATTCCCTTGCATTATAGATTAGACAATAACCATGAGATTCTCAACTTTGAGTCATACCTCGTCCATCATAAGCTAAGGTTTTAGATTTCAACATCAATGGAAAGCCCAACTGTTCTCCAATCTTGGCGAGCTCCTCCGGCGTATTCTCCACAAGTTCGGCATAATCAGCCATTGGGATATTGAATTTTGACAAATGTCTTTTCTGGTCGTATTTGTTCTGGATAATGCGGATTGCCTGCCAAGAGGGCTCAATCTTGACTTGCGAGGCCACTGCCTCCAGCGCATGAGTGTTGACATGTTCAATTTCTGCAGTGACCACATCACATGTCTTTGCGAGCTCCTGCACAGCTTCTTGATCGTTGAAGTGACCGACGGTGTGGTTCTCATGAGCGCTTATTTGCTTGGCCGGTGCATTTTCGGCGTCTAAAATATGCACTTCGATGTTCAGTCGATTGGCTGATTCTGTGAGCATGCGGCCCAACTGCCCGCCACCCAGGATCCCGACTTTGGGAGAGTTCCACGCCATGGCGTTGTCGTACAGAACAAGTTCGTGGGGAAAGCCGGCGAGAGAGTCGACGAGTTCTTCTCTTGTCCTGGTCAATGGAGGTCAGTCATAGACTCGCAGTGGATCTCGAAAAGTTCACGCCGCCTTCCAGAAAATTGCCATCACGTGATGGCCAATCACAGGCGGCCCTTGAGTAAGTGCAATCCTGGGCAGTTATTCAGTTGTGGAGCAGCAGGTTTAACCGTATTCTCCTCTATATCTCTATTTAGGATAATCCAATTTTCCTTTTTCTCCAAAAATTTGTGCACCCAGCGACCCTCGAAGCTCTGCAGCTGCTGCTGTGGCCTGCGGGGATCGATAAGTCTGATAACGGAGGTCGGGCCAATCAGAGCATCGGGGACCGCCCTCTAAGCGGCAGATCATTTCTATCGCAATCGCAATTGCGGCGCGTGCAATGCAACAGTCGCTCTTCCTGCACACCCCTCCAGCTTGCACCTCGCCTGCTTTTGTCTACTGACCAGGCCAGGCGTGGTATCTGACAATATGTCTCTAGGTATGTGCCTGCGCTTTCTTTCCTATCCCTAGGCGCATTGTCGCAGCCCAAGTCGTGCGACTGTCGCGCTCTGGTCGACACCTTGCTGACCGTCCCGCTAGATGAGGGGCTTCTAGAGATAGTTGCTCAAGATGGAACCATGGATTAGTAGGTTTCCAGCCCGGCCCTTTGGCGACTGGTCATTCTAATGATAGATGTAGCGATCGATGGCCCAGTCAACTCGAGCCGTTACTTGAACGACTCGACGAGGTAGATTCTCCGAACACCTCCAGTTTTTGAAGAAGAGTACCTGGGCTTACAAATGCTCAAAACAGATTGTTCGCAATGAATTCCCCATCCCAAAGGTGCCTCCAGAATTAGCATCCTCCTTCGCCTCGCAATCATCGTCGTTCCCGTCATCGTACCCCGTCCAAGATTCTCTACAGAGCAGCAACAAGGAAAACGCCCCTCCGCCTGCAGACCAACCTCTGTTTTCAGAAACCCAAGAAGTCTCAGAGCAACAGTCGTCAAATCAACCTTCTCAGACCGATGCAGATTGCCTACCTCCTCCATTACTCTCTCTCCTCACGTCGATCAAAAGCACCTTACGAACATACTTTGTTTCAAACCCGCCACACACAATCCAGCGATTGGCGGAATTAATTCTACGTCCAACCCGTCAATACCGCACTCTACCCGCATATCTTAGAGCAGTCGATCGAGTAGTGTCGGTCTCGAGTAGCGCGGATATTTTCCCTCTCCCGCGGACGGATGTGCCTGGCGAGGGGGAACTGAGTAATGGCATTTCGAACGGCATAACTTCCAGTTTTATGCTTGCAGATGATTCTCTGGGCAGTGACGAATCACTAGGTGGAGCGCTTTTGACGCCGATTCCTTGGCTTACTAACCCGCATCTTGAGGTTGCCCATGCTGATATGGTGGTAGAAGGTAAGAGACTGCAATCCTACCTGTTCATCATTTATACACTAGAAGCTTGCTGACTTATGCAATTCAAGGGGCTGTTCCACTTCGAGCAAATGCTGCTGTGACCCAAGGCGAGCTTATCAGACAAGAACAAGAAGCTGGCTTAGTAGCCAACTCTCAAGCATCACATTCTTCAGTCAACGCATTGGCCGAGGGTGAAGAAAGTGGTGAGCGGTTATCGCCACAGCCTGATGAAGTTCCTCATGCGCGAGGTCCATCAGTAGTTGGAGTCGAAGACTTAGGACTGCAAGATGGGAAGGGCGTTGAGATGACAATTTCAAACTCGACTCCAGCCCAAGAGGATAATAACACTGAAATGGACGCTTCATCCTCTTTGAACCCTTCAAATGAGACCCCAGCCGACGAAACAAACGAGAGTAATGGAGATGCAGATGGTGATATTGTGCTCGACGATATATCTGCCAAGGATAATAGTGCTGCTCCCACAAGAGCTGAAATAGAAGAAGACCTGATGGAAACAAACGAACAGAATGAACAGAAGCTGCCCAATGCTGAAACTAGCACGGCTGAATAAGACCAATTTCGTTTCTTCTCATTTTATTTCATCTTACTTTAGTTGAGCAATTCATTCTGCTCTCAACTATATAATGAATACCATGACTATCGAAACAAAATTCTCATCACTCGTTCTAGTAAATACGTCGATACACGTCGTTTCATTTGGTACCCAACTGTGTATCAATTTCAATAGATAATGAAAACGGCGTCAAAGACAAAAAACCATAGAGCAACAATTATTATACATGTTGAAAGTCCAATAGAAACATTATAAACATAAATTCGTAAATCAAAATTCGTCATGCCCATGTAGACATGTATATCCAAATAATCGATCAAAGCTTTACATTCACCATTTGCTTTGTATGTTAGCTGATATGTATATTCCTATTCCCTTAAATGGTCATTTACTGACATCCCATCTTTTTGTTGGATTGTAATTCCTTGATAGTTTACGGATTGTTTCCCAAGAGTGAAAGAAAAGAAGAACTGTAGGGTATCTCGAATATATAAATGATGCGTGGCAAGAGAGAAATTGCTCAAGGTGTTACGCTGGGTGGCGTAGAATAGCGTCGCCATGTTGAGGTATCATTGTATTAGCTGGATATTTGAGTTGATCCCTGTCGCTTCCTCTCTTTTTTGGCCCAGCGTACTGCGAAAGATGTTAATTAAAATGCTAAACCCAGCATACGATGCACTTGATAAACTTACGTCCACAAGCATTGCATAGAGTCTTGGGTCCACTGGGACCTTTTCTCCATTCAGGAGAAGCCAGTGTGCCACAGTCAGTACACACGTATTCCTCGATTGTCTTGATTTTCTTCTTCTTGTCGTTTTCTTCGGAGCTAGTCGACAGTTGATTATGACCTATCGGTCCTTGGACCAGCCCTCCATCGCGGGCACCAGTACTGAGCCCCCTGGATCTTTCGCCCTCGGCGTATCGTAGACCGGTGAGCATTTCAATGCCATCCACCACCGAAGAAGCATCGCTCCGAGAAACCGTATCGATATTTCCATCCAACGATGAGACAAGGCCATAGCCTTCCTGTCCAGAAGTTGACACACTGGGTCGTGAAGGCGGCAGCATCTTGCCTTGTTCTGACATTGTCGTGGGTAAGTTCTGGAAGCCGTCATTCTCATCTTCTGGGCTGATTGTTACTGAATTATCAGAGCGACGTATCCACTGCTGTTGCAACCGTAGCTCCTCCTCCTCTTCCTTTTTCAAGTCGGCAATTCTTCTAGTTAATCGTATATTCTCAACTTTGTGTTCGAGGAAAGAATCCAAAAGTGCGGTGCTCTCGGTGGGATACGGCCGACAGATGAGAAAAAAGCCATTGCAGGCTATTCCTTCTTTCCCTGTCCCTAATGTTGTCTTCTCGTTGGCCATATGTGGATGTCCTGAAGCTTCCAATATAGTATATTCCCCATCAGGCCTCTTAAAGCGAAAATGATATCTGAGCCGGTGGCCGGTGGCAATAGATTCGTTGAATTCACGAATAAAAGAAGTTCTGTCATCGTCGTGGATGAAATCTGAAAGGAACTGACCTCCAAGATGCCTGGGATCCACGTCTGTAATTGACATAGTAGCAGGCGAAGTGTAGAGGACTCTGCCATCTGCACTCAACACAACCAGCATATCCTTCATCTCCGCCAGAATGCGCTGTGTCCAATTCCGCCTTCTCGTGAAGTCGGTGACAGCGCTCGAAGCGCTCTTCTGCGACGCGGCATTGCTAGGCTGAGTTTCTTGTAGGTCCGTACCATCATCATCGATGCTCATTCTCCGACCACTAGCCGAATCCATGAAATCTTGCCCTTGCTCATCTCCATCGTCCATGACTAGGTCGAGGTCTCCAAAGTCGAGGTCAAAGTTGGTCGGCATACTGTTGCCCGGTTGCGCCATATTGTCGTTGAAGGAGTATAGACCGGCCATGTTCTAGAGCAAGACAAGATTTAGCTTTGAGCAAAGGGGAGGAATACAGTTGGTATCGACTCACGCACGGTCCTCTGAAAAGTTTCAAAATGTTTAAATTCCAATAATTATACTTCACTTCGAAGCATTAAGGGGCGAACCAAAATCACAATATGGCCAAGGATGCAGCGGCGAGAGCCAAATGCCAAGTGCAGACGACGATGCGATGAAAGGAAGGCATGAATTGGAATTGACAGACACGTGGAAAGGGATCTGGGAAATCAGCCTGAGAAGGCTCGATGGAGAGTACCTCCGGTCGCACGGAGGCAGATCTCTATGCAGTCTCTTGCATGGGAGGTCCAACAAAGGTAGAGTGAGCGGTAGACAATAACCGTAAGGGAGTTAGGGCTCAAGGAGCGAGAGGTTGTTCGGGAAGAGCCGCGCTATTGCCCAAGAGGGTTTAATGGCCCAGGGCACGTGTTCTCGCGCCGACCCCGCGTCTTGACTGCTGCCGCGCAGGCAGCATCGCCTCCTTTAGGAAAGAAGCTCCGGCTGTCAATCAAAGCTCTTTTCCTTTCCACCCAAACAAATCACACCACCACCCTCGTCTATAGGGAGGATGAGGCGCCCATCTACAGTTCCTTATTGATATTGTTTTATCTCTAGTGGATTTGTTTCAGAATGTGAGTGACTTTGCGTTTGCAAAGGAGATCTGTATCAGCTGACGGCTCTAGGTGTATGTCTCGCCGGCCCGGTGTCACAGCATCCTAACTGACATTCAGAAACAGCGAAAATTGACAAACTTTCCATTCTTGGGTACGCTGATACCTAAAATCATCACTCATCCATCAATACCTCCCCAGTATATCGATTCCTAACATTCCCTACAGTGTGCGATCCTTTGACAATACCCGAAGTGAGACGATTCAATTCCATACCCCTTTGACGTTGATTGTAGGATACAATGGATCTGGAAAAACTGTGTGTGTCCTTTGCCGATGATGAATTGAATGGATATTTACTGTTTCAAGACAATTATTGAATGTCTCAAATATGCCACGACCGGTGATTTACCCCCCAACAGCAAGGGTGGAGCCTTCATCCACGACCCGAAGGTGCGTTTTTAAACAACCATGAGGTATGACATGCTGAAAAGTACCTAGTTGTGCGGCGAGAAGGAAGTCCTAGCTCAGGTCAAACTGGCTTTCAAAGCGACCTCCGGGGCGAAGATGGTGGCAACTCGAAGTCTACAACTTACCGTGAAGAAGACAACCCGACAGCAAAAGACCTTGGAAGGCCAAATTTTGATGGTGAAGGATGGAGAACGGACAGCTATATCATCTCGTGTCGCTGAGCTCGATCAGATTATGCCTCAATATCTCGGTGTTTCGAGAGCCATTCTCGACTCCGTTATATTCTGCCATCAAGACGAAAGCCTCTGGCCCATGAGTGAACCGTCGGTGCTCAAGAAGAAGTTTGATGAAATATTCGAAGCTATGAAATACACAAAAGCTATTGATAATATAAAGGTTCTAAGGAAAAAACAGAACGAGGAGCTCGCTAAGTTCAAAATCATGGAACAACATGCCAAGGAAGACAAAGATAAAGCGGACCGCGCAGAGAAAAGATCTGTTAAACTTCAGGAGGAAATTGAGGCTTTACGCGAGGAGACCCACAAGCTTTCCCAGGAGATGCGGAACGCGGCTGAATTGGCCGATAAAGCTTGGAAAGAATCTGAGGGCTACGCGCAGGTTCTCGGTGCTTTGGAAGGCAAACGTATTGAAGCAAAAAGCGTACAGTCTAGCATCGATAATTTGAAGCAACATCTCGTTGAGCTTGACGAGTCTGATGAATGGTTACAATCCACTTTGGAGCAATTTCAGTCCCGGCAAATACAATACCAGGAACAAGAAGAAAATCTCAAAGAAAAGTACATGGACATCAAAGAACAAATCGAAAATTCACGCCATCAGTTAGGATTAAAGCAGGCCGAGCATGGAAAGCACGAGAATGACAAGGCCCAATTCGAACGTCAAATCGGACGGCGAGAAAGCATGGTTCGAGAAATTTCAAGGAGGAACAATATCCGTGGCTTCGATGACACACTTGACGAGGCACAAATCGATGAGTTTATGACCCGCATGCGGAAGATGATAAAGGAACACAACCAAACACTGGAACGGACTAGGAAAGAAGGCCAACTAGAAATTCGCGAGACCCAGAACACTCTCAATCAGATCGCCCAACGAAAGTCAACGCTTCAAGAGGTAAAGAACTTCGCCAGAAAGCAAATTTCAGATAACGACAAAGAAGTGGCGTCAGTCCAAAGTCGCCTAGATGAGATTGATGTTGACGAAGGAACAGTCGCAGTGCTCGAGTCTAAAAAAGAGGGGGCACAATCTCGTCTCGACAAATTCAAAGAAACCCTTCAGGCAGCCACATGGGATAGAGATATCCAAAACGCTAACCATGAGTTAAAGTCCTTTGAAGATGCAAGCACTCGGCTAAATACAGAACTCATTGCAGGGACCAAAAGGGCTGGTGACCTAGCTCGCTTGGATCATATAAAGACGGAGCTCAAAGATCGTGAACGCCAATTAGAGACCATGTCGGGTGCCCATGGAGAGCGCTTATCAAAACTCGTAACGCCGCAGTGGACACCCGAGACTTTAGAGAATGAGTATTCGAAAGTCATGGAAAATGAGTCTAAAGCAGTGACAATTGCTGAGCGTGACCGTGATGGTATTGGGCGGCAACTAGATCAAATCGACTTTAAACTTAAGAATGCAAGGGTAGATCTCCAAAAAAAGCAGAAGGAACGTGACGAGTGTGTAAACAAGATCCACGAGGCAATCGGCGATGACCCAACAGAATACCCGGATGTCTTGCAAACGCGCCAGAACCTGCTAGATCAAACAAGGAAAGATGCTGAGCAGTTTGCAGGGATGCACGAGTATTTCAACATGTGCCTAGAAGCTCTTGATAAGAAAAAAATGTGTCGAACCTGCATGCGGTCATTCAAAAACGACACTGAAATGCGGAGCTTTAAGAGCAGACTGGAAGGTCTCATCAAGAAAAACTTCTCGTCTTCAGATGAGGATTTAAAACAAGCAGAAACCGAGTTCGAAGCCGCTCGAATGGTGAGCTCTGATTATGATACCTGGTTTCGTCTAACAGAGAACATCATTCCAGAGCTCGAGAAGGAGGAAGAACAATTTGAATCGCAAAAAGAGGAGTTCCTGTCCAAGATTGAAGAACACGATAAAATCGTGGACAGCTTTATAGAGAAGAAGCGGGAAGTTGAATCTCTCGCGAAAACAGTGACAACGATTGTTCGTATTGCAGGCGAAATAAAATCTCTGCGTTCTCAGTTGGCAGAACTTATGTCCAATCAACAAGACCCTGAATCCTCGCGAACCTTGGAAGATATCCAAAACGAGATTTCTGCTATCGGAGATAAGTCCAGGGCTGTCAAACTAACTATTCAAAAACTCACAAGCGAGAAGGAACAATGCCGAAATGATCTTAACAAGTCAGAATTGGAGCTCAGAGATGTGAAAAGTAGCCTCGACAATGCTAGCCATCAGCTGGAAAAGAAATCCAGCCTTCTAGCTCGAATTAAAGAGTACAAATTGATGAGCACTAAACAAAGAGAATCAATCGAAAATGCAGACCGTGACATCGAACAACTAATTCCCGAGATAGCCAAAGCCCAGGCCAAACATGATGACATCAGCCAACGTGTCGAGGCAAAGGAGCGAGAGCTTCAGCAAGATCTGTCTCAGCTGTCAGACAGTTTACACCAGCTCGACATTTCAAATGACGATATCAAGTCTTACAATGACCGCGGGGGCCCCGAACAGTTAGCCAGAAGCAAAAAAGATCTCGAAGTCATTCAGCAGGAGATTGAATCCTTGGAGGTGAAACAAAGCGAGATCACGCGAGAGATCAATAAAATTTCAACCCAGCTTACAGATAGCGAGAATACCAAACGGCAGTATTCTGATAATTTGTCATATCGCCAAGCTTGTAGGACGTTAGAGCAAGTTGAAGAAGACATTCATCAACTTGAAGAGCAAAACGCAGAGATTGATCGCGGCCGTTTCAAGGAAGAGTCTGAAAAATGGACACGGAAACACAATGCTCTGGCTGCTCAGCAAGCCAGCAAAATGGGCGAGATGAAGTCAAAAGATGATCAGCTCATGCAACTACTAGCAGACTGGAACACCGATTATAAGGATGCAGCTGTCAAGTATAAAGAAACGCATATCAGAGTCGAAACTACAAAAGCGGCTATTGACGATCTTGGTCGTTACGGAGGTGCGCTAGACAAGGCAATTATGCAATATCACGGTCTCAAAATGGAGGAAATCAATCGCATAGTTGAGGAGCTCTGGCAACGAACCTACCGAGGCACCGATGTCGACACAATTCGTATTAGGTCTGACAATGAAAACGCGAAAGGTAATCGTTCGTATAACTACCGCGTCTGTATGGTCAAGCAAGGCGCTGAGATGGACATGCGTGGACGCTGCAGTGCTGGTCAAAGGGTCCTGGCAAGTATCATTATCCGCCTTGCTTTGGCTGAGTGCTTTGGCGTCAATTGTGGACTTATTGCGCTTGACGAACCGACAACAAATTTGGACAGAGACAATATCCGTTCCTTGGCTGAGTCCCTTCATGACATCATTAGAACTCGTCAACAGCAGTCCAATTTCCAATTGATAGTCATCACCCACGACGAAGAGTTTCTACACCACATGCAGTGCGGTGACTTTACCGATTACTACTATCGTGTGTCACGAAATGAGAGACAAAAATCTATCATTGAGAGACAATCAATTGCAGAGGTACTGTAGTCATATAGAACTTTCAATAATTCTAACTAACATTTACAGGTTATGTGATTTGATTGAGACTTTAATATTACTCTCCAAATGCATTCGATCCGGTGTTAGATCAGATGGAAACAGCGGGTGGTCTTGGTAGGAGTTCGGGGTTATTCGAAGTTATCTGGAATACGTAACATTGCATTTACCTGGGCTTGTGACAATGTATATTTGAACCATAGCACTGCTTTTCTAATAGAAACAAAGTCACTCAAACGATTCCATCTCATTGTCCTCATCTCCTTCTTCATCATCACCAATAAGTGGCACAAATCTGAAATCAACAAAACTAACATTCCCAGCAGATCCTTCACTAGAAAGGCTGCCACCAGCTGTACCGCCACTATCTCCCAGTTCAACCATGAACTGCATGCTCAGCACACCTTGAATATCACCACGAATACTCACCTTTGTGGCAGCAGCCATCGCTCTTGCTGCCTTACGTATGAGTGCGAAGCGATAATTTTCCTTGACGCGGGAGCCCATAGAAGAAGGAGGATTAACCTGAAAGGTCTCTGTGACTGTCGGAGCGAGCTTTGTGCGTTTAGATGATAATGGACCCCCATCACCAGCTAGTGATTTGTGATTGAAATCACTGTCAGTATTATTTTTGTCCATTGAAAACTCGACGGTCGATTCACTGAATGGTCCACCTGAACCGGAAAGTGCAAAGAAAGGCTCCTTTTTGGAAGAGGCCGAGATCGAGAGAACAGTGGGATTTGTGCCATCTAATTCTGTTATGGCATTATGAAGCCATGCCGAGCGCATGATTATTTTCATGATGATAGCATCGCGCTGAAGTGGAATATCAAGCTCGCCCGCAGCAGATCCGAATGAAGGGTCGTCAGGTTCATAGGTTGTAAGCTCACATGTCGTCGTAATGCCGGATTCTGAGAGTGTGATACTAAGAGGGCTCCCAATATTGTTGTATCGCAATGTGCAAGACCGGCCAAGCAGCACTGCAGGACTGGTAAAAGCGCCAGCAACGCTGCTGGCCTGATTTGAAAATGAAGAGGAAGGTAAGTTTGCATCGCCGATGCCAAAGATCTGGAGTGTTTCCAATAGAGCGGAGAGTGAGATTAGAAACTGAGGATATACGATGTGATCTTGTTCCTCTAGATCATTGCCCTCACCCCCGCCATTGCACTCCTGTTCAGTAGATGGATTGAAAGTATAGGTCGTGAAGAGGGCCTTGTCCAGAAATGCTAACCCCTGCATTACCCTATTTTCTTCCACGGAAAATCGTATTCCATCGGGTGTTATTTGGATGAAAGCTTTTGAGGCAAACCCGATACAACGTAAAAGGGTATAGAGGTGGTTGGCGTTATTTGAAACGGCAGAAAAAATAGGATCCATGATTGGGTACTGGCAGACAAGGCAGTTTTTGAGAAGATCAAGTCCAGTGACTGAAGAACTTTGAGATGAATTTCAGATAAACTAGTAAAACAATGTCTTCACTTCGCGATTATCGTACATTGTGTGAAGCGCGATGTGTCGGGGGTATCAAGAAAAGCTAAACGTAAACACCAACGGCGCAAATCATAAACACAGCTCCGAAACTTCGGCGGGTCAGCAGACAATTGAGAAATGAGAGATATTCTGAGTATAGCATACCCGAATGCCAACGATGCTGGCAGCCCTAAGAAAGTGATGTTGAGGAATGATCGATCTGGAAGTGATTAGCGCGCATTATACTACAGGATGAGTTGGGTGTGAACTTACTCAACCCGAAGAGACCAGTCAAAAAAACGGCTGAAAAAGGATTTAGTTATATAGGAGATATAAAGTGATAAAGAGAGAGTTACCGGCTAGAAGCAAGTTAAAGCCGACAATGAACTGATTTTCTTTGGAGACGATGGGATAGTAAGGAGCTTTAGATGCCTCCCAGAGATCGTTGAGAGACATTGGGGGTTGCTGGAATCGAATTGTTTCGCGGCTGGAGGCAAACAACTAGACTAAAAGCGTCTTATTGAGGATGTATAGCAGAAGGACAAGAACAAACTGAGTGATACGCAATAATTGGTGTTCAACTACCAAGGATGACTTTCACAGTATCATCAAACCAAGCTGTCCTCTTGGCGCGTGGCATCCGGATAATCGTCCCTCCGACGCCTAATCTCCGGCCGGCATCTGGAGCTAGACTGTTTCGGGACGCGGACGACAGTCAGCGGGAGACGACGCGGACAGACATCGACACACTCGGTCTGTATCTATACGCATCTAAGGATCCTGTGCTATCATGTCGTCAGCCAGCGAAGGTGAGCCTGAACATGGACCATCCTATTGGCCCCACCCCGCTTGTTTCCACGTCCTGACAGCTAACGACTGATCAGATATGATGAAGCGCAAGGCTTCGGAAGAAGCCGATACCCCGGATTCTAGGCACAGGAGCAAGAAAGCTCGGACAGAGTCGCCAGGCATGGAAACCAAGGTATGGACTGCTCTTATTGTCTTTATTGACTCGCTGATGCGTTTTACAGGAGGAGTCCGAAAAGCTGCCGCTCAGAATCGTACCATTCCCAGAGAAGGTCAGCCCATATACAAGTGTCTTTTGCCCCAGGACGAGGCTTACGAGTTGACAGGGCGCCGTTCTCGAAGAGAGACGAGGAGAGATTGAATTCCGAGTGGTCAACAATGATGGCGATAGGGAGAGTTTTATTATTTTAACGGGTTTAAAATGCATCTTTCAGAAGCAGTTGCCAAAAATGCCCAAGGATTACATTGCGCGATTGGTCTACGACAGGACACATCTTTCCATTGCCATTGTCAAACACCCCTTAGAAGTCGTTGGGTTTGCTGCTCTCCATGATAACTTGGATAGAACTTGCGTTTGCTGACTTGAAGTAGGGGCATCACCTATCGTCCTTTCAAAGGTCGCAAGTTTGCGGAAATCGTGTTTTGTGCAATTTCGTCGGACCAGCAAGTTAAGGGTTATGGCGCACATCTGATGTCCCATTTAAAGGTACTGAAATTTGCGAATAATGGCGTCTTCACTCTCACTGACACATCACAGGATTACGTGAAAGCAACGTCCGATGTTATGCATTTTTTGACCTATGCTGACAACTATGCTATCGGGTATTTCAAGAAACAAGGGTTCACAAAGGAAATCAGCCTCGACAAGTCAATCTGGATGGGGTATATCAAAGATTATGAAGGGGGAACCATCATGCAATGCACAATGCTGCCCAAAATTCGATACCTAGAATCAAGTCGAATGATTCTAAAGCAGAAGGAGGCAGTACACGCCAAAATTCGCGCGTTTAGCAGGTCACATATTATTCATGCCCCACCCAAAGAATGGAAAAACGGCGTAACGAAGATTGATCCTCTAAGTATCCCTGCAATTAAAGAGTCCGGATGGTCCCCGGATATGGACGAACTAGCACGTCAACCTCGCCACGGTCCGAATTTCAATCAATTACTCCACCTTCTCAACGATATGCAAAACCATTCGGCTGCATGGCCGTTTGTGCAACCCGTCAATCGAGACGAGGTTCCTGACTACTACGAAGTTATCAAGGAGCCCATGGATTTGTCTACAATGGAGGAGAAACACGACAAAGACCTATACCCAACCCCTCAAGATTTTATCAAGGATGCGATGTTGATTTTTGACAACTGCCGAAAATATAACAACGAGACCACGCCGTATGCAAAGAGCGCCAACAAACTGGAGAGATTCATGTGGCAGCAGATCAAGAACATTCCCGAGTGGTCGGTAAGTTGCATTGTACCCGGTCAGTTCTACTAGGACAGTTAGCCGCTGACATTCTTGCAGCATCTTGCCGAGAACCATTAGACAACCTAGCATGGCATGATTTATGACTGATATAAAGTTGATTGATATTACATACCCAAGGAGTTCTGGGAGACGGGCGGTTGTTAGGCGGTCGTTTAGTTGCGTGGATCACACCCAGTTTTGAGCAGCTTGTATTCTTAAATCCTTACTATTTATACCTGGTATCGTGTGCAATCTCAATATGCACCGAAACTCACCAGCATACTGAGTCCTTTGTACTTCAATGCTAGTAGTAACTGTGAACTCCAGAGAGTGAAACAAAGGGGCCTGTGTGGCTGGGGCGGCTGGAGGCACGCGCCTTCGCAATTTCGGAAAATTGTTTTGGCGGAACCCCTTGGCGGCCTTCCTCGTGCCTGCTACGAGTTGGCTTGCAACACCAGTCAGAGACTCCCTCTCACGCTTGCATCGTCGCTCTTTTCCCGACTTCCCCCTCTCTGGCAGACGCAGCGCGTTCAATCTATTGCCAGTTCGCTGAGATCCTGACATCTCTCCCAATCGTCGGCACGTCACACCATTCGGCACCCCCCGACCTTTAAGTTCAGGGGGTTCTAACAACAAACCGCTTCTGAATTCCACCTACTCGACCAGCCGACTTTTTCACACTCTTTCACTTCGATTGGCGATCGGCTTCTTTACACCGTCAAAAAAACTCCAATTGTTATGGTTAAGAGGCAACTCACATACCGTAGCTTGCATACTACAGCTACCTAATTGCTTCACCACCTGCCTTTGAATAGCCTGTGCGTCTTGCAGTCTAGTCGCCATGGCTTCGACGATGAGTCTCGATCTCGAAAAGCGTAAGCGCTTGCCGACGCTTTTTGAGGTGTTGAGTCGCTATACGCTCGCTCCTGTCGATCTCTTCTCCTTCTATATTTACATGCGAGACCAGCAGCGGTCTGTTGATTACTTGGACTTCTGGTATGCTTTTGGGACAATTCTTGTTTTCTTCTTCTAACGAGTATAGGCTCGATGTTTCACAGCACATGTCCCTCTGCCGACATTATGTTCGAGAGTTGCGGCGATCAGTACTTGTGGCGACTCCAGAAGGTGGCAGCAGACCTTCATCCACGGTTCTAGAAAATATCCCAGATATTCCGGCGGAAGGAGGCCCATCTGGCTTTCGCGGTGCTTCATCCGAGAAAGATGCGGATTCCAGACTTTCTGCTTTTTTACGCTCTGAAAATCCAGCTCAGCCCTCACCGCCTACCAGTATTTACTCGGAACGACTTCCCTCTGAAGAACGCCCTCCCCGTCCAAGCTTCATGAATTCAACACCTGAAACTCGTAACGACTCCTCAAACTCCCCGGGACACACCGTTGCGCGAACAGATATTCGGCGAAGTGCAGAAAAAATTCTATATACTTACCTAATTCCCGATTCTGAGCGTGAAATCATCCTTCCTCAGGAGATGGTTGCATCAATTATAGAAATGGTGGAACGAGATGGTCGTGATGATCCAGAAGTATTTGATCAAGCCAAAGATTATGTCTTTCAGGCAATGGAGAGAGATGCCTTCCCTGGCTTCTTGCAGGCGAAGGCACTAGGCAACCTTGTTCCTCTCAGCATTATCGCCCGGTTAGCGTTTGGTTTGACCTGCTTCTGGGGTGCTTTTTGGGCTTCCTTCTTCGTGGTCTTGACTGATAAGCCAAGATCCACTCGGTGCTGGGTAAGACTTTGTTCACAGGATACGAGAACTAGTTAGCTAACAGTACGACTAGGTTATACTTCCATTTGTAGTGGCATCTTATTTCATCACGACATACCAATACAAAATTGACCCGGTCATGGCCCTTCTAGGGTTCAGTGAATACACGTTTAATAACTGGCAAAGGATACAAGAGCCATATGTGCGCACTCTTCTCAACAAACGCGCCTTGGCAACGTTGGGATACGCCCTCCTCATCGCAGCCGCTCTAAGCATACTATTCATCCTGGTACCGGGTACCGTTCTTTGAAAGGCTCAGACCTGTTCCATTTCTCTACGTTTGGCGTTTAAGGATATACCTCTTTGTTAGTCATGTTTCCGCGGTCATCCCTCTGTTCATTACTGAGCACGGCGTTTGGGTATTTAATTTTCTGATTACTCGTAATTTTCACCTTCGCCTGGAGCCTGCCTACTAGTCTCGTTTGTCGCATTCAACAAAAACCATGTAAGTAGTTATTTTATGGACGCAATTGTCTAATCGATATGCTGGGTCTGGTTTATCTAGCATCAAATAATGCAACTTCCATCTGAACCTTATTTTTTACAGACCGGTCGTATAGTTGATATTCACGTAATGCATGCAAGAGAAGCTCTATCCAGATTCGCCAAGAGTGTTGACTCTTATGACAATGGAATGCAATCATTTCCCGCCAAAATGCACAACAAGCAATCGTAGTCAACCATCTCAACTCTTTCGTCCCACACCCAGCAATCTTTTTGCCTGCCTTGTTGCAGTTACCCCTGTACCTCTTCCTTGATTAGCACCAGATCCTTCGTCAATATCCATGCGTGACCCCAGTGTATCCACGCCACCGTCACTGCCATTATCAAAATAGCCATCATCCTCGTCGATGTCATCACCGCTGTACTCGCGCTTGTTATTATTGCTGCTGCCACCAGTTGAAGCAGCACCACCAACTGACCTCAGCCCAGCAGCTTTACTCCGGGCATTTTTCCTAGCACCCGGATTCCCACTCTTGTCAGCAATAGCCTGCTCAAGAAGCTGTGCGCATTCCCGCTCCCTTCTCCGATTCTTGACCGCCTGGTCTTGAATCTTCGCGATTTCGGCCTCGATGCCATTGATAACATCTCCACAGCGGCCCTCCCATTCAGTCAAAATGGATATCATCGCCGATACCGCCTGGGGTGGGACATCACGGAGCGGCGCAACGGCAGTGACATTGACTGTCGGGGGCGATGATGCCGGCGAGAGACGGGCTTTGATGAGGGATGAGTAGATTGCCGTGGTGACCAGGGACTCGAGCTCTGCAGAGTTGGGGATTGAAAGCGCGTCCATCAATGCCTGGTACGTGAGAGGCCGGACGGTACTCGACAGGGTGAGAAGAGATAGTAAGCGAAGTTTGGATTCTTGTTCCTTGCTGAGAGATGGAAGACCGGGTGTCGCTAGAATTAATTGTAAGGTTAGCCATCCATAGAATTGTGGGGGTGATGGAAGGCCACTCACATTGATATTCCTGCCATGTACCCCAGGCGAATATTTCGAGCAATTTCAAATACCCTCTATATTCCTCTGGTGTCTCTGGAGAGCGTAGGGACTGAACGGCTGGGGTCTGTAGAAGCTCGGCGAACACAAATGTATTGGGGCTCGAGGTGGCATTAGTGATTATATTGGCGATAAAGCGAGGTGACGAGGCGGTAGAGGAAATCGTGAGGTGTATGAATGGCTGCAGGGCCTCCAGGGCCCGTGACTGCGCCAGCTCCATGATATGGATGTTCTGTTGGCCCTGCTAAGGAAGCTTTGGGGGGAGGTGCGACACGACTCAGACGGGGGACGAGGTAAGTCAGTTTCACAGTAGTAATTCTATGATGAAAGAATTAAAGGCCTGGTCGGGTGCTTGTTGGTAGGGTACTCGTGGAGCTGTTGAGCTGTTGTCCGATGGTGTGTTTGCGGGTTGGCAGACGCCACGGCTCCCCGCAGCTACTGGCTGATAGTCATAATGGGAGCACTGATAGCGCGATAACGCACACTCGTCACCGCTAGTTAACTAGTTACGAAAGGGACAGAGAGACGGCGTTCAGATTGATAATGGTAAATAGCGATTAGCAGTATTAACGATAAAGAAACATCAGACAGTCTGGAACATTTGCAGTTTGAAATAATTCGAGACGAGAAATAGCAACGCCAATAGACGCTGCTGATGAAACGGTTGGCTATTATGATACAGTTCTGCGGCTCGACAGTCGCAGGTACAGTACTGAATAATGGCGACAATAATGATGGTTTGGAGAAGAGATGATTTGGGATAATATTAAAATAAGACTTGTTTTGCGTGTGTTTGTAGTCTGTCTCGGTCCTCCCTGCCCCTTCCCCAGAAGTACCGGTACATGGTATTCAACTTAGCTTATCATAATAAAAGTAGTATTTGTACATTTTTGGTGCAGTGGTTTTACGCCTGAGGGGTGTTCACTGTTTGAAGTCACACGGATGACGCCTTCCCAACAATCTACTACCTACTTAGTTAACTAATTTATAATTACTTCTAACTTAAAATAGTAAGACGCACGAAGGAATAGCGGCACATATTACTGTAATAATGTCGCCGGCTCGTGGTTGGACGTAGCAGCCGGAAGGGCGGGAAGCACGCAGATCTCCGCTGTGTGCCCATTCCTGAGGATGATTATTAAAGACGCCATTTCAGCCCTCATTCCGCCAACCTGGCCCAAAGAGTCAAAGAGCGACTGGCCTCTTTTTCCTCTGAGGGCCCTTGTGTCAATCTTGTTTCCCTAGACTCGCTGTTCTACTGGCAAACACCGTAAGATTTGGATAGTCAACAATACGTGATCCGCAGGTAGCATCACTATTGCGCCTAGCAAGCCACCCGACCCCAAAGCCAACATATATCATACTTATCACTATCCTTAGTCGCCACGCTAAATGATGTTATGCCTCGACTAGCCCGGTAGACACCACACGATCACCCGGAAATCTAACAACCTGGCCTTTCGCATCGCTTTTGTCCCTCCCTTCAGAGCATCGCAGGCTACAGCGACGAGATGGCCATGCCGCTCTCGAGTGTCGACGATGGCAAGCCCTTCGGCAATCGTAACCCCGTCCATATGGCCACAACAACGCTCAAGGTGGATGGAATGACCTGTGGTGCTTGCACATCGGCCGTGGAAAGCGCTTTCAGCGGTGTTGCAGGCGCGGGGGAGGTTTCCGTCAGCTTAGTGATGGGTCGAGCTGTGGTTCATCACGACCCTACGACATTACCTCCCCCCAAACTTGCCGACCTTATTGAAGACAAAGGATTTGATGCCGAAATCCTATCCACAGATAGTCCGCAGGATGCAAATAATAGCACTGGGTTGGCCTCGATAACGACGATTGCCATCGAAGGAATGACTTGTGGCGCCTGCACTTCTGCTGTCGAGGGAGGACTGACGAATGTCCCTGGTATTCAGGCCGTCAATGTGTCATTACTGTCCGAGCGTGCCGTTATTGAGCATGACTCCTCGATTATCACATCTGCGCAAATCGCGGAAATGATTGAAGACCGCGGTTTTGGCGCAACTGTGCTGGACACAAAAGCAAGTCAGTCCACCGAAGAGCAAGCTACGACAAGCCAGCTTCAAAATCTTTCTACGACTGTGGCTATAGAAGGAATGACATGTGGTGCCTGTACATCCAGCGTTACAAGTGCTTTCAAAGACGTTGAAGGGCTGGCGCAGTTTGACATCAGCTTGCTTGCAGAGCGAGCGGTGGTGGTACATGATCCCCATGTTCTACCTTCGGAAAAAATCGTCTCCATAATCGAAGATGCTGGCTTTGATGCACGAGTTATATCTTCCTCGCCACAAACAGGCGTCGTGTCGAAGACATCGAAAAGTACTCGCCTCACATTATATGGCTTGCAGACACCAGCTTCTGCAACTTCTTTAGAAGAACGTCTGCGTGAGAAATCTGGCGTAAAGTCGGTATCAATAGACTTCAGTGCATCTCGTGCCATCGTCACTCACAATCCAGCTGTTATTGGAATTCGATCAGTGGTAGAAGCAATTGAAGAGGCGGGGTATAATGCGTTACTGTCCGAACAAGATGACAATAATGCCCAACTAGAATCTCTTGCCAAAACGAAGGAGATCCAAGAATGGAAGAGAGCTTTCTTATTCTCAGCATCATTTGCAGTGCCAGTCACTCTCATAACAATGATCTTCCCCATGTGCTTGAAGTTCCTTGACTTTGGCAAAATTCTCATTTTCCCAGGCCTTTACCTGGGCGATGTTGCTGCTTTATGTCTGACTGTTCCTGTGCAGTTTGGTGTTGGCAAGCGTTTTTACAAGTCTAGCTATAAGTCCCTGAAACATGGCTCCCCGACTATGGATGTCCTTGTCATGTTGGGTACATCGGCGGCTTTCTTTTTCAGCATTTTCACAATGCTTGTCGCCATATTCGGCAGCGAACATGAACGTCCAAGCACTGTTTTCGATACTAGCACAATGTTGCTCACTTTCATCACCCTCGGTCGATGGTTGGAGAATCGAGCCAAGGGCCAAACGTCAAAAGCTCTTTCTCGGTTGATGTCTTTGGCGCCTTCCATGGCTACGATCTATGAGGATCCTATTGCAGCTGAGAAAGCAGCCGAAGAATGGAACGAGAAGAGCAGTGATCAGACATCCCAAACATCAAACACTGGCCATAGAGTGGTTCCAACTGAGCTCCTCCAAGTTGGCGACATCATCCTTCTGCGGCCTGGTGACAAAGTCTCTGCCGACGGATTCGTCATTCGAGGCGTAAGCTACGTCGATGAGAGCATGATAACGGGAGAAGCTCGCCCTATCAGCAAGAAAAAGGGAAGTGCCGTGATTGCTGGTACGGTCAATGGAGCTGGCTCTCTAGATTTCAAGGTTACCCGTGCCGGCAACGACACTCAACTCAGTCAGATTATCAAACTGGTTCAGGATGCTCAAACGAGTCGTGCCCCGATTCAGCGTATGGCCGATATTGTTGCTGGCTACTTTGTTCCCATTATCATTTTCCTCGGCCTCCTTACTTTCACTAGTTGGATGGTTTTGAGTCACGTCCTGCCGCATCCTCCTCAAATATTCCTTGCACCAAGCAACGGTGGGAAAGTGATGGTCTGCCTCAAACTGTGCATTTCAGTCATTGTATTCGCATGCCCGTGTGCTCTTGGTTTAAGCACTCCTACTGCCGTCATGGTCGGCACTGGAGTGGGTGCGGAGCACGGAATTCTCGTCAAAGGTGGAGCTGCGTTGGAAGCTGCCACTAAAATCAATCACATCGTCCTGGACAAGACTGGTACGTTGACAGAAGGCAAAATGGGCGTTGCTGGGACTAAACTCGAGCCTACATGGACCTCTAATGACTGGCGTCGCAAGCTTTGGTGGCAGATTGTCGGCCTCGCTGAAACAAACAGTGAACATCCCGTAGCACGAGCAATCGTTGCAGCGGCCAAAAAGGAGACTGGTATCGAGAGCGACGACCCTTTGGATGGTACCATAGGCTCCTTCGATGTAACAGTCGGCAAAGGTATATCTGCCACCGTGGAACCAGCATCGGCTGTCGAGCGAACTCGGTATCGGGTCCTGGTAGGAAATACAGTATTCCTTCGTGCCAACGAGATTGCTGTTCCTGAATCGGCGGAGCTTGCTACACCCACTGATTCCCCTTCGACAATCTCCAAACCCAGCAACTCTGCTGGCTTAACCCAGATCCACATTGCGATAGACGGACATTACACTGGTACAATATCTCTCCAAGACGCGCTCAAGTCGACTGCAGTAGCTGCCATCGCAGCGCTTCAGAAGATGGGAATGAATATCTCTCTCGTCACAGGTGATACCTATCCTGCGGCTTTAGCTGTTGCCAACGCCGTTGGCATCCCCAGCGCCTCTATCCGAGCGGGCGTCTCTCCTACCGAGAAGAGAGAAATCGTCGAATCCTATCAATCTGACGGCGACCGCGTGGCCATGGTTGGCGATGGCATAAACGACTCGCCCGCGCTCGCAACTGCTATCGTCGGCATTGCGCTCGCTTCCGGGACAGACGTTGCCATGGAAGCTGCCGATATTGTCATCATGCGCTCTGACGATCTCCTCGCGGTCCCTGCAAGCCTATCTCTCGCACGTACCATCTTCACTCGGATCAAACTGAACTTGATGTGGGCCTGCGTCTACAACATCATCGGACTGCCCTTCGCGGCGGGTATTTTCCTTCCGTTTGGCGGCATTGCGCTGCCACCGATGGCCGCCGGTGCAGCAATGGCCATGTCCAGTGTATCTGTTGTAGGAAGCAGTCTGTTACTCAAATTCTGGCAACGCCCAAAATGGATGAATGCAGAACGGCTAGAAAGGGAGGCGGAAATGGGTCTAATCAAAACGCCGCAATCGCACAACTTGTCATCTTGGAAGGAGACTACGGTGTATCGCGGCAGCCGTCGTCTGCGTACTGTACTTACGAGAACTATCTTTGGCAGACAGTCCAAGCAGGCCAGAGAAGAAGAGGGATATGTTCCTTTGCAAACTGTAGAGCGATAGCTTTTCTCCTAGCGTTTTTCCCTGTTCTTTTTTTGGGGGGTGTTTTAAGTCGGGTCATAAGCATTGTGATGCCTACCGTCTGTTTACTTTGAAATATTTGTTGCGAGCTAGTTTATCGCCCAGGGATCGGTTGAATTATATATAGTTTGCCTCCTGGGCCTCCTGAGACAAGGCCTGAACCTCTGCATCATAACCCAATCACCAAGCCCCTTCACCTCCGTGGATTAAATAAGTGAATTTAATTAGCTCTATAGTACACATGTAGACTAGATATACTGTAATGGCCCAGTCGGTCCCTGCCTAGGCACCCAGGCAGCGGTCAGGTGATCATGCTGTTTATGGGCTAGACATATAATGCAAGTGACCATGGTTATTGATTGATTCTTTGGACGAAGAGAAGAAGTTGTGCCTGAATCAATCCTCTTTCTTTCTTGTTTATTTATACGCAACATTTTGATGTCATTGTGACCTTTTCCAAAGGTTATTATTATGAGCGCTTGTATCATGGTTATCACCTTGAGATGAGGCTAAGATGTACTTGCACAGAAACTCAATTGTCTTCTGGAGCAATTCTTCCCAGATGGCCCTAACCATCCATTTGCCTACAATGCAAGCATAGCATAGCATACCAAAAGCAATACAAATATTTAATTAATACATGTATTGATTCATCAAATGAGTCATGTAGTTGTAAACCTAGCCTACATGTATAGATTCGCTAAGTAGAGACCGAATTATTGATATATAAGACAAACAAAAACTCCATTGTCAAACTCCGTCATCCCAGCTGATTGAAGCGTATGCTGGATTTTAAAAAGGATGGTTGGTATCTTGGTGTAAAAGAAAGGAATGAGAATGGATGGTTCAGTTTTGACATCAAAACTGTATAACAGGATGAGATGATTGATTACTTGGTAGCCTTCTTCGGCGGTGGCGGGAAATAGGGTTGTTCGACCTCCGTTACCGTTATTTGTCGACCCCCAAACGACGGCGTCTTGACGTCAAAATGCGGGTCTCGGAGCGGCAAGTCACTGGAGGGCGAAGTAGAGATTGATGATGGCTGTGGTTGATAATAGCCGGTGAATGCCACTGCTGCAGGGCTCGGTGCAGAGTTGACAAAGCCGCCGAAATGCGGAGTGTATGGTGACATACCATACTGGTACTGCGGGTGCTGTCCAGGGAAGTATGCACTTTGCATGGGTGTCAGACCGGGGGTGATGGGCATGCCAGGACCAAAGGCTGGAGACTTGAGAATCTCCTCGTACTCGCGAAGTGCCCGGTCTTCGGCGTCTCGTTCTTCTTGTTTCTCTTCCTTGCGTTGGTGGTAAGCTTCTCGTTCTTCCTTGGTGGTGAAGCAAGATATTAAGGCTAGTACAGTCTGTGCGAAGTAGATAGCTGTTGCAATAACAGTCATGGCGAAGAGGGCCTTTGCTTGTTTGCAGTATCCCACATTACCTGGGGAATAGGCAACGCTACAGGACTTAGTGATGTACCATGGCGGGCCATTCTGAGGGTGACGAGAGTCGGTGGTGTCGTGGCCAGCCTGGAAACTAGCTGCAGCAGCGTAGAGAACGCAGAGGGCGCCGTGGACAAAGGCAGAGACAGGTGGGTGGAAGAAGCGCAGGACATGGACAGGGACCTTGGTGAGGATGAAAAAGGTACTGAGTACGCCAATGACGAGGTCGTAATTATACAAACTAGAAGTGTCAGTGATTTGCCTTTTTGCAAACACTCCTGCCGAGAGTATACATACAACGAACTCCACACCATGGGCACTGCATAGGAGTTGCCGTTCGTCAAAGCATAGACTATCTGATTTGGAGCGCTGTTGAAGCCATTGTTTGCTCCGTCCTGCCACAGCCTTGTCGTGTATGTATCGTGAGAAGCAATGCCGGTCAGGATCAGCACTGGCAAGATGATAGGGCACTCGGCGAACATCAGGTAGAGCACCGCATTGTAATGGCGGTATTTCCTTGGGATGTAGACCATGATGGCGGTGTGAGCAGCTGGGTCGAGGGAGTCGGACGAGGATGGTATATCGTTCAGCCAGTCCAGCTGGCGATCAATTCATCACGAGAGTCCTTCTGTTGCTGAGAGTGTCGAGAACAGGCAGGTCTGCTCTCGACGAAGTTGAGGAGGGCATCGGGCCGGATAAGAAGGCGATGGCTGAAGCGGCGCAGACGGCGAGAGGGGTTGCAGCGAGCTCTGCGCGAATACAGAGGCAGCCATAAGCGCCGTGGTGTCGGTTGACTGCAGGTGAATGAGCGAGGGCACACCAGTCAGCGCGCAGAGGCTGGGCAGCACTAGCTGCGGGGACTGCTTAGTAGCACTTAGCAGCAACTAGTATGTGACGAAAGAGCGCATCCCGGCGTTGTGATTGGCGTCCGCTGCAGGCCGGTCACATCTCCCGCAGTGCTTGGTGCTAGTTGGCGGTGGTTGATGCCACTGGATGGTGGTTGGTGGTGGTTGGAGGTGACTGTGAGACGGTGTGTGCTAGTGCGGGCGCTTGGTCGCACTCTTGTTTGTCTGAATTATGCGACTACTTGGTTGCTGTTAGCCATGTATCCGAACACTAAAATTTGCTATGAATATTAATGTTTTCATGTATCACCATGTGGATTCAGTATGGAGCTCAGTTCTATGCCATTCAATTAAACATCATCAATAGTGAATATAAGCAATTAGACCTTGCCTTTACTTCTCACCTGAACCATTCACGTGACATGATGTCATCGATACAGATGCTGGTAAACAGTTCCGGGCAGCTTCGTGGTGTATTCACATCTTATTCCTGTTCTCGTTGGTGCCTCGGTTGACATGCCATCCACCAGCCAGCAGGCGATAAATGCGACTCTTAGCCAATATCTTACCTCCCCCGGCAAGAACTGCTCGTTGTAACCTCCGGCAACAGGCAAGACGCTACCTCTCTCTAAGCACTGCCATGGCCCCGAGAAAAGACTCAATCCCCCACGAGACACGCACAGCCGCCGAGCCCCGGCAAAACAAGCTATACCCTGTGCGCTTGGTGCATGTCGAGCAAGCCAACCCTACTATCCGTCTCCTCCGGCTGGCGTTGCCGGCGGAATCGTCGTCCGATGACGAAGCTGTATGTCTGACGCCGAATGGCATATTGCCTGCATACATCAAGTGATGTACTGTAAGACAATAAACACTAATTGTGTATATAGACCGACTCTCAACCTCAAGAGCCCTTCTCCTTCCTCCCAGGACAATGGCTCGATGTGCACGTGCCCGGCATCCAACAAGCAGGCGGCTTCACCATAACCTCAACCCCTGCCGACGCCCAACAACTGCCTACCCCTGATCCAACCGTAGTCCAAGACGGAACAGACCAATTAGCAGATCAGCATGGCGAAATCGGCGTTCCTACGATGGTTTCCAGAGGGAGATATCCCTACGTGGAGCTCGCCGTGCAAAACTCCCCGTCCAACCCGCCTGCCGCATGGCTGTGGAGACCAAAAGGGGAGATATTGGGTAGGGAGGTGAATGTGAGGGTTGGTGGGAGCTTTGTGTGGCCACCTGCCGCTTCAGTGATACGTGAAAGGGACATCAGGGAAGTCCTGTTTGTCGCTGGCGGGGTAGGCATTAAGTAGGTCACACCATCTCAATCATCGGTACATGGGTACACTCGACTCATTCTTGCACAGCCCCTTGATATCGATCCTCTCGCATATCACCGAGCCACATGAAACTACGACGGCTCCTTCTATTCCACCTCTACATGACCAACCCCGTCATGAGCCATTGAGCATTCATTTCCTTTACACAACCCGCGTCCCTCAAGCTACCACCATGTCGTCCAAAGATATCACCTACGAATCTCTCGACGAAATTCTATTCCTATCACGCCTGCGTCAAATAGTGCAACGAGTTAGTAGCCACAAGACCAAGCAACCATCATCTAATCTGAAACTCAACCTCGATCTCTATCTAACCAACGTCCCTGCATCTGCAGCCGCCGAGGCTGAAGGATTCCTCCGGGGTCCGTCAAAACTCAATTCTAACAATACCAGTTACAACAATGATCATATACGGGTGCGAAATCGTCGTATTAATAAACAGGATCTGTACGAGGCGGCAAGCAGACAGCCTGACAGGACTGTTTCTTACGTGTGTGGACCACCGCCGATGACAGACGAGTTTGTTGGGTATTTGAATACGCTTCTGGATTCGCAAAGGGTGTTGTGTGAGAAATGGTGGTAGTCATAGTAATAGGTTTCTCTAAAATATCAATTGATATCAATTTGGTTTTTCTTTCATCTTGGTATGATCAGTCTTGTGCCGACGCCCTACTTATATGCTCCATTTTAAATCAGATGCTCCTCGCGAGCACTAGCCCTAACTATACAATATATAAATATAAAAAGTAATAAATAGGAAACAAAAATAGTGAAGGGGAAAAAAAAAAAACTTTGTAAACGTTGATGGCCTGCTGAACAAACACTCGATATCTGATATATAAAAAAGCCCTTTCTGATTACGCTCGTACCTGACCTGCATCGACAATCATCATCTCATCAAGGCGGGACTCGGTATCACCATACTCAAGGCGCTTATAAGTGACAATTCGTCCAGGACCCATGTCAAATTCGTAAAATCGCATACGGCGGATATAATCATCGTAGCCCCCATAGCCTCCGAATCCAGAAGCACCTCCGTAGCACATCCACAAGTTCGGTTTGTCGCCGGAGTCTCTGTTGAGCATGCAATAGTCATTCACATGGTCACTAGAAACGTATAATCAGTATATATCCTTTAGGTATGTCTTCCAATAAAGACTTTTCAAGAACTTACTGCCCGCAACTGACGAAAAGGACGTTCTCCTCAATGAGTGCGTCCATAAAACCCGAGTTAAACGCCGGTGCAGTCGGTGCTTCAAGCCAATGACCTTTCCATGGCCTGTCCTCGCCACGGTATTCCGGCAGCGGGATATGAATGAATGCCATATTCATATGCATGTGCGTGTATTTATCGTGTTGTCTTTTGAGACTCTGAGCTGTACTCTTGAACCACCGAATCTGACTCGGTTTCAGCCAATTATACCCTTTGAACTGTCGCTCATCGGGCGAGTATGAATGTGTATCCAAAAGATATAGAGTTAATGCCGAATGTTGCGTGTTTGATCGACCCAATACTTCCACAATGTAATTTCCCACCCCCTCCACATCCTCCGGTCCAGCAGATGACAAAGAATACGGGAGGTCTTCGAGGAGATTCATAAGCTGCTCACGGTTGAGGTCTCCCTCGTCATCATGATTACCGAAAATAGCCGCATAAGGAATCTTCCGGTCCACAAGTGGTTTCACAAATTTGAAAACGGCACTTTGCGCGTCCTTCGCCGTGTCGCCATTCACCTCATCACCCGAAAAGACAACAAGATCAGGCTTCTCTTCATCTAAAAGCTTCTCAAAAAATTCCAAGGTTCGAGGATCCGCTTCACATTTCTCTCCAGGTACCCTCTCCTCCGGGACAGGATCACGGCAGACTCCAGTGCCAGTGCTCAAATGCAAATCCGCCGCTTGCATGATCTTAAAACGATCATTGTCGTTTATTTTTGGAACCGGTTTTTTTATGGTTGGCGGAACTCCACGGCGGACGGTAATGCGCGCCTCGGTAGATTCTGTCATACCGTCTAATAAAATCGGCAAGTCTTTCACCTCCCATTGAGGACGAGGATCGACGGCATCTATTCCAAATAGCACATCTAGAGATGTGAGCGTCTTCTTCGAGTCACTGACGTGGGGTTCGGCGCTGCGCTTCAACCAAATTCCGCCTGGTCTGGACTCCCACTCCTCATTGCTAGTTTTCTTGTCCTTAGAAAGTCCTGGGTTAGTCCTGCTAATGCGGAGGTCAACCACAACCTTGTCTGTTTCAAGGAGGTCTTCTTCTTTCTTTCTTTGGAAGTGGACGTAGGCGCTGGACGCCCAGGTGTTGCCCAGGTATAGATCCTTATCGATCCGATACCATACCGACGGATCGAGGGTGCAGCTTGAAAAAACATTTACCGACGAACATTTGGTGATTGTGACGTCTGTGACCACAAATCCAGGATGATGGGTAGGAAGACGACCATGTATCGAGTTTGGGAGGACACGGAACTGGTTATCGAGGAAAAGCACCAGAAGGAAAACAATAAAACCGAGAACGCTAAGCTGAGCGCCGGTACGAATCTAGATCACAGTAGGACCTATGTCAGCTATCCAACCGGAAGTGTCTCTTATCTGCTGAGAAACCTACTAAGCGGCGAGTCATATTTGGCCGTCTGCCGTCCGTCGAGATGCGGAAATCGGCTGCCTGTTGTTATGAATTAAAAGCGAGAAAGGACATGTGAGCATATTGCGACACGCTCCGAAGTGTAGGGGATAATTTCTTGTGTCAGGGGCATCCCAGATGTGTGCAGGATGAAGTCTTGGTAGTTCCCAGATATTTATCTGATGCCGAATCTGGGGAAAGCCAAATCCCCCTAGTCCGGATTACGTAAGGGAAGAACCTTGACAAATACGGACACTCGTTACTGTGCCGCTTCCTTAGTATATCATAGTGTAATAAAATTTAATCATAAATTTATATCAGGCTTATTTCAAATCTCCATATATCTTGTGTAATTAAGCATGGTCGTCTTGTTGTATCGGAATCTCTACACCTAGTAGCGCTTAGTCTAAGTCGGTGGTAGCGTCAAATCACTATATCTAATAGTAGAAGACTAAGTTGCTAATGATATAAAAGGTATGTCCATGCTATCATTTACACAGTATTTTGTATATTAAACCTGGTCTATCAAAGTATAAGAACGTCACATAGTCTCATCTTTTCGGATCTCTAGTGCCTCATAGGACTGCCCTCTATTCTAATCTATACACTTACCCTTGGTGCGCTTTTTGAAGTGCCTCCTCGGCAACTTTTTTCGCGGAGACTTTGCCGCTGTAGATATCTTTCGTCGTGGCTAGGATGGTGGACCAATCCTCAAACACGGTAAATGGCATCCCCTGGCGTTCACAGTATGTAACAAGATCTGAAATACCCGTAAGTATCCAAGTGAACACCTTTGTAATAGGAAGAAAGGAATGCCCACCGTGACCCTTCTTCGCAAAGAGCAAATCAGTTTCCGAAGCAGCCGATAAGTCTGACACACCATCACCGGCATACAAGAGAGTCGGGCGTTTCTCGGCAGGCAGGGCGGCGTATGGCTTGATCGCGAGGGACTTGTCATGACCAAAGTGACTATTTACTATCGTAAGAAAACCCTCAAAGCCAAAATTTTCAAGAGCTTCTCAAACCTGTCGTCATGGTATTTGATCTGCCAGCCTCCAGGAGTATTGATATCCTTTCCATCACGGCTTTCGACGTCATTGGCGACAATGGACAGATGTTGAGGATCCGGCTTATGACCCAGCAATACCTCAAACAACCCGCTGATAATTGGAACCATGCCAGAGGATACTACAACAATAGGAACATTGTTTTCCTTGGCCCAGTTGTAAAATTCGGTGAAATAAGGATCCAATTTCATGTTTTCTTTCAGGACTTGGATACATTCGGCAAAACCGGGTTTGACGCTGTCTAACATGTCGCGGAAGGCATCCCTGGGAATCGCAGATTGTATGTCAGTTTGGTTTAGATGAATCAAGCTATGCGAACGGACCTGAAAGTGGCCTTCCCTGTGAGAACATCCTCGTTCCCTTGTCTGCGTTTGTCGTACCCGTAACCCAAATTGTCGGTCTAGGGTTGAATCCGTAGTTAGAGGGGTGGCATTCCAGGTTGCCCATGAGAGCTTACCAAATAGTCGTTGCCTAGAAGGAATTCCGCTCGTTAGTTTCATCCCAATTACCGATAAAGAGGGCTTGCTCACTATCTTTCAGCGTAATCGTTCCATCGAAGTCTGTGAAAAAGATGATCTTCGGGTTGGTCCTGATGTACGGCAGCTCGACGGACCCCATTTTGGCGGCGGTAAAGAGAGGCTGGCGGCAGGTATCTTGAGAGTGAACGAGAGAACAGACTCAATTGAGCAAGAAAAGAGGAAAAGAAGAAAAGATCGGAGCATCGGCCGACTGTCGTTAATTTCCCCAGCGCATACGAATATTATATAAGTTAATAATACAATTATCATAGAAAAAGAGGGGCAGGCGGGGCTCCCCCATAAGCCAACCCGGACGGCCGGTGAGTCTAGATAACTGAAAAACCAAGATCCGGCCGAAAGATACTGGTCTAAAGTACAGGGATTCATATAAAGTTCGCAAATTGGCCGAAGTCGTTCCATGCACCCATGGTCTAGTGGTATGATACATCACTAGTAATATACTAGTTCATGATGGGGTCGGAATGATACTATCACTAGTAACTTGCTAGATTAATGATGGGGTCGGGAGTTCAATTCTCTCTGGGTGCAACTATTTCTGTAAACTTTTTGCTATGTGCAACAGTTTTTCATATCAAGCAATCTTTGCGGATGCTTATTTTTTTTCCTCTGTCACGTGACCAAGTTTATTATTTCATCTGGGGGTCCAGGTACAACCAGACTGCTATTTTTCCTGCTATGGAATGGCTCGTTTTCTCCAATCCCTTCGTCACATCCTCGGGATAGGCTCGTCTTCGCCAAGCACCATCAATCCATCTTCCTTCGGCCGATCTATTGACACTGACTTTACCGTGTTTCGAGGTATGTGATAAACTCCTTGCCTGTGGAGATTGACGATTTTGAGTAAATGAGCTGATGTAATCTGGACTATTACAGAGGGCGACAGAGCTATCATCCACGGCCGATCACCCTACCTGACCAAGCCGCTGAAACGTGGCGATCGAACTGAGGTCTCGCGCGGCCTTCTGTTCCATGACGATATTATAGGCAAAGCCGTCTGGGATCCTATTAAGGCGCATAAGGGTACACAAAACCATTTCGATTCATAGGTAGACGCCAAGATAGAGGCTGATTGGAAGAATTGCAGGAAAGGAATTTCGACTGAGTCTTCCAACCCTTGAAGACTATGTTGCATTCACCCCAAGACTTGTCACGCCGGTATGATGCAATTCGTTTTGACTCCATATCTACATATGTGAAAGAACATCGGATTGACTTGCTCTCGTGCTAATAGATATACGGTGCAGATGCGAGTCTGATCGTTTCACTCCTGGACATTCATGTTTCCCATCCTACCACTGCTGACGGCGACAATACTTCGAGCGCCCAACCCCTTGAAATTCTTGAAGCTGGCACCGGCCATGCTTCTTTGACTCTTCATTTGGCGCGTGCGATACAGGCTGCCAATACGAACCCACCACCTATTCCAGCAAAATCCCAGGTCCGAATCCTCAACAACCAGCCCATTCACCCATACGCGGATGAAGAAGAAAAGGAGCTCAGGAAAGAGAAAAAGGATAGCCTTGTCGAAGAAGCCCAGAAACAGTGGGACGAATGGCGTACTCGGCATCGACAAGCGGTTATCCACACAGTCGATGTGTCGGCAAAATATTCGGCGCACGCTGAGAAAATTGTGAGGGGTTTCCGTCGAGGTATATACGCCGGTAACATTGATTTCCATGTTGGTCCAGTGGAAGAGTGGATTGCAGATCAGGTCCAGCGTCGCAGGAAAAAGAGAGACGACAGCGCAGGATTATTGTCTTCTTTCAAAAGCACCCGGCCAGCCGATGTCGAACCTTTCTTATCATATGCCATTCTAGACATGCCCTCGGCTCACCAGCGAATACCACATGTGGCGCCGGTGCTGCGAAGAGGTGGCAATCTAGTAGTTTTCATGCCGAGTATCACGCAAATCGGAGATTGTGTGCAACTGATTGGAAAAGAGCGGCTCCCATTTGTACTGGAGAAAGTCGTTGAATTGGGGGTAGGGCTAACTAGTGGTCGAATGTGGGATGTCCGGATGGCTGTTAAAAAGAGTCGAGCAGATCCGTCTTCTTGGGGATCAAAGACAGAAGCCAGCCGTGAAGGGGCAGAGATGGATCATGGTGAGAAGGAAGAAGAATCCTCTGAACCTGTTCTTCCCACAGACACCCGTGATGAAAGAATTGACGAGAGTAATAATGTTTTGATCTGCCGGCCAAAAGTTGGGTTGAGAATCGTCGGAGGTGGGTTTATCGGGATATGGAGGAGGGTTGAAGACAGGAGTAATTCTGGAGATAAGTAGATAGATGTCCTTGAAGTGTACGATAGACGTGTACGATATAGAGTAGATTACTACAAAATATAGAGCCGTGTATATCATATGTATATAAACTATTTCAGCCTCGATGATGGGCCGATTCCATTTCAAATTAATAACATGTACATACTGATTGATGTCAATATAGACAAATTACTGTGCCTCCCCCGTAGATCCTTCCACAGCACCCTGTGGGAGCTTCTCCTCAATCCACGTTACTATATGTCCAGTCACCTCCTCCACAACCTCTTCAGTATCATTTGTTAGCTTGTGGTAAGCATCCTCATAAACCTTGAAGGTTTTGTCCTTGATCTTCAAATTGTCCATCAATCGTTTCGTCGCGTCGAACCAAGTTATCTTGTCTGCTGTTCCATGGCCAACCCAAATCGGGGGAATATTGTCTTCAGCAGCGATACTATGCGGATTCTTATGCAGAGCATCTAACCATGCACCTCGACCCAACATGGCGTTGAGTGCCTCCAGCGTACCGGTTTTATGAGACAAAACGGCATCTTTGCGGATACTCTCGACAACGACTGGATCTCGAGAAACCCATTTTGCGTCTATTGCTTGGACCATGGTCACTTTCGGCAGGACCTTGACTGCGACTCGGCCCAGCAACTCTACGATCTTGGGCGGTTGCGTGGTTGGATGGACAGCAACTAGCGGGGCGATCGAAACGACACCAGAAAGCTTGACCTGGCTGGTTGGGGTAGCAGGCGTTGAGGATTGCGCCGTGTAATATGGTGATTCCGGGTTTAGCGAATAGTAGAGTACATTCATACCACCCATACTGTGACCCATGAGGAACAGAGGGATGGAGCCTTCTTGGGTAAAAGGCACAACTGATTGTAGAAAGAAGTGCAAGTCGGCCATGACCACATCTGTGGTCCCAAAGTCACCACGCAATTTACGGTCAGAGGCAGAAGATTGGCCCCATCCCCTGTTTTCAATAATCAGAACGTGTGATGTGTATCCTGATGGATGGTAGACTTACCGCTGATCAAGCGCGTGTACCTCAAACCCAGAAGACGCTAAAGTGGGAAAGAATTGGAACCAAGAGTTGCCTATTTAACTGTCAATGTTGGCGTTTTGATAACTGGACGATCAACGCATGCTTACTGTGATCACTGAATCCATGGTAGAAGGCAATGATAGCTCGTGGTTTCTCTTTAGTCTAAGATTCATCAGCAAATCACATTCAGCCCGATTTTCCATGAGCAAGGTCGATGATAAGCTTCATGGATGAATCCGGTACCAACCTTCCACGTTTTTGTATAGAGCTTCGTCCCGTCAGGCAAAACCAGGGAACCCTCTTCCACGCTGTTCGCTTTGTTGTCACTCGCCATTGCAACGTTGTCGATTGGCATATTCTCAATCCCAGAGAAAGCGAGCATCTTACTATCCTTCAGACCAGGCTGACTACGGGAACTGTTCTCTACATGCCGAGGCTCATGTCAGGCGGATTACTAAGGGCGAGAGCTGGCTCCGAAGCTAACTCGAAGCATCTAACAAACGTTCCGCTTAAGCACGTGCTTTGGCGTCAAGACGACAAGAAATAACAACAATAATACTACGTATCTGTAAATTATTGGGTCACGGGGCCATTCTGAATCTGCAAAATAGAACATGGCATTTTCAAGTCTGGAAATAAAGAAGACTGCATCTCTCTATTCGACAAGTCGACAGCCAATTTGACAGCCCTATTGCGCCACAATTGCAAACAGAAAGAACAAAACACAAACCCAGGCATATTGGCACGAATAAAATGTAACAGAAGAAGAGGAAGATCTCTTGCCCTACTTAGTAAAAGTCCTGAATAACCTCACCGAACACCACGTTTCACCAACTTTCTTTAGCCATCAGAAATGATGAATAGTACAAAAGACAGCCGGACAGAATCCAAATACACAGTGTGCATCACACCCCAACATTACAAAAACCGAAAACAATAACAAAACACGGATGCAATGAAGAGTGGGGGTAAAGGGTTAGGTATGAAAGAGAGTATGCCACGCCGTCTGAAAACTTATACTTTCCAAAGAGTTGAAATAGAAGAGCCAAAGACAATTACAGGCTGCAGGGACAATAAGAGAAGTTCATAACACAGAGCGAGGAAGTGAAGCGAAAATCACACAGCAGAGATGACATCAGCAGCCCGCAAGGAGGATGGGAGAAAAAAGATTCCGAGATAGCGAAGAGAAAACCGCATTTAGAAAAAGAGTAAAAGCAACACCAGAGTTCCTCGTTATATGTAACATGCAACCGAATCCATCAAAAACTCAATTCTTCTTGTCTCGTTGCGGACCAAAATCCGCTTCCACAACCTTGCCCTTTTTCCCCTTGACTGAAAACTCGGCCAGCAATGCAAGATGATCACTAGGAAAATGATAGTTAGGAAAGCCAGGCACTCTCCGAAGATAGTCTTTGTCGACCTCGCCTAATAAGCCGGTCACATGAAGTGCAGTAGATGAGAACCAGATGTAGTCCAGAATTGAACGGAAATCAGGTGTATAATTTGTAAAACCTAACTCCCCGATGGCACTGTATGCGGATTTGAGCTTGAATGGATGCGTCATGCCTACCCGACTGAGATTACCGTACAATCTCTGTTCAAGGTCTGGATGTGCTTCGGTCAAACCGCCATTTGCAATCAGATTGTAGGCCGCTTCTCCCGGAGCTGAGTTGAAGTCTCCGCAAATCAGAAGCGGGATCTGATCACCGGAGGAATATTCTACAGACGGCGCTGGCTCGATAGGAGTAGTACTGTCTTGAGCACCACCTTCAGCTTCTGAGAATCGGAAAGCCGTCTTGTCTGTGCAAGGTGGGTATTTAGCATAGCCTTCAGCGAGCTTTGTGATCTCCTCCATCATGATGGCAGTCTGAATCAGCTTCACATCCTTGAAAGAAGGGTCCCAGTAGAGGTGAGCATTAACGACAATCACCCGGGTGCCAGTCATGCGATTTTCCAAGAATACAACGACGGCGATGTGATCCTTTTGCCAAAGACGATTGTAAATATCATCTTGACCCTTGGCATCCGGCCGTCGCACAGCTGTTTGCCCAAAATTGATCATTTGCTTATCTAGCAGAATATATTTGCTGGCCTTGAAAAATGTTGCACATCCGTCAACGGTCTTGGCTTCGTCTTCGTGCATACCCATTGCGCGACCACGTGGCCAGTAAACGCCTTTGTAGTCATTGTATGCAAGCTGCTCTCTGAAATAATCGTTATAGTTTCCTTGGTCTATTTCCTGGAGACAGGCAATGTCTGCATCGTGGCTTCGGATCTCATTTAGAATCAAGTCCCTCCGGAATTCCCAAGCCAAGGCACGCGATGGCACATAGCCATAGTGTGATGGCGATGCTGACTGGTCGCACAGCGTATTGTAGGAGAGCACTGTAATCTTGTCTGTCTGGGTATGTGATGATTTTGATGTCTCGTCTAAAACAACCCAATCCCGGTCAGAAGGTGGCAGATGCACTGCGGAAATGTCAGCAACGTGTATAAATAACCTTGAAAATCCGAAGAGAACTATATTGACTTACCAGGCATTTTTTCCAATAAATACTTGATTAAGGCCTTCGTGCCGTGAGTCTTGATTTGAGCCGACAGAGTCTCATTCAACGGATTGCCATATATGCCAAGCATTTCTAAACGGTATAGATAACCCAACTCGAATGGAAGTATTTGAATGTGGTTATCAAAAGCATAGAGTGTACGCAGATTGGTAAGCATGCCGATTTCCAGGGGAAGTTCGGTAAGGTCGTTGGCTGACACATCTAAGTGAGTAAGACTCCGAAGCTGGCCGATAGCAGATGGCAAAGTTTTGAGCTTATTGTTACTAAGATATAGCTTATTGAGAAACTGATAGTTGAATAGTGCAGTCGATATGGCACGTAGTCCTTGGCTTGTGAAATCTAGAGACGTCCAACCTTGTCGTTTGTTTTTATTGTCCTTCGAAGCTGTTGCACTAGGTCGACTGTCGCCAGTAACGTCTGGAGTATCACCGGAAGCCAGCTGGATGCCTTTTGTCTGCTGAGCAATAGTTCTCGCGTAGTAGTGAGGGGAGGTAGCTTGTCTAGCTTCGGCGGCGAGTTGCAATTGTTGTTGCCAATGCTCATTCATAGACTCGTCAATATCGTCTTCTACATTGATTGGAGTTCCGTTCTGCATATGACTAGGGGTGAAGTGGGGAGTGGTGCTTGCCAATGCGCTAGCCGTGTAGTTGGGTTGGTGGCTGAGCTGATGGGAGGATTGGTTGTGATGCGCATGGTGTTGTTGTACATGATGTGGATGGTGAGCTTGGTGCTGGAATTTCGGCATTTGCATTGCAAACCCTCGATGGGCCTGAGTACCATTCATCATGGCGGCATGCTGGCCCTGGTGTCCTTGGCTGTACATGTTGTAAGAGGTCGGGGCCGTGCCGGGAGTGTGGGAGGGCGATCGAGATGGAGCGAGACTATCGGAGAGATGTTTTAGGCTGCTGGGTGAGTTCGTGTGGTTCCGAAGAAGAGCGGGCTGTATGTGGGAGTTCTGGAACGATTGAGTTTGAAAGAGAAACTGCCCGGCACCAGGCTGTTGGGACCTATAGAGACCATCTGCCATTTAACGTGGCAGACGAGTCCGAAAAGGGTGCCCTTGAGGGGGGATCTCCGGGAGGAAAACTCGATTCCTCACCCCAGGTAGTATACGGGGACTTGAAAGAAAGTCGGCGGCGGCGATAGGAATAGGAAATCGGGCTCGTTCTCTCCTTCTCTTCAACATGGGGGTCTGAGGAGGAACCTCCCTTCGCACAACGGGTCAAGCGGGCGATTCCGAGAGTTTTGCCTTATCTCATACGGTCTCCAGCGTGGCTTCTTGTGGTCAACTATGGCTTCACTTGTACTGTGTTACGGGCCGATGTCGTAGGTAGCTTGTCTTGTCGCAATCGTGACGGCCAACACGGCAGCAGATAGGCGAGCCAAAAGGCTGGGCTTCGCAGTTGGAGGGGCTGGACGCAGAGTAAGCAGGGCAGTAAAAGAATCCAAAGGAATAGGCCACACCAGAAAGACAGATAATAATCACAGCAATCCGACAGAGATATGCTGGTAACAGGGAGGAGGGGGCTCTTCAATCAGTGTCAATCAATCAGCTGGGCGTTTGGTGGTTGGCACCGCAGATTGCATCGAAAGCGGCCGACTGGGGGCGCATCACGTGATTGACAAGGGCGCTAGGCCGCGCGCTGGTTGGTCAGGCAGCGACGCCAAGAACCAAAGGCTCAAGGCTCGAGGCTGCAGGCTCATGTTTGTACGGATACGGACGTGTTCCTTGCAACAGTGTCCTTGAAGTACATACCATTCTCAGCTTGGCCTAGAGTGGACGGCCCAGCGCGAAGGATAGAACAGCCTCTTGGTCTGTACAGTCGGAACTACGCGCATACAGAGGTTGGAAAGTGCGCAAGAGAAGAATAGCTAGATGATCACCAGTCTATGATATTAGATTTGGGCGATATTGAGAAACAATGTCCACTGGTGACCCTATTACACATTGCTGATCAATGATGGATCGGTGTTTCAAGATGGAACTTTTACCGGTAGCTATGGCTCAGTTACTACCTTGAAGGGTTCCAGGAACAAAGTCTGTCTTCTGTCGAGAGAGTAAAGTAAAATCAGAAATAGTGTTAACTCGAAACATCCATATCCGGGAGAGTTATGGCCTATTACGATGCCGTTTTCAATTGATTTGGTGCTTGCTCCCCTTGTGCTGGCTGCCTCGCCCAATTGATTGCCCAATTGCGCAAATTTGTACTCGACAGTAGCGGCCTCCCGATTGCAATCATTAAATTATTATTTAAAATATTTCATTTTATTTTTTCTATTTACTGATAAGTTATGTCGGATGAGCTTAAACTATTCGTTTATGGAGAAGAAATCTTTTTTTGGCTTATCGCCAGTGATTGCATATCGAATCGAATCTTGACTTTATTATTGTCTTAGCTATCACAGGATGCTTTTCACAAATTCATGTGTTTAAAATATTCAGATAGCAAAACTGCAGTACAATTACCTTACCCTATTAACTAATCGTTCGATATTCTCACAGGGCGTCACATAACCAGCCAGCACCATCAGGGTTGATTTGGAAGTTCAAAAAAGAGCCCCCGTCTCATCTGATATTGATCTGTACATGCACTGTCAATCGTACACAGCTAGAAATAGAACGTCGAGGACCAGCACAACCAGTTTGTCGTACTTCATCTATCCTTTGAAGAAGCTGGTGAGGATGTGGAAGATTATGGTCTAGAGAGACAACATAGTTCTATATCAGGGGTTTGTGAGAGCTTCAGTGCTAAAGGCAAAAGGTTTCTTCCGTAGCTTTGGTGAGCTTTCTTCATCTACTTTTGTAGTAACTGGCGACTTGGTGACTTTTGTGTTGCTCTCTTCTATGTATAGTGATTTTATCGACGCCGACCAGCAGCATCAGTTCGCCGACAGGCCTTGGATCAAACATCCGAATCATCAGGAGCGAATTGGAGAACTTCAAACCTACCTAGTAGATTTGCAGCAATCTCCTCTTGAACTACATCCTTTGACTACAGCAGGGGCTCACAGGGGTCTAGTCCACTATACAGGCACTTCTTGCTGTGGAAAAAGATTCTAATGTGACTCAAAACCAGTCATTTCATGCGAGTGCGAACTTGCATCATGCAGTTGAGATCGTTAAACATGCTGGAAGCATAAAGTACATGGAAGACCTACTTGAACCCATATTGTCACTACAACAGCTCTATCCTATGCATGGCGGTTGACCAGGCGCAGGCGGCCTGCCAGGGTGACCACTGAAATATGCGGCAGCGGGTGGGGGAAGATCAGACACATTATGGGCGAATGTCAAACACGAAAGGTCAAACAAATGCTGATTGCACATTTTGGTGGCGCGTGCTGGCTCACTGAAATGGCTTATTTGGGCGCCTCATTTATCATTCATGCCCCGATAGCAGCAAATCAAAAGGTCGCTGTGATCTCATTCAGACGAGGTTTCGAGATACGGGAATAGGTATATCACAGCCGAGCAGGCTTGGGGGCCGTGGAATAACATGAAGTTGACCCGGGTGATTATGAACGGTACTTGGGCATTCAGCCTGTACAAGACCCAGAGGCCACTGGATGGGGCATTGAGAGAAATTTCTCAGCACGATATTCAAGACGTGCGCATTTTTGCCACATCTGAAGATAGTTGAATACACTCCAGGTTTGTTGATGGCCTGTTGTTCTGCATATTATCAATACCATAACCCATTTTTTGTACGGCTCGCATCGCCTCACAATAATCACTACGACGGAGTAAACCGTTTATTTATGCCCCATCGGGCAGGAGGATTTGTGGCTGGATAAGCACGTGCTTGACAGAGTCAGTGCGAGATTAATCTTATCGGGGCTCATTAATGTTCTGGTATGTTTCTTGACACAGCCAGACTCTTTGATTGATACCAGCTAACAAGGATGTTGTTTTAGATACAATAATATTAATGTTGCCAGCGTTCCTTATAGGTGGTTAGCTGTGAACTTAGACTTGACTTGAAACATACCGAAGGAATGAAATCAAACCACCTTACAAAGTGGCCCAAGCAAGCTGACACTAACCAAGCATCTAGACCAAAACCTGCGCCATTTTTACCAAGGACCAACGGATCCATAATAAACCCACCTCACAGCGACGTCACACAATTTGTATGTTGGATACAAGTCACTCGCTATCTGAAAAGGCTGGCAACGGAAAAAGGCCGCACACCGCCAACGCGGGTATCAGTCATAACTTAGCTGGCACAAGATCGAGGTGATTCCTGCCATTCTCTGTAGTTGAATCCCCGTGGCCGCGAGGATTCATTAATTAGAACATTGAAAAGCGAGGCTGGAAAAAGATCTTCAGCCAATCTTTCCATGATGGTAGATGGAAGTAAGTTCTCTACCGAAAAGGCCTAATAATTCGACCAAACTAGTCTCCCCAATAAAGAGGTTAACGGTCGACGCTGTTTTCGGAAACCATTTTGATTCGCTGCTCGATGGGATGGTTGATTCGACCATGCATGATTATTGAATCATCTTTCATAGTACAGATGAGCATAGCACAGCACGGTCCAGATTGATCCATCTCGCAACCGCCAACTCCTCCCGACTTGGCGGCAGCTTCGTAGACCTTAGCAGAGGGACCCTGGTCTTAACAGCACCTGAACATCGGCAGTTAGTTGCATTATCGCGTGTTCGGCCCCGCCTACTTAGAAATGCACCACTGAGGTGCTAGTGACCGACAGACTTTTTGGCGTTTGAACTTTGATCGTGGAAAAGGGGCCATGCAATAATACGAATAATAATAATAATAATAATAATAGTTGGCGGAGGGGCATTCCGTATGGCTATGCGCACTGGACGAGGCCTCCCAAGTATCTCAGCATCCAGCCTCCAACAGTCAGCATTCGAGAATGGTTGACTACTCTGGGGCCGCAGTGTGATAAAACTCGGGGCGCTTTTGGCCGTAGATGACAAAGATGACAGACAGTTTGGTAGATAAATAAGTAGCCAGCTAGTCGCCGTTTTTTAGTCGGGATGCAAGACAGTATACTTCCTTGCCAACGCTCCCACCCCTGCAAAAAAAAAAAAACGGATTATTACGTGCCGCCAAGTCGCCGTCCACATCGGTCGAATCAATGGGTAGCGGACAAAAAATACACGTGCAGTGTTACATTTTTAATTTCTTACCGGCCACAGCTGCAGAGTCCCCGCGCCGGCGATAGTAGCCTCATCTACAAGCATATATACTGCGGGCTAGAACCGCGCGCATCCGTCTCCTGCCCATGAATTTCCCTCCACCACCGATGGCTTCGTCGTACATCCACCCGTCCCTGACGCCCCTAGGGCCATATTCCTTAGATCCACGCTTTGCGTTGACATCCTCGACGACGACGACTACTCACATTTCCAGTGACAGAGGCGCTAGCGGCAGTGCCGAGGCCTCCTCTTCGTCAGTTTCCTCCTCATCTGACTATGTCGCCAATCCTTTCACCAAGATTAACAATCGGTCCTATTTTCGCGACCCCGAAAATCCATATCCTCTGCCATGTGACCTGCCAGAAATCCACCGACAATCGTTGCGAACCATGACCCTGATGCGAGTCTTTGGTGCTCCGTCCTGTGCGCCACAGCTCGAGGGGAAGAGCCCGAAAAGGGTCTTGGAGTTAGCCTGTGGATCGGGTCTCTGGTCGAGCGCATGCCATGACTATTTAGCTCGTCGCGGGCAGAAGGATACAACTTTTATCGGCCTGGATATCATTTCACTCGCGCCGAACCTGCGCAAAAAGGGCGTCAACTGGCAATTCGTGCGGCACGATCTCCGCAAACCGTCCCTTCCATTTCCATCCGAGCACTTCGATTTCGTATTCATCAAAGATGCCAGTCTGTGCCAGTCAGCCACTGCGCAACAGATCGACCTGCTTAGCGAGCCATTACGTGTCTTGAAGCACGGAGGTGTTCTGGAGGTTTGGGATTCCGACTATGTGTTTCGTGCGCTTCTGCCGAATCCGACCCCGCCTCCGAAGCTGGCTGAGAAGGATCAGGACCAGGCCTACACTACAGCGACGTATACCATCTCATCAGCCACGCCGTTCGCCGCCGCACAGAACAAGTATTTACTGGACTATAATTCATGGGTAGAGAAAGCCTTTGAAAAGCACAAGCTCTCAGCCATGCCTTGTGCCACGATCGGACTCTCGTTTACTGCAGAGGCTGATGCGTTCCAGAGAGTGGGAAGTCGTCGCATTGCTATCCCCCTTGGCGCCGAGGTGCGATGGGAACAGACTAAAAAGCAGCGGAAATTGACTGCAGACCAACTCTCACTTCGTCAAATGGCTCTGCTCACGATCATTCAAATGATCGAAGGTATGGAGCCTATTTTGAAGGAAGCCAGTGGAAAGAGTCAAGACGAATGGGACAGGTGGTGGGCGGCTATGACAGTGGATTTGCTGCAGAAAAATGGACTTGCCAATGGCGAGTGCCTTGAAGTCGGCGCTTGGTGGGGACAAAAAGGATAACAAGCGACGGAGTGTGTGAGCAATTTTGGTGGTTTCGCGGCGTAAGCAGTTTTTGTCTTTTGTTTTATGTACCACAGCGGGAAATGAGGTTATGGGCTATGTAATTATCGACGATACCCTATTTGATTCAGGCTTGGTTGGTTGTTTCTTGACTTATGATCGTGGCGATACGGCGAATCGGTGGTGTTATTGGACTTGGTACCTTTGTTTTAGCGTGCGATATCTCTTCAGATAGTACCTGCAGCACTCTAGTCAGCCTGGCCTGCACGCGCCACCACAGGGTTGCAAACGCAATTGCAAATAAGGGAGATGCATTAATGACTTGACACGAGTTGTTATGTTCGTCCGATGAGTCTACTTACAGCGCCTCGATTTCTGCCAATGGTTAAATATAACTCAGTATTCCATTTATTTGTATCAAAATATCGCGCTCAGCTGTCAAACGCACCTTTTTTAACAAATTCGGCCCTTTTTATTCCTTCCTCGATCTCTTTATCATCGCTTAAATTTGCTTTGGCTGAGAATGCACGATGCAGTCTGGTCTTGAAATAGTCATATCCCAATGGGTAATCACGACCCATAAATAGCAGCTCTGCTTGAAGTCAGCGGGCATCGACCAGATCCTGCGACGATGACTGGGTAGGCACCTTTGTAGATTCTGATCACTTGTCTTCGCAGCTCGGGGTTTGTCATGGTTGTCTGGCGGGTACTGGTGGATTGAACTTGTCGTTGGTTTAGCTCGAGAATGCCACTTGGAGAGAAAGAAATTAGATGCAAATGTTAAGATTGTTGGAAACTGAGTGGTAGTGTTTGTTTTGTGTGATCATCGATGTTGGCACCAAGGTCGAGCGGGATGACGACGGTATTGGCGGTGGGGAAGGAGCTTCCTGCGTCCTCGGCATTCGATCCGAAGTCGGTCGGCTGTAAACATCATAATAATAATAGTAATCTGCAACGACCCCTGCAGTTACAACTACAATTCTGGCCCCAATGGTAAGAAATGCAACAATGGCCACCCCCCGCCTACTTCAAAGACAATGGCACGCATGCCGCGTCACGAGTCAGCCGGCGACAACGACGCTCTCCTCCCGGCTCAATGCAGCTTCATTCACAACAGCCCCTCCTCGCCAACAGAAATCCACCTCTTCGACTATAACACTCTCAAAACCACATACAGTTGATCCAAGATGGCTGACCATAATAAAACGGAGGATTGGAAAATGTTTAATGTTTGGATTGCAGCCGGCCCAGGTTGACGAGGCCGGGTTGATCTTGCGCCGCATTGCAAACGATTGGCGTGAGTTGATTGCTGGCAGTGAAGGGTTTTTAACGGATGAAACGAGAAGGGCGGTTTATCGTCATAATGTTGTGTGGGGAGAAATGGTGAGGCTGGATGGTAATTACCTTTCCTTCGATAATTTGATGCTTACTTGCGTGTTCGCCGCCTGGTAAAGGACGTCATGGTACGGAACCCTTTATGCTAGAATCGTTACCGGTACGCGTTTGATGCTGACATGAGATTAATTCAGGGTATGTCAAATGTTAATTTTGAATATCGTCAATTCTCGACCTGATCTGGATGTTAGGGCATGTCAACAATGTCACCTACCTTCGATACGCCGAAACCGCCCGAGTTAACTTGATGCGCAACTATGCCATACATATTGACCCTGCCCATAAGACAGAGTGGCTGAACACAGTAGGAAATCGAGGGATTGGCCTTATTTTGCAAAGTATCAAACTGGACTATAAGTTTGTTCGTCTTCCCCTTCTCCACTTTTCGAATTTGTGTCACCCTATTCTAATCTGGCCTTTCCTTCTCTTCTAGCCCATGACATGGCCAGACAAGATCACTGTCTATCATAGGCTCACGCAAGACCCTGCCGTAACACTTTCACAGTCAAGCTTTCAACAGGAGGTTTTGATTTTGTCTGAAGCAAAACAACGCCCGGCGGCAAGATGCATTGAGCACAATGTTATATACGATTATAAACTATTGCGTAGGGCTCCCAGTCCTCCTGTGTTCATCCTAGACCAGTTCAAGAGAACCTGGGAGCTACAGGAACAATCGAAACGAAAATGGCAACAACGGATAGCAGATATTGAGAACAAGGTGCGCGCATTGGAATTGGATAGCTGGGATCGGGAAGATGCGGTTGAAATGCTCGGGTCTGCGGTAAAGTCCTAGAAGATACATAATTTTTGAGAGTATTGAATTCACCTTGTCTATAACACAAGTTTTGTGTAAAGGCGCCTGGCATTGGTGTATCATTCACAACTCATATAGTCACATATAGACTCGTTTTCTAGCCACAATTCGAAATTTGAAACATCAATTGGTCAAAATCAATTTAATAAATTGACTGGCTGAAGTATAAAGATTATCAAGTAATATGTTCTAAAGATTAACAATATTGAAGTTTGTCAATGGTCATTCATAGGTTTTATATCAGTTAAATGGGACTATTCTTGCGCGGAGCACGAGACCGCCGCAGACAATCTGTCAGTCCGATACTCAATATGCTTACATGTACATGTATCTACCAATACAGCCATGGTGATTTTCTGCACAGTTCTATATACTTGAGGATGTCCGCGAATGATATCCCAGCTATTACTTGTTACTAGTCAAACGAAATATGAAAGAATAATTATCCATACCCTTCATGCAGGCTGAAGCTTACTGCATCGCGAGTGACGGCTCGGCCTGGTGGAGAGATACGGGGATGAAATGGCGAAATAAGTCGAATGATGCGTGATATTAGCTGACCATTCGAAAACCCCAATACCTAACTCGATATACTTTTACCTAGTGCGAACCGACCCTTATCTTATTCGTGCAATTTGAACCGAGTCATCCGATCTGCAAATATAACTAAATAATTAGTCTCGTAGAAAATGTCGTGTTGCCAATGACAGACAGGCTAGTCCGGTTACCCCTCTATATCGTGTGAAGAACGGTGCAAGTAGGTCACTTCTGCAGATCATTCGACCGGGTTTGGTCTAAAGTAATTGGCTGATTATATATTTTTCCATTTATTTTTTCTCACCCCACTTCAAATATTGAGTCAGAGATATTTCAGCGGACGATTATTTATGATTTAGTCTGACCTTTATGTATGCACACCTTCAAACACCCAGTACCATGGCTAGTGTGTGGCGAACCGTCATTTCTAAAGACAATGATTTAGTGTACCATTCATGCCAAGTCTAAGTCGTAGTATTACCCTGTGAGGAATGAGTACGTAGTAGAATAATCTGGGTTTGCAGATCCATGATTTTCCCGTCTTCGCCAGATGCTCCACAGTTCGCTGAAATTCTCGACTTGGAATACGGAGCGTAATTTGCATACGGAATGTATTTTTGAAAATGCTGGACGCAACATTTGAACTTGTTGTTTTCAGGTGAACAATTGGATGCATTTGCAGACCTTAGAATTGTCACTCGGATTCTTTTGACCCATAAATTACAAACATGTAATTAATTGTGTTCATTCACCGCGATTCTTATTAGTGTTCATATTGACCGGCATTTGAATCAGCTCTTCCTTGCCAATTGGTATAATGTGCCCAGGCTTTGGTGTGCTGATAAATGTACCTTACTCTTGCTTATCCGGCTACGTTAATTTGATATCAGATTTGGCATTTAATTCCTATTAATGCTTCAGGCTATATACCGGCTATGATTATGCGCGGGTTCCGGGCGACCCGGGTAAAAGGAAATGACAACACGAAGTTCTATGCTCCATTGGAGTTTATCGACCAGCTTTTAGCTGGGATTATTATCGCATATTCTACCTTTATTAACCTGTAGAAGAATCGTGTTTCGGACAACGGGATAAGACCTGTTAATGTTAAAAGTGTGTGTGACTGTGTAGTCGGATGTCAAGAAACGAAACGAATGGCAACGCTAGTCTAGTGTGGTTTTACGTGAGTTTGGCTGCTTCTAGAAGGGTCGACTACTCATGACCATGTCCAGCTGGCACCAACAACCATCTGCTAAATGTGCGAACAATTGATTCAAGTTTATGATGCTACATGTTCCAGTGATGGATGCTTCGTCACTGCGAAAGAAGAATAAGAATAAATAATAACAATAAAAATATACTTGATTCTGATAATTCCTGTCAGCACCATGGGCGCTAAACCCAGAAAACATGAAACGAGGCGCTGGTAGGCCAATCTTGATTAGGCTTTGGCTCGATCGTTAGGTATTATTCAATATTAATGTTAGTATTTCCGATGATTATTCATGAAACCTAATTATCGGCACCAAAAATAGGCACACTTTAACTGCGTCAGCGCCGCCAGAGTGTCAGCGCGTGCTAATTACTTACGTTGTAAATAATAACAATGCCTAAGCTAACTAATGATGCTAATGTTTTGGCTTGATAATCGGCAGACTCATACGCAATTTACAACGCGGTAATTTAAGTAATTTAACCTCGGAATTAGACAGCGTTCGATGGGTCCGGACGTGACGATCGACAGAAGTTACCGCATTGGGGGCTAGCGCGCGCGGCCAGGTATTTGCCATGTCCTTTTTCGCCCTTTTTCACCTGCCCAGTCAGCCCCAGCCCATCGTGATCCGCGGCTGCAGCAAGAGCCAGGCCAGAGCGAGCCAAGACCAGCCGCAGCCCAAAAATCCTCTTCTCTCATCACCACCACTACCACTCTAGCCACCACCACCACCAATTATTCTTCTTACTGCTCCTCTCTTCCTCCCTGCTCCCACCATCGCGGTCCTCATCCCCCCCGCCCGCCTTCCTACCATCTCTTTCCTTCATTTACCATTTACCATTTACCATTTACTCTCTCTTTCTTGGTCAGTCCTTCGCCCACTTGGATCCGATTGATCCCTTCCGTTGCTGACTGTCTGGCTTCGGTAGATCCGCCTTCCCGTCCATCGAGCAACCGCCCTTCTTTCCATCTCTTCCGCCCCTACGTTTCCTCGCCGTCACCATTGTTTTCGCCTTCCGACTTCTCTCGAAAACGCCTGGTCCCTAGTCCTTGGCTTCTTCCTGCCAAGCGGACTCGGAACTGGGCTCTTTGCGTCTTCCCTTGTCCATGCCACGCTCAGCGGCTGCGGCTCGGAGAGGTCATCACAACACCAACCGGAATGAAAACGGCAACCCGGTGAATGGCAGGCGTCTGAATAAGCAAAAGTCGAATGGGAACCTGAACGGGAATGCAAGCAGCGGCGCCTCCTCCCATTCCGCCTCGCAAACCGATCTCCGCCCTACCGGCGATTCGCCTGCAGTGACAACCTCCAAGGCAAATGGTGCCGTCGATGGACCCAAGCGTGATCACGCTGACAACTCATATACCAACGGCTCAGGATACAAAGCGAACGGCGAGATGGCATATGGTCATTCCAACGGTGCAGTTTCTCCTGACGGCGGTCAATCAAAAATGTCTGCTTCCTCCATCAAGCGTCAGAGCGCGTCTGTGAACCCTTTCTCCTTGGCATCTACAATCCTCAAGTCATGCCCCATGTACGACACGATCGCCATTTTGATTTTCTTGCTACAGCTGCCGCCCATCGTCCTTACCTTAGTTCAGTTCTTGTTCGCCTCTTTAACTTTCATGCCACCAGGCGGTGGCTCCGGCTCGTCCTTTACGTCCAACTTTGATATCTTCCAAGGGCCCGCCGGTACCCCTTCTTTCGGGACGATGATTGCCATGGATGGTTTCTGCCTGTTGATGTGGGGCCTATTCATGTGGACTTGGGCTCAAAATTTCGCGTTGGACTTGGCTCACGTGCAAGTAGCCATCACTCTCGGCGGTGGCGGCTCCGGAAAGAATGGAGGCGTTAATGCTCTTTGTGTCGGCACCGTTCTTCTATTGCATATTGTTCGAAGCAAAGGTGTCCAAGATTTTGTCACCGGTCACCTTGTCTCTGCAAAACTAGTTAGTCCGGACATCCTTTCGCGATGGTCCCACCTTCTCCCACAAGAATTTCGACGAGCAGAGCCGCAGTCATCTCCAAGCTGGCTCCGAAGTCTCCTCGCAATTCATATTCTGGCTCAGGCAGGGACCGCCATGGCAAGACGCTCGATGGCCCGAAATCGCTCACCCCAACCTCCCCGTTCTGGGAAGCGGGTTGACGCGGAGGCTTCTGCTGGTTCGCAGACCCAAATAGATTCGGCTTTTGAGTCGACGGCAAGTGTAACATCAATACTCGGTGGCGATGGTCCGCTTATTGGTCCCTCGGCATTGAAGGAGAACAGAGATCGTTTGCATAGCGCCAAGAAGCGAAGAAGACAGGCTAACCAGGTACGAAGTCGACAACCTTTTTGGGCTGCACTTGCAAGCACCAAAGTCACCGTTATGAGAGAATATGATCATTCTAGGGCCGTTTCTAAGACCACTCGCGGTCTCCCGATGACTGAAGATGACCTCCAAGGGATAACGCTGGATGATGGACTGATTTGGGTTACCGGTGTGGATAGTTCGACAATTAGATTTGCAGCAGGAGATTTTGCAGCTCCAGATGATGCCACGGCTACTGCAGCTTGTGAAGATGGGCCCCTGGATAATAGTGAGATGGAACCATTCTATGTTTGTGTCAACGGTGCACTATGGGCCACTGCAAATATTCACAGGACTTGCGATGGGCCAAAGGGCGCTAGTGCAGTACAGTGGAGAGGAGAAATCTCCGGCTTGGCTCCAAACTGCGCCTATACTTGTTGTTTTGTACGCAGTGACACTGATGAAGAAATCTGCTCCATGAGTGTCAAGACTCCTGCCGCTCCCGATGCCGATCAAAATACTGTCTCTAGCATACCAACCCCGCCTCGTCCGTTTCATCGACCATCATCGCCGACGACGACGTTGAGAAATTCTATCGTTAATGCCGAATCGAAACTCAATGAAAAACGAGCGCGTTTGAAGAAAGCCAAGAACGATCACAAAATTCTTATTTCTCGCATTCGGAAGGAACTGGATAATTTTAACCACAGGCTAAGCAGCGGCAATGATGAAAACCGACAAAAACAGCGATCTTTGCAGCTCGAGCGGAATATTCGTCAGACAGAGGAAGCAACAGCTGTGCTTGAGACCCAACTTGATAGTATGGACAAGATCCCGGAGGAGGAACTCACAGAGTGGACATCGCAAAAGACCGAATTCGAACGTGAATTGGAGTTGCTCAACACCGCGAAGGAAGAATTGCTCGAAGCACGTACTTCTGCTGCTCGTGATCTCGCTTCTGTTGAGTCGGACTACAACGCGGCCGTCCAAAAACGCGAGCGTCTTCAAGGCCGCAAAACTCGTCTGAATGAGCAATATGAACGGATTATCTCCGCGAACGCCCAAGGTCTTAACGAGCGGGAACGCCGGGCAGCCGAGCAATTTGCTAGAGAGCAGGATCAAGCCAAGGTTGAAGCAAACTTCAATGAGCAGCTCGCTAGCATCAGCCGTGCTATTCAGGACTATCAGTTGCGGACAAATCAGTTGTGGCAGCAAGCATCCGCGATTGAACAAGCCATCCAGCAACAGCAACAGCAAATGTTGATAGAAACTGGTCCACTAACCCCCGAAGGAACCCTGCCCGGTACCCACGATCAGAATGAAGAACCAGAAACCAACACTTCTATCAATAACTTGACCATTACCCCTGCCAACAGTCGGTCAATCCTAGGTGCAGGCTTTTCGGCTCTGAGGTCCAGCCCTCACCAAAGTGCATCCTCTCTTGTTACCGGTACGGCATCTCAAACCGCCAGTCCGATGCAGGCGACTATGCAGCACCCTTCAGGATATCAGGCTTCTCCTCGTATCAGCGTGGCAAATTACTTTGGTGGACGGGACTTTTCGTACCGTGATCGCTCATCCTCAAATCGCTCAGCACGAAGCAGCCTGTATGCCGACTACGATTTTGATGTGAGCCGCTATCTTCCTGATCCTCTGGAACGACGCAGCTCTGGATCCGATGGCAAAGGCTACGCTAGTCCTACGTACGGTGCGATTGGCAGTCATTTCACGCGAGCTGGCAGCCGTGGCAGTGGTGGTAGCAGTGGTGGTAGCGGAAGTGGCAGTGGCAGCGGCAGTCCCAGGTCTACTCGTGCCGAGGGGCTGTAAAGTCTTCTTTGTAGTGTAGTGTTATGTTGTGAAGTATATGTGTGCTATGCTCATTCTCGGTTGTCCTCTGCGCTTAGCCGTTCTCTCTCTCCCTTCATTGATCTACCTGGTCGATTGCATAGAGGTATCATCTGGGGCTATTCACCCATTCATTATTAGTATAGTGTACCTTGAAACCTGCCGCCTTATATAGTAAAGGGAATGTGGCTAGTTGGATGGGAAATGGCCTACATGTGAAATAGACGAGATACCTGTTTGGCTAGATAGATTGGTGGGCAGTCGGAGTTGACCCAAAAGATTCTGCTGATGATCATATCGTTTCTACTATGATATTTACCAAGTAATTGCCTACCACCCATCATTTGCAGTATCAAATATAGCTACACGTACATGTATTGGAAGTGGATACTTAGCTCTATTTATTAGGCATTTCATTACTCTATCTATAGATTTCTTTGCATATATGTACAACGAGTTCTGACTCCTCAAACCTCCTCACCCATTTTCCAGAAACGGGTATCAGCATACGTCACACCAAACCTGCTCGTGCCGCTCGCAGTCTCTTGCGATAGGGATATATTAGGAGAAACAGATATCAATCGTTCCACCGTGCCCAAAACAATCACATGATCGTATATTTCGATCGTCTTTTCGGGTATATACTTGCATTCGAGAATGAAACTGAAATCTTGATCATCATCGCCCTTATCCTGTTGCAATTGGGTATGTCGCCGACGTTTTCTTTTTAAACGCGGTAATGTCCCATTATTATCATCATCAGCTTCGAACTCAAACTGGCCCAGATCTAGATTCTCGTTTCCCTTTGAAAAATCACGGGCTAGTTTCGCGGCTTCCGGCGTTGGAGCCAGTAAATGCACTACAAACCGGTGTGAAGATTGCAGGGCAAGCAGTGTTTCAGATGGCTGGTGCACGTTGAAGGATATAACGGGTTTTGGGTTCAGGGTTACCGTGTTGAAAGACGATACTGTCATTCCACGAGGAGTGGTATGAGATTGCGAGGTGCGATTAGTGGAGGATGCGGAAGGTGGAGTAGTGATTATGGCAACGGGATGAGGGACGCGGCGCATTAAGAGACGGACTTGCCGGGATAACGAAGGTTCTGGCGGGAGTGTTTGCTGCGAGGATTTATTATTGGATTTATGTGTCGAGGAGAACAATCTTTTCGGTCGTTGAGTTGAGTGGGATAATGGTAGTGGGCAGCAGTGAGATGACGACGGAATATCTACGCATAGAACATCAAGTCAGCTTACGCGGATTAAATCCTCCGGGGAGTGTATATATTGCAACTTACTGCAGTGTCTATAATAAATGGGATTGCCCCCTTGTGATCCAGACCACTTCGCTGTTGATGCGAGTCTTGTGAGGAGCCTCATATCCGCAAGATGTCCAACAGCAACTTTTCAGCTCGCCATTGAGCGAAATAGAGAAAATGGTTACCTTCTGCGGCTTTCAATTTTCATAGCCAAAATATATGCAGGATCGGCATATTCATTCCCATCGATTGGGAGAGTCGTGGTGTCTAGCAAGTCTTGTTGTTGCGAATGCAAGAAAGTCAACTATTTTCTGGATTACATAAGTCAAAAAGCTTAAACTTTCTTCCCTCCGCGAGATCGTTATTCTCCCTCCGCATCACATCACAAGACCGCAGCGCAATTGAATAGCGCACGCTTTTTATTTTATTTTTAGAGCATCTCTTGAGGATTTGGACATAGCTATGTCGCTCAGCATATCCTTTCGCCGGACGGGCTCATCGCTGTCATCCACTCTAAGCCGACCAAGTCCAATTCCCTCGACGACAACATATATCTGCAACCAATGCCGGCACGCAACTCTCCTCCGCCGCCCCAAACGCCCTTATACATTCACTCAGCTCATAACACTGTCAGACGGTAGCACATACCTGCACCGCACTACCTCGCCGATCCCTGTATACCGCTCGACGCGCGACACGCGGAACTCATTACTGTGGAATCCGACCAGCAAGAAATTGGTGAACATGGAAGAAGACGAGGCTGGTCGACTAGCTGCGTTTCGGGCGAGGTTTGGAAGAAGCTATGACGCTAATTCCGGCAATGTTGAAGACGAGTCTGCTGCTGTAGCGAAGGGGGACAAGAGCCAAACACAAGCTGAGAAAGACGCTGCTGCAAAGGCGAGAGCGCAGGCCGAGGCGGAGTTACAAGAGGAGGAAGATAATTTGCTGGATTTGATTAGCTCGTTTGGCCAGGATCAGGCGTCGCAGGGGAAGAAGAAATAGGCGATTTACTCGATGTTGATTCTGCACTTGGTATGGGTTCTAAGGATAAATATTAAGGGTCGACTGTCTTGGCGGCGCAAGACTCCCAGCGGAATATCCAGTCAAGGAAACTTTATTACCTTTTCTTTTCATATGTTTAAACATTGTACATTAGCATCTTCATACATGTCATGAGACATCAACCTCACAATTCACTTCTTGCAGTGTGATAACGACTCTGAGCTACTCAACAAATCAGCCTCTTCAGAGCTTGACTTATTCGCAAATCCAAACCACTGGTATGAAAACGAAAAAGCACCCGTCATTATTTGTCTTACCTATTCATCACCGTTTTCCTATCCTTCTTTCCACATGCACCACCTCTTCATCACCCTTTTCTTCTTCTACCGAGCGAAGACATCTCTTTCCACAATCCAAATAGAAAGTATTTTCTGAATGTGGATCCAACCCTCGAATCTTGCGGCCACGCGGTGTACAGTATAGCGTTGCGAGAATGAATAAGATGAGAAGGACTAAAAAGGCAAGTCCGGAGACGAGACGCAAGAGTTCGTTAAATTCCATTTTTCGTCCCCTTTTCTTCTGTATAGCGAAGCTATTTGCTGTGATTGCAGAAGTGGTCCTCTGGCTTGGGATCAGCTAAACGTACTAACGTGTGAGTCATATGGAAATGATTCAGGATTAGACGGACTGAGTTGATGGGTTCCTCAATGTTGATAGGAGGAGATATAATATGAATGGGTGTAAGAGTAGTTCAGGTACCGATGAATGCCAATCTATTGAACCTAATGAATCGATGTTGTTTTTTTGTGCTTTATTGAATATCAATATAGATTCAATCTGCAGATAATGGTCGGGAGATACCAATGATGAATACAATTTCTTTTGGAGCGAATATGACAGACTCTCCTAGGAGAATCATAGAGTCCCGGTAGAATAACTGGTACTTTTGACGACTTTGGCGGGAACAAAGGAATGCCAGCATCGGAGTCGGTTTTAGGGCTGCCTATCTAGGTGGTCGGGGTTTACACGATATGATTTACGGTATCCCGGCGAGTCGAAATTTAACAAGAAAGATATGACGATATATTCAAGTCCTATTCATTGATAGAATAGCAGAAAGGTTCCATGTAGAGATGAACGTAGACACTTGCTCGGCTCGAGGTATTGAATATGATTACATGTATGTCAATTACTGTTCCTCCTCTGCGGCAACGGCTGCGGCAACGGCTGCTGCTCTCTCTTCTTCAGGACTCCTCGGTGGGTTTTCAGAAGAGCTTGTGTGTTCGCTACTTTGCTGTGCTAGCGGGGGAGGTGGAGCGTAGTAGGGGTTGCCTTCTTCCCCAGCATCGAGCTGTAATAGAAAACTTTCCCACAATTCGATCAACTGTCACACAGTTAGAATACAGTAGCGGGCCATGTAGATAGATAAAAGATGGTATACCTCTTTTTGAGCCTCTACTGCTCCTTCTAGGAAGGTCTCCACTCCAGACTTGAAGTCTTCCACCTTTTCCCTCTCGAATCTCTCCAATTCATTCCTCATTAGCCGGCCCATGTCCTCGAATAGTAATCGCGTTTGATGGACTTTCCGCTCTGCATCAGCAACATCCGCATTAATTTGATTGAGGCGATCTTGCTGAGATTTTCCTTGGCGAAGAAGCTTTTCTTGAGTGTTTCGTCTCTTTTGCAACTCCGCTTCTGCAGCATGCCAACTGTGGAAAGACTTTTGCCGCTGTGAAAAAGAGGTCTTGATACTGCCAATTAGTCGGATATATTCATCGATAGTGATTCCTAGAGTCAAGATATCCTGCTGTGCTTGTCGTTCGTAGAGTTCACGTATCCGAAGCTGAAGCTCTGACAATCCCTCCAAAGGACTTGAGAGAGCTGGTGACAATTCAACAGCAGCCAGTGCATGAAGAGAGGAGGAAAAATCACCAGCTGCCTCCGCAAGACCTTTTCTTTGAGCTACCACGGTATCGATGGATTTCATCAGCGCTTTAAGTTGGTTTTCTAAAGCGTCGAGATATATCTTCCGATCATGGAACCACTTTCCAAGGATTAGCATTAGCAAAGGGAAGCTAAGAGGGAAGATACCTTACATCATCGTGCTCTATGAATTTTCCGCCTCCGCCAACAGATATACCGAAAGAACTAAACATGCCTTTACTTTGGCCTAGGTCAGGCTCACGATTCTCCTTGTTCTTGACATCGAGTCCGAAACTCTCGCTTTCTAGGAAGATCTTCAAATCGGCGTCATGTTGAAGGATAGGATGTGCTGATATCTTATTGACCATACGTTCCAACGCTGCTCTTCGCGATTCCACGAAGTTGGTATCGAAACGACCGACAGCTTGTTTCTCCGGTGGGGGAGGAACAACAACCCCTGGGTTGTTAGTATGTAGTTGATTGTAGATCCAGAGAAAATCCTTGTATCGACGGCTAACTTCAAACTCAGACTGGCGATATGCTTTGGAGGTAGTCTAGACCCATAATCATTAATCACTGATTTTCTAGATCAAAGAGACCTGCCTACCTTCGTTCGGACTTGATACACAATATGGCTGCTTGTCAAATCACCAACTTTATGCGGGTCGCCAACTGTGATTGTGAATGTTGGTTTGGCGGCTTGTTCTACGCTTATACTGGGTTGTGTCTGTCTCTTCGGGGCTTCGACGCTAGGCGGTTGGACTGGAGGGGGGTTTTTTTGACGTGATTGCTCGTCATCTGGGTTGGCAGCGTCATTTAAGCCTGCACCGCTCGAAGCATGCGATAACGACGAAGATGGCCGCGCGTTCCGCACACCGATCGGCTCCTTCAACGGAGGCGCCGGTGCTTCCTCCACGAAAGAGCTCTCCCCAAGAGGACCTAAAGGATCTGTGGTGTCATCGACGGCCTCAAGCTTGGTGACTTGGGCGCTGACTTTGCGCGGCGTTCTGGGCCCACGTCGAGCAGGCGATTGTGTTGGAGCTAGAGAGTCTTGCGCCTTGTGGCTAGGGGCGGTGGCTTCTGGGGAACCTAGGAGTGAATACGATTAGAGATTGAATTATTCTTTCAGATCATGATAGTTCACCATTGCGAGTGGACGAGGTCGAGCGCGAGGGCTCATCTGTGTACACAGCATCATTAGTATCACTGGCTGTCTACAGCCCACTGGAAGGTGTCTTACCGCCCCACGGAGATTCGGCTCCGTCCAAATCCATGAAGGCGATTGAAGGCGATCGATAAACGCCTTGTCTATGTCCAAGACTTCCGATCTTTGAAGAGCAGAATTCAAAGTGAGGGCGGTGTGGAGCAGATTTGGTCGAATGTGAGCCTGTGAGGGGCGAGCTGTAAGATGACGGAGGTCGGGGTTGCGCGGTCGTATTATTTAGTATGGAGGAGCGGGCTAGTAGCTTCCGCCTGGGCCTGTCATGGCAGGCAGCCGTCCATGATACATTCGCGATGCGCCGTTGGGGCTGGACTGTTTCCATTACAATCTAGCATTTGCAATTTATTAGTTTTCCAATCTGCGCTCTCTTTTCTGCCACCTTTTTGCTCGAGTAAACGAGCGAAATGCTATTACATGGGTACCCATAAAAATCGCAGCGGTCAAAACAACCGGTCTAGTTTATTGAGCTACTCAGTAAGTCACCAATATATACTATTTACGAATCTCTGTCGTGAGCAACTGCTGGTGTCATGACAACTGAAACATCACTTCCGGTTGATATCCCAAGGCAGCCCGAGTTTGTGCATCTCAACGGCTAGTTGAAAAAGATAGTCCAAGCTTTCACATTGTGTCTTCGCCTTTGCAGGAGTTTCTCCCCAGACATAGCTAAGAATTGGTAAGTTTCAACCATCCAGATATTTTTCGTTATCTCGACTTACATTCCGTGGCGTCGCACCAGCACTGCGTAAGCATCGGGGTTAGCATCCATAGCTTTCTCCAAGCCTTCGGTGAGATCCTCCTCGTAAGGGGTATTCTCGATAATTGGAATCTTCAGAGTGTCGTGATAGTCCAGATAGCCTTTGCCTTTTCCTCTGGGGATGCCTTTTATCTGCTCGATATTGCTAATTTCAAAGTACCCCTCCTTGCCTAACTCGCGCTCAACTAGCAGCGTCACCAGGACTGCCCATTGAGAGTGGGTATGAATGCAGCAGCCAGCTCCACGATCGAAGGCAGCAAGAAACAGCGGCGTGCAGGCGGACGGTTTCAAGTCCAGCGGTTTGCGAATGTATTTCCGCGCAGATGGTGGGTATTTCGGCGTAGGATATTGTAAAACAAACAAGTTATGAGATTGGATTAGTTCTTTTTGGACACCCGACGGTGCAATAAAGATGTGTTCTCCCCGGCGAATGGATGTCTAAAGGCGACGCGTTAGAAATAATATTAGACTTGCTAGTAAGAGCACGATTCTTGGGACAAGCTCACCCCGCCCCCGGTGCCGGTAACCCATCCCCAATTATAAAACTTGCGGCACATTTCGGGAATCAAGTTTGCTGGATGCTCTGGATCAGCCGACTGGACCAGATGGTCATAATTTTCACTGTTTCCGTTCGTATCTGCCGATACGTCTGTGTTCTGTGTTGTAGCCATGGTGATGGAAAGCGGCTACCGTTGGACGACGACGTCACCGCGGGCTTTCTTCAGTCAATTCGCAGCGAATAACCCTGTCGATGAAAAGGAGTCGAGACTTGGTGAATACGGCAGTAGACAAGAGTCGACTTTGACAGAGACAAGCATAGATTAATAAACGCTGGAGGGGCGTTGTCACATACAAATTATTACAGGCAGTTTTTAGGTTGCTGAGGGGCTCGTTGTCGCCATCGCTGCTGCCATTGGTCAATTGTCGGCGAGAAGACACCGGCGGCGTTAATTGGCCGGGACACTCTTTACCTTACTTGCATCAATTTCATTATCGATATCAATAAGGATATTGATATTGCCTCTCACTAACACTCTAAATCATAGGATATCATTACATAGGCGATCAATGGGCATCTGCCTACAAAAGTGCGTTGTTCAGCAGTAATTACCTAGCAGTATAACTAATAGTTAGTTCATTAGTTAGCTACTAGTATTGCTCCACCGGCAAAGAAAGCCATGGAAAGCTTATTGGCACGCACTAATTGTATATAGGCAAGGTGCATACAACAGATGTGAGTATACCAGACTGATAAACGAAATAAGAGGACCAGAAAAGACTATTAATTCTATTCATAGACATCAAAAAGACTAGTAATATTAAGAATAAGAATAATAATAGGAGCGACACGTGATCTCAAAGAACAGCGGTTGCTGACCTAACCGGCGCTAGGCCGCAACGGTACATGGAAGCTCCCCACAGGCTGGCCAGTGAGAAGAGGCCACCTTTGACCATTCCGCGAGAGCTTCAACTTATATAGCCCCGACTGCCATCTCCCTCCGCCGGCCTCTTCCTTCTTCCCTGTGCTGTGCTGTTGCTGCTGTCGTGCTGTAGCCTTCTCCGCCAGGTGTCCCGCTTTTGAATTTTATCTCTTCAGGAAAGAGACGTTGCTGGTCTTGTTCCCTTTCCCCATCCTTTACTCGTCATCATGCGTTTCAACGCTGCTTTGGCTTCGGCCCTCGTGTCGTCGGCTGGCCTCATGGGCTACGTCCACGCCGACGAGGAAGTTCCTGCTCCTGATGCCACCACCGCTGGTGTTGAGCGTCCTACATTCACTGTATGTTGAATTGGTTACCTCCAATTCAGTCTGCGCTAATATCGTTCTCCCATTTAGCCTTCAACCATCAAAGCTCCCTTCTTGGAGCAGTTCACTGATGACTGGGACCAGCGATGGACCCCATCTCATGCCAAGAAGACTGACTCTGAAGCCACCGAGGATTGGGCCTACGTTGGAGAGTGGTCGGTTGAGGAGCCTACCGTCTTCAAGGGCATTGAGGGCGACAAGGGTCTCGTGCTGAAGAATGCCGCTGCCCACCACGCCATCTCAGCCAAGTTCCCCAAGAAGATTGATAACAAGGGCAAGACTCTTGTCGTTCAGTATGAGGTTAAGCCGCAAAGTATGCTTCTTCAGTTACCATCCCGTTTCAAAGCTAACTATATTTTCAGATTCCCTCGTTTGCGGTGGTGCCTACCTGAAGCTGCTCCAAGAGAACAAGAAGCTCCACGCCGAGGAGTTTTCCAATGCCACCCCTTACGTGATCATGTTTGGTCCGGACAAGTGCGGCAGCACCAACAAGGTAAGGAACCCCATTTTTCTCAACTGAAGCTCGTTTTAACACCGTCAAAGGTCCACTTCATCTTCAACCACAAGAATCCAAAGACGGGCGAATACACCGAGAAGCACTTGACTAGCCCCCCATCCCCCCGCACCGACAAGACTACCTCCGTGTACACTCTAATTGTCAAGCCTGACCAGACCTTCGAGATCTTGGTCAATGGCGAGAGCGTCAAGAGTGGTAACCTCTTGGAGGATTTCTCTCCCCCGGTTAACCCTCCTAAGGAAATCGATGACCCTAAGGACAAGAAGCCTGATGACTGGGTTGATGAAGCTAAGATCGCTGACCCTGAGGCCAAGAAGCCCGAGGATTGGGACGAGGAAGCTCCATTCGAAATTGTCGATGAGGAGGCCACTAAGCCCGAAGACTGGTTGGAAGAAGAGCCTCTGACCGTCGCCGACCCTGAGGCTGAGAAGCCTGAGGACTGGGATGATGAGGAAGATGGTGACTGGATCCCTCCTACCGTCCCTAACCCTAAGTGTAACGACGTCTCTGGCTGTGGTCCTTGGTCCGCCCCATTGAAGAAGAACCCTGACTACAAGGGCAAGTGGACGGCCCCCTTGATTGATAACCCTGCCTACAAGGGACCATGGGCTCCTCGTAAGATCAAGAACCCTGAGTTTTTCGAGGACAAAACCCCAGCCAACTTCGAGCCTATGGGAGCTGTAAGTCTTATGGGCTTCCACAATTGATTACTTCTTGCTAACGTATTCCTGGCAGATTGGTTTCGAGCTCTGGACTATGCAAAATGACATCCTGTTTGACAACATCTACATCGGTCACTCTGTTGAAGATGCTGCCGAATTCCGCAAGCAGACCTTCGATGTTAAGAAGCCTATCGAGACTGCTGAAGAGGAAGCCGCTAAGCCCAAAGTTGATGAGAAGGCTAAGACCAGCGTCTCCTTCAAGGAGGACCCAGTCACTTTTGTCAAGGAAAAGGTTGACCAGTTCATCACTCTCGCTAAACAGGATCCTGTCGAGGCTGTCAAGACTGTTCCTGAGGTTGCCGGTAGCCTGGGAGCTATTCTGCTCGCTGCTATCCTCTTCATTGTAGGAGCTATTGGCGCGAGCAGCCCTGCCCCAGCTAAGGTTGCCGAAAAGGGCAAGGCTGCAGCTAGCGCTGCCAAGGATAAGGCCGCTGAAGGTGTTAGCTCTGCTACAGATGCTGCCAAGGGTGCCACCAAGCGCGCCACCCGTTCGTCTGCTGAGTAGGAATGCTGTTGAGTTGAGGAGGAAGGGATGATGTGTTTATTCAGTGAGCTATTATTTATACAATCACGAGTTGCTCATACTCTTGACCTCCCCGGGTCTCCTTTTTTCATTTTATCAGATGCCGGAAAATGCTGTAAAAGTCGGTTCTTTTCTTTCCCACATTATCTATAGCGGTGGAGGAGAAGAACAACTCGAACATTTCAGATTTTGATTTGTCTTGGGGTTTCCCAGACCTGGCTGTTGGGGGCGTTCTTCTGTTCCGTTAGTTATTTTCATGTATGAATATCTCTAGCTTTTCAATATCCACTGTCCTTTTTTGGCTGTTAATCACGTTCAAGTTGTCGAAGTACATGTATTTGCTTAAATTATGGCAAGACATAGCAGGTAAATCTTAATGTCTCTTGATATAATTACTGCAGATTTACCCAAACTTCAAGCACGTTCGACAGCTGTATGTCTTGTATTATTTGCGAAGTCTATGCCAACCCTGCGTAAGCAACATCCCCGATTGCGTAGTAAGGAAAGGTTTGACGGGATGTATCGTCTGGACAGAAGACTCCGGCTTCGGGGGATGTTATTTCCATTTAGAGTCGCTAACCGAGTGTACTGATCGGTTAAGAGTCGCTTATCGTCGGCGATGTGTAGTAGGCATGGCGACTCAGGAGATGCTCCCATACAGAACCAGTGACTGACCCAAAAGGTGAAAAGACGGCATTTCAACTACAGCAAAGCCCAAGCCGCAGTCAATCTGGCGCGATTCCAATAGCCGGCGAATGTAGTGCTAGTTACAAGTTGTGAAGAGTACGTTGTAAGGTGCAAAGTGTAGTGTTGGAGAGCCTCGGCCACTCTGGGGTATTATCGGCTGGCCCGCCATACCTCGGCGATGACAGCCAATCAGCGGCCCGCGTTGCTACCCGGACAGCTCTCCGACTCCGCTGTTAAGCAGATCAGCCTCGATAACGCCTGCCGTTGATTCCTCTTCTTCCCTATGAAGCTACCATCAAGTTAGTTGTGCCATCGACAGCTATCTTATTATTTTGTCCTTTCCATCCTCCATCTGCTGCACCGTGTGTGTGTCAAATATCGTCAACTCCCCTCTCCTCACTCGCTCCCATCATGGCCGCTCGTCGCTCTCTCGCTCGCAGTCTCCCTGTTCTCCACACAGCGTCTCCCCGCACTATCCCCAGCTCCAGGCTTATCACTTCTTTAGCTTCCTCTTCAACGCGGACAACAGCTGCACCAATGAAAGCATCTGCCACGCCACTGATCGCTTCACGACGCCTGCATGCCACTGCTCGTCATCTACAAGCTGCTACCACGTCGGCTGCTTCCACCGCCACAGAGTATCCCACATCCCATGAGCGCATCTCCTCGCCCGTCGATACTACCAACTTCATTGACAACGAGTTTGTCACGTCCAAGGCTACAACATGGATTGACCTGCATGATCCCGCAACAAACAATCTAGTGACTCGCGTTCCTCAAAGCACAGATGAGGAACTCAAGGCTGCTGTCGCCTCGGCCGAGAAGGCCTTTCCCGCATGGCGCGCTACCAGCATCATGACCAGGCAACAAATCATGTTCAAGTTTGTAGGTCTCATTCGCCAACATTGGGACCGTCTTGCGGCCTCCATTACCTTGGAACAGGGAAAGACCTTTCCCGATGCCAAGGGCGACGTTCTTCGTGGTCTCCAAGTCGCGGAAACTGCTTGCGGCATCACCTCGCAGATCACCGGCGATGTGCTCGAAGTCGCCAAGGATATGGAGACTCGCAGCTACCGAGAGCCATTGGGCGTTGTGGCAGCTATTTGCCCTTTCAGTAAGTCTCCTTCATCTTTCACCTTCACCTTCCTTGTCACAAGTCACGTGTGTCGGTGATTAACTTATGATGTAGACTTTCCAGCCATGATTCCTCTATGGTGCATTCCAGTTGCCACAATCACTGGTAACTGCATCGTTGTCAAGCCATCCGAGCGAGACCCAGGAGCTGCTATGATTTTGGCAGAGCTGGCCCGCGAAGCTGGCTTCCCTCCTGGTGTTATCAACATCATTCACGGATCTGCCAAGACTGTTGATTTCATTCTTGACGAGCCTGCCATCAAGGCCATTAGCTTCGTTGGTGGCAACCGTGCCGGTGAATACATTTACACTCGTGGCAGTGCAAACGGCAAGCGAGTGCAAGCGAACCTGGGAGCCAAGAACCACGCCACCGTGATGCCTGACTGCAACAAGAATCACGCTTTGAACGCGATTTCTGGTGCGGCCTTTGGTGCTGCTGGCCAACGGTGCATGGCTCTGAGCACATTGGTCATGGTGGGAGAGACCAAGGACTGGCTGCCTGAGCTCGCAGAGCGTGCCAAGCAGCTCCAGGTGAATGGTGGATTCGAAGAGGGGGCCGATCTGGGCCCTGTCATTAGCCCTGAAAGCAAGAAGCGCATCGAGGACCTGATTGCGTCTGCTGAGAAAGAGGGGGCCACTATCCTTCTCGACGGACGAGGCTACAAGCCTGCCAAATATCCTAACGGGAACTGGGTAAGTTTGATCAAACTTTGACGGGCCGAAATGCTTATAACTTTATCAGATTGCTCCTACTATCATCACGAACGTCACCCCAGAAATGACTTGCTACAAGCAGGAAATATTCGGGCCCGTTCTGGTCTGTCTGAACGTTGAGACCTTAGACGACGCTATCAACCTGATAAACAAGAACGAGTACGGAAATGGAGAAGCAATCTTTACAACCTCTGGACCTACAGCGTCTCGCTTCCAAAAGGACATCGAGGCTGGCCAGCTTGGCATCAACGTGCCAATCCCTGTGCCTCTGCCGATGTTCTCATTCACGGGCAACAAGAAGAGCGTTGCCGGTGGTGGTGCCAGCACGTTTTATGGAAAGCCAGGGTTGCAGTTCTATACGCAACAAAAGACGGTGACAAGTCTCTGGCGTAGCGAAGATGCAACACATAGCCGGGCTAGTGTTGTGATGCCTACTCATAAGTAGGCACATATCCAAGACTGATTTATACGGAATATTTTATTGTTCTACGCTTGGGTTCAAAATTGTTCTAGTGATATCGACGACGAATATTTTTATATGGCTGAATTAGTAATTATACCTCCACGAATCTTGGTTGTAAACAATAGTCAGTTTCTGTCTACTAATAGCAAAGTAATCTAAGTCATCCATCCCACCTGCGTTCTACACATTCATCCTAGTAATACGCCAGTCTAGGCTTCAGGAGCGGGGACTGGGCCCTGGTAATCATAGACTAGTCTTGCAAGCAGGTAATTGCCGTCCTCGCTCGCAACAGCAACGCGGCGAGTATAGTAGCGCAGGCCGTCGATGGTTTCAAAGCCCCAGATCTGCAGCACCGATTAATATTCGCCCGCAATACAACAACCGAAAAGGGGATGAATGGGAAAAACTAACCTGCTCAGCAGTCCATTTAGCACTCTCACTCCTCACCCAGCTCTGCAACCACAGCCCCTCGCCTTCCCCGTACGACACTCCTTCCTTATCCTGAACCACTTCAACGTCGAAGCCCTCCGCAGCCTCACCATCGACGAGAGTCTCTCCTCGCAAAAACTTGGCAATCTTCTCCTCCTTGGGCTCGGTCTGCACCTCGATGTCCGGACGCACCTTCCCATCGGCCGCCTTCGATCCACGAATCAGACGGGTTTGACCGCTAACCGCACCAAAAATGCGGTCCTCATGGTCGCGGGGCCGCCAGTCGGCGGTGCGTTTCTCTTGGGACTGGATGCCGCCTGTGGCGGTTTGCAGAATGTCAACTTTGGTGACGGGCGCGTGCGCGGGGTCGTCGGCGTTTGGCTCGACGAATTCGCTGATGTCGAGAGTGACGGTTGCGTAGGCGATGGCTGTGCGGGTTACCCAGCTAATGCCTTGCTATGAAGCAGTCAGACAAGAGCGTAGAGATTGGATTGGCTTTGGACAGTGTGGGAAATACCAGAGCAAGAATGGGGTCGGTGTCATTGGAGAGGGTCTTGTTCTGATGCGATGTTAGCTAGCTACGATGGTTGTTGGCGACTGGGGTGCATGCGCATACCAGGATGAACTGGCCATTCAGGTTTTGGATGGTCGTCTCTGGAGGGGCAGCCATGGTGACGTCTGGGATGGTTGGCAATAATAATGATGATAATGATAATAATAAACGAATTCAGGATGATTCAGGTGAATAGATGGCACGTCAGCTCGAGAATAAGGCGGCGAGGGGCTTTCTATATATATGAAAGGAGGAGCTAATAACATCGTACCTGATTCGGCTTTTGCGGGGAACCGGCCTAGTGTTTACCCCTCGCTGTTCACTGCTTGGCTTCAGCTTTCGATTCTCCGAGGTACGATTTATTATTTAATATTAACTCCCTGCATGTGCCATCACTATTCTCCGCAGTGACCTTGCCTGAACTCTTCTCCTTAGTAGTTCTACCATGACGCTATGGCTCGTTCTTCCCCAGCCACATGGTTTATATACGATTCTAATATCATTAATTAATATTAATTCATGATCACTGCAGCGTTGAGGTCGGAATATTCGGCACTAAGCACATTGGGAAAGGATTAGAAACTTAAGAAACACCCAAAATTACGATCAATAGCGCCGAAACGCTATGCCAAAAATCAATACTACTTAATTTTCAATACCTTATCTCTGATAATAAATATTAATATAAATTTATATATAAATATATCTAAATAAATAAATTCTTTATAACTTAGATTTATATCTTAATCTAATCAAATTTAATATTAAACATAATTTATTCTAATATATTAAAAGTTTAATAATTATAAAATCTAAATTAATATAAATATTAAAAAGCCTCTTTCATCTCCTGAACCCCGATCTCCACTCACGAAGGAAGCGAAATCATAGATACCTGAGACACAAAAATGGACACAAACTGGCTGGCTGCACGCAATAACCATACATACGAAAATGGCCGCCGCTACTACGGCTTCAGGTCCGAATTCCCCTTCCCAGACGACAAAACGGCCGTCGTAGCACACGGCGCGATCAACGGCATCTGGCATGATCTCCTAGACGGCAAAACCTTTATTGCCCCTATAGAGCCAGTCCAGAAAACACACAAATTTCTCGAATTTGCTACCCGCAGCGGCTCCTGGACGCTTATGGTGCTGGAGCAACATCATCCTGCCCCGCGCTTGACGGGCATAGACGTGACCCAAATGTCTGCGAATCACCGGTATTTCGAGAACCACGACATTGAAGGCGAGTGGCCGTTCACTGCAAAACAGGCATTTCATTTGATCCATGCGCAGTCCCTGGGCGGGTTGATTGCCGACTATAACGGGTTCTACGCCAATGCGTTCCGGCATCTTCTCCCGGGCGGGTGGTTAGAAGTGTGGGAGAACGACTTGCGCTTCTTGACCGACAACCCACAGAATGAGACCCGGCTAGTGGCGCTTAGGGAATGGGAGGCACTAATGCATCAGGCGGCGGCTAGTTTTGGCAAGAGAATCAACGTGGTAGCCGAGCAGAAGGAGCTGATACACTCGGCTGGCTTTGTACAAGTCGAGGAACAGATATTCAAGGTGAGCAAGCATATTTGAAGATAATCTATGTGTATAGCTTGAGAAGCTAACTTTCGAGCACCTGCGACTAGGTCCCCTTTGATGACTGGAGTGATGACCCAAAATTGAAATGCATCGGGCGGTCCTATGTGTTCCTAATGCAGCACGCGCTGGAGGGATACACCCTACGTCTATTCACTAAAACATTGGGCTGGTCAAAGGAAGACACCGATGCCCTAATTAGTCGGGTGCAGGAGGAACTAAAACAAGATGATCTGCGGCTCTATTCATACTTCCATCTCTTTATAGGGCACAAGCCCTCAAATGCCCCTCGAAAATAATAGGAGGGAGGGTGGAAGTGTTGACAAGACAGAGAAAAGAATGAAGCATATGATCATGAAGCGGAATTAGATTAGTCAACTGTGGTGCTCAAGAGCAACTCTCCATTCAGGGAATGAATTGTCATTTGTGGTACCATAAATGATAGCTAATCAAACATTCCGGAATTACGCAGTGATTCCTCTAATGGCGAAGTTGGGCATTACTAGAGTCTAGCCTCCTCAACCAAACTGGTCCGCCAAGAGCTATATCCAAGGAAGGAAAAAGTGACTACGATCATTGCAGGATTTCTCGGTACCGACGTTGCTAGATTCCGACAATGACTAAACCCCCAACAAGACTCGCAAATCCCTCACCATGGATGGGTGTCTATAAATAACCCCTTGATAGATCTGTCCAGGGCTCAATATTACGATTCAATCGTGTCTTGTGCTTAAGCTGGCTTCAAAATGGGCTCCGAACGCTTTCCAGTTCACCACAATGGTATATACCGTAACCTGCCAACTTTCGACCCACGCATCACCGGATTGACAGCAGTCGTTACTGGAGCCAATGGCATATCGGGCTTCCATACTCTGCGAGTATTGCTTGAGAGTCCCGAAAGATGGCCGACTATCTATGCCTTGTCCCGCCGACCTCCTCCCACGGAGATGCTAGCCCTAATTCCGGAGTCTCAGCGATCGCGCGTGCAGCATGTAGCTGTGGACTTTCTTGATGATCCCTCCAAAATTGCACAAACCCTGAAATCATCCAATGTTAAAGCTGACTACATCTTCTTTTATTCCTATCTCCAGCCTACGCCATCTCCAGGTGCCCCTGTATGGTCAAATGCCGAGGAACTTGTCAAAGTCAATAGCTCTCTGCTTGACAACTTTTTACAGGCTATAACACTTGCCAATATCACACCCAGACGTTTCCTGCTCCAGACCGGCGCGAAACACTACGGCGTGCAAATCGGTCGTCTCCGTACCCCTGCTATTGAGTCTGATCCTTATTTATCTCACCTGGAACCAAATTTCTACTATCCCCAGGAAAACTCACTATTCGAATACTGTAAAACAAACAATACTTCCTGGAACGTCATCCGACCAGCTTGGGTTCTAGGTGCTGTGACCAATGCGCAAATGAACGCGCTCTTACCTGTTGCAATATACTCAGCCGTGCAAGCTCAAAAAGGAGAGCCTATATTCTTTCCCAGCGACTGGGAAACGTGGCAATATGAAGGATACCACTCGACAGCTTCATTAACTGGTTACTTGTCTGAATGGGCTGTACTGGAAGAAAAAACCAAGAATCAGGCTTTCAACGCTCAAGACACCGCCCCCGTGACTTGGGACCGATTTTACGAAGAGCTCACCCGCTGGTTCGGCGTCGAAAAGGGTATTGTTCCACCAGAGGAAGACATAACAAAGTTTGAGGAATCAATAGGAAAAGCTGGCGTTGACACGCCGATTGGGTAAATTTCCTTCTCAAATGCTTTTGTTAACTCTAGTTTTTGACCGCGTTCCTAGATACGGTCCTCCATTAGTACATCGTACCACCTTTAAACTTGTGGACTGGGCCTCAAAGCCCGAAAACAAAGCGGCGTGGTTAGAGTTGCAGAAGAAATCTGACGGCCAACTCACCGACAACCCGTTCGATGATGTCGAGGCGAATTTTGCTTTTGGTGACCAGGCGTTCAGAAAGGTACCTAGTATGTGCATGAACAAAGCTCGACAGTTAGGCTGGACCGGCTTTGTGAATACTATTGAATCTTTGTTCGAGATATACTCTGAACTAGGCGACTTGGGTATGCTACCGCGGTTGAAAGTCGACAAGGCGAAACCGCTTATCTGAATCTAAGCAGGATGGGTCCAAATTAGTATTTTTTTTAATAGATATGTTTACTAGTTAAGAATCCAAGTAACCAATTTGGTATAGCTGATGGACAAAGACAAATTTTCGTATTGAACAGGGAGCTACTAGGATGACTTCGGCCGCAGTTCTATTTCTAAGCCGCTCATAACCAGGACTTTAACATGGCCAAGTAGTCTATGTACATGTATCGATTGATTATCTTTGTATGTGTATATTCGATCGATATTGGCTGAACATAATGGAAAATCATATTATAGACCTCCATGGGAATATGTAGGGGTGTGACCCTTGTTGACAACACTGTCAATTACTTCCGACGCTGCTATAAGCTCTTCGTCTCTGCAGTTTCTTCCAACGATTTGGAAAGTCATTGGCTGATTTTTCCATAGGCCAGGAGTATCTATGTAATACTGTCAGCGCTATATGACGGCAGAATATCTAATAAAACTTACATATTTCCCAGTTGGGCTTGTCAAATGGGTTATCGCGCGGTTGGTAGCCGGCAACTCTTGCGTCATTGACAGGGTCGATCTTGAAGTCTTTCAACGGCATGATAGTAGAGGGATAATCCAAAAGATTCCAAATGGTCATATAACCCCACCAGAGACAGAAATCATGGGGAGATCCTGCTAGTGGTGCAGATGGTGCAATGATACAGTCAATTGGCTGTCCAGTCGTAGTTTCGTTGGCTGTTGTATTCCACTTTTTTATAAAACTGGCCTTGTATGCATCCTGCTTTTTGTGGGACTCGAGAATTTCTGCAACTGTATGCTTACGCACGTTGAATGCGTCGAGATTATACTGGAATTGAGCAATTAGAGGCTCTCCAGTTGATGAAAGAGCAGCCTTAGTCTCGTCTACGCCGTTTTGAAAGTAAAGAGTCCATGTGGTAATAGCAGCCTCCCATAGATCTATTGGTGGTTTGAAATCTATAATATCGTGCCCAGCAGCTTGTAGCCTGCTAGCCACCTCCTTCAAGGCACGGGTCACCGGTGGATGTGGAGTCACGACATCATCTGTCCACATAACACCTACTGCAAGCTTCGATTTTGATGGCACTTCATTCCAAAACCCAGGAATACACGAGTGCTCGTACGGGACCGTCGGATGCGTCAGGATGAGTTTCGTGAGAAGCTTGATGTCACTCATGCTGCGACAGCACGACCCGGCTGATGCTTTGATAGAGATCTGGCCGGAAGTTTGAGAAGCCATTCCGGTCCGAGGAGTTCTATCTGAGGTCGGACGTATACCATAGAGTCCATTGAAAGCAGCTGGATTGCGAATACTGCCCCCACATCCGAAGACAATGGCGCGCAAGGGGCTCCATACATAGCCACCAGAGCACCATCTCCACCATAGGAACCACCAGAGCCAAAATTTATGTTGTATGGATTTAGAGTGCGCCCCCAAAGTGGACTCACTGTCTCAAGAGCCATGCCGGTCTGTGGCATTGTCGTTCGACCAAATATTATAGCTCCAGAATCTCTCATAACTTGAATAAGTGGAGCATCCTCTTCTGCTGGTGGTCGGTCATACCAAGCAGCGCAGCCGTTCGTTGCTCTCTTGCCTTTGATAGTCCAGGTGTCCTTTATCGCGATTGGGATTCCATGCAAAGGACCTACAAGGATGCGAGTCCTGCTGAACTCGGCGTCTAATGCCTTGGCGGCTTCGATCGCCTCCTCTGGGAAAAATTCGGTGAGACAATTGACAAGCTGGTGAGCAATAGCTGCCCGCGCACAAAATGCTTCCGTTATCTCCACAGCCGTCAAACTCGCAGCGTGAACCCGGAGAATGAGTTCCGTTGTCGTCAGCTCGGTCACTTCTATCTGCTTTGGCGTAAGAATTCCACTGTGTAGGGCGACGCATTGAAGGTTAGTATCTGGTATTTTTAACGTCGAAGGCAATCTCCATCTTGCCGGAATTGAATTCCAAAGGTTTAGACGAGCTCGGGTAGAGATGAGTTTCCATTTAGGTGCATCATTGATCAAGCTCTCTGCAGGGCTGTTGGGGTCCGGCATTATCAGAATCAAGTACAGAAACACTCGTTAGCTGAAGGTCACAGCAATGCTACCACTATGTCCTATGTATGTGTCTCCAATGTCTTCGCTGCTCAGGCGGGTGCAAGTTGTATGGCACTGGTGGTCGCAAGTAGTTTTCGGGCATAGCAACCCCCATTCTGAGCCATCATCAGACGAATATCTATAGAAAGGCATACCTTGAGGCTGGACTTGCAGGTGATGTCACGGTCCAGGCTCGGTACCGAGCAGTAAAGTGCCGAAGCCCTAAAATAGCGGTAGTTCTTCCTTCTTACTAATTTTCTGGATTACCAAGCATTGTAGTGCTTGCCATGGCCAATATCGGCTAAACGTTAGCATTCATTCCATTTTATCACGTCTACTGGGATACGCGACTCTGCACACAATTTTGGTTGCTTCCTACGTCTGCATTTTGTGTTTCGGAGCCGACGATGACGCATTAACCCGAGATCCCGAGCCTGCCGACAACTAACATTTCACATCGCAACAACCATTTCGCTTGTCGACATATCAACTAGAACAAATGGAGGCTCGGGGCTCTGAGAAAGGTGGAGCACAAGATGATCGGAATACTGGCGCTTATAGACGTAGGTTAAACACATCTTGTTGGATGTGCAGGAAGCGCAAAGTCCGATGCGACGCTACTGCCGATGATCCCTGCACCTCGTGCAAACGAGCTGGGGTTGAATGCAGGTTAGTAGTAATGAGTCTGACTGAGATAGATAGGGCTGTTAATACAACCCAAGGCCCCATCCACATCAGCTCCAACCAACCATGGCTCGTCGGCGCAGAGCTGCCCAAGCCAGAAAACCTCGGGTTACCCTGGACTCAACCCTTCACACTGATCTAGATGACCAGGCTTCGCCTCTAAGCCTCCCTTCGACATCTAGCTCCGGGACACTTTCGCGCTTTTTCGAGGCTGGTATCATTTCCTCCAATTGGAACGGATTTGAGGAGAATGGCACGTTTCGAAACGTATACATCGGCACGGATACTGCGAATTTGCACCATCTGGTCCGGGATAATGAGCCACCTGGAAACAGTTTCCTTTGCTATCCATTTCCTGCAATTCGTGATGAACTGCCATGGAAGCCACAACCTGAAATGATAGGCCATCACTACCTCACGGTTGAGTCTATAAATGATCTGAGTAGCTTTCCAGTCCACCCAGTGCGAGACGCACTCGTGGAGACTTATTTCAAGGACATACACCCGGGATTTCCGGTCATTGACGAAGCCGAGTTTCGTCGAAAGTACACTGAGCCCAGCGACCCGCCATCCTTGTTAATATTTCAGGCTGTTCTTCTAGCAGCAGCTCGCATAACTGATCATCCACAAGTCGCCGCCTCCCGTGCGATGACAACAGCCACTCTTTACAGACGGGCCAAGACACTTTTTGATCTGAGACATGAAAGTGACCGCGTTGATCTTATCCAGGCCGCGCTACTGCTGGCTTGGTATACGGAAGGTTCTGATACGGTGGCCAGCAACGCGTATTATTGGGTTGGCAATGCGACTCGAATTGCTTTTGGTATGGCCTTGCATCGAACTGCATCCCTTAGATATGTACCACCTCAGAGGACACGCTATTACAGGAAATACAAAAAGATCTGGTGGATGCTTTTGTATAGTGAAGTGATGTTAGCCTTGGAGTACGGCAGACCCTGTATGATTCGTACAGAGGATTTCGATGTAGGGCCATTGGAAGACGAGGATTTCAAAAACATGGACGACTCGGAAGATAATATTGTGGATCGCGATTTCTGCTCCGTTCTATCTGACATATCTCTCGTCGCACTGGACGTTATCAGTCTCCGAGCACCCAGAGGCAAACAGACTGATGTTAACACTTCTTCTATCGAGTATCACTTGGCGCAAGTGGCATTACGTATACCCCCAAGTCATGATCTGTGGTCTTGTCAACTCCGTCTCGTCTACAACCTGGTTGTGTTGACCGTCTACCGAACCAGCAGTGCAGGCGATGCAGCGAAACTCTGCTCCGATGCAGCATCCAATATCCTCACCACTTTTGAGGCCATGATTGTGCAAGGTACAATTCGACAATGCCATCAAAGCGGTATTACGGCTCTAATGGGCGCTGCTATTCAATTTGCTCGCGAGATCAGATTGGCAGCTGCTAAAGGGTCCATCATCACAGCAATTTCGGCTCATGGCCAACTAGAACGACTTTTGGTCCCTGCAAACGCACTCTCGCCGTACTTTGCAAATATCGAGGCGATATGTAGACTCTGCAAGAGCCTCGCCGCACGTGCCGAGATGGTCATCAAAGAATGCCTGGCCCAGCATTCTCCTTTATCAACGTCCCAACTGCCTGCCAAAACCAACATTGATTGGGGAGACATTATGACGAATTATCGGATGCCAAATGTTGGGTTTGGGCTGGATACTGAGGATTGGTTGAATGACTTGTGTCGTGATTCCCTTGGCCAAGCCAATATATAATTCATTGTAGGTAACCCTAACCCTAAAAAAAAACACAAGTCGTCGAACCTGGGTTCCCGAATGGATTAGATATCGTTGGAGATTCGACTTTTTTGGGGGGTCTCAATCAGGAACTTCGGAATTATTGGCAAACTGACTGCGCAGAGAGATTGTTAGTCGATTCGGCCAGGAGGTGCTCGCTGCAGGCCTGTCTGATTACGACCCCGAAACCATTTCTCTTATATCAACTACCAAACTGATGAAACAGAAACTTGGCAGTAGATTACGGACTGTCAATGCATAGTCAAGATATCACGGGGAGCCCAGGAAATACGTGCAAGACAAAATTTCAGACCTGGGTGACGACGTGATTCATCTTATTGATGGGGAGGCCACTTTGTACGTTTGTGGAAAAGTCAGCATGTCTCAAGCCGTGAGTAAGGCTGTGGGACAAGCGATGAAGGAGACGAAGGGCTGGGATGACGGTGCTGTGCATGAGTGGTATTCGGCTATGAAACGACGGAATAAGTGGCAAGAAGATGTTTCGTCCTGATTCAAGTATGATTTCTCCATATAAAGCTTTCAAGTCAGAACAAGCTTCCGACCCGGCATTAGTTCCCTGGAACGTTTCAAATTTTAGTCAGTCGTAACTTTGGTTCGTAAACACTTCCAGAGACTCCAGGAGACCAAAGCCTTACCATGATTCCGCGACAATTCTCACCTTGAAATGCTGCAAAGTAATCTGTGGTTTATGAATCCTGACAATCAGTTTTTGAACGAAATCAAATTGGAATATTCATACAGAAATCGATGGACATGCACAATAAAACGCCGTATAAATGATTGTTGTTGGTGTCAATAGGCAGTACAATTGGCGGAAGTGCACACGTCTTTAGGTGTTGACATTTATTGGTAAACAAAAGAATGTTGGTTTCTAAGCGATCACCAATGGTATGCCTCTTTAGCATAGCTGACGTGTGGTTCATGATCTTGTATATTATTGCTAATTAAGATAAAATAGCTAAAGGTGCCAGCAGCTGAATTAAACTACTAGGTAGTAAGCATTCAGAAGCACTAATCTGTACTTGGCAATAAGCCAGCAGAATAAGGAGATAGAGAAAAGCATAACAACCAACCTAGATTTCTTCAAAAAGGAGACCAGTATGTTGAAGATATAATAATACTAAATTATTTCTACTTCATTTTTATCAACTTGTTGGGCAATAGTAACTTGACACTATTACATATGCAACTAGTATTGGCTGGCTGCCGTCCAAGGCTAAACGGGAAGCGTAATTTGCCTCCGTCAACAAAGTCAAGGTCCGACTACAGCTCGGCATCGCCTGACGATTGAGAGGGAAAGATGTCTCTGAATAAGAAATATGCCAATCTCCCTGACTTAGTGAGTTTTCTGATCGTCTATACTTATACTGGAGCGCTCTGACCGATTACCCTAGGATCTCGCGCCTGATGTTTACGAAACACCAGACCTGACCGATGGAGCATCAACAGTCCCAGTAAGCAATCAGAGTCATCCTCAAACGATAAATACTTACCACTGACAGCAGACTACAACGATCCGCACAAACTCTGACTCCGACTCCGAATCTAACCCAGACATCGACCGCAATGGACTAAACACAGACGAAGCACGATTACATTTTTTGCGCGCCAGCGGTGTCAATGCACGCGATGTTGATTTCTCTGACACAATTTCCACAAAAAGAAAAGCATACAAGAATCGCACTTCGCGACGACGCCGACGACAACACGAGGACGGTACCGAGGACTTTGGCGACTCTGGAGATAGCGATGAAGAAGAATCATTCGAACGAAAGCTGGCGCGACTGCGAAGAGAAACTGAGGAGTTGAAAGCTGAGATAGAGGAGAAGAAGCAGGAAGGGCGAGAGATAGAAAATAACAACAATACAGATATCGAGGATAGCAATGATGGAATACTGGAACTGAGCAAGGCTTTGGACACCATTCATTTCGCATCGGCACGAAACAGCACACATTCTCCAGACGCTGCCCTCTTGCATAAATTGGACATGGCGACAGCAGTAGAAAAGAAAGCCAGCACGAAAAGCAAGGACAACAACGAATCGGCAGCCAAGCTCAGCGCTGGCCCCCCTCCAGCAACTCCTTCGGGACTTCTTGCACATGCAGCTTCTTTCGATTCCCGACTTGCACTCCTTGAAAGCGCACTGGGTGTCTCTTCTGGGTCAAACCCTTTTATTGCGGAAAACAACGCTGAACCGTCGCTCCACCCAATTCTACCTGCTCTCGACCATCTCACCTCACAGCTGACTGTCTTGACAAGTACCCTCGGTGGACCGACTCCCACGTCTGCTGTGAGTACAAGCGGATCAACAACGACAACGACGATCGCATCTACAAACTCTCAATTGGAAGCCCTATCGACACGTATCAAAAAGTTGACTGCTGACGCCGATAGCCTCGCGAATGCTCGTCGGCGTGCAAGCGAAGCGGCAGCTAAATCAGCCGCCAGTGCTGATAGAATTCAAGCTAGCCCAGCAGATAATTTCGCGTCTGGCTCGTCAAATGGCACAGAAGTCAACGCCGAGACAACAACGCAGCGTGACGAACAGGCCGCTAAAATCCAGGCTCTCTACGCTACTCTGCCCACTATTCAATCTCTACATCCTGTCTTACCTAGCGTTCTCGAGCGTCTCCGGTCACTCCGAGCAATCCATGCTGGCGCAGCACAAGCAAGTGAAACTCTCGATGCACTGGAGAAAGACCAAGCAGAGATGAGCAAGGAAATCGAGCAATGGCGTGAAGGGTTACTGGTTGTTGAGGAGAAGGTCAAAGAAAGCGAGGGGGCGATGAAGAAGAATATTGATGTCGTTGGGCCATGGGTGAAGGGTTTGGAGGCAAGAATCGCTAAATTCGAGACGGATTAGTGAAAGGATGAAAAGAACCGTTACGTGAATTGCTTCGGCGTGTGGATTGAACGGCGGGCTGTACATGTTGATACCCATGAACTAATTTTCTGCACAAATTGGACTTTCTCAACTTGATATGAGTAGAAAATAATCTAATCACATAAGTCTATTTGTCTATCACGGTTCTTCTATCATGACATGAAATAAAACACAAAGATAATCACAAGAATAGAGAATAACAACGCACATCATGTATGCGGTAGGTAAAATAAACGCTTATTCAAAACAGAAAGAAATAGGGTGGCATTTAAAGAAGCGGGTTTTGTCTATATTCTGCCACAGCCGGGTTCGCAGCCTTCGTCTCTTTAGCTTGTTGGGCGTTTTGCTCGGCAGCTGCAGGCTCAATCTTCGACTGTCCAGCTTCTGGAGCTGCAGCAGGAACGTCTTCAGTGGATTCTTCTTCCGCGAGGAACTTTTCGGCTTCAAGGGCGGCGATACAGCCAGAACCTAGTGTCATATTAGAAAGGAATCATACAAACATAAAGACGGAAGGTGTGAACATACCAGCGCTAGTGATGGCTTGTCGGTATCGCTTGTCTTGAACATCACCGGCGGCGAAAACACCAGGAATAGAAGTGTAGCTAGTGCCAGGCTGTGTGACGATATAGCCCTCGGTATCCAGGTCGACCTGACTCTTGACAAGAGCCGTTGCGGGGTCATGTCCGACGGCATAGAACAGGCCGTTAGCATCGACCGTCTCTTCCTCGCCCGAGACCACGTTCTTGAGCCTAAGATGGGTCATGAGGCCTCTCGGTCCTTCTTCACCAAGAACCTGGGTGGCAACAGTGTTGAAACGCACGGTGACCTTTGAATTGGCCAGGAGACGATTCGCCATAGCCTTGCTGGCACGCAGCTTATCCTTGCGCACGAGCACAACGACATGGCTTCCGTATTTTGTCAAAAACATAGCCTCCTCTGCCGCCGAGTCACCGCCACCAATGACATACAACGGCTTGTTTCTGAAGATCGGGACCGCACCGTCGCAAACAGCGCACGCGGAGATACCATTTTGCCAATATTTCTCCTCACCGGGAAGATCTAATCGACGAGCATTGGCACCCGTGGCAATTATGACAGCGTCAGCGGTATGAGCTGGTTCCTCGTCGGGACCATCTGACCATTCTTTCCATAATCTAAATGGACGCTTGGAAAGGTCGACGCGCGAGATGGTTTCCGTGATGATCTCAGTACCGAAACGCTCGGATTGCTTGCGCATTCCATCCATGAGCTCGGATCCGTTGATTCCAGCGGGAAACCCGGGGAAGTTCTCGACATCGGTGGTGGTGGTCAGCTGGCCACCGGCAGCAGTGCCGTTGGCGAGCATACCCTCGTACAAGACGGGTTTTAATTCAGCGCGAGAGAGATAAATCGCTGCCGTGTGTGCGGCGGGGCCGGAGCCGATGACTGCGTCATTAGCATCTAGACTGTCTTCTTGTTCTTTCTCTGGGGCTGGTGAGGCTGTACATACTGACTACTTTGGAGTGCACCATTTTTTTTTGCGAAGCGACGCGCAGGGGCGTCGCAGAGGCCGATGACGAGGTGGAATTTTGCTGCAAGGAAGAGGCAAATGCAGCAGGCAGTCCGATAGACCGAATTGAGAAAGAGGAAAGACGTCGAAAAGCTGAGGAGAACACGGTGGGCGGTATTTCTGTTAAGACTGAGGGGTCACGCGTTGAGGGGTAGCACCGCTGTGAGAAGGGACTGGATCGACGGCGAAAGGAAAACCTGGGAGAGAGTCTGGACAGAGAGAGCGGTCAATTGCATCTATATAAACAACTTCTGCAAGCAGAGAACAAGCAAATTCCCAAAGACTAGCCACAGAGATCAGTAACACGGATTAATCATCGTTCGAGCCCTGTCCATCGGCCGCGCCTGGTTTTCAACGAGCCGTGTCACGTGCTGCCGGGGCTGCTTACCAACCGGCGGCTGTCTCGACCCCCCGATTAACAAACCACAGGAATTCGAGAACGCTCCTGCAGCCTGCTCCACCGGTGGCATCATCATTCTCCCGCAAGACGCAGATTGATAAGTGTTTGCTGCTCACTCAGTTACTAATCTAATCGGCAGCTGCCTGCCCCGCCGACCATGCCGCTATCCGAAATAACATCTTTCCGAATCGTACCATATCGGAACTTTGTCACATGAATCAGTCGCAAGAAAGATGAAGAAATGGTATTGATTCTCCGTTTGAAGAGCTTCTAGTTCATTAAGTGAGTATCCTAGAGAAGAATCGCTCCATTGAAGTTTAGGGATAGTGGCAAGAATGTCTAAAAGTGATATTGAACTTCGTTCTACCCTGGCAATTCACTGGTACACCAACAACCGAGAGTATCGTCGCTACATATGATCCACACCCACACAGGAAGCTTTGGATGAAGAAGGACCTGACCAAAAATGTCTACAAAATTAAAGGGGTATTGAGTAAAAAAAATATTCAAGGTGAAACCCAAGCTAGACGATACCCAACCACTTCTTCCTCTTCGGAGGGGAATCTGGCTCGTTATCGCCTTGTCTGGTAAATTCCGGCGGCCCTGGCGCTAACTGAGGAGGATAAGCTGGCGGGGTCACATCATTACTGTTGTCACTTTCCGAGTAATCGTCATCATCGTAGGCGCCATTATCATTATCTGCATGTGGATGGTCCAGATGCTGCTGTTGCTGCTGCTTTTGCCTTCCCCTACCTAGCCACTTTTTCCATCCTTTGACGATTCGGCGGGGTTCCGGGTCATATCCGCCATCATACCAAAGGGCTGGAACCAGTAATTTGTAAGGTGTGGTGATGCCTGCAGGGTCCTTGGGGTTGACTTCAAGATTTAATGTGATATCCAACCCTCCTTCCAAATTAATGAAATCCCCCGCACCGTCAGCCCCCTCGAGGTTGGCCTTCTTAGAAGCCTTTGTAGAGAGATTGGTTGGCCGTCGATGAAATACTCCGGGTCTTGGTTCGTTAGAGGGCAGATGACCATCGCTTTCTTCGGGAGGTAGTCGATTAGTTGCGTCTGTGCTGAAGCGACGCTGCTGTCCACCTTCCAGATTGAATTCCTTTGTAGGCGGAGGACCTCGGAGGGAAAGGCGTCGAAACAATCCTCCTCTGCTGTTTTGACTGTCGCCTCTGGCCCCCAGTGACAGGGTACGCTTCAATTTCCCAGGCTGTAACTGCTCTGCAGGTAGCTCTGGTGATTCAGGTGGTGTTGGCGGGGGGTTGTTCCTGAAACTATTACTTAGAAAAACAAAATACCCTAACTGTTTAATGAATATGTAGCTTACCGGGTTCATACTGTCGAATGGAACACCAATTACGGCGTGGAAGCAATCTTTTGTTGTTTCTATTCTTGCCGTCCACATCGTGCGTGAAAATTGGAATCATCTCTTCATCGGTATTCGTGTCCATGTGGTGTATCTTGTTTCGCCTGTTAAGGACATCGGCCATAATTTCGGGCGGCGGCGCGTTTACGATAGCAGAGGAAATGATATTTGGCATATAACGATAGTCCTTATCTTTAGGCAGATCGAGCTTTGAGTTTGAATAAAACTGGCCGATCGCAGCCAAATGTACATCGCCACTTTCGACGGTCAGCATCTACTATGAAGTATTTAGACAAAACTACCATACCTTAAAATCGTAACTCTAATCGACTTCTCAGCAGCGAGGTCTTGTAGATCCTCGATCAACCACGTTCGTTCATTCTTGTGGTTTTTAGCAGTCCAATGGTCGTCGAGATCGTCAAGTATCTCCACACTACCATCAAATTTGTTAACTAGGCCAGAAAACATTCCTGCCCTACTCAGAGCCTTGACTGGATCGAGGACTCGGCTAGTGAGGATATTTTCAAGCCAAACCTGGATATGTTTTCGTTAGCCAACTATTTTTCATTCAAACTTAACAAGAAAAGGTCAATCACTAACCAGTCGAGGATAAGCAATAGGCACACCCAACAGCACAATTAAGTGGTTAGTCTCGCCTTTCACAATCTCGCGATGACATCGATCCCAAATATGGTCGTATGTCTGTTCGCTTACAATTTCATCACGCTATGATCGTGTTAGCATCACATTAGAACTAGGTGAAATCGCTTTCCTTACCATGCGTTCAGTACGGCAGTCAAGGCCTAAGAATGAGACCCCTTTTCCAAAGGACATGAAGACACTTCGACTTCTCTCCTTAATGTATGGGCCAGGATTGGGGCCAAGAATCCAGCTAGGTTCATCTGCCTCGGTTTCTTCAGGCACACTCTGATGTTGGAATAGCATGTAATACTTGAACGCAATATTGCCTAGACCAGAGAAAACAGGAGATCTCATAAAGTGATCTGAGTACGAACCGAAGCCATCAATGATATCATGGTCATCCCATATATTAACCATCGGAATTTGACCGTTTGCAAGACTAAAGAGACCATGAGAGAACCATGATGCGTAGTGGTTCAAGTAAAATGTCTCTAGCTCAGCTTTCAATGCAGCACTGAATGGGGCATTGTGTTTGTGATGGGGATTCTTGATGCGCGTCCACTCTTCGAAAAGGTCAGCTTCCTCGATGACTTTGTCACAATAGATTTGGTCTCCACCCCCGATCATGATATGGAAAGGGCGAGTTTGATGCTCGTTAAGCACATCTCGCCAAAGAGGATCAGGGCCACTAAATTTGTCCCGGTCGACAGACAAGCTAAATCCGTTACACGAATGGAACATGATGTTCATCGGCTGAGCTTTAGCTGGTACCCAAAATCCGATCGCTGGACCCTCGTTAATGCGATATGCAATGCGTTCTTGCTTTTCACTCAACTCAACTTCAACGTTGAATCGCCAGAACGTCACATCCCTGGCAGGATCAGAATATAGGCGAAATCCTTTGATTTCCTCATAGAGTCCACTTTTTTCTCCGTCATCTGAATGGAGCCTATTGCTTGGAACTGGTTTTCCGACTCCATTAGAGCCATAGTCGATAGGACTAGCGGAGCTCTCAAATAGTCCGTCTTCACTCTCCACTTGCGAAAGGTCCAGCTCCTCCTCCAAATGATCAACGGGTTTGACATACAATGTGCGACCATCACGACCGCATTTAGTCAACCCTGCTGTTGGGTCAACGTATTCGGGAGCAAGATTTCCGCCGTGTTCGTCACCAATTTGTCGAGGGGGTGGCGGTAACAGATCCATGGGCTGAGAAAATATACGTAATGTCGGTGGCGTTTCAAGAGATGACAATGAGTCTGTTGTCACGATCATAATACTACCTCGCCATACTTCCTGTTCGATGGGCCCTTCAGGACCATCGATGGTGGTTCTTTTGATGCCAAGATAGCGCAACAATGGGCCACATTTCAAAAACAAAAGTGGATCAAATCGATTGCGCTCGTTCGCTTTAGGTGTAGATTTTCGATAGTCGCTAGGGAGTGCACGGCTTCTTCGTCGTTTTGAGCTATTTCCCTCTTCCCACCATGCCTTGCCTCTATCCAGATCAACACGTTCAAAGTCTCGATCTGTAAGGCGCAATCTTGCCACAGGCGCCTGCTGCCATTCGTACAATGGAGGCGGGGTCGGCGGTGGAACGTCGAATGAAACGGTGTGTCGCTTTGATTTTTTCAAGGTCGGCGTGCTCTCAATATCCTCATTCAGCTCATGCTGGTCATTCTCAACTGTCCTGTTGAGAGCTGTGCCGGCGAAGTGAGTGGGAGCAATGCCAGTTTCGTGGTCCAGAAGGTCTTCTTCAGTCACAGCCAGGCGGCGGGTATTGATAGTGGTTGCTTCCGCCTGCTGGCCCGCATAAGACTTTCGTGGCTGCTGATTGTTTTCGAGTCCCAGTAATTTGTAGGCCTTGGTGCTGCCTGAGCGTGACACCCCGGGGTTCTTTGATGCAATATTGTTGATATTCGAAGTCGATGGCCCTTGTTTGGGTAGATCCTCTGAGAGGGATGGTTCTCCATTTCCCGGGCCCCCGACACTTAGAGAGCGAGAATGCCGTTGATTCTGTTGGGGCAGTTGAGCGGAATCCCGCCGCCTCTGACCATCCTGAACAGACGAGTATTGTGGCTTACGCGCGGACTGAACTGCGGCATATTGAACTTGCTCTGGTGCTGACTCACGATCAATAGCTGACTGCCTTCTTGCATATTGATAACCTTGGTTATACCTATTAGATCGTGAATCCACAGTAGCACTTCTACGAGGCAATTCCTCGTTTACCTGTCCAATATTTCTAGTCATATTTGTCCTGTTCTCTTCGAGCTCTTCCGAGATTTCTGTATTTCGATTCTCTGTCTTGAGAGAGCCAGCCCGTGTTGTGGAACCTGTAGACTGGCTTTGTCGGCGAGCAATTTGTTCACGCAATTTCTGTTCCGCCTCTACCATTCGGGCTCTCTTTTCTTCTTTACTCATCCCCACAAGTCTTGTTTCCAATTTCTGCAGAGGCGATCGATCTACCGGCAAGCCGCGTGCTTCTCCCTGCACAGATCGGACAGTGCTGGAGCGACTGAGGGGGGATGCTTGGCTACCTAACGCCGGTCGAGCAGGCTCTGTAGGCTTTCGCAAATCAACGGTTCTGTCAACGGGTGTCAGGTCGACTAGTTGCCGTGGTGCATTAATAGGGAACGGATTCGGCTGGGATGCACGTTGGCTATCGTGCCATTGCGTTTGAATCTGCTCATTAGGCACGCCATAGGCATCATCATATTCGACAGCTCCAGGTGTAAATGTAGCTTCTGGGGCTCGGTCTCTTGACCTAGCGGAAAAGGATCGAGTGATATTTCGATATTGCGGGTTCGCATAATGGGGAACTCCACCTTTGCGATATGGGAACGAAGGCGCTCTTGGGGCTTCTGGTGCAGGAGGAGCAGGCGGAGCGAAAGGCGGAATGGGCCCTGCATCTTCCATCATTGGTCCCTCTGCCTGAGTGTCGACTTGTCTCGCTCGAGATGAGAGAGAGCGACTCGGCCCGTTACCGACAGACCTTGTTTGCGGCGCATCATAGCTGCCATTAGGTGGGAGAGACGCTCTTCTGGAGTGTGTGGCGGCCATTGGGTCGTTTGTTGGGGGAATGCGATTCGAAGAATGAAAAAAGTCGTTCAGTAAGACCAATATCAATATAAATGCAAAATAAGCTAACGACACTTATTAGATATGCCACCTTGCCGATGGCTCGTAGGGAAGATGGATCAATGGGGATGTATCCAAGACATATTCTTCGGGTGCCACCAAAAGTTTGACCCTGGGAAGCTCGATCTGGACGAGATACGGTGGGAAAGAGAAAGGTTGCTGGAGACCGTTCTCTCAAACCGGTCAGGCGAAGGTTGGGTGGAGCTGGAAGTAAATAAAGGCCCAAAACGGGTAAAACTGACTGCGGAGCTCTGATAGACGGACGGCAGCTAGGAAAGGTCGTAGATATCGAGGCGGAAGGAAATGGATGAAATGGTAGAGAAAAAAATAAAGGGGAGGGGAGAATATGTACAAGCTTGATTGACTGATTGATTGGTGATGAAGAGAAACGAAGAGGGCGGAAAAGCACAAGGCTGGTGGTTTAAAGCTGGTGGCTGGTGGCTGGTGACAGCTGGTGGCAGTTGCCCATCGTCACTTCCGCACCTGATTGGCCAATGCGCCGCAGCAAGCCGAGCCGAGCGGTTGATCGTGGATGCATCTTGTTTCCTGTGAAATTATTGATATTAGATAGTTATACATACGTGTAGTGTTGACCAAAAAGGACAAAGAGAAAAAAACCCACTGGTCATCGATAAGATTTAGCTTATCTCGAGAGTCAAGACCGTGAGAGATCCAGACTCCAGAGTCTCAGACCTAGACCCATGCGGACCACGAGCCAATGGTAGCCAGTACTCAACACTCTTGTTCCACCTCAAGGTTCCGCATACAAATGTACAGAGTAGCGGGCATAAATTGAGAGCGGCCTATATATAGCCTGCAAAGTCTATCTTGGGTATGGCTGCAAACATAAGGCGATCATATTGATTGGTTAGGAGAATGATCGAGCAGAAAGTCGTCACTAAATAGGGTATATTGACAATTTAACATGATTAATTAATAATTAATATTCAGCCAAATTCGAACCCCGACTCCAAAGTGGCGATCCTACGCTGCCTGCCGCTGCTGGTGGTCGTCGATCTGATTGGTTAGCCCCGGCCTCTTCCGCCATTCATCGACAATGGCCAAAGTGTCTCCTTATCCTTCCTCTCGTTACTACACCTCCCGACTGCAAGATTCTCTACTCATCGTGCTTGTTTTTATTCTTATTCTTTTATTCTCCCTCTATTTTGATTCCTATCTCGGTATTCCCCTCCATTTCCAAGGCTGCCGTGGCGGGATCTGCAATTCATTGTTAAATGGCCCTAGGGGACACCTGTGTCCTTTGCTAGCCGTGAAGCACCTGAAGCGGTGCTTCTCATCCACAACACCCTGAAAATGCGTGTTTTGAAGGCTGCGGCCTTTTCGCTTCTTCTTCCTGCGTCGATCGCGCAACTCGTTACTCGCACCCACGATACCCATGACTTCTTCGCACTTCACCTCGATGATTCAGTGGCCCCCGAAAACGTGGCTCAGGCTCTAGGATGTCACCACGAGGGCCAGATCGGAAGCCTACAGGGTCATCACAAATTCTCAATAGATAGAGATCAAGCACCCGCAGTGGAATTGCTCTTGGAAGAATTGCGAGTTCAGCAGAAACTCAGGCGACGGGGAAGCAGTGACGCTAGCCTTTTGCAAAAAAGAGAAGATGGTCTCGACGGGGTTCTATGGTCTCAAAAACTTGTGTTGAAGCACCGCCTGCACAAGAGGGGGCCCGTGGATCTTTCTAGCCTACCCAAACCCGACGAGCAACTCACGCCACGTCAAGTGGACCAGGATGCAATAATCAGGCAGAAGCGCATTGCTTCCGATTTGGAGATCCGAGATCCGCACTTTGACAAACAATGGCACTTGTTCAACCCTGTTCAGGTAGGAAATGATTTGAATGTGACCGGAGTGTGGCTCGAGGGCATTACGGGCAAGGGAGTCGTCACAGCCATCGTCGACGATGGCCTAGATATGGACAGCATTGACTTGAAAGACAATTTCTTTCTCAATGGGTCATGGGATTTCAATGACAACGTAAGGGAGCCGAAGCCAAGACTCTCCGATGACAGACACGGCACTCGATGTGCAGGCGAAGTCGCTGCAGTTCGGAATAATGTCTGTGGTGTCGGTATGGCTTACGATAGCAAAGTTTCGGGGATTCGCATTCTCTCGAAGGAAATTAACGATGCTGACGAAGCAACAGCCATCAACTATGGGTTCCAACACAATGACATATATTCGTGTTCATGGGGTCCCCGGGATGATGGACAAACCATGGATGCTCCTGGTCTACTAGTGAAGCGAGCAATGGTGAATGGTATTCTGCATGGACGTGATGGTAAAGGATCGATCTTTGTCTTTGCTGCCGGAAATGGTGGTGTAGCCGATGACAACTGCAATTTTGACGGCTACACGAACAGCATCTACAGCGTTACCGTCGGCGCTCTCGATCAATTAGGACACCACCCTTCCTACTCCGAGGCTTGCTCGGCACAGCTTGTGGTTGCTTACAGCAGTGGTGGAGGCAACTCTATCTATACGACTGACGTCGGCACCGAAACATGCACCGACAAGCATGGTGGTACTTCAGCCGCTGGCCCACTCGCCGCTGGTGCTATAGCACTGGCACTAAGCGTGCGACCTGACCTAACCTGGCGTGACGTTCAGTATCTCATGGTTGAAACCGCGGTCCCCATTCATGCTGAACATGATGAGGTTCAGCTAACCCCGATTGGCAGAGAATACAGTCATCAATATGGCTACGGTGTGGTGGATACTTATGCCCTCGTACAGAAGGCCAAAGACTGGGAGCTTGTGAAACCACAGTCTTGGTACACTTCGCCCTGGTTGCGTGTTCAAAAAGATATTCCAGAAGGAGATCAAGGCCTGGCCAGCTATTTCGATATAACTGCGGATATGCTCAAACAGGCAAACTTTGAGCGTGTGGAACATGTCACTGTGACTATGAATGTTAACCATACTCTGAGAGGCGATTTGAGTGTTGAGCTCCGTGGCCCTCAGGGTATTGTCAGTCATCTCAGTGTTCCAAGAAAATATGACCGCGCGGAAGCTGGTTACGTCGATTGGACTTTCATGTCCGTTGCGCATTGGTACGTACCCTAGTAGTTGTAAGCGTATCCGCCAAATGATTACTGACGATTTATTTCCAGGGGAGAGACCGGAGAAGGCGTGTGGAGCATAGTTGTGAAAGATACCAACGTCAATGAATATCATGGAGTGTTCACCGACTGGCGCCTAACTCTTTGGGGTGTTTCCATTGACCCGGCATCACAGTTGCCCCATCCTCTCCCAGAGGAAAATGACGATGACCATAATATTGAAGATGCCGTCTATGCTACAGTCAGTATCAAACCTCATACCAAGACTCAGCCAACATCTGTTGCGACCGACCACCCCGATCGCCCCGTGAACGAAAAGCCCAGTGACACCGTAGCCAAACCAACTACTACAGCAATGGCCCCTACCCCGGTGGAACAGGAAGAAGAGGAAGAAGCGAAACCATCGACGGTAACCGACGAGACATCGCCCAGCCAAACTGCATCCCAGGGGTTCCTACCGTCTTTCTTGCCTACATTCGGAGCTCAGCCTCATACCCAAATTTGGATCTATGCCTCGATAGCTCTAATCCTCATCTTTTGCCTCGCATTGGGCATCTACTTTCAGGTACAGCGACGCAAGCGTCTGAGAAACAACCCGCACGACGACTATGAATTCGAAATGATCGACGACGAAGATGATGACGCCGAAGCTCCATTGACTGGCAGACAGGGAAGAAAACGCCGAGGCGGTGAACTATACAATGCTTTCGCTGAAGAGAGCGACGAGGAGCTTCTTAGTGAAGAGGACGACGGGCCGTATCGCGACGGCACCGGACTTACAGAGAAGAGCCACAAAAACGAGCCCGAAGCATAGAGCTCTCGGCGCTTTTGCATTACAGATCTTTAAACAGTACTGCACGCACGCATGCATTTGTATATTGCTAGCATCTTCTGTCGTTGATATTATGGTTTGGGAACATGCGGCGTTCTGGCGGGGCAATGGTGTATTTATGTAGCTTGATTTTGTAGCTGAATATAAAGGGGTATATATTTTCCGACGCCTCGCTCCGTAGTCCTTTGGTTCTCTACAGTCGTCTACAGTCTACACAGTGGTGGAGAGCAGAGTGTAGATACTAGATAAGTTATAACTATACAGCTAACTGTAATTGTGATTGCATAGAACTATCAATCAGCGGGGAACAGACTAGTCCTATATAGGACTAGAGGGCTAGCGATGACGCTCGAGTCTCGACGCACAGCCAAAGGCGATCCTACGCCAATCAGCGCCCGGCGTGCAGCCCATGACATGATAATGTGCTGCCTTCCTGCCTGCCGAGCCCTGTCTCTCCATCCTCGCGTCCTCCAGCCCTAACGATCACGATAGCAGTAATACCCACTCATAGACCTCGCAATCATCCTAGAAGGCGTCTTCTCCCTTGCTTGCTCTTTCTCCTTTTCGCTCTTACGTGTCCGTCCCCCCCTTTACCCCGCGCGCCGAGGTGCCGGGAAGGTCTACTCACCGCCGACTGCCATGGATGTTCACGATGATTTCGATAACGTTTCCTGGAGGAATGATACGCACAGCGAGGGTTCACGGCCAACGACTCCGGGCACTGATTCCGAAGAGCCCGGTTATCCATCTCGCGATGTCAACGGGAAGCGCAGGATGAGCACAGCCGAAGAAGAACCCCAAGCAGGACCATTGGCCGATCCCGTTGACCTGGCTGGCATCGGAGATGGTGTCTTGGAGTGCTCGGTCGACTCGCCGCTGAAAGAGAACGATGGCACTAAAGATGCATATATTTCATACCTTGTGACTACTCATGTACGTGTGTGACATAAAACGAGTTGTATTAAAACCGCCAGCTTGACGACTTGGCGTGCTGATTCTGACCTTCTTCACTCCACACAGACAGATTTCAGGACATTTCAAAAATCAGATTTCACTGTTCGCCGCCGCTTTCGCGATTTCTTTTTCCTCTATAAGACACTCTACCGAGAATATCCTGCGTGTGCCGTTCCTCCGTTACCGGACAAACACAAGGTCGAGAGTTATGTGACCGGAGATCGGTTCGGCCCTGACTTTACGCAGCGTCGCTCGTGGTCGCTTCATAGGTTTATCAAGCGCATAACACTGCACCCCGTGCTCCGGAGAGCGCCTTTGCTGGCGATTTTCCTCGAGTCCCCGGATTGGAATGCTCATATGCGTTTACATGGCGGACGTGGTTCCACTGGGGGAACCGAGACGTCAAGTGGTATTTTTGACAACTTCACAGACACATTTGTCAATGCATTCACAAAAGTGCACAAACCCGATCGCAGGTTCATCGAAGTGCGAGAAAAAGCAGACAAATTAGACGAAGATCTCAATCATGTAGAGAAGATCGTTGCCCGAGTCGCCCGTCGTGAGACAGATCTTGAGTCTGACTATGCCGATTTAGCTACTCAGTTTCGAAAGCTGGTTCCTTTGGAGCCAGATGTGGAGATGCCACTCCAAGTCTTTGCGGCTTCTGTGGATGAGACATCACGGGGAGTGAAAGAACTTAAAGATCATACGGACCAGAACTACCTCGGCTCGCTGCGGGATATGGAGGCGTATATTCTTTCGGTAAAACAATTGCTGAAAACGCGGGAGCAAAAACAACTCGATTTCGAAGCACTCGTGGAATACCGCAACAAAGCGGTTTCCGACCGAGACTCCCTAGTCAACAACCCATCGTCATATTATGCGTCCAATCCTCTCACCTCGTCTCCGGCATCGTTCATTCGATCCAAAATGGAGGATATGCGGGGCGTTGATCATGAGCAATCTCGACGTGAGCGCGTCCGAAAACTCGAACTTCGCATTGATGAGTTGACGCGCGAGGTTGACTCTGCAAAGACTACATCTGAAATGTTTGATGAAGAAGTAGTCCGCGAGGTCGCTGATTTCGATCGTATCAAAGCGGTCGAATTCCGAGATACAATGGGAGCGCTTGCTGAGAATCATATTGAGTTTTATCAAGGTGTGATCAACACTTGGGAACGATTTATATCTGAAATGGATGGCGAACTGGGTGACGATGAACCTCGAGGCCGAAGTGATATCGTGTCATGAATATCTTAATATGCACAGTCTTATATGATCGCAAGAGGCCGGTCGCCGGCCGACTTTGCAAGGAGCGATTCTCATTCTTAGCCTGGACTATTGCTACAAATACTCGATACATAATGCATCAGTGCAAGTAAATTAATATGATTGTTTATCATCGTCGTCAGGTCGTTAATATTGACATCTAATTCGCCGGCGGAGTCGAAACCCAGATATCTCTGTGGACCATCGCCTAAACATGTCATTTTCTAGTCTCATTTTCTCCGTAATATCCACCTGTATGGTGGTGAGTCGCAAAGTCGTCGAGGTCCATGGGTCCTGACAGTACAGCAGGATCCTGAGCTCTGAGGCTGAGCTGTCGTGCTCGTTCCTAAGACATCTCCAAGTGAGCGCTTACCCTCTAGCTCTATATAGTCATACGACATCAATCCCGAAAGGTTCTATATAAACAGCATCTCCGTACCTCTCTATAAATCTGACTGGCCGTCTTTTCTACGGAGCTGCTCTTCCCAGCCAGTAACTCCAAATACGTCTCGTGATCGTATTGAATGGTCGAAAATGAGGACGTGGAAGAAGAAGAGGTCTTGTGATCTGTCGCCGAAAGCAATGATGACGACGTCTTTGACAGCGACGGTGGAATAGCTGACTGTGTACTTGAAGGAGCGCTGGCGAAGTTGGAGCGAAATAGCGGCGTACTGTTGGTGTCCTTTTTTTGTGATGAAGCTGCCATTATTGACGGCGTGTTGTTGCTGCTGCTGGTTGTGGTGTTTATTTTGGCCGATTTATCGGATTTTGCTTGACTCCTGGTTAGGAATGAGGTTAAGCCAATTGGCAATGATTTGAAATGGGAATTGATGCCGTTATAAGAGAATGGTCTGAATAGGAGAAGTGCCTCTCTAGGGTTTATCCTGACATGGGAGAAATTGAAACTCAGGAGGCAAATGCAAAGCTAGTCATGCATGTATATGCATGTGGAGGATATAATTATCTTCCCCCTCTTCAAAGGTTCCTCTTCTTCTTTCTTTCACGTCAATTCAAATATCGTCCACCGGGAACATGATTGTACAGCCTCGCTGTCCAGTCATGCGCATCAAAGCAAAACAGGTATACTACACCAACCACCAATATTATACATGATAATGCAAATTCTAGTATATAAAATTGAAGTATAATTCTTATAGCCTGAAGAATGTGAGAAAGTGTATAAGAATAGAAACGATTCACATTCGGAGACCAAATCGGCTAGAAATCAGCTAGAATTGTCACCATGGTTTGTTACACCGCATGTATGTGGCGAATCCCTGTCCTTTTTTCCCTTACTCGGTGTGTCTCCTTAAATTTCAGTCCTGAAGATTAAGACTATGGTTTGTCGTTTTGCGCCTGGAATAAAGTTTTGCTAAGGGTCAGCTGGAAATGCTGATATGGTGGTACAAATGGAGTATTGAGGTTAATTGATGCATTATTGACTAGTAAAATACTAGGGCATGCGTGGCAATATGCCTGCAGATACACCTATGCATGCATGATATACCGAAGGCGGGGGCTGAGACTAATGCTGGCTGGCTGGTGGCTGTGTCCTTGCAGGCCGTTCGGTGACTTATTGTACTCCTTTTCCGTGCATTGCATGTCAACATTGAATATGCTTTGATCATGTGGTGGATTGTCGTCAAATTTGGGGGCCTCGAGAGATCCATGTAGAATTTTGGTGTGATTACCACCTACATGTTGATGTAGGGTCCAATGGTTTTTAAATACAGGGCTTTGTGTGGATCGAAGCTTTTTCATCCTTGAGAATTAAAATTGCGGTTCAAAAATTATCGGGAGACCCTTCAAATTGGCTCACTCGGATGCATCTTTGAGAAAGGATTATAGGTGCTGTCACAAAGTTCTCGATGTACAGCGAGGAATGTCTGGTTACCAGCTCCAGACCATCCATACACGCGTAGAAGATTCGCCCATGTTGCGGACCTACCAAGATATCATCATGACCTGGGAAGTTACATTAGCATATTTATCCTGTAAATGAAGGCTAAGTCAACACTTACCGGAAATCTCGTTTCATTCTCGGAATCTAGTTTTGTAAAATGAAAGTTCACGTTAACGTAATCCGTAGCTTCATCTGGAGACGAATTATTTTTTTGTAGCATTACTAGCTCGTCAGCGCGATTTCTCATAGCAGTAAAGATTGACGCTACTTCGCCATGTTGTATTGTACCGTTTTAACCAAACGTTGATAGTAAGGTCATTAGCAGATGGAGAAAGTCGTCTGGAACAACAGCGTCCTCGTTAAGGACTTTGTTGGGTTTCGCGGCTGAGAACCGTCTCCCACAAGCTATAACGTCTTTTGCGTAGCTTGGCGTTTATGCATTGTATTTTGAACCCCATTTTAGCCTAGGCATGATGCTGTATGTTGAATGATGTTCTGTGACGAGCTGAGTAACGAATGAATAGCAGTTAACTATGAGGTCACCGACTGGATACAGCCAATGATACAAATATAGGTTTAAATGTTCAAAACAATCCTAGAATAGGCACTGGTATTTTATTGCTCAAATGCCATTCTCTGAAATCAACATTTTCTCATACACTTGAAGGTTAGTGCTGATCGCCAACTCGTAGACTGGTTATATATATCAATTGATCTAACACGCAATCCAAGCGCAATCAATCACATGATCTACTTGAATCATAACATTGGAATTGAATTATTTCCCCCTTAGTTACTAACACTTTTAGCTCCCGCCTATTAATGCTCTGAATCGAAGCAGTATGTCTGCTTGGAGCACGTGACTTGGATAGCCCTGTACCCAGGATGGCCGATGAGTCAAGTGCAGTAGAACGCTACTGGTTGATAAAAGAAGAGGCCCCTTGGTATATAGTATTTGCACTTACGGAGCGCAGACAAGACGATTCTTTGTCAGTGTAGGTTCCGATGTCGATGGTGCTGTTCTGCAACATTAAGATTTTCTGCTTTGTGTCTGCGACTACACCAATTTATATCATATTGAAATTTAGTCTTCTTGGACCTGTTGGTCCTCCTTCTTTGGGCCCTGTCCGTAGACAATGGAAAAAGTTCAAAAGTAATTAATGTTGATATGGGGAGGGCTTCTACACCCAATTTGCTGTGGCACAATATTGAAACTTTCGTCACCGTGCTGTAATGATGCAATGCAGGAGGAAAGACTCTCTGTTGCTACGCTATTAGTATTGGATCACTAGGATAGAGATGATAAGCTCAAAAACTGCAGCTTAATGAGTGATGGGTTTGAATTTGATGAGATGGCAAGTGTGGCTGTGTCCTGCAGGGCTAATGTTCTAGAATGAACGTCTATCAGCCGTAGATAAATATAGAAGCATGGATGCATACTGCATACTACATGCTACACTAAGTATGTTGTCTAATGCCACGGACGAGTCTTGCATCCCTTAGAAATCCACTCGAATCCTTGAAAGTGATTGCGCAGCTGTGCGGTGTGTGAATGTGATCTCGTGGTCTGAATAGAGTAATTGCAGCCTTAGGCGGAAATGTTTGCGTGGTTTGCATCGGCAGTATATCCTCTCTTCCCGACGTGCCGACATCATCCAATCAACAATCCAAAGCCCAACAAATCGAGTACCAATTGCCTTTGAACCACCCAATGCGGCACGTCGCGCGATCCCTCTGGCGCCCTTATGTCTGCCCGTCGTGTCGACGTGGCTTGCAACCAAGAGGGCGACGGGGCTTCTCCAGCGCCATTGGAGAAACCCCCGACATTTATGATGTCGTTTGCGTTGGAGGGGGTCCCGCTGGCCTTGCTCTAGTAGCAGCTCTTCGTATGTCTTACATGTACTGACCAGAAGGAAGACTAAGGCTAACCAATGTACGAATAGGAGCTTCACCGATCACCTCAAAACTCAGAATAGCTCTTGTCGAAAGTCAGGACCTCGCCAAATCGCGTAGCTGGGCATTGAGCCCAGATGAATACTCCAACCGATGCAGCAGCCTGACGCCGACATCTGTCTCTTTTTTGCAGAATATCGGAGCATGGAAACATGTCGACAATACTCGTGTCCAACAGTACCATGAAATGCAAGTCTGGGACGGACAAACTGGATCGAAAATCTCCTTTGACTGGTCAATTGACACATCGCCCTTTGAGGACGTCCGCTCAGTTGCCACGATGACAGAAAATGCGAATCTTGTGCGGGGATTGCTGTCCAGAATCGCAGAGCTGGATCACGACAATAGCCATCTATCAATATTCTCCAACACCACCGTCTCGTCCATAGAAAATGGCCCTCCTGGTGCTCAAGATGGCCCGGACTTGTCGGCCTGGCCGGTTCTGTCGCTCTCAAATTCTACTGCTATTTCTACGCCACAGAAACCAATCGCGGCGCGACTACTCGTCGGCGCTGATGGTATCAATAGCCCTGTTCGCTCGTTTGCAGATATCACGGCTAATGGATGGGATTACGGGCGCCATGGCGTTGTCGCTACTCTATCACTCGCGGGCGATTCTACATACTCCTCTTCCTCCCCTTTTTTTCCCGCAGGCAGTCGAACAGCATACCAGAGATTCCTCCCCTCTCTCGGTGGGCCCATTGCCATTCTGCCGCTTCCCAATAATCACGCGTCTCTGGTCTGGTCTACCAAGATCGAGAACGCAGCATATCTCAAATCACTACCGCAAGAAGCATTTATAGCCATGATCAACGCTGCTTTCCGTCTCTCAATGACCGACTTGACATACATGCTCGGCCTGGACCCAACTGCTACTTCGCCTGACAGCAAACCTACGTCTTCTGGAAGCCTTCTAACACAACACGAGGATGAGCTCAACTGGCGACTCCAACACACTCCGCTCCCGTCATCTCTCCCACCTCTTGTAACAGCCGTCCAAAATAAGAGTATCGCATCCTTCCCTCTCCGCTTCCGCCATGCCTCATCCTACATATCCCCGCGCGTAGCTCTCATCGGGGACGCAGCACACGTCATCCACCCATTAGCAGGGCAAGGACTGAACCTGGGCATGGGGGATGTGGCATCATTAGCCAACACGATTGAGTACGCGGTCAACCACGGCATGGATATCGGCGATCACCTAAGTCTAGAGAAATATATGGCCGAGCGATACCTTACGAATACCAAGATTGGTGGCATGTGCGATGTCCTGCATAAACTGTATAACGTTCCCGGGAACGGACCAGTGACGTGGGCGCGGAGTCTGGGGTTGGATGCAATTGAGAGGTTGCCCTGGGTGAAGGGGTTCATTATGAAGCAGGCAGAATAATGCCTTATATTACATTATTACCGGACAATCATCGACGAGGTCGATATGTACATGTACTCATTGATTATCATCCCTTTAGGTAGACGAGTGTATAATTATGTATTTTAGTGCCGCAAACAAGCAAAAAATGAAATTGAATAAGGTATCATTGAATCTATTGCCGGCCTTGGTAATGTAATGCGAAGTAATGCATGCTTTTACTTTGTGAATATAATCTATCCACCGATAGTTTTAATATTGATCGTCAACCATGGATCATTGATTCTCATCATTCACGGTCAAATTCGCAACACCGGCGGCAGCAGCCTCAGGGGTCGTATTAGCAGAGGCTTTCCTTGCCAGACGTGTCTTGACTTCATCAACCAAGTTCTTGATATCAACCGACACACCCTCTTTCTCCGGGTGGTCCTTGTCCAGGCCCATTTCCTTGATTTTGACCTGACCAGCAGCTAGTTCGTCTTCGCCGAGAATGACTGCAAATGGGATGCCAGAGGATTCAGCGGCGTTGAATTGTTGTTGTGGTTTAGGTTTGAGTTTGTATGAGAATTCAGCCTAAGAATTGTTAGCGTTGTTCCTTTCCATTCGCCCGATACAGAGATAAATGAAAGACATACTTTGATATTGGCATTCCATAGACTCTTGCTGATCTCCATGCGCTCTTTGAGCATGCCGCTGAACCCTTTGCCGCCGAAGGCCATAACGAAAACATCGACCTCGCTGCTTCTTACATTCCCATTATTCTCTCGCTCCATGCGCGCCTTTGTGATTGAGAAGATACGGTCGACACCAAACGAAATTCCCACGCAGGGTATTTGTGCCTTTGGTGAAAACATGCCGACGAGATTATCATATCGTCCACCCGCGGCAATACTACCCACACCGATGGTTGGGTCGTTTGATCGGTCATCATCGTCGCCCGTCGCGGCCTTGGCCTTCTTCCCTGATTTCTGTAGAGTCTGTGCCTCGGGCGCAGAGGTCGATACTGTTGGGGCTGAGCCTTCGGTGACTACCTCGTAGATGACACCGGTATAATAATCAAGACCGCGAGCTAAGCTCAAGTCAAAGGAAATGCTCTCTAGCACTCCAAATGCCTCTAAATAGTCCATAAGCAGCCCCATTTCTTCAATTCCTTGTTTGGCAGACGCATTCGCCATCAATGCCTCATCTTTCAGGAGATCCTGGAGCAAATCTTTCCTCCCCTTCTTGCTAACATATGTTTCAATTTTATCTGCGGCTTCTGGGTCGAGGCCCTTGGATTCAACCATTTCCTTGCGAACCTCAGCCCAGGGCAGTTTATCCAACTTGTCCACGGCGCTAGAAATCGGTCTGATTTTATCTTGAGGAACCCCACACACTTCAAACAGACCGTCGAGGACCTTTCTGTGGTTTATCTTGATGGTATATCGTCCGTCCCAGCCAAGTCCACTGAACACTTCGTTGATAATTTTCAAAACCTCTGCGTCGGGCACCATGGGATCGGCTTGGGCGCCGGCAATGTCGAAGTCGCACTGATAAAACTCGCGCATACGGCCCTTGGCAACAGCCGGCTGGTCGCGACGGTACACTTTGGCAATGTGATATCGCTTGATGCTCCTCACCTCCGGGTTCATGGCGAGCCATCGTGCAAAGGGGACGGTAAGATCGTATCGCAGCGAGCAGAGTTCTCCACCCTGATCCTGCAAATCATAGATGAGTTTGGAATCTTCGCCGTATTTCCCTGCGAGAATATCCCTCAGCTCGAACACAGGAGTGTCCAGGGCGGTCCCGCCGTGGCGTCGAAAGACATCGGCGATGGTGTTGAAGATGCGGTCGCGGAGGAGGGTGTCGGCGCCGGCCCAATCCCTAGTGCCCTTGGGGGTCTTCAAGTTGAAGGCGGACTTGTCTTTCCCCATGGTGTCGTCTGGAAGAAAGGCTCTGGGACTGGAGGAGAGGAAGCGACGATAGGAATGTTGTTGTGCCTGTTGCTGTTGCTGTTGCTGTTTCTGTATGGCTCTGCGCCCAAAATTTCTTGACCCCACCACTCCTCCGGCTGCAGGTGTTTCCCCCCACCGAGGCCGGGCAGCAAATGCTCTTCGGGCGAAGCAGACCAGGCCGACTGCGGGAGTCGCGCCCTTCATAAACGGGGAAAATGGGAGAAGAGACAGCCGGAAAGACGAATTAAACGAGCAGAAGGTACCACCGCGACAAGTGGTGTCTTGCAGTCGCCTGGATTAATATTCGATGTCGTCACCTTTTACCCCTTGATTGATGACTCCCGGGGCAACCTTTTTCTTCGCTCTTGATGCTTGGGTTCCTTAGACGCTAGACTGAGGTAGGACATGAGTTAGGGTTTAGGGCTTTGATTGCGATACCTTGCTTGGTCTTGGCATGATGCCTTATTTATCCGATGTACTAATCAGATCCGTACGGATTCATGCACCCTTCACAACGCTGATAATGGTAATACAACATGACATGCCCTCAATACAGGGACTACCGTACCAGTCGCGCTGCTCTGGGGGAGGCCACTGCATGGCGCTGGCCAGCCGGTTCGCAGTGCCGAGAGACGGTGGGCCCCCTAACCTTGTCCACGATTGGCCCAACCATGGCCGCCTTTAATTAATATTGAATCTCGATGGCTGGCTGCACTGTATACGATTGGCCACAGCACTCGCCCGGCAAAAAGAACAGAGTTCACCAGACAAGGTGCAGCCAGCTCTGATTGGCAGGCAGCCGCTCTTTCAGACTCCATCAGTGGGTCACAACAGGCGAATGACAGCGACCGGCGCCCGCCAGATGCCACATGTGTCTCGCGTGGCATCCTGATCGGGCATGGCGCGATCCGGATAATTAGTACTGTTGCTGTATTGCATTAATACATTAATGCATCTGGAGTAGTTCGTATAGTGGTATACTCTGTGGAATCTGCACTATGCTACAATATCATTATATGCTCTGTAAAAGTCAACAGTGGTAGTACAGCCAAGTAAGCACTAAGTAGCGAAGTAGGTAGCCTTAACTACTACCAAGGCTGGACTAATTGCTCCCTATTAGCAACTGCTCATTCTGTGTGGGAGTAGTTACACTGCGATTCGCATTAGTAATATTGATACTATTACAGATTAATAATATACCGATGTATAGTTATTGATGTATATTGGTATTATACTAATATTAATTAATATATATAATGCAACTCCCTCGTCCAGAACGATCGGCGGCTTCTGTCGTCACTGCTCCCGCTTCTAAACGCCGCGCTGCTGCATCTGCCTTTCCCCTTCGTGCCACTGCATATTATTACTCAATTCAGCCGGCATATATACTATACTATCATACTGCACAGTCCACGCACTGGCCGCACTGTACGGGGGAAAAATACTCCATTTCTGCTCTGATGTCGGACTCTTCCGGAAGCTGTTACGCGTTGCCTGGTGCGGAGAACCTTTGGTGGCCCGGGCGAAACCACCGGGAGCACTATTGTACTATCGCTCTTGATCTCGCTTCGTACTGATGAGCGTTAGCATTCGTACTAATATGATATATATTTGCTATTATGTACTAGTATTACTATTGTAAAGGTAGAATCAAGTAGATGTGGCCTAGCGCGACAGAGGACACGGCCCTTTTCCATGAGTCGCTGTTGGCCAGTAAATTACTCGAGTTTGCTTACCTCCGCCGCCCGTCCCCCCATTATTGCCCCAGATAATCCAGGCCCATCCCACTGTACTTCCTACTACTACTGCCTGCTCTCCTTCGCTCTCTCTGTCTGTCTGTCCCTCCCCTTGCCAACCTCTTCGTGCCTTGCTGCTTAGTGCATCCTCTGCATCCTCTGTATCCTCTGCGTCTTCCCAGACTGCCCTCTTTTCCTGTGCGTCGCGAACCGATCCATCGCTGGCTCCCATCGGCGCCTGCCGATCACACATCCCTACCGGCGCAACCAGCAACCATTGTCCACCAAATAACCATCCGTTGTTGAATTTTGCTACGCCGGTCTGCAGCTATTTATAAGTCGCTTTCGTCTTCTCCTCAGTATCACTGGCGTGCCAGTGGTTCCATCGTTCCGGCGGCGGCGCATTCAGGAGCCGACCGGTGGCAGTGTCGACCTCATCCTGGAGCGGCTACCAGATGACTTTGATTTTATCATAGTTGATGCGTAGTTGTTACCATGGGGTCTTTCTTCAAGAATCTAAGGGGAAATACGGTATGTTCGATGCTTCTCACAAACCGAGTGTTGCTGCTGACCTTCACAGGGCCCGTACTCGCCTACGTCTGGCTTGAACCCCCCCAAAAAGGACCCCCATGCTTTGCCGATGACCCCTCTAGAGAAGATGCTTTTGGACTCCGGTCCCGTACGAAATGATGGTAGTGACAAATTTTTTGGCATGGAGAATGTGAGTGTCCACCGAGACTCGATTTTGGTTCACAAGGCTGACTCGTACATGACAGTATGGCAACACATGGTACGAATTATTTCCGAAGACATTTAGATACTTCGACTAACGATTACACACAGTTATTGCAACTCTATTTTACAATGTCTTTATTATTCTGTTCCCTTTCGAGAAGCTGTGATCAACTACCCGAAGCGAACTCCGATCGAATCGTTGGAGACTGCGCTCGCAAAGAACCTGAAATATCAAAGTGTAGAGGCGTTTTTGGAAGCCGAGGCCGCCGCCGCAAAGGCGAAAAATACAGCAGGGCCGTCTTCCTCGCGTAATGCCGGTGTGCCTCCCCCTCAACCCCAGAAGCCCGAAGACAAGGATTCGCCAGAATATAAGAAAAAGGTTGCAATACAGACGCTTCCGCTTCTTGATGCAAAAGATAACTCTGCCAGCTATGGAATGTCGGAATCACTCTTTACATCTTTGAAGGATATTTTTGAATCAGTGGTTGCTACCCAGTCTAAGATGGGTGTTGTCCGGCCCCAGCATTTCCTAGAGGTGCTCCGGCGGGAAAACGAGATGTTTCGATCAGCCATGCATCAGGATGCCCACGAGTTTCTCAACCTCTTACTCAACGAAGTGGTGACAAATGTCGAAGCCGAATCGTCGAAACAGATAGCTGATCTGACTGACAATTCTCTACCGAACGAAACCGCTGATTCCGACCAGACCGTCGCCATTACGGAGACCTCTACACAGTCCACACACACAAGAGTAGATGGCTCAACCGGGTCAAAGACGCCAAATACAAGCCGCTGGGTACACGAACTCTTCGAGGGCACACTAACTTCGGAAACTCAATGCTTAACATGCGAGAAGGTCTCTCAACGTGACGAAGTTTTCCTAGATTTGTCAGTAGACTTGGAACAACATTCATCTGTTACGTCTTGTTTAAGGAAATTTTCAGCAGAAGAAATGCTTTGTGAGCGAAATAAATTTCATTGCGACAACTGCGGAGGTCTGCAGGAGGCTGAAAAGAGGATGAAAATCAAACGATTGCCCAAAATTCTCGCGTTGCACTTGAAACGCTTCAAGTATACCGAGGATTTACAGAGATTGCAAAAGCTCTTCCACCGGGTGGTTTATCCCTACCACCTACGCCTGTTCAATACGACCGATGACGCCGAAGATCCAGATCGCCTCTACGAGTTATATGCAGTAGTCGTCCATATAGGTGGTGGTCCTTATCATGGTCACTATGTGGCCATTATCAAGACTGAGGACCGTGGTTGGCTGTTGTTCGATGATGAAATGGTAGAACCAGTTGACAAAAACTATGTGCGCAACTTCTTTGGCGATCGACCTGGATTAGCCTGCGCCTATGTGCTCTTCTACCAGGAGACCACCCTAGAAGCTGTTCAGCGAGAACAGGAACAGGAGGGCCTGAACCCAGTCAATGGCACTGCGGATGTCAAAGAAGGCAACGGTGTTCCACTCTCATCTCCGTTGAACCACATCCAAACGTACCAAGGACCTCCTGATGATGATGTTCACCGTTTCAGTCCCTTGAGGGCCATACCAACGGCACCGCAAATGTCGACTCATCCAGAACATGCTTTTTCGACCAGTCCTCCAGCTCCCCCACCCATTCCAGCAGACCCTCTGCGAGAGTTAAGTCCGAAGAAGAGCGATGTCCAGTCTCGCAAGGAACGAGCTCGAGAAGAAAAAGAGCGAAAAGCCGCCGAAAAGGACAAGGAAAAAGCCGAGAAACAAAGGAGAAAAGAGCTAGAAGCGAAACGCAGAGATGATTTGAAACGTGAAGAGGCAGAACTCAAAGCGGCACTTGAAGCAAGTAAAATAAGCAAAGCCGAACAAGATAAAAAGGCGCACGCAGAGAACGGGGAAAATGGGCATAAGACGCTTGCTGGTGGTTTGAACCGATTCCGACGCAGTAGCAAGAGCCTGAGTCATCGGTTCACATCAAAAGAGGGCAAACGGGCAACATCGGCTGAGTTTTCACGGTCAGATCTTCTTTCTGAGAATGGAATACCTCCTGAGAGCAACAAACTCCAAGAGCATGTCATTGAAGAGGATGTACCAACAACAACACCAGCCATTCCTGAATCCTCACCGGGACGTCCGTCACTGGATGCATCCAAGGGGAAAAACGACAGAGACAAAGCCAATCACAAATGGAAAGGGTTTGGGCTGAGAAAGAAATCAATGAGCCTGATGAGTTAGCTTTGATCCCAAGCCCATCCACCGTTCTTCCATTCTCGTACATAGTCAGACGAACTTCATTTTGATGGAGTATGTTCTTTCAAAAAGTAACATTGGTGCCTTTTAGACGAGAATACGCCTTGATGTTCTCGCAATTTCATGCACGCAATGATGTTTTATTACCTTTGCTTCTATACCCTTTTATTCGGAAACATTGGTTTACCATCAAGGCGTTTATCGGTTAGGCAGCTACGAATGGTTATGATTTTGCTTTCTATCCTGGGTATTGTATTGTTTACAGGCATAAGCATGCTTTGATTTCTGTACGCTACGAGTCTAATCTCGTGATGTGATAGACAGTGCGAACAAACACAGTTATTTTTTTAAGCACAAATATTTGTAACTCCTTGTAGGACGTAGCCATTAAATATTGGAGCATGATAACAACCAATCTAAGATATTGCAAGTTGCCTAAAGTAGCCTAGTAAGTACATAACATAACACCGTATCATCCCTCATTTTTGGGTATCTCATGCCGGTCATTATCCCAGAATCAATTCGTATATAATTATAACCGCGTTGATGACAATGAGGGGTACTGTCATTACCAAGTCAGCATCATGCTTCCTCAACCATAACGCAAGGCCTTGCAAATACTGAATCTATATTTTGAGCAAAAGGTGGGAGAAACGTACTTCGCATGACGGTACGGACACTCGTGATCAGATTGATAGTCTTCGCCTTGAGGCTCGCGTTGTCATAGCTCGCACCGAAACCGGGCTCTGGTTGTGCGCGACCCCATCCGACTGTGCCGGGGTGTTAGCCGTTTTCTTCAGAGACGTACTATATATCCAGGCAAAATTTGGTGGTCAACGTACTTCTTGCTAGAAATCTGTCCTCGGACAAGACACACACGGCGTTGATTAACAGGATAGAAACTTGAAAAGACAATAGTTAGCAAGGCTAATTCGCACATATTAGAGTAATAAGAATATACCATAAATCAACCGGCCAAACCCAAACAATGACATTTTGGGCGGTATCAAAGATCTGATCGTGACTCAATACAACGCAACTCGAGAAGGGTAGTAACGGTGCTGGCTAGTTGCACCAAATCGCCAGATGGCGGCTGATGTTTGTTCTGTTTGCCAGGCTGCAGCTGCGGTGTGGGGCAGCTGCCTCTTTATCGATACGGAAGCTGACAGGTCACAGCTCTATCAATCATAGTGTTGATGAAGACAACAGCAACTATGGTTGGAAAATGTCGAAAGCATTAGGTATCGATGCTTCTCCTATATGATATTTTGCACAATATATTTTAGCTAACGGCTACAGACGTCGTTGTTTATTCCACCATCCCCGCTGTCATCCTCTTGCATTTGCTAGCGGCGCCGTACACCAAAGTAGAAGAGTCATTTCACTTGCAAGCCACTCATGATATATTGACATATGGCATTCCTTCGCCTACTCTTGGCCACGATGCGATAGCCAAGAAATTTGCAGATCAATATGATCATTTCAGTTTCCCGGGCTCTGTTCCGCGATCGTTCGTCGGAGCCCTTGCGCTCGCTACGGCATCGAGGCCGGTTATATGGCTAGATAGCGACGTCAACAGGCAGTTGCTAGGTACGTTATTCTACAGTCGTGCCGATGGTGTTTTATTCATTGACTCGATCTAGCACGCGCGGTTCTTGGCTTTTTCAATGCATTCGCACTCCTGTTGTATGCTCGAGGTCTACACGGGGCATTTGGCAGGGCGACGGCGTATTGGTTTTTGCTCTTCCAAGCAAGTCAATTCCATGTGGCTTATTATGCGTCCCGTACATTGTCGAACATGTTTGCCTTTGGGATAAGTATGAATCTATCTTCTCTGACATTTACAATATCTGATATGCAGACAGTTGACTGACCTGGCTAGCGACGATCGCTTTGCGACTTCTCCTCCCTAGGCCCGGTGGTACTACAATTAGCAAAACATACCAGAGATATAAAATGTCTTTATCTCTCATCACCATCGCTGGGATTATATTCCGCTCCGAACTCGCCGTCTTCCTAGCAACAACCACTATTTTCCTCCTCCTAACCAATCGTGTCCGAATCTTCAACGACATAATCCCTGCTGGCATTGTCGGCTTGCTTGTCGGGTTAAGCACGACAGTCGTCATTGATTCTTATTTCTGGCAAAGCTTTCCCCTCTGGCCGGAATTTTCTGCCTTTAAATTCAATGTTATATCCGGTGAAGCTTCGGCTTGGGGGACTAGCCCCTGGTATTTCTACTTTGTCGATGCTATCCCGCGTCTCTTGATGAACCCATTGATTTGGATAGTCGGTATCCCAGTTTCGCTCTGGTCAGATGCGACGAGACGAGCGTCAATTGCATTACTACTTCCATCACTAGCCTTCGTCGGAATATACAGCGTGCTTCCGCACAAGGAATGGCGCTTTATTATTTACATCATCCCACCATTAACCGCGGCAGGCGCTCAGGGGGCGGGATATATCTGGACACGACGAACAAAATCAATCATCTACCGTGCCTTGTCACTAGTCCTAGCACTCTCCACACTTGCATCATTCCTCATTTCGACAATCATCTACCTACCCGTCTCGTCAGCGAACTACCCCGGAGCGCACGCCTTGAAAAAAGTGCATCTACACGGCCATGCCACTCAGCCCCGCATTGTTCTACACATGGGTAATCTCGCCTGTCAAACGGGCGTTACCAGATTCCTACAACTCGACCACTCAACGTTCCCGCAAACATTATGGGTATATGACAAGACCGAAAACGAAACCGTCAAATCCACACCTGAATTCTGGAGAGGCATTGACTACGCTCTCATCGAGGACATTTCCGAAATCAAGAGACCCCCCTCTTCATCGGGAGATGAGGATACGTGGAAACCCATCGAAACAATCGCCGGTTTCTCCGGTTTCCGTATCTTACGATCCGGCGACATTGCCGAAGGCCATATCGAGACAGACATCATCCGAGAAATAATGGGAGAAAGGGGGGTTATTTTGTTTGAAACGTTGAGGGATGAGATAATCAGAAAGTATTTGACGAGGGGATTATGGGTGGAGTTTAGAATGGTGCCGAAAATCTGGATTATGAAGAACTTTAGGGCTAGTTATAAGGGTAGTGAGGTTGATGGCAGTGTAGTATAGGTTTACTATTTTGTAGGCGATGGCTGGTGTATATATATACGCCATATCTACCCAATACACACACTCTCTCGAGCTGTTCAAAAGTTCATCCCATTGTATACTTATCTACTGAATAAAGAAGTAAAAATTTTTATTAAATTATCTATTTTAATATAATTAAACTTACATATGTATCATTAATAACCCCATGGTGACTCAGGCATGCGACTGGCTTTCTTCCAGAGCGATGGCTTGTTGAGCCAGGTCATGAACTGTATCCCGATCCGGCAGCATATCGCCCGTCCGAACAAGGCCCACGAAATTGCATTGGCCAGAACCTCGTCTACAATGAAATGCGCACCGTTCTAGTAATGACAGCTCGGAATTTTGAGATTGAACCGGTCTATGATGAATGGGATGCTGCAAGAGCCAAACATGAAAGGTTTATGACCAAATTGGTGCGAATGGTGAGTACTCAGGGGGCTGACTTCAGAACAGTACATGGGGAGAGAGCATACCAAACAGAAAAAGCTGGAACTCACCTGATGAATGGATATCCTTGTCGAGTAAAGATCATTGGGTAATCAGAAGATCGTTACAGTGAGGTAGATTCAGCTGGCAAAAATTCGTTAAGCAATGACAAGGGCTTTCACAACATTGGGGTTTTCGCTGAGACGTGTTGTCAGTGAGACCAATATCCAATTATTTTCGAACATGCTTGTCCATTCGCAATTTTCAGGTCATTGCCACGTTAAATAAAAGCTGCTGAAGGGCTCACCTAGAATGGCCAGGTGGCCGAGCAGTTATGGCGAAAGCCAGCGACAGGTAAAGCTACTTTCTGCAGTTAGGTTAAGTAGGTGGATCACGTTGATAGTGATAGAGCGAATCGCCAAAAATATCAATTGATATTGGTATTGAAAATAATAAGCAGAATTAACAGTTTTAGCAATAACTAACATTTTCAAACCCACCAATCAATTAGGCTTATAATGATGAAAAACATGCAATCCTTCTCTAGAAATGGATTGAAGGTTTCCTACGAAACGTTTTCTTCCACCCATTTTTCAAACGGATTCTGCTCCTCCCATTTCCTCCTCTCCTCTTCTCGACGCGCTGTATACACATCCATCTGCCCCTTCCACGCCTCCAACACCTCTGTATTTGTTTGTCTGTTTATCGTCATCTGGTCATGGTACGGTCTTTTTGTCTCTTCATCTGCTTCGCGCCACATTTGCCCTAGTACCGCCCGTATCTCATCTCTCGCAGCTTTGGCTTGCGGATCCTTTGTGGATTCTCGCTTCTGTGTCTCGCACGCTTGTTTGGCCCGGATCCAGTAGTCTTTTTGGAATGTGAGGAAGGGGTTGAGTGCGATTTTGGGGGGCTTCACGGGAATTGGGCCGAGAGTTTTGGTTAAGTAAGTTTCCAGGGCATTGGCGTGGAGTTGTTGTTCGCGAGGGATGGGTTCAGGGGGTGGCGCAGTTGATGCTGTAGTTGTTGATGCAATGGTTGCTGGCTTGGGGGTTGGTTTTGCTTTTGGTTTTGATGTTGGCGTTGTGGATTTCTTGTACGTATGGTTGTTTATAGTACTCTTTGTCCCACTGCCCAATCCGTTTCCATAAACCGGCTGAATAATCTCGCCTTCTTTCACAGGGACCAGAGGTTTCTGCACAACAATGGGTCCCAAAACCTTCTCTATGATATCCGCTGCTACCCTCAATCCTGACAAAAACGCCCCGTGTACTGTGGCTGGATGCGTACCACACGTCGCTTCGCCGGCAAAGTGCAAGTTTCCTACATCCTTGGCAACGAGATCGTAATCACCGGGTAGGGCATCAGCAGCCACAAATGAATATGTGCCACGAGTGAATCTATCCGACTTCCAACGTGTGACGATTGTCTCTAACGGATCAGGCACGGGTGTAGATTTGAAAATATTGCGGAGTTCCGCTGTAACCTCGGCGACGATTTCCGTATCGGACAAGCTCTCTGCTTGATGCGCTGCGTCGCCGGCCATCAATGCAATCAGCAGCGGTATGCCGGCGGTCTTAACGCAGTTCCAGAACAGATAAAATCTGCCGCGATTTCGCGCGTAGTCAGGCTGCGACATACTGCCTGGAACATCGGTGTCGCGGAGAAGACCGAACATATCTCGATTGCTATCCCAGAATACTTGGTCAAAGACTAGCACGACCTTATTGAGAACACCGAAGCCGAGTCGGTCAATTGCCCCGGTCTTCCAGTCCGGTAATGGAGGTGAAAATTCCACGTCATGGTGTTTGAGCGTGCCCAAAGAGCCTGTGTAGACGACATGGTCGGCTGTTATGGGACCATTCTCAGTATGGACTATTGTTTTATGATTTTTTGCTGTGCCAGTTGAGTCGTAGGTTATTTTTGTGACGGTTTCGTTGGTCCTGACGTCGAGTTTCGTGGGCAACGACCATAGCCCTCGAGGCACTTGTTGGTATCCTCCGATAATCTGACTATGTTCTCCCTCAAACTCATTGCCCATGTCCTGATCCCAACCAGATAGACTTAGTCTATTAAGATTAGTTGCATTTGCATATTCTAAATTCGCATAATGCCAATTCAAGAGTCTCATGTCCTTGGGTGTCAGCGGTAGCATGCGTTGGTATTGTTTGACACCTTCGTCCATTACTGCTCCTAGGGTTTGTTTCGAGGAAGTCTTAGCGATAGCATCAAGATTGAGATCATCTCGAGGAGATATTCCATCTAGGAGCCTCCACCCCATGCTCTGGCATTCCATAGCTGCCGGTAGTTCCTCATCAGGAGCTAGATCCGAAATTTGCGAAGACGGAGGGGGAAGGATGCGAGATGCATTATGTCCGATACCGCGACGAAATCTCGCGGCTGGAAGCAGAAGATTGTGTGTCCCGGCTGCGCGGGCTTCTTCATATTGCTGGACCGTAACACCGTCACTTACGGTGATGTCGCGGCCATGTAATATTGTGTCGCGGTCGCCTTCTGCAGTAGGTTTGATAGCGGCTTTGTGTCGATAATTGCCAGACCGGTCCAGCACATCATTGTATAGTCGTTCGTCCATTGCGTCTTGTATCTCATCGACTGCTGATCCGTCGATATCGTATATTGTGGAGATGTCACGAAGCAAATGACATCGCAGTGCTAGTTGCGAGCGAATTATGGGATCTAATGGGTTTCCCTTATCGAATCCGACAATTATATGAGCGCCCATTTCAGCCGTCGGACGCAGTCCATTCGGCAATAAAGTGTTCTTATGGCTTTTCAAAGGATGTGAATATATACGTCCACCGATGCGACGTCGTCCTTCTAGCACAATAACTTTTAACGAGCCGATCTTGTCGCGATACTGTTGATACAGCCCGTCCAACTGTCTAGCGCACGCAAGACCAGCTACACCAGCACCAATGATAACAATTACAGGTCCGTCATACTTTCGACGACCTTTTTTGGGTGGAACAATAGCTTGTGGCACTTCGACACAGCCAAAGTTGATATATCCCTTGCGCACAAGCCATTCGTAGGCAAAATCCGCGAGGCCCATCCATTTAAAATCCTTGGCGCACCCGAGTGCTTCTTCGCGTGTGACGCTAATCATTGGATTGCGAGTCCAGAGTCGCAAAATCCCATTGCGGATATTAAGGTATGCCGTGACATGGAGATGGCATAGATGGTTCTCTAAAGCTTTTTGTTCCCCTATATGTAGTGCGAAAGGATCGAGACGCGATGAAATTGCAGCGGTGATACATTGTTGCGCGTACACTGGTCCTGGGAGCCCAGAGGGAATCGAGGATCGGGGTTTGAATTGTTCGTAATTAGGAGGCTCGGTCTCGGCCTCTAGTTCTTGATTGATAGCAGACTGCTTCGGGGTGGCAGTGGTGGTAGATTCCAAGCCCGCAATTAACAAAGCAGAGGGTGATGTAGACTTTTTCTGGGAGATGGATGAGAATACTGAGGTTGATGTGTTTGGAGTATTGTAATTTGATGCTTCGGACTCAAAATCATCGCGGTACGTTCTGTCTGTTGCTGCACTCTGCGACGAGAACGAGAAAGCGCTTCCAAGAGCAGAGCCACTGGGAATCTGATTCTGATGTTGCAATTGAATGCAGGAGTTGCTTTTCTCTAGACCATTAATACCATTCTGGTAGACAAATCTGTCCGAAGGATCGGCAATACGTCGACGTTTTGACGCTGGTATTTGGTCTTGTTGAGGAGCGGGGATAGCAGGGTAAGTGTAATGTTTGAATGTGAGAGAAGTTGCAGTGCTTCTATTGATTCTTGAGTTTCCACTGTCTCCATGTCCATTTGCCATCGACGCTGGAGAGGCGTTCGAGATAATTGACGCAGGGTTCATGGTTGCGACGGGATATGTACCCATAGGACAGATCGGACGTATGTAGCAATAATTCTTATAGATGGCATTCACAAGATCATTGGCGAGTCAACGGTATTGATCAATTACTAGACAACAAATCCATACTCTTCACATCCATGTAAAGCGGGATATCAGATTGCATGACATACATGCAGGCTATCGATCAACGGCTCGGTAGTGAGAGTGTTTCGCGGCGTTCAACATGGCAAGACTTGCTGCGAGCATGTCAGCATGGAGACAAACAAGACAGCTACCAACGCTTTCGAATGCCTAATATCATACATGACCAAAACCGAGACAAAAAGACATGATATGGACAGTGGTTGAACTGGCTGGAGGGCGGCGGGTGCTGGCCTTACCACTTCCGGGTTGCCCCTTCTTCTTATTCTTCTTCTTCTTTTGCTGGCTCCACTCTTTCTCGTCTGGTCCGCGACTTCATCTGTTCTTCAACTGCTTGATGAAGCCCCCGATGTCGCTGCCACTACCTTGGCTGTTCTGGCTATGTGGCTGGGGCGGTATATCAGAGGAAATTGCTAGATTGGTAGGGGCATGGTGGTCTTCTGCTCTGGTTGGTCGGCGAGCGAGTGGTCCAGCGTATTTTTCAGACCGAACCTCGCCCCGTTTAGAGTATCAATCATCAATCGTATCCATGCCAGCCCTACTTTCATGCCAACAATGTCGTGGCATCCAGCCCTGTTGCTTGTTAATTCATCTGACAAGGTAACTTGCGAGGCACCGTGCAAAATTTGCTGACTCTCCAGGTGTGTTGTATCGTGTCCTGTCGTTCCTTACGTTCGCGATTACTGGCCGTACCAGTCTGCAATCTCAAGTGCGATGCATCGTGCCTGCCAGCCATATTGACAGGAGAAGTGCATTCACCATTATTCAATGCCATTGGAGGATATACATAATGCTGAGCGCTACATATACACAGGGCGAAAGTTGGCACTAGTGATGCTGAAGACTTCGGCCAAGACCACTTGCAGTGACCGTCGTACGGTGCCCTGATACCTGGATCTGATAAATTGGTATTCTACACATGAAAACACAGAAGTCGCGGTATCAACGTAACATCCATCTATGAGTTGCGCCGGAGTACAAGTATAACTGAAGCAGGACAATTGATACAGGATGTATTATTATCATCTATGCACACTCCGCTAGTATCGATCAACCTATTTACATTCAATAACGACATGAGGTCTTCTTATCCCATGATGATTAATATTTATAACTTGGCCCTGTCCTTTTTAGCCTTTTGATCCCAGCTCCTCTGTAAGCCAAAATTCACCGCCATATTCCACACTGCCGCAGCCACGCCGACGGGCGGCGCCATCAATAACAACCACGACCACCACCTAGGACTGTAATTTCTGATAGTAAGAATCGCCTTGTCGACCTCCTTGGCCAGGTCCGCCTTGTCGCCATCATTCCAGACAACGACACCTCTCGAGCCCTTGTCGGTATCCTCCGACGCTCTGTTCCTGTAAAGCGCCTTCTTGACCTTCTCACGCACGTCGCCCTGACTCCTTACGCGATTCTCTGCATCCTCAGCCGTCAGATGCGGATCGCGCGCGCGTAACCTTGACATCTGCACTGCCGGATCATTGACAGCAACCACCACCACCGTGCCACAGATAACATCCATGCCAGACTCAAACAGCAACGGCACATCCAACACCACCGCCCACTGGCCTCTTAAATAGTAATACAAAAGCGACTTATAAACCTCCCAGCGCACGGCTGGGTGCACGACCTTGTTGAGTATCGTTCTGTCGCGCTTTCGTTCTTCGCTATCGCCAAACACACGCCTCCCCAGCGCGGGCCGGTTCAGCGCGCGCTGTCCTGTCTGCGGGTCTGCAGGTAAGAGGAGATCCGGGGTGCTAGGGCCGAAATAGTTGACTATAGCTTTGTAGCCTGCGGTGCCGGGCTCGACGACTTTGCGTGCGAGAACATCGGCGTCGATAATGGGGATGTTGTATGGCGGGGAAGAGAGGAGGGAAGAGACGGTGGATTTGCCGGTGGCGATGGAGCCAGTGAGGCCGATGATGAGCATGGTGAGTATGGATTAGTCGTGATTATGATGGTCGTAGGAAGTGAAGATAGTCTTGTCGAGTGCAGGTGGAATATAACGGTGGTGGGTTAATAGCCAGACCGAGAGGGCAGACAGTGGAACATCAATTGCGAAATCTAGCTAGGCGACGCTATGCAGGCGCATCGTCGAGACTCGAAAGGATCCTCTGGCTGGTATCGAATCATGCGAGAAGATGTGAACTAGTACTAGTACATATATATGAATGATAACGAACAATGAGCAGGCGTTGTCGACAACGTCACCGGACTAAGCAAACATGCCGAGACCAGAGCCGAGGTTGCTGCGGCATGTTTCAATATCATACATCAGTATTTATTAGTTACACTAAGAAGAAATTCTATATGGTTATTCGCAGGTAGGTTTAACTAACTATTATATTATATTATATTTGTAATCCAATCCCTGTCGATTATAATTCTATCCAGCGAAGATGCCAATCCCTAATCTAACGCACTCGTGTTTCAACGCTAAGTGAACAATAACACAAGCCCAACGCCTCAAATGCAATCAATAGTCTATAACAAACACCAAATAATCCAAATGATGGGATGATGTCTACTCCCAATTTTGTTGAATGCCAACTCATGGCAGTCAATTGCTGCTCTACGGCAGGTCGAATCGACAAATCAGTCATAAAAAACCGACTGAGGAACGTCTCTTTCAGTCGGATCCTGCGGTTCTCCGTCCCAGCCTATATATGGCCATCCTTCTGGCAAATTCGAAAACGGGGGAAGCATATATCGATCCTCGCATTCCTCTTGTGAGCAGTCGAGGTTGCACAACCCCCAGACGTTGCAGTAACATGCCCGAGCGTCTGGGCAATGAATCGGATCCATTCCGAATATCACTGAAACCGTATTAATATTTGTGCTAATTGTAAAATAGAGAAAGCGACACTCACTATGCCACGAGTACTCCATAATCCTCCCACTCGTTGCATCATCCAATTCCGTCTCCAAAAGCCATTTCTTGTAGCGCTGGTAATCTTTCTTCGGTCGCTCGAGGATCTTCCATTTGGCAACGCCAAACTGGGCGCAGCATGATACCCCGACGGCGTCTGGAACTTTGACCCCCGGGAAAAGCTCTTTGAAGCCGTTCATGTAATATGGGCCGGCATGGACTACATCCAGGTCGCTATCTGTCAGCGGGTGGATTTCCTCGGGACATCCGAGCACCCAGGCACAGCGTAGGTTGACATATCCGGCCAGTTCGAGGTAAGGAGTCTGGAACCGATTGATCATCGGGACACCGTCATAGTATGGGTCGTCATTGTGCCATTGATACCGTTGGGAGTGAATAAAGAGCATGTACTCTGGTAGATGGTCGTAGTTATCGATAATGTAGCTGATCCAGTCAATCTCTGGTGTAACTCAGTCATTTCAACGGAGAGAAAATACACACCTGAGGTATACCATGGACTCTCGGCCCTTATTCTTCACCACAGTCAATTCGGCATCTTCGTCATCAACGACATACACATTTTTATTCCAATCGGGAAGACTATCATATAGCCAGGAGGTATTGTCCCCCTTCATGCTAGCCACGACCAGATCCTTCCTCAAAGTGGTTGCCCGTGAGGAGGGCCGTGGAGCTGACACAGGCACCTGGATGCCGAGCTTCTGGCCATCATGGGCCGATCTCGAGTTCGGCGCGGAAAGTCTCTCGTTCGCGGAGGCGCGGATACTGGTCGAGGATATGGACGACGGAGAGGATGACTTGGAGGAGGTTGCAAGCCAGTAGATGCCACAGACGACCATCAATGCCAGCATCAGCGGTCTTAGCCTGCGGCGACCCGAAGCCGGACTGACTCTAGACATATGCCGAAGAACCATCTCCCGTAGTGGTGACGCTAACGAGCGGGCTTGGGCTCATTGGAGCAATGGAGATTGAGCCGGGCGGGCCAACACGAGAAGATCTGAAGATCTCTCCTAAATGCTAACACACGAGAGAAGGCAGCGGAGGATGGGATGGAGTGGAGTGGGAGTGGGAGTGGAAGTGGAAGTGGAATATGGGGGAGGAGAATAAAGAAGAATCGGAGTGCTCATGGCGGCCGATAGTATGTCTAGACACATACAAAGACGGACAGAGCGAAGGAGACAGAGGAATGCGCGGGGATTCCGGATTGGGACTGGGATTGCGTGTTGGTGGGTCCCGGCGTTCCGAGCCCAGGCTGGCATACGTAACTCCCACCACACCCTCTCTCCCTCTACAACACACAACCCGGACAATAATCCAGCTACTTTGCTCTGCATCTCGGAGAATTAGGTGCCCGTGTACGTATGTCTATGGGTGGCCTGTTATGCTGATTGCTGAGCGACTCGAATCTCCTACATCAATTGACGAAAGCAGCAGTACATATGTACATTTCTATCTATCTATATACATTTATACATTTTTACCAGTTGACATATATATATATATATATATACATATATCAACCACACGCCGAGATCTTGTTAAAATACCACAAGTGAGCAGCAATGTCCAACCCCACGGCGGTCCCGTCGTTGCCTAGATCAGAGTCGATGCCCTGGACGACTGTGATTTGGGACGTTGAGACGGACGAGTTGCTCGCCGCCGTGACCCAGTACTCGGGGCCGGGCTGGCTGAAACCAAAGCTCTTGGGGGGTACCTTGGGCACTGGGTCGTCGGTGTGCGTGACTCGGTAGTTCGTTCCGCCCTCTTGCGTCGTGACGAAGCTGGCGAATGCATGGTTTCCTACGCGAGGGCATCCGTACGTGTACTGTCGTGTTGTCAGTATTCCAAAATATTCGACAGGAGACAATGTCGGATCATGGACACACCAAATCAACCTTGTCTCCCTGGTTGCGCAATTCTACGGCCGCCAGAGTCGCCAACGCAGCTCCCAAGCTGTGTCCAGTAACGACAATACCATAATCCTTGTTCTCGGCGATAGCCGCAGATAGCTCGCTTTCGATCTTTTCGGAAACGGATTGCCAGGCCTCTAGGAAGCCCTTATGAGCCTCGCAACCATCGCACAGGGAGGACGCATCCGTAAGGGTGAAGTCGAGGTTCGTGAGCCAGTTAGAAATGGTCTTACTGCCGCGGAAAGACAGGATGAACAGTTTTCTGCTGTCGTCCTTGATGAGAAGGCCGGTTGTGTCGCCATCACCAGCACTTCGAGAAATCAGCACTCTTACACCGAAAGAGCAACGGTATACTCACTCATCAAATGAGTAAACGACTGTCGCGCTGGCCTGCTCGACCAGAGGACAGTTTCCAGTCGAGCAACGCACGGTTGTTCCGGCAGTAGCGTTGAAGTTGTCTGGACAGTAGGCAGCGGCCGAGTACTGTTCATAGAGATTTAACTCGGACCACAGGCCCGACGTGACATCTGAATACATTAGCTAATGTTCGGGCAGAGACGCGTTTGATAAACCTACCACGGCGAACCGGCACCGTAAGGGCTGAAGCAGACAGGCCAAGGACTGCCACGGCCAGGGCACGAGTTGAGGTGAACATGATTCTTGATAACGATGCCCTTGAGTCCTGACTCTCGAACTCTTCTAGTCTCAGCCTCCAGACTAGCAGATCAGAATCCTAGACTTTCGTCAAGATATATAGTCGACTGCTAGCATGGGCAGGCCAGTCCATTAAAAGATTTTGCTTCATGCCCATGCCACATGGGCAATGGCCCGTAGTCCATTTTGACCGGTCCTCACGGTAGCATTGCTAATCCTGATGGTATGCTCTAGTCATCATTCTCAAGAGCGAGCGAGATTGACACGGGAAGTCTGAGGGGTGCTGAGCCTAGTATCGCGTAAGTACGGAGTATATACATTGTACATTCTCTGATTGGAGTCTGATTGACGCACAAACCATCCCTTCATACCACGCTCCATCGTGATCAAGATTCGTAGTGTAACATCAACATCGTATTGCAGTGAATTGCACAGTTAGGCACAGCCGCTGATTGGATGTAGCGCAATGACTAAATCGTGCTTTATCTGCTGAAGCAGCTTATTTATCCTAGTAATTAACTATACCGGCAAGGGGGGGTAGAGAGTGGCCTGTTTCATTGGATTTGCCGTGTAGTATGACCGGAAACGGGTCTGCTGACGCTTGCTGATTAGTGAGCCTTAGGGGCTGATTTGCTGATCGTTACTATTAATAATACTTCGAGACGATAGATATATGCTATGCACTCTGCTACAATGTAGACATATTCATTCACTCATATTCATATCTAGTAACAAAAGTCAGGATGCCGGGGTGGTCAAACATATTGGTACCTGTAGGTCAGATTTGAATCGGACATTGATGCCTTTGGGGGTGGTTCAAGACTTTTACCTTTTTACTCGAATACCCTAACTAATTTACTATCTAGACCAAAACAAGCAGCCGTATAGGGTGCCTGAATGAAATGAAGGTATAATGCATTGTAGTAATACTTGAGGACCAATCACGCCACCTCGTACCGCTACTCAAAACATGATGTGTTACACGTAACCCCTGTCACGTCGATCAGACCTGCATATCAACCTAACTCTACAGCGGTCACTGGTCAATGATGTTTTAAATATGCTTATCATTCTGTCATACATTTGATTCGCCGATATTTATCCACAGCTCGCATTCGTTAAATGTATCCTTGTACGTACTAGCATGTAGGTACTAGGGTTTACATGGGAGCGAGTCCACGTAGATATTGAACTATTAATGACATTGAATATGCAGGTTCGTAGTCGACATAGACTAGGATACATGTAGCCATACTTATCCGATATCATTTAGTGTGAGTTCTCATTTGCAGATAAATGGATTAACTTTATTACCTTCCTAACGCCTTTTGCTGATAAGCCCCAGTCCCAACGGCATGATTAACATGAACGGAATGACTAATTTCGCGATCGAACGCAACTCCAAGCATTGAGCCAGCGCGATATGGAAGAAGATGTTGATGGGATTATCAAATCTGCTCATTCTCCCCCTCGTCCTTGTTACCCGCTGCATTCCCTGCACCGCCGTCCCCCGTATTAACATCTTCCATCCCCGTGTCCTCGCCTGTTTCTGCATCACCCCCAGCAAGCACCTTTGTCTTGATCTCTTCAATGCCCGTAGACGACGTGCCCGGTGTGACGGCGACAACGTTGTCATTCTCATCGACAAATTCGAAATTGTAGCGAGACAGTAAATGCGGGATCGCCGACAGTTGGGGGCCGTAGCGGGCTGTGTTGTCGTAGAGTTCGAAAAGCGGGACGGCGAGGAGTTTCATATTCTTCGGAACGCTGAGAACCTCTATACAAGTTATTAGCTATCGCCTAATCGAGGGGTTAGTGGGGATGGGGAGGTACTCTTTTTCGGAAGTTGGATGAAATATAACTTCTTACACTCCTTCGGACGCGAGACATGGCCTGGGAGGAATGGGTACATAAAAGTCTCGAAATTCGGACGCCACCATTGCGCCAGCGTATCGCCGACCTCCCAGTCCTCGTTCACGCCTTCGCCGCTGAATTGAGAGCCGACGGGTGCCAGGCGTTCGTTCAAACGGGATTTGAAGCCGTTGATTTCGTCGTCTTCGTGGTGCAGATAATCGCCTGGTCTGTAGGACCCGTGAGTAGCTGTGTCGAAACAAAATGAAAGGAGAAAGATGAGGAGGGGTACAGTTTGAAAAATGCATTCGCAATCTGCAGCATCAACACATGTGGGTGATTATGTTCGTGACAGACCAGTACGCCTTCGCAGGTCCGGCGCATTCCGTGTTGGTCATAATGCTCTTCGAGACGCTTCAGGCGCGCAAGCACCGAGGGGTCTTCTTCTGGTTGGTTTTCCTTGGTACCAAAGGTGTAGTTGGAGAGAGGGTAGAGCCGGATTGTTTGCGGCTGTTTGGCATTGAAGGACTTGGGGATAATAGGGCTGGAAGCAGAATTATCATCGTTAGTTTGGAGTGCTCTGGTCTGACTTGAGGGCAGAATGGTCTGCGACAAGCTGTTTGCTTGGGGTGTTGGAGATGAACTTACGGTTTTGAGCTCTGCATTGCAGTCACCGTGACGGTCGACATGTTGACTTTGTTGTGTCGTAGACCCCAAGCAGTAGAAAAATAGAAAAATGTCCGACTAGGCGGTTTATATGTCCAACGAGTGGTGCTGTGCTGATTGATTGTTGTTAATTGCTAGATGATGCTTGAATTCCGCGGCAGTGGGTGGAGCTTAATCAAGCTCCGCGAAAACATTGGCCCGACCGATACACATCAATACTAGCTATAAATTACTGCATATATATAGACATATAGAACATATTTAGACATACAGATAGATTGGTGATAGTGATAAGAATAATAACAATTAGCTACTCTTATTGTCTTCTAAATCTACATCTAGATATACAGTCAACCGGTGATTAGCTCAAAATAGCTGAAAGCATGGCATCACAGCTTCGGGTCAAAATCCTCGAACTCGCTGAGATCAACAACCGGACTGGGGCCAGCGCTGACGGGTAGACGAGCTTTGAACTGCGGCACGTTCGTGATGTAAATCGGCTCTCCTTTATGTACTTTCACTCCATTGGTTTTCTGGGAATGCAGCGCATCGGCCCCTTCGGCCGTTTCCGAGGTATCGACGGGGACTCGACTGTTGTCGACATCAGCAGACTGCGCGTTCAGATGGATCGAGACCTTGGCACGAGTTTCGGAGGTTGGGTTGATGTATTGATTGAAGAATGCAGCAAGGTCGTCCTTGGTTAAGCTCCTAACACTTGCAGCATCAACTTCATGCTGCACGAAATTGAAGTACTCAGACCCGATATGTGTCCAGAAGCGCGCGGTCTCTGATCCAAGGTTCTTGAGCTTCTCGAGTCTCTTGTTAATAATACTGCGCTTATGTCCTTCAAACTCCTCGTCCGTCATTTTCTCTAGCGTCTGCGCGAATTCTCCAAGGAATGCGTCAATGCGGCTTTCTAGGTATTCTGCCGTGCGCTCACTCTGGATGATAACCCGGTAGCCGATTGTGGTGGCAGAGTACCGGGCGCCGCTCCAAACAACATATCCCAACTGTTCCTTGCTTCGCAGTTGGTCAAATGCCGGTTCCTCGGTCATCTGGGCGAAGAGAAGGAGCTTGGCACGAAGCGCGTTGTCGATGATCGAGCCAACGAAAAGATAGTACTCAATGCAGTTATTGACATTCTGTGGGTCTTTGAGCTGGCGCTCATAAATGTAATTGCTTCCAGGAGGGAAGATGATATTTCTCCGCACATGCCATTGAGATTGTGGCAAGGAACGGCTGCGAACAATGTTCTCGACAATATTGGTCATTTTCAGTGCATCTTCCTTGTACAGATTGCCGTGCGCCAGGACCTCAATATGGTTCTGTTGCAAAAGTTGGGGGAAGAAAGTGGCGACGTCGCCCGCTTCAATGTGCTCTAATTCAGCTGCATACTGCTCGTTGATCCATGTCTTCTCGGCCGTCAAATAGCGAGTCATATCTCCAACTTGATAGTATGGTTGCTGGTATTCTGCGTTTCGGTAAGCTCTCGTCAATCGCTCCTTAATAATCTTGAAGCGATCTTCTTTGATAACGAGGTCGCGCATAGTCAATATAACTTTCTCAAGCAATACCGACATCTTATCGTTGTAACCGCCAACAGAAATATCCAACCCAAAAATACTTGCAGAAAGATTATAATCCAGCCCAGCGAGTTCAGCGTCGTAGGAGTATTCAACCAATGCATCCCTCACCAGCTCACAGTAAATTTTAGCCTTGACGTGGTTCGCCGGCGTCGCCCAAACCAGCGAATTCCGAAGAGTAATATGCACTGTAGCCTTAGGCACCCAGAATCGATCATCCTTTTTATACCACACTCGCACCTGATCATCAAGACGGATGAGTTTCGGCGCTTTTGTTGGTTGAGAAACCTCCTTCTTTTCAACTGATAAACGAGTTGGAATAAACTCGTTCTTATGAGGCATGTGTAAATCCTGTATCCTATCCGAGGACGAAGACGCCAAAGCATTCCTAATCTCACCCATGAAATCCTCAGGAATCTTCTCAACCTTGTATTCCGTCCCATACCACTTCTCCTTAGTATCCCAGTCGCCGGGGAAATTTTGCGATACAATCATAAGTCTGAAGTTGTCTGCTCGTAGATAAGACAGCGCTTTGGTGATCAACTCAGCATCAAACTTCCTCAACAAATTGTTGCCGCTAAGAAGCCATTCTCGCGGGAGTGGTTTTTGCATGACGCTGCTCAGCCGACTTGTGAATCGCGAAGCAGGCGACTTTTGCTTGAATCGGAAATCCACTTCAGCCAAATTCTTCATCTCATCAAAAATCCACTGTTCTGGTGTTCGTTCTTTAATCAATGCAATGTACTGGAATATCGTCTTAACCACTTCTCGATGATGAACCAACCCATCTTCTGTAAGGCGTACGGAAATCGTGAAAAAAGAAGCACCTGGACAGAGAGGCATTGCACCAGCCGAAAGCCCATTCGCCCAGCCTTTTGCTTTAATGTGAGCCAGAATACTACCAGGCCCTTCATGACCAATCAGATGACTGATGTATCGGCTTGGATGAGTCTCGTATAGACCATCCTCGTCCAAGAACGGAAAGTATATATCCAATGACCGCGAGTCCATGACAGGTTTCGCAAACACTTGCGTGCAGAGTTGGTCTGCAGAGAAGGGCTGTACATCGTCCCATCGGTTTTGGGGTAAATCTTTGTTCTGAACCTCTGAAAACAACTCCACAACCCAGCTTTCCAGCTGATCAAGCGATTCCCGCCCTAACACGACAAGCTTTGTGCGATTTGCAGAATAATGCTTTTTATGGAAATTGATGAACTCGCTGCGTATTTCAACACCGCGAGCCTGCGGATCATCGCGTAAGGTCTGCAAATTACCCGTTGAGAAATGGTGGTATGGATGTTTAGGATTTGACAGCGACTTATTCAACTGCATCAGCCGCCATATGTCACTTTGCAAGTTCTTCTTGTTCTCCGAGTCGACTGCCCTCAACTCACGATCTAGCGTCGACTCTAAAAACAAAGGAGCAATGAAGAACTGCGCGAATCTATCCAATGCGCCGTAAAGAGGCGGCACCGAATTCGAATTGGAAGAGGCGTTACTCGCCGATCCATTGGCGGCAGAGCCATCTGACAATGGTGTCGATGCACCATCGGAGCTCTCCCCGGTGGCCGCTACCTCAAAGAAATAATTCGTCTCAATTGCGCCGGTATAAGCGTTTGAAGAGCCAGAGTGTGCTGCTAGGTACTGGTTGTAAGCATTCTCTTTAGGGTACTAGATAGCAAATGGTGTCAGTATTCTCCATTTCAACTCATCGCCATAACCGATGCCCACCTTTTCAGTGCCCATGAATAATAAATGCTGTGGATATAAAATTAGCATCTCTCACTCCTAACTCGCCATTTTATCAGTCTTTCGCCGCTCACCTCTACGGCGTGCGCCATGCCAGGCATGCTATCGTCGTCGGAGAAATTTCCCACGTTCACATTTGCCGAGGCACTGGCTTTGTCGGTGTCCGGGTCATGCACCAGCAACGCCTCCAACCTGTTCGGCAGCCTAATTACTCGGTATGAGCGATCATCCAATTCTGGCTTCTCCAGCCGGTCGGCAACGCGAGTCACTCCCGAAGCCATTGTCGACGAGACTGGCGGGGATGTGGTGGTCGTGGTGGCGGGAGAGAAAGTGGAATAGCAGCGAGGCAGCACAACGGTGGGATGACTAGAGTCACGACGTTGAAAATTCGCCGAACGCGTATGGATGCCTAAGCAGTTGAATAGGCGCGGTTCAAACGGTAATGCAGAGCGACAGTGTCGGATCAACGAGGCATTCCACAGTGCACGAGACAGATGTGTTGAGGACCTTGGAGACATTCGCCGACGCAAGGGTTGCGTCCGTGCACAAAAGATAGTCCGAGGGGGGGGTAAGGACGTGGAAAGGGAAAAGAGGAAAAAACAAGGTGTGAAAATTGAAAAACAAACAGAGGAAAGAAAAAGAGGAGCAGGATAGGCGAGGGGCGTTCGTGAGCGGTGAGGTGGCAGAAGGAAGGACACGGCATTCAATCGATCAATCGTAGTCATCATGGATGGCGAAAATGATACAACAGCGACAGCCACCGTTTCCGCGCGTCTGGCTGCCTGTCCCGCCCGTCCCAGGGCTGATCAGTGCCCACCCCACTGTGTGCTCACTAAGCGCGTGGCTTTCTGGTGGGATCAACAAGGGCGAATGAGGCCCGCGACTGGTACAGTGCTAGTTGGTAAATCGGCGGTTCCTGCGGGCGGGTGTATGAATCACCACTTACCTATGTATGATTGTTTTTTATTTCCATCAGCCGTTGGTGGATGATTCTAGTCAAATGATACCGCATACTCGTCAATGTGCTGATTGTAACATCCTGTTTCTCATCACTATAGGGTTACGTTTATATGGTTAGGGCTATAGTTTTATGGTTAGTTTTGTTTGCAGGGTATGTTGTTGAGATAAATATTGCGCAATATTATTATTGTACATCCACGTCTGACACCACCCCATTCGTTCCCAGATACTCTCCAAGGGAATCGACAATATAATCTATGTTTGCAAGGCCGTACTGCACCGCTTTGACCGGGACCTGCAGAACAGTGCCCATACAACCATTGCAACTACCGAGGCCGTCGGGGAGAAAAGACCTCAACACTTGAAAGATCGAAAAGGGGTTGCTGATTGAATCCTGAGAGAGCCGATAATCTCGATCTTTTGATATCACTTTATCGGCCACGGCAGACTATAAGTTAGGGAGTGAGAGGGATTTGTTAACTATCACGAACACTAAGTATAAAGAGGAAGTCTAACCCATAAACATGTCGGACTTTTTACGCATTAGAATAAATTGAGTTTAGTGGCAAATTCGATTGGATTCAGATATAAGCCTGAGTTGTAAAGAACTCATCTATCTAGACATATTTATATGCGAATTTACACTAATATTTATCATTAGAAGTAAAATATCAAAAATTAAGTAATATTGATTTTAGTATAATGTTTTGATATTATTGATTAATATTTTGAACATTTTGAACATTTTGAATCTATTTTTAATATCTTTAGTATTAGATATATATATATGAAAATCTTAATTGTAAGGCTCCTTGACACTGCCAACCTCTAAATGCCAAAAAGTAATACTGAGGTAATTGGGCCATTGCCCAATTCCAGGGTTGGCACGCTTATAAGCCTCTGTGAGCCTGCAGCACGTGCCTGCATGCCATGCGCTGCACCGCCTTCTTGCTGCCAGGTCCAGAAGACAGAATTGAGTTTCTGTGCAAGTACATCTTAGCCTCATCTCAAGGTGTAACCATGATACAAGCGCTCATAATAATAACCTTTGGAAAAGGTCACAATGACATCAGAATGTTGCGTATAAATAAACAAGAAAGAAAGAGGATTGATTTAGGCACAATTTCTTCTCTTCATCCAAAGAATCAATCAATAACCATGGTCACTTGCATTATATGTGGTTACGGCGTCGGCAACTTCAATCCAGGTCATAATCATGCCCGGAGTATCTTTTCGGCGAATAAGAAATGGGTAAAATACCGCAACGGCCCTGGATATCACTTCCTAAACGCAGACGAAGTCGAGAAAACGTATTTTGACAATGAATATTTTCGGTGGAAGGGATTTTATCGTTTGAGTGAGTCTTTCTCTCGGCGTTGAATTTACATCGTAATTCTTGATTCAATTTCTCTACTAATATTGATTATTAAGTCATGTACAATCCACTTCAGAGCAAATACTGGCTTTCAGGCATCGGCCAGCATACCAGCGATCTTCATTCTATAGGCGAGTTTCCTGCGCCTACGGATTACAACAAGGCGTTTATTGGAATTCCGCCTCAAGGCACTGCAGGCCTTACTCCCTTTTATGATGCGAAATCGTTTGATTGCTTAGGGCTCCCAGTCATTGTACATATGAGATGCTGGAATCTGGCGCAATGGGTCCTGGGCTCTACGCTAGAGATAAATCTAGAGCTATTCGTGGCCATTACCTTGAAGAATGTTAGAAATTTAACGCTTCGAAAAGACGCTGCTGGGGTTCGCTCTTCATTGCCACATACGAACTGTAAGATAATCGATGCAATGGGAAAATTGCCGGTTGAGCTAACAACTTCCAAAATAAGCAATGAATTTTGATCCCTGCAGATTTCACACCATCACGGAAAGAATAGAGAGAAGCAGGTACAGGAAAAAATACTATACTCCACGATCAAAACGAAAACCAATCCCACTATCACATTCAAGATTTGCATATCTACCAAATGATGTTATACGGCTCATTTTGGATGTGTTGAGCTGTCATGACATCTTGAAAGTGATACGGGTCATTCAGCTTCCGGTTTCAGATGACTATTGGCGATTTCGGGCTGCTAAATATCTGTTCGAGATAAATGATGTTGGGGATGAGAAACTTGACTGGCCATATCTTGCCGCAAAGATGGAGCAACTATATGATGCTGACAAAAACTTCAGAACCCGTCGCTATGTGCATGATGTTTTGTGTGATATAAAGTCGGTGTTTGTTGCGAACGTGAAGAAAAGAACCTTTCCAAGTCTGGAGAATGTAATCGATGAGATAACTGATGAAAACGTGCGATCATGAGAGCGTATCTAAGAGTGGTTTGTGAGATTATGTTGCTTAAGATATGACGATCTTCTTCCAATATTCAGGCTGAACGCAAAACCAATACTATACCCAATTTGCTACGAAGAATATAAGACCTTAAACAGGTGCAAACCTATTTACAAGCGGGCGGGTGGCGGTGAGTAGCCACTAATAATAATTCTTACTACGATGTATTTATATTACTACTGCGTACGACGTGATACGAAGAGATAACTTCTACGATGGTTACTAAACGGTAAACACCAATCATTCTTGTGCAACACTCATTCAATAACGCAGACTAAGGATCAGTAAAGCACCATCGCTCTGTTGGCTGAGACGAACTATTAACGAAACCAACGCATTATGTATAACGCCCAGGACATTCATTCTATGACATGGCTAGACTGCTTCTTTTGATTCTGCCTCGACTGCGTCTTCATCTCCTTCCTCACTGCTGCCACGAGTGTTGACTCGCGTCTCGATCCAGCCACAAACTTCGGTTTTGTGGTGCATCAGCATTTCGTTGAGTCCCGTTTTGGGGGATTGCAATAGACGACCGTAGCGTTTTGAAGGCTTGCGCCGGTTTTCTGTGTTGTGCCAGAGTCCATGGACGTGGGAGACGAAGACTAGGGAATTCTGCCACAGAACACGTGAGTAAGAGGCAGGGAACGAATGAATGGCTGTATCTTGGTATTGGAAATTGATCAAGAAATAGCCAACTTACATCCTTGTACCACCTAGATAGCCACGTTTGGGTCGGTGATGCCACGGCGCGAACTGGATTTTCGGCCACAAATGAAATGACGCTGTTAATGCGCTGGTAGATGCTGTCTGAAGTAGAAATTAACTGTGAGTGTACCTTAAAGGGTATAACAAGGCGTACCTCGATTAATGAGAAGGTTAGCAACTCCATAGAAAGCATCGCCGATCCCAATGAAAAATATGTGTGTTGCTTCGTTTGGTCTAGTTCAGACTAGTCAGTCACTGCACTTTTCTGGGTAGTTCATACATACTCAAGGTAATTATCCCACAGGTATCCAGCAAGTTCCTCGGTCTGCGTAGGACGGTCTCCATCCTCTTCTTCGTACCTGCCAATGCCCTGCTAATCGACAATCAGCATTGCGCACCAATCTGCCAAATCGTGGACTTACTGTATCTACCGTAAGGTGTTTAGGGATGTTCACGTCGACAATGGCGTAGTTATTTTGAATAGCCCACCCAATGTATTCTTTGACGACATCCGCCTGGTAGAGTTAGCACGAATAAATTAGAAATAATCAAGATTCATACCATCCAACAGTTATGAGGCTCGAGCTTATTTGTTATAGGATGGTGAATTCCCATCATCTCAGGTCTGTCGATATTCAGCAGGGTTCACTTAGAATTTCCAGCCAAAACTCACGGGTCGTGGAATATCACAATCAAGGGAACGGCTTTGTCATAATTTGGACTGAAGAGGAAACGGTAAGCCGTCATAAAAGCAAATTAAATAAGATAAAAATGTAAAGTCGTGTAACTTACCTAGCCAAAACTTGATTTTCAAAAGACTTTGAGATAGTCGCTCGATAAATCCATAGGCTAGTGAGTTTGTAGCTGTCATATAGCTGCTTGGCCTGGTACTGGCGTATAACGTCTAAACTCTTGAGTCAGATTTATTGTAACTATCACTAAAATCCTGAAAATTCCATGCTTACCATGAAATCTATCTGTAAAAAGACCCTCTTGTGCGGGTGCTTTGGGGTACATGCACCGCCAGTATTTTGACTGAGCAGCCATGACCCTTCTAACGATCTGTACTGCGGGGTTTGAGGCAGTGGTAGCTGTAAGTCTGGCAGGAGGCTCTCCCATGAGAGTTTTTGTTACAGCTAGCGCAGATTTGGAAATGGACCGGAAATTATAACCACCCTTAATGACATGTCAGTTTGATATTAGAAAAGGTTGTACGAAAAACAAACGAAGATTTTAGGGAGCCCACCTCGAGACAAACAGCAACTTTCCCATTAGCCAAGGTCATTAGCATGTGTGTCATGTGCGCATAGCAGGCTGGAGTAACAAAACACCCGCCAAGCTCGTCACCAGCTGCTGCATCAAATCCTGAAGCCACTGGTTGAGTGTTAGTAGGATTGACCTATTTAAAAAGTATTTAAATAACAAAGACATACCAATAACTAAATCAGGATCAAACTCTGTTGCGATTGGCATGATGAGCTGCTGGAATGCAAACATGTAATCGCCATCGCCCATGCCTTGAGATGGCCAGGGTATATTCAAGTTTCTTATCAAGTCAACATACGATCTTTTTAGATGACGAGTAGACGAAGCATACTTTCCAATACCAGCACCCTCCCCAACATAATCCCAGTTGCCTTCTTTACCTCCAGGGTAGAATTTACCATCGGCATATACATGGATGGATATATAGAGGACATTAGGATCGTCGTAAAAGGCTTTTTGGATCCCGTTTCCTAGAGTATATTAGATAAGATGCATCAGGGTGAACAAATTCAACTCTCACCGTGATGAACGTCCCTAAATGTCATTAGAATAACAATACAAATAAAAAGAGTAACATCAACATACCAGTCAATAATCATAATTTTCCGACACATCTCGCCAAGCTGTCGCTGGCACACCTTGGCTGCGATCGAAACATTGTTGAACAGGCAAAATCCCATAGTCTTGTCATGCTCAGCGTGATGTCCTGGCGGCCTGATGACAGCAATAGCATTCTTGACCTTTCGCGTAGCCACCGCGAGACAAGTCTCGATAGCTCCACCCGCCGAAAGAAGTGCAGAAGCAAAAGTAAGTCGATTGAAATATATAGAATCACGGGATTCTTCAAGTAGAATCAGGGTCTCATCAGGCAGGTCTAACACACTTTCAGTTCACCACCGCTAAACTCTGTATCAAAAATTGATATAAAAACTTACTGCGAGTGCTTTCTACAAACTTGAAATGCTCATCTGTGTGAACCAATTGAACTTCCTCTTCCGTCGCATCTCGAACATCAATACGCTGCAAGGGATGAGGGGCAAGTGGTTTGGAAGAAGCCGCAATCTCGGGGTCTTCAACCAGACCTGCCCTACAGATCTCTTTATAGATGTAGTAGATGCGTCGAGGATCTTCAGGATGCACATCCGCCGTGGGTCGCACTTCGCAATGGTAACGCATCCGAATATCGTAACAAAGGCCGGTGGCCAGTGATGCAACAGTCAATCCCGAAGAAGACGCAGCATCGTCTGCAGACCAATCTGAATTCTCCTCCATGATGCTGTCGGATTCTTCACTGGATTTTGCCATATTAGACGCCTCATCCTCAATCGACTTAGTCAAGCCAGGGAATTCTGATGGGTAACCACTAGTTAGAAGAGGCGCTGAATTATATTCTGCTGAATGTGGCGGATCCGATAGTAGAGATACATCTATCACCGGTGATGAGTGGACAGGCGCCGTTGTAGCAGAGACACCTGGTTTTGTTGCAGTCGGTACGTAATTTCCCACGCTTGAAGCGTTTGCGTCGGCATGGATGATTGCCTGGAGGCCTGGCTCACCCATGACAGTATCCTCGTCCTCCATTTTTGTGCAAATAGGAAGACGAGAGGCGCGTTTTCAGCCAGTCACAAATAATTACGCCGTCATGGCCGCTGTGGCCGTCTGTAATTCGAGATAGCTATTTCGGCTTTGATTGACAGCCTTTCAAGTCAGGAAGGTCACAGCACCGACAAACACAAGAGCAATGTTTTCTTTTTGGCAACTCTTGAAGATTCAATGGCATATATGTTTGCACCGGTCACAAACACAGCAAGGATCGGATGTAAAAACCTGGCGGCTTGGGGGTATAGACTCCACGCAGACAGGTGAATATAGGACTTGAAATCCAAGCAAATAGTAAATAGGCCAACACACTGAGTTTTAAGTTGTTGGTGGACAATAATTACCCTGTTTGCGCTGGCATGCATGCAGATGATAGCGGTGGTTTATAGGGCAGGGAACGGCCTAGGTTAGTTTGGAGCACTAGCCTATAGACCACGTGATACCGTCAAAGGGAACTGCTCAACCCGCAGCACAGCAGTGCGTAACCGGGGACAAAAGACTCGTCACAAGAATCAGATCAGAAGCTTCTACTCAAGAAGGCCTTGGACAACCTGTTTCATGTGAAGAATCGGCTGTGTGGTCCCTGGAACAACTCTCCCATAGTAGCACATCAGCCTATCAGCGCCGCGACTCGTAGATACCGCTTAGTCATGTATGTAATGTGCTGTAACTTAAACTAATACATTTGGATTAATGTTGCCAGGACAATAAACATTATTAAATTATTTTCATTCATTGCGTCTTTAAATAGATCTGTTCTAGTACAGAAAAGAGGCTCTCACAGCCCAGATTCGCAGGAATCAGTCGTCAGTTGTCAATCTTCAGATGTTTTTACGCGTTCCAATTGAAACCCTAATGTTCGGAATTTAGAGCAGACTTTTGTGCAAAGTCTGCGCCTCATCCTATGCGCGACTATCAACTTTGGAGACGTAGACTGCACAGTGTTAGTTATTGTTTTCCATCGAGGTTTGGCGCGAAAACTCACCGATAAGGTCAACGACACGGCGGGAGTAGCCCCATTCGTTGTCGTACCAGCTGATAAGCTAAATGGTCCAGTTAGTAGACTGTTCAGCGAAATGCAGTGGGGACCAATGAATCAAAATACCTTGACGAAGTTGGGGTTGAGGGAGATACCAGCCTTGGCGTCAAAGACAGAGCTGGCGGTGTTGCCGTTGATGTCGGAGGAGACAACGTCGTCCTCGGTGTAGCCAAGGATGCCTATTGCATGTCAGCGGTATTCATAATCGAACAATGACAAGAAAGGTCTGGATTGTGCCTACCCTTGAGCTCGCCCTCGGAGTACTTCTTGAAGGTGGCCTTGATCTCGTCGTAGCTGACGGGCTTCTCGGTGCGGCAAGTCAAGTCGACAACGGAGACGTTGGAGGTGGGCACACGCAGCGACAGACCGGTCAGCTTGCCGTTGAGGGCAGGAATGACCTTGCCGACAGCCTTGGCGGCACCAGTGCTGCTGGGGATGATGTTCTGGGCAGCAGCACGACCACCGCGCCAGTCCTTGGAGGAGGGGCCGTCGACGGTCTTCTGGGTGGCAGTGTAGGAGTGGACAGTGGTCATGAGACCCTCAACGAGACCCCAGTTGTCGTTGATGATCTTGGCGAGAGGAGCCAGACCGTTTGTGGTGCAAGAAGCGTTGGAGATGACCTTGTGTTCGCTGGTGTAGGTCTCGTTGTTGACACCCATGACGAACATCTAGTGTAATCAGTCAGAAAATGTCCGTGGAAATATATGTTATCAAACTTACAGGAGCATCAGCAGAAGGAGCCGAGATGATGACCTTCTTGGCGCCACCCTTCAAGTGGGCAGAGGCCTTGTCAATGGTGGTGAAGACACCAGTGGACTCGACGATGTACTCGGCACCACTCTCCGCCCAGGGAATGGAGGCGGGGTCACGCTCCTGGTAGAACTTGATCTTCTTGCCATTTACGATGAGCTCGTTGCCGGAGTGCTCGATGGTACCCTTGAAGATACCGTGCTGGGTGTCATATTTGAGCATGTAGGCCTGTCCATAGTGTTAGTGGGGGTGTTGTGTCAATCGAGTCGCCGCAGCGGATGTCTTATCCGCCCGCCAGCAACGCCAGAAAGGGCCCAACATACAGCATAGTGAGTCTCAATGAAGGGATCGTTGACAGCAACGACGTCAGCTTCGCCGTGCTCAAGACTGCAGAACCAGTTAGATACAGCGCTCGCTATGTTAGGTAGAACGGGATGGCTCAGCATACGCGTTACGGAAGACCTGTGCAGTCCTGTTAGCTATGATCAGTCTGGCAGATCGCAGAGACAGCTTACAATACGTCCGATACGGCCGAAACCGTTGATGCCAACCTAGAACTATGCATGAGCTTTTTGTCTTTTTAATTGATTGAGCTGCAGCTGGATCAGCCTACCTTGGTAACCATATTTGCGGTGTTGTGTCCTGGGCGCGGGGTAGCTGTTAGCAGCACGGTCTCGCAGGCACAGCAGCACTGGCAGCAACGCGACGAAAATAACACGGAGGGAGAAGGGAGACACAGGCTGAAACAGAAAGTATAGCACTCACTGGAAGCAATGGGAGTTTTGTGTGAATGGGCAGCGAGGAAGATGGAGGAGGGCAAATTTTATGGGCGGGTGGTGGCGGGGTAGCTTGGACGAAAGAGGTAGACTCGGTGAATGACTGCAGACTGATGTTAATAATAATGTTGACGCAACGCATGGGCCGGGGGGACGCTTGCTGAAATACGCACACCGTGGGCTGTTCCTGTCGCTGCTCTTAATTTCTCCTGTTACTGCATCGAGCAGGCCTCACATCGCCTTCCGAACTACCGTATCCGCTCTCTCCCTTGTCCGGTTTCATACACCGGGCAAAACAGGAAGCCTGGCGATGCTCGACTGCACCACAGCCAATCAGCGCGCGCCGTGGCCATGTCTGTATTCCCTCCAGGCGGAGGCACGATAATCGTGTATGTCATAGCCGGCGTGCCATTATCGCGGTCCCGAGGATGCTGTGTTGACTTATTCTACGATTAACCCTATAATAGTGTATGATGCGATAATGTTAGGCGTGGTGGTGTGTGGCGTGACGGTGGTATATAGGATATAAGCTACTAACATATGTTGTATGCTGTATGCAAGATGGTGCAGTCAGTCAGCCGCTCCATCCGAGTTTACTTACTGGCCCTCTGTACAGATCTAGATCAGCATATCATACCACTACACCAATTGATATATGCTATCGTCCTTTCCTGACCTATAAAAGCAGCACTCGCCAGGAGCAGTCACCGGGGACTCTTTTTACATCAGCCGCTCAAGTTGCTGACTGAGCATCGCCACCAATCTGACTCACACCAGTTAACACTCACACCAGCCAACGAATTCCTAGGTACAATTATTAATATACGAATCGCGATTCTATGACACTAGTATATTGATGATGCCGGTCCCATGGATGAGAAAACCACTAGGTATGAATACAGAGCAGGCGCAGAAAGCTGGCACCCGTCGAAATTAAACCATTTATGCATATACGATGATGAGCCCTTTCCTTGCCACGATATGACGTTCTTTTATTCCTCCTTGACGCCGCCACGGTAGTTCTTCTCAGCATTCTCAATCGATGCCTTGTCGCTCTTGATCTCACCCTGGCCCATGTTCATGAACCCAGCAGCGGCCTTGAAGGGGCGCTGCAGATCGCCCGTGGCCGGCTTTCCGAAAAGGTGGATTTTGACCAAGTTCGATTCGAAGGCGCTCTTAACGGGGAGAATAGACTGGATTAGGAGAGGGTTGGTGTACTTGAAGTACAGGTGCATCACGCCCATCATGCCGACGCCCATCAGCTGCGACTTCATGAGCTGGCGCAGCTGTGCCTTGTCGTACTCCATGACCGTGGTGGTGACGGGACGAGGCTCATCACCGGAGCCCATTGGCGCCGGTTCGACGTATTTGAGCGTAGTCATGTCTAGAGGAGGTCGTGTTAGCTTGTTTATGATAACGGAAGTAGTGAAAGTGGTCGCACCCTTCTTTCGGTTGATCACGTTTTGCAAGTAGAGATATATGCTCAGGATGATCAAGTTGGACACGGCATACAAAACGCGCACGCCGAGGAGGACATCGGGGTTGTCAAAGGGAACCCTTTTGGAGACCTGCATCATCCCAAGGATGATGACCAAGTTGGTTCTGCGAGCATGCTGTGAGCAACCGAACGTGTAATATGAGAACAGGAAAAACAAAAACTCTCACATTTGAGGAGAAACCATGATGGCGGATATGAACTGCACAACTCCAAACAAGAACCGGGATCACGAGAGGCGTGCGAGACAGGGAGAAGAAAGGCCGCTGATAAGGAGGCGCAATTTTCATTCAGGATAATAAGGACACTTCGCCGGTCGGGCAACCGGCCACGTGACCCCACCTCTTCTGTTCTAGTAGGTTCGGTGCTCTAACCCTAATAACCCTAGTAGCCCCAGTAACTCTTCCATCTTGCCAGGAGTCCATATTCCAGAATATTGTGATTACGATTATTATATACAATTAGCATGAACTGCTCTGTAACAACATTGTGAACTCCCAAAACCCAAAGCAGATTGAATAGGTCACGTGACCGATCGCTTCTTACTGGGTCCACCCCGTCTGGTCGCTCTCTTTTCTTATTCTTTTTCTCTTTCCTTTGTAGACCTTAGAAGATAGGTAGCATAAATTCGTTTAGGAGAATATCCATAATTGTTTGCAGCGTGAAGGAGAATGCGTAAACACTGTAGTCGATCGAGCTAGCTAGTCACATGATCGAGCCCACGGGTTGATGCTGTTGATGCTCTCTCCTCCAGACAGCCCGCCAAGGCCTGTGATGGCTGCGTTGAGAATGCTAGACTTCACCACCTGGAGCCTGAGACGCCCTAGGATGGGATACGCTATTCCAGATGGAGGCCGTATTCGGTGACTGCTCTTACTTTGCATTTCCAAGGCAATCTTTAACCCTTAACACCTGGTGATGGTGGACAGGTCGACTCGGCTGGCCTTACGGACCAGCAGGCGGCGAAATGAACTGTGCACACGCGCACACAGCAACAGGATGTGCACAGCAGGCAAATCCTGTGCAAACTGTCCTGCCAGACAGTCCGCCCTGACTGCTGGCTCTGGCTGTGGACACCGGCGTGAGCATCGAGCGTATGGAGTTCCATCTTAGGCATCGAAAGGGCGTCCGCATGGGGCTTAGCGGGCTAGGCTGGGCAGGCGTATCTCCCAGCCTCCCGGGCAGCGGCTGCAACTGACATTTCCCAGTCTCCAACAACAACAAAAAACACGCGCTACCGGTCTTCCGCTTCAACTAGCCCACTCATCCACCAAACCAATCCACGACTGTCGACTGCTGCATCATCAACTCTCCCGCCAACTCGCTTCAAATATAATAAATCAAAAATGGCTGGCGGAAAGGGAAAATCTATCGGTGGCAAGGGTGCCCCAGGCAAGGACGCTGCGGGGAAGACTCAGAAGTCTCACAGCGCAAAGGCTGGCTTGCAGGTCAGTCGCTGATTTCCCTTTCTTATCATCGAGCCCGGCGCTTGTTCGGGCTCGAAAGCGCGATGCGACATGCCGTCGATGGCGATGGGTTTGGGTGTGTCTGTTACGCGTCAACGGCGGGAGTGGTAAAGCATTTGCTTTTGCGCAAGCTGCTTTACCGGCGAGTGCAGGGAAAATTTTTTCTCTAGTCGCGCGTGATGGAAAGACTATCCAAATCCATGTCATCATTCATCCTGCTGGCATAATCCTCGCTATTTAACGACTTGGTCTAACTGGTGTATAGTTCCCATGCGGTCGTGTGAAGCGTTTCTTGAAGAACAACACACAGAACAAGATGCGCGTTGGTGCGAAAGGTATGAAAGCCTTGTCTATGCATTCTTATTTGTAATCTAACATACACGTCACAGCCACCGTATACGTCACAGCCGTGCTGGAATACCTGACTGCCGAAGTCCTCGAGTTGGCTGGAAACGCTGCCAAGGATCTCAAGGTCAAGCGTATCACGCCACGCCACTTGCAACTCGCCATCCGTGGTGACGAAGAACTCGACACTCTAATCAGAGCTACCATTGCTTTCGGTGGTGTGCTGCCTCGTATCAACCGTGCACTGCTTCTCAAGGTCGAGCAGAAGAAGAAGAACAAGCCTGAGGTGTAAAGCACCTTACAAACACGGCTATACGACTAAGCTTGATCCAATTTCCTTCTCTGATTACCCTCGGTCCGGTTTATGGTTTCTTTTTGCTTTTGCTTCTCGCGGTTTTCTGCCCTTTTCTTTGAAGTTGAACTTCTAAGGCGGTGTAATGGGGGTTATTTCTCTTTCTGTTTATCTGCAGTCCTTGAATTAAAGTGAGTTAACAGTGGAGAGGCTACTCTAGGCTATCTAGAGTGTGATAATGACTTGATTTCAAGACACTCATTTCTCCGTCCATCCATCGTCATCCAACCAACATGTTACTTGCTATGTGATGGGTTAGTGAAGGAACGAATTCGGGTTACCTCGGTGTTGGTGACGCGTTCTGTTTGATTTCTCTTTTTTCACGCGTTGTTTAATGTACAAGTAGGGAATATTAAACTAGGGAATTAGTATGCTGCGCTACTGTCTGGAGTATGCTGGTATGCAAGGAAAAAATAAAACGTAACTCTTGTTGCACCTCTCCATTCAAACCTGGTTACATCAATTCCGTAGAAAAACAGCACTCAATTATAGGCTGCTACCAATATCATCGAATTGATTAATTCGTCTACATTGAATGAAACCTAATTAATTCAATGACATCGTAATACGTAGTAGTTATTGATATAAATGATATTATAAAAAATACAACAAACCCTCCCATATACCCCGATATTGATGAACTAGAAGCAAAGAGAAAATGAGATAAAATAGACATGATTATGGCGGAGATGAGAAAATGAACAGATTTCTTCCCTACAGAAAGAACCATAAGGCAACATCAGACAAATGCAGGAAGAAGGGGGGAAGTAATCCATGTACAGAAATGATAAAAGCGCAAAACTCTCTGTATGCAAGCAACAGTAACCCGCCAAAGAGAAATGCGGTATATCATCTTCATCATCATATCCTTCTTTTTTTGTGATTTTTCATTCGTAAAGGCAGTAACGAGTCCCAAAACTTCTTTTCCACGCAATTAAGAAAATGAATAAATGGATAAATAAACAAATAGATTAAACGGATCGCAATAATAACCGGATTGATGCTCAGGTAGATGCTCATGCGTAATTTTCTTTGATATCGACGTGTCGATACCAGTCAAATTCGTGTTTCTTTTTCATCCAATCGTATTTCATGTTGGGCTGCCCCAAGGGAATATATCTAACAAAAACAGATCATCAGATTTTAGGGCTCACATAATGATAAAAGTTTTCGCCGGATCTCTTAAAAATAATTTCTTTTTGGTTTCTTTCTCTCGAGTCATCTCGTCGTCCATCATCGAATCGTTAAGCCCGCCAGATCCTAGGTCGGAGAGGGGCGAAATTACAACAAACTTTCGTGATCATTTCGTTTGCGGGGTTGTTCTTTGTTGTTCATATCGTTTTCATAGGCCGACACAAAAATTTAGGGCAAAGAAATGTTTTGACATAATCATCATCATCAATCTATTCAACGATTATCTCAACACCGGAGCCGGTACGAAGCTCGTCGCTACCACGGGATTGGTGGCCGTTTTGGCGTCGAAACCCGCCGCCACGTTCGGGTGCCGGTCCTCGGGGTTGTCGTAAAGGAAGGCGTTCCTGAGACTGGTTGTCAAATCCTACACCAATAGAGCGGTTGCTTCCAATAGCACCCGCGCCTTGGTTATCTTGTTCCCACGAGAACATTCCTCGTAACCGTCTGGGGCTTCCAGAAGGACCGCCGAGGCCAGTTCCTAAAGAGAGATTGCCGAGACTGTTGACGAGGAGTCCGTCTTCGCGCTGCATACCAAGAGAAGCGCCGGATGGGGTTGGCGTTAGTGTAGGAGTGTTTGAGGTTCCGCTTGTGGTTGCGGCATCATATGCCTGCTGAAGACGTGTTCCGTTGGTTTGGAGAGTTGCAGGGAAACTTGCAGATGAGGGTACAGGTGATGGGGTGTAAGAGCGCAGGTCAGCAAAGGACTTGGCGGCACGCAAGTTTTGCGAATTCCCGAACCCGCCTGGAGATTCTAGAACTCCTAGAAAAGTCGAGCTTTGTCCGCGCATAGTGCTGAACGGACCAGGTCCTTCACTTCGTGATTCACCGAAGTCAATCGTGGCAGCACGGTTGAGACCGCGACGGGATGCATCTGTCGATTGCACTGTAGCAGGTATAGAAGGCAAAGGCGGACTGACATTGGAACCAGGTGCGGCGCGGAAAACGTGCACTTGACGTTGATCGCCTGTTCCGCGGGATGCATGACCTAGGCCCATGTTATGGGCAAGGGTGTGTACGGTGCGTCGTTGAACAGGTGTTAGGTTTGAGGGGAAGATCAGGGCTTCCCGAGCAACGTCTTCCTTGAAAAGGAGCATTTGTGAGTAGAATTGCAAGGTCTGGCTGTCATTAAGATCCACCTCTGCAAGTAGTCAGCTAGCTATTCACGTATATAAGATATGACTAAACATACCAAGCTTCGGACCACGTTGCGAAACCGGTGATGGCGAGGTGGCAGGAATGTGAGAGGCAAGAGACGACATAGAGCTCTGTGTTTGCAGTTGCGAGGAAGCCATTGGTCTGTGCTGCTCTTCCAATTGCCCCCGACGCTCACGCTTTTCTCTCTCAATGCGCTCTCGTTCCTGCAGTGGCAGCATTTTCTTATACTCAACACGCAGTTTGCGTCCTTGCAACTCAAAATGATTCAGCATGTCAATTACCGTCGCGGTCTCTTCGGCGGAAGTGAAGTTGGCAAAAGCAAGACCGCGGAAAACGCCGTTATCAAAGTGGTAGTTGAAGGCATAGGGGAGTGGCAGATTCATCTCGGTCATCAACTGCACCAGCTGCTCTTTCTTGACGGCAAAGGGAATGTTCTTAATCACAATAGCGGTCGGGATTAATTCATCGTCACCATCTTGGCTGGCAGCCGACTGCATCGGGGTTCCTGAGAGAGGACCAGGAGCTAGTCCGGCTAAAGGACTGGGTGCCCCTGGTTGCTGATCTAACCATGTCTGTAGATGTCAGTGTACATACAATTGATAGCGATTTATGAATGATAATTCCTCGCCGAGATACGTACGGTGGGTATTCCGGTCCGGCCCCGGCCGGCAGGCTTCATCCTCCCGGTAGCAGATCCAATTCCACCAAGAGTGTGCGCACCGCTGAAGCCGTTGGGATTCCACGTCTGCGAGCCCGAAATCTCGTAGCCATAATTGGTACCGCCATGGAGCGGATTGAGCCGCTCGATTCGTCCAGTGTCGTACCTGGCGAGAGGATCGTCGTACGGATTCGATGGCATGGGTCCGTAGGCATCGAACTGACGCGACGGCTGGCGGTGCAGCGGTTGCTGATGGCGTTGCGATCCTGGGGATCGCGATGATGGGTTGTCGTGATACATAATGTTGACAAAAGGCCAGACAACCGGACAAAACGCGAGCGGATGCAGGGGAAAAGGAAGAAAAATAAAACAAAAATATAAAGCGGAAGCTAGCAGATCATAGGCGCGAATCACCACAAGTAAATGAGTAAATCACGGGGATCAATCCACTATCGAGTTGACAGGGTAGCGTGGGCAGACAGCCGGCGAGCAAGAGGGAGAGTGGCTGATGATTGAAATTGGAGAGTGGGTGAGGCGGGAGCGTGGTGCAGCGCAAGAAGAATCTGGATGGAAAAAATCCCGCTAACTGCTTCCGAGAAAAACCGGCGATGCAGCGGGCGTGCGACGTCCAGGAAGCCAAAATAAAAATAAGCCAGCGACGAGTCTCGAGAGGCAACTCTGTCGAAGAGGTGGCAGCGAGCAACAGCACTTCTACGTGGCCGGGTGGCTGTAGTTGATTAATATTTTGTGTTTTTCTCTCCCGTTGTCCGGAGCGATCTGGGCGGGTGACAAGCACTGTCGATGGCGACCACAACAAAAGCCCAGGCGGAAGCAAGCAGTCGTAGCAGCACACGAGAGGAGGAGAATGGGCCGGAGGGGATAAAAAGGAATGGGCCGGTTTGAAAAGGGGGGAGTGGAGGGCGAGAAGAGGGAGAGGAGGGAGAAGGAGAGGGAGATGAGGTACGAGGAGGGGGGAAGAAGAGAGGAGAGAGAGAAAGGCGCCTGGGCAGGCAGGCAGTGTGCTTGGAAGCCTCAGGCTGCTGAAAGGCGGTGATGGGCGCTGGGGAGGAAGGAAGTGGGGGACTGCTGCAGCTGCCGTGGTGCATTCTTGCTCCGGCCCATATACCATTACTCTTACTACATATTAATACATTCAATCCTCTTCCTGTGCTTCCCCTTCTGTTTCTCTCACTACTCGTACACAGTATCACCGATGCTCCTGTTGATAATGGTTGCGCCTGTCTGCTCCCGCTGTTCACTGGCCCGATCCGCACCGATGATTATTATTGCGAATCATGCTCGCTCGCAGGCTGCCCGGCATCTGCAGCCGCGACAGCCACGCAAGGTCAACCCTTCAGGTGGCCTGGCATTCCACTTATTCCTCTACCATCAGATTGCGTCTGTGGGGATAATAGCCATATGGAATATGAACTATGGCATATGGCATCACCTTCTCGTGAAATGAAATGTGTCTGCAATCTGCAATCTGGGCAATGGTTCGCTAACCCTGACTAGCGCCCCCTTCCACTAATACTCCTAGTCTCCCACCACTCACTAGTTGACGACGCGCTCCGTCCTCATCAGACCCAGACCGCATCATTGGATCATTGGATCTGCCCAAGTACGTATTCCAATTCTCCGGAAACATGGGCCGCCCCGTGCAGCCTGCGGACCGTAGCCTGCTTCCTTTCCGCGACGATCGTTCATCCATGATAACTCTGTGTCAGTCTCGGTCGAGTCTCCTGAGCTTGTACGTTGTGGGTGTGGCCTTGGAAGTGCTTTTTGAAGTGCAACCTCTCCCAACCAAACCAGGAATGATCCACACGGCTGGCTGACAGGCTGACCAGTTGCCTGTCCCAGGGGAAGAGTCCGATTATTATTTTACATAGTCGCCAGTCCCTCGATCACACTGTCACAGTTATTGACCATACGTCTACGGCGCCTCCGCAGGATGCTTCCTGCTAATGTCGAAACGACCGAGGATGGTCCCCGTCGTTCTTTGTTGCGGCATGTATCTTCCATCACTGCCGACAGTAGTGCTTCAAATGTGAGCTTGGCCACCCTCGTATTATTATTCGGTCCATTGCGACTCCATTTGTAGCACCGAGTCAACGCTAGGAACGAATGGCTAATTAAGCTAGCATTAATAGTTTACGGAGCACCTTTAGGCTTTAGCATGGAGTCATGGACGTCTAATTATCTGGTATCTCAAATGTTGCGACAGTTGATCCCTGTGGGCCAAAACTGTGTTAACTAGAATAATTAAGGGGTAGCCTGTCTAGCTTCATTCTAGAATGGCGCCTCTCTGATCGTAGCATTATTCTTAGCCTCCAGAGCTCGAAACAATACGGGTACGTCGCAGTAGTGCGTCTTTGGTGTCTGATATCTCTTAAGGGAGGTTTGTTTACTCATCACCGATTCCAGCTGCGACCTGATGTCACCCGGCATGTTGGATCATTCCAATCTCGCATGATCTATTCTCAAGTATTTGGCTTGGTGCATAAGATCAATAACCCCGTAAGTATTCAACGTTATTGCTCAAGATTGCATTCTTCAACGACAATAATATTTGACACTGAGCATTGTCTTTGAGACAAACCGCCCTATTCCTGATCTGTACTAGCTGCCTCAGAAAACAGGTATTCTCGTCATTATTCTTACGGTTTACTGCCTAGCATGATCCAAATATAATGATAATTTACCGCTACAAACACCGATCTGACATTTGTAAACGCAGGGCACAACATCTTCTACCCATCGTCGACACAACTTGAGTCCTACCTAGGCGGTACACCTACTGGTGAGTCGGATCTGGCTGGAATTGCAATCAACGGGAGAACTTGGCATTAGCATTTATGCCTCATGACCATATTTTTCCCATTCGACGTCTGACCAAGTCATATGAACATGCATCTTCCCCTGCTGGGATGGTGTCTGATGCATTCATTAGGTCTGCGGGGGCGACTCAAAATAAGTTGAAACATCCCCAGCCAGGTTCCATACTCGAGACAGTGGACTTGATTACTTCCTACACAACCAACCAAATGATAGAAAATAGCACAGCCACATCAAGTTCAAACTCACCCTGGGCATAGTATATATGAATCAACCCAATCACAACCTCTCGTCGCCTCTGTTTCAGAAGAGTGGCCACTGGCTTGTCTGTGCCATCCTGGTAAATCTGAATAATTACTACATGTACTTACTTCCTTTGGTATCCAGTCAAATACTTGCCACCGATCAATCGCCAACAATTGATGTAAATTACATGCAGTAATCCAGTGGCGGAGGATCTTGAATGTTAGTGTTGCTATTTGCCACTTAATAATAGTACTCTTTCCTGCTTCGCCCCACGGGCTCAGCCCGAAGTCGTCGTAGTCCGGGCTTGGCCAATAATACGCGGAAGTAATCTTGAAATGAGAGTCGGAAAATATGATCTGTAGAATGGAAGAAAAGGACTAAGGTTCTCGTAAAATACTCATGTGATTATGGATGACTTCTCGATCAACTTGTTCCGCTTTCCCCACCAGAAAGCAGTCAGGCTTATGTTAGACAAGCTAAGGTCCATTCAATCACAGTCAGCGTGGCCGCATGGTTGAGAAGAGACCGGGTTAAGTAATCTCAATGTCTATATTTCAATGCTATGCATAAAGTTGGGTTTATTGGTTGGGATAAGAGGGGAGTTTTATTGGATGAAGCCGACAGCTGAATATCAACAATGATATACACTGGGTAACTCTTTCGCTACTCCCAATGTTGGCTAATATTCATCATCAGCAATTTCATAAAACTCCACCTCTGCTATCATCGTCCTCGCCGGAATAGTGACACAAATCGGAAACCCGCCATAATCCGGATCCTCACTTGGCATCATTGCAAATTTACCGCTCCTCGTCTCATCGCCGTTCAAGATTCTTGCCGTCCCTAGCTCGCCAGTCTCCTTGTTAACCACGAATTTCTCTTCGAAGCGGAGAATGCCCGTGAAGGTGCTCTTAGGCGACAGGCTGCGTGCGCGGACCTGAAATCCCCACCCGATCAGGAGGAATTTGCCGCCACCACGGTGAATCACGATGCCGCAGCCAGGGCTGCGTCGACCAAAAACAAAGCATGGCTCGATGGTTATTTCATAGTGAGACCAATGGTTTATGACGAAGGGTTTGAAGTTGTCTGGCCCGTTCTCGGGTAGGTCGTCGAAGAAGAATCCGACTGATGAAACGTGTGATGTTCGTTGCGCCTCGAGTATGATTTGAGACACGGAGTCGAGCAGGGCATAATGTTTCGTGAAAGCGCTAGTTTCTGGCTCCAGGGTATCAATGCCAAAGGGTGACACCCCGATTGCTTGATACGAGCCATATGCCGCCCAAATTCGTCGTGCCCCGTACTCGTCGCGACGTTGTTCAGGGATGAAAAGTGGCTGGTTACGATGGCGGTACTTGAGGCACGAGCTTCTGTATTCGTTCAAATAAACATCAGGTGCAATTAAGTCTAGCGAAGGTGCGAATTGCTGCCAGATGTCAAGAACATTGCTCGTGCCTCCACCTGATGGGTAGTCTCCCGGTTTGCCTCCACCTCCCGCGATTACTGGAAATGCGTTGTCGCCGTCATCTCCAACATAGTTCTGCCATACGTTGGTGTAAAGTGGAATTGGGTATTCTTTCTTGCCAGCCTCTGCAACGCGGTTGAGGTACAGGGAGTAGTGGTATGCCATGAAGAGTTCGTCGGTGTGAGGGCCCTTTCCAAAAACCTGTTCCCAGGCACCCGTTGCGTTCTGTTGGGTTTGGAAAACCTTCAGGTTCTTCTGAAGGTCCTCATGAAGATTGTTCCAGTCTTTGGAAAGGAAGGTAAGCAAGTTTTGTGGCACTGGTTCTGCGAATCGCTTCTCTGCCGCAGTCGAACCATCTCGAGAGTCTCCCAACAGACCAGTCTCATTCTCAACTTGAACCATAATAACGGTCGAATGCTCACCGTCGAATTCTTTGAGATGCCTCATCAGCGCAGCAAAGGCTTTGGCATCAGCCTTGAGTGCCTCATCGTAGAATATCGAAACAACATCACCTGTCTCAAGAACACCGCCTGCTTTACGTAGCTTAGCTCGCGGAAAGCGTTTGATATCAGTCTTTATCCATGCTGGAGTGTAGGTCGAGATTCCTTATAGACAACTCTCGTCAGCCTGGTAACAAGTAGGGTATTTTTTTTTTCTGTTGCGCTTGAATAATACTTGCCATTTTTGAACGACCCAAACCACAAGAGTATTAGATGCAATCCATAATTTCGCGCACCGAGGATAACCTTGTCAAGCTCTTTAAAATCAAATTGACCTTCCACTGGCTCGATATCTTCCCAGGTAACACATCCAAGGATAGTATTGTAGTGAGTGTCCACCAATTTCTGCCAGACTGTGTTCATATACTCGGACGAGGTAAGAGATGAGTTTTGAAGTTCACCTCCTAGGATTAGAAAGGGTTTGCCATTCACGACGAGCTCTTTGCTTGTTTCCGTCTTGCGAAAGTGGGGGTATATGGAAGGAGACATGGTGACACGGATGATAAAAATTATGAAAGATAAAACGATTTAATCGATTAGGAGAGCAAGGGACCGCAACTATGGACTTATTTATATTTTAGAGGTCATGCTTTCCCTGTTCATTTCTCTAACACGGTCTCCGATTTGACCTGTATGTATGCCGGATAATTTCATGGGCAAATTTTATGAACAGAAACCGGCATTGGTGAAATGCTATTGGATCTTATCCCGTAATGGCCTTGCTGATCCCCCTCTCACATACATTAGAAACACATCCTGACTCGGCCAAGGTCAACATCGGCATGGTGGAGGTCGGGGGATACTCCGGGGTGCATTCGCTGGCTCCGGCTTTGACGCGATACTATTGGCAGATACCCCGGCAAGGACAAAGCCCAACCCTATTGAGTACATGGGATTTCCCCAGATTTCACCATTCTAGAGCCGGGAGAATTAACCGAGAGCACAAGTGATGCTCACTGTATGGAGTTTCGTTCCCTGCTCTTGTCTCGTATGCCATCATGTATAAAAAGAATGGTGTTTCCCACGATCCCTAAGACGAACGACTCTTTCCCGCACAACGATTAGAGAGGTGCAATTCATTAGGTAAAACCTTTCTCGTCCATCCTATCTTAGCCATGGCCACAGTGAAAGAAGACATCGAGGTCAACGCAGACCACGATGAACACTCATCCCAGGCCCCTCATTCGACTATGCCTGTTTCGAACGTCACTTGGTACAAGCACCCTGGGCTGCGTAAGCTTTATGCTATGATGCCTATCCTCTTTCTGGGTATGTTTTTGAAGTTGTGCTTTGCACCTAGTTTGTTTCTGATTCATATACAGGCTCAACCGTCAATGGTTATGATGGATCTCTTCTCAATGGCTTGCAGACTATGACCCCCTGGCAGGATTGTAAGTGCTCAGCTACTGTCAAAAGAGCCCAGGCTTACTCTCGAAGACTTTGACAATCCTTCAGGTTCTAGACTGGGCCTATTCACGGCGATTCAAAACATAGGTGGTATCTGCGCTCTGTTTTTCGGTATGTTTTCGAGAGTATCCACGAGATTTGATGCGTAGCTGACGGAATTCCAGCATCTTATGCTGCAGACATCATTGGGCGTAGGGCTGGTGTCACGATTGGCCTGATAATAATATTTGTCGGAACCATCATCCAGGTTGTTCCTTCAGTCAACTCCGGCATGTTTATTGCAGGTAGATTTCTAGTTGGTCTCGGGTTAGTGTAGTTTCACGCATTATATTTCCTATCGCTAACATGTTGAGCTTAGATCCAATATATCACAAGGTTCTGCGCCCCTACTAATCACTGAGCTTGCACACCCATCACACCGCGGCACATTGACGACTATGTATAACACTCTGTGGTATTTGGGGTCAATTATTGCGGCATGGACAGTCTTTGGAACGCTCAAGTATACTTCAGATGCCGCATGGCGGATTCCCGTTGGAATGCAAGCAGCAATGCCAACATTACAACTTTTGGGGATCTGGCTGCTACCTGAAAGTCCTCGTTGGCTTTGCTCTAAGGACCGCGGTGACGAAGCTTACAAAATCCTTCTCAAGGTACTACCTTCATTTTCAAACAGACCCAGTAAGCAGTCTGACCTTCATAGTATCATGGAAATGGCGACGTCAACGATCGTTTCTGCGAATGGGAATTCCGTGAAATCCAGGATACCATTCGATTGGAAAAAGAAAACTCGTCGAATGGATGGCAAGTATTATTACAGACGAAAGGTAACCGCAAGCGACTATTTATAATCGCCATGGTATCATTCTTTTCCCAATGCTCAGGAAATGGACTCGTATCCTATTACCTTCACGACATTCTTAACTCGGTTGGAATAACGGCATCCTATGACCAGTCAATGATTAACGGAGGCCTGCAAATTTGGTCTTTCCTTGTCGCAATTGGCTTTTCATCTTTCTTGGTGGATCTCTGGGGTCGACGAACACTTTTCATGATCGCAGGCGTCGGCATGTTGGTCAGTTTTAGTATTTGGACTGGGTAATTTTCTTGGACAGATCAAAATGTGAAAAGTAATCTGACAATATCACAGCTGTTCTGCCGTTTATGCACAAACCGGGAACTCTTCTGCAGGCAGTGCTGTCATTGCAATGATATTTATCTTCTATGGTGTTGCTGGGTTTGCGTGGCCAGGTCTGACAGTTGCTTATTGTGCCGAAATCCTTCCATTCAACATTCGAGCAAAAGGATTAGCCGTCAGTTTCGCGCTCACTGCCGCCTCCTCGGTGTTCAACCAGTATGTGAATCCGATTGGCCTCCAACATTTACAATGGCGATACTATTTTGTCTATATTTCCATTCTTGTCGTTGAGTGTCTAGCCATCTGGTTCTTCTTTGTTGAAACAAAGGGACCGACACTCGAGGAGATTGCAGAGTTGTTTGATGGCGAGAGTGCCAACGTTGCTCATGTGGGAAAATCTCCTTCGAAATACGAAGACCCAGAAGAGAAGCATTCTTGATAAAGCAGAAACATGAATTGATTTAAATAGCCGCGTGTGTTGTAAACATGGATGATTGCCGAAGTACGGATAACGTGTCATTGGCAACTTTCCCTCTCTCGGAAAGTTGGGGATCGATAGTGGAAGAAGACTCTTCGATAGGAAAAGAGTGCTGGAGTAAAAATTTCACAATCCATTTATCAACGGTGTATATCTTCTCCATAGATCTCATACAGGCTTTCTGGAAGGTGAAAAGTCTCTCGATCTGAACAATAGCCTCTTAGTAGATTCCCTTTACCAGTAGTGCAATCCTTAGAAGACTTACCATCATCTCAACAGCTGGCCAGTACTCTTTGAGCTTCATCAGAGTTGCAAAGTTTTCATACAACCTCGATCTCGTTTGCGTCAATTCTTCATGTTCACCAAACAATAGGGTATGGAGCAATGCTGCAGAAGAAACTACCGTCATATGTGCAACTATGAAATATACTGCCCCGCATCCCTTTATCTCGTGAGATAGTTTGAGTAAATCGCTGAACGCTGCAGCATGGTGTTTGCAGCGACTTGCGTAGAGTGATTTATTTGCCACTCCTCTTAGTTGGACATCTAAGTATGGAAAGTAAAGCAGGGTGGCGTAGTGGTGATACCCTAGGTGAAGGGCAACAAATGCTCGTCCAAGGCCTAAAGCTGCATGGCTCTTGAGATTTGTTACGGAAAAGTGGCAATCTGATGGCAGAATATCAATAAAGCTTTCTAAATCACTAGAAAGGCTATTAGTGATTTTCTCTGCATCTGCATCATTCAATACAGCATTGGCGAGACTTTGGTGCAGATTCTGAATGCGACCGAATATTTTTGCCAATATAATCATATAGCCCCAGAGACCAAATTTCTCATCCGAAGTATCCTCTCTGGCTAGAGCCTCTAGGTTTGGCTGCCAGAATTCGAGTTCCATCATAGGTAATGGATAGCGGTCGCCATCGGTGAGTTGTCGAGGAACCCCCAACCCAGCAGAGGACCATTGGTCGATCATGTAGAGCGACCACCATACTCGAAGTTTAATTTCCCTCTTAATTGGCCCATCTTGAGGACTTGGAGTAGGTAGACGAAGTATTTGAGCCAGTCTGAATGCAATTCCTAAATAGAAGACGTTATCATCAAATAGTGTCCTCCGAAGGGAAAAAAGCTTACCAAAAAACAAAGACTCAAGTTGTGGCTGCCCTTCGGCTCCACAAATATTGCCCACAAGAACACTAGCTTGAATATTTTCAAGATTCACATTAAGTGAGTCTATCTTGAAGAACTCTTTAGCAAGTTGGAAGAATTCTTCCGTTTGTTGTCGAGTGCCAGGGTCATCAGAAAATCTTCCAAAAGGCGTTAGATTTGGCTTTTCAGAAACTACAAATTTTCTGTACGATGAACTTATACCTGGCTGCCAGCCCCATAATACCGAAAAGAATAGCTTTCGGCAGAGTTTCCTCGCGAACCTGGGCAAGCAATGTAGGCGGGTGAAACATTGTATGCGGCTTATCATGAATCAATTGTAGGTACAAGTCCACAAGCTGGTCACGCGTTGCATTATCAACGTTACAGACTAATGCGGGCTGATTCAAAAGAGACTGAGGACCAGGCGCAATGGTTTTCGGTTGATTCTTTTGCAAACTGACAGTTAGCGAGCATGACTGTTTTCGCTGTAGACATTGGGTACAGGGTTGGTTGTCTGCCTTGGCTGGAATGCATTTGCGCTTTCCAGCCCTGCACTGTCTGCATGCCTTTGCAACTCTCATTCGAAATATGTATACAGGAAACAGAACCAATGGCGACTGATGTCAATGGTGGATCGTTAACATCAGGTTCAGATGTTGTTGATGATGGCTCTGAGAGATGCATGAGGAGAGTGAGCCTTGTTTCCTGAGCAGAAAATGAGGAAGCCGCAGTGGTCCCACATTTACACCTGGGGCAGACCCAATGGCATCAAATATATTCAACTCACCAATTGATGCCGTTCGATTTTATTGATTTTTCTATCTCCTTTTGGAGGTTGCATGTAAGCCTATGTCTATAAACGAAGAGATGAGTGAGATGGAACTTCCGCGAGTATACAAATATACCTGCCATAGCGAGCCACATCAAGAGTCATCAACATGCATCTTACTTTCCATCATATCAACACTAATGTCAAAATCCTTGACCGCCAAAAATATACATCAATCGAAACACTTTTAAGTAGCCATCGATGGGTGGTTCATGCTATTAACTGTTCTAAGAATCAACCATGTCGATGTTTGAGACATCACGAGGAATTTTATCATGAATCATCATTTCAATCATCGTTTCTTGAACTTAATCTCACTCCTGCACAGCTACAGATTGCTTTGCTAGAATTTGCGCCGCATAGCTTGACACATCGTCCACTACCACGACCTTTTTGAACGGCTCTAGTTGCTGCTCGCTCCAATTCTTTAGGATCAGGTCCTGATAGGATGAAAGTCCCATCAAAGCCCCTGACAAGATAAGCGCGCTTCTACTGGGATCACATAATCCAGCCTTACACAACGGCTTGATAAGGTCAATCAGGGACCCGGCTGCCGATTTCAGGATGGCGAGAGCCTGGGAGTCAGGATTATCTTTTCTAAATCCCAAGGCAGTAACAACATTCGCAAGGTCACTAATTTGACGTTTCGGTTGTGACCCGGCTCCAAAGACATTTGAGAGAACTTCTCTCTTGGTACAGTTGAGTCTAGCTAGAATTCGAGATTCAAGTTCACTGGTCTTCCGCGCATCGTCAAATTGGCTCTGCTCTATACCAGCCAACACAGTTTGCAGTGCTCTTTTTCCAATATCAAATGCACTGCCGTGGTCACCCAAGAGATACCCCCATCCTCCTGTCCGACCTAACTGGATAATTTCGCCTCTAGAATCCCTTTTGAACGCGGTAGCCACAGATCCAGTTCCTGCAATTACCGAGACACCAGTTTCAACCGAGTTATCTGTGACGATTCCTGAACTAAGCAGCATATCGTCGCTTGTGAGGCGTAAGGTACCATGGTGGAAAGAAACTCCAAAAAGCTCTTCTAGACGTTGTATTAATGTTTCAACCTGGTCGGCAGCATGGTACAGTCCAGCAAGTCCTACCCAGACCCGTGTAAACCTGGGGATGTCGGCCATACCTAGGCCGTATGTTTTGGACACACACGACCAGGATTGGTATGTAGCTAATTTTATTTGAGTAAGAATGTCCTCTAAAGTGACACAGTTAAAATTACAAGCGCCTGCTGTCCCTTTTCCCACGACTTTGGACCGTGTGGCAATGGATACCGTGCATTTTGTTCCGCCACCATCGACACAAAGAAAGTATTCGGAATTTTTAGGGGTGTATAAACCTTGTGGAGAGGCCTGATTTCTCAGTCTCTCAACAAATATGTGAAACTTATCATTTGCTAATTGCAACTGATGCCTAGCGAGATCTGGATTCAGACCAGAAGTAGCTACAGCACAGGCTAGTTTGACGCTCCCCCCGCACTGCTCTATAAGTTGATCGAGAGCAGGGTCGGCTTCACTTGTCTCTGAATTTTTGAGAACTCTTGTTGATTGTGTTCCATTTGTGTCGTCCAGAACGTGTATTGGGGTTCCTTCGCAAACCTGGCGCACAATTCTTCTTGCTCGAGCCTTGAGCTTGTCATTTTTCACTCGGACATCAATCATGAGACCCTTATAAGTCTTTCCAAGTTTTACCATAGTGCATGTGCTGATCATGTTGAGAATTTGCTTGGCAGCACCACCTGCTTTTAGGCGAGTGCTGCCAGCAAGGAACTCGGGTCCTACCAAGGCACATATGGTATATTTGACTCCAAGGTCATCAATACTGGACGGCTGTGCGTTGGTAATTCCAGCGGTAAGTGCATCTCTTCTTAGAGCCACCTTGAGTGCACCAAGAACAAATGGTGTTCTTCCTGACGCAGAGATGCCTATGACTGTGTCTTTGGACGTCAGTTGTAGCGCCTCAAGTTTGGCAACCCCGTCAGTCTCAGAATCCTCGGCACCTTCTCGAGCCTGGATAATAGCTTCAGTCCCACCGGCAACAACAGCCAGAAACTGACTGGGATCCGCAGAGAAAGTGACCGGCAGCTCGCTGCTGTCCATAAAGCCTACTCGGCCACTATTCCCTGCACCGACATATATGAGTCTGCCTCCGACTTTGAGCCGGACTACCAGATCATCGATTAGTGATGCAATTATAGGCAGACAGCACGCAACCGAGCCCGCTACTTGCTCTTCCTCCTGATTGAAAGCAGTGCAAAGTCCTAGAGTGTCGAGAAAGTCGATTTTGTGCGCTACCGAGTTTCGAGCTTCGGTCTGGAGCTGGCCCAAAGTCTCGATATGCTCTGATGGCGTCATGACGCTAATTATTAGCGCCTGAAAAATAATTCCTTGAACGTATATCACAGGCAATCGACTTTTATTTATGCAGACAGCTGCGTATGGCGCACGCAATCAAGGCGTGTTTAGGAGTGCTCGTAGGCGAGGTATGCGGATGTCGGGAGGCGACATCCGCGCCCGATTTCCGGATGAAAAGTTTCGCAAATTAGAAAGCCAACTTTTTATTCTAGGAAGAGGTCTCCCCCGATTACTACTCGAATCCAGTTTGTTTGTCATATCGTTCATGTGGTCCCCCCAAATGTTTTTTTGAGACCCATCTTCGGATCGCGGTCCATTCGCGCTTTCGAGATAGTGTTTCTGCGCCAGGGTATATATAGGCTCTCATCCCCTTTCGCCTACTCAGACGTCTCAAGAAGCAGCCTTCTCTTAATCAAAATCACATCGTATTCCACAATGTCAGCTACTAAATCTGGAACGGACGTAACCTCGTCTATCCAAAATAGCGATGTTACCCCATCCAGAAGTATCCTCCTCAAAATATATCATGACCCGTGGTTCCAGGTTTTCCTGATCTCGTTGATATCATTCTGCAATCCCGGGATGTACAACGCTCTCACTGGAATGGGGGGATCCGGCCAGGTTGACAGTACTGTTGCTGCCAACTCCAATGTTGCGACGCACGCCTGTACTGCTGGTGCCGCGTTAGTTTTTGTCGGTGCTTTCTACAAATATCTCGGCCCTCGCCTGTCACTTCTCCTTGGTGGGTGGACATATGCCCTATACGCAGGGTCTTTGCTCAACTTCAATCGAACTGCGAATGGCCCATTTGTGATTGCTGCAGGCGCATTGCTGGGTCTCGGCGCAGCATTTTTTTGGGTTGCGCAAGGCACAATCATGGTCACATATACCAACGATAGCACCCGAGGAAGAGCAATCGCTTTGTTCTGGGTGATATTTAATCTTGGAGGAGCTATCGGTTCGCTTGCTAGTTTTGGACTCAATTATCATTCCAAATCCGGCACAGTCACTGACTCCACGTATATCGCATACATTGTGGTCATGCTATTCGGTTGGGTCTTGTCTGTATTTGTTTCATCCACCGAGTTCCTATCTCGCAAATATAGCGGTGGTCGTATTTCGGAAGAATCGAAGAAACTTAACTGGGCTAATTTGAAGATTACAATCTTCGAGAGCATCAAAATCGTGTTTGATTGGAAGGTTATGTGCCTATACCCTATGTTCTTCAATGCCAACGTGTTCTATTCATATCAGCAAAACGATGTCAACGGGATGACATTCAACCTGCGAACCCGGTCGCTCAATAGTGCGCTGTACTGGATTGCGCAGATGGTCGGCGGACTCTTGATGGGCTACATCCTAGACATCAACCAGATAAATCGGCGAACCCGAGCAAAAATTGGCTGGGCTATACTTCTTGTCACGGGGATGGTTATCTGGGGTGGAGGATACAAATTCCAGGTCTGGGATGACAAGCGCCTGCGAAACGGTCTCAAGCAGGACATTGACTACAAAGCCGGAAGCGTATTTCTCGGTCCCATGTTTCTGTACTTCTTCTATGGCGCCTATGATGCATTCTGGCAGGCTTACTGCTACTGGATCATCGGGGCACAGTCGCACGACCCGGTAGTCAATGCAGTTATTGTCGGTGCTTACTCGGCTCTTAAGCCTGCTGGTGGAGCAATGGCCTGGCGAGTGAATGCTAATGGGGTCAGTGCTATGACTCAATTTGCGATGAACTGGGGTCTTACCATTGGAAGCTTGGTGGTGGCTGTTCCAACTGTATTGACGTTGAACAAGGCTGGTTATGCGGCTGAACAGACGGAAGTGGACACAAAGACTTTTGAGGATGTTGAAGTCTAAGTGCGTGTTTGTCAATTGATAAATATCAAGGCAGTATATTGAGTAAATTTCGAATAATGAATTCACCAGCCTGGAATCAATGTTATAAATCGAGTATGGGGAAAGGTTTTCCAGTCGTTATATGAGATTTCTTTTGAGCAGACGATCGTATTTAGTTACTTAATCAAATTAAAAAGTAAGATGTATTCAATAGAAATGAATCAAGCCAGAGTGTATACCCGGCCCAGGTCCGGGTATACACAATGTGCACACCACTAAGTTTCCCTTATGGTGAGTAATACTATCTACTAATCTCCCTACTGAAGTAGAGGTCCTCGCAGTCGAGTACCAAAGGATAGCGGGGATAAATGCTCCTTTTTAACACCATACTTTGCCGCTCTGTAGCCGAGGGCAGGTTTTCCCCTTCAGCCAGCGGATTGCACACATACGCGGGGATCCAGTTGATGTTGGTGCTCCCATAACCGATCAAGATGTTGGTGGAGGCGGTGTTGTCGAATACACGAAACTGCGAGCCCCTTGCAGCGCTGGGAACTGCCCAGGCAAGGATCAGGTTAGAAAGTACGTATATGGGGGATCGAATAGGGAGGAGCTATTAAAAAACGAGCATTATGCATCATCCATTATCCTACTGGCTGCCTTTAATGCGACTCCAGTTGCCAGTGTCAGCGACTCCGCGAATGGCGCCATTGTAGCTCAAATAAGCCAAGAATGGCCTCATGCCTGGTTGTAGTGGAATGCAATTTAGCGAAGTAGTGCAAAGAGGGAGCGACATCCGACGGGGGCGGCAGTCGGGTTTCTGTCCCAAGAACACTAAGATCCAGAGCCAGCCGCACTTTGGCGATAACATCATTTTCTGGTACGCTCGCGTGATCCGAGCGCCCCCGCAGCGTCGCTGACAACGCCCCTTTTCCTCCATCATGGATTGTGACTGTGTTCTCTGCTGCATCGGACCGCCTGTCTGCCCGTGGTATTTGTTGCGCCCTCGAAGTCGCGCTGCGAACAAGAGATGTCATGGTCGAGTCAACACAACAACCCTCTAGTTGCCTGATCTGTCGCCGACGGAAGGTGAGTAGTTTCTTCGCTGGCAATTAATCAGCCACGGTGCCGCCTCGGTTTGCTGACCACTTCTGCAAAACCACCAGATCAAGTGCGATCGCACTCCTGGGTGCTGCAACAAATGCCGTGCATTTGGCGAGCACTGCGTCTATGCGACGGAAGCCGCCGCGGATGTCGGTGCTGCCAGCGATGCAGGCATCTGTCCCAGCGACTCCATCACCCAGGCTGGACTCAAGCGCCGACGCGTCCTGCGATCCTGCTTTGAGTGCAAGCGGACCAAGGCCAAATGCTCTGGCGGTCCTGTATGCACCAGATGCACCAAGAAGGGCATCGAGTGCAGTTTCTACGAGCCAGACTCCGACTTCCGAGAGGAGTCGACCACCCCGCAGAAATTCTCGCGCTCTATGCCGACATGGCTGGCGACGAGGAATCTGCCTCCCATCGATCAGATTCGCGAGCTGATCGACATCTACTTTGCCCAAATCCACACCGTGCGCTGCATGGGCTTCTTGCACATCCCGAGCTTTATGGAGCGTTTTAAAGACCATCGGAAAGTCTACTCCGAAGTGTCGGGCCTTATCTACATCATGTGTGCTTTAGCTGCTCCATTCTATTACGCAAAACTCCACGGTACGAACGAGGAAGACGTAAGCGCTAGCATCCGCTTCTTCGATGCCGGCAAGGGCTGGGCGGAGGCGGCCATGCAGTGCGTCTTTTCGAATTTTGGTAACCCATCTGTCGAATGCCTCATGACTGAGATCCTCCTCCACGAGCATTATTTACGAAGTGGCGATTACACAAAAGGATTTCTGATTTCCGGCTTCATCGCTAGACGAGTACAACTTCTGCAACTCAACATCGAGAATGACTACGATGTTCTGTGTCAAAGGGGCCAGTCGTCGTGGGCGCTTAATGAAAGCAGACGGCGTCTTTTATGGGCTTGCTATCTATTGGATGCATCTATCGAATGTGGTATTGACCAGCTTCGCTTTATGTCCTCCGACGATGTGCAGGTCCAGTTGCCCTGTACCGAAGACCTTTTTGTACGAAACACACCGTGCATCACGGAAATGCTACCCCGAGGCAAGCTGTTGCCTTTTGTCGACCCTGCTCTAGCCAATAGAGCTGCAGAAAATGTCGACATGCGGGGATATTATGTCAGGGCGATGGTCATTCGCTCTAAGATACTACGATATGTCAAACACTTGGATGGAGATATCCCATGGCAGGCAACCCCTAACACGCAATTCCACCAGCTCGATGCTGAATTAAGGGATATTGAGAGTTCTATTACGGAGAGCCTCAAAATGTCACCCGAAAACATCTACATTTACAAGGCATCCGGTCGCCTGAATCTATTTTTCGGCCTTCATATTCTCATTTCGCAAACTTTCAATGATCTGTATCGCATTGGGGTGCCGAAGTTGGTCTTTCCCAATGGTGCCACAAGATGGATTCGTGAAAACGCGCCGGCAGAGTTCATAAATCTCTGCCATCGCACATGCATCAGTAAAGCGGCTTATATCGGCTCCCTTCTAAAGGACTTATGGAATTGCCACAAGCAAAGCATCATAGATATTCCGTATGCAGTGCATACACAGATATGCAGTAGCGTGCTGGTCACGGGTCTCAGTTCATGGTCCGAACCCGAACCTATACTCCCCCTACTCTCCCATAACGATTACCTCGAAATCCTCCAAAGCAACGTGAAAATCCTCAAATATCTTCAGAGATACATCAAAGCAGACCGGTACTACGAATCTGCCAACCAGGCACTTCGACGCTTCAACATCCTTTTCGCTCACGAGCGCGCCGGCCAAGGACGAAGAAGAGTCACTTCATCGATAGACTCTAGTATTAGCAACAGCAGCGTTGCGATGGACGGGGTCGACAATACCACCACCAACACTCCAAATACATCCCAGTTTTCCTTAGAATACATCTTGAACCCACTGGGGACATACCCTATGGCTCGGAAGCAAGTATACGACCGCCATCCGTCAGAGTCAAGCGACGAGACGACGTCTGCCGAACCGGGACTTGGACGTTCAACCACTTTCTCCAGTCCGGAGCTGCAGTCACCAGGTGCAGACAGTTTGTCGAGTCACGAAGACAGTTTCTACCCAATCCCAGACTGGGGGTCAGAAATCCCAATTATGGATGGGATGGGGTATCCTACTTTTTTGGAACAATTTCCGGCAGGGTTAGAGGTTATATATTAAGACAAGGATTTTTTTTTTAGAGTTTTAGATACCCGGAATTTATTGGTTACACTTGAATGCTTGAGTTCGTGAGTCTTATGCTTTTGATTTATGGGTATGGAATTAGGGCAATGTTGATGTTAATATACATTGGGAAAGGAATGGTTGCATATAGTATAAGATGGACTTCTTTAAGGTCAATGCATTATTTCGCAAGCAGCCTAATTGATCGTCCCCCGCCTCTAGTCTTCAGTTGCGGCTCATGCGTAAAATTCAATTACAGGCAACTCAACTCTCAGTTCAGCAGTAGCAGGTAACTCATGGATTTGCACACTCCCCAGCTCTGCATAATTCACGGACGCACCACACATCTGAGATCCAGCATGGAGAGGGTAAGAGGCGGACGAGTAGTGCGGTAAATGCCACGATACATTCTCCTGAGGGGTGTCTGGAGAGTCGTTTCCGACTTGATTCTTTTCGTCATTTCCCTCCTCGTCGCTGGTTGCAACACTGTCTGCATCATTCTTTTCTCTTAGACTAGAGCTCATGGATACCGATTTCCCTTCAATTTCCCCTAACGACCGCGATGGTGGCACACGAAAATTCGATGGGGAAAACTTCACAAATGTAGGGTGATTCTTCAATGTCCAGGCAGTTTTATCTTCCATCCCCATTGGTGGATCCGAGTTAGTAGAAGAAGAGGAAGGGGATGAGATATAAGAACTGGATGGGGTATGTGTCAAAAGTTTATGCTGGGCTCTACACAGAATATCCATCACTTGTGTCTTTCGCTCGTCTGAGATATTCGCATTTTGACAAAACTCGACCTTCACAGCCGACGGTCCCACGTAGTTAAGGAAGAAATTCTTCATTTCCTCTTGACTTGTATCACCAGCGGAAATAAGGACGCGCAATGTCTCTAGGTGGCCGAAATGTGCTGCGTAACGAATGGGTGACCATCCCAATCGGTTTTGTGCCATAAGAGGTGCTCCTCGCTTGAGTAATAGCTCCACAGTTTCTTTATGGCCTTTCATCGCGGCTATACATAGCGGCGAGTCACGGTTCAGGGGGTTGTCTTGTAGAAGTAACTGTGCGCCGAGATCCAGCAGTGTGTTTGCAGTATCTTCACGACCGTGTCGACAGGCTACGCTTATTGGGCGGTCCCCTTGTGAGTTTTTTGCTTCCAAGAATGCACCTCTATCGCGAAGAATACTTATCAGATGAGTGAAACCTTTTGCTGCGGCTAGGTGTATCGGTCTGTCCTTATTAGGCGTTGTTGCCTCCACGTCCGCCCCGGACGTTATAAGTAGTTGAAACACATCCGCTCTGCCGGCCAAGGAAGCGTAATGAAGTGCAGTGAGACCATTGCGGCAAAGGGATTCCAAAGGGAGGTTTCTGCGTAGCAGGTATTCTACCACAGCAAACTGCGAGTCTTCAGCAGCAATATGCAGTGCGGTCTTGCCTTGACAGGTGGTTGACAACAATGTCCCCCGTTTCTGGCCCAGAATATCGACAACTTCTTCATGGCCTTTGCTGACGGCTAGATGCAGGGCATTCATGCCTTGTCCATCAAGGCATCGAATATTGGCTTTATTCTTGAGAAGGGCGCGCACAGCTGATAATTGACCGTTCAATGCAGCACACATAAGAGGAGTTTTTTGCTCGATTTCACAGATATCAATGCTGGCATTGTGTGAGACAAGTAAATCGATGATGTTTACGAAGCCACCCTGACTTGCATAATGCAAGGCGGTCATCATGTGGCTATCTCTAGCGTCAACATCTGCTGCATAGGATACTAATAATCCTACCATCTCCATATCGCCCTGTTTAGCCGCGATATGCAAGGCCGTTGTCTGATCACCTGCCCGGGCATTGACTTTAGCATTTTGCAAAAGCAGAAACCTGGCTGCCTCCAGATGTCCGTTACTGGCAGCCATATAGAGAGGTGTGCAATGATTTACGGTTTTTCCTTCGATGTCAGGCCTCTGCCATTGCATAAATAGCAGGTCCATAACGGGGAGATGACCTCGCGATGCAGCGAGATGGAGCATGTTTGACCCCGATGAATCGCATACATCTAGATTAGCGTTGTTTTGGAGTAATAGCTCAACAATATCTTCTCTTCCACAATGCGCAGCCACTAATAGTGCATTTTTCCCTGAAGGAAAATGTCGAGCTTCGATGTCGTGGTTGCTTGCAATAAGTCTTTCTACCTCAAAGCGAGACCCTAGTTGGGCGGCTCGTACGATTTCTGGAATAAAGCCGGTATCACTAGCTGTTGCTAGATCAATGCTGACTTTTGAGTCAAATTCATGAGTCCACTTCATCCTTCGAGAGGACAATCCTGTCGCTGGGCTTCGCACCAAGCTTCGGGAGGACGGATTGGCAAGGTTTGTTGTGATATTGCCGCTTTGCTTTTTTCGAAACAAAGAGAATATACTGCCCTTTTTTCTAGGGCTATAAGTTGAGTGTGAATTGTCGTTTGGAGACTCTGGGGAATTATCTGCTGAGTGCCATGGTCGACCACCCCCATAACGACGACTCGGCCGAGCTTCAAGGGGGGCGCTGTGGATCTGCTCTTGGAATTCGGGCGAAGCAGTGATGATAGGTCGTAAAGCAGGTCTGAACACTAGCTCTTTATTTGTCCAAGTATTTCCAGAGACCAGAGTAGAACTCTGATTTGTAAGGGCAGCTATATCAGGCTCGGCTTTGCGGAAGTTTGACATATCTCCGCCAACTGTGGAGGAAGGCGAGAATTCATCGATTAGTGTCGTGTCATTAATAGCCGCGATGAATAATGGCGGCTTGGTAGAAGAACCAGAATGCAATGGAACACTTCTCAAGCTGTTTGTTCTGCTTAAGCGGCTTCGAAGGCTCGTAGTCTCACTGGCCACCTTCTCGAGGATTTGACGGTTTTCAATTCTTTGCAGAATTTCCAATTGCTGTTTTGTAGAGTAGCTGTGCATTATAAGAAAGTTTAGCATAATCAATTGTTATCTACCCATTTGGACACTTACCACTGACAAACTTGTAGCAAGAAATCTAGTGCATGTACTTGAGACTGCAGGTGGTCGCGCAGATCAGTCATCAACCCGTCATTCCACATCACTTTGAAACGATCTGCAAAGCCAACTTTCGAGTCACCAGTGGTGGAAAATGTCAATTTATGTACTTCTACCCACAGAACCTCCATCACAGCCTTGCAGCCTTCAAGGGCAACCTCCAACCCGCCACAATATTCCGTGTTTGATGCAAAACTGTCGCCATTGTATTTGCTCATTTCCTCTAGGTGACATATCGCAGACTTCACAGTTGACAGCTCTGTGATCAACGATCTGATAGTAATATCAGCTATTTTAATCTTCCCACGAAGGGAAGCCAAAGCAGCAATCGTCTGGCCGATGATTTGTGCAATCTGCAAAGCCCCAGAAAGAACGCCAACAGCAGATATAGGGTCCATTATGAACTGATGGAGCTGAACATTAGATACTATTTCTTATAGAAAACCAGAGAATGAAATCTACCCTGAGGGGGATATAACGAGGAGATATCCAAGCGAGATTGATTCAGGCTGCAGCTTGACGAGGGATGAGGGATCCAACCCCGTAGCACAGCTGCAGCCGCGACGCAGATTTATTATCTTCATCGTCCAACACAATAAAGTTCTCAACTATGTCCTGTCTTGCAGTGCCCGGGTTATTGGGCTACTCGCACCGGTTTCCGATCCATGCAGCCAACCAGTCGGTATGCACCTCGCACTCAGCACAAGCCCGTTGCCCCGCGAGGCTGAGCCCAGGTTCAACCTATGTTGGCGGCCTCGGGCGGTCTAGCAGTGAAATTTGCACCCGGTACGTGGGACTGTACCTTGATTCGAGCCTCACTCTCAGGTAGAGCCTTGTGTGGTGACCTGGTTGATCTCCTGGCTAGGGTGAAGCGGAGGAGTTCACCCTGGGCGGGCAGGCACAGAGATGGCTTCACAAAACCCCACACTAACTGTCCTACTTCCAGGCAGCAATTGGCGCCTGATTCTTTCGATTTCAGGATGGGGAAGATATTGATCATTTGCATTGTACCCGTTGTTTTAAAATGATAAACGAAATAGGAAAACGTTACAAAGGTATCCATCGAAAGAGTGATGGGCTTGTTCTATATCAGGTATTATCCCATACATATACAAATCAGATTCTTAGCACACCATAAGCTGAAATCCTAGGAGATTGGCTCCTCCTCTGGGTCATAGATCAGGTCATCCAATGGTATGACGCCCCTCTTGCGACCGAAAACACTTGCCAGGGAGAACATCGCCCAGACCATATTCTCCCTAAACCAAAGGCCCCAAGAGCCCGTCTTCTTCCACAGCTGTCCGTTCTGCTCGGATGCCGTATAGATTCTGGTCACGCGAGGCCGCCGAACTTCATCGTATTTTGAGAAAATATCATGCACGGAACCATCCGGATAGTGCTTCAAGACATGCGAAAGCACAAATATATCCTCCAATGCCATGGAAGTTCCCTGCCCTGCGTGAGGCTGCATGGCATGAGCAGCGTCTCCAATCAATAAACACCGACCACGAGACCACGTTCCGCCCAGCGGAAGTCGGTAGATAGGGGTGAAAGAAATTGATTCTGTTCTATGAATGACTTCTCGCACAAAGTTCCCCCATCGACCTTGAACCTGACCGAGCACGTTGAGGATCGAGGTCTTAAATTCCTGTACCTCCTTATGGCGGTGTTCCTCCCACCCGTTTTCTCCAGACTCTGGGACAGGTACCTCACCCGAGAAGAACCAGAAGATTTCATCATTTGAAGCAGTGCAAGATATTATAGCAAGCAGTCCATCTGTGGTAAATGTCGAATTGAAACACGTCACGGGCGGTGAATCAGCAGGAAGTTCGGATCGTCTGAGCAAAGAAAACATGGCCGAAACACCCGAATACTCTGGCTTTAGAGTAGAGTCCACGCGCATAGTCCGGACACTCGAATGAATACCATCACAGCCAAGCAGAATGTCCGCTGTATCCTGCGTGCCATCTTCAAACTTTGCCGTCACTCTCTCATCCTGCTCATCAATTGACACGATACGCTTCCCGTAATGAATGGGGGTTCCTTCCCTTTGCACTGCATCCAGGAGACAAGAGATTAAATCAGTACGTTTGACACGCATATAGCCATACCCGATTCGCTCCATAGCCTCGCCGGAGAAGTTGGACTCTGCGAGGATAGCATCATTCGTTGTTGAATGAAGAATAAATCGCTCGTCTGTATTTGCGATCTGAGTAAGGGGTTTGTACACGCCAAGACGATCTAGCAGCCGCAACCCATTAGATGGAATGCCGATAGAGCCCCCAATTGTGGTCGGTGTCGGACGAAGCTCGTAAATGACACTGCTGATGTTATGAGATTTCTGCAGTCGCAGAGCAGCGGCTAGGCCGGCTGGACCAGCACCGATGATGATAGCCTTACGAAGTCTTAGCATATCTCTTTCTCCTATTGAGATGGAAATAAAAAATGAAATACCTTTTTGACGGGATACATCTGTGTCCTGTGTGCTTTTAGATACAATACACGATTCTTGAGCAGAACTCTCACGCGGATATATAGTTTTCTGTACCGAAGTGAGATAAATTATATTTACTGAGGAATCTACCAGACCAGTCTGCTGGGACCTCTGGCGTATTTATACAGCGATGCATGTTGGCATACCCTAAACTGTCCGACATGATCAATGCAGGAGTGGAACAGGCGCAGAATGAGACTGAGAAGAAGGAAAGAATGACCTCCAATGAGCGGATGTGATTGGTCAGCGCGCAAGATACACCCTCAAAAGGGAAATTCAGTGGGGCCGAATATTTATCTAGAAAACCAGAACGAGGCAAGATTATTCAAGAAATAACACGGATAACGAGCAATATTGTACATTTGTCTATCCTGATACAATTAGGAGTGGCTGGTCAACAAGCTGGTCTGCTGGGTTGCGATTTGCAACGGCTCTGCGACGAGCGAAGAAACGCCAATGATATAGTTGAGTGATGCTCGCACTGCGGTCTCGCAGTCAATGATCGCGGGCTGGTATTCGGGGAGGAGGCCATTCAGCCCGTACTCCTCAGACTTGGACGTCATGGTAGACAATGCATCGATCACTGCAAGAAGAGCCGAGCTGGAAATAAAATCGATCACGGCAAGAACGACCGCTGAGTAACGAGAATCGCCACCACCGCAAAGCAATGGCTGCAGCTCTGTTGTATACCACCTTTGAATACTTTCTTTTTGTATTATCAAGCGGCATATAAGGTCTTCCTGATGGGCTTTCGTATAAAAAATCTGATTTTCATCTGTAAGTGCTATGCAAGCAACTTCTGACAGTATATCAGGGACGTCGTTGAGCACTTCACAGACTCTAGTCCGTAAAGAGAGAATCGGGTTTCGAACATCTACTGGGGTGGTAATTGGCACTTTGAAAACTTCTTGCCACTGGGGTTGTGTCAAAAAGCAATGCTGGTGTCTGCCAACATCTTGTATCATCTGTATTTCAATATCATGTTAGTTCAGAACAATGCCCTAAGAAAGCAGCTGAAATTGGAAATTCTGAAGCTTACAAACCACACCCGCTGCGATTCAATCATTGCACGATCAAAACCACTAGCACATCTTTCGGGTCCCGCACTCTCAAAGAGAAGTCTCGAGCCTTTGGAGAGATAGAACCATCGGCTATTTCCTGGGTTTCTCAAGAGCTAGCCGCAAGTTAGCCATTCTTTAGCTTTATGTTAGCAGTGTAGAGCGAGGTTATTACCTCGCATACTTGTAGTAATAGTGATGCACACAGTGTTTCTGACTCCAAACGTTGCTTGGGGTCTTTTAGACAGGCTTGCAAAGATGATATACCCCGCCCATATAACTGAAGACTTTTAAAAGTCCTTTTTCTGGTGAGAGTATCAATGTATAGGCTACACAAACTAGATACCACAGAATCCAGAGCAATGTTTATCCCCAGGCGGCTGGGTATATAGTCGAGAAAATTCGCATGTGAGCCAATCTGGCAAAACTTCTGACCTAACGAGTCATTCAAGATAAATACAAGCATGGATGCAAGCCCGTCAGATTCTGAAGTCAATCGTCGAGAATATTTCTGCCAACTGATGTCATACATAAGCTGGGATTTCTTATGAGGCTTCACCTCATGGCGCGTTTGATCCCCGTGACGTATGTTCGTGGTATCATTGAAGATCTCTCTCTCGTGGACATGAGTCTTAACTTGGTAATTCGTCGATACTTGTGCATTTCCATCCACAAACTTCCATCTTTTGGCGTAGCCCGGACATACCCAGCCGTTGGATATACATGCTTTACAGCTGGGGCGCTCCTCTCCACACTGGCGAGCGTCAATTAGTATTGTTCATTTAATCATTGTTGAGTATGAAGATTAATAATTACAGGGATGGACGCGTTCCAGTAGACTTACTTTTTTCTTTCGTCGTCGGCATGTACTACAGCCGGTGCTTTTCGGGGTTCCCGCCATACCTAATTTTGGGAGGTTATGCAGACTACTTCACTTGTGTCTGATACGTCGCTGTCAGCAGCAGGAAGACCAGATCATATTCATCGCATAGTCGGGCACGCTGTTGCGGTGAAATAAGAGGGTTATCGCAGAGTTCGATGTCGGCATACTGAGGAATTTATGTTGATTGGTTACCGACGGGGGCGGAAATCGCCCCTCTGATTGGTTGAATCATTCAACTCTCATAGATGAGACCATTCCATTGGATGAATAGTTGAATATGAGAGGACGCTTGTTCAGAAACGAGAGTAGACAAGTCTTCCTTTCAGAGTCCCCCTTTGTGAAGTCCCAAGGTCTACTGCTCAAAACTAGAGTACGAGTGCAGCGAGCTTATTGATAGCGTTAAGGCTGGATTGACTACTGGTGACGCAACTAGTGTGGGGTATATCCTGCACTAATGGAGGTCTTTTACATGGGACAGCTCCAGTCATATCTTCGATAAACATTTTTGTTCAAGACCGAATAGAAGCCACGTTCATATGGCAAAAGTGAGCCGTTTCGCCAAAATGTCCTCTGGCTTACTCCCCCTTCGACCACCAGGTCTGGCGCGAGATGCGCCGGTTACAACAATGCCGACCTTGATCTATGGAACAGCTTGGAAAAAGGACCGCACAGCAGAGCTTGTGTACACAGCTTTGAAAGCGGGGTTTAGAGCCGTGGACACTGCCGCGCAGCCCAAACATTATCGTGAGGATCTTGTCGGCGACGGAGTAAGGCGAGCACTAGAGGAAGGCATTGCGAAACGAGAAGAGCTTTACGTAAGTAACGACATGACAGAAACTAGGCATTATTCTTGAAACATATGATGAAATAAATGGCTTGTGTGACTTCGGCGAGCTGATTTCTACCAGATACAAAGCAAATTTACCTCAGTGCAAGGGCAGGATCCCAAGAATATGCCTTATTCTGCAAACATGAACATTAGCGACCAAGTTCACACCTCAATAAAATCGTCGCTTCACAATTTCAAAACATCTAGTAGCAGCGACAGTGACTACATTGACACACTCGTTTTTCATTCGCCTTTACCTACCATTGAACAAACAATTCAAGCCTGGAAGACCGCGGAGAGCTACGTCCTGAACGGCCAGATTCGAAATCTGGGCATCTCAAATTGCTCCATTTCCGTATTGGAGGCGCTGTATAAATCACCAGAGGTCACAGTGAAGCCCGCCGTAGTGCAGAACCGATTCTACCAAGATACAGGATTCGACGTGGAGCTACGCGCATTCGCTCGCGACCACGATATCATCTACCAATCTTTCTGGACTTTGACGGCCAATCCATTTCTTCTTGAAAGCGACCCGGTGGAGAAACTGTCGAGCACTGCTGGAATTGGCCTCGCCCCGGCACTGTATGCTCTCGTACTGAGTCTTGGAAAAACATCGATACTTGATGGTACTACCAAAGAACAGCACATGGCAGATGACCTGGCCGCGCTGAGCGTGGTGGACGAATTCGCAGCGCAGCACCCTGGTGAGTGGACTGCAGTAGTGGACGGGTTTAAGCGGCTGATTGGAGAGAAAGGATGACCATCTGTCGTATATAGTGTAGTAGTACTTAGCAACAGTGTAATAATAGCAACAATAAAAGACAGGCAGCCCGGCCACGTGACCACATCGATGACTCAGCGGCGCAGGGGCCCGGATAAGGTCCGGGCCAGATCGCTGCGGCTTGGCAGAATAATCATGATATCGATTAATCAGTCGATTGTTGCTATCACCACTGCTTCTTCGTCCCAAATTGCTTTCGCGACTCAGAGAAACGACGCCGACCTTCGCGATTGCCTGTTGATAGACCTATCGCCAGCAACATCACTTCTCGCCAACCGATCCTCTGCAGCCCTCGTATCTCCTCTACCCGATCAGCGCTCGGCTGCGACCATTGAAGATTTAACCTTTCGCCAAATAATTCGTCATCCCGCCAGCCTCGACCTCCAGCCTTGTATCGCTCTCCTACCATTCCAGCATTGCGGTGTCAACCATCGCCTCCTGTGTAACCCCACAGTGCCCTAGACTTCGCGCAAGACTTACCTGCCGAATTACTGAGATCTGCGAGTATACCGAAACAACCGCCAGCATTCGTCGACTCCCCACTCGGTCGTTGATTGTCATTATCGGAAGAGTTCTCGTTCGATATCCCTCCAGCGAGAATCAGAAATTGCTCATAGTCTGTCCGACAAGTCACGAGCTGTGTTATTTGTGACAACAACCCTTTCGCCGTCGTCGCTTTTGGTGCCAATTTTTGTTTACTGATTCTCTCAGTGCGAGTTTCACGAAAAGTTGGAACTCTCATCGCTTCACATCGGCATCGGAAAAAGGCTTGGTGGTTATATTTTTGTCGAGAGTGGCCTCTGGGTCCTCTTAATATTACTTCACGAGAAGCCAGCGCAGACCACCGCAGACGGGAGTCACGGGACTGCACAAGATGGCCTCGCAGAGCGTTTCTTCTCGAAAACGCCCGGCCCCAGGGACATCACCTGCGATACATGCCCCGATGGGAACGATTCCAAACTACACCGATCCAAACACCCAGCTTTCAGATGACCAGTTTCTTCAGTGGGGCCAAGACGCGCCAGCTGTGACTCCCGCCTACCCTGTTGACTCGGCAGGGTACAACGCCATGCCTTTTACCGCAAACCAAGACATCGCAAGCGCCGGGGTAACGCAATCCAATCAAATTGCCAGACGACCTATGAATCAACTCATTAATAGAAACCGCACGTACGAGCAGACTACGCCACCCTTGACCGATCAAAATACAGGTGATGGTTGGGGAGAAAGTGTAGCGGAGCTCGAGCAACGAGCATTGGTTGCGAAGCGAGAAGCACAGGCCAAAAGAAAACAAATTCCGCCTTTTGTCCAGAAGTTGAGAAGGTGAGTTGAGAGCATTAGTCCCCGTATCATCAAAGCTTTGCTAACCGCTACTTAGTTTTCTGGATGAATCGAAGAACACAGAGTTAATCCGATGGTCAGATGACGGCGACTCGTTTATTGTGTTAGATGAAGATGAATTCGCTCGTACCCTGATTCCGGAATTGTTTAAGCACAATAATTATGCATCCTTCGTACGCCAACTGAACATGTACGGGTTCCACAAGAAAGTTGGTCTATCAGATAATTCTATGCGCGCCAGTGAACGGAAGAACAAGAGTCCCAGCGAATATGCTAATCCATACTTCAAACGTGGCTACCCCGATCTTCTGTGGCTAATTCAAAAACCTAAGAACGTGTCTGGACAAACCAGTAAGGGTAGCAGTAAAGGGGCCAAAGCTAGGACTGATGATGGCGATGAGAATGATGTGGAAGAGTATGTTGATGAAAGCAACCGGGAAGAACGGTCGCGGAATCGTGCTCAGCTAGCGATAAGCACTCGGGAGGACTTTCTTCCTAAGGATCAATTGAGTGGCGTCTACCGTGAACTTCAGACGATACGACAGCAACAACAGATTATCTCCAGTACAATATCTAAGCTTCGCCGAGAACATGAACAACTATACGGCCAGGCTGCCAACTTTCAAGAACAACACAATCGCCATGAAAACTCGATCAATGCAATCCTTACCTTCTTAGCTACGGTGTACAATCGCAGCCTTCAGGGCCACGAGAGCCAACAGAACATCGCCAATTCGTTTCCACAGGACCAAGGTAATGTTGTGGATGTCGGCGATGACTTTGTTTTGAGCTCACTAGGCGATGATACACCCCTGGGACCTGGAGCATTCAAGAAGAAGCCGTTACTTTTGAAGGCTCCGCCACAGGTCGGTTCTGGTACAGTTGATCGCGCAACCACCTTGTCTCCAGCTGCTTCTACCTACGACGGTCATGGTGGGCGAGCGAGCTCCCGACAACAGCGGGCATCAACAGGTATTATTGAAGAAGTGCCTGATGGCAACAGTCCCCAACCCCCGGTACCAACAGGATCTTCTTTCGACCAACGGAAACCACAAAGAGATATCATGTCCATGATTCAGAACAGCAACGCTGTTAATGGGATTCCGACGGACTTCTCTGATTTCCCCAACATAGTATCCTCTCTCGAAACGTCTGGCGGAAACTCGGCTCTTACACCAAAACAACGTGCAGATGCGCTACGACAGATCGCACATCAAACAAATGTCAACGACCCAACCTCCGCTTCGTCGAATAATGCCCTCATCAGCCCCAGTCCCCCTCCCATGTTACAAAACTATTCTGCTCAGTTGAACAACACTCGGAACGAAATCGACAATTTGATGAAGATGCAGGCAGAGCAAGACCGCTCGGTTCAGAACTTGACGAATTTATTACAACCGCTTAGTCCCACTGGTCAAATCCCAGGTCTTGCAGATGGTCACGTACCGCCACCGTCTCTTGATCTTGACCAGATATTCAATAGCCAGGACTACTTCACCGACTTAAATGACCTAAACGATAGCAAAGACAACATCCAATTTAGCGACATGTCGAATGCAGCAGCATCCGAGCAGAACCCTGGCGCGACAGCAGATGTGAAAGATCTTTTCAATTTCGACAACCTCGGCGATGGTGGAGGTGCTGATTCCGAGTTATTCGGCGATACCGGCCGAGCTGGTGGCGCTGCACCGACAAGTTACTTCGACAACTATGAAGACTACCACAAAGACAATGCCTTCAACAACAACTTCCTTGATACCAACACAACTAATCTCTCTAATAACGATACCCACGAACCCGGCCGCATTGTTGAAACACTTACCGACAGCGAAGCCACAAGCCCTGCAAACACCGTTGACGAAAATGCACAGGGTCTCGGCGTTCCAGCAACGGGAGCAATCCCAGAGTCTTCAAGTACACATAGTCCCAAACGGAGGAGAAAGGCTTGAGAAATAGACACCCTGAAAAAACGGCTGAAAAATTTGAGCCTGATCATTATATACCTATGCTCGTATCTTGCATTCTGCGTTTTTAATGCTACCTTTACCAATAACGAGAAATGGCACCACATTTACCCTTCTACACATTGGAGTTCTTTTATTATTATCCTTTATTAATTGTTTCTATTTTACTGTCAATATCAACGGCACGGTCTGTAAAATGGCTTGACCAGGATTTTGGTTGGCTGGGGTTTAAGACGCGTGTTTGAATGTTGGACGTAGATGCACTTCCATTTACCGAAATAAATGGTAGTAAGTTTGGACCTCAGCCCACAATATAAGTCGACTAAAATAACAAAGTACAGTAGAGGATAATGTGAATGGTAATTTGAAGATGTCAAGTCATGTATTATAAGAAAGGAGGCCAAACATTGGTTTACTTGACTGCTTTCCATGTGAGCGTTCATCCCATTACTCGTAAGCGACAAGGTATCTATCTAAAAAAAAAACTTAATATAAAAATATCAAGATAAAAAAATAAAAGGAATGAAATTAAAACCTAGACATCTATTAATAGTATGATATGTCGAGCATCAATGCACCTATTTGTCCGATATGTCAACTACTATATGAGTATAGACCCACACAATTGGACATTCTCACCTGGCATGGTCAATTGTGCACATATCTGGTAATCTGGAGTGATATTAAGAATTCACAGGCTAGTTGCATCGAATGAATTTATTTTATATGAGAGTGAATTCATGATAATTTCTAAATCATTATATATCAATTGATATAATTAATACCACTGATAAGGTGGAAATTTGTATTGTAGATATACGAGCCATGAGCTTAATATTATGTATAGTCATCCAAGTTTCGTGTCACGGAAATTGAGACTTCGCTATGGAAAGAGAACCAAGATGGAAGATAACTCCAAGAGGCGAAAACAGACAAACAAAAAAAAGGAGAGAACTATGGGTCGTAAATCATGATGGAAGCTAATATATATATAATCCTATTCAGGACGGTCTACATGACAATGCAGTCCTTCCCGTTTCTATCTCTTGATCCTCTGTCATATGTAGTAATTGGCGGCCATGGTTCTTGTCTCCGACCCACAGCAGCAGCGCCAGGGTAGTTATTTCGGGAATACTCAGTATCAATGGAAGGGTGGCCCGTTGATGGTCGTTGTCGTTGTCGTTGTTGCTGTTGCTGTCGTTGAGCAAGAGTCTTGTTGCGCGCGACTTGATCGTACGATGGAGGTGGGGCATCGTCGTCGTTGTCATGATCAGATGGTCCGTCGACGGGTATATTGTTGGTGTTGAGACTATCGGTGTTTTGGGAAGGAAATGAGGCGGTTGAGTTATTGCGAAGGCGATTTGCAGCCGACGAGGATTGGGTATATCGATGTCCAGAAGTGGTACCACGGGCTGATGTATTGTTTGTGTTTACTGTGGATGAAGAAGAACGCGGGTTATTTGGTATCGAGCCTGCGCGTGTATGGCTGCGTTGTTCTTGTCGTTGCTGCTCTTGTTGCCGGGCTTCTTCTTGAAATTGAAGGGAAAGAGCATATGCGTAATCAGCGTCTTCTTGTTCAGTGGTAGATGTATCACCGCCTTGCCCAGCAGCCTGAGCGCTAGTTCGACTTGATTCTCTTTGACTGACGAGGTGATTAGTTTCAGTAGAGTGGGAACCAGATGGGCCATGGCCGACTGGTCTGAAATCGCCGGCGAAGAACTCGGCATTTGAGCCTGAAACGTCGACAAGTGATTCCCATACGATCTCCGGGTGATCTGCATATCCGGCGTCGGTGACGAGGGTGAAGAGTTGCCCGGATTGAGGATGTTTATATAAGGTTGAAAAATGGTCGTTTCGAAAAAGGATCGATATTGAGCCTGATGCAAGTGTCTTACTGAGATGGCCAAGACCAAATCGGCTCAGCTGTGTGGCATTCTCAACATTAACAAAAGACTGGATTATATCAATTTCTGCGATAAGGCGTTCTTCATCGGGGGTCAAAGTGGATCCACTGCGTATTACGCGGTCTTCTAGCTCTTCTTTGCGAAACTGTAGTAATTGTATGTCTTCATAATACTCAGCAACCTTAGCCATTGCCGCATGGGTGTTGCTTTTTGGATCGGCAATCCATCCATGTAACAATGGCACTTTAAACGCATCATAAAAACGAAGATCACTAGTTTCATGAAATGTCCCAACTGATGTTGGGGATTCTATAATTAGTCGCGGATTGACATTCATGCCAGTATGTAGCATGGTAAGAAACCGACTCAGTGCTTCGATATCAGGAAGGATGTCTACTGGATATGTCGTTAACTCATCAAAAAGCGCTTGAATAAGGAGTCCAAGAGAGATATTCTCTCTAGTCTGTAATGCCTTGACAACAGGCTGTTGAGCATCTTTACTCCCGACAGAGCGCATAATAAGTCCATTGACAAGAGCAAGCAGAGGGCATGGGCCATTCTTGTTCTGAACCAACACAGGCGACTCCCGCAATTTTCCCGTGTCGTCGGTCCAATTAACGTGGCGAATCGCATAAGTTTCTAATTGCTTCTCCTGGAATCTCTTCAACTCAGTTTCAGACATCGGAGGCAGTGCGGCTGGCATCTTTGCTGGTGGCGCTTGGGATGGAGACGATGTTGAAGATTTCTCGTCTTTCGAAGGTACAGTCGGTTGCGACTCGCTCGACCATGCATTTGCTCTAGCTTCCGTCGGCGTATCATCAAGGTCGATCAAATGCGGAGACAGACTTCGTTGGTTATCCGTCTCTGAGACATGCGGGTTGTTGATGGGTATTTCAACTTTTGAAGAAGTAGGATTGGGTTTGATTTCCTGCCACTCATTGTGCGAATCAATAGTTTGGTCTGATTGAATTGCCCAGTGAGAATTAGTGGCAGCGGATTGTTCAGAAGGTGGTAACTGCCAAATATTTTCGGATGCGTTGGTGTAGTCATGTTGTACAGCTGGTGCGACGCCATGAAGAGGAGTTTGCTCTTGTAAGCTCGACTGACTGGGTTGTTGGGTCCATGGATCCTCAGGCTGATCAAATATTGACAAGCGTGCTGTCATGGGGATAATGCCCGATGCTAGAAGATCATTAATATACAATTAGAGGCATATAGAGGAGAGAGGCTTACTTTGGCTGTTCCTTTCGGAAGAGTCCAGATGAATTCCTGACGCAGTAGACGCCTGATCTGAAGGGGCTTGTCCTTGGCCAGGTTGATTTCTATTCTCCCATGGATTTGGGCTAGGATTACGTGCACGAGCAAATGGATTATTTGCTCGAAACCGCTGGGGTGAGACTGCTTCCCAATGAGCTCCAGATGCTGGTCCATTCCCTGTAGATTGTGGCTGAATATCCGCAGCGGGCTCTCTTCGTGTCGTGTCTAGGGATATTTGTGGAACATTCGACATCGAGGAGCTCCGTTCCCCATGTTGACTTCCATAGCTCTGACTGACCATTCCTAGTGGCATACTCCCGGACAGAGGAGCGGTCCCGTTTGGCCGTTCCACAAGCTCATCCTCCCAAGGACTATGAGGCGACATTGGTGACTTCTGTGCCTCTTCGAGAGGCATGAGATCAAAGGCGGGTGATGTATGCAGGTCCGGGGAGTATATCGAATCTGTGTCCAATTCCCAGCTATCCTTGCGGCTTCTTTGGCCGGTGGAACGTGGGGAGGTCGAGCTCCGTGAAGCAGGAGACCTGTGGTCGGCAGCGTTTGTTCCTCGCGGCGGAACCTTGATGCCAGGAGGTGGCGGTTTTCGGAGCACCATGAGCACGATATGCGAATGTTTGAACAAGGAAGATGGTCGGTGTCGTCGAGAGCATGCAGAGCAGTCTAAACGCACGCGATCTGCAACAGGGTTTGTCGATTTTAGCGGACAAAGCAGTGATGACTGGGATCAGATATGTGTCGCTAGCATTTCTGTAGACGGCTACGGGTATATGCAGCGGTCGTAATGCACAGGTCCAGGATCAGGCAGGCAGCCATCCAGGGCGCAATTGGCCTGGGGTTGACGTGAGAGCAGCTGCGGGCTTGGCGATGTCCGTCCCTTCGTCAACCAAGACACATCTCGGTCGATGGAATAAAGGAATAATAGTCACTGCAAGAATCAAAAGGCAAAAAGGCGCTGCATTCAAACAGGCTGACAATTTCCAGGACGGCGTCAAAACATATGTAGCGCAACAAGCTGGATGGCGAACGGTCATTCGCTAGTGACGATGTCATTCTGCGGGGGCAACTTGGTTATACTATAAATTCGTTGAGTGTTAGGCAATCGTGTTACGGACTGGGACGCCAATACAGAACTCGTGCCAGCCTGATAAGGCAAATTTCCGTACGGTACGGTAACCCGTTATCCGGCGCGGAACAATGTAATCCCGCGTACTACAGCGAAATAATTATTGCGGGCAGGCAGGTCCGCGAATGCGACTTTTCTGAGCTTCCGGTCTGTCCTGCTGCGGTGAATTGCTACGATTTTGGAATATGGAATATACGAGGGCCTAAAAAGAATTAATTATTCACAATGCATTCGGTGGTCCGCCCCAATGCATATGTGGCATTGCATCTGTCATCGGGCCTGCACAAGGTGCTGAAGGTTGCGCCGAATATGTACGTGTGATTTCATTCTCTTTACTGGGGTGCCCGTTGCTGATAGCTGTGTCTAGGAAAATATCGCTTGGAAAATACGGCAGCTTCTATTCGAACCATATTATTGGGCGCCCATTCCACTTGACATTCGAGCTTTTGGAAGAGCCAGAAGAAGATGGCTACAGCCTGCGCATTGTCCCCGCAGCCGAGCTTCATGCGGAGGCACTCATTAGCGAAGGATCTGGAGATGTCGACGGCGTGGGGGAGGAGCTGGACGGAGAGAATTCCGACGACATGCCCACGCGCACGAACCGAGATATTGTCGACGATAACTCATCACAGGCGTTAACGCTCGACGAGATCGAAGAACTCAAACGGAACTCTACAGGCGCGGGCCAAGAAATCATTGACAAGCTCCTAGAATCACATTCAGCTATCGACAAGAAGACAGCGTTCTCGCTGGCAAAGTATAAAGTGCGGAAACGGAGGAAATACCTCAAGCGATTCACCGTTTTGCCGTTGGATGTGAAGATCTTGACGGAATATATTCTGCAGGGAAAGGAGCCTCATAAAATAATGGAAATACGAGATGAAATGATCGGCTTGCTCGGATGCTGGGGAAATGTGCACCACGCGGGGAATCTACAATTAGAGGGCATGGAGTCGAGTGGGAGATATCTCGTGGTGGATGATACAGGGGGTCTCGTTGTAGCTGCAATGGCTGAAAGAATGGGGATTCTATACCCACAAGATCCAGATGAAGAGGCCGACGATATCTATGAAGACGAACATGACGGGGAGTCAACCAAAAAGGAACCCATAGAAAGTGCTGACGATGTAATGGATGTGAGCGAGAACAATGGAATCACGGCCAATGACACACAAAACAACGAAACAGAAGAAATGAATATTGCGAATGACGAGAACAGCCGATCCTCAGTCAGACAACAATACATGGCCGCAGGTGACAACAGCATCACTGTTATTCATGCCCACTCACAACCAAACCTCTCAATTCTCAAATACTTTGGCTATGATGTAGAGGATCCTGACGAATCGCATCCTCTCTATAAGCACTTGAAGACAGTATCGTGGTTACAGGTCATCGATCCCGAAGCTGACAATTTATACCACCGGCGTCCCGAGTCTATCGACGCGGAGATTCTGAAAACCTGGAAACCTAGACAGCGCGGGACATATTATCGCAAACACACTCGATGGGCTCGTATACGGAGTGTTGTTGATGAAGTACGTGCCGGTGGGTTTAACGGTCTGGTAGTTGCCAGCCTCATGGAGCCTGAATCTGTGCTACAATACGCCGTACCTCTGCTTCGCGGCGGAGCTTCGACAGTCGTTTACTCGGCCGCCGTGGAACCGCTCACCAGATTGATGGACCAATACTCGACCCCTCGTCGTTCAGCATTTATCCTTAAAAAGAAGGATCTTGAGAAGAAAAGGGCCCAGCTCACCACGTCTTCAGAGACTGTCGATCTCCCTTCGATTGAGTCGACGCTCGCCTTGGAATTCCCTCTCGACCCGACCCTTCTTATAGCTCCAATGCTTCAGACTTCGCGCGTCCGTCAATGGCAGGTTCTCCCTGGCCGAACGCATCCACTGATGTCTGACCGTGGCGGTGCGGAGGGATACATCTTCCACGGTCTTCGAGTAATACCTGCAACAGAGCATATTTCTAGCGGAGCTCAAGCTCGTCGGAAAAAGCGGAAGCTGGAAGAAGTTGACACGGCCCCAAGTACCGAAATCTCAACGCCAACATGAAACTGTATATCGATGTTTAAACACACCTGTCATAGATCATCAAAAAAATTCACCATTACTTGCATACCGTTGAATACATTTTGACGCCCAGAACCTAGTTCTACAAGAGTTCAGTAGTAGCGATAAACAAAGTAATATTCACAATCACGCTGCTATTCGTCAAGAAACAAAGCGAGACATAAACAACATCATCATCTATAGACTTTTGCCCATGAACTTTCTCTTTGAAAAACTGAGCCAGAACTGTTCAAGTTAGTCAGAATGATGAATAATAATAGTAATGAAAGTATCACCCACTTTGGAAGGGCCTTCGCCACCGGGGTATAATTTAGTGAGCAGACGAATGGCAAGCTCTTGTCGTACTTGGGAGAGATATCTAGAATCGTGTTAGCCCCATTGAGTGCAGTTATCAATAAACAGGAATGTTGAAAGCCGTACTGTCGAAGCTGTTCCGCATCTTGTCTATCACGTGGGCGCTCAAAAGCATGGTTCAAAGGGAATGATGCATCGCCTGGGATAGCGAATTGTTCGAGCGCGGTATTGATCAAAGCCTAAACAGCCTCATTAATTAAACGCAATGCCCGAAATAAAATAATATCAGAGAAACTGACCTTCTCAGCATCCCGAGCCGTCATGTTCGGCTTAACCTTCCCCAGACACTCGCTCAAGAACAAGATGCCATAAATCAGCATACGGTCGGCGGGGCCCTTGATTTCAAAGTTCCGGAACAGCACATTGGCGCGGAAGAGCGACAGAATCTCGTCTATGCAGTCGTATGACTCGCTGTTCGGGTCGATGTCGATATCTGACTCTGAGGGAGGAATCACGGGGAGGACGTATGCGGGGCCGCGAGTGCGGGTGCGAAGGGGGAGGAGGGGGAAATTGCCTGGAAAGAAGTTGTTGAGCTGATGAAATCATTGTGCATGGGAGTAGTATTGTATAGTCTGTGTTTTTCCAGCGTGGGCTTGCATACCGATCACGGGGAGGTCGGCCTCATCGAGGTAGATGGAGTGGTAGGCCTGGAGCCATCTGTTAATATCGCATGGACAGTGCAATTCGCATACACCCGAGGAAGGCTCACCGGCATAGTGACAGGATGGAAAAGACTGAGCTAGCCGCAACCTGCGCAAAGAGTTGGTGGAAGTATGCGCAACGTTCTTGTGCTCGTGTTATGACGAAGATGGTCGATCTCTCTCGCATGTATCTCCGCTGCGGCGCTGCCTTGGGGGGGGCCTTGGCTTGGCGGCTGCTGCTCTCAATGATTTTCCGGTGCCGAACCTCTTAACGCGCGACGCGTCTGGCAAGAACGGATGTGATTGTCGCTCTACGATACTAATGCCCGTTGACATTCTCTACATCTAGAAGTCTATATTCTAATCGAACACTCCTCGCTGTTCAAAATCAACCGTCAAGATGTCGGACTTCGAGGATGAGATGGACATCGATTCCTCTGCCAAAGGCGCCGCAATGCAATTCAGTTCCAACAACACGAATTCCAAGGGTAAAAAGCTTGTTGCTGATCTGCCCATTGGCGCTGAGGACAATTTGCCATGGTGTGTAGTATTTCCTGCCAAAGTTCAAAAATGTTTTCTGTGGCTAACTTGGTTCGGCCAGGGTCGAAAAGTATCGGCCAAGCTCGTTGGATGATGTTCAAGGGCACCAAGATATCCTAGCCACAATCAACAGGTTTGTTGACTCACATGTATGTTTGTCAGATATAATATAGTATCATTTGTCTAGCATACTGAACTATCTTAGCGACTCCCACATCTTCTACTGTACGGCCCCCCGGAACAGGAAAAACAACAACAATCCTCGCCCTAGCTCGACGAATTTATGGAAGCAAAAACATGCGTCAGATGGTCCTGGAATTGAATGCTTCTGATGATCGAGGTATTGACGTTGTTCGAGAACAAATCAAGACATTTGCAAGCACAAAACAAATCTTCTCTGTCGCGCCCAGCTCTACGACAAACGGCGCCAATTCACTCGGCGCATTCAAATTGATTATTCTAGACGAAGCCGACGCTATGACAGCTACTGCACAAATGGCACTCCGTCGGATTATGGAGAAGTACACAGCGAACACACGTTTTTGTATTATCGCAAACTACACACACAAACTTTCACCAGCTCTCTTGTCGCGGTGTACACGATTCCGGTTCAGTCCGTTGAAGGAAGGCGATATTCGAGCCCTGGTAGATAAAGTCATCGAGGCAGAAAGTGTCCGGATACAGCCTGATGCAGTTGAGAGTCTGGTCAGGCTAAGTAAAGGCGATATGCGACGGGCGTTGAATGTTTTACAAGCTTGCCATACTAGTAGTGAGTTCCTCATTTTTCATACTACTTCACTAAGTGAGTAGACAGAATCTCACTAACATAATTAAAGGCCTACCTCTTCCTATGCGCAACGCCCCCAAAGACCAACCTCCACCAGAACATGAACTCGTCACTGAAGAAACAATCTACAACTGCATCGCCGCTCCTCATCCTTCTGATATTCGCCAAATTATGACCACCCTCTTATCCACGAGTGACGTAACGTCGTGTCTCAACACAATCAACACACTGAAATCAAACAAGGGTCTCGCCCTGGCCGATATCCTCAGTGCACTGAGTGAGCAACTACAAACCTTGGAGGTTCCAGCCCAGACACGGATAAGCTGGTTAGAAGGATTGGCTGAGATCGAATGGCGGCTCTCTGGCGGTGGCAGCGAGGTCGTGCAGACCGGTGGTCTCGTTGGCGTAGTGCGGAATGGCTGTGAATTGATGGGCGATAAGGGAGTTGCGATGGAATCGTGAAATATTTGCTCTTTTTGATTCTGAACTGGAAAATGGGAGTTATGGAGATAGTCCACTACTGAATGAGCATGTGACACTTATCATGGAGATGTCTCTGATCATTTGATATTCATTAGCTTTAATTAATTCCTAGACTAAAGAAAGTGTAAGTCAGCCATGAACAACATTGATGTCTGTGTGTTCAATATATGACTTCCAGCCCTCAATTTCAGTTTTCGTAGTCACATTGAAGTCATGGGGTGGATGAACCGGCAGTTGAAAAACCTAGTTAAAATAAAAATCAATCCAAGCCTTCGTTCCCTACTATCAACCACTTCTCTAATTTCACTTCTCGGCTGCACCATTTGTAGAAAGGGCAGCAGCAGAAGCACCCTTCTTAACAAGTCTCAATCCACCGAGCAGCAAGATAAGAGCCTCCAGACCTAGGATGACACCTAGTGTAACCATAGCACCAATGACGCCTGCAACGGCCGTCGAAATTCCCGACCCATTCGAACTTGATGCTGCTGCAGGGGTCGAGGATCCAGATCCAGACGAGGTAGTGTTGCTGGCACAAGCACCATCAGTATTACCGCAGAGGCTGCACCACTGTTGCTGATCTGTCACGGCAAATTTCTGCGTTTGGGACACGAAATCATCCCATGGAATTTCGATAGAGGATCCACCGAACAAGGCGTAGGGAGTGAGATCGGCGGAAGAGGAGGATGTGCCATTGTTAAACAAGAAGCGCACACTGATATCCGAGGTTGACGGGAAGTCGCCATTGGCCGAAACAGTTGCGTTGGTGACTAGTTCCCAGGCCATGCTGGAGGCATAATCAGGGATGCCAGTGAAGATTGCGTTTGTAGGAGGCAGGCCAGCAAGGCCGAAGTATGACAAGAATGTGCCGTATGCTCCGAATTGGACGTTGAGTTTGGATTTTCCGTTACCGGTAATGGTAGAGTTGAGGGCCGTCAGGACCTGGCCGGCCAGAACAGCACCAGAGATGGCACGAACGGCATCCGTGGAGTTGTATGCAAGGTTGTACTCGTGGATGTTGGCGAGCAGGAATAGCTGGTGCATCGTGTCAGTGCTGACATCAGCCAGAGCGGGATTAGAGTCTGTTGAATTGTGGATCAAGGCGACATTGAGTAAATCCCAAATTGTGTACGCATTCTTAAAGGTCAATTGACTTTCGTTAAATGTCCCATTCACAGCCGGAGAAACGCTGCGGTATAAGTCGAGGGACGAAGACTGGTAGGAATTAAAGAGATCTGAATTGAAAAAGTCATTGCTGCTCGACTCTGCATTCTGGCAGTTTGTGGCGCCTTGTAACCATTGTGAGTTTTCGCTTCCGCCGTTCGTTGAAGTGATTGAGATGGGGATCAATTGGAACCCATTCAAAGGAGATTCCACTTTACTGCCGTTGCGAAGAGTCTGGTTTGAGGCGTAGCCGGCCGGGGGATAAAGACCTTGAAGCCAGCCAGCGGCCGAGTTCTGCAGGACATTGTCGGATGGCGACGAGACAGCAAGTTGAGAGAGCTTAACAACGTCGCTCTCGATGCCTAGGATGCGGGCTGCCGAGGAGTTTGCAATGTAGCGGGAGTTGTAGTACGATCCGTGACCATTCACTTCAACATACCCCAGGTCGGTCAGAGACGAAGGAGGAGTGCTCTTTGCGGTGCGATCGCCATGGCGATGGAAAACATATGCACCCAGGATTGTCTCGGCCGACGAGAGCTGGATCGTAGCGGCCAGCGCCAGGAGCATGTTGTTTTTAGTGTACATTTTTGTTTCGTCAGGGACGCCTTGTGTATGGTTCTTAGGTCAAGGGTCTTTTGAGTTCTTGTCACTCTGCAGGCTGGGGGGGAACAATGAGGGGAGTCTGTGGTTTAAATGGATCGGACCAAGGTGCCATCCCCACCCCGTTCTGTTGATTGTTGTTGATAAGAATCAATGATTCATCAATGCGGTCGACCCTCCTTGAGACTGCACGTCTGCGGAACATTCAAAATTTTAACTTGCTTTTTCCTTCTAACCAGTTAAATAGCGCCAAACTGTCAACCACCATACCAGAAAGAGTGCAACCCTTCCTTAGTAAGGGTTACTTTGGATGTTTGGCTGCATATTTCTCTGACAAATATAATGAGCGAAGCTAGCGCCGACAACCTCATGGCCGGGCCGCTGCATCCAGCTCTACAGGTGATGATATTATTCGCCGTGCTGCTGTAACCCCGCTCTTGTTTCCTTTTCTGGCAATACTAGATAGCCTCAAAGACCGAGGTGGGGTTGAGGCTTGAGCAGTCTGGGCCCTGTTGGAGCTGGTGATTTGCTGGTTGTTCGGGCGGGGAACAGCGACAGCGGAGGTGGCCGATAAGAGTAGCATCCTGTAGTAACAATAGTATTAGAAACATAATAACAATACATTGTGGAGGTGTCATGGTTGACATGACGAAAAAATTCAAGTATAGGGCTCGGGATTGAGAGCCGTCTGGCATCTTCAACCCTCACCTATGGCGCGTGTCTGGAGCACCGGAGAATATTTCCTCGGGCCCTTATTTCATCGGCCGGGATTGATTAGATTGGCATACATTCCAGTCTAGCTCCTTTTCCACGGCTCCATCGAGTTAGCATCCAGGGTTGAATCTGTTTAGACATACAACATACTATCTATTCACATCGCAAGCCGGCAAGGTGGGTGGTGCTTTCAGGAGGTTCAGCTTCTACAGGCAAAGCCTCCGTAGAATTTTATTCACAAATGCTTGTGTATCCATCCGTCATCCGCTAGCTCCTTAGCAGAGAGCTACGCTTCTGTGCTTCCACTGCAACATTTTTCGCATTAGGCGTAAAAAAGGCTTTCTATCCTCTTCACCCTCAAGAGTAGTCTCCCGCTCCTAAAGCGGAACCAAATCCTTAAATAAGTTCTTAGTGCAGAAATCACCTAGAGCATCGTATATTGTTAAATTCATCCGATAGTAGGACAACAAGAAGCTTGACTTGCCTTCTCCTAAGAAGAATTTGTCTGTTAGCACCCGTTGGGCAAGAAGACTAGGCGGCGGGAGACCAAGAAGATTTATCATTTCACGAGATGGGCTCGACTTCAGTACTTCTGAAATTCAGGGTCTTGACCGGTGAACAAGGAACCGCCTTCGTAGATGTCCCAAATCTATAAGCTAGTTTTCAGCAATATTCGCACCATAATAACGCGGCATTTTATGATACCATGCATCCTATGTTCCATATGTCAATACTATACGTCCATGGAACTCCTAGAATCACTTCCGGTGCTCGATAGATATTAGGTTGAACGAATTCCACGTGGAATTGGTTGCCGAGAACAGCCGAACCAAAATCGCATAGGACTGGGGTCTCCAAATTCGTAGGTATTCTGAGATCCCGGGACATGTAGATGGTTCTCCTGTCCAAGTCCACTTCCTTCCTCGAAACAGGGCATTGAAGCTCCTTCTCCTCGACGTCGCTAAAGAACGAATGATCGTTGATGCCGAGTATAATATTATGAGTTTTTGTATGTAATAGAAAGAGAAGTAAGTATATTATAGAAGTAGGGAAGAGCAACTCAGGCCAAGCAGGTCACAAACCAGTGTGTATGATGTGGCACTCCGTATGTAGATAATCTAATGCCAAAAAAAAAAGGCGCAGAAGAACGACTGCTATGACCGATGGAGGCAGCTTCTCTACTGGGTCGCGGCATAAAAAAGTCAAAACACTCTCCCATAATGGGGGATGCACAAGGCATCGGTGTTTATCTTCCGGCCCATCGATGTAAAACGTATCAAGTAACATTCTGATGGCGTTACGACCGGGATGGCCTTTTGGGGACTGCTCTATACGTCTGTATATCTTGAGCTCGTTAGCTACTTGCGGACCGACCCATAGACCAGGCATGCATGAAGATCTCGAGAACAGCATATCGACGACCACTGTAGTTATAACTCAAGAGGGATCTCACTTCATGTTCCAGGCAAGCCACGCAGGTGAGGTAGATCCAAACCCCAATTTACCTACGACTTGATATCGCTCCTTGATGACTTCTCCTATTCGAGTAAGATAATAGCAGGAAGCGATATAGTCTGGGATTGTCTCTTCTTTAGTATTGTGGTATTCAAGTATCCGAACGAAGTTTGGATTGGAGAAATTAAGGGGCCTCCATCTCCATCCCAACCGTAGAATGGATGGCAACTGCTGGAGACAGCTTTATCGTGTAAGAATCTGTAGATGGAAAAGATAGAAAAATTATTCTCATACTGACACTGACTTGGAGATAAATGTCATCAAGTAGGGTGATGGTGGAAAAAGACACAGCTGACTGCTAGCCGCTTATACATACATATACAAGCGCTCTGCCTAGCGTTACTAATGTTCTAGAGCACGCCAAAGCCAATAAAGTACCTAGGCAAATATCTGTCCGGCGAAGGCGGTATAGCAACCTGGGTAGGTACGTACCTTCCTTGTACCATCAACGGTCTGGTCTAAGCGCGTGAGAAGCTTTCAGTAAACGATGGACTCTCCCATGTTGATCTTCTGTTCATTTCATTCAAACAAGCCGTTCCTACTTATGCCCAGTACGGCGCTGTCAAGGCATGGATGTCTTCGACAATATTTAGGACTGCTAACTAGCGATTCGTATATCTGAGCTTATCCGTGATATGATAGTCGTGGTAGTATTAGTCCATTCCGGATAGCTGAATTGCAGGTTACAGCAAGTGTACGATTATCACATGCAGAATCCGCTCTACTTTACGTTGTGGTGTTGTATACTTCTGAGACCAACCACAATAGGCCTGATATAAGTATGGGAATAATGTTTCTCAGCATGATCCTAATAGTACCCACCTTCTACGGATTCTGGAGCCTGGGGCATTGGCTCTCATTGAACCCTATCGTGACAGCGCTGGTATTTAGAGCCCCTGCTCTAAATGATGTCGCTTCCGGTATCTCGCCTGCGGGGCTATTGAGAAAGGCAGATGGCTGGGAAGTCCAGTATGGCGTATCACTTGATCTCGGATATCCCGGGACTACCCCTGAGACAAGTCGTTGAGAGAAATTGCTTGGAATCTTGCCTGCGGAAGCGGTTCGGCGGCCGTTAAAAGATATCCTATGTTCTGAGAGATAGTCAATTGGAGTTTAAAATCTATGCGTAAAGGATCAGATCATGAGCTGTAGATAATGTGAAGGATTTATGTTTTAACGTGACTTGGATATGTGTATAAAGTAAAGATTGAAGGCGTTCGATTGATGATTCCTAGGATTATAATGGGAATATACAGGCTATTCACGGGAATACAATATATTTTCTAATTTGTTACCATCTAGTTCTTGTGATCATCATTTATTCCGTGAAGCCGTACTTTATTGAGAGGCCACGATAACTACCCAAAATGAGTATTTAATATATATAATAAGAATTATACAGTAAAGAAAGAAGAAAAAAATTATTAACAAAAGAGAGTTAATTTAATTAAAACAAATTATATAGTAATAAAATGGATTTGTTTGTATGTATAGTCCGTCATAATAATGAAGAAGGTAATTAGCGGATCCGGCTGACGACGAGCGGAACGCCATCGCAAGCCCTAATCTAGTGCCACATGAACACCATCCCACTATAACAGTTTCCATTGGCTCACATAAAATAAGGAAATCTTAGCTCCAGCGCCAACATATTAAAAGTAAACGGTGAACACATGGTGCAATCATGAGTAAATTCAAGGATCGATGTTTAATCTATCTGCCGCAGCGGATCTCTAGCCTAGGGGCTCGGCACGTCGGAAATTGACAAAGGACATGAAGCCACCGTGCGCGCCACTGGTTTTTCCACCACTCAATGTAGCTCGTATTCATACAAGCAATTTTGAGTAGATATTCGTTGGCTTTTGGATGTGAAACAGGTACTCCATTGCTATCCTACATCTAACTCGTGCGAAAACTTCGGATGACAATTTAGCAAAAGGTCCAGTGCTGGATATATAATAAACGGCTATATTAACGGGTCGATCTTTCATAAATCTGCGCCAATGAGTATGAATTAAAGTATTATTCCGTGCCAATCTAGTCTGGACTAACGCCTATACAGACCTTCTAGTGAGACATTTCCACATAAAAAATTAGATGAAGTTTCAAAGCCATAATCTTCTATCGTAGTAGAGAATACTATAGTGCTTGGGTCAGGATACTAAAGTATGATATAAACATCGCCCAAACCCTTGAACGGCCTCTAATTGCCATGCAAACTTCATTCTTTTATTGTTTCTTTGACAAAGGCCCCATTGTCCACCATTTTGCAACATGTCTTCCAGGTCGAAGAATGCCTCTCTTTTCACACTTTTTCTCGGTTTTTGTGCTATAGTGCAGGCTGCGCCTGCTCCTTGCTCCCTACCAGTGCAAGCAGTTTCCACTGCCGATTCTGCTGTGCATCATGCAGCTTCTTCTGCTGCATCCACTGCATCTTCTTACACCAAATCTTCTACTGCTACTAGTGCAAAAATTACATCTGTAGCTCGCACTTCCGGTTCTTCCTGCACCTTTTCTGGATCGGATGGAGCGGCCTCTGCGAGTGCCTCCAAGAAATCCTGTGCCACTATTGTCCTGTCCGATGTGGCTGTGCCATCTGGAACGACTTTAGACTTAACTGGTCTTAGGGATGGGACTGAGGTTGGTTTAACTATATCCACGGCTTTTGAGAAGGATGTTTAGAATGACGAATTCTATTTCTTAGGTTATTTTTGAGGGCACCACTACATTTGGCTACGACGAGTGGCACGGTCCACTAATCTCAGTTTCTGGAACCGATATCACCGTCAGTGGAGCTGAGGGTCATCTCATTAATGGCGACGGCTCTCGCTGGTGGGATGGTAAGGGCTCAAACGGTGGCAAAACAAAGCCCAAGTTCTTCTACGCGCACGGCTTGACATCATCGACCATCAAAGGCTTGAGTCTGAAAAACTCGCCTGTACAAGTTTTCAGCATTGACGGCTCGACTGATTTGACTTTGGACAGCATCACAATTGATAACTCTGATGGCGACAGCAAAGGAGGGCATAACACAGATGCTTTTGACGTTGGCGAAAGTACTGGAATACTTATTTCCGGGGCAACAGTCTATAATCAGGATGATTGCCTCGCTGTCAACTCTGGAACGGTGAGCATAGGGTAGTTATGAAAATTGTTGATAGGCACTAATGTGAATTATAGAATATCACATTCACCGGTGGATATTGCTCTGGTGGGCATGGTCTGTCTATTGGATCTGTTGGAGGAAGGGATGACAACACTGTCTCCGACGTGACCATTTCAAGCTCAAAGATCGTTAACTCTGCCAATGGTTCGTTTCCACCCTTTGTCATGTTAAAAGATGTCATTACTTAGATACCACTTTTAAAATAGGTGTCCGCATCAAGACTATTTCTGGTGCGACGGGAACCGTCAAGGGTGTTACATATCAAGACATCACTCTATCCAACATCACCGACTACGGCATAGTGATTGAACAAGATTACAAAAACGGAAGCCCAACTGGCAAACCTACCACTGGAGTACCTATCACGGATTTGAAATTGGATGGTGTGTCAGGAAGTGTTGCAAGCGACGCGTCAAACATTTATATTTTGTGCGGTAGTGGCAGTTGCTCCGACTGGACCTGGACTGATGTCAGTGTATCTGGAGGTAAAACCAGCACTAAATGCGAGCATATCCCTAGCGGTGCTAGCTGCTGATATACTCATTCTTCTATTCTTATATACTACATGTATTATATTTGAAGCTTCTTTGGGCGACGGGTGGTCGAAAGTGACAAATGTCGCGCTACAAATGCATCAAGCTTGAGACTAGATAGTTATAGATAGCCAATTTGATGCAGCCTTGAAAACATACCTATGTAATAATAGTACATCAATGTATTTCAGGAAAATTGATAGAAGTATTGTTGGGATTATACTAATGTAGCACCGTCTCTATGCACCTTGCCGTGCCCTAACCCTGAACCCTAACTCCGATTCGAGAACTATTCAATGTTGTCACTCTGCGTACGAACACATGAGCTATGACTGAGCCTCAAATTTTACATGGGTGAACTAGGCTTTACATTTCAGAAATATGACAGATGAAGTGATGGTATCAAAATTGATGTAAGAGCAAAAGAGAGATCAAATCGGAATTCCCACTCATTTCTAATTGTACATGTACACGCAAATATTGCAATCTCGATAACCCCCTAGAACTCCTTCGATACGTTTGTAATATTCAAGTTAAGAATGACAGGGATTACTTTCTGCAAATCTTTCCTCCAACTTGACCGATACCCCATTCTACTTCTTCCTCCGTGTCCGGGCCGAACACATCCCACAACTCGTGCCCAACGCATGGCTTGCACCAGAAAACACCCTCGGGATCCCATTTCTTCTTCAATTTAAACAATCGCGGATAATGGTCACCCCAGAAAACTCTCTGCCAGTCTGGAATTGTAGGGTCGGCTTCGTTGACGTACGCACCAGAGTTGGGGGCAAGAGCTTTCAGAGCGGGATTAGCTTCGTTGCGAAGGGAATTTGTTTCGATGTTCTTAGCGGTGATATTCAGCTCAGGCCATGAACGGACAATGACTGTATTATCAAGTCAGTAAGATTATGAAGTTGCAATGAGAACCTTGATAAAGAATTCTTTTGAGGCTGGAAATAAGGTATACCTTCGTGTACAATTGCGTTTCGCCAGTGAGGCGAAACAGAATTGTTACCTCCGGGGATTATGGCATCCCTGACGCCCTTTCCAGCAACCATGTGGCCTAGGATGGGGTATCCGGAAGGAGAGGATTTGTATAGTTGATTTTTAAGTATGGTTAGTGGTTTTGAGAGCGCATCTCTATCCAGCAACCAAGAAGCCAGGCGACCATCTGTACCAACAGTTTGAGGTGTATTTTTTGCATACATATCCATAAAATTGTCCCACTTCTCAGGGATACCCGCTCCAACTATAGAATCATTGGCCCACGACGGGGATGATAGAATAACCTTTTCAATGGGCGCGATAATCTCCTTGACTTGCTCTGGTGTTTTCTCCGGAAAGAACCAGATGCCGTTGATCTGACCAATAGCGCCTACTTGGGGGACTGGGACGCTTGGCCAGATAAAATAATAGCCCATTGCACCAGAATCGGACAAATGAGGAAGCTGTTGGTGAAAATAGGCAGTTAATGACCAGAACGTGTTTGAGTTTGCTGTCGTGTTATACTCGTACGTGTACACGGTCATTGACAGCGGACTGTATGCTTTGACAGTAACTGATATCAAAACAGCAAATGTCGAGGGGCCACCTCCTCTCAATGCCCAGAAAAGATCAGGATATGACTTCTCGTTCACGACTCTGTACTCGCCATCTGCAGTGACTACCTCCAATTCTAGAATCTGGTCTGCGCCTAATCCATACCAACTGGAGACAGGGCTGTGACCACCACCGAGAATCCAGCCGCCGATACCGACATTGACATCCCCACCACCAACAGCAGTCAGATTGTGGGCTGCAGCCACATCGTATATCTCCTTCCACTGGGAACCAGCAGCGATTTTCAAGGATGCAGCACCTCCATAGGCCGTGGCGCGTGTATCGTTCAGTGTGACATCAATCCCGCGTATGCGGTGCGTCCAGATGGAGAGCGAACCTGGACCTGACGAGCGACCGGGGAAATCATGGCCAGTTCCCTTCACGACAAGGCGGACTCCAGTGCGTTTCGCAAACTTAACAGCAGCCTGAACGTCGCTCGCACCTACCGCTTCGACAACATACGCGGGATAGCCTGCGCTGGAGCAGGGGGCGGAAGGGTCTGGTAAACAGGTGTCGTCATTATAGTCTACTGACCATGGATCACCTGCGTGCCATGTAGAATTGGACCATTGTGTTTGGACTGTGGTGCAGGAGGTGTTGCTAAACCCCGGCTGGCCTGGATGGCAGACACTACCAGCAGGAACCGGGGCGTGTAGACGGCCAGAGACAGACTGGTTCAGAGCATGCCATTGATCCAGGGAAGGCCAGTCTGGAGATGAAGGTAATGGTTTGCAATGCCTAGTTGAATTGGATGCAGCATTTGCCCAGTTCAGATAGGTCGCAGTATTTAATAAGAGAGATATGAAAGCCCGCATGATGGAGTGCAGCGAGATTTAAGTGAAATGGTGATAGGTTTGAAGCTCTACTTCCAATTATCACGCCAAAGGAGTTGGTTCTTATACAAAGCCATCGGCGCAAACCAGGGTAAATACGAGTGTCCGTAAAAGGAAGAAGTCTATGAACACGAGGGAAACGACGAATGAGCGATGGAGCTTACTTGTGAGTGGAGAGTCTCTACGTCAACCAGGCTGGCAGTGCGCAGTAACGCAGTTTGCTCTGGCGATCGACAAGGCCATGGACGTATCGGCAGAAGTACCGACGTTGAGCTATTTCGGACAAAAACCAAGGCTTCCATGTTTTCGGAAGCAACTTGCGAGAATTCGCGAAAATATTCGCGCAAGGTTCCGCGATCAAATCGCATTAAGGTTAGATCAACAACAATTACCAATTGTGGATCGTATTCGAGGTCTCGTATTACATAATGCATCGCCTCCAATATTGAACCATGTATACATGTCAATTGATGCATAGACAGTGGGTGTGAACCCGAGAGTTTTGGACGGTAGGATATTAGTAAGCCTTGAAACGAGCATGTACACCTGAGGCACACGCCGGATCGCTCTATATGCTTGTGGGTGGTGCAGACACTGGTTAGGGCTGAATCAGCGGCCATTTCGCCCCGTCCATGTCGTCAATAGTAACAACTGGTACATGTAAACGACTGATGAGGAGTCAGGGTTGATATTCCCATCTCAAAATGCAATTATATTGAAACGCATTATCATATTTGATGAATGAATTGTTTGGATTTGTCTCGGCAACTATTGGGGTATAAACCTGTTTGTTATTATAATTGTTATCATTATTACCTCTCTCGTACCTGGAATTACTTACTGTCGGCATGAACAGGGGTTCACAGCAAGGCTGAAGCGGACTACCTTGGATTAGAAACGATAACCAACAACAACAGAAACGAATAACAATAATATTGCATTCGTATTCTTCATCGCCCCCACGGCATGGATGGATGGATGAAAGGATGAAATGAACAGAAGGTCTATGAAGCGCATGTGACGTGGTGATTGGCGAGGACGGACCCTAAACTTAGCAGCTGCTATCCAGCCTGCCTCAGCCGCAACGCGCAGTGCGCCATCTCCTATTCTTGTCGCTGTTCTCACTTCATCAGCGCTCTCGACAATGCCACTCAACAAAAAACGGCCCCTTCTGGCACGCCCTCCCGAACGACCGCGAAGCCGCAATAAAAGGTGCGCGGTCGCCAATCCTTCTCCAACGTGAAGCTCAGGCAGCAGTGACTCGGTCACGAGGAGTCGCGCCAAGAGATCGACATCGCGCACCTGAGAGAACGTATCAGTGTCACCTTGAAAGCACGAGCGCCCCGTCTGACTTATTTATAAACAGACGTGGAAGTCTGCCCGTCGCGGCGGGACTCCTGCGAGGATGTTGAAGCAAAATGTCAACCAACTCATCGATACCAACATCGCTCCAGCCTCAAACCCGCCGACTGCAGGTACTGGAGGCATACCGTCGGCCGCCCCTACTGGAGGGCTCAAGCCGATCACAAGGAGAAAGACGGACCGTAATATGACAGATTCGCGGCTCCTGGCTAACCGCAAATGCATCTACGAGCGTCGCCTACCGGGAGGAGCCTACATCACCGCCCATCTGGAGAGACTGCAGCATGGGTATTTCGGCAGCGAGAATACCTCAGACCACGAGGTTTCACATGTCGATTTTCTGGGCGTCAATTTTGTTTTTCATCCGTCAGACTGCGATAACCATAGATTCAAGGCCGCGACCATTAGGGCCACCATTCAGAACGCCACGGTGGGCGAGGATCGGTACCCATACCCACAAGAAAATCCAAAATTCCTCATGCATGCGCCTCATCTCATCTATGGTGCTGTGTCACCGGAGACCCTGCAGTGGACCTTTAGCCTGGCTGGGTCGCTAGGGATTTCCGACGCCCCAGTCGCCGCTTCGTTGAGTCCAACAGGGAGTAGGGCTGGCTCTTACAAAGTCTACGAAATGATGAAAATCCAAGGCTCATCACGAACCTTCAAAAGCCCTGATGGTCCTGAATTCGATGTGGAGGATGGCGAGATACTGTGGTCCCTCAGCGAAAATGCCCTTCAGAGGTCTGGCTTGCCAAGGGAGTTTACCTTTGTCATGCTTGTGGAGAAGCCTAGAGCAGACAGCCAAATTTCTTTCAAACTCGAGATCGACCCGTTGATCGACGCGTGGTACGGCAGCTATCCGAGTTGGTGGATCAACAAATCTGCCTACCAGCCATTGCGCAAACGTGCCGTCAACTTCCACGGTCAGGTTGGACAGCGATTCACGCCTGTCGACGCACAGAAGGGCTTCAATTTTGCGAAACTAGCGAGTAACCTGGATGATTATGTGAACATGCCAGGTAGCACGTATTCATCAAATGTAAGAGAGCTCTTCTGTATGATCTAAACAATACTGACATGATATAGGTTTCGCCTGATGGTGTATACAATGATCCAACAGGTACACAACCGGCTCGACCTAATCAACCGACTGGGTCTGGTAATGGCTACGGATACGGTAGTGGCGGCAATATGAATGATCAACCTATACGCATCCCCGAATATTACGGCTATCCAGAAACCGGACAACCCTATGGGCCGTTGATCCGGCCGCCACAAGACGTTTGGGGAATGAGTTCGCCGTTTCAGCGGGGGTGGCCGCGACAGGACACCTACTACGGCGGGCCGTCCGGCTATAACGGGCGAGTTGGCACTTCAACCGAGAGCACAATTAATGTTAAAGTGATGCTTGAAAATGGATTTACATCCCAGCTGGCGGCCGCCGCCCTGGGAAATCAGGGTATGCGTGCATCTCCTCGTTTGCGAGATAGTCCAACGTTAGGGATCTCAGCGGCTTCTGAGGGGTCGCCAATGGGAAGAACAAGGTCGCTCCGCCGATCGAGATCCCGAGAAGATCTGAACAAAACGGCGTCGACCAACCGAAGAATGACAGTAGCAACCGATGCTTCTATTGATCCAGAATATCACTCCACGGAGCCGATTTCAAATGGGACTGGCGGGGTACGGAAGACGTCAGAAGCGATGACCATCAGCGATATCAACGTTACGCCTCCGCCAGACGGAATCCGAGATCCTCTGGCCATCAAAAAGACCACTAATGGATCTAGCCGAAGAACGACAACCGTCTCTGGTTCCTTTGACGATACGTATATCCCGAATGGAAATCTTGCAAATGGAATCCACACCCCGTCTCCGGCTTCCAACGGCACGCTACGTCCTCGTCAGGCTTCCAGCGGACAAATGCCGAGGCGATCAGCTTCACAGAAAACAAATGGATACAGAAACCGGTACTCCTACCCTTCCGCATTGCAGAATGACCTCGGAAACTCTTAGAGTAGCGGACAAGTTGCTCTGAACATCACCCGGAGTCTGTTTTGTTTTGTTTTCTTTTAATTATATCATGTTTATTTTCAACAGCTATATACCAATATGCATCTTGTTTGCTACAGCAACACTCGGCTATCTTTGCAGCAATGCATTCATCGGCGCTGAGTTATTTGTACATCTATTATTTTTATCAGTCAAGTTTAACGACCATATTCAGCGTAGTCACTGCGCTGAGGTCATTGTAAGATTACGAGTTATACGACTATTTGGGCTTAGCCCTAGCTACCTAATCTATAGACCACCTCTTTCTTCTTACTAGCATAGAGTTATGTATTTATATCTTATGTAGAGCACTGGCTTGCTGTGAGATTAGATTAGCTTTATCTGGCCAACCTGATTGGCCCGGAGCCGGAATGCAAAAGCTCTCCCGTAGCTCTGCGACTTCCCTCACCGAGCCACTCGCAACGTCCAGCATACATGTAGCCATACTTATTTCTTATTCGGTATCTTTAGTGTGGCTTACCATGTTTTAATAATTATATCGATCTATACCACCGTCCCAGAGTCGGCTACTACTCGCCTCACTACGCGGCCCAAAACCGCCCACGCGAAGTCTGCTGCTTGATGCGCCTCATTCTACGCGCATAAGAGTCCCAACTCAGCTCCTGCGAGCACATGCAGATCAGCATCCTCAAGTCTAGTGAATAAAAAAACCAAAATGTCCTCTCAATACAACACCGAACCACCCCCCACCGCGTCTGTCACCCTTAACACAACCGTCGGCCCTCTCCACATCGCCCTCTTCGCCAAACAAACACCTCTAGCCTGCAAGAATTTCATCCAACACTGTCTCGATGGCTACTACACCGGTACGGTTTTCCATCGCATAGTCCCGGGCTTTGTCATCCAGGGCGGCGATCCGACCGGAACGGGGTCTGGGGGTTCGTCGATTTACGAGGACGCAGAATTCGAGTACGACCCGGAAGCGCGAGACCCGAACGAAAAAGTCGTCTTTGGCGATGAGATTCACAGCCGATTGCGATTCAATCGCCGGGGTTTGGTGGGAATGGCTAAGGGCGAGGATGGGACTTATGGAAGTCAGTTCTTTATTACACTTGGGAATACGGAAAGGCAGATGAACGGACAGTGTACGATGTTTGGACGGATCGAGGGTGATAGTATTTATAACATGGTCAAGATTGCGGAGGCGGAATTGGTGGAGGGAACGGAGAGACCGGTTTATGCAGTCAAGGTTATAGGATGTGAAGTGGGAGAGATGGGTCAGTTTGCGGGGAAATTGAAAAAGAGGGACAAGATTGCAAAGGCGATGGAGTCAAAGGATGAAAAAGTAACGGCCAAGAAGAAAAAGAAGGCAAAAGGTGGAAAGACATTACTCAGTTTTGGGGCTGACGAGGCGGAGGACGATGGGGAGGATTTGGCAACATTGAAGGCTAAAAAGCCAAAGTTCAACACAAATCTGGTCTCAGCTGGTGATGGATCTCTTGATATACAGCCAAAGACAGCTTCTTCAACTGAAAATCAGTCCAAGAAGCGACGACATTCGCCATCCCCGCCACCGAAAAAGCCAGCTAGTAATCGAAGGACGCGTCCAAGAAGTCCGGATCCATATATGCAAGTTCCTCCCAAGGATCCCGAAGAACCCGAAAGATCACCGTCCGAAACACCACCACCAGCTACCCGACCCTCGATTTTGGAGCGTACAGAGGCGGAAATTGCATCATTGAAAGCATCCATGCGACGGAATGTCACAACACAGGAAGACAGCAGCAGGAAAAAATCCGCCCTTGAAGCCATGATCCCAGAGACCTCTATTCGAGGACGGAAGAGACCGCCACCAGGCAGTGCTGCGGCCAATGGGAAAGGCACCGATTCCGAGGCCTTAAAGTTATTCAACGCGTTCAAGGCGAAACTTGAAGGCTCCGATTCGCAATACAAGCGAAACACAAAAACCAAAGAATCTAGCAACGAAGACTCACGTGAAAACACAAAAGTAACATCCGATGAAGTGGAAGATGAAGAAGCTCAGCTCTGCGACCTGCACTTCATTGCAAATTGTCAGTCGTGTCAGAAATGGTCTGAAACCCCGGAAGGTGGCAATGAAGGTTCCCGTGATCAGCAAAACGAGGATTCTACGGATTGGATGACTCATCGTCTACAGTTTGGCAAGGATTTACTGGGAAAGGATTTGAATTGGAAGAAAGAGCATAGAGATGATGCTGACTCATTGATGGTGATCGACCCACGAGAAAAGGAGAAAGAATACGTGCACCGCGGGGGCAAGAGTAGGAAGACGGGTAGAGATAGGGAGCGGGAGAACAAGCGGGAGAGAGCTAGCGAGAGAGAATGGGATCGAAAGTAATTTCGATTGACTTTATGTACATATATACACAACATTGGAACATTTCAGGCGACCTCATCCACTGCTTGTCCAATCAAATGATCTACAAGGTTCAGGGACGCTATCTCAGGCCCACGAAAGAAGCTAAAGTCTCCATAGCCTATCAACACATAAGGAGCCCAAAAGAATGGGCTTGTCCAATCCAGCTGCGGCAACAACATTTTCTGCAGAGTCAACAAATACTTCCCTTCTGGGACTATGTCAGTGGGGCTTTTTATCTCATCATCAGTCTCAGTTTTCTCTGTCGGCAGATTCCACAAATCGAGAAGACTATCAATGAACTCGGTTGCCTTTTCATTATCGAACTGTAAAAACTCAACCTGCGCGTTCCGTAGTCCTTCGGCCAGGGATAGGCTTGGATTGCTTTTAAGATTCCGATAGAACAGGGTCATAAGTACCATAGAAGCAAAGTCGCTGACTTCAAACAGTGTTCCAATGTACGCCTGACACCCCGTGCCAAGAACAACGTGTGTGAACCCCAAAACATCATTCCCGACAGCTCGGCCGAGACCACTCAGACATGCGGCGAAGACAAGAAGATTGGCCTTGGTCTGAATTTGAGACATGTCGATGACTCGAAAGTCTTCACCGATGGAGATGGATGAAAGCAGTGGATTTTCTAGATCCACCACTCCATGAGTGCCAATGTGGAGCACAGAGGTGTGTTCTTCGATATGGTCTCGGAATTGGCCTCGAGTAAGTGTTGATGCTTCAATAGGCTGTGAATAATTGAGTTAGATAATGACAACAACTAAGGGGATATCTAAAGGCATACCCATGTAGAAAACATATTTGAAATGTTTACTGCTTCAATTCCCGCCATTGGCAGAGAGTGTTGACGTGTAAGTCGTGATTCGGCTGAAACATCACCCTCAGAAAGTGATTTTGTGAACACTGACACCGTTGGAGTAGACGAGCCTGAGGGCCGTTTCGATAGATGGTACAGAACCGTCAGACTTGGGATCTGTGATACAGCCGCATGCATTACCAGCGGCCTCCCATCGAACATCAATGCAGAAAAAGGGAATGCAGTCAGTGGCTCCGACACGGAAAAGATGACATGCCGTTTTCTTCTAATAATTTCGGTAAATGGTGCCAGAAGAATCTCTGAAATCTGGCTGGATAGCGCTTCTACTTGGGATTTTCGCTCCTGCTCATCCTCGCTATGCGTGCCATCCATTGTTCTCATGGTTTGCATTAAGTTCATCACCAGTCTCTGGAGCTCAATTAACCGCGTCGTCCCTTTCTGGAATGATTCAATGCCCTTGTTGGTTACTCCCAGAAGAAGGCATCCAGTACGATAGAATGCTCCCTCGATAACAATCACATCATCATTCAGATGGGCGAACAGGCTATGAGGAGCAATGGGTGAGGTGACAGTATTGATCAAATCACTTGTTGACGAAGAAACGCCCCCAATGTCTAGATTTTCAATTTCTGCAGCTAGATTTGCGAGTTCCTTTTCTTGTTCCTCGGTACGTTCTGATAGAAACTGAAGGTGGGTCAGAGCCCTGCGTTTGTAGACCATCTCGGAGATTTGTTGTCCTAATTTATTAGATCCAGATTCCTTCTGAGGAGATGTCACGAGTGAGTCTAAAAGTGACCTTGCCCTTGCTTCCTCCATAAACAACAATGCATGCTCTTCCCACGCCGTTCCGGAGGGGTGGCCATGCTCATAGCTATTCAAGATACCCACCGGCAGACCAGCGGCCAAGCACCGGAGACAAATATCTGCCAGAATCAAGTATGCTTCCATGGTTCTGTTATGTGCCAGGACGCCGACTTTAGCGTCTATGTCGACTGTCTGGCTTCGAGTCATCTCCAATATATGTCGTACTTTGAGAAAGGCCTTGAAAGCCAATTCTGGTTGCGAATTGTTCAAATATATGCATCCAGCAATAGCCAGTCTAAATGGTAAATAAACCACTGTTTCGGTATTGGATGATTCATGAATGAAATTCGGATCAAGATCCAGGAGTTTAGACAAAATTCTGGCCCCGCGTTCCCAGTCCTCGGCGATGACACAGGCGTGGATTGCATTGATTGAGAACGACGCAAAACGGGCGTGACCACGGATTTCAGATAAATTGAGCTCTCCGAGCTTGTTCTTAAACATTTCATCATCGGTCATCGAGTCCAATGTTTCTCTGGCTTTCCCAGTATCACCTATCAAATGACAAGCAAGCATTTGATACATGTCGCGCGTATAAATCTTTTTAAACGTTGTCAAATCCTCTATAAACCGATGCATGATAGCCTCAGCTTCTCTCCAATTTCCTTCCCGTATCAATCGTTTGTACATGATTTCGGCGATTCGATATTTTCTTGAAACAGATCTGTCGAGATTCGCTTCGTCCATGATTTCTTCCAAAGTCGCGCCCAAGATTTCCTTCACTGAGCGCTCATTGGGCTTGTCCTGATAGTCCAGATATTCCCGTCTATGAGTTTTATAGTTTTCATCCTTCTCCACGTAGGATAGAAACCAATCTTCCCAGCTATTGAAGCGATCAAGTGAATCGATTCGTGAATATACCCGACCAGCATATGTGGCAAATGACCACACGAAATCCATTTTCTTGATAATTATATGTCGTCGATCAACTTTACCCAATGGTTTATCGTTGGTCGAATTGATCAGATCGTCGTAGTAGTTCAAGACAGGGTGAAACATGTTGATACACTGTTCTACCATGACAATCGCTGCGGGCCTATAATTTGTTTCATGATATGCTTCTGCCCTCCCAGACATGGACACAAATGCAGCGACAATATTACCAAGCTCCGTAGCGCACGCATGTGCGCATTCGTAGCCTAGAATTGCTGCATCAAAACTCGTATATCGATGCCATTCCCGGCGAGCAAATCGCAGCATCAATATACACAGATGCAACGATAATTGCTCGTTCTTGTGGTCCCGTCCCCATTTCCCAATTTCGCCTGCACGATTTTTCAAATCTCTGCTAGGAACGTTGGCTTTGGTAATATCGAGAAGGATTTGGTTGGTTTTTACAGTCTGTATGTTAGCCTCGTCCAGATCGAAAAGGGCGAGTGCTTCATCGTATTTCTTCGTTGCTTGTTCCAGATATTTCCCTCTGTCAAGACTTTTTGGCGATAACGAGCAAGCTCGGGCATGCAATATGCTGCCCTGACGAAGCAAAACAGCAGCTTGCCCGCGGTGGCAATTTGATTCCCGGAAAAGTTGAAGACTCTCCTCATAGCACCTACTAGCTTGGTCGCTTTCCTTCAGTGCGAGAATCTTGTTCTCGATAGGATCCCAGAAGCTATTGTCTCCAGCTGCATCTGAGGTGTGAATGGGAATCAAGTTCTGAGTAACGGGACTTGCAAAAGGAGGCGACAACAAGCCATCTGCTTGCATCAATCTGCAGTTCGCCAATCCTGCCTTATCATTCAGCACCTCATATAAATCATATAACTCCTGTAAGGTATCTTCCGTTTTGGGAGAGTCAATAGCAAAATGAAATTCAACTAAAAGTCTCTGAAAGTACACGTCCGTCGTCTCCAATGTGCCGGCTGTCCTTTTCGTGTTATTATTCTGTACAAGCTTTACCAAGTGTGGAGCTCCTTCTGAAATTGCTTGATCTGGCGATTTCCCATCTTGAGTAGCCCAGCCACCATTTGGAGATTGAGGGTGGTACATTACTGTCAGTGTCCTGCGCTGAAGTGGAGCATACGTCAGGATCTGCATGGCGACGCAAACAGCTATATCCCTGCTAGTAGTACTTCTAGTGTCATCGGAGCGATGATACTTGTTCACGTTCTCTATCAACTCCGTGATAATATCAGTATGGCTTAGAATATTATCCCCTATCATCGGCATATTCGCCGGCATCATTAGTTCCTGTTGATATGGTATACATGGGGGGTAGCGTCTGTTGTATTCGACGTAGGCTTTAAGTGACGAATACCTCAACCCCCAGTTTGCAGTAAGCCTACTGCTAACACTAGTATCATCAACGATCGCCTTCAGTCGTGCCAAAGAATTATAAGCATCGTCGAATCTACCTATCAGCACCGAGACCAAGATACTCGATCGGAGAAAGCAAGCTGTTTTCTCAGGGTCGTCATCGGAGTTGGATAACTCCGTTGATTGATACCGCTCAATTTCATCTTGGGCTTTGCGAAGATCACCGCGATACTCTTCCGCGAAGAGAGATTGGATATGGGACATGACCCTTTCTTGGATATCCATATTGATGTCTATCAGAATACATCATCAGGGGGTGAGTATGCGGTTGAGGAGGGGATCGAAGTGAAGCTAAAAGAAGAATCGATCGAGATAATAGTGCATTAGTGGGGGTTCTAGCCTCATCGGGCAGGAATCGAGCCAGCTTGGTCAGCTTCCTAACAAGCCTTGTTTTTTTCTAGAGTTTTTTGCCGATGTAATTTTGAAGCATAAAAATTATGATATAATAATAATGAAGTTACCATCATAGATAATCTAGCCCTTTGATAGCACGGTGCAATAAGGGGTATGGCGCAAAATGGCTATCACAAATGGAATTGCAATCGCAAGCTTCCTGAGGAGGTCATCGTTGAGATGGAAACTGCCATCAAAATTACTAAGTACACGTCCCAATATAGTATAATTATACATCCACTATTTTATCAGATTTATATTTCTCCTTTTAAGAATACAGACTATGGGACACTGTTAACCCAAAATAGTTTATATACATAACAGGTATGTTCTCATCTCCATTACGTAGTGAAGATAGGGAAATACATAAACATTGAAGCATAATAAATTGATATCTTTCCATGTTATATATGTAATCTTTTATAAAGATCAACCCCGCCATATAAACGACCCTGCCAAGTGAACACTATGTAGCGCCCTACCTCATATAAATTAACACTGTCACATAACATTTGAAAACCACAATATGATAATTTTCAATATGTGGAAATACCAAAATTCGCTGTGCCACTATGGAAGAATCTCCATTCACACAATAACCCTAAAACGGTGTTAATCTGACGCTAACCGAAATAGGCTTACTCTTGACTACACCAAGGGACTAACCAGTTACCTCACTACTTGGTTATTACTTATTACTATGACTGCAGTACATATATATGTACACCCACCAGTTAGCTTGTAAGCTGCCAAATGGTCGTCGTTGTATAACATAAGTTGTCCGTTTGACGTTTTGCATCTTCCAACGCCATCTCTGCATGGAACACAACAGTCGACGTCGACACAGACCGCGGGTGGCCAAGGAGAAGCGCAAGCGAACCGAGCAGGCGTATGGGAGCCCTTCCGTGTTCCATTCTTGGTCGGGCAGGCTGACTGGTGCGAGATAGATGTGAGCGATGCCGGCGCCGCAAGAGTCGCTGCGTTGTCCCTGATTCCAACACCTCTGTCGCGTGTACTCGGTGTGCAAGCAGCAGGCAACGCTGCTCGCTGATGTTAACTGAGTCAGTTCAGCATCTGGATGCGGTGGGGTAAGTCGAGAATCTGACTCACGCAATGGATATGAGTAGGTTGCTGAAGGCCGTTCCAGGTCCGAACCGGTCGGAAGACCGGTGCTACCTATGCCCACAGGGACGCCGCACAAGACAATGGACCTTACAGCTGTTCATTCTACATCTGATGTATCACCAGAAGACATGGTCTCCCTGGGTATGTGGCTGTTTTCCCCCATTGTTGCATCTCCCCCGCCTGATGTGAGACGTCAGATCTTGACTGGTCCAACGCCCAAGGAGACTTTATCCCGCGAATTCGGGAAGCCATGTTCCTCAGCCCAGGGCAGAAAGACTTAACCCGCTTGAACGAAGGGAACTCATTTTCTTTGGGATCTAGACACGAACTGCATATTGATCAGCGCCTTTTGCGGAATGCCGTCAAGGCCTTTCCTCCTAAGCAAGTGGCGGATTTCCTTGTCTCCACGTGTATCGAGTTTGGCTCCGACAGCTTTTTTTACTTCCACCAAACAGCGTTTCGGCGGGATCTGGATAGCATTTACGCCGGCCATGGGGACCAGCCACTCAACTGCTCATGTGTGGTGATCAGTCTCGTGGTCTTTGCGTTGGGTAGCCAGTTTGCACATCTCGCGTCGAAACCCTCACCAAACCCCCGGCCCGATCTCAGCTATGAACCTGGTGTGGCGTTTATTGACAGTATCCGCCCTCTCATTCCAGATCTCATCCAGTGCCCATCTATTACCTCTGTTCAAGTTTTCTTTCTGATGGGCATCTATTTCTTGCCATCCGATGCACGAAACCAATCTTATTTCTACATGGGACTGGCTCTGCGCATAGCCATCTCTCTAGGCATGCACCGTCGCAGCAAGATGAAATCTTGCGCAGATCCTGGATCTGTCGAGATCAGCAATCGACTGTGGTGGTCCCTGTACTCGATGGAACGGTACGATCTAACTCTTGTCACTATCGTTTAGTTTTCGGGTTTTTATTCTCACGATTTTTAACATACACACATAGGCTCGTCAGTGTCAAAATCGGCCGACCTGAGTTCATTAGAGAAGATGAAATGGACGCCCCCCTTCCCACAGCACTTTCTACTCTGGATGAAGTGCAGATCAATAACAATATTCATCATCAGATTGCGAATGCGACTCTCACGCGGATACTGAGCCGGCTAGTACAAAAGATGTATTTCCAACGCCCCGGTTTGGGATTTCAACGCTCTTTCTGACTGCTTTCCTAGAAATCTAGCCTTTATCTCTCAAAATCAGACAGCCTTACGCTCTCTTGAGACCTTCAAAATTGAGCTTCACCATTGGCAAGAACAGTTACCACCCACTCTCTCCCTGGAGAACCTGCTCTCCCAGGGCCAAGAGAAGAAGGGTTCCCGTGCTGTAGCCCACCTTCACCAAAACTATCATATCGCCTGGATCATCATGTGCCGCATCCCATTACTCCGAATTGTTCGTGGCCGACTGAAGCGGATCCTCGTCGACTCCTCGTTCAAAGAACCGACCGACTCGGCCACCATTGAACATGCCGGACTCTGCGTGCGAGCTGCGAAAGAGGTCCTCCAGCTCTTTGAGGTGCTGTGGGCTAAGGAACGGCTAGCGCTATTCTCCTTCACTGATTTCCACGGCTGCAGTACGGCAACGATCGTCATCTTGCTTGCCGGGATTCTTGAGCGAGACTCGGAATACGATCGCCGGGTAGATTTTGGACTGGCGTCGCTGCGATTCATCGCGGCTGGAAACCGCACCGCCAGGGTTGGGGTACAGTTCGTCGAGCGCTTTCAGAATATTGCCGACGAAGCGGTGATGGAAATGCAGCATCGACTCCGTCGACCGCCGGATCTCTTGTCTCCAGAAACAGCCTCTGGATACGACTCGTGGCTCCAATGGCTCGCAGCAACCGGACAAGCAGGCCCAGATGAAGAACAACAGGGCGATGACGACGACGACGGCGACGGCGATGGCGATGGCGATGGCGATGGCGATGGCGATGCCGAAAATGGTAATGATGAAACGCCATCACAGTATGTCCCCGTGGAATCTGCGGCGGGAACAGCGGAGGTGCATGATAGTAGCTTCCTACAACCGACCGTCGAGTACATGGATGCTGTGTCGTCAATATCTCATGACCTTTACTCGGAAGCTCCTCCTGCACTCCCTACGATGATGGGCTGGACGGATGCACCCCCAATATCGGCCTATGGAGATCCATTCATATTGGGCCTAACAGGACTGGACGTGTTGAATTTCAGTAATTGGAATGACTTTTGATTGTGTATTTTTTATTTATAACCTCTAGAACTATGAGTGTATGTAAAATAACTACCAGATGAAGAATATATCTATATATGGTGGGAAGGGCTTATTCCCCCCCAATGAAAGGTATTCATTCACTCGATATTCCTCTCAGGAGCCGCAATATCTTCCGGTAACTTTGACCACCTGCTCGCGTGTACATAACCCTCCTTGATCACAGCCAACAGATGTCGGTTTGGGTCGTCAAGGATGGTGATATCCTGCAGCGGGTTTTGTGTCAATACCAATAAGTCCGCTGCGAACCCCGGCTGTATCTGACCGAGGAAAGCCTCCTGTTTGCACAGGCGTGCCGGATTGATCGTCGCGCTCTGGAGCACCTGCAGTGGCGTGAGAACCTTGGCCCGCAAGGCAAACTCCTTACTCTGCGCGACTCCCATAGGGCCAAGAAGATCGGTCCCAAAGCAGATCGTGACGCCGGCGGCCACGGCAATTTGCAGTGACTTGAGCCCTGCCTGAAGGACTTGCTGGTTTTTCTGTACGGATTCCGGAGGCAAAAACCCTTCCCATTCAGGTGAGGACATCTCCGAGTATGTGATCAGGGTTGGGGTAAGAAACACCCCCTTTTCTGCCATGAGAGCGGCTGTGGGTTCATCTAGAAGATTGCCGTGCTCGATGCCCATCACGCCGTTGTTGATGGCATGGCGAATGGACTGCGGTGTGTATGCATGCGCCGTGACATATGTCCGACTGTTAGCCGCCACGGTGGTGATGGCCTGGATCTCCTCCGTAGTGAACTGCAGGTTCTCCAACGCGTCGGTTGGGCTGGCCACCCCTCCCCCAGTCATGATCTTGATGAAATCGGCACCCATCCGAAGCTCCTCGCGAGCAAATTTCATGCACTCGGCCACGCCGTCACACAGGCGCCCCATTCCCGTAATGTGCCCGCCACAGCATTCATGCGTATCGTCTGCCGAGCGGAAATCCGCATGCCCGCCAGTCTGGCTCAACGCATGTCCGGCGATAAACAAGCGAGGACCTGGGAATACCCCGTCAGCAATGGCTTCCTTTAATGCTAGGGTCGCGCCTCCACAGTCCCGCGCTGTAGTGAAGCCTCGCCGTAGCATCTGCTGGCAGACGAATGGCTGGCGCATCTTCGACCGGTCAGGGGCCATCTGGATGCTCTCCGCCAGTCGCTTGCCACCGGGAGTCGACGTGAGATGGACGTGCGCGTCGATGAGTCCAGGACACAGATAGCGCCCACGGGCGTCGATGTCAATTGTACCTGCGGCTGGATCACTGTGGTCGTCCGTCACTGATTCAACCACGCCATTGCGTAGAACAACCGTCGCATTCTCCCGAATCGAGCCATCCACAGGGTTGACCACGTTGGCGTGACGAAAGATGTACGGACGGGCAGGAGTCCGCTTCCAAGGTTTGAGGGCATCTTCTAGCGCCATGGTGATTGCAAGAACTCCTACAACGGAACTTGTCTGTATTTGTTTATTTATAAGATAGATCGACATCAGACGCGACTCGGCCTTTTCGCCGTGACGGTATCGTCGGCACGCGTGCCGACAGTAGGGTACAAGTACCCGACCACGGCCCTCTTTCCGTTATCGTTATCGTGAAACGAAAGATGAATACGCTGGGCAAGTGTCTGGTAAGCTTAACATCATGGATGAGTGCCAGCCTCTTTTGCCTATCATGTTAGTGGGTTATATATAATATCTTTGTCCGACAGCTCCTGAACGATGATCTTCTATCCCCCTCCCTCATCAGATCGCGATATGGATGCCTCAAAAGTCTTCGACAAGAAGGACCAAGCCCTGTCGGACCCCCAGGTGGCCGATGGAAGCTATGCGGAAACCTGCTCATACACTCCAGAAGAGGAGAGGAGGGTTGTCCGCAAGCTGGATTTAGTGATATTGCCCATGGTAATAAGTCATACTGATATCCCAAGAGAGAAGTCCCTTGGACTGACATGCAATAGATGTGCTGTGTCTTCTTCCTCCAATGTATGTTTGGTGATGTTGGAAACTCCACGCTGGTAATGGGCTAACGTATGTGTCACAGATCTCGACAAGCAGAGTCTCAGTTATGCATCGATCTTCGGCCTCATCCCAGATCTGAAGCTGGAAGGAAAGCAATACTCGTGGACCTCGTCCATCTTTTATTTCGGTGAGTCAAAACCTCTAAATCCCAATCTGCGCGGTGTGTGCTGAATGGATACATCATCTCCACCAGGCCAACTGGTCTCCGAGTACCCTTTTATCTATCTGATGAGTCGGCTTCCGCTGGCGAAATTCGTTGGGGCTACCGTGTCAGTCATCTCTCTCCATACCCCATTACAATAACCTCTCCTATTGACACCTTTAGCGTCGTCTGGGGAGGCATATGCATGTGTCTTGCTGCACCACACAATTTTGCGGGATTTGCCACCGTTCGATTCATACTGGGCTTCGCCGAGGGTGCTGTCTCTCCTGCCTTTGTCACGATAACCAGCATCTGGTATCGCAAGAGCGAACATCCTATGCGTGTCGGGTTAGTCTGATCTTCCTTTTTCTTCATTTTTGCTTTTTTTTTCCTCCCTTTTCACCATTCTTCTTCTAATCTGAATATAAATCAAAAACAGGATCTGGGTCACTATGAATGGATTAGCCCAAGTCGTTGGCTCACTGCTCATGTACGGCATCGGCAAGAACGGCAGCCTCAGTCTGCAGCCCTGGAGGGTTCTGTTTCTCATCTGCGGTGCGATGACTACCTTTTGCGGCGCAGTTTTCTTCTTCATCATCCCCAATGGAGTCAGTGACGCCTGGTTCTTGTCGCCCCGCGAGAAGGAGATTCTCGTCGCCCGTATGGCTGCAGATCGAGAGGGGGGAGATCGCAGCAATTTTTCTGTAAACCAATTCAAAGAGGGCCTGATTGATATCAAGTCATGGTTTGTCTTTGCGTTCGGACTGCTCGTGACGCTGAATTCTTCTCCCCTAACCGTATGCTCGAGCTCCTTTCCTTGTGAATATGATGTGGTATGGACGAAGACTAAATCTTGACAAAATAGTTCGCCTCGCTTGTCATCAAGAACATTGGATATAATAAATTCGACACTCTCTTATACGGCTCTCCATCTGGAGCCCTACAGATTCTGTTCATTTGGATCAGCGTTCTGGGCTGCTTCCTCTTCCCCAAGAACCGGTGTGCGGTGGTGATGGTTCTCATTATTCCACCATTGGTTGGTAACATCCTTCTGTTGAAGCTGCCTCTAGCTGCCGGCTGGGGGGTTATTGTCGCTTCGTGGCTGGTAAGTGATACGAGTCGTCTTCCGGCCAAATCCCTCTTCCCCCTCCTCCTCCTCTTCTTCTTCTTCTACTAACCTCACCACCTCCAACCGAGCAGGCGAGCTTGATCTCCGACATCATGACTGTTATTCTCAGTCTGAGCGCGTCCAACGTCAAGGGCAACACTAAGCGAGCGATGGTGAATACCTTTTTCTTCATCGGTTACTGTGTTGGATGCATCGCGGGCCCGCAGGCATGGACGAAGGCGCCCCGATACCTAGCCGGCGTCATCCTAGACATCGTTGTCTGGTGCTTGCTGTTTTTGGCCATCGCCGGCTACTGGTATGTGTGTGCTAGGGACAATGCTCGGCGGGACTGCGAACAGGTAGGTGGCGGTACCGTCACGGGATCCGAAGGCATCGATGTGACCGACAAGGAGGACCAGTCGTTCCGCTATTCCTACTAGTCAGGAGCCTTAAGGGCCAATTTTCGGTTTCTCGATGCTTAGAGAACTAACTTGAACACTTTTATTTGTCAATTCAGTATTGACTACATAAGGAAATCAAACCCATCAACTTTATGTGATTCAAATCAGCACGGTTTTCTCAAATTGGCGTCTTAAGTGTTGACATAGTATCTAAACTGTAGCCCTTTGACCAGCATATACATAATAAACAAAGGTTTATGGAAGTATTCACCGCAATAAAATCTCATAAAACCGTCTTCATACTAAACCGTCTATATCACTATTTGGCTTAACGCCATTACTCTTACAACAGTAATTTTCCTGCTCTTTGGTGTTTTTTACGGATTCTAACTGGCTTACTAACTATGCATGTATTATTGCTGCCTTAGCGAGCATTTGTCATTAGGTCAGTAAATAACACGTATATAAGCAATATCTTGGCTTTTAGAATATTATTTAGAGTAAGAATGATTGAGGGCAGAGTGAGAAGGGTGAATAAACACACCGAGGTAGACACTCACTCCCACTCTCATTCGACTGAGTCTACGGTGATAAAACCTCAAGACGCACCTCCGATCTGCTGTCTTTCTTTCCCCTATCCCTCCTTAAAAATCAAGGAAGCAGATATTGGGGAATTAAACATCCTTCTCGGTTTGATACTATATAATAATAAAGATGGTCTTTGGGAGGCAACTATAGCGAGCAGGATAGATGCAATAGTAACTTTTCCATCCGCATAAGAAAAGCCAAGGAGACCGGCGACTCTACTTATTTAGCGGTCGACCAGCAGAAATGCGAAGATAATCAATCGCAACCAACATAATAGGTTGAACTTGAAGAAAAAATATTATATTACAGAAAAAGAACTAGGCCCGAACCGCGATTCGAACGCGGGGCCTCACCCAATCCAGAGACCCGAAAACCTCATCCCAAAGGGCGAATCATACCACTAGACCATCCGGGCAATCTTTGATAAGGCGCGCTATCTAGATAGCATTATCCAATTCCGTTTCGCCCCCAGCATTGTTACAATTAGATAACAAGCTCAACATCCCACTACCATACGCAGGCACCAAAGGTTCAAGTTCGGCACAATGGCATTGAAAGTCTTCCGAAGTGTGTGAGTGACGTTGCATTAGCAGCGTTATTCGCCAGCGTGTTGAGTATCTCCGATCTGGTTCACACTGGCAGAATCTTCTGTCAACTATCTCATGCACCTTTGTAACCATTTATCCCCTTCCTGCTCGAATGAGAGAAGACTTTACACCCCCAGTAGATGTTCTTGGCCTTGGATATGCGTGTCACAGTCGAGTATGACCCTTTGCCATAAAGTATTTGAAACGGAATTTGTGGAAGCCAAAAAAATACACCACGGTGGAGACACAGGAATTGAGGAAGCTTATGAAAAAGGGATATACAAAGCAACACGTTTTTGACATGAAAAGTGAACGGCCACCGAAACACACGGATACGTCGTGGAAGCGCATCTCAGAACAGTGCAGTATTACTCTTGAAGAGGAGTTTCATACCCATGATAGCTGTGGGAGATGTGCTATAAATCCCGAAATGTCTCACCCTTCGCTCATGGCTTCTTAGACACGAGAAATGTGCCTTTGCTGTCGGATTACAACGCGGTATTAGTTGTCTTGCTCTAAAAGTTTAATTATGGGTCTAAACCCGATTCCTGTGTCTTCTCACTGGACAAAATGCAGAAACTGGAAAATGACGCCGGCTTTCAGTAATGATTGAAGATCTGCTACAGCTTGGTCTTATCTATCACACACTCAAGTATACCGTCGATGATCTCTCATCTGGTCCTGATTTGAGGGGTAATTTGCTATTACCATACTGTTCAGCCACTAACGAAGAGAGATTTCGATTAGAGAACTGGATTCGGGAGCTTAGAGGCGAGTCTATATCGGAACCCAAGGGAGAAAATGATCTAGGTTTAACTGAATGGACATACACCTGTATGCTCATGTATCTGCTCCCTATTGGGTACTTGGAACAGGAAGCAACGGCTCTCTTGACGATTTTTGGAAGTGATTATGATCGGATGGTTTATACGATAGAGAGGGAAAACCACGGAGAACCCTCACCTTTTTTCAAGAAAGTAAAACTTTGCGGCGAGTTACTCATTGAGCCATTTTCCTCATGGGTTGACGGAAAGCAGTACCTGAGACGTGAATAGCCAAAACAGATCAGCTATATTGAATCTATTAGCGGTGGAATGAGCAGCAGCACTACTGATGATGTGATTTATTGTGGGTCAAAGCCTTTAACAATATCGTCAAAATCTGACTCTCCTATGTGTCCCACTGGTAGCCCCATTTATTTATACCGCTTTCTCATTTCTATGAACACAGCCATGAATACATGCATGACGCCGAATGCAACTGATTTGATACATCCGCTTTTGGAATATCGTCTAAAATTTCAATTGATTGATAGTGGCACATCAGAGTTGCTCTATTTAGGAGCTTTTACGATGTTTTTATAAGATTAGCGGGTTATTTAGATTGTCTGATGCGTCTAATTAGACTTATTTTAATGTAATAGAGTAACAATGGCTGGAAAGGAAACGAAAATAATTCTGCCAATGGCAGCTGTGTCAGAATTATGGCTTATTTCTCCTTTATCTTCAAAACTCCCATTGATTTAGCCAAGAGGCAGATTGTTCGTCGTCTTGAATGCCCTGGATGTGGCAGATTAATATAGTGATACATAAACAGAGCTGTCCTATGTAATATTTTCCCTTTTTTTCTTTTTTCGGTTTTTGATATTTTAATTCGTTAGAGTGGTCTGCCATTATCTTCACCCAAACCGCCTGCCCAGATTCAGTCAGACAGTGATAGCCAAGCCATCATTAATGATTTATTTAATCGACAAATAGTTAGCCCCGGTCAGATATTCCTAAGATAACGAGACGAGAAAAGGCATTGTTTCATCAAGCCGGCTGCTTCCATCTCACAGCACTGTATCTTATGCTTCTCTATCCGAACTTTCTCTTGCGCGCATCCTTGACGACGTTATTTGCGGAAGATATTGTTTCGTGGAAGACCTATGGCCCCTTTTCACAATTTCCGGGCTCCCGTACCACTAGTTTTTCCTTCCATCCATCGTCATCCTTTCGTACAGCTGATCAAATTATTCCCCACTACATCACTTAACTGGTTATCGATCCCGTTATCGAGTAATACCTACCAACCATTCGACTTTGATGTTCTGAAATTTTATCATAATTCAGGTTGCAACCATAATAGGCAAAGCAGCAATCACAACATAAGGTGTGCCGATTCGGCCAGGGATGTAGATATTTTTGTCATTGCCATCTCCGAATATCTTTTTGTACTTTTTGTCTAGTATCTTTCTGGCTACGTCAAGTTCTGTCTGTAACATCCATATCCATCCCACCGTGTTGTTTAATCTGATGGCCCGAACTCGATGTTGTGGTAAAGAATGGGCAGGACTGATGCCTAGTTCAGCCTAGTATTTTGAGTTCAACCAGAAAGTTAGCATTGACAGATATCACAAAACCAAACAAAAGCCATTGCTTGTCATCTACAGATGTGGCATAAACGGTCTGTCCACATCAATATCCAGAAAGCTGGTGTATTAAAACCACAAAACCAAACCTTTGCAAGCATTAGGGTGCCTGAACCGGATATAGAGTTTTAAATGAAAGGTGGAAATCGTAAGGCTGAGGCTGACACGTTTTATGGTTAGTCAGATATATATACAGTCGATGGATGAATACTTCTCTCCCTTTGAGACATAGGAGTAATAATGAAAGCATAAGCTTGAGGTATACAGGCAGTATAGAAAACTGGTCAACATTTCTAATTGTCGTCACCACCTGCGATTGGGAGGCTGTGTGCAAATGTTAAGAGACCGAACGTTTCAGGTCATTAAGAAAATGTAATCATGTTATACTGTAGATCGCCTAAGTGACTTAGTTATAGGGGTCGCGTGATTAGGTGATTCTCAACCTGTCACACATGTTGGGGACTAAGCACTTTCTCACTAAATATCACTTAACCATCTAATCTATATATATCCTTAGTAAAGCTTGATATACCACATACGACCATAGGGTGTGGAAAACAGGGCTTCCCGTCCGCTCAGCCGTACTTAAGCCACACGCCGGCTGGTTAGTAGTTGGGTGGGTGACCACCAGCGAATCCCAGCTGTTGTATGTTTTTGCTCACCTATTTTTTTTCTTTTTGCTGCGCTTCCCGCGCCCTAAGGTAGAATATCCGGTCTATCCGGCCGAATCACACGGCTTTTTGCCCTCCAGTTATACTTGCCGTTATTAAACACAGAGCGGACAACACATAACATTGGTAACGAATCTACGTTGGTTTCAAATCGAGACATTCTTGAGATTGGCACAGATTATCCAGAATATTAGTATCCTATTGAAACACGGCTTATTATCACTTATACATGTGTTGTAGCTAGGCTGATAGATCATCTAATTAATATTATCGGGAAGAGCGTATTCTCTACAGAAGCATTAGCCCCTCGTCTTAGACTCACCAAATGTCTCCTCTTTCTCGTCCTCAAGAACGAGATTATAGGGGAGTCCAATCCAGCTGGGTTGGAAATACCACTCCTTCCTTAGCAGGAAGTGAAGACCAGCTCATTGCCGATAATGGGACCCTGCGATGGTATGAGATTAGCGATGAATCTCGGTGGCACATAACCTAACCTACCATGTAGACAAGATTGCGGTAGGTAATCTTCCAGGTCCAGTCGGCCTGCCTCTGCCATGTATCTTGGTACTGTCCATAGGCATAGGCAACTTGACCGGTCTGGTTGTTCGTGCCAAAGTGAGCGGCACGGTAGTATGTCACAGATACAGCGACGGTGGGAGATATAATTTCGATGACCTGGGTGCCGAACATATGCTGGGTGGTGACGCAGGCGAGACTGGAGCTCAGCACCGACTGGATCTGGGACAGCGGCGTCAGGACATTGAGCGGCGCCGAGTAGTTGGCGACGGCATTCTGCATGAAGATGTTGTCGAGGGCAGCGAAGTTCTTGCCATCGATGGCAAATGGATACAATGCGAGGGTGTTGCGAATAGCTTCAATGGAGACAGCATCTACCAGCGGAGCAGGAGGAAAGTCCGTCGCCAAGGCCGGAAACGGAATGGGTTGCGTGCCAAATGGGAGGGACTGGCTGCTGGCAATGCTGAATGAGCTCAAGCTCAAGAGGACAACCGTCAACCGGGTAAGATACTGCGCCATCATCTTTCTTCTTCTCCGTTAGGTTGGTTCCCATTTGTCCAATGGCTGTGGTGATACATACTCTAGCGCCTCGGGGCAAGGTGAAACGGAAATGCAAGGGTAGATTCGTGGTTATTATTATTGGAGAAGGATCCTGAAATACAGCCCGAGCTACAGGGTCGATTCTAGGTTTTTGTACTCGAGTTTACCAGCTAGGGTATAGAACCAAACAACAACACACAGGACGGATGCTTCTCGCTTGTCTCTCGCTTCGTCACTAGTACTTCGTCCGCACCATCTCACTCCTCTTCAACCCAGGAATCCAATCGCAGGCTGTTAGCACTTCATAGTACCTTCTCTTTTACGCCACTGTTTCACAGAGTCTACGGAGTTTTAAATTGCTCAATTCATCTGCCTTTGACGGCGCGCCCACAAAGCCGCCACCAACAGTTGCATTCGAGATGATTGGACTTCAAAGGCAAACTAGGTTACTAGTGAGGGGTCAGCCTGTTAGGTTGTTCCTACTGGCCAGTCGACTTTCAACCCATGAGCTAACTAATGCAAGTTAGAGTTTAGGTAGAAGCTTGCTATGCGAGCTATGCGATCCATGCCGATGCTTCGGACTAAGGAATTTGAGCCTAAGGAATTTGAGGCTTTGAGGCTTGAGCAAAAACCAGTACGAGAATTTCTCGAAGTCCAGAGGGCTAGACGGTTTCTGCATCAGTTTTCCGCACCAACACTGTAATTAATAATGCCTGACTTTCTACCTCCAACGCATCTATGCGAAATAATGTGAAGCTTTTTGTCCGCATTTTACCGTCCACAATGGACGGCCTTTCAGCGGCGTTGAGCACACGAGATAGTGCGGCAGGAAAACTTCCAATCATCTCGAGTCAAGGCCTTTCGGTATGTGATATTTCTCTGCAAGGTCGCCACTACATGTACATATGTAAGGTCACTTTGACCGAGACGGAAATCGACCACACCCATATTGGACATGCATAATCTGATTAACTTCAATCACAGGCACTCAATTGGGTTGGAGTCGCCCTCGCTTTGGTCCTAGTCGCCATCCGAACCTATATCCAATACCGCAATGCCAAACGTTTCTTCATCAACGACTACTGGATCTTCTTGGCCATGCTGATACACATCGCGACTGCGATCGTCTACCAGACTGCCATTCCGGCCATGTACGAGCTGGCGTACGTATCGGCGGGCGTTGAACCGACAGAGGGATTTACAGATAGAGCAAATATGTTTCTGCGACTGATCTTTGCCAGTGACCTCCTGCTCTGGACCACCTTGTGGTGCGTCAAATTCTCGCTCCTCTTTTTCTTCTGGCGATTGTTCGACTCTGTTCAGTCACCTATGCGAATCTTCTGGTGGATTATGGTCGCTGTCACTGCTGCCACATATAGCACCTCCGTCGTACTGCAGATGTTTGCCTGCTTTCCAATCCGAGATTTCTTCACCATCGGTGAGTCTGAGTCCGAGTCCGTTGTTCATGGCTGGCAACATCAAGTGACCGTGTGCTCACAAACTACCTTATATAGGACGTTGCGGGTCAACAAAAGACATTTTCTACTCGAATCTTGTCTTTCACTTCTCTGTCGGCTCGGATATAGCGGGCGATGTGCTCAGTGAGTCAGCAGTCGAGAATTGACCGACTGACCCAATTGGCTGACCTGAAGAAATGCTGAAGTCATGTTAATCCCCTTCCCTCTCCTCCGCAAACTCCAAATCAAACCACGCCAAAGAAACATCCTGATCCTGGTCTTTCTCTTCCCAATTATCCCTATTGTCTTCGGCATTCTGCGTCTTGTCGAGGCTAACGCCACCACCGACAATGTTGACCCCATTCGCTTCACCCTGTGGTCCATGCTGGAGAATATATCTGCCATTATTGCCTCCTGTCTCCCGGCCTTGCGTCTATTCGTCTTTAGTTCCCGAACTTCCACTTACCCTGCGGGGTCGTCGTCGTACTCACGAAAATACCACCGCCGTGCTGAAAGTCATCCGCACTCCTTCAATGGCCATAATTCCTCAGTGCCACTGGAAAATCTCATCGAGACAAACACCGATTATACCTTGGAGCACACGGGCAAACATGGAACACCTGCATCCCGGGAAAGCCAAGAGGAGATTCTGAAGTCGACGAGTGGTGTCATGGTCACGAGGGAGTTCCAGCTGTCAGGGTGACGTGAAAAATAGCTGCCAGGAGCAGGATGCAAACAATACAAATATAGATTATGATATTAGAAAGCTAGAATACTAAATAAATGAAACAATAGCAAATGCATATGTAACTTAGCTCATAGATCATGCAGGTGATCTGCAGAACCTAGTAAACTAATTGTTTTTGAATATAAGACATACAAGCCGCTAGGCCTGATTGGTCTGTTCTAGATTAGTAAGGGAAGCTTTTTCCTTCCGACAGCAGTTTACCACTGCACATTTTGAATGTTCATTGGGCGAGGAACTGGATGCGGTATGGGGTTAGTACTAGGCCGCTATTTACAATTCTATTGCTCGGTGTGAAAACAAGCAAATGCGGGGTATCCCAATCGGCTGGGCACATGCACCCACCATTAGATAAAGTTGACAAAAAAGCATCTAGAGTGAATCGGGCCGATCCGTTTAACCTCATCTTTGGTACAACCATAATCAAATATCTTGTTTCTCTACTTCTTGAATTCCACACTGAAAACAACATCCCAAATCCCACTTGACAATTTGACAAGTAGGGGAAATGTCCTCCGACGAGTCTTCCTTTTACCTCTACGGCGTTGGCGCAAGCCCCGATGCTTTGACGCTAGGAAGCTTGGTATTGGAGAAATACTGGGAGCCCCTCATTGCTCGGCATTATTCGCATGCCTTACTCAAGTATTTCTGCCTCGTTTAAACACTGCAAGTAGGACGAAATATGACATTAATTTTACATTTTGCTATAGAGACCAGGATCTAGAGGACAATGTCTGGTCGAGTACCCTCAAAAACTGCATATTCTACGGTCGCACGAGACTGACGCCAGACGTCGGGGTGAGTGGATTCGAGATTATCGATTTGCGACTAGCTTGGCAGAAGGATCATGAGAGAATTGTTATGGCAAAGTCCGGGAGGAGGATGACCTTGAAGGAGTATGACCAGTCATCATTTCACTGATTAAACTAGAGCTCACATGCATATTTAATACAGTCCCGAGAAATTCCTGCACACCCACGTCCTTACCAACCCCCAAGCCCAATCCAGCCTCAAACTGTGGCTATCCTCCGCCCGCAGTCAATACGTGATGAATATGAAATGGGCACGACGACCGAAGATCTGGCTCCTGACAGGCCTGTACATTCTCGAGGGCACTCGCACGGTAGTCCGAAAATCGACGTCGACGAAAGTCGAAGCAGGGGTGAATTCGGCGCTTATCGGTGCGGTCAGTAGCGTACCCATCGGTGGATCTATTTCCCTGGGGATGGGCGATGAATGGGAGATGGCGATGGAGATGGATGAAGGACATGTATGGGCGGCGCAGTATCGGTTGGTTGATGCGCGATATTTACTCGGTCGATCTGGTCAAAAGGCTGGAGGATTGCCGGTCATAGGGCTGTATAAGGATATATTGAGTGTGAATATGAAGAGGGGGGGAACGGCGGATGAGGTGGAAGTTGCTTTGTCTCCGGCTTCGGAGGCTGTTGATGAGGAAAAGGATGAGAAGGACGAGGAGGCGTACGAGGAGTATGAGAAGAAGCTGGAGGAAGCGATTCGGATATTCGAGGATGCACCGCGGATGTTGCTCAATTGATAGTGATATCTGGAATAGCATATCTAGTCTATAATAATTGCTGCATCGTATACGGCATCAATTCGAGATTAATATATTAGAAAGTTATATTTGTACAACCAAACTACTCTGCACATGTCATTAAAGACGTGAGGTATACAATCGCATAACTAACACAAAAGAGAAGGAGAATGTCCAATTTTATAAACTCTCCGCCGATCTAATAACATTATAATATTATTGACGTGAGCCGCCTTGACTATATACGCGATGGTGACCAGGTGGAGCGGGTCCATTAGGCTCTGGATGGCGAGAGTATGATGTGTGGTGCTGCATGTGGCTCGTAGAAGAAGAACTCGACGGGTAGAGCATTCCGCCTATGGTCGGTGCAGGGGGAGGTGCGTGCACAGCCGATGGAGGCGTATAGGGTCTGCCAATACCAAGAGCTTGCGCAGGGGAGTTACTAAGAGCACCCGGACGAGGTGTAGGATGAGCAGGTTGGGGAGGACCGCCGCCAGGTTGGGAGGCTGCATATGGTGCTGTGTTGGGTGGGCCACCCGATAGGCCTAGTGATGGTCGACCAGATTGTTGTGATTGTTGCTGCGGCTGCTGCTGTCCGCTAACCATAGCTTGTACATGCTGCTGATACGCTTGATGGCCACTATGAGAATGTCGATGCTGAGGGCCCAAAGGATGCGAAGGCTGCGCCGCTTGTGGGTGTGTCATTGATGGGCTGTAGGAAGCACCTGGCCCGGAGTTTTGACGAGGCGGTGGAATGCTTAACGTAGGAGCTGGAGACGGGGCTGGAGATGGAACCTGGCGAGAACCGTACGGCAACACGCTATGACGGGTTGGAGGGGATGCGTTTTGATGACGGTAGACAGAATTGTTCGATGGAGGCGCTTCACGTGGAGTCGGTGTTAGTAGCGGTGGTGTAGGGACGCCTTGACCATGTGATGGCGGATAGCCTTGATATCCACGATGGGAAGAGCTCGTTGGATTGCTCTGTGACGGAGTAGGAGGCTGGCTATTAGACGATGGCTGGTATCCGCTGCCATACTGAGAGCCAGGAGCTGGAGTAGGCGCCGGAGCCGGCGTGGCACGGACGGACTCTGCAGGCTGTTGAGATTGACTCCGCGGATCAAATCTTGCCATCCAATCATGACTTGATGGTCCACTAGCAGCAGAGCCGCCCAAAGATGGAGGAGGGTAGGGTGAATACTCGGAATACCCTGGTCGCCCTCCTTGATGCGACGGAGGTGGCCCATGAGAAGCCTGTGTAGGGGTGAAGTACGAAGGTTTTTCTTCATGGCGAAGGTGAGAAATTGGTGCATCACTAGACTCTAGTTTTCCATAGCTCATACGAGGTGAAGCCATCTCACTTGCAAATCGCTTGCGTGGAGGAGGGTCATCCGGCTCGTCATTCAATATGCTCATGATGTTTGAACGCTTAGCAGGAACTTGACGAGGTGGCTCTTGTGGAGCAGGCGTTACACTTGGCCGAGGAGGCTCCTTGACTGGGGAAAGTGTACTTGGTGGATGAATAGGAGTACCGTATGAATAGTGTCCAGGAGGTTGAACTTGACCAAACGAAGATCGTCGAATCGGCGACACATTTGATGTATGTCTCATGGTCTGGGAAGGAGAGCCAGGTGCTGCATTCATACTGGGATGTCGAGAATGCGAACTTGTCATGACAGGAGGTTGGCCCGGACCGCCAGGTTGGGCTTGTTGCATGTACATTGGTGGTGCTGTCGATGGTTGGTATTGTCCCGGACCATGCAGGTCTGCACGAGCCAGCAAGGGCTGAGGAGGCAGGGGTTCGAGGCGAGCCAGATCAGGATGCGGGGGACCCTGTACTGCAGTGACTCGTGGAGATGGTTGTAAGTCCTGTCCACGTGACCCTGCCACTGAGGAGGCCCGCGGCTCACGACGTTCTTCGGTGAAGTATCCCATACGAGGCCCGGAAAATGGACGAGGTGCAGGCGGGCCACCAGGTTGGCGCATGGCACGCGAGTGATCGTCCGGCATTGCAGCTAGAGGTGCTGTAGTTGCTTGGGCTAGTGGAGGATACCTGCCCAGATTCCGGTCGGGGGCAAGATCAGGCGCTTGACGCATCTGCATGGGCGGCGGCGACATGGCATTTGAAACTTTCTTTTGACCCTGCCCTAGGCGGCCATCCTCTGGGTGCTCGACATCAGTGTGCGGCGCTAGTGGTCGGTGGGTGACTGCAGACGGTGTAGCTTCGTAGCGTCTCTTAGGTGCCGGGTTAGGTGTTGGCAACGGGCCAGTGGGCTCTCCTCGCATCTTCTTGGCCTCAGCAACCTTTACAATTTCTTCGAACTCATGATTGCCTGAATCGAGTTTGCGCTGATAGTAATTTCGAACCTGTAGAAAAATGTTAGTGAGGGGAAGGAAGAATATTATCAAATAACACGACGCTAATGACCTCATGGTGTTGACCACGTCACACAAGCTGGCAGCAAGGGCCGTGCACAACCACAAGTAACAGCAGGAACAGCAATGTGGAGAAAGAAAACGCGATAGCTTACCATAACAGGAGTTTTTGTCTTCATAAAACCCGCTATACCATCGTAATCCATACCGAAATGAGCCAATAACACGGGAAAGTCGCGCACTTCTGGAACCGACCAGTAGCTAGTTGGTTGCATGGAACCATATCCGCCTATTTCAGCTGCGGGTTTACTACCAAGAGCATCATGGTCGCTGCTGGTAGCCTCGAACACGTAGATCGGATCCTTGCCACGCGTTCGGGAGGACCTTGGCTTGGGAATAAATTCTTCGGTTGCTTCTCGCTTTTGTTCTTTAACACGCATAATCGTCTCGGCTGACGGATGCTCCATCATTCCGGGTTCTTGCTTTGCCATGAGCGGTACACCAGAAGTAACTGCAGTGGCCGGGGCCAGGGGCTGCTGTGGAACAAAACTGGTCGAAGCGGGAATTGGCTGCTGCACAGTTTGAGTAGGCTGATTGGTCGGGGCCAAAGGTATAGGAACTGGTGGCTGCTGCTGTGTTTGAGTCTGCGCACCGCCTCGTCCTCGTCTCCCTCCCCGTGTGCCGGTGCCACCTCCTCTACCGCGTTTGCTGGCAGGCTTCTCACCTTGGTCACTATCTTTAGCACCACCGCGACGTGTAGTCTCAACTTCTGCGGTCCCTGCATCACCACCGAACGTGGGAGCAGCAGCACGGCGTGGTCGGCCAGTTTCTGTCATCTGCACAGCTTCCTCATCCTCACCATCGGCTTTCAAGTCGGACATCAAGGCATTGGACTTAGGTCGTGTGGTCGATTTACGGGTACGGCGTTGCGATCTCCATCTCTTGTTAAGCTTGGCTTTGTATTTAATTTCCTCCTTAGTCAAATAGTAATGCATAATGCACTCAGAAAAGGTTCGTCCAGGCAGTTCGTCTGCAATCTTTCCCCACTTTTTCGGGTATGCCATAAACGCATCAGTGAATATTTTATGCTCTTCAGGCGTAAAGTCGTCTTCGGGCGGGTAGAATTCATAGATGGTCAAGGCATCAGACACCTTAACGCAGTTGTTGGTGTCCTTGAAGATACCGGACTGGACCTCGTAACTCCTAAGCATGTCTGGAACCACGGCTTCTCGGTCAAGGTCAGGTCGTGCTGTTGCTTCCATACGACGACGACGTTCGGACTCTTCTTGCGCAGAGATTGCAGACGCTCTCAGAGCATTTTGGAAATCCAGTTCACTATTGCCTTTGTACCTTCTACCCTCTCGACCTTCGGGAATCGGCGGGGGAAGCGGTGTTACCGGTGGCGTAGCAGCGCTGGGAGTGCTAGCTTTTCTTTCGCTGTCCTTTTTGTGATCCAACTCCCGGACAACCATGCGCCAGGGTCGGTAGACAATCGCATACTCATCTCGCAACTGTTTGTTCTTTTGAGCCGCTTCCTTTCGCTGTTTAGCAACTGTGTTACGGATCGCTTCTTTGATCCGCTCATGGGTTTGGGCATTCTCCTGACAGACATCGAGTTCCGAGATTGGAGTAGGAGGACCAGAATTGAGAAAAGGTAAAGAATCAACAGTAATTGCTCTTTTATCAACGGACTCAACTGCGATGGCGTCTTCGACAGGAGGTGCAGGCTGAGCTTCTTTCTCGTCTATCTCCATGGCTTCTTTGAAAGTCTCTTTAGCAGTGAGGATTTTCTTGGACTGATCGATGTTCGTTTCAAGAGCTGACGGTTCGGGTTCCTCCGGGACGGTGCCATCTGCGATCATGCGCAGTAACTGAATTTTCACAAGCAAATCAACAATTGTCGGGTCGTCCAAGACCTGAGGGGGCATTTCGAGCTCCAATGCCTTCATACTCTTCTCAAACAATGCTTTTCGTTCTTGGACATATTCCTCAGTGAAAACCTCGTTCTCGTCCTCTTCTTCTTCCTCGCTCGAACGTGATAAATCAGGTAATAGAGCCGGAACTTCTGTAGCTTTCTCCCCGGATTCTACTTCACGTTTGTGTTTGTCGCTGGATTTGTCTTTTTCTTCTTGAAGCTTGGCTTTTTCTCTCAGATCTTCTGGTTCGGCTGAAGTCGCAGGAGGAATAGCATTGAGAGACATCATTTCATCAGCAGTAGGTGTTTCAGTTTTATCCGGAAGTGCTCTATCAGCATGACCTTCGAATTCACGCTCAGGGTCTTCGGATTTGTCGTCTACAAGCTGATGGTCGGGCTGGTCTCGGTCTTCGTATGGCTCTCGCCGCATGCCCGGAGGACCATTCGCACTAGGAGGCCCGCGATTATACCCGGGACGGAGCCATTGTTTGCTCTTTGCGTGACCACCACGAACCGACGGCCGCACGCCAGCGCGAGGCCCGGTTGGGACACTAGAAAATGGCATTCGAGGTGAAGTCTGGGGAGAGCCTCCACGACCAGCAGGTGAGAGTTGCGATCGCGAGAGGATTGGGGACACTGAAGCTGGTCCTTGTGGTGATGAGACACTAGTGAATGGCTCATTGGGTGGTCTCGTTTCCGACGCACTATCCCGTTTCAACAAAGCAGCTGGAGCGGTCGGAGGTGATATGTCGATTCCTGGTTTGTGAGGAGAAACAGCAAGGCCAGTTGGAGGCGCTTTTGCACCGGCACGTGTAGAATCCTGTTTCCACGATTCTGACAAACTGTCCCTACGAGGGCGAGACTCTGGTTGCTGCGCCTGGTTGTCATTGCGAAGTGCCTTGGGTTCTGTCGGCGCTTCTTTTGGCGACTCCTTTGCGGAAGCAGAAAGTGCTGGGCGGTCAGCCTTTTGAGCTGTTGATTGTGTCGTTTGGGTGGAAGCTGGAGGTTTTTCGGTCGACAGAATACTGGAGGGTAGCGTGACAGACCCAAAGGCAGGAACTTGAGGTGCAGAGGGAGGCGGTGATCCTTTGGGAGGAACGGGCTCCCAAAGAGCATCAGTACGAGATGGCAGTAAATCGGATCTATCAGAATCACGCCGGAAATCTCTTGCGGGAGCAGTGGAAACCTTGCGAAATGGATCCGTGGGTGGTTGATCCAGAGCCTTTGTTTCACTCCTTGGAACACTAGATAAAGCCAGAGGAGGTATTGATGAGCTTCTGGGACCGCTAGGGATTCGCGAATCTGCACGAGGTGGTATAGGGCCTGAGTCCTTTTTCCAAGCTTCCGGCGGACGGTCACGGTCATCTCGCTCAGCCCGTCTATCATCATCTCGTCGATCAAAGCGATCTCCTCGTCGGTCAAAATCCCGATCTCTGTCACGAACGTCTCGGGGATGGTCTCTATCTCTGAAATCTCTATCGCGGTCGCGATCACGATCCCACCAGCCATCACGCGATCGGCTCCGGCGTCGAAAAGAATCTCTATCGTCCGGATAATGACCACGGCCTCGGCCTCTTCCGCTGCCGCCATCCCAATCGCCTCGTCCACGACCACGTCCAAGGCCACCTCGATGCGAAGTCGGGCCAATACCAACGGCCGGACCATCGTTAGGATTCGATGATGTCGAAACAAGACTATCCCTTGAATTGCGGCGCATTCTTACTATATCACCATCGCGAGGCCCGCCATCACGTAAATCTCGAAAATCACGACCATCTCTTGGCGGAGGAGGCGAGCGAGACCGTCTAAAAGCTCCGCGTCCATCCCGAGTATCAAAATCCCGGTCTATACGATCTCTTCGACCCCAATCGCGGTCGCGATCATCTCGGCGAAACGGTGGCCCGTCTCGAAAATCTCGACCACCACGATCTCGGTCTCGATCTCGGTCGCGAAAGTCGCCGCCGCGTGGTGGAGGATAGCCGCTGCCTCGTCCACGACCACCGCCACCACCATTATATCCTCCGCGCGTGGAGTCTATCAATGCTTTGGGACCTCGAGGAGGTTCCCGGCCAAGCGGTGTGAGGTTTGGATCATCGCGCGCCCCAGAAAGGGGAGGAGAGACAGCTCGTCTATCAGAGAAGCGCTGAGGAGAGCGATCGCCTCGGGGCAGAAACCCGGACGAAGGGGGGAACCGCGACGACATCAAGCCCGTCGCATGCTAAGGAATCAGCACGCGTGGCCCTAAAGAAAAGGGGAGACAAGGGCCCGCAGAAGCGGGCTGGAATTGGTGTTGGGCGAAACGCAAGATTCACCAAGGCTTCTGTTTTGGGGGGTGATTGGGATGTTGGAAATAAATTACAGACTTGGGGAGAAGTGGAATCGCGGCAATCTATTGGCTTGGAAGCAGCGAGTTCACGAAGTCACGGGATGGATGTCCCACGTGACATTGAAAAATCAGTGACAGGTGGAGCGAGCGCAGAGTGCCTGAAGGGGAAAGGCGCGATCGCACGCTGAGTCAGCGAGGAACAGAGTTCCGTTGAGGTTTAGCGTGTAGCGGGTGCAGGCGCCGGCGGCAAAGCGAGACAGCGAAACGCCCAGACCGGTTTGCAGATGAGCTGTTGTCACGGACTTCGTGCTGCGAGCTGGCGATCGAAGGGTGTGGATGCAACGTGCTTATCAGGTGCTTGAAGGCGCACTCACGGTAGATTTCGGAAAATAAACCGGAAAAGTGGTCGTGCTAATAAGATTTGGACTGAAAACAACCAGATCACTGTGCGACCCCCCGTAGTTCGGAGATAAAAAACAATAATCGATAGGAACAAAGAAAGCCTCCAGATCAATGCAGAGTAAGGAGAGTGAGTCGGTGAGTGTCGAGAGCCGGCTGTCGACAGGACAAGTTCAGAGACCAAGGTCGGCTGGTGCAGTCCAAGACACAGTAACCGAGGGCAGGCTTTGCAGTCGGCAAACCGATACCAATACACGAGTAGTAATGACAGCAAATGTGAGAAGAAGAAGGGAAAAACACAGCGGAGGATAAAGTGCCACTCTCACAGCGTGATGACAGGGTTGCCGGTAGGACGTTATTCAGGAAGCAGGAAAATGCGAAGGGAAAAGGACTGGGGAGAAAGGGACATCGGTTGATCAACGAGGCAGGCTTGGCGCGGTGGAGGATTTAGCCTGGGATGATGGATCATGCTAATTAGTCTCCAGCTTGGGCTAAGCCTAACGCTACGGTTAAGCACTGAACGTCTAATTTAGAAGGCACATAACTACTCGGTAGTTGGCTACGACTAATTTGGGATAACATAAGTTACAAGGGCCCAGCGCATACTAATAAATATCAGCATCAGCATCAGCATCAACATCGCCATTCGCTAACCCCAGCTGCATCTGCACGGGTTTAGTAAGTAGGGAGACAAAGTTGCGGTCACGGGAACGTGGAAGCGAGAGAAAAAAAGGGCTCGACAGCCCAGTCGTCAGCGGCAGTCTTTCAGCCCCAGTCAAAGCCAGCCAAACGCCCCCATCAAATCATTGTCGAAATCGAATTCGCGAAGGTTGGATTGGCCAAGTGGGGCCCGTCCCATCACCAGCCGGTGGGTCGCATTGGCTGGCTCCGTCAGTGGGGGAGAGGCCCCATGAGCTCCCGCCCATTGGCTGCAGCCTGCATCGAGAATTGGCCAGGCTGGATTGCCGCTAGCCCCTCTTGGTCATTTTGAGTCTCCACTTGACGCACCAAGAACGATCTGGCCTACCGCTGATTGGCCTGCCATTTCAAGGAGGCCCGTGCAGGGCTTTAGGCTCCCACCGCGTGCGAGCCTAAGAATAACCAATCCCCCGCGTCCAAAGTACACTGTAAGATACGGATACGTACTGTAAGAGAACAAGCCTACGGTGGCGTCGGAGGCAACGCAGCATGCGAAACACCTCAGACTGCAACTAGCCTGCATTGGGATAGGCGCCATTGATTCAATTTCAGGTTTCAGGGAGAATGTTGGCCTCCCCTCCTGCGCTCTCTTTGTCTAGACGATAGAGTTCGATCTATCGCTCTATTTATGATTTATTGATACGCCTATTAAGAAATATTAATTATTCGCTAGTTTGTCTTTTGTGGCTTCCGGCCACTCAGCGCCCGGCCATTTCTAGAGCGTCCCCTGTTCACCCGGGGAAAAATGTGAACAAGATGATGCGGGTCGACGCTAAGCTAAATTTAATGCCTTACTCTTCAGGCAGAAACGTATCACATGTATCACATTCATCATTGAATCACAATCGTAGTCTGCTCTTTGCAAACAGCACTGGAAACACTAATCGAATATTGTGAAAATCAAACGATTGAATTCGGTCTAATCTGACAATAATCCTAACTCCTGCTGTTCTGTTCTGTACTTGCTGCTGGCACGAGCAGTCCTGTCCACGCAATTTGGGTATTCAAAAGAAAGATGAAAACAAAATATATGCACGCCATAGTAGTCTATTTTCCGAAAATTCACCCAAACAAGCCTGTCTACATCTTGTATATCTTGACAACCCTGATAACACTCTTTCGGCAAATCGGGCAGATTTCAACTTCGCGTGCGCAAGTCACACAAGCACAGACATGTCCGCAGTCGTAGAAGAGGGCGTCTTGCTCCTCGCTGTAACAAATCTGGCAGAGATCCATTTCTTCGTCGGCCACTTCCCAATAGCTGATTCCCTTACCGTGGCGCTTGCCGTCTTTGTATCCACCAACGTATTTGTTTCCGGTTTTGCGTTCGATAAATGTTCCCTGCCCGTGGCGTTGGTCTTCTAGCCAGTCGCCATCGTATGTGTCTCCGGAGGGATACTCCATCTTGCCCTGTCCATTACGCTGGCCAAAGGTGAAGTCGCCTGTGTATGTCGTCCCATTGTCGGCAATGTGCGTACCTTTACCGTGATAGTAGCCCTTGTTAAATTCTCCGCTGTAGTAATCACCGTTAAAGGTTGCATCAATCGTCTTGGTGCCGGTGAAGGCTCGGGTTGGGTGGCTGCGGGAAGACGCCCAGATATACTGAATGAGGCGGTCCGGGTTCGTAAAGAGACCTGCGGCACCAAGTTTCGAGCGTCTGTAATACAGTTAGAAATTTATCATCTAATATAGGCTTTCTAGGGATATCTTACTGGTCCTTGCTGACCCTCTCGCCGACAATGAAGCAATGTCCATCGCCGAGCGAGTGCGAAAAGGTTTCACCGGGCGATAGAGCTGTGATGGATGTACCGTCGAAGCGAGACCACATCAGGAAATCCTTGCTGTCCTCCCAGCCAAGGTGACTACGGATTTCGGACTTGATATTAACACCAAGGGGCGAAATATATACACCAGCGGGCTTGAGGACTTGCTTCTCAATGTCGAATATTTGGATAAAGTAGTACAAATGGGGAGAAGGCAGTACAACTGCAGGTGTGGTGGTCTCAGATGAAGCTTCACCGGATGTATCAGTGGTGGATTGAGAGCCAGAGTCTTGAGACTCCGGTGGAGGCGAGTCTTCCATGACCGTGTCTTGTGCCTGCTGGTTTTCGATCTCTTCTGATGCTTGCCCAGCGCTTGTAGTAGCTTCTACATCCATCTGATCAAGGTCACTGGCTACCGCAGCAGCGATAGCAGCTTCGTTCGCGGCGTCTTCCGTCATAGCCACATCCACTATGGGATTCTCCTCAGCGTTAGGTAGAGCTTCAGCTACTTGAGGTGCAGGCGTAGCAGTATTTACATCTGGCTGAGACTGTGTGTTGTTGTTCCCAGTGGTTCCAGAGCCTTCGGCAACTGCCCGATCCTCATCTGAGTCAGGGGCATCACGGACCTCGACGGTGCCTTCAGGCTTGTCTTCAACAACCTTTATAACGGGTGTTGGATCTGGTATGCCGAAAGATTTGGCTTCTTCCTCGGAAAGTATATGAGTCCAGAAACGGATCACACCCGATTCTTGTAGGGACAGTGGCTGGGTGAGATCTTCCTGGCGGTCGAAGAGGAGAGTGGCGAAGGCCATTCTGTTCGTGTGTCCTATCTTCCACAGGCGTACCTGATCGTTGTTGATCTGCTCAGATGCATTTGACTTTGAGAAAGCAATCTTCTTGCGAAGATCAACCAGGGAAGTGCTTTTGGGTAAAGTCAAGTACATGGCATTGTTGGCACGCTTGGCCTCGGCCATCAAATCATATGTGTCGAAAATGCTTCCTAGATTCTCATTCAGACTAGGTAAACCGTAAACCTCAACCTGAACGGTAGGCTCTAGCTTGGGCTCGGTCGCGGGCGACTCATCTGGAGTTGGGTAAGACCCAGTTTCGAAATAGGTGCGTAGAGGCTGTTCAACCTCCCATTTTTCAAGAGGGCCGGGAAGGTATTGATCGACAACATCATGACGGACATACAAAGCCGCAACAACGAAATCGTGCCCTGTCTTATCATTGGCATCCTTCAATTTGCTGTCCTCAAGACCAACGTGTGCTTCTAAAGCTGCCTTTCGGGTGAGGCATTCAACACGGTTATGGCTGCCATCGTCAAAAGCAAGCCATTTAGAACTTGGACCTCCAGGACGCAAGATGCTAAAGAACTTTCCAGATGTACGGCGGCCACGATGAATGATAAACCCATAGAGATCGTATTCGCCGGACTGGTTGGTGGCAGTGTATTGGGAAAGATCGAGTGTCTCATCTAGATTAACCCTGTTATACAAAAGCTTCCACTGACGAGAAGAGTGATCGAAACGTTGGCGGTTGAAGTCGACATGCAGCACTGGAGGCAACGACCACCGACACCATTTTCCAGACTGATCTTCAAAGTACCGCGTGATGGCCCCTTCAACGGTCTTCTCCTTATCGACTGGGATTCGGATGCTGGAAATGAGCGATGGTGTAAGAGTACGGGTCACGTTAGATCCAGACGGATCACTCGCAGAGACAGGTGGGCTGTCGAAAATGCGGGCCAGCTCTTCAGCGGCACTGGTACCTTCGAGCTCCAATTCAAGTGTGCGGCGCACTCGCTCCCAAAATTCTATAACATCGCTAGAAAACTCCTGCAAGTTGCGCAGAGTTGATGTTACTTTGTCGGTGTCGACGCATTGTACCGAATCACTCCGGCTACCCAAACGCCACAAGAATTCTTGCAGGGCCTCACAGAATGGGCGAGGCTTAACATTGGAGTTACGTCGATGCTCATGAACGTCAATGCTTTGGATGATCTTCCTAAACGGGGCGAGGTGAATCCACGCCGCGAGGCCAGCAACCTCAGCGCTGTGGTTGATGACGGTGTCACCCATGGATCGATAGCCAGTCAAGGAGAGACTGTCCCAAACTGGTTCCGAGTCGCTGACATGCCACCAGAGGGACTTTGTCGGGTCATCGAAGACGCGAATGTAAGCGTCAAATGCTAACGTGTCGTCACGTAGCAGAGCCTGACGTTGGCCTTTCTGGCGAATATGGATCTCATCCCAGGGGCCATGAAAGCTGGTCCAGCCCCAGTCCACATTATGAGGGTTGAATTGGTGACAGGAGGACTGCATCCAGCCCGTCCGGGGCTCTTTGGGGTTGTACAAAATGACACCGATCTGTGCTGAGACTCGCCAGACTTCCTTGTTCTCATCGGAGGATTCCGACGCCCCACAATTGGCGCCTGTGTAGGCATAGCACTTTTTGTAATTTTCAAACCACTCGTTTGTATTGGCTAGAGCTGGGATTTGGATGTCCATTTGTGGTTGGTTGTTGTGGATGTACTCGTCCGCAGCGCCAGTGCGGACTGTAAACTCGGTTTCGGGCATCTTGTTATCCGGTTTGGGGATTTCCTTCGAACATTCTATGTAGATACTCAAATGATTCACGCCATTCCCTCGGGGGAAAAACTTGATTGTCCACCAGTAGCCTCCGACGAACGCAGGGGGTGAACATATGACCTTGGCCCTGTTGGGATTCTCTTTGGTGCCTCGTACACCCTTGATCTTCCACGCCAAGCGAGCCTTTTCAGCTGCATGGTATTCTGGATCGTCAACATCACTGTAAAAGGATTTCTCCCAGTAATCATCTGCATCGGTTAGCCTCGCTTCCCATTCGCTGTGACGTGATTGTCTTACACTCGAGAGCACTGTAATCACCCCGTCCAGCCTCGATTTCCTTCAGCTCCTCTTCATCAGGAGCGGATGTGTCTTCCTCGATGTCTGCCCAGGTGGCAGGGTCCTCCTCGGGAGGCGGTGGCGGAGGCTGCTCCGTGGCCTCTGGGGCTGGATCAGACGGAGCGTCTTGATTCTGTGCGGAGGTTGATTCTTCTGCTTCTTCTGCCGCGGTAGGAGCATCGGTAGGAGCATCGGTGGCAGCCACGGCTTCTTCCCCGTTGTTTTGGAGGGAAGTCTCAGGCTCTAAGGTAGTTGGTGCTGGCGTCTCTGGTTGTGAAGGGTCAGTCGACTGCGCAGTGTCGTCGGTGGTGTCCATGTCTGCAGCAAGCGCGTTCTCGCTGCTGGACGGTCCGTCTGGGCCGTTGGTTTCAGTAAGTTCTTGGGCGACGGCGGGAGTATCAGGTGCAGGGAGGGCGACAACACTGTCCATGGTTGGGTATTCAAACGAGAAAACAATCGATCACAGGCTTCAACAAGTCGAGCGATTGCTTCCGCTAGCAACTAAATGGCACACAGCAGCAGCCAGCGCATGCGAACACGGCTCTCTACCGAGAAGGCAACGGCAAGGTCTATGGCGGGTTCTCACGAGGAAGGAACGAAAGCCGCGAGAGGAAGGAACAGGAAAATGTGCAGGGCAGAACAGAAGGAGCGGTAGATAAAGAATCAAAGAAAAGAGTGAGGGGGAAAGAGGACGTCCTCGGAGAACAGATAAGTGAGTGGAGCGCAGTCGGCCAGTGGGGGGCCGAGGACGGCGCCATGTTGGGGCGACCCAGCGTCGATAAGCAATCGCACGGGGCGGGGCGGGGGAACAAAGTTTAGGCGCTGTCCCGATTATGATTGATTGATTGATTGTTGGACGTTCTTTAAAAATTGGCCTTGCGGACCCAGTCAAAGTGTACCCGTCAAAGTGAGGCGATGCGAAACGTAGTTACATACATGGACATAATTGCATGGTTTACACACTGTTGCACCGTTCCTCGTCGAGCAAACTGGCGGCAGACATGTCACTCGTCCCTCCCGCTCCGACTCCAACGACAGGCAGCGCTGTCTGGGCTGGCTGGCGCCTGCTACAGCCGGTGCGACGATTGGCCTGGCCCGTTGAGGCTCTGGCTGCTGTTGTCGTGGCCCGGCAGCCTGATTGGCCCTGGGCGGCGGGAACACCGGCGCCGGGCTCCAGTAATACCCCACTTGGGCCGGCCCAACACGCACACCGCCCTGACTCACCCCATTCATCGACAGTCAATCAGTCGCGGTGGCGACGGGGTTTATTCCATTAAAGCATTATCATGCGCAAGAGCTCCGAAAACAACGGCTCCTCACTGGCTCGACTGCGAGACGCGGTCACGTGTTGCCACGGGTGGCGTGCTGACAGGGCCGTGCTAGCCAGGATCATCACCCTGGTCCAGGATGAGTCAACGGCCAGTCTGCCTCGCAGGCACCAGGCTAGTCACACCATCAGCAACCAGTCAAATCTCTGATTGCTGCCTCTCTCAACTCATTTAATTTTGTCGTCAAAAGAAATAGTGATGAATCTACAATAAGACACATCTTAACATCCTTGCATCCTTACATTATGCCGCTTGCTTGACCCATTGTTCAATATGTCGAATACCCTCAACGCCCCCCCTATATTCGGTACCACTCGATAAACCTTCACCTTCCACAAAAACATGGTTCAAGCCATCATATACGTGGAATTTAGCATGGATCTTGTTTTCAAGTCTGGCATGAAGGGTCTCATAATCGTCCAAGTTGACCTGGTAATCCCGGGTCCTGTGCAAGACCAATATCGGGTTTTCGACGTTTTTTGGTTATATATAGCAGATTAAACGCACGGCATGGAGCTAGTATTTTGGTCCAATTTTAAAAGGTAAATTAGTTGGCTTGAGGGTGTTGACACACTGAATGACGGGCTATCTGCGATATCTGCTTGCCTTTCTAATTCATACACACGAGAAAGCATGGGACGCCAAATATCTAAGCTGACGGATTGCGCTTCGGTATACGGACTCGGTGTGCGTAGCCATCAGTATACAACTAGCTGCTGACTTCTGGGTAGCTGCAAGTTGTCCAGCGAACAGCCCCCCCCAAGATTATGACCAAGGAGGAAGACCTTGTCGAAACTGAGTTCTAAATGCTCACGCGGCGTATTGCATCCAGTACGTGAATGGACTCTTCCATAAGTGTAAACTTAGCATTCTTCCCCTGGAAGAACTGATACCATGAATTAGAAGTAAAAATAGCTTTGTCAAAGCGGAAAACCGCAATATCCCTATTGGACAGCCTAAGTGCGATATCTTTCAAGATTTCAGGGAACTGACTGTCGAGTCTCGGTCAATCGGCCCTGAGCCACCATTGAGCACAACGCAGGGAAACCCGCCTCGTCGTGCAGGCAAAGTGAGTGTTCCACCAACTTTAAAGAACCCTTTGCCGAGTCGAATATTGGTCTCTCGAACAACCTCGGTATTGGCATATAAAGGAGGCTGTCAAGACGAAGAAAGTAAAGGGGTGAAATTCATTCCAAAAAGCTGACCAGAAGGGATCATCCGGAGCACAGCCATTAATTCCAGGTTCTTAAATCGTACAGGAGCTCTAGCAGTCGTGGAAGTCCACCCGAGCAAGCATGTGGGAGGGTCGATATATTCAATACTTCCAAAGACAATCTGCGCGCTCTTGAACCCATTTTCTGGCACTTGCTCTGTTCTTATGTAGCGGAGTACAGGATGAAATTGCTGTCGTAGCTAGCTCCAGTCACTTCCTTGTAGATAAATGAGAGATACATTTGCCTTTTGCTCGGCAAATCTCTTCTTGGCCTCTGTGTCGCGAAGTCTACTTGTGATGATGAAATTTCGAATTCGTTGGAATACTTGGATGATTATTCGAGGCCACATATTGTCTCGAGTTTTAAAACAGGGAACGATTGAAAATATAGATATCGAGGTTTGAAATTAAAGCATGGAGGTCCAACAGCATGGAGTAGCTGTAAGGTCAGTAATGAGGCTCGCATTCTACTCTCCATGGAGCAATCCAATCTCGTGAGGTCGTGGCGCATCACGAAGGTGTGTTGACACAACACATGCCGGTTGAAAAGAGAAAGCTGCAGGGGTGGATACTGTATAATGCTGACAGCCAGCTGAAAGCAAAAGGATCCAAGCCTAACTTCAAGAATCTGCGTGCAAGTTGAATCTGGATTGAGCAGTCAACCGCAGACACTCGTAGTGTAAAAGCGGCTGAACCTGAAGTTTTCGACTCTTTTCCCCTTTATTCTGTTTCGTTTCCAGGCTCATTAATGGTACATATTATACCCTCTCTAATATATCAACTCGAGTAGTAGCCTTCTGGCAGTGAAGAAAAATGTGCAATTAAAGAGAAGGTGACTGGACACTTCGAATATGCCTGTAACAAGACAGGGGTCTGCTGTTCCCGGTTTCTCAACCAGCAGTGGGGTAGCGTCGAATTATATTTACTCGGAAGTAGATATTATTTTAAGACTAAAAATAGATTAAGATTTTGACAAGGTTGATTGGCCTGATGTACAGCGCCGAGGAGATGTGTATGGCATCGATCCTCGAGGCAAAGACTGAATTCGCCACGGGCTGTGTGTTGTGAATCTATTAAATAATGTCGGTGTGCCACCATATAGCATATACATCAAATCAGTTCGTCTAATAAATTAGCTTCTTGTAAATCTTCCGGTCGGGGCCATCGCCGAATCATCGCCACTTGGCTTCAGGGAATATAGGGTCCAAAGAAACTGACGGCTGTCCGGCTGTCCGGCGTCCCTTCGATCTTTACATGCCTTTCAAAGTCGATCTGAGGTTAGGGACTACTCCGTGGATAGTGTACCTCTGGGAGGTAGTATTGCATCAACTCCATCATTCGCCATCCATCAATTCTTTGCCCGCGCAAATGTACTCGCAACAATCAAGGGAAATGCCACAGTAGCTTCTGCGTATACCTTGACATTATCTGCGCCAGCTTTAATCTTTCCCCAACTAACCGCCTCATCTGGTCTCGCTCCAGCATCACTTCCATCAAATTCCTGCGCTGTATTGATGTAGACTGCGCTCTCGGCGCCGTTCCTCATCAAACAGGCATTTGCAATATGATGTTTCACCACGCCTCCACCTAGAATAATCATCCCCGCTCGTTTGGCTCGTACGGACATCGTATTGATCCGTCTCACGTCATCAACAATATCAACACGTAACCGCTTCGGCGATGACTTGAATGTATGGAAATAAAGCATATCACCCAAAGACCCATCCGTCAAGGCCGGGCAGAAAATCGGAATGTCGTTCTTCCATGCCCAATAGCAGACCGACTCTTCATTATTAATTTCCTTGCCCAATCTATTGATAACCTTTGATGGCGTCCAGTGTAATTCGTCCTCCGAGTCCCCAGTCCCGCGCGCTTTAATTTTCGAGTCCTCCTGCTCATCCACCATTTTATCCAGAATAGGAATTAACCAGTCCTCAAACGAGCAGTAATTGCTATTCGGGACCACCAAATTGCCGATCCGATTCAGACCCTGTGCTCTAAGCCCGGCGCCAGGTGTGCTGAATGAACCCAAATAAGTTGGCGCAAGACACTTGATCAAATCTTCTTCTACCCCTCCCGCCGTCGTAACAATTGCCGATATATGTTTATGCTGCACTAGAAACCGCAATGTCTCTCTTAAACCCGAGGATATCAGATTACTTGTATAGCCGAGAAATATCGTTGTGCCTTCTCCCGTCTCCGGGTCTCGAAATGCGCGCATGTCGTTAATTATGCGTACTGCTTCACCAATTGCACTAGCTTGGAATCCCATAGTCGCCATGTTTGACACGAGTTCTGCAACGGTGATGTCGCGGTCAGCATAGTCGTTGAAGTCAACCCCGCGAACTTTCTGCGCATCATCAGGGACCGGGGCGGAAGGCAAGAGGACAGCCGCGGTGGCGGAGAATGGTGCGGAATTGGCGCCATTTTGCTTCGAGTCCGAAGGCTTTGTTGAGGAATTTACTGTTGACATGGTGCTCGTGGCGCGGCGAGTAGGTGGTGTGTTGCTTGAAGTGAGGATGTGAGAAAATAGAAAATTTTTGGATCAGTCCGCCCCACTGCGGGGAAGCCGATAAGATAAGCTCACAATTTGGAGAAGCATATAATGAGCAGTACTGTCTAGGTAAAGTGGACAATTAACCAAGCAGAATATTATAAATTATGGTTGAAAATCAGTTCATTATTTAATGCTTATCATAGAAGACGAGTTAGGAGTTAGATACTAGTGGAACTGTTGTATTCGGCCATAGTTGAATGTTTCCGGCTACAAGAAGCTTCTAAAGCCGATGCCTTTCTTAGGGCCGAAAGAGTTGTATATAAGAGCATTTCATTTTTTATTCTACAGTAAGTTACTATCATCTTAATTCATTTCATCGGGCAACTTACCTTCTGACAATATTTTAATCGAAATGACGTTTTTAGGCTACCTCTTCCGCCAAATCTTCATCCACCCAAAACAACTCCCACCAGATCTCGACCTCTCCGGACAAACAATCCTCATTACAGGAGCAAATTCCGGAATCGGTCGGGAAGCTGCTATCAAATGTGCCCATCTCAAAGCTAGTCGTCTCATTCTCGCTGTTCGTAGTGTCTCAAAGGGAGAAGAAGTCAAAACCCAAATCCTGCGAGATCAATCTCTTCCTTTTTCCAGAATATGTAACATCGATATCTGGGAGCTCGATTTGAACACACCGTCTTCAGTCATTGTATTTGGCGCAAAAGTTCAAACTCTCAATCGCCTTGATGTGGCGATACTCAATGCTGGCGTCTTCTCACCCACGTTCACCACTACACCGTCAACTGGACACGAGTCCATGCTTCAGGTGAATCATTTGTCGACAGCTTTAATATCCCTCCTTCTGCTACCAGTCTTGGAGAAGAGTGGGAAAATCAGCACTCGCCCTGCCAGACTGACGTTCACATCCTCCGAGGTCCATATGTGGACCTCCTTCAAAGAAGGTTTATCCAAGTCAAGTATTTTCGACGAAATAGACAAGCCCGAGCGATTTGAGACTTGGGGTAGTTACGCCAACAGCAAACTACTCAATGTATTCTGGGCGTTAGGGCTATCCGAGCGTATCAATTCCAGTGAAGTTGTTATCAATTTATTAAATCCCGGAAGTGTTGATACCGGCTTGCATCGCGACTTTAATAAAGCCCTGCAGACTTTTGATAGAATAGTCGGACGAACACCTGATGAGGGCGCTCGGTTGCTGTTGGATGCCGCTTTGGTGCAGAGCTCTACAACGCATGGAAAGTTTCTGAGTGAAAATAAGATTACTCCGTAAGTACTGTTAAAATACAGTTTTTGAGCAAGTATTAATCTTTCCTTCAGGTTCGGTGCAGTTATTCGGGGGGACAAAGAAGGGACATTGCAAATGAAAGTATGGCAGGAAACCATGGAAGAGCTGCAACGATACGCAAAAGATACTGGAGTCGATCTTCCTAGTTTTCTATAAATTTGCTTTCGCTACACCAGTCTATCTGTCCAACAAAAATACTTTCCCCGAACGTGAATCAAGAAGTTGTCTACTGGAGGATGGTGATATTAACAATGTTTACGGGCACAGAATTAGGGTATAGATTGCTAGCTCAAGTCACCACACGTATATTTGTGAATAGATACTTTCATATACATATATTGATATTCGGGGTTGATTCAACCACTATGGACACCGTAGGGAGCATCTTCGCCAGATATTCCTCCAGGAATCAGATTGTAAGCGAGTGAACCTCTAACGTTTGAAGTTGAATTGAATTCTACATTTGGACCTCCCGGTCAAGTAAAATATCAATTGATCACGGTTAAGTGGATCTCTGGCTAAAGTCAGGGCCCAAAATTTTGGCAATAAAATCATATCCGAGGTCGAAGAGCAACTGCTGTGGTTCAGCAGCAGTTTTTCCTTGATAAATAGGTATCGATTCCGGGACATGATAGCACTGCCCAAGTGTGGCGTTCCAAGAAATTTTCGTGAAGCAGAGTGATACCTGAACAACACCATCGTTTTGACAACCCTGTGTGGCTGTAATGTTGCGAATGCTTTTAGCTTCAACTGGGTAGCGTGGTATTTCTCTGTCGGTCGAGCTGCTTAATATCCAGTCCCCTTCGTCCTCCATTTCAACTACTTTTGCTCCAAGCATTGCCACTGGCAATGTACAATGCAAGCCTTGGACCTGCGGGGCTTGCAAGAATATTTCGAGCGCATGACGTCTTCCACGAGGATCTCGACATTTTACTACCGTGTGAAACAGCGATAAGCCAGTTCCCATTTCAAAGTCCACGATTCCCTCTTAGGCGCCGAGGATTCGAGTCCTTCTCCGAAGACAGCGTACTCTCGGAAGAGCTGGCAGCGGCTTACTGCTTGGGCGCGCGAAGGAGACGGAGTGATCCCGACCCCCAAACACTCTGTGTGCCATCATCCGGCACACAGCGAGCACTTCGAGAGATATAATTGCTGCCATTGCAGATTGTGCTTGGGAAGGCGCAGCCTGCTGCCATTATGACTTCTTACAACATAGTCAATGGTGTACATGCCGATGAGGACAGCTACCTTCAAGATATTCTGCGAGGTAAGTAGGGCTGGAAAGGCCTAGTTGTTAGCGATTGGTTTTGTACATACAGTGTGTCTGCGGCAATACAGGCTGGCCAGGATTTGGAAATGCCTGGGCCCCTCGGTGGCGGCGCCCCCCTTGCTCATGCGGTCTCTCAACGTAGTCCCAGAACATGTCCTGGACCCACGAGTGCGGACAATTTTGGAAACCATCAGTCTAGTCGCCGATTTTGGGATCCCTGAGAAGGCAGAAGAAAAGCACTTCGATCGGTTGGAGGACCGGGTCCTGGTGCGGAAAGCTGCTGCAGACTCGATAGTTTTGCTGAAAAATTACCACAATACCCTCCCCTGCGGAAGGATCGCTCTATTGCTGTGATCGGTCCAAATTCAAATTATGCACAATGCTGTGGTGGAAGATCTGCATCTATGGATACGGCCTATATGGTGACCCCTATAGATGGAATTCGAGTAAATGCAAAGACGTGCGGTTCTCACAAGGCGCATACTCCCATAAGGCGCTTCCTTTACTAGGGGAACACTGCGAAAAGCCGATGGCAGAGATGGCGGACCTCGGTTTTTCTTTCGCGTTTACTATGAGCCCACTGAGGCAGAACAACGTGAACTTACCGAGGAGCTTCACCTAACCCAGTCTGAAGGCTTCCTCATGGATTACGTGGACTCAAGGTTCCGGACCTACGACTTCTATGTTGGCATGAAAGGATATTTTCCCCCAGGGGAGGATGGATGATACGACTTTGGTGTCTCGGTTTGCGGCACTGGCAAGTTATACACTGACTAGCAGCTCATTGTTGATAATGCTACCAAGCAAACACCTGGCACATTCTTTTTCGGCTCGGGTACGAGAGAGGAACGAGGCGCCATGAACATGAAAGAAGGATAACGATATAAAGTGGAATTCCGTTTCGAAAGCTCTTTTACCTCCAACTTCGAACGACGAGGAGCTGTTGTTTTTGGTCCTGGAGGCTTTTGGTTCGTTGGTTGTAGGAGACTGGTGCCCCAACAAGCGATTTCAGATGCGGTAGCTGTGGCGTCTGCATCTGACCAAACCGTCATCGTGGTCAGTCTCATTGGAGAATGGGAATCCGAGGGCTACGACCGCCAGACGATGGATCTGCTGCCCCATAATTATGAGCTGGTTGAGAAGGTACTGAAACCCTGTCCGAACGCAGTGGTGGTCGTACAGAGCGGAACTACTGTGACTTGGGCACACAAGGCCCATGCACTGTTTCAGGCTTGGAATGGGGGCAATGAGGTCTGGAACTGGATTGCAGATGTTCTTTTGGAGATATCAATCCATCCAGAAAGCTCCTCATTAGATTCCCTACTCAACTCTCATCAATTCCATCATACCTCAATTTCCGGTGCGAAGAGGCTCGGGTACTCTATGGAGCGGGTGAGTATATTGCCTCCACAGTTGCAGGCACTACGGTTCAAAAGTCAACTTTTCTGGTGACATTCTGGCTAGGTATCCAATAACGGTATAGAAAATTCTAAATATCGCTGCAGTGCTACCCAAGGCGCAGGATATAATTGACCTGTTCTTCCTCACGTAACGAGTATGCCATCCTTTTCCTGTTAGGGAGATGATCGGCATACAGAAATCAAGAATCCCATTTAGATCCATCATCTTTTTGACTTTATGCCGTTACACAAACTTAGAGTCTTGCCATATGTAGCAGATAATACCCTTTTACAGCTAAAGTCTTACGATTCTAATTCTACTAATGGTCTGGAATGATCTATCTACGATTTCATTATAGTTTGATGATATTTCAAGTGACGACCTAGTATATCAGTGCTATCACTACTCTAAGAACAAGCAAGCCACCCTTTCACTAGATTATCCAGAGAGTTGTGCTTCAAGCCCCAGGATAATCTGAGGGGAGCAAGATAGCGAAGTCGAAGGATATCATTTGTTATCTTAGAAATCTAGGGCACAGGAGTCCGCATGAGACGCTGAGCAAGGTACCTGATTCGGAGAAGGCTTGGTTACACACGGTTGGTTGATTATCCATACATAGCTAGTCTGAAATCTACTTAAACATTTGGCTGGCGGAGTAAACGTATCTTGGTCAGGTAAGGAGATTAGCCTAACTACACTAAACAAGATTACAATTCATCTAGACTAACACCTTAATTGTAGTGCTAGACTACTATATATCTTATCTAAAATACATGTAGGTCGAGTTGGCATTTTCCTTGTGCCTTTCCCCGCATCTCCTTTGAGATGACGGGGCCAGGAATGTGCATATAAACATTCCAGCTTGGCGCTTTCTGAATGAATTAAAAACAGTCCCAACAGGCCCCGCAGAACACCAAAGCTTATTGAAAAGGAAGCAAGTCCTAAGATGACTGACGCAATTGTTGACTTGGAGCTCGCGAATACCAAGGAGGAAATCCCTATAGAGACTGGTGAACAAGCTTTTCGTGCCACCGATGAACAACATTCTCTTTCCGCATGGCAAGGTCTTCGCCTTCACGTTAAAGCCATTGGATGGGCCGCCTATTTCTCACTCGGCATCATCATGTGCGTCTATTTTCCTCCGTAATTCCGCTCGAAGAGTTAGATCGAAGAGTTGCTTACCGAATTGGTTGTAGGGTGGCTTTTGACCCCCAGCTTATAGGTCAATTGATAGCAACTCCGAAGTTTCAACAGGACTTCGGCAATGTATACGAAGACGGCTACATCATCGCAGCACCATGGCAGACAGGCCTTAATATGGGGGCTCCCATCGGGCAAGTCGTCGGGGCGTTCTTTGCAGGCAGTTTTATGGAGTGGATTGGACTTAAAAAGGCATTTGCAGCTTGTAACCTCCTCATTATAGGATGTGTCTTCATTCAGTTCTTTGCTCGTTCTCTTCCGGTCCTCTTGGTTGGCGAGATCCTGGCCGGTCTTGTCCTAGGGTGCTTTGTGGTGATTGCGCCAGCCTACGCATCTGAAGTTGCTCCCCTCGCGCTGCGTGGTCCTATTACAGCCTCGATCAATCTCTGCTTTGCTGCGGGGCAGTTGATTGCCAACGGTACGGTGGATGGAACACAGAAACTCACTACACACTGGGCCTACAGCATTCCCTTCTCGATCCAATGGCTATGGCCTATCATTATCATCGTTGGCTATCCATTCGCCCCAGAAAGGTACGATATACTTTCCCCATTGATTCGATAGCTTGATACTAAACGATTCAAGTCCTTGGTGGCTGCAGCGACAAGGACGTCTCAAGGAGGCTGAACATGCTCTGGGTCGCCTGTCGTCTTCTACGGTCGATATCAGGGCGGCTCTTGTCGCTATTATCGAAACTGACCGCGCGGAGCGAGAAATGCAAATTAACTCCAGCTACCTAGATTGTTTCCGAGGCACTAACCTCCGTCGAACAATTATCTCGATTGCTGTAATGAGTATCCAGGTATTCTCGGGTATATATCTTGCATCCTACTCAACCTACTTCTTTGAAGTTGCTGGATTGCCAACCGATCAAGCTTTCAACATGGGTGTCGGCTTCATTGCACTTGGATTCTTCGCAACCGTATTGTCGTGGTTCTTTCTCTCTTACGTCGGACGACGGACCCTTTACAATGTCGGGCTGGCCGCATTGACAACCGTTCAGTTTCTCATCGGGGCCCTAGACTGTGCACCTAATTACTTGAATCGGCCGGGAATTGCCTGGGCTGAGAGTGTCCTAATGATGATCTGGTACTTCATCTACTCACTGTCGATCGGGCCAATCGGCTATGTGATCCTTTGCGAAGTCTCCGCCGTTCGTGTCCGGGCAAAGACCATTGCAATCTCGTTAGCTGTAGAAGCTCTGGCAACAATTTTGATGACTGTCGTCTTCCCATATATGATTAACCCGGATGAGGCCAATATGCGAGGGAAAGTCGGCTTCTTCTTTGGAGGGCTCTCTCTTTTGTCCTTGGTTTGGTCATGGACGAGTCTTCCAGAACTAAGAGGACGGACATATTATGAGTTGGACATCCTATTTGATCAAAAAATAAAGATCAAAGACTTCCCTAAAACTGTTATTTCAGATAGGAAAGATGTAAAGGAAGCCAGTTAGTCTACAAATATACTTAAACGTATAGCTACATTAAGAGGTTTCGTATAGTGTGTAAGGTGTGCTAGATATGAAAAAGGAACAATATTGTTTTCTATAGCTAGTTAAATGAATTTAGGATTATAGTGGCTTCTATAATTGCCTATTAAATGAAGCTTATAAGGCTAATTTCTCATCTAATTGCCGCAACCAAAATATTACTCCTACTTGAAGAATGCGGCTACCACGATCCAATGTAGTGGCGAGGGAGCTCGTCAGCCAATACATTCTTACTTTGCGATCCAAATGCGGATAAAATATCCTCGATACTATGGAAAAACTAAGCTGCTTACCCCTAGTGATTCATTCGTAAATAGGTGTCTGGTGAATGCCCCTAAAAATTGTTAAACCGGACAAAAATCTTATTAATGAACCAGTTCGTGCTTTTACATGGCGTATGGCTCAACCGATGACTATACACTGGTTGTTGGCCAATCAGCGGAGAGTGTTTCACTATTTTTGGCCTAGTGATTATCCAGCCAACAGTGATTATCCGAACTTAGCAACCACGATGTTTTGAACATCAACTGAAAAGGGCTAGTATTGTCAATGCACATACAGATATATATTGTGATCTCATTTATTGCACTCGCAGTATTACGGACTCCTACATAATGAAAATCAAAAGGACCAGAAACCGCCCCACCAAGTCCTGTCTCGAATGCAATAGAAGAAAGCAAAAGGTGAGTTAGATTGTCTACAACTACCTTGGTACATTCTATGAATCAATATTTAGTTATTTATGCATTTAGTGCGACCGCAAATCTCCATGTCGGCATTGTATCAGTCGCGGTGTAGCAGGCCGCTGTATCTACCAAGAACAACCCAAGCAACCTATAAATCAAACATCTAATAAAAAGCCTGCCAGTCACGGCTCCGAAGGCAGTGAATCAAATGCATCAGATTTCGAGGAAAGTTCAGATCTTGGATATACGACACATGGATCTGGCGCCCTCCGAGAAATTGAAAAGATTGCGTCCTTTCCACCACCAAAAGCGAGAGTTGGTAGAGGTGGATCTACATGTCTTCTGAATCGGCACATTATCCAACAATCTCTGCCTCATAAGACAGTTATGGACCTTCTTACTCGTACATTTTTCAAGGAAATAAATCGAGTGTATGAGGTGGTTTATGAGCCTATATTTTGGCGGGATTACGATGAATGGTGGTCGAAGCCCGATAATAACGACAGCGACATTAATAAGCTAGACTTTGCGCTTCTTATGATTCGCATTTGTATTTTGAGCACGCATATTCTTGCAGTAACGGACAGAGATATTACCTCACAGAATAATTTGCTAGCCGAATACTCGCAATCGCCGGGCAAGCTCGAAAACAATCTATGCTGTCTAGCTGCAGATTTGGAATCCAAGCGGCCACAGAAACACTCTTTCCTTGTTGTTCAGCATATGTTCTTTCGAGTATGCTATCTCAAAAACAAAGGTAAAATCAAACATAGCTGGTTTGTTCTGGCAGATACCGTGAAGGAGGCCCACGAGATCGGTCTCCATTTGGAGGATACACTCACGCTAGATATGAGTGAGCTAGACCGAGAGTTGCGGAGACGACTTTTTTGGAGCCTTTACGTTTGGGATCGGTATTTTTTCCTGCCCTCTCTCTTCTTTCTCATTCGGCGCTAAAACCCAATGAATAGATTTATGTGTACATTCCTTGGCCGCTGGCCACTCATTCCAGAGGATCACTGCGATATTTCTCTTCCGCATGACAGCATCCAAGCCATCACAACAACACCAGAAGTCCTTACCCATTTTACAGATCGACTCTATCATATCCATGTTGCACGGTTCATCTCGAAGACTATGGGTTCAAAGTCTTGGAAGATGGATCAGTATGATCCTGTTGTGGTGGCTCAGAATCATGCACGTTTCGAAAAGGAAATTCTCTGCAAACTTCCTAGAGCACTCTCTCTTACTATGGCCGATACAAGCTGGGACGTCGCCTTCCCGGTGCTGGCCGTGAAACGTGAAGATCTGCACCTATCGCTGTACGCTGCTGTTGCTGGTTTATATCGTGGATTCACGAATCCCTGGGAACAAAATACCAATAGTGATAACGTGCAGGAGGAAGAACCTTCTGTTCTAGTGATAACCTATTTTGAACGATTAATCACAGAGCTGTGTAATATTCTTGATTCCTCTATGAGATTGTACGAAATGTGCCAAAACAATCCTCATACCGAGGGGCTTTTCATGATACCAATGTCTATGGTTGAAGCACTTTCCCAAATCGGGCTATGCTTTAGGGCAGCAGAGTCACAAAAAGCGGCAAAATGGGCCATGCGGAATGCTGAATGGGCGAGGGCAATCAATTACAGGTTACAATTTGACGTCTGTAAGAAGTTCGGTGCAGCGTATGCAGTGCTGAAACATCAGAGCCAAAATTCACGAATCGCCAAGCAGGGAATGCTGATATTATCGGAACTGGCTTCACAGATTCAATCTTTCTCTAACTCGGGAAAGTCGATTTTTGCGAATATTCAGTCCTCTCCTACTGAGGAGGGTTTGTCATTTACCACTGGGAACGTCGCATGGGAGAATATGGACCAAGTTCCGGCTTTCCCTCTCGATCAGTCTACTATTGACGACAGGCTTTTCGACTGGGTAGACTTCGCAACTTCCTCTGACCGCTCCTGGTTCTTCGACGCTCAGGCTGAGTTGTTCGCCTAGAGTGAATATTAATATTCGCCCTCGAATTATAAATTAGTTGTGGTGTTGAAAGTTGTTTCTTGTATAACAACGTTCATTGGCCGATTTTCTAAAAATCTCCCCAAACCAACACACATAATTTTTATTTCAGGCACTCCTCTCAGAAGAAATAATCATTTGCACTGATGTGCCGGTAACCATGGCATACCACAATTATAACAGAAATGTTGTCCGCAGTGGCATCTCAAAGCGGGAGTGTCAGTATAGAAACTTTTTAGGCAACGAATCTTCTCAAGATTTGACTAACCTCATATGCAGACAACCGTCGATTCTCTCGATCACCACACCACATCTACAACACGCTTTCCATCTATGCGACATAGCCAGTTCAATAAGCTTGTCTTCGGCATCCACACATTTTCCTAGATGAAAAGGCCTTTTGCATTTTATGCACGTCCTCCCTTTACACGTAGAGCAATTGCCGGAATTTCCACGGATGTTGGTAGGTAGAATATATTGTGAGCATGCTCTAATAGCGCAATATGTTCGGTTCTCATCATTTGTTTCGATAAGTTTCTCCCGAAACCTTCTCGCCAGATCTTCGTGTTTAGGCTCTTTGATTAGGGTTATCGACAATTCCATACCGCAACATTGAGGTGGGAACACGGTATTCTGGTCTAAGCTCAACCTGATCATTTTTAAAACGCAGTCTTCGCAGTATTGATGGGAGCATGGTAGTCGAAGTATGTCGAACATAGTGCAGGTCTCTTGACATGCCACACAGTCAAACGCAACAAGGGCTAGGTCACTGTTTGAGTTCTTCTGTGAATTGGAGATATTGGTATCGATATCGAGGAAATTGTCTTCATCAGTATCATAAATTTCAATATTACCGCTGGCGAGATCTTCAATTTCTTCTCTAAAAGTCTCCAGAGCTATTCTAAAATCGATTACTCCATTTTCGAGTGTTGTTCGAAGCTCTTGAATCTCATCAAGCAAGATATTCCGCACAAGAATGGCTGATGCTCGGTCCATATTGCAAAACTTGATGTTGTCCTGGTATGGCTATCTACAATCTGACGATTCATTCTTTATTACATGATTTTGGACGTCATTATGATCCGATGACTGCATACGGGTCGGGGCTGCAGGTCACTCGAACACGTATCTATTCTTTCGCAATATGTGTGCAAGATTTAATTATAAAAATGTGAGGGAAGAGTTGATTGTTTCAAACAAAATTGAAGTTAGGGTCATATTCTACTTAGCCACACGTTGTTTAGTCCATTGATTCTAGGTATCAATTTCATACAACGGATTAAGCAAACAAATACTCTAGAAAGACTCAATATAAATTCTGAACTTGCAAAGAGGTGACATCTCCTAAGTGCCCAAGAACCGGTATTAAACAATAAATCGAAAATCAACTGAATATTTCAACCTCCACTTTAGACGGAAGAGTAACTCGGTCCTTTTATGCTGACTTCTTGGACAACTGGCTGAAGCCAAACAATTTCAACAAAGCTATTTTATGTACGAATAAGTTTATTTTCCCCTTATGCAAGGCGGCTTAGACTCACCTCTACCAAGTAGACACGGTCTCCTGCGCGGCTTGATGGGAACAACTTGGTTCGAGTAGCGCTGTCTTTCGCATTTGCATCTGTACCAATCCAATTCGCATCCATAGCAAAATCTTGCACCACAGGGGCACCTATACGTATGATCATTGTCAGTCCTTTCCCAAAAGAAAATCTAGAAATATGCTTACTTAATGTCATCCCAGCAACCAATTCGTTCTACTAATCGGCGACAATTAAAACACTGCTTCCACCCTTTCTCTTTTGCCAAGGCTAGGATTTCCCGAAAGTCTCCATTTCCAGGGCATTCTTTCTCAGCATGTGCTGCAGACTTGCAAAGGATGCATGTCTCCATATCACACTCTTGACATAGGGCGGTTTTACCCTTGATGTACTCTGAAAGCACATATCTGGAGCATGTACCTTTTGAACAGTAGGTGGGATTTTTGTCGTTGTGTTCAATACATGTCAACCGATAGGTGTGCGCAGTAAGCTCATTAACCAAGGATTCGATGTCTTGAGTCTGCAAAGCCAATCTACAACACTTGGTTGGAAATTTGGTTTCGTCGAACAAGGACCGATTGACTAGCTGCGTTACGCATTTGCGACAATAGAATGTCCGCAGCGAACCCGGACTATTTCAAAGTCATTCTTGGCAGTATTGCAGCCAGCACAGAGGGTCTTTTCTTTTGAGCTGCTGGAGCTCTTGCCTTCTAATTGAGAGGCCGTAGAGCGGGAAAATTGGCACTTTTCGTCTTGCTTTTTCATTGGAAGATCCAACCAGTATGGAACGCCTTCAAATTGCTTCTGGCCATAGTTTCGGCCATAGCCATTAGCAAAAGAGATGCTATTTTCGTGCGAAGAATCTGGGAAGAGGTTAGCAAAACTGTGATTATTTTGAATCCTATAACATTCGCCGGCTTTTTCTATCGAATACCAGGAGGGCAACTAGCTTGCTTTCAGTTTCCTTCCACTGCTCGAAAATCGAAGTGTTAGTGACTTCAGTATATGAAGGTGGGTGGGCAAGAGCTCCCTTTTCGGCTTCCATTTTGCTGAGGTTCTTTTTCTTGGTCCTTGAGGGAAGAAAGAGTTGTTTCCCCAGTGAAGTAAAACTGAAACATGAAAATATTACAATTCCGAGTTCGTGGTTGTGGTTTTGTCATTATGATCAGTGCATTCTATATGTTGAGTCTGTGAAAATTCGATGCAATAACTCTAAATATTAACACTATTAATAATGACTAGAGCCTCGCCCAGCTGGGCAAACATGGCATGATAATGCACTTCAAGATGCCTATCTTCCGCCGTCGACACTCGGTGCACATCGCACTCCCGCAACGATGACACTGACAGAGCCCTAATTTTGACTGAGTAGAGCACACATCGCATATATGGCTGGTATGTACTCTATACCATGCTCCGCCGTGTTGACATTCGTCATTGTTTCCCGGTGTGCTTTCCTGATCATCTCCGAAGCAGTCTATACTAGTCTTACCCAGGGTATAAAACCGCCTACCAATGTCTCCAGTCAGTGGAACATCGTAGGAGAGCTCCGAGCGTCAACTTACAAGGTGCGACTGCAGCTATAGCTGCGGCAATATTTACACTCAATTAGTCGATGACAGATATGGCATTGCTGCCATCTTTCCTGCTCGGTAATATTCTGGTTCCTTCTTATAACTTGAGAGGGCTCCAATTCTTCATTTCCCTTAACGGCACATGCACTCTCTGTCCTATTTTTGCCATGATACTCCATATACTTTCCTCTTAGATATAACTCTGTTTCTTTGTCAATGCAGGGCTGGAATAAAGGCAGCGATATCTCCTGGCCACAGCAGTGCGGCGGGGTGAATACTGTCCGAAGAGTAGATTTCAAAAGGAGGTTACTGGCGCAGTTATGGCAGTATTCGTCAGAGCAATGAAACCGTACTACCTCGTTTGCCTCTTTTATATGTTTGCATGCTTTACATTGCTTGAAGGTGAAAGAAGAGCTGAAAGAAGTAACGTCAGAGACCCTGTAATTGAGGTGTTGCAGTGCCAGTGGTCTGATCGAGAAGTTTGGTGGTGCAAAATTACTTGGAAGTGGCGGCACGGCTGGGAGGCCATTCAATTGAGCTTGCTCAGTTACTTTTGAGCTGGACCTTAAGCGATCATGAATGGATCGAGAATATTGGCTCGAGGCACTTTTGGCATCGTCTTGGTCGGACTCTTCAAAGTCAAAATAAAAGCTACGCGCCTCATCTTGTTTGAGAATATCTTCGACCAAGAGAGTCGGCTCTTCACCAGAGGGTGAGTCTGGATCGGGGATAGTCCTATCAGGTCGTTGGTCGTAGGAGTCAATGATGTTGTCAAGCTGGTTCTCTGCTGACTGGTTGCTCAGCGTGTTTATGGGATCAAGCATGTCGGTTAATTCGGTGGGCTTCTCTGTGTCGGATAGGGACAGTCGTGAGGACTTCCATGGAATGAAACATGTACAGTGTGATGATCCCGGGGTAGAGTAGTCATGGCATAAATCCAGTGGAAAAATGACACATGTCATAGCAATCATTCCTCTGGTGTCTCCCTCCAATGCCAGATACTGCCATGATGAATACTTGGAAACCAGGCCGAGACCACATGGGATGAGTATCGCGGAATATCATAACGCTACCGCTCACTTCCAAAGACAAGTCAGTGCCGTAATACGCTGCCCTAGTATATAAAAAAGGTCGGCCGGTGCATTATATCGCAGAAAGAGTAGTAGCAGTAGTAGTATTGAGTAGTAAAGAATGACGATCTGTAGGGTGGGTGTAAGTGAAAAAAATAAGGTGTAATGTAAATTTACTGTAAATTAAGCCGATGAAATATAAATTGACGTATAGAGTTTGCAAATTTTTCAACCACATGCTTAATATATATGTATATCATTAGTTTATTGGCTGATTTACCCCATTTTATTGATGATGACTAAGATGTGGCGTAATTACGTATTACTGTCAATTGACCAAAGTTACGTAAACTTACTATCCAAACGATCTGCAGCCCCAGACGCAGCATGTGGGACTGACACGCACGGGCCAATGGGACGCCGGGTATTTCCATTTACGATGAGCCTCGGCTGCCGGTTGTGTCAGCGTTATTCGGCCCAGTCTTCAATGTTGCTGCGTCCCATCTGAAGACACAGCACAGTGTTTTCTCTTTCTCTTAACTAGTGTCTCTGTCTCCTGTCACCTGTCTCCTATTCTTGTATGCTTGGTCTGGTATCACCTACACATTCTCCAGCAAAAGCGCATTGTCATTTACTCCACTTTTCACCATGCCGCATTCCTCGTTGACACGTGCTGAGGTGGCCAAGCACAACACTACAGAAGACCTCTGGGTGATCATCGACCACAAGGTCTACGATGTGTCGGACTTTGTAGACGCTCACCCCGGTGGCAGCGTTGTTCTCGCCCAAGTAGCCGGCAAGGACGCCACTGTCGATTTCTACCAGCTACATCGCCAAGAAGTCCTAACCAAATACAAGGACCTGTGCATTGGCACCTTGGAAGGCGAGAAGCCAGAAGTCATCGAGCAGAAACCAGGCGACCTGAGCCCCGTACCGTATGCAGAGCCTCTCTGGCTACGACCCGAGTTTAGCAGCCCGTATTTCAAAGACAGCCATCGCCGCCTGCAGAAAGCATTCCGCGAATTTACCGACCAATATATTACCCCGGAGGCCCAGGCTAAGGAAAAGGATGGCACTTATATCAGTCAAGAGCTGATTGACCGCATGGCCGAGACCAACATCTTGGCCATGCGATTGGGCCCGGGAGAGCACTTGCACAACAGGAAATTGCTGGGCGGCGTAGTTGATGGCAAGGAGTTTGACGCTTTTCATGACTTGATTGCCTCCCAGGAGATGGTTCGCGCCGGCGCACGAGGTATGATCTTGTCGTTTTGCTACATATTTGACACAATCTAACTTGGAAATCTTCAGGCTACCAAGACGGAAACATGGCCGGCATGGCTATCAGTTTGACAGCGGTGAAACAGTGGCTCAGGAACAAACCATTGAAGGATCAATTGATGGAAGAAGTTCTTTCAGGCAAGAAAAAGATGTGCCTTGCCATTACAGAAGCTTTTGCGGGTTCTGACGTCGCGGGACTCCGTACGACTGCCGAGAAGACACCCGACGGAAAATACTATATCGTTAACGGAACCAAGAAATGGATCACAAACGGCATGTTCGCCGACTACTTTGTTACCGGATGTCGCACCAAGAAGGGATTCTCAGTTCTTCTCATCCCTCGTGGCGAAGGTGTAGACACGACACAGATCAAGACATCTTACTCCACCACCGCGGCCACGGCCTTCGTCCAGTTCGAAAATGTCAAAGTACCCATCGAAAATCTACTAGGCGAGGAAGATAAGGGCTTTGCAGTTATCATGAGCAATTTCAACCACGAGCGTTTCATGATGGCCGCTGGCGTCATCCGCTTTTCTCGTCTCATTGTTGAGGAGTGCCTGAAATGGTGCAACCAGCGCATTGTCTTCAAGAAACCCCTCATTGAACAACCCGCCATTCGCCAAAAGTAAGCTACCTTCCCCTAGTCTTTGGTTTCTTATAAATGCTAACAAGCAATACACAAGACTGGCCAAGATGATCTCCCACGTTGAAGCAAACCAAGCCTGGCTCGAAGCAATCACCTACCAGATGTGTCAAATGACTTACGCCGAACAAGCCAAGCACCTTGCTGGCCCGATTGCTCTCATCAAATCTTACTCCACCCAATCCGCCGGTGAAATTGCCAGTGCTGCAACCAACATCTTTGGTGGTCGAGGATTGACTCAATCAGGTATGGGTAAGATCATTGAGAACTTTAACCGGGGCTACAAATTCGATGCCATCCTCGGTGGCACAGAGGAGATCTTGGCAGATTTGGGCGTCAGACAGGCCGTTAAGGGATTCCCCAAGGCTATGCTTTAAATTTCTCTCCTGAGTTCATGTTCAATTAATCAACTATAGTGTAAATACATCAGTTCCATTTGTTCATGTGATACGGGTTTAAGATAAATGATGTCAATTTATCAATTGATGCATGCTTTGCATATAAAGTATCTAGCCACAAAATATACAATAAAATAACTTTTCACAAAACAAAACGCCCAGTTCAATGCCACAAAAACATAGAAGACGAAGTGATCAAGACGGGTTAAATTAACGTTGCTAATTGTCTATAACCTCAATAGCTGTCCTCGTCTATTTCGGCCCTTTCTTGCCCTTCTTGGCTTTCTTTGATCCTGGACTTGACGTAGAAGGTTCCGAATTGGACTGTGTTGGTTGGGAATCTGTTTTATTTTTCTCCTTTTCTTTCTTGCTCTTCTTCGAGTTCTTTACTGTAGATTTCGCTTCTTCGGCAGAGCCATCCTCTTTTGCAGAAGCAGAAGGAGCTTGATCATCCCTTTTGTCAGCTTTTTTTGTTTGTTTTCCAAGCACCGCCTTAGGGTTGAGACCCTTTCTCCTCAGGCGATTGCGCTCACCGCGAGCGATAAGCTCAGCGTCTTCATCTTCGTTGAAAGGGCCGAAATTATCTTCCTCGCCAAGAAGGCCATCTTCGTCTGTTATAGGCGTCTTGTCAATAACTTCTTCCTCACTCTCGCCAGCATTTGTCGAGTCCGCCTTTGAGCCATTCGTAGCAGCCCCATTCGCCACTGCATTATCAGTCTTTCCAGCAGGGCTAGGACCAGTCTTCTTCAACTTGCAAACGAAAAAGCCATCCACGTTCTCTCGGTGAGGGAAGTAACGCCTGGTTAGACGCATCTTCTCGTCGAATTTCTTGCCCATGTAGCTTATGAATCCTTCAGACCCAAAGCTACCTAGACCAGTGTCCACGAGTTTAACATTCGGGCGTTTACGCAGAACGTATTGCACAACTTGCTCGTTCTCTTCGACGGTAACACTGCATGTGGAATATACAATGTAGCCTCCAGTCTTGGAGTGATGATCTGTCGAGTCGATGGCTGCGAGAAGAAGCTGTTTCTGCATGTGCGGGATAGCGAGGAAATCGCGCTCAGTTTTGTTCGTTTTGACGCTAGGGTCTTTGGAAATAACTCCTGTTCCGGTGCAGGGAGCGTCAAGAAGAATGCGATCGAATCCTCCAAGAATTTTAGGGAAAGCTTCCCGAGCATCGTAATTGCACACAATCACGTTCTGGCACCCGAGACGATGAATGTTACCAATCAGACCCTTAGCACGAGGCTTACTAGCATCATTGGCTAGGACAACACCGGTATTGCGCATGAGAGCGGAGATGTATGTGGTTTTACCACCTGGAGCCGAAGCCATATCGAGAATGCGTTCACCAGGCTGGGGAGCGAGAGCCATGACGGGCAAGAAGGATGATGCGGCTTGTAGAATGTAATGGCCAGCGAGGTATTCAGGTGTAGCACCGAGAGGAACTGCCGACTCGAAGACCTGCAAGCCAACCTTTGACCACTTCCCAACTGGTTCCAAGACAACACCTCTATTTATCAAGGCTTGAGCAAGAGTACGTCGATTGGTGCGCAGGGTGTTGGTACGGATGACTACAGGACGGGGTGCCTCATTTGCTTCGAAAAAGGCGAATGCTTCCATGGGGGTGAACAGCGACATCAGCTTCTCAGCCAAATGTGAGTTATATCCGTAATATGTGCAAAAGTCGTCTAGGAGAAGCTGCATGTAGTCTGCTCGGGACTTATCGGGCTGGCCGAGGGATTTCATGTCACCAAGCACTCGAAGGGTATCCGTGATTCTTGTCCGGAGAAGTTGCATGCTGGGAGCAACTCCTGCCTTGGCGGCCGAGTCGACATCACCAAATATATCAGGACGCTCGCCAGCAATGTTAGTTTGCATCGCCGAGTCCTGCATTTCCTGCCTTGCTTCTTCCTCCTCTAATTCGCGCTGTTCGTCAAGCTTTCGTGAAAGGCCCTCGATGTTTGCTGCTGTAAGCTTTTCCTCCGCATCAGACTCGTCATCGTCTGAAAACATTTTTTCGCGAGGGTGGTCTTCCTCGTCGGAGTCAAATACAGATCCCTCGTCGAATTTCTCCACATTATCGTCTTCATCATCATCATCCTTCTCCAACATACTATTCTCAGATCCATCGCTGACTCCATCCAGATCACCAAATTCGTCGGCCATCAAGTCGTCCAAGTCAGGCGCACTACCGCTTCCCCAGCCATCGTCATCCTCATCTTCTGATTCAGGTTCGGGTACTATTGGCTTTTGCACAGTCTTCTTTTTCTTTTCAGCTTTCGAAACCTTCGCAGGCACGGAAGCGCCATTGAGTTTCTTCTCCTTGCCATTTACAGCCGCACCATTGACCTTGGTCTTGAGCTTTTTGTTTCCTTGGGCCGGCTCGACTTCTGCTTTCCGACGCTTTTTTCCGCCCTCTGCTTTAGCGTCGGCCTCAGCGGCTTTTCGCTTCTTGATCATTGAGATAGTAGCCTCGTCCAATGGAGGAGGAGGCCCCTGCTTTTTCATACGGCGACCGACACCCATATTTGCAATTTCTGACGAGTTGGCTCGCCCGATTTGTTATTGGTGTGTTGGTGTTGAACGCAGATATCGGCCTCGCTGGTGCCGATATTTTTTTTTCCTGAGTGAAGCGGTGAAATTTGGCAGAATGGCCCCACAACAGGCGGTGAAGAGGAAACAGCTCCCCACAAGCCAACAGCCTGAACACCCCGAGCGGCAGTGATAACCCTCTAATTCTGCTTCGTTCGGTCTCTATTTCTTCGATAATTGTTCAGAGGACTGTCCTACAAAGCGCGCCATCATGACAGAACTTTCGTTTACCAAGAGCTTCCTTCAGGATGTCGACTCCAAGCCAATTAGGCTATCCTACGACTATGCCGTCCCTCCAGAGGACATAAGACTACCTGTGCCTGTGAGTAGCCCTCTTTGTCCTTATTCCATTGAGCGCAGTCTCCGCTCTTTGGTCGTCTTTTTTTGGTGACAACCGCCCCTCTAATGCTCTTCTATAGTATACACTACCCCGTCTTCAACCCCCGCATCCTCCAATGGCCAAGAAGATTAAGATAGCCGCTGCTCCAGGCTCTGCGAAATCAATCAATGTGCAATTAAAATCTGCGCGAAATCCAGTCCTCGAATTCTCCGTCGATAATGCCCCCCTCACAACGACAACGATTCACGACCTACGCGAAGCTGTGCGTGGCCGCGTCGTCGCTGGCGATGGGAAACCACCCCCAGCCGACAAAATAAAGATTCTATACAAGAAGAAGCCGATTGGCGGAAGTTCAGAAAAGACGTTAGCCGAGATTTTGTCAGATTCCGAACCCGATGTGCTCGCTGGTGGCAAAACAGTCGAGTTTGGCGTTATGATTATGGGAGGGGCCTCTGTCAAGTCGGAAACTACGGAGTCGCCAATTGGCGCAGCAGCAAAGGTTGTAGAGACGGAGCCGTTCGCGTCGGTTCCAGCTCAGGGATTACGAGGGCAGCAGGTTCTACAGACCGAAGAGTTCTGGAAAGACTTGGAAGGGTTTTTGGAGTTGAGGACCAAGGATACGGTCGAAGCACTCCGACTTGCGGGGGTCTTCAAGCGAGCGTGGCAGGCAGATGCTGCGCGGTCATGATATTCTCCTCCGTAGTCAGAGTTTGTAGTACATAGTTAGAAAACACTTTAATGCAACTGATCTCATCAAATATGTCGTCAAATTCAAGCCAATGAGATATCTGCAATTAAGATATTAGACCAATGGGTCCTCAATCTAGCGGCCGTTCCGTTGATTGGTTGATTTCTAGGCCTCAGCACCCACAGGTGGCGGGCGATAACGATCTCGCCCGCCATGTGCAATAGAAATAGATCTGTTGCCGTACCTTGATTCAACTGGGTCACGTCTTTTTCTTCGCTTCATCATCAGCACACAGAATGGTTACCGACAGGCCTTCAACCCCGCCTCCTCCGGAGGAGGTTCAGCCTGGCCAACTTCCCCGTGGTCCTCTCACACCTGAACAATTGCGCCGAATAGTATGAGCATCCAAGTTCGCCTTGAAAGCATTCGTTCACTTACAAATCCCCGCTCGCGAACAGGAAGTCAACCGCATGAAGGCAAAAGCTCTTCGCGAACAGCGCGAGTCTGAATCAGCAGCTAAAACCACCACCGCATCGTTATCACAACCCAAAATATCCGGCGTGAAACGATCGTTCAATACCATGACCTCCTCTCAAGGTCCCGCAACGGTGCGAGATGCCGCAAACAACCGACCCCTAGAAAGCATCAAACCTGCCCGCGCCTTCTCCAAATATGTTGAATATGAATTCAGCAAAATGACGGATACAAAAGGTGGCTTTTTAACCCAGGAAGATGACCCGTACAACAAAGCGCTCCACGTGGACGATGGGAAAGAGAAAAAGCCGGAACACATGACGCAAAAGGAATGGGAGAGGAAATTACTTATTGAGGATCTGAAACGGAACAAGACAGGTCCTTATGAGCCTGGGATAAGCCTGTTTGATGACGAGGCGACTCAGAAGAGGTGTAGAGAGTGCGGTACTTTGGAGATTGATTTCAAGTGGGAAGAAGCTTTCAAGTGCTGCGTTTGTAGTGCTTGCAAGGAGAAGTTTCCGGAAAAGTACAGCATGTTAACAAAGACCGAGGCCAAGGAGGATTATCTATTGACGGACCGTGAGTTATCCAAGTGCTACTCGAGATGGCTTGTAGCCATAAGTTAATTTGTTTTCTCGTCAGCGGAACTCCGAGATGAGGAGCTTCTTCCCCATCTTAAAAAGCCCAACCCGCACAAGTCTACGTGGAACGATATGATGCTCTATCTTCGCTTCCAAGTGGAAGAATATGCGTTCTCACCGAAGAAATGGGGCTCACCGGAAGCCCTCGATGCGGAATTCGAGCGAAGAGAGGTAGACAAGAAACGTCGAAGAGAGGAAAAGTTTAAGCAAAAACTGACCGATCTCAAAAAACGAACCCGAGTCGAAGCCTATCGTCGAAATCGACAGGGACCTGCTGGTGGTAATTTTGGTGACGATCTAGGGGGTAAGAAGCGACATGTACATCAGTGGGGTCGGTTGGTAGAGAATCCAGAGACAGGGATGAGCGTGAAGACGTGCGTGGACTGTGGAATGGAGGTTGAAGAATTGGTGTTTTGAGACTGGACTTTAAAGGGTCGTCTAATATCTTGCATTTGCCGTATTATACCCTATTATTATATGAGAGATGATTTATGTATTATAGCGTATTGAAAACCAGTTCTTGTTGCCAAAGACACAACCTCGTTTCTAGAAAAAACTGACTATAGTGTTCGCCTTTTACGTCAACATCCTCGCTTCATATAATCACGATTTCTTCATCTAATCATATCTCGTGTCTAGTTCCTAGAACAATGTATCATCGAATCACGTGTACTGATGCTGGATTTAGGGCTGCGGAAGTGGTCAACTGCGATTTCTTTGTCAAGACATGTCAGTTCACAGTCGACACTAGAAAACATTCTATATCCGTCGACAGCAACCTCAGATATGACACCAGTGTTTCTAAACATTAGAAGGGTTTAATGCATCTCAAAAACAGTCGTTGAACAAATCCGAGATGTCTGACTCGGTTCGGAGTCTGTAATCTGGACAACCAATCAACATGGGGAGCAGAAGTATCAGCGGGCCATTCATGGGAGCTCAGATTCCACAGAGACTTAGTATTGTACAAGATGTTGCCAAACGACTTTACTCATGGAATTCACACATATCAACCTTACATCAAGATGAAGGGAATGATAAATTCACCATTTGCTGCATCTCAGACACCCACAATTCCAAACCATCGCTGCCCGATGGTGATGTCCTCCTCCACGCAGGTGACCTCAGTCAATATGGAACCTTCGACGAAATTCAAGCTCAAATTAAATGGCTCGATTTGCAGCCTCACAAGCATAAAATTGTGATTGCTGGGAACCATGACCTTATTCTCGATCAGTCCTTCGTCAACACTCATCCTTACCGAGAAATCGGCAAACCAGGCAAAACCCGCCAGGATCTTCAGTGGGGAAGTGTCATATACCTAGAAGACAGCTCTTATACTATTAGAAGTGACGATGGCCATAGAAAGCTGAGAGTGTACGGAAGTCCACAAACACCGAAGTATGGCAATTTCGCATTTCAATACGACCCAATAAAGAGTATCTGGAATCACAGGATACCTGACGACATTGATATTCTACTTTCACACGGTCCACCCGCTGCACATCTTGACGAGGGCGGAAAAGGATGCAAATCGTTATTGCAAGAGATATGGAGGGTGAAGCCGAAGTTGGTTGTTTTTGGGCATATACATGGTGGACGAGGCCATGAAGTCATACCTCTCAATTCTTTTCAAGCTGCCTACGAGGATATTACTGTAAGGAATCACTCGTGGGTTGCTCTTATCAAGTTTATCATTATTTGGGCGTGGCAGATCTTGACGCAGTTGTTTGTTCGACCAAAGCATTCGCATGGGATGCATCTGGTGAATGCGGCGGTCATGGGGAGAAGAGACTCTTCGGAGAAGAATGATTCTATCGTGATTCATCTATGATAGTGAGTTATATTCTATCATACTGAATTGGAGCAAATTTATGCCTAGAAAACTTGGCCCACTTCAATATACAATGAATATTTTTAAGTTTCAAATTGTAATATTGATTCAATTAATCCATTGGTGTTCAGAACAGTCAATGGCACAGGCTCCAAAGCATATTTTTAGCTACATATAATTACAGATGGAGTACATTATTGATGTACATATATTTATCGTCAATGACAAAATGGGTGCTCTAAGTTCAAATAAAAGAAGTAGGCCAGAAAAAAGAATTCAATTTTTTTTGGCAAGGCAGTCATAAGTTTATTGATTAAGGAGAGGCATTGATTCGCTCATATACTACGAACTGGGCGGTGAGGGTGGGCAATATACTATTCCCTTCATATCGATAACATTTGGACACAATATTGCATGAACACATGTGCATACTTAATCATTTCAACATAATTTTAAGACGCCAATTTTCTGTCATTCAATGATCGAAACAACAAAATGCCCACATCATAACACAGCAGCAAGCAATGGCTCACAGAAGCGATGATTTTTCTGTATCCTCCGGAATCGAAAGCGTCACTCCCTTTCCCCCATTAGAAGATGATAACCATGTCGGTGGACCAACGGCCACGATCGCCGACAATGAAGACGATGCGCTGCATATGAAGGATCTTCCACGGCGCAGCCGTGCTGGAACTACCCATTCAACAATATACACGGGCCCCCTATCTCCTAGCACACGTTTGCTCGGAGGCGTAACCACCACCAGAACGTCAGCAGACTCGCAGGATCCAGAGGATAATCACGTCATATCGCCAACAATTGAAATCGAGGGTCGCGCCTCCAATGAAACAGATTTTCAAGCACACTATTTTGCTGAACATGACTCTCTCGTCGGGATAGAAGGTGAATCGCTTGATTCTGAGGGAGAGGAGCTTGGTGACGATGACGACGATAACGACGAGGACGACGACGAGGACGACGACGACGATGATGATGATGATGACGACGAAGAAGATGGCGAGGAGAACGAGGATAATAATGGATTTAATAATAATAGTAATGCAGTGGGCATGCAGCGCCCTTTCATGCAATCATCAACCTCTCTCTCTGGACCACACGCATTCGCACCACCATTCTACAATAGACCTCCCACACCACTCCCTCCGTCGCCCTCATTGACATCGTTATTGCGACCACCATTCTCGACGACAACGTCGAGACCAACAACGCCCGATACTTCTGACGGAGAGACACCGAATGATACTGAAGCTGCAGTAGCCAAATCCGCGAGAATCGCGACGACTGTGCCGCGTGCAAGTCCCAAAGTGCCAACATACGAGTACTATGGATTTGCCCTGTATTTGACGTCGTCATTCGCTTTCTGTATGTCTCATTACTTACACATATAAAAAACGACTAACAAAGCGTAGTGATATATCTTCTCTGGTCTTACCTGCCATCTCCCTTTCTTCACCAACTCGGAATCTACTACTATCCTAATCGTTGGTGGTCCCTTGCTATCCCTGCTTGGCTGGTCATGGGTCTAGTCTACATATATGTCGCGCTGGCTAGCTACAACACGGGATATCTTACATTGCCGATGACGTCTGTTGAAAATATCGTCGACGAAGTCGCCACCGTTGCCGTGATAGACAGTAAAGGGCGGCGACGACCGGGCGGCAGCGAGAAAATGAAGCCAGGATCGGCGACTAGCCAAACAATGTCTGCTGTTCATAATCGGCGGATGCATGGACATTATGCCTCTGGTAGCACTGGCAGCGCAGGCGGAGGTACCGTAAGCGAAAGAGGCGGTGGATTATCATGGAAGGAACTATGGGCTGAAGGTACAGATGCGGTGATGGATATTCCAGTGGGCGGGGTGTGTGAAGTTCTCTATGGCAAGGACCGAGAGCTCGATCCGGATGAGATTGAGCTGGACGGCGAAGAAGAAGACAAGGAAGACGAGAACGAAGCCAACTACACGCAGTACAAGCGCCTTGAAGGGCATGAGTTTCCACCCTTTGAGGATGATGATACTTCTCAGTTCCGTTCCGAGGCCGCTGAGGCATACTCGTCGTATAGCAGTCGACGGCCGTGGTGAGGAATACAGCATGTAGACGTGGACATGTATATTACAAATAGCAACGAATGATATTCACGATAGATGCCAATATTCTGGTCCGAGCACGGCGAATGAATGCGCAGCCTCATGCAAACGCAATGCAGCAGAGACAAAGCATCGGTATCTACATGTATTGTATTGTACCACAGCCATGACCCCGCCCCCTAGCACAAAAAAAACACAAAACACAAAAGGCAAAACAGTCGTGTGTAACCAGCAAGCCGTAAACCATTTAACACAAGTTGATCCGATGCGGGGGGGGATACTGGAGGCACGTGCTCCCAAGACAACTTGGGGTCGCCCAGCGGCACTTAGCGAGAAGTGACCAAGGGATAGAGCAGCATGTCCATATGTTCATATGTTGATATCGAATCGATGCAGCAAAACAACAGCGGGCTCTAGACTGTCGAAGCTGTCGAGACCACGCTAGGACGGATACGGGGAGCCAGCCAATTAGGGCGCGCGGACGAGCAACTAAGCTGAGCGGCCCGGCAGAAACGCGAGGACAGCTTCGACGTTGACTGACACGGACACTGGCAGATCAACTCACTCCTCGCCCTCGCTCGCTCGCTCGACCTCATCGCCAGACCTGCAGGCATCGACTCTGGATGCCGCCGGTAATTACCTACTCCCCTACACTCTCACCATTCATTGATCGCAGGAGATTCATCGCCCTGCGCTGCTGGTCACCCGGCCAGGGGTTTGGTTTGCATACCCATCCGAAGGTTTGACGACGAGACGAATCAAAATAATAATTGCACGATCGGTCGGCCTCCAGCCAAACCATTCCCTTGCGCGCCCAGCTGCGACCGCCAGGAAAGCCCTCTGCTGCTGGCCCATTTTTTGACACACCTGCCTTCATGGCCTGGCAGTCGCCATCTGCCATGGCTGGCAATGGAGGAGGACTTGGTGGTGCGCCGGGTGAGGGGGTCCCCGGCCATCCTCAACCTCAGGGCACCGAATATACGCTACAAGGTGAGTCTGCGACTACGGTACTTCTAGAGAAGTTACCCCATCTAACCGGGTCTTTTTTCTGTGATGCAGGGGTAATGCGCTTTCTCCAAACCGAATGGCACCGTCACGAACGAGACCGCAACGCCTGGGAGATCGAGCGTGCAGAGATGAAGTCTCGCATTGGGCGCTTGGAAGGCGATGTGCGGACTAGTAAGCGACTGCATGAGTCGCTGGGTAAGCATGTCAAGATGCTCGAGTTTGCCTTGAAAAAGGAGCGAGAGACAGTTCGCAGTTTACGCAACGGTGAGAAAATCGACCACGTTCGCGACCCAAAAGAGATCGCCAAGGAGAGCTTGAAAAGCTTACCAAAATGTGGGCACCCCTTTTATTTACTTGTTCATTTACGTCTTCAGAAGGCCTGGTTGAATGCTAATTTGTGGTAACTGTACAGCTCCCGGCAAGCGCGATACTGGCTTAGAAATCGAACTCGAGCCAGATGACTCGGCCCATCCCGACGTACGCCAGGACACAGAACGTGAAAAATCTCGTGTGTATTTGAGCAAATGCGCACAAGAGGTCTCCTACCACGTCATCCCAGCGTCCCATCCGCCTCCGGAACTCACAAATCAAGACTTGCAGCCTGGCTTGTATGGGGACCAGCTTCCCCAACAAAGCCTTGAAGAGGCATATCATCAACAACAGCAGCAGCAGCAGAAACAGCAACAACAACAGCAAAACAGCGCGATGGTACGAGAGGCTGCACTGCAAAACCACCAGTATGCTGACGCCAATTCCGCTCCCGGCCGAGGTCCAATGCGCAGCTTGCTTCCATCACAAACGCCAATAACCGCAGTCGAAAACCGCAATGCAAGAATGGCAGCTGCCGGCAATGATGAATGCAGTGAGGAAGCAGATATGTTCAATTTTGCGCGCGTAAAAAAGGCGCTTGATAATCGGCAGCAACAACCTCAGGATGCATCCTTGACAGACCCGGATGGCTGGAATTTCGAGGAACCTGCCACAGCCCAAGATCCAGAACCAGAGCAGGTGGCTCATCATCGACCAGATACTGATGTCTTTCCTAAAGCCAATCTGCTACCCCCGAAATCGCCGCCTCGCGGTTCGCATCGACGGAAGAGCTCTGGAGCAAGCAGACGAAAGAGCGATGGTAGCGTGGACTTCCGAGATGCTGCAGCAACACAACAGAACACGGACACTACATTCAAAGTGCGATTTGCTCTTCGCGGCCATCTCGATGTTGTGCGATCAGTGATTTTCACCGGTGGTGGCAGCCCATCTGAACCGGAGATATGTACTAGCAGTGATGACGGAACGATCAAACGTTGGATTCTACCTGCATCTTACGGCAATTTCGGACCTGGTGCGGGAAGTGATTTGGATGTGACAAGCTATTTCACGCATCGAGGCCATGTCGGCGCGGTGACCTCACTCGCGGCGTGTCCTCCTTCTCCCAATTTCTCGAGCGGTGGACGAGTGTTAGGTGATGGCTGGGTCTTCTCAGGTGGACAAGACGCCAGTATTCGCGTTTGGGAACGCGGCAGGGTCGATCCTAAGGCGACATTAGATGGCCATACAGACACTGTATGGGGCTTGTGTATCTTGCCTGGCACGGCAGGGTCAGTCTTTGGCGAGCGCTGCAGCAACTATGGAGGAGCTGAGCGCATTCTACTCGCATCTGGTGGTGCTGACGGCCGGATAATCATCTGGGCTGTGAGCGCACCGCCCCAAGTCACGTCACCCCAACCTGGTGCGCGCCGAGGTAATGGTCGACGTGCAAACTCCATCTCGTCGGGATCCAATTTCCCGTCATCGCCGCAGCCAAGCACAGCTACTGCAACTCCTTTCCATTATACGATGGTTCATAACATTGTCCGCCCGGAATCCCCATCAGTAACATGCATCAGTCCTTTGTCTCCCGCTGGCTTGAATTTTGTTGTGTCTTACACGGACGCATCGATTCTGGTATACGATACTCGTACTGGTGAAGAGGTGGTTGGAATGGCGAGCTTGGAGACATATGATGGTACTCCGTCAACAGGTGTTAACTCTGTGGTCACGACAACGATTGGATTTGACGGCACGGCAAGCCTTGACCCCAACCGGGCGTTGACAGAAGAAGAGGCTGTCATCCATGGGGCAACAGGTACAAGTGGTGGAGTCGAAGGTGTCATAATCAGCGGCTACGAAGACAGGTACATTCGCTTTTTTGATGCCAATAGTGGTAAGTTATAATTATATTTTGTTCCAATGGCCAATGTCATCTAATGTCGATTCTAGGTCAATGTACTTACACCATGCTCGCCCACCCATCCGCAATTTCCTCGCTATCACTATCGCCTGATGGACGAGAACTCGTCTCAGCTGGACATGACGCCAGCTTGCGGTTCTGGTCATTGGAAAAGCGCAGCTGTACGCAAGAGATCACAAGTCACCGCCTGATGCGCGGCGAAGGTGTATGTTCGGTAGTATGGAGTCGTGATGGCCGATGGGTAGTCGGTGGCGGCGGCGATGGCGTCGTGAAAGTGTTTTCCAGATAATCCCTTCCCCCCTCTTCCTTGCCTCAAAATGTTTCTATATATCCTTATTTCTTCTTGTTTTGCATGATATTTCTGATTGCAAACACTGTAAAACCTACCGATATGTGAGCGAGCATTTGCAATGGGCGTCGTCGTTGCCGTTGGTCATCATCGTCATCGTCGTCTCTCTGCTTTGAGAGACGGACATCTTGTACTGTTCTTGTTGCTGATTTCATATTGAAAATTTTTTTTTAATTTTCTTTTTATTTTGTTTTACTCCGACTTTTTATGTGGATAAGATACACTTCGCTTCGCTTCATATTTATTCTCGACTACGACTACATTTTGATCTCTGGCAATGCTGATGTCAACGACTGACTGACGGATTGATTGATTGGTACTTGGATTTGACATTCCCCTTTTACTTAGGTATGAATTTTATTTCATGGCAATGACAATTGACACTTGATGCGAATGATGAAGCAAGCAAAAGAGATACAATACGAAAGGCATCGCAACGAAGGAATATATACATCATTGATCAATCGATGTAAGGGAATCAAAGTTTTTATCATAAGATTCTATTTTATACAAATTTAGCGTTTCCACTTGTGTTGCTAGAACCAGATATCAATTTCTTGATATGTCAGATTATTATTATGTGTTCGGTTGCATCTAACTGAGACAGTGAGTCTGCTGTTCTAGGATGGTTGGTATTCTGGGTTGTATACGTCAATTGATGTATGCTGTCTTTGACCTTGATGACAGCTGTATATGGGTAAAGGCCGTGTGTACAGAGTGAGTGTAAGTAACTTTACTTGACGTGTATTAACAAGAAGACTTGGATGAGCAAATTTAGGAAAGATACCATATTGCTTATCTGAGAGCGCTTTTCCATCATTGGATACCGTTATCGACGTGCAGCCTTGACAACCGAAAGCCAAAACCTTCAAGACCTGCTAGAATGCTTACATTGATGTTCTCACCGTAACCAGCCCCGAGACCGAAATAGAGCGAAATAGACAGGTTTACAAGAAAATCTTGGTCGAGAGACACACTCTTGACGATATGCAGCATATCATTACGTATACTTCCAACGCAAGGAAGAGTGAACGAAGAGATCTACCTCACGTTCTTCGTGTGTTTGTGAGTGATCATGCGCTGTGTAAGTATCAACGTGCAGTTCGTGGCGTGTAACCTCCTTGCATAGCTGAGCATGCGACGTCGACGGAACAAGATATATATACGACTTGACCATTTTCTCGGGCCACGGGGTTACAGCTCGTACAGTCGCGTTCGACTATGCGTGCATTTGGATCTTTGACTCTTCGCGCCGCGTCATGCCGGTACGTCTGGCCTCGAGCCTCGAACAGAATCGATGAATATGCTACTAGTATTGTCTTGCGGTTACACAAGCAGCACATATCGTCACCCAGATCTACACAGTAACCAGCACGCTCACGCCATGATTAGACTTGTATTGATGGCGAGGCGTACACTCTATCAGTCACTCGGTGCGAGGATGAAGTCACTGATTGACAGAAAAGACGATCACTCAGGACTTAAATGCTCATTCAACACTCTGCAGAGTTTTGACACATCCAGCGCTCTGGTTTTGACAGCTCGTATTAAGTAGCTCATTGATCAGCAGAGAAAATGCCGAAAATTGCCCGGACACACAAAAAGAAATGTGAGACCAGAGTTGACGCGCTTTGGCGACGAATAAGGATGCTGCAGCTACTCCTAGCGCGTCGATAGTCGGCTTGTCATGGCTGGGCCAGTGCTTCTTAGCCTTGTCAATCACCAAGCACGGCTGCGACACAGCCAGTCAGACGCATTATTGGTGCTCTCTAGTGATAGACTCTTATGGCTTTGGATTATTATGATCTATTAAGCCCTGTTCGTCCGCCCGGCTGGTGCTTGTAGTGCCGGTTCGTGCCCACAATGCCTCGATTTTGGTCCTGTCACTGCAAAGTAAGCAAGCCTGCATGGTAGTAGCTACTGAAGGGTTCGCAAGCGAACTCGAATTCTTCATGACTGGTCAGTGAAGCATACAGCTGCAGCAGAGCTAATGCAGAACAGCCCAGCGACGACTGGTTTGGGATTCCCTCGCATGATATCTGATTTGAAATTAATTTATTCACTTCGCCATTCCACGCTATGGCGTGGAACATCGTACATGCCTCTTGTGCTCAATAATGTAACGACTCGAATCAGTAAGACTACTGGTGAGAACAGATCGGCGATCAGGACGATCGCACCATAGCGTGCGACTGTGCGTGTCATAGCGTGTGCGGCCCGGGAATGCATTTATTACATTTAATATTATTGACAAAACTGTCCAATCCAAGGGCCATCATTCTACGCTAAGCTGCTAGCCTGGCGGATTCTTCTTCTTGTGAACGAAAGATTTCGTTCCTGATCTCTAGCGCCATCTTACTGGCCAGCCCAGCAGTAGAGTCGCCAGTACCACGGAGGGGTTTGGCTACCAGCCACATCCCTAGGCCAATCGCGCACTGGCATTTCCAGTGGATTTCAACATGGCGCTCCAGAGCCCACGCTTGGATCCAGAATTATTGACAGATCCATTTTTGACTACGCCTTCTCCCCTATCGTGAGAGGAGGGGAGAGAGGGCTTTAAAGCGTCCAAACCCCGGATCATTACTCTCTCATTCGGAATGACCATGATTTGCCAATGACCCTGACCAAATAGTTGCACCCGTCTGTCCATCATGGCTGACGCGGTATTCGCTATTTTGGCTAAGCGTGATGATATCACTGTATGCTCCAGTGCTGATTTGCCCGGTGTTGTTTGAAGCGAAACTCACTGCGGATAGGACCCCAACAATGATCCTAATATCGGATCATCTCGAGGCAATGCATCTTCTACCTCCGGAGACGTTGTCGAGCACCTAACTGGCAGTGGCTCGACATCTGGCTCCGCCTTGGTGTCGACACTCGCCCCGGCCCTGATCATCGCTATCTTCTGGTTTGGCCTGTTCATTATATGTCGTCGGACTCAACAACGGTGGTACTCGCCGCGGTCTCATTTGCCTAATCTTCATCACCAGTAAGATACCAAGACCCTACCAAGTTAGGGCTTTATTTTAATCTTTTGCCTTTAGTGAGCGCACCCCCGAATTGCCTGGTGGATTCGTCAATTGGTTTGGAACTTTTTTCCAAATCGCGGACTCACACGTCCTCCACCATTCATCTCTTGATGGATACCTATTCCTTCGGTTTTTGCGCATGCTTTGCACCACATGCTTTATCGGAATGGTCATTCTTTGGCCTGTCTTGCTGCCTATACATGCTACCGGAGGCGCTGGTAACGCTCAATTGGACCGGTTGAGTTTTAGCAATGTTGTCAATCCCATTAAATACTATGCCCATGTCGTTATGGGTATAGTCTTTTTCAGTAAGTGCCAGTGTAGGCGTACCTTTTCCACAGCTAACTAGTATCTAGCATATGTATTCTTCGTCGTCACCCGCGAGAGCCTGTTCTATGCCAACCTACGACAAACTTATCTCAACTCTCCTGCTTATGTCGATCGTATATCCTCCAAGACAGTGCTTTTCATGTCTGTGCCTAATGCATATAAAAACGAGAAGAAATTACGACAAGTATTTGGTGACGGCATCCGTCGCATCTGGATTACTTCCGACTGCAAGGAATTGAACAAAAAGGTTGACGAGCGTGATACCCTGGCGTTGAGATTAGAACATGCTGAGACAAAGCTTGTTCGTGCCGCAAATTTCGCGCGACTGAAAGAAATGAAGAATAAGGCGGGGACCACAAATGAATGTGAGGATTGCGAAATGTCTGATCCCTTGTGGTCCCGAAAGGTCAAACGGCCGATGCATCGTGTCAATTTTTTTGGCCGAAAAGTCGATAGTATTCAATATTATCGTATGCGTCTCGCTGTGGCTATTCAAGAAGTCGACGCACTGCAACGAAAACACCGTGACGGTGATGCTAAATATCTTTCTGCGATCTTCATCGAATTCAACACACAGTCCGAAGCCCAGGTTGCCTTCCAGACTCTATCCCATCATCAACCGATGCATATGACGCCGCGGTATACTGGAATTGCCCCTAAGGAAGTCATCTGGTCGGCCTTGAATCTCAGCTGGTGGCAACGAATTGTCCGTAAATTTTTGGTGCAAGGCGGTATTGCCGCTATGATTATATTCTGGTCGATCCCCGCAGCTATCGTGGGAAGTATTTCAAATATCACATATTTGGCTAACACGGTTCCTTTCTTGAAGTGGCTGGTAGACCTCCCTGAGTTTATCAAAGGCATTATATCTGGATTACTTCCCTCCGCGGCATTGGTTTTGCTGATGTCGTTGGTGCCCCCTATTTGCAGATGTAAGTACTAAACACCCACCATCAAGGTCGGACGTGCACGCTAAGAAGTATAGTCTGTGCAAGAAAGGCAGGATTGCCTTCCTTATCACGAGTCGAGCTCTTCACTCAATCGGCACATTTTTGCTTTCAAGTAGTTCAAGTGTTTTTGGTCACGACAATCACATCAGCCGCATCAGCCGCTGTCGGTCAAATCATCAAAAATCCATTGTCAGCTAAAGATCTTTTGGCGCAAAATCTACCCAAGGCATCCAACTTCTACATATCCTATTTCCTTCTCCAAGGACTCTCGATGAGCTCTATTGCTGTGGTCCAGATCATGAGTGCACTTATCTTTAAGGTCATGTCCATGTTCTTCGCAAGCACTCCGCGACGACTATTCAAACGCTGGACAGAACTCGCCGGCCTCAGTTGGGGCAACGTTTTCCCGGTGTTCACTAACATGGGGGTTATCGCTCTGACATACTCATGCATTGCGCCTCTCGTGTTGGTGTTTGCCTTCCTTGGCCTGTTTCTTGTCTATCAAGCTTACCGATACAACCTGCTATTTGTCTATAATATCAACATTGACACCAAGGGTCTTGTATACCCACGCGCCCTACAACACCTGTTAACAGGTATCTACCTCGCCGAGATTTGCATGATAGGTCTTTTCTCCATCAAAGGGGCGATTGGCCCCTTGATAATTATTGCCTTCTATACCGTCCTTACCATACTCGCCCACATTTCCCTAAATGAAGCCCTTTCGCCACTAATGAACTTTCTCCCTCGCTCTCTCGACACCGAAGAAGAAGAGATTCAAGCCAACGCCGAAGCCGAAGAGCAATATAGACATGCCATTACCCGTCACGGCAAGATTTGGAAATGGTTTCACCCGAACCTGTACAAAGACTATGCTGACTTACGCCGAAAAGTGCGTCGAGATATTATCCGAATCGAATACTCAGAGATTGAATTAGAGGAAGCTTATTATGAGCCGTGTATCACAGCAAAGACACCCATGCTTTGGGTCCCGAAGGACGAGGGCGGTGTTAGCCAAGAGGAAATCAGGCAAACGAGTGCGGTGATTCCGATTTCGGACCAGGGTGCTCATTTGGACGAGAAAAATAAGATTAAATGGAATAAATATGACGAAGAGTTGCCGGTGTGGGAACGCAAGATTTTGTATTGATCTATCACACTGATTGTATTTTTTTGTATACGTGTATTATTGTGACCAAGTTCTCCACCAATCGATTTTCTCATGGACAAACTCATTTCCTCATAGTTTCTAGTCTTTTGTCTCGGAGTTATTGGGCTGAATTTTGATAATAGCATTACTTGAATGTTCCAAGTCGAAAATGCCTCAACTGATAAGCATAACCCGATTCCGTGTATCTCATCAATAGCTTCTACCATCAAGGAAAGTGTAGTACCAGGAGAAATTATATTTCCTGTCCCCACTCCTTGGAAATGCCAAAAATGGAAAAGTTCGAGGTCCTGTTGTCTAGTTTCTTATCGGTCAAAACTCCATGTACGTATACGTCATTACCCTATATAGTCTGGAGTCTCGAGATAAGGATAACCCGTTGGCCCCACTCCCAAGAGTTTCCTAAATGGGATAGATGTACTACGTCAATGTTGTCAATGTAGGTATATCCTCCTTCAAATCGATGCCGGAATTCGGATTTTTCAGAAAACCCCCTATCTATGATTTTACTAACGGCTGTGAGTTTTGAGTCTGCGTTTAATGACTCTGATTTCCGCTCCTGAAGTTTCGTACGTTAGATATCATGGAGACGAAGTATGATTCAGTGGGCATTCTTAAGGATATCGGGGTCAGTTCATGGACTTCAAATTAGGATATTGAAATTTCAGCATTATGAAAGTGAATAATTAAAGTGAAATCTAGTACACCAAACTCTAATATACCATTTAGTATTTAGCTAATCCTATCCACATATACTTCAAACTATATGTGCAATACCGTCAAGTAATCAAAAGCTAGCACCGCCGCCAGATACATGTACACCAGCCTTATTGACCATCAAAATCTCATAAGTCCCAATTTATGTGCACATTGTTCTCACTTAGACGCATCGATCGTTAACGGGCCCTTTTTAACCATCATCGTAAGAACTTCGTACAAAACATCTGCCGCAGCCCTGATTCACCAAGCCGAATTAGTTTTATTCTACTCAGAGTATACCCGTCAAGGAATGAAGTAAACGTACATAGTTGTATGTTCCGCATTGGTGTCGTACGCGGGCGCAACCTCAACAATATCAGCACCGATGAAGTTGAGTCCGTCGAGACCACGCAGGATTGTGCGAAGTTCGCGCGTAGACCAGCCTCCTGTTTCGGGAGTACCAGTTGCGGGGGCGACTATCGAAAAGGGTTACCACAGATTAGCTTATTTTCTTTTCAAGGAGGAATAAAGGGGGAAATTTACAAGCTGGATCCAGAGTGTCAATGTCAATGGACAGATAAACTGGGTTGACGGTTCCGACCCGATCACGGATTCTTTTTATTATTCCGCCGGTACCTTTCAAATTTCAAGTTAGCGTTCAGATATAAGGCCTTTTGATAAGTAGAAAAATACCTATGGTATCAACCTCCCTAGCTTCGACAATCTCAAATCCAACATATCCGTCATTGTCATAATCCGACGGCCCTGAGAGAGTAGTGCGGATACCAGCGTGGATATTCGAATCGTTCCTCAGAAGGCCCTCCATGGCAGCATGGTAGAAATATGTTCCATGGTTGATGCTGGCAGTCTTGGAGGGTGCGCCACCAAAAACCTTGGGTTTCCATGTGTCCCTGTATCTCCCATTAGCATTTTACAGAACAAATTTCTAGCAAGGGTAAGCATTTACAAATGGCTGTCAAAATGAATCACCGATACTGGCCCATATGCTCGATTAATGCTTCTTAATAAAGGCAACGTAATGGTATGATCTCCTCCCAGTGTGATGACTCTTGGCAATGTTTTCCCTGCGCGAGAAAGACCCGGTTTTTCGGCATCGGTAAAGGGTTTACGCATCATGACGCTGTTGTGGCCGTCTTCGATTTGCTGAATAGCATAATCATTGTCATACCTGCGCAAAGAAGTCTAATTAGCACAATTTCTCCAATAACCAAAAATTCGGGCGTATGTGGACGTACGAGGTAACAGGAATATCACCGCAGTCGAGAACCTTGATATCACCCGAGAATGGATTGGCATCTAATGGGACGTTGTAACCACCGCTGTTTGGTAGGTTAGCTATGAGCTGCGGCGGCCAAATTAAAGGGAGAGAACGTACTAAAGATTCAGCCGACGAGAACCCTGTCTGATGCCGCTAGGGCCAAATCTGGCGCCTGGTCTGTAGGATGTTCCGGTATCGAATGGGGCTCCTATAGATCGTATGCACACATTAGCTTTGATCCAGCAGGACGTGTTGAGGACCTTGTGAGATTCATAGTTATAAATCGCAGATCTCCCAACTATCAGATTAAAATTCCAAGAAAATTCAACAACGAACCCAAGAAAGCAATGTCGTACGTCTCCTCATCGCTCGCTAGACAAGGAAAATATGGAAGTCGCCCGAACGTCGAAATTCCAGAGAAAACCGAATCAGCCTGTGCATAAATTGCTTTTGTTAGTACACGCACTTTTCAAGCAAGAACCAGCCAATGAAGAACGCATACCTGTGTTCCGCCGTCACCTGGAAGAGTGTTGTACCACAATTGCTTATGCGGTCCAGACATGGGCAATTGCTGGTGGTTTCCATGAGCATAAGCGAGGCTGGCGAGTGCCAGAGTGTTGACAATAGATACGTGCATAGTGTACAGTGTACAGTCCTGTCTTCGAATGAAAAAGGAAGGTAAGCTACAATTGGAGTACAACAGCAATATGAGAAAAAAATTCGCCAGAAAACCAAGATCGGGAGGTATTATATGGTGAATGCGTCATCCATTGGAACCATGTATTTTGAGCGGCGAAACTTCCGTGTGGATTTGTTCACCGACTGTCTGCTCTATCGGACCACTGTCTCTCATGCATGACATTGTGACAATCATATCCAAATAATGTATAGAAAAGATAACCGCATATGTGAGTACTGCAGGGTGATTTCGATATGAATGGCTCCCCGCTAAACTCTAAAAACATTCCTGATTCAGTTTAGCTTTGCTTTAGCTGTCCTGCCATCCCCACTCCCGCAGATTTCCTATCTGGGAAAGGACCACATCCTGCACGCCAGACAATGAGACTAGGATGTATAAATACCGAAGGCCAATGACAGTTTGTTTTCTTATCTAGAGTTGAGAAATAAAGTCGACCTTTTACAGTTTTCTATGATGATATTCATTCCTCATCCCCACGAAAGGCTCTATGACGAAAAGGGAATCTTGGAGGAGAATCTTGGCCGCAATTCTGGACTTTTCATAAACAAGATATAACAGAAAGTGGGTATTAATATTGATAAATTTTTATTTGTAAAAGAATTTGTTTGCTTATCGCTGATATCTCACCTCTATTCATCTATGAATCAACGTCACTCTCGTGTCAACTTCATACATGTCATCGGTCAACCAGGGCGATCTATAGCCCCCCCGCCTCCAGCCTTTCATGAACTTCCATACGCGAAAAAGCCTTTTCAACTTCTTTCTTCCAGTCGCTCATGATAACAATGAGCCATTCCAAAGCACCAACCAGGTACAGCGCAATGCACTGTCCCGCCCATAACCCACCTAAACCCCATCCATGAAAGGCCAACCACACCCCCAATGGCAGCGCGCCACAATAGTAGCTAACCAGATTGACGGCTGCACCGATATGCTGCCGGCCCATTCCGCGAAGACTTCCACCGCAGCTACCATTCAGCCCATCGGCAATCTGGAACAAGGCGACGTACGGCAGCACCTCAGCCGTCAGACGGACGACCCGCTCGTCATCGTTGAAAATTCGGGCAAAATTATTCCGTGCAGCCATAAGAGCAGCCAATACAGTCACACCTAGGAATATACTAAGCCAAGCAGCCATGTTGGCTGCACGTGCTGCACCCCGGGCGTCTCTAGCACCAAGTAGATTACCAACGCGGGACGAAGCTGCAACTCCGACACCGAATGGAATTGTGTTCAAAATCTGGTCTGCAGTCATGATGACACTCTGTGCTGCGAGGGGGATTGTTCCCAGTCGGCCTGCAGCGAGGGCGACAATCTCAAAGGCTAGCCATTCCGTGCCCACATGGATGACGCCTAGGAATGCTAAGCGTGCAAAAGTACCAATATTCTCAAATGCTTTCCAGGACCAACCGCCCCAATATTCTGAACCCGCAATGAACCGAGCGTAGAGCACCAGTAAGAGGAAAGATAACCAATATGAAATACCGGTAGCAATTGGTGCACCGAGTAGGCCAATTTCGAATTTGTAGCAAAACAGATAATTGAGGAAGGCATTGAACGGCGAAGTGATGAGGAGGACATATGTTCCGGGACGCATGATTCCTATAATCGATATTAGCATTGTATGGTCCTCATTCATTAGTGAATAACATACCTTGAGCTTGGAGATACTTCTTCATGGATTCAAAATAGATATATCCTAGACCACCAGGGATCAAACACATAAGAAATCTGGAGCTGTCCCTTGACAAATCCGGGTCCTGTCCTAGGAAGAGAAAAACTTGCTCTGTGAAAGCCCAAAGGATGGCGACTGGGACATAAAACAGCCCGAGAACAATGAACCCACGTTGTAGTAGTATCCCAAGGTCATGTTTGTTCGAGCTTCCAGTAAATGACGACGATGCCAAAGTATCAAGCGCGGTAGTACCTCCCAGTGCAATCAGCCATGCACTGCAAGTTGCGAACATAAACGCAAAAGCAGCCGCCGCCAGATTTTCTGGGGAGGAGCGTCCGACAATAAGGACCGAAATCGTCTGGAGGCTGTTTTGCAGCGTATAAGCAAGAATCACTGGAATACATCTTTTCAGAAGGAGCCAAAATTCGGCAAGCATAAGACTTTTGTTGCTGTCTTCGTTACTGTTGTTGTTGGTTTCGCCAGTGTGATTCGAAACATCTTCGTCCACAGGCTTTGGTAGAAGTGAAGTATACTCGGTTGGGCCTGTTTCAGGCTCTCTTTCAGTAGAGATAGTCATGAGGTATTTTTTCAATGATGCTCACGATATGAGAATAATTAGATAGCAATGAGGTAGCTATATATAAAGGAAGATATTAAAATAACGTAGTGCGGGGTGCAATGTTTGGTATATTTTATGTTTTAAAAATTTCCTACCGCATATACTGCCGTAATGGAGACATATTCTATTCTAATGAAAAGAGTATGACTGGGTCCAGATCTCATTGACCGACTTTCGGAATTGAGATAGCCCATTCATTGAGCATGACAATCCTTTAGAATATGCAAGAGCACGTCAGATTGGTCCCTGTGCCAAGTTCTCCACCTTCGCGGTTAAGGGCTTGTATTCTCCTCGGTCAGCATGCATCGGAACCCGTCGGCTTATTGCGATCTATGGCTGGCGAAAATCGAAGACACATAAAAACATGAAAAGATGATCAATATATAGGCATACTCGTGGAGAGCAAATCGCATGACAGATAGCCCTAAGTGAATTCCTATATGCGTGGACATATCAACCACTTAAGTCTACGTTAAATTAAATTATCTTCAATGCCATAAACTATTTGTTCAAATCGAAAATTGAGGTCTTGCTTCAATATTTTCCCCCCATAGCTATGTCACAGCATATTTTGGAAGGCCCAGAATTAGTGACTATTTTCTTCAATCGCTAATATCACGTCAATTGGCTTATTCAGAGAAACAACTTTGTCGCGTTAACATTCACGTTTCCTTATCTTTCTGTGCTTATCAGCTTGTTTGATTGGAGAATGCTGCTAGTTCCGGTCACTTACGCCTTGTGGGGTGTTTTCTTGTTTGTTATCACAGCCAGGCACAACTTATCGTGCCTCAACGCTCGGCCTCCTGGAGAATAACAGCGGCTGATTACTCACAAGATTTGCAGTACACTCTGCGCATCGTCACTGGTCTATTTGAAGAGTATAGATAAGCATCGTCCAATGCGACACTAGGGTGATCCGGCGTTTCTCCCTGACATGTATCACCCACGCTAAGAAGCATTGTAAGCTAGATGTATGCCCTTATATGTGCTACGTTTCCGTATAACCCAAATACAAGTCTGGAGTTTGGACCAAGCTTTTTATTCGGCGGAACGTTCAACTACTGCCATTACCCTACCGTTTCCCAATTTATAGAGGACATATACACTCAATTATAATTATCTTTGTGTGACTATTAAATGAACGCTCATTTTGCGTCGACTTGACTTATAACAATGGATGAAAAAGCAAAAGCCCCTGAAACGCCGGACAGTATTGCCGCGTTAGATGCACCATCGCAGTCTGATCTCAACCCCATCGATCATGGGGTGGTCTGCGACACCTCAGTCGACAATAAGACCACCAAGACACATCCTCAGCCAACTTCCGATCCTCTAGACCCGTTGAATTGGAGCAATTTCCAGAAGCATCTGATTCTGAGTATTGTGATGCTAAAGTAAAAAAGCCCCAGCCCTAACCCTAAAAGCCTCCTTCCGCCTCCGCAACCCAATGAGGAAATTTTTGTGCTAACTTTGCCTACATCAAAGATATTTTCTTTTCACTTATATAACGACGACAACCGTTCCATCATTCGCTGAAATTCAAGACCAGTTCAATATCAGTTATTCACAGGTGAACTGGACTGTTGCTATTCCCGCCCTCGGTCTTGCCGTTGGTCCGCTCTTTTGGTCATCCTTGAGCGATATCTACGGGCGTCGTCTTATATTCATTATTGGAACAATTGTTGCATTGGTGTCGACGATTGGAGTCGCTGTCGCAGATACATATGGCGGTTATATGGCTGGGAGATTCTTCCAAGGGTTCGGTGTTAGTCCTGCATCAACTGTAGGGATGGCTGTTGGTAGGCCTAACACTGTCGCTCGATCAAAAATATCATTTATCTAATAAATTTATCCAGTAAATGACCTGTTCTTTGACTATGAGCGCGGGCAAAAGCTGGGCCTATGGGTTTTGGCGATTGACTCAGGTCTTCTCCTTGGCCCCACATGTGAGTATCATTTCATTCCGGATTATGTTTAATGCTAATACACTACACTTAGTTGGAGGATTTCTCAATCTTGTCAGTGCTGCGTGGATTAACTGGTTCAATGCTATTCTATTTGCAGCACTCTTGGTTTTAGAACTATTCTTCATGCCAGAGACCTTGTATCCGCGCAACCTCATGCTCCAAACCATGCCAAAGGGTGTGATTGTTTCACCCAATGACCCGGAAAAAGCTTCTGGGTTTTTAGAACCAAAAAATACAGAAAAAACAAAGGAACCACCTAATCCTGCACGAACTAAGAAGCTTATGTTTATTAATTACCGCCCTCTCCCTGGAATCCGCCATCCTAAGCCATGGGACTCGATCACCCGCTTTATCCTGACATTTAAGAGCCCAGCCGTCGTTATATCAATCATAGGATACTGTTTCCTCTGGTATTGGTGGGTATTGTCGGTGATCACAATGGTACCAGCCGCATACCCAAACTACTCGCCTTTAATCCAGGGCTTGCTATTTCTCGGCCTATTTCTGGGCACATTAACCTCAGAAATATTCTGCTCTGGAAGACTCAGTGACTATATAGTGGAAAAACTCGCAAAGAAAAATGGAAATATACGCGTTGCAGAGATGAGGCTGTGGCTGGCATATCCGGCGATGCTTCTAACTGCTGGTAAGCTTTAGCTTGAGGTGACTCGAGACTATTTATTAATGACAATTTTTAACTATTTTTGCAGTCGGTATGATCGTTTGGGGAGTTAGCGTCGACAAGGGCTATCACTGGATAGTGGGCCAGATCGGACTTTTCATGTGTAAGAAATTCCCTTTTACCGTATTATCCATGTTGATATTAACGGATGTCCTTTAGTCGCCGCCGGTATCCAAATAGGCAATACTGTTGTAAGCAGTTACATCGTAGACAGTTATCCTTTACAGTCTATGAGTGTAGTTACCTTTTATGCCGTATTCCTCAACCTGAGTGCATTTATTGATCCGGTAGGAAACCAGTATCCAGTTTAAGTTATGATGCTAACCAATCGATGTCAGTTTTTTATTGCAAATTGGCAAGCATCTTCTGGATGGACCTGGTGCTTCACAGCCCAGGCTTTGGTGACTCTAGTCGGTGGCACGCTGGTATTTGGATCTCTTCAGGTGTTTGGAGGAATGATGCGCGATAAGGCACCTCAGCCGTCATGGGTGAATCCAGAGTTCGATTCAAGTGTCTAAATGTACATTTTATAGCATCTATAGGCTATAAAGCTTAGTTCGTGAGTAGAATAAAAGGAATTAATTTGTATCTAATCATATAAGTGGCGCTGTTTTTGTAGCTTTCCTAATAGTGGTGGTCCACGAGAAGGATTATCTTTTGTGTTTCTTTGGCAGATGAAATTGAAGTTAGTTTCACTTTCCAAACGCTAGAATTCAAACAAAATCTAGTCTGTTTCATCTACATTGTAGACGAGCTTCTCTCCACTAACTTTATTATCACGCAACAATTGTAGTCCATCCAAGACCCCTTTCAGACCTCCCGGATTGACCTTGGGAGGGTGCACCTTGATCTTACCCTCCCCTAATAGCTTTGTAGCAAGCTCCCAGAATATGGCTGCGTATTCCTTGTCTTCAGGTTTTGCCTCAATTTTTACGGGACCGAAATCAAAGCTTTCACCTAAAGCAGTATAGCCTAGCGTCCAACGACTTCTCACGTTCTCTCGCTCGACATTTACGTTAGCAAGAAGAGTACAGTCTCCAACCAGGGAAGAGGACAACGCTTCGCCACAAAATTTCGCAGAGTCACTGGTAGTAATGGTGTCAAACGCGAGAGTTAGCTTATCATCGGTGTACTTGCGAATCTCAGCAGCTGCGTTCGGATCATTGTAATCGAAAACGGCATCCGCTCCAAGACTTTTAACAAGATCAAAATTCCGGGGAGAGCAGGTTGTCAAAACCGTGTATCCTGACAGTTTTGCAAATTGGATGGCAAGAGAGCCTGTTGCAGTTGAGCCTCCGTAAATCAACAGATGAACGGACTTCTCCTTGCTGATAGGTTGTGTGGGTAAAGCCAGCTTCAAACTCTGATACAGCGCTTGGCCAACCGTGGTAATCCCGACTCCTAGAGTAGCTGCCTCTTGGAAGCTAAGATTTTCGGGAATGTGACTTTGAACGTCTCCCTTGACTACCACATATTCTGCAAAAGCACCATCTTCAAGCTGGCTAGCATTTCCTCCATGCGCGAAACCGCAAATTCGATCTCCCTTTTTGAAAGGTTTCTTGACATCCTTTCCGACCTCCTCGACTATACCAGCATAGTCACAGCCGATAAGAGAACCAACTGGGGAGACATATGCAATGTGTTTCCAGTCAGTTGGGTTCAAGGCTACGCTGACTGTTTTGACTAGAATGTAGTCATCACGAAGAGCAGGAATCGGGCGATCGGAAACCAGACCTTCCTTTTGAGGGGAAACGACCACAATTGCTTTTTGAACAGACATTGTGGGCAACTGATCTGGTTAACTTTGTACTGAGCTGGGAGATCACGTTCAATGTATAATGAAAAGAGTCTGATCAAGTCAAAAAGATGTTTGACAACACTTATATATCATAAAGATCTTTGCCAGACTATTATAAAGGGCTGACAAATAAGATGTGGTTTTGGGATATTTTCCGGTTTGCTTCAGTTTCCAGCTCCGAAAAATACAGAACTTCCCGCTACTACCCTAAGCATAAGGAATATCCAAAATTGACATGTACTATGAAAAAGTAGCATAGAATTGAATTTCTAATCAATTTATAATCAATAATTACGAGCCATGAGATATAGTTCCCCTGTGGGCTACCCCGATCGATATGATTGGCTTCTTTAACTATGCTATACTTTCCAACGAACCAATCGTTGGGGACTGTAACAGCTGCATGGCCACTAGCAACGCTATTTTGAGGGATTGAGAGGAGAATGGGGCATTCGATGAGAAGTAGTATCAATAATTAATCACATTTATTGTTCATCATCTTGTTAGCAAAAAATCCACTAAGATGGCACAGCATCAAATCGTCACCTTGGCAAAGGGCTACCCCCGGAAAATCTTCAAAAATTGAAGAAATATATATTTCCACTACCCCTTATATATTGAGAAAATTAAAATACCATATTATTTATTTCTAATGCCACTATTTCTTCTGAAGCTTTTACTATATAATTATACTATATATATCTATATTATGATTTTAATTAAATTAAATTTTCTAGATTCTAAATCTGAGATAGCGTTCGTGGCGGGTGGTGATTTGACCCGCGCTAATCTTACTGAGCGGATATTCTCGGCTTGTTGCGGGGACTAAGAACTTCAGAAGTTTGTAGATGTTATATACATTCAGATGGTTATATATGAATATCAAGAACAAACTTGATGACTTGCATAACAAAGGCACAGCATCCTTTAGGAAATATTTGAATATTATGACAACATCTCTTTCATTGCTATATGCAATATTCATCAGGATCAATTGATAGCCCATCCCTTTTACTGATATTTTCATGTTAGATTGTATACAACAGGTTGAAAGAAATGATGCAGGTGTGAAGAAAACTGATGCGCTCGCGCAGACTCATGGCGTTAAGGCGGCCGCCTACAAAGTTGATAGTAAGTTTACTATCAAATGCTGACCTGCGCCTCGAGCTAACTGAATTTAAAGTCTCCGATCCTGGACAAATGAAGAATACGATTGCAGCCGTCGTTCGAGACTTCGGGCGAATCGACTTTTTTGTTGCCAAAGCAGGTGAGCTTAGAAACTCCAATTTCATAACTAAACGAGATAAACTGATAAGTGGCAGGAATGGCTATTTCGAAGCCGATATTGGAACAACAACTAGATCAATATCGCGAAAAAGTCTCTGCTAATGGTAAGCGCGACTCCGATCTATATCGGTCCTTGAAGTACTAAGATGATCGACTAGTCGACGGAGTCGTCTTCCAGCGTCAAGACAGTGGAAACTTGATGATCATATCAAGTATGATTGCGCATATTGTCAATGTGCCAACAGACCAACCCGTCTACAATGGAACCAAGGCTTTTATCCTACATTTTGGAAAGTCTCTAGCTCGTGAATGGAGGGAGTTTCCCCGCGTCAACATTGTCTCACCCGGTTTCTTCGACACTAAGATGGGAGCAAGCCCTCTGTCGGTTAGCGAGGCTTACCGTATGACAAGTCTTGGACGCCAGGGACATACGAAAGAATTAAGGGTCTATAACTCTCCCTTGCCAGCGACACTTCTACCTATACGACGGGGAGCGACGTTCTTATTGATGGTGGATACATGCTTCCATGAGCATGAGTTTATAGATTGCTTGAATTGAAAATCAATGCTCCTGAGATTGCTTTATATACTGATGTAGCATATCCTAGGGTAATTCATTAGTTGATTCATCACACGAGAGTGATGAAATGAAGTGGGTCCGCAACATAGGGGTTGAGGTTGAAAAAATCCAATAATACTTTTCCAATTTCGAAGATCCTCTACTGGCTCAACGTTTGGATTCAGCTACAAAGTGGTTGGCAAGCTTACTGGTCAGGTTCGCACTCTCACTCCGAAGAAAACTAACAGTCATAGAGTAGAATCACGAAATAATACATTTCTGTATGCACTTCCTGTTAATCATGTGTTGGTCTTGCGGTAGTTTAACTCGTTTTTTTGGCGGGTGAAGATTCGCTTCCACCATTGCATCTAGTATCTCATTTATGCCTGCTCCTGTAACTGCAGAGCATTCAAAGTATCCGTGTAAACCATTCTCGGCGATAAAACTTGTAATATTTTGACGCCATTGGGCAATCTTCAATTGACCCACAAGCGCAGAGTTGTCATCCAATAAATCACCTCGACATCCGACCAGAAATACCGTGGGGTTCTTTCGTGATTTCAATCTCCTATCGGATACTTCCATACCACCTATTGCATCCCACAGCCTCATATTTAGCACTTCCCATGCCCCGTCAGGGTTGCCCCAGATCATCTCGTCTAGTGCATAGCAAATCAGGGCGATATCAACATAACCATACATGACACCTAATAGCGGCAGAAAACTTTCGTAATTTTAGAGTCTTCCCAAAATTCAAAGACCTTAGCATATTTGGACTCTTTTGAACGTGTCTCCATCCTGAGCATCAGTGGAGCTTCAACCATGACAGACATTACACTATTAAAGCGATCCTCCATTGTTTTCTTTAGAAAGGATAGAAGACAAGACTTTCCAGCACCGTCTGGGCCGGCGATAACGACTTTCATCCGAGGATCTTGCATGCCTTTGACTTATGTGTTAGAGACGAGGATAACTCAGGAAAAGCTTGCAGTGAATACTTAAAGCCATCAGCGTTTTTCGAAGAAGACCAAATCTCGGAGCCGAGAAGGACTTCATGCCTTTGGAACCACCGTAGTATTTCAACGGTTGTTATTAGAGTGCTGTGCCGAGCGAGACAGGTCTTAGCTTGGATACGAGAAGGCTAATTACGAGGGTGGAGTACTTGTTCTTAATACGCCTTAGCAATCGGAATTTTGAGTCTCTCTTGTCTGTCCTCAATTCATGCAATAAGTGAGTCCATCTTTCCCACTTATGGGTGAGAAATGTCAAATTATGGAGGGTAAACAAAGTTTTTTTTCCATTATTGTTACAAAAGATTTCAGACTTGCGATATCTCCAGTAACTTACTTCTTGAGGGTTTGCTTAGTAATCTGATACAGCACAGCAACCTCTATTAATTATTTAATATGAATATCAATCACATTTCCATGTCCTGTCATCATTTCCGGGACCTCTTGTGGGTAATGAATTGTCGGCATCTAATTAATAATTATTGCCACCTTAGATAGCTAGGGGTACAGTTTTCTGGTTGCCAGAAGTTAATGCATGAGTACTAAAATTCAAAATTGAATAGATCTTTATTTTTAGCATATATTCGTATTAAGTTGACTATCCAATTGCTAGGGAAGAAGTATACTTGATTAGATAACTAACATCAGACAGAATATTTGGTTTTCTCTTCTATTATTTCTGACGCGCTGCCTACACCACCGACACCCTCAAGAACAGTCGTAAAAGTACCGAAATAATCCTCATCATCCTGTACGCCGAGACCAGTAATAGGTGAGACTCTATGAAGGACATAGTATGTCACAACACTCAGCAAACAGCCTAGAATATAAGACAGGTCATATAGGTTTGACCATCCTGCCCACGGATCAGCGGAGCCTTGCTGTACCATCCGTGCGAATCCCGGTAATGTTATCCAGACTCCCATCATCCAGGCGACAAAAGCACGCCAATTATATCCCTTCTGGTACCAGTAGATACTCTTGGAACTGTACTCGTAAAGATCACTCAGTTTGAGAATTTGTCTGCGAACCAAGAAGTAGTCGCTAAACATCACACCAGTCATGGGTCCAATGAAGACGCCGTAACCACCAAGAACAGTCAGGAATTTGCTGGCACCATTTAGCAGAGACCATGGCTGCACAATAAATGAGATCATTGACAGCAAGATCATCCCCCGCCGGATTGTGAAGTAACGTGGGAAAAGCCCAGATAGATCGAGTCCGGCTGCAACCCCATTATTGGCGACCACCATACCAAACTGAGCAATCATGAAAGAGAGGCCGCCAAAAGCCACAGCAGCGCGTGAACGAGACGAATTTCCGTAATGGGCTTGAAGGGCACTGTATAGATCGTACGGCGCCCAGAGTAAGGTTCCTTCCTGCTCCGGAAATAGTTGAGCTGCACAGGATGTGCAAATAATTCCGATCAGAGCAACAACGATTGTTCCCATGGGTACCATAACCAGTTGTGCAAGGATCTGATCCTTTGGTTTTCGTGCGTAGCGAGTATAGTCAGACTGAACATAGACATGTACGCTCATAGAGTTGATCATGGTGCAGATACCGAGTACCATCATCCAACCCAGGTGACTTCCAGTTGCTTGACTAACTCCGGACACTGTACTAACATTTGTGACCAGAGTACCGACTCCATGAGCTTTTGCCATGAACCAGATCCAAGTTACGATGATAGTCGGTATCACCGCGGTACAGGAAATGAGAAAGGGAATCTTATACTTTTCTGGCTTGATCCAAATAAATGGGTAGTATAAGACAGTGAAAATAATAAATGAGGTGAAATCTCCAGTCGTCATTGTCCCACCAGCCAGAGAAGTATTAACATTGGCAAATGAGGGCCATATCGCCGTTAAGACAACCTTGACACATTGCCCACCCCAGTAAACCTGAGTCGAGAACCAGATACATGCCAAAAAGACTCGCTGAATCACAACAAAGGCAAACCCGTTGACTCCCCATGGAGCTCTTTGAATGATCGGAAAGCCGATGTGCCATTTTGCTCCCGGCGCACCAGTCATCACGCAGAGGAAACCGACAATAACGTTTCCTATGATGACTGTCAACATGGCCTGCCAGACATTTAATCCATAAGCGATTAACGATGAGCCAGTTGTCCAGCCTCCAATGTTGAAGGAGCCCGTGATCACCCACAAGGTGACGAATTCCCAAGGACCAAATGTTCGCCTAGCCGGCTCTAGAGGACGAGTGTCAGGGTTGAGGTTTTTCAGCGAGTCATATCCCTCTCGATCTTCGGCATGATCGTCACCGTCATTCTTCACTTCGAGGTATTTGAACAAATTCCGTATGGCGGCCATATTAGCACTGCGGTTCCAGTTGCTTGTTTTCCAAGAGGATCCCGGGTTGTTCAATATCCATATACATATGGGGGGGAGAGGGGGGGAAAACAAATATCAGTAAATTTCCTGTGCTTTATACTTGTCGTTCGTACCTGCGCAGTACATCTTCCCGCGATAATTGAACGGCCAGATAGGGCAATCAACTTATCAAATGTGGTAATAGGAGATAAGCGATTTGGTTCACCAGTTTATCCGCTACGAGCCAATCAGAGATCCTATATATAGTTTACCCTTATCTTTGTGTCGCCAAGGTTTTAACTAGTTGGCTCACTTAACAAGCGCATAAACTGATAAACTCAAGATGTTCAGAGTCGGAACTAGTACTGAATTGTCCTAGACAGGATATTATATATAAACCTAACGTGTGCCATTGTTGACTGAGAGTGCCTCAGTGAGAGGAAAGTGCGAGCAATTTTGGCACAATTTCTTATCAATGATGTCTACCACCGTTATCTCCACCAATGCCAACACGTCAAAGACGATTCGCCTGACAAACGGTAAAAATTTCACCTATGTCTCCAATGCGGCATCCACAGAAGAGTCAATTCCTATCATTGACGTGTCGCGCATGTATAGCGATAAGCTGGCCGATCGTCAAGCCTTGGCTGAAGATATTCGACAAGCAGCTCATAGTATTGGGTTCTTCTGTATAACGAGTCATGTAGGTGTTACCCCTTGCCTTTCCCTTTGTTAGGTATCAATGACAATAAGCTAAGATGTGTAGAATATAAACATGGAGCTGGTCTCAGATGTGATGGAGCAAGCTAAGGGGTTTTTTGCTCTTCCAGAGGAAAAGAAAATGGAAGTGAGCTCGGAACTCATACCGGACGAGTATTGCGGATATCATGGAATGCAGCGATACAACCCTAATGGCTGGAAATATAGAGGTCAGACCCCTCTCATCCATTCTTTTTGTTGGGATCAACACTAATGATGCTGAATATAGACCTGTACGAAGCGTTCAACTGGAACTATAACCCGGCTAAAGATCCCGATCATCCAGACCCGTTGACGCCACAAATAAATCTTTGGCCAAAGGACATGCCCGAATTTGAAGAAAAGCTCAGTGCTTATCAGACTGAAATGATTCGGTTTGCACGTCGACTAACACGCATGTTTGCATTGGCCCTACATGTCCCAGAAGACTTTTATGACGAGCACGTGAAGCAGCCAGAAGCCGGTTTACGAATTCTCCATTACCCACAGCAAGAAGCACGTCGAGATGAGCAGAATGGCATTGGCGCTCATACTGACGTCGAGTTCTTTACCATCATCACCTCAGACGCAGAAGGTCTGGAGGTCCTTAGTAAATCGGGTCATTGGATCAAAGTCAAGCCTATTCCGGGTTGTTTGGTGGTGAATATCGCTGATTGCTTTATGCGACAGACGAATGACTTCTTTGTGAGCACAGTTCATCGGGTTATTAATGAGAGTGGCCGGGAGAGATATTCCGTACCCTTCTTCTGGGGTATCAACCGGAAGACCCTCTTGAGTCCTGTGCCAACGTGTGTCAGTGAAGAGAATCCGAACAAGTATCCAGTCATGACTGCGGGAGAGTATTATCTCTGGCGAACTAGGAGACAAAAGAGATCATGGCTGGTAGGTGAGAATCAGAATGAAACTTCTACAGAGTAGTGCAGTCACATCTGAACTCTAGTTGTGGTAAAAAGAAAGAAAAAAAATGTGCATTTAGAAAAGCCCTACAAAATCTTCCCAAGCCGCGGGCCAAGGGATCCGCTGAAGTACATCCAAAGGAACCATTAATTGCTGTGATATTAAATCCAAAGAATTCGTATTTCCTTGAGATCCATCATTACCAATGGAGGTGGTGGTATTTCCATTTTTTGCAATCTGCGGCATGGTAAGAAACCGATCGATATCTTCCACGTATGCACGAAGACGTTGACTGGCTTCCATTGCAGATGTCATACATGATGAAAGGCTCTCAAGCAGCTCCGACATGCAAAGCCTAGATGTGTTACTTAGAGGGTGGTAAAAAAACGGGTTATTATGACATATCGCAACTTACATGACAGTCCTCAAATGATGATAATCAGACCTAGACAGTCCCTGAGTAATAAAGCTGTTCAGGATATGTCCGAAACCCGAGAGCTCTTGTAACTGCAAGAATATCCACGTCAGAACAAATAATATTCAATTTAATTGTCGTCAATAGCAATCTGGCTTACCATAGCCAACCCCATTGCACGCAGATATTCAATGGGTATATTTGATATTTCGTCGATTAATTCAAGCACTGTCTGACAGGCTTCGTCGAGAGTTGTTGTGTGATAGGCACTAAAAGTAACCATCCTCAAAAGCTTCAATGTTTTATATTTAGTTGAATGTCTGTATGGTAGATAGTATGCGTACTGACCTGGTACGTACATGCGATGTTCGCCGTTTGATAGCCACATCGATTTCTCCGGACATTCGATGAGACTGGCATGGCTTTCATGAACCGGTCGGGCAGCCCACGGCGTGCTGCAGCGAGGGGATCCAGTATCTTCTTCTGAGGGTCATAGTCTAGAATAAAAGAAGTTGATAAATACCGATCATCCAGTTTAGTCGATGCACGTCGGTATTTGAATTGGGAAATAACATGTTCGATACCTCTATACAAGTCTGTGACAAAATTCCACCCACTGAGCCATTCGAATTGACCGTCGTCAGACTTGGTGAGGTCATTGTCTTGTATTGTGGGATAGGCAACAGATGATTGCAACTCTGGACATCTAATAACATGTCCAATAACTAGAGAAGTGTGAACCTCAAGGCGATACATGTGCCAGAACAGACGCCTTCGTTCTTCTCTCTCAATTCCAGTTAGATCGCGGGGCCACCTTTTCTCGTCACAAAAACCTTGCTCAGCCACTACAGCGTGATACAGTCCAAGAACTTGATGGAGAAGTGGCTCATCACTGTAGTGAAGGGCTGTCAAGCAAGCTAGTCCAATGGCTTGTAGACTTTCAAATTCTTCGAAGTCGTTCACGTCGTCCGGAAGAGCCTGAAGCGCTTCGTCAAAGTATAATTTTGGATCCAGGTTACTCGGTACATGTCTTTCGTTCAGGACAGACCCATTTTTGATCCGAAGCGCACTCACAGCGCACATTGCCATAAGTCTAGAGTATGAACCACGGCTATCCGGCATTCTACGGTTATTCCAGCGTTCTCTGAACGTCTGCTCGTGTATAGTAATGGCCCTTTTTTATATATTATCAGCTATAACGTTCCTGAATTTCACCCAGAATGAAGGAAAACGGACACTGGGTATACGGATTCAAAAAAATTATCAATCAGTATTTCGATCAATGTCATCGGACCATGTATGGACTCGCTTAAAGTCCATGGTGCTGCTACTCGGCTTTTATATCGAGGTTTGGTTCCTCTCTTCGCTGGCACTCGACTCCAGGTGCATGCTACTCCGTAATCGATGCAAGTAGCACATTGCAAGGAACTTTCATTCTCCCTTTTGCAACGACGACCTCTCTTATGACAAAAGTCGCAAGCTCGGGTTGCACGTCGCGACTTGGCTTTTGGCTGTGAACTAATCATAAGGAAGGTTATACTGTCCTTTTGCTTTGAAAGTAGAAGATACTGGCTTTTAGAGGTTTATATATAATACAAGCCTTGATATTTTAAAGATATAAGTTGACTGTAAAATATTGTCAATTTGTATATCGTTGCAATGCCGATATCGCACATTGGAACAGGCTGACGGTCACGTGATAAGATAAAGATACCACACGAGGGGACAACATGCGAAGGAGTTTGCGAGTCTGTCTGTGATCGAAAATATTGTTCTCGGTATCAATTGATCCTTGTCGAGCTAATTTATGCCATAAACACCAAATGAACCAGAAATCCTACATTTCTAAGATGATTGGCATTCACAGCCTAATATTTATATTCCTGCACAATATTCATTCTCTTGTTATAATAAGAATGGAGTATGTGTACAGAAAATGGATAATCTCCCTCCTTGATAGATTGTCCAGTAAAAGCTAAAAGTTTTACAAGTTTATGATTTAAAGTGTTTGAATTTATTTCATCAAAATATTTCCTCCGACAGCAGCCTAGAAGAGAAGGAAAAGAAACATATATTATTGAAAATTTTTCCAATTGGACCTTGTTTGTGGGCAATTTCCCTTTGCCAGAAGTATAATTAGCTCGAAATGTTCGTCATGCGGCGAGTCTACAGACTTTTCTTTGTTGAGATCCTGTCATGACGTTAGAAGTCAAAGCTCTTCTAAGCTAAAAATAAATTCATGTTAATGGATACTATATCAGTCTTCGAGGATTTTATATTCTTTGTGTCCTCTTTTTCTTAGAAGGATCTGCAAAGCTGTTCCGACTCCGACAAAACATGACCATCGAGTTTCACACAGCATAGAGCTTTTTCTTTTTCACTCAGCCAGTAATTTACCCTCAAAATGAAACCATCAGGGCTAGCTTCAGCATCAATTCTCTTTGGCCTAGCTCTCTCTAAGTCTACTATCAGTATCCCGTCCAGGCCGCGCCAAACCTATCCGTACATGCCAGTTTCCATCGATCTTTCCAGTCCGCATGCGCCGCTTGGGGATGTCGTAATTGGCGCCCACATAGTAGGGGCTATGATGACTGAAGGAAACTATTCCCATATAAGCGGTACATTCACAGTACCTACCCCGGCGGTGCCTCCAGGTGGCAAAGCTAGCAATATGTACTGTGTGCGAGTTGAACTAAGGATGTGTTCTGACTGTATTTCGGGGCCGGTGTATACCATAGGGTCAAGTTCTTGCACTGAAAATGGGTCTTACATGTTTTCTTTGTATTACGAGAATGGGACACTTCATCCCTATGCTAGTGCTAGTGATGAGATTCGCATAACCGTAGACGCATATGCAGGCAACTTTACCGTTGAAAATCTCAGCCTCGGCGAGAACACTAGCAAAGTTTTCGTCAACAACCCGCATCGTTCGTTAACTATGTCTCGGGTGGTCTGGGGCATGGAGCTTCCATTTGAGTCTGAAACAGCAGACTTTGGCACTGTGCAATTCGGGGATTTCTCTGCGGTCAGATATAGCAAACTAGTTGATTTAAATGGGAGCAAGCCGTTGAGGCTGCTTTTTAACAACTCTAACCCGCAGTTCACCATCGCGCCCACAATTACAGATCACTCGATGACAATTAAATATCCAGTTAAGTGAGAGTGGGAACTGAGGGACGAAACAATAATTATCAATGAGTTACTAACAATAATATAAAAACACACAATACCATGAATGACCATATATATATCTGAAGAAGCTAAAGGATATATTATGAATTTTATTAATGCTATAGTTGGGGTAGAAAGGATAGAGCTGCTAAGACAGTGGAGACACTATCAATTAATGAGGTGAGGGTCTCCGAGAGACTCATCTGGCAATCTAGTGACGGATAATATAAGACTGAAATCGAATAGCCTGCATTCTCAGCCAGTTCGGAACCTGTGGAACGATCCTCGTGGAGCAAAATATCTAGAATTTTCGGACCAGATCGCGATTAGGATTACTCCAACACAAACTCTTCTCCGGGTGACGAAGGGACGTTGTGAGATCGTCTGCTATCCTCAGCTTATTAATGCCACTGTTGGTAACTTTCGACATTCTATCTCCGGCATTGGTACATAATAGCATTACTTTAATGGCCTCAGGATCAGGTACTATGGCGACTTGTAACGCCATACCCGATTTGAGCGGGTCGTATTTCACTTTGGATTGCGATGGCTTACAAAACGTCTCTAATTTGCGGCTGCCTGCGGTGCCTAAACTAGTCTGTCGAATTCCGATCCTCTTCATGACTTTACACATTATTCGGTCTTGCGTTCATTTATTAAGTGCCTGGTTCAACCCAGAAAGCAGAAGAGACTACAAGAATAGAAAATTGTCAGGATAGAGAAAATGGTCGGGAATACAGGAGATCGAGACCAAAAGAGGTTTACGCTTAAACTAATTTCAGACCCATCCTATGCCGTCCAGCTTGCCGTCGCCAAACATTGCGCCTTCAAAGACAACCCTTTGAACAAAACAATGTATCCCATGGACGACGAAAATGTATCATTGCCATGGCTAGCCGAGCGTGAGCGTCGGGCCATTATGGAGGGCAAATCAACAATAACTGTTATAATAGACAACGACGATAGCGGTGCCGACGGCGAGAAGATCGCAGCATATGCCAGATGGAAAATTCCGGCGAAATTCCGCCCTGAGAATCCTGATTACAAGCAGAGGGATGACGAAGACAAACAAGAGGGTGGTATATCTGTAGGCGCAGGATCCACTGCTGCGCTGACAGTGGCCGAGGAGCTTGATGGCAGGAAATACATAGAGCCACCTTTACCTGCCGGGTCAAATGTGCCTCTTGTAACGGAATTTCGAGCAGCATTAAATATGTTGAGGAAGACTTACTGGAATGAAGAAACCGAATATCGTAAGTGATCATGATCTACATGTGCAGGCAATCTAGGGAATTTTTAAATGCTGATATCAGTACGAATAGTTCTAGGCTCTCTTTCAACAGACCCTAGCTACCAAGGGCAAGGCTGTGGATCTCTGCTTCTCGACTGGGGTGTGCGGCATGCCGATGCTAATGGAGCGGCTATCTATTTAGAATCTACACCGGTTGCTCAAAAGCTTTATAAAAAATTTGGATGGAAGGCCGTCGATAGGATGGAGTTGGATCTCGGGAAATATGGGGGGCCTAATCTCATGCATGGCCTCACAGCTATGAGAAGAGAGGCACGATCGACTTCTTCATCATAATTCAACATCGATCGTCTCGTATTCTGAATTCACCAAGTTACCAGTGAAACAGATTGGATGCATGAGGTGGCATAAGCCAAGAGCGCTGCTGCCTCCGGGTGGTTTAAGTGAATTAATGGTGCAGACGCCGCAGCCTAACCCTAACTATCCATAACACTCTCCTTGCATAAGTATCCTGGTATGCGTCCATGTCTACAACTCGATGTTACATTAAGAGAATGGGATAAATGACTCAAAATTTAATAACCAATTAAAACATACGCTCCATTGTTGAAGTAATACATAATAGAAACAAATCTAATCTTATTTCTATCATTCGAGCTTTGTGTCACATTCTTATAAAAATAAAAGATAGTGTCTCACCTTACCCTTACACCGCCAACTGGAAAACAAAGAACCTAAATGAGAGTCTTTGAATATGCCAGGTCGAAATAAATCACTTGATAATATCACATTGACTCAACTTCTTGAAAGAACAGAATCACAGAGAAAAGCCATCTGCATCTGTCTTAGACAAGGTTAAAACAGGGCCAGTAAAAGGACACCAAGAAAGCAATCAATGCGGGGAATGATCGACGTGGATGATGAAGTATGTCTTTCACCCAGCCGAATTAGAGTCGACTTAAGTTGTAATTTACTCGTCACAGTGATCCTGCTTATATAATGTTTTACCAAACGGTGCATCTTTCTTGATAAGTGAAAACATAGCACTCGGGCGATTATCTTTATAAAATCAACGAAGCAATTTATTTTTTAAAGAGAACTAGACTAGTATTTCTTGAACTTGCGTGAATGTATAGATGAAATGTTTAAGGGCAGACACTACTGATCAATTACATTATACCAATTGTCGGCATAGTGAGATTATATAGTGCTAACGCCTTTATGTGCCAAGTTTTTCCACCCCTCAACTCCTTACTCAACAGTTTATTGTCAGAAAAAATATGCGATTAGATATCCACTAGAAATCCTTACTAAGTAAGGGTTGCGCCCTTTTTGATATAGTGGTTAAAAGTGCGACATTTATCCAAATTCATGCTATTTGACCACAAAACTGTTTTGTTTTCATCCACAATTACGACTCTAACTCTTGTTAACTATCCTTCAAGCTCAGAACCTACTACTCCCTTAACTGCGTCTCTTTTCTATAGCTGAAACATAATGGATCTGCTTTTCACCGTTCTTGAGTGTATTCGCGGCCCGCCTGCTGAGAGCGGAGCTGAAGCAGAGCTCAAACGCAAATCCTGTGGATTATCCACATCATATCGCAGACCAGAAGATGTCGCCGAAGAGGTGATTCACATAATTATGACAACTGAAAAGCGGGGTTCTGCTCTACAATCTAGAATTCAAGGTACTGTCGACACAGAAGGATGGACAGAGGGGATTGCAAAAGCTATTCTAGACAAATTGCGACAAATTATCGAGAACGGGCAGAGCGACATGGGCGCTGTTTTGCAAGAAATCATTAACTTTACAAGCCAAATCGTGGAAGATTTTTTCCAATTTGCAAGAGATCACCCTGTTGCTATAACTATCTTTTGTACTCTCATCGCCCTCGGGGTTCTCTTCCTGATTGCGCCATGGATTATTGAAGCTCTGGGCTTCAGTGCGTCTGGTCCGATTGAAGGTAAAAGCATCGCACGAATAGTAAAGAGAAAGGTCGCTGACTGAACACGATATAGGATCCTTTGCTGCGTGGTGGCAATCAACATACCGTGGATATGTTTCACGGAAGTCTCTATTCGCATTTTTTCAGCGACTGGGAATGGTAGGCATTGATACTGTAACTTCTATCAGCCCAACCAGACCGGCAAATATCGTTTGTAATGAGTATGTAGGGACCATACACTAGTAACAGGTCAAATACATCTTAAAATTATCGTCTCCATGTTAGGAACGAATTAAGCAAACGATGTGTAAAAAGGTATCAGATTCTAGAAGTTCCATAAATATTGTAGCTCAATTTGAGAAAGCTTGGTGGTGATGAACGATTATGCGGTGGAGAATGTTTACAGGCAAACGTTCCAGAGCAATACAATGCACCAAGATTATATGTGGCGAGAAATAAATGTAGCACATCTCATCTCAACCTGGCCAAGCGAAAATAAAGAGAGGTGGACCTTTCATGCCGCTCACCGACGATGCCAGAGTTCCAAGACAATATCCATGTGATGTGCATAGAGTGTCTCATAAATTCGCAATTTACAGTAATGGAGGTGGATCCAGATATCTGCGATTCCTTGAATGAAATGATTTACAGCAGGCTTGGCTTTCCTGCATTTGGTCGTGGGACTTGGCAATTGACACGTGAGCAGTGTTTCCTTCATATGACTTGGTCAGACAAGAAATTATAAAAGGAATTGAAATGTCTGCCAAAAGTCCTTTGATTCTAGTAAATAAAAGAGAGATGGAAACCAAGATTTATACATCTGCAAAAAGCAATTCTTGAACACTGATCTATTAAAATCTGTACAAGTGATCAATTTAAATTCTCACTCCTGGTTGTCTACTATTTGGAGATCAACCCATCAACATGAAGCTGATCCTTAATTTTCTTACCATAATGGTTGCTACTGCCTTGGCTGCTCCGACTACACCACAGGCTGCAGCCGCTACGGCGATTGACGTCGCTTATGACAATACATATGACAATGGTGACTTGTCGACCAGCAAATTGGCTTGTTCCGACGGCTCCAACGGGCTTATAATAAAAGGATACAACACTATTGGTGCTTTACCTAGCTTTCCTCTTGTGGGCGGTGCACCAACCATTGCTGAATATAACAGCCCCAACTGTGGTGCATGCTATAGTATCACCTACAACAGCCAGACCATCTATGTAACTGCCATTGATGTAGCAGTTAATCGGTTTGTGCTTAGCCAGGAGGCTCTGGATCAGTTGACTGACGGACAAGCCGTGCATTACGGTCATGTCAGTGCAACTTACGACGTTGCTTCTCCGTCAAACTGTGGATTTAAGTGAGACCGTTGGTGGAGGGTGGAGTTCTTGGGTGAAACGGTGCTGGTAGTGCATGATACACGGGTGTAATACCGGGCTTTATTTATTAGGATGTCATCCAGATCTCGGAGCTTCAATGAAAGGCGATGGTGTTGACGAGTATAGTAAAAGGTTATCATATCTAGGTTAATCAAGCGATTGGTTTTGAGTAAAGCTTGCAAAAATAAAGAATCAACGGATACACATGTATCTATGAATGCAACATATATGTATGATTCACACACAATCACGTATTCTGAGCAAAACAAGTTCGTATAATTGAACCATATCTTCTGCTATATCGTTACTTCCACAAGTGTCGTCGTATCTTGCCGGTGAATATACGAGACCAACAGATCTTTCCGATTTGCGCCTTTTCTGTTCTGCTGGCAGGACAACTCTTTGTTTTGGCAGTTTTTGCTTTCCTCCAGCTAGTATGTCAATAATACTGGAGAAAGTCACCCCGATTTCCACTGCGAAAACGCAAATAAGACATATCCAGAAGGAATTGAAGGACTTCAAGCTAGTGAGAAAGACCGAACGATTGCACCGTTCGTAAGAACTGATTAACCGTTTGTACGACACTTCTTCGGCGCTGAGACTGATTGGAGTTCCTTCTTCGCGTTCCAGACTTCCAATAACAGGCATTGATAGAAGATCAAATGAGTCATGTCGTTTCTCAAGCTCGTGTTCTAGCAAGAATACTGCTGTCTCATAGCCGGATTTGTCTCTTTGTTGGGCAAGTCTGGCGAATGACAGGATCTGCATGAGAACATTTGTTGTACTGTAATCATCCTCAGTACTACCAACACATATTTCGAGCACACACCACGGTCTTCGCAATACGATCAATAGTGTCTGGATAACACTATGATGTCCGATGATGCAATGATTCTTATACAAACAGGCATTCAGCAGAAAGCGTGGTCTGCTCTGTGTCAGAATGTCCACTTGGGATGTTTGTCCCCGGTGTGGAAGGGTAGATAGCGAAGTAGGCAGCGAATGCAGTTGGCGTGAGGAAGCCCCCTCGCTGCAATCGGCTGTTCCCAAGCCATCCCAGGAAGTGTATATCGGTAAATTCGCCGAAATACATTTCGCCAGCTCGTTTAGCCTTTCGATATAAGTTCTGTCTCGGTCTACCGAACAAAGAAGTATATCCAGCCAGGACTGCGGCAAAACAGCGGTAGAGTAGATTGCAAATGTCGTACTGGGCTTATATTTTCCGTTGATAGTATCATTAAGGAGACATACTCCACCCCCTTTGTCAAGTCCTGCACAAGCTGACAGCAGAGAAGTGGTTGGAGACGAATCTACCGGGACTGTATGCTTTGAAATAGCGGCCTCCAGTGGAATATTGTGCGATGAATGTATGCCATTTTTCAAATTCATTTTGAGTGGTGAGATATATCGCTTTCATGTACGCGAAACATTTTTCTTGGTTTATATGTTTCTGATACTTGTCTTGAAATGTAATTAGGTTGCCCTGTCAAGAACTCGCCATTTGAAAATGTTGACACTGGATGATATAACGCGGGGTCGTCTATCGCACAGCGAAATGTTATAGGAACAAACTGAGCAGGCTTGATAGTTTCAGGGAGAACAAAAAACAGTCAAAGGAAAAATTCGAGAAATGGAAGACCAAATAGAGAGATTCTGGACAGTCATTTGGAAGGGCAAACCTCGACCCCACGTGAGAGGCGCAGTCTTGTCGGATGACTCTTTGGAGCCACGCCAAGACATTGTGATATACGATTATAAATTTAAGCCAATGACGCTGATACGAGAATGCGATATTATAGATAGCTTCCGCATAAACTTGTAAATTGGTATATATTCTGATCTTAGGTGATATCATCAATGACATTGGGAAATAACGCCATGCGCCATGCAGCTCATCCACCGGTTCATTTCAACTGTTACAACGCAAGAAAATCGTGATCGCGTGACAACATAGATGGAGACATATTCTACAAAAAGTATTCACTACGCCCGGGTCTTGACGCAGGAAGATGTCGCTGGTCATCGCCGACAGCGCTGAACAGTTTGAATGTTGGTTTCAGGTCCTCGCGCACCTCGCACACCGATGCCAGATTACCACATCGATAGCAGTAGTTTGGTGCGCTCCACACGGTAGCCACATTTTGCTTATCGAAATGGTATTTGTAACCTTCGTTGACAAGCTGGTGAGCTCGCGCGATCAGGTTGAGGTCGTTGACATGGCAGAATTCTTCGGCGACTTTGTCTCCGAAAAGCCATCCTGCGTATGCTCGTTAGAAGAAATATCCAAGGATTTGCTTTAAGGGATCAGGTACGAACCAGCTCCTCGCGGGCTGACAGCCCATGTCTCAACGTCTTCTGGGTCAGACCAGACCAGGTCACAGAATGCTCCTTCATGAGGAATCTCTTGAGCCCGCGCGACTACGCGCACTTGGTCAAGTGTTCTGATTTCCGGGCTCAGTCCGCCATGCACACACAACACTTTTCCATCAATAATGGCGCCTAGCGTCATGAAGTCGAAGACCTGACAACACGCTTTCCAGACAGAAGCATTCCCATATTTCTGGAAACATTCCTCGTAGAAACCATAGACTTGGGTGATTTGCCTTGACTCGTGATTACCTCGCACTAGTGTGATGCGGTCGGGATATCTAAACTGGTCAGTCGAGACTCGCACTCCGAAGATGGAGCCAACTCACTTAGCCTTTAGACATAGTAATAAAGTCAATGTCTCTAAACTGAAATATCCTCGATCTACATAGTCTCCGAGAAAGACAAAATTCCCGGGAGGCGAAGCAGAAACGCCATCTTTTGACACTACACTGCCAGATCGGCCCCGTCCAGATGCCGACGCATTATCGTCCGTCTCCTCTAGATCATCTGCATTTCTCACCTTTTTTCGCAGTTTCGGGTCTGTTATTGTTGACGGGGGTTCGATATCTGCGGATGTGATGACTGATGGAGCGGTGATCGGGGCTTCGACGTTCGTCTCGTTGGGCATTCCGCCCGCCACACGAAATAGTTCAAGCAGGTCGTAAAACTGCCCATGGATATCTCCGCATATCGTGACTGGCGAGGATACAGGTTGAATATTTGATTCTGGAACAAGTGAATGAGTCTTGCGAGCTGTGAACCTGGTCGATCAAAACATACCCTCCATCATAAACTCCTTGACAATATCACACAATTGTTTCATGTGGTGCTCTGATAGGTACTTGCAGTTCTTGGATGCTTCGAGCCATTCGTCTGGGCCAGCATTATGCCTGAGCTTAGCTGGTCCAGGCGATGGAACCTGGTGTTCCGTCATGCTGTGATGTAGACGACGATTTGTAAGATGACTAAATGAAGGGGGACGGCGTTTCGGTCAGCCTTGCACTGGCGAGGAGGCTGAAAAAAGGAAAGAAAAAAGAGTCAACAAGTACAACTAACAAATCAAAGACGGTACGAGGTCCCAATATGCCTTACAGACGTTTCTTGTCTGTCTGGGACAGTGGCCAGTGAGGTCTGGTGAGGAAACGCAGTGTGCGGGGAGTTTGTCCGCTTCGCCGTGATGGCGTTGCAGCGTCTTTGGTCTTACCCGCGCCCCGTAGTTGGTTCAGGCCTTGCCCTGGAGGTTTCTGATGAATGGATGACTGGGCCCGACGACCTGATTACAACTCACAAAGGCGCTGAGTATAACTCACATTTTCGGTGTTGCAAGTTTTTTATGTCGAGTATCTGTACCGTCACCGGCTGCCTGGCGTGACTGCATAACTGCCATTCCCCGCACCGCTTCTTGGATTCACTGACTACCTCAGTCGTCTTTTCGATAACACAACCACTCCGTGCGGCATATCAAGATCAAATATGTCACAAGCTTCCTCTGGAGGCAAGCCTGCCGGTGTTCTTCAAATTCCCGTTTCCGCTACACAGAAAGGAACCCCCACACCTGCAAAGAGCGCCCCGAAGCCTCCTGCACCAAGATTGAAACTCATCGTTCGTCGACTTCCACCAGGGCTTACCCGGAGTGAGTTTGAGACAGGTCTGGGGGATGATTGGAAACTAGGATCTGGTCAGGTCGACTGGTTCCAGTTCAAGCCGGGCAAAATTTCAAAGGAGTATGCTTGACGTCACTATATCAATAATTTCGTGGATGCATCTAATTATATTGACTGCAAAATAGCCCCGCCAAGCCATCTAGACCAGCAAGAGCCTATCTACATGTTCTATCAGAGGCAATGATTCCTTCTTTATTCGAAAAAGTCAAAAACACGTCCTTTCACGATGCACGAAACAGCTCAAACGACCCTGTACTCGTGGGGCCGCCATCCGTTGAGTTTGCCCCTTACGCTCGCCTTCCCGGGAGTCGAATACGAAAAGATGGACGACAAGGGACCATAGACCAGGACCCTGACTTCGTTTCTTTCCTCGAGAGCTTGACAAATCCCGTTGCCAAACTCGCGACAGGCGAGGCTGACGGCGAGAAAAAGGAAGACGAGGAAGTGAATATTACGCCATTAGTCCAATACATCAAGGATAAGAAGGCAAACAAAGCTAAGGAAGCTGCATCAAGCAAAGCTTCCAAACGCAGCAAAGAGAAAGAGGCCAAAGCAGAGAAGGCAGAGGCCAAGAAACTGTTGAAACGACCCGACAAAGAGTCCACGTCGCTAGCTACGCCTTCTTCACCAGAGAAGAAAGGTGCTTCTACACCGGTGAAGGTTGAAAAGGCTACAAAGGAAGCGGCGAAGGCTGCTAACAAGCAAGCTGCTGCTGCTGCGAAATCGAAGCAATCTGCTAGCAAAGATTCTACACCACAATCTCCTACCCGCCCTGCTGCGACCGACCGTAAGCGGGAACGGGGCGACGTTAGTGCTGCAGCAAAGATTTTACAGAGGGATTTGGGGCTTGCGCCTTCTGGTGGCAGGCGACGTGGGAAGGGTGCTGCAGCGGCTGCGGATGACACTACCAAGAAAGATACAGCTCAAGAATCCGGGTCACCAACTCCAACAGTTCCTACCGGACCCAAGGGATCTAAACAGAATGCGAAGACCGCTAAAGAGAATACGTACAAGGATAACACGCCCAAGGTGATCGCGTCCAAAGCAAATGTAAACCTAGCTGCAGAAGGAGTCACGCCAGCTCCCCGTACCGATAGCCCGACTGCTACGAAGGAAGGTGCACAAAAACCAGCAAAGCAACCCAAGGCCAAACAACCTCCTCCTGTATCACCGACCGCTACCCAAGCATTTGTCAAGCACGCGAATCCATCCCAAGGTGTGACAGAAGAGCTCCTCGATACTGCGTTCAGTGTTTTTGGTCGCGTGACCAAGGTGGAAATTGATCGAAAGAAGGGCTTTGGGTATGTTGATTTTGCTGAGCCCGACGGTCTGCAGAAAGCCATCGCAGCTAGTCCGGTGACAGTAGCCCAAAGCCAAGTCGTGGTATTGGAACGGAAGAATCCGCCATCTCAGGCAAAGGCGGCGAAAGCCAGTGATACAGCACAACCACCAGCTGGGGCGACAACGCTCCAACAAGCAAGTTCTAAAGAGAAACGGTCGCGAGGCACGCGTTCACGCGGAGGCAGAGGCCAGAAGAAGACAGCAGGTGCTGGCGAAGGAGACAAAGTAGAGAAGATGGACAACGCAGCGACAAGCAGCGAGGCGTAATAATGATCTAGAAAATTTCATAAGATACCCTAAAATAAATATACTATGTCTGCAATATATTGAGCCTGTTCGTGAGGCATGCTCAAAGAATGCCATTGCATTTTACATTACTAGATAGGTAGAAGAATTGTCACGGAAAAAATTTTCATATTCGAATATAGAGCTAGACATGACTAAACAGAAAGAGTTAAAAGCCTTTCAGACCTCCTCAACACCCACCAAGCCCGGCCGACCGAAGTCAGACGCCAGAAACAAGGTAAAGATCATCACCACTCCCTGGATCTGCGTATCCTCTTGCGAGGGCACAGCACGATCGAGGCGGGAGTAAACAAGCAGCGAGTGAAGCAGCTCAAAATTTCACTTTAGGGCATCGAGGACATAAGAGGTCATCAGCAAGGGTGGGTTATGTGGCTGATTTTAGAAAAACAGCAGAGGACGTCTACTAATGAAATGATTCTTTGAAGTAGAGTCGCTTAAGAAAAGAAAAAAGAAAAAGATCAAAAGGTGAGGAGGAAGTCGCTCTTTTATAACCGTCGCGAGCAATGACACTAGGCCGAGATGGTATTAGCGCCTGTTACTGCAGAGTTTTCGTTGTTTGCTCTGTTTGGCTGCACTGCGGAGCCTCAGGCACAGATCTGGCCAATAAGCGACACGAGTGCCATAAAGGATGCAGCATAATTGCCGAATTTCCTGGTTACATCAAATTGTTGATATGCCAGACCGGTTACGAGAGAATAATAGCTCCAGTCATCTAGGCCTATCCTTTTTGTGGGCCCGTTTGCGGCCTTTGTTTGTATCCAGGGCGACAGAAACGGCGGTCAACAATTGCCAGTTTCTATGATGGTATGGCATGATAATGTTGAAGATGATGATGATAGCTTTTTTCAGTCATCACGATTCCGAGATACCCAAAGTTCCGCGCTCCTCAAGAACTTATCAACCATCCTACCTTCCGGTCGGTTGTAGCAGTCATCTTGACGTGCTGCTGGCGTAGCCATGATGAACGCTATCGGTAATCTCCATAACGTCTGGGCGAGCTATGTATTCTACATCCTACTACATTATTATGCTACCTTCGGATTTGGCAAATTTGTTTCCCGGTTTCCTCTTTGGATAAAAAGTTTGAGATGATATGTTGACATGTATTTTATAGCACTTGGTAGTGCTTTCAGCTTCTTCATTGTCATAACCGCATATCTCATTAACGTGAGAACGTTGAACAAGTTGCTATGTGGGACGTTGGAGCCACAACTCCGGGCCATGAAGAGTGATGTTCTCAATAAGGCGATCTAGGATTGTCCTATATTGGTTACTGACCGGTGGACCGGATTGCATCTGACCTATAAGGGATATCCGAACGATTCACTCTCTTTTCTTTTGGGGGGTTTCGGCTTTGCAGAGTCAATCATAGTTTCTACTATGAGAAGGCGGAGCGCCCTAACAACAGTACAAGCAATCTGCATCAACAAACATATCAAACGAAAACCTAATCAATATTTCACACTATACCGTATAGTAAAGACGGTGATAGAACTACATGTACTTGGTGGTTTTCAGCCTTAGAGAGTCAGATATTTACTATCTAAGGCCAAGTAAAAGATGACTATTGAAATTCTTTTCTAGGCCCTTGATAAGAGTATCTGTAGTGATAGCGTCTCTTCAATATCATGGTTGCATATTTGATAATTCAACATTCTTCGCCTAATGCTAGGCATCGACCAAAACAAATTCAACATTTGAAGCACTCCCACACGTGTATTTTCTATCCCTAGATCTCGTCACTGTAATTGTTAGCCTTATTTAATTTGCTTTAATAGGCTCCATACTGACGTATAGGTGTCTTCAGGCATTCTAATTCCATCGTTAATAGAAACGCCCATCAATCTCCCGCCATCAACCGTAAGTAGGGCACAATTCATGTATCCTCCACCGGCACTTGACAACAACAAGACTGGTCCAACAATCTCTTCAGGTCTTCCCGGGCGACCAGCAGTAGATCTCAGAGCTGCCTTTTCTGCTGGGTGGGTAATTTTGTATTCGTGTTTTCCAGAGGCGACCCCTGTCATTTCAGACGGAAAAATGCCGGGGCAAATAGTATTAACTCGAATTTTCATCCTTCCAATATATTTAGTGTCACCTTATACATTGTTATTTTTTTAATACCACATACGGATGCAAGCGGCCGGCAAGAAGTTTGGCAAGGTGGACAGCTATGTCAAGTCAGTATATATCTTTGTCAATGGATAACAACCCGTTACATACTCGCAGCTTTAGACACGCCGTATGACAATGAGCCCATAGTTCTACATATGATCAGTTGTAGTTGCAGAATCATCTAGGCACATACCTCTGGTTTGATATTCCAGCTACTGATGCAATCACACAGACATTTGGATCTGCGGCTTTGCGTAGAAGGGGAATGAAGTTGACCGTTAAAAAGTAGACTCCGCTCACATTGACTAAATTTATTAACTTCATTCAGAAATAATTGGTGGAATCGACACGTACTTTGGTTGCTTCTGTCAAAGTCTTCCCTGTGTATGTGTCAACATATGCCGATTAATTTTTGGCTGCTAGTTACGAACTCAATTAATCCATTTATGAGAAGATTCTCAACTTGGTCCGCTGTGACATATCAGTTCCATATTGATATTGCTGATATCAAAATGGATTTGAATCTCTTACGGTCATTATGGGCCGTGGCTTTTACTCGCCATGGACTGCTGACGCCAGCGCAGTTGATGAGAGTGTCAATCTACGATATCGCATTTAGTGTCACGGGTTTGTAGGATTTCTAGAAAACTGACATGATCTTCACGCTCCTTAATGGCCCCCACAATCTTTTGACATCCCTCTTTTGTCTGCACATCTCCCTGAATTCTACTTGACCGTCAGTTTTTGAATACATTATTTATGTTTTGAGTCAACCCGCATATGAATATCTCCGCCAATTTGTTTGGCAGCAACATCTAATACTTCTTTTCTTCGACCAGAAATATACACCTTCGCGCCATTGATGGCAAAGCCCTCAGCAATGGCTTTGCCGAGGCCGGAGCCACCGCCGGTCACAACGACGACTTTCCCCTTGACGGAAAAGAGATCCTCGACTTTGAAGGAGACGTCTTGTTCGGCCATGATTGCCGTAAGCTTGCAAAAAAAAAATAGGAGAAACAAGAAGTCGATGTTTATTATTAATTGGATTAGACTCTCAAACAAAATCTCTCATCGTTTCGTCCCTATGTCCGAGTGCGGGGGTGTGTATTAAATAATCAATGTAATTAATAATTCACTAGCTAACTTCAAGCGATCGGGCAAGTATCTACTGTCGGCAAATTACCCTAATGAGTATAAAGTGCATTTCTGAGGTTATGGGATTTTCCCCGGCTATGGTGGGTGGGCCTCGGTATGTCGGGGAGTTGCAACTTGCAAGGGCTGAATGACAATGGGGCAAAGTGAGAGTAGAGTAGATAACCATGTCCCATAGACTCATTCGTATTGACCTGTACAGTGTAGTATTCCTCCGTTACTATTAACTTCTTGATTCTCATGTTGGTCTAGTATTTGCTACCAATACGCCCCCCAATTAAATTTGATAAACTTCGGGTCGTTGCTGACGACGAGCGCCCTATATTGCAGAGTAACACAATGCAGTCAAGAAATACCAGTATTACATGTGGTCATGAAAAAGGCGTAGAGATCCGCAATCGAATTGGTAATAAAGCCTCCATGCCGAACGGATGATTACCTAGTTGGGAGCTATCGAAAAGTGGTCATCTTGGTCATCTGGTCTGAATGACTTTTAAAAGGCAATAGGTTGGCCGAGAGAAACTGTAATAATGTTTGCCAAGGCTGAGAGATGTCTACGAGTCAATGTGACATGAAAGGAAGTGATGTGGGCGAAGAACCGCACTGTATTGCTCTGGAAATAGAAACGAGCTTTTGACAATTGAATGCACAGCTGCTAGGTAGTGTGAAATATCCAATATAATCAAATTTTTTGAAACGTGGGGCTTTGGAAGTCACTCAAAGTGGTTTGCCCCGACATGTTTCTGTTGGGTCAGATATGGCTTGCTGACGATCCCATTCAATGCCCTAAGGCGTTCACGGACACGTTGCAGCATTTCATGGTGTTCGATGACCAACGTATGGGAATGAAGACAGGTTTTGTAATATCAAACGCATCATATTCACTCCTCAGTCACCACTCGATCTCTATTTTTACCCTTCTTGCGAACACGCTGGTCGGTTGGATCAAATCCTCCATTTCCCCAAAGAGCCCACTCCTCTGTTTCTCGCATGTAATCTTCTGGTCGGAACGAGATTCCCTCGGTTTTCTCTTTATGTAGCAACTCAAAGAATCGGTCGTAATCAATTCTCGTATGCCATTTTCCGTCAACATTGAATCGTTCAGATGCAAGCAGAATGCAGCAACTATGCGCATGTTCTGCCCCTATACCGTATTTCAAGCCTCGTTTCTGGAGCTCGTCGTTTAGAGATGTCACAAAGGCAACCACCTCTTCATAGAATGGAACATTTTTCATGGTAAGGCCAGCACCGGCACTTGAGCTTGTGCCGCAGTACGTCACACCTTTGACCTCTACAAAGCACGGCAGGCCCTTCTCAACTAGGTCAGCATAACCTTTGACCTCGTCTTCGACATTGAAGCCTTTAACGAGAGTCAAGCGGAAGACAGTTCGTTGTTCGTTGCGTTTCTCGCGAAGAATATCTAAGCAGCGTTGAAAGCGCTCCCAGAAATCGCGATGCAACGGGCGATCAATCTTGCGTAGGCTTTCACGGTTGCTAGCATCGATCGATACATACAATTGCGTCACCCGATTTAGGGTAGCGAGTTGATCAGGGTGCTGTGCGTTACAGACCAAGAAACTAGAAATTTGCTCGTCATGCAACATGCCAACAAACTCGTTAATGTGAGGGTAGAAAATGGGCTCTCCAACCAAACTCAAAGCACAGTGCCGGATCCGCATAGCTTCGGCGAACCGTTCCGCGCGAACACCTGGTACGCCTTTCAACATTTTGATCTTTTTGTAATGTCCTTCTTTTACCCCCTTGAAGATCATTTCAGGAGGGTCAACCTTCCATCGCCATGTGGTACCGACCGGGTTGGTGCCGTGGCGCCAGCAAAAGACACACTTATTGCTGCAGGATAATGATGGTGTTGTCTCCATACAGAGATGGGATTTTATACCGTAGAATGAGAATTTATAGCATGAGCCTCGGCCTCGAAGTGCAGACTTGGTCCATCGGCAAATCTTAACACCAGAATGAGACCCAACAATTGTGTAGCCTTGTTTGGTAAGGGCTGCGTATGTAGGCGATGTTGAAGGGACCATCTCTTTCAATGTCGATTGATTGTTTGAAGACTGGCTAGATTGCGTTGTGAAATCGACTGGGAGAGGGCTAGCTCGTGCCTTTTTATTACTACCACCAAAGTTGATGTCTTCAAGATCAACGACCGCTTGTGGTTTTTTTGATTTTTTCGGCCTTTGTTCGTCTTCCTCATCCTCGGATTCTTCCTCGTCACTTTCAAGAGAATTGCCACTTCCTGGAACTCCCTCACCCAACCCGCCAGTTTCGGCAATTTCACCCAAAACCTCGGTCAAACCGGTGGCCCATTCTTTCAAGGAAGCTTCGGCATCGCTCTTCGTGTCACCCAGACCTAGAGGGAAAGCACGTTTCTTCCCAGTCAGTTTAGCCATCCAACGATCTAGATCTTTGGCTTGTGAGCAAAACCCCTCCTCTTCCGTGGGCCAATCTTCCTTGTCTCCAAACCCAAACACGGAATATCCTGCTAGACCCGATAACGGCGCGGTGTCGATACGGAAGTCATTGTGAATCTCGTCAAGGTGACTGAGGAATGTGTCGATGATAGTATCGATATTGTATGTCGGGATCAAGAAGCAGTAGACGTATCGAGTATGGAGGGAGTTTGGAGGTGATTTCGGGGCGGAGACGAAATAATCGTCAAAATCGACCTCGGAAAGGTCATGGAGTTCCGGAGGGAGGAGACCGTAGTCTTTGTCAGATCCTTTCGATTTTGCTTGGGCAGCAGCACGCAGCTCTTCTACGAGCCACTGTGCCCGTTTCTGGGTAGAAATGGTCAACGTCGCAAAGAAGATGATTGGCTTGATGAACGAAGGCTTTGCCAATTGATCATTTTGCTGCTGTTTATCAATTCCTTTGAACTGGCGGTTTCCCAGAATCCTCTTTGGTCCGGATGGTTTCTGTTTTTCCTGCGAGGTTGGTTTGAAATCAAGTGAGGGGATAGCAATGCTCTCTTTCTCGCTGACAGGCTTCTCGAGCCGGGGAGAAGGAGGAAGCGACGATGAAGATGGTGTTTTCAATCGTTTCTGCTGGGTGAAGAATCGCCCCAAAAGAAACAGCGTAGCGAGACTGGCGATGATAGGAATGCGGAATGTATGCCACACAGCCAGAAAACCTGTCGTTACAATTCGTTAGTAGCGCATTCACAGTATATGAAGACACCAATTCACCTGGCTCCACTGAGGTATCTGTCATCTTCAAATTACTTGGTTCGGCATCAAGAGTTGGCTGCTGGCGGGTCTTGCAGGCTGGCAGGGTTCAAAGAGATGTCGCGACGCAAAATTCAGGCGGATCTGAGCGGGGCAGAAATCGCGGCTCTCGATTAGAGCAAGGGTCTTCGGCAGATTGTTGCCACCATAGGGCTGATGGCCTGCGATAATCAAGCAACCTCAAGAACTATAACCAAGCGGCGATGCAATGCTGGGAATGCCATGTCGTCGAGTCACGTCGTCGCAGTGCCGCATGGGTAATTACGTGCGATTGACTAATCGACTGCCCGCTAGCCAGGGCAGGCAAGTGCCATCTCCCTCCACCCGAGATAAGCAGCTTCATCTCTTCTCCAACTTGCGCTGTCCATTCGGCCGACCTCGGTTTTTGTGTTAACCCGATATGTCTGAAGAAAAGGTGGCTCTCCTCGAGGGCCATGGGGGACTTCCACATACCATTACGCAGCACAGGAATGTCAACCCTCGCCGATTAGTCACCAAACCGTGGTCGGTCACACTGGCTGGGCTGCTTACATTGATTGCACTGGGCTTGTGGAGCACAACGTCATTTCGGCACTGTCATACAGTTGAGCCCCTGAAATCTGTCAAGGATCGTGTTCATAAAATTCTCGTCGATACTCCGCTTATCGGTACGCCTTCACTGGGGTTGTCGGTTGAAGTTGTCTAAGCTGACTGCTAATAGACGGGCACAATGACCTTCCCATACTGATTCGAGCGAAATACGGAAACAAGATATATAGCTCGGACTTCATCGAGCGGTTTACGTTCGGCAACCTGACGGGCCATGTGGACGCACCTCGTCTAACGAGTGGCCAGGTTGGAGGCACATTCTGGAGTGTATTCGTACCTTGTCCCAAAGATTGGTCCAATTTTGCCGATGAAGCCTACGCCAAAAGCGTGCGAACAACTTATGAACAAGTCGATGTAATGTCAAGGATCCAACAAGAATTCAGCGGAATTCTGTCTCCGCCACCCAATGCCACAACTGCTTTGCAGGAATTCCAGAGTGGAAAAGTCATCTCTCCATTCGGCATAGAGGGCCTTCACTCGATCGGAAACTCCTTTTCGCATCTCCGATCATTCTACAAACTTGGTGTTAGATACGCTACTCTGACCCACAATTGCCATAATAGATATGCAGACGCGGCCTTGACCGAGCAACCTGACGGCAGAGTGAGAAAGGCAGATCCGCTGTGGAATGGTATCAGCGAGCAGGGAAAGATTCTGGTCTCTGAAATGAACCGTCTTGGTATGATTGTCGATCTTGCACATGTCAGCGAACAGACTATGCGCGATGTCCTTGGAGCCGGCAAGGATGAGTGGATTGGCAGCCAAGCTCCGGTGATATTCAGCCACAGCTCCGCCTATGCTCTCTGTCCGCATCCGCGCAACCCGACTGATTCAGTGCTGAAACTGGTTAAGAAGAGGAATTCTCTCGTGATGGTTAATTTCTACCCAGCCTTTACCAGCTGCACAGCATCTGATCGTGAAGACGGCCTGCCTGACTTTTACCCACCCAATGCGACCCTCTCGCACATCGCTAGTCACATTATTCACATCGGTGAACTCATCGGCTACGATCATGTCGGCCTAGGCAGTGACTTTGACGGGATTGAATCAACGCCTATAGGACTCGAGGACGTGTCCAAGTACCCAGATCTAATTGCCGAGCTCCTCAACCGTGGAGTCAGCGATGAGGATGCTGCAAAAGTAGCGGGTGGAAACCTCCTTCGTGTTTGGAAACAGGTTGACGAAGTGGCACTTAAATTGCAAGCTGATGGAGTACTGCCGGCTGAAGATAAGCTGGAGAAATGAGATCTGAATTATGTATGAATCATGGGTCGACGGTTCACTAGACAGCGGTTTCTTTAGACTGTCCAAGTTTTAATCTTTATTCTTATTTTATATATATATAAGCCATTTGAATCAATTACAAGTTCCATCAAGACGATAGATCACACCACGGCAGAAAATAGTTCAGGACTGTATATTAAATCGTTGTCTCCGAACCCTTAATCACCTTGGAATAGATCTTCCAGGCCTCCGCGGTAGTATCTCCCTGTACGCCGACAAATAGATACGGAACGTCCTCTGATCTCCGCTCACGTCGCATCTTGGCACTCTCTTCAATTTCTTCTCTCGTCACCCACGCCCACTTCATATGTTCGGCGGGGTCCAGGCGAACTTTCTCTTCCCAGTCCTCCGTATCCGCTGCTTCGTGCACATCGATGAGAAAAGTATATTTCGCATTACTCATGATTCCGCGAGATTTGCTCTCCATGACCCAGTGATCAAGACGAACCAGGTCCCGGATCTTGCTCACATGGAAACCTGTTTCCTCGAACACTTCACGGGCAACCCCGTCTAGGATGGTTTGGTCTGTAGGCTCGAGGGAGCCACCTGGGAAATCCCAGTATCCACCAAAGGAGTCACTGAGAGAGCGTTGCATAATGAGCATCAATGGTTGTTGAGGCTGCTTTTTGGCGACAGACGAGGCTGAAGCTGGAGGGTGCTGCTTTTGCTTGCGGTTTGTAAAGACGAAACCGCCGACGATGAAGTAGTTGTATTGGCGGTGGGCAGCGGCGAAATCAGCGATGGGGACATCGAACTCGGCTACAAGATGAGGTGCCACGGTGTAGCTGTATGTGGGAGAGCCCGCCTTGTTTGTCGCCATTATTACGGAGAAATATCGATTGACGTACGAGTAGGTACGTATATTCTGTTGGCCGGCGGATATTTTTGTCAATCTGGTGCAACAGCTTGTCTTAGATACTGTTAGTGGAATAAAACATCAACGGGTGAATGGCATGTGGTTCTTTAAATAAGTACTAGCGGTAGTTGAGTCATGCTTGAATACGAACCGGCGTAGGCAACCACAGTATTCCCACGAAAAGAGCCGCAACTAAGTGATAAATTATTCAGCCTCACCGCCCTCAAGCTTCAAGAACCGGACTACATGAAAGGGTAACTTCATAGCGATGTTGGTTGCGAGTGGGAAATATAAACCGTGTCAATGAGGCTAAACAAAATGGTGTTGCCGGCTTAGCGGGGTACCGATTCATGTTTTCTGTATTTATATACCGAGTTGCTAAGAAGAAAATAATTCGTCATCTTTAATATGGACAACATTGAAAGTACAAATATATGAATCTAATATCCAGGAGCATTGAATCTCTTCGTGTGAAAATAAATATAAACCTTCGATCAGCTTTGAGCCTGAATGGCCGGTACCACCCACGGTCGTCTACTTGGAATTCAACCTAATTGACGATGTCGATTTGAGATTTTTTTTAAATTCATACTTTCTCTGATCATTCACACGGATTGTAAAGAAAATTTCGAACAAGACTCTTCTCATAATGGATATTCAGAAAGCATACTGGACCCTCTCAGCATCGAATCGCATAGATTGGGACAACACTGTGACGTCATCAGCTGCTACGGGTAATGCGCAAGCTGACCGTAGGTATATAAGAATCAACTATATCATAGAGTGCATGCGACTGTAGTACACTGGATACCTGAAGTAGACAGCACTATATACAGCATGTTTTAGACCTATATAGATCATCCGCTATTCTTGCCCCTGGATGCCAAAGTATTTCCTCAAAGAGAAAGACATCGTGTGGGGTGCCAACTGTCATTGGTCTGCCGTAGCTTCCGGCCAATCATAACAGCAACAAGCAAGAAGCAGAAATTTCCCCGCCAATAACAACGTCATCCCGGAGCTAGCCCCGCCGCCAAGTAAAAACTTGATTTACGCTCTCTTCCTGACAGATCGACCCTTGGAATAGGTAATTAGCGTCAGTTAGAGCATGGGTGGCTCGCGCAGCATTTCTATTTTCGCCTCTTCTCCGGCGCTTCATCTCAGCGCTTCATCCTGATAAGACGCACTCGGCGCTTGCTATAGTTGTTGCAATCGCCTAGCAATGACAGTAGATAACGACCGCAACGATGCTCTGCTATCCAGCATGACAGCCCCGCTCTCACTGGAGACTGAGCAGCCGGCGTCGCTGTTGAAGACGCCCTCCGCATCTCTGTTGAGTATCGACGAGATCGCCGACGACATCAGACCACCGCAGACGCGCAAGCTCTTTGAGCAGCATTTACAACCCCTCGACCCCCTCGAGCAACGAGCCCCGCCAGCGAGCGATGCCGACCTCGGCCAGATCTTTGCCCTGCTCCCAATTCCTACATTGGTGCTGGATGCTAGTCTCCGCATTATCCAACTGTCAGAAGGATATGTGATATTCTCTGGTCTATCCCGTGAGGAATGTCTAGGACGCAGTGTCTTTGATTTCCCCGCTCACAAGGTTCCTGCGCCAGACACAACCACGCTACATCTAGCCATCACAAATGCAGTGTCCACTGGTGCACCCCAGACCCTTGACGATGTCGAAGTTGCCACAGATACTGCTGTGTCTATTTACAATATACGAATTACCCCCGTCTTCAAAGCTGGAAAGCTTCGTAATGTCTTGATTGCCGCTCACGACGTAAGAAAAGATCACCTTGTACGAAAAAGCAAGGAGGAGATGGTTTACAGAAATGAGACGTATCGGATTCTCGTCGATACAGTGAAGGACTATGCTATTTTCATGCTGGATACGTCTGGTTATGTTGCCACCTGGAATTCGGGTGCTGCCATCCTGAAAGGATACAGCTCCGACGAGATCATCGGCCGACATTTCTCGACTTTTTATGGTGCAGATGACCGTGCGGTGGATAAGCCCGGAAAAGAGCTAGAGGTTTGTTTAAGGGAAGGAAAAGTAGAAGATGAAGGCTGGCGTTTCCGCAAAGATGGAACTCGTTTTTGGGCCAATGTTATGATCACCCCTGTCTACACAGCCGGTCGACATATCGGCTTCGCCAAAGTTACCAGAGACCTAACTGAGAGAAAGGCAGCTGAGAGTCGGCTGATTGCTGCCTTTGAAGAGTCTTCAAAACTCAAGTCGGATTTCCTGGCGAATATGAGTCACGAAATTCGTACCCCGATGCACGGAATGCTTATGGCTATTCAAATATTGAGCGAAACCAAGGTCACTGAAAAGCAACAAGAATATATATCGATTATTGAAGATACAGGGTCAATCTTGTTGCGGATCATCAACGATGTACTCGACTATTCTAAATTGTCATCTGGTACTTTCTCTATTACACCGGGCGTGGTTGACATCAGAGATGTTGTAAACGCAGTCTACCGGAATTGTCAATCATCCTTGAAACCCGATGTAGAGCTTCAAGTCCAATTTCCGGAAAATTTGCCACAACATGTCAAGGGAGATCCGCTTCGATACCGGCAGATAGTCCAGAACCTTGTCGGGAATGCTGTCAAATTCACGGACCACGGTTCCGTTCAAGCTGAAGTCACATTCCAAGAACACCCAGACGACCCATTTGCGTACGAAATTACAACAACAGTCACTGACACTGGAATCGGCGTCTTGGAAGATGCGGCGAGTTCGCTTTTCACCCCATTTTCTCGATTTGCCGATAGCAGTCGCAAAAGGTATCAAGGCACTGGATTAGGATTATCCATCTGCAAGAGCTTAGCCGAACTTATGGACGGTCATGTAGGATACTGTTCAAACCCTACGGGTCAGGGTAGCGTTTTCTGGTCATCAGTGAGAATGGGCAAGATCGACAACACACCGTCTGGATCCCGCGTACGAGAACCTGTTAGAGGGCCGATCCTGAATGCTAGTATCCAGGAAATAGCACCTCGGAAGCAAATTCTCCTAGTTGAAGATAACATCATGAACCAGACCATCATGTTGAAAATGCTCAATATGATCGGGTTTGAAAAGGTAGACACGGCCTGGGATGGTGCCGAAGCAGTGCGGAAGGTCAAACAAAAACCGCTTTCGTATAATGCAATCTTAATGGATATCAACATGCCCGTCATGGACGGGATGGAAGCCACAGCGGCCATCCGGGCAATGAGTCGTGATGTACCCATCATTGCCATGACTGGAAATGCCTTGAAGGGAGATGCTGAGACATACCTTGCCAAAGGCATGAACGACTATGTTTCCAAGCCGGTTCACCGACAGCACTTGGTCTCAATTCTGTTGAAATGGATTGGACCGTGAACTATATTCGGCCTATACTCAATCTTCAGGTCACAACCATCTCATAGGCTTACCAGATATTGGAAGTTTGATCTTGGGAAATGCCTACAAACTCTATAGGCGGCTTGACTCGTTTGGTTTCTTTGATCTCATATCTTGGAGTTGGGGGTTTCTTTCACGACCAATTACGCCTTACGTGCATTCTTCTGGCGTTATTTTGGGCACTACGGATACATTGATCAATGGTATATGCACTGCCATCGATAGTTACACATTGTAGTACATATATATCGGATACCCAATCTATTTGATTTCGCTCAATTAATGACGACCGGAAATTTGACTGTTCTCCAGTTGCGAACACAGCGATCTAACCTCAAGAGTGACAGAATCCGGATCATTGAGCCCACCCCAAGGCAGATTGCCATTAGCATTGCGGAGCTCACGATCAAGATGGAAAATTCCATGACCCGGGTGCTTTGAGACCCGGACCGTCTGCTGCAATAGATCCGCCAGATCCTTGACATGCTGAGTCTGCTTCTGCAGAAACCGTCTGTCGAGCGCTGTACAAAGCGAGTAACAACCGGCCTTTTCTGCGAGCCGCATCAGGCGCTCCAGATCGTCCAGTAGTTTACGCTCCGTCTCTACTGCTTTGTGCAACGGGATAATGGGTTCGACGGGGTTATCTGGAAATTCGCAGGTCGGTGCTTCGATATTGGTGGGCTTGCATCGTCCGCCGCGTTGGATGAGATATCGTTCAAGCCAGCTTGCGTCGGCGAGACACTCGACCGCGGACTTCTCGAAGAGACTGTAGCAGTATCAGCATGATGTATATATCGCGGTCTGTAAGAACTTACAGTCCAAATCCGTGCAGTGAAACGTTTGCACGCCAGCAGTCCGCTGCCAATTTCCGATAGAACAGCCAACCAACTAATTCTTGGTGTATATGGCCTCGGACTGACTGGAAACATGTCAACAATTAAACATTCAACGGGCTGTGGCTGTTCTTGAAAGTAGGATAGAAATTATCTCACCTCCTCTACTTCAAGAGAAAAAGTCGACGTGCGGCAACAGTTGTCGACATTTTTGTCCGAGAATTCTTTGATCAGTCTTTGCGCTTCTTCGGTGCCGGGCATTCTGGGTTGGCGTCTTTTACTGAGGATGTTAAGAAATGAAGAGCTCATTCAAGCCATGCAGTTTACCACATGGGCTATCTTCAAATGAAGAGCAGAGGCCAAGCAGTATTTTCGATTTTAGGTCTTGTACGGGAGATAAAAAAGAGCGCATATGCTGCTACAATGTGGCTCAATAAATATTGTCGGTTTTTCATAGTCCTAAGCAGTCCATCATAATGACATTTCGGTACGCAAAAACCGGATGCTTCTTGCGATATGTGGAAGTTTTGTTCCGGTGCTTTAGATGTGGCGTTTCAGTACTGAATACGCATTATTTGATGCTCCATTCGGAATTCAAGTATCCACGAAATGCGGATGACCGTACGATGACGAGAGTCTCGCCATAGACATCAGTTAACTTTTATTTATTACCAGGGAAGCTTGGAAACTTTGTACCTGCAAGGTGCCTATTGACGATTGAATCTTACTGCCTCTAGATGAGCTATGTATAGTAGTTGGTTTGAAAATTATTGCCTTCTTCGGCGAGCTTCTATTTGAACAAGACAAAATGCTATACATTTTCCGGCCAATGATCAATATTAGACTGGCACCTTATTGAAAATTACTAGGATGATCCTCCACGTCTATATTCAGCTGTCTGTATTAGTGCTAGGGCTGGGGTTAAATCGAAGATGATGACAGTGCTCCTCCCCCCCAAAAGCCAAAGTCCTAGGGTGACACAATTACGGATTGCGCTTTAGTCGCTGCGGCCTCCATTAACATCCTTTCGCATGTCAAATTTTCATGTTTTAAGTATACGTAGTACTAAGTTGAATTCAGTTCGTTGATGAATTGATCTTTGGGTATCTAGAACTGCACCTGATTGTACAATATTGGGACGGTCGCAAGATGTCAGTTGGTAGCACTTGAAATACGTCAAGGTTTTTATCACTATTCCATTTTCTACATAGATTCTGACTCGGATGTGTACGTTATCGCTCTCTTTTTGACACACTACTATACTCACAGAGTCTCTCATCTTACTCGCTGTCTCGCTTCTCTGTAGGAAATGAGATACTATGGATACACCGAGATCCAAGAGCGAACGTAGCACAAGGCCTGGATGAAAATGAAGCTAAAAATATGGCAAATTAGAACCATTCTGTCCTTACAATCGAATACTTGTACTAGACGCGCTCAAAATATGCAAACTTGGGCGGGTAAACTAACAATCGTTTATAACATTGGTACAACTTCAGGAAACAGCCGCTAACCAGGAAAGCTATATATGTTTTCAATTGCTCTAATTCAGTAGAAAATCATTTGTATAACTCTACCCAGTTTGATCAATATTAATTGATACATTCGCACACGATCCCAGGCATTTTCAGTTTAATGAGTATGTATGTGACACCAATTTATTTAATGCTGTATCGAACATATGCTCCAGTCCAAAATGACATAATTGAGGTTTCAAACTTATGAATGCACCTCAGGTATTTCTCTGAAAAGTTTTATTATTGTCGCTCAGATGTCACCCAAGGGCTGCATGACCTGTTCGTACCCTTGTAGTATTTATGTCTGACGACACAAGTTTTTGGCGTCTAGTTATTGGACTAAATACATGAAGCCAGTTTGAAGAGCTTCTGGTCTTTGTTGCGTTATTTTTGATTGAGGGTTGTGCTTGTAAGAACATGGCATGGTTGTACAAAGAATCATTGTTCTCCTGTTGTCCTTGTTGGATAGGTTTGGAGCAAAGAAAGGACCACGATTTTTTCTGAAACTTCGGCTCGGTTTTAAATATCCTACTGCTGATGGGTGAAGGTTGGCATCAGTTGATGAATTGATTTCTCTTCCTTGATGCCACTTTATCCAAAAACCTTTAGTGTCAGTGGTGTTCAGTCAATGTACTGTGCATAGGTAATAGCGAAATACGTAGTACAAAAAGGGAAGTCAAGAGAAATTGGGACTGATTTATTCTTTTAGATATCAAGATTGAATGAAACGAATATGTGAAACAATTTATGTGTGTAGTATTTTGACACTCGTCACGACATTTGAAATTGAGCTATTTCGGATTACAAGAATAAATTGACCATGTCGATATCCATTATCCAAATGGTGTGGGCCTGTGACACTTGTAAAATTTAGTGTATAATCTTCTTTATTGGATATGTTTCTCTATGTCTCCTAAAGTGAAAAGCGCACTAATTACATTAAATCTTACAGGTGTGACAACAACAAGGATACCATGAACCTTCATGCTACTCTTTGTGTTGCTGCAGATATTTATTACCTTAGGTCGGCATTGGCAACTTCCTCGAGGTTGGAAACCAACCTCACATCACATTTCATTCTACACACACTGCATCCAGCGGATGAGACTATATCATTGATATTACCAAGATTGGTTACTGGATAAGAGGGATTCGGCGAGAAGCTGAACTGCCTTCAGAAGGTTAACCTACAACAGGATGAGCACCAAAAGAAGTCTCTTAATTCCCTATGCCCTCCTTCTTATCTTCTCAACTATCCAACTCTCCTTGGTGTCTCAGATGGTAACCTTCTTGCATATTCAAAAGACCCAGGTTATGACATACCAAGCCCTCAACAGCGATTCCCCGGGGTTTAAAATTCATGTCTTGCCTGAGAAGCTGTCTTTGAACCAAGGACACACTACAAATGGAGCTGCCGGATATGGATTGGTCCTAAGTATTACATTTCTAGTGATCACATTTTTCTTGCAAGGAAATAGGGTATGCTCTTACCGACCATGTGCAATTTACAATAAGGAGGAAAAATCTCACTCGTTTTATAGAAAAACCAACCAATCCTTTTGATAATGACTCTGCTATTGGGGTTATTAGTTCTATTCGTCCTATCGGCATTCATCTACGTCTTCGCTGTGACATACATGACATCTGAAAATAGGATCAACACTCGTATCGCTGAATCCATAAATGGCGCTGCATACCCGATTGACAGTTGGACACCCGAAACATGGTATCGAGCTCTTTTACTGCTACCACTTACGGGCGTTGATTTGACTGGTGCTTATCAAGAGATGGTGGCCTGGAGGTGGTGGACATTACCGTATCTTGCTGTCAGTACCTTGGCATTTGGATGGACAGCTGTTGTATGTGTGAAAGACAGGGGACGTTTACTCAATGGTGGCTACGTGGTGTATGGAAACGGGGATGATAGTCTTGAAGAAAAGATAGCGGCCGTCTGATATCGCCCATTTGAGTCTTCGGACGAGAAGGCAGAAGGATGGATCTTTCTTCATTTGGGAAACATTAATGGCTAACGTGCAGAGAAATTTATAGTGGGAGTCTACTTGGCAGTTTATATGTTTGTTTCTGGGGAAATTTTGCAATTCAACTGCTGTGAACATTGAAAGAAGGGTGAGTGCTAAGGTATTCAAGTCTAAAATTCAGGTCGATTCTATATGAAGTAAGAACATGAGCTAATTAAAAATTGATTGACCTCATAAATTTGTAGAGTAAAATACAATTAGAATCCTGTCGTCTAAAAAAAGAATTCCGTAGCGGGCAAAGAGTACCAGCATCAAGTTGCCTCGTAATATAACAAAACCAGTTCCGGACTCGACGCAAGATATGATTCCATGCCACTCCAGAATGAAGAATCCTCGCACCTCCTGGTCCACGAGAATCCGATAAGTATACAGTACGAAAGCGGAGAGCGAATATTGTAGCAGAAAGGATGGTTACTAGGCTGTGTACCGGGGCGAAAGATGCGGGATGGGCGAAATAGTTGATGAGGGCCCCGGTTACGACGAACAGTCAATTGAACGAAGATGGCACAATTTACTCGACGCCGTGGCCATCAGAGCTACCAGTTTCGCCGGTGAAAGAACCCAACTTCAGTCCACTGTCCATGGCAACCATCTCAGCAAGTATCTCTAGCACTTCCTTGGGCACGGTCTTGTCGTATATCGAGATCAAATCCTTCGGCTGGGGGTAGACTTTAAGAGCCTTGTAAAAAGCGAGGGCAGCTTCGACATTATCCGAGCCTGTAAACAAGTCAGCAACAGTTACCAAATACATTACTAATGACAGCATACCGTCAGCACAGAGGCCCTCTCCTTTGGCTACCTGGCTCATAAAGTACGTTTCCTTCTCCTCTAGGTCGGTAGGGAAACCTTCATCCTTGGCTCGAGAGACGGCCTTCTTGATCTCTTCCCGTTGAGCAGCGCCCTGTGCCTCTGCTTCCTCCTTTTCGACGCGGGCCATCCGTCGGTTATTTCTTTTCAGGGACTTTCGGAATTCGGGGTCAGATTGCCTTTTGTAATCGAACCAAACCGCATATGCTATTTGCCAATTGTCATTAGCCCCATTGCTGTACGTCATAGTCAGTTAGGTTGAGATGGTCAGCGTACCCAGAAAGCCGGTCAATACCGTGCCTGTTGACACAGCTACCAACGTTGATGTCTTCATGTTGGCGGTAGGAAGAATTATAGAAGCAGCAAACAGTCGATACAGCGGGTAGGATATAGAAACGCAGCCAATGGCCAGGCTATCAATGATGCGAGGGCCGGGGATGATGGTTGTTGACCTGAAGCTCGCCGCGGAGTTTGCCTTGACGCGGCTAAAATTAATTTCGAGTCGGTGGATCATTATTATTCCGCGGCGGGCCCAGTGACCAAGCGCAGTGGCCCCTGCCGCAGGTGACGTTTCAGTCTCCAGTCAGTTATCGTCCTCAACCTTCCCCATTGATTATCATTCTGGCCTGCCCTGAGTCCCATTATGGCCTCTCAGCTGGACAAGGTCTTGGAGGTCAGCGGCCTGACCCTGCGCAACAAGAACAAGTCGCGTCGTCGCCCTCAGATCAGCGCGCCGAAACCCATATCCGCCCCAGGTCCACCCAAACCCCCATCCTCATCCTCCGAGGCCCCCAGGCCGCCTCTTCCCCAGCAGAGCGGTGCGACATCTGACCTCGTTAAGCGACGCTACTCGGCGCGATTCAATCAGCTGCCCGATGGGACCTTGGATGCTCCCCCAGTGCCTAGTCTTCCATCCGATCTACAAGGGTATGGAGGTTTGGGAGCTGTGCCGACAGCTTCATCGGCTCCACAAGGAGGGCCTGGTCAACCGCTGGAGGTCAATCTGAAGGCACTAAGAGATCCATCATTGCCAGTTGATAAGTGTAAGCAAGATGCTCTGCCCAGTCTGGGATACTGCTGACTCGCGATTCGTAGATGTCGCCGGGCTTCTTGCCAACGCATCTGAGGAAGATATCCAGGACTACCAGCAACGTTTACGCAAGGTTAAGAACCGAACGTCGACCGACTTACAGCAAAATGTATATCAGAATCGAACACAGTTTATTAAGATCAGCGAAGAAGCCGAGAAACTCAAAGGCGAAATGCGAACTTTGCGTACTCTGATGTCTGAGCTTACGACAGCCTTAGGCCAGACTCACAGTAGTAGCGGATCGAACCCCTTGTCACCGCCGGATGATCGTACCTCGAAGCGAAGTAACCGAAGCTCCGTTGCGAACTTGGAGAACATGTGGACCATGCAATTGCAAACCCTATGGAAAACGGTGGAAGGGTCTCAAAAGTTCCTTCCAGCTATCCCCGGCCGGCATATTGTATTAGAAAGTGGCCATTGGGTTGAACTTGACTCTGCTACGTGGAAGCCTCGGCGACCAGTACATATTGTTTTGCTCAATGATCATCTCCTTGTAGCTGCCAAGAAACGAAAACGGATTGATCCGAATAGCCCAACCCACCAGCGTGGCCCAGCACCGACAAAGCTAGTGGCTGAAGTATGCTGGCAGCTACAGGACATCGACATGATAGATCTCGGCGCTAATCTGGGGTCTGGAGCAGCACGCGCCGAGGCTGAAGACAGAGGAGTGGCTCATGCCATCAACATCCGAGTTGGCTCCAAATCATATACCTACCGATATGATCAGCGCACTAACTCGGCTAAGAATGAGCTACTATCAACCTTCAGGAAGACTGTGGAAGAGCTACGCAAGGCTCTACGTTCGGAAATTGACTCTGCAAACAAACCTGGGGATGCACTTCGCTCCCTGACCCAACTAGAAGGGCCCAGACAGTCCGGCATGGTTGATGGAGTCGACGAAAAAGACAAACCTGAAATTCGTATCGATGTGGATGGCAAACAACATAACTTGCGATGGGTTGAAGGTCAAGTTGATGAGCTCGACATCGACATCGCACTACATCACTTTGAGGAAGCTGTTTCTAGCGTCGAGAGACTACGGAAACTGGCGCGAGGGCTGAGGGGAAACAGCGTCGCCCAAGATGTCATTAACCAAAAAGTAGATGAACGCGCCGCCAAGCTTGCCGGCATTCTCTCTCGAATACTGATCGATAAGCATTCTTTCCCTGTGTCGACCAAGACAAACGTCGGCTTGCTGACCCGTCTTGGCTACGAAGATCGCGCACGTAGCGCCTATCTTGGTGCACGCTCCGAGGTGATTCAGAAGCGAGCTCGACAATGTATCTTCGAGGGTGATCTGCAAATATACATTTTTCAAATTTCATTTGTTTATTTTACTATGATCAAGAACACGATCAGCATATACCAACAATGCTTCCCGCCGATCATGTCTAGTGCCTGCATCAAATGGGCAAAGGAGCATCTAGATGAATTCAATGCAGCCCTTGTGCGGCAGCTCAGTAGTGTACAGCGTGACACTAGCGTGTGGCAGAAGTGTTTGAACATTGTGGATGAACAGGCTTCTATGTTGATCGAAGTCGGTGTGGATTTTAAAGACTTGATTCAAAGGGGCTTGGAGAATGGAACTGATCAGTATGGAGATGTTGGGGAACCGGGTGATTCAGACGCTAGGGAATGATTATTTTTCGGGTTTTTATATACATAGCATAGGGCATTTCAATGCGCAACGTTGATTGCCGGCTGAATTTATCCAGTAAATAATGAATAATTTAAATAAAGAAATAATAAATAGTTTCAATATATAATATATGTGTATAATATAATAAGAAATAAAAGTGCTAATAACATGGGCGGCCGGCGGTATCAATTGATGTCAGGCAGCATTATCTAAAACGCAGGATCACAGTTTGGAACAGGAATATACTCAGGAACCCTGAATTAGGCGGTGGATATTCTAGGATGACTATATTTGAACTGGATAGCTGAGGCATACTTCTTTAGGAGAAACCAGCCTTTATCTTATTTCTTAATATAATCCTATATTACATATGTTTATAATTAAGTTTCTAGCCAATGACGCTCAATATTGTCCATAGATCTTCCGAGTGGATATTTAGCTCATGAAATCGATTTTGGGGAAGCATGAATAATAGCATAACACGAGTTTTATAGATGAAACCTAATGAATTGCGGTAAACCATCAAACCTACATAGATGCCCGAAAAAATGCCCGTCTCGCTATCCACAATGCTCAAACACTGCCATATGAATTAAATACAATACATCTCCCTTCCGAAATCACGTGCCCTTCTATATAAAAGTATTATGGCAATTGGAAATAATCATCAGAGCTTCGTATCCTTCGTAATAGAAACAAAATGAAACCTAGTAATTGAAAACCATGAGTGATGGGTTTAGAAGCAAGGGCAGCAAAACGTGAGATCCCAAGGTGACGGACATGGGGACAACTGCAGCGACTTCAGTAATTGTCCAACCTCGCGGAGCAAAACAACCCAAGTAGATCATGGCCGGGAAAAACGGAAGTACGACCGCGTACATCCATTTGAAATTCTTGAAGATCTTGGGCATCTCTTTGAAGAAGTTTGAATCGTCCTTCTCCTTTGCCGTAGTTCCCCAGGACATGTTTATCCGGAACATATGGGCTAGAATCGCCAGGCTCAGATGGAAAGAAAGTCCACCGAAAAAGATAGCAAACATGGGCATCCACATGAAATTCTCCAGGAGGGATGCCATCAGTGACTTCTCTCCCAGACGGTAGCGGATGATTGCCAACGAGATATTTCCAGCTCCCGAAAAGACAACGAGCAAACTAAGAAACACTATTGAACTAATTAGTATTTCATTTTTGTTTCATTCTTTCTGGACCGTTTTACCGTACCTTTCCATGACTCCATGTAAAACTTATCTAGGTAACCCTCGAACCAGCCGACGAGGAAGTAGTTAAGCACAGTCAAGGGAAAACCAGATGCCAAAGCGTAGTAAGAGGAAATGTATCCAAGAATGGTGATTTTGGAGGAAAGTTGCAGGTTGGACCATAGAAAGGTCATGAATAACTTGGTCAGCGGACCACGGTAAACCCATGTATGGATAGGATTGAAGACGAGTTCGTTGCAGCCATATGCGTATCTTGCAGATGTCAGTGTTTCCATTGGATGAAAATTCATAGGACGGTAAGATACTTACTTTTCCCAGCGGGATAGTTCATCGTAAATAGTGAGTGAGACGCCTTCCTTGAATTCGTCGTTATGATAGCTAGCTAAACGAATGATGTTTCCCTGGATCTGAAGACGCAGAGCAATGTCGAAGTCCTCCGATACATGACTTTCGGACCAAAAGGCTACATATCCGTCATCAGGACGGCCGACGGACTGAACCGCTGCAACGCTATCAGCATTTTTCATTTCTCATTCAGATGAAGCTTACCTTGCCATCGAAGAAAGGCGTTGTGACCAACAAAAGGGGCAGTCTCGCCACTGCCTACCGCAAATCGAATCGCCGAATAGATGAGATTGGTGAAATAAGTGATACCATTCTCAAAATAATCATTCGAAACTTGCATAACGCCGGTGGAATGCTGGATAATGGCAACTTCGGGGCTTAGGAACATCTCGGCGGCACCATATAGAAGGCAGTCGGCCGGCTGGTGATCGCAATTAGTAAATCTCATAGGAATATCAGTTGCGCTGGCTATCTGGACTCACGACTCGAGTGTCCGAATCAACAATCAGGATAATTTCCCCCACACGGATATCACCGCCAGCTCCTCGAATACGAGGATCGGACTGAATGATATGATCGAAAGCCTGTCTATAGACAATCTCTTCCTGCATAGGATCAACCATATCGGACTTTTCCAATGTCGGAGTCATACGCTGGATGAGTTCTGCCTCGATTTTATTGGAGACATTCAGGGCAAAATTCATGTTGGAGGCCTTCTTGAACTTCCCCTTTCGGACGTAGCCATCCTCATTATTTTTAGGTCTAGCCACCCAACCAATATTGTTGTCATGGTAGAAGTTGATTCTCTCTTGCTTCTCTTCTTCGGAAAGCAAGGCATAGCCATCGTCATTGATAAAGATATTCGCCGTACCTAAAATATGTCAGATTAACAACAATTACAACTGATTTAAACAGACTGCTAACCTCCATGTGATTCATAGTGAGAGATTGCTGTCTTCAAACTACTGATGGTCGGCTTAATGACACCTTCAAGACTCTCGGTATAGATTGGCATTTGAATTGTTATGCGGGGTGGTTCGAATCCTAAGGAATACGCCGTTTTCAGGTCAGGGGCAACCGGGGAATAAAAGCGTGAGTTGGTCTTGAGCGTCTTGATCGGTCCAACAGCTTGGAATATATCGGTGAAGAGGACGATCATGAAGAAGACACTGAACAACAAAAATATTGGGAGAGTTGCCGTAAGTGCAAACCGCATTGCACCGCCATCAATCGAGTATTCCAAAAGTAAATTGGAGATGCCAAATCCCAGAATCAGGATAACGAGAAGCATTACGGCCATTCCAACGAAAATTGCGCTGGTTACTGCTAATGGTCGCTGTAGTGACTCCTTAGGATGTTTAGCTTCCTCGTCACCGAGCCTAGCTGGAGAACTATCCGTAGGAGTGCTACGACCTTGGTCGATTTGCTGCGGCTCTCTTCCAGCGTCGAGAGTCAGATGATATGTGGAAGCTGCAGGGGAGGTTACGACCGATTCCCGAGGAGTTGTCACAGTTGTGACTGGGTTGCTAAACATCGGTGCGGGACTTCCCCAAATCTGATGTGATTATATTAGGATAATGACATATTTGCACAGATTTGGCCTCTGGTTCACTTACCATGGATAGTAGCTTTCCTTCTACATCTGCTGCATGGCTTAATATGGCATTTAAATCGTCATTCCAAACGAGAAGGAGACGCTCTTCTCGAATCAATGCAGAATACTGATGCTTCTTAAGCAGATACGAGTGCGGTCCCGCGATATCAGCGTAGGAGTCAATTACTTGAACCTGAAAGCCGTCAGGAAGAATTAATTCTGTTTGCCCGGGCGTAAGTAGCGATGTAATAATATTTGTCGTCTCGGTCATCATAGTGAAAGCAACTGTAGCGTTGATTTTCTGGATTGCTGCAAGTAGCATGGGATTAACATCGTCTGGCTCTGACATGTACACGCCCCTAGACCGACGTAGAAAGACTCCAGAAGAGCTATTCTGTGGAGGTAGCCATTGGCACGCAGTCAATCGGCTATGAAAATATTTTATCATCTAGAAGTTTTTATTGGTCATATCCTCGCAATTGAAGACGGTTTCACATACTGCTCGGTATTTAGAAGCGTCGTCAATGCCACTGGTTGTATATCGCTTGTCAGGATGGCTATGTCTACGACTCGACACGCCTGACACCGGCGTGGACGGCACAGGCGTGGACGGCACCGAATCCCTCTGAGATGTGGCCTCCTCCGGCGTGCCTCCCTTTGATGTTTTCTTGCCCCCGAAGGACCATCGGTTTGGGATGAGGGAAGGCATGATTGTCGACTTGCCTGTGAGAGTGGTGGAAGGAACGGTTCAAGAGTTCATGAGTTCAGCTTGATCTAAGATATACGGAAACCGTAGGGCCTTTGATGTCTTGTAGAGTTTCTACAAAAAAAGACAGATCTAGATGCTTTTGTCGATTCAGCCTGATTGATGCCAACGAATGAAAACCCGATACGCCACAGCCTCACACCACTGGCGTATAAAGACTCCGGGATAAACTTGGCGACCAAGACAGGCTCTTGAGTCAAAACATGCGGCAGCCCCACGCCATGTGTGTTAGATTATCCGTTGCTTCCGTGACATGGATGATTTGTATCGTAATTTCTTATCTACAAAACATTACACGTCACTGCAGTATGCAGGTTGAATACGAAGGCTGAAACCATCCCAAACACTGGGCTAAACCCTGTAAACTTAACAAAACTTGGAACTCTGATAATCTATCATCGTATATACACCCTATAGTCAATGATTCATTGATTATTGAAACATGAAATAAGACATATATCCCGATAGATATTGGATATTATTGATGAAATAAAATATTAGAGGTTTAAAATGGTTGAAAACCATCGTATGATATCACGATTAACGTATTACGAATACAGGATACTATGTAAATTCAACCTTGAAAAAGAATGTATTTAAAATAGCAGTCAAATCAAGTGGTTTTCATTATTACGTGTAACATTAAGAACTTCTCTCTATATAACTAACTTCACCAGAAGGACTTAATAGTTCAGAGTTTGGGGGTTAATGCCACCCTCATATCGACCTTAGATAGTTCTCAGACATTCGGTGAGAAGGCACGCCTTGCTGTTATACTCAAAAATGGCTCAACTAAATTTGCCTTAATGCTTGGCAGATAAGACTAGGAATTGTATAGGTTTACTGTCTGCCGCTAGATATTAGCGAGCAGCATGTCTGAGAATGCGAAGCCATCGGGACTGCCTAAATCAATTTACGGAGTGTCCTATGACTAAATGTCTGCCTGCTTAAACGGTAACTGTCTATAGACTAGTACATGCAGTAGCTCCAAGGCTAGAAGACAATGTAATACATAGCAAAGATGAGAAAACTGAAATGCTCGGATCGCTAATGCAAAGCAATAGAAGGTATCCGCACTACTGCATGAAAGCTGGAACGGGATAACCTGATTGGGCATGTTTCTGGGCCCTGGTGTAAGTAAGCACACTAATAATGCTCTGTATGCCACGCATCGAAGCGCTACGGGTTTTGGCCTGATATGCTAGATTAGCTGCCTTCGATAAGCGCTGGAAAACAGCCAAGAATTATTAGCGAATAATCGTATTATTGGGCCTGGCGCTCTCGCTGGCGTATCCGGCATGAAGTTGCCGAAATTTTAATACGCGCCTTGGTGATTGATGTGCTGATTCTTATATTAACCATGACTCGTTATAGGCTGAATCACGAAGGCCATCGTGAATTTGTAGTAGAAGACTCAAGCAAGAAGGAAGAAGGGATAATCATTGGAATCGGAGAATGTCAGTGCGGATGCAGTTGACTTATTATTTGTTTCATATACATATTATTGACACCCTTAGGTGCGTTAGTGTGAAATACGGCTAATATAAAGAGATATTTTCACATGGCTATTAATATCTTACCCTGTCATCAATGATACACTGGGGACTGCATGGCCTCCACAGTGTATCCCCTGTCAGGTCCAGTCGCCTGAAATTACCATGTGAGCATTCTTCTTTTATCATAATCCTGGTCGAGTAGATGAATAATGACTGAGGAAGGCGGATCTTGTGCCATAGTATGTAGCTTCGTGGTCGGCGCCTCCCAGCCACGTATTGAGAGCTATAATCATCCGACGAAGTGGAGAGGATGGTGTAGGTGCTTTTGGCAAGTAAACCCGCCAATGAACCGGTGTTCAACTCCAAATGCTGGAAGCAAACATGAGACCTGCATATAGCTGATCCGATACGTGCGATATCACAGCCACCTCTGCGCAAGAACTTTCGCGAAGGCTGCATTGAAACCGTGCATCCGGTACTGTAATGCGCTAAACAAGTAGCAGATTAGACTAGCAATCTTGTAGCTAGGTGATTCAACAATATTCCTTGCATATTATGTTTATTTATCGGCATATCTCGTGTTTTTACTTTTCAAGCTGTTACAAGGCGGTGCAATTGTCTAGCCCTTGGAAAATTTACTACAGCCCTATCTAATAAGAATGCCAATGACACGGAGCTAACGCCAATTTCTATAAAACCATGATATATCACACCATATGAACTTCGTCGCTTACATGTATTCAACAGAAAACTGGTAGGAAAATCTACAATGGACTTGAACAACCCATTCTCAGATAGCAAGGCACCCAGTGCCGTGCCCAGTGTCGTGCCCAGTTCCGCCAGCTCCGCACATCAAGTCAGTATTCAAGATTCGGTGGTCTACAGTCGAGATTCAACCTATGCTCGTGCTCCATTAAAACGAAGGTTTAAGAGTTATCTATTAACTGGCGAATATGAACGGCCCTGGCTCGACGATAAACGACTGAAAAGAACCCGCATGAATAACTATATCATCTATGGATTTCTTGTTGCTGGATTAGCCGTCAGCGGTTATATCAACTACCATGCCACAGCTGAAGTACCCAAGCACAGTGTCAGTTAATCTCATTTATAACCCCGCTTTCCCGGCTAACTAGATACAGTATTGTCTCATTTTAGACGATACCTTTTCGACCCTCGATACGAGCGTGTGGACTCGTGAAGTTCAGGTATATCCCTTGGCTCCATAGTATTATTCGCCACGATAGCTTACTGTTTCTCTTAGGTCGGTGGCTTTGGCACGGGTGAATTTGACTGGACAACTACCGATGACCACAATGCCTTTGTGGACGACGAAGGCCTTCACCTTGTTCCTACCCTTACTACCAACACGACGTCTATCACCGCGGCCGAGATCATCAATGGTTACACACTGAATCTTACAAAAGCTGGCGGCGATGGTAGTTGCACAGGTACAACCAATGAGGCATGCTCAGTGCACTCGAACAGCACGTTGAGGACAATAATTAACCCGGTCCGCTCCGCACGTTTGAATACGAATGGCAGCAAATCCATCACATACGGCCGTGTCGAGGTCGTCGCCCGGCTTCCAGCTGGAGACTGGCTATGGCCGGCAATTTGTAAGCTTAAAATACTATACTAACTTTACTCTGGAGTCAAAATGGCTTACTCAACTTATAGGGATGATGCCCCAGGACAACGTTTACGGGGCGTGGCCCGCCAGCGGCGAGATTGATATTTCTGAAAGTAGAGGCAATGATGTCTCCTACCCTAATGGCGGCCGGGACACCATGTCGAGTAGTATTCACTGGGGTTAGTCTGAATATTTCAGATTTCTCCGAAATATATCAGGGTGTAAACTAAGTTTCCGCTTTTCTAGGCCCGAGCGTTGATTTTGACGCATATTGGCTCACCACGCGCGGAAAAGCCCTCCGTCGAACAGACTTCTCCAAAGGGTTTCACACTTTTGGCCTTGAGTGGTCAGAGGACTACTTGTATACGTGGGTTGACAGTCCCCTTCAGCAGGTCATGTACTGGGCCTTTCCCAAAAACACAAATATGTTTCAACGCGGCCGATTTACCGGGCACACAGCCAACAATTCTCTGGTAGCGGATCCATGGTCGCGTACCGGCAAACCTAACACCCCTTTTGACCAACCCTTCTACTTGATACTTGATGTCGCGGTTGGGGGCACGAATGGATGGTTCGTGGACGGCATTGGGAATAAACCTTGGACAGATGCCGGCAATGGCGCGGCAGATTTCTACTCAGGTGAGTTCGACCGATCAGATTGTATTGTTACATCCAGATCGTTATATTCCTGACATGGTATTTTCACGGTCTAGGTATTAATCAGTGGTATCCCACTTGGTCAAATGGGACCGGGGTCTCTCACGGAATGACGGTGAAATCGGTGAAGATGTGGCAGCAAGGCGCCTGCCCCTAAGCTAAGATAATATTTTGAATCTTTCTTACCGCATCATATTTTTGAACGATCCACACGAAGATACATGTCGGAATATATCTAAAGTTTATACTGAGATAAAGCGTTGAGCGTCATCAAAATTAATACTTCCCAACAGAAGTTACATTGTAATTACATTGTATCTCTTCGAAATATGTATCTAATATATCTAATTAATATTAAATACGACATCGAGATAATAAACGTAAGGTATCGTATTCTATATGTGATGTATTAGATTTTACGCACGCCACAAGCCCCATTACCTTATCTGTAAAATTCCCGTCCTCGCCAAGGGAGGCTTGCATCCCCGACAACCGCCTTGTTACATTGCATGACGCCATTTTGTTTATGGACATGTATAAATAGCATAATTATTATTACGTGTAATATATGATGTAAACTCAGATTCTTCTGCACAAGGCATACACCGACCGATATACCCCGGAGTACGTGCCTCAGTATTTACCTATATACATCTACACCGGATAAAGTTCAGCCAGTCCATAATAAAAACGGCGACATAATAAGGCGGCCAGATGCGCTAGCAAAGCTGATCGGCGATGGTGCTACGGACCCGCTTCTCACGCATCGTTCTGATCCTTGCAGCAGTAGTAGCTAATTAGTCCGAAGAGCATGGCAATAATCAGACACGTGTCGGGGTCCTCCCGATTAAGTAGTTACTTGGGAGAGGAGAACAAATATAGTATAGTGCAGGATATTGTCTCTCAAGGCGTAGGAAAAAGAGCCGAGGAGCGTATCAAAGAAGTCACAATAATGACAGGGATGTATAGAATATCATCCTACCTGTAGGCTGTTGGTTTTTAATTACCAGGCTTGGCCATATGGGCCGGCGAAAAGAGCAGCTGACTGCTACATATTGCAAATACTGACGAGGCTTAAAAGACAGACACTACACCGTGCTATGAGACAATAAACATAGCCAAGAATGTTCGCAATGCTGCTTTGAGGCCTGTGATACTAAAATTTGAGAGAGAAATCTAGACCTGGTGCGGGTCCGGTCCCGACTTGAAAATTAGATACGTTGGATCGTATTTATGGGTCCTGGCCCCCTAGGCACTTGATATGACCTATACCGTATCGGACCTGCATACGTCCGGTTTTTCAGATCACTGTTATTTTGGTCAATATCATGTATTATTCTATCGGCCATAAAATGGCCACACCAAAAAGGGTCAACCTCAAGGGTAGCGGTAATTAATTTGGCCCTTATGTAGGCCGACATATTCGTATGTAGGATAACCAGTCGGATTATCACTAGATATGTTTATAACGCGTGGCCCAGAGCTATTATTGATATCAGCGATTGGCTCTTAAGTACATTAGTCTAAACAGGTTTATTTGAAGCCTCTCCAGAGGGTCTATTATGGATTGAACAGGAAAATGGACAATCTATATTAGTAAAATCAACATAATTCCTAACACGGCAATTAACGTTGCTACATAAACATCTACTGAAATTTTAGTATTAAATGTAGTTTCTTGAACTAGGAGTGGATATTACTCAGTTGCCTCTTTTGATTTCCCGCTAACAAAGCTGCCCAAAGGCCTAGAACTTTCAAAAATAATTAAGGCAAACATACTGTGGCTGCAAGATTGTCATTTTCAGCCTCGCCATTCGCTAGGTCTTATCCCATCCTTTCGGTCTTTAGCTCAGAGCTCAGCTCATATGCAGGCATGCCTTAGTAAACAGAGAGGCTGAGACTTTACCTATAAGCTGGGACTTCTAGGAAAATTTGCACCGGAGATGGGGAGCTATGCGCATCGTATGAGTCGCGTCTCTGTCGAAATGGGGAACATTTCGAGCCAATCAGCACCCACGCGGTAATTGAAAAATGCCAATTGGATTTGCTGTTGTCTTCGGGGTAAGCAGTATTTGTCTGATGTGTCATCTGACGGATTTAGCTTCCAGAAGCCTACTGCATTTTATAAGGCAAGTATGAGGCAACGAAGTTCTTGCAGCAAAAGCAATAGTAATAATTTAATTTAATTCCTCCTGGGCAGTTAAGTGTAACCAGGGGAACTTATTTTGCGAAGGACGGTCACCGGCCAACAGGGGTCATCCATTTTCTAACTGATGATGGATTCTTGGTTTCTGTTTCTGGCGCTAGCCAGTTCGATACTGCAGTCTGTTGCAGGACTACCAACATGGCCCTCCTCTATAGACGAGTTGGAAGATATAATGTTCCTGAATACGGGCTATCAGGCGAGAGCTTTCCCAGCTGACATCACGCCCTGTTCCTTCTCCCAACAAGGCCCTTCTAGAATTGCTTCCGCAGAATGGCTTCGAACAGCTTTCCACGACATGGCGCCGGGTAATGTCAACACCGGAGTCGGTGGACTGGATGCTTCCCTGCAGTACGAGTTAGCAGGGAATGGTGGTGAAAACATTGGTACTGCGTTCAATACAACTCTTAACTCTCTCTCCCCATTTCTTTCATCTCGCTCTTCACTGGCAGACCTCATTGCGCTTGGCGTGTACGCGTCTGTCCGGGTTTGTGGCGGTCCAGTTATACCTATTCGCACTGGCCGCATAGATGCCACTGCAGCTGGCCCGATTGGAGTACCGTTGCCGCAGAATTCGCAGTATACGTTTACTCAGCAGTTTTTACGGATGGGCTTCAATGTGTCAGAAATGATCGCGCTCACGGCTTGCGGTCACACCATTGGAGGCGTTCATGCCAGTAATTTTCCCGAGGCTCTGAAGCCAGGAACTGTCTCAAATGATTATGAACACTTTGATTCGACGACAGCATTTGATGAAAAGATTGCATCGGAATATCTTGCTGGAAATAGCTCAGATGCACTAGCTTCTCCCCTATCAATTCAAAACACCTACGACTCAGATGTGGCTGTTTTCACGGCAGACAAAAATGTCACGATTGGTCTCATGGCTGACCCAACGTACTTTCAATCCCGCTGCCAGGTGATGCTGCAGCGAATGATAGAGGTCGTTCCGACTGGAGTGGTTCTCACTGACCCAATTGCTCCCTATGAGGTCAAACCGAACAACTTGCAATTAACCATCCAGTCCGGTGGTACCGAGCTTCAATTTACAGGTCAGATACGTGTTCGCACAACCAATGTAACGGAAAGTAGTATTTCGAGCGTTCAACTTGTATATGTTGACCGTAATGGAAAATCTACATGCGGATCTTGCCATATTACGACGCAGTATGCGGGAACAACCAATGGTTTCGATGATTCTTTTGCTGTAGGTCCTCTATCCCCCATGGAGACACATGTCTAACGATCTGGATATACAGTTCTATAGCTTTTCCACAACATTTCCCATCGCAACTTCTATCTCATCATTTACAGTCCAGGTGACTTCGAATGGCAATACAGTGACGTATGATAACAATGGTATTGGTTATCCAGTTCAGGACGGTATATTATTTCAGAGTCCGCAAAGTTGCATAGCGAAGGCAACTGATAGTAACGGTAATTATCAAATGACAGTCACCGCCGCAGTAAGGAAGTCTGATAGATTAAAAACAAACATGAAGACTAATCTCCATGTTGTAGGTCCGGAATACAACTTCTTTAAGCGCGCCGACCTTGGCAGTAGAGGTTAAAACACCCAGATCCTGCTGCGTAGTCCCAGGTCTATCCACTTCCAACTTGACAATGACAAAGACGGCCACAATTGGCGCCTACATCCTGTACAGCGGGAGCTATTCTCTCACACCCAGCCAAATTACTACATCCAAATTCGGCGTTTCTGTTGGAACATCCTCGGATAGCTTTAAAAGCACAGCGCTTACCGGCTCTTGTTCGACACTCAGCGGCTCTAGCCCAGTTCCTTATAGCTACAATGGTTGCTATACCGACGATGTCAACTCTAGAACGTTCCAAGCTGCCACTACCAGTGACAATAAAATGACTCTTGCGGAGTGCTCCAGCTTCTGTAGTGGCTATCCATACTTCGGAACTGAATATTCAACCCAGTGTTTTTGTGGCAACAGTATAGGCAGCTCATCTACACACACTGCAGACTCAGATTGCAGCATGTCCTGTGGAGGGGACAGTACTGAAGCCTGCGGTGGGCCTAACAGATTATCGGTCTATACAAACAATAACTATGTGAATCCAGGAGGAACTAACATCCCAGGTTATCAATACCTGGGATGTTATAACGATACTGCTGCCTCTCGCAGTCTTTCTGGTGCTTACACATATAGTGGCAATATGACAGTGGAAGCCTGTGCTACCTTCTGCAATGGCGCGACTTATTTCGGCGTGGAGTACTATCAGGAATGTTATTGCGGTAATACTCTGGCAGTAGGTAGCACTAAACAGCTCGTCACTGACTGTTCATACGCATGTGCTGGAAACGGCAGTGAATTTTGCGGTGGCAGTAATAGACTCGATGTGTACGAGCTTGGCTCGAGTATCATAACAACCTCGTCAAGTTCAGTTACTTCCAGTGGCATATCATCTACCGTCACCTCATCTCAATCCACAACTGTGCCCGTGACTACGACGAGCACAACTGTATCTTCTAGTACCACGTCATCCACGAGCACGACGGCGGTTGTCAGTACTACAACAACTACTAGCATAGGCACTACTACTCTCTCAACAACCACCAGTGCCACTACCACGGCCGCTGCTTCTGGGCTTCCATCGGGGTGGTCCTATAAAGGCTGCTATCTAGATAACATCGGCGGCGTTCGTTCCATGCTCACCCAAGAAAACGACAACCCCAACATGACTATTGCATCCTGCGTGAGCCAGTGTATATCATTGGGATATAGCGTGGCAGGCATGGAGTATTCTGATCAGTGTTTCTGTGATAACTATATCCATAACAATGCTTCATTAGCAAGCTCAGACTCCCAGTGTGCCATGACCTGCGCCGGGAATACCGGTGAAATTTGCGGCGGGCCGAGTCTACTCAGCGTCTATTCTAATGCTACAATTACGGTACTACCGGTCCCAACACCACAGAAAACCAACTTACCCGGGTCTTGGGTGTATAAAGGCTGTCTCCAGTATGTCCCCACATTATTCCATTTCTGGATTTAGTATAAGTTGCGACTCAAGCTGATACTCCGTAGGGACAACGTCAATAACACAAGGACCTTCCCCTACATGCTCACCTACGCAAACAACAACTCGGCCTCCGCATGTCTCTCCCGTTGCCAAGAATATGGATTCCAAGCAGCCGGCATGGAGTATGGTCAACAGTGCTGTAGGTTCTGACTCTATACAGTGAATTGTTACGTCAGGTTAACACAGTGTAGTCTGCGGTGATACTTTCGATATCGGGGCTGGTGTTCAAATCGTCGATGATTCTCAATGCAATATGATTTGCACGGGCGATCCAATTCACTACTGTGGTGCCGGAAATCTACTTAATTATTACATTTGGGAAGGAGATACCCCATTGTACGAGTGGACCTATGCTTCAGGGAATAATGCTGGTCTCTATGAATTCCTTATTGGAGGCGTTGTAGTGCCCTTGATGACCACAGTCAATATTAATGGCAAGGTCACTTTCTTGGAGAAATGGGGAACTGGGCCGCCAAATACCACTGGAGCGTATGAACTAGATCTATTCTACGCGAACGATTTCAACAACTCATGGCGACCGATGCACGTCAAGACCGACATTTTCTGCTCCGCTGGCCTCGTGCTTCCAGACAAAGCTGGAAGACAGCTTACTGTTGGTGGATGGTCGGGAGTGTCTACTGAAGGTATCCGGCTTTACTGGCCAGATGGTTCCCCGGGCAAGCCCAGTGTCAATGACTGGCAGGAAAACCAGGCGGAGCTTTCACTCCAGGATGGCCGCTGGTATCCTTCTGGTATGATTATGGCTAACGGCTCGATCTTGATTGTTGGTGGTGAGACAGGGTCCAATGGGCCGCCTGTGCCTACCCTAGAAATTCTGCCTACTGTCGGACCCACGCTCTATATGGATTGGCTGCAACGTACAGATCCCAACAACTTGTATCCATTCATGGCGGTGATGCCTTCGAAGACAATTCTAGCAGCCTACTACAATGAGGCTCGTTTATTGGATGAGGCCTCATTCCAGACGATCCGGTCACTGCCAAACATGCCCGGCGCCGTCAACAATGATCTCGGTGGGCGCACTTATCCTCTCGAAGGCACAATGGTGTTCTTCCCTCAATACGCTCCATACACAGACCCTGTGAGGGTTCTGATATGCGGTGGTTCAACGCCTTACGGTGGGGATGCCATCGATAATTGTTTGTCCATCCAACCCGATGTTCCGGGACAAACCTGGACTATTGAACGCATGGTAGGCCACCTGTATTGAGCATAAATATATGATAACTGACAATCGAATAGCCTTCGAAGCGGGTCATGACTTGCATAGCGCCGCTCCCAGACGGTACATTCCTTATAATGAACGGGGCCCACCAGGGTGTGGCCGGATTTGGCCTTGCTACCAGCCCTAACCTAAATGCTGTTCTTTACGACCCAAGCAAGCCAGTGAACCAGCGTATGACGGTGATGGCAAATACCACCGTAGCTCGTCTATACCACTCCGAGGCAATTCTTCTTCCTGATGGGCGTGTGTTGGTCTCTGGTTCCGACCCTGAGGATGGTGTTAATCCTCAAGAATACCGAGTAGAGGTATTCATTCCGCCGTATCTCCTATCTGGCGCCTCACGACCGGCATTCACCATCACCGAAACCGACTGGGCATATGGAGGAACGTATAGTATCACAGTTACCGCCGGCAACGTTGCCAACCTGAAGGTATCCCTTATAGGTCTCGTCTCAAGCACACATGGTAACAGTTTCGGGCATCGCACTTTCTTCCCAGCATTCACCTGTCAAGGTAGCCAGTGTACCATCACTGCTCCGCCGGACCCGTGGACTTCTCCTCCTGGTTGGTTTCACCTGTTCATCGTTGACGGGCCGACCCCGTCGGTCAGCACGTTTGTGCGAATCGGAGGGGATCCGGGAAAACTAGGTAATTGGCCGAATCTTACTGATTTCACAGTTCCTGGTGTGTAGTTAGGCCATATAGGCGATAATGATTTGATGACTCTTTCAAATGATTGTCGATGGAGGTTTTTGGGATCGGTTGATCTGATTTTCCACCTTTGGTCGCCAGAGTTGAAGGATAAAATCACTGGATATTTATAGAAAACGTCAAGGTATCGTCGTTTCATTATGTTGAGCATCCGAGGATCAGCAGATACGGGTAAACTCTAGACCCTTCTAAATAAACTCTAGAACATCAAAATACAGACGCCTGAGGAATATACAGTATAAGTATATACATAGAGAAGAAAATGCAACGCTGATCATGATGTAAATGCAATTATTTTTCTTGCTTCTCGGGGTTCACCGGAACAAGGTAGTGGTATTTTTCGGCGTCGTTTGGGATCCCCTCGCCGTCACTGGCAGAGTCGATCTTTTTATAAGGCAGTGTATCCACAGACCAGATATTTCGCCAAACTGTTTCGTCGGATGCTAGATTAATACCATCCGGAAGAAGGCCCATGGCGAATGGCAGCGTTTCGTTGTCGCCAACGTCTGAAGGGAGACGCATCCAGAAACGAACAGAGTCTGGGATTTCACTGCGGAGGTGACTGACCACAATGAGGGACTGGTCAGGACCGAGATGGGGAATCTGGAATTTTGTATTGCTTAATGTCTCGTTGGCGTCGGGGTCAGGTTCTAGGAGAGCAAAACATTTCTCGCGCATCGATGGCGACATGCCAGAGAAAGCTTCGTCTAGAATTATTAAATCTTGTTTTTTGATGATAGCCCGTATGAACAATACTAAACGCTGTTGGGCCATATTGAGTTGGCCGAAGGTTATTGTGTCGGCGTATTCATGAACGGACGATGGCGGCAATGGGTAGCGATAACGTTGACTTAGAAAGTTCTCAGCCAATACCTTTTTTTGAAAGTGCAGGGGAATAAAGGAAAGGTCGGTTTCGGCTTTGATAGGAAGCTCTGGACCGGGACTGTTGTCTAGTTCTGGCTTGAAGTGTTCAAGCACTCGATCAATAAGCGTATCAATCTCATAACTCAAAGTCGGCTTTGAGAGAAAGGTGTCTGCCCATGCGGATTCAATCGCTGCCCGGACCGTAAGCTGCCGCGGGAAGAAGGCGTGGACTTCAGGCGAAGAATGGCCGATCCGAGATTGCAGGTCAAAAATTGAGATACCTGGTTTTCCCACTTCCGGAAGACGAGAACGACCAAATAAGCGGACAGGCAGTGCATATGCCTGTGGGTGGTCTGAAGTTATTACGGACAATAATGTTGTTTTGCCGGATCCATTCGCTCCTAGGATCGCCCAGCGCTGGCCACGGCGGACTTTCCAATGTAGTCCTGGCTTGCCGTGATCTTCACCAGCTACATCTTGCTTCCAATTTCCAAGTACAACTTTTCCCCCATACTGTACGCGAACGCCTTCCATCTGTATGATAGGCTCGCCATTCATGGAAATAGGCGTGATTGACTTCGCTCTTTTTTTTTCCATCGAGCTCCATCTTGCCGTCCTTTTCAGGTCAAGAGGAGGAACATAGCAGCCTTGAAAGAGGCCCCCTTCCTGGAAAAGAGGCCGTAATAACTGTGAACCCTTGACGCCCACATGAGGCGAGGCAGTGAGTCGATGAGCACACTTGATGAAGCTGGCTTTGTCCCCTTGATAAGCAACATGATCTCCATTGAGAACTGCGACGTGGGTAATCCATTCGGGTAAAGGGTCCTGTGGGCGAAGGGATATAATGACTCGAGGTGTAGATTTCTGTGCGAAACTACAAAGGAGCGAAGATATGCTATCACTAGTCACAGGGTCAAGACCCACTAATCCAGAGTTATTTTGCAATTTCAAGGGTTTACGGGGTATTTTGAGACTTACTTAAGGGTTCGTCTAGGAGAATGAGTTCTGGCTTCGCTAATAGAGCTTTAGCTATACGAGTACGCCTTGTTTGGCCATTGCTCAGGTTAGACACAGGCATATCCAAAAGCTCTTGTAGTTTGAAACTGTTCACAATCTCCTGGAAATGAATCTCATCGTGAATCTTCCCCCATTCTTGCCCTTCCAAAGGATTTAATTCCGTTTGGCCCTTCAGATATTGGCGGACCGTCCAGTCGGTGTCTTCACGTAGACTCTCGTATCGTGCACTGAGATACGCCCCCCTGGTTCCTCCGGTGGCCTGTGACCCCTCACCGCCAAAGCCGACAAATTGAATAGCATTAAACGAATGCCTTAGCTTCGGGTCCGATGGGGTGAATTTGTCTGAGGACAAGTAGGGGTATGAACGCGAGTTCGGTGGCACAGCAATATGCTGGCCGCGGATGATGTCAAAAAGCGTAGAGCTTCCAGGGCCTATGAAAGCCCAATGAAACGGCCCCTGCAATTTGCGGACCGTATTTTCGAGACGGACCTCTCTTTTATATTTCATCCTTGCCCTGACCGTGTCCTTGACGGGTTTGGGCAATTCCACCGCGAGTCGAGCAGGCAATATGAAATCAACATTGCTCAGAAGAGGTGCGTCTTTGGGACCGGGTGCCAAGTCTGATGGATACGAACGATAAAAGGACCCGTTTTCGATCTTTACGAGCGGGGGTGGAGGAGGAGGAATCGGTGGTTCGGGGTCTTGTGGTGATGTTGTGTCGAGGTCTATCTCAGCAGGCTGCCTTGGCGGAGATTTAGTCGCTGCATGACGAACGGTCCGATACGGAGTCGAGGCTCTGCCAGCACGGGATAGCGAGAATTGCAGTCTCAGCATGTCTGGCCTCGATCGACTGCATTTGCGTTGCGATGATCAATTGATAGAAGAGGAAGACGAAGAACAGAAGGCGCGCGCAGATAAATACCGCCGCCAAGCCGGGGAGCTCGGGCAGAACTCCGGTCTCTTCTTTAAATATTCCCCCATTCATCACATTTAATATTCAACATCACATTGAATATTGAATATTTAAGGCTAAATTCATTATTACATGTAGGTATCAGAGAGATGATTCTTCAATTAGATGCTCTATAGTTGTATGATTCTTGGCTTACTTCTTTATAATATCTTAAGCTCTATTTATTTAAAAATTATACAAAACAACCTTAAAATTAAACTCGTATTAGCAAGCGAAAATAGGCTCTTTTTCAAATGTTATCCACACCAGCTCCACTTGTTAACTGTTAGGATATGTTTTTGGGGCATTTCTCGCGAGCAGTTTGATTGTTTGAACAATGATTGGGTAACACTTGGTTGTCTCATTCAATGTTCGCTTGCTTACAAATGGTTCAACGGGATTACGAGCTCAAAATCACGCTAGAAGCGCAAATTATAAATCGAAACCACTCACCAGTGCTAGATTGGGTAGGTTCGGAGAATCCCCAATCCTCATATATCTGGATCTCCGAGTGGGAGGATACGAGGATCTCCCACACGGAGAGAAACTTGTATCATATCAATTGTGCCTCTCGGCCCGAGCGGACCTCCGTCTACATAGCCCTATCTCCGTATAAGTAGATACTTAGACGTTTGAGTTGCTGACAAAACATGTAAGAATGTGTGTATATATATGAGGCCAGTCTGCTCTCAGTACTCTCAATTCTTGCGGCATAGACCAAGGACACAAGTGAGCGTTCCACAGAAATATTCACAGAATGAAAGTCTTTCTCGTCTTCGCCCACCCAGAGCCCCAATCGCTGAGTTCAGCGCTTTGCCAGGTCGCGGTGCAAGAACTTGAAGCTCAAGGCCATGAGGTTCGCGTGTCCGATCTGTATGCAATGAATTGGAAATGCAACATAGATCGAGACGATTTCCCATTGCTGTCGAAGGAGCTCCCACTCAGAGTGGCATCCGCATCCAAAACGGGGTACAGTTCGCATGGTCTTACGGAGGACGTGCTGGCTGAACAGGAGAAGCTGTTGTGGGCAGATACTGTGATTCTACAGTTTCCTCTCTGGTGGTTCACGATGCCTGCTATTCTGAAAGGATGGGTGGACCGAGTATTTTCATGTGGATTCGCCTATGGGGTTGGAGAGCACAACGACAAGCGCTGGGGGGATAGATATGGCGAGGGTATTTTGTCCGGGAAACGCGCCATGTTGATCGTCACCGTGGGCGGTTGGGCAGACCATTATTCATCTCGTGGCGTCAATGGTCCCATAGAAGACCTATTGTTCCCCATTCAACACGGCATTCTCTTCTACCCTGGTCTCGAGGTGTTACCACCTTTCGTACTCTATCAGGTTGACAAAATGGGCAACAGCATGTTCGACACCATGGCTGAACAGCTCAGAGAGCGGGTGCGTAATATCCAAACCGCGAAGCCAATTCCGTATCGTCGTCAAAATTACGGCGATTATTACATTCCCAGTATGGTTCTACGAGAGGATATCGACACTGGGGCTGCCACTGGATTTACTCTACACCGCGAAGTTCACAATGATTCGGAACAAATTCACAAGTACAAGGAACAGTAACAAGCTCGCATCTTGGATAACATTGTGGGGGGGCTGAATATAGTGGGCATAATTCTCAACGGAGACAGTGGGATGGCACGACCCAAAAGGCTTTCCAGCGCTTAAGAGGACTTACATTAAGGTTGTTGATTACTCACTAGAATAGACATATTAGAAGATATAAGAGACATTCTGATGCCTTTTTCACGAGTAACTTGCATAGATTTGCGCATTCCTCGAATTCAGACATGATTTTATTTCCTAGGTTCTCTTCCGGAACTAGTATATCATTATCTAAGATAGCTTCGTCATCCTGCAAATGTAGGTAACCATCATCGATATTTACCGACTTTTTTATCCATGCGAGTTCAAAAAGATGTCAGAGTAGAGCTGTGCGGCCTCGGCAACGCCAAGCCGGGAACGGAGCTCCGGTCTCGCCGTGCCGCACACCTTTTGTATATACTCCTGCATACACAATGGGGAAGCAAACTCCCTAGGACGAACACCTAATGCAAGTCGCCTTTTCAGGGACAGACATAGTGTCTTCCATAGATCCGAAACCATCGCTGTCTCTTATTGACCAAGGAATCATCAAATATGAAACATTGCTCATCGACATAGCCTCACGTTATTTCCTATTCTCTTGGGGCCTCTCGTCACTGGTCGAGGATTAGGACTGTGACCGAATGACAGCGGCTAGGAATGGTGGTGTGTTGCAACGAACCACCTGAACTCGGCGCTTATGACAGTCATGCATGCACTAATTGACACCAATTGTCACCAAAGCGAGCGCCGGTCACTTGGTTAATAAAATGGCCCATGAGCAATGTGACTAGTGCGGGGGATCAGACACCATTTGCTGCTCGGGGGTTCATCTAATTAAACATCAGACGCGTACCCCGCTCTGACCGTTCGTCATCCCATTCATCTCTTCTCCTATTCTTTTTTTTTGTTCTGCCTCGGTGTCCAGCATTTGACAGAATACTGGCCTCCATTTAAATATATCAAGAGGAAGACGAAGCGACAGCAATCGGCAAAGAAGACACAGCATGTCATACCAGTATTCGCATCAGGACCACGGTCATCCGCCCCTCCCTCCCGGCTGGGTCGCAGAATGGGTTCCGCAGGAAAACCAGTACATCTTCATTGACCAGCGCACTGGACAAAAGCAGTGGCACCACCCTGAACGTCCTCCTGCTGGCGGCCACGATTCTCGTTCACCAGGTTATAGTCCTGGTCCGGGTTCAAGGGGCGTGGGAGGGCCTCCGCCAGGACCGGGAGGTTACGGATACGGCTCTCCCCAAGGGCCAGGGGGCCACCCACCACCGGGATACGGGAGCCCTGGACCGCAAGGCTATGGCGGTTCTCCTCAACCCCATGGTTATGGAAGCCCACCACCACCTCCCGGAGGATACGGTGGCCCTCCTCCGCCACATGGCTATGGAAATCAACCACCACAGCGTGGGTACGGAGGTCCTCCACCACCACAGGGATATGGTGGCCCTTCACCTGGCCCGCAAGGCTACGGTGGTGCTCCTCCTCAACCTGACCAAAAGAAGAACCACAATGTGGCCTATGGTGTCGGTGGAGGCCTTGTGGGTGCCGCTTTAGGCGCATGGGCAATGCACGAGTATGATGGGCGTATGTATTCCCCTGGTTTTCATTTCTCTGCGCTTTATAAATTTACTAATGAGTAAAAATCTTCAGACAAAGAAAAGGAGCGCGATGAGGAGCGTCGTGAAGAAGAGGTAGAACGCCGCCGTGAAGAAGAACGTGAATTTCAGCGCAGAGAGGAACGTGACCGCGAGCACATGTACGAAGAGGAACGAGAACGTGAGCGGTACGAAGAAGCACGAGACCGCCAGCAATTGTATAACGAAGAACAACAACTCGAGCAGCAGCGCGAAATTGAATTTGCGCGCGAACGAGAATTTCAACGCGAAGAGGACTTTGAGCGACGGGAATGGGAAGACGACCGCCGAGAAGAAGAGATTGTGTACGAAGATAGGAGATATGAGGAGAGTCGCTGGTGATCAGAGTATGAACCAGGGTGTTTTCAATTTCCCACATCTCTCTTTTTAAGTCGTGTTTCAGCTTTGAGATTATATACCGCCTTTTAGAATTGGTTACGTAGTCCGTTTAAACTCATAGTTCATCTACAGTACGTATGTACTAGGTATCTACTGCGCAGATTTAGAAGTTTAAATTCTTGTTGAATAAATTTCTAGTTGTGTCTAACCACTGTATGTTAAAGCATTTGAAGCCTTAGCTACACAAGTAGCCTGAATTTCTATCTTCGAGTTTCACATGTTATACTTATGACAAGCGAATGAGCTTAAAGAAAACTTGATATTAAGGTAAATCATTAGTCCGTCATGGGAACTACTATTACCCGGTAGGTAGGATGATTAGTAGAGAGAAGAATTCTCGGACAGTATATACATAATTGGCCCGATCACATACAATCTTACGTCGTCGTCAAGGACTGCATGTGGTATTACTGATTGAGTGTATGGAACTTATGGTGTGTAAATATGTAACACATCGAGTTATTCTGATTAAGATAGAGATCCATCACACGTGCTGCAATCAATTAATGTTCTGAGTAACTGAAACGTTGGACTTTGTGTTTTGCGAGTAACCTTATCTCTGAGACTTTGGGTCACTAAGATTTCATAGGTTTAGGGCTATTAGGGTTATCAGTTCGCTGAGTCTCCAGCACCAGCAGCCCTCTGCATCTCCTAGTCCTTTGCTAAGAATTCTGGGCATTATATGGAAAGAGTCAGCGCTCTCCATGTTTTCATACCTCCTCGAACCTCCGCTGAAGAAGTTATTGACCCAGTTGAAGCGCCTAAACCGTGCCGAAATTTCTACGCTCCACTTTACGGCACGAGAATTGTCTGCATAGTTCTCTCAAGTCCGGATTTGCGCAAAATGTGGGAACAGGGTCTCCAGGTGATGATCTCGAGATTTCGGTAAGTGCGTGCTTTACTCTATAAATCTCTACATGAGTGAGACGTTTCGGGAGATTGGGGCTTCTTGCAGTCCCAGAGGGTAAGGCTCAGTATGATTCCGAGATAACTCCTGGGAGAAGAGCGAATCATTCAGCTGCGGGAGGAGTATCACATTTATGTGCTCAGTAGTAGACGAATCGGAGGTACTGGTTGAATGAGAAGAATGTAGAGCACGTCGCCTTTGGGATGCGTAGGGACAGTTAGATATTACCTAAATATCTTCTCTTCGTAACAATACAAAATGATCTGAAGCTACCTTTCCAATACAGATTTGCGGATCTGTAAGAGTGAGCCACTCATAGATTGAATGTTGAGAGGAACCCGACTACAAACGTATGTACGACGAAGGATGACAAATCGAGAATCAACGTAAAATCAACCCGAGTGTGAACTACAGCTTAAGCGCAAATTCGGGAGACGAACTTTGTATAGGCCAATACGAACGTTTGGGGTGTATGCTGCAATAGTTGGGTTGGCTTATTTGACAAAATGAACCATTGGCTAGTCATTAACGATTGTCTTCAGGCAGTGTGCCTTCAGTCATCTGAAAAGCTCACCGGCAAGTCATATCTCTGAGATTAAGCCAAAACTATCTTTTTGGGATCTCTCAAAATTTCGGCATAATTTTAATGCAGGCCCATTGCAATTCACGATACATCCTAGAGAACCAATACCTTTATGCAAAAGACAGCTTTTCCCAGCTGGCAATCTGGGCTCCGAGAGAGAGTAGGCGTTCCTCTACCTCATTCTCGATGTCTAACGCTGTTTTTTCGCTAGTGTCATAGGTTGAATGCGCCCCAGTAAGCAATGTGACATTGAAACCGGCTTCCAAAGCGCCCTTGCACGTCGCCTCAACACAGTACTCGCTCTGGAGGCCGAAAGCGACTATTTTTTCAATATTTAATGTTCGTAGCCGTAGAGCCAGATCTGGATTGGATTCAAAGGTATCGGCTACAGATATCAGTAATTAATAGAAATATTGCCACGCTGTTCCTTTGTGTTTGTTTACTTACAGGTCTTTTTCGATATGAGAATTTCCTGCTCGACGTTGGGGCGAGGCTTGAACACGAGTTCCCATGGCTTGCTCCCTACTACCAGACAACTATCCTCGTGCTGGACAAAAACGATGATGAATGGTGACGTTGCTGCCTTTTCCCGATATGAGTCTATGACCGTCCGAGCCGCTTGAAGAATTTTCTCTCCTGAATTTCTAATTCTCTCTGCATGTGGAATTCTAGTATCGTCATTCACTGCTAGCTCGTTTTGAATATCGATTACAAAGAGAGCGGTTCGTGCAGCCATGACTAGCTAGAACCAATAGTACTGAACTTTCTATTGTCTCGAACGGTATTTTTCGCGTGGTTTGAAGGTAAAATTGGAAGTCGACTGCTGTTATGCAAAAAGCACAGTTGAGATTTGGTGAGAAGCCCCGCACAAGGCGGGTTCCTAATGCGGTTAATTGACTGGAAGGCGGCTGAAATACGAGATATTACCACTCAAAGACACTTTCCGAATCCATCCTTTCTTTCGAGACCTTTTCCCCCACTATCATGTCTCAATAAACTTTCCTTACGGCTTTTTTTTCACTCGACACACGTTGGCGATAACGGCAATCAAATTTCTTGTTGACGATACGAGGTTTAACCTTACCCCACGTCAACATGGAAATGTCTTTTCGTCGGCCAGTCCTAGGATGGAAAAAAGACGACTAATCCTCGTGCCATTTTCTTTAAATATAACGGAGGGTATTTTCATCCAGTAAAAATGGTGAACGATGAGTGCCAATTCTCCAAATCTGCCTGTAGACATGATTTAGCTACCAGTGGGGATATTTCCTGGAAATTTTAGTAGAGGTTACGAAAGTAAAGTGGATGTAAGCGAAGAGAACATTCTCGAAAAGATATAACTATGATGAAGAATCGGGAGAACTGAAATCTTGAGGCTTGTTGAGCAATCGGATGTTTCGGATGTTGACGTTGACGTACCATCAAAAGAATTTTCAAGTCAGCTCTATTGCAAACGATACATTTATATCGACCTTTCAAAACGGTCTATCTAAAAGCAAGGCCGAGAAAATAACCTTTTCCTTCTCTTTTTAGTGCTTACCATAGCCTGGGTCCTGTACGCACTACTGGTCGGGGCCGAACAAACTATGCATTGTGACACACCATGTAAGCAGTATCAATAATCCATGTCCAATGAGCATAGCTATAACTATGCCCTAAATCCGAATGGCCGCTGGAAAGGCTGTAGAGGCCCATTTGTATGTCACCCAATAGTTATAACATAATTTGTGTGACCAGCCAGATCTACCGGGCGAATGACATACTGAATCTGGATGGACGGAAGTGATGCTTCCTTGAAATAAGTGGTAAACCGCTAAGTCGGATTGCATCAAACCGCAGATTCAAGACGAAGAAACAGTAACGAAAAAGTTATCTCATTAATAAGGGGCAATTCAGCCGCAGATCGAACGGCTCGCTTTTCCTTACTCCCAACAAAACTCGTTAAGCAGCAAACAAGGTTCGCATGGCACGTTGGCAATCAATGCATTACTGAGTACTATAATTACCGCGTCCAGCTATTATGGGATCCATATGAATAAGCAGGTGTCACACAGCAAAACTTCGCATTGTACACAAAGAATGTTGACCTTACCCTCTATCTCCTTCATTTAATCCATGTATTGCATTTTATATAAGGATATCAAATAAGGGGAAATAAAATTCGAAATGGCGTTGGAAACTGATAACCAGCAGAATCTTCTAGGAAAATTTACGATTCCGGTCATAGACGAAGATGCCAAAAATGACAATCCATGGCACCGAAACTACCACCAACCTCCGCGATTCAAAAAGCTCGAGCCACATAGTTTTCCAGTTCTCGATATTAGACCAGATATATCGCGTCCGGAATATACGCCCCAGGCCTTACTTAAGAGCCATGGATTTGGAGTTGTCAAACACGAGTCTTCGTTGTTTGAGAATACTTCGCCCGACTTCGATGACGGCGAAGTTGTTTATCCAAGCGAGCAGACTATCGTTGAAAAGTACTATCCTGAGATGAAAGATCTTATAATAAAAGAATTGGGGGCTAAAGAAATATATATAACCCACAGTATTGTGCGGGGAGGCGAAGTCCCTGAGGTATATAAGCTACCGACGGGGCTCAATGTGAAACCACATGAAAGCCAGCCTGATCAGAAGAAAGGTGGGAAAGTTGATTCAGAATCAAACAACGAAGACTATGACCGTCATATACACGTATCCACAGGACAGCCAATACGTGTACCTCATCAAGACTATACACCACTTGGGGCACGACAGTCATTGCGTCATCAAAGGCAAGATATATACCAATGTGCTCTTGAAAGCGGGATTCTAGAGGCTGAAGACGGTATATGTGACGGCCAACCATTTTCAGCTGAAAGCAAAGAGTCGGAAAATTTGATTTTCGAGAAGTACAACTCTGTGGAAAAACTGGGACCTCGATATGCGGCGTATAGCATCTGGCGCCCTCTAAAAAAGGTCCAGCGAGACCCCTTAGCCTTATGCCCGAGAACCAAGTTCAATCAAAACGACTCTCTCATATATTGGCCGTATCTGAATAAAGTGCCAGGGCATCCAGACCTGGGTGGGGATTTTTTGAAAGAATATGCAATTTTAGGACTGGACAAGTTCGTGTGCGACAGCTGTGGAAACAATGATTTTATACCTTTGAAATGGTACTACGTTTCTGAACAGAGGACGGATGAGGTTTTATTTATCAAACTATTTGATAGTGCCGCTCTGGGTGAGAATACCGAACATGCCGGTGCTCCATGGCATGCAAGCCCAGATTTGGGTGATGCTAAAAATGGTGAGCCCAGGGAAAGTATTGAACTCCGTGTGATGGTCTTCTGGTAGAGAGTCTTCTGCTTCGTAAGGGTCTATGTTATTCTTTTCGTATGTTCCATCAAAGTCTAGGTAGTTCGGTCCCACCTAAGAATCAATAATTTACTTTTCGACGCCGGATAGTATCGATTGATGAACCTTATACACATTTATTTATACAATGTAGTGAGAAATTACAAACGTCAAATTGTTTTTAGGGGATCTCGTCTAATACGAGTGCTCCTACTTCTGGTACAACGTCCGGTCCCTGAGGTCCCCAGGTCGCCTGGTTTTGCTTTGCGTACTCCCGGATATCATCAAAATTTCGACATTTATACATACGGTTGAAATCGGGTGTTACATGTGGAGGGTCTCCGGCCCAGATATAGGGGTGCAACTCTGTATCAGCAGTGCACATCAGCCTTTGACGAAGAACATCGACGCAATGCCCTGCAACTAACTTAGCTTCAAAACAGCCCAAAACTCGACTTTGCTAAAGAAAACATGATAACTCACCAATATGTAACTCCAGAATTTCTTTTCGATCTAAGAATTCCACCTTATGAAGAGTCCTATAGTAGTCAATGTTGAAATATAGGCTTTTCCGAATGAGGTTCTTCAGTCGTCACCAATTAGTCAAGGTCTTTAATTTAGTCAGACCTTAGTAAAATACTTACAAGGCAGTGCAACTGGTGCAATCCGGCCACAAATGCAGGATAACCAGGCCCACCGTAGCGTTCTGTGATATGAAATCGGTTCTGCTCGATACCTGCCGCCTTTGCATCTTCATCAGGCACTATAAGGGGATCGTCTATTCTCAATGTCAGCCTCTCAAAAAGAACAAAACATTCATTCCCGAGAAAAGAATACATTCGATTCCTAACCGTAGCCATGCTTCATCTACCTCAGGGCTGGGCTTCTGGCGATATATCGTTTCCTTGGAGAATGATCCATTGAGAAGTATGGATTCATAGCTAATCCTCACGTCACGAAAGATTTGTGCTTCAGAAGTTTGTCAGTAAATACTGCGACTTCCACCATTATATTGAACCACGGTCAATCTAGCTTCTCTACTCTAGTAATTTGGCTTAACCAGTTTCAAGATTTTTGTGAACATACTTTTATGTTCTGATGTATGGATGGCGCATGTTTGGTCGAGTTTTCTAGTCCATAGTTCTAGGCTCACAATTATTGAGATAATATTGGTGACGATGATAATGCTGGTAATGCCGAATAGCCAGCATGAAGTTCGAAACAGTTTTGTCCGTGTTTGCCCGTGAATGTGTTTTCTCTGTATGTCATCGTTGTCATGCTGAAGAAATGGGACACTGTCTTCTGCTGATGATGGTTTCATCATTTCCCGCAATCCCTCATGCAAATCGGAATCGGGCTTGTTACAGATTGAGATCAGGTTGAAATCAAAGTAGGTAACCGTATTTGACTTGGCCCCCAATAGGCACCATTCTTTCTTGCTCAAACAGGATCAACTAAGGAAGCAGGACGCAAACAATTATTTACACTACAGCACTAGGCACGGAATAAAGAATTGAAAATCCGCCCAGCGGATTCTTTTAGCTTAACATAAATTTTAATGATACGGACTTCGGAGGAGGCATGTGCTCGTGGTCCGCCCAAGGAGAGGCCAACCCAGTTTATAAAATATAATTGGCTCGATATATGCAACTAGCAACGATAAGCAATTGCCAGTAAGCACTAGATCGTTAGCTAGTCATTAGTTTCGCATGGTGTTCAAGAATTGTCAGCCAAATATGTACCAAATTAATTACTCTCAACTAATGACGAGGACCACTTTTTGGTGAAGTGGTTTTTCGACCAACAGTTAAATCCTTCGGGGCCCGCACCAACTATTTGAAGGACTGGGATTTGACCGATTCCTATTTGAATGCGGGTTATTTTACCAACGATTTCGAAGAATAGTGGACTAGATTCACGACTTCTCGACTTCTCGCTACTTAAGTTCCGGTTGGCTGCTCATTCCATGATAGATAATACTACCTTCCATATTTGATTCTAGAAAATAGACCTATATCATTTAGTCCCATTTGCGTCATCTTTGATGAATAATTGCTATGTAAGGCGTAAATATGGTGAAAGTTGGATGTGTATAGACTCCAGCTCCTTGGACTCAAGTGCCTGTGAAATGGTTTGAAGGATTCAGATACGTGCCGCACAGTAATGTCGCATATCAGAAAAGCAACCCTTCATGACCCCAAGTTGATCGCCAGTCAGTCGAAATCCTAAGCACCCAGGGCTTTCCTTTTACATTTGCTCTCTTTTCTCATAACCAGTAATGTAACCCACAGCCTCATCTTCCCGTTTTTCATAGCCAGTGATATACCCCACAGCCTCATCGTCTCTCTTCTCGTACCCGGTTATATAACCTACTGCCTCATCCTCACGCTTTTCGTAGCCAGTGATGTACCCTACTGCTTCGCCTTCTCTTTTTCGTAACCAGTAATGTACCCAACTGCTTCATCTCCACGCTTTCCTATTACATAGTTAATATCTATACCGATGAGAAATACTTTTATTATTTCTAATATTACCTTGAGGGACTGGGCTGGCTAACACTGAGGCGACCAAGCCTACACCAGCGAGGAGCATAGACAACTGCATGATTGAGATATTTCCTATTGTCTCTTGCTTAGTTTGGCTGAGGATTATTTGAGATGGAGAAGTCCACAGGAATATGCATAAGAGATCTATATGCAGGGGAACAGGCCACTTTATGTACCCTTAGCTGTCTTGTGTCGCGGGGCATTGGGTAATTTTGTCAAAGCGTAATTCAGTGTTATTAACCATGTTATTTCAAGGTGAATTTGCCATTGTATTTGCTTTAACCCATCTTCGTCCACGTCCACATTTATTACACCATAATTTGTTGGAGCTACTCCATACTGACCATTTCATTGGATCGGTATACGCTAGCAAATGGCACAGCGTATATGTGGAGTTGACCGGATCCATCGGAGACATATTGTTAGTTTAGAATCCGATAGCGTACGTCGAAAGCTTATTGTTACTGGAGGTGGTAGAATTTGGCCCCATTCGATACGGCTATTCACCCGCCAATATTACTAAGGAAGACGCTTTCATTTGAGCAGCTCAGCCTATTATATCTCCCCCTAGTCACTACGTTGACATATTCACTTGGAAAGTCAAAGTACTCACAATGCAAACCTCAAGAGACTCTGGGTTTGATCAGGATTATGCAACCGGTAGTCCTTTGCACGATACGGAAAACGATACTCTTTTGAATAGTGGAACATATCCGTCTCAACAATATCGATACCCGATTTTCTCACGTGCAATTCCTAAGAAGCTAGTGGTGCTAGCTTTTATTTCACAATCACTGGTGAACATCATATTATCGATTGCCTGTGTTACTTTGTTTTTATGGGGTCAATATTCATACCCGGGGAATAAAGACAGAGACGACACGATTTTCTACAGCTATGGGGCGACGGAAAAATATATGACACTCGATCACAAATTTGATTATTTGTGGTCTGAGACGGGAAATTCATCTTTGATTAGAATAGATGATTTGGATCAGCAACGAACTGTTGAATCTATTAGCATGTAAGTAATTACGACTGTTTTTCTCCAGCCCTCGAGATTATCAATAAACGCTCCGTTAACGAACTCCAGGTTTCATCAACTACACTGCCTAGTATCGTTAAGGCGAGCTTTACAGCAAGCCAAAGAGGGAAGGGATATTGGAATGGACCAGCATGATAATGCTCATTGGCCGCACTGTCTTGATTATCTTCGACAGGCAAGTTTTACCCGAGATTTGTCATATTTACAGTTGTAATGAAACTAACCGGAAGCGCATTTACTTTACTATTAACAGACAATTTTGTGCTTCGCAGATGATACAATGGAACAACAAGATCTCTTGCTCAATGGAACTAGGTCTAGACTTATCAGCGGCAAACAGGATATAAGGAAATGTCGCCCTCGAGAGCATCTATATACTCTTAGAGCCGAGAAAGGACTTTATGTTCCTCACAGATGAATATAGTAGTGATTATACTTGGATTGATACGTTCAAAAGTTGACTTAAGCAAAAAATTCGTTTTTTTCCTCCAGCCAGTAATTGCGTAGCTACTATGTCACCTAAATTGTCCCAAAAGGATTTTTTCCTATTCATAGGCCCCATAGACAGGTGTACCGATTATGCAAAGCAGTTGATAGAGTTATAAATCCATAACTAAAAATGACTTGATCATACAGCCTCAAGTCATCATCGGGGTTTTTAGATGCTACATATAAAATTTGTCTGTCTATAATTTTGTTACATGTACATATCATTGATGAATACATGCACCATAGGAATCAATTGATATAGAAATATCAAACTACCCTGATAGAAGTGGACAATCTTTGTAACAATTAGTCCTTAAACTCTTGGTGTGTTTAAAGTCAGATGGCTAGTGATTATTTTTAATTCGTATTGAAGATAAACAATCGCTCCACGGTCCCACTTGGATTCATATTGAAATGGATGTCAACAAGGACTAATTTGAAAAGAGACACTTCTCCATCGGGTAATCTACTGTCCAATGTTACATCCGTTCGAACAGAACAGCTCAGAATGATCAAAGACGAATATAACGAAACAGCTTAGCTTGTGACATGCTATAGGTGCGGGTTTACATGTACTAGCAACCTTCATAATCCAATCAGAACCTAATTCATATTATATTTCCCAAGAAATGCTGTCCATGCTACATAGAGCAGTCTGGTGTTAATTTTGGACAAAATATGTAGTCATAATATGTACCGATAGAAGGACAATATGATCTGTGAAATCAATTGATATTTTGCACAATATTGCACCGGCCATTCGATATTACACGGTACATTAAAAATCTAGTAATTCCGTCAAGGGGTGTGGACTTCCTTCGCAAGGTCAACTTCTACTGAAAATTTAGTGAGTGGGATTCAAACTTGGAACTTGAAAAGCAACGCTTGTCTATCGGACGTTGTATTCTGTAAAATGCTAAATCCGTTCAAAAATAATAGATCAGAATCGTTTACAACCGAACACTGAAGCATGATAAAACTGCTCCAGGTGCTGACTCATCTAGTTACGTGCTTCTGGTTGGTTTTCAACACCGCATCCAATGAGAAATTATTTCCCAAGTACAGAATAGCGTCACACTAATGCTAATACGCTAGCCTTGTTAGGGCTTATGCTGTATGTCATTGGATAACGATATACACATTTGACAAGTTGATGTTGATCCATCGCCATCATTGTTACGACGCTTCTCAGTGACATGACATGGAATTTAGTCTATCTTATGATTCTTGATTTTCGGTGTTAAGATTGTATTTCCGACGGATCGGTGTAATCAATGAGCACAACCAGAACTATATAAAGCAGTCCTACAATGGCACGGCTACAAATGTCCGTCAATGGTTTCCATCTAATGTTCCACCTGCTTAAGAAGTTGTCGAACTGATTTATTAAATCACCAGTCACTTTGTCAAAGTGACTTATCAAAAATGGCCAATTTGAAGAGAACTTTCTTGATCACTGGTGAGTGTTGCTACCCCCGATATATATATTTATTGGATTTACTAGCGCGTTGAAATTGAAATCAACTGCTAGACTTTTGGGGATTGGTGTAGCTGACGTTCAATTAATCGAAAGGTGCAAACTCCGGGGTAGGCTATGCCACAGCCCATACTATCGCTGCAAAATCCCCAGACTACCACGTCATCCTAGCCAGTCGTAGCATCACTAATGGGCAGGAAGCTCTCGATGAAATCAAAACCTCATCATCCCTACCCATTAAAGGCACTTTGTCACTAGTCCAGCTTGATGTCACCAATGAGGAATCAATTGCCTCAGCAGTTAAATTGGTGGAGTCTGAGTTCGGCTACCTTGACGTTCTGATAAACAATGCGGCCACTACCTCTGGAGGAACCAAACCTTATACCAGAGAAGGGTTACGGAACTTGTTCGACACCAATGTACTTGGGCCAATGCTGATGCTTCAAGCCTTTCAGCCCTTGCTCGAGAAATCGATATATCGCGATGGAGCGTATGTGATTCAAGTTTCTAGCGGGTTAGGTGCTTTTGCTCAGGCAGACAACCCTAAGAATCCAAATTACCCGCACCCTTTTGACGCGTACCGAATGTCCAAGGCCGCGTTGAATATGATGACTGTGCAAGCGCAGAAAAGTCTCGGTAGAGAGAAAGGATTCAAAATATTCTCTGTTTGCCCAGGTCTTGTACGGTCGAATCTGAGGGGAAAGTCTGAGGAGCAGCGGAATGCCGGGGGTTTGGCCGGGAATCCTCTGGTTTCAGGGAGGGTTATTTTGGGCGTACTCGAAGGAGAAAGAGATGATGCAGTTGGTAAATTCGTGCACGAGGATGGCGTGTACAAGTGGTAAACTTTGACGCTTACAGCTAAAGATATAGACTTGAATGCTCCTTGTGATAGCAAGGAATCGGTTTCCAGACGTATATGTTTGAAATTTAAATTTTCAACACCGATTTCGTTGACTCAAATAAAAAGGTTCCCTAGGACGTCGTGTACCATGTCGATCCCTAGAAATGACTTCATGATATCTTTCATCCCGTTCTAAGATCTTACTTCACAGAGATTAGCGATCTCGTTTAAGGAAGGCTAGAGCCAAATATTTTCCTCGGCTTGCTTCCCGCTAAATACTAAGATTACTCCAACCATTATAAGCCATACAAGATTCTTGAATGCATCAAATCGCTTTCTAATGAATTCTTAATTATAAGACTGTGAATAGAGTCTTCATAGAAGTTAGATAAACGACGACATTTCGGTTTAGATATTCCACCATCCTCATCATTCCACTGTAGAAAGATGCAAGAGCAAAAAGCTAAGAAGCCAAGCCGAACTGCTTCATCAAGAAACGAAGTGTCGTACTCTAGGTGGATGAGACGGTACGTGACAGAGCCTAGAGCGTCAACAAGGATTTCTTTGTCAATTATGTTGTTGGTCGTCGATGTGTAGTTGATGAGAGCGCAAAACTTTCGCATAAAATTCCAAATTGCGATGAGGTTGTGGTCGATATAGTCTAGTAGGATAACCTGGATGTAGCGATAGTGGCTATTAGTTATTCATATGCTTAGGGTCAGAGTTATTTGGGCTATAGTTACTAACTCATTTTATTTAAACTGATATCCTTTCTAGGTTAATTTCCAGTTAATAACCGTAAACAGTATACTCAATGACACCTCCGAAATATTCAGCCTCATGCCCGTTATGGGTGTTGATAATATGGGAGACATTAACTTGAACGTAGCGATATGACCTCTCACTAGCGACAAAATTAGGAATATAGCCGACTTGAGTATTATTTGAGGCGTCCCCAATATCCTCATAGCTGGTACCATCGACTGAGCCCATGACTGTTAATTGATAATAGGTCTCGCTTCCCTGGACCATTCTAGTGGTCAGATCCACCTGAGTAATTTTAAGACTATCACCTAAGTCAACTGTCAAGGTGAATGGATAACCAGATGGAACAAAATAAGCAGATGGATCATCATAAATGCCGTCATTTACGTAAGTTATATTGGTACCGCCAGGTGGATTTGGGGTCACACTTTTTCCAACCGAGAGGATTTTTCCACTCTGTATCCCAAAAACCCCCACTTTATTACTATTAGCAAAGCCTGGTAGTAGGTATCCTGTCTTCTGGTAAAACTTGTAGTATGCAGAGCCTTCGTCGTTTGGGGCAAAAGAAATCGGAAGCATGTATTGCCGATTCTCACCATCCACCGGGGACCAGCTTGCCCCCCATCGATCCGACAGCATGGCGTAGGAGTTACCGACTTTGTTGATAACCCCAGACTGTGAGCCATACGTTGCGGCATCAGCTGGCTCACGAGCTTCGCTCCACGCTGATGGGATTGATTTCGAGGTAATGTAAAGAGGCTGAGATGGATACCAGCCTGCGGCACGAGACGTGAACAAATAGTAAGTTTCATCGACTTTAACCATGGCAGGTGCTTCGCGGTACTGATTAACATAGACCGTATTGACAAGTTTGTCTACAGCCGTCCAATTGGATGTTAACTGAATGACGGTCATGTTCGTATTGACGCCAACGGCTGAAATAAGATAGGCCGACATGGCAGGATCATTGTCGACAAAGACAGTCATGTCGCGCGAGTCATATCCGAGAGGTCTATAGGCGCCGTGGAAGCTCCAGTTACTATTGGGCCGGCCACTCGCGCACGCGACCTGAGCAAGATCATAGTTGATAGCATTTTCCAGATGCGCCCACATAACAACCTCTCCCGTGTCCGGGTTCTGGTTAAATGTAGCGCGCTCCAAATGACAGAGGCTACCTTCAATAGAGGCGCAAATTGTTTGAGACGTGATAACTACCCGGTCTTCATTGAAGTTGTACCCGTCCCTGGAAGACTGTTCTTGGATGTAGAATGTTCCAGTGCCGTTCTCGATGTAGTTGTATCGATAATACAACCCATGCGCCTTGATATTGGACTTACCAAGATATGAAGATACCTGGGTATTATCATAAATTGCGTATTCGGCTTCCTTCGGCGAGAATGTAGTTATGTAGACTTCATTCGATGTATTCTGAGCAGAGGTGACCCGATAGACGTATTGTGTTATTGCCAGGTTATAATCGTCATAGGTATTGCCAGAAACATTAGCAATTGTTGAGAAATCGGTCGATCTCTCTAGTCTTCTCTGCACAATATAAGAACCCGCATTGGTGTTAGCAATATCCCAGCTTAGTTTGACGTTATTGACATCAGCGAGTTGCTCAGACGAAATGGCTGGATAGCAAGACCTTGCTGAGCGGCCGCCGGAGAAAAAAAAACAGAAAAAGTGCGAGTATTTTAGGATAATTGTCACCTGAGGACGATTTCAACTTTTCACGGTTTGTAGCAGTAAGGAGGTTGGGGAGATGGGCGTATCTTTTATAGCTATGACGGTTGGTATTGGTAGAGCCTGACAGTTTTTCATTACAAAGCCAAACTAAAAATACCAGGTACAGTATAAGTTAAAGTTGTGCCTAAAACATTTTACCTTGCTCGGGCAAAGCATTTCCCACATGTCTGATAGTATGGGATAAAGTTTGTTATTCAACACGCTGGAACGCGCAGAGACGTCAACGCCATTGCCAGAAAGCATCGGGAGAATTTTCTAGGGCATCGCCTGGGAGCAGCGGTGTGCTAGGCATTGGTGGATAGCGGATAGAGGGCCTAACATATCTTCCTGCCATTGTGATCAGAGCTCCCTAAACTTGATCCTCAAAATAACCCGATTAAATGTACTTGTCCTCGCAGTGAGCTGGAGGAGGGTGAGGTATCAACTGATGCAACAGTTGTCCGTTGCGCATTTAGATATTGATTCAAGTAAATCAGTTCCTCGTTTCTTCAAATTACCCTGTACTTTTTACCAATGTTTGCTCGCCTTAAATTTCATTCCTCCGCATCTCATATTCTTTCCTTCGGACATTGTTGAAAAACTTGAAATATGTAATTAAACTTTATCGTCCCCCCTCTTCGCGAAATTAATACATACAACCTGACCAAACAAAGAGTATGTTTGTAAAAAGCTTCCAGTTCAATGGTGTGGCATGAAGAAATGTTGATACGCCGATAAAAGTGGCAATCACCGGCCGGGGTTATCGGAGCCGAGTAGCCGAGCGTCTGCATGAAGTCGTCGTATTCAAAATTTCCCCGCATCACATTGCCAATCGTAGTGGCCGGTGGGGTATGCTATTGGGCCGCCACTATATTAGCTCCTTGGATGGAGTAAAACTTCAGTATCACAAATCGGCATGCATGGCCAGCAGACAGGCTGTAGTAGTTCTTCAATTTGTTTCCGTTCGTTGGAAATCATAATGGACATCGGTGGAGAACCCGAGTCGCGGAAGCGCAAGAGAACATCTCATGCCGTAATTCATTTCAGGCTTCACCATTGGCGGCATATAGGACTGACAGCTATTTTGGCAGTGTGATGCTTGTCGCCTTCGGAAAGTTCGGTATGTAGAGAATATACACCAACCATCAAGGGTCATGGCACGGCTCATTTTGACTGTCTTTTATCAGATGTGATGGCAGGCAACCATGTTCTACCTGTGCATCTGCCGGTGAGGAATGTGGTTACGGTGTTGAGGCCATGCCGTGAGTTATTCTACCAAAATCAATGATCTCTAGCCGCTCGGGGTAAGGTCTTAATTGTTGACACAACGTTGGTCAGCAAGAACAAATCGGATGTAATTTTAGACGTTGCTTTGCGCTCGGAGAGTATGCTTCAGAAATTGTCTTTGCAGCTGGTAAGTGCTTCCGGAAATAAGTCAAATAGTTCTCAGTAACGGCTTATCATCATATAGCAATCAATAATAGGATCCAAAATTCCCGTCGACATACAAGGGGTTACATCTCCCCTAGCTTTCATCTCTCCAGCGACCAATGAATCCAATCATCAATTGGACAGCCCAGCAGACCATATCTCCAACGCAATCCTCTCTCAATTTCACTCTTCCACCACAGAATCAATCCTCACTTGGCCACATCTTCAGGACTTTCATGCCTTACGTCAAAACTACAGCGGATCAGTCTTCCATCTGGAGAGCCTACGGCCACCGCTCAAGCATCGAACAGCTGGAATAGTACCGTATGCGAGTAAGTCAGAGGTAGAGTGTATTTTACAGAGTTTCGAGCGGAATATCAATTTTTGGTACCCAACCCTGTCAAGAGCTACTGCCATAATGGTCCAGCAGCAGATACTCTCCAATAATCTTGATGAAGACATCAGCTCCTGTTTATCTATATTAGTGATGGCACTAGGCTGTGCAAGTGAGCTTGTTCATTCCGCGACGGTGGATACGATCGAAAAGTCTACATATTCGGAGCAGCGAGATCGATGGCAGCTGATTAGTGCACTTTACTTCGATTATGCATTTAAAAGAATTCACCTAGCACAGGCAGAATGTACCACAGAAGCAGTACAATGTTTGTTCTTCACCGCGTGTGTGGCCTCGAAATTCGATAAGAAATAAACGTTAACAAATATCAGCCTATTCTTTGCCTTCCTTCAGCGGCCCATACAAGCGTGGTCATTTATTAGCGCCACTGCGAGCAAGTGCCGTCTCCTTCTGTCTTACCATACCTCAGAAGTTTCTACGGACTCGATAGAATGTCTGCGCCGAATCTTTTGGTCATGCTATATTTTGGAAAGGTCACTCTATATCGGTTCCAACTGAGTGTGTTCGGGTCTAATAGGCAGCAGTGACTACCTCGCAGAGCTCTCGGCTCTTCCTCAGACAGGAATCGCTGAGATCGAGTCCTCTATTCCATTGCCGGGTGAATACCATACTCATGCATCCTCAGTTGACGAAGAGAACTCGTCGCTATATTTTCTTGCCTGTATTTCTATGCGTCGACTACTCAACCGAGTTCACGAACTCCTGTACGCCAGGAAAGGAGGTGTAGCATCCGACATCAACCAATTCCCATCGGTGGTGGTGGAACTTGATAATCAATTGGAGAACTGGAAGGTTCTCTTGCCACTTCCTTTTCAGTTCTCCATGAATAAAGAAATTATTCCCTCAGCAGAGGGAGGTTTTCTCCGCCAACGCTACCTAACATGTAAAAGCGTCATTTACCGACCATATCTGACGTGGGCTCTATCATTAACAGCACGAGGGGACTCCATCCCACCCATCGTCTCTGACGGATGTACGACCTGTTTAGATGCATGTTGCTTACATGCAGAGAATTTGAGTGGTTTTCCTCAGACAGTCATGGTGGACACGTGGATCTGTTCACTTTCGTACGTTCCCTTCTCATCTCTATCTCGTCTGCCTGCTGACTTGGTATTAGGATGGCTTCCGTCATGCTTATCGTCTTAGCAATCTCTCGAGAGGATTCCCTTCGAAGATGTCTCCCATTTGGGGTTGTGGAAATCGGACCAAATATCAGCAAACATCTCACGCAGTGGATACAAATTCCGATGCAGGGGCTGTCTCCCAGTGTTATGCGAAGTATCAAATTAATTGAAGACGTGAATTCATCTCTTCGAACAATTTTAGATAGTTAGATTTACCTCCTTTATGATATAAAAACGGAGATGCATACCCAATGCTCCTCCTCAAATGGTAATATGATCATTCTGTAGATTAAAACCATTCATGCGTCTCAACTAGAGCGAAAAATGCTCTAAGGGCCTTAAGTTCTGCATCGTATAAGATATCATAGCCTCTACCAAACTGGGAAGGTATTTGGCCTGTACATTTTCGAGGTCGTTTCAATGTTGTCTTGGGAAATCCGTTTCACTCAGGACTTTAGACTTGAAGAAGAGAATTAAGGTTACTTTCGCGGATGTCGGAACCGAGGTTATTAGTTACCCCTTTCAATTTAGCACATCGGCATTTGAGCGGAAAATTGTTACTGCTTAAAATTTATCCACCAGGTCAAAGCATTCTTGCATAGCGAATACCTGGTGGCGTTTTTATTTCTGGTCTCGCTTAGACGACAGCCAACTAACTGTGCCTACTGTCTCCGGCGGGGTTATACAGGCAACACAGATGCAGCCAGTAATAAAATGAGCGCACAGAAGAAACATCACATGATAATTTACGATCCAGGTTCAAAAATATTGTGTGGAAATAAAAGCCCTATTGTCGGACCGGTCTCCGAAGCTGTAATCGAGATGTTTAGGGATATCAGCAGCACAAGCAAATCGATTCAGGAGACATTGTTCAGAACAAAAGGGCTACGGTAAAACATAGATGCTCTATATTCGTCCGAGCCATCGAGCGAAAGAGAGGAAGGCTTCATGTAGCGCACCCCACAAATGTAGAGCATCTCGAAATGGCGGTCTTTGTTGAATCCGACATCCCCGATATTGTTACCTTTCTTTTAGCGCGTGCTTAAATTTCTTTTCTCCGTGGGGTAATGCATGGCTTTAGCTTAATTACGGCCAAGGCTTAAGCGCTTCGCTCTTTATGGTCCTCTTTGATTGGGCCTGGCTTTTTCTGGTGCTCTAGACAATTTATCTTCTAAGGTCATGGGAAGGGATATAAGTAGACGTGGTAGAGGTGCATGATTACAAGACCTATACACAAGAAATTGCGGACGGACTTTCGAAAATTTGATTCAAGGCACTCTGTCTATCATGACTACTGAAGTGAAAAATGTGCAGCTGGGTGCTGAACAGCATGAAACTGTTGAGGAAATTGAGGTTAGAGTGGCACATGATGCAGTCAACTCCAAATATAATCCTTTCACTCGGTCCATGTATCGTCTCTATGTCTGTCTTCTTGTTGCCTACCTGTGCGGCTGTCTGAATGGCTATGATGGCTCTCTGATGGGCGGTCTTAATGCCATGACCACATACCAAAGCTTCTTTCATATGTAAGTCTCACTTCCTTTGGCGCAAATTTTTAGAAAATAGTTCTGACCCAAATAACAGGCAGTCTGCTGGATCTTCCACCGGTCTTGTATTCGCCATGTACAATATCGGCTCTATTCCTGCTGTCTTGCTCACCGGGCCTATAAATGACTATTTTGGCCGTCGGATGGGTATGTTTACCGGAGCCACGATTATCATTATTGGGACATGTATACAGGCTCCATCTATTAATAAGGGCATGTTTCTTGCCGGACGTTTCATTCTTGGCTTTGGTGTGAGCTTTTGCTGCGTCAGTGCCCCATGCTACGTTAGTGAGATGGCTCATCCAGCCTGGAGAGGAACACTCACCGGGTTGTACAACACCACATGGTAGGTAAGTCATTCACAGTTGTCCGTCCAGTAACTAATTATCGATAGGTATATTGGCTCCATTTTGGCTGCCTGGGTCGTCTATGGATGTGCCAAACTTGACAGCTCATATTCATTCCGCATCCCTATCTGGTGTCAGCTTATCTCTTCCGTCTTTGTCGCAATTGGAGTTTGGTTTATTCCTGAATCCCCTCGATGGCTAATGGCCCATGATCGAACCGAAGATGCTACTGCAGTCCTTGCCAAGTATCATGGGGAAGGTGATGCAAATCATCCCATAGTGCTTTTGCAAGTCAAAGAGATGCAGCGTAGCATTATCACTGATGGGTCGGATAAGGCTTGGTGGGACTACCGTGAGCTATATACGGGACACTCAGCACGCCATCGTTTAATCTGTGCTATTGGTATGGCATGCTTCGGCCAGCTCTCAGGAAACAGCGTTACCAGCTATTATCTCCCAGTCATGCTAGAGAATGCAGGTATTACGTCCGAGAGTCGAAAACTTCTTCTCAATGGAATCTATTCGCCTCTTTCATTCCTCGGCGCCATCCTTGGTGCACGAATGACAGATACTATAGGTCGTCGTCCTCTTCTTATTTACTCGCTGCTTTTCTGCTCGGTTTCATTTGCAATCATTACCGGGACATCAAAGATAGCAACTGAAGACCCTTCTAATACCTCCGCCGCTAACACAACCATTGCCTTTATTTACTTGTTTGGAATTATCTTCTCTTTTGGATGGACGCCTTTGCAGTCTATGTACATTGCGGAGTGCTTAACAACAACAACGCGTGCGAAGGGTACCGCTGTGGGAAACCTGGCCTCCGCTATCAGCAGTGTGATCATCCAGTACAGCTCTGGTCCAGCATTCGAAAACATCAAATACTACTTCTATCTGGTTTTTGTTTTCTGGGACCTTATCGAGATTGTATTTATGTATTTTTACTTTCCCGAAACCAAGGATCGCACTTTGGAGGAACTGGACGAGGTCTTTGAGGCTCCGAACCCTGTAAAACGCAGTCTCGTCAAGCGTGATGCCGGAACTGTGCTTCGCACTATGCATGTTGAAGCTGATGAAAAGGCTGTCGGCGTCTAACTTGATAGTTTAGTATTACTGGCGGTACTGGGAAATGGGTGATGTGCAGTTGCTTTAGTGATATTTCCAAGGTGGCTATCACCGGACAAAACTGAATGCTTAAAGTTCAATCCTGTGATACCGCTAATCTCTGACTCAAAAACGACTTATTGATTGATTGATTTACGCGTTGCCCTCAGAACCCTTTATAATACCCAATAAAGCCCCCAATTCCTCGTTTCTAGACCCTCGTCAGTACTTCACCTTGTGGTCGAGATTTAACACCGAGCTAAGATCTACATCAGCGGCTGTTGCTACATAAACCTGCCTCATCCAAAACTTTGGTTCTGCCACAAATCCTCAATCCGTCCTCGCTCGCCCCGCGCGTCCTATAAGTCCATATAATAAAAGCCCAAACAGTGCCTAACCTAAAGAAACTGCCCCCTATAATCCTATAATTAGATGAACGTATCTACATTGCTTAATGTTATCTATATCTCATTTACCATCTAAGAGGTGATCAATTGATCTAGTTAATATATATAACACTACATGTGTACCCCACTAGTTGACGTCTGTGTCAGCCTTCTCTAGTCGGACCGGGCTCCCCGAGCGGTCTGGGTCGAAATCGAAGCCTGTCACCTGTGCTATATGGCAATCCCAATTTCGGACCGAAACTCCCCGGAAAGCGGGGGTCATAAGTAATATCACCAGTGGGCCATTTCATACTGGAATACGTAGTGCCATGAGATCGTCATTTGAAGGCAATAGAGCAATGGAAAGCATAAGAAGCGGCTGTTTCTTGGGCTTTATATAATTCAAAAGTTATCGTTTGCACCCATCTTGAGCATATAGAACCAAGATGACGGAAAAACAGACCATTAACGACTGGGAAAACCCTAGAGTTCTCGAGCGCAACCGCCTAAAACCGCGGGCTTATTTCCTCCCCAACACTTTCATCTCCCTCAACGGTAATTGGGACTTTAATTATGCAGCCTCGCCTCTACTTGCTCCACAGCCGAAAACGGATTCTAATTCAGATGTCACTGCAAAGGAAGCAACAATTTGGAAGCCCATTGCTGTGCCGGGGCATTGGCAGTTGCAGGGTTATGGCCGCCCGCACTATACAAATGTTATTTTCCCTTTTCCTTGCTGCCCTCCACATGTACCAAGCGAAAATCCAACTGGTACATATCGGAGAACATTCTTCGTTCCCCCAGAATGGGACAAATCTTGTCAACTGCGACTGCGCTTCGATGGAGTAGATAGTGCTTACCATATCTGGGTCAATGGCATAGAAGTGGGATATGCGCAAGGTAGCCGGAACCCAGCAGAGTTTGATATTTCAAAATTAGCGAGGCGCGGCGAAAGTAATGAAGTCCTTCTTCGTGTCTACCAGTGGTCGGATGGGTCCTACATCGAGGACCAGGACCAATGGTGGCTATCTGGTATTTACCCATCCTAGCCTATCCTCGCATTACCTGCTGATCGATATAGGCATCTTCCGAGATGTGACCCTCATTGCATTCCCATCCATTGCACGCATCGAAGATTTCCGTGTTAGGACAGAGCTAGACAAAAGTTATATTGATGCAGAACTCAAGGTGTCCGTTGATTTGACTGTCACCGTACCGAGCACCGTTACAGTCACGCTCTTTGACACTTCGGACCGCGAAAAGCGCATCGAATCCCAAAGTGGCATCTTTAAAGACAAACAAGGAACCTTAGATTTTGCTCTAAAAGTGTCTGATCCCAAAAAGTGGACTGCGGAGACACCCGATCTCTACAACATTGAGATCTCCATAACCACCACAGACGATGTAACAGAACTGCAGAAAATATCCCACAGAGTTGGGTTTCGGCAGGTCGAGATTATCAACGGAAACATTGCCGTGAATGGCGTCCCAGTTCTCTTCCGTGGCGTAAACCGTCACGACCACCATCCTCTCTTCGGACGTGCAGTTCCACTATCGTTCCTCCGAGACGATCTCTTGCTCATGAAGCGTCATAACGTCAACTCCGTCCGATGCTGTCACTATCCTTCCCATCCAAAGCTATTTGAGCTATGCGATGAGCTCGGACTGTGGGTTATGGACGAGGCCGATCTGGAATGCCATGGATTCTACGACGCAGTGGCCCGCCCGCTCGACATCCCTGAGTCAATGGATTATGAACAGCGCAAAAAGCTTACTTTTGAAGCTGCTGCGCAATTCACCTCGAACAATCCAGAATGGAAAGATGCGTACCTCGACCGCGCTATACAATTAGTCCAGAGAGACAAGAACCACAGCTGCGTGGTGATTTGGTCGTTGGGTAACGAGGCCTTCTATGGGCAGAACCATAAGGCGATGTACGACTACATCAAAGGCGAGGACCCCAGCAGGCCAGTGCACTACGAAGGTGATGCTAAGGCGCTATCCGCCGATATGTTCTCTTTTATGTATCCATCCGTAGAGAGAATCATCCGTCTTGCAAACGAGGAAGGGGATAGTTTCAAAAAGCCGATTGTACTCTGCGAGTACGCCCATGCAATGGGAAATGCACCTGGTGGGTTAGAAGAATATATGGAGGCTTTCCGACAACATCGTAGATTACAGGGAGGCTGGATTTGGGAATGGGCGAACCATGGTCTCTGGGACGAAGAGAAGGGATATTACGGCTATGGTGGGGACTTTGGTGACTTTCCAAATGATGGAAGTTTTGTTCTCGATGGGCTCTGCTTTAGCGATCATACTCCGACACCTGGGCTCGTTGAGCTGCGCAAGGCTTACGCACCTGTACATGGTTGGGTCAGTGATGGCACAATCCATATCCAAAACCGACATGACTTTGTCAGCCTTGATGAAATCCGCGCGACCTATAAAGTCGAGGTTATGGACGAAGAGTAAGTGCCAACCTTTTTCTTCCAGTTTTATCTAATATGGGAATAGTTCTAAGGTGGTCGCGGCGGGAACCTTCGATTTGCCTAGAATCAAAGCCGGGCAGACAGGACAGCTGGCACTGCCATACAACATCCCGCGTGCTAAATCAGGTGAAATTTGGCTGACAGTCATATTTACGGTTGGCGCTTCCGTATGGGCAGAGGCCAACTTTGAAGTAGCCAGTTTTCAAGCCCGCCTCGATGAAGGCTCATCATTCCTGGCGGGAGGAACATTATCCACACCTAAATTTGCCCTTATATGTTATGTAGAACCGACTCGCCATGTCGTAACCGGAGCAGCATTCAACCTGTCATTCTCTCGTACAACTGGCAGCCTGACAAGCTGGAAGACCCAGGGCCAAGAGCTCCTCTCCCCAGACTCTAAAGGCACCTCACTAAACATCGGGTTTTGGCGGCCTCCAACAGACAATGACGTTCCATGGGATCTGCTAGAATGGCGACGTTACGGTCTCGATACGGTTGAGTCTCAGTTACGCTATATGAATGTGGAGCAAATCAATGAAACGACTATCAAAATAGTCACGGAGACATACCTCACACCTCCCATTTTAGCCTGGGGATTCCACGCTACAACTACCTATCAAGTCACTGGCGATGGAGCTATAAACATTAAGGTGCACCTGAAACCTGAGGGACGTATACCCAAAGACCTGCCGCGAATTGGGCTCAATCTCCGTCTTGCGGATGAGTTGGACAATGCGAGCTGGTTTGGTCTAGGCCCTGGAGAGGCATATGCCGACAAAAAGCGTGCTCAGAAGGTGGGTATTTACAGCGCAAACACGGCTCAGCTTCATACGCCCTACGAAGTACCCCAAGAAGGCGGAAACCGCATGGAGACGCGCTGGTTGAGGGTCAGAGATGGACGGGGAAGGGGATTACAGGTCCAAAGGCAGAAGGTGGGTAGCGATAAAGATACCACCACGCTGTTCCAATGGGTTGCGACTAGATATAGTGCCGAGGCAATTGAGAAAGCATTGCATGCGTGCGACCTCGTTCCAGAAAAGGTTGTCAGAGTGAGACTAGATGTGGAGAGTTGTGGTGTTGGAACAGGTGCTTGTGGACCTCGGACTTTGGACAAGTATCGTGTTCCCTGCGAGGAAAGGACGTTCTCTTTTACTCTCCAGCCTTATAGTTCGGGTGGGCTCTAGACTAGACTGGGTATTTAGAGGATGAAGATGAAACATAGAATATATATAAGATAATTTGCATGATACAAGTGAGAGTTTCATATATCGCATACATCAACATTAAATTAATGATGGTATCTAAAGGAACCCAAAGGCGGAATCTAAGAATACATGGGACCACGGATTATAGGATAGTCTAATCTTGTTTCAGGCGACACCAATTCGGAGCTAATATTGAGTCATTGGATATATCGTAAATAAATCAATTTATATTTCAAAAAATTGATGTCCCATTTTACGTGGGTGCTAATACTTATTCAGAGTAATTCTAGACCAAGTGAAAAGTATCGACACACATACATGTATGTTGGCTATATGAAACAAATAGATGCGACTAACGATGGCCGTGATCAAATCCGTCGCCACTTTTACGCTTTATACATGACTAATCACCCATGGATCACTGATCACTGAGTAGACGTAAATACGAAGTCCGTCGGTCTCCTTGTACGCGGCTAGAGAAATAAAAAAAACAGTGCGTTAGTGAGTCATTCAACGCTGGAATAAGGACTTCACAACAAAGGCTTGATATTTATGGGCCACGGCGTAAAGAAAATTGGGGACAGTCATACCTTTCAGTACAACCGAATCGACCAAACTCTCGCTCCAAGTCCGACTCTTGAGCTTCTTCAAAGGCCTATGGGCTAATATGCTTTTGTAGAGTGTAACAGTATTCAGGATCTATTTGAGCGAAGCAGAGTATAAATAGTTGATAATTTTTACTTGTTTATGAGTCAAATAGTGAGTATCTATTCAAATGACGCAACTCAGAACCAAAAGCTTCCTCGCACCATAAAAATTCCTTGATCAACGTCTCGAAAGCTTCAAAGGTTGATATACCCATGAGTGCAATGACTCGTGAAAGACAATTCACAAAGGAGGTCCGCAATGTTTCTGAGATACATGGCGAACAAGCAGCAACCGTAGATATCCATAGAAGCAATATTCTTGCGTCTGAGCTATGACTTTCCTTGATCCATTCAGATATAATACCAGACTTCTGAAACATGTCTTGAAGTTTCAGTCCGTAGATCAAACCCGATTCCAGCTCGTCGTCAAACCGATATCGCAGGTTAAGCAGGAATAATATTCCCGCGAGACGCACGCTTTCTCGTTGTCGCAAGTGTAACTCGTCATGTACAGCTGCACGGGGCAGAGAGAAAAAGGCATGCATCATGGGAGAGAGGCTGAAGATTGCGAAATGGGCACGGTGAGTGTCATGATGATGAGCAATAGTGGTGATCTCGTGCAGTTTGCATAGAATAAAGGTCACTACTCGGCTCTCTGTTATCGAAGTAAATATATGCTCTGAGGAAAGTTCTCTTTGTTCCAAAGGCATGGTGAGGGTTGGTAGATTGCTTTGTGCTGCTAGTTGCGGGTAGGGTGGAGGAAAGCGAGGAGAAGAGTCAGCTCGGAAACACCCGTTTACATCTATCCTAGGAGATGTTAGAATGCGACCAGTTTTGAATTTTAAATTTCTAATTTCGAGTTTCAATACTTACCAAAATAGGGCCAATCGAAGAGATGGTAACGTCAGACTATCCTCGCCGCCACGCAAGCGTATTATCTCAGACAGCCCATCAGCATGGACTTTGAATAAACTGATATTTCCAATTAAGTTCTGTAGAATTTTCAGTCAGCACTATACAAGCAGTGGTAAAATATTTTCATATTATGCTAGGTCATTTCAATAACATACAGCGTACGCCGCCATAGCCAAAACAGTAATAACAACTTCATCGGTCGTACATGTGAGCGGATTATCAAGTTTTTGTTGAAGAGACTGCGTTGTAATCAAGGAATATCTCACGTCCTCCCCTCGATCGTTGTCGGATCGGAGATAGTGTACGAGATGCCAGGCTGATGAAGCTAGCATTTGGGAAATTGCAATGGTTTCTCGAGCAATGCTAAGGAAACCGATGGTATTGAGTGCACGAAATTTGGGGCATGTTCCGTCATAGGCTGTATTACTGTCAGCTCCACCCCAGAATTTTCAGAGACGTTTGGTGGAGTTGAATCAATCTTATAGGAAGGCAAAGGACACAAACCGTGATCCCAGAGCTGATGCGATCTATAGCTCAGTCCAATATCAAACGAAACAAACGGATCAAATCGATGAGCACTCAGTGCGGTAACGAGACTCGGTATTAGCTGATTTCGGCCATCCTCATCGTCTTGTCGTAAGAGCTGGGTAGAAGCTCTTACATCGGAGCTCGGTGTATGCGCACCACGTGGCGAAACCAAGGTCTGGCTGTTCTCGAGCAATGGTGTGACATCCAACTCAATGATATTCTTTCTACGTGGAGAAGTACGCGGATATAGACGATTATGTTCGAGCTGTGGGTGACTGCGAATTAAATGACGAGTTTGTGCGTCTGCTCGCTCTCCCGGGTTCGTGACGGGCACAAATACAAAGTTTCGACGAGAAGTGGGTGTGTTTCTCTCTTCTGCCATTTGATCTTGACCAACTGGTAGACTAATCTAGGTAGGCAAGTCCAATTTAGCCGACGCTAGGATCATTGCTGAGGTTTTGAGTCTGCTACATTTCGAACTTTCCGTCCTTTGACTTGCAGGATCGCAGAAATCAATGATAGCCAAGGTTGTCGTCCCATGGTGGCGTTGAGAACTAAACTGGAAGCGATTTAGCGTATATGCATGTACTGGGATGGGAATTTGCCATTTCGGTTTAGTCTGTTTGTCCGCCACTGCAGGGCTTTCTGATTCGTCCACGCATATGATTTTCTCGACTATAACAGCAAAATAAAGGGAAATGCATACATGCTAAACGAAACAAACTTGTCAAAGAAAAAAAAACTGAAGTATGGTAGTAATTAGCATATGGATTACTAATTGTTGAGTCGATGACGTTTGTCATACTCCCCCCAACGAAGAGAAAGCACTCTCAAGTATAAATAGAGTCGATGGCACCCGGACGCCATGGAGACTTACCAGATCATTCACAATTCGCCTGTTCGCTGCAACATCTATTCATATGCTTTTATATCCGACACTTATTTTATTCAACTTAACCTTTGATACATCAAAACCTGTTACTTGAGCGCCGACATGTCTACTATGGAAGCTATCGTCATATCCAAATTTGGCGGCCCGGAGGTCTTCGAGTATCAACAAGTCCCCAAGCCTACACCCGCTCAAGGAGAAGTCCTCATCCAGGTCAAAGCATTCGGACTCAATCATGCCGAAATGCACATGCGAAAAGGTGAATGGGATGAATGGAACCCCATCACCGGACTTGAATGCGTCGGCGTTGTCGAATCATGTCCAGGAAATGAACTACCTATAGGAAACAAAGTAGTCGCAGTCATGGGAGGCATGGGTCGCAACCGTCCAGGTGGATACGGCCAATATGTGACCGTGCCGGTCTCGAATGTCAGTCCTATTGAGACATCACTACCGTGGGAAGACCTCGCCGCACTGCCAGAGGTTTATTCAACCGCATATTCCTGTATATTCACAATACTTGACGTGAAGCCAAAAGAAAGGCTACTTATAAGAGGAGCAACTTCTACAATCGGTCAGGCCGCCGTGAATCTCGCCGTCAATGCAGGAGCCAGTGTCACGGCGACCACAAGGCGCAAGGAACGATTTGAGGTGCTGAAGAAAATGGGTGTAGAAGAATCAAAAATTGAACAGACACAATTAGCATCACAATTCCCCGCAGAGCACACATTCGATAAAGTCCTGAACTTGATCGGCAATAGCGTCTTATTGGAATCGATCAATCTCACTCGTACCGGTGGTCGAATGCTACAAGCTGGGTGGTTGGGTGGTCTGGCGCCGGTACCAGATTTCAATCCTATGGTACAGATGAAGTCCGGTGTTCAATTTTGTTTGTTTCATAGTAAAGTATTGGGATCCGAAGATTTCCCTTTGTCTGCAATACCGTTACAGGAGATAGTGCGGAAGCTGGAGAAGGGGGCATGGGATGCAAAACCGACATATTGTTTTGAGTGGAAGGATATTCAGAAGGCGCATGAGATACTTGATTCGCACGATGCTGGAGGAAAGATTGTAATTAGACATTAAATTCTTCATAATTTTTAGTAATCTTGTTATTCTCACGACATTCAGACATGTGCATCGTGAATCGAGGGATAATGCATTCCCCTACTTTTGTTGTTTTCCCCCGGATACGACGCATAAGTATAGAATTATGGAACGCATAAAATAAGAAAGAATATTTTAACCTCGTAAAAGGATTTTATGCATTGACATAAGAAATGGTTTTGTGCTCAATACTGTGGATATATCTTCATAGAAGAGATCACATTGTCCGGCCTCCTATGGAAGGACATATATATTAGAGCTAGTTAAAACATAACTAAATATTTCGATACAGAACAAACAAGAATCCTACATATACACCTGGAGGACTGTAAAATATTTGTTATACCAGTAATATAGTGTTGAAGGTCTACATTTCCTATTTGCCTTTAAAGTTTGAAAAATTCAATTTTTCGTGAACCTCATTTCTGTACAATCATTAAATACTCTCCCAGTCTATGTCCACTTTCAGCTTCACATTCGTCTGGTCTTAAAATGGGGGCTTGAAATCTCGAGGCTAATAAACCCAATATTGATGTCAACTAATGCGTCTGACTACACAGACAGTTTTTTCACATAAACAACTAACCTTTCTTTACCATGGTCTGATATTTTAGTGCTACAGATCATCTTTCCTTTCCTATCAGAGGCTTCTGATATGATATATTTTTTAGCCATTCAGTAATACAACAAAGATTCAAAGATATTTCACATTATTGTATACTACACGTCTGGTTGTAAATACCTCACATTTTGGAGCAAGCCATCCGAGTCGGTGTTACTTAAGTATCGGTCTGTTCCGTAGCATTTCCTTCCCCAAAATGAAAGGGGTTAGATATACTCTCTATGCGTTTCAACTTTTTAGAGTTCATGGTGTTTCCAATGAGGTAAATATGCGCATTTTTAAAGAACTATAATAATGCAAGTCCGAGCTGGCAATTAATGAATAAAAGCTCCAAAGATAAGTAAGCCATTGTAAGAAGTTGAGTGACTGTAATGGTATGTAATTTGAATCCACAAAAAGCATAAAAACACGAATTGTTGGCCCAGAGCACACCTTTGATGTGGCTCTGTTTGAACTAAGTTAAATATAAAAGTCGTAATAGGTCATTGGCTTGATAGTCTTTATAAAATTAATGAGTACTTTATCCTGTTTGACATCATGGGATTTTTAATCAATTATTGGCTGAATTGTGGCTAGGAATAAGCAAACCACTGTCTGGTGTTATTAATGACCGTGCCATTCCGTCATTAAGGGGTTAAATTCGTTCTCTATGATATGTATAGTCATCCTGACTGATCAATTGTATGTAATGATGCCTGCTCTAAGGAATGATGACGTTGGACACATCTTGTCAACTTGCTCGCTCCCCGCTCAGTTCGGCGATCAAATATTATTGAAAATTAGTGATACTTTATTACAGATAGAGGATGAGATTTAGAATCTCGAGATAGGTGAAATGTGTCTCTAATTAAGAATAATAGACGTTAATCTGGTTTAATGAAGGTCTAGAATTCCAAGCCAGTTAGTATCACATGGAAAAAAGCTTGTAATGCGAATTTAATAGCTCATATTCATCAGGTAGACCCCGTCAGTCGAAATCGATCAGTACTATTTTCTTGTGGTTTTGCGGAGCTAGATGTTGATTGTGTTTCTTCATCGATTCAGACCCTTATAAGAAGTGTCTGCCTTATTCGCAGTCAACTTGATTATAGACTGACGTACTGTAGCGGAACTCGACAATCACGGTTTTCTAGTGAAAAAATCCTCTGATTGATGTCATGCTTTCTCATGAATGTAGAAAAGCGAATGTCAAATTTTTAGACGATGTAGTTAATGAGAGAGACACAAGGAGCAGGAATTGATCGATCACCATTTATGATAGCATTTGATCTTACGTAACGCAAGGGCCAAGCTGAGGGTAATGAATTGAAGTGGATTTAAAAGGTGGAGGCTGTGATGAAATAAAAAGCCATAATCCCTCACATTTTGGGATGAGACTGGACCACGATCGCCCCCAGAGCTAGTGTGTACTGCTCATTGAGCGATCACTGAGCCAGGCTGAGCAATCTAGCGTCGCATATAGTTGTTATATAGGTATCTCCCTTGTATCTCATACCAGGGCGGTGAGCTGACATATTCCTAATAGGGCTGGGAGAGGTGATTCACGCACTAATAATAGAGCTCTTCGATATATCATAGTTCGCTAATCAAATATACGTACGTATTTCTGGTACTTCTTATTGGGTCGGTGCTATTTAACATCTCGGGCATTATTATGCCGAAATTGCTCGGGTTAAATAATCCCGAACGTATCCACCAATGATTAGATCCGGGTTAACGAATTTGATGGCGTCGAATGCATACTTGGATTATTACTTACATTGATGATCTAGTATTTTCTGTGGGGGTCAAGGTATCGGAACTTGAGGGGCAGTCGTCGGGTATAGTGCACTACCAATCAAAATGATGTATACCTAGATGCATCTGATACTTTTGATGTGAATTACTTTTGCGACTATTATTAAATCTGGTCACTAGTCGTGGCAATTTCATCATATTCACGTTGCCAATATGGGAATATCGTTTAATAATTACACTTAGAACAAATTTTCTTTAGAATAGAACGAGTCTTAACAATCGGCTAGCCAAACAAAGCGTCACCAAGATAGACACGGACACTCTTGATCTGGGTGTAGTTTTCCAACGCGTATGAGCCCAATTCTCGGCCAATACCGGACTCCTTGTAACCACCAAATGGAACCTGGTAGTGCAGCGTGTTGTAGGTGTTGACCCACACAGTGCCAGCGCGCAGGGCGGCCGAGACACGGAGAGCAGTGTTGAGGTTGGTGGTGTGCACGGCGGAGGCGAGACCGTAGCTAGAGGTGTTGGAAAGCTTGATGGCTTCTTCCTCAGTCTTGAATTTCTGGACAGTGCAGACTGGTCCGAAGATCTCTTCTTGGACGATCTTCATGTCGTTGGTAACGTCAGCGAAGATGGTAGGCTTAATGTAGTAACCCTGAGAGCCATGACGCTCGCCGCCAGTGACTACCTTAGCACCGGCCTTCTTGCCCTCGTCAATGTATCCCATGATGCGGTCGAATTGGAGTTGGGAAATTTGGGGACCCTGGAAGGTCTCCTTGTCGAACGGGTCTCCCACCTTATTGCTCTCGGCACGCTTCTTGAATGCCTCGATGAATTTATCGTAGATGTCTTCGTGGACGAGGACACGCGAGCCCGCACAGCAGCATTGGCCGTGGTTATAGTAGATACCAAAGTTAACCCATGAGATCGCATTCTCGATATCAGCATCTGGGAAGACAATATTGGGCGATTTGCCACCGAGCTCGAGGGTAACCTTCTTCAAGTTGCTCTTGGCAGCGGCCTGGAGAATCTGGCGTCCAACCAGTGTGGAGCCAGTGAAGGCGACTTTGTCGATGTCCATATGCGACGAGATGGCAGCGCCAGCGGTCTTGCCGAACCCAGAGATGATATTGACAACACCTGGGGGGAAGCCGGCCTTCTTGACAAGGCTAGCAGCAAAAAGCGCGGACAAGGGAGTCTGTTCAGCCGACTTGAGGACAATGGTGTTTCCGGTCGCCAAAGCGGGGCCAATCTTCCACGCCCACATCAGCATTGGGAAATTCCATGGGATAATCTGACCGCAGACACCAACGGGCTCATGGCGGGTGTAGGTGAAGTTCTTCGCGTCAGTGTCGATTGTCTGGCCGGTGATCTTGTCTGCCCAGCCGCCATAGTAGCGAATGCAGCCAGCGGCGTTGGTGATGTCGACCTTGGACCAGAACAGGGACTTTCCGTTATCGAGGGACTCAATGCCCGACAGGGTCTCGATGTTCTCCTCGAGCAAATCGGCCAGCTTGGTTAGGTAGCGCCCTCGCACGGAAGGAGCAACGTTCTTGTATTCGCCCTCGAGCGCGGCACGGGCAGCCTTGACGGCGATGTCGACATCCTTCTCAGTGGCCTCGTGCACGGCGACAATGGGCTTCTCGTCGTGGGGGTTGATGGTCTCAAAGGTCTTGCCTTCGACGCCCTTGACGAACTCGTTGTTGATGAACCTATTGGACAGCGTCAGCAAGAGCGCAGTGGTATATATGCAGGAGGGGCAGCATACAAGCCGAGAGGCTGCTCGTATTTGATCCCGTTCGGGAGAGTGATGGTCTGGGACAGGGCCATGATGCAGTGAGCTGGAGGTGTACAGGTGTGTGGAAGAGAGAGTAGGACGAGGCCGGCAGGTCGTTATTAATATATTAATAATAGTGATGAAGAACGAGAGAGCTTTCTCTGGCGCGCGGGGTTGCGCACCGTGTTCAGTGGACACAGACCAGCGGCGGACGGGGGGTTCGTCATAGGAGCATAATTTACCATAATTCACCACTATATCGCGGCCAATCACGCTCGCGGCTGCAGCTCTTAGCGCGGCCCATTGGCCTGAATAATGAAGATAAATATTAATAATAGTGCCAGTCTGCAGCTGCGTGTCCTGCCTCGCACCTTCCTGATTTGCCGTGGCCAGCCGAGTGCGGGGAAGGAGCGCCCCTCTGAGCGGGTCCTTCGCCCTTGCCCCGATTTGCCAATCACGCTCTCGGCCGACGCTCGCACTGTATCATTACTTGCCCCTCCTCCTTGCTCCTCCTTGCTCCTCCTTGCTATGTACGATACGACCCATTAATGATGCATGCTATGCTTTATTATTAATTATCTCGCCGAACTGCGCGCGACTGGCAAGCCGGCTTGGCGCTGGTCAATCTCTGACCTTTTATCCGATGGGTGGATTGCTCGACATGCTGCCTGCTTATTCTCGCAACAATGAAAGTCGAACCTTAATATGCCTGCCTGACCCGAGATGGGCGAACGGAAGCCTAGGCTGCGGGCTGCGGGTAGGCCTCGACCCCGCGGCCTCGATCTCCATGCAATGAGCTGTCGATCCTCGTCGTTGGACATGTTCTATCAACGTCTATTCTCGCGCTCTATGGTATCTCTGCAGTGTCTCTAACAAGCTTAGACTCCACCTAGATCAAACCGAGATCAGTGCCGCTAGAAGATGTCGATGCTGCAGCACTCGCAGAAAACCGAGGCTGTTCCCGGAAGGCTTTCGGGTATACCCAATCTCACATACTCGACTATAACAGGCTCTATGCGAAGCAGCAAAGAGGCTCGCTGATAAACATCTCACGTGAGCACGGAATTGCCCCTGCTGTCCAACCACAGCCAGACACCGCGCGCGCAATTGATTCAAAGAGCCGGAGGCGATGGGGTAATTATCTCTTTCTGCCCCACGTAGCCCGGTTGGAAGCAATCCGGCTTTTAGAGCTGGTTGCATTTGCATTTCATTTCAAGACTGAGGCCTTGTTTGATATTCTGGTCTATCGCTTTGAGGGCTAATTAAAACGAAAACTTCCATCAAATGAGTGTTTCCATTCTATGCCGTTTGGTTCGCCTACTAGAGACACTGTTATTGGAGCAAACCCACCATGAGCAGCGATTCCAGCTTTATCGGAAAATTGAAGCGATTGCGGAAGCAAGTACACTTACACCTCATTACTCTGTTACTCCCCCGTACTGGATCTTCGGCTCTTCAAACGTCATGTCAATTTCGGCACTGCATTTGGAATCCATACTCACGGTTCTCTTGCGCAATGACCCAATGCGAACCTCATCAACGATGGTTGTCAACTTAAATCCCACCGCAGACTGCTGCTGGGTTCGACGTGGTCTATTAAAACCAGCATTAAGATTAACCTGATAGGCCGAACTTCCCAGCCGCACGCCAGCTTAGTGTCTGTGTGGACTCCGATTAGCTCTTACTCACACTCTCACAGAAAAAACAAGAAAGCAATCTAACAAACAAACAAACACCAAAACTCTGCATTCAACCATCATGCCACCATCGCCAACACCCATTTAGAAAAATGTCCCTCCCAACCAACATCGGATTGTGGCTGGTGGGGGTAGCGCTGAATGTGGTTGCGGTCCGGGCCGAGCTCCCCCTGACTGACAATCCCAGCGCGCAGGCAACAGCGACCTTGAAGGACGACAGGAGCGTCACCTTCGATCCGCTTGGCGTCGCTGCAGTCCTCCACAACCCGCGCGCCAGTGCGAGTGCCGCCAGGCTGTATACTCAGTATGACCGCAAAGTCTTCATCTGGCCGCACACGATGATGATGGGGGCGACCCTGATCCCCGTCAAGGTGCTGGTCGAACATTTGACCGCAACATTTCAGTCCATTCATCCCGCCATCACGTTGTGCACTCAGGACACGGAGAGCTTGCCTGTCGTCTCGAATATGGTGTTCAAGGAGTTTCCTTTAGATTTTAGTAAAATGTGGCTAAACGATGTGATTGCTTACAAGTCTTCTTCCGTGCCAGTCAATGATTTCATGCTTGTTTGCATGGATGAACTTGAGACGCCAGCTGGTCTACCAAAAGCGACCAAGTGGCTTGGTCGTCGGGCTCTCGACTTCATTTCTTTATGGAGTGGGCTAATCATCGCTGCCGGGATCGTGTTGGGGATCCTGTATATCGATATTTGGGCAATCACTTTGTTTTTTTTCTACGGAATGCACTGGCTAGCTGGCCTTGCAATTTCAACAACATCTTTGGTCACACCGCAAGATACTCCCATCAAGGAAGACGACACGACCCGTTATGCCATCTACCAACGAGCAGCAGGCGGCACAGTTGTTTTCAAGGGCCGCCAAGACACGATGGAAGCTTGGGCACGGACTACTTGGAGATTCAAACGGACATGGACAAGCAACACACTTCACTGGTTCTGGACTCTCACAGGCACGTTATCCGCCATTTGCTCTGTTGCCTGCATGGTTAATATGCGCGGGTTCATGCAGCTGGTCTTTCTCGCTGAATTGATCTACTCGTCCCTTGCCGAAATTGTTGCCACCCGTGTCTCGCGCATCCTCCAGGGCCGGGCAAATGCATCCGACCGTGCATATCTGGTGTCGGGTAATAAGTTTCGTACAAAGGGAGTGATCCGCGCTACTATTGAAGTAGACCCGCAATTTCGCCTAGAGGGACTGGATTGGGTTGGTATGAAACGAATGCCATCAGATCAAATTTTCCAAGACATGCAGGATATGCTGAAAAGTATTAATCGGTTTCAAAAACGGGTTGAAACGGGCGGTAATAATGAGTTGGAATTTGTCTCCCAGCAACAGGGGCCTAGATGGCACCCCGATGTGGATGCCGCTTTTGAGGAGTTTAAGACGAAGGGGACGAGGTCAGAGGACCCGGATTTGGTGGTCCGTATTCAAAATGAGGCGGAAGCAGCTTTGCAAGCTTGGTGGGACAAGAGGCAAACGAAGCGGACAATGAGTAGTGGAGAGAAGGATGCAAAAGCATCGGTGTAACGATATTCCATTGTCAAACATTAATGAACATATCACGTTATTGATGTATAGGATTATATAAAGGGATGATCAGTTTGACATTTCCCTGTGATGAAATCTCGGATTCTGAACATATTTAATCAGTCAAATACTTTCCCCTTTTGAGCCATACATGTTTGTTAAGCAAATTTTTGAATATTGAATACATGCAGTGGAGGCGCCTACACGGCCGCTTGAGAAGCTTTCCTCCGAGGATCTTTCATATCCTATGCCTTTCCTTAACCTGACAAGTGTCATGATTTGTTTGAAGACCGAGAACAAAACAGTTGATCTGCCGTTTCCCACTTATCCCTATCTCCTCGGCCATGAACCACCTACGTCTCACACAGACAACACCTACCATGCATTACATTCTTGTACCCTATATTTTTGTTCCTCTCTTTGTGTTGGTAAACATGATTGCATCGGCATATAGGCAAGCACAGATCGTTCAGGTTTTTAATGTCCTTCATTCTTCCATCCTATTTTCTCTTTTTTAAGCATGATGTTTTTTCTCTTTCCTTCTCAAAGTTCAATCTCTTCACCAGACCTCGTATCAATCATGGACGCTCCGAGTCTTCCATTATATTAGTTCAAGACCTCTTGTACGATATTGCTATCATAAAATACGATAGCATATCTACGACCTCTTAGTCCAAGAGTTGGTCTCCATCCCGTCTATCACTATACCACCAATTTCTATTCCGTCTCGGTCGAAGAAAGAATATAAAATGACCTTTTTATCTAACTCGACCGTTTTCAAACAGATAGAAGATTGGGCTAAGCAATTAGTCACTTGATGGGAGCAGGAAATGCGGAAGAGGGCTACAAGAAAATTCCCTCTTAATACCTTTCAGTATGGTTGCACAATATCAAATTATGTTCGCGTGATACGCTGAACCGCTAGAGTATGAGTACCCTTGATGCTCATTCAACCGGAGATCTATCTCATGGGCCGTCATCAAGAGAAGCATCGGTGTAGCTGGTTAGGGGCTCCTGAAACGATACCTGACGACTGGTACTAATCTACGAGAAAGCTCTCTATCAAAGCTCTAAAACACACAAAGATTGGCTCTGGTCGGCAGACAGCAATAATATGCATCAACTCAGCATACATAGATGTATGCAGACTGCGTTGAAATGCGCAATTCGTTGTGCGCGGTTGGAAGGAAGACCGCCCAAAGTTTCGCACCGAGTTCTAAAGAGAACTGTTGAGGAATTGGTCTAGGTGATATTCAGGGAGAAGAAAATGAAAATAAACACTTTCAAGCCATAGATCACACGGGGATTCTCAGCTCCTCGAAATTGATGTGCCGCGGGGGCTCTGCCTCCACCACCAGACGGAGCCTTTGCTGGTGGCAGGGTACTGGGTGAGGAGATGTTAGCTCTTTTCCGGGTTTGGAGTGTATGCGACCCTTTTTCGACGTTTTTCTGCTTGGTCGGAAGGTTTTCAAATCCGTGGTTCGATGTCTGTGGCGACGTGTTAGGCGGTGGTTGGACTATCTCGGATCTCTGCCGTATCCTTTAGCACTCTGTTGATCGCAACACTGTCCATCCACAGATTGATGGCTTCTGGGAACTTGCAGGGGTTTTTATCAGTCCCGAAAATGACGGCTGTCAGTCTGAAAAATCCTGCTAGACGAAGGTTGACTATCTCTCCGACAATGCTGACTTTGAGGTTCCTTTTCCAGGGAGTAAATTCACCTGTCCCCTTCTGGCTATATCAAATGGCAGGGTGCAGTGTAGTCTACGTCTTCTTACTCCCCTTGAAGCTTACGTCAATGAGAACTTAGCGAACAGGAACCTTCTTCTCTCCTACATCCAAGGAAGAAGGATGCGAACCTGTTAGCATAGACAATATTCAACAAAGCTTCTACATTAATCATGACCTATTGCACATAGCGACACGTATCCCACATTACAAATGCTTGAGGCTCGTCATTTTCTATATATAAGAACACATACAGAACGGCAACAACTTCATCAAATTCACAATTGCGCTAGTATTTGATATGTGCAAAATCTGGATGGCCAATCGAAAGAACATGGACGTTCTAGATTTGTGGTGGATAGGATGGTAACATTTTTATCACATCTTCCCCCCCTTCCCCCTTCTACCCGCAGGTGAAGCAGCATGTCATATTCTTATTCTCACGGCCCTGCCAGGGGATCATACTGTAAAGCTCAGCGTGCAGAAGATGACAGCCGCCACTTCTTCCCCTACCGAGAAGGAGCAATTAATATTATAAGTAATAGCAATCTTTGTCAATGCCCATGTAAGTATTCCCTGATATATCATCCCTAGAAGTCGCATTCTGACCGCATCTGACATGTAAGAAGCGCACGGTGATGTTCTATCAATACGCCCAACCCACAACGTCATCAAAATAATGTATTTGTGGTCATTTTATTCCACAAAACCCCTATTCACCGCTAATTTTCAGTGATTTGGGGATAATATATGGTATAAACAATTCGAGCGTCAGAAGGACATTCCTTAGCCGGGAAGTTTCCGAGATAAATTTTGTTATTACTTCACCAGTTGACTCTTGTAATCAAATCTCGTCTACATAAAAAAAATAAGACGTACGATAGTGCATAGCAAAGCTACGTTGTCAGTTACAGCTCAGAGAAAGCTAAAAGCGATCCATGTTCACGGTAAAACTCATATTAAGTACACATAAACGAAGTAATTACTCCCACAACTAATCGTCTCCCACTCTAATCCTCCGACGTGGCGGCACTGCCAATGAAGAAAAAATATACAGGAAACCGTCCTCCAAAAAAGGTATCAAAGTGAGCTCAAGCGAATCAAACGAGCGATAACACAGTGGCATAAATAAGATTATATTTTACAATGCCATCAATGCAAAAGCAAGAAGACCTCCAATTCCGGTCATAGAACCAGCAGTTAAAGAGCTAGCCGCTCCGCTTGAGGTGGCCGCAGCGCTGCTACCGCTTGTAGTTGTGCCACTTGAGGATGTGGAGCCCGAAGTAGTCGTATTAGAAGGGGTATTGGTAGCATCGTCGGACAGCACGTTCAGCTTGATTCCGCTGATGATGTTGCCGTTAGTATCGTACACTTGCTGAGAAGGTGTAGTAGAGGTAACGTCAACTAGCTGACCAACATGGACATCGGTAGTATATCCATTGGCAATCAGCTTGTCAATACCATCGACTTGCTTAGGGATGTCAAAGCTCTTGGTGATGTTGGAGGTGATCTCGTCAGGGTTGCAAGTGGGAGCGTTCATCGAGGTCTGACTAGAGTTGGACTGGGTAATGGCTTTCAAGTCAAGCTTGTTGTATTGCTTCTGCAAGTTATCGTAATCAACGCGCAGGGAAACGGATCCATTGCTGTTAATCACGACGAGGCCATAGTCGTTGGCTTCCTGGCTGTACTCATACACCAAGGCACCGGAGAGAGACGAGGACATATCAGGACCATAGATAGCCTCGATCTCGGAGAAGACACGAGGCTTGACATTGTTGCAGCCGGTCTCAGAGAAGAAGACAGGCATAGAAATATCCTTAAAGTCCTGGGTGAGGACGTTGTAACCACTGGATGTGTAAGTGGCATCACCGCACCACGAGTATGAGTTAAGACCAAAGAAGTCAGAGCGGGATTCAGTGGAGTTTTCGAGGTTGCAAGACAAATAGTAGGCAGTGTCAACCAACAGGGGACGGACATCGGCAGCAGAGTAACCAACAGGAATAGAACGGTTGGCGTGTTTCTCGATGTACTGATGCATGTCACGCTGAACAGCCTGTACATCACAAATTGTTAGATCAACTGACATTCAGAAGGGTATGGCAAGGAGCATACTCGGATGTAGATACCAGCGTTCTCTGTGCTGGACTCGCTGATAACCTCGTTGGCGGAGAAGAAGGCGGCAGTGTTGGGATAGTTCTTGAAGGCCTCGATAACACCAAAGACTTGCTGCATATAAAAGTGGTTGTAGGTAGTCCATGGGGCAGTCTGGTCAAGAGCGCCATTGGTCAAAGGAGAGTTGACATCCAAGAACATGTAGATACCGGCAGCGTTGAAAATGGAAGCGCACGCATCATGGTCGGCGGAGGGGGCCAAGTTGTAGACACGGATAGCGTTTACCTATAGTCGTTCCGTCAATTTGAGGTCAACGCAAAATCCAAATAGAATGAACATACACCCAGGCGCTGCAAAACAGCAGCATCACGCAAGCAGGTATCCTTGTCGCTGAGAGGGTCGGCGGTTTTCTTGAAGGCCGCAGAGCCACCAGGTTGGTAGCTTTCAAGTCATCAGTGGTCGGCATGCTAACAAGGGCAAATTTTAGAAGACCTACTCAACACCAATGATCTGGAAACGGTCCTTGGTGACACTGTTGACAAAGTCCTTGCCTTCGACGACCAGCGGGTGGAGGGCGGAGGCGGTGGAAGCCAAACCGCAAGCAGCGGCGAGGAGTTTTGCGTAAGACTGCAATAACACAAACATCAGCTTGGATGCGATTGATTGCGGCTGGTAGTGGGGGACTCACTAGAGGCATTGTGATCGATATAATTGCGAATGACACAAAAAAGCGACAATATTAGGGATGCGATGAAATCGGTCGAATGAGTGGCAGCGCTGCGAGCGCAAGTGGTAAACGAGTCGGTTTAGAAACGAGTGAACGAAGGACTGAAAGAATAGAAAAGGCAGGAGCACACCGAGCAAAGGTGGTGGATGAAGACGAAGAGGAAGAGGAAGAGAAAGAACGAACGCGAGGGGGGAAGTTAACTATACAGGACAAAGGCCAACGGAGGAAACTTCGGCAACAGCTGCACTGTCACCAGTGAGACAGCGCCCACTGGCACAGAGCAGTCACCAGTGAGCACCATCTGAGACAGACAGTGCCTCATAGTCTATGCGACACCTCTTGGACCCTGGGGCAGTTAGGGGGCAACGCAAATCAGCGGCGAGCGCTGGCGGCACTAGCTGAAGCGGTGCCAGCGGGCGACCTTGGAAGGTCTTGGGAGGCTGTCTTGACTGCTTGGAATCGTCTTGGACCTTCTTGGACGGCCTGTAATGGCCTGTAACGCGGCTCTCTGCGGCTCCACGCGCCCCCACTGTGACCTCCTTTCATCAGGCGAGTTTGCCTTCGTTAGCTGCCGAGCCCATGCTGTCGTCCTCTAGCGGCTGATGGAGAGCCTAGCGCCCAGTAGTGTCGTCGTAGGCGAGATGCTGGGGCCCCCGAGTCCGCATTGCGCTGCTGATTCGTCGCGGGCGGCCTGACCACGGCGAAGAAACGCAGATCGTCATACTGAAGAAGAGGCGGGCCGTCCATGTGAGGACTCCCTAGCATGGCGCAGAAGAAAAGAAGTAGACCTGGCAGGCATGAACAAGGGATATCGTCAACAACGACAAGGGCAATGACAATGGTAACGGCAGATGCGACATGGTACCTGCAAGTACATGGACGAAATAACGCCCAGAAAGCCACCCGAGTCATATGACTTCCTCTTTGGGGCTAGCCCCGCTGCCTGCAAACAGGCCAAACAGCCGCGGCGATTTGATTGTTCTTGTGAAGAACTCCATTCATTCCTACTACGTACTAGCACTGCTATTCTTCTTATTATTATTATATTCGCCCTACTTCCATTCCTCGACAATCAATTCACCGCCGCCTACGCGTGCTGGAAGAAACCGGCTCAAAGGCATCGTCGTCGTCATCGTCCTCAATATCACTCAGCTCAGCAAACCCGCCTCTCGCTGAACGCGCTGCATTGCGTCGGCCTGTGCCCGTCGAACTCGTTTGAGATGCAAAGTTGATGGTTGTCTGCTGTGTTGGTTTTGCCGCTGCTCGGCCACTTCGTCGCGTGGACGACGCCGCTGCCGTGACCGACGACGGCGCCGGAGATGCTGCTGTTCGCGCCCCTCTCCTCGAGGTGGTCGCAGTACTAGCAGCTTGTTGACGACTCCGAGGAGGCTTTTGTTGAACAAACAATGCTTGGGAAGCCTCCTCGTCAGATAAGATAGCTTCGGGTTCTTCTACTGAATCGTCGACCATGACGACATCCTCCTCTTCGTCGTCATCCGAGATTGCCTGTTTACGTCGGCCTCCCCTTGCCTGTGTAGTCTTTTTCGTAGTAGCGGCAGCTGTAGTAGTAGCCTTGCGCGTAGCAGTTGAGGGAGTGGCACGACCACCACGTCCCCTCCCTCGGCCGCGAGCAGACGCCGTCGTCCTCTCGGTTCCATCCTCTGCAGCCTCTTCTTCGTTGGGGTCACCGCCCTCGTTGTCGGAATGTATCAAAGCACCGGGTTGGTCTTCCCAAGGACCGTCAAACTCGGAGTCCCAACCGTCGGGCTTAGGCTTAAACCGTTTCTTGCCTCGAGTCCGCTTGACAGCCCCTTTAGAAAATAGGTCCTCCACTTGGCCGCGGTACTTATCCATTGCATTCCGTAGAGACTGATGCGCTTCGTCTTCGTCATCAAGGTCTGCATCTCGTTCCAAGCTCATCAAGTACTTGACTTGGTTGGCTAGTGACTCGTTCACAAACATTTCCATGGCGTGTTTGTCGTCCTTGTCCACAAATTGAGAGACAGCATCGCCGAAAGAGTTCTGAGGAAGGATAGTCAATGATTGCGCTGTAAGCAGTTCCCGTACTAATTGCTCAACCTTGACAGTGTCGAGTGTCGAGAGACGTGACATAGCAGCCCCGGCTGCGGTATCGTCAACTTTCCGACCCGTTGTAGTTGCTTTTTTCTTTCGGTGAAACTGCACAACATCGTTCACATTGGCCACTTTGCCCACGAAGCGATTGGAAAACCGCTGCGGGTTCTCGCAGTCAAAACTACCCCCGTCAGGTGTCGATGTCTCAACCCGGAGACGAATCAGCGGAAGAGGGATTTCGGGCTCTTCGTCACCATCGAGGTCGTCCTGATGCGACTCTAGCCACTCCGATTTAGCCTGTTCAATCAAGTCCTCGACATATGTCATCAGGAGACGAGTGATCTCTGTTCGATTGTTTTCCTTCCGCGCCAACTTCTTTGCCTCTTTGTCATCCGATAGCACAATCTCCTTCATAACGAATGGACGAACCGTCTTTAAGGGTATCGGCTCGCTCTTGAATTCCCTACCTGTGATACTTAGAATGGATACCTGTTTCTGAACTGCTTCTCCTGGAACCAGTGACGTCGCAACAGACGACCCAGGCTGCATAACGTGGAATTTCGTTTCTGGGTTCAGTTTTGGATGGATCAGACACTCATGTTCGTGGCCCCAGATAACTAGATCCAAGAAATCGGGGAGGAAGTGTTCTGGCAAATATCCTGTCTCTGTATGTGCGTGGTGATTTTGATGTACACAAATCAAATTAAACCAGTCGTCTTTTTGAACTGAAGGTTGGAAAAACCTGACCTTGCCATCACGGAATGTCCGAAACAGACGCTCGTCACGAACGTTGCTTAGCCCATACAGTGCCAATTTAGTTCCCCCTTTCTGTAACAAGACAGGCTTGACCTGGATGTTATCCGATTCTGGAGTTCGCCCATAATAGTTGATTAATCCAGAGATTTGCAGTATGTCCAATGCCGCAAGATGTCCTTCTCCAGACGGGTCATCATGATTTCCATGTATCGAGAAAACCGGCATCGCCACGTTGATATCCAGATCCTCATAATTGACATGGTTAAAAGCGCCCTGGAAATTTTCGCTCGCGTCACTGAGGAACTCCAACTCGCAAGGTCTGTCACCGAGACAATTCATTCTCAATGATCGCATCACCTGATACATAGATTTGCGGGATGGCTTGTTCTCGTGGAAAAGATCGCCGGCGAGCAAGACCATATCGACATCACGTTCTTTGGCTAAACACATGATTTCGTGGAAGCTCTTCCAGCTGTCATCGCCACGAACGGGGTCGCGCTCGTTATACCCGACATGGTTGTCGGTTGAAACGAGGATGCGAATCGTGTCAGCGTCTATTACCGGTCAGCATTAATTCATTCTATATGTCGAAGAAAGACAAGAAGTTACCTCCCAATGGTGGCATTATGATTACTTGCTACCAAGTATATTCGCTGAGACAAGTGAACGCTGTGAGATTCAGGTTCTGAAGATCGGTGCCAAAAAGCGGATGCTGCCTGGAGAGCGCCGTGGGGCCCCGACACGCTGATTCCAGAACTACCAGCACCATTCACTTTTAGCGTATATTATATTCAATTAACTCAGCGAGCAACATGGAGCTATAGATTGCTCGGAGAGTGGCTGATTGAGAGGTGGCCGTCGCGTGTTTCGACGTTGCCGCAGCGCAGCAGAAATTATTAGCATTGATTGATTGATATAGATGCCTCAGGCGTCAACCAGAGCTCTGCAATATCCCGGTGAACAAATCAAAGCTTTGATGTTTTTTTTCTCTAATCCATAGTGCATGTGACTACCATAGTATTTATTTGCTAGAATTGCATTGTTTTTAATTTTGGTCTTTGTCATCAGTGAACTCGATGAGAGTTACTAGTAATAAATATGCGCCCTGGACTATATATATCTCATCTACGTCAATTGATAACACTGAAGTTCGCCCTGAGAGAATAAAGTGAACCAAACAGATTTAACATTGAAATCTCAAGAGGCAATATCGATACTTGAACCAGAATACGAACTTCTCATTCAATAACATTGTACCATTCAAATATCAGTAAAATCGATGCATACTACCACACTGCGGCAGAAGGGAACGTGCCAACTACACTACCATCCGCGTTAGTAAGCCGGCCGGCCTCATTCCTGACTCAGCGTCGCGTCTGAAGTAAACTTCTCTTCTCTTTCTCTTCACCCCTCCACCCCCTCAATCTCCAGCAAACACCGCTGTTGCTCGTCGACAACAAAGCTCTCTCGCTTACACTGCACGCATTTTCTTTCCTCGACTGATCCAGCTGTTTTCTGGTCAGTCGCACTTGTTCCCCTTGTCTTCCCGCCAAAACGTTTATGCAACCCGAGCCTACTGCCGTCTCTCAAAGTTCCTCTACAGACCTCAACCCCGCCAATCCTCCCATTTCTTCCCAGTATGGCCATGACCCTCGTCGTGATGAATCGGTCTTCGACACTCTCTCTAGTGGAGGTGTCGAAGACCGCGCCGTTGTCGACCGTGTCGATGACGAAGTCTCACCCTCGCCCGGGGGCGTCGGAAGCGGCGACTCGTTATTACGGCGACTGAACAGTGTCGACAGCGTTGTTTCAGCGCCGACCTCTCCCATCCGTTCCGTCAGTGATTTCAGCAGTCCTTCACGAGTTTTTCAGCCTAGCTCGGCAGATGCGAAATCTAAAGTTTACGTGTTCCGAATAAAGCCGCGCCCGTCTTTGGCCGATCTCCCAAATGGTAGGCAGCACGAGTTCTTCTTTGATTATGACATGCTAATAATGGCATGATAGAGGTTTTGACGCACATTCTGTCGCATTTACCGCCAAACTCTCTCACAGCCATCTCGCTTGTGTCGCGTCGATTCCATACGCTTGTGACCACGCCCCACGCATGGCGGGTGGCTTTCGCGCGATTTTTCCCTGGCCCGCGTAGCATCGAAGAAGACTGTGCATCCGATGAACTGGTTTCTGACAAGAGGTCCTTCACTAGGCTAACGGCACTGGCATCATGGCGTAGCGAGTATATCCTTCGAACACGTCTGCTGCGTTCTTTGGGTAGAGGGAAACCAACTGCTCCCTCATCTCCTGGGAAACATCATCCTCGTGCTGGTGGTATCCAGACCGGTTCTCCCGTGATCACTTACACGTCCAAGCTGCTGTATCCTGTCAGTCATGTTGATGCCATCTTCACACCGATAGCTACCAAGAAACCTCCGCTTTTCATTCACGGAGCGGCTGAACAGGGTGCCGCTTCAACGAGCGACCCGTCGGCTGGCAAGACTGGCTCTTGGGGCTTTTCTTCCCCGCTTTTCCAGCATTTTGCCGATCTATATGAAGGCGAAATCGAATATGGACTGGGACCCGGTGACATGATCGGACTCCCCAACTCGATGGACGTCAGCCAACTATACGGCATGGCTTATGGAGAAGGATGCCCTCAAGGGCGGAGCTACTTCATTTCATCAGGCGAACAACGCGGTCGCTTCCTCAGTTTCTCCGAACTTGATTCAGAGCCTGACTTGGGTATTCCTGCTTTAAATATGATTACGACCGCGGTCAGCTCCGTATGGATTGCAAAGTCACCGAACGTGTTAAAAATGACTAATGGAATGGTGGGTATCTTGTGCGGTACATCATCCGGCATATTGACTGCCTACGCTCTTGGAACGAGCCCTGTGCATGATTACAGGTTTGATCGTGGCCAAGTAACGGCCAGATGGGTCCTCAGCCCCGGTGTGCCAATAATCTCTATCGCCGTAGATGAGAATTACTCTACGAAACGCCATTCGAAACGTCGTATCTGGGCGACAGTTTTGAATGCGCTTGGTGAGGTTTACTATTTGACGGAGATTCCTGCTGTTCCTGAGGCTGCTCCACGGCACTCTGCAGAAGAAATCGAAAGACTTGCTTGGAAAAGCGGTCGCAGTATTCGCTGGGAAATGATCGAGGCAACTCGCCGTGTTGCTCGACCTGATCCGTACAACCGAGAGTTGGTAGATGGCAGCTATAGTCCACGTTCCTCTGGTGACTCGGTCGGTTTGAGCAAAGATCAAATTGCTGCCGAAACGAAGGAGATTGAAAAGTTTCTTTCCTTCAAGCCTAAACACTTTCGGAAAGTCTGCGAGGGTTGGGATATGCGACGACAGCTTCAAGTTGATTTTGCAAGCGATGACATGCTCGGCGTTGGAGAATCTATCGTTGTTGTGAATTGTGGTCTTGATAACGAACAGAGTGCTTCGATCCACAGATATGTTCGTCAAAGGTTACCATATCAGCACGAAACTGTCGCAGAACATCTGTCAAGATTTTCAACACCGAAACCAGTGATCTCTTTGTTCGGCGGACCAAGCTCACCTCAGTTGGCCGAAGTGCCTAGCGTGTCACGATCTAGAGACTCGAACCATATGGATGGCGATATCTTAACACTAGCGAACACAATGTGGAAGACTACAGATTTTGTATTCGACAATTGCAAGTCTCTCCAGCTGACATCGACTGCGATGGACATGTCTATGCTAGCTCAACTTACGACTGCTGAAGATCCTCTACTTGGCATGTCAGGAGCAGGAGCTTCTACCACGTCGTCACCTCTTTCGTCCCCGTTACCGCATATGAATTCGCCGGGCACTGGTACCGAGGTCCCTGGACAGCGAGCCCGTCTTCTGGCGGTGGGAACAACTTCGGGTTCCGTGTATGTATGGAATATGCGAGCCCCAACTAGCCGCACTTCAGATGAGACCAACTCTGTTGCGCCTGTGCGGATAATACGTACCGAGTCTCCGCAGATCTCATGTCTAGCTTTGACATCACTTTACCTTGTGCACGGTGGAAACGACGGACTGGTCCAGGCTTGGGATCCCCTGGCATCTACCATCAAACCGATCCGTACACTTCACTCTCGTTTTTCGTCTCGTGCTCGTCGTCGTCTAATCCAGGCCGAGGCATCCATACTGGGAACTGGGAACAACTTCTTCGCAGCGGGTGCTATTTGTCTTGACCCTGACCCAACTGTGTTACGGGGGGTTATGTCGCTCGGCACACATGTACGGTATTGGTCGTATAGCTCATCAGCAGCTGATGAGTACAAGAGCAACAAGCGTCGTTTGCGACGATCTCATCGAGGTAGCCTTGCTTCTGGCGATGGGCAACGATTTACAAGCACTGGTCGTGGTGCGTTGAAGGATTTTATCGAAGATGAGCAGCAAGAAATGAAACTCCAGGTTGTCGAGGACCGCAAACAGAGAGAACGTCTCAGTAATAGATTCGGAACCGACATACTTGGACCGGGTGCAACTGAAGAAGAGCTTATGGCTTATGCTCAGATGCTGAGTGAGGAGAGTTGGAATAGCGATGTGGTCAAACGGAGAGAGAGTGAAAGCAGTACCGTCGCTAGTAGTGTGTCTAGTGACACCATTGCCCCACAGGACAGTTCGTTTCCATCTCGTGACTTTTCTTCGTCCTCTTCGCCAGTACTAGAGACCGTTGAGGAAGAGCTGGCCCCGGATATCGCCGAGGCAATTCGGTTAAGTTTACTCGATGAGACTTCAAGCTCGTCTGACTATCATCCAGCTCCAAGCAATTCAATACCAATCAAATATGCTAAGGGTGCGAAAGTCGATAAACACGAATTCAAGTCTCCAGACTTCTCGCCTCCGGCGGCGGAAAGAAGCAGCCAAAAGGAGATGGACGATCTTGAGTTTGCTATTCAATTGAGTCTCGCTGAGGAGCAGAGCCGCGAACAAGCTGCTGTACAGCAGGAGGAAGAATTCCCGGCCTTGATCAGCTCCTCATACGGAGCTCTTAACAAGGGGAAGGGCAAAGCTAGAGCTTGGTAGTTAACCGATTTTGTAACTTGCGTCTATCTTTGTTGACATATACAATGTCTGTTTAATAGTGATTTTTGGGTTTTTGTTTTTTGCGAATAGTGTTATTATTAGTCTATTATTATTCGATCTGTTTTTATTTTCTCAATTCATATCATTAGAACAGTATGTGCGTCTGCGTACGGTGTATATTATCGTTCTACTTCTCTTACCGCCCAGGCGATACACTCGTGCCATTCTAAAGGCAGAGCTTGGTGCACCGCATCTACCGTTTCTTTCCCCCATCCTTCTATCCAAATAGAATCCTTCATCCAATGCAAAATGACACCAAAATTGGCGAGGATAGCTAACGCCAACGGTTCACCAATACAAACCATGTTCCAATACTCAAGCGGACTCATCACAGTAAAATAGGAAACTCTATTCAGGGCACGTTTGTATCTCACAGCAATTGCGAGATTGATTCGAAGATTCTGGATGACCGAGCTATACATTTCCTGCTGAGTTGATATGGAGATTGTCTTTGATGTGTGTGTCATCAGTTTCGCGATTACGTGCTCCATCTCGTCCGGAAGGCTTAGCTGTGCTGTAACTTCAGGGAAAGGAATCACCGCAGCAGACCAACGACCTCGCTTGAGTGCCTCAAAGTCCCGTTTTGCTACACGTGACGAGCTTCGAATGAGTGTTAGCGCTTGATGAATCTTGGCAATCGGCTTGTCGGGGACATTGGAAGAAGTAGAAAGGGAACTGCCTGGGACCGCGGAAGGACGCTGGATACCAAAGCAATACAAGGCGACAAGACATGAAAAGGCGAAACCGGCATCCTGGTCAAGGGTTGCAAGGTTTGAGTAGATATGGGGTCGAAATAACGCTACGCCGCGATCATGATGCTGGATCGCTAGCACCGTATAATGGTCCCTCTGCCGGGAGGGAGCATCGCTTTGTGCAGACAGCAAGGCCAAATGCAGCGCACTCAAACTCAGCAGGCCGTGCAATAAGAAGTCGTGCTTGAAGGCGAGTTCTAAAACCCAGTCCCGCCAGACCGACAAGTCTCCGTCTTCGATGGAGAAGTCGGTGATGGCCTGTGCAGTATGCAACGTATAATGAGCGATTAGCCGGAGACGTTCTTGCTCGAGATCCGTGATGATGTCGGCGGGGTCTGCTGGTTGGCTCAGGGCGCTGTTCGGAGTATCATTGTTCGGGTAATTATTCCCCGAGCTGCTGCTATCACTGAGCCAGATCGCCGGGGTATTATTAATAATATGATTGTTATTATTGTTTGTATGGTCGTCGGTGTCGACGTCGTAATTCCGCGCACCATGAGAGGAAGCTATTGGGTTGCGCGTATTCTCATTTTTAGGGATATCATCGCGGCTCCTGTCTCTATCCAGGGGAGGGCCGCTTTCCGAAAGCGTGTTGGCTGTGCTGTCCTCGTCTGGACTGTGGTGGTTATCTGCAAGATTGGCGGGGATGAAGATCAAGCCCGAGGATTGCTGGGCCAATGAACAGTTCGATCCGATCCTCTGGCATCGTCCGCATTTGGGCGGGATCTCATCACACTAATATCATCATCACCACCATCATCATTGAGGAGTGCTTCTTACTGCCCACCTTGGTGCGATTCTGCTTGCATTGAGAGCAGCCGTGGCGGCTTTTCTTGTGGAACCGGCGCGGGGCCATGTTGAGGAAGCTATGTACAGCTAGCAGTGGGAGCGCTTGGGCTTGCAGATAGAGGTGATACGGTGATATAGATGGAGAGGACTGTGGAGCGCATTATTTGATGGTTGATGGTGGATGATGACTAGTTCGACGACGCTAGCACGAGTCTAAACGCCGAGGATGCTGCATGCATTAATAGTCGATCAGTCTGACTGACCGGTCCGGCAAAGTAAGACGGCCACGCCCATTGGCAACTGATTAATTATTGATCGGCGACCATGCAGTGCAGTAATTGTTATTGCAGGGAAAAGAAAAGTCTGCCACTATTGAGCAAGTTCGGAGGGCAAATCCGCTAGGATGCGGCACTTTTTCCGCTGTACGGCGGGAAATCTGCTCCGGAGAGCCAATAGCCGCTCCTTCCTAGTATGCGCTAGCCCTCTTTGGGACTAATAAGCCTGCATCGGACATAAGCTTGATCAAGCCCACTGTGGGATAATAATAAATTACTGGAATGTCCATATCCATATCCATACATATCACAACAGCCGCTATGGCTGCAAGGGAAAAGGGCCTGGGGGCGCATTGGCTCACCGTTTCTCCGGAGCTTATAAGCTGCAGGAGCTCGACTTTCTCTCGCGCTCCGTTAGTCACTCCATCTTCTCCTCGCAAACATACATCCCAAACGCACCTAGACATCCTCCCTCACAATGGTCAAGTTAGACGTGGTACATAGCGCGAACGCTGCGCTGGTGCAGAGTCAGCCCCTCGTCGCTGTGTTCTTCGGCGGTACTGGCGGTATTGGAAGCTATACTCTTCGTGCGCTGGCCAACGCAGAGGCCAAGAGTGGAGGTAAAGGCGTTCGCGCATACGTGGTGGGCAGGAAACCTCAGGCAGCCGAAGAAATCTTGTCCGCATGTCGTAAGATTTGCCCCCAGGGCCAGTTCAGGTTTGTGCAAGCCGACGACCTCTCTTTGATCCAGGGTGTGGATAAGGTCTGCGCGGAAATCATCGAGTTAGAGGAGAAGGAAGGCCAAGATGCACGCATTGATTACTTGATGCTGTCCCAGGGAGGCGCGATCTTTCTGCCACGCAAGGGTATGTATTATTGAGAGATAATTTTACGGGATGGCGCATCTGACAGGCCTTGTGCAGACACAAAGGAGGGAATTGACGTTACAATGTCGCTGTTGTACTACTCTCGCATGAGGGTCATCCTCCGACTACTTCCATTGCTTCTCAAATCGAATCTTCCCCCACGAGTTGTCTCTGTGTATGCTGCTGGAATGGAGGAGAAGCTCTTCCCAGACGACCTCTCCCTGCGTGATCTCAAGCGTTACAACTATAACCAAGCCCGGTCACACATGGTTTACATGCACACCTTGTTTATGGAGGCCTTGGAACAACAAAATGCCGGCAAGATTGGACTGGTGCATATCTTCCCTGGTCTCGTGCTTGGACCAGGCTTTCAGAACCCTGAGCTGCCATCCTGGTTCAGATTTATCTGGCGATTTATCTTTGTCCCCCTGTTCGGCAAAATGCTTACTGTCCCGACCGAAGAAAGCGGTGCACGAATGCTCAGTCTCGCCTCACCCCGCTATGCGCCGAAGGGAGGCGCCGACTTCAAGAAGGATGAGGGTATTGGTGGTCTTGCAACCGGTACCGATGGCACGCCGGGTAGCGGAGTCTATGCTCTCAGCTGGGAAGGAGAATCGAATATTAAGCTCAAGGCCTACGAGAAATTCAACAAGGATGAGATGAGAAAGAAGGTCTATGATCACACCATGAATGCTTTTGAAGTGACAGCTCAGGGAGGAGTTTTCACGGAGTGAACCAAGCACAGTTCGGATGACACTTCATGAGTTATAAAATCGTGCAGATTTGGCTACCGCTATTTAATATGTATCATAATACCCTAATACCATTCATTACATTTCCTTGATTGATATAACCATTTACTAGAAGCTAAACATCAAGCAGTGGCTGTGTTTCTATTTTATTAAATTTCAGCTTCTGAACTTACTCCTATGTAGCTGGGAAATGGTGTCCCAAAAGGGGAATCCCCATCCAGCCGGAGTCGAAGTGGGACGGGACGGGAATATTTTCCCCGATTCTGCGGGCTGATCCCTGGTAAATTCCTTTTACTGAGTATCAATCAGACTCCACCGACATAACTTTTCAATAATTAAAGTCCTTGGATTGAGTCCAGATGATTGCCTCTAAATTTAAAGTGGTTATAGTCCTGCCAAATTTGAGGTTGCAATTGAAGGGGTTGACTGAAGATTGAATAGATTCGACTTGGTACAGAGCTACACTTGTAGTTACTTATAATTGATTATTTACCGACAAAGAAACATTGAACCAAGTCAATTTTATCTTTATCAGTTACCTTCAAGCTAACATTGAAGGTAGCTGCAAATGGGTGGAGCTGGTATTTATAATGAAACCTCATGGGGGACATGCCACTAAGCCATTGCTTATCATTTTTGAATTGAAGATGGTATGGAATGCTGATGTTTTAAAACTGCAGGTTCACTAGAGGATGTAAACTCCTTTTTTCAGTTTTCATAAAGAGAGTCTCTTCAACCGACCACGACTCTTAAGGGAGTCGATCACACGAGGCGACATTGGAAATGAAGATGATAGCTAAGGAACTCGTTATAGATACGTATTATAAATTCGGCCATCAATTGATGCCTCAAACTCATTATAGTTAATAATTGCTGATGTTACATGTACTATTCGGTATTTAGAACTATATGTTAGATGTAAGTTTGTATAGTACATGGATGTGTGCGTTAATTCATGTATGTTGAAATAATATACACATTATCATCCACAGCATACGGTCAATATTAAACTTTGTAGGTAGATCCTGGCAAGCCAAGTCCTATTCGAGTACTTTCCCCTTCATCAGGACCTCATATATGAAACTAGATTTCATAAGATTTATCAATGTTGTAGCTTTGCATGGTTGTTTCGTTTGAGTGATGATAGTTCTCGCAACCCCATAATCAATAGTCATCAATGACGAGTTGTAAGTCATATCTTCAATATTGGTATTATGAATTATCTCATTGATATATCTTAGGGCGGTCATATCTAATCTTGACCTTCTGCCAGTTGCGTACAATACGGTCCTTTGCCACCGGACGCTCAACTCCGGATCTGACCGAAGACGGGCTTAGTACAGAACGATAATTTTTCTGGATGTTGGGCACAGACGTCGGACCTGTGAGCGCCGAGAATGTCTATAGTTTTGTCTCTATAGTTTCGCCTCACAGACCCTCTCGATATCGAACGAATCATGAAACAGCATTGGAGCTCATTGTATAAAGGATCCACAATCCAATTCATGAGAGTAAACGCCTCTGGCTGACGGCAAATATATGTCGGTTTGTGACGAGTCTATATAGTGAAAGATGTTGCGACAGATAGCAATAGAATCTGTCGTCGTGTTGAGGTCTATGACATGCATGTAACGCACATCATGGAACAGCTCGTAGGGCTTCTGATGTTGCTTGTGGCCAGTAAAATTTTCAGTGTGGAGTGCGGGACATCACTTCCTACTTCGCTAGGCCGACCAACCTAGTGGAGGGCCAATCACAATAAACATATGCGAAGAAGTGCATTATTATTGGCCAAAGATTGGAAGGTAGACGCCCCTGCGTCATCATGCGGCGGCATGGAGCTTGATTGCTGTGGAATTTCGACTGTGGAGGGAATTCACGGACTATGATTGGCTACTACACCGAGGCCCATGAGATGAATGGCTTGCACCCGAGCCCTAGCGACGCGCTAGATCCAAATATATTACGCTAGTCCTGGATAGGAAGGGGAACGGGGCGCTGACACGCGAGATACGGGTGCGACACTATGGTTGTCGTCGCCAGCGTTAAGCCTATCACGCAGCGCAAAACCGAGCAACCTCAGCGCTAGAGCGCATGTTTCGAGAAAAAGCGTTACCTTGGGCGAGGAGATTACTCTTGTCGCGCGACCAGCTGATCCACCCCTGCAACTCATGATTTTAGCTTTTTTGGGCTCTTTTTTCCTTTCCTGTGCCGTTGCCTTTCCTCCTTTCTTTTTTCCTCTTATTATCACCTCCCGTCGCTATAATCAAGTGTCCAGCGAGACATCTGATGGACCAGGAGACGCTCATTAACCTGTTGTCGCAGCGCAAGAGGATAGTTCGATACTTCAAGTGGCGGTGAACCGCTTTAGCAACCCTATCTCTACAATGTCTACCACCACGGAAACCACATCAGTTGAGAAGGCTGCCCGCCAAAATGTGCGCAGTCAAGTCGAACTGCCCGACCATCGTATTGTCCAGCTAGACGAGCTTTCTGCTGCGGATCGCGTCCTGGCCGAGCAATTTGGCTACCAGCCGGTATGATCCAACATTCTCTTGAAGGAATGAGGTTTATTCATTGTTAACTGAAGGCGTTCTAGGTGTTCAAACGTGAGTTTGGCTATCTTTCTACCTTCTCATTTGCATTCAGTATCTCGGGTCTGTTCGCGACAATTTCAACAACATTTTCCTATCCGCTGGTGGCTGGTGGCTCTGCCTCGGTGATCTGGTGCTGGCTCATCTCTGGAATTGGCTGCATGTGTATTGCAGCATCGGTTGCAGAGCTGGTGTCTGCATACCCGACAAGTGGTGGTCTCTATTTCACTGTTTCGCGGCTTGCCCCGCCACGATGGGTGCCATCTATCAGTTGGATGACTGGCTGGATCAACCTTTTGGGCCAGGTCGCTGGAATCGCATCCTCGGAGTACGGTTCAGCCCAGATGCTGTTGGCTGCGGTTTCTATGGGTCGTGATTTCAACTGGACGCCAACCACCGGCATGACAGTTGGTGTCATGGCTGCTTTGACAGTCCTATGCGGCATTCTCAACTCACTCCCCACAGGCTGGATGGAAAAGATGACTCGATCTTATGTGATCTTCCACTTGGCTGTCTTGGTCACGTGTTGCATTGCCCTTCTCGCCAAGACTGACAAAAGCCTGAGGCATGATGCCTCATATGTCTTCACTAATGTCGAACCCACATCTGGGTGGTCGCCAAGTGGATTCTCGTTCTTGTTTGGTTTCTTGTCTGTATCCTGGACGATGACCGACTACGATGCGACGGCTCATATTGCCGAAGAGTAGGTTCCTTCTTTCGTTCCCCGAAGACGACGTTGGAGAATCCATACTGACTTTGAATGCAGGATTCAAGACCCCGAGATAAAGGCTCCTTGGGCGATCTTCCTGGCCATGGCTGCAGTTTATGTTCTCGGTTGGCTGTTCAACATCGTTCTGTGCTTTGTTATGGGCGACCCGAACAGTCTTATCAACTCTCCTATGGAGCAACCTGTTGCTCAAATATTCTACAACAGTCTCGGCAAATCTGGTGGCCTGGTCTACACCGTCTGCGCTTTCATCCTCTTGCAGTTCATCTGTTTCACCGCCACTCAGTCCCTTGCACGTACTGTGTTTGCTTTCTCCCGCGACCGATTGCTTCCCTTGTCCAACGTCTGGTGTAAAGTAAGTAAACTCACAGGTACTCCCCTGTATGCAGTTTGGTTCTCCGTCTTCTGGTGCATTGCCATCAACCTCATCGCCCTCGGTAACTACGCCGCCATCCTGGGCGTCTTCAACATCACCGCTATTGCCCTCGATTGGTCATACATCATCCCCGTGGTCTGCAAGCTGTTTTTCGGCAGATTTGAGCCTGGTCCTTGGCACATGGGCAAATTTTCTGTCTTGGTCAACTGGTGGGCTGTCATCTGGACAACTTTCGTTTCGATCATTTTCTTCTTCCCAACCGCTGAACCTGTGACTGGAGAAAACATGAATTATGCAATTGTTTTCATGGCGTTCATCATGCTGTGTGCACTTGTGTACTGGTATGTCCGGGGTAAGAAATTTTATGTTGGTCCTATCAAGGAGACTGTTGTGCAAGGTCACAGTACCGGTGGCGGCATTCTGGAGGCGACTCCTACCGAGAGTATAGAGAAAAAGGATGGCGAGAAAACCGCCATATAATAGTTTTGTATTCTATCGGTTGTTGAGGATATTAGTGCCATTTCATGAAGTGAAGCAGTTGTTGAGCAGCATATGGTGAGGCTTTGTGATTTGAAGAATCTCTTCTTCTTCCCGAAGAGATTTGCCAGTGGTTGAGTGTGCATACAAATAAGTATTTCTGTTTAGATTATGAATGGCACTGGATTACTTCTATTACTTCTATCTGGACTACCTCATACTGCTTGAGTGATTTAACAGACCAATAGGACAAGACCTGCGGTCAATATATGGTTGGGCGATCTGTAAGCTAAGCTTATCCTAAATTTAATGTTATTATGTTGGAAATTGCTAGTGTTCAAGCTCCACTTGTCTTAATTAATTTTCTTTTTGAGATGTACGGAGTAGTTTAATAGAATTTGTCGCGTCAATTGACTCGGTTTGCGGGCTGTATCAATATACATACAAATCACGGACGTACCCACCTCTGCAACGTGCTAGGACTAGTATGACTACAAACGCATGTAGTCGACGATATCAGCAATAAATCCGACTTTATATTGTCCTACTTTACACAGTGTCTTATATTTTTATATAGAATATAGATATAGATCAATGGTGGACTGTTCAAGGGATTACGCAGGCCAATAGCAAGGCTCACGGCCGCCAAGGGCTCCGGATATAGGCGTTAACGCCGCAAAGTCCGGCGGCTCGGGGGATTATTACCCCAGATGATCTGCAACCACGCAACAAACACGCAACTTTAGCATCAAATTGATGCTTAGCGGATTTTCAACATTTGAAAACGCTCCGAAGGTGGTTGGCGACATATAAAGTTGTCAACATTTAGCCAGGCGGTTTTGACTTTTTTCCACCTCCTTCTCCTCTTGTCTTTTTGCTGTGGCAACACCTCGGATCCACTCGCGAAGACCGAAAATGCCGTCCTACAAAAACATCGACAGCTATCTGGGCCAGATCAAGAGCGACAGCTCTAAGGTTCTGGAGTTGTCAATTGGATCCCACAAGAATGTGCCCTTTGGCGCGAAGATTCCAAAAGCCGGTACATAAAATATGAAAAGAGGACAGGATAACAGCTAATAAGAGTATTTCTAGATGCCCAGAGCCCGCCCACACTAAAGCTTCCCCCTTCTTTGGTCGACTCCAACAAAAAGTACATTCTCGTCGCCATTGACATCGACGCCCCATTCCCTTCATGGCGCGGTCTCGGCCCTATTCTTCACTGGGTTCAGCCAGGTTTTAAGCACGATCCAGAAACCGGCAACTTGACAACCTCTGAGCCATTTATCACAAACTACATTGGTCCCGCACCACCTCCGCCAAGTTCCCCTCATCGTTACTGTTTCTTTTTGTACGAGCAACCTGAATCGCTAGTTGTAAGCGAGCATGCACCCAAAGGTGGGAAGAAAGTTGGGAATGCGGCGAGGATGTGGTTTGATTTGGAGGGGTATGAGAGTAAGATCGGGCTGAAAGGGGGTATTGTTGCAGGTAATTGGTTTGTGAGTAACTAAGCCACGAATTTAACTTTACACTCGATGTTCCTGTGAATCTTTAGAAATGTTTCCTGCATTTACGCAAAGCAGGAAGGTTTATTGGCGTGCTGTTTGTTCAGACTCAGGTGTATGTTCGTACTTGCGAAACATTCCACACGGGCTCGAACTGGAATACCCCTTGCATAGACTCTATCACGAACCACGAAACAATTGTATCGTGCCCAAATAGAATAATTTTTACTCAAAACCAGGATCCCAGTAGAATTAAGCCACGGAATGTGAACGCGACCACCATTATGATCTGATTGCTAAACGTATCTCAGGGGTTGACGTCCATGAGCGTGTATATATAGCCGTGGAGGATATTACTCACAGGCCGTAAACTTCGAATCTAAACGTCACTTTTGCTCGATCCCATTAAAATCAGCCAAATAATTACAATGAAGTCCGTGCTTGTTTTAACACTTTGCCTCGTTGCTGCTATGGCAGCTCCGATCGCCACTCCGATCGCCACTACACAAGATCTAAACGCTGATACTGTATTACCTTCCCAAAAAAGCAACCTGAAAAAGACTCCAACCTAACATATTATTAGAAGCCGCCTCGAAAAACCTCGACGAACCACCACAGCGAGCCAATGCATGCTGTCGCCTCGAAAGTACCCGACACCAACAGAATATCCAAACGCCTAGATGCAGCAGTCTTCGCAGCTGAAGCCCCGAAACAAGGCGCGGGTGGCTTTTCTAAAGATGCAGTGGCATTACCAGCAGCGACACAAAGTACCAAACGGTCGAGCCTCTGGCAAAACCTGCCAAAGCGAGATGACGAAATAATACAGGGTCTTGAAATAGCACCGAAGGCATTGGAGATGATCGTGCCGGTCGTAGAGAAAGTCAAGCAACTAATGTGATGGGTGCTAATCATGGCAGAGTGTTGGGGTTTGTCTTATGACCTTGATTTTCAGTGCATGCATGTAGTTTTAATATTTTCTATTGAATTTGACTTCATTGCTCTTCATAATTTGAGAAAGTATATCCAGTAGCTGGCGTGATATTAGTTGCGTGGTCAACTTTCTTAGCGAGGTAGAGGTCTGATAGGTATGATTGAGTTCTGATACTGGAATGCCACAAAGACTCCTTTCATAGTTAAAGAATTTCTACTTTAGGAGATAGGCAAATAAACGGTAGCATATGACCTAGTTAAGCTGCCCTTAGGAATACGCACTTAGTCTCTGGCTGTCAAAAAACACAATTCTTTGACACGTAAATACTCATATGCACCTGAAAAGAGCCTTATGTAGAAGGGGGAATGCTTTTCCTGCTGCCACACGAATGTGCAAAAGATTTTGCTATTTGATCTCTTTGTCCCGAGAGAATATCGCTGCACTGTCGAAGGCATTTGGGGTTGTTTTTTGGGGGGTTATTAATACTACTTAATTGACATTAATACACTCCAGAAAACTATGCAGTATTGATTTTATGGTAATTTTACTTAGAGTGTAACGGCAAGGTATAATAGGAGCACCTGAGTCAGGTGGTTTTCTTGCCCTAAGCGGAATCTATCCCTACCGCTTGTATTCTGAGTGATGATAGAAGTGAAAATGGTTTTTAATTTGATAGAAAATATGTTAACAGATGGGAGGGCCAAGTAGAAGTGCCTGCTGGCCTTACACAGATTATAGGCTGATACTATAGAAATTTTATATCACTCACATCTCTCTCATTCCCACACAAGATTTAGTTAAGTTGACGAAGAAAAATTAATTATTAATAAGTAGTCTGAGTGAATATTTACTAATTTACATATAATTCCAGCCGTGAAAGACGTCGTTGAGCTAGTCCTTCGAAAACTAAATGCGCAGTCTGAGGTGAGTGCAGAGCAGCGGTATAGCGTCGTATGAAAATTGATAGGTTATCAGCTTCGTTATTGTCATTTGCGAAGAGGTACACAATTCCCTTGACTGGTTGCATTATAAACGCAATTAACGATGGGCCACGAAATGGTAAACGGTAATTAACTAAGCTTACTTTTAATGCGAGCCCCAACATTTTGACAATTGAGTTGAAGTAGCGTTATTAGAAAGAGCTGACATCAAACAAGGCTCCTGCGACGAGAATGATGCTACTGAGATGTTTTGGGTAGATACAGTATTACCCTGACAGTAAGACCTCAGCATACTACCAAGAACTTCGCTGGACTGGTTGCCACCAAGTGTTTGTCTGAGATGACATCCATGATTGTCGAGAATATTGAGAGCACAGTCGATGTCTTCATTCATTTGCTCTTGGGAGGTCCCGGAAGTCGCGGAACAAGCGTTCTGGAGCGCCCTTTGCGTGTTGCCAGCTCTCATGCTGTGACATGTCGCACTGGCTATGGCTGGTAAGGCGACAAGAAGTAGGAAAAGCTTGACCATTATGAAGATATGTAAAGGAGGAGGCAAGGCCACACTCTTGATGATTCAGTTGGTACTGGGTGGAAAAGTTCGAATTATGGGAATGATTTTGAACAATTGAAATTCATCGAAGAGTCCAAGAAGTCCATTCATTTTATATGAAATTCCAGATAGTAAAAACAAAGTCATTCTGCCGGAATCGTAGGCGGAAATATCAGCTGATAATACTAATCAAGGTTATTTGCATTATCACAGCATCCAAGTATGAGTGATATCCTACCTATCATGAAAATGACATTAACTATTGTTTTGGTGTACTAGATTCGAGTATTCTTTCAGATTCTTCGGCGATCTGCAAAATATAGCCTTGGCTCTTATGTACAGTTGATAAGAACGGCGTTTTAGTAGATGCAGTTGTCTATACTGATTGTATTGCCTATTGTTAAGAGTGCCAAGTTGGCTTGTTAGTTACCGGCGATTGATTGTAATTATACTTATTTTATTAATATATTGATTTATCGACTAATAACTCCTAAGATAGAATCCCTTAACCTTGGCATTTCTAGAGTCTTGCCATAGACGCTGAGTGCCGAGAAGAAACTCCGATAAAAAGTGACCTACATCAAATAATGCGCAATATTGGTACGGAGAATTCCAATCAGTTCTATTCTAATCAGTTATTCTGTGGAAATTGAGAGAAAAGAGTAAAATACGAGAATGGATGAAAGTATTTCCATCATACGGAATTCAATAGTAACTCAAGTCTATAAGACTCTATGACGACATTTAGAAACGGATCCATTTCCGAAAGGTCAAAGAAAGAAACCAAGGTACTGCCAAGTTAAGGTGTATTTTGTTAAAAGAGGAATCAAAAACACCTGTAGTACCTGGCAGAACTAGTAATTAGGGAACGATAGATACCCACATGAAAACCTTTACTTCTTGCGATCATAAGTTCGTCACCCTGGGGCCAACGGGGCATTTTTTTCTTGCCATTTCTTCTATTTCTGCCCAGAATAGTTTTTTGATATTTCAAGAATGGTTATTGGATATTCATTGGCTTTGCTTGCGGTTAGCCATGCAATGGGATCGGTAGCTTTGTGCCATGTACCCAAATCAAAATGCCGACAGTTATTTGGACTCTCCACAGAATCTTTGGTCATTTATTCTATATTTCATCGAGATGATGTTTCTTTTATGAGATGTATTGGACCATACGTGGGTTGGTACCAAGCGATCTTGCTACTTCATTTCAACTTTTTGTTGAATATCCATCAATATCAACCGCGCTCAAAACAGAGCTACATGAACCGAGTCAAGCAATCATTATCTCAAATGTGGAACCCTAGAGGAATTGGTACAACTTGGGGCCATTGCAAGAGGCCTACAGCAGGGGAATATGCCACCCACAATAAGGCAGTCTTTCTGATTCAGAGAACCTTAAGCGCGGCATTGGCGTTATTAATTCTTTATGCATGGGATGACGGAGCTAAAGCACCCCGTTACTTCAATTTTGCGGATTTTACACCAGAAAAACAACATCTTATCCAACGATTTCATGAAGTCACCTGGAGAGAATTACAAGCAAGATGTGCTTTGACGGTCATAAGTCAAATTTACGACTACTCATTCATCACTTGGATACACTCAGTTTTATCTGTGATTGGAGTTCTCTTTCTGGGACACGACACGGAGGCTTGGCCGGATCTTTTTGGGGATATTACCGAAGCGTACACGATAAGACGAGCATGGGTGTAAGTTTCATATTCTTAAAGCCCATGAGTGACTATTTTAAAACATGTGCCCTGCTAACCATTAAATAAAACTGACAGAAATTTCTGGCATGGACTTTTCTATACAGCGATTCGGGCACACGCCTCAATGATTGTTGATTCATTATTCAGGATACCCAAAAAGTCGATTCTCGGCCGCTCGATGAAGGTAGTCGTAGCTTTTCAGTTATCAGCTCTGATACATATTATCGCGGCCCCTGATCCTTATTTAGCTACACCTGTGTTTATGAAGTGGGCTATAAAGTTCTCTGCTTGCTTAATTTTCGAAAATATAGTGTTCGAAACAGCCAAAAACTTAATACCTCACCGTTATGAGAGCTATAAGAACCTAGCTAAGTATGCGGGATACTTTTGGGTCTGTCTCATATCTACTTGGCTGGTTCCGGGAGAGGCTTATCAAATCATGTGGATGTATTGGCTATAGATTTTGAGGTATTGATTAATCCGATTTTGCTTGGCTAGTACTAGTTGGCCAAAATAAAGCCTCTGCCTTTTTTTAAGTGGTACAGAGGTCTGGCTGATGTGCAGATATTTATTAACAGATGTGTCATCTGGTACATATCTAATAGACCTGGCCGTCCTGCTTGTTTGAACATAATGTAATAAAAACTTGATTCTCATTTGAATGTTATTTCAGACTGTCGGCCGCGCGATCTTCACCGAGATGAACTCTTAAAAACCAATAATTGCAAATACATGTTATTTTAGATTTAAAAATAGTTCTTATAATACACATGTTCACTATGGCAACAAATGCATCATAGGGAATATTTGAAGGCGATGGGGGCTCGGAGACGACGGTGAATTTTGATGGAGAGCTGCAGGAAGTAACGTGAGCAGCATAGGATTTAGGGTTAGGGTTAAAGAAGTATGAAACGACGCTGCTGTGTGCTGTTGAGGTGCCAATATTGCTTTTGTAGGGAGGATATTCCTAAAAGTTGAAGTTGGAGCGGAAAAGTTATGGCGGAAGCACTTGAGATTATTAGAATGCAAGACGGGGTGGCTAGGACTTGTTATTCATATATTTCTGAGCGAGCTAAGTGTAATTTGAAGCTTTATCTCTATGCCGAGTATTATATATTTTCTAAGGAATAATCAATTGTTGAGGGTTATCGGACTATGGGGGGAACTCGCTGTAAATTATTGTCCGACATGTGAGAATGGGTGGTAATGTTACGTTTAACGATGTAGGTACCGAATGGAGACATTACAAGGCTGTGTGATCGTAATTGTTCGAGATCTTGGAAATTAATTCTAGTCTTTATCGAAAATCTTTCGAAAAAGAAAACAGATCTATGGGTTCTCTGCCTGGTAGATGTAATATTACATATCATTGCTGATTTGTAATGATCGAGAATACTTCTGCTGAAGTTCCTTAGTCTATGGATCAAAATTAGACGGTTATATTTGATAAATTATAATGATTTCATTGGATTTTCGAACGATAGCTCAAAGTTTGCTTTTGTTTATTACATCTTTTGTAATTATTAAACATGTCCCATCTGCCACATAATGAACGGCTTCTAGCTCTGCACCGGACTCTTGCAGGTGAACGAGGTAGTCACACTGTTGGCATACGCATCTTTCAACACTTCAATTGCGGAATAAGCACCAAGACCAGCAAGGGCCATTGCGCCGAGGAAGTAGATAATGTTGAAAGAGCTGAAGTAAAAGTACTTGCTGGTAAGGAAGCCTGGGAAGAAGAATCCACGGATGACGCGACGAATACCGCTGTCATGGCGCACAGTCTCGCCGTTTTCGGGGTTGAATCCCTCACCCTCCTGCATAGCATTCTTCTTTATCCAGAATGCGATTGCGAGAAGCGGTGGGAAGCTGTACGTGAAGTGCAGGATGCAGAATGCAGCAACAACGGATGTCAAGCCAGAGAAGTTGGGGATGGAGGCGGCAATGATGAATGCAATCGCCCAGTAAACAGGAATTAACACAGCCCAGGCAATCTTGCCACCCCTGGTGGTCAAGGGAGGGAAGCGGAAAATCTCGACAAAGATGTTGTGATAGAGGACCTTGACACCGATATTTCCGTACAAAGCCGCGGCGATGGCAGCGCTAAGCATGGCGAACACGTTACCGGTGGTTTGCAGACCATAGCCACTGACACCCAAATAACTAGGGTTGACAGTGTATTGGCCTTGATATCCGTACATAAAGAGGCCATAGAACATGTACCAGAAATAAATGAACAGCTGGGCGGCGAACATGCCGGTGAAGAAATCCTTGGGACGCTTCATCTCAGCCATGAACTCGGGGAACACCATAGAGCCACCGTAGGCAAAGACGGCCTGCATTGCACCGCTGACAGAACCAGAGAAACCTCCTGTGGAAGGCAGTCCACCGCTAGTTGTCACGGGAGGCCAGTTGCCATTAGCATCCTGTTGGACGAGGAGACCACCATCAATCACGGACCCGGCAGCTTGCGCGACAGCGCTGTAATTAGGTGCCTGATGAGCGGCGGCACCCATTGTGACGAACATGCAAAGAAGGTTGATCCAGACGGCAGCGTTTGCAATCCAGCCAAACTTTTGCAGGGTACGAATCTGACCAATGATGAAACCAACAATAGCCCAGATCAAGCAGCAGACAATGAAGCAGAGCTTGAATTTGGAGACTTGGGATAGGGCTTCTCCATTGGAGATGACAATCAACCCGACATTGAGAATCAGCTGGATACTCTCCAAGATATTGAAAATATAGCGCAACCACGAGCCAAACAAGCGGAAGCCAATATCACCGAAGTGGCGCACGGGGTACTGGTATGAATCGAGGCCGAGGAAGGTGTTCCAGAGAAGATAACCAGAGTAGATGGCAAGACCAGCGAAGACTGTGAACAGAACAATGCCAGGACTATAACAGTTAGTATATGTGTGTTTTCATCGTTGCATATGGCTAAGACTCACCCCCAACCCATGGTCGCAAAGGCATAGGGCAAACCGAATGGACCCAGAATATCGGTAGTGATCAGATAAAAGATTGCGCCGCGAGTGGCAGTACGGAGGGCGCGCGAGGCATTGGTCCATTCCTGATCGGTAATGACGTCTCTCACAGCAGGATTGTTGGTGTTGAGGTGGGCAGCGCTCTTGACTTCCTTGTCGCTGCCGGCCTCCTGGGTCACGCCAGCGTCTGACTTGGAAGGGAAGATCATCGAGAGCCACCCACGCTCCTTGTCGTGGTCAGGATAGCTGTCCTCCTCGACACGAGTCAACTGGGCATAGTAGTGGTACTCCTCGAAAGTGACGGACGGGTCATGCAAGGGACGGTGCTGGGGGCGCGTGGCCTCAACAGCATCAACCATGTCGCGCTCCTTCTCATTGAGGCGAGGATCACCGCCGTCCAGCATGAAACTGGCAGGTTGGGCCATTGTTGGAGGAGATGGAGCACGAAGGCAAACGGAGATGGAGGAGATGGAGGAGATGGAGAGAAGAGAGGCTGGGGGAGGCAAGACGAAAAAGCGTAGGAGGACGCGGTCAATATTAAATATTATAGGCGCGGAAGGTACAGGAAAGAGGGACGTGAGGCAGTACGGCCGGAAAAGGAAGGTGCAAGGGCAGCACAGCAAATGAGGAAGGTGGTCACTGCCGCACCTGCCTATGATAAGCTGCTGGCTTTATGCCTTTATAAGATTGTGCGTTAGTATTGGCAATAGAATTGACTCTTGCTTCTGGCTCCGAGCAGATCTTGCACGCCTGTGGCGCCATTGCCCAATCAGCGCCCCCAAGCGGCCCCGCCGGATGTCAGTGGCAGTCGGTGGCACCCGGGATGCTTGTTAATGCTTGTTTTCTCTTCTTGCTCTTTCCCCCTGCCTCTCTCCCTATATCTCGCCTATGCTCCTATCACCATGGTCGTATCACCTCTACGACTGACTTTGACGCACAATTGCGGCAGTACCAGCAGTCTCCTTTCTCTCTTGCCCTGTCTTCTCTGATTTACCCTGTTCTGCTTGTGAAATTTTGTTGTGGCAATTCGCAGGCGAAATCGCAGACGGTTCCATGTCACCAGGTCCGGAGATTGCCATTTCGGGATCTAACGAGCCCCACAGAACCGCGCGCCAGGCCCAGCCAGCCGGTGCCGGCGCTTGCGGGGTGCAGCAACTGCCTGTGTTTTAGCCTTAGTTTTGCCCTGCCAGTTTTGAAAACCTTGACTTCTTGTAATTGATGAAGAGCGGCGAGGCAGCTATTTCGCCACATTCTACCCGCCAGAATTTTCTCATCCCAGCCATCAAATCACCCCGCCGCATCCGGGCAAGTTTAACTGGGGCATGAACCACGGACGTGCACTATTATCTAATACACTAGTGCGATATGACTGGCGCTTCGACGAGAACCGGGCTTTGCCTGCCAAAAGAAGCCTGATACAACGAGGTGGATGCCGGCTAGAACCCTCCGTCGAAGTTTCTGCGCTTCGTGATTGGCCCGTCTATGCACGGCTATTTCGAAAATTCGACACTGGCGACGATGCTCTCAGAGGTTCTTGTCTCATTTTCTCTTCGCGAATGTGAGCATATTGCCCTCTTTGTATGGATTGGGCGTCCATACTTGGAATCCAGGCTACCCCCGGTTATCGTCGGGGCACCGATAGCGATTTCCGCCTTTTACGGGTTTACAGCTGTACTCCATCTTGATATTGACATTTCACCGATCGTTGGGCAACGAGGCCTTGTTAATTAATCCTGGAGATCGCTTTACCCCGGATATTGCAGATTCACAGTCTGGGGGTGGCGTTGCAGTTCAGCCATGCGGTTGAGAATCCGATGCTGCTTGGTCAAATGCCGTGAACTGAGTTGAATAGAATGTGATACATGCACCTATTCATTTCTCCGATTCCCCATTTCTTTCTTATTTACAAGTGGCTAAAAAAGCTATGTTGAGACCCTGCGTGGTACTAGAGGGGGGGTCGCTTATTGTCGTATCCAGGTCATGGGTTAGTAATGCAGTGTGTAAGATATGGTAATAACCCATTTATCTGTTAACATTTCGTACCCCCTCTAGTATATAGGAGCCGATTTAGAGATTGGGCTATGATTATTTAGACTGGAGGCTTATTTGATCCTGTCTTATGCTGTAGGAGGATCTTACGAGTGAAAGAATGTTGGCAAGGTGAAACTGCCACAGCGAACAGATGCAATGTTATTTCTCTATGTCATTCTGCCCGGTAAGTCAGTTGAGTTGTCCTCTTCAGTTCTAGCCAAGCTTGTTGTATGCATATGTAGTATATAGCAGACTGAAACCAAGTTTCAAGGCAACATTTTGGGAACCGACTATTGATATGACGCAAGAATTCGGATATAAAGCGGCAGTAATAGAAACCTTTACTAAGCCGATCAAAGGCGACATGTAATACTGCCAATCCCATGGTTGGCTGGCGTATCTCGTCTATCGAATGATATAATTAATTCGATAATCGTGTGAGGATCAGCCATCGGCCAATCATCTGATGGCATTCGGACGATCAAACAAATCACACCGTTTCAAGTTACATCGAGCTCTGTAGATCGCACCAGGACGTATCGCAAAGAGAAAACAGACACATTTGTGATTCTCATGCCAGCCAGAAATCGCGGTGTCATTTCCTGGGTTTCAGATTTTCATTCGTTGCCAGCACCATTTCCTTATTTTGTCTTGTCAGAGCGCAATACACGCTAGCACCAAAGCGGTCTAGCCAGGGCCCAAGCATGTAGTTGCGCGTTCAGCCCACCAGGTATCCGTATGGACTAAATCAGTAGTTCATCCTGCTAAACATATCTAATTGATCATTAATGATTATCTCATTCTCAGAGGTTGGCCGCTAAAAGGGACCCCACACTTGGCAGATTTAGAACAGTCCTTCTCGCGCTTTCATCATTCTCTGCTCTGCTCGCCCTCGTGTATATGAGATGGTCGGATCAATGCAACTGTGGCCTCACATAGCACTACCCCTCCAATGTAAGTTTGATATGCACTGTCAAGGCAATCCCCGGCCTCATGCTTGACAAAGCACAAAGCACAACGCACGGTCGCGCGCCAGCCAACGCTCCCATTCGTGGGGGCTCTGGATGATCACGCTTGGCGGCCTCTTAGTGCAATTGCGAGCTCTGCTCAACAGATAAGCCGGCCGACGATCGGCCCACTTTCTGGAAAATTATCTCAGCTGAGGTTCTGACACCTTGTCACTCTTCGGCTTTCTCTATTTTTCTCTCCTGTCAATCTGCCAGTGTGCTCGATGGCGTCGATCGGATAACCCCCATCAGGTCATGGAAACACACTGTCCGTCGACTGATTGAAGATGGCGCGATTCAATCTGCACTTGTACGGCATCGCGGTATTCGTTGCTGTGAGCCTTGTCTACGTTTTCCTATCTCGGCCCTTTTCCTTCACTCCCCGCGTGGCAGACATCTCATACGGTCGCTTGCGCGAGATCAAAGGCGATCGTTTCCCCCGATATGCCATCGCCACATTCCTGAGCGAAGATCCGTCCGAAGAAAACTCACCCGAAGACTATTATTTTTTAGCCACGCGCATTCTGGCGTATCAACTACTGCACGACCCGGCTACGAGATGTAATCGCACGAATATTCCTTTTGTGGTGCTGGTCACCGACGAAGTCAACGAGGCGAAGCGCAACCAGCTGACGCGCGATGGCGCCAAGGTCGTGCGTGCACAGGATATCCCGTTAACTCGTTGGACTAGCACCGGCGCTACGCACTGGAAAAACCAATTTAACAAGCTGCGTCTGCTTGAAATGACGCAGTACGATCGTGTCCTTTTTCTCGACGCCGATACCATCCTGACCCGCCCGATTGACGGAATCTTTAATGAGCCTGAGTCACAAGTCGCCGCGACCTCGCTGCTGGTCGAACGACCAAAGCAGATCCGCTGGGATGAAGGTCAACCTCCCGCCGAATACGTTTTCGCCGCACGATCCGACAGTAGCATATCCGGCCAGCGGGATCATCCATTCCCTCCAGAACGGACGGACGAGTTTGGCGCCGGATTCTGGCTTGCCGCACCATCTGAAGAGCTATACCAATATTTTTTGAACGTAATGAGTCATTATCACCGTTTCGATCCGACGGCGATAGATAGGTCACTCCTGAATTACGCATTCCGTCGAGACGGCACGATGCCCTGGCAGGAACTCAACTACACATGGAGTGCAACGTGGCCAAACTCTCATGATGTAGAGGGAGGCGTTGTATCTTTGCATGAGAAATTCTGGCGCGAGGGACCAGATGATTTGAAAGCCAGGTGGTTGGCATTAAAGAAGAAGATGGAAACTTATCTAAGAGCAAGCTAGCCAGCAATTATACTGATTTTCGTTACATGCATTTGCGGGCAAAGGCTGTTTGAGACTGTTATTATACAAATATCGGTACATAGATCAATAGGACACCAACATACCGTCTAGTCGTTTCTTCATCTTCTCGATGACCTGCGCTTATGCAAAATTACATTGTCTCAAGCAATTTCACTCTTTGCAATGCGAAACCCGAGCCGTTTTCTTTCTGGTACCAGTCAGATTAGGAGATACAATATAGCTCGCCCTAGCAATTCTCTAGTCATAGACATCCTTGGAACGAGGGCATTGGAAGGCCCAGTTTCCATGACGGACCGAGTGTCGACTAACATATATACGTAAAGAGCGCCTATTCTGGTAAGTAATGGTTGTGTCTGTATTCTGAAGGTATATCATATCTCATAGTTCCCCAGTCGAGACCTTCTTCATAAGCCTTGGGCGTATGTGTAAGACGTCGTATTATTAGTCGTATGGTGGAAATTGGCATCAAGACTCAAGTCATGGTTGCCAGCAATAACTATCTCAACTAGATGTGGTTGAGGACGCAATCAATCCACAGTTGATAAAATCTCCGTCCAGGATCCTGACTGGGTAAGATCACTCGCATGGTTTAGGACATCCTCCTCTAGAAGAGCTGGCTAACTATTATAGGTGTCAGAGATGCAAGCCACAGAGATAGGTTTAACAAGGGCTGAATTGGAATCCTTTGTCTCCAGTTATAAAGCTTGCTTGCAAGAAACACGTAAGGGTGGTTCAAAAACTGGCGTCAGCCTGATGAACATGCTCGGTTGATCACGGCATTTAGGGGGCAGTGCTCCGCTTGTTAAATAGGGGCGTTATCATCTCTGTCACCGAGGATTCTCAATTTGATGACAAGATTCGGGAATTGTATTCCTTGAATTTTCCCTCGAAGAGAGGTAGAAAGCTAGCATGGATTGTGATAAATGATAATACAGGTTTGGCAGGAAGTTTACTGCTAATGATGGGATCAGTGATAACATGTACATCCGCCACGGCGGTAGGCCATTAGAGTTATAAAAATTTATACCATAATTTATTATTAGAAGATTATATATTATCATACCTCCATATATCCGCTTGTCCATGCTATTCGTTCTCAATGTTACCTTGGGCTGCACCTCATCAAAGCCTATTCTACCCTGTGATGACAAAGAACTTCTCGTTGTACCATGTTGCTCCATGTTTTGACAGACCCGCATCTTTGTCTCTATGCAACAACAAAGATGGAGGCAGGATGTTAAGAATCGCATCTAAAAGCAGTCTTTAAAATTTGCTATATCCCCTGGGGGTGATAGCTTCTCATTTCTATTCATGAACCTAACTATCTTGAAGACGCTTGTCGATAACCCACCCCTCCTCTCCTATTCGAAGTACCATACATTAGAGCACCGCTTCGATACGCGCTTTGATCCCTTATTTGATCCATTGTTACACTTTTGCCAAACAACAGGGTCAAGAGAGAGGTTACTTTGGAAGGACGAAGCGCAATTTTGCCCGTAATTTTCGAAAGAGTATCATCAGAAAATGATACAAACGCCTGCCCACCCACTTTACCGAGAGAAAATGATTGTGAAGCAGGTTGTTCCAGGCATTATGTACTCGAAATCCATCTGACGGAAAATGATAAATAGAAATATGTAGCATGCATATGTGGCGAGATATTAACTCCTACAAGCCTCGAAGACAGGGATCGCGACGAATTAATAATGGAGTTCAAGGAGCGAAAAGTGCATGAGTTCGGCGGGCAATTTCGTATTGAGGCCAGGGCCCAAACAGATCGGTAATGAGCGCGGTCTTAACGTCTTAGATCGTCTCGCCAATCTAGAAAATTCTCTTCCTGAGCTCCATAGGCGAATTTCTCTACTTGAAGAGACCCGTGTTTCTGAGCCTAATGAACGAATTGCTTCACTTGAAGAAGCCCGTGTTTCTGAGCTCAATAGGCGAATTACTTCACTCGAAGAAGTCCGTATTTTTGAGCTCAATGGGCGAATTGCTCTACTTGAGGAAGCCGGTGATGTTGAACGACGCAGGATGTTACTTATTCGTGCAAGTAACTTGGAGAAAGCAAGCGGTGAATGGTTTGATTTTAGAGGATGGTTCGATTTTAGAGTCCGCAATGAAAGAAATCGACTTGTTCACAGGAAAGATATCGAGCTTGATCTTGAAGCTCTTGAATTCCTCAGGACGGATCCAACAAGATACCAGAGCACATCATGAGGATTTAGAAAGATTTATGGTAGAGATCCAAGAGATAACTCAGCAGAGGAATTAGCTGAGAGTATTTGAAAAGTGATCTGGAACATCTTGATGTCTAGTCGAAACCCCAACACCATGGATAAACTCACAACTTGACCTTGTCTGCTTCTACTTTTTTTATCTATCCTCCTTTCTCTTAATTATTGGTTTTATCAATTGTATCTAGAGACTTCATTCCCATAAAAATTAGCAATGACCAAAAGTGTGCCATTAAACTTGACAACAGAACTTCTCTACTGCTATAGCTTGTTCTCCCTACTTCCAAAGAAGCCCTGCCGTATTCTTTGCGCTAAGCGTCTCACCTAAACAAGTAAGAGCTTCATATCCTGCTACGGGCAATGTTGATATTTGGTTAGAAACCCTTGGTAGTTGACTTGCAGTAGAGCACAACTCCATTCTTCTTCGATATCAAGCCCACTCGCATAGTGAAGTTTGTCAAGCGCGCGGCCTAGGCGAGTGCCAAACCCTATGACATGTACTTTAGCGTAGGTCATCGTGTTGATGCTATATAGTCGAGTTTTGGAAGCTCCGCATTTAGACTTGAGGTTGAGTATCCTCGTGCCTCTTACGATCGTGACCGATTGCTTCTGTTCCATCTGACATCCGAACATAATATCCGCGAATGTGTTCAACTCTGTTGCCTTGAGAATCCGGTCGACCGCGACCCTGATTCGCCTCACTACCTAACGTTCTATATCTTGTGGCTGACATCAGCCTGGATCTCTATCACTCCCCATGTCTAGTATTCTCAGTCGTCCCTTGTAATTGGTTCAACATTGTTAATTGTCTTTTGTGCCCAGCCCGAGATCAATTCCCTCATCAGCCACATCTAATTGAGCGCAACAAATGACCCCGTTGAGCCTCGAGAGAATTTCACCAACTATGCAACCTTATGGAACAGGATCGATCATGGCCAATACGCTAGCGCCTTGGAGTTGGGCACAGTGGCATAAATATCTGCCAGAAAGCAATAGCTACTTTATCACCACAGAAGATGTATCCAAAGCTAACTAAGTCCATTGGTCGAAAGCGTGGTATAAATTAACTCACGAATTGCGTGGGGATCACTTGTGGAATCGAAGTCCCCCGTGCCTGCCTTTCCTACACTGCAGCACATCTCACTTGACTTTTCAAATGTTCTCTCTGACTATTGATCCAACCTTTGCCAAGAAACTCTAGTGACTGTCTGTCTTATTAAACGAGAGAGATCATCACGTCGTGAACCTCTCTCAAGGCCGTCATACTTACGCCAACACTCACAGAAGCCCTGGCAAATTATTGAGTGCCCGATTCTTTCCTGTGAGAAATAAGTGCTTGCTCTTTAGACACTGTGCAAAACTCTTCCAGCTTCTGCTGCTGCTGCGAATGTTATGATATTTCGTACACCGTGACTTCTTGTCCCGTGTCTACTCAGTACAGAAACTAAAGCATCGTTTGCGCGTGGCGAACTTATCCTCGCACACATCGAATCATGGACAAGAACTTCATACCTTTCCCAAAACCTGATAGCATGTAGTATGCAGAATCCAGTTTAGAAATTTCTATTGGGTGTAGAAATTTACACAATTGGACCTCCCTCTAGCGTCCCCCCTTGCTAACAACTGCACTCCGTTGTAGACCTTGATACAATGTCTGAAACAAAATATCTAAAGTTTAAAAATTGTTAATAAGAAATCATAATATACACTTATTATATATCTAAATAAATAAATGACTAAAAATTTGGCCTATATTCTAATAAAATCAAATTTACACCTATTCCATTCTATTATACCTTTGGGGAACATGATTGAATGTTTCAGCGTCTTACGCAGATACAGTCCTATCTAGGACATGAGGCAAAGGCCTAAACTCGGTGGATTCTTAGACTCGGCAAACGGAGCATTTGAAATGACATTGCTGACAAATTTACAAGAGGGCCTGATATATAAATTCGCCAGTATCAATTGATACCTTGGATTTTTTTGATCTCGTTTTACCAATTGATATATTCCATATTACACTCGTGTATATACACAGTTTACTATCCACAGAAGTTCATCTATCTCTCCAAAACAATTGACAGGATGGTCTCACTTCAAACAGTTCAGCGATCAAATGCGCGCATCGCAAATCTTCCACATGGGTTGGTTGCGCTATTTATTGGCGCTACCTCAGGTATCGGCCAAGCTGCCCTCCAAAACTTTGCCCAGCATACTTCATCGGCACGGATTTACAGTGTCGCTCGGACGTCCGCGGTCCAGTCCCATGAGACCCTGCTAGGCGCATTACGCCAATCCAATCCAAGGAATATCTACAATCTTGTAACGGCTGATGTATCGTTGATTTCCGAGATTGACAGAATTTACGAGTCTATTGCACAGAATGAAGTTAAACTTGATATACTTTTCATGTCTGCCGGTTTCATGGCCTTTGAAGGTCGCAAAGATACGCGCGAAGGCCTTGACCCGTCCATGACAACACGTTATTATTCACGCTTGCGCGCTATTCAGAGCCTTCTTCCTTTACTCAATAGCGCTGATTCACTTAGCCCACGTGTTATATCGGTCCTGGCTGGTGGGAAAGAGGAGCCACTCAATGAGGAGGACCTAGACTTGCGCGATCCACACAACTGGTCCTACTGGAATTCCTCTGTTCACTCCTGTACTATGGGCACTTTGACATTTGAGAGAGTTGCTCGGCAAAACCCCCGCCTGAGTATAGTGCATTGGTATCCTGGGCCAGTGGAAACTCCCGGAATGATCAGATCCATATCACTAGGCATGTCTCCGCCATCGTACCGCATGGGCCAGGAAGAAGCCGGCGCGCGTGCAATCTTCCTAGCTACCAACGATCGATATGCTGTCGACGGAGGAGGGTTTGTATCAGTGCCCACCGAACTTGGCTCTGCGAGTAAGTCGGGAGGTGGGATATTTCTGGTTGATCCATGGGGAGAGAGCGTCAATAACGAGCGTGTTTTAGCTGAGCTGAGGAAAAGAGGCATTGATGAAAAAGTGTGGAGTTTCACGCAAAAGTTATTTGCGTCCAAAACAGCTTGAGTTGCTACTCGTTATATGTAGTGTTCAGTTACTTTCTCTCTCTTTCTTTTGTGTCAAATAAATCAGTTGATGTAGTGACGATTACATGCAACCAAAGCAATGGACAGATTACTTATTTCAAACCACTACATAAATTTGGATTTCAAGTCTGGGTAATTTATAATTAAACTGCGAGCATTTCTTCGGAAATAGAATTGACATGAGACAACACTCGCAAGTCAAAAAGGTCGTGAATCCACCGCCGAGAAAAGGTTATCCCAAGTAATCAAGTCGAGGTTGGCTTCAAATTGAGGCGAGTTTTGTGAAACCCCATCGAAATTGGTACCCGGACCCAATCCGTGTAATTCAAGCTGGGTCGACTGCATGTACACATGATACAAAGGATCGAGGCTGCCAATTTCAGTATCTGGGGTAAGTTCAGGCACTTCCTTTGCATCTGCGGATAATGTTACCGACAGAGAAACGTTATACTTCCGTAAAACCTCATAGAGCGAGTCTAATGATCGTCCAAGAATGGGAGAAATATCTCTGGCCCTTTCAAGTATTTCCAAAGTTGCCTTTACTTCTTCCTTTCTTCCTTCCTCGCCAGGTATATCTTTATTAATGCATAAGTCCATTACCATGACCACAAGCGCTAGGTGTATAAAGTGCACTGCCATGCCCGTCTGTGCCTTTGTCCTAGGTGTCGAGTCCTCCTTTCGTAGTGGATCCTCGTGGATCTGAATGATTGCTCGTGCCGATTCTAAGCACGCTTTCCTTGAGTAAGCATAACTGTTATTGAAGAACTGCCTAAGGAGAAATCTTTGATGCAGTCTACATCGTCTGCTATGAGCCGCTGTTGTAATACAGTATCGCATAATGCCAATGTTGGTGTAAACAATCTCGAGAAGCTTGCTTTTTTGGCGACTTTCAGAATCAATTCGAAAGAAAAATGGTAAACTTGAAAAAAAATCTTGGAACTTCTTGTCTAAAAGAATGATCTGCTCATAGGGAATTTGTACCAGTTTTGATGTCTCCAATGGAAGTATATCAGTCGCTTCGCGGCAGATATGTGAAAGTCGAACTCTTTCAAGAAAGAAGGTCATGCCAGTTGGCTGAGGCTCTACTACTAGGTCATTATTCTCACCTAGGCATATTTCATCGTCGTTGCAATCTCTTGGGAGTCGGACATTCACATGTTGTGGGTGAATAAAATATGTACCTTCTTGGGGTCCAGAAATGACTGACTGTAACCTGCTCATATGTTAGTAATGAATGATTTCCAGAAAAGGCGGCATTATTACCAGTCTGTTGCTGCTATATGCCAGAAAACTCGTCTTTTTACTTCGCGTTCAACCAGCTCCCGGGTTCTGACCTCAGCGTTCTCAGATAAATGATCATTGGCATCTAATCTGTGTAAACGAAGGTCCCTAGCAATCGAGGAGGCCTGCGCCAGCAACAGACGATATCTTGCTGAAAAACCATCAAGATGGTAGGTGACATAACACATAAGAATCAGCGCTTGTACGTCTTCTATAGTGCCCGAAGCATTCTGATGCGAATAGTCCAACACATCCAGAGCTTCCTTGCACAAGAAGCTGGAAAGTTGGCTAGCATCACGGTCACTTGTCACTATTTTATGATTATCCAAATTTTGACAGAAAAATGCGCCAAGAGCAAAAACAGAAAGTAGCAGTGCAGCTTGGCCTGGTGGAACAGATTCGCCTTGACAAATTCGTAAGTAAGCGGCCTTCATCAGGGATCGCACTGTTGGAATGTGCATTATGCGACACACATGGTCTACACTAGTCGCGTAATTCTCAAACAATGAAACGGCTATTGAGTAAGCAGGAAATTTTATAGTACGGTCTGTGCTTTTTAAGCGATCTTGTTGGTTGATAGTATCGTGTGCGTCTAGAATAGTAAATGATAGACCATTCGATAAAGGCTGGAGCTATTCATTCGTTAAAGACTTGTATAAAAGCTCCAATCATCTAGGAAAGTGATATCGTGTGGATTCTTACAAGTGTGTCTTCATTAGTACCAACGTTTTCTAGGTATTCTAAGTCCTTTTCAGGCTGTTCATAGATGTCGGGCGTAACCGTGTCAGCCGTTCCGGACCAGGCAGGCGGTAGTCTGGCAGGATGAGCATGTTGCGAAGTATGGGACAGTAAAACGATTGACTCAAGTCGCTCAATGCGTTCTAAGATTTCTGCATTGTTGTGTGTCTTTGAAGTCGACTCTATTCGTCGTCTTCGCGGGGGCACAAGGAAATTGCAGGTGATACCACGTGAAGTGCAGTTTGAGCACGGTTGAACTCGATTGCATCTCAATTTTTTCGACCTGCAAGACTGACACGAAACGGGATCAGGACCGATTCTGCTTCTCGACATAACTGGAATTTCAAGTGTAAGGTTGTCTCCTAAAAGCCGAAGCGGATATTGATCAGTGGAAGAAAATGGAAATCCGGGGGCATCCGCGGAAGTCCGTGGAGTGGAGCTGAGGCTGTTTTTAATTAGCGCCTGCCTTTCTCCAGCAGCCCAATGACAATAAAAATCACTTCCGGCGCTTTTTGTTATAAATATCGAATGAACTACCGGAAGTTGCATGATAATGATTTAATTAGTCTATCGAAGCAGAAATTCAATTCACCTCGCAAGCTTGCCATCGAGTTGAAATATTTAGAATACAAAATCGAGATACGGGGAGAAATAGTTGTTAAAAAGAAAACGCCAAATCTACCCAGATAAAATCTGAGATACTCAAATATGCCCAAGCAAGTAATTGTTCAGAGCTCCATTGAGAGAATCGAGATCATTGAAACCCCAATTCCCAATCCTAGAAGCAAGGAGATCGTCATCAAAGTCATTGTATCGGGGACCAACCCTAAGGACTGGAAATACCCGCTGTGGTATGTACCGTTTTCTCGCTCTACCTAGTCGTTTTTGTATAAAGTGATCTAAACTTCTATATAGGAAAAACTGGCCCCATAACAGTGGTGACGATATTGCTGGTATTGTGCATTCAGTTGGCAAAGAAGTCTACGAATTCAAGCCCGGCGACCGAGTAGCAGCAGTTCACGAGTTTGGAAAAGAGAACGGCAGTTTTGCTGAATATGCAGTGGCTCCCGACTGGACAAGTTTCCACATTCCACAGAATGTGTCTTTTGAAGAGGCTGCCACCATTCCTGTTGCTGCCCTTACAGCTGCCATAGCCCTTTTTGTCGACATGAAAATTCCTGCACCCTACGATACAATAGGGCCCAGAGTAGATGGAGGAAAGAAAACACCTCTTTTGGTCTACGGTGTGACATCAGCTGTTGGTGCCTTTGCAGCAAAGTTTGCCAGACTCTCTGGCCTTAGTCCTATTATTGGCATTGCCGGGCGGGCTAGTGACTATGCCAGCACGTTAGTTGACTATGTGGTAGACTATCGCCAAGGCGAAGACGCCATAGCCATGCAAGTCGAGGAGATTCTCACAAAAGAAGGACTTGGTAGCAAAATCTCTAATGTATTTGATGCGATTAGCGAAGGAGGAACGATCGAAACTACCCTTCGATTTCTAGACCCGAATAATGGCACCGTTAGCACAGTATTGCCTCCCAAACTGTTCGCGAAGAATAAGGATGATTTTGAATACCCAACTGGCGTAAATTCTTACAATAGTGCCGTTCCTCGAATTCATTCGACCCATAAAGACTTTGGGTATCTTTGGTCTCGCTTTCTTGGAAGAATCCTGGAAGATGGAAGATTAAAAGCTCACCCGTATGAGGTTATTTCGGGGGATTGGCAGGGGTTTTGACTGGCCTGCAAAATCTTAAAAATGGAAAGGCCAGTGCGGTCAAATATGTGTACAGGATAGATGATACCGAGAAAGACTTTACTCTTCATCAGAAATGCCCCGGGGAAGTCCCGGATAACAAGGCTAGGGCTCAGCATTATGAAAGCACTCACGCGCTCAGAAACTTTCCTCTCCCGCAATAGCCAAACCTATCTACTAGATATTAATAGTTGTGTATCAACAACATTTAAATTAGATATGTACTGTTTTCAAAATGGTTTGGGTAAATGGTACAGCAGACCATCGACAAAAACTGGAGCGTAACTCAACTGATTCTATATTTACCAAATTATACTAAGATGTGATTCCATAAAATCATATGTGTGTGGTCAGCTCGTCAACTGTATGTAAATGTTTTCCATAGAATACACCCATCAAGTTTAGGTCTTCGTAAGTCACGTGCAACATCGATTCGTGACCACCCTGGATTTAAAATCATACTCTTGCTGATTGCCGATTTCAATTCGTGCTTCAGCCGCCTAATAATAAATTTAGCCTCTTCCATTGACATGTATTTAGAACAAATACTTTTCTAAGATCTCTTTGTAAGTTGTATGTCCTGACGCAGCTGGTTTCAACATTCTGTTTGGACCATTTCGATACATCCGTTGCTTTAATTTCTGCGGAGATTCAAATAAAAAGGCCTCTAGTAGAATTATAATAAACTTTTTTGGAATATTTCTCAATATTATCCTGTATCCCGGAGAAAACTCTTTCGGCCCCTTGCACAACGAAGACCGAAGTCTGGGTAGCAAGCGTGGCTAGATTTCAGTGTAGTTGTGTCAAGCCATGTAGCAATTTAACTACTTATGCGGAATGTAGAAAACACCGAGGGATGGAAATTGATAGCCGATTTAATGCAAGGAATATTAATACGTCCTAAATAAAAATTATACAGAAATAAATATTTAATAAATAATCTATAGGTTACCTATGATAGATAATAAATATATGGTTATAGATCTGGATAGCAGGATTCGACTTGTAGACTAGCTCTGGGTCCTGAATCCCTACCCACGGGTGGCCCATGGCGAGGCCTGATAATGGGATATTATTAAGTTCTAGATTGAGCAATTGACATAAAGATCCTGCTAGAAATCATATATAAGTAAATATATATAGTATTGTTTAGGCTCTTAAAAGTAAAGGCTAACTGAAAAGACTACTAAACAAACAACAAAGTAGTTAAATGCTGATCAGGATGACAGGCCTTTTCATTTGATCTCTGATATATATAAACAATGATACAGTACCTTGCAAATCTAGTAATGAAACAGGCTAGTTTACCTATATCAAGTTAGAGCGCAATTTGGCCTATTGCTCCAAACACTAATAAATACACCATAGTGACTGTAATCTAAACAGACCATAGTATAAAGCCCTTTGCAACTATTTACAAAGGGAGCTTTCAACAAGAATAGATCTTTAGAGTTATTTACGGAATTACAGCAAGTCACACATGTCCCGTCTCATTATATAGTGTTGTTGGATTTCTAAGCTGCTTATGAAAGAGTTTTCAATGGGTCTATGAAAGCTACCTTTTATTTTATAATAAAAGTTCTAACCTGCAACTGTTTAGATTGACAACTATTACATAGGAGACCTCAAAGCGTCAGGAAATAATGAACTATAGAAAGATGAATATAGATATTTCAGAGATAATCATGAATAATGAAATGCAATGGCTTTTATAACTCTACCCTTACATATTTATATATCTGTTTTGCTAATTAGGAAATTTCAACTGATCATCTTCTCTCTTAAACATCAAATTCCCAATACTCGATTAGTCAGAATCTGTAGATCTGAACGTCAGGTGGTTTGACTCTTAATACTAAACCAATGACCGAGCTACTACAGACCCACCGACGAGGAGTCACTTTGACGATCTTCACAATCCAAATGATTCCGCCAACCTGCTCTTCAGCATATAAAAATGTGCCAAAGACCCATGTTCATCAAACAGTTTCTCTGAAGCCATCAATTACTGCCAATATGGAGTATCAGGCACCGCAACAAATCGATCACATTCTTGACAGCATTCACTCATTAGATGATCTTTCTGCTGATGATGTTGTTGAGCTGTGACATATCTCTGAGCGTTCCCTTGTTATTCACAAGTTCAAAGTCTCTCTTACTGAATATTGAAACTGGCTTGACAGAGTCGGTAACAATATTCGTGGCGTGGAATATAATGCTCAGAATGCATATATTACCTTGAAAGGGGGTCCAAGATGGATGCATGAAGCTGCAAGTCAGTTTAATTAGCAGGAGACTTCTAGGACCTTTAGAAGATAGAATGAGTGCCGCTACTGGCTCGTTCTACTTCTTAACTGGCAGCGTAGGTATGTTAACTGTTAGATATATTTCCTCATATGTGTTATTTCATAAATATAACTATATTCTTAGATTGTTCATTGGTTGAAAAATTTAGTGGCTCCACAAAACAAGCAGATGCGTCTTTCATGAAGTCTGGATCTAAATGGCCAGTTGTTATTCTAGAGGTTGGCATTAGTGAGCCTACAAACAAGCTCTTTGAAAATGCCCGGCGATGGCTAGAAGGGAGTGATAGCAAAATCAAACTTGTTATCCTTGTTGATGTCCAGGAGACAGAGAAACGGAATACTTTACATGATAAATGGGATCTATCTGAGACCGACTTTCAGGAAACTAGTCATGACAGGCTCTCTGATAAGATACTCCAGTGGTACCGATCTAAGGAAATTCGGCTTGTTGGCAGCTTTAAGCTATCAGTACATTTATGGTACAGTGATGGCTACAGACAATGTATCTTGGACAAGGGTATGTTTTCACCAGATAACATGATCGACCTCACAACTATCGAAGATATTCCTTTGAGATTGAAGCATCTTATGTCTGCTAGAAGTGATTTGGAAATGGGCCAGCATCTTCTGTTTCCATTGAGGCGTTTAGTCCATACACTGCAAAATGGCTTTGAAAATGTTGAAATTAGCAGAGCCAGTGACTTGGCAAAGTACAAGCAGAAAAAATACCTTTCACATTGAGGACATTCACTATCTGCCTATGTAATCTGCAAGTGTAGACTGTTTTTCTAGGTTGTTTGAGAGTTTCAAATAATGTCATATTGTTTTGTGGTAAATTATGGTCAAGTGAAACTTTTCGAATATCCATATTCCGGCTCTTTACCTGATAATTATTAGCGTTAAACATATTAAACAATTGAAGTGAGTAAAAGAATGCTCCGTTTTTGCAATCAACTGTGTGGCAGAAAAAATATCCGACTATAATACCACTAGAAATCCTTACTAAGTAAGGGTTGCGCCATTTTTGGTATAGTGGTTAAAAGTTTGACATGATCCTTACTGGGCGCCAGCCCGTTACATGTGGACTTTACACAGGCTCAAGTCTATAGGAACCCTTGCCAAGATAATGCGTAGATAGGTCAGTCACTGAGGAGTTCGACTTTTGATCGAAGTATTCAACCACAGTTGCTGTTAGAAGAACATCATATATAATGCACAACTCGGAGATGGCACAAGATTTAGACGTCCACAAAGCCCAGAATCTCCCTCACAAAGGCTTCAGGATTCTCTTCAGCGAGGTAGTGTCCACTGTTCTCCACGATACCAACTTTTGGTTCAACATACATCTCGCTTGCCATCGACTCCGCGCCATCCGCAGCCCAGCTTCTGTCACCGGATAGGACCATATTGCGAACTGTGACCTTTCCATTTCTCTCACGCCAGGCTTTGTTGTCATCGGCGTCGATTCCGAAAGAGCTGTAGGTGAAAAAGGCGCATCTTAAAGCATCTGGCATGGCATATTGCATCGTATAGAAGTCGACCACTTCCGGTGTGAAGGCTGACTGATTCTGCGTCAGACGATCGAAAAAATGCTTCAGATACATCTTCTCTTTCCCCGTGACCAATGCTACTGCAATCTCTGGATTATGACCATGGAAGTCGAAATGCCAATGGGTGCGCGAGTGCTTCAGTTGATCGAAGAGCGTCGTCCCTGGAAGAGGGCACTCTCCCCATACAATACTTTCCACGTGCTGAGAATATTGTGCCACATAAGCGTGGGCAATCATACCCCCAATGTCATGGCCGACGACATGGATCTTATCCTTGATACCAAGGTATTGGGTCACAAGCCGGAATATATCAGTTGCGAGCTCCTTTTTGCTAAATGAAGCGACTGGTAATAAAGGATGAGACGAGTAGCCGTGACCTCGATAATCTGGGGCAATGATATGGTATCCCGCCGAAGAAAGTGGCCCAATGACATGCCGAAATTGATAGGAGGTTTGAGGAAAGCCGTGAATCAAGAGGATGGTCCCCTTTTTCTTTCCAGAAGGCTGTGCTTCAGTAAAGAAAAGGCGGATTTCCTGGTCGTCTTGGAGCAACGCCTGGCGGTGGAAGATCTCAAAATTGTTGGAACCCATTATGCGTTTTTTAGGTATAAAGAAAGAAAAGTAAATTCCGACTAACTGGTTTTTAATTTTCAAGTAGATGTCAAAAAGCAATACGAAAGCGTGCAGCTTATAAGCTGCAAGGTTTGCCTTGGAAAGTTGAAGCAGACGGGGGGGGCTGACACTGATTATCAATCACTTTCTGTTGGTATTGAGATTCCAAGGTCTTTGGAATGGGTAAACGGTGAGTTAATTCCGAGGTCGTCGGAAATTGTTATCCGATATCCTGATTCGCTTTCCTACGATAGTTAGTTGGCTTATATCTTCGTATTTTGTTCACACATCATACCACTGGTTTTACAATTGATTATACTATTTCGAGTCCAGCTTTTTGATTTCGTGCGGTCGGCCTCTTAATCTCTATAGGGTAGCTCTCGAATTTTTGTCCTCAAGTGATCATCGAGTAGACTACCTGGGCAGGCAGCTTAGTTAATCCGCTCGATAATGACGTCAATACATTGGATGCATTAGGAGCAACAAATTTCCCAGGGCCGGCTTGTACGCTCCTGGAGTCGATTGGGTCGTCTCTGGGATTGACTGAAGTGTCTCTGGGAACAGTTCCCTCAAGTACGGTTGAAAACACTTCAGCGCAGTTTCATGTACAAAATTACACGCCTTCCTTTCACAGCCCATCAACCCCGAACAGACTACGTTTCTTCTTTAAATTCGTTATGTATAGATATTATTCAACATGTCGAGTCCTTTATTACTAGTCAAACTCGGATATCGACAGCACAAAGAAAGCAATGGGCAGTGAAGCCGCCATCCACTAAACAGTCTGCAAAAAAAAATGTAAACGTTGGTTTAAACGGAGCACCTTTGGGTACAGGAAAGAGTGATGATTGAGCACCATTGGTCCACCAACATGGCGTTCTCCACCTAGTCTTCAAGCCACGTAGGTTTGGTAATAGTCTGGCACCCCCAGGTTGGTCTTTTTGGCCTTGTTGGTTAGGGTGGTTCCTAAAGCCCTAGCTTACATTAATATATTTTATTAATAAAGAATAAAGAAGGAATATTGGAATAAACTAGCTATTGTGTTTTATTATAGATATAATTTCTGTAGAATAATCTTAATAAGCTATAGTAATAATAGAGTATATATACAGCATATTATGCATACTTTATTTATATGTATATTAGAATTAAAACTTAAAGCCGAAAAAGGTTTCATAAGTTACACTTTTGTAATCGTAACATGAAAGTCAAACTAATCTATTAGGCACCTCTTCACCCCCAAGAACTTTCAACAAAGTATCGACGACCGCAATCCCACTCGCACTCTGATTTTCCATTGTACTTGCACCGATATGCGGTGTCATTATCACATTATCGCAGGATAACAGTCCTTCTCCGTATACCTCCACTGTCGGAGGCTCGACATCGGAGGCATCAAGTGCGACACCGCCGATTTCGCCGGTTTTTAACGCCTCAAGCAGCGCTTTTTCATCGACAACACCTCCGCGTGCGCAATTGAGCAGAATTGCCTCCTTTTTCATAATCTTCAATTGCTCCGATCCGATCAGTCCTCTCGTAGAACTCGTCAGTGGCACATGCAGCGAGACAACGTCAGAGGCAGACAGCAGCTCTTCTACCTGATATACTCTAGTATGAGCGATAGTATCACTATTATTCTTCCACGCATCCTCCGGTGCATATGGGTCATATGCAATGACATTTCCTTCCATTGCACCGATCCACTTCTTGGCAACAACTCGACCTATATTACCCATGCCGACGATGCCAATCGCCTTCCTAAATAAGCTTCGACCTAACATCTTCGACCTCACTATTTTTTCTCCCGCGCGTATCCGTCGGTCAATCTCGGTTACTCGCCGAGCAACTGCCAAAGCTAGAGCAATTGATAGCTCAGCAACCGCCTCACTATTTAGAGCCGGCGTGTTGAAGACCTGTATGCCATACTTTTTGGCTGCATCCAAGTCGATATTGTCGACTCCAACGCCCTGTTTGAGGATGAACTTTAGATTTTTAGCAGCGGCAATATCAGCTTCTGTGAGACGTGTCTCAGAGCGTAGCATGATTGCTACTGCATCATCTTTCCATTGCTGCTTAGCGGGATCATTGGGAAGTATGGTGGTGAGGTTGGGGGTAGAGAGGAGCTTGGAGAGGGCGTCCGGGTGGTACGGGTCGAGTACATAGAGCTTGGCCATTTTACATTAAATTCAATTCCACGAGACGTGATCGATCATCGAGGTCAAGTCAATACACACTCTTGCCATATAAGTACCCAGTCAATAACTACAATACCCAGATATTACGTTCATCACCTGATCGGAAATGTTCCGCGCGGGGCTCATTTCGGGCCTTTTCTCGGACTATCCACACGTCGGACTTTGACCGGCAAGCAATCCTGTCAATCTATTGATGTCTATCAAGTGGGAGTATCTAGGGTGTATCACTACTAGCTCTAAGTTCAATAATGATAGAAACAAGCAAAAGCTCAAGGCAACCGCTCCTGGCTTCCCCACTCCTCGGCAATCCGATTCAGTGTGTCGATCTCACTGCTTGTGAACGGAATCCCCTCTTCTCTTCTATTTTTCTCCACCTCATCCTCGATTTCCCCAGATGTATATATCCTCTGGACCCCGGCTGCCTTCTCGCTATTCCTGACGCGGTCAAACAATTTATCCATTCGTAGTTTGTACTCCTCCATTCCCTCACTACCATTGTCACCACCATCTAGAAACACATCTGGTCTAAAAACCATGAACCAATGCCCTACACCCTGGGGTTGATCTGCCACTTTATACTGATCGTTAACATCGCCGGCAAAACTGGCGCCTGTCAATAGGCCCCCAAAGATGTCCATCATCATGGCCAACCCGCTGCCCTTAGGGCCTCCGATAGGTAGCACGACGGCACCATCTGCCAGGGCGGCGTTGGGATCAGTGGTTGGCGAGCCCGTGGCGTCCAAGGCCCAGCCTTCTGGAATGGACTCGCCGTGGCGAGCTGCTTTTCTTATTTTGCCCTTTCCAGTGCATTAGTAACGGTCATAATAACCTCGTAGTAATACGGCAAAAATATCATTATAAAGCAACGAAAGAAAGAAGAGAAACATACCCTTGCAACAACAGCAGGCGACATATCCAAAACCCATCCCCTCCCACCTTTCGCTCGTTCCTTACTGCCAGGCGGCAAGCCCACAGCAAAGGGACTCGTGCCCAGTAAAGCCTCCTTACTACCCCAAGCTGGCATTGACCTCGACGCATTCGTAAAAGCCATACATCCCATTCCGCGCTCGAACGCCTGCAGCAAATACGTAGCCGCCATACCATAATGACCGGAATTTTTCACTCCGACAATCCCTACCCCATACGTTTCTGCCACGCCACAAGCATACTCAACTGCGGCATGCGCAGCTAGAAAACCGAAAGTGTTTTGAGCATCGAGTAGCGCGCACACGGGGGTTTTCGCGTTGAACTTGAAAGACGGGTTTGGATTGAGAGCACCGGTTTTGATGCGTACGAGATAGCCTGGTAGCCGGTTTAATCCATGCGTGTCAACTCCCCGCAGGTCAGCGAGGGTGAGAGCGGAGGAGATGACAGCAGCATGTTCGGCGGAGAGAGATGCGGATTGCAGTAGGGAGGTGGCGAAGGAAGTTGTTTTAGAAGGTGGGATAAAAGTCTTGTTGGTCATTTTCCCGTTTTGTATCATGACTGGTTGCTGAATGTTCGCTTGATGCCTGATTGTATGTTGTAAGCAATGGTACGGGGTATATCTGGTGGTTATGCAGATTGGTTGAAAAGATCAATGATGCATAAGGGGTCCGCAGCAGTGCTGACAGAATTTCTTGTTGGACTGTACCCAGAGGTTTATATATGTCATCAATTAAGTGCACTGTATGGAGCTCCATAGATCATTTCATCACTGTCGGTGCACCAATCACCAATCCCTGCCGCCGGTGGATCGTTCGGTATATTGAGCTCCGTAACCAGAATGACTTTATCTGCCAAGACCGCCTGCAAAAAATGATGCTTGAGGTTGTATTAACCCTACTGTATAGTATGCCTTTGGAGCATATGTGTAGCACTTATTCCATACAAAAAGGCCGATGGCGAGTTGCCAGGCCGATGCCCGGTGGATATCCGATTTCTTCTATACTTTGCCCCAGCACAACAAGGCTGACCCACAGAGTCCGAAAACACTTGTTTCTATTTTCTTTTCCCGGCCTACACCTGCCTAATCTGCACAAGCAGATACGTCTCCATCATTGCTAAACCGATTCGCAGGTGACCCTGTCATTTCTGGCGCAGCTCCCGGCGAGTTTCCGGCGGGGTGGACAATGGCGGGCGATCACGCTCCGTTGTCTCTAACTTTACTCTGATAGGGCTAGGTTGGATCAATAAGAAAACTTAAAGGTTTCTGATATTGAATTATATACTTTCAGTCAATTAGTTACTATATACTTGAAACGGCGTCGATAGTATACACCAAGTAGCAAAACAGATGGCCTTGGTAGTTGTCGAATCTAGGTAATAAATCGGAACATTACATTCCGGTCTGCTTCCTCACTAACATCAATTACTATATCCTTATCGGGTTTGCCATATTTCTCGTCTCTCTTCCGATTAGCCCTCGCAAGAAGTAAATGATTTACCAGAGAGATGAACGCTGTTGCGACACTCATCGCAAAGCAAACCCAGTGGCCCTGTCTGAATTGAGGACCTTGAGTGGATGGGAAGAAGAAGCTGCCGGCAATAGATCCCAGATTGCCGATAGAAGTATAGATACCCATTCCGATGGCGCGTTTAGTTTCATTACCGAAATTGTTGGCTGTCCAGGCGTGGGTAGGAGGATAGGTGGAGTAGACGCAGGCGACGGCAACGCACTTAACACGTAATCAGTCACGAGTCTTTTTTATAGTTACTGAAAAGAGTTGATATACCATCATTCCATATTTCGCGTGCAGTTTGTCCTCGCCTAGGGTCGCTAGACAGACATACGCAACCGCAGCGACAACCGAAAGTGTTACGATGTGCCAACCACGGTCACGGAAACGGTCGGACGTGTAGGATGTGATGTACATGAGAGCAAAAGCGCATGCGTAGGGAGGGACTATATGACGAGGTCAGAATGGCGCAGTTCATCAAGATAAACTCGACTCACCGGTCATGAGGTTAGCGCTGGCAGAAGTTTTGTATCCAAGATCTATTTAAGTCAGCGTGGCTGGGCGGAGAAGAATATAATGGAATACGTACTCTGAACAAGGGTAGGCAAAAAGCCCGAAATCGACGAAAGTAGCGCCGCAGTTGGGATGTAAATAGCCGCTATGTTCGTTAGCTTCATGGCCAGGTTATTTCCCGTCACACCCAGAGTGGGTTAATTACCCTGCATATATACCTTCCAATCTGTCAACGTCCAAATGACGTGCTTCTTCTGAATCTTGCCTGCACGATCATACGCATCGCGCCGGTACCGTGCGATAGCAACCTCACTCTGTTCCTCTGTAAAGCGCGAGTTTTTCAAAGGTCTGTCAGGCAACCAGTACAAACAGAATGCACCGAGCAAGAAGCCCGGAATGCCCTCGATAATGAACAAGAGCTGCCAATTTTGCACGTGAGAGTTAATGTGTCCAACACCGTACGAGATGAGACCGCCGAATGCACTTTATCATGTCAGATCGCAAGTATTGACAGAAACAAAAGACGAAACCTACCCAGCCACGGCGGTGGGCCCTAGAAACCAAAACACTCGCATCCCCAGCTCATCGCGTCGATACCACAAACTCAAATAATAAACGATACCAGTTCCAAAAAGCCCCTCAAAAACACCCAGCATAATCCGACAAACAAGAAGACCAGCTAGATTGAATGTGGCCGTCTGCAATACGCACACGACACACCATGAACAGACGGAAAATGCGATCCACTAGTACCAAGAAAATCTTTTAGCAAGCGGATTGCGGAATGTGACATGAAGATATACCTTGGACGGAGGAAAAACACGATAACCCAAACAACCAGGAACTTGAAAGAGCACTAAGCCGACATAGAAAATCATAACCACTGTTTGCCATTGGGTCGAATTAAGGCTTTCGGTACCGGGGCCGACACCATTTTTGGCGGTATCGTGGCCTTCCGAGATGCCCAAAAGCTTCGCATTCTGGACTGCTGTTAGAAGTACGTTCAATCCGGCTAGTAAGGAAATAAGTAGAAAAAGGTCTGACATACGGCAATGTTCCCCCGGTCGATATATTCGAAAAAGTATAGAGCTGAAATAGTTGGCAATATTATACAGTCGAGCTTCCGCATGTAGGCGCGCTCACGAGCGCGTGATTCAGGGCTGTCATTCAGCACCGCCAGTGCTTGCTGCTGGATGTTCTCTGGCGCCAGCTTGGCGTTGTTGTTATCGCCTGCATGGTCGTCATTGTTGCTGGAGGATGATGTGTCAGTTGTTGGCGATGTCTTTTCCATGGTGGGCGACATTGCTAGAAAATTATAGTACAACGAAAAAAGAACGACAGAAGATAGGGAATAACACGCTATGCAAGTATGTACGAGAGAAACAGTATGTAATGTTATAAGAGACAATAAAAGACAATTAGAACGACAGGTAAGTAGAGGCAAGGATCCACGACATCGCAGGCCGTGGAAAGGAGCAGTTCGCAGTGCTCATGCAGCCTGATGGTTGTTATTATTGTATAGGAGAGAGCAATAAAAGATAGAGTTGAGATGCTGAAGAATATGCAGGCTAGGCCGGACGCAGCAAGGATTTTCGGCACCAATGATATGCGCGCATTCGACTGTGCTTGGTCTTTCTGGCCCCACTACCCCAGGTTTTGGGAGTGTGAGGAGAGCCAGACTGCGGACAAGGGCAATACTAGGGTTTACCCCGGATTCTGCTGGCCTTTTCTGGTCTGTCTGGAGAAAAACGAGGGCAAAATGGGAGGACGCTCAGAGCTTTCGGCTAGCGATAGGGTAGTCGGTAGCCGCTGATTGGCCGGGTGTTCGAAGTTTTGCGAACTTTAACGGTAACCGGGCTGCTGATTGGCTGATAACGCCTATTCCGGCTGAGTCATGCACTGGCAAGCGTCCTCGGAAGATGGCCGCGGCTTGACTCGCTCCGGAGTTCTTCCTGGCTATACTAATACTATTTCTACTATTACTTCTACTATTCAGCGATTATCAAACGTTCTGATTGCTCTACAGGAATCGCTATGTGGCTAATCTCTCCTAGTGGTGTCCACTCGCCGGGGCAGCGGCTTCACGAACCTGAGCGCTGTAGACGTGCACCGTCCTTGCCGAATTTGGCATTAAAAAGTCCTCCACTGGATGGATCGCATGCATGATGTTCCAGAGTAAACTTCCCGGACACGTTGTTGTCCAATGCGTATATTTGTACGCTGCCACACACTCGATCCACATGACACTTTGACACAGCCTGTGTTGTGCCGGAACTTAACCGAGCGTAGATACTACTTATAGACGTTTTGACTCGGTCTGTGAACTTTTTCTCTCGTTTATTGTCGACTACAAGACTACAATTATTAGACCAGCTTCTTTCCTCTTGCTTCCAGCATCACAGCGTTTGCAGTAATCAGTTTTGATATTTCTATAAGAGTTTTTTGCTTTTTGCTCCTCACAATGGCTTCCGCCCACAACCATCCCAGCAATCCCCCAGCAAGCCGCAACAATCCCGACGTAATGCCGATACTTCCACCCGGATCCTGGGACTCACATGTGCATGTTATCGACGAGGTAAGAGACCCCATGTTGTCCCATGAGCAATCAAACTGAATATCAATAGGAGCGATACGCATTCCACCCAGACCATCTCTTCCGGCCCAAGAAAGCCAGCATCGATGACTTGCTGCGTTTTGAAAAGACAATAGGAATCTCCCACGTCTGTGTGGTTCAGGTGTCTGTTTATAAAACAGACAACAGGCTGCTCATCGACACCCTCAACGAACTCCGTGGCCGTGGTCGCGGCGTCGTTGTGATCGATCCGGATACCATCACTAGTGCCGAGCTAGATGCATTGCACACCGCTGGTGTCCGTGGAGTCAGGCTCAATTTAAAGACGGGCGGCCAGACGCCAAATCGAGACAATCTCTGTAACCTCTTACAGAAGTATGCTCGCCTCCTACGACCCCGCAATTGGGCCCTGCAGCTCTATCTGAGTCTCCCTCAATTCAAGCTCATTGCCGACGAGATCCCCAAGTTGAGTACCTCCGAAGGCACCATACCAGTCGTCATCGACCACCTTGGCCATCCAGACCAGGATCGCCCTATTGTCGAGCAGGAAGGATATCGTGAATTGATGGACTCCTTGCGTCGTCGCGAGATCTACATCAAGCTCAGTGCCACATATCGATTCCCCAGATTGCCTGATTTGAACACTTATGTCAAAGAGGTCATCCACTCTGCTCCAACCCAAATAGTCTGGGCCAGTGACTGGCCACATACTGGCTCTGTCGAGTATAACCCAGGTGGCGACCGAACGATTCACCAAAATTACAGACAAGTAGACGATGCTGGCTTCGTTAAGCAGTGTTTAGGGTGGTGCAATGGCAACCAGGACTTGGTCCGCCAGATCTGGGTGGAAAACCCAAGGCGACTCTGGCAGTACGAGGAACCGATCCAGCAAAGATTGAGACTTTAGGCGGCCGGTCTCTCAGTTCACGGAGACCTCATGATACCTAATATAGCTGAAATTTTTGGCGCAAAAGATGATTTCCAAGTTGGAGTTTACTCGGTGAATGAACTGAAGGTTGCCAGGTATGGCTGATGCGACGACAGCATGCCATAATCTCCCGCAGAAATTCCATCAACGGAAATGAAAGGGAAGGTTGGAATCGAGGGGTCCACAGCAGGGGTATTGCTAATATAATTCGGCATCAGTACTTGCTGGCTGGATGCAGTCATACTCGGAGCCAAGTTGCGCCGGATAATATCGATACTCCGCTGGATGCCCGGACATGACACTTTAGCACACTCTAACGCCTCGAGGAAAAGCTCTATACGCTCACGGTCTCCCGAAAACCCGTCCTTCAAGTCTTCCATGACGATTGTGGCGGCCGTATAGATACAGTACGACATCAAATAAGGGATCCGGTTAAACCCGAAAGTATTGCCATATCCCACAATAATGGACTCAACAGCCTGAGAAGCCTGTCGGCAATTACTCCGGCAGTCAGGTACGCTCCGAAATGGGCGATGCAGAAGTATCACGCTTGTGTAATATAGCATGCTAGGAGACTAGTTAGCGAGATACCATATCTTCTTCTCGTGTTATTCAGTAGGAATAACGGTATCGCCGAACAAAAGAAAAGAAAATGAAACGTACTTGAGCGAAATAATGTGAGGCGGAGGCAAAACAGCCGGTAGACTGCTAGTTTCAATTCGAAGATGGGCCGGAAGAGTTGCCCACCAAAAATCCAGCTTATGGCGCATATTCCGCACAAATGTGCCGACACTCTCAAGCCTCTTTCCCGAATAAAGACCCAAGATTATGTCATTTATGATCACGCAAAGTCTACATTGACTAATGAAACAAGAGACCGTGTAACATGGCGTTTCGGGGTATGTCTTGGAACCGTCGCCGTCGGCACCATAGTAAGGCTGCCATGTTTCATGTTCTGCAAAATCATCAACTACTCATTATTAGCAGTTGAAACGGTACAAAAATTAATGAATAAACAGGGGCCGTACGCAGCGTCAGATCGACCATAGGCGGCTCTCGCAGTGCAGGCATCCGTCCTAGATACAAGCTTACTGCCCTAACTTAGTTAGCAACGAAATGAAGAACACGGAATGGATATAGCATACTTGTCCCAGCAAAAGCATGACCATGCCAATCGTTTGCGTATCTCTCGGTCTTCCGCACTGCAAGTCGTCGGATCGCTTTTATTAAATAGACTCAAGTCGATGGCCATTCTGAATGCTATGCCGCTGTATAGCCATCCTTGGGATACAGCGCCTTGGCCAACTTGTCGAGCACTTAGTTGCAGCAATGCTTGAACCGTAGGAATCGAAATGTTGTCTTGGATATCCTCGCCCATGAGAAGATGCACCCGCATTAATAGCTGTGATGCCAATTCTTTCTTCGTGAAGCGAGTAGAATGACAGCACATCACGCTCAATAAGAGTTTAGAAAAGTATTTTCCACCAGAGCCCATGTCACCTGCTATCGTTAATATCGTTCTCCAGAAATCACAGTCAAGTTTTCCTACGCATGAAAGCGGGCCGGTATACAAACATGAATACCGGATGGATCCAAGCCCAGTGTGTATGAAGTAGCTGGTCGACGAATTCCCTCGGAATATCAACTCGCAAAGCGGCGTTTCCTAGAGCGATCTCTTCCAAATTTCTGGAATGTAGAGCACTTGTGACTAAATTTGTTCGCGCTTCACATTTCTCGTACTCCGATGAGTGGTCGGCATCTGCTTCGGAGAAGGGTTGTTCCAAAGCTGATGTTGAACCATAATAAATAAACTACACCAGTCAGGACGTCTGATCTACCTCGGTCAATCATCATACACACCCGGCCGTTTGCATCTACATTCAAGTCTGGCAGCTCCGGAGCTGGACCGTGCACCTCGATAGAATTCGCAGTTGATTCTGGGCTAACTGGCGATGGAGCTAGCTTAGTGGCAGGTGTTTCTGCACTGTCTATTGCAGAACGCGAATCGGTCACCATCAATTCCAGCTCCTGCAGGCGTTTGGCCATCCAAGTGATCTGTGACATTGGTGGGGCCTTGTCGTAGCAGCATTCATCGTGATAAGCTTGGCATATTAAGCAGGATGGCTGGCCGCCATCACAACGGGTCTATTTGGTAGGATCAGTATATTTCGATGTCTTTGCTAAGATCACATCTACATGCTCACCTTTCGCCTCCGACAATTAGCACAGGTCAAAATATAGCCGGAACGACGATGTCTCTTTCGCGCGGTCGCTGTTGAAGAAACAGAGCCTAGACGGTCTCGTGGACCGGGACCGGGACGCGACGCCATATCTGTCGGGCACACCGGTACAGACAGACCAGGTGAAGTCAAGAGACGAAGCAGGTTGGATTAAGATGTCTCTCTGAGTCGGAGGGTCGAAGCGGTGACTCGGTGACCCGGCACCGGGGAGTAGTGGGCATCCAGTATCCACAGAGCCACAACGGGTATCGGGCTGCTACCCCACCTGGATGAAAACATTGACAATTGACTGGTGATTGCACGAGCCGATCGTCACAAGAAACTCTATGGTTGCCAACTCAGAGTGGAAAGGGAGCGACGCGGCCAGGAGGGGGCCGAAATCGCCGGCTGGCTGCTACATTGCTTCTGGTGGTGATCCGCAGGCAGCCCACAACCCAAAAATACGTACCCCAGAATAAGCAGTTGGCCGGTTCTGTAGGCGTGCGGTGATTGGTAACGGCGGTCTGAAATTTCCGACTGACACGCATCGATGGGGAGACACAATCAGAGTGAGGAGCGAAGAGTAAAGAATTAAGCGAGTGAGTGAGTGAGTGAGTGGACGAAGTCAAGTGAAGTAAAGATAGCCAAGAGAAGCTCCTTCCTCCAGACACCTGGTAGCCGGGTTGTGGCCTTGCAGCCTTACAGCCTTGACGCCCTACAAGTTAAGCAGGCAGGACCGACAGTCCGGCCAACCAGACACGGCTACTGCCCCGCTGGTCGTGTCGCTCAATCGCATCGGTCAAGCTCTGATGGACATGTTGCGAAAGTTGTCAAACTACTATATTTTTATTATTAAGTTGTTAATTATCCGGTAGTGAGTGTAGTCTACGCTACTGTTGTTAATTGCAATTGCAGCCTGCCCAACTGGTATACAAAAAACGAAGGGGTAGGCTGGGGTTTCATTGCAGGGGTGGAGACGGACGCATCCCCTTCTCCACATGCGACACCATTAGAAGCGACGACATGCCGATCGTATGGTTTTCATTACAAGTTCAGCCCAGCCCGCGCTTACTTAGACCGTGCCAATACAGTGCCAATATTGCATGTATTAATTGCCGACCACGGCACCTGCGTCCCGGTACGGCATTTAACGCGAAATCCTTTGTCAAAAATGCCCATGCCCCTTTTACTTTCGTATCTAGGGTAATCCAAGTCTTTCCCAACACACGAGCAGTAGAAGTATACGAGAAAAGCAGAATTCACTGAATGAGTTGGAATGCTGTAGCCCGCAGTACCTTGAGCGGGGAGAAGACCGGGGTGAAGAAGCTACCCCGCGTGGGCTCTTTGTTTACCACCTCCATCAACGTTAAATGTACCCACGCCACAGTACAGCCCTGGAAATCATTAAAGCTGCACAATGGCGTCCTCTAGGCCGTATGACGGAAAATTCGGTATTGTCACTGGTGGCTCTCGAGGTATGCTCTTCCCTACTATTCCTTATATCCATATGTAGCTCTGCAGCTCTGCCCTCTGTACAGCAATCGATGCTGACGAACAAACCAGGAATCGGCGCAGCAGTCGCCAGGCGTCTCGCGGCCAAGGGCTGCAACCTGCTACTTGTCTACACCTCGGACTCGTCTAAGCCCCTCACTGAGCAAATCTCTGCCGAACTTTCGACAGCTGATAATATACACGTGTCGCACGTCCAAGCCGACCTGAATAGTCCTGCCACCGCGACGCCAAGGATTATTGAGGCTGCCAAAGCTTTTTACAAGTCGTACCGGTCGAACAGTACCAAGGAGTTGCAAGTAGATATTCTAATCAATAATGCCGGGGTCGGGTCGAATCAGCTCTTGAACGACCCCGACAAGGGCCCGATTGACGAGAAGGAGTACACACGTGTGTACAATGTGAATGTGCTCGCCCCGCTGCTGCTGACCCAAGCCGTGGCGCCGTACCTACCGACAGACCGGTCTGGAAGGATTGTGAACGTGTCGAGTGTTTCATCCTCGATCGGGTATCAGGGCCAGTCAGTTTATGCGGGTACGAAAGCGGCCATTGAGGCCATGACGCGGTGCTGGAGCCGGGAGCTGTATGCAAAAGCGACGGTCAATGCAGTTAACCCGGGCCCTGCATGGGGTGATATGTACGCGCAGGCCGGCGAGAAGTTCTGGAAAGTCAATCAGCCGTACGTCGATGCCGCTCCACTCGCCGCTTATAATGGCGAGGAGGATGTACTTAAAGCAGCCGGGGATGACGCGGCGAGGTTTGATAAGACTGTTCGAGAAGGAATGGGAAGTCGCAGGCCTGGTTTCACGAGTGAGATAGCGGGGACGATTGACATGCTGTGTACAGAGGAGAGCGGCTGGACTACCGGTAGTGTGGTCTGCGCGAATGGAGGAATGAAGATGTCCATTGCTTAAACTATGTGCTAGAATAAGAGATTAGGTCATAACAATATACAGCTAACATTGATGTAGGTATATATCATCATAGACGTCAATATCGACTCTGGCTCTAAGCCAGATTCCTGCCAGCCCACCAGATCCCCATAATACAACTCCAGTTGCCGCTCCACCAGCACGCAGACCGAACGTAACTGAGAGATTTGTCCTCGATGTAATAATATGCCAATCCGTACGCGATGCGGCTCAGAGAATACCAGACGCCGATCAGGTTGATTGTTGCAGTATCCACTTTTGCGATATTGGCGAACAGAACTGCGAGTTTCAGTAAATATAGATGAAGGGTCAAGTGAAACAAGGATTGATGCTTACTAGCAGCTACAAAAAACGTATAGCCCTCAACGGCATTCTCATGGGCCGACTGTAATCGCTGAATGCGCTCGAACTGGCGACGGGTGATTTTGCCCTCGCTGACGGCGCGCTCGCCGTACTTGGCAAAAGCGAGGCGAGGGTTTCGGTTGTCGTCGATGCCAGCCTGCTGCTTTACGACGCGCGTCGACAGTATGCCGTATGCGTAGAGCCAGTTTGCGATGAGGAAGATAGAGGTGTTGTTGATGCCTGGGATGCCGAGGCCGATGTTGGATAAGAGAGAGGTCCTAGAGTCGACGATCAGCGATCAACAATCAGCACAGGGCCAGTTCTGGTGAAGTAATCGAGGACGAACATTTTGAGTATATATAATGTGTATATGTATGGATGTATGTAAGTATGCGAAAGAACGAGGGCGCTGGTTGATTATGTAGCTGCAAAAAACAGGCTGATTGGGCGACGACTGCCGCTCCGCCCCGGCCCGGCCGCCCCGGGCTTCCACTGTTCCTCGGTGTATTTTTGTCCCATTTTTAACCACTATACTGCATTTAAACTGTGTGGGTCTTGGCATGCTTAAACCTGGCGATTAATTATTTGTTATTTTTCCATAAATAACGTTATTGCAGTTCTGAAATTCTTTAGCGTTGCAACTACATCACAAAGACCCTCTCTCTCAGCACCGCCTCCGCACTGCTGTGGACATACCGCCCGGCAACAAGCCTCCCCCAGCCAGGCATATCCTCACACCCCGCAAGAGCTACATCGCTGAAACGTGCCTCCTCAGGAACCCCCTCTGCCTTGAGGTTTCCGTCAGCGCGCCCAGTTCTGTGTGGATCTGAAAGGTCCTCCTCCATGTCGATAACCTCTTTCATGAATTTTGCCAACAATGCACCTTCCCACATTCCCTCCTGGCAATAACTCTCGCCCAGCAGACTGAGAGCGCGGCGCCGGAGACCGGAATCACGACATTTTAGAGTGATTAGGAAAAGAGAAGGCAGAATCCCAGATTCGAGTGTAAAGGTTATCTTGCTCGTTCCATTACTGCTAGGACCGGTCTTTAAAACAGACTCGGCCAAGCGAATGATATGCCTAAACATGGGTATGAAGCGGTCGCACTCGGACTCGCTGGTGTCAAGGTAAGTCTGCATTATGAAGAATAGATAGAAATGCTGGATTTCTAGCAAGCCTAAGGCCTGCGACAAGGTCGTTTCTGACGCCGACGATAACGCTGCAGCTTGGAAGGAGCGGAATGCAGAGAGCCACCGTGTCAGATTGTTCTGCAGACGCTTTACTTCGACTAGAGATGAGGGGTCTCCTCCGGGGTGAACAAAGCTGCGAGAAATAATGTGCTGGGTGACATATTCTTTTACCCAATCTCTTTCCTCGTCAGGTTCCAGCAGAGACAGAGTGGAACAGGAGGAAGCGCGGTGAAGAAGATCTGCACGGAAACGAAAGACTGCACTGGCCAGCTTATCAAGGTGGTTTCTTGCCTGATCTATACTTTCAAATACACTAGGTACTTCATCAATGCACCCGACTTCTGACTCCAAGTCTAGTAGAGGCGCGGTCTTATCAAACATGGTCGCTTCGTAGTCCAGTCGTGCGAACACGCTTATTAGACACTGGCGAATGGTTGATTTGTCTTTGCCAACGTTCACATTAACGGAGAATTTCTTTTCTCCCTCCACACAGCGTGTGATAGAGGCGATATTGTGGCTCTCTACCAAGACTCTCAACCCCGTCCTCAAATGCTGCAAGGATGCAATTCGATTTCCCTGCAACATCTCCAGACACATGAATAATAAACAGGCTACCAACGCCACGTTTACCGAAGAGTGGTCGTACTCACTGTTCTGTTTATCTAGCTTCTGTCGTAAATGCCTCAGGGCTTTCACATACTGTGCTAATGCAAAGGTATGCTGGTGGTCCGGCTGCCACTGGTGCGAATTTAACGCGCGTAAGGACGGCGACCGTCCTCCAGCTGAACGATGCATTGCACCAACAGCAACAGCGGCATGTAGTATCGCTGGTTCATGATGAGTGAGTTGCAGGATGAAGCTATCCCATAGTGACGAGCGAAAGTACCCGGGGATTTGCCGTGTTGTATATGTGCAATAATATGAAAAAAACTGCAACTCCATTGATGACAAACAAGAACACCCAACTCTAGGGGTGAAGTTTGACAAACCCGTTTGACGTGGGATGAGAAGTCGATTCTGCTTGTTCTTTCGTGCTGCATGGATGACGACAGTGGGTAGCAGCTCGTAACCATCACAGATGCGCCCTGTAGAGACACATTTTTGACAATTTGGCCTGCCTTCATCGCATTTGATCCGACGGGCTCTATATCCGTTAACTACTATTTCTCCGCATGTTTGACACACACAGCTTCGTACCGACATGTTCGACATCCAGTCTTGGTTCGCACTTTGCGCGTATGTTTCTGGCCTTGGTCTGCCGGCATTTTCCAATATCTCCTTCTTTGTGAATCCTCGTGTCTGCGACGTCTTTTACGAATACAGTCGTGAGGTCATGTCATGATAAGTTGTTGGGGCTAAATCAGAAAGCACTCCTGATTGGTCTGTTCGCTAATGGATGTATTTGGGCCAATCAAATTACCTACAACATCTATCTATACAACATCCAAGGTATGGACAGGATTGTCTTGTTAAATTAACTTCGATGATGGCTATGCTCGGTAGTGCACCAATGACTACTATCTAGCATATTGTGGTCTTGTCTATATAATGAGCTGGTGAGCCAGACAAACATGCCATTCCCTACTTCATCACTTATTCCAAGTTCAAACCAACCTTTCTACTTATGTAGAATATTGCTGCTATTCAAGAAATATTCTATTCTTTTTTGTTAAAAAAAGGGCTGAAAGAAAAGAATTGTCACCATGTCTAGACCCTTTCAAACAATCAACATCATATACTCTACCAAATCCCTCAACCTTGTCGATTTCTACACCCTCGAGCCACTTTACAAAGTCAAAGTAGACCGTCATGTACCCCAGATAGAATCGCGACGAGTTCAAGCTGGCCCTGATTCGTACAACGATGAAGCCCTCCTAGACGACCATCGGCCCTGGAAAGACAACGTCTGCACCGCAACTTTCAAACTGACATCCCTAAACGTGTGTCTATCAATCCACGAGCATACGGACATTGAATTCAAGCGCGATCACATACTTTCCTCTCAGTACACTTTCTCTTCCCCGTTTCTCAACTCGACAACTCTCATGTGGAAAGCAGACGGTGTTTTCTCCGGGAATTTTCTTCTAACGGATGATACGAAGGGGACAGTCCTAGCACGGTTCCGAAACCGACTTTTCAGCAATACAGAAGTGGGCACGTTGGAAATTGTGGATGAGATTGCGCCGGACCTGAAGGATGAGGTGGTGATTTCGGGATTGGCGATGTTGGTGATGCTGCAAAGTCTGAATTTGAGCGTGATGATTATGGTTTGACGTCGTTGTCTTTTTAATTACATACTCACATGAGAAGACGATGATAAACCTTCAAGTCTTGTTAAAATATGAATGCAACTTCAACTCCATGGGTATCCAGCTATATACAATATACAATATACGCGTAATGCGAATGCAGTAAAAAAAACAATCATGCTGTGTAGGGCTTCAAGTCCCTTTCTTCGAATTCTGCCATTGACTGACGCCGATAATTGGCCCTCAGATGCAGAGTGGTAAGGACCGTCATCATGCCTCCAACTGAGCACAGCGCAATGAGTACATAAAGCTGTGCATGCGAGAGCCCAGAAGTAGTCACCAACGATGCCCTCAAGTCGAGAATATCCGTGTGCCCAAGTTCAACACCTTTGCGATCCAAGGCCACAAGACGGAATTTCGTGTCTTGATCTAACAATGGAGTCGCGATCGTGGTCTCAAAGCCGGTCTTTTCGAACCGTGCAATTCCGTGGAAAATTTCCTCTCGCATTCCCTCCCCGCTTTGATCGTTATTTTTGATGATGCCGCTGGAGTGCAGTTGAGCCTGCAGCTGCCACTGCGCCACTTCGGTGGCGCCGTTCCAGTTTACAAAGATGCTGCGGCCAACTACTCGGGCCGCAGGTTTCGTCAACGGGGTGCCGACCCAGGAGCCCTTGAAAACACGCGATGGGCCGCCTCTCCTTTCCCTGAAAAACCGCGACTCCCCAAAGCGAACATCGCAGAGGAGTTTCCCTTCAGTGCTGAATTCGCTGTATCCTGCACGGCCTCCCCATCCAACAAATGCATTACCGGTATCCTCTAATAGTTGCATATTCCCTTCGAAACAGGTCTCTGTTCCTTTGGGGTTGGTGTATATATGCTGCTTAGTAGCTAGTCCTCGGGAGACGTCTACACTTATCAACATTCCGCGATTCTGTGTCGGTGGGCTGCCTGGATAGTGCTCTCCATCACTCTCCAATACGGTCAGAGTGTCGTTCCCATACCAGCGCGCTTCATGAGGCCAATGGAATTGGACCATAGGTCGCTCGGCGGGATCCTTGAAGCTATTGGCTTTCCCGCCCATGTTCCATAATACGTTTCCAGTTTCCTTTTCAATGCAGCTAACCGCTTGCGTATGGCCCGCGGAAATAATATAGTTGCCAAGTGTATCTTGGTCGACGTTGTTAATGTGGAAATAATCGAAGGGATGGTGCAGAGTCCCTTCACTTGCTTCGAGTCTTTTATAGGTATGTGCAATGGGTACATGTTCCGAGGCTCGCCACTCAAAGACGAGGTTCCCGCTGGCAATATTAATTTCCTGGAACACGCCGTCAAAAATCCAGCCATTTTTTGGGCCACCGACCGAGGACAAATCAGCGGGGCGTTTGTCGTGTGCTGTAATAAGGGCAGTACCACGGGATGTTATTATGAAATCATGCGGGTGTCCGTAGATGTCGCCGACGGGTGAGACAACGTAGCGTTCATTGTAGCTCGAATCCAACTGTTCAAGTCAGCATCCATATGCATGCAAGTGGCAAGTACTGGTAGGGGGCCGTCTAACCATGTAATAATATCCTCGGCCAAAAGGCTTCCCAGACCAATATGTCAAATAGTCTTGTCCCCGGTATTTTTGTACACGAAAGTTTTGTATCGGTGCTGAGCTTCGGGCCGTCCAGACCAGCTCCCCCTGATTATCCAGGATCATGGGTGTATGGCCATCGGGTGTGAGAAAGACATAGCCCGACTCACACCTCGCATCCGATCGCACCGACTCGAAAATAGGCGACTCCATGTCCGACGAAACGTATCGATGGGTTGGGCGGGAATCATATCCCAGGCCCGGCCACGAGAGACAGGTTCGATGGTGCCATAGGGCTTTCAGGTGCGGCGAGTCGAATTGGTGATAAAAACCGAAGACTGTGAATAGAGTCCATGTGGCGCATACACCCACCACTGCTCTCAGCACGTTCCTTCGCCACGTCTTCGAGGTACTGCAGCCGCACGTAGACTGTGGCTGCTGTGCGGCCTCAGAGGCAGATGTCGACGTCCACGGAGAGTCTGATTCCGTCCCCATGGTGATGCGGATGTCAGTATGTGCAGTTAGCGACACCCATTTGACGACACTCATCTGGTCGTTGAGTAGAGAGGATGGTAGAGAGCAAGAAGAGAGACATGGCGGGGAGTTGTACTGCTTAAAGAGAGCCCTTGATTTACGCTGCATGCGCCAATCAGCGCCGGTTGCAGCTATCTCCCCGCTCGACGCCTCATGCACCACGCGGCGCCAAGAAAAGTCGTCGTCATCATACCTTTACATTATTTCTATATTATTCCATTATTATTCCTACTATTATTGCATTTTAGGTGTTATATTGTAATATATATGATATGGAATATGTGATACTTTGTACATTAATATGCTATACATAAGCATTGTATTTATCATCTATGCGTAGTTTTTTGGGGTAATTATGAGTCCAAAGAGTGGAAGATGGCGATTGTCCACTATCCGCCCTTAACTCCGGGCTCGGACTTTCTTTTACTGGAAAGTTGACCATCCGGAAGAAGCCGTCACGTAGATGTTTGTCTTGGCAGGACTCGTAATGTCTTGGCGCTCATCGCTTCGACTTATGCCTAAGGCGAAAACTAAAATAGTAGGTTAAGTTGCAATATTTAACTGTTGACTTGGTGTAGCACTGTGCCATCACTGCTGGGACGATGGATATACAATCGTGATATATGGCATCAAACGCGTTGAAGGAAATACCCACCCCATCTACTGGCGCCATGCTCGATGGCCACAAAATTATCCCCGAAGATCATCTCTAGAGGAATTCCAAGCTTGTTGGTCATGTTATCAATAGGGCCAGTATGTGCATCGTCGAAAAGATATATTTGCCATGTCCACTTCCAACACTGAATTCCATCACACATCCAGTTGATTTTAAACGTGTTTCAAGCAATAATATATCAAAATAACATTAGAAATGCGAATTGAGCTATCCTACAGTTCTGCCTTCGAGGAATATATAATAATATTATAAATGCCGCCCGGAACAGACTCGGCAGCGGCACCCCGAACTCCGAACTTGCCCGCCCGGAGCTCAAACTGGTCCATCCCAACTCCGAGGCCCTCTTATCTTCAACCCTCATGCTGGCTCGATGTTTGTTTGCCATGTAACACGAAACCATTTACACTGCAGGCGTGGTCGAACTAAGTAGTAACTCCAGGATGTCGTCCAAGCGGCGCAATGGCCAACTCTCGTCGTGCGAGCCTTGTCGCAAAGCCAAACTGCGCTGTGACCACGCAACTCCGATATGCGGTAGATGTATACAAAGGCAGCAGGCCGATATGTGCATCTACCACCCGGCTCCCTTGACAAGACCAAAGCTGCTGGAAAATTCCTCCCCGCTGCCTAAAAAGAGGAAACGCGATACTTCAATCGTCACCGAAAAGGGCATCACATCCACAAACCTCTTACTCAAGTACCGAATACCGCCCCCAACCCCCGCGGACAGCATTGAAGAAGATGAATCCCTAAACGAGCGACTGCAACCAAAAATAAGAGAGATAAAAGAGTTTCCAACAGGATTCCTGGGTCCGTCCAGCTACTGGGCCACATTTGATGAACCCGATGAAAGCCGTCTATTATGTGTTACCCGTGCTTCTACCGATCCCTCTGATACTTCTCCCGAAACGATCATGGATAGCACTTTAGTTGACTCGGAGCAAATTGAAGGTGGCGCTAGGATACTGTCTTTGTTAGACGATTTACCTTTATATTTGCATTTGATCTTCGTTCGTTATGAGCATTGTGAGCCATGGGTGTTTGGACGTAAACTTGCACTGAAGTTGTTTACCGGCTTGAATGAACTACGAGCCCAGTGGCAGCAAGGTTCGAAGAACAAGAACTCTCAGACCAAATTACTAGCATGGTCTAGAAAAATATTTGACAACAGTACTACACCTATCAAAGTTGATCGATATACAACGGTATCGGAATACTTTTCTCAGATCACCCTGAGGTGGGAGACTATCGGGCTAATGTTCACATGGGTCGGTCTTGCAACAACAACGATTCCTAGTCACCACGAAAGTTTTCGGTTGGACGATGGCACGGTCATTGATAAGCACGAGTTATACACGCTCGTGATTGATGTTGTGGAGCTTTGCTTAGGCTTTTGCGATAGCCTTGGGACAATGAGTGATCCGTTGTCTTGGTTGTTGCTTCAACATACAGTGCTGCTTGCCGAGGGTCATGGTGATACAAGTATGGCCCTGGTCCTGACTTTATCGGGTTTCTCTATTGACAAAGTCATTAGATTATAGGCCGTGGAGAAAACTGGGAGATTTGTCCACCATGGTTTTTGCACTAGGTCTTCATCGCCCAGAAACAGATCCTCATATCCCCTTTTTCTTGGGTGAAATCCGCAGGCGTGTGATGGTTGCTTCATATTCGTTAGACAAGCAGCTTGCAACTTTGTTAGGACGACCCCCACGAATTGCTTGGCAGTACTGTGATATCAAATTCCCCTTGGACCTGAACTACGATGATATCTTTCCAGCTTCCGATAATCAAGAAGAGGAGAGTATTTTGGCAAAAATTGGCCACGATGGCTGGAACATTGACGGGCGCATTACATCAGGCTCTAAAGCAAGGATGCATCTCATGTTCGGTCTTATACGTGAAAAGATACTGGCGTTGTCGCTGTCGCCTCATCCAGAAGACGTTGCCCAAAAAATATCGTGAGTCACCATAAAAATATAACTGAATGTTAAGTCTCTTGACTAACCCTATTTTTTTCAGCGAAACATGTGCTGAATATGAGCACCTACGATCAAACCTGCCCCCAGTTATGCAATGGAGACCGTCTCACTTTAGCGGCAGTAGGACGATGGACCAACATACTGAATTCGTGGCAAATATGCATCTTGAATTTCTTAACAATGATTTCATTTTATACCGTGTTCTGGTAAAACGAACCGGAAAGGGCAAGGAAAAGCTTCTAAAGGTAGCCCGAGAAATGCTGGCCGCCACACTGGCCATCGTCTCACGAAACTCCCAAACACGAGATAATTGCGATTCTATCTGGAATGTGAGTCTACCACAATAAAAGACTAATTTGATGCATTCAAGATTTCTCATAGACCTCTTTTTAATGATTTTCGTTCTAATTATCTATTGCAGCTTTGTTATATTGGACTTCCATGCGCCGGCGTGCTGGCTCGTGAACTTCTTCAGCGCTCCCAGCAGCAATATTACCGTTCATTACACGAAAAGCCACCCAAGTCGGCTGACACAATGCCTTTTCCACGTTCTGAAGTCATCCAGAACTTGAGTGTATTCGCAGCCAATCTGGAAAATGTGCTTGGTAGTAGAGGGAATTTTGGGATCTCCCAGAAAGGATTGAACGTCATCCGCAATGTCCTTGATCGAGTTCTTTCTGGTGACGAGATGTCTTGTGCACCCTCTAATTTACCACCACCGACTGGTGATGAACTGACTGCTGTTCCTCTGGAGTTGCCCACCACACTTCCCGAGCTTTACTCGGATGATGGAAATACAGCCGAATTCATGACATGGCTGGATAATATTGACTGGGCCCAGGAAGCATTACTGAGTTACAGCTGAGAATTGATAAGTCTCGATTATTATGAACCAATGTTAATGTGATCATGAATTTTAAAACGTGATTTGTATAGCGTTTCACAACCTACCTTCTTTTTGACAAAACATCCCTATTTGAACCTGTAAAACTTGATGTTAAAAACAATCTCAAATAGAAAATTGTTAGTATTCTACTCCATAGCGAGAATTCCTTCGACCCCAGACCGGGTGACCTCCCCATCCAAATGTCGTATTAATCAGAAAAGTCCTCAGGCCGCAACAATTCACCGTTAAGAATCTGCCCCATATGAGTTTTATCAATGTTATCGCAATTTCGACGGATCTGACCCATAAGTAATTTGAAGAACTTGACAGGACTAGTATGGAATGTTGCTGGAGCTCCGTCGGCACGTTGGACAATGAATCCATCCCCAGCGACAGCCCAACCTTCTCGAGTAGCTTCGGTTGCCAAGTTCAGGAACTCGCAAACTCTCAGACATTCGTTGTAAGTAGCAAGATACAAGTGACCAGAAAAGAGGTTCAGTTGAACGAGAAGGGACTCCGGAATTGTGGGTGGCGGGTGTCGAACAGGCACAGTATATAGATTGAGACTATCAAGTGGCGGATAGTGTATGCTCACACGGGGTGTATATATGTGTAGCGTCACACAATTCTCCTTTCCAATCTCAGGCAGCAATGCATCCGCTTCATACGGGCTTATCACAACCATATGCTGTACCGTATTAGTCTTGTCAAAGCTAGTCAACACCCATTGTACATGACGTTGGTAGAGATCTGAGACAAAATCCAATTCTGTTCTTGAAGTTTCAATGGTATGGGCAAAGTCTCTTGAGACAAGCAAATCACTTAGGGGAAAGTCTGATACCAGGAACTCTTTAGCAGCCGTAGTATTGCCTAAAGTCTGAAAAGCTCCTTTGAAAACCCCAGGTTTGACCTTCCCAGTCGCTATAAACTGTTTGATGGCTGGATCAATTATATGGGTTGAAGCTTGATATGGCTTCGGTTTCTGAAAATAGCGTTCTTGCTCTCGCTCACTGGCCAACTCGCGCTCTTGCTCTTCGAAAATGCTAGCAGAGGGCGCTGACTAGTAACGAGAAGTTAAAATATGACGCCTCATTTGCTTTAACGAGACTCGGAAGACGCAAATGACCTTGTAACAGGATCACGACTCATCGTGACCCAATCTTCTGGAGGACGTGGAGTAGCTGAGGGTGCAACTAATCTGGTAGACGCACTGTTCGTGTGATTCATAAGTCACCATGAATTGGCTTGCTAGTGGCGCAGATCAGCATCTTACTATTTCCATAGCTTAGTCGATACCGATATATTACCTGTAGCGGTATTAAGTAAAGCACTGATCCGATTGGTTCGACGAGTAGATGCTTGCTAGCAGCACGGCAAGGAGATGCGCACCGAGCGTGACGATTCTAAAACGGCCCGCACCATGCGGGATCCAGGATTCAGAAACAAAACACGCAGAGTCTCGACCTGTGCGGGTGTTCTTCGATGGAGGCACATCTCTCGGCCATCACTGTCCCTAATGCTGATATTGTGAGAAGTCAAACAAGAGAATCGAAGGAAGCAGCTTCCAGCTCGTAATTTTTTACTTGCCGAGGCTAAGGCTTAGGGACTGGGGTAGTTTTGGCGCTCGGCCGGGGCTAGGCGGGCTTAGTGGTGCAGCAGCATTATTGGGATTGGGATTGGGATTGTTATTACTATTACTGTTGTCGTTATTCTTGAGGTGGCAAGCGAATCTGCAAAGATCAATGCTTATTCATATCCAACGATCCTCCAGATGTATCATGGTATGCATGTATAAATGTAGTAACGCCGGTGAGTCTAATGATGCTCTCTATACAAAATCTTTCACGACAGCCTCATTTAACCGTCTCATCTATCGCGACCAAGCCGCTCTTCGTCGTCCTCCATCAGCTCGTACGCTGGCCGGAATCCATCTCTATTCTGCTCCTTACTTTTCAGACGCGGGTTTGGGTGAGTATCTCGGGTTCCACCGAGGCTGGTATAGCCCTAGTAACAACACGTGTCAGCAATCGCCTTGTTCCCCAATGGAAGGCGGACTTACTTGGTCGTATAAAGGACAATAGGGAATCTGCAAATGTCGGATAAACTAAGGGATAGTTAGTGGGATGTTCCTGGTTAGTAACCGGACAACAAGGGTTAGACTTACGGCCCAGATCTCGGCTGTTATAGCTCTGCAGTTAGCACTAGCCGTCACAGGGCTGGTGGGATAGGTGCCTACCGTAATGCCAGTCAATCACTGGATGTACGCGCATAAAGTCCGGCCATCCTGCATCCGTCGGGTCGAAATGGGTCAATTTCTCGCCGTGTGGATCGGTCCTGCGTGTTCCAACAAAGACAGCCCGTATGCTTGGTCTGTCGGCCAGGTATGATTCCAGTCCCTCTTTCATTGGTAGCGAGTACCTCACCACTTCTAGATGATATTCTGCCGCGGACGAAACCACAAACTCGTCGACTTCAGCAAACGGATGCGGGGGAACGATATAGACCGACTGGAAGGTCTCGGGGAAGGCTGGTGGGTTGGCGGAGCCATTTGGATTACTATTGCTATCACTGTTGTTGGTTGTGGCGGGGTTCTTGGAGAATGGGGACGGCTGGCGCGCGAGACATGCTAGGATCACGATGAGGAGGACAAGACCTGTTAAGGAGGATTAGCGTGGCTGGTTGGTTGCGCAGGAATTCCATCTCATACAGTCCTTGCCGCCGTTATATGACAGAGCGATCTCTTCGGGACTGTGTGCGCAACGGCGTCAGCGGGCTGATAGGGAGGATGGGATGAGCAGAAGCGCGTACCGGTACTTTGTCAATGCCTCGTCGACGACACGGATGGAGACACGCAATTGGTCCTGCACGCGACGCAACAGCGGGGAGCTGGGTTCGTCAGCAAGGAAGACTTCGAGTTGCTGTCGCATCGCGACGCAGACGTCATGCAAGGAGCGGGGAGGCATTGCGGCGGCACATTTGCATCTGTAGCGGGGGAGTACAGGTCGGGGCAGGGAGGCAGCAGTGACGGTCGCAGAGTCATTAATGAGGATAGCACTTGAGGCACGTTAATACATATTCGTTGTATCGTCCACGGTGGTGTTGTGGACTGGAAGTGGAGGAATACGGGCATAACATTTGAAGTGAAGCGGAAGTGGAAGGATCGAGAACATCGCGGGTAATCAATTGATGTACCCCACAATCTGTATAGCTGTACAGCCCCGCCGAAGGACACATATCTAGATATTATATATACGCAGTATGTATATACATTGACTATATATGTATAATACGTATATACATATGTATGTATTGTCTATCTTGTTTGGACCACTGCGGGACTGTATATCGAGACATCAATTGATCAATTGATGTATTGAATTATATGTATGTGTACAGGTATTATACATGTCCGTATTTTATGCTAGCCGATATACTAGTTGACCTATATATACAGGCACACGCCCCCAGTACGCATCGACTACAATCAATTGATACATGCATTCAGTTAGACTATTTATGAGGACACATCATCGCATCGCATAGACCTGTAGGAGGCATGATCGCGGTCGTCCTCTCATAGGATCAAGCCAATCATGTTTGTTCCGGTAACACCCTTCTGGGAAAATCAATACCGAGGCATATACTTCACCATCGAATGTTACTCTTTCTGGTGACTCGGACGCTCTCGACGAGCTTGATTGGTTACTACAAAGTCTACACCAAATATTACCATCCGCAGAACCTTATCTTCGTGCTCTGGATGAATGTAACATCCATGTTAATCACTCACCCTCGACGACGTGGCATTCCAGTGTACTTCACAGCGACAGAATTGAAATTTCCCTTCATTTAAGCATTATGAAACGAACATATTGGAGGGAAAGTATCGGAAGGAAAACGACATCGGGCCGGTAGACCTAGAAGGTTATGATTCTTTGAACAATTTCGGGTTGCGATACTCTGGGCCCTTTCGAGCAATTACGCAGCTAGAAAGAAACAAAGACATTTGCTGCTGCTTTATCTCAAAGTGTTGTAATAAACAAGCTTCTCAGCAAGCTCAGCTTACCTGCAGACAAACGTCAACTATCAGCACGAACATACTTGTCCGAACTGTGGGCTGACTCTCTGGTTGCACTTGACCTTAGATGGTGGTTTAATAAGGAATCAGGTGTTGATATTTCAATTTTGGGGATTTTAAGTGGTGTCTCAATTGGGGATTTAGAGTAGAGTGTTGCTTCAAAACTCGCGATAGAATAGAAAAAAGACGTCGGCCCTTAGGTTGAATAACAAGAATATATGAACCTATATAGTGACGAAGACTCCCCGGCGTCCTATTATCTGAATGAACCTAAGATGCAAATCTTTAATTGAGTTTATTATAGTCCTAACGCCGGTTAACCTCGCTAGGTAGCATGTTGAAGATAAATCTCCTACATTTCACGTGCTACATTAACTGGTAATATCAATGTCACTAGACGCCTGCCCGTCGCTGAGCTAAGATCTAAGATCTAAAATAATTCCTAGGTCCTCCCGTGAGGCTTTTTAATATCTTTTTTCAAAGATTTCTCTTTACCGACTACGACGTTTAGTCGGATGCAAGCATTCAATATTGTGTTGCCGATCACAATACCAGCTTTTATTCGCACTGCTTCCACATAAAAATACGGCTGCTAATCAGCTACACTCGATAAATGTACATATATATGCAAGCAACAACGACACGTGGGTGAGCAAAAGTTCCCGGTTTTGAAAAAACGAACGGACGTACCCAATTCGCCAAAGGAAAAGACCACAATCACGTCTTGTCTACAACCAAATTCTTTGTTCACTATCACAATGTCTTTTGGAAAAATTAAAGAAAAAGTCAAAGACACGATATATTTCTAGCCATTGTCTGAAAAGTTTCTAGGAAAAGTCACATTTCGTGACACTATCGAAGATATAAGTCGCCTTCTTAATCCTCTACAGTTGAAGTGGGTCTTTTCAATTAATTTGAACCGTCCTTGACCAATCTATACCAGTTGAAATTAACATAGTCAGTGCCGTCATGAACACACTTATTGCCAAAGTTTCACGTGGGGGCATTCTCGAGCGACGACCCTCGACGGAAAGATTCACTGGTTCTGGGCTGAAACGCCGCTTCAGCAAGCTGGTTGCGAAGTCAATATCTAGTAGCAAGACAACCAACCGAACAAGTTCAATAGAGTCCACCGTCGAAGACCTGGAAAACTGTTATACTGTGGTTGAGGGCGATTCTTCGGCATTTCTATACACACCTACCACGTCAACAAGGAATGATGTTGAGAACGACAGTTTATATTCGCTTTCGAAAGCGAATTGCACCGTGGACAATTTTGCCTCTTCTATCTACATCAGGATGAGCGATATTTGTAGCAATGATGGTACTGATGAGGTTGATTTTGATATTAAGAATTTGAGATGTATCGAAATATCATATGTTGCGTTTCCATTGTCGAAGCTACGAGACATCCTTGATTTTGTTTATGTAAATCAAGATGACGAAGGCAGCCTTACATCATATCCTGAATTTCTTCGTAATCACATTTTCCTGGATGTCGAAAACATGCCCATATGGACCGAAATGGCAAACGAACTTCTCCACAGATCTGTCTCCGGGCATATCGAAGAAATTTTCTCTCACGATTACAGGTAGGTTCCCTTTCAGACTGGCAATATTTCAATTTTACACATTGGTAACTGAGATTTTAGAATCCAAACAATGGGAAGAAGTCACCGTGACGAGCTCGGAAGACAGCAGTATCTACTGGTTTGGTTTGGACTTGAGAGACCAAAACTACCACAATTACTAGAGGGATGTCAATATATTGCCTATAAAAGTGATACAGAAGCGATATTTGGACCCATAGACGATCGCTGTACTATATGACGTGGATGAGCCCAACGTTTTGAGTGGTATAAATTGTACGGCATATTTGGTATTTAAATAAGACGTAGAACATTGTAATGAGTGCCTATAAACATTGATTTGGAGGTTATCGCTACCAACGTCTGTTATTCCGTGGGCAGCACATTTGGGGACATGGATCTGGAAGATATAATCCAATGCGAAGCTTTATCAAAATTATGGATGTTTATCGACATTAAAATTTTTAATTTCATTACTTATTGATGGCTAACTTGGCTCATCATCAAACTGATTCCCACGCAAAAAGACCTCCTCCGCCACTCGCATGACATGGCCTGCATGATATGAGCCTGCAAGCAACTTCAACCCTATTAGGTAAAGAATCCTAATCACTGGATTTATCCTCAACGAAATTGATCCACACCAGACAATGCTCCTGTTCATTCCAAAGGAGATTGCGCCAAGAAACGTCTGGCCGCAGAAGACCCATCTCTTCTATATCCTCTTTTAGCTTTTCCCTTTCTTTCGTGAGCGTATCGACTGCTTCTTTGTTGATAAAGTCAACTGGTGAGACTCCCGAGCAGCTAAGCAACATCATCTTTTCGAATTCTCTACCGTAGTAGACGTGACACCGATTCAGTCGTTCTTGCAAGTCCAACACACCCAAGCACACCGGAATGATGAAACCCTGAACCGCCTCCAAGTTTTGATACGTATTGTACTCGCGTCCAAGCGTCTCCTCATGTCCTGGTTCAACAGCTTTGACGAGGAAAGTATACCCATAGTCGTCCAGCACTCCCTTCAGATAGTGGTGATGTTGTCCATGTAGATACATAGGACGAAATGCGTAGGGTGGGTCTTGCTTTTCTATCTGGCGATAGAGGAACTCAATAAGTTGTGTTGGTCCAATCTCATGGAATCGATTGCCGTGCTCCTCATAGTTGGGACATGCGTGGTCGAGTTCAGCACCGGCGCATAGACCTAGAAGGCACTTATGGGTACAGAATAGTCTGCCATTCTCGTCTAGAAGATTGGAATCCGCAAAGAATGGGTCATTGCGGCTGCTTGGGGTGAGAAAATTGCTTGATTGTACAATTCTCTCGACTCCGTTGTTCGTAAGTTTGCATGTTCGCAGGGCGCCAGCCGTGGCATACCAATGCTGAGTTGATGGTTTCTCACGCATAGCCCTGAAGATAAAGGAGAGGTATTGTGCGACGATAGTCTGATAGACTTTGTCGTCGACATCGTCTCCGATTTCCTCGCAAGGAATAAATTTGTGGGCACCGAGAAGGTCGGGGTGAGTGCTGTGACCATGAAGGAACACAACTGCCTCGCCAGTATCAAGCACACTGTAGCGGATTCCCGTCGACACCATGCGGGCGAATGCACGGGTCATAGTCGCAATCAAAGTACTCTGCATACCTCCGCGTCGTAGAATGTCCTTGTCGAATGTTAGGTCTATAATCTCGCCTTTGACCTGAGCAGCTGAGACATCATGAGGAGCGATGTAGTGAATAAAAAAGAGTGGAATTTCATGTCGCCCAACCATGAGATAAACTAAGCACTCATCGGATTTAGGATCCATCTCAAACTCTAAGACAGACATCCCAAAGCGCTCCGGGTCTGCAAGGCCAGAGAAAATTTCGTTGATATCAGCAAACAAACTTGGAATTTTGACGAACTGATTCCAGAAAAGGCGAATGAAACGATGGAGAGTATGAGACCTAAACTTGTGTACGTCCCTTCCTCTTCCAATAGGCTCAACTCCTTTCTCGATGAGACTATACTGAAATAGAGAAGGAAATACTGGAATATCTGGGAGTTTAGACTTTTCTCTAATTGTAGCCCACTCCATATCCTGCAACGCAGGTATCTCATCCAGCACCCGGACGTATTGAGGATATGGGACAACTTGCACTTGGCCATTACTCGCCTGGGAAGATTCTGACGATGTGGAATTGACCATAGTGACCTGAAGAGATAGCCTGTGAGAAAATTTCAAGAGCTCGTCGAGGGTTGTATTCGTCGAGGAAATATCGGCATCTCCATCGCTTTGGTGTGCCAGACGGGCATTTCGAAGACAGACATACCGGTTGAGGTCTTCCATCTTTTAAATATGTCTGGTGCAATAGGTCAGTTGTGATGGAGAGTGAAGGTGTGAGGAACAAAAGTGACTAGGAAGCCTAGATGAAAGGATTGCGTGAGGGGGGGAGAGGATTTTTCCAGTGCAGCAAACTGTGCCTTTCTCGGCATGTTTGTGTACTGTCACATTGGACATAAAAGAAACAAACACTAGATGAATTTTCAGGGTGCTACCTAGCAAAACAGACAGTTTTAAATGTCAGTGCTGTATATCTATAGACAATCTGTAGACAATATACGGGTGGATCTGATATTTTCTATCCAACCTTTCTTCCGTAATGGTATTGTGCATCACACTAGCTCCTGCGATCTACAAAAAAATGAAAATGAAATAAAAGTATGACTTTATTCTACCCATAGAGATATGCAATAAATATTGATATAATGGAAATTCATTGAATAGAGTAGTTCCGATTTCAACTTCATGTGGCTTAGGATAATACTAATCCTTACCTTTGAAAAGTTTACTATATCAATGTTAGTCACAATATTCTACGAAAACTGTCTATATATATTATCATCCCAATATTTTTATTCTCAATGTATGACTTTCAAATGTTATTCAGCTCCTATATCATAGGCTTCGATCTGACCAAAAAGAAATTAGTTAATTAAAGGCTATCCTTGCTTTGTTATTTTCAGTATTGTGTGAGACCAAGATAAATAACCTGGCACGCTACATATGTGTGGAAAAATCCATAGTGCCAAACAGGCTGATGGGTCTGAATCACCCCATAATTTTCCATCTATTATATGCATACTAAGAATTAGTATCACAGCCAAAAGAAAGTAGGATCTTGAGAAACATAATTCATGTGCACAACAAGTAAATCATTAAGATGTCATCTTTCAAACATATGCAGCCTAGTTATATAGAACAGGAGTTACAACTGTAACATGTGCAACGACTATGACTTATCAATTGCACCCAGTCTATACCTTGGTCGATCAATCATAGGTCCGCTCAATCTTCTAGCTCCAATATATTAATGCATTCTATACGCCTTCGTCCTTGTAATGGAAGATATTTTCTTTTATAACCAGGCTACCAGTATTCTTCCATACTTTGATTCTCGTCAACTATAGAATGAAATTCCCGGAAAAAGCTAATTGCGTATATTTCTCTCATTTTAATCTTCTCCCTCCTATCACCGAATTCTCACTTCAATTTCATTCCTTCACCGCCTAACCAGATTTCAGGTGTAGAATTTGGCGAATAGAAGTCCACTAGCCATCTTCAAACGAATAAGGATCAAAATCTACAACCACGATGTTCGGATGGCCCAAGTTGTCGCTCACTGTTATTTATCTAGTTACCGATATCACAGTCTCGATCAATTTGTTCTTGTTGAACTTTGAACCCGAGTGTTGGGGGAAAGTTATTTTGAAGGCGTTTAGTCTAGTAGTATTCCTCGATATTTGAAGCTTCTGAAGGAGTGGGTCTGTCTTCGAAAACTTCAACAACTGGTAACGGGCGTGAGGGACCCTATAATGTTGTGGAATTGGGAGCATGCTGGGTATTGAGTGTATTGTTTAAGATCCGGGGACATTTCTAGAAGGGGGATTGACAATTCACTGGAACTCTGTTTTGCTGTCACTTAGTGCTATCAAAGAGTGATACTTGAATACTTACTTCCGGCCAAACGAGTGGTTGGAGTATCTGCAGGTTCGGAAGAGGCATCGATCTCTATGCTCTACCCAAATCCCATATCAGCAACTGTTGATAAGGAGATAGACCACAGAAGGATACCTGGATAATCGAACTTTAGGGATTCTCGCACATGTTGATCGAGGTTTGCAGCTGAACAATCTCTATACAATCAAGTGATTTGGGGACTCCTTTCGAATATCAGTGGTATAACCCGACTTCATATGTACTCTTATGAAATGTTTTAAACGTTGGTAGCGGCGGATCGGAATCGGTTGATCAAGGAGCGAGAGATATATGGTTATAGCATGATGAAACCTCGAAGATAATTTTTATATTGCCATCATTAATCAAGCTGTGGTTTTTGTGAGCTTTCAATGTTTTGGTATTGCGAACCCGGGTTCCGGAACAGGTGGCTTAGCATCTCAAAAGTCCATACTACATCTATTAGTAGCTCTGACTCGCCAATAGTTGACAATGAGGAACAATTTTTGTTGGATTTCTGCTCCGGATGTCCAGGCAGCAGAGCGACGATAGCAGAACAGCATGTAAGCCTCAAGATGATGGTATCATGATATGATGAGATGATATCGTGATAGAGAAGGAATACGGAGGAAGGAATCATGATGGGGAGGTTACGCACACGTGATGCACGACTGCCTGAGGCCAGTGAAAGGTTATAACCAAACTACAAGTACATTGTATGTGGAATAATAGGGCTACATGTGGATACGAGATTGAAGATTAACTGTCTCCCATTGTCGGTTTGCAGTTTTCGGCTTTGTTTTTTCCATTTACAGGTGGCTTGAATGATATTGTAATATACATCGAGTTACCCCAGTCTTACTCTCTTCCATAACCTGATACACTCCAACATATCCGACGACACGTTGCTGCTTCCCGAGCTAGCCTGTTGGATGATTGCTACCAAGGCTGACGCGTAGCAGAAGGCGACTTTATTCTCCATCAACAGCGTAAGCTGCACTTTCTGCATTCCGCCAAACTGACACCACAGAGCCCATCGTTCTAAAATATCGACGATGAGCTTTGCTTGGCTCAGGTCAAGAATCATGAGATACAAAACCGCGTGAACCAAATCTAGGAGTGTATAGTGGTCTGGCACAATCCCTTCGCGAACGAGATACGCCAAGTTAGCCTCTGCAACTGTATTATTGTCTAGTCGGGGGGATTGGATGGCTTCGACGAGTCGTCGTTCTTGATATTCTCCTTGCAGCCGCACTCGCTTCTGATGTTGGATGTGGAAGCGCTGAGAATCACGTAACATTCGAACTTGTCGTGCTTCAGCTGCCTGGGCAGGGGGCATTGCGTTTTCCATACGATGAGCATGCATATTCTCCTGCATTCGTTGATGAACTTCAGCAGGAGTTTCTGTAGTCGTCGGGGGTGGAGAAGCCCATGGAGGCACGTCCTCGTCGCTCAGCATACCGAGTATAACCATCACCCCGCAGGGGATCGACTTGCGCCGGGCAAAAGTAACGATGTTATCTGGTATGGCAATATTCCAGATTCCAGACTCTCGGCTTTGTCCTAACACCGAAGCAGCGCAGACGAACCAGAGACTGGAATATTCGCCTCCAAAATTGCAAATGTCTCGACTTTCGCCAGTTAGAATACCATGGCTTTCAAATAAAACACTGCGTATTTGTTCCCCGTCGGTTTTAAAACGTACGCTATCACTGGGGGCGGTGGTAACAAGGGCCTTTGCGTCTTCTATTGACGTAATGAGAGAGAGCGGTGCAGGACGATTTGATTCTGCGATAGAGCTAGCTACAAGGGTATCTTCGCGACTCAGAGGTTTGATGTTTTCTTCTGTCGCTGAATCAGCTTGTTTTGAATCAGCTTGTTCGTTGGCCGAAACTCTAGAGTCGCTAGAAAAAAGCATCTCCGTCTCCTTGTCAAAGAAGGCCTTGCCAAGTTTGGGTTGCTGCAGTCTCATCCAGAATGGAGGCAAACTCGCAGCATTCCTCAAATCCCACTCGGACTGCCAATATAGCTGCAGACTCAAAACCCCATCGGAATCTTCGGGCGGGGCGACTTTCAATACGGTTCCTGGCAAATTCCTTGGGGGCTTCAACAGTGCAGTGGCAGTCGGTGTCCACAGTCCAATGCTTTTGAGCATATGCCAGCCTTTGGCATCTGGAACGGCGCCCCGATCCAACAGAAAGGCGACCAGATCCTCAAAATCAATATCTGCCTGCGGCACCCTCAATTCTTCCTTGAACTGGCATCGATATAGTTGTCTGCCGGTGACGAGGCGGTTCCAATGAAAAATCGACCAGCTACCGCCCTTCAATAGTGAGGCCTGCTGGGCATTCAGCTTCCAGTATTCGGCGTCCAAGTCACGATCGAGCGGGGTTATTGTGCACCGTGGCAGCTCAACTTCGACAGTGCCGGCCATGAGACTACCACGCGTGATAGCAGAATCGAGGAGGCCATGGTGCTTGAGTGTACGGCAGATAGATCGCTGCGTCAGTATCGCGCGGATGAACGAGTAGAGGATGGGAAGAACACCGAGGACCGCGAGGGGTATACCGACGTAGGTGATGATATCGGTCGCTGAGGTCCCGTTATCCATGGGAGACGGCCTGGTTGCGCTTGCCTGCTGTAGATGGAGAAGAGCACACAGTAGTAGTCGGTTCAGTCAGTCTCTCTTTCTGTTTCATGTCGATACAACAGCAGAAGAAGATTCAGCGCAGTTACGCCAATGCGCATCGTATTTGGCGCACACAAGCGAATCACAGCGGCGCTTCAGCTAGGGCGGTCACTAGCTGCGCCACGCCGACTAGACAGTAGACTAGAAGTAGACGGCTCATGGTGAGACGACTTAGAGGAGCGATCAGGCGAGAGGCCATCATGAGGTACGGGCGGCGATGGGAATGGTGTTGGTGAGGTATAGCGATAGCAACATGCAATGTCTCGCAAGCCGGCGATGGGCAAACTCGATGGGATGACGATGGAAGACAAGAAGAGAGTGAATAACGTGGAGGCCCCCCACGTTGCTGCTGTTCGCGTGCTCTTTTGACGCTTCAAAGCCTTAAATCGGTCTCGCAATCAGTGTTTGGGGCCAGGACCTGATGACTGCCATAGAAAAAGCCACGCAAATCTGCTCAGACTCTTAAGAGTTGGTGTCGCAGTGTCTCTCGCTCAGCGACGCCGCGCTTTGTCAGCCGCGCCGCCTTCCTGCGCCCATCAATCCCAGCCCCATCACACCGTACACTACACTACACTACACTACACCACACCATTCCTTTTCTATGCGTCTATCGCCGAGCGCGAGGAAACGCCGAGAACACAGGATAAATCTGTGAAAAGAAAAAAAATTAAAAAAAAATTTAGGGGACAAATGGTCTCTTCAGCGAGCGTCCCAACCCAGTACACGCTGACCTGGGATGCCCGCACCAGCTCCGATGCCCCTACAGAAAGCCCTCGCCGCTCTGACCTTTGCCAGTCGTCGCAGCGCCGTCTGCGCGAGGCCTGCGACGGCTGTCGACACTCTAGGGTCCGCTGCGGCGGCGGCCAGCCCTGCTCCCGATGCCACACCCGTGGTATGGACTGTCATTACGGCGTGTCCAGGCGCAGCGGAAGACTGAGGGCGAGTCCCTTGCGCGATACGCAACCAGCAGCAACTATCACTACTTCCTCGCCGACCATCTCGTCGGTCACGGCAAATGCTCTAGATGAGACGAATGGCCATCCGAAATCAACACCAATGGTCGACCCGTCTGCCGTTTTGGTCTCCAGTAGCCAACCAGACTTGGGTAATTTCAATACCGACGCTTGGCTGAACTTCAGCACCTTCATGGGCGCTCCATCTTCTTCATCTCTTGACGACTTGAATCTATATCCAAGCTTCGCTGTAGACATGCCTCCCACGCAGCTGTACGACGCACCAACGACCACCACCATCAATGATAACAGCAACCACAATAACACTTTCTCTCCCCCTCATACACCACCAATCCGCAATGCACCGTCCACCTGCAACTGTCTCTCCTCCCAGTTCTCCTGCATGGCTACCATGACCAGCTTTCGGGATGCAAACAACGTCGGCATCGACACGATCCTCAACACCGCCCGTGAAACCACCAAGATGCTCAGTGATCAGCTCAATTGCACCGACTGCACCAAAGGCACATGGAGTTTTGTCGTCAACATACTGATTCTACAACGCCTGCTTTACATGTTTTGCAGTCTGGCGACATGCCGATACATCGATGTCAAGTCTGTAAAACTAGGAGTCGGCAACTATCAACTATCGGAGGAGGAGGACCTAACGCACAAGAAGATGCTTGCGCTGTCGTCGCTTAAGCTGCTCGAAGAATTTCTTGGCAATTTTAGAGATGCGGTTAATAAATTCCTCAATCTGACGGCGACGATGAAGTCGCAATGCAATACACCGCTGACAACCGACTACGCGAATCTCAAGTTTGCGGCCGACGGGCTAGACTACATCACCGCTAGGCTCAAGACCATTAAGGGGACAATCGAGTCTGACAGTTGGAGGCGAGTGTAAAATTGTTATAGTTGATGAATTCTATGTTATAAAATGGCTACCATCTACCACGTTCTATTCCACGCAGCGATCACGCAGACAACGGAATCACTACATATAAAAATCCACCGAACACCACATTTGTTCTTCAGTTTTCCTATAACAATGTATATATGCCCTCTCCACCACGAACAAAACAAATGTTATCTTCCATGTGCAAACCCCTGCAACGGACCAAGGCTATTTATAGAATACGAACAATTGAGGTCAGGGTCGACGAAACACCCTGCGAGGAGCGGCTTGCCGTCAGTCTTTATTCTTATTCTTATCTGCGAAATGATCGGTCTATCCATTGTTTTTGGCCGGATTCTCAATCTCTCAAAAGACATCCTCCGTTTCCGTGGTCAAAGTGACTAAGCTGGATGACTAATAATAGTTCAATCGGCAATCTGGATGCTTCTTCGGGCAACCGCGCCGTGTCATACGCCGAGCGCAATTCCCGATCAGGCAGCATCGCTCAGCGATAGCCTTGCTTGATAACCTCGGTGTGGCAGCAATGGTTGGTGCTTGGCGCTTTCTCCTGCCGAATTCGGAAAGTCGTGACACAGTCTCGATGATGTGATGCTCGGGGAGGAACCACCGTGGCCAGGCATTTTCGCTCCTTCCTGGCGCATGGACTCCGTGCCTGGATGTGTTGTGACATATATAAACAAACCAGGGAACAGACAAAAGTTCCTGTATATTGATGTATTAACGACAACATCCAAAATACATCGATACATTTAAAGCCAGACGGGGAAATTCCTGGCCGAAGACAGCCAAATTAGGCCTATCTAGGCATGGCCTCAAATATGGATGCCAGCATTCAGCATAGTAATGGCGGCCTGACGTCTTCGTCTACTGGATCAGTAAACTCTCCCGCTCTAAGGGCCCAAGATGATGAGAAGCAAGAGCAGGACATCATTCCCAATGGCGGCATTAAAGCATGGCTCCAGGTGTTTGGAGCGTTCCTACTCTTCTTTAATTCTTGGTATGAAACTAATCTCCTTCTGCCTGATGCGGCTGGATAAATAACATGCAAAAAGGGGTGTTATCAATACGTTCGGCGCCTATCAAACATACTATGAATTCAATCTACTCCAGGCACGTTCCTCATCGACCATATCCTGGATTGGCACATTTCAGGGCTTTATTTTGATTACCTTCAGCATTGTGGGTGGCCCGATCTTTGACAGAGGGTATTTTCGGCACTTGATTGTGGGTGGAAGTTTTTTTCTCGTTTTTGGAATGATGATGACCAGTCTTTGCTCCGAATACTACCAGCTTTTCCTCGCGCAGGGGCTCTGTGTTGGCTTGGGTGCCGGTGCTATTTTCCTGCCTAGTGTTGCCATCGTCGCTACATACTTTACGACAAAACGCGCACTAGCAACAGGTATCACAGCCGCTGGTGGTAGCGTTGGGTCGGTGATATATACAATCATCTTCCGCAAATTGCAGCCGCGCATAGGGTTCGCGTGGTCAACGAGGGTAATTGGTTTTATTGCCCTAGGTTGTTTAATTGTCAGTTTGGCAATAATGCGTTCTCGTGCACCACCCCGCAGCAAAACTCATCAACAAGCACGCAAGATGGTTGACCTGTCTGCTTTTAAATCCATCCCATTTCTTATCTGCATTGCTGGGATGTTTCTCGCATTCATCGGCCTCTACATCCCATTCTTCTACATCATAGCCTACGCCGAGACCCACGCAAACGTCACTGAAGACATGTCGTTCTACTTACTTTCCATAATGAATGCTGCATCAGCTTTTGGCCGTATCATCCCCGGTCTTCTAGCCGATCGACTGGGATCGGTTCCTGTCATGGCGGCTTGTACGCTTGCCTCTGCCGTGCTAATCTATGCCTGGATTGCCATCAACAGCCTTGCCGGTCTGATCGTGTTTTCTATTCTGTATGGGTTTGTATCTGGAGCTGTAGTCTCGCTGCCTGTCACTACTGTTGCGTTCCTGGTCCCGGATCTGAGCAAGGTTGGCACCTGGATGGGTATGGCATTCTGCTTTTCTGGGCTGGGTTTTCTCATTGGCAACCCCATTGCGGGAACGCTGACCAATGTAGAAAACGATGACTATATCAGAGGCATTGTTTTTGCGGCCAGTTGCGTTGTGGCAGGTGGAACAGTTTTCTCGATGTTGGTGGGATACCTGTCATTCTTGAAGCGCAAGTCTTGATTCATATCGGCTGTTACTAGCAATGGCATTGTTTCGGTCGTCGGTCAGAACCGGGTATTATTTCTTTTCTGCGGTTCCCATCCTTACTATTTACGAAAACTAATACTAGAACATTTCTCTACTCAATAAAACGATCCATAAGTCATATAATTCAAAATGTATATTGTTCTGAGTGGGTACTTACTCCTTATCGCATGGAGTATCTTCAGTGCACAGAATGTGTAATCAAAATTATGGATTTCCCTGCAGGAAGCGCAATAATGCATTTTCTCTTCTATGTTTGGCTCGTTTCTCGACGGATTTTGTAACCGCTGTCTGTTTTGAGCACCGCCTCTCTCCTCATTTCCACAGTTACATTAATTCGATATAATAACAGTCTTGCTCCTCGCCTATTGTATTGATGTTTACTTACCACACGTACGACAAAAGTGGCGGGCATTCCGAACCTTATTTGAAAGCCGCATGAAGAGAGAATCATCAGTCTACGAAATTTTCCCAGGCATGGACAGACGTTATCATATGAGATCTGAAACGAGGAGGGATATTGGACTACGCATGCTGATCCACCCTCAAGACTTTCTTCCTAGAGAAACCTCCTCAGGATTCAAGGTATTTGATTTCATGAGGTCTGTGACGCACCGCGGGCAAGTGCTTTCCAGACCTTTGTCAAGCTGATTAGCTACTGACGCGACTCCAACAGAATATCCGGGTCAGACACAATTCTCATCCGTGGAAAATCATCGACTTGTCTTTTTCGGATCCACAAAGAGCTGTTCGAGATGACATTAAATCGCTATCCCGTGGCTTACTCTCCATTGGCAGACCTTCATGAGAATGTTTACACCTTCTCGATCGACTTCGATCCCACCGTGGCTCGCTTTGTTGAATGGGCCTACAAGGGTGAATACCGCGAATTCGTTGATCTCGACATCCCTACACAGCCAGAATTGCCGAGGCCCAGGTACCAATGGGCAGGGGTTAATCTAGAATTTGTCAACACTTTGCAGTCTTCGGTGGATTCGAGCAATTATCGCGAAGTAGAGCCAGAGAAGGCCGATTGCATTATTCAAAATTACCCCTTTTTAGTTCACACGCGCTTATACCTGTTTGCTGAGAGATATCAAATCTCTGCATTGGCGGTACTTGCCCTGAATTTGGCTAGAGAAAGCTGCGAAAAACCGGAGAAGTTGGCCATGGGAAAATACCATACATTGATTTGGCGGACTATTCAGAACGTCGTACGTCTACATTCAGATGATTCGGAACTGTCCGAGTTAACCCACAAAGTTTTGCATCATAACATCGACTTCATCTTTTGGAAGTGAGGGATTTCAGAAATCGGCTCAGTTCAACAAAGTGATCGACTTCAGTGCACATCAGACCTATTGCAGATAGTCACCGGCGTGCTGATATATTGCAATAAGATAGTAGGAAATACAGAAATAACCAGATACTTAGAGAGTGACTAGCTCATATAGCATCCAATTTTAATGTCTTTAATCATGCTGATGTTCTCGGGGGAAAGCACCCCGAGGCTTCTCTTATCGCGCCTTGATTGGCGGCGCAGCTCCGAGTCTTGGTGCGGGGGGCATCGGCGTCTTCGCCGACTGCTCTATCACTTGCATTGTAGCTGCACCGTTTTGACGGGTTTAGTTCTTCTTCTTTTTATTCCTCTCACCAGGACCAGATTTCTTCTTTTCACTCTGCTACAGGCTGTAAGATATTGGTTAGGGTTATTAAAATGCCATTCACCACAGCTATCCGTTCGACGCTACAAAGCCAGTCGCCAGCGTTCGGCTTTTGGCTCACGTATGTCAACTGGACCCCGCAGTGGACAGCTTCGTCTCTGACTTGACATCGAACAGCCTCAATAGCGCAGGGGCGGCCAAGACATTGCTGCGATCAACATCAAATAACAAGTCAGGAGGTTTCAGCTGGGTTTTGATCGACGCAGAGCATGGGTTAATCACCGACAGAGACTATTATGAAGTTAGTTTGATTGTGTTTTTTTTTTCACTCCCAACGAAGCTCAACAATAATGACGTGGATTAGCTCAATAATGCTGTTGCATCTGAGGGTGCTAGCCCGATCATCCGGGTGCCCTGGGCAGAAGAATGGATGATTAAGCGTGCACTTGATGCTGGCGCTCACGGTGTCATGACACCAATGTGCCACTCGGAGGTTTGTTTTAATCGCCTGACTTGACCGGTTCCCCAGAATTAAGTGAAATGGTAAACAGGAGGACGCTGCTAAGATTGTCAAATTCTCAAAATACCCTCCCCGGGGTACCCGCGGTTACGGACCAATGTTTGCTCCACATGCTATCCCCGGCGTTGTACCCGGGGAGCATCACGATGCACAAGCCGATGATTCGTTGATTGTGGTAGTACAAATTGAGTCGAGGGCAGGTGTGGAAAATGTCGAAAAGATTGCGGCCGTAGATGGGCTAGATGTTCTTTTCATTGGTATGTCCACTGCAGCCCATCTTCCAACCACTTATTAAAAGTTTAATGTGCCTATAGGACCCTTTGACCTTGCAAAGCAAATGGGAGTCGCCCGAGGTGGTGAAGAACATGAGGCTGCCATCCAGCGCGTGTTAAAAGCCGCCCGATCAGCTGGCAAGAAGGCCGCTATATTCTGTACGTCCATATGTCCCAGGTAAACATCACGTTATCTAACATTAGCAGGTACGGATGGCAATGACGCCCGTGCGCGAATCCAGCAGGGATTTGACATGGTTTCAATAATTACTGATGTGGGCGTTCTAGCCGAGGGAATGAATCGCCAGCTCGCTGTGGCAGCAGGAAATGCTGAAGGGGATCAGAAGAGAGATGGATACTATTGACATACTATCTTGGCGTGCAAAGTAGGAATTAGTGGGCTTATTTACTAGAAATTGTATATAAACATCCCCAAAATCAAACATACAAAGAAAATAACGACTCACCGGTTCCATCGAAATACAGCGGGCGCAATGAAATTGGATCTCACCCCAATTCCTCACTTGATTCATTGATCAAGCCTTTTTTTTCCCATATATGTTCTAGCATCAACGAATAATTATCTGGACATGTGGTAAAACCAGAATGGAAGAAAGAAAGTGAAATGATCGAATAATCGATCAGATACTAGCCATGTGCACTTTTCCATGGTCAGAAACGCTTTATTCTGCGGGTGATACGGTAGCCTTATGAAGTTAATCCTTCTTCTAAGCAGGCAAATGGGTTCACTTAAAAATAGAAATTTCCTCGCTTTCATCTATAAGCGAGAACATCATGCCACATTCAAGTGGCACTACCTCCGCTGAACCTTATTTATTTTTTATCGTATGATGTTGAATAATGTCTGCAAGTCTATGACGTTGCCATATCGCCCATAAAACCTGGTCTCGAATTGATTTTTATTTTATACATAAATGACCAAGGCTTCGACATGGAGATATAGTCGACAAAAAGGATAAAGAAAGAAAAGCAACTTGCTAGGGGCGTTGAAATTCACCAATAAAAAATGAGCGTCATTTCCGAAACAAGAGGTTGTATTGACTTTTACACGACACCAGGATATTCTCCTGGGGCGCAAATAGCAATTATACTTGGCGAACTTGGGTGGGTCTATCCTACATACTCTTTTTGGAAGGTTGAAAACTAAGGGTCTCTCTTAAATAGACTCGCATATCGTTTCCATGAAATAAAACCCACCGTCAAGAAGGAAGACACGCCCATTCATCATGAGCCTAATGCGGTATTGAAAGACATTGATGAAGCCGGCCTTGCCGTCACTTTTGAGGGGGCTAGTGCAATCATGCATTATTTAATTAAGCAATATGACTCAGATCATAAAATTTCATTCCCTCCAAACTCACCCGAGGCTGAACAGGTTAGCACTTGGCAGCCATTCTTCAAATCCCCAACAAAAAATCCGTCTCATTCACCTGCTACCAAAGAGCCGGGCACGAAAGGCTCTAATACGTTTGAAATACTTTTTTCCTTGAATGAAAGGCTGCGTGAGACAGAAGACTATCTAGTGGGACATAAATTGTACGGGCTAACATTCGACATCTCTGTTCCTTTTCTTGAGAAAGATGTACATAAGGCTAACAGATCTGGGTAGTTCTGTTGCGGACATTGCTCACATTCCAGTCGTTGTTACAGCTGAGGATGCAGGTGTGGATATTGAAATGTTTCCTAATGTAGTGTCATGGTATAATAATATACTGTCCCGATCCGGGGTGGAGAAGGGGCTAGCTGCTTCTAGCTCTAGAAGCTTTTAGGTCCACTTGTGATCAACCATGAATTCATCAGACTTTTCAAATGGTAGTGGATGCACCTCCCATACACATTCGTTTGGGTTATATTGGACTATTTATATACATTCTTTGTCGTTTGATACCTAGAGCCTCTTTATCACATAGGTTCAGGTTGAAACAACAAATGCAATCCCTAATCCTGATTAAATTGTCTTAGACTAATCAGCTGATCTGAAAAGTAAGTCATTATAGGCAAAGATTAGTATTTTTTTTATGCATACAAGGCTTGCTGCCACCAGGCACAACGATCCGTTGCTGCAGTATCTTTTACCAAGGCATTGGCATGTAAAGACCGAAGCATTGAGCCCTCACGATACGATACCAATGTCGGTAATCCGGGTGCATTTGGATCTCCAGTTTGGATAAAGTTTGCGAAATAGCTCTGCATTTGCCGAGCAATGGTCACGTTTATCTTGGAGTCTGCTCCAGGGTTATAAAATGTGTAAGCCAAATCTTGCGCGTGAACGCCTGGCGGAACGTCAAAGTAGTATCCCCATGACCCAATATCTTGGTATGCAGTGTCTATATACCGATTGTTACAAATAAAAAAATAGTCTGTGATCGTGTTTATTAATCGGTCTCTCTCATTTCTGTTTGGATCGTTGCTCCAATTAGATCTTTGGCTGTAGAGGTGGTTGTCCAAATAATTTATAATATCTGCAGACGCAGATGGCAAAAGCTCACGGAGATATTGTAGATACTGACTCTCGTCAGTGACTAGTGGAGAGCCAAAACTCCTCCCTTCATGACTATTGTGACCTGTAACAACTTTGATCGAGTGGTCGAAATGCCCCTGTTGAAACAAGACACCTGGCATTTTAGGAACATAGCGTCCATCAACTGTAGGCCCCCAAGTCATGGAACCCCAATATGATGGGGCAGTAGTTACTTGGTTGATTTGAAGGAGTGTAGTAAACGGAACGTTCTTTAAGTCTTCTAGTGTGGATAGTTGCGAAGTCGTCAGAATGCTTGCCCATTTGAGAACCATATCAAAATTGTAATCCTGGACTTCGGTGCTCGGGACCGGTGCCAATGCTGGGCTTTGGATGATGGCCTGACTAAAGGGTGCTTTCAGCTTGCCTCCTTCTGCAATGAGATGATGCATGATGCTTCCCGCGCCGGCAGATTCCCCCATGACGGTTATACGACCCGCATCTCCACCGAATAGATGGATATATCTCTTAACCCATTCAAGTCCGGCTCGTTGATCTCGTAGACCTATATTAGAGATTCCGCCCTCGGATTGAAATTTAGGTCCAGATAGCCAGCCGAACATGCCTAGGCGGTAATTTAGGGAAACGAAAACAATTCCGGAAGAACTGTTGGTGACTGATTGATTGATAAGATTATTGGGATTGCCAGCTGAGTTCTTATCACCGGACACATACCCCCCACCATGGATCCAGACGAGCACTGGTACATAATCTAGATAGCATGAATTTCAAATCTGTTATAAAAGATCGGTATGACTTTACACTTACCTTTAAAATCGTGCCGATTCCACACATTCGTTGGAACAATTACATCCAGTGTCAAACATTCTTGCACAGTACGGGGATCGACATGGGCTGAAACGGTATTAAATATATGTGGGTCACCTGCATCGTATTGTGTTTTGATTGTGGAGAATGTGTTATTCGCTGCGCTGAGGCCCACTGGATGTTTTCGCGACGATATTTGACTTCCGAGAACTTGCCACCATGGTGTACTTTGGGGACATATACCTTGAACCTGCCCACTATTTATACAGCGGTGTATTGTCGTAATATTCTGAGGCGCCGCGAATAAGGGTGCGGTTGCATATTGAATGTTGGAAAAGTTGTAGAGTTCTTCATCTAACTATAGAAGGTCTGTTAAGAGGATATTTATACAAATTGTGGGCGGAATCTGACAATCGTACATTTAATGTAGCCTGTTGTATTATGTATCCCAAATCCACAATTGGGAGGGAATTTGTGTTGTCTGCGGTTGCCCACAAAAGATAGAGCAGAAGATTCAGAATCAAAATGTATATATCCATCTAGATACCAAGATTCTAGACCACTGCTATATATGTAGGTTTCGATGCTGGGTGTAAATATGTAGGACATATGAGATTTAAAATGCTGCTTAAGAGACATATTTATAGAAGTAAAAAAGTTTGGCACTGGGATACTCGACAGTTCAAATTCTTTGTTTGGTCACGAATGCTACATATGTACCGAAGCTTGATAATATCCTGGTTGCATAGGAGACAGATGGACCATTCTCTTTTTGAGCGTTTTGTTTGCCCCAAATTGCTTGTATTGCAGGAGAAAGCCTCGCTAATATTCGAGCTACGCTTGTAGGAAGCCGCAATTTGCTAGTTCTTTATGTCACTAGATACTTTGACTCCGTACGTTACCTAAGCCGTTTCTCATATGTCAGATTTTAATGTTATTTTCCTGGCAACAATGTAGTGAAGTGGTGGATTGCTCCCCATTCCATCGCTGACTCGAGTATTAGTCAATTCAAACCTCTACATATATTTTTACACCAACGTCGTATGAGGGCAACTTCACCCTTCGAAGCAAGAGCAAAGCCCAAGATAAGGTGATAAATTTGCGGTAATTAGCAGCAAAGAAGCATTACTACCATTTCCGCTGTTATTGTGGACTAGCACTTGGTGGCTTAATTCGTTGTTGATACAAAGAAATGGGAGTTCCAGATCCGGCAGTCGTGGGACGAATCCGCCGTCTCCAACCGGAGACGACTTCGAATGCCGGTTTAATCAATTTTAAACCCTATTATTTTATGCCTATGACTGTCACATCCAAAGGTTGAGTCATTCCAGAAAGTGTGCAGCAAGACTGTTTATTACACACAGCAGGAGACGAGACACCTCCAAGAGCCTGATGATTTAGCTTTAGTGGGAGTGAAATATCAGCAAGGAGACAAGACTACATAGCTGATGCGATGCCTTGCATCGGCTGTTATGCATCTCCCTCTGTTCGAAGAATATCAAGCTGCCTCCGGATCAGCTTCCAGGTTTCTTCTTGTAATTATATTGATATTATCGAGGATATATTTTGCGAGTATAAAAGGGGGAAAGAGAAAACCGTCGTGTTCGCCTTTGCCCTTGGTCATTATTGTCAGGGCTTTCGTATCGATTTGATTCGTTCAGCCTTTTGTAAGGGATTGATCTTAAGTCTTCTTTAGACCCTGTTGTGCAAGGTGCACATGGCGCCTACCACAAGGCCCCGTTCAGGCACTTCCGCTCTAGAAGGACAGCCGCTGTTAGGCCGCCCGCCGATGACCAGCGCGCCGAAAGGAAATTGATGTTTTGGCAATATCTGAAAAACGGTACGCGTCACTCGGGAAGACTTCCAGGCTCTTCAGTTAACACTTATTATCCGATGTTGTTTTGAGTTGGTAGTCGGTTTTGCTAGCCGTCGGAATGTGATCCTGGAATATACTATTCCGTCAGCACTTATATGGATATATTTTAGACCTACCATTGACCATATCAGACGAGAATGATTGCCCGACACCACGGACAATTGAATAAACTATCGATGTTGTGTCGTAGGGATATCGATAAAAAAGGAAATATTCAGGAACTTCAGAAGGTTCCTACCAATCAAGCGACTCTACAACGTTGTGGTAGTTGTGCTACTTAAATATTATTCAAATATTCCTAGGTCAATTTACTGAAGTCATTTAACTGCTTTAATATAGACGTTATATTGGTAACAATACTGTACACTAGCAGTATCATCACTACATGTATGCAGGGCGGTGAGGCATTGGGTTAGATTAGTAATGGGTCGAGAATTTACGTCAATAATAGGCTAGAAAAATCGCTGCGTCGCTTTTTATTCTAGGGGTAAATCCTAACACATTGCGGGGTGGCTCCGGCGTGACACGAAACCCACAAACATCATCAATCAAGTGATCTGACGGTCCACGACATCTTCAGCCTTGACAAGGATGCCTCCGCAACACCTCTCCTCCTCAGTCCCCTTTCTTACCGAAGCCGGGTTAGAGACAACAATCTACTACAAACACAAAATTAATCTTCCCTGTTTCTCTGGTACCCCGCTGCTGACATCCTCATCAGGCCAACAACTGATTACTTCCCTTTACAAGGCTTACGCCAATATCGCTGCTGCACATGGCATGGGAATCATCCTTGATACGCGGACTTGGCGGGCGTCTTCTGCGTGGGCTGAGCCGTTGAAGTTTACAGAGGCCGAGTTGCTGGACCTAAACCGCTCGGCGGTGAGACTTCTCAAGGAGGTGCGACGTGATTTGGAAAAGGAAAATCCAAACATTCGCATTGTACTTGATGGTGTCCTAGGTCCATTAAGAGATGCATATGAAACTTATTCTTCGGATGAAATATCGGTAGTGGCTGCGAAAGACATGTATCGCGATCAGATTTCTGCTCTAGTTGACGAGGGGGTAGAGCTTCTATCTCTCATGACGGTGACGAATCTAAATGAAGCAATTGCTATAGTGGAACTAGCAAAGGAAAAAAGCATCCCAGTCGCGGTTTCATTCAGTCTAGAGTCAGATGGGAAGCTGCTAGGTGGACGATCCTTGGAAAATGCTATTCAATCTGTGGATACGGCGACTAACGGGTATACCGCATATTTTGGTATCAACTGCGTGCACCCAGTGAGAATACTGCAGCCTTTGCAAAATATGCCGTCTCACCTGCGACAGCGAATTGGTTTATTTCGAGGTAACGCTAGTCTTAAGAGCCACGAGGAGCTAGACAATAGCGATACTTTAGACCGTGGGGACATTCCTACGTTTGTGGATGCAATGAAGCAAGTATTAGAGCTGTTACCAGCTGTCAAGGCAGTTGGTGGATGCTGTGGTACAGACGAGGAACACCTCAATGCTATTGCCGGACTATTCACTTAGCTTTGGTGTTTATGTAAGGACTAAGTGTGGGATTGCTAAGTTAATTTAAACCTCGGATAATAGAAAACAAAAACAATGAAATGACAGCAACAACAGGTCAAAGGAGAAATTGCAAATTGAAAGAAGAAATAAAATCTATTCATTTACCGCTACGGATGTATAATAAGACAAGCTGGAAGGAAAGCTTAACCCAGTAACAGCAAAGCCATTAGTCAAGGAATATAGAGTCTAGTTAGTGTTCCAACGATGGCAACAACGACTAATACTGATGGGCTGAGTGGCCCTGCCTTGGAACTTGGTTATACCCCGTGGATATTGTTTGGAAGTTTCCGTAAAAGCCTTGAGGCGGCGAAGTCTGATGATTATTCTCTTCATATTGACGAATCGGCCGTAGCTCCTCTGATACGTTTTCATCGCTTGGTAATCTTTTCATAGGTACCTTGGATTTCCTTCCTCTACAACAGCAAGAGCAGCAACATATCTTTCGTAAGCCAGAAGGAGGTAACTCAGAGCCTGGACCTTTTAAAACTTTCCCAGGGTGCACGATGCACCATACTCCAGCGGCAAATACCATCGGCACAGCATCGAAAACATACACAAACCATTCATGACTTATTATTGGACTTGAAGCATCAGTTCCATCGGAAAACTCGACTAGTCGATAGATGATGCGGACGGTAATGGCGGAAAGACTAAAATACAAGGCATATATCAGGCCTTTCCAGCGAGTCTTGTCGCCTACTAATGCGCCCATGCGGTCAAGCCGATGCATTTTCCGGTGGAATAAAATGGCAACAATGAGGAAAACCACGATGAAGGCTTCTTGAATACCGATACCACCCATGTATATGTGAACCCCCTGCGTCATTGTGGACTGATCAGCACCGGGTCCAGCCATACCTCCGCCGATGAGCTGAATGACAAAGGAGCCGAAGTCTAGAAAGACAAATATAACGGCGAGTAATGAAGGCTTGAAAATACCGACGCGCTTTTCGGGGAGAAAGTAGTGAATCATGCGCGCGAGAACCATGTAGTCGAATGCGTTGACCCCTATCGTTTCAAGTTAGAGACATTAATTTGTGGTAATACGGATGGTGTATGGTGACAAACATAGTGGGGCTAATAGAATGAACAGTTGAGTTATGAGTGCAATTGTTGAATCTTGCTGGTGTTTCGTACTGAGCGACCTCGTCAAGAAAGCAACAAATTCCCACGCCAGCCCCATGATGATAACCCAGACAAACTTGGTCTTCAACGCAATTGCTTGTGCAAGGTGAACCATCAGGAGAGCACCAAACACGACAGTGAAAGCGACAGCAGCTTGGAACGACGGATAGTACTCGTAAAGAGCATTGCATTCAGTAGGCGGGACGTAGCCATTTTTGTCAGGCGCGATAGTCGGGAAGCAGGTGTTAGAAGGCAGGTTTAACGTCAGCGGAGGAATCGAGACATGAGGATCAAAATCGTCTCTGATTGTTAAAGTAGGTCTCATTGTAGTTCTCGGGCCATTGCTAAGAGGAGCTGGCGCCGTAGCGTCTCTATGTGTGATAATTGAAGATGGCACGCCTGTCTCGACAGGCATGGCATATAGTTGCGCAATTAGTGCTAGTAAATTTATAGACGAGAATAGGAGATGATTCATTGTGCTAATGCAAGAAATGAAAGATGGCAAAGAACCTAGTCAGTCAAGAAAAAGAATCGGACGAATTCGTTAGGCTATGGACGACACGGTTATGGCCAGCCTTCATGGGCACAACCGATCTTATATGGGCCACTACTTTATCCCCAGTCGCCATTATTATTTAGCTTTAGAAAGACGGTCAATAACGCAGAAGTGTTTCGGGCATGCTCAAAAATAAACGCCATTCTTACCTGATCGCCAGGCACCCACCAAAATTAGAGCTAATGCTTCGCGCTAGCCGATACCTCACTACTTCCAGGAGGCTAAAATTTACGAACAAGCTAAAAGCGACTAGCGTGCAATGCCAAAGCATTCGTTGTAACAGAAATAAGATATATTTAGTCCGTACAGCCATTCATGTGGCTAACGACGTTCAAGGCAACAGTGCTAGCACTCTAGGTAGCTACATGGGTAAAAAGGTCTATCATTCATATTCATAACCCAAACCTCGTCCGACGAGATTACAGGACCAACCATCCGACCTCCATCTACGTGAGGACATTCTTTCCTAAATATTCCCACCTACTGTAAAAGGACACTCTATAACCGCTCTTCTCAGCTCTTGCCAGTACTATGGTTTTTCGCCTCCTCACAACCCTTGTTGTCCGAGGATCCATCTCGTTTTATTCCCAAAATCTTGCCTCTCTCACACACTATGCTCAAAAAGCAAAGGAAGGAAGCTCTGACTAATAAGAAAATGCGACATTATGATCATATTTAAAGGAACTTCAATAAGAACAAATGTATAGGTGGCTATTAGATAGACATCTAAAAGTTCTTTCAGGATATAAATTAGTAGAAAAAGTAGTGAATATGTAATCCTTGTTAGAAATACATATACGAACTAGCGTAGTTAAGCCTGGTGTGGAGAAGTCGACTGCGCGTCCTTGAGGAGTGCGCTCAGGATAGAATGTTTCCCAATAACCACAAACAATCGGCTTCAACAGAACGGCTCTCCTTTGATAAAGTTCCGATCGTATACTATTGCAAAAGACAGAGTTCGAAATTCCACCATATTTGCAGCAGGACAGTAGGTCCGAGATGATACGGCTTTCAGGAATCTCACGCTGCAGTTGCTTCCAAAAACGGCGACGACCTGTTGGACCGGAGCCTCAACTATGGTATAATTCTCTCGTTACAGTGCCTTGCACGATTGCATAGCTAATGAGTCATGGTTTCTTGGCAAATCAAGTCATAACGTTCATTGAACTAGGGTAGAGACAATATAGTGCGGTATCCTAGACTGCATTCTTGACTTGAGAGTTTAGAAAACAACCTTGAAAAGGTTAAGATAGGTAGGGCAAATAAGCAAGGCACTATGCACCATGAAATTAGTATTCTCTGGCTAAGAAACTGTTTGACAGATACATTCTCAGATATCCAATCACGAAAAGCTACGATAGGCATGGCTTGCCACACCCAGCCGCGATGTGCTTCTCAGGGCGGCAGCCGCACGAACTAAATCAGAATGAGTACCCGCGATCTCCTATGCCATTATCTATGTAGCGTTATGGGTAGTAACGTTGAATTTGTAGGGTTTGAAATGGCGGTCATCATTCGAAACATCAATATAAGCCGTCATCGCGCATATTCTAGCCCTAAAAATATTGGTCACTGAGAAGCCATGCAAGAAGACAACATATACTATCCCTACACGATTGATTCTTACTGGAAATATCAATAATATTCTTTGATTGGATGTACGATTTAGATGAGCAAAGGAAGGGACCTATTTGCCATCGAGTGTAAACGGCATCTGGGGAAGATGATATTAATATATTAGCCTCCTGGGTGGAAACTATGTAGAATTTATATATGCATTGATACATAGAGATGTCAATTGGGATGATGGTAATATATATAATATTTCGTTATCGAAATTGAAATTCAGAACACGTTGTGACTATACTAGCATGGATGAGATTAGTTGATAAAAGTCAAGAGATACAATCTTCGGGAGTCTAGTTCTTCGGTGCAATGATGAGCGTTTCAAAATACTCATGAATCTGACTGTCATCACGCCGGATCATGCCGTCGGAGGATTGATCGAGGCATTGTAACTGGCGACGTCTATAAAAATAGATCTTTATTCAATAATGAAAACTCACTATTATTATCTTGGCTCGACCAACAGTTTAATTTCCGCAATCTTTAAGTGGCCGTGGTTGTAAAGGGAAGAGGCTGGAGTCGTTTCTAGCGTGAGGCAACCTGGTTAGTTCGTGCTCCATTGATTGAGATCAAGACCACCAGTTCGTTACTGTCCATAAATGCATGGCAAACCAATGATATCTGATATTTAGACGCACTGACATCATCACATAGGTGGGTTGGACCAGCGCGGCGTCGGACTACATATGGGTTAGTTCGGTTGCGGGTTCCACGATCGACTCCATAGTATACATGCATACACCAAGTGAAGATATAAAGGCCCCTTGGCCGACCAGCAAGCGCTTGTGATCGAGAACCAGGTATCCATTTTATCAATTAAGCATGGACTCTTATATGGACAATCAGCCCCACGTTTTGCATGTCGATTTTACCTGGTCCAACTTCAAAGCAATAATTACTGAAGATGCTCAAACTATTCCTCTATATACTGTGAGCTTCGGACTGCTCCACGCACCTCATATGACTTTTAAATCTGCGGCAAATGGTACAACTATTGGAACTGGCACACTTCACGCAATCGACATAAGCCCTGACTACGAACTACACGGTGTTAAGGGCTCAATAAAAGCGCAGAAACGGTTCAAAACCGTGTACACCTACCAATCACACACATACTCCGAGGATGGCTCGCCGATTACCATGACATGGACTAGCAACAGCGGGTTCAAAATATGGGACTTTGTTTGTGTCAATGAGAAACAAATTGCTGTGGCGAAGTTTTCGGCCAATATGTGGACACTGAAAAAAGTAGGACAAATCGAGCTTCTTGGTCCCAAGGCGGATGATCCTGCAGCGCGCGATGAAATTGTTGTTGTTGGGATCACATTATTCTACTGTATGTGGCTGCGGGTGAACAATGTGTTTAACCTGGCTGGATCGCTTTTCTCTCGTCCGGGCCGCGATAAGGACAAGACCTCGACGACCAACACAGGGAAGGCCACTTAAGAGGCCCCGCCAGCCCCTATAAGGCCCCCGAATAGCCCTGCGCAGATAAGCGGCTTGGGTTCAGGAACACGTTTTGGCACCAGTTCGAGGCAGACGGCGCGGAGAATTAGGGCGCAGGACCCTAAAAACCCCTCTAGTGCCCACTAAAATGAGACCTTCATAGCTTAAAGCTGGGAAAGGTCGTTATACCTAAGTAAATAAAGTAATGCGTTGATTCCTCGATATCATGAAGCAATTCGGAATGCGATATATATATATATACATATATTTTTTAGCTGTGTGGTTTTCGGTTTTTGGGGGGAGGGGGATCCTAGTTATCGACGCAAGCATCAATTGATAATAAATAGCGTAGAGGGGGCATCCAGCACCCTCCTATTCTCTTTTTGGACCCAATATACCACCTATGCCGATTAAGGATCCCTACAGTCACGTGAATGTAGTAGAAGCATATAAACGACCAGCTTACCCCATCTTTTTTTTAGTCCCTTCGCTAGACTCGGTATTTTGACTATAGTACTTTCTTTGCAAGAGACTATTCTGGCAGTACCCAGCAGCACTTTCCACCAGTTCAAATATTCACAAGGATGGAAAATATTCAACTTCAAGGTGAATCATTTAGAGCCGGTTAAATCCCTTCTTTTTTAACTGAAATGTCTGTTATGTCGTGTTTAGATTACATTGCCATCACTCAAATCGCCTTTGAGTGGGCTGATAGCCACGACAAAAAGGTAAGCTATTTACTTACTAGCGGCGCATGATTACCTTGTTTATCTAAGATAGGACTGGGATAGACTTCGAAATATTCTAGCACCAAACCTATTAGTATGTATTTAGCATCCGCTCCGAGCCGCACTACTGAATGCGTTCGAATGCGTTTTTGGACTGACCTTGTGCTGGCAGATTGACTACAGCATCGTTGGTCAGCAATGCTTCCCACATATGAAGTCCGAGGAATTCGTTTCTATGATAAGCTCTCCTAATTTCGTAGGAGATCCGCTCGTTCGCACTCAACACCTGATCGGGTCGGCCAATTACGAGTGGGTGTCTGACACTGAGATCGTTGCCGTCCATCAGATTCGTGCTGCACACCAACGCTACGCAAACCTTGATACCACCACAGTCGCTTATCGAGGTCACGGCTATGGTAGCGTTAAACATTGGTACAAGAAACTTAACGGAGTATGGAAACTTGCTGGCGTACGCCCTGAGATGTATTGGAGTGAGCATGACTTTGACAAGATCTTTTCCGCACCAGCTTAATCAATTTTCCAATCTACTGAAGTAGTGTAGCCTCTTCCTTTCCATCTATCAATTGATATACACTCGACCCAAAATATGTAACCGTCTAGTCGAAACTCAAACTTATAATGCTATTACATTACATAGACAGTTACAGGGGAGGTCGTGGATGCCCGTCCCAATCTAGTTCATGCGGCGAGCCGGCGGCCGGGGGAGGTACACAGACGGCCATGATGCAACCTAGAAGCGGTTGCAAGGCGATGCAGCCTGGAATCCACCGACTCTAGTTATTAGACTTCTAGAAATGGATGACAGCGCCAGAACTCGCAGAGTACTTTCCTTCGCTGGGTTGTCCTTGTGTGCCTCCCAGCTCGGTACTAACATCCCCTCAACCGGTTTAGCCTAGATTCTGGAAAATGACCTCACCACCTTAGTTACTCCTCATAAGTTTCATCTAAAGTCACTTGTAGGACGTTTCTTCTTTATCTTACTTCGTTCGTTTTAGGGCAGTGTCGGGATTGTCAAATATCAGCGTACCCTCCCGCAGGATAGTATCCCTTCCTCTCCCTTCGGTCGTCTTAGGGTATTTTATATTAAAGTAAATTAAGTTATTATATTAATTAATCTTAATAAGAGGTTTCTAAAAAAATGTATAAAACTAATATAGAGGATCTAGCTATAATCTACATAAACTATATGTTTATCACGTGACTTCATGTCATCGGCAATCATATCTCCGGACTCCCACGTTTGGAGCAATTCCGGGGTAGTATAAAGCTAAAGACTATTTCTTTCTTGACTTACTTCTAAAGGAAAAGTAAACTTTAGCATTACTTTCCAAAGACCATCCAGCTATTAATTTGGCTCTTATCTACAATTTGAAAAAATGTGGCCTTTACGGACGGGCAACCATGTTGATTGTGTACACAATGGCTTTATATCTTGTTTTCTCATATCACTAGGAACAATTGCCTTTGGCTACCCATCTGTTATTGTTGCTTCGACGCTAGCAAAGCCATCCTTTTTAAAATATATGGGCCTTGGTGACGAGAATGGAATCTACCATGATAAGGAAGGGATGGCAGGAACCATTACTAGTGTCTTCCAGGCGAGTCATGCTCTTCCACGACGATCCAGCTCAAGGACGTCAAGAACACAAAAACGGAAAAGAAATTACGAGCTGATATGTGTAACAGGCAGGTGCTGTGGTAGGCATTCTATGCGGTTGTGAGATTTCCGACCGCTTTGGACGAAAGAATGCGCTGCTCTATTGCTCCATTATCTCAATAATCGGCGGCATTGGAGTTACTGCGGCCCAGAACATGGCCATGTTGTTGGTATTTCGATTCTTTGCCGGTGCCGGCAGTTTTGCGTACTTGGCTCTGGGTAGGTCTATTCACTCTGTTTTGTTATTTTCATGGCGATTTACAATCCAAAGCACCGGGATACATCTCCGAACTTGCTACGCCCAACATGCGGGGTTTCTTTGGAGGCCTTTGCGGTGTCTTTCTCGGATTCGGCTATTGTTGCGGGGGTTTTATGGGTCTGGCCTTCTATTATGCTCAGAATGAAGCCTTGCAATGGCGAGGACCTTTCGGGATTGGAATCATTTGGCCCCTGATAACTCTAATTGTTTGCCCCTTTATTCCCGAGTCACCCCGTTATCTGTTGATGAAGAATAAGCCTGATGTAGCCTGGGAGGTTATGGCTCAGCTTCGTGCCGGCCCTGGAGAAGATGGTCATATGTTCGCGTTGGCCGAGTTCTCTCAGATGAAACAGCAAGCTGCATTCGACCGTGCCTTGGACGGGTCATGGATGCAGCTGATTAAGAAGCCATCATATAGGAAACGCGTGATTCTAGCTTCGGGAGTTTCCTTTCTTGGCCAGAGTACGGCGGTGTTAGTCCTCAATAACTATGTATATTCTGCTAAATGCATTATCAGGCTCAACTGATGTTCTCTACAGGGTCCAATTTTTTACTCCGCCCTTGGCTTCGACACACGCGACCAACTTATTCTTGCTGGCGCCAGAGATACCAGTATGTTGGAAATTTTCTCGTGGCAAACTTGCGGGCAGCAATCGATTAACAGAGAGCTAGTTGCATTTCTCGGAAATATTGTCGGCGCTGTTCTTTTAGATAATGTCGGAAGACGGCGTATGCTGCTCACTGGGTTCGGCGGCTGCCTCGTCACCCTATGCGTCTTCGCGGCGACGGTCGCTGAGGTTGAAAAGCACCATAGCATGGGGACTGTAGGGGTTGGCATAACGGCGCTGTTTGCGTTTCTGGTCTTTTTTGCAATGGGTGTTGACGCCCCGACCTACGTCTTTATGAGTGAGATATTCCCCAGCCATATGAGATCTAAAGGGATGGCTGTTGCCATTGCAATATATGCATTGTCGGCAATTGTCTACCTACAGGTTACTCCTATGGCTGTTAGTAGCATTGGGTGGAAATACTTCCTGGTATATATCTTGCATATTCCCCTGTTTCACTAGACCGTACCCTAACCTCTCACCTAGGTCTTTATATGCATTACTGCTGTTGGCTGGGTGTGGATGTATTTCGAAATTTTCGAAACTAAAAAGATTCCATTGGAAGAAATGGGCGAGAAATTCGGTGATGCGGATGAGGTGGTTGTCCATCTGTCGGAGACGTTGGCGGAAGCGGACTCGAAGCGACAAGTCGTTCACCCCGAGGAGCCACAGAAAGAAGGGAAACAAGTTCCCGCTGAGCATCTAGAGTACTCCAATAAGTCATTGACTATCTCAGAGCCGCGTGCTGAATGATGCAAGAAAAGAGTGTTGATTCTCGTGGTTAGGTACCACATGAAACCTTGGTTGGAAAGAAGAGGTGTTCAGGTTCGTTTATTCTCATAGGAATATAGCAGATTATATTGACCTACTATTGAAACTATGCCAGCATATTAACACATGTTGACCATAGAATACCACTGGTTGGTGATGTTAGATTATTTATTATTTCTGTATATTTTAAACACCTGCCCGCCACAAGCATCAAATTCGACTGCTTGAGAAAATGGAAAGCATTCAAAAAATTAGAACTTGTAGGTGGAGCGTGACTAAGGTTCTAGGTACAGAATATATGAGAGGGCCTTTAGTATTATTCCTCTGCTCAATTAGACTTCCTTGCCTTCTGTATAAAAAGGCCTTCATCAGGGCTCTCCATTCATAAAATTTATTCGATATTGAAGATGATACTAACCTTGAGGTTTACATAGGAACATATCAGACACAAAACATCCCACAGTGGCAATTCAAAATTCTTAACATATCACTATAGGTAACGAGGTGCATAGTGGACTTCATTCTACTCAAACATCATTCTACCTTTAATTATAATTTACTTACCATTAGTTATGAAACAAATTCAACTATAAGCAGCGGCATAGAGCCAGAAAAACTCAACTACGTAAATGCGGTAGCATGGATATTGATGACAGTCAGACTCTTCAACACTAGAAATATTTTGAACTACAGGTACGGGTTTCATCAAAGTCGTGATCGGAAGCAGCGAGTTGAGACAAAGACTCGGTGCTGTGGTGCTTGCGAAACACTGGCTATAATGCGCATACTGGTCTAATTGCTATAGAAACCTCTAATGAAGAGACTAGCAATGAAGAATGGATTTATTAGGTTGTGGTTATCTTATTGTAAGATTGTATATGTGATCAATTTCAGTCTTGCATTTGCACCTACGTTAGGTCTAACATATATCAAAGATTTGCCTGATTGACTGCATCAGCTTCCTTCTGGGCCTGAGCTCTCAACGTGCGACGCAAAATTTTGCCACTGACACTCTTAGGAATTGCATCCACAAAACGAATGCCTCCACGTAGCCTTTTATGTTGTGCAACCCTAAAATTCAGCCAACAGATAATTTCGGCTGCACAGTCCTCGTCAGAAACAAATGACTCGTCTTTGCTGCGTGTGCGGACAATATAAGCACGCGGGACTTCAGTTCCACGCGCTGGGCTATCAACTCCAATGACCGCCACATCGTTGACATCTTTGTGATAACTTAACAGGCCTTCAAGCTCGGCTGGTGCCACCTGCGAACCTTTGTACTTGATCAACTTCTTAATGCGATCCGTGATATAAAGTTGCCATGCTCGTCCTGATAACCTACATCCCCCGTGCGGAACCATCCTTCAGCTGAAAGGCATTTGGAAGTCGCTTTGACCTGTTGATAGTATCCTTGGAAAATGTTGGGTCCGCGCAGGTACAGTTCTCCTATCTTGCCTATTGGGACTTCGTGTAATTGTTCCAGTTCGCTATCGGATTTACTGCTTTCTATCCCTATCGTCCTGTACTTCGCTTCCATATTAGGCATCAATTTTCCAATGGAACCAAAATATTTACTCCAATCATCCCAAAGCTGCATATGTGTAACAGGGCTAGTCTCACTAAGTCCATAGCCTTGTTTGACCGGAACGTTGATTCGCCTTGCTGTTGCGAGTGCAAGATCACGGCTCAAGGGTACTGCGCCGGAGTGAAGCATGCGCAGGCTGGAAAGACGATATTTGTCCACAATAGGATGCTTGGTGAGTAGAAGGAGGACTGGTGGCACGACATATGAGAACGTAATTTGGTAGTTTTGAATATAGGCGCAGAACCTTTAGATATCGAATCGAGACATTATGATGGTATGATAGCCCGCGTACAGAGGTTGATGAATGTGACAAGTCAGTCCTATACCAAGTGTTTTCTTAGCACCCAGATTTATATAATCAGATATCGAACTAGATTGGGGACTATAGATTACCATAAATATGGAAAAGGGGCAGGAATGCCAAAACAGAATCTCTCTTCCAAGTCAAGTATCTGCCATCGACGCTGTCTATTTGTAGTATATTTGTCACAATGTTAGTGTGTGAGAGCATAACACCCTTGGGTAAACCGGTTGTTCCTGATAAGTGTCAGTAAGCTAGCATGATGACCCATATGAGTAACAGGCTGCTTCCAGAGTAACACGTATCGGACCACAATAAAGGCCGAAACTGCACGCACCTGATGAGTAAACCAAAAACGCCAAATCTCCTTTTGGGTCAATCTTAGGCCTCGAGTTCTTGGGTACCAACCGTATATTGCCAGTATCCTTTCTTAAAAGGTCCCAAAAATGCTTGCTGTCACCATCGGTCACTGTCTGATTTCGACCGAGCAGTAAAATGCTATTATCGGGGATACCAACACGCTTAGCAGCAGCCCTAACAAATGTAACTGGTTCAACTGTGTAGCGATTGCCTTAGCCGCGGAGTTGCGCAGCTGAGCAGTCAGCTCGTCTACTGTGTAAGCGGGGTTGACGGGTGACACAACACCGGCAGCCCAGAGCGTGCCAAATGTGATAACGGGAGTATCGATACAATTTGGTGTGAAAATAGCCAATACATCTCCCTTCGGCCAGTTCCAATGTAATATCAACGCTCGCCCAAGAGCTTGTGCCGTCTTCTTGACTTGGACGAATGTGTAAGATTGCTTTGTCTCGGCATCTTCAAAGATTCTATCGGGTTAAGTTAGCCTATGTCTGTTTCCTCCTAGGTAGGTGGAGATTCAAATATAATATACCCTTGTTTGGTGGAAATGGGATGTTGCGCTCAAACAGAAATGTGACAATATCTGCTTCTGGAATATCCAGAGCAGGAAGCAACGATTTGCTAGGCATATTCTTCGCAGCAGACTCAGAGTTTTTCACTTAGCATACTATTCTTACAAGACGGAGTATCAAGTAGTTAAATGACGCGCCTTGTAGAGGGGGCGGGGGTTATAATCTTCGCACATACAATCACACACTGGCAGCTAAATACTCGTCGGATGTCCAATCTCCAGAGTATAGGAGAGAGGGGTGCCAGTGAGTGGATCGCCCACTACTGGGACATTTTGTCATTTGCGAGATTACAACGGTTGTTGTGCATATGACTTGCCTCTCTGGGCTGGATCATAATTTGATGAGAATTTTGTCCATTATGGGGGATCTCTATTGAGGAAGCCGAAGTATCTCAATCTAACTTACACTCCTATTTTGTTAAATATAGCTTGATATCGCATTCCTATTGTATATGCTTAGTAATAACAGATGCAACTTTACATATCTGGAGACTAAGTGTTACAGTGTTACATAAATCTGCAATTTCCTTGCCATAACATCTGACCAAAGACATCGTTGTCGAGAGTGATTACACGTCTACCTTCCAAACCCGTCGATGATTCGGCGCCGCGAGTCGAGACAATACTTTTTGGGTCCACTGCGATTTGATCGACTTGGACCATTGTTCGCCGCCAAGCCCATTCTCCGGATTATACTGATGAATGGCGACATACGGAGCGGCAAATTCAGTATTAGTTCCAAACGTAGCCACCCTTTTGTAGCGACTTCCGGTGCGCCAACCAGGTACATCACGTAGAATAGGCATATGTTCCTCGCGATACCAGTCGTAAAAGTCTTTGATGATCTCTTCAGTCTCAATGGGTGACATACCCACGGTGACCACGACTGTTCCTGGTGGGCGGTCGCGGGGCTCAATATCATCTCGTGCATCGAATGCAATGCGCTCGTACAGCTGGAAGTCGATTTTTCGTAGGTCAAGATTACACGCCTCAGAAGAGAGAAGAGATTGGATTAGGTTATTGGTGATTATACTCGTGTCCTCGACATGATAGCTATTCTCGTAGCGATAGGTGTTACTCTCCTTGACTTCGTCAGTCGCTGTGAGATGGTCGACTTTGTATACCCCCACCAGCTTGGAAAAGGCTTGTCTGCGCCAGAGCAGAAACTCTTCTTCGTTCATCGATGCTGGCAGCTCGAATTGAACGCGCAAAAGACCGATGGGCATATTGATGGATGTGGAATGGCTTGTAGTAGGGAAGGTTTTAAATCGTATGGGTTTGGGTTGCTGAAGTATCAAAGTTTTTCAACGCAAATTTAAGCCATATATAACTCATGGAGAGAAGTGAGAGGATTGCGGCGGCATGTGAGAGAAACCGGAGGTCTGACTTCCGAGTAAACAGAAGAATCAACTGGCGGAGATCCAGTTTTTCTCACAATAAGCTCGATTTAATTTGATTTTTTCTTTTCCCATTTTCATGAGCAAAATATTTTCAACTCTGCCAATGCCAATAGTGATAAGACGATAATCAACAATTGAGCGATGTTTGCTGTATCTAAGATTCCCCGATTCGACGAACTACCTCTCCGCGAGGGCGATCCCCCATTCTCCGCCTGGGGACTTTGGAAAAATCCCGAGTATGGATCTCTCAACTATCTGACTGAAAAGACGTTGTTGCAAGCTGCTCGAAATGAAATTCAGACAGGTCAAAGAGTTTCGCTGGAGTGAGTGATCCTTGAATTGAGCACAACAGGAAGACGAATGCTCACGTATGAATAGTCTGCCTTTGGACCTAATAAATCCTCCTTTGTTAGGGAGAAAATGCTTCGAGAGAGAAATTATAAACAAGGCCCCTAGGGTTATCAATGACGATGTAGTATGCCTCTATCTTCCTCACTCTATCAACTGACGAGACCATTAATTACTTGGCATCTATGGGACAGATCACGTTCAATACCCAGGGAAGCTCGCAATGGGATAGTTTTCGACATTTTGCGTATCAGAAACAAGGCAAATTTTATAACGGGTGAGGTTGATGCATTATGACTCCATAGATATAAGCAAACTATCGTCTAATATAACCTGTATAAAGAGTAACTCAGGACGATATCCACAATGACCGGTCAAGTACCGTTGGTTCTTCATCCCTCTGGGCAGAAGGATTGGGAGGTATTGTCGGCCGAGGCGTCTTGATAGACTATCACACCTGGGCAGGCGAAAATGGCATTCAGTACAACCCTCTAGCCGCCTACCCTATCCCCTTAAACACAGTGAAGCTCATTGCCCATGAAAATGGTATCGAATTCCGGTCAGGCGATATTCTCTTTTTACGCACTGGTAGGGAAGCGGCTTGAACCTAAGTCCAACCCTGATTGCTAATCTTTCTGTCTCGTCGCAGGTTTCGTCAAAGGATACCTTCAGCTCAACAGCACGGACAGAGAAAAACAGTCTATTGTTTCTCATTTCCCCGGGCTCAGTCAGTCCCGACAAACAACTGAGTGGCTCTGGGAGCGACAGTTCTCTGCGGTAGCTGCTGATAGTCCTGCCTTTGAAAATATCCGTAAGTACACTCTCTGACTCGGCAATGCATAACTGTACTGATTGGGATTTGCGAAATAGCTGCATCTGACCCTGAATATATGTTGCACCCCATTCTCTTATCTGGGTGGGGAACCCCAATCGGTGAGTTGTTTGACCTTGAGGCGTTGGCACAAAAGTGTAAAGAATTGAAGCGTTGGTCATTTTTTGTAACATCTGCTCCTTTAAACTATACAGGGGCTGTGGCAACACCGCCTAATGCCCTTGCTATTTTTTGAGATCTAGTTTTCATTTAAGTCAAGTGATATAATAGGAATGGCTGCAGATCAACGTATTGCTTATTTCACCCTGACCAAAGCAAAGTTTTCCTGGTATGACTCTTTGTGCCTACTAACTAAGCCGTGGTGTCTCGAACTTGGACACTCTGCGCAAGCGAACGCATCCTCGATCAGCAATCCGAGATACAATATCACGAATGAATTCCAAATCTTCTTGTCGGCCACCATTCATTAAAAAAGCCAGCATATGATTTCTTGCCTGTTCTGGGCAGTCGATCCCCAGCAAAGCAGAAACGACCACTTGCTCCGTCTCTAAGAGGTCGAGTATTCCGTCAAACGAGAAAACGTGGCCATAGAAGAGCTCTAAGTTTCACACAAGTAGTTAGTTATGATATTTACATTCTCAAACTACACTTAATTGACGAACTTGCCGGTCACTATGTAATAGTAATCAGGACTTGCATGCAAGGTCTTGCGCTCGTCATACTCCGGGATGTTGTCGTAAATCAAGGAGTGCATGTTTCGGCCTCGCTCAATGGCCATCTCTTGCGTGTCGGAAGCTCTTTGAATTTCGTCACCATGATGTCTTGACTGAATATTTTCATCTGGTTACTTACCGGTAATGTGTTAATTCTATGAGTTCCGGGGGAATAGCAGTCGCTAGTTGACGAAGACTTGACCCTGCCTATTAAAATCTATTAGTAGAGGTTTTCCTATTATGATGAAGAAGGGATTTACTTTGGCAGCTCCCATGATCCCGCATAGTTTGGTCAGCCCTTCCCTGATCTTCCGCGTCTCATTTAACCGACTTCCTTTCGGAATATACCTATCTAACAAGAGGCTGTATAGCTTAGGAATTTCTTCCGGGTAGTTCAGTGCTCCCAGAGCGACAATTGCGGTTTGATACCATTTAAATTGAGATGATGGTTGTAATTGGGCGAGGGAGTTGTAGAATTCATGGTCAAAAGGTGATGAATCTTGACCTTTCATTCTGTTTAGTTGATATTTCCTTCAGAAGCGGATTCAGGAGCTAAGTAGCTTGCAGAACAAAAGGTTTAGCTGAATCTGATGGAAAAAAAATTATTATGCACGGATTCTTCTCGTTTGGATGGACATATTAAATTAACCAGCTGACTCGGTGGCCGGATTTGAGATCTCCGTGACAATCGGGCATTCCCCACAAACTTCATACACTTAAAGAAAGTCTACTTAAGGATATATACGCTTTACATCATTGTTGATACACTTTACGGAGTTAAAATAACAACTTTCATTAAAGAGAAGAGTGTCGAGTACTGCACCCATTCCAGAAATGGCCCTATGTCTTGCTCCAACATTGAAATTCAAAGGCAGAGACCAGGCGACTCAGGTACGTACTTCATCTTAGTCTGACATAGACATTGGACAGCGACTTACGCATAGATATAGTTCCTCGGTCTAATCCGCGATATCTACCAGGTAACATATAAGGATGAAGACGAATGTCGGGCATACTGCTGGTTTCGCAAAGATGATGACCCGTGCACGGTCCAGGGATTCGAATTGTACGTTATCATACATATTCCGTTAAAGAACCTAGTGGTCTCTTTTACTGACTCACCTCGACTAATATAAATATGAAGTTACGAGAATGATAATGCCCTTACAGTCATACACCGGTCCTCCAACCCTTATAAGAAAATGAGGAAATTTCTAGCCGCTCTGCAAAGCACAGGGTCCAAGGATGCCAAATTTCCACCCTTGATACTTATGACTCCGGTCGAGGGGTTTGTGAATAATAATAACAAATCACTCCACTTTGAGAGTCGAAGCTGTAAGCTTACGATTACAAAGATTGAAGTCTGCAGCGACCATGGCGAGGCAAAATCCATCTTGACGTCTTTGGGGAGTCTTGCCCGTAATCTCAATAGCAAGGTCATGGGATTGGCATGTTTTGTAGCCGTGACTGAAGAAAAAGAAGGAGACCAACCAAATAATCACTCTGCCGTTGATCATTCTACAACGGCTCATTTTTTATTTGTTCAATGCTACTCGTTAGAGAGCGCCTCTCCCGAGCTGTTTGAAATGAATACTCAATATTTGTAAGTGCATTGCATAATTCACATTTCCAGGGAATGTTGCATAACCCTGACCTCTTGTTTAGGGTCAATATTGCGAATATCTTCACAGCTAGAGTAACTATGATAGATTGCGTGGACGGTTTTGGGTTTATGAGAAGCAAACCATATTACACGAATCGCTATATGTGATTAAGTGAATTTCGATAGTTGATAGATGCTAGATGGAAATTCAAGCTCCTTCATGGCCATTTTGTATTCAATTCAATTGATTCATGCCCCATAGCTATTCGCATTATGTGTGTATATCAGGAAGGATAAACAGCCTCCAATACGAGTCAAAGTCCAAGGTCTGTGTGTCACTCACTTCTTCCTTCCTCTGCTCGCGCAGGGTAAGCCCATTACCCAGGTAATGGAAACGGTTTTGTTGAAGGTATTCTAGGTTATAGTCCTCCCAACGGGGATGCCGCAGCGCCTCTGCAAAATGGTAGCAGCTGCCGGCGTAAAGACCCACAATGCGGCCGTCCGTCGTGCCCCGCTTATACCAGCTTCGGCATGGAGCCGCCCAAACTGTATCTTTGAGCCAGGCCTGGGAGTGTTCATTCAAGTCAGCGACAGCTTCCTCAGTCACTGTCATCGATTTAACGCCCTGCGTTTGCAGCTTTTTTATGCAGTTATATATATAGACACCCGTCATCTGAATGGCCTGTACAAGGGAGCCATTGGAAACGGGGCTATTTGGTCCTATGAAGCAGAAATAATTCGGCATCTGCGGAACAGTAATCCCGAAGTAAGCGTCTGGATCCTCCTTGTCCCACTTTTCAGCTAAATTTACTCCATTCTGACCAATAATGGGGAAGCGAGGTTTGAAGGTTGTGTCAAATCCAGTTGCACATATAATGGCATCCACGAGCAGAGTGCGTCCGTTGCGAAGGATGATTCCTTCCCCCGTGATTCGGTCCAGGTCATTCCAATGAGTGTCGACATTCTCTCTCACCATTGCCTCTAAGAAGCCTTGGCCGGGAGTCAGCCTGCGACAACCGACTGGAAATTCGGGAATAATAAGCGACGCTAATCTCTGGCCTTTCTCGCCTTTTCCAAGTCTCTCCAACATTGACACCACATAGCTCTTTTTAACCCCGTCCAGAACCTCGGGGCCTGCGAGTGAGGCTCTAAATTCATCAATGCGACGGTTGGATAGCGCCTTGCGGTGGCCTAGCAGATATTCGGGGTCTTCGTGGAAGCGTTTGATCTCATTTGAGACGTAATTGTACTGTTCATCGAGCTCGGGATCGCCGTCTTGGGCCTCATTTATACCACGGGCAGGGCTGATCCAGGTCTGGGAGCGAATAAAGTAATCAATGTGGTTTGCAGCTACAGTGAAATGCAGTCTATTATTATCTAGCTGTTCCAGAGAAAGTGGGATTAAGAGCAGGGATGGAGCAGCACACCTTTTGTCACTTGGGGAAGAATCTGTATCCCCGACGACCCAATCCCAATAACTGCTAGACGTTTGCCACTATAGTCATATGACGTGTCCCATTCGGCTGAATGCATTAGTTTGCCTTGATAGGTCTCTATGCCGGGGATGTTGGGCCATTTCCAGTTACTATGATCCTAGTGTCAGCTGGCTCTGGGGTGACATTACTGATCCACGGAACTGCGAAGGAAAGCTTGATAGAAAATTGAAGACAGACTTCAGAACACCAGAAGCGTTGATAAGAACGTGGCAGTAATCATCAAGCTCCACACCATCCGCCTTCACAACCAGATTCCACACCCCAGCGACATCATCCCATTTTGCTGATACGACTTCATGACCATATGCGAACAGGTCATCACAACCATGCCTCTTTGACACCTGTTTCATGTAGTCAAAGATTTGCTCCGAGCTCGCATAGTAGCCCGGCCAATCTGGGTTGGGATCGAAACTGTAGGCATAGTTATGGGAAGGAATATCACACTGGCAGCCGGGGTATCTAAGTTCCGTAATATTAATATTATATGGAAAGAAAGGAAAGTGCAAAATTTACCGATTTAATAGCCATGTACCCCCCAGGTCGGTGTTCTTCTCGTAGACTCGAAAATCGACACCACAATGCTGCATTCTTTCTTTAGCGATGATAGACATCATCAGCCCTGAGTACCCGGCCCCGATACAAACCACGCGAATTGGCCGGTGTGTTCCTAGTGGAACATGTTCCACCTCATACGGAGCTTCTACAGAGGACATCTTGTGGCTACTCATAGTAAAAATGCGTCGAGAACAAAGACGTGTTCAGTTTACTAGGCAATTACCACCACTCACAACTCGTGAGAAAATGATAATAAAAGGGATTCCTACGAATTTTAAGTCATAGAACATTGTAAATCGAATCATATTTAATATCCTACATTACCTAGTTTTTTCGTGCCTGGTGCTTGGTTCAAGTCCGGAGATCACATCTCCGACTGAAGGAGTCTTCAAGGAATGCGGGGAAATTCCCCTCATTCAAGATCCTGCAAGTTATGCCGAATCTCACCTTTTGACTTATCAGCCTAAGAGACCTTATAGAGAATGTCAGAATTCTGAAAAATTATCAGTTCAGAAAGGAAAGAGCATGTGAGTTTCATAATAATATGACTATGGCTGGCAAGGTAGGTACTCCAAAGCGAGCAGTGCGGAGTAATCACGCATGTCGATTATGCAGGACCCGCAAGGTATGTTGACACAATTTCCTGGGCATATTTCTCCAGGCTTTGTACACAGTCCAACTATCTAACAAGTGCATGTAGGTGAAATGTGATAGTGTCCATCCAATATGTGGGTTGTGCCGAACAGAAAATGCCCAGTGTGTGTACGAGCAGGATCGACGACAGACATCACGGGTGTCTCACATTGTCATTCAACGCCTCACGGAAAAGCTGGCAGAGGTAGAGGAAACGGTGCATAGGCTAGAGCACAGCTTGTCGCAGCGACCAACCGGTCAAATCCAGACTCCACCGGATACTGGAATATCAATTCTATCTCCGACCCATGCCACTTCCCAATCGATAGATAACGTGCTTATGGCCACAATTCCGAACAATAGCGAGGAGAGTATATTCATCGAGGCTTCTCCGTCTGATCAGAGCCTAGACGAAAAACAGACTACCCCTGCTGAGATACATACCGGGGTCGAGAACGATGGAGGTCACATATCAGTATACGGCCCAAGCTCAACATTCAACCCTCCTCTTTCAAGTGCGGTTTATCGACAGCCGCACCCAGCAAGCCTAGGGTTCAGTTTCCCCCATAGTGCAGCGGGATTGTCTCAGTCTGATACTGAGGACACAACCGAAGAGCAATGCCGTTTATTTGCTAACTCGGCGTTTCAGATCCAGAAGGAATGGACGTATATGACCGAACGCAGATTTGACCTGGACGGTCTTGATTTTGATACTGCCTGGCATTTGCTCCAGATTCATTGGAATCATCACCATCAAGCATACTTGATGACGTACCGGCCTGCAATAATGCACAGTCTGGCAACAAATGGACCGTACATCAACAAATTACTCTTGAATGCCATTTATCTGTCGTCTGCACTCAACAGCAATCGCGACGAATTACATGACGGCCCAAGGGACCAACAATCGCTCAGCACGAAGTTTTTCTCTCGCATCCAGGAGCTCACCTTATCTGAACTAGAGAATTCGAGTGTCGCAAGCGCGGTTGCCTTCCTGATTATCGGCTCTAGCCTGGTTTCTGTTGGCCGTCAAACAGCTGGTTGGCACTACTCAGGCCTTGGGTATCGAATGATTATTGACTTGGGTTTACATATTGACCCGCATAAGCTTCGAATTTCCCACTCAGATCCGTCGCAGCCTGTGCGAAGCTTTACAGAAGTCGACCTCGAACTGCATCGTCGTGTGTATTGGGGCGCATACATCAATGACAAGTTCCAAGCGCTATATTTTGGGCGCCCACCAACTCTAACCGCAATTGGCATTGAGCCGTCAAGAGCTTATCTAGATAACTTTGAGGAGCTAGAGCTATGGAAGCCCTATGTTGATCCAAGGTCAAGCGTTTCATCATCATCTACATTTCAACCCCAACCAGCTTATTCCCTATCAACATTCCAAACCTTCATATACCTGACTGACATCATGACTGATGTCGTGTCGAGCCTTTATTCGCCTCAGGTGCAGTGTCTATCCCAAGAAAGGATTCTCGAGATCGGTCGAGACTTGCAGGAAAGGCTCGAGACCTGGATGTCGAATCTACCCGACCATCTGCGATGGGAACCTTCCCAGGGGAATGCACCGCCAGCACATCGCTTCAATCCGCCGTCTGTGGTCCCTTTCGATTTGAACTTGTCTCAAGATCAAACGCCAAATTCCCTGACTAACACACAGTTCTTTGTTATAGGATGACCTTCCATATGCTACTTATCCTCCTGCACCGACCCTTCCTGCCAGAAGGCCACCTCCGACATCTCGGAGGTGCAAATGAAAACATGCATCGTGAGATCTGCCTCTCCTCAGCATTTCAAATATACGAGCTAGCCAAACTTTATCGAGACACCTTCACCCTCCGCAAAGCCACCTACATGTTCTCCTACTGCCTCTTCTGCGCGGCCTCAATAATGCCCTTTGGGCCGTCGGGATCAGTCGACCATTCACAACGACACATTGCCGGTTGGTTCTGGATTGCACTTAAAGAGTTACAGAAGGGGGCCAATTTTGGTTTGCGAAGGCCAATCATGATCATCCGGTCCCTCATCGAGCATGCCGGACTGGATCTAAATAGTATTCTTGCACAGGCGGGGTCAACATCTGCATCTGCGCTGGAAACTGGGACGCCTAGTACCCGTACTAATGGAGGTCATCATAGCCACTTTCTCGGTGCGATTGATGCGAGTGGCGCATCGCTTTCTCAGGGTTCGAACCTAGATACGCAGGTACCTGAGCTAGACGACAGCGATTTTGAGCGGCTGTGTCGAGACCTTTTGTCGGGTGATATTGATGGGTTGGCGGCTCCGCATGGGATTGATGATGATGACAATTCATTGCTTTATGGCTTGTTTAGGCAGACATAGGTTTACTGGGTTTTTAGGTTAACCTAGGGATAATAACTAAGAACATGGTTGGAATAGTAATCCTTTGCCAGATCCATGCCCAAGATGCTCCTCGTCGGCAGACTTCGTACAGCGCCCTTGACGAGCATAATTAGCTGTTTAGGCTAGATGCCAAACAGCAGGGTCGGACATCTATCCAACGCGATTCAAATAGATAGATTCATTCGACGATAAATATTACGAATATCGAATCGAATTTCTTGGTATTCGATTCGATGTCAAACCTTTTATATTTATTTATTTATTCATAGGCTGTCCTAGCCGCCCTGGTAGTTGGAACTCTGAAATAAGCATACAGGTGTAATCATCTTCTAAGTCTCCATAGGTGCAGGCACAGCTATTTATAATTACAGTAGCTGCTATCATACTACTTAATGCCACCCAATACCCACCAGGCAGCTGGTTGACAGTAGTTACCACAGTGGTTACATATCCATTAATACTCGGGCCCAATTCTCGTTCATCATCATTCTCTGGAAACACACAGCCGAGGCCTTCTACTTCAGTAAACTCGTCAAGGCCGGCGACCGGGCTGTGGTGCAGCTTGAGCTACTATCTCGTGGCTCAAGAGATCTATAAATCAAAAGAGACAGAAGAGCTTCCCTATCATTCTATGGCCTCATATATTCTATTTTGAACTAGATAGGGCTGTTAGTAACTCAGGCTACAAACCAAGTGACATGGATAAGTCTAATAGTAGAGATTATATACATATTAAAGTCAACCCTAATGACCCCAATACAGACCCTAGACCCATAATTAGTATAAGAACTATAAAGATAAGAGTTTTACAGAATATAATAATTATTAATAGATCTTCAAGGAGTGATAGATAGATTAAAGATATAATATTAAAAATAAATTCATTTAATAATTCAGTAATTATAAATGTCTTTATATAATTAAATATTTTTAGAGCAGTAAATATATTATAAATCTAATAATAAATGTCTATACGTATTAATGGCAGTTTAAAGCTCTTTTTATTAAATCTAAATTTTGAAATATCTTTAACCTTTTAATCTGAATGACTATGTTATTATAGAAAAGAATTTTAATCTATTAATTATTTATTATAAAATTATAATTACATCTACAGTTAACCTACTAATTACACAAACCTCAGTAGTGATAACTCTTCACACGTCACCCACTTCATGCAAGCCATACGCTCTAAACAGCCACCTAGCGCTACATCAACAAAGCTAATTTATACGATCTTAAGCATATATTGAAGACTATACACTCTTTAACTACATTAAGCACCAATACTAAGCCCATTTATGAGGCATAGAAGGAAACTCTCAACTAAAGCAGGGTTAGGGCTGCCTAGGGAAGAGGACATAGGGCATGAGAACCATACCTGCTCTGGTTATGTCGTAGTGTGAGCTTTGCAAGTTAGGAAGAGCACGAAGAGGAAGAGCTAGGAATGAAATGTATACAGAGTCAGTCTGGTGGGTCGGCTGGACAGATTACCATCATACAGGCACTGTCGAGTGGCAAGGAAGACCCGGGCGCCTTGCCAGTGCCGACAGATTTCGATGTCGTAGGGCAAGACGAAGGCCCTACTGCAAGTGTCTAGTACGGCACATTGACGTCCTTTTGGGGGCTGGTCGGCAACTTGTTGAGAGTTTCACACTAAACAGGAGACAGTATGTGGCATTTGTGCTAATATGCCGCCAACTCGATTGCCTTTGGGCTACCTGACGGATCAACGGTACGTGAATGCATCGATCGATACATGCCCCTAGTGGCCTCAAAGAACATTTCAGTAAAGACTCTGCTAACGGTAATTTTTTGCGTATCTCTTCTAATTTCACTTATATGTTCACTGACTCAAGTAAATGTGTCTTATACGTCATTCGCTTGTGTTGAATGCTTGAATTGAGGCGTATGTCTATAGCAGACATTGACTGCGATAATAGGCACTGAAACTACTATTCTGGCGTAGACAACATCCTCAAAAGAGAGAGTACCAAATAAGAACCTATCTCTATGGAAGAATAGATATATAGGAAGGTGGGAGTCTGTCGCGTCTTTTGCGTCATTGGCTCGATATGCACGAGCAGGAATGGTTTGACCGTCTCGGGTAGGAATGTCGTAGTCTACGCACTGAATCTTCTCGGACAACCCTGAAGCCTCGCGATGTGTATTTGTCTTCTGTTGTAATTCTTGCATCGTTTGGTTTGGCTCAATGGTTGTTTGGGGCAGGGGCCCGGTAGTGTCGAGGAAGTCTGTCCATTCCTTAGGGGGGTCTCCGTACTGTGAGTAATCGGCCATTAAAATGAACGTACGCGGAGACGGAAAGAGCTGAAACACTTTATGGATATGGTTCAATGCCTTTTTGGTAGAAAAAATAGCGTAAAAACGAACATTGCGAGGGATAGCGAGCTTCACCTAACCCTAACCCATCTAAGTACTATTTAGAGGGGGCGGACATCCAATCTCCGACCCGTCCGAAATATTCTAATATCGAGATTGCCTAAGAGCTCCTCATTTCCACGTTCCAATTTCAAGAATATCTACCTTTTCCTGTGGCCAGATAATTCACTCAAGCATATATAAAATTCCTTGGCGATATTCAGACGTGATTAAACCACCCCAGTACTGCATGTAAACGCGCCATCAACCAGAATCTTAGCACCAGTAATGTATTCAGCCTCCTTTGAAGCCAAAAACAAAATTGTGCGACTAATATCTGAAGCTGTGCCCATTCGTTTTATAGGGGCTTGAGTTTTTCTCTTCTGCTGAAATCTCTCATAATTATCCGGCGTATATTTATCAGCTAATCTGTACTAGAGGAGTATCAATCAGCCCCTGTGTAACAACATTTATTCCTATTTTTCAGCCTGCATACATCGTCGTAGTTGTCTTGCTGGACTGTATTATGGCAGCTTTTGTTGCTAATTATGCTATTTAGAGTATCCTGATATATCGAAGTCCAGCCATAGACGAGATATTCACCATGTTTCCGCCATTGGCTTGCTTGACTATGATCGGAAGCACAAAATGGCTCGCTAGATACAGCGATTTGGAATTAACATCTGTCTGATTATCCCATGTATTTTTAGACATGTTTCCTGGGTCTTCGGGCTTGCTCATACAAGCATTCACAAACACGTCCATGAATTGCGAGGAGGTTGGGTTGGTTTCCATGACGGTTATACCTGCATCGGGCACTTGGCTGAGGGTTTGCGCCTTGATGTTTTTTCCGGCTGATATATCCAAGTCACAGCCGAAAATAATTACATTTTGACTAGCGAAAAGTGCCGCGATAGCGAGACCATCCCTATCCGAGTCCCTGACAGCCGATGCACGTGATGTTTAGCCCGCCAATTTTGTGTTCAATAAAACGTCGAATATCGCCCTCATGTGCTCTAATAGTGATAGAAGGTTCCTTTTAGTAGAAATAGCTATTAATGGATATTGTATTCTTAGTCTAGATTCTGTTATTTTAAATCCAAGGTAATTTTCTTTATAGTTAATTTAATTTCTAGAATATATATTAAGGTTGCAAAGTCTTTAGTATATTATAAAAAAATATTAATAATATATAAAGCTTTAGCTTATTGTAATATGGTCTGGGTAAGGCCATGTCCGGGGGGGTCTGGGAAGACGAGATATGGGTGAGTTTAAGCTTTACCGTCCGATATTGAAGCTATAGAGCAAGGCCACTAGGATGGTAGTTATCAGTTTAGATAATACAGACATTGGAGGCTTCAACTGAAGTCTATTCGAAGCCGAGTGGGTTATTTTGAACGTTATGTCAACAATTATATAAAGATATTGCTTGGTCCCTTCTTCCTGTTGTAAACTAAACTTATAAGCCTGAGTCCCTAGTTCAAGTCAATGTTACCTAATCTAACGAGATAGAGGCATATATTGCGAGGTGAGGGGTACTTGCATCAAGCCTGGGGTCGTATGGTATCGATTATGATATATCACAATTGGCCCGGATGTGTCAGTGAGGAACTGGACCAGACCCTTCCCTCCATTATCTCCAGAGCTGTCGTCTTCGCCATAGATTGCTTCAATAGATTTCCATAAGATAAGTTGAAGAGGCGTGTAGCAACCTGGGTGCTCATGTTCCTGGATTTCCCACGATTCTGTACTAGGTTAGTAGCAGAAGGGTAATAGTAATATGGCCGCATGGGAATACCATCAAATACTTCCGAGTTCCGGCGGCCTTGGAAATCAACGAGGAAGGACAAACCAAGGTTTCTACTCACATTCCAATTTATATGAGGTTCCGTAGAGAAACTGCAAAATTGATGCACGTTAGAGTTGAGAAATAAATGAAGGAATTGTTAGGAATTCCCACTGAGCCATGTTCGTGTCAATTGTCAAGGAATACCTTAGTATAATCTATATATCATTAAGGGGAAACCAGCCGCTAGGTATTTCATTATTCTTTGTGGATGAACCAGGCTAACTTTCATCACAGTGACTCCTGGTGGGGTAGGGTTTGTCAACTCCAACTTAGCACATGCGTTAATGGCACGTGTAAGCTTTTTATGCTGTAAGTGTATCTAGTATCAGCTCTTTTTATCATCAAGATTCATGCGAACCACCTCTATGGATACACTAGCGGTTTCTATTCCTTAAGTGATTACTATATAATACAGCCATTACACGAATATCATCCAAGCTAGCATAACAAGATATTATCGTCAGTATCATTTGTCCTCCTCAACAACACTCACATCAACTTGTTTCCGAATGCATTTCCTCTGATGTTTCAAATCCTGACCGATCCCATTCATCTGCATCCCATCAACGCTATCCCGACTACCTAGAATATAATCCACGCTGCCACCAGTCCTCATACTATTTGACCGAGGAAGAATATTACGCAGCCGGGAATCTGTTCCCCAATGTGAATTAGTATTCGCTATGGCGTTTGTAGACCCAACAGCCCCATCATATGGCGTTCTTAACTCGTAGGAGCGTGATCGATCGCCATTGCCCCTCGTGTAGAGGATTGAGGACATGATTAGAGATCGCAGACAGGGTAGAGAAGCCGTGGTGATTACTAGGTATCCTTCTAGGAAAGCCCATCGAAGTAGGTCTGTAGTGCCTGTGAGCATGTCTTGGGTCATTTGCTGAAGTTGAACGGTTTTGGCTAGGGCGGCTGCCATGGCTCTGTACTGTATTGTCAATTATATGATAGTTGGAACAGCATGGGATTCATGCCTACATTAACCCTAGGCTCATTAGGACTACCAGACTGAGCTTGATGTTGAGTTTCAGATTAAGATGCCAGAAGATCCACGTAGGGACGATTGCTAGGTAGAGGTCGATGAAAGTGTTGAAACCTGTGAAGTTTAATCCCAGTTCACATATCATAAGCGACGAAGGGAGGAAATACGTACCGCTTTGGAAGTAACTATAGCTTAGTTCAACTTGGATCAGACGGTTTCTTCCCCCCAGTCGGCAGTCCCAGTTTCCGTTTACATTCGGACACATAGTAAATATCATGATAATGCAAACCAAATTGATTACAAGTCCCAGGACTGTCAGGCCGACGAGGACGATACGGTGCCATATCTTCCCTCCCAGAATAGCCAACATATATAACACGAAGGCTACTCGACCTAGTGCCGTGCCAGCGAGCATAATAGCCTGGCCTATGAGGTAAAATTGCCGCGCTTTGATCGCATTGTCTTCGGAGGGTACCGGGCTGCGCTGCCCGTATCCGAATCTCACTGCAGAAGTCGAAAAGGAGGATGCGATAAGGCAGATTACCTATGAGATTAGACGATATTTAGCGGATGTGTCTTTCTTGTGGTGTCCTCATGGGAGAGTACTTACCAGGGCAGCAATCATAACGAGATCATCCAATCGAAAAAGCCGAATCTTCACTTTGGCTATAATACGCAACATGACTACTAGCGTTGCGATGCCACTTAGAACCCAAATAAAAATGAGAATACCAGTTCCCTGACTGTCTCGGGGAGTCAATGAGGAAGAAACTGTCATTTTGTAGCTGCTGCCTTCTATGCTGTTGTTGTTATAGGTCTATATCGAGCTAGGAAAATCCCATCACTTAAGGACATAATCAGACCGTAGGACGTTTTTTGAAGACATGAAATTTTAAAGTTCCTCGTAATTTAGGGAAAAGAGAACCTGCGATTTCTAACTATATATAAAAAGAAATGATTAATGTTTTAGCCCCTTTTACTATGAATAGGTTCAGAGAGTCATCACTTGGGGAAATCTAGGGACGATCGTTGCTATTGGTTCGAAACGAGGGATTCGATCTGTCTGCTAGGAATATGGCTGTGCTGAGGTCTAGATTGTCCACTTTCCGACATCACGCGAGGCGAAGCTTTGTTCATCTCCTTCTAAAACTCTAACGAAATTCCACCTGAAGAGTCTTCGTGCTCATACCCCGGATCTCTGTGTGGAAACTTGGAAGCCTCTACTGTGGGGTCGTACACATAGCCACCGGGGATGATCCGGTTGGTAGAAAGACTTTCACACGAAGGAAATTAGATATATCAATATTATTTACTTTTATAAGCACTAGAGTGCTCAGAGAAATTTCAACAGATCGTGAGTAGCATTGATGGAATATCTAATACAAAATCCAACAGAATTTAGTTTATAATTTCAACATACAAGTTGTGCTAGGAGGCGAGCTGATAGCAAAGCGGCATGAAGCCTGTAATGCATGTTGTAAGCACAGGGCATGCTTCTCGCATATTGAATAAATGCTACTACTTTACCCCTAGGAATGTTTGGCAACATATATTCACCCCAGCAAAGAAGTGAATGGTTTTAGAAAAAACTACCGCTGGGGCTAGCACTTGGACGAAGTTTTATGATACTTTGAGAGATGTCTGAGAGGTTGGAAAACAAATGTAAATCTATTACCAAGGATTTGAAAATTATGAAGTTCTAAATAGTACATTAATCAACAGGTGTAGACGATGTATTTGATCCGCACTAGAAGCGCTTACAATTCGTGAAACGCGATCTGAATATGGAGCAAGAGCATTTCCACGTCGGCCTTGCCTAAATCGGAGCCTGTATGGGTTAAATTTGATGACTGTATATCGTACTCATCTAAGTCACGTAGGCTCGCGAATCACAATGTTACGGCGCCAATATCTTCAGGATTTATTCGAATAATTCAGGGTCCATTGACTATTACTTGTCTGCTTGGAGTTGAGATGACAATTGAGCAATGAACCGATATAGACAATATGGGCGAAACCAATAGAGATAAATTTATTTCGGACCATTGCGCCGCAATATGGAACTTGCGAATTCTTTTCACCATATCCACTATTGGAGGAACTCGAACATTTATCTAATTGAGTAATTTAGTCAATTAGGGCTTCCTCTCGAAACTAGATGTTTGATAAAAAGGACTTTTTATATCATGGTTAATAGGTCCATCCGGACACTTTTAAAGAGCGTACGATTCAGACTGAGCTTAGGAATAGGGGGATTCGGTTCTTGTTCTTCAATTATATTTGATACATTATTAGAATCTGAGAAGGATGCGCCAGTCCTAGTCAGGATAGAAATGACTCTCCACGAAGCCCCCCATTGCATCACTGCCACTCACTCTTTCAATGCTCGTTAGTCCGTAATCGTGAAATACTACGGTCCGCTACTATCTCAGTTATTCGAAACTTAACTACAACGAATATAGTTTACCGGTTATTATTTACGAGGTGAACTAGCTTAACTACTTGAATTCCGTGTTTCACAAACGAGTGGGACGCCGAAGCGAGCGGGACAGAGTTTCCCGCCCCTATTCGTAAACTATTCAAAAGTCATCTAATATCAAAAAAAGTTGGAGGGTGTCCCGTTTGCTTGTAAATACTAACTAACTGGCTAACCTAACTATTGTTAACTAACTTTAGTCAAGTTAGTTTCCGATTAATCAGCGGCAATCTTTAGCCGAGTTAGGTATTGGATCCCATGTGAAAAAGGACGTGGACGGTCTTGGCACGCCTAGCCTCTCGCAGCGACTTTTATATACCCATTCCTGCCAGAAGATGGACGTGATTGGCACCAAATTCTACAAGGATATTACAAAGATGTGTGGCAATTTAACGATCCAATCGTACGGTATGCCATTGTTCCAGCAGAGAGTAATAGCAGAAGACTTCATAATGCAATAATTTATTCTCGTCTCCAGAGCTCTTGCCTCAGACTCGCGACGCTGATTGCAACATTTGCCGATGAGGTACTAAGGAACAGAAGCATTTAAACATCTCTGGATAACACTGGCTGATCATTTCTTTCAGTGCAGGCACAGCCGCGGTCCAAACCGCAACGTTGATTTCAATGGAAGAAATAATATCGATATTATACTGTGCACTGAGAGAGGGCGATGGAAGGTGAGTACTGACAAACACAACACGTATAACCCCCATAATTGTTGCACTAGGTACACGGACACCATTAGTAGGATAATCGTCAAGGCTCACAGTTCCATTGGGGTTGTCCACGCACATGATTCCAAAGCTCAATACTGCTACCACCATCAATTTTTTACTAAGCGCGATATTCAAGTACCACACTAGTCGAGTTGGAATCACCAGAAGCCATACGTCGAGGCTAATATTCAGAGCTGAAGCCGATATGAAGAACGCCGGCCTATTGATGCATGTACAAAGAGTTTGAGGCGGCGTGGATGCAGGATTCGGGGCCCAAAATATACATGATAATGGCGTGCATTGGAATAGGTCGGCAAAAATCACAGCAATAACTTGAAGGAAATTAATCAAAAACAGTGTCCACAGTACCAATTGTAAGGGCTGATTAACTTCTCGGAGCCTCAGGCGAAAAAGAAAAAGAATTATAGAGGACCTAACGAGTGCTAGGATCGGGTAATAGAGCATCTGGCTCACAAGATTGTATTTGAGGGATTTCCTCATTGCTTCAGACGTGCTGGCTCGACCATAACTTAACTCTGCAACATCTTGAGGGACATTAGGCTATGAAACCCATATGACATTGGGAATATTATTGACATACGCATATAGGTGGCGTACGCATGCGGAATTATTAACAACTACTTTAGCTGGTCATTCCGCAGTCACGAATATAGCGCTCCGGTGGCTCACAGTAGCGACCAGAACCATAATATCATCTAATGATAAGTCTTCATTAGCTCTTATACAAAATAGTAATTAATCAAGGCTTATGACTCACCCAAACCAACTTTACCCGTCAATATTCTCCAAACCATGCGGAGCATCATTATGCATACACTGATTGCAGGGAATATTATTAAGATCACAAGGGTCCCAGCGTGTCCCGGGAGCATCATTAGGCAGACGCTTCAAGGAATATTCATGCCAATTAGGTGCTAAGTCTAGAACAAATAAACGCAAGCAGAGTAGGGGAAGCGAGAATAATTTCAAAGTCCAGATAGGACTGATTGTGGGATAATGATGTCACTCAAGTTATGGAGCCTGTCCCATGGTAAGGATTATCTAAGAAGGTTTCTTAGCTGGTCAGGTTGGTCATGGCCAGAGATGTCGACGTATACGGCAGACTATTGGGACAAAGCGATAATGACTTTTTCCACCGTCCTTACACCGCTGAGCTGTTCTTGATATTGATACATCTAGAACGACGGCGTTGAGACCGAATCGGCCGGAGCTTCTACGGAGCTGTCGCGCGCCTCCGTCTGGGGCGAGGGGAGTGGACTCGGCCCGGAAGAACAGCGTCTTGGAGGCTAGTCAGCCGTGGGCCACTCCATTTGGGTGGAAGTGCCTAATGCGGTGGGTGGCCAACTAGGTGGTTGGTTGAGCGGATAACATTAAGTTGACGCGCCCGCTGAGTCAGCGGAGAGAATAACCCTAAAGTAACCAACATCCAGATCGAGGTCTAGGAAACTTCACGCCGTCATGTAATATTCAAGCGTTTACCTTATTCGTAAGTACATTACATATACTCTGAATTACACATTAACATTATCATGAGAATAAGGCTTCAAATAAATATGGACCATGTATTCGAAAAACCAAGGAAGAATAGGTAGTCGTAACCAGCATTTTTTAGTTGAATTAATTAATTAACGCTTTCCGTAACTCCTAGACGACCGAGCCGATAATTCGTAAATAGCTCTATGTTGTAGGCTCAGCTTCCTAAATGGAACAAGATTTGATGCTTCCAGACTTTGTCTCGGGCCACCCTAGTGCATAGCTTTCACGTCACCTGGCTGCGGCTCAGTGGAGAGCAGTTTGTTCTTGCGGAGAGAAGTCTTCCAGGCTGCATCACCAGACAGGAAATAGTCGTCAATCTGCTCTAATGTAAGGAGCGAAGTTTCGGGCATGCATAAGAAAATCAACACCAAAACTCCCGCGGAGACTCCAAAATAGTAGTAGCCAACCGAAGTGCCCATATTCCCGTAGTCTGCATTGATCATATATGGGGACCAGAATGACGCAGCGAAGCTGAAGATTTGATACATGACGGTACTGAAAGCCTGTCCATAAGTTCGTAGCTGCACGGAATGTATCTCAGGTGAACTGACCCAGGAGGCAGGACCGACGGAGCTGCCAAAAATGAAAGACCATATGCAGACAAAGGCCACAAGTACTTTCTGTGCAGTCTTACTCCCCTCCCCAAGTCCAGAATTTACCGCAGCCAAAATAAGCATACAGAGTCCCATTCCTGTATATCCGGCCATCAATGTGACGCGACGGCCCAAATTTTCAATTGCAATAGGACCAGCTAATGCTCCAGCAAAAGTGCAGAGACCGATATACACATTGACGAGATAAGGATTCTTGACCCCGACATTGCCAAGGAAAAGAGTGGCATACGGGGTAATGAATGCGATCCCTGTAATAGCCAATCCGATAAGAACCAAGCTTGAGATGAGGGTCCGTCGAGTGTTGCCTGAGCGGAAGATATCGAAGGGATGCACAGAGTTGTGACTATTTCGTTCGAGTTCAATGTAGTTCTGAATAGTCTGCAACTGGTGATTTATCATATCGCAATTCGCCTCCATATGATAGAATCGGGAAAGTGAATCCCGAGCAAGATCTGACTTCTTGTTTAAGAGAAGCCAACGAGGAGATTCCGGAAAATAGAAAAGCGATACGGCAATAAAAAGCCCGAGCGGGATCTGGCAAGAAATAGGTATTTTCCAGGACCAGTCACTCTGTAAATGAGCAGTACCAGCACATACGGCAGCAGCAGTTAGGCTTCCAAGGGCTTGGCCGATATTGAATAGAGCGAGTAGTGAACCCCGTTGTTTCGGGAAGACACATTCCGCACCGTAAACAGGCGCGGAAGAGTATATGAGTCCAATACCAATTCCTCCTATGCATTTGCAGACCATGTAATTCAGGTAACTCCCTGATGTTCCCAGCATGCCAGCGGCGCCGATAGCAGTGATGAGACATCCAATCTGCACGGTACCTCGGCGGCCAATGTAGGTTGCTACCAGTCCACCAAACCCACCGCCGAGAGCCATAAAGATAGAGGTCACACCCACAAGCGACTGCTGGATTGCAGAGAGCTCACAGACATCGTTTAATGATTCTCTGGACTGACAGTGCCCAAAAGACTTCTTGAAAGGATCCATTACTAATACAATGCCCCCGTAGCTAAAGTCGAACAAGCTAAGCCAGGCGCTGAGAGACATCCAAATGGAGAAGATTATCATTGTACTTGTTGCACCGAGCCTCCCAAGCTGGAGGTTTAAATTTGAAGCAAGTACGAAGCTTGCATCTTCAAGATGCGTGGGCTTGGTGGGCTTCATTCTGTTCACTGTGACGATTGGTTCTAGGAGCTTTGCAAGGCTAGTAGCATATATTGATTTGTGGTGAGATGACGAAACGAGGATATGTGCTGAAAATGGGGTTTCAAGAAGGGAGTTAAGTCTCTGGTAAGCACAACTATGGAAAGAGTGTCCCCCACACTTGATTTCATAGCTTTTGTAGTGCGGGGATCAAATCCCGGCGTGCGGGACGCGCAACGGAGATTCCGTGATCATTAAAAAAATATCCGGCGGAAATCTCAACCCTTGGAAGTGGCGGGATTAAGTTCAAAAGCCGCATAGTCTGCAGGTGTACTTGAAATATCCTACCTGACCCTGATACGCCAGTCCCGCTCTCAAGTTTGTCTCACAATAGGGCATCTAGAACTGACAATGTCTTCTAAAAGTGAAATTGTCTACAAGCCAATTTCTGCACCTCTTATTGGAGAAAACGGCTATCGAGGATTCCTAAAAGTGACCGAAATTCTTCCAAAGGGGTGGAAAGCAAATGACTCATCACGAGTTCTCTCCACGGATATTCTGGTCGATCATGATGTCGAACTCAAAATGCGTGATGGCTGTAAGATATACGCAGACATCTACCGCCCAACATATTCAAACAAGGAGAGTCCAGTTCCCGCAATTGTATCTTGGAGCCCCTTTGGAAAAAAGTTCAATGGGGCTCGTTTCCTGCAAACCATGACACCATATAATATGGGAATCAAAGCAGATGATCTCAGTGGTTTGGAGAAATTCGAGGGACCGGACCCAGCAGATTTTGTTCCCCACGGGTTTGCTGTGGTCAATGTTGATCCACGCGGGATAGGAGACTCTGAAGGGCTATGTCACATCATGGGCCCTCAAGAGGGTGAGGACGGATATGACGCGATTGAGCATCTGGCTAAACTCGAGTGGTGCAATGGTCGCATTGGAATGGCAGGAAACTCACATTTAGCCGTTGTACAGTGGTTTGTCGCCCAGCTTCAGCCACCTTCACTAAAAGCGATAGCACCATGGGAAGCCTGTAGTGACTTGTTCAGAGAACAGTTTGTCCGTGGGGGAGTCTTCGCTGGAACCTTCTACGACCATATCACTAGCGCGATGATCCGAGGTCGAAATGGGATGGAAGATTTCGGTGAGATGTATCGACGGAGCCCACTTGCGAATTCCTATTGGGACAGCAAGCGCCCGGATATGACAAAAGTCCGGGTACCGGCGTACATAACTGCGTCGTTCAATAGCTTCCTCCATACAATGGGCTCCATCAGAGGATATATGGAGATAAAGCACGACAGAAAATGGATTCGATTCAGCCCATATCAGGAGTGGCATGACCAATGGGCGGTGGAGGATTCAACGCAAGAATTAATCTCCTTCTTCACACGCTATCTCTATGATGTGGAGAATGACTGGGAGAAAACACCCCACGTCCGTTTGTGCACGCTTCGTTTTGGCCATTTGGATGCTGTCACCAATCAAATTGAGGATGACTTTCCGCTTCCTAGAACTGTGTACAAAACACTTTATTTAGGGAGAAATGGGTCAATGGATATGCGCACTCCAGCTGGCAATCATACTGCATCGTACAATTCCGAAGTTCCTCAATCTCGTGCTATCTTTACCCTGAGATTTAAGGAGAGAACAGTTATTACAGGTATACCCAAGGCGGTGCTCTATATGTCTAGCCCTTCTTCTGATGACATGGATGTATACGTCATGATCCGGAAGCTTGACGCAGAGGGGAAGCCTATGCTTTGCCTTAATGTTCCATGGTCTTCTATAGGTCCAGATTCCTTCGAAGAGATTCCCGATGAAATGGCAACGGACTTAATCGTGTACAAAGGACCAGTTGGTATATTGCGCGCGTCTCACAGAAAGGTCGATCATCATCGGTCCCTGCATTCAAACTACCCTTTTCATTCCCACTCAAACGCTCAAAAATTGCAATCAGGGGAGGTAGTCAAGATTGAAATCGGTATTTTCGCGATGAGTATCGAGTACCAGGCAGGGGAAGCTCTGCAACTTGAGATATCCGGGCAATCTCCACAAGAGGTATCATTTAATGAAATAAAGGGACAAACCGGCAACCAAAGTAATCAAGGAAATCATCTTGTGCATTTCGGGACGCAATATCCTAGTCACCTCATCCTCCCATTTGTTTAGAGTACTCGTTCGCTTCCTTTACTTTATATTTAGTGTTCCTATTTTCCAATTATTCCTATTTCAACTTCATATAAAACCAGTACAAGCACAAAATCAATTACGTTAGTTAAATAGGTCATCCGTAAATACACAATTAGTCTATTTGTTTTCTTGTCAATAGAGTTTAAAGAAACGCTCCTGTAAGATCGATCGGTTTATATTTACTAGATTGCCAAAGTACGGCGTTCTTACTAGTATAGTAATCTTTACTAGTCATGCACACAGGAAATATCAGTATATTAGTCTACGTAATCACAAGTTTCCTTCCTAGATCAGTGACTTGGTTCGCTCTTGTTTCCTTCGTCCCCAGCTGATGACAATCTCACCCCATTTCTCCACACTTCAAGGATGCTTCGTGTACACTCAATATTCTTAGTAGGGTCTCCTCTGACAAGTACCAAGTCTGCCTTGAGTCCAGGTTTGATACTCCCACGATCATGGAGCTTGAATATTCGGGAAGGCACAGAGGTCGATGACCGCAGTGCTTCTATTGGTGTGAATCCGCATCGATTAACATAAAGCCAGAGTTCGTGATGGAGGGAAGCACCGGCAAAGACACCTTTTAGATGACTAGATGAATCCGTCCCACTTTCCCAGTTTAGCGAAATATTCGCAACGACAATGTGACATCACGTACCAAACAATATCCAAGCCTGCCTTTTTGAACAGTCGAACATTTAGGGCCGCATTCTTCATGGTAAAATCCTTCCTCGCGATTCCAAGGCATTCACACATATGGGTACTGTCCTCCTTGCTTAAATCTTGAGAGAAGAATTCCCGACTCTCACTCTCTTCACTCCCTGCAGATGCTTGGATGACCAGTGTCGGAATTACGAATGGTCTTTTGTCGCAGAAAACCGATAAATCCCTTCCGCTTAGTTCTTCACAACAAGCATGAGCAAAACCATCTACTCCAGAGTCCAATAATAATAATGTATCTCTAATCGAGAGTGCATGGCCAACTGTAATCATGTTGTAGGAATGAGCTTTGTCGACAATTGCTTTTTGTACCTCTCTCGAAGGCGTTGGCACCGGAGAGCATGAAAAGGGAAGGTCAAATGGCACGCCACTCTCTTGCATAAGCTTTATGAAGCTTTTAATACCGAGGTTAGAATGTCTTCAGACGAGGCGCGCTGATTTGTTATGTGGTGCCCGTTTAGGAAAACTTACCTTGCTCCTAAGCGTTTATTTTCCTCCACGAACGCTTCCGCTGATACCCTATCCACAACATTCGGCCATTTTTCGAGTCTTGTACGGGTCTAGATGCGCCATTCTGGATCAACTCCATCCAATTCTTCCCATTTGCATAGAAGCAGTCTTCACATACCTCCGCATCATCTGAACTTAGCTGAATAATAGCGGAAGGCCAGCCACCCTTGACAGTGGCAGCGTGACAAGCGCTTCTAATATCGGCTACGTCATTCCGGAAACTAGATAGCCGTTCCATCTCCTTGAACCAGTAAGGTTCATTATGCATATCAAGTAAGGTCGTTACGCCAAATCGGAGAGCCTTCGCAAGGAAACTAGCGTCGTTATACACATGCACGTGTGAGTCAATGAAACCTGGCAAAAGCGTGCAACCCAAGCCTGAGATATGATGACATCCTTCTGGAATATTGACGGGCATTTTGGGCGAAATATTCTCGATGCAGCCGTTCTTGACAACAACAAAGCCGTTTTCCAGCGTAACTCGCTCACCATCAAAGATTCGTACATCGGTTATAAGCCAAGACATGATCGGCTTCTTGACGGAGAGATTAAGCACCTGCACAGACGAACGCTTTCAGAGTGTAGATACTAAGCGTGGGAGCTGTAAGAAAGGGGGGTTGAGTATTTGTTGTCTCAGATGTCTGCTGAGAACAGAAAGTCCTTCCCGGCATAAACCCCTTAGAAATTCCGCAGTTCTAGGGGCTTCGGCTAGTGACAGTCGATAGGGTAGATTCCGCGCGGAAAAATCCGTATATCTTTCCAGTACATTACTCAGCGCAGCAGTATGGTCCCGTCGGCAAACCTGGAATGGATATGTGGTGGGACCTAAGTGCCCGACAGAACCGGTTTCACACACTTTAAGGTCATCTGATAGAACTCAATAATTACACGGATCGATATAGGGAGTAACCAGTCCAGTCATTCTAGCACAAGTGAAGAAACACTTCGCAATAGCTGAGAGTTACCGTTATGGCGTCAAATTCAAAGATCGACGTCCACGCTCATTTTGTGCCTCCTTGTTGGCGGGACGCCCTCCTTGTCAATGGTTTCGAGCATCCTGATGGCATGCCAGCAATTCCGGTTGGTGCTCTAACCATCGTAAGCGCTCATTACCGTATTTTTAGCTAATAAATACAGAACTGGGATGTACAATCTCACATAAATCTTATGGATGCTATGGGTATTGAGAAATCGTATCTAAGTATCACATCGCCTGGTGTACATCTGGTAGCTGGGGACAACGCCTCTGCAAGGCAGCTTGCTCGGGAGTGCAACACCTTCGCCTACAACCTCAAAAGACAAATGCCGGATAGGTTCGGATCATTTGTCTCTCTCCCACTTCCTGATTTGGAGGGTAGTATCAACGAACTGAAGTATGCCATTGACAGCCTAAAAGCAGATGGTATTGTTTTGCAAACCAATTATTACGGCAAATATATTGGCAGTAGCTACTTTCGTCCAATTTTTGAGGAGCTCAACTGCAGAGGGATGGTTGTATTTATTCATCCGACTTCGCCCTGTGTGCAGGGTTGTCGATCCCACGAAGGTCTTCCCCTTCCTCAGTATCCAGCGCCAGTTTTTGAATTCATGTTCGATACCTGCCGTTGCATTATAGACCTTATACTGAGTGGCGCCATTTCAAAGTACCCAAATATCCGGTATGTAGTGCCTCATGCGGGTGGTGCTTTACCGCCTCTCATCCAACGGTTCTCAGAAGCTGTGGCGTTGATTCCCGACTTAAGCTTGGATGTAACGATGACACCATCCAGTGTAAAGGCCTTGTTGAACGAGCGGTTTTGGTTTGATACTGCTGGTCCTACATTTCCAGACCAGATAAAAAGTCTCCTCCAGAATATCCAGCCCGATAGAATATGTTATGGCACCGATTTTCCTTTCACACCATTCCAGGGGGTAAATCATCTCAATCAAGTTATGGAGGACAACCTGGATGTTATCTTCGACAATCAAGCAGATCGAGAGGGGTTGTACAGAGGAAATGCGAGCCGATTGCTAGGAATTGAGTCTTCTCGAATTATTAACAGTTGAATGAGTGTCGCATGTTTGCGCGACACTAGGGTTTCAATATCCTTTTTATCTCGTGCAAAACGCGGCCAATTAAAAATTTACTGGTCTTACTTCAAGTTTGGGGTTTGCGTTTGCATCAAAAGCTGGGCGTCCCATTACGTTAAGTCTTGGTGTCCTTAGTCCTCAGTAAAGCTGGATAAAATATACTCAATGTCTCTCTATAGATGTAGCCACCACCAATGTGTGAGAATACAAAGATAAGTTTATATTATGGTGGTAGAGTGTGAATACTTAAGACATAACAATAAATACAAGTGCAAAACTAAAATAATAATTTATGTTATCCCGTTTATTTGTATGATGAATAAGGCCAATTTCTGCTTGGTTGGAAGAGATCTAAATAGGTATAAAATATGATGTTCTAATTGGTCAATTAACTCAGGTCGGTATTTTCCAGCATTTCTATCTCCACAACTTGGCTGTCTAGGGTAATTCGGGGTGTGGATCGGCACAACCATTTCTCAGCCCATCACCACCCACGAATGAACACCGATGGGACAAGCTTTGCGAGAAATTTCAGAAACCCACCACCCGTCCTGAATGTTCTATAATATTTCAGTAGCTCGCTAATAAAATATATAACTTAGGGTTTGATAACAACCGCAACCCTCTCGAGCGGCGCTTTGGGTCTGGGATATAGTTGACATTCTTCATCGTCATAGAAAACTTATCAGGGGCTAGTCTAGAATAACGCTCGATTGCTATAAGCGATCTCTAACCATGTGCTGACGCTTTATAATCATCTCTCGAAGATTCCCGACTCATTTGGATTTGTCTCGTGCAGTGAGAAGATATCGAATCTTCCGCTAGTTAACTACCAGATTTCACTGTGGTATAATACGTAATCCATAGTATCATAGGTAACTACATCAAGACGTTATTTACTAAAGGGCGACTAACCAGGATAGGCGAGCCACATGACACGGCCCGATGACTCAGCGGAGCATACTTTATAATTAACCAGTCAAACTACCCCGATTCCTGGCTCTTCAGATGTCACGATTGGTGTTAGCTTTCTGCACACAAAATGCAACTTTCTTGGAGAGCTTTTCGCAAGGCTTCCACAGCCACAAGAGTTTCCCCACGGCATCATGCGTGTGATTTCTGTCGTCACCGAAAGGTACCGGCACAGAACTGCCGCTATTACCACATTATACTAAACCATCCGATGTAGATTCGATGCATTCCAGGTGTGTGGGGGTGCGAAAATTGCTGCCATGCTGGTTGCCAATGTATATTCTCCGGCCGGCCGCGTCCAACTATTGCACGGTAAAATCGGTTGCTTTTCTACATCACCAGATGTAAGCTAACCCGATGATCAAGTGGACTCACTGAAATCGAGTCCGGCTCTTCTGTTCAGGTTGATCCATCCAAGGATAGTGATTTGGAGACTGAAGCCCATGCAACGACGGCTTTTAATGGTGATGTTAATCATGGAAATCTCGACGAAGACGACATACACACCGCTCTCCGTCTGTTTAAATTTCACATTGACTATTGCACTATTGACAATCCTACCTCAAGTCCATCTTCTCTTTTCTCCGCAGAAATCCAAAAGTGGATACTGACTCAGACCGGGGCCACATTTTCCTTCGAAAGATTCACTGAGCATGTGAAACAAGTTGTGGGAATTCGCTTGCAACTACGTCAGTCTGACATACCAGTAAATTGGCCCAATCAAAGGCTCCTTGTGTTGCCGGATCAAGGGCTGGTCGAGAGTTGCCTGGAAATTTTTACAACAAGTATGTTTCAGTGCTTGTTTCCTGTCGTGGATCAAGATTGTTTTCAAAGGTTGGTTTCACAGGTCTATGCATCTACAGAAACACGGAATTCTCTCTCCGCTACGATGTGTATTTGCATGTTTACAGCATTTATCTCGAGACATGCTCAACCGATGCCTGCTGCACCTGAGATGGAGAGTAAAGCATATGTTCACAAAATCTTTAACCTAGTGCCTCTTCTACTATTAGATGGCTTCTCAGTAGAAGCATTACAGACCCTAACCATGCTTGTACGTATATATCCTCTCCGTCAATTCTTACCGCAACCCAGGTACTTAAAATTTTGCAATATCACTAAATTTACTTATCATACCTCTGGATAATAGTTGATTTTTGGTTCTCTTAGGCTCTCTGTGCTGTCACCTATGGTGAGATCCATATTACGGAGTTATGCCTGTCATGGGCGACACGCATGCTCTTCGTGCTGGAAGGACATAGGAAAGCACGACATGGAGAAACTTCTGAACACCCTCATGTTCGGAATTTGTTCTGGCTTTGCTACATCTTGGATAAAGAACTTTCAATGAGAACAATTTGGCCACCTGTAATCAAAGACGAGGATTGTGACTTGGATCTGCCAGCTAATTATGTTCATTGCCTCTCTGACTGCCTGCTCGCTTATGATAATCCCATACGATACCCTGTCCTCCTCTTCCCCTCTGATATGCGACTTTCCATGATCAAATCAAAGATATACCAGCTTCTATATTCTCGGGAGGCATTAGCGCTTCCAGAAACTGAGAAGCTGAGGCGCATATCCATTTTAGACGAGGAGTTGAACGCGTGGAAGTCAACCTGTCTAGTTGCAGCCTCCGAAATCAGTCCCACTGCTGATCCCGAACATATTGCCCTTTCTATCCGGATTATGCTTCCACGCCTTGAGTATTACAACTGTTTAGCTAGAATTCACCAGGTTGGCCGCAGAAGCCAAGACATACTCTGCAGAGGACTCCCGTCGTGCGACGAAATTGCCATGGAAGCATCTCGTTCAACATTGGTGTATATTGAGCTCATCCGTCCTATCCTGCGTGTGGAAACCTATTGGCAAGTATTTCTGTTGACCTGGAGTTCTTCTGCAGGATGGTACTTTTAAAGCTTGTGCAGCTACTAATTATTTTCTTAGGGTATTCGCCTTGAGTGCGATCCCTGCCGTTCTTAATCTTTTCGCCTTTTTAATAAAAGATCCCTTTCAACCGCACTGTGTGAAAGATATGGATCTAATCAGGACTATGAGTACAGCGTTTGCGGCGTCTTTGTCAGAAAGAAATCTCGATGAAGTCTTGCCGCTGTTAATAACTAAGGCTTTCATCGATGACCTGATAAATATAATTATGTTACGCACTCAAAAAGAGAGCCAGCTCAGTGATATTTAAAAACCTATCCATTCTACGCGCTAAACGCTATTGCTGGCTAACTTCGATCTTACTGGGTGAAAGACTGGGCGACAAAGATCACAGTGACCCTAAATAGCAAAGTCCTACAGTCATAATTTAATACGGGAATCAAGGAATCTGATTCCAATACGTTCTATACATAAACCCTTATACGCAATAGACAAAATCTACTGTAGCCACTATCCAAATGCAATAGATGTCTCGACATGATAACAGATGGTAATTTGTATATCTAATGCCTCTTCCAGTACCAGTGGGCTGAAGATAGAGTAACATGGAAAATAAACGCGACAATCTTTACCGATGATGGTTAATCAGGATAAAATGAACGAATAGTTTCCAATAAAATATCTGGATACGACGTCTATTCTCAAGAACTTAACTTACGTAACATCAAGGCTGAGGATACATAGTAGCTATCCTTAATACTCATTTACAACTCCCATTCAGATAACTTTAGTTAAGCGATATTTGGAATATGTGTATATTTCAACTGACAGCGGAACCAAGCCCTGCGGGTATCTAAAGAGGCCTAATTGTAACACTAGCGTCCACTACCTTTCCCAGTATTCGCTCAAACGCTTGACGGAGGCATGAGTACGGATCTTTGACTGATGAATGATATCGAGCTGCTACATATTTGTCCGGTCTTAATAAGATTGCTCCATCATTCGAAACTTCACGCAGGCGACTCCAGATACAGGTAGGGTCACCATAATCACCATCAGGAGCTATGCGGATTCCAACGATCGGAATTTTCGTATTTTTGGCGAGCTGGGTCGCTGCCTCAGACCATTCGAGAGCAGCTGCGCCGTATCCGCAGAGGAGAACGAACTCACCTGTTCTACCGAGGTCATGCGTTGACAATCTAGCCCCTCGATTGTTTAACCACGCGTGTGGGAGACGTGAACCAGGGCGTGTGGTGGGACGATAGCTCACCCCCATTGGATCCCTCTCTGGAAGCGACGTGCCGTCGGGAACTAGAGCACCCGCCTCATAATAGAACCCAAGCTCGCGATCATGGGGGTTAAGTTCAAGACGAACAGTGTTGAAGACCTCCGCAGCTCTGGCGCGACGAGTAGCACCAAGCGGGGTTTCTTCAAAGTAGGCTTCAAATACCTCACTCCTTTCTTCTACTGTTTTAGCCCGGTTTAAACCAAGGCCTGCTTCAAAGGCGAACTGGTTTTCGAAGGCGAATAGCGCATATTCGACATTCTGTTTGCAGACCGGCCGCCGCTCTGTTTCGTATGTGTCAAGGAGATCCTCCGATGCTTGACCATGAAGTACGCTCGCAAGCTTCCAGGACAAATTATCCGCGTCCTGGATGGCAGACTGAAGTCCGAGGCCGCTGGTCGGTGGTTGTCGATGGGCAGCATCCCCAATGAAAAAGACATCGCCAATTCGGTACCTATCAACCTGAACAGCATCAATTTTCCAAGGGCTAACCCCAAGAATATCAGCTTTCAGATTAGGGAGATGAAGTAGATCTTGAAGGCGGGGAAGGGCATTGTCAACTGTGATCTGACCAATGTCAGAGTCGCCCTCAGGAAGCATGAAGTGAATGGTCCAGGTAGGTGAATGTCGATTCCAAGGGTGAGGGCCAGCCTTCACAAGGGAACCTCCAGCCCAACTTCCGTGTTTGGGACCCACAAACCAGTATGCCATCACATCATCAGAGACATAGGACGAGAGGTCAGCTCGAAAAAATATGCTCAACATCTCAGCTAAGCCAGATCGTCCGATCATTTGAGCCCCTAACATAGGCCCTACCGTCCGCCCACCGTCCGCCGCAATAACGTATCTTGCTCGAACTCTGTGAATTTCGCCCCTCATATCCTTTATCGAAGCGATCACACCAGCATGATGCTGTTCGAGAGTCATAAGTTGGTGACCGAACTTTAGGATCGCCTGGGAACGACTCTCCGCATGTTTGCGAAGGAGTGGCTCCAGAAGATGCTGCCCTAATCCGGCAGAGAGTTCCGGACTGTCCCTCTCATAAATCTCCCGGAAGCTGCCTTCGCCATTAAGATCAATGCTATACAGTTCTCGAGCGGCTATAGGGTCACCTCCCCCGAGAGATGTCATCCACGCCGCACGTAGCCTATTTTGCGCAGGGACTCCAGCATGTTGAATCTCTTCAGCAATACAGTGTCGCCGAAATATCTCCAGGCTCCGTTGATTATGTGCTCCAGCCTTCGGCATATGGGAAGTGCCAGAGCGACGCTCCACTAACAGAGAAGTTATCCCATAGTCCGAAAGCAGGATTGACAACGTGAGACCGCTGCCGCCACCACCGATGACAAGAACCGGGACTTCTGTCGGTAAATTATTGGGGTTTTCATTAGAAGACATGATGGGAAAAAAAAAGGCTTATACACTTGATGTAAATGGCGCTCAAGCACAGAACAGAATTAGGAGACAAATTCCACCTGTTGTAGAGACTTCGCTTTACGCTTAAATCCCAACCGGTCAGGGAGGGTTGAGTTTTAAGAGGACAATTTCGTGAGTCCTCGTGGGACGTATTCTTTGGCGGAATCAATAACTAAACACGAAAATTGCCTAGTTGGTTAAGGTTCACAAATACCTTGGATATTAGTTAGTGTATACCCCGCAACCCCAAAGTTTCACTTTGATTACCAAGAATACATACACATAGCCGGAAAGATACCGCACTGTCTCACGAATCTGGCAACAATATTTGGAATAGTTCAATAATGTTGTCGGGAAGACCGTCGGCCAATTAATTACCTGCCCGCATACTCACAACCGTCGTTGAGTCGGCATTTCCGGGGTGGAAAAGCAGCAAGAGGAAAACGTGAACTGTCGAGACACTATTATATAAGCCCCGTAGCTTCTAGTTCCTGAGGATAATACGCATCTACAAGATACTCACGCTCCTTAGTATATGATACGATACTAATTGCTTCTATCAAAAAGCACCACTGCAGGGGCCAGATACTAGTCATTGCATTGTTGGGTTCTGTCACCCTAACATAGAATTCTGGTCACTTTTCACCAAGGCAAAGTACACGAGACAATGCCGTTTGGTATCTTGGAATGCGATGGGGAGGGTTTTGTCCCTGGGACTGGTGAGATTTTCGAAAAACTGATTACAACTGAACAAGGTCCAGCTAACTTAACTGTTTAGTTTTCTTGGGCGGTACCAAACTGGAAAGTAGTCAAACGCCAACCCAACTGTTAAAGAAAGGTAAAGGGAAATATTCTCAGGTTATTCTCTCACCACAACCTTCGGACGATCCAAATGACCCACTGAATGTATGATATTCTCCTGATACCGAGCTTCTCTCAGTCTCTGACAGTTGAAATTGAATGCGCAGTGGCCACAGTGGCAAAAAGAGTCCATACTTCTTATAGTTGGGATGTCTGCAGCGGTTGCTGGTGCTTTTGGTCCCATGCTTTCCCCTGGATTTGTGCAAATCGCAGCAGAGCTTGATGTTCCTGTCAGCATGCTTGCACAAGCTACAAGCTGGATGATTCTGAGCATTGCACTATCGCTTTTTCTTCTTAACCCCTTGGCTAAGATTTACGGGAAAAGACCAATATATGTCTTTGCGATTATAGTTCTGTTCATCAGCTCTATCATTGGAGGAGCTGGCTCAAGTTACAACGACCTTTTGACTAGCAGAATCCTCTGTGGATTTGGCCTCGCGCCTTATGAGATTCTGATGCAATGCACGATTGGCGACTTGTATTTTGTTCATGAGAGAGCCACTCGAATCGCGTTCTGGAATCTCTGTCTCCTACTAGGTATCTCTGCGGGATCGCTCATTGCAGGGTACATCATTGATAGTGCAGGATGGCACTGGTGTTTTTGGATCTGTGCGTTATTATATGGTGTCCTAGGAGCTTTGGTTATATTATTCGTCCCAGAGACCGCATACAGCAGGCCTGAGACCACAAACCTCCAGCGACAAAACAGTGGTTCTGGTTACCTGAAACCCAAGGAGAACCTCCATGAAGCAGGCATCGAACAGATTGAATACCAGGATTGCGAGGATAATGTGGCAAGGATGCCTCTTGGTACTACACCCTCCGACAATACACCACGGCGTATGCCTTACCTGAAGTCTATACGACTTTATTCCGGCCGCTACACCAATGCCCCATTCTTGAAGGTATTCATCCGTCCATTTATCCTTTTCTGCTATCCGGCAGTTTTTGCAGCTTTCCTAATATACGGAACCATGATTACATGGGTTGTCATCTTTACCGTAGTCAATGGGGTAATATTTGTTGCACCACCCTACAACTTTACTACATCACAAACCGGTCTGGTTTCGTTATCACCGCTAATAATGTCACTTATTGGTGAAATTATTTCCGGTCCTTTAAATGATTGGGTATGTTTATATCTTGCCCGGAAAAATAACGGCATTTACGAGCCGGAATTTCGACTCGCAATGATGGCTATTGTCGCCATACTCGGCACCGTCGCATTCTACGGTTTCGGGGCCACTATCCACTATGAAACTCATTGGTCTGGACCTGTGATCACATATGGAGTTACCTACATGGGCTTAGCATTTGCGTCTACCTGCCTGTTTGGATATGTCATTGACAGCCATCCTACCCTAAATGAGGAGGCATTTGTGGCAATCAATGCCCGGAATATCCTAGCTTTCGGTGTCACGTATTTTGTAGAGGGTTGGTTGGAGAATAGTGGAGCTCTAAACGTGTTTATCGTATTAGGAAGTATCTTTCTAGGGGCATCTGCGCTAGCAATTCCTCTATGGATATTTGGAAAACGATGGCGGAGATGGATTTGGAATAACCAGCGACTACAAGAGTTGATGAGCGATTAAGACTATCGAGGAAAAGGTTTTCCTAGCTGGGAATTTATCTGTCAGGTTTTTGAAACCATAACACTGAGCGGCGGAAACTCAGTTTGGTATGGATCGTTCATTGTACTTAACTTTTACTTATGCCGTTATTTTGTTGCTTGATGTATTCAGTCAAGTGAGACCGATGGGCAACATTTAGAAGAGCTTCGAGCTTTAGAGTTTACTATGTAGCCCAGGTCCACTTAGATAAAGAATTATATGTCAATGTCACTGTCACCGTCCAAGTTAAGTGCCCGCCGAATAGAGTGTCCCGCTGCGGGACCGAAATCGTGGGGTGGCATTTACATAAAGTTGATAATACCCCATAGTTTTATCAAGAAGAAGAATATTAGGTATTATACTGCAACAGCATAAGAATAGTATGGAACAGAGATATAATCAGGAAACATGTACACAGGTGAAGAGCGACCACGCTGAAGACCTCCAAGCCGTGAACAAGCGCACCCGTTATGCGTTAATCGCCTGGTGGGATCCTCTTAAGCTAGGCTATGAACCTAGCACCGGGTTGTCAATATTCTAACATCATATTAGTAATGGGTGTCGGAAACGCAAAGCACGATGCAGTGGCGGAGAACCTTGCGACCGTTGCGCACACCTCTCACAGGAGTGCCACTATGATGAGGTCTATCCTGGGGTCTTACTTCGTTGCCAGTATGTATATCTCGATAGTATTAAACAACTATAGCATCTAACGGCATGTGATTGTTGTAGTGATATCAAAAAGATGCAAACCAATATCCTTACCCTCCAAAACCAGATTGGGCAACTTGTCAGGAACAACGAGCAACAATTCCACCCACATTCCCCGGCGGTTGCACCGATCGACTTCTTTCACTACATTGATGAATCCTTTGCTATCAAGTTATTACTCCTTTATGACAATGATATTGGTAATATGACACCAGTTGTGGATACCGAGGAGATGCGTATGTGTATTCGCCAGCTCTATGCTGGTTTAGGGTCGGGACAAGTCTTTCCCTTTGACGAGACGAAAGGAAAGATCCTGAGATGGGTAATATTGATTGCGCTCTCTATAGATCCCCGAGATCAGAGTGAAATGGTGACACGGCTACTTGAAAACTGCAAACCGTTATACGAAACTTCATTAGTTGTGGGAGAGCTTTGTTTATCTACCCTCGTTCTCTTAATTCTAGAGGTTGGCCGCACAGTTTCCAGGCTACTTTTCCAACTACTAACGACTCAAGGGTCTGTATCACTTCCATCAACACGACGAAATGCTGGCTGGGAGAATAATCAGCCTTGCAGCTCGTATGTCGCTAGAACTGGGCATACACAGTAAGGAACGGATTTTCTCCTTGTTCCCGTCTATGGAGGAAAGGTCTTTAGCTATTCGTGTGTTCTGGTCGATTTATGTCTTGGATAGGCGGTGGAGCATTGGTAACGAGATACCATTTGCATTATCTGACTCTGATATCGATCCTCTTCTGCCTGTGCCGGTGAGATTTGGTTGAGGACGCATCAAAAAACCTGACACTGACAATAAATGACAGCAATCCTCATTCTCGTACTTGCGAGTTATGATAGCGTATAGTCGAATTACTGGAAAAATCTGGAGTACTATGGCTCGGGATAAAAAATCATGGGCTTCGAAAGAGGCTAGTTTTCTTAACTACCAGATTCAAACTTGGTTCAATGCCATCCCGTCTGAATTCAAATGGGAGCAAGACAAGTTAAAGACCGGAATTGAAATCTCAGACAACCCTGGTCCACGGAGTTCCAACATGCTTATTGTATTACTACATCTTCGTTGGAACCAAGCCCGGTTGCTCTTGAGCTTAGCAACACTCGAGACGGTCGGATTTACTGACCAACCCGTGTCGATTGCAGAGGAAACTATATTGCTCTTGAGAAATTTTCATATGCAAAGTGCAACATGCCGATTGCAGCAAACTTCACTCAGCTTTTTTGTTATTTCCGCTCTGGAAGCAATTTTTCTGTCCATCTTGGAGGACCCTGAGACCTACGGACCAAGATGCCGTTCTTCCTTTTACTCCGCTTTGGACCTAATCAGATGCTGCTCCCATAAACTAATCGCAGTACCTAGACTCTGGAATATGGTCAACCGTGTCCGGAAAGATGTCACCCGACAACGTCTTGAATTTAACCTCAAAAGTACGGTATTACGAAGGCAAGCGACGGTATCAAATACTGCACAGACGGTGCAGTACTATAATAGTGCTGCCTATGAACAGAAATGCAATGCAACTACCTCTTTCCGTGGTACTAATCAAGCCATCGAAGTATTGGCTCAGATATTTGAAGAATTAACGGCTTCATGGTCCGCTTCTTCATCCGCTTCCAGAGCAGCACCGTGCACGGTCGCAAATTCAGCTTTTTCTGACCCAATTCTATTGTGCGTCAGGAATTCTGTAGAGGAACACTTACCTCGTGACGAAACTCTAGGCTTTCTTGGCTGATTTATATCTGCACATTGTGAAGCTTACCTTTAACTTCGAGTAATAAATGTATAATTTATATATTATAGATTAATTAAATAATAAAGTACTAGAATTTTATTAAAAGAAAGTCTATAAGAAAATGAAAATTAGAATTAAAAATTATTTAATATTGTTAAGTTAAACGCCCCTATACGAATGTGAAGGGGTTGGTGTTGACTCTATATAGTGCATATAATACAGGCACTAATGTGACGGCCGGCTCTGCATGTGGGTGTCTGAGTAGTGGACATAGATGCCTAAGGCGTGAGAAGGTTATTTGGAAAGCAGGCAAGCATTCGAATCACCTGCCTAACATAGGGTCCGAAGTATAATAACGCAGCAGCCAGACTTCTTGACTGGCGACAGTCTAACTACCTGGGACAATTTTGACAGCGAGTTCCGCAAGAAACTTGACAGTATGCTCAAGGCCGTTGATCATAACGCATCCAAATAAGAGCTTTTCTATGCCTCAGCGGGCCATACTGCTCTGATTGACTATCCAAAGGCTTCTGCGCTTCAGAAAATCGCCTCCCAGATGTGGACCAACGGTGGTATTGTGACTTTTGTCTGCCACGGTCCTGCTATTTTCGGTAATGTCGTTGATCTGTCCACCCATAAGCCCAAAATTAAGGGCAAGAAAATTACGGGCTTCAATACTGTGGTTGAACACACTATGGTAATCTATGAGGAGCTTAATATCTGGGACTTAGAGATAGTTGAGGAGCTAGCTGAGCGTCTTGGTGCAACCTATAAGTCAAATATTATTAACACTCCCTAGTAAGAATCACTACTAACTGCTTCTTCCACAGATAAACGTTCTTGCAGGTATCTGGGATGACCTCCATGTTGTCGACAGTCACTTAGTCACTGACTAGAACCCGGCCAGTGCTGCTTCTACTGCTAAGGCTGCAGTCACAGAATGTGAGAAGCTTTGAGTATGTTCATTGCGACTCTTTTCTTTTACTCATACTCGCGTGCTAATGTGATTATTGCTTAAAACCAATCTGGTGTCATTCCTTCTCGAAGTTTTCATAAAATTTGAAATTCAAATTTGATTAGGCTTTATCTAAAACACCCAGTAAGTTTGAACAAGTCCAAACTGAAAGGCTAGTAATTCCCCAACAGCTCGGACAAGCCATGACATGAATCTTCCCTCGACAGAACACATGCAGGTACGTTGGCATGGCCAAGTCATAGCCCCTAGGATTTAAATAGAGGCTAATCGAGGTACGAGCTGAGCGGCTCGCGCCTGTATCCAAGCTAGCGAACGAGACACATAGCTAGACAGGAAAGCGTCTGCACCGCTGCACGGTGAAGTCATCTGGTCTCGCGGACAGTATTATTTTCCGAGGACAGAGTAAGGCACTCACGGCTGTATATTTGAACTAGCGGACAAGGTATATATCTGGGTATTTTATATGAAGATTGGTTAGCTCTGTGTTAGATACAATAGCAGATATAACCGAGTACGAAAAATGCCACGTCACAAACGGACCGGAATTCACTGAAGTTCTGGAACCACTCTGTCTTCGCGCAGCAAGAAGAATATAAAAATACAAAAACAAAGAGGAAGATCTACATACAACAGCTGGGATTCGCTGGTGGTCACCCACCCAACTACTAACCAGCCGGCGTGTGGCTTAAGTACGGCTGAGCGGACGGGAAGCCCTGTTTTCCACACCCTATGGTCGTATGTGTCAGAGTTGGGGTGGAAGAGAACTATATTGTGGGCACAGTTGCTTGATCATTGGATTTAGTATCATTTAGAAGTCATGAACTTGCTTTCTAGTCGTAGCAAACCATTTATAAACCGGTAACATGATTAGGTCGTCTCAATATACCTGAAATGCCGGTCTCTTGTCCCCTACATACAGCCCCGCAATGGAATGGATGTTTGGGTGTCTAGGAAGATGTATTGAGTGCCAAAGCATTTATATACCAGACGCACACCCACGAATCTCTAGGTCGGGTTTGGTTTTCCCTTCAACAAGGGAATCTTGCAGTTCTCTCGTTAACAAACATTCTTCCTGCATGTAATGATGTTGTTTACTTATTCGGGCTTGATAATCATAAGTATAGCTTCGCTGTTAATTTGAGAGGTACGTGGCTTGGCGACGACGGTCTTTCCTCGGCCATTTTGAATGAGATACGAGACGAGGGTCTCAGCAATAATAGTTTCGATGTTGTGATTCCCACTGTTTACGTGGCGACACATGTCGACCCTGGCACGTATTACGCCTGGCCTGATGTCGATGCATCTTCCCTGTGTTGCGTACTGCCAATCGATTCACCATATTGAGACTGAATAGAAGCTCCATATGCCCTATTTATTTATACTATACATATATATATCAATTGATTCATTCGGCTGATAGAATCCTCAGTGCATGAGAGCTGGAGACGGTGTACATCCATTGAACAGCTACCTAATATGTAATCCCGGCTGCTAGCAATGTGAGTCCATAAGAACATTATATGAATATTTAAACCTTGTAAATTTTTATTGTTGTTGCTGGTAAGACGTCACCTGGCTCACCGCCTGCGTTGGCTGCTGCCGATAAGCAATTGATAACGTCATCTCACGCGGCAGAATATGCGGAATTTTCTTCTTCTTTTTCGACTCTCTTGCTCTCCTCCACTACATCACAGATTGGATTCGCGAATAAAATGGCTACCTCGGTTGCGAATGAGATCAAACTAATGTCCGGGAGTTCGCATCCTGATCTAAGCGAAAAGGTTGCGGATCGGTAAGTTCGGTATCATGGCGATAATAAGCATGGCGTTGATGGCGTTGGCATCACAGCCTCGGAATCAAGCTAGCGCATACAGTCAGTCAAAATTATTCGAACTTGGAAACCAGTGTTACAATCGGCGAGTCTGTTCGAGACGAAGATGGTATGCACTAGACCCTAGGCAATCCTACTTTCGTTGATACTTCGGTTAACCTTCATGTTTCCAGTCTACATTATACAGTCCACTGCTCCCGGTGAGGTCAATGATGGGCTTATGGAGCTTCTTATTATGATTCATGCATGCCGTATTGCTTCAGCACGCTCGATCACTGCGGTCATCCCGAACTATCCATATGCCCGCCAAGATAAAAAGGTTCGCTGGAGAATCGGTGAATTTACTGTTCGATTTCCTAACGACTGCTCATAGGACAAATCACGCGCTCCTATCTCGGCACGCCTTGTCGCAAATATGCTTCAGTCGTCCGGTGCAGTATGTCTAGAGATCAATTATATGCTAGCTATATGATCCGGCTAATCCCTCTCCGTTACTTTTCTAGAACCATGTTATCACCATGGATTTGCATGCGTCCCAAATACAAGGATTTTTCAATGTCCCGGTAGACAACCTTTATGCTGAACCGAGCTCATTGCGTTGGATCAGGGAAAACCTTGACGCTGATAACTGCGTTATTGTCTCGCCAGATGCTGGTGGCGCAAAGCGGGCAGCTAGTCTTGCTGATAGACTCAAAATAGGGTTTGCTCTCATCCACAAAGAACGTCCTCGGCCAAACGTCGTTGGTCGTATGGTTCTGGTTGGGAATGTGGAGGGTAAAACAGCAATACTCGTTGATGATATGGCGGATACATGTGGAACGGTACTCCCCTCATCATCCCGTAAGCTTTGCCTGATCGAAGTTCTTATTTCTGAAAACAGCTAGCCAAAGCAGCGGCCACGGTGAAGGACCATGGTGCAAAGGAGGTTTATGCCATGGTTACTCATGGAATATTAAGCGGCCCGGCTATTGAAACAATCAATACTTCGTGTTTGTCCGGGTTGGTCGTGACAAACTGTACGCATGCTCCATATTGACCCTGTTAACACTGTAGCAAGAGCTAACCTCGGTTGAATCATAGCGGTTCCCCGTGAGTTTTGATGATTTACTGTAGGTTTTTGATGATACTAATGGATTTGTAACCTTATAGTAGGTGACAAAATCGAGAAGTGCCCCAAGTTGAAAGTCATTGATATATCGGGGACCTTGGCCGAGGTATTTCATTCTTATTGTCTTCAAAGGAGGAAATTAGTTGACGTCAGCTCTAGGCCATTCGACGAACACATAATGGTGAATCTGTATCATATTTGTTTAGCAATGCGCCTTGAACATTGGCGTCAGTCGAACGCACATTGCTTTGATTGTATCCTTTTCAGAAACGGCATCTCATGAAGTTATGCTATTTCTTAGTCTCCATTGTGTAGACCTGAAAAAGCTTGTCATCTCGAGTGGCTTAAATGCTATGGTCCAGATCCGAATTCAATGATAGTTTGGCCTGTTGAAGAATAGACTGAGGCTAACTTGGGCTAAAGGTCCTTTATGGACGCGGGGTTACACAATACTATCTGGGATCGCTCACCATTTTTGATTTTGTGCCGTCTTCGTATTGTAGGATGGGATTTACAAATAGAGCATATTGGCCTTGAACGTAAGGCGCGCTTCTCAGAGACCAACTCTATAGTAGTTATCAAGATACTTACCAGCTCGATTCAGAAATCTCGACTTTTTTTTCCCTGTGTCTTGCCTCGGAAATGGACTCCATTTCATATAGGGTCGGTCTATGGGAGAAACTCGTATGTAAAACAAGCTTGTTGTGTAGTTTTGATGCTAGTATATGCTCGAATTTGGGGCCGATTTTGATGAACTTTCGCTCGTAAAACCAGTAGGCCATAATACAGACACTTATCGCCTCGAGACTCTCTAGTTAGTCGCAGGAAAATGCTCGGGCAGACACATTAAGTCAGCTTACCCGCCGGCTAAAGTGCTGGCATGGTTTCAGCTACTAGCATTTTGGGGCCGCAGCAATGAGACCGAGAGAGCAATCCGGAATATCGCCCGCCGAATAAAATTGTGGTTTCTAGAGTGTGGTATGTATAAGAGATTCTTTACCTAGAGTACATAGTTTGTATTGTTTTAATACCGTTGCAACACAAGGATTTCATCATTGGTAAGAATACATTGAAGACCAGTGTTGCCAGCGACAGGAGTCGCTAACTTACAAATTCGACATACTCATCTCTACCAATAACATTGAATGATGGAAGCTAGACCGACACTCTAGGTAATAATAATAATTCTTCAGAATATGGCTGATAAAACCTTGTAACATGCGGCATGTGCAAATCAAATTTATACAACAGGACTTGTAAAATACTGGTAACAATCTCCTTCCAAGGGGCGGCGCCGACGTCGTACAAAGAAGCCACAGATTTCTAGGACAGAACATACCTGTCGTGTAAGCCCCCATCTGTAAGTCAACCGCCTACTCTAAAATCAAGATATTATAATTAGTTTACCGAAAAAATGTCACGTAACGCTCATGCCAAGACTTGACCTTTGCCTTGTCAACCACAAGCAACGACGTTCTTAGATGTGTGTTGGCTGTTGGTGAATCCGAAATGGGGGCGGGATCCTGTTAGAAATTGTAACGTTACGCTAGAGCCGATCTTGAGCTATTGTTATTTTTATTATTATTATTTAATTCAGGCTGCTAGTTTGTAGTTATGGGATTTATAGAATGCAGGCTGCTTGCATTGGCCAGAGGGAATACGTCGTTGTCTGGTAGTGATGGTGTGCAGGGATAATGACAGCCATAAACGGGCCTAAATCCGACCACGCAGATAAGAAAGAACGAATTATTGATTAGGGGCAAGTTCGCAATTTCACCAATGAAGGACCTAGGCAGAATGCCATGATCTGCCATCGCGGCGTGCGCCATGCTGTCTAAGTCTTGAGATGTTACTACGACAGATGGGCGCCATTATTGGGTAGTATACCAGTATACCATTGCTAGCAAGCGAATTAACTCATAGCGTATTTTATTGTTGGCCGTGTGCCCAGCATTATTATTATTTTGGGTTGCCGATGTTTTCGTCAGCATGATAGACACACCCAATGGTATGCTTCAAATTCCGCTTAGACTGTTGGTCTCCAACAACTGTGGGCCATGAAACAATTGTGGTTTACGCCTTTTAGCCTCTCATTTCCCAATTAAGTTAATTTTCACTTCATAGCCCGTGAACCAACATTTATTCCCACACCATTGTTTGACCATATTAAGCTACGATATCGCCCGGTTTTACCGGCCAGCGCGTTACATCTTTTGATTAGGTCTAGGTAGATTTAGGATTTGAAGATTATATTAAACAAGAGAACTACATCCATAACTGTATTGTGGATAGAATAATCCCTTTTCTTGAACATTCTAGCTTGCAACGAGAAGCCGTAAAAGCACGTCTTGGAAATAAGTGACCTGGAAAATCGACATCTAACTGAACATGAGAGTATCTACGCTGCTTTCGGGCCTGTCCATTACTGGCCTGGTCACGGCTACCGACCTTTTGCTGCCTCTTTATATCTACCCATCAGCGGGCCCTATCCAACCGGTCTACGATGCAGTCACTTCAAATCCTAATGCCACGTTCTATGTCATAGTCGACCCCGATTCTGGACCCGGAGGAAGCCGTATGTTTGATTCTGTTCCGTAGAAATTAACCGTTGAGAGGAAGAGAGTCCTTCACTGACAAAAAACAGAATACCCAAACTCAGATTATATCACCGCTCTTGCCAAGCTCAACACTTATTCTAATGTGCAGACAATTGGATACGTGCACACGTCATACATGGCGCAAACCACCGATGCCATCGCAGCTAATGTCAGCAGATATGCAGGCTGGAGCAACTACTCGGATAGCAATATTGCGGTAAAAGGAATATTCTTCGACGAAGCCACAAATACACAAAACTCGGCCGCCTACGCCTACATGTCGACTATCGCGTCCAATGCTCGCGACCAAGGCCTCGACTTCGTCATATTCAACCCAGGAACGGTGGTGACTGCGCCGGAATTCTTTGAGGCAGCTGACCTCATCGTGGTTGAAGAAGTTGCTTATTCCACATACCAAGCTGGTACAATCCAGTCGGTGCCAGAGCAATATCGCAACCAAAGTGCTATCATCCTACATGATACGCCGTCAGGAACGAATTTGACATCTGTAGTAAGCGGGATGGAGAGCGATACGCTTGGCGCATTCTATGCGACCGCGGATTGCTGCTATCAAAGTGTCACAATCCTAGGCAGCGTCGCATCTGCGTTGGCAGCATCGAATTAAGGAACCGTGGTTCGGTGAATTTCGTGGAAGCCGTTTTGTTGTTCCCAGCTCGAGGGTTAGCCGGAATGTATGCGATCCTTCGAGGTCGAAGGAGTTATACATATGTTCCGTGTGTATATCTCATAGCTTGTACATAGCTTATGGAACAGATGTCGTAGCCTAAAGGGTCGAATTTGTTGATCAAAATAGTGCTCAGATAATATAGGACAGCGTTATTGACGCTGATTGGTCAACAATGCTGCTGACAAACTGAACCTTAAGGCCAATCAGACCCCAGGAACTGGAATTCATGTGAATGTCCTGTCTTGACACCTGTGTTAGTCACATCGACATGTCCGCACAGAGACGAACCCCTTAATGCTCACCATCAACCAAACTCATTAACCTCAAACCAAGCCCATAACCTGTCATTCTATTTCCCCAGCCAAGTGGACCGTATTCGGTACTTGCTCTCCCCATCGCAACTACAAGTGCCTTTGCCTTTCTCGGGCCAGCTGTAAGTAATAACCACATCAAGAGAATCTCCCAGCACTATCAGGTGTGTCAGGGCAATGGCAAATAACACGAGCATAGATCTAGAGCAGCGGCCGGTCGAAGTCAGTGTCCCCGATGGCGCGAGCCCCGTCAGTCAGCAGCAACATGGCCGGCCCGATGCATCTACAGAAGGAAGTTTGGACGCTTGGCTTGCTATTGCAGGGTCCTTCCTCGTGTATTTTGCGTCGTTCGGAATCATAAACAGCTTCGGATTCTTCCAGGACTTCTATCTGTCCATCTTCTTAAGGGATTATGCAGCTTCGGAAATCGCGCTCATCGGGACGATGCAGCTTGCATTGATGTATCTTACTGGGCCGGTCGTGGCTTCGCTGTTCGACGCGCATGGAATTAAGCTGAGCAAGGAATGACTGCTATGCTCAGCTGGAAATGTCCCGTTATGCTGATTGAGACATAAAGTATCTCTACCCAATTGGTGCCTTGGGTTGCTCCGTTTCTCTAGTGGGACTGTCATTTACGCAACCGAACCATATCTGGCAACACCTTTTGCCAAGGCCTATGTTAGGTTTGACAGTCGCTTGCGGTGTCCAACCAGCTCTCACAATTATTGGACGCCTCTTTAAGCATCGGAGAGCATTGGCAACGGGCCTCGTTGCGTCCGGAAGCAGTGCAGGCGGCGTAGGTTTTCCAATCATGTTCTCCAAATTGGTTCCACTTGTAGGATTTGCTTGGGCTCTGCGTGTTGGAGTGCTGGCCTCCATTGTCTCCTATAAAATTGCTTGGTGCATAACTAGGACAAACCAAAACTCGAAGCAGCTCAAATCACTCGCAGATTTATTCGATTTAGGTGGATTTAAGGATGCTCGATATATTTACCTGTCCCTGGGTAGCTTTATGACAAATCTGGGCTTATACGGACCTTATTACTATGTTGGTAAGTCTGCTACAGTCTCATTTCGAAAATCCGCCAAACTAACAACCACCAAAGAGCCATTCTGCACCCTCTTAGATCCGGCTGCCAGTGTTAAAGTATACTTACTCCCACTCATTAACGCCTCCAGTCTAGCCGGTCGTATCATGTGAGTCTACCCATCACTTAAAGTATTGTAACGTAACTAGCTATGATCAATTCTGACCGAAACAACTCTCCAGTGGAGGCTATGTTACTGATAGTAACAATAATTAACCTATAGTGAGATTCAAGTTCCAGTAGGGCCATGCAAACGCGTCCAAATTTCATTGCGCTACGTATAAATGACCGGCCGCTTGTGTCGTACATGCGATACGAGCCATAAAGTAACTTAAAGGCGACGCCAATGACAATCTAAATGCCAAAGTAATCGTACCACAGCTACCCGAGATTCATTGCTCGTGTTGACATGCTAAGGATAGAAGCTGCTAGTGAAGGGGTAAGAATATTGACGCCATGACAGTGAGACGCTTGAGGCTTGCTGTTTGGTTTTTATTTGAACGGTTTGCTGCTAGAGTAATATAATGTGTGCGCCGCTGGATCGTGTGGTCTACCTTGTTTTTCGCTGCCCGAAGCTCTGCTCAGAGATCTTCAACAATCTCATCCATGTGTAACGGTTGTGACATGCTTTGTGAAAATCGATGTCATTTGCTGTTAGTTTGATTATCCCGAGGGCAGGGTTCTTGCTTTGAAGGCATCGCCTCTGCCGAGTGATGTTCATTTCCGTCTTGAATCGTTGAATCTTCATTGAAGCTATCAAATAGTCAATGGCAGCTGAAGATCCCAGATAAATGAGGAGAAATCCACGAAGATGAATGCACCGTCAGGGTACTCTTTCATATTCCACACATAACCCATTCCAGCGTGATAGAAATTAATAGCTTCCAAGAATATGACCCACGTAAGAGCTCACTACTCTGAATAACTCAAGCAGGACTAGTCAATACCGGCAACGTTCATAACTAAGTAACTTGAGAGCAATACTTTTTCAAGGGCTATGCAGGGTGGAAAATGTTCGGGGCCATATGTCGCTGGAAAGACTCAAAATACTGGGATATAATTAGCAAAGAGGACGACAGCCAAAATTGTGAGGCGCTTACCTTCATCCCTAATATGATCAACATGAACAGATGCTAATGTTTCCCAGAACGAGTCCGACAAGGGTCAATCTGAGGGTAAAACTTTTCCTGTTCCCTCACTCACCATCTACAAAATACCAGAGGTCTTCGATCCGTAATCGCCTAGCTGCTGTTGCACGTTGGTGCGTTGGGGGTCGTTCTTCCTCTTGAAAGGATTCAGGATATCAACGTCAAGCTTAGCCGGGATGAAGTTAGTCAATGAGATGGAATATAAGATATGGTCTAGAAGGTCTCCCGAGGATGGCCAATCGTAGAGGCCTAGTCATTGGTAGAAAATCACCCGCCCTTTCCTCCCGACGTTATTACTGCGTCCGTGTTTGCTATACAGATCTAATGGTCCGTCAATCTCGAAAAGGATAACTCTGGTTACCGACGGCTTTTCCGGGAGATTGTTATAGGATGTTCTAAACCTGCCCGCGAAGTACACCGGAATCCGGGTTGCCGTACCATCTTCTTCAATGTCTATTACGGTCATAGACTGTGTAATTAGTCGAATCTAGCAATGGCCTTTATGCCCTATCCGGAATATCTCCTGCCAGGCTTCACTCGATACACCCCACTGGGTATCCTCTGGATCCGGAGCAGTGCCCTGATTATCATCTCCATCACCCGTTGACCTAGCGGACATCACAGTCAGAACGCCAGTCAATAGTGCGAAGCAACTGCCTCGTTTCAGGACGTCCCATGGTGGGCTGAGTAAATGGCAGAAAATAAATGGTATTGCGAAGTACAGAATCGCATCTGAAGGAAGCATCGTGGGATCGGTTATAGAAATCTATAGGAAATTAGAGTCAGCGGACGCCCAAAGACCAGCCCATGGACTTTGACCCGACCAACTGAGCACTTTATCGAAACAAGAACAGCGACATTTTTTAGCCTTGCTCTATGAGAGGTATTGAGCCAATGGGATAGTAGAAGCGAACGGGGCTAGGACAGCAACACGAGCGGGCATCTACCCCATAGGGCACGAAGAACAAAAAGGGAAAGCAGTTGAACGACAGGCGATGCTTAGAACGGCAAGAGGCAATTTTCACCTTGCCCGACCCGGTACTAGAAGGGTTCTCACGTTACATCACTAAAAGTCGGTCTGGGTCCCGTCATCTAATTCGTAACAAGTGAAGGGAACATTTTACTTAACAGTATACATGTAGCTAACAAACTCGCCAACTGCATTTGCTTGTTGATATAGATATCCGTTTGACATATTTCTTTTACGTGCTACAGAGTATATATAAATATGTTTCCATTAGTGTTTGGAAACAAACTAGTGCCACTTATTAATAGGATTTAGGTCCGTTTAACCTTGCTAACAATCGTCGGCAGTTAAGTTTAAAGATGGATCTCCACCAAAAAGCCCCCCGCAATTTAATTGACGGGGAAAAGCCAGGGTCCCGTTAAGTTAGGCCTCCACCTGAGTAAGCAAATATTTCTATATGAAACCCAGCAGTAGGCAGTTTAACGCTGCACTAGCTTTAGCCAAACTCGCAACCAATACCCCGGGATATTCGTTTCCCTACATGGATATTAAGGTATGATGCAGTAGATAGTAAGAACATTCCCTGAACGTAATTTTAGCGGAGTGTCGGGATGGATACTCGTCGACACGAGGCCGCGATTCCGGCCCAAATGGACGGGGAGTATCGGTTTGAAATAAATTCCTCAAGAAGATGGGTTGGAAACCATCGTTTCATGCAAAAATTTCAGGGCTTCTGAGCAATGTTGATCATGAGACTTTCGAAGGTTTTCATTATAAAAAGGTATGTACAGGCCTGGAATTGCATCATATCATCGTTCAAACAACCAGTCCTTCTATAGGTTCTCAAGGCTTTCATAAAGCGAATAAAGAAATGTTTCAACGCGCTTTTCTCGTTTCTATCTCACTTTACCTTGCCGCTCAGGCACAGCAGGTTGGCACCTCTACAGAGGAAGTGCACCCTGCCCTGACCTGGCAGAAATGTACCGCTGCTGGTAGCTGCTCAGCGGTTAGTGGAAAAGTCGTCGTCGATGCAAATTGGCGTTGGGTTCACTCCGTCGGTGGCTATACCAATTGTTATACCGGGAATACCTGGGATGCTACTCTGTGCCCAAACGACACGACTTGCGCTGCAAACTGCGCTTTGGATGGCGCAAATTACGAAGGGACCTATGGTGTTACCTCTTCGGGAAGCTCCTTGAAGCTTGATTTTGTCACACAATCATCGAACAAAAATATCGGCTCTCGACTGTACCTCATGGAAGATGATGACACCTACCAGTCCTTCCAGCTACTCGGTAAGGAGTTCACTTTCGATGTCGACGTGTCAAACCTTCCCTGCGGACTGAATGGTGCGCTTTACTTTGTTTCTATGGATCTTGATGGTGGTATGTCCAAGTATTCAACCAACAAGGCTGGTGCCAAGTATGGTACTGGCTACTGTGACTCTCAATGCCCTCGTGATTTGAAATTTATTAATGGCCAGGTATGCTGTTTTTTCTTCTGCGCTTGTAGTTTGTACAAATACTGATTGCAATCACTTTGAGAATAGGCCAATGTTGACGGTTGGGTACCCTCATCAAACGACCCAAACGCTGGTGTTGGTAACCATGGATCTTGTTGTTCTGAGATGGATGTTTGGGAGGCGAACAGTATCTCAAATGCTGTCACTCCCCACCCGTGCTCCACCGTTGGTCAGTCCATGTGCGAGTCTGATAACTGCGGTGGCACCTACTCCTCTGATCGCTACGGCGGTGAGTGCGACCCCGATGGATGCGATTTTAACCCGTACAGGATGGGAAACAAAACCTTCTACGGCTCTGGATCCGGCTTTGTTGTCGATACATCCAAGGTATTTACTGTTGTTACGCAGTTTATTGAGAATGGGGGCTCTCTCAGCTCCATCAAGCGATTCTACGTCCAGGGTGGCAAAGTTATTTCTCAGTCAGAATCAGACGTCTCCGGCGTCACTGGTAATGAAATTACGCAAGCCTTTTGTGATGCTCAAAAATCGGCTTTTGGTGACACGAACTCTTTCGATCAAAAGGGCGGACTGAGCCAAATGGGCAAGGCACTTGGAGGTGACATGGTTCTTGTGATGTCTCTCTGGGACGATCACTCCGCCGACATGCTCTGGCTCGATAGCACTTACCCAACCAACGAGACTGCTAGTACCCCTGGTGCTGCCCGTGGTAGCTGTTCTACGAGCTCCGGCGTGCCATCTGACGTGGAGTCAAACAACGCCAGCGCCTCGGTTACTTACTCCAACATTAAATTCGGACCTATCAACTCGACATTCACTGCCTCCTAGAATAAAGGCCAAGGCGCCAGATATTGAAGTCAATGGCATGTGCTTGAAATCAAACTGGTCATAAACTCATAGAATGGACTTCCTAGATTCAATATTTTAGGTGTAAACCATCAAACAATGAAGCTAGGTAACCTCTTTTGGGTCTATGATTAAATGATTTTCAGTTTACGGTTTGTTCAATTTTTTTTTCTTTAACTTTTCTTTATCCATTCCTATTCAAGATGCCAATATTTTACAAAAAATGTATATACGTATGACCTTTCGAAATCTCAATCAGGTCGAGTTTCATTCGTTTAATTTCACTACTGCTTGGTCTAAAAAGTTATTCTACAGACATGTCGGTCTCACAATAGAACGTCATAATAGAAAGAAGATTTATTAGTTAGAAAATACTCTTGGTATCCATACGCGTTGTAAACATGCTCTTTCGGCCGAGACCCCTCGTTCTTTGCTAGATACCGTTACAAAATCAATTGAGAGGCGAACTTCCAAGTATTGACGGAGTTTTAATCGGGATAAGTCGCCGAGAGGCGGGGTACCACATAGAACGTATGGAAGATCTGCGGAAATTCGATAGACGTTCCTTTCTTATCACGTCTTTACTCTAGTCATATAATTTTCTCAATCCATGAACCTCATTAACTGCGAGGTAATTTCCTTTCGGAAGGTTTGCCGGTTTTTAACATTGATTGGGCACTATTACCATTGGAGAATAGATACTTAAACCGTAGCTGACACGGAATGAAACAAGTTTATTGTTGATTCACATATGCACGGTTCCCAATTCCATAACCCGGTAGTTCATGATAACTCTGCAGTATTCTAATACTGACTCCATAACCAAGCAAGACAACATCCACTATGAAGTCTCTCCTTAATAGAACGGCTATTGTTACAGACTCATCTTCCGGGGATGTACGAGTCATCGCACTCACTCTGGCTAAGGCTGGTGTCCATGTTGTATTTGCTGACATAGGCCCTGAACCTCAAGTAGATGACTATGAAGAAGACGACTAAGAATTGACTCATCATCTTATCTCAGCGTGCTACGGCAAAGGCAGCACGAAACGTGCCATATTCGAGCAATGCAATGTACAATATCCTGAGCAGATTAGTCAACTTATTAAAAGAGCCGCCTGGAAATTTGGTCGTCTAGATATTATGGTCAACAACGCAGGTATCCTTACATGGCCAGGTACAATCGTCGACACGACGGAGGAAGAATATGATAGGACGATGGCGGTCAATATGAAAGGAACATTCTTTGGATGCAAGTATTCCAATGAACAATTTTTATCTCAAAGAAAAGTCGATAATCATCTCATTCAATTGCAAAATTGTCAACTTTTCATCGATCGGTGTATTCATCGGGTTAAAGAAGAACCTGCATGTTGTGTATCCAAAGGGGCCGTGGTCAATTTGATAAGACAGTTGGCAGTGGGTTTTGGTAAGAAGGGGGTCAATGTTAATACAATCTGTCCGGGATCTTTGCAGACGGCCATGGTCCGTCCGATTTTAGATGACCCTGAAGAAAGAAGTTCTTGGATGATGCCACTTCATGGCCGAGGTTAGGTGTTGCGCAAGGCGTTACTAATGCGACCCTGTGGTTGGCGACTACGGAGAGTGATTTCATGGCAGGATCTGCTATACCAATCGACGGCGAATATATCGCTAGGTAGCCGACCAAAAGCATAGATTGAAGTAAGGTGCATTGTGATAGCTCCATCCTCTAAGAATTCATGTTCCTACTGAATGATTCCATATCCTGTTTTAATGCATACCACGGCTCTCGATATTCCATAACCCGAGCCCTATATCTATTGATAACAGTAGGCACATCCTTCATATCAAGACACACATCATTTGTGACATCCTTCCAGTCCATTCCATTCTCATTTTTTCGATAACGAGTATCGTTATCCATTTCATCCAATAGAATAATATCAAAACAATGTCCCGCCCAGCTGCCAGCCTTTGCCGTGCTAATAGAGTATTCTTGACCATAGTAGCCAGTTAAACCGCTTGAACACTGGATGTACCAGAGGAGGACATCTTCTATCGCCAATTCGGTGGATATCTGGTTTCCCATTACCCTGCCGCCATTTTCACAGCGAAAACAGCGTACATACTCCATAGTTGACAGGTTTCGCAGCGTCCAGATTCTGGAATCTGGCATTACAGCACCAAAAGGCGCAATATTGCAGGTCCATCGCAACTCATTGGCTAATATGAGTCTTATGCGAGGGTGGAAAGAAGTCTCCATGCTCTCTTTCAAAATTCCCATCCACAAATCAGGAGTGGTTTCCCCTTTGGTATAGTCAGTGAAAGACATATATGACGAGTTTATTCCTCCGCCCGCAGCCCAGGTCCTCGGACCCCAGCGAGAAGATCGTCTCCTCAAGATTTTATCGATCAACGAATAGTTATCTTTTTTAAATGATGCTGGGAGATCGTTTCGTTTATCGCAAAGTAATGCCATTTCGACTCCGATCAGACTACCCGATGCCCGTATGCAGTCCATTTGTAAGTGCGAAAGAATGCGAGGCCATAGTGTAGGTGATGAGAGCCCGAAATTGATGATATCCTGACGTGTAAGAATGGATGGATGATCCAAAATCAACCCCACAATTTCATTTGGTAGACTTTCGATGGTTGAAATTGTCGGTAGGGTTTGGGGCGCTATACGATCGGCTATAATCAAAGCCTTATCGCGTCGTCTTCCGCCATCGTTGCCTGATTCAGGGAGCTCTGGAGTTCTTCGTGGGGGTCTAGAGAGTAAGTGCCACATATTCCAAGCACTTCTACCTTGTGGCTGACATATAGGTGGATAATCGCTTCGATGAATACCGTCAATCCGGTAGTACGTGTCTTTCCGAGGAGCGGTCAGAGTCCAGCCAGGGACAACTCTCTGCTCCATTATGGACTGTCCTTCGTGTTTATATTCGGGGAGGAGAATATTTAAAATCCAGTAGTTTTTTTTAATGACAAATAGATTAAAGGGGTGTGTTAATAGGTAATTGATACCGACCAAAACTATTCTGCCTGGCGATCGGGGCGGATTATAAGCGTGCTGCCTGTTAGGTTGCATGCTAGGAATTGCCGTTCGCGGTTATATACGGTTTTTGGACTGAATACCTTGAAATATATTCTTTTTCAAGTCAAAATCATTGACGTGCAGTGTTATAGGTTTCAGGGTTACATGATGAGGCGCTGGAAGTACGTGTACGCAAAATATCTACATGTTCGTCCATATCTTTCTACGGATGCATACATACAATACTAGCCCAACAGTATTCGCGTTTTTTCCCGAACGCGCACCTACAAAATTTACCCTCCTTACAAAAAAGCCACTATTCCTCCAAATATTAGATTATAAGTCTAAATCGTTCAAAAATATAATAAAAATTAATTATATTCTATTTCTTCATTAAAATTAATATTAATTTTTGATATACTATCTTTTAATAGCTAAAATAGTATTTATTTATAAATCTATAAAGCAAATCAATCTGCCTCAGAGGGGTACGAGGCATGATTGGGGGAGGGTTGAAAAAGAGGAAAAAATTGAGCGTGTCACGGGTGTGCGGAAAAACGCGAAAACCGCTTTAGCGTGACTGTATATAAAACTATCTTTCCTTGAATTAATTATGGAGAATATATGGCAATGAATAGAGTTTTGAACACAAGACATCAAGCGATGCATTTTTAGTACTAAATTGGAAAGATGAAACAAGAATTGAACGTTAGTAATCGAGGCCCTAGGTTTAGAAATACTTAGCCCTCTCAGCACGGAAGTTACATTATTATATTATGTCCAATAAGGCCCTTCAAAGCTAAGGCAATTAGCAAGTACATGTAGGCAGAAAATGCGCCCAGTAGGTTGAAATAACTTGAAGTAATGGCAGATGACGAGAACAATACCAAGGACCCGTCATATTCAACTTATCTCTTCTTTTGTGGAAGAATCTTCAAAATCCTCAAAATAGAAATGAGGTGTTTCATCGGACCAAAATCAAAGGGGTACGAGAAGAGACGGGCCGTCATTCTTTGTTACGTCTGCCTCTCTTGTTTACGAGAATAAAATCACAAAACTCGGAAAACTAAAAACTTCCCGTGGTATTTAATCATCTGAATATCTGGGAATATTGATATTTGTACTGAAATAGCATATTCTGATCTCACTGGTGTCAAGATTGCGCCAACAAACAGATGAGTGATGTCAGCAGAAGGAAGGACAAATGTTCTTCTAGAAAAGTCCTGCATCATACAGAATGCTCTTTTCAATGTTAATTGGGTATTTCCTATGTACTTTAGACATGATTGATGCACTACCTTACGCCTTGTCAAAAAGTTCTTACCAAGGGCCTGTGTTGTCAAGGATGAAAGAAGAAACTACTTTGTGGGAACACCAATACTTTGGTATCACAACAACTCGGTCGAGCACGAAGACATACACCAAGACAGTTTTTTGGACAACAACATCAGTACATTCCGTCATCAATTATGAGTCCTTTACAGTCACGAAGACCGTGTCCACCACTATCATTACAGTCTCTGGCCTTGACATGCACAAAAACGGAATGAATGTACAAATAACAACCAAACCCAAGGTCATTATGAGTATGACAGCCACAATGCATCTCACAGTGACAAAGTCAATACTCGAGCAAAAGAATCACCACATAGTGCTGGGGGTTCACAGGCTAGATCATGCAATACCAGGCTGGTTAATTGGGACTGTTACTCACACAATTATAAGCACCGTTCAAGCTGTTGACCCCCACTTAACAGCTACAAATTCAGTGGTGGTGCCTGAAACAACAGTAATAACAGAGCGTCCCCATGTGTCAACAGTAGTAACTACTTCCACAGTAATAGCCACAAATATGGTAATAACCAAAACAGCGACTTCATTTGTCCAACTTAGCACGCAGTCAGATGGGAAGCGGGATGTAATAATCCTGAAACGGGTGGACTATGTTACACAAATTCCCATGGACACTCTTTCGTCCCAAGTGCGGCTGCCGACGAATGTTGAAGCCAATATAACCCGGATGGCATTGAGAGGGTCATTAGGATTAGGCAACCGAGACAGCATTACAGTAACGGTGCGCTCTTCCTTTTGAATTTTCTGGTGTTGATGCTAAATTATAACAGCAAACATTGATAGCATCAACCACTGTCTTCAAAACCAGGGCCATTACTGTACCCCGCATATGGACAAGCTCCACCAATTCAACCATTACTGTTACTATCACTAGAACAATAATGCAACCGGCAGCGGCAGCGGCAGGAGTGGGAACAGCGGTAAAGGAAGGACTAGAAGCAGGAGTAGAAGAAGGAATGAAAGGAGGGACACACGCACTGGGAGAGCCTTTAACTGATATCGTGGTCGTGGCGACGGAAACTATTATTGCAACATTCACCGAAACTCTCCCTATCTCCGCTTTACTAACACTAATCTCCCCAACCACCGCCAAACAGCCTACTACAATGGATATTACACATGTCGTGACTAAGTCAAACAAACCCGCAAAGACAGTTACCAAGTTGGTGACCAATTTTGTGACATTGACACATGTTCCAGAAGACATTGTTGTAACAAAGGTAAATATAGTGACTGAGACTACTACTGTAAGTGGAATTTATACAATGTGGCTCGTTAGTGTGGCTACATAGAATGCCAAGTTCTTGCTTTTAAACAGGATGAATTTCTGATATTTTATTGAAAAATATAATCTATGCTACATTTGAACTTGTTGGCAGTCTACTTAGTAGAGAACGATTTATGTAGAACATCCATATATTAATTGGTAATTGATCATGATTGCATATAATATTAACTTCGTCATCAACTGGTAGTTTGGCATAAAAATCAATACTTGGTGACAAAATTTCCATCTCACTCAGTACTATTTACGGGACTCGCCTAGCACCAATACTTTGTATTTCGAATGGTAAGAATATTAAGGATGAGAGAAGATAGAATACATTAGTATACATATAAAATCTCGCACTCTAACCCTGTTACCCTGTTACCCACTTCAACGCCAGAAGGTTGCGCACATATAGCCGGATCTCTGCTGCATGCAGTTATTTACAAAAGTCGGACGAATAGTTGTTTGGATAAGAAAGACATCCTCCATAACTCCAGAAATATTTCAAACGCAAATATTATCAAAAAGAAGGGGGAGAAAAGATAGACAGTTATGGAAAAAAGAGTTAGTAGAAATCTCCAGTGAGTAGCCACGCTATCATGGCAATCCAGCAGCCGGAAAACACCAAGGTTAAAATACCTGCACCTGCACGGTCACCTGCTGTAATGGCTGCCTGTTTGGGAGGCTGATATTCTCCAGAGGACTGGGTACCACCGGATGGGTTACTACTACTGTTACCACCAGTCTCGGCGGTAACGGGCCCAGGGATCGAGGGAGGTGTGTAAGAAGCCCCATCTGGTCCGAAGGCAACGAGAGAGTTGGCAAATATACTGAGAGCGGACATTTCCTGTTCAATACCTTTGCTGCCGTCCCAGCTGGAGCTGAACCATTGCATACCGCAATCATTCTCAGGGCCACTACATTGCTTTCCCGCTGCAACCGCGGAATATTTCAGCTTTGTGGTGATGGTGGCAGCTTGATCCGGCACCAGAAGTGCGATTGTTGATAGCCAATTTGCCATTAGGCCTTTAAAACACAGTTGATCACGATCGCATGTCATGATGGGATCACAAGCTGCCTCGGATAGAATGTTGCCACCATACTGTTCGGGGAAGAATATGGTCCAGATAGAGTTGAGTAGGCCGTCCACGCTCTCTTTCCATTTGGCCCCACCGTCTGTCTTGATATTGTCAGTGTCTGCTGTGCCGGTGCGACTGGTGTTTTAAAGGAGAAAAGAAGTTAATACCTTGTTGTACATGTAAGCGGCACCGGCGACATAGGAGCCATAGTTGTAAGACCATTGCATATTGCTCTTGTCCTGACAGTTTTGTGATATGTGGGTCATGTCATTGATATACCATGTCTTGTTATCAAAGAGCACCGACTCCACACTCCAATCCCATACGGTTTCCGCCCAGTTGGCGTAGGATTCGTTGTTTGTATAACGATAGAGGCGTGCAGCCAGTTGAAAGAAAGCGCCATTAGAGACGGCATTCTTAGCGTCGTATCCTCCCAGGATAGGATACAGCTGCCAGCGGAGGCCGCCATTACACGATGCTTTATCGACGTCCCAGCGACCAGCAAAATCGTTGAAAGCACCTTGGGCCAACTCTAACCAAGATGCGCTTCCAGGAGTTGGATCTTCAGGAAACCTTTGTTCGGCGGCAGTCATAGCTCCGAGCGCCCAAAACTCTTGATCGTCGTTGCCCTAGACGAATGAACGATGGAAAAGTGAGTCAGCCAGCAAGCTCCGTCACGAGGAGAATAAGTACCCGGGGGCAGAAAACGTACCAGGTAGCTGCTATAGTTGGAAGTGAAAAAGTCGTGATTGGGGCCACCTTGCCATGACATACCTTGGATGACCAAATCGTTGTACTGGTCATCGCCGGTCCAATGCCAATAGTTAATCAAGAAGGTGAACAAAGCACCGCCCTCCCACCACGTACCGTCGAATTTGCCCGGAATCAGCTTGCTGTCTCGGTTGTTGTACATTGTAACGGAAGAGGCGGCGGCTGCCTGAGCAGCAGACTTGAAAGAGCCCGCATCCTGGAGACTGATTGTGATGGCAGCGATGGCCAACGGGGCCGATAGGAGGAGGGAGGGCAGGACGCGAGACGGTGTGAGCCAGCGCATAGCCGCGGAGTTGGCACGATAGATACAAAGATCATGCGCTGGGATAAAACGAGGGTGGTGGTGACGCGGGTGGGCAGATTGCACTGGTGCTGGGAGACAAATATGTTGATATGCTGATATGTTGATATGTCTATATGTTCACTGGACAGCGGTCGTGGAAGCGAGCAAGGGGGTTGCTGGGGGAGAAGGACAGGATGCAGGGGCGCTCCAAGGCAGCGCAGAGGCGGAGGAAGGCGCACTGCAGGCATTATTTGACGCATCAATCACAATAAAGACTAAAGAGTCTCTTGAAAGCGTCTCGCTGCCCGAGAGCGGCCTAGCGCGGGCTCGCAGCTTCGTCCAATGAACGGCGCGCTGGAGTCGTTTTCGGACTCATGCAAGGTGTCCGCATTCGGCTGCTGCACTCGCTTACTGAGGGTGTGGCCGGATGGAGCTTCTACATGGCGAGTATGAATATAGAGCCGATAATCGTCGACCATCGTGATGATCGTCGTTGGAGTCGTTATTGTTCAGCTGCTACTACTAAAGCGATAGTGCGCGCCGCAAGATTGGCTGCATTATGTAATGGTGGCTGGTGAGGCTAGCCCAAATACGGCCTAGAGCTCCATTATCTGCCGCTGTAGCCAATCAATGAGCCACAGACCTTGATTTGTCAGCTGTTTTCACAGTTTCCTCAGGCTGCTACCAAATAAAGTCACGTAGCAGCCGAGGGCCTTGACACCCTGACACCTTGACACCAGCAAGTAATAATAAAAATGAATAATGATGCCTGCGTGGGCTAACTTGGCTATGTCTAACTAGGCTACACAAGGAAATGAGAGCTATGTGGTTACTAATATGTCATGTGACATGTCTCTCCACCCTATGCCCGCTCCGGACTAAAACAACAACAAGATGCAAGCATCATGTTTCATTGACGACACCTGCATGATAGTGTTATTAAATCAAAATATATTAACAATAAATATCATTACCGTTCTTGCCATTGTCCCCGTGACTTACATCCACCAGAGCGGACTCTCATCTCTGTGTGACACTAAAACGGATCTCGGCATTTATCGATATTGGCCCTCAATCATCTCGATCCACCTTCAGCATTGAAAAAATGACCATTGCCCCACAGGTTCGAGTGGGCGTCGGTGTTTTCATTCTCGAATGCATAGATGGGCCACCTGCCAACCCTCGGTTTCTGATCGGCAAACGCATCAACTCCCATGGGTCAGGCACGTATTCTCTCCCCGGTGGACATCTAGAATTCGGCGAGACGCTCGAAGAGTGCGCTTCACGCGAGTTGCTCGAAGAAACCGGCCTCAAATCATCCAATCTAAAGTTTCTTACCGCCACCAATGACTATATGCCTGCTGAAGGAAAACATTACGTGACTATATGGATGACATGTGTACGAGAAGACGAAAGTCAGCCTCCTCAGCTTCTTGAGCCAAATAAATGCGAAGGGTGGGAATGGGTAAGCTGGAAGGAGCTGAAAAGCTGGGCAGGGAATAACATCGAAGGTTCCCTTGGTGAGGGAAACCCTTTAGCCCGCACGTTATTTCTGCCGTTTTTGAACTTGCTGCAACAGCGGCCTAATATAACACCCGCTGTCATTCAAGGTCAACAAGAATAGCTCGAGGCTCCTTCTGCTTTGCAACCGGTTATGCAACCCCTGCAGCTGGCGTTTCCAATGCGACCACAAATGACGCATTGCTGTTTTTTTTTCGAGCCTCACCCTTGGTTGCTGGATTTCATTCATACCTCTGCTAGTCCTAAGAACTTCTCCAATTCTCTTGGGAATTATTCGCGCACGGGATGAAAAGGTTCCACATGTAGGGGTGTTCAGCTATCAAATCCTAAGTCGGTGGGTCCTATCTGCCTCTAGAGTATATTCTGATTCCCTAATATAGATCGAAATCGAAATCCTTGTCAGCTCCATACTTGTTTAGTAATGTTGGATGAATTAACTAGAACGGGACTATTGACTCGGGATCCCACACATGTAAACGCATTCTAAGCGCGTGCAAATGAGCTGAATGAATTGCTGGGCAAGAGGAACCGATAGAATTGACGGCTCCAACAAGGCCTTAGTTTCCGATCAGTATGATTTTTACCCGATCCCGCTTTTGTTTTTTTTTATTTTCTTTTTACCGTCTTCCAAGCCAATCATGAAACATTTAATACTGCATGTCAGTCGCCTAACCAACAATGGCGCCCTAACTAGTCCCTGTGGAAAATTTCCGGTTAAGTTCATATTGAATAAAATACTAAGCCATGCTGGCTGCATCCTAATGTCACAGAGAATATCGGACACAGGGCCCTTCAAATGTTGGGACCATATAACTTGCCAAACAATAGCAGATTTAGTAGACTCGTTAGAGCATCAACTCCGCTGAGTTGTCCAACATCTTACAGAACTTGGAACTTCATGGTATAATCCAAGCAATTCAATATTCTATTGATTGATGTTATGGTTCCACTGCGAGACATCCTGTAGACTGCTGAAAATCTTTCCAACCCTGAACGACCACATATCAATTCTTTGATTCGTAAGTTAAACTTTATGAAAGCGAATGATTATAAGGCGACATTCTTGAATTTTCTGTATACGGCATGGCGTAACAATCCTGTTTTTTATCGTCGAGCTGCGCAAGCGGCTCTGATCTTGCACCAACTAATTAATAGGCTGGTGGAAATTGAAATTGATTTGTGACTAGCGTCGATTCAGCAAGATACTACGATCTAGGAAATCGGAGACTAAATCGGATCCAAAACATATGTGTACTAATCGAAGGACCTGGAGAATCCGGGGATGACCCACTATTATTGCAGCAGTCTAGGAGCACTCGTATTCAATCGCTCAAGAGGGTGGTAGCCAGGGACCAAAGCCCTTGTATACCTAATACCAAGTTCCACTACACTGCGGTTAACAGAAGTTATGGATCAAGACCTTGCGATTATCACTCCACCAGCATCTAGGAACGGAAGATTATTTATTTTCACTGATAATAACAATAATGTAGTTTTTCTTTATTCTCAACATTTGAATTTTCAATAGGGTCGGTGTCTATTTGGTGGCTGTCAATGTGCTGTTGCCGAGAACCGAGGTGCAGACCGAGGAGAACATGCCACTCCTCTTAATTCGGATCTTGAGTATATCTTGACGCAAACGCGGAATAGATTCAAGTACAATGGCTACTCACTGAAGAAAACTTTTGCTCTCTCCATCTTAGTATCCTATTAATACTACTACCGTGATGCCATTTAAGGGGTAGGGGGTTATAGCAGGCCATACTTCCAAAGAAGCCCTCACTCGTAACATATAAATCATAGAACGAGTTATCCTAGAACATTTAGAGATTAGACGTTAGTAAAAAGTATCATATGTTTTACATAGTTTCTTAAATCTCATACTCTGAAATGTTAGAGAGAGATAAATTGATAACGAGAGTGAATTGTATGCTATATGCGTCCTTTCAGTAAGAATTATTAAAGTGTATATTCATGCATTAGGTGGTACGCTTGCACGTCAAAAAAATAATGGTCATAGGTTGAGTGTATATTAGTCCATATCAGTCCTCATACAAGTGCTGATGTTGAATTAAGGGTGAAAGCTGTGGCTCGACCAAAGCCGTATTATTAAGGTGCTGATCAGGGAACCAATTATCTAGGAGATAAATGTTGCTTCACAGAAGAGTGTTCCCTGCTCTTCGACGGGTGTGCCATCCCCAGATTTGATCGAAAGGGTAAGAGAGTCCCGCGGGGGGCTTGTGAACTTGACAGAATGTTAGATTTATCATACTAGGTGAAATAAAAAAATGGATCCTACAAACCTGATACACAAAAGGCCTTGTTCCAACCACGCCTCCAACCAATGATTTGATCAGACCAGGGATATGAGCTAAAACGTCCACCCGATCGGTCCGATTGCCCAGGGAGCCTTTGATTGTGGCAGATATATGGCCATCTTTATCATTACCCTCCCAAGTCCACTCAGCCGAGCCCGGCTCCGGCCAGAGTGTTTCAGGGTCTTCCTTGGAGTCGGCATACTTGACCATGTTTTTAACTCCAGCAAAGACAATTTCGCCATCCTTGGCAATACCACCTACATTGACAATGGTAGAAGCATACGATGGTGGGGTGGTGAATTCCATCATGATAGCCGAGTAAGTAGGAGTCTGGAATGTAACGAAATTCCACTTTGCGGCGGCATGATGTGGTTTCATTCCCTGAATGGCATGAATGAAGACACCGCGACCAGAGAAATCATACTCTTGCTGGGGCGTAATAATACTACCCGAGACTTCACAGCGAGGCCAAAAGCGATGCCTCATCTCTCCCCACGGATTTTGAGGGTCCGTTCCATAATAAGTTGTCCCATTTTGGCCGGCCTGGAAACCAGGTGTCACGCGCTTGACGACGAGGTCAAGCAGGGCGGACTCGTTACGAGCGGATTTGATATTGTACGCATCACCTTCCTCGTTCAGAGAAATCGAAAGGCCGTCTGCGTAAAATGAGACCATGTCTTCGTCAAAGCCATGGTTCTCAAGCGGGTCCGACAACCACAAATGGTCGGCGGCAGAAGGGCCACGATGGTTAAAGATCTTGACATTCAGCTGGCAAGTGGTCATCAGGCCACTTTCGCCGCGGTATCAGCATGTATCCAGCCCAAATTAATGATAATCGACATCACGATCGATGCATGAGCATGGGGTCACGTGGTCTGGGACGGGGCGGGGCAGAGAGGAGAGCGAAAAATTGAACATACGCGACGTTGTTATAGATCACCTGCACGGAGGCAACCTTGCCATCATTCGAAATCAGATAGAAAACCTGGGTCTCCACATTGGTGGCCTGCATAGCCTTCCACTTAAGGTCGTCTTTGGTCAACTCGGAGAACGGCGTCTTCTCAGCCTGAGCGGTGACAGTCTGTATCGCGTCGGGGCCATACTCGGGTTCCGCGGTACCCACGGTATTTGCCAGTCTAGTCAGTTCAGCATAAGCAGTGAGGTAGTATACTTTTCGAGGAAACACACGTCTGTCTGAACCAGTTCATTATTGCGTGCTTGCAGGGAATCGACAATACAAAACATATGTTGTCAAAAGCCCTCGCTGTCTGTTATTTTTTCTCTCTCTCCTTTACTGGCGGAGTCTGTTGTCCGTCGAATTAGTCGCCGCAAGGGATCCATGCAATGGGAAGGTGGTGCAGCCAATAATTGACGATGTATTCCTTACTCAGCCTTTACGGCCCAATCAGCAGGCCTATTCTGCTGCAGTCCACTCCTGGAAGCAGCTTAGCTCGCATTTGTAGCTCTCTCATTGGATGGCAATAGCAAAGTCCACGCACTACGCCGTATATGGCTAATAATGCACCCAGCCCATGGTCAATTTTATTGGATAGCTGTCAACATCAAACAACCAGAGGACGTGCAGTATCTTCTTAAGTTGATACCCTGTGTAGTGCATGATAGAGCTCTGCATGTATTGATCGATGAGACATTTTCCCACAAAGTTTGCCTGGGCTTTAGAACCGAATTAAGAGCCTAAAGCTAGGTAAGGTCGTAAAAATTGATAATAATAAATTAATCTTACCTTTGAGGAGCGCCAGTTAAAAGATAACCGCTCATGCCTCACATCTAGTCGTTCATATATGTAGCTGAAAACTAATGGGATCAATCATATGGCTCTCGGGCCCAGACGCCGACTTGGCGCTCCTCAGATCATCAAAGAACGGGACATCTGTCTAGGCTTCGCGGCGCCTATTGTATAAAGTCGGAATACCGAGCTAGAAGTGTTGTGTTTACATAATTACATGCCGGTAAATTATGTCTCCAAATGACGCCCAACTCTATAGCGCGTAATGTGTGGGAACTGCGTATCGTGCCCAGCCGTTACAAGCGTCATACGGCAAGGCCATGATGGCATGACATGATCCGACTCCGACGCGGGCTCGCGGATGAACTCATCGGCCCTGCTTCCGTCTGGCATATATTCCATCCCATCCTATTCCATACCACTGGATCACTGGCTCTTCTCAGTGCTTTCTTGCATCGCTCGTAAAGTGTTAGTATTTTATTCTTTTTTGGTTCCAAACCCAAAAGCCCGCATCAGCATCCCTCACTGCTTTGGCTTTAACAATGGCGTCTCGTTCTATCTACGACCCAATGGCCGCTCTAGCCGTCGCCCCATTGATTTCATCCAGCTGCACCCTATGGTTTGCCTGGGACCAGACCCTTTTCCTCCGGATATTCAATCATGACGAAAACCGTTCCAAGTCCAATGAAATCCTGTCAGGCTATTGGAAGGCCTTCTTGCCGGCTAGCCTTCCGCGCGTGGTTGGACTTCTCGGTCTTACTTTCTGGGGTGTGGTCGGGAATTATTACTGGCGCCATGACTCGTTAGTTTCGAATCAGTCACTGAAATGGTATATAGGCGGCGCAGCCCTTTCAGCAAGCCATTTACTATTTACACCTCTGGTCGTCCCCCGCATTCAGACGCTGATTGATGACGACCGGTCCAAGATGCAGCCCTCGAAAGTGTTGGATGAATGGCTAAGCATTCATGCGCTGCGTACGTGGACAGTTGATGTGGCAGCATGGGCATGTATTGCAGTCGCTGTCATGAGAAACATAACAGTTTAAACCTGATTTTCACGACGTTGGCTATGCCCATGCAAACTGCTATGAAGAACACTGGCTCAAACCTTTTGCAATTGATCTATTTACCAGAAGATATGTCATAAATGACATACGCACATATTTAATTTGCATCGGTTATGGATGGGGGCTTATCCTTTCCATTTTCATCAACCCTGTAGGATTGCCATAATGTTGTTCCTTCGTTTTTACAGTACCCAGCTGTAGGCTTTGACGCTCGTCATAATGCATTTGTTTCCCACGAATTTTCAACAATAAAAAGGTGAACCGTCTCTTACAGGAAAGATATCAGTCGTTGTAGGGAGGGTTAGGGTTATGGGCGGTGTTGGGGTTGCACGTGCTTGGCCTTATGGCAAGCTCCCAACAAGTCCGCGAACCTCGGCTTATCGCAAGCTCCATCCTCGTAATAATCACAACACAGCATTTTCCCTCTGTTCACGAAGCATCTCATTGCTACACGTCGCAGGACTTACGAGACGGTAACAATGAAAATGAAGGGGGCTTATTATTTTAGACTGTGGAGATTGCTGAGACGGTTAAGAGCTTGGAGGTTCGCCGCGCTCGTCTTCACGATCTTTAATGTAAAATGCTTTCCGTTTGTCTGGCATGTAAGTGACGTATCTGAAGTAATTCTTCCGGCTCTTCCCTACCCCCAGTCGCATTTGGGATGATAAGGGAAGTGCTACAAAGACTCCAGCTTTAGTGTTGACTTGTGCCAGTATCGGTTTTTCATACCGGTTCTAACGGCCTCTCTGCGGAAGCCCGTAGAGCAGTGTCCTGCCATGCTTCGACGGCAGACAAATGGTGTCCCTCTAGTTTTTCTACCAATTATCACGACAACAAGAGTGCCTTTATTGGAAGGCGATTTCAACCTCCATAAGTCAAATAGCACTTATTTCACCGATTTAGATACGAGCCGCGCCCACCTGTTAGCGTTTCTCTGCTTCAAGGGCATGGCCAAGTTGGACAAAGATCTTCGAGCGGCAGGGAAAAGTGGCATCCTGACTGTCATGCTAGGCTCCACGCAAACTAGCTTCAAACGAGAGATTCCGACATTTCACCCCTATGAAGTTTGGTCGCGTATTCTAACATGGGATCAGAAGTGGCTCTATATCGTGACGCACTTTGTCCAAAAGGGTAAAATCAAACCTACGGCGTCCGTAACTAATATCGGTGGAGTCAAGCGAAAACCAAAGACTTCAGTAAGGGGGGTCACAGAGATAGCAAAATCAAATTCGTTGGAAGATGAAAAAACGCCTGCGTCTTCTTCCACGGACCTAGACTCGCCAATATTCGCCACTGCTATCTCAAAATGTGTTTTCAAGAAGGGTCGCCTGACAATCGCCCCCGAACGCGTATTAGACATTTCTGGACTACTCTCAAAGGTGGCCCCAGATAGCTCTCCAATTGATTTGAGTTACCCAGATGTGCGCGCCAATGGATCCACCGCATATCACACAACAGAGGAAATGTGCAACTTCCAACTCGCGAAAACCATAGAAAAGGAAAGATTAAAGGGCCTTAAGTATGCAGATCTCCTATCCGGGCTGGAAGAGCTACAAGGTCAGCTTTTAAAGGATGAGGAGGTGTCCAATGGAGTAATTTCATTGGGCACGTTTAACGACTATGGGCAACACATCAGCCACTAGATAGTGATTTGACGTAGAGGATAGATTTCAATGTTTCATTACTCTAGAAATTTATAGCGCAGCTACTGATAGCGATACTAATACAAGCTTTAAACGAATTTGAAAAGAGCTTGGCTAAACCACACTAGCAAAACTCCAAGCAGTATAACTTCATCACACTAGAACTAAGCATATTTACATGGCTTCATTGGGTGTACAAAACATTGATGATCGAGTTGTAGCATGCGAATTTCGGAGAATGGGGCCGAACTTCAGATGCATGTATTCCCCCAACATGTAAGAATTTATAACTCAGTCTTTATATATCCAACACGTTGCGTATCATTCCGTCAACCCATTCCACATCGCCCGTTGAATAATTTTTCGTTTTCCCATATAGCATACTGAACAAGGCAGAACAACAATAATGCGCCTAAAAACCAATGAGCCTTTAATAACGAATGAATGAGTAACGCCAAGTAACGTACGCAACTGTTAATTCCAGATGCAGGTACTAGTACGACCTTGTCGCTCCCCAAAATTGAATCCAAGGCACTGCTCATACACTTGTCGCCCTCTAGTCTCTACTAAATGTCGGCTATCAATAGCTGTCTTGAATGATTATTCGGACATTCCACATGGACATCTGGCTGAAATCCCTGCGACAAATTGTCTGTTACGAGCTTCCGGGAGCCTCTCCCTCCGTATTCCCATAAACAGACAACCATGGCCCAGACAGATGCAATTGTTAATCGTCTGAAGCCATTTACCATAATATCCAGCATGCGAGAACGAACTACTTTCCCGGCCGATCTGCTACAGCGGCTTACGTACTTGAAGCTTTTGCTGGCGACAGGAACTCGGTTCGATACTTTTGATCTGGCTGTAGCGAAGGACTTGGGTATTACTGTAGCGGCAGCTCCCAGGAGGGGTCAGACAGATGGAAAAGATATCAGAAGACCTGTACGGCCTCAGCTTGATATTAAGAAAAGGTCAGTCAGCCTACAACTCAGCACACATTGGCAATGACACTCGCGAGAAACGTTGCGAATGACGAAGCCCGCATGAAAAGATCAGGCTATAAAGGAATAGCAGACACAGCTAGCAAAGGGATTGACAGGTACGAAACTGGGAGTAGCGGGTCTAGACCGGCTGGGGGCAGCGGTTGCGCGCATTGGAGCTTTGATCTGTTTGAGTGAGAACCTGACGTAAGAGAAGGCAAATCAGACAGGTGCCGAAATGGGGTTGCCTGTACATGGTGGTGGGCGAGATGCAGACGCACCCGCCTTCATCACTGGGAGCAAGGAGGAGCTGTTTCGAAACACTGATATGCAGACTCTGCATTATGTTCTAAGTGAACGATCTCGAGGAATGGTTGGAGCGAAAAGAGTTATAGCTCATGAACCACTTAGCGCTATTAGTTAATACCTCACGTGGACCACTGATCGATGATGTCGCCCTCTTTGATGCCTTACATAACGGCCGAATTGGTGACGCAGCTCTAGATGTTTTTGACGTTGAGTCACTAACTACCAAAGGTCGATAGCGTTCGCGGGATTGGGGCCATGGGGTTACAAGTAATCTGCAGATCACCCCCCATATGGGATATGTCGAAGAGGGTATCATGCACACGTGGTATGAGGAAACCGTAGAGAATATAGAGCGATGGATTCAGAGCAAGAATGGTTTTACACCGCCTGCAATGGTAGTTGTCTGCCGATGAAAGCATGAGTCAAAGTACGCAATCCATACCTCGGACAAGAGATGCGAGATCTTGGCCCCAGTCGCTCGGAGTCTCATCTCGTCTACCTCTATTCATTTCTATCAGTTGGAGGTGAAGCATTGGCTATGTCAATATCATGGAATTATGCAGTATCTATTTTAGATCATCAGAAAAGAAATCCAATATACAGTGAGACAGAAAAGAAAATGCAGATGTGCCCCCATGACAAAAAGTTGTCTATGACTCTATGAAATATTCGGAAATGAAGGGTATAATATCAGGCTCAACCCAAACGGAAACGCTATGCAGGAAAATGGTATACATAAAACAGAGAAAAGGCTAGGTCAGGAAAGAACGGAATTGGTTTCTCCTTTCCTCTCTTTTCTTCGTTGCCATCGGCGGTAAAAAAGGAATGAAAGAACTCCGACGGTTATAACGCCAAAGGGCACAACGATACCGATGGTGATTTTTCCCGCCTCGGTCAGCTTATCGTCACTGCTAGTTTTGCCACCGTTCGCGTCGTTTACGTTATCAACATTTGCAGGTGCCGACAAATAGCCCTTAGATTCAGCTTCTTGGATGGCGCCCCACCAAATCTCAGCCATTTTGGTATATCCGGCTTCATTTGGATGAGTATTGTCCACCAGCTCGGATTTTGACAGGGCGTTGCCCCCTTGTGACATATCTGCAAGAACGATGCGCTGGTTTGCCTTTTGGCGCCGGTCGACGATGTCGCGATACTGCGCACTAATATTGGCCGCGCTAATTGGGACGCGTTTATTGGGAAGTAGGGTCGACAGCACAACTGTTGTATTTGGAATGGCTTCGTAAAGACGGTCGAGCAGTTGGTCCATGCGCTCACCGGTTGTCGAGACATTATGATGCTGGAGAGCATCGTTCGTACCGGCGCTATAGTTACGGGAGGCTCAGGTCAGCAATATCCGTGGCGTAGGCTTCGCTTCGACTCACTTGATCAGGATAAGGTTTGGTTTTTGTGGTATTGTCAATTCAGCCTTTTCAGCGATTTGATCAACCCGGAAGCCAACGTGGCCCTCGTTGTCCTACCAAAAACGTAGAATTAGCCAAGCGACCGAATGGGGCACTTTGTACCGGAAGGAGAGAGAGCGCACTTACATCATCCTGCATAGTCCCATGATGCATGCTGCCGACCATATTAACCTCCCATCCGGCGGCGGTCATGTTGTTCCTCAATTGTTCCCTATACCCATTGCCATCGGGTGATTTGTAGCCCCAAGTGATTGAAGCTCCCAGTGGCATTGTTCGTAGCGCAAACGGCTTCACGGCATCTCGTGAGTCAAGTGACGGTGCTTGGTCGATCGAATTCAACTTCACGTAGCCGGTGGCAGCCAGCGAGAAAGTGCAGGCTGGGGAGGAAAGGAAAAGAAGCAGAACGGCGGCGTAGTGGCACAACGCAGCCGTTCGCGAAGGACAGGACATGTTGACCTTGGGGGAGGGGTGGAAGAACACGAGACTCCGCTTAGAACATTGAATGGTGGACGATCGAGATATCGTGGTTGATGATTGATATACCAGGCACACGCAAGGAGAGTAATATATGATGCTGGGGCGGCAATGCCGCAGGTTTTGATTGTCTTGCGGGAGCACAAACGGTCGACCAGTTAGTCAGCCATGTTCCACCTGCACAACAGCCCCTGTGGCCGCGGAGGCCCAGTTGGGGATGGCCCATGCCTTCCTAGTGACTAACTTCCCAATCTTAAGAGTAACATCACGCCTTACGGCTTGCCGACAAAACTACAGGCGTGTGGCAGTCCACAAATCAACTGGCTCACAATTCTCAGCTACGAGCGGGACTAGCTCAATGCGAATCAAGCTTTTTCCGTGTTGTGTTATGTTACGTTACGTGATGCCATCCGCAGCCAATCGCCGGCTCTCCTCAGGCCAGCTTGCCTGCTCAGCCCACGGGACCCCTGCCAGTACCTCGCAGCGCCCCACTTCGGTGCAGTCAAGCATTCGCCGGGTCTGTCTTCACTGGCAATTGGACAGCTGCGGTCTAGCCCCTGCGTACTGATGGTTTCGGCGGGTCCGCGGGGTCCAAGTCCGTCCTGGACTGCCCTCGTTTTGTTGCTGCCTGCACAGGACGCTATTTATAACTCTTGTCGCAAGTGGTGAATCACTTGCTACAAGGGATTAGTCCGGAGATAACAACAACGCTAATACAGCCGAGCCATTATTGGTACATACAGTATTTGTCGACCATGAACAACAGCCGTAGCCTGAGTTTTGTGTCTGAACTCCTCTCTTAATTCAGCCAACAGTTTCATGTGACTCATGAGGGCCTTGAGATTTGCTGTGAATAATGGAAAATTACAGAAAACTCGGCAGTATTAGTGCTTTCTGATAGTAGACTATGGCACTAACCATGGCCGGCTAAGCGCGGCATATCGTTTTGAATTGCAGATGCGGATTGGCTGGAAGATGGCTGAGACACATGTGAATCATAGATACAGCCAAACAAATCAAATAGTTGGATACACTAATATACACTAACCTCAGAATGGCAAGGCCCGTCCTGGGTGATAACTGTGAGGACAGCCGCTTCTGTTGACTAGCGGCCACGACATGACATGCCGATAACCATCTCGGTGACAAGGATATGGACGAATTGCTGCCGTCGTATGGCGGCAACACCACACCCCAAATCATACCCAACGCATCCTTTGCTTGCGCTGCATGCTATCGCAAAAAGCGCAAGTGCGACAGAAAGCTGCCGTCATGTAGTCGGTGTCTCAAGTATGGCTTGCATGCTAGCATAAGGAACAAACTCTACGGCAATCTGCCACAACTAACACACTATACTACAGAAGCAACAATGATTGCCTATACCTCACCACACAGACACCAATACCAACAGCGGCATCAGCCTCCAGCGGGTCTTTACCCTTGTCAATGCTCCTCGATCAAATGGGAAGCTATGACCTAGATGTTGGCATAGGAAATGAGGTATCGCAGACTCTACGAGATCTATCACTCACCCCCTTCCAAGTCGTAGAGAATTACGTTCGCCTGGTCCATCCGTGGTTGCCAATTATCAAGTCTCCACGCCTGACAACCCAGCTGGAAACAACACAGCGAGATCAACCATTGACTTTGAAGGCTGAAACTGCTGCTCTGCTTCTGTTTATCCATCTGGCGACACAATCATCATCAAATGAGCGAGCACACAATTCTGACTTGCAGCGCAAAGTCTACAAGCAATGCCAGTCAATGTTTACTCTGTTGCAGGCGTTTAGGCGATCTGCTCTGGAAACAAGGCAGTGTGGAGTTCTCCTAACAACTTATCAACTGGGAGCTGGCTTTATTTCAGATGCATATGTGACATTATCTACAGCTTCTGGCCTTGTCCACGTCCACCAGCCGTGTCCGTTTGCTAGAGAGAGTTATAAAGACGAACGCGATGACGAGGCAAGAAGAGTCTGGTGGGCTGTATTCCTCCTCGACCGGTACGTTAAACCCAAAAAGAGCCTGGAGTAAAAGGCTTGCGCTAAGGGTTGGTCAATAGATTGATTGCACAATCCCACTGGAAGAAACGTTCCTATCCTTTAATCATCGAGCAGCCACCATGGTGGTCTGAATTACCAAGCGAAGGAAGTCTAACAGCCGCTCCAATACGTATAACGGACATAGGGACGTGTCATTGTGAATACTTTTGTCGTGAAATTCAAGCAGCATATCTTGCTGCTCAAACTCTAGAATACCGTTCCGATCATGACAGAAAGGAAGGATTTGAGCCAGATTTGAGTAAATTGTCTACCCAGCTAACAACCCTGCTCAACGTGTTGTTCGAAACAGCGCCCGGCTCTTGGAGGCCTTCCTGTGGAGCCATTGCTATGATCATTGCGTATTTCCTTTTCTTTTGGCCAAAATACCATTTGCAGATAGCTAAGTGATTTGATAGTGCGACACTTGATCTCCATCTATCTGTTTCTGGCCTTTCCACCAACAACACGCCGGCTCAGCTGGCTTATCCAATGGAAACCCTGGCGACTACAATACGGATAAACACTGAAATAGTTACAAACTCTCTAGACGACAACGATGACAATGAGTTCCAAGACCGTCTCCCTATTACAGGAGTCATTGCAAATTATCGCACCGCGCTGGCGATATGTCACCGAGCAGAAGTCAACCAAGCATTGACTACCGAGGAAAGATTTCAGCTAGTGACAATGACGAGGGCGCTTCAGCGTGGAAGACTTCGATGGGGCTTGGCTGGTGAGCCGTGTATTCAATACGTGCCAGAAGCGGCGCTAATAGTAAGGTAGATGTGTATCTGCAAGAAATATCAGGCATGCTAGATGTTTGGTAAGAGCCAAGACCATATAGACAGATGCTATATGGGCTTTGGGGAGTCTTCCTCCACATCAATATTTGCACAGCTATTCAGTTATTCATACCCACTGAAAACATCGGCAAAGAACGAAGAGCGAGCAGGTTTCGGGTTGCAGAAAAAGATGCCAAGCCTCTCCATCCTGAGGGAACCCATATGATTCCCATTTGCTTCTTGCTCAAATTAATTATATCAGCTCTCATTGTGCCGTGCCCGAGAATAGTAACGGCTTCCGATGCCTGATGTATTTTTTATTTCTGGTGCGAGTCGGGTTGTCCAAATATGGAAAGTTTAGTTGTGAACAATCCACTAGTCCGCTAGTGTCCGCCGGGTGCTTTGATACATTGAAACTGGAAAGACTGTATCGCCGACAACTTTTTCAAACCCATTGCCTACTCCAAAAGATCCGGAAACTTTCAGGCATGATTAGATATCATAATTAGTTATCTCGCGATGTTTGATATTTGCTACCCCACTCGTATCTATATAAGTATTCGAAACCCCGATTATCTTCCTATTCTCATTCTACTAGACTTACATTCCCAAGTATTGACAATATTACTACACTGCCTATCGAATAAAAATGTCGTACAGAAACATTGTTCTTGTTGGGGTATGCTACTTCCCTGTCTGGCATTTTCTAAAGGAAAAGGTGGGTTGACAGAATAAACAGGCGGCCGGAAATATCGGTCAGTCTATACTGAATGCCCTTGTGGCTTCTCCTACCAACCTTGAGATTACGTTACTTGTCCGTGAGGAATCGAAGTCGATAATTCCGCAGGCTAGCATGCCTACAATCACCATTCTCAAAGGTGATCTCAACGACCCTCATTTCCTTAAGGGTACTTTGACTGGCCAAGATGTCCTGATCATAGCATTGAACTCGACACCAGCCAATTTTGAGTTACAAAACAAGCTCATCGATATTGCAGCAAATCTAGGTGTGAAAAGGATTATCCCTAGTGACTTCGGTAGCGTACGTAGCTTTCTTTGGCCGTTTCCTTTGTTGATTTGCAGTCCAATAACAATTTGATTGATGTACTAGGATGTCACGAACAATAATATAGTGAAGGCAGTTCCACCTTACCAGGCAAAACTTGATGCTACGAAATACTTGGAAAGGGTTGTTTTTGATCACCCAGGCACAAGCTGGACGGCCGTCATCAATGGTCCGTTTTACGACTGGGTAAGTTTGATATAAGCTTATAAGCTACTCTCTGTTTTTCATTTGTTTATATTTTCAATTTTAAATGTTGTTATTGTATTTTATCTTTGACCTTCTAATATGGGTTGGTAGTGTTTGGAAAGAAACTTGTATGGTTTCAATCCCAAAGCGCGGACCGCTGTGCTATACGACAATGGAGTTGGCAAATTTGACACCACAAGATTGGTCACAGTCGGTCAGGTAGTTGCTAAAATAATTACCCAACCAGAGGAATTTCGAAACAGCCATGTCTACATTTCAGAGTTCACAGTGTCCCAGAATGACATTTTCGACGTACTCTTGAGAATCACCCGCACTAGGCAGGAGGACTGGGTGATTGAGCACCGCACGGCGGAGTCATTGAGACAACAAGGACTGGAGAAGCTGGAAAACAATGATTTTGGAGGCGTGTATGACTTGATTTTTGCTGCACTGCATCAACCGGGACTGGGGTCTGATTTCTCAGCGACTCGCAAGTTGGACAACCACCACTTGGGTTTGGAAAGAGGCAACTTGTTTGAAGTTACACGTGATGTTGTTGAGATGATGTGAATCCGTTCCTGTCTTTCAGGCTCCTCGGAGACAACTCTGTGTGACACGTCTCTCATTGTCAGCTTGAGAATTAAGTCTTTCGTGTCTTGCAGGTAGCTTGGGGTTACGAACTGGCAGTGGAGGTGGCCACACGCTGTCAATCTAGTTTTTCTGCCAATAGTAGAAATTAACTGATAAAAGTTCAGAAGGGCTTATCACGAAGGAGGCATGTCGTTTATCCTTCTATAAATCATTTCCACTTGAAAGGAAGCCGAATGTAGGAAAGGTCATTGCTTCCTAAAACCCCCCAGATGATACCATATCTCATTGAGGAGCATCATCATAGACAATATGCGCTTGAGAAACTCATTGTCAGCTACGACATTAATGATTTTGAGAGTGCTATCAAAGATACCAAGGGAGAACTACAATCAAGGCTGTTCTCAGCTGGAAAAAAAGGTAATTCATTTAAATGGGATCAGTATCTAGCCTCAGTTATACATACGGTTTATTCGGTCTAGAATATAGTATATATACGAGACTACAATACTAGTTGACGGTATATAGTATACTTAATGTGGGCGATCAAGATATTGATACCACGGAATTTCCTAACTTTTACTCTGTCCAAACTTCCATACCACGTGGCAACCCTTCTACGTGGCCATGGGAATATTTGGTACTGTGAATAATTACAAAGAGTATTAATATTTCTGATTGCTAGGCTTCCAAATTGACCCATATAAGCATTACCGACGTGACATCGCTGATGGAGCACAAAGGTCGAATAAGATATGCGCGCTTGACTTGACGCGTATTCCTTGAGTATTAGCGCGCCAAGGTAGAAATTTTTTTGTTCTGAAAAAGTTGGTGTCAGATCGTTTGTGTATTGATATTTGGAGAGTGGAGTGCAATTGTGAGGTGGAAGAGTGAACAACGTCTAGTTGGACAAACGAATAGCAGCTACTTTGAAGATAAGGCTGAGCGGGAGTATGTGATACACCAAGTTACTGTACCCAAAGACCAGAATATGCGAAGATAGTCAATCCTCGCAGCTGCTCACTCATACAGTAGAGGTCCCAGGACCGTCACGTAGGGTTTGTGCGGAAAGTCCAGATATCAACTAACTCCTCGATCAAATCGGTTATGTTGGTCATTGGTGGGTCGCTATATTTTCCATAATGGTTGGAATGTGCGATTTCAGGACTCTACAATCAAGCAGTGGCGACCACGTTAATGTTTCATTGACTCCATTTGAACAGTCAGGCCTGGATTCCCTTGGCAACATTCAGCTCCCAAATCAACATCTCCACTATCAAAGACTGGTGTTTATACAACATTGAAATTGTGAAACTCTAATAGACGGGTCTAGATCTCAAGACAATTACTAAATCGGAAGGAGTCTGCAAGATCCAAGACAGATGGCACTTGTTTAATATTGAAGCAGGAATAATTAGTAACATACTGGTCTTTCGAGTAGTAAAACCAGCAAGACCATCGGCTACATTGTCATGGCTGGGATCCCGGACTGTGACAGTAATATACTGGCTGACCCGAAAATCTAGGATTGAGCACATGACGCTTCGTGTCAGAAACAGTTCGGGGGAGAAGGTCTGATGGCGTGATCAAGCCATGCAAGCCATGCAGTTGTGAGAGGGTGTGCTAGAAGACGCACAGAAGACGCTAGGGCCGGACGTGACAGCACTGGCTCGGGCATTATTATCGACGATGAGTTCGGCATCGCACGTGGTGGATACAGTAGCTCCCATACGCCAGGGACTACGCTTACCCAGTGCCAAGAGTCCGCCGCCAAGATCTTGGCGCGCACGCGGCGCAAAAGCCTCCGCCGCACTGGGCAAGTAAACTCTAAGAGCAAATAATATTGCACTGAGGGAGGCCACTTCTTCTCAGATGTCCTACCACCGGTCTTCTAATTTGCCTCCTTCCTTGGCGACTCGCTTGGATCTCTCAAATCCTTGAGAGAAACCGGCAGGGTCGTGTCGGAGACACTGATATGTGCAATACCAAGACGCTTGGATGAGATACTGTCAAACTATCGTCGCGAATCACAGTTTGCCATATGAGAACGTGCAGTCAAAATTCTCTGTCCAGAGTCCGTAGACAACGTTGAATCTGGTTCTATCATGCTGTGTCAGGCAACCCCACGTGCTTGCAGGTGCGATGGGCGGGAAATGCATCCCTGAAAAGTCCCTTTTAGGTCTCTGTGTGGATTGTCTATATATTGACTATTCTACCCGTTCACCCATAAATTTTGTATCATTGACAACTAGCTATCATTCATTTGGATTGCGTGATCGTTGCTCAACCTTTACGCCAAAATGAGGCTCCACGAGTACGATTACATATTTGCCATTGGCACACTGTTCGCTATGCTTGATGCATACAACAACGGTGCAAGTAAGTGACATACAATGGGCGCACAGCGCCAACCATTAACATATATTGATTTGTTTTTGTCATAGACGATGTGGCAAACTCCTGGGCAACGAGCGTCTCGTCGCGATCAGTCACGTATCGACAGGCTATGGTACTTGGCACGGTATTTGAAATGCTCGGAGCCATCACGGTGGGCGCTAGAACAGCCGACACCATTAAGAACGGCATCATTCCTAACGCCGCATTTCGAGGAAACGCGGGAGTTCAAATGCTTGCATTCACCTGCGCACTCGCTGCTGCCTCATCGTGGGTCATGTGGTGTACACGACACTCTGCTCATGTCTCATCAACATACTCTCTGATCTCAGCCGTTGCTGGTGTCGGTGTTGCGACTGTCGGAGCATCTAATGTTCAATGGGGTTGGAATGATGGCAAAGGCCTGGGAGCTATCTTCGCTGGCCTAGGACTTGCTCCCCTCATCTCTGGTGGTTTTGCCGCCGTTATTTTTATGCTCATCAAGCTTGTTGTGCACATGCGCAAAAACCCCGTGCCTTGGGCTGTCTGGAGTTCTCCCTTTTTCTTTCTCGTTGCCGCTACTATTTGCACATTATCCATCGTATATAAGGGGTCTCCAAGCCTCAATCTAGGCAAGAAGCCTGCATGGTATATTGCTGCAGTTACAATGGGAACGGGTGGAGGCGTCGCTGTCTTGTCGGCTTTGTTTTTTGTTCCGTTTCTTTACGCAAAAGTGATTCAAAAGGATCCCACTGTTAAGTGGTGGATGATTATCCTTGGGCCTGCCTTATTCAAGCGCCCTGCCCCTGTCGATGCTTACCAAGCCAAAGTACCAAACTATGCCGTCATTCAAGACGGTGACGACCACTCAATCACAGACTCGCCAGAGATTAATGCTCGAGAGGACGCTAATAACCTAGGAAACGCTGGTCAAGAATCTGAAAAGAAACTAGTTGTAGCTGAAGCTACACAGTCTACATACAAAGATCGTATGGCTCAAGGCAAAGAGAAGCACCATGCCAAGCTTGTTGAGGGTCGTGGGCCGCTTGGATGGGCGATGCGAACCCTTCGAGACAACCCTATGGGTCCTGGACAAATTTACGAGTTTCACAACTTGAAGATAATTTCAAAGCGTATCCCAGCCATGATCGTATGCGGCGCGCTCTATGGTATGCATTATGACATACATAGTGCACAAACTGGGATTTCTGGTACCCCAGATGGTCAGCGAATGCAACGCGTATATGCACATGCGGAGAAATACCCGAATGAGGTCGAATACACCTACTCCTTCATCCAAATTATAACGGCATGCACTGCTTCCTTTGCGCACGGCGCGAATGATATTGGAAATTCAGTTGGACCCTGGGCAGTCATATATACGGCATGGAACACTGGCAGTGCTGCAGCTGCCAAAGCCCCCGTCCCTGTTTGGCAGCTTGCAGTTCTATCTGGATGCATATCTATTGGTCTAATTACCTACGGTTACAATATCATGAAGGGTAAGTAAAATTGAATCCTGCACGGTTCATACTTAATACTAACGTACCATTCTGAAACAGTAATGGGCAATAAGATCACTTACCATTCTCCAAGCAGAGGTCTGTCCCAACTCTTTTTCAATCTAGAAGATATATATTTGCTTACTTTCCACTATTGTAGGTTCTTCAATGGAAATGGGAGCAGCTATTACTGTCCTATTGTTTTCGCAATATTCACTTCCGGTGTCTACATCCATGTGCATTACAGGCGCCACAGTCGGTGTTGGCCTCTGCAATGGCACAGTCAAGGCCGTCAATTGGCAGCGTGTTAGCCTTCTTCTTATCGCATGGATTGCCACTATCCCCATTGCTGGTACAATAGCTGGTGTTTTGATGGGTTTGTTCATCAATGCCCCTCACTTCTCAACGTAAACGCCATCTCTTCTCATCAACCATATATCATTTTTATCTCGTCTCATTTCCGCCCTTGCATATAATAGAAGGAGATTAGGTAGCCTTCATTCTAGTGATATGAGTCTGTTCTCTTTTTAGCGCTAGGCTCATGTCAATTGTATCGGCGAAGATCAGACACCTTACTGACCATTGTATATCTTTACTACTGCTTCTACTCTTGTAATAGCTCTATTCTTTGTTGCTGCGTAACTCTAATGACGGAGGCCATGTAGAGACTCGCATTGATTACTTATCGGTAAGATATTGTGCTTTCTGAGAAGTAGACCGTTCATCTCAGAGAGTTCTTATGTCATGTAGGCTTTGGCATTAAGTGTCGGCTCCGTGTGATGTGTCTCGCCAACTAAGGTTGAGAATATTAACGTTCAATCTGGCCGTTGCCGTGTGATATTATGAATGATATCAATTGCTATATAGCTATCGAGAGGAAATAAACAGTCATACCTAACCTCAACTGGTGCTAGTGACCCAAACATGTATGGCACGATACCGCATTAATTAAATGTTCGCTCTGGTACAGGTCTGCTTCTTAACGGCCAATTATATCGTAGTCGCCATAATTTCTTATAAACACTGGTTAACAAATAGGGCAAACAAGCCAAGGAGAACTAAATAGAGAAGCCCGAGAAGCCACAATCGCGTTGGCTTTTCAGTGAGTTATTGTATTTGACAAATATGCAAGGTCCAATCAGATGGAATACACATATTCTGGGTACGTAGGATGTTATCTAGCCACCAAGGATTGGAAGATCCTGTACCAATTGTATATAGTCCTGTTTTTGCGCAACATCAAAATCTCCTTCTTTGTTTGAGGATACACGAGTAGAAAGCTCGCTTCTCGAATTTGGTAATTCATAATTAGTTGGATCATTGCTGATCATGATTTGATGTTCACTTTCCAAAATCACCCCTCTTTGGAAAGTGGAAAGCACTTGTGCCGTCTCGATGGTAACATTTGCTGTGGCGAAAAGGCCATCAATTGCGGTTGCAAGGCTTAAGTAGGTCATTGGCTGATACTCTAGCAAGTCAATAAATGATCCTGTTAGGCGTGGTAATTGCTCTGGGAAACGTTTTTGTACTGCCAACATTCGAACCTTGACCGCAGTAGCCATTCGGAGAAGCTGATCAAACCAGTGCGCAATATATGAGGTATCATATCTCACGTTACAGGTGTCGATAATTTGGAGGTAGCACTTGAGGCTTTGATTGTCTTCATAAGAGTACGGTGATATCGAGGATGGGTACTCACCGTAAAAAGATGGCGTGGACGAACAAAGCTGCATGTTCAGTCGTAGGAGAAAAGCAGGCAAAATAGTGTTCATCAAAATGCTCAGAGGAAGTTGGCCCTTGGATACATTACAAGCAGTACAGACCTCACGAACTTTGGCTGTGACGGTGGCGACGGCATCAACCAACTCACTCTTAATTTGATTGATGCTAATTATATAGCTTGTATACCATCGAGATTCATGACGAAGAAACAGCAAGGGAGCCATGTAATGGCATAGAGCGACACGTGTTGACCTAGAAAGTAAAGAGCGTTGTTAATTAAGCATTTCACAGCGGAAATTTGAATGAATTAACCTACTGGTGATATAGGGACGTGAGATGAGTATAAAGTTTTACCGTAGCATGTGCATTAACGAGACTTTCTTCGATTGGCATCAAGTAGCTCAATTCCCATATCTTGAGGCTGTTAATACTGTGGACACACATGGCGAGCTCCTGGTTGATGTCATCGATGGATAGTGTTGACTTGTTTTTGAAGGGTGGATAGAGAATTGAGACAGAGTCGGTCATCGCTACCGCTAGTTGACACTGTGCAATGAAAATATCGCATAATTTCTGCTTCGTCTGCTTATCATATACTTTCGAGCGACACAGCTCCTCTTCAAAATCCGTGTGCTGAATAATTGTTTGAGAAGAGTCAAATTGTTCTTTAGTAATCTGCAACGGTCGCCGCATTCCAATGGCCACAATTCTATCACGGACAATGCATGACCACCATATTCGCTTCAAAGTGTAGACCTGGCTGCGTGTTTGGTTTTGCGTGGCATAGGTATGAGCGTTGATCGTTCGTGCATGGAGAATTGCAATGGAAAGCCAGGTTGAGTTGGTCAATTGATTGACGCTGGAATTGTGATAAGTGAGTAAAAGGGCGGAGCGAGCGATATCGACGGAGTTGCTTTCGGTATCAAAATCATAGAGAGCCTGAGTGTAAATTAACTACTACTCGCTCACGCCGTTTTCTATATCTAGATCACTCAATATGGATATAGAATGAGAGTTACCTTAGCACTTCGATACAAGGATTTGCGAGTAGCGGCGATTGAGTCATAGCCAAGAGATCTCGAAAGCTCGATTGGAATGTACTGCCTTGATCAGCCTGACATCGTCCATCCCTAACAGGATACGAATGTGAACATACGCTGGACGCAGCAAACAGCATAGCCTGGAGAAGGAGAAGTGATATTTGTTGAGTAGAGGAAGGTTGTTCTTCATCTTGCTGGTATATTCCCCAAAACTGTGCCTCATCGACGACTGGCATGCTAGGATGCACATAGAGAAAGTAATGATGCAGGAAGCTTTCCAAAATGGAAGGATTAGGAAGATAGAGGGACTTCTGCGCCTTCAAGCACACCATATCTTCTGGGCATAGGCCTTGTACCTTAGGAGTTGCGATAAAGCGATAGTTTGTGAAAGGCTGATGCCCACGCCCCCGTGATGCTGTGCCAGTTAGTTCATGTTCGCCGAGCACTTGGCTACTAGATCCCAAGTGCATAACGAGTGATCAATTACCTTGAATAGCACAGATATGCGGAGTCAGGTCGGCTGCTAGAGAAATACTTGATGAGCCTTTTGGCAGGTCACTCTTTGGTGCTTTGGCAGGGTCGCAGAGGAGGCCATTCCGGCGACAGTTCGTGCACGGCCCGTTCAAGATAGCGGCATCGCAGCGGATCTTGCGATGCCGGCATGTTGAACAGGCGCCGCGAACACGCTTGATGCCAGAGTGAGGCATATGCGTGATGGTGGTACGAGGGGACTTGGCCTAATATACACAGCAGGGGTTGGAAGAGCGTGCGATGAATCGTCATCGATCCTCCTCGATGCAGATGCTTCTCCACACTAATAATACCACGCCTCCGCGAATCCCGTGGTCGCCGTACTTGCCGCTTTGCCCCGCCCCCTGCGTTCGCGGATAAGCCTCCCCACCCAAACGTTGCCTCCCTGCACTTCTCGTATCTGTCTATCTACAAAGGCGCGTGAAGAAAATAGGATAACCGCTGGGAAAATTGTCCGTTGTCATTTTTTGATGATTTAAAGAAACTATTATTTTCAAACCCAGGCGCAGAGATAAAGATCTATAACAATATGCTAGAGGTATTGGGACGTCGAGACCGGATATGTCAACATAATCTAAGTCTACACAACAAAGGTATCTTTAAATTGAATACAAAGCCCTAAGATATGGAAATAACTCTACCGGAGATATAGGCCTCACGCAATTCCCATGACAGAACGAAGAAACCGAGCAAGAAGAAGCCACGTGTAATCCTGAACTAGTTGTCGTCGCCTGTCCAAGCTAGGGTCCTTTCTCTAGAGTCCAAAACTGCCTCAGCCGCTCTTGGGATTGCTAGCTTCGCATATTCTTGCAAGGCATTGGAGATGTTGCCATCACTATTGGCAATGAAAGAACCGAGATCTAGGCCATCCTTAATAGCAAAATTACCTCCAGATCCCCGGACTACCAAGTGAAAGTGTCAGCTAAATAGGGACAATAGAACTTCTTATATGCAAGGTCTCTGGGTAAAGCTTTCAACTTACACGGCGTCATAAGATGCAACGCATCCCCCAATAAGGTGACTCTCCCTCTGGGCAATCCCTCACTCGGTGGCACGAAATCTTCTAGTGAGATAGGTGGGTTCACAACCCCACCCGGAGTTGAGTTATATAATGGGAGTAAGAACTTTGGATGCATGTATCGCACCGCATGTGCAGCTCTGTGGTAATATTCGACATTCGACAAGGACATCTGAGGACCTACATCTTTCTGTTGGTGACAGGTCATCCAGTAGTATTGCGCAGTACTTTTGTCTTGTGAAACGCTGTGCAAGCCACAGAAGAACAGAGCCGAGGCTTCTGCTAGATACCAAGACTTGGCAAAATCCTTGAAAATTTGTTCATATTCTGACTTGTTCAGAGTCGTTTCTCCCATACAAACTTCCACAGGAAGAGAGTAATTCATAGCCTTCTCATGGCCAAGAAGTTGCTTGCGCACTGTAGCAGGTCAGTTTTCCCATCTGACTTTCAGAGAGTTATAAGTCTTACCGATACTATGGGCTCCATCAGCACCGACAAGGATATTACCAGGAACTACAGTCCCATCTGCAAAATGAGCGATTACGCCTGACTCCGTTTCTTCATAGCGCTGAAAGTGTTTATTGTATTCAACGGACAAGCCTGTTGACAGGACCTCTTTGAGCTTAGCTCGGTCTGCACGAATAAAAGGCCCATGTTCACTTGGAGCAAGGTGTGTGACCTCTTCTCCAGAAATACCCTGGTATATCGCAGCATCACATGTCGTGCCATAACTATGTAGATGAGAAACAGTGTCCAGAAGAGGGAGAATGTCATCAGGTAGCTCTGAAATTAAGTCGTTGATAACCCTTGAGAATCTGTTAAGCACAAAAATGGCGGAGGATTGAAATAGAGAAAGATCGTACCAATGCAAGGTCAAGCACCAACCCTGACTTCGTGCTGAAGCACTAGCATCCCGATCGAAGATACGGAAAGGAATATCCTTCTTGCGCATAATTTGGCCCAACGCCAGTCCTCCTAACCCGCCACCTATGATGAGTACAGTTAGATTATTAGACATGATTTGATTGGGTTGAAATATCAATCGGTATATTAGCGTGTGGGAAAATTTACTTAAATCTTAGAGGAGGCAAACGGGCGTATTTATAATGCTCCTTGAACATTGCTAGTAGCAGTTGAAGAGATCGTGGATCCCAAATCATATGAGTGAAACTTGGTCATTTCCGTAATAGGTTAGTATTTTTTTTGTTATGTGCTAAACTCCGTCCATAGAGAGGCCATCGCACCGCCCCATCTAGTCTAACCGTCCACTTGCAAAGGCTTTCTAAGGAGAGTAACTAAATGATGAAGACAGCTTAGATCAACATATACTGAAAATAGGAGCTATTATGCATGAAGAGTCTCGAATAGACTGCCTTATAGTCCCAACAATTACAGTCCCGGCTGCGTCAAATTTGGAAGTCGCCGACACTGGTATGATCCGTCCAACTGGTCAAAACGCTCAATTCTCCGTCAACTAAAGGCAAAATGGCCTCCTTTCTGCCACCATAGGCATGTAACAATAAAAGACTGATGAACATGATATTTCTTGATTATTCAAACGAATAACTAACAAACAATTATATTTGAAGCCGAAGGAAAAAAGGAAAAGAAACCATATTTGGAGCTGTGCAGACGCCGGAAAAGGTGTTCAACCACTAGCCAGAACCCTACTCCGAACGAGCTGCTGGATAGTTTCCATCTTCTCAACCATCTGAACCCCAAACTTTTCGCAAACAAGTTGTACATTTCCCCTCTTACAGTAACCTTCGGGGCAGACAACAATACTCTTGCCCGGAGCTCTGGCGCTCAACCCGAACTCCAAAAGAGACACCATCGCCGTGGTGGCGGGGTGAAAATAAAAGACAACTATATCTGCTTTTTCTTGCTTATCCAGCTCCCATAGCACTTGGTTTCTAAAGGGAGGATAACTGATATCCTCTTGCCACGAACTGTCCCAGTCAGGTCGGTGGGGGTTGTATATTGTAATCGGCAGGCCCAAAAGAGAATTTGTGACAGTGTCACGCCAATCTATTTTGTCCACTTTAGTAGTCGTACCAGCTAAAAATACAGTTATCACGCCTGTGGAGGCTTCTTCCGAAGGAGCAAAAAGAACTTGACTCATGGCCCGGTTCATGTTAAAAGAAATGGAAATCCGAAGAAGCAAAGGACCTGTCGTGAATCTATCTCGAATATACCATGGATCGGAAACGAAACCAGATGGTATCCCCACGGTTGTATGTTGTATTCCTAGCCTCTCTCGTAGTTCCTTTTTTCATGACTTTGACCAAGTCGGAATTGGGTGTTTTTCCGAGGCAGAGAAAAGAAAAACAAAATTTGCGGCTAGTCCTAGAATGCGCAAAAGCAATCGTTCCTAAACTGATTTAGCACTGGGGTTACTGAAATAAGCAACCAATCACCGGAAGGAAGTAATACTCAGCCCCATTAAAGACCGGAGCACAGCGGGGCTGTGTCGGCGGCACCTCTCCAAAATAAGACCGTCGTAGACATCTCGAATATTATCGTGAAGCAATTTTTGATTGTCTTGAAGAGCTGAGGTGGGGCTCGACAAGCAATGATTCAAGCTACACAAGCGTGTGATGCATGCAGGGACAGGAAGAAACGGTGCGATAAGGTCCTCCCAGAGTGCTCTGAATGTCGGAGGTAATCTGTCTTTGAATGAAATACCACTTCTACTAGCTAAGTCTGCATAAGACGCCAGGCACAATGTCAGTATAGTCAGAAAGCAGAAGAGCATGGGATGGTTGAGTCTCTATGGCAGAAATTAAATTCCCTCGAGTGTTTGGTGAGAGAATCTAAAGATGTTAGCGAGCCACGACTGATGTTGCCCTTTTCTCGACTTGGCCGTGAGATTCAATATGATATCACGTACCCAGTCTCGAAGCGGTGGTATTTCCCTATGCTACTCCATTTCCGTGGGTGCTTCATTATTCCAAGCGAAACTTCCCATATTAACAAGTGACAAGGGTTTCACTCTATGGTTCCAAGTATCAAAAATATAAGTCAAGAGAGTGCTGCATACAAGTTGCGCACTGCATGGGTAACAGGGTATCTCCGTGATCCAGCTATGTTTCACGCTATTCTGCATGCAGCTTCTGCGAATCTTGATCTGATTAACGGAGAGACCGATAACCCGGTGACTTATTTCCATGGCATGGAGGCAATCCGCTTAACAAAATCAGCTCTATCATGTCTAGAGTCGCATGATGACTTGCCACACACAGTTCTTGCGACAACCTGGGCATTAGCGCATGTTGCAGTACGTCCTTGTCTTCCTATGCACGCTGTTAGGATCCAGCTCATCAAAAACAGAGACTTACCGGTAAAATTTCCGAAGCACACGTTCACGAGGCTGGGCTTCGGCAAATGGTACGCTCCAGGGACCACAGCACCGGGTTGGGGTTTGATGGTGCGCTTTCATTCTTGATCATGCTGTAAGAGCACCTTTGGGATCGACTAATTTTGTTTCTAACTGGCACGTTCCGTGTATACTATGTAGTAGCGATATCTGGAATTCTATCATCAACGAGGAAGATGCGAGCCTTGAATTCATCGATGAGCACCAAAATCCGTATCTTGCCCAACCCAGAAGAACACTTCTATCAACCGCCCTGGAACGTGCTCTAAATGAGGAGCTAATATCAAATGACGTTATTTTCCTCCTACGTATGGTCGATCACTCGCAAGCCGCCCAATGGGGGCCTTTTTATGCCACCGGTACATCCATCTCGACGCCCTCGGGCCGATACTCAACCAACCCATCGCCTCATGACGGTGAATACCTCTATATGCTTCTGCAGGCCGAAAGACTTGCATCGTATCAATGCCAGGACCATATATCAGAATGCTGTTGCCTAGCTGCCATGATCTACTGGAAGGCCTTGTTCACTAACGTTCCATTTAATTCGCCTGATAATGATTCTGCCGCTGACCAACTTTTCATCGCATTTCGACAAACTGACTTGGAGAAATGGATGGAGAAGGCACCCGAAATGCACATTTGGGTCTCTTATGTAGGTGCCTTAGCATCAGCCAACAAAGTGCAGCGAGCGTCTTTCGTGGCTATATCAAAAACTTCAGTCGTGATCCTTAGTCAAGACCGGATTCTCCATTTCCAAGATGGCGTTTCGCATCTTCTCTGCCTTTCAAGACACTTGAGACAACTGCAGTCTGTCGGCGGATGGACATAGGCGTGGATGGGGATCATGATCTCTAGATTTACCGTTTTCCTGATGCAGGCTTTTTCTAGTCTTGTAGATGGAACTTTTCCATCTCCCTCTTTTTTTCTCTTCCAACCGATGTTAAGGTTTGGTTATTAATCAAGTCTTGCCCAGATTGGGAGTTGTCCAAATGTTACTGCATCGGGGTGGAGTCCGACGCTATCCCTTTAGCGCCTTGGTTAGGCCATATCAGGGCCAGGCTTCGTACTGCTTTTCTAGATGAATTTAATTCGTTTAAAGTTCTCCTGAAGGATGATCAACTATGACGCAACGCCATCAAAGTACGTAAATTGTCTGTAACAATAAAAGCAATCTTCAGGCAATATTTTGAATCATGGATATATAAAGTCCCTTTCGCGCTTGAAAAAGGTACCAGCCTTAAAGAATGAAATTTTCCAAAGTACAGATACGTCGAGCTAGCTTCTGAGAGCTTTGGGGAAATGTACCCGAGTATTTTCTCCTGGTGCTATACAGCAACATGGCTCTTTTCCGCCCTTCTTGCTGTCGAAGTGACCGTTAATGCTGCAAATTCACCACCTCCTTCGCGTCTCGCACCTCTCAAATTTGCAAATACCTCCACACTCAACGTTGCATACTACGAGACCGGACCATCTAATGGATCCGCCGTTATCCTGGTGCATGGGTTTCCTTATTCAATAGATGCCTTCGCCCCGGTGGTCCCTCTACTTAGGGAGAAAGGATACCGGGTGGTCGTACCCTACCTCCGAGGGTACGGCGAAACGTCGTTCATCCACCCTAGCACTGCCCGAAGCGCAGAACAAGCGGCCCTCGGATCAGACATCATCGCCTTAATGGATGCAATCAACATCGATAAGGCAATATTTGCTGGATATGACTGGGGCACGGTGGCCGTTAATGTCGCGGCGGCAGTGTGGCCGGAACGCTGCAACGGGCATGTCGCAGCAAATAGCTATTTGATTCAGAATCGAACCACTGCTTGGGTTCCTCTAAGCCCTGACGCGGAGGCGTTACGTTGGTACTACTACCTTTTTTTGACTGCGCGGGGTGCAGCTGGCCTTTCGTCCAACCCCAAAAACTGGGCACGCACCCTTTGGCAAAAAAATTCTATCGGCTGGGAGTTCTCAGAAGAATATCTCGACATAACAGCGACAGCGTTTGAGAATCCAGATTATGTCGACATTGTTGTCAACTTTTACCGCAACAGGCTGCTGTATGCTCCTGGAGATCCAAGATACACTGATTTGGCTGCCCTCCTTGACGCACAACCACCGATTTCTGTACGCTCAGTCACATTCGATCCTGAAAACAGCGTTGTCTTTCCACCGACAAACGGGTCGTCAACGGCCCAGTATTTCACAGGCCCAAGATGCCATTATGTCCTTCCTAATGTTGCTGAGAATGTACCTTTCCAAGCGCCGGGATTGTTTGCGAGTGCGGTCTTTGCGGTAGATGGGTTGCCTGTGGTTGGAGGAGATTATGTCTGTCAAAAGGAATTGTGAAAGCAAACAATAACAGTCCAGGTTGTAAAAATCCTCACCCAACTACTTGGGTAGCTAATATAATTGGCCAGCGTGGTAGACAAATGGCCATCAGCATTACTTTTAATAGAAATTATCATCACCGGAAAGAGGACAGTATATTCTATATTCCATTTGAGGGTGCATGAAAGGGACCCGACTGTATCATGTGGCTCACGATAGTAGAATGAATCGAATCAGACTGGCAGCACTTGAGCCTATTTGAAGTCAGGTAGGAATGGTGAGGACCTCACAAAGTTAACAGGACACAGATGCCAATCTATGCTGTAGACCTCCTGTGCTTTTCTTTTTAACAATGTTCTGTAAGACTGTTAGATTATTTGGTTGAAGCTCTAGTAATTTGGTTCTCGGAGTTGTGGGGACGAAAACAATTCGCCGGAAATTTGGAAGTTAAGTGCGTAATAGTAGTAATTCTTTTAGTTACGTAAAATTTGATATATTGGTCATTAAAATTAGTTCATGAGATCTTCTGATTCAGATAATATTTTAACCTTAAGGATTATCAATCGTAATGTATCTTCCCTATCTCTTTTTATAAAGTAGACCTGACCCTGTGCTCTCATTAGCCTATATATATAGTTTATTTATTATCTTAATTAAAGATCGGTAAGAGTTAATTATAATACCTCAAATAGACTGAGGGTGCATTTTATTAAAAAGTTGGCAGGACTGCGAAGATGCCAAGCCTATGGGAGCTGTATTTTTGAGAATTAACGGCCCTTACAGGGTCACCTATGATTCCCATACAAAACTAGCATTTTTGGGCTCTTAATATTTCGTAACTTTTATTCAAAAGTGTAATTTTTGAAATAATAATAATTTTTAAGTTACTCTTATTAGTATTAAAGTATATTTTGTTTATAATATATATTAATTATAACATTGATTTTAGATTATATTTTCTAACAAAAGTTGTGAAATATTCAGGGCTAAACAAGTCAGGGGTATGGATGTTTCCGTGTTTGACAAGAAGTAGTCAATGATAAATAATCTAAAAGTAGATAAAGTGAGCCACAAAAAGTCTTGGACAGGACAATATCATGGGGTTCAACTCATGGCACAGATCGGAGAAATAAAAATGTTATAACTTCCTAAGAAGGTTAAGAAAGCGGATCCATCTGCTGTAGTCTGTAACTATTGAATATGGCCAGTGGACAAAATGCAATCTCACTTGTCAATTTCCAGGGAATCATGGCTAAGGATAATATTCCACAGAAAAGTTGTCCGCGGACGATGGTGAATACTTTAGGCAGAAGCCCTGTGATATCAGCCCCTGGAGGTGCAAAGTTAGAAGCAGCTACAAGATTTAACTGGAGTAGTTGATAATGAGACGTACCGAAAGGTATGGCATTACAACCGATATTAACACCAAGAATCGACAGTGTAAAGCCGAAAGAGGCAAAGAAGCATCCTACACGGGCTGCTGGTCCCCAAAATCGTTCAAGGATGGCATTTAGCAGGCCCCACTGATTCCAGTATGCCTGGCCGAATTTCCCTGCACAGCAGCGGTTGCCCCAATACCAAAGAAGAAAATCAGTGTCTTCCTAGCAAATATTGATGACGCTTGGCGCCATCCGGCATCCTTAGGTCTTGGGGCATATCTGGTAAGATCAGGTTGCTTAGGTCCAATTATTAGCCTCTAACAGAAGCCTTTAGCTCAAGATTGAAGCAAGACTCATATTAACTAAGAGTGCACTCGTAACACCCAAGTAGCTATTGATACAGTTGAGCATTGCCCATCCTAAGGCGCTACCACTTGCCGGTACATCTGAGATGAGGCTAGTCACTTGAATACCACCACCATAATTGATACACCAGGCAAAGACACCGATACAAGCCAGTGGACATCTAATAGACTCTACCCAGATGAAGGTTAGAAATAGGAATATAAAACGCGGACGAAGGGTATGTTAACCACAATAAGAATTTTATTTTGGAGGGATGAACTGCAAGGAAAGGCATTTCGAGCATCCAGAACAAGAAAAATGCCAAGAGATCTCTTGATATGATACCTGCACTGGCGGGGAGGTGATTGACCATGTACCACCAAGAGTTGCCGAAAATGCATCTCAGAAGAACAATGGCCAACTGGGACCCAAAGTATGATTGGAATCCAAACCTGAAACCTCATTAGTTACGAGCATCAATGATTAACACGCGATTCACTTACCAAATGGCGGCCACGACGGCGCGGATCCATACAAAAAGAATTGGCCGTACCTATCATGACGACTAAGTCAATGGTAACATCCTCGTATAGACCTGGGGCAGCCAGGTACTGACATTCCAAAGACGCTTCTGGCTAGGACAGGGTAGCCGATGGTAGCCGATGTGATATTTTGCGCCGGGTCGAACCCGGGGCTATAGCTACCGTAGAGGAGATCAAGTTGGCCTTGTCATTATCAATCAGATGTGCAACGAAACTCACAAGCATGCAGGAAATAAATGCTTGCCACCAATTGAGGGCGACTGAGATCAAAATGGTTCCGTTAGACCATTGGCTCGCGTTAAATGCATTCTGAGACATCCCATCAAGTCAGCATGATGTAGACAAGGTCGAAGCGGCCAAACTAGGAAATCGGGAAGTCATACACCCCACCAATAGCTGCTGAGCGAGATCATATATTCAAGGGGTTAGTAGATTGTTGATGATGAAAGCTAAATGGTGCAAAACATATCATGACCATGTCCTTGCGCTAGACGGCGTTGGAAGACGGTCTTTGTTAACAGACGGTGAAGATTTTGTGCGATCCGAAGAGGTTGTACTCAAAACCTTTTCCATTCCGCCTTTAAACGTGGAACTTGTGATAAATGTATGCTTGATAATTGCGAAATGCGGTGATGGTGCTGAATACACACCTTAGTGAGCGGCTTGTACACAGGTCTTATTCAGAGCAAAACACGTTAAGCTTCATAGTTAACTGCACTGCTTATCGGTCCGTATCTCTTGCTGTCGTATGGCCTCGATTGACACGAAATATTGGACGCCATGTTCTGTCGGAATGGCCATATCAAGAAACCAAGGATTCAACGGAAGCGATACTTACGTGAATTACACAAATTCCGATGACATGGGCGATAGCGGTTAGTGCATTTAGATACATCGGGTCAACCCGATGATAAGGACTTTATCCTTCGGGCTATTCATAAGTACCCACTTACGTATTCGATAGACATGCGCCCTTTTGTATGTAAGTCTTCATAGAAAATTATAATGTCACTCCCAACTGCTTGATCTCATTTCAGAAGTGATCTGCTGCACCGCAGCATTTTGCTCAAGCCTAACTGGAGTATTGACCATGTAAGGGTTCGATACCATCTTGCGCAACGCTTGTGTTATCGGTTCTTTCGTGTTCGATATAGGCATCAAACGTGATGGAAGACTTTTTCATCCTACCATCAATGCCTGATGCTACTACTAGTGTCGGCTTTGTAAAATATCTAACAGTTATTAAGGTAATGTCAAATAAAGTAAAATACTACTAGTATCTTTGTATTAATAACTCTCTTTTTTTATTCATTTTCAAACTATATAATATTCGAAATCATCTGAGTATAATTATATTTCTTTTGCATCTTATATTCATGTGATAAGTGGAGTGCTAAGTCAAGAGGTGTCTACTAAAGTAGAGTAAGGGAAATTAAACACTATATTGATTTAATATTGAGATAAAAAACAAGGAAATTAAAGATTCAACTTAGATAGATTGGATCACTCTTGATAATAATATCATATAAGGTGGTGAGGCATTTGTTACTGAAGCGGTGTCTTAAATCACTATTCCAGCACTTCGTTCACCATATCACACATTTAGAAATTGCCTTCAAACCCACCGGATTAATGTTACTTGGGACGCAGACTTTCATAAAGCAGCGTGTGGTATCATGGCGCCACGGGACAAAGTACGAGGGATTCAAGACCACGGAATGAACACTTGCGCAGGATGAGATGATAGCTGTCCTACAGAAAGCTTCTAGAGCTAATAGTATATAATGAATCAACCTAATAGAACAGGCAAGACACCATAAAAGTTGCAATGAGAGACAAGGAACAGCTGGCATGCGTAAATCAGAGGATCGTTCTGCGGAAGGAGACATGGCTATATATTGGCAACTTACAACTAAGATCGTTATATATATTAATTAATACGACTATATGTAGTTAGCCTTAATCGCTATTCATTAGTATCAGTGACCTATGCGAAAGGGTTGCATTTAACAGTATTGATTACCGGCTGCCATCTGCTGCGCCTACCCAATACCGCCTGACCGAACACCACTGACGACGTGCTATGCATATGTAGGCACTACCCATTTCCCAAGTAAGCCCCAGGAAGACCCCCGAAAGTCAGAGCGCCTCGATGCCACTACAATCCACTCCAAGCATAGGGTGGACATGACAAAGTTACTCTATATGAATTTGAGCGTCGGTATGCTCTTACTGGTGCAGTTGGGCAGGGCGGTTAGGTATGCGCGCGAACCGAGGGAGTGGGTCAATCCAAGCCACTGACGCCCATATTCCCCTTATCAATTGATATAAGGTTGAGCTTATCACTGGCTTTTCTAAAACTTTTAGCATCTTATTTTCTACTCCAATCTTAGTATTTAGTAAAATAGTTTTCTATTTAACCGTTAATTTAAATCTATAACTACAGATATTTTTCTGTATTTTTGGTCTAATTTCGTTTACCTCAAGAATTAATGAGGCATGAACGTTTGAACCTTCAGGAACTTTTTAATCTTGTATATATAGAAGGTCGACCGGTCAGTTTGTTCTCCCGGGTTCGGCTGAACCTCACCAATAGACATTTAAGCTCTTCTTGCTACGGCGAATGATAGGTATTTTGCCGACATAATTCGTATTTCACTAGTAATCTTTATTGACACGCGTAATTTCCATATTTCCACCTTTAATTTTTTTTGGATTTAAAGAATTTACTACCTCAGGGCCTGCTTAAGCGTCTGTCTTAGCGCCTGTTTTAGGGCGTACTTTTCTCAAGGTATACCTCAGGCTTTTAAGGCAGGCGGTGAGAAAGGTAGTAAGAAAAACGATGAGGAAGACAGTAAGATATGCCCTGAGAGAGGCATTAAAATAGGTATTAAAATAGATGCTAAGGCAGGCACTGAGGAAGGCTCCAAGACAGGCTTCAAGGCAGGTGCTCAGGCAAGCTCTAAAGATAGATGCGGAGGCAATAAATTCTTTAAATTCATAGATATTAGATGTGGAAATATGGAAATTACGCGTGTCAATGAAGATTACTAGTGAAATACGAATTATGTCGTTAGAACACTTATCGTCCGCCGTACACGCGGAGAACTAAAACCGGGAGAATTCACAACCCGCCATAACCCTAGGTCCACCGAGCGCCCCGAACTCTCCCAGCATCCAGCTGTGTCGCTCGGCTCCCATGGAAATGGATTATTATTCACCAGCCATTCAAGTTATCACCGACAACTACGCATGTGATTATCCCATAATCTGTATAACAGATCGAGTTTTCCCTAGACACGGAATCTAAAGACTTCAGCCAGCACATGGGATCAATTGAGGGGACCCGGCTGGTCCATTTCCATGGTATGGGGAAAAGCTTAACGCATTGGCATTGCAAGCGGGTCATGATTATATAATAAGCTCTATTGCCGAGAGACTAAGTATAAAAGGATGGCAAGTACTGCAATTTGGAGAACTAGGGATAATAGAAGCATCCATTTTTTTTGGTGCCAAATCCCAGGCATATCCAACCATGACGGCAAATACATCTCTTGTGACGGGAGCGAGCGGCTTCATCGCTAGCCATGTCGTTCAACAGCTACTCAAAAAGGGCGAGCAGGTCCACGCCACCGTTCGCAGTACCAAAAACAAAAAGAAGATTAAGCACCTCCTTGACATGCAGGAGCGATGGCCCGGCAAGCTAACTTTGTTCGAAGCGGACTTGCTTGCGGCTGGCTCGTTTGAGGCTCCAATGAGGGACTGTTCGGTGGTGTATCATATTGCATCACCTTTTTTTATTGAGAACAGAATTCACGATGGCCAGAAAGAGGTCGTCGAGCCGGCTCTCAAAGGAACACAACATGTGCTTGATTCAGTTCAGAAATGTGAGACTGTCAAGGTTGTCGTCTTAACTTCGTCCGTCGCGGCTATCTTTGGAGACAATGCCGACGTGCTAGAAATGAAGAACAAAACACTCTCCTCCGAGTATTTCAACACAACTAGCACGGTTAACTACAACGCATACCCTTATTCCAAGGTGGTCGCCGAGAAAGAGGCCTGGAGGATATATAAAGAGCAGACAAGCCCCCCACGTTGGAAATTGGTGACAATTAACCCTGGACTTGTTCTTGGCCCATCCCTATCTCCAACATCCGAATCTGGCAGCCTGTCGTTGCTTGACCAGCTCCTCCGCGGTCAGCTGTTCTTGGGGGTGCCGGATATGTGGTTCGCAATTGTTGATGTTCGAGAGGTTGCAACTGCCCATATTCAGGCCGCCGAATGCCCAGATTCTCATGGTCGCTATATCCTGGCCGACAGCAAAACCCATGGTTTCGTGGAACTTGCTCGCATCCTGCGATCCATTACTCAATCTTCCCGAATTCCGAAAAACAAAATCCCTAATGCCTTAGTGCACATATGCGGGCCTATGCTTAGACTAAGTCAAAAATGGCTGAGACTCAACCTAAGCATCCCTTTCGACATCGACAATCGTCCCAGCTTGGATCAGTTGAAGATTGTTTACCGGCCTCTGGAGGAAACGTTGGCGGACCATTATCGATCCTGGAAATCTGCCCATAGCGTATCGCACTAACTCAAATGATTCTTATCAATGATGATTAAAAGAAACTATGCTATATTGAAAACATGCTTGCCTGCCCCGCGCTCTTTCGGCACGATATTCTTGTTTGTATCATTTTGGGTTCGACTTGGCTTGGCTCCACAGCTGTAGTTACCAATTGCACTTCTGTACTTCTATTTTTATTTCTAGTTTGGTTGGGACAGTGACCGCTGATATTTAGTCTACAATTAAATGTCTGATATCACTTCTCACTGAGTATCCTTCCAACTGGAGACGTAGATATCGCTTATTCTTGGTTACAACCCCAACCTTCTTCGTATCTTTTGTTGTTCATCATCACTAGTAGATGCCACTATTGATATTGCTGGTATGTTCTGCAACACCTTCGTAAAATGAATTTGGTGCGATTTTAATTACAATTCCTCAACGTATAATCACGATTTTCAACGTCAATTTGATACATATTCCACAAAACCTCGGTAGTGGACATGGGTTTCCAAAGTTGCCCCACTTTAACAATCGTTTCGCTAACTGTACTAGGCAAGGCTGCGGTGAAACTCGACTGCGGTCTTTCATGGGTAAATAGCCTCTGGGTAAACTTCCCTCCGACGGCGTAATCATGCTCCGATGAAACCCAAAGTTGTGCTCAGAGCCCTTTTGCTCAATCAAGGAGGTCGATTTAACAGGCCTTGTTTGCGCTCCTCTATATGGAGTAGCATGAGTTTTGACAAGTAACTAGAGAACTCCAATTTATTCTAAAATGTCTACTGAACGTGAATATGATTTGGTTTTGCTAGGTGCGACTGGCTACACGGGTAAGCTCACTGCTCAGTACATATTCAAATCGCTGCCACCTGACCTGAAGTGGGCAATTGCTGGAAGAAACAAGAAAAAGCTCCTGCAGCTTGGCCAGTCCTTAGTACTAAAAGATACATCTAGACAGTCACCTGGTTTGTGAATACCATCTATATATACAATTTTCAATAGCTGATATCTTGCTTAGATACTCTAATTGTTAACCTAGACGAAAATGACCTTGATTCCATGTCAAAGAGGACACGATTAGTGATATCGACAGTGGGCCCATTTCAACTTTATGGATCTGATACATTTGCTGCCTGTGCCAGAAATGGCACTCATTACCTAGACTGGTAAAGGTCGAGAGTGCTTCAAATATAACATAAGCTGATAATCTATACAGTAACGGCGAAGCTCCATGGTTGAAAGACATGATTCGCCAGCACGACGCAGTCGCGAAGGAAAACGGCAGCATTGTGAGGATTTCGTGGATTTGATTACTTAGAGAAAGATTATTAATTGACTGGAAATAGATGATTCCGTGCTGTGGTTTCGATTGTGTGCCATCTGACCTTTCAACTTGGGTTGCCGTCCAACAAATCCACCGTCATTTTGGAGCGCAGACTAGGCGCTTAGATGTCTGTATTCATAGTGTCCAGGGCGGAATAAGTGGTGGAACGTTGGCCTCGGTTTTACAAGCATTTGAGACATACAGCCTTCGCCATCTGTATGATGCCCACGCCCCTTTCTCTCTATCCCCGAAACGGCCAATCCCTACGGTGCCACCAAAACGAACAAGTTTATGGACTAAAGTTTTCGGACTGCTCTGGATTAAATATCTGGGTTGGATGGCTTATCAGCCACAGGGACCAGTTGACCGAGCGATTGTTCATCGATCCTGGGGTTTGCTAGAACCCACGGACGCTTCATATGGCCACAATTTCGATTTTCATGCTTGGCTGCGAACCTGGGGACCTGTGGCTGCCGTATTATGGCATTTTGGAGGACTAATGTTAGCACCGCTGATCCTCCTACGTCCCATTCGAAAGCTCCTACCAAGACTTTGGTATCAACCCGGTGAAGGTGCAGGTCAGAGTAAAATCAAAAACAACTGGTTCGAGTATCGAGGCGTTGCAGAGGCAGATACTTTGACCCAGCCGAAACCCAAGGTACTAGTTCGTATGCGCTATGACGGTGATCCTTACGTATTTACAGCCATCGCCCTAGGAGAGGCAGCTCGAATACTTCTTTGGCAGCAAGATACCTGGGCGCATAAATTTGGTGGTGGGGTGATGACGCCTGCTACCTTGGGTGATCACTATGTGTCTCAACTGCGAGCTTCGGGGGTGACTATTGATGTTAGAAACGAGCCAGAAAATGGGGTGGTAAACCCTTTTGGCATAGATAAGTTAGCATAGGTTGAGGTTCTTGGAATGGCGCACACACGTGAGCTTTCCGACAGATATTCTGGCCCCATTTCGTTATACATGTATAGATCTCATTGGTACCTCCAGCAAGAAGGAGAGAATACATGGCAGCCTCAGCCCTATCTTAGTACCTATTTACACAATCCACATTTTAGCGGATATGTTCGGGCATAAATTACAATATATAAAATCTCGGTAGAAGGCCTGTGCATTTAGAATATGCGCATGACGCTGCACGCAGGCCTACAGGAGAAGTGCCCTGCAGGAGCTGAATTTGTGGGTTTCCACAGTGGATCCAGCCTATCTCAGAACATCACGCGATCCGACTCTTTCGCTCCCATTTCTGAATGGACACAATAGCCAGACAAAAAGTGAAAATTCAGCAAGCAATAGAGGCTCCAAATCAACTTGAGAATATGAGGGCAATTCCAGCACCAACCAGCTCAGTCAAATCCGGCCTATAACATTGAGGAAATAATCTTCCAGTTCATCATAACAGAAATTCAGTGGACGCAGAATCATGAGTTTGACTTTGGCCGAAAAACGCAATTTTTATTTCGGTGAAACAGACCTTTAATTCGTATTATCATTGGAGATAAGATAATCAGAAGCAAAACCAAATCTTATATCCGACTTCTAGATATTTCTTTCACAAAAAGTCAATTACAGTTCCGGTTTGGTGAACCAGAGATATTTATATATTATGTTTACACTCGTATACATTTTCCAGCGTGCGCGTGTCATCTGCGTCTGCCACCTTCATTTAGCTGTCATATTAAAGGAATAGATATGCGGAAAGGGAATTGCTAACCGTCGAAGTGCGCAAATAGAAGTTTCCACATCACCGACACTAAATGTCGATGTTGAAGGAATATCCAACTAGATGAGATTCACATTATCAATAAAACTGAGGTCAACGCCAGATCCCCCCTAGTCTCCCGCGTTAACCATAACTTTAGTAATTCACACAATAGCGAGTCCGACAGTTCTGTTCAGTACCCTTGACTTCCCAGTTTTCGCGATGACGAAAAGGTTCGGGCGGGATTTAGAGGTTGTTGGCAATTCCAGTAAACCAACGAAGTTAGTATCACCAAAATTCGGTGCATTCCTTCTAAATAAATCGTGATAATTTCGCCATAGCAATTAAAATGCAGACGTTGGTCAATTCTTGGAAATTTTTATTGAAATAAATAAGGCCAACAGTCAATCATACATCACCTCTTGCGAGTTTGCAAGCTGAAATATACGTTGAAGGTAAAATGCGAGTATCATCAAAGAACTGCCCAGGCCTGGATTATACCGGCAGTCGCTGTTAGCAATCCGCTTGCTCTTAGCCCTCCCCGAAGATACCAAGCAGAGCTAGCCCAGGCTATGACGACGAGCAGGGTAGCCATAGCACGGTTTAGTGGATCGTCCAAAGATTTGGGGTTTTTTGTCCAATGGAGATTAAGCAAACCTAGAAGCAATTTTTTTAGAACAGGGAACCATAACAGAGATCCATTGTTTCACAAAAGAGAAGATGACGGAAATACCAGTCAGAACCAAATAGGCACTTCCTTGATACCATCCGACAGTGCTGCGCACGTATGCGATATTTGGTAATTCCTGAAACTGGCGGAGTCGCTGGAACTCTTTCCCAGTAGCCTGAAAAATGAAGAAATCAGATTATTTTTATTTCATACCATCGCTTTTCGCTGGTTTTTGGACAACACTGACCGCATGCTTTATGGCAAAAAGAAGTGAGCCATACCCTGCAGCTTTGAGAAGAGTAGGGTTTGGCATTTTTATGTTGAAGCACACGATTTTGTAGCTGCAGATGGAAAGCCTGAGGGGAAGTAAGTAGTTATAAAATCAAAGGATCTGGTCGAAACGAGGAGTGCATGCAGTCAACCTCTAATTATACTAGGTCTACGTGGACCTAGCATATACTATGCGGTATGGCATAGATTAAGATTATCCGACGGATGTGGAGTTACAATGAGATGAATAATAACCAGGCGGTAGAACGGGCAAACAATCGGCCCGCTTTGTCGTTCGTTACGCACGGGACCTTATTGTGTAACCGACGCTCCCTCCACATGGAGAAGTTAACATTGGCTTGGCTGTTATACGAATTAAAGTTTTGGGGCCACAATTGAAATAGCTTCTTCAGGGTTGATGGTGTGTTATCGATCAGCACAAGGCACTCACATGGTGCAGAAATATTTCAATAGATAGGTACATGTGTTTATTCTTGTCAGAGTATTCCGTACTCGTGATGAAAATCACAATCTTTCCCTGAGAAATAGAGAAGACGGCGAAAATTGCATCTTAGAGTGAGGAAAAAGTAAGAAGATGAATAGAGCAGATAATAACTCCCAGCTTCAAAACTACACACGACTACTGGATATTTATCAGAGACTAACTTAGAGAGGATCTCAAGCAGATCAGAATTCTAATTCTTATTCTTAACAGGAACGATAACCTAGTAATTCACTCAGTGACTGTAGGCTAGAAGTCAGTCAAACTCTTACCTTATTGTAAGCCCAAATTTTCTCTTTTCCATAGTCCATGAGTTGGCGAACATCTCCAAACTCCTCGATACGTCTAAAGTGGACTTTACGACTAGCCACCGTGCAGATCTCACTTTTTCTACCAAGTGGTACTGTCAAAAATTATGATGTTCTATTTCAAGATATTTACTAAGCATGGAATTCCCCCCCTCTCCCCCGGACAAATAGGTTCATTGCTTCCTTATTTCAGCTCTGCCACATTTGCTTCATCTCCTCCGCTGCGTTTCCTAGGTATCTGTCACTCAGCTCTTTCAGCTCCTCGATACTTGCTATATGACCGCAATAATGTGTTACATTCTCCATAATTTCACATTCAACTTCCTTTCCAATAGCTTCAAGTCTCTCGACAGCCGCCTTTTTTCGCTTAGGAGATAATCTAGGCCTGTGATCTTGAAAGACATCTTCAGTGACAATGCCTCCGTCGATAAATCTTGTGGTGCAAGTCCGAGAGAAAGATAGATGTAGCGGTTTCTGGCTTTGGCTAATTTCCAGAAAAATGCTTCCTTAAAAGGGATCTGATAATCTTCGATGATAATACTAGCTTTCTTTTCATTGATGAGGAAGCCGGATTGGAAAGAGTACGCTCAAGTCGGCCCTATGTCAAGTCCATAACTGCGTAAAGGCTATTAGTTCTTTGATTGTGCCCATACTTGAACGATCAATATGGAGCTCTCCATCCTTCAGCTACTACCAGAGCAAGAGAAGAGTAGCGAATGCCAGGTAGCCACCCGCGCCTGAACCGGCAACAACCGTTCGCTCCTTGTCAAGACACAATGAGGCAGCATTGCGCCAGACGTAAAGCAGAGCACGAACACAGCCTTTTATTGCCACCGGATAAGGGCTTTTCGAAGCGAGCGGTAAATGATGAAATGTCAGAGCAGCAATGAAGCGTTCATCGTCGCGGGCATGCCTAACGCACCAACCTCCGCCGTGGAAGTTAAGTACGACGGGAAATTTCCTTCTGTTTGTTGATTTTTGGTGATATTCAGGTGGAAAGTAAAACAAAATTTCGAGTGAACCCGTCGAATCGGAAAGCGTCGAAGGGAAGTTCGCTATCAGACTCGGGTCGGGGAGTTGAAACGGGCCACCTGTTTGTTCACCCTAAGCGAAGAAGCGAGTTAAAATTCTCAGAATTTAGCTTTCAGGTAGAAAATTAGAGACCTTCAGACTATACGTGCGGCTGAATATTGGCTTAAAACAATTTATCAATAAAGCATAATGGCCAGCCGAGGCCCCGCGGAACTATAAACGTCGACGGTAACTTCAACTTTCGGGGAAACATTTCTGGGAATACTTTACTACGTAACTTATATTTAATGATGCAGGTTTTGGAAAAGAGTCTTGCTTTATATGTTATATTTCAGCACTAATTGCTATGTAGTACCTAGGCCGAGAGTTGGGCTAGCTTTGGCCACCAGATGGCGCGGAGCTGTGGTTGCACCGAAAACCGATCGGTATTGAAACAGAGATTGTTAAGTCAAGATATGCTCTATCCATTTAGCTTTCAATAAAGAAATATTTCTTGATGCATTGTGCAATCTTCCCGTATGCCAATTACAAGCCTCGGCAAGTTCAATCAGCTTGAGGAAGCTGTTCGATGTTCTCTTTCCATGGTGTATCAACGGTAGAGACAAACAAACCAGAAGACGGCACTTTTTGATCTAACACATTTGATTGGTAATATATGGACGAACCTCCAAGTTATTCCCAATCAACCCGGAAAATGGAGTTGCTTATGAAGGACCCCATTAAACTCCCATGTGGTCTTTGGCTGCAAAATCGACTAGTGAAGGTGCGAAGCAAATACAAGTCATTAATTTCAATTTTTAATACAATCTGTTGACTCGAATACAGGCCGCTATGGCTGAGGATATGGCAGATAGTAGCCATTTGCCTCACAGCAAATTTCTTGAAGCGTATGGGAAATGGGCAAAAGGAGGCTGGGGTGGCATTCTCACCGGTATGAAATTATAATTGCATCGATTTCATGCGACTATGATAACATCGTATTGGAAAAGGCAACATTCAGGTGGATGTACGCTATCTAGGGAACTACAACGATCTAGCAATAGATGAATTTGATGATGATACCAATGCGGTACTTGATACGTGGAGGCTATATGCAAATCGCTGCCAGGAGCACGGCACCCCTGTCATTGCCCAAATATCTCATCCTGGTCGCCAATCTCGAAGAGGAGCGGGTCGAAGAGGGATTTTCACCCCGACTATCGCACCAAGTCCGATTCCACTATATCTTGGGGATGGTTATGTTGCATCCTGTATCAGTTCTATGGTTTTTGGTAAACCAAGGGAAATGTCCATTAACGATATCAAGCAGGTCATCCACCAGTTTGTCAACTGTGCCCGTATCTTGGCAATATGTGGATTCTCAGGAATTGAGCTACATGCTGCTCATGGTTTCCTCTTATGTGAGTCCTGATCCTACAAATCGTTATTCATTCTAAATGTAGTGGAATTGTGTTGACCATCAACCTGTAGCCCAATTTCTTTCTCCCCGAGTAAGAGAATAGCGCAAAGCTTCTCGGCCAATGACTTCTTTTTTTGCTGACATGTCCTTCCAAAGACCAACAGACGCCTGGATGAATACGGAGGAAGCAATGATAAACGTGTTCGAATTGTTCTTGAGATCATTAAGGGCATTCGCGAGGTTGTACCCAGTGGTTTTTGCATTGGAGTTAAATTCAACTCTTCAAGCGATGATTCCTCAACCTTTGAGGATAGCATGCGTCAGATTGGACTTCTCGTTGAAGCAGGAATAGACTTTTTAGAGATTTCAGGAGGAACATTCGAAGACCCGATTGTAAGTACGCTATGCCGTCACTTTTCACCGTTCTGAGAAAATTTCCGCCCTGAACAAGTGGCCTTGGAAATCTCAGTTAAAGCACAAATATATTGTATATATATACCAACCGCTGACAATATGTTTTTGGTCTAGATGATGGGCCGCGGCACGTACTCCGATAGAAAAACCCACAGATCACATGGCACATTGGCTCGTGAAGCTTTCTTCTGGGAATACGCGGTAAAAACAAGAAAAAGGTTCCCAAACCTAATCCTCATGCTCACTGGAGGGTTTCGGTCTCGCCAGGGTATCGAGGACGCCTTGCAAAACAATGTTTGCGATCTGGTTGGCATTGGGCGTCCTGCTGTTATCAACCCTGCATATCCACGATTAATTATGACGAACACGTCTCCGGACCACCAAGCAAAAGTTTCCTTGAACAAGGTTGCCACTCCATTCTGGTCGACTTTCTTTCAAATCAATGCTCTTGGAGGAGGTGCCGAAACTGTGAGTCTACGATTTACTTTACATTTCTTCTGCATTTATTAAATGTTTAAAGCGTTTTTATTCTCGACAGATACGTCGAATGGCGACTGGCCTCCCAGTTTACGGACCTCAATGATGATCGTGGGAAGGAGATCAAGAACCCACACACAATTCCCTGAATATTATAACGCTTATTATCACAGAGGAAGTGCTTGAGGAGCAATTTATTAACTCATTGATCTTCTTGAATGTGCTTATTTCGGATCCTTCGATGTATTTTGCTGTAACGATCTGTTCTTAGCAACAGTCGCTTCTGACGATTATGCACCGCAGCTATTTCATCCATATTTGGTATTTTGACGATTGTGAATAGAGATTCGTTTTTAGAAGAAAAAAACTTAAATTGATTCACCTTTCTATCTTATTGGGCTCTTGGTTACGGCTATTAGCCCATATAAGAGAACGTTAACATCCAGATTTTGTCACAAATGAAAGTAAAAATGCATTCTTAATACCATATATAAAAATTGAAAAAATGAAATAGTAAAAATACTCTGGAGGTCCTGATGTTACTTTAGAGGTCAAAAGATCTTGCAGGCCCAGCAAATGCGATCATATATTTCGAAGCTAAATTCAGAGATTATAACTCGTGGATACAACTGAAGGTTTCATTTATCGCATCGAAGACAAAAGTTTCGTACTAATCGTCAATGATTTGGAGGTCTAGATGAGGATATTCTCCGCGTTAAACCTCCAGAAACTCAGCCCAAGGATGATCGATGCCATCATTCAGTACTTTCCCTTTCGGCGCTTTGTGATATTCCCACTTTTCTCACTATTTAGTTAGCTGTTATAGCACTAGTCCCATATTGAGTTCTAAATCATTGTACCTTCACCTTCCAGTGCGATTAGCTTCCAAATGTTTGCAATGACAGACCAAGCTGCACGGCTGAGACAATGGCGCAGAACAGAGGACGAGAGATATATGAAAGAAACAGCACCGATAAAATGTCATGACAGTGTCATTCCGAATTTCGAGATAGGATGTAGAGTATGTACAAATAAACCGGATTTTCGATGATGAATATCTCAAGTCGCTTAACAGCCAGAATCTTCTTCTTACGACAGTCAAGATCATTGAAATTCGTACCCGAAGGCGTGAGAACCTCGGAAGGAATAATTATAACCTGTGATTATTTTAACGACCGGGTTTAAAACCAATCCATTCACCTCTTTTATGGAGATCTTAGACCTGAAGCTTAAAACTACTCTGCTATCAGTGGATTTCCGAATTTCATCCTCCTATTTGGACCTAATGCAGGAACTAGACATACGTTAACATTAACGGCCGCGGAAATAAGTTAGAAGGCAAAAATAGGTATCGGTCGCTATTGTCTTCAAGCTGACCTAAATAAGCTCCGTCAATTACACGCTCCGTGTATTGAAATCAGTTCTTCAGAACAGGCAGATTCCATTGAGCTCGCACGGACAGCAAAGGATGAGTACTCTAACAGAGTTCAGTATGCGTGCAAAATCGAGTGTGGAATGCTAGCTGCCAATCGGTCAGGCACCTGTTGGGAAGTTACCAAATGCTTTTGAGAATTGCAAAGTACTAATTAGAGATAGGGTGATACCGAAGCGATAAAAATTGGAACGCTATGGCGTATCACTGGTCTCAAGGTTATTTCTGGCACCGAGGTCTATTCTCGATCAACCTATCGATTTTCTGCTAACAATGAAGAGCATTCCATAGGTATGTCAATAGGTGGACATTCCGAAGCCATCATGCTAGCTACACTAGCTGTGAAGAAAGGCTGGCAAAATAAACGAAAGGCCGCCGGAAATGACTGTTCTCGACCGAATCTTATTATGAACAGTGCCGTGCAAGTATGTTGGGAAAAAGGGTGTGCATTATTTCGACATCGAGGAGAAATATGTCTATTGTACCAATGGCCGCTATGTGATTGACCCCGTAGAAGCTGTTAATTTAGTGGACGAAAATACAATTGGTATATGTGCTATTTTGGGAACTACCTAGGCAGGGAGTACGAGGATGCAAAAAAGATTAACGGCCTACTCATAAATAAGAATATCGACTGTCCAATACATGTAGATGCCGCTAGTGGTGGTTTTATTGCACTATTCGTCAATCCAAATTTCATTTGGGATTTCCGCCTGCCAAAAGTGGGATCTATTAATCCTTCTAGCCACAAATACGGCTTGGTCAGTTTCCATTTTTCAAATTCATAGAGTCAATGCATCCATCTAAGACTTATGCCTATGTAGGTGTATCCTGGTGTTTTCCGGGTCGTCTGGAGGTCTTCTGAATTCCTTCCGCAAGAACTGGTGTTCAACATCAACTACTTATGTGCAGATCAGGCTATTTTCACATTGAATTTCTCCAAAGGAGCTTCTCAGGTTATTTGACAGTATTACAAGATGGTTCCGTTGGAAATAAGGGCTACCGGTTGTTAACTTGACTCGCACTGCTGATTATCCCGCCGAGAAGCTGCGTGACTTGGGGTGTATCATTATGAACCAGGGACATGGCCATTATTTGCCTTTGGTAGCGTTTCATCTAGATATCCGAAAATTCAAAGGTTATGACGAATTTGCTCTTGCACACCAGTTCCGAGAACGCTGATGGATTGTGCCCGCATATACCATAGTGCCACACAACGAGAAAATGAAACTTCTACATGTAGTCATCAGAGAAGGCTTTACTGTGTCACGTGTTGATAGTCCAATAACATCAAACTTGCACTATAAGCGCTTAGCAGTATGGACAAAACGATGATACAACACTATCAAAGGTATATGCTCTAAATATCCTAAAATTCTCCATTCGATACGTATAATCGTGATTCTGACCTGACTTTAGGGAAAGGCCAAGGAGCATGTCCTATCATCGTCGAAGTCAACACAAAATTACTCTAAGTTCCAGGACAAGAAGCATTCGATGTAGGGAAGATATGACAAAACACATGCTATATGTTAGCCAATTTCTTTTTATCCCGAAATGCTATTTTAATGTTGAATGTAGGTATTGTTGACTCTATTAGTCTTCTAGTATACACAATTTTTACTGAATTATGCTTACTTTCACTTCTGTATATTCGATTGTATTGTTGTCGCCATTAAAGTGATTCTAATGGGGACGAACCTGGTCAATATCATATGCGTTATTGGTATATTTTTATTCGAAATAGGCCTTCCATCGGCACGTCACGTACCTTCTACAGCACCATGTCATGCATAGGGTAAGTTTTTATTTAAACAAAAAATAAAATTTGCACGATTATTCGCGTATTTAGCTTCCTTTCTTCGTTCGCGGTTACGATAAACCAATTGTTGTTGCCCGTGTGACGTGTAGAATGGTCGCTATATTTTAATGAATGCATTTAAAATTATGGTATTAATGACCTATTGAAATAGACACTATGAAAGAGTGAAAATAATACTGTATATCAGCCATGGAGCACAGAGCTATAGTGTCAACAATATCACATAAATTTTCCGACCCCTCTTCTTACATTCAACATTTTCAACAAGATTATGAGCATTCAAACCAATCAAAAATAATCAATGTAAAGCAGAGATTATTATATATCACAGTTCATACGCGTATAAATTCAAGAAGGTCGTTGTTCACCTCATCAATATTAATATTGTGAATCGCGTGCGAGCCACCGGGGTAAATTTTCAGCTTTCCCTGGGGTAAAAGTTTCACAGACTTAGCACCTGCCGCCTGAAGGGGAACAACTTGATCGTCATCGCCGTGTAGCACGAGAACAGGGATTTTAATCTTTTTAAGGTCTTCAGTGAAGTCAGTCTCTGAGAAATCTTTGATACAATCGTATGCACTCTTGAAGCTGGTATTCATCCCTTGCTGGTACCAACTTCTAATGAGTCCTTCGCTCTTTTTGGCGTTGGGACGGTTAAAGCCGAAGAATGGTCCGCTTGGAACATCCAAGAAGAATTGGGCGCGGTCATTGTGCATGGCTTGTCTGAAGGAGTCAAAAACGGATAGATCGGTCCCCTCTGCATTTTTAGACGTTTTAACCATCAACGGCGGAACGGCGCCAACAAGCACGGCTTTTCGAACGCGGCTGGTGCCATGTTTACCGAGAAAATGTGTGACTTCACCGCCACCGTGGGAATGTCCTACCATCACCGCATCTCTCACATTTAGGTACTCGAACAACTCCTGGAGATCATCGACGAAAGTATCCATATTATTACCATCCCAAGTCTGGGTTGACCGTCCATGTCCCCGGCGGTCATGCGCAATAACACGATAGCCTCGATCGGCCAGAAAGACCATTTGATTCTCCCAGTTATCACTGCTTAATGGCCAGCCATGTGAAAAGGTTACAATTTGACCACTTGGTGTGCCCCAGTCTTTGTAGAAGAGTTCGGCACCATCTCGAAGTTTAAGGTATGGCATGTTCTATCGCGTCAGATCAAGAGTTGGGAATTCAATTGTTGGCAACAGCGGATGCTAAATCTTAAGTTTCAAGTTCAGAAGCACTGGACCATTCTTTTGTTGCGGGAGGTAGCGGAGATTAAATAATATTGATCTTATCAATACGAGATTGGCAACAATGTCTGCTTACATCATCAGGCGTGAACGTTTCGTCATTATGACCAGTGCATCTAGATAGTCACCACATAAGCACCGAATAAGGTTTTTTTTGAGTTGTGATCTCCAAATCATGTGGCTCGAAGACTATGGACAAGATGAATGCAGCGTTCGCGTGCGGCTAGATTGAGAGTCCGTGTTCCGAAAGCATTTCTCGGCACACCGCAATACTCAGGAATCCAGTCCTGCCGCGAAAGGTAGTTGAGAGCTTACCGAGCATGCAACAAAAATAATATCAACATGTTCCTCTCAGTCACCGGTCAGGGGATAAAAGAGTGTATTTGGGTTATCCAGGCAAACCATCGGCTGAACGCACCATGCCACGAATAGAAAATGTATTGATTTTAGCCACGAAGACTAAGAACCTTAAGATAGCAGCAACCTGTCTCATCCCAGAAAACAGCGATATTTCGCCTCCTGTTATTGTCATGGGCCATGGTTTTGGCGCTGTTAAAGCAGCTGGGCTTTTTCCATTTGCAGAAAGATTTGTGCAGGCCGGGTATGCGGCTGTGATGTTTGACTATCTTTACTTTGGCGAGAGCGACGGCACGCCAGTAAATAAATTATCAATTTCACGAGAGTTACAAGATTACCGAGATGTGATTTCTTGGGCCCGGGAACAATCAGGGAAATGGGATACCAGTCGTGTTATTGCCTGGGGTACTAGCTTTGGCGGCATGCATATTACAGCACTCATGGCCGAAGACCATGACCTGGTTGCTGGTATTATGCAAGGCGCTTGTGTGGACGGTTTTGCGGCAGCCACGAAAAATCCAATACTTAAGACTTTGCGACAATTACCTCTGTCCCTCTGTGACTGGGTACTCTCTCTGTTTTCATCAACAAGGGCGATATACGTCAAATTAGTGGGTAATAAAGAAAACAGCCTGACCACTGCAATGATGTCCGGGTCGGAGGCCATGGAAGGATGGCAGAGGCTCACAAAAAGCCTTGATTCAGAATTTATGAACAAAGTGACTGCTCGCACGATTCTGAAAATTCCGTTTTCACGACCAATTAAACAGATTCATCGAAGTACCAAACCGCTTTTGGTGATACTGACGACATGGGATCATCAGGGACCGCTACACAAGGCGGAAGACGCAGTGCGTTTAGCACCTCACGCGCAAGGATTCAGAGTTCCGGGGGGGCACTTCGATTTGTATGAAGGAGGTGTTGCTTACGAACAAAATATTACTCGACAACTTGAATTTCTACAAGAAGTCTCGGGTAATTCGAGAATGAATCCATCAAAATGCTGAGGACTTCTGTATAGTGGAGGAAGGATATTTAATCTATGTTCATTATATCTTAATACAATACAGTATATTGGGTGCTCTTTAAATTTCTTCTAGAACTCAATAGTGTCTTTGCCTCACAGCAAAAATGTAGCACTCTCCTCTTAGTATACTGCATTTTTCAAGGTTTGCGATGGGCTATATACAAGTTCGAGTTTCATTATCGACTTTTCAACGAAGAAGTATGATATAAACACCACCTTTTCAAAAGCTACCTAAACCATTCCCAGTTTTAAAACTTCAAAACTGCCTTGCCCATGTTTTTCCCTTGAAAGATACCAACTAAGCCCTCAGCAGCGTGATCGATACCGACAGTCTCGTGTGTTAACGTTTTAAAAGAACCTTCTTTGATCCAACTCTGCAAGTTTCGCTGGTGTTCTTGAGAGTAGACGTCTGCGAATCCGGGATCAAAGACGATGAAGCCACGCATCTCGAGACGTTTCGAAATTAGATTATGAATATTCGTGATGGGATACGGGGGGCTGTTCGACTCGGAGATCATTCCGCAGCACACGATCCGGCCGAAGTCGTTCATGGCATTAATAGCTGCTTCCAAGTGCTCACCCCCAACGTTTTCATAATAAATATCCAGGCCTTGTGGGGCGAGACGGGCAAGAGCATCTGCAGGCTTTTCTTTCTTATAGTTGAAGCCTGAGTCAAAATTCAGTATATTCGTGATATACTCCAATTTTTCATCAGAGCCCACGCTCCCGATAACTGTAAGCCCCTCATGCTTGGCTAGCTGTCCCACGATCTGTCCCACGGCACCACTAGCTGCAGAAATGAAAATGGTCTCGCCTTTTTGAGGCTTGCCAATTTTATAAAAGGACGAGTAGGCCGTCAAGCCCGGCATACCCAAGGCACCAAGGAAGACACGAATATCCTCAATCCCCAGTGGATTCTCTAAAAGCCGGATTTTGGTAATGGCGGTCTCGTCTACAATGACATATTCTTGAATCGGGAGCTGTCCGATGACAAGATCTCCCTCTTTGTAGGCAGAATTACTGGAACGAAGAACCTTTGCGATGCCAAAACTATCAATTGGTTTATTCAATTCGAAATGATGTGTGTATGATTTTTGTGAAACGCGCATGCGACCACGCATGTAGGGATCGAAACTGGCGTAGAGGGACTGAACGAGGATGCCTTTTTGGGGAATGGGGCTCTCAACATTGTATGAAATAGGCTCGATGGTGAGGTCCTTTCCTGGGATAGGATACCCATGGGGAACATTCTTGAAAATCAAGGCTTTATTGGAGTTCATGTTGATCATTTGACTATGTGATCTATATGGGTGAATTGAATTGCCGTCAACAGGTTGTAACAAAGATTCTTGCTCTGGTGCTGTTACTTATATAAACGATGATACGTGGTGTTACTACCGTAATACCCTGGCATTCAAGCGGGCAAAATAATTTTAGTGTCCCCGAAAACCGAAAATATTTGATTTACAACCACAAAAATATGAAAATTTATTGTCTGTGTCCAGGAAACAATTTGCCATTCCCGGCATTTGTCATCAATTCCGGGGATTTCTTTAAATGTTGCTCCATCTTAATAGCTCTCAAGAGTATACTTTTATCTACGGTATAATACTTATTCGTTGCAAAGTTACGCCGCAGCTGACCGTCTTCACGTCTCAATTGTGGTTCGAAATTGAACAACAGAAACTGTCGAACGATAACGGTTTGGTTTTATTACCGAAAAAAAAGTAATCTCAGTCACCCTATAAACGGGATAAGGAAACAACCTCTCTTACTAACAAAATGTTGGGGTGGACCAGACTCATATTCAAAGTTCTCAATATTGATGTTTGTCATCCATTTCTCTACGGACTCAGACGTCAATAGTGTCAGGACGCAAACAGATGCCAAGACGACGGCGGCCAAATGAATCGCCCGATCTCCATCATCTCCACATGCTTAAAGAGTTGATTTTCCGCTTACGACCAGATTCCAGACTGCTCTATACCTAATAATTCTAAACCCACTAGTGGCGTGCCTAGCGTTAGTTCAATCCAGCCAAATGAACGATCTGAGCGTTAATTCCAAGTCCGCATTCGTAGTTGCCGGAAAGCCGTACACAAAACCAGAAAAGCCGAACATAAATTTTATCTGAAATTTATCGGTCGAACAAATTCACCCGCCAGACTCGGCCGTGCAAATGTCTCCACACCCGAAGCTTCAGCCGCTATATACTCGTCATAGCAGAATAACTTTCAAAATCATATTTATTTTGCCTCCATTTCACTCCATGCGTAATATCGTCTAGCACTTCGATTCAAAAATGTTAGCTCTCAACACCCCTTCATACGGGCCGCCGTCTGGGTATCAGGTTTCTGAGCTCCCCAAACCAGAACTTGACAACGCGAACTATGTAATTATCAAAGTTCAAGCTGCCAGCATTAATCCTATCGACGTGAAAAAGGCTTCTGGTGTGCTCAAGCTTGCTACGAAAGATTCGTAAGGAACCAGCTACTGAACCAAAGACAAAGCTGATAGAAAGCCTCACAGATTTCCATATAAAATTGGTTACGATTGCGCGGGTATAGTGACAGAGACAGGTCGTGGCGTAACGCAGTTTAAAGTCGGGGATGAAGTGTATACAAGGCTGCCGGAGTACTGTCGCGGTTAGACAAAATAAGCCCAAGAATTATTGATAGCCGCTAACGACTCAAAAAAATCAGGATCATGCGCTGAATTCGTGAAATGCCCAGAGCATTTTGTTGGTCTCAAGCCACCTTCATTATCCTGGGAGGAGGCTGCATCTGTTCCCCTGGCGGCCATGACAGCCCTACAGGCACTGAGGAAATACGATGGTGACCTTGCGGGGAAGACCGTCTTTATACCAGCTGGCCGTGAGTTCCAATTATCTTTTTGAGTTTGTCATACTCTTTCATTAACGGCGCCCCGATAGTGAGTGGAACAGGTTTATTCGCTTGCCAGCTGGCGAAACATGTATTCCGAGCCGGTAAGGTGATTACAACTGTATCGACGTCAAAAGTACCAAAAGTGCCGGAGCTCCTGGGCGAGGGAACCGTAGATGAGAGTACGAACCATTATATAATAGCAATTATTTCTCGAATTGATCGCTAATAATTCTATCACAGTTATCGATTACACCAAGACTGATCCAAAATCAGTCATTCAATCCGGGTCTGTCGACTTTCTGTTCGATACCGTTGGTCAAGCGATGGACTTCCTCGTCCTGATGCGACCTAAAACCAGTCGTATTGTGTCTGTAGCTACATTGCCGTCGGGAGATCAGCTCCAGGCTTCTTCACTGATGGAGCTCCCTCACAAGCCCACTGTCCCGCTACTATTTCGACTAACATTAAATGCTCTTGATTATGTTCGCCAGCTGCGTGCGCGACGATATGGGACACATTATTCGTATTTTTTCTTGGTGTCCTCCGGCGATGATCTGGATCAATTACGGAAATATGTTGAGGAGGGTAAGCTGAAAACAGTTGTGGGAACGAGTGTGGACCTTCGCGACAGCCAGGCGGTTCGCAATGCTTGTCAAGTCGTATACAGTGGCAAGGGCGGCCTAGGTAAATTGGTGATCAAGGTAGCCGGTGTGTAAGATCAAAATTTGTGTATAATTTTACCACAATTGTATAGCTAGTATATTTGATTAATTTTATTTCAAGTTCCAGTACATATAGATGCGTAGCGCTGACATTTTCTTCCCTTCTCAATAGAAAAAAGGTACTTAGCGTTTCAGTGAAGGGAGGAAAGGATCAATGAAAACCTGGCCTGAGTCATTGATATACAATGGATATGATTTATCAAACGCCACACTTGATACATCTAGTTTAGTATAATGCGATGGTGCCGGGCAGCCGGGGTGTTTGCCACTTGGCGGGACCTCGGCTTTTTCGTGCAATTAAATTTAACTCTCCCAGACAACTAAGGAACCCTACGTTTTTCGTTCTCCTAGCAAACAATCCTTCCAAGTACTTCATATCTACTGATATATTGTCAACTAACAATACCATGCCGCAAAAAAGTGCCTGCATTCAATGCCACACAAAGAAGCGCCGATGCGGCGGGCAGATTCCGGTATGTGACCGTTGTCGTCGTCTCTCGCTCGATTGTCACTATCCAGAATCGAGGCGCAAAACGGGCCCAAAAAGGGCCCATCTAGGACCCTTGTTCACTAAGTTGGGTACGTACTTGATGAAAGCTAGCCTGCGTTGCCTTCTAATTTTAATGACATATACTGAATGCCTTCTGCATGTAGCCGAAATCGAAGAAACAATTAATATAGATTCTACTTATCGTCCCTCTAGTTCCATAGAACAGAACGATGAATCTAGTGCTGGTTCAAGAGAAATCATGAGTGTTCTGGACCAAAATAGTCTACAACCTACCAACTCTCTAGACTTGGAGCTTGGATGGATGGGATCTTTCCTGCCAGTGGAAACAGAATTGCCACAAGAATCCTTAAGCGAATTGTAGGTGCCTTCTTTCCTATGAACTATATTTTATTGAGGTTGTGTTCTGCAGTTGAACTAAGCATTTATTCAGGTGTCACATTTTTTTCAGGGACATTCATCCCACTTTGCCAATTCTTCATCCTTCTAAGTACTTCCACAAGAAAAATCTACATAAATCTGACGATGGTATTCGATGTCTGAGATACATTGTATGGAGCCATGCAGCCAGCGTCTGTGAAAGTTTATCGCACATGAGGGATCGATTCTATGAGCAAGCCAGAGGCTATGCATGCGCGAATGAAATGAATGACAATGTGGGAATTTCTCTTATACAGTGCCAGGCTCTAGTCTTAATCAGCTATTACGAATATAAACACGCCATCTTCCCTCGGGCATGGTTAACGGCAGGAAAAGCTATGAGACTTGCGCTTGTTTTGAAGCTACACCGTATGGATTCCGGGGTGCACTGGAATTCCACCCTCGATGTTTCAGATGAGTGGGTTGAGCTGGAAGAGCGGCGTCGAACTTTCTGGTCGGCATTCTGTGTGGATAGCTATTCTGGCTTTGGTGGGGGATTTTTATCAATGACTGACGAGAGTGATGTATGAGCCTCCTCCGTACATCTTTTCCCAAATGACTGAAATCGGATAGATATCCACGTACCTACCATCCGAAGACGAGGCATTCGAAAATGACACGATTCCCAAAAATGTCTCACATACGCTTGCGACAGCTCTTCAACTAGAAACCTCGCGTAGTCTATCCTCTTTCGGAAGCGCGGTGGTTCTCTCGTGGCTCGCCGCGCGGACGGCCAATCATCTACGCACCCAAGACGACCAGAAATATTGGGAAAATCATCATGTGATTGACGCACAGTTGCTTCAGATTAGTTTATCTCTACCAAGCCACCTAAAATTACCCGGTGGAATTCATCAGCCCAACGTCGTGCTGACGAATATGTTATTGCATGCATTAACTGTGTCTTTGCACCAAGCGGCAGTTTCCAAGGCCACAGAAGATCCAGTTAAAAAGCATCTGGCATGGGAAAGCAATATGAGATGCTTGACCTCGGCTTCTGAAATCGCTAATATTGTTAAAGAAGTGACACAGAGCAATTTGGCAGCAGTAGGTTTATTTTTCTCATATTCACATGTGTCGTATACTTTAATGTTGTGAGTTGGGCTTCTTTGCTGACTACTTTCTAAGATCCACGTCCTCACGCCATTCTGTATCTTCGTAGCATTAAGGTATCTAATGACTCAACCCCAGCGAGATGCACCGGAATCCAAACAGACTTGTCAGTTCTTGACGGACGTCCTAGGATCGTGTGTGGCCAAGCAGAACAACCTGCTGGCTGGATTGTTCCTACACGCTAGGATTCTACAATTAGAAGGGCAGCCCGTCAATCAATCTGTGAGGAGATATCTTCCGGCTCCAAAGCACAACAAAAACTCATCCGGATGTCTAATACTAACTGGAGGTGTTTGTCATTCTTTTCAAAAGTCCAGAGGCAGTGGCTAGGGTTAGACTGGATCCGATAATTTGCGAAGGTTGCTAATTGCAAATATATTATATAATACAAACAATAATCTTTATTTTGTCGCCCTATTGATCTCTGGTGTAGTAATAATCCTATCACCAACGCATCATATCCTTATTATTAGGGGAATTTAATATCTTAAACGTCATCACTGTGCTAGCAGTAGTTTGCGTGATTTTACAATATAAGATTACAAGAAGACTAATAAATCTATCCAGTGCTAAATCTAATTAAGAATATGTGTAATAGGGCAGGCTGGCACATGATGATGTAAGTTTAGTGTTGGGAGAGGAATATAAATAGGTTCAATGTTATATACATATGACTTTATTGTAAATATATGTATATCACAAACCTGATGATCCCTCTAAATAGCTACTAACATATATAGGCTTCCATTGTCCCCATTGAACACACTCAGATCAAGGCCCTTCCCTCCAATCAATTATTTCTCTCATACAAGTTGTTAGGATCAGAACAAATATGAACTTGTGGTACCATTGAACTAGAATTCTAAGCGTGAGGAAGAAACAATGTACAACCGCGCGAGTTGTGGTTAGATAGCTAGTGTGAGGGGCATTCGTCAGGAGGTACGTGTCCCACTAACCCCAATTCTAGTCACCTTTCACAGTTAGATAGTCAGTATGGGGTGCGTTCGTCAGGAGGCACATGCCCTGCTAACCCCAACCCTAGCCCCCTAGCCGCCTTAGCCGCCTGAGGCACCCATATACCAAGCTGGCCGTTACGCCAGTTTGGAAACATACTCACTCAGGTGAAATCGACTCAAGAAATTCCATCTTATATTTATTGAGACATAACTCATTCTGCGCTGCATTCCATATAACCCATCTTATTCCCCTTCAAATATCTCTAGGCATGATAACGACAAAGAAAAAGTTATTTATTATAATAAGCCTCATTTAATTTGGGCAACCACAAATACATTAATCAGATATAGAAAATTCTTATATACAACCTCCTATCTGAATAGGACTATGCATTAGATACATCACTTTCCTGCTTTACTTGCCCCCTTTCATTGTCTCGGGGCCATTGCGTGCGAAACGCGTACCCAGTCAATCATTCAATTTTATTAATGAATAAAAGTTATTTAAATTATTATATTATTTAAAGTAGTTATTGAGACTGGATCTCTTCAGGTGATGCGAACCTGGCATAACCTTGGTGCCGATTTTATTTATGCTATACCTGTACAAGGCAGTGTACTTAGATTCAATGTTCTGTATCAAAGTCGCATTCTCCTTATATATAGCCTAGCGTCTCTGCGCAATATGCACCGTCGGGGAAAAGTAAACGCTCTGGTACACCCCGGATCCATCGTTCTTGTACGCGAGTAACAGCACAGCTATTTTTCCATATCCACTACTGTTAACCCATGGGCCAAGTCTCGTTAAAAACTATATATATCACCGTCGATTATATACACTTACAAAGTATCATGCCAATCTTTCGCATACATGTCAGCTTGTTGATTCTATCCGATACGTCTCCAGAACAGAATGATTCGCTCAATGATAGACTTTTCACTTGGCAAAAAAACATCCAGGTTGTATGTAGAACTGCGGCGTAGGTATTGCGGCGCCGGATCTGAAAGTGCAGTTGAAAAGCACGCTACCCCATCCTGGATGATATGCAGTAAGCGCTTTGTCTTTTTCACCGTCTTTAATGTTGAGGACCACCTTGTAGAAGGTGGGAAGGAGTTCGACGGCCATGATCGTCGGATCGTCGCACCGTATGGCAGTCTCCGTGGTGCCGGTAGTTCTCAAGTTGACCCTGGGTTTGCAGCTCGAGTCGTCTGCTAGCATGGTTGGCTTCCAAGCTCGACAATCGGGCTGACCGTCTGTGTTGAGGAGGATAGGGCCCCATGCTGGTAACACAATGTCGTAGAAGTATGAAAGTCTCTCATAGTGGAGGAATAGCGGGTAGTCCGCTTGGAACATGAGTTTGCTCAGGATAACAGCTGTAGTGTCCCACCAGTAGCTCTCACTTTTGTTGAACGGGAGGTGAAAGCGAATAACATTGTATGACGGTTGAGAAGTCTCGTACTTATTTTTCCAGAAACTCCTCAATTCTAGAGCCAGAGAAGACACTGCGAGTGATATGAGGTTTCCTGGATTATGTATTTGTGGCATGGTAATTGAGGCTAGTAGGCCCTGTACTATTGAACGCCATTGCCAATAGTGAGTGTTGCATCAATATTGGAAAGTTAGTAGGTATGACAGTTGCACTATACTGATATAGAGCCAGGTATGATTAACAAGAGCCTCCTAGTATTTTACCAGAAGTGGATGCTCTGCTCTTAGGGATAATGTATCGGCGACTCGAAGCAATCTCATTATTGTTTTGTTTGAAAACCCCTCTGGCGACTATGGGACCTGAATCCTATAGAAATCGCCCTAGGCGAAATCCCAGCCATTTGCGGAATATCGGAGATGCATACTAACCGATCCAATAATAAAGTACTGCATACTGGCTGCTCGTTCCTGTCAGTCTACGAATAGTGCGGGATTTTGGTCCAATAGTTGTGCCGACTGCCGACTCCCGACTCCCGACTCCCGACAATCGGGAAGCAGTGCAAAGTCGGCACTGAGTTAGTGCAGCCATAATGTTCGATGTATGTCGGGAAGCCGAGTCAGCGTCAAAAGCTGCGGGACTTATGGTGCTGTACTCCGTACTCATATGCCTTCTCGAAAACATCGCCCAGATATGATTAATAATTCAATCGTTGTAATACTTATGTATATATCGTCTACGCCCCTATGTTACCTGGAAGCTAGGCACGCGGGCCTTCGATCGACAAGGAAAGGTTCAATATGACAGGACTATCCTTTAAAGTTTTGGACGATAGACAATCGGAAGATACTGGAAGTACAGACTCGCATTATAGCCCTCCTGAAATAGACATGAACTACCTCCCACAGGAGGGGGCTAACTCTAGGACTACACAGCATGAGAACGACCACATCCCTGAGTTTTATACGCAGGATGGTCATGACAATGCCACAAATGGCAGCCAACCGGAAAATGGCCGTGGTGACTTGGAAGATAGTGCTTGGGGGGTGAGGGAACTTGCTAGGCAATATACCCTTCAATCCACGGATTCTCACGTCGTCACGAACCCTTTTGAAGCTGAACCTGGCTCAATAATAGACCCCAATTCTGACAATTTCGAGCCAAAGGCCTACATAAAGGCTCTGTTTAACCTTCACCAAGCGACTGATGGGGTCATGAATAGGACCGCCGGTGTTGCGTTTCGAAATCTCAGCGCCTACGGCTACGGCACTACAACAGATTACCAGAAAAATGTAGGCACCATACTGATGCAAGTGGTTAGAGGGGTTAAAAGCCTTCTTGGGATGGGTGGTCAACGTCGCGTCGATATTCTACAAAATTTCGATGGCCTCCTTCAAGCCGGTGAGATGCTCATAGTTCTCGGTCCACCAGGCTCGGGCTGTTCTACCTTCTTGAAGACGATCGCTGGACAAACGTACGGATACAAGGTTAGCGAAGACTCCTCTATTAATTATCAAGGGATTGGGTTCCAACAGATGCATACCGACTTCCGCGGTGAATCCATCTATACAGCAGAACAGGACGTCCACTTCCCAATCCTGACAGTTGGGGATACCCTTTATTTTGCTGCTCGGACTAGGGTGCCGAGAAAAATCCCCGGTGCGGTCTCTAAGGATACATTCGCAAAACATCTGCGAGACGTGGCAATGGCCACTTTCGGTATCAGGCACACCGTGAATACAAAGGTTGGCAATGATTTCATCCGTGGTGTTAGTGGTGGCGAACGTAAACGTGTCAGTATTGCCGAAGCGGCTCTCAGCTGTGCGCCCCTACAGTGCTGGGATAACTCAACAAGGGGACTTGATAGTGCAAACGCCGTCGAGTTTTGCAAGACATTGAGGCTTCAGGCCGATGTGTTCAATATAACGCCTGCCGTGGCTATATATCAAGCGCCTCAGGCAGCCTATAATCTCTTTGATAAGGCTATTGTTCTCTATGAAGGCCGTGAGATCTATTTCGGCAGGGCAGATGAAGCAAAGGCGTACTTTGTAAAAATGGGCTTTCATTGCCCTGAAAGACAAACTACTGCTGACTTTCTTACGTCGATGACCAGTCCACACGAGCGCATCATTCGACCGGGATTTGAAGGCAAAGCTCCGCGCTCTTGCGACGAGTTTGAAGCGGCGTGGAAGAATAGCCCTGAATATAGAGCACTTCTAAGTGAAATTTCCCAATTTGAGGAGGAGCATCCAATCGACAGCCGAGACCTCGAAAAGTTTCAGCAGTCACGAAGGCTCCAGCAGTCTATTTTCCAATCCGTGCATTCGCCTTATACCTTGTCCTACGTTGAACAAGTCACTCTATGCCTGTGGCGAGGGTTCCGGCGTCTAGAAGCTGACCCAAGCTTGACACTCACTCAACTCTTTGGTAACTTCATTATGGCATTAATTGTTGGCTCAGTCTTCTACGACCTCGACGAAACCACAAATTCATTCTTCTCTCGCGGCACTTTACTTTTCTTTGCCCTCGTCATGAATGCTTTGAGCTCTCTCTTGGAAATTCTCACTCTCTACGCCCAACGTGGAATCATCGAGAAGCATAAACGATTTGCACTCTATCGCCCTTCAGCCGAAGCAATTGCATCAATGCTGACAGATATGCCCTATAAGATGTTGAATACGATTACTCTGAATACCACGCTGTACTTTATGGCAAATTTGAGGCGCGAGCCTGGGGCGTTCTTTTTCTTCTTGTTCGTCATGTTCCTTTTGACATTGGTTATGAGCGGGCTATTTCGCACAATCGCCTCCGTTACTCGGTCACTCGAACAGGCGCTTGCACCAGGGTCGGTTTTTGTCATTGGAATTATCGTTTACACTGGCTTTGTTATCCCACCAAATTATATGCTCGGCTGGTCACGCTGGATCAAATACATTAATCCGCTCGGGTATGGCTTCGAGTCTCTGATGGTTAATGAATTTTCAGGTCGCTATTTCCTGTGCTCTCCTACCCAGCTGACTCCTATATATGGCGATATTGCGAACTCCATTTGTTCTGTTGTGGGCTCCGTACAGGGTGAAACTTTCGTCAATGGTGATAACTACATTAACTCATCTTACGAATATTATGCGGGGCACAGGTGGAGAAATGTAGGCATCTTATGGGCATTCCTAATCGGGTTAACTGGGGCGTATCTCCTCGCAACAGAGATTATTTCCAGCAAGAAATCTAAAGGGGAGGTTCTCGTCTTTCAGCGTGGTCACATCCCCTTATGGGCTAAGAACACGTCTGAGGATGCTGAAGCAGCTCGCACTGGAGTCTCCACTCCAACTGAAAAGGAGATCGAAGGGCGAGGATTGTCGGCCGCCATCAAGAGGCAGACTTCGATCTTTCAATGGCATGACGTCTGCTACGACATTAAAATAAAAGGTCAGCCCAGACGTATTTTAGACAAAGTAGATGGATGGGTGAAACCAGGCACTCTCACTGCCCTCATGGGCGTGAGCGGAGCGGGCAAGACAACACTGCTGGATGTGCTTGCTACTCGTGTCACGATGGGAGTCATTAGCGGGGAGATGCTAGTCGATGGGCGTCAACGCGACAGATCATTTCAACGAAAGACTGGGTATGTCCAACAACAGGACCTCCATCTTTTGACCTCCACTGTCCGTGAGGCTCTTAATTTCAGTGCCTTACTCCGTCAGCCTGCCGATGTTCCCCGACAAGAAAAGCTCGATTATGTCACGGAAGTTATCAAGTTATTAGATATGGAAGAATATGCTGATGCTGTGGTTGGTGTTCCTGGAGAAGGTCTCAATGTTGAACAACGCAAGCGCCTAACCATTGGTGTTGAGCTTGTTGCTAAGCCTCAACTACTTCTATTCCTCGATGAACCTACTAGTGGTCTAGACTCACAGACATCATGGTCGATTCTAAATCTGCTCGAAAAGCTTACTAAGAATGGGCAAGCTATCTTATGTACCATTCATCAGCCGTCCGCAATGCTCTTCCAGAGATTTGATCGACTTCTTTTCCTTGCTAAAGGTGGCAGGACGGTGTATTTTGGGGATATTGGGGAGTCTTCTAAGACGTTGATTGAATACTTTGTGAAATACGGTGCACATCCTTGTCCATCTGATGCAAACCCGGCTGAGTGGATGCTTGAAGTTATTGGCGCTGCTCCAGGCAGCCAGTCTGAGATAGACTGGCCTTTGGTATGGCGTAATTCTCCAGAGCTCAATGCAGTACACGACGAACTCGACAAAATGAGATGGGGTCGACAACTCGAATCCCTCGCGTCCGATGACAAAGCGGACTATCGTGAATTTGCAGCTTCTCTCACCGTACAGTTTTGGCAAGTGCAGAAACGTGTTTTCCAACAATACTGGCGCACACCAAGCTATATTTACTCCAAACTCCTTCTGTGTATTGCCCCAGCACTTTTTATTGGCTTCTCCTTTTACAAAGCATCAAATACTCGCCAGGGCCTCCAAAACCAAATGTTCAGTATCTTTGAGTTGATGACACTGATACCTCAACTTGCCCAGCAAACTATGCCACTTTTCGTCGCGCAGCGAGAATTATTCGAGGTCCGTGAGCGACCTGGAAAGACATACTCATGGCTCCCGTTCTTAATATCCAATGTTTTCGTCGAGGTTACATGGGGTGTATTCTGCGCCATCCTCGTATACGTTTGTTGGTATTACCCTGTCGGTCTGTGGCGCAACGCAGAACCAACTGATAGTGTTACTGAACGTGGCTTGTTGACGTTCCTGCTTCTCCTTGCGTTCATGCTCTTCACCTCGACTTTTGCACACATGGTAATTGCTAGTATCAGTAACACTGATACTGCTGGGAATATCTCCAATTTGTTGTTCATCCTAAACTTAATTTTCTGCGGGTAAGAACTTCGAATCTACATAAGTTATAGTGTGTATATTAACAAGCTGTGAAGGGTCCTCGCTTCACCTAACACATTTCCTGGATTTTGGACCTTTATGTACCGACTCTCTCCTTTCCATTACCTCGTTGGCGGCTTGCTATCCACTGCTGTCAAAGACACCGGCATCGCCTGCGCAAATAGTGAATACCTGAACTTTAATCCCCCCCTGGTCAAACCTGCGGTGCATATATGGAACGACAGATCAGTCAATTTGGAGGCTATCTTCAAGACCCTAACTCGGCATCCAATTGCTCGTTCTGTCCGCTTAGCGACACCAACCAGTTTCTGGAAACGGTTTCTGCCGATCCTAGCCAAAGCTGGATGAACTTTGGCCTTATGTGGGTCTATATAGTATTTAATATCTGCGGTTGCTTTTTCTTGTACTGGTTATTCCGAGTACCAAAAACACCGAGAGGGTCTGAAAAAAAGGAATCACAAAGTGGCCAGACAGTGTGATTCGTGTACTGGATATATCGCATTACCAGACAATGCGTGGATGGGCAAATTTAGTTTGTAATTTATAGATCATATAATAGAATAGAGTAGAATAGACAACGATAAACCAGAAGGGATTAGAATGGAATACAACGCTTTCAGTTTATATATAGCTCCTCCTTCCCTTCTCGTCTCTTGCGCCTCGTTATTTCAATCCGATCTTGTTCCGTCACCCACGCCACCAACTGCTTCGACAACCACAAAATGTCTATCAGTAAGTCCGTCTACCAGAATGGTAGTCTCGAAATCATTCCTCTTCGCAATTGGTTTCAGATTAGAGCCTGAATACACTTTCCATGACTGTACGTCTGTCGCTCCATTCCAGTTCACATACATAGCCGTCTTCCCGCTTTCGCTATATGAACACGCTACGACATCAGGCTTAGTGGATGGATGTCTAATCCAAGGATAACTGTAGGCACGGTATCTCTGCACAGTAGTGTCGTAACCGAAGCGCACACTCATCACGATTGTGCCATTTTCATCCTACTCCTCGATCTTTGCGGTTGCCCCATGGGCTTGTAGGACATGGCCATTACTCAGAGCTTGATAGCTACCTTGAAATTCGGCATATACTGGGTCTGCGGCATCCCACATTCGACTCTTCAACACAACTTGCTTGGATCCTTGTAATTCGCCCCCAGAACCGTTCTCGACGTCAAAGATGCTTGAACCCGTAAACTCGGTGTTGTCGTTGTTATGCATGCTGATACTTACGCGTTGGGAATCTTCAGAGTAGAAGAGCACGTCATGTTGATAACCGAAGCTAGTGCTGACATCTAGATTGAAATCTCCCCCATCAGGTCCCGTTTTGTTCCGTGTTAGTACTAGCGTACATGTGATGAGTCTGCAATGGGCTTATCATCCTACATGAAGGTGCTACATAATGCTGCCATTGGGTGCAATCAAGAAAATGCTGCACATATATCGCGATGAAAGGAGGTAATTGTCCCCATATTTGGCAACTCAGTTGAGCCCATTGGCCTTGATAGTTTCCTCTAGAACCCTGCCACAGTAGCTGGTCATCATCTGAATATATGACAGGATAACCATCGTCGCGTGGAATATTATGCGGTGATAAAAAGAGGAACCTAGGCTCTGTTTGACCCATCTTCGTGGAATTCAAGATTGGCGTCTCAATTGACGAGCTCTTGTAATGCCGAAGCGGCCATAGCGTCTTATTAGACGATTAGGCGGCAGTGACGCTGAGACAGCTCGCGAGCAGAGAAAGAAGCCCAAGTAGCTGACTCATACTAGATTGAATAATGGTTAGCAATAAAATCCGTACTGAACGTTGATCGACTGGATCTCCATTCCCTTGGGCTTCCTTGTTAGGTGGTTTATATTCGCATGGCCCACCCTTATCAGTTACGATTTGATGTAATGGGGTCTCAACTACCCCCGTATCATAATTGCTGGAGGTTGAAGCCGAGAGGATACCCTCGGTAAAATATGTCTGCTCCATGCCCCAAGCAACCTACAGTATAGGATTGAAGTGGTTTGAACACTGAAAGTGTCCTTGAATAGTCTCCACAGCTCAATGAAAGCACAGGCGTGGGCCTTGACTAGGTCGAGGCTTGCCAACCATTCTCCTATACATAATAGAAATTACAGGGTAACTATAATATTCAAAAGTGATAGCTCTTAAATTGATTTTCATGGGAATCTAATGACTATTTTGATCCTACCACACAATATCACTCGCCAGACCCATAAAAACAAAGCCCAATATAACAGTCACCAATAGAGGAATTCATAATCCTACAGACAGAAATTCTGGCCACTCATTAGCAATAAAGAAAGGCAATTGATTATAGCAGTAAGTTACAACATATATCTGGAATATGTACTTCAATATCGTATTCACAAGACACGGCCGTAATACTATCTCAAACCGCCGCAGTAGGAAAGAGAAAAGCAACAGAAAAGCTGAACGTCTTCATAAGCCAATAAGCAGAAAGATCCCTGATATCTGAGAGTCGCGGAATAGGACCTTAAGCTTGTGCTATAACTTTAAAGACAGTAATAATATTCAGATATAGGAAAGATTATGTGGGGTGAAGCATTCTGATGATAATATGTCCCGCATATTTACACCTTAGTGAGAATCTTAGAGAGGGTTATTGATGACGCCCAGTGTTGAATACCTTCGAAAGACAGAAAAGTAATGATTCACCAATCAACTCGCCAGTCTAAAACTACCAAGGAGCTCAAGCATCACTTCAGGGGTAGTTCTGAAGGGGCTGGGAAAGCTTAATTCTCACTTGTTACGCTGTGGAATGTGCAGGTGTGTTGTGAAACTTCGGGGAATAGGGGCACAGTAGGCATATCGACTAGTAACGCGTGTATCGCGTATGGTAGCTTTTGGTCACGGTAATAGGCAATAAAAAGCAATCTTACGAAACTGACGAAGTACTGAAAACACCTGGAAATTATCGACATTTCGCTGATGGTCAATAGTCCGCAAGTACAGACTAGAAAGATGATCTCCATGTCGCTTGCGGAAGCGGCTCACCTGGTTGACAACAAGCTCCCTTCCCAACGATTTCCTCGGCGATATTTTTCAACGTTTGATGGGTGGGCAGGATACCACGGTACGTCAGCTAATTGACATGTTCAATTAGAGCCTACTCTTGGACATTGGTGGGTTTATAATGTGATATAGAGTTAGTGTTTTGGATCGAGGCTGTTTTGCCTTTGAAGCGGCGCCATAATGTGGACTTGTCGATATTTTATTTTCTCGCAGTTCCTTCATATTAGGGCGATTTTGTGAATGTGTCTCTGCCGTCACTTTTGCAACACGTGTACTGTGGTCTCTTTCATGCACAGTCGAAAAAGACGCGTCAGAAGTGTGAAGTTGTTGTATGAAGCGGTGCGTTGTATGATACAGTGATCTACGCTAACGGTCAATCCAACAAGAGTCATGTGTTCCACTTTGATTCTATAGAGCATAATTGTGGGTTCCTTAGCAACGAGGTTAGCCAATAATACTTAGTGGCTGAGTCTGCGTTTCAGTCATCGTATGGATCTTCATCGGTGCTAATAGTCGTGACAAGAATATGAGGAACGTGATAGATCTGACAGAGACGAAAAAGACAACACAATGGTCAACAATAGTTAACGTGATATCATTGGTCAACAGCCCCAGCATGATCGTACAGAAGGGATGTAAAAGTATTTGGATGCCTCCATAAACACTGAAAATTCACTAAACCTTAAAAATCAATTCTATGACGCTACTTTTGCAATATAAATATACTTATTATATCAGTTTTCTAAATATTATTGTCTATACTTAGTGGCATTTAACATAAACATGCTACTGTACTGCCTGATCATTAGCTCGCCAGGCCTCCTAAGCAAACTCGATTAATGCTTGAAACGTTTCTTTATTATCTGGGGCACCGTCGGTCCAGCCAAGGATATAACTCACATTGTCTTTAGCTTCACAATAGTTTGTCACACCACATTTGAAGCATACTTTTATTTAAGTGAGATGCTATTTAGTTTCGTCACATAAAGAAGGTTAATAGGTGGTCGCTCTGTGTGGGTAGGCATTCGTTGGCTGCAGGGCGAGTTGGGGAACACGGAGGATGGTGAAGGCCAGGCTGAGGAAGAGATAAGTATGCTGACGAGGAGTTGGCGGTCTCGAATGAGAGCGAGACTTTGTGGGAAGTGTGCAAGCGTAATATCTTAGTTATAACTGTGCACCTTCCTCCCCGCCACTGCAAAATGACTGTCGGCATGAAGCTGCAGCCCATAATCAATGCCGCAATCAAACCAGAGCTGTGGGGTTCCAGGTAGGTTCCTGTCACAGTGCATGGTCGTGAATCTTAAACGCTGGTGGGGAATAAGAACAATGTTCCTCAATCCTCTTTTCGGCAATTGCGAAGGCGAAAACTAGTTACGTTATACAGAAGCTGGGAATCAGAAACAGCCGAGGTAAAAAGAGAATCACCAGGCGGAAGACTGCCAGCGCTAGGCTGTTCCTGGATAGGAGTGCGAAACAACAAATCATTGATAACGACATGATCTCCCTTCAAGCTGTTGCGCTAGCCCTCTATAGGCTAGTGAAATGCATAACCGAAATAAGGCCTGCAGCTCGCTTTTGGAATGTTGGGATGCTGGGTACACGTGGAGAACTATTGCTGCGTAGTAATTGAAATTGGTCTCATCCGGATTTGAAACACCACAATTCTTTTACAGTAGTTTACTGAAATCACCTTTTAGCAAGTTACACCACCCACACTATGATCTTTAACAATCCTCGTGTAGCGAGAATTCGAGCATTGCTCCGTATCCACGAGGGCAAGTGAAGTGTTTCAGAGTCAAGCGCAGGTTTTTCACTGAGCATGTGTCTAGAATATACTCTCAAGGAATTCATTCTGCACAGCTAGACTAAGGGGTGGGGCTAGGCTTTGTTTTAGGCCTCGGAAGATGCTTCGACGTGCTCGGAGGTCTTTGCCTTGCATGTCTAGAACGGCATATGTGATTGGAGCTATCGCACCTATTTCCAGATAGGGAATAATGCCATGCGGCGGAGGCGTCTGGTATTTTAAAGTTTGTTAGATATTCATCTTAGGGCTTACTAGCATCAGTTAATGGCAACAGCCAAGCAGAAATTCTCATTGGTGGACTCTTCTAACATTCATTGGGGGCTATGTTCAATATCAAGACCATATGGGAGATACGAGAGGGTTTACCTGGAGCTGATCTGTATGAGGTATGATTCCTCTGCTATGGCTACGTTAGTCCCAACCGTTTTCTAGACTTCGGTAGCCATTGCAGCCGCCTTTTTAGAATCCTGAAAAAGTCCTCGGTCCTAAGTGAGAAAAGGCGGTGAAATTTCGTAGGCTACTCATTTCCGGTCAGCAATTATGACAATTTAATTTCAAATTGATAAAGGAAATATGTATACACTAGCCTAATATTTACATTACAGGACGCCTTGCTACCTACTCATTATCTGAATTTGTACCGAGCGGCGTTCAATTTGCCAATACTCGGTGACCGGCTATCATCGTATCTGGCCACCTTGGATTCCTTTTTACAACCATCAATCCCCATCTCCATTCTTCTGTTCTGTGCCCCTCGCTATCTTGGATTATCCGATAAGTTAGGAGAATTTCAGGAAACAACGAAACGACGAGCTTCAACAAAGCTTTTATTAAGCCTTCCCTTGAGTAGTACATTCGTCTGAGAAAAATGCCGGAGTCTAAAGAGAGCCGCATTCCAACAACCCAATATGACAAAGCCAATATGAGCGGCATGCGCATCGAGTCACTTTACTCTAAAGATGATCATCTAAGCAAGCAACTACGCACCTACGGAGACGACGAAGATCACAACCATGAGACTCCGGTATGCGTTCACTCGGTGAACGAGATCTCATTCTTACTATAATTATATTTTTTTTCTATGATCCTATGCTAAACCTAGAACTGTCCACGGTAGATGAAAATCCGGCGTTTTCTCAGCTTCACTGCTCTCGCATTCTTGTGGACGGGCAGTCAACTCCCCGTTTATCTGTTTGGTAAGCGGTCCTTTTCCCCTTAATTAGTTTATTTCATAGATGTGTAAAGTGCCTAGTACTTACATCCGTCTCGCATCACAGGTGTTATTCTGCCGTATGTATATGGAGATATCGGTGGCGTCGATAAATGGGTCTGGTTTGTATGTGATTCAATGAAGATCTTGAGTGGGGAATATGATGATTCTTACAACACACCTAGATTCTGGGAAATTTGTTGTCTTTGGCTGGTGTTTGTCCCTTTGCTGGCTCTTTATCGGATTTAATTGGCCGTCGATATGTTGCTCTCGTTGGGGCATCCTTGGTGTCTATTGGAATGATCGTTAGCAGCACCGCGAGTACAATGAATGCTTTTATTGGTATGGAATGGATTCACATTTGACTTTATTCTATCCCAAGAAAGGAGCATCTCTCTAACTAACGTCTTCAGGCGGAATATCCATTGCCGGTGCCGGTGCAGGGGTGTGAACGAACTTACAGCACTGGCTGCAACGGCAGAGTTGGCCCCAACTCGAAAGAGAGGAAAATACGTGGCGATATTAATTTCCACCATTCTCCCATTTTGTCCTTCCGTCTTATGGGCCCAATTAAATGCATACCACAGTAGCTGGCGCTACGTCGGTGCTCTCTCTGCCACCTGGAATGGTCTCGGCCTTATCATGACAATTCTTTTCTACTTTCCTCCACCCCGCATTAATTCTAGAGGGTTGCAAAAGTCCGAGATCATCTCACAAATATATTTCATTGGTGGCATTCTGAGCATCTCTGGCCTAGTTTGCTTCTTAGCAGGATTGCAATGGGGCGGGTGTCAGGCAAGTTTTGTTCTCCGGATATCAGAGGGAGGTACTAACGTCTCGTTCTCTGCCTAGTATTCCTGGTCCAGTGCACATGTCCATATTCCATTGGTTCTAGGAACAATTCTACTTTTGACCTTTGCGATATGGGAGGTATACGGTACGAAGCATCCTATATTTCCATCCCGTATCATACAAGAGCCTCGAGTTTTTGGCCTCCCCCTTCTCATTACATTCATCTCTGGTGCGAACTTTTTCTCTGTTATAATGTTCTGGCCCACCCAGGCATTCAATGTCTATAGCCACGATCCGGTAGAAATGGGAGTTCGCAGTCTTCCAATTGGCATTGGCATTCTGGCTGGCGCTTTTATCACTCTACGGCTTCTCAGTCTCTCCAAAGGACGCATAAGAGAGCTGATGATCGGCAGTACGAGTTTGATGGCAGCTGGTAAGATAAAACTGATTTTTAATACAGATAAAAGGCTTTTCTAAAACAATACGCAGGATGCGGTGCTATGTCTATTTCTCGACCCCATAATTTATATCAGATGTGGGGGATTCTTCTCATTGCTGCTTTAGGTATTGGTGGAATCGTTGTTCCGGCATCAATCATGATGACCATTGTATGCCCAGATGTGAGATTTAGATTTCTATCTCCATACTTGGGGCGTTTTCAAGCTAATGTAATGAAACATAGGACTTAGTTGCTACAGTCTCCGCGCTTACATTATCCATAAGGGTTGTTGGAGGAGGCGTAGGGTACGCGATTTACTACAATATTTTAATCAAAAAATTTGTACCCAATGCACAATATTACATTGGAGGCGTGATGAATGAGAAGCTCAATATTACCAGCATCCCTGCCATAACAGCTGCCATTCAGTTAACCGGTGCTTCTCTTCTTGACGGATTACGTCAGATCCCTGAAATTGCTGGTAGCGAGCTGGTATATGATGTGGTAGTAGCGGCTGGACAGATCGCGTACGCTGAAAGTTATCAATGGGTTTATTATGTTAGCATTGCTTTCGGGGGCCTTGCCTTTCTTGCCTCGTTTGGATTGAAGAACATCAGCAAGTATATGGACGAGCATGTTGCAGTGGTCATGAACTGAAATTCCTTGTTTCATATGGCAGCAATATACGATCTCAACAGACACAGTGGTACATAGTTTACTATATAGGGCAGGCTTTTCCCTTTTCTTTTTCTCTTATCCACCGGCGGTAAGAAATATAAGCTGGACAGGAAGAAATGGGAATAGTTCTTTCGATTCCTAATATGATCCACATTTACTACCACTATAAAACATTAACCTGTATTCTTTCGAATGAAGCTTGGTTCCTGTTATCTATACCCCTTAGGTTAATGGAGCTTAGGAATGTTAGCATTTGATTTCGACGGAGAAAAAGGATCATGTTTACCCGGTCTCAGAGACAGACAGCTCTTAAGCAAGCACGCCTATCACGTGCTTTTGATTTTGGTGTCAATGAAGACTTGCATAGCGGATGTTGACATATGTTACTGGATGCATGATGAAAGGTACTTTGCCAGAGTCGGCAATCTATGCGGTGTGACCATTGACATAGTAGCACTAGCAGGCGCCTTGCACTCGAAACTGAAATAATTAACAGTTACATGTACTTAATAGCGACTACATTGCTTAGAACTCCATAATATAAGAGCTATATGATTCTGGAAGGGTCTACCCGGAACCTAATGTAGGTACCGACAGAAGCAATCTATTGGACGTGTCGCAGAGGTTTCCCGTCCGGTGCAAATACCGAAAACTTGCGCGGGGTTCAATTGATAAAAAGTCGAATTATGATTGCTGGCATATTTCCCACCGAAATTCCACCGTAACGGCTCAATCTCTGAATCATAATTGCTAAATGCTACCATATAACCCTGTCATAACCTAGTCCATAATTCCCAGCTACCCCGTGACGCAACAGATTAATTAAAAACAAATCACGGACAAGTACCAATTTCCAAATGGAATGTATTGCGGCCATTCTATACTTGTGATTGTCCTCGATTACCATGTGCCGCTATTGGATGAATAGACTAGGTAACCGTGGATAATCTCATCTCCTAAGCTTGATCTGGTGGCTGTTGCGAAAGATCCAATCAGCGAACTGATTCGGAGATTAACTTCGCTGCCAATTGATTTGATTTTATGAGCTCTGCCTCGGTTTGGACTCTGGATCCTGATATTGTCTCCATTCTCCGAGGTTGTAGACTACAGAACGGGAATATTCAGAGATCCCGCTCTTTGTTTGAAACAGCTGGTCGTAGGTCGAGGAACAATCACGAAACCGCTACTCCTCGCGGTGTCAAGTAGCCTATAAATATGAACACGAACACCAGAGGTGTTTACTTCATGATTGACTGCTGAGCTCAACTGGAAGACTGAAATTTACTGCTCTCACCCCAGTCTGTTTTTCTCTTCTTTTATACACGAAACTATCTTAGCTGAGTCCTTTTAGGAGTTTTTCGCCCATGATGAGGTTCCCATCATTAACGTCCGCTCTCTTTTGGATAGCGGGTATTGTGACAGCAATTCCATTGCCCGGGGAGTCTACTACCCTAAAACCACGTCAATACAGCGATACATCGAACGACCTCAAAGATGATGCCTGTCGAGCGATCACTTTTATCTTTGCACGTGGTTCTACTGAGTCCGGAAATATGGTCTGTCTTCGAGTATTCTACGGGTGAAAAATCACGGTCTAATACTGACTCTGGCAGGGGAGTATCGTTGGTCCAGAAGTGTGTGCCGATCTTCAAAATCAGCTTGGAGCAACTGAAGTTGCATGTCAAGGAGTCGGCTCACCATACGATGCTACACTCGAAGACAATTTTCTTCCTCAAAACACCAGCCCCACCGACATTGGAGCGGCCACTACCCTGTTTGAGTTGGCTCACACCAAGTGCCCTGACACCATCGTCGTGGCTGGTGGATATAGGTACGTGACTCAGACTAACCTTCCAAGTTGAAAATTGCAGCGTTGAATGGCCGTCTAGTCAAGGAACCGCGGTAATGGATGGCTCGATTCAAGCCCTACCAGCAGCGATCCAGAACCAGATTGCTGGTGTTGTTCTTTTCGGCTTCACCCGCAACGTACAAGACAACGGTGGAATCCCGAATTTCCCCGCATCCAAGACCAAGGTCTACTGTGCACTTGGTGACCTTGTTTGTGATGATACACTAATCATTACCCCTGCTCACCTCACTTATGGTTCTGATGCGTCGTCAGCCGCCAGTTGGCTGAAGGCGGAGATACAAGCGGCAAAGTAAATGTTACATGAAGTAGAAATTCTTAGTGCTGTGGGTGGCCAGGAGAAAGCTTGTGGCTGCCACCGCACTAGATACAGACAAGCCATTCTAGTTTCCCTTCTTTAGTTTCCTTAGTCTCCAATACGTGCGAGAATACAGTTTTAAATATCGTCCCAAAATGCCAAGAATCTTAACTCCTGTACATCGATCAATATGTTCCTAAGGGATCATCTCGTCCATTTTGGTCCTAGAAATCTAATAAAGTGCGAAATTGCTTTAAACAGGTAACTACTTTGTTCACTACTTTTTTCACATGTCACATATTTTTGTTCCAATCAGTCGATTCTCAATCGTTTGTCGATCTTAGTTAGAGATATGGGGCCCAAAATTACGCTCAATAGCGCCAAAACATCCCCCAAAAAATTCGACATTTCTCAATTTTCAATACCTTATCCCTGGTGGCAAATATTAGTGTAAATTTGTATATAAATACGTCTAGATAGATGAGTTCTTTGCAACTCAGGCTTGTATCTCAATCCAATCGAATTTGCCACTAAACTCAATTTTTTTCTAACGCGTAAAAGTCCGTAAAAACCTACGGGTGTAGGTCCGCGCTTGCAAGTCTAGATGTTAGCTAGGTAGTGCAATATAACGCGCCATGGAACGGTAATGTCAGAACCGTGGTTTTTACGCGTTGTTTTCTATGCAATTTCGAGAATTTGCTATGGGAGTTAATACGTGCACCCCGATTGTTACACCGTACACCCGAACTAATATTTTTTGAGTCTAGCTGGAAATCAATTTTCTTAGTAAAATACTAATAAATTTGGTCGCTTTATGGCCCCCCATAGAAATTTTCAATTCCTCGATTTTGAAGCGATTAAGGTGTATGTAGTAAACTTGTAGTAGGTCATATTCACCGCCAAATATAATAATTAGATTAGGGGTGCATATATCAATTCTCAACTGGAAGTTATATTTGCCTAACAAAAACATGGAAAATTCACTTTTATAGTGTGCTAGTCTTCTAGATAACTGTCTAAACCTCATCCTCAGTCTTATTGTCATATTAAAGTATATCTAGAGATTCTAAAGCCTCTATATTGATACTCTCCTGAGATTGAGTATGCCGAGATTCCAATATTACAATTAACTGTGAAGGCAGATCACTGTTATAAAACATGCTTCTCAGCACAGTAGAAGCTCAGTTAAAGTAGGACCTTATTAACTCGAACTCGCTGCTATTTTCCCTAGTATTAAGCGATTCTAAAGTCATTAATATCATATGCTTTCTACTTAATGCCAAATTTACCTCTATATTGATATTTGAGGATAGCGCACTGTTACTTCTAATAATACTATCTGCATTGCTTATATAGACCATATATTGATTATCTTATTATATATATATAACATCAGTAATATATATAGATTAATGCGTAGATTTATCGATTTGCTCCTCTAATATAGCATTTCTATGTATTAAGATCTTTTATGCCCTTTTTATATACTGTAGGTCTGCCCTGATGTTTCTCAACAATAGTAGGCTCTAAAGCGTTAATTTAAGCATTTTATAGGGTTTAATATAAAATTAATCTGATTTATACTCACCCCAAGCTGTATCCTAAAGAGGTGATTTATTAGTATTGGTAAAAAGCAGTGAAAGACTTAAAAAATTTTAATTCGAAGAAACGATCTAGGCTGTCATTTGGTTCGGTTCGGACCGAACCAAAACCGATCTGAAACCCGAATGGTCCGGTTCTGGTCCTATATACAGCGAACCGAAGCGGTTCGGTTCACCAAGTCCAGGACCATATGGTTTTTTGGGGCCCATTTGGGTCTGGTTCGGTTTGGATTTTCGGTTCGGTTTTATCTGAATATCTGAATACTAATGGATTTCCATTAATAATACTAATATATTTAGGATTAACCCTAATCCTTTATAATTATTATTGATTATATAATCATTTCTAAAGCAGCTTTTCATAAATTAAATTCTTATTTTTTAAATTAGGACTTTGTTTTAGATATTTTTATAAATATTATAATAAATTCTTAATATTTAGATTATTATCTAAGAATTATTCAGATAGCAATGATACCTTTTCTATTTTTTATTTATATTTTTTGAATTATATTGTATAGCCAACAATCAATCTATCTATTAAAGAAAATATATATATATTTCTGTACCTGTTTTATAATATTCATCATTACCTATCTATTTTTTCAGCATATTTCAACAATTAGATAGAAAATTATAATTTAAATAATTAATTTTAATTTTCATATTATTTATCTATCTAATTCACTAAAATTTAGAGAGATTTTAATATATTTTTAAGGATAAAATCTAACTATAGTTAAAAATTTTTTAATACGATTCGGTTATCTGAATAAAAACTGGACTAGACTCAGACCAATCTAACCATAATTAGTAATTCTTCTTTAGCGTGGTTCGGTTTCAGTTTAGAGAGTCAGAACCGTTCGATTTTCGGTTCTGGTTCCAATATTAGGGACCAAACCAAACCGACCCATTTTTGGATTTGGTTCAGAAACTCAGGACCAGAACCGAACCAAATGACAGCCTAAAACGATCAATGCTACTAATAAATTATTAAAAAGCTAATTACACGCCTTACACAGAAAAAATTAATTCGGGTGTACGCTGTATTTTGTTGGGTGCATGTATCAACTCCCTTTGCTATTATTTGGGTGATTATAAGCGATCAGTTCCACTAGTAAATTAGGTATTAATTAGATCTAGTTCCCAATTATTCAAAATTCAGGCTTTTCCCCTTTCAATCTAGTGACACACTAATACTGCACTAAAATTCCTTGTACTAAAATCGGCCGTCACTCGATGAACTAGAGAATCCTTGGCTAGAGATTTTGAATAAAAAGACAGACCTGAAAGAATGATACAGTACAGTACAGTAGTTATCTTCCGAATTATTTCTGATTTTTCTATGGTCTAGTTCACAGCGTGAGATCAAAACAACTAGTAATAGCATAGGACAACCAATCTACCTTTTAGAACAAAACCAAGACCTAAGGATGTAGCCAAGCTGTCTTTTTTATTACAGCTTTCTCTTTTTCTCTACTTATTCGGGCTGTATCTTTTCGGTGTTTCGTACACTGGAATAAGATACCAACCTTACACAAAAATATAGGCAACTACTCAAATTTCTATTTACTATAATATCAAGACTAGCCTAGACATTGCTGCAGGAAGTCTGATGACAATTCAACCTGTCGCTCGTTATAAAAATCAAAAAGATTGGCACAGAATTCACACAGGAACTAAAGCTTTTATCTTGATACTTAGACGAGCCGCAGAGATGTGATTTTACACAACATCCTAAAAATTATCGGTCCTAGGGTTTACTATAGGGGTGGTCACAGGCACCCAACAGTGGCGTGGCCACACCTGATACGACTCAAAGAAGCTGAAAGTGTTTTGAGTTGTGGAAACCCCGGCATGGGTCTAACGCCAGCCCAGTCAGACTAGGCATAAGGAAGTGTAATAATAACTGTCCCTTGATAGCGCCTACTGCTAGGAATGGGACTCTTAAGTCCGTGCATGTGACACTATAGTAACTGCACTATGCAACTTGCACGCCATTGATAGAAACTTATGATTGGCTGCATGCAAACACTATGTCAAGAATACTAGGACTGCAGGAAGCGGCTAGTCTCATAATGTGGAGGGTTCATGAAGAGTCGGATGTTATATCTAGCAATGCTGATATATTTCCCGGGTTTTACCCTGGTCACCCAGCCGTCTAACAAGCATAGACGCCTTTAATTTTTTTCCTTTCCTATCGAACCGGATAGTTGCAAGAAGCATATTGGGGAATATCCCCTTTTTCTTCAATTTAATATCACCTCCCAAATCAATACCCGGAATGAAAGCAATTCACCGAGAAAAATTAAACCTTTGTTTATTAAAGGCTTGGATATCATTTGACATTGCCATTCCTCAAATGCTGGGACGGTACGACCGACAGTAGTCATATATCGATAAACACTCATGCGGAAGCTCATTTCGGACAACTTTAGCCATGAGAAATGCTTGTCCGATGCCCATGGTATGTCCTATATACTCTAGGCGGTTGGCAGCCCATTTTCGATGTAGAGAGTTGGGAGCTGAGACACTAGCTGCCACATAAAGAGGCCATAATATGGAGTATCCGCCTAAGCAACCCCCAGCTTGTGAATCCCCTTCGCTCAATGAAGGGGGAGAAAACCGTAGAGAAACTGAAAACGGAACACTGAGAAGAATATCCACCGCAAGATTTTCGATATTTCTATTAGCGGCATTAAATACACTTCCCCATCGAGAAGAAGTGTTTGGTGGTGGTGGTATCCGATCTCGAATAACCAAGTTAAGGATAATACGAGCAGTCCGATAGTATGCCCAAATGTTGCAAGCCCAAATATCGGGATAGAGATGGTAGGAGCCGTTGCAAGTATGGTTAGGTAATAGATGTTGACTTCCTGAGTAAGTGTGTACAGCGTATTGCCAACGGGTAGAGAGATTGGAGGTCCATGCTTCAAGTCTTTTATCGAGATCCTTCGCCCTCTCTATTACTTCAACGTAATCAGGTATTCCATCAGCTCTCACCTCAGCGATGAAGTCGCTAACTTCAGCCACCAGGTTTACCAAAGTCTCAGAATGAACAATTTCTTCAGATCTGTACAGCGTTACAACTTTGGACAACTGTTTTATCGTTTCTGGTACTCGAGTTTGGGTTCGAAGACAGTTCGCCATCTAGAAAATCGATCAGAAAACGGTGACCCTTCATACAAAACTAGCCAAACAAACCACCGCAGCTCTCAGTTGCATGAAGAGCTGAATGCCAGTGAGCGTCAATTTTTGACGAGAGCCCCATATTTGTAAAAGCGTCGCTGCGCCGTTTATATGCTTTTGCCAGTTATCCACCGATTTAGGAGCTGCACCAGCCATCACCTGGACAAGATATTCAGTGATACAAGTGCTTTACGACTTCAAATTGGCGTCGAACTTACCTCGAACATCCCAAGTAAAATGACAGCGCTAAGAGTAGTGTCTTCTAACGACATTCTCTCATTCATGAGAGCCATGTTAGTCAGGTGTAATGCGGTAGCGTACTCCTCTCTTGCCTCTGCCAGGAGACTGGGCTGGCCTCGTGTGTTTGCGATGAACGCAAGACCAATTGCAGATATAGCGCAGCGAACAGCATAGCACGAAGTTGCTTGGCTAATAATTTGCGAGGTAGTCAAATGCACCTTCGTCACGACAGAGTCGTCTGGAGCGAAATTGTGCAGAAAGACACAGATGGACTGGTCTCTCGGGTTCGTAGAGAGGGCATAGTCTATTTGCCATGTCTGACTTCGTTTTAGATTAGAGACGCCTAAAGTACTTAGAAGTCGATTGGGCCGCAAGTCTTGGTACTTGCATTGCGTGCTGGCGATATGGGATTCTTTTTTCGTATAAGGGATTGATTGGCAGGCTTTCCTAACAACTTCTTGGGATTGATCTCGGAAGTTCACCTCTATCAGATTGCGATACCCAGGACATGAGAATCTAGCTCTCTGGCACTTGAGGCATGACGGTTCGGCCAGGTCGCACTATATACACATGGGTGAGATGAGTTGACCGAGGCGTCAATCTCTAGTAGAGAACCAGCTCGTACCCTAATCTTTCTTTTCCGACAGTTGGCGCAGCCTCTACTAGGCTTTCCGCAGTATACCATTTTCGCTTGAAGTTCAATCCGTATCAATAGAATAAAGTATTCAAGTTAGTGGCAAAAATTCTTCTAGCTACTGCGAAAACTCTGCAATTCGATGTTGTCTTTTGTTCCGACCCCGCATTTCTTGGTCATACGTGCTACACGCCAAGAAATCTAATTACGTTTTCTGGATGTGCCCGTGCCCGAAGCCGGGTATCCGCCATTCACAGCAAGTTTTGATTCGTTCAGCTGGATATTGAAATACGACAGATCATCATTCGTATAGCCAGCTGATCGAGCTGTGCATAAAGCGGCACCGTGCTGCAGATTAGCGTCGCACATATTTGTTACGAATGTGAAACCTAGGCTAAATGTTACGAAACCAACACATATTGACGCGTTGAATTGTATAGAATAAAAATAGAGCGCGTTTTGGAGTGGAAGTGGCCAACTCGGTGTCGGTTCGCTTACAGTGGCGGCTGCGCTTACCAATTGCGTTAATAGAAATGAGTGGTGTTAAACCAGTGTTCATGGTAAATTGACCAACATGTCAGCCTGGCTAGTGATTTATGACGTGCATAGATTTTCTATGGGATAATTGAAATGAGTGAGTAGTTTTCTGTTTTCGTAGTTGCTTTCTTCTCTCCAAATCAAGACATGCATATCCTTGGGGCGTAATTTATGTACAGTTTCTCAGGGGTTAGGCAGCAATATAAGCACTAGTGTAGGCATCGCTATTCTTGTATCAGAAATCAATCTAACAGTTCACGTCACCGAGGCCAACTTGACACGATAACCTAACATCGTGCACAACTCTTTGTCGAGCAACTGTTACATTTTAGACCGAATTCAGACCATGATGGCCTGTGAATTCTGCAAAAAGCGCAAGTTGAAATGCGACAAGAAACTTCCTGTGTGTACGAGTTGCGTGAAGTATGGTCGAGAATGTATTTTTCGCAACACTACAAGAGTGACGTTGAGCAAAGCACGGGAGCAACGATTAGAGCAGAGATTGGGTGTGTATGCCTATTCCCGAGATTCAAAAGAACGGAGACTCTGATTTGTACGTAGCTGAGATCGAAGATATACTATCTACGAAGACAAAAGGAGCCTCACCCTGTCGAGGGTTTCGTCATGATATTTCGGAGGCTTTGGAATTCGCACCGGCAGAAGATTATCTAGTCCAACTGTATGTCTATCATTCCTACCATTATTAGTGATTATGTTTCTCAGCTGACGGAAAATAGAGAGCACATCTATTTTGATAAGGTCCATCTGTCGATACCTATGATGCATCAAGATCGATATTTCCGCAGTATAAGTCTTGAAGACGATGCTCGACCTCCATTGTATTTACGATATGCAATCTGCGCATTGACAGCCTCAATGTACCCGAAAATCGTGCCGGTATCACATGAGATATTCTACCAAGCCGCGCGAAAATGCCTAGAGGATGCTGAAATCCGCGATCAGTGCCTAAATTCTATTACCCTCGCACAGGCGCAGACTTGGGTAATTGTTGGTACATATGAGTTGACGCGAATGCATTTCCACCGATCTTATATGAGCATTGGCCGGGCCATTCGAATATCTCAAATGATGGGGCTGCATCTTCCCGACGACGTAAGATCTTCACGTGTCGAAATATTCCCACCGGCGAGCCTGGACTGGGTCGGGCGCGAAGAGCAGCGAAGAACATTTTGGGTAATATTCTGCATGGACCGGTTTGCGAGTGTCGGTCATGACTGGCCAATGATAATTGATGAGCACGATGTAAGCCATTCGTTTATCTCTATATGAATGTGCTTACCCTGCAAACCATTGTGGATGTTCCGAAAACTTACTATTTGTACCTAGATCTGTATAACTCTGCCTGTCTCAGAGCACGCATTTCAGACCTCTTCTGGGGCGTCAAGTATAACGCTGACCGAGGCTTTGATACATCACGGCAGTGTATCCTTGTCCTCCTTTTCTGCGACAGTGGTGATGGCAGATATCTGCAGCCGGAAGCTTCGAGAAGCTCGCCGGTTCGGCCTTGATACCATTTCTGGAGTTTCAAGCGATTTCTGGGGCAGAAATAGGCATCTGGAGACTACATTAAATGTTGATTTCTGTGTGCCTAATCACCTGATTGTATCTTCCTGGAACTGGGATATACGCCTTGTGTTTATCAATATCATTGTTCCTAGTTCGACGATTTGTGTGCATCAAGCAGCGGAGATACATGCCGAAAAATATGGGGTTGCGAAGGAATTGCTGTTGGAGAGTAAGAAGAGGCGGGTTGAAGCAGCTGAGAAGATTATTACAATCTTAAAAGCAGTCTCTCAGAGCGATCTTCTGCTGGTCAGTCTGTCTTGGGTTTTATTCGAAATGCAGCTAATGTGTATAATGAAACCAGATCCACCCTCTCGTTGCATGGTGTGTTTATGTTGCAGCAGCAGTGTATGCAAAAGCACTTGAGTCCCAGCCATGTCAAGCTCAAGAAAAGTCACTGGAGTTCCTACTTGTAACATTATTTCGTCTAAAAGCCGTGAATCCGCTCCCAGAAACATTTCTCGAGGATTTGACTGTTGAGTTTTGTAATATAAAGGACAAAATCTTCGCACTACAGTCAGATTCTCAGTTAACGGTATGCAGAGCATTAAGAGATACCTAAACTGGTGCTGACAATACATTCTGTAGAACATCTCAGCCAGCAGTACCCAAGGACATTTACCCAGCTACGACTTGGAAAGGGAGTTGGTCTCTCGCACGCAATCTGACGACATAACAGCACCTTACTTTTATGACTTCGGTACCAATCTCGAGTTATTGGACGTTTTGGAAAACGACGTGTCTGTCCGTGAAAATGAACCCCTGGGCTTTTAATGTACTTGAGTATGAGGGTGTTTGCTGAGCGCCAGTTGCACGGATATGATAAAAAAGTAGTGAGGGCCTTGAGTTCTATTTACTATGTAGAGAGGCTTGAATACTATTTACTTTACAAGAGAGACTTGATCACTTCTTCGGCGCCTCTAGCCCCTGATCTTAGTGCACCTTCCATATAGCCCGTCCAAACTTCTGCTGTTTCTGTTCCTACGAAATGAATGTCTCTTTCACTCATAGACAGAGCGTGGCCGTGAACGGATAGTATTCCGGGAGGCGTCGTCGGGCAGGGCCCCCCTTTGCTCCATACATCTTTTTTCCACTCCTTTTCCAAGATTTGGATGGGGACGGGGATGGTATCACCAAACATATCTTCTATCTGACCTAGGACGCGCTGTAGACGGTCCTCTTGTGGGAGTTTGGACCACTGTCGTGCTGGTTCTCCACTAACCCAGCAGGTCAAAGAATAATGTTGATCTTGATCGATACTAGAGTCACGAGTGGCACAGATCGGGCCTAAGGACGATTGCGAAACTCCAGACAGCCCCCGGGCTCTCCACCATGGCTGATCGTACACCAGGATTATTTTGGACAGTTCACCTAACTTCGTTCTAGAACTATACTGCAGTTTGTGATCAGACAAGGGCGGGTCGAATGCAATAGTGCTGTACAGCGGGGTCGGTATAGAAACTACCACTTTTTTGCATCGCAGTCGGACACCACTGTCGATTTCAACAAGGAGTCCAGATTCACGCTGGATGATTGCCGTTGCGGGTGTGGAAAGGTGAACAGAACCGGGGATGAGAGAGGAATTCAAACCTTCTGCAATCGCCTGCGCACCTTTACAATGTTTAGCGACTATATCGTATCAAAGGAATCGTTGCGTACCTTGTCTAATTCTCATATACTGGCCACCCCCAACACCATCAGACATTAATCTCTCCAATCCTCCTGCATTCTTACAATACATTATAAAGTATAATGCACTGATTTCGGATGGTTCCAGGGCAAGAAGAGCTCGAGTTAGGATTGCGGCATTCGCAACGGCAGTTGCTCCACAGCCTTCAACCTGTATAAACTCTTCTAGTGTAATGTCGTCATGCTTGGAATTGTCTTTTGTGATGTCTGAAGTGAGACTGAGTTCTTCTAGGCGAGCAAACAGAGACGCAATTTCGGTTATTGCCTCCAGGCCAAGGTTCTATCGACTCGCCTATCAGCCAACGGTCGTTTTGTCCTGTAGTTTTAATACTTACTTCTGGGAGCTGGCCATTAGGGAACCGCTGACCAGGCCTTCCGGGTTCGTGCATGATGCTGTCACCCTCCATGGTCTGGATGACAAATTCCAGTCCGAATCGCTTCGCAAGAGAGGAAACCTTGGATTGGTTGGTGTCGTTGATCCAGGCACCACCAGCTTCGATAATTCCTCGGCCATTAGCTTGTGGGATGCTATATGTCTTACCGCCAACTCGATCTCTTGCCTCAAGAACCACGCACGACAAGCCACTTTTCTGAATATCATAGGCTGCTTGAAGGCCGCTCAGCCCGGCACCAACAACGATGACGTCAGTCAATGCGGGAGGGAAAGTCCATGATAGGGGTTTATGGTCCACAAGACTTCGAACGGCGGCAATTGCCTCGACCTCGAACTTCACGCCAGGTGTAGACAACGATGGTAGTGGCACGCACACACTCGTTGGCCGGTGGCCGTTTAGAAACGCAGCAAGTAATCGAGCACTTGGATGGGCGATAGGATTTTCAGCGACGACGTAAAATGTCACTTTTACAATATCCCGGGTTGTCGCACCTGCTGCTTCAAGACACTTGCGTAGGTTTTCAAGCGCCAAAACGACTTGTTCCTCATCATTCTCTGGAATTTTGTACCCTTTGTCCATACCAATCTGTCCAGCTGTGTATACCACTGTCGTACCCGGGGCAACCGTGCAGACGTGTGAATGTAAAAACGGTGTAGGGTCGGCCATTGATGGCGGATCTAGCAATCGATAAGGGGTTGTTGATGCCATGTTGTAAGAAAGATGATAGATATGTGCTTGTAACACGTAGGTGAGGGGCAATATCTGTAAAATAATCAACCTACTTATCCGTACTGACGGTTTTTATAATATGCTTCACCAAAACCACGAGATGCAAAAGCGGAAATCCGGCCACATTCGCGATGAATTTTCCATGTCCCGTCCGGGCGGAAAGCGGAAGGGAAAACCCCGATATACAAGAGAAAAATCCGCGTAATTTTTCTTCTGCCGCTTTGAGAATTAGTTTCTTCTCGTAATGCGGACTTAAGCTCCATTTTGTATGAAAAAAGTCGAAAGGCAGGACTGTATGTAAATCCGTCCCCGCTAGGAATTCTGTTCTTTAGCGTCTAGGCCTGCGAATGCGCTGCATGATATGCTGCCTCCGACGATGTCTGATGCGGCGGAATAAATCGAAGTTAGGGACAATGGCACACCGCCCACAGCAACTCATAAAATTATTACCCAAGTGTTAGTAGTATTATATTATCTAATCAAATCGGTGTAACTGCTGTATGTGTATATGTGGATCTATGTGGCAATACGATCTACTTTTATGTCATTGTCCCTAACTTCGATTTAGTCTGCCGTATCTGATCGGCATATGATATTAGTTCACGGGGCTTCTCTAGTCTCTATTAATGTCATTCTTTTGACAGGTTTTTGCTTTAAAGCGTCGTCTTTTAGAGTGGCTTTTGCCTATTATAACAAAGAAAGCTCAGCAAGAATACCTACGCTAGCATTGTTGGCAAGAGTAGATGTGTCAGCCTTTTGTCAACATCCAAATGCGAGGCTGCAGCCGGATACGATACCCGTACGAAAGGAAGCAGGATAGAAACCCTGTGCTACGTAGATTGAGCCTCCGCATCTGTTCTTGTATGTTCGTCATCAACCCTTTAGATTTTATGTTGCATTACTTACATTGCAAATACAGTATCTCAAATTCTGATCTCTTGCAGCAGCTACTCTGGAAAAATGTTGGGTTTACTATATTGCGAGATCTAACTTTTCTCGAGACTTATGAACCAAGGTACGATCCGACTGTAATAATGGTCAGAACATCACCACTATTCTCACATTTACCACAGCCCACATGTGATCGCAACGATCAGACAGATTCTAAAATCTTAAAGTCGGGGTACTGCTCTGCGGCAGATCTTCATAAGCTTTACGTTGCCCAGGTCATAACGCTAACAGCTGTCTTGAAGTCATTCCTGGCCATGATAAGACATGATTTAAGTCCTGCAAGCTCTCATTCGGCTGCATTTACTGAAATATGATAAGACCTGGTACTGCCTGCTACAGAAGCATCCACAGAGCAAAGAGGTTTTCAGCCAGTAAGCCCCTGGGTCTTTTAGATGGTGTCCCCGTCTGTATCAAAGATTGAGCAAATATCGAGGGCTATAAAACGCGTCTAGGGTCTAGACAAGAGTATAAAACTAGTGGGGGAGGCACTAGCCGGTGTGTGATGTAGTAGGAGACGGCAGGAGCCGTTGTGCCTGACAAACTCAGCCTGCACGAGCTAGGTTTAGGCAGGTAGTTTTCATCACTATGGAACCTTGGGCCTGACGTTTTACTTACATACGAATAACAACAATACTCACTCTGGGACACCACATAATCCTTACAACAGACAATACTACGCAGGAGGATCTTCAGGAGGATCGGGTTATGTGGTCGCCGCGGGTCCAGTTCTAATAGCACGAGGTGCAGACTAGGGAGGATCGATACGCATTCCTTCAACCTTTTGTGGCATATACGGACTTAAAACCTCACATGGATGGGTTTCTGATCGCCCAAATCGACAGATGTGCAATATGAGGGGGTCGTTGGGCCGATGGCGGCTACTATGCATGACTTGGAACTAGTTGCATATGATAGTCTAGCCACTCCTAATTCTAGAGAATAGCCATTTTCTACGCTTTAGTCATCACAGAAGCTTAGTGGAGAGTTTAAAGAAGCCCTCGGCATATATACCGCGCGGTTCGATGACCGTGACGAAGCCGTCGAGGAGCCCCCCCACCGAAGTGTCGAATACTATCGCATAAAGCTTGGATATTCGGTCTTTGATGTTGAGATACCCTCCTTTTGTCCAGGCCGAATTGCGCACGCGCTGGCTGTTCTATCGGAAGTGCCTTCGTCCATAATATCCATGGCTGGGGTTTCTACGGGGTCCAATTGTGCGATGCCTTGACACTAAGCATTTCTCATGTTTTGGACTGATAATTTTAGATTGATTAGAAATAAATTAGTATGTACCTTTAACTATCTGATTGGTGCGTTAAGACATCCCGTATCAGCTACCTGCATTTTATATACGCTAGTTTTTCCTGCGTCTTATTTAATTTTCATCTTACTACCTCCAACGGACTTGTATAGCGAAGGATATGGCTAACCGCGATACTACGACGAAATTATAACTATTCAACCACAACACATTGAATTAATTAAAACAACTAAGAATCCTCTCTTCAGAAGTCTCTACTATAATTTGACACGTGCACGCATTATGCCCAGTCGCGTGGCAGCCGCCACAACGTCGCGCACGCGTTTCCTCCCTCGGCTTCCGACCCCTACTCGCCCTTACTCCATCTTTACTTGCTGCTCAGTATCTCTTTCATCCCCTAGCACCAGTCACTTTTTGAGTAAGTAGGCCTCCTTATTGCAAACCTGTTTTTCCAAGTTTTTTGGCGCTAACTGGGCTCCTCATTTGCCCGTTGAAGACTCTGGTTCTTGATCTTCAACAAGGCTAACGTAAGCATTATTTTCGACGCACCTTTCGCAAAATGATCAACAGTTTCGTAAATTGATGTTGAAGAGCTATTTTGATGACGTGTAATACAGCTCTTTAAAAATGGTCTGTGATGATGCTTCAATCAGGTTACTAGGAGTATGAGAAATCTATGGCTGAGCTGTATTTGGGCGAGAGTTTGAAGGCGTCGGGGTCCTTCGCTTGAGATCAAATTCGGAAATAACTTTTTCAGGGTCTGGTAGGAGAAAACCAGCACTTCAGAAATATTTTTGGATATTGCTTTCTTCATTTTTTCCTTGAATATAGTGTGGAACACAAGAAAGAAATCGACATTGGTAATGTGGAGAATATCAGCCTGTATCATATCCTCAATTTACCGATCATAGGCTTTCTTTAACGGGCCAAAACAGCCAAAATCGAGTGGCTAGAGGATATAAGATGAATGAGGGGGCATACAAAGAGTGATAATGTTGTTTTCCTTGCAATAATCTTCAGACTTACCTGAGTGGTGGCTCTGGTGCTCATCGTAGACTAACAAGCGGTAACCACTAATAGTTCGAGTCCTAGTATGCTTCTTGCAATGTCGAATCCAATCCATTTCTCGCTCATTTGTGGACTAACCGTTTTCAGAGACAGTGATTACTCAGCCAGGTGGAAATCCACTGTTTTGGTACTAAGACGCCATGATTTTTGCCGGCAACAATGATGAACGGCACTGTCCAGTCTTGGGAGTTGATACTCTAGATCACTATAACCCATTCTCAATTACCAAGCTCTATTTTTTTCGCTTTTATACGCCCGTAAGAACTTGTTACGACTAAGCTGGTTGAAATAACGCCCACAAAAACCCCGCCTTGTCAAGGTTGTAGATATATGTGTCGTTGATACTATATTCCGCGATTGTGTTCTGCGCAAGATTAAACCAGCTGAAACAACCTCTAAACCTTTCTATTTAGCCTTCTGGTAGTCGTGGTTTTTCTGGAAACGTGTCCGGAGCTCTGGGCGGCGATTAGGTGACTTAGCTTTTGGTGATCAACAAAGTAGATCTTTCCTGTAGCTCAAGGACGTAGCTTTGAATCATTTTGCATGGCTCGAAGGGCTAGTAAAATTTGGCTTTCATCTTTTCTTGAAGCATGTTGTGCTATACAGAAATTCAGTGATTTGTAGAAGAGATATGGTACCGCGGTTAGGTGTATATTTCGCTTAGGTGTATCGTACGCTATACAAGTACGTTAACCTAATACTAACCATTTTCTTAACCCCTACATTCTTTACTTGTGTCCCGTAATACCAGGATGGTCCACCTCCTTACCATATATGACGAAGGTACTAGGTAGACAAGCTAGTAAAATAGAAAGAGCAAGAGTACAATTTAGAGGCATCGAGTCTAGACGTGTAAGAACAGTACTCGGCATGATTCAAACCTAGTTCAATGATGAAAGCTAGTTGGAACATAATACATAGGTGTTGTTGATGACCCAGGCAGCAATGAATTTGGTAGTACAAGATTTCAAGTACAGTAAGCAACACTGTCAACTAAGAAACGTATACCGGGTTATTGGTAAATGCGAGATAGTTGTTTATACCTGCGTAGGACATCACGGTATAGGTCCAAAACACCGATTTTATTTCATGAGAAATCTTCCTAAATAGTCTATTACTGTGTTGGATTAGTTCGCTATTAGCGAATACGATTGTCAATGGTTTATAGCATGATAAGACGTTTAAAAGAGTTGTTATTCTTAGCATAGAAATCAAGGTCTATATATGATTTCATCTGGACCTTCACTAGTCGACTCGGTCATTCTATAGTCGAATGCACTTGAGGTATTACGTGTTACGTAGTACACTAACTTGTCGAGAACAAATATAGGAGAGCATGATCCATGTGCTCCAGATCTTAGGGACTTATAACTAGAACATACGAACCCATGACTGGCATTAGATCTCAGGTGCTTCTCTGGAAACAGTGCACAGCCTCGATTTCAATGATCGCGCCGAATTCGATACAAATCTACAGAGATTATTCACACCCCTGCTTGATGTCTCCTATTCTCAGCGAGGCCACCGAATACCCCAACAAGCATCGGTAATGGACAGACAACGGCGCCTAATACAGCCTGGAAAGTAAGCGCCCTAGACAGATTTACGTGTAAAAATTAGTCGTCTATTCAGACTTATCCCGGGAAGATGAAACTTACTGCTTCATGTTATATGGAGGAGCAGCATTACCATCCTCTTTGAAAGCATTCATAACTAACACTGAAACGATACCCATGAACTGTCCTCCAATCCAACAAATTGTGCTGGTAAACTCTGCCCCTACCGGGAAGGTCGCATCAACCAACCATTCCAAAACGACCGGTACAAGGGCAAAAGAGGCGGCACCGAGGCTGCCCGACACAATGTACGCTCCCATTATCGGTGATAGATCCGGAATCCACCTGAATATTAAATAGCAAATAGCGATGATAGGGCTGAGAGCTTTGATAACCAAAACATGAGACTGCGATATATCTACAAGTAACGACACTATGATGGCAGAAACGATACCAGATGCTATAAGTATTGCACCGCAAATACCTGCTTCGCTTTCAGTGGCGCCGTAAGGTCCGAGGATTTGGTCAAGGAGTGTGGTCAAAGCATTAAAAAGGCCCACATAGACAGAAAACTAAACAATCGACATCAGCATTAGCCAATACATTGCAGCGGGTATATAGAAATAATGTAACGAACTGGAATAAATAGGAACCAGAATTGTAAGGAGTGTATGAGTAATGACAGTTGTTGTTTCGACCCCAAAACTGCGGCCGCGGAAGAAGGGCCGCGAGCTGGCAGGGTGTCTGGGACGAAAATCGTCGGTATCGATGAAATAGAACTCTTCTTAGCATCAGAAAATGTATACGGTGATTCACCGCAGCAACTTACGAGGATTGAGGTCCATAAAATCATTCGTGGAACATCGCCGGCACTGTTCATCCATAAGGGAGAGATGAGTTGTCCCAGCTTTACCACAATCAGCAGAGATGTTCATTCTCTATATAGAAGTACTGACAGCAGCACCTAAAGGGCTAGCCAATGTCGCAACCGCAGTAGCTTTAACGCGACCTTTCTCGGTGAACCATATTTGGCTATATGATGTCGGAATTGGTAGAACAAATGCAGACGAAATACCAATCAAGATCTGACCGAACATTACCAACCCGAATATACCCCCCTCTCGAGCCACAGCCCCTACGTATCGAATCCAGTTTCCCGCGAGTAAGAGGATAGCCGCGGCGAGACATGATGACCTAATTCCGAATTTTGGGACTAAATAAATGACTCCTCTGAACAGGTTAATAAGGGATGGATGATATATTGAAAACGAAAATTAAAGGTGTGAAAAATTTTACTAACTTACGGTGCAAATACACAGAATCCGCCTAAAAACGCTATACTTAACCAGTTGGTATCAGATTCTGAAACGCCGAAATACTCAGCTGATATGCCAGCGCTTGCTGCGAAGGACACCCACTACAAATATAATCAGTTATGGTATTTACGACTGTCGAGTGGCCTAGGAAGAGAGTGACTTTGTACTAACATCCCATGTTGTTATAATATTCAAAAGCACGAGCTGTATAAGGCCGATCCATCTCCGCTTGAAGGATCTATGGACATGTGCCATTGTGCCCTCGTCATTTGCACTTCTTCCCCGGGAACATAGAGGAACATCCGATGACTGCTGAGAAGTATTCGCTGTGAAAAAGACGCCAGTTTCAGAGCTTCTAGAAAGAACCCCTGTTTCTAGCTCAGGCATTTTATTGAATATGAATTTGTGCGACTTCCGTAACTGCAATATTCGAGCATCGAATATTTAAATATAATTAATTGTTGATGCAGGCCTAGACTGATTATAAGATCTATTAAATGAAAGGTATTGGCGTTGAGTAATGACGTACTGAGAAAGCGGATTCTGTCTCCGTGATCCGTGCGTGGAAACGGACTCGTGTTATCATGCCCGTACAGAGGGTCCGTAGGCCTTTTCTCGTGCTTAAGTGGCACTGGTCATAGTCAATTATAGTTAATAACAATCCATACTCCACTATGAATTAAAGTGATTAGACCCGAGATAGTTAACGCTGGTAGGAACACCTCGGCATAATTAATGTAAAGTATGACACTAATCCATCCATGGGATTGGAAGAGTGAGGATATAGTAAGATATATTCTTCAGTCGCACCATAGAGTATCACGGTACCTGTTCAATAGTTTTAACATCGTTCACTCAGCGACTCACCTGATTGTACTCGTACGTCCTCCCCAGTAGGCTTATAAACGTGATAGTTCCGCATTCGCTGTCACGTACTGACCTTATGTACATTGATGATGGTAACGTTGAGTTATTTTGGATGCCTCAAACAAGAAGGCTGAAAAATTCACACTCAAAAGTTAGAGGCCCTGATTTGACTAACTTGATAGATAAATCTCTAAGTAACTATATACTTAGAAGAGCAATAGACTTGGTGTACTTCATCCTTCGAAAATATCGAACATTGGGGTGGCATATATAATCTAAACTCAGTTTATTTGGTAAGATCTCACTTAAGAAATCTGTTGTAACTTTCTGCAGTAGATCCTCTGAGTTTCTCTACGAGCCTAATATAGATATATGCACCCCAAGCAGTGAATAAATGCTACAAGCTGGAATTCTAGCAGAAGTCACCACGGCATCCCTACCGACCTCCTAGTATAAAAGCTGCGTACAAAGGTGACGGTCTAATTTCCAGCAAACATAGCCAGAAATGTATATGTTTATCAATCGCGAAATTAGCCTTCAACCAGTGCGTATAAGTTCTATCAGACCAACCGTAGCCATATATCATATGACGGCATTTGCACGTATCTGGATATGATCCAGAACGTTGCCATAATTATGGTAGAGTGAGTACCCACGGACAATGAAAATCAGAATGAAATAAGCAATTTCGTGCGATAGCCTATCGTTCTTTCTCAAATGCCCCGAAAATACAACTGAGACAGACCCGGCAAGAAATGCAGCCAGGTTTCTCCTGAAATATTTCCCTCTACCGATAGTCTCAAGACGGTAAGGGCCACCGCATCGGCGAAGAGCATCGGAAAATCGTCCATAGCCTGTGACGATCTTTTCAACATCACATGAAATATACCAGACAATGCCCCAACCAAATTTATAGAGAGGCAAGACAGCCATGAAACTGCATTCTTCGGGTTGCTTCGAAAACCATGCCATGCCAGTAGTCCTAAAACAAACAAGTTAAATGAGTGTCTGCGCGTACGTTATAGGACTTGTAAACTTACTGTAACCAATATTGGAGAGTGTGTCGATAAGCTCCACAATGTCGCAAATCACGTGATAATCTTCGTCGCAGAAGTCTCGCAATAAATTCAGCTTGGTGCAGCATTATAGGCAGATCTGCGTTGTGCACCCATTTTGCTCTTGATATCCGCGAGCCTCAGACAAGCGGGTGCTAAATATAGGGGACGCTAAGAAATCCATTGGTGCTATGCTTCTAGTCACTAACAACGTGTATATAAAGACAGCCTGTTCATTTTGGGTTTACCTAAGATTGGCATTCTCAGTCATCGATACTTCTCTTCCTGCCTTGAAGGGTTCGGGCTGTGTTAGGGCAGTTATAGATGTAGATAAGGCTTACCCTCATGGCGGGAACATTTAATTAGCGGCACGGAAAAGACGGACGGCGACCCCGCCTGCGGGGCAATATACCGGGCGCAAGAGACGTGCCGCATTTTAGGTGCTCCGGACAACACGGACCATAACACGTGTCTGGACATTAAATTATAGTGATCTCAATTCGTAAAAGATTTATTGTTTTTGTATAATATATGTTTTAAAGCATCTATTGTTTATATGTAATACTGTAAATTGGCTTTAAGGCAGATCTTATCAATTATTTAATATAGTTAAAATCTAAATAGAGCCTAAAATTAAAAAGCTTTATCCTAAATGTAGGCTTATTATATCTCTATATTTAGATTTTATAGAGCTTAAAGTTATAGCGTTTCCTAAATATTACCTAACCAGCCTATCTTTAGGGAAGATATCCCAAACTTTAGATTCCATATCCCTAAGTTTAGGCTGTATTTCCTAAATTTGGGTTTTATAACTATCCTCATTTCTGTGAAACTATACCCCCGTCAGTAGCATCATCATCACTCTGAGACAGCCGTTGGGACCCTCATGGTATGGTACGCATTTCACAACCCGTAGCGAGATCTAGAAAACGAAAGGAAATACGAGTTGCTCAGCTAGCTGTGGCGATCGCGGAAAACCACTTAGTTAAGTGCTCCGCTTCCAGTACGGCAGCTTCATCCACACTACGGTAAGGCGCGTTGAGTCGCCTTGGCGTAAACATATGTTAAAAGTGTCGAATCACCACCAATCTGACAACTGACGACTAATTATAATGCAATCTCTAGCAAGCTTCACCTTACTTATATTTCAAATGCTATCTTCTCTGCCTTCGCCTTTATTTGACAAACGGCTTAAGACTGTTCACCGTGTCGACAATACACTCCTTCAATGGTCGATAGCTGATGCCCAAAACCTCCTTGGACTTGGTATTATCATATCCATACCAGCCTGTGGGAGGGAAATCACCCGGCTTCAATGCGTCTCCCTTCGGCAAACCGTCTCGGAGTTCAGGGAATGCTTCCCGGATACATTCCACAATGTCCTTGTTGGAATACTGCCCTGGAGAAACACAGAACCGTTGGCCAGCTGCCTGAGGTTTCTCAATTGCCAGAACATGTGCCAATGCCAGGTCACGGACATCCACCCACAGGAAGACCCCAGTGAATGGGCAGCTATCCTTTGCTTTTCCAAAGGCAATGTCCCGAATGCGCTCGTTGGAAGAATTCAGTCCATCAAGATCCTTGATATGATGAACTATAGGACCGTAGACCATGGGTGGGTTTACCTGACAAGTAATAATGTGTGAGTGTTAAGTACTTGGACCCTTTTTGATAGTGTCATGGGTTATTTTGTCCGACTTACACTTGTGAGAGAATAGTGGGGCTTCTCCTTTTCCACAAAGTCCCATGCAGCTTTCTCCTAATTAATTATGGAGTAGTCAGCGTGGCGGTCGAATCCAGGCGTTGAAACTGTGAACTCACAGAGAAAACCTTGCTTGCGCGGTAGGCATTAAGGGGGCTAGAAGTAGCCTCTTCCCAGGTCATGTTGTTCCAATCCGCCTTGGTTAAGGTTAGCACGGGTACGGAATATAAGTTTTAAGAGATTAATAAAGTTGTTACCTCTGTGAAAGTATATGTCTGAGGCTTGGAAAAGTCCAGGATTGCGGCGCCGGAAGATGTAAGCACCACTTGCTTGACCGACGGAGCGTTGTTTTTGACGGCCTTGAGGAGACCAACAGTGCCATTGATAGCTGACGAGCAATCTCATAAGCAAGTAGTTTTCCAGGTGGAATTTTGGGAAATCCGGGGCACAAACCTGGATCCAGGAGATCCTTCTTAACATCCTGAACACGCAAATCGAACGGGCTGGCTGTATGGATCACAGCCTCAAAAGGTGGATCAGAAACGACCGCCTGGTGGAAGGCTGGATATCATATACAGTTTAGCAGTTAGTGCACGTGGACCGTTCAAATGGGGAAAATCGACCAAAAGGGAAATAAACATGTAGCTACCATCAGGCGCGGAAATATCAGGCACAATCACAAAATCCAGATCCTCCTTTGAGACACCCGGATGGGATGTCTTGATCTGCTCTGCCTTTTCCTGTGAGCGGACGGTGGTCACGACAGAATGCCCGCGTTTAAGCAGCACATTGAGAATGTGAGCGGCAATGAAGCCACTTCCACCGGTAAGAAGGGTTCGCGTCATGACTACTGGGCTTAGTATCAATCCGTGAGAGTTTGCGCGAAAGTTCGGTTTGTAGCTGCAACTTTATCGGTGTGTGTGTCGCTATCGTGGGACGGAGATTTCACCATAAACCAAGTCTTCCTCGCGAATTCCACCCTGGGCTCTTGGTCTTACTTATATCAAGTCTGACCGATGGACGTCATTTTGGTAGCTGGTCGACAAGACGCGGGCCCGGTGGTGGGGTTTTCCTTATTGACTTCCAAGATGGCTCTGGTCCCTGCGGAGAGGCCCGGTTTTAGGATTATTTCCGGCCGAGGAAACCTATGAGTTAGTTTAAACGCGGGCAGGACGAAGGATTTTTTCCAGACATGTTTCTCTTGCGACAATTATACAGCCTTCAGTGTTCGGACCGTCTCCAAATAGAACTCCCATGTCGTACGTCGAAGCCACAAGTCTTGTTGGCCGACTTAGGCAGGATGGTGTATCAGCCAAGCGCCATCTAGCAGGCACTAAGCAATTCCCAAATGGGTTAGCAGTACAAAGTCGCACTGCTCTCTCTATTAAGACTGGATTGCGCAGGGCTTGTAGATTTAAATCCTACAGTCAACATAAAAATATCACTTACTAGCACTCTTATAAGAGGCTAATATTGGTTAAGATAATCAGTATATATAGACCTCTCATCTTAGTAAAAAGGCGTTTTAAACAAGTTAGTAGACTCTGATTGGATGCTAGAGTCTCAGCTTAATAGGATTAAATAGTATTATGATTTAGTATAGAATTAGTCCGTGCCTAGTAATTTATATACTGAATAGTGCGTATAAGCTCAATTCATAGAGTAATAAAATTAATTAAAAGGTTTCTATTAGCTAAGAAAGGACACTGTAAGTGAAGGTAGTTGATTAGATCTATATACCTTGGATCTAAAAATGGAAAATCATCATCTAGTTTAAGCGTGATAGAACTTAGAAATTTAGGAGGCTCTTTATATAATAGGAATTAGGCTAAAATATAAAATATAAGAAGTGGGCAATTCGGAGCAGAATCATATATTTAGAAGAACCAAGAAAATTAAGCAATCGATAACGGAAGCTCTTGCTATCTAATAGCCTCATCACCAGCGCCCTTATATTGTGGCTTAAATGCGTGAATGTACTACTACTACTTGTTGCTCAACAGAGAGAGTAGTAAGTAAATATTGCTTCCCTACCTCAAGTATGTATCAGTCTAAGTCTAAGTATTATTTTGCGAGTGATCTGATTGAGCTGCACAGCCTTTAAGATATACACTCCTTTTACACACATACATTATTCTATAGATTGATCAATGAAACAGCGTATACATACTACTGTAGATGTCGAGGCGCTTTAGAGCTCAAGAGAACTGCCTCCAGAGAATCTTCCTCGAGAGGCTCTACCCGTGCCCACTGCCCCCCACGTTTTCCTACTTTTTCCCCACCCGACGATTGTGTGCGGGGCGGCCAGGTCGATCTTATATCGAACGAAGCCCTTGGGTTTAACAACCCGGCTTAGCATCAAAGTCGGGCCCGCATATGCAGGTATGTAGCATGGATTTCCTCCCCTCACAGTTCAAGAATAATATGCCTGGGTATACTTGATTTTTATCGGGGCTTTCGGTTTTCGACTTTGAACATCGTAGACAAACGACAATAGCGTCATTTGCTCTTAATGGAACAAAGCCGGTCCTTGATCAATTACACTACTATGTATCAGCTTGCTTTCCGAGGATTTCCTTTCTCCCTGCAAAGAAAGCCTTTCCGATGACGTATATATATACCTACCATAACGCAGGTCCATTGCCCTTCTCCAAGGGAGAGACTCAGAAATTCCCCTTGTCTGGTCGACAAATTGTGAATCTTATAGTAGCGCTCTCTGATTTGCGCGTAAGGACTTTTAGGTAACTGTTTCCCAAACACTCTCCACCCATCGTGCGGTCCGCCTGCCGCTCGACAGGGTTTTTCCAGATCACTGGCCATGGCATTAGCAAGGATCTTCAACAGGTGTTGTTTGCCGAGGCGAAAAAATCCTCTCCCTCCCCTATGAGACTAAAAAGGCCCTAGATGCTCACTCAAATCAGGGCCTTAGAGGCTACGATGTACTGGCCTCGCAGTCTTACGAAGATGGTGTCCTGCCTGACTTCAAAGAAGGGTTCTATATGGGGGTTGTCCTGCCAACGGATGACCCACGTGTTCAGACTCGGTTCCTAATGGGAAGCAATGTCTGGCCGGATGCGTCCTTGCTTCCCGTGGATAAATTTTTGCAAGCCTGCTGAGGAGTACCATGCCGCGTTGATGAAGCTCTCTATCAGTCTCTTGAAACTCGCTGAGCACACGCCCCCGTATAGACCAAAGATCTTTGATGAATTTATCACCAACGATCCCATCACGCCGATGTGCATGCTACATTACCCGCCTGCGCCCCCGGAGAATGAGAGAAACGGGAAGACCCAATATGGTACCAGCGTGCATACCGACTTTGGCGCCATTACCCTGCTGCTTCAGGAGAAGGGTCCTTGGTTGGAAATCCTCGACTCTAGAACTGGCGAGTGGAAGCCCGTTCCGCCGAATCCAGGCGTGTACGTTGTCAACATTGGCGACATGCTCAGTTTCTGGACCAAAAACAAGTATAAGAGCAGTGTGCACCGCGTCATCAATCGCGAGCCAGGAGACCGATATAGTATCGTGTTCTTTTTTGATGGAAATGGTGATGCAAAATTGTCTCCGCTGGATGGGTTGGAGGAGGACAATCCGCTTACCGTGGAGCAGCATATGATTCGTAGGGTCACGACGAGCTATGGCAAGAAGTGAACACTAGAAAGCGCTTGGAAACAAAGAAGTGCTTTTGCTGACAGTACAGTACTTTCATTTGACATCGAAATAATGACTACTTTTTATCATGATACTATCGATATTTGCACTCTTAGTCCGAATAGCAGTAAAAGCCGCCACAGGCCGACTCTAAAGTCTACAAGCTCTTATCGAAAAGGTTGAGCATGTCAGTCATAGGAAATTGGTCAAGATGATCTATCTAAAATCTAACAGACATGCGGAAGATGAAACTCTATAGGTGAATACTAGAGCTGATGGTGATGAAGAGCTAAACAACTAAAGAGACGATATTTCCATACATTTCCCTACAAAAGAAATGTCCAGACTAAGATATGGCCTAAAGGCTAAATGACCATACAATGGAGACGAAAGAAAACAATGTTAAACCGAGAAATAACGGACATAACGGCATAACTCTCACCTAACACCGGGGAAACAACGGAGATAACGGCATAGCACTCACCTAACACCGGAGCAATGTCTAGGAGAGCTTTTCAGCCTCAGGGGTTCTATGTACACCTGTCTACAATGCATATTGACCTGGCAAATACGAATGTGGCGAACGAATCCCGAGGATATAGCAAACGACGTGGGGTTCTTGAAATATTACTGGTGGAAATGGAATCACTTGCCGTATGGGAAGTTTTCTAGAACTGAATATCATCCCATTCAAGGTTGGAGATTTATTAGGTGTTGGGAATCCGGAGGTCAGTATTCGCGATCAACGTTCGAAGACATGTCCGACAAAGTTGCAACAAACACCGAAACTGGCGATGTTCCCGCGTTGTTACGAAATCAACTCGCTTGACGCTAAAGACAAGTTAAACTACTTAAAGATAATGCGGCCCTCAAAGCAGCTAACACTACAACCAACCAATTACCATGGGCTGGGCACAACCTATTTACTATCTATATGGGATATAGATTACATAAAAATATATATTTAAATATATACTTTAAAGGTGTAAAAGATATAGAGAAGAAAAAAAGAGAATTAAATATATAATAAGTATTTAATAAGTATAATTAAATTTATAAATCTGAGCTTCCTTCTACTGTAACAGGGATAAAACCAGGAAGCATGTTCAGGCCTAATCCGGCAGGACTGGGGGACTCGGGGATATCCTGGGGGTCAATTGTGACTTATCATAATTGATACCATGAGACCCCGGGCATGATGCCAGTACCCCTCACCTCGCAATATATGCCTTTATCTAGTTAGATTAGGTATCAATGACCTGAGGTAGAGAGTCAGACATATAGGCTTGGTTTCCTCCATCCGGGTGGGAAACCAAGCAATATCTTTTGTATAATTTTGGACATAACCTTCAATATAAGCCTACTCGGTTTCGAATAGTCTTCGGTTCGAAGCCTCCTATAACTATATAGTCAAAACCGATAACTTCCTCCCTAGTAGCCCTGCTCTATAGCATCAATATCAAGCGGTGAAACTTCAACTCACCGACATCTAGTCTATCCAGACACCCCCGGACACGGCCCTGCCAGGCCGTGTTACACTACTTAGATATAGTTCTTCAGAGTTCGTCTTATCAATGAATAAAATACATAATAATATTCTATTTATAGTTCCACCAATGATTCTCCAAAATATGGTGGCAAGCGGGAGTGTTAGGCGCGATCGCGCAACAAAATCTGACCAATCATCACGACGAGCACACGGCATATGACATACTGAATAATGTAATAGATCTGCAAGCTGAAGTTGATGCCCAACGTGATGACTGCGACGTAATTTGCGGTTTTTAACAATACATAGTTACCTAATACATACGAGCCACATTCCACTTAAAAAAGGTAATACATACCTATTGATCCTTCCAGACAGCTAGCGTGATTGTCGACAGAAGTTATTAGGCTATTCTCTTATTATTTTTGGCTCTCCAAAAATGATCCCTGTTCCTATGAAAAGAATCGGTCTCTTGAGCGTCGGACAAAGTGATCCTGTTCCAGACAGTGACTTCCAACAACTACCCCGGGTTGAGGTGGTTGATATCTGTCCACTTGACGCATATACTCACGCTGAACTGCTTGAAAAATTTTCACCCAAGATAGGGGAGCTTCCGATCAGTTCAAATGTGAAAAGTGGCGCAGAAATTTTATTGTCACATTCGGCGCTTGAGCGTGAACTTCAAAAGGGTATATTAGAAGCCGAAGCGCTTCGTCTCGATGCTATAGTGCTTACTTGTTCAGGCAAATTCGACTTGGCGTCCTCCAGATCAAGAATTGTCTTCCCAGGGCAAATTTTAAAGGAAAAGGTGTTGCAACGTGTATGGTGTGAAGCAGAGAAAGTGGCAATCATCGTGCCGCTGGATGAACAGCAAGGTCGTTTGGAGAAGTGCTGGAATGCACGTCTTCCATCAGAGAAAAAACTGAATATTAAGGCATTCACTCTCCCTTGGCAAGCCTCTTTGGAACAGACACAACAACTTGCGTCCTATTTGCTAAGCAATGGCTTCCGGTTTGCTATCATGGATTGCTTTGGATATAGTGTTTCTCATAGCCGAAAAATGGAGGAGTGCGGTATAGAAAATCATGCGGCAAAGGCAGAGTTGATTATTAAGCTTGTTACAAATGTCTTATGATTAAGTAAAGCACATTTAGAATATATCGGATAGTTTCTAGCATAGAATGAGTATTATGCTGTTAAAGATTCAGAAACTTTTGGTGGTTGTCTAAGGCTGGACGTTTCCCTCTTAAAAATTCACCATCCTCTGTGTTCCCCACTATATTGCCTTCGCTGAGAGACAATTTTCCACGAAACAGAACCCATGTAGTTTCGCGGGGTTTGAGAACGGCAGCTCCACAAATATCTGCGGTGTTTTGCGCCCAGTCAAAAGCCGTTCAGTGAATAGTGGAGGAAGTCTAGTTTCCAATCCAGGAAGACCGTTTGGAATCAATTAAAACCGACCATTCAGTTCGTGGCCATGTAAACCCATCATCTTGCATATTCTGGGCTGATCTTGATGCGAAAGTGCCCAACATCCGTGCTACATGTCTACACCCTCTACAACAGTCCGACCTGTTTTCTACTCATATCCATCAATCTGATGTACTTCTGCTCTATAGGAAGGATATAACTATCTCTTCATTTCATCATGCAAGTCTAGTATATATAGATTTATTCAATATCACTATTAGTATCTTTAATATTACTAAATTCACTATGTTTAGTATTAATCATCTTTGTGATTTGATTGATAGTCATGAAAATCAGTTATCAATAGGAATTAGTTTTACCATATTGATCAGCTCACCCCCGTAGGCTAGTTACAATAGCCTTGCAATAATCTCTACTTCGTGTTCTAGGGCCGTGCTAAACCAACATTATTATACTAGCGCCAACAAGCCTCAGCTATACCCTAAATCAATCAATCAATCAATCATACTAACAAATTACTAACCCACGAGCATCCGCTACGATACTGGCCGACGAGATGACATCTACTAAAAGTAGTCATGTATGGGCTCTAAGGAGACACGGCATATATATTAGGCTATGTATTAGTAGATTAGTGATAGTTGCCCTTTTCGCTTAGCCGCCGGGCGTTGATAAATTGAGTGTGTATTAAGGTATGTCTTCTCGCAGAAATAAAGCGCGCATTCGTGCAGAGGTGGGCGCTATTCGGGCTCAGACACGTTGCGGATGAAGTAGACAAGTTCTCGGTATACTTCATCGAGGCGAAGCGGATCAGGGCTTTCTCGATGTCGCCGGCTATAGGAGGTAGGGAGGATGTGTTTTTGAGGCTGGACTCTGCGACAGACTTCCAGAGATGGCGGCAGTATTCCAGGATTCTATTCTCTACTACTATCTTAGGCTCGTCGGCGATACTGAAGGACAAGACCTCTAGGTCCTGGTGTAGCTTAAACCCTGACGGGGTGGTATACGTGCGATTGGCTGGGATACGGCCCCAGATGGACAGACCCTGTGGAAGCATATTTGGATCTTTCTTGAGGGGCGAACATTCTTGTTTGGAGCTACGTTTGACGTCGAGACAGGTGGAGCAGAATCCCAAGCCAGTAAAATCGGGGTACTCGCAATTTTTTGTCGGACAGACCGGGATCAGGGGCATGTTCACTGGTATAATCCGCTCAGCATCGCGAATTGCATCGACGGGTCTAATTGCTGGATGTTGTAGTATGAATCGTAAGGCAATTTGTCCATCAAACCCCTCCACTGAGGTTTGTACGCCGGCACCCGCTGAATCGAGTCGGTTTTGTTCAGTGCAAGGGACTCCCGGGACGGATAGTGTAGCAATTATTATGTGAAGGGGTTGATAGCCACCGCGAGGATCATTATGATGGCGCCTACTGTCGCGATGCTCGGGGTCATCCGCTAGAGCATCGCGACTGCACCACAGGGGCTTCGACTGGCCTGGTTCAGGGCCTCGAAATTGAACAGCGCTCGTCGGGTTGTTTTGGTGGCCATGAACTGAGTCCACTTTAAGGCTTTTGGAGTATATCGGTGGGTTTTCAATTTTCAATTTTTTTTTTAAAAAAGCTATGGGTGAGTTGTAAAGATTATAACTCAACCTAGAACCCACCCCAACCCGCCGGTGAACAAGTCTAATAATAGCCTTATAAGGAAGTTATCTTATTCACAAACTTAGCCCGCGGGCTGAGTTAGCTTGCGAGGAGTCCACTTTGTCTAAGTACATCACAAGGGTTGTACAGTAGTCTAAGAGAAATGGGACCCTGAGTTCCCGTCTATTTGATTGTCACAAGGCCTCCAAGAGCGTCTATGACTAAACGGCGAAGCGAAAATCAAGTCTGTAGAAAGCGGTTAGCAAATTGACAATTTTGTGATTGTGCTGATGGCATGGCGTTTTACCTCTTATTCTTTAAGCCTGGGTTCTCACGTAGGTAGATTTCGCGTTGCTCGCTGGTCATTGCATCCCATATTGCGGCATTTTTCCTACCTAGCTGTCAGCAAGAATACCCCTTCTTGACTCATGGCAAGGCCAGGAACATACCTATTCCAGAAGAAGTCGTAGAAGAGCTTTGCAAACACGAAAAGGGTCATACTGACCACAGCTAAGGCGATCAAAACTTTGTTCCCGTGTCTGTAGTATGGAGCATCTTTGACTTAGTATACCTTTGTAGGATAATTAATATATGCAATGCGGACTGCGTTCTTTAGAATGCAGAACGATGCAGCTCTGAATAGCACTCACATTAGAACTCGCAATGCTGCTGAGCTGCACAGACATGTAATACAACGCCGTAGCAACAATTCTTGTCTGTGCGGAACCGGCATTTCTGGAGCCAAAGCCACCACGACCGGATGAATACTCGGGGTCCCAACGATAAGTGTAAACACTATCCATCGCTGCCATGGCATACTTCGCTCGGGGAGGAACTCCAACGCCATTAGCAGAACTAAGCACTACAACTTAACAGCAGCGCCCCAGAGTAAGCGCTGATTAGTGCACTCCGTGACCCAAGTGATGGCTGCCATAGTAAGAATGCCAATGATAGATGAAGGAATCACCAATAGATTTGTCTCGAAAGTGGTAAACACCTGCGATCATAGTTGTAGCGTTAAGTGATCAATCCCCCGCTGGGGTGAATGGAATCGACCAAATAAGTCCCAGGGAGTAAATCGGCCACATATGGTAATCCTTCAGCGACACCCATAAACGCTTTGGTGTCACCGCTTGTCGACTATGCATACTTCCCTTGCTAGGGTCGTCTCGAATGACTCGATGACGACAATTTTCTCTTCATGCTCAGTGAACCATCCGTGCTTTTCGCGCAACCATCCTTTCGTTTGTACGGGCGACGCAGGCATCCAAAACCCGGCGATAATTCCAATAACACCGGTCACCAAACCCTCATGCGCAGAAAGGTATCGCCAGGATCCTCCATGGGAGCCGGTAATGTGGAGTAAACCAAATGCCATGAATGCTCCGATGATTCCTGCAATGATGTAAGAGATCCAAAACCAAGTAAGTCTTTTGGGAAGCTCACCATATTTGTAGAAGAAGGACAAGAAAAGGATTGTATCGGGGATACTTTCATATGTTGTGAGTTTCAGCCGACGTAAAAGAGGGGAAATAATACGTACAATCCACCCTCTATAATCCCCAGCAAAGCTCGAAGAGCCAAATAGGCACCTCGCCCTTTCAGAAACGCATGACAGGCGGAAATTAGACTCCACAAAAAAATCTGAGCGGGGATTCAACGGTCCGGGCCAATTCTCTTAGATAGGAGCTGAGAAGGCATCTCAGATAACAAGAAGCATATATAAAAGACGGTTTGGCTTAGATTGTAATCGTTACTAGTCATATTCAGATTTTGGAGAAATGTACTCGATAGTGCCTGGCCAATGTTTCCTCGGTCAAGCTGTAATGCGAAGAATGTCAGACGGGCAAAGGTCAAGACACGAACGTCGATCTATGAATTAAGTGAGTGTCTATACAGTGTCGAGTTCAAGAGATACTTACCTTCTTGACGATCTTCTTCTCTTCTTCTTCTGTCAATTCAAACTCCGGGTCCCATCGATGAAGTCCTTTATAACTGTCAATTGGTCGATAATGACGGTGACCTTCCCTTGTCTCAAAGGCTCCTGCTTGGTATTGATGAGTTTGAGACCCTTTCTTCTCCACGTCACTTTCAATACTCGTATCTGGTGATTCTTGATCAACATATACCTGCACGGTAGCTTGTTTCTCAGCAGCCTAAATCTATTTGTATTTTTAAATGAAATCCACTAGTATTAAGATATTCAGATAAAACCAAACCAAAAATCCAAATCAAACCAGATCCAAATAGGCCTCAAAAAACCATATGATTCTGGATTTGATAAACTGAACCACTTCAGTTCACTGTATATAGGACCAGAACCGAACCAAACGACAGCCTAATCACATCTTTCTACACCTTTCCTATGGCAGCGTATCAGGTATACCGTAGGAGTAGTAATGCGAGTGTAATAGGATGTTGGACTTTATGGCGAACTAGTGCGCTTACTCAGCAACAAATTGGAAAATAGAAGCAAATTCAAATTCGATTAGGAATACAAGCCTGAGTTCTCCATCACTTGTCTATCTAGCCTAATTTATATGCGAATCTACACTGTCATTAGTCATCAGGGGTTAATTGATCCAAACCGGTATTTGTCACGTTCGATAATCCAATTTCTAAAGGTTTTGCGCTTATCCGAACTAGGTTGGGTGGCTCTCATTTTCAACATTATTTCATAAACTTCTTTGAGTACCACCACACTAACGTCTACGAGCCGATCACGAGCAAGCGGGATCTAGGTTCGTGACAGCGGTAGTCCTTGGAGTGCACCGGTTCTCACATTTAATATAGTTCTACTTTATATTTTTTTATTTTCTAGAATCTTAATATAAATAAAAATGTCTTAAACTTCAACTATAAGAATACTATTATCTAAAAAACTAGATATTAGAATATTGTTTGTTATATTAACTATTAATTACGCCTTGAAGGTCCTGGAAGTTGAGAGGTGCTGGGGCACGTGACTAGATGACTTTTGTCTAGTGTTTTGTAAAATTACCAACCTAGCGTGTCATTGTAAAACCTGACATGACAAGGTCTTGTCAGATAAAATCTGACAATTTTGTGTAAATTCCTCAGTGGATCCCAAATAAGGCTTAGAAAGCAATATTATTAGCTAAAAACTAAATCTAATCAATAATATTATATTATTATTAGTTACTATATAATTCTGTAGAAATATCTTAATTTATATATATTAAATATATATATTTACTAATTTATTTATCATTTTTAAATAAATTATTCTTTAATACTTTAAATTTCTTTAAAAAATAGTAAATTAATATATAAAACTTTTCATTTCTAATATTAATATTAATTTATTAAGAAAATCTTTTAATTTATATATTTCTAAAGAAAAAATAAGATATCTAATATCTATAGACCTCTTTTGCTATCTTATTAATCTAAATTTATTAAAAAAGATTAAATACTATTTTTATATTTATTATAATGATTTCACTGAATATTTATTATATCAAAAAAAGTATTTTATTAATTATTATAAATTTAAGTAATTATTTTTTAATAAATTTTAAGCTTAAATATCTTAATAATCTGCTTTTTAAATAATGCTATTAGATATGGTGTTAAAAGATAAAAAAATATATAAAAAAATTAATAAATTATTTAATATAATGATTTTTATTAGAGTAAAGCTTTTTTTAATATTTAAGACTAAAAAAATAAGATAATTTATAAATATATTAGATCCTAATTATTATATCCTTAAAATTAATAAAATTATTAAATCTATTTTACTAAATATTACTTTATAATATAGAAATAGATTAATTAAAAGCTTATTAAATCTTAATATCTTAATATCTGGTGCAGGATTATGCGGAAGAAGAGTTAGTTGATTGGAGTTCCTGTCATATGGGAGGACTAAGACTAACTAACTAGTGGCTACTTTAGATATCATAGAGAAAATCTATTAAATCTTTTATAATTAAAAAGGTTATTATTCTTAATAAAAATTATCTATTTAATATGAATTTTCTTTTAAAGATATTAGCTTATAGATATATATTTTAGTTTTTTTTAAATATAAATTATAATAGCTAACTAAAAAAGATTATTAAGATAAAAGATTTAAGAATCTTTATTAAAAAGTATTAATTAAGATAAGATAAAAATTAAGTAATAAATAGATAATATGATTAATAAAAAAAAATTAATTAGATCTTTTCTAATTTATAGAAAAATTTAAGTCTATTAAAAGTATAATTTTAATATATTATATATAGATTCTTTTCTAAAATCTTTTTTTATTATTATTTTCTTTATTATATTCAGTATATTATTAATTTTCATTATTACTGATTAGATAATTTTCTATATCTTTTAATGATCTTAAAGCTATAATTACTATTTATATTCTTTTTTCTAGATTTTTTATACTTTAAATTATTATTATTATTTTATTTTCTTTTTTAAATAATCTTTATAAAATTATTAATTAGTATTTCTTAATCTATCTAAAGAATCTATTCTATATAAAGCTTTGAATTCTTTTTTTTAAAATATTGATTAAAGAAGGATATTATTATTTAAAAAAGAAGTTAATATATATTTAAAGCTTGCTTAGTTTTTTAGCTTATCTTAATAAAAAGCTGTTATTACTGATTAGAATAATCTAATCTATTATAATATCATTATAATATAATAGCTTACTTTAAAAAGGAATATTTTAAAAAGATTCTATTTTAGGTATATTTTTAACTTTAAATAGAATTTTTAAAAAGATAAAAAAAGTATATTTATCTTTAATGAAGTATTAGAATTATCTATATAATAAGATATTCTTTTTTTTATTAATTATTTTTTTAATATATAATCTATCTTGATTATAATGTGCTTTAAGATTTATATAGAATTAGATTAGAATTATTAATATATATAAATAATCTAAAAAGATTTTTAATATCTAGAGTATAATATGTACTTATAATATATTTTTAGGTATTTTTATTTTTAGCTTTATATCTGCTATAATATTTATTATATCAGTGATATCTTTAATAATATAGAAATTATTCTTTTTATTTATAAATATATCAGTAGCTTTCTTATAAAGATATTTTTACTCTATTATAATATCATTAAGTAATTATAAAGGAATTAAATTTTTTATTTATCTTATTTAATCTTATATATTATATAGATTAGAGATTACTAAGTTATACTATAAAACTATTATTATTAAAGTATCTTTAATATTTTAGATTTTTTATATAATTAATATCTATCTATTTTATTTAATGATTTTATTATTTATTCTTTCTACTTATTATTCTAGTTTAAAATATCTTAAAATAATTATAAATTTAGTATATATTCTTTATTCTATAAGGCTATATATATTATAGAAGAGCACTTTAAGATTATCTTTCTAGAATCTTTTAAAAAATAGATTATTCTTAGTAATATTCTTATTCTTAATAATCTTTTTAAATTTATTAATATCTAAAAAATATAGAGAATTTTCTATCATTTCTAAAGATACTTTGATTATAGTTATCTAATTTATATAATTAATTTTATTATCTATAAGTTAGTCTTAAAATTATCTAAATAGATTATCTATAATGAATTTAAATAATAGAATGTGATAAGATATAAAAAAAAAAAGAATCTAGTTAATAGAGATTATAAGAATATAATAAAAAATAAGAAGAAATGAATAAATAAGATAAATAAAATATAGAGAAAGAAAATATATTTTAATTTTTATTTATTTCTATCACTAGAGTGGTGCTTAATTAAGATAATATAACAATATAGATTATTTATATAGTAATAATTTTCATTCTATGATTATAGCTTATTTTACTGTAAGATATTTTCATAACTTTTCTATTCTTTTAAGACTTCCTATGCGTCCTATATATCTGCTTTAGGAAGCCACTAATTGTTATCAGTATTATAGTTTATCTATTGAATATAATACTCTGTCATTGGAGTTCTATATTATTCTTTATAAATAATCCTTTTATCTATAATGTACTTTATTTTATAATATTTATTATTATATTCATTGATATAAATTTCTTCTAGTTGATCTAAGCTCTGATAATCTTTTAAATATTTCTTAAGATAGGCTAATAAAAAGATATTATGAATCTTTTAATTAATTGAAATATCTAGCTTATATATTAATCATCTGATCTTCTTTAATATTTAATATAAACTCACAAATTACTATCTTAGTTTTAAAAAAAGTTTATAGCTATAATCTATAGAGATAAAATATTTTTTATAAAAATAAATAAGTATCTTATTTTCTAAAATAAAAAATATCTATTTATATTTTTAATTATAAATTTATTTAATATCTATAATAGCTAGCTTAATCAATTTCTAAACTTTTAATCAATATAAGAAATCTTATCAGATTTTTTTAGACTATAGATCTAATAATATTATAAGATTTTCTAGTTCTACTTTATATATTAGTTTATATATTAATATATTAATTATTAAAGAAATTACTAAATTTAATATTATTTAGATCTATAGAAGAATATCTAATTACTACTTAGAATTTTTTATTAATATTAAGATATATTATAAAATTATCTCTGTCATTTGATTTATAAATTTAGATTGTTTATTCATCTAAGGGTGCTATACAGTACTGACTTGGAGTCTTGAGTCTACTATGATGAATAGAACTCTAAATAGTGTTATAAAAAATTTCGCATCACAGTTATAAATAATTTCTTTAAAAAATTCCATATCTTTCTTTATTAAGGCCTTAGTAAGGGCTTTTTTTCAATATTTTATATTTTAAAATTTCTTTTCTATAATAAATGTACATCTCTTTATGAATTTATATGTGATAGATATAGCTTCATTAAATCTATCTAGAGACTCTAGTAGGCATAAGATGAAATCTATAGATATAATATAAAAGAGAATCGCTGGGTGAAGAATGGGCTGTAGGCAACTATAGTTAGGATGTCTAGGCTTCGTCCACTTTTTATAAATACTGCACATTTGGATAAATTTGGTTATATACTTCTGGATATTCTGTATGTAATAGCTGTTAAGATGGTAGATGAGCTTCTGTATACCACCATGTCTGTAGTCATTATGTGCAATCTTCAATACCTTCTT